ACCCTAACCCTAACCCTAACCCTAACCCTAACCCTAACCCTAACCCTAACCCTAACCCTAACCCTAACCCTAACCCTAACCCTAACCCTAACCCTAACCCTAACCCTAACCCTAACCCTAACCCTAACCCTAACCCTAACCCTAACCCTTTTTCCTGCCTAATTAATTCCTACAGGCTCGCAGTTTAAGTTACTATTTTAACACTTATTAGTGTAATAACCTTGCTTTTTACACTTATAGCAGGTAATTTAGGACTTGTCTTTTAAAGCTAATGTTAGGCAATAGGGCTTCTTTCTCTCTATTTCTTTTTGTATAATTCTTTTTTTTTTATTGCAGTTATTTTGCAAGTGCGCGTTGCTTGCGCGTTAGTCATTTTATTCTAGCGTTAAACCTAATAAGATAAGGCCTTCTTGTATTAGAAAAATTTAGTAATAGTTAGTAATAGAGCGCTGCAACTCTAGTCTTAGTTTTGCAAATAGATATTGCACCTTTTAAGCTTTTGTGTAAAGAGTAAGTTAATTCTCTAAGATGCTAAAGTAGGTTGCAAAAAAGTAAACGCTTTAGTTTTTGTGTTGCATAGCCTGCGCGTGCGCTATAAATACTTTTAGGCTCTAGTTAATAGAGTCTAAGAGCATGTCTAGCATAAATGTCTAAAAGTACTTCTAGGTTAACGCTGCCTTATCTTTTTTTAATATACGCTTATAATGTGCGTACTAAAGCTCTCTTAGGTCTTTCTGTAGGTACTGCATAGCTTAAGCAATTTAATCGCCTTCTTGCATAAATTTGTAAAGGGCGAGTTTAAACGCTAGTTTATAAAAGTAAAAGAACTTCTAATATTCTTTATAATTTTTTCTCTTGTAGTCTGCAGGGTTTTTTATTCTTAGACTTTGCTTTGCTAGCGCGTAGCGTAATAGGCTGCCTGCATTTTGCTTGCGCTAACCTGTTGCTTCTACTTTAGGTGTCTCCTTTGTAGTAAGGTCTATTATAGATAGAGCTAGCGTAGCACCCTCTAAAAGAGCAATTTTGTTTTCTAGCTCTTAGAGGCAACAGGCTGCTAAGAGAGCATTTTTTTTTTTCTTTAGCAGCCTAAATGCGCTACTCTATTGTAGTAGGTGCGCCTACAGGGTTAAGAGCATCTGTAGTAGTAGTAACTGTTATAAAGTCTCCTTTTTTAGGCTTTAGGCTCTTGCAGTTAAAAGCCTGCTGCTAGAATTAGGTTAAAGGAGCTATTTTTAGCTATTTGCTAAGAAGTGTTATTATATAAGGCGTAGTTATAGGCAATAGTACTTGCTTTACACTACTAGTAATAGTAAAAGATAGCTTTTTTTAGAAGGTATCCCTTTCTAATAATTTAGAATAACACTTATTCTCTTTTAGTGCCCTAGGTGCGCCTTTTATGCGCTTTTGCTAAGCTGCCTACGCTAACTAGTAGCGCCTTAGCAATATTAATCTCCTTTAACACTAACTCTTATGCGGCGATGTTACAAATATATAGTACTTTAAAAATAGTACTATAAAAGTTTTAAAGTTTATAAATAATTATAGTATAAATAGTAGTAGTGTAAAAGTAAAAGTTAGTAGTTTTAATTTTTACTTAGTTCTACGCATTTTAACCTAGACTTAAAACTTTCTACCTACTACTAAAAGTATATTTTTTTTCTTTAGTGCTTACTAAGCTACTACTTTAATTATATAGTAAAAGTTTAAAACTCTAGGTTTTAAAATCTGTAAAAATTAGCGTTGTAGCTAGTAAACTATTAGACATACAGCTATTTTAAAGAGTAGAAGAAATTTATTACTCTTTTTACTTGTTACCCCTCTGTAACTAGATTAACTCCAACCTAGCTCCTCTTGTTAGAATTCTCTATTTACTATAAGATTTAAACAGCACCTTGAGCTTTGTATCAGGTACAAACATTGTCGCGATGTAGAACGTCTTTGGCTCTGTGCCTGGCGCAAGTTCCCAGTTATATTGCAGGAGAAGTGTGGAAAATATAATCTTCATCTCGTGAACCGCCAAGAATCTCCCAGGACTGTAGAGTTGCGAAAGTCAGCCTTCGGTTGAAGAAAGCAAAACAATGAAACTTACCACGGGTGCCGTCCGTGACCGAACACGTGGAGGCTTGCTCTAGTGTTCACCAATGTGCTCGGCTTTGATACAGAAGGCCCGGATTGCAAGAAGCGGAACCCGTCAAATACGTCAGGGTTCTCGTACACTTCTGGATCTCGGTGCAGCGCTAGAGTGAGAGCGCCAACCTTTGCGCCTGCTGGAAGCACAGTTCCGTCACTGAAGGTAAAGTCCTTTTTCACGTTTCGTTGCATCGCCACTGTTGAACAGTTTGTTAGTCACAGCGGGTAAATCACTGTTACGTCAAGTCTTCCAGAATTGCTCTAGATTGCGGTCGGATGTCTCACTTAGCCCGTTGTTGTTGAATCTACCCGATTCTCTGAGAAAACTTTCCATCTTAGGAAGATTACCCAAAGTCTTTACTGTCACCTGGCCATCTTCGAGATTCTCCAGTACTTCGTTGCGTAAAACCTCTTGATACTTTTCCCGTTCCGCAGCAAGAGTGTAGAGCACGCTGGTCAAAGTCTACAGATTCGTGTCAATATTCTTAGCTCTCAATATACGCCCACGAATTGAAATACATCTTAGGCTCCGGGATGTCCAGCACTGACCATGGTAGTTGTGTGTATTGATGCTACGTTCAAAGCCATGACCCGCTCAGCTAGCTGTGGTACTGTTCTTTCGATGGGCGGTGCAGCATCAATGAGCCTCTGGACGAGATCGGTAGGCTTTTCCCCAAATTCATCCAGTTTTCCGTTCAATCTCTCTTGTATATAGGGCCCTAGGAACCTTTCCCCAGCCTTTCTATGGCGCATTACAGGCATGAACCGTACTAGGATACTGTCCCAGAGTTAGTGTTGCGGCCATAGTCAGTCAAACACTAATTCGATGGCGTGGGAAAGGAAAATGGGCGGCGCACCCCTTGAACCAACTCGGAAAGGGCCTGATCATTTCAGATGTGATGACTACGGCTTGAGCATAATCAGCTGCATTCGAGAGATATTCCTTATTGCGACCTTTATACAAGTTCATCTAAGTTAGAACAATGTCCAAAGGAGGTTAGGGCTCTGATGGACTTGCAAAAATCGGTTCCAACGTAGACTCTGTTGGCCATACGTCCCACAGTCATTGCTATAACATCATAGAGTGCTATTGCTTTATGATCTGGTCTATATGTCAGCCATGAGAGGAGGCGGGGGGAGGGGGGCTCAGACCGCGTGGACTGCCAATCATTTCCTCGAGGGATTGGCAACATTCGTCAACCAAAAGTGGAGTCCAAGCATTGATACTTTGAGTAATTGGACCGCGAACAACAGGTGTATGATAAGTACGGTGTCCAACTCCGTAACCCATGGTGAAAGGAATTTGCTGTTGCTGCAGCTACATCAGCCGGAGATCTTTTGGAACCCAGTGTCACTGTCAGCGCAACACCCTCGGCCTGAAGCTCACATCGTTGGCCCCTTCTTGCGCGTTCAAAACGCTATCGGGAGCTCTTAGGTATTCGGCAACTTTGTTTCTATCCGACACCAAAATGTATTCCCCTTGAATGGTCGCTATCCGCATAAGTCCGTTGTTAGATTTTGCCATTCCCTCGCGTATCAACTTGACAGGATCCCGAAGCAATCTAACTGTGCCAATCCATGGCCCAAGCCATGGCAATGACCCAAAACCTAGCGGCATCACTTTTGGCTGTGTGAAGACATTAACAACAGTCATGAGTGACGTATATAGCGAGACAAGATGGTAACACACCGTTTTCTTCCAGTACTGATATCTATTGAGTGCCACATATCCGAGAAACACGGCTGCAAGAACTTGATATGCAGATAATGGAGACATGTTCGCTGCATTGGCAATGGAAAAATCCCCAGATTCTGTGGTGCTGGTTGCCATGATGAATATAGACTCAGACGATGGTGGTGAAAGTGACAAGCTCATTCCCGGCAAACAATCTAAATAGATTTCCGAAACAACATGGTAGGCGGTGTTGTCGCGAAGCGAACGCTCGTATTTGACGTATTCGCACTCGTATTCGCATCCGTATTTGCAATACGTTGGTGTGCCTATTGGGAATGTTCACCTGGATACGGCCTATACGGTCCCCGGCTGGTAGATTGGCCAATTGGAATCAAGGTCAATGTGTTTTGTCTACCCCACCATAGCAGGCAATGCCTCGGCTATCACTATTGTCTTAGGGTGTATGGCTTTCTAGGTCTGACGGTAATTGAGAGTTTCAGGGAAATATTGATATAGGTTCAGGCAATTGAATGCATCCTGCGAGACCCTCATATCGTCAGCGACACCCACCCATCATTTGACTTTTCTCCAAGCAAGCAAACGACGCGCTTTACCATATTACAGTGTCAGCTTTCGGCATGGCGACGTCAGAAGCAATGGCTGCATATGCGCAGAAACTTCGAATGCATACATCGGCTCAGAACAAGCCTGTCACGGAAATCGCAGTATTCAGGTTGAATCCAACTTATGCCATGGACCATGCAGCGGCGGCGGCCGAGTTCGAGTCACATTGCATCAAGGAGACAACGAGCGGGAGTGTTCAAGGAATTCGCAGGACCAGCTGGGGTTTCTCTCGTAGCGACCCGGAAACCATGGTTTGGATGCTCGACTGGGACAAGATCCAAGATCACTGGGATTTCTGGCAAACACCTGGATTCGGACCAGTCATGAACACCATCAGCAAACTGTTTGTACCAGGACGACCACTTGTGCGACATTACGATTTTGGAGAGCCAGGCATGGTGGAGAGCATATGGATTAGGCTTTTTGTATGGGATGAAGGTCGGGAGGGTACAACGCCCGAGGGAACACGTGCGAAGGCGCTGGCAACAGGAGACCTTGGGGCTCTGACCAGCGTTGGTATCAGGCAAGGCTACGCGGTCGATCTAGACGAAATGACTTGGTACTGTCTTCTCCTGGGTTATGAGAATGAAGACGACGCTTCGAAAGAAGAGGCCCATCCTGATTACCGGGGAGAGGATCATGTCGTCGAACTCAAATTCAACGTCAACACACCGTCTACCTAGGTTAGACACCCAGTGAAGCAGTCGTTTTAGAGGGTTATCGCGATTGAAAAGTAAATAAAACAGTATTCATTAAGCAGCGCATGAGACTACGTATATTAGATCTGAAGGGAAGCACCTCCTTGAAGCTACTACGAACAGCTATCTGTAGACATGGGAAGACAACTCCAGAAACAGCCCACTGCAAGAAATTGTTTATTAACCAAGCTGGACGACATGTATTGCACCAGGCTATTCCTAAGAAAAATGCAGCCTTGCGCTTCTTCCTGGAGTGAGGCGTCAGCAAGTATCCACAATTTCCAAGCCAGACGGCGTTATTTGCGGCGCCAAGGCGGCAAGATATCAAAATCGGAAAAATCAACAGTTACGCGCTTTTCAACGTCGCAACCCATTTCTATACGCATCTGTACGCTATTCGCGATGCGCTCACAGTCCAAAATGTTTAAAACTAGCAATATCAACCACATAGGAAGCTCAGCATCACCGGTGCACTCTTCTGCCTCACTTGTCTACCTTTTTTTCTGTTTCTTTGTTTTTTAATCCACCGCATAACCTGCGACACTTTCAAGCGCACCATGGCCGGATACCATCCCGATATCAACGATCCCGATGCATTCGTCCTCTACCGCTATAGGCCGAACCTCGCAGCAGCCGTCATCTTCATTATTCTCTTCCTACTCACGACCCTATTCCACACTTTCCAAATCTGGCGGAAGCGAACGTGGTATTTCATCCCACTCGTGATCGGTGGTATATGTACGGCGTCTCCCTGCGACCCATAGGCGGCTTGATTTGGGCTAACATGATTGTTGCTGCAGTTGAGGTCATAGGCTACGTTGGCCGCGCGCTGTCGCACCAGGACCAGTGGCAACTTGGCCCTTTTATCATGCAATCGCTCCTCCTCCTTGTAGCGCCTGCCCTCTTCGCCGCCTCCATCTACATCATCCTCGGCCGCATTATTCTGATGACGGATGGCGAACGACGCTCAATGGTACGCCTCAAATGGCTAACCAAGCTCTTTGTGACTGGCGATGTCATCTCATTCCTGCTACAGGCCGGCGGCGGCGGTATCCAGTCGTCAGGCACGCTGTCGGCTATGAAGACGGGGGAAAAGCTTATTGTTATCGGGCTGTTTGTGCAGCTTGCCTTCTTTGGCTTTTTTGTTGCTGTTGCTGCCATTTTCCATACGCGGCTGGAGCGCTACGGGCCCGGGTCGACGTTGGATCTGGGCGCGCTGCCGTGGAAACGTCACTTGCTCGCACTGTACGCGTCGAGCACGCTTATCCTGGTGCGAAGCGTCTTCCGCGTGATTGAGTATTTGATGGGGAACGCAGGCTATCTACTCAGGCACGAGGTTTTCCTGTACATTTTCGACGCGATACTCATGCTTGCGGTTATGATCATCTTCAACGTTGTTCACCCGGGTCAGGTCACAGATTTGTACCAGCAACGGGTAGCGGGGCACAAGGAAGCACGTTCAGAGGATGCAAGCGGCGTCGCGATGCAGCAGCCCAGAAATGGGCGCGAAGTTCCTAGTGGACCGTGGTCGTAGGGAGATGGAGGACGACGGAAGAAGAGTTGAGTCGGTGTTTGGTCTATTTCCTTTGCGATTTTGTATGTTCGCTCTGGTGGTGCACTTGGCTTGTTTTTCTTTTTTTCTTTTGTTCCGGTAGACGCACTCGCAGAGTGCAGCAGTGATGATGGCATGCGAAGAGAAGCCAAACCCACCCGCCATAGTTGTGTTTGTTTTATGAAAGTGAGATGATGTTGCCATCCGCCGAAGCCTGCCGCTTGCCCTGTGCTGTGCTGTTTCATTCCGACATGGATGCGAGGTCAACCGGTTGTTCGGGCGGTGCAGACAGACGCTAAATGCGGACGATCGGCGCGTTTGCGTATACCCAACTTGAAGTTTTCTCGAGCACTTTGGTACATGACTTGATCATATCAGAAGCGCTCCTTGACAGCGTGACACTCTGCACTTTTCGCAACGAATCCCCACCAATGGCAGAACCAAAGACAGGCAGAAGACGGCGGGCCCACGGGAAATCGCGCAACGGATGTGTGGCGTGCAAGCGCAGGAGGATCAAGTGCGACGAAGAGAAGAGCGGCTGCGGTTACTGCGTACGAAGGGGAGCGGAGTGTGTGTACGCACCTTGGTCCCAAACGAGAGCGTCTGCCGGATGCCAACAGCCAACACCCCCTGCGACGACGTCTTCGACGGCTGCCAGCGTGGCTTCACCATCCGGGAATGCTGTGCAGACACCTCCACCCAGGCTGTCGCCCGCCATCCTCAGCGACGATGCAGAGCTGGGCACTTCCTTCCGCATGAACGACCTCACTCTGCTGCACCACTGGTCCGTCGTCACCAGCCTCAGCCTGGTCAATACCCCCGGCGTCGATCACATCTGGCAAACCGTCATGGTGCAGGTGGGCACTCGCAATCCGTACGTGATGCAGGGCATCTTCAGCCTGACGGCGCTGCACCTGGCGTATCTCGACCCGGCCAACAAGCACACGCTGATGGCGGCGGCCGCTCAGTACCACAACCGGGCCCTGCGCGACTTCCAGGCGCGCATCTGCGACGTCGACCAGCACGACAGCGATGCGCTGCTGGCGAGCGCGTCCATCAACATCTTCTATGTCATCGCCGCCTTTGGGAAGCTGTACCACGGCGACGCCGGCGAGTCGTCGGCCAGCCGTCGCGCGCACATGCTGGGCGAGGACTGGATTGCGCTGGTGCGCGGCGTCAACCGGCTGCTGCTGCAGATTGGCGATCGCGTGCGCGCCGGGCCGCTAAGCTCATTACTAAGCCTCGCCAACTGGGAGGACCTCGACCCAGACACCATCGCCTTCCCCCACGATGCCGCCCTGCAGTCTCTCCGCTCCACATGGGCAGACGCGCCCGACGCCCCCGTCTACGACGAGTCGCTGTACCTGCTGCGCAAGTGCTGGGCTTGGACCACGCAGTTTCGCCATTCCCCCGGCCTCGACGCCCTGCCGCAGCCCGCGTCGCATCCCGACTGGGGCTACAACCGCAGCTGGAGTGCCCCCTTCATCTGGCTGAGCCTCGCGCCGGATGGCTTCTTCTTGCGCCTGCAGCAGCGCCAACCGCCTGCGCTCCTGTTGTTTGCCCATTTCGGCGGCCTGTCTGCGGGGCTCCAGCAGTACTGGTGGATGGAAGGCTGGGGCAAGAACATGGTCGTGGCGGCGGCCGAGACCTTGGGGAGCTACTGGCATGTCTGGATGGAGCTGCCATGGAGACTGGTCGCGGCCTCATGCGACGACGATTAGAGTACAGTACGTACTCGACAACGCCGATCCCAGCTAGCACCGCACCGCGTAACCAGCACGTATGCCCAGAAACGACTAGTCGAGCCCAGGGGTGCCAGGTGCGTATCCCGCATGCGTATTCGGCCTCACTTCCACACTCCCCTATGCCCGCATGTTTGGGCAGGTTGAGTTGAGGAAGCCAAGAGGCATCATTAAAGACCTGGAGGCGCACTCTAGCACCGGGGCGTAGACTTCGACCACCCCTCCCGCCACTCAGGAACACCATGCCCCCAACACCCAAAGAGGACCACGGAGCCGACTTCGAATTGGTAGGCGCCCAGTTTCGCACCTCAGCCATTGCAAAGGGTAAGGCGCTCCTGGCTCACTCCGTTTCTGCCCGTCCCCCGCATCTCACTTCCCTGCAGACGACGATCGCGTTGACCTCGCTTTCGAGGCCGACAATGCCAGTACATTGAACAGTCTTCTGGATGCAACAACTCGGAACAAGGGCGGTTCATCGCCAGCACCATCGCATCATACCAATGTCGAAGACCCTTTTGCTCATCACAGATGCACCTCGGTCCCTCCGCTCAATATCGTGATTCAGATTGTTGGCAGTCGAGGTATGCTCCATTTACTCTGCCTCCTTCAAATCAAAAAAAAAAAAAAAAAAAAAAAAAAACACTCATCAGTTTTGCACAGGCGATATCCAGCCCTTTATAGCCTTGGGCACCGAGCTCAAGCTGTACGGTCACAGGATACGGATTGCCACGCACAACGTCTTCCAGAAATTTGTGCAAGAGTCGAACCTCGAATTTTTCCCGATTGGTGCTGATCCCTCCGAACTCATGCAAGTAAGTTGGTCATTGAACAGTATTGGCACCGCACGCTCACGTGAAGCAGTACATGGTGAAAAACCCTGGCATCATCCCCAAGTTTTCAACAATCAAGGCCGGAGACATCGGCAAAAAACGAGCCATGATTTCAGAGATACTGGAGGGATGTTGGAAATCATGCATCGAACCTGATCCAGATACTGGCGTGCCATTCATCGCGGAAGCCATCATCGCAAACCCCCCGAGCTTTGCACACATACATTGCGCCGAGGCGCTGGGCGTTCCATTACATATGATGTTCACCATGCCTTGGAGCCCCACAAAAGCCTTCCCCCACCCCCTGGCGAATATCAAGCGGTCGGATCTTGATCCGAAGACGGCCAACTATCTGACGTATGGAATGATCGAGCTGATGACTTGGCAAGGGTAGGCTACATCTCACAGATGGCTTCTTCGTCTTGGTTTTTGCTGACCCAAATCACTCGTGTACAGACTGGGAGACATCATCAACGACTGGCGGGAGAATATCCTCTCGTTAGAGCAACTCGGCGCTATTGATGCCGCGGGCATGATGGAATCGCTCAGAGTGCCCTACACATATTGCTGGTCGCCAAGTCTCGTGCCTAAACCGGACGACTGGCCGTCATACATTGGTGAGCTTTGAGAATGTCACACCATTCTTGAACAATATGGATGCTAAAGTGGCAGATGTTTGCGGATTCTTTTTCCGGGGAGAGCCCCAATTTTCGCCCCCGGACGATATAGAGGAATTTCTTCGAGCCGGGCCCCCACCCTTGTACATTGGTTTCGGCAGTATTGTGATGGAGGACCCGGCTTCCATCACAGACGTCATCTTGTCTACGCTGCGAAAATGCGGAGTGAGGGCCATCATCTCTCGGGGATGGAGCAACCTCGGTGAAGGGAGAGAGGAGGACGAGAATGCGCTGTTCATTGGGGACTGCCCTCATGGTAATTCTAGAAATGGAATCCGAATGCCTTCAACACTAACAGCGTTTCAGAATGGTTGTTCAAGCGCGTCTCTGGAGTGGTACATCATGGCGGTGCAGGGACCACGGCCTGCGGACTGCTGAATGCCTGTCCGACCTCCATCATCCCTTTTTTTGGAGAGTGAGTACATCGCATCCAAATACAGCCAGCTTCTTCTGTTAACGCCTGTTTCCAGTCAACCATTTTGGGGTGACATGGTTGCCGCTGCAGGCGCCGGACCTCGCCCAATCCACCACACATCCATCACCGAGGCGAATTTCACTGCCATCGTCGAAACCCTGCTCGATCCAAACACAAAGCGCGCAGCTGAGGCTATTGCGGTAAAGATGCAGCGTGAGCAGGGAGTCCGACGTGCAGTGAAATCGTTCCACCGCAACCTGCCCCAAGCCAATCTCGCATGTAACCTGTTGCCGACCGAAAGCGGGGTGTGGATGTACGATGCGAAAGCGCTCAAGAAACAAGGGAAGAAGAAGGTCACCAAGGGCCTAACGTTATCTCCCAAGGCAGTCGCGGTATTGAGCAACCATAAACTGCTGGACCTGACCAAGCTCAAATTGTAAGACTTCTCACCTGCTTTCATTTTTTGCCTCACCATACCATGTTCCATCCGTGCTTTTAAATCAGTCTAAACAATGCTCCAGCCATCACTCCAAACCTTTCCATCTTCAAAAACAACGCTGGGACCCCCTAACCGCAACCTCTTCCTCCCTTCTTGCCAGCGTTGTCGACTTCAGCCAAGGCTTTGGTACCTTTGTCTCAGCCCCTGTTAAAGCATACAAACATCACCATCCTACCAAAGAATCGTCCTCTCCTGAAGTTCCCTCCACTACCGAACCCAGGACAAACGATTCTGGCGCTGCCGCCGCTTCCTTGACCGGCGCCAACAAGATGATGACCAGCCTAGTTAAAGGCTCGCTTGTCGACTTCCCGGTCGCACTCACAGAGGGCCTGAACAATGTGCCGTTGATGTATGGCGAGAAAGTTCGGAAGCGGAAACCCATCACGGATTGGAAGAGTGGGAGCAAAGAAGCAGGCAAGAACTTTGTGAATGGATTCGCGGATCCAATATGGTGCCTGTTCAAACAGCCAGCCGTCGGGTTAACCAAACACGGCGGGTTGGGGTTTTTCACGGGATTGGGAAAAGCAAGTATGGGATTAGTAGTGAAGCCCGGGAGCGGTAAGCAAAGCAGACCTTTCCATCTTGGAACCCCCCCAACATATTTGTACTTCATCAGGAGGTTTACAGCTCTTTACTCCTCGCTACTGTTGACTAATCGCTCAACGCCTTTTTTCTTAGCAATGTTCGGCCTTATAGCCTACCCAGCCCTCGGCATCTATCAATCCATCGTTGGCGCATCAACATCGGGGACTCAGGCCGCCATCTTACAAGCTAGACTCGCACACGATGCCTTTTTCAACGAAGCACATCAGCCTAGTGCGGAGGACGAGGCAGACGTTCTGCAGGAATTTAACTCTATAAAGTGAAAAATTGGATAAAAAAAGTTCGGAGACGGTTGGCTTGGATGTATTGTTATTGTGTATGCGATTTTAATTGTACAAAAACCCTGCAATGCGAGGAAAGGGGTATCATGTCTCGGGCTCTATGTGTATGTCTTGATAGAATTACCGCTTACGCTAGAAAACCTCCAGTCTAGTATCAGGGATGTCTTCGGGACCTCCTCAAACATGATTCTTTACACAAGATGTCACCCAATTGATTTAACTATGTCAAATGCTGTCTTATTGAACGCGCCAACCATTACTCTATTCTGGAAAGCTATCATTGTACTGCGACGCATATTCGTAAGTCGTAATCGATTGGCGTGTAGAGTATTCTGTCTCCCCTGGGGAGGCCTTCGAGGATTGACTGCCTCGTTTAATTTTTGGTTTCGGGTGTGCTTGCTTGATATGATAGGTATCAGAAGGTACACAAGTAAGCGTGTCGAAAAAGGGGCCTTATCAAAAACCAAGTGCTTTCAGCAAGCATCTTACCAGACTATGTGGAAATGCAAAATGACAAGTTGGATGGACACCTTATTTATCTAAAATACCTGGTTAACAGTGCTTGTGGCGGGCTTCGCGCACGAGGTGACGGCAAGAAAGAGTAGAAGGGGTTTCACGTAGGGAGAATAACAAGAACAAAGTATAACATAACAAAGCCCCAAGAGCAATACAGACAGTTTATTCCGAATCAAAAGTTTGAACACAAGTTCTTGAATAAACAAAAAGACGAAGAAAAACTTGAACCATCTAAACGAGGCAGCAACCAGTGCTACCCTGTCTGCGGTCTGATACCTATTTCCATTCTCTATTGTCTATTTCCTTCAGCAACCGCTTCATCCTCCTCATGTCAGGCGCTCCTCTCATACAGATCAATGTAGCTCTCGTTGTCTGCCAATTTCCCCGTCGCTCTTGTGCCGAAGATATCAGCAGCATGCACCATATGGAACAAGACTTGTACAATGAACATGGGCGCTGTGTCGAGCAAGTACATGTACACCTCATGACTGGCAAGATAACCGTCGTGCCCTTGACTGAACTCAATAACCCGAAATACGCAACGCAAGATAATAATAACTGCGGCACAGAGTAGCAGCTTCAGCAATGCCAGCCACGTGTATTTTCCGTACTGTGGAATGCTGAGAGCTTTGCCGCTCATACGCTTCCAAAACACGAGAGAGATGGTAAGAAAGAAACCGAAGAAAAAGAGTTGGATAAAGAGACCAATGAGCATAAGAGTCTGGCCTAATTTAGCCATCCCTTCTTGCGCCATCATGCCACCTCCGCCAGCTTGTAACAAAAAGGCCAGCACGTCGCCGCAGACGAATATTTTGGTTACGCGCGTAGGTAAAATAATCGAGGCTTCTGGTGCATTGACGAAGAGAACGAGACGACCATAGATCATATAGATTGTTGCCGCGTAGAGGGAAGGAGGGAGAATAATAAAGAGCGATTGAGCAATATAAGGGCCGAGGTCTGCGGGTGACTTTGCTGATATGTATCGAAAGACGTAACCAGCCGTCATCACTGAGGTTTGTGAGCGGATAGTCATAGTCAAGATCAAGGAACTTCTGAACACTTACTAAAGGCGCCGATGACAAAGGAGCTATAAAACCATGCTCGCTTTCGGATCAACTGGAGCAGATGGTATACAGCACTGGCTCCGAATGCGGCTGCAGCAACCAGCGCGCCCGCGAGGCTGGGCTCATAAAGATAAATCCCATTTTGTCCCGCCATGGAATCCAACCGAGAAGAAACAGAGACCGAGTTTCGTGGGCGTAGGTGGTTCAGAGAGTGGTAGGAATGATTGATTGGTAATGTAAGAGAGTGACAAGTTGTAGAGGCTCAAGAAAAATGGAAGGAGTGGTGTACTGTCCCAACTTAGGCGCCACACGAGCATGTACATATACTGTGGTCATGATGCAGCTCATCCGCCAATGTAAAACCCACGATACGATTCGGCTTGTAATGCTCCGACTAGCGTTTGGTCAAACGCCCGTGCACGTGCGTGTATACGTGTGATTACGGGGCTTGTTCACCTCTATTCAGTAACAATATAAGCCAAAGAAAATCCCCAAATCAGTATGGCGGGTGTCACATTGTAAATCCGCCAACCCTGTCCCTGTCAGAGTATTGAGGCGCATGAAATATGAATGTATCATGCTAAGAAATATACGAACGGCACATGGCGGATATCTGCGTCTGAGCGCTGGCTAACTCTGCATCTGCTAGTCGGGCAACAACGGCGCGTTCGGGCAATTAAATAACGTCCTACAAGGGAAGAGGGTAGCATGCACGGGTAACGGCTCGATTAACGAGGATGCCTATAGGGAGCAGGTTGTACCTCAAGTCTATTCCTATCCCTATTCTTGTGGACAAAGGGGCTTCCATCCACAGAGCCAGCGCTACTCAGGAGCTACAACAAGAGCTCTAGGTTCTTCAGATGATATAACCAGCTGATTCACCTGATTGAAATCTTATTGAGAACCATGAATCTAATATGAGAGAGCGTTGTTTGACAGGAATTCAAGCGGAAAGGGGGCATACAAAGTGGTGAAATGACTGCCATCGCTCAGCTTGACCTGCCAAGACCTTGGCGGTACATGTTACCCCCTTGCAGCCTATCATGCACGCTAGTTTAGCGTATGGCGTATACGATTACCCTACGGTCGGGATCGCCCCTCCTCCCTGCGAACTACAACGGCTACACCCTTTTCGGCCAGTGGCGGTGCGTATCGGATACGGGCACGGAACATGCGTAATACGCCAACGAATACGCTCTGAATACGGGCCTTCAATTGGTCCTGTGCTTATGAAACGTATAGCGCCACTCTGATCAATTCATGTCTGGAGATTAACTACACCGCTTCCCGCCGATATCTAGGGGCAAATGCACGTTCCACATTTCCACAGGGCAAGCAGAGAAAGCATAGCGAACTAAATTATCATTTTGAGGCCATCCAATCGTGCCGTCGGTCAAGCTAGTTATTTGTGAAGCTTGAAAGTAATTTGCCATGCTGATCAAAATAACCACGACCTCACTACATGAGTAGGTATTCTTAATCCTATGAACGCCGTTACGCGACCAGTTCTATACGCCCTGCACGTGGGTTTGGTGAACCGCTAGCTATCCCCGCTAACAGCAAAAAGCATTGCGTCACGTTTCTTGTAACCCAGGCACTGTACATCCAAGTCTTTCACCGGCCATGACGCTCACAGCTGTGGAATATAAGAGGAGCCCAGGACGCCGTTGCCAATGCATCACCGCATACCTCAAGTGCTTCAATCATGGCTATTGTTTCTGTCACGAGACTTCTGTTTGCGCTACTCTCCTTCCCCTTTGTCTCGATTGCCCAGGTTCCTGATGGCTTGCCTATCGACGATGCTACGAGGCAGTACCTCGAGTCTTTATCCCCAGAGAAGCTGGCCGCAATCCTGGAAATCTATCAAAAAGCTATTGCCGGCCAGGTTCCCGCGTCGCCTGAAGTGATTGAAGCCCAGGAGCTGTATTGGAGCTATGATAGGAGTCCTCCTTATTATCCAACGCGTAAGTAGTCTTTCATCTACCATGACATGCTTTCTCCACTCGCCAGCTTGCTAATACGGCTTTGTGTGCAGCGCAGGCCACAGGCTTAGATGATTGGGCCGATGCATATGAGCAAGCATCAGCAATGGTAGACCAGATGACTATCGAGGAAAAAGTCGCCGTTGTCTCGGGACAGACGTCTAAAAAAAATGGATGCTCGGGTATGATACCGGGAGTTCCTCGCCTTGGATTCCCAGGCATCTGTGTCAACGACGGTCCCAACGGTCTTCGTGAAATGGCTGCTGTTAGCGGTTATCCATCCGGCATCACCATCGGCGCTACATGGAACAAAGAGCTCGCTCTTGAGCGTGGCCAATTCATGGGTCTTGAATCAAAAGTCAAGGGTGGTCAGTAGATCCATCTTGAAGCCAATCTTGCAGGTACAGCTAACACAACGACCTAGTCAACAGTTTGCTCGGACCGACAGTAGGCCCCCTTGGCCGCACAGTCATGGCTGGCAGAAATTGGGTACGTCGATTTTGCCATGGACTGCAAACTCTGCTAACAGACCGTCAGGAAGCCTTCTCTGTCGATCCTTACCTTTGCGGCGTCATGGGTTCTCAAACCGTTTTGGGGATGCAGGAGCATGTCATCGCTACGGCCAAGCATTTCATCGTTAATGAGCAGGAGACCAACCGCCAGCCAAGCTCTTTCGGGATGGGGAACGCCTCGGTATCGGCTACTGTGGATGACAAGACAATGCACGAGCTGTACCTATGGCCGTTCCAAGATCTAGTCAAAGCTGGCGTGGGATCTGCGCTGTGCTCCTACAACCGCATCAATGGCTCTCACGGCTGCCAGAATAGTTATACCCAGAACTATTTGCTGAAGAAGGAGCTCGCATTTCAAGGATACATCATCGGTGACTATGGCGCGTTACACACGGGCGTTGCCGCTGCCAACGCGGGTATGGATGTCATCACCCCATTTGAAGAAGTCTGGGGCGGAAATCTCACAAAGGCTGTCTCAAACGGCACGATGGAGGTCAGTAGGGTGGATGACATGGTCAAACGGTAAGGCATCCTGTCCAATTTAGGTACCGTTGCTAACCTGTGCACTTAGCATCGTCGCTCCTTGGATAAAATTTGCGAAATTCGAGCCAGGTTCCGGTCTTCCGGTAGATGTCACGAAGAAGCATGAAGTCGTGAATGCAATCAATCCTCTGTCTCGAAAGAACATCCTTCAAGGTGCCACAGAGGGCATTGTTTTGGTCAAGAACCACAACAACACGCTACCTTTGAAGAAGCCGAAACTGCTTACTCTATACGGATATGACGCCCACATTCCCCTGAAAAATATGCCTGAGGGTCCAAACACCAAGTATAGTCTGGGTTATCAGAGCGTCAATGTCACAGATGAAGAAATGCAAGGTCTATTCATTGGTATCGGAGACGTGCCCGGCGGCGCACGATCTGGCACACTTGTCAGCGGAGGCGGCAGTGCCTCTGCCGTGTCCGCCTTCATCACTTCACCCTTCGCTGCTTTCTCGGAACGGGCACGTCATGACGACACTTTCCTGCTATGGGACTTCGAATCTCAGAATCCTGCCTATGCCAACGCTGCTTCTGACGCTTGCATCGTTTTTATCAACGAGTTTGCCACTGAGGGTCAGGACAGATCTACGCTTGCTGATCCCTGGTCGGATGATTTGGTCCTGAATGTCGCATCCAAATGCCCTAACGTAAGTTGGGAGACTTGAGTCTTTTTTTTTTTTTTTCAGGTTGCCGAATGAAGCTAACCGATCACCTAGACCATCGTATCCATCCACAATGCAGGCACTCGTCTGGTAGACCGATGGTTCGAACACCCAAACATCACGGCGGTCCTTTACGCCCACCTCCCCGGCCAAGAGTCTGGCAGCGCCCTCGTCTCTGTCATGTACGGTGACGAAGCTCCTTCTGGCCGCCTCCCTTATACCGTTGCTAAAAACGAATCTGACTACGGCGGCCTCCTCTCTCCTGTCACCGCCGACAACTCCACCAACTATTACACCAACGCCAATCTAACTGAAGGCGTCTATATCGATTACCGCCATTTTGATGCTTACAACATCACTCCCCGCTTTGAATTTGGCTTTGGACTTTCATACACTACCTTCCAATATGACAACCTTGAGGTTGCTGTCACCGACCTTGGCACAAACGCGTCCGCTCTTCCTCCTGTTGCGCCCGTAAGCCAAGGAGGTGTCAAGTCTCTCTGGGACGTGCTAGTCACTGTCAAAGCCACAATCAGCAACACGGGGCCCGTCTCTGCGCCTGAGGTTGCTCAGCTGTATCTTGGTATTCCAGGTGCTCCTGCGAAGCAGTTACGTGGATTTGAGAAGGTTCCATTGGAAGCGGGTAATAGCACAACAGTCAGCTTCGACCTTACAAGAAGAGACTTGAGCACATGGGATACTGTGCAGCAGAGCTGGGTACTGCAAAAGGGGGAAGTGTATAAGATATATGTTGGGGCAAGTAGTCGGGATATCAGATTGAGTGGGAGCTTGAACTTTTGAGCGCGAGGAAGGGGAAGTAATAGTACAGGAGAGAACATTCAGTGTAAGATACGAAATAGCCTTCGATTAAGATGGAACCATAATCATATAGTTGTAATGGATGCAAGTCTTTGTTCATAAGATGAACAGGGAGCTATTATGAATTCCCTTGTTTCCCCTCTCATCTCTGGCTTACGGTCTGCTCTCTATGGATAAGGTGAGGGCTTAATGGGTACTACTATCTGCAACGGAGAAGTTCCTCTCGCAAAAAATCTATGTAATTTATATATCACTATTCAAAACGGTTTCTCTCAAAGGCATGTTCCGCAATCTAAGTTATCTTTGCTAGTATTGTGAAGGATGATCTGTCGGCATTAGCAAACATTTTAGACTATCCTGAGCGCACGAAGGCAGGGAAAACCAATCATACGGCGGCGACAGTCGTGCAGGCTGATAAGACTGACGATCCAGTCCCTTACAGACTAGATGATCCAGATAATAATGAGTCGATCCTAATGTCTGTGACTGACGTTCGACATAGTACAGGATGGGACTACTGTATTTCAAGCGCTTTCAGCGAAGTTCGGAATGAATATGCTATAGTGAGACTTCTTTCAATGATGTAGATTGATGCTTTTTCTGGGTTGGAGTTTAGGTGATCCTACATACAGCGATAGAGTTACGACGACAAACAGACTGAAAACGAGCGAAGTGAGTGATCTCAACTGGCACTAGACGCTCCGAGTTGGAAATGAACAATCACATGGCTCTTGCAATTTCCACCTATACTATCTATCTAAAGGTTCCACTCCATCTATAGCCTATCTATCGTCTGTAACTCCAGGGGACGCGTGGGAACAAAAACCTCCTTCCACATAGTCGCAAAATGACCGACAATATTATTGTGTGGCCGTTCTATAGAGCTGCTATAGAAAATTCAATCATCAAGCGAAGGGCATTTCGCAAGTTTTCTCTGCGGTCCAGAACTCAGACTTGTGATGAATTGAGCAGAAACGGCAATACATCGGGTTCAAGCCTCCTGTATAGTGATTGTTAGTCGCGATACATTCTTTTTGATGTGAAATTTCTTACCACCACAGCTATAGCCATCACAATCGATGTCCGCCATAGAAACGTCCATGTTTCCGTCTGCAAACTCCCCTTCCGGAAAATAACGATCTCTTGGCAAGCCCTGAATGTCGTAACTCCACGGTCCCGTCACAGGCCCATCTGGCAAGAAAAAGCTCCATCCTGGAATGCAGTCAAAGTGGAAGTCACAACTTTTTCCCACGCCACATTGGCGCTTCTGCTTAGCACAGACAACCTTGTCGTCGAACTTGACCTCGAGAGTCTTGTCGCCAGTGAGTGCGGTCCAGGATTGTCCATCAATACTGAATGTATGATATGTGTATCTCGTGCACATGAACTCGCAGTTTGGAATGCAGCTGGAGAGGTCGGGTGTATCTGCAGGTGCAGGAAATGGCGTGGCAGAGCAAGTGAGCGACAGGATGACTATAGCGAGAATGGAGGCACGTAGGCTAGACATGATATCTGACGTGCAATGATGTCGTTGAAGAGGTATGTTGGTTGATGATGATATGAAAATGTGAGGTAGGTGGTCTCATCATTTTAGAGAGTTGCAGCGGACTTATATAGCCTACGACATCAATGTTGCTACTTTGTTGATATCCACCCCGTGCACCACATAAAGCATGTACGGGAGGGAAATCCGCAAAGGCTCAAGCAATACGTTGCGTATGGGAACTGGGATGGAAATGCTTGCGAAAGTGGCCCCAGAATGATGTGAATAACTTTGCAGCGGACCCTGCGCATCATCACCCGTGGAGGGTGGGGGCTAAGTTTCCAATCACGCACACCTTAACATCATTGGAACAGGAAAGAAAGTCCCTCCGGCTTACTGTTTTTCAGCAATGGCTGTGACTTTGACTCTCGCAAGCATGACCAATTCTGGAAGCAAGCAGTTGAGGGAGTTCAGATTACCGCAAATTATGAATAGATTTATTGCCTCTAGATTCAGATGAAATACGATAGATACCGAGAGAGGAAAGGGTTAAGTATCAGAGATAACAGTATCATGCCAAGGGATTTGTTGAAATACACAGGCACCTTTGGAGTGTTAAAACTTATAGAAGGGAAGGTGCAAGTACAGTGCGAGGATAATGGAATGAGAAACCAAGAAGTTGCTGCAGCGCCGGGCGGGAAGTGAAAAGCTCCTCCTTCTCACAAGCTGATTGACTGCATATCTTTATAGACTCGTCTATATTACTCAACGCAGATCGTCGGTGTTCTGAGCATGTAAGTCAGGGAACATCTCGACCCATACCCCGTTCATATTAGACAGAGACATCTCGATATGCGCCGCAAAGTCGGCGTCATCGCGACTTTCCACGCGCGAGTACATCTGTACCAATCTCACCAACGGGTAAGTTATTGAACTAAAAACCAGCTGCCGACCAAGGCATGAGCGGGAGCCCAGCAAGAAAGGACTGTAGCCTGGGGTGTCAATCCTGAGGTCATTCCATCGCTCAGGTCTGAACTCCGACGCGTCCTGCCCGAAGTGGCTGGGGCTGTGGTGAGAACCAAAGATAGACAAGACCACTCTTTGGCCTTTAGGAATCAGTAAAGGATCGTCTCCGTCTTTCCCGCCACCCTTAGGGAGCCAGGTATTCTTGTTTGCTATTCTCATCGAGAGAGGAATCGGTGGCAAGAGTCGCAAAGCTGCAACGTATTAGCTTCTGAAAGGTATCAGGATGATGATATGCTTACTTTCGTGTATAACACATTTCAAATAGGTAAATTTACCCAAGTCTTCATATGTTGGCTTTTCGTAGCCAATTTGGTCCAGGATGGTTTGTCGCAGCTTGGTATATACCGCGGGATGACGTGATAGCAGAAATAGCGAGTGAGAAAGAGGACGCGACAGCTCCTCATTACTCATCATCATAACCGTAGCATCATGGTTCAGTCTCAACGGATCGTCGTAATGAATGACTAACCGGTCTAGAAAGGTCTGTTGCCTTGTGTCTGGGTTCTTCTGATTTGACTCCTGTCTCTGGTTTTCAGATAGCCTTTCTCGGATCAAGCGACGGATGTGACTTGTCACGATGTTACAATCCGCCTTATAACCGAACTCAGGGTTGAGTCGTGATAGAGGTCCAAGAATGCCTCTCATGGCTGTCACAGGATTGGCACGCGCAAGGGCCGCCATGAACTCTCGGTCTTCCGATGACTGATTCTCTGGATCGAGGCAGTGCAGGGATCTGCCTACGGTAAAATTGCTTGTAAGATCCGCGGTCAGACAAAAGAATAATTCCTGCATGTCCACGGCTTCACCCCTTGGAATGCGACGAGCAAGTTTCTCGGAGCTTTCCTCAAAGAAGGGCATGTCAAATAACTGCTCCAAGTGCAAGAACGATTGGCGCCATCTCTTCCGACTCACTTCCCATTTCTCGCCCTCCGTAACAGCAATGGTTCCAGGAGCAAGATGCTGAAGTATATTGTCTCGAATACCTTTGGCAACATGGTAATCAAGCCAACCGGTTGTAAATATATGCTTCATGTTGCTGGCATCGCGTGTGAATGTAACTTTCGTTCCCATGAACTTCATTGTGTACGTGTCTCCATACATAGTCCAGAAGCGGTCCATGTAGTACAGAATGGAGCCATCCTTGACGGCACGCACGATAGCGATGATTTTTCCGATTCCGAACACATCCGAGAGCGAGGCAAACTTCGCCAAATAGTGATTTGTATACTGGGATAGTGCGTCCTCCTTGGTATTGCGAGTTGCCCACGCAATGCCAATGACAAGTGCCCCTACAATCAAAGAAGCTAAAAGCATAATATGATGAAGGGTGGTGTTGGGGCAGTTCCGGAAGGCGAGACAATGAAGCGAGAAGGAGAATTATGTGTGTGCGACAGAGGATCGGTAATGTTTTGTCGGGTTGTTGAGACCTGCCGTCACAGACGATCGGTCTAGTGCTGTTGCTGGGAAACGAGATGGTTTATTTCGTCAGATCATCATGATTCTCTGCTACCTGGCGTATAAAGGCACCTCCGCTTTCTCCGGGCCACCGATTGTCCGATAGAGCTTCGGGAGGGACCACACTATTGGGTGGCGTTGGGGCGATATTGCGATCCCCGACCAGCGGTACAGCACAACATTGAAACTTTCAGATCGGAGACCCCGCTGATGAATCGTGATATGATAGGCTGCACTTACCATCTCAACAGATATATCGCGAGGAAAGGAGCCTTATGTGGCTTCAGATGATGTCAAATCTGGTACCTTTCACCCTGCATCTGACGCATGGCATAGACGGTCAGGTGACACAGACCTCGCGTCGCTTAGTATCTAATAATAAATGGCTACAGACGGTGGCACAGGCTGTATAGTATTGATTTATCGGCGCCTGCTCCGATCACATATCAGTCACACAGAAAGAAAGTTAAATTTCGATCATCTCCCGAGATAATAGATGTGAAAAAAGAAATGCATCGAGGGTACTATCATTCCTGACAGAACACTATAGCATTTTCTCATCCTTGAAGCACAGTAAACTGCTGCAAAATGACTTCCGACACACTCAATCCAGCGCGTGAAGATAGGTCAGTTGACTTGTATACTCGTGCTCGACAGTCAATCAAACTTGCTATCAACCACGCTTGGAACATACGCAAGTCAGACCATCATTGGCACGGCGAGCTCAAAGCAAACACTGCTATCACTTCGCAACAAATCTTTTTCCTCCAGTCGCTCGGCATTCCAATTGAAGATGCAGGCGCATATCGTAAATATTTGTTGTCCCAACAGCAAAGTGATGGCTCATGGACCATTGCACCGGACTATCCTGGCGACGTCAATATGAGCGCGGAGTCATACCTGGCCCTCAAAATCCTGGGGGTCTCTCCGGATGACCCAGCCATGATACTAGGGAAGAGCTTCATCAGGAGATGCGGAGGGATCGCCAAAGTCAGAATCTTCACCCGCATCTACTTCGCGCAATTTGGACTGTTCCCCTGGGGTGCAGTACCACAGCTTCCGGCCGAATTTATATTTCTACCTTCGATTTTGCCGATAAATATCTATCGGCTGTCATCATGGGCGAGATCGACGTTGGTACCACTGTTCATAATCCGCCACCACGAAAAAATATACGCATTGCCCAACGGATTGAGTGCGAACAACACATACCTCGATGAGCTTTGGCTAGACCCATCGAATAAATACGTTCCATACGCCCCTTCTCTTTTGACACCGTGGAGTTCCGATCCGATCTCATTATTTTTCAGCGCGGTAGACACCTGGCTATCCGTCCTCGGAAAATTCCAGCCACTCTGGATGTTTCGCGGTCTCGCGAGGAAGAAATGTATCCGGTGGATTGTAGAACATCAAGAAAAAGAAGGCGACTGGGCCGGCATAATACCACCGATGCACGGAGGGGTGCAAGCATTAGTCCTTGAAGGTTTTAGTGTAAAAGATAAACCAGTAAAGAATGCTATCGATGCCATAGAGCGATTTACATGGCACGATGAACAAGGCAAACGGCTCCAATCTTGTCTTTCTCCGGTCTGGGACACAGTACTGATGGTCAGAGGTCTCTGCGATGCTGGCATTGATCAGGATGACCAGCGCATCCGCGATTCCATCAAGTGGATCAAATCGAAACAAATCCTGGGCCAAGATGGAGACTGGCGCATCTTTAGTGGATCAATAGAGCCTGGCGGATTTAGTTTCGAGTACAACAACACTTGGTACCCAGACGTGGATGATACTGCAGCCGCCATTCTCGCTGTGATTTCGCAAGATCCAGTCGGGGTTGGCTCTTCTACTGTCGCTAAAGCGGCGATGTGGATTTGCGGGATGCAGAACCGTGATGGTGGCTGGGCTGCATTCGACATCAACAACGATAAATTGTGGTTGAACAAGATACCATTCTCTGACATGAATGCGCTATGCGACCCATCTTCTGCGGACGTAACTGGTCGGATCCTCGAGGCATTCGGGCTCATGATCCAACTTTCGGAGAGTGAATATCTTGAGCCCAAGATCCTCGAGACCATCTCACTCGCGTGCAACCGAGGTATCAGATATCTATCCCAGGAGCAAACTCCATCGGGCTCTTGGTACGGTAGGTGGGGCTCAAACTACATCTATGGTACGAGCAACGTCATATGCGGCCTCACGTACTTTAGCACAGAAGATGATCAGATCCAAGAAATGTTGTCCTCTGCCACACATTGGCTTCAAGAGATGCAAAATCCGGATGGTGGCTGGGGGGAGGACCTTCAGTCGTATCAAGACCCTTCACGTGCTGGAAAGGGCCCGTCGACAGCTTCCCAAACCGCATGGGCTCTCATGGCGCTGCTCGCCACAGCGAGTCCGTATCATCGAGCCATAACAGACGGCGTCGCCTATCTTGTTAACACGCAAACTGACATTCAAGGCACCAGCGCTGTGTGGCCCGAGTCGAGATATACTGGAACAGGCTTTCCCAATCATTTCTACATCGGATATAGCCTGTATCGCCATTATTTTCCGCTAATGGCTCTGGGAAGGTATATCAAAGCGATTGAGATGGAGCTCCCGGGCCCGATGATCGATATTCGCACATCGGAACAGGAAAAGGGGGACGATTCACCTGATTCGGCTTATGATAGTAATTTTTAGTAATCTGAATTTTCCCGGTACTTATAGTATTTGAGGCCAGCGGTTCGTGGAATCTTCTGCTCTACGTGACATGCTACATCTCCATGTGTACTTGACTCGACGACCGACCTTTCTAAATTCAATATTGTGAATAACGCGAACCTCTGCAATTGCCATAAAGGGGTTTATCTGGTCTATGGTCACGCTCATTAATGTTTGTTCGCGATGCGATGCACCATATTAGTTCAATGGAAGCAGACACATGAACAATCAGGACGAGCAGGATGACTGGAAGAAATGTAAACAATGGTACCATCTCGCATTCTATCTACAGGACTAGTATCGATAACAGGCAGCCCTGCTAGATGAAGTACGCTGCGATCGCCAACCCTGCCATGAGAGAGCCAGCGCCCTTTGTCGGTCGCGCGGCATTCTCGTTCCCAGCGGGTGTTGATTGGGATGAATCTGTCGGTGTTGATGTTGGTGTGGCGCTGGACCCACTCGGCCCTGCGCCTGTGGTTGCACTCATTTTCTCCATACCTGCGGTAACGATGACCTGGTATGTGCTGAATATGTCCTGAAATGTTGAGAGTGTGGTGCTCGTCCGTCCAATCTCCGAGTCTGAACCAGATTCCGTGCACCATGCAGGCCGTGTGCGCGAGGAGACTGGGCGGATGGTGAATGTTGCTGTCAGGGTTTCTACGCCGCCCGATTGACTCCCTCTTGGTGGGTATGTGTGCGTTCTTGTGTAGTAGTCATAAGACGTTCCGTTCCTTGTTCTCGGTTGCCCGCACTGTATTATAGACCCGTAATTTGCGCCGTACGATATCATGCAGGCAGCATCGACCTGGTCGCTTGCCGTCTTCGTGCAGGCGTATTTCAATACATTGGCATCTCCAGTGGCGTCGCCCCTGCCCCCGAAGTTCCTCTCCGCGCTGACCTCATAATAGTCAGGGGCGACGGTGATTGTTTGTGCAGTGGACATGAGGCCAAGGGCTACCTGATCCGTACCGTTGTCGGGGGTTATGGCCATCGTGGTGTGGCCATTCTTAACGTCGACGATTGATGCTAGCCAGCCTATCTTGTCGGTCCCGTACCCCCACCCAATCATCCACACGGAGGTTGTAACCTGCGCAGAAGCACTGGCGGCAAGAGCAAGAATGGTGAGTTTGGTGGTCAAATACATTGTGGTTAGCTTCCTCCTCCAAAAGCATCAAGAGCACCTCTGGCTGATCTCTTATGTGATTCCAGTATACGAACGTCATAGCAATTCAGCCTGGGCCTAGCAAGGAATTCCATCGTACTTTGCCCAACAAAGCATTTGCCAAGGTTTCCAAGCCGCTTCCAGTGCCGTTGTGGGGGCCGAAATCGACTGCGCCTTGCCACGTGAACATACTTCGCGGGGCGACTGCCATTCACCCCACAAGTCTAGGAACGCGGCATGTCGATCTGGAAAATCTGGGGGCTTGTGGTGTGGCTATGTGCCCATCACAAGTTTTTTTCTCCTGGCTAGCATGTTGACAAAGAAGAGTGTTGCTTCGTAAGAGGTTCGGGGCGTATGATTAAGCCACGCTTCCATTCAGAGTATTGTACATTTGTCTCTCTTCCGTGGCACGCAGTACTGGAAACAATGTAGTATAGGCTTGCTGGGCCACGCTACACGTACTCGATATAGACTATGTTTATAGTAGATTGCCGCGATGACTATTTCTTCGTATGTTGCTGTCCAGTCGGCAGTCTTATTTCAACTATGCGGCTACCCATATTTTCCATTTGCTACGAAAATGAAGAACTCTTGACGTCTATCTATAAACATACATACAAGTCTTGTGGTACTAGTTGTGGAAAATCACTAATATCATGTATCACTGATTGATTAAAGGCTAAAGCCAATGTCCCATCATCACACATGGTAGCTGTGTGAGCGCTCGCTTGCCTTTTCTCGTCTGCAATCAATTCGCTCATGCGAATATACCATCTATAGTCTTAGCATCCGTATTTTGGGGTCCGATAATCATTCCTGTTGGAATAATCTCTAGATCGTCGCGTGCTCGGTCGCCATAGATCCAGACACACCAACCCAACCGTTGCCATTCATTATTATTCTGCTTCGGCACAACTATAGCCGCGATTGTCAAATTCGACGAAGACCGTGTGTGTCCAGGCGCGCGGGCAAGTAGCAATAGCTGTATTTGCTGTTCTAATCCGGACACAGCGGTTTGAAACGCTGCAGTATAATGCAATGCATCTTGGGAAGAGATGGACCATGTCTGTCCTTGAAAGCCTATATCGAACTGTCGGGTAGGGAGGGCACTCATGGCAGGGATGTAAGATTTCCGGCCTGCGGACTCGATGTGACTACAATCGAACGATATACCCAGTAGCTTACTGGACTCCGAAGAACGATCCAACAGAATGTCTAAAACTTTCCCGAAGGGCAAAATCTGCCCTGTAAAAGCGACTCGCGGATTTTCAGCGTTGTGAACCTCCCTCGTAATGACCATCGGGCTATACTCTTGGAAGCAAGTGAAAAGTAAGTCGAGTTCGGGAAAATCGCAGTCTGAATCGAAATACCACGAGTTTGGAGTACGCGTAGGCTTCTTCCGCGTGAAGAGTTGACTGAGCACTGGAAAATGGTATAGAAAGCAGCTGTTGAACAATGCGTAAGGGTCCAGAGAAATTGAGCCTTTTGCAGTTCCTGATGTGCTACAAACACGTGGAAAACCGAGGACATGTCTATGAAAATACTCTAGTCGATCGTTTGCACTTTTGGCGTTTCTGGTTTGCGCGACTTTCCACAGATGCAGCAGGTTATAGGTCGCGAGCGAAGGAAGACCGCTCTCTTGGATCGTTCTACGAATTGCATCGATTGGAGCAGTAACCCGCCGGTATGGCAACGAATTGGCCAAGTCCCGAATAGATTGTGCAGTGCACGCTAAACTATGTAATGATACATAAGCCGTTCGAGATGTGCTGGTTTCGTCACCTTTGATAGGTAGCAGCTCGTGGGAATGGAGAACCCACGATGGTGCAGAGATATCCCTTTCCTTCAAACGGATCTGTGACTCTCTATCGCCAGTGGTGCTACACCCAGCAGGTAAGATAGTTGGGGAACCATCGGCTGACAAAAGTATAGCGTTTGGATTTGCCATGGCTTCTTGTAGTGTCCAGAGGCTCTTGAACCAGGGATCTGCTAGCAACCGTCCCAAGATTGGCGAAATCTGACTTGACGACTGTGGGTGGCAGTGGTTTCCTTCTAAAGCATGGTTTTCATGCCTATATGTATCTACAAAAGCTGCTGTTCTTTCTAATGTAGTGCTCAACATCTCGGAAGTCGTCTCACTAAGCCAAATAAAACTCTGGGAGGCGCCGCGGAAGATATCTCCTTGTTTGGAGATTTCTTCAGCATCAAGATCCGAACCACTTGTCATGTTCACGCATGCTACGTCCAGCCATAGGAACTCGACATTGCTGATAGTGCCTATGGCTCGGATCGTTCTTGCGAAATGCCCAACTGTGAAGTGTTCACGATCGACACTCGGAATCTTCCAGGTAATTCCGGCAATCTTCAAAGTCTCTTCTTGGGGTACTTCAAATCTGCCCCAAGTATAGGAGATAGTTGCATAGCGTGGTTCGCGAATGCCATTGTAGCAGTTTTCCCGATTTTTCTCATAAACTCGCAGCGACGAGATATGTAGAAGACGTCTCGGCCAGTAGAAGGGCAGTTTCGAGGCTAAAGCTCTGGGTTGGCCCGAAAGATCGTTCATTGAAACTTCAGGAAACTGACGATGCTGTCAGGAGTGTACGCAAATGTATGGTATTAGAGGGCATGAATGTTTCGAAGACAGACGCCAAAGACGAGAGACATTATTTCAGGGTAGCTAAACCATGGGGTAAGGTGGATGTGGTTGGCCAAGTCGTATACTGGTTCCGTTGCCTGGAGGATTGAGGATGAGATGGGCCCTTTCTCGCTTGCTTGCTGACAATGGAAAATATATGCGCCAAGGCACCTTTCCTCTTCCGGGCTTGGCTAGCTCTCCATATACAGTAGAGTCTAAAGTGCGACGGTGAGCGGGCATTCACTTTCGAGAGTTTTGTAGAGGTCTGTCGAGTCAGACGAAGAGGGTTGCATATGTTTTGCAGGACTTGCAGTCAATTCATCTTCTCCTTTATGCACCGCGACGTGCTCAAGCCAGTCATCCAGTCCATCTGTGCACGACCGGGATACGAGGCTGAAACAGAGCTCACAAAAAAAGTAAATATTGGGGGCCAAATGGCTCCAGCTCACTCTATATATGCCGAGGCCAGGCGCCGAGTTCTAACAGCCCAGCCTTTTCTATTGAGAACAAAAGATAGTGGTCAACCTCGTTGTGACCCCCTCCTGATTCCCCATGGCCGGCCCTGGAATGAGCACCACCCCGAATGCCTCTGCTTCTGCTGCGCAATCTCTCCCATTGCATCAACTCGGGACGGTTCCGCGCAGAGTATCGGTGGCGCAAGCCTCGAACTCTGTCAGCAAAGCTGCCCCTCAACACCAACAGTCATCGAGACAGCCCTCGCCTGCTCAGAGTTCAAGTACCGGACATCAACAGAAACATGTTGGACCGAACCCGGGACAGAGCTCAGGGCTTAAAGCTCGCACATTCTCCATGGCCTGGAAGTCGCCCGAGATGAAAAGTGTGTATTGAATGTTTCTCGGGCATTAGAGTTGATCTGACTCCGACTTAGACTCGGTCAAGCGGTTTGATGAGAACCAGCATGGTCGCATTCCTGGATCCCATCTTGCCGCTGATGGCGAGTATCGTCGCGCCATTGCAAACCTTGAGGATAGTAACAAGAACCTTGTGCACAAGGACTGGAAAGTTCCAAGGATTTCGAACGATGCTAACAATCCCTACAATGACGTTCTCCCGTGCAGAATCAGGCTTATCACTTTCAATGACGACGGAAAGCCAATGAACAACGCCCAGCCACGTGAGTTCGCTGATTCGACGGACTTCAAGAATTTCATGGAGAACACTCCCCCCAACACACCGACACGCAGACTCTACCTTCTCGAAGGTGTCGGTCCGGAATATGTGGCAACACTTGGCACGCATCTGGATATCGATCCTGCCTTCTTCCTCCGGCATCAACGAACAGCATTATGGGAGGGAAGACACCGAGGCGGCAACACGGCTCAGTTGGCATCTGTAGAAGATCACAACAATAGTTTCATGATAGAGTTTGCCGAGAATCTGTACTTCGTAGAGGCGCCGAGTAGTCGATCGCTGCGAAATCCGAATGATAACAGACACATAAACATGTCCAAAATGCCTGAATTTACGCAAGATCTTGATAGAGTAGGGATCATGCACCGTAAAGCAAGTTTCTGGTCTCGGAAGTGTCCCGGAGGTTGGAACGGTATGTTCATGATTGACGATTATCTTCATCAAATGCTAACTTGATGTAGCTTTGATCTTGATGGACCCTGGCTTGACTCGGAAGACAGTTGGTACAATTGACAAGACTGTCATTCTAGTAGGGCGATCGAGCGGTGCGAAGCCTATAGCGTTGGAGACCGAACTCTTTCAGGGCGGCTACCTTGATTGTGTTCCTTACCAAACCATCGGGCAAGCGAAGAATGCTCAAGCTCCACCAAGAACCTGCATGCTGGACGACCTTTGCCACTACTGGCAAAAGCATGGTGGAATGGTTTCAGGTCTCAGCGATGGCATGAAAACCTCCAGTATATTGGTGACAGTGTGCTTGCAGAAGATCATTGCATCAAATTACATGATTCTCATTGGATATCTAGAGGCCAATGTCAACGAACTGGAAACCGCAATCCTGTTGTACCCAGTCCAAGAAAAGAGGAAACACCAGACAATGCAAGTCACAGAACAATGGGCCATTCTCCAATCCTGGAGTCATCGATTTCCAGAATACAATGGCATGATCGACGACATACTAGACTGGCATTTCAAAGCAGCATCTGGCTGCGATGCTAAAGTCATAGAAGAATGGGAGAAATGCACCAATGATTTCAAGGCTATCAAACGACGCCTAGACATTCTCCGCGATCGCACTCAGCTTCTCAGTGATTCATTTGTTGGACTTGCCAGCATGGCGGGAATTCAAGAGTCTTTGGACGAAGCGAAAGCCGTCAAGCTGCTCACCGTGCTTGGCTTCTTCTTCGTTCCGCTTTCCCTCGTCTCCTCTCTCTTCGCTATGCCGAACAAAGACACGCTTATTAATGTTCCATCGACTGGGGTGTTGAGTGGGTTCAGGTACTATGCCCTGATTGCGTTCACGGTTTCTGGGGGAATGACGTTCTTTGTCGTATGCTATATATGGGGCTTGAATGTTCTACTTCGATCTGTGGCAAATGCCGCGAAGTTGAAGAAATGACCCTTGTAAATTGTAACCTGATATTAGCCACAAGTAGCATTTTCGATCAAAACATAAGAGGATTAGACGTGAGATTACACAAGGAAAACCCGCCCTAGCGGCTGTCGCATGCATGGTACCCCACAGTAGCGATTTGTGGGTTTATAGCAGTCCGACGTTATCACGATACGATTAGTCTTCATATCATTGACCGAACAAAGATTAGTGGTTGTGTGATTTACCTTTCACAAGACACGTCCAAGGAAGTAGAAACGGACGTTCAAACGTTATAGTGCTTGCCACAACCTGGTAATCAACAATCTGTCAAGATCCTGAATTCCGTCTCATTTATCTTAGATGCGCCAAGAGAGCTGTAGGGAGTGTGCTAATTTGCTTTTCAAAATCATGTTTATGTAGCAATTGTAGCTACTGTCAAGCCGTTTCTTTGCCAGAATCAAGTCACGTGATAATATACTACTAATCGATCAACCAGTCGCGTACGTAGCAATTTAATTTCCCAGATAACGGAAATCATGGAGTCCTTCTCTCCCTAGAAAAGGAATGGAAGAGAACATGATTACTCTCATCTTCGCAAGGAAACAAGTCTCGATTTTGGTTGTGAGTAGCCATATTGCTCTTTGCCGTTGTAGTGGGAGGGATGTCAGCGATGCTCAGCTGTCTGCGCTGAGTACCTGGTATTCCCTCTTAATCGGAGGTCAAGCTCAGACACAAGACCAGTTTGAATGATGGCCAAGATGATGATCTAGCTGGGTGCATGAAAATTCCGAATACGAGTCAGATGATCCTAGGCATATCCGGTAACGATAGAATTGTATGATGTCATGGATGTCTTCACACTTGATACATTCGTCCTCCAATATTCATGTCGAGTATTGCGATGTGTGACTTGGGATCAGGTTTCAAGTGGTTTTTAAAGACATGGTTGGGTTTCCTCACGGTCATCGTCATATCACCCTCAAGTCTCCCAAGTCTCCGGAGGGGCTTATCGTGCAATACTGGGACAGCGGGGCCGCGATGCGCTCGGACATTCGGATGATCACAACCGCCTCCCCCCTTGTCTTGCGGACCATGAGCACCAATTGGAATCTGTGCCATGTAGGATCAATCATCAGGCAGCAGTATTCATAGACCCCGCAGTTGCTCACACTTCTTCTCACCGACTCTCCTCAGCCCAGCTTTGGCGCCCAGCAAGCATCCAACTTCTTCTCTCCTCCGCGTCTGTGATTCCACTTCACAACAACATGCCGTTATCCATTGTTGAATGCCTCCCTGCGGAGCTGATCCAGCCCATATTTCGCCAGTCTGGCTACAATGTCTCACTACCCCTCGCTTCGCCCCACATCGCCGCCAAGTTGTCCGGCGAACGCATCTACAACGAAGTCTGCGACCACCACTTGACCACCCAAGATCCGCTCGAGCGCGTCCAACGGAAGATCAACCAGACCCGTATATTTGCAGCGAAATGGATGACCTGGGATTATTTCAAGTCGTGGGTCCTTCGCCAGTATGAGCCCAAGCGCTGCCTGTGCGGCAGGACCGAGGACGACGGGTGTTGGGATAGGCAATGGCCCATCAATTGGCAGGACGTCTCGCAAATGCCTTTCAGCCGCGCTCATTTGCCTGAGCTCGCTTGGGTCAACGGTCGTTTACCTCGCAAGCTCTTCGTGGGCAAATGGACCCAAGAAAAAATCGAGTTCCTGCGATTCTTGCTGTGGATCACCAGCATGACCGTCGACTGGCGCGATGATGAAATGCGCAATATAGTCGTCCAGAGCAGAAAGAACGCAATCCTGCAGGGCAGTCTGGATGCCGTGGAGCTCTTCAACCACAACCGACGCCTAGGCAAAACCCCAGACCTGGCGTGGGTCCTCTTCACTGTCATCGAAGGCGGTTGCAATCGTTCTATTGTATACGATACTATGGCCACAGCCTATACATTGGGCGGACGCGAAGATTGGGCTAGTGATGAGTTGGACAAGTGGTGCGCGTCTCGCGTCGAAGCGGGTGACCCGAAAGGCGCTTGGCTACAACAGAAACTTGAAGGGCTTCGCGCAAAGCCTAGCAAAGAACTGCCCTCGCAAGCATCGCAAGCATCGCAAGATCCGCAAGGTTCAAAAGCGCCACAAGAGCTACAGGAGGGCGGATCCAAGCCACCGACCGAGACCCGACACATAGACCCAAAGGAGGGGTCTTACGAGGCGGAGGGCGACAACCTGGTCGTCAACAACCTCAAATGGAATGAGGTACGTACAGAAATCTTTTCACTCGCCCTCTCTCTTGTTACAAACCACGTTTTATGTACTTTTTGTATTTCTTCAACCTTCGCCGGATCCCGGGACCACCGCAACCATTCCAGGAACCTGGCACTCGGAAAACCATCAATTCCACTGGGACGACCGATCTGGAATTACATGGATAATCCCTTGACCTACAAGCCTATACGCAGTGGGCTGGTCAAGTGTGACTCGATTTGACGTGAGTCGGGGCCATAGCCGATGCCCTGCGTTATGCAATGTGTGACCAAACAGATCGTGAGCGTTCAGGATGCCGAAATCATCACACTTACGCGTGGGGGTAAGTATTAGATAATGGTGAGTTCAGATGGGAACTGGGTAAATCTGGGGGTGACCTCTTTTGCTATCATGATATTGATGAATTCGCTACTGACCTTCAACGTGCAGTGTCACGTCGCCGATCCCCCTTCGCCCTCTCGGCGTCGGGGCGGCACACTTGCCGCGGACGAGCCCTCAAGGATAGCATTCAGCTTTGCCTGTTACAGACGCTTCTACCCAATCCAAAGTCTAACAAATGTCAATAGACGCTGACATTGCTGGGCTGGTTCATCCAAAGCCCCGACGATATTGCGGAGTTCATACACGATCTAAGACTTTTCAACATCACTTCGCTCATTGTTGAAGTACCCAGTGTAATTTATAAGATGTGGTATGAAGAGGGAATTATTCTCCACGTCATGACGTACATTCATGTCCCGTGGCCTGAATGATGTGGTGGTGGGCCTGTCCTGTTTACGCTACTGATCTTGTCACGCTCAGGCGGAATTTTAAGGACAAGGGCATCGGGTTTGCAATACGAATAGGTACCCTGCGCCAGCAAAATACGTCGCCGGGGGCAAATGCGCCCAGACAGATATTCGGAGCATTCGTTTTACCATCTCATCTTGCTCTGACCTCCGTATAAATGCCCCTCAACCGCATATGGATAAATGTTGGCTGAATATGCACGGTAATCAGCATCTGCCTGCGCGTGGCTGAACCCTCCCGCGAAGAAAAAAAGCCCCTACAATGTCACTGTGGATATTCAATCATGGTACGACCTACGTTATCCCAACTCTTCGTTCCGTGTGCATGCACAGAGAATACATGGATTCAACTCAAGCTGTTGAAGGCGTCAGAAATAAGAAATGAACTGGCCGTCAATCCACAATCTTGACTTTTCATGATCAGTAACATCATGATTACGACCGGTACATATACCCCGACAATCCAACAACTGCACCACTTTCTCGTACACACCTCTAAGCCTTTGGGCAATTATCTCTGCTTGTTTTTTTCTGTCGCGCAGCGTTGTGCCAGATCTCAATCATCTCCGCGACCTCGCACAATCAATAAAATCACCTATCAACACGCGTCTGCTAACAGTCGCTGCCAGGTTATTTTGTTGACAGGCTGGGTGGTGCGACACAGCTCGATCTTGCCTACAGCAACACATGATCGGATAATATTGGATGTGCACAACCACCGCGAAGTGACGAGGCGGCGAAACGACGACTGGTTCGTTGGTGGTGTCCGACAATACACGATTCACTTATATGAGCACAAATTCCCATCGAAAGGCTGATACGACAACCACGTTGCGGTTCCATCCCGGAGAGGTCCTTTCTTTTCAGATCACAAGCTAATAAAAGGCTGGTAGACTAAGGCGTTCGTCGGCTGGAATGTCCGAGTCTCTGGAACGATAGACGGAACACCACTATACCTTCTTCGCGGTATACACCAACGATTTGGGCTTCGAATAGCCAGAACTTGGAATGGCTCCAACGTGGGGGAGGCTCATGCACGGTCCTTGTTCCAATACCCATGGCCTGAAGCCAAAGAGACTGGACTAATATCGGGACCTCCGGGTTCTACTAGTTGATAACTAGTCGGTAACCAGTCGGTAAGACGGGGCTATCTGGAAGTCTTACTGTTCGAGTCGCATCAAGCTCACTAGTCCTACTACTTCAATGATTTCAACTAGCGCATTTCACACAGGTTGTGGGTTTAGATGGATGGTCTACCTTGGGTCTCTTCTGCGCTTTAAGTGCGTACCTGGGTATATTATTGATTTTCGGCTTGAACTGATGCTTTTGGCGACTTTCGGTGGCTCGGGATGCCACTTGATACTGCAATCTAGGTTGTAAAACAGGTATCATAAGGTGTCTGTCAATACCACCTGTCTTTATCGGTTACGGCCTGCGGATTAATTTGACGAAGAGAGCTAGCTAATCGGGTTGTATGGATTTGAGGCTCTGGGCTTGGAGTTTTCCAGAACAATCCACCCCGTTCAGTCAATTGGTACTTTCCTCCCTCAACTATGTAGCCACATTGTATTGGAAAGGCTGACTTGATATATAGAGTATTATAAGCGTTCTAAAGACATATGCAGAAAGATGCCATTCTTTTCGGCGATGCGCATCGCGCAAAGCGTTTCATCTCGACACACCATTCAAGCTTTCGAGTGTAGCTACCACGATCACGAGAAAAAAGATTCGATTGTCTTCTCTGTGTTCAAGAAAGGTCGCGGCAGAGATCAACTTTTATCTCCTTCTCGGAACCGTTGCAACGGCCCAACACATTTCACTAAGCATCTCCGATGACAAGATGTTGAAAAGACTGGCTCGGGGGCCCAATTCTCCAGACGTAACGGCGCGTTTGGACAGCGATTGCGATACCTTTCGTCAATTATGCTATCCTCTAGGAGGGTGCCAGTGGCTGCATTGGAGGCAGATCTAGTTCTACGAGAACTCTCGATATGTTACTCTCCGGTTGTCTTCTCGTGACACACGCCGACATCTCTCATAGAAAGAGTGCTGTGTACAGGTTCTCTTGGGCTCTTCTCGAAGATTGAGGAATTCTGTACGCGTTTACAGTATTTCCAAGACGCGCGACTGGCCCCCTAGCCTCCATAAGCGAAATAGGTCAGGGAGAATCCCGGTCTTCACCTTTTACAACAATATTCAGCCCATTAGCCTGGAAATGCCATCTGAGCGGCCTGTCTCTCTCGAAATCCTTTGTTTTCTTCAATCCACATCTGGAGAGTTTCTTCTGACTTCCTCGTAGGCTCAAAATCTCTTGGGCTGGATCGTCAAACCTCCTGTGGTTCCTCACGTAGCGATCCATAATCTCACCTTATTCCATTCTTTCCCAGGTATACAACTCCAAAACCACGGTATAGTTCGAAAAGTCTACTTCTTTCTACCTCGAGACTATCCGGCGCCCCTCTGCAGGCGTATGCGCGCCTACCGATGTCTCCTCCAAATTCCTCGCCCTGCCACAGTTGTGTCTTGCAATGGTTCTGCTCGCAAGAGGCGAAGAAACTTTTAGCAGTGTATTGAGGCTTGACAGTGCGTTCACCTCGCGACAACACTACATTCCGGAAACTCATGCCTCTTCTACCGATATCCCTTTACGGCCCTAGGAGATGGTTTACCAGAACGTGCATCCCGTTCCATTGAGGTCCTGGGTTCAGCAGAACTACTACCTCTCAGTTTCTTTGCTCCAGAGCACCACTACTGCCGATTTGATGGGTGGAAGGCCGATATGGGATTGAAGGAAGTCCTCAGGTGCTGTAGTGGGCTGCTGGATCCGACTACGAAGGTTCCGGCGCAACCATACTAAGTCCGGCACGGCTTCAGGTTGCTGGTGAAGCCCTGTCTATTCCCGAAACGAGCATTTGTCATTTCCTCCGCTCTGTACAAACCATTTCGTTGGGATATCAGCTGACAGAATTGACGGATAGGCGGTGACATTTGTGGGATGGGCTATCAGGGCTGGTCCCAGCTCCTGGAGTACTAGATACACACTTATACTATATGCTGGCGGCTTCACACCCGGCATACGTGGAGATTGGCATATCTTTTCTCACGACGACTTCCCTGTTCGCGAAAGGAAGCTCGGCACAAGCGAGGGTTATCGCAACACGTGGCAGTATCTCTTCCGAACCTAGCGCTGTCTTTCCAAACCGACACGCGTAAAAGTACTACCGATCTACTCCAGTCTGGCTTATTAAATGTTCGAATCCTCGCGCGGTCCGTTGGTTGTTTCTTCGCCTATAGTCATGCACGGTCGAGCTTTTCTGTTGAGCATGAAATCATTCCAAAGACTGTTTTTGTTAGTCAAAATCTCAACCTTCTACCTGCGATACACCGCAAGATCTGAGTGTACGGACGATGCTAATGCGCGACAGAGACTATCCTTCAGACGCTGGTATCATGCAAACGGATTTATTGGAGCTGTTTCGCTCATGGTACGATAATTTGAGAGTCAGAAATTCAGAATCCGTCTCGCCAGGACTGTGATACAAAACAAAGTAGCTTTTATATATGTACTGAGTTTCCCCCGAACCGGAAGAGAGAACCTCTAATGGTCAATAAGGCTTCTACTGTCTCGCTTTCTGTGGCATCTCTTGCTCAATGGAAATGTGCTAATAGAAAACTTGATTCTAGCTACTTACGTTCTTGGGCTGGGCCATCAACTATGTCTCACACAACCGATTCTTAACCATACATGAGGGAACGATAGTGCATTCGGAACTTAGGCAGAATCTTGGTGATAACCAGCGTGTACTCATCATGCTCATGCGGCGCCAAGCGGTTTTCCATAAACCCTCATCAACACGGGTCCGTCTAAGGAGGACGAACATGTTTTACCGGGACATACCGATGATATTCTATATACCATAGAGTTTGCTGTCGTCTAGTATCGATACACCAGCGTCAAAAATTCAGTATATAAGATTTCCCGATCTGCCCGACCTTTTCAGCCACTCCAGCCTGGAGCTCAGTCATCCGTGAATACATCAGCCCATGGAAGGATTTGCACTGGTACAATCGAAGCCCGTCTGAGACAGTCTCTTCTCTAAGTTTAATGTCATGAAATGACACTATCTCGGAATTCTCCTTTATCGCGAGGCTTATCTGCTGCCCCTTCGTCTAACATCGCGTCTTTCTTTTCTTCCTTGTCTCTTCCGCGGAAGAACGCGCTTGTTGGAAACGAAATCTATCAAACGGTGTGAACTACAGAGCACCATCATCTACGCTAACATCAATTGTCACAGAAAAAGACAATTATTGGCTGGTTCAGCTCAAGGCCAGTAACCACTTCATTGACTATGCACGGGCTACCTTTCAGATACATCACTAACCGCCGGGAAATCAGGATGCTGCGTAGGCTAGCGGCTGGGTGTACAATAACTATGGGTGGGTATAGGTATTAAGATTCAGTTATACGGTGACAAATGTATACCCTTACCCATTTGCTAGTCTAATTGTGCGGACTTTTGAGCGGAAGACGAACCTCAGCCGCCTGTGGCGCAGGATTCCTTTGGATTGTTTCAGCATGATACAATACCTCCGGTCACATTCTCCAATCGACACTCACTTGTCTAATCCCTGCTGCTGACAATCTGTTCCAATCTGCATCGCTACTCTTTCATACCTACCTCGCTTTTCCCAGGCTCATACTCGCAACTACCCGGTCTCTTTCTTCTTTTCATCAGGTCTCTAGTGAAATCCAAAAGCTGAAATTTATTTTTTCCAGGTTAATCTCTGGCTCGGCTGGACAGATCCTAGGATGCAAAGGACAATACACGGCCAACATCCACTGGCTCTGAGATTGTCAATCGTAAGACGGATGAACATGCACCAACAAATAGGCAGAGCACTCGCATTTCCGGCCATATATTATCCGAAGTTATTTCTTTTTCGCCATGAGAAGTCTCGCTAATGTTGTTAGCCAAAACCACTCATAGGGTGGATTGGAAGACTGATTAGTTCTGTAAGAACGATACATGGGCTTAAGCCCAATGATTTTAACCTATCTCCTGGGCAGAGACGTTCGATCATGATAAAGCATATCTGGACGCCCGAGGACTGGTCAATTGATGGTTCTGTGATACATATATGGCAATATCGCGGGGGGTATCCTTCGCCATGGTCATGGTAAACCGGTGAGTTGGCTTCAGACTTAACATCCGTATGAGAACGGCGCTATTCACCATCAGAGGGGTGGAAACCTACTGGCCAAATAACGACAAATTGTAATTATGGTCAACCTGCTGGGAAACTTGGCTAGGCGTATGCAAATATCAGACCCTGCTTTACTTCTTGCTGAATCCTGCTATCTGCTTTCCGGACCCCCGATCCTCTTGATCGCTGACCAAGCCCGACCCTTACCAGCTATCCGCTTTTGTCTCACGATCTTACTGGAATGACATGGCTCTCTTTTTGGCCGGAAATGGGCGTCCCACATTACGTATAGAAATTCACAACAACTGTATCTGCTCCTCATTAAGTCAATAACCATAAAGTCTGGCATAGCATCCGTGCTTTTACCCGGCCCGGAATGTTATCCTTCAAGCAGATTCTCTTATAGCGTACCCCGGTATACTCAAGGTATACAGGGCGGTACATCAGATCCCTCTCATATACTACTCATCTGGCCATCTGTGTCTCTCTCCAACGGCCGCCCGCAAACCTGGTCTCGTCTATTTACAACTGCTTGTTTCTCGATGCATTCCCAAAAGAACTATATGCTAACACGGCTTTGGGCAGTGGATCATGCTGCTAGGCTGGGCGGTTGATATACCCGATGGTCCGACAACGTGGAGGACGATTCACGACATCTCGATAAGCGAGGTACTGATTCCTCGCTATCGGGGCAAAATCATTTTGAGCATCAATATCCCAGCAAGGTTCCATCCGCCGACTCGGGCATTCTGCCTACTGGAATACCGACAATATCATCAAGAGGGCATCAACAAGATACAATACTTTATGCATATTCGTACGGGATTGCTATATCAGTCCTACGTAGCCTAGTAGGGGGACGATTTTGTTTCGAGATTTATAATATGGCATTTCCTTGATGTACACTCTTATTCCCCCAGCACATACCACGAGTCGTACCTTCGGCGACGGTCGATAGGTAAGCGCTGCTACTGATATTATAGTGTTTTCTGTTTATCTCTTGTGTATTCTGGTTCCGCTGCTGGTGCACTATGCGAACGACAACGATTGGTCCGGCTAAATTCCCTTTTACGCTTGGCGATACCTCGGCAGATTGTGCGGAAAGCGGGGCTGACACGATCCTGCTAGGCAACCACTTTTGTGGGTTGGGTGAGCAGAGAGACGGTGACACTTCCACGATTTGCCTACTCGATCCATTCACTTACCTTGCCCTCTCGTCGAGTGTTGCAACTACCGCGAAGAAGGCGCCCTAACTGGCGGCTCGGGCTCTCTGTTTGTGTTCTATTCCGACATCAAGGCACTTGTGTACGCACCCGGCCATCAACCTTGTCAGACGAAGAAAGGATGACTTGAGAGCGGACCGGATGGATGGTTGGCCGCTCTTAGACCGGGAATCGAACTTCTGTTTACATACAGGAGCAAAATTCAGATGCTGATCAAACTTTTCCAGGCGAACACGTTTATAGGTTGGGTGAGGAGAAGGCATCACGAAGGACACGGCCTCGCGATCCACTCACTCCTCCTGCAAGAAATTGGCGATGTTCATCTTCTTCGAGGGTATGCAGTCCGAAGGACTGGTATTGGACATTTATTCAATGACACCCAGTGGCCTCCACAACCCACATTGCGGCTGTATCGATTTCGAGGCGTATGGCAACATGCCCAGCTCTCGTGGTGGCGGTCGTCTACCCAATTGTGAATGAGGGCCCTCGGTACTACAAGAATAATACAAGGGATGCATTTTGAGAGGGAAGGCCGGATAGACTTTGCCAGAGAGAATACCTGCCTCGCGGCGGAGGATCCGACCCCCGTTAGGAAATATCAAGGTTTGACTTTCGGAAGGCCTTCTCCAAATCGGGACACGAATATCCACTTGGGACCTGGCTACTGCGGTCGATAATTTCCTAATGGAATGGTCTTTATCCTGCAAGGCGTCTCCTCTTCACACTAAAGCTGCATTGCGGCCGCCCTCTTGCAACAGCATCATAATAGGTATCGGGACAAAGCGATCTCTCCTACGCCTACAGGAATGGACGGCATCTCTTTCCACTTATTCGATATCCGAATTTCCTCCCTAGTAAAAATCATTATCACATGCTGATTTTCTCTTGAAAGGTCAATCTCCTCGTCGGGTGGGTGTTTCGGTCCGATGGTATTTACGTTCTTGAAACAACCCACATTCAATGGGTCGACCATAGGCCCGATCGACATCTCATGAGGACTGTTCGCTCTTCTCACTTCGAGTTGGATCGGCCAATTTTTCAGCGATATTGGGAGATATATCTGTTTCACGTTCCAGTTTCTGCTTCTGCCCCTACTACCATCGATACTCCAGTCACTCCCTTCCCCTAGCCCCAGCTCTAGTAAAGGTTCTCGAAGTTTCCTTTCTATTCTCACAATAAAATACTAAAGAGAACATCTTAAGCTGATCAGTACGTGCCTCGATCCTCGTGGATGTCACGGAATCCTGGGTCTTCGCAGTGAATTCCAACCTGAACATAAAGACAGTCATGGACCGGTCACACTCTGGATTACTTTCCCCCTTCCATCACTAGATGAATACACCCCAAAGAAACCCATGGTCGAAGGCTGGAAACAATGCTTCTGTGCTCCATGGACCCCTCCTTCACTGCCCAATCCTTTGCCCACTGTAGCCGTCATAAGAACCTAGGACTATCTGGAGGCTTTAGAGGATAATACGTGGGGTGCTCGGATGAACACACAGATTCGAATACGTGTGCCCATCTTGGCCTGCTGTACCAGCTGTCCACGAGACGTGTACGATGAGAACATCCCCGATTTGATCCGCAAATACCAGGCCTCAATGAACGACCCTCTGCGATCTCCTTCAAATTATTTCGTATCAATGTGTTCAGCGTGAGATGTTGCTAACAGCTGATTCTAAGATCAAAATAATTATTGGCTGGGCAACAGCGCTTCCGGGTTTTAACCGCTACCGCGCGATCCACAATGTCATAATATACCTGGCGGACATCGACGTGGAAAGGTTCAGGCATACCTCGCGCACAATGATGCTACCAGGACCGAATGGAGGACGGTTTCCATGGTTCGACAACTTGTTTCAATGCTCTTCACTTCCGCGCTCCCTACACTGAGGTGTAGGCAACCCTGCCACCTCCAACTACCTCATCTCTCTGGACCCACTCGTACAAGGCAACGGACTGCATTGGTGCTTTCGCCCCCATCCACTCATATCGTCCATCGCATTGCTTGATCTTCGCCCATCATTTTCTCCGAATTGAGGTAACCAATAAATTAATAGGGCACAACATACATTGGCTGGTCGTATGACGACTACCCAGAAGACTTCACCACAATACACGGTTTGATAGTCGCTTTCGAGGGGGACATAGAACTCAATAGTCTCCGACCGGCCAGAGATATCAGGTTCAAGATTACAGGCAGACAGAATACAAGATGGCTCACCATCAGTTTGTATCGAGCACCGCCTTTCTCAACGGAGTGGGACTGGAATGATTATTTTTAGACATATTCAGGCCCAGCCCCGGAGCAATTTAAGCCGCTTTTGTCCAACTCAGAGCCATACCGGAAGCAATCTGGCCTTTGCAGCTTCCAACAGTTGTTCATTGTCCGATACTCGCTTTTCTCCGACTTTTACTCGTGCGTCCTTTGCGCTATACTAGTTTGATTGGGAACAGATAGTAAATATGCTTGGCTGGATGTATGACTCCCGCTTGTACTCATCTTCGCCTGAGTATTCCGATTATCATGGAATGCTTCCGTCGTGGGTATCAGTTCGGCAACGAGAAGACTTGTGCTTCTTGATCGATCTCTCAAACACTCGGACTGTTGGTGAATTTCCTTCTCTTGTCCCCAAAACAAACGAATTTTATAGTCCAATCATTTTCATCCCTTCTCATAAGCTTACTTGGCTCTTTTTCATATCCACTTCGCATACAATCCCACTCTCACGATCGTACTAACAAGGCACAACTTTTAGCAAAAAACATATGTTGGCTGGTTCATCCGCGGCATCAATGGACGCTACCAAACCATTCGCGCTACAAACCTGTTTTTTCCTAGGTACATGCTGTCTATCTATCGCCGTACTTGGATCAATTCACTTTCTCTCTCACCGGAAGAAGGGGGTCGGATGTGTGCTTTCATATTCGAACTGGGGCCGCCTTCACGTGTTGGCTTCTTGAACCCCTTGCATAATGGGATGCTCAGTTCACCTGGTCCTTTTTGATGACCGGAATAAAGCATGGCTCTCGATGGCTACAGATGTGCATCCTTTACATCTCGACTTCCGCTTTCTGTTCAATTCGGTCCTCAGAGGTACTTACGATTTAAAGGAGTCTCTACGATCCCATAAAATCACCTCAGGGTTTCTACTGGAACCCCTGCGCCTATAACTACACTGTTTCCCTGGTGTTCGACCACGAAGGCTCTTCCCTTTTGCAATTTCCTCCCTGCTTTTTTCTCTTACAAGCTAAAAGTTCTTTTCCTCGATTGAAAGTATTATACAAACTAAAGGACCTACTTGATAGACTAAAGCTCTGATGGGGTGGGCACTGTCGCATCCCAGCGCTGTCAATGCTCACCATGGTATACAATACATATATGGAACGCATCCTGCTTTCTCGCGCCAAACATCAACGCCATGCAACATGCGCGTTCTAAGACAGATGAATCTTCTCCCTCTTTTTCCTACTTATCCTATTCCTTCAAGGATACCTCATATTTTAGCTTCACTTCACGAACTATCCTCACCAGAATACGAAGAATACGATCATCCAGTCTCTTATCGGATCAGATTACACACAGCACCTATTTTACTACGGGATTTTCGGAGAATGAACTCCTGGGTGGGCGATATTAGGTGGCGGCATGATGATTCACAACTTGGAATTTAGGTACAGGGTTGGTGATATGCTATGCATAGATTCAGACTTCAAAGAAGAGACTGTGGGTCTTATCAGAGGACTGATCTCGGACACAAACGACCCCGCGCTGCTTGCCGACCAACCTTGTACAACACTAGTTCGCAGTCACACCTCCCCGCCAGGACATGAGGACGACAATCACCTGGAACCCCATTGGATTTGCTAGCATTTTTCTTGTATTCTTATACCATAAAACTACAGAAGTCCTTTTTGTTCAGCTGGTCGATAGCGCTTCAATGAACCGTTACTAAATTATTCGATTTATAGGCAAACAACTTGATTGGCTGGGTGATCTCGATTCATCTAGAGGTCACAACACTCCACAATTTGAGGATTCTCCGTGAACATCCTGGCGGGGAAAATACAACATTCAAAACGATCAGGATACGTGAGGACCGAGAACTCATGCCGGGCACACACAACTCTAGTTTCAGGCGGCACCACGAACGGCCTGCTCTGATGGGGATAATTCGCGGGCCTCCATTCCCATTAGGACACTGGCAGGAAGGGGACGTGCATATTCGGAATACAAGTATCTGTTAGACAGTTGTCTTCGTTGAAACGCGCAAACGCATATAGAACTTAGAGAACAAGCCGGAGGATCTATTCCGTGAAGTTCATGATCGTGGCTCGTTTACTATGAGCTAGACGCGCTGGATTCTGGACGACTTCTGGACGGCTCAAGAACCGCTACCAAACTCACCTCGACGTTAAATACTCGGCATTTATCAACGGACAGGAGCGTACTCTCGACCCCCCGGGAATTTTCGTACCGGGACCTATCATCTCTCTTCTTTTTTTTTCTCGTCATGTGGATTCTTTTCGAATATTTCGTCACACCATCGGATGTACGCTAAAGCTATTTAAACACCAGGCAAGATGTCAGATGGGTTGGCTTCTCCAACGCCGGGGTGGTCACCTGACGATCCACGATCTCAGCATGGTGGATATGCGAATCATGAGTTTGGACGAACTTCAAGTCGTACGGAAGAAGCGGTATCGAACGATTGGCGGCACGTTTCGGCTTCAGCCATTTCACGATTTTTATTTATTCCGGTATTGTCGGGTGGCGCCGTCCACGCCGGAACCCCCTGTTTGGGAGAGTTTCTTTTCGGTATAGGCGTGTTCAAGTCCTTGTTGAGCAGTAGTTGCGCAAAGTGTGGTCTTTTCGTCGCGATCGTTCAGTTTCCTTTGTTGATGCTTGTTCTCATTTCCCCTACACTCATTACTCTTCAATCAGACACACTTCAACTGCTCCCTGTTCACTACGTATCTTCATGAGAGCGACTGACCGTCGGGTAACCGAAGCTCAAATGTGGTTCGCAAAATGCATGAAAACAAGGAAGTCGAGACTTATGCAGCACCTAAAAGCGTCCGCCGACTGATGCTCCCAGCTGTGGCTGCTCCGCCAAATCGTGGTTGGCCAGACCACAGAACATCAATCCTAGCGGCACCACGAGGCCACAAGACTGACGTCGATCTAGGTATTTCCAAGAAAATCATCACCACTGGAAAGTTTACGCACAAACAAGAAACTAGACAACTTTTGTTTGTGATAAGAGGCTCTGGAAGCCGGGTCGTGTGATAGTTGTCACATTCTACGCAACACTTCGCATCCTGCATTGAGTCTCGACTCGACAACGATATCACACCATGTCGTGGAAATTGATGGAGACGTATGGCACCACCTAAATCTGGGTCTGCTTCTTTTGCGCTAACTCCAATCTCCGGCCATCACGATGCAGTGAGGGGCATTACAGCCGCTACAAGAAACAGCCCGGCGTCAACGTATTCAGCCTCTACGACCCAGCAGCCGACCCACAAGAAAAAGCAGACATTGAGCGCTCATTGTACAAATCATTGTGCGTCTCTCATCGCTATGAGATTACCAGCGATATATCCGAAATCTACTCTATTCCATGATTCGAAAGCCACGCTCAAGGTCGCTAACGCGAAGCGTCGCAGTGCACGCGAAGCCCAAAACAATGAAGTCCGGTTCTACACAACAGCCATGAAACTGTCTGATTCAGGAGGTGGGCTGAAGGTATTCCACAATGGGAAGAAGATTGAGCACAAGGGCATTCTGCTAGGAGCAATCAAGCCTATCGAGAAGGCAATCGACAAGGGACTAGCTAGGGAACGTGAGCAATAAGCAAGCATCTATCAGTGTGCCTTGCTCTCGCTAGTTGTTTGATGTTTGTCAAGTTGCGAGGGGGTTGCGTACGAGATTGTTTTCGATATCGTGGAAATATCGATTCATGACAGACTTGAGGCGTGCGTTTGCGCGATGAGATGGTAACGTGATCGCGTGGCAAGCGTCGCGAGCGAGCAAGTGCTATGGCGGTCTAACAATGACATCATCACTTCTTGTAGCATCACGCGTCGAACAGAATGAAAACATTCAGACGTTCGAGGAATAACAACTCTGATTCCTCCACAAATATAATTTCCTGTGAGATAAAACGAAAGCGGTAACCCCAATGCTCTCAGGCCACCTCCGCCCAACACCTTTCCTACGCGCTTCCAGACTCTTCGCCTTTTCATACTCTACTACCACCACAGCCACGACCACAACAATGAGCAACGCGCGAGAACTAGCCGTCCAAAGCCATACACCACGGCATTCAGAATGGCCCTACAAACCCTCCGATTTTACCCGTTACGACGAAAGTCCCGATACATCCTTCTATTCAACACCTCGGTTTGGCGCTCACATCGACGGGTCCGCCAGCGATCGCTTAATAAGCTACTATCGCAGATATGTGCCATGTAGCGGTACCGTTCTAGATCTCTGTACGTCGTGGAATTCATATTATTTCCCTACGCAGCAGGTCGCGGTCAAGGATGGCGAGATGAAGGTTCTGGGCATAGGACTGAATGCGGAAGAAATGGAGAGGAACTGGCTTTTTAATGAGTTTCCGGAGAGATTTCGGGTCGTGGATTTGAATAGCGAGGCGGATAGAGGGAAATTGGAGGAGTTGGTTGGAGAGGACAAGTTGAGGTGTGTGACGTGTGGGGTTAGTATCGATTATATAGTCGACGCGGTGGATGTGCTGAAGAGAATCAAAGCAATGATGGAGGTTGACGGGAGGATCCATTTGGTTGTAAGCTCGAGGTGTTTTCCTTCCAAGGCGGTGAAGATTTGGTTGGAGATGAATCCAATGGAGAGGTTGAATCTTGTTGGTGGTGGGTCTTATCCTCCCTTTTCTCGATGGTTTCTTGCTTGGACTAATCTTCATGGGTATAGATTATCTGCATTTCGCGGGGTGGAAAGACATCGAAATCGTTGATCTATGTGCCATTGACGAAACAGGGCTGCGGCAAACGGATGACTACGGTAAGGTGCTTAGGCCTGACGAATGTTGGACAAGGCATCTAGACCCACTGTGGGTGGTTCGCGGAACAAACAAATGATGCGCAAATACACTGTGACTGGGAACCGGTAATTTCTCACATCTTATTACAGCTTGTGTGGTCTTTCTCTCCCTAGATACCCGTCTACTGCTTTGACCCTCACCGCGCCTTGCACGCCTGTCCTGTCCTTTCCATTTTCGAGGTAGTTTTTCGCAACGGCATCGCTCTTCAAGTGTACATTATCCAGAAATCCCCAACTTTGGTACATCTCGACTGTCCTCACAAAGTTTGCATCTTTCTCTCTGCCTAAAGTGTAACCTTTGGTCCAGTATTCATCATTCTTCGCATGGCCCAGAACGTTCAACCAGCCCTTCAAAGCATGCGAAACCGTACGAGGCTTATACTCAACATGCGCGAGCACGATGGCAGGATCCTCGGAAACTTGGGGAACAGGCCTCGATGTTTTACTGCCCACAACAAGACAAGTGTGGACTTCTGGGGGCTGCGCGAGGACTCCGCCGGCTGTGAAGAGTTGGATAAGATCCTGCACGGGCTGTGTAGCAATATGAGCGTCGCTGGCGGCATCCGAAGTGTATTCTTCGATCATGTACAAGACTGTCCCAGTGGTGTCGTCGAGAGGTAGTGTTACCACATATCGTAGCACCTCTGGTTCGTTGGGTTGTGTGAATTCGATGATCTTGTGGAAGGCACAGAGAACGCTTTCGCGGGCTTGTTTGCTTACGCAGACGATGCGCGCGGTGACTATTATCGGGGACATGTTCTCTGCTCCAAGGAACAGCTCGCTTTCGAATGCATTTATTGTTATTTGACTTTTCAATCACTTGTGCTGGAGGATTGATGCTTTTCTATCGTCCTGCTTCCCCACACGGAAACGTTCCGTGGATAGCTCGGAAACCATGTTCCTGGGGTCCCGCAGAGAATGACTCGCGCGTGTCTTTATATTTTCTACACATGGTCTTGTATTCGGGTAACTAGTCAGTCTGTGAAACGGATAGCCTCGTCCGTCTCATAGATTAGCACTTGAACAAGGCGACGACGTTGGTCCGCTGTATAGCATATAGCCCTCGAAGAACTCCCATCGGATCGATGAATTAGGCGCATGCTTCGATATTCCATTCTACGCCTTTGTCGCGTGCCACGTAAGACACATCAATCTTATATCCTAAGAGCAATGATTCCCTTTGAAAGATATCAGACAGAGTGTTACTGAATGCGTCTTCCATATCTATCAAGGACGAAAACAACGCTGGGGCCCGGGATGGAGCCGACTCATACGTTCTGGTCGTCCGGTAACAGGAGTTTGCCATGTCAACGGCCGGACAACATACCACAACCCTGTTCGTACATGAATTGAAGGAGCAAAGAAAGAGCGCATAGTCAGGAGTATTACCTGGAAATGCGCGATGTGTATCTCATTATCGACCTGTTTTTCGCAACCATGCACTCCACCTTGAAGCCATCGACACGGCCATGCACCAACCAGTCCAACACCAATCACCCAGCCACACCAACCACCGAATTCCCATCGCGCGCATATGGACCAGCATCCTCTCTGTCCCATTTCTTGAGAGATTATGTGCGATACCGGAACCGGCGCAACACCGGGACAACCCATACAAGCTCAGCCGTTACTGGGCAGCTCGATTGGCCTTCCTCATCCAGAATAGCTGGCTGATATCGTCCTTGGACCCGATCCACCCATATCAAGTCATGACAAGCAACTAAATGTAACCTCACCACTCGCGGAATAAAACAAAACATATATAAAGCGCCCGATTCTCTCATTCCTGCGATAGTTGAGGTGCTACCGGATCTCTACTACAGTCATCTATCAAGATGTGGGTTTCGTCGGCAATCACCGCTCTGCAGATCGCGGCTTTGTTGCCGCAGACACAAGCCCTCGCTGTACGCTCACCACAAGTCCCCATCTCCAAGAGAGATGACGGCAACACAACACTCCGCCCCGGGTTCCCTCACCCAGATCCCACCGAATCCTACTGGCAGGAGCCACCCCATCGCATTGCAAACCTCCGCACCACTCCCGAGCTCCCCACAGAGGAGACCTTCGACTATGTCATCGTCGGCTCGGGTGTCTCGGGCGCGGCCATCGCATTCAAACTGCTGTCGCGTGACCCAAGTCTCTCCATTTTGATGCTCGAAGCTCGAACCGCTGCGTCCGCAGCCTCGGGACGTAATGGCGGGCACTGCAAGGCCGGAGACTGGAAGGCCGTTAAAGAATGGGTCGAGCTCTACGGCGAAGACGAAGCACTTCGGATCGGCAAGATGGAGCAAGACTGCGTAGACGACGTGCGCGAGTTTGTGCGCGCGCACAATGTTTCTAGCGGGTGGCAGGACGTGGAGACTGCTGATGTGTATTGGACAAAGGAAGCGTTCGAGAAGGCTACTGGTATTGTCGAGTATCAGAAGGAGCTTCAATCGCGGAGACCCAACGATGGACCGTGGAGCAACAAGCGAACTGTCTACGCTGGGCAGGCGGCTAGGGATTATTGGAAGTGGCCGCAGATTTTGGGCGCGGTTGTGTACACGGCACATACCCAGAACCCGTATCTGACCGTCTGCGCGATCCTGGAGGAAGGGCTCAACAAGGGTCTTAATCTACAAACGAACACGGTAGCTCTAGCCCTCAACCAACTTTCCTCGGCATCCGAGACAGGCGCGAAATGGGAAGTCGAGACAGACCGCGGCACAGTCAAAGGAAAGCAAGTCGTGCTGGCTACAAATAGCTACACCAACGCTCTCCACCCAGGCCTCGCGAGCACCGGCTTCCTCACTCCCCAGAGAGCTCAAGTCGCTGCTGTTCACCCGGAGAAGGATACTTCGAACAACACCGTGTTCCGCCGCAGCCACTCCTACCCCGATCTCCATTCTGGAAACAACTACATCGCTGTCCGCGCGCCTGGAGATATCGGTGCCGGCGACGTCATTATCGGCGGGAGCTCCAAGTTCTCGCCCACAAGGGAGCGCAACATCACCGATGACTCCGTTATCAACCAGGATATGGCCGACGACCTCCGCGCAGTGGGTCGCGTGGTTTTTGGGTATGAGAACTGGGGTGAGACGACCAAAGTCGTAAAAGACTGGACGGGTATCATCTGCAACACCCCGGATGGGTTTCCAGTCGTAGGTGGACTGCCCGGTCAGGATGGACTGTGGGCGTCTGTGTGCATGAACGGGCACGGGATGGCGTGGGCGTATCGCAGTGCTGAGGCGCTGGTGCAGATGATGACTGAGGGTGAGGCTCCGGAGTGGTTTCCGCAGTCTTTTGATGTTGCGAGAGCGTGGAATAAGAGCTCCGACTCGTAGTTTTGGTTGTTTATGAACGTGCGATTGATGTCGATAGTACCAGGTATAATGGATTCCAAATGAATAATGAAATATGATATTCCCATGACGGAATAGTAATTTCTATTGTGACTTGCATATTCGGCTGGTGTAAATACCAACAATTGCCAACGTCAGCTCGGAACGCTTGGGTAGATTGACCCTGCTCACGTATATTCCACTTTCATTCTTAACAAACATACTGCGTTCCCATCCATAATGCCGATTCGATCTCCTCTCGTACCTGCGGACAACGGGATATTTTAGTTTTCCACTTGGGAACGGTTCGTTAAAGAAGATGCCTCGATCCCCACCGCATTGTTTCGGCGTGAAGTGAGAAACACCACAGTAAAATTTCTCGGGTTGGAAGCCAGTGGAAACCATGGCATGGAGGAAGTCATTCCATGCAACATCACCGGGCGACTCTGAAACGGACGGTGTGTAGAAAAGTGCGCGAAAGACTTTTAGTGCGCGTGCATCGACATGAAATATGGGCTGATTATCCGATTGTACAGTGGAGGTCTTATCGAGAGTGTTTCCCTTGCGCGCTGGGTTGGAATCCAAGGGCTGCAATGTTCCTGCATGTTCCGCAAGTCTTGTGGCAATGGGCATAATCACTGTTTTCGTGTTTGGTGTCGGTGGTTCCTCCGAGTCTATGTAAATTGGTGCCCCCTCATCTGCCCTGAATCATTCCATGATTCTGGTCCGCGTCAAGAAGCGGTACAAATCTGTCGACTCAAGGACTGCAGGGCATTCCTGCAGCATGTTCTCGTTCACGGCCTTCGAGAAAATGTCGAGATTATGCTCGGCGCATTTCATCTCGTAGGTAGTTTTTGCTGTGCGGCGCTTTTGGGCTGGGCAGAGGAATTATCGCCGTGCCAAACTGGCAATCTGCTCTAGTCTGGAATGCACGCTGTCATACAGCCTAGTCCAATCTTCCGTATGATTCTGGTACTCCAGCTGCATCGTGTCTTTTCTTTTTCGTAGAGCCGATTTGAATGCTTCAGCAAACAACTCCAACTGTCTCAAGAGCTCTAGATAGATACTCTAAAGACATTCCAGGCAGGATGAGGTCCTCCTCTTAAGGCTCGCAGGGGAAGAGCTGCACCACATGCTCCCGAGTATACTTTAACATTTTGCTGGGAAACTGTCTGAAGCAGATTTCAACCATAAAGTTGAGACGTCTCTCAGAGTATACGCCCTGAGGGATAGACACTGTGGCTGAGGGTCGACTGATACCTATCAAAGGCAATGGGGTAGATGTTTAGGTGAGTGATGACAATGACTAGCCGTAAGGGGTTAGAGGACGGGAACTACATTGCCGAAGCCGGTGCCTCAATCATTACATCATCATACACATACACACACATGTACCTAGGTATGTAAACAACCCTACAGTTATGATGATGTTACTTCTTAATCAGGCTAGTGATTGGTGTCTTTCACATATAACTGACTCGGGCTTTCTTGTGCAAATGAAGCTTGAATCGAAGCAACCGGCTTCATTCCTAGCGTCTGCAGTTGTTTCTCCTCTTTTGTCTGCATACTTGACTACTATCTTAGTCCTAGAGCAGTAATGTAGATGCAACCAGCACAATCACATCATAATTGTATGTGGATATCTAATTATGTAAAGCCCTAGGCAGAACATATCCACACAAATAATCCCGCCATAGCATAAGTCATTGTTACAGTTACCAAGCAATAACGAGTGCGGATGATGCCCGAGCCTCAAGTCACAGCTTGACCACCCAAATAGATTCGCTCCACTCAATACTATCCACCCTCATGGCTTAATTCGCCTTCATACGTACACAAAGTCCGACGACCAGTCTGCTCAGCCTCCCAGAGCGGTGATCAATGACATCCAGTGCGCAGAAATGAGTCTGCTCAGTATGCGAAACTAAGTCTTTCAAACAAATTACCCTAATGGAGTAGGGGCTCGCCTTACATGATGGCAATGCACGCGGTCGGTCATCTAGTAAAGCATCCCTGCATCGTTAAAAAAAGCTCCCCTAAACCCTTTTGGAACGCGGCCGGCTCTTGATTGGACAGCTCGCTTCAGCCCAAAACGGAATAGTCGGATTTTCGTGTGGCTTCGCGGAGAACTTGCATGTATACGCCTAGCAATGGTATCAGAAGCAGGGGGTAAACTTGAACGATCTGTGGTAGCTGCTCCTCACCGTAATGATATATATAGGGGTCTTGGAGCATGTCGTGGAAGAGCGTCTCATTTTGTATTTCCTACACTTAATTCGAGCGATCGTTGATCAATCTTTGTCCACTACAGTTATTTCCTCAATATTGTCTCCCATATATTCGTTAATACTCTAAGCACACTTGGAGATGATGCATTCTACTCTGTTTGCTATTGCCGCCATCGCGCGGCTCACCCACGGTAGCCCACTGTTGTCACGTCAAACCAACACAACGGGTGCTACGTGCTGGGATCAAGTACGACGCTTCCTGTCGATACTCTCAATACTTGACGCTGACGATTCGGTCTAGATCCCCGAGTCTGACGAGCTGCAATGGCAACCCTGCTTCGGTGCCTATACTTGCTCACGTCTCAAAGTCCCGCTTGACTACACCAACCCCTCCGTCGGCACGGCCACCATCGCATACATACGACAAGCCGCGCAGAACGACTCAGAGTCCGCAGAAGACGTCTTGATCAACCCTGGCGGTCCTGGAGAGTCTGGTGTTGGGGCTGTTCTGAACCTTGGGGCCCAGCTTGCTCAAGTCATGCCTCAATACAACCTCATTGGCTTCGATCCACGCGGTATCAATAACAGTGGTCCGGCTTTGTCATGCTTTGGAGACGACGAAGAGAGTCGAAGGATAGAAAAGGAGTACTCTTCTAAGTTCATCCGCACTGTTGACGGGAAGAATGAAAACAGCTTGCGATACCAATTCGAGGCAGCAACAGCCTTTGGGAAGTGGTGCACCAAATTCAACGAGAACACCGACGCCAAGTACGCAAACACAGTCGCTGTCGCTCAAGACATGGCCAACTATATTGAGAAAGCCGCGAAACTCAAAGGCAAAGACCCCAAGGAGGCTAAGCTCAACTACTATGGTAAGTCCGAAGAGTCTACATGCCTATTCAGTCTAGACACTGACCAAGGTTCGCCTATCAGGTGTCAGTTACGGTACTGTTCTAGGTTCGGTGTACGCATCTCTCTTTCCAACCCGCCTAGGAAGGTTCGTCCTTGACGGTGTCGCCGATGCCCTCGAATACTACACCGGTACCTACGCCAGCAACGTCCGCGACGTAGACCAAGTCATGGGCGACTTCTTCAAGTTCTGCAACGCCGCGGGGCCAGACAAGTGCGCTCTTTGGGCCGACACACCCGATGCTATCTCGAAGCGTGCGCGAGCCATCGTTGAATCGGTCCGCAAAGATCCTATCCCCGTCGTCGACACCGCCGTTGTCCAGTACCCGACCGTGATCAGATACGAGGAAGTCATGCAACTTGTCTTCACCGCCATGTACTCGCCTTTGGAAAATTGGCCTATCATCGCACAAATACTTGCCGATGTCGAGGGTCGGAACGGCAATTCGGCGGCGCAACGACTGTCCTTGGTCCCGATTACGATGCTTGGACCTCCAGCACTCGTCGGCGGGTTGGATGCGGTAAGACGGAAACAGAACAACTTCGACACGTTCGAGAAATGGACTGCGCATCTAGAGAGAATGACAGAGGAAAGCGAATGGGGAGCGGATGCATGGGCTTCGCTGGGCCTAGCGGTCAAGGATCTGGAGATCACGCCTCCCATCAGCCAGCAGTTCAACGGTATGTCCCATAATCCCCCCAGTTTTCTTCTTCAAAGTGACTAATCCGTGCTTGTAGATACTAGTTTCAACGTCCAAACCAATGCGCCGATCCTATTTGTCTCCAACACCCATGACCCAGCAACCCCTATCCACGGCGCGCGAAAGATGCATAGTCTTTTCCCGGGCTCCGGGCTGTTGGTGCAAGAAGCCCCAGGACATGTTGCTAGTCTATCGGCTGTCTCCACCTGCACATTGGGGCTCATCGGCCAGTTCTATGCGACTGGTCAATTGCCGCCCGCCAACACTACCTGTACTGTAGAGTCTGTGCCTTTCATGTCGGGAGGTATGTGAGACTTCGATGTAGCATGTAGCAAATCTTTTGTGTTTTACCATTACCTATTGATAAGTCCTCGGAAGTGTGAATGCTGGATGTTTACCTGTGCTGTGAGAGGGTGATGGATTTTTTTCTTTCGTGTGGTATACTTGTCACTCATTTAGTCTGACTGTGGTATAACAAGGCTTTGATAGTTCTTGTCTCCAGAAGTCATATATAGCGCGAAGACATTTCTCTCGCTATCAAGTTCTGCAACTCACGCCATGTGATGCGGCTTTAACTGTGCGTACTCACCACGAGAGACTGGTGAGTATGCTTAGAACAGAGTTGAATGTATGAACGACTATATAAGAGGTAGGGGTTAATTAAAAGCGAACCCAGTCAATCCCTGCCCGGCATATATATCCGTTTCGTTCCCTACATTCGCGCGTCCCCACTGTCTTGCATTGATGAACGATGCATTTCCTCACACCTGGGCGAACGGATCGCGAGATCGACTCTTGCGCTGCCCATCGCAGACCCTGACGAAAACAAGTTTTGGACACGATGCGAGTTTTGTAGCTTGACGAAGCTTAAGAGCCATTGAGCGCAAAGTTCATGGGACGTACATTTCCTGACGCACAGATTGACAGACGACAAAATAGACTTTTCTCCCGTGCTTTCAAGTACATTGGAACACCCTGATGACGAATAATGTCACATCAAGGTCGCATTTTCGTGTTTATTCGATACTTAGTAAACAGCCCACGGCCATGCTGTTCGCTTGACAAAAGAACGAATCCGACACCTTTTGTTTATGCCTGAATCAGGTGCACAAGACGCGAGGACACTGGAGTTATGCGAGGAATGCCAGCCTTGCTGCCAAGGATGCCCGGATATAATGGATATGACGTCCACAAAAAAGGAATTCTCGCGTGATCGGAAACAAGAAAAGTGGCCTCTGTCTTTGAAGTCATTAATGAGAGTCGCAAGATGGCAAGCATCCAGGCGGCACGGGAGGCGTGGTTAAGGCGATGGTTGTCATAACATCGAGTTAGCTGGCGCATGTGATTGGGTGAATGTTGCCAAGGGCCAAGTTGAAGCCGACCTGCCGAACACCGACTGGGAACGCAGACTTTCGTCATGTCCAAAACACCATCAGACAAATCACACGGCCACTCCGACGACGATCTGAATTATCTAACGGTGTCCTAAACCCTCGCTCATTGGTTCCGCGCCGTCCTGCACACCAGCTGTCTCTTGGCTCTGGGCAAAACATTCCACCTCTCACATGTTCCGCTGGGGGCCAAGTATCTGCCATGGCTCCGCCTAGCTAGGGATGAGGCTCGATACTCCACTATGATGTATGCTCAGAGTCAGCCTGTATCCGGGCGTGAGCAATGCATGGTAGCTGCCCACAGCTACCCACAACTTTCGATTCTCAGCAAATAGTCCGATATGCCAATGGACGAGACATATCTGGGCAGACCTGTAGGAATCCTTGGGCGTTGGGTCTCCACATCCAAGTCTAATGAATGGCGGGGAAGGACAATGGCTAGAGGTATTTATATGGGATCTTTGTGCCTCCCCGTGGAGATCGGAGATCCAGTCTTTTGCTTGTATCCCCAGACGAACAAAGTCCCCGCATCATGGCGTCCCCAAAACCAGATATCGATCCGGTCAACGCGCCCCCACATGATACTTCTTCCTCTGATAGTAAAGAAGACATCAACAATGGAGTTCAACACACCGAGAATGCCGGTGCAACAAGGCAGGCCTCGATCGCAGTTCGGTTGCGAAACCCCTTGGCGGGCATGACTGAGCAAGCTCTATTGGACGATGTCGACAAATGGACTGCTGAGAAAGGTCTGTCGGAGCACCAAGAGACGTTCAGAAAAGGTGCTCTGATCGCCCGTGTTGGCCAAAGGGAAGACGGATTCGAATACGTCAGTCAGCTCAGTGAAGACGAGAAGAACCTTTTGCGATATGAGATTACCCATCGATGGAGTCAACCATTCATGCTGTACTTCCTCGTTGTTCTTTGTGCCGGTTCTGCTATTGTGCAGGGAATGGACCAAACAGCCGTCAATGGCGCCCAGGTATTTCATCCCATTTCACGGTGCTTGTCGTTTTGTTAACGCCGCTAGTTATTCTACTTCGAGGAATTCGGTATTACCAACGAGTGGCAACAAGGGTTGCTCAACGGTGCCCCGTATCTCTGCTCTGCTGCGCTCGGATGCTGGACCAACGCCCCGTTGAACAAACTTTTTGGTCGTCGCGGCACCATTTTCATCTCCTGTTTCATCTCCTTCGTCACTGGAATCTGGATGGCTGCCGCAGACTCGTATGCCAGCCTAATCTCCCATTCCCAGTGCCTTGCTAACAGTCTCACAGCTGGTACAACCTTCTAATTGCTCGTTTCGCGCTTGGTTTTGCCGTAGGCGCCAAATCCAGTACTACTCCCGTCTATGCTGCGGAATCAGCACCTAAAACCATCCGTGGTGCTCTCACCATGATGTGGCAGATGTGGACTGCTTTCGGAATTATGCTGGGATTCGTCGTGTCTGTTGCATTTGAAAATGTCACCTTCCTTGGCCCCACCTCGCCTTGGAGATGGATGTTGGCCACTACCAGTATCCCCCCTCTTTTGGTCATGCTCCAAGTCTACTTCTGCCCCGAAAGTCCTAGATGGTTTGTCAACCCTTCTATTCAAACTCGAACTATGCTGACCATTCCAGGTACATGGAGAAACACAGATATGCGGAAGCATTTACTGCCCTCAAACGCCTTCGCAAACACGAGATCCAAGCTGCTCGTGATATGTACTACGCTTACAAGCTATTGGAAGTTGAGATGTCTCAGCGCGAAGGCAAAAACTTGTTCAAAGAGTTCTTCACGGTCCGACGTAATCGTCGCGCCGCGCAGAGCTCATTCTTCGTCATGTTTATGCAGCAATTCTGTGGTGTCAACGTTATTGCATACTACTGTGAGTTATATTCATTCAAATCTCTGTTTTAGGTGTCAAGCTAACAATTCCAGCGAATATCATCTTCGAAGAAGCTGGGTTTGAGAGATCGCAGGCTTTACTTGTGTCTCTCGGTACTGGTATTACGAATTGGCTCTTCGCTATTCCCGCGATTTACACCATCGATACCTTCGGTCGCCGCAACCTTCTTCTCACCACGTTCCCTCTCATGGGACTATGCTTGCTCTGGTGTGGCTTCTCTTTCTGGATCCCTAACGTCGCCAACCCAGAATTCCCCGGAACCACACCGGACGGAGACCCACAGCCCGAAACAATCCCCAGTCAAGCCCAACTTGGATCTGTTGCCGCCGCCATTTTCACTTTCATGGCTGTCTACTCCCCCGGTGAAGGACCTGTTCCCTTCACATACTCTGCGGAAGCTTTCCCGTTGTACATCCGTGACGTCGGTATGAGTTTCGCAACAGCAACATGCTGGGGCTTCAACTTCCTATTATCCCTGACATGGCCTCCGCTTCTTCGTGCTTTCGGACCACAGGGCGCTTTTGGCTGGTACGCTGCATGGAACTTCTTTGGGTGGATCTACACCTACTTCCTTCTTCCCGAAACCAAGAACCTTACGCTTGAGGAACTTGATACCGTCTTCAATGTCGGCAACCGCGAGCATGCGTCATATTACCAGAAGAAGTTCCCTTGGTACTTGCAGAAGAAAGTTATGCGAAAGGATATCGCTCCCATGCCGGCTCTGTATGAGTTTGATGATGTGGTGCTCAACGATGGGAGTGACGATACGAGGAAGCGATCGGATGCCGAGAAGGGTGAAATTGTCTCCTAGGAGTCGAAACCACAAGACAATTGGCTCACTTCGCTCGAATTGTCGCAATATGGTCAAGATGTCTGTGGATATTCATGTTCGGCGCATTAACAGAATATCCTATAATATTTAATCAATACATTCCCCAGCTCAAACCTATTTTTTCTCGTCAAACTGTGCATCATCGATTCAAGGTGTTGCTCTCACTGTCTCTTACCCGTGACTGTCGACGCTGAGGTTGCCTGCCCGGGTAAGCCAATGTTGTCGAAACCCAGGGTTGCATTGACTACCCCACACAACCTGATTAGCCGGATCGTACGTGAATGCTGGATCGTAGTACAATTTTTATTAATTCAATATAAACACTTATCAACGGACGCACAGGAACGTACTGCAGAACAACTGTTTCTACAAGATAGCTTCTCAAAAAGGCAGCAGCTGTATATTAATAGGCGCATAACCTACGAGTTAGGAAACGTACGAGCAGCCATCTAGGAATACATAGCGCTATTATTCCTGCGAAGCAGAATGTTCAGGGTAGCTCGCTCGGTCAATGTGTTGTTGGTGTCCCGAGCATTGGTGGGTGGGGATAAATTAGACTGCAGTCCTGCAAATATACAATACATATAAAAGGGTTCACCCACGGCTACACCTAGACCACGTTACATCAATTGCCACGAAGATACTATCAGTATGAGTGCCGCAATTTCCATCTTCGGGCTGCTTGTATGGTCCCTCTCGTTGACCCAAGCAAGACTTGTCAAGCCAGCAGCCGATATATACTTCTGGACCATAACAGACTGGTACACTAAACTTACCACCGATACGCGCACTGTAGAATATCGTACTTCTCCCCGCTAACTTCCTCTTTCCAAGCTGTTTCTAACGATTAGTCTCTAGACTTCATAGCATACGCTCCCTACGACGGCGAACATCCCAACGTCGGACAAGGCTCAAGTCACAGACCCGCATTCACACAGCTCTGCACCGGCAACGTCACAGGCACACCGCTTGTATCTGACTGGAAAGCATGTACGCCCCAGGGTCCGCACGAAGAGAAGAGCAGCTTCGCAGCGCGCGTCATCCAGGATAAGGGAGAGTCGAGGATCGTGATGGCGCTGATTTGGGAGGCGCGCGATTATTCGGGGTATGTCTGTTGTTCTGCGAGTATTCTTTTGGGGACTAGAGTGGGGCGTGTGGCTGATCGATCGCAGACCTGTGAAGATGTACAATCTTACTTCGTGGAATGTCACGGATGGGTGGGAGAATCCGAGTTATCCGAAGTATGAGTCCTTTCAAATTGAATATGGGCATTTTAGTACTTATATTGCGAGGTATGTTGTATAATCGATGAGTCGAGGCGTGGGATGTTGCTGACTGCGTTTACCAGACCATAGGATGCGTATTATTGTATAAATGATTGGCGGTCTACAATGTTTGGAAGCTGAATAACTCAGGGAAAAAATCATTTTACAGGGTAGTGCACTGATTTCTTGAGATTTAGTGGGTTTCAGAGTATTCCATGGCGACTCTGCCATATTTGATAGCAGTGAATGTATGTGACCGATACGTTATGTGTGAGCGATGCTTCAAAGGCAGATTTGTCGTGTGATTTTTCAATACCTAGTGTTTGGGCCGCATGGAAATGCGATGAATCATTATCACGCTTAGTGAGCGATGCTTCAAGCAATCTTGAACCGACTATGTATCTAGCTTTGTTATCCGCAGTATCCTCTGCACATGCTCCATATAAAGCGTATCACTCTTGGATCTGGCCGCCAACAACTGCGCCTGTTTGACGACGCTTTTGATTTGCCGTCCGTTCATCCTAGCTTTTGACAAATCCTGCAGTTCGGTCTCACTGATTTCTACTTTGCGCTTGGAGATGGCGAAGAAATTTTTCCATATAGCCAAGCGACTGCTTTCATCGAGATCTGGATACTCAAGATGCATATCGATGCGCGATTGAAAAGCACGGTCAATTTCCTGGTATCGATTTGTGGTGAGGAACAGACAACCTTCGTAGTACTCTAGCTGGCGAAGGAATACAGAAACCAGACGGTTACGCTGAAGATCGTGGATAGTGCGTTGCTCGAGGAATATGTCGGCCTCGTCAAGCAGTAGAACTGCTTCCCACCGCTTAGCAACATCGAGAGCGACTTGTAGTTTCCTCTCCACTGTATCAACGTCTACACCAAGCTCGCCTGCGCTAATGGAGTAAAGTGGTGAGTGCAGCTTCTCTGCGACTATAACAATGAGTCAGCCTCGCTCAAAGAGGGTTGTGAGAAGGTGCTTCTAACCTCCTTCTGCCGTTAGCGTTTTTCCCACACCCGGAGCTCCAGATAGTAGGAAGATCAACGAACGTCCTTTTCCTTCTACAAAATCGTCAAAGTCCTCCTCCATTCCGTGATGGCATTGTACAAAGCCTAGAAGGAGATCCTTTTGATCATAAGGGAGTACGAGGTTCTCGAATATGCCGTCGTTCCAGGTAATGTCTTCGATCCAGTCAATGGCAAAGGCCACTAAGTCGCGTTAGTCGGTGTTGTGAGAAGGACGAAATTATATCTTACTCCATTGCTTTGACTTGAAAGAGAACCCTCGCACAATTCTGGAACACAGTAAAAGCTCATCGTCGGTCAGATCCCATACCGGTCTCGGGTCATCGCTATCTCGATCAAGTGGACGTAAGCTCGGCTTGTATTCGAAAACGCAATGTTCGTAGTAAGTTTGAGCATCTATCATGACTCGTTCTCGCGATCTCTAAGGAAAGTGTCAGTTCTAAAGTTCGTATATTCGTTCCGGGATTTGACTGACTGGGGGTTTTATGGACTTCGTCCCGAGAGCCTCTACCTCGCTTGCGCCGGAGCGTTTGAGTACTTTAGCATGAACGCCTCGGAGTTCAACAAATCTTTGCCCTCTCAGTTTGCACGTAGTTTTGATCGAATCTGGATCGTTTGCGAATTGAAATGGAAACATGGGCAGATCCTGTATTGGTACGGTGCCCTCCATGCTATCGATTTGCAATGTTCGTTCATCGTAACCGAAACTTTCGCCATTCCAGGACACATACTCCAATTGTAGATTGAAGCTGCCTTGCCCGTAGGAAGCTGATTTGAGCAGATACAAGCTCTCGTGTTTGGGAACATGAATGATGTCTCCAGGTTTGAAAATAGTCCAGAGCAGGCTAGAGGGTTGGTCAGGACAAACTTGGATTTATTTCGGGCTACTAACTCGTAGGTGATTACATCCTTGGACAACATGTCCTTCAAGCTATCCAGAACGTCTTTAATGTCCTTGGAGATGGCATCATACCTGTGCAGTCAGAATCCAGATTTTACTAAAGCAAAAGGGTTCAAAACGTACAGCAGCTTCAAATGACTTTTCGCTTCCTCATTTTCCTCCTGGTAGTATGCATCTTGGAACGCGGCCCACCGATGCAGAAACGGTGCGAATGGAGAAGAAAACTCCAGCTTCTCTAGAGTTGCGGTAACACCACGGTAATCTCGGAATACCTTTTCATCGAGTATTTTTTTGATCAAAGGCGAATTGACGAGGATCGAATCAAGTTCAAGTGCGCGAGTTGCGCCTTTTTTGTGACACTTCCGGTTGCGCAGCAGGATGGCGAACTGCTCAGTGCCCTTCGCTGCCTCGATCTTCTCTTGTATATCATCAGGGAATTCTTCCACCCAATTGATGCAACATGAACATTTTGGGTGTCCTTCGTAGAGATTCAGTTGTTCCGCTTTCATACCCCGGGCTACCGCAATATCGTCACCAGGATCAGTGTCTTGGCCCGATTCGCCTGGACGCTGAATTGTCATGATCTCGAGAAGCTCGGGCAGAGTGGGAGGGCATTTTTCCTCTAAATAATCAAGGTGTGTGTCCTCTGAATGCCCGTAATCAAGCATAACTGTTGCATCCGCCATTATGCTGATAGACGATAGTGATATAGAAGATAGTAATTTACAATGAATAGCAAAATCTCCCAGAAAAGATTATCTGTAGAAATGAAATCAAATGAGAAAAATCTGGCCTTTTCAAGATTCTGCTATCAGTCATTGATCAGGCTGAGACTCAGCCGTCCGAACGCCACCAGCGGGGTACAAGACCGGTGAACCAAAAGTAGCCACACACCTCGCGCCTCACCCTTCCTTACTAAATCTGCGACCAATAAAGAAGAAACACGATTCAAAAGATAGCTTACTTCATTCTTTAGTGATCGACGAAGGAGATCGCAATCAACAGAGCCCGCAGGAGACAGCACGCTTCATTCTTATAGAGAGTACACGTCCAGTGAGGCTGCCCCGGGCCTGCACGAAAGGGAACTTCGTGATTGAAACATGCTCACAGTCAACCCTCATACATCATTCCAGACATGAACGAACAGGTGGAAAGATATCTTCCAGATTATTCCCGGTGGTTGATATACAATGGCACCACGTTCAAAGACTTTGTCCGTACGGTCGGAAACCCTGCTTCAAAAGCGAAATCTGATGAAGTTATACTGGATGCTATAGTGACGGCATTGCGAGAACAGGTTAATCTGGCTTTTCCCGAGGTGCACAATTATGGCCTGATGAGACCACTGGTAAGAAACTGGACAGGCGTGGAAAACGTGCTGAGGCAAGACCTACCCCCCAGCCTCTTCGATCGGTTTCAGTATCTTATGCTTCATGGAAATACTCCCAGGAGCATCCCTCAACAACCGGATGGGCATAAAACCAACCAGATCCACAGTTATAAGAGACTTGACCCAGATAGCATTCGACTGTTAGTCGTATATCCAGCGAAGGATAAGAATGCGGAAGTTAACTGTATGCTCTGCCACGAGAAGCTCACATCAAATCTGCCATTTGAAGCACTCTCATACGTATGGGGAGATGCCTCTGTTTTACGGCGCATTCGACTTGACGAGACCGAGGTTATGGTTACCGAAAATTTAGAAAATGCTTTACGGGCTCTGCGCGACACTAGAAAGCCGAGAGTGCTATGGGTAGATGCCGTTTGTATCAATCAAATGGATATGGAAGAGAAGTCAGTTCAGATTCAGCTAATGGCTAAGATCTATTCCTTTGCGACCCAGGTTGTTGTTTGGGTTGGGAAAGCTTCAAATACCTCTGCCATTGCTCTTCCGCTACTAGCTACGTTGATAGCACCCTTCGGAGAGGATTGGTCAAATACCAGTGCTCCTATCATTGGACCATGCGAGATATGCACACGCAACCAATTGTATAGGACCGACTCTGCCGCGGGACTGAAGCATATTTGGCATGAATGGTCTCTCTACCTCCGGAGTCGCTCGTCGCAGGAGGTTCTGGAAGCATTGCGAACCTTCTTTCAACGTCCGTGGTGGCAAAGAATATGGATTTTCCAGGAGCTCGTGTTAGCCAAAAAAGCAGTTCTAGTGTGTGGCGAGATGACGATGCCTTGGAACGATTTCCATCGTGCTGTCGGTATCATAGCCGTTCTCTGTATGGACGAAGCACAGGAGTTGAAAAAAGGAAACCGTGCATATGTCTCTCCGAATCACCGTTCCCGACTTTTGAAGGATATTCAGGATTTAGTCTGGCCAGTTGGTATTATGCAAGTTTACCGGGACAAGAGAGCCACGAACTCGCCTATAAGTCTCGAAGCACTACTCTGGACGACGTCGGCGTTTAAAGCAACAGACGGTCGCGATAAAGTCTATGCGGTACTGGGACTCGTCAATGATGACCCTGAGATCAATGAAGTCATCCGACCGGACTACTCCATCTCTACTGACACGTTATACAGAAAGGTTGCCCTATATATCATAGAGCATCATCAGGATCTGAGAGTTTTGGAGAATGAATTCGACAATACTGGAAAATGCAGTAAAAACGGGGTTCTTTGCCTAGAATCATGGATGCCGGACTTTAATCATCGGCTGAAGGGAATACCTATCGATCGTGACAACGTTCTTCCAGAATTTGACGCCAGACGCGCTATCTACGTTGACGTAGTGGAAGGTACATCCTCAAAACCATACCTATTCGAACGTCAATTCAACGCAGGAATCCACGACAGCTCCACTTCTCTGCCAATATCCATATCAGATGATCTCAGAACCTTGACTGTCACTGGTATAGAGTTCGACAGGGCGTCTGAATTTTTTCCGATATGCCTTCCCGAACTTAAAGAGGTAGAAAAATGTCTCCGATATTGGCACAAAGAGTTCCACAGTCGCATGGACAATCGAGGCGAAGATTCACCTTACCCGCCTGACACCGACACAAATGCGATGTTCTGGCGAACTGTGCTCGCAAATCGCTGGCACCCCCGGCACACAGCTATCATGCATCCCATCACGTCCTCAGAGCTCCAACATTATGGACCGTTTCCACCTACCACAATAGAAGAACAGGACAAACTTTTACATGAAATCGCTGTGCAAGTCAGGAACCGTACAATGATCTGTGGTGGCAGGAAGTTATTTTGGACGGCAAAAGGGTTTGTTGGTCTAGCTCCTGGATATCTTCGCGAGGGAGATGTAATCGCTGTACTCTTAGGAGCGAGAGTGCCTATCTGTTTGAGGAAAGGAACAGGGGTCCAGGGCGGCTGGACCGTTGTGGGCGATTGGTAAGTTAACGATAATTTGCGGATAATAAATCGGACTAATTGTTGATTCCAGTTACGTTCATGGTGACATTATGCATGGAGACGTCGTTAGAGCGCAACAGAAGGGAGAAGGCGGGTATAAGTTGAAGCAATTTGATTTACAATAGATCTTATATAGATATTGATTTTTAGGAACAGACGTTGAGCACTATATTAAAACATGAATGATCTCACCCGAAGGCTAATACTCTGTGCTTCGTACGAAAATCTATGATATCCCAGTAGCTACGGGGAGTCCAGTGGTATCGCTGTCTGGAAGTTCTTCTCCGACCTGTTGATATTTATAAGTGCGTATCTGCGAACTATCAGACAGCTCACAGTTCAGTAGAGTCCCGATGTCTACGACCGCCCACGTGCCAATAGCAGCTAAGACAGGAAGACACTCAAAAGCATAGAAAAAGAACTCGTTGTGCGCCAAAAATAACAATGTCCCACTCAATAGCCCTGACAGCTCTATAATTCGATACGCAGTTCTCAAAGAAATTGAGCTTAAGCTAAATAGCATGGCGTACGATGTTGAACGCCTCAGGCTTTGGTGCACAGAACCATGTATCAATCTTGCTGAATTGGGTGCGAAGCCCCTGCCTCCAAGCCTCTTGTGGCTGATGAAAGCAAGAATTATGGCATAGGTCAGCATCAACGCTTGAATACTGATGCCAGCGAGGTAAAGTGTGAGCCCGAGCATCGCAGTTTCTGACGCACCCCTCGAGGCCGTTGGTTTACGCTTGGGTACGATCAGTATACTGGCGATAAGCTGTTCAGCTAGAATATTGGTAGTTGCGAAGAGGAAACCGCGTGATAAAATCCACGTTTGAGGGTCATTTAGTGATATGTCGAGCCCGGCAGCTTTCACAATTTTGGAAAGCACGAAACAATCAAAAGCAAATACCACTGTCGGCAAAATATTGGTCAGCAAGGTTAACCGTACGTCGAGTAGGGGAGAACACTCACGCATCGGACAAATGAGAACTACAGTGTCCGATAATGCCACAAACGCGGGTTCCTGCTGATGTCGCGTGCCGACCGCACGCAAGACGTATGCAGCAAAGAGACATGCCGAAAGTGAGGCCCCAGTCGAAAGCAACTTTACACTACTGTATGCTAGTTCCTTTCTTGGCGTACAAGAAGCCGCGCGTACGGTTCTTATCGCATAGCCCGCTATGACGAAGGCGGCGGCGGCGGAGAAGACAATAGCTGCAAATAAGGACGGGTAGTAAGGCCGGGAAAGATATCCACAGGTCCCAGGTGGCACCCAGCCATTGACATCTGGCTTCACATTTGAGGGAGAGCAGCCGCCTGTCGATTCCGTTTGGTCTGGGACCGAGCGGAAAGTGATCGAAGGAACGGAGAGCATGGGATCATGTGACTTGTGTAAGACAGCAACAGTGCTAATCCCGAACGATATCGTGCAGTGAATGAGGGTTTGATGAGAGGTCAGTTTCCAGAACCGAGGGGAATTGATATCTGATAGTCGGAACTCTTTGGAAGCGTCTGGATGTTCTGGATGAGCCGCCATGTGCGGGTTACAGCCCCCAACAACCGCCAAGCTCTTTAGTCTACAGGGGTGAGAATCCTTCTGTAACCTTGAACAACGGTGCTAAACCGACGACTACCGATGTCGCCTCATATCGCGCGAGATGTAGGAAGACTGCGTTATTAAATGTGGAAGGTAAAAGTCAAATCAAGTATAGATTGTGAGTGCCATGTTGTGGTTGTACATGAACCAGTGAACTACGTCTTGATCAAGATTATTCACCGAAACTTTATGATATCACCGTTTCACGTCTCCACGTATCATCGTAAAAGCTTACATATGTACATAATACATTCTATTGTCCGCACCGGGCAGGTGGGGTCCGTGGCCCGCGATAGATAGCACCATCAGGCCGAGTGATCAACTTTTCCTCTTCTGAGAAAGAATGTTGTCTAGTCCAATCCTGCACGGCATCCCAATTGACGCACGCCGATTCCACGGTGTTATTAGCAAATGCTACACCAGGCTTATCAGGGTTCCAAGCAATTGCCCTGACTCCGAGGTCTGGCTGGCAAATAAGCCTCTTCCGTAGGGTCTCGATGCAGTGATCTATGTGCGGCGGAAAATAGTCTTCGCTGTCCGTGTCGTAGTGGCCAGTGTGATTGGCGGCTGGGTCATTTGGGTTTGCGCAGCCTATTCCGGCAACCTGATGTCTGATGGAGTCCAAGCAGTGCAAGTGGTGATAGACATTCATTGAGACCCAGACATCGCCCGATTCATCGTTTAGAGGAATGCTTTCGAGATTCAACGCGTCCAAAGATGATGATGGTACGCGTATCGAGTATCCTGAATACAAGTTTTGGCAAATGCTCTGGAGAACTGGATATCAGGGAACTTTCTCTTACCATTCATTAACTCCATCCATCTAGCTGTTCTCTCAGGAGTGGGAAATCCTTGGTATGGGCTTGCATGGCCATGACCTTCAAGATCATGGTGTGTGAGCGTCAATGGCTGATTAGATATTGCTTCAAATGCCGGTGCTTCATCCTGTCAGTCTCCGAACTTCATGTAGCAGTGTAGCGCATTCTAAACTTACATGGTACCATCGAGTACTGTTTGAGTTGGTCGCCATAACTTTTGAGGCCCCAACTGTTGAAGAAGATTCCTATTGACAAGCCGGCTGCAAAGGTGATTGCATTGATGGCCAGGCTTTTGATCGTTAGGTGGGACCTCGAGCCGGTTCTGTTAGATGACTGTTGAAATGATAGATCCTCGCCATTCTCCACGCTGCTTAGCGGTATGTACTTTTGACCTGGCATGACATGCAAAAGGAGGCAAGCAAGTGCTGTATGGCGTATCACTTAATGTACCAAGACGTTATGCTCCAGTTGGTCCAGTTGACCGTGATTGCGTACTCTCAAGACGCATTTGACAGTTATTAGCTTCGCGGTGACATTTAGTTCCCTGGCGTTCAGCCGGTCAGCATTAGCGTAATTCCTTAGACTGCGCCCAGTTTACCGCAATGGGTAGTCTGACAGCGATCCTGTTAATCTGGTGATCAGGCCCAACAATGTAGAATTCCGAGACCACTTGGTGGCATTGTTGTGTACAAGCAGATCAGGAAGGTGACCTCGTTTCACCTCCGCCAGCTCCCACTTGGCATCCCGCCTCCGCTTCCCACAGGATGACATTCGCCCGAGTGCCAAGATCTAAGCTTAATGTAGTGTATCTATATATCAAGCATCGCCATGCTTCGTAGATGAGGTCTTCTCCGTATCGCACCAGATCGTCCCACCTGTTCAATATGCGTGTTTCAACTGTCTCTGCCATACTCGGCCTCACCGCTGGCTTTGCCAGTGCGGCTCCAGTCCAGCCCAAGGAGGTGCAAAACCGCGATGCTGCTCCTCAGTGGTATGATATCACCTACATCGACAAGGTGAAGCGCGAGGAAGCGGACAAGAAGCGTGATGCTGAGGCCCAGTGGTACGGTGAGTGAATTGCGTGGTTCCTCGGCTCGAAAATTTTCTGTATTGACTCTCTTCAAGATATCACGTACATCGACAAGGCCAAGCGTGAGGAGGCGGACAAGAAGCGTGATGCCGAAGCCCAATGGTACGACATCACCTATATCGACAAGGCCAAGCGCGAAGAGGCCGACCAGAAGCGCGACGCGGAAGCCCAATGGTACGATATTACGTACATTGACAAGGCTAAGCGCGAGGAATCTGAGAAGAAGCGTGATGCTGAGGCTCAATGGTACGACATCACTTATATCGACAAGCGCGAGGAGGAGGAAAAACGGAAGGCAGATCCTCAATGGTATGATATTACCTACATCGACAAGCGGGCTGAGGAGTAAATCATGAAATTCGGGTCTTATCAAGATAGCCAATTATCTACAGTTGAGATAGAGTTCGTCGGTGGACGATGTGACATCGTTGTTCGATCTATTTGCAGTCAACTATTGGCAAATATGAAGCTAGATCTGTACATGTGTGCCTCTGTCACTGTGAATAAATGACTGGACGCCTGCAAGTGAAACTCGGACACGGATCAGCCCGCATGTCCCGCTGATGACTTCATGTCCGACCAAAGCGCTGTGCTCGACCTTCCTGATTAAGCATCCACCTCTCTCTTGGCATGTTGGTTATTTTCCCCGCTCGAACGCTTGTGATTCCTGGCCGGAAGCTTGGCGTCGAGGACAAAGGTTGGTGGGGGCGGGAATTGTTATTCCATGGTGCCGGCAGATAGCGAGCTTATGACATCCCCAATTGCCCGTCCACTACTTGTCTCCATGGATTCTTCGCCACTTTTAAGAAACACACTTCACAATGGAGCACCGAATTGAGCGAGCGAGTCTTGATATCCCAGACAACGCATCCACATCACATCACTTTTCGACAGAAAGTTTACGAAACGATGGAACGGATGACGTAGAGAAGTTTCATCTGTTGGGTGATGGAGACAAAAGGTCTGAAAAAGGCTCGTGGTGGAATCCGTGGTCAACAAAAGTTCTCACCATCGTGACGATCCTCAATCTTTCCTTGTTTTGCACATCAATTTTCGTATTCTCTGCGTCAAGATCTTCAAAACAGCCATCAGATCAAGACAGTTGGAGAGCGACCTCTTATTATTGTAAGAACCCATCCCAAGTGATTGAGGAACCTCAAGTCTAACGTCCCCTTGCTTCATCGCAGCCCCAGTATTCGATCGTTTCAAAATCCCCAAGCTCACGAAAGTTACGAACGGTACATTCTGGGACACCGACCCTCCATCGATATGGCGTGTCCGCAAAGGCCCCGAAGCAGATAAAGCGTGGAAAGCCATAGGGAGCAACATCGCACCGATAATTATAAGTAGTTCCGACGTGGTCAAACTAGGCAAAGACCCCAAGACAGCCGTCAAAGCACCACCAGAAATGAACCTAGGGTCCGACGCATTCATAGCGGGTATGGACGTCTTCCATCATTTGCATTGCTTGGATAAGCTGCGGAGAGAGATATCGTACACGCACTATCACGAGGCGGATGAAGGACCGCGACCTGGCTCGGAATTGCACGAGGCGCATATTGATCACTGTCTTGATATCTTGTCGCAGGCATTGAGGTGTACGGGAAGTGTTGATATGGTGACATTCAATTGGGTTGAGGGGCACCGGATGCCACAGCCAGATTTCAGTAATAACAAAGTCTGTCGGAATTTCGAGGCGTTGAGAGAATGGACGATAGCGAATGGGGTGGACAGCGATCATTTCTTCAAGGCTGCTGATAAGCCACCGGCAGATGCTGTTGTTATACCAGAGTTTCGTCCCCACCACAAATGAAGTAGGGGTAGTTAGTCATTAATAACTCCTAGATGCGATTCACTACATGTATAGAAGTCCACTAGCTTTCTCTGTGACCGAATTTCCTGCTTCTGCGGGCAGGATATAAAGAGAGTCAACTAGAATACACTCGAAATTCATTACAAATTACTACGGGGTTACAAGAAGCTCTGCCAAGGTAGAAAGCTCGCAACTATATAGCGAAAAACCTTCTAGGTAACTTTTTTCAGCGGCCTGTACTCCGCGTTCCACATTTGCACACGAATCCATTCCTCGAGGTCCTTCTCCTTATCCGGGATCTCAGTCTCCTGAGAGACTCCCTCTTTAACAGCTTGATTAATAACCGCTGCAGCAATCTTAACGCTAACCTCTCGAACATGCTCGACGTCAGGCAATAGCGCCGCATCAGGGTCCTTCATTGCCGGTGCTTGTGAGGCTAATGCCTTGGTAGCCTCGACCAGCATCGCAGTCGTGATGAGTTTCGCGCGCGAAAGAACTGTTCCCAGACCAATACCTGGGAACACTACTGAGTTGTTGCACTCAGCAATCTCACGTTTCTTACCACCTTTCACCTCCACTGGATCGAATGGGGAGCCCGTGGCAGTTAAAACCTTTCCATCAGACCACTCGAAAAGGTCCTTGGGAACGGCTTCATGCAGTTTCGTGGGGTTTGAAAGAGGTAAAATGATAGGTCGCTCAACGTGCTTCGACATCTCCTGCACAATCTCCTTGGTAAATGCGCCAGGCTGCGTAGACGTTCCGATCAACACATGGGGCTTGACTTGCTTCACGACTGAGAGGAGCGATCTAGCGTCGGTGTCCTTCCATTCGTCGTCTGGACGGGCGTAGGGCTTTTGTGCATAGTTCAGATCGTCGCCCATGCTTTGCAGTATTACACCTTGTTGGTCGATGCAGTAGATCTGCTTCTTGGCGTCGTCCTTGGACTTCCCGCTCTCAAGCGCGATCGCATCGGAGATTTGATCAGCGATCCCTGTACCGGCCGTACCTGCGCCGTACATGACGCAACGAATGTCACCCATGCTCACATTAGCTACGCGGGCGGCCGCTGTGACCGCAGCGAGAGTAACGCAGCCCGTGCCCTGGACATCGTCATTGAAGCAAGGGATTTCGGAAGCATACTTGTCAAGAATGCGGCGCGCGTTGTGCACTCCGAAGTCTTCGAAGTGAATATATGCTTTTGGGAAACGCTTGCGCGAAGCTTGCACGAACTTGTCCACAAAAGCATCGTATTCCTCACCTCGTATGCGGGGCTTCTGGAGGCCGAGATAGTGTTTGTCGTTCAAAAGGTCTTTATTGTCCGTGCCACAGTCGAGCACGACAGGTAGAGTGCGATTGGGGTGGATGCCAGCGCAAAGCGTGTAGAGCACAAGTTTTGCGATGGAAATAAGAACACCACCAACACCTTGGTCGCCAATGCCGAGAATCTGCTCGCCGTCGCTGACTACAATGATGTCGATATCATCTGAGGAGGTAGCTTGATCCAGGTCCGTTTCAATCTCGCTTGCTTGGTCAATGGTCAAGAAAACACCTTCTGGTCCTCGGAAGATGCGACTATAGTTTGCGATTGCAGATCCCTCGGTTGGCGTGTAGATGATGGGCATCATCTCTGTGAGGTGGGTTTGGATGACCTTATAATACAACGTCTCATTTTGAGCTTTCAACGATGTCATGAATGTATTCTTGCTGATATCTGTTGCTTGCTGTTGGTACTGTTCGTACGCGCGGTCTACTTGCATGTCGAGCGTTTGAACTCTGGAAGGGAGTAAGCCTTGTAAACCAAACTCGCGGCGCTCGTCAGCCGTGAAAGCTGAGCCCTTGCTCAATGTTCCATTGGAAAGCAGTGTTCTGCCCTACATTGTGTTAGAATATGATTGTCTTGTACAGCTAATGGATTTCTCAGGCTTACCGTTAACGAGCATGGCTGAGGTCCAGATGTGGCTCTTGGTAGATGACTGAATTTGTGTGAGGACATAGTTGAAGTCGGATTAGCTCTTTACGTTTCTGTTCGAGGTATGCAAGTAGATCAATATGTGTCAAGTAGAAGGGGAAATTGGGCATGAGCAAGTAGAATTGTTGAAGGGCTATTGAACGATGATCGGTGATCTCACTGCCGGTAGAGACAGGCTTTGATGTCAGAGTGTGGATGGTATCCGGAATGTGTCGGCATGGAAAGACACTGAGATGTCGTTCTATAGAGCAAAAGCCACACCATGACGCAATGTAAGGCCTGCTCTAGGTGGTCTGGTGTTCCTATTTCTGAAAAGCTATTTGGGATAAAGTCGTGGCGTTGAAGAGTGGGGCTGGGGCGCGGACAAGTTCATTGCACGACAGTTTAGTGCCCGATTTGCGGCTTTCACGCCTGCAGAAAGGCAAGTGAACGAAATCCGGCCGTCATCGAAGCAATTTTGCGTGGCATTCCGGTTCCATAGGAGCGTTGCTTAGCTGTAGATCTGACGTAACTAGTAACGCTTGTTTGCTAGAGCCCGAAGCTTGTTTTATGTGTTCTGGACCAGGTCAAAGTGGACCACATGAGTGTGGCGAGCAAAATTCGTCTCATCCTAGCCTGCCGCTCGGCCCGCTCTTAGACTATAGAGAAGAAAACATCGGAATATGGTTCTCCGATCACGTGGAAATGCGCCGACAGATGAGTGCTTGAGTTGTCTCAAGATGTAGGACCGAAGCCGCACCATGTCCACATCGCAATTTCCGGAAAGTCAAGTATTGTTGATGATCTCACAAGCAAGATGAAATAGAATTGACATGAAGAAATGATCAAACATTACTAACTACGTACATCTATTGGTTGTCATCCTCATACTGATCATTGTCTTCATCGAGACCGGGCATCATGACTTGCTTCTGGACCACAGCCCTCGCGTGCGCCACCATCACAAACAACCACAGACCGATGAGAATGATTGTCATGATACTTGTGATCCATTGGATCGCAGGGCTGAGAAGCTGCTTTCCAATCTGAATGAGTGCGATCGTAAGTCCCACGTTTGGGAAAATCATGGCGTACCAAACACACTTAAAGCTCATCTGTTTGACAGTCTGCAGTGTCGCGACCAAAGCAATACAGAAAAACCAGAAAGCTAGAGCCCAGATGAAGATGGCTAACAGCAGCGCCAGTTGTTTCATCATCTCCGCCATTCCCTGGTTGGCTGCGAAAACCCCGTAGTCAGACGGCACGCTCGTTGATATACCGATGAGCGCAAGACCAGTGAAACTCGGTGGGCCAACTGCGATGAACATTCCAGGACGTAGCTTTGGCTCAGGTAGGCCATACTGCATCAATCGCGTGATGTATACGCCGTACATCAAAAACGAGACCATCCAGCCGAGCCCTTGCATGGTGATGCCGGCAACGATGATGGTTGCTTGATGCTGCTCAGGCTGTGTGCTGACAATCTGACTCGCAAATGTTCCTGTCAACATGGCAGGAAATATTGGTAGCAGCCAAGACGGGGTCATTGACTGGACAGTCAAACGATTGGGTGGCGCTGTGAACAGATATGTGTACTGGCCAACTGCAAGCAAGAAAGTACAGGCGAGGTATATCCAGAAAGCGATGCGCTGTACGACCAAGAGCCAAGTGCCACAGACGGGAACAGCGTACGCCTGAATGCAGTCGAAGATGTTGACGATACTCAGGAAAAAGGTCGGGATGAAGAGCGATTCGGTAGGATGGGTGAGGGCACTCATGAATGTCCCGCGAAACATAACAAATCTTGCGCTGATAATAGCTGTAAAAGCAACAAAAAGGACCAAATCATAGATGAAGACCACCTTCCCGATTGTCTTTAACCCTGTGAATTGATTGGGTTGGGCGTTGAGAAGAGTCGCAATACCCCCCGTCGCCATGGTCCCAGCGAACCAAGCAAACGTGAAACTTGGAAATCATGTCAGCTTAATCACAGTGTAGAGAATTTCATCTCTGATCACAACATACTGCTTGATTCGTTGTCTGAATGTGACCTTCTCTGGGTCGTGTAGGTTATCTTTGTCCAGCCGTTCTGATTCTGAGCCATGATTGCTCTCTACCGTCGGCAGATGTGACCGGCGTTGCCTGGTGGAACTGGTCATGATCGAGACTTAGTTCTTGGTAGTGAAAATATTGGTGTTTATTTCGAACCGCAAAATTGCACTCCGCTGCTCGGAAGATAGGATAAGTAGCTCTGAAGAAAAGATCATTGCACCTCGCTGCTCGGGAACAGGATATCTATCTTGCAAGAAAAGATCGCGGTTGACCATCTTGGCATTACGAAACAACTTACCGGTTCTGCTGTGGATCAATCCTCTTATCCTGCATCATCACAGATCGGAGGTTTTTGTACCTAAGCTTTAGTTCCAATAAACAAGCGTCACTGTGAAGCTTGCAGTGGAGCCTAGTACGGATTCGTTGCCGGATCGACACCGAACACGTCCGATTTATTTTCATGTCTCCACCTAACATGTCGCTAATACCTATGACCGTAGTATGATCGCGACTGTTTGATAATAATAGCATGGAAGCTGTCGGATAGGCCGATTGCGCATTTTTGTAGATATGCAGGAAGACGGCACCATGACATCCACAGCTCATCTCAATCTCACTCATACCCAAAATGTCATCCACAAACAAAGACGGCATTGTCCGTCAGGAACCTGCAGCCAATCCAGTCCAATACGAGGCTTCCGTCTACCAAAACGGACTGCGATATGAGCACCCTCCATTCACATTTCACTCCAATCAGTGGGAGCCGGAAGCGGCAAAAGCCATGTCTGCGACAAGCGCTGGCTATGCCATTGGCAACGCGGGAAGCGGCGAGACAGCAAGAAAGAACGTGGAAGCTTTCAAGCGATGGTCCATAGTGCCGAAGCGTCTGATAAAGAGCGAGGATCTTCCCGATCTGACTACCCACGTCTTGGGACATGAGTTTCAGTTCCCTATCGCGGCGGGTCCCGTCGGCGTGCTTCGTATGTTTCTCCAGCCTTGTTCAGCCACCAGTGCAGCATCGAGTAAATTGCTGATACACTCCAGGCATATTTAACCCCGACGGCGAACTAGCAGTCGCTCGCGCCTGCGCAGAAAACAATGTTCCATACGTTATGAGCACAGCATCCAGTACCAACATCGAAGAGGCTGCTGAGGCCAACGGCAAAGGTGTTAGATGGTTCCAATTGTACTGGCCCAAAAATGAGGCTGAGGAGGTTACGATCTCGATGCTCGATCGCGCAAAGAAGGCTGGATTCACGGCGCTGGTCGTCACTCTGGACACATATATTCTCGGCTGGCGACCAAGTGATCTCGACAACGGGTAAGGTCGTGCGCAACGCAAAATACTGAGTAATGTGCTAACGTATTACTTAGGTACAACCCATTCCTTCGATCGGACCAAATTGGAACTGCTATAGGAATGAGCGACCCCGTTTTCCGCAGGCGCTTCAAGGAACAGCATGGCTGTGAAGTGGAAGACGACATGTCCGCCGCCGTATCAGAATGGGCACGCACCATATTCCCAGGCACGAACCACGGTTGGGATGACATCAAGTTCCTACAGGAGCACTGGGATGGGCCTATCATCCTCAAAGGCATCCAGACAGTAGCGGACGCGAAGAAAGCGGTCGAAGTCGGAGTACAGGGGATCGTCGTCAGTAATCACGGCGGAAGGCAAGTTGACGGCGGTGTCAGCTCACTCGCTATGCTGCCTAGGATTGTTGATGCGGTTGGAAATAAGCTCGATGTTCTCTTTGACTCTGGCATAAGATGCGGAGCAGACATTGCGAAAGCCATGGCCTTGGGTGCGCGCATGTGTCTCATTGGCAGGCCTTACGTTTATGGTTTGGTTTTGGGTGGGCAGGCAGGCGTCTCTCATGTGTTCAAAGCGTTGCTAGGTGACCTTGAACTTAATTTGCATTTGTCAGGCATCCTGTCAGCCGACCCGAAGCACCTCAACCGCGATGTTCTAGTCAAAGAATCGGATATGTTTTAAATAGTTACGGTTTATGTCAAAATCTAATAGTAATCTTGAAGGTCTTGGAAACTGTTCCAGAATAGCCATGAAGCGCAAGTGAACAACGAATGCAACATCATTGCACTATTTTCAACGATTTTAATACCTTGCGAATGCACCTTCATCATCATCAATGCCATCAGAATTCATTCATCAAAGCGTCATCGTCTATTTCGTCCTCCTGTCGAAATATTGACCACTCTTGCACTTTAGCAACATGGGCGGAAGTTAGCCATCTCTATCGTAAACGTCTTCCATCTATGAGCGATCTGATGACAGTGCTAAGAAAAAGCTGGGGAGTAGGAGCTTCTTATACTTTTTCAAGGTTTCTGCCGGTCTAACTACTTCGAGTCATCATCGCGGTAATCATCACCACATCATGATCCTCAGCCGCCCTTTCCTCGCGCCTCACATCCCGACGGTCAGCATGCTGTTTATCACCATTGGACATATTTCAATCAAAATCTAATCTTACAATAAGTGTAGGCGTGTGAACTCATTTCAAAAAAACAAAAACAACACAAGTTGTCAAGCTTTCACTCCGGACTGCATTGAGATAAGCCTTCTCCCTTTTTTAGTAGCTTCTTAGAGCTCCTCTACGAAGTTGTGTAAATAAAAGTTAAGATGTAAGGGCGAAAAAGTTAAAAGTCTTTATATGCCTCGCCTAGGCCTAAGCCTTTTATTATCATCACCATCATCGTCGCATGAATCCCGTATCCCAAATTCAATGAGTTGTCATAGATCACACGTGCGACATCATTCTGCTGCAGGAATTCTTGTAGATCCTATAAACCCCTTTCTTTCCCCTTTTAAGATAACTAAGAAAGAGATAGCAAGGGATAAAACGCAAGTTTATATACCCTAAATTTGCCTGTCGCAATCCTCATTATTATCATCGCTACTATCTATGATACTAAAAACACTATTCCTAACAACACACCCGCACGCACGCCAAAACAACCACATTGTCATTAACACTCACTACTTTTGTCTCTCTCTTCTTCGTACTCTACAAGAGCAGTGTGAAAAGGAAGAAGAGAAAAACAGACAGAAGGGGGGTTTATATACGTCGCGCATTAGTTATCCTAGTGCTTATCCTCATCATTATTATTAGTTTCTACTACTATACATACTATTCTCAACAATATATCCGCACGCACGCCAAAACAACCACATTTATGTCAAAAAGTCCCGACTTTTTTCTCTTCCTCCTCCTACTCTACAAGAGTAGTGTGCAGAAGAAAGAAGGAAAGGACAGACAAGAGGGGGGTTTATATACCCCACTCTTTGCCTATCTTAATGCTTATCATCATCACCACCTTAGCATAAACTAAAACATAATGTTCCTATAGATCCATGTCGCGTACGCGCCCACGCCAGCCACCATGTTACTATTGTTGCTATTGTTGTTAAGTATTGCTCTTTCTGCCTCTCTATAGAGAAGAGCAGTGTAGTGTAAAGAAGAAGAAGAAGGAGGGGGACTGCGGGGGTGGAAGAGCTTATATACCTTTTTTCTGTTGCTTTCTTTTCGTCATTCGTGTTTGTTTTGATGGTGAACGTCGTCATCTCTGCTCTTACTACTATTGTGGTGTTTCTCTTTACTAAAACGTAGACTTCTTAATAGATAAATGCGTCTTCCTACTCCATACCAACTACCACATGCATGGGAGCTCAAAGCTCTTTTGTTTCCCTCTTACTCTTACTCTAAAGAGCCTTGTAGAGTAAAGACGAAGAGAAAGCGATAAAAGAGAGAGTTTATATATCTTATCCTCGCGCAGCATAACCTATTCCTATTCCACCTACAGAGAGTAATCGCAGTAATAATAGTAGGAATACTCATTATCACTACTGTCTTTCTTCTTTTTTAATAAAAAACAGTGTATTTGTAAAACATGTAAGTTCTCCTACGCCAGCCAGCCATCTGGCTTATTTCTGTACCTTTTAACTCCTTCTTCTCTTGCTCCACAAAGCTGTGTATAGAAGCAGAGAAGAAATAGAAGAGAAAGAAAGAGGGTTCATATACCCCTCCTCGCTTCATCCCCATGTCCCACCTTAGTGTTCACTGTTTATCATCATCACCACCGCGCTTCTCCCATTCCACTAAAACGCAGTATATTTAGGAAATATTTACGCGGACGTATATTACGCACACCCACTCCAGGCCCCACAGCCATGAAGAGAATTTCTTTGATATTTTATCCCCTCTTTTCTCGCTTTGCAGAGCTGTGTAGAGAAAAAAAGAGAAGAGAGGAGGGGGGTTTATATACCCATCCTTCTTTACCCACATTACGTGACCCTTAGACCTAAGACAATTAGTAGTAACTAAAGGGTAATACTACTTATTACTATCATTATTACTGCACCATGAAAAACTAAAAATTCTTTCTACCTACTATATAGTTGCGCGGACGCGCGACGCACCAGCTCCATGCATTTTAAATTGATTGGCTTTTTTATGTCTAAGCATTGTACTAGACTCTAGACAGCAGTGTAGAGAAGAAGAAGAAGAAGAGATGAAGAAAAAGAGGGGTTTTTATACTTCTCTCTCTCCGCTTAGCATCGTCGTTTTCTTCACTATTATCAATTATCATCATTATCATCTCTCTATCCTACTCTTTCTCAAAACGCATAGGCATGTAAAAACTACAGACGCGCGACCCACTAGCTCCATGCAGAATTTTCTTTGCAGTTTTTTCTTTTCTTAAGTGCTTAGTGCTTTACGCAACACTGTAGAGAAGAGAAGAAAGAGCGTAAAGAAGGGGGGTTTATATACCCATCTACCTATACTATTACTAAGCTAGTCTAGATATAAGGAACTGAGCTCCTGCGATAGCAGTAATGCAGGATACTAATCATTATTATTATTATCTCTCTATCCTACTTTGTCTTAAAACGTATAGACATAATGGGAATAAACACAGACAACGCAGAGACGCCACATGTAGATAGGCTTTGATTTGTGTTTAAACCTTCTTTCTTTAATAGCTCTGCAGAGCAACGCAGTATAGAGCAGAGAAAGAAGAAGAGAAGAAAGGGGGGTTTATATACTCACGTATCTATCTACTGCATTACCTAAGCTATTTCGTATATGCAGAACTTAATTAACATCTTGCAATAGCAATCATCGTTATTATTATTATCATCATTATCATCACCGTCATCTCCCTACTAAATTAAATAAGGGTCGCCTTAGAAGCATAAACATAAAAAACGCAGAAACACGGCACACATAACATCTCCATGGCTAGCATTTTAATTCCTCCTCCTCTTATAACTCTGCAGAGCAGTGCAGTATAAAGAAGTAGAGAAGAAAGAGGGTTTATATACCCACCCACACATCTATCTACCGCATTACTAAGCTTCAAGTTATCTAGATGCTAAACTGAATTCTTGCAATAGCAATAATATAGCAGACACATCATCATCATCATCATCACCACCACCACTACCCTCTTCCTTACTAAATCAAATCAGATTAAAAAACGCTCGCTTTAGAAGCATAAACACACTCCACCCACTACCACCATGTCCTTCTTTTTCGACTTGTAGTTATATCCCCCTCTATCATCCTCACTCCACACCGCAGTGCATTATAGAGAAGAAGAACAAAAGAAATAAGAGGGAAAAAGGCGGGGTTTATATACCCACACTCCTCTTCCTTCCTTCCACCCACGTTATTACGTCAGCTGCAATACCTAACCTAACCTAGCTATGTAGTTCTAATATGTATAACTAGAATCAAATAAAATAAGATGTTGCGACGGTGACAATAACAATAATAATTCTAGAGTTTTACGTGCTGAGCCAAGCACTAAAGCAGTTATATATGTACTTAATTTATCTATTTACTAGCACGTAATAGAGCTGTAACTAAATATCAAGGGGAAGGGGAGAGGGAGGGGGAGACTAAGAGTAGGAGAGAATGACGCCGGTGGGTGGGGAGAGCTAGGAGGAATAGGATGGGGGTGAACAAGGTACTCAGAAAAAGAGAAACTCATCAACCATAACCCTAAAAGAAAAACGGCAACACTGGACCTGTACCTTGCGATGATTCTTTCAAAAAAAAAAACGTTTACATATGTTCGAGTTGAGGTAAATAAGGAAGAGTGCCTGGACTGGACTTATATAGACAGAGAAACAGACAAGACAAGACTGATTTGAATCTAGAGGTCCCGAGCGGAGGATCCCTTCTCCCATCTCTTTTCCATTTCGCTATCTCGCTTCATCGAAAAAAAAAGACAAGGAGAGCGCATACGCAGATTCCCAATCTCGCCGTGTCCAGCCATTCAAACAAGGAAAACCCTTCTCACTCGTCGATCCGTGCAAAACACTCACTCGCGCATGTTGACGACACACCTTATACAATCGCCGGCCTTCATATCGCCGAATGCCTGGTTGATTTTATCCAGCGGTTGACGGTGCGTGATGAATTCATCGACCTTGAGATCGCCATTCATGTAATCCGCGACGAGACCGGGGAGCTGGGTGCGGCCCTTGACGCCGCCGAACGCGCAGCCTTTCCAGACGCGGCCGGTTACGAGTTGGAAGGCTAAATTTTCACATTGTCAGTTGTTGCTTGGAGAGAATGATGAAGAGAAAAAAACCAGGAAAGAGTCAACGTACGCCGTGTGCTGATCTCCTGACCGGCAGCCGCAACACCAATGACGATACTCTCTCCCCAACCCTTGTGACACGCCTCGAGCGCAGCACGCATCACGTTGACGTTGCCGGTGCAGTCGAACGTGTAGTCGCATCCACCGTCCGTCATCTCAATCAGCTTCTCCTGGATGCTCTGGGAGCCGAGCTTGGTGGGGTTGACAAAGTCGGTCGCACCAAACTTCTTGCTCCACTCTTCCTTTGTGTCGTTGACGTCGACGACGATGATACGCGAGGCCTTGTTCTTGACGGCGCCCTGAATCACGCTGAGACCCACGCATCCGGCGCCGAAGACGGCAACGTTGGCGCCCTCCTCGATTCCGTCTTTGCCGGCAGTGATGACGGCTGCGCCGTAGCCGGTGGTGATGCCGCAGCCGAGCAGGCAGGTGCGGTCCATGGGGGCTTTGTCGGTGATGGCGACGACGGAAATGTCTGCGACGACGGTGTATTGGGAGAAGGTGGAGGTGCCCATGAAGTGGAGGAGATCCTTGCCCTTGGCCTTGAAGCGCGAGGTGCCGTCGGGCATGACGCCTTTGCCTTGGGTTGCGCGGATCTTGCCGCAGAGGTTCGTCTTTCCGGACTTGCAGAACTTGCATTCGCGGCATTCGGGGGTGCTGTAGTGGTCAGCGCATACGATTTGAAAGAGGTGGTTCTACGGGAGACAACGTACTAGAGGGCAACGACGTGGTCGCCAGGCTTCACGTTGGTGACGCCCTCGCCGACGGACTCGACAATACCGGCGCCCTCATGGCCCAGGACAATGGGGAAAGCACCCTCGGGGTCTTTCCCAGAGAGCGTGTAGGCGTCGGTATGGCAGACACCGGTGTAGTAGATTTCGATGCGGACCTCGTGGGCCTTGGGCGGGGCGACCTCAATGTCCTCGATGGACAAGTCCTTGCCGGCTTCCCAGGCAACGGCGGCCTAAACAGCAAATCAGCATGACACTTGGATGTTCGCCCGACTTGTTTCCCCTTGCGTGGTGTGGCATGGCATGCGGTCATGCAGTTGGGCGCGGGTGGAGCTAGGAGGTGCGGATCCGCTTTTTGGGCGGCGGAGGTGGAGGGGTAGAATCGCGGCAGTTGGGGCGCGCATCGCATCGCATTGCGTTTTGCGTGTGTCGGGGAAGTATGAAATCGGGATATCGGGATTGAAGAATCGGGGTCGGGAGAGTGATGCGGGTGCAACGCCATCATGACATCTCACCTCATCCATCTGGATCCGGAGAGGGGCAGGGCAGGGCAAGGCAATGGGCACAATGTTGGATATGGTGCCCACACGGAATCGTACGTACCTTGCACGTAATAGTCTGAAGCGGTTGGAAGGAATTGTCAGCTGTCTATTCATTCTTTTGGTGCAGAATCTCGCGAGGTGTGGTGATTCGAGCGAGACAATGAAGCGATTGCAGCTGGATGGAGGGTTGGGCGATGGGGGAAGAGGAGATGACGTCGACGTACCTTTCCTACAGTGTCGGCAGGCATTGTGTGTATTGTTTGTTTTCTTCTGTCGGGTGTTGGAGGATGGATGACTCGCTGGGGAAGGGGATGTTTTGGAGGTAGAAGACAAGTGACGAAGGAGGAGGAGGAGGAGAGTATGGTTAGAGTAGAGTAAAGCAGAGTAGAGGGGAGTGGAGTAGCGGGTCAGGCAGAAGGAGGGGTAGTTGGTCCGTTGGATTGATTGATTTGACTGATTTGACTGATTGCTTGCAAGTCAGCGCGTATGTAACCAAGTACTCAAGTATTTATAAAGCTTTACAAATACATGTTGCTCGGTACATGGCTACATATGTAATCTTTTTCTCGCTTTGGGTGGGGCCATTTGGTAGATGATTGATGTGGGCTGGATAACTTGTAGCAGACAAGCAACCCAACGCGACGCGACACAGACGACAACACGACCAACCAACGACGAATACTATCTACTTGTACTGGCTACACATTCTTCGGACGCTGATAATGATCAGTATATCTGTTGGCACACGAGAATTGTGTGTGAATTGAAGCTGTAGATACATACATATGTACTTACTTAGCCAAGGTACCTAGGTACCTGTGTAGGTATGACGCCAACACACAAACCCCCCCACCACGATAACTAAATTCTCCGAGTCATTCGGCCATCCCTCGCTGCAACCTCGCATCCGCCTATATCCTTACGTCTATCCCCTCCGTCTTACTCGGACCAAACTCGCCGTCAGCCTCTACCATTTCTTATCGCGATTGGCCAGGTTCCCCAGCGCGTACCAAAACATCTCGGGTGTATTAGCTACTTATGGTGATATAGTGAGACGAACATCACGATTGGGAGAATATACAGAGGTAACGAGGAAGGGTCCAGGAACGGGTTTCCGTTTTAGGAAAAGAAAAAAAAATCGAGTTAGCTTTGGAGAGGGGGGGAAGGGGGGTTTGTTGACGATTGAAGAGGTTTGTTTTGGTTGCGTGTGATAAAGGAGATTTGGTTGGTATAGGTATCTGTCTATTGATTTCGAGGTTGGGGGAGTTGGCGACGTCTTGCGTGTCACGCTTCTCTCTCTCTCCTCTCTGCTCCCCCGCGGTGTGATGCAAAACAAAGGAAAGGAGAGGGGTTCAACAAGGCGAAAAGAAAATGAACAAATCAAACTCAAAGAAACGCCGGCGACTGCTGCTGCTGCTGCTACACTCCTAATATGGGGTGCGAGATCTGGACGGCATGTTTAAAACACCTTTCTTGTGCTCCGTTTCCATCTTGATACCCTCTGCCGTCTTGGTGCCACGCTCGGCGCAACATGATGATATCATCGCGAACCAGTACAATCACGCCTCCTCTTTGACAACCTCCCCCATCAACCCCTCCTTCTCCTTCTCCTTATCCCGCCCGCCCTTGCCCAAACTCTTCCAACTCATGCTCCTCCGCCTCGTCGACGCCGGCTTCTTCTCCTTCTCCTTGTCCTCCTCACTCGCCACCTTTTTGACTCCGTGACTCCACTTATTCCGCATAACCTGCTTCTTTTCCCCGACCAGTCCCAGCTTGATGCGCAGCTGCTCCATCTCCGTGTGATCCCGCGTGTTGCGCATGCGATGCACCCACACGCACTCGCCGTCCTCGAACAGGAATTCGCCGCCGACCTGCTTGAAGCTGCCGCCCTTTAGCGCGTTGCTGCCCGTCTTGAGGGCCTGCACCACCGATTGCATCGAGGTGACGAGGATGTTGGACTGGATGTACTTTGGCTTCTTGCCCAGATCGAGCGTGCGCGTCATGCCCAGCACATCGTACAGTTTGCCCGTGGGATCGGCGTAGATGGGGAACGGGCAATTGGTGGTTTCGGCGTACATCTCGATGAGATCCGGGCGGCCGCAGCCGATGACGGTGATGAAGGTCGGGGTCTCGAGAGCGAGGAGCTCCTCGGGGGTCACCGAGGAGCTGATCTCGCGGAGATATTCCTGGCAGTTGCCGCAGAAGAAGTGGCGGATGAAGATGACGAGCTGGCGGGGCGCAATGGTCATTTGCGAGCCGTGTTGGCTGTGATCGTCGGCGTGGTTTGTGCCCCTGTAGATTTCGCCAAAGGGGCGCGATTGGCCCTTTGCGTCGAGGACGAGGAGCTTGTCAGCCGCGGTCAGGTCGGCGGTAGTAGGTACATCGTTGGTGACGGAGACGTTGCCGACGAAGTCGAGGTCGGTCGGTGTGGACGAATCTTGCGAGGGGCGGTCTTTGGACAGGACGGGGGTGGTGCTGGAAGGCGAAAAGGGCGGCGTTGACGGGGCGGCCGAGGGGGAAAAGGAAGGTCGGGGATCGTTGGCGGAGGGAGCGACAATGTTGAGATTGGCGTGGGCGCCGCTGCCAGCTTGCGAGGGCGGCGGGGTGGGCAGTTTGGACTGCGATTCTATCGTGGCCATGGCGGCGGCGGGTACGATGATTGAGAAGCGCACAGGATGAGGTGACTGTTCTGGCGCGTGTCGCTGGGAGCGAAGATGTGTGGTGTGGTGATTGTGGGTATACGTGTATGGTGTTGTAAGGAGTTGGGTGTTGGACCCTTTGTGACGATGGTGGTACAAGGGGGTATCAAGGGGTAGTTGTGAAGGGAGTATTACTCGAGGGCAGCAGGCGTGAATGCTAAATATACAGCCAGCAAGACGGATGGGCTGAAGGGACAGAAAGGAGGTATTATCGTCATGCTATGCTATGGGTGGAAGCAAAAGCAAGCAAAAGCATCCTCTGGGCTCCCTGCGACAAGTTTCGCATCCCATCCCATCGTGGGCGGCCAAATGCAGGGAAACCCGGGCGCTCTACGTCAGCGGCACGCCTCTGCCCCTTGCTACCCGCCAATCGTCCACCTTGCCCTGTCGACTACACACTATCATGGCCACGCTGCAAACTTTATATACGTCAATGCCTGTATCTCTACCTGGCCTGTAGGCTAATGGAGAGGGGAAAAAAGAAAAAAGAAAAAAAAAAAACACATTAACCTTGAATCTTCTAGCTGTGCTGGCAGAGGAGTAGGACGGGGCTCCCATCACATGAAGATCGGATCAAAGAGAGACTGCGCCTGCTCCCCCTAGCCACGTCGTCATTGCTCTCTCTTCTTTTCTTTTCTTCTCTTTTTCTTCTCCCTGTCATCGCTTGTTTTCTCGGGATATCGATTCAATTGTATTTGGGCTGCTGAATTCATGGTGCCTTTGAACGTGCTTCAAACCCTGTCTCATGATGCTCTCCCCGTACCCAATCGATGCACTGCTCCCCATTCGGGCCTAGTGCAGATCTCTCGGCAACGCCCCAATCTCATCTCAACCACGATCCCTTTCATCCCCGCCATCCTCACCCACCACTCCCCCATGCATTCCTCAATCTTGACAGCAAGTCGGTCCCTTTTTTCCCCTCATTTTTCGTGCCTGATCCATCCCTGATCGCCTCTCGGTCCGCTTCCCATCCCCTTTTTCTCGTCATCCTTTTCTTGTCCCCCTTTCCAAACAAATTCCATCATGCCTCCCCGCGTCCTGACCCCGCCGCCGCCGCCGCCGACATCTTTTCGTGAATCCTCGTCAGCACCTCAGTGTACTTGCTGTACCCCGGGAAATCCACCCCCTGACAGTCCCGCCTCATCTTGACTGCGCTGGCCGCATACTCCAACCCGTGCTGCCAGTCTCCCGTCCGCTCACACAGCATCGCCAGCTCCAACAGCAGATGCGCCAATCGCGTCGTGTACTCGCCCTCCTGCTTGCACAGCATCACCAGTTGCAGCATCTGGCTCGTCACAACCGTGTTCCTGACGTCCAGGTTATGACCCCGGTACGGCTTAATCGTGTTCTGCAGCTCGTCGATGCGAAACCGCCGGTCCGCGCTCTCGCTGCTCGTGCACGCTGGACACTCGCACCGGAAGCCGTAGTGGTCGAGTAGCCACATCCGCAGCGCCATGTCGCCCGTCATACCGATGTACGTTACGGTGATCTCCTCGCCTTTGCGAATGTTCCGAGTGGCGTGAATAACCTCCCGCTTGAGCTCCGGGTGCCAGCTGAAGTTTGCGTTGGGCACGCACGAATGGTTGAAGCGCGCCGCGTTGGGGAAGACAGCTGCTCCGTTGTTCCACTCCATGCAGTTGATCTGGAAAATGCGGCATGCCGATGGGTTGGCTGCGGTGCCGCCCCAATCGTCTTGCTCGCCGTCGGGGGAGAGACCTGTCGTGAGAGACATGTAAAGTTCCTTCTGCTCTGGCGTGAGCTCCTGAAAAGCGTCTTCGACATCGTCATATGAGTAGTTGCCGTTGGGTATAGTGAGTAGAGGCTCGTCGACGAGGATGCGCGTCCCGCAGCTGATGTCTTGCTTGGCGACGCAGCCGTAACCCTTGCCGGGAATTTGGCGGGCTTCAAAGTACTCGTTGTCTTTGCAAACACCTTCTGTTAGCGGGCAGTCTCTCAGGTGGGTGGGTGTGTTTATACGCACCTACTACCTTGGGCCCAGGTAAGGATTTGCCGGCATCTCCGCCATCCACCGTCGCCATTGTTGCCGGTCAGTCGAAATTCGGCGTGGCTTGAGGGGGTTTATGGTCGAGTATCCCTCCCCGTTGTAGGTATTTAACGGACAAAGGAAGCGGTCAAAGGTAATTGCGAACGAGATGTTATCGTGATCAACCTAAACAGACTATTGCAACAAGGTAAAAGACAACTCAGGCAGTCGCCCCTTCCTTTTACTTCCCACCCATTCCCTTCCCAGAGCGTGAGCGTTCTCTTCTCAACACCACCCCCTTCTTGGTAGACATGTCAGTTGTGTTTGAATGCAAGATGCAAACACGTCTTCTATTGCTTCGATATGCTTGCAGCGCATATTTCATGTTCTTTTTAGGGCAAGACTCGCATACACACTTGTATTAATGCGCGTGTATAGGTATATGTGCGTTGCGAACTACATATCCATGTTTTAGCATGTTCGAACATCAAAATTATCATGTATCATGTACATTCATACATCTACGATAATGCAAATACTCTCGTCATCACATTTGTATCCAAGTTCACCATCTCAATGCATGTTCGATCCTACGCATTTCTCCGGTGTATACTCGAGTAGACATTCAAGTGATACAAATGTGATGGCGGGGCACATCTTATCCCGATCCAGCTTAGCGTCCCCTATGAGTCAGCAAACGTCACCACCAACATTGAAGTCGATGAAGCAACAGATGAATAATGAGCCTCATCCTTATCGTTGCAGACAAATTCGCATCGCAGCAAATGGACCAAATGCCAGGGAACGCAATTCCCTCCAAATCCTTCACGAATTTGCCTCCGGAAGTTCGGAACGCCATTTACAGCCTCTGCACTCCCGTGACTGGCTACATGCAAGACTTCAGAGGCCTCCTCCTGGTATCCAAACAAGTCCGCGCAGAATATGAACACGAGGCTGTAAACACAATGTCCAAGTTCCTCGATCGCATTGAGAAGGAATGGCCCCATGAATTGGAGCTCCGCATCCAACGTCCCACAGCCTTATCGACACTGCAATATATCAACGTCCGGCTCCCCGTCTCCATCTACGACCCGTTCAAACCCGACAGCGCTGAGGAGGTCGACGATGTCCCATCTCTCAGCCGTCTCGAACCCTGCTTGAAACCACTATTCTCCCTCTGCCTCTCCGAACTGTCACTTGGATACTACTTCGACGACGGGTATCGGAGCCCGTCGGTAATGCTTACATCCCGGCTCCTTCCATACGGCCTCCTACTCGATCTAACAAACATCCTCACCCCTCCGAGCGAATCTGACAACTTCCATTGCCCGCTTCGGAAATCGCGCCAGTTCAGACTCGAACGGCCCATGCGCGTGAGAAGATTGCGCTATCACTGGGCCATACCGGATCATTCTAGCAGCTCCTTTCGCACATATGTTGAGAAGGCTAACACGGGGTTTTTCTTGAGCGAGGTGAAGACGTGGCTGTGGCAGGAGGAGGAGGATAATGTGGTTAGGAACTGGGGGAGTAGTAGTAACGGTACTGTGTTTTTTGATATCAATGTTTGATTGGTGGAGTGTGCATTCTTGGAGTTCTGATTCTCGCTATCGCCGGTTCCGTCGCGCACGCGTATATTCCCTTGGTCTTTCACATCTCTATGTACTTCCGAATACTTCACAGCAATGACTCGGAATACCGCCTCTTCCAGAATGCCAATGGATTCCCTTAGTATCCAACACTACACCACATTCCTCGGCCTCTCGAAACCAGTCCGTTGAGCATTTCGTAGGTTTTGTTCGCTGGCTTCATCAGCAGTACCACACAAGCAAACCAAAACCTCACTCAGATCTAAACCATTTCCGCATTGACCCACGGACCTCCGACATCCCCCATTGCCCCGGGTCACGAGCATCCATCAAAAAACCTCCAATCATGACGTGCGACTTCCCCTGGGGAGGATATATAAATCGATCCTCCGCTCTCATCTTTACTTCTTCTTTTTCTTCTTCACCTCACACCACTGGTGGCATCAATAAAAATGGTATCCGGTAAGGTACATTTAATAAAATTGAAACACGACACGATATGTGCGGTTGTTCGCTGCGTCGCCGTGCTTTTCCGTGGGTTCTCAGCACATTACGACTTCATTTATTTCTTTTAGTTCACCCCTAGCAACAATAGCAATAATAATAATGATAATGATCTCCATACTCTCCAAGATAATCAAATGTTCCAAAAATGTCTTCAATTCAACGTACCATGAATTCCCACCTACCAAGCACCCATGCAATGCTAAGACTTCTACATCTATAAAAGCTACCCTCTTATTATTATTTCTCCTCTTTTTCCTCCACACTGCTATGGAAGTGTTCGTCTAGAGCATAAACATTAAAATGGAGGAAACATGTGTCCAGTGCGTGCTGGCCGTCACCCACAACACCATTAATACATACTTCTCCACCCCTTTAACCTTTCTACTTATAATCTAATACTCTTTATAATAATCTTCATCATAACCACCCCACCCTACCCTCCTAAAAAAAACTCTACCTCCTATCCCGTTTCCTTATAAAATCTTATACACGCAATATCAACTTACTTCTATCTCTTTATGCTAGCTGGCTAGCTAGCTTACTAACTAACTTACTGACTAGATAGATAGATAGAAAGATATAAAAAGGTCTCTCTTAACCTCTTCTCCTTTCTTTTCCTTTTTTTCTTTACATCACTGAGGATGTGCTGGGTTACGTGGGATACTAAAACACGGATTTGAACATAATTGATGTGTGGAGCGCGTCCTGCGTCCCTAGAAAAGCATATACATGTTTATCTATTGCTTTTTAAGGATCTTAGAACGTAATAATAATGATGATGATGATGTGCAGTATTACTACTATTATACTGTTTAAAGCTTAGCGTAAACAGTAGAGAAGGAAGCAAGGAAAAGTATAAAAGGACGCCCTTTCTCTTCTTTGTTTCTGTTCTTTATACTGCGGAGGGTGTGTTTAGGGCAAGAAGATAGAATAAAAAAGATAATTTATGAACAGATAATGTGGTGGAGACGTTCTAGGTAAGTTCTTAAGCGTGATAATAGTGTTTATCACTGCTACTATTATATGTTTTAGGCTAGGAAGAATAAGGGGGTAAGAAAGAGTATAAAAGGAGGCCCTTTTTCTTCTTCTTTCATCTTTTCTACGCTACTAAGGGTGTGTTTAAAGCAAGAAGGTATAATAAAAAAAGATATAAGTCCTCATGATGTGTTGGAGACGTTCTAGATGATTAGTTATGTGCATTCTAGGCGCGTGATAATGCTCTGCATTATTGCGTTTATAATAGAGTTTAGCGCAGAGAAGAAAGGTATAAAAGAGCTCTTTTTCTCTGCTTCTTCTTCTTCTTCTTTTCTTTCTTTTACTTTCTTAAAGAATGTGCTTAGGGCAAGAGGGTATAATTAAAAACAACATTCGAAAATGTCATATGTTGGTGACGTTCTAGGTGCCTAGTTGTTTATTTTATAGGCGCGTGATAATGCTCTGCATTATTGCTACTATAATAGAGTTTAGCGCAGAGGGGAAAGGTATAAAAGAGCCTTTTTTCTCTGCTTCTCTGCTTTCCTTTCTTCTCTACACTGCTTTAAGGGGGTTTAATTATAAGATATTATAAGAGTTATTAAACAGCGATGTAATGCTGAGGCGTTAGACGTCTTACACATTAACATGCGTACTTCTTCTATGTCTTCTTATTTAAGTACGCGATAATGCTCATCGCTATTATCTTAAGTCTTGTGTTCTGTGTTTTTCTACAACTAGGTAGCAATTCCGCATAGACTATCTACTCCTGACCTTTTTTAATAAAGTATTTTTTAATGATAATGATGATGATAATAGCAGTTATTAGTATTCTCCTAGCCTTCTTTCTAAGGAAGGAGAGGTATAAAAGCTCTTCTTTTTCTCTGCTTCTTCTGCTTTTTTCTTTTTACTATAGCACTTTTACGTGTGTAAATGTAGTGTATAACAACAACTTGGAATCGCAAACGCCATGTTCTGTGTTTTGAACGTTTGGAAGTTTAGTTGCATAATCATCTACTTTCTATAATATTAAACTATTAGGTAGGTTGCGATAATAATGCTAATTATAATAATTCTTATACTAGATGCTTCCATCCTGGACGGAGGGTATAAAAGACACACTTATTCTTCTTTCCCTTTTCTTTTCTTCCTTACACTTCTGGAATTGCACTTACACATACTTATTTAAAACGAGAGTCACACCCTTGCATGTGTGTAGTTCAAAGGAAAGAAATCAGCTCTATTAGTAGAAGCACATTTGTAACTCCTTTAAATGTTGTCAACACGCGGTAATGATCCTTATTAGCTTTAAGTTCTGCCAAGACTTGGGAACTAGTATAAAAGCTTCTCTCTCTTTACTCTGTCTCTTCTTTTCCTTCTTTACGCCACATAGCGTGGAGATTAGGGAAACTAAAGATGAAGTGCAATTTGTCAATGTTTGTCGGCCTCTGAAGAGAAAAGGCTAGAGTTGCATTTTTTAGTTCTGTTTGTAATAATGATGCTCATTACTGCGGATTCTTAGCCCCCCTTGGATGAATATAAAAGCATTGCTTTGAAAAAGCTTATACTTAAGAAGATTAAACGCGAACCTGGAAGCTATGATGCGTGTGGGCTTTTTGAGGGTGTTAGGGCAGTAGCAGGACGTACTCTGCCTTCTACTCGCCGGTAGTAGCTACGCTGTGATGATGCTACTCACCACTCTGTATCTGCCTCTACAAGAGGATATATAAAGCCTCCTGCTTCCTCTCTTTCTTTCTTCTTCTCTTCATATTGCTTGTAGTGTTTTCTAACGTAGAAAACTACAAGATGCACAGAGTAGACATGAGTGCGCACTGTTTAGTTGACTAGGTAAATAACGCACATATGCACCACTCCTGTAGTTCTAGTTATCTTGCAATAATGATGCTTATTACTGCTTAATCAACTGATCTTCTACTAAAGCGCATCTATAAGTGCAATCTCTTTTTCTCTGCGTTGATGTCTTTCCTTTGTTACTTCCTATGGCGTGCATAGATTAATAGATTCTTAAGACTGTTTACTCCTAGCTAATGTGGGCACCTTCGAGTGAACTGGCTGTGCGGACATAAACATACTATCTCTTATGTTTTAGTAAACACGCAGTGATGATGAGTATTATTGCTTAATCCCCTGATTTACCGCTGGGACGAATATAAAAGGACTGCCTGTTTGCTTACTTGTTCTTCTTTTCTTTACAGTACTTGGGACGTGCTTGCATGCTAGGTATTAAAGATAAATGCAGCGAGTTGAAATGTGGGGGGGTTTTTTTTTCTGGACTGAAAAAATACGTGTAATATGCTATTATTAAAGTTGCCACGCGATGATGATGATGATGATGATGATTGCGATGTTAATGCTAGAGCAGATCAACTGCGCGCTGCAACTAACTACTAACTAGAATTAGTATAAAAGCGCGACTTATTGCTTGACTTGTTCTCTTTTCCTTTACTTTGTTCAGAAAATGTACGGATCTCTGGATTCAAATCAGCTTATCTGACTCCCCACGTGTGGTCTTCTAACCGACTGAACACGCAAACACTTGTATGTTACCCGCTAGTCGATCTTAATGCAGTGATGATGATGATAAGGATAATAATGATGCGTATTACTACTCTACCCCTAGATACCCGCCAGGACGCGTATAAAATACCGCATTCCTTCACTCGTTCTCTGTTACCATCTACCTACAGCATCTGCGACATTCAAAAGTAATGAATTAAATAGACAATACCGCGCGACATGATGTGTGTGGTCTTTCTGGGCTCTGGAACGTGCCCATACCCAGAGTCTGAAGTGTGAATCGCAGTATCATTGTCCTTCGTGGTCTGCCAGACTTGTTGGCCGCCCTCGCATTTATGAGTTGTACTCTTTTCTTAGTAAAGATGCAGGGCGTGCAATCGCATGTGTAGTCTGTTCTTGTGTTTTTAGTTGATCTGCAGTGATAACGATAGTGATGCTATTTATCACTCATCTGCCTCGCATCCCCCGCCGAGAGGCATATAAGAAGCCGCATCCTCTCGAGTTTCCCTCTGCTCTTCTTCCTTTCTACACTATCTAGAGGCTGTATTATAGTGGCATACGAAAAGAGAGATACCAATAACCCCATGTGTGCGATTCGCTTTGCGCAAAAGCCGTGCAAAAAATGCGTCTTCCTTCTGGCTTCTAGCTTATTTGTGTTGGCGATGATGAGCCTCATCCTTCCACTAATCTTCATATGACATCTTGCTTATCGGTTGCAGTGGAAAGCAATAAACAACAGATTGCCCGAGTGTTTGCTCTGGGGGCATAAAAGGCTGTCTTCTCCCTCTCGCCTTGTCTCTTCTGTATACTAATGTACAATGTGTTGAGACCTGGGTTAAAAACAGCCCGGGAAAACACGTATATTGCTGGGGGGTATCTTGGGTGTAAGATAGCGGCGGTGATGAAGTACATAGATAGTTTTTTCGTTTGTTTTAATTACTGTGTGTGGTACTGATGCACCTTATCGCCCAGTGCTCTGTATGTACGATCATGTTATGTCGCATCTTGCCTATTGGTCCTGGTGAATGAGAGACAATCATAATTGCGACGAACTACCGGGACGAGTATATAGGGCAGTATGTGTTCGCCCCTTTACTACTTTTTCTCCTTCTTCTTACATTGCTTATAATAACAGAAGAAAAATTGCGGGAAGCAGAGGTCATATGTGTCTCGCGTCCCTTTTCGCGCTTATACAATTTTACTCCTCAGGTATTCTCCTTCGGCTTCTTTTAGTGAAGTGCCATCGGTGATGATGCTTACTAGTCTTTGATTCCTAGACCAGCTGCTGGCTAGGGTATCAAAAGACTCTTGCTTTATACTCTTGTCCTGTTTTCTTCCTCCTTCCATATAGTAAATGAAATTCCAATCCCTTCAGGAGTTGAAACAAATCCAGAATCCACGTCTATCCGTGTGTCCTGTTTGTCTCGTGTGGTAGATTATACATAACGTTAATTATTTTAGTAAAGCTGTGGCGGCGATAATAAGTCTCATTGTTGGCAGCGCGTGCTTCTCATTGGTCAGCACACGCTTATAACCAGTTGGATAGGATATAAACGTTCGCGCTTTCTCTTCTTTTCCTCTCTCTTTGTTCTTCCTGTCACATAACCTGTTGATTTCAATCAATCAGTAAACAAATAAGTTAGCCGGAATTTCCATGTCCTGGGGACAAGTGGAATAGATGGCACACATGCTTCAACCTACTTAAGTTATTTTAGAACCGAAACGTAGTGATGAGGATCGTCATCAATATGTTTTATTGTACTTCCTATTGATTAACGTAAATTCACGAGCTACAGAGAAGAATGGATAATATTACCCCTTATGTTTGTTTTCCCCTTTTCATTTTTCCCGGGCGTTTTCCAATATTTGGATTGGGCAGTAAATGCATTATGTGACATAGCTCAGTCAACATCTTTGGCTTTCTATGGTATATATCTACCCCTGTGGAATTAAGGCAAATTTATCGCATTAGGGAACGATGATGAATATTATCATGAGTCTTCTCGGGTTCCTACTAGTTAGCTGAAGCGGAGCCTCTGAATAAGGGTATGTAAGACCCCATTATGACTTTATCCATCTTTTCTTTTTCTTCACACCATTTGTGGCATTAAAAATGTCATATTAAATGAAAAAATCAACTGATCATGTCCTCTGTGTCTTTTCTTTGGCCGAAGGGCGTGCATGTTCCGCCTTTCTCCGTTTCTTTTGGGGGAACTGGAAGCGGTAATGGAGATTATTGCCAGTCTTTTCTAGCCCTTATAAGCTAGCCCGCATTTACAGTTCACAAACAAGATCATCATAGACTCCTTCTCTCGTATTGCTTCTCTATTCAACATGTTTCAAAAGATGCTCTCGGTGGTAGTAAAAGAGACCTGGGCATTCAAATGGCATGGCTTATGCTATAGGCTTTTGTCTTTGGGTTGGTGACACGTTTGACTCATATGAGGTCCTGAATATAAGAAAGCGTTGATGACTATCATCATTAGTTTACTTAGTAATTTTTAATACACTCGAATTAACGCATATAAAAAGGCTCCTTTAATCTCTTTTTCTACACTTTTCTTCATTCCTGAGACAGCTTGCGGTAAAGAGAGAGCTGGAACTGGAACTAGGACGCAATTATGCTTTTTTTCCTGCTGTAGAGAGTGCGTACAGCATTCTTTACTCTTTTTGTAGAAGTAGCAGTGATGATAAATGTCATTGCCTGATTCTATCTTACTAATACAAACTTAGCGTCTACGTTGTGTAGTATATAAATGTCCCTGTTTCTTTTTCTTTACTCTAACTATTCAGCTATTTTGCAATGTGAAGACGGGGTACCAAAAAACCATCCGCAAAAGTGGGCATGTCCTCGTTGTAGAGGTAAATAGCGCAGCCTGACTGTTATGATCAACTTTTAAGAAAATAGAAATGATGGTGGTGGTGACCATTCCCACTATCATCGGAAAGCAGGTACTAGCCAACTCTAAGTATACGTTGATACAAAAGCATCGTTCCATCTTTAATTCTTGCTCGATCTCGTTACATCAACAGCGAGATATAGACAGAATCAATGATATAAGGAACGTTCACGTGTATTCGTGTCTACACAAGAAACTCGCATTCTCTGTGCTTGCCTCTTAGGTTTTTTGTTTCTGTTGGTAATGGCGGTGATGTGCTTCATCATTGAAATATGTCTTACTAGTGTATATTGAGTTTCTGGGGTGCACTATAAAATGCGCTTTCATTCAGTTTTCCTTTTCTCCTCTCTTCTCTACACCACTTGTGCCAAATCATTGAAGCACCTGAAGTAGGTTGTGTCTAAGATCATGTTCTTTGTCGCGCGTGCGGCAGCAGGTCATGAGCATCATACGTTATACACTTATAGTAAAATCAGTAGGTAGCATCAACAACGACGATGATGATAATGATGAGATTTATGATGGTGCTGGCCACGAGCGTCGGTGAATATTATCGTCATCATACCAAACATCCATAGCTCCTATCCAATATCCTCCCAATTCAGAAATTTACAAGCCCATTCAGGGTACCAGAATCATAGTCTCGCCGTCACTCTTCCGCCAACAGAAATTGTAGACCCAGTCATAAAGCTCGCCGCATAACTACAGATTTGAACGATCATGTCGGCAATCTCGTCTGTGCTTGCGAGTCGGCTGAGCGGAGTCAGAGCCTCAAGTTGCTCTTTTAATCCGGGCATTTGTTCGAACATTGATTTCCGTGCCCTCGGGAATCACCACATTGACGCGAATTAACATCCGTAAGAGGTACAATGCAGCTACCTTCGCGGCGGCAAGAATGGCATGTTTCCAGGGTTGGCCAGAATATAGCTGACGGAGCTGAGATTTGCAATTGAGCCGCAGCCGAGAGTTCACTCTGAATGGCGACGTGTGCATAGATCGTAAACAGAAGGATGTGATTGGCCATCGTAAGACTCTCGTTCAGACGTAGAAGAATCAAGTAGTTTTTAATCCCGACCGGCGAATGCGCGAGAGAAGCTTTTCATCCTCGATTTCCGATTTCTCAATCCCGAAGCAAGTCATGTACACGGGTACCATGTCATGAGGACCGCAGGGTCGGCAATCGCCACTTGCTCGACGCTTTTCGAAGAAGTTCTGAAGACTGGTGGTGATAGCGTGCTCTAAAGTATGGCCGTCATCGAGTCGCGCCGCCTTAATGGCGGCAGCCTCGTCGGGGGAAAAGTACGGCATGCTCAGATACAGCTCGTCGGTTGTTTGCAACGTGCGATTCTCGGACGTCTTATCTTTTGCGTTTCGTAGATCGTAGATGAGGACGCAAATCTTGTACCATATATCTTTGTCTTCTCGCAAGTCTGCGACAGTTCGGATTGCCTTCGTAGGGCTTGGTCGGGCCGCTGCTTCTAGATCCTGGTCTTTTTTCTTTCCATTTTTGGTCTTTTTCTTAGGTGTCATCGTTCTTTTTGAGGCAAGATTGGGTTTCGTACGATGTTGCAAGAGTATGATTGTTTGAATTCGACTCTGTAGTTAAGGTAGTTGGGGAGGTGACATGTGCAGTATCTTGCGGAGGTGCGGGGATTATATCTCGCTGAGCATGTGAATGGTCCATGCGTTGATCAAGCTCAGGTGGACGAGAACTAATGTTCTGTAACAGCGGTTTCGTGATAGGCTAGAAAATCGAGTATTGGGCTTCCTAAGCCTGGGCTTGAGGAAATCTAACTCTTGTATGTAAACATACAAGATCATCTTCACGTGAACTCTGGTAGAAAATGGAATCTCGAAAACGACACCACGAATCCAACGACGCATCAGTGATGGATAATTGATAGAGTCATCTATACATCCTGCCAATAGACGGATATGTATAGCCTGATCTGGCATACATCATTTTCTAGCGGATGAGTCACTTCATGGCGAAAATGCCACAGACATATGGTCTAGCGCAATAGGTGTGGCTCAAATAGTCAATATATTGTATTTTATTACTATAATTTGTAGCTGTACATGTATATGTAACAGTATTGACCTCGTTACGGATATATGACCAATGGACCGTTCAAGTACGACGAGCGTTTCCACCAGATCTCATTAATCATCATGATCTCAAATAGGATTATCGACAAGCATAGGCGAGCGCGGATTGGACAACAGCGGCGTCAACAAACAGTACTCAACCACAAAAATCAACTCGATTCAAAAACACAGAGGCCAGCTTTCCCATGCCAGTGAGATTTCGCTGATTATTTGTCAATGAAATTTGTGTCAGACACTAGCAAAAATTCCATCCATCTCTTGCGCGTTGTTCGCTGTAATCTATAGGGAAAGTGGCTTCAAAATAAGTCTTCGTATTTCTATTAAAATCAGGATAGAAAACGTAGTAGCTCAAAAGCATCCTTCTCAGCCCCCATTGAAAGTCACTGTCATACACAGCCATTCCCTAAGCCCTCGGAGGACGATACAAATCCAGTCGGAACTGATTATCTTCAAGCTCAAGGAAATCTTTCATACGTGCCCAGCCCTGTTCCAGTTCTTCCCGCACTTTATCAATGTTTGGTCTGTCTTCGGGCCTAATGCTGATGCATTTCATGACAAGATCCCAGAGTGCCTCCGAGTACTCGGCGAAGATTGGGTGTTCCTCTCGGTCAGGTGGGTTGTTCTCACACCAAGCAATATTATCATCGAATTCTGGGCCGGGTCTTCGCTTATAAAAGTATGGCCCGTATGAATTTATTCGATGGCCCATCAACTCGTATATGATGGCCCCGATTTGAAACACATCGCATTTATCGGAAATAGGCTCGAAGTACAGGTCGGTTAATTCATGAAGCTCCTTTGACGTTGTCAGCAGTTATCAATAGTAATCCGCTCGAAAACTTACCGGCGGGAAACGCAGGTCGCCTCTATCGATCTGTCCCGAAACAATTCGATACTCTCCGGGATTATCTCTATGGTCGAATGGGACGGTGAAATCTGTAGTGAGGTCATAGAAAGTGAGACCAAAATCGGCGAGTATGATGCGGGGATACTGTCAAGCAATTAGCCTTGAAAGCGCATCGAGGTAGTCTTTCTTACATCTTTATTCTCGAATTCGTCCTCAGGTTCCTGTTCGCTCACAAACACATTTCGGGCGCCTATGTCACGGTGCACTAGTGGACGCCAGTCTTCAAAATCTCCGCGCTTCTCGATGTCATGGTGCCCATGGCGGAATGTTTGTCCGGCCTTTACGAGCTCGCGGAACACATGCCAAAGGAACCCTTCGGGAAGGCGCTCCTTTTGGGGATGTTTCGAAGTATTCCATTGCCCCAAATTGCCATCCATGTACCTGCGTCGGTCTTGTACACTATCTGTCAGATCTCCAAAAGCGTGGTAGTCCATGAAGATCCTATATCTCTTGTCGAACATCATCAGTCGGTAACCGCGGTGCCTCATCAAGTTGCGATATCCAAGAGGATCCTTTTCTCGTGCGTTGTCTATAATTCGATGTATGCAGATCTCTCTAGGTAGTCGTTGTCGCCATTCTATCGGATTGTACATTTGCTTCTTGGCAAGCGTAGCCTCCTTGCAAACTATACTCTTTTTACAGTATCAGCATCAGAGTTCAACGTCAGATGATTCTGAATACACTCACCTCTACCACATTACCATTCTTGTCATTCCTGACCCATAGACCTGCAGCACCGAAGGAGCCTTGTCCCAGCAACTGACTACCCTTCCACATGCCCCTGGTTTCCCATTCATCCGGTTCATGAAGTTGTCTTAACCATTTCCTCACGATTTCAGCATATTCCGTATCTCTAGGGCCATATGTAGCTGGATTCTGAGCTAGTCCCACAGGGGTATCGTTCCAAGGAATTCTGGGCCAAAATGGAAACGGATATTCCACATCTGCATCAGCCCCATCGGTTGCGGCATTGTTTTCAATCGGACTCTGACTTTGATCTTGCTGTGAGTCCTGCGATGCGGGTGCTACTCCTGAAAACGACAGGCCAGGCATAGGGTACGGCGGCGCAGGCGCTTGGTTCGGCGGTGGCGGCGGCGCCAATGGATTACTACCATTGCTATTCCAATTTTTGTCGCTTTTCCACTGATTATATGCTGTATTTCGATCTTGCTGTGTATAAGGATGGGCAGGAACGACTGTTTCATTCCAATCGGGGATCACTCGGGTCTTGTCACGCTGCGCATCACGGAACCGCTGCTGAGCGTTCTCGTCGCTGCTATACCACAGGCACTCTCTTGTCCATTTTTTGCCCTCTGTTATGCATAAGTATCTTAGACTGCAATTTCGGCACGGGTACAAGGGGATGGAGGATAGATGCATACGTACGTAGAGTCCAGTCTGGTCGGTTATCTCTGGCCCATTGCTCGAAAATTCCCCAGTAGAAATAATCAGGGGCAGTGCCGTATGGTGGTTGTCTGATGGGTGCTAGGTTTTGAGCCATGAATAGAGTATTTCAGGTAATGCCGTCGGTCAGTAGAATTAGATTATTCCAAGGATGATGTGTATGAACACTCATTTTCGATTGGGAGACATGTTTCTTTTCTTGCTACATTGAACAAAGACGCCGGAAACGGTATTTGTGATGTGAAGCTTGATCGCAAACAAAGCGCTTGTCCGGAATAGTAGTGTTCATGGCCGGGGCAAGTGTTTCTTGCAAAAGGTGGTTGAGATCATCCATTACGGTGACTATAGGTAGTCTGTTCTCTACAAAATGTTCTCCGGACTTATTTCCTGGTCCTTGTGCAGCATGAAGCACATGCGCAGTTCTTTGTTTACACGCACATGTGCACACTCTGCCCTGACGAACAGGGCTCGTATCCAGACATCAGGGAAATTTTAGTGGTTACGCTTCGTCAAATCTATCTTGCTCAGAATTACGATAGTCCACATAGTCTTGTCAGAAAGAAAATTCCCGTTGGACAGAAAGGCTCATCACGTGGTTATGGGTCACGTGATTGCAATATCATCACGTGATATCATCCCCTCGCATGCAGACATGCGCTCTCGCCACCCAGCATCTCCATTAGTCGCACAAAGAGAGTGAAAAGCTCCACTCACAAACCCCGTTCTTGACACCATCAATTGATCAGCAATCAGCCATTCCCCGATCCAACTCATACGAAGTGTTTGTGCCGCATAAAATATGCGATGATCACATAATAGCCCTAGTTACTTTGGATACGTTGAATACTTGTCTCAGCCCCTATATTTGAACAGTGCGATCGTGTTCGTGTTATGAATACCCACATATGTCCATTGCACGAATCGAGGATTCATGACCGTCCACATGTATTGATGATCGATCGAATAGGTAGCGAATCCAGAAACATTGGCGATAGGACCAGAACTACAGACGGCAGAAGAAACTACGAGGACCAGTGCTAACAACTACGCTACGATACTCTGACCTTTACGTACGTCACCAATCAAATATTGAGCCCGCTATGTGCTCGGTATTAATCAACAGTCACGGAGGCAAATAGTTATGTGAGAACATGTGTTGCATCAGATGAGAAATGATATTTTTTGGTCTGTCCGTTAGGAGGGACAGAGTGATGGTCGAGTACAAATGAGAGATGTTGCGCACGGTGATGCCTCGTACGCTGAGCCCATGATGTATGTACCTTTTCGACGTTCCACCGGAACGATGATAAGAAAATGGAAAGAAGCAGACATAAGAAAAAAGCAAAATCTAATATTCCTCAACAAAAACGCTCAGATTACACGCTCAAAACAGCAATTGCCTAAACAGGCCCCACCCTTGTCATGGAAAACAAATAGGGAACGAGATGATAAGAAGAAAAAAGAGGGTAACGGACACCGAACGCGAAAAAAGGGTGTTTCAGTGGAGCCCGCTTTCGCCAGTAGCGGCCATGTACTTTTGGCACTCGACCAACGTGGTGACCTGCTTGCCCAGCTCCTCCAATCTGGAAAGCACGATTCCATTGCCCTCAACGAAGCCATAGCACTGGTACTTGATCTGGGTTTTCTCGCAGAACTCGCGCACAAGCGCCTGGGTACGACGAAGATTGTGCCTCGGCACGCGGGGGAACAAGTGGTGCACGGCCTGGAACTGCAGACCGCCATGGAACCAGTCGAGCCAAGGCGGGCAGTCGACATCCATGGTGGTGCGGAGTTGGCGCTGGGGGAATGACTCGGTGGGGCCGAGGTCGGATGTTGGCATGGCCCAGTGGGAGAGGGTGATTTGGACGTGGAGGACGATCGTCACGGCATGGCTGAGCAATACAAAGCCTACGCGGACAGGCCAGTTGGGGAGCGTGAGCCACACGAGTTGATAGCCGAAGAGGTACCAGTAGCAGGCCATGAAGAGGATTTCGACGGGGCGTGTCCACCATGCGGCGCCGAGTTGCGCGGCGCGGGGGCTGACGAGGTGGAGCCAAGAGAGCATGTAGAGGTTAAAGCGGGCTAAGGCCATGACGGGGTAGTAGGTGTATTTTTGGTAAGGGATCATGAAGTCGCAGGCCGCGTCCCAGACGAAGCGCCAGTTGTAGAAGGAGCTGAGGATGGATTTCATGTAGGTGGGGGAAGTGGAGAAAAGTGGGATGTTTTGGATGTCAGGGTCGTGTTCGGGCATGTTGGTGATGAGGTGGTGCACATTGTGCGAGGATTTCCACCAGCCAATGCTGAGACCGCAGCAGAAGTCGGCAATGAAAGCTCCGATGAGCGTGTCGACTATGAAGTTGGAGGTGATGCCCATGTGTGCTGCGTCGTGAGCTGAGAACATGATTTGTTGCTGTAGATAGGTCAGTATTCGATTGGAGCAGTGTGAGCAGAGTGGCTTCGACATACCCAGAACAAGCCCAAGAAGATGGAGGACGTCATGTACCACTTGATGTACAGCAGATATCCGAAAGCAGCAAAAAGGGCTCCGTAGCGTATGCTTTCCTTGCCGTAGTTTATGTAGCGGCATTTGTAAAGGCCCTCGTCCTTGATCTGCTGGTGAAGCGCCCGGTACTCGCTTACGATGGCCCTCTGGGTTTCTGGATCCACAGATGGGTTGTCTCTGAGACCTTCCGCCTTCTCTTGTTCTTCCAGTTCTGTAGCATAGTTCTCTCGGTACTGCTTTTGAGCTGCAGCTGCGTCTACGGTGGATGTGGGGATGGGTTGCTTTTCCTGATCGCCGATCACATTGGCACCGGTTCTCCGAGTGCATGTGGGCGCAGTGGCAAGCTTTTTGTGCAGAACGTGTGCGGCCTTGTTTAGGTCAGCCATGTTCTATGAAGTTATGCGCACTGTAGAGGTACAGCATTGCGACACTCTGGGTAATAGAGGGAGAAACGCACAGAGCTGATATCGATGCTTTTGCTCCGTCGGTTTAGCCTCGCCTCCTCAATGGCAGCAGAGCGGGCCTTCTCCGAGGCTGCGGCCACGGCCAGGTTCTCATAGTAATCGGGGGAGCGAATGGGTGGGTCGAGATTGGTCCAAGGAAGTTGTACGCGGCCGATGCGGTACTGCTTCATCATGAGTAGAGACCGGTTGGAGTGATATCTGCGGGTACATGTTAGTTGAGGTTCGACTTCTAAGTCTTGTGATCCAATCGGTATAGATGCGAGGTCGATAGATGTATTATGTAAAGGTACACTGCTTAATAAGAACATAAAGCTCTTTCCCCAAACCGGGAAGATGGGACCACGACTACGCGCGTATGCAGGGACCGACTGGGGTAGCTTGGAGGTTTTTAGATATTTCGAACGTACATGTTGATTTCATCAGTCGCATCTCTGCCCACCATGTGCAAAATGGACAGGCGACCACCAGGGTGTTTGTTTATCCATTCAGCCAGGTCCAAGGCGAACCCTTCATGAACAACCACAGGACGGCCCTGAGCAATGAGTGTCTCGATGTGTTCGACCGCAAGAAGTTGTAGTCGCGACATGGCGACGGTGAATGTAGGTTAGGGTGCAATGAGTGACACAGTGGGTGGTAGGTAAGGCTGGAAGGAAAGGTGTATGGATGTTTTCGTTGGAAGGACAGTATACCTAGACCCCAGGGCAAACAGAGGCCCGGACACTATATACCATCTATACATAGCGTGCACACGGCAAACCCCTTTCACCCAACGAAACCGTCCAAGCTTGCGAGATCTTCGGGCTGGGCCATGGTACGCGCATGTCGAGGCGTACATAGTACACAGAACGGCAGGGTGTAGAAGTGAATGAGGAGCGTCCGAGGCCCGTGTGGAGGCGACTACGGCCGACGGGTACTTGGCAGGGCTTGGTGCACGAGTTGGAACAGGGTCTACAGTCAGTGTGCCCATGAGCGGGGCGTTTGTAGGAGAGAAAAGGAAGCGTGGCAAGTGAATGCCAATCTCTCTCACTGCTGATGTTAGCCGTCCTCCAGTCAGGTGCTAAGTAAGGTATGACAAAGATACGTTGCGCGTCTGATGTCGTTAAGCGCGACAAACCACCATCGTCGCCGCAGGAACTTGATCTTGCGATAATCAATCGATAGAATCGATGGACAGATACATACCAACTGGATACCTAGCACAACCGCTACGTAGGTCCAGCCATGCCAGTAGTTGGACGGGAAACCATGCACTACGTAGGTTGAAAACTGGGAATTCAATGCCATGGCATGGCTACCTATGTGCGGAGGCGGGACAGACCAGAATGCGACGGCTCGAGGCTCCAGCGAGGGTGGCGAGGGGTGTAGGGATACCTAAGTCATCACATAGATTGTACACCATGTAACTCCCGTCCTATCTCTCGGTAGGTGCCTAGTGCCTAGGCGTTGACATTCACCTCAGGGTCCAGCGGTGGAGACAGCTGGAGAACAGAGGGGCCTGGCGAGGCTGGAGCGGAAGATCTATGTGCCATTGACCAATTGCACATGCCAGCCAAGAACAGTGTTACCCCCTCGGCTCAATCTCGTCGCCATCAATCTGTGTGCGCGTTTCGCATCGCATCCCGACACGACTCTTTCTGTGTACATAGTACGTACGCCAGCATAGCCATCTCCACCATCGATCCTGCCCGTCCCATCACCGTTCCACCGTTGTGCTGCTGTAGCCTATTTATCCCCGTTGATTCTTTGCCGCCTGTGTCGCCAATCTCTCCATATTGGCCCTCGTGAGATCCCACCTCCTATCAACTAGGTAACTGGGTATCGGAGAAGCGGTCCTGGACCCAGTAAGGATTAACGACTGCGCCCCCCAATCGCGCATCTCGCTTCTCCGCCTAGTAAAATTGCCAACGGCAGACTTCCCCCTTTGATCGTCTGTTCGACGTTTTCTGGAACTTTGCTCGCTCGTTCGTTCGCTCGTTGTGGGCGTTGACTGGTTCCCCGCTCTTCAACTCAAACTTCCATGTCCCATGCATCACTTGACAGGTTTCACTACCGGTTTCCTGCGACCGCGCTTGTCGCCAGCATTACGATACATACTACTATAGTAAGTTGACCCTACATACCAGGTAGATGACATCTTAAACGCACGCATAATCAGTCGTTTTTGTGACCTTGCACACCCGCCACCTCTTCACTCATGCAGAGAGCGTACAAGAGACTGAGCTCACACCATCAAAAACCGTACTTGACTCTGTAGCGTCACCCCAGTTTCAGCCCTTGGCCCATTTCGACTAGATTGGCAAGTCTCGTATCCACTCCCCCATTCTTTCTGCTCCTCGCTTGTGCCTAGGCAATTGATCTTTAAAACGCCTCCCACTGGAATACGATACGCGCGTGCGTATACGCACTCATCCCGTGGACCGCGGCCCTTCCCCTCGTCGTCGCTGCAGGTTCTCCATCTGTATCGATTCTGCTCCGATGTGTGCTCACCATGACCGCACTGGCGGAGACTCTTGAGGCCCGTTTGCTTGTTTTGGGCGCGGGAAAATTGTTGGCTATACTCCGGAAGCTTTAACTGCTTGCGGCATACAGTGCCGCAAAGCGAGCCCAGGGTGGAGCTGAAAATCAATCCTCTCTCCTGGCGCCACCCTGACCGCATCGAGGCAGCCTGCACGCCTAAGAATCCTGGCTCATGAACAATTTATGTATGTTCGGGGCGTACGCTGGATTGTCTGGATCAAAACGGCTCAACACCGCTGCACGTCGACAGCGCCGACGTCTGCAATTAGCAACACAGGAAGCACACCACCGCCCCAAACAGCTTACATAGGCCAACCACTTGTCACCATTCATCAATTACATGCGCTTCGTCACACTCTCCCATAACCAACGAATGAAAACTGCGAGTATCGTCTCTCAATGAGAGTTGAAATCGTCATCGTAGTCAAAGATATCATAGATCCCTTCCACTACGTCAGCATCCACCAATACTCACTACCTGATTCGCTCAACCAAAATTACTCCTTCCCCAAACACCAGCGAACAAAGAAAAAAAAATTGAACAACTACATATAAAAGGCCTTCACTCCGCTCATCCTTGTAGAATTCCACGTAACAAAGCTTCCAAACGTAACAAGTCAATTCTCATCATCAACCTACCTACCTTTTGAGTTGGCATGCGACAACTACAACCGACCGTTGATGAGAACAGAACACATTGTGATGTCTTCGGACACACTACAAGACAAAACTCTGAGGTCTACTTTGTGGTTGAGGCGGGGACAAGGAAGAGCGCATGTCAGCCAAAAGACTGGGTTGGGACGATGTTTTCAAAAGGCACCAATGGGGTGTTGGGCCAGGAACCTTCGTATATCGTAACAAAGATTTCATGACCGGTGATGAGAATGTGGTGTCTGAGAGCACTAAAAACTCTGAGGTCTCATGTTGGAGCGGCCGTGCGGCGGAGGAGAGGAGTGGGTGCCTTGGTTGAAGTGGTGTGGTTCTTGTCGGAGAGGAGCGGGCAAGGCACGGATGAACATCATCACGCCACCAGGTACGTTTACAAAGATCTAACAGAAGGAGAAGAGGCTGCACATTCTTGTGTCAACATCATCGGTACGCACTCCATGTGGAATCCGCACAGTCAAACTCCAAAAGACACAGTGACTCAAGGTGAACACAGTTTCTCATTCTACAACTAGGTATATACACGCTTCTCAAACACCTCGACCGCCCACCCACCGGCCCATCTTTTCCCACCTGTTCACAAAAGGGACACAAGATTGTAGCAATTCCGACCCGGCATGCAAACCGTCCACCGCGGTTGTTCGGGAGTCTGCCGCGTCCGGCGTGCGTCGAAGGCGGGAAACGAAGGAAAAAAAACCCGAAATCTAGAAGAAGAAATAGGTGCGCATGTCAGTACCGTAGTACTGAGTAGGGCGTCTTTTCAGTGATCAGGGAAAATGTTTGTCATCAGCGGCCCGAAGGCCTCAGATCGTAACAAGTCCCTTCATCTCACCAACCTACCTTGGTTGATGCTCGGGCGCCCCATGATGAGATTGTTCATCATCGGACATGGAAGTCTGAGGACTCATGTCGGCGCCGAGATGCAACGAAGGAGAGGAGTAGATCGATGAAGGTGTGGGCCCGGAGTGGACGAAGACGTCAGACGACAAGGGTACAATGAGCGATGGAGTGACAAGACATGATGAATATGGGAGATGGAAAACAAAAAAGGGGATAGAAGGGAATGGGTTGATGAGATGAGTGTTCCCGAGTGGAGTGAAGAAGAGATGGAGACGAACGAACGATGAGCGCGCTTTTAAGTCACCGCATCCTCCTTCACTGTTCTTTCTCTGCCTGTTCTCGATGTCATGAAAATTGACAAGTGCTAACCATGTATTGTGCAGGTATGAACCAGAGCGGAGACGTAACAGAGCGACTTTTGATATCGAGGAAGGAATCGTCCAAGTACGTATGCCTGCCTCTTGGAAGGAATGTCTTCACTGGGAACTGCCTTCTCTGTTGGAATACGAAACTTCACTAATCGTCGCCACGAGGAATGATCAACTGGGATATGTTCAAGAGATCAAAGATTCCTGCACATTTTGGATCGAATATTGCGTGATGATGTGAAGGTGATGAATATGAATGGGTTGGTTGGTATGGAACAATCAAAAACAGTCCGTCTCTCAACGTGAACAACAAAACGCAACCACCATAACTGCATGCCATCGGAAATGGGCAGTGCTCTACGTGACGATTGGTCTCGATCCATCTTTTTCGGAAAGGACCTGCCAGTCCTACCGACTTTGTCCAAATTCATTGACTTCGTTCTCCGTTTCCTCGTTTCTCGACACCAATGGCAAACATTAGCGCATGCTAAAATAAAGCTGAACGCTGCGACGTCATTCATCTTGGTTGTTGGGGATGTTGTAGGTGTTAGGCGCTGTAGCTACGAGCCAACACGTACATGCCCACGCGACGTTTTGAGTCTTAATACGCACTACGACAATCCGATCATCAGCCTTCGTGTATGCACATACTCAAAGAGAAAAACAGTCTTTGCGCAAGGCAGAGTTTGATAATTTTTTGAGTCATCGCATTTCCATGCGGTGCAAACACTTTGTAATAAAATCACACGAGATTGACCGGCCGGCAGGAGCTGAGCGCAGCAACGATTCAAGCAGCAATCTCAATTCCCACCCTTCATTTACCACTTGACTCGATTTCATAGCTGCCAAATGCTGTGCAATCACCTGCTTTCTCGCTCAATAACACGGTTGCTACGCCGCTTCACAGTACTGCTGCATTCTCCGTTGATTACTCTCAATGGAAAGTGGAACCGTCTGTGCTTACTCTTCCGCCGTTAACGGCCTCTACCCTTCGCCAGCACGTGCAGCGCCTACGTTCAGCTACCATCTAATATCCGTGTCGCAAAGAAGCCGCATTCACACTATGCGAAAGTGCAACATATCTAGGTCCAGCAAGAAAGAAAGATGATCCAATCGCATCCCGAATCACGAAAGAAAAGAACTGACCAATCGCAACTGAAACAGCCGCCCGTGTAGTCCAGAGTCAGCATTCGTATCCAAGCCACCGTAGATCCTAGTCAAGGCTTCGGAGTACGGGTCAGTACGTAAGCACAGGGCTGAACGTACCATCCACGCGGAGTAAGCAGGCTTTCCGTGGAAGTACGAGATAAGAACACATGAGATTATCATATGGTGGAGGAGAAAAAAAAAGGTAGCCAGGCACGACAGTAATGGGTAAGCCGGTTCGAAGAGGGTAATTGTCAAGACCTCGAAAAGAGTTGGTTTGGTGAAGGATCATACTTGGCTTCTGAGCGATACTCAATTGTACATGGTTCGCCACGTCAGCGTTCTTTCGTGCGGATGAGATAGTGGTTAGATGATTGACTGACAGATCTGAACCCACAGTGAAGATGGAGACCCTCCGGGATGGGATAAGCATTTCAATTAGAACTACAAACCCCCTTGTATATACTTGTTAGGGCCACTGTTACGGCATAGTTTCATCCTCGTTACTCCTCCTCCATGCGATGTATCCATGACACAATATAGATACTGAACTACCTTTCTACATTCGTAGTCATCTCCCCAATATAAGCACTCTATCACAATCTGTCCAATTCACCGCTAACATTTTTTTGGAATTAGTCTTCTATTACGTCCATCCTTAATCTGATCACATTGCTACTCATCATTCTTCTCCAGGCGTCTCCCCAACCCCAAAAAAAAATACAACCCCAATTTTTCACATCTTCATTCTACACTGATCGAACTAGAACTAAGCTATATCCCTAGCAGAACCCAAATTTCATTCTAAAGCACGAAAAGAACCCAAAGATCAATAAAAATCACACCATCCCGCTCGATCGAAACAACTAAATTCGCACGTACGAGCTGTATAGCTAAACATCACATTCCATCCATCTACTCGAACAACTTCATACATCCGTGGCGCAATCCACATTCAACATCGAAGGTATGGAGCCCGTGCAATCAATTCGAACATGTTACACGAAGGTCTCCGTTTCTCATATTATTACAATATGCGATATCTCTATTTGTAAAAATCTTAAACCTCGCAAAACATCCATTTTTCACATCACTCATTTCAGAACAGCGTACAAGTCGCAGCAAGCCAATATCTCCCCAGTGTGGTTAGTATACGCGAGTAGAATAGTACCCCACATTCTCGTCTCTGAGGTAGGTGGTTCGTAGATGCAGTCGGAGCGCTACCCCGCACATGTTCTGCAAATGGGAAGGGAAAATGAGGATATTTTGAATGTCTACGTACGTATTTGTAATTTATACTCGCTGCGGTCTATTAAGATAAGGTGGGAGAGCGAGTAGTCACCGAAAGGGGGGATGGCAGTCATTGATGAATCCATATGACGTGAAGTGATGAATGCATGTGTCACCATCAGACTCTGCGAACGCGAAACGATCTTGGTGGAGTCGAGGAAGTAGCAGAGTGTTGGATATGTGAGTGCTACTTTTACTCTCTTTTATTTGTGTTAACGATGCATTCATGGGTATTCATCTTGAAAAGCGAATCTCACTTGTCAGAGGACTCGGATCTGGGGCACGTAGATCTGAAGATATGTTTGCCCTTACATATTGCTGATTGGCCAGAGAGATTCTATAAAGAACATGAATGAGATCATGGGCTTGTTATTCTATTCATAATAATGACTCATCAGTTTCGTGATAACCACGGAACATGTGTCCTGCGTGGAGCGCAAAGGCAGATTTATCGTGTGATTTTTCAATATCAAGTGTTTGTGCCGTATGGAAATGCGATAGTTCACCACTATATTTGGAGCTTTTCATTCAATTTATATCGTTTTGTTTTCTGTTCATTTAGTCCTGACGATAAATTGTGGTAATTACGGAAGTGCGGGTCGGGTCTCGATGAACGATGGCAAAATGCCCCTGAGAGGATGAAGCGTGTACCGTGAAAGACGGTGCCCTTGAACGGATATAATCTTCCCAAATAGAATGCAGTCACAACTAGTAATCCGTTTTTGGTACTTGATGAAGCGAGGGAATCGCGAATAATGAGATCCGGCACAAGTGGTCCGCAAGTGATGGTTGAGTCATGGCTGTGAATATCAATTTCCAACAGTGGAAGAATTCCATAATACTCCCGTAACATCTATGCTGCCTGGAGCTTAAAAACAGATATTTACCTGCGCAGATTATACACCAAAAGTTTGTGCAGCATTAGGATGCGACAACGGCGTGCTATACCAGTACCAACCACGGAAAAACAATATCGATTTGCATTTGTCTGGCTACTATGCCAACCTGTCTCGCGCTATTTATCTGCGTTGCTCCCAATTCTTCATTCCTTCACTGTGTATCTTATCTACATCTGCTTTTGAAAGCTTATGTTAAGACGCGAACATTGAAATGCAGTCTAACCCAGCATTCATACTAATATCCAAAGGGAAAAAGGGGGTGATGAGATGTGTTAAGCAATTCTATTTCATAAATTCTATGTACATTGTCATGATCATCTTTCTGTGTTCACTATGCGGTATAGTGCGATCCTCTTACTCAATCGCCACTGTCCTATCCCCATCTCAATAGTCCTGTCTCCAAGAACGGTCAACGTACTCAATTGCACCCTGCATTCCTTATAGTGCAGAACTGCTTCGAAGCCTTTCGTGGTTTCATTCTCCAGGCATCTTCCCAACCATCTTTCTTTGGCCATTCTTATCTCCTCGACTTATCGCGGGCTCGCCGCTCTCCGGGCTGGCATAGCACACGCAGGGTCATCCTTTGGGACTTTTAGTCCCTAACTCGTGAAAAGGCTCCAGATTTGTGGGTTGCTAATTCACTAGCCCGTGATGTAAAACAAAGGGAATAGCTATCGTGGTATTCTTGGGAAAGTGGTTCATCGCCGGAATTTCGTTCCAGTCGGAAATCATGTGTGGCTAAGTAACCAATATGCATGAGAGTCGATTTATGATCCATGAACAGCTGGATTTCAGCATTGAAGGATCCACGTTGCGATGCACAATGCGTGATGGCTATACTTCTGCGGTATTTCTTGACACCGGGCGCTGATGGCCCTCTGCAATCCATCGCTCATTCGATATGGCTGCTTCTAGGAGTCGAAATGATGGCGAAATGAGGATTTCGTGAATACAACTCGTCAGCTGCCGACGAGCGGCCTCTCGAAGCGTGGGCGTAGCGCGCGAACATTTCGTAAGCGTTACTTTCTCACACCTGCGCCATCGAGCACGCCGTATCCCATCAAACAATATCTTTTGGGTCGTCTTCTAATGTTGGCCTGCATCGCGCTCATACAGCATCGCTTGCGATCTCGGTGGCTGCAACTTCAGCGCCCACTCTTTCTCCACCGGTACAACCTTCCGCAAAGTACGTCTTCAAACACTTTCGTTCGCACTCGCCAAACCCTACCATCATTTCCATGGTCTCTCGGTCTACGAACTCTCTTCTGCAAACTTCGACGCATGGCTGCGCTTCTGCGGATAGGGTGGTGCATGAATCCGTGTTTGACGACTTTGCGCCTGCGATGGTGTGCGCGAATCCATTTGAGAGCGAGGGGATGTCGGAACTGGTAAGGAGGTGTGTAGTTATAGCGAGAACAGCGAGGACGAAGAGGATGATGGAAACTACTTTCGATCTTTGGATGGGGTGGTTCTTGATAAATGATTGGTAGCGGGTGGGTTGGGCTGTCGTAGAGGTGGGGTGGAATTGCGGGAGTATTGAATGCATCTTCATCGTTGTTTTTGTAGTCGCGGTATCCTCTATTTGTTTTCCGCGTGTATATTGTCCTTCTCTTTGACGATGGCTTTATTTGTTATCAGTGCGCGAAATGGACTCGCTGTGAGTGCGACAGGTAGGTGAGAGAGAGGAGGGTCGGTTTATTTGTTGATGTTTTGCCCAATACTATTGCATTGGCAATGGTTGTCAGAATGCTCCAGCCGAACCGTCTTATCCGATATACTTGGGGAGAACAGCAACCGAGCGAGTCGTGTTCGTCCTTATTACGTAGCTGTACGAGAATGATCCACCTCAGCCTTGTGGAGCCTTGGTACTCGGATATGTCGGTTCCCTCGCGTGCTTGTACGGTCTGATGGGTGAGCAGACACAGTGAACTCCGATAATCAAAACAACCAATCCGTAACTCTTTCTAAACGCGCTCGTACAAGCATCGAACAGTCAAATCGTCGAAAAAGGAAGTCATTCAAAGCAAGCAGCAAAGGGGACGGAAGCCCGGACTATTTAAAACCAGCCCAACCCCAAGCGAAAGGAGTCAATGGATATCCACGAACATCCGAGCATTCTTCTACGTAGTCATGCGCCCATCTCAGCTAACACAATCCCATCCTAGGGCTGCTTTCCAAATCATGACCCCAATACCGTTGCGTTGGCGCCGTTCAAAGCCACCGCCAGCGAGGGATCAGGGTGCGAAACTACAAGGCACACTAGACAACGTATAGGGACTTCAGCTTAGCGGGAGGCACGCACGTTCCTCGTCGGTCCCCGCAACAACCCCAAAGCAGACTAACATGGGAGAAAAGAGAAAGGATCAGACCTAACAATAGGACATCTTGGCTTGCGGACAGGCAGTGTGCACGGCGTTTTTATTTCTCGCCCTTTTGAACAATGTTCCGATCGGGCGAAGCACCGAGTTCGCGCGATGTTTTCTTTTTGATGTAATTGCGAGGAAGATGACTCGAATCCTTCCGTCGGCGAGAGCGGGTGTCTATTGGAGCCGAGTTGGCAGTGAGCTCGGGTTCCGTATCGCGTTTCAGATTGCTGAGGTGATAATAGTGCCGTTAACTTATACATATCTGCTATGTAAAGACTTGTCGGACGCAATCTATGCGAGATAAATGATCATAATGTCACTAATCTATATTATAAATTCTCCTATTGCGTACGTGCTAGAAAGCATCGAATACATGCACCGGTACGACCCGTGGGCTGTCGCAGTTTTACATTCGTAAATTGTTGTCTCGGCTACTTACATTCTCAGTCGCGGTGTTGCTGCGAATTACCTAGGCGTAATCACATCAACCAACCACGCCGCCGGACATATACTCACAGCTCAGCCATCCGGACTGTGTCTCTTCAGCTGATGTCTTGAACGAACATGAAAATGCTCTACTCGGGCGGAAATCTAGGTCAGATCGTTCTTGGACCATTCGCCGTGCAGGCGGTTCGTTTAGATGGAATGATGTTAATTGACCCACGGTGGTCGCGAGGGTGGGCACGACGGAATGGCTCAGCAGGATGTGTGGGGTTATGGGGCCGGGGGGTACTCACGACAGCCCGGATATCCCTTATTCAAACAACACTACAAGAAGGTAGCCCGACTAGGTAACCAGTGAAGCTAATATAGGCCCGACATCAAAGGTGAACCAACTCTTGCGGAATCCGAACCACAAACTTCAGATTTGCTGTAGCCCATCCAAGTAAAGATGTTCAACCATCTAAAAGCAATTTGAACCAACCCCGGGTTTCAGCGTAAGTACATCTGACGTAGCTACAGCAGTAACTAGATCCTTCGGCGAATTCAAGCATCCTTCGCCCAAGGCTTGACTGCGCATCCATCCTTTCATTTTCCATCGCATCAGCTCGCTGTGTTTCGTTGTTTTCATTCGTAAACCTCCCAAAGAGGACTATGCGTCGTCCTCTGCCAGCGCTCTAACTTGAAACCTAATCGTTCCTCCCATCACTTCCAACCAAAACATGTAAATACATCGCTCTTCTACTCTGGGATAATTACGAATACGAATTTTCATGATAGCTTTGTGGACCTCTTTGAGTACAGCTAATACAAGCATTGACCGGGCATGAGATCTAGCAGCAAAGCACTTCATTTAGCGAACGACCCACTAGATCCATCAGCCCATCAACTCACTGTCAATCTCAACTGCGCAACAGCACCCCGTAGCAAGTCAACTACAACCCACCTGCGAACGCGTTAAAGTGAACCGGCTAGTTCGGCGTCAAGGCGATTTCTCTAGGGGGAACAAGGTTGAACGACACGCTATCCCAATACGGAAAACTGGCGAATTGGATCCCAGGATAGGTGTAGCGTACGGTAGCGTATCGTAGCGCGCAAACGGGGATATACCGTGTAACTTGCGCATGTCACAAACATTCAATATGATGTGAGGAAATTTTTGGGTGTACGCGGTGTTTGAGGAGTGCATTTGGGTTGGATCAGCGATTCTGGAGGGGATATGAAGCGGTGTGAGCTGTGGGATGATTTCTTACCTGTGATGACGAAAGGGAAGGGTGAGGAGAGGATGTGGGTAAGAGCTAGCGAGGCAGATTTAGTCGCAGCGCCATTAGAATTTGCAATGTACGGGTATAATTTGATTGTGGTGGTGGGCTCACTTTGCGTGTTGTGTGAAAATTGAATGACGATTGGGGCGGCTAGTATTCTCGTGTCAGATTCGTGATGTCAATAGGGGTTTACATTCTGTCATGCATCTATTGAGATTGCATTATATACGACTGGGACGAGCAGCACATAATTCTGCTTCGTTCGGCTTGTGGTTATTTTACTTCACCAAATAATTACACATGTGAGATAAATGTGTTCATAAAACTGACGCAACCTCATTATCTAAGGTGCATCCAATAAGGCGATCTAAGACATCCAAGGCTGCTTAAAACTACCTAGAAATATAGAGATCGTGCTTGCAGAGAGAAAGAAGAACGCTCATAGATTCATATAAAAGTATAACAAAAGAACATCGCTACTTCATCTCCCGCACCCGATACGAATCCAATTCTGCTGGCAGCGGAGGCGTAGCATCCATCTCCACTGTGCCAAACCCATCTAATTCAGCCTTTCCCACGCCAAATATCCCATCATGACTACCACTTTGCGGATGATGGCTCGTGGCAGGAGTATTATCCTTCGATGATGTTCGTGATTTCTTTCTCTGTCGCCGGAGGAGGAGGAAGAATGCTGCGATAAATCCAAGTATGACTGCAACTATACATCCAATCGCTATGCCGATGATGGTGCGAAGAGGCGGATTTGGTGTTGCGGCTGGCGCGGAAGCGGGTGGCTGAGAGAGTGGTTGAGACGAGCAGAGCGACGGAGTCTACATACACAGAGTTATCAACCTCACAATCTACCTACACGATTCCCTATGCAGGGAGTGATATGGCGAGATGGACCTCGGCCCTTAATTTACGTTTAGGAATTCGAAAGCAGGAGAATGTCGTGATCAAGTAGATATCGTGGGGGCCAGCATTGATTTGTGCGTCTACATCCAATCAGACTGTGAACGGAGATCGATCGCGGGGGCGAATTCGAGGTTGCATGATCATACGGGCGAAAGACATAAGGCGGAAATGAGAATGATTTCCACTTCCGAAAACTTGGACATCTCAACTTGGAAATGGTTGAAATAGAGGGTCTAGTCTATTCTAAACAGTATGGTTTTCAGAAGGCAGACCCCTCGTACTGGGTCCTATTATGCGACTTCTAATCCATTAATCTAGCCACCGCACATGGATACCAACCATAGAGCGAGTTGTGTGTTAAAGAGCATCTCAGCTGCAGTCGCTTAGAAGAGTGGTAAAGCACAAACGCTGGTGCGACTCCCTTTTGGCTAAAAGGTCAGATCAAGACCACGAAATTCTGTGATTGCAATGTCAGCATGAAACCGAACCCACATGAAGAGCAGAAGCAAATACGTACGCTAGCATGATACCTGCGCCGGTGAACATGGCCGCGAACTGCGTGAGGGTCTTCTTAAGCTCCTGCCTCTTGTTGGGCCCCGTCTCTAGCAACTCAGGGATGACTGCTACAGTGCCAACATAGAGGAACGTGCCGGCCGTGAAAGGCAAGAGCATATCGCCCCATCGCAGGCTGGTCCCCCACAGACCGGGCCCCGCAGATTCATCTGCAGAAGAAGCGTTGCCGCCAAATTCCTGGATCGCAATGCCTAAGCATGTGCCGAGAAGCGCTCCGAGAGCAGTGACAAATTGAGCGCCCATAGCTGCCTTCTTGCTGAAGCCCGACTGGATGAGTAGCGCAAAGTCTCCAACCTCATGCGGAATCTCATGAAAGAAGACAGCGACGGTTGTGGTGGCACCGATTGTTGGAGAGGCGTAGAAAGAAGAGCTCATGGCCAGGCCGTCGGTAATGTTGTGGGTAAAGTCAGCAATCAGATTCAAGTATCCTCCAAGCTTCACGCTGGCGTTGATTTCCTTGTCTTGTTCAGTCACTGCTGGGGTAGCGACTGCTGGGGTAGCGACAGCTGGGCTCTTTCCATTACTCTGTTGCGATTTACGAGCTCGAGCGGAGTCTTTAGAGCCGTTTGTCTGTGCCCCACTAGCTATGGCAGATGGCTCCACTGTCTCGTGAGAATGGCCATGGGAGTGATCGTGACCTCCTTGACCGCCGGTTGCGATGCGTAAGCCCTTGTCCATCGCCACGAAAGTGACGAAGCCAACCATGATAGCGACACCGAGAAGCAGGTTCTTGTTTGGTTCGACCATGACGAACTTCACTTGATCATGCTCATCCTCGCCGAGAAAGATCTCGGGTAGGAGATGAAAGAGCGTATCACCCAAGAGCCCGCCCACAGCGAATGCCACCATGACGGAGAGGGACGAGGGGTCGATATTGGGTGGACATAGTGCGAGGAGAAAGTTTGGTGGGCCGGAGATGTAGAGGGTAGCGAGGAGGGCATTCACCGCGGGGCTGCCTGGGAATAGGAAGGCGAAGATCTGTGAGGTGAAGCTGGAGGTAGTGGGGTTGGAAGCTACTTTGTGTTGATTGAGAGCTTGGACAAGGGAGCATTCCTAGTGTAATATGGATTATATTAATATACATTTCTAAGTACAGGAGGGCAGCGGTTGACGCTACAGGTACCAAAAGTGGCGGTATATACAGTGCACAAGAGTGCAGGGTAAATGTACATAGGCATCCAAGTGAGTAATAACGAAGCTCACATACCTGCAATTGCTCCTCAATCTGCGACACGCTCAACTCGCTGACTGGTGTCCCAGTCTCCCCCTTGATGGCCGCCGCAGAGACGTTCCAAGTCCATATCGCCAGAAAGAGAGAGACGGACAACAGCGTCTTATTGCGTCGAGACAGCATGTTGATCATTCTCATTCTTCAACGTCGAATATCTTCAGACTGTTAACCGAGGGTCTTGTGGTTGGTAGTGACGTCCACGGGTGTGAGCTCAGGGGCAGCGCACGTGACTGTTGGTTGGGGTCCAGTGCCGATGATGATCCGGATTAGATAAGATAAGACTGGCGTGCCAAGAGTTCGAGAATTTTGGAGTGAATTGATTCCGCGACAACAATTATCGCCGCCTCCAACACCTGAAGAGATAACTCTTACAATTCACCTTTTTCGACTTCTGTATATTTCAAAATGGGTCGCGAGCTTCAGAAAAAGAAGAACAAGTCTTCAATCCCCAAACATCGCCAGAATGCGCCCTCTAAGAAGAAGATTCTGCAGAATCCTATTATAGCCAAGCACTGGTTAGTCCAGGCCTCGTAGTAGAGCTCGATGGCGGTTTAATACTCATTCTCATATTAGGAACCAGAAAGAAACCCTTTCCCAAAACTATCGTCGTCTCGGTCTCACATCCCGTCTCAATCACGCAACTGGCGGTACCGAAAAAACCATCAAACTCTTGGGCCTCAATGATGGCGCCTCCGCGCGATCGGATGCTGCGGCCAATAGCACAGCCGATGCCCTCAACGTAGTCTCGAAACGGCCCGAGCAAACCATAATTCCAGAAGAAGTCCGCGTAGAGCGCGATCCTGAGACGGGCGCCATCATACGCATGCTGGGACAGACGAGCGCCGATGCCGCGAAATCGAAAAATCCGTTGAACGATCCTTTGAACGAGCTCGAGGAAGATGATGAAAACGATACGAATATGCAAGACTGGAACGGTTTCGCTATGCTTCCGACCGAGTCCAGCGACAACCCAGTGATACGGCAACTCGAGCAGGCTGCGGCGAATGGCGTGCGCAAAGCCCCGAGGAGTCAGAGTCAAAGAGAGGCTGAGTGGTGCGAGCGCTTAGTGGCCAAGTATGGCGACGATTATGGGAAAATGAGCAGGGATATGAAGTTGAATCCCATGCAGCAGACGGCCTCCGACATCCGTAAGAGGATAAAGAAATGGGAAGATAATAAGGGAAAAGAGAGAAAGGTGTGGGGTTAACTGTCTAGAAGGGAAGAATCTCGGAGGAAATTCGTTTGCATTGGGCTAGATGGCGTACCGGCGTATTGAGATGAGGCCTGGGATTGCTCATCTTCTTTCTACACTTGACGAAGCATAACATAAGCACACTCGGCTGGTCATTCTCATTGGGAAATCGCTTTCCTGAAGTACTGCTTTCTGTATATCGATCGCACCTTCGATACAACCTATAAAAGATTTTCTGCGGTATTGGCCACATTTCATGATATCCATATACTACATCGCCAACTTATATATGCTTAATGAAGCAATGCACTTTGCTCCCGCTCCCAAAACTGCTCATTGTTCTAGCGATGAAATTCGCGATTCCGTTTGGGGAAAAATCTGCGACTTGGCCCCTACCACTGGCAATCATCAGGCTGAAAAACCGAAGTGCATCGCGCAGAGAATTGAAGGTGACATCCACCCATCTTTTATTCAACATACATAATCACAATCATCGCAGGCTGCTAACCCTACAGCATGGCCTGTAAGTTGCTCGATTGTACGGCTACGAAAGAGATCAACGCCAGCGCAGACATTTCCGGTGGCGGGGTATGTGTGTTCTCGTATAAACTCCAGGCCCGTAGCTGACTCTATCGTGTAGGTCCTCGGTGCTTTCTTTACATCTGCCTTTCTTACGCTTGCTGCAGTCGTTTATGGCTATTTTTCCAAATCGCTGCCAGAGTGGTATTTTGCCGAAATTGACCATGCGACGATATCATACTCGAACAGGAAGGCACACAAAATACTCGTGGAGCCGTGGTCGAAGGCCAAAACGAAAATCTGCACAATGTTAGGACTCAAACTATCACCCCGACGCCCTGGCCTGTCGCGTGAGCAACGGCAAGAGGTTGTTACACGTTTTGTTCTAGCCCTCAGCGATCAGCAGCTCGTGACTGGGCTGGCGATTCTTGTGGGGACGCTGGCGAACCGCTGCACGTTGACCGTGTACGACTACAACATGGCATTCACCCTTGCTTGGTTTTCGGCCATTACCCACCTCGCCACACTGGATGTTCTCAGAGATTATTTGATCAAGCATCGGGCGGTGAGGAATTGCCGTATCATTGCCATGCTTGCTATGCTGGTTCTACTCCTGTTCTTCCTGGCAAGCGCGACGGTTCGCCGGGACGACAGTGTACCGATTCAGTGCCTGTTTGTCCAACCCGATGTTGAACCTATTTACCCCCAAATGGACGTCATATATTACATGGCAGTGTCTGTCACGGCCATTTTCCTCCTCGCTAACTACAAAAAGCGAATCCAATGGTCATTGGGAAAGACCAGTAGACACTTCTCATCTGCTTACTATCTTGCGTATAAGCTTCGAATCCGCTACGGCCACATTTGGAATGAATTCACGGACCTCTCGGACGTGACCAGAGACAATAAAACTCTCTTTCTGGAGCGTCTAGCTACAGACAGATCGTTCGATTGGCGTCGAAAGTTGCTTCGAAGAATAAAGAAGACATCCAACTTCTGGGTCCACCAATACTACACACTTTCCTACGCTACCCACTTGTATTCTAAATCATACATATCCCTTGTGCCTGACATCTTGTTCATGGTTTCTTATGGCCTGACTCAGACTATTGGAGCTCGCTGGATCAACGATCCCATATATTACAACGATGCTTCAACCTCTGATGCTATCCTCGTCTACCTTGATTCATCTATGGGGTTTGGACAGGTCACACCCATACTTCTCTTAGCTCTCCCAATACTCACGGCTGCAGAGATATATTATGGTAATTATGTTGCTTTGTTGTGCCACTGATCTATCTTAATGCGATGCTAAGACTTGTACAGAAGCGACAAACAAAGAGATCTTCGACGAACCTAGAGACGCGGGTGAGATCGATAACACTTCTGCTGTCCATTCGAGCGTCAACACAGAATCAGTGCACCAAGTCACAGATGATGTAGAGATTGATGTGTTCCACCGCGAACTATTGGACGCGCCTCAGCCACTTGAAGAAATAGATGACTACGAGCTGGAACTTGCGGCCACAGCATATGACAATGATCTCTTGCTTATCAAGAAGTACTTTTACCTTGAGCCGGTATTAATTGAGAGAAAGCTCGAGTCTCTCGACGAGGAGGGCGTAACCCTCCAAGACGTATGGGCCGAGAAGAAAAAATTACATGAGGCAGCACTGAACCTCGACGATATTCATCGGAACGAACCCTATCAGGACGCATGTACGGCGGTATTCTTTGTCAATTCATCCATCCCCATAGCTGCCGGGATAATCTTAAACATTCAAACCGGCCCCTTCCCCTTGACTGAATGGAATCCCCTCGTAGGTAGCATTCTCCTCTTCTCTTTTCTTTTCAGTCGCTTTGGCTCCTACTATCAGAGACTAGTGGGGTTGCTTTCTGCTTTGCAGGATAAGGAAGCTACGTCCAAAGTTTTGAGCTCCATGAGAGACGACAGCTCCATGAGAGACGACACCACCACTTGATAAGCTCGATCATTCATCGACATATGTCATTAGCTATTTCGTGCTTTGGAGGATGATATCGAAGTTCTGCTTCTAGGTTCTGTCAGCGATTATTAGTCTGGTATACACATTTCATTTCCTCTAGGCCCAAGCACGGCTACTGAACAATTTTCCTACTGCACGTGACGACTAGCTTCGTAAACCGAAGCCCAAAATCACTCGTCCTATCTGATTTCATCATCTTAGTCAGACGTGTTTGGGCGATCCTACACACAGCGATGGTTGCAACGATGAATAAACCAAAAAAACCAAAACAGGCGATAACCAAAAATGAGTTGTATCTAAATAGCTCCTGCTCGGGGGAGGAGACAGATCAATTGACGCAATCGAGTACGGACAGTGACACCTGGTATCTGTAGCCAATCCACACCAGGTAATACATATCTACGTCAATAGAGCTTGAAAGCAATTGGTGATGCGAAGTCGTGGGACCAATCATGTCATTTTTAGATTCTAATGCATGAGTCTATTGTTTCGCTAAGTAATGATAGCACCGGGTTGCGCACAAACACGTGGGCTGCTTTCTTCCTTGTATACAGTAAAACGTTGAAAAGCTCAATCGGTAAAAGTAACAGAGAACACAATCATTAGTCTTGCTTAATTCGTAAATGTTGCTAATCTAGTAATGTTTCATCCTGCTTTCGAAAATTTAGATGGCATCACTTGCAGCCTTCATTTGTTGTAGATAGAATGCAACTAGACATATCTGTTTGCCTCTTATACATCCGCGATAGCCTTCGAGCCAATTCCCGGCTTAAGACTCCGGATATATCTTGCGATGGCGCGGATGGAATTATTCCAACATCCAATAAGCATATTCGGCCGACTTGCAATTGCGTCGTTCGATTTCACCCCGACGCCAGCCAGTGTCTCGTATATCCTCAAACATGCCTTCCCCAGTCGATATATTGATGTCAAAGGATGCGCAAAGGGGTAGAATAAGACAAGCCAGTAGCTACCTGAAATGATGTAGAGATAGCCGCATGATGTAGCTACATACCCCCAGACGTTAATATTCGTGTGTTCCGCGCTCTGGTACAGCAATGGATTGGAAATCCAAGAGCCGGGATCATTGTTAGCAATCCTGGTGAGGGCGATTTCAGCTAGATATTTTGGGGAATGTCGGAGTCGGAGGATTGAGCGGACAAATCTTTCTTCGACGTCGAATTGCCATCTTTTCGAAGAAGTTTCGCACTCGTTGGTGAGTTGTTGGATCGCCGTAGATAGGCTCAATGGTGGTGCTCGCCCAGACCGATAGTATAGCGGCGTATATTTTCAGGTATGCTTCTTCGGGGGACGAACTGTGAAATCCGTTGATCTCTTCGCATGTGTTCTTTGAGCAGATTTTGAATAACTCGGTACATGCGAGTGCAGAGACCTCTCGATCTGCAATATACTGCGAATTTTCTTGTCGGTGCGCTGCAAAAATCGGGTCGTCGGATGGCGCTTGTGCCGTTGGAAATATCTCCCCCGGCTTAAATGTGATGAGAAAGTTTTGGAGACGATGGCCTCGACCGTCATAAGCCATTAGCTCGGTAGCGCCTGCCCAATGCATCGTATCTTTTACGAAGCCATCTGTCTCCGGGTGTTTGATGTCTACTCTCGGCAAAGCAGCATCTACTTCTGCTTGATACCAAGTCGCGCCGTCGCCGCTGAAGTTTTCTAACGGGTCTGTTCCCTTCGTTACAAATCCGCTTCTCCTTTTGGATTCGTCTATCTCATGACCCGATCCAATTCCATTTGCGGTTCTAAGCATCATACTTCGATGTAAGATGTATGAGCCTCTTTTTTCGGGATTAAACTCCTTTCCTGATGGTGGAACCAGCTTCTCGATGTTTAGATTGAAAGTGCCATTAACTTTGGTAATCAATTGCTCCGCACTTGTCGGGATGCAGGTCAACTCGTGGTGCAACTTCCGCCCGCCATTGTTTGTATTGAAGCCGGCATCCTGGAGACTGATCTCGTGACGCAATCTCAGTGCTTCGAAGTTCTTATCACCTTGTTCCGTCAATAGACGGTATGATGCATGTGACAAATTAAGGTCGGTTAAACCTATGTGCTCCACGCTGTATGATGGGAGGGTGCTGCGGAGCTCCAGGCAAGGTTTTGTCTGATTCCAATATATTCCATCGTTGACGCATGTGCTGATATCTCTGTGCACGCTGTTCCGAAGCCTCAAGTCCCCAATAACGACCAGTCCAGCGCTAAGATACCATTGGTCGGAACCATGAGTTGCCAGGACAGCTGTGCCTCCTTGTAACCCTTCAGTTAAGAAAAACGGGATCAGCGTGCTCAGGATTCCAAGGCAAACTATGGTTAATACAGCGAATATGCCAAACCGTAGTTCAATCTTGGTATCCATTGGATGTAACCGGTCCAGACCATTCCCACTCAATATATCTAGCATACGTCCAACTTTGTGTCCAAAGTCTTCTTCTTCTGTTAACACCTCTCTTATATTCTTGCTCTGGTGATTTACAGCCGCCCAAAGTGACTTGATGGCGTCGCTCCTCGAAAGGTTGCCTCTCTCGCTTTCTGGGTCCGATAGCTGGAGGGCAGGCTGGAGATAGTATCGGACGATAATCCACACCCTGTTTCCTGCAATAGCTCCTAAGACTCCCAAGCAACCTACAATCATGACCGCTTCCACGTTCCCCGTTGTCAGAAGATATTGGCGATGCGGAGGGGCTGCCAGATTACGCCACCAACCTGTTCGGACATATCGGGGGCTGATATCGTGTAATAATGACATCGAGCAGTCGTAGATGCGGTTTATCTCCAGTGATTGAATCTGATGCGCAATATATTCCCGAAATTTCCAACGCCAGGTCAAGCTATATAGAACATGTAGTGCAGTGTAAACATCGAGAGTGACGGGGAGACAGAGTCTGCATCCATGTAGTGTGTCCATAATCAGTAACACAATGTCTTGTTTCATCTTTTATCAAGTGCATTACCATACCAAGCAGATATCCATTCCAGTATTAGAAACTATCCGGTGCCAAGATATCGTACAGGCCGATGCATCGATAATCCCCGAACCCGAGCGATGAGTGGACAAGTTCGGATGGTGTCTCGGGGTTCATTTAGACCCTTGGGATGAACTACCCTTAAAAATTCATTTAAAAAACCACAGAGCACACCAATTGCAATGCCCTATTCCAGATCATTTTTCGCAACCTGTACATTACTTGCTAATATCAGGTCGCTAGGATGCCTCTGCTGTGCCGAGGACTATAGCGCACCGCAAAAGCGGTGCAAATGATGATAGTACAATGGACTTAGACTACCTCTGCTTTCCCATTGACTTTAAGACGGAGTAGGGGATTGGAAACCCTTTACCACTTCTGCGACGACATGCATAGCGTGAGGCAGATTTAATCAAGCCAACATTGTGATCATGCGAGCGCATGCAGATGTTGGGGCCGAGTTTTGAACACCGGGCACTAATGCGAGGGCAATCATGAGCTTTGAAACAATCATCGACAGTGGAATCGCGATTGGGGCCAATTGAGATAGGGAAGATATCGCACATTCTGATCCTGTTCAACGTAAAGAAATGTTTCTTTGCATCTACTTTGCGTCATAGAGTACTTACAGACATGGACGTATTCAGCGCGTTGAATATGACACGTTTTTAAGCTTTTTATTAGAAGTTACAGTGTTTTCTACACTTAAAAAGGCTAATAAAAAGTAGTTATAAAAAGTAGGCTGGGAAAAAAAAGATTCACAAAGGGATTTTGCTTTTGGCACAGGACTAGGGAGCAACCTAACTGAATGGGACAAAGTATCACGGAATCACTGCGCGTCTTTTAGATTGAAAGCCCTTGGGCACACCGAATGTGTCTTTATTGCACTCGATGATTTCTGCCGTGTCTTATTGGTTGTAAAGTCATCGAACCGATCGGGCTGGGTTGATCGCAACCACACCAATCAATTAGTATCTTCTGCACCTTTCCAACCCACGAGCCTTCTAGATTACAACTTGAAATCCGTCTTAACAAGCTTCTCGCTCAAAGCCCACAGCTTCTTCGCGATCTCGGGATCCGTAGCACTCGACGTGGCTTCGGACATCTGGCAATCGCTCAACATAACCCCCTTAGGCTCTGCATACTCGATTAGCGATTGATGATGGAGTTGAACATGTCTGCATGCAAACTCACCGTTCAAAGCCGGATCAAGAGCAGCAACTAGACTAGTCGCACACCCCTGGTCCTGGTTCTTCCAGAACGGAACGACATTCTCCAACGCCGCTTCAGCCTCTGCGTCCAGGTCTCGGCTCAACCCAGTGTAAATGGCTATATAACTCGTCGTCAGTATAGAAACTTTTATTAGAAAATCTCCGAGGGAAGAAAAAAGAGACTTACATCCTGGATGTAATGCGTAGCTCACGATCCCCTTCTCTTTGAGTAACGCAGTCAATTGTAGCGAGAACAAGATATTCGCCGTCTTGGACTGTCCGTACGATACCCAGCCATTATACGGCCCATCCTGCGCTTTCGCGAAGAAAGGTGGAAGCGATGCCGATTGCTCTTCAGTGGGTACATCTTTGCCATCGAAGTTGTAATCATGGAATCTGACCGGGCTCAGTCTATGCCCTATACTCGAGACGTTGACGACGCGCGTGGCGCCCGCTGGATTCGCCTTGGCAGCCTCGACAAGTTGCGGCAGCAGAAGATTTGTTAAAAGGAAGTGGCCGAGGTGGTTTGTGGCGAATTGCATTTCTATGGCTTCGGGGGTGAAGTGGCGCTTCATTGTCATGAGGGCGGCATTGTTGATGATGATGTCGATGTGGGGGGATGATTTGGCGATTTCCGAAGCGGCTTTTCTGACCGAGTCTTGGGAGGATAGATCTATGGTGACGGTTTGGATTTTGACGCTGGAGTGGGCATCTTGGATGGACTTGCGGACTGAGTCGAGCTTGGTGGCGGTGCGGGAGGCGAGGATGAGGAGAGCTGGGGACTGCGAAGCAATTGATAGTGCTGTGGAAAAGCCGATGCTTTCAGGAGATACTCCGGTGATGAGTACTACAGCGTCGGTTAGAAGATTTTTTCAATGCATATAGCTGGTAGGACGTCGAAGTCAAACGGGAGCACACCTGTTTTCCCTTTGATGTTATCAGCGAATGCTTGGGCTACCTCAAGGCCCCCGGTCTTCTCGGTCCATTCAGGGTGTGTTAACTGCGCCATGATCACTACCCAGAGAAAGAATAGAGGGTGTGTTCTAATCCCGCGGGCTGAAGCAGACAGAAGGCAACGTAGACGATGTTCACAGCCAAAATCAAGAGTTCCCCCCCACTAAGTATGTCGTCCGCTATCTCCGAAACAACAGTTTGGTCCGGACGCAGCAATGTCCTCAGTGAAACATGTCCCCCACCCTACTCTTCTCATGACACGCCGGAACGCAAAGGCAAAGTATCTCCAGAAAGAACACTAGGCCACGTTCAGCACATTCACCATGGCCTCCCAAAAATAGCCTAGCGTGTCTGTGCGGGGTATCAAACGCGGGGACATGGCGTACGTGTGGGGCCTCTCCTTGCAACTTCTCCACGCACCAGATCACGCGTAGAAGGACATGTGCACTATACATCCGGCAAATCATCATCTCCACCACTCAGTCGCAAGAGGATAAGGGAACGGAGTCGCGTAGAGTGGCGTTCGCGCTACTGTCATCATGTCGACTACTAGGCCAGCTTAGAGCACGGCATTTGAGCGACCTCGGATATCGGAGACATGTCACCTAGGGTACTTGCTTATGCATGTATACACTGCAGGGCAACGTGGGTATACGCTCTGGGCGTGTCACTTTGAGGGTGACATAGTTGTGCATTTGGCTCATTGGCTGAAGTGTTTGGATTGCCTTGGATCCTTCAGAGCCCCACTGCAGAAGTAGGCCTCGGTGTTTATCTTTAATTTGTAGCTACCTCTCTGTGTTCCCTTTGTCTCATCGAGCTGATCTGCAAGCAATTGTTGTCTGTAAACAAACACCATGGGCGATTCATCAACCACAGAAAATGGCGTCAAACCAAAGACTGGCATCAAAGTCATCATCGTGGGTGCAGGTAAGTCATAACTCCTCTTTCGCAACAACAACAACAACAACAACAACAACACCCAATTCTTCTAACACGCATCATCTAGGATTCGGCGGTCTTACCGCAGCCATAGAATGTATACGCCACGGCCACACACCCGTCATCTACGAATCCTTCCCGTCTCTCAAAGTCCTTGGCGACATCATAACCTTTGGGCCCAACGCAGGACGCATCTTCGCCCGGTGGGACAATGGCTCCGTGGCCGCCAAAATGCGCTCCATTTCCATCGACCTGCAAAGCTACGGCTTCAACATCCACAAATGGGACACGGGCGAGATAGTCCTCAACCAGAAGACGCCACCCCCGAACCCAAAAGCACCCATGTTCAACGGCCATCGCGGCGAGCTGCACGAGATTGTCTTCAACTACGCCCAAGAGATCGGAGTGGAGATCCTGCTGGGACAGCGGGTGGACAACTACTGGGAAGACGAGACGGGCGCGGGGCTCGTGCTAGCAGACGGGACAAAAGTCCACGGCGACGTCGTGATTGGGAGCGACGGCGTGCGAAGTAAAGCCCGCACATTAGTCCTCGGGTACGAGGACAAGCCCAAATCGTCGGGCTACGCCGTCTGGCGCGCCTGGTTCTCCAACAAGGACATGCTCGCCGACCGCGAAACCGCGCACTTCTGCGAATCCGGCGATACCTTCAACGGCTGGATCGGCCCGGACGTCCACTTCCTCTTCAGCACACTCAAGGGCGGCTCCGACTGCTGCTGGGTCCTGACCCACCGCGACGAGCACGACATTGACGAAAGCTGGAGCTTCCCCGGCAAAATCGCTGACGTGAAGAAGCTGCTCCACACGTGGGATCCCATGTGCACCAAGATTATTTCAAAGACGCCAGAGGAGAAGATTGTGGACTGGAAACTCGTGTATCGGGACCCGTTGCCCAACTGGGTGAGCGGCTACGGATCCGCGCCGGGCCATGGACGGATTTGCTTGCTAGGCGATGCGGCGCATCCGTTTTTACCGACGAGCGCGCAGGGCGCGACCCAAGCGCTAGAAGACGGCGCCACCATCGCCGTCATGCTGAGGAAAGCTGGGAAGGAGAATGTCAGGGGTGCGTTGAGAGCGTATCAGGATATCCGATATGAGCGCGTCAAGAAGGTGCAGAAGACGGGCGAGACCACGAGGGATATGTGGCACAACACCGATTGGGAAAAAGTGAAGAAGAATCCAGAGATTATTCAGTTCCCGAGGGAAGACTGGGTTTTTGGTCACGATGCGGAGCTGCATGCCGAGGAGATGGGCGATGAGCTGATCGCGAAGGCGAGCGAAGGTTTGAAAGCTGCAAAGATATGAGACATATACCACGTAGATTAGATCAATATATGTATTCGACTTTATGTACTTGTTGATATGAGGTCATGGCGATGGTTGAGCTCGGGACTTTACGTACGTCGATCAACAATGCATCGTGATTCACACTAACAAGTTACGCATCCTCTTAGACGAAGATAGAGATTTCTTATTTCATGTGTATGCAACACCATATTATCTCAACCAACACACTTGCCTATCTACGTACTCAACTGCACAGCATAATATTGCCAGATACTAGCAACTCACCACCTCCATCAGAATCCCCAAACCCCGCCTTCCCACCAAGTACCCCCCTTATACTCCTCTAGTCCCCATTACCGGCCAGCTTTGATATTCTCAGTCATGACCGCACCATCCTTCTTCTCCTCCTTCTCCTTCTGCTCAATAACGACTTTCTCCTCACCGCCACCACCAGTGCGATGTCCCGTGCAAACATACTTTCTAAACTTGCGAGCAGGAAGCGGGGGCTTGACCTCGAACATCTCGTCAATCTCCTCCAGAGTGCGATTCTTGATCTCGGGGAGGAAAAAGTAGATCCAGATGACGGTGACGAAGCATGAGGGTCCCCAGATCCAGCCTGTTGGATAGATACAACACGATTGTCAGTCAATGGAGCCTTTTGGTTTGTTCTGCGATGCCGAAAAGAGGCAAAAGAAGAAAGAAAAGTAGTGGCCGATGGTCATCAATCAGAGAAGAGAGAAGAAGAAAGGAGTATTGACGTACCGTACTCAGGTCCCCAATTCAACGCTTCCGGATTGATGAAGTACGGAGCCGTGAAAGTCGCCAACCACGCGCCTGCAAACCCCACAGCCGATGCTAGACCAAACGTGTACGAGCGGAGCCGCTGCGAGGGGATTTCTCCGCCGGACAGCCATGCGTATGTAGCTACCATGCCGTTGTAGCCAGCGATGTAGATTACCGTGAATCCAACCAGTACCTTTACATCTAGAGTCAGCATCCTACCACCAATCAACCCTAATGTGGGATTTGCACGAAATTTCCAAGGAACGTTGTCTAATTGGAGGAGATAGCGGCGGGAAAGGAAAGTTGAACGACGTACTTTCCCGGTCGCTGCACCGCGCGGATCACCGCGGTACACAGCGGCGATGATGAACTGGGAGATCCCACAGATGCTCATCCCAACCATGAGAAACACTCTTCGCCGGCCTATCTTGGAGATGACGCAGCTGTTCGCGATGATGGCGATGACGCCGATGGCGGTGAGGATACACGACATCCTGAAAGCGTCGGTGATTCCGGCCATGAGGAAGAAATACGTGCCGTATGCTGTGGAAACTCGTAGTCAGCGTCTAATTCTCCGCGAGCGAGACACGACCTATCCCTCCTATAATAAGGGAGGAAGATCTGGATTTGTATTCCGGGTCGGCAAAGGGTTTCAGTAAATCCAGTGAAGACGTACCAATAATAAACATCGCCCCTGAAGCCGCCTGTATGGAAATCGCGGCAACGGCTAGCAAAGTCCTCCGCCGATCCACCGGATCCCTCCAAACATCCATAAAACTCGCATCCTTCTTGACATCCTTTTCCGCGGCGATCGCGGCGCGGATCTCATCCAGCTCTTCTTGGACGCCGTCGCCTCGAGGACGCATCCACGTTAGAGACTTGAGCGCCAGCTCGTCGCGCTCCATGAGCGCGAGCCACCGCGGGCTCTCGGGGATGAAAAACAGGCCAATGGACATGAGGACTGGCACGATGTAAATGGTGCCCAGCGGGATGAGGTAGCTGTTCCGATTGGGGATATCGGCGGTGGCGTTGTCGATGACGGTGCCGACGAGGGAGCCGAGCGAGGTCCAGCATTGGAAGACTGAGATCATGAGACCGCGGTATCGCGCTGGTGTGCTTTCCTATCACCATTTCACCTCGCAATCAACATCGCAAGCAATGCATATATAGCGAGCTAGCAGCTCAAAGAGAGACGGGAACGGCGATGGCGAACATACCTGGATATAGAGTTGGCTGAAGGTCATGTACCAGCCGTTAGCTAAACCGATCAACAAGCGTCCAGCATATAGACCAGCCAGATTCGTGGTAGTCATCATGATGACATTGGACACGATGCACAGCAGAGATGCCAACCACAAGCACTGGCGACGCCCGAGATACGCCGCAAACACGCCCGCAGAAGACGAGCTGACGAACGCACCCAGCGTCATGAGAGATGAGATGAGCTGTTGGCGGCCGGGCGAGATGTTGTATCCTATCGGCGTTGTTGGATCTGGGTTTCCAAAGACCTTTTACTGTGTGTCAGTGCCCTCGAAGATAGCGAAATAGTAGTGACTACATGCTACCCACCATGAGAAACCCCTTCATAGCTTGCAACCCTCCTATAGCGCCAAAGTCGATTCCGTACTGAAAGGGACTCATGGAGACGAGCGTGCACGCGAGCAAGCACTTCCAGTTCTCCACCAGCCCTCTTCCGGTCGAAGAAGCAGCCATGATGAGAAAAAAAAAAAGCGGATAGAAACTGTGCGTGCCTCCAAACAATACAGACGGCTTCAATTGAAGAAATAACGAAGAAGAGAAATCCAATTGCGCGGAAGATGGATCTGTCCACGAAAAAATCAAAAGCAACAGCTTCTAACCGGGACAAGCAAACTGCATGTCGTGGAAAACACACAATCTAGATATCCCCCTTCGCGCTCCTATGCATCTCCATCACCAACCACCCTACCCTCCCTTCCATGCCACTCGACGCCAATCATCTAGCAGGACATGGAACTATCGCACTAGCATCTCCTCAATCCCCTCGCCATTATACTTGATTCATTCATACCATATCAGCCACGTAGATCAGATGCGCTCCTTTTCATTAGCAGCTACGGATTACCACAGCACGCATAAGCACACGCGCATGCAACTCCCCCTGTGGGGAAAAGCCATCAGCTACCCCGGACTTTGGAGCAAATAAGATCTGCAGTATACCACTCGGGATGTGGGGAAGTGTAGCCATGAGTACATGTGGAAAGCGGGGGAGACACTTTTCGCTCTCGTGGATGATTAGCCGGGGGGCGTTTTCTTTTGCTTTCCTCGAGTCGTGGTAGGTAGGATACATGGGGAGTAGGAAGATGGACGAGTCCAAGTTGACCGTTGACGTCGTGGAAGAAATCGCGGGGAACAACTCACGGGCTAGGAGAGAGAGCATGAATCCAACCGGCCTGTTTTCTTTATTCGGTTAATCGTTGATTTGTTTTGAAGAAGAAGAAGAAGGGTGCATTGCACGGCCATGTAGAAAGACCGAAAAGGGCTTACAATGGAGAAGAGAACAAGAAGGACAGCTCGGCTGGATCAACCAGATGCCGGATGTAAGTAACCACGTCGCATGCACAATCCTGCATGCACATCCTGTCGTATCCGTGTGTCCATTTGTGTATAACGGTTATAGCCGAGAATGGCTGTCTATCAGTCGGGATCATCGCTCCGACCGCTTCCTCCGTTGATGTTCTGCACGCACGCACGCACGCACGCTTCAAGCGCCACCCCTCCAAATCCTTCGCGATAAACCACACGCGCCATACGCAAGGCCACCAAATAGACCAGAAAAAAAACGAATGTAAAAGCGCGCTTCATCAGATCTGATTGTACATAATAGTGCATGTAAAAAGTGGTGTGTGTCTCAGCGTTGGAATAGATCCATCTCTGCAAACTCACCAAAAAGAATTGATTGAGAAAAAAAACAAAAAAAGTAAACTCATATGAGATCCCTTACCAAGATTCGAACTTGGGTTACCGGAAGACTTCTGATAACGCATATCAAAATCCGGTGTGATAACCTCTACACTATAAAGGAGAAGACTTTTCTAATCGATGTGAACATCTCCTCCAAACATCATTATATACCCATTATTTCTATACGATCCATCCATCCACCCATTCACAACCTCCACCAAAGCTAACACGGCACCACTTTCACTGTTCCCAGGATCCAAAAACCTAGCCAAGCTAAGCCAAACTAAACTAGGTACATAGCTAGCCCAGACCAAACCTCGTTTGCGAAGCGAAGCGAACCCAGGCTCCACCACCACCACCACAGCGTTCAACTCCTTCCTCTTTCCTTGTTGCGTCCGCTGTGGGGCCTAGTTGTCGTCGACCCCACCATCCATCCATCCATCCATCCATCCATCCATCCATCCATCCATCACCTCTGTGGTGGTATCCGGGGTAACTTTTTCCCTCCCGCCTCCCTCCACTCATCGATCATACATACATGTATGTACCTAGGTATGCCATATCACCGCTTCCTCCACGTGACCGATGATCCTTTGAACAAGGATGTGATATCCTTGGAGCTGGGGGGGAGAAGCTCGTGGTGTAGTGAGTGGGGTTAGCTGCGGGGGAGGATGAACGGCAGAAGAGAAGAAGAAGACTGTGAGCGTGGTCGTCGGCTGTTGTGTCTCTTTTTCTCCTTTTTTTTTTTTTCCTTTTTTCCTTTTTCGCGTTCTGGGGACCTGAGTTCTATATGTAACCATACATAGGTACATTACATACCTATCGATCCAACAATCTATCCATCTATCTATCTATCTGTTCTTTCCTCGAGTAGAAGGATCGGGGTTTTACAATAGCTTGTTTATTTATTTATCTACTTATTTATCTGTTTGTGGCACTACTCAGAGGTCCGAGTGGTTTTTTATATGATATTATTTGGATAAATAACGTTGTTGTTTGTTTGTTTGCTTGTATAGGAGAGAGTGGGATCGTCATTCTACACACTACCTTGAATACTTCCTGAGTCTTTTATCGCGCTTTCTTCTGCGCTTTCAGCTAGGTCTCGCGCGCGAAAAAAAGGGGAAAAGGAAGACAGACGGGAGGGAAAGATGGCCATCAGCGAACTCGTGTCGGGCATACTGCCCTCATCCTCCACACACATCACAGCTACGAACATGCTTGTCTTGGTTCTATCGATCGCGGGTTTAGCCGTCCTGATAGATTATGCGCGAATGCTGAATTTGCGGCGGAAAATGGTGAGTGTTGTACCCAGCACCTATCAAGCACCTACACATCACAGGCAGGAAATCGAATACCAAGAAAGAGAGACGGAAGAGGGCGGAGTTTAAATTGAGATTCTAATAAACTGTGTGTGGGAGAATGTAGCCTCCAGGTCCAATGCCATGGCCGATTATAGGAAATACATTTCAGCTTCCGGATAACAAACCTTGGTTCTATTTCGAGGAATTGTCCAAGAAGTACGAGGTACCGTTGATTACGTATTGGATAGGACGGTATGCATTTCACTCCTCCTCTTACAACACAGCATTGGAATGTTGAAGATCCGACTTCCTATCCCTACCAAGCTCCTAAACCCCGTCTTGCAAAGAGTAGGCAATACGGAGCTCAAACTGATAACGATGAGCCAGGAACCCCACAGTCTGGATCAACGATGCCTGGACCGCGAGCGAACTCCTCGAAAAACGCGCTGGGATATACTGCTCGCGACCGCGCATGCTCGTCTTCGCCGAGCTCGGCTCTGGGCAGAATAATCTGGTGAACATGATCACTACTACTCCAGAAGCCCGCGACCGATGGCGAGTGCAGCGCAAGATTACGCACCATGGGGTTGGAATCCAGCAAGTGCGACGGTATCGGGAATTCCAGAACGACGAGAGTAAAGTGGTGGCGTTTGATTTGTTGACGGCGCCGGAGCAGTTCGTAGCGCATTTTGAACGGTATGCGACGAGCGTAGTGTCAATCATTGGGTTTGGGAGGAGGGTGGCACGGAGTGAGGATCCAATCATTACGGAGGTGATCAAGGTGATGCAGAGGGCTGCTGAATTGAATGTACCGGGGAAGACGTTCCCGATGCTTCTGGAGACGTTTCCTTGTAAGTTGGATCTGTGTTTCCCCACAAGCATCGATAAGGGCTTTTTTTTTTACTAATCACTACGACTGGTAGTACTCGCAAAGGTGCCGACCAAGTACGCGCCCTGGAAACATGGTCTTGGGGGAAAGAGAGGAAGCCATCGTGGCCACGACTTCTTCTACTCGCTTGCAGCAGAGGCAAACGAGAACCCGGGCCACGAAGACTGCTACTCCAAACACATTTTCAAAGAGCAAGAAAAATTAGGACTACGACCACAAGAAATCTCCGCTCTGACGGGAAACCTCTTTGGCGCCGGATCCGATACATCGAGTTCCACTCTCGTGACAGCAATCCTCGCTATGCGCGCGTTCCCCGAGACGCTCATCCCCGCGTGGGAGGAACTTGATCGCGTGGTAGGTTCAGACCGGAGCCCCACGTTCGAAGACGATGTGAACCTACCGTACATGCGTGCTTTTGTCAAAGAAGTCTTTCGCTGGCGTTCTGTCGCTATTATCGGAGGGCAACCACATGCGCCTGTTCAAGACGACTACTACAAAGGATGGTTAATTCCGAAACTCACATGGGTTCAAGGAAACATCTGGGCGATCCATCATCACGATCGCGAGTTTCCGGAACCGGACCGTTTCAATCCGATGCGCTTCATGAAGGATAGCCCTGATGCGAGACCGTTCCCTGGGGAGAGGGGATACATGACGTTTGGTTGGGGAAGAAGGGTGTGTTCAGGGCAGGCTCTCGCGGAGCAGGGAACGTGGTTGACGGTTGCGCGGTTGATATGGGGGTTTCGAATTGAGGCGGCGCTGGATAAGGATGGGAAAGCGATTCCGGTGGATATACTTGATTACACGTGAGTTCTGAGTCCAATGCCTCCATTGTATTCCAGGTCACTCCTGATACGAGGAGTCGAGTGCCAGAGGATACATGTACTGACAACCCTCGCAGGAATGGGCTAAATTGGCGTCCTCAGCCTTTCAAAGTCAGCATCAAGCCCCGCAGTGAAAGCATACGGCAAGCCATTGTTCGTGAGGGCGAGCAGGCCCTAGCAGACCTCGCGCAGTATGAAGGAGAGACACAGTACAGGATGAGTACGTTCGGTAAAAAGACATAATTTAGTGCGAGGTTATGGATGTATTGTGAAGAGGGCCGAGTCAGTGTTGGAAATCAAGCGATGGATGAGAGAAATTGAGTTGGAAATAGTTTATAGAGTTGTATGGTAGCCACCAATCAAGCGGGGTCAGCCGATTCATATTGACAAGGTGACCCTTGGTGCGATTGATTGCGACGACAAAGAACGGCTGGAACAGATTCGATAGAACAGGCAATTATACGAATAGACGGCGACGAGACCCATTGAAACATGAGGACGATGGTGTCTTTGGCGCGGATGAAGAGAGTGAAGGGTGTCAGGCAGCTGTCTACTCACCATGCGCGCTATGCCCAAAAGGGCGAGGTGGTGGCGTTAGCTCCGCCTGCGATGACGTGCAACGTGACTGGGATCCAAGCTGCGCAGAGCAGAAATCAATCAAATAAGTCGGAGAGCACAACATTTCCTTCCAGCATACTCCCCCCCGACTCGTTGTTTAGACAGCATCATCTAATTGAACACCAGGCACAGAAGAGAAAACAAACATCAACAACGCCGTCGCGAACTCCATCACCGGGACTCAATCTCCAATTCGCAAACAGCTGCTTATAGGTTTACCTGGCCCATCTATCCGCACCCTTCCGCTTCGTGTACAGACAGCGGCGTCTACACTAAGATACTAGCTACAGCGATTCGTTGATTGCGAATCTGTTGCGACGACTATTCAAGAAGCGCTCCACGCAGGAAAATCCCAATTGCACATTTCCAGACCCATTATCGACCCTCTATACTCCATCTCCAACGTCCCCGCCATGTCGCACGGAAGAGACTACCAGCAATACAGCGGAAACCCGTACGGGCAAGAGGAAGCTACGACGGGCGGATACGGACAGTCGAATCCATATGGCGGAACAGGAGCGCAATACAACAACAGCACCAACAACTCCAACCCGTATACGGGGGGCACTGGAAACTACAGCGCATCCTCGAACCCCTACGGCGATAACAGCTACAACAACAACGCACAACTCCAACCCCCAGCCCAACTGGCGCATCAAACCTCAAACTACTCCGAAGTGTCCGACTACTCGCAGGAGCCCGCCTACCAGCCGCCGCCGCAACAGCCACCCGCGCAACCCCTCAGCCAGCAAGACTTCCTAGCCCGCATCGATGGCACCAAGCGGCGCATCAACCAGCTCAGCAACAGCATCCAAGACATCGCAAACGTGCACCAGCGTCTCCTCTCCTCACCCGAATCCACCTCCTCCTCCCAGCTCGAGAGTCTAGTGACAGACACCCAGGTGCGCAACACGCAGATCAAAGACGAGATCAAGTTCCTGGAAAAAGACGCCGCGCGCGCCGATGCATCGGGTCCCTCGTCGTTCAAGCGCACCCAAGTCGAATCCCTCAAGCGCACATTCAAAACCCAGCTGGAAGATTTCCAGCGCGAGGAAGCAGATTACTCGAAACGGTACCGCGATGCGCTCGCAAGACAGTACCTGATTGTCAACCCAGACGCGACGCAAGCCGAAGTCGACGAAGCCGCAAACGCCGACTGGGGTAATGAAGGAATCTTCCAGCAAGCCGTAAGCCAGCCCATCACACCCATTCCAAATTGATACCCAACACTGCTGACTTGTTACCCTGCAACAGCTCAAAACCAACCGCAGCGCCCAAGGTGCGTCCGTCCTCGGCGCCGTGCGCGCCCGCCACAACGACATCCAGCGCATCGAGAAGACGCTCGGCGAGCTCGCCCTCCTCTTCACCCAGCTCAACGAGCAGGTCGTCTACCAAGAACCCCAGGTCCAGCAGGCCGAGCAGCAAACCGAACAAGTCACCACCGACGCCACCAACGCCAACAAGCAGCTCGACGAGGGCATCAAGAGCGCGCGCAGAGCCAGGAAGTTGAAATGGTGGACCCTGTTCGTCGTCGTGCTGATCATCTGTATCATTGCGCTTGTCGTGGGGCTGTATTTCGGGTTGAGGAACCGGAATAATGGGAACGGGAATGGAGGCGCGTAGGCTGATGCACAAGTGCTGGGCGATCAGGAAGCGAGGTCAAAGTATATGATGTAATAATGTGCAAGGGACTGAGAAATCAATCGCACATGACGACGATATGTATATACATGCCCATCCACGTGTGTGTATTTGACATGAACGGGGAAAAGAAGAAGACGACAACGACGATATAACGGCAACAACACCAAAAACCAGAACAACACTCTAATAACCTCTTTCCAGTTCTCCTTTCTATAGATGGGCAACAACAACAAAAAATGTGTAATTATAATTTCTTTGCTTTAATCTCGCTCGCTGTATATACGTGTAACAACGATAACAACAAAATATAATCTGTACACGTTTCTTTCATTCAATTAATTATATAGATTAAACAATCCTCTCTTCTTCTTCTTCTTCTTCTTCTTTTTGCCCCCTTCTTCCCCCCTACTCTCTGCTAAAAAAGAAAAAGAATAAAGTCTTTAGTTAACTACCTATCTCTCTTTTTTTCTCTGCAACCTCTTTCCCTCCCTTCTTTTTAACATTAATACTAATACTACGTAATTAATTACATTTACCCTAATCTATCTTTTCTTCTTCTATTTCTAAAGTACTAAATATATACTTTAAAACTACTTTTTTTCTTCATAAAGTCTTTAGTATAAAAAAAAGGAGGGGGGGGGGAAGAGAAGGCAGAATAAAAAAAAAATTTAATTGCAGTTTTTGTAGTACAAGGGGAGAGAGAAAAGAAAGAATAAGTAAAAAGTAGAGGGAGGAATGTACTTGTAGTACATAATATATACTACTATATGTTCTGATTCTTGTTTTGCAGAAGGGGGGAAGTTTGTTAAAGAAGGATAAAGTAGAAAGACTAATAATCGCAAAGGGGCTATTTGTATACTCTACGTAGGTATGAATGCTACATACACACATCACATGCACATGTATCCCTTGTTTTTACAGTGCAGTATACAAGTAAAGCATGTTATTGTGCTATTTCCTAGTCTCGATTCCTAGTCTTGGATAAAAGAGAGACAGAGAGGAATCATCTACATATGTATACACACGTACACGCCCATCAACAGGCCCATCTATATCCATCCAGCATTGTCAATAGGTACAAGACAGCACAGCACAGCGAAGCGCAGTACCCAAGAATAGCGACGGGGTGAGTGACGGTCCAGACCCAATCAAGGTCCGGCTAAGCGATCCGGAAGGAGATGGTGCGTACATACATGCGGGTTACCCAATAACGCTACCGCGACACCAGCGACACAGTCAGCCAGCCAGCCAGCTTTAGGCGCGCCACCACCCCGTGAGGTAATGTCGGTCCGTCGAGGTGTAGGGGCAGAGCCGCTCGCGGTAGTGTATCCGCAGTGCGGCAATGCTAATAGCTGTTTGGGCTAGATGATTATTGTCATCATCATTGAGAGGTAGATGTGGATGTGGGTGTGTGTGTGCATGAGTGGTAGGAAATAAGATGCCCACAAGGGGAAAGCAGCATGTTAATTTAACCAAATCAAACTGTAAAAGGAAAAGGGGCGAAATGAAGGAGATTAGGGGAGAAAGGGTACGTTGTGTCAACGGCGAGCAACGGTCATGAGAAGGGGAAAAGCGAACCATGGTTGAGGAGAATTCGAAGGGACTGTCAAAACGTTAAAGAAGAAGAAGAGAAAGGGAGAATTAAGTTTGGATAGGAGAGAAAAAAGGGTATGAGATGGAAGGGTAGCAGTCGATGATCGGTTTGAATGTAGATTGTAATAATTGGAGAGATGAAGGGATAATAGGGTCGGAGGGTGGTGGGCGGCTGATGTAAAAGTCCACCGGCCAGCCAGCCAGCCAGCCAGAAGAAGGTGCAAGAGAACGGAGCTGAAGGTCCAAGGGGAGTGAGAGTGTGGCGCGCCTATTTTTCTCTCCTGGAGGCTTCCTCGGTGTCCGGGGTTCGAATAACAGGAGATTTGATGGTTGCTGTGGAGCGATGGATTCATTGGATGGCGGGGATCCAGGCGCGGGTTACATGGTGAATGCAGCCCTTCACATTCACACGCTGGCGGGTCTCTAGAAGACAGAGAGAGGGTGTGTGTGAATGAAGGGTGGGTAACTAAAAGTAGATCACAGTAGAGACCAGCGTTGGAGGGCGAGTGAGGCGCATTCCAAGGCACAGGTGTGGGGATGGATGTGGGTTCAGACGGGCGACGGGCGAGGCAATGATGTCGATTGATGTTTCAGCGGATCCAGAGTACGCGTCAGTCGTTGAGCAGCGTGAAGCAAGCAAGTGGGTAATGGATATCATGTCAGATGGCTCTTGGTCGGATCGGCAGGAGAAGCTTAAACTTCTTGTCCGCAAAGTCTTGATTCTGTCACCAAGACGTCCGTGTCCGGCGCTAGGCCCGTTTGGGACAGTGGCCACTACCCGCACCCCTGTCCCTTGCTCCTTCCCCCTAAAAACCAAGCCAACCCTTCCCTTTTGCTTGCCCCCCGACAGCTTGCCATCTTCTTGTTTCCTCCTTCTCTCCTCCTCCTACATACCAACCCTCCCCTTCTAATTCCACACTCACCCCTTCTTACACTCGTTTGTACCGGGCCAAACGCCTGCTTTTTCCACCTTCTTTCCATCAATCAATCTCACCAGCAAACAAATAAGCTTCACGCTCGCTCCACATCTCTTGGGTCGTGTTTCATCTGCGCTGTTTACAAGAAAAGCCCAGCCTGCCAACCCTCCGCCCTACCCCATCCCAAGACAACACCAAGAACTCTTGTCTTACATTTCTGTAAACATCACCACTTTATTCATCCATCACATTGTCCCTCTTCGCAATAATGAAGACCTTCACCACCTTCGCCGCAGTTGGCGCCCTCGCCGCCTCCGTTTCGGCCACCCCGGCCTTGACCCCCCAGAAGCGCGCCGACGTGACGCCCATCACCATCAAGGGAAACGGTATGTTCCAAACAAGCAATGTTTCTTCCTTTGCTCTGCACGCCGAGCATTACGCCGAGCTCCGATCGTCAGCCTGCAGCTGGCCCTGGGAGTCCCTCTTGAAGTCCCTCTTGGAAATCCTTGACTGACATAATTCTCCGCAGCTTTCTTCAAGGGCAATGAGCGCTTCTACATCCGCGGTGTCGACTACCAGCCCGGAGGCTCATCCGAGGCTAAGGACCCCATCGCTGACACTGCTGGCTGCAAGCGCGACGTTGCCAAATTCAAGGAGCTTGGCCTCAACACCATCCGTGTCTACACCGTCGACAACTCCAAGGACCACGACGAGTGCATGACGGAGCTTGCCAACGCCGGCATTTACCTCGCCCTCGATGTCAACTCGCCCAAGTACTCTCTTAGGCGCGACAAGCCCGGAAAGTCCTACAACAAGGCCTACCTTCAGAGCGTCTTCGCCACCATTGACGCTTTTGCCAACTACCCCAACACCCTTCTCTTCTTCTCCGGTAACGAGGTTATCAACGATGACGAGACTTCCTCGTGCGCTCCTTACATCAAGGCTGTTGACCGTGACATGCGCTCCTACATCAACGCCCGCAAGTACCGCAAGATTCCTGTGGGTTACTCTGCCGCCGACGTTGAGGAGAACCGTGTCGAGATGGCCCAGTACATGAACTGCGGTCCCGATGGCGCTCGCAGCGACTTCTACGCGTTCAACGACTACGCCTGGTGCGATCCCGACAAGACCTCCGACGACTGGGAGAAGAAGGCTAAGACCTTCTCCAACTACTCCATCCCTCTCTTGTAAGTTCTCATCTCTGCAGTCTGCTAGAACGGCAGCTAACATCTGTCCCCCAGCCTTTCCGAGTACGGTTGCAACAAGAACAAGCGTGAGTTCAACGCCGTCAAGGGTCTCTACGGCGACTCCATGACCAAGGCTTACTCTGGTGGTCTCGTCTACGAGTACACCGAGGAGGGCTCCAAATACGGCCTTGTCGAGCTCGATGGCGACAACGTTAAGACTTTGGACGACTTCGACGCTCTTAAGAAGGCTTTGGCTGCTACCCCTGCCCCAACCGGTGACGGTGGCTACAACGCCCAGGGAACCAAATCCGAATGCCCCAAGAAGTCCAAGCACTGGAACGTCGACATGGATGATGACACTCTCCCCGCCATGCCCAAGGGTCTTGACGAGTTCTTCAAGAACGGTGCTGGCAAGGGCAAGGGTCTCGTCGGTGGATCCCAGGACTCCGGAGAGGACTCGCCCCCAACTGGTCCCGCTGCGTCCGGCGCCATCACCTCCGGTGCCGTGAGCAACGGTGGTTCCGGCTCTGCTGCCGCTTCTCAGTCTTCTCCCGCTGCTGCCGCCTCTGTCCGCGTTCCCGAGTTCGCTGCCTCTCCCTTCGTGGCCGGATTCGTGGTCCTCGTCTCTTCCTTCGTTGGTGCGGCTCTTTTGTAAGCTTTCTATGCCGATTTGAAGAATTCGTTGTGTGGCATTCAGGTTTTCCCTACGTTGTTTGACGATAGGTAAATAGTGGATATGATGTCTAGACCCCCATTCATGTGGTGGGCTATGGCTTTCATTTACAGTAATCTTATTCTAGAGGGATCTTTTGTCTTTGGAGTTCATGCCGGCCTCCAACCGAGTCATCGGCTGGCGTTCTTTCCTTGAGTTCAGGTGTGCACGTGGTATAGAAGTTGCATTGTATGTAAATAGTATAATGGCAACTCAAAAACTTAAAACTTGACTTGCTCCCAATATGACCCGTGGATCTCTGTTCCCGAATGTATCACTAACACCTTACAGCATAGCAAGCTCCCCACCCCGCGTGATTAGTCATCCAATTCGTTATCGATAGGGAACCACATCCCGCCAAAATAATCATCATCGTTCTTCGACCCGAATGCGCCGCTGAGACTTGAATGCGCTCAGTCCTGTTTTCCATTCCCCGTACCACCTCCGTGCCCCTGGCTTCTCTTCATCTTCTCGGACTTGTGATTCAATATGCCTCGCGACCCGCTTATAGGGCTCGTGGGGAAGCCATCTTCGGGAAAATCCACAACGTTGAATAGGTGCGCTTCTTCGGGCGTCTGGATTGCATATTAAAATGTAAGCTGACGACGTGTGACTTCCAGCTTGACGGACGCTACCTCGAAAGTCGGTAGGTGTGTATTAACTGCTGTTCGATTGTTCTCAACATGTTCAATCCTGCTTTGGCGCGAATTGGAGCGGTCCAAAGGACGATACAATTCAATATTGGCGGTTCACGGAATAATGCGCTGACTTGCAACTTTCTGTCTAGGAAACTTCCCGTAAGTCTCTCTTCCCGTACACAAGGAAAATATCTTCCATCTCGGAAAATAAGCGATTGGCAATTAACGCGTGCCGCCAAATACAAAACAGCTTCACAACCATTGACCCCCAACGCGCCGTCGGCTACCTCCAAATCCCCTGCGCCTGCGCACGCCCCGGTATCGACCTCTCCGAGCGATGTAAACCAAATTACGGATCTTGCGTCGAGGGAAAGCGCAGCGTGCCGATTGAGCTGCTGGATGTCGCTGGGTTGGTACCTGGTGCGCATATGGGGAAGGGGCTGGGGAATCGGTTCTTGGACGATTTGAGACATGCGGATGCGCTGGTGCATGTTGTGGATGTTAGTGGGACTACGGATGCTGAGGGTGAGTTTATTCTTTTGCTTGGTTGTAGGCTGGGGCCGTGGGGAATTGGACAGGGTTAGGGGAAGGTTGGGCGTGAGTTGGATGCTGATTTTGGAATACACAGGTAAAGCAACGAGAGGATACGATCCTAGTCAGGATATCGTATGGTTACGCTCGGAAATCGTGCGGTGGATTCTGGGAAATTTGATGGAGAAGTGGTATATGCTTCCCCTACCTAACTGTTTTAAACTCAACAACTCACCACCAACAACAGGGGCTCCATAAAACGCCGGCACATAGCCGTAAAAGCAACTCCCGTCGAAACCCTGCAAAATCAACTCTCAGGCTACGGCTCAAACTCCAAAATCGTAGCGCGCACCCTCGACCGCATATCTCTCAAGGAACCCCTCCCCGAATGGTCCGAAGCAACAATAACCCGCGTCGTCGAAGCCTTTGTCGACGAAAAATTCCCAACCGTCCTTGCCCTCAACAAAATAGACCACCCAGACGCCGACAAAAACATTGCCAAAATCGCAAAACAGGTCAAAGACCCAAAGGAGATTGTGCTATGTAGCGCAATCTCCGAAGTCTTTTTGAGAAAGTTGGGAAAGCAAGGGTACATCAAATACACCGAGGGCGCGGATTATCTCGACACGCGCGAGGATCTCATCGAAGCCGGCGATGCCAACGGCGGGAACCTCAAACCTCTGGATGAAAAACTCACCCAGCGCCTCGAGAACCTCAAGGACCTCGTGCTCTATCGCTTCGGTAGTACGGGCGTTGTGCAGGTTCTCACCCGCGCTGCCGAGCTGCTGGGCTTGGTCCCCGTCTTCCCCGTCAGGAACGTGCATAACTACACGAGCGGGAGCGCGAGTTCGACGGCCGTGTTCCGCGATTGCGTGTTGGTGGGCAAAGGCAGCACCGTGGGCGATGTGTATAGGAAGGTCATGGGGGATGCGCCCATGGCGTATGTGGAGACGAGGGGTGGGGTCCGCGTCGCCGAAGACGATTTGGTGGTTGTGGGGAAGAATGATGTAAGTTCTTTTTCCTTTCCTTTTCCTTTCCTTTTTCTTTACATCCCTTCTCTTTCTGTTCTTTCCTCTTTTTTTTTTTGTGTGTGTGTGTGTGTGTGTGTGTGTGTGTGTGTGCTTCAAAATGGGGACTCCCTTGCTGATCTTACTGCCCTTTTGTAGATCCTGTCCTTCAAAGTCGGAAGAGCGTAGAATCAGTCTCATTGTACTTGCTTATAACCGGTTATTCGCCGAGTGCGATGATTCTTATGAAATGCATGCATTAAGACCCAAGTTATCCCATCTCTCATAGAGCGGATCCAGTGTTTGTCGGTAGTTATTTCGTATTCGACAGTCAGGCCAAACTACGAAACATCGTCATCTTATGAGATTGGACTGGGCCCTGTATTCGAATCTTGAAGGGGAAAAAGTAGTATCCTAACCATCACACATATATGAAAGAGCCGGAACATCACAGTGAAAACACGACTGTTTGCTTGTTTGCTTGTCTGGAAGATGAAGTTTCATGTTGTATTGATTTTCATGTTTTGCCCATTGCCCCGAGGTATGCCATGAAGCCTAATGGTGAGAGCTCCGAAGATGGCTTTACTCGAGAGATTATGGAGTAAGTGTCCAGATTCCATGCTCCGTTTTCTCCATATTTCTCGTACACTCCTACCCTATATCATTGGGCTTCCACATATAACCAACACTGCCCTCTTTTTCTTATTCACTTTCCGGAGGTGTGAAGAGCAGGTAGCAAGCCTCGCCAATGCTATCTGCATTGCGGTGTCTTGCGCGCTTGCAAAGCTTCATTCGACTTCCGACTCAAGCAGATAATCAGGTTCTGCAGTATAAACTCCGTCACAGCCAATGCAAGGGAAGGTTGTCAAGTAACCAACCCTGTGCCAGAAGTTATTCGTTTCCTTCCCTGAAATACTCGAACAGTATGGACAAGAGGCTGAGGGAGTCGATGTATCTTCATATGGTCCTTCGTCTGTTTCTTCATCACCTTCAGGACATGGTATCTTAATTTGAGAAGCGAAATCGCACGATCGCAGACCGAAGTGAACGTAGTGGCAGAAATCGCACATGAAGAGACAAATTGGAGACTCGCTCGCAGTGCCGTCGGGTCCATCACGCCCGATCAGCAGAAGGTCCGTCGCCAAGTCTGCATTGTCACGCAGAAGTTCGACAACTTTTTCCTTCCGCAAAGCTGACTTGAGCACAGTTGGGCGGAAACGGCGGGTGATAACCGCGGCCTGCACAACGATTCGACGCAACTTCACATGCTCTTTCGCGTCCATGGTAGTGTACTCATAGATGAGTGTAGCGATCATGGCCCAGTTATCGCAACTAATCTCTTTCAATGCCTCGGTAAACCTCGTCTTGGCCAGTTCATACAGAGAAGTGCAGGCGTACTTTTCGGCGATGATGATGACTCGCGCATGGACTAGAGCTTCGGGTATCTTCATGTTGTTGGTGTGCTTCGAAGCGTCATAGTCGGCATTGTAAAAGTACGACACCATGCATTCAATGGCATCAGCAAACTGAGCATCGTCGTGCAGCTCAACCTCGCCAGTAAACGCTTCCTACACAATTCCCATCAGACAAACCGCAAAGCTTGTAGACACTCGCGCGGCTTACTCTGACTACTTATTCCCTTGCAAGGCGGATAGGAATCAAACCCAAGAGCTAGTCCCCCACTCTATTTCTGCATACTTACCTGAAATCCACCCGTCACGGCTTTTTGGAACCACTGGGACTGGCTGCACACAAAGGCTTTGTGCATCTTCCAAGTTTTGGGTACATCGCCGCCGGTATAAGACTTGACTGTCAAGTCAAATAGTTCTTCAGAGGTGAGATACCTACTGAGGTTGCTGAACCAGCTTGCGGTGTCGGCCATTATTGGAACAAGACCACAAGTCGAGAGGACCGGGAGAAGGAGAGTGCGCCGTTGCTGTCTACTCCAATGGCTGCACCCGGCAGGCAGGGAAAAGAGAGGAGAAGGCCGGAACAGAACAAAGGGCCGTGCCAATAACTGACTGTGTGTTGGAGAAAGAGGGTGTGTGAAGGAGGAAAGAGGCAATAGATCTTATCTAGGTGACGGCTGTAGACTAGCCGGCACGTGATTGCCTAATACAGTCGCAACTGCCTCCTGAAGCTCCAGATACACGTCACCGCAGCCGTTTGCTGCTTAGTCACACAAGCATGGAAATAGCAGGTATCGTGAGTTGTTCTTTTCATACAGTCGTCTATCCATCTACCTCCCCATTGCGCCCTTTGCACTCCCATCAGAGAGATGTCTAACTTTCAAGTAGTCTAATCACAGGCTCGAGATATGCTGCTCCACTGTCACGTTCCACCATCTATCTCATCTCAGCCCTGTTGTACTGAAGGACAGCATGCACGGCAGATCAATCTCGCTGGCCGATGATAGGGGTCTTGCGTGACCCTAATGAAAATGCCGGTGCGAGCGCATCGAGGGCACCTCAGGTACCTATCATCATATGACATCAAAAGCCCACAGTCGTCTTTAATTAAGTGTTTTGAACTAACGTTCTGTTACACTCGGTAGGGTCGATAGGGTCGATAGGGTCGATAGGCTGTGCGAACAAACATTCTGTTACACTCGATAGGGTCGATTGGTTCTGCGAGCAAGAGGTCGATTGCCAGCTCTGGGATCGCGCTCAGGACGTCGACAAGTTTGCTGTTTTCACGCGCGGCGTTTAGGATGTCGGTGTTGCTGCTGCGTGGACTTCCTTTTGCGCCAACAACAATACGGCGGAGCTCCGTGTGCCATGGCACTTTTGCGGTTGCGTAGTCGTATACAAAGGATGCGATTTCGGCCCAGTCATCGAGAGGGATCCAATTCTCCAGCGCGGTCTCGAGCTTCTTCGTGGCCAGGTCCTGGAGAGACCTGCAGGCGTACTTTTCCGCGATGGCGAAAACTTGCGCGTGAAGAAGGTATTCGGGGGTGGTTTTGCTGGTGCCGTCGTCCTTCGCGGTGCTGTAGTCTGCGTCGTAGAAGTATTCTATCATGCATTCTACAGCAGCGGTGAGTTGTGGTTCATCGGTTAGTGTCACCTCGTCGCTGGATGCTTCCTGCTCGACATCATCGGATTAACATTGGCAACTTTAGAAAGAAAGAGAAGAGGGCTTTTGTTCCGGTGGATCGACTTACTTGAAACTTCCCCGTAACGGCGTTGCGAAACCAATCCGACTGACTGCACACAATGATCTTGTGCACCGCCTTGACCCGCTCCGTCTCCCCATCGGAGCACTTGAGCTTCAGGTCGGAAAGCTCTCCATCTTTCAGGTATTTCGAGATGTTGTGGACGTAGTCCACCGTGCCCGCCATGCTTGGAAGAGGAGGTGTGGAGTCAGTTGTATCCGATTGTATCTGTTCCCCAAGGTTGAGCTTGATGACAAAATGAGCAGCCATGGGTCCGAGGTCGAGGTCGATGTCGATGTCGATGAAGAGATCAGAGAGGGGGAGGGGGGCTCTTTTATATGCATGCATTGCGTGCGTTGGGTGAATGAGTGCGAACTCTAACTACTGACTAGTTAGAGCCAGCCCATCCCGTTTACATGTTTACCAACGAACCAGCCGTATCCACTTCACTTGGGGAAACCCGCAAACGTCAAACAGTCGCTAGAGGTTGCGCCCCTACCGCCGCCGATGAGAATAACGCGCCCGAACACAATAGTTCAAACCATTGGAGGTTTGCGAATTCGCGATCAATTACAGTGTCCTCGTTCCCCAAGTTGCCATATACGAGGTCGCCGACCCTATAAAGTTGGTTGTCGCGGCGTTTATCGTTGGCGAAGTGTGCTGGAGATTCCTGTGACCAGCGGAGTTGGCTTCGCAAAAACGTGACCGGGTCCTGGAGTTGTCGCAGGAGCTCATCCGCGTTTAAAACCTTGAGACGTTGCTGCGCTGTGAGTCCGGTTTTTCGACTGTCTCTTTCCTGTGATTGGAAATGATTATGCGATGACTGACTGCATACAATACAAGTACTGTTTAGCTAATCGAAGAGTCAATCTAGGAAAGAGAAAAAACGGACACATACGTGCGATGGAAGACTATATTGATAAGGTATCGTTGTCTTCTTGTTATTATAATTGACATTGGTGTGCGTATATATACATGTATGTATATATGTGTGTGTGCCAGACTAGTTATCCCCCTTGGTAGTCTTGATCACTACTTCTTATACCTTGTACGCCATCATATATATCTTGTTTTATTTTATTTTTATTTTTATTTCTTGAGTTAGAGTTTAGGTGATCCTTTACACAGGGAAGGGTTTACAAGGATAAAATAGACTAAAATGACGAGCGAATATATATATATATATCTTGTAAAACCTGTGTTCTTACTACCTGAGAAGAAAAAGAAAGAGAAAAAAGGAGGCTTTACTATTAAATAGTAGATAGATGGGTAAGAAGGAAACTGCGTGAGCGAGCAAGTGAGGGAAGCAATCAATCTCTCGTCTTTATTTGTTAGCGCAGCGATAGATATGTACCACACACATAAAATTCTACCCAACATGACAAGTAGATGGTACGATAGCGGCAACGATGAAATACAACGATTCTATATTTTTATTTTTCTCCGAAAGCAAAAAAAAAAAAAAAAGCAGAGCAGAGGAGATGGAAAAGAAAAAAAAAGGAGTTGCAGAAGTTGATTCATGACGTCTAATAAACAGGAACCCTCTCAACAGCGCGAACCCACCTCCGCCTCCTCCACTCCCCCATACGACTAGGACCCAACCCAACATTCCACGCGCGCCTCAAAACCTCCTTCTCGTCCTGACTGCTTGTGGAGCTCACGCCCCTTTTGTGCCGTCCCGGGCGGCGTTTCGTCAATTTCTTCCTGGTCGAAGTAGCGGTGCTCGCGGCGGAGCTGTAGAAGGAGCTAGAATACACGGAAGCGTCGTCGTCTTCAGTGAGGTCCTCGTAGAGCAGATCGGTGACCCAGCGCTCGCCTTGGATTTGGACCTCGACGGCCGTGACGCAGCGGTCCTCGACCCACTCGCGCGACAGGAGGTCGAGGGTCCATTTTTTGTCTGACCAGCGCCATCCGCGCGGGGGCAGGACGTCTTCGAAGAAGGGGGTGCCTTTTGGTCTGTCGCCGGCGATGCGGGAGGGGCTCATGGGCGCGTAGGTGGAGGGGGAGAAGAGGTACGGGGAGTATTCTGCGGTTTGCGGGGAGTGGAGGGGTCGGTGTTGGAGCTCGAAGATTTCGACGGCGCGGGTTTCCGGGGAGGTGGTTAGGGTTATGTCGGTGTTGGAGAGGGTTAGGAGGGTTGTGCGGAGGGCGTCGTTTTGGGTGGATAGGAAGGCTGCTGGGGAGGGGGAGGGGGTGGTTGTTGATGAGGAGGATGGTTGGGGGTTGGTAGGGGTGGAGAGGAGGTCTTGGATGGAAGGGTGGCCTAGGGCGGTGAGGACGTAGCCTGATAGCAGGAAGACGAAACGCCAGGGGACGAGGTGCGAGAAGATGAAGAGCGAGCACGAGGTGAAGATTAGGAGGATGTAGAGGAGGGAGGAGAGGGCTTCGTTGGAGAAGTTGGTGAGAGGGGTAAGAAACGCAATGACGGCGTCGTGGCCGCGCGAGAAGTCTTCCATGACGTTTTGCAGGTCGCGCATGTTGCGGAAGAAGTCTTTGGAGAGCTCGGGCGTGGGCTTGACGGTTCGTGCCGCTGCTAGTGGTGGGCCGTCTAATGGGTAGAGGTCGGTAGGGAGATGGGTGGGTGGAGGGGGGTGGCGTGCGAGGTAGGCGGGTACCATGATGAAGAAGAGGCAGCAAACCAGCGGGAGAACGGCGAGGAGGGTGGGATCGATGCACACGAATGTGTAGACGAAGAGGAAGGAGATGGTGTGGGTGGGGGTTCTCCATGTGAAAAGGCGAATGGCACGGTTTTGGGCGACGAAGGCAACTCCGATACGTGAGTTGAAGCGCCGAAAGTTGGAGGACATGACGGGTAGAGAGAAATTGGGGCGGTCGACGTATGTACGTGACCGCCGGTCTTTGGCTTGGACATTGGGCAAGGAAGTTTCGTCGTCGTCCAAGTCTTCGGAGGGGAGGACAGACGAAAGAAGCCTTTGATATGTTAGCATATCATACGATTGCATACATGATTGAAATGATGATATACATGGTGAAGATGCGGTCAGATACTCTGCCGGGCGATTCTGTGTTTCCCAAGGACTCGAGTTTGTCTTTTAACTTGCTCGGCGAGAGACGGTGGTGTGATGGATTATTGGTGTTTGGTGTTGGAACGCCAGACGGGGCTTCGGATCGCTCGTCTGGGCCAGTGACAGACACGACGGGTATGGGGGTGTCCCGGTTCACAAACGGGTCTGCCTGTTCGGCGCTCATGGTGGCGGTGGGTGGACCAAGGCGGGGAATTTGCCAGTTCCAAGCTCTTTACAAGATTTTATTTCCTTTGGTGGCAATGTAGTTGAGGTTGTTTGGGCAAATGTAGCAGTTCAGTGTTGAGGCATGAGGGCGGTGATGGGTTGTAGGTTGGGGGCGTGCACCGCCACAGGTCTTCTTTGAGCACGCGGGGAATGAGGACTCAAGTGTGAAGCGCGTTGTTTGTCTGGTAGATTTCATACAGTGTATGCAGCGCGTCTCCCGTCAATACAGAAGCATAACGGCAAGGTTTGATTAGCAGGAAGAGAGTGTGAAGATGTCGAGATAGAGTTGTGGCTGTCTGGGGATGACGGCATTTGCATGTGCATGTGCAACTCGACGTCGATGTCGCTGGAGGGCGGGTGGCTTGGCACGTGCTGGCGGGTTTCGACCTGGCACGTGTTGATTGATTGATTCCATCAACTACCTAGGTACCTACATACCACCTACATATGTGCACCATACATACATACATACATACATACATGGAGGTACACGGACACGGCTACATGTTCACATCTTGTTCATTGATGTTGTGAAAGGCTGGATAGAGTGGATGTGGAATGGTGATCAGGGGGCACGACACGAGCACCTACCCATCGTTCCCCATGCGGGTTCCGCGTAGCCGTTGCTGTCGACCCTGCGCGGCACGAGTAGCGTCACAGGGTGGGTGAGTCGAAGCGGTCAATCAATTGTCATGATGCCTGGATGATGATGGAATGTCTATGTGTTTGGCTATGTATTGATTCCGTTTGCTGGCAGGCAGGTCGGTGTACTGGATATACATGTCTATGTACATGTGTATACAGACATGGTCATGTAGCCAGGCCAACGGTCAAACGGTGATGGCATTATGACCGTCGACTGATGTTTGCAATGACGGGCTGTGATAACAACCATGATATATAGGTATGTATAGATAGACAAAACACAGCACGTTAGCAGCTGGCTAAGTAGCGAGCTAATAGTGGCAAAGAAAGAACAACAAAGAGGATTGGAACCGTGATATTGACAGGTTGCAGCGGGCCACGACAAGCGAGCAGCCGTCGCCCAGCCAAAGCGTCTGTTGTTTTGATCAATTGCTGCCTTCATTGGCGAGCACGCGCTGCGTCCCAGGGTGGGCCTGGGCATTGGCCTGCCTGCTAGCCATCATCATTCAATCTCTCTACTAGGTCCCTAGGTAATTATAATTATTATTGTCCCTATTATTGACGACCATGGATTGCTAGTCGCCTGGTAGTAGTAGTCGTAGTAGTCGTCGTCTCTTCTGCCCACTTACTTACTCATTCGCTGGTCCCCTAGTTGTTGTCGTCTTTTTTTGCCCACCCCCTCTCTCCGTACTACACACAAACCTCCTACAGACCACCGACAACACCTGTCCAGCACACCGCCTGCCCCCTAATTGATTGATCCACTCGCTCTGCTCGTACACAGCATTCGCCCCCGCTCGCCCGACCCATTGGGACTCGATCGCGACCCTGCCTGGCCCTGCAGCGTCGTCTCCTGCTCCCTCCTCCGCAACCCCCTCCCCTCGAATCCGCAACGGGTCGAAATGCCCACGGCCCCATAGCCTGTCCTCCAGGCTTCGAGCTTGGAGATCGTCCAAGCAAACGCCAGACTCGCAGTCGGCGGAAAAAACGGCTGTTGATTACGAGACGCCCATCAGCGAGCCAGCAAGCAAGCAGCATACAAACTCCTGTCAGCAAGCCCGCCCGCGCGCGATAGGTACCTGAGCCTGTGCCTGCCTTGGTACCCGCAATTCTGCTCGGGGAGGAGTGCATCTGCATCTGCAGCCAGGCCAGGCACGCTCCCCTTGACCCGCCGGGTTATTGACAATGAGAGTGCAGCCGCCCAAATCGCGAACAATGGAGAGCAACCTTCCGGTCCCCAGCAGGGCCAGCTCGGCGGAGGATTCCAATGCCTCCGGGGGTGAGTGCCGCCACTTCTTCGTCTTCCTCTGCTTCTGCTCCTCGCCATCCATCACCACCAACAACCATGCCTGAACAAAGCCCCAGCTAATCATTCTTGCACTCTTCAGAGGGACGCGTCCGCAAATTCCCACGCACCGCCGCCAACGCCGCCATCGACCACCACGCACGTCGAAAGTCGAGCGCTCCCTCGACCGCCCATCAGAGCAGCGCCAGCACCGCAGCAACCTCTGCCCCCCGCATGCCACCCGCCGCCGAGGGCAGCAACAATAACGGCAACAGACCCGGGTTCCGCGGGCGACGCACATCGGTGCGCGAGCACAAGGCGCCTCTAGGACCGAGACCGTACGAGAAGCAGAGGTGAGAACCTGGAGAAACCAAACATCTGCATGCGATGCCAGCCAGGCGAGACAGGAGAAAGCCGCCGTTTGTGGTCGCCATGCATGACCGTTTTGAAATCTCGTAATCTTGCAGTCCCAAGTCGGACATGTTGACTGACGTCGATGCAGAGTGACCAGCGATGCCAGTATCATCATGGCCCAAAACCGCTCCTTCCCCGCCAACAGCGAGCCTTCCTTTGCGCCTGCCGCCTCGCGCTTCAGCTTCTCCAACACTCCCCAGCAACAGCAGCCGCGTCCCCATGGCGACTCCAAGGGCAACCACACCAATCCCACCCCTCTCAGCAACATCATCAACACCGCTCCTCCTGCGAGTGAAACCTCCTTTGGCAGCTCCAAACCTTTTATACCCGAGGTCACCTTTGACGACTTCGCCAACTCGCTGTCCTACGAACCCACCCTCAACAACTTCCCTTCTCCTCCAGAGTCTACCGTCACATCCCCCGTGACTGCCACCATGCAGGCTCCACCAGCCGCGCAGACGACTCAACTCCCGCATCCCAGACAGCCGGCGCCATCTTCGATATCGTCGTCTGTTCCACCACCGGCCGTTTTCGCTCCCGCTGCTCCCGCCCCGCGACAAAATCGAAGCGGTTCTTTAATGCGTCGCTTCAGCCAGTCCAAGAGTAACCCGCCTTCCATACAGCCAGAAGCCTCTCCGGCACCCCCGCAAGCCACTAACATGGCCATTCGCACTCGTCGTCAGAGTCAGTTCCCTGCTCCAGCTCCGCAGAACCCTGCAGCTCGTGCACCACGCAAGTCTGTTGGTCCCGGCATGCTTCCTACGCCCAGCGGTGGTTTCGACAGCAGACAGGAAGTCCCCAAGCCCTCCGGCGATATTCCGCAGACCCGCATCGGTCGAACCGCATCGTTTGGGCAGGGTAGCCGCCGACCAACGATAGCGCCGAACGTGAACACTGGCACTGAGATTCCCACCACAAGGGTGCCCAATCCAGCTCGCTCGGCCAAGGCAAAGTCCTACCACGCATCCTCTAAACACCCCCCGAGCATGCTGGGTTTCGACCAAGGGATCCCCCCAATGGCTGCGGCTCGTTCGCCAGGACGACCAGCGACGCGCACGCAAACCCCATCTTCTTCATCTAGCAAACGCCAGTCTACAATCCACCACGTCAGCGGGTTGGGAGCGAGAACTATTAGCCCAACGGATACCCGGAGACTGAAGAGGCTTTCAATGAACCCTAATGCGGTTGTGCCCACGAGTCCACCTACCCCGCAGGCTGATTACTCGCTCGACGACCGCCCTTTCGATCAGTCTCCCGCTCTGATCTTCAGGAAAAGCGTCACGCCGTCTTCGGCGCGAGCTACACCCGATCAGAACCGCAAGTCTTATGCCTCGGGTATCTCGCTATCCTCCAACTCGAGTATCAACTCGTTGCGAATGGGAAACAGCAATTTGCAGCCACGGACAGGCCCTGCGTTTCCTGCATTTCCTGGGTCCCGTCTTCCCACCCCAAAGCCCAGAAATGTACATAGCTCTGCGGGTGGAGAAGAGGAAGAAGAAGTGCCCCCTGTACCTGCCATCCCCAAGGCATACGAATCTCCCAAGGAACCTGATCAGAGCAACTTTTCTTTCACGGCATCGGGACTGAAAGCTTCGGTGCCAGCGTCTACGGCACGCGACGAAAGCAACGACGGCACTGGAGATGTCAGCGCTGCTGCCATCAACGATATCGAGCATCTCGGAATAACGCCTACGAAGCCGGAAGTCGTTCCCAAAAGCAACCGAAACTCCATCAGACATAGGAGAGGTCTTACGGTCGGCGCCGGATCGGATGCTGAGAAGTCGCCCGTTGTGTCATCAAGCAAGAAGAACCTGCAGCCCATCAGACTCCCTCCTTTGAATCTTTTGCCCTTGGGCACACCTTTCAACAACAGGATATCCTCGTTGCCCGCGCCACCTGCTGAATCGGACGATCGCGGTACTATCACGCCGCCTCCACCACGGACGGCCAACAAAACTCCCAGTACTCCCATGACAGCGTCCAAAGCGAGTTTCTTCTCAAAGAACCATGATGAGCAATTCTCCACTGGCAAGCATTTGCGCAGCAGCAGTTCCGCGTATAATTTGCGCGCCCCTGTTCCTTCTCTCCACGGAGCGTCCGCGATGCCCATACCTACGCTGAACCCTACTCGGCAAATGGCTACGCCTTTCTCTTCGAATTCACTTCCCAAAAACGGCGGTGGATTTGCGCCGTTGGAGACACGGCCATCTGCTGAATACATGGGTCACACAGATGTGGAACTACAGTCAGTCCGCGGGGTGCAAGGACCTCGTGCCGCCCCCGCGCGCAAGGAAACCTCTGACACACAAGCCTCGACTCCCTCCGAACCGGAAACCCCCTTGTCTGCTACTTCCCTCAGACGGAAGCTCAGCTTGAGCGGCTGGCGACGCAATGGATCTAAATCCAATGTACAAGCCCAAAAGGGTAGCCAGGCCCAGAAGAATGATGAGCAGCAACAGCAACATACTGTTCAACCGCCCAAACAAGGAGATATGCCTCCTCCACGACTCCCTGCTTCAGCAACTTGGAGCAACGGCCTTGGAGCTAGCCCGACTCCTGCGACTAGGACCCGGCCTTCTCTTGACTTTGGCCGCCGAAAAACTTCAGCGGCGACTATTGCCAGCGATACCGAAGCTGATAAGGCTTCTGGACAAAAATCCAAGAGTGGTCTCGGCTCCCGCGTGCCCTCTGCATACGCCGAATCTTCAGGAACGCAACCTCCGCCCAAATCTGCTTCGTCAATCTTAACGCCGGTGCATAGAATGCTCGGTAGCAAGAGCTCTACCAACATGCTAAGATCTCGCAATCTTGACCCTAATCTGGACAAGGACGATCTGGTAGCCGATGAGGAGATGAAGAAACTTGCCTCGAAACGCAAGGACTTTGAGCATGCTGCGCGTGATGTTGATGAGTTGAGAAAGAGAGCGCGCCCTCAAGAGAAGGTCTCTGCCAGCCAAGCATTGCAAATGGTCAATCTGAACATCTTTGAAAGAGGAGAAATCATTGACTACAAAGAGATTTATTTCTGTGGCACCAAGAGCGCCAAGAAGCACGTTGGTGACTTGAATGCAACATCGGCCAACTTTGGCTACGACGACGATCGCGGGGACTACAACATTGTGTTTGGAGATCATCTGGCGTATCGCTATGAAGTCGTCGATATGCTTGGAAAGGGGAGTTTTGGTCAGGTCGTTCGTTGTGTGGATCACAAAACCGGAGCACTCGTGGCCATCAAGATCATTCGCAACAAGAAGCGCTTCCATCAGCAAGCCCTGGTAGAGGTGAACATTTTACAAAAGCTTCGCGAATGGGTAAGTTGATTATATGGCATCTGTTACAACGAGCCTTCTTTCTGACTGTGTACTAGGACCCCGAGAACAAACACAGCATGATCAACTTCACGCAGAGCTTCTACTTCCGCGGTCATCTCTGTATATCCACCGAACTTCTTGGCATGAACTTGTACGAATTCATCAAGGCCCACGACTTCAAAGGATTCTCGCTTCGGTTGATCCGACGTTTCTGCAAGCAGATGTTGAGCTCACTCGTGCTTCTGAAGGGCAAGAAGGTCATCCACTGCGATTTGAAGCCGGAGAATATCCTCCTTGCACACCCGCTGCACTCGGAAATCAAGGTCATTGATTTTGGCTCCAGCTGCTTCGAAAACGAAAAGGTGTATACCTATATCCAGTCGCGGTTTTACCGGTCGCCTGAGGTCATCCTTGGCATGAGCTACGGGATGCCGATCGACATGTGGAGTTTGGGGTGCATTCTGGCTGAGCTCCTTACCGGGTATCCCATTTTCCCTGGAGAGAACGAGCAGGAGCAGCTGGCGTGTATCATGGAGATCTTTGGTCCTCCCGAAAAGCACTTGATCGAGAAGAGCAGCCGGAAGAAGCTGTTCTTTGACTCCCTAGGCAAGCCCCGCGTCACAGTATCCTCCAAGGGTCGACGACGGCGTCCGAGCTCCAAGACTCTACAGCAGGCGCTCAAGTGCGATGACGATGCGTTCCTGGACTTCATCACCAAATGTTTGCGGTGGGACCCCGAACGTCGTATGAAGCCCGACGAAGCGATGCTCCACGAGTTCATTACTGGCGTCAAGCGGGGTGCACGACCCAGACCCCAGATGAATATTGCCAACACCTCGAGCCCGGTCAAGCGTGTTCCCCCATCGCAAACACCTTCGTCACGTGTCCGCCCGCTTCCCGAACCACCAACCACGAGCTTCAAGAACGGTACCGCCGTGAACTCGAGCCGCGAGGTGTCGGGTAGCTCGCCAGTGAAGACAGCGCCCAGGCGGCACTCGACGGTCCAAGGAGGGCCAGCAGGTGTCAAACGTACGGCAAATGGAGCCCCGCTGAATCCAGGTAGCAGCCTGCCCCGAGTAGCGCAGCGGAGCGTGTCCGGGAGGCCTGACCTTGCTTCGGCGGCGGCAGTCGCCAGTCTTGTAAGTACCGATGCATTGATACATTTGTAGATTGGTGGCTAACGATTGAGCAGAAGTCATCTCGATGAATGAGCATGGTTGATACTGGTAGACCAGAATTATCCAAGATCTGATGACGGGTGGAATGTTGGTGCATAATAGAGTCGTTTTTTTCTGATTGATGGGGCATGCGTGCTCACACCTACCTCATGTGCTTGGTTTGTTTAACGCAAGACGCTTATACCCCAAAACCTTTTTATGTCTGTTTTTTTCCTTTACATGTCACAGTAGTCGGCAGCAGAGGAAGGGGGATGCGTGGATGAGTGGATGAGAAGATGAGTGGATGAGCGGATGAGCGGATGGGTGGACGGATGCCTGTTTTCATTTTACTGTCTGACTGGTCTCATGTTGATCTCGAGCAAAGCATGGATTGGGTTTGCATCTGCATGGAAGGGTAGCGTGGAGCGGATGGGGCACTGAATGATTTGCGTCTGTCTGTTCCTTTTCTTCTCGATAGTTGTTGCCGTTGGCCGCGCCGCGAGGATGAGCAGGCGTTTGTTATATAAGTATCTAGAGTTTTTTTCCTCTCTCTTTCTGTATTGCGTGACACTACTACTATACATACACACACACACATATATATATATATGACGAAGACGCAATCCCATCTCCACCTCCATCCCCCGTGCATACAAAACAGCACACACAAGAAAGACAGTATACAGCAGCGTTCCCCCCCCCCTTTCCCCTTGTCTCGCTCACATAACTCACCCTCGACCCCTTTTTCCCCCCCCAAATTTCGAAGCATCATCTCAAACATTATCCGTATGTATGTATATCCTTCCTGCTTCCCGCATTCCAACTACCTTGTTTAGTATTCCCCTGTTTCTTTTCTTTCCAAAAAGGGACAAAGCCCCCCCCCCCTTTTTTTTTTTTTTTTTTTTTTTTTGCTTGTGAGAAGGGAGGAGGGAGAGATGGGGCAAGTTGTATAAAGCTGCGTGTGTGTGTGTGTGTGTGTGTGTGTGTGAGCTTTTGAACACATCCGCGCGCGGGGGATCGATTTGTAGAGGGAGGGGGAAATTAATTAATTAAATGCAAGTTTGGTTGTTGATGTCTATCTAGCTAAGGGTTTGTTTGGGTGGATAATGCGGACGCGGAGGTGCTTGCCTCGTGGCGGAAAAGGATAGTTTAATTTTAGATTTTAGATTTTTTTTTAGCAAAGAATCGTTATTTGCATCTTCAGCGTTTCCGTTATTATTATTATTACTGTTGTTGTTGTTGTTTTTTTGTTTCTTTTTCAAATCAATGACGTTGAATCTCTAAATTCTAACAACGTACAACCCCCCCTGCTGCTGCTACACCCAACTACCTAAGGAACAAAAAGGTGCGCAAACTTCCCTTTTTTTTAGAAAAAGGGGGGATGAACAGCTCACTCAACCGTCACACTCACTCAACGTCACACACAAAAAAAAAGAATCTGTAAAACAGAAATGTATATAATAAATGATTGACTAGATATCCCCAGACTCGCTTTACAAGACACGCACACACACACACACACATATATATATATATATACAAAAACCAAGCAACCAAGAGAGAAGCAGAGAGCGCGCGCACGAGTCCGCTCAGCGCTCAGTTTCTCCCGTGCTGCCTGATTGATTCCATTAACCGGAGAGTCGTCCTTGATTTAATCCTCCTCTTCCTCGAACTCGACGTGGTATCTCCGATCCATCATGATCATCAGCTAGGGAAAGAAAAAAAAAAGACATTAAAGGAGAGACTGCAAGGTCAGGTATATACAACATCCACTCCACGCGTATCTACAGACACATCCAACGTGATTGAAAACGTTGCACCAAAAAAGAGAAGAGGGGTGAGGGGGGGAAAGGTAAGGGCGTAGTGAGGAGGAGAGAGAGAGGAAAGGTGGGAAAGCCACGCTCTACACTCTACTCAGGCTTGCCAAGGACGCCACGAGCCATGTGCCTCTTCCTCAGGTTATACTCGACAGCCCTCTTCTGCGCACCGGTCGACTGCGTGAAAGCCGCGGAGCCACCGAATGGGCCCGCAAGCGCCTTGTTCTGCATGCGAACAACGCAGACATTGCTGGCGCCGCCAGCGGTACCCTGGCACGTCATGCCGGCGGGCATCTGGACCTTGACGGGGAAGTCCATGGTGGAAGCGGCGGAGAGGCCACCGATGCCGATTCCGGGCACGTTCTGGGTGACGGTCGCGTCCTGGAAGGCAGCGGGGTCGGTGCCGCCGGAGGTGGCGTCGATTTGCGCGCTGAGGGGCCCGGCACCGTCCTGGTTGACTTGGTGGAAGGTCATTGTGATTGTGCCGTCGTCGGCGGTGGTGGGGAGGCCCGAAGAAGCGCCTGCACCTGCGGCGGCGGCTACGCCCTGCTCGGTCGTGCCTTTTGCGGTTTTGGTGCCAGCTCCGGCCGCACCACCAGCGCCTTTGCCTTTGCCGCCTCCGAGGAGTCCGCCGAGGAGTTGACGCTTGGTGGCTGCGGTTCCGGCTGCGGCTCCCGCGCCGGTGCCCATGAAGGTCGCGATGGCTGAGGCAGCATCGACGGGGCCGTTGGCTGTGCGGCCGAGGGCTGAGGCTTTGCCGCCCATCTCCTTAGTACGGATGATGGAGGTATCGGCTTCAGAGCCGCAGAGAGGGCTGGCACAGTCACGAGGTGTGCCGTCCGCGACGGAAAGACCGGGCATGTTTACACCGTTGGCACCCTGGACTTCAGTGATGACACCGTGAGCGTTGGCGGCGGCCGCGAAAGCAGCGATGGCGACGAGAGAGTACTGCATCTTGATAGATAGTTGTGTTGTTTTTGTGGATGTGGTAAAAACAAGTGTTGAAAAGATTGGAATTGGATTATTAAGTAAGCGACCGGCGCAAAGAAATTAAGAACTATGAAATGGAAAGCGAGTCTGGAAAGATACTGAAGAGAGAAGCTGATGATGATGCTGTTGAGGAGGTGGTCTCTCCATCTTATATACTCATTCTTAGGAGGACTCGGACCAAAAGCTTAGGGAGAACAAGCTTTTCGGGTAGCATGGAAATGTTCTTTGCCGTGCTAGAGCATTGTCCAGAAGATCTGCTTGGGAGCGTACTACAGGGAGGGTTTGCTCCACTCGGACAGCAACAGAGTCGTCGAGTGTGAGACGGGAAGGAGGCTGGCCAGTTTACTAGTCGAGACGTTGATAGTCGAACGAACTGAGAAGCAGCTAGGCTAAACTGGCTGCGGTTAGAGTATCTGCAGCGGGTAGATCGTCTCCATTAGCTCAAGCCATAAATTCCTGCATTGGGTAGGGAACGGCCCGCGGAAGAACGATGTTGCGGCGACTATCGGTGCATAGCTGTTTGCGATGCGAGGGTCCCACTCAGCCTGTGTGTTTCGAGATTGTGCACCTGATTCGAAACGTCTGAGTGATCATGAAATCACGCCGAAGCGAGTTTCTGTAACTTCGGAGTGCAGTGCTGCGCCCAGGCATCGAAATGAACCAGGAACGAACATCGGAGAGTGAAGTTGCTGGGGCTTGGAAGTATAGAGCACCTCGTAGTGATGCATCGATTTTCACACATAAAAGCCAGCAACGAGAGCATTCGGTATGGTCTCTCGATAGGTGTATAAATCTGCCTTCATTCCGTATCGTGATGCATGAAACCAATAGTGACTGGGTTCCATTCTAACAGTTCGCTCCAAACGCCACATCGACCTGTGCGCTAGCCACTAGTATTCGGGAGGCTCAACGTATCCCCGACTGCTTGACGTCGGAGGCTTATTGAGCGGAACCTCTCTATTAAAATAGAACAGCCATAGACTAGACAGGAATTCAGAATCGTTACCATGAACCTCCGATACATTTTAGGATGGCAATAGTAACAGTGCGCAGTTTGAAAGGGTACCGTCATGCGTTTAGAGCTGGTGGAAAGAGGTGAAACGCCGCGATGCAGTTTCGCAGTCGTCTGAGGCTTGGCACAGGAAACACTCGTGGCGTTTCACGGGAGCAATATCCATCTCGGAACTTGATTCTTTGCTTGATCGATAGCCAGTGGCGCAAGTGACGACATCTGATCTCCAGAGTCCCATGTGTCCAACTCTTGAGCGTGGAATGTGAAGCATGTCCCATGTGGATCTCCACCAATTTGCTTCCGTGCCATGGGCGACAAGGTCTTGCTTCACGACACTCCCTCATGCCCAAGCCCATCCCCCTCTTCAATGAAGGCTCTAAACTCCCTTACCTCCTTGATCCAGACATACCTCACACAAATCTCCTGGATCTCGAAATATATCGCCTCGATTCCCACCAGCGCCTTCCTGATCAGATTCCTAATGAACAGTAGCAAAAGCTTCACAGCGCGCGTCTGCGCTTCACGCCCATGATCGACGAATTGATCATCGTGAGTGTGGATCTGTTCTGGCTCGGACAAAGTAAGAGCAGCAGGGGAAGGTTCACCCATTTGCTCTGTTAAACGTAGCGCGTGCTGAATGTAGTCGCTGATGATTGGGGCGGGGTCGATGCTGCAGGACTGCAACGTATTTTCCTGCAGGAGGGTCGTGAGGAAGTCGAGGGAGGAGAGCTCGATGGGGAGGTGTGTGAGTTCGGGGATGGCCACGCCAGGCTCGGTTTTGAGTCTAAACAGGATGTCCTGTTTCCACTGCTGGAAATTGCTGAGTTTTGACGGGCGATTTGCCGTTGAGATGCTATCGTTCTCTGGTTGTGTGGTAGAAACACCCGGTGTGTCTTGAGACTGCGGCTCTGGTGGCTCTGGTGTTCGCTCATAAATATCTTCTTCCTCCAGCATGCGTATGTAGGGCCTGAGATCAAATGACTGTCTGCGCTGCAGCTGCACGTACTCCAAGTATAGCTGCTTAGGGTTCTTATCAGCAAAATAAGAGACGTTGCGAGACTGCAACACAGCTTTAATTAAGCCCAACCGCACTATCCAAATATCCCTGCCCGTTATGCCGACGTCGGTTGTGGCTACATCATGCGTGATTACAGAGTCGGTGGAGAGCTGCTGCTCAAGTCTCTGGATGGACTCGACCCAGTGCGACAAGAAGGGATTGTTGCGGAGCGGGGTGTGTTGGTTGAGCAGGTAGAGCCTGTATTCGCAGTTGACGAGGACGGAGAGGATTTCCCACGAAGGACACGTTCGCGCTGTAGATAGACACCACTTCGTTAGTACCAATTTCCGTTCCCGAAGAAATATGGACACTGTTACGGGAGTGTAGGGGTAGTGTAAGTAATCGCAAACGTACCCTTCTCCTCAAAAGCATCCAACGTGTTCTTCAACCTCAAAGACTCTGCAAACAAATCCCCAAGCCCAGCACCAGCCGCCTCGCTTCCCTTTTCTTTTTCTAGAGACTGACACACGTCACCGCACGCGCGCTCAGCATCGCCGCAAAAGGCGACTTCGGCGCGCGTCAAGGTGGCTGCAATGTTCATGTCCATTTCCGTCGCGCGCGCAATCCGTGGAGTGTGAAAGAAGAAGACAACGGCAGTAATGGAGACATATGTGGGGTGGCTGCGGATCGAGCCGTGTTCTTTCACGGGCGAGCGTACGAGATGTGAGCTGTGTTTCTTTTGTACGGTGGAGGTGGAGGTGTGCCGTGTCTGTGAGAGTGCGTGGGTGTGCAGGTGTCACTGGGTGCGTCGTCCTCTCCAAGGAAGTCCCATGGTTGCGCCGAGCGGAATGTGCCGAGCCCGCCTTTCTTTCAAAGTGGACAACTGCGTCGTGGCACGAATAACGGGCAAAGCAGCATTGATTAGATTGCAAATATAGACCGTGTGACCTTTTCATCTGAATCCGAAACAAGATTCATCAATTGCAAGATCAAGCTTCGTAGGAGAACAGTTTTCGCGTACCAAGATCGGCAATTACGTCACACATCACCGACCTGACACCAGACATTGGTTGATGTTCATGATTCGTCAATTTCACTATCGCTATGCTAACAGCCTGGTTCTCAGTATCCAAGAACCAGAAGGAGAAAGTCCAAGCTAACAAAAAAACCAACTATTAGACAGTAATAAACGGTCGTAGTGAACCAAGGCGCACCCAGAGAGCATGCAGAAAGAGCCGTTGAAACCTCTCTGCACACTCGTGAGGCAGCAGTCTTGTTGTTCAAGTGGGGAAACCAATCGATCACACATCCCCCAAATTCCCAAAACCGCTAGTAGAAGTCGTGCATTGTAGTCGTCGTTGAGAATGTTCGTTCGTCGTATAGCGACTACATAACCAAGCCAATTCGAGCGGTCGGGGAAAAAGAAAGACGGCGATCGACGGGCCTTCCCGAGAGACGGTCGGGATACAAAGGAAATACAGAAACAGGGTATCGTGGAGAGAGGAGTAGCATCGTGGCTGCTAATCAACCATCAATCGCTCATCGAGGAACGGGGGTGCCGGCCAAAGCCTCGCGCATTGTCCATTTGGTGTTTGCAATGTCCGGCACTAAAATTTGAATATAATGTAGATGGCGTGGATGATGCCCTGGAAACGCAATGTTAGCATTCGAGGCGATTCAAAAAGAAGTATACAGGTCGTTTGAACGTACGGGAATGTAACCAAGGATGGTCAAGAGGATGTTGATCAAGAAGTCGGCATTGCATCCGCGCTCGAGGAAGACACCCAGAGGAGGGAGGAAGACGGCCAGGATCAGCTTGATGATATCGCTGCGAGTCATTAGCAGGGGGATCGCGAAGAAGGATGGATGAAGGATGCGAGTGGGTCGTACCTAGCGGTGAAAGGCATGGTGGAAAACGGGGAGGTGTGGAGAAGTGGTTGTTTGTAGGGTTATGTATGGATATTGGTTGATTGTTCGAAATGTGGTGAGTAGATGTGGACGAGATCAAGCCACAGCAGACGGATGGGCGGGCGAGGTATTTAAGCACGGTTTGGCTCGGAATGTCTTGGAGGGTCACAGGTCTTGCCAGTGAAGTCAATGGAGTGATTCATTGGTGATGACAGACTAAGCGCGCACCAAGGTCGACAGCTGACGAAGGGCTACGTCATGCCGACGCCACACCTCTGTCTTCCTTGGCACCGCCGCCCACGTCCGCCTTCCTGTACATGCTCTACGCAGCAGACCACCTGCAACTCTACTCAGACAGGGAACACCAGGATTTCGTTTGCACCGTCCCCGCTTTTACGCTACTACGGCCAAGTAAAGTAAAAAGATGCCAGCCATCCGTTGCCCAAGCCCCATTCGGCCCTCGTGTGCCGCCGCCCTTCTAGAACCTCCAACATCGACATCGACATGTAAGGGGTCAAGGAACGAGCTGGATCAGTGACGCAAGCCTTGCCCATTAGTCGCTCGAACATCACCCACGAAGCCTCATCGACAGCCATTTTTCTCTCTTCCAAGATCCTGAACCTTGCTTTTCGCATCATTTCCTACCTGGTCCACGCAGAGAAACACAGTGACGCCACATGCGCCACAGCGATGACGCCACACTGTCCATCTTCTTTCCGCATTACCCGTTCGTTCATCCAACCAAGATTTTTTTTCCCTTCTGTCGAAACACAAGAATAGATTCGAGACCACGCCAAGAGGAGATGCCATAGTCCTGCCGTCCAAGTTCAAGTACATGCACAGTGTGCAATCTTTTCACTAGAGGCAGACAAGATGATGAAAATTGGAGAACAGGAGGCTCTTGCTCGGCCGTTGCCGTGCCTGCCGAACCGTATATCCGGAATTGCATCTGTCTGTATACTTGTTTTGCCTGCTAGCAAGGCATGAAAAAGCTTTTTCTCTTTTGTGCTTTCGAAGGATACCCTCGGGACCAGATTGATCAACCTCGCACCAAGGATTGACTGTTGATCAAGGCACTTGAAGTACTACACGCAAAGACCCACTTCCTTCTACCAAACTACCCAACAAAATCTCCGTGCATATCTCCCCCTCGATCGCAATCCATTCCCACGAAAATCCTTACAATCAATCTCCCGAAAGTGAATCTCAAATCTTTCAGAAAACCATGCACCAACCCTTCCCCCTCCCCTCTCCGAGCACAAACAAACAAACAAATACAACAAGATGCACAGAAATCCATTCCGATTTCTGAATCTAACCCCACCTACTTGTATCTTTTCACGTCTCTAAATAACCTTGCACTAACAACAACCGAAAAAAAGAAAGAAAAAAAGAATGTCGCCAGTCCCGTACCTTCCATCCCATCCTTTGAAAAGAAGCCCCTGGGTCTTTCTTCCTTTCATTCATTCCATCTTTCTTCTTCTTGTTTTTATTTTCCTTTGTTCTTCTCTTTTCTCTGTCAACTATTGCACAAATAATATCAATAATAGCATTACTAGTAAAAGAAAGAAAAAAAGGGAGGAGGGGGGGGAATATTAGAAGAATCACAGAGAAACCCCCATTTCCTCAACCCAGAGAGATAGTAGATACTGCAACTTCTACCGCCTGGATCATGAATCCAAGCAAAAAAAGGCAATTCAAGGACGATATTTGCTTGTATATGATAAATAAGCAAACTAGAATTATTACTACGTTGACATTCTCGATTGATATCTCATCTTCCCATATACACGCCTTACCTTTATATGAATCATGTCATGGATATACGACGGAATGAGGCACTGAAAACAAAACAAAAGGTTGGTGATAATGTGAATATCTCATACATGATTCATTGCAATCCCATTATCGGGAATTCCCAGGAAGAAAGCAGGCTAGATATATGTACATTGGGAGCTTTGGAATCCCCGGTAGACTGGTGAGGACTACAGTTATAGAAAAAAAAAAAGAAACAGCGACACCTAAAGCGTTGATCCTCTCAGGGTCAGAATCGCAAAAGGGTCAAGGAGGGGGGATATCAAGGGATACAAAAAAAAAGGTCAGCCAGCCAGAATATGGGGAGACAAGGAGAGGGAGAGCGGCAATGCAAGCCTCCTACTGGGGAGCCTGTTTCTGCAAATCGGCCTCAACACCCCTCTGCCTAGCCTTACCATCCTCATGCTGACGCTCAGCCTCGGACTTTTGCGCATCGTTGCCCAAGACGCCAGCAACGGCTCCTCCAACGGTACCGCCAACGCGGTCCTTGACACCTTTACCCAAATCGCTGAGCTGGCCCTGGGCCTCCTGGCCCTGACCCTCCTTGTTCTGGCGGATGCCTTCCTGCTTGAGACCCTCTGCGCCGACGAGGTTGCCGACGGCTTCTTTGGCGGAGCCTACGGTCTGGTTCCAGGACCCTTGGCTGCGGTCTGGGTCCGAGGCCGCGACGCCGCCGCCCGGGGTCGCGGTGAAGGGACCGGCTTTTGCGGCCGAGTGCGAGAGGTCGTGTTCAGCGGATGCGGTGGATTTTTTGGCGTTGGCTTCGCGCTGCAGACGGCTGTTAGTTGTTGTGGTTCTGCTGTGTGTTGCTGGAATCTTGTGCGCTGGGTGAATCTGCAGACAATGTATATAGGAATGCGATGAGTATGAAATGAAAACGAGAAAGAGAAGAAGAAAAAAGTACATCAGAAAACCGCGCGCGCACGGGACCCAGAAGCATGGCGCTCCAGTCGGAACCGCGCACTACAATCTCGTAGAGCTGGCGGCTCTTGCTGCTGCTGGTTTTGCTGTCTTGTTGCTGGTCCATGGTTTCGCTGCCCCGCGTCGTGTTCACTCCCACACCATGATGCGGAGACAATAAAGCGCAGTCGCAAGGGGCGGAAAACAGGCAGAACCAAGTTGAATAGAAGAGGAAGTAAGAAAAAAAGAAAAAAAAGGAAAGAAGGACAGATAAGCAGCCACGAGATGCAGATGCAGACACACGGCAAAGTCGGAAACCCGCCCAAAGGTTTTCGGAAAAGACGGAGCTGGGGTAGAGAGAGGGAGAGTTCTTGGAGATGGATGGATGGATCCAATCAACCCCTCTCACCCCCGGCTTCGTTCCGGCCTCTGGTGTTCAACGCACCCAACTCAACATGGAGAACAAAAAGAAGTCTTGCGGAGGGAAAGAAGCAAAGGGAATAGAATAAACCGAGTCGGAAAGAAATTCATCGTACCTGATCAGCAGGGTTTCCAGTCAAACTCGCAACGCCGCTGGAGATGGCGCCGCTGGCCTGGTCGATGGCCGACTGCAGAGTGGAAGTAGCGTTCTTGTTCTCAGAAGACATGATGAAGGGTTTGTTTTTTGCAAGATGGAGTATTGCTCTGAACTCTCGGTATATGTGTGTTTGAAGGTTGAAAGGTTTGAGGGTTGTTGTTTGGAAAGAAGAGTAGTATGTAGTCGATGGGTTGGTTGGTAGGTAAGTAGAGAAGAAGGTAACCCAGGACGCCCTTATATATACACGTCAGCCACCTCGATGGCTCTGTCCACTTTTTCTGATCCCGCTTTGTTGACGCTGGCTGCCTGGTTGTGCTTGCTCATGTGAAGGGGGAAAGGTGACGCAATGACGTCAAGGAGCAAGAGAGACAAACATTGGACCCCACTATGCGTGCGCGCTGAAGGCGGGGCGGGGGGACCCTGGCATGACATCATCCAAACACACACTCTTCAATGCCCTCACCCATCACGCCTTCGTTTGCTGTCTTCCATGTGCATACCACACGCACTAGGTTGAGCCAGCACACCCAAGATGATTACACGCAGTGCAGCAGTGTTGGGCTGCTGGAGTTGAGAATCCCATCCCTCTCTATGTAGGTATCAAAAGGTACATGTACACGCATACCACGAGCCTCCTCCGTGGACCCTCGAGGTCGATCCACGGCTTCTATTCTAACAAACGCCTTCCCGGCATCAAATCAAAAAGGTATCATAACTCATCGCACTAATCCCGACTTTTTATCCATGCCAAAGAAACATGGCACCAATCCGGTGCAACCCTCAGTCGCTACCAATGGCATATCTGCGTCGATCCGTTAGCAAAGGGTACAAAACACACCACGACGACGACGACGACGCCGCATGGGAAGAATACTCACTCCGCCCTCGCTGTCATCCACGCTCCACGTTCCAGCCAACCCCACAATCTCCACCGCGCCGTCAAAGTGCTCCTTGACTTTGCCCAGCGTAGCCACTCCCGCGTCCAGCGTTCCCATGCCTGCAGGTCCGTTGTTGAGCAGTCTCCTCGCCCACGCATCGATCGCCGGCTCCCCCGTCTCGTCGCGCGCCTGCTTCAGGAACGGTATGAGCGCAGTTCCGCCCGTGCCGCGGAGCTTCTTGCCGTTGCCTTGCTGCAGCGTGTTGGCGAGATTGACGGGTTTGCGCGGGGTTTGCTTGGGGGATAAGGACCGAGATTGGGAGCGCGACTCGCGGGATTTGATGATGATGTAGCGCGATACCAGTTGGATGTGCTTGTCGCGGAGGCTGCGGAGCATGGCGAGACAGGCATCGAAGGCGATGACGAGAGCGCGGTCGTGGTGGCGGCGACCAGTCACGTACTCGCGGATGTTGGCTACACGCTCCACGTGCTCGAGGAAGCGGCGGTGCGGTCCTGGCATGTATCTGCGCATCTCGAGGATGAAGCCGTGCGGTGGTCCACTCGACGCCTCCGACGTTTTCTCGCCGGTCGGGCGATGTTCCACGCCCAGCACAATATCGAAGAACTGGATAATGGAGCTCTGAGCGTTGCTTCCTCCGCTGTATTGCACGTACTCCTGCTCGCCGGTTCCATCGTCAAACAGGACCCCGTTCGGAAGCCCTGCCTCGGCCATGTTCTTGCTTCCGGCGAGGAACGGGCGTATGCGGTGGTAGAAAACATGCGGGTCGCAACTCTCATACATCCTCTCGAGCAAGCTGCCCAGCTCGTCCAGCCGCTCCGCCAGCGACCGCAAGCACAGCGTCACCGTCACGCTGTCGTTTCTCCGCGCGGCTTCGATGGCCTCGAGCATCATCGGTACCAACGGTCCGGCGCGGGCTTCGATGGCCACCGAGACGAGGTAGAACCACGATTCGTCCAACGAGCCGGTAAAGGTCATGTGCGTCGCGAGGTTATCCAGGGTATCCACGGGTTCGCCGTCGAAGATGGGCCGCCAGTTCCAGAGGCACACACCGGCGTAAGTAGCGACGGGCGGGAGCTCGAGGTGTTGGCATACCTGCAGAAACGGTATCGACAGGGAAGGCGGGACGATCTGTATTCCCAACCCCAACGAAATCCAGATAGTCAGTCAATGTTTTCTCGCATAACATGATGCAACGCGGCAATAAACCATTCCATGCAATCCCCCAATCTCTTTTCCCAAGCCTCTCTGCCTCTCTACTCCCATCCCGCACATCCCGCCACAACACCATCGCAAGACAAAAGGGAAACGGAAAGTGAAAAACCCCTCCAAAAAAAAAAGAGTGGCAAAAATCCCTCTTTCCCCCCTCTCTCACACAACAACCCCAAGCAGTAAAACAAAGAAAAAAACAAATAAACTCACATCATTAACCCCACTCTCCCCTTCACCACCCCAAATATACGCATGCACCACAAACCCCAAGACGCAATACGCGCGGCGCCACTCGTCCTCTCCCCTCAACAGCCGCGTCTCCAGCACGGGCAGCGCATCGACGATTTTGGCCAGCCGCTTGCTCAAGATCAGACTCTGCAGGTTCCGCGCAATCGTTTCCCAGGGCTCGTAGTACGCATCCGGAAGCACGGAGAGCGGGATGCGGGTCGGGAGGAAGCCGTTTGTCGCCGAGATGTCGTAGGTTGTGAGGTGTGGGAGCGGGGGTAGCATTGTTTGCAGCGTTTCCTCGTCTTTTTCTGATCCTTCTTCTTTTTTTTTTATGTTCGGGGGGGTTTTTGTGGGGGGGAAGGGGAGGGAACGTCAAAAAGGGTTGCCGATGTTGTTGTTGTTGAGTTGAACGGATAGATGGATGGATGGATGATGAATAGTAATGTACCTAAAGTAGGTAGGTAGAGTACCTAGGTAGAGTAGCTAGCCAGAAACCCGGGGACGGGGGGTTGCGGGAACACGGTAAAACCGCTAGTTCTGTCTGGCCGCGTCCGCTGCTACAAGCTGTGTACCACAAGCCAGCCAGCCAGCCCTATATTCAAGAAGTCCGACTTCGGCGTTGCTTTTTTTTTTTCCTTTTGCGTGGGATGATGGGGGTAAAATAATAAAATAAAGATGGCGTGCGTGTGTTGTGCGTTTAGGCGTTTCTGTCTATGTATGTTGGGGAAAAAAAGAAGGTAATATGTAATCCACCTACATAAGTACCTAGGTACATATAGGTAGCTAAGTTATTTATGCACATGTATGTAACGCCGGATCAAAGGTATCGCGTGATCGTTTACTCTCTCGCCTTTGAAATCCGTTTCGTCCGTCCGCCCGCCCGCGTTTTAATCATCCATCCATCCATCTTATCCTCGAATCTATAACTTGTTGAGGATCCGACCTATTTACAACATCAAAGAAAAAAATTATGTCGTGCGCGTGGGATGATATAAACCACCGGGTATCACAACCGTTGCGTTTTTTTCAGAGTAAGAAAAAAAGAAACTTTGCCTACATTTTCTCGTCATTAGAAATACAAAATCTACACACACGCGCGCGCGGCAGAGCTAGAATAAGAGGCGAAAAAAACTCCGCGTCCGGATACCTACCTACCTACCTACCTCCCTAAAGATCTCTTTCGATATCCTTGCGGATCCGCGCGGATAGATAAATAAATAGATTTGTTGTCACACTTACATACCCCTCTATTCTCCCTACAAAATAACAATAACAATAGAATGAAGAAAAACCCCTAACTAACTAAAAGAGGTGAGAAAATGCGGGATTAGGAAGGATACGGGAATTAGTAGAGATCCTCTAGATTGAACAATAGAAAAAGAGAGAGAGAGACTAACGTTAGATTATGTAAGCGAACTAGAAGGCTAGAGAGGAGCGCGCGGAGATGACGTTGAGCAGAAACAATTACATTTAAAAAGGTTACAGTAATAAAGCTAGGTTTTACGTAAAAAGAGAGGAGAGAAGGAAAGGGCTAGCGTAGCCTTGAGTAATCTTTATAAACGCTAAAGCTTGTAGAGATGTTTTTGGGATTCTTGTTATAGTTGAGTTACGGGCATGGATGTGAACTTGTTGCAGTGGTATTAGGAGAGGGAGAAAGCGTAATGTTTAAGGGGATTACGCGAGGTATAGTTGGTAGAAGGTATGGAAGATAACTTTGGAGAGGCCTAGTGGTTTTTTATACTGGATTGAATTGTTTCTTCTGAAGATTTGGGGTGTGGGTAGGTACTCTTTGCATAGTGTGGATTGTTTGTTCAAGTAGGTGGAGGAGATGGCGTTGGACGGGCATAACTCTGAATAGAAGAATAGAAGTTTTCTGAGGGGCTGTCTGGTCGTTGATAGGTGAGATAGTAGTAGAAGAATTTTGATGGGATTTGATTCAATTGTGATTTGATTTATGTGGTTCAACGTCCTGAGGGATCTCTTGAGGGGTGTGTAGACGGGCTAGCTACGGGGAAGGCACCTGTCAGGGACCCCCGGTGGAAAAAATCTTCTACGTAAAAAACGACTGCTGTAGTGGCCAATTCGTGGGTGAAAAAATGGTGAGTTTTGGGTGAGAAACTCGCAGAGGGTATCAGTCATTTATAATGTGTGGTGCTGAGTAGATGGCTGAGTATCCTTAAGGGGAACTCTAAGACTGTAAATTGAATAAAACATAAGTACCTATCTCACGCTGTATGAATTTCCATGGAGAAATGGGAGACTCCCGAGCTTATGGGGTGGTGGAATGAGTATGTATGTACATAAAGATGTAGGGGTGGACATAGGTTGGACGGAGCGTACCATTTGACTCTCTTTCGGGAAGTATAAAGATGCTTATTGAGTGAAATATCAATATTCTTTTGATTGGTTTTGATTGATTTTAAGGTGGAGTTTAGGTGTTCCTACACACAGCGACGGGTTGACAGCGGCAAAAGATACTACAGCACGAGCGATTACTAAAAAGTTGAAACAATGGACCTTTCACACAAGCTTATAAAGCAGGGATCGGGGGGCGATTGATATTCTTTCCATCCTTGTTCCCTTCTTGTTGTCTAGTTTGAATGGTGTTTTCACTGTTGCGATTGTGATACATGCGCCTTTTGAAGGGAGCTTCCTTGACTCGACTTACGGGTATGATTCGCTGGCACAGTGTGGCGCACGGCAGAGACGCTCTGATGTCGAATACGATCTTTATCCGAACCAATGGTTTCTCTCACGATCACGTACATTTCAGAGGTTAATTAAGCTGTTGATTTAAACAATGGCTCATGATACTGCGATTAGAGCTGTTTTATACGAGGGGGCCGTTTCATATTATGCACTGGAGACTTCAAATTCTTTGTCTTGTTCATATGGAGACTTGCTATGCGATTGTAGTAGCTGAGTGAGAAGCATGTTGACCGGATATCCAGTGATTCTATAGTTACGTGCTCAGCCTATAAATCAGCCTTATCTGCATTGCAGTCAGACTCAGCCTCCCCACATACTTTACAGCTGGCTGCTTCTCTGCCCCCCTTATAACAATCACCTTTGCCGTACTACGAACATCATCACATCACTGAAGTCTCGCATCGCGTGTACGAGAATTCATATGAGTCCAGATGCTATTGCTGTGCGGATTCTGGAACCCGTGACTGCCCTGCATCGCATTTGCTCAGAATCGCCCTACACACGCAGAACTGTTGTATCCAGTAAAATTCGGCCACTGAGTCAGTCATCTTTCCATCTCTTTCGATAAAGTTGGAACACAAGACGGCAAACCCACGCCCGCTCGCTGCTAATGTACTCCACGTGGATACACCGAAATTATGTCGCTCATTGTTGCAAAGACAAGCCAGCAGGCAAGGCTAAAGCCTGAAATACGGCTCGCTCAGGCAGTATCGCAATTCAAGTCATGCCTGAGCAATGACGAAAAGCTCGCATTTGATACTACAACCTCAGATGCGCTGAACAACGCACCCGATCCCACTGATGTATTGAAGTTCACCGCGCAACTCAGCTGGCGAAAAGACCGCCGTCGAGGCAGTCGATGCTATGGCCCGAGGTTCACAAATTTTCTGACGGGCGTTCAGCAATTTGCTGCTCTCGGCGACGTGGTGGTGGGTGGTTCTCAGAACATTATCGCATGCAGTGTATGGTCGCTTGTGCGAATGTCTCTCCTGGTATGTGTCCGCCAGGGAAGGAGTCACAGCTGATCGATCGACGAATCAGACTGCTCTTCTGTACGTCTCAACTATGGACTTGATCTGACCTATTCTCAGGCAACTGTCAATGTGTCATCCTATGTTGACCGCATATCCTTATTGTTCATGGAAATTGGTCGAACAATTCCACGCAATCAGACCATCGCCCTGCTGTACCGACGTTCCAAGTCTTTACAAGCTTACCTTTGCGAGTACTTCATCGTTGTTGTACGGCTGTGCCATCATATAATGAAGTTTGCGCAGGCTTCATTACTACGAAAGATGGCCAGCGCCTTGATCGAATCCGATTTGGAGGACTTCCAGACAGAACTCAATGATTGGTCCATGCAGATCAAAGATGAATTGCTTCTGCAATCGTCGATATCCACAGAAAACGAAGCTCAGGAGAACATGAAACACAGGAGATCGTGGCGTAAATCAAACCAAGCCGATTTGCGCGAACGGCAAATGGCATTACATATACGTAATCTTGATCACTGTTCCAAGTACGATTTTCAGACGACATGGAAACAGCTTCGCAAACTGGGTACCACGCAGCTTTTCAAAAATTCACTGGCTTACAATGAATGGGCAACGGCTGGTAAATCCAGTACACTCATATTTACGGGCAAGCTCGGTTGCGGAAAGTCCGTCATGATGGCTAATATTGTTGAGCACCTCATAATAGATATTAAACAAGAGACGGATGTTGTGGCGTATTTCTTCTGTCAAGATGATCTCCCAGAAGGATTGAGGACCGATACGATCATTGGGTCGCTGACAAGGCAATTACTCCATCCGTGGCCCGACGTTCCAGCTTTATCCCAGATGACCGCTCAATCTCAAATTGAGGCGCAGTCCCTACTGGAGAAGCTCTTGCCAGAACTACCAGACTCCACCAAACTGTACCTTGTCGTGGATGGCCTGGATAATTGTACAGATGCAGTGCAAGTGGAAGTAACAAGTTGGGTCCGACAGTTGCAGAAAAGTCGCTGCATCCACCTGTGCATGTCCAGTCGAAGTCATCCACAAATGATGACAGTTCCTATTCTTCAAGACTACCATGATGCGCGGGTCACGCCAATGCCGAAGAATGCTTTGGATATTAACACATTCATAGACGCTGAGTTAGAGTCTTGCCTGTCGGACGAGCAACTTCGCCTTCACGACCCTTCTCTTGTCGTTGATATCCGCGAAGCCTTGATCAAAGGATCGCAGGGTATGTTTCTATGGGTCGCTCTTCAAATCAAATCTCTCTGTGCAATGCAGTCAGATGGGGAGATCAGAGAAGCTCTCCAACACCTGCCAGAGGGCCTGTCGGAGACGTATGAGGACATTCTGCGCAAACGGAACAAGATCACGAAAGCAACGCTCGCAAAATACCAGCGACGCATCTTTGAGCTCATTATTGCAGCGCGACGGCCGTTGACTATCTACGAAATTGAGGAAGCTCTGAGCATTGTCCCTGGCACTGCAACACCAGATATTGCTCAATCTTTGAACAATATCTATGCGACCTTGAGTTGTTGTGGCTGTTTAGTAGTTGTGGATGAAGAAGAGTTGACGGTGCGTCTGGTTCATCCTAGCCTGAGACAATTTCTTGTGGAACAATACGAAAGCCCAGTTGGATCATGCTTTACAGTCGCGCATGCGCATCGCACTATGGCAGAGCATATCGTTACGTATCTCAGCTACGCCGCCTTCAGAGGCGAGGTCACGACAAACCGCATACCAGAAATGAACATAGCAACTGCACCATCACGAATAGTCGCATCGACACTGACTTCGAAAACCGGAAGAGCGCTGGCACTGAGATTTTTGAAGAGCGCAAAGCAACCTCAGACCGACGTCACCAAAACTCTAGCAAATGCACTTGAAGCCCATCGCCGCTCTTTGAAAAGAGAGTTCCATCTCCACCAGTACGCAAAGAAGTATTACATGCAGCATATTGCACGCGTATTTGAGCCAGGCCCACACATCAGCAAGCTACTACCAGAGCTGCTCAATAGTAGTATTCTATCCCATGATGACGGGAATAGTCTATTTTCAACTCTGGTAGCCCTCGAAAACGTCGAGATGTGTAAAATTGTATACACCAGCTTCAAAATCCGCCATGAACTGCTCCGTGTGCTCAAATCAGCCATCAAGGAAGACAATGTAGAAACGATTCGAGCCCTTTTTAAATCCCAGATTATCGATTACGACTTCAAGTTCGACTGGGCTAAGCACGATCACAATGAAGGACCCCTGCTACTAGCGCATGCTGCATCTCTCGGAAGTTTAGATATAGTGGCTTTCATTCTGAACGGAACGGCAATAGGAGTACACCAGAAGCAGCTTCATGACACCGTGAGTCTGGCAATTGAGATGGATGACCCATCAATGCTTCAGTCTCTGATAAAAGCTGGAGAGCTTGGGTACGCCTACCAGATGCCGTGGAAGCTTGAAAAAGAGCCCAAAATACTGCTAAAACATGCAGTAGCTTGTAACAGTCGCCGTGTCACGGCGCTGATCTTGGAGAACAACCCCATGGGAAGTTACTCAGCCTTTTGTAAGTCTTAGTCTATAAACACAGCTGTACATTGTCAAGGTCAACATTGATTTAGAAATGCATTACACCATTGCCGCTGGATATCTGCTGATATATTTTCCTCAATCAAGGTCAAGCTCTCAAAAGTGGATTAGAGGGGATGGCGATGCTCATTTGGACCGACGGAGAACATATCACCTCCGAAACTTTGCGTTATTCCACGACAAACCCGCGAGAAACACCACTTTGGTTAGCCCTACAGTCTGGATGCACAGGAGTTGTGACACGATTGATCTTTCGTATGAACATGAGTGATCAGGAATTGCTACAGTATACTGATCTTGCTAAAGAGCTCTGCGATACTGATGAGGACCGCAGCAAACTTGACCTCTTAGAGGGTCTACGGTACAAACAGCGGTTGTAACATGAGTTCAGTGTAAACCATCTTGTTTAACAATGAATGGTAGGTGGAATAGTCAGTAAGAACAGAAATGAGTCAAGGAATCGTGGATTGTATGGTAATATTCATTTCATTACTCGCTTTTCTAGAGATGACTCCTCAAAAGCAAGCGACAGTATGATCTATAAGTAGAGAAAGCAAAGGAAACCCAGAAATTCCAAGTAAGAAAAACACCAGAAAGAAAGAACTCGACCGACTCCTCACAGACCAAGAATCAGACGCCGCCAGTGGACCGAGTATATAGAAATTCCCGTAATTCCACGATCAGCTCAAACACTCGGTCATAGACGGTGTTCTTGTGGTCTTCTGTCGGTTCCTCGCCGATCTCTCCTTCGACAATGACAACGACAGGATGCTCGAGGATGTAGATCATCATATCCACGAACTCCTCTTCCGTCGTCACGCCCTTGACGTAATTTTCGGCGATGTTCCGGGCGATCGTGTCCACGATGAACCCTTGCTCAAGAAAACTCCTCAGGTTAGGGAGTGTTTCTCGAGTGATGGCCGCGGGATCGCGGGTCGGTGGTGGCTCGTCAGCAGAAGCTTCGCCGGCTGAGGAACTGGCAACCGTGGGTGAGGATTGCCGAGCCTTCTTTGTCTTCCTCGCACGATCAGGCAGGGATGTCGAAGCAGACCGTTTTGGCCCGGACGAGGCTGGGGTAGTCGAGGATTCTGGTTTCTCCTCTGCTGGAAGCGGTTTTGGCGCTAATCGTGGTAAAGATGGCCTGTTGCCATCGTTCGCCACGCGGTCGAGAGCACCACGCTCAGGCTCGGGTGGTAACCCGGCGGGCAGGAGGGTCCTCAACGCAGGTTTCTTGGTGATTTGTTTTTTGGGTGGCATTGTGTTGGTGCGATTACTTGGTTGAGTTTACAATTAAGGTAAATTTGATTTTGGTGGTGGGTGCAGGTAATGTAGTTGGGAAGAAGATGAGTTTATATAGAGCATAGAGTTGACTTTCCTATTAAGGTTAGCCCTAAAGCGAGAGTGAATGTACGTTTGCTATGTTTATAACCGTTTGCATTGTGGCTGAACAAGGTATTCTGGATGGTGGGAGAGTGAAAAAGGAAAAGATACGGGCCAGAGCCATCGCATGGAACTATGGAGAGATAGAAACTGCCGCTTTCTATATGATTGCGCAGGGGAGTCTTATACGCAGCGTGTGTACATTGAATACATGAGATAGAGTGGCGCAGTGACACGTGCATTTCCTGATCGAATAGCAAAAGGTAAGAGAATTAAATAGGGAGAGCTACCACTCTATCAAAAAAGTTGGTCTGTAGAGTTAAATGCGAAAGGCCGGTATATATCCTCAAATGTTTGCTTGACGCATCACACCCGTCGTCAGCAAACACTGTTCCAGGTTAGTCCCAGAGTTCCGGTATCTTGGAAAAGCCGACAGACAAACATGCAATGTTTATTTTGAAGAACCTCCGAAGGCGGTCGAACTACTCAAGAAATTCACGAGTCAACAAGCTTTCAGTTACCAGCGAATGAGTTCAAAGAGATCTAACAAATGCACTGTCCCGGAACAAGCTTGTGGCACTATTTCCTGATGTAGCATCGTGACCCATTGATAGGATCAACGTCACACTCAGGAGCCATCCGCTTGCTCGAGCACAAAGCAAACACTCAACCTCATTTAAAATCCGGAAACGGATATGTCAACCATGTCGCGTTTTGCAAGAGGAATATGCTTGTCTCGTTGCTGATCCAATTGATCCGTAGTCATCGCTTTGTTCATTCGTCAAACCACATACACAATGCGCATAGGATTGGTGTTTTAGCCGCAACAGTTATAGATCAACCTACGTCGCTGACACAAAGTAAGAAAATAGAAGGCACAATGCGCGCTGCTCAGCATTGTGCTCAATTCTATATAGATCCCCACTTCCAGGCAGATATCATTTTACATCACTTTATAACACCTCAAATACGATTTCTTTCGAACATATCTACAAGCAGCCAAGCAAATTGCGTTTCTAGTACCCGAAATACTATGGAACTCATAATACCCACCTCGCCCAACCTGGGTGACACGACCCCAGTGACTCCCAAATCCCCATATTGGGTCGAGTCAAAAATCGACAGATCAAGTTGGGAGGAGTTCACCTTTTCAAACGGTGAGACCCGCCTGGTGCCGCCTGACTTCAAGCATGAGGATTATATCATCGATTTTTCCTCTCCTCCAGCATCGCCTACTGACAGCGAGTATAGTGGCTCAAGCGCGACCGACCCGGAGGGATACTCCGACTCGAACGCATCTCACTCTAGCGATGAAGTCGATGAAGCTGTACCGTCGAACCCGCCTTCCCACTTCGCCTCCCCCCAAAACTCACCAACTGACCCTCCAACACCCAAAGACACTCCGTCATCTACCGCAGGAGCTGGCTCCTCTACAACAGCTCCCCGCAACATGGTTCTCTCCATCCGAACCACTCCTTACCTCCCCATCGTTCCTATCTCTACACTTCCTCCGCCTCCCTCCCCTACAACCACCCTTAAGAACATCGTCGGCCCTCTCCTCGCGGTGAAACACAACAACCCAAATCACGACGCCATCGCCGAGCCCTTCTGCCAGTACCTCTACGACACTCCCCTCACAACTACTACCCTCCCTCTCGTGATCCCGGCCCTCATCGATCACTTTGCCGTGACACAGAGGATCGCCACTAATATCGCCTACTTTCACGCCCAGGGTAAAACCACTGATAAGCATTACGAGGACATGCTCGCACATATCCTTGTGAATCCTCGAAAGTGGCGTGGTGAGCGCGGTGCGTGGGTGTATAGCGATTGGCTCTTCGATCGTATCGTGGTCAAATTTGCTGAGATGAAGAGGGATGCTGCTCGTGAGAAGGGTGGGAATAGTCGTGGCGATGGGAAAGGTCGTGGGAGGAGTGGTAGTCGTGGTCGCTACACCTCGCATGGGGATAAATCGCGGGGATATGGCCGCGGTAGTGGGAAGAGTGGAGGTGATAGCGGGAACAAAGAGGGAGTTGGATCGGGACGCGGGCGTGGGCGCGGCTCTTCTCGTGGACGACGTGGCGGGGAAGGTGATGGGAGTCAACGTCGCGGTGGACAGTAAGTGCCCAAGTCCACCCATTCTTTGATTTTCGTTTTTGATATGCGGAATATGTTTTCTGGCGCCTGGGAGTTGGGTTGATAAGATCTTGCATTTCCGTGCCCTCGATACTTTTCGTGAGACATGTATTCTTTCCGAGCGCTGGTCGCTAAACAATAATTTACTCCCATTTGACATATAGTTTTCCCTCCAAATCATGTAAACTGCTTGATTCCGTGAATGCCGTATTATGACCTACCAACCCTTCTCAACGATGACGAAACTGTAATACCGGTCCCTGGTGCGTACTAACAAACCTATCCAACGTCTGAAACTCATCCTTCCTCTGCCTCCCAACCTCCGTCGACGTCCGGCCTTCACCAAGCGTAGACCCAGGCTCCACACGAAAATCGTACAACCAAAGCGTCCTAGCAACAACAAGGGGAATCTCCTGATACGCAAGATACTTCCCAATACATGACGTCCTCCCAGCTCCAAAAGCGGTGAACGCAGGGTTAGTGCGCAGGGAAGCTTCGCTACTACCCCCCTTTGGCGCCGGCTTATCCGTTAACCACCTCTCTGGTTTGAACGCGAACGCATCGGGGAAGTACCGCTCATCGTGATGCAGTGCGTAGTGCGGAACACCGAGATCTACCCCCGACGGAAACCATTGCCCATCGACTTCGATGCCTCCGGGGAGAACTTCGCGCATAACGGTGGAGCCGACAGGGGGGTTCATTCGAAGAGATTCCTCGATACATGCAGCGAGGTATCAGCATGAGGCGAGCTCGGGGCTTATGCAGATACCTTCAGTCTCTGCAAACTGCGATCGGACTTCGTCTTGTACTCGACGAAGACAGTCAGGATAGTGGGCGAGGTAGAAGAAAGTGGCTGTTGTTGCGGTGATGGTAGTGTCGGAGCCAGCGACGGTGAGAAGTCCCGCTTCGGAGACTAGTTGATCGGTGGAGAAGCTTTTGTCTGTCTCGGGGTCTTTTGCTCGCAAGAGGGCGGAGAAGAGATCGTTGCAGTCTTGCTGCGCGAAACGCCAGTGGAAGATGCTTGCGCTGAGCGACGTGAAGCGGTTCACGCCGGCGATGAGTTTCCCGAACAACAACTTGTCTAGTTTCAGGCTGAGAAGCTCGGGCAGATATCCCACCTTGTTCGATTAGTTGAGCAAGTTTGAGCTTGTGTTGTGGAGAACTCACCAGATGAATCCCTGCCACGCCTTCAGGGAGCGAGACAAGAACATCGCGATTATCGGGCTTTTGCTGCATCTCCCAGTTCTTGCTGAATGTGATGTCGCCCATAATATCGGAAACTAGATAGCCAATATATTTACTCATATCTCGAGATGAGCTCCACCCCTGTGTTCCCTCGTCCACCAGTTGGTCGCAAAAGTACTGGATGTTCCTCAGGATCTTTTCCTCCATCGACTTGATATTAGTAGCGCTCAGCGCGCGCACATTGACACGACGGCGGAATGCATGCTCTTTCATATCAGGCGTCGTATCCGAAGAAGGTGTTCCGCCAAAGAAATGCGCAGTGGATGCGTAGGTTTGGGATCTCTTGACATTAGCAGTAGTGCTGTAGATGTCTCGTAATGCCTCGGGCGATCTAATTGATATGCGTCTTGGACCAAAGCGCACAATCTTTCCTACAGTATGTGTTGATTACGATAAGCTAATAATACTACCAGGGCGATGTCGTCTTACCATATTTCATGTGCAATCGGTAGAAGTCTATATGGCGGCCACCCTTGGAGAGGTGGTATGCAGTGTAGAGATCAGTCAGTCCAGCCCACCATGGCCCTGGATATTTCGCCAAGGGATGCAAAGTGGACCGATATAAGAGTATGAAAAGCACCTGACTATGATCAGCGCAATAACCATACGCAAACATGACTTTACTCACCGTCTCAATCGGAAACCCGACAAGGAAGCAAGCAATTTTTACCCATCCTGCTACTTCACTAGATATCAAGAATTGATATAATGGAACACCAATGATGGCGCTGGCGGATGCTAGAGCCGCTGGGAGAAGTACAGACGCCATGTTCCGTTGTATAGAGAATTCACCTAACGATGGGTCTGAAGTATCGCAAAGTATCGGCGTTGCACTAGATCTCGAATTTCGCCCATTTACATGGTTCAGCGACAAAGGCGTTTGGCCGTTTAAAAGCTCCAGGACAACAACCGTACCGCCCCACAAGGCGAGAACCCATCGCCAGCCCATTTACCTTGCAAGCGGTCACAATGCATGAATGAATGTTACCCAGAGGCGTAAGTACCAGGAATTCATCAACCCCGCACCAATGCGATGATAATCCCACGCCAGCTCGGCGGGCAGCGGGTAAAAAGATTGGGTGTGTGACAATGCCAATGCCTGCGACCAACAGGACGGGTTGCGTAGGGTATGAGTAGAAGAACTTGACGAATTGGGATGTAATTTGGAAGCCGCAATAGGCAATTGTTGCAGGAGATCTTTGGATGGAGGGGCGTGTGCGGCGCAGTTATGAACATCTAACAGCGCATCAGAGCAAACCTTTGGAGGACTGAGAAAAATGCCGCAAGTCGTACACTCTGCTGTTTACAATGGTGGCGACGAAACAACCCCTCCCCTCTCCCTCGTGTATTTGAAGAGATGTAGTATTGTATTCGTATTCCATTTGTTACTCATCATACAGCTTGAAACATGTTCTAGAAGAGAAATGCGCTGTTCTCGAATTTACAAAGTCCCTAGCGGATATTCCCTAGGCACGTTGTCCCTATCCGGTCTCACAACCGGCATCTCCTTATAAACCTTCACATCCAGCACATCCCCTGCCCAAGCCGGTGCCTTTCTCACCCTGCCCATACGTTCCATTGCAGCTCCAATCCCCAACAACTTCTCCTCTTCCCACGGCCTGCCGAGAATCTCCATGCCGATTGGCACACCAACTGGTGCATCTTCCGTCGCGTCGCTAAATCCCACCGGGATTGTAACGACAGGAACACCGGTAAGCGCCGCGAGAATTCCATTTCGTCCAGATTGAGACGGCGAGCCAAGCTTTACTACGAGATTTTTCTGCTCGGGGTAGATGATGGCGTCGAGGTCATTGACGGCGAAAGTGGATTGCAAAGCGAGAGCGAGGTTTTTGATGCCTTGTTGACGGGTAATGTATGTCGCATTGCCTGTAGAAGATACAAGAGCCGTATTGACGTATTCGTATTGCGATGGAAGGACGAGGAATTCGCCGTCGCTGGTGTTGCTTGCTTTTCGACTGTACAGTTCGGCAAGGGTGGAAGGGTGGGTGCCTGCGAGCGAGGAGCGTTCGAGGTAAGCGTCCATTAGCTCCCGGTACTCGAAGCGTTGCACGTCGTAGGCAGAGAGGATTGCATTGGCGTCGTAGATGGTTTCATTGATGGGGATTAGAATGGCGCCTGCGTCTGAGAGTTTGCGCATGTATGCGTCCATGGCCTTGTTGACGGGCGTTGTCTCAGCGGAAGCTGTGCGATTGAAAAAACCGTTCAACACACCGAGGCGGAGTCCTTGAAGTTGGGAGCTCCGGAGATTAGCAGTATAATCTACATTCCTGCTGGAGCTGGGAACAAGAGCAGTGGCGTTATCCAATGCATCATAGCCTGTTGTAGTCAGTACTGAAAGTGCAGTGGCTACGTCTTTGATGGTGCGGGCGATAGGGCCGACGACATCCTGCGTGTAGGAGATGGGAATAACTCCGGTTCGCGTGATCAGTCCTCTTGTAGGGCGAATGCTGAAGAGGGAATTGGCAGAGGCTGGACTTCGCAGTGAATTCACAGTATCTGTCCCAGTCCCAAAGACGGCAAAGGATGAAGCTATCGCTGCGCCGGTTCCACCCGAGCTGCCGCCGGGAGTTCTCGTAGAATCGTAGGGGTTGATTGTTTGGCCCCCAAGCGATGAAACACTGATCCCTTCAAGAGCAAGCTCGTGAAGGTTAGCTTTGCCCAAGATGATAGCACCAGCCTCTTTTAAAGCAGCAACACTAGGTGCGTCTTCCGTAGGCTGGGAGTCTTTCAAAGCTAGAGCTCCACCAGTGGTGGGTATATCTGCAGTGTCGTAATTGTCTTTGAGCAGGACGGGTACGCAGAACAACGGACCGGTCGCATTGCCAGCTTTGAGGGCATCATCCAACAGGTCGGCTGCGGCCAAAGCATTCGGATTCAGAGCAATGATAGCATTGGTACGGTTGTTATATGTTTCAATTCGCGTGATGAACGACGATACCACTTCCCGACACGATGATAGACCAGAATAAATGGCGTGATGAACCGAGTTAACCGTTGCCTCCCGAGAGTCGAAAGGCATGCTTTGAGCTCGTACTTCACCGTATGAGAAGAGAGACCCAGCGAACAAAACGAAGCGAGGAGACCGCATCCTGACCGTTTCGAATTCAGTAAATGCGATTGTATGGATTGGCTGTCGATTACCACTGAGTGACGGTGGTGGTCCTCTTATACACAGACAAATCGAACCCCACAGCTACCACTTGGCCTTCGCAAGCCTGTATTACCCCGTCAGCCTGATTGTTGAGAACTGCCAGCTCGCATTCTTTCCCATTAAGAGGCGAACTATTGCCGCTGATAAGTATCCGCGTTGCAATTGCTTATCAAGAGGTTTGTCGAGCGAATATCGGGATGACGCTTCGCCAAGAACTCATCACCACCTTCCTTTCCAGGACTAGCGCAGATTCTCGGCAACAGATCTTTCTCCGAGCCATCTCCAAACTTCTACAAGCCATCAGTCCTCACCAAGTCTTTGGTCCAAACGTGTCGCCCTCGGCCACCGTCTTGCGAATAGCGGTGTTCAGATAGTCCTGGAATTTGTTCAATCAGCGTGATTCTCACTTCCCGGTCACCAAGCTTACCATGGTCTCAAATGGTTTCACGTTCATCCACCAATCTGGTACTGGATACTGCTTGAACGTGATAGCAAAGAAAACAACTATCGTCGAGATGACAAGTCCGGAGTCCAACCCCGCTGCGGTCAGATAATTGTACTTGTGCCACCATCCCGGCCAACGCCGCTTGATCCACAAGTTGAAGACCAAGCCGAACAGAGCCCATGAAGCAAAACTCAACGGCGATGCTGGCGGAAGCCAACCCATGGCGCCCAGCATAACCGGCGCATTCAGATATCGCAGTGGGGATTTGGGAGCCGCGCGCATCAAGAAATAGAAGATGACTGGCAGCGCCGCGCCGATCAACCAGTAATAATGAATCGCCGAATAGGTAGAGCCAGGCCCAAACATTCTCTGTGGACCGATGACTCCCCATACGATACTGCTGGAGAAGAACGCTCGGCCGTTAGGGCACGTGAAGTGGTCTTTCTGCAAGATTGTGCAGACATCGGGGATGTTTCCGAGCGTCCAATTCATCACGGCGATTTGCACGATGCTGGCCCAGACTGCCGCCACTAATTGCGCGATGAAGGCGATTTTCGGTGGTACCTTCATGTAGTGGGCCAGCTTAAGGTCGGCGGAGAACAGTTGCGCTTGTCCAAGGATGATGGTACTGTAGACTTTGAAGATCATATTGCCGACGGGTTTTCCAGGAATCATGTAGGCTCCGAGAAACGGTGCTAGAACATTGAGCGACAGCTGTATATCTGCGTGTGTGCAGGGAATAATATCAGCAAATGTGGTCCAAAAGTTTTAAGAACTCACGAGCTCACATACTGGTGATCCCATAAATCATACTGGTTGGCACAATGAACACCATGGCAATGATCAGCGACACGAAATATCCCCACCATGGCAACTGAGATTCATATCCCAATGCCGTAGCAAGTCCCAATGCCGTCGAGCCTACAAGCAGAACACCGTACCACCAGTCTGGGCAATGGCTGTACTTGGATATGAGTTTCATGTGAATATCCGGTTCCTGGTTCTGAGCGGCTTTGAATCTGTACCATATTTCCTTTCGGTGGTAGATGAAAACATGAACCACTTTGTGCCGAAGCATTGTCAGTGTGCCGCCGAAATATTACAGGCAATGAGATAACTCACAGGCCGCGGTAAGAGCCGCAAAACTGAGGCCATAATTCAGTGCCAGTGTCGGAGCGAGGAATAACGGCGAGTATTCCTTGTATTTAGCAACATCAAACGTGAAGTTTGGGCCTAGGATACGCGTGACGTTGTATACAGCCTGGGTATTGTCGAACGTTGAAGACGTGTTGATCGGGAGGTAGTCGCCGTACCAAGTATTCGTAAAGGACACACCTATAGTCGTAATGACCACGAATATAGCCAAGCCAATCAGTGTGTTGAAGTGCGCATGCGCTGGAGCGAGTAACGGATCCTGGAGATAGCTGGTCACGTAGGTCCAGTCGAAAGTGATTGGGAGAAGCGAGAGCCCCGTGAAGCCACCGAACAATTGGTTTACGACCACATCTTCCGGCTTGATCCTTCCTGGAGTCAGAAATGTAGACTTGATTAAATGAGACATTACTCACCACGTGGCAAAAGCGAATACACTCAGTCCCTGCCAAATTACTCCCGGAAACCAATAATAGCAGAACATTCCCACCAAAACATAGCAGAAATAGCGGGTGCGCGAGACTTTCCAGCCATTGGCAAACAGCGCGTCCGGACTGCGGTCGTGAAGCGCATATAACAAAGCGGCGTTTGAGAACTTGATACCCCAAATCATCGACGCAGGGTATACCTATACTATTTGTCAATTGTGAGTCATGTGTATGAACGAGGTCGCGTACCAAGAATCGACGGAATAGTCCTGCCATTGCAATACCAATGATTTGGCTACTGATTGTGAAGAGCAGTTGGAACCCCCATGACATGGACTGATCGTAGAACGGTTTACCGAGTAACGCCAATAATGTGTTGGTCGAGTAGGCGTAATAGATAGATATCCCCGCCATCACCTTGGAAAATCAGTAAATCGACTACTTTTTGTTTAGTATAGGGAGTGTACCGTTATGACTGAATGCTCTTTGATATTGAACGGGCCGGTATTGAAGGTCCAAGAAACCCCAAAAGTGTTGAACTTTCTTGTCGGCATCACCTTCGCCCACAAGATGCCGCTCGGATAAACCAGCCTACCATGAGTAAGTGTCCAATTTGTTTATGAGACTTGATGTACTGACAAGAGCACTACAATATCGGGAAAATTAATGGCAGGGCTGCGCATTGACAGAAACATGTTGACGCCTGCAGCGAGTGTCACGAAAGTCAAGCCGAGGACCCATGCTCGTATCGTGTTGGCGGGCTCGCCGTCGTCGATGTTTTTTACAGCAGCTCTTACTTCTTCGTAAGGAGAGTCCTGGTTGAATCGTGAGTTCTGAACGATATCAAACGATCAGAAAAACGGCTTTACCTCGATAAAGTCAGCTTGCGCCCTCTTGACGGCTTCTGGGTCACCATCGTGCGTCGCAGCAATGAGCTCATCCACTTTATCCTGTCGCAGATTGGGGTCCCATTGATGGGTCTTTTCGGTCAGTTGAATCTGTGGAGTAGCTTCAGCCGAGCTCGTCAACGTCTTTTCGCTTTCGAGATTTTCCATTTCGATTCTGGTGGGTGGTCACTTGTGCTCCCGAGAGAGATGTCCTAGGAGTGTCTGTCCATTTGATCGGGGCATGCAGAAAAGTTATTACAAGATTTAGAAGGCAGGGTGATTCTGATATGCAGTCCAATAAAGGCAAATGATCGCCAAATTAACCGTTTGGGTCGATGCGGGGTGGGAGATAAATACATTGCCAACCAGAGGTCGCGCTTAGCTGAATGAAGAAGGCTGCGATAAGTGGGAGGATGTACAACCATGCACTTATGAGCTGTATCGATGGCGGAAAATCTCTTGATAGGTGGTCGTTCTTGATAGGTACTTGTACATGGTGTTCACTTGGGCAAGGCGCGGTTGGACAAAATGATAGCCGCGGCACATCACGCGATGATCACACCCAGCGCAGCGAAATGGAGCATCATTCAAGATAAGAAGGATGGGGTTGAACGTGTTGCAAATATTCACCATGCAATAAATTTTGTATGTGTACTCAGAACCGAATATTTTTGGTGATCGCCTATTTGTTGGTTCTTATTGTTGTAAATCTGTAGTTGTGCGTAGGAGCACTCAAACTTGTACTAAGATCCATTAAGTTATCTGTACTTAAAAGTGTGTGTTCCTTTGGGTAATTGCATGCATCTCACAGCTCAGTTGAGTTCAGCCTCCCCTATACGGAAATGCGAACGTGTGGACTGTCTACAGTACTGTCACGCGTTATTCCTGAGGCTGATATATCCCGTCTCAGTCAGCCAGGCAATCCGCGATATACTGGGGAAAGCTGTGTACTCCAAATTTAATTTGAACTTCGATGAAAAACTTCTATACAAAAAGGGCGGAATCGGATTGATGAATTCATTGGAGAGTCTGATGGGAAAACACAACAATCCTGAAAAGAGTGCACAGAACTTGCTGTGTTCCGGATCCATCTACCGCGATGCTTACACATCATTAAGAGTGCGCACAATCTAGATGGGCGATATGTCATTGTCTGTCATGTGTGCACTTGAAGTCCAACGACGTTCGATGGGACCACATCCGGTGATATCCTACAAGTTTGACACAATACAAATCATGCATAGAAGGTCATGCGACTCCTAAAAAAAGAAAGTTTTTTCAGCCATTTGAGATCGCTATACGAAAATTCGCATTTTCTCATCATTGGTCGTGCGCGAGTCATTTTTCGTTGGAGCACGTGACGTTGAATCCGTCTACCCGTACATGTGTGCATCTCTATCTGTTTTCCAACGGTTTTCACCCTTGCTCACACTCAAACACAAATTGATATCACAAACAAGTATACCGAGCGGATAGAGCTCAATCCGAAGCGAGTCATCCATGTATTTCTGCTTCGGGCCGCGACCAGGGTGTATGAAACCAGTTGCGTAGCATACATTTACTAATGTGAGCTAAATGTAGCACAACGAAACTTAATACTTTTCCATCACACTTAGAACCTCGATAATAATGCCGAACTATCCAGTCACATTCTGCTTATTCACGTGCGACACGCTACAGCGGCCTCTACAACAGACTCTACTACAGACCAAACATCAGCCTAAACTATGTCAACGTGGCGAGCTAAGTTCGATGCCGGAGCCACCACGGCGTCTACCTGCTCTACTACATGTTCTTCAACATCAATGGTTCAATAGTTTTTTCATTCAAAGAGAATAGAGCAAAGTCGCAAAAGCAACTTTCAAAAATAGCATCGACACTCGGGAACCAGGGTTCGATGCAGCAAGCTCGAGCCGTTGCAAGGTCACTGCCCGCGGTGTCACATGGAGAAACGGAATCGATCTATGTTCTGGGGAATAGATCAAGTAGTACGCGAAACGTATTATTCATGTTGTTCAGCACTAAGGCAGGGACAAGTTAGCCTGTCAGGCTATCCGAATCATACATTTGCAAGAAACTGCATCGAGTCAGTCGCATAGTGGGTAGGGACTCCCCAGCCACGTTTCAACATTTCTAAGGAATGATCCAGGCTATCAGTGGCTACCTCTGGTGACCTACACTCTCAGCCTCCTCTTCGCCAGGCTCTAGCCACAAACTGACCGTCAATCATGCGATACACCATTTTGCACAGGCTGTAAACATTCGCTTAGCCATTATGGTTTAAAAATGCAAAAGGTGAAACCTTGAGCCTAACGGAGTCGAGCAGTCTGTTTGATTCATCCCCGTTTCGGCGAACTGGAAGAAACCTGAACATTTGATTCATTCCTGTTTCGACAGGCTCGATGAGGCCATACCATGCAACTGATTCGAAGGTTCACGGTGAATATGGGTATCCGCCGAAAGCTACAGAGCATGAGGGAGAGTAACTCAGACATCTTGGCATCACATTCTGACTTACGAAACGGATGCAACGGTTCCGGTGTCTCTATGGACTAACCAAAGGCAAGAAAATATCTATGAGTGTCAACACAGACTCGAAATGTATAAAGAGAGGCCAAATCGCATCGACAATAGAATCATCAGCTCTCAAGGTTTCCGTCTCAACAACACACTAATACATCCTTTCTCTTCGCTTTTTACTTTATCTTCTATTCAATAATCTATCTGACCGGTTCAGAATGTACTTCTCCAAGGCTTCCATTGTTTCTTTCGGCCTCTTGGCCACCACCAAGCTCGTGGCTGGCCACTCAGCAGTCATCAACGCTGTCGGCGATGCTGGAGGCTCCGGCTCTGCCATTGGTGTCGACCCCAACACTCCTCGTGACGGCACGAGACGCACTCCCTTCCAGCAAGATGCCACTCGTTTCCGAGGAGACGCAGCCGACTCTTGCGGAGAGACTCTTGGTGGAGGTGACAACAACATCGAGACCGGCACTGCTCAGGTCATGCAACTCAGCGGCGATGTTCTTCCTCAGGTCTCGGCTGGCGGTCAACTCATGATGACTGTCCACCAAGTCAACGGCGACGGCGCTGGCCCTTACACTTGCATGATCGATGCCACTGGCACTGGTACCAACTGGGTTCAGATGCAAGTCACCACCAATATCGATGGCAACGCACGAGGCCGCAACAACGACCAGCAGATGCAGGATCTCCCTCTCAATGTCGCCATCGCTGCTGACCAGACTTGCACGGGTACCGTCGCTGGTCAGACTGGCGTCTGCATGGTCCGCTGCGAGAACCCCGCTCGTGCTGGTCCTTTCGGTGGGTGTGTTCCTGTTCAGATGGCCGCTGCTGCTGCCGCCGCTCCCGCTACTGGTGCTGCTGCTGGAACTGGTGCTGCCGCTGGAGCTGCTGCTCCTGCTACTGGTGCTGCCGCTGGCACTGGTGCTACCGCCGGAACTGGTGCTGCTGCAGGAACTGGTGCCGCCGCTGGAACTGGTGCCGCCGCTGGAACTGGTAAGTTCAATCCCCAATCTCCCTACTATCTATCATTCCCTGATACTAACGCATCTCCTCTCTAGCTCCCGTAGCCGCTGCTCCTCAAGCCGGAACTGCCGGAACTGCCGCTGGCGCCGCCGCTTCTCAACAAGCTGGCACTGCTGCTGGTGCCGCCGCTCCTCAGCAAGCCGGTACCGCCGCTGGCGCTGCTGCCCAAGTGCCTCAAGCAGGTACTGCTACTGGTGGTAAGCTTTCTACTCTCTATGCATCCACCCAGAACAACCTAGACTAACTTCTCATAGCTACTGGAGCCACTGTTCCTCAGCAAGCTGGCAATGCCGGCACTGCTGGTACCGCTGGTACCGCTGGCACAGCTGCCGGTGCTGCCGCTGTCCCTGCTACCGCAGCCACCAACAAGCGCGCAAACCGCAAGGCCAGCAAGCAGCCTGCTCTCACCAACGATGACCAGGAGGAGGAGGTCGATCTCATCGGTGACGACAACTAAGCGGCTCGACAACACCACTTAGTGGCATCATCATCATCATCACCATCACCATCACCATCACCATCATCGCAGTCTCAATAGGAGGATAATAATAGGGTGGAATACCAAGGGTCGAGGGAAACTGTATCTTGGAGGAGCTACATGGGATGTACAAAAAAAATTAGGGGGGAAATTGGCATTTGCATATCCTGCTTTGCTCATTGAGATTCGCAGTCTGTGACTCGGACCATGAGCAATGGCAACGTCTTTCCTTTGTTAGCATTTTCTTTTGGGTAAATATTGCGGGTTCAAATATTTGTTTAGTGTGTGGGTTGATTGAGATTGGAAACCTTGTTGAGTAATGAGTTAAATAAATGACGTTCTTTAAATTCTTTTTTCTTTGCTTTGCTTTTTGATTTTGATCACTTGGTTTGTTGCAGAATGCTCTTTGATCTATATGAGCATGCGGATTGATATACATCCTTGGTGACCTTTTGGTTGCTTTCTTAGCTCGAAAGCTCTCTTCTCAAATTTGATCGTTGTAGAAGATCAGCTATGGGGAGCTCCAGTGTTCAAAATATAATCAGCGCGTCATAGCTCTGGATGTGCATGTGTTGTTGCTGCCGGTCGCTTCAGTGTACTCTCGGGCCGAATCCGCTACTATGATGTTTATTCTCCCCGTTAGCTGTCATCACCTGAAGTGTCAGCCCTACAATCCCGTATTTTAAATTCATGGTGGCTGCCTACATGAATATACTATCTGATAGGGCACTGAAGGTCTTCTCTCAACTGCGGCGTTGTGCCGCGACAAGCCACTTTCCTCCCTTGCCGAATCGGGAATTTATCTCAGCCTTGTTTCTAAGGAACGTCGTGCAGCTAAGCTTTCAGACAGCGTCTTGGAGCAGCGCACAGGAGAAAAAAAATCAATAAGATCTTTTGCATAAGAGTCGATCAGGCAGGCATCAGGGGTTGCCGTATCTCGTGTTTCAGCAGGGTTTCGCGAACGTACCCCCGTACCATCGTCTCTGAATCGCAGAGGCGGAGAGACTCCCTTTGAGGGGTCGGTCCACCTGTTTTATCATTCCAGTTATTTATTTTTGGGCCGGGGATGTCGAAACTTTTGGATGTCTAAGCCGACCGTTGAGTTGTGGCGGTGCGGCAAACGGCAAGACGGCATGCGATTGCGTGTGATGAGAATCGTGACATGCAGATTTGCGGGAAGTGCATGATGTGCTCAAAGTAACGAAAATAGATACCTTTGATGCGAAAAGTTCGCCGAGGTTCACGGGAAGTCGAGAGTAATTCTTAGAGCCGAAACCTGCTGGACCGTTTACGGGTAACGTGATAAAGATGCAGGGGCCATGTGGTCACAATATGAATGAAGGTCATTTGTATCGCACAGCCTTCGAAGATGCAATAAGAAATGGAATTCGCGCACACGAAGAGGGAGGAGATGTGAATAGCGAGCAGGTACCCCAGGTTCTCTTTCTCATATTTCGACTGAGAATCAGGTCTTCCTCCTTGTTGACTCATGAAGTGTTTCCCTTCCGCGCGGGCTCCTCCTCCAGAAAGCTCTAATATGAGGCAGAGTGGGGCCAAATTAAAGGCTGCAAATAATTGTTGGCCAGGAACTATCATTTCTGGCTCTCCAGCGGAGAGGCTGATCAGATTTCAAAATTCGATAGCATCAAGTTCTTACGACAATATCTATCAAGAGTAAAATAACGAGATCATACGCCTCTATAGTTGCCGAACATACGCGTTCGTGGGCGCTGGTCTAGGGCGATGTGGGCTGCAGTGATCCAAGCGGACTGCCGAGCGGCCCTGTCCTTGTTAGTTTGGCAAGGCCTCCGCGAAAAAAACACGTCGACCACTAGTTGCGCGACACATACACACAGCACCTTCTCCAGTTGATATACATCTGGCATATCATTATCATCACCGTTCATGATCCTAAAAAAATGTGACATGTCCCAATCACGCCTGCTCTCCCCGACTCACTTTCTACTGGCAAACATGACGTTTTTGGCTTTTACATTTCGGTAGAATTTCTTATACATATACAAGCACAGGTGCGCGCATGGGGTGAAGATATGATTACGGAGAGCGAAAGAAGGATGCATTTATACCTTTCCGTTGTCAACAGGCTAGACCTTATCAAATCGCCATCGTCATCATCGAAGTTACCAAATCACAAACACGCTGTAGCCGTATCATTGATCACAATGGCCTCATATTAGCACAATATACTCTGGGTAAAATTCTTAGACGCTGACGCATGGCATCAAAATACTCATGGTGCAGCTAAGCCCATCCCAGACACGTCATTGATGTTGGTGCGCCAAAAATTTAGAAAGTTCATAGAAAAGAGACAAGACATGTTTTTATACCTTTCCCCAAAATCATCGCCGCTATCCTGAACACTGTAACCAAAGACATGGCATGACTACCCTATGGGTCACATATTCAATGCCTCGAGTAAGCAATTACGTAGTAAGGCTCCGCAGCTGATTTTAGTGACACGTCTCCGACTGATTAGAGCGGAGAACACCATAAAATTGCGCTGGTTGACATATGTACCTGTCTCACTGTACACGCCGGGAAATGCATGGTCTACCAGGATTCCCCCATTTAGTCTATTGTTTAGCAACCAACTCACATGTCTAGTAAAAAAAAAGGATAAGGAAAAACGGTTGGGCGAGGGGCTTATATACTTCTCGCTTGCCATGTTCTGACTAAACGTATCCCAGATATCTCCATTATCATCATCATTGTCAGGATTTCAAATTCGATCACATCAAAACCAGTGCGATTTTAATGAGTTTTTTCGGTTTATGTTGCATCCTTGAGAACGAAAGATGACCACAGAGGACATGCGTTTCTTCAGATATGCCATTATTTCTGCATAGCCTTGAGGCCAGCGCGAGTGCGTGTGGAACCAGGAGACATATTTACAGAGAAAAGAGAGCTTTATATGGCCTCTTCAACAGTCCGAGAGTGTGTCCGCGCTATTCCTAGAGCATGATTCGCTCATCATCATTATCGTCAATGTATGCTGAAAAGCGCGATGAACAACTATGTGCACTTCACCATTTCAAGCGGCTGATCCAAAACAAGCATCTGTAGTTTTCCCTTGACTTTTTAATCACTGCCTTGCAAAATGCGTAGATGCGTGTAAATAAAAGAAAGAGAGATACAGCCCGAGGATAGTGAGTTTATATACCTTCTTTCAGCGATTTTCGCACTAGTCCTCCCGCGTGCTGATTTGCTCATTGTCGGCGAGACTATCCTATCTGGTATAAATGTCTAGGAGATCTCGACGAATCGAAACAAGCTCTGTGTATTGAGAATCATCATCATCATTCGCGAATACACCAAAAACATAATTAAATCGATCATGTGCCTTTCTCATCTTCACCTCCTAAAACTATGGATCTCCCCTTATTCCCCCCACAAGCTTCCACACCGAACACATGGCTCATGGGCGACGAAATGTGACATTCATAATTGTCGGAAGCTTGCGCAGTGCGATTAATATGAAAAGAAGGGAAGAGCCGCTTAGATTGGGGGCTAAATACTTGTCAACAAACACTAACATATGTTCTTTTTCGCGATGCTCATCATCGTGAATGATGATGAACACCAATACGTGGGCCCTTCAAAAGCCGAGATTTCCTTTCATGTTCACCCATTCATCACCACCACCTATGGGCGGAGGAACCTCCCAGCGACCAAAGAGACACATGTGGGTATTGGGGTCACTCATTTAGAGTATGCAAAAGGCAAGCCCCACTGTGCATGGAGGGGACAGAATAAGAAAGCGAGAAGAAAAGAGGGCTTTATGTAAATCGCCCTTCTGCTGATGTAATAGATTCTCAAGTCACCAATCGAGACTGCATTTCCCAAACCAATGCTCTTCATTATCACCATCAGGCAAGCCTATCGAAAACTCGGAAGCAACAGTACTCATGTTCACTCTACCCCAATTTCACTGCGTTTGAATATTCTTAGAGCCCACAGACTCGAGGAAGGCACATCTTCAGGGTCGATTCACTCTTTAGTAATTCCTAGAGAACAATTCCAGGCTCGTGTACTAGAGGAGAAGAGGGGCAAATTTGGGGGTTTATATACATCCTCGTGCATTCTAAGCTACACGCCGAACCAGTTAAATGCAAATCTCATGCAATGAAGTTCATCGTTATTACCTTTGTTCTGAGAAGACATGCACAATGCCTTTCTGAAAACACAAATGTATTTTAAGTACTGAGAACAGTACACATAGCTGTGGTCTTTTCCCCCATCTACTAGGCCTGACTGTAGGCACGCGCGCGTGTAAGGAATAGAAAGAGAAGATGGAAAAGATTTGAGAGGGGTATTTATACACTTAACAACCTACGCTAAAGCCTATCGTGAGCCTATCGACTGTATCTCATGAAATTTCGCTCCATGTGGATCATCATCATCGCCTCGTTATTCAGAATTCTACTAAGATCCATTTATATGTGTTTTAGCCAGGCAACGAGGACGGCAGCATAAAAAGGCCATAGATACTTTGACGAAGCCTAATAGTGAACTCTTGGAAGGAAAAAAAAAGAAGGGGGGGGGGAGAGGAGAAAAGGGGTTTTATATACTTTGTCTCCCGCGCTAACGCTCACTTTCCGCCCAGTCAGCTGTATTTTCTGCACTTTCCTTAATGACGATCGCCATCATTATCATCGTCTATAACTCCCTCAAAAAGAAGTCGTGAGGTCTCTCCATGTGTGACCGCCAAGCACCCGGGACACTTGCCAGCAGAAGGAAGAGAGGATATCAAATAGCTAAGCACGGGAGTGAATCATCGCAGTTCTTTGCGGCACAAACACTTGGTATTCTAAAACGCGATGAATTTGCCTTCAAACTCCAGGCAGGACACACATTTATATCTTGTAGTTGTTTTTAGAAGCCAGCACCGCAGCGCGTAAGGAAGGGAAAGTAAAGAAGAAGGAAGGATGGGGTATATAGGTATATATACTTTCCTATTGATGCTGAGGTAACGATTGACTTTACCAATTAAGATATATATTTGACTGGTGAGACTCACCATCATCGTCATAAGCATTATCATCTAAAATCAGACTAATAGAGAGCAGTAGCAGCTCACACATATCTAACCGCGCAGAGTCCGAGAAACGCACATACTTCTTTTTATTATTGTTCTTTAAAGCCCAAAGGCAAGCACCGCAATGCATAAGGAAAAGAAGAAGAGAGAAACACGACAAAGGGGGGGGGGGTTTAAATACTTTTTCATCCACGCTAAGCACACCCTCTGAGCCCACTAATCACGCATAATTCCTGGACGATGAGAATCATCATCACCGTGTTATAAAAATACCAGAAGAAATGACAGAGATGCGCATGTATCCTATCTCCCAGGATTCCAGAACACAGCCATATAATGGCATTTCAACGCTTTCTAGCGAAGTCCAGAATCAAGCACCGCAGTGCTTGAAGAAGAAAAAAGTGAAATCAGTCCGCTTTATATACCTGTCTTGTCTTACCAATACATTCTAGTCCACTAGTGAACTGCGATGAATTGAACGCTACGTTCGTCTTGATGCGAATCATTATCATCATCGCCGTTTGTAAGAAAGATCGGAAAAAAATACTAGCACTACGTGCGTCTCTTCTCCGCGCACCAAGAGCACATTGAACATTGAAACAATTTTTTTTAGAGAATGATTATGCGCAAGCACAGCAGTGCATAAAGAAAAAAGAAGACTGAAGGGGAGAAAGAAGGAGGTTTATATACTTCCATTCTCTTAGTAATACATCTTTGACAAGCTATTAGCTGCTACGATCCACGAATTAGGAGAAGCTTTCTGCGATGATGCTCATCATTGGCGTTTTTCCTAGATTTACTGAAAGTTTGGATTTCTGTATGTTTGCGCCTCTGAGGACCAGGAGCAGACACATATATTGCATATATCCAACTTTTAGTAAGAGCCTAAAGACAACACCCCAGTTCGCGACGAGAAAGGAAGCAAGAAGAAGAGGAGCAAAAGGGGGGTTTATATACCCCTCGTCCATTTCGTTCCTGACTAATGCATGCTAACAGAGCTGTCACCTACAGCAAATCAGAGAGATCTGAGAGGCTTTGCCAGTAATAAGGTCAATCATCATCATCACCCACGAATCTACTCAAAAACTAAATGATGTGTGTATGTCTCTCATGTGCTTTCCGCCAGACACCCACAGCCCACACATAAGAAATGAACATTTTGGTTTTTTTTAAGTACAACGTATAGGTGATGCACCGCAAGTGCGTGAAGAGAAGAGAGGATAGGAAGAGAGAAGGGGAGGATTTAAATACATCTATCTATCTAGTCTCTTAGTTATACGACCTAAATCTACTATAAAGTTCGACGAATCAAAAATGATGTTCTCCTCGATGATGATGATGATCATTATAGTCGCACCAAGGGCATCACCATTATCACGCCTAGATCTACTAGAAACTGTAGATTGACTTATGTTTTTCCTCGAAACGCACCCCAAGCACATATACTCTTCCGAACGATTTGTTTTTAGTAGGAGCCCGTAGGCAAAGCACCGCAGTGCATGAAGAAAGAAAGAAGGAAAGATGGACAGGAAGAGAAGGGGTTTATATACTTGTCGCTCCCCCTTGCCTTACTAATAAACTGCAACACTAGATACCAACACCGACGAATTGAACATGTGGGTACTGTTGTGGACTTGTGATGAGGTTCATCATTATTGTTATTACGAAAAAGTCTACTAAAAGATCATAAGACTGATGTTTTTCCACTGCACACCCAGAACAGACACATTAGAAAGGATTTGTTTACTTTTTATTGTAAGCGCTATATTGTAGGCCAAGCACGAATGTGTGTGAGCAAAAAAGAGAATAGAGGACAGGGAGAGAAAGAAGGTTTGTATATCCGCGCTGTCTTACTAATGCGTTTAGGTTCTATCTGAGAGGATATGCACGATAGTGATGGTAACATTTTTCATCATCATTGTGGAAAGGGGATTAACATCACGGTTCGGCCAACGCCTACGCGTAGTTATGCAGGAACGAGGAACATTCGTATCCTCCTGCAGGCTGCAAGCAGCTCCAGGAGCAATCATCTTCGTATCTAAAGGCGAGACTTCCATGTCTGAGGCAGTATTGGGGGCAGAGATAGAAAGTCGTAGCAGTAGACAAAGGGCACTCTCGAGGGAGCAGACGATATGACATTTTTGTAGAGAATATACCCCTACTCGATGACTCGAACTGCTTCTGAAATGTGTGCTTGCTCTACAGAATATGCAAACTGCTCGCTCGCTGATTATCTGGCGGACGAAGATTAGCAAAAGGCCGAGCCCAACGCTTTTCGTATGTAGTGTTATCGCTGCTGCCGGGAGTACCACGACGTTTCGTGCCAGCGCAAGCGATAGCCAGGCACATGCAATTCGTCGCGTGCTCACATGTGCTACAGCTCGCACGCGCAACTACCGTGTTCCAGCTCTGAAGGGACTTTGTGGTAGGTCAAGCGAACACGCACGATGGTGAGAGGAACAGCCACCAGCAGTCCACGCTCTCCCCACCCCGCCGGATAAAGCCTGCCAGAAGGCTTTTAGCGCCTCGGCTCGATATTTTATGTCCCGCTTTTCTAGCTCACTTCTAGTTAGCTTCTAGGTTAAGCTTTTGGAAGTATGCCGCTTGGTCCATGTTGCGGCGTGGAGTGTACAGAGACACCTTTGAATGGACGAAGAGCGGACAGCCATTGATAGTTCTTGAGATGGAGATATGGTGTCAAACGGCCTCATGGTCGTCAATCAAGAAGCGCAGCAGGTTTGGATGAACGATATTGTCTATCTGCGCGTCAGCCGCCACGATCTCCCGAGTACGAACTTCCATACGGGTAGATTATAAAAATACGCGAGGAACAGATGTGACGCGCCAAGCGCGTGCGAGAGAAAAGGATCCAAAGTCGACAGCCAGCTAACGCAGGCCATCGCCAGCCCCAGGGGTGCCGGTGAACGAATGGAAACCTCCAACGGCGATGCATTGTCGAATAAAAATCACAACCTCTGTTCAGAAGCATGTCCACGCATGCACGGTCAATTGCTTCGGTGCTAGTTCTCCTGCTCAGCTCGTCTAGCGTACAGCGCGTTTGCGCCCGCTGAAGCCGCGACATGGGCCTGGCCTGGTCTGTACGTTCCCTGGCGGACGTTGTGGTAGTGGCGGGTATAGGTACCGGGAGCTGTCGTTCGTCCCCCCACCCACTTTATTTCTTGATCCTGTCCGCTGTGGATTTTTCTTTTTCTCTTTCTTGCAATATCTGCCACGATGCTATGACGATGTTCAACCACTTTGTCGCTTCTTCGCTTGTGCCCAACAGCTGCGATTGAAGCTTGTATAGAAAGTGCGGATCTGACGCGGGTTTCATCGGATTGTACAGTACGTCGGCTCATTGCGGGAAGAAGATCGTTTGATCAAACACCGCACTACGTTCGCTGGCGCTGTGAATAACGTCGTGTACAATCTTCCGGCGTGTCTCCATCACACTTGATCGAATCACTATCGCGATTTTCTTGCTCCCGGAACGAGGTGCGCCACACTGCACGAGCGGCCCTACATCTTTCTTATCCAATAGCTCGCCAACCTCCATTGCCTGAAGGGCCTTCCACTGCAACGAGAGAGGTGATGAGTACAACGAACGAGAAGGGAGTCGCCGAGCTGGCAAGTGATGAGCTCGGCAATGGCGAAGTGCCTGCTCCGGTCTCCAATTATATGTTCAAGATGGACATGCGAATCATTCCCATTCTTGGCTGCACCTACACCATTTTGTTCCTTGACCGCACCAACAGTGAGTGGTTGCTCCTCTTCAACGTAGTAAACCGAACCAATTCTCATGTCCATTAGTTGCCAATGCCAGAATAGAAGGTCTTGAGAAAAGCCTTAACATGCCACCTACTGGCTACAACACACTCTTATGGGTATTTTTCTTGCCTTTCGTGCTTGTCGAGATTCCTAGTAATCTGCTCATGGGGCTACCTCGCGTGAGACCCAACATCTTTCTCGGTATCAATATGCTGCTGCTCGGTATCGTCTCATTTTGTCAAGGTTTGACCCATTCCTATGGTGGTCTGATAGCTTTGCGCTTTCTGATGGGTATCTTCGAAGCAACCCTTCCCGCCGGCGCCGCGTTTCTTATCGTCGAGTACTACACCCGTCAGGAGGCTGCACTTCGTTTTGCTTGCTTCTTTTGCTTCGGTGTTCTCGGTCCGGCTGTCAGCGGGCTGCTTGCATATGGAATCAGGAACATGGACGGTATCCAGGACATGGAAGGTTGGCGCTGGATCTTCCTAATTGAGGGTCTCCTAACCGTCGCCATTTCTGGTTTGGTGTTTATCCTTGTGCCGGATTTCCCAGAAAGGACCAAGATTTTATCCAAGGCGGACAAGGAACATCTGTTGGAAAAACTACAGCGCGATAAGGGTGATCAGAAACTTGACTTGAAGTCGGTAAATTGGGTGAAAGTGCTGACCGATTATCGTATCTGGTTCCCGTAAGTGAAAGCGTCTGTTTGACATTCCTTTATCCATGCTGACATACTGAAGTACCCTCATGTTCTTTTGCTGCGATATGACGGCGGCCTCCATGTCCTCGTTCATCCCCACAATTTTACTGGAGCTCGGCTGGAAGGCTGCCAAAGCGCAGGTCATGTCCATCCCGATCTGGCTCACAGGCCTGGTGTTCCAAATTCTAAGTGGGTGGATATCAAGCAGGATCGGTTGGCGATTTCCGTTCATTCTCATTGGCATATCCATGGTGACTGCTGGTTGGATCATCCAGCTCATCTACTCCAACAACCGCGGTCTGTCTCCGGCCGTGCGGTATTTTTCACTCTTCGCCATGAGTGGCGGCACGTTTTTGCAAATGTCCATGACTATCGCATGGATGACGAACAATCTTCGCGGGAGAGCTAGCATCGCCGTGGGAACAGCCATCATTCTCGGGCTCGGCAACTGTGCGAATTTCGTGGCGAGCAATGTTTTCATCACCAAACAGGCTCCCTTCTACCCCACAGGGTTTCGCACCGCGCTCGGCCTGACGTTGGCTGGGGCAGCTATCTGCTTAATTTTCGTGGCGCTATTATACGTGCACAACCAGAAGTTGGATCGAAAAAGAAGAGACCAGGGAGAGAGCGCGATTGACGCACAGCTGGAGTACAGGTATCAGTATTGAGAGTTACTTGTTATCTCCACATGTTTATTCTGATCGGAGTCACCGGAACATTATCCGAAGGTATCGTAGGGTAGATTCACGAGGATAAGCAGACGGAGAAAATGGTGGTGTTTGCATGTTCATCCTTCCTGTCCCTCTAGGGCGATTCGTATGTGCGTCACGTGATCTTGTGTGACCTCGCCCGCGCCGGCAAGACAGTGCAAACAGACGCTCTCACATCGACCAGTGATAGCATGGCGCCCCGCCAAGCCTAAATGGTGCAAACACTCTACGCTCTCTCACTCTGTCCTTAAAGGCTCCTGTTATCCTTCGTCCCCGACACTTCCTCGCTACATCGACCTCGCCCTCGACGGTTACCTTTCAATTGTCTGCATTCAACCTTGCCACTATCAACATTGATACCAACTAACTCGAGTACCACTCGCAACCATGTGGTTGAAAACAAGCATGTTCTTCATGCGAGCTCTCTTAGTCGTCATCGCGATCTTGACCATGTGCGTCTCCGGTGCGCCGGCAGACTGGGCGGCTAGAGAGGTTGGTTTTGTGCGTGAAGCCAATGGCACCGTTACGAATACCTCAAATCCCCATACCGCCGATTATCCCAAGGACAACCCCGTCAAGTTTCGAGTTCGGATGGGTGTCCAACCTGTCAACATTGGGGGACTCCAAGGCAAAGAATTGTACCAGTATGTCTACGATTGTATCGAGTCATGGTGCCCTTATGACCATGGCTTTTGCGATGCGGGCCCGAAGAAATGGTGCGAAGTTAAGGTAAGAGAAAGGAGCAAAACCACGGGTGTAAGGTGATAGCTGACATGCACGTCTAGGTGGACGGTAGGAGGTTTCATCTCGTACTTGTGGCCGCATATTGGCCATCCAACTACAAGAGACTCCGCGAGTGGATGCTGGATATGTGGGCCACGATAGCAGTAAAGATTGTCAACAACGGCAAGAACTGCATTTGGAATAGAGAGAAACGCCAGCAGGAATGCAGTCTCCCTGATTTTATAAGCATCAGTATCGATCATTGGTACGGAAAGGATCACGAGCTCAAGGATAGAGAGGCTACGCCCGATCTGAAAGTCCAGGTTTGGGACTTCGATAATCAAGCTAGTAAATTCGATTGCGTGGGGTCTCAGAGTCCGCTATTCGAATACTTCAATACCAAACAAAAATATGGGAGCACCCCGCTCGAACGGATAGCCCAGACTATTCAAGAGCCCAACCAAGCTATTCAGCAAGACATCTTTTGCGTGCCTGATGGTGGAGGTGAAGCCTCCGCATCAGACCTCGGTCGGCCGGAACCAAACCAACTGAGCAAACGATCCGGCAACAAGCATACGCTCTATCTGAGTGTAGGGGTTTGGAAACAAAGCGCTGGGACGTTCAAAGGACAGGAGCTGTGGAACAAGATACATGACTGTCTGACCAATCTCTGTCCGACCGGGCGTAACGGTCACAATGTCTGCGACTCATCGAGAAAGTGCGAGATCAAGGGTGTTGCCCGACCGGACAAGAAAAAACTCGCTTACGATCAGAGTCTGTTCATCAATGTTGGAGTTAGCTTCCTGCCAGTTGGCCAGCTTGGAATGCGAGAAATCATGGTGAGTACCCCGAGTCTACCTGGAAATTTCAGTTACTAACCAGAGAATTAGCTCGATCAAGCAGCGGCAGTCTTCTCCTCCTTCACGGACAACAGCAAGAACTGCTACGATCAGCAGTACGTAGATGCCTCTTTCCAAATGTGTAATGTTCCCCAGATGCTTTTCCTACACGTAGGAAACCTTGCGTGGATATTCGTTGAGTTGGCGAACAACAAAGCCAACAAGAACGTCAATAAAGAGTTCAATTGCGGGAACACCAAGGACTCTACGCTTGGGCCTTGGTTTTACAAGAACAGCCACCAAAAGTGGGCTGATTCCCTGGGACTCAAGGACAAGAACGAGGTGGGTCTTTACATGGAGTGCCAGGAGGACGAACAGTTCGCAGGCGATCGCAAAAAGTGGGATTTCCATGCGAATCTTGTCTGATCACCTCAATTTCCGCCATATGATGGCGGGGGTGAAGAATAATGATTCCAGGATATCATTCTACAGAGAGAGAATGAAAAGGGTCAGGGTCGCTTGAATGACTCGATGGGTGGGCATGGTCGCTGGCTCACTGCTGGTCTTCACATGCATGTAGCCAAGCCGTGTAGGTACGGGGATGATCATGGCAAATGGAGTTTATGTAGTTACATATCCTCCATTTTCAGACTCACTTCTTAGCCTGAGCAGATGTGCATGATTTACGCTGGAAAATTTCTAAAAGAGATGCATGCATGGTGAGAGCTCTATACTGATGGCTTCATACGTGGATGTTGTTCAGTAACGTGCAGGTTTTGCACACGCATGCGCAAATGTGCAAAGATGACGGCTGCGTGCACGGTGCAAACGCCCACTGCTCCACCGATGGATCGCAGCAGCACACCCTTTGCCCTCCTTTACCATCCAATGTAGGGCTAAATCAATGCTTTTCAACTGGCTCGGCCATTCAGGACGTCCATGCGCTCCGAACATTTCACGCTGCGTGGAGGCTGAATCGATTTTCACTTTCTGCACTTGGAGGTCTCACGATGCAGCTACGCCACATGTGCAAGAACGCCGCAAAGTGCAAGAATGAGCACCGCGAGTTAGGCGCATAGGGTATATAGGGTATATATGGGCGCACTATACATGATTTCGATCTGCATAATGAGAAAAGTACCTACCAAAAAATGGCTTATTTACGCTTCCTCGACTTTCCAATCACCATCCGCCAGCAGATCTACGAAGAGCTGCTAGTCCCAGTCATCACCAAAGACGCAGAAGAGAAGTATGCGTACAGCGTAATAACAACATCAATCTTCTACATCAACCGCGAAATCCACGCAGAAAGCAGCAACTACTTCTACGCCAAAAACCTTTTCGTCAATGTCTATGCAAACAGTCCCCGAGTCTTCTCAGAACTCACCCCTCAAAAAGCCCCCGTCTTCGCAAGAGTCAAGAACAAAGCACTCATCGCGCAATGCCCTCACTTCGCCGCATCCGTGGAGCTGCGCAGCATCAAGTCGTTATATCCTATTCAGAGCACATCTTCATACGTGATCACAGCCCAATCGCTCCCACTATTCTTCGCAGCCCTCGTCGGCCCTAAACTCAATTCCACCGGCTACGGCTTCGGCGCCTTCACTAACATCGGCGCGATCGGAGTCTTCAAAACTACAAACACATTCTGTTATACCCCGTCCCGGTTCTCAGACTTGACGTATGGACGAATCCTCGAGATCCCCGTACCGCTACAATTCAGCGCGTTGCGATTCCAAGGCTATATCTTACCGCGCCACCACGCCGCGTTGATGAAGTGGTGCGATACCAGCGAGTTCCCACTCGACACGGCATATTTCACATACGCCATCAAACGCGTTTTCGATCTCTGGAAGATGCGCGAAACCAAGAGCACTTCAGACCAGTTCATTCGTAGTCTGACCTCCGAAGCCGAAATCGGGAGGAATTTCGATATCGTGCTTGATACTTGCGACATCTACTGGAGCTCGCACGAGTACCGCGTGTTGAACCTCGGGGTGCAAGATCAAGGAACGAGGTTGGTTCTGCATAAGTTCCTGCTAAGCACTTCAGATATGTTTGTTGAGGAGCTGTTTGAAGTCGCAAAGTATTACCCGGATCGCGCACTCGCTTGTTGGACTGAGTCGCGGAGAATTGTGGAGAAGACTGTCGAGTATCTCAACTGTGGGGACAGCGGGTATAGCTTTGATTCGGCGCAGAGGGACCAAGCTATTCTTCAGCGTAGGTATTTGGAGGAGAGGGATCAGGTGCGTTCGCCTCTGGGGAACATGGCGGCTGAGATGTATCATCTGGCTCTTATGCTTTTGGAGAGGCAGGGGCATTTGGCGCAGATATGGTGTAAAACGCCTTTTTGAGCGCGGAGTGTTGGACTCTGAGATGATGGCATCTTCTGATCATCTAATAACATTCTTGAATTTGACTCTAAATTGGATGCCCGAGCTGATTCTTCTTGTAATGAACAAAGGATGTTGTAGATGATGTGGAGGTATCTGGTAGTAGACAATAAGGAAGATAGTGATCCGTCTACATGACAAAAGTTCCCGGGGCACTGACTAAAACGCCTTTCGGAGGAGAATTGCAAGCAGCACTTTGTCCACAGTCTTCTCACCTTAGACACGCAAGTTAGATCGCAAGGGGAGAGTCTTTCTCAATGGCTGTTCTATCAGCGTCCCTAGCATCCAGCACTGACTTCTCGAAAGTGTGATACACCATACTTACATGTCTTTACAAACACAATGTCTAGTTCAAATTGAAATGCGAAGGATACATGCAACACAAACATGGCATACTTACCGCCAGGAACTGAGTGCAACAACCCCTCCCCACCCCCTTCCCAATCCTCATACCTCCAACCCCGAGTCGTGATCCATTCCTCCCCCCGACCCCTACCAACCCTCCTGCATCCCCTCCCACTCCAACAAAACAGCATGCCCAAAAACCAAGAAAAAAAAAAGAGAGAAAAACCCTCTATCGCACGACACCCATCTCTAAGCCCGTTCATACCAGTAAACCATGATGTCCCTACACCACAACACCCACCACCAACGACCACAACTCCGCTGCATGTATCTCTACCACATATCCCCCTTCTATCTGAAGCACACAACACCCCATACATATACCACCCCCTCCCCCCAACCCGAACAGTAAAAAAATAATTCCTATTCAAGAAACTTCCTCCTAGCCCCATCTGCAGCTACACAGTCCGCTCCGCTACCATCCCACCCCACTAATCCCGTACCAACCAACCCCCGTGCTTCTTCGTCCTGCATACACATAAAACAGCTCCCCATCCATCTAATCCCACTTCACATTGAGAGTAGATGGAATGGGTAGGTGGGCGTGGCATGGCGAGCGCCCACACGCCTGAAGGGGATGTCCGCGCACTTGTTGCATGTTTCATGCTCCGCGCCTAATCCCTGTCAGCTTTGCTTTTGCGCATGGGGCACCGCACTCCGCGGGCGGAACTTTTTTTTTTTTCTTTTTTTTTTCGGAATAGGGGGGCGGGCGGGTGGATGCTTGATTTGTGTTGGCGTGGTGGGTAAGCGAGGCTTGATTGATGGGGGGTAGTGCTTAGGGAAGACGTTTTTTGCCTGCTGAGTTCTCAAAGATTGATGGAAGGAAAAGTCGAAGCGAAAGCACAAAAAAGATGAGTTTGAAATTTGGGAGGAGGCAAAGAGTTTTTTTTGATCACGTTAGAAAGGTTGTTATTGTTTCTATCGTTCAGACTAATTACTCCAAATAGTCTGTTCCCGCCGGCGGCCAAACGGCAACCACGTTTTTTCTTTCTCTTTGTTGCCCAGTACGCCTAGTACCGTGATTAACCATGTACCGGTTATATCGATTGCTCCAAAGAAAATCAAAGAAAATAACAAAGTAGTGGTGTGGTTGCCGTTGCCCACCCACTCAAACCCCCCCATAATTCCAAAGAAAAGAGAACAGAAGAAATTCCAGAACCGTAGTGTAGTTGTTACGAGCGCCCCCAAAAGCCAAACATGAAGTCGCCGTTTCAGTGAAAAGAAGAAGAATGAAAAAGCAATAGCAACGCGAGTCTATATTGCACATCCCCTAATCTAATATCCTCCCCACGCGTGCTTGCTGCTTCTCATCTCAGCACACTCCCTCGACATGGGCCGCCTCTTTTACAATGGAATCATTGATCGGCAGTCGACCATGCTGCGAGGGGTCGTTCAGACTTCGGTGATGGCAACGAGGGTCATCTTGGGGGTCTCCTCGTCGTCAACGACCTCTGAACGCTTGGCCTTTTCACCAGCACCGGCGGCGGCGGAGTTGGCGGGAACGTTGATACCGGGGTTGACAACGATACCAACACCGGCGCCCTCAGAGCCCATCTCGATCTTGGGCTGGTCCTTCATGGCCTCACGGGCGTAGGAAAGGGCGGCGTTGAAGCCAGCAAGATCACGCTTGATCCAGTGCATGGCGTCTTCGTAGGCGGCGAGCTTCTCGGCTTCGGGGGTGGGGCTGCGCTTGAAAAAGCCCTCGATGGCTCGGCGGACGTTGCCACGTTTCTCTGCTTCTCCTTCAGCGGGGGGTTCTTGAGCTTGCTCCGCTGCGGCCGGTGGGTTCTCGGCCGCTGCGTTTTCTTGTTGAGGCTGACCTGCGGCTGCTCCACCCTGCTGAGCGGCTCCGGATGCGAGCGTGGACATCAAAGTCGATGCTTCTCCTGTGGATCCCAGCGAGATTTCACCATCACCGACTACCAAGGCAGGAGAGTAGGCACCCAAGTTGATGTTAAGGGGCACAGCGCTGACGGCAGCGACGAGGGCAAGGAGGACGGATTGAGGAAGCATCTTGTCGGTTTGTTTTTTGGAGTTATGAATTGATAGATTAGATGTTCTTGGGGGTAGAGTTCCGGGTAGAGTGAAGAAACGAGAACGTGATGTGGAGTAATAAGTTATAAAAGTGATAGTAAGAGCTGATCGCACGGCGATAGTCTGTAGTGGATTATGGTATCGGTGAGAAGTGAAAGTGAGTAACCGGACTGCAGAACCAAAGAACTGTGGGTTCACGAGCATTTTATACGGAATGCATGGTGATGCCCTCGGGTTGCGATCAACACTGTAGCTCCCCGCCAAGCCCTTCCCGCTGTTTGAAGTGAGCTTGAAACTTCTTTGAAGCCGGGCCAAGAGCAGGCAAGGCGAGCGCAACATGGACCGACAAGTCCTTGACCAGGTTGGATCATAGGCGCCAAGACGTGTGTGCTGTGTGAAGCTAGCTCGAAACTTCTGTGATGCCGCGCCAAGGAGACATAAGCCTGTGCGACATGCATGGCACCCCTCTCTTTCTGGAGATATTCAGCGTGCTTTGCCAAGCGCGTAAACCCCATTGAGGTGAACGTCTTGTCACACCTCAACCCCAAGGACCATCCTGCACGGGCTAGATGCAGGTCGGCGCCGTGGTGAAGACGAAATGTTTGTTCTAGTTACTGGGGGCCAGCGTGGCTTGCCGTCTGGTTTAATGAGCAGTTAGCTGCTTCTGTATCAATTCCGTTGCAGCTGACGGTGCTGCGACTCTGAGTCGTCGTCTACGCTGCAATTGAGACAAGTGCAGTCATCGGCAGATTCGTGTAGTGGGGATATTCTATGGAGATGGAGTTGGGACGAACCTCAGGATCGGCTGGCATTGCCCCACCATCCAAAGCCGCCTGTGCATGAAGGCCGAGATTCGTCGTTGCTTTTCCCCCATCGACAATCCATACAAGCAACCCCTAGCCGAGCACGTGAACGCGGTAAGTACTTTCCAAGGCTTTTTAACATGTCTTGGGAGGAGATGGGAGGTGTCTGCATGCAGTAGACAGCAGGTAAGCTTGGCGACGTTTCCCCACAGGCGTTCATCCAGTGGGCTCTGCGGTGGAGGAGTTGGTTCTGGCGGTTGAAGCTTCGCTTGCGCACAGAAGCTTCCGTCGAGACAAACAATGTGAGAGCCAAGCTCTGGGTGGGGATGCTTGATGGCGTACGAATCGTGGGTGATGTATGAGAGTCAGGATCCTTCAGGCATCGCGGTGATGGGGAAAGCTTGGCGCGCCGCATTATAGTCGTTCTAGCCTGGCTTCTCACAGAGATGCAACAAGCTCATCCAAGACTTGCCAGGGGCCGCTTGTGAAGATAGGCACCTATGTAACAGCGGCATCGGTGACAGGTCTGGGCTGCCCCTAGGTGGAGCGGTTGCACGCTGTGAACCGATGACGCGGACGTGAGAGAACGGGTGCTGGCGAGTGTGGCTGCGCCTTCTTGCCGTTACACTTGGTAGAGTCTGGGCATGTCTGCAGATACTCGAACAAGACTTGCTCTCAGACGGAATGGAATCCAAGTCGCGCTGTGGGAGGGAGCTGGTGGTGGTGATGGGTCTTCGTCGGTGCAAGGTTGGGCCGCTCCGCTCTCGAGTCTTGGCGGTCACAAGCAGCCTGAGGCAAGTCTTCGCGGTGATATGCCGTTTCAAAAGACACTGTCACCTTTCTGCTACACCCCAATATTGATCACGTCGATCATTTGATCCAATTGGTACGCACGTCCGTCGCTCCAGGCCCTGGGACTGATAAGGAAGCGCGCCCGTGCAAGTGCTCTTCAACCTCCTGGAGGTCCACGCGCTGCCTGATGGTGGAGAAAGACTCAGGCACGAAAAAGCACAGTCGGGGATTGCGCCCCGCAAAGCACCCCTATCCTTTCCCCTCTCAGGATCCACCGATGCAGTGCACGTAGGATGTTGCGTGCGAATGATGGAAGATCTCAACGTCCAAGAGATGTATCCAACATCCAAGAGATATAGTCTATACCCAAGAGATGCATCTGATACCTGAGCGATATTAATCGATCTCCAAGAGTCGCACACATGGCGCTAATCATTTCTCGTCGGAAGTTTGCCAATACTACTTCGCTTCAAAACTCTGGCGAAAACAAGAGAACGCGGATTCAGGGATGATTTGGGCAGCTCGATTTCGCCTCCTTTCAATAATTGATTCGACTGCCCAAGTTCTCCCTGATCAATACAGCACATACCTCCCCCCTCCCCCGCCACATCTCTTCATGCACCTCTCGCCTCTCAATGCAGCAAAGCAAGACACGGCCCGGGGCTCTCGCTGGAAACACCCGAGAATCCTACTCGCGAAGCTGCTGACAGAAGTGGATGAACGACAACCGCCAATTCCATTTGCCTGAAGATCCTTGACTCCGCTCTCCGCCTGTTCCGCTCTTCTGCGACTTTGACAGTCTGACAGTCACCAGGAATCAGCGATCAACGGCAGGTGGCAATGGAAACCTGACATCCCTGCTCACCATTTATTGCTTACATTTTCCAAGAGTATATAAGCTTCGTTATATCTCGACGCCCGCCATGGAACTGCTCACCAAGTTATGCAGTACCGATGCGGGTGTTGCCAAGTCCGAATGATAGTACCCGAGAAACAGTGCGGCGCTTTGTTGGTGTTTGGCGGATGCAGGAATGCTGATCATACACTTCCTGAGATCTCCAGGCAGCAGATTTGTCATTTGTTTGTCTCAGGCCACAGGAGGCGAAAAACATACGGACAATGCATGTGCGCTCTCACTGCATGCTCCCGCAGACTTTGCATTCATCCCGAGCTACATTCAAGTCTCTGGCTGCACCGCGTATTCGCGCGGAAACAGCCAACATGTTTGATTCTAATCCCGTTCAACCCAGTCCGCGGTTTTGCGCAGGTCTATTCGTGTGTTTTGTGAAAGTGCGGCCTCGTGGCTCTCGTAATACGCCTTGTGAATATCGCTGCATCGTTTTCTTTCTATGATACACATGAGATGATTAGAATCTTCCTCTGATATATTTTTCATTGGAAGTTGAAGTGTTTCCTACACTCCAAGGGCTGATAAAACTCCGATATGCAGTGCTACGCAGACATGCGCACTACTCGTATACATCAGAGTTCCCCTCACCACAAGGCTACGCCATGTATGCTAGAGATCTTGCGTGCGCTCAGCCTCTCAACAGCTATCATCTTCGTGACTTACTGATGGCAAGATGATTATTCTTGCTCTCATTCTCTGCGCATAACTGTCCACAAGGCAAACTTTTGTGTGACAATGACATGCCATTGGTGACCCGTGATCCAAGCTGATGGACGCTCAACGGATCACGATAATCCATATGTAACTCAATCCACAGACTTCAACAAAGCTTCGTAGTCTACCCATATATGATTGAATCAATTTATATTGCAATTGGACTGATTGATAGTCGCATCGAACCGGGTGCGGGGTTGTTGAATGACCGGTATGGTGGGGGTGGAATGAGAGTAGAAAACATCTCTTCCTGTGAGATATCTCGCACACTTGCTGATTTTAATTTAAAAAGTGATTATATAGAGTTTTTCGACCCTGAGAAACATCATGTGTGATCTTGAACACTTATTACTGATGTGTGGTGGTGTGGGAATTATTTTGACAGTTTAACACATAAGTAAAATGTGAGAAAATATATCATGCTCGAGAAATTAATATGCAAGTTTTTGGGAACAACATCTTTATCAAACAGGCTGTGATTTGTGAGATCAATGCCAAAGTTTTTTTTCTTTCTACAAACAGTACGAGGTCGAATGGAAAAGAAAAGACGACGTAAAGATTGAGTTAGTCTTAGGTATACGCTGGTTGAAGCAAGCAGATTCTGTCGCCAATACTAGATGCCACATCCAACATCCAACTTCAAGGCATGCAACTACACAGAAGTAGAATCGTTCAATTCTTTCATAAAAACCGCATCCAAACATAACTCATGACGGAAAAAGAAGGCGTATACTACATTTGTGTCTTTATCAATTACTGAGCTCCAAGTCATGAGGTTATACAGCCATTCAAATCGACCCACAGCATCCATCCACTAGCCACTCAAACCCTCCCAACCCACAAACCGCACCACCCCTTCATACCCAAACATCCTATCGACTGAATCCCGCGCTATCAGCCCTACATCCCAGCATCAAAACCCCCGATTCATAAACCTAAAACCTCGGTAAAAATCTCATCAAAGCCTTCTGATTGGTCCGGTTCGATAGTGTAGCTGGTTTATCACGCAAGTCTAACAGTCCTCTACTGTTGAGTACACTTGAGGTCCCAGGTTCGAGCCCTGGTCGAATCACACAATCTGCTTTCTTTTTTTGTGTTCCTGCTACAATGTGGTTTTGACCGGCATCGTGAGGAATTTCTTTTTTTGGTGTTGATGGGGAGATGGAGGGCGCTATGGACTGGCGGGGTTTAGTGCTTCGGTAAGGATGTGCTGGGCTGCGGAAGGATTTGTGGTGGGGGTTCTTTTTTTGTTAGCGGAGGGGTAGATGTATGCAGCAGGCTTCGTCACATTTATTCAGGAAGTGAAGGGGTTAAGGACTGTATGATTGGGTATGCCACGCAGTTAGATGGCGTCTACGTTTTTTTTTGAGACTGTGCGGATGATTGATTTGATGTGTGTTACTTCTTTCGCGCCTGGTCTGCTCTGAAGTATGAGCGGCGGGGTCAATGATGGTGGATCGACTCATCGTTCCGTCTCTCTCTGTAATTTTTAGATTTTGCTTTTGAGAGGATTGACAACGCGAAGGATACATTGCTGTTTACTTTCAGGAGCTTCACAGCGATGGCGAAAAGTAGAGAAAGGGGCTTCTTTAGTTTTGATTGGGTACGGGCTCGGCTTTTGACACTGAGTGTGGTAATAGTGGGGTAACTATGTAGATGTTCTCCACGCGTCATGCAAAAGAAGCATGGCTTGGGGGCAAGGGCAGCTCTGTTGGAATGATATATATTGATAAAGAATGCTCGATTTTCATATCAACATCGCTCAGATGGTGAAATGGTATCACACCACGTTGTGGAGATGATCGTTGAAACAAATACGATCACCGAACCCGTGGCATTGAGAGTTCGATTCTCTCTCTGGGCAATCAATTAGTTTGAGTTGCAACTCATTTGCAAGGTTACTTTTTGCCAATTCGAAGTCACGAGCGCCAATAGCCTACCTTACACACCCAGAGGCACTAATCTGTAGTCCTATATAGGCTATGATTTATTTTTAATCTCTCTGCATACTGTGACGCTATCGGCGACGTCGAGTCGAGCTTCTCTTAAAATGCAAAAAAAATAAAAAATAAAAAAAAATGCATGGAATGATGACAGATCTATTGGGTCTTCACTATCATTCTATTGTGAACTTCGAAGGCATGCGGGCGTAATAATTCCATGCATCCAGGAATTGTTCGCACTATCCTAATTCTATATGAGAAAACAAAAAGGAGTAAAATGACGAGAGCTTCTCCTGAAGCACATAATCGCAAGAACAAGGGATCTAGTTGTGCAGTCGTGGAGTAACAAATTGCTAATTATATAGACAAAGCCGAACAGATGTCTTAGATGAATACATATGCTTACTCTTCGCACAATTGTCTACGCGAAAAAACCATGGCAGACAATACTGTACAGGCCAAAGATACGATCAACATCTATTTCCCTTGTTCGTTCGTACTGCCGTACAACGACATCATCGTCAGCCCATCTTGCCAAGTACTAGTAGGGACCAGACTTACATTCAACCTAAGTTCCCAGCAGCACATCAAACATGAATGACGCGCGTCTCTATATCTTAGTAATCTTGCTTGGTTCCCTCGATACACCGATTTCTCAACCGCATCAGCCGCACAGCGCGTGCCAAGTCACATCACTTCACCAAGGCGAAAGCAAAAGGACCTAATCATCAACAAAAGTTCATTCATACGGGCTATCGTACACGCTAAATCCATCATCCCGTTTTTCCAAACCAGAAGTCTAAGGTTTTTTCTTCTTTGTCTCAGCTATCATCCATCGTGTTCGAGTTCATGACCGAGGACGAAGAGGGAGCTGTGGTAGAGGGATCGTAAAGTCGTGATCAAGCTGTTTAGTTGTCGTTGTTGGCGTTTTGGTTGTTGTTCTGGTTGTTCTGCTGCTGTTGAGCTGCTCCTTGGTTGTTGGCCGCAGCGTTTCCGTTTCCGTTGCCGTTGCCAGCGTTTTGTGCGGCTCCTTGGTTGTTGGCGGCAGCATTTCCATTGGCATTGGCAGCATTACCATTAGCATTCGCAGCATTGCCGTTACCAGCATTCTGGGCAGCTCCTTGGTTGTTGGCGGCAGCATTTCCGTTGGCGTTCGCAGCGTTACCGTTTCCGTTGCCAGCGTTCTGTGCGTTCTGGGCAGCTCCTTGGTTGTTGGCGGCAGCATTTCCATTTCCATTGGCATTGGCAGCATTGCCGTTACCAGCGTTCTGTGCGGCTCCCTGGTTGTTGGCAGCAGCATTTCCGTTGGCGTTTGCAGCGTTACCATTGGCGTTCGCAGCATTACCGTTGCCAGCGTTCTGTGCGGCTCCTTGGTTGTTTTGTGCGGCATTGTCGTTTCCATTGGCATCTGCATTTCCAGCTGCGGCGTTCTCGTTTCCATTCGCACCAGCATTGGCACCAGCATCTGCATTCCCAGCATCAGCGGCTGCATTTCCAGCATTCGCATCTGCACCAGCATTTGCGTCAGCGCCAGCGTCAGCGTTTCCAGCATTTCCAGCGTTCGCATCCGCATTGGCGTTGGCGCCGGCATTCGCGGCGGCTCCTTGACCGGCACCGGCACCGTCACATTGAGCTATTCATCTCGTCAGACTTGGATCAAAACAGTGTATAATCCTTACTCACTCTTCTGAGCCGCACACTCATCCACGCTCAACGCTGCGTCGCCGCCGTTTGCTGCGTTCGCGCAGGCGTTAAATTGTTGATCGCAGCTTCTCTGTGTTGCTGCTCCGATGGCAGCAAATGTAGCACCGCCGACCGAGAATGGGCGGTCGGCGTCACCGGTTTCGAGGATGGGAGTTGCCTCGAAGCCACCGAGGGCACCAGTGAAAGACTGGACGTTGTTCTGACGACGAACGTGCCTGAGAGAGACAGGGGCTGCAAAGGCAGCGGTAAAGAGAGTGGGAAGAATAAGAGTGGTCTTCATCTTGTTGGTGTGTTGTGGGTAAGGATAGTGTTAAACTGGATATGAACAAAAGGTGAAAGTGGATAAAAGACAAAGAAGTGAGTGACCAGACTCAGAAAGAATGCAAAACTACCAGAGTATGTACGAAGCTGTGTTGTGTATGGCGAACAAGTCAAGTGCTTGATGCCCTTCTCACCATGTGGAAGACGCGATACTTATACAACATAGCGACGCGTACGTACATGTCGATCTATTCCCCATCAACCGCGGAGGGTTCTCATCTGTCGAATTCTGACGTGCTTGTCAGGCGTAGCCTGAGACAACACGGATGATGCCTGGCGCATGTTCGCGCTTGGCTCGTACCGTCTTTTCTTCTAGAACCGACTGGCTGGAGTACATAAGCTTTGGTTGACGTGAAGTTTAAACTTAGCCAGACGAATGACATACAGCGCGTATGATTTTAGGTGGAGCGACGGAATAACCACCCTGCGTATATGTTTGAGAGCGGATTCAAGTATTGAGCAATGCTTCGTGTGAGTCCAGGTTTCTGGTTTCGGGGAGCGCGCGCCTCGAGTTCATCGAGTCAAGATCTCAGCATCGAGATACTCGACTTCGAAGATTATGTGCTCTCGGGTGACAATATTTCGAGTTATTCAGAGACTCGAGAGCGAAAATCGCGATTGGGCGACGTGAATTGGTGTTGAAGGGATTCACGGAATGACCCACGAGCTGCCGTTCGTGTTCGGCAATCCCATCATCCCTGCCAGCGATCACGCACAATCTGAAGCACAAGGCGCAGAGAAAAGTGCCGCAGCCCCATGACATTGAACCAGCGACCCAATGAAGAGCCGTTGCGTAACGCATTCTCTCTTGCCCATTGTCGATTTTACTTTATTCAATGGGCTGGACGGGCCGCATGAGGGGAGAAACGCGCTCCGAGGAAGTTGCTTGCTCGCGCAGTGTGCTGGGCAAACGGAACGCGAAACGTCCAAGTCAACCGCATTGTGTATCGGATGAGAGTACAGGTAAATGATCCAGAAGATCAGTTGAATGCGCTTAGAGAAATGAAGAGCAATGCAGTGTCAGTCAATCAGCGACGGTGATGCATACACGTGAGCATCATGTCCATTGTCGGTCTTACGCATCAATCGCGCGTGTTATGCAAGATGCGACAGCATACAAAGGTAATTTCACTCTTTTACGTCATAAGCAGGTCGACACGCGTAGACTGTGAAGTTGATAGTAGAATAAAGATTCATCAGATCTGTAAGTGGGGATGACTTGTCAATGTTTGGGTGACAAATTCAAGCCTGCAATAGAACCATCTATCGACGAGCCATGTCGATGCATCATTTGCCTTCTAGAAGCAATTTCGGTGGACGACACCGTTGACAGCCTTACATATGTTGGCGGACCAAGATCTGATAGCATAGCCTTGTTAGGGTCCACTTAGCCCTCCACAGGCGTAGCTGTTAGTCGCTGATATAATAGTCCGCCCCGCGTACATTCTACACGAACGTGCTCTTGATGCCCCCGGGAAATCTCCGACCTGAACCCACTTGCTATGATCATGCAAAACTGCAAATGATGCGCACTCAAGTCCGCCTTATTGAATACCCGAGAACATCATTACAACGCGTCTAACGAGAGAATCATTAGGAGTCTGACGGAAATCAGTAAGAACTCCGGTTTTGCAGCCACCCCTCTGCAAGAGTAATCCTGTTTCTGTTCGTCACCGGCCAGGTTCTTGATCACACCGTAGTCACGCTCTAACAAAGCATATCCGCAGAATTGGCGTAGCTAGATTAGTATCGAACGTCTTTAATCCAAATGGCTGCCACACATGAATCACACGAGTTCCTCATCGGCATTGCATTTCCAACGCTATAAATATATCCATAGTGAGGCAAGGACAGTTGGCCGTAGGATGACGCGATCGACTTGGAAGGTAGACCCATACGTGAGGTGCAAATCCTACAGTACGCGCTTTATCCTATTTGCGTATGAGTAGTAAGATGGACACAAGTAAGGAAACCGTTGATCTAATGTATATTTTCCCGTCCCGAACATGAGTATCGGTCTTGCCTGTTCGTCTACTAATATGATCAGAAGAATTATGAAAGAAAAACAACGCATCATCACTGTCTTTCCTCTTTCCACAAAGACACTCGTGGCAATATGTGGGGGGAAAAGGAAGCAGAGTGCAGAAGCCAACATACCTACCTAGGTATGTATTTATCAAGTGCTACACACTAATGGCTGTTTCATTCAAGATGCTTGAAACGCCAATAGCTTACCCAAAAGCATCAAATGCTTTTGTTCCATTATAAGATTTGGAGTTTTTCGTTGTCTTGATGACTGATTAGGTCATGGCGAAGTCACGAGATTGGTAGGCGCATTTACCAGAAGTCGCTAATATTTGATCGCAAACTCAACTCCGACTAGGATGCTTGGCCGTTGATTGGCCCAATACAAGTAAGTTAGGAGCCATCCTGCGAGATGTTGCCCAATCCGGTTATAGCTTACTACAAATTTCCGCTTACTACAATTGTCATCTTACTACAGCTTCTAGCTCGCCCCGGTGGCTGCGACTGGCCTCCTTTGGTCAGTTCGTGCTATTCACGTCAGGGCGCGCTGACAGAGCATTTCGGGCGTCGAACAATTGCCCTGTTGCCCTGCGCTCATCTCACTCCTTGGTATTCTTGTGTGTTGGGTTGACTGTCTTCCGTTGATCTCGCTCGTTCGCTACTGCTTATGGGGTGCCCCCAATAATAACCGACGATCAATCACGCCTATTACAGTCATTGCAACAGGGAGGGGTGATTCCATTAGGAAATTCTTGAAAATTCTCATAATGCCATTGATAAGCATACAAAATCGGCTTATGTTACTACATCTACCTTAATTTTGATCTTAGTAACGGGTCGCAGCATATTCCTAGGAACAGTACTCTCTTCTGCAAGTGGGCTTGCACGGAAGATACTACACATAAGATCTTCGATTTCCAATTGAATCATTTTGAAATCCAAGATATGGCCCTGATTATGACCGGCGGTATCATCTTGATCTGGTACAAGAAGAGAATGCAGCGGTCCACCCACCACAGGACGCTGGCTCGGACCGGAATTAGAGTTGCTCATCTCGAAATTCGCTATAGTCACATCCTGCTGGTTGAAAAACTTTGACTCAGCCACAGAAACTAGTATACCACCGATCATACCGGCATATGTTAATAGGACGTCGGGCGTAGCAACACGGACATCGGTTCACTGTGGGTACCTACTCGAACATCAACCGAAGTCCTCATCGTGCTATTTTGAGAGGATAGGATAAGCATTGAAGAAGGTATTTACCTAATCCAGTGCTGATGTTAGAGCAAAGCCTTTCAAATGTGCATATATCAGCGTTGCTCTCTGAGAAATCCTTCTATGAGACAACTATCTTCGCTTGTTTCACTGCTCTTTGTTCCAAACCCCTTACTACTAGGTCCTCCGCTGCAGACCATTCCATTTCGTCTTCTCCCTTCTTCGCAAGTTACTAAATTATTTTTCTTTCACTTCATCGGCTTGTTCTTTCTCGGTTTAATCTACCATCAGCAAGTCCTCCAGATGTTGAGGTAGTCGCCTCCCCACTAGTCTGTCAGAACCTTCAACCTCCTTCCTCGCGTCAGCTTTGCCTTCCACAAGCCAGTCCTCCTATCAATCGGTTCATCTATCAGTCAGCCTTCCTAGTGGTACCTTCATCGTCGTCTTGCATATATTGCCAAATAATCGCCAACGCCTTCGAAGTATCGTCTTTCCCGTTCTTTTGTCTCTAGGCTCATCGCCATCATGCTGCTTCGCCAGCTGCACCTCTCAAACGTCACCCTCTTGTGCATTCCTTTCATACTTACTATTTGCGTTTTTTTCGCCTATTTTCATGATGGTCTCTACCATGTGCCACCCTCCCCATCACCACATGCGCTCTCTTCCACTGCCATTACACAAACTACCTCAACTCCGGCTCTAGGTTCCGCTTCAATCCAGGGTGAGATTGAGGAAGCTCGACTTAAAGCCTCAAACCCTCAGCCATTATCACAGAATGTCTTTCCCGGAACCGATTTCCTACCCTCTCGTCCAATTGATCCGTTGTGCGAAAACGGTCCTGACGTCTCTCGCATTTTGCTAATCATCAAGACCGGCGCGAGTGAAACATACGATCGCCTCCCAACACAGTTCATGAGCATGACGAGATGTCTGTCTGACTTCCTCGTCTTCTCCGACATGGAAGAGACGGTGATGGGTTACCGCGTGCAGGACATTCTCGGCGAAACAATTGACGAGGTCAGGATGGAGAATGGCGATTTCGATCTGTGGCGGCGCCAGCGCTCTTGCCTTGTCGACCAAAAAAACTGCCAACAGTGGAGCTCCACTGGTGCGGAGGCCTGGAATCTCGATAAATACAAGAATGTCCGTCAGTCTCATTTGTCGTATAAGCTGCGTCCCGACTACGATTGGTATCTTCACATCGACGCCGATACATATGTTCATTGGCCCAATATGGTGCAGATGCTGAAACCCTTCAGCCCTCGAAAAGACTATTTCTTCGGTAGCTTCGAGCCCTCTCAGTACGGCGACTTTAATCATGGCGGAAGTGGCTATATTCTATCCCAGTCAGCTATGAAGAAGTTTCATGAGAAAGCGGACTTGGAACATTATGACAGGCAGGCGCGGGAAATTTGTTGCGGAGATATGCTTATGACCGTAGCTGTCAAGGAGACAATCGATCTCGCCAACACCAACATGGTAAGCTGTTTCCTTGGATAAGTGCTAGTGTAGATAGCTAACGAGGTGTCCAGTTCCCAACCATGAACGGTCGCAAACCTTTCACGCTTCCCTTCGGTCCCCGCCAGTGGTGCCAACCCATTGCTACGCTGCACAAACTCAACAGCGAGGAGGTTGCCAATATCTGGGAGTTCGAGCAGAGTCGCATCGCGAACCACTCAGGTCCAGCCTCGACAGTACCACCACTACTCATCAAAGACTTATACTATGAATACTTCAAACCGAGACTCGTACCCAAGCTCGAAGATTGGGACAACATGAACGACGACTACCTGGACAACGTATGGTACTACTTCAACAGGAAGAGAAAGTCGCGGACTTGGAAGGAAGAAAATGGACAGTACATGGATCATTTACGAAAAGGAGATTTGAGTCCCGAGGAAAGAAGAGCACATAGGAGTTTCGAAGACTGTCGCATCGCCTGCGAAGCCGTTGATGAGTGTCTTCAGTTCCGCTGGCAAGATGATATTTGCGCAATGAGCAAGAACTTCCGTCTTGGGAACCCCAAAAGGATAGAGGACGAGCAGCATATGCGCTGGATGAGCGGCTGGGCCGTGAAGAAGATCAATGACTGGATCAATTCTCAGGAGGAGTGTGTGCCCAAGTTTCCGCAGCCGGACTTGCGCTTACATTCCGAGACGGGAATTGAACTGGATGCGCCGATGAACCTCCACTATCCATCACTTTAACCGCTAGATACATCCCCAGTTCTCTTTTCTTTAGGCGATACGGATGAGACTTCCGCGCCCTTCTTCTTACGACTTCATTGGGCGGACCGGAGTTATTCTTTTTCATGTATATTCTTGGAGCTTCTCTATTTCGTTCTCTGTTCGGTATTGGGTACAGATGTCTCAGCAGACATCAACAGATGTTGGAAGCGTTTCATGTACACCGTGCCGGTTCTTCTCCTTTCATACCCATTAGAAACTTTCGTATGTACCTTTTCTTTCCGACTTACAGCGCGGACTTCTTCAGTATATATAGGGTGTACAATAGACACTAGATGTTACTATCACCAGAGCAATGTCAATGAAATGTATAAGAGCTGAACCAATTCCCATTCTTTCGAAGAGCCGAGTAGAGACGGGACGCAATGCGTCTAGTCAATCTCCTATGGGTCTGTTCTATCAATGTTCGACGATGGGTAAAGTGCTTGGATGGGCTGTTTCAGATTTTCGCTGTGTGTTGCCTGAGTGGGTTCTGCATTTTGTTAGTAAGCAAGTGGCGTACGCCTTGCACTTAAAAGCCCCCTCCTTTCGCCCCGTCCTGCGCCTTTTTTTCCCCTCCACACACATGAGTGTGGACCAAGGAGTCGACTAAAAGACATTTACGCACTGTGAATGAGGAGGGTTCCTCTCCGGATTCCATAGGCCCATGCCTCAGTATGATTTTAGTTTACCAGAGCACGATGGCGATGATGAGAATTATCATCATGAAATGTCTGTACATGAAATGTTTTTTGATGCTTTCGCGATTTTCGCCACGTCAGATCATAAGACCACACGTCGACCTTTGGAAGAGTGTCGAAGATTATGGGCCTTATTCGTCCCTCGACGATGTATGGATTTGGTAAGCAAACTAGTGCTGAACTAATATATAAAGGCCGTCGTCTTTCTAAGATCACAAGTTCTTTTTTAATACACAGATGGATTTGTACTGGAGAAAAGATTTAAGCTAGCAAATAACATGTGGAGATTTTGGTTGGTCTGGTTGGTATCACATGTGTACTTAGGTACACCGTTTCTTGAAGTGTGCGTGGCAACAATGATGATCATCACGGCTCCTATGGATTACATCAAGGCAGTCACTTACATAAGTAAGCACAGCATCGCGGAACAAGCATGCAAAGTATCTTCTCCAATTCCCCGAAATTTTATAATCCTGCAAGTATGAATTTCTAAAGGCAACGCCTCCAGCTTCTCATGTGGAAGAACGCTTCTGACTAGCTGGCATCCCATGTAAGGAGCATTTTTGACGAAATAAATGCTGATGATGACGCTCATAGTGGCAATCACTCGCTTCAGTAGAGCCGACTAGTGCAAGATATGATATATAAAATCCCCATTCTCCCCAGAACTCTGATTCTTTCCTCTTTACGCAGATGAAATATGCGACGGGAAGGTACTAAAAAGACCATACATCCAAAACATGTGGGATTGTTAGCCTGCTTGACTAGTAAGCAGCATATATTTGCCGATTTGACAGATACAACGCGATAATGATAGTCACTATTAATTAGACGCATATCTCGTGTTAATAAGCAGCCTAGCGTGAGAAGCAACATATAAAAGCCTGTCCCTTCTCCCTTCTCTTCTTCTGCATTTCCACGCAGATTAGAAGGGAATAGCATAGGAAAGCTTCAAAAAGGGTTCATACGCTAATTTCATGTGGGTGGGGAGTGAGTGTTTTCTGTCACTGTGTACATGATTGGGCTTTGAAATCAAGCGATGAGAACGATGATGATGATGGTGATTGAAAAAAAGAGATAATTCATCTGAGGTAGCTATGTTAACGGCGGTGAGGTCCCGCTAGAGCACGAACGCAGCATGCAAAGGCTCTTTCATCTTGAAGATTTGGCTTCTCTATCCTTTCTTACGCATTCTTATGATAACGATGCTGGTAATTATTATTCAAGCGCTACCGTAGGACGTACTATTTATAAGGCTTCTCTCTTCGCGATCCTCTTCCACGTTTCTCTCCATCACCACCCACGGGGGAATCAGATTGATAGCGATCAGTAGACCATATGGGACGCATTTATGCTGAGGAGAAGTCTGTGGTACTGCTAAGCACGTACATGGGCGAGTGCTTCTAGTAGAGAAAGAAGGCGATGATAATGATGAGTAATGCTTGCAAGAGACTAGTGCTAGCGGGTCTAGAGCAAGTATAAATATCTTCCCTTTACGTGAGTTTCAATAGTCTTTTCTTACTCTACCCAAGCACCTAAGGGTAGGCGTAGTAGAGAGAGAGGTATTCAACAGGGAGACAATCGACTTTGATATGGAGGGGATGTGGGTAGCTTTATGAAAGCCCGCATACATCATTTAGGGAATTGCATCGGTGATGATGATGGTGATGGTGAGAAAACGGGACAGCGCTAGCGTGCAACACATCATACATCAATTTCTCCCGGTTCTGGCACTTTCCTTTTCTCTTTTCCCTATATTTATGGGTGGGTTTAGCTAATCAAGAAGATTGAAAAAATTTCAGACAAGAAAAACCATATGAAGGAAAGGTGTTCGATTTTACACAAGTTCGCATGCAAGAATTCTCTCTAAGGAATACCGGAAGTGATGATGACGGGCAGCATCCTGAGGCGTTAGGGCACAGTATAAAAGCCCTCTCTTCTTCTATCATTCTCTGCACATTTATTAATAGTAGTTCCAATAGCAGACTGTAGGAGGCGGATTTCTGCTACGTCGCAAAATGTCCGAGCTTTTTCCGTGCTACTTGATGTGGTCGTGATGGGTCACCCAAGTCATTGCATTTCTTTAAACTCATCTGATATTGTAATGACGATATTCTAGAATGCAGGTGATTTCGTTGATAATGAAGCCCTTCATTAGACTAATAGCCGTGGGAGCGGCCACCGTGCAGGATCAGCCATGTCTTGTTGCACCCGCCGTCGGCAACTTGTATCCGCAAGACAGAAGGCGGACAGTGGCTGGATATAACCGGCTGAACTGCATTCAGGTTACATTTCCACAATCACAATTTACCATGCCTAGACAAAACGAACAAATGCAGACGTACTGTTCTGCCATGTCAACTGAGCTCTTGCTTGGCACAGTTGGTCATCACCCACGTTGTACACCGCCAGCGTAAATAAGTCTTAGCATTTCTTATTAGCGGATCTAAACAGGCACATGGATCATATTTGCAGGAAGCGTGGCGTGGATGGCTCAATTTCAGCGCGCTGGATCAGCTCTTGGCATCCCCTCCTATAATCATCATTCAGCATCAGCCTCAACTCTCGTTAGCATTGGCACCGAAGCGAGCTATCATCAACCCCAAAAAGATTGTATCGTGTGAATGAGTCGAAATGATGATAGTCGCGAGGACGAGAAGAATACGTCTTGGAAAAACTATATAAGAGCACATCGAGACCGCAACTATTGTATTCCACCACACAAGCCATCGCAGCATCCGCTCACTACTCAACACAATCTTGACAAAAACCTTCAACCCGCAACAATGCAGTTCTTCATCCAATCCACTCTCCTCGCGGCCATGTTCGCCACCGCAACACTCGCTCAGCCCACTGGATCCGACAGCGTCAGTGCAGCCGCCTCCGACCTCATCACCGTCTGCAAAGACACCAACTTCAATAACTGCAAGAACTTCAGCGGCGAGGTCAATAAATGCTGTAAGTCCGCCACTCCTGAATATCCTAGCATCATCTAGCATGTCGAAAACATAGACTAATTTTCGGGGTGATGTGCAGACGATCTTCCTTCTGAATGGAACGATGTTGCCTCTTCTGTCCGTGCTTGGCCCGGCCGCTGGTGCTATATTTACAAGTAAGTTGGACTTTGATGGGTGGGCTGTTGTGCATGGCTGAGAATTTCGTAGGGATTTCGCGTGCGGTGGGTTCAGGGGCGGACCCATCCAGGACGATAATGCGCACAGTGACCTCGGACGAACTGGATGGAGCGATTGGACCAGCTCTTATATGTGCTTCAACAAATAGGAGACTTTATCCATCGATGAAGGGATGGATTCTAGATAGACCATCAGCATCATTAGATTGACATTTGGGGGCGTGAAGGTTGTTGAGAGTGACAGGTTGCAAGACGTTGCTTCCCGGCGGTCGGCTTTCCTTAGTTCTTTTTTCTTGCTTTTATAGATCACAGTCTTTACCGATTTCAGTAATTCTGGCCAGACTACCATATAAAATAGACTTGCTGTTTTGCAGAGATTCGTTCCGAAAGGAGGTGTATCATGCAGCGCTACGTGAAATATGGGTGCGACTCCGTAGGATTTCCATCTAGTAGATCTGGAATATGCCTCTGTAGGCAAAATATACGAAACCGCCACTCATATTTCAGCCTAACTATCTGAAAATCGACTCATTCGATGCAGCTCATAGAATCGAGGTGCCTATGAGATTATATTGAAGAAAGAAAAATTTAGCAGCAACCTGCAAACGTGGAGTTTATACGTGCAACAGCCTAGAAGTACACAGCGGAGTTAATACCGTTCTACAGTGGAAATTGTAATGGATGTGGATTGGATAGACTGTACATGTAGAAGTTGTCGTTTTAAAAATCGCACATCTGTCTGTCCTCATGTACGCGAGTGATTTTATTCCACAGAGAAGGAGATAGACAACGGTAGTGATGATGCTAAGTACTATTTGCATTACTAATCCAGTGTAACTAATCAAGTATATAAATCCCCGCTCTTTCCTTGTTTCCTTCTTTCTTTCCTCTCTACACAGCGCACATCTGTGTTGTAAGGGAACTCTAAACTCAACCGGATCCAATTTGCATGGGGAGGAGAAGGAGAGGTTCGGGCCCTAGAATAATAGCCTAACACATGTGTTTAGTATTAAATCGTTTTTTGAAACAGACAACCGCGATAATGATAATAATAAGCCTTACTATCATTTTAGTCACCAACTAGTGTAGTGCTATGAGAACTATATAAACCCTCTTCTTTCCTTGTTTCTTCTTCTTTTCTCTCTCTACAACGTATATGTACGTTCTTAAAGGAGGTTTCTAAACCAAATGAGCAAAAAGTTCATGGGGAGGAGGAAGAGGAGGAATAGTCTAGTATACCCTCTACTATTTAAGCACGCATACATGCGATCCTAATTTTTTTAATACCAATTAATTGTGATGATAATGCTAAGCAGTAACTACTTACTTACACTAGCGCAGAAATGAAGTATATAAACCCCTTCCTTCTCCAAGATCCCCTTCTTCTTCCTTCTCTTTACACGGCGTGCGTGTACGTCTTAAGAGAAAGCCAAAGACAACTATTCGCATGTCTCATGGAGAGGAAGAAGAGGAGGAGACATAAAGAAGAAAAAGAGGTAGTAGTTAGCGATGTTAATGACCTACATTAATGTATACGGCGAGCGAAGATTTTGAGAGAAATGACTGCAATGATAATGAAAGTGATAATGATAGTAGGCATTAGTTGCCAAACTCGCGCACAGGCGAAGGCGAAGTATATAAACCCCCTCGCGTCTCTGCAATCTTGAGTTCCGTTTCTTTCTTTTACACACACAATAAGTTGCTGTGCGTTCTAGCTAGGATTCTACAAAGAATAAGAATCCACGCTACTATGTGCAAAAGAAAAGAGACGAAGAGACCAAGATGAATGCTGGGAATCGGCAACGTCCGTCGCCTGAAACATATGTGATACTAAACAATTTTAACAAATAATGGCAACAGTGATAATGGCAATAGTGATGATGAATTTATGTTAGATAAGCAATTTAGCGCGAGATCAACGTCTATAAAAGCGCGACGACTTTGCACTTTTAAACTTCTTTCTTCTCTACACACAGAGTAGATGTGTCTTTTACTAAAGAAATAAAACATGCAAGTTGTGAAATTCGATGGCGGGGAAGAAGGAGGTTGTGGTTTGAAAGTCGTCGCATATTCTAGCAATGAAGAAGGGGTAGATCTGTGTCTTTTCTTCCCGTCTTTACTGTGACATCTTTTGAGAGAATAGATAGCACGATAATGATGATGCTGACTATTTTCCCGAAACGTAGACTAGCGCGAGGAAAATAAAAGTATATAAACCTTCTTAAACCCTTCTTTCTTTCTACACACAGAGTAGATATCCTTTCTACTAGAGTTATAAAACGGATCATTAAAAACATATGGAGAGGGAGGCTGTGGTCTAGATGTATTTATTTCTAAAATTTAACTTTTTAGCTATTAATGTGGGAGGAGTAAGCGTGGAGCTTCTACGTTTATCTGTTTACTAGGGAATAGTTCGCATGATTATCTATATCTAGTTTTGAAAGGGAGTAGAAAGGATAACGGTGATAATGCTGAGCATTAATTCAAAACATAGACTAGCGCGAGGGGGAGCTAAGTATATAAACCCTTCTCTTTTCCTTCTCCCTTTCTTATCTTCTATACACATAGAGGGTGGGTAAGCGTGTCTAAAAGACGAATTCAAAAAGTAGATGTGGAAGTAGTGGGTTTGGGCGTTATGCATCCGTCTGTTCTTATGCGTATACTAGCTCTTTTCTTATTTAGTAGAAGATAGATAGTAATGATGATGATAGTGAGCACTATCTCGTTTCTTTAGTCTATTTATCTTTGCAACACTCGCTATGTGTAGAATTGCCTAAACTCTAACTTAGGATATATTCATGCTGCTAAGCACTATCTACGAACACACTAGCGTGAGCAATAAAGTACATAAACCCCCTTCTTCCTCCTCTCTCTTCTTTTCTTCTTTATGCACACAGAGTGCGTAGGTGTAACTAAAAGATCCTGAGTCAAGAACGTATGGTGTGAAAGTCGTGGTCTTGGGTGGTATACATCCGTTTAACCTTACGCGCGTACGTAGTCTTATTTTGTTTAAAGAAGAGTGTCAATAATGCTGAGCATCATTCACATTAACAGTTACAGGTTAGCGCGAGGGATAAAGTATATAAACCCCCTTCTTTACCTTCTTCTCTCTTGTTTATCTTCTCTATACGCACATAGAGTATATAGGGGTATTTAAGACGTAATGCAAAACCCCTATATGCGGACGCTACGGGCTTCGTTTGTTCTTATGCATATACGTAGGCTTATTTATCTAAAGAGGAGTGTTAATGATGCTGAGCACTATCTACATTAATAATTACAGACTAGAGCAAGAGATGAAGTATATAAACCCCCTCTTCTCTCTTCCTTCTCTCTCTGCTTTACGCACAAAGGGTGCGTGCAGATATCTAAAAAAACAGGCGACTACAACAAATGTGGGAAGCTGTAGAATCCCTGCCTACACTCATGCGCGTACGTAGTCTTATTTTATATTAACAAGAAATTAATAGCACAATAGTAATGCTGAGCACTATCTATATCAACAGTTACAGACTAGCGTAAGTAATGAAGTATATAAACCCCCTTCTTTACCCTCTTCTCTCTCTCTTCTTTACGCAAAAAGGGTGCGTGCAGATATTTAGAAAGCCTAATTGTCCCATTCAATGTGGAGGCAGTGGGGTCCCGCCTGTGTTCATGTACAAAAGAGTTCTTTTCTTATAAAGAAGAGGGACAGAGACGATGATAACGCTCGGCATTAGATGTTTAAAGCAGAATAGCGTAGTGTCTAGGGGATGAGCTTCATGAAGTATATAAACCCCCCTTCTTCCTCTCTTTTCCTTTCTTCTTTCTCTTTTTCTATACGCACAGAGGGTGCGTAGAGAAGTCTAAAAGACAAATGTGAAAAAGATGATGGTGGAGGCTGTGTGTTCCTGTCTGTTCTCACACGCGCACGTGTTCTTATTTTATTTAACAAAAAGAGAGATATAATAATGATGATGATAATGATAACGCTGAGCATTACTCTTCAAAGCTAGACTAGCGTAGAACTCAGGCTCTAGGGAGATGGAAGTATATAAACCCCCTCTTCTTTACCCTCTTCTCTTTCTCTTCTTATCACACAAAAACAGTCAATAAGAATGTCCAGAAAAAAATATGAAGATGCATTACTAAGGAAATCATGTGTTCTCTGTCCGATCCCACACGCGTACACGATATTATTTTATAAGGAAAGGGGATAGACAATGATAATAATAATAATAACAATAATGCTGAAAACAAGCTAATTATGTAAATAAACTAGCGTGGAAGGAGGGGGGGGGGGATGAAGTATAGAAACCCCCCTTCTTCTCCTTCTTCTCTCTCTTTTCTTCTTTTTCTTATACACCTAGAGAGTGTGTAGAGGTGTCTAGAAAAACTGCCAAAAAAACATTGAGATGTGGGAAGTTGTGTGTTCTCTGTCCGCTCTTACATTGCGTACATGTTCTCATTTTGTTTAAAAAGGGGGATAGACAACTATAATCGTGATGACAATAACGATAATGCTGAAAACGAGCCGATTAAGTAAACACACTAGCGCGGGTGAGATGAAGTATATAAACCCCCCTTCTTCTTCCTCCCTTTCCCTCTTCTTTTTTTCTATACACGCACATAATGGCGGGTGTCTGAATCCGATTAAAACTGATGTTATGTGTGGGGGAAGTTGTTCTGGGTCTCGCAAAATCAACGTGTTGAGGAGGTGTTTGCGTATACATGTGTATGAATGTATGTGTGCGCTTTTGATAGGATTACACGCGGTAATAATGATGATGATGATAAGCATGAGGATAAGGGATAGGTAGGAATGTGTGTTAGGTAAGCAGTTTAGCGTGAGGTTGGAAAAGGTATAAAAGGGGGTGTGATTCTGGGGTTGTGAGTTCTTTTTTTCTGTTTTTGTTGTATAGAATGGGTGGGATTGTGTGGGAAGGGTGCTAGAAGTGGATCTATTGGTTCATGATGTGGAAGGAGTGGTTTGGTTCGTGGGTTTGTTTGATGGGGATCACATATTTTGCTGGATTTTGGTGAAGAAGATAAGTGATGACGATGAAGAGTATTATTGCGAATTTCCCGCTTTTGGTAGTGTGTGGATGATGCTAGAGGTGGCCGTGCAATACTGATATATCTCAAATGCGTCATCCTTGACTTTCTTATTGTCAGTTCAAGCCTCTCTTCGAACTGCACGTATCAGTGCTTCACCTTTTGTCGCATACCTCGATTGAGATTACGAGGCAATGCAAGAAGTGAACAGCGGCACCCGCTGAACTAATGCCAGAACAACGAATCGACGGAGCGGGACACGTCATCCTCTCACCCCTCCCAACTGAGCTCATACCCATACACTGTTCTCCGGAGCAATTCATCCTTGGAAATGTTAAACAAGTCATGATATCTGAAACGAAAGGAACTCACACCAGGGTCCTCCTCGAACATGACCTTATCCATGACCTTCTCGAACGTCTTGGTAACGGTGAAACCAGCTTCTCGGGCTAGGTCGAAAAAGGCAAGATCCTTTTCGAGCAGCCAGGGACGGTACGGGGTAAAGAAGACGTAAGCTCGCGAGGTCTGCACCTTCTTCAGAGTAGACTGGACGGTTTTGACCAACTTTGCGTGTTCCGAGTGGTTGAACAGCAGGTCGGCTAGGATCAGCACGTCGAATCCACTTTCTCCAGAGATGTGTCGGGCCAAGGTGTCAGTAGGGGCACCCCACAAGTAACCCTGTCGCAGATTAGCACAAGATTCGCTGCCGAAGTAGCAGATGTCGCACCTCGGATGAAACAGTGTCGCGATTGGGCAGCGCGTCGCAGTGCTGGATGTTGTAGCTCAAGTTGTCCACGAGGTCTGCGTCTGGATAATCCGTCACAACGACTCTCGAGGCGCCTTTGATGGCGCACACCAGACTTGGCAGACCGCCGCCGGCGCCGAGTTCTAGGATGGATTTGTTCTTGACGAGGTCGTGGGCATGTTCTTCAAGGTAGAGGGAGATGGTACGGCCGGCATTCCAGAGAAAGTGGCCCTGCGTGCGAGGACTTAGGAAACCGATAGATGAAGACGCCTCGGGAAACACCTTACCCACAGCGGGTTGTGGCCGACCAATCTGATATTCAGCTCGGTGCCGTCGAGCATCTTGTGAGTAGCAAAAGTGGGCTGCTTTTCAGGCGGGTAGTAATCTGCAGGTTCTTGGAAGAGGTCGAAGCCTCCATCTTCAAGATCGGTGGTCATGGCGGGCGAAACAATCGTCGAAGGGTTTTGGCGGATTGGTTATTAGCCCGAATTCGTGATTCACGATTATTTCGACTATTGGGGGAGTGAAGTTTTGGCACTCGCCCCGCGTCACGTGGATGGTTTACTAGCCACGCGCACTAGCCACTTTGCCACGTGCGTTTCGCCAATGTTTCATGATGATGTAATCAGCCCTGGATCGCGGTTAACGGTGGGACCGATGGGCAGTAGCTTTCATTGAATGGAAAAGTACGAAACCCTTGATTGTCCAGAGATATATGTGAATAATATATCCGTGAAGGCATAGCACTGTACGATGGCTTCAAGATTGCTGGACAGCTGACAGCATGTGCTGGAGGCGTCCCCACATGTTCGCTTCAGGATTCATGCAAACAGAGGCCTGGAGACTTGGACTAGGACAAGCTGCAGGGACTTCGGCTCGGTACGGCATGTGCTTTATACGAAATTGCCATGGTCCTACACAGTTTTTTTCTTCTTACATAGATGGTATGGCCTCGGCTATCGTCCATGTACCTGGACAAGTCCCGGACGACACCACAGCTTGTCTCTTGTACAAGACGGGGGGCCACTAAACAGCGACAGACGCTTCTTTCACATTTCAATAACGCATGCATACATGGCAGACGGCTACTACAGAAGTGTCTGACCATTGCGCTTCTTCGAGGCCTGACGATCACTCTGGCCGCCGTGGAGGCATCCCAGCTGGTCGAGACTTTAGCACGCGCGAACAAAGAAACTAGGCCCGAATAGGAAATGAAACTTGCTCACTCAACCGCATCATGGCTGCCAAAGACTCTCGTCAACCTCGCGCCCTCACTGCCCGTTCCCACCCCCAACCACTTCACAGAGGACCCGTCGCGAAACCCTCCCTGTTCTCCCGACTTGGGCTCGCCAGTTCCCGCCACGGTGCGTGCGCTACGACGCCTCGTCTGCCCTTCACTGGTGGGTGCCGCGACACCAAGGCCACAAACACGAGAGACAACACCAAGAGGATTCCCATCCATACACTGCAGGACCACTCGGCTCTTCTCCCATCTCCAGGACCGTGTCACCTGGGTCTGTCGCCGCCGTCCAGCTCCCAGATTGTCCGCTGCTGCTGCTGTAACCGTCCACTGTCATCCCGCCTACCCCACCCTTCAGCCCGCTCACCCGTCTACACATGTACATGCCATTCCAATTCTGTACCCAGCAAGACTTCTTCTGCATCCAAGCCGACGTTCCAGGCGACCTTCTGCACTCGACATCACGGTACCTTCCCCTAACAATCCTCGACGCCGCCACCCATCCCCGGCTCTCGCCCACCGCGCCTTCCTTCTTCCTGCCTTGAGCCCTCTTGCCGCTGACTGTGCTTCTCTGCTCCTCTTTTCTTTGCCTTTTTCTTCTCCCCCTCTCCCTCTCTCCCTTACCCTCGCCCTCGCCAGCCTGCCACTCGCCATAAACTTGCTCGTTCTTGCGCACTCGCTCCCCCAGCTGTCGTTTCATTCGACCCTGGACCTCACCCCAATCTATCACACATCTTCCCATCTCTCGCCTATTCGATCCGCGCACCCTGCATTCTGCACGCAATTCCATCGAGCCCTACCGCTTTTGGGCTTCCCGCCAGCCACGCGGAACGCGGTTGCACAGGCTGGGTCCGTTCCGACACTGTGTTTGCGTCTGTGCCCCTCCTCCTCAATCCCTCTCCCTGTGTAGAGTAGCACACCGCGCAGACTGCTATCATCTTACCTATTCACTTTTGGGCGAATGAATACTTGTCCCCCGTGAGCACATTGCTCTTAGTCTTGTCGAATCCCACACCATGTGGGCCGAAGTCAACGGAGAGCGCAAAAAGGTCGCTTGGTATGTGCTGCCGTCTTGTCCCACCCTTCCAGCGTCACCACTGTCCATTTCCATATCTTTTGTACAACGCTCTCGTTATGTGACTCTGTTACAGTACTGACTAGACCGATAGCGGCCCGTGTATCCGCGGTCATCGCTCATCCAAGTGCGATCACCGCGACCGAGTCTTGGTCGAGGTTCGCAAGCCCGGTCGCCCTCTGAGCAGTTGCCCTCACCCTACCGGATCATGTAGCTGCGAACGGGTCGTTATCAACTATACGATTCCCAAGTCTTCCGAATGTGCCTGCCCCTCGGAAAGAGCGCAACCAGCAGCTCCATCAACCGCGGGCGGACGTGTCCAGAAACAACGTCTTCGCAAATCCGTCACCAACTTCAACACCGCCGTCCTCGAAAGAGCTATCAAAGCGAATCAGGATGGCGAAACCGATTCTTCTTCCATTCTCACACGAACTCCGACGAGCGAAACCAACTCTGCTCCGTCCAGCGCCAGCTCTACCCCTCGCCTCCAACCCTCGCGCAAAGCCAGTCAAAGTGGCGATATCTCCACCTCTCAACCAGCAACCACCCCAACTGTCTCGAGCTGCTGCCAACCGAAACCGGTTCAGCAAATTCTACCCCCACAAACTGGAGGCTGTTGTGGTTCCAAGGCACAGGAAGTACCCAAGGCAATCCAGCAGCCCGCCAAATCATGTTGCGGAGGAGCAAAACCCACTCCGCAAATGCACCCGCAATACCCCGCCCAAGATCCGACCACCATGAATCCCTTCACCAACTACCCTCCGCCATTCCCGCCACAACACCACCACCAACATTTCCAATCGCCGCCCTACAACATGCTTTCCCAAAACCCATCCGCGAACAGCTTTGTTCCTATGCCACCGCCCTTCAACTTCAACACCCCGATATACAACCACATCGGCTCCATGTTCTCGCCTCAGCCCTCGTCTTTACCCATGTCACCGCAGCCGCTCCTTTCCAGCAACACTCAACCGCCGGTTGACCACAACTGCCATTGCGGCGACTCGTGTAGCTGCTTCGGATGCGCCGCGCATCCCAATAACGCAACTATGATGGAGTATATCCGCTCAATGCACCAATACATGAGCACCGGACATTTTACATCAGGATTACCTCCAACGTACGATCTCCCAGCGTACGCGCAACACAACGCTTACCCACCCCCGCAAAACTACGCAAGTCCAGCGACAGCGCATCAAATCTCGTTCGCGCCGCAAGCACAGACAATAGGAAGTGTCCCCGGAACCCCACTCACAGGCATACAACCGGGACCCTGGGGACACCAACCCCAACATCACCACCAACAAGACCTCGTATCAACACCCCTCTCCACCCTCGACACATCATCCACTTCGCATTACTTCTCCACCGCCACTCCCAACACATCCACACACGACACCCCGATTACAACAACGACATCAATCCCGCCGCCGACGTTATTAAAACAGGAACAACCGCTGCATTCACCGACCCTGGCCAACTCGCCCGCCTCGTCGACCAACTTGCACTCGGACAATACGCCCCAGGAATCCGCCGACGTGACGCTGTCGCCTTCTTCGTACTTTTGGAACGAGGTCGTGTTGCCTGGGTGCAACGATGCGACGGGGACGTGCCAGTGTGGCGATGGCTGCGAGTGTGTCGGGTGTTTGACGCACGGAGGGCACAATGGAGTTGCGCTCTTGGATTCTGTGGGGGATGCTGGGTTTGAGGGGTTTGGCCATGTCGATGTCGATGTCGATGTTGATGTCGATGTTGGTGCTGGTGCTGGTGCTGGCTCAGCGGAGGTGGTTGGTGGTGCGGATGCGCACGGGGTAGTACCGGTGGGGACGTAAATATGTAGTGAGTGTGGGGGGAAGAGGGGGATCACTTGTTTATACTATACCTTTTTTGCTGTTCAATTTTTTTATTACTTTTTCCCTCTCACTTCTTACTACTCTCCTCCTTATTGACTTTCGTCTTTGTTCGCTTGGATTCAACGAACAGAGACTTTTTATCCCCTTGATGATGGGTCTCTTTTTTTTCTTTTCTTGATATACCTTTTTTGTTGGCGTGCATCTTGGAGAGATTTTAGCGCGGAACATTCTTTTTGGGGGGGGGGGGGGGGGGGATGATGTGGAATGTTGGTATCTTTATATATGCATGTCTATATATATCAGCACTTATATCCAGTGGCTTCATATGATCAATCAATTCACAGCATATCACGACAATCATTGCACTTCTTCAGCTTTTTCAATGTCGTTTCATTTGGATTCGTTTCGTTTCGAATCGAATCGAATCGAATCGATTCCATGTCCCTAATTTTTTCTTCTTCGGGATTTCGTGAAACTCCACGATTGCAGTCACTTCCACGTCCATATACCCCCTCCCAGAAGAGAAAAGAAACAAAGGGAGGAAGGAGGGAAAGCTCGAAGAAAAAGAAAAAAAAAAATCCCCTCTCCGTGTCATCAACAAAAGAGGGTCCCTGATACACAAAGAAGCAGAAGATATCCCAGTGAGAGGGAGAAGGCGCCTTTGCAAAAGTGACAAGAAGAAGCAAAGAACCAGCAAGAAGAAGAACATGTACATGCGTACATGACATGATGTGAGTACGCAGAAAAGGGGAAATGGTGTGGCTCGATGACTAATCGTCGGAGAAGACCATGGTGAGCGTGGCGCCTTCTCGGATTGAAGCCTGTAGAGTAGAAAAATCAGTGAAATGTCATAGAAGGAGTGAAAAGGGGGGAATACTAACCGTGCAACCGACGTCGCGACCACAGTTGTTTCCGCTGCAGTACTCGCCCGTGCTCTTCTTGAAGCTGCAGGGATTCTGCACGCCGTCGCCCGTAAACTTGATGTTGAAGTCGAGCCGGTCGTCAGGGTTGGTGGGTTTGTTCTGGCTCAGACCCGCGAAGCCCGCGTTCATGTTGATGTCGTCCCAGGAAGTGCCCAAGTTGGCGGGGGCCCAGTTTCCGACTGCCTTCGCGCCCGTACCCCATGTACAGGCCTCGCTCTCGGGAACTCCCTGTTTGTTGATGTAGTACTGCGCAGAAGTGGGCTTGCCTTCCCAGAAGTAGTAGGATTTCTGGTCGGGACTGGCCAACTCGCCAGACTCGCCGGGCTTGAGAGTGAAGGGAATAGTCTCCGACTCGGTACCTGGCAAAATTCAATACGTGAAGCGTGAAAGGCGCAAGGAGTACTTACCAGGGTAATCGGTGCGGCATATGGAAACAGACTTGGAAAGTTTGTTCTCGACGCGTATCTTCATGTGCGTGGTGCCTTTGCCGCAAAGCGTCTTGCCAATGGAGCCATCGGCTAGCTCAAGTTTGCCGTTCTCATTGCAGTAGAGCCCGCCGACAGACTGGCCAGTCTTCCCCTGCTTCTTAGGGAAGGACAACTTGAGGTAGGGGTTAGGACAGGCGTATGAACAGAAAGAACCCGGTTTGCAGCATTCGCCGCCCTCGCATGATCCTTTGGCGGTAGTCACAATGTTGTCATATCCGGCAGATCCGCGTTCTTTGGGGTCTTGAATACCAGTCCAGCCACCGAGACCTTCGTTGCCGAGGTGGATCGCACCGTAGCCAGTCGGGAACTTGCTGCAAGGGTGAAAGTCGTTGCGGAACTCCTTGTCGCAATCGGCGCATTCACCATCGTTGCCAATTGGCTTGTAGTCCTGTGGCGAAGACGACTGGGGAGGTTCTTCGACCTCGGGCGCCTTTGAAACTTGCGGACCTGGAATCGCATTGACGTCAGGCATGTTGATTGGGGCCGTCTCAAAAGGTTTCTCGGGGGCGGGCTCTGGAACTGGAGTCGGCTGAGCAACGACAGCAGCGGAGCTGGAAGAAGAGAGCACGCCGTTGTCACCCCAGGCAAGGGTTCCATTGGCGATGCCATTGATCATGTCCTCCTCGCTAATCGCATGGCCATCCAAAACATAGACCATGACAGTCTCGACGGGACCCGGGACGTACAAAGTCGAATCGGCGCGCTTCCTCAGAGCGTGACGGTGGGCATGGCGGGGGTGGGGAGAAGCAAAAGTCAAGGCCGCGGCACTGGCGAAGACCAAACTAGTTACCTTCATAGCTGCTTTACAGCGATGTCCTGGAGCGACTCGGAATTGAAGTCTTTCTTCGTCGTCCTGGCTCAGAATCAGTCACTGTCTGGTCGCCATGTCGCAAGTCTGAGCAGAAGCACTTACGCGAAGAAGCACTTACGCGAAGAGGGAAGATGGGCGAGACTGGTCGAACCTGTCACGGCGCAAAAGATGGCGTGCTTGAGACTTGGTGATGAGCGAGGGGAATTGGCTTGTTTGCGCGCGGAATGCTAGATGGCAGCAAAGAAATGACAGGCAAAGTATGCTAAGGAGTGAGGTGGAGAGGAATCTCCAAGCAGGAGGGAAGAAAAGAATAAAGAGGGGAGCGGGCAGCACGAGCCACGGGCTTGGAGAGAAGCGAAAGAGGGTGAAGGTGAAGATGAAGATGAAGAGGAGGAAGTGGGAGAGGAAAGTGAAGGGATGCGAGTATTCGAGTGTTTGTTTGCGCCTGGGTTACGATGCCAAGACACGCGTTCCTTCCGTTTTGGAGGGCGGGCTCGTGGGGAAGAGAGGCTGGAATGGAAGGGTTCGTGGCTGGCCCCGCAAGAGAGCGTCTCTGTGTGTGTATGTGTGTTTGGCTGTGTTGGAAAGGGGGTTATTTTTATTGTGTACAGCTGTAACCTCCTCTTGGCTGGGTCTCTCAATGTACGTTTGTCTGGCTGGCTGGTTGGACAATAGCACGCGGGCGGGGGGCGCAACGTAGGTTACAGAATACACACAGAATCAATAGAGACAATAGAGAGGAACGAGGATCAACTATATCCCTAGAGTTGGTGGTGCCTGTGAAGGAACCCAGTAAAAAGACAGACTTTGGGTGAGGGTCAAACAAAAAAAAAAGAAGTCGTGGAAGGGTTGCAACACAGCGGCGCACACAGCACACAGGCACGCCGTCCTATGTATTGTTTATAACAGCCCTGTCTCCCTGTGGCACCGTCGGCACTCTCATTTCCAGAGCATTGGGAACTCTTGGTCGACGCCCACCAAGTATAGCACTCATCCACCGTGAGGGTGGCGTCGGCGGCAACAGAGTGGCATCTGGGCGGCGCAGTTGCTCGACATGGCCCAACCAGCGCTTCCCTTCTCTTGAAATTCTCAACATGGGCTACATTTACCCAAGATGAGATTGTGTTGGAGGTGTTAAGACGTTGTTCTGTTTGCTGGAGCGGGAGAAGAGAATTCCTCGTAGGCCCCCTCAACCCGTTCGTCCATTCTTTGTGTGACGGGTCGACGTTGCACTTTGACGCTTCTCGTTCCTGGCCCTAGTCCGCTTTCGGAACCCGTCTTACCCTATGTGGACTACCGTGCCTGCCGCCGCCATGTCTATCCTTACCGTCCATCGCGTGTGTACTACATGTCCATGTAGTCTACACAACTCCGACATTCCTCTTCTCAGCTTACTTCTAGAACGTCTCTCTTCTTCTAAGCAACTATCTGGACTTCTTCGCCCCTGTCTCTAATCTTGACTTTATTCACAAGCTTTTACTCCAGCGCCAAGTCAGCCAGTCCGTCGTTGCTAAGCGCCCGGGGAATGGTGAATGGACGGGCGCTTGCGGCACAGCGTCTGCCCAGAACCATGGGGACCGAAACTGACACACTCCGTCACACTGCATGCAAATCTCTAATTCATGCAGTGCAGCATAGCAGGAATATCGTTGGCGACAATAGAGACCAGTATGCCATCATGCTCAAGTTTTGATTTCTTTTGCGTCGTCATCGCGACTCGCAACCCCAACTACCTATGTAAACATAAACAAGAAAACAAGGATAAAAGACAAGACACCTTTGCAAACGCCATGCCAAAAGACAATCTCCCCCCTTCCCCCTAAAAATGCTATAATGCTATACAACAACTCGTCTATCCATCCCCAAGTCATGGCCGGCCTCACACTTGCTGGATGTAATTCGCAGGCACGCTCTTCACCTGCCCATCCTTCTCCACGTCCGCCCATCCATCGCCCGTGTCTGCGTTGATGAGCACAAACCGCTCGCCCTCCGACATGCTGTGTTCCGCATCGCTCTGCGCCGAATACTCGTACATGGCTTCCACGTACTTGAGCTTCTTGGCTCCGCGCTTGGGTGCCACCGCCGGTCCTTTCTTCTTGCCTGCCGCTGCGCTGACGCTACCTGCCAACGACGCAGAAGATGCAGAGTATGTCGAGTCCGGTCGAGTCGACAGCGGTGGTGTCAGAGGAAGAATCTCGACATACGACGTGGGAACAAGACCTTCTTTGGTGCCCGCCCGCACCTTTGTCCAGCCTGACCCGTCTGATCGACATCTGTTAGTCGTTGCAACGTGCAGAGTGACACAATAAACTCACCATCAGGCTCCAGGATGCTCACATCGCGACCATCAGCAACAGTAATCTCTCCATCACTACCCTTCTGGTAGGCATACATCATCCTCCCCTTTGGCTCCAAAGATTCGGTTGGTTTCGATGCGCTCGGCACGCTCGGCACGCTCGGTGGCGGGAGATCGCCATCGTCTTTGATGTATTGCGCCGGAGGAGGTGCAATCATTCGGTTCCGTTTCGGTTTGGCCGCTGCCGCTGCGGGTTTGTTCTCGGTAGGCACTGGCGGAGCAGCTTCTTCCGCGGTCGGCGACATGCCCCCTGATATTGATCTTTGAGCCGTTGCCGAATATCCGGAGCTGAGTGTGTTCATCGAGTTGACCGTATCGCTTCGACTGATGCGCGGCATGTCGCCAGCTGCACCAGAGTGCCCGTTGGCTGGCGGTGCGCTATGTGCAGACTTCTGTCTTTCGTCCTTCAGCTTCTTCTTCTCTTCCTTACTCTGCTCGCCTGGGCAATCCGCCGGCACTTTCATTTCGCATTTGCTATGGCACGTATATCCGCAGTCGCGACAATCGAACCCTTTGGCAGACAGCCCCCAAATTCGGTCTCCGCAAAGATCACAGTTGGTGGGTATCTTGAATGTTTGGCCTTTGAAGTTGTGATTTCGAGCACCCAGACTCAGATCGCCTACAACAGAGGTGATGGTCGACACTTCCACCTCCGCATTCACCTTCTGTCTTTCTACCTCGTGCATCCCTTCCTGCAGACCAAAGATGGCGCGCACTACTTCCACTTCATCTCGCTTGTCTTTACCATCTCTAATGTTCTGGCGCACTTTCCTTGCCGTCTCCACCTCTTTGCGCTTCTTGTCTAGCTCTCGCCGGTGTTCCGTCATGGAGGATTTGGACTTGGTGAGAACATTACGCAGAAAAACGGTCGCTGCTTCGTCGGTCGCAATGGTGCCGTCGTCGAGCCAGACGGGACTGGGTTCGAATTGGAAATCTGCGGGTTCTTGGAAACCGCCAGCATTGTGTCGGACAAACATCATCGAGTCCAGCAACGGGTTGTTACGGGGAACTTCGGCCGAGAGGTGCTGAACGAGTTCGGTACTTCTCGTGAGCGTCTGCGTTTCTAGTGTGGCTGCGAGAGACCAAATAGAGTTTAATTTGGTGACGCGGGTTTCGGAGAGGTCTTGTAAGCTCTAAGGGAAACTGTGAGCGAGGCATGGGCGAGCACATTGCGGGATGGCTTACATCGAGAAGTTCTGGTACATACTCGTGGTAGTACATCTCCTTCTGCTTGTTTGTTACGTTGATGGCGATGACATAGGTGTTCTGCGGCCGTTAGTCAGATGTTCTCAACCGTACTGTCCAGGGCGCATGCATGCCTTGACGTTTCGCATTTCGCCTTGCTGCTGCTCAAAGGCTATGCGCGCTTTCTGCTTGCCATGATCGAAGGCGCTCTCTGTCTTTTTCCTGCGGTTTTCCACCTCTTGACATGAGCTGTCGTATTTGCCCTTCATCTTGCGCAAATCGGCATATGTGGACTCGCGTTCCTTTTCCAGCTTGGCGGCATAATCGGCGTGGAGCTTCCGAAGCTCTTCGTAGCGGGCGGCAACGGCCTTGAGGGGGTCGGCGAGGTTCGTGATGAGGGCAGTCGCAAACTGATCGTGTTCCGAGGCTCGGGACTCCAGGGTGGTCAGCTGGACCCCCCATGTGGTCATGGAAGCGCTGATGGTGTCAGCGAAAGTTGTGTCTGTGTTTTGGGAGCTGTGTAGACGGGTACCTTTCCAGTGAGCCCGGGGTGACGGTCGGGGTATCCCCAACACTCAAGCTGCTGGATTTTCGCGACTTCTTCTCAAAGTACTTTTTGGCGAGGGTACTGAGTTTGGCTGCATATTCCTTTTCTATGGCGCTGCGTTCCCGGTAGAACTGCTGCACATCGTCGAGCCATGCAATGCCACCAGAGACCTATGTCGCGCATTAGCCGTGTGATGTGGGCGCCAGATGGCGGCGGGGCGGGGAATGAAGGCGCGGTCGGTGTGTATGGGCGGGGGAGTGGAATCGAGAGGAGACGGTGATTTTCGGGGGAGGCCGTACCCAGGCATTGACGTTCTTGAAGCCATCCTGCAAGGGAGCGCGTTAGTGGGAGTTGAGGCGTAGTACGAGGGGAGTGTGTAAGTAAGCACATATCTGGGTATACATGTGTGTGTATGCATACCTTTAGCTCAGCGCCGAATTGGGGAGCAATATCAACTTCCATGGTGAGAGGGTAGCGGGACTAACTCGTTGGTGAGGCCACCATGGGGGAAGATAGAAAGAGGGAGAGAGTACGAGGTGGACTCCGGTCGTGGAAGGCTAGCAGGCGGGAGTGAAGAAGATGGGCAATTGGCGGGGGAATGGTGAATGTGGATACTGAAGGCTGGGCCGGGTGGCCTGTTCGCAGTCAGACAGGCAGAGGAGGGCGGGACAGCGGAAACGGCGGGCATCCATGGACAGCAACAGGTGCCAAGCTGGCTGCGAGGACGGCGCACGTTGTATGTTGGTTATATACAGTATCAGATCTTGACAGTCATATATGGGCTTACCCACCGATATGCGTATATACGTAGTGCGTCAGAGTAGACCCTAACCTCCTATCCAAATGTCTGCATCAACTTGCTTGCTTGCATGGGTCCCAGTGCGGTGCCTGGGTGAAGGTGAGGTGGGTTACCAAAGCGGACTAGCGCCTGGGACCCGCCATGCCAATCAACAATGCCCCGCCAAAAGCTCGGTCGACAAGCTGTTTGTCCCCGTCTCTCGCAAATCGCCGTCACTTTAGGTACTTTATTACTTTGACAACCACACTATCATAACATTCTCTGTGGACGACAAAGACACTCCACAAGCAGCCACATTTCTTCTCCACCCCAATTGCGAGCTGCGCCGTAACTGGCTCTTTGTCTCCGCCCACCTACCCTCCTACTTACCTACAACACCCGTCGCTGTTTCCCTGCGTCACGGATACCAATCATGTCTAGCGCAGACGACAAGCCAGTCGAGAAACCTCCCACCGAGGACAAGCCCACGGAAGAGAAGCCCACCGAGGAGAAGCCGACCACGAGCGCTCCTGTAGAGGAGAAGCCAGCTGAGACCGCGGCCGCAGACGAGAAACCAGCAGACACAGCTGCCCCAGCCGAGGACACCTCCGTCGCCGCCGCTCAGGTCGATGGCGCTGGTCCACCGGGCAATGGCTCTGAGCTGGCCAAGCCGGACAAGGAGCTCAAAGTTGAAGTCAAGCTGGCAGACATGCAAGCCGACCCCAACAACCCGTTGTTCTCCGCCACTTCTTTCGAACAACTGAATCTGTACGTCGCTCGCTCGCCCATTGACCTCGAATAATACTGATAGTATGCCACAGCTCCGAAGAACTGCTCAAAGGCATCCGCATGATGAACTTCAAGAAACCTTCCAAGATCCAAGAGAAGGCCCTTCCTCTTCTCTTTCTCAACCCCCCCTCCAACATGATCGCCCAATCTCAGTCGGGCACAGGCAAGACGGCCGCCTTCTCCCTCAATATTCTCACTCGCATCGACATCAACGTCCGCGCCCCGCAAGCCCTCGTGCTTGCTCCAAGCCGAGAGCTCGCTCGCCAGATTCTTGGTGTAATTCAGCACATGGGTCAATTCATCACCGGTTTGGAGACACAGGCCGCCATCCCCGACCCGGCCAACCGCACCAAGAAGTTCACAGCTCATGTCGTTGTTGGTACCCCTGGAACCGTCATGGACGCGGTTCGCAAGCGGTCTCTGGATCCCAGGCAAATGAGGATCTTGGTGCTTGACGAGGCAGATAACATGCTGGACCAGCAGGGACTCGGCGAGCAATGCACACGGGTGAAGAAGCTGATACCCGGAACTGTGCAGACGGTCCTCTTCTCGGCTACTTTCCCGGCTCAGGTCATCGATTACGCACAAAATTTCGCCCCAAAGGCCAACGTTTTGACATTGGCTCATGAGGAGCTGACAATTGAAGGGATCAAGCAATTCATGGTGGATATCAACGACGATGCAGACAAATATGGAACCCTTCTCAAGATGTACGGATTGATGACACAAGCTTCGTCCATCATCTTTGTTCGCGTAAGTATATCAAGTCCCTATGTTTCTGACATGTACTCATTCACTTAGACACGCGCAACTGCCTTGGAGCTCGAGAGACGCATGACCGATGAAGGACACCGAGTCGCGCAGCTCAGTGGCGGCCTAGAGGGGTCTGACCGCGATCGCGTCATCGATGAATTCCGCTCTGGCAGGGCTAAAGTTCTGATTGCGACTAACGTCCTGGCTCGTGGAATCGATGTCCAGTCTGTCACCATGGTCATCAACTACGTACGTTCCTCCGTGAGCTTTCGTATCCCGTGACTAGTACTAACAGGTGGCGTGCAGGATGTACCGACCATGGCAGATAACCGAACGGCGGATCCTGAGACGTACCTCCACCGCATCGGTCGTACCGGTCGCTTCGGCCGTGTCGGTGTTGCTTTGACCTTCATTCAGAACAGGGCACAATGGCAGCAACTAGAGGCAATTAGGAGCTACTTTGGTACGGACATTACCCCTATCGATACCAAAGACTGGGACAACGTGGAGGACTTGATCCAGGGAATCATCAAGAGCTCGCGCGCGGGCAAGACTACGGAAGAGATGAATGCGTGATGGGAAAGTGGCAGGGATAGACAGACGGGTTTCGTGCCCAGATACCCAGGCTGAATAGGAAAACAACGCCCCGAGAATGCAATTTTGAAGATACCCTTGAACGAGGTCCCGTCCTGCTTTGATTCTATTTATTCAGCTGTATGTGATGAGCGTTCGCACGTTGTTGGTTCATAAGAGCAACGTATACGAAGTAATTGGTGAAGATTCCAAAGACCAAAACCAAGAAGTATAAAGAGCTGAACGAAAGTGGTTAGTGCAACGGATGTACACATGTGGGATGTGGAGCTACTGTACGTGACGCGATGCCCCACCCATGTTCAACCTACAATGATGAAAACATACATGTAGTACCTGAACTTTTTTTCTCTTGCCTGCATCTGCCATTTTTCTGGACGATGCTGTGAGAATTACCCATGTTTTTTACTTGAAATGCGTTTGCGCTGAGGCCAATTCCTGTTTTAGCTGATCGCGACTTCATCTAGGTGTGTGACGATATCGGGACAGTGCATGTGCATGCATATACAGACGACTTCCAAGCAGACACCATGACCATACCACCACAATCACTCAAAACCCCCTCGCGCGCCTCGTCCCGTCTTCTTCTCCGAATGAGACAATAGCAGCTACATCTACAATTACAATTGTCTCACACTACAGGAGCATACACGCATTAGACGTTCAACGCACGCGCACATTGACCTCCCACCAACCACCACCACAAACTCAGGACATCCACTCTACCCCAACAGCAGCCCCACGCGACCTAAACACCTCAACCGGATATCAATCTCGAGCCAAGCGAATCGAGGGGAGGAAAGCCTGAGCTATGCCTCCGCAAACAACAAGCACAAGCGCATCCTCGTCCTCGACGTCGACGGCACGCGACCCAGAAATCCAACCCATCATGCAAAACACAACAGCCTCTCCCCGAGCAGACTACCAATCCATATCCCCCAGCATCTCCGCGAAGCCAGATCCCTCAGACCCCTCCTCCAGCGCTCCCTCCAACGCCCGCGAGACCTCAACCACAACAGCAATAACCCCCCCAACCGATCCCCACTCCCCGATCCAACGCCGCACAACCTCAAAACAATCGCCCTCCTCCCAACCCGCCTCCCCCTCAGCCCCAGAAACCGAATCGTCGCAACAAACGAGCGTACAAGGGCGCTGGCACACGCTCTGGGAAAAATACGGCAGCATCGAGCTCGAGAACAAAGGCAGCGTCGCGCGCGACCACCTCGCTCTCGAACGCACGTTTCTAGCGTGGCTGCGCACTTCTCTATCCTTCGCTTCCATCGGCATCGCGGTTACGCAGCTGTTCCGGCTGAATACGTCGATTGCGCATCGTTCCTCCCCCTCTTTTTCTTCAGCATCTGAGAGCGAGCAGAGGGAGATTGAGATCGAAGGTGTAAATGCGAGGTTACGACATGTAGGCAAACCTCTTGGCGCTACCTTCCTCTTCATCTCGCTGCTGATCCTGCTGATTGGATTCCATCGCTTCTTCGAGGCGCAGCACTATGTGATTCGTGGCAAGTTCCCGGCGGGGAGGGGCAGTGTGGTGCTTGTTAGTCTTGTTGCCGGGGTGTTGGTCGCCGCGAGCTTCGTCGTGGTTGTTGTTATTGGCGAGAGGGTTTTTGAGCGGTAGGAGGCGAGGCGATGGGAGGTATCCAATATAAGAACTAGATATAGAACCCAGTGGAAGAGGATTCGCTCATATCAATGGGGACACTGTTGAAGCTATTCATTGCGAATGTGCACCTTGCCTGGATGTATGCTGTAGTCTGCATTATCCGCCTCGCATATTATCGACTTATCATCACTACCCACCACCACCACCACCACTATAGCAGTATTAAATCTACAAACCGTTACACAAAGCTCTGCAGAACAAATTAACCAGATATCTCGTCTCATCTCATCTTAAAGGCTTCGAAATCCTTATTCCTAAATCATGAGTAGGGCTATCTTTACATACGCTCTACCCATCAAAACTTTCTCTCTCTCTCTCTCTCTCTTTTGCGAGAAAGAAACCGCAGTTCAAATCAATTTATAGCTCTATTAAAGCTAGATATTCTGCGAAGGAGAAGAAGACAACATTAGTCGGGCAAGAAAGGATGCAAAGCGAACACACGCTCTTGCAAGGGCACGCGCCGTAACTGATGCAGGCTGTCTGGCCTTGACCCATCCTTTGAGTCTGCCTTGGTAAGCTGAAGGGCCTCTGTCTACTAAAGATGTAATGGTAAGCATAGCGCCCTATACTGTAGAACTAACTCTGTCTATAGGCATTCGCTGGTTGTTCTTAGCGTAGGGGCATTGTTTGGACGTCGAACATGTCCAAATCGTCGTCACTGACCGATCCCTCCACAACCACGCCGTAGATTTGAAAGCTGATGTCGCGAAGGCGTGGTTTGAAATGTACAGTAAGGTATCCTAACAATACCATATTGCTGCATATGGCTGACTGCTGCATGCGAGCAGGCTGAATAGGCGAATCCCTATGGACAGGCTTCTACGGTATTTCACTTCGTCGTCTTGTCCAATGTCAGCATCCGCCTGGCTACCCGTTCGGGGTAAGCGTTACGATTCCTCTCTTTTTCTGAGCGTCGTTATTCTGCGCTGCGTAGCACTGCCACGATTGCCTCTATTAGGCTTAGCGCTCTTGAGTTGTCTCTTTTTCTGAAGGTCTTTCTTCTGCATTGCCCCTTTTAGGTCTGCCTAACAATTACTTAGCACGTAAAACTTAATAGTTGTTATTCTGCGCTGCGTAGCACTGCTACGATTGCCTCTATTAGGCTTAGCGTTCTTGAGTCGTCTCTTTTTCTGAAGGTCTTTCTTCTGCATTGCCCCTCTCAGGCTTGCCTGACTCCAGCTATGGTACCAATCACTTCGTTGAGACTGCGCCCTTGATCGTGGCCAAGTAACAATATAGCCTTGGAAAAAGAGAGAACTTATTTACGGTCAACTGAATACGTGTATAATCCGCCGTGAGGTTCAGTTTAGTTCCAGTTTCCAGAGGCTCTCAGGCTTGCCTGCATTATTTTTCACATGGCTGATTGGCCATTCAGAGATAGACGAGGCGACGCCGTGGTTCGGTATATCCTCCTACAATAGAACCATGTTTGCCACATCTCGCTTGTCACTCCCAAAGATCCCCTACACGTAGCTCGGCCGCCGCGGAGACCGTCGCGGAGACCGCCGGGACCCGTGTCGACCTTTGCTCCCTCTCTTCCAAAGTCAAGGTCATTCTGCTGCTTTGCCTCAACACTGCCCTCTCCAGAGCTATGCCGAGCTGCATTCGACCTCAAGACTTGGCACTGTGCGTGATATGTGTCACAGGCTACGACGGGGCACATATGTGGGGCATGGTGTAGTATTCAGTATGACGAGCTATCTAGGGCCTGACGCCTGAGCTATAGCTCACAATGCTGAGGTCTTTGCGTACGTCACGTGATTATACCATCACAGTATAGCGTACGCAATTCTCTCTTTTTCTCAACGTCTTTGGATTGCTTCGCCTCAATCTCTCAGCCCTCTTAAGAGATTCGCCTGGCCATTTTCTTTTCTAGAGAATGCACAGCCATCTTTTCATGCATTTGTTTCAAAAGTGAGTTGGCAGCCTTTGTTTTAAGGCAGTTACTGTATGATACGAGGAAGGAAGCCCTTCTCGTCCATATTGTAGATCTTTCCTTAGAAGCCACATGATCATGCAGCTCAAAAGCGAGTTTCGGGGGCCGATCCTGCACGCATTGCTGTCATTTCCTTGAAGGTACAGCTCGGGATGTATGTATATCATACCCCGTTCATACATTTCACCTGTTGAGACGTTGCGCAGCCAAAGACTTTTTGAAACACAAGTATTTTTTTACTTCAGTGCTCACTCAGCACGTATAAATCAATAGCAGTCAAATGGAGCCAAATGGTTGGCTCCTGTTTACGTAAAGCCGATTCGGTCTCCAAGGGAAGGGATTTTCGAACGCAAGGATACAGAATTCAAACGAATAGGCCACCAGCCCGGTCAAGTTCATGAGTCGACCCGCTACCGCTAGTCGCATCGTTGTCCTCGTCCGGTACGTCGAGAGACATGGAGTTCCAGTCCATCGTCGCAAGTGCAGGATACTGTGCTAGCAAAGTAGCTGGCAAGAGTGGCTGGCCAGAGTTGTCGTAAGCAGAAGGTGTCTGCATGGGATCACTCGAGGCATTAGGGAAGAGCCCGAACATGCCGTTGTTCGTCGTTTCTTGTTGCCCGTTCGGAATCCAATCACCCTTCTTTTGCGCTTCCTCCTTAAGCAAAGGTTGTATACAAATGCGTCCAGCTTCTGATCGGAAATGTCTTCCGAGAGCATCTGCTCTTGTAAATCGTCGACCGCAGCCCCAAGGGCTCCCGTCTTGCAGGCTGCCCCTACATATAAATTTTCTTTCACCCGAATGAAGGCCTTCGTGGCGCGCACGATCAGCATGTCTTGCGAATGCCATTCCACAGACGCTGCAAACATATGGTCTTTCATCCGTGTGAACGCGCATGTGAGCACGCAGATTGTAGGCCCTTGTGAATCTCTTGGGACAGAGAGTACACTGAAACCGGTTTACTGCTTTTCGGTTCGCTGATGGTCTTTCTTCGTCATCTTCTTCTGGATACTCGGGTTCTTCGTGGCATTCTTTGGTATGCGCCCGCAGCTCTTTACTGGAGGTATAGCCGATTGTTTCCCAAGGACAGCCTCTCTTTGTGCATAGAAATGCTCTTTCGTGTTTGTCATTGTGCAGTTTGCGTTGGGAATCTAGCTCGAAGCCCTCGTGATAGAAACGACAATTGAGGCGTGAGCACTTGAAAGGATGAGGACCGTAGAACAGCTCAAGGCTTTGCTTCTCGGCATCAGTAGCGTTGACGCTTTGGAAAACCAGTTCAATCTCTGATCGCCACTTGCCCATGACTTTGGCAATGTGCAGCACTTCCTCTTTGAGGGGGCCCTTTCCAGTCGGGAGGAGCTGGTTCTTGGTGGAGACTACAGCTTGACATATTTCTTGATACTCACTACAGTACTCTAATGGCGCTAGTTGAGTCTGCAAGGTTTTGGATACGACGAGTGGATCCTGTCGAGACGCCCTCTGAACGTCTAAAAAGACCCCAATAGCCTCGATCAGAGCTCGCAGATCTACTGTCGGACTTTTACCAGCGTCGCGAACCCCCTCAATAAGATGATTGGCCCAGTAGCTAGATGCGTAGTCGGCGAAAGCATAATCTCCTTTGTGTAGAGAGATTCTCACTTGATCGTCTCGAGTCAGGGGATGAAAATGATCAAACGACATGTATGTCAGGCATAAATGTGCCATCTCAGACTCCACCTTGGCAGTGTTGATGTATCCGTTCTGGATAAGATATCTGTTCAGCGAGTTAGAACCGACAACGATAGGACGAGGAGAGGGATCACCTTTTAGCCGTCGAGTGTACCAGATTTACGGAATCATCTACGCTTCGCTCGACAAGGGAAGCTAGAAGATCTTTACATTCATCTTGAAGCTCTAAGTCTCGATTCATTGTTCCTCTGACCATGTCGACAGATACAGCGCCTTGGATCTCCCGCCATCTCAATGTACGTTTGGCGCACACCAACCAGCCAAGCACCTGCTCCGCGTATCCGCGCAATCTGTGTTGTACAGAGGACCCCATGACACGGTCAATGATACGTGCGTACCTAAATATCTCAGTATTTCGTTGGATGGAAGTGATCTGTGTCGGAGCTCACGCTTTGTCCAGATCTGGTGGCAAGATGTCCGGATGTAACTCATCGTACACGCTTTGTCGGTTGGGTTGGCTGTACAAATTCCAAGTGACAAGTCTGGCATACAAGAACATTCCTTGGTACTTTCAGCATCACAATTTGTACGAGGACTGCGGTTTGATTACCTTGGGATCTGGAAGCGACGATGGTCGCAATGTCGTGGGCTTGCAAGTTGAAAGGCTTGAATTTCTCCGCGATCTGAGTTTGCCACATCTTGCAAAAAGAGTCAATGTCCTGACGCGTATCCTCGGGTGTCAGTTTGATCGAGGCACAGTCAGAAAGATCTTTCCGCGCGTAGCCATCGTCTTGACTAACAAATAGACATCTTATCATGCCAAGATCCGTCGAAGGAATATTTTGAACTTGAGTTTTGAACCATGTGGTTATCATTTTTCGCTCGTCTCTGTTGCACTCATCAAGGCCGTCGATAATGATGTAGATCTTTTGGCTCTTATCGCAGCTATTGAACGCCGTTTGAAGAAGGCTCTGGGCGGCGCTTTCGCTTGAGAGCATTGCTTCGCTGCTTTTCGTGACGTGATCGTATAATAGTTGGGTGAGCTGGTTGTTGTTGACCATCAATTGGGACAACATGGCTCGTGCGATGCGTACAAACGCATGATGATCAACATCAGTAGAGCGGCAATAGAAGAAACAAATCTTAGCTTGTGGAAGCCTATGGCTGTGTTCTATGATAGTGGATGCCAATATGGTTTTCCCTGTGGTCATTAATGTAATATTCAACATGGAGCTGTGCCCACATACCTGCTCCAGGAATGCCATTGAGCCATAGGATGGGATCAATACAGTAGTCGAAATCGAACCACTTCTGAAAACGAGGATCGCGAAACAGCCAATCCCCTGTGCAAGGGTGTCGAGCCATGATATGTGAATCATGTCTGGTTTGCGCAGCTGTTGAGCCTAACCATTGCTGAACGATAGTTCGCCTGCGATCTAACTCTGCCGCTCTGGCTTCTTCAAAATATTGCTGCGACTGCAGGCGCGCCGCTTGTGCTGACGAGTACTCCTCGAGTGATGCCTGGCGGTCGATGAGAGCAGTATGGCGGCTGAGGTCATTCTCCAGTTGTTTGAGATTCTCGCTGAACATCTTTCGCGCAGCCTCAAAAAGCTGCCTCCATGCTAGCGACCGGTTATTCAAAATTTGGAAATGCATGCAGTCCATGAGACTTACCACTCTTCCTGAAATACCGCAAGGCCTCTTTGTGGAAGTTCAGAATGTCTTCGTAGATAAACCCGAGCGCCCGCTGTACGTGCGTATTCCCTACGAATAATGTTTGGTATTGCTGAAACTGAGGGATCGTCTCGCCAATGCGATGGTATGCATCTAGGAGGATATTGAATATCTCGGCACACTCTTTCGTCACCATGAGCAGGAATTTCACAGGCCCCTTACATCGTTAGCCAGACGCAGTGTGGAAAATAAAGGCCCAAGAACTCACCCAAACAAATGCAATAATGTCAGAGACATTGAGGAATACTTCGATGATCTTACCGTAGCGCTCCATCGTATCGAGGAACGGTCCAAGACGTTTAAGGTACCGTAGCTTCCTGCTCGCGCGTTGATCATTCTGGATGGTGGCGATGCATTGCTTAAGGTCGTCGAGAGATGTTTGAGAGAAGTCCCTGAGTTCAGCTTGAGTCAAGCCGGCCGTGGACTTGAAGTTCCTGATCGCATCTTGGAAGGCACAAGGTGATGCCATGGCGGCGGCAGACAAGCACAAGTCTAAGCAAGTATTGGCGGCGTTGCTTACAAGTATAGGTAATCTACAACTGGATTGTTTGCGAATGTGCGCACTCTGGGTAGATGGTGGCTTAGCAACCAGAATACGAAAACAGGCTATCTTGCTGCAGGCGCTCTCCAAGGCTGCCTGCAGCAGCCCAGCCACATAACAACGATCTACAGGGAAGCAGATCAATGTTACAGCCACAATGCGCCAAAGGCTGATCTAGAATTTTGTGACAGCGGATACAGTGGCTACAACTAGGCGTTATAGATGGTAGTTCCTCCATAATCTGTAAAGAAGGCCCGTCCGCCATGGCATACCCTATGCCTTACTTGAACGCCAAAAGACCATGGGACTTTTTTGATGAACATTCATCACAGCCTACGAAACGACTGCAGCTTGGGCCGGAGTTTCCCGATGCCAGTTCGAGCGGGGATTACGTCGATCCTTTCACATCATCGACGGTGCTTTCATCATCTCAAACTGCATGGGAGCTTGGAGTTGATGATTTAGGATACACGAGTGGTTTCGACGGTGACGGATTCGCCTGGGGTACACAACCCGACATAATTCTGGAAAATGCTGCTATCGACACCACGATCCAGGCTCGCGACGGCGCAGAAGCATTTGAGTCGACACTCGGCTTCTACCAACAAGTCTGCTTTGGTCTGGTAAGAGCCCAGATGTTACAAAGCAGCGATTATATATGGCTAAATCTGCGCAGATTCCGGACGTACAGGTACGTCTAAACAAGGATTTCGATTCGAACTTGGACCTGTACTTCGGCGTGCTCAGTCCACAAGACCCCCCGCCATCTCCAAGGTGGCCACTACGGTTCGAAAACGGTCGTTGTGACGTTGTCACGCCTTCGGGGCGAGTTGCTGCCGTGCTGCACCAGCACTCCTACAGGTTGTTGGATGGTCTACAGAAGGCGGTCCCCGTTGAGTTTGAGCTGTCGGCTTGGTCTGTCACAAATCTCAGGTCGCGGAAAAGCTCCAAGGAGTCTCTGAGTCGGTTCACGAAACTTGAACTAGTTGTTCTTGGACAGCGGTATGCCGCTGAGACCGTAGCGGCCACTTTTGCGTCCGAGGAAGTCTTCTTGCAGGATCCCGCGGATCTACCAGCTGGAATCGTCTACGAAAATCCTCAGATGCTCGAGCTTCCAGATTTTGCACTGACATCTTCGTCACTACAAAGCGGACCGAGTGCATCGAAAGGTATACAGTCTCATAACCTCCATAAGAACATGGATCAAAGCGACTCGACCTTTGATTTTGAAAAACTTCTCGACGATTTTGCATGCCAACATGACCTTGCCAAAGCGGCGTCCGATCGACACGTTATGACACCTCTGCTTGAGTATGTATATGCTGTGCGAGTAATCACTGATGCTAACGACGTACAAGCCATCAAAAGGAGGCTCTAGACTTCATTATGCAACAAGAGTCAGGTTCGAAGTCTCGCTCAAGACGTCTGTGGGAGCCCGTGGAGCAGATGCGGAGTGATGAGCCCGCGACAGTGTACGTGGCATGCTCTTTCCATTACCCTGGTAATAAACGAGTTAAAAGATTCCAGATATCAGCACGCCATCACCGGTGCTAAGAGTGCCTCTGCAGCGGAAGCGACTGGCGGCATGGTGGCTGATGAAATGGGTCTCGGAAAGACATTGACGATGCTTGCCGCTATCACGGGGTCTCTTGAGAGGGCTCTTACATACGCACGATTTCTGACCAAGATCGATGAATCAGGTCGGGGAATTTGGGCGGCAAAGTCCACGCTAGTCATTGTCCCCTCTACATGTACGTACGACGGCTCCAAGTCATCAGCAGTAGCTGACCCATCATTAGTACTGATCAACAGTTGGCTCGATGAAGTTGAAAGGTAAGTAACGAGCCTTTCTTTCGCAAAGTATGGATCTGATCTGCATATAGGCATATCATGCCCGGCACTTTAAGGTGCTACAAGTTTCATGGGGCAGCGCGTCAGGTTGAACTTCATAACCTTCTGCAATACGATGTCATCGTTACCACGTACGGTACCGTCGTAGCTGATTTCGTACGCAACAGAAGCCGGCTCCATGGTATTCACTGGTACCGTATCGTTTTAGATGAAGGTATGCCCAGTGTACCAAATCATGTCCAACAAACATTTAACAGCGTTTGCCAGCCCATGTGATTCGCAATGCTTCGACGAAACAATTCAAAGCGGTACAGGCACTTCGTTCCAATATTCGATGGAGCTTAACTGGAACTCCGATCCAAAATTCTCTCGACGACCTAGCATCTTTGACAAGTTTTTTGAAGGTTCCTCTTCTAGAAGATGCGACGCAGTTCAAGCGCTACATAACCTCTCCAATCGAGTTAAACAAAGGCCACACCCGGACTGGATACCAAAACCTGCAAAAATTACTGCATTCGATCTGTCTACGACGGACCAAGCACATTCTGCCAACGGCGCGATACAACGATGTCGAGCGCTTGTTGGCATTCGATCAAGACGAGCGAGAGGACTATACTCGAATAGAGAGGCAATGCAGGGAAGCCCTCCAACGTGCTGTCAATGGACACGATAGTGGGAAAGCACACCAGACGGTGCTGGAAACCCTGCTGAGCCTCAGGCTATACTGCAACCTTGGCAGAAACTTTGATCGATTTGAAGCCACGCTCGAAGGCGAATGCGAAGAGCCCGAAGTAATACTCAGTCTCCTGGAACAGAATGACAAAGCAAAGTGCGCGTACTGCGACTGCGAGGTATCAAACATCACGACCGTTGCCGGAGATGAAGAAGCGGTCTTGACTGTCTGTCGCAAACTCATCTGCTCTAATTGTGTGTTGCAATGGAGGGATTATCTCAATCAGAAGGGGAGATGTGCATTGTGCCATACATCACATGGCGTGAGTGTCTTACCTGGGAAAGAAACTTTCGAGAATCCATGCAAGCGGTATCCGACCAAGATAAGGGCACTCTGTCAAGATATTGAGTCTAACAAAGAAGACGGCAAATGGTAAGAGCCCAAGTCCTGAGGCACCGAAAATCACTGACTGGTCACAGTATTGTGTTTTCGTATTGGAGACGTTCCCTGGATGTCGTTGGGGCGCTCTTGACGGACAAGCAGATCCCTCATCTGAGAGTGGATGGGACCACCCCCTCGGCTAAGCGACGTGAGGTGTTGGATATGTTCCAGAAGCAAGAAGATGTGTCTGTATTACTCATGACGCTCGGTACTGGTGCTGTTGGGTATGATGCTTCATATCTAGCTTACGTCCAGAAGCTAATGCTACCCAGTCTGAACAATCTATCGGTTGCACATCGGCTGCACCTATTGGAACCCCAATGGAATCCTTCAGTCGAAAGCCAGGCCATCGGACGTATCGTGAGACTTGGTCAAACCCGTCCTGTCACGGTCTTGCGCTACATCATGAGCGAAACTGTAGAACAGGTAAGAGTGCGCGCGTAACTAACAACAAGACCTTGCCTAAACGTTTACAGAACGTGCGACACATCCAGCGGAAGAAACAACGTCTAGTCAATCAAGGCTTCGGTAAAAGCAGGCCAGAAGCTAAATCTAAAACCTTGAGTCGAGTGCAGGTATGTAATTGGTAATTATAATGCTTTCGTGGTTCATTCTAAGGTGTCAATAGGAACTTCTTGGCCCGTCTTAGGACATTCAAACCACAGCCTCCAGCCATTAGATGTGGTAATGTCCAAGCCACTCTGAATCAAATACTCTACAGAGCTTTCGCGCAATCTGTACCACAGCCAAGGCCTAATCCCTATCAAAGACAACGACTCCTTTCCATTATTCCAGGTTACCTAAAACAAATCCTTTACGCGCGACAGCATGTTAAAACTGTACGGGAGGGCAACACCAGAATCAACTTTATGGAAATATCAATGGATTCGTATGAGAAAAGCTATATACCTTCTGCCACCGGCGGCATATGCTACCCTTTTCGTAGGGTTTTGTCGTCGGTGGTGAGTCTGCATGATGCAACAAGTAGTCACCCAAGCCCATCAAGAGCCGCTTGCTCTGCACACAAAGCAAGTTTCTCGTAGCTAGTACCATGCACCAGATCTCGAAACGTGACTTCTTCATGATCCAGGCCCCAGGTATGGGAGAGAATGGCGTACGGCGGGACATCATTGCCTACCTACATATGTAGGTGTGGTTGGTAATATCAGTGATCACGTGGAGTATATATAAGCTGCGCAGAGTTGCCATGCCGTACCTGTGTATGTAATCGCCACATGTTGCTACGATTCCTTCCCCTCTCATCAATATATTCTTTCATGCCGGTTTCACGGCGTGGGGCGAGTACACAGTGCAGTGAACAGATTCCCCACCACCCAGACGAACGAACATGAGCCATGAACCATATGTGAAGCAAGAAACTAGGCTTGGGGAAGACACCAGATGATGTTTAATACACATACATACATACATATACTCGACCATAACACAGAAAGAAAAACACTTGAGCTAAAAAGTATAAGAGAAAAAGAAAAAAGATTGCGGTCTTCAATTCCGGTCTATTCCCCCTGAGCATCCCATTCAGTCCTAATGCAGGACCAAAACACACATAAAACTCCATCTTGGGGTCTTCGAGCACGGTTTTTTTTTTCCTGTACATGAACCGTTTGTGCCGGTTTTGAGTTTAGGACGATCCCGGCAGTTTTTCAGCGCATCGTTTGCGTGTGAATCACGTATTCCTCCGCCAGCAATCCCGCCCGCAAATAAGTGGATCAAACGCCAGCCAATGACCGCCAAACATATCCGGGAAATTTGTATCGTAGGTGAGGTAGGATGGCAGGCAAGGGAGGAGGGAGAGAGATCTTCCTCGTCCTAGGTCTATGGGCAAACCCCAGAAATTACTCGTTATAATGATATACCTAAGTGTGAAGTACATTAGCATGTTACTAGTATGAGAACATGATGTTAGTGAAAGGGATCCATACAAGATAGTTGGGCAGACCGTAGCTGTCCCAATTCAAGCGGCGTGCCATTTTGGCGAAACCTTCCGTCTCAATGAGGTGGTAGAATGAAAATGGGGGGAACATGGCCCCGTCGCGGTGCACGTCGCCTTTGACCAGGAGGGTGGCGCCTCCAACACCGTCGAGCTTCACTTTGGTGCCCGGATCCGCCGACTGGTCGTACATGTAGGCCATCAAGCTGCGGTATGTGGGCATCTCGGCGTAGCCCTCGAGCAAGATGTCGTCCTTGCCCATTTTGGCAGCCAGCTCTTTTGCAGCTGGGCTATCGATCCAGTTGTTGAAGTCGTAGGGGCGGATGTCCTTGGTCTTTTTCTCGTCGTTGTAGTAGCGCTGGAAGCAGTTGGGCGCAATGATGGGCGCGTCGTAGGCAGCGAGGTCCTGGATCAGCGTGGGCGGGAATTCGACTATGTCGGCGTCGAGCCAGAGCACCCACGAGGTGGAAGGGCCAAGGGTGGTGAAGAGTAGCGAGTTGCGTGCCTTGGCCATGGCGGCGCGGCGGGACTTTTGGTTTTCCATCTTGTGTCTTTCGGCCTCGACCTGGGATTGCAGGGGGTTCTCGGTATCCTGGCGGAGGATGGTCACACTGGCAAAGCGCTTCGCCTTGGAACCGCTCTGGATCTTCTTGACCTGAGCCTGCAGGGCGGCAAAAGCAGCATTTCCCTCTTTGGTCTTGGGTATTATGTAGCCGAGCGAGATGAGCTCGTGGGGGTAGTCGATCTTGACGAGATTGTCCCAGTATTCCTGGTAGAAGCGGGCCAGCGGGGTCAGAATGAGCACTTTCTCCTTGTTTCCGACGGGGTCCCGCGACTGAGTGACATTGTTCATGTAGTAGTGTTCGACCGGGGGTGCGGACGGGGGGGCATTCGACTTGGACTTGCGGAAAGGCAGCGAGGGCGGAGACAAGACGCTCGAGGCAGTGTGGCCGGTACCCTTGTCGGCGGAGGCGGGAGAGGCATCGTTGCTGGAGAAGAAGAAGATGAAGAATCCTATGCAGAGGATGCCGGCAAGCACAAAAGTAATGGGGTTCTGGCGGCGCAACGAACGCGGAGTGGGCATGTTGGGTGGAAAGGGGAAGGCGAACCTAGGTCGCCTGTCGCAGGTGGTGAGACTATATCTTGGGCATCAGAGAGGGAACAGGAGGGCGAGTGGTGGGCGGAGGGTGAGGGCTGAGTGCCGCAAAGGTAGGGAGGAAGGGTGAACAGAATTGAGGCCAAGCTGGCGTCGGGCGGAGGATGGTTGGTTGGTGACTGCGTGTGTCAGCTCGGTGCTACCAGGGTGTGCAGGTACAGGCACGACGGACGAGCGCAACAACAATTCTCCGGTGGTGGGGGATGTAAAGAGAGTAGACAGTGAAGATGTGAATAAACAGCTAGATGTCGGCCAGGGGATTGTATTTGTTGGATGAATCAATCTCGGTCAATTGATTAGATTTCATCTGCTTGTAGTGAGTGCTCCTCTTCATCTTCTGGTGCGGCGGCCCGTGCGCGCCCCCGATACATCAGCCACTACCTCCTCTACCAGATGAAACGAAGGATCAATCAGTAACTACATGATGATAGATGCAGAAGAAGGACTATTCTTTGCGGCTCCAGGATCTTGATATCGTCTGGTCTTCACACCATCGTATCCAACACTGCGTGAATCGCTACCTTCGATCTGTCCTAACATAGACATGATCTGGCTTACATAATCCTATATTCCACGATGCTAGCGCCATTCTACACGCATCTCGCGACAAAGCACTTGCGCCATCTATCCACGCCCGTCAACATGACCAATTGATTCACGAACTCATGCCTCCTTGGGTTGCACGACAATGGCACGTTCTACGGCCCTCTGTGCGTGCTATTCAACTGCGAAACGCCCCAAGGTCATCCATTCAAGTGGCCATCCGCGGCTACTCCAACACCTCCGGTGGCAATGAGACAAGACCAAATCTAATCTCCAACAATTCCGCCATTGTCATACCAACTTCAGTCGGTGATGCTGTACGTCAATCGATATTACATACAAAAAAGAGCATTATCTGATGAATATAGACACCCGAGCATTTCGTCAAGCACATCAGACCCGTTTCCCCAGCCCGCATCGACCACCACCGATTCGCCGTCTTCTTCGTCACGCCATCCTTCGCACCATGGCTTCTTGACGATGCCACTTTTCTACAAAAAGCAGTCAACCGCGTTTTTTCGCACCTGCGCATTTCTAGGGAACAGCCACCCGAGCACACTGTTCATGCGTTATGCGCCGTAGTAGACAAGCTTCCCATCCCGCCGTCGCTGGATCATGTCGAGAACCTGGAGAGCCTGGGCGAAGAATTGCGGACGAGAATAGTCAAACCGCCTATAGGCGAAGTTGGCTTCGAAGGCATGGCGTATATCACATTGCCCTTGACTGATTCGATACCTTCGCCGCTCGCATCGCAGCCTGCCTCGGACCAAGCTGCCGTCAGTTTTGTGGCTTCCACTTCCTCTAAGAACGGTCTCGGTCATTTCACCGATACCCTGCGGTTGCCTCTGTCCAATACTGTCTTCCAGACCGGCTCGCCGTCCACTATGATTTACTCAACATGGGCCAAGAGTAAAGAGACCAATGCATTGGCCCTGCAAGCCAAGGAGAATGTTACGCACCACAGTATCAAGCTGCAGACGGATGCGCTTTGTTCCCGTCAAACTTCAACACTTGCTGTGCCTTTGATCCCACTCACGTTCCCACGCCGGGTAGAAGCAAGCATGGGGAATATCCTCCGACAAGTGGCCGGCCCAGATGGCACCACAATCGTCGCGTCCCACGAACTCGAGAGAGTTGTCCCACGATTTTTTGGTGCTCGGGGAGAATCACCGCAAGCGACCACCGTTTGGGCTCTTGTAATGTCGAGGGAAATACTGGCACACGTGTTGTCGACGACAGGTTCAATGCTCGGACAGATTCCAGACTCGGAATCTTCGAAAGCTGTGGATGCTGGTGAACAGTCGTGGGAACGGCTTTGGGCTCAAGAGCAGCCTGCTTGGAACGATCTCGTTCCAGACGCTATGGCCACCGGTGCTCGTCTCCATCGTGTTCTAAGCGGCGGCGGTGGATGGGGGAAGAAAGCTGGTTTGCTCTCATTGGACCCCGCTGTCAATACCCTCGAAACATCGTCCGAAGAGAATATGGCCGATGGTCCAAGCGATCTCTCGTCCGCTTTGCAGCCAGTCGTGCGGAATGGGGACTTCGTTCAATTTTTCACCTCGCCCTCCGAACCCGCATCCAAGTCACAGTTCAAAGTGGGCACGCTAAATCAACTGAGGGGATTTAAGAAGAGGTGGCGTTGGGAGTTTGGCATCATCCCCAGTACCGCAGATGCGCTTACCGCGAGTTCATGGCAGCATGATAATGTAGCTCCCAAGGATACATTTGTTTTCCGGGGCAGCTTCGGCGCGCTGACCGAAGGTGGTATCACTATCAACCGGCAGTTCAGGCTTCATGAAAAGGACGCACCCTCTGTGGTTGGTGCAAGTAAGGTGGATGTTCCGTTTTCGCGATTCTCTGCTGTGCAGATTGGAGATGATCTAGGGAATGTAGGTGGGTTGTAAGATGTATATTTTCCGTGTTCTAATAGTTGGTAGCCGATCAAACGAAAAAGTCATGCAGAATCACATTCATCTCCCAATTCGGTGGTGAGCCTTCGTCCCATGTATTCTTGGTGCGTACGTGCTGATGATTGATTTTTTCGATAGGTGGGTGTGTCCGGTTCGTTACGACGCAAGATCAGAAAACGAGCTAGGGACGCTTCGTGGAAATCCAGCCAGTCTCACACCGACATGTCCAATGCTGCTGCAGTCCGAACCGATATCTTAGGCCATACAATAAATTCAGGAAGGGATGCACCTCCAACCGTTAATGTACGCCATGCCAGACGCAATCGTACTCGTCGAGATTTTGGAAGGGAAACGTTCCTCCGATGCTGGGACGAAGCTGGCCAGGCGATTCGCGAGACGTCTAAACTCATCGACGATGCTCGCCATCTTTTGTACCGCGCCCGCTACGAACACAAACGAAATCTTAACCCGACTCGGATTCACATCAAAGAATTAGCCAACACCACAGAAGAGAGCAACTTCCGCATAACCACCATACAAGAAGAACTCGAGACCATCCTCAACACCACCCTTCCGGCCTTGAATCCCATCACCAGAATCCCCTTACTAGGCCGGTACTCCGCTTTCAGAAAATACATGTTCGGCATCAACACCAAAACCAGAGATCTCAAAAGACAACTCGTCGCCCTGCACAACGCTATGCTCTCGATACTCATGTCATCATCTTCTGCTATCCCCGCGTTGTCAAGACGGATTAGACAGCTTGGGCGCACAAGAGCTCGTTTTGGTCCACGCAGGCGACAAACGATCCCCAAATCACCATCCTCTCCTACCCCTGCGCTAGCCAAACGGAAGATTGGGCATCGTAGGCGCAGAAGTTTCAGGAAATCATATGTTCCATCGATACGCTCCTATGATAGCGTGCGCGGACGGGAACGCAGGTGGGAGGGAGTTAAAATCAAGCAGGTGTATGTTGGGCGAGAGAAAAGGAGGGTCAGGGTTCGGAATGTGGTCAGTAAATCACGGACATCTTCACCGCTTGTAAGACACGTCAATGTCACGAGCGAAAGCGGCAGGATGAGGAGGAGAGAAAGAAAACAAGCGCTGCTGAGCCTTGTACAAGGGTGGTTGGGAGACGTCGATATCGCCCTGCCCCCGCCCACCTTCTCTTCATCCCCCGACAACGCCTTCCCAGAGACCAATTACACGTGGGGTTGGCCGACCGCCAATCTCAAAAACCCCAGCGCCGTCCCGCTTCCCCCAACGAACAGATCATTCGGAGCCCAATTCAACCAAGCGGTGAAGCAGGCGCCCAAGGATCCTGCACAGGTACATGCACTGGAATCCATCATCAACAACGACAACCCTCCTATCGCAGACACGCATCCCACACACCGTGACAACGAAACCGAACAAGAAAACGCAGATGGCAAAAACAACCCTAAAGAAGACCAAAACGGCAGTCTTGACACATGGTCTTCTAAACCTAAATTACCACAACGCAGATTCGGCGCCGCAGCGGCGATGGATTCCGCTCACCCTAAAATCATCGAAAAGAAGGAAGGGGAAGAAGCTAAGAGGCAGAGGTTGGCTGGGGATGACGAGGAGTGGTAGCTCTTGCGTAAATTGTGCTACGATACGAAAGGTTGGAAAAGGGATGGGGGGAGGGTACATCCTTGCTTCCCGTCCCAGCCCCTCCTGACACGCTTGTGAATACCGTTGTACGATAGTAAGTCGATAGAAAGATGCCTTGTACACATGTACGATGTATGTAAGAAAGGAGGGGGGAAGGTCATGTGATCCCCTTAGCTCCGGTGTGTATATAAACCCTTCCTGTTCCCTACTTCTCCTTCTTCCTCTTCCTCTTCCTATCTCTACATAGGAGATCTATCCATCAAATCCTTATTTCCCAATGGATTATGTCAATATGCATGAGAAAAAAACTTAGGGGGAAACTAAAAAAGTCATTCGTCACCTTTGCATGTCTGGAAGACTGTCTTGTCTGTTTTCCAATATGTCTACACAAAACATCACATGTCTTTCCCTGGGGCGAGCGGACCTAAAAAACTTTTGCGACTTGCTCATGGTGTTTGTAGGATCGTGTCTGTCCGTCTGCCTGTTTGCTCAAAAGCAATTTCCACGCAATATGTTGGTTTTTTGGTGGCAACTAGAAATACAGCAGCCCTGGGTATGATGTTTAAAAGACTTTTCTTGGCTTGATTGATGAGCAATAATTTTATGAAATTATCGACATCATTTGCCACTGTTTTTAGAGGGATTAGAACTCTAAACACTCAAAGATGAGACATCACGTTTTGGAGGACTGCTTCTATCTATCTGTCTGTTTATTCTAAACATGAATTTTTGGGGAACAATGGTTTGTGGAGGGACTAAAAACAATCACACGACACCCGTTATGTTTGGAGGACTTTTTCTGTGTGCTTATCTGTTTCCTAAAATGTCTAAAAACAACCAGGACATGTTTTTTTTCGGTGGAAATAAAGATGATACGAAATGCTACATGTGTGGAGGGATTAAAAACAGGATTAGCAATATTGTTATGTTTGTGGGGACTACTAAAGAATCATACACCCGCTATCAATTTTTGGAGGACAACGTTTTCTGAACAGATTCATGCATCTATGACCATGTCTTGCTTTGTTAGGGAGCTTTAAAAAAAGGAATTAGTTGATATGATGTTTGGTGAGGCAGAAAACAGACTCCAACTAGCCATGTCATGTTTGGAGAAGACCTGCTGTGGGATAATTAAATAACATTTCAAAACGGGATTAATGTGTCGCTCTTCGAGGAGAGGATTATAATATTATTATCAACAATAAACATTTCAAGTCATGACAGAAACTACAGATTTTAAATAATTTTTTTGGAGGATTGTCTGTTTCAGAACCACAACAACTTGTTTCTATGTCTGAAAGGGAGACTAAAAAATTATTAAATAAGGGTTGGATGTTTGTTGGACATGAAAAAACACAATAGAAATTTTTGATGTTTGGAGGAGCCCTTGTTTAGGAACGATACAGCTAATGTTACATGAGCTGAGTAATACAATACCTAGAGTTAATGACATGTTTGTTGGAGCTGGAAGAATACCATTAGACTCTATAAACTTTCTTGTTATGTATGTTTTGTGACAACAAAGGCACGGGTGAATGCTTATTGGAGGGAGCTGAGAAAGCACTTGAGCACCTAGAACATTTTGTTATAATCAAAAAAGCGGTGAACGCACTATGTTTGGGCGTTTGAAATATCAAAAAACATTGAATTGAATTGAATTGAATTGAATTGAGGATTTAGTATTTAGTATTTAGAGGAACCATAATGGCAATGGCAGGAATTCTATGTTTTCTGAGACTAAAAGAATACTAAGATATTGATGACATCTTAAGGAGTGTCTATCTCAAAAGGTCAAAACGAAAAATGACTATGGATCTGAAAAAGGCTAAAAGCACAATCTAAAAAAATTTTATGTTTGCAGAACATAAAATGAGTTCATCTTGCAGACTACGTTTAATCTGCATATGATACGCATGAGTTTCGAGAAGGACTTAGAGGTCCTCAGCGCTAGTAATATATTTATAGGACTTAAATTCTATCTACTTAATTACGATATCTGCAGGAACTCTTTTCCTTAAATAAGAAAGATAACATCAACTTCCTGATGGGATTCTGGAGGAATTTAGAAACAAATAACTGCAACACTATATTTGCGGAACTCGAAACCTACCTCTCACTATGAAAATATATGGGGAGACTTTTTTTTCCTGAAAAACGAAGGCATGCAGTCTACTATGGACTTTTAAAGGAACTAAAAATCTTAAACAATCTACTGCGATGTCTGTGATGTCTGCGGGATCACAAGCTCTTTATTTAGCCTATAGTACCTTAGAGAAATAAATTGCTTCTTAAATTAAAATATCGAACGTGTTCATGGGATTTTGAAGAGAATCAAGCTCATATTAGCTAAGGTAATATTTGGTGGGAGTGTATGGTGGAGTTTTTAAAACTTGAACCTTAAGCACTATACTCTGTTAGTAGGACCTAAAAAACAATCCTGAAGATGTTTATCTCTGTACTGATATCTTAGTCTAAATGTCTTGTTGTTACGACTCAATGTGTTTTGATTTCTGGATAATTCAAAAAGACTACAGATCTTTATTGATGTTACTTGGGAGGTGTGCGTTCTGAATCAAGCTCTAGTAGTGAATTTGATGTTGCGTAGGGAAACAAAATAACAAATAGTGTGAAAATCATGTGTAGTAAAAGTTTTTTATCAATCATGTGCAATTTAAGTAAGATTTTATTATGAATAAATTGAGATAACTACTATAACCATGCATGGTGGGCTGAGCCTATTTGTAAAAATCGCATATCTACTTGCGCATATTGTTCGATGGAATTGATAAACTTCAGAAAAGGCCAATATAACCGCTCAGACGTGCTTTGTTCTAGAAAATGCTAGGCTTGCGTGGGTTATGTTGTATCGGCTAAATTAAAAAAGCGCGACCAAAAAGGCTGTTTATGGCAGAGACCTTGACTTGACCATACAACTCATGATATTTGAGAGTGTTGAGATTCTTTTGGGGGGGGGGGGTTGCAATAGAAGTAGAGCCGATTGCAAGACATGTTCTGGGGAGGAACCTAGCCAAAGCCTCTCAACGAAAATTCATACATATGTCATTAAAGGCGCGGGTTAGAGCACGCCTGCTGTGAAACTATGCTTGGGATAAGATCTGGCTGTAATGTCGAGCTCGCAAGTTTTATGCTGTGGAGTGGATTCCCTAAATTGAGACTGGGGATTAACAAGGCACGGAATGCAAAGGGAAGTTCGAAGGTCAATATATCTCAGGAGGATTGTTTGGCTCAAAAATCATCAGAATCACTGATCATTTTTGGGGGAAAAGAATACAACATGAGCACAAGTATGAATTCGTTTTGTGGAATATTGAAACAGTTGAACGAAAATGGCTGGCCCAGCTTGTAATCCCTGGGGTTGAGATAGGCCTAAAGAACGCATTGGAGGTCCGCCGAGGATGAGCGATCAAATCTTAGGTGCTGGGCATGACTATGTATGATGAGAGTAGACCAAAATGTCAGAATTACAGCAAAATTTTACTGGATAGAAGCAAGTAGTACCAAGAAATTGATTTCGGGGCTCGTGTTCTTAGAGACGAAGAGTAAAAAGGGTTTGAGGGTGAAAATTCCAGGGCAGCGTGTGCGCACGGCTTTTAAGGGGAATCGCAAATAAGGAACGGTGTTTTCGGAGAATAGGGTTGGTCAGATGAGTGCTTATTATTGATCGTTACATTACCCGTTCGATGCAGCGTTCACCTCTTCGCTGCATAAAGAACAGCAAGAACTGCTTACTATGTGGGCCTTAATGGTTTAAAGAGGAATGGCCTTAGTGTATGTGGCTTAGAGTTTGTAAAAGCACAAGGAAGTAAGATGTATATTACAGCTTGAGATTAGGGAACCGATGAAGTTGTAGGAGTGGATTGGATGAATCAAGCTTCTCGAGAACTGTTCAAAGTCTCAGGCATACAAATTTATCGTAATGGGCGAGTGGCAGGGAATAAGGAAAGTTCGCACGAGAATGTTGTTTCCGCAGGGTCAATTTTATGCTGGATTAACCGTTGTATTAAATTGGAACAGGTGTTTTCCATGTTTCAATTACTAAAACTAAGAATACTACCTGATCTGCAAGAGATTGGAATTCTCCATCTCGAGCCGATCGAGCCGGGGTAAGTCTCGGAAAGGATTCAGGCTTGGCGGAGTGAATGTAAACTAAAACTTGACTAGCTGAGTCGCAACGATCCAATTAGAGCGTAGATCAGCCCCAGGATCTACAGGTACGAAATACGCATACGAGGAACGTACGAAGAACGCCTCTTTACGCATACGCATACGCATACGCATATACCCACTTCGTAACTGCCTAGTTTGATACGGACCAGAGCGCACTCGGGATCTGCATTAAGCAATACAATCGTAAACTTCACTTCAATTTGTTCTTGCGATGCTGATGAGCAGCATCGTGCTCGTAACGCTGCCTCATTGGCGTCTTCATGTTTGTTTGCAATGGTGATGAAGGAGCATGTTTTACATCCACCATAGTAATTTTATTCTTGATTCCATTGCCTCGGCGCATGAAACATGAGTGGATACTCATGATTATATCTAACCGAGTATCTGGCCAACAAGTGGCTCCTGGTAGTAAACACGCTGTGAGCAGTCCGCGGAGAACAGCATCTGGGCTCTTGTGTGCATAACAAACAGCATATATGCAAGTAGGTCTGCAGGGACTACCAATCACAGGAGCGATATTTACAAGCATTCGAAGCGAGCAGCCACTTCCGGGACGATCACAATAGAGTTGCTTCATTTGGTCTTCTTATGGTGCGTAACTATTAGCCTACCGTAGTATGTGCATGTTTGCATTGAGCCGTTTGAGGAATAAGACGAGCAATCACTTCCTTGCAGTATTCGAGATCCTTACCCTCTGCTATATGATCGATCTATATAAGAACGCTCATTCTGCGCCTTGAAGAGACATTGCCAATTCCTCGAGTTTGCTCAGTTGGATCACATCAAGACTCAAACATAACCGAAATGAAATTCCTCGCCTTTTCCACCAGCCTCGCGCTTACTCTCTCTTTTTCACCATCACTGGCCCTCCCAGCTGGGTCATCCGATGCTGGAGAATGGAAAACACCCGGCGAAGGAGATGGTACGACATCTGCAACAATTGAAGTATGAAAATCATCTAACGTATGAGAAACAGATCGGGGTCCTTGTCCTATGCTCAACACTCTGGCCAATCATGGCTATCTACCTCGAAACGGCAGAGGAATCAGCAAGGACATGGCTATTAAAGCCTTAGACGAAGTTCTCAACTGGGACGTGACGGTCGTTTCCGACCTGTACGACTTTGCTCAACCCACCAACCCAGAACCAAATGCAACAACCATTAATCTCAAGGAGTTGACGACTCATAACATTCTTGAGCATGATGCTAGTTTGAGGTAAGCTTCCCCTAGAGTTCCACCCCGTTGAATATTGGGGCTGACATTTCTCTTTCTCTAGTCGTCAGGACAGCCAGTTTGGTCCCGCTGACGTCTTCAACGAGAAGATCTGGAACGAAACGGTTGCACATTTTACGGGAGATACTATCAACGTTGACATGGCTACCAAAGCTCGCACTGATCGTACTGTTGCGGCTGCGGCGACGAACGCCCTCTTTACGTTCCCCCAACTGGGCATGAACTTCCAGTATGGCGAGACAGCAGCCTACCAGTTCGTATTCGGGGAATGGAATCTCGACTCGGAGGATGTGAAGAGCCGAATCTTGACACCCAAGACATATATCGAGTACTTCTTCAGTATGCCACCCTCTAGCTTTGGATAGTGAAGGCTGATAACTAACTGCACTTCCACTTTGTAGAAAATGAGCGCCTTCCGATCGAACTAGGCTGGAAGAAGCCTGTTAATCGGCTAGTTATGGACACCTTGCAAGCTTTCACAATAAGCATGATGGAACTGGCTCAAAGCCAAATGGAGGAGAAAGCGTGAATTTACGCGAACGGGGGTGGCAAAGGATCTCCCAACATGATGCAGTAGATAGTAGGTAGTGCATAATCTTTGCATATGTACTATCTCAAAGAAAATGCAGTGCCCGCAGTGTTTGCACTCGGAGCTATTCGCTTTGCTATCTATTTCATCTTTCATACCATTTGCCTTTCCTCTCGTTGTCGTTTGCGCCACACACGATGTCTTGGTTGTCAGTGATTATGGTCCTTGCCACCTTAAGAACTCTTAGGCCGTTGATGTACAAACACGATATTTTCGTCAAATATCTTCCCACTTACGATCTACTGGTGATTCAAATTTCCGCGCGCCCGTTTGTTTATGAGTACTGTGTCACTAGTGTGTCTGCCACAAGCACTGGCTTGGTTTCCAGTATAAAAGTCGGACCATATCTGCTGTGATATCCGCAATAGAAGCAAAGCTTACCCCGTACCTGAATTTTCCCTTGTTTGTCCAACAGACCCGTTGAGCCTCATCAATTGCTCCGATGGTTGGCAATAGGATTGCCGATCAACAATGTTTTCCCACGGTCGGGATCTCCGAACCCAGTTTCATCATAGCGTGTCCAAACTCAGTAAGGTCTAGAACAAGAATACGCATACGCATACGCATACGAATACGAGTATGTGAGCTATGCCGCGCTATCATCTTAACGGCTATAGATAGGAAAAAGACCACTGCATGGGCACTTTTTGGATCTTATCGGCGGAGAAGAATATCAGATACTGTTCACGGATTTGTCATTTCTTACATCGCGAATAAAAAATATGTCCGCAGACTCCAATATAGGAGTATCGGAGAGGAGAGAACTAATCGCGCTGGTATATGGTGGGAAATCGTTGCACGAGCTTATTACTATACGGTTCGAACATGCGAAATCAGTTCACCTGCTCTGCGCTATCTGAATCGAGCTTTCATCATGCGCTAACACTCTCCACTCTGTATCGAATTGATCCTGGAAACCCTTGGGCCGCATTGGCACGTGGCTTACGCGTCGGACATTTCTGGAAGCTATAAGTTGTAAAGTTAGTCTGGTCATCTTACTCAAGCTATGTACAAGACTATCTCCTTCCCCGAGAGAACTGTCTCTTTGCTGTTCCTTCCCCTCAAGTCAAATCCGATTACCCGTCTTTTCTCCCGTTTCAAAACAGCCATTCGTTGACAATCATGGCTGAAAATGGGGCCAATGACTTCAGACTTTATCGTTATGATCCCTCAATGGCAGCGGCTGTCATCTTCATTATCCTATTCACATTGATAACAGCGATACACTCCTACCAACTGATACGCACGCGAGCATGGATCTTCATACCGTTTGTCATTGGAGGCTTCTGTGAGTATCTGCGCGCTGCAACATTGAGTATGTAACTAACATTGTCCAGTCCAATGTATTGGGTACATTGGTGTGAGTACAATTCCGTTACGCTACGATAGACCTGCACTAAGAATTCGTGCTATAGAGAGCAAAATCATCATCCGAATCCCCGAATTGGACTGTACCTACGTATTCCTTATCAACGATCCTACTCCTCGTCGCCCCGGCGCTATACGCAGCGAGCATATACATGATCCTTGGTCGCATTATCCTTCTTACGGACGGTGAATCCCATTCCGTCATCCCCAAAAAGTGGCTCACGAAGATCTTTGTGGTCGGAGATGTTGTGTCTTTTCTGATGCAAGGCGCTGGTAAGCCCCGAATCTTTTTGGGTGAAGCCAATTGGATATTCGCTGATACAGAGAACCAGGCGGAGGTATCATGGCATCCGGAACGATCAGTGCCTTACACACTGGAGAGAACATTATCATCGGCGGGCTTGTGGTGCAGCTTCTGTTCTTTGGTTGCTTCATGGTCACAAGCGCCATATTCCACGTGCGCATGCGCAAGTCCCCGTCCCCTACAATTGTTTACGGACCGATAAACTGGGAAATACATTTGTACGCTCTTTATGGGTCGAGTGCACTCATTCTTGTTCGTTCGGTATTCCGTTTGATTGAGTATGCGCAAGGAAATGACGGGTACTTGATCTCTCACGAAGCTTTCCTGTATATATTCGATTCGGCGCACATGCTGGCCACCATGATCCTTATGGCATGGATCCATCCGAGTGAGATAACCGCGAAGCTGAAAGGTGGTAAGAGCAAGGCCGTCCGCCGTGTTGTTTCGGTATACTCTCTGACATGAGAGATCGTTCTTGATACAAAACGATATTTTGAATAGACAGACACGAGTGTGTTGTGTCTATCAAAGAGTACCAGGTCGTCGAGGTGACACTTGAAGAATTGAATAGATATCGTAACCGAATATCGCAATCGCTTGAGTAGGGCACATTTTGGTGCAGTCAACATCCGAGAGCGGCGAGTGGTTTATTTGTTGGCTATCGGAGGACAAATTCTAGCGTTGACACGCTTGTGTATCTATAGATCCGCAAAACCAAAGTTTGCAAGAAGAGAAAAGTGACATCTCGTGTTTTTCCAATGAATCCTGTCATCACTCATTAGTGTAGATGCAGTATTTTGCCGCATCCAATATACAACGAGTCACTAACGTCCGAGTAACTGATTTTTCGAAAGCGTGAAAAGGCATATGTTTGCGTTCTTAATTTTGATATTGGTTATCTTCGACGACGAGAGCAGCGCAGTCTCTTGCCCACTGTGTCCAAGTAACCCACTCTGGGTCTGCATCATGGAGAGAGCTTGCCAGATTCTCGATAACATTAACACCGGTATGTTTTGCCCACCATCTATCACGAGCGTAGAGCAGTAATACACCATAGTGAATGAAAATGAATTGAGCCATAGGATCGTTCTGCTTAAAAAGCCTTACGAGTCCCTTGCCAGCCATAGCAGGCCAAGAAATAATGGGACCAAGGTGCTGAGACTTGCTCATGTAACCGAAGACTGTTTCCAAGCTGTCGATTCCCATGACATAAGACTTTTGCTGCTCGGAGTCGATGGTATCAGCAAGACTATCTGCCCGCTCGCGAAGCTTCAGCAACGCATCGGTTGTATCATTGCTGAGCGTATGCTCTTCCATCGTGAAAGGAAATGCTTCGAAGAGTGCCGCCAATTTCCCCTCACGGAACGAAGAAGCATCTATGTCATTGATGAAGCCCGTACCTTGTAGGAGTTCAAGTAGCATGATGATACCTTCAGTGTGTGAAGAATGCGTAGGGTCCGGACAGACGTTGGGAAACGCCAGAGCTAGTATATTGATGATGACGGAAAATGCAAAAAGGGCATCGCTGTTATCTTTTGTGATTTTTTCGAGTGCGTACTTGTACTTTTGCAGCCCAGCAGTCTGGTATTTAATGGCAATCTCAGTATATTGCCACCGCAAATTTGGGTTCTGGGATGCAAAATGTAGCGAGGAGAGTGCGAGAAGTCCATCCATGAGAAATTCATGCAAAACCGCCTCTCCAGGGACCACTTGTTTCCATATGTCGATGTCGGTTGAGCCATGGGACATAGTTTCGCACGTAATCGTTGTGTAATGTATCACAAGCCGCAGTTCCTGTAATCGGGTGATCCCGACAGGCGCCAGATTCATTGCACTCTGCTGGCAAGAGCAGTTCAGAGTCGCCTGCGGCGTGTCACTTGGCCCATATTGTGCAAGGTGACCATTTCCTGGACTAGTATTGCGTGCAGCGGCTTGAGAAGTGGGTGTCACTGAGTTATCGTATGCGCATGACACGAGACGCTTGATACAATTTTGACATGAGGGATATTCTTCTCCACACTGGAGTACTGTGTGAGTATTCGGTAAAACGTAAATAAACGTGTGGTTTCAGTGCGTCCATGGCGAGCGGCGTTACCATCTAAGGCGCAATACGGATCTAGTGCGTACCTTTATGTGCCTCTTCTTGCAAGGCAAACAGCCGTTACGAGACTTCGAGTGTGCTTTGCGTATTGGCATGGGGTATCGAGAGCGGACATAGGACACGTAGCTGCAGTATGTGAGGTAGTGTGAAAGACATGAGATGGAACATTGCCGCTAGCCTAATCAACTATATCGACAGTAGTGCGACATACACCACCAACCGAGGCACGGTGAAAATGGTAGCTTGAGTATAAGGTTTAAGATACCATTCTGGGTGATCGTGGTCGTTAATGGTATTGGCGAATGGAATATATTGGGATTTTCAATCCATCTAGATACCTACATATTTAGGTACCTACCTAGGTACATATGAAGGTATCCATGGATATTCCTCCGGAGTGGACGGTGGGTCACATGACTTTTTCGTGCCACGTGATGCTCTACACACACATGTGCACATACCTAGGTACCTACATACGTAATTGGGTACATACATATTTATTTACTTTTTAAATGTCGTATTGACCACTTTAGATCGATTCATTTTCAACTATCCCCAATTTCAGTGTTGAAAACGTACAATCACTTGGTTTGAATGTCATCGGAGGGTTTTTGTATTGATTCAATGTTTAGAAGCATCAATGGAATAAATGAAGAGTGAGGGCTTCAAGGCGACTGCATCGTTCTGCTTGATTTCGAGTCATATCCTTGCAGCTTACTGAGGCCATCGCGATGAATAAGATGCGGATGAAAACTACCCGCGAATAAGTATAGTGCGTTGCCTAAAAGACAACGTCCATACACGCTCTTACGGTGTTACAGTGAAGTATAACTATTCTAGAATTACCATAATATAATTACTCATGGCGGATGGCAACGCGCTTCCATAAGATCAGATCTACATGTCATAATGGCAATAGAACAGTAGGTAACCTAGTTGGTGCAGTCCAACACAGAAGTGGAACTCTTGGGTTAGGAGAGGTATGCAAATCTTGTGCACCATGTTCTAGAAATAAAACGTTCGCTTTCTCTAAATCGCGGAATGACACCAAAAGTGTGTGCATTCCGCGAATTGTAGGGTCTTGCGATTTATGACCAAAGAGAGAACCTTCCTCAGCCTTCCATGCAGGATTTGACTTTGAAATCCATTGAAGATTCGAATCTATGCCGAAAAAGCGCGGAAAAAATCTGTGGTCATTTGATTGAAATCAAAAGTGAGATGGCGCTCGTAATGGCGAACGATATTTTGTGTCAGCAGGTGCACCTCAACGTGCCGCTTTACTTCCAGTTGCAGATGCTATCTCGATCGGTCCACTCATTGATTTCGAAGGCATTGTGGCTTTCGGAGATATCAGCCACCTCAAGAGTGCCAGACCGCTTCCCCACGATCATTGACCCATACCACCAGTCAGATGCCGGCTTTTGAGATGGAACATAAGCGTGCTACCTGGATGCTGATGTCTAATCTGAGTAAGAGGATATCATTCATTCTCTAGTAAGCATTCCAAAAACCACAAAAGTTTAAATGTTAGCAAGGATGTGTCGCATGCTGGTCCTGTTTATCGGGCTATTACGTGGTACGAAGTAGTGAGATATATGTCGTGCATCAAGTGCATTCCTCCTTGCATTATAGACATCCTTTGCTTAGTTCGGGTGAAACTATATCTCCATAACAAAATAATAGTCTACAAGCTTGACGAATGCGAGTATTGTGACGACGAGCAGTAGATGGATGGATGGATTGATGGATGAGATCACATTACGTTGATTTCCAAATCGTCTTGATGATTGAATATTACTCTTCCGAGATACACCTCCTGTTCTTGTCCCCGTCGTTTCGATTTGTGGAATAATATTTGTATCCGAAAACCGTGACGCAAAATCGGCAAGTTCAGGAAGAGCAGAAGTCAGCCTATCATGAACCAGTATTGAAGAGCATGCTTGCCTGCATGTCATCCGAAGGCTTTTGAAAGAATGTGGAGGATCGTAGAGACAAGAAATGACCCGCTCAGTGCACAATGCTCAAACTCAAAATGAAAGCGAGTATGGTCCATGACTTATGCACGGCCCCGAATGGTCACCAACAGGATGAGGGATTCTGAACTCTTCGTATTGAGCATGGGGCAGGTTCCTATCACACTTACCGGCAGGGACTGTTGGAACATATTCCGAATGTCTCTATGCTGATCCTTCAAGCGTGTAAGACCGGCATATGCCGAAGACACGGCATATGTGAGATGTGGAGTCTTGGTATGAATCGATACGCGAATCGGCCGGATCTCCGAATTACTAGCAAAAATATTTGTTCCATTGCACCTACGCCGATCTGAAATAGGTTTCTCGCACGTAAACACAACGCGCCTACTTCCACGGACTACGTAGTTCGCGAAAGTAGTCATATCGAGTGACGAGCGACTTTCGCAAGTGTGATCTGGCCCGAGTCAGTGGAGCAGCTGTCTTTTGATCATAAGCGAAAGCTATTTCCAGCTGTCACAAGGTGCTTGGTATCTTTCAACGCATCCTTCAATAGTCAAAGGAGCCGGTACATCGGGACTTTCTGCATCATCGTCAACGGGAGCACTGATCATTCTGGCGGCCGACCCCACTTTTACATAAAAAGTCTATTCATCCGTCATTTGCCAAAAGCCGAACCAGAAATTTCAACGTGCTGAATACGAACTTTTCGATTCCAGGGCGTTGGTCGTGCAGTTGAACCGTATCAGCTACCCGTTTTCAGCTACAAGATTGTGTCCTCGTTGGTTGAAGAAACGATTAACAAATTTCTGCGTTAGCCTGCCTATAACTGTTAAATATCGTCAAACTACGGTCCTAATAGTGACATATCGGATAGGAAGGATTTGTGACAGATCACAGCGATTCAAGAATATCGGTTAGCAATGTCTTGACGCACAGACTTCTCAACGCGAACTGGTAGCGGCGGGCGGCTCGTGTCCCTGCATCCGCTGTAGGGATTGTGAGATCTAGCCTCTGCCACCAACCTGGCTTGGTCAATCCTCATTCCTCAGCGGCCGATTATCACATCCATCCTCTGAGCACTGCAGCTGCCTACACGAAAAGCCACCAGAGTTATTCCACGAATGATTCATTGTATTCCACCGGCCGCCTACCCTGGGCCCTTACATTGGATCAGGCGTCCTGGAGGTTTTCAGATGGCGTTGGAAGGATCCAATGGTGTATGCACGCTGTCCCGTCCCGTATTCTCGTTTCCTAAAATGAATCGTCATTTCGTTGAGCTCTCAGGCTACTGTTGCGCGCTGAGAGTTTGAGATCAATGCCAATGGTCTAAGAAGTGATATCTGATCTCATCTTCAGTCTCATCTCAGCAAGAAGAGGGCGCCTGCATGGCATTCGTTGCCTAAACGAGTTTGAGCTGTGCTTGTTCATGAATTATCGTCGTGGCTAGGAATCCAATCATGGGGTGTCCAGGATCCGTCTTCTGTGTTGCGCCGTCAGCCGTTGAACTTTATCAGTATAAGCTCCTGTTTCTCAACGTTTGTTTCGGCAGCTGTCAGTTTGTTGCAACCAGCATCAAGCTGCTAATTCTGCCATCGTATGCGTGACAGCAGTGCACGTACGTGAAGCTGAGTGGCGGCTTAGTGGCGGCTGACCCAACCACCCGGCTCTAGGACCGCCTTATACACGAAGGAACAGTCTAGTGCGTCGTTTCAATACCTTCTCCTGCCTTCTGGAAGGATTTGAAAATAGCCTGAATTTGTATGATTCTCGCCATGCAGCTTAGTATCCCGATGCGGTTGCATCGTGCTTGCCGCGCTACCATCATGGAGGTATAAGAATCGCCGTCGTTTCTATGTCTGCAAATCACTCTGTCGCTTCAGGTCGTCTGGCATATTCTCGTCCTAATAATTCCTGCGAATATCCACTCTTTCATCATGTTGACCAAGTACGCAGCAACCGCACTGCTGGCCACAGCCGTGTATGGCAAGCCTCTTCTCACCACCGAGGAAGGCCAACTCATGCCACGTCAGGGTCCAGGCTCTTACTATCCAATTACTGGTGCAACTGGCGGTGTTTTCCCTCGTCTCGAGATTCGTGAATTGGAAAAGACTGGTGGGCCACCTTCATCGTGTCTGATGCTTCAAATCTCTAACATGCGGCAAAGGCGAGATGTGGAACTTGTTCCTGTTAGCCATGACGGATTTCCAAGCGATCGATCAGAAAGTCATTGACTCTTATTATCAAATTGCTGGTAAGCCATCGAATCACACCGAATAGCTCTTTCAATAATTTTCTAACCACTCAAACAGGGATCCACGGAATGCCATGGTTAGTCAGCCTTCTGCGACTGACAGTTCAGGATTAACTTGGCCAACAGGTATCCATGGGATGGCGTTGATGTTGCAGTGAGGCCGGCAATGGGTTACTGTCCTCACAACCAGCTGCTTTTCGGAACATGGCACAGGCCTTACCTGATGCTGTTCGAGGTAGGTGAATCCAAATTGAGCTTGGTGACCACAAGCACTAACTTTTGATAGCAAAAACTGCAAAAGATTGCCAAGGGCATTGCCGACAAGTTTCCCAGTGCCACGAAGGCAAAATACCAGGACGCTGCCAACAAGCTCCGTATCCCTCATTGGGATTGGGCACTAGCGATTGCTTCAAACCAGCCAGTTTATCCTACTGCTGTTTCGAACGAGAAAATCCGCGTGACTTTCCCTAATGGCACCGCTGCCAACATCGACAACCCACTCTTCAACTATGATTTCCATCCTCTTAATAACAGAGAGTTCAATGGAACGGTAAGTTTCTTTTTAACCCATTATTCACACACCAGTTAGCTCATTTGCGTTCCAGGGTTGCCCAGAAGGGGCAGGTGAACCTTCAGTGTGCCAAAATTCTCCTCGTACCATCCGTCCCGCCACTGCGGATCTCAACGCGGCGTTCCGCAGTGCCCTCGACAGTCAGCGCAGTTCTTTGGCCAGAGTCCTCACGCTTGGAGAAAACTTCAACTCGATCTCAACGACCGGTGGCTGCGGATCGCAGAGATATGGAAGCATCGAGGGCGTACACGGCCCCGTTCATACCATGCATTTCCCTGGTCATATGGCACCTGCAGGCGCTACAGCTTTCGATCCCGTTTTCTGGCTACACCACGCGTATGTGTACTGATCAACTATGTGAACTCCAGATTACTAACACTTTTCTAGCACTGTCGATCGTCAGATCGCCATTTGGCAGAAGCTCAACCCGGACTCTTACATGAACGCATGCTTTGCTATGAACCCTACTTGGACCATTAACTGGGGTGACGATCTTGACGAGAACTCTGGCAAGTAAACGCTCCATAGTTATGGCTGGCTGGACCACTAATATTCTGGGTGTAGCATTGACTCCCTTCCACAAGAATGCTGCTGGAGACTTCTTGACTTCGAAAGATGTTCGCGACATTGAAAAGCTTGGATACACTTACCCGGAGTTGATCAACACCTCCCAAGCCCAGCTGCGCACCACCATCAAGAATCTGTATGGTGAAGTCCCCGTCGAATCTTTCGCAGCTAAGTCGGCATCGGGCGCGGCCTCGTCCTACACGAAGTATTTGGCCGAGATTCAGCTTCCCACATACGGACTTGATGACGGCGAAGGTGGATCCCTGGCCTACAACGTACTGGTTTTCCTCGGAGATGTCAGCAGCGATTCCAAATCATGGGCCACTTCCCCTAGTCTGGCGGGTTTGGCATCGACCCTGGGTGGTGTGAAGAACAAGAACGACCAGATCGTCCCCTTCCTTGTCGACTTGACCTCTGCTTTGGCCAAGGCCGTTGAGAGTGGAGCGACCACATCAGAGGGCGCTTTGGAGTACTTGAAGAAGAACGTCAGCTATCGCATTGAAATTGTGAGTATAGTGTATGTTTTCATCGGGGCGCGTTACTAACAAACGTAGGGTGGCCGAGCAATTGCGAAAGAGCAACTCAAAGCTTTGGAGGTGGAGCTGATTAGCACTGAGGTTGAAGTTGCAGCGTCTGAAGATGAATTCGACAAGTGGGTCGGTGAGTTTGCGAAGCATGGTGCTATAGACGGCTAAATATTCCTCCGTCACCACAGTTGGATTTAGGATCATCTGTGTTGCCTGGAATAGAGCAAGTAATAGTTTGCAACTTGGCTTTTTGCTCTGTTTTGTATTTCGCTGAGTGAATAGTTACTCTCTGATAGACTACTGTTTCCTCATACCTAGCTTGCACTGCATTTGGTTCCAGCTTTTTGTGAAGTTCAGACATGTTTATTTCTTCTAGTGGTGAGCACCCAGAGCCTGCACGGTGAGAGTTTAGCCGAGTCCGCATTCAACTTTGCCAAAACAACAACGACACTGGTACCATACGCTTGATCTATTATGCTGATGACCTATCTCTCACCTCTATGATTACCTTAACGTAATGTATCCTTTCATACCGCGGTTGGTGGACGTCCTTCAAGTTCTGTTCTCCTTATTAGTGGTCAAATAACTATGATTCGTCCTACACCGATCTGGTTCTCCCCTTTGCTATTAGGCTAGTTCCGAAGGATTCGTGCCGCCAAGGAGATATATATGAAGTGCCGACATTTCATATAAATTTCCCCGGATTATACCCTGTGAAGATCTTGATCGTGCCAATTTTCGCACCCATCAAGCTGGGGCAATGTAGGCTGAAGACGCGGGGGACACAGCTTATGACCACATGTCCACATGGCTGTCAGGATCCTTCGAGGCCGGCTATTCCATATCTCCCGTCCGGGGTAGTATTAAAAGGACCCTTGAGACGCTACCAAGGGTACTGGCGTACTTCCCAAGCACTTCATCAATTTGCAACCAAGATCGCCCCATCATGAAGCTTTTCGCGCCTGTTGCTGCGCTACTTGCGCTGGGATTGTCCGGCACTAACGCCTCTACGATACCTTTGACTAAGCGAACAATCTATGGACCGGGCGGCATCATGAGTGAATAAACCCTCTATTTGATTGGGAGATGATGACTGACGCAGAGTAGCTCCCGGTCAAAACATCAGCGCAATCACAGCTTGGACATATGCCGCGTTTGCGCACGCGACAAACACGATATCCAACAGCACCACAGAGTTGACGTATCTGTGCAAGAACTTTGACGACTTATCGTCGCGCTACTACACCGCTTTTACTCAACCCAACGGAGATGTGGCGAAGCTAGCAAAGGAAGCGATATGCAGTGCTTCGAAAGCCAAAAATCCCTCGCCCCTTCCCGTTGCAAAAAACCAGCTATGGTACGTGAAGTACTACACGGCAGGTGTTCTCAATGCTCAGGCATATGCGGCAAAAACCCCCACACCTAATTGGTTCTTCGATATGTGCTACTACATCGAAGCTACCCTGTTGCGAGGCTTGTGGGCACCTTGCCTGGACACAGATGAAGGGGGTGTTGACGTTGAGAGTGGTTTCTGTGCCTCCGCCGGATACTACTCAAAGGGTCCTTTCTCCACATACACCAGTGCTACTCAGCCTGCCGACATCGCGCGTCAAGCCGACGTTCTGATGTCGAAGGTTATGGGAGCAGTATTCAAACTTCTCGCCAAAGACACCTCACAGATTGACTATGTGTGCAACAACTGGGCGAAGTACGAGGCTGGAATTGGGAAAACCGGATTGGTAGCCAGCACACTTAAAGAGCAGGTCTGCGGGCAAAAGAAGGTCGTCGAGGTGAAGCAGGCGAAGGCGGATCTCGCTAGCCAAATGACTGATCTCTTCATCTTCCAGCTTCTGAAGGCTGGTAACACAGACGGCTATTACGCGTACATGTGCAGCACTTATAGCGCGGAAGCTTTCAACAAGTTTGGATTGAACGGAGCCAAGGTAGTCGACGCATTCTGTAAAGCAGCTGCTTAGATTAGCTTCATAGTTTAAGTCGGACACAGATGGGTGCTTGCGCGCAATGGGATTAGGATTTCATGTATCGATCGTACCTCCTGCATGTTGGAAAATTACCATTTTTTTGTTGGTCTCGAAATAGAGTCATTGTTTCGCGAAAGCATTGCCGTTAAACCATTTCCACGTGAGAACCTTGACGAAGCCATGTGCTTTGACTGCCTTCCAATGCCAAAATAACATGAACGACGGACGATGTACACTGCGAGGTTAGAGTTTAACCATCCCACTGGTATTCTATAGATATAGATAGTGTTTTTTTACCACTCTTAGGTTGCGATGATAAGATTAGTGTGCCTAGGATGCGTCCAGGATTATACAGCTGTGGGTCCCGCTCTGAACGGAAATCCAGTGACCCGCTGGATAGTATCGGGGTATTGCGCCGAAGGCTTGACTTTACCGCATATCGGTCTCATCCAAGTTCACAGGGATATCGGAACGATGCTCTCGCTCAGGTTTCAAACCCTTGCTCTTTTTGCTTCCCACGCAGCAGGCCCGAGGTTAGCGTTTGCGGATCGCATACGGGCGCCTCGTTCTTCATCGCATTGATACTTGTTAAGTCGAAATTCATACACAAAAATGTGCCAAAAAAGTATCGCGCTTCGCAAGATGGAATGATTCTAGAGGTAGATAATCGTGAGAACCGCGCGCAGTAGCGGGCCGATTACATCTTTAAAGTTCCTTCTGAATCAAACTTCGTATTGTTGAAGCCGCTTTGTCATCGTTGGCGCATCGTGAGATGGCATTTTCACGCCATTTTTGCCAGTCGGCGATGGGTTCTTCTCCCAAAGCGGCTAGAATTCCATTGAACAGCCCCAGCGCTTCAACCCCAGACATGCTCATCCCCATTCCCAGTCCAAATATGAAGCGACGAGCTGTATCCGACGATTGAGCGAAACGAGCTAGTCTACTACGCTTAGCTTTCAAAGCTTCTGAAAGATAGCCATCCTGTTCACTAAGACCTGTGGTTCCTCGGAAGATGTCGCCCATGCGAGCAGTCACTAATGAAGGCCCAAAAGCTTCATACATCGGAACAGTCCGGGCGAAACTCCAATCAATAATGCCAGTGATATTGTAATCGTCGTCCACAAAAATATGATCCCCTTTGTCGTCTGTGTGTTTCAAATAGAATGGACCATCGTCCAGTTCCGCTTCGAATTGATTGCATTTCCCATCTAGTGCCAGTTGCTCAAGGTGTTTGAATATGAGATAGGCGTTTACTGGGTACTGACTGAACATCTGTCCGTCAACAATCAATCTCATATACTCTCGAGACCATGCACTGTAGTACTCTCTTCCATTGGCGAATGGTCCAAGATATGATAAAGTTCCTGTCCGATCGCCTGTGATAGGACCAATGCTAATGTTTCCATTGGCATCCAGGGTGAGGGATCCGATCCGGTCAAAGGAATGTTTACTTAAGCGTATATGAAGATCGGCTAACTGAGAATATACCTTGGACAGTTGGGCCTCGCTAGTATCCAGTTGGTTCAAAGGATTCCCGGGAATTTCACTGATCAACATGAAAGCAACGCCAACACTGTTTGAAGGGTCGTTTCGCAAACCATAATCGTAGAGTCTTGGTGCCGGATAATCGATGGTTTCAAGCCACTTGAGTGTCGCGCATTCGCTCAGAAAGATATCATTGCTAAGCCCGTCATCAAACGAGGTGTAGTTCTGGCGGAGAACGCGCACCAGCCATGCAGAATGGTCCGCGAAGATGAGGCGCAGGTGGATGTGCATACCCCCCATGCGGCTCTCTCCAAGGAAGTCGGTCTCATCCAGTCTGCAAGGCATTCCCTGATTGAGGCCTGAGGCTCGCTTCATAAGTGCCTCGTCATTTATTTTAGCGCGTAGGGATTGCAATTCCCTAACTTGAGCGCCTTTCCAGGCAGCATCATCAAGAGGCGCTTCCTTGGCAGAATAATCAGTTTTTTTGCGGGATTCATCTCATCGTTCACACGTACTGAACAGCCATGATGCGCTGCATGCTCAGTGCAGTAATTTTTTGTGCAATGCTCGCAACCACCAATGTCAATGGCTGCAGCATTCGAACACGTGGAAATAGAGCAAGTCCAGAAACGAGACATTCTTGGTCGATTTTCCATGACAAATCGCGAAACAGAAAGGACAAATATTGGTTGAGTTCGAACTCGGGAGTGAGATGTCAAGATGGTCTGTTTAGCAAGCGGGTGGAATCTTCCTAGGTAGGTACTTAAGCGCCGTCAAGTAATACCGGTGAACCTTCTTGGCGTACTTTTTCCGTCATCCGCTCTGCCGCCTTAGCACCTCTCTTTTGACTGAGTAAATACCTAAACCACTCCACAGTTACTCGCACGTGCGTACTGCGCCAGTTGAGGCAGACTTGTTTAGTAAATCTGTACTCACAAATGTCGCTGTTGACTCTACCACAGTAGCAGGGGAATTTATTGGTTATCGTATTCGGGAGAAGCGCCGAACTGAGCCGCCATCCCACTTTGGACACTTTCGGACGTCTTTAGTCTACCGGCTGAGCCGCAACTTCAACAGCTAACTTCATAGTTGCCAAAGAAAGGAGCCGTGCTACGCCGTACACCAGGCTTCTTGATAGGAATTATATGGTCATAATTACTCTGTTTCGGATCCCAGATGTCTCTACTGCTGATGCCTAGATTCACACTGTCACGCAGACTGAGTCGTGCCGCGATGATGCAACTTCACTTCGTCCGGTGAGTGTATTTTCAATATACCTGCCTCTTCTAGTAGTTTGAATATCAACTAAACTCACAATACTAGGTGGCTACCTCATATATCCGTACGGTCACACAGCCTCGTCTGATCTTGGTATCTAGAGAGCATGTAGAAGGATGCGTATATAGATTCCACCTAACTCTAGATCTAAAATCACTCTTCACATTCTATCGCAACCAGCTTCCACACTTCACTTTCTTGTGATTTATTACCATCTTAAAGTACCTCACCATGCGCGACGAAACGACTTCCACGCCAATCAATGCTGCCATTGTCAGTGACCACGAGCCAGTGAATAGCATCGCGTCCGCCCAAAGATGCGTCGAGTCTGGCTGTGACAGCTGGGCAATTGCCGGCTCGCGTTTTTGCTCTACTCGTAAGACTTCTCAGGACCTGTGGCTCTACTATGGCATGCTTATCAGATCACAGACCAAAGATGATCTTGAGATACTGTGTGCTACCCGGATCTCCATGGGGTTGATCAATCAAATCTGAACGAAGGAAAGCAATCGCACATCTGGTAGCGCACGTATACAATACTTCACACTCATTCAACGCTGGCTCTAAATTTTGGTAAATTTGGTGCCTACGAATACAATTTAAATCACTGGTTCACTCACATATCTATGTCTTTTTTGCAAATTCATCACAATTCAATCCTTTTCCAATACAATAGAAAGCATGAAATAGAAACATTGTACCTTGATCAAGAAAACTCCTTCTTAATATGTCCACCTGGACTATATTATATAAGTACCAGCTTGGTATCGGAGTAGTTCTGTTGCACTCACGCATTTCGAACTCACAGCTTCAAGCGTCGACAATCCTTTCCGCCCACCCCTCGTCTCTCAGCCTACTCACCATTCTTTCCATTTCACTTTCCTCCAAACACAACATCACCTCGAAAGGAACCTCAAATTCTGATTGTTTCAATCTCGGCAGGATATGAATATTCCCCTCAGTCTTCGACTTCGGCTTCCGAATCGCCTTAGGCCCATGACCGACGACCCCAGGTATGTTCCACTCACAATCCGTCCCAATATGCATCCAACTTGTTACAAAGAGATCCGGCCCATTGAAGATATCGACGTCGAGCCCGAGATGATGGGGGTTGGGTGTTCTAGCGAAAAGAGAGAGCCGCGGTTTGAGCCAGTCAAGAGTAGTGGATGAAAGTGTTTCCGAAACACTTCGAGCAATCGGCGCAAGATTTTCTGGGGCGATCTTTGTTGAGCCTGCCGATAGCATCTCAGAGACTGAATACGATGCCGTGATGCCCGTAGCGCAATTGCCGAGATATGTGTCGCTGACATAATCCTTGAGATTCTTTCTATGATCAAACGCCATGGTGAGCTTAGTGGTCTTGATGCCCTTTTCTCCAAGATTCGCGTCACGAGAAAGTGTGATTTGCATCCATATGAGTGTGACGAGGGTTGTAAAGCTTGATACACGAGTGCCCGCTAATGATGACAGCTCAGATGCTAGCCTTGATATCGTGGATGAAGAGAACACGATGACTTTCGCCGAAAGATCATATGGGACGCTCCGAAGTGCAGGCTTGCTCGATTTAGTTCCTGGGTAGCGAACCTCGGGGCATTCAGCGGGTTCGGAAGACATGGCCAAGTTATCCAAGGCCCGTCTCTGAGACTCCATTTCCTCAATTTCGACTGGATGAAGATTGATAGACGGGTTTGGCCCGACAGCCGAGCTATTGGAGCTCCACATTCGATAAAAACTAGCGATACCTGCTCCATCGGTCACATTATGGTGTGCGTATACGCTGAGAATCAGCCCTCCTGCGATAAAACTAATTTTAGCCGCCAATGCAGGTATGGGATTCATTTTCTTGAAGCTGACGAGTCCTTCAGCAAGCGCATCATCAAGTCCAGGATGGTCTCGCAAGAGTTTTGGACAGAAAGTATCGCTTGCGAACTTCGAGGGGGAGAAACCTTCAGCTTCAAGATCGTCGAATCGCAAACTGGGGTCGTCGACCAGACTATGGTTTACATCTAGACGCTCATCTACTAGGCCGTCGGAGAAAAATTCGGGGTATTTCAAAGTCAATTGACCTGCTGGCTCCGATGCTGGACAACTAGTGCCAGCCAAAAAGGGGAGCTGGCGAAGTGTCGCAAGAAAGCTTTTCCGGAGAGCTCGGACTGTATCTTTGGATGAACTCAAATCCTCTGTTTGGAAAATGAGTAGCTGCCGCACATACATGCGAAGCATAGTCTGGTCCAAAGTAGTGAGGTGAAAGTTTTTCATACTAGACGACATCTTGAACCCAACTGCGAGGAAGCAATAAGTGATGAATCGCTCAATGTTTGCCCAGAGACTTTTGAAAGTAATGGATGGCTTTGCAGATTGGCATGCGGGGGAAAAGAGCTTTATCATCCACCAGCAAGAGCTTCTATCGGATGATCTGAAAGCGCAAGGGCGCAAGGGCGCAGATGTATTCGATGACTTAAATTCCTATGTAAGTTGATTTCGTCCTATCGCTTAGCGATACCCATGCTCTTGTCAATCTACTCCCAACTTCCTTCTTCACCTAAAATTATGCGAAGCCCTCTAGAAGTTTCGAATGCTTTCGAGACTTCCATAGCAACGAGCCACAGTTTAGCCAATAGGGTAGCCACGTCATAGCCCGGAAGGATTTAAGTTACGCCGTTAGTCACGTGAGGAGAGCTGTTTGTGTAACCTTACCCAGGTATACGCACAAACGCGTTCGCGTACCCCGATTTCTTTCCCACACAACTAACGTCAATTCTAAAAAAGAGTGGGAATAATGCCCGCTAATTCGAGAGATAGGCTTGCGGAGACCGTACCGACCGATGGAATTATCCAACTCCCAAACGATATCATCTTCGAGATCCTCCAACATCTTGATATACCAGACATTAGAAACCTAGGCGGTGAGTATATCGAGAAGCCACTCCAAAGGCTAACAAAGGAAAAGCGGTCTCTCGAAAGCTTCGCATTTCATGAGTAGTTCTTGGTGAAAATTGTTAACGTTGTATAATCTATGCAGGTGCCTGTCCCGTCTTGGACCAGTTCACTTACTCATATCTTGAATCACGTAGATTCCAAACCGGTATTTCCCGGCTCCCACGTAATGTCATTCACCGCATCATGGGATACTTGGAAGTACGTGACATCAGCCGTTTCGCGCAAGTCACTCGAAGGCAAGCAAACAACGCACAGTCCTACCTGCTCGAAACAAATGCCGTTTATTACACGGGGGACTTGCTGTCCTTTGCGGCCAAGAATGGCCTCTTGATGGTTTCGCAAGTCATACTGAAAGCCCTTACACAACTTGGTCTTGGGCACGCTATCAACAGGCGGCATGTCATCAAGATCCGCGAGCGGGAAGAGTACAGAGTGGTCAGTCCTCTTTGCATAACTGCTGCACAAGGGTATACGAAGTTGGTCAAGTTGTTGCTCGAATCGGGGGCCAAGTCTATTTACCACGGCAAACAACCGGCACTAGTGTATGCCATTGGCAATCGCCACGTGGGTACAGCCAAAGAGCTATCCCGTGGTCGCAATATGATCGACATCGGACTTGTCACCACCAGGCGAACTGCACTGCAATTAGCATGCAGAGAAAAGCTGACATCTCTTGTCAAGTACTACCTTCAACGCCATCGGCGGGAAGGCACTCTTAATCTCCACGAGTGCAATGCGGCTTTGCGTCTTGTGGTCCGCCAGGACATAAGGGGGGACCCGTTTTCGGTGCACCCGCACGAAGACGTCTACAAGATAGTATCGATGCTTTTGCGTCATGGAGCGGACCCTACTATTGTAGAGGACCTTTACCGAAGGCACCCTGATGTTCATACGAGAGATCTGATTGAACAATCATTGCCCAAAGTTGGCGAGGAGGAATCGTACCACCTTGAATGGCTTTTCTCTCCAGACCAAGACAGTCAGCACAACCTGCAAACGGCTACTATCCTTTCGCAGCCCACCAGTCTACCGACTCAGATGGAAGGCATTGTTGGGACAGATCACGGTGCAAATACCCATCAGGGGACCCCGGATGCCCAGCAAGATCAGACTCGTGAAGGTGAGAAGAAGAAGAAGAGGAGTGCTGGCGGCAAGAAGCCGTTACCTGATCCAGTACCTCGTATCTTCACCGGCGATGAGGTCCATCCAGCTTCAACTACACCCTATCTCCCAAGATACCCTTGGTACAAAAAGATGGGAACAGTCAAGACCCTGCCTTTCAGCCCCGCATATCGTACACAGAAGTTCAACGCATACATCAATGAGTGTGGGGAGAAGATGCGAAGAGCGGAATCAGAGGATGACCTCGCAGAGATTGCGAAAAACATGCCGCCCGCGATACAAAACATGGTACGTCGACGAGATGGCTCATACATACTGGGGTTCAACCCATCCTTTAACGGAACATTGATGGCTCCGATGCGAAAATCACCTCATCGTAAAGCTACCTGAGACTCTTCGAGAACGACAAAAACAGAGAGCACCAGGCGCATAGAGCATTTAATACAGCTTGGGGAAGAGAGCAGTCAATTCACAACGGTAGGTGGAAAAGCAAGGTGGGTGGTTTGACGAGAGAGCGATTATCAGCCCTGTACAAATTCGACGGCTTCGACGTAATGCCAATAGATTTAGCTGAGTATACTGTACTGTACAACACACAACGGAGGTTTTTCGGCTTCCGCCTTATGCAGATCTGCCGCGCTGCAATACCTTCATGCCTGCGATTACTCATAGAATAGAAGTCTTTATGCCCAACAATGATAATTACTGTTCCCTGTCTTTTCAATCGTTGCCTGTGCTTGCCCACCACTGGACAGTCTTAACTGAATACCATTATCACAAGAGTGCTAACAGGCTACCTAGATTTAGCGACGCCACTTGGCTATCACCGGTCGCTCAATGTACCGGAATCATTGTAAACGCCCTTATATCTTCGATATGGTCACAAAAATTCACGAATGCGAGCTGTAGGCCGCTCAGGCAAATCGAAGTGATGCCGCATAGAGGTACAGAAACGCATATCGACCTTAACATACAGCACGCTATCGCAGCTACCTATCGACACCGGACCAACAATGTGAATTGTATTAACTTCCTATCATGCTCATGTTCACTTCTTGCATTCCTAATTGGGTACTCAGCACACCTGCTTCAGAACTATGTTCGTCATCGAGAAGTAGCGGTCTAGAGAAGAGGGGCTTGCTAAGTAGCACAATAGCTTTAACGCCATAGATATCTAAGGCATCTATCAGTGGGTAGCCAACCAGATGCGTCATGCACAATTCTTTCTTCTATTTTATCTCACATTGCTGATACAAACCCTACGGAAGAGTTTAAACCGGGCAGTCTAAAGCGTCAAAGTTCGTTCTTGCTGGGCGATGGACAAACTTATCAATTACACAAATCCCCGCGAGCGATTACTGAAGCTTTTCTGTCGCAGTTCTATTGGTTCGATTCCCCGCAATTGGGCTTTCCACGAGAAATGAGGTGCTCCTGCTACGACCTTCACCGACTTCTGCGCGCAATGCAATTTTCTGAGTGGCTATTTGTGACAGCAGCTGATGATATTGGGCCGCAATAATCGCAGCAGTACCCTAATCGAGATGACAATTGCGAAACCTGACGCCATCACTGAAGCCCAAACCGATTGTCGATCACGTGCCCTGAGCGTCGAGCGAGGTATAAGAACCGCCCGTCCTCCTCTTTCTCTTTCTCTTTCCTTCAAGTTCTTTTTTTAACGAGTCTTTATAAAAACCCTTCATGATGACCTCCATGTTTCGTGGACTTTCTTCACCTACCATATTTTTATCACTAAATTCCATGTTTTCCAATTATAGTCCTTTTGTCGGCCCACGAGATATTCAAAAACAATCGTCAACCAGCCTTTATATCATGCCATGTATAACTTCACGATTTTTATGAGCGAATATCAAACAATGAGTGCTCAAAAGATTCAACGGATCATGTTCTTAGAGATTTTCCAGTTGACTACCTGACGAATATGTTTTTTTCACTCAACTACAATAACTATTTCCTTTCCACTATGAGTGATGGTCAGCTGCCGCAGCCCAAATAAAATCATTTTCCATCAAAATCTGGACCTGTGGATACTCATGATATTCGGTTCTTTTAAGGAATTGAAAAACACGGATTGCGAAAATTTAAAAGCATCCAAGATAACCAGAAATGTCTGCAACTTGTCTGGTATGCTCTGCTGAAAAGGACTACTACTAAGTCGATTGACAAGATCACTCCCAATATTTGAATATGTAACACCAAGTATATGATTTAATCATCGCATTTCCATGCGGCACAAGAATATGTAACACAGACAATGCGAACCTTCTTGCAACTCTTGTACTCGGCTGAGTCGCCTACAATGGAATGTGTTTTTGGGTCCCATATCATCATTCTGCGTTGGAAGTTATCTAAAAGTTGATCTATCCCATGTTATGAGAAAGGGCATACGATATCTTTAGCCTCAAAAGCAATTCAAAAAGTCTTGTTAATCATTGCGATGTTTCCGCAGCAATGGACTTCATCGAAATCTTATAGACTGGGATGAACAGCTTTAGCAACAACAACATGAGCAACATCCACCTATGACTCTCAAACATACCTCAGGGTAGCAATCCTTGCTGCCAACACCCAATGAGCATTTTTTACGCGACAAACTGTGGAAATTCGGTATCAAAAAGCAGGCGGACCTTCCCCTATTGTTTGGTTGGATTCAGTATAAGCATCAAAATCAACCCATCCAACACCATGGCACATAATCTACATGAATTTATTGTGTAAAAAATGAACAAAATTCACCATGATACAATCATTACCGAAAGCATTGTAAAGTTCCAGTCATGTGGAGGTGGTGACACCGTGTGCGAGGATTGCACACACTCATTGCACAGGGCATGATCCCAATTCCCACAGAATTATGACCGTCTGCAGGACGCATAATTCAGGTGTTTTTATGTTTCCGAAGATGTGCCTGATTCTAGTGAAGTTGTAGGAAAACACGGTGTTCAGAAATCATGGTCAATTGTATACGTATCCGATTCACCCGGTCTTACCTAGCCAGATCCTTTTGTCGCATTTTCGAGAGCGAAGATTGAACTGGGGTAACGAAAGAAATCAACTGCTCGAGGATGCTGAGGGGAAATAACCTGGGACCTTCTTGTCACAAACGACCACTTGCTACCATGACTTTGAGCGACCCCTCGTTTGTCGAAGTTTAGAATTCTCTTACATCCCACTAGAAAGATATAAGATACAGATACATGATAAATGTGATGGCTAGCATCTATGTGCGCAATTTGGCTCTGCTCATTAATTCCTCCTCGCTTGTGCTCTCGTAAATTCTTCCCAGCCTGAGAGTCTCGGTGTCAACGCTATATTCCGTCCGCACCAGGATACTGCTCAACGCTTGTGGGCTCGATGCCGTGACTAACGGCGTGCGGTCTCCATTGGGGCTCATAGCTCGGGCCCGCGGTCCCAGGCTATCATTTTCATTACTCTTGTCACCCATTCCTGCGGTCATCTCGTACTCATGCAGTCGCACAAACTCGTCGGTGTCAATCTTGCTCGCGATGAGTGTACTTTGACGGGATGCCCCAGCTTTTGATGGCCATGTACGAGATTTTGAACCCTTCAGTCCACTTTTTCGGCCGCTGGCTCGAGTATTGCTGCCATAATAGCTATTCGAGCCTCCTGGGGTCTTCGGGAAGAGACGTTTTCGGAGGGAAGTCTCTAGCGAGCGTATAGCGGGGAGGCAAGCGACGATGACACCGACATGCGATTCAATCGCAGACCAATATCCGATAGGGAGGTAGTCCCAAGTCACGTTTTCGGTATGCGCAAATTGGACCATGTACTTCAGACGGAGTATACTGACAATGGTAATACTGGACAAATGTTAGACGGGCCACTGCAATCAAGAGGGGCGCAAGGGAAGACTTACAAGCTTCCACCGAGAAACATGACCATAACAGCAAGCTTGCGAAGAGGACTCATCGTGAGATTCTTTAACTGCTTCATGGGCAGTGCCATGACAATGATGTCGAGAACGATGTTGACCCCAGCAGATGCCCACGCGTCGGCGTTCAGGTTTATGCATTTTCCATGATGTTCACCATCCCAATGCTCCCAGGCGATTCGGATCGGAATACACTGCAGTGCCGTTGCTGTGACAAATGCAATGAGGTACATGACACACAATGCTATCGTAAAGTATATGATACGTCTGAGCCGTTTGTCGGGGAAGATTCGAAGGTAGAAGAGCAGCATCGATATCTTCGTGAGCGAGATTGATGTGAGATAGAGCAATTCGGTGACGTAAAAGATCTGTTTGTGAGGATCCAGTTAGCCTGGAAACACTTGAAATTGCTCGGATGAATGCCTTACCTCCAGGATCTTGGTGATATTATCAAATGGCACCACATACATGTCCTTTCCCAGTCCAAGTTCGTTCACTAGAAACGTCAGTCATGCGAAATGGAATACGAAATGCATAGGCTGCCTTACAGAGATATGCACAGATTGTGAGTGGGATGACTATAATCTGCGATGCGTAAGCCATGGCGACCACGTCACGATTAAAGATGCCGTACAATAGTCGCGGTCATAACCCAGTCATCAGGACCCCACGTCCTCCCAAACACTGGCAAACGGGCAAACACCCGTAGAATAAAAGCCAGCAAGGCCACTCCGCCGACGGTCAACGTGGTTAAGGTGCCACTTTTTGTCTCGTCTCGAACCGGCGCACCCATCAACTCTTGGAGGAATTTTCTAGCGGCTGGGAGAATGAGCAAGAGTGTCTGTCTTTGGACGTTTCTAGGGTACATACTGAGTGCATCTCTGATGCGACAGCTGGATTTGACACATACTGTTAAAGTATCCAAAAGCTGCTCATTGTGCTTGATGCACTCAATGTCGGTGAGCTGACATGTGGACGCTCCAACAGTTGTCAATGTGCATTTGAGCTATGTACATGGTCAGTTTGGACTCTAATTTACCGAAAGTTTCAACGTACTGCGCACTCTGGTAGCTTCTCAATCGCTAACTGCAAAACATCTGTTCCATTCTCGCTTTGGGCAAACGAGAGATGTGCAAAAACAAGAAACAAGATTGACAAGAGGAGTTTCATGGTTGGGTCTGATGGGCTTGCCTTGCTCACAGAGCGGGAGGATGATTGTCACCAACAGATTTCAGACACACATGTAACAATTGACGTGGTAGAGACATGGTCACTAAATATCAATTGGTGGGCTTTCAGATTTGACATGTTTTGTCGATCGCCCCGAGTCGTTGAAGACTGAATCGTTCAAGTCTCAGAAGACTGCACTCGGGCCCCATCGGCGGCCCACTTGCCTAGCAGAATGCAAGATTATATTGGTATTAGACCAGAAAAAGCTAGTCATCATTAGCACGATAATTCCCCAGATCCTCGTGATTATCCAGGTGTGCATCGCATACCTAGATCATGAACGATCGCCAAAGGGAAGGTTAGCCATCTGCATTGCAAACATATGGAAGCAGAATTCTCGCCTATTGCTGTAAGATAATGGGGGTCGTGAGCCAACGTTCAGTCAGAGTGGATTAACGCTCATGTATTTAAGACTACTGTCGCCATCAATCGGAAACGTTGGCAGGCGCTACTAAAACGTGGTGTTTCGAAACTGATCTAACCTTTGGGCGCGAAGAAACCAGCGAATAGGTTCCAGTTTGGAACAGCCTTCTTTATGATCTTTCTCTGGTGCAATAATTCTGGACAAGTTCAGGGGCACTGGTCCTCAAGGGTGCTAGTCAAGATTTACTTCTGAGCTTTCTCCCACAAGTCTCAGATGATAGCTCTATCTTGCATGCAGGTTCATGCTAAGCAAACACCATTCACCCACCGGTCGGACTTCCGATGGACCCCTTTTTCAAGAAAGCTATTTCCTTGTGGGAAGTACACCCAATGATCGAACGCGAAATATCGCCGACGCCCTGGCGGGAGTTGACGCTACAGTGTGTCTAGTACGTACTTTAACCCGGGCGCGTTTCGGCAATTCACCACGCGCCGGAAAAAGAACCCACGTTTTGATCTGCACGATTAGGGCGGAACATTACCCTTAGCTCGCGATACCCTAAAGATCTGTGGCTTGTCATATACCAGCTGATCGTGATGCTCCTGACGTTTCGAAGCCTACAAAGCGCAGATCAGGTAAGGGGGTGATTTTCCGATATAACCAAAAGACATCAGCGCATCTATCAATCATTGAACTTTCCCTGCGGGTGAATCTGCTGGGTAGAAATTGGTCATACTATCACATAGTAGCAGGCTTCGCACATACGATCGATAACAGGTATTTAAGACAGTGGTTCAAAGCGTAACGCTTCAAGATACGAAAAGAAACAGAAAAGGAGAACACATGAAACTGCGCATGACGGATCAGATATACTAGCAGGCTAAGAAGACCCACAAGCCCGAGCGGAAACTTAAGCGGGTTAGAGTCTTCTCGCCGATATCAGAATAAGCACCTTAGCGTCAACTTTAAAAGCCACTACAGTTTGTATGAATCGTTATACAGACGTTGACAATCGGAAGAACTTCGAGCTACTTTGCGAATCCGAGAACTATGGGTGCAAGCCTGTGGCCCGTTAGATTCGCAGTTGGTTCGGGCATAACCCCAAAATTTTACTTATACGGGCAATACGGATACAGACTAAGCCGTGATGGGATGACAATGACGAGATATGGGTATGTCTGGCTTCTTGTCCTTTCCAATTCTGGATGGATCTACATCTACTACAGGTGGCGATCAGTATTCATTGTTTTCGGAAGCCTGCTGCCGATGATCTTCTACAGTAATCTTAGTAAGGGGAAAGTGCGCATATCGGGGGTTGCCATACTTCATATAATCATAGTTTGATCTGACGTATGATAACTCAGATCAATCATCTCTCGAGGCTCCCTTTCGTATTCCTATACCTTGAACAGACATCTGGGGCCATCAACGTGGTCGCTCTGATCGCCTAGCTTCTACAAATCGTATGAGAAGCTGGGGTTGACGGAAATTCCTTCTGCAGCCTCAAGCGCATTATAGACCCAACAATCATTTAGTAAATTTATGGATATTTGAACCCCAACATCATGTCTTTTTTTGGGTCAGCTTTGAGAATTGGCATCAATAGCTAACGCAAACGACTATCTCTGGAACTTGACAGCTGTCTCTCATCCGGCTCTTACTCGCCTTTCCCAGTATTAAGAAGAATTCAATTAGTCACCACCTATGTTTGCCTGCCTTTAACCTAATAAAATATGTAATCATAGTCGCAAAGATCCAAAGAGCCCTCTCTCTAAAAAGCACTCTCTGAAAAAGACATGTGCTCCAGATGTCTTAAGAGACAAGATTCAAAAGAGCAGTTTATATGCAACTGTAACCATGAAACTACCGCAATGTTTTTTCTATCTTTTCTAAATATTCCTGGATCTCCGGCCATGAGAACAAATTGAATTCCACCATAATGTTCTCGAATATGCGATGATCACATAATAGATTTCGTTCTGTTACAAAAAGAGATTAAAGGTAACAAATAGCAACACCTTTTGATAGCAGAAGCTCATACATGAAAGCTTTTATGAGATACATGTTCATGTTTCCAGTCGCTTTCGTCTATCTGAATCAAACATAACAAATTACAATTACCTGCGTGCAAACCAGTTAATAAAACTTTCTAATATCCGTGCCTATATGTCAGAGACAATTTTGACTTAAAAATACTCACCTGCAAAGTGTCTAAACGGTAAAAACAAAATTGTTTACCATAACAAAAATGTACTTGCCATGATTTCTTGTGCAATAAATGACACAAGAGGATCCTAGATATATTCTGAAGATTTAATAAAACTGAAGGAGGTAGTAAACATAGCAAGAAGACTCAACCCATGTGTTTGCAAAATTCGTACCATTGGTCAGGTATGTCTTTCTAGTCTGTGAAGACATAACGAAATATAAGATCATACTTCCACTTCGCTATGACCCTCGTCTTTTTAGGGTTAAGAATACTACGTTTACATTCAAAGAAAGCAATATAGGTCTCTATGGCATGGTCCCTACAGTTCCAGAGGTAGATATTTGTTAGCATGGAGAAATCTAATATAAAAGTTAGACAAGACAAGTACCATGTTCACGTTATTTATATCTTCTTAGTTTAATACCTGAAGGGTTCCAACAATATATGCAGCATTAGAACACAAAGCAACTAAGGAGTATGCAGAGTATCATTATTTAAGGGCTCTAAACCCTTCTCCTCTCAGTATCAACCATCTCTTCGATCAGAATATGGCAGGAAAAATACTATGGCTCTGCGAATTTTGAGAAAGAATAAATCTAAATAAGTATTTGAAACACTATGCTCATCGCTTACCATGTTGGAAAACGCGCATAAATCCTGATACATTTTATAATAGGATAGCACATCTTAGTATTGGTTATTTCCTGGACTTTAGGTAGTACGTATTTAATTAATCAAGTTGGTAACACGTATTTACAACGTGGGTGATATTTTGCTTGATGTCTTCTGGCAAGAGAGAGCATCTACCCTCGTTTTAAGAAAACTACCTGCGTAGAATTTCTACTCCTTTCTTATATATATATATATTAAATGCTATTTATTATGTATAAATGTGTTCTAAACACTAGAAAGCATGATAATTCCTGCAACAGCAGGATCTACAAGAAAACGATACTACTGCCTCTATGTTTTCCCCTTTCCAGCAGAAAGACCTCTATCTAATTAAAGAATTTGGATGTTAAAAACTATTTTATCCACCTCTCTACTCTCTTTCAAACTATTATAAAAAAATATTACATGCTTCAAGATAAGATGATTACTAGCTATGCCTTACGAGTATTTTTTTAGGTTCTGCACTAATACTGTTGCCAAATCTATGCTGGAAATATTGATAAAAAGATTTGTTTTGTTTTTTTGTTTATAGTTGCTCTGTTCTGGCTCTGGATCTAATATTTACCGAGAGTCCAAAAGAAACCCTGGATGAATATCATGTTTCTTGTGGTTTCCCTGTCTTCTCTTATTCAACTTTTTACCATCTGTCAGGTAGAATCATCCGTCTACTTGTGTTATGTTTGCTTAAACTCTAGTCTTGCATAAGATGTATTTAACCTTCCAAGACGCGCATAATGAAAAGGAGATGCACAATGTGACTATGGTCCCTGCGTTGGGCTGCTCTTCTACTACTGTAATCTTCACTGCCTTACCAAAGTGTGGACTTATCCTAGCGCATGCTTTGCTAAAGATTTTGTTTCTAGTACAGAGTTTGTAAATTCAATATGGAGAAACACAAAGAACATGGACAGTAATATAATTTTTGCAGATTACACGTCTTCTACAAGATTGCCTGATGGATTTTGATGTTGTTTGGTCCCCTAAAACTCTACGAATATGAAATATCAAGAATATGAAAACAATTATACAATCACGACAGACACTAACATGGTTTCTGTGGCTTCCCTCATATAATCTATTCTACACATATTTAATAGCGTTGACAATACCGTCGAATGTCTTCTGTGGATTCTGGTTTTTTAAATTATTATTAATCTCTTTAGCACTTCACAAACACCAAACCAATGAAGAGAAAATGGTCATGTCCTTCACGACCTACCTCCTCCAAGTAACACTTCTTATAACTTTGTTCCCAGAATTTGATGTCTTCTTAGGGCCCCTTAAAATATCTGATCAGTGGCTACGCATCTCTGGACTGTGGGCACAGCGATAGAAACATACGTTCCTTGATTACAGATAATTGTCGGTATATGCTTTCGCCCTCCAATACTATTAAAAAAACAATTTCGCCCAGAAGAATGAAAAAAAAAGTTACAATAATGGTCTAAGATGTCTGCTACAGTTTTTAAAACGCTAAAGTTTACGAGATAGCATACAATTTTATTATTAGGATTTGTTTCAAAACAAGTCTAGTTACTATCAAATGTGGCTGCTAACTATCTTTCTCCTACCCTTATGAGAAACAATTATTTTCATCAAGTATTCTAAGGAACCTTGGAAAATACGTATGTCTTTCTGGATTTTTTAAGAACTAATTCCAATAATGCAATGTCTTCCTGGGGCTCCAAACGTCCGTCCAATGCAAGCCATGTTTTGCTGGACTTCCAAAATCAAATGAGAATGTCCAACCTTGTATGTCCTTCTGGGATCGAATACAAAATACCTCCTCGTGAATTATGTCGGCGCGGGCGGGGTGTCAGAAACACGTTGCATATGCCGATATCATGTTTTCTCTGGACTGGAAAAGGCTGCATTGGAATTTGATATGAAGGATTTCGAGATAAGGATTATTGATGATTTGTATTGGAAGCTTATGGATTGCGTTCAAATGTTTGTTCTGGGCTGGAGGAAGGTATAATCGCCGCGACGACGAGGTGATGATGATGATGATGATGATGCTCAGCGTTATTATTGCTATTGTCTAGATTCTATTCCGTATTCATGTCTATCTATGTGTCGACATCTACCGGTCTGCGTGCAACAATATTGAGCTGGCTAGCTAGCCTCCACAGCCTGGACGAACTTGACAACCCGCGATATCAATTCCATGACCACAGGCTCGGGGTCTTTATTCAGCGTATGCGAAGCACCTTGCACAACGCCACTAACTTCATCATCGAAAACCGCACCTATACAAATCCACATTAGCACTCGCCCATCACCACCACCAACTACACCACGATCATCACGATGCACAGAAAAGAAAAAGGAAAAAAGACTCACCACCTTCCGCAACAGCCCTCCCCCACCGCCCAATAGTCCCCACCTTATCAACCCCCTTAGGAACAAACTCATCCTCACTCCCCCAAATAACCGCAACCCTAACCCCCTTCCCCACCCCACCAAACACCCTCCTCACAACATCATCCCCAGCATCGCTCGAGAAGAAATCATCATCTCCGCCTTCCGCAAGCAAACTCCACGTCCTATAAACAGTCGTAGGATCGCCCATAACCATCCTCACAACATCCACATCCTTGGGCATGATATCCTCGCCCCTCCCCTCATCCTTAAGCCGCGTAGCAGTAGCAATGGCCGCATCAAGCAGCGCCGCCATAGTCTCCCCAGGAACAGAAGGATGCGGCATAGTCGGCGCAAGCTCGATCCAAGCCTCGCGGTCGGAAACCCCAGCCTGCAGGATAATCCCGTCGACGGCCTGGCGGAGCGCTCGCTCGCCGCCAATCACGTATTCGAGCGCGTCCTGGCACCCCGTCGAACAGCCCATGAGAACGACTTTTCCGTCGCGCTTGCTGCCGTTTTCGACGCTTTCTCCTGAGATTGGAGAAGGTTGGGAGGAGGGTAGCGACCGGAAGTACTGCACGCACTCGCCCAATTCGCGCGCATCACGTGCGAGGTTGCCGGTTGCCCAGCCGCCGTAGGATGAGGTGAGCAGCACTTCTGCGACGCGCCAGTTTGGAGGGAGGTGTGCGGCGATTTTGGACGGGTAGGTGTTTGTTAGGAGACCGTCGCTCAGACCGCCGATGCAGAGGAGGGTGTTTGTTGCTGGGGAGTGGGCGGGGCGCGGGGTGGAGGGGGCGTGCTCGAAGGCTACGAGGCGCCGGGTGTAGGTGTGGAGGGTTCCCGGGTATGCCATTCTCTTTTTCTCTGGGAGGGCAATAATTCTTGTGAGATTGAGTCGTTTCCTGGTGGTTGAAGTTGTTGTTTCTGGGGTGGAAGATGGGATAGCTAGCTCTGGATGATTTTTGGAGGGGGAGAAAACTATCTTATTTAAACTACTGTATATAGTCATCTACCAAGTATGTAGTCAAGCATCGCAAACATTCCTCCTCTACCACACAACGCACCTCCCCCCAAAAGCGTAGACTAAAAATCAGCTCACCTCCCTCCTCACCATTTCCGAAGTCCCGAAAAAAGCATCGATCTATGCTCGTTACAAACAAGCATCTTGGCAGCTCTTACCCGCGCGTACTCAGCTCCCTCTGATTCGTTGAATCCACTTACCTAACTCAACTTTAAACCATCACCAGGCAAGATTCTAACGCAAGAAGTGGAAGAAACACAGCTCAGGAGATGGCCAAAGAGTAAGGGGGTAAGATGGTCTCGTATTTCTTCGTATGCAATTGGTCTCGATTCCTAGAAGAAAAGACAAGACTTGTTCGCTTGGTGAGAAGATTACAGAATCCAAAGGCGTTAGCACTGCTGAGCGATCCGCGTGTCGTCGTCAAACACGGCAACATCAAGAATAGGGCGCAGACATCCTTTGAATATCTCTCTTTTATTTTCTGTGGATTGTGGTAAGACAGGGAGGGGGGAAGAAGCGGAAAGGCGAGCCCCCACCGCCAATGTATCTAGCTGTTTTTTTCTTCCTTTCTTTTTAGAATAAAAGTTGATAGAACAGTTGCAAAAGAAGTGATCACTAGCTATAAACCTATCCGTTCACACACACAAACACACACACAACATGGATAGATGACTAGATAGACAGGATACGACATCCAAGAATTCCTCAGACAACTAAAGCTGATAAAACGCCCATCGCAATGCTATATAGAACTCGGATAATAACTGTTGATACACATGTGGTTCATATCTCATACTTGCATGCCGTCGGTGAAAGAAGACCTCGAATCACTTTTTTTCAAAATGCCTCCCTTCACTGTTGCTGTGCTCTTCCTGTACGTTTATTCATTTCGCACAGCGAAAGAAACCTAGCCACGGTTCCACTTGAATTTCCTTTAAGCCTGCGCCTCTTGCACGAATCTTGCCTGCACGACCCAGTCCTCGCCGAACCGAATGCCTTTGCCTCCACCGATCCCTGCATTCCTCCACGGCCGGTTGACACCGATATCCACGACCCAGATCATCCAGCTGGGGTCTCGACCGGCGCCATTCTGCAGCGCTTTGAGGAGTCCGCTCCTAGGCGCGCCTAGACAGACAATGTACTTGGCGCGGACCTCCAGCGGTTCTCCCTCGAGGATGGCCACTTCGCCGGTGGAGCCGCCAACGCCCGAGGGTGTTTCAACAGCCAGAACGGCCGCGCGGGATTTGTTGGCCCAGCCGACAATGGTCAAGACGGTGCGGCGGTCTGCGTCACCGAGAGCATCGAACTCCTTGTTGCGGCCGAGAAGGGCGTCGATGATGAGCTCCGGCGGTGCCTGCAGCCTCTTGAGCGCGTCTTCGAGATCGGGCCATGCGCGCACTGAGCCACCGAATTTCTTCAAGAGATCAACCTGTCGTCTGACATCACGATCCCAATCTGCGTTACGTTCGAAGCCGAGGAGGGCAACCAGGACTTTGGGACCCCGGGCATGCAACTGGCGTGCGGCAGCAACAGCTCTAGCACCTCCGCGGTGATTACCTGCTAGTACCACTATAACAGGGCGGGCATTGGGATTGTCACGGGCCAGTCGGCGGCCACCTGGGTTGATGGCTGACAGTGCGACCTCAGCGATGCCGCGTGCCGCGTTCTCCGCCATCAGCTCTTCCGAAAGACCAAACTCAACCTCGGCGATCTCTTCAACTGCAAGCATCCCACCAGGGGTGATCGTATGACATCTACGGTTGTTGGAGTCGAGGCGCAGGGAGCCTTGGGTCGCAGTTTCGACAAGAGGGGACTCGGGTGGTGTTGCAATGCGACTGGGTTTAGGGCTCCCGGTTGCATGAGATGAGGAGGCGTACTGGCGGTTGATGATGTTGCGATTTGCGTGGGTCAGAAGTGTCTGCGATGAACCAAGATGTGCATGTGCGTCGAGGTCCACCACGCCACTGCCCTGTCGAGTAGGCGCACGTTTTATAGAAGCACGAGACATTGCCCTACGCGATCCACGGGTGCTACCAAAGTCGGATATGTCGCTGTCCGTACTAGAGTTTGTAGTGCTCTTCAATCGCCGACTTTCCAGGACATTTTCCGTGGGGTGCAGGTTCTTTCCTCCATGAGTGCCTGGTCGTGCCAAGCGATTGAAGCTCACCAAACGATCCTCATCTGCAGTGGTGTCCTCGTTCCTAATCTGGTCGAAAACAGTGCGCTTGTCGAACTTTGAAAGATTACCCGCAAAGTCGAATTCCGGTAGCTCTTGAATATCTGTCGCGTCTTCGGTAGCCCATCCATTCTTGGCTTCGAGCACTTTCTGTCGACGCGTTTTCTTGCTCGACGCGGTTGCGGCTTCCAGCCCTACTCGACCTCCAATAACTCCCGGGGTTCTAGCCTGTGGTTCAGAGACATCCTCAAGTATTGGGGTCTGTCTCCAGCCATTGCCCTTCCTGTTCTCTGTCAGTGCCTGCGAATTTCTACCATAGTTTGTCACATACCCTTTCCGACCGCCCTCTGGGGTCTGGAGCTCGCCTCCATTTCGTCTTTCTTGCGCCGCTACTTCCTTCTTCCTCGCCTTGCCACCGCGCCTAGTTTTCTTGCTTCCCTCCTCACCCTTCACTTTCACGGGAGTTCGCACAGATGCCTCATCCATTGGCTTGCCCGTTCGAGTTTTGTTGATGCTCGTCCTACGTAGAGTAGTCTTCGCGCTCTTACTATCATCGCTAGCCTGATCCTCCGCATCCGCTATGTCCAAAGACGAGAATGGCCCCTCCAGCGTCGCTGCGCTGGGCTTCCTCAACGGCTTCTCTTTCGTGTGTTCTGGGTATGCAGTCGTGTTTGCAGCAGTCGCAACAGGCGCGGTAGGTACGGCAGTGAGAGGTTTTATAGGCGTAGCAGGCGCCTCGAGAGGATGAACGGCGACAGCAAGAGTTTGAGCAGGCGCAACATTTCGTTTAACCGCGCTCAGAATAGCAGGGTCGACGAAAGGTTCGTGGGCGACTGGGTGCGTATTGGAAGCTTCATGATTCGCGTGCGACGATTGAGACATGGGCGCCGGGCCACCCAACTGGTGGTGAAAAGGTTGTGGAGGCTGGGTGTGCTGAGGCTGGTGTGCTTGCGGGACGGCATGAGTCTGCGGCATCGAAGGCAACCGCCCATGCTGGCTTTGTCCTACCACATTTTGTCCGTAGTCGCGCTGTTCGAATTGAGGTGCTTGCGAGGCTCGTGGGGTGCTCGACGGTCCATTCACCTTAATGTCAGCAATCGCGTGGCCTTCGACATGGTAAGTCGGAATGCGGTGTCCGGTCGCAGGAAATAGAACTATTAATCTTAATCAGCTTCTGATAAAAATCCCCAGAAATACGTCTCTCGCACATCTCCAACAGGTGTGGGAAAAAAGTGGACTCGAGGAAGACTGCCTACCATTCTGCAACGTTAGCGTGGATGTCTGAGGATTGACATTCGCGACTAAACCCTCGACAATTGTATTGGGCGGGTTCTGCAATGTGACGGTGACGGAGATGCCAATTAGTGACGCGGCCATGCTCGCGGGTCGACGGGAATCGGAAGTTGAACAACAGCAGCACACCTCGTCGAATGGTGGCACGGGTGTGTACGTCGAGCGGGATGCTGTACGCAAGTCCGAGAGATATTTCGCGTGCTATGGTTCCCTCTGCTTCACGCCAAGCATTACGTCAGCAGCCTATCACCACTACCGTGTTTGCAAGGAGAGTGTGAATTTATTCACTTTTTCAGAACTAGAAAATTGAAATTAATTTGGAGAATGCAATTACATCTTGTATATAAAGAGGATTGGGAGAAAACACCGAACATAGAGAAGCTGAGAAGGGAGAATGTGATAAAAAGAGGTATATAGTGCAATAACCACTCTACTCAGTATACCTAGGTACCTACATGCACACAAAACACCTGTCTACCTAGGTACTCTAACATAACTCTTTCAACCCTACATGCAACCCAAGAAGTATCGCATGTCTTCAATCGCATCAGGAACTCATTCTTTCCTAGACGAAACAGGCTACCAAGTATCCAAACAAAAACATCACTATATATCCCATAAGCAAATACCATTATATTCATGAACCTAACAAGACACAAAAATTCCCCTCCGCCCCCCACCAAAAAAAAAAAAAAGAGAAGGAGGCTCAAGAAAAAGGTTCAAGCCAATCCTTTTTCAGTAAAACCCACCGAAAAATGAAAGGAGGAAAAAAGAGAAAGAAGAAAAATTCCCAGGGTATCCATACACACATACACAACATCATCACCAGCATCATCATCGTCAAAAAACACACACATATAGAATCCTCCATCCGAATCACTCCGCACTCTCCTCCTCCTCCTTTTCTCTCAGACTTCCAGCCCTCGACCTCATCACACAAGCTCCCACATACAAATCGTACTCCACTGCTGCGCCACTTTCCCCTTCCTCGCTTTATACGTCGAAAGGCTCAATCCTCTCCCAGTCCCCTTATCAAAGTGGGTGATATAGCAAACGTTAATCTTCTGCCCCGGAGCACCAAGATCTCTACGCTCGACATCAAGCCACCAAACCTTGCCGTCGGTATTAAACGGAATCTGCTGAGAATTGCGACCATCGCGGCCGCCGACGCTGAGGGTCATGATGTAGGGCTTCCCAGTGCCGTTGCGTTCGTGGTCCCAGTGCGCGCAGTTGACCGCGAACGAGAAGCGGATGATGGGATCGTGGGGGCCGTCGACTTTGATGTGCATTTGCGATGGGGCGAAGGAGCGGGTTGAGATGCCTAGTTCGGCGGAGGGAGATCCGTAGATTTGGAGACGCTGGCCCGCGTCGTCCATGCAGTACTCTTCCCAGGTGGAGATGCGCCCGTCTTCGCGGTAGAGGTGTGCGTTGTCTTCGGGGAAGTGCGTGTATCCGAAGTCAATGTTGGATTTTGTGAAGTTGGACGGGTTGAATTTGCGTTCGTAGGTCTTGTCGCAGCCTAGGTGACCGGCGCCCCAGCAGGGGTCGATGAGCTTCCATGCTCCGTCGTCGAGGCGGAAGGCATTCCAGGCGTGGTTGCCTTTGTATTTTGGGAGGGGTTCGCCGGGTTGGATAGCTGTGTGTCCGATTCCCTTGCCGTGTCCCGTGACTACGATGGCTTCTAGACCCGCTTTGAGTGCCAGAGCGGCAAAAAGACCCGCGTAGCCTTCACACACAGCCAGACCGGTTTTGATCGTACGCTCAGGGGTGGATCTCGTGATATTACCACTGAAAAATGAGTGACAGTCATAGTCCACGTTGTGATGCAGCCAGGTGAAGATGGCTCGAGCCTTGTCAGTATGTGATGAGAAGGGCGCACACAGCTGATTTGCCAACCATCCTGCATCGGAAGATGGCAATGTTTGTCGAGGAAACTGTGCAGCGTGTTGATCTGGGGCAGAGAAATCGCGACAGATCAAGCAACCGCTGTTCTGCGCCGACACCAGAGGCTGAGCGCCAGGCTTGGGCTTCGAGGCCATGATGGCATCCAGATTGGGTCGCGAGGAGCGTGGAACCGGGGGAGGCGCTCCATTCCCCGCATCTGGAGTAGGGCTCGGCCGAGCTGTAGGGATGGGAGGTGGAGTCTCGGTCGACTTGTTCATGCCCCATTCCAGCGCAGACTTTCGGGGCGCAGGTGGCAGTTTTCGTGGCTCCTGGGCTATCGTCTGCGCTCGCGCTGGCACTGCTGGGCGGGAAGGCAGAGTGGGAGGTAGAGCTACAGGCGATTTGCTTGTCCGTGTCGAGGTCATGGCTCTTCGAGTCGCACTGTACTCCTTTGATTCATCCTGTTTCCGAGCCGGCAGAGGAGGCAGCTTGGTAGGGTCGAATGGTGGGGCCCGGATCTGAAAGCGCTTGCCATCATTTGACGTGGTTCTATCCAGCACAGCAGATCCCAGAGTAAGATTCGATACGTCCGAATTCCCCGAGGCCATTGTCGCGATGGACTCGTTCGATTCCTGCCTCCTCAAGGCCGGTTGTGATGGCTGACGAGACGGAAGAGGTGGGGGCTGCTTTGCGCCATTTGTGTCTTTGCGGGGAGGCAGTCGAGGGGGTAGTGCAGGCGATTTCTTAGGGACGGGGCTATTGGCCTCGGGAGCAGGTAGATTCGGCTGATGCCTCGCGGCGTAGGGAGCATTGCTCGTAATGGGGGGATTGTTGATGGTCTGGTGTCGCTGTTGGACTGGCGGTCGATGGCCGGCGGGCGGTGGTGGTGGTGGTGGAGGCTTCTTCTTGGCCGATGCTTGCTCGTAGCTATATGTCGGGCGATTGGAAGGCGCTGGCGCATGTACTTGCTCGATATTGAGGGAAGCGATGCGGGCTTTGATGGATTGGGTTTCGGCCATGTTTTAGCCAAATGTCACTGTGGCGGTAGAGACTGGGTTGAGCATATAAATCGAGTGGTACGAGTATTGGATAGGTGGCTAGGGTTCGTAGTAGGAAAAGAAGGTGGGTGTTGACAGTCGATGATAGCTGTCGAGCTGGGTTGTCGGGGCAGTCGAGGTTAGTGTTGTTGAAGTGCGCGCAGATAAGTCAGGTAGTCGGATCCAGCAAACACAGCCTTCCTTCACCATGCGGGATGGATGACAAGCACACTCGTTACATAACATTGCATGTGCACCGGTGAAACATGGATCTTGACGATCATCCATGTCACTCCAAATCAGACGCGCATCTGCATTTCTACAATGTCGATCTCTCTACTATCGCAAAGACGGTTTCTCTATCATCCATCTTTCTAATGCCCATGGCCTTTGCCATGTACATAAATCACCTCATTTGAACAATTCTCCTCTCCCCTAGCTTGAGTTACCTGTCCAATCCTTCCAGGCTAACACCCGTAACACTCACTCACTGACACCTAACCAATAAACTCACCTAAAATCGGCCCCAAACCTCACTCCCTCGACCAACCGGCAAAAATGCACAGCCACATCGCACATCTACTCATCCCATTCCTTTCCCAACGAACACCGAATCGTGGAACGTCAATGTATTCTCGTCAACAGCAATAAACACAACACATCTATACATTGCACCCGGTCGTCCGTCCATGAAATCAGCATATAACCCTTCACGTCATCAAGTACATGGCAGACAGAAAGCCCGCGGACGAAGATGACTAATCCCCACGCACCAGCCACTCCTCAACGCATCCACCCCGCTCTAGCGCTACGCCATCCCTCACACAGACCACTGCCAAACACCCCACATACCTAGAATAGCCTAGGCCACCCGGCTAACGCTTCCATAAATAGAGCAGAGCTGTACGCTCAGTTTAAGGTTGATCTATTGTTACATCACGTGCAACCCTACATCCAGATGCCCACAGACTTGGAAAACTGAATATGGCGCTGCACCTCGACTGACCCCACAGGAAGAGTGAGCTCTACAACTCAAGGCGGGGTATTACAAATAATGCTGACTCGTGGGAGTATATTGGTGTGGCATAAAAACTCCCCGCTCTTATCTTTCTTCGCTTGAGCTTTCTCAAACATGTCAGGATATACGTCCACCATTGATGGTTTCCAACGTGCAATGGAATGGAGCCTCACAGGGCCACCGGAAGAGGCGAGAGCATTATGTCGACGCGACCTCGCAACCCGATTTTTGTCACATCGTGAACCAACAGAAGCTTGACTACACATCGTATCTTAAGGGTCTTGAAGAGTGGCGAGGCAAAGTTTCAGAATATAAGCCAAAAAGTTGTAGTATTCCCCCTATCCCCACCCTTCCAAACCCTTTTATGTGGATGGGACTGATCCTTTTTTTTTTCCTTTCTCTCCAGCGAGAAGTTTCTTCGCCATGGCGATCAGCTAGCAGCACGAATGACGGGTACTATCAAGGTATACGGTTCCGAAACGGCTTTTTCGAGTTTCATGTTCGGAAAAATTCATCCGCAGACGGGCAGGTTGGAGCATCTCAATTGAACGATGCATCTGGGGGCCAAGTGGACAAGGAGCCTGAGCACGGAGTATCGTAAAAAGCTCCCTACAACTTACAAAGATTCGATAGTCTTTAGAAAGAATGGCATGTAGCAAGCTAGCTTCGGAAGCGAGAGACGTGCTTGGGCGTATCTGTTCAATGGACCTACCATCGTTAACCATGCCTTTTAACAAGTGCGTCGGCCCACTAATCCCCCTCCTGTACATCTGGAGTCGACTGCCTTCCGCAAGTCTCATGGCGAGCCGTTCGAGATCAACGCTTCTGATACACGCATGGTTATTGTGCCATCCCCCAAGCACATCAAGGAGCTTGGTTCTACCATCCTATTAAGTAAGAGATCTCTAGCGCTTTCAAGGCTTAGTGCACTAGAACAAATAAATAGTAATATCTAAAAAAAAAGACTAATTCTTTTCTAATTACATTTTTACCTTGCCCAAATTACTCTAAGCACGCAAGAAGAAGAAAAGATAAAGTAGAGTTTGAAAGATAAACTTTTCTCCCCCCTTAAGTTGTACAATTCTCCCTCTCTTTCTGTGTCTGAACTGGTTCTTCCCCCCCTTTTTTGTTGGTGGGGGGGCGTGCTTGAAAATTGTTGAAGAGCAAACGTCACATAAATTGTATAGACTAATCGCGGGGGTTCTTGTTAATGAGGGAAAGGTCCAAGGGGGGAAGAGAAAAAGGAGAACATGAGGCAAAAAAAAAAAGATTGAGAAGAAGTTGATTTCTTGTTAGGTGTTTGGTTAGAATGAAGAACTAGAGAGAGAGAGAGGTAGAAAAACAGCAAACAGAGCAACAACAACAAACGAAACTAAAACCCAAATGAAAAAGTGCCAAACACAAGGAGGAAGAGAGATGAGAAAATGGGGACAAGAGAGAGAGAAAAAGAGAGAGCCCCCCTTCCTTCTAAACCATCGCACCACCCAAAGAGAGAGATCCATGACCCAACCGTACCATCTAACTTCCCAGATACTCCATGTCCGGCACCCAAGCCCAATCCCCAATTCCATAGAATACAACCACTTCTTAGTTAGCCTCCCTATGCAAACCGGATCCTACCCATAGCATGGCCTCCCTCTTCCGCATCTTTTTTTTCTTCTGCAATGATGAAACAAAGGGACGCAACAGGAAAGATGACTGGCCCTGCATGAAAAATGAAAAGATAACATATCCAATGAGTCGAAAACTGCGCGGGCTCAATTGTAGACGAGACGGCCCAAAACAGAGATGTGAGATAGGAAGAATGAATGAATGCTGCAAAGCTCACTTCTTTGGGAAGAGAACTCGCCATAAATATTGCGAGAAATGGCGAAGCTCACGCGGTAGCGATTTCATCTCTTTCGCTTTTTGTTCTTATCAGAGGTGCTGCCGATGGATACCAAACCTTGGATGGCATTGGCTACGCTACCATGGTCGTGGATGGGAGGTGGATCCATGGCATTCTTCTTAATGGAGACCCCCATGTGGCGTCCATAGCGGCCCTTTCTGCCGTTGCCCTCATCTTCACTGATGCAGCCTTCAATACCGATGCCGGCATCTTTGCAGCGACCACATGGGCGTTGCCGATCGCATCCCTTCTTACTTTTCCGGCATCGCTGGCAGCGCGGTTGGCTCGACAGGTCCTCTTCGTCCAAGCCCAATGGATTGTGGCCATTGATAGAAGCACTGGATGTCTTGCGAGACTGCGAGGGAAGGGAGGCAGGTGACATGGGTGGCTTGGCGACCTTGGTCTTGACCTTGCTCAAGGGACGAGGCTTGCCAGCCTTGCTGCTCTTACTAGATACGGAGGCGCGAGCCTTGAGCATGTTGTTCTGTGCATGGTCATGGTGCTGCTCCTCGGGGTTCAACTCATCGCTCTCGCCCTTGAAGGAGGCATCCTTATCGTCGTAGTCCTCGACACTGCTCTCTGCATCCTCGTAGCCCCGAATAACCGGAGCCATGCCGTTCATGCCATTGTGGGCGTTTAGGCGATTGACACCATAGGGGAATGGCGGAAGCCCATGGCTATGGCCATCGTCACTGCATTCGTCACTTTCATCGCTAGAAGAGGCGAGCTCGGCCTTCCCACTCAAGGCATCATCCAAGGTAGAGGTAGATGTACGACCATGAGTAGAGAAGTTGGATGCATCCCCCAGACGCATCAACTGACGAGCCACGTCCTCGTCAGATATGACGCTAGCACTGCCAAGCGTGGGGTCAGGTGTAGGGAAGATCCCTCCACTGCCGCCTGAATGACGATGTGGACCATACTGAACAGAGCCGCGTGTTCGCGATTTGTGGCCAGGGGCAGGGCCAGTACTCTGAGAGTAAGGGGTTATAAGGCCCTGATGGTATGCAACATCGCCCTGGTTGTAGCTCTGAGGCGATGGGAGAGGATGAGAATACGCAAATGTCTGCTGGTTGTTCATGGAGTAGGGCGATGCTTGGTTTCCGCTCACACGTCTCTGAGGTGAAACGGAAGAAAGCGAACCAGTCATGGGAACCTGAGGAGGGACGAAAAGAGGAAGCTCCTGCGAGGGGAGAGCGGATTAGAGAGGTGTCCTGCTTGAACTCGGATGCAGGTTACACTTACGGAACTGTCGAATTTGGCCCGCTTGAAGCGGCGGCCACCTTCGATGATGTTGTCGGCGCTGATCTCAGCACTGGCAAGGGGCTCCTTTCTCGACCGCCGAGAGCTAGTGACTGAAGCATCACCCCCATCGCTGTCACTGTAGTTGTGGTCGACAGCTTCAGTGAAACTACCGTGAGAGCTGGGACCCCGGCTCTTGAGCGCTGGCCGACCGCGCCTAGGATTGGTGCTGGCAGAAGCACTGCGCCGGCCTCGACTCGGTTGAGGCGATTCCGTCTGTCGTGCAGCTACGCGTGCAGCAGAAGGAGGAAGCATTTGAAAAGCTTCGTCCAGACGCGGCCGCTGGGGGGAGGCAGATTGGTGGGCGCCCACCGAGTATTCATCGATCTCTGGGTCTTCTACGGTAACTCGAACGTAGACGACCATGTCGTGGGTGAAATTCTCATACCTCGCAATCAAGGTTGTGCCCCGATTGTCCTCGAAGACGACACCTCTACGTTCATACAAGCCGTAGAAATTCTTCACTGTTGTGATGATCGAGTCGGTGGTATCATGGGGGAAGATGTTGACCCTCATGGGCAGACGGGCTCTGTGTTGGGGGGACTGAGGAAGAAGCAACTCGAAACTGACATGCTTGGCTTGCGACGCTTTGGTGGGCGACATGGACTCATGCGCCGACACCGACTCGGTGCTCGGATAGATGTCGAGCATCGTACTATCAGCCATAGTGCGGTGTGTCCGAAGCCAGGTGGCTGTGGAGTGTGTGTTCTCTCCCAACCCACTACTAGAGGTGGGTCGCCAGATGGCTTTGGAGGGCCTCCTGAAGAGCAAGCGCTAGCGAGTTGAAGCTCGGCAAGCAGCCTGGTTGTATGCTATGGGATATGCTCAAGGCACAATCGAGTGTTTTGCGGAATGGACCGCAGAATCGTCGAGCGGTGTGGTGGAGATGGAGCAAGGTATGCACACACACACACCGTATCCGGCCGGTGTCGCAAGGGTTCTGGGGGGCGAATGGCGGTCGGAAACAAAAGAGGACGAAAGTGGTCTGGGGGTTCTCTGTTAGTATCCTGATGGTCAATGATGAAGTTGAAGGGGGATTGCGACCCTCTTTGACGGTGTGAGAGGGCAAATGGGGTTCCTGACGCTCGACCTCGTCGGCGCTCTCGCCCACACAGCGTCACTGGGGGGAGGGCGGCAGCACGGGTCGGATGGGCCGCATTCAGGGCCCTGATGGGGGCAGATGAAGTCGCATAAGGGTAATGGAAGAGGACTTACAGGCGGGGATGCTGTCTGGGCCAAGGGAGGTTGCCGGTGCGTTGCGAAGTGGTCCGCTCTGGAAGCAGCGCACTTCAGTCAGCGAGTGGGACGAGTGCGCAAAAGCAGCATGGCAGACGGGTGTGACAGCGAGTAGGCATGCCGGGCGGGGCCTCACGCAGAATGGAGACTTACCTGGTAGTGATGCTGTGGGCACGTTGGTGGGAGGGGTGAAAGAAGAGTGCGAGGTATCGAAGGGACGGTTGAGGCACAGAGAGGGTAGGGTTGAGGAGCTTCAACTTGATTAGTCCGCAAGCAGCCACTTTAACCCACCACACACACCGACAGGCGTGACGCACCACAGCGAGGGATGCAAAAGGCGCAAGAAAACTACTTCAAATCGCCGGGAGATGCGACAATGGTTTCCATTCATGCAGATTCTATCGAGAGTTTTGGCAGAGGATTCCCGCACAGGTCAGCCGCCCGGCGGGTGTGGAGCGCCTGTTAAGTTGTGTGTGCAGCAGATGATACAATTGCTACTGGCGGCTGGCCATGTAGGTACCTATTCCTTCGCACTCACTCACACACACACACACACCGACCGTCCCTGAGTCTATATCCGCCAGCGCCAGCTACGCGCCCGCTGAACAAATGATGAATGAATCAATCATTCCACGATTTCAGTGTGTGCGTGCGTGTGTGAGCCCAGGCCTCGAGCATCGCGAACAGCGCAACAGATACAGTACTTAGACCCTTAGCTGCTTTGCCATGTCTTGCGCTGGGCCAATAGGATGTGCAGCGCATTTCTTGTTGGCCCACGACCATTGCGCTTCGTCCAAAGCGCATAGCGGACGGCCGATGGGATCAAAAGGTATTGAATGGATAAAACACTTGCGCACGCTCAGTGAACAATGGGCTCCAGATCTCCCCATCTCGATCGCCGTGACAAATGTCTCAAGCTACTGTCCAGCCAGCGCGAAGCCGCCGCCTGTTCCCCCTCTCGGTGGGCTGTACATAAGGGTAGATGCGCTCGCTGCTGATCAGATGCGCCCATGGATGAGGCGCGGCGTCTATGGAATCTCCGTGTTACGCCTTTTCAAACAGAGCTTCTCACTTGTCCGCCGGCACCATCAGAACTATACGTGGACAGCGTGGGATCTTGCAGCAAAGAGAAGCGAATGCCTCCCACAGTGGCATCCGACGGTGAAATTGACAAAACGAAGACAACCCCCCACAGCTAGGTTGAGTCCCCTCTCCCCCCGACCCTGCATGACGAACGAGCTGCAAGCGCATTTGCATACATGCGCAAGTACGTAGTTGTAGGTAGTGCGTCGCGATGACTGTCCGGGTTGGTTTACGTACTCAAGTACGGATGGATGAATGGATGGATGCTATCACCCATCGGTCGCTAGCTGGCAGAACAAAGGGGAATCTGATCAGCATTATCTCCAGCTGTCTGTATCGACAGCGGTCCCGTGGTTTGCGCACGCACGCTGTTATCGTGCCGAACTAGAATGGCCGCGGCTTTCTCGCCTGTCTTTGCGTGCCACCCACACTGGCGCTTTGTTCGGCCTGGCGGTGAAGACAGCCAGCGAGCGGCCAACCCTCGGCCGTAGTTGGCGTGCGCAGTGGGGGGAGGGGGCAATCGTCAAACCCAACGCTGCGTCCGAAGCTCTGCCTCACTTCAACGCCTGGAGAACTGCTGGAGAGAATCCGACTGTGTCCATCATCGCATCGTGTTCCAGCGCCCGATCGCCTGTGCGCGGGGGGTGCCTCCGCAGCCAGACAGGTTTGAAACATTGAGTGGCAGTGTGAGTTGATAGGTTGCGGATGCGCCCATGGCGGTAGGGTCCCCATCATAACACCTACACACTCGCTGCACCGTCGGGACCGTATCCTATCATGCCAGGTACCTTTTGGAGCTCTTTTGGTGTGTCTGGAATAATTCGCGACCGGTGGAGGATGGGATGGATGAAACATGGACATGGTCACATGATTTGGTGTTTTAGCGTGGTGTTTGTTGACGGTGCAAGAGGAGTATACGCGACTTGACAACAAAGGCCAGATCTGCAAAAGGGGCCTGTATTATGGAATAAAAAATATCGGCATCGTCCAAAAGAGTACAAAGTGAATTCATGTCGGATTATTGAGCTCGATTGCAAAGGTGGTGGGTGGTGCGCATGGCATCTTGGGTCAAGTTGCTCGTCGTGGTAGACGTGTAAGTTGCGATGGTCGGATTCCATGACGTTGCCGTTGCTAGGGAGCAGGGGCAGCGGAAGCAGCCTAGCGCGCATCGGGCCGCCAAGGCGCTCGCGTCTCCCCAGAGCAGACGACCTTGCTTTGTTGATAGCTTCGGGGTGTAAACAAAATCGTCCATCCACTACAAAGCTCCGGCGTCACCCACCACAACACCTTCGTCCTGCCTGCCCGCTGAAGAATATCTCGTGTATTTCATCGTTGTCAAATTACTTCCACAGATGAAATCTTAGTTGTTTTTTATAATACACGCCCACACCCTTCGCCCGCTGCCCTGACCTGCCTCGACCGCATCTCGTCTTCTGTTGCGGCTCCTATAGCTTTCACGGTCGATACTTGCAAAGCGCTCCACTGCTGCCAACATTGCAAACATGGACGCAAAGGTAAGAGTCTTCTCTGCGACCTATTCGCCTTCACCAGTTCACTCTCCTCACTATCACCCCCTTACACTCACCTCGTTCTGCCGTCAGGCACGCCCAGATGATGACTCTAACAATGTATCCTTGTAGCCACAACGTCCCATGCGAGCGCTTCGCATCCGCGATGAAAACGCGCAACCTCAATCCCAAGCCGGAAAGACGATCCATCAACGCAACAAGTCCACGCCTGCTCTTTCGACACTGGCTCAGCTCGGCGGTCTCAAGGCCAATGGCGTCAAGCGACAAGCATTCGCCGATGTTAGCAACGTTACCCGACAGGTTGTCAAGGACGACATGCAGGTGCCGGGGAAGACAAAGGAGAGCATCGTCGTCAAGGACATCGCCGTCAAGGAGGCACAAAAGCCCACTGCTCTACTCCGACCTGCCCAGCGTCCTCTCTCCCACGCCGCTTCAAAAGCAAATCTCACTACCAACTCTGGCGCTGTTGCCTCTGCTGTGCCAAAACATGCTGTGCTAGACTCCATCCACATCCCCAAGGTCATCTCTAAGAAGGCTACCGCCATCTTTCGCGAAACGCGCTCGGATCCTGTGCCAGAGGCCTCGACCGTGCCGGTCATCTCGCAGCAGCCTTCCAAGACCACACTTGACATGCCAAACACCACGCGTGGTACTTCATATAGCGTCAAGGCACCCGCACACGAGGAACTGGCTCCTCTCGTTCCTGTCGAGAAGGCCCATGCTAGGAAACCTGCCCAGGTAGAAGAGCCCGCTGCAAACATTGAGATTCAACAGACGCGTGAGTACGTCGACGCCCTCGAGAAGAAGGCGCGTGTAATCGAACAAGAACGAAACGACGAATTGGCCAACGTCCACAAGCTATCCGGAGGCGAATTGGAAGAGGACTGGGACGAAGACGAAGACGAGGAGTACTACGATGCTGATGGCTACACTACCACACACACCATGAGGTCTCGTATGGGTGACACAACCGGCGGAGTCACACTCAACCTTGCTCCTCGTGTGACAGTGAAGACCAAGCGTGAACTGGAAGCCGCCAAGAAGTGGGTCGAAGAGAACAAGTCCAACGAAGATGTCGAAGACGAGCTGTGGGATACTTCCATGGTCGCGGAATACGGGGAGGAGATCTTCGAGTACATGCACGTCCTCGAAGAGAAACTGAAGCCAAACTCTACCTACATGGACCTCCAAGCTGAAATCCAGTGGTCTATGCGCTCTGTCCTGATGGATTGGCTGGTCCAGGTTCATAACCGATTCACCTTGCTCCCAGAGACTCTTTTCCTCGCCGTCAACTATGTCGATCGGTTTCTTTCTGCCAAAGTGGTCTCCTTGGGCAAGCTCCAGCTGGTTGGTGCCACCGCGCTTTTCCTTGCTGCCAAGTATGAGGAGATCAACTGCCCCTCTGTCCAGGAGATTGTCTACATGGTCGACGGCGCTTATACTGGCGAAGAAGTTCTCAAGGCTGAGCGCTTCATGTTGAGCATGCTCCAGTTCGAGCTTGGCTGGCCTGGTCCGATGAGCTTCCTCCGCCGTATCAGCAAGGCCGACGATTACGACCTCGAGACCCGAACTCTTGCTAAGTACTTCTTGGAAATCACCATCATGGACGAGCGGTTCGTGGCTTGTGCTCCTAGCTTCCTTGCCGCCGCTGCACACTGCCTTGCGCGTTTCATGCTGAAGAAGGGCGAATGGGTATGTATACTCCTTTGTGTTCACTTTGATTAGCAGTCAACGCTAACCTTAACACAGACGCAAGCTCACATCCACTACTCTGGATACACGCTCTCCCAACTCCGCCAGATCTTGTCCGTCATGCTCGAATGCTGTGATAACCCTCAAAAGCACCACGCCGCCGTGTACGACAAGTACCAGGACAAGCGATACAAGCGTGCTTCCACCTTTGTCGAGACAGAACTCCAGCGAGGATTCCAAATTCCAATCACATCTCGCGAGAGCCTTGCTGGCCAGACTCAGTCATGGCGCAGAAAGTGATTACAACCAGCACATGACCATGTTGGTTTGTAGCCTTTCTGACTCGACGTGTTCTAGGTGTTGCGGTACCACCAACAGACAGGCTTGCCTTGTCACGCCTTGTGGAAACCCACACCAGAACTTCCGCGCAGATAGTTGCCGGCCCCTATTGCATTCTTGTTTATTGTTCCACGAGTATCGGCAGTTTGGAAGCTTGATGGAGCCCCATCAGGCAAGGACACGGTCTTGGGCTCTTTCGCTCCCATTGTCTACTGCTCTCTACGAAGTTGGAGACTTTCAGGCTTAATGTCTTAATCCGTCCGATTCCGTCACTTCCCTACTCCGATTTGCTTGTCCGTTCCGGATATACCCGTTCCCTCGTTAATCGCGAGTCGGATGGCGCCGGCTTACTACGACTCTTCTACACTTCTCTTTTCCTGACCGACTGTATTTCTTGCATGGCGAGCGTGCCCCATCTGGTAATTTTCACGACCGAGACGAAGTGACGAAAACTTCTCAATCTAATTTCTTGGGGGATTCTGGAGCGCTTTGGCGTCCTCGGGGCTCTTCCGGTTTTCTATGTTTTCCTTCTCCTTCTCTTCTTTTCTTCTTCTCTCGGGCGTTTGTTGAGGTCTTCTTCTCATCATAGAGCAGGACGATCAGCGTTCTGTTTGGACGTTTTGTTCCGGTTATCGAGTGTTTCTGGCATTTTGGCTTCTGGATTCTTGGGAGCCTGTGTCACGTACATAGAAAAAAGTGGTTATACTTACACAATGCTAAGACTTTAATGATGCTTGGCGGTGTTTTGCCTCTGTGAGATGCTCACATGATGGGAGCGTTGTAGCGTTCAGTCTTTTATCTCCCATCTCAGAGTTTTGAATGTGTTGAATGAAGTCTAGGCTTTCACTATGGATGGGGTAAGTTTAGCCGAGCGGATCGCTTTTGTCCTGTCGTAAGCGCGAACGCGATCTTTGCATCATCGAAACTTTTGGCAGTCTGACTTTCACCTCGACAACCCCCCAAGAACCACAACACTTCACTGTTTGCTATCGTACTCAGTACACCGCGCTTCCAAACGAAACCGACCCTATCAACTACACTCTTCTCAATACAACCCACCGGGCGCGAGCGCGCCACAAGATCACCCTCGCCTATCCAATCCACTCCACCGCCATCAACCAAACAATCCACGACACCCCCTCAAAGCAACAATGGCAACGCCAACACCAACACCAACATCTACGCCACCCCTCCCCCTCCCCCTCCCCCCCTCGGAACGCCTCGCGCTCGAACAAAAAGCGCGCTACGACCGCCTAACCCGCAACCTCGCCATCGGCGGCCTAATAACCTGCCCAGTAATCGCGCTCCTCCCGCCCCGAAAACTAGACCTCTACACCTTCTCCCTCGCAATCGGCTTCTACCTGTCCGCCGACCACCTCGCGCAGTCGTCGACGGGCCGCCCGCTGCTCCAGCAATTCAGCTTCACCAACCCCGTCACCACTCTGCCCACGGAGCGCGCGGAGCGCAATCGCGAACTCCTCAAGGAAGCCGAGAGAGTGAGGAGGGAAGGGCTCGGGGAGTTGAAGGACAAGGAGAGGGAACGCGGCGTGCTTGAGAGGGTTTGGATGGGGGGTGAGAGCGAGGGGTGGAAGGAACGCAGACTCGAGGAGGAGAGGAAGGCTTTGGAGGAGGGGAAGAGCTTTGCTGATATGATTTTTGAGCAGATTTGGCATGTTTGGAATTGGGGGGATGATAAGGAGAACAAGAAGGAGTAGTATCATTTTTTTGAGGTTCTGGAAATTTAGGTTGAGGTGTAAGATTATGTGTATAAACGTTTTCGCGGCAATCTTTTGAAGACTATGCTGGCTGGCTTGGGCGTGTTGGTGTGGTTAAAAAAAAGCACTCAAGTATCGTTTTTTTCGTATAAGTGTATTTGAATATATTTTAGTAGTCTTTTCTCTATCTCGCAGTGATGGGAAGCAGGTCTTGTGCACTAATACTATTTTTCGACCCTATTTTCTCTCTTTTCAAATGCTCGAGGTTCTGCCTTTACTCCTTTACCTCCATCCCTTCTTTCCAGACCCCCCCTTCCCCGACGTCTATTTTTTACATGTATGAACATATACTAAGCACGGTAGCGAATCATCGCGTTTGTATGTAGCACAAACACTTGGTATTATGAAATATAATAAAACCTGCCTTTTGGCTCTAGGCAGGATACGTGCCCACGATGCAGTACACACAATCCATCTTGATCATTACGGCTTTGAGCTGGGGTGCGTGCGAGTGCTATGCCGTTTCAAGTTATATCCCTACCTTCTCGCGGGAATGTTTTACACTTACTGACTATGAAGAAACGCGGGGGCGTACTTGGAATCGGCATCGATAAATGTGACATGTAAAGCGAACCACACGGGGTGTGAGTCGGTCGCAAGGCTTCTTGTATGTATTTTCAGGCAAACTGATGGGGGGGTCGGGAAGGCTGAGCTTTATCGATGGGTTGGATGGGCTTCTCGCGCGTAGCAATCATCCCTGGATGGACATATGTTGGCCGGTTTATTTGCATATGCATGATTGCGGTGGTGAAGCTTGACCCGACTGAGCGGTACACGTACGCCGTTGAATGTGCCTCACTTCTTCTTCTTTTCACGGCCCTTCTCCCTCGTTCTCCCCTCAATCTTTCAGTATTATACTTTGGCGTGCAATTTACTGGCTCAATATGCTACCTCTTTCAACCCTTACAGTGGGCATTCTATGCAGTAGATCTGTGTTTGCCCTTGCTCCACGAGTCGTCTTGAATGACGATATCACCTATGAAGGAACTCTTGTCGGTCAGGTAGAACACTTTCAAAACATCAGGTTTGCAAAAGCCCGTCGTTTTGCCCCTCCGGAAATCTACGTACCTCGAAAAGGCTCGCTCGTCGATGCCTCGTCACCTGGACCCGCATGCCCCCAGATCAAGGATGCATTGCCACCATTCTTCGCAGAGACGCCGGAAATCAGTGAAGACTGTCTGAACCTTCGGATCGCACGACCTGTTGGTATCAGCACAGATAGTCAACTGCCTGTCGTCGTTCACATCTATGGCGGCGGCGTGATCAAAGGGTCGGCTTACGATCCCCATTTCGACCCAGACAAACTCCTTTCTATTGCTGTGGCCGACGGGAAACCCGTCATCTACGTCGCTATCAACTACCGTGTAACCATCTTTGGTTTTGCTCGGCTGCCGATTCTCAAGGAACAGAAGGCGATGAATTTGGGCATGAGGGACCAGCGAGCGGCGTTCGACTGGATCAAAACCTACATTTCAGCATTCGGTGGGGATTCGGATAGAATCACGGCGTTTGGCACAAGTTCGGGTGGCACTTTCAGCTCTCTCCATCTTATGACGTACGGAGGCGAGCGAGGTGTTCCCTTCAACCAGATCTGGTCAATGTCCGGCCCCCCGGGGACCGCACTCAAGATTACTAGCGATGCTAGCACCGCATATACTCTTGCTGTTTCAAGGAGGCTTGAATGTGGAGATGACCTCAAGGAAGAAGAGAAAGTGCTGCAGTGTCTTCGCAATGTACCCATGGATCAGCTTCTGGATGTTGCAATGGCATACTCGAGAGAAAATCATCCGCCTCTGGGACTCTTCACCTTCATACCATCGGTCGATGATGACTTTATTCCGGGCCGTACCTCTGCTCTATACGGAGCCGGGAAATTCGTCAAAGGTGAGTACACAATATTGACGGGTGAGATAAACGACTGACTGACCTTCCCAGAAATTCCAATCGTTTATGGATGGGCGCAAGACGATGGAGCCACGAATGCCGGCCCAGGCCATCTCATCAATTCAGAAGACGATATAATCCCCCTTATAAAGAACTTCGCGTCCGACCTCACTCCGGAGCAAATATCCAATCTATTCTCCCACTACCAAGAAGAAGACTTTCGCTACGAACTCGACAACTACAACGCCAGAAAAGAAAACTCAGAGCCCGCTATATCGATCCACTTCTTCCGCCTGACGCGAATCCTCCGCGATATGCTTTTCACGTGTTCGTCGCTGCATTTCGGACGAGCAGTAGCGCAGCAAAGCAAACTGCTAGACAACGACTTCGCAGGCGTCCACCTCTACGTCCTGAACCAAAGCATGCTGACGCCGCTCTGGAAGCGCGCCGGAATGCCATACATCGGCGTCTCGCACGGCTCAGACCACAACTACATCTTCGGAGGCCATTTCCCAGAAGGCGAGGTCAGCCCGGCCGACCAGGAGCTATCGGAGAAGTTCGTCAAGAGTTTCGCCGCCTTTGCGTACACCGGGAACCCGAATCTGAGTCGAGACGCAGACTTCCAGGACTGGCCGGCTGTGGGCGAGGGAGAGCGTGCTGCGTCTGGTGAGATTCCCTTGCAAGTCATTGGCGGCCCGCTGGGCTCTGGATCATGTAGAGTCAGGAGTGACGGTTCTGACGGTGGGAAATGGGCACCGGGGGAAGATGTATCGCAGCAAATCATAGGGGAGGGAGTGGGGTATGAAAGCATGAAGTCTAAGGCTGAAGCTCTCCGTCTGCAGCAGCTGGAGCGGGAGAAATTGGTTGAGCGATGCGCGTTCATCGACGGCCTATCTGAGACCCTTGGTGTGTAAGGCTGGACTGTATTGTGTATTGATAAAGCGCGATTATAGTAGAGACTGGGAAGTCGGTGTTGTAGTTTGACCGGTTTATTTGGTCGACGGAGGCTCCACTGTCGTTGTGTAGAATGCCATGTTTGCGTAGATCTATACAACGATGTCTCCGGATCTGGACGCTCCGATGTGCCTTGGAATTCGAGCGTGCATTCGCGTTTATGATAACCCCACAGGTTCCCATGTACTGGGATTCTCGGTTTCGGAAAGTTCTACTGCTTTTCAATTATGCATGAGTGCGTGTATATGCAGGCTCGACGTTGAGCTGAAAGTCAAGCAAGTGACAGGCAAACAAGGCAGAAAAGGCAAAATAAGTGCTAAGCTCCGCAGATACAAGGACGTACATATGATACCCTACAACACCCAAATCCTTCCAACAGCCCATCTCGAGGACTTCGTATCAATTCCCCAACGAATATCTCATCTTTACTCATCAGGTTGACAATTCCACAATGAAGTACGACAACGGTGCGTCAATCCTCGCAACCTCTGTGATCCTCGAGGTCATCGTTCTAGTATGCGTGGGCCTTCGTTTCCACACCCGCATTTGGAACAAGACGTCCTTCATTGTATCCGACTGGCTGTTACGAGCAGCCACGATATTCGCAACGGGCCTGACCGTGCTACAAATCTACGCTGGACATCCTCGAGACCTCACCGACTCTGTGGTAAGCATGCTAATGCGGTGTTTACACGAAGGCGTCTATATCAAAGCTTTAGCGGAGCCATTGAATGGAAGCATCGAAGACCAACGAGCCGCCACCGGACGCTTGAACAAAGCAAAACACGTCCGTCTCTACCCACAGACCCCCTTCCTTTATTCGTTCTTCTACTAACACGTCCGCGAAGATCGAGCTGGCCTACCTCCTCATGGGTATGTATGTATCCTCACGCTCGGGATTATCAAGCTGTCTATCTGTCTTCTATACCGGCATCTCTTTCTTCGCCAAAGTGGTGTTCCGACATTTTCTGCTTGTCTGGATGGTTATATTGGTAGTTTGGACCGTGGCATTTGTGCTCGCTGGCTTGGCTCGAATGCAGGGCGCCCCTGAAGGCGATATACGGAACTCCGCAGACTTTCCTCGACCACTGCGGTAGCGCGATCTCAAGTGGATGGGCAATGGTCGGGAGCGATGTTGCCACCGACTTCACTACACTCGTCATCCCGATTCCCGCGGTAAGTCCAGAACCGTCCGTGTGCCTGCCGCGCAAACAGCAATTGTGTTGAGACCTTTTTTTTCAAGGGGGGGGGTAGGTCTGGTCGTTGCAGGTGCCGTCGCTGAGCAAGGCTCTTGTAGTATCTAGTTTTCTTGTCGATGCTGTGTAAGTCGCCTCCCCTGGGAGAACCATTCGCATATCCTGTTTTTTCCGACAAGGAAACGCATCGCAGATCGGTCGGAGCAAGGATCAGGAAAGCCTACATCTACATTGCAGCGACATTCGGCCGTTAACACCGAAGACGCAATACGTAAAAACCAACTCCTGCAACGACCCTTCATATCTATTTTGCCCCATTGCTGAAAAAAAAAAACCACAAACCTCAGTAATTTCCTCAAACCGGTCCCGCAGTATGAAAACTCTTCCAAGTCCAATCCGGCATAGCATCATCGCCGCCAACGGACCCAACCCACCCAGCGACCAATCCTGTCCCGGCTACCTCCAACCAGCAGCATCAACTTACTGATTCATAGCTCCCATCTACCTTTCAGACGAAGAAACACACATCGCAAAACGCTCCACCGCCATTCTCTCGTGACGATGGCCTCGGAAGAAATCATGGATCCAGAGGTAGATAATAAGCAGCAAATGAAAAGACTTATGTCGTATACGACGGAAAAGCATCAGAAACGATAGAGATGAAGACTTACGATATAGATCTCGAGACTACCGCGTTGGGAGAGAGAGAGCAAATAGTTATTATTGTCGTCGTTTGTGACATGTTTCTACTTCGTCGGCGCGGAAATAGACGTCTTAGGGTTTTTTGTTTCGTGGAGATGTGGGATGTGTCGTTAGATTGGTTGGGGATTTTGCGACTTGTCTTGCTGTCGAGATATTAGGGAGTTCGAGAGATATCCAGCATACACACACCCACCATATGGTGAGAAAGACTATATATAACTGAAACAGACATTGAGGGTTCGCACGGTAGCTAGTTGGTGTCTCTAGATTGGAATCAAACAGCAAAAAAAAAGAGAGAATATCACAGTGTTTCAGGCTATCAGTGAGTTGCAGCACAAGAAAGACCAGTCTCATTCAAGCTCATCTATGAATCAACGGCGTCGATTTCGATTGTGTTGAAGTTGCGGTGTTTATAAAAATGTCTCTTTACTTAATCTACATTTATATATAGCCTATTTCTGAAATAATGATGATGATGATGAGGTGGTTGATGCTGGATGGATTCGGAGTTGGAAGGTTGGATGATAGATGGCTATATATTCTTGAACGCAAAAGAGAGGAATCTATACAAACCCAAATTAAACCCCCCCCCAAAAAAGGAAAGACTGGAAATTCGACAAAGAAACGAAACAAACGCCAACACCTGCCCCCAATCTATACACACACACAAACATGTAAGTTCGTTGACCTCTCCCCTTCGCCCTTCTCGAACGACCTCCTCGAAACACACACCGCCTGTCTTTCTTTATAGTAATCATATCCCCCCCCCTCCCTTAGCCACAAATACAAACACACTTTTTCCTCTACCCCTCACTCCCCACCAAACAACCCCCCAAACCCATCCTCATCATCGTCAAACCCAGACGATATCATACTCCGACTCGGCGCCTCGAGCACAGATTGTTTCCTCGGCGGAGGATCTTTATACGACATCGTCGTCGTCGTCATGGGTATGTCTATGCTTATATCGTTGTATTCATCTCCAGCGATATCGGGTACGGGTGTTTGGGAAGAAGAAGAAGAAGGGAGAGGAAGAGGGGATATGCTATAAAGAGAAGATATGTCAGTGAACGTTCAAAGTTGAAAAGTGGAAGGAGGGGTATTCAAGAAAACTCACGATCCCCCCGCATTCTCTTTATGTCCTGCGGTCTCGAGATTGGTGGGGGAGATGGTGCTTGTTGGAACTGCTAAGCGGAGTAGCGAGTCATTATTATTATTGTTGTTATCGTCGCTGTGTACTAGCGCGGGCTTTTTCTCGGTGCCATCGATATCGAGCTCGAGCAGCTTTTCTAATTCCACGATACGAAGTCTAGCTAGCTCGAGCTCGCGCGTCGCTGTACCCGCGCTCTTCGTTATAGGAGAGGGAGTGTTTCTCACTGTATTTGCAGGCATGTTCTGCGCGTTGCCTGGGGGTTCGCGATACGTTGAGCTTGAAGCGTAACGCGCTTCCCGTGCCTCATCGTCCCGGGAGACGGGAATGGTGGGAGGGGAGTTTATACCCAACTGCGGATCTTGGTGTAGCTGGGGAATATGGTGGTGATGATGATGTCTGCGGTTGACGACGGCCATGGCGCCGATTTCGATGATGCGTGGACTTTTTCCCACTTGCTCCGCGCGAGGCATGTGTGTCATTAGAAACGGCGGCATTTCCTCTTTTTCTCCGTTTTCTTGTTTCTTTATGTCTTGTTGTGCTGGGTTACGGTGAGGCGGTGAAGATGTATGCGAGGATCCCGTGATTTGCAGCGGGATGCTGCAGTGGCTGGGGGGCGACGCAGTGTGTAACTCGTGAAGCTCGTTTGTAGACTCCCTGCACGTTTTTGCCGCACTGTGGTGGTGCGATGGACTATTATAGTTGTTTGTTGCAGGGAAAGAAGGTGTGGTGGTGAGAGCGGGCGTGTGGATAGTTGTATTTGTAGACTGGTGATGAGGAGGAGGAGGATGGTATACATTCTGCAACGAAGCATTCTTCGCGTCCACAGCACCTCCTAGTGAAGGGATCTGTGCTTCTTCTCTACTCCTCTCATCAGGCCCTGAATGCGGACTAATATAGCGAGGATAACTGGTATGTTGCTGCTGTGGTTGCTGCTGGTACGGCGTGGCTCTCGGTCTCTTTGGCGGCCCACGTCCGCTTCTGCTTCTCGCTGGAACAGGGGAACGGTCGCGCGTCATTTGCAGGCGGAAGAAAGTCGGGGTCATGTGTTCTGCAAGACGTTGGGCATCTCCATGACTGAGAGAGCGTCGACGGGGTTGGGGCTGGTGGATGGGGACTGGGGTGAAGTCGTACTGGTCTTGTCGGTGAAAGGAGGGCTGTTGATTATGGGTGTACGAGCGGACGTGGAGGGGACGTTGGGGGTTCGAAATGTTGTTGTGTGGTGTTTGTCGGATGAGTGGGGTTGGGGGTATACTGTGCTGGTACAGCAGGGATGGCTGTTGGAGGATTTGTTGTTGGCGCTGGGATAGGAAGGGGTATGGGTCTGGTGCGTGAGAGCATGGCGATACAGGGTACACTGGTATATTGTTGCTGTTGTTGTTGAAGGCCTCGGTAGAGATATTTTTGTGATCAAACTTGAAGTCTGAGAAGTCACCTGGAGAAGTTGAACTTGAACGGGAGGATCCTGTTGGCGGTGTCGAACTGTCGTCCAAGGCAAAGTCCAGGCCGTCGAAGATGCCGTTATCAGTGAGCGAAGACAGCGGAGATTCGCCATCTGGTGGGAACAGTTCTTCGTAATCAGATTGCGAGTAACTCTGGTCGGAATCAGAGAGGAGAAAGGGGTCGATGGTAGCGTCGCTGAAAAGGGTATGAGGTTGAGACATGCTATTTATTCAGCTTCTCCCTTCCGGATTCCGGCACAACGGCTGAACGATTCAGGGCAACGCGGATTTCAGCTCGTGATCGAACAACCCTGGGAGAGAATGGAAAATGTTACACAGAGAAAGGAAATATTTTCCAGTTATAGAAGAGAATTTCTTTTAGTCCAGCGGGGCTGAGACAGTGCAGTTTCCCGTGCGCTAGAGCGGGTTCATGCTTTTCTAGACAGAATCTCACTGTGCAAACAAACATGGCGTGCATATACAGAAGATACAGTCTCTTCATTCACTACATGTAGAATATGATGGAACCAATCTCGATCTCATCGACAGTTTGCACGCTACTCCTTCCTTATCCGGATCCTGAATCTCTCACTCAACTACCCAAGACTACGTGCGGTAAAGCCGGGTTTGACTTTTTTTTCAGACATCGCATTGCTCCCACCAAACATGAAAGAATGCCACAAATGCTTGGTCTCACCCTCCCACGGTGAGCAATCACACGTGCCGGATAGCATACTACCTCCTTCACACCGTCTTCCCGCCCTGGCCCTAAACACGTTGACACCTGCAGCCAAACAAACAAAATAACTAAGACAACAACATTTTTCCATCTTACATTGCAAAACTTGCCCCCTACCCTCTCTCCCAGCAGGTCTTGCAGTATCTCACCAACCAACCAACCAACCAACCAACCCTTCGTTCAAACACTGTCTTAAACTTCCAAAACAACAACAGACCAAAGTCTCGTATTCCTTCCCTCCATCCAAAAATCGTTAATCCGACTTTTTGTTTTGTTTTGCTTTGCGAGGCTGTCTTTGCTCGTCTCGATTTGTCAATGAAACCTCGTCCATGGAAAATACAAATTACACCTCTATCCACATTGTATCAAAACATGTCACAGCCTAGCAGTAACACACACACACACACACACACACACACACACAAAAAAGAGATTGAAGCATTAATATATTTTTTTCTCAATTGGGAGAGGAGATAAGAGGGAGAGACTCCCTTTTCCCCAAACTTGTTGCAATGTTTGATTCCCCTCCCCCTCGCTTTCCCCAACTCTTGCGAGCTGCCAACGCTTTTTAGTGACCTGGATGGATGGATCAATCGATTCCCCGAAACTCCACTGCCACTCCGAAAAATAAAAAGGGTGGTTTGAAGAAAAAGAAGAAAAGAACAATTGGGGGTTTAGACGCAAGCAAGAAGACGAGAGAGAGAGAAAAAAAAAATTCATTATCTAGTGGAACGTAGGGAAACCAGATCGGTGGAGAAAGGGTGGGAGAGTGAACAAGACTCTCCGGGTTCCACCAGATAAAACCCAGTCCGAGGATTTGAGGGGGTATGCAGAATCAAGAAACAGTAAAGCTTTCTCGCATTGGGGGAGAGGCACGGGTCAAGAGAGGAGTTGCGGGGAGCGGTCAGTCCGGCGATCCTCTAGGAGCCAAGGAGACAGTGTGGGAGAAGAATACTAGATCTCCGCCCTCGCTGAGGTGAACTCCCACAGCTGCTTCACGAGGGAGTCAGGCAGCGTGTAGAGGTCGACATGGAACTCGCCATCTGTGTAAAAGTGGACAGTGATTAGTAAAACATTCGCGACCGAGTTCAATAATTGGAATTGCACTTACTCTCGACATCGTTCTTGACGTACGTCTCGCTCGTCTTGTTGTCGTGCACCATGGTTATCACGTGCAGCAAGTCGTCCTCGCTCAGCTTCTGCAGACCCTCGGCAAGCTTCTCCATATCCACGGTCTTGTCCCGTCGTCCCTTCTTCTTGCTAGAGTCCTTGGCGCCCCTAGCACCATTCGTCTCGGCACCACCGCTGGACTCCAAGAGGGCGATGAGATCAGGCTTCGGGTTGCGGAAGGTGACTGCGTGGACGGCCTCGTACTTCTCGGCCTGGAAGTTGAGGTCGTGGTTGATGGTGTGGTCGCCACCACGGTGAGCGCCAGTGAGAACAATGTTCATGTCGAACTCACCCCAGCCCTTCTCTTCTATGCGGAACGGAGGCTTCTTGAAGGTCTGCTTGTTCTTCTCAAACGACGGATGCAGGTTGTAGACGGCCTTTTCGAAGCAGGTGGCGGGGACGTCGTTGCCATTGGCGTCCTGAATGTAGATCTCGATGCTCCATGTGCGCATGGGGAAACCCTCCATGGGCGAAGGCTCCGAACTGGAGTGTATGGGTTAGTACACGCGCGTAGTGAAAGGTGGGTGAGCGAAGGAAGCACGCGTCATGGGCCTCAGGTCAGTACGTACATGGGCGACTGCCTCGTGATGAGCTTGACGTTCCTCTTGATCTGCATTAAATCATGTTAGTTCAATGCCTGGAGCCATATCGCGAGTTGTCGCAACTTACGTCCGGCATCCTTGCTGTCGTCCTCCCGTGCGGGTGTGAAAGGGATTGTCGATAGTCTTCCGTCAAACTTCGTTGGCAGTAGTATTGAAGCAGAGCTTTTGTATCGCGACGGACGGTTCGAAGTGGGTGGGCGCAGTGTTGGGGATAGAGTGTGAGGCGCGTCGGTGGTTGCTTTGCTTGTCGCGAGGTTGGCTGGCTGGCTGGCTGGCGATTTTGTGGTCCAAGCTTTGTCGGCTTTGCGGGGCAAGAGAGCTTCACCGTGTACCATGCGCTTGGCAGCCATACAATATCAATTGACATTAATAGGACCGCCACCCGATTGCATATTACTTTCTACATTGAACATAGACCGCTCAAACTAAGATACTCTCAGACAGCATAACAGCCACTTGCTTCTCATCTCTCTATCACCTTGAAGGCGGTCTACGCGTGCCCCGTCCTTTTCCATCGATCAATGCCATCACTGTTCCAAATATGCGGTACTCAACAATTTGCATAAGTCATCCATTTACAATGAAAGAAACAGTTCCACTCAGAGGGCACAGCTTGTTGGCATTGATTCATGTCAATTGATTGGAGGGGTTAAGGGGGTAACTATCTATCTATGTGCAAAAGGGGGCTGGCTTTGGGGGTGTGACGTTCCATCTCTCAACGTCTTATGAACTTGTCATACCTATACCTACCTACTTTACCACGTTATCCACTCGGGTGCTGTGGTCTGATACAACCAACCCTTTCGGTTCCAGTCCTTTCCTTTCCTTCACTGTCCTGTTTTCCCACCATCCACACCCCTCTGTCCGAATGTTCCTCATTATCCCCATCTCGTCGTAGACCTCATAAACCGATTCATTTCGCATTTACTCGCTCGCCTTGAATAGCGCCTCGTTCTCCTGCTGTGCCTTGATGAAGGCTTCCTTGAAAGCGTTGGCGTCTGTGTAAACCCGTTAGTAAAACTTGACATGTCTCGCAGGACTGGTATGAACTCACTCTCGCTGTTGGCAAAACGGATCGCAAGCGTCTGAGCCTCGGGCTCACCCTCGCTCACATCGGCGGCGGCATTCCAGACCCAGCTGCGGTCGGAGCCGACATTGGGAGACAGCTTCATGTCGGGAACGACGTAGTGGTTGGCGCACACCTTCAAGGTCTTGTCCCGACGCATGACCAGCCTGGTCTTTCCGTTCTCCTTGTGCTTCAATAGACGGACGTCACCAGTACCCCGCTCCTTCCACTCCCTGCTGTCGCGATCGAACTTGAACAGCTTGGCGCGCATCTTGAACGTCTGCTCCTCAAGCTCCTCGTTGGTCTTGGTGTCGACCTTCTCGGTAAGGTGGACAATGGGCTTGAACTCGACGTCGGGCTCCTCGTTTTCCGGGTTCTCATCCTGCACGAGTTTTGATTAGCGCCCTGTGCATGTGAAAAGAGGAGAGGAAAGTAGCGATAATCCAAGACGTACCTCGGGCTTCTTGGTGGCTCCGCTGGGCTCGTCGGCGCCTTCGTCAGCCTCCTCCTTCTTCTCCTTCTTGGGACCACCGCCAAACATGGAGAAAACATTGTCCTTTACGGCAGTGGTGGCGGACGCAGCGGCCTCGGTGGCCTTCTCGGTCACCGTCTTGTCCTCAGCGGGCTTGGAGTCGGCGGCTTTGGAGTCAGTCACATCGGTGGTGACCTTTGCGGTCTCGTCCTTGGCCAAGGTTGCGCTGGGAGCGGCGACCTGCTCAGCGGCGGGGTCAGGTTTGGGAGCGTCAGCCATGTCGGCGGTGTGTGTGTGTGTGGGATGTGGTGGTTGTTGTGGTGGGGTGGCGAGTGTTGTGTTTGGAGCTTCGTTCTTGTCAGAGAGAGTGTGTGCGTTATATAATGCTGCACTAGCTAGTACGTACTCCGGGTTGAGACTCGCGGTAGAGATATTGGGCTGTGTGTATGTATGTGCAACGGAGGGTGTTGACGGCACTAGAATTTGAAGCAAAGGAGAAGTGGGCTTTTGGGGGCCCTGGATGGAGGGGCAAGAGTAAAGACGCTATTCCGTTTCGGGCTTGGGCAGGCAAACAACATTGAATGCGCTCGAGCACTGGTGAGGCGGGTTTCACTCAGGCACCAGCAGTCCCCTGACTTGGGTACCTATGTATGTACATAACATTGAATGTAGCTTGCATAACTAGGTATATAGTCACTTGAGTACCCCTAATCGGTCATGATTATGGTTACCTAGACATTCAGGCATCGTCTCTGTTGCCTGCTCGCGGGTGCCTAGGTATGATCGGCGTCTTGTACGCCAACAGCAAAACAATCGGTCACTTCAACGACAGGGCTGTGAATGATGTAATGAAACATATTATCAGAGTGGATTGCATATGCGCCTACTATAGGATATACCCAATACCTACGAGTCCCATCATTCCCTAGTCATGCCCATGGAAATTCCAAACTCCGGGGTGAACAAAGCAAAATCGCACGTGCAAGGCCATGAGGCCGTATCAACTCCCTCCCACACTAGTCCTGCTCTTGTGATTCTTGGTAAACTCCCGTCTCGTGACGTCGTAACTTAGCTTGTGTTGCCCCAAGAAGTTGTAGTGCTCGCCTAGATGCCCTTTAACGCCAGCCCATCATTAAAAAAAAAGTTGAAAGGACGGAAAAGGAAGCACACCTGGTGCGCGAATAGTCCTCCACGCTGGTTGGGTGGTGGTAGGAATTCACCGACCAGCTTGCTTGCACGCCCGAGACTTCCCCCCATCCGGCTTGATGCCAGAAAGGCCAACAGCTTCCTCGAAGCGACATCGTATCCTGAAAGCATTGGCTCGCGCGCGGAGTGTGGCGTCCGATGTTCGCAGAGGAGCAGTGACCTTGCGAATACCCATCCAAGTCTCTGCAGTGACTTCTTGAAGCACGTGAATGCCAGATGACAACTGCCGCTGTACCTCCTTTTGGGTTTCGCGTACGTTGCCTGCCAAATCTGCCTCGGGTAGGCGGACCTGCTTCTTCCACGCATCGATGTTGTTTCCTGCACGAGATAGCGCAGATTTGGCGCGTCCAGATAAAACAGAAGACATCTTCCTCAGGTTCTCCTGTGTCGCAGCAACATCACGGTTGACGAAATCCACGAATTGCCCGACCACGGTCTTGTTACGGCCCAGACTGACCGTGAACCACTGTTGCATCTTATAAGGCTTTGAGTGGGTAGATATACTCACGTTGAATAGCCCGACCTGGTATTCCTGCTCGAGCTCTACCACATAGCCGCCGTCGATCGTGCGAGTGTAACGGATGGGAATCTTCTCGGCGTCCTTCATGACCTGTATCTGGAGCTGCGGTTTGCTCTTGCGGTTGGCCAACTCTTTGTCGGGACTCAACGTGAATTGATGGCCCCCTGTCATGTGGATGTCATAGAATGATTTCTCAACCTTCTTTTTGCCAGTACGTCGGGAAGGTAGCTTCTGCAACGGCAGTACAACACTGAGACTTCCGGGCGCGGAGGTAGCTGCATTCGGGGGCACGGAGGATGTCGATGTTAATATTGGCGACGCAGCAGTCTGAAAGCTGCCGACTCCAGAGCGGCACAGACTCGGGACCACTTGTACGTGTACCAGTGAAGACTCGTTCTGCATCAAAGATAGAGCGGGGAGCGCGAGATAGTAGCAGCTTAACATAATTGACAAGAGACCCACCGCAAGGCCAAACTTCAATGGCGAGCTGTGTACCGACCTGATTACTTTCGTGAAGTAGGTGTGATAGTTTCCGGGACTCCAGGAACTTGATTGCGAGGTGGCTTTTGGTGACGTCGATGGCGATTGCAGAGTGGCAATATGCCGATTCAGTTGAGACGAGTCAAGATTCTGGAGAGTGTACATATCGATGGGAAGGTTCTCTTTCAGCACAAAATCCTCGGAATCTCCGTTCCTGCCTTCCACGCAGAGCTGTATACTGTTTTTGACGCAGACAGAATTATCGGAATGGTGATGGAACCGCCGGTCTTCAGCAACATGAAGGCAGGGGATCTTATGGTAGCTCAAGGCCTTGCAAGCAGCGGGGTAGTGTTCGATCTCTGGAGCTGCCAGCCTGGGGTGCGGATACCAGAACACGACGAGGTCAGGAAGACGTGCTTGTTGTTTCGTGGAGTATCTAGATGAGTTTCCGAACGAAATCTCCATTCCGTCATCGAACGTGACCTTCACGGCGCAGGACTTGTCCGAAGCATCTAGTCGTTTGAGATCGGTGCAGAGGTCGGAAGAGAGCACCGGGCCATAGGGTTCCATTTGACCTTGTCTCATGATCGATCTCGAAGGGCCTGGGCTTTGGCCTATATTAGAAGTATCAAGTCAGCCAAGCGCAAGAAGAGATATCGTACATGGGATATAACTCACATAGGGCTTTGCTGATGCAAGACTCGACGTCTACTCTAGCCCAATCTGAGATGTTGCCAACGTATAGAATCTTGAATGCACTACGAGCCGGCATGTAGGAGGCAGAGATATCAGCCCGGACCGCCAGCCTCATGTCGCTGCATTGGTACGGTTTGAGTACACCTTCAGCTGTTTGTGCGGAGGTGAATTCCTTTGTGACAGCCCAAACTTTTGTGTTGCTTTGGTCTGTGTTATGCTCTCCTTCAGGCACCATCCAGATGTCGCTTCGACTCTCACTATGCCTCATATAGGGTGCCTCGGTGAGGGCGCTGTCGTCGATGGCGGTCGGTGCGTCATGATCGGGCGATTCTTCGATGGTAGAGGTTTCAAGAGGCAGTGGACGGTCATCCGTGTATTGAGCGAAATCGTCATCTTCTTCATCGTCATCGAAGGTGGAGGCGTCGTCCGGGGTGGTGGAGGCAACCGAAGCCGTGTGACCCTCGTCATCGGAGGTTTCGTAGACACTATCACTCATGCCGACGACTTCGTAGGTGCTCTCGTCCAAGGCGGTGGCCTCTTGGGCGTGTGGTCGAGCGTTGGACCTCATGATAAGGCTGTTGAGGTCGAGCTTTTCTATAGATTGGTCGACCCGAACGGGTGGATAGCGCAGCTCCTCAGACTTGCTTGTGTCCATGTCAGAAGGTAGGCAGCAAACATGAAAGCAAGGTGCAGCGGTGAATAGATGGAAGAGAAACAAAGAGAAGAAGAAGAAGGGTGAAGGCAGAGGAGGGCAAAGAAGAGTGAGGTAGAGGCCGGTGACAAAGGGTGGGTGTGACTAGTGGTGCAATGCGGTGCCGTGAGAGGTGGATGGAGCCTTGTGGTCGGAGGGCTGCCTAGGAGGTACTTGACTTACCGCGGGGGTGGGTATTAGGTAGGATATGCGGGGCATTAAACACGTCGGTTGACGTAGCTCGCCGGTCGGGATGAGAGAGGGGGGCGGAAGAAGCAAGTTGAAAGAGAAGAGTTATCGTGTGTGAGCTGGTTGTTGCAAGTGGGTGGAAGGTGACAAAGAAAGAGGGGAGCAAGGGAAGACGTCGTTGGTGGGTGACGGGGAGGAATGAAAGAGGAGTGCTCAGTGGATGGATGTTAGGATGGATGCAGGCGGGATTAGATGGTCGGAGAAGGAAAGAGAGATAGAGAGGCAGAGAGAGAGAGTGGAGAGTCGAGTTGCGTACAGGCTTGAGAGAGCATGTATTACTGTACGGCCAGACTGGTGATCAGAGGTCATGCATGCATGCATCTATCCATACATACATACTTACATGGACAAGTAACTTATTCCGCTCGCGGGCGGGCGGCGTAAGCGGCGGGCCAGTGAAGTGGTGCACGATTGATTATGTAGTCAAGGTGATTATTACCGCAATCAGCTGCCTGCCCTCTGTACCAGCACTTGAGCAGTACATACATAGAGTACATAGAGTACATAGATAGATACATGACTGGTTGGGCCAACTACTATCTACTTAAGTAAGTAAGTAAGTAAGTACTGGAGCTAGCTAGACAGCAAGCGCAACCCACCCACGCCCCGCAAGGCAAGGCAGGGCAGGTCCTCCGCTCCAACGGGGGGCAGCGACGTATCAGCATGTGCGCAAGCCCCCGAACGCCCTATCAGCTGCCCACGCCTCACCCAATCAGCCGCCCGTGTCGCATCATCCACATCACCATCCTCGCCCATCATCACCCATCTCCGTCCACCCATGCATGCCTACTTACCTATACAATCCATCGCCAACATGCTCAAATCAACCCAATTTATACATGTATATTTATATATATATATATTTATTCTGTGCTTGTGCTGCCTTTGTTGCCCCGCTCCGGACACGAATCAGTCCCCGACCATCACTGGTCTACCCATCCCACTCTTGCTAATCCCGTGACATGTGAATCCCATTCAACTTCGCATCTCCTCGCCATGTCCACGTTATGCTGTGCCATCTATTCATGCAGCACAAAACCCAGCCCAAGTCCCTCCTTGACCAACTCCAAAACCAATGCATAGGGTATCGTAGTGTGAGAACCGTTGCGCCAAAACAAAATCCCCCCGTCCCTCATATCGACCCGGGCGAAGCCCAACCCCCTGCCACATCCACCCACTCTGCCAAACACGACCCCTCCTTACCTTCCACGTCCACAATGTCCGTATCGCATTTGCACCGGCAGCCCACCCCGTTCTCCTTGGGCGCATCCGGCGTGCGCCAGTACTCCTCTTCCTCGGCTCGCTGCTTCTTGTCCAGCGTACCCTTCTCCTTGTATGGGATGACAGGCAGCTGCCGTGCCGGAGCATTGGCGGGACAATGCTGGATCGTCGTGTGCCGATACCCAAGATCTCGAAAGTAATGTATGTCCTCCGGACCCAGCAAAGCCCCAGCCGCGAGCGAGTGGATCGGGGCGTCGCCCCATCTCTCCATCCAGAACCCTCCGCTGCGATCCATCATCTCGAAGAAATCCTGGTATTCCTTGCTCCGGAACCAGTCCAACCTCGCAATCTCAAAGTTGCTCCAGAAATGGCACATGTTGTAGCTCTCGCCTTCCATGGCCTGCGCGTCGATTTCAGGCGGCGGTCGGAAACCAGGATCCGAGTCCAACACTCCTTCGGGAAGAGGCTTTTGCTTGTGCTTTACATCGAGCTTGGGCAACTCCGTCTCTTGACTTTCTTTCGGTTTCTCCACAAACATCTCCCATAAACCCTTGGACGTCATGTTGTTCATTCTCTTGTAGGCCGAGGCGTAGCGGAAGATGTTGGGTACAGTCTCCCGCAATTCCTTGACCGCAATGGTAAAACCGTACGTCTTCTTGTGCCGCTTCATGTGAATAAAGGGATCGCTGCGAGAGTAAGCATAAACTTTGTATCCAGAGATTGAACCAAGCTTACTAGGTAATGTCGCAGAAATATTTGATATCGGGCTCCAAGCGCCAGTACCATTCGTACTTCTGGAGCAGCTCGTGCTTGTAAAAGAAACTGGATTCGATTTAGTTAGATTCATGGACAGATCAGATAGCGAGCGTGCTCACCCAGAGTAGAACCGGCACATGTGGTGATAACTCTCCATTCCGCCATACATGATGGCAGCATCGCCCTGTTTGCGAATGCCTTCCTTCGCAACGGCAGGGTCAACCCAGTCTGGAAATCCCCACATGTCGGGTGTAATCTTTCCCCATTCTACCGCTGCGCTTGTGTAGTTTTCCACTGTATCTATGAAGGTCTGATTGAAATCGCCGTCGTTCAAAAACACATACGGATAGTGAAACCAGCGGTTGAAGTGCCTCTCGATCGACTTGATTGATTGTATGACACCATCCAACTCCGAATTTCTAGCCAGCACCACGAAAGCGGCATTTGCACGGGGTCCGTTGACCTGAGGCTCGAGGCAGCCAACTGCAAAAGGTTTGTCATATTTGTCGCTGATCTTCCTAGAGGCTTGTGAGCCACACTGTTCAGTGACAGTGACAGAGGTGGAAATGAATATTTACCTGATAGAGGGTGGAGTTCCAGCGGGCATCCTCATCAAACCCTGCGAGTCCGGCGATCGCGTAAAGAGGAAGATAATGAAGACTAGCACGATGCACGGAAATGCCAACACAGCACCCAGGGGAATTGAGGCTCTTGGATCGCTAGTGAGCCGTATGCGGCGGCGAAAGAATGTGAGCTGGGGGATTCTTCGCTCAGCACGACGTGCTACCTGCTCCAGGCTTTCCATACTGGCGTGCTATTATTGCGTGGTGCGGCCACAGGATCAAGACAACTTGGAAGCAGCACAAGACGAAAACCGACGACTTCCTCGGCCCCCTGAATTTCCCACTCCAGTTATATATTCCGTCGAGCAGTAGATGTAGTCGTAATACGCAAGAAGGTTGCAGATAGTCGGCAATGACTGGCTGTGTGCTAGGGCGCCGTGAGCCTAGAGGTCAGAGCAAGATGGTGCGAGAACAAGTAGGCGCGCGGCGGGGGTATCGCGGTATGCAAGATCGTTTGTGGTACTGTTGAGCCGGTGAGGTATACAACAGGTGATGGTGTGAAATCCCGGTGGAATTGGTGTGCAGGATGGATTGAACAGGGCGAGTGTTATGTAGGTTTCAACCCTGTGAAGGTAGAGATGTCGTGGTGGTGTTGGGAGTAATTGCCCAAGCCAGGGTGCCAAGGGGCTGTCTCGATGCTTAAGGTGGAGCGCGCCTTCCCCGCCAATTTCGGCGTGGATGAGAACATACAATGCATTGCCTTTCTTCAGTCTCCATCCGATACTGCATTGATTCTATCGCCAAAAAGTATCGTATTGCAAGGTCTGTCCGTATTAGATGGAAACAGTCGGGAAGCATGCGATGGCGTCACTACGTCAACAAAGCCAAGACTGTAGATCTCATGTCTCGGGAGATTCGCCGCGGGACCCTCCCGATTAGGAACGCGTGCATCTGTGTCGCATTAGCGCTGGTTGGTCGTCGTTCAACTTCACCACTATCTCCCATTCGCCCTCGATTTCGCACTCGTCATTTTTGCCTGAAATGAGCTTCAAAGCCAAAGACCTGCAATGGGGTAAGTTTCTATATTGTCATCATGTCTTTCAGTGAATCTTATACACCTAGATGACACTCAGCCCGCGTTCCTTCAACGGATGAGAGCACAGCTCGCAGGTGATGGCTCGGGTCGTCACGATCGTCCTGTGGCCCGCAACAGGAAAGAAAAAGTGGACGATGAAGACGACGCGCCTACTTACGTCATGGAAGACACCAATGATTCAATGACAAAAGCTGAATACGAAGCTATGGTGGCTAGGAAAGAGGCAGAGGAGGAAGAGTCTGCCAAAGACGTCGGCGAAACAAAAATCACCGCGCCTGCTGCCGCAAAAAAAGACAACATTGCAGAGGTGGGCAAAGCATCGAAGAAGCGTAAGGCGGTCAAAGTGATTGGCAACGAAGGCGAAGAAGATGCGAACGACTCGAAGGATCTGGGGAAAAAGGTGACGAAGAAGGCTAAGAAGAAAGGGAAACCCATCAAACTATCTTTCGGCGATGATGAAGGCTGAAGAATGCGATGCTAAACTCTCTATTCTTCGTATCATGGAGGTCCAGCCGCTACGGCACTCCCTATACATTGATCGATTGCCGCAAGCTTCTTGCTATGAAAGATCCGTCACATTGCTAGTGACACCAGTATAGTCTCTGAGAGAGCAACAGGCACGAGCAGTCACCGATCAGATCCCGCAGCGCTTGGCTCCAGTTTCTCTAGTTCAAAACTTGTCTGATATTTGAAGCTTCGAGTAAAGTTTCCGGCAGCTACAATAGTGGATAGCACTGCATAAATATGGAGGAAGCTGAGTAGACGGCATCCAAAAACTGAGTGTTGTTTCGCCATTCCAAACTCATCCCGATCTCGCATACCACGACTGAAGCTCCGCATCTCTATCTTGTTCATGACTCTCGGAATTTTCGGAAGTTCGCTCGGAATACGGTGGTTAGCGCAAAGCGCTCCATGCTCAGTTAGAGTCTCTGTGCTTAGATGGGCGCATATATCGTAGAAAAATGAATTCGCATATGATTCCCAAATGCTTTGCTATTCTGGCTTATTAGATACAACTTCAACTATAAATTGGGTCATTCGTGGGAGTGTATGTCCCTTTCCACGAAATAGAGTTGATGCCTCGTTGCGCGAAGCCGTGATTCCACCATACAATTTCGAGTCTGAGATTTTCCGTTCCCGCGACCGAACCCCAAACACTCTCACACCCGTTAATAAAAAAAACCATCCACCCAATTCCTCCCCACACGCGACAATGCCACAATTCTCACTAGATGTTCGTATTTCCATCTAGCCCCGGCGTAAATCATGAATCTGCCATTCTGACACCATCTCCTGAACCCCTAGGACTTCGACAAGCACATTGCTAGCCTCCAGTCGCAACTCCGCAGTCTGAACTCTGCGCTCGAAGCCACAGACCACAATTCCCCCGAATGGCTCGCGACGGATCTCATCTCGCTGCGGAATAAATCGGGGCGCTTGCAGGATGACATGCAGCAATTCCGGGAACGGTTGGAGAGCGAGGGATTGGGTGTACGAAAGGTAGCGTCTAGCCCGTACCCATACAATGGCCGCACGCTTTCAATGTGTCTATTTTATACACGATTGGCTCCGAAAAAGCGACATGCGTGGTTCGAATTTTCAATGTAGATTTATGGACTGACTTGCGGCGATGTCGGCAGGAATCAAACAAACGCCTTAGCATCGAAGGCGCATCCGACAAAATCCCACCGCCCAGGAAATCCCTCGAATCCGCAAGCGCGAAATCCTTTCACGATCTAGAATCGCATCGTCGACTCTCCTCCGCGGCAACTACGACCGCCGTCAACACAGCTATGAACCCGTTGTCATCACCTCCGCCGCAAGCGCAACCCTCGATATCAGACTACACACCGCAGCATATGGACGTTAGCGAAGAAGTGCACCGCCGGTTGCAAGAAAGCCGGCTGCGGAGGCTCATGGGGTCGCCGTCGACGTCGCAGAAGCGGAAGTACAATGTTTTCGAGAGCACGAAAATGGGCGTGGAGCTGGAGGGTGGAAATGCTGGTGACGAAGAGGAGGAGGAGGGAGGGGAGACGGAGAGGAGTCCGTTCAAGAGGATTAAAGCGAGTGGGAGCTTTGGGGGAATGGTGAGTGCATCGATTGATTCGGTGTTGAAAAGAAAGGATGGAGATGGGGGTGCTGGAGGTGGGAAGAACAAAAAGAGGAGGTTCGCAAGATAAGGTGCGGGATTCTAGAGGAAGTGTGGAACATATCAAGACGACGTTCGATGTGGTCTTTGCAAGACTCCAGTCGGCATGTGTATGAGACAGAAACATCGGGATATTGGCTTAGCGTCAAATCGTATGCATTTTCCGTGGACTATATGTTGTAGCTTCTTCGCTCAGGCTGTAGATTTCCCGCCACCGCGCATCGAAGAGGCTTAAGTTGCTAGATAGCCGCTGGGTGACTCTCTTCCATCCATTTCATTTCTTGCTAGACGCTGCATGACTCTCAGATCAGAGCTTTTTGCGCCGGCATTCGGGGGTATCTCAAACGTAGCCAGTTGCGCATTTGGTGAACGCCGTATGCTTCCAATGTTTTCGACGTGTCAGTCTTCCCGTTGACGATGTTTCTTCATGCGAAGTTTCATTGCGTGACGCCTTCTGCTGGCGCGATGAGCACCACCGAGTCACCTACAATTTATCAGCTCGCATTCATTATAATAGCTCTTCATGATTAGCGTACCTCTGACGAAAAGCATTTCCGACTGCTTCTTGACTGTCTATTTCGCTTGTTAGCTTTGATCGACTTCGATCTATGCAACAAGATGCAGTGTATGCGGAGTTCACTAACCCTCACACGAGGTGCTTCGCCCTCGTCTTCCTCCTCGGCGACGAATATTGTTTCCTCGACCTCGCCCAGGACCAGATTGCAATGGCTGTCGTATGCCTAAATTGAAGCGCGCTATCCATCAGCATCCTTCCCATCTCCAAGCCAAAGACAATTCCGGGCACCAAATGATACAAAACGTACGTGTAGTCGGCCCTTGAGTTCGCGGTCGCCGCGTAGTTTTACGATGACGGATTCGTCGATGCAGAGGCGAACGAGGTCGAGCGGCTCATTTCCTTCGTCTTTTTCGTCCATGGCGGCAGATATGGGGAGGTGGCTTGGATGTCGGGAAATCGATCCTTGGATGTATCGTCAAGTAGTTTGGATTTGGAGCTTCTGAGCGTCTGCAGGACGATCGGCTCTGGCTTGGCAGCGGCGGGGATGGAAGAGTGCGGGAGTGGGCGCCCGCAATCAACGGCTTGGCCGGTGAGTACGCACACTTTCCTAGCTAGGAAGGTTGCGGGGGCGCCATTGCGTCAACCCTGGCCTAACCCGACAGCAATCCGGTCAACGAAAGTCCCATCTTGGGGCGTCTCGACTGTCCAGCTGAAACACTCTTTCTATCACTACCGACTGTCACTGACTCACTCACTCGCTCGCTCGCTTCTAAAAACATCTTGCGCTGCAGGCAAGCAAGGTAATTCATCATGGCAGAGGAACCCAAAGAGAATCCCCTCTTGGCTGCCTTGCCTCCAGCCACTGATTACATGACCTATCTCACGCTCGTTGAGTACAATCTCTCCGAGGAAAACCTGCCTATCCTCCACCACGTGCTGCAAGACAAAGAGCTGACTGCCAACATTGGATGGGATCTGGTTCATCTTCTGCTTCCATTTCTTCCGGCTGCTGAGGAGTGCCTTCAGGACATTGCCGCAAAAGGTAATCCTAGAGAAGTTATTCTGAAAGTCACCGAGGCGCTACAGCTTCTCGAATTCGAGCAGCAAAAGACCGATACCGATTCGGAAGAGGAGGAAGAAAATGGAGGAGTGGCTGTTGATCAAGCGCCAGCCGTCGCAGTTGGTGAATCCAGCACAACGCCTGGACTGCCCCCCTCCAGTCTGCCGCCGTTGCCGGTATTGAAATTTGAGGTTCTCCTTGATCTGTTGGCGACACTCCATGGACGCGTCAAAACAAAATACCCAAGCCGGTTCCTTGCCACAAGTCTTCAAGCTGTGTTGGCGGCGTATAATCGCGCCACCTCCCACCGAGACGAATTGACTCTATCCGCCGTCAAACTCGTCAAAACTCTTTCCGGTACTAAGAGGCCACATCTTCCAGCGCGGACGAGTAGCGGCAATCTGCTCCGAGTCCCGACCAAGTTACAGGAGCCGGATCCGGAGGCTCAAAGTGAGGCGCCCTCCGCGGACGAGCAAACTCTGGTAGCTCGGTTACTACAATCATTCCTAACCCACGTATTCGAGGATTACGTACTCACTCTCAATTCCAATGATGATGTCCCTGGACTTGCTTGGTCAAGCCGGTTGATGGAGAAATACAACCCGGAACGCATCGTTCCCAGAAGGCCTACGGTTGCGAATCGCTTTGGGGAAGAGGAGGATCTAAAATCAAGGTCGGCAATTGTTGGTCAGCTCGTAGCATTGGCACAAGATCTAGGATTAAACACTGCAGATCTTGTCCAAACTGTCATGGATCCGGAGACAGAGAAGCAAGGCATTCCTGGGGCAGGAGATGAGCCTCCAAACTCTGCTGAAGACATCCCCCTCTCGAAGACTGGTTCTTTGCTCCTCTACACTGCGCGTATAGTCAAGCAAGAGTTGTTTTCGAATGTGAATGCCGACGAGGCCTCTGCTTTCCATACGTTTCCCGAGCATGCAACAATACTGGAGAATTTCATTGGTGTGCTAGGTCAGCAGACTGTCGGACTCGAGCCCGAAGCCCTTCTTGACGCTGTCCTTGCTTTGGGTCTTATAGCCTTGGACAAAAATGCCATTGGAGAGCCCAAAGATGACGAAGCGTTCGCACAGTATTTGCAAACTACCTCTCTAGTATCTGCAAATACCCCATCGCCCTCCCTCCGATACAATGCGCATTATCTCACCAGTACGGTTCTCCGTTCACACCCATCCGATCTTGTCCGATTGACGTTCATTCGCGATACGCTCGAACACTGTCCTTATGAAAACCTAAAGGCCAGCGCGGTACAATGGATAAAGGGCGAGACTATAGAGGCGAACAATCCGTATAACCCAGATTCGGCGTCATCCGAGGACGATGCATCGTCCATCTTTGCCACGCCAGTCGCTGTGCATACCACATTACCCTTCCTCTTTCCTGACTTGACCGCTACTTACAGCAACTCTGTAGCTATCTCGGACTCGTTCATGCAGTTTCGCCAGGAGCTGGGGTTCTACCTTGCGGTGCTGAACTTCTACTATCTGCTCCTGACTGCGCGGCAGTTGCACGACAACCTGGATGTCAAAAACCTGCACAAGGGTAGTGGGATGGAAGAGCACTTCCTGAAGCCACTGAAGGATGCAAGTGCCAGGTTTACGGAGGACCTGAAAGCAGGGGGGCCGTTGAGCATTGCAGAGGGTGGAGAAGGGATCGCTGGCAACTTGGGCTTGAGACAGGCTTGGATGGATATTGAATTACTTGGTCATATCATCGGACGAGTCGAAGGCGCGATCAAGCAGTTCGAGCAGACGTCTGCTTAGAGAAACCAAGAGATGGAACGAATTGCGGGCCATTCATTCAGAATTGTCATGAGATATGCGTAATGACACAAGAGCGTGCTGTCCCAGGAGACACGATGTTCATTTTCAAGATCACCATAATACATGAATGCGAAGTTAGTCTGTCTAGTTGCTCTAATCCAATCTGTAACGATGCCAACTCGATTCTCACCAATCACAGCGTGCCATACCCCAAACACGTCATCACGTGTCCCACCTTAATCCGAAAAGTCCGATGTTTACGAGTTGCCAAGACCGTTGGGGGCTGACATTGGCAAGGCCATCTTTCTTTTTTTTATTTCCGAACCGTCTCATGTTTATTGTTTTGTTGTTCTTTCTCTCGGTGATGCGAAGGACGATACCTTTCCCTCCATCTACACTACCGTCGCCATGTTAGCGCGGCTCAATTCAATCGTTGCGCTTTGGACTCTGTGGGGTAACGTTGCGCAGGTCGTGAGAGCCCAAGTAGCGCCGGAGATTACCGTGGTCGAGGATGGGTACAATGTCGTGGCCATGATCCCGTGTGTGGGATGCCCCCTAGTATATCAAGATACATCCAAAGGGAAGAATAAGGGATGGTCCACACGGCAGGATCAAAATAGTCTGGTAATTACGGTTTCCCATGATAATGGTTGGATTGCCTTGCATCGATACCGAGGCATCACCCTTAGCCACCAAACCTACCAGGTCCATATTTGAAGAATATGTATACTAACAAACAAAACAGTTACTCAACGTCAGCATTCCATACGACTCGGCACACATCTCCATAAACGATGCCCCTCTCTACTCAGGACGCCAAAATCTCCCTCTAATCCACAGCTCTCAAGTCGTCTCAGACCTCTCCTCAACCACCCTCTCGGAAATCATCACCACCCACCAACTCTCTTCTTCAATCCCCCTCACCACCACAAGCAGCATCGCCTTCGGAATCTCATACCGCATGTCCCTCCAAGATCTCGCCCTCTCACCCGCCAAACCCAAGAAATCAAAATCGAATTATGACCCCCCACTCCCTCTCTCAGCAAAACTCCTCCACTTCGACATCTTCGAAATCCACTCCTCCCTCACCGTGCCCCCAACAGCGTACCCCTTGGACCGCAAAGAGCAGAAAATCCTGCAACTCATCCTGCTCCAAAACCCACTTTACTCTGCTCTTTCCCCGTCCCCGACGTACACCCTGCACGACGCGAAATTGATTCCTCGACCCCACGCCATCAAACCGCCCGCGAACCAGAAAACAATGCATTATCTCTCCTGGGACGCGTTCGGTCGCAAAGGCACGCCCACGCACTTCCTCTCTAGAATCGCAGTGGGCTTCGCAGAGTGGATCGCCTCAGGCATCGTCGCGGTCCTCATCTTCGTCGTTGGAATCGTCGTCGTCTTTGTAGGCGGTGTCCTGCTCTGCTCATTCGGGAGAAGCTTTTGGCGAGGCGAGTACGAGAGTGCGCAGGTTGGGAAGAGGAGGCGCGGCGCTACGCTCGGTGCTGGCGCTGCTGCTGCTGCTGCTGGGAACGGCGGTGCGAATGCCGGGTGGAGACCGCGATCTGGGACTGGACGTTCGGATTTGGAGAGAGGGAGACGCGGGACGGTTGGGGCTACGGCTGCGGCTGCTGCGGGGAGGTTTTTGAGCGCCGATGAGTTGGGGATTGGCGGGAGGGGGAGGGTCGTTGGGGTTGGGAAGAATGATTGATTGATTGATTGAATGTCCGTCCAAGAGTTTCTTTTGTTGTTTTCGGTGGGGAGGAAGGCGGTGGTTTCTGTTCTTGATGGATCATGGTTTCTCTTATATGTGTGTGATTGTGGATATGTGAGTTGAGTCGTCGATCAAAAATTTGCACGTTGTCACGCTGGCATCGTGCCTTCGATCTTATACTGTGGCCATGGCGAGTTATTCTAGTTGTATCGTGCACATAAATGCAATATACTCGCTCCCTAGACACCAGTCTCCTTCCCCTACCACAACTACTACAAACCAACTGACTAAACCCACTCTTACATTTGTCATTGGTAAACTTCGTTTCGCTCTATCTTACGGTATGATCATTGCGCTGTGTTTCAGTTATCAGATTCTTTAAAGTTAGATCGTGCTGGATTAGAGCAAGCAGGCCTTTGAATCGCCTCGTTTCACGCCTATACACAGGTCGCACGTGGGAGTGTTTCTGAGACTGCCATCTAACTGGATTTTTGAGCTCTCTGAACGTTGGATAGCTGGTCATTGCAGACTATGTATCTGTTATTCTAGCAATTTTTGAGAATCGCTCGTTTTTTTTTTTTTTTTTTTGGTTTATATATTGCTATCAACCCATCGCTGTGCGTAGGGTCACCCAAACTCCAACTTGGAGTTTATTGTTATTCTAGCGGAAATACGACTTCTGCAACACTGCCTCTCGTACGGACAGAAAAACTGGGAAATAAGCAAGGTGTAATACGTCGCCTATTAACACCCCAATAACACCTTGGGTGGTTTGGCGCATTCGCGGGGTTATCTTGTTTCCCGGGTTTTTGTTCGTACGAAAGACTGTGCATATCCCGTCCTCATGTACTCACAACGCCATCAAATCACGCAAAACGGAAGAAAAGCTCACGCGGATCTAGTTAAGAGCGTAGAATTAGTTGAGAGTATGCTTATTGGTGCAATACGACTACGCTACGCCCCGAATACCACCTTGATAACGGTCGTGCATACACGGATCAACCATCTCATTCCCGGGGATCTGCGATCGGATCCGTCCTCGTATGCATATAACCCTAAGGATGCAATATTACCTGCAGAAAGCGGAGGTGGTAGATCCAGGGTCTGCAGGAACAATAACCCGGCTGATAGATGAACATCTGTTCCGGAAAACCGTAATGAGGAACACTAGTTCTGCGGCGCAATACTGACAGGAGTTCAAATAACGAAAGATCTTGTATAGAAGTGTGTCATTCACTGCTACTCCTTGAGCATGATACCATTGAAGTCTCATCGCTTCTCAGTAACACACCTAGCGGGACCCAACATGTTTAATACTGGCATAGTCCTTGCGGCCCTGATCCATATATCTGTCGCACAGGAACTTCTTTACGACCTTGTCAATTCAATTCTCGTCCCAAAACTCAAGTCCGACTTCGCCAAAAACAATGTCTCCGCTCAATGGGCACCGTCATACCCCAAAGAATGGGGCTCCGAAGATTTACAATTCCAATTCAACGATCCCATGCCAGATGAAGTCTTCAGCGGGGTACTCACTGATGACGGGAGGTATTTAGCAATGCTTAACGGTACACATGTTAGGTTCCTAGATATAGATTTAAACACGACTGTCACCACTTTCAGTTTGGGTTTACCTGCCAACTATGCCGCACAGCACCTAGTAGTACGTTCTACACCTGAAGGGGGCTACGACGTCTTCGCAGACGGCGCGAAACCCCTCATAAGTGTCGATTCCGTGTTCCGAAGACAACTATACCCAGACCTCACCCTCACCTCCGAAACTCCAATCGCCTACAAAGGCGCCCTCGGTACCTTCAGTAAGCAAGGTAAAATGGCCTTAACACCAGGCTCAATCCACGATCTCAACACCCCAAACAGCCCCGCCATAATCCTAGAAGGCCAAACCAGCGTCACAGACCTCAACTTCAACCCCAACGGCACCCTCCTCTCAACCGTAAACTGGAACCTCCGCACGGCAGATCTCTGGAACGCAACCACCGGCGCCAAAATCTTCGCCTTCCCAGACGCAAAAGCCCAAAACTGGCGCACCTTGTTCTCGCCCGATGGGAAATACATCGCCATCGCACTGGGCAGCGGAAACCGCTCCATCCAGATCTACGCCACCGAAAACCTAGCCGCAAAACCAATCACACTCACCGGCTTCAAAGACTGGCCCCGCGTCCTCGAGTGGAGCCAGAGTAGCTCTTTCCTCGCTGTCGGCGACCCAGGGCGTCTTCAGGTCTTTGGGGTCCCAGATGGTACGGTACTTCAGACGTGGGAGCTTGAGAGCACGAATAATGGGGTTTATAGTGTGGATGATGTGCATTGGGTTGATGGGGATCGGAAGATTTTGTTTGCGTTCCGGTATGCCGTGTATGTTTATGATTTTGAGAAGAATTTGAAACGGTGGATCACGCCTAGGGTTACGGATCATATGTGGACGGAGCAGAATCTGAAGGTGAGGGTGGGGGAAGGAGAGGGGGATGGGATTTTGGTTTCGGGAGATCCGGATGGTGTTGCTAGGGGCTGGAAATTGTGAGGGGGTGGATTATTGAACTCTTTGCGTGAGTGAACATGGTATCAAAGTTATTTGGTTCATTTTCGGGGTGCTATTAGCTGACAGGTTTCTTTCTACGTGTGCTTCTGTCAGGCGTTGCGTTTTGCTTGTCCCTCAAAATGAATCATATTTTGCGGCGTTGATTCACAATCAATCACACGAGAAAAGTGATGCTATTATCTGCATCGATATCTGCATCTTTTTATGTTTCTCCTTGTTTCCTCCTCTGGCAATTCGAAGTGTGGAGGTGAATGCCACGTCAATATGGCTAAATAGATTAACTCCAGCCATTGCGAATCGCGAGTGATTACAGTTGCCTTTCCTGGCTGCGGGATCTTAGGTCCCCAACCCGGCGCATCTGCAGCTCTATATATATCTAAATGTATCGAAAAAACCATCCAGGCTACCAGAACACCCCGATTCGATAAATATGGAAACCCAATCTCGTCTCAACTCGCGCGATAGAGTGGGGAAGGCTAATAACTCTTGATTAGTGTCCACACGCACAAACTTCAGCACATTTGTCTCAAGTAAGATCCGTGTTGTATAGCTGAAAATGAATAAGAGATATTCGACCTGCTGGGTAGTGAAAATTGTCCTGCGACGTTAGTCAAAAGAACAAATCCTACGGCCAGTCGAATACCCTCAGCGCCACAATGAAGATCACACTCCAACAACTCACACTCCTCGCCCTGCAAGGTCTACACCAAGCCAACGGACACTGTAAGCTACTTTATCCACTATTATACTTACTACATCTAACATACCCCGAGATGGTTTCCCTTGCGTCGTCGTAAACGGCGTAGTCTCAAGGCGATGGCAGTACACCAGGTATACAGCCCACCCACGTCTATGCACCAAGTAAACCAGCTCACAAAAGTGACATGCAGACCCACTACAGACTTTGGTCCAAACTGGGACTACTCAGGCGAGACCGCAATGTGTGGCCGCAACGCTACACTCCCTCTCTTCGGCATCGAAACGCTCAAGCTCGAGGCAGGCAGTACTATTGGGTTTGCGGCGATGTCATTGCGCGATGAGAAGGAGCATGAGAATCTCGGTGAGGTGAGGCTCCCTATCCTGCTTCCTTTTTTCACTCGATTATTATATGGGTCGTATTCTTGCTGACGAGTATTTGTGTTTGCATGGTGTTGATAGTGGGATCCGAGTTTCCATATCTACCACGATGGTCCTGCGACAGCGTATATGTCGAAGGCTCCAGGAGAGCTGGATGAATATTCCGGAGATGGAGACTGGTAATATCCCACTCTTCTGCGTCGCATGCGTGTCTATACTCATTTCGTTTGATGCGTAGGTTCAAGATCGCGGCCGTCGGCGCCTCGGATGGGTTGAATTGGGATATTGGGTCAGCGAGTCTCACGGGTATAGTAAGTTCTGCATCTACTCTTTTTTCCCAATTGTCCCATCTAAAATCAACGGTGGTTCTATATCTGTATCATTGGATTCAGTGAAGATTGACATGCGGGTCTGTTTAGATGAACTTCACGATCCCGGCATCGACACCGCCTGGGAAATATCTCTTCCGAGCGGAGCACTTGAACATCAACTCCGCGTATAAAGTCACCGAGATGTACATCAACTGCGCGCATATCGAAGTTACGGGATCAGGATCAGGTACGTCATCATTCCGGCCCATACTATGCTGTGATCAGGACTAATTATGGATGTGATAGGGACGCCTGGACCGGTTACCAAGTTTCCTGGGGCTTTCGATGCTAGAGATCCTGGTGAGTGGTATTTCTGATGAATTTGATGATGCAGATTGTTGATTTGAATGACTTTATTTAGGTATTTGGTTGCCTGGTCCGATGATGAGACCTGTGGAGCCGTTGGATGAGCTAAAGAATTGGCAGGGTGCTGGACCGGCAGTCTGGCGGGGGTGAGAAGGATGCGCATATCTTACTTTGTAGCCGACCTGGAAATAAGAAAAGACTAATTGAATTAAGGAATTGAAGACTATGTGCCATCAAATAACTAGATGAAAGAAGAAAAAGGGTGTGATATTTGGTTTGACAGCTATAAACAACTTGGATTCTCGAGAGCAGGACCGCAGGCAATTGAGGGGGTGAATTTCTCCGATCAAGCTTTCCTTGAACGTAATCCCTTTCCTCTTTGCCCTTTCTGCTTCTGTTCCATGAGTTCTCGTAACGGCTTGAGCGTTATATGTCATTTCTGTAGAAATCAAGCATGAGTTTTTTATAATCTCCAAACTCCGCCCAAAGAATGCCATCATCATAGTGTGATTTGATCCGCATCAACACTATCTCGCCCCAAACCTGGAGATGTTGCTCAAGCTCAATTCCGTTCAGCAGTGGTAATTTGTCTGTCGAAGCGTCGTGAATTTCGAAGAATTTCAGGAGATGCCAGTAGAACGGTCGCACGCGAAATCGCCACTTATTTTCGAGTCGTCGCGGCACATGAAAATTTCGGTTTGGTGTCATGTAAATGGTGGACTGGCTGTGGTTGTGTTCGTCAATATAGATGGGATTTCTGCGTAAAATTCAGTAAGTTCAGACATAATATTGAGAAACAATAGACTGACGCTGTCTCTGATTGCCTGGTGGGCAGTGCATGGGGCCAATACATCAAATCTAGTGAGGTGGAATGGTTTGACCATGCGCTGAGGACGACCCGCTCGACGCGGGTACCAAAAATTCGACTAATCACATCGACAAGATGATCTGCGGAGCTGAATTCGCGAGGAAATTCCTCTATATATGGTCCAGTAGTTACCATGACTTCAGGAATGTGTGTAAAGACTGGTTCAAGGATCTCATCGTACTTGGCGGTCGGATCCTCGATGTAGTAGAAGAGGTTCACTGTTTTGATTTGGGCTCGGCAAAATTTGACAGCTTGAGCACGGGCATCTGCACACACGGTTGAGACAGGTAGTCGATTGACCAGTGTTTGGAATTCGTTGGCGCCCAGTCGGATTGCGTCACTATGGTGGGAACCATAGATGTATAGTCTGAGTAGCTGCAATTCTGTGGAAGACGGCAAGTTGTCGTAGCCCACAAACGCTTGTCGCTGGCGTTCGCTGAAAGAGGTCACGCATAATTTCGGCAATACATTAGGATCATACTCATCAAGAGGCTCGCCGTTTGTGTCATTCAGAGCATCGTTTCCTGTCGCGTGGGGTTCGGGAAATTCATCCGCGATGCTGGAATTCCCAGTGGAGGATCTCTGTCAATAAAGCTCCAAGGTTTGTCGTGTGCTGATAGAAGAGAGGTTCTAGCTTACTTCAATGCAATCAGCAAACTTTGTCTGGTGGAAGTACAGCGGCTATGGGATTGAGAGCTCTACCTGCTGATATTGAATTGCTGCGGCCTCCAACCATATTTTGTCTCGCAACTCTTGCGGTAGTCTCCCAAAAGGTAGCGACAACATACTGTGGTATTGCGATATGAATGAAATACCGAGAAAGAAAGTGCGTTATATGAATCTCCGGTATGCGGTAGAGTGGTACAGCACGGAGTTGGAATCTGCAGCCCTGTGGCATAGCGATTATACTCAGCCACATTTGTGAGTAAGCGTACGGCACAGCGCTTAGCACTTCACGTGACTGGCTTGACAGGTAGAAGCGCAGTTTATGACTCACGATATGTATGATGAACAAAAGGCGTCCTGAATCTTAGCTTGATTTTCTCACAGTATGTGACCCGTAAGTCGCGGTAGATTCACGATATGTCCCACGCTCCAAAACTCGTCAAATGTAAAGTTGTTTGTTGTATATAAGGGTAGCTACCGGTATTCTAGTAATCCGGACATTCAGGTACACGCTGAATAGAGAAGTTTACAAAACTACCGAGGCTGCGGCGCACGCATGTTTTGAGTTTCAATATTCCGCCAGGCACGAGACATGTCAGATGGGGAGCATATTCATGATCTACGCCTCCTCATACTCAATCGCAGATTCCATTTATGATTTGACAGGCAAACAATCCACGTTCAACATGCACTACATGATCATGGGTGTCAATCAATGCCGAGCTATGAACAACATGCCATTCAAATACAACAAAGGTCCGCTACCCACCACAATGGCCATATGGAAGCTCAAAATCTCATATGGACAGATGCTGTGCCGCTTGCCTCGTCTTACTGTTTCAGAATCGGACTTTGAAGAGGGAATAAAAACATTGATGAACGGCTGTTCTGTGCGGCACTCGAACTTTACGGTCAGCATTGTTTTGAACTGATGTGAGCATACTGAGGGACGAAAACCAAATTTGGAGTGGAGGATCACCATTTAATTCCGTATTCGTGCAGGGTAGAATATAAATATTACCCCAATCATCGATCATTGATCTATCAAACCCATCACTCTTTCAATAAACTCTTTTGCCTACGGCGTCCATTCGTTTTGCTAGAAACTACATTACATTCGTTTATAACTACTATTTTGGAAGATCTGTCGATCTCTTGTTCGACCTCGCAGATTCATTCCTATCCGATGCGCTCCTTTTTCATACCAGCATTGACGGCCGTTGCCAGTCTAGGGATCCCCGGGGCACTTGCAAGTGTAACCTGCGATCAAGGATCTGGAAGTGACAGCAAGCCTCTTCTTGATGCGCGCGAGCTGATTGACACGACCCAAGAATGCATTCAAAATCTTTGCGCTACCAAGGAAGAGGGGATAACCACAAAGCAATGTGGACCACTCGTTGTTAGCGTCGCTAGATTGACTGCTTTGCCTTCCAATGCTGAAGAGTGTATGATTCAGCTGAATAGCATCATCAACGAGTGCATTTCGACTGAATCCACCTCTGGGGGCTTCTCTGGAACCAAGGATGCCTTATACGATATCTCTTTTCCGGACCAGGAGGACGATGAACGTGATGACCCGTACCGGGGACTCTGGACAGGAGGTCATGTTCCTGATGGCGAGCCTGATAGCGACGTTGAAGATGGAGAGGATGGATTCGAAGTTGATCTCAATACTGTAAAAGACTCGGAGACAAGAAGACACAGAATTAAGCGTCAACCTGGAAAATCGTCTCCCAAAACCAAGAAGTCTGGGAAGTCTAGTAGTTCGAAAGCAAGCAGTACTAAATCTAAAGCTGCGCCAAAGAGTACTTTAAAGACTACCGCAAAGGGCTCCGGTAAAGCTGCTGCTACACAGGGCTCCAAAAAAGCCACTTCCAGTGCCAAAATTACTCCCAGTTCCTCAAAGAAAGCCTCTACAAGTGCCAAACCCACCTCGAAATCTTCTAAGAAGGCGCAATCTTCTGCGAAAGCCACCTCAAACTCTTCTAGAAAATCTACATCAAGCGCCAAAGCGACAGTCAGCTCATCACCGAGCTCTACGTCTAGTGACAATGCGGCATGCACTTTGACCAATCAAAAAGATAGCAAAAACAACAAGGGAACTGGTAAGAATGAAAGTTCCTCTGGCAAGGGCAATACCAAGAATGGCAGGAACCTCGATAGACGAGGGTGCGGGCAGTCACATCAGGTCGAAGATGATATCCCACTTGAGCAGCCACGACGTCCAGTAAGACCTTACCAAAAGAAGGAACTTGATCCAAACAAGGTGACATGGTGGTCGTTCAATAACATGCGGCAAGGCACAGTCGATCCGGCAGTTCAAGAAATCATCAATGGCTTAGGTGTAAAAGCTCAGCTCGACGTGGTAAAGATCAGCAACGCGGCCTTGTCAGTCCGGGGCAGATTTGGCCCAGATAAAACAAAACTCAAACGAATCAATCCTGGATACTGGACTAAAAGAGGTGATAAATATCTTGTGGTCAACGGCGGTTTCTACGACCCCGTGAAAAGTAGGAACACATACGAACTACCAGTTGGGGAGACGGTGTTTAGAACTACATCGAGTTCACAGCCCCAAAGACTGAGAGCTATTGTCCAAATCCCATCAGCTTACACAAACGACTACGCGCGTCTACAAGGGACGGACGGCACTAGTTTGATGGCCGGTCCAGACATCACCCAGCAAATACCAAATCTCAGAACAACACCACGTTTCCAGCACCAGGCAACCTCACGAAAACCTCCTGGATCTCTTGATCATGCGGGAGAGGAAAACGAGCGTCTAGCTATCGTCAGCTTGAGAGACCAGACAAAATATGCCGTGACATACACTTGTGACAACAGATTCGAAGGAGTCGATGTCAACCAGCTACGGGCCAACATCGAAAGATTTTTGGCTTTTGACGGGGTGGATATTGAACAAGACGTCGAACAGATTTTGAATCTTGATGGTGGAGGCAGTGTATATATGACTTGGAGCAATGGTGGAAAGACAACTCCCATATCTGTGGGTCAGAACGAAGATGAGAGGCCCACCCAGAAGGAAATGGAAGAATCTCGGAAGGTACCCATTGCGCTAAAGATCTCATAGAGATGTTGAGGCCGGACTTCATACTCTGGATTGGATATATCAGATCACTGGGAGCAAGAACAGTATGCTGGCGAAGTTTCTTTCACCCTTCACCTAGATAAGACCTGTGCGCTAGATTTTCACTTACATAAATTCGAATCCTACACTCCTTTTTACACCGTTCGATGTTCTTCTCCACTAACCCCCAACGTAATAAATATTACTAAATAAATCCCCTATATTCACCAGATCTCTTTACGGAATGGCAGAATAGATCGTTAGTTTCGTAGATATAAGAATACTTCCTCATACACACTAACACACCCCACAAACTGCGATTATCTCTCCACATCATCACAGCCCTCTTAGCCCTTGCAATACCAACGATCTGCGCCAAAGACACATCCACAAAGCAATCGTCTGCGACCCCGCATGAGAAGGCGGCTACGGCAGGGACATGTTGCGCACCATCGCCAAAGACTCTATATAGGACCGCTGCGCCACAGAAACTCTCAATCGACAAGAAGAAAATCAAATCCCCGTGATTTCTAGTCATCAGGTGACCCGCCTTTTGTAAACACCATTTTTGAAAGACCAGTTTTTTACTTCAGTGCTCACTCAGCACGTAAAAATCGATAGAAAAACACATCAAACACGTTTTTCGGACTTGTACGAAAATGGATAGTTTGCTTTTTCTTTTTTTTTCTGCTCCCAGTACACTGAATGTCTTGTAATGTGCCTTGGAACTTCACTAGTTGCGGGTACGCGGGACAACTTGAACTTATTATAAAATATCCGACGCATATCAGACCGACCATTTCAGGAGGGTAGATCCGAAAGTCAAGATACTGTCAGTGTCTCACCTGCTTATCATCACTCAGATCCATGTCCCCCGATGGGTGCTACGGTGTATATGCGCTAAAAAATGCGATTGTTCGAGACTCTCTACCGACGGCCGCATCGCTACACCGATCCGAGAATACAGGAGTACCTCCCCGAACAGAATAAAATCTATTTTCTTCCTTTACGACTACGCCCCCCCAACAACCTACTGCGATGAACCACCAGAAATAGTGATAACTTGTCCTACACCGAAAAGAATTAGCATTTGGCGTCCGAAGGAAAAAAGACATAGGAACGAGTAGACAGATCAGATGAAGGGGGAAGGAGGAAGGAGAAAGAACTAACCATTTATCCACCCGCCATCCTCGCTGCTCAAAAACGCCACGACCCGCGCCACATCCTCGGGAACCGCACACCGGCCCAACGGGCAGTGATTCGCCATCAAGCTCTCGATCTTCTCGGCAGGCCACTCGGGTGAGCCCCCGGGGATGTAATGCCACGCGTTCTGCGTAAACATATCGCTCTTGATGCCGCCGGGCGCGACGCCATTCACCGTGATACCACGTTTCCCGAAATCCGTGGCGAAGGCCTTAATAAAGCCAATGACGGCCATCTTACTTCCATTGTAGAGGGCGTGGTCCTTGACGCCAAGGAGGCCAGCGGCGATAGACGACATGAGGATGATGCGGCCATTATCTTCAATGTGTTTGTAGGCGGTCTGGCCGACGAAGAACTGCGCGCGCGCGTTGAGGTTGAAGACGTGGTCGTATTTTTCTTCGGTGATTTCTTCCGTCTTGTCCCAGCTTTCGGTCCCCGAGTTGCTCATTACAATGTCGATTTTGCCGAAGGCGGATTTGGCTTCTTCGAAGAGGCGGTTGATTTCGGAGAGCTTGGAGACGTCGGCTTGGATGGAGATTGCTTTTGCGCCGTTGTTGAAGCCTTGGATGATCTTGACGACTTCTTCGGCGGGGCCCTTGGACGAGACGTAGTTTATTATCACCGACGCGCCGCGTCTGCCGAGTTCGATGGCGCAGCCGCGTCCGATGCCACGGCCGGCACCTGTAACGAGGGCTACTTTGCCTTCGAGGGAGGCGGTTGGGACGTTGATGACCATTTTCGGGGGGTGGAGCTGGTGGTGAGGTGTTGTTGTTTCTTTGGGTATGTTGTGGATTTTTGTTGCACGGTTGAAGACCTTCTCGGTAGATATATGGAGCTTAGATATATCAGATCTCTTGTACGGCCTGATCATGGATATATAACTCCAATGCTTTGTGTTGGTGTTCTGTGCCGGTATTGGGTGGGGACCCGAACTTTCGGCAACTCAGCCCTACGACTCGGAACTACGAACGGCATTCGCAGTTATCGTCCTTGTCTTGTCTGCATATTTGACCAAACCAATATGGGGCGTTTCCACCTTGTTGAGACCCGAGGGGAAGAGGAACCGGAGCTCGGATGGTGGGGGCCATAGGGCAGCTCCGAATGTGGTTGAGGGGGTCAATCCGGAGGTTGACGGGGTACTTGATTGCAATGCTGCACGTAGTGGTTTAAGTTGGTGTCAGTGCAGACTCTCTCTTTATGATTTGCCCACGCGGCAGCAGGGTTCGTTACGTCTTCTACGCTATGCGCGGGCGCGACTACACTACTACACCAGCAATGCAGGAACGAGAGGGTGAACCATCTGTCAGCATGATTGCCCTCTTCTAGTCGCGCCTTAGCAGAAGCACTATACACCAAGTTCTCGTGGGAATAACCCTGCGTTAGGTCGTTCTGCTCGTAGAGAGACGGTGCGCTTGACTTAGCGCGCTTGTGCAGTGAAGCGTTTTGGCTACTAGGTCGCACTGCAATAACAACACACGAGTGCCAACGGTATCATTATAATTGCATGCCCGGCCCTAGGTTGAGAGTCCCATTACACATTCCCCATCCAGTTATGAGACTGCGATGAAACATACTTGATGGGTTCCATACCGTTGGAGGTGTGTGTAGTTCTCTGGCACAGACTGCATTGCTACTGTGAGTGAAAGGCACCAACTATGGCAACCACAAGTGAATGTTGTGAGAGGTTATAACGACTATCTACAAAAATCATACAAGTATATAGTCGCACATATGACATGTGGCTTCTGCCAACATTTGAATCTATCTACTTCTTGCATATTCACTCAGTCCCTACCACTAGCAAAAAAAAACATTTCCTATTTCAGGTTTTAAAAAATACAAAAGAAACTCATCAGAGGCTTTCGCCTCTGACGAGTCAAGAAACTGTCATATATCTCTGTACCCCGCGCTCTTAAACCGCCTACAGCTATCTAGCCTGAGAGACTCGTATATGAACTTGTTTGCTTATAGTAGTTTCTTTGAAGAATTGGGCGATGACCCTTTTTTCGTGCTTCTTATTATCGGCACACGCTGTCGCGCTCACCCAGAGATTCCTTTTCCGAAGAAAAGCCTGGTCCAGGGATCGAACCACTCATTGTAACAAATCGTGAACTACTTAGAAACCGATCTGCCACTCATGTATTCGATATCAGAATTCCCCGTTTATGATATTAAATAGACCCTCAAATAATAGATCCTCTATTAGATAATAGATAATAATTGCGTAGAGGGTGGCATTGGTGTTTTGGTGTTTTGGTCTTCTCGTCTGTGCTGGCTGGAGAAACTATCGACCGAAGGCAGCAAACAAACAAACGCTGCCCCGACACCGTGCTGGGCCTACCTCATCTCCGCAGGCGGTACTACTATTGGGCTTCTTCGTCTAGTCGTTGCTTACTTTGTTTACCTCCGGCTTCACCCACTCTTTGCGGCAGCTCGTTTGCAGACACAAGCAACTCGTGACGCGCCACCCTCACTGCCCGATTGAACCCACAAACCTACGCCCACAAGCTTCTTTTGCACCTCTTTAGATTACTCCTCTTTTTGTGATCTTGGTGTGCCCGCAATGGCTATGTCCACGCGCCCTACGCGGTCCCAAAGCCGGACGCCCGCGCCCCGATCCGCATCTCCATCGTCTGCCAGCGGCGACGACGCACGACACGCGGCAAAGCCCGACCAGCCAGCCGACGTAAAGATGGCCACCGGCGACACTATTGAGGGAGGTTTGACATCTTTGCCGATTGAGCAGCCGGCGCAAGCTGCGCCCGTTCAAGCTGCGCCCGCAATTGCCCATACTACCCCACCTACTACCACTTCTGCTCCTCCGCGCGCGACCGCGACTCTGGCGGCAGCATCAAAGTCTTCCTCAGTCCGGCCCAAAGTCGAAGCAGAGCCCGAGCTTAGCCGCTCTGCCTATGGCGATGCGCATGCAGCACGGGAGCACTTGTACACCCTACAATTCATCAAGGCAGCGGAGCAAGTCGACCCCAACTACTTCACCCCCGAACAAAAGGAGGATCTTTTGAAGCCGTGGCAGGAGAAAGGTGTGCTGAGTAGGAGGCTGCCGGCAACATGGCTGGATCCCGAAATAGAGCGGCCGGACATGATGAGTCTCGAGACAGCCCAGTGGCACGCACGGAAGAAGGACGAGAAAGAGAAGGAATTCCTAAGGCGATGGTCCAACGGCGAGATCGACGAGAACGGCAACCCTATCAAGAGTTCCAACTCGAATTTGACTTCGGTCGAGGAAGACGAGGATGGCGATGGCGACGATTCGGATACCAATGTTGACAGCGTCGACGCGTGCGGCAAATCAGCACCGTCTACCCAAGCAACAGCGACTGCAATCCACGCCATCAAGAATACTATCGATTCCCCTTGGCCCTCTTCCCGATATACTCCTGCGTCTGCCGCCGTACCGTCCAACGCCGACCCCAATCCCAATCCACGTAAGAGAAAATCGCCCGCCCCGAATGACCACTCTGCTCAACCATCCAGGACCCAAGGCGCCTGTGAAGTTCCCACAAAGAAACAAAAGACTTCGCACGTATCACGCACGAAGCCCTCGCGACCGTCTTCGTCCACACTTCCTCCACCAAATGGTCAACTTCCAACGCCATCGTCGTCATCCTCTTCCTCGTCTAAACCTCCTGCCAGAAAACCAACTTCCAAAAAGCCGCGACCCCAGCAACCCGCAGTAGTTGCGCCCACGCCTCTCCCCGGTCGCCCAAACTACGCTCCCTACGCATACACGGAACTTGCTGCACTTTGTAGCCAACGCAACATCATGACAAGCGGTAATGAGCATGCGCTCCGCGCGAAGCTCATCCAAGATGATATCAATGTCCTGCGAGGTCTGTCGCGCGATGCGAAACACTACAAGGGTGAGCGGGCGAGAGGTCGCAAGGGTGAGCGGGCGAGAGGTCGCAAGACTGCACCACCTTTTGTTCCTGGAGCGCCTGATGCACCGCCTGCTGTCTTTGCGGTCTCCAAAAAGAGGAAGCGCGGAGAGAACGATGAGAAGAGCGGGAAGAGCAAGGGAAACGAGAAGAGAATTAGGTTTGCGGAGTAAGACTCTATGCTGTATTGTACAATTCTAGGGTTGTACGATTGAGTGGAACCATCGGGGACATGCTTGTTTTGTTTGTGAACTTTGTTTGCATAGGGAGGTTTATCTGTTTCTTGTACGATACCCGATTGTAATGCGTTTCCTTTCTTCAGGGTGGGCGTTGAACATATTGTTTGTTCGGTGGAGGACTTTGCGGATCATCCTTCGTGGAAACGCGTCCCGTTGCCTTTGTCTTTCCCCCTGTCTTTTCCTCCCCATGTCTATTCTCTTTTCTCTTCTGTTGAATCCCACCCACAGATTTTATATTGCACCGAGATGATAACGCTGCCCTACTCTTTAACCCACCCCATAGCTGTCGTTGAGACTCTTAATTCTTCTCCTCTCTCTATTGACAGACATTTTCAAATGTGTTGTTGCGCAATTGACTGTATATATCGGTGGAAGTCTGCCGGTATGGTGTGATGAAAATTTTTCGATTGTACTGCATGTCAAGGTAAAGACTACATCGCTGCACAGACTAAGAAACCCGCCAGTTAACGAAGCTGTCCATGACCGCACTAATGTGGACAAACTCAAAAAGAGAGAGATGAAGTAAAGGATGCGCGGGGATACATTGATCCATCCGATTCACGCAGGGTCGTTGATACCGTGGTAGCGGTGCATGCGGGGAGAAGGTTGGGGTGGAATTAAAGTAAGCTACCATCGGCCAATAGGGGAATACCGCTTTTGGTCCGGCCCTATTTAAGGACGACCGACGGCAGGGAACATTTAGTTGGGAAGGAGGCTGAGAGCTGTACGTAACGTCCCGCGGCGGAGCATCCAAACGTTGTAGACAAACAACTTATGTTGGGCCACTGTTCTCTTGCAGTGGCGAAACGGTGCAATCAGCCATCAATATTAAAACTCGTCCGACGTCTCTCCGCTTTCTTATGGATGCTGGGCGGAACTTTGAGGTTTTCTGACACGTGATTAGATACATGGCTTGGCGTGCTTGGCGATTCCCGTACGTCACCTCCTAAACAACTCGTCGACCCCGTCTCCGTCTCCAATTCTCCTTCCCCTCCACATCCCCCGGGCTTCCCTTTTCGCTCGCCCGCAATTCCGTCTTATCCGGTATGTCTCCGGGGCCGATGTAGCCTCGGAGTCGTTATTACTCCCGTCATCTATAGACCGCAAGGAACGCGTTCGGTGCGGCTGAGCTGTCTCGGTGTCGATCGCAGAAAAAAAATAGTCCCGGAAGCTTCCGCCGTCAACCTTCCCGTTCATGTGAAATTATGGCCATCGTACTTGCATATGGAGGAGTTGTCAACGCCTGTACGATGGTTGTTTATTTCATCTACATGCTAATTGCAATCTGGCTCTCTATCAAGCAAGGTCTTGGTCACAATTTTCCCTGGATCTGCATCACAATATTGTCGGCATGTCGTCTCACCCAGGTAAGCTTCCTCAAGAAAATCAGTGTAGTAGGAGTAGATACAGAATGTTCTTGATCACACCGTCGATATTCTCAAAACGATGAAGTATCACATGACTAACACAATTTCAGGTCTCGATGGATTTGGCAGCCACCAAATTATATCCGCCGGCCACAGCAGCCAACACAGCCCTGGAATCTGGTGTCGCCATTCTTACCTCTATCGGCCTCACGCCTCTATTCATGTCAACATCCAGCGTGCTCAATATGACTTCTGGACCTAAAGGGCGCCGTATGCAGTGGATCCTCATCCTCTTGCACGTCCCGTTGACTATTTCTCTGATCTTAATCGTGGCAGGAGGCATCGATCCGGATTCCCGCGACAGCCCGACGTTTGCTGCTACGGAACCTACAAAGGCCGGAATTGCAATATATTGCACCTGTTTCGCCGTATTAGTGTGGGCAACCACATTGATCGCCGCGCGTCTTTACTTGGCGAATCCGCTCGAGGTCAAGATCTTAACCACCGTTGTCCTCAGCTTACCCTTCTTCTTGATCGACGTGGTTTATATGATGTGCTTTGCTTTCGAAGATTTATGGGGAAACCAGAAGTTCAACGTGATAAGTGGTAACGTCACACTCCAACTGTGCATGTCAGTATTACCCATCTATTTGGCTATCCACGCCAAGCACTTCATTCGTATGTAACAATGCTGACATCCCCCAGGCAAGTTATTACGGAATACATCATCGTGGGTCTGTACCTCGGATTGGGACTCAGGGTGCCTGACAAAGCCGCCCGCCTGCGAGACCGTGTCATGGAAGTGACAGAATACGATTATGAGCAAATACGAGAAACTGCATTGTGGAAAATGTATGAGATTGGGACGACCGTCGTGGCTACAGTGGTAATGCCTGGTTTGATGTTCGCTCATTGGCTGCTCGGCAAAATCCTCCGCTCACGCCCATGATCTCGGCACGGACAATACAAGATCCTTAAAGAATACGCATGCGTTTCCAAGCAATCGAATGCGCGCCGCTCACGCCATTGCAAGAGGTTATTCTTCCTCGCTCATACTGCCGGCCTTCGGGGCATGCATCGAGCAGTCCGACACACGGGTGTAACGCGCCCCCAGGGCATGTCTGTGTACAACTAAAGGGCTGCTCATACATTTCGACTCGAAGACTTGGTGGATTCTCAGTTCCATCATGCCGCCCAAAGACTTCTCACCGAGCTCATTAGTCTCTGATCGGGTGCTGGGTAGATTGAGGCAGTCTTCTTTGTTCATTAGTTCCGGAACAAGTAAGTCAATTGATCTTCGCTATCATACGTCGCGCGATGACCAACACGCTGACTTTGGCAGCTGTGAAAGAACACAAGGTTTCATGCCTTTGTGAGTTCGTATACTATAGTGGGTTTGGAGGAAGACAGCATATTCGACTATTGAAGAGAAGGATGATGTAAGAGGGGAGCGTCAGCAGCAAATAAATACTCTTCATATCAACAGCTTCGGTGAATCAATTGCATCAAGCTCCGATGTGACCCTGGATAATAATATTTACTGCAAAACTAATTTGTTCGTTCGAATTTTGTCGAGTCGTACTACACTCTTATCCGATATCGTGAATCTCCTCTTTCAGTATTAAACGGGATGACACAATCATCGCCTTTTGTACCTCTATGTATGTGCGAAGGTCCATCCTGGTATGACATGTTGACATGTTCAATGGCCATTGTTGTCGGGGATCACTAACTTTATTCGCTGTTTGTTTCTGCGTGCATGCTACACTGACCAAGTCAATCCCCCCGACTTCATAATAGCGCATTTTGGATCTTGTGCGGTCTATGACAGCTGAATCAAAGCTATGGTTTGTTGGATCAGAAAACGTACGAGTATATGGCTGGTATGTTACTGTGTGTGTGAATGGTTACATACGGCATTGCTGACCTTTGAACTCACCACGCTACACCAAAAAATATACTACAGAGTGATCTCCATGGCGGGGTATGATAGGGATATCTTAATTTGGATACAGGCATGGCACTGAGGTTGATGCCGCTATAATCGCTGGAGGTTGTCACGGACAACGTTGTGCATCGGTGATTGCAGCGCATTCTCAGTTGGAACAACAACACAATAAATCGTCGCGTATGGAAAAGCTTTTACCACTAGATAGTCTGCGTGGCGGTCGAATGTTGAGTGAAATGGACTCGAATGAGATAGCAGCGCATGCCCTCTAACGCCGACAATGCAATGCCGCGTTATTTGCCTACCACCACGAAAGTAGGCAACTGCCCACGCTAAAGATAGCCACTGCCGTGTCTCCACTAACATCATGCGTTCAAGACACTACAAAATCGCAAAGGCCAACAAGATGTACTAGAAATGTATTGACAAAGTGCAGTTCTACAAAAAGACAAACAACCAAATCAAGTCGCGCTAGCAACATTCTCCCTACTCTCCATCATCCTCTCCAGCTCCTCTCTTTCCTCAATCGTCATCTCGCTACTCGCTTTCCCAATCTTAACGCCGAAGAACATGATAAGCAGCCCTGCACCAGCGCAACCCGTCGCCATCCAGAATGCAACCTTGTATGACTCTTTCCTCCCACGGTCGGCGGTCTGGGTCACCGCCAGATCAGCGAACCCAAGGAAAAATGAAATCCCCAAAAACAAAATCGAGTTCGCGAAAGCGCCAGCTAAGCCCTGGCGCGCCAAGGGTAGAGAAGTTGTGAAGAAGATATTCGAGATATTGTAGGTGATATCGATACCGAGGGTGGAGCATATCATGGCGGGGAAGATGTAGGCCCAGTAATTGGGGTCGTCGGGGAGGATGGCGAACAAGAGCGTACAGAGAACGTAAGCGGATCCTGATATCACAAGAAGTCTGTCGGTTGGTTGTTAGCGCAAGCAGAGGGTTGGAGCAAGATGGATTGCTTACACAGTGCCGGGAAGGAGATGGAGGACCAATCCTCCGACGGTTGCGAGGATGAGTCCTCCAACGCACATGGGAGTGAACCACGCTGCCGTCAAAAGAGGACTTTTGTGAAGGACTTCCTCAATGCTGGTAGCTGTTAGAAACTATCAGGGAAGTGAGGGGAAGGAATACTCACTAAAAACTTGCGTAGAAGACAAAAATACCGAAAGTTCCATATTGCAGGAACAAGGCAGACGCGAGTGGCCCCATACCCTTGACCTGAAAGATGTCGAAAGGTAGCAAAGGTTGCTCGGCAACCCACCCTTCAATGTAAACGAAAGCTCCGAAGAACAGCCATCCCAGGACAAAAGTGACGGGAATATAAGGTGTTGCCCATCCATTTGGCGCATGACTTCCGTCCGTTATAGCATACACGATCAACACAAGTGCCGGTATGATTGTCGCCGTGCCCATCCAGTCCATTTTCACTTGTGTTTGCTTGAGCTCTTGCTTTTCGTTGACTTTCTTGCGGTCGGATGGGATGCAGAGAAACGAAGCTACAGCGACGACACCGAGCATGATGGAACCGAAATAGAAATACCAGTTCCATGTCATGAGTTGAGCAGCAATACCAGCAAAGAAGATGCCTGCGAAGAAGCCGATCGGGGCAAATGCACCGTATAGGGAGAATACCAGATTTTTGCGGGGACCAGGGCGATACTATGTTGGTCAGTACGCGCGGATCAGTGCAGTGGAGTGAACTTGGAACTTACGATGCTACCGAGAATCATGATTCCAGATGGCAAGAAAGCCGCAGGGCCGAATCCTTGCAAAGCTCGACATACAATGAGCATGATATAGTTCTGACTGAACCCTGCGATGAGAGTCCATATCACAAACCATGCCAGTCCGGTGTTGAAGACAACATATCCTCCATACATGTCTGCCAATCGACCAAAGGGCAGAAGAAAAGCGCCAGTAACTAACGAGAACACGCTTGCCGGCCATGTTTCGGCCTGAGATGGGATGTTGATTGCTTGGGATAATGCAGGTAGCAAGACGTTGAATCCAGAAATGAAGTATTCGGCCACGAACATGGATCCGAGAAGTGAGAAGCCGAAACCGAGTTCAACCCATATGTTCTTGAAGGCGTCTGGACGCTGACGACCAAGGCGTTCAAGCTCTGAAGGCGTGTAGTGGCCACGAGTGGCAGGCCCTTCTTCCGCTTTGCCAGCTTCTTGAGAGCTGTCAGTCGCGGGAGGTGACTGGGATTCCGGGACCATCTTGAACTCTCTTTCTGTCCTTGAAGCTCAGGGAAATTCGAGTTCAATATTCGATTCGGTCGAATGTCGTAGAAATAGTCGAAGCCGTCACGACTTGGTGAAAGTTTGATACATGGACAATGGATCGAAGGCTTGAATCTGATGGACTCAAGTGCTGGTCTTGAGCCCCTAGAAGTATTCAAGTTTTCTATATGTACAGTCACGGAGGCCGTGCCGCCCGCCGTGCCCGCGATGACTTTGCAGATACCCCATGGTGCTGATAAATCCTTCCCTCTATGGCGGTCAATTGCTCCGTGACGTTGTCTGAATCGCTTTGTCGCCATACTAGGGTCTTATGCAGGCTCTGTGTCTTGGCAGCCATATATGGCTTAGCTCGTGGCACGGTAGCTTCACTCTTTTCCACTTCGCAAAGGCGGGGTGGAGAAAGACGATACGAGATTCAGGAACAAGAAGGTTTATCGTTGATGACATCAGCTGTTCACAGCTGTTCTGGAAATCAATGCCTTCCCTTAGTGGTGGCAAAGTTCTGTATTGCATAACAGGTTTGGTGCGCCTTCGGTAGCTAGAGCACGTGAAAGCTAACGACAAGAATTACCCAAGACAAAACCAAGCTTATGATCAATCAATCATAACCCAAACCATTCCCAGATTCGACACCCGGTTTTCCTTCACTGATCGACTATTCCACATGTTTCGCATGCGTTGCTAGCCAACTTCCGCATCCAGTCGAATGTCGGCATACCGTGCATGACGTTTACCTAATGCCACCACCCGACTTCGCGCCACCTACCAAAGCCTGCCATAATTGCAGGAAACGACGCTGGAAGTGTGACCGCTCTGTGCCCGTCTGTCACAAATGCTTATCAACCGGGGTAGAATGTTTGGGCTATGGAAAGCTGTTCGTATGGAACAACGGTGTGGCGAGTCGAGGGAAGATGATGGGAAAATCCTTTGGAGAAAATCGAGCCGAAGAAACGAACGCACATACTTCGCATGATGACTACTCAGAATCAGCAGTCATACCATTATCGAAGAATCACTTCTACCATAATGCGGACCAAATACACTATCCGAATGACCAGCGCGAAGACACGACAGAGACAGTGTCCTGGCCTCTACTTGACCCTCTCCTCAGGGATCTTAGTCCCCCCGCACGTTACTACCTTCACCACTTTGCGGAAAATCTATGTGAGACCCTAGTAGTGTATGATGCACCAGGACAGAACCCCATGCGAGACCTCATACCCGCGATAAAAAGTCATCCATCGCTCCTTCAAATCATATTGGCCAATTCCGCCTTTCACATATACAATACCACGAAAGAACCGTTAAAGCAGTCCTCGTACCAACAGGCTTCAGAATCTTGCCTTGTTGTTCGTAACCAGGACATCTGTCGTCCAGGCGGTCCTATGAAGCTTTATTACCGTGATGCATTGGTGGCCAAACAGAAAGCCTTGTCGCTACTGGCACAAGTGGTGACATCGGTCAATAACTCAAACATCGACATGGTATTGGCAGTCATTCTTTTCTTCATCAACTACGATCTCATCGAGTCCGGCCGTGATAATTGGAAAGTACACATGGAAGGTGCGAAGAAGATAGTTGACCTTCTCGGTACACCCGCATACCAGCAGCGCCCGATAAGTCGGTTGCGGCTCCACGTCATCTCAGACTTTGTTGTGTATGTCTATCATTTCGCCTTCATTCGACTCACTCCCCTACTAACATCAATAGGTTCTGTGTTCTTGGATCCACCTTCACATTCTCGACTATACCGAATCTCATTCCCAAATCTATTGACCTGGAACCCATACTTAAATACGCAGAAACCAACAATTACCTGTCATGTCCAAAGCCATTGCTACGTATCATGATTCAATCATCCGAGCTGCAAGACTTACGAGATCCACTTTCGAACGAGATTGCCAACAAGGTGCATGATCAGATTGGCAATCTGATTTTAGCGACCTTGAATTTCGACCCCACTCAATGGTCTATCAACTTTGAACCTACGTCCCCTGCCGAGGATCTGGAACAGCGTAAACGCATAGCCTCCGCTCATCGGGCAGCAGTCTGCATCTACCTCGCACGCTTTCTTCCCAGTACCGACCCTCTGCTAGACCCATCGAGTGACTCCGGTCTCGTCAGTCTGACTGCCCTTGCTGATGAAGTTGTCCACCATTTGTCGTATCTGCAGCCTGGAGATACCCTCTTTAAGTCCATAAGTTGGGCTCTGTTCCTCGCCGGTGCAGAATCAGAGGACCCTGCGCAACGCATGTGGATTATGGATCGCTTGGACGCTTTCTACAATGTCATGTTCTGGGGGTATATTCGGACGGTGAAGAAAGTGTTGGAGACGATTTGGACGATCAAGGACCATGCGGTGGAAGGATCAGAGAGCTGCTGGGTTTCGGAAGTGAAGGTATTAGGACAGGAGATTTTGATCGCATGAAAAACTGTGGTCTGAGGTAGTGCTGTCATGCTTAGTCTCCCCGTTGATCAGCCTCATGTAATGCGCTGCTGCTAGTGTCGATGCGGTTGAAGAAGTTTTGCACCGGAAGACATATACTCCAAGATCGAAGAACTGGAATGACATCGATGAACCAAATATATCTGAACACGACTGATTGCGCAAACGATCTTTGCGAGCCCGTCTTATTGGTTTTCTGAGTCAGGGCTGCTCGGGGTTTCGTATGACCCTTGGTTTGCGACTAGAATACGACCATCATTGTCTATCAACAAACGACGTCGCAACGTAATACTTAAAACGGAAAATAAAGAATTGAGAAAACGAAGCGTACTAAGCTTAAAGCCTCGGATTTACACATATCGATAAGGCCATGCGCACGATTGTGCAGCGCGCATCTATTATTGGAGAACTGCCCCAAAGTACCGTTTCTTAGCCCTGGTTGCGCCGTAGGGTGTTGTGTAAGTACGGGCTATTGCTTACCTGATACTGGTTCGCTCTACCATCATCATCTCTGTGCTGCTGATCCAAGACTTCGACGTCATCAGCATCATCAGCATCATCTCGCAAGCGGCGTTGCCTCGTCTTTGTCGCAGCAAATTGCCGCACGTACCTGCCCGTCAATAAACGCCGTACACCACACCACAAGGCAAAAGGCCGACAGTTTGTGACCACATTGCAAATCCGAAGGTACGATCGATATGTCGTATTATTGAGCACTTTTTTGCTCCGCTATTAAAAAGTGTAAGGTAATCTACCTACGCCTCAAAAGCCTAAAGGTACCTTGGACATGGTCAACATCTTTCCAAAATTTTCGCTCGTGCGTAAAGTTAAACCACGCCGGTGGTGTCCGGGGACTGCGAGGCTAACTCCCACTGCGTTGTCGTAGAATGCTAGTGTAGTGCGGCGGGTGCGTGGGGGCTGAGGATTGGGTACGGAGTTGCCATCTCTCGTTTTCCTATTCAGGGTGAATCAACTAGATGAGCTGTAGGATTTTGAAGCTTCCAAGCATTAACGAGTAATGAAACTTCGAAATTGGTGCGGCGCGAGCAGTCTGTGTGGAGGATGGCGAATATTCCCTTCATGTCTGGCGCAGTGCGAGCTTAGGTGGGCCAGATGCCCTGAGATGACTGCCATCTCTCATCACTTTGCGCTCATATGTGGTCGACCGGACAAGTGTGAAGATAGAAAGGCGTGGAATGACGTGACTGCGCTTTTTGCCCTACTTCTGGACGGAAAGTGTATGGTCCGTGATGGTGCACTGCCAGCTTGTCTTTTCTCTAAAAGCGCCCCCAACCTCGGATCGGTACATCCGTACTCTGCTGCCGGACAATATGTTGACTATTCAATAGACCGGAACAAGCGCCTCCATACTCTCCAATATGAAATCGATAACAAGAAGCTTATACAGCTCGTATGGCCCTTGAGAGGGTTGTCTCGTGATCATCGGCTCGCATGGTTTCCGATCCTCAAACCGATCGCTGTGGCATACCAAAACATTGTGGCACGTCTCTCACACCTATTTCCGACCTTCGATGAGTCAAAGTCTCCTCGGCTGCTACTCTACGCCCTTTAGAATTGTTGGTGGCCTTGTAGGAACCGGGCAAGATTTCCGCGCGACTGGATTTGGATACTGCCTAGCAGGAGCGAGCGGAAATCACTTTATGCTTTCATAGTCATACTAATCCCTCTGATCTCCTAGTCCCTCTGCCAACATCACGGGAAGTTACGAGACTCGCACGTCTCCTCCTCGCCGACCATTGTAACTGCTTAGGGTATAGCTCTATGTATCCGCATTTCCAGAAGTGTATAAGGACGCCAAGCATTACATTACTCGCACTGCGTTCCGCTGATGGCGTTGTTCTTTCGACCCCCACGGACCAGCTCTACAAATAAACGAATCGAGCGCGCGCGTACGCGAACCTGCATTTCGATGATTCCTCACCTCATACACAGAACAATGGTTGCCCTCTTTGGGGCGGCATGCCTTGTCGCCCTCAGAACCCCGGATCAGGGTTGGACAGTCGGCATTGACTCGCTGCATCATCGCGCCTCATGAGGGTTCCCTAAACGGAGCACTTTGCAAGGCTCCGCCACACTGAGCACCGCCATCATTAGATCTGTGAAACAAGACAACTAATCCCTTTCAGCTGCCCTACCTCTATGTAAGTAATCCCACTGATTACGTTCTAAATCATAGCCGTATAGGATCTTTGGGTGTGCCCGATATGATAGTGACTTATATAAGCCCTAACCACCAGCGCCGCCGCCGCGTACCACAGTTCTTATAACGGACATGTTTCCGCACCCTATGAATGACTGCTTCTAGTCCATCGTCCTTGTTTTGGCTTCTTTATTAATACTTGATTCCATCTTTTTTTCATCCTTCGCTTCTCGTCGCTCGCTCATCGTCTTTCGTCTTCATACTTTTTCTACGTTTAATCATCATGCCTTTTTGGGACACAGTCATGGACTCCCCTTCGGATGTCGCATACGGGAAGCGATTAATTCCAAACGTTGTGGATGATATCGCTTCAAGCAATCCCGAACGCATTTGCTTTTCTTTCCCACGCTCGTCGAATCTGCGGGATGGATTTCGCGATGTTACTTTTCGAACCGTGAGTTGAGAACACAACCGTCTTATCCGACGACAACGCGCTGAAAAGAGACCAACGAAAACAGTTTGCAAACGCCATAAACAAGACGGCACATTTCATTCGTAGGGAAATAGGGTGCAGCACCATGTTTGAAACGGTCATGTTCATGGGCCACCAGGATATCAGGTACTTCATTATACTGGTCGCGTTGATGAAGACGGGACACAAAGTTCTGCTCAGTTCGCACCACAACAGTGTAGCAGGTCATGCCGAGCTCATCAAACAATCCGACTGCGGGATAATGCTTTACGCGTCCGGCTTCCCGGTACATCCGATACTAGAGCGTTGTAGGATGGAATCAGTGTGTATACCGGAGTTGGATTACCTTCTAGACGACGCCATGTCTTGCGAAGAGTTCCCGTACGAGAAGACTTTCGATGAGGCAAAGATGCATCCTTGTAAGAGCTCTCTTTCTAGAATACGAGAGGAAGGCGAATGCGCAACTCTGTGGACATTTTGCTGACTAGCTGCCTTCGGTCGTAGGTATGGTAATACATACATCGGGTTCTACGGGGTTGCCTAGGCCTGTGGTATGGACGAATTGGACTATGGCTGGCATCGACTCGGAACATCTCATCTCGCCATCCAATGGCCGGCCAACATTATGGGGAGGCATCCTGACGCAAAACTCCAGACGGGCGTTCAGCGCGCTACCCGTATCCCAGGGCTCGGGTCTCGTCAGTGCCATCACCAGAGTTTGTTATGGCAACACTACAATCGTTATCGGACCTCCGGGACTGCCGAGCGCAGATACTATTGCAGAAATGATAGATAACGCCGACATCGACAGCGTGTTCTGCGTCCCGGCAACCCTCGAGGAAGCTGCCACCAGACCAGACATCCTTCCCAAGCTCGGCCAACTCAAATACGTAGCATACACGGGCAGTAAGTCGAGCCCTCAAACCCCCTTTCTCGCAACCAGCTAACCAGATCCAACAAAGCCTTCCTATCTCAACCCGCCGGCGACTCCATCTCGCAAATCGTCCCTCTATACTCGGTAATGGCCAGCACCGAAATCTCGATCCTAGCCCAATACGCCACGGACCCCGAAGACTGGCAGTACATCCACCCCAACACGCACATCAGCGGGATCCAAATGCGGCCCTACAGAAACCTCTACGAGCTCGTCATCGTCCGAAACGACAAGCAAGCAGATGACCAAGGCATCTTCAAAAACTTCCCTCATTTACACGAATTCCCCACATCCGATTTATACGATGCACATCCCTCGAAACCGGGGCTGTGGAAGTACGTCGGTCGCGCAGACGACATGATTGTCCTGAAAAACGGATGGAATTTCCACCCAGGCATGCTCGAGCAGCTCCTCGCCTCGCACAGCGCGGTGCGGCATTGCGTGGTTCTCGGGACTGGCCGACACGTGCCCGCCGCGCTCATCGAGCTTGTCGAGGACCGCGATGACGTGGTCGGACAGGGGGAGGTGATGCGCATGTTGGGTCCTCTGATCGACAGGGCGAATTCGTATAGTGATGGCGCCGGTCAGCTCCGGAAGGATTGCGTTATTTTCGCGAAGAAGGGGAAGCCGTTTGCTGTTGTGGGGAAGGGGTCTGTACAGCGCGGAGCGACGATTGCGCTGTACGAGAAGGAGATTGAACGGCTGTACAGCGAGGTCAGCGCGGGGGGAGTGAAGATGTGAGGATGAGGATGATTGGGTCGAATGAGGCTAGTTCGTCTTGCGGGTCGGTGGTTACGTATGGCGTTGGGGCGAAGTTCTCCGAATCTCAGCTGTAGTGTTGGCGAGCTGAGACAGTCGAGTTGTTGGTTCTGTTGTCGAAAGAACGCAAACAAGCCGCAGAATGTAAGTCATACGCAGCCAGGCATAACATATCGGGGAATTTCATCCGATACTAACTATTCTAGGTGTGCATGTGCTATCGAGTGTGGCTTACTTCTCTACCACTATCGCACGAGATCATTCATCATGGGGTTTTCACTTATCGGGTAGGAATGCGAAATAGGTTCCATGAGGCCGCTGAGCTGGCTCTCAGCAAGACGACGGCCAATAATAACAAAGACAAGGCCGGGGGTGTTTCGGTAACGCATGGCTGGATCTGGAGTTGATCAAGGAGTTCTTTTTCAGTCGTCACTTGTATTCTGTATATTGCACATGTTAAAATATATGTTGATTCAATTATCGTTATGTACAACAGCATTTCGAACATGCGCGCAGACCCAGTTCAAACATTATTTACAAATGTCAACCTAGAAATTACGTATAATTCCGCCTGAAACCTTAGAGGAAAAAAAAAACTCCGCAAGTCATAAAGTCGTTAATTAGGAGGTTAGCCTCTCCTTGTCCCAATTGAAGACAGAGGAATAATTCGCAGGTCCTCGTCCTGCTAAGCAGCTTTATACCGTAAGAGCCGCAACCAACACGTCCATGGCACTGCTGTGCGTGGTCGCATTCGCAGGGGCAATGAACGGACCCGCCCAGTTGATGCTCAATTGATTAGCTTCATCGCGGTCGTTGTTCCACACGCTGTCGGCGTTGACCTTGATGGTGTTCTCGTACAGCTGGTCTGGCGAAGCCTCCTGGAGTGCCTGCAAGCCTCGTGCGAAGATGCCCTTGAACTGCGAGGCGTCGGGCCCGCAGGTAGGACCGCATTTATCGTGGATGACGCCGTTTTCGTCGGCGAGCTCTTCAATGGCGGCTTTGGCGATGCGGTTGGCGAGGTCGAGGTGGGATGGGTCGGGGGAGGCGCGGTCAAGTTCGACTAGACCGTTGAGAATGACGCCCTGGTTGTAAGACCACGCTGTCTACAAACGCGACTGCATTAGCCCAACATAATTTTCTGGGGGAGGGTTGTGGATTTCAAACTCCCAAGCGACTTACCCTATTGTTGTTTTTGCAGTTCGAATCAAGACCGTCGTTGATGGTACCTTGCTCGTTGATCATGCCGCTGTTGACAAACCAGTCCAGTTCCTTCTTGGCCCAATCGACGTAGTATCCTTTCTGGCCCTCTGCAGTGCCTTCTGGGACCCGGTTCGCTAGATGAGCTGCGGTGCTGAGGAAGAGCTCATTCGCAATGGCGTTTGTGTATTCGCGCTCCCAGCTCCAGTAGATTCCGCCACCGCACACCGTTGGCCAGGATTTGGTGACTGCCTTGAAGATACCCCCGGCGAGGGTGAGATACTGAGTATCCCCTGTGACATCGTACGCGCCGATCCATCCTAGGGCCCACCACAGGTCGTCGTCGTAGAAGCCGTCTAACCATTGGTTGGGATCAGGTGCTGCAGCACCGATCATTCCGGCCTTGCTGAAGATGGGAAGAGATTTGATGTCGACATATTCGCCAACAATCTGGCTCCATCCATCAGGGTATGTGCTGACGGGTTCATCGTTGGTTCCCATGCTCTTGTAGTAGCCGGATGCACTTTCTGTAGAGTTGGACGGCTCGTCTGTGGTTTGTACAGCGTTGGCATCTCCTTCAACGCCTGGCTGTGGGTTCTTGGCAGGTGCTTGCATGATTGTGTTTGCGAAGACACGGGTTGCAAGGTCTTTGACTTGGGCGTTGGAATCGGCTTTTGCGAGATTGGCTACCATTGTCATGGCGTTCGCACTGTTCCACCATCCGGAGGTGTCCCACAAGCCTGTACCAGCATTGTACCATATCTGAAGGGATTGGAGAGCGAGTTCAGCGCGTCCTGTAGGGTCTGTTGTACTTTGAGCAAAAGCGTTAGGGACAACTGATGCGAGGAGCGGTAAAGCTCGAATGAACGATGAGGAGTACATCTTGGAGGACAATGTGTTTGGTGTAAAGTAATGCAATCGAAATATTAAGAAATACAAAATTGGGATGTGCGACGGATTACGAGTCAATGTAAAAAAAGAGTGAAGAAAAAGCGCACACGAAAGCTGTGAAGTCACAGTCTCACAAACCTGAAGGGCATCACAAAAGTGGCCCTCACACTTTATAAGTATTCACACTTAAGGAGCTGGGTACAGTGTTGGGAAGGTTGTATGTCCATCATACAACGACCCACGTCACAGACAACACGCCCGCCCCAGACACTTCCCTTAATTTGCATCCATCTTCGTTTGTACCTTATTTGAGTTTCAATCTCCCGACCCATCCGCCGACAACCATGCAACAAGCGAGCGCAACGCTGTCTCGTGGCTAAAAATGGAAACGTAATGCCAACAGGTGGACGGTGTGGTCGAGCATGTGTGCTGGGAAGAAGAAAACAGAGGTCTCACCTGGCCGTTAATTTTAGTGGAGACGGCGGCGATCCGACACGCGATCCCTGGTGTTTTAGGTTCCACAGAGCTGCGACATGGAAGCTGATGCTTGATTCCTCAGGAGAAACGTGGTCGGGTACGAGTGGAGCCTGGGAGGCGAATAGAACCAGTGCAGAGAAGTGCATGTTGAATGGTAATGTCGAACCTCGCGTGAACGATATAATGTAACAGTATACGACATAACAATCTCTCGTCGCTATAAAGTTCGCGGCTGTCTGTCATACAGCGGTACCGATAAGCAAAGTTTTGCGCAATCGAACGTTGTAGATATAGGGGTAAGAGCGCGCCCCGATCGATGATGGGGCGAGGAAAGGAGAAGCCGAGAATGGAGGCGCAGCCTAAGGCGACTGGAGCCGAGTAAGCGCCTCACGTGCACGATACATTCACTCTCACGCATGTGTTCTGCATTCAAATGATGCACTCCTGTGTTCGTCCACGCGAAAGGCATCATACAAGCTCCTCTACGCCCTCATCTAGATAGTGTTAGCTGTGATACTGTTATATCTTTCTCATGCTCTTCATGTTGGAAAGAAGAAGATGTTGAGGACAAAGACAAGCCATGCAACCTTGAAACGCCCGCTTGGCGGGAAGTTCTCACCACGCCCACAAAACATCATCGGATCCTCTTTTGACAGCTTGTAACCCAAAACATAGTCGTCCATTGCGCTAACTTCAGAAAACCCAAAACACGAAGCGCCAGTATTGACAGGTTCTCTACCGCAAACTGTGCTTATTCCCGGAACAGTCCAATCGGATCCCAAAGACCACGTATGGGCTAAGTCATTCGCGCGAAGGCTTTTGGTTCCCTCCCAATGAAAGCATCCAACGATGTTGTGGTTGAGTCGCGTTCCGCGCGCGTGGTCATATACCAAGAGACGTCCCGTGCTTGTGCACTCTTTATGGTCCTAAGGCATTGATATTTGAGGGGTGCGCGCGAAACAAATCCCCCACCAAAGGTGGGATTGTCTGAAGTGAGTGGGGTGTACTCCCAGCATAGATCACCTCCTGGGAACATCGCTGCATCGGCACTATTGTGAATTTGCCGACGCCGACGTTCCTTCTCTTCCTTCGAGAGGAAGGTTTATTGGGTATTACCGTTATATTCTCGGTTGCTTGCTGTGCAGGTGTTCTCGGCGCAGTTTGCTGCACCACAACCACCAAAGTAGCGGGCTCGACCTTTTCTCCTTTTGGCTTTGTACCAACGAATTCATGAACTCGATGGCCTGGTAATTGGAACTCCATCATGACAGCGAAAGCCCTGTTCGATTTCCATGGATCGAGCTACCGATCATTGTCATGTTGGCTATTGCCACGCAATGCTGCATAGAGGCCATGATGGCATGACGCACCTGAGATCGCGATTTGGGCTTCATGCTGACCTCCAGAACAAGTTCAACGACGAAATTCGTATCACAAGATGGAAAGCCGGAGGCGGTATGCGCCGTTGCTGCCAGCGCTTGGTGACCGATCGCATTCCGCGTCTGAGTGAGCAACATGTCGGTGTCCTGTATTACGCTGCCACATGGCGGGACACGGCAATCCTGGCCTGGTGGTTCTCATCTGGCTTGAATATTCCGTGGGAATCGGATGGATGGATAGACAAGAGTTGTATTCTGATCTCGTAAGTCTGCTCCGCACTATGTCTTGAATGCGTAACGTTGTCCTGTTGATCCCTACGGAACAACCTTGTCGCCTTGTACAGCGTATGCGCTTTCGTATCGCCAGCGTGCGCCGAGCGATCGGCATCGGAGAATTATCACGTTACCAGACGGACATGTGCTGATCAGAAAACGGATACGGGGTGGTTGTAGTTCGTTTGCGCATCGGGTGAATATGCATGCACATGTGTGTACACAAAAAAATGTCGGCGATCTGAGTGCACCGCTCTACGGGATATGCACGTGTACCTTTGATAATGTGCAAGTATTTTCCACGATAGCCAACATTTGAACTAATACATACAAGAATCCAACGAAGTTCTAAGCCGACTCACCCATGAGAAGTAACATGTACACGATGATGTAGAAGGTATCGTCTTGGTCACGTGATACACATGATTGAATACCTACATATGTACATAGGTAGGTTCCTAGGCCAACCTTCAATGTTGGGACTTTGGACACATGTGAATATCGTGCAATTTGAACAAAGCTGGTTTGAGGCGCGGATAGAAGACTTCAGAAATTTCCAGCAATGAGTCTGTGAGTTCACTACATATGTAACCATAGATGAATAAATGAATTCTGGGTTTGAGTTTGGGTGATCTTACAAACAGCGATGGTTGCAACGACAAATAAACCAAAATAACAGACGATAACCAAAGAGCTAACCACAGACACTGTGGACTACTGTATGGTATGCTACATGGAATATCAGCATTTCGAATGTAATCACGTCGACAGGCTGGGTCTACCTAGGTACTTCAGTATGTAGGGAACTCACTTCCGCATCAAAAATCTTTCACGGTCGACCAAGAAAAACTTCGTTAACTCTAATCTGCACTGAAGCGAGAGTCTTCATTCGCCCGATAAATCTCGTACATTATCGCTCAGTCAAAACAGCGACTCAAATCGTCGCTCTTTACAACGGCGCTCATGCCATTGGTTGGTTTATGTGTTCAGTTACTGGATCCATCTAGCCAGGATACAATCGATATAATAATTTTGTGCTAGCTCACTTCGCACTATATATGAGCTCGAGTTGACCTCTATTTGAGGAATAACACAACTTTCCAACAACCCACCGTCCAACGCTATCACCTACACTATTTCACTACAAGTCCTACTGCCATCCAAAACCTCAGTCCATCGCGTTACGATCCTCATCACCCTTACGAGCGATCTAAAGCCATCGCGCCCGAGATGGATAAGTTCAGCACCCTTCCAACGGAGCTCAAACTGCTCATCGTTGAGAACCTTGCCCGTAAAGACTTGAGGAGCTTGTCAGTGACATGCAAAAAGCTCCGGTTGATCCCTCTGTACGCACTGTTCGATAGTGTCGTGCTAACAGATACCGCATCCCAAATATCTTCGCTGTTGCGTCTTCTCATGAAGGATCCCTATCTTTCTCGGTGCATTCGGAAGATAGCTCTTCGTGAGGAATCACACTGTCTGGCAGCAGCGAATAGACTACCCTTGGTCTATAATATGGAGAGTCTTCTCGACATACTTGATCATGATCCGCAGCCGGCCAAGCGGGAGCTGTACCGTTTCGACCTTGATCCGAGATCAGGGCAACGATCTGATCCAGCATTGAGGTTGTTACTTTTGCTAGCACATTGTGTGCACCTCGAATCTGTTGTCTGCGATTCCTCGGCGTTGCAATATCTCGAAACGATATGGAATCGAGATACCGTTATCTACGACAGCATACAGCACAACCGCCTTCCAGAGGTAGTGAAATTGCCGCTGCTCAGGAAAGTCCGGAATTTTATTGTGCGTTGCCCTCTCCCCGATTTCAATATGATGGAGACGGCGGTGGGTCGGCAGCTTCATCGAACCCGCAAAACATCACCGCAGAACCTGTCCTGGTTATCCAAATTCCCGGATCTTCGTACCCTCGAGGTTCCGCTGCTTTCTGATAGGATGAGCGACTGGCACGGAATCAAGCTGAATCTAGCTGCCTTGCGCAAGCTGACACTCTGTCACGCATTCGCTCCTCCGCAAGCGCTCCGACTCATTCTCCGTCGCACACCGAATCTCGAAGAGCTCTTCTACGATATGAAAGTACATTCTGCAGCATCGTTTTCACCAGAATCGCTAGATAAAGCTTTGAGGAGTGTCCGAAAGTCTTTGAAAAACCTCTCCCTCTACTACACCGTATACCCATACGTAGAGCAAACACCCGTATTCCAAGGCCGTCTTCAATCACTGAAGCGATTCCCTTGCTTGAAAACCCTCGGTATCTCACTGAGTCTGCTCTTTGGGCCCGACGTTGACTTGAACAGTCCGTTCTTTGCTCGTATGCTCCCCACTACGCTCGAGCGCCTTTACATCCGCGATGACATCCCAACAGGAGCTTTTGGCCGGTTGAGTCGTACCTCGATTTTATTCGACTTCGGTGTCTTCGTGTATGGAGAATACAGGGTGTTTCCAAACCTTCGCACGACCGTTGTGGATCTGCGAGAGGGTCTAGGGCTTCTTACGCCCGTGCGCCACAGCTTGTATGCCTACAGAGCCACTCGCTCTAGGTGGTTTAATTTTGAAACTATTTACTAGTACTGCTATCCTGTTTGGAAGTTTTTGTTCTCTCTTTTTTCTGTTAATAGAAAGTTGCAGTGTCTCTTACACTTAAAAAGGCATATGAAAAACATGTAGTAATAGAAAGTGAGCGGTAAAAAGAAAGTTCACACAAGGAGTTTTGCTTCCGACACAGGGCCAGGGTGCAACCCAATTGGGAAGCGTTTGGGCGAGTTGTACTCGAGTATTAATAGCAATCGCATGGTGTATTGGCAGGTCTCTACTTTCAAGTTTAGTAATACTATTGTTGCAGTCGCTCGTTCTACAGCCCAAAGACTCCACATCATATCGAAGGCAGAGTTATCGTGTGATTTTTCAATATTAAGTGTTTGTGCCAGACTTAGCTACAATCGCCCATCGACCAGAGAATCCTTCAATCACCTACTAACATCGTTATCGCCCAGGAATCCAGCAATCACCCAATCTTCCATAGCCTCAGAAACTGTCATGTTCTCCTCTCCTTATCTATCCGCTTGCCTAAACCCGAAGTTGCACCCATCCCAAGGCTCCCACACTCGCCCCAACGAATCCGTTTCCACGGCTCCACTCTCTTCATCCAAGGATGTCATTCAAGTAGACTAACCTCCCTCCTTACGTCATTTCTCGACTGATTTTGGTGGGGGCTGCGGGGACCACGACGACCGGTACCCACACCCATTCTCTATACCGTAGAAATCGACACATACGAAAACCTCGGTTTCTCTTAGCGTTGCGACATCGTTGAACGTCAAACATCTCTGATTCGTTGTCACTGAACAATAGCGAATTACGAATCGTCGCTTTAATCTCAGTCTAGCTACTGTTGTCTGCGTTTAAGAGCGACCGAGGTTTTCGTATGTGCAGAGTTAGTTCTACGGTAGGTATGTCTTGACACCTCCGCATTTTCCCCGTACTCGCGCTATGCGAGAAATATCGAAATGTTTGTTTCATTTCGCTGGGGGGATATAGTGGGAAGAGATGTTGCGGATAGAACTGTTATTACATATACCACGTGGTTACCTCTGAAATCAGGATATAACATCCCCCTCACCCAACTTAACCCTTTCAAAAACCTTGCGAAACCGCCGAGCATACGACGCGGGGAAAGTGTCAGCAAGGGATCGATCCGATGAGAGAATGAGAGGCACGAGAGGTCAAGACGCGGAGCCCAAGACGTTTTAGCACGGGTTTTAGCTTGGGACTACTGCGTATATGCGACGGCAGTGGTTGTTAGATCGATTGCCGTGGCGCGCGGAGCTATGGTAGCGGGCGGCTGTGTACTGTAAGAGTGAGGAGTCGGTATGAACTTGGGGATCAGATATAAGTACATAGGCGTGGTTGTGACCACATCTTCTCCCTCCCTCTCCCTCTCCCTGTCTACTCTTGAAACCTGTTCTATCTTTCTGTTTGGGAAGGCTTATTCGCTGTTTAGTTTAAGGTTTTATACGAAAGGATATACTTGAGTATTTATCTGAGCTTTTGGATACGCTTTGTTCGTTATTCCGCGGGGATTGGACGTACACGAATTCCTCTGGCCGGTTGATCGATCAGTCAACGGCATAGATATAAGAAATAGTGAACCAGCGACTACCACAGGATTCGGATACATACTGCAAACGTCTACGTAACTCTGAACAGCAGCAGAAATGTCGACGACTCTCCACCGCAACCCCCCCTTCCGCGCGGAGCATCTCGGGTCGCTGAAACGCCCACAATCGCTACTCGACGCACGCTACAGGGACAACAAATCCGACAATGAGCTCCAACCCCTCGAAGACGCTGCAATCAAAGAAATAGTGCAGACACAGCAATCTCTAGGATACCGCGCGCTATCCGATGGCGAGTACCGCAGACACATGTGTGAGTAATCTACCCTCCATCCCCATCGAAACCACATCCCACAAGATAAAGAAAGGCCCCTCTCGACCGCCTTATAGGAAAATAAAAATAAATAAATAACATTCGACGCGGATGTGTAGTCTGGGGAACATTCTGGCCCTCGCTAGACGGCATGCAAGAAGTTTCCAACCCACCTCTTTCCACGTTCAGAACGTACATCCCAGACATCGCCGCGTTCCTCGAAACAGGGCACAAACCAGGTGAAAGCGTGTACTGCGTTGGGAAGATCAGACATACGGGTGTCAGCACATATCTCGCGCAGTTTGAGTACTTGAAGACACTGGTGGACAAGAGTCGCTGGGGGGAGATCAAAGTGACAATCACGGCGCCGAATTGGTATCACTTGAGATATGTGGAGGGGAAAGCGTATCCGAGGGATGTGTATGAGAACGATGGAGAGTATTTTGAGGATATTGCCAGGGCGTATCAGGTTGAGCTGGGGATCTTGTATGAGGCGGGGTTGAGGAATGTGCAGTTTGATGATCCGAATCTGGCTTGTGAGTTTTCTTTCGCTTTCTATTCTGGCTCTCTCCCCTTCGACTGCCTATAAGTACTCTAAATCGTAACCGAGAGATTGATATGAGAACTAATGAAGGGAAATGGCAGATTTTTGCTCGGAGAAAATGCTATCAGGCTGGAAAACCGATCCCAACAACACCACAACAGCCGACGAACTCCTCACAAACTACATCTCGCTGTACAATAACTGCATCAGCGCCGCCCCCGCAGACATGCATATGGGAATTCACCTCTGCAGAGGCAACTTCGTAAACTCACGACACTTTAGCGAGGGAGGGTATGATCGGATCGCGGTGCAGCTCTTTACCAAACTCAACATGCACACGTACTACCTCGAATACGACACGCCGCGTGCCGGCGGATTCGAGCCGCTGGCACACCTGCCCAAGCATAAGAATGTGGTTTTGGGGGTTGTGACGAGTAAGTTTCCCGAGTTGGAGGATAAGGAGGAGATGAAAAGAAGGGTGTTCCAGGCTGCGGATGTTATGGCGAAAGGGCAGGGGGAGAGTAGGGAGGAAGCGTTGAAGAGGGTTGGTGTTAGTCCGCAGTGTGGGTTTGCGAGTCATGCGGAGGGGAATTTGATCGATATTGAGGGGATGAAGAAGAAGTTGGCATTGGTAAGAGAGATCGCTGATGAGGTGTGGCCAGGGGAGCCCTAGATTGTTGGTTGCGAACACAATGATGAGTGGTCGTTACATGGATTTCCATTTCAAGATTGTGTGACATTTTGACAGAAAAAGTATGTGATTACTCGAACCGACATTGGAAACAAATTTGATTTATTGGTTGCTGTGTGGCGAATCGTATACATTCGTAACAACATTTTCCGGTGACCTTTAATTAATACCGATTTTGGAGACTTTTGATAACTCGTTTGCGGAGTTTTAGAGGGTCGTGACCTGACCTCCACTGAAAACCAAAGAAAGAACCAAATGTGACGAACATACTCGCAGATACAACTGCCGTCGGTCTGGAAAGTCGCGTGCAGATGACCTAAAATGACATGTGTAATCGGTCCCCGAGGAACCCACTCCATGATAGACCAGTCGTCGATGTAGTATTGCGCCCCAGTATCACTCTTTTCTTCCTCTCAGGCATGCGATAAGATCAACTCATTTTTCTTCGTCGAGTTTCTGCTCTGCTAATTTGGCGGTGAGCATATCCAATCGTTCCTGCAAGGCCTTCTCAGTCTCCCTATACCTCTTCTCAAACTCCTCATCATCCTCAAGATCTTCATCGCCCTCATCATCGTTGCCGTCGCTATTCCTCTTCCCATTCTCTTTGAAGTCGGGACTTTGCGCCGTGGGCGTTTTCTCTGCCTCTTCCACATCTAACGCCTCCTTTTCTTTACTTTTGCTGTCGCCTTCCGTAGTCGCTTTCTGCGCAGCCGCCTGTTGCGCAGCTGCTCGCTCAGCAGCCAATTTCTTCATCTTCGCTAGATGCTCGTCGCGTCTCTTCACAGCAGCGTCGAACCTCCTCACGCTACTCGCAGGCCATTCCTTTCTGAAATCGAACGGGCCCTCACACGTGCGCGCACCCACAGGCAAGATGACCCATGGCAGCTTGTTCTCAATGTACGAATGCATGTCCGGTTCGAAGAGATTAGGATGATCAAGCACTCCGATTTTGACATCGGACGTCGCAGCGGATTGATCACCCGTGGCCCATAGATTGGTTCCGCATTTCGCGCAGGAAGCCGTGGTTCTGATATGGCCCGAAGCACGTATATTCCTCGATATCTTGGGTGGGATTTTGCCCACTGATGTGATGTAGTCGGCCTCGATGGATGCGAAACATGCGAACACGGAGCCTGTGTGTTTGTTGCAGTCGGAACAGTGGCATGTGTAGCAGAACAAAGGCGGCACCTCTAATTTGAAAATAGTTTCACCGCAGAAACACCTTCCCGTCATAGCAGGGAACCTCCTCGGTTTAGACATTGTGGCTTTGATGCTGATTCAAGGGATTCTACTTGAAGTTTTGTGGATGATGTTGGGGCTGGCGGGGGCATGACTGCCAGAGGGGGCCAAGATAGGTTGATGCGCACTTGGATGCATTGAGAATAGTGCGACGCGGGGCGTCAGCACGTGATTGATGATGTATCATCACTTCATCGCTTCTAATGTTGATTCTGACTTTCAAGATGACCAAATCCTGAACGCATCTTCAAGGCACACGAGTTTTCACAAACAACAAGAGATTATATAAAACAGTATTACCGAGAACAGCATAAATTCAATGGAGCAGAAGCTCTTTCAAGACCCCATATAGTTTCCAACAAACGCCCCAGATCCTAACAACACTTGAACCCCCTCATGCTGATTATTGCTCCGTATCCAATGCATCCCATTAACCAAGCACGATGATCATGTGTCATTGTGACTTACAAATGACCTAAGAAGAGATAAAACGCCTTTTCGTATAGTCATTACACCTCTCGATGAGCCTACCGCCATTCACCTTGGCTCAACTTGAGTAATCCCTCAACACAGCCAGCTTCTTCTGCTGAGCTGACGGCCGTTCTTTCACTGTGGTCATCGCCGTTCATGAATGCCCTCAACTCCTCGTCTTCCTCGGGATCCAAGCTTCGCCTCACGCCTTTGCGTGGTGTATTGCCCTTATCCTTGTCTATCAGAGCGCCTAGGCTTTGGCTTTGTGACATGATATCCAGATTTTCGCCCAGTATCTGACGAGGTCGTTGAGAACTATAGGGCTGGCCGACGTGCTTATTGCGTCGTGCTGGAGTGTGCTCGGGTTCCCAATTCTCTTTGTCGGATTCGGTCTGTGGTAGATCGTCGGATTCGCTGCCGCCAGAATCTTTTAGATCTCCCTTGGACTGTAATCGCCCAAAAGATGTAGCAGCTCGCTTCATGGGTCCCCGGGCTTTCTTGATGCCGCTCTGACTCGAGATCTTCTGAGATTGATGGCGGGACGTGATTGGGGTATTTTGGCGCGCATTATTTTGTGCCAGGATTTTCCTATTTGCCCGGAGCAGCCCAATCGCGTCCGCAGCGCTGCCACTTACTTCCTGCTCTGCGCGCGTTGTCAAGGTAGTGTTGTTGCGAGTATCTGGATCACACCAAAATTCCCACGCACGTGAATCTCTGCTCCGACCGATGTTGGAAGCTGTGCGGGGAATTTTTGGGCTCCGACCTTCCCTCGCAGCATGCAACCGCTCGTTCAAACCGGCAGCACTATAGCTTCTCCGAATGCCGGCAGCGGCTCGAGAAAACGCTTTTTGGCTGGACCGGGAGTGTGGTGGAGAAGGTGTTTTATCAAGGTCGGTTACAACGCGGGCCGTGCCATCTTCGTTTGTCGATATGCGAACGAACGAGTGAGCTCGTTTGAGCGATTTCGTAGAAGAGGGGAGGAGCTCCTCCGCTACAGGTGAGGAAGTTGTTTGTGCGACATGTTGATCGGATTTGGGAAAGGTGATGACTTCGGGGGCGTAATCTTCGATATTGCGAACAAAGGATGCGCTCCGGCGGTTTGCGATCCAGGAAGTGCGGGATTGCGGGGCGTCCTGGGAAGCTGGTTGCGATTGTTGAGTGTGAATGTCGGTAGGGTCCGTATCGACAGTATGAGGGTCTGTTGAGAGAGGGTTGGAGGCTGAGATGACGGTGTCCTGAGATTCCGCTTGGTGCGGAATTTCGCCTGATTCGAGAACCTGGTGCTCGTGGGTCTCGTTGTTAGGTTGGATGTCATTCTCGTCGGAATTCCTGGTTGCATGTACTTCAGCGTTGGGCAATTCTACTGCTGTCGTTGTTGATGACGCAGGGGCTTCTGCTGCTGCTGTTGCTGCTACTGCTGCATCCTCGGCGCTATTCCCGCGCGGGGCATCCTGTTCCTTTGGCTCGTCGCGCTCGTCTGGCATCCGCACAACACGCGCACTCAGGTCGTCCCCGGCGGCTGGAGGGTCCGACATCAAGGAAGAAGAAGACATGTAAGCCGGAGTAGAGGATGAGTCGAGCGGACGTGAGCGACGGCGATCGTTCTGACGTTTATTCTGAAACCAGATCTAAGGCGGTGCATGGTTAGTCAGGCCAGACCAGCTTGTCGCGTCCCCATGTGACGTGGAACTACTGACCTGGACCTCCTTCTCGCCCAAGGCGACTCTGGACACAATGTCGAGACGTGTTGCCTTGTCAGGCTTGGGGTTCTTGCGATATTCGGCCTTTAGCACGTCCTCGTCCTCTTTGCTGTCAAGAGAGCGTGGTCAGCATGGATGCATGGGTGGGTTGTGTTGTGCGCTGGGATGTGTGTGGGCGGCTCTCTTTCGCGGGGCGTTCCGAGTGCACGGACCCGAACGCGTCGATACTGGTGCGGATGGATGCAGCAGAATGGACAGCGAAGAGAAAAAGAATGGAAACTGAAGGAAAAAAAGCCTACCTGGTGCGTCTCCGCTTCTGACGAGCAAGCGGCTTATTGTCGACATCTGGAGGGAGGGAATTGGCAACTGTGGTCGGCGAATGGACAAGAAAAGCCAGCGGAGGACTGCTTCGGCCCTGTAGCATAGGTGATGAGGATGATGGAGAAGAGACCATGACGCGCCGGGATCTCTACAACAGACAGAAGGAAAAACAGAGAAAGAGTAGTGAAGTGAAGCTCAGTGGAGAATACAGAGCATGGAGACGTGTGAAATAAAGAAATTGAGGATGTGGTGTCGAAAAAACACAATATGGTGGCAGGAAGGGTCGCGGCGCGTGGAGCAGTGGCGCGTCGTGAAAGAGGAAGAGAGAGGCTAAAGTGCACAGAGCATCCACCCAGCCAGCGTGTGTAAAAAGGATAGACGACTACACGGTTCAAAGGTACGCTAGCTGGAATCATTTGCATCATCCATTCGGAAAAACATGATTAATGGACAATCTGGGTAACAATACGGGCACTCATCCGTACGTGCTAGCTCCAAAACGGGTCTCATTGTCTGTGCGTAATTCCGTTCAGTCGCATGTGTTCAAATGCCAATAACGCGTTTTACATGGGCCCACGGTACGTAATGACCATCTCAACAAGACGCGACAATCGAATGTATTCGGGGTTGGATAGGAATTTGAAGTTGACCAAAACCGACTATTCCTACAGCATTCGTTTGAACATTTGAATGGTTGGACCAGCCGTCCAATGACCGTCGATGATCTAACTGGAAACGGCAATTCTGCACGTGACGGCGTGACACGCGTCCATACATGGCGTCGCGGACTACAGACGGTCGAAACATCTGAACCTTCACTGACCACATACCTTGTGCCCATCAAAGTCGACATCTGCTCACCCATTTCACCACGTATTCATCATCGCTCTAATCAATCCATTCACTCCGTTCCCTTTGAAGTCTTATTACTCGACGATTTAAGGCAGCTGCGCGACTTTTAGGCAGCGACCTGATCTCCACGTTCCAGTGCCCTTGGCATTCAAAGCTGAACTCCCCTTCGCATATGCGCCTTAACCAGCACCCTCTCGCCACCCCTTAATCATGCGCATTCCTTCAGCTGCCTATCCATCTAATCTATTCGGGGTGCGTGAGAGAGTCCACAGTCACCGGTTTTTCATCATGTGAGTGCTAGCAGCCATAGGATCTGCTCTGGATGAATCAAAGCACCGCAATTCTTTTGGCACCGACCCCTGGATCGCACAGTATCACAGCCGATTCTTGCCATCGTTAATCAAAACTTTTCGTACAATTCCCTCGGTTGTGCTTTCCCATGTCATATCTGTCTTCAGTGTTAGCACACTATTGTTCTTTCTATCCCTTTGTCATTAGTATAAACAACATATCGATATTCTATCCAACCAGGCAACCTGCCATTGCACCTTCTATGATTTCTTATGTATGTTTGACAGGGCGCTGGAAAGGCTCTCAATTTGTTTACCGAAACGTGCAAAACTCCGGGAATACACGAACCGAGCGCGTACTCACCGGAAACCAGGCCAACATTACCTTTCCGAAATGGAGCGTAACATCCCTGGATGTCAGTTCTCTTGCGATGACATGATTCTGCAAGTCGGTCTGCCCTGCTCGTGTACCGTCCTCCTCTTACCCCTAGGTACTACTCGAGCTCATGGACACTGCATGCCCGCGGCGTCGCTGCCGAATCACACTCGTATACCATGCATACATTTGGAATAAACTGTACATTCTGCAGCGGCCACTACAGGCTACATGCAGTGTAGAGGAGAGGAAGCTCTGTGTACGACTCCCTTGTCACTTTAGGGCTTATACGATCAAGAAGAACCTATAACCTCTCAGAAGCCGCCATTGCCTTACTCGGCATGCGCTCTGCCAGTCCTCCATCCTTTGCCGGCCTTGTCTCTGCGTTTTCATTGGATCCATGCGCATTAAAGGTGCAGAAAGAAGGCAACGATAACAATATCATGGGTCTCGAAACCGCTTTACCGGTCCCTTGGTTACTGATCTCTATTGCGCTTTACTAATAACAAATGCAGACAATAAGCAACATGAGACGACGACTTCAGGCATCACTTTGTTACCTGGCCCAGAAGCCCCACACATTCGTTATTCGGAATTCTTCATTCGATCTCATCAACTGTAATCCGGCGGCAAAACAGGTGGGAAACACGTGCGTGTTTTGCTTCTCGGGAATAGGGGACTAGTCAAAGGCGGAGATGAACTAATCTCGAAAAACAAGGCGCGAAAAAAGGCAACCGCCAGATCTACACAACAATGAGTGGCTTGTTGGACCGGCCTTATCACATATCATCGTTCTTGCTCCCTGAATGACGGACTTGCCTAAAGACATGGTAAATGTTTACCGCTATTCGTTCGTACACTGCTTCTCGTAGGGCCTTTTACCAAACGTCTAGCGTGAACTTGCTTTGCAATGGGTATAGACCGTTCATTGGCTCCCCTTTCATCCCTACCTCATTCACCCATACCCAAGTAACGGAGGCCGCCGGAGCAAAGTGTACGGTCATACACATGATATTCCCTGGTCTGCAGTTAATGGCTTCTCACATCATGGTTACATCTGCTCACCCCCTTGCCATGCCTAGATATGTGGAACTGCTGTGACTCAACAGTGATCACTGCTCCTCCCCCGTGGAAGTAATCATTCATAAGAATCGTCGTGCTTAAAGAACTCAGTCAGTGGCCATCAGTTCTCACGAAAGCTGGAACATCCAGTACAAACAGTTACAGCTTGGTCCTATTCCGCGGTTACATACGCTTACTACATACAGCATGTCGATAATGCGGGTGGCCGTCGTCGGCACCTGCAGATTGGCGCTTCTTATAGCCCGTGAGATTCATGACTCGACTAGTCATCAGCTTGTCATATTGTCTCGGATTGTAAGTTTGGTTTCGGTTGTTAATCCCTCTGTCGATGCTCATCCTACATACAGACGAAATAATGCTGACCTGCTAGTCGCAACCGAGCCTATTGTCACAGGGATATCAATGTCAAGTCGTCGACTACAGCAACCCAAGCTCAATACAGCATGCCCTGATGGGTGTTGATACCGTCATATCGACAGTCAGCGGCAACGCGCAACTCCAGCTGATCGAAGCCGCCGTGGCATGCAGAGTTCGCCGCTTTGCTCCCGCTGAGTTTGAAGGACGGCCAGCGTTGAGATCCCAATCGATACTCGACCGCGGGCGAAACAGCGCCTTGGCACGCCTTCATCACTACCGCAACCTCATCGAATACACGGTGTTCGTATGCGGCATATTCTATGAGAGGTTTTCCGTCAATGGTATGGTCTCGCAGCAGATTGGCGTCAACACCGGCTACAGCAATGAGGGGGATTACATTGCGAATCCTCGAAGCATGACCGCTTTGGCGCCGGTATACGACTCGTCTCAGAATCTAGCATATCTCAACCTCACTTCGGTGTATGACGTTGCTCGGTTCGTCGTACGAGCATTGAACATGCCCTCCTGGCCACGCGAAATGTCGATGAGCGGAGATAGAATGTCCGTGAACCAGCTCATAGAAGTGATGCAGTTGTGTAGAGGTACAACATCAACCTGCTCAACATAGTTACGCAGCTAACACCGGGCTAGGTCGTCAATTCTACGTCGAGTGGCAGAATCCATCGGGCCTGCAATACCAAATGACTATGGCACAAATGGCAGGTGACGCCCTCAAGCAACGACGTCTGGCGACTCTCATCGAGACGGCGGAGAATCGCTACGACTGTGCCACCCCTGCGTATCTGAACGCGGCTTTCCCAGATATTCAGCCCACGAGCTTCTCGCACTGGTTCCAGCGTGAGTAGCGCGTTTTTCTACATTCCGTACATAGTTGCTAATGGACAAATAGACAATTGGGCCACTGTTCCCTAGCGAACTGTTCACTGATCTTCTCGTGGAAGATATTTAATTTTTAGTATTTGCACTCAACGTAGCGGGTCTACAAATTCATTTGAAGAACAATGCGATAGAGGAACACATAAATTGTCCTGGGACGGGAGGGGAGTGCATTGATTGCTAATAGACTGTCGATCTTTTGCGTTGTCGTCAGATTGGATATACAGCCTCTTTCAAGTAAAGACGAAGATAATTCAGATTTGATGCCGTCCGCCCTTCTTGCTTGTTCTTGACTCATACTTTTTTTTTCTTTTTTTTTTTTTGCGAGGATGTACGACCTTCACATATCAGATAGGCTTGAGTGTAGATGGTAATATCGCGTAGGGTGTGCCCTTCCACTATAGTTCACCAATCGCCAAAAGGTATACAATCAGATATAAAGCAAGGCGATTGCACCGAGCCCATATGAGGAGGAAAGTAGATCGTGTGCCCCGTGGCATATTCACTAGACCCGCTTTCGCGATTCCGCGAGGCTCGAGCATCACTCCAATGGCTAACCAATTGTTGAAAGGCCCGTATGATTCGCAACGCTAAGCCGAGAAAGAAGCATTGTGGATGCCAGAAAACGGGTCCTGAAACTCCAACCTTAGTTTTTTTGCAGGAATTTACCCTCCAGCTGCAGACTCGCGGCGATTTCTATGACTACAAAATGTGCTAAGCAGCGGGAGAGCTAGTACAGTTTTCGTAGGCGATGATGGAAGATAACCGACTGGAGGTGACGATGACGTGCTTTTCTGGGGAACAACCAGTAACAGGCCATTGCTTCGTCTCTCCAGCTGCAAACAAACAGCTGGTCGCGCAATTATAAAGTTGATGGGGGGGCAAAAGGCACAACCTTCAGCCATGCGGCTCTGCCCATTCGGAAGCGATAACCGGTAGGCGAAAACGCTCAGCTAAGCCCAATGTGCTCGGAAGGGGAAATGCGGCTTGGGCGACAGCGCATTCGAGAGGGATCGCGATGACAGAATGTATGCGAATCTTCCATGGCCTTGTGCATCGAGGGAAAAAGTGGTCCGTTCGTTGGGGACGGGTTTGGATTTACATTGACGTCACGGTGGGGCAGCGAGCGTTCGTGGGGTTATAAAAGAACACTGAGGGTGACGACAGAGCGAAGTCATTCTTTTTCTCCTCATCAACTACAACTATCCTCGGGGTCATCTAAACAGCAACTTCAGCTCCTTCATCACACATCCAATTTCAACCTGTAAGTACCGGTGCTCACATGAACATTCTGATATCATATATCACGAAGCTGACCTCCACACTAGCAATCCACCACACAACCAACAATGGCATCCAAGGCAGACATCATCGAGGAGCGCAAGGCCAACCTCCCCCTCCCTGAGGACCCTCCCGTCGCCTCCGACTTCAACTCCGCCGACGCCCGCACCGTCAACGTCGGCTCCGGTGGCCGCTCTGAAGACCTCTCTCACTCTGGCCTCGGCGGCGACACTCTGCGCTCGCCTGCTACCACCGACGCCGTCGGCAGCACTGGTCGCCAGGCTAAGGACGGCCTCAGCGGTATCCCCAACGATGCCGTTACCCGTGACGCCAAGGACAAGGCTGGCCTCGCCGACACCACCAACTAGGGTTACGGCACCCCTTCTTCTGCCAAGCAGTAGATGATGGCTGAATGCTTCAAGTTCTTGTCTACCATTGAAGATTTTCTGTTCCCTTGCTGTAAAAGGGGAGGGATTGGAATCGCAATTTAGGGGAACATGATTGGGCGTTTTCTTTTCTTTTACTTTTTACTATGTTACGATATCAGATGACGGATGGTCATGAGTCTCTGTTTTTTTATTTTGAGATCAAACGATGATAACGATACCTCTTGGACAGCTCCTAGAGAAGAATTTCTACCTGGAATTGAAAATCAAATTCAAAATCTCTCTCAAAACTTGCCGTGCTTTTCCAAACTCCTGATTAGACTGATATGTAAACATCTGTGATATCTTCTTGAACTTATGTCGCGTGATCAACCTGTCCTCCACGAAAACAAATACAAACAGACGCAGCGAAAGCATTACCTCTTCTGTATCTTCCTGTCCCACCTAACCTCGGGAAGGAAAATCAATCTTGATGCCCAACGCCCAGATACTCCCTTCGCTGCCTTAACAAGACCCCCCTGGCACATCGCAAAAGCACCAAATACCTACTTATCACTGATCCCCGATCCCGCCCCTCCCCCCTGCTATCCTGCACGAAATCTCCTAATCCGGACTTTCTCCAGCAAATAGATTGGATCCAATACAGTGAATCCTTCCCGCGTACAACAAAAGGTCGGTCAGAGCACCAAGCTTTACATGTACGCATCTTACGTCAGGAGGCTCCATAAATAGTGGCTTTTTTTGTGTGTTCCCGCTCCAACCGTGGGAGGTGTACACTACAGTGTTAAGTCTTGTACTACCTACCTTTTCTTTGCTTGGGTAATCGGCGGGGAGTGTGGGTTGGTAGAATGAATGGCGTTGGGGGTTTTTGTTTTTTTCGATGGGGGGATTTTAGACGAACGTCATAGGATGGTAATTACGATTTCATTTGACGACATGATGGTGTGAGTGTGATTTCGAGGCCCCCCCTCTTCCCCTCTGCGATAAAAGGAGGAGAGGAGCTGGATACTGCTTGTTCGTTTGTATACTATACGCAAATTTTTTTTTTCATTGGATTTTCTACGAAGCTTTCTACAATATCTTGTTTGAAAGGATTACATACTCGGACGTGAGGATATTTGAGGATATATACATATCAAGGAATATGGCTTCGTCAGCAGGAACAAAGGTATGTTTCTACTCATCCATTTCACAGACTTTCACCTCTTGAAGCCCATGCACACCACAATCCCTTCCAATCCAAAAAGAACGACTTACCTTTCCTCGTACCCACCGCCATGACCCCAACTAACCCGTCCCCATCCAGGTCACAGACCCGCACAACACCAAGCCCGAATCCGTAGGCGTAGTAACCTCGGACTCCCTGGCCGCCGAATCTCTCCAAGAAAGCGGCACCTTCGGCTCCGGCAACCCAAACGCCGCAGCCTCCAAACAACCCTCGCACTCGACAACCACAAACAACACCGACACCTCTGGCGCGACCACCCTTCCCCCCGGCTCCTCCGCCGCCGCGCGCGATGCGCAAAACGGCCAGGGAGGAACCCAGCCCTTGCAAGCCGGTAAAGAACAAGGCAAGAACGCCGGCGTGGGACCTACATACAATACCCCCTCCACATCCTCATCATCATCAACCGGTCCGTCCTCAACCAGCGGCGCAGCAAACGCGTCCAGCGTTCTGGGAACCGTAGCAGGCGGGTACGCCGGGGCCTCGGAGACGGCGCAGAACCCGGGCGTCAAGCAGCCCAAGGGCAAGAACTTGACCGAGGACAGCAACTTGGAGGGTAAGACTGCTTTTGGCGAGGTCGGGACTGAGCAGGATCCTGGCCGGGTTGCGGAGCAGGCGTTTGCGCAGAGAGCGGCGCAGCCGGGTGCCGATGCTGGGTACGAGAAGAGTAAGTTGCAGGATGGGGAGAGCAAGTTTAGTGGGTTGGGGGATGAGGCTGCGTAGGATTTTGAGTTGAAATGCTTGCTTGGTTGTTACATGAGGAATGAAACATGTCTTTGATTCTGTGAATATCTGTTAGTCGTTTCGATTGATGGGGAACGTGATGTCTACAGGAGATGTATGTAATGAAGTACACGATGGATAAGAGGAAGTCTGTGGTTGATAGACGTCCCGAGACCAAGGCCCGTGCGCCGCAGCCAAAGGTCCCATAGGGCTGAAACTCCAGGTGTTCTTTCGCGGAACACCAAAGGCGTGCGTGCAACCATCCCATCCATCCTTTCGTCGTACCCCACGTCGCTCTCTCCCTTACCTCGCTTCAAGTCTTCACCACTCCTTCTTTGCTGTTTGGGGTTGATTTTATTCCGCGCATCTTCTCTGTCCCAAGAAGCTCGGGTTCGCAAGTCGAAGCTATCTATCAAGCGGGGCCTGCAAGTACCCTTAATTCGCGCGCGAAACGGCGACGGCGAAGCGCACCTCGGGAAACGATGAACGGGTTCGAAGAGCGTGGGTTGGATGAGGATGCGTTTGGGGCTTCTTCTGGGAAGACGGGGATTGCGAGTTTCGATGCGTTCCGTGAGTTCTTGCCCCCGTTTGCTTTTTGGAGAGTTGCTTAGGAATTGGTGGTGTGATTGCACGGCAATTGGACGGAGGATGCGAATTGAGGCGCAAGCTAACAACGTCGTGACAGCAAAAACTAAGAAGACTTACCTCACCCGCGGTCGCGACTCCTCGGGCTGGACGACCCTCCTCATCTTGACATGTATCTACCTCTCGTGGTCCGAGACCAGTCGCTGGTTCGCCGGGACCACGACGCAGACTTTCTCCGTTGAGAAGGGCATATCGCACGACATGCAGATCAATGTAGATATTGTAGTGCGGATGTACTGCAAGGACCTACACGTCAACATGCAAGATGCTGCGGGAGATCGAACTATTGCTGGAGACCTCTTGCGCAAGGCTCCTACGCAGTGGGAGCAGTGGAACGACAAAAAGGTGCATTCGCTGTCTGGTAGCGATGCGACCCATCCTGGGTGGGAAGACATGTGGGATGTACACGACCAGCTGGGTGCGGCCGGGAAGAAGAAGAAGTTCCCCAAGACGCCCAATGTGAGAGGAATCCCCAATGCGTGCAGGATCTTTGGTTCGTTGGATGGGAACAAGGTGCAAGGTGATTTCCACATCACGGCCCGAGGACACGGATATCTCGAGTTTGGGGAGCATTTGGAACACAAAGGTATGTGAGAGTCGGTAGTACGCGAGGGGATGGTGGTATTGGATCTAACATGCAATTACAGCGTTCAACTTCTCCCACATTATCAACGAGCTGTCCTTTGGCCCTTACTACCCTTCGCTGGAAAATCCACTGGACAAAACCAGAGCCACGACCGACGAGAACTTCTACAAATTCCAGTACTACCTCAGCATCGTGCCCACAATATACACCGACGACGCCTCCCTCCTCCCCCTTATCGAATCTGTCAATCGCAAGGGCAAAAGCCACCCCGCCAAATCGATCTTCACTGGCTACCACGCCATCAAGACCAACCAATACGCCGTGACCAGCCAGAGCCACACGGTGCCCGAGAACTACGTGCCCGGCATCTTCGTCAAGTTCGACATTGAGCCGATCATGCTCACGGTCGCGGAAGAATGGGGCGGGTTTTTCCCGCTTCTGATCCGGTTGGTCAATGTAATCTCGGGAGTCATGGTTGCTGGTGGGTGGTGCTGGCAGATTTTTGACTGGGGGCTTGAGGTGTGGGGGCGCAAGCAGAGGAACCGTGGATCCAACATGGGTGTGCTGGGTAGCTTTGGTGGCAAGGAAAAGATGGCTTTCGACTAGATGTACCCCTATGTACGTATGAACTCAACTTTGATCCATATTCTCGAGTTTGGCAATGATAGCGGTCGCATGGATGGCGTTTATGGGCATGGGAGTCTTTTCCTGGTGGAGTATCTATCTATGTAGCTTCTTTTTCTTCTCGCAACTATTGCCATATGAAAAGTAAATGCGACCAAGCTCTCCTGTTGAAGTGACTTTGTCTAACCACCTTGGAGTATGTAGCACATCACAACCGGGAAATCTTATTAACTCGGAAACTTTCAAATGTTGGTAGTACATTGGAAATGCCCCTGTTCAATCTCGGTAACTTTGTCATTGGGATTTCCAGATATAGGGGTCCGATGGTGGTGTTGATGCGACGGGCCCCGAGGCGGCCGAGGCTCGACTGATAGGTCAACCGCTGACGAGGTGGCTACTGTATATGTATAAATGTGTGCTCGCATCTGTCGTTCACCATCCTTCGCTTATTATGTCGAATTGGAATGCTGACTCTCTGTCAACTGGACTGCGAGGCGTGGGCGAATGATTCTACAGACGCCCTCCGTGGCCTCCGGTGAGTGGATAATGGCATTCTGCGCGCAAACGACTTATAGCTTCTGCTGGCGTCTTAAAAACGAAGCAGAAAAGCAAGTCCAGCAACTCAAAGCTGCTCATTATTGTATAATTCCTAATTCCATAATCACAACAAAAACGGGTGCAATATTTTTCTTTCAAAGGGTTCGCTCGCTGCAGTCCCACCCTCCAGATTACATAACATCGATCCGGCCAATCAGCGCCCGCCGTACCCCCTTGCACGACTCCTTTCCTTTCCGCTTTCCGAAAAGATGAAGCCCTCCACTCCCCCAAAATCCCATTCACCCCTCCCGCCCGGATTCCACCGCGTCAAAATGGCCTCCGCCGAAATGGATTCACCTGTGGCTTCCCAGAAATCCTCGTCCAAAACACAAAACGGCAGCAACGGCAAAGTAGGCAGAAGACGGAATGGAAGTGTCTTGGGCGCTGAGCTTCCGGGCGACAGTGATGTCGCTGCTCTCTCTACGCTAGGGAGTCCGCCCGCAACACCTACAGAGAGCGCTGTAAGTTCGAGCCAGCCTCGGCAAAAGAAAAGCCATGTCTAACGATTGCTGACATTTGAAAGCGCGAGAAATCCGGCCGTCGTTCCAAACGCCGCACCCTCCGAAGAGCCCTCTCCAAGTGGAAGCGCATGTGCATCCGACACACATGGCTGCTTCCCCTCACCCTCATGACCACCCTCCTCTCGCTATACATTGTCCACCCCGTCCCATCGAATCCCCTCACCTCCGCAATCTTCCTCTCGTATCCTCTCCCCCAGAAATCCGGCGACGACGGTCCTATCCAATATGGCAAGGGTGCGCGCGACTTTGCCTTTGTGGCCTTTTACATTATCGTCCTGTCCTTTACTCGTGAATTCATCACGCAGCGGGTGCTTCGACCCATTGCAATCCACTATGGCATAAAATCAAAGGCGAAGCAGGCTCGCTTCATGGAACAGGGTTACACGGCGGTATACTTTGCCATCTTTGGACCGTTTGGGCTGTGGGTCATGAGCCGGACTCCTATTTGGTACTTCAACACCACGGCCATGTACGAGGGATTCCCGCACAAGACTCACGAGTCTTACTTCAAGGCGTACTATTTGTTGCAGGCCAGTTACTGGGCTCAGCAGATGATTGTCTTGCTGCTCATGCTCGAGAAGCCGAGGAAGGACTTCAAGGAACTGGTGGCTCACCACTTCATCACTCTGGCTTTGGTTTGGTGCAGTTATAGGTTCCACTTCACCTACATGGGCATTGCGGTCTACATTACTCACGACGTTTCCGACTTCTTCCTCGCCGTATGAACCCCTCCTCCCTCCCACCATCTCCACAAACGAACTGAAACTAATTTTTGTAGACATCCAAAGTTCTAAACTACATCGACGCCGCCATTGTAACCCCCTTCTTTTTCGTCTTCATGTGCGTCTGGGCCTACCTCCGCCACTTCGTCAACCTCAAGATCCTCTACTCGGTCCTCACCGAATTCAAAACCGTCGGCCCCTTTGAACTCAACTGGGAAACCCAGCAATACAAATGCTCTCTCGCGCAATACATCACCTTCTCTCTCCTTGCAGCCCTTCAGGCCGTCAACATCTTTTGGTTCTTCCTGATTTGCCGGATCGCGTGGCGGTTCATTGCAAATGATGCGTTGGAGGATGAGAGGAGCGAGTACGAAGACAGCGAGGCGGAGGAGGAGGCCAAGAAGGAGAAGAAGGCTAAGAAGGCGAACGAGAGGGCTAGCGTGGTGGCTGCCACACCCACGTTGTTGGTCAATGGCGAGGCTGTGTCGTCGTCGTCGGGTCCTGCGTCTAATTTGAGAGCAAGGAAGTGATGATCTGAAAAGAAGCAGGTTTCTTTGTTCATGGGTTTTTTTGTTTCTCTGATGACTAGGGTCTAGGAGGGGTGACGAGAGAGGAGCGTTTTGCCGAGTGATATGGTGAACTTTAATAGTTCTTTTCTTCTTCTTGTTGTTAATTTTGAATTGGGGGGATGGGGCGAAAAGGGGGGCCGGGAGGAATGGTGGATCTGTAATCTATGGGGTAATAATCTACGTCAATGTGCTGTCGCGTGTGTAAAAAGAGTTTGAGCAAGTTTGCTAGTTTTCCCTATCTTTTTTTTTTAAAAAAAAATACATATGGGATACATTTTGGACAAAAATTATATATTGATTCATTCATTCGTTTGTTGCATGTTATTCATCAATCCGCTAAGCAAGGGTGAGAGAAAAAAAAGTGTTGAGATCTGGGTGGTTGTTTGGGGGGATGCTTGAGAGCTTTCATATCTGTCTTCGTTCTTCTTTGTTTGTTTTTATCTTGAAAACTGGGTTTTTCGTCTCAGAGGTGTGTAATAGGGCTGTGCCTTTGCAAGTACATTACAGTGGAGAGGTTTCCTGGGGATAGGGTGTTGAATGCTCTTTTTACGTTAATACTTTGTTGAATCGCATATTAAGCATGGTTACTAGAAGATGTTAACGGGGTCTAGATATTGAGTAAAGCCTTGAGTGAATGTTGAGAGCTGGACTCTTGGAGGCGGTCTAAAGCGCTTCGCAGCAGAGTATAATCTCGACGAAGACTTGTTCGAATCAGGCCTGAAGCATCTACATTATAAGACGTATTCCGCTTTTCAACAGACATAATAAGTACTCGCTGTGTTCATGGAACAGCTCATCGCGGAATACAATGCGAATTGCAAGCACATCGACTGGCTGGCGGACGAGTACGATGCAAGCGATAATGAAGAGGAAGATGTGGATGGAAGTACAGAGAGCCTATTTACTACTGCAAGTTATCTAATATATTGTTCTGGAAGAATAAATCTCATTCGTAACAGGCAATTTTCTTTACTTCAGCTAGCATCACCACAGCTACAGACGATGGCATCAAGTCCCAACCTTCAGAATATTCCATCGTTCCTTTCTAATAAGAGAATTGCTTCACCTCTCAGTAGCCTGTCAAAGCGAAATCCGACCCTCAAAAGATGTGTCAGCGTCTCTTGCGTTGCTAAGCCAAGTTTCTATGCTTGATTGATTATTCTACTAGTACTAGTACTACAGACGAAGGCCTACCTGTTTTCCCCCCCCCCCCCCCAAAAAAAATTACCTGCTTTTATATTTGGTATCAGCACTGGCGTTTGTCTGTTGGATTGTAAAGTATTATCTCCACCTAAAGCAAGCGTGTTTGCGTCTAGTTGGTGGCAACAGGTCTGTGCCTTCGCGACTATGTTGTTGGGGAAGTACTCCTAGTTGAAAGCTACCGACAAAAACGATTCGCCACACCTCAATGACACCATCACCATGTGGAGCCGCCATCAATTTCATGCGATTCCTTTGCATCGGAATTTGTCAATCCGCTGCCCAACATTCAACGGAAAGCCAAAACAGCGTCTCTTTTACATTACAGGCCGTGGATATAAAACGGTAGCAAATGCTTCCGCGAAGCGGCGAAAGGAGTTCGTCCCATCGGCAGGACAGCAAGCTATAGTTCACACCTGTCGCACTCATAATGTTATTGTCTCGGCTCGCCCAGGTACGGGAAAAACAGCTACAGCTGAAGCCATCGTTGCCGCTTATCCAAACGAACGTCACACCATCCTGCTTTACAACAAAGGTCTGCAAATTGACACCGCCGCTCGCCTAGACAAGTATTCTAATGCCAGGTCTTCCACATTTCATGGAATGGCTGGTCAACTTTTCGACACCGTCGTGCCTAATGATGCTGTTCTCCGAGCCCTTAGAGAAAAAGGTGATGTTCCAGTCTGGAATGGCAAGCCATATCAGAGAGTAATCCTGGACGAGCTACAAGATTGCACAGATGACATATTCTGGCTCATATGCTCATTCATATCAGCTATTACGAATGCCGCGCACGAAAAGGCTCCCCGGATCGTTGTTCTTGGGGACGAGCGGCAGGCTATATATGGATTCAGAGGTGCTGATCCAAGGTATTTGAGCCTTGCTCCCTCTATCATGACCACACTTTCTCCTCACACATGGGCCCATCATACACTAAGCGAGAGCTTCCGGATGACTTATGAGAACTCAGCTTTTGTGAATAATGTATTCCTCGGGGGTGAGAAATACATTGTCGGTTCGCGCAGAGGGCCCAGGCCAATTTATCTACACGCAAAGGTCTTCGAATCCGAGAGCATCGCCATCTATCTTCTTCCATTCATTCAAAAGTATGGTGCTGAAGAGACGGCTTTTCTGGCGCCTTCGGTGCGTCATAATCCGCCGTTGCAACAATTGATCAACCACCTTTCTGAACGACATGGGATACTTGTGGCAGAGCCACAATCGGACGACTCACCGCTAGACGATGATGTCTTGAGAGGCAAAGTATGTGTGAGCTCGTATCATCAATTCAAGGGAAAAGAGCGCAAGCTTGTTATCGTTGACGGTATCGATGACAAGTATTTCGAGACCCAGGCTCGAGATCTTCCCGGTACCCTCTGTCCAAATACAACCTTTGTTGCCCTCACTCGCGCGCGCGAGCAATTGATTGTATTACAATCAAACAAAAATAAGCCTATGCCGTTTCTCGACATGGTAGAACTTGAAAACACTGCGAATATTGTGGAGCTCGGAGACCTTGGAGGACTATCCATGCCTGCAAAGCCAGGCCGTTCACCTGATCCCAATCTAATACTGCCAACATCTGTAGCTGTATCAGATTTATCCCGTCACATTCCCAGCGAGATCCTGGATAAAATATGCACGAAACATCTTCGGATCGACCGCATCGCAGAACCGCTCCCAGAGTCACAGCACATCAAGGCTCCAACTATCGTCCTTACTAACCCTGATCCTCAGAAGAGACATTACGAGGATGTCAGTGATATCAACGGACTTGCTGCGGTAGCGCACTATGAAGTTACCTCATTTGGCAGTCTATCGACCTTGCAGATGTGCCCGGCGCCATTCACGAAACTTTCCAATAAGATTACTCGAGCTGTGTGGCTCTGCCGCGAGGCATGTAAATACGCAGCTAAGGCTTCAGGGTACAAGCCGCGACTGATCCAGATGAAAGACCATGATCTTAAATGGTTTGCATCGGGTCTTGCCAAAGCCACACGGCGTCTAAAGACGCAACTTCCAGAAGATGCTAAGCTAGACTTTGAAGTCTCGTTGGAAAAAAAGGACTTTAGCATGGATAATATATCTAGAGATCAGCCACGCAAGACAAAGTTACATGGACGGGCAGACATTATTCAATACTATAACCCATCTACAAACAAGTCGAAAAGGAGACATGCGAAACGAGTCATAGAACACATAAATTCCAACAGCATATCGATTTGGGAAATCAAATACGTCGCACAACTCTCCCTCGAACACGTCATTCAAGTCTGCAGCTACGCTTATATCTGGTGCACACAGCACCAACGACAGTCTCCCCCGAAAATCCTCCTCTTCAATGTGCGTGATGGCGAAAAATGGGAGATTGTGCCGCGAGGAGGTGTAGATAGTCTTAGGAAAGTAGTAGAGGAAGCTTTGACTGCAAAGTATTCTACTGCGAAGACGCTGACCACAGAAGAGTTCTTAAAGAAGTGTGCGGAGACGGCGGCGGAGGTTGAGAAGAACTGTGGTAAGAGCTGACGAGGCTGGTTAAATCATATTTAAGAGGTGGGGATATTGTGAAGTCCTGTAAAATCTATTGTGCTATATCATTCCGACCCTGCAATGGAAAACATTGCCTTGGGACCTTCTCAGCCTTCTGTCTGCAGGCGACATAGCAGAAATAAGACATGTTGTAGCATTAGCGTGGAATCAATCTGGCATGACGAACAGGAACTTTCCGGGAAACAAATGAGGAGCAGTTTGAACCCTGGAATAGGAGTATCTGGACATGAAAACTGCAATCTCCTGTATTATTCTGGAGTCTCAATTAGACACTCGCCTTTTGGGAGGCTTCTTCTTCTTACGTTAGTATTAATAGCATTTTCAATTCGTGGATTTTCTAGCAAGGCTTGTGTAGATAAATAAAGGCACATAAAATTAGATTCACTGGCCACGATCGAACTTGTTCGTGTTGCGAATTATCGCGTACAAAATCTCTTGTACTGAGATCCCACGCCGTTAGCATTAGAGTGATGTGAAGTATTATTACAAGAAAACGCTGAGAATAAATTAGAAACCTAGCAAAAAATTTCAGATATTGCTGTTTCAATATGGTACATTGGCCAGCGCTATCCCAGTAACATCTCCAATTTCTGGAAATAGCACACGTTTGGATGCTTTTCCTTTGTTCGTATCCACCTCATACAGTCCTCCCGCAAGATCGGCCGCAAAAACTCTGTGATTCTCAGCATCCAAAGCAATCCCAATAGCCTCGTGCAACCTCGTTGCGAGAATCTCCTTCCGGTACCCACTCTCCTTCGCTTGCTCTGAAACACACGCCCTGTTCACACTATTCCCCTCTGGCGGATCCCCCCGATCAGTCCAGTACAACGTCTGCGTTGCCTCCTCCAGCTCGAGATCAATAGGCTCCGGTAGTCCCTCAAACAGAACCTCGATATCCTCCCTCTGAATAACATTTCCAGAACCACCGTTCGATGAATCAGGAATCGGCGCTCGAAAGATCCTCCCCTTTCTCCCTTTCGCAGGACCCTTCTGACTCCAATAAATCTGCCCCCGCCGCTCATCCACTGCGATGCCAACACACCACTTCTCCATATCCAGCCTCCCCTCTTCCCCTTGCGTGCTCAGCAGAATCTCAACATCCCCGCCATCGACACCACACCGCATAATCTTCATTCCTTCCCTATCGCACCAATACAGCTTCTGCGCTTCTTTCGCTAAAGCGATCTGCTTCGGTGTATGCGTGACTCCGCGTGGCACAATCGTTCTGATGTTCTTCCCGTCGAGATCGGCGCGGGATATTGAGCCGCAGTTTGTCGAGAAGTCTGCGCCCATGTTCGTCCAGTAGATGTGTCCCGCTTCTTCGTCGATTGTGATGCCGTCGGGCATTTCATGGAGGTTTGGGATGAGGGTTTGCAGGGAGGAGCCTGAGGGGTCGCTTGTTAGGATGCGGCCTTGGTATGGGGGGTTTGATGTTGAAATGGCGATGTCGAGGATGTAGAGGCGTTGGGAGAGCGTTCTTCCTGGCATGATTGGAGATTGATATTGCGTCTTTTGTTTTTATTCTTTGGTAGATATGGAGAAGATTGGTAGTGGATAGGCTGCTGTATGACTTCTATATGTATAGACAAGATCCGGTGCTGGTATGAATTGAATCAGTGTGGGAACGAAAGGTTTCAGAACTTATATCCTTCTGCAGGGAACCCTCCCTCGGTTTCCATCACGGCCGAACAAGTAATCAAAAAAATCTTCCCGAGGAACGATCGATCTGTCGTAGGGCTGGCTGTTGCATGCTCCGCTTCACGATGGTGCTCTATCTCCGAGATATCTCCCCAGCACTTCATCCGATCAGGGTCTCGGCCGACCCGACGATCTTGCCCGTGATCTACCCACATTATGACGTTGCGCTGGTCAGGGATCATCCCGAAATAGCAGTACATCGACGAAAACATCTCTCACAAATTTGAGGAATAGGCCCGAGTGTGTTTGGCCGAACGATGATGTTATTGTTGGAGGGGAAACGGTCGTCGCACCTTGTATGCATGAAAGGTTGGTAGGTCAAGCCGTCCCCCTCTCTTTTGTGTAATGATTGGGTGACTTTTCTCTGTGCCTACATCACCTTTCTTAGAAAGATATTGGCTGGAAGTTTTTCGATTTTGTCTTCCGCGGGAACAGCTCAGAGCCCTCCTATTGAGAGGACTGTTTTGTTATAGATGGTCTTCTCGTTCTACCTTCTGATGTCTGTTATGGTGTGCATGGTCCGCATCCGCCTGCCTCTTGGGAAAACAAGTTAAATTCGCATAATATAATGCTTGAGGCAACTAGTTCATGAATCGAATCGTGACATCGAAATTATGAATGACATGAATCTTCCAATTACTGAATTAAGTCTCGTGGTACATCTATGGATATGTGCGAAAAGTCAACCCTCTAACTCCATTATAGCAATCTACTAAACTGCTTTCTTAGCTGCAGCGTAGCCATCCCATTCTTTCCGTGTTTTCAACAACGCCACCAATTCTTCATCCCTTTGCTTCGCGAGATCCTGATAAGTGCGTCCGTCCACCGCTTCAAGAGTTCCTCTGACCCACTTTTCCCTCAATGCCTCGTCAACAACCGGATCTTTCCTCGCATACCAACTCATCAGTGGACCCAACAAGTGTTGGCTCATATGTTCAATTCCACCTGGTCCTCCCGCTAAATGAAATAGCGCACTAGGGCCCATGACGCCCCATCTTAAGCCAGGACCATAGGACATGGCGTCGTCGATATCCTTGACGGTGCAGATATCCTCTGAGATTAGATGCATCATCTCACGTGCGAGTGCGGATTGTAGTCTGTTTGCGACGTGGCCCACGACCTCTTTTTGGATGTGAATGGGTTTCCGGCCGGCTTTAGAGTAGAACTCCATGGCTTTTGCGATGACCTCTGGCGCTGTTGCTGATCCACCAACCACTTCCACCAGGGGTATCATATGAGGTGGATTGAATGGATGTCCAACTACGCATCGCTCCGGATGCGAGCCAGGTGCCATACCTTCCTGTATGGAGGAGCATGTCAGCCCGGAAGATGACGTCGCAAGAATAGTGTCTGGCCTGACGATGGCGGCAATGTCGCTGAAAAGCTGTTGCTTGAAGTCGAGCTTCTCTGGTCCGTTTTCTTGGACGAAGTCTGCACCTTCGAGTGCTTCGTTCAGGTTGGTTGTGAATTTGATGTCTTCTGCTTTGGCGGTTGAAGACTCGCTCATCTCACCGAGGGCGACTAAGGTGGGTAGAGCTTCGTTGACGAAAGTTCGCACAAAGGATTCGGCAGCTGCGTTGATGTCGAAGGCTGTTACAGAGAAGCCGTGTGCGAGAAACAGCGCAGCCCATGAGGCTCCAATGGAACCGCAACCGATGATTGTGACTTTTTGTGTAGACATTGTTGATATTGCGTGTATGGTTGTCAAATCGATAGTGAGATGTTGGTGTAATCTATTTGACCAAAGTATAGAAAGGGCGTTATTTGATTGTAATAATGAGGCTTAAGTATGGTCATAACATTTGCGAAATATCTCGCAATTTAAATCTCTTCCCCCTACATAGCCAGAGTCTAAAGAGGACGCAGGCTCGGACCCGAAGAGCCCGCGTACGATGTAGAGATACATGGGTGCTAGGATCATTGGCGAAGGGTGAAAGAAAAAATAAATCCGTTCGGCCATTCTCTTACTTGGAACACAGAGGGCTAGTAAAGATGTCAGCCCTATACAGTATCAGTTTGTAGAAAAGCGGGCTCTTCCACGTGTGGGATTCCGCGAGGCCATGCTGGGTCGGGCCGGTGAAGATCGGATGACGACTTTTCGACCGAACGATCACCGACGATCGTATATGCTTGTCACCTCGGCCGAATACAGATTCTGTTTCAAATGTCTCTGGAACATGAAGAATTTGTGACCTTAGGCCGAGGAAATTGCGTCGATTATTGACTTTCAAGGATGAAGATTTTATAATCCTAGACCGAGGACGTTGCGGATCGTGGAGCAGAGAAATATATAAACCGATAGGTAGCAATGCTACTCTATCCAATTCAATTCGCACACATCATCACACTCACATCTTTTCATCTCCCATCAAACATTCAAGTAATATCATTGAATATTTACACAACACAATCCAATAAGCCTCTGCATTCTCACGACATGGCTGCACCCCATGATACCGTTGCCGATGTTTATGGACCAGGCACGTATACCGATAGAGACTTCAAGCCTGTACCACAGGAGACTGAGCGCATATTTCGCATGATCGCATCAGAGACTCCAGGCTTCACCAAAGATGAGACTCTACTTTCGAAAGTCAAGTTCGAAGGCGAAGAGTATCCAGTCATACCCGGTCCTATCAAAGCTATCTCAGTGGCTTCCGCTCTTCATGCTATGACCGGTGTACTAGCCGACGAAATCCTAGCCATTCGCGGACATGCATCTCAAGAGCGCTCCATCACAGTCAACACCACCCATGTCGGATTCTGGCTAGGATCCATCGCGTTGGCCTACGTCGGAGGCGAAGACGTTCTTACTCTCATCAGCCAGAAGAAGTTGGGCGCTTTATATCCAGACTTTGAGCAGGGCTGGAACGATACACCTCTCAAGTACAGAACAACGGCGCTATATCCCACCAAAAACCCAGAGGTCTGGTATTCTCTCCACGGCTCTCTGGACAACGCTGCCACTCTCAAAAGCCTTGGCGTAGATCTCGCACAGCCTCTAAAGTCAAACGAGGAAGCATATGAGTTCCTCTCGTCAGTCACACAGAAGATGTCGCCAGAGGAACTTGAATTCCACAATATCCGAAACGGCTTGTGCGGAAGTATCTGCTTTACACCCGAAGCATGGAACACCAGTAATATGGGTCAATCGTTAGCCCGGCATCCTCTGGTCAACGTCAAGGCCCAACCTCAAGCTGTCCCCACACCCCCGGTTTCTTTCCCTCCACTGAACCCCTCCGACAAGAGGCCTCTAGCGGGCATCAAAGTCGTCGAGATGACCCGAGTGATTGCGGGACCCCAGATCGGTACGATCCTCGCAGCCTACGGCGCCGACGTGATCCGTATCAGCCCACCTCACCTCCGAGACATCAACGTATTGCAATTGACTTTGAATGCCGGAAAACGCACAATTGGCATCGACCTTCGCAAGAAAGAAGACCACGAAATCCTACTCAACCTGGTCAAAGACGCCGATGTATTCATCCAGGGCTTCCGTCAAGGCAAGATGGCCAAGTACGGTCTTGGAGTTGATGATCTATTGCAGATGGCCGCAAAGCGTGAACGCGGCATTGTATACGTCAGTGAGAACTGCTATGGTCCGGACGGGTACTACGCGGAACGTGCCGGATGGCAACAGATTGCCGACGCAGCGGCGGGATCTGCCTATGTCACTGGACGCTCACTGAACTTGCCGAACAACGAGGCTGTCTTGCCATCTCTTCCAATCTCCGACATGACCACCGGTCTTCTGGGAGCTGTAGACGCTATGCTTGCATTGAAGCGAAGAGCTACGGAAGGTGGCAGCTATGTCACTCATGCTGCTTTGACAGCTGTAAACACATATGCTTTAAAGCCCGAAGTCGGTCTTTACCCACGAGACGTTGTTGAGAAAACAGCGCAGAAGTTCCAATTTGGTGAGATGAGGGGTGCACACCACGTGCTGGACTTGCTCGTGACTGTATGGGAGGGCTGGAACAGGGTCTTCGGTGGATCTTATCTCAAGGAAAACAGTGGGTGGTACCAAAGCTTTGAGAAGAGTGCTTTCCAGGGCCAACGACTGAGCATTCTCAAGCCGGTTGTACAACTGAGTGACTCGGATTGTACTCCTGCCTGGAAGACACCTAGTGTACCCTACTGTGCTAGCGAGAAAACGGCGACCAAGTTCTTGTGATTGGGATTACATCTTTTTACTTTCTAATAGTCAAGATTTATTGTAATTAGCGTATTTTTGGATATTTTTGGAATCATTCAAACTGAACTTTATGTTATATGTAATCACTTGATTTTTCCTTGTTCAGATTTGGCTTGCAACTAGGGGATAAGCGACAAATCAACGAACGGGTGATGTACGAAGAATGACCTTCCTGGTTTCGAAGGCTTGTGATGTCCAATTGAAGTAAGTTCGCGGCAATATATCTGTCATTTGGTAATATCACGATGATTCGAGGTTATTACGATTATAAATAGTCAACTGTGTGCTGCACAGCTGTCGTCACGTCCATACAAAACATCAAAACAACTAGTAGAATGGTTGATGAACATCAACTCCTGGAAGGCCGACTATTCTCGATACGCTCAGAGGCTACTGGCTTTGTCATCTCTTGCGACGCCTATTTACATTGGTAAAACAACCCTTAACCTGCCCAAGTTTTGTGCGTGTTGTCTGGCAAAAATGTTCAACATCTGTACGCAGAGTTCAGTCTTCGCTGTGTCTGTTCTTGTGAGAATTGATACGTATTGTCCTCCGCTGGCTTAGCATTGCCTTCCCTTTTCCATGTGCTCACGAATTTTGTTTCAAGATATCAGCATTCCAGGGTTACAATGTTGCTATCGTCTTCTCTATTCCAAACTCGATTTGGATAGTTAGGTTGTAGTGTTGAGGTCGTCGGACCCAATCCGCACTCTGCTATCTCGATAACGATTTACTGGGTTCGTGATCAATACGCCCTGCCTAGAGCTGAAAGGCAGCTTTATCTTGGAATTTTACATCAAGTGTTCGTACCGCATATAAATGCGATGATTGAAGAACTGGTAAGTACTAGGCACATCAATAAATCATCGCAAATCCATGTGGCACAAGCTAAGTCTATGATTTAATCATCGCATACTCCATGCGGCAATGCGGCACAAACACTTGGAGAACTGGCAAGTATTATTTTCTACTCACAACTAGGTACCACGAGATTGCTTTTCCTTTTCGATACTTTGCGGAGCTGGAGTAGCGCCGAAGTCGGACCTGCCCATGATTATTCCAATTTTCTCCTGACGAGACACATCTAGCGGGAAATAATAATCATCGCTTTTTCAACGTCGCGCGATGCTAACCCATCTGAGCTTGTTAGCGCGATCGTGTTCCAGTGTTTTGGCCTAAAGAGCTCATAGTAACACCGTGCGAGGGCGAAAAAAAAAACCCTTCGCTCGCGGAACAGTCGCCACAAACTACAATGCTGTGGAGACTAGCGGATAACGTGCTTTTGGCTTCGATGTCCTGCTCTGCAGATATTTTTCGATTCGACAATCAATTGGTTATATGTCCCTGGGTCGTGTGGATATTTTGAGCTGTCGTTTGCATATTTCTTGGTCGTCAACTACATGAGTGGACTCTGAACTGCTAGTTCTCCACGTCGAATACTTTTCCAGGGAGATGTCGCAGGCTGTCGATGACCACTACAAGGGAGGTGACTTCTATGGAAACCCTGCCCATGAGTATCCGCAGGACGATGAACCAGACGTTCGTTCTGAACACTCCAAAGATGGCTATGGGGCTACGCAACGCCGTCTGCGGAGCTACCATATCATGATGATAGGCATCTCCAGTGGCATTGGTACAGGTTTATTCATTGGAACAGGATCAGCGTATGCGACGTCTGGCCCTGCAGGTCTACTGCTAGCTTACATCGTTGTCGGCTTCGTGCTTTGGTGTGTTATGCAAAGTATTGGAGAACTTGCTACCCTGGTATGATATCACATTTTCATGTTGGATGAATGGTGTCCTGACTTCAAACAGTTCCCAGTTGCTGGGTCGTTTCCGCATTTTGCTACGCGTTTCATAGACCCTGCCGTCGGATTCTCCTTGGCCATATCTTATGGATACTGCTACACGATTTCTATCGCAGCTGAATGCTCGGCGTCTGCTGTTTTGGTTTCTTACTGGAGCGACATAACCCCCGCGGTTGCAATCACGGTCTCCTTGGTTCTCATCCTGGTCATCAACCTCCTGAGCGTCGAGATTTTCGGCGAATCCGAGGTCGTTGGCGGAACGATCAAAGTTGTTTGCTTCTTCGTTTGCGTCGTGACGGCTATCGTCATTACTGCTGGAGGCGGTCCAAAAGGCGAGGCGATTGGCTTTCGCTACTGGAAGGATCCGGGCGCCTGGTATGACTACAACGGAATCCCTGGATCATCTGGACACTTCTTGGGATTCGTCTCTGCTTTCGTCAACGCTTCTTTCTCCTTCATCGGCGTTGAGACAGTCGCGATCGCCGCTGCAGAATCTGTGGACCCCCATCGCGCAATTCCGAAGGCTACGAGCCGCGTCACGTACCGTATTGGATTTTTCTACATTTTGGGAGCCTTCCTCATCGGCTTGATTGTGGACCCGCGAAACGAGGGCCTTGTTTCCGATTCGGGTAATGCGAACAGCTCGCCGTGGGTTATTGCTATCAAACAAGCAGGAATCTCCGTTTTGCCCTCCATTATCAACGCAGGCATTCTTGTCTCAGCATGGTCCGCGGGCAACTCGTACTGCTGGGTTGGTGCTCGAATGATTTTCGCTATGACCACTGATGGTCAGTTGCCACAGTTCTTCGCGAAAACGTCCAAAAACGGAGTTCCCTATGTTGCCGTCATCGTATCTTGGCTATTTGGCCCACTGGCGTATCTGAGTCTGGGATCCGGAGGTGCATCGCAGGCGTTCAATTGGCTTATAAACGTGAGCACTGTTGCTGGTCTCATCGCCTGGGGAACGTTATGTCTCTGCTCCATTCGATTTCGTAGCGCTATGAAAGCCCAAGGAATTAGTACGGATACGATCCCTTGGACAGCTCCGTTCCAACCATACACTGCCTGGGTGGGCTTCATTGGATCCGTCATTATCACTTTGGTGCAGGGCTTTCCCGTGTTTTTGAAAGGGAGCTGGAGTACGCCAGACTTTATTGCTTCATACATTGGAATTCCGCTCTTTATACTGCCAATAGTTGGATGGAAAGTCTGGTACAAGAGTCCTGTAAGTGCCTCACCCCAAAATCACAATGATCAATGCTAATACTACATAGTGGAGTCGTTCGGATACCGTGGATCTATGGACTGGTCGTCTAGAGGATAATAGATTAATTGCTTGAAGGAGATTTGAACGTGGACTTTCTATCATGCAGCTATGACTCAAATTACAATCTCTGGAATACTGGTTCTTGCAGTCCGAAGGTATGGAGGGTTAGTCATAACTTCGATCTTGCGGGTACGGCGGACTTCCCTGGCTTTGTCGCCCAGATAGCGCTTGGAGCGGAAGCTAAGACGCGGAAGGACATATGATTAGCCGCCGTTATAAAAGAAAGAATTCGTTCCAGATGAGACAAGTTCCCTTCTCACTTACCTCCAGCTGATGTTGGCTTGGACAACGTTTTGGATACCTTCAACGTAGCGGTTGACTTGCACGTCGACCTCAGCACCCCAGCTAGGGAGACATTGTATCGCCTGATCCCATTGTATGTAGCGCTGCTCGAGCATAGCGCCCACCGTATCGAAAGCTTCTTGAGGAGACTTTCCGGCCAAACGACAAGCAGCGATCATGTTGAAAGGGCAGTCCTCACCCTGAGAGGGGGAATGGTTAGAAATAGATTAGGCATCATTGAACGTGGTCAAACCCGCAAAATTCGAGTATTGAATCGCACAGAATTTTTGGTCTCGGCTTACCTCTTCTTTGCGGTATGAGAGAATGTCGTTGGAACTGTTATGTAACACAGTCAGAATTTGAGACTAATTAGAGTGAAGTGTCGATGGGACGGAGCAATTACAGAATCACAAAATCGGCTCCGAGGCGCTCCAGCGTCTGAATAACAGGATCCTCAAAGACCTCGTCCGGAAGCTGAAGATCATGAGCGTACTCGATCAAGTGGTAGAGTGGTACGACACCAACGGAAAGCTGTCTTGTCTGCAGCATCTCTTCCAGAGATGGCGTGTGATTGGAAGTAAAATGCTCGACGTGGTCTGCAACGCCTAGCGTGTAATGCCGCATGGCACGAGCAAATCGCCTTTGGGTCCCGAAGGAGGAGGCTTCTCGAAGCCTCCTGTATATATCATCGTGCGCTTTGACAATTGGGAGTTTATGTCCAATGAATTGATTTCCCATCATGTCAGCCATGAGGCTATCGAGTACGAGTTTAGATGCGAGGAGATCAGTTCTCAGGTAGCCAGAATCGAACACTGTTAAATAAAATAGTGTCAGTAAAAGAAATCAAGCTCAACTAGAGGAGGAAATGCTTAATATGATATTTAATCGATGGGAAGTTTACGGTCATCATAGGGAAACACCCAATTGCCCCAGTCACACAAAGTCTTCAATCTCTCTGGGGGAGCGTCGGGCGCTGCTATAGAGATGAACCATGAGAAGTCGCATGCGTCAATCTTCTTGCGCATACTAGGTAGGAAGCCACACATTCTGATGAACATCATTAATAAAGAGATTTCCCCCTGCATTAAGCAGCTAACACAGAAATGCATACCGCGCAAGCCATTCTTCCGACTCTACTTTTACTGATTGGTATTGGTCGTTGGCCTTTGGTTCCTGAACCAGAAAGCACCTAAACATGTCGGGAAGAGTTACAACGGTCGTATCCTTCATGATTGCGGATGCAAGACTCTCAGCATTGAGAAGGCTGGATTCAATAGCAACCTAGATGGAATGGTTGGCAAGAATGAAGGCATGAGTGTTATGATAAATGAGCTCAAGCTTTCGGAAGCTATATCATGACCACATCTGTGGCGCGTGTTGGCTGATAGGTAGATAGGCATGGGCGCGAATCACCATGTCAAGCCTTCGAAAACAAGAACGATCGAAACGAACCACACGCCTGTTTTCGGGCAGGAGAACGAGCACAAGCATAGGCGAGACACGTGCATATCGAGGAATCTAGGATGCACACAAGATACATCAAGGCTACCCAATCAAATACGGGATTCACTGTAGATCCGTAAGTATCCGATCTGGGCGATTGATTTCACTCCACCCGATCGATGTCTCTAACCTGAACAGGCAGCAAGAGGTAGATATTAATTCCTAGAGCCGGTAATCAAATATAAAGTCCCACTTTGGGGGGTGAATACGATGTGTGGAACGCGAAAGCTAGCTTTGAACGGGAAAAAAACTGCTCGGCCAAGATGGGATAATAAGCCGCCCCAATGCACTACGTGTAGTACTTCGTATTATATTTCCGTCCGTGGACGAACGGCACATAAACGGATTTAACGCCATCAAAGAAAGAAAAGAGCACTACGAATCTCTATAAGCAGGATGACAAGTCACAGCACTGCAGCTAGTCAGCCACATAAGTGGACTACGAGCACTGCTTCCTGTTGGGCTCGGGGTGTACAGTAGTAGCACGAGGGGGGGACTGTATACCCCAGTTGGCGAAGTAGACGTCTACACGCGGGAGATTTGTCATGGAATTCACCTGCCAGCATACAAAATCATCAAAAGCTTCCGATGTATTTCGGATACCGAGTCTTTACGATTTGGGAAAGAGCATCGGCGCTTACTCGTCACATGACGGAGAGCTCATGGAGGCCTGAACTTTAGAAGAATGCAGCTCATTCTGACCCGCATTCCAACAAGCCTTGAATGATCTAACCCCGCACGCACTTTCTATCGTCATTGCGGACTTCGGCTCATTCATAGTGCGGCAATTTCGAATTTTTGAAGAGAAAACTTGCCTGCTCAACTTGCGCAAGCCACTGTATCCGATTGCTCCTGGGTTTCCAGTATATCTGTACATTATATGACGTTATCTTAGCGCATAGAACTGTAGAAATTCGCCACTACCCAAGGATAATGGACAGTTTCAAAAGCTCTGACCCGGAAAATGGGGACCTCCGCACTGTTGGAAATTACTCTTTTCACTGGACCAAGAATCACACTCCAAAAGAAAAGACAGATCCTCTTCGGTTCGAATACGACGAACTCGGACATGCTGCTGTTAAGAAGATTCAAGAGATCCACCAGCGCGAGCAGGAGACCCGTAAACGACGGGGACAAGAGCCGGCTAAACTAGACATGTACACAACACTGAAAACCAACCAGCAGCACGACGAAACACTACAAAAGCTTTGGGAGGAGGTGAACACAGTACCTGAATGGGTTGACTGGCAACAGCTCGAACGCGGACAGCACTTTTTCTACCGCTACGCGCTGGGCAACATCATTGGCTTCGCGTTCCAAGGATTCGTCGGCGAAAACTCTGGTTCCACAAGTGTCGTCGAAGTGCTACTGCGTACCGGAGGCTTCAGCACACGATCTTTACGAAGAAGACTGCTAGAGACGTTCCAACTCGTGCTCGAAGTGACCCATTCACTCGACTTCATCAAACCAGGCGGCAAGGGCCACGAAACGACTGTACGCGTCAGACTCCTGCATTCAATGGTACGACAGCGCATGCTGCGCGTGGCAGAAGTCAAAGGCCCTTCCTACTTTGACACTGCCGTCCATGGAGTTCCTCTGAACATACTCGACTCGATCCACTCCATCACCACCTTCAGCTGTAACCACGCATGGTACCAACTATCTCATATGGGTGTGCACCCACCACAGAACGAGGTTGAAGATTACATCGCGCTCTGGAGGTATATCGCGTACGTCATTGGCACGCCCCCTGGATACTTCGCAACAGCAACCAAGGCGAAAGCCATTATGGAATCACTCAGTTACAACGAATTATCCATAACACCATCGTCGCTCATAGTCAGGCACAACTTCGTCGAAGCCCTTAAAGATCTCCCACCTATGAACATCTCAAGCGGATTCATTGAAGCCGCTAGTCGCTGTCTCAACGGCGACGTGCTCTGCGATCAGCTCGGCATGGGAAAGCCGGGCTGGTATCCCTATGCGTGTTTCAAGGGCCACTGCTGGCTTGTTGTCGCACTTGCAACGTTACAGCATTGGGTCCCCTCTTTTGAGAACTGGTCGATCGAGTTTTATCGTAAGAATCTGCATAGTGCTATCATTCACTCCAAGTATGGTCTTCAGGGTGGTTCACTGCTGGATTTCAAGTATGTTCCGGATGGCGGTATTACTGGACGCGAAAAGAATGACCGCCCGAATGGCGATAGTATGTGGTTTTATGAACGTCCGCTCGAGTTTCTTTATTTTCTAGTCTTCTGCATCGGATGTATGTCTATTATAGGAAGCACTATCGTTGTAGCATGGCTTTTGTGGGTTTTTGTTGTTAAGAGCATGATTATTGTGGGCGTCTAAGTGGCGTATGAGGATGTCGCCTGTGAGTGTAAGTTTCTGCCCAGTGTAGAGTATGATCAGAAAAAATGAATTTGCACTTGAACGGACCAGAGAATTCATATGTGTAGATTAATTCCGTTCTGAATGTGTGATAACAAGTAAAAGCAGCAATAATCTGCTGTACTATCTAAGGATCGAGCACATTACTCAGGAAGGACCAGCCAGGGCGCGAAAGCAATTAAGTCACCAAAAGAGTGAATCAGATTGAAAGAATCCATTATCAACCATCCAGAGTTGATAGTAAGCTGAGGACATCCCGAGGGCGTGATTTGGGATGCAGCTGCAAGGAAGGTGCGCATAAGAAATGCTTGGAATGATCAACACCAATGATCCCCAGAAAATTCACATGCGGGGAATCAGATAACCATCGATCCTTACCACTACTATTCATAGTGCATGAATTGACCAAGACTAGACTGCTGTCCTCTTGCCCGAAGCTTCGACCTCATCAACACTCCAATCCCTATCAACAAATATCGCATTTCCTGCAGTTGAGCCATTTCTCATCGCGACGGGACTCTCCGGGTCCTTAGAACTGCCACCGTAGGTGCTGTAGGTAGACTTTGCCATTCCTTTCTCGACGATCTTGCTGCCATTAGCTGATGACGTAGGGGTGCGAACGAACTGATCGCGAAGAAGGCGTTGATGTCCGTCAGCACCGTCGTACCCAATCGAGTTGTCGCGCGTGACCAAACCAGCCCAGATGGCGGAAAGAGGCAGGAAAATGCAGATGATGGTGTAGCTTTGAGATGCTAGCTCGGGGACGTCGTCGTAGAATTGAAGAGAAGTGAAAATTGCTGATTTCTCCACGTTAGAATTTATGTAGAGTCTACGGAGGGATGGTGTCGGGCTTACCTGGTACAATCATTGTCTGGCAACCCATGATGAAGATGATTTGCATGGGACCAAACTGAGTCATGTTCATGCGCTTGCGCTGTAGGATAGCCTGGCCGAGCTTGAATGTAAAGACGCACGAATAGACCCAAACAGCAACTGCTTGTGTGATATGCATGTGCATAGTGAGGTCGATGTACTCAATCATGGTTTCCTGTTGTAAGGTCTGGATGTTGCCGATGACGGAGACGGCGAAACGGAATCCGATGGCAACAAGGGCAACGGCAGTAGTGCCGCCCATGATGACCCATTTGTGCATTGGCTTCAGTGTGACGCAGACAACCCAAACTTGAAGACTGAGAGATATCATGATGAGGATGACCAAGATCAGGAGGACTGTGTTAGATGCGACCGTGGTTCCATAGTTGGTACTGGTTACGCGCGAGTAGTCGTTCGAGACAACGGTATATGGGTTGTAGAACTCCGTTGTAAGCCAGATGCACTGAAGGATAGATCGAATCGTGTTCGCAATCAGACAGAGGGCGTTGATGACGAAGATCAACGACTTGCGTTTCTCGCGCTTGGTAAGAAGAAGCAGAACGAGAAGAAGAATGATGGAGGCTCCAATCTGGGAGGCCCAGTTGATAGCGACACGAATTCCCCACTCCCGCATGAAGTTAATCTCTCCCATGTTGGTGATGAATTGCTCGCCATCAGGACCGATCAAAGTGAAGTTTTGAGTCCATCGGTCGAAGTTGGGATCAACTAAAGACTCCGCCATGGCTTGCCGGGTCTAATCCGCGACGAGGAGTGGAAGATTGGATGGTTGAACTGCAAGAGAACGCGCGGTGTAAAACCACGTGCTGTTTGAAATCTTGATGGGAACAAAGGATGGGATGGATGGCGTCGGTCTCGGGGGATAAGGTTGAAACTCGAGAGAAGTACACCGGGTGGTTGATTCAGTAGGAATTTGGGAGGCAGAAGTTGATTAAAAGGAGAATATTTGAAGGAGAGGCTGCGAAAAGAGATATCTACTCGAAATAATTAGACAATATCTATACCTACAATACTATGTGCTCCAAAGTTTGGCGGTGGGGATATTGGGTAGTCAGGGGAAGAACAATACTAAGAAGGTGGCCAAGCTTAGCGACAGGGAATTCACCTAGAACTCAGCGTTTCCTTCGAGGTGATGGAAACAACTTGTGAGACACGGCTTTCTTAGTATTGTTCTTCTGACAGTCAAGGTCGGCCATCACTAAAACAGGCCCACCATAGTTAGCGATAGGATGAGGATGCCTCCCGCGAAATAATAAATTGGCTTGGTCCAATTCAGGTTGCCAACGATTCATACTTGATAGCCTAGAACTGAATCCTCAAAATCCTGGGGGTTCGCCGCTTTCAGACTGCTCATGCTGAGGGTGTGGTTAGCGAGATCCTTAGTATTGTTCTTCATGTAGTGAAGTCTAACCAGCGAGATGGCATGGTTTGATTCGCCCACATCGCCCACCCACCGATTGAGATTCTCCAGCCCAGCGCAGATCAATATATAGGCTACAAATAACGCGTGTATGACCCATATGAATAGTCGGATAGGATGAAGAAAATAAAAGCAATGGTGAACGATGCTGTGGTGGCAAGTAAGAGACGCTGTTCACTATACCTAATAGGGACTAGCGTCTCCTACCCATTTGGTCCTGCCCTCATAGAGATGGAAGCCACGCGCGAAACTCAACGACACGACAACTTTCGCCACAACGCGTCAATCGAGGTCACCAGACAAGATGGCTTGGTTTCTCGTTCACCAAGATGCTGAAAACCATGAAAAAAGCAAATATCCCCTGCAGGCAGGCCAGAAGTTGTTCCTCGCGCGAACCTCAGACGGATGGTCCCTAACTCCGACAGCTAAAGAGCCCGTTCTGGGGTCGATCAGTGAGTCCGAGTCGCGACTTAGGAATGAATCACGAGAAAACCTGACAATCAAACAGCAATGCAGTCTTCAGGTGTAGTAGTTCTTGAAGCGGTACTCGAGCCTTTGGAGATTCTACCGTATCATCAGCATCATCTACCAAGTAAAGGCAGTCCTGTTAAACCTTCACTTGAAGGTTATATACTGCAACCATCTACGCAAAAACGATCTGAAGTAATGCTTCTACGCGAGAAAGATACTATCAAGTCTTCCCATGTTCCGAATTTTCATCTTGTTTTGGCCCGAGGAAACCCAACGCAGGTTCAAGTTAGTTCGTCTGTGTCCCAGATTCCGGATTCCGAAGAAGTTCGGAACGAGAACAACGATGCTGGAGAAGCAACTGAAGATGACGAAGAAGATCTCGATACGACAATCAAAGTTGCCCAATCAATTTCTCGTTCCACACCACTTCCGTCTGCTGCTCGAACCGAAGTAGTGCAGGAAACGCCGACAGCAGATCGCAGCCTGTTCGGACCCCACCCCGCCGAAACCTTCTCAACTGCTCCCACGAAACCTGAGGATGACAGCATGGAAGACCAAGAGACTCCTGATGGTAGAGAGAAGACCCTGGTACGTTTCAACCAATTACTCGCCGTTAAGCATGAAGTAATGTAGTATACATTATGGCAACTTCAGCTTCAAGTCCTGCTGTACCAAACTTTTACTAACTTCACCCTCCAGTCCCAAGCCATAGACGACGTATTGCAACCTCATCACCGCAACCCCAAAACAGAGCTTCCTACCAAAAGAACCAAACCAACCCCATCCCACACCGACGAATGGGAAGTCCCTTCCCCACCCCCCAAACGCGCCAAAACAAAATCAACCCCAACTCCCATCCCGTCAACCACCAAACGCAAAAAGCGCGGCCCAGATCCTCCCTCCCCTCCCCAAGAAACCCCTCCACCAACAACCACCCACTCCCCATCATCTACCTCCCCCCAACACGCCCTAGAAAACCCCCGCGTAGCCTTCAGCAACTCATCCATAACGCCCACGGGCCAACTCGCAAAATTCCTAAAACGCCACGGCGGAACCATAGCAGACAGCATAACCCCCTTCTGCACAGTGCTCTGCATCAAATCCGGCGTCCTAGTCAGAACGCCCAAACTCCTGCACTCCATCGCTCTCGGCATCCCAATCGTCACAGACGCATGGCTCGTGGATTCCACCACCGAAGGGCACTTCCTCCCGCTGGAGGACTACAAACCCCTCTGCGAGAAACAAGAACAAGACTGGGGGTTCGATATTGAAAAGATCTGGGGCGTACCGCAAGATTCACTCTTCGCGGAGTATACTATCGTGTTCACGCCTGCGCTGAAAGCGAAGTACAAGGTTTTCACCGAGATCGAGAACGTTTGTAGAGCCGCTGGTGCTGCGAAGGTCCTTGTCAAGGTCCCTGGGACGAAGGAGGAGAGCGATCCCAAGGGAACGATTGTACTTGCTGTTGGTACAGAGGACACGAAGGCTTTCAAGGGTAGGATGTTTGATAAGGAGTTTTTGCCGCGGGCGATTTTGAGGGGCAGGGTTGAGGTTGAGAGTGAGGAGTTTAGGATTGTGAGGGAGGAGGATGATGATGGTGACGATGGTGGTGGACAGGAAGAAGACGTAGAGGAGGGAATTGTGGTGGCTACAAAGAAAAAGATTGCGGGCGGTGGATCCGCGAAGAAGAAGAAGAATGGGAAGGGGAAGAAGGGTTAGTGGAGTCAGATGCACTCCCTGTTTTTTGAGTAGGGGGAGAAAGGCGACGAAGGGGTTCGATTGCGCGATGATCTGTCATGTGTCGCGCTTCTATCCTACTGTGTCTACTATATTTCTCTGTCTCTCATACATGTAAGTATATCTATCACGAATGGTTCGATAAAGATATTTGGGGAACGAACAATGGCCACTACAGATGATGATCTCATAGCCTCGACTGCTACACATGAATTACACAAAAACAGTGTAGGAATGAAGTGTATCATTACCAAGACATTCCAATTGGCTTACTATAGACGTCAGGATTGATCCCTTCAGGTACATCATCACATCTAGCTGAGTAGTTGTTTGATCTCATATTGGTATTGATACACATACAAATGTCAGTTCTACAAGCACATTTATGAACATACAACAACTGCCCTCCCTCCCGTGCAGGGAAAACAAAAGTTATAATACATTTCTATTCCCTTCTTACACCTTCACCCCTCGACAATGCAATCAAGCCGTGGCTTCAGCTTGCTTCTTCGCAAACGGATTCAACTTCGATACCATGCCCATCACGCCCGTCTTCTGATTCGTCGCCCGGGAAACCTTCCTGGATTTTAAAACTCGCTCCCTGCTGTACCCGAGGTCACCCATCAGGTTCTCGACTTCGTCGTATACGGCAGCATCGAACTCGGTGCGGTTCAAGAGTGCTACGCTTTGCCTCACGCCGTTGACGGGGAGAGTGTCCATCAGGACGGGGCGTGGCCAAGAGTGGACGTACTCGAGGTCGCGCAAGTCAGCCCATTGCACTGATACACCATGGAGACTGAAGGGCTGCGGAGGTTGCTCTTTGAGATCCTTGGGCAGAATGGTACGATGTATGTAGTGCGTGCGGTTTTCAAGGGCATTCTTTGCTTCAAACGACGCGGCTAACCTCTTGAACTCGCTGCGGTATTCGGCGAGTATTTTGCGATTATGCTCACGCTGCTCGGTAGTGATTTCAGGGTCCGCTATTTCGGTTCTGAGTTCGTCCATCTCTTGTTCCACAGTGGATAAGCGTTGTTCGGAGCCGGCTTCGTTGGCGAGGGTGGCTTGTTCGGTAAGCTTTGATTCGAGTTCGGCGAGTTGTTTGGCTTTGCGCTGCGCATATTCGATGTTGCGAATGCGATTTTCGTGGCTAGCCTTCGCAGTTTGGAGGCGACGTTGATTGCCTTCGTCTTGGTTATGTTTGAGACCCATCTGCCAGGTCAGGTTATTGATTTGTGTTGTGAGCCACTTGATGTCATCGCCGTCTCTCTTGTTTTGCGCTGTTGAGAGGGTGGCCAGCTCTTTAATCTGGTCCCATTTATGCTGCAATATGCCGGTCGTCTTCTCTTCCTGAACTCGAAGAGTCGTCCTCATCAAACGCGCCTGAGTTGCCTGGTGTCTAAATACAGCAGCGAGATCGGCTACGCTGTTGGCTTCTTGGTTCATGATTTTTCTCATACGCTGGTCGCGCGGCAGCTTGAGCCAGCTCGGGTTAGTTTTGTGCCAGGCTGTCTCGTGAAGTTTCCGGTATTCACGCAGCTTGCGAAAAGCCTGATGACCCTGTTCGGGGGAAGGGAAGGTGGCTACGAAGTAAGGCACCCACTCGTCTGGGCGGAGCACTGCGGGTTTGGATTTCCTGCCCATGAAAGGAAGTTGGTCGAGGTGGTAGTGCTACCTTTTATCAGCCATACAAAAACAACGTACAAACAGATAGAAGATTCATACATCCAGCATTTCGGATAACGAATAAATGACCTGGTGGGTCTTGGCGTTACGGAAGACGTATATGATGCTGCCATGCGCGGCCTTGCCCTCGGGATCTACAATGTCTCCCAGCGACAGAGGCTTGGTGGGCAGCTTTACCCCCGGCCTCTTCCCAATTGGCTTTTTCCATCCTGGGTCGACGACGGTACGCACGGTGAGGGGGGTCCCGGGGTTGGAGAGTTGGTGGACATGCTTGGTGAGTTCTTCGGCGAGGAGTTGGGAGCGGTTGCGGCGGGAGGCAAGGGCGTGTGCCACGTTCACTTGCTTCTGCGGTTTAGGGGCCCTGAACCGCAGCCGCCCTAGAGTGCGCGGCATCGTGAGAAGGGAGGGGAATTGTCGATGGCGGGCAGGCAATTGGGGAGGTCGAGATGGAACGGCCGTCCGACGTTCGCAAAAGTTGTCGAGAAGGATGGACGAGGAGCACGGGCCACCTCCGCGGTCTTTCGGTTCGACTTCAATGGATAGAAGCGCGACAACCTCGACCGACTTCGTTTGTTGTGTTCGACCATATTCACGACATGCATGAAATTATTGGAGCTCAGAGCAGTCTGTTAGCCACCATGGTATGAGGACTTTCGAAACCACCTTTGCCGCTGATACCATTCCAATTCCAACCGCGTACTATGAGCTCGGAGGAGAGCTACAGCGAATAGTCAGACTCGCACCACGTCACTCCCACTTATATATACATGAATGAACCAAGAGTTTTTCACGTATATACAAGCAGCGATTCAAAATGACCGATTCAACGCCTCACGAGCGCCCTTGGCTGCTGCCCTACGTATGTCGCCGATCCCGGTGCTTCCAGCCATTATACCCTACATGTTCGTGCAAGTATTAAGTAAACACTGCAGAACCGCAAAATCAGGCATCTCCAGGGCATAACCATCCGCAATCTTACCATCACTCCCTTCCCCTCGCGTCCGCGCACCCGAACAATCGATGATGACGGCCTACCGAGCGCCCTCAGGTCGCCTACCAAAGCAATGGCTCAACGTGAGAATAAAAAGCTTGCCCATTCGAGGTCCTCGAGCGATCTGAAAAAGGTGGATGAAGCGTCGCGGCATAATAATGACGATGTTCCCACGCCTATATCGCCCCAGAGGTTGCAAAGGCCCGGCGCTGGCAAGTCTCTCCGCCGGAGAAGCACGCTGGAATGGACCGGAGCGAGCCCCTTGACCCGCCAGAGAAAGCTGGAGGACATCACGGGGAGTCGCATGGCTGATACTTTCTTCACCCTGCACGTCGAAAATCAGGAAGAGCCAGTGTACATTTCAGAAGTGGTGGACAAGGCTATGAACCCCAACTTCCGCTTCTTTGATCTTGCTTCATGCGGCCCCGGCGTCACCCGTCTTGACAAGCTTACGGTCAAAGTTTGGGCGAGGAATGAGGCCACCAAGAACTGGCAGTACTTAATTGACTTCACTGTGCAGTTGCGGTCGTTGCAATTCATTGGAAGAGCACTTGGTGGTTTCAAGCATCCTTTACCCCAGAACTGTATACTGTTTCACATGACAGACGGCATCTACACCAGCTTCACAGATATGCCTATGGCAGAGAAGCTGGCTACCAACGACCTGGCCCCCCCAAAGGAACATCCCGAAGGCATAGATCTGCCCAGCTCCTCTTACGATGCCTTGATGCGCCTAAACACTCTCGACGACTGTATCCAAGACGCTCTCGCTACGCGCGACCGACTCGCCGAAGAAATCGAAGAAATACTTCAAGCCAACCACAACGCTATTGGCACAGTCGAGCGCGTCCCCGAAGCCCAAGAACGTCTCAAAACCGTCGAAGCCGCTGTATCTGCCGAAAAGCGACGCGTGGACGCCGTCCGCCGCCGCCGCGACGACCTCCAAGCCACCATCCAAACCCGCCGCACTCTAATAGCCCAAGGCCAAACCCTCGAAACCCAACTCCAATCCTCCCTCCCCACCTCGCAAGAATCCCACAAAGCCCTCAAACAAACCACCGAAAAGCTCCAAGAAGACATCACCAACCAACGCCGCCGCATCTGCGAAGACCTCCAACGCATCTTTCCCATCGACCCGGCCGTCCCCCCCAAACCCCTCCTCTTCACCATCCGCGGTCTCACCCTCCCAAACTCAGCCTTCGACGACGCAGACGAAAACATCACCGCCGCAGCCCTCCACCACGTCGCGCAGATCGTCTCCCTCCTCTCCCCGTACCTCTCCGTCATCCTCCCGTACCCAATTACCCTCCACGGCTCAACATCCACAATCTCAGACCCCCTCGCCATCCACATCTCGTCCACCTCCTCCAACCCTTCGTCCCGCGACGCAGCGCGCACGTACCCCTTATTCATGAAAGGCGTAGTGCGGTATCGCTTCGAGTACGCTGTCTTCCTGCTCAACAAGAACATCGAGATCCTATCGAACGCGCTGGGCATCAGGCCAGTCGATATCAGACACACGCTGCCGAACCTCAAATACCTCCTCTTCGTCGCAACGGCCGGTAAAGGCGAACTCCCCGCGCGCAAGAGCGGCGGGATCAAAGGGTTGCTGAGGCAGGAGGGCGCGTGGAGCGGCAGCGCGAGTCGGAAGGGGAGTATGGATAGTGCGGTTAGTGGGAGTGATGCTGGGAGCGGGATCGTGGTGCCTTCGCTTGTTGGGAATGCCAAGGCTGCGGATGGGAAGGGTAGCGGTGAAGGCATGAAGGATGGCGAGGCGGCGCTGGGGAGAGCACACGTAAATGGCGGGTTGCAGCAGCATATGAGTTTTGCGAAGAGAGACGCTGTGTTGGGGAAGCATAAGGGGAGTGGGTTAGTATCGGCGACGGCGGGGAGTCGGTTGAGGGAGGTGGAGTAAGTAAGCAGCAGCATTGACGAATGCCGCCCTGCTTCTGTTCTCGTCTTTCTTCTCTCTACGTGTTTTTCTACATTGTGTACCTTGTATATTTTTGTTGTATCCGTCCGAGTTCGTGTATATATGTATGTAGCAAGTAAAACGCATGTTATTCCAATTGCTTCTCACCCCATATCATATGCAAAGTGTGTGCGTAGCCCTCGTGGATCCATCTTGACGCATGTGCTATTATTGCTCAAACGCGTGTTGTCTTATGAGTGAAAGGGCGGTCTCTCAATGTATAGAAGCGAGAGCACGAGATATGTTGTGGTTTTCAAGAGCCATGGCGATCGATGAGGTGTAGCACAGCACAGAACAGAGAAAACACGGCGGATTGCTCTAGGACTTAAGGGAAAGAGAGGGCAATGAATTCTGTTCGGTTGCGAGTAATAAACGGGTCGACTTTGTAGCCTAAGCTTTTCTCCTGGGGTTGAACCAACACAAATAGGCCCCTCAGCTAATCCACCCCGTATCACACACACACCCCCTAAAAAGACCAGAAAAAGAGAAGGAGATCAAAACAAAAGAAGAAGAAATCGAGATTTTGATCTGCAAAGAGAACAATTCGCGCCTCCAAAAAGCGCCCAGTACACACTACGAAGACGACCCGGCACCGCCACCACCACCAGCTACAGCACCGCCTGTAGCACCACTTCCGCTCTTCCACCCCAAACACGCACCGGCAGCTACAAGTTCACTCAAAACTCTCTGCTCAACACCCTCCCTCTCCTGCCCAGCATCAATAACGACCCTCTCCCTCAACGCCCCCTTCCTCGCCATCCACCCTTCGATATCTTCCTTCACGTTCTCACGATCCCACTCCAGCGCGGGAACATCACTAGCCTGGATGCCGAGCCTTGGTCCCTGAGCGCGGAAGTTATCCAGGATACTCGACAAAAGAGCAAGCGAGTGCGTCTCAGACGCAATAGAGAGCGTGATCTTGGTCGGGTAGCGGGAATTGAGGGCGTTGGAAGAGCGCTGGAGCTGCTCAGGGAATTGGTTGAGGAAGGAAGAGATCTCGCCCGCTATAGGAGCGCCAACGCTGAGGAGTAGATTGAGGCAAAGTGGGAGGATGCCTTTTGTCCAAATGGAGTGGAGGCGGTAGGGGGAGTCGAAGGGGCCCATGCCGTGGTTGCGGCGATAGTAGTTCATTAGGTTTGCCGTGTTGAGCTGGGAGAGAATGCCTTCAACTGCCATGGTTTCGGCGAGGGAGTGAAGGGAGGAGAGTGAGAGGATGAAGAGGAGACTGAGTTCGCCGTAGACGGGATCTGCAACGCCGTTGCCGTTGCTTAAGGTGAGTCGATCGGACCACGAAAAGAGGCTGGTGGCGTAGCGGACTGTGTTGTTGTTGGCGAAGAGGAGCGCTGCTTGTGTTTGAAACTTTGACATTTCCGGGATCGCGATGATGCGCTGCAGAAGAGCAGTGAGGAGGGCAAAGTCAGACGGCGTTACGGAATCTGGCTCGGCATGTAGTTGAGTGGCCAGGCTGCGGAAACCTTTGGCGACAGTGTCTGTGAGAATTTCCAGTAGCTTACTTGATATAGGTCCAGAACGATCATTGCCAGATTGTGCCATTCCTGCGCGAAAGCTTGTTCGGAAAGATGCCTCGTCTGCTGGATCCGAGTCATTTTCCAGGTGGAAATGAAGCGCAAGGAAAAGTATCCTCAAAAGTGAACGATAGTAATCAGCTTGTGCGCCCGAAAAGACTGTATCAAAGTCAAGCGTGGAAGCACGAATGGCATCCCAAATCGGTCCTAATAACGCTCGTGCCTCAGGAGGGTTGATCTTAGCTTCTACTAATTTCTTGAGGAGCACATAAGCCAGATCTGCGCGATCGACCATGAGCTTGCTGAACAGTGCTTCTGGGAGTGCAGATTCAGCGTTGGCTCGCATACAGTCCCTGACAACGCCGACAAGAGCTGTGACGAGCCGGTCGTCTTTGGATACGACATGGCTCAGTTCTATGGAAAGTAGCTTCCAGCTGTCGAGAAGTTGTACTTGCGACTCAACTAGACTCAGGTTGACATTTGCCCGTATGACCTCGCTCTTGAACCCTTGGCCGGGTTTCGAACCCGTCCATTTGTTGTCGAATCTAAGGAGTTTATCCGCTAGAGCAATGTCATAGAAGAAACTCTGACCAAGACTGGCAGGGAACAATCTCGTGCGTTTGATGTTGGGCAACACAACGCTAGGAAAGGTGCTGTTGATGTTTGTCTTGAGATTAGTCTGTAATGAACTGTTCAAGGAAGGTAAACGAAGTGCGTTGTCCTCGAAGAAATATAGACTCGAAACAATGTCTTTAAGGGGCATGGCATCGCCGATCTGGCGGCAGCTATGCAGATGCATAGCCAATATCTCCGCAGCTAACGATGCGAATCTGTTTTGATGCGCGCGTATCTCCGCAGCAGCATCCGTCTTGGGTTCGCGCGGTTGCTTGGCCATCCATCTAAGAAATGCAAGAAGCTGGTCCAGAAAGTCTTTCCTCTCTCGTAGGTCGCCCATGGCCCATGACCAATTATTCTGGGCCGAAGTTATAAAACCAAGCATGGCGTTGTAAAGAGGCCACGGGCGATTGGGACCATCCAAATCCATGTTCGAAAGTGCGCTCAATGCCCGTGACAAAAGAGCTTTGCTTTTTGTCCCTTCTGCAGCAGGCCCCGGCTTGGCTCTCATATTTTCCCTCGGCGTGGTGCCTGTAAGAAGATAAAGGGCGAACCACTGCTGCCTACATGTTACAACAGCAGACAGCAGGTTCCACACGTTCTTCTGAATGTCTACAATCCGCAACGGCTCATCCAACTGCGAAAGCACACTCATGAAGTTTTTAGCCGTCCTTGGCCCTAAGTGCCCTAGTAGCGACGGAGGTTCCGTCGTATTCTTGTTTTCGCCTGGTTTAGTTTGCTCCTGCATTTCCTCTTCTGCTATGCGAGTTGCGCCGCTTACCAGAGTCTCCAGAAGTAACACGACAGGAGATTTCCAGACATCACTAGTAGCATAAAGGCGTGTTAATAGTGGGGTGGCTTTGAAGAGCTGCTGCTCCAGATGCGTCCAAGGTTTACCAGAAAGCATAGCCACCCGCACCAGTACATTGGACAACTCTAGCGTAGAGCGGGTCTGATGCTTCCACAGAGCTGCAGAGCTTGTGAGCAGAGAGCTCTTAATGATGTCAGCGCCCGAGAGCAAGGAGGAGAGTATGGGATTGGTCGGGAGGTCATTTTCAGATTTCGTGAGGTAGAGCTCAGTGATGTATTCGGCAACCGGCGCGATGAGTTTTGTCAGTTTATCCGACAGCTTTGGGGTGTCGTCCACGCTGTATGCCAGACGAAGAATGTTGGTGAAAGCCTCGCAGATGCCAATGTTGATCTCCAGCCGGTCTTCAATGCGGTTGTACTTCCAGCCCAGAGACCCTTCGTAAATACTCGCGAGGGTGCGTCCGAAACTGAGCAGGGTGTCGCTCATCGTCTTGTCTGATGTGCCACTAGTGGTAATCGTGGCTGCGTTGAACCTAGTCAAAGCTTTACTGGATGTTTTGCGTGAGACAGAACGCTCCACTGCGTCATCCACCAAGGAACTGAACAGCCGAATGCAGCCGATGAGGAAGTCGTAACGGCCGAGAACCATCTCGGTGCCTATCAGAACAGCTGCCAAACTCCCTCCGTTACTATCGACTTGAAGAAGTCGGCTTCGCGCCAGCCATGGCCAGACTCGATTAGGAGCAATGGCGACCAAAGCCTGGACAAAGTAAATGCAGTTGATAAGCAGTTCAAGCAAGCCCTCGTTACTAGGTTCTTGACTCAGATGAAGTAGCGCCTGCTCGAAAATGGCGAAAACCAGGCCGACTGTATCATTAGTGTCTCCAATACTAATCTCCAGAGCTTCCAATAAATCCGAGGAGCACGTTCGCTCATCGCCCTGGGCTTGAAATGTCTGCAATGATGAATGTAGCAGATCCGCGAAAAATCCAACAATCTCCGTCGCACTGTCCAAGGATGTGGGCTCTTTCGTGCTGTTTTCCACTTTTTCGTTACCCACAACGTATGTGGACAGGAGTTGCGTCAGGTATTGTAGCACAGAGTGACGATAGTGCCATACAGCTATGAAAGGTTCTTCACTGTCGTCGACCACAGTACCTTTAATATTGGCGGGAAGGACCATGGAATCATGCGCTCCCTGATGAGCCATTGATCCGAGAAGTCTGCGTTGACTCGAGAAACCTGAAGAGGTCGATTTAATGAACTGTGGAAAGTCATTCTTAAGCGCAATTCGATTTGCGTTTTCATCCTCTCGCTCCAGACGATAGTCTTGGAAACCGGGAGGGAATCGTTGCATGAATGTGTTCATGTTCCTAAGGTCTGCGAGCAGGAGCGGTTCTCCCTCCTCACCTGCCTTTTGACCCCTGGTGAGAGCGCTGAAAAACTTGAGAAATGGAGTAAGCTCATAAGGGTAGCGCAATCTCGCCTCTGATATTAACAATGGGCGCAGAACTTCTTCGTCGGCGTAACAGAACGATACGACAGGATCTGCGTGCAGCACCATGTGCTTGGAAGTCCAGTTTCGGAAGGTCCTGTCGCCAGCCAAGATACTGTGAGCAGTCACAATCAAGTCGGGAGTGTAGTCCAATGTGCCCACACTCAAACCCGAGCGGATAAGGTACAGGAAGAGCAGACGAAATTGATCCCGCGAGATCTGATCGACAACAGTTCCAAAACCAGCCATGCCGATATCAAGCAGCTGAGCGATAAGACGTAGAACCCCTAGTTGGGCGCATGCGAAGGCCAGTTCTTGACTAGGAGACGACTCGCCAGTTTCAGCTCTAATCAGGGGAAGCATTGCTTCTTCGAGCGCAGATGGAGCTGGCAATGAGGATCTTCCCCTTGGGTCATCATCGATCAATCTATCCCGATCTTCCTCCAGAGCATGCGCATAGCCGCTCATTTGCCCGGTAATAATAGCCCAGGCCATAGCTGGTGGAGTGGCGGGACTGGGTCCAGCCTGAACCGCATTGAAGAAGCAAGCGGTCAGACGCTCCACTGTGCCTGGGTCGAGAACATATACAGAGGGTTGCCAGGCGTTGTAACGTCCCGTATGGAGATCGTCCACAACAAGATAAATTTTTAGCACCGCGACGGAGACGAGTGAGGTGAGTAGTTGTATCAAGGGAACCATGGGTTGCTGGGAAGGCGTGAAGATGGGAAAGTCGCGAAAGAAATTTGTCTCGGAAATGGTATCGAACCAAGCTTCGATTGTGATGGCGGGAATGTACTCGCGGGATATGAGATCAGCATGGACAAGAGAAATGTGCAAGATATGAAGCAATTCCGCTGTTTGCCCTTGCAACCATCGTGCCGAAGCGGCTTCCTGGGTAGACTCTGATGTTTCCCACCCGAAGCCTTGGTTCATCACGCCCAACGTCACCTTGATGGCTTCGATGCATTTGTCGAGAGCGTTGGCGTTGTTGGTGTTGGCTTCCTTCTGGTTTTGTTTGACGGCAATGGCTTGGCCCATTTGCTCGAGCCAGTCCTCACAGATGCGATACTCATTGGGATAGAAGGGTTTCTTGCGAAGGTCTCGTGCGCTGCCCCAGGTCAAAAGCAGCTGGCTGACGCGGAGAATGGAGGCGCGAGTGGAATAGTAGACGTCGATGATGCGAAGCCGTCGCTGATCCACAGAATCGAAGTGAGCGTCGGTCTGCAAATTCAAGGTCGACGGATTCCCGAGTATTGAGGAGTTGGGGACGAAGGTGGATGTGCCCAAATTAGACCAGCCTGCAGCTTCCTGCACACTCAGCACTTCCTCCTCGGTCAGACCGCTCAACAGTTGGGTAGTCGGTCGGGTCTGCCATTCCTGTACGACCAGGCGCAAGGCTTGGTATTCCGAGATATTTGCCTGCTTGGATAACCACAGACTATCGTCCTTGATATGCTCGATATTGTAAGATGCGTTGGAGGATGGGGTGACGTTGACGGGGGCGGTACTGGTCTCGAACCGGCTCTTTTCCTGTGTGGACGGGTCCGCAAAAGGTCGCCATGGTCTGCTGAGGATGTCGAGATTTTCTTCGGCGCTCAAGAAATTGCGCAGTGGAGTGCTTTTGGAAGCGGTTTTGGGATCACAGAGGGCATTATACGCGACATCCCAAGAGCTGGAGCGGTTCGTTAGCTATCAATTCCTGGGACATGTAAAGTTTTGAGTGTGGTAAACATACATGAGCTGCTGCTCGCCGGCGAAGCACTTGGCGAGGTCCAGTTCCAAGGAGGGGATGGGAGCCATGGCGGCGCTTCAGCATGCAAAGATCATCCGGAGTCCATAGAGGTAAGGCAAAGGTGGGAAGATGCGTGGATGCCGTGCGTGGGAGCGGATATAGGCGTGTCTTGATTGTTTGCGCAACAATCATCAAATGTCGAGCTCCGGCGCGCTTTCCTCGCACGGACCGTCAGCGGAACAGCCACAGCTCTAGCCACAGCAGCCGCCACTACTTCCAGCTCTTTCCCGTCATCGGCGGCGGGGCGGAGATAAAAATTGCCGACTGGGAGCAATTGGGACACCAGTCCGACTGCTCTGGGTGGTCGACAATTAAATTGTTTCCGTAGTAATATCAACTTGTCTCCAGTAACATACGTACACTTGTTGCTCACAAAGTGACTCACCTATGATCAACTGGCTAACTACTCATCCCACCTTTTCCTCCTCCACATACATGCACAGGTAGCTCCTCGACAGCAACACCCCCACCTCATCTGTGCGAACAAGGGTATACATAGTGTGTCACACTTCGACATCCACCACCATCACCATGCCCGCGCTGCCCATCATCGATCATTCCCCTCACCATCCCGAGCCTTCCGCGCCTGTCGCAACAGCTTCCAACTTGATTCTCATCGACAACTACGACTCATTCACCTGGAATGTCTATCAGTATCTAGCTCTCGAGGGCGCCACCGTTACCGTATACCGTAATGACGAGATCACTCTCGAGGAACTCATCGCAAAGAACCCAACCCAGCTAGTAATCAGCCCAGGTCCAGGTCACCCCTCACAAGACGCTGGCATCAGCAATGCCGCCATTAAACACTTCCAGGGAAAGGTACCCATCTTGGGCGTCTGCATGGGGGAGCAATGCATCATCCACAGCTTAGGTGGCAAGGTCGACGTGACCGGTGAAATCTTCCACGGCAAAACGTCACCTCTCAAGCATGATGGCAAAGGTCTCTACGAGGGTGCTTCCCAGGACATTCCCGTTACCCGCTATCACTCCCTCGCCGGTACCGAATATACCATCCCAGACTGCCTGAAAGTCACTTCCTGGATCGAGCGAGAAGACAAGTCACAAGGTGTCATAATGGGTGTGCGGCACAAGGAGTACGTTGTGGAAGGTGTCCAGTTTCACCCGGAGAGCATTCTATCCGAGGACGGCCGCGTCATGTTCAGGAACTTCCTCCGCATGCAAGGCGGCACTTGGACAGAGAATGAGAAGCTATCCAAGCAAGCCCACGCCCAGGCCATAGGTGCAGCACCACCCAAGGACACCAAGACGTCCATCTTGGACAAGATTTATGACCATCGCCGGGCGGCAGTGGCTGAGCAGAAGAAGATTCCCTCCCAAAGACCGAGTGACCTCCAGGCCTCGTATGATCTCAATCTGGCTCCACCTCAAATCGATTTCCCCGAACGGCTGCGCCAGTCTCCTTACCGACTTTCACTCATGGCTGAGATCAAGCGAGCATCCCCGTCCAAAGGCATCATATCATTGTCCACTTGTGCACCAGCCCAGGCGCGAAAGTATGCCAAAGCGGGCGCCAGCACCATCTCTGTTTTGACCGAGCCCGAATGGTTCAAAGGTAGCATTGACGATCTTAAGGCAGTGCGTCAGAGCTTAGAAGGAATGCCTAACCGGCCCGCGGTGTTGCGAAAGGAGTTCATATTCGACGAGTATCAAATCCTCGAAGCAAGGTTAGCAGGCGCTGACACTGTCCTGCTAATTGTCAAGATGCTGGATGAAGCGTTGCTGAAAAGACTGTACCTCTACTCACAGTCGCTAGGCATGGAGCCTTTGGTAGAGGTGAACAACGTCGAGGAGATGCAAATCGCGGTTGGCTTGGGCTCGCAAGTGATTGGTGTGAACAACCGAAATCTCGTCAATTTCGAGGTCGACATGGATACGACTAGTCGTCTGATGAACCTAGTACCAAAGGAAACCATAGTGTGCGCACTAAGCGGGATCACCGGTCCTCAGGACGTAGAGCCATATACCCAGAACGGAGTTGGCGCTGTTCTCGTCGGAGAAGCTTTGATGCGCGCATCGGATACGATTGACTTCATCGCGAAACTACTTGGTGGGACCCCTCCAGCAAAATCCGCTGCGGCATCAACACCGTATGTGAAAATCTGCGGAACTCGCAGCGTAGAAGCTGCCAAAACTGCAATTGAGGCGGGTGCGGATCTCATTGGAATGATCCTGGCCCCAGGTCTCAAGAGAACAGTGTCGACCGAAGTAGCGCTCGCCATCTCGCGTACTGTTCACGAGACGAAAAAACCACAGGCCTCAAGCACATCAGCACAAGACGCACCGACCGCTGCATCAGACTTCTTCCAGCACGCTTCCTTGACTCATGTTGCCAGTCAGGAGCGCGCACTCATCGTCGGTGTCTTCCGTAATCAGCCCCTCGAGTACGTCCTCGAGCAACAGCAGCTTTTGAATCTCGATATAGTCCAACTCCATGGCACAGAACCCATCGAGTGGGCAAAGCTGATACCAGTTCCTGTCGTCAAAGCATTTGGCCCCAAGAGTATCGGGATTGGACTACGCGGCTACCACGCTCTTCCCCTGCTCGACGCGGGCTCGGGTGGAACGGGCCAGCAGCTCGATCTATCGGACGTCAAAGAGGTTCTTGCGCGCGACGATGGTGTTCAGGTCATCTTCGCTGGCGGTCTTACCCCCGAAAACGTTCAGCGCGCATTGGAAGGGCTAGGGGAGTATAGAGGACGAGTCAAGGCTGTGGATGTAAGCAGTGGTGTCGAAGAAGATGGTCAGCAGAGCTTGGAGAAGATCCGCAGCTTCGTCAAAGCTGCTAAAGGGATATGAGAAGTTTGGAAGTTGCTCGCGTCGTAATTTTATTCGATGCATTATCTGCAATCAACAAATCAAAATGCAATTTATTTAGTGTTCTTTCATGCGGCCAGCCGCTCTCAAAAACATATCTTTGCTTCCGATTTCCTATCCATGCACTCCATTCAGCTGGATGCACAGGGTAAGAAATTAATCCTCATGTACACGAGAGTATTCGACTCGCATTCAATCAATTAACTGAGATCGAATCGTCGCATGCCCCGCTACCCGGAATATCGTCTAATTCATCGACAAGTCAATCACGGTAGCCAATCAGGTTGCACTTTCAGGAATACACTATCCTTTCCTGTCTTCAATTCATGGCGTGACTTTCTTAACCAAAAGCCTATATCTCTTGAGCGGCAACTTTTAGAGCAACTGCAGGTTTTTGGTACATTTTGCAGCTGCGCGTCTCTTGCCTAGAGTTGATCACCTCCGCTAAGATTGACCCACACAGCATTGAGAAGTGCGTCGGTGATCAAAGTTCGGTAAACTTTGTAGTGAGTCTTTGAGCGATGGATCTTTGCAAGTTTTGAAGTCTGTAAATCCAAGGATGTTGGCTGGAGTGAGGAACAGGCACTCTCCACCTTCCTCTCGGAATGAAACTTATTACTATCAAACGGCAGAAATTCCACACCCGCAAAGGGATATGCCAAAGCCGAAGAAAGGAACAACCCATGATATCAGATGGTTGAAAATAAGTAAAAGCCCTCTAATTGCTCAGTTAGATGTATCGCAAGACTCAGCAAACTCCAATCTCTCTCACTTCCTCACGCAGCCGGAGTGGATTTCGAAAATGTAAAAGAAGCTCAGCTCAGCTCACATCCCCATGCCAATCTCTGAGATATAAAGGTCACCCTACACGGTTCTCATCCCCCTCCTACTTCTACACTACTATCCATAAAAACTTCCCCACGCACCATCGTACACCATCCACTTTATAGATCCTACCAATCTCCACCCATCCCCGCCGGAGTTTTCCTCCAAAAACTGCGGACATCCCAACCATGGGCGGCTGTCTCAAAAACCTAGTCATCGCCTCCGTTGGCGACCTCGGACCAGACAAACGCCCCAATCAGCTCCGCAAATGGGTCGAAGCCAACGGGGGGCGCTGGATTGCGAAAGTTCAGAAAGGAATCACGCATTTAGTTGCCGACAAGGAGTCTTGGAAGAAAGGTGTGAATGCTGGTAAGCTTCTGTTTTTGTATTCAATGAGCGCACCATCCTTCTCCTCCTTCGGTTCTTTCGGCTTGTGTGTTTTGCGCGAGTCCGCTTGATGAGCGTGACAGAAGAATGCCTGGATGATTGTGAGGGAGTGCGTGCTAATAGTTTGCTGCGCAACAACAATAGTTAAACAAGCAAAGCAATTATCCGGCGTGTGGATTGTCGATTATAACTGGCTTGAGGATTCCCTGCAGAAGAGGAGGAAGCTGGCCGAAAAAAAGTATACGTGGGAGGTATTGAGAAAGCAAAGGAGACTTGCTAAGACTATGAAGAGGGTTGGCACGGTGTCTGATAGTAAGTTACTTTTCGCCCTGTTGCGGAATGAATTGCTGACAGGTTTCGTTCCAGCGAAGAAGTTCCGCGACGGCTGTGCTAAGGCACTGGAAGATACTGGGACAGGTACGTCCAGCAAGGTTTCTTCTCGTACCCCAGGACACTTTGTATCGGCGTTTCAGGAGTTGGAGAAGAAGAGGAGAGATAGGGAAGCCCGAGCCGAGCAAACTTCCTCATCGACTGGAGATCACGATCCCGTTCCGCTCGCTGTCCAAGCCTCTGGACTCGATTACCGACAGCAAGTCATTGGAAAACCATCCATCATCCATAATGAGCCCACCAAACCTTCCAAAACAAAGCTTTCGCGTGGGCCAAAGCCAGCTTCCAAGCCGACCGCAAAGAAACCCAACTCCGGTGTCCCCATTTCCTCACTAGCATCTCATTCTTCTGTCACGCAGGATACTTCAACCCAACCTCCTGTAGCTACTAAGAATCAAAAATTAACAGATCTCTATCATGTGTACACGGACGTCACGGGGTTCTCTCACGATCTTTCCTTCACACGGCACAATCCCATCCTCAATACCACCGCCAAATACGATCTCCGGCTGTACGAGAGCAACACCAAACCACACGTCTACTGCACATTCATACGCTACATACCCCCAAGCGATGCACTCAACAAAGCCAGCACCACTATCAACAACCCTCAAGCCCAAACATCCTCTGAATCCGAAGCCGCCCGTCTCCAAGCTCTCGTAAATTCACCTACCCAAGTCCCAAACATCTCCGAACTTCCCCAATCACCAACCTCAGACAAACTCTACAAAACTGTCCTAAGTCCACCGAATTCCCCCTTCGACAAATCCTTTCAAACCTTCCGCCACGCCTTCCAAGACCTCACCCTTCTCCCTTGGGAAGAACGTACGCATCACCTCCCCTCACCATCACCACTTATGCCCTTCTACCATCAAACCATCCCACAAACACACCCCCAACGTCAACTCGCGGAATCACTGAATACAGAACCCTTCCTCTGGAATAACATTCCCTTCCCAGGCTCCCCCTCCGGCACATTTCCCCTCCTCCCTGCACCCATCCAAAACGCAGGAAACGGATACGCAAGAAACTCTTTCTCCCCTCCTCTCCCAGCGCTCGAAGCCCCTCTATCCCCAAGTTCAGGCGCGATAGGAAGCGCAATCGCGCGCGAGGAGCACGAGCGCGCTAGACGCGAAGAAGAAGTCAAGAACCAAGAACGCGAGAGGATGCGACTAGCGAACCGCGAGAAAGCGAGGGAACGAGAGAGACTCAGAGCGAAAGGACGAGCAGCGCTGTTCAACGGGGTCAACGGACCGCCGGTAAGAACTCCCTTAGGGAATCCGCCTTCGTTGGCTCGGAGTTCTTCCGCTCTGCCTCCATCGAATCGAGCTGCGAGTTTGGCTGCGGGAGAGGAGAGGTATGGTCGAGGGGCTTCTATGGGGGCTTCGTCTTGGACGCCTATGGCTTATGGAGCTGGGTCGAGGAGTCCTGGTGCTGCTGGAGGGCTTATGAGACCGCCGGATGGATTGGCGCCGAGGCTTAATCCGGCTGTCTTCACGCAGTTTCCGAAGGTCGGGAAGAGGACCACGAAGTTTTGGGATGAGCGGTGAAAGGGTTAGGTATATCTTGTCGGCTGGTCCTTTGAACGGACGATTAGATCGGCGGAGTGGAACTTGCTCACTCTTCTCTCTTTCTCTAGTCTTTCCCCCTGACACTTCCGTCTGGTTTAAGCCGCTATCTTGGGTGTTTCCTTGGAATCCTCCTTCAAGCGTCATTTCCCTAGTCCGTCCACATACTCACAAAATATCATTTGTTTTTCTACTTCCCATTTCTTCTCCCTTCTTCCTCAACCACAATAAAAATCTATTCCAAAATGAAATACTTAAATGCTTAGTCTAGGCTAGCTCTTATTAATCTCATCTATCAAATTCATAATCCACTATCTTCTTTTTTTCTCAATCGATCTTTCATTTCGTTTGGTTCACCCCGAAAAGAAGACTGCTTGATCAGATGTAGTGAACTTGGTCATATTTTGCCATTGTAAATGGATATGACCAAAAAAATGCGACAGAAGATTTGGAAAGCCAGATACTCAGAATGCTGCATACAAGAACGTCGATGACGGGCGAGGACAAAGAGTAATGGCCGCGGTAAAGAAGGACCTTGTAGCCCACTGTCGTACATTGCATTTGCCAGACGCGGCTTGATCTTAACGCTCCTGACCCATTGATTGGCCGTTGTCCAAGCTTTCTAGACGCGCGCCAATATGCACTGCGTGATAGGCTGGATGGCTGTTTCCGTTTCCCCGTCGATAGATGCGCGTGCTACAATACGATCTCACGCTCAGCAGTCAACTGTCGCAATCAAATCTCCTGCACAACGTAAGAGCACTACATGTCAAATACACGCATCTCGTTCCTAAATTTCGTTGCAGACATTCTGTACCAAACTCCTTAAACGTCTGTTTTCTTCTCTTGCCATGAACCACAATCACGCGAATTTTCAAGGGCGGTTGGATTTCATACAAAATCTTCTGCGCGAACGATTCGGCGCTGATGTAAGTATTGCACGTGATGAATTCACTGTCGGCGGGAGAACTCAGTGCTAACCTTGTTATCTTCGAAGGAAGCTAGGATCGATCCCATCGAATACGATCCGGAATGTCCTTTCAAGTACAATAACTTCGTGTACCGCATCACTCTGCCTTCGCCACTATCCGTTGCCCGAGATGATAGCATCCATGAAATGCGTCAGCCAGGGACCGCGCCACTGACAGAGGGCGTCCAAGAGTTTATCATGCGACTCACCAACCCTGACGCTGAAGGAATGCATGCGCAGACCCGAGTTGAAAACGAGGTCGCCATGATTTCTCTTGCCGCTGCTGCTCTTAGTGACTTCAAACCACACGTGGTTCCTTTCGTGTATGGCTGGGGAAGCGCAGCCCCGCCATCCTCGCAGGGTTGGATCCTCCAGGAGCTGATGCCTGGGGTATTAGTGAGCGAAGCATTTGATAGCATGCCTCTTGGGGAGAAGAAAAGCATCCTTACACAGATGGCACAGATTCTGAAGGCCTTGCAAGATTTCAAGCTTCCGAGCAGCATCGAGCAGTACGGCGGGGTGACATTTGATGGCGCCGGCCAGATTGTAAGCACAGCGATGACGAGTGTGGGTAGCGGGCCTTGGCTATCATTTGAGGACTTCTTCAGGGAGAAACTGGAAAGAGCTCTGCAACAAGCAGATAGCAACCCTTATATCAAAGGGTGGCATGCAAATGGGGTGAGAACACGCCTGGAAGCCTTCGTTGAGAGCGGCATTCCGGCCCAGTTCAAGGCCCTTGAATGCAGGGATGACAAGGCTATTGTCCATGCCGACTTCAGTAAGTAAATTACTCGTTCTTAAAAGAGGGAGAAAAAGAAGTTTGATGATGCAAGGCTAACACTGTTCAAATCCCAGCTCCGGACAACCTGCTCTATGATGCCTCCACCCAGCGCATCACAGCCTTGATCGATTACGACTTTGCTTGCATACTGCACCCATCCTACGAATTCCTGCGCTCCTTCAGCGGGGCAGGAGGCCGATTCCAAGGCTGGTCGGATATCGAATCTAGCGAACAGACAGCGTTGCGAGACGCTAAGCTTCATGGCTTCCCCTCGACACTGCCCGAAAACACAGAGGACGGTGTGAAATGGGAAGTTGCCAAGATTTGGGAGGATGAGTTGGAGCGCCTCGACGTGCAGCGACCGAGAACCATGACAGGCATCGAAAAGATTGCAGATGTTGATGCTGTCCTTTGCTCCATTTTGCCTTGGCGCGTTACTAACTCGGATGTCTTGCGGCTGCAATCCGAGTCCATGATACTCAAATGCAGGGACGAGAACGAGGCTCAGCTCGCCAAGTTGCTGGATCATCTGGGGTTTTGATTTCTCAGATTGGAGTAGACAGACGTGCATGTTGGCTGCTCATTAGTTCCAGTAATGTGTACAGGCGTAGTCCGTAGGGCAAGTCAATCAAAAAAAGCAGCTGATCAGTATGAGCGAAGTCTGGCGGAGTACCCACAGATCATCATTCACATTGAGCGGAATGACTACAAAATCCATAAAATCCGTTCTCCAGATAATGGAAGCTACTACACCAGGACATTCAATCAGATAAGCGGTATGTTGCCCATACTACAACAATTTTTCCTGATTTTTGTCCAACGATCTTTCCAAAAAATAGTTTCATCCGCTTGCTCAATTGCGTCGTCCGTTTGGCAACGTAGTGAGTTGGGCATTGCGGCACGTATCTAGCCCCGCTCAATCGTGTATCCACAGAAGTAGATGATAATGACAATATAGAAAGGGAGATGCTGTGCGAGCTTTGAAACGAGATGAGTGAGTACCTCGGTAACACTTGACATCCATAAAATATAGCTATTCAGATTGTGGACTGAACATATGACCCATTAAGTTAGATGGTAAAAAGTACCCCACTCGTATAAAAAATACAGATGTTGTCGTATTCCCTATTCCTGGTATCAGATTTACTCCGTTGTGGAAAGCAACAGAAGATCAAGATTTACAATGGGATCATGTGCTAAAAAAAATGCGATGATAATTATCAGCATCATGGTTATCCTCACCACCATCAAAGCAACACCAAAAGAGTGCATTGATGGGATAAAATGTAGAAGGTTCCAACACACCAGGGGACTAGAGCTGTAGAAGCTCATGCTTCTACAAAAACATTCCTCCACAGCTTCCAAGGTTTAGAATTCTACCATTCCGAGGGATGAGTAAAAGAATAGAAGTTAGGCGTGGAGCATCAGAGGGCAATATTTATATGTCATTCCACGTGGGGCTCAGCCGAAGATCGTTGAAGCTGATTATTTCAACATTATTATCATCGTTGCAATGTTTCAAATACATCGTTGTCTTCCACCTATGTATGCGAGGGACTAACGTACTTTGCGTATTGAACAGCAGAACCCGCACACCAGACATTAATTCCCTTCAGGCTAAGTTTTATAATTAATTTGTAGTTCGACCGCAGATATACGTGAGTGGTGAGAAGAGAAGGAAGGGCGAAAGCAGGTTTGAGGGGGGTATTTATACTTCTACAAGTGTGACGGACCTAGACGTTCTAGGAATAGAGACTAATAATCATTATCAGTACTTGAACTTCAAAAAGACTATTTCATGAAGCGATGTTCGCAACATGCGTCCATCAACCTCTGCGCACTGCACGTGGCTTGCTCACGAGCATTCGCGTTGAGCATGATATGTTCAGATGTACTTTTGAAGGCTTGTAATGTTTTTGGTGATCGATTATGGTGCGAGGGCTGAGAAAGTTGAAATATACTCAGACTTATAAACGTAGACAAGTCCTATACTCACGTATGGAGAAATCCTTCAGTGATGATGATCGTCAACATCGTCAGCATCATTATGTCACATCGCAAGAGATCATGATCGTGATCTCATTCAAGACTGGCAAACATAAAATTCATCGAATGTGTTCAATAACCCACAAATCCGAGCAATATGTACTGAAGAGTATTGGGTTTAGATGTTCGCAAGATTTTCAGATAAGTGTGTGTTGGAAGAGAGCGGGAGAGGGGGAGCGATGTGTGGTACGCAAGGTATTTATACACAGGCAGGCACAGACTACTAATGATGTTAGTCCCGAAGCGTAAGCTCTTTTCACTATGATGATTATCATCATCTTTTGGGATTCTACGACTAAAAACAACGCGCACGTAGTAGGCATGTAGGGGCTAGCCATATCGCCCAAACCAAGCATTGAACACATCTTGCAGCATTTTATAAACGAGAGTTTCCATAGGACGGTGTGTAGAAAGGACAAGCAAGTGGAGTGTATACCAGCACGGATATTTATATGCGGGCAGTCCAGTAGATTGATGCGTGAACAGTGATGGTAATCATCATTACTTTTTAGACTTCAGAAGAACTAAATATGCATTCTACTGCGTTTCATTCAATACTTGCGTACGCAGACCATGCAATAGTATGAAATGCTTCGTGAGAAGCATCGAGTCGATTTTCTGCTGTTCCGATTGGATGATGGTGTTGACTTTAAAAGAAAGCAGCGTGTACATGAGGATAGTCCAATATGAATTATACAGACGTGCGAAGCACCGTAGACTAAACAGTATAAAGCCTAGTGAAGCAGATTTTGCTGTGCATATAATTCATGCAAAGGTAGTAGTCATAGTTGTGATCAATGTTTATTAGTATCTTCATCATCATTGTTACGTCCCGGTTTCAAAAAGTGCCCTACTATGAGAAATGTGTGGTCCGCTCAGCGTAGATCTCGCATTAAGCAAGCAATTCGCACTAAGTATATTATTTGATCATCGCATATTGCATGCGGCACAAACACAAGCAATTCGCACATAAATTTGGTTGATTACATGCTTCAATATTGCAAGCAGCACAAATGTCCGAGTATGTGTTAAGAAAAAACAGTGACGAGACGCGTTTTTATAGACTTCCTTTCGGCTAACACATCTGAGGCTAGTCAACGAACAGCCAGACGGATGCGCTCCTCGTTTCATTGGTCCTTGTGGTCTGTGTCACGTGCAGGAACAGGTCACAATCTGAATTCTGCAAATGTTATCAGTGAAAAAGGTACTCACGAAAACAGTATTCTAAGTCTGAACAAAGATACTGCAAAGTTGTTCCCCTTGATCCCTGATCATCTCCAACAACCCTCAACAAGTCCAAGCCCCCCACAGTCCAACAAAACTACAAATTCCATCCTCAAAAACTCGGCCCTTCTCATACACACTCCTCCGAACACAGATATTACTCCACCCTCCCACCTCAAAAGGAAAATCTTATCACCCCAAAAGAGTGAAAATACCCCATCCTTGAAGCCCCCCAATACATTGACACAGCGAATCATCACGTCTCGGGCCTTTTCTTTCCCTAGCGTGCACTTAGCACTACGGTATTTCCCGCATCCTTGATCCCCGCTTCACACCCGTCAAACCAGCTGTCAAACAAGAGGTGACAGAAGTGTGAAGGTCAAGCGCCGAGTTAGCGTTTATTGGGATGCAGGGGGATTTGGAGATGTTGGAAAGGGGAGGATTTGTAGCGTGATAGGATTGAAGTTGAAGTGTGATGTGGTAGGGAAGACGAAGATCCTTACGTAGTCTATCTATTGGTATATCAGTTCCATGCGCGTTTGTGTGGTAATAGCGCATCAGAAGACAGCGTTCTATAGCCATAATTGTTTAAAGGAGATTGGGAAGAACCTCACCCATCATGAGAAGCGACGTCAGAGAGGAGAGACAGTTCCCCCACAAGGTACTGAACCTCAATTAGCGCGTAAATCCCCCGCAAAAGAATTGTCCGCTCTGTTTCGTATAGATAACTCCGACTAGGGAATGCATGTCATTGTGGTTGCAGCCGTATTGTGAGGAGCGTTCCGGGAATCCTTCCGAGTTTGTAATTCTTCACGCTGCATTCGCCGATTCGAGCGTAGTTCGTCACAGAAGAGGACGGGTTGAGATCACATATCAGCCACACAACTTGTCGCTTCACTTTCACCCATAGAAAGAGGAACGCGAGGAGTCCGTGTAAAGAGTCGAATCCATTCTAACCGATGCAACCTTGCAAGATGCCGCTCAATAGTTTCGGGCAACTCAAGCTGAGATATGCATAGAAAAGGGAAACAAGATGCGAAGCGCGTCCCTTGCGAAACGTCAACTATGACATGACACTATCAGTGTAGAAGGATGCTGAACTAAGTGCCGTTCATAACGTCGGCGAATGCCCGAGTTATATGTGCATACCGACAAGGACGCTAGCACGGGCTTCTTTAAACCGTCTCTCATAGGTCCATACTCGAGCGGAAGCTGCATCCGGAGAAGGATGAAGCGGAAACAGTGGGGCCTAGGATGCTTCGTGGTATGATAACATGTCAAGCGCCGCGAGCAATCCTGAACAGGCGAGTGCGGCTTCCTTCACTTTGTTGTTTATTGTACAAAGTGTAAGCTAACGTCCCTTTTGAGAATCTTTGCAGCAGTGCTTATGCTCGGGGAAACGGGTAACTAATGCGCGTAGAAATCCCGGGTATTTGGTAGGAGATAACTGCCGTAGGGGGGGCCAGTTATGAGTGGACCGCCCGAAGGATTCTAGAAAACAGAAAGAGGAAACATGTAGAGTTGATCTTTCGTGTTCGGCGACTGGAGTGCGACTCTGTTGTACTCGTGCGTGTTCGAAATTTTTTGTAGGATTGGTTTCTGGTCTTTGTCTGCCGATTGTCCTTCAAGTTCTTGTAGCCGAACAACCCCTGTTTAGTCTAGTGGAATATCTGGGCTCAGGCTTGGTACACTGATTTGTTATATACAGCTTCCTGATAGCGTCGAAATGTTAAACCACAGAACTACCTGAGCTTCTGTAACTGAATGATATCTCAAGGGTTTCGGATGAGGGTTTGAACTGGTAGGAATAGCGGGTGGCGCCGTCGGAAGTTCTCCGTAGAGCCCGAAGGAGTGGGCCTGGGGGGTATGGCTCGTGCAAACAATGATTGCAGATCTTGCCAGTTTTCGGTTTTCAGGGTAGGTCTCGGAAGCGCGCTGAAGCCTGAATCGGGATGATGGAAAATAGGGGGTAGCGGCTGGTGACTCGTATAAGTTCTTACACGTATACCCTCTACACCTTTTTGGTATTCACCTGCATCACGGCGATTAATGAAGGCCCGATAGTAGTAATTGCAGGTCACTCGTTTGAACCTATTGGGTGTGGGACAATGAAGTTTGAGGCTCTAATAGGTGTGGAGAAAGCATGTACGCCAACCACATCATGACAAATACTGGATCAGCGAACGAACTACAACTACGATTGCTTCAGTCGTAAGGATCAAGAATACATTTGTAGTATTTGTAGCATGCCTGTGGCACTCTGAATGCACCCGAATCCAAAATGTAGCTCTGATAGTGTTTGCTGTTATTGTTTGCTTTCTTGGCCCATCTACCACCAAAGCTTTTGAAACGCGTACTGTTCTCGATAATCAAGATTCACACGATAATCTGGCTGGCCTTTTGGTAGTTGACATGCTGTGGCTTTGGCCTATTGAAATGTAGAGATTGCATCGTCATTGTATGGGGATTAGCTTACGTCACTAGTCCGGAAGGAGAATATGAACATCAACCTCATCTTAGTTTGACCGCCACTTTTCCACCCACGAACCTACTTGATCAGTAAATCAAGATATGTGAAATGACACCACACTTTGCGAAATCCTGAGCGGCGATGCCTGATCACAGCTCGTTCCCTTGCCTATAGCAGGTTTCCACACCGCCAGGGGATCCTCCCGCTTCCCACATCTCGGCGCGGCAACGGGTATCCTCACGATTCGTCTGATCCAATCCTCCATCAAAGCCTCGTTGCGGCCCGAGTCAGACACCCGTTATCGGCAGGGAGTGTGGTTAACTTGATCCCTCCACATGCCCAACTGCCAAACGCCTTAAGCGTCTCAAAAAGCGGAACGGCAAGATCCTATGGCATCGCGAGTTGATAACCTTCTCCATCAAATGCCTAGGATATGTGCTTTCCAATAGCATGGAAACGGTCGTCTATTAGGCCTTCCCGCGCGCACCGTTCGATCAGCACGCAGGAGCCAACGCAAGCGCGCATCGTACCCTTGTTCAGACCTGAGAAAGGGTGCTGTCCACCCGTGGGCTATCCCACCATGTCGGCCCATGGCAGCCCGTGCACAACTGGTAAGGGATTAACGGGTGCCAGGCCCTTAAATCAAATAGCTGCTGGGTCCCGACTCTACTTTGGACAGCACAACTTTTGCGTACTCCTCAATATACTTTTTGTTCTCTCTCTACATTTTTGCGCAATCTGCTCCGTCTGCCATTGTTATTCACAGAGCATTACTACTCTAACATGGAATCTTTATCAAACCTTTCTGCCTTGACCGTCACAGAGACAACGCACGTAACATCATCAAGCCCCACCGAGTCCCAGCCATCAGAGAACGGAACGGCTCACTCCCAGGCCGAACCCACACCAGCCCGTCCCGCAAGAAACATGGAAGTCCGCAGAGGCGCAAACACCGAAGACATCCCGCAAAGCGAAGCCAACAACGCCATCATAATCCTATTCTGCAAACAAAAGGAAATCTCCTTCCTCGAATTCAAAAAGCGACTCGAGGAGGACTGGGTGCCGTGCCTAGAGCGTGTCTGCGGTCCCTTGTTCCCGCTCACATATATACGCCGATACATTGCGCACAAAGACAACGACAAAATTCGAGCGCAAGACGGTTCGCTCGGGCTGCCATCTCTGATGATCGGGAGAGAAGAGGATCTTCTCTTCGATTGCTTGGTGGAAGCTACGTTTGAGGATAACTTGCACATGCTGCAATGGTTCAACCTCGTCAACGAGGAAGGCCCAGCTGCTGAGCTCATCGAGTGCGAAGCCACCTTCTCAGATATCAACAAGCTCAAGATAATCGTCATGGAAAACCGTGTCACGATCAACAAGACGCGAAGGCTGAAGTCGTGGGAATAGATGAAGCTATCTAAACAATTGCACTTGGGTACACGCAGCGGAGCTACATCTCGGTAGACGCTCTTCATTCGCTTGATTTGGGCATGGTACACGGTGTTATTGTGCGGTTTTCAGATGCGCTCTTGATTGGTTATTTCCATGGGGAAGGGGGGTGACGGGTAGGATGGATATATGGGCAAAAAGAAACAGTCGGGATGCTGGGCATCATTGAAAGTTATCACCTATTCATTATCATCATCATCATCATTATCATTCCCATTGGCATGCGCACAACACATGCGCATCGCACATTTGATTATAGCTGCATAGCGAAGCATCACCAAAAAAAATTCACATCTTCCACAATATACTCCTCCTTGCACTCCCATTTTTTGGGGTTGGAATCTTGAAGTCGTTGACATTGCAGTTATATACGCGCGGCTACACCCGTTTCCTTGTACCCCACTCCGCACTGCGCCGCACATGAACGATCATGCACATAGACACATATCTGTGCCGTAGATTAGATGTTCCCTCCTCACCCCTGCGCGCGTGCGTTGAACGGTGAAGAATGCACGCGCGCCTCCCCCACGTTTCCCCACGCAGATGCCATATCAGAACCGTGAATCATCGATCTCCGCGGAATAAATTGATGGATTGTTTTGGTTGGTATTTCCTAGTTTGGATGTCGTTGCGATGGGTTTCTTCTTTTTCTTATTCTTTTTTGAAAGTGGGTAATGTATGTGGAAGATGTCATGTAATCAGGGCAACGAAGGATACAGGATACAGAATAGGGGAAGACATCTGGATGTAATGGAACAGACCCCATATTATGCATCACATGTCTAGCCACGCCAGGGGGGCACCAGTCTTTCGCCAGATTCAAAAATCACACTTCCAGCTCCCAATCGTGCTCTTGACTTTGCCATCTCTTCCCACCCTCAGCACCAGTCTGTATATTATGTACCTAGGTATGGAAGAAACTGTTGTGATATCTCCGCTTGAACACGTGACTGACCGGCCCTAAAAGCTCACAATCATTCTTAAACCGAAAGTGCAAACGTTTTATTACCTTTGATACCTGCTGTCGACTTCCTCATTACTAGGATATGGTTTGAGAGGCGTCTCTGTGACGAGGCAGCGTACGTCCTGCAGTTCCCTATGCCTTCCCTACGTAGGTACATACCTGGTATGTATCTTCGGACACTCATTGTTATTCGCCTTAGAGGACAATACAATAACATTCGTGATCCTGTGCGCTCTGAAGGAACTAGTACTGCCTGAATCTCTTATCGCTAACTAAAGTTTCTAAGCAAGACTTTCCCAACACTTCCTCCTTACGGTTCTCATGCTTCAATGAATTGCACCAACACACGAATCTGCACTTTCTGCCTTATAGCCGCTTCCTAACGTTGATCGACAGTGGCTTTTTCTCCCAAGTCCAGTAAATCTTCTGCTCATTCCAATCCCAATCAAAACCGCCTCGCGGGCTGTCAAAGTCGAAGTGAAAGAACAGCAATGCCAACAGTAGTCGCATTTCTAAAAGAGCCAAAGACTGGCCGATGCAGCCATGTGGGCCTAAAGCAAACGGATAGAAAGCGTTGCCATTGTGGCTCAGATTCTCATCTCCTGCATCATGTAGCCACCGCTCGGGAGCAAATTTTCCGGGATCAGAGAAGTGTTTGCTGGATTGAAACATAGGCCAGCAGGCAACTCCCAGAACGGTCCCTTCCGTAAAATGATGCCCTGCCACAGTAGCGCCTCCCTTCGGCACTGCGCGTCGCATAAGGTCAGGAAATGGCGGACACAATCTCAGAGTCTCGTTGATGACTGCGTTTAGATATGGCAGAGGCTTGACGGTGGCTCCCGAGATCTGCTTTTCGGACTGGAATGTAGATCTTATCTCAGTCACCAGAGCCTGGTAAGAAGACGGGTGAGATACCAGCTGATACAGGGCGCCACAGAGTGCGGTTGTAAGAGTCTCGCTACCACCAATAATCATTGTGAGTGCATTGAACTCGATCTCTTCTTGCGACATCTGCAACGACACTGGGTTATTCTTGTTGTATCGCAGAACGTGACCCAAGATATCAGATTGATCTGATTTGGCTTCATCTTGTATACGCCTCTGTATGCTTTGATGTCCTGTATCAAACACGTTGTGCAGCATGGTAAGCGCGGATTTTGGCGTGATATACGGGATGAGAGCATCGATGGCTGGGTAGTATTTGATCGCGGTGGCGATTGTCGCAGCTTTGAAGTGCAGTAGAACTGATATGAAAGCGTGGCCCTGTCCGCTCGCCAGACAATTGAAAGATTCGCCCCAGCATAAATCCCCGATAATGTCGAAAGTTGTGTAGTTGAACCACGCGACCATATCGAAAGTATCCGGTGCCGTTTTGGCTAGCTTCGCGATAAGTACATCGAAGTACTCCCGGATCAGCGGCTCGTAGCTTGCGATACTTTGTTCAGAAAATGCGGGTGACAATGCTTTGCGGAATCTGGCGTGTATATCTGCTGGCGCTGATACTAGATTATGTGCGTTCACACCTGGCGGGCGGGCCCCCCACTGAGGGGGACGGAGGAAGTCGCGGCGTTGGAAGATTTCTTTCCATGCTCGATCATCGACGATCGAGAGCTCGTTGGGTGCAACTCGAACGATAGGTCCATACTTTTCATGGAGTGATTGAACTTTGTATGGCAAGTTCCCGGCCAACATGGCTGCTAGAGAGGGGAATTGAAAAGCGCGCCATAGCAGGGGGCCTGGAAAGTGCGATAGGGGATGGAAGTATAGATTATATATCAGACTAGTGAGCAAGTAAAAGAAGACGCAACTGAATATGATCACGACAAGCTCCATGTCAGCGGGAAATTGGTGTTGGTGCAATGTTTAGCTTGGGTTTGCGGGGCAGAGGCAACAATTATATGCTCAACAAAGGATATATTGATTGCGGCGCATGCCTCTTTGCTTACATATGTTCGTAGTCCTGCTATGACCACATGTTTTATCTGCACGCTTGTTTGACTTCCATAGTACATACGTATCAAAAACTTTGATTGAATCAGGGTGTTGAAGCGTATTGCTGCTTTCTACATAAAATCCAGTCCAGCATATCTTCTATAAATTAGTAAGTCGAGCAATTTAGCTGTGTAGGCGCGATTAGACGACTGGAAATGGTGCGCAATACGAAATTCGGGCTGAACTCTAAATTATAAAATGGAGGACGTGGTGTCGTATCCAATCGGGTAAGCTATCCCCCGCGTCGGCCTCATGGAACTCGGTTGCACTCCGTGACATTTTGCTTTTTCCAGCCGCTATATCATTCTTGAATAGTCCGCAAGTCATCTGAATTCGCTCTCGAACTGTCATTAACAGAAAAAAAATCATCTGTCCGCTTCTACACATCGTAGATAAACAACTGACTAAGCAATCGATTGCTGATTATAGATTAGAATGCGACGCAATGCCTACGCCGCTCCCCCACATTGTTCGAGTCTCACTCAGCATCGTTAAATCCTTCTGTGCTTGCCGAGCGAAGATTTTCTGGAGCGGGCGATCACATGGTCGGGCGATTTATTTGAAAAGGAAATCTCATTGATCACGATAGCCTCGGATTTCACTGATCTGAGGTCTGCGATCCTGCAGATATAAAGCTTATAATGCGATGAGTACGTTTGGAATTAAGCGTGAGGATATACAACTTGTGATTGGGCTCTGAAATCTAGAAATGTACTGATGAAAATGATCGCCATCGATATTAAGGGATTCAAAATAGATACGTGCCAGAGTCAACTATGATGGCTATCCTCATAATTCACTGCACTTTTTTGGTGGGCGCATATATAAAGGCCTTTCTTAGTTGCTACCTTTTGTCTTCTTCTCCACATTTCCCAGGAATGCGTAACTGCTAAATAAGCAGGAACACATTCTATGTGGGGCGGGCCTGGTGTCTATGTACGAAGTAAAATTTGGAGAGGTTACTGAGAATGGGTGCTTCTGTGTCATACCATCATTCAGCGGTCTTTTTGTAAACCTGATAGTGGTGTCTGGCGTTCTGTCCTTCCTTTCACTGCTCTTTATTACGTCAGCGAACACGTCATTCAAGCGTTTTCTAAACTGCAAGGTTCTTGAAAATTTGTACACGAGTCCTTTATATCTTTAAGTGACACAAGAGGCCCCGTAAGTGGGTATCGCTCTCAATATCCCGAGTGATGATGATCAGCATCACCCTACGGCGCTTTGGGTTTCGAACGTGCATATATATAGACTTCATACTCCTCCTTCAATCCTTCTTCCCTACTTCCTCCCGCCATTTGGGAGAGAATCGGACGTTTATACATTTAAACTAGAGTCACGTACATGATATGGGGAGACTGAGTCTCAGTTTACATGTACTGTACTACTCGAAACTCTCCAACTGGCCATTCTATGTGCGTTCACTTTTTTATACTTCATTACGTAAAGAATATTCCATTCAATAAAGCAAAATTATGATGGTGATAATGATGATTGTGACCAGCAGGATTCTTGAAACGGAAAAGTGCATTAGTAGCGTGCAGGGAGCAAAGTATATGAGGCCCCGTTAATGCTCTTTTTCTTCCTTCTTCCTACACTAGAGTACACTGTAGGAAGCCTTATATCCTGTAGTTAAGAAGCACGGCGATGATCGCACGATGCGGAGACCAGGTCCCACTAGATCTAAAGTTCTTTTAGAACGGACAATTCCACTTCTCATGTTATTCATCCCCTTTCTTCTATCAAAATTGATACTTATGATGATGACTTCAATGATGACGAATTCAACCACTAGCGAGGTATACTATGCGAGATGGCAACAAACAACAAGTACATAAGCCCTCCCTAATCCTTCGTTTCTTTCTCCATCTTCAGCCTACACTTCTAGGAGATACTTCTAATTAAATACTAGAATCAAGACTCCTACCCCTAAATGTGAAGATCGGAGCTCCACCGAGCCACAAGTGTATCAAAAAGTTGAGCTGTCGACTGCATATGTCTCCTGCTCCCTTATTTCTCTGATTGTTTACAGCGATATTAAGCGCGCTAGAAGATCACAACAGTCAGTGATAATGACGATAATGCTGATGGTAGATTCTGGAGTAATAGCTATTCCCAGAATGAAATAGTGCCTGAAAGGTAGATGGTGGCTATATAAATCCCCCTCATTTCTGTCTGTTGCTCTCCTTCGCTCTAATCTCTACACAATAAATTCACCGCGCTATCCCCTCCAAGTGCGAGATATCCTACATTCCCGCTCATAGTCCCTCTTTTCAGTGCAAAGATGAAACAGTGGTGATAATTATCATCACCCCGCTTACCTCTATCCTCTAGCTCCTGCAAGGGGTAGGTGGAGTATAAATACCTCCTGTTTCTACCTTCTTTCCTTCCCTCTTTTCTGCTTCACTACACTGCGGAGCTTGGGAAGCGAACTAGAAAAATACTCTCGCTGACTACATGTGGCCGTTGGGCTCTCGCAGGTGCGCATACTGATTCAAAGTCTCAGCCAGCTGGCTTCATATGTGTTTTCCCCTCTTCTTCCGCTCATAAAGCAGAGATTCGGTTAAGAGAAGCGGTGATGATAAACATCATCACTTTGCTAAGCCTGCCCCGCTCAGAGAGTAGATTAGGTATAAATATCTCCCGCCTTACCTCCTTCCTCTTGTTTCTATCTTTCTTCACAACCCTTCAAGGGTAGTCTGTCTACTCTAAAGGGATATCAAACTTGACAACATGCGGAGACCTGTGTGTCGTTGCGCTACTCAAATAATGGGCGGAAAACCTCGCCATGTGTGTGTGTTTGTGTGGTTGTACGTCATCACCATTACTTCTACGTTCTTAGACATGAATTGCGCAGATTTTAGTAGAAAAGGAATCAATGATGAACATTACCGTTAGACTTCGACGTTTTTTGGCTTATTGGATGTTAGCTGTGGCTTGCGTAACTATGATTAGTCATATGTATAGTTCCTGAAAGCAGATGATCAAGTATAAATATCCCCCTTCTTACGTTTCTCTACTTGCTCTTTTCTCCTCTCCACCCTTCATAGGAAATTCTATTAATTAAAATATCAGATGGTGGCGAGTTATGGTGTTCGGACTCGCGCTCCTGCATACTATTAAAAGATCGTCAAATACTGTTCTGATGTGTGTGTGTTTCATTTCTACTTCTCACATACAACTCATGTATATTGTAGTGACTGGGGAATTAGTAATGCCTATCATCATCGTTCAACTTATTCGTACATCTCAGTACTTCTATAGTATATATGAAGTATAGATGGAGTATAAATACCTCCTCTCCGCTCGCCTTCTTACTCCTTTTTCTCCTTCTTCTCTAACATTCGTTATGGGAGTCGCTAGACTCTAAGATACGACAATCTGAGATCTTACTATGTAGGGACTTAGCAATATTCATCCTACTATAATCGTATAGACAACTCTGATATCTGTGTGTGTCTCTCTCCTCTGTTTTACACATGAATTTCCTTGTTTTGGGGGACGGTATGCGATGTCGATCAGCACCGTTGTCTCGTTCTATGTTACTAATAAATACCTAGCGTTATAGGGGGTGCGTAAGTATAAACATGCCCCATTCTTACTCCTTTCCTTCCTTATCTTCTCTACATACTTCTGGCGAAGACCCGAGGATAAAAAGAAAAACTTCGGTTGCAGAATTTCTATGATCTGGGAGCTTGCGTGTCTCTGTCTGATCAGAACGGAGTTCTGTTCGCAAAAATGTGCGTGTGTGTATGTTTGTGTCTCCTCCCCCTCCACCATAACATGCCGTGTTTCTAGTAGGAAAAAATAAGCAATGATGATGAGTATCACCGTTCTGTTTAATCTTACTAAAAAACATCTAGCACTACGCAGGAAGGGAAAAGTATATAAACCCCCTTTCCTTCCTTTCTTTTCTTCTCTACACTGCCTTGCAGGGATCTTTAGATCTAAAAGAAGACCAGATCCATCCATGCTGTGGAGACTCGCGCCGTGGACGAAACATCAACAACCAAGACCCCATATGCGTGTCTCATTTCTCTTTTCTGATCTATTTTCTTGTGGCGGGTTCTTTGATGGTAAAGATAACAATGATAGTAATGATGATGATGAACAGTATTAGTCAACTTGCTAGTGCGCCTTTAGCGATCAGAGGAAAGGTATATAAACCCCCCTCTCTGTCTCCCTCCTATTTTTTCTTCTTTATACTACTCTAGGAGAAGTCTTTAGATACTAAAATATGGAACATTATTCAAGATGTGGTGGTGCAGACGCGCGTGTCAAACCTATACCTATTAAAGTTATCAACCACGCAAATGTGTGTGTTAACTATCTTCTTCGCTCATATAACAGAACGTTTTAAAGTAGGAACAAATATGATGATAGTAATGATGATGAACAGTATCAAACAACTTGCTAGCGCTCTTTCAGCGAACTGAGGTGAAGTATATAAACCCCCCTCTCTGTCTTCATTTCTTCCTTTCTTCCTTTCTTTTCTACACAGTTTGCTGTAGGGGACGTTCCCTAGATATCAAACCAGAATCCAATCATGATGATGCGGTGGTGGGGACGCGCGTCTCCTAAACACAAATTAAAAAGAGAGGCGGAACGAAAATGCATGTGTGTCTTCTTTGCTTCTGCTCTCGTTCACATATCATAATTTCTTTTTACGCTGGGTGCGATGATGATGATGTTGATGATGATAACGATGATGCCAGTGACAATGATGAACACTATCAAATATCTTTTACTAGCGCACTTTTAGCGGAGGGGGAGTTAGGTATATAATTCCCCCTCTCTGTCCTCTCTGTCCTCTTTTCTTTTTCGCTACACTGCGCTGTGGCATTTGGTAGACAATAAAGCAGACACCCAAAGGGGCTATGTGTGGGTGGAACCTTGCGCGTCGCATACGGACTGAAATTCAGATGATAAACTTCCGGCTATGCTGGTTCATATTTTGTTTGTGTGAGGCGATTCTAGGGAAGAGGCGTGCAGATGATGATGGTGATGATGGAGATTGTTATTGAAAGTATGGATGATGTCTTCGAGTAGTGTTTAGGTCAAGTGGCATTCCCGGAACTTCCTGGGACATGACGATATAATTACCGATCATAGGTATACTCTCAGTAGCAGATACATCACAGATGAACAATCTATAATCAAAAATACATCAAGTATTGAATAGTGTATTGATATTCATAGGTAGAGTTCGCAGGGCTATTGCGAATAAGGGTGTAGGCTGATGCAAACAAGGGTATTAGGGGAAGTTATTGTCCTACTTCCAATAAACGCCATTTTTATTTCCTTCAATCTCCATGTGCCCCCAGGACCAAGCGATCCCACATGTGATCCTTGTGCCCCGAGTGTTTTGAAGAGTACCCAGGTCACCCAACCACTTAACAATCCGTGCCGAAACCAACAAAAAAAAACCCCCGTAACCGTAACCGTGACCGTAACCTTGTGTATTAGAATTGAAAGGAGACATCTAGGTGTACCTTTCCCGAACGCGGGAAGAGGATTCTATTGCACGTAATGCAATGATACGCGAGCACAGTGAGTTGAGTCATTGCACCGTATCTGAAAGAACGCGATATCGAAAGCGCAGATCGCTCGGGAAAAACCGGTACGCTCGAAGAAAGCAGAATGCAAAGCTTTTTAGACGATGAGGAGCTGGAGCAGCAACGTCAATCTCTCATTCAGTGAAAAAATGGGGAGAAGATATGTACCCTGTCGACGTTTTCCGCATCGTTCTTCTCGTCGATACGGGTCCATGCAGTGTAAGTCAAGGCGCCGCAGATGGCCCACATGATGGGGACGGTGGCTTCGAGGGCGCTGGGTTTCTCGGCCTGTGCAGCCATCTCGATGACCCTGGCTGCTCTGCTAGAGTTCGTGGTCGAGTTGTAGCGGATGGTGGCGGGCACACGCTTGCCTGCGAGAGAGGCAGCGGTTATGGGGAGACGAGCGGAGAAGAGGGATCGGGCGATCATGGTGAAGTGTTTGTTTGGGGTGCTTATTCGAATGTTGTGTTTCTTTCGACTGAGTCGCGTGTCGCAAGTGAGTTGTGAGTGGTGGCGTGAGCGGAAAGAGATGTAGATTGAAATGAGCTTCTGAGGAGAAGTACACGTGTACTGTCGCAGCGAGTGGAAGTTCTGGACTTAATATGATTGTTGCAACGAGTGCGATTGATTGGAAATCCAAAGTTGGAAGTGAATTGAGAATGTTTGGAAATGGATGAATTGCGGGGAAGACGCACAGATTTATGAACGAGCGGGTTCGGTGGGTCTTTCTGTAGAAAGGGGAAGGAGGCGATTGCACAAATTGCACAAATTTCTCACAGATGGCGACTAGGCCGTAGCGGTGTGGCAAGTGCCAGGGGTCAGCCGCCCAGGGTCCGACACGCTAATCTAATTTTACCTTTAGTGTGCTTCTAGCATCTGTGCTAGTCTTTTCCAGAACAGTGCATGATCAAACCACACTCGAAATGGGGGATGAAGCCATCAACAACACTGGCATTGTGCGTGGGAAGGAATCTGGGGTATCATTCTAGAATATATATCCAGCCCTTAAAGTGACTGAGGGCTTCTGGATTCTATTCTTCTTTTGTACAGCTTTCGAAAGGACAGCTTCATTAGCTGAACTCATGACCAATCACGGATGTACGTGGGGGTTCTGTGTCTCATAGACTTCAAGAGTGTCGTGTGATGCACGCATCATTCAACTTAAGAGCATTTAAGTGGCCGGGTATTATTGGGGGAAACTGGTGACTAGAATAGGTAGTAATGTCCAAGATCATTTCAGTGTCATATGAACATACAGCAGGACGTTTACTTGAACTCCATGGTAACCATCCGGAGTTGATGGGTCACGGCTTTGAGTGGTTGGTCAAGTAACAATTCAATTTGAAGGTGGCGAATAATCATCTGCGCCAGTCTTGTCCGCACAGGAACGGACAAGACGGTGCTTCTCATAACTCCATCCATGAACCCGTTGCCAAAATCACAATTAAACGAAGAATCTTGGTCGACCTGATGTGGATCAGATTAAGTATAAATCTCGTCACGCTAGAATTCGTAGCCTAGAACCAGGTCGAGACTAGCGCAATGAGGAGTGTAGTATCAGTCATCCTGCTACTCAACGTCAAGAATCATGTAAACGACGCACGACAGACTGAACTGAACATTTATTTGGAAATTTCGGATGAATAAAGGCATGATAATGCTTCTGGTCACACCTGTTCTTATGGTCATATGACCGAAATTCGACTCTCCAAAGTATCCGCAATTCACCTTATTCTAATGTAGCGTCTTTAGCTGCAAATTTGATGTTGATCTCCACAAAAAATGTAGAATATCAGGAGATAGACAACATGGATTGAGAGTCACTCTTCAATCACCTCGTTTGGGTTGTGAATAGTTCGGTCGCACTCCATTACATTGACAATTGTCAATACCCCGTCCTATACGAGATCATAGATAAGCAGTCCATCTCCACACATGGCTTCAGGTTTTAGGATGCGCTAGCCGTAATGCTAGAATGATGGATATCGCTCTGATTTGATGGATTGAATCGAGATCGCCAGAAAAGTCTCTCACTGTAAGAAAGCAGCGAAATGGTGTGTTGCTGAATCTGACGCAGCTAAGCGAGGGATTGCGCGAAACCTGAGAAACAGCTGCAGGCGATTCGTCAACGGGATATAAACCATGTAACAATGTAACAATCGTTCATAGGACGCGGCAGATCTCTGTAGCTTACATCTTATTTACCCCTCGTTCCCTCAGCTGATGCTTTTGCTCAACTACTTGCGATTACTTTCGCGTCTAAGCAGTGCAACCCGCTATTTGTAAATTCTATCCAGGAGTCCATCTCTAAACTCGATTCTCCAGAGACTTGAATCTGTTTTAGAATTTACGGTTTATTTATCATCATTACAAGACGATAAAAGCCGATCAATCAACTAGTTTCCTCGTCCTCCGAGACACTAGCGAAATCCGCTGGCTCCCTTTGATCTCCGCCATCAACGAAAGTCGTATATCGACGATTTTCATCGACTTACAAAGCTATCGCCAACTTCGCGATGTCAGAGAACATCTTATCCCTTTTTGGTTGGGAGAAAAAGCAACTACCGAGTCCTCCGTCCACCAGCATAACAGGCGTGAGAATTCCGGCCGATGGCACGCCAGCTCACCTCGTCAAGCTTCCAACAATTAGTACAGAGACCACATCCGACGCCACAGACTCTTTCCTCTTCCACGTCCCCGATTTGCGCGAATATTGGGGCACAACTCAAGCGTGGCTTTATCGCGATATCGAAAAGATCCAATTCCGCCATCAGCATCAACCCGAAGAGCGCGATGCTCAGAAAGAGACCCATCTCCAACAATGGGAGTATCTCATAAAGCGGGAACGGGATTCTCTCCCGTTTCCTTTTGATATCATGCAACACCAATCACAGAGGCAGATAGAGTTTGCTTCGCAGTCGCGACATCTCGTGCAGGACCGTTTCGCGTCGTGTATCGGCAATTACTACATTTTTTACTCTTTTGACATGGATAATTTACCGCAGAACCAACATGTTCCCACTTGGATTACGAGTGATCATCATAGTTGGTATGGAGACGTCTTCCTGGTTAAAGTGGCACCGTATGAGTATGGGGGATATGGATGGGCTTTATACGAAGATATTGTTCCGGAGTTCGTCAAACTGCTGGCTGAAGGACCAACTTCGAAGAGCGAGTAGCACATTCGTTTCACAGGAACTATGCCAAGATCTACAAAACTGACATTGACGATTTGACGGCTTCTCTTTTCCCAAGCACATTTCAAATAACTGTATCCAGGGGAGGTTCGTGTACCGATGCTTGTCAGACCAAGTTTCCTAATGCACACGCTATATCGAGCTTTGTATCCGTACTAATCAAACATAGAATCGCCTTTTGGTACAAAGAAATGAACACTCAATATACATGTTCCAGAGATGGACCCTCTTCCGTAGCAAATGTTGTCGTGAACAAGGTATTATTAATCCTCCACCAATTAGAGCCAGCCCATCGACCATTTACCATCCATGAAAATGCCTTCATCATTATGACCTCATCCCAAAAGCAGTAGACGCGATTGACTCAGCAGCGCCGGTCACAGTTTCGCTCTGGCATGTACTGCTTCTCCACCTTGCACATACCCTTGCCCTTGCCCTTGCCCACGTTCAAGATCATTAAACCGATACACAATATCCTCAAACCCATCCGTAGCAAATGCATACAGCCACACCAACTGTTCGTCTCCTGAATTCCGAACCCCATGCTCAGCATCGCCTGGTATCCACACCACGCTCCCTTTGCGCACTTCGTACTCCTCCCCATCGATTGTCACTATCCCTTCGCCTAGAGTGACATGGTAGATTTCCGCTTGCTTGTGACGGTGAGGCTTGAGATGGCCCTGGCATCCAGCTTCTGCGCCTGGGGCGCATGTAGCAATACCGACGGTGAAGGTGTTTGTGGGTGTCTTGGGTGTTGAGATCAACGTTCTCCATGAGACGTCGCCTCCGGTGCTGGGATCTGGAAATTGCTCTATGGCAGTGCCGATGATTTTGTCCGCGTTCAAGACGATGGGTTTGTTTGCCTTTACTTTCTCCATGGTAGCAGACTATTCTTTGAGGGCGTAAGTTTGATTTGGTGTTGTTGTTCGGGCAGCTGCGGCATTCTGCTAATAAGTGAAGGATATGATTCTTGAGCACGTCATCCCGAGGTCATATATCGTGTGTTCAGCATCAATCCACTTTTTGGAGGAGATTGGATGGAATCAATCAGATAATTTGGGGATTCAATGCCTATTTTGGTTCTAGTACCCGGCTCTCGTAGATCCAGAATTGCTCTAAATTTTAGTGCGCACAGTCACGTGTAGAAACGCTTTCTACACCTTGTTCAACGCTTGGGATGCATACAACGTGGAAACTTCCCAAAATATATATCATTTTCATCTGCGGTGGCACTTCATGGGTTGTTAGCGCCGCACAGTTAGCCCGTTACGTAGTCTGTTTGAATCGGAGACTATAAAAGAAAATTTATTTACAAATAAACTATATAACGACCCCTCCGCGGAGTGCATTCACATCGGGAGTCCAGGCAGTCCTGGCCAGTGCAAGCTCCGATTCAAGTCCGGGTCGTCATCACCCAACTCTTTGATCGCCGTCGTGGACCACGATATACCACTGTCCTGTTTACACTAAATTTGATAATGATGATAGGTCCATTGGACCACAAAGCAACCTTTTGCTGGCAAACTTCTGAGATCTCGCACCAGCTGCTGTATCGCATTTTTCGTACTTTCTGGGTCCAGATACCAATACAGAAAGTGTTGTACGAGACACCGCTTTAGGTGCGGCAATTTGTGCAGGCTCTTTACACAAGATTCCCAAAACTCTGTTACCACATCAGTACACATCGGAAATCATTACAAAGGAAAGAGTATCAGTTAATCAAAGTAAATCCATGTCCAGACGATCAATTTTGTGTAAGAAATACTACGTACTGTATGAAAGTATAGAGGAAAGCCTGTGATGGCTTGAGATGAGGCGAAACAGACCAAAAGGACATAGTGGTGGCTCAAAAAGGGGCCATTTGATAGATGTTGCCTTCCATGTACTGTTCCAGGCCTAGAGCTTTGTATCTTGGATCGTTGTCTTTCCAAGGACCTCCATCACACTTACTTGCTGTATAGAGCCAAAGGAAAGAGTTAATTACGCACGTGCCGCCTTGTCCGCTGATTTTTGTACTGGCACAGTTTCGGTTCAGCAATGTGACATTGAGTCCAGCGTCGCGCAACGCGACCCAAAGCTTCCGTTTTCCATGCCAGACCATTTTTCGGCCGTTGCAGTACATATTCAGGCACCACTCTTCGGACTTGGGGCTCTCCCTCTTCACCAACATTCCTGCCCAGGAATGACCGAAAGGGCGACCATTGTTTGGAGGATTGTCACACTCTGCAATTCCCGTCCATCCACCCAGCTCTACGAAGTTGAATATCGTAGCCTGACCGGCAGCTCCATTTTCTTTCACAACCTCGAGTAGATCTTGAATTGTACGAGACAGCGCACGCGTCCATCTAAAATGTGGATTGGCTTTAAAACACATTCTCCGGTCCATTGTGTCGGCAAAAGAGACGGGTGCCCGAAAAACCTGGATTGGTCGCTCCGGCCTGTTATTTTGGCTGTTCGAAATGTTCTCGAGCACACGGACCCTCTTTAATTCACGAGTTCTGTGATAGATAAGGAATCCGAACATGAAAATATGCGGATCATCTTCGTCGTTCGCATGAGCGAGATCGACTTCCTCCGAAAGCCTCATTTTTTTCGAACCATTGGCGACTAGACGGTAAAACAGACAACCTAGCCATACCAGCCCGCCAAGGGAAATTAGCAGGCCTATATCGATGGGTGTAAGAAATTCGCGTACAGTGGGTGCCTGAGAGGCCATTTCGTGATTTCTGTCAGAAGTGTGCTGAGCGCTGAAAGTGTAGGTGTCGATTTGAGCAAACTGTAATCAGTGTGCAGATTGAGCAGAAGGGAAGTGTTTCGATAACTATGATTTAAACCTTGCCCACTACGGCATTGTTCATAACCTATGTTTGTAGGTTCTGTCGAGAAAGATCCAGCTAGCATATGAATGCACCAGGGCACACTCATTGTGAGCGCATTTGGGGTTATTAGGAACACAAATTGCCGTGTTCTTGAACATTGGGGTATGTACTGACTCGACCAATCTAATATTTTGAGGTTAGAGCCACTTGTCTCCGCGAAAGATTTGTTTGCGCATGCAGCATGTCTATCAACGTGGACAAATGACATTGTGCGTGTCGTACGACTATCAAGTTTTTTTTGGATTGGATGTTACAGTGTTTCCTAAACTCAAAAAGGCAGATAGTGACAAAAAGTAGGCAGGCACAAAAAGGTTCACAAGAGGTGAGACAGCTATCAAGAGTGAGCTATCTTCCTGAGCTATCTTCCTTCACCATAACTTTTCGCTATCTTGAACATTGTTTGATGTCCTGCCGTCTGGATTAATTGGTGAAAAGTACACAATGCTTAAGTCGCCGACATTTTCCTACACTCAAGCTAGTGGAATAAATTCCGTGCACTCTATCAAAATGATGTATTCATACCGCTAACAGTCCGTCTACTACTTCCGTTAAACTAATATGTAGCTGAAGTTCACAATATCATATGTTAATAGCATGAGAAAATGTCTTGGACGATCTTGAAGCAATAATGATTCCCCATAGATATGGCCATTGAGCACGTATCTCTAGCCTACAAGCTACTCAATTCGACTCCACAGTACCCCATTCTGCTACCTAGCCCAGCAATCAGGGCTGGAAAGCTTCCTGGTTGAACAGAGTTGAAGTTTTAGTAGATATGACTTCAGCACGCTGAACCTCTGCGTATTGCACTTGGTTGCCGTCTCTAGCCCCGTGACACGCAGCCCCACACATTTCCCTATGACCACGATGAACTTCAATGCCACGGGGACACAGATACACATATTCTGTTTTGGTGGAAAGATGACGTTCTATCTCCTCATTTCCCTTCACCATCTCGTCAGTGGATTGTTCGAAGCTCCGCTTGATAGGTTTGTGAGCGTGGATAGTGATGCCGTTTAGATATTCCTGCTGCCTAATCTAAGAACTCAGATCATCTATCCTGAAGAAATCAGCCTCGTGTTTGAGACGCTGGTATAATCCGTAGTCAAAGCCGGGTTCTTTTGACCAGAACATTGGAAAGACGTTGGGGCGGCGCATGTAGCGAAGGAGGTGCTCGAAGATTTTGGGGTCGGCGTTGATGAAGTACGAGCCGTCTTTTTCAGGTTTAAAGGTCTATTCTCCTGATAGCAGACGTGCAAAGTACTTGGATTCAGACTTGAGGGTGCTGCATAGTGTTTTGAACTTTCGTCCTCCGACGTCCAGCGTTATTGGACCGGTGATTTGTGGTGCATTGAAGAACTCTTCGGACATGATCCTAGTATCGAGAATTTTTGTGACTGTGGATTGGTGTGGTACGGAATAGGATTTTGAAAGGGTATCCGACGCACAGCTCAAAAGCAGGACTTGTGGAAGGTGAATGGAAAAAACAAAGGTCTTGATTTATAGTACACAGAGCATAGAATTTTTCTACGAAAAGTTGATTGTGATTGCGTATGTGGTTTGTTCTCTTGCTTGTTATGAACAGCGTATAAGCAAACTTGGGTGCGCCCAAGAAACCTGGTGACGGAGGGAAATCTATCGTTGCATGTCGTTTCCCACCTCCCCGGTGACTCTTGTTTGGTATCTTCTACTCGCTTTTCTACCTAGCAATTACTCTTGATTATCGAAATTCTCGTCCACTGCTCTTCTTTCCTTGCTTATCATATGCGCCATACTGGGCTACTGTCTACCCGCTACAGCCTGTCTGTAAAATTCTTGTGCTCTTCTAGAGTAATTCATGTGCTAGATTTAGCTGTTTCATGTCTCTAGTTCTACTTGCTATTCCATGCTTGTTGTTTTTCAATATTGATTGCTATTCCAATGCTGCTCTACATTACTACGCTTCTCACATCTCAAACTTCCTTCTTCCCTTTTAATCTTGTTTATGTTTGTGAAGTTTTAAAGATACAGCAATCGAAGAGATTGGGTACAACACAATTCTCGGTAGGTAGTATCACAAGGAAGAAAGGAATTTTGCAGAACTAGAAATGTAGTATTTCATTCACGAGAAAGTTGCATTCTATTGATGTGGTATCTTACGCCCTTTCTCGAATTCGAAAAATCGGACATATGGCTAAAGCCTGGTAGCAGGTAGGGCATGAAGTTAAAGGGAGAGGTACAGGGTGGAGAGAAGAATGTTAGAGGACGTTCTTGTGCCGAATCTTTTTAGATCGCGATGCTGTCACAACTATAAGACAAGTCAGGATAGATGGGGAGATTGAAGGGAAGTATGTTTTGATATTGTATTAGATGTTACGGAAAGGGTTGGGAGTATCATTTGTTGTGATGACATTATTCGTTATGGTTGGGGTTATAGAAGGCGGGGATAGAAGGTTCTGCTATAGAGCGTTAGTAGGCTCGAGAAATTGATACTCCGAACAAAAGGAAAGTAGAGGATGAGAGGGGTAAAATCAAGTGAATAAGGTTACCAGTGGGCTGACTTCATGAATATTGTTGAGAGGAAGAGGAAGACAGAGGGGTTGACATAGTGACAGCGTACCATAGCGGATGTAGAAGTGAAAGAGGGAAAAAGAGTTTATGGGTGTCTAGACTCACCTTCTCTCATTAGCGGAGGAAGATCGACTTCTGTGCTCCCAGTCTGGTCAGACCGCTGGGGAGCTTCGTCAAAATTAGCAAGCGTTCGAAGCAAGATTCATGATTCATCTTCGCATACCGTTACTGCTTCGGACTTCCATTGGTACTTCCACATGGGGCGGAACACCTTCGTTCGCAGGAAGCTTCCGAGTCGCCTTGAGACAAATAGTGACGGGTACCGTAACCGTGACTATGATGGAGAGAGAGCCTAGTAGGATGTTCCGCCAGTCATCTGTGCTGGATTGGGGGATATTCGACGGTGGATATGGTGTTGGTGTTCCTGTGGGGCTTGCGAGGGGGAAGGGCAGGGCTTGTGTTGATGCGATGGCGACCATGAAGGGCGGTCCCAGATGCCTGAGGGAAGTAAAAAACATTGTTCAGGTGTGTGATTTGTGTTTCTGAGGTTTGTGCGGAATAGACGAATGACGAGAGTAAGCAATGGAGAAAAGCGGTGTCGTTATGAAGGTGCTTTTAAAGAAGATTGGGATAGTTTGAAACCAGAACTCTCTGGGAGAGAGTGCACGTGTAGCAAATCGTCGCTGAGCATATTGCTTCTCTGGAATCATCTTGAGGGGGAATATATAGTATTAATGTGTGGATTACCGGTCAAGAAAGAGGCGGAGGGACCAGCGAATAGGGAACATCCGTACAATTTTTTCTTGTTAAACACACATCATATGTGCCGCGCTCAACTAGACAACTGGGGACGATGCTACGAAATGTACGAGTCTAGCAACTGGAGAAAGAATGCAGACTTGCCCGAGTTCTGCAACAGGGGCCAAAGTCATGACATGCCCGAATGCAGCCACAAGCTACGAAGACCGCTCGCTCATCTGCGCTCGATTACGTGCTGAAACTCCGTAGTGAGCTCGCTCGTCTTCCCAAAAGAGCTGCTTAATCGAGCGCAGATGTGCCACGCAAGAACAGCGTATGCAGAGCGGCACGTCAAAGCACAACGATTGGGTCCGATACTCCCGCCTTGTCAACCAGGGATATTCCCATCCTTAATTACATGCAGGCTGACGCACAAACGACAGCACAGGGCCAAGGCTGGGGCTCCCTCTCGTACGCATGAAAAACTGGAATATAAGCGAGGTAAAATACGTCCCCCATTAGCACTCTACCTAATTGGCTTTTGCTTGATTTCATCGAGGATGCAATTACACTGATGGAGCCTCTCGTACGCATAAAAAACCCGAGAAATAAGTAAACCCTGCAAATGCGTCAAACCACTTAAAATACAAGATAAAGTAATTTCTTATATAAACTGTAGCCCTCTTACATAGCATACAGGCTTTGTTTTCTAGTTAAGTTTAAAAAAGTGCTAATTAAGTGTTGCTAGAGTGGTTGGAGACACCTAGAGAATCAAGTGGTGAATTGGGACGCGGTTCTCTGGACCTTCCAGGGACATGAACACGAGAGGTGAACATTCTACGATGATCAAAGAGCACACCCCCCGGGCCCTCCCCCACGCCACCTGCCGCCGCCAGATCTTCATAGTTGCTGCTGCCTTAATCCGGCGCTAGGCAACTGCACAACGACTTTGAAGACGGACCGTTTTTTTCTTATTCTCGCCTACCTTTTTTTTTTTTTCTAAAATAACTATCTATCTTATCAGCTGTTCGTCTGTTGACGGTAGGGGGCTGTTAAACTTTGAATAGGATTTGTGGGTTTGCTTGATAGACCGCTTGTGAACGAATACGATGATGATGATAGCAGTTATTAATATAGGGAGAATTTTCTTAGGGCGCGTGGTAAGGGGAGGCGTTGTGAGAAGAAGGCAAGGCAAGGCAATGCAATGTAAAGTAAGATAAAGTAAAAAGCAAGAGAATAAAATGTAATAAAATGCAAAGCAAAGTATAGCAAAGTAAAGTAAGGCAATGCAATGCAAAGCAATGTAAAGTAAGACAAAGTAAAAAGTAAAATAATAAATATAGTAGAAGCAAAGTAAAGTAAAGTAAGGCAACGCAACGCAACGCAATGCAATGCAAAGCAAGTAATGCAAGGCAAGGCAACGCAATGCAATGCAAAGCGAGGTAAAGCAAGGTAAGGAGAGACGAGGCCAGGCAAGGTGTAATCACTGGCCATTAGTCCTTAGTCTTTACTCTTATCTTTCTTCCATAGAATTTGCAAGTGGAGAAGAGCATGCAATTGTTACTCATCTGTTGACTGCCAAGGCATCAAGACGCTATGGGATTATCGACTACACTCTCTAGCACAGCCAAAAAAAAACCCCATCTAACCCAGTTCCCGACTCTTCACTCAACTACATTCCCTATGATTACACACGCTCACAGAACGCTCATTACTTCCCCCCGGGAAACACCAACCCATTATCCTTCCTAACCTTCTCAGTAACCTTCAAAACCTCGACACTATGCCTCTCCAAAACGCCCGCAGCCTCCCAATCGCTCTGGTTCAAAATCCGCGCAAACTCCCTCGCCTCATCAACAAGATTCCACTTGGGCTCGACCCCTTTCCCCTCACTCCCACCAAGCACCTCTCTCGCCTTCTTCCTGGGGTCCCAAAAACTCACGCTCTGGATATCGGTGATGGTAGGCACACTCAACGTGCCGTTATCGCCGTAAATCTCGCTGGGGGCCGAGGAATCGTACATTTTGCTGGACGAGAGATGGACGGTGAAGGAGTCGTAGGTGAGGATGAAATGGCCGCCGCCGTCGGCGCCGCTGGACAGCTTGACGGGGAAGTAGAGGGAGTTGGTGGGGGCGCCGAAGAGCCATATGGCGGCGGCGACGGTGTAGACGCCTAGATCGACGAGCGCGCCGCCGCCCATGGCGAGGTCGAAGATGTTGGGGAGCTCGCCCGCGAGCAGCTTGTCGTAGCGCGAGGAGAACTGCTCAAAGTGGAGCGAGGCGCCGGTTATTTTGCCGTCGAGCTTGGTTTGGATCGCGGATTTGAGGATCGAGAAGTTGGGTTCCTGGATGTGGCGCCATGCTTCTATTAGGAAGAGGGATTTGGATTTGGCGAGCGCGAAGAGCGAGGTGAGTTCGGAGGTGGTGGAGCATGAGGGTTTCTCGAGGATGACGTGCTTGCCGGCTTCGAGGCTTTGCTTGGCTTGTTCGTAGTGCAGGATGTTGGGGGAGGCGATGTAGATTGCCGTGAGGGAGGGGTCGGCGAAGAGGTCCGAGAGGGAGGTGTAGGTTTTGATGGTGCTGGCGCGCTCGGGGTATTTGGCTGCGAAGTCGCGGGCGCTTTCTTCCTTGCGCGAGTATACGGCGCGGAGGTCCCATTCAGCGGTTTTGTGGGCGCACTCGACAAACGAGTGCGTGATCCAGCTTGTGCCGATGATGCCGAAGGTGAGCATGGTGTTGGCGTTTGGGTGATATCGAGAGTTGTGAGGCGAAGGGAGACGATGATGATTCCAATTGAAGGGACAAGGCCAAATATTTATAGTCGTCGAATATGTCAAAAGAGTCACAGACTACAGGTAACAGAGAGCTATTAATGTAGGAACCGAGTAATCCTTGGCCTATGTATCCACCGAGATTCACCATGCGTGGAGCTAGCAACCCCAATGCGGACAAAATAACAGTTCTTTCGTTAATCGTTTAGACAGTGGGGTGGGGGTGAGGGGTGTAATATGTCAGCAGGAATACGTCATGGGCCTACTGCAAGCTTGGGTACACTAGTTACACATCAGACTGCAAAATTTGACCACCAGGATTGCACAGAGACGGATGGGACGTTGTCAAATGTAGGATGTATTGATGGTTGAGTTGGATAGTTTTTCCATTTTTGACGTCCCCTGATGGGAGACGCTAATCATATCTGTGTAGTGGTGCTACCGAGGCACCATTCTCCTTGCTTTGGAGGGTATCTTTGCCTGTGAATAAGGCGTATTCATCAAAATGCCATTGCACCGAATGCCGTTTGGCCATAGAAAAGGGTAGAAAAAGCCCAGTGTGCAATCTCGCCTCACTCGTTCTGTGTGAGTGGGTGCCGTGTAAAAAACAGAAAGCATAGTAGCAGAAGAAGAAGAAACAAAGGCCTTCCGTCAGACCGATACCGGATCAAAGCCGGAAATGATTTTCACAAACGCCGAGATATGCTGCAAACCCGGATGTCCGAGTAAAAGAGAAAAACAATGCATAATACAGGACAGGCGAGACCCTGCCGTTCAATCTTCCCAGATGGTTTCCAGGTCGAGGTCCTGGCGCCTTTCGGCTCCACACACACTCCACCTTTTTCTAGCATCGCGCTTGCCAAAACCAAACGTGCGTCCGCTGCCGCCAGACACATCTAGACTTGAACGCCTGACGCCTTCGGCGACCTCGCTCTCCCTGTCGGCCGCCGCTTTCAATTTGGCAATTCGATCCGTCTCGATTGCCTCGATTTCAGCGTCTGGACTGTCAGGGATGGTCTCGAGCGAAGAGATGGAAGGGCTCCGGGATCGCATCGAGGTTGGGGTAGAGGGAATCGACGAGGAAGATGTGAGAGAGGATGAGTAGTGGGAGCCCAGGCTGGGGAAAGGCTCGTTGAACTTGGCAGAGGATAGGGAAGGGGACGACGAGCCCGAAGTTGGCGTTCGAACTGCAGGAGTGCTGAGAGGCCCACCAAAAGCGACCTGGTGAAGCGGTGAAGCTGGCCTTCTCCTTCTCGACAAGGATCCAGTGCTGCTGTACAGACCGGAGAGGGGTGATGGTTGGAGTGGTCCTGCTTGTGGCACCAACTTCAATTCGGCATCCTCGGAGATATCGCACACGCTGGGCGCGCCAGAATGCGCGCACGAATCCTCGTAGCTTGCCGGTTGGCTCCGTGGGCTTCGCGTACGCTTGGGAGAGCGAAGCGGGGATGATGGACGTCCAGGAACTGGTGAAGGAGACAAAGCCAGGTAGCCCGATGCACCTATGGCGGTTGGGAGAGAGTGTGCTCGCATCATGGGCGGTGCCAGCAGAGGACTGGAGCCACTGTGCGAGCGGAGGTGAGAACGGGAGTAGGGAGAGCGGTTGCGGGAGCGAGGAGTATGTGTAGGAAGCATGTCGAAAGAGGCGGCAGAGGGGTCGATCTGGGAGCGAGGCGTGGTGGGACGTCGAGCTTCGGGCGAAGCGTTGCACACAGTCTTGCCCATGGTGGGATGAGGTCGGATGGTGTTGGTGTCGTCGAGTTTGTCGTGGTCGGCGGCGGCGGCGGCTGCTACTTGTATCTTGTCCAGGTTGGTGGCTGGCAGCAGCTGGGAGGCGGAAGCAATGGGGACGTGGAAGGCGTCTGGGTGGGTGTGAGGAGGGCTCATGGCTCAGACGGCGGCAGAGGCACAGTATTTGATGTATACATGCTCCGGGGCTCGGGAATTGCAGCAGAGTAGGGCAGGATCCAGGGGATGTGCTAGCGTAGGGTAGCGCGAGGTTATGTCTTGTGCTAAGTGTGTAGGCGTGTATTGGAGATGGTTTCGGGGACGTGTGGTAGATTTGACGTGCTACCTGATGAGCCGTGGGTTGGGGCGGACCGTCAGTGCGCGCGCGTTTCAGCTGGCGGCAGAAGGTCGCGCTGGGGGAGATGGAGTGGCGCGGGAGTTGTTTGGTCTGGTGGGCTATAGTGGACACGGCTCCTCGCGAGAGAGCGTGGAGACGTGTAGCGTGTAGTGTAGCATGCAGGCCAGGTCAAGCGTGAGAGAGTGGAGGATGGAGGATAGTGTGTAGACAGTAGAGGTTGGATGGGTGGACGAGGGGAACCTGTGACTCGAGGGGTGCCTGTCTCTGGTCGCCCTTGTCTTGCTTGCCTTGTCTGGCCCACCGCCCCTGCCGCCGCCGCCGACGCCGAGGGCTTAGTCAGGCACTTTCGCGGGGCACAAGGGCAGGCACCACCCAACCAAATCACCACCGTCGCTGCTGCCCACCCACGGAACGGCCGCGCCTTTGATCATGACTGCCATGCTTGCCGTAGGCAAGGTACCAGCACACACATGCATACATGCTGCATGCATACCTATACATTGATGTATATGCAGCCATGTTACATACAACAACAAATACATCATCATCAAAATAACAATACCAAACAATTACTCCTTGCTGTAGGTACGCGTTAGCCCAATCCCACTAGATAAACCACGGCGATGGATGGTCCCCGGACAACGGCCCCGCTCCACTGACTATCGCCAAAGGGGAAGACCCTGAATGCATATTCACTATTTCCCACCTATCCTACATCTTTGCCTACATATACCTTACTCTTGCTGTAACACTTTGTACTACATACATACATGCCACACAACAGTACGTGTATCGCACTCTGTCTTGGTATCGCCTTGCCATCCATTTGCCATGTACTTCTACTACACTCCTTGATACACTTCGTCTATATCCCCCTTATCCCTTTATCCCCTTATTCATCCCTGCAAATCCCTACCTCGTACAACATACAAAGAAGACGGGATCATCGCTGCTGCTGCTACTCCCCAAATCTCATTCCTCATCTAGTAGCTCCCCCCTTGCAACTATCCCATGTGGATTGGGTCCCCACAACTTCCTTCATTGCATCATCGTCACTCTCTCCAACGCCAGTGGAATTAATTCCGCCGATCCCATCCGGGCCTTTCTCCTGGTGATATTCCACCGCCACCGCTCGTGTTTCCAAACAAACATCTACGTTGAATACTCAAGAGAAAGAAAACATAAACCCCAGAAAAAGAAGGCGAAAGGGGTTGCGCTGTTTTTTTTTCTCCTAATCCAACAATTGGGAGTATATGTGCAGCGTTGAGAGTGGTTTCCATTAGTGTGAGTATATGTACACAGTCATCCCCCCTCCCCCGCTAAACTCTCTCCCCCCTTTTTCTTTGTATCTCGAACCCTTATAATCTTATCGGTGCCATTCATTCTATCGGATAACTGGCTTCGAATTTCAAAGATTACGGAATCGCATTGCTTCATTGGAATGAAGATGGGCGGAGATGCAACAGTAAAGAAAGTGGGGGGGAGAGACAGACGGGCGGATTCGGCGCCGCATTATGCCGCTGTTGATGTTTTTTATGCAACCACCAATGTTTTTTAATTCATGTATTTGGCACATTACGGCAGCTAGAAAGTTGTGGAGCCAACCAGCCAGCTAGGTGTGTATATCGGGATTTGGCACCACACACTCCCTGCATTGGTTATGAGAACAGCATTTGAAAGAAAAGGGAATCGGGAGGGAGCAGGTGATTTGTCAAGATTCAGTCTGGTCGGAAAGAAAGGGGAAAAAAATTCTGTTTCTTGATCAGAGGGTTGCTTGAATCGTACTCTGCAAAATGATATTATCTACCTCCTCCGCAGTATCCCCGAATTGTAATGGAGTAGAAAGCCCGGGTTGAATGGCAGGCACAGTCTCAATATCTCATGTCATGTGCTCGGATCCCAAGTCGTACACAAAACGGGCCGAGTTCTCATCTACATACCCATCACCGTGGGAATGGTGTAAAACGCCTTGTTAGGATCATCGCAGAAGCAGCCAGAGTCAAGCCACGCTCTCCTGGTATATCCTCGCCTCATCCCAGTACGTGCCCAACGAGGCACATACCAAACCATGATCGATTCATGTAACCATCCGCAGGGAACCATCATGTCTCTCTCTGGCGCATTCTTCATCTCGTCTATCCCATGTATTCGTTGAACCTTCTAACCCTCATTCCCGCCGCCATAACCAACCCTCCGAGTACCCCTCCTAGCAGATGCAGCTGCGCGAGAGATAAAAGAAAAAGTAGATGGGGTTGCCCCGGCGACTGGAGCCATACGTCTACCGCCCTTGGTGGCAGGAGTGCTCTTAACCGTAGTGGATGTAGTCTGCGGAGGTGGTTTCTCATCTTTTAGCACAATGTTCTCCCAATTAACGTTTCAGCAGTATTTGCTGCCAACAAGAAGAAACGCATTGCGCGCGTGATGTCCTATCGTACAAAACACAAAACATATTGTACATGCGCTCTTCAATTTACCTTTGCAATCGCAGCGACCGTTGCTGTCTTTCGTGGTTGTGTGGCGGGTCCCTTCATGAAAGCTAACGGGATAATGTCTCTTTCCTTTGTCCGGTTGAGGATCTTTCGGCACACGGGGCATTGCGAGCGCTTGGGTTCGCCGGGGGCAGCGCGATTCTCGCCAGCGATCAAAGCTTCCATGAGGCACTGGTGGCAGAAGAGGTGGCCTGATAAGTGTTAGACACAGTGCAAGGACTAGAGGACGTATGGCATACCACACGACGTCGCGGTAAGATTAGTCGGAGTGTCCATGCAAATGACGCAGTTGATGTTCCTGAATGTAGTCGCCTTCTCTTCGGGCTTCTGTTGTGCTTTGATAGCTTCTTCCCGCTGCTTCTGTAACACGGCCTGTACGCTGTCTTTGTCACCAGACAGATCAATCTCATCAATTGGCTTTGCATCTTCTTCCTCTACATATGCGGCAGCATCATCCTCTCGTTTCAACCGTTTGTGCGACGATGGTCCGGATGTGGAATTGTGACGTTTGGGTCGCGAAGACGTCGTTGCCTCGGCCAAACTCGTCAAATCCACATAGTCATTGGACCGTCGAGTGGCACGGCTCGGGGGCATGGTGTGGGTTTGGTACGTGAGATTGGATCGGGTTGGGGGTTCGATGACGGAATAGCCGAAAATTTGCGATTCAGGGTTGAGGATGCCGTCCAGAAAGCTGTTGTTGGGCACGGGTGGGGAAGGTGAAGGGCGATAGGCCTCGTCGAAGTAGTAGCTGGTGGCGAGTGGGGAGGGCTCAAAGCCTAGGTTGGCGGGGGCGGAAGCAAACTGATCCTGATTCAGGTATGCGAGTGGTGGTTGAAGGTGTTGGCGATGGTCGGCGTGATAGTCCGGCTGGGGCAGAGGGAATGGGGTGTATGAGAAGGTGTTGGAGTTGCGGGTTGTGTATGATGATGTCGCAGCAGAAGCAGTTGTTGTCGGTGTTTGTGTGGTGGTCGGCGGCGGCGCCGGTGGACCGCCGAGGTGATCCATAATGATGTGGTTGGTGGTGGGGCGCGCGCGCGGAAGTGATCATTCGATGCGAAAGAGAGACAGCCTGATAATGGACAAACAACGGTAGATGATGGCAGTCACAACACAGGCTCGGGGGGAGTGCATCGTGTGAATGTGCGCACGACGAAGCTGGAACCGCGCGCGGCGTCTAGTCCCGCGGCGTTTCTTGGGTCACGGGCATGGATTCCACAAAGCCTAGGAGCCGCCGTACAGTTGCTTGCTCGCTGGCTCGTTTAGGTGCCAAAATGTTAATAATAAGAATTGCTCCTCCATCCATCCCATGCAAACCTTGGCTCAGCCCTACCGCGCGCGCCAAGGCCCCAGTCGGCGCGTCGTCGACTTCACTTCGTCCATCCATGACGCCGGCCCGTATCATTCCTTCATACTGCTGACTGACTCTGCTTCCCCGCCCGCACACCCTGCCGCTTTGCATCCCCATCTCCTTCGGACGGCATGCCCTGACACGCGCCGCTCTCCTCCACCACCATGCGCCGCTGCTCACCAAGGACCCTTGGGACAACCTGTGCGAATTTATCTCGCCCCACGATAGCCACCAAGCCCCTTATCCGGTGCCCCGCGAGGAGATGTCTCGCCACGCCAGTCCAGTCCTCTGCAAACGACTCCCAACCTAGCGAATCCAAGTCATCGACCTTGTCAGTCCCATCCGAAGCTCGATTCAGCGAAATAGGGGTTCAGCAGCTTTCCAGTCACATCCACTCGCAAATTTTCCCGGGAAAAGGAACCTCACCACCGCCTGAACTCGTCGCTCTCTCCAAAGATCACCTCACTCGCCATGAATTACTCGGAAAGAATCAGGACTCCACGCCGCCCGTGGGGTTCGACTTGCCCACTTTGCAAGGCTCCACGTTGGATGAGCATTTCTACAAATTAGGCATGGATGCTGCGGAACCATATCTGTCCATGGCGAAGAAGTTGGCTTGGGCAAATCCTCCACCGAAGCCAAGGAAATGGGTCAGACGAAGTGGTTGGACCAAGTACAACAGTGATGGGACGGCAGAACAAGTGGATGCGCCCAATGAAGAATTATTGACATTTGACACCGAGGTCATGTGGAAAGAAACTTCGTTTGCATGCATGGCTTGCGCTGTAAGCCCTACAGCGTGGTATGCGTGGCTCTCGCCGTGGTTGTTGGGAGAATCCAAATCAGATCGACATTTGATACCCTTGGGCGACCCCTCCCAACCTAGAATCATTGTTGGTCATAACATAGGGTACGATCGCGCTCGCGTGCAAGAGGAGTATGACATAAAGGAGTCCAAGAACGCTTTCGTGGACACCATGTCTCTCCATGTTGCATCTAATGGCATGTGTTCACGCCAAAGACCGTCGTGGATGAAACACAACAAGAGCCGGGAGCTGCGCGAAAAAATAGCAACATCCGAGGAAAATGCCGAGTTATCACACCTGCTATCATCCGGTGCGATACCAGAAGAAGAGGAGGAGCTATGGATAGGGCGGAGCGCGATCAATTCTTTACGGGACGTAGCGAAATTTCACTGCAACATAACCATCGACAAGGCGCGGAGAGAATATTTCGGCGAGCTGGATCGGCCTGGCATTGTGGCACGTTTGGACGAACTACTGGATTATTGCGCAGCAGATGTTGAGATCACACATCGGGTCTACCAGAAAGTTTTCCCACTTTTTTTGGAGACCTGCCCGCATCCTGTCAGTTTCGCCGCATTGCGGTATTTGGCTGCCGAGATTCTGCCTGTCAATGAAACCTGGGATGTCTATATTAACAACGCTGAAGCTACCTACCACAAGCTTGAGGATGCTGTCCGCGAACGTCTCGTAGATCTGGCAGAGAAAGCCCTGGAGATCAAGGATAAGCCAGAGTTGTACACGAATGACCCTTGGCTGAGCCAGCTGGACTGGTCTGGCCAGGAAATCAGAATGGTGAAGGGCAAGAAGAAGAACGACCCGCCGCGGCCTGCTGCTCGCCAGAAGAAGCCAGGGATGCCCAATTGGTATAAAGACTTATTTGCGAAGAACGATGCCCCAATGAGCCTGACGGTACGGACACGGATAGCACCGATACTGCTCAGACTAAGCTGGGACGGAAATCCTCTGGTCTGGTCTGACAAGCATGGATGGACATACCAGGTGCCTATGGACCAAGTCTTTGCTTACAATCAGAAAGGACTGAGGGAACTCGACATGGAGGAGGAAGAGAACTTGAAGCTACGAGACGATCTGAACAGTCGCTATTACAAGATACCACATAAGGATGGACCGCTTGCAAGATGCGCGAATCCACTCGCCAAGGGGTACCTGCAGTATTTCGAAAAGGGGACACTCACATCAGAGTACGAATATGCCAAGGAAGCACTTGAAATGAATGCCTCGTGCTCCTACTGGATCAGCGCAAGAGACAGAATCATGTCGCAGATGGTAGTCTATAACAAGGAAGTGCCAAGTGTGTCCAAGTTATCTTCTGCGTCCGGCAAAGGCAAAGGTAGTAAGGTCGGCTTCATCTTACCACAGATTATTCCGATGGGTACCATCACCAGACGAGCCGTCGAAAACACATGGCTCACTGCCAGCAACGCCAAAGCCAATCGTGTCGGTTCGGAGTTGAAGTCCATGGTTCGTGCTCCTCAAGGTTACTGCTTCGTTGGAGCCGATGTCGATTCGGAAGAACTTTGGATTGCAAGTCTGGTCGGCGATGCTACGTTTCAGCTCCACGGAGGCAATGCGGTTGGTTTCATGACGTTAGAAGGCACCAAAGCAGCAGGCACAGATCTCCATTCGCGGACAGCGGGTATCCTAGGGATCTCAAGAAATGACGCCAAGGTTTTCAACTATGGGCGAATCTATGGTGCGGGCCTGAAATTCGCATCGACTCTGCTACGCCAATTCAACCCATCATTGTCTGAATCACAAACGTCAACCACAGCAAATGCACTCTATCAAAACACGAAGGGAAAGAAGACGACCAGGAAACAGCTGCACGAGCGACCCTTCTGGAGAGGCGGGACAGAATCATTCGTCTTCAACAAGCTTGAAGATTTTGCAGAGCAGGAACGTCCACGGACGCCTGTTCTCGGTGCCGGTATAACTGAAGCCTTGATGCGACGCTATCTTACTAAGGGCGGTTTCATGACCTCGCGCATCAACTGGGCCATTCAATCGTCTGGTGTCGACTACCTCCATTTGCTTATTGTCAGCATGCAATATCTCATCCGGCGATATAACCTCGACGCACGGCTAGCCATCACAGTCCACGACGAAATCCGCTATCTAGCCAAGGAAGAAGACAAGTACCGCGTAGCCATGGCCATGCAAGTAGCGAACCTCTGGACGCGAGCTATGTTCTCCCAACAAATGGGCATCAACGAGCTACCGCAATCATGCGCTTACTTCTCCGCCGTCGATATTGATCACGTACTCCGTAAAGAAGTCGATATGGACTGCATCACCCCCTCGCACAAGGACAAGATTCCACATGGTGAAAGCTTGGATATCACTGCCCTCCTCGCTAAAGGCGACCAAGCACGTCTCGATCCCAGCATCGTTCCCGTCGATGCTCCCGCCATTGAGAAATACACAGCATCTTACCAGCCACGCACGCGTGTAATGGCTGCGCTCGAAGGCAGCGACCCCACTTCCATGGAATCGCTCGCATACGTCAGGTCCCAGATTACAGCGGACGACAAAGAGCTCCGCGACATCATCAAGACCGTGCGTAGCGCCACATCTCCAGCAACATCCCGCACATCAGGGGCCAAACGCCGCTCGAAGAATCAAGAGTACGACGGAGAAGACGATGAAGAAGAGATCCAGAGAAGCTTGGCACATCAAGATCAACTGTTGAATCTCATGCCTGTCGACGAAGGGTGGCGCTCGAATAAATTCACTCGCAAATGGGGCCAAACGCCAAGGGGGGCTGGCTCGAAGCCTACGGGCACCTGGAACCATCATTGGCAGCACCCGCGGAGTACGGGGCCGCGACCTGCGAGAGTGTGATCCCAATGCTGCACCTTCCGTCTAGTCGAGGCCGTGAAGGCGGTGTTTCTTCTTTGTTCTTTATTTTACGCGTTTGATGCATGCTGTTGATGCGGCCTGGACGGATCTACTGGGCTGTGACGACAATGCCGTGCTCATTTTTTTTAATCTCTACGACATGCGAGAGGCCTGTTTATTCACCTGTTTGTATGATATATTTTCTCTTCCCATCTACGGCCTCTCCTCATTACACTTCCTTTTCATATCTTTTTTTTTTTCATTTCCCTGTTTGCATGTTGCGAACTCGAACTTGGATGTATGCCTGACTCTGTTATTATATGTTGGAATATCCGATGTTGTAATGCTTTCCCCTTTTCTTATCCTCGTTTGAGTAGTTCCCTTTTCTGCTTGGTCATGCTTGTAACAATTTTCCCTATTCTTTTTCCCTGCAGGTCGTGTACGGTATGTTGCGCTGTCTGTGTTGTTCGACTGCATGTACAAAGGCTCCTTACTGTAACAGTGATAAACGGTATGAAGGAGGAAAACAATACAAGAGAAAGAGAGGAAGGATAAAAAGGGGATGATTAAACGTCGGGAGCTATAAGAGGGAGAAAAAGGCGAACGACAGAATATCAACCAAAGAAACAAGCTCGAATCAAATATTCATCCGCTCGTAATTGTCCAAACAATATACATTGACTGCGCAATTCTGTAAGTTGCGCGAGTGACAACACCGCTGTTTCAACTTAATCTCTGAACATGCCTGCAATGTACCTGTGCGCATTTCCATCTCCCTACTCTACGCCCTCGCCTCTCGAGGCCGTGGAAACGGACACCCTCCTCATTCAGGTGGGGGCGAAACAGCTGCATCAAGTCGATGGCGACATCTCATAGATCTGAATCCCACCCATCCACCCACACACGCACAGTCCGCACAGTCTCCCTGATCGGGAATTCACGGCCTTTGCGTTACACACATCCCTCTGTCTACCCCGAATCCCTTGACAGGTCACGAGTTTGCTTCTTCAATCACGCGGCGGCCCCCTGCGCAGTGCAGATGCCAGGTAAGGGGGTGCAACAAAGACCGGTTTCGGTTGATTATCTCGTCGATATTAAAACTTGTCCCATCAACCGTGATTTGCTTTTTGCTCGCTCATACGCGATCCGATGGGGCGGAAGATTAAACGCTCACGTAGAAGAGAGAGAAAGAGAAAGACGGAAAGAAGTACGCGCCGCTCTCTTGCATCGAATAAACTGGTTCCTGTCTATGGGTAATTCTGGTGGTGGTGGTGTCATGTTGGATGATGCTGTGATCCATTGTTCCCGTTACGCCGCTGCGGGACATCTGCGTGCGTTATGCCGTGTTACGTTTGTGTCGCGTTCGTCTCGCGGGTTTTCTTCTTTTCCATTGTTGTTTTTCGTTCCTCGGAGTCCAATGGGTGTGTGTTCTCCTGTGAGGAACCATGTCGAATAAATGCAATGTATGCATGTCTGCATGCATGCATGATGCAGCGTAGCGTACCATGCAAGCGCACGATAAAGACCATTCGCCCCAGAAAACAAATCTCTCGGGATTGAGAGAAGTCGAACCACCGCGCCCTTCCAAACCGACTGGCCAACGACTTCTGATCGGTGGAATTCAGTGCCGTACCACTTGACCCTCGATCCCAAAACCCGCCAACGCAACGCAAACCTCAGACAAGGGGGGTAAAAAGAAGAACGGGAAGATGAAATACCCGGAATGAATGGACAATTAGGAACAAACTCATTGGACAAAAAAACAACACCAACCATGCTGCACTACGCTATGCTACACAGGTACACACAACATACATGTACAGTAGCCTTTCTCCCCCAAGCCCGCTCGCTACGGTAGAAGTCGGACTTTCAGGCATACACCGGCCCTGCACCGCGAGCTGCAGATCGCCTATCCCGATAGAGTAAAAATGATGCCCGGGAAATATATGAGATAATGCGTCTAGAAGGTGTTGTGTGCATGCGTCGTGTGGAACAAACACCGTCTCTCTTTGGCTCGCACAACAGACACCGGGGAGTTGATGTTTGACATCCCGATTGACGCCGTACAAGGGCCATACCATTACTTTCATGCAGACTCGGCCAGGCCAGGCCAGGGCGACCCGGGAAATCAAATCTGGTGGGCGGACGGACGGTCGGTCGTGCGGGCGTTGGGTGTACGGGGTAGAGTGTAGTTGGGGTGCAATATATCAGTTTCCCTTGGGGATGGGTGGCCCTTTTTCGGTGGCCTTTCTTTCCTCTTTCCTTCTTCTTTTTGCTGCTGCCTTCCTTCTTTGTCACTCGTTTTGCGTTTTAGTTTGGTGGTGAAGTTGAATGTTTTTGCTATTTCGATGGCTTTGTACAGACTCGCTATGGGCGAACCGTTGTCGTCGCCGCCACCACTTGTGATGACTGTTCGACCTGGTCCCGACGATGATCGGGGAAAGGAGCTGGCCGTTGTATATATACTCGGCTGTGCGATATCAGTCATCTTTGGGGCTCTGAGATGCTATGCCCGGATCATGTCGCGTGCTACGCAGATCGACGACTGGTTCATGTACATCACAGTGGTTAGCCAAACCTCCCATCCCATCCTCCATCTGTTCCAAAAACTGATACGACGTACAAAAGATAATGTACATCCCCCTCACAGTCATCATAACAATCTACGCGCTGCAGGGCGGCACAAGACACCTCTTCTACCTCGCCCAAGACTTCGAGAAAGCAGTATACCTGACGAAGCTCAACTGGATCAGCACAATCTTCGCCGTAATCTGCTTCAGCACCGGCAAGATCTCCATTGCACTTCTCATCGTTCGCCTCCTTGGCCGCACCTCGCGATGGCGGAAATGGCTTTTATATTTCGTCAGCGGTCTGTCCGTCGTAAACGGCATCGGCGCCATCCTAATCAACTTCTTGCAATGCAAAGACGTCAACGCGATTTGGGATCCACGCTTGAAACCGTTCACAGAGTGCTGGGACTACGAAGTGCAGGCGGGATTCGGATTATACTCTGCGTGTACGCAACCCTTCCTAAACCCCCGCTCCCCCTTTCTACCCAATTCAAAAGTTGTTCAGGGTACTTAGACTGACACTTTGTAATTCAAGGCATAAACACATCCCTAGACTTCCTTCTCGCCCTCCTGCCCGTCCCCATGGTGATAAACCTAAACATGAGTCTCGCCACCAAGATCGGACTCCTCGTTGTCCTCAGCTGCGGTATCGTCACAGGCGTCATCAGCGCGCTGAAAACATCGACCCTCCATTCTCTAAACGCCGGCTCCGACATCACGTGGGATACCTACATGCTCTATATATGGGTATCCGTAGAAATAACGCTAGTCATTGTTCTTGGATCGCTTCCGCCGCTTCGTACGCTGTTCAGGAAGGCGGGTGGGACGAAAGCTGGGAACTCGACGAGTGGGGAGGACCGGTATGCGTTGAGCTCGTTGAGGAACGTGAGGAGTAGAAAGTCTGCGTATTCTGAGATTGGAGAGGTGATGCATGGGACGACGTTAGAGGAAGACGGTAATGGGAGGGTGGAGGGGAGGAGAGAAGGGGATAGATCGTTGGGTGTGCCATAGATCTCATGATTTTCTTTCTATTATTAGACTTCAATTCACATTTTAATGGTTATTTGAGCTATAAGTGACGTCTGTCCACCGACATGTTCAGTAGCCCTGGAAAGCTCCAACAAGACTCGAATGGCCTCTTTCGTGCGCATATCACCCTCAGCCTACTCGACAGTGTCAGAGCCACAACTCCTCCCTTAGATCTTTGGAAAATACAATGCTCTATACCTAACCTCATTCATTCAAGTTATCAATATGCACGCCGTCCAAAACTCACGCCAAGAATGCACTGTGCCGCACCTCAAACACCACGCCGCTTACTCGCCTAGAACATGCAGAACTCAGAAGGTTGCCTGCTCAAACTCTAATTCTCCCGAGCAAAGCTCGTATATGCTAGTTTATTGGATTTGCGGTAGACGCGAAATGAGGCATGCAGGCGAAGTAATGGTTTGTAATTTGCAAGTTGTTGGTATACAGAATGAAGAAGTAATTGATGTGCGAATGAAGTGTTGGAGATACGGTGTAAGTTTGAACCTGAGCTGATTGCAGCTCAATGATTCATAGAGTCTAGGCGCCTGAGGGCCTGGAAGTCAAGTTGAAGGTTGTGTAGGAGAGCCCGCAACAATGCTCGTAGGACTCGATCAAATCGCCACTCTTCCTTACTTTGATTCTACTTTGATGGCGACGTCAACCATTGCGAGCTTAGTATTCCTGTCAAGGCCAATGTTCAGACGATCCACCAAAATCGTAATCTCTACTTCAGTTCTCAAGGTACACAATCGTGGTACTCGCCTCCCTTACCGGGTACTTTTCCGTACTTCTCTACTCCCTCGCTTCGTTGTGGCAGGCTCAACGGGAACGTACGTACACTATACCTGTCAACCACTCATAGCATGGCTTTGGACAGCTGGTTCAATCCTCACTGTCTGTCTGATTAGTCTTACTACTCTGAATTCTTTTGTAACATAGCGTTGGCCTCATTCGACCATGAGAACGAAGCTATGATCCATACATGTGTTGAGACTAGCGTTTGGGTATCTTGCAATATATGTACCGTTGATGTGGAGAACTGTGTGAAGTATAAGTATTTAGCCAAATGTAGGTACCGTATAGGCCCTAGGCCTAGAAATATTTGCGTGTGCATATATCGCGATGTACCCTATGCCCTTACACGGTGCCTACCTGGGGTGTTCGCCAGTAGGAAATTTAGATACAAATCTAGGGTTCGTGTATTCGTTGATGCTTCCCGCGAGGGTGGGCTGATTCGATATCTGCCATAGTCCATGACGAAAGGGGCCACGTGCATAGTCTAGTGAACCTGAACCTTGCTTTTTCATCGTGGACTATGTATAGAGAGTGATATCTTGAAATGCGTGACCTGGACACATAGAGAAAACGAAATTATCTCACCTGCGTTAATGCCTAGTAAACATGAGAATACCTGGAAGTAAATCTGGACTGAGTGTACCTACATGTTATCAAAGTGGAGGTATGCGCATACATACAGTACACATTCTCGACACTATCAAACATTCATCGGCGCCTCATATTACTGCTCACTCGTGATGCAAGAACGTATAAGAGAACTAATGCATTCCGTTTCTAGAGCAGATCGCAATAAGAAAATGTCGCAATAAGAGAAAAAGCCCTAGAATACACGCAAACAGATGGATCGCGTTTACCCACCCTTTGATCCCATTATCTACTTGCTCCGTAGCCTCTGCCTTGCTACACAAGGCCAGCAACCTCCTCCACTTCCCCTTAGTTACACAAATTTAGACATACAGCACGGCTTGTATGCGTCGTGCGAGATTTCCGAATCGTTCAAAAATACGTGTCCATATCATGCTCAAAGATTGCAGTTCCAAAGTTGTCAATTACTGCGATCTTGTATGCGGCGCTTAAGTGCAAGCGGGGGCGTCGCTGGTACGGGAGTTCATGAGCAGAGCAACAATCAAGCCGTAGAGACCTAGGAAATGATTAGTAACGGTTTTTGACCGTCAACCGCCAGTTCGACTTACCCAAGACTTCAGCGAAAATGAGAATCAAGATCATTCCGACGAACAAACGGGGCTGCTGGGCAGTTCCTCGTACACCAGCGTCTCCGACAATTCCAATAGCGAAACCAGCAGCCATACCAGCGAGACCGACGGACAGACCGGCACCGAGTTGGATGAAGTTGGCAAAGAGCGAAGAATCAGACTTCAAGTCGTTCGAGATGAGCACAGACACGACAAGACCGTAGATACCAATAATACCAGCCATGACGACGGGGATAATGTCTGGGGCTCAGTTAGCCTACAGATTCCAACACACCCACTGTGAAAACCCAAGAAGCGTCTTCGATGTGATTATGATTGCAGTGATGAGAACATACTCTTAACGATCAGGTCAGGACGGAGGACACCCATGGCGGAAACACCAACACCGGCCTTAGCGGTTCCGTACGCGGCACCGAAGCAGGTGAAGACGATGGCTGACGTGCAACCCATCGCACCGAAGAAGGGCTGAATATAGGTCAGTATTGTTTTCTCCGTCATACATCGCAACGAGTGGTGGTGGATATATAGGTAGGGGATAGCCACGGGGCGTCATGGTCGATGCCTAGATCGAGTACAGGAGGCGGAGGCAAAAGGCGAACGCGGAAGTTGGTCGACTTACAGCATACACGGGACTATCATCGTTAGCATGGAGACATTAAATAGCGCAAACTGGGAGTAGTTTCTCGGTTGAGCAAGCACGGCGCGAGCTGGAGCTTATAGCCATTTGGCAAGCTGGAGCTCGTCGCCGCGGTCAAGCTCCGGGAGCACTCACCAAAGGTCGGAAGACATAGTGGCGGTTGTTTGATGATGTTTCGGTTGTTTAGGAGTAGCTTCTCGATCGGAACTGAGATGGGTGGACGTCGTAGATGCGGTGAGGGGCGGGTTGTGGTGTCGAGGTGAGTGGTGACGACGGATGGAGGTTGGAGTCTTCGCTCTAAGCAGCCATCCCCGAAACGCCCTAGCTATGCACGTGACGAACGTAATGCCAAGACTCGGCCGCGCCAAAGTTTTTGAGAATTTATGAATTTAGCGATCGCGACCTCACTCGATATCACGAATCTTGAAACTCACACCTTTCACCAACACCACTTCTACAGGCGAGTTTTGCAGTGTCAGTACATTAAACAATGTTTTATTTGACAGAAACTAATATATGTCTAGGAACCCTCCGGGCGAGCACTACAGTGAACCTATAAACCGACCTTTACCTTCCATCTTTTCCAACATCAGCAATGGCCGACGAAGGAGCCGCATGGCCTGTACGTTATATGTCCCCTGGGTCTCCCGGAATAAGAGTCAAAAGGGAAGATTCGTGTTTCGCGATCAGGTCTCTTGGACTAGAAGTTTAAAGACCCGACCTCATGTTTCGCATCTTCTACTTCTCGGCTATTTTTCTACAGGAGATCTTTCCCTACACTCCAAGTCACTTGCTAACAAGTCTAAAGGTAGCCGATCAGGCCCTGAGCCAGGAACTTCTCGATCTTTGCCAGTATGTTGCCCCGGGTACAAAGTCGCTGAAATGCCAAGTAAAAATGGCATTCCGAGACTTGGAGACTATTCCAGACTTTGCTGACTCTTCTAAAGGCAGGCTACAAACAGCCGTCAGTTGAAGAAGGGGGCTAACGAGGTAGGTTCTAGCATTTCATAAGATTTAAAGTCACCCTCAAAGCGGTTTGAGGCTTGAGAAATCTCGCTAACTCATGATTTAGGCAACCAAGAGTGAGACCTTCAATATCCGCCGTAGTTGAACCGAACTAACAAACCTCAAGCTTTGAACCGTGGAATCTCGGAAATCATCGTCGTATGTATATCCTTCAACTGTGTGTCTCTTCGAAGAATCGACCTTGAGCTGATGGTTTTGCTTTTAGCTCGCTGCGGATACCTCCCCACTTCCGATCATTCTCCACCTTCCCTTGCTATGTAAGAAACCCCGAGAGTCCCATGGAGTACCACCGTTCCGCACCATGCCGTTGCACTTGGTTGCTGTACAGCTTTCCATGTAGGACAGCAGTATCAGGCACAGTGGGGATCTTCTGCGAGGATATGTTCCTGCCAGGGGAAGATGGAATCCTCGTCTAGCAACTAGATCCTACTCCGACCACACTGTCCTCACTGTTGCCGCCAAGTGTATCGGCGGAGTGCATTACGGACTCTTCAGACTCATACACCTCTAGTTTTACTAGACGCTAACATGCACAACAGGCGAGGACAAGAACGTGCCATACGTATGTCCAGTAAATCCCGATAATACCAAAACAACTGTATTAACTAGCTAAAGGTTTACGTTCCCTCCAAAATGGCCTTGGGCCGCGCTTGCGGTGTCGCCCGTCCCGTAAGTAACCTCCCACTCGCCATCTACGCCCTCTAAAACCTTGACTGGATGTTTGTAACTAATCTCCCGTGACAGGTCATCGCCTGCAGCATCACTAGCAACGAGGCTTCCGACCTCATGGGCCAGATCCGCACCCGTAAGTCTTGTCCTCCTTTTTTGCTCCACATTCCGTTCACCATCTAACTCCCTCGTAGTCAAGGACAAGATCGAGCGTCTCCAGATCTAAGGACCCGGTTCCGCGACATCTCCTTTCCTGACCGGTCAATGCCATCGTTAATCGTTATCACCCACCGCGAGAGATTGGTCTTGTGGTCGGTGGGGCGGCCGGAAAATCGTGATTAGGAGTGGAATATAGACTAAAAAAAATATCGACTTGAACTTTGTGTGTCTGTCTGAGAACATATTTCGGCTGTTAGCTATCTGACTGGATACGAGAGAAATACAAGGTCTTGTGTTGCAACTTTTTCTTCGCTTTTGGAGATATGTTTCTGTGCGTGGAAGGGATCCCGAGTCACCTTCTCATGTGGTAATTACACATGTACATGAAGCGATTCATTGTAAGGGCGATTAGACCCGCACCACCCCCAGGAGAAGTCTAATATCTCACACATCAAAGAACGGCCATACAGGTACTCAGACGTTCTATATTCACAACAGGATTCGCAGCATGACTTACAAACCCACTATTCTTGTAAACGACCCAGATAAAACCTCACAGCTTAATCTCCCCCTCAAACCCATTGACATGCATAAAATTCGCCCTCAACGGCGTAACGCTCGTGAACCCCTGCGCAACAGCCCACCCATCGTTCCCAGGCTCACTCGCCTCGACGCTATCATACACGTCCTTGAACCGCGGCGCCCACTTGAAGTGCTTGTGCGTATATCTAACATGTTCCTGCGCGGAGGCGGCGCCGGGGGACTGGGCGCCGCTTTGTGCGCCGCTGCCGCCTTCGCCAGTCTCCAGGTTACTCTGGAGCTCCTTCTTGCCGAGATTCTCCTCGGCCTTGCGGTTCTGGGCCTCGATGTCCGAGGGCGAGTCGTCGATTTCCGGTGGGACTTCGATGGCTTGGAAGCAGGATGCGGACTGCCACTGGTTCTGCAGCATGTTTGTCCACAGGATCTTGTTGTCGCCGACGTTCTTGACGAGCGGGACGTTGACGGTGTAGAGGTGGGTGTTGGGATCCCAATTGTCATAGAGGTGCGCGATGAGTTTGGCGGAAAGCTGCGAGGCGCCTTCAATGATGGCGGCGTCGTGGTTGCGGTCGAAGAAGGCATACGAGAGGGCGATGCTTTTGACGCCGCATACGGCTGCCTCCATTGCACCGCCAATTGTCCCGCTTGAGAGACTGAACACAGCTGTGCTGTTGCGACCGTAGTTTGGGCCGGAGACGACAAGGTCAATGGGCCCGCGACTTTGGAAGTAGTGGTATAGTCCGATTTGTACACATGATGCCGGTGTGCTGTCTACGAGGACCCATTCTTCGGAGGTAGAGGAGGCAGGAAGTGGGTGCGGTGAGGTGGTGCCTGAGTTGGCCAGGCGGCCGTCGACGACGCGGAGGGGCGACGGGCGATAGTACGTCGGTTTAATTGACTTTCCAACCAAGTGAGCCTTGCCGATCCCTGAGGTTGTAAGTATGGCGAAGGATTGTTGGTGGAGTGAAGTTGACGATGGTGGGGTACGGGATCGCACATACATGAACGTTGCGTGTGAGGGAGGACGACAGAAACGGTGTGTCCATGCGATTGTAGCGTGGAGACTGATTATGCCTTGTAAGCGGGTGTCGTATCCCGAAGCTCTTTAGTTGGCTTGATAGTACCTAAGGAGTGCACATAAGGCGAAGACTGATCCGAAGGCGGTCCGTCATCGTTTGTGATCTGGAAGAGTTCAATTACAGCTATTGAGTGGATAGCGGAGGCTTTGACGTACAAGGATATGCATAATGGCGGTTCGCACAAATTGGAGTGAATTAGTGTTTCGGAGGGCGCAAAAGCAGAGACTGCGTTTCTGTGTTTGGAGGAATCATAGCCACTCTTGATGTGCTTTGACGTGGCTTCCGAAAACGCTATCGATTATCGGAATGGCAGAAGCTCGGACCATGAAAGTGAGATCATCACAGCTTAGAAGTATTTTTAGGAGTATATCAGGAATCTTGGCTGAAGGCATATATATCATAGTTGCTTGGTCAATCGGCTCGTTACCGAGGATTTGAATTGATATGGATATTACGTGTGAGATCTGAGCGCATTGCTGGTGGTGGATACAGATCCTAAATTGCCAATACAAACCCTGCGAAGTACTATGGCTGACCGTCCCTCCAGTCAATTATATTGATCGTAATTCCAGAGATGAAAAATATATCAAAGACATTGCCCTCGGAGCATGTCGATTGCGAAGGTCAATTGAGGTACAGCACATGTAGCTCAGCCGGCTGAGTGCGAACATACATTCCCTGTTAGTTCAACGTATTGATGTGCTTTACCATAAGCTCAGAAGTTTCATTTGTGAGAAAATACCATGCGTATTTTCAAACACGTTCTCCCTTCATGTGCCAGCATCGCGAATCTGGGTCCTATGGCGTACGAAACATGCAAACGCAAATGTCGACAGCGGTTATTCGCCCAAGCCAAAGAAGGCATCATCAAATTGGGAATCCTCTGGATTAGTAAACTCCATGTCGAACAAATCATCCAAGTTGTCGGTTGTCATAGCCTCTAGATTGAGATCATTGTCGGTGGTTTCTTGGGCAGGAGGCGCTTCGGCTGGCTTAGTGGTGGACGGCTGGTCGTTCACAGTGGCGGTGGTCACGTCGGGCAAATCAGGCATGGGAAGGTCGAGGTCAGCAGGTGCGCTTGTGTTATGCGTCGTATCATCCCCAACACTTTTCGCATAATCCTCTAGACCAGGAAGGAGTGAAGGGCCAGTATCATCGAGCGAGAAACTCAAGTCGTGACCGGAGCCATCGAGGTTCAAGTCTCCTGGATTCTCCCCATCACCCTCTGCTGTGTCCATGGTATCGCCGAACAAAGCATCGAAGTCGAAGTCATCAGTATCTTGGGGTGCAGCACTGGCAGTAGCCTCCTGTGCTGGCGGGTCATTCTGGTCTTCGCTGGGCACAGGTTTTACATCGGGGGCAGGAGTTGGCGAAGGGTTCTCGACCTTCTGGGTGAGGGATGGAGATTCTGGTTGTGGCTCGGGAGGCGTGTTGATCTTCGCAGGTGGTTCAACCTTGACCGGCGGAGGTGAGGGTGATTTCGGAGGGTCCTCCTTTTTGTCTATGGGAGCGGGCTTCTGTGCAGTAGACTCGGCAGCCAAGCGCGCTCGTTCGGCTTCTTTCTCTTTGGCGGCGGCTTCGCGTTTCTTCCGGTCAGCCTTCATCACGGCCAAGTCGCGCCTCAGCACCAATTGGGCCTGCAAGACTTCGGCTTCCAGCTCATCGAGAGAATCGTGAAAGCGCTCGGAAGCGGCCATGATGCTGCGCTTGAAGGCGCCCTGGATCTGGTTGGGGTTTTGGGTCGTATGGTGCTGCTTGATGTATTGGCCGCTGGAGACGAGCTGTGATGGGGTGAGTCTTCAGAGCAGATGGGAGATGGAAGGGCTGCGGAACTGACCACCATGTTCAGCATGGCCTGTAGATTGTCTAGGTCGTGGGTATGAGACGACACCGGGGCCGTCGGTGTCGGATTAGCCATGGTGCAAGGGAGGCGATGGTTGGGGAGTGCCGGGGTGGTGATGTTGAGGTCCGTGAAACTTGTCAGGGCCGTTTTGACGGCCAGAACAGGGTGGAGCTGGTTTGCGCCAAGCGGGAGCTGGAGTGAGTGCTCGTTATCAGCACGTGATGAGATCTCGCTAATCATGATCACGTGGGAACAATGAAACCCGATCCGGACATGGATTTGGGCGCACACGCACGCACACAGAGAGCGAGCAAGATTAATTGATCACCATGACCAAACTGCCATGGAATCGCATGGGAAGCGGGGCTGCACACATGCCGATATTGCCCAATGCTGAGTCAAGCGCGGGAAACAGATGTGGAATAAGTGCATACATATGTACATTCAAACAAACACTCAAAGGCAGGCAAGGCTGTTCGCAGGTGGGTGGAGCCAGCGGCGGCGCGGCACTAATTCCAGGGTCGCCGCCCTAAAATTGTGTGCGTTTGGCTTTTTTGTTGGCAGCGTTTGGCATTTGACGAACCACTCGGACCCTCGAGTGCATATGTAGTTGGGTTATTGCGGTGCATTTGCTTTTGCAATGGGTGCAAAACAATGGCGGATATTGTGAGGGGCACTCGGCAGGCCGAATTGGTTCACCGTGTAATGCAACGGCTTCTTCTTCGTCTTACTCCCAGCCGCCGCCGTGCCGTCCGTTTTGATTCCACATCTGCACACACAGCCATGTGACATAGGTAAGTATGTGTGCATGTATGGTGCGGGTTTCGTGTGGCAGCTGTCATTGCAGCTTTGCCGGTAACGAAGCCACCCCTTATTGTATTCGCGGCAAAGTCAATTGCCATGTGTACCGTACCTACATGAATGTATGCAGGCTAAGTGGGAAACAAAAGCCATGTGCTCTGGCGTATACAAACAAACATACATGTGCATACCTAGGTATGCACATACACGATGCGGCTGGTAGCAGTCCTGTCCTTTGACTTGAACTCGCAAAATTCTTACTTGAGCGATTGATTTCTTCCGTCCGCCTGCATCATCATCATCTTCTTCTTCTTCTTCCTCTCTGTCTGTGTGAGTACAGGGTCGTCGCAGGACAAGACCGATCTGCATTTAATTAGCTAACAGCAGCAGGCGGCCCGTTGCATCTTAGTCTTAGCGCTCGCTCGCTCGCTGGCTCGCTGGCTGGCTCGTGGTCCCTCGCGCGCGCGCCCTACCAGAACAAACCAAGCACCGTCTGCCTGCCTGCCTGTCTGTCTGTAATCATCCATCGACTCTCGCCCTCGCCCTCTTCTCCCTCACCTTCCCCCCTCCTCCCCACAGTGGACCAACAGCCCCAATCACTTTTCCATCCTTGTTTGGCGTCGGCTCTTCTCCTGTCTTCCTGCACCTCTCTTTCCTTGTTTCCTCTTCCCTTGTCCTTGCGCCTTCGAGTCCGACTTCGTTCGAGTCTGCCGTCCATCTGTCTGTCCGTCTGCTGCTGCTTTCTGGGTGCCAAGAGAGACTCCCCGGTTTCCACTTTCTTCGCTACGGCTCCAGCGCTGCTTCTCTCTCTCCTCCCCACCTACCTTCAACCTCACCTCACGTCACCTCCACACAACCTCCCTCCAGTGCGCCCACGCCCGCCCGCTGCGTTTCCTCTCTCAGCCTAGGTCGTCTGTCTGTCTCCTTCAGGTCCGCTTAATTTTTCGACCTGCGCCTTCACCCTTGTGCACCACCACCACGCTCTCTTCTTCTCTGCTCGACTCCTCGCTGTCATCACAATGGCCGATTCTGCCACCTCCGGGGCCGCCATGCCGCCTCCTTCTGCCTCTGCTGGTGCGCCAGGCTATGATGCCGGTTCCCAGGGCCAGCAGCAACAGCACATGCCCCCACCGCTTGCACCCGTCATCATCCCCCAGAACAACAACCCCATTCCTACCGCCATCAGCTCTCCCATGAGCGCCAACGTCATGTCGCCAACCAGCGGCGGCCCTGGCTACGTTCCCCGCCGCGCCGCCCCTGAACCAAACAAACGCGCCTTGTATGTCGGCGGTCTGGATCCACGTGTTACCGAAGATGTTCTTAGGCAGATCTTCGAGACTACTGGCCATGTCCAGAGTGTCAAGATCATTCCCGACAAAAACGTGAGTAAAACATCCATCTCTTGCCATTTTCCCTTGCCATTTCCCCTTCCCTTCCATGTCTTGAGTTGTGCAGCCTCGCCTTGTTTACCCCTCAGATTTGGCCCCACAGCCAGTCGACTGCCTCCCCATGCTTGAATGCTGGACTGATCACAATAGTTCAACTCTAAGGGTTTCAACTACGGATTCGTCGAATTTGATGACCCGGGCGCAGCTGATCGTGCTATGAACACGCTCAACGGTCGCCGGGTGCACAACAATGTAAGTCCCTTGCGCACAAAAACCAGACGCAAGTAGCTAACATGCGCCAGGAAATCCGTGTCAACTGGGCCTACCAAGCTAACACAACAGCCAAAGAGGACACGTCCGGACATTTCCACATCTTTGTTGGTGATTTGTCCAATGAGGTCAACGATGAAGTCCTTCTCCAGGCTTTTGGCACATTCGGCGTCGTCTCTGAAGCGCGCGTCATGTGGGATATGAAGACAGGCCGATCCCGCGGATACGGTTTCGTTGCTTTCCGCGACCGCGCCGACGCCGACCGGGCTCTCAGCTCCATGGATGGCGAATGGCTTGGATCTCGTGCCATTCGTTGCAACTGGGCCAACCAAAAGGGCCAGCCTTCCATCTCCCAGCAGCAAGCCATGGCATCCATGGGCATGACCCCGACCACCCCCTTCGGTCACCACCACTTCCCCACTCACGGTGTCCAGAGCTACGAGATGGTCGTTCAGCAGACCCCTCAGTGGCAGACTACCTGCTACGTTGGCAATCTCACCCCTTACACTGCGCAGTCTGATCTAGTACCCCTGTTCCAGAACTTTGGATACGTGACCGAAACTCGTTTCCAGTCCGACCGCGGGTTTGCATTCATCAAGATGGATACGCACGAGAACGCCGCCATGGCCATCTGTCAACTCAATGGCTACAACGTCAATGGCCGGCCTCTCAAGTGCAGCGTAGGTTGACCTTCTCCCTTAAATTTCTTTTCTTCTCGCTCACATGTAGGTTAGTGGGGCAAAGATCGTCCGCCAACAGGTCAGTTTGAGGGCTACTCGCCAGCGGCTGCGCCCAACTCTGCTTTCCCGCAGACTCCAAGCACGTACTTTCCGCAATACAATGCGGGACCAGGGGGTCCCATGTCACCCCAAGGTGAGCGGCACCGGAGGAAGCTACGATATCGAAATTCACACTCTAATGCACGGGCAGGTCCTAGCCCTGGCGGACAGCCCTTCGCCCAAAACCAGCAAGGCTTTGGCGGCCCCGGCATGGCTCAGCCCTACCAGCAGATGCCCCAGAGCGCTGGCGGATACGGTCGCGGTCAACAGCCCCAGCAGCAATGGGGCGGTCAGCCTGCCCAGGGCAGCTTCAACGGTCAGAACGGTTTCCAGGGCGGTTTCCAGGGCTAAGCAAAAAATACCCCCCTTCCTTCCTCGATGGCGTGCCATCCAGTCTTCCCTCTCTCTTGTCTGCGCTGTTTCCATCTTCACGACATACCTGGTTGTCTACATTGGCGCTATTGGATAGCAACCCTGCCAACATTTCTTCTATATTGGTCTCTCTATCTGCTATCTGCTCATGTTTCAACGAGGCCCATGTTCTGTCTCTTGTTCTTGGTTTCCATCAAAAAAACAGCTCTATCTGGTTTAGCGGGAAGGTTCGGATGTCGGTCGCTGTAAACGGCTGGCTTTGGTTTAGGTTTTCGGTGGGGAGCACACTCATGTACGGTTGGCTTTCCCGCGACGGATGTCTTTTGCGAGCACTTTGTCCTGGTGCGGATCTTCTTAATGAATCTCCTTGCGCGTGCATCCTGCTTGGTTTAACAGTTGCGGTCAATTCTCGACCCACGTTTCTCTTCTTTCACTCACCTGGTTATCAGTCGTCCTTTGTAGCCATGTCTTGTGCCCTCTTGGGTTCTTTCGTCCTATCCATCAAGAACAGCGTTTCCCTATCGTGTTGTTGGCGTCTGTCTTTGCGTGGCATACCCCCAAGGCTGGTTCTTTCGCATCTCCTCTCCTCTCCGTCTCTTCTCGGTCTGCTTACTCTCTTCTTCTTTCCTTCCAAAATGCCTCTCCATCTCGTCTAGCGGTTTCGCGTTTCCCGAGCGATAGAAGGCAGGTCTAAAAGTTTGTTGCAAGTTAAGATTGATGACTCTGTTTCTGGTAATGAGGGCTTGATGGGTCATGACACGATATTTGGGTGTGGTTCAAGATTGCATTGCATGCGTGTATGCATTGTATTGTATGTTACGTGCGCAAGATTGGTAGGGATGCGGTAGTGGTAAAGAGATGGGACTTTTTCCATTCCAAACAGAATATCAGAAGATTGACCGTGCTTGAGCCTTTATTTCTTACATGCTCGATTATTATTCCCGTGGCGGTTTGGTGCCATTCCAATGATAATAATAATAATAATAATGCCAATAGCAAATTAGAGGCACATTTTTACCGCTGTTGAGGCGCCGGATGCGACAAAATCCACTATGCTATCTGCCCCCCAGGTGCCGGGACATCGATGTTCCTGATTGCACGTGATAGCGGTAGAACGCGTATCAAAGTCGCGTCGGCTAGCGTACCTGATAACTAGTATTGCATTTCACTCAATCGTCCCCGCAGCTAACTGGGCCCTGCCACTCCTTGACGCCATATACACCGTTCCTGTATTTTAATTAAGAGCACCCATACTTCACTGTATGATCGTGGCGCTCGTCCGAATTCGCGCGCCGGTGAGAATTCGTGCTGGGTCGGCGCTGCCGTCTACCCTCCCCTGGAGCCCACATCGCGGTGCCTCGCCTTACATTTTCGGGCCAACAAACGGGTCAAACACACCGTCGCCGAGCAGGTCTACGCGAATTCCAACACTGCGACCGCGCGCATACTCCGCCTCTACACATCTTCACCCTGTCGCTGCGTCCACAATCATGTTCAAACAAGCCGTAAAGAAACACTCGACCGCCACCCCGGCTCCTATGTCCCCACCCGCCTCGAGGCAACAATCCCTCACCAACGCCTTCAAGCGCCCACAAAATACCCCGACTCCTCTTGTCAACAACACAAGTACCCGTCCACTATCCACGCTTTCGGGAAATGCGCCTAGGGTCAACACGGAGGCACCCGCTCGGCAAATGTCAGGGCACAAACATGGGATCAAGAGGACCTCAAGCGGCCTAGCAAAAGCATTGGGCTCACAAGAGAGTTCCTTCGACTATCCCTCTGTAAACACATCAGATTGGGAGAGTCCCGCAGTTTTGAGCGCCCAGAACAACACCCAACCACAAATATCCGATCTATTCAATGAGAGTGATTTCGACAGCGACATCGACCTAGATGTAGAGGACCCAGCTACCAAGGCTACTGTGAAAACCCCACAGCCTGCAGTCAGCAACAGTAGCCAGCCAATTCCATGGTCATCATCTCCAGTCGAGCATTTACAGCCGGCCCAGAGAGTTGAACAGTTCATACCTGAGAAGACAAAGAGGCGGACATTACCGTGGCTACAAAACCAAAGTCAGCAGAATCAAACTACAGAGAAGCCGGAGGAGGAGGAGGTGGACCCGGAGACTACGAGGCCACGAAAGCGGAGATCGGCGGAGCCTACCAACGCTGCCAGCTCGACACCAGCACCGAAGAAAGAGAAACCGAAATACGAGTGGCTGGCTACACAGAGCGCAATCAAACAACAGCAAAAGAACCTGAGAGAATCGAACAAGATGGGAGTAAAGGTCAATAAGGCCACCCCCGAGACGAAAGAGGCGGCTGTCGCGAAGAAGAAGACCAACCACGTACATAAGATATTTCTGAGCGAGGAGCAACAACGTGTGCTCAACCTCGTCACAGATCATAAGAAAAGCGTCTTCTTCACGGGCTCAGCAGGTATGTCTTTCTATCCTCACATCTACCATCCTCCCAATAGCAACTTTATATTGACAGTCCACGTCCAGGTACTGGAAAATCTGTTCTCCTGCGAGAAATCATTGTCGGGCTACGGAAGAAATACATCCGCGAGCCTGATCGCGTGGCAGTCACGGCATCGACTGGTCTCGCTGCATGTAACATTGGGGGTGTGACCTTGCACAGCTTTGCCGGCATCGGCCTAGGGAAAGAGCCTGCAGAAGACCTGATCAAGAAGATCAGGCGCAACATAAAAGCAAAGCAAAGGTGGATGCGGACGAAAGTCTTGATTGTCGATGAGGTGTCCATGGTGGATGGTGAGTTGTTTGACAAGCTGGAGCAAATCGCACGAACAATACGGAACAATGGCAGGCCGTTTGGCGGCATACAGCTCATCATCACCGGAGATTTCTTCCAACTTCCGCCAGTGCCTGAACAGGGCCGCGTTGCCAAATTTGCTTTCGATGCTGGAACCTGGACTACCTCCATTGAACACACCATCGGCCTCCACCATGTTTTCCGTCAAAAAGACCCCGTATTTGCGAATATGTTGAACGAGATGCGCGAGGGACGCCTTACCCCAGACTCGATCAGCAAATGGCGAACGCTGAGCCGGCAGCTTGAAGATACCGACGATAGCATTGAAGCAACTGAACTCTTCCCCACGCGCCAAGAAGTCGATCGTGCCAACCAGCTTCGGATGAACCAGCTATCCGGCCAAGTCTACACATTCCATTCTCGCGATGGCGGCTCCATTACCAATAAAGAACAACGTGACAGACTCCTCCAGAACTGCATGGTCCCCGAAACCATCTTCCTCAAGAAAGGTGCCCAAGTCATGTTAGTCAAAAACATGGACGACACATTAGTCAACGGCTCCCTCGGCAAAGTCTTCAGCTTCATGACGGAATCGCAATTCAACAATTACAAAGAAAACGAAGACGCTTTCCTAGAAGGAAGGGGTGGCATCAACGCCTCGGCCGCTCCAACCGCTGCCTCCATCAAAGAACAAGTCCTGGGTTTCTCCACCCAACAAATCTACCCCGTCGTCCGCTTCGCCATCGCCGACGGCACAACACGCGACATCTTCCTCAAACGCGAGTCGTGGAAAATCGAACTCCCCAACGGCGAAGTGCAAGCCTCGCGCGAGCAAATCCCGCTCATCCTCGCATGGGCCCTTTCCATCCACAAAGCCCAAGGCCAGACTCTGGAGCGCGTCCGCGTCGATCTCGGAAAAGTGTTCGAGAAAGGCCAAGCGTATGTCGCGCTCTCTCGTGCGACTAGCATGGCCGGGTTGCAGGTGATGCGGTTCGAGCCGCGCAAGATCATGGCGCATGACAAGGTTCGCCAGTTTTATGCGGGATTGAGTCGCGCCGAGCAGATTCCCGGTGAGGTCAAGGAGAAGACTGTGCTGGGGAAGATGATGGAGCGGTAAATGGTGGTTTTTGTGTCTTTTTCTTTTTGGATTCGCTGTTCTTTTCTTGTTTTTTTTACTATCATGCGAAGGGTTTCACACGGGGGAGGGCTGCGTTAAGTTGAGTTGAATGAGTGTGTGTGTGTGTGTGTATGTGCATACCACGGCGCGTGTTCAAACGGACGAAATTACAGTGGTGTTTTTCTTTTCTCTTTTTTTTCTCTTTCTCTCTCTGTCTGTACAACGACATCGCGCGTCCTTCGTTCTACCCTTCCCTCGAGATTAGCATTCCATCACATTCCGTCACAACCGCGTAGACGTTCGAACCCCCTTTTTTTTTCTTGAGACATTTCTCTCTATCCCTCCCCGTCGACATAGCGTGAGTTTTGTGTGTTATGTCGTGTGCAAATAAAACAGATAGATAGATAGCTATAGATAGCCGTACGATGAATACCCCATCCCCCTCCGTTAATTTCTCAAGGAGGGGACAGGACAGATGTTGTTAGCGTCTTTTCTTCTTCTTCTTCTTCTTCTTCTTCTTCTTCTTCTTCTTCTTCTTCTTCTTCTTCTTCTTCTTCTTCTTCTTCTTCTTCTTCTTCTTCTTTCGATGCTGCTAAGGACGCAAAAGCTAGTTTTTCTTACCCTACGTCTTATTCAAGAATCCAAATTCTTCAGGATAACTGATATACTTCTATACATATATATTGCTTTTGCTAATTGCTCGTTTTTTTTTTTGGTCTATTATTGCTGTAGGTAAACCCTTCGCTGTGTAGGATTACCTTAAACTCTAACTTAAAATAAACAGAAATAAATCGCTTTTGTTAATAGTAATTGTTAACCTATCTATTTTATTTTAATAAACATCCTTTTTCCTCTCTTCTTCTTTCCCCCCAAATGTTCCCCATTTCTCTTTTTTCTTTATACACAAACAACTAAAGAAAAAAGTCAAGGGGAAGGCTGTTACCAAACAAAAGAACGGGTAGAAAGATTGGAATGAATGGAAGAAGCGTGACGACATTAGTCTTAGCTTTTATGCTTAAACTATGATTAACCTCTTTTGATAATAATAGAAGAATGGCAGGGTGAATTCGGAATAACGTATAAATCTAAGCTTTTTGTTTGTCAGCACTGGTAAGAGGTTAGATGACAGTTTAGTATGCTCTGTTGGGCTGGCTACAAATGGAAGCGTCGAAGTCTGTCGTCCTTGTCTCTAAATCAAGGCGTAGCGATGAATTCCTACGACCCCCTCCGCCCCGCCCAACAAAAAAAAAAGAAGGGAAGGGGAATGGAAGTCCGTCCTTTCATGCAATGAAAGCTCTGATCACGCATGTCGTACCTCACTCATTCTTTGACACCCACAAAAAAAAACGGAGGTTGGTTTCATGGATAAAAGATACCAATTGTCACTGTTGCAGTAGTAGAAGTAATGTGTAGCATGCTCGAATCGATTCATACACGCTATGACATGCTTGCTCTGCTGTATTGTCTATCTACGTATACGCCCACGCCAATACCAGTGGCCGGCTTGCCGAGCATGTGGGCGCTCTCTTTCCAACAGAGGAACAGCGTTCGTCTGTTGGACTGGTGTCCCCAAAAAATTGGTATATTACAAGAACAGAAGCTAAAAAGATCATTTCGTGTTGTTGTCGTGTCATCCATGCATGGTGTTCCATGCGTATTCCATTTCCATATCCCGTTGCATGCATGCAAGAAAGAAAAAATAAACAAAAATATGCGTGCCATCCAAAACAGTCACTACAGGGCGTCGATGCTAGTGAAAACTGCACACTGACAGACACTCATGTCAAGAAAAATGTGTACTAGCAAGTACCGACAGACATTAGTCGTCCATGGGTACATAAGTGATGATGGCGATTTGAAAATTATGAGGTGAAGCAAGCCCAACTATGAGCTACATCTCAAAAGCACACTCAATGTGCCTATCGTGTTGGTTCAGTCGATGGGCTCTTGACCGGGCTAGGTGCTTTTGTCTGGCTTCTCGGGTGTAACCAACTTGTGGGCCTCATGGGAAGTAGTGGACTTGTTCGTTGTAGCCTCTACAGTCCCGTTTTGTTCTACCTGCTCCTTGTCGTTCGCAGTTTGCTCGTTTGAGGACTTGTCCTGAGCACCGGCGACCTGTGCGATCAGCACCTCAAAGTCTGCACTCATGCCTTGCATTCCAAATAGATTGGAGTCTGGATTAAAACCCTGCACTCCATTTTGTACGCCACCTTCATTGTGCCCCAACATTATCTCGTTGCCATCAAAGACACCCGTACTGTTCCAGAGGTTTGGCGTACTTGCGGTAGGATCTTCGAAGACTGAGAATCCCAATGTCATAGGAGGGGAGCTTGGTACAGGAAAGTCGCTGGAAAATTCTCCAGTCAGAATGTCCGAGAAAGGCGCTCCGTTGGTATTGCGTCCAGGTGTAGCGAAGGTAGGAAAAATGGAGAAGTCGGAAAAATCGATCGCTCTTGAAGGCGAGCTAAGCATACCCTCTGACAGCAATTCATTGAGTTGACGAGTGAACGGTGTTTCTGGTGCTAGAGTGACGGTTCTCTTGCCTGTCCTTGGCGTCCGCGAGACGCGACCAGGGGTAATTCGATCGACGCAGTCGGCACCAGGTCTAGGAGTCAAAGGGTTGTGTCGTGAAGTGGGTGTTGGCGTTTTTGCGAGGCTCTCCGAAGGTTCGCTCACATGTGTTGTCTTTGGAGAAGGACTTTCTCCGAAGAGATTCGACAGCTCGTGGTGGTCGTCCAACTCAGACGGCGGGCAGTTTTCCTTATCGACTTCCTCCAGACCGAATTCAGGGGTACCGGTTTGAGTACCCTTGGTAGGAGTTGTCTGGGCCCTCGATAGTTGACATGGTCGATTATCAGATAATAGTTTCTTTTCCCCATGCTGTCGAGGAGACGGGAACAAGAGCCTCCGTGTAGGTTTCGGTGTTAAATCGGCATCCTTATAGATGATCGAATTTTTGTGGCCGACTAGTCCGGCAGGGCTTGATCGAATTGCACGAAGCAGTGCAGCTTGTGCGGCTGAGCCCGGAAGATCGTTGCCATCCTGCCCAGCGCCAGCGCTAGCGGAGCGTTCTGGAAGAGTCTTGTTTGGCTCTTCCTCGACCAAGCCATCGAGAGATGCTGGAGTCTCAGAGGGATCTTGCGAATCCTGCACATTGGCTTCGGAGTTGTGATTTGGTGCGTCGGACATCATACCGTCAATATCCGAACGGGATTGCATCGAGGCATTCAGACGGGCAGCCTTCCTTCGCCTTTTGGTCTCTTTGGTCTCTTCTGCTCTCTGAAAGAGTTCGCTAGGCCGCAACGCATGATTTTTTTGCAGATACAGGCCACAGGGATTGCAGAGAACAAGGGGTGTGTATGTTTCGGCCACCCTCTCGTCATCGTTGAGGCTCATCTTGAAGATACGGTATTTTGAGTTGGCTGCATCGTCCTCGACCACTTGATAGGCAGTAATGCTGTTCCCTTTAGATGAAAGCTGCAAGTCTTTTGGGATATCTTCTTGAATGCGTGTAAAGGCACGTCTCCATGCAGGGGTATCGATTTGACCACAATTGTGACAATATTGGGGCATATCTCCAGCATCAAGGGCTTTTTGTAATTTCGTTTGGATGTAATTTCTCTGTGGCCGTTTCGATGGCTTACCGTGAAGATCTGTTATCAGCTCGCCTCCGGACCAAGTATGTGACCTAGAAAGGCCTTCCTTCCTCGGGTCATTGTTGGTATTGTGTGACGTAGGCAGAACATTCGAGTCTAGCGAACCTGGTTTATTTTGCGGTGCTACCGACAGCCCTTGGGAAACGGGGGCATGAGGAGGGGGGTGTGTTGACGTCGGTCCGTTCCCTTCACTGGTAGATGAGTTGAGGTGATCCTGAAAAGATCTCATGAAATCTTCGCTAGCGATTGCGTTCGGCTCCAGGGATGCGGTGTCGTTGACACCATGGTTTCGGGGTGCCAAAGTGGAGCTCACAGGACGTGGACGCCCATATGGACCGTTTGGGTTCGGTTGAGGTGTATACGACCGTGGCAACAGCTCGGGTGGGCCAGGAACGAGTTCGTTCCACTTCCGTTTTGAGTTGTCCGCTTTCTTCCGAGGTTTTGGTTTGGGTACCGCAACGACTTCGCGTTCTGCCACGATCTTCTCTTGTGTACTGACTCCCTCATTTGTGGTGGATAAGTCGCTGACAAAACCCGAATCGTTCGAAGGAGGGGGAGGTGGGAGTGATGGAAGTTCCGGGCTGGAGCGGGCAGGTGATACTGTACGTCGAGGCATCGGAGGCGGGGACGACGGTAAAGTCATTGGTGTTTCCATGGGGCTTCGCCCCTTGCCCTCGTCTCCAGACTCAGCAGCTATATCGGACATAGTCCCCGTTTCATACGACAAACCATATGGATTAGACCCGGCGTCCATAGAAGCATGCCGGGTTAGACTAGGTGCGGGTGTGCGAGAAGGAACGATCGGTTTGCCGAAGTCATCCAGATACTCGCATACTTCACGCCGCTTGCCAGGAGGTTGTTTGCTGCAATTCTGACAAACAGTCCCTAGACCCTCGTTGTGACACTTTTTCTTGATTCTGCGACATCTATCGCATCTCAATATTCCTGTAGGACGTGGGGTCGGTGCTCGTGGAAGTTCCTTCGCGTGATCGAGACCCGGCAGGTGACTATTTGAACGAACATTGCGAACGGATGCAGCCACGCTGGCAGTGACACGAAGCGAGTCAGTATTAGGATATAGAGCAGTATCCTTCTTTGGCCTTTCGGCTTTGCTGATGTGAGCTCGTTTTTTGGGTGGACCGTCCTCCTCACCAGTATTCGTATACGGCAGAGGATGCTTCAGTTGGCTGGCAGGCTCGCTACGGAATGACGCTTGAGAGGCCGGTCTCGGTGGGGTTCCCTGATTCAAGTCTTGGACATACTGCGACGCGTGTTCGCTATCTCGCTGTGGTGGGTGTCTTTGATACGACGCGATACTTATGGCAGGGCTAGAGGCGCGGGTATCATTGGAAGGGCGGGTTGTATGAGGATTGCAATAACGCCAAGTATAGTCAGACTGCTTTCTATCCTCTCCGGGCGCTTGGGGAGTTTGCATGTCGGGGAATGAGTCCACCCCACTGGAGTAACGCCTATCGGATGCCTGCAGGCTGGTTACGGGGACGGGTTGCGCCAGCTGACGAATGGTGGGATTTGCCTTTAAGAACTCGGTCCAAGCATTGTAATCGGACAAATCTTGCGGTACGGCCTTGCTCAAGTTATGATATCTTTCCATGTTCTCAACGTACTCCCTTTGCATGCTGGTCGGCACAGGGACAAGCCTCAACTTGACTTCCAAAGTTTCTTTGATACCATTGGAGAAGAGGCCCAATATGTTGTTGCAGACGCGGCCAGTGACCATGGTCTGGGACTGCTCAGCGGGAGCATTGGGCGTTGCAGAGGCAGAGGCGAGAAGCCATGAAAGCATTCCTTGGCCAACGAGGGGTGTTTCGTATTCGGAATAGTCGTAGGCATAGACGGTGTAATCGTGACCAAGCTTAGCCACAAGCTCGGGGCTTGCAGCAACGACTGCCTGAATGCATGTTTTCAATTCGATGACTCCGATCTGAGTATCTTCATCTAAAGGAACGGTCGGGATGCTTAGAGCGTTTGGTAAACGAGCGAGGCAGTTGGACTTGTTTTGATCGTCGAAGGTATAGAGCACCTTGACTGTGAGCAGTGTTAGAGGAGGACGATGAAAACATCAGTGCATGTAGCTGCTTGCCTCGCATGAGCCGTCGGGGAATACCCTCAGCGGGTTGCCCTTCGCTCTGTGTGTACTGCATGACCGGAGAGGAAGGGGCAGCATGGAAGCTGGCATACGGAGTCGTAGCCATGACAGCAACGGTGACGGCGACGGCGGGTTTGTACAGACAGCTCACCGTCCAGGGCGGCGGCAGGAAAAGAGCGGTTTGCCAGTAGGAGGAATTGGGTATGGCAGGTCGGATGGATGGATGTGTTAATAGATAGGTGGGTAAGGTGCCACAAGGTGAAGGGATCAGGTCAGGTTAGGATGAGCGACAGGGTTGGTTGGCGTGGTGCGGGTGGTAGCTCGCACATGTCGCGGAAGAACGCGTCTGGTAGAGCAAGGCACGCACTCAAATAGCTGCGGCGGAGGTGGAGCGGGAGATGTGGGCGGGCAGCGAGAGTGAGAGGCGGAGAGGGTGGTGTTGTAGACGACCCGCGTCGTCATGAAGCTGCAGAGGCGGGAAAGGCGCGTTGAGAAAGGCGCCCGAGCGCGAGAAGCAAGGTTTGGTCGCGACGAACTCGAGCTATTGTTGAAGGTCGTCGATTCGATCATAGATGGATGGAGTTGATTGATCGCCGCGTCCCGCTAGCAACGCTAGCTTGTTTGCATTGGACGCGCTGGTTCGCCAGGCTGACGGGGAAACAGAATATCCGTCGCCGGGTCATGTGCTTGGCGTGTCCGGCCGGCTGCCTTCGCATCACGCTTTCGCTGAGTGGTCATACATCTATCCAGCATCACCGGCCAAAGCTCCCCACCATCCGTCCTCGTTGCCCCGGCGCCCCTTCAAACTCAATCCCGAGGAATTTCGTCTCCGTGGCCTGTGCCTAATTGCTCACCCCATCTGCCTGTCTTGATACACGTTAGTGAGGTCCCAGGCTCAACTTCGGCTAGTAGAAAACTAACATCGACATAGGTAGCTGGACCTCTTCCGCGCGACCACATACGACACATACATACATATTCACCAAGCAATAAAATGGCTGACGCAAAGCTCCAGTGGGTACTCATCGCATATTTTGCATTTGTTGTACCGATTGCAACCGCTAATCATTCTTCAATATAGAGAGCTTCTTAGCAAACCGCGAAATGAGTTGACGTATGTGCCCACATTTCACTCACCCAACATTTGCTTCATGCTGACCTCTTTTGCTAGTGAATACGAGGTCGCTCAGGTTGAAGAGCACGAGCTCACCACCGGACCGCTCTCTATCCTCCAAACAGCTGTCCGCAGTCGCACCCAGGTCCTCATTTCATGCCGCAACAACCGCAAGCTGCTCGCTCGCGTCAAGGCTTTCGACCGTCACTGCAACATGGTTCTCGAGAACGCAAAAGAGATGTGGACAGAGACCCCCCGCCTGGCGAATGGCCAACCTGGTCGCAAGGTCAACAAGGATCGTTTCATCAGCAAAATGTTTCTGCGCGGCGATTCTGTGATCCTCGTCTTGTTGAGTTAGGCATGATATGATGGCTGTTGTTGCACCATGTCGAGGGTGGATAATTTTGGGGTCATGATTAGCCGGTAGGGATGCCTTTACCATCGTTTTCCATGGTGAACAATCAAATAACTGAATCAAGGCAGCGGAGTTTTGAGAACTTGAAATATTACATGACAGTCGCGAGATCGGATAAGGAACAAAAAAAAAGACACAGACAAATACAACGATAGCTTCACTTCTTCAATCCCTCACTCAGGCCCTGCAATAGTTCTGCCAGGCCATGCGCGCCAGGATCAGGAACGCCCTGCCATCCTTCGCCACCGACATAGACCGTCCGTCCCAAACTAGCTCGCATACCTTGCGTGTTTCTTGCGCCCTCTGCTGCTGCGTTTGCCGCTTCTTCCATGTGTCCTCCTTCAGACAGCTTTTCCACGAACGGGTACAAAGCATCCATTAGTGTACGGTCTCCAGGCTTGGCAGGAGTATATCTGCTCAACGACTGTAGGGATGAGCCTAGAGCTTTCGACCAGATCTCTGCTGTGATGGGCTGTGGTGATGAGGGCGCATTTTGACTCAGACCGTGGGCGAGGGCATTGAAGAAGATGGCGTAGATGGCGCCAGAAGTTCCGTCCATGGCCAACTCCACAACCTGCGTTATCTTTTGCACAAGTGTGAGCGCATCGTCCGTCTTTGTTGCTCCTCGAAGCATCTCCAAGATAGCTATTCACCGTCAGCACTGTAGTGAAATGAGAACAATGAATGCACGAACCTTCGGCCCCGCGCTTGAGCCCAATACCGCAGTCGCCGTCTCCCACAATTGTGTCGTATCTGGTGATGTCCGGTTCGGCTGCGATTAACCTGTTGAGTGCTGTTGTTAAGGCTGACTGGACGATTTCAGGATCGACTGATCGGATGGTTAGCTCGTGCACGCAGTTTTCCGGTCCAAGCAAGACTTACTCCTCAGGTTGCTAGTCCATGTCTCATCGATGTTGGTGTTTTGCCGCTGCATGGGCTCTTCTTGGCTAGTCCACGTATCAGTCTTCACCACAGCAGACCATCCAGCCGCCTCAGAAGGCGCATCTAGCAGTTCGATCATAGAAGCTCCAGCGCCGAGGCCCGTATCTGTCACTCTCAGCAGACTAATACTGAACCCCAGCCCGTTCAAGCTGGTCATGAAAGTACCCGCCAGAATGCGTACGGGCTTGATGTTCCAGTCATCAGCCAGCTGCTCAACAACCTCATTAGTGATGCCACCAAGCTCCAGCACACTGACCCCACCCAAATTGTTCACCAACAACACGACCTCATCGCGCTCGGAGATGTCGACGAAATGGCGGTCCTTGTCCGAGCGGTCCAGGCAGTGTGCGAGCATCGTTTTGACGAGCCCTGGGAGATCAGTCGTCTTGCGCTCCGAGCCCGGCTCGTTGTGGATGCCCATCCCGATTTCGATTTCGGACGGACCCAGCTCGTCTTCGCCTGTGGCCGTGATGGTTCGACCTGGGACGTGGACATGGGAAAGCGATGACCCTATCGAGACGAGGTTATTGGCAGTGAGCTGCGCTACTGCAGATACGTCTTTGAGGGGCGCGCTGTTGTTCACATTGGAGTCAGTGCCACGATTCAATCCTCTCCCCATACCGAGAAACCAACTGAGATGTTTCTCCCGCCCGTCCATCAAGAATCAAAGCAAAGCAAGGAGAAGAAGAAGAAGAACTCACCCCCTCGCCGCAAGCGCCCCAGCAATCTTCAACACCAAACACGTCCCCGCAATCCCCCGTCTCCCCACCTTGCCACCCCTCTCCCTCCCAACCCCAGCATCATCCCCAACAACAACCATATCCGCCTGTACGCCCCTCGCCCTCGCCTTCTCAACCCCCATGCCGAAATTCAACACGTCCCCCGTATAATTCATCACCACAACCAACACGCCCTGCTGCTGCGGGATATGATGCGCAATGCATCTCCGAATCTGCTCCGCAGACGGCGACGCGAAGATGGTCCCCGCGACACTGGCCGTGAGCAGCCCTGCGCCGACAAAGCTGGCGAAGGATGGTTCGTGGCCTGATCCCCCGCCTGACACGATGCTGACGTGGGAAGGGGAGGGGGCGCGGCGGTAGATTGTTTTGTTGGGGAGGTCGAGGGCGAGGGAGGGGTTTGTGTGGGGGAGGGATTGGAGGGCGCTGTTTACGAGGTGTGTTGGGTCGTTGATGAAGTGTTTTGCTGGGTGTCTGAGTAAGTGGTGTGTTCTGTGATTGTAGTAGAGAAGGTGGGAGAGGGAGGAGATGGGAAGGCTTCTTACTAGACATATTTGCTGTTCACTCGCTCGGAGAGGCTTTGTTGACTTTTAGTTTCGTAGACGTTATGAATGCCTCGTTGGTATGCTGATACCTTTCAATTGAGCACGAATTGCACAGCTCTGCGTATTCTTCGAAGAGAGTGCGTAACCAAGTACCTAACAACAAATACGTACTTGTATCAACACAGAAGCAGAAGAGCAAGTCAAAGAAGAAAAGCGGGCGAGAGAGTCACAGCAACGCGGCTAGCCACCACGAACCATTATGTATTCATTGCGAATTGGGTACCTGCAACCCAACAATTCCCCGCGCGCGCGTATTGTGGGGTCATGCAACTAGCTGGCACTGTAGCTCCGTTGCTCAGGCGTGTACCTGTGTGTAGCTCATCTCCGAATTGAGGGGTAAAGCATGTCTCCATGTGGGGTTCTCTGGGTTTTTTGGGGTTGCCGGACGCGCGGGTTACCTGTTTTTGATCGACATGTACTTGGTCCATGAGATGATTTTCGTTCTGGCGGATGTTGTCTCAGGGTACATACTTTTCCTTCTTTTCTTTGACGGATAGCGGAGAGTAGGAAAGGGATGTTTGGTCTTCTGGTGTACTGGGGATTTGGGAAGGGAAAGAGATTGTCTGGATTAGGGAATTATAGGCATGTGGTACGCTTTTGGGAGTGATGGTGGGATGCCGAGGTATAGCCTGCAGTAACCGATGGGGTGAGATGGTATTAAGGATCGTGAGATGTTCGGGCTACAAAAGTATCAAAACCAACGGTCGTGGACTGGTGAAACTGATGATGGTAGCCCGATTCTGATACTGTTCTATGACTGCAAGCATCCATCATGGATTGGCATGACAAGATCCTGGCTGATGGAAACATTTGAATAGCATGCTCACGACTGTAAGGTCGGTTGTTGAAAGTCGAGCCTTCCATCTCTGCTCTTCAGTTACTTCCTAATCCATGGAAGCTCTCATCATGGGGAAGTGCAGGAAGGCACGCCCTCATCTGTCTACAGCGTCCACTCCATTCAACAGAAGATGGCTCGTTACACCCTCCCCACCTCCGCACTCAGATGCCTTCTATCTTTTGACCTTTCCTTGATATGCGACCCTTCATTCTCATTTACTACTTCGGCGATTGGTTTGAAAAGATGGACTCTCACCCTCAAACAGTTATCAGCCCAGTCCTCCCCTCTCTCTACCAAGAGCCAGCGCACGTATATCCTGGTTACATACATGTGTACACAATTACTGAACTGTACTGACCTTGTACCTGCGCGCAGGCCGCCCAAATACACTGTATTGGACCACCTTATCGTGAACATTCCCTCCCACACTCGGCGAGTTCTCTACCTAAAACCTGCCATGGTACTAGCACCCCAAATTCACATCGTTGACCTGACGAATTCCGTTTACCTGCCATCCCACGGCCTGACGGGCACCTACCGATATTATGTTCGGAAGACTATGAAAAGGCACTCGCTTATACCAGATTGGACATGTTATAAACACCAATGGCCTGGTTTGAACTACAGCATTCGAAATGCCGCGGGCGATCATGTCGCGAAGTGGAAACGCCAGGGAGGTTTCAAGCGCAAAGTCACCCTTGACTGCTATGATGAATCGACACACTCGCCTCATGCTATTCTTGTCCGTGATGAGCATTGGTACTCGAACAACCAGAAGTTCACCGTGAATTCTCAGACATATCTTTGGGAGGTGGACAGCTTCTGGGCTCGCAGAAAAATGACTCTATACAGAATCTGTAATGTCGGTTTTCAGACGAAGATAGCGGTGGCAAAGTGTGCGGTATATCGGTGGGGTGGTGGCTCTGTTGTGGTGGTGGATGACAGGAATGTCGATGTGCTTGTGGCCTGTCTGACCATTTCCATAATGTTGCAGAAGATGCGGGAAAGAGGGTAATGGCATGGTTCGCATAGCGTATCGGAACTCAGTCGAGGTGAGCTGTTAGTTGATACTTGGGGAATCAAATTGTATGGAGCTGTACACTGCGAATCTAGCCATTGCCCGCTGACATAAGGCCCGAGGCGAGGGATTCATTCACGAGTACATTAGCCCGACATGATCCAATGGGATGGTACGCTGACGCATACAAGTCATTCGTCATTGACTACCCCGTTGCTGCATACATATGTAGTACCTAGGTACATATATATTCATGTAGGTACCTAGGTATGTATGTACAGAGTGTTCATGTGTGTTGGTTCTGGGGAAACAAGATGCCGGATGATGACGAAAGGCAGGGCATGGTAAAGCATTCCAGGCTTATCTCGTACATGCCTGACCTGCCTCATGCGGTCAAACTACGTAGTATAATTTCATCAAGCAGAAATCCAAAGGGGGGTCCGGTTGGAGCACGTGACACCGTACGGCCCCTGACGGTGCGTGCTGGACTCGCTTCCAAGTTGTTGTTCCTTGAAAAAGGCGATGGATGGGTGCATTAGACTGATTGATCTACATCGATGAGATGCGATTCTTCCCCCCCCCCCGCACGTTGCCATGATCCATAGCTGGAGGCATAAGTGATATTATACCAGGCATCGCTGTAACTGCGGCGGTACCTTGCATCGCCTTGCCCATCCAGAAGCGTTTGAAACACGGCAGCAACAGTAGCGTCCCGCAAAAGCGGCCGTGGAAAGGGAGAGTGGAAGCCGACGTCTGGCGCAGGGCAAGAAATAAAAAAGGGCCTAGCTCATTGACGAGAAATGTGAGAGAGTCGTGTCGCTCGACAGCATCGTTTGGCCCACAAGTGTCTTGCTGGCGCGCGCTATGACGCAAATCCCACCGAATACGCGCGGGAGCTCCTTGGCCCAATGCCCAATCCCCGTTTGTTGCCAGACCGGCTTGAAACGCTCAAGTTGCTTGCTGGCTGGCTGGCTGGCTGGCTTGACTTCGCTTTGCGTTGCTTTGCTTTGCTTTGCTGGTCCACTTCACCCGCCATTATCTGTTTCCTTGCTCACTCTTCATTTATTGCACTTCCATTAATCCTCCCCCTTTCACCCATTTGCCTCCCTTCCCCCTCCCCCACTCGCCACTCTACCTGCCTCGAACCTCTTTTCCCTCGACTCTGCTCCAATCTCCCTAACCGTCTGTATCCAACCCACCGCTTGTCCGCCTCCATTGGTCTGCATGGCCGCCGTTCACTGAACCCCCCCGCGTGCAACGACGGCACGATCCCCACGATTTACGACATTCTCCTGTCGTCCGACCCATACCTGCAGTGCTACGCGCGACTCCTACGCCCACTTTCCCTTCCTCCAACATGTCTAATCTTTTCGACCCCGAGGAAAACCCCAACGCCGGCAAAGGTCTCGACGACTCCAAAAACCAAAGTATCAAGACTTTTGCCGCGTCTCTCGCCACCGGTGCTATTGTCTTTGGCGCACAGATTGCCGTCTTCCTCATCCTGAGTGGTAATTGGAAGATTCGACGTTCAAAGAACGCCAACGAGCTACCCACGGAGCGCCAAAGCTTGTTCCACAAGATCTAGTAAGCCAACCCTCCCTACCAGCCTGTTCTTCTTTCGTTCAATACAATGACTGACTTGCTGTTGCTAGCTACTACAAGACAGCCTTTGTCACCAAACGAAAGAGAATCGCAGCCCCGACGACCGCCCTAGAATCCATCCGCAATGTCTTTACCATCAGCGATCGCGAGCTCATTCGTGTTGCCGGTGTGGACGGTTTCCTGTTCTTGCAATACCTCCAATTGCTGCTGCGCATATTCATCCCCATGGCCATAGTCATCTTGCCCATCCTCCTCCCCCTCAATCGCATCGGCGATGTCCCTGGTACCACAGGCCTCGACAGTTTCGCTTGGCCCAATGTCAGCGTGCCTGCAAAGCGAAGTCGCCTCTGGGCTCATGTCATCTTGGCTGTGGTAGTCGTAGCGTGGGTTTGCTACAATTTCTACATCGCTCTCAGGAAATTTGTGCGCTTAAGGCAAACCATTTTGACCGTGCCAGAACATCGTATCCGTGCTTCTGCTACCACCATTCTGGTACAGAGTATCCCTAGGAAATGGCTTACTGTTGCTGCGCTTGACGCTCTGTACGACGTGTTCCCGGGTGGTATCAAGGACGTTTGGATCAATCGCAATTACGATGAATTGATGGAAAAGGTCAACCAGCGAACCAAAATTGCCCGCGCGCTCGAGGCCGCCGAGACGAATCTCATAATCAATTGCACAAAGAAGCACGCAAAAATGGAAGAGAAGAAGGCAAAGCAGGACGGCAAGAAGAAATCCAAAAAAGAGAAGAAGCAGGAGACGGCCAGGCGCAACTCTGTCATTGATCAGAATGCTCATGAGCAAGGATACAGTGCTAACAACCCTCACCAAATTGAGCAGACCCTTCAAGCAGTCTTGGAAGAGTCTTCTTCGAGCTCTTCATCGTCTTCGTCATCTCGATCATCATCCCCAAATCGAAAACGCAAAATGATCCCTATTCCTATTGTTGGGCAGGGCTTCCAGGTGGTCGGAGAAGGCATCCGCGATGTGGGCAAATTTGGCGGGAAAATGGTCGGCGGATTTAAGAAAGGCTTTGTAAAGCACGATCGGCACCCGGATCGGCCTCAAGCCGAAGAAGTTGGCGAACGGCCCCTCTCGTCGCCTGCTATGGCGGACTTTGAAGTCAGAGGAACGAGTACTGACACTTATACGGCTCTGAACGACCCCTCCAAAAACGCTTACCAACCCGAGGAAAAGTCTCCCGTTTCCTCTGACCCCGACACGCTCCCAAAGAAACGCCCGCATACTGCTGAGTCGACCTTGGGCCCATTGAAACCCCTTTCCGCACTCAAAAAGTCGCCTCTCAACCCTGTCCGCCGGATGAGCGATTTTGCAAGCCCGCAACCTTTCCGTGCTGAGGGGGAGGAGTTTCCTCTAGAAACCAATACCGCCGAGCCGATCAAGTACAACTTTACAGGTGTATATGATGAGAGTTTCATCGAGGATGACGAAAATGCTTTCTGGAGAAAATACATCAAACCCAACGACCGCGAGACCATGCGCCTTCCCATTTTCGACAAGTCCTGGTGGCCAGCGCTTCCTCTCATCGGGAAGAAGGTGGACACCATATATTACTGTCGTAAAGAGCTCGCGCGCCTGAATCATGAGATTGCGATAGACCAGGCCGATTTGGATCGGTTCCCGTTGATGAACTCCGCCTTCATCCAATTCAATCATCAGGTCGCGGCTCATATGGCTTGCCAGTCGTTGAGTCATCACATCCCCCGTCAGATGAGTCCTCGTACCGTTGAAGTCAACCCTAACGATGTGCTCTGGGACAATTTGACAATGTCTTGGTGGATGCGTTACATCCGAATGTTCTCTGTCATCGTTCTCATCGTCGGTCTGATTATACTTTGGGGTATTCCAGTTACTTTCACTGGTGCTCTGTCCCAGATCAGATCACTGACAGATGATGTCAAATGGCTCGAATGGGTTGCGGACCTTCCTGGCTGGTTTATCAATTTCATACAGGGTGTCCTGCCTCCGCTATGTCTTGCTATCCTGTTTGCTTTGCTGCCGATTGTGTTGCGCTTCTTAGCTGAATTGACTGGTACCACGACTGCTGGCGAACGAGAACTACTCGTGCAGAACTTCTATTTCGCATTTGTGTTCATCCAGCTGTTCCTCGTCGTGTCAATATCTGCGGGTATCATCTCCACGCTGGAGACGTTATTGAACGATCCGATCAGTATTCCCCAGACACTCGCAAAGGACCTCCCGAGAGCAGCCAACTACTTCTTCTCGTACATGATTTTGCAGGCGCTCAGTATCAGCTCCGGAACTCTTCTGCAGGTTGGGCCCGTTCTTCTCCTATTGGTCAGTCGCTTTCTGGACACGACCCCACGGCAGAAAGTTTCGAGGGTACTCAGCAGGCCGGGTATCAACTGGGGAAATATGATTCCCGTCTATACGAATTTCGGAGCCATTGGACTCATCTACTCCATCATATCTCCTCTAATCATGATCATGATGTTGATCACCTTCAGTCTGTTCTGGCTCACATATCGATACCAGATGATATATGTCTCGTATGCCAAGGCCGAAACCAATGGGTTGATTTACCCCAAGGCGATCAATCAGTTGTTCACCGGCCTCTATTTCCTCGAGCTTGTCTTGGTTGGCTTGTTCCTATTGCAGGAAGGGCCAGATGGCGGCAGGGCCTGTCTTCCACATGCTATCATCATGATTGTGACGGGCGCCTTCACGGTATTGTTCCAAATGTTGCTCAATCGAGCGTTCGGCCCGTTGTTCACGTACCTACCCATTACCTTTGAGGATGAAGCGGTCGAGCGTGACGCTGAATTCCAACGTGCTCAGGCTTCTCGATGGAAGGCTAAAGAAGACGACGAGCACGCTTCGCTTACCGAATCTCTAAACACAGAACTCGAGAAGAGGGAGAAAACAGAACGGCGCCAATCCCAACTCATGGAGGATGAAGATCGCCGCCGGTCCAAGGGCTATGTGGACGGCGCTTATGAAATGAAACAGCTCGATCGATCCCAAACTCGAGAAACCTCCCAGCCGCCTTCAGGCTCGGAGAGCCCCGAACGCTCCAGGAAAACAAAATGGACCGACCGCTCCCGCGACCGATCACGCTCGCAGTCGCTACAGCCATCCAACAAGCCCAGCAGCGCCAAGAAACACAAATCAAAGAAACACAACAATAACCCCATGGACGCCATCTCCAATGCCCTCAAGGTTGGCATCGACGACGCCTCCCGTCCTATTCGTGATCTCGAGGCCCAGGCCGCGCGTGTCCTCCCCAGCGAGAATCTCTTCGACGACATCGATGACCAGCTTGAAGATATCGAACCCGATGCCCGTCAGAAGTTGATTAAACGCAGTTTCCAGCACCCAGCTACCCGCGCCATCCAACCTGCCATATGGATCCCGCACGACACAATCGGTATCGCTAAGGACGAGATCGAGCGTACTGCGGCGTTCAGCTCCAAGGTCTGGATCACGAGCGAGAACGCGCAATTGGATGCAGATGGGGGTGTGCTGTACCGTGGATTGCCACCTGACCGGGATCCGTTTGAGAATATTGAGGTCTAAGTTTGGTGTAGGCTGGTTGCGTAAGTGCGGGCCTTGCCTTGATCTCGAGACAAAAGAGGACGAGTGATGATTATTTTGGAATACCGTTTTTTCTCCATGCGTCTCCCGTCTCTGTACTTTTTTTTCTCTCTAGATTTTTTCTTTCGGTTTGTGGGGTCCCACCCTCTTTAATTTGGGGGGTTTGTTGCATAGCGTAGGCGTAATGGAGGTTCTCAACGGCCTCCCCTCTTTTTTTTCCCTTTTCAGCGGTACACATAGTGGAATGTATAGCGATAACAGTGACAGTACCACTTTGAAATTGAATTCGAATACTCATAAAATAGAACATATATGCATCCATGCACGCGTCCTCACATTCCGTTCCATTACCGCTCATCCAGAAAACATAGGCAACATGATCCCATCGATGAACCTCGCTGACCAACTACGAAACAGCAGCAGCAACAGCAGCACTGGCCCCGGAATTACCTCCTCCAGAGTTCGCCTCCTGAAACGACAGTTGTGTGCGCCTGAGCATAACCATTGCCGTAAGCGTGGCAACTGCGAGATCAATCTCTCTCGCATCGATCAGGAGCACGCCGTTGCCATTCCCCGTACCATGCTTGTCAGCGTACCTTGCGACAATAATCTAACAACACTCTAGTCAGCCCTCGTCGAAACACAAAACCGTGCGAGAAATCCAGGAAAGGAAAAGAAAAAGAAAATCGAAAAGGGGGAAAAAAAAAAAAAAGAAACTTACAACCTCCCCACCCGCACCGCCCTCCATAACAAGCACCATACGACTACTCTTAACCCTCGACTCAAACCCCCACGTAAACGTGCGACTCTCAAACACAAACGCATTCCTCCTCGTCAACCACTTGACAGGCTTCATACTAACAACGCCCTGCTGCGCCGCTCGCCCCTTGACAAACTTCATCTCCGCTTTACTGCACGAACTACTAATATTCTTCAGATTCGCAACCTCCTCTTCCTCTCCCTTCTCGCGTACAGCAACAAAACTCGAGCGCGAGCTATACCAGTGTTTTTTGCGCATGGTGAAGAGCGGGGGCGCGGCGGGACCGACGTCTTTTGCGGCGGCGAGGAAGGAGGAAGGGATTGTGTCGCCGGCGTAGGAGGAGAGCGGGTTGGAAGGGTGGTGGGTGAGGTTTGTTATCGGTGTGGATTTGGCGTAGATGCTGTGTTTTGTGATGTAGAGGGCGTGCGTTGGGGAGAGGGATATCGCGTTTGATAAGGGTGGGCTGGTGGAGGACGCGGCGGATGCGGTTGAGAGGGCGGATTTCTCGGAGTAGAGGGTCGCTGAGGAGGTGGTTTGGGGGGCGTTGGGGTTTAGGTAGGGACCTTGGGGTTGTGGAGGGGCTAGAGTGGTGGGTTGAGGTTGCTGGGGATGGTTGTAGGGCGGGTATTGCTGAGGGTGTTGTTGGTGGGATAATACATCTTGGTAGGGTTGGGGTTGGTATTGCTGGGGGTATTGCTGCTGTTGCGGGTATTGATATGTTGGTGGGTAAGGTGGTTGTTGGCTCATGGTGGACATGTTGGATAGATTTGAAAGAAATAAAATCAGTGGATGATTGGACTTTTGTGCAAAAGCTAGAAAAGATGATGAAGAAGCAGTTTAGGATATTCGATACGAGGGTCTGAAGGTCCAAGAATATGCCATCTCATGCCTACGTACTTATACTCTCCGCTCACCCTTCGAACGCATAGTCCTAAAGTCCTAATTCACCGATGGATGGTTTAGCGTTGATCCAGCGTTGGCTGTGCTCGTCCACTACGATCTCAGGGAAAGTCCCCGTGCAGCTGCGGCTTAGATCCTCTTCCCTGATTATGGGCACCGAGTTTCGTGTTTAGCTGCAGCGTGACGTTGGATTCGGTGAAGCTTTTGGAAACTTCGCCCCCATAGTCCCGTGTTTCGCTGCAAAATGACGTCGATTCCGTTGATTTCAGTGAAGCAGTTGGGAACTTCGCCCCCATTAGCCCCAAGCCTTGCGGTCGAATACGGTGGCCGTGCACCCTTTTCAGGGCAAATCAGGGTAACTTGCAATCTTTTCTCCAAATACAGTTTAGCTGAATGCTTATCTTCTAGAAAAGGCTCGGCGAGATGTGCGGCGAATTATTCGGCGGGCGTGTGAGATGGGGACCGTCACGTGCGACCGTACCAACGCGCGTGGAACGTGTGTTAGAACGCCCCCGCGTAAGTTGACAGCATCTGCCAATCTCGCAGCAGTGAAATCAACCCACCATGTCGCGACAAGGAACCGTGGTGGAGCAGAAGCAGCACTTTATCCAATTGCGCAAGCAGTACCTCTCGCGAGGCATTGTGCCCTCTGAGAAGCTGAAGCGCATCGCGCAGGAAGGCGGCGTGGAACTCAGCGTGCTCAAGGGCGCATTAGACAAAGGTACGATGGAATCCTTCAACCCACCCCTCCCAGAACCAACAGAAACCCCACGATTTTGTGAAGTTATTGAACTAACCGACGAGTTGGATAGTGAACCGCGAACTCAAGCAACACTCGCGCAAAGTATACAGCCGCCAAATGACCGAACACGTCATTGAGCAAATCGACAAATTCTACTGGGCCTCGGGAGCTCGCGAACTCTCTTCCTCCAACGACCAGAACCACGACGACGACGACGACGACGACGACGACGACGACGATGCGGAACCCCAGATCCACCAATCCGACGACCTCACCCTCGACTCCACAATCTCCAAACTGCCCACCCGCTGGGACACTTCCGCCGACCCCGATCCCCCACACCACCCTTTAAACGCCGACTCCGACGACAACAACGAAGAGCTTACACAAGACACCTACCTCCACTCCCTCACGCACCTCCAGACCCTCTCCGCGCGCCGCCTCACCTTGCAGCAGAAACTCAACACGTACAAGACGCTGCTCTCGCTGCTCCAGCCGTACAGAAACCCCATGCAGAGTATCCAGCCGAACCTCGTAAGCAAAAATGCTCCCGTCGTGGCTGAGATGGGCAAGACGAGGGCGCTGGCTATACGGGTTGCGGGGAGGGTTGAGGAGCGGTTTGGGGATGTCGAGGTTCCCGGGACGAATGAGGATGAGGGGGATGTGGTCATGGGGGGTGCAGGGGCCGACGAGGTTGGGAAGGTAAAGAGGGTTTTGGATGGGTGGTGAGATTTTGGGGAGTGAGAAGGAGGGTGGGAGGGGATGGCGTAGATGGAGTTTGACTGCGCATTCGACGTAGTGACGTATACGACGTCCCAACGATCCAGTGGAGATGCACGGATTTGAAATGTGTGGTGTTGAGGTTGATGAAGTTGAGGTTGATGAACCATGGTTTGCTCGTTGCCCTCTGCTATAAAAGCTACAGCAGAGTCCTCACAAGGCTTTCCACCTCATCAACCTTGTCCTACCCACCTCGCTATGGCACCCACCCTCACACCCGTGCCGCGTGACGAAGCCTTTAAAATCACTCTGTCGCGCGACTAAGCCTTCCAAATCGACCCACGCTGCGTGGCAGAGTAATTTTGAAGATTTCGTTGCGCGGCGTGGGTGTCAGGGTGGGTGCCATAGCGAGGTGGGTAGGACAGGGTTGATGTAATTCTTTGTGTTTTTTATTATATTTTCCTTGGTCGCGGTTTGAGGGATAGGGTATACCCACGGAATCTTACATTGGCGTTTTTCTTTTCCTCTTTCTGTTCTTGGAAGACGAACGGTTCCTTCAGACTTGGGGTAGGCAGTATCAATGTTTCACGGGGGACCACAAAAGGTCGAGGTTATTCCCTAGAACATGCGTGGATCCGCATGTAGCCTTGTAGAGTATCTCGCCCTTCTGTAATGATTTGCGTCCTTCCCTTGGTCAGTCATGACGAGTAGGGAGATGGTAGCCGTTCGCTGCTAGGACCTAAGCCAGGATGAAGATTCAGAGGACATGGCATGGGAATCAAAACAAGAGTAGAGGGGTATCGTATCTATTTCTACAGAGTTCTACTACGGAGTGTATATAGGTTCCAGAAAGAGAGGGGAGAATACGGACACGCCTTTACCATGCATCCATGCACTCATCTAAATATCTTCTATAATACAGTTGACTCCCCCCCAAAACCCGATCTATCCGCCCAAACATTCCTCCTTGAATCAACTCTACTCAGGCAACGTCCGCATAACGCCTTCAAACGCCACAAGCGCCATAGCATTTGCGGGGAAAGCCCTCAAAAAACACGGCGTGAAACCCCTCCAATACCCCTTCCATCCTTTCTCGCGATGTATGGCTTTCGCCGCATCTCTCCACCCTGCATAGCGTCGCTGCTCGCCCAGCGGATCCGTCATGATCTTCTGCTTGATGACGTCGCTGGGGTACGACGTGATCCAGAAGATTTGTGCCGAGAGGCCGCCGGCCCAGAAGTTGATTGCGGGCGCTGAGAGGGAGGTGTTGCGCTGGAAGTAGGTTGTGAAGAGGTCGTAGGAGCCCCACCAGAAGACGAAGAAGGTGCGGAAGATGAGCGTTGCGAAGAGGCCGTGGTAGATGCCCCGGAGGCCGTGGTGTTTGAACTGGATGGGGAGGCGCAAGGTTAGTGGAATTGATTCTGTGGTCTGCGATCTCCCTTTCCCCCACGCTCTGTGGGGCTTAGGGGAATGAGCGGGGGTGATGTAGGGGGGAACGTACTGTCTTTTGTAGACAGTCTATTGGACCTGTGTATAACCTCTTGCTTTTATCGGCTGCGTACTGGACCTGCAGTCTCGCCTTGATGTGCTCAACTGGACCGGCAATGAAGGATACAGTCCATCCCGCCATTGCGCCTGCCATTGAGTGACCTATGACGGGCATTTTCTCGCCTTTTCTCGACCCAGGGTTGAAGAGATTGTCATTCAATAAACGACGGTAGATGCTCAGTGATCCCAGCATACTGCATTCATGGAGTCAGCATATCGGCCTGTCTCTAGCGAGTCGCTTGTCGAGGATAACATGGCTGTAGATGGTGGGAGGGCGTACACCGAGTCCATGAACATCCAGCCCACCAGCGGCGGCGTGGCGCCTTTGTATAGTCCCTTGACTCCCTCATTCCGCAGCGTCTGAAGCAAGCAATCGACGGGTCCTCTGAATTGTGAACTCTCGGAGGTTTGTAACCGGACCTTGATTGTATCAAACGGATGTCCCACTGTGTTGGCACGATATATCAGCCTGATGTGCCTTATCCGAAGGCAATGCAGCTACGCACCGCATAGTTTGGTAATGCCTGAGAAGGCACCGGCGACGAAGCCGCGGTAGTTTTTCGGTTTGTGGTCCTGATCGCGTTTTCTGGGCGCGTCTATGAAATCAGGTGGGATATCGGTCCTCACCGCTGACGTCGACATGGCGGGCTACGCGTGGATGGTGATGTTGATGGATGTGAGCGATATCGGGGGACAGTCCATGAGCGAGCGTCTTCACGAGGGGGTAGACATGTGTAGGCAGTGCGATGCGGCTCGCGAGGCAGTCGAGCAGAGCAGTGGTTGACGATTGGAAAGCTGTGATTGTATGGTACCATGTACCTATGTACAGACTGTAGTATCTGATCAACCTCGCGCTGACCACATGTTTCGTGCATTAGGTAGGTTTGGAATTCGGACATAGGCAAGACTCCCCGAGACGCAGATGATGACGAAGACGATCTTGCGAGATCGGCTAGTGGGATCTGGACTTTGGCGGGCAGCAACGGCGGCTTTACGGGGCCAGCAAATGTACTGGGATCTGCCATGTCGCCATGTACGAGAGAGTGGGGGGCTGTTGCTTATGGCTCTTTTTCACGATCCATCGCATTCGTCTCTGCCATGTTTTGCCGATATGCAGCACATCAAAAATAATGAGAATTCCTTCCACGACGTCTTCATCTTTTCCTGATCTCTGCTTACTAATTCATACACGTTGGACCCAACGCTTATTCAGTACAGAGACAATTCCTTGAAGCAATAACATAACCCAGACAGTAACCGTGGAACGTAAATACAAATACAGAGTAGGCCAGCTCCCCGGCAACTCCCCTCGACGGCGGCATACACCCCTCCAAAACCGAACGTCTACATTACATCGACTTTCAGACATGGCAACCTCGACACCGTCGCGGGAGGAATTGCCCATTGGTGGTTCCAAGAGAGGTGAGTGCGCGCCTGAGGCGGGGCCTACGTGGTTGTTGCGACGGAGGATTAATCAAAAACAAAATCATAGTGTGGACTACTCTGATCACCAACACTGCTTACCTCACGGGACTTCTCACCCTCGATTACTCCCTCAAATCTCAGGGCTCCAAATATCCCCTCGTCGCACTATACACCGATACCTTCCCCGCCGAAGGCCATGCGGCCCTCGATGCGCGCAACATTCCCAAGAAGCATGTCAAATACCTGCTTCCCACGAAAGGGAGAGACTACACCAACGACCCGCGGTTCTACGACTGTTGGAGCAAATTGACGCCCTTCTCCTTGGTGGAGTATGAGCGGGTTGTGCAGTTGGACTCTGACATGCTGGTACTGAAGAACATGGATGAGCTGATGGAGATGGAGCTCGACTCGCCCGAGTTGGGGGGCAAAGGCGACAAGGTGTTCGCGGCAAGTCATGCTTGCGTTTGCAATCCGCTGAAGAAGGCACACTACCCCAAAGATTGGTACGTATCTCTTGACTCCCTCGAAATCGGATCGTGATGGACGGCGAGCTGACAGACAACACGTTGGTAGGATACCGGAGAATTGCGCGTTCACGTCGCAGCATTCCACACCGGACGAAGCACAACGCACGGGAGCGTCGCCCTCATTTGGGTTGGGGATGCCGAATGGTGGCCTGCAAGTGGTAAACCCATCGCAGGCCGTCTACCAGCTCATCCTTGACCAGCTTGCAAAGGACTCGTCGTTTGACTACGACTTTGCGGACCAGTCACTGCTCGGCGATGTGTTCCGCGGGCGCTGGGTTGCGCTACCGTACATCTACAATGCGCTCAAGACGTTGAGGCACAAAGGCGTACACGAGCAGATTTGGAGGGACCAGGAGGTCAAGAACGTGCACTACATTCTGAGTCCGAAGCCATGGGATGAGAAATTGGGGGAGCATGCGGAGGAGAGCCACAAGTGGTGGTGGGACGTGAACCTTAAAAGGCGAGAGGCAGAAAAGGCGCAGGGGCTAGACGACGAATTCTGAAGACTTGTCCTAATTCACGAATTGGTGCTGCTGTTGCTGGCAGAGAATCATCAGATAACCACCGTTGATGTTTAATGACACGGTCCTGTACCTGCAGCTTAAGATTAGCACTACTGCAGGCCGTACGCAAGCTGTCTCCCAATCGTTAGTTTGGCGCATCAAGTTAATTACCACTTCACCAAGGGGCTCGCTCGCGCCGTTGTGGAATGCCATGGCAATTGGGTGGCATGGAGATGGGGCATCGGAGCATGACGCCGAAGGCCTGGGAAAAGGACACCAAAAAACAAAAATCGATAGAGGCGTAATCGTGCCGAAAGGTGCACGATGGATAAGGAGATTGCCTGCCTAGTAGCTGATGAGTGAAGTTCGGAGTTGGACTTAACGTTAGTCGACGGCGTGTGGTGGACGGTAGAAAGCTGGATTAGATAGGACAGAGAGAGAATAGGGATAGGGGGCCCGAGTGCCTGTGCGATCTGCGACGCGCCTGCTCTGTTTCACCCTGAAGTTTCGTGCCTCGTCCCATCCATCCCCTCCACACTTTAAAATCTCACGAACCACCTCCCTCGTTGCCCGCAACCTCGACAATTGATTTTCGATTGAGCAGGACTCGTGCAAACTCCCCCGCCTTACTCCCGGACCGCTGCTCCTCCTCCTTCTCCCCCGTCGCGCCTGACTCCGTCCACACCTCCCCATACTACCAGCTCCTATCTATCTATCTCCCGCTTGATAGCCAGCAATCATGGGTGCCGGAATATCAAAGATGATGAACAAGATCTTCGGATCCAAGGAGATGCGCCTTCTGATGCTGGGACTTGATGCCGCCGGAAAGACAAGTCTGTTACCTTTACCACCCTGCATCCATGGATACCGCCTGCTGACAGCCTCCCTCCAGCCATTCTTTACAAGCTCAAGCTCGACCAAGACGTAACCACCATCCCCACCGTCGGCTTCAACGTCGAGACCGTCACCTACAAGAACACAAAGTTCAACGTCTGGGATGTCGGGGGCCAGGACAAGATCCGTCCCCTGTGGAGACATTACTTCTCTGGTATGTGGCAGCGAGGTAGTGAGCAGGTTGCGGGTAGGCGCGTGCTGCACATGTTGACAGCCCGGCGATACCCCAACCCCCGCACACGACCGACATCGCGAAGCTGCTGGTCCTTGCTGACTGGACAACAGGTACTCAGGGTCTCATTTTCGTTATCGACTCAAATGACCGCGACCGTCTCGATGAAGCGCGAACCGAACTTGCCCGTATCATCCAAGATCGCGAAATGAAGGACGCCCTACTCCTAGTGTTCGCAAACAAGCAGGATTTACAAGGAGGTGCGTGTGCCGCGTTGCGACCGCATGTGACTACAGGGCCCCCATGCTAACTCAATACAGCCATGCGACCAAAGGAGGTCTCAGACAAGCTACAACTCGAGAAGATTGCCAAAGACCACGTCTGGAAAGTTGAGCCCAGCTGTGCGACAACAGGAGAGGGTATCTTCGAAGGACTGGTACGTTCCGCTCACTGGTTCCCACGTCGATCCGTATTAGACTTTGTACTGACACTTAGCAGGCATGGCTATCCGCCAACGTCAAGATTCCCCCGAAATAGAATGCTCGCTTTCCATTGACGAACCATCCCACTCTCCTACGACCGTGTGCGCAAGTTTCTTGTCCAGCATATACCCTCTTCTTCGGCTCTCCGCTTGTATCTTATAATAGTGCCTCTCGTTATATCGTATCCTCTTCTAATCACGCACACTCCGGCCGCCGGCTCCTTCTCCACACATACCGGAAAGGCAAAACCCAGCGTCCATTTTCGATTCTATCCCACACACAAACGCCTTTGCGGCTCAGCTTATATGAAACCTGGATCGATGGAACGAAAGGGCCATGATACCCCCCTACAGATTATCTGAGAGGGTCTTTCCCCCTTCAATTCCTCCTCTTTTTTGATGTTGTTTGTTTACTCTGTCTCTCCGGACGTGGCTTATCCCGGCGTACCTGATAGCTCCTTGTACATTTTGGCTTGCGGTTGGTCTTTTATCGGCGTGGGGAACAGTGATGGTGGGGAGGAAGCGTTTGATAGGCGATCATATGGACATGCATTTGAAACTTCTCCAGAAAGTCCCGTCGGCGGCACATGTTGTGTTGTAAATGTGAAGAGTTGCGCCGTTTCCGCTTGTGAGTGCGGACCTACATAGGTAGACACCACCAATGACAATAACAATAACTTTACCGATGAGTCAAGTCTCTTTCGACTATGCAGCATGTATGATCCTCAGCGGGCCGAAGTGGAGAGAGGGCTAAACAAAAGATTGTAAAAGGGAACTCAAATGAAAGAAACGCCCGAATAACCAGAATTCGCACTATCTATAGTACTAGTGAGTTTATGTACCTTTCCATCCTCCCTCTCCCTCTCTCTCAATCGATCAATTCCTAATCCAAAGCGATAACCTCTCAAGCTTTATCAGGCAAAACATACCTCCTCTCAACACTCATCTCACGATCCGCCTCATCCTCGCCTTCAAACCTCAGCCTCACCCACTCATCACCCAACTCCTTCTCCCCCTTCTCCTTCTTAACAACGACGCCTTTCTCCGCCCCCTTCCCTTCCTTCTCGCTGCTCCCACCATTCCCATTCCCATTCCCACCCCCGGCAGCTTTCTCCCCAAGCCCATTCCCCTTCCACGCCCCGACAACCTCGGCTTTATAAAACGTCGTTGTGCCAGGGTACAGCGCGAGCACGTTTTTGCCACGGCTCAGATCTGGCAGCGTCATGTTTTTGACGGCGGGCGGGATGGGGACGAGGTGGTTTACAGACGCGCGGTAGGGGACGGCTGGGGTTGGGGGTTCGGGGTCTGCGTCGATGATTTCGTAGCGCCGTTGCTTGCCTTCGCCGATGACCGACGTTACGCGGCAGAGGATGCCTTCGCCTTCCGAGGTTGGCGGCCGTGAGGCTTTGGGGTTGCGGTAGAGCACTTCGGTGTGGACGTGGAGTCGGGGTTTCGGGTCTGTGGGTTGTTGGGGGGTTATATGTTAGACTTGTTGTGCTTTTCTTTTCTTTTTCAGTTTTGTTGTATCAGTTCTTTCTTGGGAGAGGGGGAGGGGTAAGGGGAATAAAGGGGGAGGATGGTTGGTCCGGGTGAAAGAAGGGAGGAAGAAGGAAGGAAGAATGTAGTTTTCTTTTTTCGATGGTGTGTGCCCCATTTTACAGCGGTTCCGTAGCGTAGAGTAGAGTAGAGAAGATCGAACAAAGATGAAGAAATGACGAGAATTTTTTTTCCCACCCTGGGTATCATATACTGATATAGTGACCGATGAAAACATAATATAGTGGAAGAAGAAATGATGATTGAAAAATGGGCAGGCACCGCTTCTTTCTCCCCTTTTCACCGCGAACCCCCCTTCTTGGAGGATGCAGATTTGGATGTCAAAGAACGGGAATGAGAAGATCGCTGTTTTCCCTTACCCTTACTATGTTCACCATCCTCCTCAACTTTCACACTGCTCTCCCGTCCCGCTGGCACGCTGCCGGCCCTACTTCCACCATTCTTGTGTAGTAGGCGATCTTTGCTCAGGATCTTGGGACTGGGTGCCACGGGGCTGTCCGCTGCGATACTGTCGCGGTCGTCAATAGCATCCGTCAGTTTTCGCTTGTTCTGCCGATCTCGCGATTTTCCCGTGTTGGTGGCACGTGACGTTGCGCTGTCTGTGTCGGCGGAGCGCAGCGCAGAGAGAATGCTAAGTTGTTCGCAAATGTCGTTGCCACGTTCTGACTTGACGAGTGTGAGCATTTCTTCCGAGAGTTTAATGTTTTCTCGGAGGCTTGCGTCGAGCTCTGCGTCAATTCGTGTCGAAGGTGAGTCGCCCCGGGCTGTAGGGGCTGTGGTCAACGTCTGAGTATGGCATAGGGATGCTAAACTCACTTATCCGCGCTGCTTGATCGGCATCGAGTTCTAATATCTTCTTTTGTAGCTCATCTGAACGGGCCTTGATGGAATTAGCTGTGAGTATGAAGAGGCTTATAGTCATAAGTGGCTATGAACAAGTCTTGTAGCGTGAAGTTGACAACAGGACATATAAAGAGTAGAAGATGGCGTAATCCTTGTTTGTAATCTTGATACAGTCGGAATATTGGTAGAGCCCTCTCGAATGTGCCCAAATCACTACTCGGCCATCTCTTGCTTGCTTTCACCAACTCCCGTGTAACGTCAAAGTCCAAGTGCGAGATAGAGCTATTCCAGTGTGATGGCCGCGAGGCATAGATGTTTTCAAACGTATCCTTTGAACGGCAGGAATTCGAGGTAAGAGTGGAACAATCTCGAGCTATTATTGTTTTGTCTCCGAAATGTGTCGTCCAGTTCGTTGATATTCAATGCCATGTTTGGAAATGTAATCTTCGGTCCGGCGCCAGTATCAAATAAAACAAAGAAGCCTCTGATGAATCGCTTCCGAATGTGAAGAAAAATCATATTTTATCTTACCATGAGTTGATCAAATCGGCGGCCATCGGCCTTTATTTGATTCCACAGTGACCGCTCTTCGTCGATCTCATCCTTGAGTTGCCCAGCGCGGGGCCGACTGCGTGCAGCCATGGCTTGGAAACGATTCTTCGTCCCTGCCTCATCCACTACCACATCAACAATCCACAGACGCGCATGGAGTGATAACTGTAGAGAACGGGAAGGAAAACAGAAGCGTTGTAGAAAGGCGTGTGTATCACGACGTTGCTTGGAACCCGCGCCTGCAGGGCAGGCATCTAGTCGGGTTTAAGCTTAGGCAGCTGACTAAGAAACTTATTTCCACCCCACTATGCGGGGAACTGGACTACATGTGAACTTGAGCAGGGTCATCCGTTCTTAACACCAGAAACTCGAATTCCGCGGAAATTATACAAAATGGTTCTCCAGGTACCACTTATTCGGCTCCAATGCGGTAAGACTACTCGTAATTCTATGATTGTCCCCAGACTAACCTTGCTATAGGTGTAAACAGCTACGACTGGGGTACGTCATCCGCTCAACATTCAGCTCGAAGGCGTGAATAACTGCATGCTGAATGTGTTCAGGAAAGATTGGGAAGACGTCAGCTGCGGCGAAATTTGCTGCTGCTACCGCAAGTGACTTTTCCATTGCGGAGGAGAAGCCATATGCCGAGGTGCGTTTATCGAATTAGGTGGAAAGAATATACTCATTCTCCTAGTTGTGGATGGGAACGCACCCCTCGCTTCCCTCCAAGGATCTCGAAACCCAGCGCACACTTCTAGAACTCGTCAAAGACAACCAGGCCCTGCTGTCCCAGGGCATTGCTAAACGCTATGAGAACAAATTACCCTTCTTGTTCAAGGTTCTGTCCATCAACAAAGCTTTGAGCATCCAAGCGCACCCCAACAAGCAACTCGCCGAGCAGCTACATGCTAAAGATTCGAAAAACTACCCCGGTTAGATTGCCCCTTACCAATGTGTGATAAGTCCTACTGACGATAGAAAGACGATAACCACAAGCCTGAGATGACTATTGCAGTCACTCCTTTTGATGGTCTTTGCGGTTTCCGACCGCTCGCCGAAATATCTCATTTCCTTCAGAATGTCTCAGCTTTCCGCAAGTTGGTTGGCGAGGACGAGGCCAAAAACTTCGAGACCACAGTGAAAGATAAGGAGACCTCCGAAAAAGAAGAGGAAAAGCAGGCGAACAAAAAAGCTCTGCAGTCTGCCTTTACCAAGCTGATGAACGCGGATAAGAGCGCCCTCGAGTCTGCTTCGAAAGAGCTTCTCGAAGCGGCAAAGTCTGAAGGAGCAAGCTTTGCTGGCAGTGGCGGGCCTTCTAACGACGGCCAGGAGCTCGCAGACCTAGTTGTGCGGCTCGATAGCCAATTTCCTGGTGACATTGGGCTTTTTGTCCAGTTCTTCCTCAATTACGTCAAACTGGAGGTTGGTGAGGCCATGTTTCTCAAGGCAGACGATATCCACGCATATCTTTCCGGCGACATAATCGAATGCATGGCATCATCAGACAATGTTGTCCGTGCGGGTTTCACTCCCAAATTCAAAGACGTGGACACATTGACGACAATGTTGACATACTCGTATGCTCCCATTAGCGAGCAGAAGATGTCACCAACCGATTACCCCTACGTCACTCTGAACGCCGATGCCTACAAGTCCAACTCATCTGTTCTTCTGTATGATCCACCGATTCCCGAGTTTGCTGTCGTGCGTGCGGCTTTGAACATGCTGAACGCAAAAGCCACTTTCGATCCCATCGAAGGCCCTAGCATCATCCTCTGCACCAAGGGCAAGGGTACCATAAGTGTAGGTCCCAAGACGGAGAAGATCGAGGAGGGCTACGTCTTTTTCGTTGGGGCAACGGCAGAGGTGATCATCGAGAGCGAAACAGAGGAGACAGATGGAGAAGGTCTAGTGCTGTTCAAGGCCTTCTGCGAAATCAGTGATGAGTAAGATGAGCAAAGCCTATAGAAACCGAATGCGGCGTTACATAACAACACAACTTAGATAGAGCTAATCAAGAGAGCACGAAAAGAAAAACCGGCGACGATGTTCGACGGCATTGATTCGATGGAGTTTATCTACACCTTTCATCAAAACTGTAAAGGTCTCAAAACGGAGCTAGTCACGTAGAGGGAATAGATCCGGAGAAACGTCGGACCGTATACCTGATAAGCCCATGTGGACAGTGAACAGTATGATTACGTTGCGCGACGGGAGGAATCACCTTATTATCGAATATAGCCATGCGCAACGCTTGATTAAGCTGCAGGTACGCATCGCACCACCGGGTTCGCTCAGCGCCAGCATATTGTACCGCACGCGAGGCGATAGACCCGTAATACACCACCAATCACCACGCGTATATCCCAAACCACCTTAATCAAAGCCCAAACAGCTAGTTAGCCTACCAGCACTCCGCGCCTCGGACCGCCTTGTTGACTCGCATACGCCGCCTCCGCTTGCTTTAGTGGCAGGCGTCGCTGAGCAGCCCGCCATGAACAACAGCTTCTCCTTTCTCGACACATCGTCGAACCCCAACATGCCCCGCTCTGCACCTTCACCAACATCTTCACAGTCCGGTTCCCAAACGAATGGTATGATCATGGGTGGCGGAGGGAACGGGAATGCACCACCGCCACAAACAAACGGAGGAGGCGGAACCATACCCATGGTCAACGGGTTACCCAGTGGGGGTCAGCAGACGGATATGAATTATCTTTGGAGTGTCGTGCAGCAATTGAGCCAGATGCTCGATGAGAACAGAGCACAGACAGCAGGCATCATCAATGGCGTCCAGTCGTTACGGCAGCGTGCTGCTGAGGATGGGGGCAGTGTTGGAGGAATGGGCATCCGTGAAGTGAACGGAGAGCTGGATGGTATGCATTGCATCGGGTGTAAAAGAAAGGCAGAAATAAACTGATTCATATCATAGCTGCTTCTCGCGCCGCTGAGATCACGGACCTTCAATCGCGCCTTTCGAATGCCGAGACTACGATAAACTCTCTCAACTCAACAAATTCACAACTCGCTTCCCTCTTAACGGACTACGAAAACGCACTTACGCTCCTCCTCGAAAAACTTCGCCCCTACGCATACACCCAAACGCAAGCCATCATATCCCTTCATAAACACTACCAGGGTCTATTAGACACCGAAAGGAACACAAGCATGCAGATGAGACTGGAACATGCCGAATGGCAAGCAGGCCTGGGAAGAGTGGCCGAGTACGCCAGAGGTGCATTGAAAGGGCAGGCAGAGAGTGAGATGGGGTTGAGGAGCGAGATCAGAGAACTGAAGGAAGAGAATAGAGTATTACGGAGATTAGCTGGCTGGGAGGCCAAGCCAGACAGTGAGAATGAGGAAGACCAGGAAAAATCATGATACCCGAAATTGCTGTTTTCTGTAAACGACAGAATTATGGACTTGTACGATATAGTAAGGTGCAATTTCCACAAGCATAGCGAAGGCGTTTGACAGTATATCCATGATTGCATAGTATGGAACGACATGATTATTTTTGGACTGGTTCTGACGGGCTATGGTAGTCTCATTAGCAAGTGCCAATCGGAAAGCATTCACCGACCGGTGTCCTAATCCAGTTCATTGCTGTTTGCAAATACCAAATCAAGCTGCCATTGATTTGGACATTCTACTGCACGTGCCAGACCGCCACAGACAATTGTGTGTTGGTTCCGCTGCTCTTTCAGATGCGGGCTGATCTCAACAGCCATGAATAAAACACATAATCGTTTGCTGCTGACAGGCGACCATGAATCTAGGAGAAGCAGCCGCATCTCTCCTTTCCATGTCTCAAACCCCCCTTTGAGGGCGGGAGCCCGCATTGATCGCTTTTCCACTTCACATGAAAGGCCTATGGGCTTTTCGATTAATATCCTTCGTGGGAGAGTATTTCCAATCAACATCTCAGGCGAATATTACCAAGACACACTCCTGCTCAGAGTTAATCTTGTTTTTGCCAGCGTGTTTGCCGCTTGTCTTGAACATGTTTTATCTTGCGTGTGTCTTCGCATTTTGGCGTAGAAAACCATGCACGTTTGTGAGACACAGCAGGAAACTGCTTGAGACCGACCACGAGACAACAAGCATCAATATGCAAGAATGCTTGTTCAATCCCAGTCTCCTTTTCTATCAGTAGCGAAGCCTAAGCTATATAGATTCCCACGTTCCCTATTATGTTCAGAGTTCATCGACAATCTCGAACAACGAATTGACAACATTCCCCTTCTACTGCAACTTGGACGCTGAATACAACCTGAGTTTAGTAGCCCTATCGTGAGGAAATCGTTACTCGTTATGGTTAATTGCCATCGCTGTGGCCGTGAGGGCCATATCGCTAGGAACTGTCCATGTAAGGAAATCCCTCTCCGTGATTGACATGCAGTTGTGTTGACCATATATTGTAGACTACTTTGCGCACCAGCTACCCCAAATCTTCCAGAATGAATTTATCGAGGGATGGTCAACCAAACCGTGCATCTGGTGCGGTAGTCGTGATCACGGTGTCAGTGCTTGCGGTTCGGCCAATCCTGCTTCTCCCGGCAATATCTATCGGAAACTACAGCAAGAACGTCTCCTTAAAAAGGCAATAGCACATATAAGCTGGTATCAGTATGAGGAGCCAACAGGCAAGAGAATGACTTCGAACCAGCCCGCCCCCAACCAACATTCGGCAGCTCCTGTGGCACAGGGAGCATCTTTGGACTTTGTAGACACAGATCCCGATAGTGTGCTGCACTATCCTCCTCGCATAGGCGGACTTCCCCCAAAAGGCTCTACGCTGGGTAAAGAGTGGAAGCTGCCAGATGAAACGAGCCAATGCAAATCGTCCTCGGAAGTGTCAGATCCCAATCATCCATTACGTCAGAAGTTCCTGCAGACGAAGCCCCCGGGCAGCAAGGTTGTTGTCACAAATCATTTCGAATACAACATTCATGTCGACAATCTTTATGAGTATCAAATTCTTGACATCAACGAGAAGGACCGCCGCAAGACCAAGAACATATTCGCTCGCACCATCGAAAAAACTCCTTTCCTTGCACAGAACCGGGATAAATTTGCCACCGACTACATCAGTACGATTGTAGCATGGGACAGACTTGGACCAGAGATGAAAAATGAAGAAGAAATGGCATTGACAATCCCTTCATTTACTGGCAAGAACATCCACCTGAGATTCAAGTTTGTGGCCACACATCGAGTGAGTGATTTACGCGACTATTCATTCGGAAAGCCTGCATTCGAGGATAAAAATATCGGCGATATTTCGAAATGTATGAACATTGTGTTTTCCGGCCGTTTCGATCCAGCTATAGTTCATAAACAGTCATCCAACAAGTTCTTTGTCAAGAACGCCCGGGGTTCTTTGCGCTTTGATCGTAATATGGGTGATTCTCAGTCCTTAGAGATCATACGCGGCTACTATTATAACATCAAGGCGGGAATGGGCAACATTGTCCTCAACTTCAATCTCGCTACCAGCGCCTTCTATCGACCAATTTTGGTTTCAGAGTTCTTAGATGATCCAAAGACGTTCGCTGGTAAGCAGAAAGCCGAATTGAAAGGTCTGAGAGTCGTACTCGTTGCGGAGCGGCGCCAGTCCAAAGATGGCAAAAACGTGGGTTCTGGGGCAGACAAGTCGAAATCCCACAAGATCTACAAGGTGGCCGAACTCGGAGAGAAAATCGAGAGCCAGACTTTTCGCAAGAAGATCAAGGGACCAGATGGAAAGTTTGTGGAAGATGTAAACGGCAAATTCATAACGGAAGACAAAGATAGCCGGGTGAACGACCACATCAAAGAGAGTGAGTGATCTCTTGTCTTCCATATGAACAGTTATTGATGCAACATAGATTTTGTGAAGCCCCCAGTTACCGGAAGGGAGGCTGTCAATGTGGGTACTCTGGGTAAGCCCATATGGTATGCACAAGAGCAGCTGCGGATTGTACCCTATCAGGTCTACACACGACCTGTTCCAGACAATTTGACTGCCTCTATGGTAACTCAATCGGCTAGAAAACCCGAAATTGCTCGAGCATTTATCGAGAAAGAGGGATTGGCAACCCTTGGTTTTCCTCCTAGGAATGTTAACGCAAAAGATGTATGTATCTGCCATGGATTGTCGAGAGTACCACAGCTAACCGTTTCCAGAAATCCAAGTCGAAGCAGTCGGTTGCCATTGAAGTCGATCCTTCTATGTTAAAGGTGCCCTACGACATCTTGAGTATTCCTGTTGTCCAGTATAATAGGGACCAGAGGGGTAGACGAAGGGAACCTAGGTTGATTACCCGCTGGAAGATCCCTCATCAAGCGGCCTTCCACACAACCAGTCCCCCCCGAGCCTTCAATTACTGCTTCATTACGCATATGGGCAACGAAAGCTTTACCGAAGGACAGTATACGAACGCGATCAACAGTCATATGGCTAAATGTGGTATGCATCCGCAGCGTCAGCCGACCATTGGAGTGGCGGCGACGCCCACCGATATCGACTTCGATCAAGCTTTACAGAAGGCTAGGAATCGAAATGTCTTCCTCGCGATTATAGTGCTAAAATCCCGAAGCATTCCGTTGTACACAATTGTCAAGGACCTCGCAGATCGCAAACACGGCATTCATACCATCTGTTTGACGAAGGTCCCCAAGAACATGGAGGACTATATGAGCAACGTCTCCATGAAATTCAATCTCAAGTTTGGAGGGATCAACCACTCCGCGAAGCTCGTACCGGAGATCTTGTCAAATCATACCATGGTGTTGGGTGCAGATGTTGTTCATGCAGGTCCTAGTTCTTTCCCCGGAACGCCCTCCATTGCTGGTATTGTTGGATCAGTAGACAACACGGGAGGAAAATTTTTAGGCTCCGTTCGTCTCCAGCTTGTTGAAAAGAAGGACAAAGAGGTAAGTAGACGCCGATACAAGCCCAAGATCAACTCCCAACTGACAACTCTACCTTAGATCATTGACGATGTAGAATCGATGGTATACGAACGCCTCAACGACTGGCAAAAGAGGAACCCCACCTCAAGGTTGCCGAAAAACATCATCTACTACCGCGACGGTGTCAGCAATGGTCAGTACAATAAAGTGAAGGACCGCGAGATTGTAGCTATTCGCAAAGCATACGGTTCCTGGGCTACAAAGCTCAAGCTACCAAACAAACTCAACATCACCGCCGTCGTAGTGGCAAAGCGTCACCATACCCGCTTCTACGTTCAAAATCCCGGTGAAGGAGACAGACATGGCAATGACAATACCGAACCAGGTACCTTTGTGGATAGGCTGGTGACTTCACCCTATCACCAGGATTTCTATCTCCAAAGCCACATCGGTATCCAGGGGACTGTCAAGCCCGCTCACTACTTCGTCCTGGAAGATGGCATCCCAGGACTTGATCTCGAGACGCTGCGCAATCTGGTAAGCGACCTGCCCCTCTACAATCACATACCTTTACTGACTACGATTAGACGCATGGCCTCTGCTACTCTTACGTCCGCGCAACTGTTGGCGTCTCCTATGCGGCCCCCGCATACTATGCCGACCATCTCTGCGAGCGCGCCCGACTTTACGTCCGAAAGTACTACATCAGTGACGATAAAGATTTCAAGGACGAGCTCAAAAAGAAAAAGGATGAGCTTACCGCGCAGAAGAAAAAGGATCGCAACTATCCAGAGGGCCGTAGGACCGACGAGCAGAAAGAAAAGATCAAGAAGGAGAAGGCGCAGGACACCGAGGAAATTAACAAGGAGCTCAACAGGATTGTCGTTAGCAAATTGAAGCGGGACTTTTACAAGTTCAACGGTGGAGATCCTGACGGCGATGACATTCGGGTTACCGGCAACCCTTGGAGTGACAGGATTGCAGATACTATGTTTTGGATGTAGGTGGAGCATCGAGGAGATTGCGATGAAACGTCGCCTTTCGGGCTGTAGCATGGTATGATCAGTTATTGTTTTGTTGTTGCGCACCGCGCCATTTTCTTCCTGTCACTCTTTCGATTAGAATTTTGTGGATTTCCCTTGGTACTGTACTGTAGACGGATGATTTAGAGATAGAAGCAAGAAGATATTTGGTATTCAACGAAACCTTTAGTGTCGCGTGGAATTTTATTGACGATGATTCTCTGAGAGGTCTTTTTTTCCACTCACTATCTTTCAATGACGGACCTTTGGCAACAGTTTCGATCGGACTCAGCAAGGAATGAGCTCATCGTCTGCTATAGTTGTAAGTTATCCTCCCTTTCACGAGACGAAAGATGTTTTTATTTTTGGGGATCGTTAGCTTTACGCATCGAAGAAGTACTTGACTTATTTCAGAGCAAGGCTAGATGTTGATGTTCCACCTAATCGCAGAACTGGAAAATTGATTGACCTCACGCTAGCCAATCCTTGCATGCTTAAAACTAAGTGAAACTCGGTAGAGCGGGTGAGAAAAGTAAGATGGTCCCACATACACTAGAAAAAAAACACCATGCTTCGACTGATGGAAGAGTGACTGTGAAGCCCTTCTTTTATAATGCTATATATATATCATAAACGCCAAAAAATACATAATCCCAGTCGCTTTAGCTCACTTGGGAGAGCGCCAGACTGAAGGCAATCCAGCTTGCTGGCACACCTCGGTTACACCGAACGATATCTGGAGGTACTGTGTTCGATCCACAGAAGCGACATTTTTTTGCTGTCTCGACGGCCATCTGATATCGTCATCAATGCTGCTGCACCGACACTTAGATGTTCCAATCTTTTGCTGTTCTATCTGGCTGATGAAGCTTTTTGCAAGTTCTTTGATTTAATTACCATCGCGGATGTCAGTGATGGATGATAGCCCAATCGGTGCAAGGTATGTATGTATTTGAGATAATGTACATTGATTGACGATCGTGCTTCTCACCGAAATTGATGATATACCTGTTCAGTGTGGTCATTCGAATCAAAATCCACATGTGCATATTCTTTTGTGCAGACCCGCACATGGTGGTGTGATTGCTCCATCAACAAATTTCTACCTCTCATATCCTCCCCGATGCCCGATCTCATATCCAAACCTTGAGCGGAGGAGCAAGGAGTAAGCATTGTGCTTCATGATCTCCCCTCACGATGAACAGATTCGCCCACGCCACAAGGCCACTCAAGTTTTCGCACCGGGTTGTCTCGTATCATTGACGTGTAAGTCATCGCCCGTACCCATCAAACGTGCAACTGTGACCGCTTCCCTGACGGCCCTTCCAACCGTCCCCCTAATCGCGCCTTCTTCCAGCACCATCAATCCAGCCATCGTGCAGCCCTCTGGGCTTGTCCCTTGATCCTTCAGCAGTCCCGGATGCAGTCCACTCTGCAGCATCTCCGCAGTTCCCCTCATGCTTTGATACACCATTTCCTGCGCCTGAGCTCGGGGAACACCTACAGCAACGGCCGCATCAATCATTGAGTCGCAAATAACCGCGAAGAACGCAGGTGTCGACCCTCCCACCGCGGTCGTAGCGGGCATCAGACGAGGTGCGATTTGAATCGTTCTGCCAATCTGCGAGAAGATGGCAGAAGCAGTATTAAGATGTTTCACGGGCATGTCTGGGTGCGGGTCTTCGATTGCAGTCAAGGATTGAGACGCCAGCGCTGCAATGTTGGGTAGAGTTCGCAGCACCCACGTCCTGTCGCTTCCGGCTGCTTCATTCGCCGTGGGGATCATGCTCTCTAGGCTTTCGCGTGTCCAGCCGGCTGCTACGCTTATAAGCAGCTTGCTTTTTAATGCTGAGCCAAGGCCTGTTTGCTTCATTGTTGCTTCGACGTCTGCTGGATCTACGCCCAGGATTACGACATCGGATTCGGATGCTGCTTTGGCCGTCTCGTTTTGCGAGATGGTTAAGGATCCATTTTTGTAGGGTGTAGGGAATTGATCTACCAAGCGGTTTTTGGACGCGGTACTTCGGACGCACGCAATATATCTATCGAAACCTGCTGCGGATGGCTTTTTGGGGCTGTTGATTAGACCTTTCAAGATGGCTGTGCCTAAGTTGCCTGGAGCAATGTTAGACAGTGCGAATTGATTGCGAAAACGCTCTTATTTACCACAGCCCAGAATGGACAATGTAGACTTGGACATGGTTGTTCTCAATGATGCGATATCAATCAGGTTTGTTACAAGATATGGGCAATAATTCGAGCTGTTTATTTATTGATATTTCAATTGCCTATGGAGCAGTGTTGCTGATCAGCGTTTCGTTGAGCCGATGCTGTGCGGGCTTATGCAATTCCGACATCGGGTCCATACGCCGCGTCCGATTGGTACCCTGTGCGTCATGGAAGATATGGATACATATGCACTCTTCACCTCCTGACACCTCAGGTTATTCTTTTTCCCACCATAAAAAGGTAAAGTTCCAACACACGGCAAAAAGAAAACTACATACAACAGCGTGGTCTCGACTCGCTCGTGTGCCTTTTGCTTCATCTTTGATACCCCAATTACGCGTTGCTTTATTGTTTTTTCCTTACATTAAACATTATATGCCAGTGAGTCGCTCTTGAACATTCATTGATTGCTGATCACACCAAGCCCGTGCAGGTGCCAGCTGCCGGGGCAAGGTGCTTCACAGTGATACACAGTGTAGTTCACGACGACGATCATCCTTTGTTTCCCATTCATCGCCTTCCATCGCCTTCGACCATCGATATACCAGTGTTCGCTCGCCCTTCGGTCTCACTCGGTTTGTCGACATCCAGTGTTCACCTCGATCGATCTTGGAGTCGCTAACAATGTAAAGTTTGGGGTGGTTTTTAGCTATAAGCAATGCCTAGACGATAGCGTATTGCTCTCGGGTTGCGTATAGCGTATTGCTCTCGGGTTGTGTATGGCTCTGCTCTCTGGTAGCGTATAATTCTGCTCTCTGATTGCTCTGGGCGCCTATCGGTAACGGCTCGCCTGTTCTTTTAGTATATTCCTTGTTGTAACCCATCGCTGTGTGTAGGATCACCTAAACTCCAACTCAAACTAAAAAAAAAACATACAACAGCAGGTATTCGCTAGTAGTCACCCACCTAACTACTAATCTGCCAGTAACTTGCTTAAATATGGCTGAGCGGACGGGAAGCCTTGTTCTCAAGTTCCTATGGTCGTATGTGAAAGTTATTGGGTTTAACATGAAAATGTATGTATTTGGATTTTATTGTGTTGACCATTGAGTGCCTCCAGAAAATGGCAGAGACTATGACAAGATGGAAACTCTGCGCAATTCATTCGATCCTATCAATCCCACGAACAACAATTAGAAATGAATTCTGGCTCGAATCCTCCTCGCCATCTCTTTCCTCAAAGCCAAAAACTCGTCCTTCGTCCTCAAAACCGCATCTCTATTCTCCACCGCCCTCCTGAGCAAGTACCCAACGCATTCCCCCATAGTTCCCCACGTCGAACACTTGTACACAGCAGGCGGCGACCCATCTTCTCCGTTCTCCCGCAGGAGCGAAAAGCTCACCTCATCCGACATACCATGCAGCTGTGCATAGATAACAGGAACGGTCGCAAGACCAGCCTTGACGCGATCCTGGTGCAGACGATGGGCAGCAAGCACGCTGTCGCGATTATGCGAGGCGACGAGGAGGTTGAGCGAGGGGAAAGGTCGAGCCGCAGTGCCGAATCCGCTGTATTGACGACGTAGAGCGCCCTGAACGATGGAGTTGTAGGCGTCGTCTGTATCATGCTTTGTATCGTGTATCAATGAGCGTTGTTCCGAGAGAATGTAGGCGCCCCGCACGACTTTGAGGCCTAACGTGAAGCCTCCTTTTTCGGCTTCGGAGAGATGGTATTGGACGACGGATGGGGTGCTTTTCAGGTACGCTTGGTAGGTGTTATAGATGAGTGCTTCGTTGCCGCGGTTGTATTTGCGCATCAGCTCCAGGGCGGTTGCGGCGATGGCGGCTTGGAAGTGCTGCGATTCGGCGTCGACGATGATGCGGATGCCCCGGGTTTTGGCTTGCGATGCTAGTTCATCTAATGCGGCGAACATCTCTGCCGATGGTAGTTTCCCGTTGGCGAGGTCCTTTGTGACTGATGGCCCTGCGCCTGATATTCTGGTATCGTTAGCGCGAGGGGTCGAGAGATGCAGGCGGTAGGATTATGAGCTCACTTGATAGCTAAAATGTCTCCCTGACCGACCTGGTCCATTGTCTGGAGTGTCCCCGTTCTCCAATTTTCGATGTACTTGTCTTTCTTATCCGAAACTTTCGTTTCGATAGCTATATCTACCCCTTCTTCCAGCCCCGAGGCATCCTTCGTCTTTTGATCCAGGACCACCTCTTTGGCATAAGTAAGAATGAACCCCTTGAACCCCAACTTCTTGAACTTCTGCACACATGCGTTTGTCTCTTCCAATGTCTCCCCCGCGCAAAACTGGTCATACACGGTTTTCTTCAAAATGCTGTGGAGGAAGATGTTCCTATCTACATTGAAAAGATAGCTTCTATCAGGTTTGGAGAGGAATGATAGAAGGCGTAACGCCGGTATTAACAGATAGCGGTTCGATGATATCCCGGAGATGAAGAGCGATCTGACCAGCATACCCGTTGGCATACTTGAAAAGGTAGATGGCATTGTTGCTCCGGGCTTTGTGGTCTCGACCTGTGAAGCCCCATTTTTGCTCGCTGGAGTCTTAGGTAGGGACGTGACAGATGTGTTCGATCGAACCTGAAAACAGATCACTTTGAGTGAATTGATACTCCCCGTTCTAGAAGAAACCGGTCGGAATGGACTGAGAAACATGTTCTTGATTGGAAATCACCTTTACTGGAGCAGTGTAGGTGATAGTGGATCAAAACAGTGTTTGGAATCTACCAATATCTTTCACCCCTTCTAGTTTGCCGTTCACTATCACAACTAGTGCTCATAGCTACATCCTGCATATTGCACGCGTACGACCCCACTTCACGTACAACATCACGGGGAGTGATTCTCTCGTGTTTGTTTTCCGGTTTAGGAACAGCACTTTCGCGGAGAGCTGCCCGATTCGCATACCAACATAGGCCCAATATGTGTTCGAAATATTGTATGATAAGATGGAGGGAGGAAGCGTTATCATTGGTAGGATTGACCTTTGACGTACATGTCATGGAGGGGTAAGAGGAACGCGGGGTGTAGGGGCGGTTACAGCCGGCTAGGTGATTGATAGATCAACGGTCTATTGTCTCTGGGCAGGCTCCAAGATACGCATAGTTATGAGTGATTGATACGAATGGAGGAACAGGTTATCTTCAGTAGCAGCCTGGACAGTTGGCTGAGATAGGTGGATTAACTTCAACACAGTGCCGTATCTACTACCACATTTGATTCTACACCTACGCGCTATTACTTTTTCAGAGGCAAGCTCTGTTCAATAGCTGCTACCTCAGCCATAGTCGATTTCACTCGCTCTTTCACAGCATCTACTGGCGCAGCATATGGTCTTCTGGGCTGGAGCATGTCGACTGCCCCTTCGATTCCGGCATACGTAGCACTGTGAATCGCGGCAGCATACTTGGTCGGAGCAATCCCCCCCTTGATTGGTTGTTCCGCCAAAGCGGCCTTCTGATGCAACGCGAGAGCTTCCTCGAATTTCCCTTGTTGGTAGAGATCGTAGATGCGCACGATTGTTCTGGGGAAGACGTTTGCAAACGCCGCAATGCAACCCGAAGACCCCGAGCTCAAACCGCCAATAATGAAGTCGGACTGTCCCCCGAAAGTCGCGAATCTCTCTTCTGGCAGCACGGCAGCAAGACGCGTGATTTTGGCGACGGATCCGCACGTCAATTTAACGCCGACGATGTTGTCGTGGCGCTGAGCCATCTTGGTGATGAAAGCAGAGTCGAGATCAACGCCATTGCAAACCCCGGGGAAGTTGTAAATAACTATAGGCAGAGCGCCCTCGGTGGCGACCTGGTCGAAGAAGTTCTCGATGACTTGAGGTGTGGTCGCAGCACCGAAGTACGCGGGCGGGAGAACAAGTGCCGAGTTCGCACCAGCTGAAGCGGCATCGGAGATGTACTCCAACACCTGGCGTGTAGAATGCCCACCAACTCCGACCATGAGAGGGAAGTCGGGTCCTACGGCTTTGCGTGCGGTTTCGACGAGTTGTTTGCGCTCTTCGCGTGTCAACAGAAAAGTTTCGGCATTGGTTCCTAGAACGACGAGGCCAGCTAGCCCGGTAGATGCTAGATATGCAAAGTCTTGAAGTGTAGGAAGAGCAAGTCGTTAGTCGGAGCGTCCAGCTTGTCACTTTGGTTTCTTTCTTTCTTTGGGATAGAAATACATTTTGATTGGGCTTCCAGATTTAATGTGTCTGTGTTGTGATCGAAGAATGTGATGGCTGGAGCCCATACGCCACGTGGAGGTACTTTGGACATGATGCGGTGATGGGAACGGGACTTTGTAGTATGAAAGACGTCAAAAACGCAACATAAAAATTAAAGATAGGTTCTTTGAGAGAGTACAGTTGAGCCTCATCAAGTAGGGTGTAGAAAATGCTTGAGGTATTGATTGCCCTCTCTAGTCCCACTGTTCCGGCTAATGACGGCTTCTCCACAGCGCATGACAGGATTCTGGTCGATAACCATGTTTCAAGATCAATTGATGTTATCGGTCTTGATTTGTTCATGTGTCTTTTTATTCTTTTAGTAGACCCAATTTTTGCATTGCTTGCTTTCGCCTATCAGTTTTTACAAACATACCTAGGTACATATTCCAGTGAGTGCGCGGAGCGTCTCAACGTTGATTTTGAAGGCTTCGTCACGCGGCGTTAGTGTGAGGGTAGGTGCTATAGTAAGGTAAGTAGAACAATGTTGATAGAAGATAGAAGTAAAAAGCTTTATTGTCGCGATTTATTCGTGTGCCTTTCGCTTCTTCTATATACCCCTTTTTGCTTTGCGTTTTTTATCTCCTTACATGTTTTGTTTTTCCGTTACAAATCTCCCTATTTCCAGTCGCTCGTGAACATTGGTTGCTTGCTTACTACACCAAGCCCGCGCAGATGGTTCCTGCAAAGGCGAGGTGATAGTACACATCCATGTGGTTCACGACGAGGTCCCCGTTCTCCTCAAGTCGCTCGTGAACATTGGTTGCTTGCTTACCACACCAAGCCCCTGCAAAGGCGAGGTGATAGCACACATCTGTAGTTCACGACGCATCGTTCAACACCCATCGCCCATTGCCCTCCGTTGTTCGACATCGCCATCGCTAGATCAATCGGTCTAGTAAACATCGTTGATTCATATCCCTCGTCAAAAATATCTACAAAGAATCAAGAGAATTCTTAAACACTGGGCACAAAAGCACGCCCGGTAGTAGGAGTCGAGTCTAGAGCGATCTAACCGCTCATGCCAGAAAGGCTCTTGTAATCATGCACAGCGATCCCGCTGAATCCGCTGTGTGATTTCGCCAGCGTTTCGATATTTGTCAAGTCGCCAGCCAGAGTGCTCAAAGCCTTGCCCGCGTAGCTGATCAAGGACGCCTCGCCAACATCGGCAGACGTCTCCACAGAGACCCAGCCCTTCTTTCCCATGGAACTGACAGTGTTGAGCACAGAGTGTGCGACATCCAGGAGATCCTTGGGCGTGGAGCGGTACGTCATGAAGGTGATCGAGTCGAGCCTCTTGGCCATGCACGCATCCAGCTTTGTGTCCTCGCAATCGACCGTGTTGGCCCAGAAGGGGAGATCGGCTGCGACGGGGAGACCGAGGGGTTTGGCGGCTTCGGTGGCCCTGCTGACTATCGAGACGAGCGAGTCGACGTATTCCCCTTTGTTGGAGGCCCATCCGTCCAGGCCCCACGGCTCGACGTCCAGGTGGATTCCGGCAAGCTTTGCGTTGTCGGGCGCGCTTTCCTGGTACTGCTTGACCCAGTCCAAGCTGTGTTGGAAGGTTGGTCCGTCCTCGGTTGTGCCTCCGAGGACCCATTGAGCATCTCCCATCAAGCCCTCGACGGCGATGCCGCTCGAGTTGCATTTCTTGATGAAAGATTGCCATGCCTCGTTGCCCATGTCGCGATCGATGAGGGCGTAGACGGTCGTGAACTTGTTGCTAGGAGCAGACGCAACCGAGAAGAACTTGTCGGTGGCTACATCGTCCTGGATGATATCCGAATTCCACAACCACACGGCGCGCTGGGGCGTAGATGTCGAGCCGAAGGGGAGAGAGAACGGCAGCGCGTAGACCGGCGCTGCCAGAGCCATGAGTGTAGTGCACCAGTGCATTTTGTTTTGGAAGGAGTGGCTACAGATAATCTTCTGTAAAGAAAGGAGTGTGTGGGTTGCAAAAAAAAGCAACGGTAAAGAATGAATGAAAAATGAGGGCACTGCCGAACGGAACTCTATTCCATAGGTAAAGAACGTAAGAAGAGGGGAAGGTAGAGCCCTCTTTATACTGAGGTATAACTCCGACAGAATTGCAAGGGAGATGTGGAGATATGGGGCGGTTTCATGAAACAAAGACTACACCTGCAGGGGTACTGTAGCGCTACGGGAGTGCCTGTGGACAAAACATTTCGTACTGCCGAGAGCCTTAGCCGCTTTGGACATGACAGCTTGTATGGAGAAGGTTTCCACGCTGATGACATCTGATAGGTATCGATATATCTGCCTTGTTGGTACCTTGCTAGTACAAAACACACTATTGCCAAACATAGAATCCGACTTGTCTTGCCGCTACATCGTCAAGCGTTACCAGTTATACTATACACAAAATGAAGTACCATCACCTCATCAAACGCCCTTCAAATCCACTCGAGTAGTCAGCCTGCAAAAGAGGGGAGCTAAACGTATTGATTGGATGCCATTGCGGGTCCGTCCGGGATATACTAAAGTAGCGCTGAGGTAGCCCCTGTTGTTCGCCTCCATCTGGGTAGAAAAACGTTACCCGGGCTCCTGGATTCCCATCAGCATCTCATGAATTGCCGATATCAAGCGGCAAGTGACTGCTCTGGCTATCGTTGAGTTAGTAGGGTGGCAAAATTTGCCAAGTCAGTGATGAGGGGGGCAGCGCAAAGTAACGCATCTGGTCGTAGTGTTCTAATCTGATTGTGATGGCACGCACTCGGTAATTTGATGGATCCATAGTTGAGTATTTGAGGTTCTGGAATGCCCACGCTGTTTACAAATCTTCTGCTTTTATTGTACGTCCCGTGCGTGATCACATTTACTGGTTAGTGTGCAAGTCAGAGTGAAGACTAGATGCGTATGAAGTAAGGCATGCCTGATATCGTCAACACCAACGTGTCCAATCTGCAAATAGCGAGAACATTTCTGGTATGAATCATGATCCAAGTCCGTCTGCTTATTCTTTGTCATGAACGCCCTGATTCAAAAGGGATTATGCTACATTAACAAGAAGCGCTCAAACCGGCAAAGCCCACTTACAACCTAGTCTCCCTCTCAACTTTTCCTTCTCCAGCCTACTGTTTCCCTGCCGTCCGCGGCTTCAGCGCGTTTTCAAAGATTCTCATAAAATTCCACACGTCGCCGAAGGTATTGTACAGAGGCACAGGCGCGACCCTAATGATGCCAGGCTTCCGCTTGTCGCAAATGACGCCGTTGCCTTCCAACGCCGCACTAACATCCTCCATCAAGTCCTCCTGCAAAAGGACGCTGAGCTGAGTACCCCGCTGTGCCGGGTCGGCCGGCGTAATGATCTCGAAGGGGGACGCGCCATCGTGGATGTTGCGCGCCGCAATGGAGGTGAGGAGGTGCTCCGCGTACGCCGTTAGCAAAAGTGCTTTGGACCGCAGAGTCGCCATGCTGGTTTTCTCGAAGACGCTGAGTGCGCCAGACAAGCACGTCAAATCGACCACACTCGGGTTACTGCATTGGAAGCCCTGTGCGCCAGGCGTGGGGACGAACTTGTTGTCCATGAGGAACCGGCTTGATTTGTCGTGGCCGTACCACCCTTTGAGGCCCGTGTAGTGCTCGTTATTACCGTGCTTTGAGTGTAAAAAGGTTCCTGCTATCGCTCCTGCGCCTGCATTCATGTACTTGTAAGTGCACCAGCACGCGAAATCGACATCCCAGTCGTGCAATTTGAGCTCCACATTGCCCGCTGCATGCGCGAGGTCCCAGCCGATAGTGATGTTGTGTTTCCGGGCGTGCGCTGTGATAGTGGGGATGTCCAGGAGCTGGCCTGAGTAGTATTGAATGCCGGGGAGGAGAATTAGAGCAAGAGAGTCTGCTTCTTGGTCGATGAGCTGTAGGATTTTGGAGGTCGTGATGATGTAGCCTTCGTCGGGTTCTACGAGGAGCATCGACTTTGCGGGATCCAGCCCATGCCACTCAATCTGGCTTTCGATCGCATAGTAGTCGCTGGGGAAGGGTCTCCATTCACACATTATTTTGTGTTTTTGAGGTGTGGGTTTGTAGAACGCTGCCATCATCAAATGCAGGTTGATAGTAAGTGTGTTCATGGCGACCACTTCTGAAGCTGAAGCACCAACGATAGGAGCCATTTTCCGTGCGCAATCGCCAGCCATGTCTTGATATGGTGTTAATGGGGAGTCGGAGAGTGGAGTGAAGTGTCCGCCCACGGCGATGGATCCCCAAGTTTTGAGATATGACGAGAGGTATTGCCCTACAGCACGCGGTTGCAGTCCCAAACTGTTGCCGCAGAAGTATATGCTTTCATCCTCGGGGCCAGCTGCAGCTTTTGAAGTCTCTGCGTTGTCATTGAGCGTCTTCCGTTTGAGTTGTGATTTGGTGGGGACGACGAATTCCGACCGGAAGGTTTTGGGTACTTGATCGCTGTTGTCAAGGGATTGTGCGAACTCGAACGATTCAGAATCAGAAGACCACTGTGGCTTCTTTCCTGTCCGGAGGCCTTCGATTGCAGCTTTTGCGTCCATGTCGTCTTTTGGTAGTTTGGTGGCGTTTTACCGAGGATGTGATGATGATGGTGTGGCGTTTGAAGAGAATTGCTCCTACAACTGAAGATGATGGCTATCTACGAATTTTGTGAAGATGGAAGCGACGAAGGGGAATTTTCCTGAACACCTTCCTCAATGGAATTAACCTTCTCGCTATATATACGCTGCTGCAAGTTCAAACACGCGCCCGAAAAATTTACGTCAACGATCCAAATACGGAGTGCATAAAGCCCTCTAACCTCTAAACCACGCGCTAAACGCTTTCCGCTCCGCCCAATCAGCGGAGCTCAAAGAAAGCCGCCATTTACCGCGCTTCCGACACTCACTTCCGACGGAACAGCTTCCGTTCCGTCACGCCAACCTTCAAGTTGTGAACGCTGTAACATGGCAGCTTCATACGTCACGCCATTAAGGGTAAGCCTGGAGACTGTTTGATAATAAATATCTTGGAATACAACAAACTGGGTGGAGCAGGCCAAGTTTGGGGTGGGTCCTGACCACTTACCTCTCAAATGATTACCTTCTCCAACTCTTACAAGAAGCGGCGGTATCCGCATTACTTTCACTCCTCCATGATAAGGCAGAATACCCCAAGACAGACAGAATTCCATCCGTTTGACAAATAGTTTGCGGGAATATATCGTTCTAAAATTTATCTTTGATTTCTCGCAAAATCTATACTTTATCTCAAACATCATTAGCCACGTTCCCTTTCACTGGCCTTCACAATGAGCCCTCACAGAGTGGAACTCCTACCGTCCATCGACGCTCTTCCCCAATATGGCATATCCAAGAACGGATTCCTCCCCAAAGAGCCACCGTTAAATCGTCTACCACACACCTACTACGACCCATGGGAGCGCATTATCGAAGTGTTACCACATCTCATCGAGAAGCAAGAGATTCGCGCCAAGGTGGACGAGCTCCCTGTTCTCGGGGTCGCCCATCTGGACAGCGAAGCAGAGTGGCGTAGAGCATATTCGATGCTAGCCGTCATCGCACAAGGATATATATGGACAGGGCCAGAGCCTTCCGAAAGACTACCGCCCGCCATCGCAGTGCCGTTCCTGCAAACCTCAAAACACCTCGAAGTCAACCCTGTGGCCACGTACGCAGCGCTCAACTTATGGAACTGGAGAACACTGAACAAGGACGCGGACATCACATGTCCAGACAACCTTGTCTCTCAACACACGGCGACGGGGACGGATGATGAATCATGGTTCCTCATCATTTCAGACGCCATGGAAGCAAGAGCAGGGCCGCTGATCAAGACCATGCTCGGTGCGATGGAAGCTGTGGAACACAATGACGTCGCAACCATTGTGCATGCGTTGCGATACTTCAAGAAGAGCATGAACGAGATCGGCGATTTATTGGAGCGCATGGACGAGCGGTGTGACCCGCAGGTTTTCTTCCACACCATCCGGCCATTCTTAGCAGGTAGCATGAACATGGAAGCTGCAGGGTTGCCCAATGGTGTTTTCTACGATGAAGGTGACGGCAGAGGATCATGGAGGAAATACAGGGGCGGAAGCAACGGGCAAAGCTCTTTACTCCAATTCTTCGATGCTGTTCTCTCAGTCAACCACTCCAGAAGCGAAGGCTTTCACGAGGAAATGCGCCGGTACATGCCAGGTCCGCATGCTAGGTTCCTGGACGACATTGAAGCCATAGCAAACATTCGGACTTACATTGATGCCCACCAAGAGGACATGACTCTGGTGGAATCATTCAACGAAGCTGTTGCGGCTTTGAGCGGATTCCGAGACAAGCACATCGCGCTGGTAACTCGGTATATTATAATACCAAGTCGCATGCCTAAGCCGATGACCGGGGTGAATCGGAGGGATATTGCTTCTGCCTCGACAAAGATGGCCCTCGAAGCCCAGACGCAAGAGCTGAGAGGCACAGGTGGTACAAAGCTTATTCCATTTCTACGAACATCAAGAGATGAGACTAGCGAGACGCAAGTCGGTCCAACATCTTGAACGTCCAGTGGGTCAATCCAGTCGGGACCCTGAATACTAGGGTAAATATTTGGCATAGAAAAGAAAGAGTGACTGCGAAATGCGACACAGGCTCAGCCATGACCGATTCCCATCTGCTGGTCATACATAGGGAACAAGGGTATATCTGCTACAGAGCCCCCGTCAAAGTTGTAGGTCCCTGGTTGAAGAAAATCCTGGAGACCTTGATCGTACTCGTTTGAAGGCCAAGCCAGGGTAGAAAAGTCAGAGTCGTAGATGGTCCAGTCAAAAGGGGTGGTAGTGGCGGTACTACCTGGCTGCTCAGGTTCTACCGAAACCACGGGTGGACGATGCTCTTTGCGTTGTTCATCTGAACCATGGGAAGGCTCAAGAGGTAGCATACCAAACAAATTTGAAGAAGCTTGCTTGTATTGTGCACGTAGCTTTTGCTCTCTCTTTTTGACGTGCCTTGTCGTAGTTTGTAATATTGACCGAGTGATCAATGAATACTGGCGCGCATGTGGATCGACCTCGCCAAAGTGCTCTAAGCATCGGATTGAAGCTTCACAATTGCTCTCAAATGCAAGGTTTGAACGGCCCAATATGCCAACTGCAAGTGCCAGAGAAGCCGTGAAGAGCCAGGAGCTGCCGGTATATATTAGTATAATGCGGGTGGGTAGATGACATGTAAGCGCTACGTACACAACAAGCGGCATTCTTTGCGGCATTCGATGTATGATCACAACGTTCTGGAGAGTCTCCACAAATGAGGCGGCGGCATCGAGCGCCGCGTCTGCATATTGTCTCTTTTTTGCGTGGTCTACCTGACTGCCACCGCCTTTCATCGAAGCTCCCATGAATCTTGGCACACAGCACTGTCAGTTTTGCGTAAAAAGTGTCGTACACTAACGTGGACTGGGATGTGGGGAACTTACTCGTATAGTTCGTATATGAGGAATGGTCGCGTGAGCAGCATTATACCATAGTAGTAGGAGCAAAGCGTTGAACAAGATCCGATGATGATATCACGGGAAACGCGTTCTGGATGGGTTATGCTGGTTGACAAAGGGCCGAGCCACTTTGAAGCCCATCCTTTCAGTTGGCGAGATACATGATCTGATATCCGTAGGGAAATGCGCTTCCTAGAATATATCTGAACTACGACTTGCTCCGTAATCGTGAAAAGCTGAACACTGGCATCCAAGATGTTGATCGCTGCGCTGTCAGGCTGCCCATTCACATTATACTTAACAGTGCAATCCGAGTCAGAAGTGCAGGGGGGTCGACCCAGGATGCTGCTTATGAGCATGTCAATGACCCGCAGACTCTTCCAGATACTATCACGCATAACTTTGATGGGCGGTCCAAATGAAGCATTTACTTCGGTACGGTGTATGCCGATGGCGTAGGCAGTACGAGCCGCCAATGCTACACGGTGTGTCAGAATTTTTTACAAAGATCAAGATGCGATCGGAACGACACACAAAAATACAGGTAGGCACCGTTTGGCTGAAATGCTCGCAGCATATAGATCGTCAGTAGAACGAATCCTTGGACCGTTGCTACGTTCATACTGTTACACATATGCTTCAACAGTAGGTTTCGCGCGTGGTTTGACCATGCTTCGGATTTCCGGGGATTTTTTTCTTGTAAGCCAATTGCGAGAACAAGAAAGAAGGCCGCGGCTGCAGCATCATTGGAGTGCGAAGTTTGTCCACTAACCCAGGCCTCCATTTCGTTGAATAGATCATCCTTGCGGAAGATGTCGACGAGGCCGCTGGTCGCTACTAGATATTCCTCAACAATCGAAGTTACATCAATATTAGCAACTGATATGTCGTGGTGTTGATGGTCGAATTCTGAGCGGGAGCCCTCGATGATCGAGTCTCGCGAGATCTGTGTGGACAGCCCTTCAGGTTCCACCTCTGAAGCGATGAGATGTCTGACAGTCTGGAGGAAAGATAGAGGAGCACAATCTCCAATAAAGATAAATTTGCCCTGCGCATCACGCAATATTCGGCCTTCTCGAGGCACTACAGTATCTTCGTGGTGATCATCTCTGCTAATCGTAGGTGAAAGAGAGCTTCCGGGCTCTCTAGGTTGTGTTGGATGGTGTGAATTGCTATCTCTATCCACTGCACTCCTATCAGAAGCTATGCGTCTAGAGCACCCAGTCAGTTACTTTGAATTAACACCAGGTTCGCGTTTGAAGTTTCATCATGCTGCGCGGTGTATCAAGAGTTCTACCTCTCCAGATCTTCTATCATCATGTGAATCCTATTTCGACACTGCTCGCCTAGAATTTCACTACCCTGCATAGTAGGACGTAGACTTTGACGAGAGAATTTTGCCCCAATAAACAGAACTTACGGGGTGCGGGGCGTGTAATCCCTTTGTCTTGACCCATTTTCGCGTTGTTCAACTGCGTGATTGGGCGTACTGGTAGCAGATCGGATGGAAGCCGCCTCACCAACGCGCTTTGATGCCGAGAAAGTACAAGTATCAGCGCAATCCTTTCGAACGCAATAGTCGCACGGTTGCTCCCCATCGCATTTCACCTTGCGTTTTTTGCAAAGATTGCATGCCGCTGTGACTCGCTCAAGCCTCCGTCGCTTTTCCGTAGGCGGCCGGGGCGGCGAATCCGTGGTCATGCAGGCAAATACAATCGACGGGGCTAACTGGGAAAGGCGCGTGATGTTCAAAATATGAGAAGAGCGGGCCTTGGGCAATCCATGCAGTCCATGGATTGTTATGTCGTTTTGCGATGATCGATGGGAGGTGACGGGACGGAACAACATGGTGGTCCGTCGGATGACGGAAGAATAAGATTACGTAAGTGAGACATCCGATAGCGGCAACAGCGGGAGGTGCCGGCGCCAGATGTAATGAATTGCCAGTTCACTGACATGTAGTCATTCAAACAAGAATTCTAGGTTCAGGTTTCAGCCATGTATTTTTCTCGAATAGGCACTAAGATTTACTTGCGACCGATTTCCACGGAGTTGAATGTCTGTACGAGAGAGTTAGTCGCGCTTCACGAAAGCATACATGTCAACGGCTATATCTCAATGCGTACTTTCACCACAATGAATAGCTATCACACGAGAACTTGATGGGAACTGCTGATACATGGTTATATGTTTAACATTTATACCCAGCGGCTCTCCCTTCCAGTCAATCCAGGAAGTGTTTCAATATGTATGGTGGTTCTATGTAACTTTTCACCCGCCGGATGTTGTGGTATCTTTGTATGAGGAATGTTTTGAGAATTGTGGGTCGTAAAGGCGGTTCGTTTTGGGGCCAGTGGCTCAGCGAAGGGCCTTGCGAGCGAAAGTAGGCAGAATGAAGGATGCTTCGTGGATCTCCTTGCTGTAGTACTTGCACAGCTTCTCCTCTTCCTCGTAGGACCAGGAGCGTAGAGGCTTCTTCACGTTGCGGTTGGCATCCTTGCAGCATACCATGAAGCCAATCTGACCGGATGGGTAGGTGGGGATGGTGGTGTAGGCGTACTCGGCGACGGGGAAAACCTCCTTGCAAGACTTCTTCAAGCCAGCAATCAGAGGCATGTGCAACCATTGGTTCTCGGCTAAACAAACGAGTCAGTAGCTTCTCTATATAGCAGCCGTGAAGCACTCATTTCACGACTGCATGAAACCGTCCGCCGGAATGGAGTGGAAGGGGCTTACAACCTTGAGTGGTGATGACACCACCTTCGCGAAGGGCGCCATTGAGTAGCTCAAAGTATGGCTTCTGGAACAAAGCCTCGGCCGGACCCTCAGGATCGCTAGAGTCGGTGATGATGACATCAAACTCGTTCTTGCGGTCCTCCATGAATTTGAAGCCATCACCAACGATGACCTCAACGTTGGGGTGCTCGAAGCCGACCGACATGCCGGGGAGGTATTTCTTGGAGAGACGGATAACAGCCTCGTCGATGTCGCACAGGACGGCCTTCTTGACGCAGTCGTGCTTGACAACCTCACGGAGGACACCGCCGTCACCACCACCAATGACCAACACGCGCTCGGGGTTCGGGTGGGAGTTGAGGGCGAGGTGGGTGATCATCTCCTGGTAGCTGTCTCAGTTAGCCCATGGTACAATGCGATTGGCTATGCGGTATGACATACGAGAATTCGTCGCGCTCGGTGCATTGGATGACGTTGTCAAGAACTAGGACGGTACCATAATCGGTGGATTCGAAGATGAGGACGTCCTGGTACTTGCTCTTCTCGTGGTGAAGAACCTGGTTGACCTTGAGGGTCATGGCCTGGCCGGGCCACATATCAGAGATCTCGCGGAACCAGCCATCTGTTGATCAACCAGTCAGCGCTGCTGTTTGTTGCGAGTGACGCAACCTTGAAGACAATGCGCCAATCGCACAGGTTCAGGCGGAACTCTTACCCTTGATAGTGGGGTGCTCGATGGTTGCCATTGTGAGGTATGTACGGGTCGAGTAGAGAGAGATGTGGCTAAGTGGAGGTGGAGAAGTAAGGTGAGGGTGGATGGTGAGGGGAAACAATCGGGTTGGGAATTTTTTAAATAGCTCGTTGGGCTTTGCGCGTAACGTTGACAGGATTGTTTGCATCTAGTGGGGGTGGGGGGGTCGGATCTTCTTCGGCAGCTGAACACAGGTACACCGACACTGCTGCAGTTCCAATGTTATGTGTAATTATTGATTGATTGAACTAGTTCTTGTCACAAGAGCGATGCTGGGAATTCCAAGGCGGTAGTTGAAGGAAACTTCTTTTGGGATTATGGTTTCATAGATGCACTAAAAGCTCGCTTGCCTTGTCACTCTACATGATTGAACCCAAGTTGATTTGCTGGGGATTGTAAGAGCAATTAGGTTACCTTGAGAGTATATGGTCCTAGAAATGAGAGAGTAATTGTCGATTTGTAGTAATTCTATCGTTGTTGCAAAAATATACAAACGTTTGAAGTGGCACATGCACGAATTGCTCGTGTACATGGGTTAGACGATGCGGTTACATAATGATCCGAGATGATGTCATTTGATGGGTACGTACCCAAGCATCAGTGACATCTAAATCTACCTAGGTAGTGCATCCACAATAACATCGCGTACATCGCTTACATCGCCATTGCTGCTTTCATCTCTCATACTCTCATACTCTCATTCCGTCTAGGGCTGCACCAACCCCCGCAAACTCAAGCTCCGCTAGCGTTTCCTCCCAAACCCGCTTAGTCAAAGACCTCCCCTCAGGAGTGTACAGCAAAGCCGCGAATCTACGCTAAACATCAGTAAAAAGACACACATTTCGACACTTGACCACAGGTTGTGTATATCATCACTCACGGATGGATCTTCCAGCTCATCAAAAAACACCCATGCGATTCTTTCCCCTTATTCACCATCGCATCAACGAAACACGAAGCACCCACTCTTGGAGTCCGCCCCGTAAGCTCGAAAATCTTGAGACCAATCTTCATCGCACCCTGCGTTTCGCGGGCAAGTGCTGTACCCTTGACCCAAGCTGGATCAGCAAGGTTAACGATGACATCGTCCGCTGAAACGTAATCAGTGAGATTCCAGAGGAACGCATGAGCCAGAAGCTTTGAAGTGTTGTAATGTTCCTCGCGGCTCCAATGCTTCGAGTCTTTGAAATACGAAAACAAGGGACTTTCGCTTCTACCAGGGAAGGCCGCTACCAGAGAGAGGGCTGCGTTGACGATGGTGAGATGAGGAGGTGGGTCATTGGCAGCTCCCTTTGCTTTGAGTATTGGAAGTAAAAGGATGGTGAGTAGCATGGTGGAAAGGTAGTTAACTTGGAACATGGTTTCGTAGCCGGTGCTCTTGTTCTTCGTGAAACTAATTTTCATAGTCCCGGCGTTTAGAAGAACCATATCGATTCGGGAGAGAGATCTTTCGACGCGTTGAACAAAACCAGTTATGGAGTCGTAGGAATCCATATCCAGAAGCCAAACCTGGATCGTGGAGCCAGGGTGTTGCTTCCGCAATGTATCCGCGGCGGCTTCGCCTTTTTCGGGAGACCGTACAGCGAGGACGAGCATTGAAATCCGGAGTTCTAGAAGCTGCACTGCAGTCTCGTATCCAAGCCCGGTGTTGCCGCCGGTAATGATCGCCGTCTTTCCAGAGAGAGTAGTGCCTGGAGCCGGCCAATCTGGCTTTGCGCGAAATTGATTGTTGAAGAATACATTGGGGAAGAATTTTGTGTGTGAGGGTTCGAGGTCTTTGGAGCCAACCATTGTGAGATGAGATTTGGTAAGATATCTTTTCGGTTTTCATAATCCATGGGCCCTTTATACGATCAAATGATATTCTTGTAGCTCTAGCGTCTCGTTTACCTCTTCAACTACTTCTCACACGGTCTCATCAATGGATCCGAGATAATATAGCTTTAGTCCAAAAAAGGTAAACGAGCTGTGCATGGGTGTTGCATAGGCCATCTCCTATTGGCTACTTGAATTCTAGTGCTCACGGGTTGGGATATAATGCATAAATCCCACCAAGTTCTCCTCGTTTTCCCTTTGCAGACGCTTCACACATGCAATATCCTCAAACTTCGGACGAGATGATGCTAAAATCCGAGCCTAACTATCAGGTGCTGTCGCAGACACTTGACGGACCAAATCTACGGGTCCGACGATACCAAAAAAGAAAGTCGCATGCCAAAACGAGATCCGGGTGTCTGTTCTGCAAGGCCAAGAAAGTTAAGGTAAGCTGCTTCATGTGTCGTAAGTCTGCGTGCTCACGCTCGGCAGTGTGACGAGGGCCGCCCAATTTGCGAAAGATGTAAACGGAACGGTCGACAGTGCTCGTACAATGTCGCCATGTCGCGTGCATTACCACAAGAGCCACCCTCACATCTTGGACTAATATCATCCTTGAGCGCTGTCACCATATCAACAGGTTCGCCACGGCATTATGGCATGAAGGGTACATCGAACTTGGAACTTATACAGCATCTGCTTGCTCATTGGACCACTATTTTTCACATTCCTTGCGATACGCGGTTACTATCAATGTCTCAATCAAATCCTTTGGTGGAAAGTACCATGCTAGCGATTGCAGCATGCCATCTTCGCCACGTCGCACCGAATGTGACACAATACCAATTCGCCGAATTCTTCTACCAAACTCAAGTTGTCAGCGGCATCCGAGGACTGCTGAACCGTCCTGTGACTAGTTTTGTCCAATCAGATGCTGACGGGTTGTTGTTGTGTGCGACGCTGTTGAATATAATCACCTTTGCGCTGCCGAGGTCTCGAGAAACAAACAAGGCAAAGTCAAGTGTATCATGGGTCCTGGAGTCGAACAATGACGGCCGAGCTTGGCTGGATCTGCAAGTGGCTTTACGGCCACTTCTTTTGCACATGCCAGCATTTCTCGAAGATACTATCAATTTTCTTGCTCCGATCTTCTTTGGCGGAGAAAAACATACTTGGGAGTTCCAAAAAATGTCTGAGGCTGCAAATGCGATACCACCGAACTGGGCCAAGTTCTTTGAGTTGAACTACCTGTATATGAAGGATTCGAGCAAGAGCAATGGAAGAGGGAAAGTCTTCGAGAAGCCAGTTACTATGTTGATACAGCTGCGAGATCTCGACCCCGTGGCGTTCAACATATACAAGAGTATTCAGTTCCTGGCAAAAATCCAGCAAGCGTTCCGTTATCTGCTACTAGAAAGAGATAGCAAAGCGCTTTGGTTACTGGGATATTGGTTCGGGCTTTTATGTCGCTTTGGTGATATATGGTGGAGTGAGCAACGTTCAAAGAGGGATCATCATGCCGTTTGTGTGTTGCTACGACAGCGTCGCCACGGAGAGGAACCGGGCGAAGAAGGCATACTGTGGGCAGAGATGATGTTAGAGCTCGAGATGGTCACGACCCAGTAGATTACTTGTCTTTATGGGAAAAATACGCATCTTTCTCTGCCTTAACCAGTCAACTCTGAGTTGAATGCCAATTAGTGTGGATAAGAGTCGGTGAAGTTGCGCCTCAAGCGGTGCGGCACCCCAAAAACTCTCATGAGCTATCTACGACTTGAATTCGGCAAGGTCATCTAAGGAATTTACACTATATCATCATCACATGGCTTTGCGCTATCAGGAGTGGGGACGCCGAGCGAGTGTTCGGCTTGCCCAACATGGCGTTTGTTGTTATAAATGACAGCCTGGAGTGCAAATTCACTTTGGTATGCAGCAAGTCCTAATTATGCGTTAGTGGAAAATAACTTCGTAATTTCAATGTATTCATTGCGACAGTAGGTCCCAAAACTTATAACAAGCACGAAAGCTCTGGAAGAACACGGGAAGAAAAACGTGCTATCCCGAATGTGGTAAGATGGGACACGGTTGAAGTTGGAAAAATCCCCTATCGATTCAATCCCTCTTTGCTTCCTGACATTAACCAACATCTATGTGCCGGATGCCGAATGGCCGTTCGAAAATATACAGCGGGATCTAAATCTGGGGTTTTCGTGCTTCTTGTACAGTTTTTACGATAATTTTCCACACTACCATGCTATTCCACCCTGACTTGCGCCTCGTACCTCCAACATTTTCCACCAACGAGTCGCTGCATATCTGATCTCGTGAATATATTAGCGTGGTCTCTAGATTATAAACAAACACGTCAAAAAGTACCACGTGTTTATGAAACAAAGTTCCCCACACGAGATCGGGAGCTTACTCTCATTCGGTATTTGATTTCCGGGTTCAGGGTTGATGCTAAGCATTTAAGCACTGGTAAGATTGCGGTGTATCCGACGCAAAAACATGCACTTTTTAGTGCGAGGAGAGCAATTTACGATTAACATAAGGGATGTATTGCTGCCTTTATTGGGCGGAACAACAGTGTCCGTGGCTTTCGCTCTTTTAACCTATCGCCATTTGCTACCATTTATAACATCATCTCTTTCAGTCTTTCATTAACTTGGCTCGCTGGGCTTTACATTCGTTGCACTTAATCACCATGAAATTCACTATCCTAACTCTTGGAAGCGCGATCGCCGCTACTAATGCCGCTGTTCTGGGAGAGCGTGCTGCATCGGCCGTCGTGGGCAAGCCGGAAGGTTTCGCCTCAGGAGCCACAGGTGGAGGTGGCGCTGCCTGTCAAGTACCCTCCAGTACTTCGCAGCTGAAGACGTGGTTGTCGGACAGTACCGCTCGTTGCATTATTCTTGACAAGGAGTTCAACTTCAAAGGTACCGAAGGCACGGTAACGGAGACTGGCTGCCGACCAGCATCCAACAAGTGCCCCGGAAACGGTGGCCAGGATGCTATCAACCATGCCAGCTGGTGCACAAACGGTAACGCTGGTGCTGGTTCAATCAACATCCAAGTAACCTATGACAAGGTAAGCAAACAGTGTGGCGTGTAGTGAATATACATACTGAAATGTGTGAAAGGCCGGTGTTAGCGGCCTCACTGTAGGCTCTAACAAATCCATCATTGGTAGTGGATCCAAGGGTGTTCTTCGTGGAAAGGGTCTCCGGATCGCAAATGGCGCCAAAAACGTCATCATCCAGAACATCCACATCACCGATCTTAACCCACAGTACATCTGGGGTGGTGATGCCATCACTGTCGATGGAAGTGATCTTGTGTGGGTTGGTAAGTAACTGTCCCCCACCGCGATTCGAGCACTACTGACACACGACTATCAGATCATTGCAAGGTCTCCCTGATCGGTCGACAGATGTTTGTTGCTGGAAATGGAGCGTCAAACCGTGTCACCCTCTCCAACAACGAGTTCGACGGAAGATCGAGCTGGTCTGCCACATGTGACGGGCGACACTACTGGGGTATCTACCTCACCGGCTCCCAAGATCTCATCACCATGAAGAACAACTACATCCACCACACCAGCGGACGTAGCCCTAAGATTGGTGGTAACAGCTTGGTCCACGCAGTCAACAACATGTTTCACGACAACACAGGCCATGCCTTCGACAACGACAAAGGAGGTATGGTGGTGGCGGAAGGCAACGTCTTCCAAAACGTCAAGTAAGTGCAGGGTTTACATTTCTGATGATTGCACTTTTGTAACTTACATTTATTACAGAACACCGTTATTGACTAACGCGGGCCAATTCTTCGGTTCTCCGTCTACTTCAGCGAACGCGGTGTGCAGCGCGAGCCTGGGACATGCTTGCCAACTAAACGCATTTGGCAGCAGTGGCAGTCTCGGTGGAACCGATACGGGCTTCATGTCTAACTTCCAGGGCAAGTCGATTGCCAGCGCGAGCACCGCAAATGCAGGATCGATCCAGAATGCTGCTGGATTTGGCAAGATCTAAATTGACCAGATCGCGTGAAACTCGATTGCGTCGACAGCATTTGTATATATTTTTTACTTCTCATCCTCCTCATTTTTTTCTGCTATCGTTGCAGTGCCGAGCCCAAGTTCAGAAACTTTCAGTCGCAACACCTATGTGTTGAACTGCTCGATTCAAATAATTGCAGTATATTGTCATTCAACTTCATTTAGTTTGGCTGTTATATCAAATTGGTGGTCGGTATATGACGAGCTCGATTCTTGACCCAAACATCAAGTGCGGGATGGGTTGCTTGTTGTGATTTACATTCTACATCACTTAAGACTCTCTGATAACCTCTCTCAACGACATCTGGACTTAATATACGCATACCATGTGACTCACGAGTGCGGTTCGGTCGGGAATACACCGGCCGGTGGTATGAGAGTGGAACACATGTGCTTACCCCTCACTATTCCTCTTTTCCCCAGCTGCCCCAACTGCCCCACCACTGATCAAGTAAAAGGCAGTACGAGCCCACCTGCTGGCATGACGCAAGTGGGGTAATATGTCTCGTTGGATGTTTGCTAGTCTCCTGGCGTGAAGCAATCCGGCACTACTTATCTACAAGCCCGCGTCCTCGTCTTTCTTCTCTTTCAATCTTCAAACTACCCGAATCATCCAACACTATCACCCTACCTGTCTTCTCCACACAATTCTCATCATGTCTTCAGGAAAAACCGTCACATTGAACACTGGACGTAAGTTAGCATCCTAACTCTTCCCAAATCTTGCTCGAAAGGTACTGACTCCACTTTCGCTACCCAGACAAGATCCCGTATGTATTACTCTCTTGCAATCGGCCTACAATTCTCCCCAGCGGGACCCCGAAGCTGAACTCAAACCACACAGGCAATTGGGATACGGCACATGGCAGGCCAATCCAGGCGAGGTTGGCAACGGTGTATATGAAGCACTCAAGATTGGTTATAAACATTTGGTACATTAAATCTTTTACCCCCTCAAGTATGCCGGTTTGCTAACATTGACGTACTTCTTCCCCCAGGATCTCGCAAAAATGTAAGTACCACACAGAATCAAGACAGCCTTGCACAAAGCGCTGGTATCCGAGGGAGGAGGGGTTGGGCTGAATGCGGCCTTGGTGCGATTTCACTGGCTGACTAGTTTTTCCACCAATCAGCTACGAGAACCAGAAGGAGGTTGCAGAAGGTAAATCAAACTGATCACGGAGGAGCAAGCAGAATGCTAACAAACAAAAGGCATCAAGCGAGCATTGGCCGACATTCCTGGCCTCAAGCGTGAAGACATTTTCATCACTTCCAAGGTCCGTAACCCCCAAAGGGCGTTGACCTTTTCGTATGTTGACTTTATAGCTTTGGAACACACAACATGACCCCGCTCATGTCGAGGCTGCTCTCGACGATACTCTCAAGGAGCTCGATCTCGAATATCTCGACCTCTACCTCATCCACTGGCCTGTCAGCTTTGGCCCTGGCTCTGACCCACACTCAGACTTGTTCCCCAAGACCTCGGATCCCAACGAAGTTAATATCGATAGCTCTGTTCCCAATAGCGAGACATGGAAGGCGATGAGCAAGCTCCCCAAGAGCAAGGTCCGCTCTGTCGGAGTGTCCAACTTCACCTACCAGTCCCTCAAGGAGCTGGTTGACAAGACCGGTATTGTACCCGCTGCGAATCAAATCGAGCGTCACCCCCTTCTTCCGAGCAAAGAGCTCATCGACTACTGCAAGGAGAAGAACGTAAGTTTGTACCTGATACAGTGACGCGGTTGCGCGATGCTGCATAATATGGTGCTCGGAACACCTGACTCAGTATGCTCGGATCCACTGACCTTTTGTCCAATTTTCTAGATTCACATCACCGCCTACTCCGCCTTCGGCAACAACTTCTTCGACCTGCCCCTCATCATCGCTCGTCCTGAAGTCAAGGCCATCGCAGAGAAGAAGGGCGTTACTCCTGCGCAGGTCGTTCTCGCATGGAGCCAAGTCGGCGGACACTCTGTCATCCCCAAGTCTGTTACTCCTTCGCGCATTGCAGAGAACTTCAAGGAGATCGAGCTGGACGACGAAGACTTGAAGGCTATTCAGAAGTACTCTGATGAGCACCAAGGCAGGAGAAGGTTCAATGTGCCTTATACCGCCAACAAGCCCCGCTGGAGCATCAACATCTTCAACGAGCCTGAGGAGAAGGAGTTGAGCACCACCATTGTGATTTAAGGGACTTCGAATTAGCAGAGGGTTGAATGTCCTATGCGCTCAGGCGACATTAAATACCATTTTCCAACTTGATAGTAGATATTGATAAGAGAAAAGTTCGTCTGGTGTTCAAACTATTGTCCTGAACCGATATGGTGATCTAGTTAGTAATATGCATTACAAGGTTTCTAAGCTTTCTTATAGTAAGCTTAAAATCTAAGTTTATTGACTGCGCATTTGGCGTAGTGACGTATATGACGTCCTAACGATCCAGTGGAGATGTACAGATTTGAGATATCTTTGGTGTTGAGGTTGATCTAAGTTTATGTCTATTTTGAAATCAACATAAATTATTAACAAGTATTAATAGAGTTAAAATAAAACTGGAATAAATAAAACTAGGCTGATTGATAAGTAAGATACATTCTAAAGGCATAATTAAGTGTTTCTAAAAAAAAGAGGCAGTCTGAGGTAAGATATTAGGTAACCTTGAGTCTTTTGAACACGAGACTCTAGGCTCCAGGCTCGAGGCTGCGCTGTATCCGCTTCTTTATAAGACACAATCGCATCACGTCGTACTACAGAACATTCAGAGGATATCACTTTGTCTCATCTACTAGAAACCGGAAATAAAGTATCTTATCTCCCCCCGTCCCAACATGAAGCATTTCGAATAACGTGTACAATGCTATCGAAAGACCAAATTCGACTTATATCTCTCCACCCCGCTTCTGCCGATGTAGCTGCAACAGCGCCTATCGAATGCGACATCGAGATAGTTGAATTATCTGCTAAACCAGAATACGAAGCAGTAACGTATGTCTGGGGAACCGAGAGCGCATCCGCGTCTGTCGAACTTGCCGGTCGGACCGTTCCCATCTCTCCAACTCTGCACAATGCTCTCCTCCGGTTCCGACGGCCCGACCGCAAAAGAACACTCTGGATCGATCAATTATGCATTAAACAGGACGACTTAGACGAGAAGATGCAGCAAGTCCGCCTAATGCGCACCATCTATTCGTCTTGTACCCAGTGCGTGGTCTGGATGGGCGAGATGCGGCAAAATCTGACACTTGCCGATGCAGACGCCGCCTTCCAATTTCTCCGATGTATGGGCGAAGTGGCCCAGACAGGAAACCAGAATATCGATCTACCCGCGGTCATCCGCGACAACATGGACGGTATGAACAGGGCTCTCATGAGTGTGGGAAGCCAAGAAAACCAGTGGTGGAACCGCGTGTGGACCGTTCAAGAAGCATGTTTACCAAAACACCGCACCATTCAATGGGGTCCCCTGACACTTCCCTGGACCATCCTCGACGCCGCCTCATGGACTTGGACAAGTACGGTATGGGGGCACGACACGCTCCCCCGCGAGACGTTTGAGGCGCTGGGCCACATCATGGTACACACCATCTGGCTCCGCCATTCGAGAGAAGGCTCCGACAGCATCTTCCACGAGATCCACAAGTGGCGCTTCCGGCAAGCCAAGAATTCTCTCGATAAGGTGTACGGGCTCCTCGGCATCTGCGAACCTGGCCGCTTGCCGTTGACCGAACGGTGCGACTACAGCGTCTCGCCTGCGCACATGTTCGCGACCCTGACCCGCGAGATGATCCTGGATCATGGGGGACTACAGCCTTTGACGCCATATCCGCGGCAGGACCGCTCTGTCACCACTCCTGACAATCCGTCGTGGGCCGTCGACCTTCGATCCACGGCACTAAAAGATGCGCCCGATATGTATTACCAAATCCATGGCTACTACTTCTACGACGCCAATAAGCACTTGGGCGCCATCGACTTGGACCGCATCCGCTCCGAAATGGGGCAAGATGTGTTGACGTTGGATGGCGTTTGCGTTGGCACCATCGAACGCGTGGAGCCAGGGTACCGACCTTCTCGTAACCGGGAGGACAATTTCCCAAACACAGAAGCCCTTCTTCCGGCGTGGTATCGCACCGCCATGCTAGTCGAAGGACGTCGCGAGTTGTCAGAATCCACCATGTATCCCGGTGGTGGTGGCAGATATACCCGCAAGGAAGCGTTTTTGAGGCTGGTGCTGGGCGATGTGATGCGCAACAGAGAGCAAGATTTCGAGCGAGACGTTTCGGGCCCAGACCTGGACGATGTGGAGAAGATGATGGAGCAAAAGGGTGCGCATGTCCCGTATGAGACGAGGTTTACTGCATATGGGATGATGGCTAATCAGAATCTGTTTATGACGAGCAATGGCTTGATGGGGATTGGGCATATAGATGTACGAGCCGGCGACGAGGTGTGGATCTTTAAAGGCGGAAAGGTGCCGTTCGCTATCCGACCTCAGGCTGTGGAGGCAGGATCAGGCTACAGTTTTCTGGGTCATTGCTATGTACAGGGCGTGATGAGGGGTGAAGTAGGCGCGGGGATTGTCCCTAAGGTTGACCTTGTCGAGAGAACAGTGTGTTTGTGGTAGCAAATTTCCCTGTTGTTTATCAGGATGCTTGGCTTAGGTTCCTCATTACATTTCACTATGATAAGCGCCTTACCACTGCTTGACGTAACAATTCCCTGCGTACTACTGTTTCTACTACACTACTACTCATGTGGCCGTACGTCCTAAACCGACTGAAATACCACTGTTTCTGCCTGAACATGCCACCATCTACTAGTTATTATAGCCCTCCAGCGCTCAGCGACGGAACATGAGACATATCAAGTTATTAGGCTTATTCTAAAAGCTCTATATTCTTAATACATCCGTGCAACTAACCTATTCAAAGTCTTTGCTTAATCGCGTTGACAGTGCAGGAGGATCTTCACCCTTAACAGCACCACCCTCTCAGTTTCCACTTGGTATGCATCTTTTGCTTCCCTTTAGTGAACTCAATATAGCATTAATAGCAATGTTAGTAGCTTGTGAAGCAGTTGGATCGTTCTAGGAAGCCCTGCTCATTTGCCGCGGCTCATAGCTAAGTGAAAAGGGTTGGTTCGTGTGAACGCGAGGCTAATTAAGCCGCGAATGTTGGCGGCAGAAATTTATAACTAATAGAAAAAAGTAAAAAGAATACTAAGCCTTTAAAGCTCTACAATGCAAATTTGTCGCGATCACGACATCGAAGCTACCCAACTCAATCCATAACGGTTTTGCGCCTATACATCCCTGTCGGAATGGCAACCTTCCTAATCAGCTTTAGATCGCCGAACTAGAAAGGTTCCTATTCGGCTTGTAGTAATGAACACCATCTTCCCCCTGCTATGTCGAAATCGCTAAGGCATATAGCAGTGGCAAGATTTTTAACAGTATGATAGCCAAGCTAACTCTTATCTTGAATGTGTATATAGGTATGAGTCGCAATCATGATTGCTTTCTTCTTCTCGTGTGATACGGATTTCCCCCTCCTGGCTAGACATCGAGAACCTGCCAATCCACTCACTCTACAATGGCTGCTCCTGCCTCGACAAAGCAACCGTCCGTCGAAGATCTTTCACTGCCGACTTCGGATCAATCTTCGACCGAGCATGTTCCGCGAAAATGGTATCACTCCTCGCTTTTCAACGCCTTTGTTATTGGAGGTGTTGGGTTCATGGCTCCGGGGCTTTGGAACGCAATGAATGATTTGGGGGCTGGTGGTGCTCTCGATCCGTTTCTCATCAATGCCGCCAATGCGCTTGTCTTTGGGTTGATGGGCATCGTGTGTCTCTTTGGTGGCCCGATTTCGAATAGGATTGGGCTGGCAAATACTTTGTTTCTTGGTGCCGTTGGATATCCAATCTACAGTGAGTGTGTTCCATTGGTATCTTTCTTTTGTTCTGTTTTGCACATCACGATGTCAAGCTCCGAGCCTGCGATGATTTGTACAGACATTCCGATGTTACCATCAAGTTTCTTACAACTAACATAACGCCCCCTCTCAGGTGCTGGATTGTACACGAACAACCGATTCGGCAACGAATGGTTCGTCCTAGTTGGTGCCGTTGCATGCGGTATCAGCGCGGGATTGTTCTGGGTTTCCGAGGGCGCCGTGGCTCTAGGATATCCCGAGCCCGGAAAGCGAGGCAAATACATGAACATCTGGCTTTGGTTCCGCACTGGAGGGCCACTTGTGGGCGGCGCCATCGTCCTTGCCCTCAATAACGACGCTTCTGCCAAAAAGAAAGGAAAAGTCGGCTACCAGACATACCTTGTTTTCATAGCGCTTCAGTGCATCGCCTGCCCTCTCGCCCTGGCCTTGAGTCCGCCTGAAAAGGTCCAGCGAGCTGATGGATCGAAAGTCGTCGTGCTAAAAGAAAAATCGTTCAAGCACGAGTTGAAAGCACTTTGGCGCGTGTCGAAGCGCAAAGACATTATGCTTCTCCTCCCCATCTTCTACGCCGCCTACTTCAATCAATACACCGGAAACTTCAAAACGTACTACTTTGGGATTCGCGCACGCGCACTTATCGGGTTCACCAGCAATTTCTCAACGTTGATATCATCACAGCTCATCAGCTGGTACCTGGATTACAAGAGACTCCCAGTAAAGAAGCGCATTCAATACAGCTTCTTCTACGTCGTTGCACTCCATGTCATTGCTTGGGTCTATGCGTGGGTAGTCCAGGAAAAGCTCACTCGCCACCCTCACGTCATGGATTGGGAAGACTCCGGATTCACCGAAGGATTCTTCGTAATCATACTTTGGGATTTCTCCAGACAGTCACTCCAGAACTGGCTCTACTACCTCCTCGCTACCAAAACGGACAACATCTCTGAGCTGAGTCGCTTTTCAGGCGTCCTCCGAGGCCAGGAATCGTTCAGTCAGGCAGTTGCTTTCGGGCTCAATACGCGGAAATGGAAGGGCGGGAGGTTGCCCTTGGGAATCAACACTGCGCTGCTTGTGCTGGCTATCTGGCCGACCTGGCTTGTGGTTCGCGATCATGCTCCTGTCGAAGCAGCTGGTAGCGAAGAAGATGGCGGAGAGGAACTTGCAGGGTCTTCTGGTGAAGACGTGAAGAAGAAGTTTGCGAATGCGGAGTCTGCTGTTGGAAAAGACGTATGAGCTCGATCTTGTCGTCGCATAACAGCGCATCCGCTTTGGGAGCTATCTCCCAGAATCCATACACTAAAGAACATCTGCATAATCACATACCTACAATTCTCGTGATGAAATTATTGTGGGCAAGATTGGCTGTCCTGTATGGATCACCTCGCCTTCCCGTATCAACCCATGGTATACCAAAGTGCATCTTATACTAACCTGTCTCGTCACTTTTAATATTGTGTATTTTCATGCACTATCCGCCATGGACAGGAGTGCTGACCCCCGCAATCGTCGGACCAAGAAACAGTCGGGCTAAGAAGAGAGAGTCGGGCCAAGACACTGAACATCCGACAAATATGAGGCGATCTCCAAGCATATATTGCTATAGCAGCCTCCGAGAACCAGAAAAATCAGGTAGCATCACGCTATTTTACTGTTCAGTTGCGAATCACATGCGCAATCACTATAGCAGATTGACTCGCTTATCGGAGCTGCGGTCAGGGCCCCCTTGCGTTTACTTGGCCTTCATATCCTCGATATTAATATAACATTCACTTCTTGACTACACGTTTTCAGCCAAAAACTTCTCCGGACCGATTGGTGGACTTTAACTTTGCAAAAACTCAATGTATATAGCGCGCCAAGTTACTTCCAAGCTCAAAGAATCAATGCATATAAGTACATGGAATATGCCAGTAGTCTGGGGATTGAATTGCAGAATTCATCCTCATCATGTTTCCCTCAATTGCTCGCAGTCTGCTGTTTATCAGTCTCGTGGCTGCTCAAACAGTCACTTACCAAGCAGAATCTGCTACTTTGACAGGCGTTACGGTAGGCACATCTGTCGCTGGTTTCACAGGTAAATATACCCCCTAGTAAGTCCGGTCATATAGACTAAATACTTTCAAGGGACGGGCTACGTAGAGGGCTTTGACACTGAAGGCGACTCCATTACATTCGCCATCAACAGCACGAAATCACAACTCTACGATCTTCATGTGATTTACAACGGCCCCTATGGTGATAAATATACAAACGTCGTTCTCAACAACCTGGCCGGCTCGCAAGTCTTCCTACCCGCAACAACGGCATGGACAACAGTCTCCGCGGGTCAGGTCCTCTTGAACGCAGGCTCCAACACTATCCAGATCCAAAACAACTGGGGATGGTATCTCATAGACGCCATCACCCTCGCGCCTTCAGCTGAACGTGCCCCTCACAATGTCACCACAACCCCTATCAACCCGAATGCCAACGCCCCCGCCAAAAGCCTTCTCAAATATCTCGGCAGCGTTTACGGTAAGAACATCCTCTCCGGTCAGCAAGACCCAGCCTCCCTCGAATGGGTCACACAGAACGTGGGCAAGACTCCTGCGATTCTCGGCGTCGACATGATGGACTACACTGAATCGCGCATGGCGTACGGTGCGAGATCCACGGACGTCGAAAAGGCCCTCGAATTCGCAAAGCGCGGCGGCATCATCACCTTCGTGTGGCACTGGGGTGCTCCCACGGGTCTATACGACACCGCCGAGCAGCCTTGGTACAGCGGATTCTACACCAGAGCGACCGACTTCAATATCGAGACCGCGCTGGCGGATACCACGAACGCGAACTACACTTTGCTGATCAAGGACATCGACACAATTGCGGTGCAGCTGTTGAAGCTGCAGGATGCGGGCGTGCCGGTGCTATGGCGACCTCTGCACGAAGCGGAAGGGGCTTGGTTTTGGTGGGGAGCGAAGGGTCCCGAGCCCGCAAAGAAGCTGTGGGATATCTTGTACGAGAGGCTGACGAACCACCATGGATTGAACAATTTGATCTGGGTGTGGAATTCGGTGAACGCGGACTGGTATCCTGGAAACGACAAGGTCGATCTCGTCAGTGCGGACACGTACGCGCAGGGTGATCACGGGGTAGGTCGATTTCACATCACATTCGTTTCTCTTTTCCTTTCCAACTCCCTTTCATGATTGCAGACTGCATAATAGAACGGTAACTCTTTGCTAACTTCACACAGCCCATCTCAGCGACATACAACAACCTCCTTGCGCTCGCGGACGATACGAAGATTATCGCCGCGGCCGAAGTCGGCTCCGTACCCGATCCTGCTCAACTTCAAGCCTACCAAGCTGACTGGGTATACTTCTGCGTCTGGACAGGCGAGTACATAGATGGAGGATCTTGGAACAGTTTGGATTTCTTGAAAGAGACGTATAACTCCGAGTATGTCCTTACTCTAGATGAGATCCAAGGTTGGGCGGATTGAACAGGTGCTTGTACGTAGAGGGTGCAGGATTGTTTTCATACATTTCAAATCAAGCTCGATGCCTTACCAAGTGTTATATTCGTGCTAAGTACAGTAGTGAATCATCGCAGATTTATTCGTGCAGTCAATCGTTACTATATCTTCTATCTTATATGAAGTGTGAGCTGTTACACGAATAATTGTGTGCACTTATGAACAGAGCTTCGAATAAGGCTGTAAGCTGACAAGCTACTCTACTTGGATTAAGCTCTACAGCATAATTTGTGGCTTTCCAACCACGATCACTATGACGGCACGAGCTTAATAAGATGATCCATAGTGGCTGTATGTTAATTATAACTTATTGCGATACCGTAACACTGACACTGCCCACAAGAAGTGTGCGGAGCTGACTTCTCGTTCTTCTATTCATCTATCCTGTTTCTTGCACTTCTCATTGACGTCAGAAAATCATTAGAGGTAAAAAAAGGACGCCGATGTCAAGAAAGGCAAACATTGTGGTAGCCAATCCGCCGACCATCTCAGGATGCCGGTTCCCGTTGCCACAATGGGGGCCAAAGCGGACCCGCTGGTCTAGTTTCAGCTGACGGCTCTCTCAAAATGGGTAAAGAAGTAAGAATACGAAAGGATAGGCGTAAGCATCCCGGCATTCTTGATATCGCGGAAATTAGTATTTCAGCCGCTATAATGCTAAAATACCTATACGATGTAGGCGAACGTCAATGGTATGGGGAAAGTGTTCCCGCGTGTTTGAGCGTTGCATCGCCAAGGACAGAAATCCCCCCGATGACGAAGCTATACGAAGAAACAATCTCTCTATTGGACGCTACGGGCTCCTGCTCTGGTTTATCCAAAAATGGACATATAAGGATCCGGAATCAACTTCCAGAACTACTTACATCACGTCTTTCGTTGTTGATTCTTTGCATCTGGCATTCGTTGTTTCCTTCCTCAGTCACTCATTCACTGTTTCACAGTTCATACACTCGTTTACACATTGATTCATCATTCTAGCCCTCACGTTACATTGAGCTCTTATTCAGCAAAATTTTGCCACTCAAGCCTTGTCGTCGCACGATACACTAGCCATGCAGCTCCTCAGCCTCATTCCCATCTCGCTACTAGCATCGACGCTCACTGCAGCACCTCTGACCATTGAACTCGAGGCCTCGGGAAACTCGACCATCGAGACCGCCGACCACAAAGTGTACAAGCTTAAGAGCAACCACGAAGTCACGAAAATCAAAGTGTCGGATGACAAACCGAGCCTCAATGTCACCAGCAGTAACGTCACCTCCAGCGAACTTAAACTGGAATACAAACATCGTATCCAACAAGGCCTCAAAGTTCCGGCAAACAAAACGGTATCGCTCGGGTTAGATAGTTACTTCAGGGCAGAGGAAGACGAGATTAAAAAGAAGAAGGAAGAGGAAGAGAGGAAGAAAGCAGAAGAAGAAAAGAAGAAGAAGGAAGAGGAAGAGAAGAAGCAGAAGGAAGAAGACAAGAAGAACGGGGTCTACGATCGCAAGGGAAACGTCAGGGTGACTTTCAAGAAGGAAACCATGAGCATCGCCAACATCGAGCTCGATGAGATCTTCAAGAGGCTTCGCGAGGCTTGCCACACAACCGGCCAATGCGAGACCAACGACATTGTTATCAAGGGTCAAGATATCGGCAAAGGGCGTGGATCCGATGTTAAAAACGTTGAGTTGACGTTGGAGCCGCAAGGATCTTACCGAGAGTCACACCGCGACAACTTGCTTACATTGCTGGAGGCTGCCGTTAGAGAGGTAGCTGTGTGTGAAGAGTATACACACACGTCCACATGCTCGTTTACCATGGGATACTGTCCGTGTAAGTTTGACGCCAGTGTCATAACAGAAATTCTATTATATCAAAAAATCGCGTGATCAATGCTGACTTATTTGCTATGATGACTGCAGCGAGGACCACGCACGTCAAGCAATGCAAAGTCCCCGCATACTGGGGCGTCAACATCCAGAAAGCAGAGGACAAAGACGAAGGGTCCGCGCCGCCTTCCATAGGAACCAACCTTGATCTCCAGGTCGTTGGCGATACGATCTGCCAGGATACATACAAAGATCTGGCAAAGATGGGCAGTACGTTGATACCCCCTCTCCTGCGATCTCCCCTTTCTGTAAACATACTAACCCGATATAATAGAGGCGGTTCACAGCGCAGTTGGTGGCGTCTTCAGCCTGTGGCAATTTGCGTGTATTTGAGTGAGGAATAGTGTTATTTCTCTTTTCTTGAGAGAGCGGAAGAGCGCTCTTATGACCCGCGTCCGCCTCTCCTCCTTTCGTCTTCTTCTTCACGACTGAGCGGCATTGCTCGGACGAAGCCACGTATGCTGTCCAGCGGCTGATGCATGTGCGTGCTTATCCTTCAAATAGCATTTGCTATTAACTTTTACTCGATAAAATAGACCTAATCAGCCCCGAAGGAGCTGTCCCTTGTTGCTCGGAGAGCAAAAATCTGCCTGACATGGCATCGTATTCGTGCCCTCCTAGTATCATCACGTCTTCCCTTTAGGTATGGTGAAACACATCAGAAGATTATATATCTCCGTTGTTCTATATTTTATTATCCATCTTTTATGGGACTGCCGTTGGCCGCGCCCTCGGTGTTGAATGAGACCTGTGATGTTCTGCTGCTGAATCTCATAATAATACTCTTACAGCGACAACTAGGCGAGAAAAGGCAGATCTGTCAGAGGTCCGAATGATGTTATCCCATTTTCTGGTGTCTCAGTGATCTTCGTAGTGCTTTGATCCAGGAGAATGGGGCTGTTCTTTCGAAATTTCTTCCGCCTTTTCGCCGACCACGGGTTCGTCAAAAGGATCAAATGAGCTTGTGAGAACATCAATCATATCCTCCTGTTCAGATTTTTCCTTCCTCTTCGCGTCCGTAGAACCACTCTCCAGCTTTTTCTTCGCACTTGTGGCTCGCCGATGTGTACGACTCTTGATGTGCAAGTTCCAGTCATTCTCGTTGACCAGAACGGTCCCACAAGCTTCGCATGTTCTTTTTTGCCACAGATCCGGCCGTTGCGAGAGGTCGTAGTTCCGTCTAGGCGTCAGCATTTCGCGGGCAGCCTGTGATAGTTCCGCTGGGTTTGGTAAAGGCTTTCCAGTTAAGAAATCTTCTGTAATGCCCAGTGCTGGTTGCGCTACTGTTTCATCCCATTTGGCAACGTCGCTTCCGTCCATCAAGAAAGTGTTTTTCTGCTGGTCGACACCTATTAAAGCATTAAGTAGCTTGATCTGGATCCATCGAATTTGACGTTTGGCGTATTGTCGTGTTGCAGCTTGAGTTCTTTCAATAGCTATAGACTTTAAGCCCTCACGTTCCTTTGCTGTGATAGAAGGATCGTTCAAGGCAGCCTGGTAGTCTAAAAATTCTTTATATCCAATCGACACCCAAATGCCGCGACTTTGATCGATAGTTGCTTTAGCTCTGCTCTCGTGCAACACTTTGAATTCGGAAAGTGTTTTGACTTCATCCAACAATCCTCTTTCAATCATCTTGTCAACACGAGATTCTAACCGGGCGTTCAACGCGCCTCTGTCAGCGTGTACCCACAGTACAAGTGTAGGAAAGCGGAATCCCGTAGTGTGTTCTTGAGCCTCTCCCGAGTTTGGGGACAGCTCCCGCTTGAGCCGCCTTTCGTCATACATTTGAGAGGCCGGTTTTCCAGATTTCAGATAAATTTCGAGAGATCGCTGGATTTTACGTCTTTCGTTAGGATGCCATCGATCTGCCATCACAGGGTCCACTTCCTTCAGCTTTTCCAGAATGACTTCAGTAGGCTCATCAAGGATTGCGAAAGAGTGATTTGAAGAATCGATGTATTCGGTTTCTTGCTTTTCTAAAATTGCATCCTTGAAGAGGAGGGATTGGGTGTAGTAATGCGTCCCGCCAACGAGAATAGGAAGCTTGCCACGGCCATGAATATCCTCAATCTGAAATTATATTAGGCAGGAGTCGCAAGATGAGATGTTTAAGCTTACTGTCTGCACAGCTTCCTTGACAAACTTGCTCACGGTCCAAGACTCTTCTTCCAGGCCAATGCAGCCAAGGAGGTGATGGGGTAACCCTTTTCTTTCATCTGTCGTTATCTTGTTTGTGATGATAGGCAAGCCCTGATATAACTGCATCGCATCGCCATTGATGATTTCGCCATTGTACTTCTTTGCTATTTCAACAGCCAACTATCTGCTGTGATTAGTGAGTGAGCTTCCAAAAAGTCTGCTTTTTGGCACATACCTCTGACTTCCCAGTCCCCGTCGCGCCCACGATAGCAATCAGCGGCTTGGCCGGTGCCGCAGCCATCCTTTTTGTGCTGAATAATCTTACAGTGCGGAACATAAGCTCGATGCCCTTAGCACTTGTTAGAGTCATCGTGAGAAGTGCCGACAAAAGATCTGGACCTGCCTGCCTAGTGTGTACTAGCGTGCTTGTTTGTACGAGCTATAACGAATCATCTCTACCATTGTTCCACCGCTCTTGGTCCTTCTTCCTTTTGCGTCCCCAACCTATAAAAGGAGTGAAGATAGATTTTCAATCGACTCAACTCGTACAAGACTTTCTTGCAGCCATGGCCACACAGGACAATAAAAAAGAGATTGCTCCATCAATCGACGTGAAAAATCTGAGCTACCTCTTCCAAGATGGCTCAACTGGTTTGAAAGAAGTGTTCCTTGATCTGCCTCCTGGCAGCAGAACCCTTCTCATAGGAGGTTTGCCATACACCACGAAATTCCCGGCTGAAGAATTATATGCTGATTTGGTGTACAGCCAATGGTGCTGGAAAAACGACGCTCCTCCGCCTCCTCTCAGGCAAACGAATGGCTCCTGCGGACACAGTTTTCATTGCCGGCATCGATCCATTCAAATTCGGTCTGGAGGGCGTCACCTATCTCGGTCTGGAGTGGGTCCTTAACCCTATTGTGCGAACAGACATTGATGTTCCAACCCTCCTTGCCTCGGTCGGCGGCGACTACTGGCACGAGCGTCGGGATGAACTTGTCGAGATTCTCGATATCGATCTGTCGTGGCGAATGCACGCTGTCTCTGACGGCGAGCGACGAAGAGTGCAGCTGGCCATGGGTTTGCTTCGGCCCTGGACTATCCTTTTGCTGGATGAAATTACCGTCGATCTTGATCTCCTCTCGCGATCCAATTTTCTGCAGTTCCTAAAGCGCGAGACGGAGAAGCGCCCTTGTACCATTGTTTACGCCACCCACATCCTAGACAATCTCGCCACGTGGCCGACTCACCTGGTGCACATGTCCCTGGGCAAAGTCAAGAAGTGGGGAAGTATGCAGGAGCTCAATGTCAAGCCTCCTGCCGAGAGTGTATTCAATTCGGGCAACAGTCAGCTTGGCGAATTGGTGTTGAAATGGCTAAAGGAAGATCTCGCTGAAAGAGGCCCTAGGAATGGCAAAGCATCGGAGGGAAAGACATACGAGAACCTAGAAGGCAAAGGAGGTTATGGCGCTGAGAAGCGCGAGTAGCGATTTGGCAACGAAATAAATAAGAGAAGGAGGTTTTGATTCCGTTTCAACATTACGGGATAAGAGGTTCTACGGCGTTTGGGACGACTCAACGATGATACCCGTTTTCTTTTTCAACATGGGTCCACTTGTATTTGGCATTGCATATTAAATTAAATAAGCATTTTGAGAATTCACGAAAATCGTGGTTCTGAGCACAAATGTAACACATTATGTGACAATAGTGATTCGCTGCTGTATGTCCTGTCTCTAAGTTACGTTCCCGATCGATACATCTTCAGCAGACCACCCCACGAGTTTACCACGACTACCGCTTGAGAATTTTTCCTACACAAAGCCTCAAATTGAATTTGATCGTTTACATTCCGATGAGTTTTCAGGAAACATGCGCGCTCTATACGAGTGGATGACGTAACACACCCGGAATAATAATCCACCGAACCAGCTCACGCTCTTGTCAAGAGAAGCTCGGACCATGCAAAAGTCCAAAGGGTTCGATGAACAACCTCATCTCCTTTGGCATCTCATCCCAATTGACAATCATCCCATCAACAAACCACACTCCATCGGACCTCCCACGCCCTTTTCCCCTTAATACACATACACATAATACAAAGCTTCCAGCCCCTCCGCCACCATGGTCAAGCTCGAAGAAGTCGTCGACGAGGAGTTCATGCGCCAGCAAGAAGGTCCTCATGACGAAGATGAATGGGACACTGATTCCGGTACGAGGACCCACCAAATCATCTCAACTCTTTCTACCCTACACCTCACCCTCTGTTCGTCCGCGCAAACTCGATCTCCGCTAACGCAAACATCGTGCAAACAGAATCCGACACATCCTCCATTTTCTCGGGCCCGCCCAGCGAATCCCTCGGCGAGCGCCTCTCGGCGCTGCAAGACATTGTGCCGGCCTCGACACGCCGCAGCATCTCGAGCAAGTACAACACGGCGTCGTCGTGGGTCAAGAGCGGACTGTTGCTCGGCGGCAAGACGCTGTGGGTTGTGAGCACGAGCGCGCTGCTGCTCGGTGTGCCGTGGGCGCTTGCGTACAGCGAGGAGCAGATGATTATGGAGCAGGAGCGCGCCGAGATGATGAACCAGAGGGCTCAGAATGAGGTATGTTTGGAATCTTCTTTCAGATTTCTATAGATGATTGGGGTTGTGATTGTTTGCTGACTATCTTGCGTTAGTTCATGGCTCCTGGTGCTCCTGCGCCTTCCAATGGCGCTCAGGCTTCCTTGTAGATGGAATCTATCCTGTCGGGTGTATAGATGAAGGAGACGTATATTCAGCAATTCTTGGCTTGTTTTATTATTGCTGCGTGATTGGCATTGGCTTGGAAGGGGAAGAGGCGAGACACAGCAGTCATGATGATTGGAGAGTTGTACACAAAACTGTGGGCGGACATGCTGGCACTTGTATGATAGGTTTTTCCCGGCTCAACTAAATGTAATACATAACGACTGGCGCTATACAATCTTCTCGGGCATCGTACACTGCACATTGCTGCTGAAGCCATAGTGGGTTTATCGATCATTTTTGTATTTCACTATATGTACATCTGCCACCGGTGTATATGGATACGACCCTTCCATGGTTGGTCTACCGTACCGTGCGTCATCCATTAAAATCGATACATGCGCCACGCGCGTACAACCAGAGATACAATGATGCGGAAGGACAATGAGGAAAAGTCTAGTCGTGCAATAACCCTAATCAACCGCCTCGTGTCATTGATGTATGGGGAAATACGCTTTTTTCCAGAAGCGAGCCGCACTTTGTGCGCGCCTGCCCGGTACAACGGAATGGTAATACAGGGAAGAGAAGAGTTAGGTGAAATAATTATGGTTGGTTGTTACAATGTCGATATACTCGGTCGTCGAGTGCATCTGTTGTCTTTATCAGCAGACAAGTTGCTTTAGAAGGGAATGGAACCGGCGACAGATGCGCCTCCGGTAGCCTCTTGTTGCTCCATGACAGCCTCATCTGCGGCTTCTATCGATACTGCAAGACCCAGCTTTGCGGCGTTCTAGAGCAAGTTAGTAAACGCGAATTGAGAGGATTGAGAGGATGGTGAAGATCAGAATACATACCTGTGGGTGGTCGATTTCACCGGAGAACGTCACACGGATAGGAGGTGCGATCATCTTCTCCAACAGACAAGCCACCTTGCCCTGGTTGTCAATCTGTGCGCGGAAAGAGGAGGAGCGGAAATCGTATTTGGCGCCAATGGTGACGTTGCCCTCCTTTTGGGGGGCGCCCATTCCAGCCATGGGAGAACCGGGACCCATGCCTGCAAATGCAAGGTTGCAGTTGATACCCGTCTCCACACGCTCCGAAAGCTTTCGCCAGTATGAGGCTTCCAAGACACCTCGATCAGGGATGATCTGACCACAGGCCATCCAGTCAGCGGCCTTGTATCTTCCAGCAAATGAGACGTTGAGCTCGGGAGGGTAGGCCATGGCCGGGCGAGACCAGAAAGCGTCGATACCAAGGGACAGCTTGGGGGTGACAGCTTGAAGGTAGCTTCCCACAATCATGCCTGTCACACCGCCGTCCAGGAACGAAGGATTGATAGCCTTCAAGGAGGCAGAAAAGTCGGAGCCAGTGTAATCGTTCTCAATAGACATCATGTTGCCCTGGGGGGTGAGCTGGGCCGATGCCTTGGACACGAAAGCTTTGGTCCATCGCCAGTTAAAGCGACCGGAGAAAGTGAAATCGTTGTCGATGTTTCCTTGCAGGAAGACCTAATTACACCATTAGCTTGGAGGTAAAGCGAGCGGTGATGAAAGAATCAATTGCTGGCATACCTTGGGCGAGCCGTACATGGCTGAGAAAGCATAAGGCGGCATGGCCTGGTTGCCCATGGACAAGGCGTGAGAGACCTGGAACATGGGCGCGGTGCTGAAGACCTTTGTGAGCTCGGCGCGCAAGCCCGAGAAGCTCTGGTTGGTAAGGAAAACATCGCGCTGAACTTCCTTTCCAATGTTTTCTACCGTGCCGGGATTCGACAGACCGAGGGCTTCTCTCCGCTCGTGGAAAGCCGCGTAAAGACTTTGTAACCGCGCAAAGGGGCCATTCGGGGCGATGTTGTCGGCAATAGTCTGTTGGGGTAGCTGCACCTTCTCCAGCGGCACGACGGGAGCGGGTATCGACATGGTGAACTAATGGGATGGAGGATAGGGTAAAATTGTAAGATGAGAAAAGGCAATGACGAGCGACACTGCTGGGAGTGATGAGATTGGGGAATCAGACAAGGATCAGATTCAAAGGAAACTCAATGGATGGCGAGGCCCTGAGTGCGTAGTCAGCGGGTGGATGGTGATGCAAGGCCCGGAGATGCGATGCGATAGCTGCTCTGGGGTCGTGAGACGAGCTTCGTCGCCAACATAAATTCTCCAGGAGACCACCCTCGGATGACATAATGATGCACGGACCCGTCTCTTCCGCATTTGCCTGCAGTACATGTACATGTAGACACGCGATCGGAACGCACTCGCGATGAAGCACTCGCAAGGCGATTAATTCACAACAAAAATCTCACTGTCACCTCCAGCTCCTTCACTACTGAACATTGGCTTGACTGGGTACTTGTGTCATTGGGGGCTGCCGAGCAAGTGCAGATACTTCACCTACTAACAAATCGACTGCCACTGCATGTACATGCTCTGTCGGTACCACACCTACCCAGCACCACACCATCGCTGTGCTCTACTGTACCCGTAAAGCGCATCCAAAACCGGACCTTACCATATCAGAGCAGTTCCAAGCACCGCATCATCTTACTGGATCGTACGGTACCGTGGCTTGATTGCTGGATTGCTTGCTTTTTCCACCTCGCCGCTGTCCTCCGCCCACTATCAGCTGGGGCGTGGCATCGTCAAACGACCGCCCTCAAGACTTGGGGTCTTGTTCATCTCCCCTTACGCCGCCATCTTCATCTCCAGTCGCATGACCCTTGCCAGCTCTGTGCTGTCCTGCCCTGCGCTGTACTATACTGTATCTCACAGTCGTTAACACCTCCCACCTAGCCTGGCCCCGTCGTTGCATCATCCTCTGCCTCGGAAATCCAGCTATCTGCCCGAGGGCTTGCTTCCGAGATTGGATTTGAATTGTTGAACTCCCATTGCTTCAAACGTCCAAGACACGACGCCTACTTGTAGCGATCAAACTGCTATAATTAACTCCCGCATCCGCCCCTCCACATTCGTCCTCCCCTCTCCTCTTCTCCCAGATCGATTGAACAATATCTCATCATACACGATAGCAACATGGACACCTTACTGTGAGTTTCAACCGCGTGCCCCAGCAATATCAATACATACATATATTATATCCTGTTTCTCTCTCCTTCTCTTCGTCTTCCACTATAGTGTTTCCTGTGACTATTTTTCCACGCTGGCTTCATGCTTATCATCGCAGTACCGCGGAAATATACGCCAACTCGCCCCGCTTCCGGCGGCGGTCGAGTACCTTCGTCGATGCCATTCATGACCTTCCTGAAAAGGAGGAGATGGCTCCAGCCCAGCTCTATAGCACCGAATCTGGACGACTTTTTCACTCCGGTCGCATCGTCATCGCTACCGTTGGTCTTCCGGCCCGCGGCAAAACACACACATCTGTGGCCGTGGCCCGCTACCTTAGATGGCTCGGAGTCAAGACTCACGTCTTTCACCTAGGTGACTATCGTCGTGCTACGCTTGGCCCCGGAAAAGATGTTCCGGACGATTACTTCTTCTTGAACGCCTCTCCGCAGTCAGTACTATTGCGCAACAAGATCCTCAAGAAGTGTCGCGAGGACATTTATCATTTTCTCGAACACGACAAGGGCCAGGTTGCCATATACGATGCAGTGAATGCCATTTCCATGGGCCGCAGGTCCCTTGCCAAGGAATTTGCCAAAAATGGAATACAAACCATCTTTATTGAGTCCCACTGTACAGACGAGCGCATCATCCAGGAGAATGTCCGCAGGGTCAAGATCTCCTCTCCTGATTACAAGGATTGGAAGGATGAAGATGCGGTGCAAGACTATCTTGCGCGCATCAATTCCCGAATCCCTCATTTCGAAACAATGGAGGAGGGAGATTTGCACTGGATCAAAATGATCAACGCTGGCGAGCGCGTCGTCGTTAACAATTGTTCCTTTGGTTATCTTTCCCAGCGAATCGTCTTCTATCTCCTCAACCTTCACATCAAATCCCGTCAGACTTATTTTGCCCGTGCTGGAACCACCCGAGATGAAGATTCCTACAAGGTGGATGCTTCTCTTTCACCCGAAGGTCGCGACTATGCGAAGAAAATGAGCGATGCTTTGCTCAAATATCGCGAGGAAGAGAAGCAAAACTTGATACAACAGGGCGCTCAAGACGCTGCTCTCAAGCCTCTCACGATCTGGACTTCGACGCGCCGGCGCACCGTACAGACATCAGAGTATCTAGCAGACAAAGGGTATCGCGTGAGACAGCGTTCGCAGATGAGTCAGATGAATCCTGGTGTTTGTGAGAAGATGTCAGAAGCCAAGATTCGAGCCGAGTTTCCCCAGGAGGTAGCCAAACATGAAGCAGATCCTTATCATCATAGATACCCTCGTGCAGAAGTATGTGCTCATAGTGTGATAGCGAACAGATTGCTAACAGAGATAGTCCTACCACGACCTCGCTGTGCGCATGGAGCCTATCATCCTTGAGCTTGAGCGAGAAGAGAACGATCTGCTCATCATTGCGCACGAATCTGTGCTACGTGTCTTGTACGGCTACCTCATGGCTTGTAATGCCGCCGACATCCCCAAGCTCGAGTTTCCTCGTGACGAAATTATCGAAGTCAGCACGCTCTTTTCGAATTCTTGAAGTTCAATGCTAATTAACAACAGATAATTCCGTCATCGTACAATAATGTCGCAAAACGCATTAAGATTCCCGATCTTCCGGAGAGACTTCGTGCCAGTAGCCCCGAAGACATCCAAATTCCCGTACCGCCTTCTGGAACAGTGAGCCCCTTTTCAGGCATTGGAACGCCCCAGATTCAAGCGGGTTCCGGTACTGCAACACCATCCCAAGGCACCATACAACCGCTAAATCTGAAGAAAACGCATGTTAACCCCAGCGAATGAACTAGTTGACGGATGAGGACAGATCAGAGCAATTGATAGAGTGTATAGAGATCGCGATTTGGAGAGGGTAAACGATAGCTATCAGATACACACGGCAACCAATTTTTTCGGACTGGGTAACAAGATGCAGCGTTCAGACTCTAGAATACACAGTTGTTCGTTCTAAGCGACGATGCCAATTGAAATTTGTTAACATTCTGAGCGAGTGGAGCTCCGCACTCCTATAACTAAATGACTAAGCACACTTTTGTCGAACCCAGCGCATCCTTTAACTCAACTCTCCTTCTCCATCTCTCAACACACCACAGAAACATACAACATATATGTACTCCTTACCATACATAACAAGGATAGCCGCATAATCAAAAGATCAATCATGCCACTCTCACCCTCTACAATAACAACGCTCTTCCTCACCGAAGGTGTCCTAAAACTCATAAGCGGCACCACATTTCTCCTCTCCCCATCTTCCATTCTCAAACATTTTTATCCTCATCATCCTCATCATGATATATCCATCTCTCAATCATCACCCCTCTCCACAGCGCTAACGCGTATCTTCGGCTCTCAAACCCTCGCCTTCAGTATCCCACTCTTCCTCGCTGCGCGCAAAGACACGCATACCCAGAAGCTTGTTTACTATGCGATGTTAGCGAGAGAGGGGATGCTGGCTGTCACTTTGCTCACAGAGATTGCTGGGTTGACTTGGAGGGGCAGGGATGAAAGGGAAGAGGCGGAGAGGGAGAGAGCATTGGAGGAAGGGAAGGGCAGGGAAGGGGAACAGGAGAAACATGTAGAGAGAAATTCTTTGAAGAGAGGGCTGTGGCTTTGGTTCGGAGAAGTTGTGCCGTTTTTTGTGGGGAGGGTGATTGTTTTGGGGTCGGGGGCGTGGTTTGGGTAGTGGCGGTCGAGATGTGAAGTTGAATGAAATGGAATAGGTGGAATAGATGTACGTTGTGTGGTATAGAGGAACTGGATGATTCGAGATTTCAAGATCAGAAAGTTCATCTTGGTTGTATTGCTGTATCGATATATCTTTCGTCGCCTATGGCATGTACTTAGGTACGCGCCCGAAATGTAGGCGCCCTTGTCGTTGCAGTAAGCAGTAATACTTAATCTCTACAGCTGAAAAGAAGAAGGAAGAACTTGTACAAGGCCTCCCCTAAAAATATCTCCCCCCTTCCAACCCCTTCTTACCTCCACTACTACCACTACCAGCAGCTGTCCCCCACCTATCCCTCTCCCGTTCCCTCTCCTCAAATCCCGCTCTAATCCTCCCATCCTCATCCCCTCCTTTGCCCCCTCTCTTCCCCATCACCACAGCCTTATCCCTCTCTAACCCCCTCCCAACCTCTCCTTCCAAAACATCCAGCAACCGTCTCAACGCCTCCACTCTGCTGCCCCCGCTTTCAGGTCCATAGTCAAGCGTCTTCGAGAGTCCAGAGCGATGAAGTCTGTATACGCCCGCTAAGAATCTCGCATCGGGGTCCGGGGAAGAGGAGGATGTAGGAGCGGATGCGGGAACGGGGTGACGACCTACAAGACAGAGTGTTGTACTCTGGGGGTCTGCGCGTCGGGACGTGTGTTGGGATGATGTATTCGAGGACGAGGGAGATGTGGTGGAGGATTGGGGTTGAGGCGGGGATGTGGAGAGGAGGGTGTAGGAGAGGTCTTTTGCAGGGAGGTAGGGGCGTTAGTATGATAAGACAGATGGTTGGGGAGAGGTACAGATCAGGAGCGAGGGGAATGCTGATGCAAATGACTGACCTTCGATTAACCGTGTGAGCATTTGGATTTCTGATTCGTCCTCGCCGCGGATGTTGGGGGGCATGTGGTGTTCCTTGCGCTGGGGGAAACGGTGGAAATCTGACATGTTGTTCTGGTGGATGCTGTCTTGCTCTGTTATCTTTCGTCGATATCTGTTTTGTTCTTCGACCTTTTTATGGGCCTCTCTAATTCAGATACTAGTCCAACAAGAAAAGGTGTCTGGAAAGTTGTTAAGTCGTTACTAGATAAGTAGAAGTTGTTCGTCCTGCACCCAGTTTCGATGGTATATGTGAGAACGAGAGTGAGCAGACGGCGTTTTATCTGTTGACCAGAGGGATGAGACGAGGAACGAGTTCTGATATCGTCACACAGAAGTAGAAATGTTTGTCCAAACGCAAACGCACCCTAGAGTCGCACTGTAGCGTCACATCGAATTCAGCAAACAATCGTGGCGCATCTTCCGCGACCACCCAAGTGCAAGTACGTGTGCTTCACGATGGGGCTAGTAATGACAATTAGGAAAGCCTCAATTTTCTATCTGAAGATCTAATGGCTGAGAGGTGTGTTTTGTTTATGAAGGGAGGGGGCGGGCAATAAGGGGTATTTGAATTAACAAGGAAAAGGAACAAAAACGTAGGGTAATGTAATGTACAGAGTGAACGGAGAGTCTCTTCTGACGTGAACCAACCAAGCATTCCCTATCACTCCTTTTGAACGCCCATTCCGGTTTGCAGTGACAGAAATGAACGAATGAAAACCATGAGAACCGCACTCGTACTACATGACACATAAAGTACCGCTGAGTCCGAGCGATGTCGGTGAGAAAGGTGTCGGAGTTAGTTCGTACTGGCGACTGGGGCAGGTGGCGCAGCCTCCAGATCGATCCTGTTCACCGACTCTCGTAGCTCACTGCCTTGACGGAAGAGGTTGCCGAAGTATTTGCGTGCATCTGAGGCTTCGGCTTTGAACTTGGTCGTCTCCTCCTTCTTGAGTTGCAGTTTCTCAACATTGCGCTGTAAACCGATACGGACGTCATTGGCAGGACCTTTGAGCGCGCGGCGAACCTCAGAGCTGATGCGTAAAGCGTTGGAGTGAGTATAGTCGATGGCAGCCAGTTGGGCGGATAGTTTGGCGCTAAGTCGATGGGGCAAAGACTTGGGTATGGACGATAAAATGTAGGAAACACCAATGGCAACTATTGACTTGTTAGCAATGAACAGAAATCAAAGGAAATTATGGCAATCTTACCACCTGCAACAAGACCAGGGATAATCAGTCTTCTGATGTTGTTGGAGCCTACAATCTTCGCAGCTCCCAAGGCACCATCTAACCAGCCCACACCGCCAACCATGCGACCACCAACAACACCAGCAACTGTGACGGCCATGCTGGCGCCAGCAACTTTCTCTTGTCGTTCCCAGAAATGAGTGACGTCAAAGAAATCCCACAACTCGATATCTATATCAACCTGTCGAGCGAGCGCATGCACAGTCTTTCTGAACATTCTTTCCGGTCGGAACATAACATCAGCGTGTAGATCATTGCCGAGATGAAGAATACCAAGATTCTTGATACCATTGTAGCCTTGTGAAGCTTGTTGCCGCGCGTGTTCTTCGCACGAATGAACCGTTTCTGTAATCTCCTGAAGCATGGAATCTCGAATATCTTCGGCGTATTGATAGGCGGAGAGAATACCAGGATACTCAATTCCAAGGTCTTGCTCCCCAACTTTGGCAATACTGCTGTCGATGGTGATGCGTGAGTGGGTATAGACATCAGACGTAGTCTCCTCAACCATGCGATCAACGGCTTCTCCAGCTTCGGTCCGCGACTTCTTAGATTCTTCGAACTCTGGCTCAAGAGCTTCAATCTCCTTCTTGACTCGATCAAGCTCTGCCTGTGCAACATCTCGGTTGACATTGGCCAGGTTGTTAATGTCTCCCAAGACGTTCAAGAGGTAAGTTTTGGCGGGTGCCAATTTGGATCTTGCCCTTTTCTCCAACACAAATCGGCGCAACGACGTTTCTAGCTCTTCAAAGTCTCGTTGTTTCTCGGCTTCCTTGCCCTTGCCCTTGTCGGAAGGATCATCATCGCCATCGCCATCGGGAGGCGATCCGCTGGAAGAAGCCACGGGAATAGCATTGCTTGAAACAAAGTGAACCAGTTCGCTCGACTCCTTGAAGGTGGCAGGGCTCAGGTTGTGTACCTGCTTAAGGATCATTTCCTGGCATCGCTGTTGGTCCCGGATTGTATCGAAACCGTTGACCACCATGAAAATATACGCCTTCTCTCGAGCCGCTGTGAAAATGAAGTTCTTTGCAGATTCTGTGAAATGATTGGCGGCTGATACAACGAAGACCACCACATCGATCTCTTCCTGCCGCGCAAAGACTGCGGTGGTCTTCACCGAATCGGAGTTCAAGCCAGGCGCATCTATCAAAGCAATGTCCACCACACCGTTGTTGAGTAACGACTCGTCCACGGACCGAATATCTTTGATGTATATTTTGCATTGCGAGAATCGTTCATTGTCAGTCACAATCTTCTCCAAGTCTGTCAGCGAAAAGACAGTGTAAGTACTCTCATCGTGGCGGTTATAGACTTTTCCAAGAGGAACCGCATGGACCTCTTCAACACTGCCATTCTCTCTGAAGTCAAGAACCTCGCAGAAGATGCTTGTGCACGGTTGTTGGTCCTCCGGAAGCACTTTCCGTCGAAGCAAAGCATTGCAAAAGGTTGACTTGCCAGCATTGAGATCGCCGGTGACAAGAACTTTGCTTGCAGTGTCTTCAATTCTCTCCTTGATCGAATACAAGTGTTTGATGCTCTGTTGAATTTGTCCGTCCAACAATGACGCAATGGAGCCCTTTTCCAAAGAATGCACCAAATCAGTTTGTGTGCGACCACCCATGCGTAGCTCCAGCTTCAATACGGAAAAGTCATGCGCGAGTTGCGGAGTTATCAATCTAGGCTCAACCTTTGGTTGCTGCATCGCACTCGAGCTCGATTCTCCGGGGGAGTCATCTCGAATTGTAGTGCCGGCTCGCCGCGGAGGTCTTGGACGATCAGGCGATCGCGACGACGGATCGAAGTCGTTAAGAGCGGACTGCGTGTGCTGCAGTCCTGGTCTCGAGTCGGTGCGATTGTGTAGATTTTTCTGATGATCGGGAGCGACGGAGGGATAATGGGCTGGCCATTTGAGATTTTCCTCTTGGAAGCCCTTCAGCATGTCAATGGACCCGTGTATCGCTCGTGCCAGCGCATTCTTGTTCTTATTGTATCGCAGCTGAAGCACATGGCTACGCTGTTTTTCTTGCTCTGCATTCCCAGCGGGGCCAGAAAAGATTTCGGTTGGGGGTGGTGTTGGCCTGTCTTCGCCCATACCCTGATGCCAACTTCGGCCAGAGGCTTCTCCTTCTGCAAGACTTCCTCCATAGCCAGAATCTTGGTCTAGCATCGACATTAGGCGGGCGGCAGCCTCCGGGGTCGAGCCTGAGCCAACCGTCATATATCCAGGAGTAGCATTGGAATGGTTGGGAGACGTCGCTCCAGGAGTGTCCGGGTTTTGGGATTGTTGATCGGAACTCATCGTTTCGATTAGGCGCGAGGTGCGGCAGGACCAAGGATCATATCGTGTTCGATGGAGGTAAGCGTGGGGTGTGGAGTTTGGAGTGAGAGATGGAAAAAAGAATGTCGTGACACGCTTTGGAGGATTGAACGCTGGTGGCGAGCGCCAAGCGCAGGGATGATTGTCACCCTATGACGAAGCCGCGGTTTCCCAGCAATGATTAGATTAATATTAAGCAAGACCAGCAGGCTGGCGGGCCAACATTTTTCAAGGGGGGGCATATCTGAGTATTAATAACCTTTCGCTTGATTGTCGGCAGAGGTTCTGATTCCAGAAGATTGAATCAACGAGCCTACGAACGATTTCATTCAGTCAATTGTCACTGGGCTATCTCGGTGCTGCTACCTGCACTCCAGTCCCCAACTGCCAAAGCGCCGACTACCGAACAACACGCCTGCCTGGCCTACATTCAACCACAATCAACCAGCTCCCAGTCCATAGCCCCACTCGGACGCGAAGGCGAATACAATCCTGTCACCGCCGCCATGAATGTTTGTTGTCTCTCCCCTATCGCGGCACACACACAACTGACTCTGGGCAGATTGTCGAATGGGCGTTTGGCAAGCGCATGACTCCCGCCGAGCGGTTGCGCAAGCACCAACGTGCCCTCGAGAAGACCCAGCGTGAACTGGACCGCGAGCGCGTCAAGCTAGAGAACCAGGAGAAGAAGCTTGTACAGGACATCAAAAAGAGTGCCAAAAGTGGTCAGATGGGCCCGCTTCGGATACAGGCCAAGGATCTTGTGCGGACTAGAAGGTGGGCATACCACATATTATCTACAAGACAGGGTACAATGCTGACTTTTGGGATGAAGATATATCCAGAAATTCTACCAGATGCGCACACAACTACAGGCTATCTCATTGAGGATTCAGACGGTACGAAGCAATGAGCAGATGATGCAATCAATGAAGGGCGCGACAAGTACGTATGCTGGTCACAATAATGTTGATATTGAATCTAATCTGAATTGAACAACAGCACTACTTGGAAGCATGAATCGGCAGATGAACCTGCCCGCGCTGCAGCGCATCGCTGTGGAATTCGAGAGGGAGAATGATATCATGGATCAACGGCAGGAGTTGATGGATGATGCCATTGACGAGTCTATGGGAATGGATGACGAGGAAGAGAGTGAAGAGGTGGTGAATCAAGTTTTGGATGAGATAGGCGTTGACCTCGGTCAAGCTGTAAGTTCCCACAGCCTACTGGTATCCAGACTGGGGCCTTGTGCTAATGTTGACTGTTCTAGTTTGGAGAAACACCAACGAATATCCAAAGCAATACCGTTACTGAAGGCAGAGTTGCTCAGGCAATTGGAGGTGGAGGCGGTGGAGGAGGAGCAGACCCTGGAGACGATGACCTGCAGGCTCGACTGGACAGCCTGCGGAGATGAGGTTCTTGGATTATATTGGTGCGATGGCGTTGGGGAGTTGCATGGGCTGATGAACACAATCTGGGTTCTGTGGCCGGAAGGGTGTTCAAGATAAGATGTCCGACGATGGTGGGCGGGATTGATTGTTTTACACTGTTTTCATCCGAAATCTATTCACATATGTCACGCGCATCGCTCCCACTCCCTTTCTGGTACCTACATAGGTACCTTGTGGAGTCGCTGAGTATTTCTCTGTGTGATGGATGATGATCTCTTCAACAGTGCATGGAACTGTGTCCTCATATGTACATGTACACGCAGGCGTGCAGCAAGTAAAGTGGGTGGGGAGGGAATAACCGTTCATGGCGAACCATGCAATACCTGTCACCTAGCTAGGTTACTTTTTCTTCAAACAAATTAGATGTAGACCCCAAGTTGAATATATCCAAGTATCCAATACACATTAACACCCTTGTAGAAGAGTACCTTGTAAGGAGGGGCCGTTGTACTTGGGTCTATACATGTGTAGACTATCTCGCCTTTTGAATACCGTGAAAGAATGCATGTCCACATACGTAGAAGAGGAGAAAGAAAGGCACTGAGCTCGGCGATTCAATAGATGCGCGCTATGACATGTTGAACATACTGAAGTGTACCTAGCGCAGCAGACGTGAAGAGAAATTTCAACGTCCCGCGGCTCGATGGAATGGAGGTGGTGATGATGGGGCTTCTCTTAGTACAGCACCTTCCCCCGCAGCTAAAGTGAGTGCATCATCATGTACTCTATGTACGCACTTGGTGGACGCGCGACAAGGCAAGGAAAACAGTCTTGAGCAAACACAGCCCCCTAGCTACTACAAACTTGATGACCTAGACACGCTGGACTCAGACTCCTCCTTCCGTGCTCCCCCTCAAAGATCCTGCCATCCATTTCAACCGTGTCCGTCCGGTCGCGCCGATTCGAAGACAACGACGTCATTCGCCAGCCCCAGCGCCTAAAAGCTATCCGTCAAGCCTCCTTCACTACATACGTCGTCGTTTTGTGTGTGGCCAGCCTCTGCTACCTACCAGACCTGCCTGCTGCCCGCTCCCTCTCTCCAACCTACGCTCCCAATCCACTTCTCCTCGCACAGCTCCCTCCGCTATCAACTGACTGTCCCCGAAAAGTCTCTTGGCCACCTGCTCGAGTTCTGGACTTCCGCCTCACCCATCCTTGTACGTCCCCTGTCTAGTTCGCCCCGCCATCCATTGTACAGCGCCTTGCCCCTCAACACCTCCCTGCACCTCCCGTGTCGTGTCGCCCCTACTAACATATCGACCTACGTGCTCCAACGTCACAGAACGAGAAGACCAGCATACATTCTTTACTCCGAATCAATCCAGCTCTTCATTCTCTCCTCCCTCGCTCGTTCCGAGCCTCTTCCATCTTTGCCCGTACGGACATCCTCGCACCCCCACCCACGTGGATTGTGAGCGCGCACGCGAACCCATCAACCTGGCTGGCAACAAGCGGAGGAGTTTCTCCACGCAAGGAGGTCTCTTGAACAGAATGTTTGGTAGCGCCAACAAAGACGATGATTCCGCCATAGATTCCAGTCCTGCCACCGAGTCGCTCAAGGTCTCGCCTGCCAACGACGCAGGAACAGACGAGAGGAAGCGAGCCGGCAGCAATGCCTCCAACACGTCAACCTCAGAGCGCAAGAGCAGCGACACGAACCCCCCGTCCAGCGAGAAGAAGCGACGAAGTAGCGGCGTTTCGCGTGCCCGGGACATGTTTTCTAGTGCGAAACAGTCGCTCCATCTGACGGGCTCCTCCCCGACCTCGAGCAGCAACCCCAACCCGGACAAGTCTTCTCCCCAGACTCCTTTGCAGAAGCTCGGAAAGGTCGACCCCGCTCTCACTGTCCCTCAGGGATCCTTGAACAATTCTGCCGGTGAATCACATCCAGGACCCCGTTCTACGTTTCGGGTTGGCGTCACGGAAGACAAAAACAAAAAATGCAGACGGACTATGGAGGATACGCATGCTTATCTCTACAACTTCTTGAGCACCCCTGCACCTTCGTACGGAGCGGAGAGGAAACGTAGCTCCGTTTCCGACCTCTCTACCAGCTCAAGCCAGTCTGTGGTAGAAACCGACAATGGGTACTTCGCAGTTTTCGACGGTCATGCCGGCACCTTTGCTGCAGATTGGTGTGGCAAGAAACTTCACTTAATACTTGAGGAGATGATCCGGAGAAATCCGAACACGCCTATACCCGAACTTTTGGATCAAACTTTCACGCAAGTCGATCAGCAACTGGAGAAACTCCCCTTGAAGAATAGTGGCTGCACAGCCGTGACAGCCGTTCTGAGATGGGAAGATCGTGTGCCCAACTCGCAGTCCTCCACCGGCTCGGTGCTGTTTGCGCCTGCCGCAGTATCAGCCGTCAAAAACGATAATGGCGACAAGGCTCTTGAAAGCGCAGATGGGGCCGTCTCCGGGGAGGTTCAAGCAACAGAAGCGAGGGTTCGAAACGAAGCCAGTCGCCAAAGAGTTTTGTACACTGCAAATGTGGGGGACGCTCGGATAGTACTGTGCCGTAACGGCAGGGCACTGAGGCTCTCGTATGACCACAAGGGCAGTGATGAGAACGAAGGCCGCCGTGTTGCTGGTGCTGGTGGATTGATCTTAAACAACCGTGTCAATGGGGTCCTTGCAGTCACTCGAGCGCTGGGAGATGCTTATATGAAGGATCTTGTCACTGGCCATCCGTACACGACGGAGACGGTTATCCAGGCAGACCAAGATGAATTTCTAATTCTTGCTTGCGATGGCGTAAGTAATTCTTCCTATCACTGTCTGGACTACGCTGACATCGTATAGCTTTGGGATGTATGCACAGATCAGGAAGCCGTTGATTTAGTCCGAGGCATCCAAGATCCCCAGGCAGCCTCAAAAGCACTGGTGGACCATGCCCTTGCACGCTTTTCGACTGATAACCTATCCTGCATGATTATTCGTTTCGATAACAAGGCTCTCAAGCAGCGCAAGACAGAAGCTCAGTTGGGGGTTGACAAGGATGCCGCGGCGGCCAAGACGAACGTCAGCGAAGCAGATGCCATCGTGTCGCAGGCAAGGAAGGATATGAGTGATAGCAATGTGTCGGTTGAGAACGCTGCAGCCGAAATCATCAAGGAAGAAGAGGAGCACGAAGCCGGCCCCGAACTCAGCCTAGATGCGGCCAAGGCAGCACAGAAAAACGCCACTTGAAAACGGGCTCCACAGTACACAGATAATGGGAGGTGTTTTGATTTTGCATGCTTGCGGCGTGTTTTATACGCAGTACGAGGAGGTGGGGCAGGGGGAGATATGGATGGCCATGGACTTGAATTTGGGAGTTTCCTCGGGATGTTCACTTTGGTGAAAATGCATTGTTAGTTATATATGCCTGCTGTCCAACGAAGAAGCAAGGCGTTAGTGGGCCAATCAATCCAACGATTCTTGACATCTGGAGACTTTTTTGACTGACTGACAGGCCTGGGCTGAGGATTAGATGCATAAGACATGCTGGGCTGCATGTGGAGTAACTAACGGCTAGACGTGCAGGAACACCATCTGGCCAGTCACGGAAGTTTCTAGAATTCGACATGTTGGCCTGCAGCCCAAGTGATGATGCTGATGATGGTACATGATACATGGTACGTGTTTATGTAGTGATGAAGAGGGCACTGGTTGTTACGGGGCAAGGGAACGGCGGTACTACAACGTCATGGCCATGCTTATTATGTAATCGCAAGCCAGCCGCGCCTGCCCCACCAAAGGTGATGGGATGGGAAAGCACGGTAAGGCGAGGTAAGAATTCACAGTCACTTTCACGCTGAACATACCAACGACTCCGAGCAACATCCCTCCAGCTGAGCGAGCGGGAAGGGCGGAAAAACAACCATCTCACAGCACACGACTGCCCACACAACACACATCCGCCAACGCTCAGCCAGCCACGAGCCTATAACAACCCGACACATTCCCTCCTCCATGCGGCTCCGTCCAAAGGAGCACCGCAGTCACGATGTCGGGCGCAGACACGGCCGACGCAGCTCTGCCTCATAACGATCTCCTTCGCAGTGCCAGCCCGCTTGGCCATGAACATCCCGCCTTTGTTACCCCACGCACCTACCTCGAGCAAGGGAGGCCGACGATGCCCCCACGAGCTCTAACCACAGCCGATCGGGAGCAGCTGGATGGCCTGGTGAGCACCCAGCCGTAATTGCTTCAACCCGCGGCTAACCTCGGTCTGCAGAAAACGATCCGCGCCTTTCTGAAGGTGCGCACCAGCTACGATGTCCTGCCGCTTAGCTTCCGCCTGATCATCTTCGATACCGCCCTACTGGTGAAGAAGAGTTTGAACATCCTAATCCAGAACGGTACCTTCTTTCCCACCTGACCCATGCTGGACTACTCCTAATTTTCTCCCAGGCATAGTCTCAGCGCCGCTATGGGACTCCAAAACATCCACTTTTGCTGGTCTGCTCACCACCTCGGACTATATCAACGTCATCCAATATTACTGGCAAAATCCTGAGCAGTTGGCTAGGATAGACCAGTTTCGTCTGAGTAGCCTCCGAGGTAAGCTCACTCTTCTGCTATCGCGATTCTTTCTAACTGAGATATAGACATTGAGAGATCTCTGGGTGTCAGTCCCATAGAGACAATCTCTGTCCATCCCGAACGCCCTCTATACGAAGCATGTCGCAAAATGCTCGAGTCGCGTGCCCGCCGTATACCCATTGTAGATATTGACGATGAGACGCGGCGGACAATGGTCGTCTCTGTAATCACCCAATATCGCCTGCTCAAGTTTATAGCGGTGAACGTCAAGGAGACGCAGATGCTGCGGAAGCCACTCAAAGATTTAAACGTAGGCTCATACAAGGATTTGGCAACAGCATACATGGACACACCAGTCATGGACGTCATTCATATGCTGGTCAAGAAGAGCATATCAAGTGTGCCGATTCTCGATAAAGATGGTGCGTTTGTTTCATGTGGTTAAACGATTCGTACACTGACAACGTTAGGCACGGTTCTTAACGTCTTCGAGGCTGTCGATATAATCACCCTCATCAAGGGCGGTATATACGATGATCTGAACCTCAGTGTAGGCGACGCTCTTCTCAAACGGTCGGATGTATGTTCTTACTTTCTAGCTCTTTTCCAAAGCACAAATCTAATGCGCCACAGGACTTTCCCGGCATCTACACTTGCTCTATGCAGGACCAGCTGAGCACCATTTATGATACAATCCGACGATCCCGTGTCCACCGTTTCATTGTCATCGATGACCATCGGAAACTGCAAGGTGTATTAACGCTCAGCGATATCTTGGAATACACACTGCTTGAAGGCGAGGAGAATGAGTAGGGGCATGTCCATGACTGTTCCCTATCAGCTCTTGACTATTCGTGGGCACGACAATGCATGACATGAATGTTCATTTTGAACTATCAACGAGGAATGGATACCATATAGAGTGAACGATATGAAGCATTTTTTCGGAGCTGGGGCGGTGCCGGCGTTGTGCGCGTTAGATTATGTTTGGAAATCACGGGCACAGAAGGTAGCTGAGGAGCATGTGCCGCGACTCTCACGGTCGATGATATATCCAATTCGAATTTCATTTCCCCACGTTTCTTGTATGAATGTCTGATCATCGACCTCCACAACGAAAGCAGTGATCCATGAGAACGCATAGTATGGTAGATTATGAGGTTTCTTTAGACAGCCAGCGTTATTCCTTTCGCTAAAACCCCTCATTGCAGTAAAGAAATAAGATCGAATCAGCCTGGAATGATCCACAGACACTGGAAACTTCTCTGGACGTTGACAAATAATTCGGAAAATCTGCACATGCTGCCCAACAGAGTATCCGCATTTGCTCAAAAAGCACATTCATATTGTTGTTGTTCTGACGTTGTTCAAAGACACTCATGAAGGAAGGGGGGTTACATACCTAGGTAGTTTGTGGTCCCCGCTCTACAGAATATCAGATCGTTTCTTTATCATATCACCAGACTGTTGGAAGTACGTATATACTCATCTTAGTGCAATCTAGTGTTCTTCTTTTTTTCGAGAAGAAAAATTTCTTTGGCAAAGTTATCGTTGTATTATAGCTAGGTTAAGCTGACTCGTGGAGACTCAACAGATATAAAGAAGAAGAAGAAGAAGAAGATACACCCCCAAGAGCAGAGGAAGAGGGTCGAAGTCAAAGATGGGGGAGTATGTTCAGGCCGAGACTGTAGTTTCTGGGCTTAATAGAGGAAGGGGGCCATGAACTACATTCTGTCTGTCTGGTTAGTTTATAGTACGAGGTCCAAGCTATTCGTCTGTTTGTTGGGGTTTGTACGGAGTAAAGGGGGGGTTTTTTTATCGGGTTATGGATTTCTATGATTGGGGTTTCTTCGCGTCGTCTTCTTTGGGGAAACATGCTCAGATTTTATCTCTACATAAAAAATAATAAGATAGCTCCCTGCTTGTCCGATGCTTATACAATGCGAATTATCAGCGACCAGTACGCCCAGTCAACCGATCAGGCGGTAAAGCGTCAATGAAACCTGCCGTCCATCCATCATCCCTCACACATCATCCATCCAATCCACCTCTACAGATGATCAACCAAGAACAAAAAAATCGCAAAAAGAATGAGCTCTCCGACGGGGAATCGAACCCCGGTCTCCCGCGCTTGTTAGACCCATTGCAGGACTTGACAAGCGGAAATCATGACCACTAGACCATCGAAGATTGGAATCGCTTTTGAAGGCGGATGACTGGTGATTTGATGAAGATACGACCACCAATAAATAATATATACTAACACTAACTGTTCAAGAAAGTCAGATGGGACAAGCGATTGTTGGTTTGGTGCAGGGAATGCAAGAAATCAAGCGGTGTGGATACAGTGGGGAAGTGAAACCTCGTTAGAGTAATCGGGATGGCGGCTAAATGGAACTGGTTCCGCAGCCCACTGAAAAGCACAAACAACATCAGGCTTCGATCTAGATCCTCGGATAGTGACTGTTACTCGTAGCTACCAAATCAACTGAAGCTTGACCAGTATACCGTGTCTTATCCCGGTTTCCAACATCTCTAGTATGATCAATGTACCAACGACGCGTGGCGCCCGTAGTATGAAGCCAAATTGTAACTTAGAACGGACAAGCGCAGAAATCAATTGATGTGATCCATGAGGCTTCCCATCAGGCATCCAACAATAACCACTACGGAAGCTCCGATGACTGCTTAAATTCAAGCGTAGGAATCGGAGATTTGGGATCCTAGCGGATGGGAGAAGTCTTGCTTTGAATTATGATTTTCGCTGAAAATCTCCGATTGTACCTTTCGGAGTTCTGCGACCGTGCGAATGAATAACTCGTGCGCGACAGATTCGCACGAACGAAGCGCATGCCTTCCCCTTCCAGTTATTTTCACTAGGGGGAAGAACTCGTGCTCGGTTATTCGATAGAGACGCCAGCGTAAAAAAATGGCACCTTGGTATAGTAGAGATCAAGCGAAAATTTGACAAGCAATGTCCTGCTTGTTCCAATTGCGGCGGCACTTGGTACGCTCCACAATCTTGGACTCAAACTCGAACTCGAGCCATCTATTTGCATATCGAGCATACATCTCTAGCTCAAACCATCCAGTCTCAACAATATATAACCTGCAGAGAACATACGTACAAGCTTTGCGGGGAAAGAAAGAAAAACGCCACTGTCAATCTACGCGCATACAACGGTCTGTCTGCAATACATAAATAGCAGCTACAACCCCAGCTATACCATCTAAATAAATGTGACACACCCAACGACTCATGTAAAAGAAGAAATCTGGAATGAGGACTAGAACAAAAGAAAAGCAGAAAGTAAGGTTAGCATATGTTATATAAACGATGGGTGCGTTTCAGATGGATGAATAAATGTGGATGAATCGATAAACCCATGGCGAACCAGAAACGAAAACGAAGATAGCAAGAGAAATGCGAGAGGACGAGAATGAGGATAACAATATCACAGACTAGTCTTCATGTTTTGTGCTCCGCGGAGCGGAATTCCCTGCTCCCGTTTCTTTCTAAAAATTGGTACACTGCGAATCTCATTCCAAAAACCGATGTTGTCTCGAAGGGAAAAAAAACAACAAAATGAAATACGATGCAGTCTTGCTGCTGTGTCAAATGACCTCTGCGAGGGGTATATATATAACAAAAGCGCCTAATAATGCAAATGGTGTTTAGTCTTCGTCGTTACGACGCAATAGACTTGTTAAACAAAAGAAAAGAGGAAGAAAAAACGAGTAGGGGACTCCAGTGAACTCCAATTGACACCGCGCTTGTCCCAAAAATTGACCTGCAACATAACGATGCGAGTGGACTAGCCACTTTTGTTTTTGATAGGTTCATCTGTCGTATTTCAGACACCTCCCTTTGCGACCGACTTCTTCTTGCAACCAATCTAGTCGCTGGTCGTCATTGTCCTCGAATGCAAATCCGCGACTCCAGAATCCACATCCAATGTTCGACGTTTCATTTCGATGAACGACTTGCGCTTGGCCAGCCAAGTCCACTGGTGGTATGCCATGATCTTCTCCCATTTCCCATCCAATCTCAGCAATCTGACTGTTACCTGGCATATGATGGAAGAGTTCCGAATTCAATGTCCAGCAGCGTAGGCCAGGACTTGCGTACTTGTGTCGTAACTGTGGGTTCGGGTGGGGATAGGGGTTTCTCCAGGGTGTAGGCGATGGTGTCTTGGAACCAGCATGGCACGCGTCTAGTAATGCAACGTCAAAAGCTCTTGGCCCACCCTCTCTAAGTTTCGGAGTCGCGAGATCGCCAAGTAAACGTTCAGCTGCTGGGCGTGTAACAGCGTATCCGAAAGAACATAGAGGAAATCTGGAGCGATGGAGAATGCGCGAATGGGCAGGCATATCCAATGTGTTGAAAAGGCTCTGTGTAAAAGGGTGAAGATCAGGGCGAGCGGGCAGTGTCGGATCGCTGTAGATGATGTGTGGAGAATCCGTCAAGTCGTAGTTGGTATCCTCAGGAACATCTCCATCCTCGGTGATTTGGTTGAAGTAGTCGCCACAGTGTCCAAGATACAACAGATCCCATTCTTTATGGTCGCCCCAGTAGTTTGTCTTCTTCGCTTTCAATTTGGAGAGAGGTTGGGTCCACTTGGAGGGCATCATGCTGCGTGCAGCGTTGGCTGCGAGAGGAGCTTGTACACTGCGCAGCTGTATGTCCCAATCAACATCATCTTCAAGAATGAGCGCCGTCTCGAGGCCAGAGTCAAGAAACCTATAGCAGTGAGTATATTGCTATGACTGTGCAAGATCAATAGACCTACCACTGCAGGGCGTTGCGATGACCCAGCCACGCGAGGATTGATCCGACTTGCACCTTTTCCTCTTGACCGTTGCGGAAGTCTTCTACATCGTCATCGGTCCACTGCGGCTGTTCTGGAATAGTGAGGTCGATGTTGGTCACATTTGCGGCTTGCAATAGAGAGTGCCTGCGTTTGGAGCCGGTTTTGGAGACAACGACCATGGCACCGAAGCCTAAGGTTCTGTTGGCGGGAACGTTGACACGTTGAGTGCCGAGTGACGAGGTCCACTGTCTGTATACGTGGTCGGCGTGATGTGTGTATGTGAAGAAGAGAAGAGCAAGAGCAAATGCGACGAGTAAAGGCAGCGGACGCTTTCTGCTAGGTGCAAGCATGGCTGTATAATGCAAAGAACCAAGAGCAACAAGGGAAACAAGGGAATTGGAAGCGTGAGAGTCGGAGCATAATGGCCATTTGTGGAGGGCGGGCAATGAACGTGAGGAAGACATGTCGAGGGAAGGTTTGTCCCAGCGCAGTGGGAGTACAGTCGATGGAGGAAAGAGCATTGCTCAGAGAGTTGGTTAGTCAATGAGGAAGAGGCAGGAGAGGAAAGAGATGGATGCAAAACTATAGATGAGGGTAAATGCACGAGGCAATAACAGGAAGCCTAAGTGACAAGCACATGCAAGGATATGTCACTTCAAGAAAAGCAGTCGGGGGACAAGTGAAGGACTGCGATTAGTGCTCTTGGAGGCCTGGCATTCTGGACATCTGACAGACATGACCCCGTTGATAGAATATAGCATCGGGGCATGATTCGCTACTGATTGCATGATGTGATGCTCTGGGCCCGGGAGCGGTTTCATTTAGCAGGGACACACCCCACCGGTACTGGGGAGGGGATGCAGGCTACCGGTGATGGTGGAGGAGACCATTGTTCGAAGGCTAAAACGTCGACAGAAGCAAAGCACAAGGGACAGACAGCGGTATGGCCAGGCATCCAGGACGGCAGGGAGGTGGATACGCCATGACGGGCGGAGAGAATCCAAGCTTTTCAGACAGTGAACCTGGCGGGCCGCGTGGACGTTTGACACGATTGGCGTCGGAAGAATCTTGGACGATTTGCGAGGGTCGACGATGCCATGAACTGAAACAAGCAGACGCAAAGTCAGCAGTTAGTAGCGATGATCGAGGAGCGGGAGCCCGCCGATCACGTGTCGCAGGCCTTAAGATGTTCCGCCCCGATGTCCAGAGTAGGGCTTAGTGCGACGCTAACGGACAGATGAGGCTAGCGGCTCTCCCCCCAGACAGGGGCTTCTCTCACCCTTCACTGCGTGTTGCTGCTGGAGACCTGCTCGTTAGCCAAGTGTAACAGAATTGCTGAACTGCACGTCTACACTCGTCTTACAAGGCCCAATGTCATCATCATCAGCGTCTTGTCCGCCCGTCGTTGTCCGATGCTGACCCAACAGTTGTTCGTCAGAAAACGTTAATCATCAACACCTAGTACCTATCTACCCACCCGTCCTGCAGTAGTAGTCCATCACCTCCCAACGCGCGTCGCCGCCGCTGTCTGAAACCTTGACCTCCCCGAATAGACGGCTTCCGAGCCTATGATCCCCGTTCCCAATTTCACTTCCTCCATGGATCGACGTCACGCAATCTTCTCGAACCCGTAAACACTATTCACTCGCTATCTACTGTCCTGCCGTATGCCCCACGCTTCCGTGCTGTAGACGGAAAATGGCCACGCTAGGGTCGCCGTCGCCCCCGTCATCCCCCTCGCGAGCCATGCGCCGCCGTGGATGGGCAAGGAGAGTCGAGCGATACTGCTGTGTGGCAGTCACTTACTTCCCGCTGCTTTTTGTCTACGGCTTGACCTCATGGGCCGTCTGGGTCGAGGCCGGAATCGGTTTCCTACCCGCTAAAAACCCTTGGACAGGTATGTACAACCAACTCCGACTTTGCCTAGAAGCCGCGACTAAATCTAGCATCTCAGGCAAACTCACTTCTTTCCTCGGCGTTTCCCTCTACATCTTGCTCAACTGGAGCTACACCACCGCCGTATTCACCGATCCGGGCTCGCCGCTGAACCTCAACAATGGCTACACCCACTTGCCCATGCAGGAAGAGGGTGGTCCCCAGTATACTTCCTTCACCGTCAAGACTTCAACCGGCGATTTGAGATATTGTAAAAAGTGTCAAACCAAGAAACCCGACCGTTCCCACCATTGTTCGACATGCAAACGTTGTGTCCTGAAAATGGATCACCATTGCCCATGGCTGGCTACCTGCGTCGGTCTATACAACTACAAGGCTTTTCTCTTGTTTCTCACCTATACAACTCTTTTCTGCTGGGTCTGCTTCGTGACATGCGCGACCTGGGTCTGGACAGAGATCATAAGTGACCCACAGATTTCCGAGTCGTTCATGTCCATAAACTACGTTCTGCTGGCTGTTCTCGCCGGTATAATCGGAATAGTCCTCACGGGCTTCACAGGATGGCATATATGGCTGACTGTTAGGGGCCAGACGACTATTGAGAGTCTGGAAAAGACCCGATATCTTTCCCCCATACGAAACTCCATGCGGGACCAGCTTAACGATCGCAACTATATCGATGCGCAGGCCAATGGTCGGGCAAGCATCAGCGACCAGCTGCGCGAAATTCATGCCAATGCTCTTCCTGGTGTTACCAGACCTGAAGAAGGCGAATCCACTCCGCATTCGCGCTCTCCAGAGCCCACAAGCGCGCATATGAGCAACGGATACTCACATCATAGTTACAGTTCTTACGAGCAGCGCGAGCGTCAGCACGAACAGGACCGCTACGCATCATACCTCGAGGAATTAGACAACGAGCGCTTACCCAATGCATTCGACCTCGGCTGGAAGCGCAACCTGGGCCATATTTTCGGTCCTTCACCCCTTCTTTGGGCCATACCTGTACGAACCACCACCGGAGATGGATGGTCCTGGGAAGCAAGCCCTGAGTGGGTAGAGGCTTGCGATCGCGTCAAGCAGGCTAGAGAGACGGAGGACAGGATACAAAAGCAGCGTGAGCGCGCAGCTGGTTGGGGCGTAGATTCACCCACTGAAGCAGAGTTCAGGCGCACCGGCCACCCACCTCCACCCGAGGGATGGCAGATCAAACGATTCTCCCCACCACGTTCCAGAGCCCCTCGTAGACCAGAGTGGCAGACATCACGACGCCCCGGCGATGACTCCAGATATTTGACCACGTCGAACGGCATTGTCTCGACGCCGCAAGTTGGGCGGCGCAGCGCCAGCAAAGCAGACCAGATTCTTGGCAGGGAAAGTGGCATGTACGCCGATGGCGATGTCCAGCTTCAGAACCTCGATCGCCGCAGATTCGACCAGTACAACTATATTTCTGACGATGACGATGACGATGATTACGAGGAAGATGTGGACGCTCCCAAGGCCTCCACGAATGAGTCGGCGAGCCGCGCAAAGACACCCCCTCCACCCAGAGTTGTCCCGCTCCCGCGAGGTACAAAAGATTGGAATGACATACCCGATGATTTCTTGAAGGTCCAGGGAAGGCCGCCACCGGTTCAGCCGCGTAGGCAGAGCAAGAGTCCCGAGCCCACGGCTAATCATGATTCGCCGTCATCCGCGTCGATTAAGAAACCCAATGGCGCCGAGTGGGATGACTGGGGCCAGGACAGTTGAGAGTAAAGTCCAATGAACAAATTCTGGTCTCAATCGACCTTTCTTGATTACGATTACGCACTCTATTCACGACGAAGCATCGGGGAAAACGGCGCTCTTTTTGTATTTACCTTTTGCTTGTGAACCATAAGGTAGCACAGTACCTACGACACAATTTCGCATATGGGCATGGAAATGTACAGATATAATGCCTGGTCGGGGGATGGAAAATGTGTATATGCATTGCACGGGTGTATATATACGTTGTGAGTGTGTGGAAAAAGGCATAACAATTTTCTGTATAGAATAATCTTGTTGTTTATATAGAAATCTTACTGATATACATATTGAATACCATTCACATAAACTTGTGGTTTCGACGTTGATATCAAGAACCGTCATTATGCTTTCTCCTACTTCATTCAAGTGGTGGCTATCAAGTACCCCCAGGTGTATATTAAACGACTTTGATATCCCGCCAACATGTATAGAGAAACATGGAATCAACGTTCCATTTATCTGTCTCACGAGCCGAGCAAGGAGATTTGAGTTCTTCTCCTCAAAGCGCAAAGGTGGGGGAATGGAGGAAAAATGTGTAGCGAGTAGACGGAAAAATAGTAAAGAAGGCATATTAATCAACGTCGACTTTGGATGAACGAACCCACATACACGCGAATGCACATATACCCACATGATATGTCATGCATAGCGTTTTCGTCAACTCAGTATGTTAGCTTCCTCTCTGCTTGGATCCCGAGCGTACGTTGTTATTCGTTCGTCCTCGAGGTCAAGAGAAATCCAAATGGGTTTGTTTTGCACACAAATCACTGACATAACAATCACACATCCATCCACAAGATCAAAAAGGTAACAATAAGAAGGCTTTCTCGATTATCTTATCCCACAAATTGAATCGAAGAATAGAGGTCGTACACGGGTCGTTTCATTTTAGCGGAAAGAGGCTTCTTCGGTGGGGATGTAGAGATGCTGCTAAACCACCCAACCCACCAACCGACAACGATAAAAGGGTAAAGAGGAATAGCAATATGAAACAGACAGACAGACAAGCAGAGAGATTGAGAGAAAAGTGTGACTCGCCGAAGAAATGAGAAGTCGTTAGCAACAAGAAATATTAAGAAGAAAAGAGCAAGCAATAAACGCCTCCCATTCTTCCCAAACCCTCTCATATGTACATGACAGAGAGAGAAGGCAACCGCAACGCCTAGCCAGCAGACGCTAAGCACAAGCAAAAGAACAATGCATGCATGATTGATCCAGTACCGGGGAAAGAGTAGTAGTTCGGAATGGAGCAGGGTTTTGTACGCCGATGTGAGGATGCAAATTGAAATGTTGGTGGTGGTGCTGGACAGCTTTCGAGGTTCGCTCAAAGACTGATTATGATGACGGTTTGGAACGGGTGGTGGTGCTACCCACACTGCCGACGCGGCCACTTGTTTTTCGGACTCCAGCCTTGCTCTCCGTGGCTCGTCGCGTCGGGCTGCCTCGCACTTTGCCGACGCTGATGCCGCCGATTCCACTGCCGTTTCCGCTCTTGTCCTTACCACTGGGGGTCTTTGGCCGAGCTCCGGTCGGGGCCGTGTTCTCTGTGTCGCTCTCTCCACTGTATTTCCATACGGTGGACGTCATCGATGTCTTGGTTGTGGTCATGCTGATGGCTCGTCGATCCTTGTCTGCCTTAGACATGGGCGATCGTGATGTGGTTCTGCGGGCGATTTGGCGAAGATGGTACTCTTCGTCAGTCTCATTGTCAAACTTCGTCACCTCTGCTTTATGCTCAGACTTCGTAAAGGGCTCGTTCTCGTGGTTTCGGAGCGGTGACCGCATGCTCGTGCCGTTTCCATAAAGCTTGCTAGTCTTTCTGGGTTGACCGGGCGTGGGGACAGGAAGATTGTCTTCCTGTACTCCGATTGAATTACCGACATTACCCTGCCCATTGGATTCAATCTCGCCCAGGGCAGCGCGCTTCTGCGAGCCATTTGGAGGAGTGTATGTCTGTCCGTTGCTAGCATAGCGTTGCTTGTGCGGTGTCCTGGTCGGTGTGGAAGGCATCATCTCCGCAAACTTGGCCTTCATTGTGTCCTCGTGCCACCACTCACGGAAAGTGGCTTGATTGAGGTGTAGCCAATGCTGTTGGGGACCGACTACCATTCCAGGTCGCATGAAGCGCATGTACGCAATTATCTCGTTGGCGGTGAAGGCGTGCTTGTAGATGAGGTATGCTCCGATGAGACAACCCGTTCGTCCAAGACCGGCCTTGCAATGCACAGCGATACCCTTCTTTTGTACTGTGATCATGTCATGGGCCAAGTTGATGAACTTGCGGACAAGCGACAGGGGCGGACATGTCCCATCGTCAAAGATCATGTTGAGATGTTGGATGCCGAGCTTCGTGAAGTATGTGGAAGAGTAAAGCTCTGAGTTCAAGCGTACCACCAGACCAATATTTCTCGAACTAAAATGCGAGAGCACGTTCTTGAAAGGTCCAGGGAGTGTCGAGCGCTGCACTTCACCAATCGTAGATGGTATCGAAGCGTACGTAGGCGATGTTGGCGCAACCTCGTGAGTGATCGGCACTTGAGGGGAGGCAAATGCAAGGAAGTCAGGAGTTACCCAATTGAAGTCTCCCATGTCAACTCGCTCGAACTTCTCATACCTAGACGAATTAGCACAGGCAAACAGCAGCATATGGACTCGGTCACGTACTCTTCCAAGCAAAAGTCCTTCAGCCCACATAGACCCTCCTCCTTAGCCTTCCACACGCCGTAGATGACGTCTTGGATGTTCAATACGTAGTCTGCTTGGCTGTAGCCTGCGTCTCGGAAGGGCATGCAGGGTGGGTCCATCTGCGCGATAGGCGCAAGTGCTAGATGTGGCGGCCACGATTGAATCAGAACCATGTAGCAAGCGAGTATACAAGCCGCATTTGCTCGACCTAGATGTTTCTTGTCAGCTGATGCGCATGAATAGGAACGAGAATAGTCCTCACTCCTTGAATCAGCGCTACTCCAAAACACCACTCCGCGATCCGCATTTTCAGGATCGCCTAGGACCTCATGTAGTTGTACAGCAAAGCGGTAGAGGTGGCCGATGTGTAGCGGGCCGAAGTCTGCGTGAAAAGCGTTGTACAGCAGAGTTTTGTCGATGGTGAAGTATACTGGCGGGTGCACCTTGGGTCCTTTGGCGACGGAACCCGACTGAGCTTTCGAGGAGCGCTTGGACGGCGACTGGTTTTGCTTCGGGTAGGGGAAAGGAGTATCTGGAGTAGGCGGGGAAGTGTACGAGGCGAGATAGAGACGATCTGAGGGGGATGGTTAGATTCTTGCCCTACAATTTTGCGTGATGTCGCAATGTTTTGGTTTGTTGTTATTGTTGTGACGTACCTTGAATGTACTCGATGACGGTGCCAAAAGCCGTCGCCGTACGAGGCATTCTTGCTCGCGGAGTCGTAGACATGTTGCGATGGAAGGCGCGACCACTGGAGACTTGTTTATTCTTTGAGAAAGACCGACTTGAGTCGCGCAATGGGAGACTGAGCACGAGGGCTCAATGGGGAGGATAAGTTGTCGGCGCGGGCTACGGGGCTGAGCAAAAAAAGAGCCTGAGTAGGTGATGGAAGACTGCAAAGCCCTATTTGAGTCGTCGACCGGCCTGTGGGGAGGAATGGTAAAGATGTATGGGATGTTGGCGATGTTTTGGAGGAGGAGAGGTCTCTCTTGAACTCATGGTTGTTTTGATCTACAGAGGTACCATAACAACAAACTAGACCTAACCTGCACTAGCGCCTTCGGATGCGTGCTTGGAGCGCCGCCACCGCTTGCATGGCATGACAACAACAACCCCTTCTCATCTTCTCACGACCACAGGTGAGGCCCCCCCTGTTCTGATAATGTTTCTTGTTTGTATATGAGAGAGGGCTCTCCGTGTCAACAAACAGACCCCTATTCGCTGCCTGCCCACACGCGCATATGCGTGTTCACATATGCTCACGCACTGCGCAGGCTTACTGTTGTTTACGTCTGAATCCCCAACAACTGACCCGCTATTGCCTGGAGCCGGCCTAGATTGTACATGGTGCGAAACGACACTAAGCACGACTGACAACCGCTGCGAACGTGAATCATTGGTATACAGCCACACCTGTTTTGCCACCAGGACCTTCCAACTTCCCAGTTGGCTGTGTCTGTTGTTTATTTATTTATTTACGTGCTCCTCTTCTATCTCCAAGACATGATCCGGCGAGGAAGGGCCGAGGGGTGGTTGCGAGAACGCATAGAGGGTCTGCCTCGATGGGCCAATTTCAATGGCATACGTTTCGCAGGGATCAAGATCGGTCCATTGCCGGGCTTCGAGGAGAGGGGTTCAACTGTCATATCCAGTAGCAAACTGGTCAGCGGTGAGGCGGGCGCTTTGCTGACGGTCCCTAAAGAATTGATCCTGTCCCGTCAAAATATCGAATTGTTTGCCAAATCCGACCATCATCTCCGTGAACTTCTTCAATCTCTCGACGATTTCGGGAGGGTAAGGCCGGCTTCCCAAGGTCACCCACGTTCTGCGCTGATGTAGCGTGGCAGACCACCCGAGGCGCTGTGTTAATCTTCCTTCTTTTGCAAGCTACCATCTGCTGTCCCGATGTTAGCAACGTAGGCGTTCATAACCCACTCACGGAGTACACGTTACCGTTTTCCCAGTTTCTCTCACCCTTTTTCTAATTCTCTACCAGATATATCAAGTTTCTGCCTGATGAACTACTGCCGACATTCTGGACTGAAGAAGAGAAGGATCTTTTGGCCGGTACTACGCTTGAACCAGCAGTGCGAGCAAAGCTTAACAGCTTGCTTCGCGAATTCGAATCTGTCCGGACTGCTACAGCGGGTATACGCTGGTGTGCACAGCACTGGTGGGATGAAGACGTTGGTTTAGTGACATTTGATGATTGGATGAGACTCGATGCCATGTATCGCTCAAGAGCACTGGAGTTTCCTGGTGTGGGTGATGCTATGGTGCCAGGTATCGATATGGCGAACCATGCTTCTGGTGAGGCTACTGCTGCGCTCTACGAGACGGATGGCGACGGCAACGGGGTCCTGCTTCTTCGCGACGGCAAAGAGATACATCCAGGCGGAGAAGTGACTATCACGTGAGTTGATCTCTGGGTGCCGGTCTGCAGAAGACCAGTGGCGTGGGCAGTGGGAGATGAGTATTGACCATTTCAGGTACGGAGATGAGAAGGGGGCGTGTGAGAGTATTTTCTCATATGGGTTTCTTGAGGACTCCCTGGACTCGGCAAAAGTCATGTTCCTCGATCTCAAAATCCCAGATGATGATCCATTGGCGCCAGCCAAGGCATACGTCAATAATGCAGCACCAGGCTTCCGGCTGTTTGACAAAGACGGCCGGATTGAATGGGAAAGCGATTTCATTTGGCTGGTGATTATCAACGAAGAAGATGGGTTGGACTTTAAGGTCAAACAGACCATAGATGGCAAAAGGGAAGTGCAGTGTTTCTGGAACGAGCAAGAACTCGGCGGCGTACTCAAGCTGCATGAGCAGCTCAAGGAAACTGCCTTTTGGGATGTGTTTCAACTTCGCGCCACTGTTCTCGTACAGAATCGGGTCGAGGAACAGATAGATGCGCTTCGGGCTACAGGCGACCCTGTTACTACTGCCACAGTTCGATATGGCCCACAGGAGCTCGCAAGCAAGCTCCGTGCACTAGAGCTAAGCATGCTGCAGAAAGCAATGAAGACTCTTGATAACGAGGTAAGACAGGCCCATGTAAACGATCGACGTGCAGTGTTGGCCATTATCTGGTGTCTGCCACCGGAAAAAAAGTCTACTTTACCCGAATCATTTCGCTGACCCCTGCCCTGCAAACAGAAAGCGAAACTGCTCGATAGTGAAACGGTACAACGCTACCTCGGGCTCATTGAATCAGAGGATGAAGGGGCGGAGCAAGAAGAGGTCGATTTCACTTGAAGGCGTTCTTACAATCTTACCATCAGTGCCGTCGTTAGCATGTATACAGTGTGATGAGATAGACTGCCAATGCTCTAATCAGACATGGACTGAGGCAGGATGAAGATATTTATTTGCAAAAAGGCAGAGAGGGTTTGATCCCGAGTAGCCATTTTTCTACATCCAATCATCAGAGTAGTCGAAATCAAACTTTGGACTTGTTTAAAGTGTTGTATATAAGAATGTACAGGCCTAGAGGCGAGTGTGTGGGCGTGGGGGTACAAAGAACAAGCACAAAGTCATGGGCAGAAGCTGAACGTGACCGGAGCAGGTGAGGTTGTGGCTTCTTGTATATATATGTTTGGGATGTGTCAGACGGCTCGGTCTGGCCGCAAGCCGCAAGATGAATGAGGATGGGCAGATCAAGGTGTCCTCACATTTACCCAAAGGCAGGAAAGAGAGGGAGAGATGAAAACCAAAAACCAAAAACGCAAAGGCAACAGCTATCAAGGGTTTAATGAGCGAAGGATGCAGTGGGCAGTTGGCAGATAACATGTCTATATATGCGAGGTGCATAGTATGATTGCATGCATGTGTATCGAGTAGGACGACAGGTAGGGTGGGAGGAGAATTAAACGAGGGTGGAACAAGAGAGCCAAGGGCGATCAGTGTATACAGATGTACAGGTTTTGTTCCGTGTGATTGTTCTCGAAGGAAGAGGGAAGCGAGAGAGAGAGAGAGAGAGAGAGAGAGCGGGGGTATGATACCGGCCCTTCCGGACGGGATGGGACGGATATGAGTGTGTGAGTAGACAGATGGATGGAAGAATATACGAACATACATACATATGTATGTACTGTAAGAGTGCATGTAGGAGCAAGCAGGGACTGGGCTGCATGCACAATCACCAATTACATAATTGCAGAAATAGCACCGACGGCCATGTACGGCCGCGGCTATCAAGGCAGGCAAATATCCAAAGTCCAACAGAGACTCGCTCGTTAAGGAAGTTGAGTGCCTGCGAAGATGCGGCACGCCTTACGGCAGACGGGCTTTCTGGTGGGTAAGAAGTCGGTTTGATTCGACCAGAAGACGGGAGATGAGCGAACGCTCGTACATGGCTCAACGCCCGCGTGCGTGGCGATTATGATGTGATGATGTGGAAAGACACGGCGAATGTTCTTTTTTTTCAACTCGGCCGGTGATCGGGGGTTGATGGGTAGCCACGATTCATCAATACTTGGACATGCATGTCCAACTTACGAACGTCGCCTTTGCCCCCTGGCCAAGTCCATCAGCGTGCCCATCCCCGCAACGCATAGACACGCCCAGCACGACGTGTGCCCCCCTCCCCCAGGTCTTGAGGGCAATCAGCGAGGCGCTAGATAAACGGCCCCAGACCAACTTCACCATTTTCACCACTAGCCTCCTAGTCCCAGCCCAGCATCATCCTCCATCGCTCGTCGCTCCCTCATAAGCTTCGCCGACCCGTCCGACCTGACTCTCTACACCACTCCGCTATCCTCCGCAATCAATCTTGCAGCCTCGCTCCATGTACAAACGCATGTCCGTGTCAATGTCAACCACATTTACTACTACTACTACTACTACTACTACCACTCTGAACAACATCAACAACCTCTGATTGATCCAACCTACCGCCGAGGCTCCCCAGACGCATGGTACAGCCTGCCTGCCTTACCACCACCACCTCCTCTCCGACCACCATATACGCCTGCCCACCATGCCTGGAATCCTCCCCATGAAAGTCATCAAGGTCGGCGGGAACACGCAAGCGCGCATTGCCCAAGCCTGTGACCGGTGTCGCTCCAAGAAGATCCGGTGCGATGGCATCCGCCCGAGTTGCACCCAGTGCACCAATGTCGGCTTCGAATGCAAAACCAGCGATAAGCTTAGCCGTCGCGCCTTCCCTCGCGGCTACACCGAATCGCTCGAGGAGCGCGTGCGCGTTTTAGAGGGCGAAGTGCGCGAGCTCAAGGACCTGTTGGATGAGAAAGACGAGAAGATCGATATGCTTTCGAGAATACATTCGCACTCGCCTGCCCGCACATCATCGCCAAGAAGATCATCAAAGTCTCCGTCGCCGTTGGAACCACCTCAGACGTCGCAGGAGAAGCATCATGTTTTCAAGGTACAGCAAGCTCCTGTACTGCTCGATGATGAGAACCGCGACGCATACCTCGTAGGAAGTTCAAGTGGAAGGGCATTCGTTGGTACGTTTCCGCATTTTACCCCATCAGACTCTTTTCTGTGTCAGAGACTGACCCCTTTCCACAGAAGCCTTCAAACAGCATGCCCAGGAAACGGGCATGTCGTGCTCGGATGTCAACTCAAACGTCTTTTTTGGCACAGGGACCGCGTCAAATCCCCTCAACTCACCCAGGCGTGCCGTATCGTTCAAGGCTCCGCCCCGCCTCGTCTCCGACCAGATGATCAACATCTTCTTCCAGGAGTGGGCGCCCCTGTTCCCCGTCTTGCACCGTCCTACTTTCCTTTCGCTCTACGAGACATACGTCGCCGCTCCGGAATCGGTCGTGGATAGAAAATCCATCGCCAAGTTGAATCTTGTCTTTGGCATTGCTGCGCTATCTAGCGATGTAGGTGCTCACACGCATTACCTTGCAGAAGATGCATTGCTAATGGCTGCAGCCCCGCTATGGCCAAGATGTAGAGTCTTTTGAGACACAGTGGCAGTGCGCCCTCGAGAGTTTCTTGATGGACAACGATGTCGCAACGCTCCAGTGTCTCGTGCTTGCCCAGATCTTCTGCCTAATCAAGGCTGATTACTCGCGTCTCTTAAAGTACAAGGGTCTTGCTATAGGTCTATCGCAACGTCTTGGATTACATCAGTCCCAGAAGCGCTTCGCTTTGGGTGCATTGACCAGCGAAACACGCAAAAAGGTCTTTTGGTCACTGTTCACACTTGACTGGTAAGGGAGCACCCCCGGAATGGCACCACCAACGTGTTTGGCTAACCTACTTCAGCTTTTCGGCTGCCCATCTGGGTCTTCCTAGGCTCCTTAAAGATGAAGATGTGCACTGCGAATACCCAGTTGATGCTGACGACGAGTACGTCACCGAGCAAGGCTTCTTGCCGACGCTTCCTGGGGAGTCTACCAAGCTGTCAAGCGCCCTGGCATTGTTCCGACTCTCACGCATCCTCTCCAAGGTCCTAGCGGAGCTTTACCCCGCATCACCCACACACGACATCTCATTTGGCACCATCGCATCTCTGGCTGGTGATCTCGAAGAATGGTCGAATGCGCTAGCTCCTCACCTCAAATTGACGTTCCAGCAAGACAAGCCCAGCACCAATGTCACCAGTAGCAGGTCTCCAGTTTTGGTACGTACCCCCAAGACTCGACGCAGATTACGTGCACGCCCCTAACAAGATCATAGTCCTTGGCATATCATCACATTCAGTCATTAATCTACCGACCGGCAGTTGTCTCCAACCTTGGCGACAAGGGCTCTTCGGCCATGGTTGCCGTTGGTGATGCTTGCAAACACATTATACAGATTGTCCAATTACTGGACGAACGCGGGCTGAGCTTTTCTTTCTGTCTGAACAGGAACGAGGTGCTCGTGCAGGCTGGATTTGGAGTTTTGTACCAGACGCTTGGCCTCGACCGCGATGGAAAACTCATCAAAGATTGCAATAGGCTCATCTGCGCTGTCATGGACATGCTTGATCAAGGGTCTGCAGCCGGGGCTCAAGAATATCGCAGGGTCGGCTGTTCCATGATGGTTGTTCCCCACGTGGAGCAGACGCCCACTCCGGCTTTGGCCCGCCACCATTCGGAAGTTTCCATGGGTGCCCCGATGGACAGGATTCGCGCCACCCAGAAAACCCTCAAGGCCATTGCAGCACGTTTTTCCCCTGCTGTAGCAAAGGCCAGCCTACGGGAATCGAAAGGACCACGTCGCGCGACTTTGCCAACTCTGTCGCCTTTCATGGCTAATAATGCCAACCAGTCTTCGACCAGCTTGTCATCCCTTCGATCGGAGCCTTCGATCGCTCCTCCTTCAGAACCAACAACGAGCCCCTTGGCTCACCGTGCATCCATGTCAATGCTCAATACAAAGCGACGAGCCAGTAATAATGTCATGCGACATAGCCCTAACATAGATTACCTCTCGTTTGGTCCCGACCCACTGGCCAGTCACCAGATGTTTCCCAACGCCCCAGGAAAACCAGAAGTATCTCCCTCGGATTGGGAACGTTTGCTGTCTTCCCTCGATAATGGCCAGACAAACATGTACGACACCATCTATGGTGGCCTGACAGCCGACGCTCTTCTGGAATGCCCGCCTCTTTCCGCCGGCACCGAAACTGATCTCAGCTGGTCTCCTAACGCGTGGAACTGGGGAGGCCCCCATGACCAAGCAACTGCACCTCCACCACAGAGCGTCCTCAGCTTTAGCGACGAGAGCCTGACGAGTGGAGAAGAGTTTGCCAACCCCGCGGCGGGCGAGTTTGGGCCGATACGCGAAAACGAAATCAAGTATCCTGGCCTCATGATTCCGGACTTGAGCGGAACTCACCACATCGGTCTCGGTGGGCTTGACGGCAACTTCGGCTTATAAAGGAGAAACAAGCCCATCATCCCACTTTGATTTGCTTTTTTGTTAATTTACGGGAAGAATTGTATACACATGATGATGATACGACGGGTCAGGTGTTTCCAAGGTATTTTTTTGCAAAAACAACGGTGTCTTGACGGATTTTGGGGAGGGGGCTCGGTTCGCTTTCGCTTGCTCTTGGATCTGTTCCTTTTCTTTCTTTCTTGGGGGGGAATGCAAAAGTTGCAAGGAGGATAGTGTTTTTCCATCTCTTCTTCGAGTGTAAACCTATCTCTCCGTTGGCTTTTCTTTCCCTCGTTTGTTCTTGAGATACCAAATTCCTCGTTTTCTTGGAGTTTTCTTTTATTTTTGTTTTTAACTTGTGATCTACTGGTGTTCATAGGTGCTTTTTGTCTTCCCTGGTCTTTTTCTATCTACGAATGGTCTTTCACTTTCTGGCGTTTCTTCCTCCAACTCTAAACCCCTCTAAAGGATGGTTGAGCACAAGGGGGGGGGGGGGGGGGGGGGGGGGGGGGGATGAGGGCCGCACATAGTATATAGTACAGTATAGTATGTAATTCCCCAACAAAAATCACACATGAGGGTGCTTACTCTACCTATCTACCTATCTAATACCATCATCGCTCTTCATTCCACGTCCGTTCAACAAAATCAATTAAAAAAAAGGAATGGAAGTGACTTGAAGCCAAATCCAGTCTTCCAACACAACCCCCCATGATTAAATTCAATTCGATCACACACCCCTTCTATTTGCCGAGCTCAGACACGCTGTTTGCTCTGCGGGGAGAACAGAGTAACCACCCTTTCCCCTATACCGCGTAAACCTTGACGTAAGTGTAAACAACACCACACCACAACAATACGATAACAATAACAAAACAAAATAACAAATGGTTAGTCAGTGTGATTTGGAAAAGAAAGAAAGCTGCCCAAAGAGGATAGATAGATAGGCACTAGATTGAAATCAAGAAAGAAAGAAAAGTCAGGTTTGAGGTTCAAGGGAACCCCCCCCCCCCCCCCCCCCTGCGTCACTAAAGTTGGTAAAAAAAAAAAGGAACCCGAGCTTTGAGGCTGAAAAAAAGGCTTGTTAAAACTTGAAAGTCGCGTGGGCAAGGCGGGTAGTGCATGGACCGACCCAAAAAAAATAGACGGCGAATCCACATAGGTGGAAAGTTTAAATATTGATTGGTGCGGGTGTGGGGAAGGGGGGAAAAGTTAAGGTTTAGGGGCTTGGGATTCGAGATTCAAGATTGGATGGTTGTTTGACCGGATCTTTGTGATTCTGGAAAGGTGGGGATAGGATATCTTTTGGCTTGGTTGTTGATGTTGATGTTGATGCAAGAGGTGGAAGGGGGGGAAAACAGCGAACGGACTCAAACGCAGGGAAGTTTGCTCCAAATGCGGGGACCCCGCGTTTATTTTTGTGTTGGTGTCACGCCATCATCGTACGAGGCGTGAAAAAGAAAGATAGATCCTCCTGCCCCCCAAGATGCGTCTCTCAAAGTTCCTATCGTCCGAAATCCGGGGTCGGCGCTCCGACGATTCGCTGCAGATCGATCCTCATCCGTGCATCATCTCCTGAACCCAGATGCCGATTTACTACTTACGCTATAATGACCCGGGTATTCTCGGAGCATAGCAGGGTCATTGTAGATTTCAAGTTGCTGCTTCCGGAGAAGTGGAAGAACAGACCCACATACATCACGAGCAAGCAATACGAGCGAGGGAGTTCTAGACAGGGAATCAAGTTCAAGGGTATCATCCGGTGAAAGTCTAGACCAGGACAAAGCTGTCTAACCCAGAAATTGCGCATTCAGATAGTCGACAAAGACCTCTTTTATTCGCGACTTGGACAGACTGTGTTGGCGATTCAATGTGATGAACTGACGGCGCATGCGTTGCAGCTGCGGCAGGGTCATGGGTGTTGCTGGGAGCTCAATGGGCTTTTCAACCTCTGCAACGGCCACCTCACCCCCACCCTCTCCGGGGTGATCTTTCTGGTATGTGGTTATCTGAGCGAGTATATCGGACGTGGTCTTGTCCAGCTCGTAAAGGTAATTCTGCTCTGTGGCCGGTTTCTAGAGCCTCATGGTCAGCTGAAAAGTGTGGCAGGGTAGCAGCGCGGATTCGTACCAATACGGTGGCCTGGTTCGGCCGCACGAGCTTCATCTTCCCATCGCTGCCCACGAGGGCTTCCCATATCTGTTCGTACGGCGGGGTCTCGTCTTCGTCGAGTACGGTGAACAGCGGACTATCCCACCGTGTCATGCCGTTTGGCTCCTCGTATCTGAAGATGAGGTTCTCGAAGTCCTCTTCGACGTAACCGCCATCGCTGGCCTCGTCGGCCAACAGCTTCTTGTTGATTTCTCGACACTTGTCGGCGGGAGTTCCTATGTGCACCTCTTGGACTATCAGCAACATGGCAGAAGACTCATGGAGCAGACATGACTGACCACACAACTAGGGGTCTGGAGGGCCTTTGCTTCGCAATACAGCTGGTAGCGAAAGCCCTTGATGTAGTTGGGGCCATCAGCGATAACGATGTCGTCGCGCGACAGGACGCGCTTGACAGCAGAGTACTCTTCAGCGCGGGCATCCTTTTCGGCTTTGGCAGTGTGGTAGACAGTGCGGGAAACGCCAAGCGACTGGTCATTGATGAGGTGTACCTTGAGCTTGCTGGCGCGAGAACCGGGGCCATCGGCGGCGATCTTGGACTCGAAGAATTGCTGGAGTTGTCGCGCGCGTGTCGTCTTCCCCGAGGAGGGGTAGCCCGATATGAGGACAAGCTGGGGTTGGGTGTCAGCGGATGGTGGATTTCATGAATCAAGATTGGACGTACGGGCATGACGTGGGGTAGCGGGGGAGACTGCTTCTGGGTGTCGTCAAGGAGAATCAACGGATCAATGCCTTGTTGGATATTTCCCCAGGTTGATTGCGCTCAGAGAAAAAAAGATTGGCAGGCGGCCTCGATACGAGCGCTTGTTTAGTAGAATTAGTTGGTGGGTGGGTCGCGACATGACAATGTACTCTATCTACCCAAGTACTTACCCTATCGATAGCCAATCCATGATGCACTGGCCAGTACGATCCCCACCACGTATTGGTAGGAATATGTATTTCCCCCATCACCTCCAGCACCAGCAGGACCGAGGGGGAAAGCAGCCCGAATGCCGGGGGATACTCATTTACGGTGGGTCATTCGGCCGGCCTAATCAATAAAGTGGGTTATTGTTGTTGTGGTAGTCCATTATAAGAGAGAGAAAAAAGTATCTGCCAACTATCAAGTGATGACGGAATTTCGCAGGTGGTGCCCTTCCATTCTTCCTTCCTTCCTTCCTTGCGCCGGATATACTGGTTCCCCCAAGCCTCGGTACATCTACCACCTGTCTTTGTTACCTACTCTTCTCCCTCCTCTTCCTCTTCCTCTCTCTCTTCCTACTTAACTCTCAACTCTCCTACTGCCTCGCACTCACTTTCTTCCCACTGAATCGTCTCGCTTCCAAACAACCCATCCCATTCCGGCCATACATCCACCCTATCATCTCGCGGCCATTCGCTACCATCTGCTCCCAGCATTCGAGACTCGCTCTGTACTCCAAACTCAATCCATCCGTCTTTCACCCTCTTCCGCTTTAAACTTCACCCGCCCAGACCATCGATACATTCGAACCACTCTACATACTCTACCAGTCTCGCGCCTCTACATAACCCGCCCGGTCACGCCACGACCACGAACCCATAGTACGACCTTACTCCGCAACAAATATGGCTACACCACCAAACCCCACCAATACCCTCCCTCGTCCCACCTTGCCCGCCCACCAATCCTCCTCGGATGCTTCTCAGGCTTCGTCCACCTTCCAGAGTTACAGCAGTAGCATGTCAAGCCTCGCCGCTTCCTCCCAACTCTCCTCAGCGCCGCTTCCCTCGCCGTCAAACTCCCGAAACACCCAAGCCTTTTTCACTTCCATGGACGTACAACAGCACCAGCAGCAATCCCAGCAGGAGCAGCAGCAGCAAACACAGTCAGCTTTCGCTTTCGACTATACCCCTAATCGACAGGGCGCTGGAGCAACCGCTGCCGAAACAAGCAATTTCTTGAGCCAGGCGGCGTTGCTCGCTGAAGCCGCTAAACGCGCACAGATGGCTGTGGTTATGCGAGATTTGGACGGCATGGAGCTGTGAACTTCACCAACACAAACCGACTGAGCAATTCGCAAAGTCTCGGTGTCGCGACCACATTTCCCTGACTACCGTTGCTATGTCACTGCCTATTGAAGCATACCAATGGGACGCGGTCAAAACTCGGCGGGCTCTTCATAATACTGTGGGTCCAGGGCACACCACTTTTCTTCTCCGCCTCACCCTATGTTTAACTTCGCGAAATATCTCCGAGACGAAGATCTCCTGCCTTGACGGCACTAAAGTGACTGGCTGGCATTCGCCTCCGCATCCGATTTCGGTTACGACCGGGCTTATCATACCACCTTTTCAAACTTCTCTGTACATATTCTTGGCTACGATTTTCTTCTCTCTTTCTTATATCTATTTTCACCAGTTGTTTACACGTTCCCTCTTGTATCTCCTAGCGTCTCCTAGCACCGGCGTTCTTGTTCGCAATTACAAGCCATGGTGCTCTCATTTTCTTGCTGCACTCGAAAAACGCGGGGAAAGGGTGCAACATCTTGTTCACTAGCTATGTCATACAGTCGTGATCCAGCGTCATGGACTAGGGAAGGCGAATCATGGTTGGAGAAGGAAACCCGAGAGAAAATCCATCCAATATCCACTTCTACCTTCAACTGTGCTACATACGCCCTCAATCGGAAGAATATATGTCTAATCTTATGACTCTTTGGAAAATTTGGTGCTGACTTGATCTGACCGAGGGTCATCTCCTATGAGAGAGAAAGACAATCGTTCAGTCAGTCTATGTCTTTGAACTGGGGTGACGAAACAGCCGTGAATATCACACCATCCATCGCATCGCTTCTTCGTTCCTTCGCTTTCTTCAAGCTTTCCTGACTCTCTCAAATTTCCCCTTCCCACTTGGATCTCCACCAAGGATTCGAGATTGGTTATTCTTCTGCTCTCTTTTAAGTCCTCCTCACTCTATTTCCATTCGTTCCATCCACTCGTTGTTCCTAAAGGAGATATATTTTACTGTCTTCTTTATAATATATTCAAACGTGCGTCAATCACAAAGTATTCGGTTCATGGATGAGCAGCAGGAGCAGAGGAAGAGAACAGGAAATGTGCACCAGTTTTCTACCTGCATTCTCTCCAAATTTCCTCTGAGGGATTGAAATTTCTCTTTTTCCCGTCAAACCCACAGCTCAATCTGGTAAAACCAGCTGCGTTGTCATGTGTACACGCTGAGTGAGTACATATGTAAGTGATGACTTGGATATCACATGGCTATGCGCGTGCAAGCTCCACTACATCATTGTTCCTCAAAGGAGCAAAAGATCAATGAGCATAAAGATGCGGACTTTTACAAGTATTCAGCTACACAATCTGCGTGTGTTGGGAGCGGGAGTCCACCATTCCACAAGTCTGGGGTTCAGAAGGTGAAGACTGCCAGCAGTGCAGTTGAAATGACCAAACATATCCAGCCCAGCTAAAAGCATCAACATGTATAGTGGAAAGCGAGCCAACGTCACATCAGGAGAGCATCGAGACCTGCGACCAAGACGCCGACACTTTTCTTTCCTGAAAAGATGGTGACAGCACAATGTTGCATGCATCAACCACACACACACGCGAGTCAAAAATGTATCTTGGATGTTTATTCGTGGCTACATACCCAATATATTATCATGTTGAATTTCTTATATTTAATTTTACCCGCGCTTAGCCCTCCGAAAAACTAATGGAAAGAGATCAAAAAAGGGAAAAGGGTTACGAATCCCTTACGATAACGAGGATCAATTATTGCTAAGAAAAAGAAAGGGGTACCGATAGGATAGGGTGTTTGGGCAAGTAATACGAAGGTGGAGGTGATGGCGGATGCACAAGGGCAACATGTTGGACCGCCTAGAGTCAAGAATGCCAACAAAGCAGAATGCAAGCCGCTCGAAACGTGTCACCGGACAGATTCGATAGGATGGAAGAGAGAGATAAGGGTTAAAAATAAAGAGATAAGAAAAGAGAGGGACGAGAGAGAGAGGCAGAAATATTGTATATTTTGATCTTGGGAGGTGCGGGGGATTGGAAAGTATATCGAGGATTCTGGACAAGGCTGAAAAACAACAACAGAATGCGGGAAAGGGTGTGTAAAGTGCTAAGACCGACTTACATTATTGCCTTGTCGTCTGCAGTTCCGCTGTTTTTAGTGCTTTTTTTGTATAGTTCGCATGCCCTTCTTTGCGCTGTCTTGCGTTGCCATGTGCCGGTTCCACGAGCTGTTGCATACTGGCCCCCAAAACCCATATATCGTTGCTTCCAGATGGAGAAAGAGGACGGCAACAGTGAACCGAGTGTTTGTTTCTCTCTCTTCAATGACACACACCGGTCCTATGGACACCAGGTTTCCACCGCCAGTAATCAGGGTCATACTCTTCATCATCATCATCACCTTCATCATCGATTTGCCGCTGGTGCTGACAGCATTCCTCACCAGCTGCTGACGCCGCCGCCGCAGGACCTAAAGGAGGACGCTCCACCGACGAGGAAGACCGCCCCCGGGTAAAGCTCACCATTACGATGACACCCAACTGGTTTTCCTCGCTAGACGGGCGTCCTGACCGGATCATGTAAACAAGCCCGTGTTCATCTACGCTGCCGACGACGTGGCGATTGTACGACATAGGGCTGTCGTTGGGCAACGGAGGGTTGAGTATCTTGTGTAATCTGCGTGAACACGCGCATTGAGTGGCTGGCGGAGGCCACATCCTGATGGGTGAGTGTCGGTACACAACGTCTCTTCTGGACCCTAGATATTCTTTGGGGGATTTGCTTGGGGTGTATTTGTCGTATTTGTCGCACGGAGGAACCCAGTCCAGCGGTGCTGTGCGACGGGACCCTACGCGGATTCGCATGCATGAACCTGTGGTTGTTTCGTTGCAGCAATGTTCATCTTCCACGAGGTCTAGAAACGAGCTGGTAGAGAGGTTGTACGCCTTGAGTTTCGTCCGGGAGAGGGTGAAGATCGGGGCCCTGCAATCTGGCGCGAATTCGGTGTGGAAGGTTGGGTTCAATCGTTGTTGTTCTGGAGCCCAACTGGGTTTGTTACGGTCATCTAAAACGGTGGTGAACAAATCGTTGTCGGGCAACGCTCTGACCGGTTCAGATGCTTCATCTGAATCTGAAGCTGAAGAGGGGTCGAAATTGAAGTCTGCAATGTAGAAGGTGCGTTTCTGCTCACTCGTGCTGCGGACCCATTCGCGGCGTGATTCCACTATTCTTGCTTGCCCTGTAGCATCATCGAATTGAATCGTCAACTCAGTCCACGAATCATGGATAGGACCCTCTGCGTGCTGTCGTCGATACAACCTCTTATTGATATCTGTATTGTCGCGGCGGGGATTTTCGAGTGGAAAGCGTATGATATGGTAGAAAGATGTCCAGTCGATCTCTTCCACCTCGAAAGAAGTCTGGTTCGATACAGCGTAGAAGAAACCGTCCCGTATTTCAAAGGCGACAGTAGAACCGATATCTGCCCCAAAAAAACCTTCCAGTACAATCTTAGGGGTCTTCGCCGGTGAGTCATTACCGGTGAGAGACACTCCTTGGATCTCCCACTCGTGATGGCGGCCATTGGATCCCATCGCGCTGTATGTCCCGTAGTAAAGCCATTTGGCTGTATGGCGACAGAAAAATTTATAGCTCGTTTCCAACCATTTTTCCAGTAAGAGTCTTTTGTTGCTTGGAAGTGCCTTTTTGGTGCTGATGGCATAAATGCAGCTTTCGTTGGGCCGCGCCTTTTTCTCGTAGAGGATGGCAGCAATGTCATCGCTATAATACATCAAGGATATATCGAAATCGGCTGCTGACGTTGAAGCTCCTCGAAAAGTTTCGACAGTGGCAGTCAGATCGATTTCCATACTTTGTGAAGGATGACTTGTATCTAGAATTCGAAGAGTGCTGCCTTTTAATATGCATAATGAGCCGCGACGGTAACAAAAACCGTTTCCGTGGCCTAGTACTCGTGCAGAATATGGGAGGCAACTTTGAAAAGCGATGCGTTTGTCGTGTATGTTTTTCATAGCTTCGATGTACGCAATCTCCTCCTTTTGGCACCGACGCATTTTCTTCCTCGGTGAAGTCTGAATCAATTAGGATGAATTTATAGTGCTGTTTATTTGTTCCGTGTTGTCTTACTGGTTCGAGTTTCTGATTGTAGTCTCGGGCCGATTGTGCATCTTTCGTATGTTCCACGTGAGTCTAATGTTACTGTTTAGTTCTTTGAACCTTGACTGTTGAAATCTGTGAGTGACTATACCTCGATAGTCCTCCGACATAGTGTACTTTCGAGCAGAAGAGCTTTGAACTTGGGGTGTGAATCCCCAAGGCTAAGGATGTCTTCGAAACTTAAATATGACGTGACAAAAAATAGTATATCGTAGGGAAGCCCATCCAAAGAGACAGGCATGGGTTCTAAGACTAGAGGGGGAAGATAAGTAGCTCGAGAAATCTAGAAGTGAGAAAGCCAGATTGCTGGGGAAGTGTCTGAGACCGAAGCGCCAAGTAATTCCAAGGGAGAAGGCAAAATTGGAGGCAGCTGAGGAGACAGATTGATGCTGACGCATGTCAATTTGGTGGGAACGATCGCGAACATTGTAGGCTCAAATTGTAACCAAGGCGACCACTGTAGAAGTAGTTAGTTCTAGATGAGGCTCTGCCGTCAGGCTAGATTTTCTCTTGGTGCGCTAGTCTAATCATTGATAGCGGAGTGAATCCATGGGTGACAAGGCTGGAATAATTGATCACCAGACAGTCTGGTCTCTGTGTATTCCCGAGGCGCGGCGCATGGTTTTGGAGTCCCCAGTCGCAATTCGCCAAAATTCATGGCACATATGTTTCATCAAAAGCGTGAAAAAAAAACAGCAATAATCAGGTTTTCGAATTCAAAAGGAATCACGATTGCCAGTGGATGGGTGGAAGAGTGGATGAGTGGCTTTTGCGGCTCTTTTTCTCTGATTGGCTGATGACTGAGTTGATGCGGCTCTGTGACACTACTGCACCACGGAATTTACTCCCTCTGATGGATCTCTTGGCTTTTTCAGCCTCGTAGCCCACAGAAACGCGAATGTTCGTTACTGAATGTTCAGGAAATTAAAATTACGACTGACCGTCAACATCTAACAATTTGTCTTTCTGTGGCATGGAATCACAGCCTCGTCGAATGCATGAGATCGCCGGAATAGGATGCATGTAGATGTCGCTTTGCAGACGGGGAAGCATTCATGACATCCGCTCAAAGCTTTACCCGATACATCTTCTCGTGTAGCCAAGCCACGATATTGACAGCAGGGTACTGCATAGTACGTACATACGTACTAACCTTGCATACGGCGTGTATCTTCGCATACTTGTTTCAATAGAGAGGCCGGAAATGGACGACATATATCAGTCCTGGGAGATTGAGTCTTTCGAGATAAGGCTGCGACCCAATCCTCCCTTCCCCGCAGTCAATAGCTGGCGGTCAGAATGGTCACCGATCGAAATCGGTCTTTCACATGTGCTGATGTTTCTTTGGCCCTTTCTCGTGTGTATAGCAATATTTGCGCCAGACCGGACAGCAGTACTTTATCGTCACTTGCAGTCGCATTTATGGGGCTATGTGCCTCGTTGATGCCTAACCTTCCGGGACAGCTCGATTGCGAGGTTTTTTATCCCATCCTACGAATGGCCATCCATCTGGTAAGGTCGAGAACGGCGGTAGGACGAAAATTCCACAGCTTCCCCGGTCGCAGCTGAGATCGCAGAGGCCAAACACCTTGCAGTAACATTCTTTCGCCGATGGGCAGTGGACAGGATCCTTCCCAAAGATCACTAAGGAACACGTCAGTACAGGATCTTCCTCAAACAAATTGTCCAAGAAGTTAGGAGGGTCGTGCAAGTGTTCGAGTACCAAGTTGCCCCACTGCATTTTGGGCAGCAAGTAGCCACTTTAGCCATATTCCTGTGCGCTTGTCGCTGTGTGCTGTCACACCAGAATCGACGACACCCCAACATGTTGTCACACAAAAGAAAGAAACCACACATACTGTGCCAACTGTACTCCAGCACTCTCCCTGAGATGCTATCTGCCAGTGTCGTCTCCAATAACCATGTTCTCAGCCTGATGTATTCCTCTTTCTTCTTTTCCCTGATCTTCTCCTTGGTGAGCGCAAACTGCGCGCAACAGCTCACACCGACTCTGTCTGGAACTGGCTTCCCCGGAAACAATTCTTGGAAAGCCTTTTTATAGTCTCCACCTGCATGCACATTCTCCCTATGCTCGCCTTCTTCGTCCAATGGCTTGATCTCTTCGGGGCAACCCATGCTCCATGCGCATCGAAGATTGACATATCCCTCGGATTCGAGGTAAGGGAACTGGAAATGACGCAACACGGGCAATCCATCGTAGTCGGCATCATCGTTGTGCCATTGGTATCGGTTTGGGTGGATGAAGAGCGTGCTATCGGGAAGATTGTCGTAATTATCTATCATGAAGCTTGATGGGCGTCAACAATCGGAGTCAAACCAGAGAAGTAGCCATGCAACGATGGATTTGGAGTCAGACTTACGTCAAATAGACCATGCTCTCTCTCCCCTTGTTCTTGGGAACCTTCAATTTGGCGTCGGCGTCGTCCACCATATAGATGTGTTTCTCCCAGTATGGAAAGTACTCGGAGAGCCACGCCGTATCGTCTTTATGCTGACTGGCAACTACGACAGCTATCCTTTTACCGTTGACTGTCATCTGGTCTTGCTGTTTGCCGTCTTTGAGCGCCGTGTCACGATTGCTCGGGATTGCCTGGAACGTTTCCGTGTCGTCTCGCCAGAGACCGATTCGCGGGTGGAGGAACAGGATGGCGAGGAAACCAGTGACGAGAACAAGGGCACCATTCCGGGCGGTGAAGCGCCTGTTAAGAAGCATATTGAACCGCCGCGTCGCACGCAGAAGTGTCAGGAGGGGTTGTGCTGGACATATGAAGGTTGATACGTTTGTTCAGGTACCAGGTAAGATGGGATGAGCTTCGACCAATCAGAACCCCGGCTACGCCGCAGGTCGTTCCTTGCCTCTAGGGTTAACCGTTAGAATGGGACAACCATATATAGTCAATGTTCACATATGCATTGAAATCCAGTCAGTGTGCATGAATCAATTGTGTATTAGTTGAAGAGAAAGGGGTAGGGCTTTGGAGAAATCAATCTGCCGAAAGCAAAACTTGTACGCTTCTGAGCGAAGAGTACCGGGGTATATCTCCACATCTCGAAAGCAAAACTTGCGCTTCCCATAATCCAGAGCATGCTTCAGTGCATCTTAAAATTAAACCCATTTTTCCACCGACAAGCCCCAGTGCTTTCACCAGAGGCCTAAACAGGCAAGTGTTTTCCGCCGCTGTTCACCATGATCCTACTCACGTGAATCCCGACCAGCTTTCTTGTGAATCCTGGTACCGTCATCGTAATCATCCCATCTCTTCCTCTTGCCGTCACTTGCAGCGAGCCCTTCGTTTCCGATCATGGTCGGAGCAGAGGGGGCTTCTGATGGTGGCGAGGGTGGTCCGGGTGGGGGAGGTGGTGGAGGAGGCATTGAACCCAACCGAAATGATGAACCGACTCCCGGGGGAGGTGGCTGTTGCATGAAATTCATTGGAGGAGATGGATTGTTTCCCGGGGGAGGCCGCTGTGGCATGGGATTCTTTCGCCATGGTGGTTGGCTGGGAGCCTTGGAAAGTGGCGGGATGATGCCACTGCGAGAAATGCTATGTCCCGCAGTTCGCAGACCTTGCCAGAACTCCGCCAATCTGAACCGAGCTAGCTCACCTGTGGTCTTCGAGTCCTCATAGCTGTCATGCCCATCTGCGCCGCCTTGTTGGATGTCCCAATTCAGGTGCCACTTTGCAAGGTTCTTGAGGCTGTTGCGAAAGGGCGGACCGCCGCGAGCAGGGAATAGAATGACAGTGTCAATTATGGTTGGATGAATAAGACGTACAGCGTTCAAGTCATTCTCAATCGCATGTCCGATGAGGGGAGTTTGAGGGGAAATATGAGAGAGCAGGAGATCCCGTGCCAACATTGGCGAGTCCACGATGCGAAGATCATGTTTAACAGGCTTTGGGTTCTCCGGGTCGTACGGTTTAGCATCGAGAAATTGCTGTGCGGTGATGCCAGAAAATCGGGTGTTGAAATCAAGTACGTGCCCTAGTGGACGGACAAGGACATCTACTAAAGGTTTGGGATCAGGCCAGGAGACGACTGTAAGTCGCATGAGCTCGAGACCATAAGTCGTATACGCCATCTCACAATCGAATGAAACTGCAGTGTCCATTCCGACATTCTTGTTCTCTGGCGTCTCAATAAACGGCATGACTAATGCCATGCGTGCTGGAAAGTTGATCTTAAAGACATGCGTATCACCAACTGTGCAGCCAGGAGAGCCTACAGGCTCATTGCAGCAGCGCATTATGTAAGGCTCCAAGGGCTGGCCTGGTTGAGACATTGGCCGAAACTTCTTTCCCCAGTGGTGCCGGCATGTGTCTTTGGTTGTCAGTACGCCATCACGTTGTCGACGCTCAGGAAACACTTGGAAACGAGAGTGGCATCGGTCGCACACCTCCCAATGAAATGCAAGCTCCTGTGCATAGCTCGCCGCCGCAATATCAGCTTCAGTAGGCATCTCGGTGACCACGTCGTAGGCCATTTGTTGTTGCTTGGTTGCCTTTAACTCTCGAAGGACCATGACCTCGTACTCTTTCTTGAGGCCTGAAATCACCCTCTTTACAACGGGCTTGGTTGATGAATTGCCGTTCTCCTGAGCAATAGCTTCGCGTCTCATTTTGACCCACTGCTCCAGTTTCATTTTTTTCAAAGCGAACAAGCGCTGCTTCATAACATTCTCATAGACTGCGCAATGCTCCTTGGCGATTGTCTCCTCCTCGTCCACGGCCAATTTGATCAGTAGGTTTGGGCTCAAATGCAGGACTTGGTATTCTAATTTAACAGCCCTTCTCAGCTTTGCGTTGAAAGGCTCCATGTATTGGTGCAACGCTTTGAGCAAAGTAGTCCTCTTCACATAGTTGACAGGCTCCTTTTTCAGCGGGCGTGGAGCCAAACGTACTTGGACCTCGGCCTCTGAAGCAGCATTTGGCTCGTCACGCGTTGGAGGAGGTGATTTGGGTGATGCGACAGTGCGCGAGGGCTCAACGTCCAGGGGGTTTGGTGATTTAGGCAAAGCAGCAATGTTTTGGGGCGGCTTGTAATAGGGCGAAGCTTGGAAGTCCAACTTCAATCGTGCTGGTTGTTGGTCCTGGTCTGCCGGGGTCGCAGAGGGAGGTGCACGAGTAGTATCATTATCAAAAGAGACGAAGCCCTGGCTAGGCGAGATCTCGTGGTAGAACATGCAACGGGGCAACTTACACTCAGTGCCCTGTGGGCAGAGGGGTCTGCCCGGGAGGGTATCCCCGATCCACATGATGAGGGAACTGCAGCTCGCGCAGTCTCAACGATGTAAACCAGTTGTCCAGGCTCAAGCGAGCATCCTGGTGTTGTCACTTGAATTTGCCTGTTTGAGTGTAGTAAGTGAGGCTCTGCTGCTAGACGGGAAGCAATCAAGCGATTGTCGAAGGCACAGAGACTGGCGGTTGCAGCCCAGTCGTTGCCACTTGATTTCTGTCTGCGCGTAGGGACAAGGTCAAGACGAGGACAGGACAGGGCTGTCTCAGTAAGTAAGTAGTCGGAGGCGGCAACGGGCTTACATAAGCGACCCTATCAAAACAACCAGCACGTGGCCGGGGGCTTGGCGCTGCCGCGACCCTGTCAATCCTCCTTCACCCCGGATCATCTTACGTTGAAAGCAACAGCGAAAACCGTGATCGATTATACATATGTAGGTACAATTTCTTGCGCTATATAGTGAAGGGGAAATGAAGGTATAATGGTGAGCAGCACCAGGAACTGAAGAAGGATCTATCAACATTCGAATTGACTGCATGTGCTGCACCCCTGTCTTGTGATGACGTCGTATGTCTGGACACGTTATCACACACGTGCATCACTCTTCATCTCTGACCACTCGGTGTTTGAGATTTGGAAACATGCAAGAACCACCAGGCAGAGTCGATCAATTCATTGCTGTAAGGAACATCATACAAAGCTTTGCGCCCAGTAGCAAGTCCGTGTTGAGGAATCAGCAGAGGCAGCCTTTGTCCGCTAGACTGCCCTCGGATTCGTTCCCTCGTTCCCCTTACTCCTTGTGTCATCAGTAACGTGCCTGAGCGTGGGGGGGCGAACATCTCCAGAGAAGAACGGACGGAGCACGGACAGATCTGAAGCTTATATATACATATATTCTCACTGCCGTCCGTTACCTTTGACTTCACATTGTTCTGCGATTTTGCTAGACAAGCGCGCAGATGACTGCGCAAATGACGGCTAAGCCAGATCACCTCTGCGTGCTCGTCCACGGGTAAGCCTGCGTAAGACGCGTGCGCCGTCCCTCTCACATGCAACCACTGAAGATTATTTGAAGCTGTGAATACGTACTGACCACAATTGCAGTCTTTGGGGCAGCCCTCATCATCTCAAGTTCCTCGCCGACTCCCTGCGCGACAAGCACCCCGAAGATAAGCTCCACATCCTCGTCGTCAAGCGCAACGCCGGCAGCTTCACCTACGATGGCATCGAGACGGGCGGAGAGCGAGTCGCCAATGAGGTCGAGGAGATGCTGGCAGAGCTGGACCCCAGTGGCCATGAGATCAAGAAGTTGAGCGTTGTAGGATACTCTCTGGGAGGCTTGATAGCCCGCTACGCCATCGGCCTACTCTATTCCAAAGGCCTGTTCGAGCGCATTGAGCCAGTGGTGCGTTCTCTGCATTGCTAATGATATCATCTCACAGGAACAATTTGTTGACATGGCCACAGAACTTTGTCACCTTCGCAACCCCACATCTGGGCGTCCGATCACCGCTACGCGGATATCACAACCACGTCTGGAACGTATTGGGCGCGCGCACGCTCTCCTTCTCAGGGCGTCAACTCTTCATGATTGACGAGTTCAGAGACACAGGCAAACCGCTCCTCTCCGTCCTCGCCGCCGCCGACAGCATCTTCCTCCGCGCCCTCGCCCAATTCAAGCGTCGCAGCTTATACGCAAACGTCGTCAACGACCGCACAGTAGCCTATTACACGGCCGCCTTCTCCCAAACAGACCCATACGTCGACCCCGACGCCCTCAAAATAAACTACCTAGAAGGCTACGAGGACGTCATCATCGACTCCAAACGCCCGCCCTCGCTCAAAGACGCAGAACCCCCGCAAACCTTCCCCCAGCGCGTCCAATCCAGCGCCCGCACAGCGCTCGACCGCGCCCCGCTCATCGCCTTCATGATCGTCTTCATCCCCCTCGGCTCCACGCTCTTCCTGCTCAATTCCGCCGTCCAATCCGTCCGCAGCGGCCAGCGCATTCGCCTCCACGAAGACGGCAAAGCCGGCGCCGACTTCAATACCTACCGCGTCCCCCTCTTCAACGCCATGCGCCGCGAAGTCGAAGACATGTTCGAAAACATGAACAACACCCAACAGCAAGAATACCTCGAAGACGGCGACGCCGAAATCGCCTCCCCGACTCAACCCATTTCCCCACGCACCCGCAAGCCCTCGTTCCTCTCGCAGAAATCCCACCACGGCGCCGATGTCACCGACGTAGAGAAAGCCGCGGCTATCCACCAAACGACGTCGTCGTCTTCGTTGGCGGACGATCCTTCACGCGAGGGCCAGATCGTACAGATGCAGCATTCGTTCCCCGCGCTCGCGCTGACGCCCGACCAGTTCAAGATGATTGAGAATCTGGATAATGTGGGCTTCGACAAGTTTCCGGTCTTCATCCACAAGCATCGGCATTCGCATGCCGCTATTATACGGCGCATGGAGAGGAGGGATTTCAGCGAAGGGTTTGTCGTTGTGAGGCATTGGCTGGATCATTTCGTGCTGTGAAGTTTGCGCAAAAGTCCGCCTCTCCCCGCTCTCCTCCCCCCCCATTCTTTGTATCTTTGTATCCTTTTTTTTTTCTCTTTCTTTTCTCAAATGGGAGTTCTGTTACTAGCGATTTTTTCAATGTTCCCTTTTTATCAATGTCGCCGTGGTTTTTTCCCTTTCCTTTCTTCCTCTCAAGTAGTCCCCCCTCGCATATACGGACACCCAAATGAGGGCGTTTGCTCTTTCAATGGGGCTCATATAGATGTATAGATGGATAGCATCACCCCCCTTTCTTCTCTATCAGGCGTTACTGTAGTTTTTTTTTTCTCGACATGTGCATGGTTTGATAGATGAGGCGTACGTCATCATGTAGCTATACAAAAATCCAGTCATCACGTATCAAAGAAAGGAAAAAAAAATTGTATCATGAGAAAGGAAAGTAGCAATCCGTCAGACGAAATCAACTATATAGATGGATAGATATATATATATTCCACGAGAAAGTTAAAAGAGAGAAAAAGAGGGGGGTGGGGGGGGATATCAAGACATTTCCACAAACATGTACAAAGAAATACCACGTCGACGCTGTGCTTACCCCTTTCCACTTCATCAACACAACAGGATACCATATATATACACTCTCCCGTCCCCAGTCCATTTGCCATCCATATACATAACAACGCACTTTTCGCTAAAACCCACCCATTCCCATCGCATCAAACCCACCACCGGCACCGGCACCCCCTCCAGCCCCACCTGCAAACAGATTCCCACCCGAAAGCGACATCCACCCATCATACGCATCGGCCGTTTCATTCCAGAGATACAAATCGCCCTGCGAGAAGGCGAGTCCCAAATCCATCATATCGTCGGCGGGCGGCGCACCCGCAAACCCGTTATTCGCTTGATTAGAGTTGGTAGAGGAAGAGGGAGGAGGAGGCTGTTGCTGTGTGTTTTGGAGGCCTTGGAAGGGCAAGGAAAGGGGCTGCCAGGACCAAGGGGTGTTTGAGGAAGGGGGGTAGGAGGGGAGGGGGAACTGGGATGAGGGACGTAGGTGTGGCTGTTGTTGCTGGATTGTCGCAGGATCTGGGTCTACAGTTGGGAAGGAAGAGGAGCTTGGAGGGCCGGCAGCAGCGGGGGGAGATGTAGATGTCGATGGTGCTGTTCTGATGGTGCCGATGGCGCCGATGCCGCCATCGGGGTACGATGCTTCCGGGGGTGTGAATTGCGTGGTGGAAGAGGTGGAAGTGTCTGCGGTTGCCGCGCCAGCTGCAGAAGTCTTGTTGCGGTTGCGGCTTAAGTGTTTCCCTTCTCTGCGCCATTGCATGTGTTCGTCGTGCCATTTCTTGATCTTTTCGGTAAGCACGAAGAGCCAGTGGGTAGGGATCTTGCATTTCTGAGGACCAATGGCTTCTTTTGTCATGCTCATCAGGGTGTCGAGGTAGTAGTCGATTTTGAGGGTGGCGGAATCGAGGAATTCGCCCATGCCTTCAGCATCGGTACCAACAGCGTAGTCGGCACGCAACAGTACGACCAGGGAGTAGATGCATCGAGCAAACATGACGCCTGGGATTTTGCGTAGAGTTAAGGCGGGTAGTTCCATTACAGTGTCGAGGACGGCTTGGGCACATGATATACACATGATGGTGGCATTGACCTGGAGGGATGAACGGGCTAAATCATTCTCAGGCTGAGCGCCGTCATCGTCAAGAGCTGGTAAAGTCAAATGTCGGTTACGGAATTCCGGAGCATCGTAGCCTATGGTAAGTCAGCTTGAGGTGTTGCAATACGCTCTCCAGATAGAGTAGGGTATAGTATGCGCAGGGTCATGATGGGCTATCAGATGATGTTAACTTACGGCCGCCATCCATCGCGAATTCCTATGCATCCAAAATTAGCGCTTCCTATCAAAGTCATCGATGAGCCTTAGAGCTACTACATACCCACATTGACAATACGTTCTGATGGTATTCCATGATCAAAATCGCTATACGCTGATAAGCTTCTGAATGCGTAAGCAGAGAAGGAAACAAACTCACGCGTCCAAACATCTTCCGGTACCGATTTTTTCCAATCCTGCATCCTCCTCTCAAATATTTTCAGGATAGTCTGCAGGCGGATTTCAGAGAGCGTGAAACTGGTGCTGGCATCATCGAATCCAAACGCAACGTACGCTTCGTCGGCAATGCGCTGCAATCGCAACCAGGCAACAGTCTTCCTATCTTCGAAGCTAGGGGACTTGGAGAGTATATGTAAGCATTCCTCCATCCAAGAGTTGTATATCAGAATGTAAGGCCTTCGAAATCGTATGCTGAACCCGGCAGTCATAATGTACAAGGATAATGTGGTGCGGCAATTCTCCAGGAGCTCGCCAGGAGAAGATATCTTCTGGTATGATTTGACGACCCGTTTAGGTAGCTGCTCGTGTGTTCGCGGTTTGGTTGTCAAGCCAATCTCCAAGGCCATCGAGGCTGCGATGCTTGCGTACGAGAAGATTTGCAATCGGGCATGGTTACTAGGGGGCGTCCAGTAAGAGATGGTGACGAAAAACGCCTGAACCCATTGTAGCCCTTTTTCGCCCATGATGAATACATTTCTAGCGTAATAATATATAATTTCTTCGTGTAGTTTGTTGGAAAGAGCCGATCCTTTGACATGCGACGCAGCCGCCATGACGGCGTGGAAAAGCGCAGGTTTCTTAGTTCGGAGATCTTGCACGGTCCACTCTTTGTCAACAACGACGGAGGGAAATTGTTGGTTGAGTTCGTCTCGGTAGATGTTGAGGAGTTCCTCTGCCAGCTCGATCGTGATGACGCCGCGGTCAAGGATATCCTTTTCTGTTGATACCATGAGATCATCCTGTGGTGCTGTAGCAGGATTTGGCATACGCATTGGCAACGCCGTCGGGAATGACGCAAAATCTTGAGGGCTACTTCTGCGTTCTTGCGCGGATGGCAAGCGTGTTTTGTCCTCCGGGTCCATTGTGGCTTCATCTTCGTCCATCGAACTGTCGCTTGGCTCCTCTTCGATGGGTGACTTTGAGGAACTCGGTCTCAGGAGTGAGGTCAACTGCTTAACTTCTCTCTCAAGCTCTGCCACCCGAACATCGGTCCTTTTCCTTTGCCGTCTCTTTGCTGGTGCTGCAAAAATGCATAGCCGCCCTGCTCTTGTACAGCGCTGGCATTGATTCGAGGTTGAATTAGGGTTTGGCAGACATCGAACTTTGGACACTCTGCATGCTTCACAAGCCCTGTTCAATGGATGTTCAGGCGTTTTCTTTGGAGCCGGCTCGGTCGCATCCGCCGACCCAGAAGACATAGTTTCGTATATGCAATGTGACCGGAGCTAAGAAGACAATATCGTGGTTTGGTGGTACAGTGGATCCAAGGGTTGAGTCGTAGAATTCCTCTACTAAGCAGAACCACAAAATAAAGACGATCGCAGCCCCGCTGGTTGAAAGCAGTTGTGCAATGCGAACTGTCAATATAGCATGTTTAGCTCCGAATCGTAAAATCCGTTAACGCCAATTGTGAAGGGCGCCCCACGTCCGGTTTCGAAGTCTGTGGAACACGGCGAGACGCGTCGGTTAGAAGTCTTCAAAGGTTTCCACCTCGATTCCGAGATACTTGAAAAACTGCTAGCGGTTGTAGGGGTGACAGACGGTACAGCTGAGGATTGCGTCCATGGGGTGGAAGCCTTATGCGCTCGGGCCATCAGGAACGCTAGCTCGAAGAGGGTTAGGGAAGCTACATGTCTATAGTAAGAATGATTAACGGAGAGTATCGACACTATAAGGAAGCTGTTCTGGGTGAATGAAATCTGAAAAACATAGTGATTCATGGATTCGGTATTGAGCCAGCGATATTTCGAAGCACATTCAAATGTTGTGATTGAATTGCGTAGCAAACAAGATGTCCACTCCTCAACTCGGCCCCCATCGTGGTCCATTTGACTTGCAACATAGCGATGGAATGCGAGTGGAGTGCTATGGAGGGGCGACAGTTCAGTCTACTGATCAGACTGGTCACCATCTCAATCAAGCCATCTCCCAGGAATTTCACTTACTAGTACATCTGCTTCAGAAAAGCAGCACCCAAGGAACCGCCTAGGGGCTATTCATTTGATACTCCTCACCAATTCCCTCAGATCACCACCCTCAACCCACTTCTCCTCGCCGCCACCACCAACTCCCAGTCCGCCTCCCGACCCACCTCCACTCACGCCCCAACCCTCGCCGACCTCGCCGACTACTCGTGCTGGCTGCCCGCCTACCACTGATCCTGAAGCTATTATCATGTTCGCAGGAATGACAGTATTTGGTAGAATCTTGACGTTTTCTTTAATGATGGCGAAGGGCTGGATGACCACGTTGGCGCCAATATGAACATGCGATGATATAGAGATGGCGGATATCGTGCAATTTGGACCTTTTGTTCGCTTTGCGTCAGTACTGCTAATACGCGGAGGAGAGACGTGATATTTCAACATATGCGTGCACGAGGAAACACGTGCATAACAAGAGATGATCCAGGCGAAAGCAAGCATACCGACAAAAACATTGTCACTGATCTTGATAGGATAGTAATGCGTCTGACCCCGACTGATTTTGCAAGGCGGCTTGATCACGCTACCAGTAGAAATGACGGTACATCTTCCGATACTGATGCTCGTGGGGGTGACGTCTTTACCCGAGCTCGATGGCACGGGTCGGGTTGAGTGCAAGTCTCCTCTGAGAACTACGTCGGCCATGATCACGGTTCGACCGCCAAGCATGATGTTCGCAGTCCCTGTGATGGCGCTACGGCGGGAGACTTTGTTACCGGAGTCCTGTTTAGTCTGGTCAACAATCTGGAATATTGGGGGTGAGAGTTTGGGATCGCGATTGAAATCGAGATAGACATGCACATTCCGTCCCAGAAATATAGTGGTGCAAAGATTGATTTGAATGTGGAAACGATATAGTCCAGAGGTGCCGACGTTGAAGTTGGGGACCGTACCTACCGTCTCAATGTACTCGCCTTTCGGCGCCGGTCGCCTAGCAGCCGGGCGTGACGACATATTTGACGCTCCGTCTCACACAATAGTCCCCAGAATTTCCTCGGTCGGTTGATACAATTTCCGAAAGTTTATGTTGGTGCGCTGTGTAGAATGGAAGATGCGGTCTCTCTGTGAAGGTTGGTGTTTGATAGGCCTTAGCGCTCGGTCCATCGCCATGATTGGTTCAAATTTGCTTCACACGGCCACCAAGCAGCAATCAACATGAACATTGAGCAAGACATCCAGACATTTTGCTCATAAAGGCTTCCCTCAAAGGAAGCACACATGTATTTGTTCACTCTGTACACACGTGTACATAGCAACATTATGGGTTCCTAGTGGATCGCACAAGAAATAGCAGGAATTAACATATAGCACAAAAAGTGGACGAGAACGTATTTACATAAACGTCCAGCCAATATAATATCAACAACACGAGGTTAGATCAGGGCGGAAGACATGACCAAAGACATGTATGTCCTCAAAGAATCGAATTTCGCATTTCTCCCAATCGAAGGAAGGCATGGCAGATCTCCTCGCCATACCACCAACCCCCAACATTATAAAAGTCATTTTTATCCCTAATTTCACAATCCCAAGAAACCCCATGAATGCGCCGGATTCAAAGAAGATGCCGAAGCAATGGCAGATGGTAAAAGCAACCCCTCCCCCCCTTCCGATCTCATACATATGTAACCGCAGGTCCTTGACCATCGCCTGACAAGGGATTCGTCAAGTGCTACCTCAAAGACTAGCAAAAGCAAGAAAAGTATAAGACCAAGAGAATTTGTGAAAAATACGAGTACAGTGAGTATGGAAAATATGATCGTGCAAGTAGCCAATACAAGACGACCAACAGCATGTACATAAGCTTTTGTTTTCGTACCTGCAAGACAATTCTCGGGAAGGTGACCTGACGATCCCTACAAAACTGATAAGAATAAAGGCATCATCATGTAATTCGTCAGTCATTCTCCACGTGATTGAGTGTTGAGATCGTGAGCATAAAACGTCATCAGAAAGGAGGGGTATCGACCGTCAGAGCCAGCTGTATGTGGAGAATCCAAATGTTGGGCTTGGTTTCTAGGGTAGTTCGATCTTTCATGAGGCATTAATGGAAGCTTCGGCGCGCTGGTTGATATGGTTGGCATGAGCTTCGAGGGCGCGGGCCATGACACGAGTGACTATCATCAGTATTAGTATGCGTAACTCAAGAACACGCAACGGACAATGACTAACCGGGCCAGACAGCAGCTTTTTCCAGCATGTATGCTGTAACCATAAGAAGCTTTGTTCCATAACCACAATGGGCGAGATTCGAAAGTCCACTGAACATTGGCATGTTGTGCGAGGTAAGATCATATGCCAACTTCATATCGGCAGTGTGCAGTATATCAGCCAATTTCCGCAACAACTTGACGTCTTCTTCTTCCAGGACCATGATAGCTGGCACTGCAGTAAGGTCGATTTCGTCTTTGCCGAGCACCCCAAGGAATCGGCCAACACGATCTTGGACAGTAGCCACCCATTCGGCAAGAATCTGGGCGCAATCGAAGGTGCACATCGCCGAAGAGTTAGGCAGCTCCCGAGCTGTGAACTCAGCATAGGTCGCACCTAGCTTGTCCGCCATGGATAGTGAATCTGCAGCGTAGAATGCGGCTTTTCGTAAATGTTTCTCACGTTTAGAAGACTGGCTGGACTGGACAGTGCCACTGCCGGTTTGTCCTGGGCTCGGTTCCCCAACGGCATCGATATCTTGGGACGCAAGAGCACCAGGCGAACTGCTCATCCTAGTGGGTTTGACATCCATATTATCCAACGATCGTTCGGGTGTGCTTTCTTGTCCCACCACATCGACTCCTCTGGCTAATTCGGCAGACATCCCGTCAAAGTCTCGTTGCCATAGGAGTTCCTTTGAGCGAGTCAAATTCACGAAAAGTCTAACGTAAGCAAGATCAAGTAAAGGTATGCAGTCGGCAGACAATGGGCCGAATGGGCTCGGCCGTTCAATACTGTGGTTCGGGTTTGCTCTCCACGCAGATTGCCACGCTTTGAGTGCCGGTTCCACTTGCGCATGCATGGCCTCTGTCTCATGGGTTTTCCATAAGCGGCCGGTATGCCGTTGCCGTGTCTCCCAAATATAGACATGCAACGCGTTGATTAAGACATAGCAACCAAACGTGCTTGGCCGTATTTCACTTGCCAGTGTATCAGCCATCGTTACGTCGCCATTGAAGGTCTGCTGGTAGGTGCCCTGGGAGCGTCCAGCTTGTTGTCGCGCACTAGCTTCCAACAGATACGTCATGGCGGCGTTGAACGAGAGTCCTTTGGACTGTGCAAACATTGGACCACCCATAGCAGCCCATGCCTGAGGGTTGTCGGCCGACCATAAGTCTTCCTCGCAGGGAAGATCCAGGCGGATTTCCGAGTTGAGGATTCTCGGCGCATGTGCATAAGCGGAGACGAGCAAACTAGACATTGCGAACACCGCGAAGTAGGTCCTCTTGCGCTCTTCGACCTTTTTCCAGTTTATCCACTGTGCGTATTCTTCGGAGCCATCGTTTTGTGAGCCCTTTTGCGAAAAGTCCAAAGGTAGAGAGCCGTCATCCATGTCCATTTCGTAACCATTTGCACTGGGATTTGAATCATTTGGAGAGCCTTGGCTACCTCCTAGGTCCGCGGCGGGCCGGTCCAGCCCAGCAGCTTTGGCGAGACTAACGAGAGCTGCACAGTGAGTACTGGCGACTTCGGCGGCTTGCCTATCACCGCAATTGTGACCGAAAATGAGATTCAAGGCCATTGCTTGCACCAACCATAGCGGAGGTTTATTGACAGAATCATTGGAAGGATTCGACCCGTTGACGGCAGCGGACAAACCGGCTCGACGGCGTTCATCGAGGTAATACAGGATCATCTTTTTCGCTGCTTCAAAGAGCTCCTTGGCAATATTATGCTCGAATTCGTATAGAGCACCGATAGCTGCCATGGCTAGTATTAGGCAGCCTCCACCGCCCACCATACCTTCATGATTGGGATTCCCGGGACCGCGGAGGTGATATGTATATGCGGGAGTGTCGAATGATAGAGTGGGTATATGTAGGAATGGGAGATGGGGATGGAAATACAGTATATACGCGTTTACAAAGCGCTGAAGGTCGATGGTGCTAGGCAGAGACGCCGGCTGCGCAAGTTTGCCGGCAGAAGTAGACAAAGGTGAGCTGATCTGCGGCTGAGAAAACTTACGCTGGGGCTGGCCGTAACCTAGTGCTTGCGACAGGTTGAACAGCAAGGCCTGCCTCGTTGCGTCTGTGAGCGTATCAGTCGACACAGAAGTGACGGAGCTATGTCTCGCACTGCCATTCATTGAAGAGGATGAAATACTGCCGGTATCAGAACTGAATGCCACTGGAGGTTGGAAGTACTGATTTGGCATACCCGGTATGCCCGCAGCAGGGCTCATGGTAGATAGGGCAGGGGGCGAGGAGATGTAAAAATCAGCAGGCGCACCTTGCTCTGCCAGATCCTTCGGGGACAAGTTGTTCATCATGAGCTCCGGGAAGACGGGAGCCATGGCATCCAGAGAATACGGCGTCGTATTCATGTTATTCGTGTGTGTAGCGAGCGGATTGTGCCACATGGCGGCGGACGTGGACTGACCAGATCCATCTACCATTGCTTCGCTAAAACCGCTTTGACTAGCGGTACTGATGGCTGAAGGCGAAGAACCGTCCACGGCCACGTCGTTGGCACCGGAAAACATGAGTGGATTATCCAAACCGGCACTCCATGTAAAGTCATCTTCCTCAATGGCTGTGTTGCTCGCGAAAGGGTTGCCAAATGTGGCAAAGGGAGACTGGGCGCTGTGCATTCCACCGTTGAAGTGGAGCTGATTGGGGTTTATTGTGGAGCTTGCAGTAGAACCAAAGAACTTTTCCAGCTCGAAGTCGTCGGAGCCAAATCCCGGGATCGGTGCTGTCCGCAATCCACCGCCCATGCCCATACCAAGGTGAGTGTCCAATTTCGGTAAGCCGTGGTGGGAGTGGTGCTGGCCGATTGATGTTGACATGCCACGATAGTCAAAAGCGGATGGTCCCGCAAATCCCGATAAGCTGGCATGGTGTGAGTGGCCCGGGCCGCCTCTCCCCACAGGTGCATTGTGCTGTGCAAGCAGGTTGTTGAGGGCAGTAGGATCAATATGGCTGATGGTGTTGGCACGCGGTCTCATCATTGACGATATGCCAGTGGCGCCTGGGCCGCCGATGCTGCTCGCAACCGAGTTTTTGCGAACCCTCCCTGTACTACTGGGTGGGAGACCGGTGGTGCTTTCCCTGCGACCTGAACGTGGGCGAGATGATGTGGCGCCAGATTGGTGGAGCTTCTGTTGGTGTCTGAGCAGCAAATCGCGACGAGCAAAGCATCGAGTGCACTGCGGGCATTCGAACGGCTTCTCCTTTGTGTGTGACCTCTCATGTCGCTTCAAATGTTCCAACCGGGCAAAGGAGCGAGTACATGTTCCACAGATGTGCGGCCGTGGTTTGTCCGTCTTTGGTGGAGGGAACTGGGGAGCATCTGCTGGCGGTGCTTGAGTCGGTTGAGTCGGAGCTGTAAAAAGGAAATGTCAGTCGTCGGCCATAACACGCATCAAGTTGAAGAAGAGCGGTTGTGCTTGAAAGCAGCGGGGAAGGATAGAGAATAAGGGCTTCTGACCGTTGGAGGTGGTCGCTGGTGGACCCGAGCGAGTGTTTAAATCGCCCGATGAAGAAGCCATGGAGGCTGGATCGGCAGCAGCAGCTACTGTCATGTTGAAGGGAGAAGGAAAAGAAGGGTTGGTGTGACGTCCAACCGTTTTGCCCCGCAACGGGATCCAGCGTGCAGCAGATGGTGGTGCTACTACCCAGACAGGAACTGGGTATCTGGCGGGCAGGTGAAGCTCGCGATGCTAGGCGAGCGAGGGCCAAAGGTAAATAAAGAACGACCAAAGACAAGGGACGCTGCCACCGAAGACACACATACGTCAGCAGGGTCTTTGAGGCGAGGGCTGGAACAAGAGAATATACCTCGTACGCACACGCGTAGTATGATGTTGCGCCGATGGTATATGGCAGGCCGAGTTTATACAGACCTGAAGTTGGCCGATGGTTGAGTGAGCAGTGGTACCTAGCTGGGTGGGCGGGCAGCGACGGTGTTTGGACGGGTGTGTGTGTGTCGGATGCAGCAAACCGTCGCACCTTGAGCGCCTTGGCCTCTGGACGGAATTACAAGGTCAATGGGGGCCCCAAAGAGAAGATCTGAGGCGAGGAAACCGGGGAGGGTCAGGGTAGGCAGGAATTGACAGCCGTTGAGTGGCGAGTGGGCGTGGTAAGGTGCTGCAGGTTGGGTTGGAGCAGGAGCAGCAGCAGCAGAAGAGTACAAGCCGAGCACAGCAGACCAAGTGGTTGGCGGCGACGGATGGGCTAGAAAAGAGAGAAAAAAGCGGCGTCGTCGTGCTGCCCTGGTACGCAGACGGCGAGCGAGATGGCTACCACGGGTGGTTCCGCAGGCTCCAGTGGAGTAGAGTGAGTAGCTCGGTACAGTACAGTACAGTGCAGTACAGTACAGTAGTGGGGTGGAGGGGAGAGGTTGCTGGGGCGCGCAGCGGCGTTGACGACAGCAAGCAAGCAAGCAGCAGTGCGTGCGGGCGGGCGGGCTTGTGTGCTGGTTACGTCTGCGACGGCGCAATTCGCAGCACTTGTACAAGAAGATGAGGAGCTGGCAGCAAAGGCCAATGAGACGGGTCAATCGAAGGGAGAAGCAGATGTCTACGGGCGTGGAACAAGAAGCAAGAAGAGCAAGCAATGCAATGAGCAATGGGAGCAACGGAGAGCTGGTAGGCAAGCTCCCTCTCCCAACGCCAGCGATTGGTCGGAGCTACCACAGAATTGGCCGGGCCGACACTAAGAATCGAGCCGACGAGAGGAATGCAGTGTAAAGCAAAGTAGGCAGTGGGTGGATAGTATGTGGGTAGGTAGGTAGGTTAATGGTAGACAAGCCGCCTTGCGGATGGCGGAGGAGACACACAGGCAGCACACGGGGAGAGAGAGAGAAGAGAGGATAAACAGGCAGGGCGAGCACGAGCACGCGCTGTGACGATATGGAGGGAAGAGGGTGAGGGCGAGGAAGGCGAGGGTCAAAGTCGCCGGGAACTCGGAGGCGTTCGCACAGGGCAGAGGGGGCAGTAAGTAGAGTAGAGTAGAGTAGCGTAGAGTAGACGAATATAGGAGCGGCTAGGTAGGAGGTGGTTAGCTGGTACAGTGGGTAGATGGGTGCTGTTTAGTACGGTACATGTGTGCTCGGCCGTGCACTCCGGGGACAAGCCCGTTGCGAAGCAGATCCCCCAGGGCGGTAGCTGTCTGCTCGTAATCCGTTGCATTTTTTCTTTCTTCTCGGCCATGGCATGGCCCAGCCAGGGTTCAAACGATACGATTGATGATTTGATACGATGCGACATGGCACGGCACAGCAGCGTTGCTCGCTCCAGGCGTTATTGCTGCTGCTGCTGCTGCACACACAGGTCCACCCATACAGTGCCTGCCTACTTACTCACATGTACATACACAGCTAGGTATGTAGATAAATCGCCAACTGGGCTTGAAGGAGTGCAGACAGACCGACCAGCCATGACGGCGGCAGCTCTCATTGGACTCGCTCCCACCCCACAACACGACACAGCAGCATGGAGCATACACAGCTACATGAGTGAATGAGGATAGGTTTTGTCGCTCGACTGTGTCCTGGGCTCAGTGCGAGAGGACGTTGCGCAGGCGGATGCTGCAGCAGGGACTCCCCTTGTCGGCCGGGGCAGCACTCCATACAGTAGCGCCATCCGCCCAGCCAAAGGGTCCCGCCGTCGTCACTCAATTGTATTCGAAAGGATAGGATACGCGGTCGCTGACCAGGCCCTCGCCCAGGGCCAAACCGGCCGCACGCTTTTGCTGATCGCGATCAGCGCCGCTCAACTCAACCCATTGTCGCGGTCTCGCGCCAGCCGTGGCTGGATTGACGCTGCAAAGCCGACGCGCCATCATGGCGGCGAAACGGCCTTGGCCTCTGGGGAAGCCAGAAAAGAAAAAAAGAATTTCAAAAGGGAAAGGAAGAAAAAAACGACCCCAACAAAATACCCAGACCGTAATCATGCCCGCCTCGGCCCAGCGTAACCACTTTGTTGGCTAGCCCGCTTGCATTTGCCATGGTTTGCCTGAGCGGCGCAACGACGACGTATGGTCTGTATGCATGCAGCGATATGTCGATGTACTGTATGTATGAATGTACTGTGTGTATTATTCACCACGCAATCTGCCCATTTGTCGCCTTGCACTGCTGGTGCTGGTAAATTGGCCTGGCCTGGGCTCGACCTGCCCGTCTGGCTGCTTGTCCGTCCGTCGTGTCCGACAGGCACCACTTGCCGTCCTTTTTCGCATCCATCCCCATTCATTAACGAGCCATGCAGGCAATCAATCGCCCGCCGCCGCCGCCGTGTCGCTCGTCCCTGTCCCTGAGCTGGCTGCCGCCTGCTGGGAGAGTCGATGGTGGTGCTGCGGATGCTCAGAGTGGCCTGCTGCACCTCTCCCCTGGTCACGTTCCTTGCTCTGTCCAAACAAGCGTGCATGAGCATCGGAAACAGCCCACGTTCATGATTGCAGCTCACGTCACATCTTGCAGGAGGCGCAAAGAGTCTCATCAGCGTCAGTCCGTGCCGGGCCTCGCAGACGAACCGGGGCCGTCGTTGTTTATATGTGCGATGTCTGTGTACAGTATTGTTCCGTCAAGCATTCATCCCGGATCGGACTGGACGTTTCAATGCGTCACACGGGCCAACTCCTAAATGTATGTACACAGCACCAACACTCAGGTCAGTCTGTCGATCGATCATGAAGCTGCTGTATTGGTTTCTGGAATCGATACTCTGTAGCGGATGGACATGACGGAGGCGCATTGCTATATGTAAGGATGCACGGTGGAAGACGGCTGTGTATGGTTTGTTGATTGTGGGTTATGCTGTGTGAACAGGGGGGGCTACCCTCCCTCCAACAGTGTGTAACGCATGACCAGCGTGACCTGAATGCTAGACTGTGGGGTAATGGCGCATTATTGGCTCGCTTGCAGGGGGGTCTTTCCTTTGCCGTGGCGTGGCTGAATCGACTGACTGGCAGTCTGCGCTGCACAAACTCTGCCTGGCCTGGCGCTCTCTTGTTCATCCTCGTCGCCCGTGTGAAGTGATGCATCATCCATCGCCTGTACAAGAACATCAATGATCAATCTCACTAGAGGGAACGGCCAGCTCGGTCAAGCCGTCCGCTCTTCAGCGCTCGAGGCTCTGCGACGGGCGCACCGCTACCAGCGCAGGACATGGATGCACCAGGACAGCAGCAGTCGCTGGCATCCACCCGGAGCTCCGCCGTCAACGGGTACAGCTTGTAGTGGGTTTCGGGCTGCACATGACCCTTTCGCAGCCATCCAGAGTCTTGTAAGCGCAGCAGGCCAGGCCCCTGACAGCCGCCATCTAGGCATAGCCTGCTGTGCTGCTGCAGCCATACACCTCCCACCTCGTCGCCGTTCGGGAGCGAACCACTATTACGTAGGCCCGCACCACGCCGACCTCTGTCTCCTGTGCCCGCCCGCCTCGCTGTCCGCTCCGTCTGTGTGGTTGGCCGCGATAGAAAAGTATCCAGCCTCGACGTCGCAGATGTATCATTCATTGACCGTGCATTGGGATCCCTCTTCTACCTATGTACATACCTGTGTATGGATTCAGTCACTGCACGCAGCTTTGCATCGCTGCGTCATCTTTTGCTCCCACCACCCATCATCCCACGGCATGTCCTTTAGTAGGGTCAGCAGTGGCCCGTCCATGTCTGCTAAACAAGTGATATGTGCTACCCAGCCTGTAGCAGCGTCCAAACACCTCGGGAGTAGTACGCACCAATGGCATGCTAATGACCCCGACGATCTTTCACGTCTGTAGAATCGCATCCATCTTGCTATCCCGGGGTTTGGTGCTCGATGTCACTTCGCTTGCTACGGGCATTTTTTCTGATCAGCGCGTTGTTCTCCCGTTGATGAGCAACCGATCCTGCACACCTCATCAATCAGGCGACTTCCAACAATAGCTCACACCCAGCACGTACCAACGCTTATCATTTTGTCGTCGGCAGCCGGAAAGGAAAGGAAGGAAGGAAGGCAGCAAGAAGAAAAGAAAGAAGAAAAAAAAATGCCTCAAGAGAGGAAGCATAGGAAAGCAATCCTCTTGGTGTTCAATGTGATACCGAGCCATCAGTCAACTCCAGATGTCTTGACCGATGGGCACTTGACTCGGACCAATCGCAAGCCGTTGGACTGATACTTTATTCTACGATTCTTCGTGGGATCCATGTCCCGAACGGTCATTCGAAAAATGTTCGACTGTTGTTCGATTGACGTCGACGGCTGACACGTCTGACCCCGATGCTCCTGCCTCCCTACACAGTCCCAAAGAAAAAAGTAGATGGATCACGGGCTTGTTTTCTAGCATGCATATTTGCATGTAAGGCGACATGCACGACAAGAGTAGGTAGATCGGTTGCCACACAACACGTCACTCTCTACAGGTCGCTGCAATGGCTCCAGTCGACGTTTGCACACGCTACTCCGAGTGCAGAAGGTCCGCGTAGTGATTTGACCGCGGAGCCCACTGCCTGGCTTGCTTGGGACGCATTGGTTCAACTGCCTCTTATATGGAATTCCCCCATGGATGCTCGGGCGCATTCGATAGCTGGCACCGCGCATGTATCTTGGCATCCAAAGCGGAAACGATGCGTGACAATCGACTTCTGGAGTCGTGGGAAGTATGTAGTCTAACATGCAAACATGCAGCAGCGCTGATGACGAGCATGCTTGGGGTGCTGCACCTGCGCTTGGCCCGAACGGGTATTCCGACCCTTGCTCTTCCACCTCGCCTGCTCCATCTGATGGCTTGCACATATTGCTTGCCCATTCTCTCGGAGGGCCTATCACGTCGGCAGTGTCGTCGACGACGTTCACGTCCCAGGGCGGACCCGTTCAGATGCGGTCGACTGTGCATCCTCGGCCTTTGCTCCTGCTCTTCGGGCCAAGATTGATGCGAGCCTACACAAACACCATGCCCACTATGTCATCAGCGCTCCAAGTGGCACCACCAGCGCGCGCAGATCAAGGGTCGTGGCCATGAGAGCAGGACCCTGCGACAGTAGTCGGGCAGGGGGCGTTGCAGTCTTTGAAGGCCCATTCAGAGACGTCGAGGCAAAACTTCGCTGCTCGACCTGGTGCGCCCTGTTCCGTTCACAGGCCGGGGAAATTCATTCATGGGAGCAGGCTGCCTGTCTGTCCTGCACAACCAATGCTGCCGTTGGCAAATCAAACCCACGCCGCAATCTATCTGGGCCATCCAGACCCGCGCTTGCCTATTGGGTCCGTCTACACCCAAACTGCACACCCAGGTTTTGCCCTCGCTCGACTCTACCATCTACAGCCTATACTATATCTTATGCACTCTTGCGGCTTTTCTTCTCTTCCCCAAACCCCATTTTTCCCTTTCATCTAATATTAAAGTGCTTGACCTTCTCAAACAGGCAATGGAGCAACACGGCCACAGAACGTCTGTTGAACAGCCCACATCTCGTGCTGCTCCAACATCTGTAGCAATATCGCTAAACCTCATACACCGTTTGCTAATTTGTCGTATTACTTACAACATCACCAACTCGCTCGTCGGAATTGCACCAACCATACAACGCATTGCAACACCGCCTTCTCGTATCGCACTCACCATCGATATATCCTAAATTTCCATGGCCATTTGTGCCAAGCTTAGGACCACACCATACCCGGCACCATTCCGCTGCCCATAGGGCCAAAACACGAAGACCGCGGTACATTTCCACGCCACACGTCCACCAACACACTGCTAATCGGTAGCTTGCACAACCATCCAATCGTCGGCCCGTCGTCGGTAGCCTTGCTCCCTCTAGCAAGCGGGTACTGCAGCCTGACCTATGGGATCTGCTGACCTCTTACACTGTGTGCGGTATAGCACAGCGCCATCCACCTTTTTCGCGGCTGGATAAGTGGAACATCACCCATCGTCATTATATACTACGTACCTCACCTGAAGGGGATCACTGCTCTAAGAACCAGACCATGATCAACTTGGGGAATTTCAAAAGCCATCACTCGGAAAAGAGATGCTGACTGTCATTTTATTTCCCCATTAAGTTTCATCTTCCGCGCTAGGAAATACCCCCAACCTCGCACCAGAGAAAGAAACCTAGCAAAAAGTAGTTTTTTCTAGAACTCTCAACAAACAACAAGAGCAACGCCACTCGCACACTTCTCACAGCCTAAACTACTCACTAACCAAACCACGCTGTCCTATTCCCGTTCAGCGTCCCTGCATAAAGCGTCGATATCCGCCGACGATCCACATTTATGTAAATGTATTCCCCCACACATCCAAGTGCTCTCCACAGCGTCTCCACGCTACAAAACCCTTAGCTTAGGGACTGACTTGGCTTTGTTCAACAATCCAAGCAATTCGTCCCCATGACTCTCTTTTTCTCTTGACGATCCTTCTCGATTTGGCTCTCCTGCGACATTTGATGCTGCCGAAGTTTTTCCCTTAGTAGTTTGGGTGAGAAGAAATCTAAAGATAGATCAGGAAACGATTAATCAGGAGGAGGAAGGGCATTGCTATTTGGGGAGTGTATTGTGCTTGGAATCAGCTGGGCAGGTATGCTATCCCAATGTGGCATTTTCGATTCTATCCAGTGCTTTCACGACCAAAAACAACATTGTGTTCTATTTATCTCGATGTCGATGTCGAATGAAATTTACGAGTACACGACTCGGTATTAACGCTATTTATAATGCATCCATCTACTCTTCCACGCAACATGAACACAGTTGCCTTATTTTATATTCGAGGTTTTATAGTCTGCTTGAATTGATATATGTTGTTCTTTCTTTCCTGCTCTCGTATATGGCATACGTTCGAACTGGTCCTAAACACTTGCAACAGATGTGTAGATTTTGGAATACAGGTCGTTTGGTTGGACAGAGAGTGATTTCTGGAAGCTGACCATCTTTTACATAGACATTGATCTTTATTATTATTCCTTCTTGTCTGTCAAGGCTCACTAGGGGATCAAGTTTTGTCTTCGGTGTAATATTATGAAAATCTCATGCAGGAGTTTTGGGTGATACCAAAACATCATGTTATCCTCCGCAAAAGCACGCCTGAGCATCCCCCTCCACCAAAAGAAAATGAAAATAATACACAGGGAAATATGAGCACAGCTATTTCTATAACTGGTAAAGCTCTGAGAAAAGTATATTCATTCATTCTGAGTTGGAGTTCGGGTGATCCTACACACAGCGATGGATTACAACGATAAATAGACCAAAAAGACGAGCGATAACCTTGAGAAAAATCAAGCGAAGATTGCCTTCACAAAAGCGAGAAAAGTATATATTCCTCTCCAATCTACATAGTGCATGTCAAGTAAAAATCATCGTCCGTGCACACCCCTCCTGCCATTGATCAATTGATCCCGAGCACAAGAAAACACGTGACCGCGCGCGACGCGTCCCCACCCAACCAACGCGTCCAACGCACCTTTCTTCCTTTTCTCAACCACACCATCGACACAATTCCCTGCACCCGCTTGCCCACCCATTCCATCCCACCCGCTCTACACGCTATACGAACCGAAGAGAAGAAGTAAAAGAAAAGAGAAGAAAAGATGGAGTACCCTCAAACCCCGCGGATCCTCGCCACCCACCTCCAGCAGTTCCAGCACAAGACGGTGCGCATGGTCGGCAAAGTGGTTGAGCTGCGCGGCGAGACGGCGGTGATTGATGCGGGTGGGAATGTGGATGTTATTCTGAACAGGGTATGTTCTTTCTCTCTTTTCTTGGGGGGGAAAGAAGGGTTTTTCGTGACGTTGAGATGGGATGGGGGGAGTGGGGGATACACAAATGCTACAACAAGCAGAAGAGAAAGAAGAAATAAAGTAGTCGCTAACAACACCCTCGCTTTGTGGGGGGAATAGGACGCCCATCTAGCACTCAACCACGCCGTCGAAATCATTGGAAAAGTCGATGGCAATCTCGCGGTCAAGGTCCTTGCTGCTACGGATATGGGGACGAATATCGGTATGTCTATCCGCTCCGCTCCCCTCTGCCCTCCCCTTTTTTCCCCCTCTTCTTCTTCTCTTCCTCGTTCCTTGGCATCTTTCGTTGAGCATGTGGGACTAATTCGATCCTTGGGGGGATGATGGGGCAGATTTCAAAGCCATCACCGCCGTCGTCAACGCGACACATAGATATAAGGAGATTTTCTACGACTGAGGAGGGGGAGCTGAGTTTGAGGGATTGTTCGAGGAAGGGGATGGCATGGCTGGGGATGCGCAGCGAGCGGACGAACCGAGAAAACGAACGCGGGTACATATATAATTTGGAGAACTGGGGAAAGAGGGGTGACTACGTCTGAGAGGAATAGCACTGGCGCGAGGGTCCTCTTGTCAGGGTAGTTCTGTCCCGGTATATGACATATTGGGGGAGGGAGAAATAATCGTGAGGGGGTTTGATGAGATCATGCCATGAATGAAATCCGATTAAAAACAGAATGGAATTGCTTGTACCCCCGGCCGATGGTATGTTTATTTTTTCTTTCCCATCCGAAATCAAGAATCGAGAATTGAAAAAACTAATAGGTATCTGCTACGCTGATCGCTGTTACGCGCGAGAATGTTCCTGGGTATTCGTGTCCCCGTCTCTCCGAGTAAAACTACCAAAAAAGAAAAAGAAAAGAAAAAAAAAAACACTCAAAGAATATCAGGCTTGAAAAACTCCTCGACTGAACCTCTACTCGTACTGTTTATAAAAACCCCAAACAAAAGCACAAAAACACCCATGCCTGGAATTCGCTCGAGCGTCTAGTTCCTCCTACCATGGCAATCAAAGCTTACTCCTAACCCCTTCAAGACGGAACTTGACGTCCTTCAACTGTTTGCCCGTAGGCTTCCAGTCCTCAAACATACCTAGTAACTCCTCAACCTCCTTGCCCAACTCTTTCTTCACGAAATCCTCCTCAAGCAACCCTCTCATTGCCCACGGCAAGAAGAATGGATTCACGCCCGCTCCGCTACCCTCACTGTAATCCCTCACTCTCAATTTATACAAATCGGAGGGGTCAGCTTTAGCGCCAGGGACGGGGATATTGATGCCGGCGAAGGAGGCAGCGACGTTTTGGCGTGCCAACGAAGTAGGCGGGATGGGGAGGGATGTAGTTTCGAGGGCGTGTTGGACGGCGAGGAGATATACGCTTGGGTCTTCGTAAACACGAGAGTGTCCTTCGCCGCCATAGAGCGAGCCTGCGAGTGCGGGGCTGAGTTCGCGGATCAAACCGTGATCGGGGAGGCCGAGGTTGCGCATCTTGAGGGTGAAGCCCACGAGGTGTGTTACAAAATCTGGGGCCTGAGTGCGGCCGTCGACGAAAACTGCACGGTAGATGTAAGGGTGTGACAGGGTGGAGAATGTGGAGGACTTTTGTTTATGTTAGACTTTGAACTTGAAACACGAGTATAAGGGAGATAATACCTCGAGTGGGACCAGCTGGTCGTCGATACTGCCCACGTAGAGAATCCGCACACCGAAACGGAGGACTTCATCGAGTGCAGCCAGGTACATTTGACTGACTAAGCTTTTGGGGTTGCCGAACTCGAAGAGCTCAGCAGCAGTGGGGCCAAAGTATTTTGTCTTGTATTCGACGAAAGGACCCATGTTAACGCCTGCCATTGCGCATATACCGATCCTGGTGGCATTCACACAACCAAACTGTATCAATTTGGCTACGAGCATGATAGCCACTGGCACACCTTGCGAGTGACATGCTACCAGAATAAAGTCGGCTTGCTTGATGTGTTCGATCCAGTTGAGCAACAATTTCCATAATGTCTTCACTCTTTCGGCGATAAAACCCTCGCCTTCTAGTGCAATCTGTTCTATCTCTGGTTCGTAGCCTCGCTGCTCGCACCATTCCTTGATAGAAGCCGCGGCAGCATTCGAAAAACGTATCGACGTTCCTTTTGGTTGACCAATCACTTTCTGGAATATGGGGGCTGGGAAAAAGCCGTGAACTCCAATGGCTACAGCCTTCTTGATGCGTGGAGGAGCTGGGTTGATGTGTAAATGTGGCATTACAGGCTCACCACCAAGGAAATACTGTCTTATCTGTTTCCAGAAAGACGGCTGCTGTACCATACGGTAGGTACTGGAAAATTCAGGCAGTACAAGACTAGGAGGTTCATCCTTGGCTTTCGCGGCCTGTTTTGAGGCGGCCTGAGGCTCTGGGGCTGTATCGGGTCGCGTCGGCGACTGCGCAGGAGAGGTTTTTGACGGCGTCCCAGTTTTACTGGAACTGGGTGTCTCTTTGACAGTCTTCGCTCTCGGGCGCCCTCGTAGTGATCGAAACGAGCGCTTCGTGAGTGACTCTTGCGCTACGTTTGGAGGGTCCTCTTTTGGTGTTTCCTTTGGTGGTTCCTCTTGCTCATTGAATTGCGCAGGCTCAGGATGAGATTGTGAAGGTGTATCGGAGACCGCCACCTCGCCAACGTGCTTCTGTGATGATTCTTCAGTTCCCTTGGTCTCTTCTTTCGGTTTGTCCTTGAACCAGAAGGCCCACCCCGAGGACTTGGTGGTTTGGGTTGTGCTAGGATCGTTGGCGACAGGCTCTTGTGCAGTCTCTGGATCGGTCTTTTGTTGCTGTTCTAGTGTTGCTTGGTCCTCCCCGTCCGCCTCGGCTGGCGTCTCTGATTGTGGTGCAGAATTCTCACCAGGTGCGGTGGACGCTGGCTCCGGAGTAGGCTGTACATTCTGCGTATTGCTCCATAACCAAAACCACGAAGAAGCTGACGTGTTCTTCGGTATCTCGCCTGTCTGCTGTGGTGCATCCTGCATATCTGTGTCCTTGAGAGGAGCTTGCTCAGTCGAAGCATCCTTCATCTCGACATCCTTGGTTCCTGTAGGGGCCGTTGGTAGCGTGCCGTTCCCGAGCTCTTTGGAAGCAGCGTCAGCTTCTTCTGAAGGAGTGACACCTGGTAAAGGTGTTGTTTGTGCCTCTTTGTCCCCTTCTGAAGGCTCCGGGTATCCATCCGGTCGCGACCACCAACTGCGCCAGCCCCAAGTAGTAGTATCGGGTGCCGCTGTTTTGGGTGGCTCGGGCGGTAGCGGGGGCTCGTTCACGGTGGGTGTTGGCTGCGGTGTTGACTCCACCGGCTGATCGACGGCACCATCTGATGAGACGTTGAGTTTGGTCATCGAGGCGGGAATAGCATCCCCTTTACTGGATTTGCGCTTGGTGAGGAATTTGGCAGGACTCTGGGATTTGGAGTCGTCGCTGTCCTCGGCTGGAAGTTGTGAGGCTGCTCCACCACTCACACTGACACCGATGCTATCTTTTGCCGTTTTGACTGTGGCAGATGCTTTCGATCGCCAACTTCCACCTCCTAGCCAGTTGCGGCTGGGTTTTCGATTTAATGTGCGGTCGTTAGCCTGCGTACCTGCGAGGCTACCGGACGAGGTATTCGAATGTTGGAGCAGTGACTGGGCGGCGGGGGTGTTCGGGAGTGCCTGGCTGCCCGCTGCAGGTGTGCTGGCATCGACGTGGGTGGTGTGCGCGTCGTCTGCCGGGTTCGGCTTTGACTTCTTGCGCGGGTTCATTGTGGCAGCATTCGAAGTAGCCGGTGTAAGCAGCCTGTGCGAGGAGTGGGAGGGTCAGTGCCAACGTCAATGTCAACAATCATGAGAGGGAAACCCAGGTCACCGAGCACGTGAAGGGTACACGTTCAGCGCATCCTAGGGTACATGTAGGGCATTACATGTAACCACACTTTCTACTTACACACACCGTCGAAAAGTGTCTCAGAATGCCTCTCACAGGCTTTCAATACAGACTAGACACAAACCAAAGCTTTAATAGAGTGTTGGCAGTGAAGCCTGGCGCACCAAACCCTATAATGTCTTCACGTCTGGCGGTCCAACACTGAAGCGCATGACGCAACGCAGTTGGTTTGGGTTGGTCTGACCGCCAGAGGCTCCGCCGGTCTCCACCCAAAAGGCTCTTAGCGCGCGCCACACCTTCACCAGCCACTGCGACCCACTAAGATTTTTCTTGTGAGATTCTCCCGCTTGCGCTTTTGTGAGCCGCATTTTCCTTCATCACACTCTTTTCCTCCCGACCGAGTCTAAACCGCCACCATGGCGATCCAAAAGAAGCACGGAAAAGGTCGTCTCGACAAATGGTACAAGCTTGCCAAAGAAAAGGGCTACCGCGCTCGTGCCGCTTTCAAATTGATCCAGCTCAACAAGAAATACAACTTTTTGGAAAAGAGCAAGGTCCTTGTGGATCTTTGCGCTGCGCCGGGAGTAAGCTCTTCTTTCCTTCTCTAGCATATTTGTGCTGACAATCTATAGTCATGGTGTCAAGTCGCTGCCGAAGTCATGCCCGCGAACTCTTTGATCATTGGTGTGGATCTGTCTCCCATCAAGCCGATTCCTAGATGTATCACTTTCCAGAGCGATATCACCACGGACAAATGCCGAGCGACTATCCGCCAGCATCTCAAGACCTGGAAGGCCGACACTTTCCTTCACGATGGTGCCCCCAACGTTGGTACCGCTTGGGTTCAGGATGCTTTCACACAGGCCGAGCTGGTATTGCAATCCATGAAGCTGGCCACGGAGTTCTTGGTCGAAGGTGGAACATTCGTGACGAAAGTCTTTCGCTCCAAGGATTACAATGCCTTGATCTGGGTCTTCAACCAGCTTTTCACAAAGGTCGAGGCCACCAAGCCGCCTTCCTCCCGTAATGTCAGTGCCGAAATTTTCGTCGTCTGCCGAGGCTTCAAGGCCCCGAAGCACATTGATCCGCGCTTTCTCGATCCCCGCACCGTTTTCCAAGAACTCGCAGATCCTATCCCCAATAACGAGGCCAAGGTGTTCAAGCCTGAGGTCAAGAAGCGGAAGAGGGAGGGTTACGAGGAGGACGACTGGACGCAGTTCAAGGAAGCTCCCGTAAGCGAATTCATCAACACAACCGATCCCATCGCGATGCTCGGAGGACATAACAAGCTGAGTTTCGCCCAACCGCCCAATGGTGATGTCGCTATCGCCACTATCGACAAGCTGCCAGAAACAACAACCGAAGTAAGAAACTGCTGTGCCGATCTCAAAGTCCTCGGTCGTGCCGATTTCAAAAGATTGCTGCGGTGGCGTTTAAAAGTGCGGGATATCTTTGGCTTCGCGACTAAGAAACAGGCAAAGGAAAAGGAAGCTGCTGAAGCAGCAGCAGAAGAGGTCGCGGAGGTGGAAGATATGGATGAGGAAATGCAGATCCAGGCAGAGATGGAACGCTTGAAAGAGCAAGATTCCAAGAAGAAGAAGAAAGCTCGCCGCCAGGAGAACGAACGCAAGCAGAAGGAGATTGTGCGCATGCAGATGAACATGACTACTCCTTTTGAGATTGGTTTGGAACAAAACGGGCCTCAGGGCGAAGACTCCATGTTCGGTTTGAAACAGGTCGACAAAGCTGGCGCTCTTTCCAAGGTTGCTCGCGGAAAGATGGCAACAGTCGTGGAGAAAGAGAAGGTGGAAGAGTCGGAGGACGAGGAAGAGACCGACGATGAGGAAGATAAACTTGAGCGAGAACTGGACTCCATGTACAGTGACTACGTGGAACAAAAATCCGCCCGCGACGCCAAATATCGTGCGAAGCGCGCAAGAAAGGAGGACGAAGATGGCGAATGGCACGGTTTTTCAGACTCAAATAAGGAGGAAAGCAGCGATGAAGAGCTAGTAGAGGATCAAGATAGTGACTGGAGTGACGAAGACGAGGAGGCACCGAAGTCACTCATTACCGATCTCGAACGGAACGGCACGACAAAGAATGGTCTCACTACGCGCGCCGCAAGATTCTTCGAGCAAGACATTTTCAAGGGTATAGATGGGTTAGAGGATCTAGAGGACGAACCAGAGGATGAGGACAGCGGTATCGATGTCGAAGAAGCTACACAGCAGAAGCCTTCTGCTTTGCAACCAGAGCCCACTACCGTAGTCAAGAAGACGAAGGTTATAGCACCACCCCAGGACGACGAAGAATCTTCTGAGGAAGAGCAAGACGAAAACGCCATTGAGGAGGTTGCTCGTGACGAATCTCAATGGGAACAAGATAACACGCCAATGCGTAACGGCCGCCCAGACGTTGACATTATCACTGCTGAAGCTATGACCCTAGCTCACCAACTTGCTACCGGCAAAAAGACCAAGACCGATCTTCTTGATGACAGCTTCAACCGATATTCCCTTCGCGATACTGAGGGTATGCCTGACTGGTTCCTCGACGATGAGAACAGGCACTCTAAGCTTCAGAGGCCCACTACTGCCGCTGCTGCTGCCGCCATCAAGGAGAAGATGCGCGCTCTTAACGCTCGTCCCATCAAGAAGGTGCGAGAGGCAAAGGCGCGGAAGAAGTTCAAGGCAGCTCAGCGAATGGAGAAGTTGAAGAAGAAGAGTGCGATGTTGGCGGACGAGGAAGGCCTGACGGAGAAGGAGAAGGCGCAGAGTATTGCACGATTAATGAGTCGCGCGGCGAAGAAGAAGCCCAAGCAGAAGGTGTCTGTCGTTGTGGCGAAGGGTTTCAACAAGGGCAAAGGCAGACCCAAGGGCACCAAGGGTAAATACAAGATGGTGGATGCAAGGTTGAAGAAGGATGTTAGGGCTGAAAAGAGGCTGGCGAAGAAGAAGAAATGAGCGAACCTTGGTGTAAATTTACTGCTGGATACGTATCGATACACTTTCACGGCATACATTGGTATATTAGATCCGATTCTCAAATACTCGGTGCTGCTTCTGGCGGCCTCATTCAAATTGTACCAAGCTTTTTCGATCTTACCGGCTTTTCACCACTGGCACAGCACATCAGGTGCCATCAGCAATGACATTCCCTGTCTCACACTTACAATCAGGTAGCAGTCCACTTTGGAAATTCGCGCAACCTGTGAACATATATATGGGAGTGAGGATGGACGGTCTCGACTCTGATGTAGCGCGCGAACAGTGCTGCTATTTGCAGTATTCCACCAACCTTTAGTCAAACAGCCTACCCCACAGGGAAAAATCTAGCATTCTCAATCGTTCCATGATACCAACATGGCGACGCAGTTCAGAAAATGACATTGCGAGAGAGATGGTCAGACAAGTTACGATCAAGCGACGAGACATCTACATTTCCATACGAGGTGAGCGGGCCAGACCATCTCTCCTTGGCAGAACATACATTCCATTACATTGCTTCTTTATCCACTGCGTGTCCCGCAATAATACTGGTGTTCTTTATATCGTGGAAAGTGCTCGCGTTGTCTACATGTAATGTTGGAGAGGAGAGAGAGGAGAAAAGCACTCCCCACTTCCATATGTCCAGGATACTCGAATTTGATAGTGCGGTCGCAGCAGACTGCGGGTGGACCGAATGGGGGTGTAAAGTATGTATGTGTTGGATAGTAGGAGCCTTGATCACGTGATTGGCTGATACCCACCTGGGCATTCACATACTGATCATTCACATATCAGCCATTAGCGTAGCTTATTCATCACAGCGCCTATATTATCTCGGGCGCTGCTCGTACGTAAATCAATACACACACCACTCTTGCTCTCATATTCTTAGAGTATACAGCTCTCATGGAGTACGTCTTACGTCTCTCTCTGCCCGCTTTCCTCCTACTCCTCTTCCTCCTCTCTCCCCGTTTCTTCTTCCTCCTCTTCCTCTCCCTCTCCCTCTTCTTCTACTTTCTCAGTGTCTTCCTCCGTTTGGTTTTCTAGTTCTTCTCCTTATCTATTCATCCCCTCCAATTCTTTCTTATCAACAATATGTTCTTCCTACATTGGATGTAGCATCTGATGGGGAGAAAGCTACGAACCTTCACAATCCTCTCGCCTCACCTCGGCCAATCCAGTTATCAACTATGACGACCGCTTGCTAGATGCCGCAGATCTGGCGCGGTACACGGGTTTGGTAAATGGGGCTCCCGGGGATGATCAAACGGAAGGGTTGGAACGACTGTTGGAAAGGGTCGAAGTGTTGGTGATTGTGGGGAGATGCTTTGCTCGAAGACTTTGGATTTTGGATCATTTGGAAAAACGGGAAGGGTGTGTTTGTGGTTTGCTTCGGAGTACTTGCTTTGGTTATCTTGGGATATCTGTTTTTGAAGGCTGGGGTGGGAATGGGTCGTAGAAGTGCGAATGCATATTTCGCACTTTTGTGGTGATTGTCATTCTTGTATCCTACCCACCTGTTCAGATTGCTTCATCTAACAATAAGGCTAGTTCAATGGTGTTTATTACTGACATGGAAAACACGAAAGAAGCCATAGGGTACTGTGTTCGTACCGTCAGTGACATGGCATGGCTATTAGGAGCCGAGTACACATATTAGCGAGAGAATAGCATGCGAAGCAGTGCCAATTTAATAGGAAGGAGATGCATGAATACGAGAAGCAGAAGGATCTCAAACAAAGTCTTTACCGATCGATGTGAGGAATGGTCAATCACATGACCAGCAGAAGCATCAGGCATACCATTACTCGCATACTCACACATCGTCTGCTGGTGATAGTGTAGCAATGCCTACGATCTGCAGAGCCACAGATGAGACAACGGCGAAAGGTTGTTGCGTACCGTATCGCGTTCTCCTCTGGCGCCAGGAACATGCCGAGGCTTCCAAGCATTTTACCCCTGTTGCATCCGCAAGGTAAGCCGAGCAGCCGATTCTTAGCCCCCTTGATCTGATTGCAATGCTCCTCTGTCTCTGCTCGATCTTTGCTGATTCCGATCTAGCACGCATCATGCGTGGAGATGATTGTCCCTACAGTTAATACGTTATCTAACGCTAAGGCCGGACGAGGAAGGTCAACGGTGCGCATCAAGCTTTGCCCCGAGGCCGTTTACGCGAAGCTTGCCTTTCACTGGTGTTGGCAAATTGCTTAGCCAGGTTGCTTGAGCAATATACCCTCACTCCAACATTGCCATGATATGTCGCGCGACGTATATCCTTGCTGCAATAGGCAGGAGATACCATCAGAGGATGCAGATTCCGTAAACCACGCCACCGGCACCCGCCTAAACAAGCAGCAGCGAGGGAGTCATGGATATTGCCTTGACGTCGTACTTACTCAAGTACATATAAATACTATGACGCCCAGTCGTGACGGGACTTGTGCCGCTGTCCTTCTCCCGTCATCTTCCTGGTCAACGCAACCAATTCCACCCAAGCAATGGCTCCTCTTCTTGCTCTCCTCGTGAGCTCTCTGCTGGCTGCTGGAAGTCTGGCCCAGCCTTTTGAGAAGCTTCGCAATGTCCCGGAAGGTTCGTCACTGGCACCCATGCTTTTCACCTATGGTGCATGATTAACAAGATACCAACAGGGTGGAAGTTCCTCAACCAGGCTGCTGATAGCCAGACGCTGAAGCTCCAGATTGCGCTTCAGCAAGGCGATGCCGCCGGTTTCGAACAAGCCGTCATGGACATGTCCACACCCAGCAACCCCAAGTATGGCCTTCATTTCAAGGACCATGACGAAGTCAAGCGAATGCTGCTTCCCAGCCAGGAGACCATCTCTTCCGTCTCTGCTTGGCTACGGGCCGCCGGTATCCAAGACTACGAGGAAGCTGCCGACTGGGTGTCTTTCAAGACGGATGTCGGTACCGCCAACAAGCTGTTGGACACCAAGTTTGCTTGGTACATCAGTAACGAGAAGAAACCTCGCAAGGCACTTCGCACACTCGAATACTCCGTTCCCGAGGATGTTGCGCAACACATCAACTTGGTCCAACCGACCACACGCTTCGCCAACGTCCGCGCCAACCATGATACCTACGACGAGATTGAAAGGTTCGACATGTCCATTGCTGCTGCCAACGTCACCGTAAACTGCGATCTCGGTATCACCCCTGCGTGTCTGCAGAAGCTTTACAACATTGACTACAAGGCCGATGCCAACAGTGGTAGCAAAGTCGCCTTCGCTAGTTACCTCGAGGAGTATGCTCGTCACGCCGACTTGGCTCTGTTCGAGCGGGACGTGTACCCTGAGGCTGCTGGCCTTGATTTCAAGGTCATCCAGTACAACAACGGCGGTGATGGCCAGAACTCCACCGACGACAGTGGTGAGGCCAATCTCGACGTGCAATACATCGTCGGTACCAGCGCTCCACTCCCCGTCACTGAGTTCAGTGTTGGAGGTCGCGGACCCTGGGTAGCAGACCTCGATCAGCCCAACGAGTCTGACAGTGCCAATGAGCCCTATCTTGAGTTTCTTCAGAGCGTTCTTAAGCTGGACCAAGAGGAACTTCCTCAAGTCATCTCCACCTCGTACGGCGAGAACGAGCAGAGCGTGCCCAAGTCCTATGCTCTCTCTGTCTGCAATCTCTTCGCGCAGCTCAGCTCCCGTGGTGTATCCATCATCTTCTCCTCTGGTGACTCCGGAACCGGTAGCGCTTGCCAATCCAATGACGGCAAGAACACCACCAAATTCCAGCCACAGTACCCTGCATCGTGCCCTTGGGTAACTTCGGTCGGCTCCACCCGCTACCTGAACGAAACTGCAACTTTCTTCTCTTCTGGCGGCTTTTCCGACTACTGGGAGCGACCTTCGTGGCAAGAATCCGCCGTCTCGAGCTACCTCGAACAGACTGGCCCACAGCAATTCAAATCCTTTTTCAACGCCTCTGGCCGTGGCTTCCCTGACGTTGCAGCTCAAGGTTTTGGTTTCAGAGTGTACGACAAGGGTGTCCTGAAGTCCTACCAAGGAACTTCTGCATCCGCGCCTGCATTCGCGGGTATCGTTGCTCTGCTCAACGATGCAAGACTTCGCGCCGGTAAACCCTCTCTCGGATTTTTGAACCCGCTTCTGTACTCTAACCCTGCCGCCCTGAACGACATTGTCCTCGGTGGAAGCACGGGATGTGATGGTAACGCTAGGTTCCACGGCAAGCCCAATGGGAGCCCTGTGATCCCTTTTGCCAGCTGGAATGCGACGGCTGGATGGGACCCTGTAACTGGCTTGGGTACCCCCAATTTCCCAAAGCTATTGAAGGCTGCGCTTCCGGATAGATACCGGGCATAGAGAAACCCGACTGTGTGAGTGGGTTCTCTGTGGCAAGCCCCGTTTCAATGTATATACTTAAAAGTCAGTATTAGTAGCTTATCGAAGGGTGCTGTCATTCTTCAATTCACTCTCCTGTTTCCTCCAAGCAACTCAAGAGCCCATTTGCGCATGCCGTTATTTGGTTGTGAAGAACTTGAGAAGTGACCAGGCTGTCATTGATCTGTCGTTCTCAATCGTTTTACGACACGCTGATCTGAACAAGGACTTTAACCAACGCTTACATGAAATCCCTCACCCCAACGATCCTGAAATCACCATAAACAACCCAAGCATCCACAAACTCCTCCCCACTCCCATCCGCTTTCCTCAACCTCCCAGCCTCAGGAATTCTCCCAACATTCCAAAACCCAAGTCGTTCCCAAAGCTTGACACTCGCCTCGTTATTCACATAGACGAGATTGAACACGCTCCCGCGGTATCCACTCGCCGGACCATAAAAGCAAAACGAGCGCGCGGCGATCTGCCCGAGTCCTTGACCGCGCAACGAAGGCGGTACTATGAACCCCGCGTTGCAGAGATGCGAGCTGCGACCCGGGTAGTTTGGTTTGATGTAGTACGCGAATGCGTATGCCGTCGGTTCAAGCTCGACTACAAAATCATGGTCATCTGGAACCTTGATGTGCGAGAACGTTATATTGGTGAAGGTGTTTCTTGGCAACGAGATGCCTGTTTCGGGGGGAATGTTATCTTCCGGAATAATGGAAGGAGAGTAGAGTTCCATCGATTGCTCCTTTGAGAGGTGGAATCCTAGAATCACATCGTGGCTTTGGAAGTATGCTGCGTAGCCTGCTTCGTCGAGGATTTCTTCCTGAGGGTACGTTTGTCCGGCTTCTAGTTCTCTGATTTGCGGGTATGTTGGCTCAGCACACATTACGCATATCTTTTGTGAAAAGACCGCGTCGAGGGGGTTTTTGGGGGGCTTTTGTATTATTTTATAGTAAGGGTAGTGTTGAGTTTGCTCTTACTCGTTGAAGTCATTGCGGAGGATCTGCGATAATCGCTCGTCTATGGCATCCCCGGCTGCGAAGTCAACGGCGACTGTCAAGATCGCGGCTTTTGAGTCGGAGACGTTGGGCCCAAGGACTGGGTAGAGTCGTGGTGGAAGAATGCCGCGGGGCTTGTTCACGCTACGCACTTTGCCGTAGGCTGACATGACGTTTTGATACCAGGAATTGATGATTTGCAATTTTTTAATTTATGGAATTGCGGCTCTGATGTTATCTGGACTGGTACTGGCATCTATCTCCTTATATTGGGTGCAGCTGCCTCGGTCTTGGAACCCCCGCGCCGATATCGCCAGATCGCCACTCTAGGATTCCTTCAAACCCCACATGCGCTCATAGCACTCCTGGTCTATGATATAACGTAGGCTAATCGCTTGTACCGTGTATCCAATTTCTCATTGAGAACACCAACGTTACCCACATATCAGCCGCGACTATGAGTACTGTTTGTACCAAGATCACAAGAGCCCTTTCCTTCCAGGTGTCCAAGCTTGGATACCCCAACATCTTGATCAAATCGTCCACCAAACCCAAGTAAGCTGCCCGCCAAAGAGTTCTCTGAAACGCCATGGAGATATTCCAGATCCATCCCAAAGACGGCGAGACTAGGATAGATAGAACGATGGCCACGATAGTCCCGAGTGCGGCTGGGAAGAATTCTGACCGGCGCTGCGGCTCATCAAAATTACGAGTGGGAATGATGTACTCGCGCAGTAGGCCATCAAGAATCAAATCAGGGATGTAGTGACGCAGGAAGGACCCATCGTGGAACAGGATCCCAGATGTGAGCAATGCTACTGCGCGGTAGCGCCAGTCTCGGCGTGTGAATGGAATCCTTTGCTCTGGTGTCAAAGGCGGTCGATTGGATGGATAGATGAGGGTTGCGACCAGATGAGTTGGAACGATGCTACTGATAACAATCGCTTGTTGCTTGAAGGGGTTGATTGGAGATATAAGAAGCACGAGAATCGTAATGACGGGGACGTAGAGGTGAGCGAATGACTGCCATGCGGGTGGAGGCGCGGCTGTTGCGATCGGGCGGAAATCCATGCTTACGCGGAAACGAGGTGTCTACTGTGAGGTTTCCTGGCTGACGGGGTTGCGACTGAGGTTTGGTGGATCAACTGAGCAGATGAAGTTGACATTCACTTGTGCTGAGACATCGTGGCTAAGCGCGCCCAATCATATGCCGTCACAGTCATCCTTAATCGGAGAAGGAGAGGACGATGAGCGCACCGACTTGAAATAGCGATGAGAGGCCAAACATGACATTATAGTACTTAGCACGTGAATAAAGAGTAGCAAGTTGTCATGAGACTTGACATTCGGACGACAAGAGTCTGGGTGCGACTGCACGTTTGTCTTGACTTGTATTTTGTAACCTTATCAGATGACGGAGGGCAAACTCTTCCAACAGGAGACAGATGCGCCATGCAGTTTGGGTTACGTCACTGGAAACTTGCGAAGGTGTACCAGACCTAGATTCAGATATTGATCCGGCTGGCGTTCGAGAGTGTTAGTGGACCGTGCGACTAGGAATTCTTGATAAATGTGGTACCTGGGTCTGAGGAGTATGCTCTGTTGCGCAAGTGAATTCGAGCTTCGTTGCGATCAATGGACCACTCGCGAACATCAAGGCTTGAATGTCAGGAGCGTCATGAGGATACAATGCTGATGACGTCGATTCAGCTGGATTGCAAGAAAATTGGAGCGCAAGAAACTCGATAATAAGAGGAACATGATAGTATTGCAGGATATCTATATAAATTGGCTGAGTGGCGGACCTACAAACGACCATGCATGTGAGACCATGCCGATGAGAATGACGAGAAACTGTTTCTCCAACCAGGCCGTGGCCTCACCCCCCAACTGACCAAGAAGTAATCGCCAAGCATTTGTAAAGACTGCTCCACAATCCCATTGTTGACTGGAAGGATCCGCGCTTGCGCCACGCTGATGTGGAGAGTTGTCCAGTATCGAAAGCCGATTAAAGGGTGATGGGAACGCACTGGACGTTGATGTTGAGGTTGCCCTGATCAAGTTAGAAAGGAGCAAAGACCGGGAGTCGTCGAAACATACATCTTGGTTGACAGGGCAGCAAGTAGCAATGTTGCCGCCAGAGCAGGCATTGCCGAGGGGAATAGCAACTGATGAATTGTTAGAAAAGGAGTGACAAAGCCGGGAACAGCTGAGATGAAAGCATACTGATGGGGATCACAAGGCAGTTGGCAGCAAGGAGAGTGCCATCGCCGTTGTTGCAGCAAGAGAGCTTGGATCCGTTACCGCACTGGACAGCAGCCTGTTCGACGGAGAGTTCACCAGTCTTCTCTCCAGTAGGAGTGGCAGAGACGGCGGCGGCGAGCGCGAAGATGGCGATGATCTTGGAGAACATGTTGAAGCGAGGGATTTGGTTACTTTGAAAGTAAGTGAGTGAGTGGATGAGATGTTGGTTGATGATTGAAGAGATGGGATGATGAGCTGATGATCGTTTTGGGTGGTTGTAGAGGAGGTTTATATACCCAGATCTTACTCTAAGAGCTTCTACCTACTTTGGTCAATCCACTGCATCAGGAGCGGTGAGTTCTGGACAACACTCATTCTGGAAGAAGTCTCAAACTCTGTTGGGAGAAGTTGTATATCGCACGGTCACCATGCATGGGTCTAGAGAACCTACTCCTTAGCATCACTAGCACAAGCTTTTGTAGTAATTCACAGAAAATTGTGCTCTCATTTCTTTATGCTTCAGGAAGTCCCTGTAGCTTCCAAGATGTATTGTCATTGGTTACATCCAGCCATTAAGGTTCTTGAAGTTGGGGTAGTTCGCAGTGAGCGTCCCGAAACACCTTGAAGTGAGCATAGTGGGGCTCTACGTAGAGACAGTGGGCACTAGTTATTCAAGATTACTATCCACAGTCTCTAGATACTATGTGGACTGATTTCCCGATGGAACTTGATTGCTCCTACGAAGTGGTCGCCATGTTGCCGGGGAGTGGATAAACCTTTGAACCTTACGAAGACCCTGAGGTGCATTTTGTCGGCACAAGCTGTCTTAATGAAGTTCCAACCTACTCTTCTGTTAACTGTGATTACCTTCAGAATATGTACTGTCAAGACTGTGCTTCTTGGCCGCTGCGGCCCACTTAGTTGGGGCGCAGGAGCTCACTGACCCCATGTGTCGGGATTCTAGTCGCAGAGAAGAATGGACACCCAGCAAGATAACCGGACATAACCTGGAAGCCAACTTTCCAGCCATCTTTGGACTCAATCACAGCGCGAAAGTTCGAATCGTGACCTCATTCATCATACATGCATGGAGTCTCTCGCATACACGAGACGTTACCCAGTGAGGCTGCATATACGAGAGTTATGCAAAACAATACCGGTTTGTCTAGTATGAACAGCGAATGAAATATTCACCGCAGACTCGGCTTCCAGTACATGTACAAGAATAACGGTACGAATTAGTATACAACGTGCGCCAGTACCAGCGGCTCCCCAAAACCTTAATCGATCTTCCTCTCGAACATCCCAGGCGCGGAACATTAGAAACGCAACATCTATTTCCCCTTTGATATGAAATCCTTCTGTATTGCATTCAGGACGAATTACGAAAAAAAAAATTCGCAGCTTATTCATCTCGTCCAACATTACCTGCGACGCAGGAAAGAGCGATCGGCCTCCATTGACCGGGGCATTCACCCGGAAGTATCCACTTTCTATTCAACCTAGTGCACTTGCACCAACAAAATGGTTGTGAAGAAATCGGTGTGTCTCTGACTGCCACACTGTGCAGGAACTCAAAGACTCCGGGGACCAATTCTTTACCTACTAACTTTCGGTTGTGTTCATTCCGTGGTAATTCTTACCATCAATCATGTCAGACTTGCCTTCTTGGTAACCAACCCCCGCTACCTTGGATGAAGTACCAGAGGTTAGTATGGAATCATTCTGAGCCGTACTAAATTTATCGTTATACTTCCACAGTCGAAATCTCGATCGCATGATTAGTAGGCTGTCTCGCGAGATCGAAGCTGCGGTCATTTCTTATCGAAGGATGAGCAACAGCGCCATAATCTACGCCATGTGATGAGCTCCAGAATACTGGATAAATCTTGCTTTAGTAAATTTCGTTTATTTGTCGGTGAGACTGAACCTGTTTTACATCAGCGTAGAGGCATTGCCTCGAGGGGTCAAGAATCAGGGGACCTGCATATTCATGATTCATGATTCATGGTTCATGATTGACCACCGCCCACTTTTTGTCACCTCAGTTTACAATCTTTTTGGGTGCAGGGAACATTCCAAATTCCAATGAAAACAAAAACTCCATGATTAATGAATCAAGGGGCTCTGTCTGTAATAGATATAGTATTAGCAGGGTTATTTATGGAAAGGTCTCGAATTATAGTCTCAATTTTGGTTTCTATGTAGACAGAGCACAAAAGCTGAGTAGGCATAGTGGTTGAATGATTAGTGGTGAGGCTCAACCGCAGACGAAACAGTTTCAGCTCCGTCACTTCGTGATCAGACTAGCCTATTCTTCGAACTTGTTTGAATGGCCATCCCTTTTCTGCAGAATTACACTGGAAACGTCAAACTGAGATGCTTTCTCCGGATAGACAATATGAATCAGAGTGTTACATCTTGCTTGATGACAAGACACACGACCATAGGACAAGAAAGCAGAGCGTCCAGTCTGTGATAAGCTCAGTGACAAATTAGGAATCATTTGTAGCGATACATAATTCATTAATTGGTGTTTGATGAAGACAGAGATTGCTTATGTGCCGCTGTTTCATTTGGATCTCCAGAAAAGAATATATCGTGAAAATGGTAAGTGGTAAGCTGACAGACCCGCAGTTACAGTAATGGCATGATCACGTAATTCCTCAAGCAGAAAGGGGTCAGATATGTTTCGACAGATTACCCTTTACAATAGTTTTTCCTCTTGTAGCGCTTGATGTTTCTTTGTTCGTGTGTATGCATCGCGTTCGCCTATATGAGAAAGAGTGATATCTCACGATCGCTTCTTGGACCCCACTCGACTTACTGCCCAGCACTACTTGATAGTATATAACTAGATATTCATCCCTCAAATAAATATGCTAAGTTCATTCATTATTCGAAATCGAAATATACTCTAAAGCCTTGAAACCGCTATTCCAAACCTCCTCGCACCGAACCCGCAAATCCAATCAGCCATGAAACTCAGCATCGTCGCAGCCATCCTCACTCTCGCCCTAGGTGTACAAGGTCAGGAATGCAGGAGTGGGCAGATGAAATGTGATGGCGGCACTCATTTTCGCATTTGCGTGAATGGTAAATGGGGTGTAAGCAGACATACCCACCTAGAATGGTTGCAGACTTGACTTTGCTCACTGTTGTTACAGCCAAGACAGCCACTGGCTCCGGGAACGAGCTGTGGTGTTGCGCCTAACCCGTCGTCTGCATAAGGCATGGATTGCGTTGAGGATACTCGATATTGGGAGGGCCTGGAGTCAAAGGGGCAATACGTAGTAGGATCTACTAGGTTTTTGTGGTTTCTTGCGATAGAGAAAGTGAAGGTGGTATTCACGAGGTGGAACGGGGAAGGATAGTCTTCTATTAATCATACCATCTGATGAAACTCGTTCTTCGCACACATGAAAGGTTCTGGAGCATTCCCTTGAAAAGGGATCCCTCTTTTTTTCTGAAATACCCGATTGAAGTGACACAAGTGACGTACATCTAATGTGTATTTGCATATCAAAAAAAAAGGCAGCAAGTATCCTCTAACTGGCAGCTATCGTATCCGACCTTAAATTTGAACAAAGATGAACATATTCTTTGAATATGCAGGATTTCCGGAACATTATACAGAAAAGTGGTGTTCACAGTTATTGCTGTTAGTCTCACGACGCCATTTCCCTGCACCTCAAGGGCAAAACCCAAGGTAAAAGTGTTTTCGACATTGTGTTACTCTATATTAACATCAAAAAACCTGACCGTAGCATCCTCACTCGCGACCGCGATCTGCTCCCCAGAACCTCCCCTAGTGCCATGACGCGGCCTCCATCTAATCGCCGTGATCGCCTTCACGGGCGCTACTTCACTCGGCACCTTACTCACCACAAGAGTCTCACTACTTAGACTGTCCATGTCGGTAGTAGAAGAAACAATACTGAGCTCGCCGCCCTCTGTTCCATACGCGAAGGTGAAGCGACCGGGAGATGAGAGGGAAGGTGGACATGCGACAGCGGTCACAGATACACTGGCGGTAACGGTGGCTTTGAGGTCCACTTCACCTGACGGTGCAATCTGCCATATCTTGACTGATTTGTCGCGGCCAGCGGTAAGGAAGGTAGGTGGCGACAATGAATCTTCTGAGGACGTATTTCTGGGCGCCCAAGCCGCATCGAGAATCATGCGTGAGTGGCCTTTCGGATTGGCGAGTTTCAGTTTATACGACCCTCCATTCTGACTAGATTTGTTTGTAGCTTCTTCGACCGGTTCCCCGTTAGAGTTGTTGATTTCTCGCTCCCATAGTACCCACTGTCGATCACGTCCGACGCTTAGTAGATATTTGTCATCGCTAGAGAATGCCAAGGCCGTGACTGTCAGCGTGTGTGCTTTCAGGGGTGCTCCGACTTCTTCCCACTCGCGCGTTGAGTAGACTCGTATCACAGCGTGGTCGAGCGAGCTGGCGCGGCACGCTGTTGCGACGAGGTCGCCTGACCGCGATACAGCGACTGCTGAGATTTCGTAGCCGTGACCATAGAGCTTCTCAGTTTCAGGCCATAGCAGATGGCGCGCGAGGTGGTCTTCGAAGGGTGGATGGTTTATGTCTAGGGTGGATTTGCGGACAATGGATGAAGGGTCAATGGGGTCAGAGGATACGTTGGGATCTTGTGTCGTGTTGTGGGTATTTGAATCAGCGTCTTCGGTGGTTGATGTGAAGGCCTCGTCGCTGACGGCTGTGATGGCTTTGTTGGAAAGACCGAGGACGGGGATATTTGCAGCGTCTGGGAGTGATGAGCTGCTAGCTTGAGTATCTATCTTGCAAAGCTTCTGCAGGATTTCAGCGACTCCCTTGGGTTCATCAAACACACGAAGAAGTTTTTCATCGGCGCCACTGATGAACTGCGTCGGAGTGATGTTATCGATGCAACTGAGGTCGTAGCCGTGAATCTGAGGGCGAGAGAACTCATGCCAAGATGAGCCAGACTCTCGTTTCCATTCCGCAAACAGCCTTGTTGTCTGATCGGAGCTGGTCGTCAAGAGATACTCGCCATCTCTCGACCAACATATGCCTTTCACTTCCCGTACATGTCCCGTAATGGCCACCTGCTGAGTCCATCTGTCCTCACTCGCGGAATAGGTCCATTTTCTCCAACTGCCTGTCCTTCCCAGAGATACTACAGAATTGCCGTCAGGAGACCAGAGACCCACCCAGAACCCGCCAGCGCTGCCGGTAGCGCTAGTGGAACCTTTTTGCGCACTGATCTCACCGAGGCGTGTTATGCAGATCCAGACTCCTGACGACGAGTCCGCCTCCCAAATAGATAGCGAATTATCTTCTGACGTTGACAACAACTGGAGCTTTCCGTCTCGCCGCCGCCAGGATGCGGTGTAAATCCAATCTTCATGACCCAGCAGTAGGGCTTCAAATGTGATGGAGTATTTAGATGTGGCGGAAGCGAACCGATGCGCTTTATTGGACAGTGACTTTCCCAGCACGCCCAACGCGGGGTCATTGAGTGCGCTGCTCACGGCCGGTAACTCTTCTCCGCGATGCAGACGCCATAGACGGATATACTTGTCTTGACTGGCCGATGCGAGTAGTAAGTCACTGTCTTCATTCTCAGTCTCTCTTGTGAAGTCCAAAGCACGAATCCATCCTTCGTGTCCAGTGAGCGTAGCCGCGAGTTCAAATTGCGACTCTTTGGACGCGAAAATTTGGATGCTGGCCCTCGTTCCGGCAACCGCCATCACAGTAGTCACATCGTCCAGTTTTGCTAAAGCAATTGTCAACGGGAAGTGCCGTGGTGCCAAAGTGATGGACTGAACGAGCTCAACATCAATAGTGGAAAAGTCCGCATCATGAACGAGCTTCCAGATCTTTACTGTGCCATCTGAAGCACCCGTCGCGAACGTATCCTCTCCATCCAGAGTGGCAATCCGGGTAACGGGCCCCGAATGATGGCCCGCCAAAACTTTCACTGCTTCAAATCGCGATCCTGAATCCCGGGTGCCACGCCATATACGTATCGTGTGGTCTGCGGAACCACTGATGATGATGGATACGGCGCCTGATGAAGTAATTGGAAAGAACTTTACTGCATTGACGACGTCTGTGTGTCCATTCAGAATCGTCTGCACACCTTTCAAATCGTTGTCCTGCGGAGTCGATCAGTTGGTTGCTGTATAGGACAGGAAGAGAAGCTCGGACTTTTCAAACAGCAATTCAAATGAATGTACGGGGAGATGATGAAGACACGATGAAGGATAAGGGAGAGACAAAAACTTAGAAACATGTCTTCATACATCGGATTATCCCATAATCATAATCACCTACTTACCTGAGGATCCCAAAGCGCAACCGACTCCCCCGCCCCAAAAGCCAACAACCCATGCGCACCGTCCCAATCCGCCGCAGCAGGATTTCGATTCGCACCAATGGCTATGAACGCTGGGGAAACACGCATTTTCGAATGATATCTGGAAATGCGAGTCGTTCCTTCTATGTAATCATTCGGTAGTTTCCATCGAGAACTTTTGGAGGATTCTGAAAGAGCTAGGGCTCGCTTAGACTGCCTAGACGGGTGCTAGCGGCATCTTGCCTTATGACTACGACGTTGAACGCTGTAGGTTTTTTGGGGGGATACTGCGGTGCTGTATATCTCGGTTTTGTTGCAATAGAGAAATATATTGACAAAACTACTGATCCACTATCCTTTTGTGATCCTCCATCGTTTGGAGTACCTAATAATCGCATACCATAATTCGTCACTGAAAATATCACCTACCGCTCACCCTCCCCTCACTTCACCTGTTCTCAAAATGTCATCTTCTCCGGAAAACCTCACGGTGAAAGTCGAATTCAGGTAAAGATGTCCTAAGTATCCCTCAAAACTCCAACTTACAAACTTATTATCAAAAGCGGTGGCCTGGAACTTCTCTTCTCAAACAAACGCACCCACACAATCACACTCCCCGCCCACACCCCCTCTACATCAACCACACCAACAACAATTCGCGATCTCGTAATCTACCTGTGCGATGAATTGATGCGGGATCCGCGTCGTGATCTTTTCGTGCTGGATGGGACTGTGTATGTTTACCTTTCTTTCCCTCCCCCGCTTGAATTGAGCTTACGCAACAATATAGACGACCTGGTATCCTCGTCCTCATCAACGACGCAGACTGGGAGTTGGAAGGCGAAGACGCGTATGAAGTCAAGAATGGGGATTCTATTCTTTTTGTTTCGACGCTGCATGGGGGGTAGCGAGGATGCAAGAAAACGTGGGATTTTCTGCTTCTCAAACAGATGAATATATGATTGTTCGATTCGCATAGGCATATAATAAAAATACAACTATCAAACCCATAGTGCAACAATCTTGATGAGGCGAGGTTGGGAAGCGCATGCAGAGAAATATAAATTATACGTCCAACCCAAGAACGAGAAAACTTTTGATGCAAATCTGATCAATACTTCCACCCCGAAAAAAGAAGAAGCTGGAGGTTGAGGAAGATAAATGCTCTACACCTTCCAAATCAAGATGATAATATCTCTTTGGTATCGAGCACAAACAAGACTATAATACGCAGGCCGGCATCATGGCAAATCCATCGACCTTCATGTCATTCCCGAACTAAAATTTGGCCACAAAGGCAGTGGAGTCCATACTCCAGATTTCAACACCCTCCACCGCCTTTCTATCAGCAAGCTCGATGCTTCTAAATGGTCCCACTTTCTGCATCTCACCGTTGGGAGCTTGTACCGTCTTTCTAGGCATAATGGCGCTGCCGATCTTCCACACATAATGTGCAACTCCCAGATATTTCAGGTTTTTATACTCTGGGCGCCACAGCTCGGACGATAGCATGAACTTTTGAACATCATCATCGACATCATCAATGCTGTTCTCCATGCTATCACTGTCACGGCGGAACAAGAGGCGTAGAGCGAAGAGCTTTGGACAGCATTTGATTACGAGACGTAGCGTTTCGTGTGGGTTGGGATCGCAAGCGATGCCGAGTTGCTCGAGATTTGGACAAGCTTGACATATGCGTTGAATGGCAGAGGCCGAGAGCGACCAGCGGTCTGAAAGGAGAAGGTGTCGCATGGTTGTGTGGTTCGATTGGATTACGGCGAGATAGTCGCTAGCGATGGAGCGGCATTGATGTTCGGTGATTTTGGGTGAGTTGGTTGCACTCGGGTTTGCGGACAGTATACCACTGTTAGCAGCGCCATTCGTCGCCATCGCGACTGTGGGAGTTATGGGATTGGAAGGAGAAGTCGGAGTGGGTGCTGCGCCAGTTGGTACCGAGCTGACCGTATCACTGACGATGTAGAGGCGTTCCAGGCCTCGCATGAGGTAGAGCATGCGTACATGCTCTTTGTCTGGTGCATCTACTCGCATCATGGTTAAGTTCTGCGGTATACTCGGGATGTGGTTGATCCTCCATGTGTCGTCGAGGAAGACTGTCATGGGATCTTTGTTTCCGAAGGTGTTAATTAAGGTTATCTCTTCAAGCGTATCCGGGTTCGTCACTTTGTCGAAGCCTTCGGCGTCATTGCCCGCGTACAAGTTGTACAGAGCAAAGCGTTTCAAGGGTATTGGATTTCTAGCACTCATGATCCGACCGAATATAGCATGCAAGCTGACGGAAGCTTCGCCAGTCTCGCGTATACGAGGGTTCCAATGCAGCTTCAGATTCTCCAATTTCTGAGCGGCGCATAGCAGCACCGATATATTGTCTGGGTAGCATAGCGGATCGATGTCGTAGACGATAAGTGTTCTTAAATTGGGAAGCGGCGGCACGACGGAGGTGGGGCGAGGTATGCGTCGGGAGGGACATCGCAGGATAAAGGTGGTCAAGGAGGATTTGTGCATAAGCCCTTCATAGACGGAATGTAGCGGCTTCGTATTGAGCTCCCAGGCAAAAGTTGTGAGATGTTGCATCTTGTCGAGAGCGGCGCGCAGGGCAATCTGCAGCATCATGCTATTGTCCGGGACCCTTCCTTTTGAATAGTCTTCGACGTCGTGCTCCTTCCATTCGCCTATGACGCGGAAGGTTTGTACGTAGTTCGCGTAGGTTCGCGAGACGAGCGAGTTGAGGCCCATGGCGAAAGGGCTGCCTCCGCCAAAACCCATCGGTCGGTCGTCCACATAACGGATCTCACTGTAGGAGCGCAGGGTGACTTCCTCGTATAGGCGTGGGAGGGTCATATAATAAAAAAGGCGCGACGTGCGCGTAACGCGAGCGAGGTCTCCGGCATCATCGAGCTTTGTAATGTTTGAACATGTCAGCTAGGCAACTATTGCTGCCGCTCATGGCAGCTAAGATTGGGCCATACATGTTCCAAGATCAGCTGTATCAGGTGCAGTGGGAGCTCCTTGCCCTGGCCATAGTTGGCGTGCGAGCGCGCTGGGCTCGTGAACCAGCTGTGGTGGGGCGCATTTGGATGAAGTGTAGTAGGGTCTCTGAGTGACGATGCCGGCGTTTGCGGGACTTGCGACCGACGAGACATGGGTTCGGATGGTTCACGGTAGGCAGGTAGGTGTTACAGGAAGGGCGAAGGACTGATCAAGGCACCACGGCAGTGGAATACAGCGACTTTGGTCCCTACATAGACGTGGGCATAGGCACAGGCACCGGCGCCCGGCTCGCGAGGGTTCAAGAGGAGGTTTACGAAGCAATGTTGGTTGGTAGTGTGCGCAACTAACTACCTAGCTCAGTACAGCGTAGGTTTCCTTTGACGATGACACACACACACATGTCCGCCGCTTTGGTCCGCGCTAGCCCGATCGACAAGTGTCGGGGGTTTACACTGCCGCCGCCCGCCCGCCAGCTACTCGAATACGTTCTGTACGACCTGCCCGTCACTACTGCCACCACTTGTCATATCACCTTGCTTATTTCCCAGTTTTCTGCGTACGAGAGACGGGCTTTATTCATGCAAATTCCGACTCTCCGACAGATTATAGCTCAATCCATCCAATCCCCCTCGCTATGATTGCTTATCCAAGAACCGAATTCTGCGCCATTGCCTAGCCTCGAAATATCCAAGGCTCTCTTCCGCCATACTCCGATGCAGGATACACGAACGGGATATCGACAGTTCCCGCAAAAACACTCATGGGTGGAATGCCGCTCCCCACACTCTGGAGATTCTCCGCTGGCACAGGCACCACCACTCCGCACTCCCAGTTCCTCACTAACGAGCTTCCTTCTTTTCCGCTCTTGAGGACTTTTTGCATTCCCCACGCCGCCTCTGACAGGTTTGCTGACCCGATGTACGCCCACGCGATGGGTGTACCATCTTTCTTGCAACCTCGGGCAAAAAGTAGCTTGTTGTGAGAGAGAAGCCCCGGTCGTGTGGACTGGTAATCTCGAAGACATTGTCGTGGAAACGTAGATGCATTGTAAAAATCGCGGCTGAGTGTGATGATCCCGCCACAGTCGGGCCCTCCCGTACTGTTGGTCACTGTTTCTTTGGTCGGGAAGTATACGCGGAAGTGATCCAAAATATTGACATTGATTTTGGTGTCGGAAAGTGGCGACAGTCCGCACGCAGCAAGGTACATCTGCTTCATGAAAGGTTCTTTCAGAGCACCCAACGAAGATGTTGCATAGTCAATCTCAAGTCGGTCAATATCGTCGAGTTTGAGGTCTTGGATCGCCTTCGCAAGACTGGGCAGACCTGTCCGAGATCTTTCCGGACCTGAAGTTGTCCCAGCGCTGCATTCGTCAGCCTGTCACTCAACAAGATTCGCGTATTAAATCACTTACATAGAGTGCACGAATGCAAAACCCGCTGTAGCGCCGAAGTCAAACTTCAAAAGGCCTTCGAAGACATTTTGAGTAACTCCTTGCTCCTTCAAGTATCGGAACATCTCTTTCCCAAAATTGGTGTCCATCTCTACCGCTGCCTTTTCATCAGGTCTTCGCGGCAAATCTATTAAAAAGACCGTGTTCTCCATCACACCAGGTTGCCACGAGTTGCCCGTCTCGCCCCAGTCTTCTTTGATCATATTTGCAGTAGGAACTACGATACGTAGATGTTTTGGATGAAACAGTAACATGAGCTTCCCATGCATATTCAGTGATTGACCCGGCAATGGTGGAAATATCATTTTGAAATTGGGAATTTGCGATTCTGCAGCCTCACGCCGCAGTTTTTCTTGGAGACCTTCACCTTTTGCACTGAAGATCCATATTTGTTTGACCTGGTAAGGATCGATTTGATTCTCATGGAACCAGGTGCTCTCAAATTGGAAAGCACTTAGTACAGCGATGTTGAGAGTGTTCCTTTGGAGGACTTCTTCAAGTTTGATATCATTCGAACGAGGGCGTTTTGTCGCCCACGTGCGCTTGACGGTACCACGAGGGTACTGGAGTGCATCCGTGGTCGACTGTTGAGCTGCTGGACCCGCGACACGAGCTTTTGTGGGCTGTTTCGATGGCAACTCCGGAGAAGCACTCCGTTTTCGTTTACCCATCCTCGCAAGACGTTCACTCTCCATAGCCTTCCTATCCAGACCTAAGAATTCCGACGGTTTGGAGGTCGACGATGTGTCTGTGAGGAGTTGAGTGGAGGTTTTGGAGGTTGCACTAGCTGGTGCGTACTGCGAAAGCTTGTCCGTACATGCTGCAGCTTGCGATCCCATGACTGAATCAACTTGAGACCCAGGCAAAGGGACTGTTTGCGCATCGCTCGGTGTATCTTGGCAGAGCGACAAGGCGATAGCTCGGCGAACATCGTCGTCGTCATCCTCGTCACCTGGATGTACTGAGGTGTTCGCAAGAGACATTGCAATGGCTTGCCTGAGCTCTTCATCTTCAAGCGAGGAGGGAGAGGCCATAATATCACTTAGACATGGGTGTAAGTATGAGCCTGTTGATGCAAGTGACTGGGGACGATGTGATGCTACAGTATGTCGCGCTAGTGCGCGTCAGCACGTGAATGCTTAGTCATATAACCATCGAACGTTGAACCATCCGATGTCTGATTGTCAATCTTCACCGGCACTGCACACCCTGGCATGAATATGCAGCCAAGAGTGCAGTACTCAGCCCCGATTTATGATATGACAGCTCATCATAAATGGCACGTCAGGACTACTGTACCGGTCCTATGTGAGCCTGGCGGACCGGCTGTCTCCAGTTCTTCTCATGGCCGACCCACTATCTGTTGCTGGCTCGATCGCAGGCGTAATATCTTTGAGCGATGTGCTTTTCCAGAAGCTTTACCGGTATCTCAACGAGGTAAAAAAAATGCAGAAAAGGAAGTTCTGGACTTGAAGAGTGAAGTGGGAAGACTCAACGGGGTGCTGTATGTCGTCCGACCTGCCTGTGTGTTGTTCGACCAGCTAAATGTCCAGGAATTAGTCACAACTTACGCCCAATTGCTGAAGATTTGGAAGTTGACAACATTTGAAGACTACATATGTATCAACCACTCCGTGCGTCTCGATCACGTGAACTCATGTCTCAGTATCTACATTTGTAGGTACTCCATAAACTGAACGACGCGCTCAACAAGATTGGCCTCACAGACTCGAAAAAGACGCGAACGACTTTGCGAAAACTAGCATGGTCATTCCAGTCTGTTAATATCAAAGCTTTCATGGAGGATATTCGGGACCATAGAAACAACTTGGGCTTTGCTGTCGCTGATGATAGCTTAGCATCACTCTTGAAATGTTTGACTCTTCAGCATAACGCCGCGGAAGCGCTTGCAGATCCGGATTCATGGCTTCGCAAAAGGGATCAAGTGCAGACACACATCGCACTTGATGAGGATAGACGAAAAATACTCAACGAGTTTCTGCTTGTTGACCGCCATGAGCGTGAATTTATGGTATCCCACGACCGGGTTCTAGCTGCGAGACGATCCGACATTCATGAAATGGTCTCTAGGGTCCGACACGATCAGATGGCTTAAGCGGGATTTCAGGAGCAATTAAGACAGTGCTCTCTTTACTACGCCATCCACAGACTCGAACTTGCGTCCTATATATACGCCGCTGGTCTTGATCTTGATCCCTTCCCCCGGGAAGACTTCTTCGGTGGATATTTCCCCTTATTAGCTTGCTATGAATCGCTGCGCCGCTTCTTCTGTCGATGTCCAAGAGACGCGCGATACCGTATCGTATGTCAAGAGTCTAAGAAGAATGCATCTCTATTGTGCCAAGCCGCTGCCGCAGGGCACGTCGAGATGATGTATATACTGCTTCGAACGGGTGCAGACATAGAGGTTTGTGATCGGGAATGGAGTTCTCCACTCATCATTGCTTGTTCAGTGGTAAGTTTGAATGCCGTGAGATACCTCGTGCGAAGCGGGGCGCACTTGTGCTCGATGCGACAGGAAAGTTGGTTACGCGAGTTTTGTGCAGCTCGTGGACATACGAGAGTGTTGGAGTGGTTACTTGTCCACAGGTGGGTGGAACAGCAGAGGCTGATGTATGGGCAGTACTTCCTTTATGTCAGGGAGTAGAGAGAAAGCGTGCAAAAGTGCTATCAAATTGGATACATTTTATCTCATTTGCCATCATTGCTCTCACGCGACGAAACAATATATACCACTACCCCCCTCGACTACATCCCAGAATCGCCACCACTTTCTCTTTACCGGAATATCTTCTGGACATACCTCTTGCGTCGTCACCACAATGCGACATAAGGTCATACGAAAACATCTGTTGCAAGCATATCCACCACTAGGGATCTGACGCACCTGAGGATTCTTACCACATACAGTACAAGGTGGATTTCTGCGGTGACTGTTGCAATATATGACTGGGCCATGATGTCTGGGGCGTCTGCCAGGGAAGTTGATCCCGAAAAGCATCATTTACTGAGCGGCGTTGCCCAAGTTCAAGAGTTGTTCCTTTGTATGTGAGAAATAATGGTCAAGGTGGGTGGATTGCCTAGGGTGGGATATTCAGGCAAACCGAATGTGACATGCGACAGAGATCATATTGAAGGGTGTCAACAATTCAATTTGGAGTTCATGTTTACAATTGTTACTTGGAAAGTTGTATGTAAGTCAATACTGAACTATCCACAGTCTCACCATGTTCTGGCACGCGTGAAGTGTTTACGTGTTGTATCTGGAATGTCCACTGCGAGCCTAATATTGATCACAGGTTTTGAGCTTCGAGTCCCCAACATGTTGTTCTGAGCCAATCAGGTCACGAATGCCCACATTTACACCACGGGCTCATCACCATCGGGTAGCCATCCCGCGTGTTGCTCGTTGCTGTTCAATGGAGGATGGTGGAGATTGGGGGAGGCAGTACATGGATATATGCTGACTGCTGGCACCGAGTCACTGGATTTATGCTTATTCGCCTCAATGAAGATGCTCATATGCAGAGAGCACCTCCTGAGATTTCACGCCACAAAATTATCAGTTGATAGCAGGCAAAGAGTAAAATTTGCAGCGCATAGGCTGTCACGAGCTGTTCTAGACTGTCTCTCCGTCAAAACAATGCCAGGGGCCCGAGTACCACCCCAACAGGACTGATAGCACTCACGCTACACGAAAAGCCCGCGAGCTATAAATCCTGCAGCTGTTTATTGGTATCGGACCAGTCGCCAGTAATGAATGCCATCAAGCCCCGAGTAGAAGCATCCCGATGTGGAGGAGGGAAATTACCTCAGGATATTATCCACATACGGAACGCTAATCCCGATGCTTGTCTCTGCGGCAAGAGGAGGCCCATGCTCGCTCAAGGGCGAGACCATCACGCAAGCCAGTTCCTCGGCAAACGGCAAGCCGACCTCCCATCCATCTCGCTCCACTTCTCCCCATAGTTGTGGAAGAGCAACGGCCGTTCGACCTACCCAGGCCGGGCTACATGGGCTCCGAGGGTCTGATTCCCGTGCTCTATATAGAGCACACGTCCTGTAGAGTCATGTACCTGCATATCCGATCCCTGGTCTATACACCTTCTTTTTTATCATGCGAACAGGCCGAGTATCGAAAAAAAGAGGAAGAAATAGCGAAAAAGGAAAAAAAGAAGAAGACGCAAAGCACGAGCCGAGCACGCCAATCGCTCGTCCACAACATCACATCACTACTATCAAAGGACCAACCAACCAACCAACTAACCAAAGTACAAACGTTAGTCTGCTAGTTTCAGGCAATATACGTGAGAGACCCTGGAAAGAGAGCTCCTCAGGGCGAACAGGGCGCGTTGATCCTGCAAAGCTGCAATGCTGCTAGGTATGGGTGTGTGCACCAACATGGGGTGGCGCGTGCATTGAATTGCATGAGGCCATCGCTGAAGAAGGATTCGCGATCGAGAGACGCCATGCGTCTCCGAGTCGGACGCACAATGTTCCCCTTCGATTGTTTCGAGACGGGGTGCCGAAGCTCGCTTGCAGCGTCCTGGAGTTTGCATCCTTCTTATGCTACGTCGATCAAGTGGTGACGGGGTGTGGGCATCTGCGCAATCTGGAGATTGGTGGTGTAGCAGAGTTTTCTAGAAGAGATGCTGTTTTGAGACTTGCAAGTACATGAGGCTTTGAGGGTTCGTTGAGATGACCTCCTGGGAAACACGTAGCGCCTGGAAGAATTTCTCGCCGTCATGCCTGCCACTCTTGAAAATATATCGTTTTCTTGGCTGCAGAATTTCCACCTTCTTTTTCCACTCAAGTTGTGCCATGGAATGGCTGCTTTTTCATGTGAAACCAATTTTTTATCGTCTAGTCTAGAAGAAATACATATCCTCATGTTCCGATCTCCACCCTTTTGACGTATATGTGCTAGTAAGCTCTGTCCAAAATAAAAGCTATTTTACATAACCACGTCCTTACATAACATCCTGTCTGATGTAGTCACTCGAGTTGATCTCAATAACCGGTCCAGTGTACGTCTTCCTCGCCCACACAAAGTAGTAGACTGTGCTGAAGATAGCCGCAGACCCAGTGACCACGACGGACCAGTTCATGGTCTCTGGCGTAACCTCGGCAAAGGTGGGCCAGAAGCTGAAGAACAGGATGAAGGTAAGGTATGCGCAAGCGAAGATGTTGTTGGCAGTGCCCAATACACCCGGGCATTTCCAGGGGCCCCAGGCGAGGTTTCCGGGTCCGCCGGCGGTGAGGTCGACGGAGGGATTGCCGGCCTCCTTGATGCCGCCTGTTACACGGCGGTATAGCAGCATGCCGGATACGAGCAGGTATGAGGAAAACAGGCCGGCGATGGAGATGGAGATGATGCCGTTGAAGGCTGTTGTGGAACCAATGTTAACCAGAGCGAGGATGACTGCGACGATGGCAGCAGTGATGACCGAGTATACGGGGATCAAGGTTCTTGGGCTGACCTGGCGATTGTGTTAATATCATTGTAGCTGTGCGAGAACATGAAGAATAAAGTGGCTTACCTTGCTCAGAGTGCGCCAGCCTGGAAGAGCTCTGTCTCTGGAGAAAGCCCAGTAGATACGGGAAGTAGAAGCCAGCATACCAACTGTGGAGCTCACGGCGAGAACGAAAAGGAGAGAGCTCATGACTGCCGCACCAGCTGTGGAGTTCACTGCGTTCTTGAAAATGGCCATCACAGGGAATAGGGGGTTTTGCTCCAAGGCGGCATCGATATCACCAGCCCGGAAGAGCACAGTGAGAACCATGGCGAAACCGAGTGTTCCGTTAATCGCGATACCGGTCATGATGGATCGGGGAACGATGACGGCAGCGTTCTGGATTTCCTCGCTCAACTATACCCGGTTAGCAATCTGAAAACATTCCTGATATACGAGCTTTGTGACGTACATGAATAGGGCCATCACCACCTGGTCGCTGTTAGTGTATATTCAATGTATAGATGGACAGGAAAACTAACCGACAAAGGCAAACACACTGCCCATGATTCCGACGCAGAAGGAGAGTCCCTGGGAGCCCCATTCTCCGCCGTTGTTCCAAGTAGTGAAGACATCCTTCGCACTCCCCTTCGGGCCCAAGATCAACAAAGGGATCAAAACACCGAAGAAACCCATAATGTGGAGAATGAGGAGCGATCCCTCGAACTTGGGTAGGAGCCAACCAGCAGCGACATTGATGAAAAGGCAGAAGCTAATAACAGCCCAGTACAGAAGGGTGGTGTGCCAGTTCTCGGGAGCATAGTCGGGCTTTGTGAGCACCAGGAGACCCTGGATCAGCGAACCCGTTAGGAACGCCGCAGAAGCCACCGAAGCTTGCCAGCCAGCCAAAGTAAGCCATCCTGAAGTTGTGTAAGCGGTAGCCAACGAAGAGTGTAGTACGGGGGGGGGATGTAGTACCTGCCACGTAACTGAGTGACTTCTGCATGTGTTTAGGTGCCAGCATAGAGACCCAGTGATACTGCCCACCAGAGGTAGGAGCCATTGACACGAGTTCGGAAAGAACGATGAAGGTCGAGATAGTTCCGAGCCAGACCAAGATGTAGCCATAAATGACACCAGCGGAGCCACCACTTGAAGAACGTCAGCGTTGAACAGGAACATGGACGGGGGGAATATAATAAGATAAGCTCACTTTTGGAGGCCCGAAAGGAAGAGAATGAGCGAGCCTTCCCAGGTGATAAGGACAGTGCAGCTGTATCCCAGAATGGTAAGGAAGGAGAAACGCCTCTAATATGGACGTGTCAGATAGGTAACTTGCAGTGGTACAGAGGTAACCTTCGCTAACCTTGAGGACAGCCTTCTTGCCTAGACCCGCGAGAACGACATCGTCGTTGGCCACAGACTTGGACCTGACGCTTATCTCGCCCATCTCAACACCTTTGTCGCCAACGAGGTGGGCCATTGCTCTCAAGAAGAACGAAGCAACTCAACGCGCAAGGAGGAGAAGAAGACGATGAAAACAAGTATGAACAAGAAAGCGAGAGCAGGTATCGCAGCAGGATAAACAGCAAAGCAGACTCTGCGACCGAAGGGAAAAAGAAAAGTATTCGACTCTACGATTTAAACGGGAGGTGAAAGACAGGCTTTCATATTGCGTACAGCAAATGGCCTCGGTTGCAGCACCCCCTCGTACTAAGATCAGGGCATTGCATTGGTCTAGAGTGGGCTGCAGGAAGGGATTCTCAATCTAGTCTGATGCACGGCGCGCGGGGCTCCTGAGAAGCGCGCCATACGCGAATGATACGAGGCGGCAGAGTAGAGGGAGAGAGGGTATATCCAACCCTGCTGATCGGTTGCATTGTCTCTTACTCTTTGGGTTACCGCGATTACAGGGGCTGAGGGGGTGGCGGGCGGCATCCGCGCTGTCGGGTCTACCCGCGCCTCTACTGGCCACTCAGCTCGTGGCTTGCGAATGGATGGGCTCCCAATCCGGCACGGTAGAGACATGGCATTCTTGGCACGTCTACCCTGGTCTCTCACGGGGGATAATAAAGCCCGTGCGCCCACCATACAACTCCTTACTACTATAAGCAATTTACTCTTGTTTACAGCTTTGTAAGTTGTTCTTTAGTTTTTTATAGTATGCTAATACTGCCTGTCATACAAAACTACGATATTTACGCGTATTTCTGGTGTTTTTGCATTGAGCGAGCGTGGTCGGCGCTTATTGTCTGACTTTCACGTTCCCAGGAGAGCCTGGTGTGTGATGAGGTTAGGGCTTGTCTGCCTACCCTGTCCTTGGTAAATATGATACATGCTGAGCTGCAGAACCATTAGGGATTGCGTCTCCCGAGATAGGATAGGGGAGCTGCTGTGAATACGGAGACCTCCGCAGCTATCTGTGACTTCAGCCAGGTCACGTTTTGTATTCGTTGTTGAGCTGACTGAGTATCGTGATGATTATTTTACATCGTGTGTCTCTACCGTGTATGTTTTTGTTGTGCGGATCACAGAGCCTCCATCTACACGCGATGACGGTTTGGCGCTGCGCGAGATATCCAAGAGCTCATACGTCCTGCCACTGCCGTATCCTGAGCCTTTTGTTTCCCCTCCAAGTTTGACCCCCATCAACCCCGAGTCCAGATTGTCCATGATTGTCTTCGCGTACGGTAGCGATGTGGTGAAGATGGCGAGGCACTGCACCACTTGTGTACACACAGCCGATCGCCAGTATCCGAGCGAGAAGTCGCCGCTCAGCTCGCCCGTGTGGTCCTTGTGGTAGAAGTATAGTTGGACTGCGGCGGCGACGGTGACACTGGCAGATAGTGCGTTAGAACAGAAATCGACACCGTAGAAAGTTTCAAGGACCAAACTGACATCAATCTCAACGCAAACAAACTGGTGATGAACGCTTTGCGTTGTCGTGCCATTTGTAGCGGCATGATCACTCCAATCTCTAATCCCACCAAGGCCACTTCGGATACAATATTCAGGACCGTGACTCCATACCACCAGGCCAGCTAGTTATTCGTCAGCGCACTTCTTCCACTGTGTCCAGGTCACGTACGTAATCGATGCACTTCAGCGACGTGATATTCCTCCAGGGATCGGGAGGAGCACATCTAAAGGCCGACACCAGAACAGCAGTCAAGAGCCACAGACCCGTGAAAGCAAAGAATCCCTGGTTGATACGCCGATGTACTTTTTTGGGGGTGAGACTGCTGATGAAGGTCGAAATGACAAACTTGGAGAAAGCGATTGAACAGAAGAATAGAATCGTAGCGGCATAGTTCCCCTGAACCTTGTTAGAAGGGAACGGCGACAGTTGTTGGTGAAGTGGTAGTCATACCTTAAGAATAGTGTCCCTTTGAGAATCCGTCAAATCGTTTTGAGGAGTACCGTACCCGTTAGCAGTCTGTACTGACACTGCAGCGGACTGCCCAATGGCGAAAACCTGCGAATGCAATGAGACATGATACAAAGAGCGGCTCTAAGATGCTCTTACCAGCGCCACGGAGACCAGTATGGTTTCCAAGTCCAGTGACTTGGATCCGTAGATTTTGATTCCCGCATGCGTGACGACGGCCAACGCTGCCATGACCAGACAAAGCCAGTTGGCGATGTCGATCACGGGCGAGCGGTTTGTGGGAGATATGACGACCTGATCCATTTGGTCTCTTTGGCAGCGGCTAGTTGAGTAAGGAGTGCGCGCACATGGAGTAGTGGAGCCAACAGTTCGTCAGAATCGCGCACGTCGTTCAGGAAATGGTTCGGAAGAAGTAGGAATTTTCAAGCACGAGACACAGCCAGTTCACAGATTTGGCACTCCAATCACCTCGTTACAGTGCTCTCAGTATCGCAAACCCAATGTACCATGTACGTCGCGTACAAGTGATCAGACCTTGCAAGTGTGCCTGCATGTATTTCCCCCATGTAGAAACAGCCCTTGGCGTTGGTCTCGTATCCCAATGTGCTTGATACACTCTGTCTGGGGTGTGTTGCGATATCGACATGCATTCCCTTGGGCCAGACCTGCGCCAGCGACCCAAGTAGTAAAAGCCTGATCAGGACCTGTCCAAGCGCATAGGGTGCCAGTGCGTCATGCATATTGGTAACACCAGAAGCACACATTGGCTGCGAGGTGAGTGTGAGGAGGCGAACAGGGCGCAAACGGCTCGGAGGCATTACCTGGAGGGATTTATTACGATTACCACGTTCTCGGAACCGACCCAGCATAAGCACATATTGAGCTCTTGCCTGTTCAGGGCTTGCTCCGCGGCAGTTCAAAGGTCGGAGACGGCTATATGGCATCAATTACGGCGCAGCTGCGTCTTTTCCAATTCACAGCTCGAACTCTACCTGTCTGGGATTGTCATGATTGGCTTACAGATCGTCCAAATACACTGCCGCGGTTGAATGTGCCCAGAGACCTTGCAGTCTCGGGTATAAGGCGAACAGGACAAAACATCAACATGTAATTATCGAACCACCACAGGCAGGGAAAATTCATCAACCAACTTGCCAATCGCGAGTTGGTGGCTATCTTTGCAACAATTCCTTCGTCAAACTCAGCCGCCTGTTGAAAAGGGGGGGTTATCGAGGACACAGCAACTAACACATTGGCCAATTTCCCCCACTGTGTGCCTGACTGACAGTTGGACGCCGCATGGTGCCATCTGTTACTATTTTGCATTGCTTTTTCCTGGACCCCGTTTGCTTGACTATTTCCAGAAATCCCACTGAAACCGGCCCATGTTCCGTATCCCCACGCTGTAGCGATCTTGGCTCCACCTACCAATCAGAACGTCTGTGGACCCTCCGCGTTGATCTTGTGTACAAACCCACTTTAATCGTCTGATATCGCTGCGGCGTAGTGATCACCCTCCAGATCATCGCCATGTGTCATGCCCCCTTCCATCGCGTTTCCATCCATGAATGTCGGGACCCATCGTTCTCAGATCATGGAATCAGACGCAGATCATTCATGTATATAATCCACTTGTCCCCAAGATTTTTGGTCCATGTCGATGAAAAACAAGAGTGGCGTGGCGGTATCCTTATCGTGATTTGAAGAAATTTAATCCCCCTCCCAGTAGACGCCCAGATTTCAACACGGCTTAAACCGAGCTTATGCATGAGACTATTCCATATAGATTCGCCCTATGTCTTCCTCCGGATAGCGGCCGCAATTCTCGAATGTATACGTCCTTGGCCGTCGAGTCATCAGTCGCGAATTGGTTTAATGTATGTTGGCTTCACTGATACGGATTGGAATTCGAATTACCGCCTCTCCATCGCTAGCGAGCCAAGATGACGATCCCTAGAAGTTACCAGTTGATCTTTGAGCCACTATCAAACATCGATTTGTGAAAGAGTCGCGATGATTTGCACAGTCACGTCTGTCCATGATTCGTGTATCGCATGAACAAAGACCAAATTGCCGTTAGCCGATATCAGTTCCTTCCTAGAATCCTACGCAGCGTTTGCAGCAGCCACATTCCAGCCATTTATGACTTGAGCCAGTACTGACTTTGCAGCGTCAACGGGTAGTTGAACAACCTCAGCCGTACATATTCGCTATTTCCATTTCAACCCTCGACGTCGCACATCGTCAGCAATCGCACGCTAACATGTCCACTACGAATAGTTCCCGCTCCGCTCCCTGACGGGCCGATTCGCGCTCCACGGGTTCGCTGCGCTACTTTAGTCCGTCCTTGTGAACGCTCCGCGAGTCTTATCCTTCATACACACGGCTTCGTTCTTTTTTCCTCTTCAGTTATGACATCGCTCGGCTTGCTACAATATGGTATCGCATGACTTGAGGCAATGCTATCTCTTCCACGACTTCATGAAGAGCGACCATTGAACAGAAGTTTGCCGATACCGTATCACGAAAGGGACGGAAGATGCCTTGGGTCGATTGAAGCAGAATATTCTGTGTCTTGTTGAACATAAATCTCTATCGTCCTTTCTGTATAGTTTGGTATTCCGGCAGATGAATACATAATTTTCATCGTGGGCAGAACCAGCGTACGTACCCAAGGAGTGTTATCTGATCATACGCAGGTGATCTTGTTTGAGACTCGAAACACTCAACCGCTCCCCTCAAACACCCCCATTCTAGAGTAGCAAACCACGCGATTAATTGAGATGCCTCAGAGCACTCCTCGCCGTCAATCGTAGGTCCTAATGTCCGTAGAATCGATTGGCGTGAAACAGCGGTACTCCTACTTGCAGCTTTTTCGAACGACGGAAGATTTTTCATCTGCAGTCTGCTCTGGTTTGTTTCACATGGTACGATGATCACCAGTTGCACCAGAAGCACATAAATATCGGAATCTCCATTGGAGATTGTATCGATCAAAAGCAAGGAAGAAGAAGGAAACATTTGAATACTATGCTCCAGCTGCACCCGTCACTTCGCACGAGCGCCACCATCCCGCGCACGAAAAGGTGGGGTGGTTGCGGCGCGCAAACAAACCCCCCACATCAACAACACCACCATCCCAGCCAAGAGCAATTCTATAACCCCTATCCCATCCCAATCGCAATCCCAACTGCCATTCAAATCCACCCTTCGCTCCGCTCGGTACCGAACGCCAAAATGCCGCCACCCCCCACGGCGGACGAATCGCCCTACTCCCGCGCTCTTGCCGCCATCGATGCCGCCCATGCCCTCGACCCCAACAAGACAACATCGCCCGACAGCCAAGAAGAAATCCCCTACGAACTGCACTACGCACAGAAATGCACAGCCTACCTCGACCAGCATACCCCCACCGCCTCGCCCGCCCTCCGCCTCGCAATCCGCGCACAGCACTTTCGCCGCTGGGAAGTCCCACGCTCCTCGTACCCAATGACGCGCATCGGATACCACGCATGGCGGACGTTTCTCAAGAAGCGGCAAGCCGAGCTCGTCAAGGCCATCTGCATTGACGCAGGGTACGATGAGGCGACGGCCGAGCGGGTGGGCGCTCTGATACGCAAAGAGGGACTGCGCGAGGAGGACGAGGAGACGGTTGTGCTGGAGGATGTTGCATGTCTAGTGTTTCTGGATGATCAGTTCGACAAGTTCCAAAAGGAACTTGCGGACGAGGAGAAGATATTGGGAATTCTGAGGAAGACGTGGGGCAAGATGGGGGAGAGGGGGAGGGAAATGGCACTCGAGATGGAGATGCAGGGAAGAAGTCGTGAGTTGGTTGAGAAAGCTTTGGCCGGGTAATCGATAATAGAACGAGGGATGGACTGATATGTATATTTTGTATTTATTGGATGTGTTTATATTGTGGATGGGAGAAAGGATGCTATATACTTCAAGCACACATACACACGCACGCATAGGGTGAGAATGCGGTGCTGTAGAGTCTGCAATATGGGGATATCATTTTATAAACCGAGGAAATCATCGCCTTCGTATCGTAAAATCGTCGTCACGGAGGTCCACTTTCTTCCACCGCTGCCGCCTCTTTTACCGCTCATCGAGAGCTATCTCCCCCTACGCTCCGCCCTCGCGCTTAGCGTACTCCTCCTCCATCCTCTCTTCGTACAATCGTTCGGCCTCCAGCTCCTGCTCAGTCTTGGAGCCATTCGAGGCACTTGCCACAGACTGCGTTGATGGATTCGGGACCTGTTGGGCTGTCTGCGCCGTTGCTGAGGACGTGGTCTGAGATTGCGAGTTGCTGGTTGTGGAAGGCATTGGGACGGGCATCTTGGATGGGCGGTTGATTGCTTGCAATAGTGATGTAAAGACTCGAGTTTTGAAAAGAAAGTGATCTTTTGGAGGAGTGATGAATTGGTATGTGGCTTTTGCGATGAAATTGATGGTAGCAACGCGCAGATTTATAGAGCAGAAAACTGGGGATGATGTCATTGTGGCGGTGCATATGTGGCTGGAACCTTCCAGATTCTACATGTATACGACTCACCACCATTTCATGGACTAGAACATACCACTGTCCACGAGTCTATCTACAATTTCAACCGGTTGCTCCACTTGCTCCCAATATTATAAAAGACTAAACATTTCCAGTTAGCATATTGCAACAGATCCGAAACAAATCTTCCATTGCGTGTCGTTGTGAGGCTCAGACTTGCCTTTTACACAAAATTGAGAACACCGACTCCAAGGTTTTACTTGATGCGTGCCCATAATCCGAAGATAAAGGTAGAGGCGTCAAGAAGGATCTTGGTGCCTATCCCGTTTGGCCAAATGTCTTAATCATCGCCACAACATCTACACACTGCATGGAAGAGGAGAACTATAGAAGCAGCCAACATACCTGTAAATAGATACTCAACTCAGTTTCTGAGTGCCCTTTGTCTTACCAGTCTCCATCTTGGCCGTACGGGCACCAAATTGTATCGCGCGCTTCTTTTCTGCTGCAACGTCCTTCAAGCCCAAGTACCAGGCCATGACCCTCAAAAGTCTCTTTCCAGGCTCCAGGAACTGAAATGGATCATCGGATGCTGGCTTTTCCGGTTGGCCAAAATCGCACTTTGAGCGTACCGGCAGCTGCAAAGCAAGGGAGACGAAAGCTTCATCAAGATATGGAAACCGCACCTCTCTACCGGAGTCGCTAATAACACGGTCGTCGCGTCCGAGATTCCGTTTTCCTAAGCGACTAAAATCGAGCCATAGTTCGTCGAGAAGGCCTTCATAGCCACGACGTGAATATGCCACCGCATGCCGCTGGTAACCGCCAAAAAGCTCGTCAGCACCTAAACCTGACAGGAGCACGCGCGCAGGGGAGGTATATGGGTGTTCGCCCGAAGGGCTCTGGGCCATACCAGCCCCCTTTGAAGCAAAGTACAGAGCATACGAGATCGAAAGATCCATTTCGGTATTGTGGGGGTGCATTAAAGTCATGACCTTGTTTCGATTTTTTACAGTCTCTTTGTAGGGGACATCGATTGCCACAAAACGCCAAACACGACCAGGACACATCCTGGAAAGCTCAGCAAAAGAAGCTCTTCCAGTGATACGGTCCGGACAAAGCTCATATGGTGACACCCCGGGATCAAGATTGCTGTGTATGCGGGGGTTTTCGAAAGCGACGTTGATTAAATCAATGCTCTGTTGAGGCCTGATCGTATCATGTGCAAGGCGCGCTAGAATTGTGCAATCGAGCCCACCAGAAAACAGCACAGCTACTCTCGCCTCTGTATCGTTAGGATGTGGGTACACGATGTCGCGCGCATCACGGACATGATTTGTTCGCAATTCTACCGCTTTCCGGAGGGTGTCCAGAGTCTTGGATGGATGTGCATGTAGTTCAACCAAGCTCGATTCGACTGACAGATTAAGAGGAGGAAAAGGGTCATTCTGTCCGGTTCAGCAAGCGTTATCATCAGTTCTCGGTCGCACATACAAGCTGTCCAGACTTGCGACGAGGGATGTGGGTGGTAGCCTCTACGATGGAGTGTGAGATTCTGTCGTCGTCTAGATCAATCATATAGATCCCGTCTGCTTCTAGCTCTGTCCAGTTCTGTCCAGATGTATTATCACAAACGCTCGAGAGGATTAATTGGTCATCAGGCGTAGTCTTCTGCAGCAAAGACCGCCTGCCAAGACAGTCTCTTCCATAATATATGAATCTATTGGTCGCGTCGTAAAAGACAAAAGCATAGGGGCCGCGGACAGTCGAAAGGAATCCGATAGTTTCCGTTGCTGCATCTTTTCGCTCTTTTGCCTGGAAGGGAATCAGATTATAAAGCATGAACGTGGAATCATCTTCGATCTGCATTGCGCTGTCGCTACATCCCCAAGCCTCACCATTCCAGCAGAGCATGGACCCTGTGGGAGAGTGACAAAGAGGCTGCTCGACCATTTCTGAACCTCTCAGAGAGAGGACAGAAGACAAAAAATTGGCATAGAGGTTAGTAGAAGCTGTGGTGATGATTTCAGGAGATCCTCTGAAGCTATCAGGACCTCGATTCTCGAGAAGCTTCCGCGTTTTGGTATCCGGGCCGGGATGGTCATCGCGAGTTAAAGTGAAAAAGATGCCACACATGACAGGAATGTGAATGGTACAGGTCGGGTAATAAAGTCAGCCAGAGGCACATACTTAATTACATGTAAGTATGTATAAGTGACAGCACTTGAGTGCAAGAAAGTCTTGAGCTCTAGCCAATCAGAGCTTAGTTCGACCGGCATATCGAGACGCCGATATCTCTTGGCACCTCAATCATGAGCTGCAGGCCTGCGCACGCGGACTCGATCGACTCGAACACGCCGTTTGGAACGAGTAAACAGAACAGAAAGTCCCTAGATTCACGATCTCGATCGCACGACCGCAGAAACATCCTAGAAATTCCATGGACAATTCATAAACCACACCCGAGCTAAAAGTCGCCGAAGCTGGACAGCGGTCCATGTCTCCTCCGAACCAAACTCCGCAACTGGATGACACGCAGGTGCAGGATGGACCAGACGAGCAGAAGCTGAGGGAGGTTTCCACGAATGTTCAAGAGGGCGTCGCAAGCACAGGATTATCATCTGCGTCCCCCGCCGACGATCTACCTCAACTCCAGGCTGAGAACCTGAAGAACGGGGACCATAATGGTAGTGCGGGGCATGTATCAACACCCTATGACAATGCGGGCACAGGCAAATTGTTGAAGGATAAGGTGGAGGTAGGTGTCGATGAGGTAACCAAATCTGCATCAACTAAGGAGAAGAACGTCGAGGAGTTGGGGGCGAAAGAGCCTGTTACAGCTGGGGATGAGAGTAATGGAGAGAAACAGGCAGAAGAGCGTACAGAACAACCTCTGCCAGATTCTGATGCACAGATCCAACCAAAGGCATCTGCATCAACTGCTGTAGAGTCGTCCGACACACCAATAGTCTCGCCACCAGATCAAGCACCTGCTCCTCCTGCCAACGCTGCCGGAAAGGCTCCAATACGTTCACCGTCTCCACCACCGCCGCCACCCAAAGACGAAAAGTTCCTTCTTACCGGCGAAGTTCCAAGTCGTGCCGCATCTCCTTCATCGCCCGGAAAATCGAACGGAAGAAACTCTGAGGATGCAGATGCCGCCGAGTACGCAGTCAAGTACGCAGGCAACGATGGTGCCGTTGACGATTCTCAGTCGGAAATACAGAGCATTATGGAACAGTTTGATCTTGGACATGGCGGTGGACCAGGTGCAGAAGAAATCATGTCTCCTCGATTAGAGATAGCTCAGCCACTATTAGAATCCCCTGCGTTACATCCTCCTCGCCGATCGAGCCTTGTTCCTCTAGACAAGCCTTTACCTATTCCTACTGAAGGCACTTCCGAGAACGCGTTGCAATCGCCCCCACCACGATCCTCCTCACTTCATCAACCGTCTCGAACCGAACAACCTACAATTGCAAACGAAGATGTATCGTCACCCAAATCGCCCAGTAGTCATGCTTCCCAATTCCAGAAACCTGCGCCGCTCCCCGATCCTGAGCCCGACCTGCCTTTTGACTTCCATCGTTTCCTCGAGCAGCTACGCCATAGAACAGCTGATCCCGTGGCGAAGTTTCTACGCTCATTTCTACTCGAATTCGGTAAAAAACAATGGATGGTGCATGAACAAGTCAAGATCATAGGGGATTTTCTGGAGTTCATCGGCAAGAAAATGGCTCAGTGCGAGGTATGGCGCACAGTCTCGGACGCCGAATTCGATAATGCAAGGGAAGGAATGGAGAAGTTGGTCATGAATCGACTATACTCGCAAACCTTCTCTCCCGCTATACCACCCCCCGAACATTTGGCCCCTTCGAAGAGCAGAAGAAGGCCGGAACCTTTAGGACCCGGTCGCAGGGGTCAACATCAAGAAGACGTTGAGAGGGATGAGGTTCTTGCGCAAAAAGTTCGAATATATAAATGGGTGCGTGAAGAGCATCTCGATATCAAATCTGTAGGCGATAAGGGAAAGAAGTTTCTCAATCTGGCTCAGCAAGAGTTACTGAAGATCAAAAGCTATCGAGCGCCGCGGGACAAGGTAATATGTATCTTGAACTGCTGCAAGGTCATCTTTGGCTACTTGCGAACTTCATCATCAGACATGTCGGCAGACTCCTTCGTCCCGTTACTCATTTATACCGTTCTACAAGCGAACCCTGACCACCTCGTTTCCAATGTGCAATACATTTTGCGCTTCCGGAACCAGGACAAACTTGGCGGTGAGGCTGGTTACTACATCTCATCGCTGATGGGAGCTATACAGTTCGTCGAAGGCATCGATAAAACCTCACTCACCATAACGGATGAAGAATTTGAGAAAAATGTGGAAGCCGCCGTTTCTGCCATTGCTGAGCGACACCAGGCCGAGAACTCACCATCTGCCACAAACGCCCCTTCGCTCCCACCTCGAAGTAACCCTCCAGTCACACCAGGCCATCGACGTGTACCATCACCCCACTCTCTGCATCCATCCGAGAAGTCCACTATATCAAGACCCGAGATCACAAATCGAAATTCGCACGAAGCCGAGAGGGCTGGACCGCGCCGCTCAACGAGTCTGCGCCAGGGACAGCCCGAAAGCGATCAACAGCCGGAAGAGGAGAATGCCGCTGTGGCAGGCCTCCTCCGCACAATCCAGCGCCCTCTATCCACTATCGGGCGAATATTCTCCGACAGTGACACACACGCATCTTCTTCTTCCTCGCCTGGACCTGCAATAACACCGGCGCCTGGTAGCACGCCGCGACACACTCCACAACCTAGTCGTCGCTCGTCGGAGTATCCTGGCGGCAATGCGCAAGAAGGTCACTTGAATGAGAAAGTTAATCGTCGAGAGGCGGACGAGGACAGGCACCGACAGCGCCTATCGGCGGAAGACGCAGCAGCGAGACAGGCGTCGGCCGAGGCGGAGGAAGCCAGGCGCATCCAGAGACAGGAGCACAGCGTTGTTGTGGAGACCCTGGCGGGTATGTTCCCCCAGCTCGATAGGGATGTGATTGACGATGTGGTGCGGATGAAGGAGGGACGGTACGTCTTGTCTTTGCTTTCAAATTTTCATTTCTCTCCCACCTCAATCAATGCGTCGTTTCGAGCAGACGATTTTTAGTCAAGCTGACATGTGTTCTGTTCTTCGTTACAGGGTCGGTCTTGCCGTTGATGCTTGCTTAGCGCTTGCGAACCCGTAATGCTTCTTTGCCTGCCATCTTATGCGGATCAAGGATACCAAATCCATTCACATCACCACTCGGACCTACTTGCAGGATGCATGCAGCTCAACGATAACATCACTATAGACGGCAATACATACCTTTATCTGCTATGCCAGATAGAGGCCATCCTTCCCGGGACCTGTTTGTCAATTTCGCATCTACTACGTAGCAGCCTATGATACATTTTCTACATTTTCACTCAATAGCATCTTTCGCTCGTAGCTTGTTCCCAATGGACATGGATTCATAGTACAAGACATACCCTCACACTGTCTCCTCCCATCGAAGTTGGAAACAATCGAAATCAGTAGACAAGTTATCAAGGTACCTGATCCTTTCTCATGCAATGAAATAAATTCATCTCTTCCTCAAGACGGTGACTCGACTGAGGGTGTAAATATACTTCTCAATGTATTCAACAACAATTGGATAGTTAACACGAGAACAACATCCATTTTCGTTGAGCTACCAATCTAATCCCTCTCAAGTGTGCTTCAAATTCTTAGATACAATATAGGTAAAATGGAAAGGGGCTCAAAATAAAATGATTCCAATCTGGTCTCACGCAGGTGAGGAGACATGATTTTGGATTGTGTGCTGATAGAAAATTGAGCATACTCACCCATATCATTTGAATTGGGTGGAACTGAAAAATGTCACATGGAATCACGCAAACTCGGCTTTGACTATGCTCTTACATGCTCGCCCAATAGCTTTACAAAATCATCATTAAAATTTGTTCGTAACAGGATATGACCAGATTATCCCCGCAGTCTTTCATCACCTTCCCTCACTCATGGCACCCCCCTTCCTGCCATCCACTCTGCGAATTTGTAAACCTCCCGAAAACCAACTCACCCAATAACACACTTCCAGTAACCGCAAAGAAGAATCCCACGTTATCTAAAATGATGTCAGCTGTCATGTTTTGGAGACCGCAGAACTCCAACTCAAAAACTTATCATTGGAGATCGCAGTCCGCAATACTACCAAACGTTGAGAGAGAACGTACAAGTCATGACTGCAAGCATCCTACACAGAGCCAGTTAGCAACGCAACACGTATAATCTCCATAGCTTTGAGACTCACAGAATATATCCCACTACCGCTCTTGTAAACTCGAAAAGCGCTCTCACGCCATCCCTCTTCGCACTCCACCTCGCATTCGCAACCCAAAAACCTTGTATCCCGCCTCTCCTCCCTGTACCTCCAACTTTCTCCTCCACATCTCTCACATTTCTTCCCATTCCCTCTGGTACTGGGCTCAAAGGTTCGAGCTCCTCGTTGGCATGCTCAGCTCTATGCCGTGCTTCTTGATCTCCCCATCGTCTTTCCAGCTGCGTCTTCAGTGCAGCGAGGAACCGATTCAACATTCCCAGCGCGAAGAGGAAGATGAGTGTAAGCGCGTAGGTGGATGGGGTCTCTGTCACCCAGTCTGTGAACCAAAGGGTCACGCGAGTGGAGGTGGAGAAGGTGTTTGCCATTGTCATCGATGCGGAGGAAGGCGCGGAAGGCATACCCATGTTCATGTCCATGCCCATTGTCATGTGTAGATCTATGAGCCTCAGCTATCTGGTCGAGTATAACGGCGAATTGTATCTCAGTGAGTGGGATGGATCTCCAGGTGCTGTACAGAGTGGTGTGGTTGTCGTGAGTTGATGTAAGGGAGAGTCCAGCACTGATGAAGGATGAGAGAGATTGAGGTGGAATGCAACATCTCAAATAGTATTTCCCTCCCCTGTCAGCTGTCTAGATGCGTAGTGTAGTGTGTTTCCGTGAAGCTCAGCCTCCTCCCCGTGGGTGGTTCGGGATTACATAATCTAGTGAGCAAGTTTGCGTGGGTTTAGTATCCACAAAGTGTCGCTGGGCCACATACAACAATTTTATCACCTAAGAAAAAGTTGAAATGCATTTATTGTTGCTATTCAAGTCTAAAATACCTCATTGGGATCTCATAAAACTTGGGACACAAGAGCACATCGAGCAGTGAAACATAGCAGGGGTGTCTTGATAAGTTGTAGGTCCTGTCACTTTCCAAAAAAATAGTGGGCTCCAGCTTACGAGGCTAATATATCTATTTATAAAAGACTTATGGGAGATAATCTTGTTGGAAAATACTTGTGGTGGCAGTTTTTCTCATCCGGTCCGCTGCAACAACACCACAAGAGTAGGATCAGGCTTTCAAAGCGTAGCCAATCAAGTATTCTTCTAGCCTCTAGCCTACTAGAATAACCCTGATATCTTTAATTTTGTTCCCGAGACGGCTCACCATTGGTCACTGCGGCGGAAATCCCGATGGTGTCATCACTCATACCTACCGTCCGAAGAGCATGTCGTCGGTGAGCAACAAAGAGACTGAAAGCGCACAATAAACGCCTCACACTATTATGGGAAGATTCTCGTCCAAAGCAACGCCGAAGCCGACAAGAAAATTTGTACATGCGTTTAGGCGATGAAGCATTGCGACAGAGTCAATATCCAGGTATCTCTCTATATCAGGACAGTGTAGGATGGCCCGTCTGCGCTCCACCTTCTACCAAAAAGCCAGCCGCTGTCACATCTACACACAGAAAATTACAGCAAAAGTATCGTGTTCAATACAGCAGACCGGGCACCTGGGTTAAAGCAACCCCAAGCGCAGATGGTCATATGAGTATCTCCACTACGACCGTATATGTACATTGCGGTCCAATAGCTCTGTATGCTTGGATATTCAGGTGTTACACAAAGAACCTCAGATCTCGTGACTTTGTCCCGCATTAATTCAATGTGAGTAGTTGAGGCTGAGCCCGTCGCGCTCAAGCAGCCGCAAGCTTCCTCTCCTCCACCAGACTCCCCTGCTCATTTTCCAAGGTTTCCAGTTTTTGGCCATCAAATCCTGCGTCACCTCCATCACCCGCCTAGTTCTTTTTGCCGCCCTTCTTCTTCTTCTTGCCGTTCTCCTTCTTGCCATTCTTCTTCTTGCCATTCTCCTTCTTGTCATTCTCCTTCTGGCCATTCTCCTTCTGGTCGGTCTCGTTCTTGGTGTTATCCTTACCATCATCCTCCCTGCCGTCCTCATTATTGTCGTCGACCTCAACTACGCGTTGATCATTGACGCCTGCAGCCGCCATGCGATTTTGCATGGCAATCTTCACGGCCCACAACTCGCGATGCTGCGCCTTAAGATCCTCCATGTGAAACACGAACTGCCGGTGGAGATTCATCTCGAGATCATCGAGGCACTGTTGCAAGTGAACCCACTTCTCCTCCTCTTCTGGAATTTCCGACCTGATGTTGTTCAGGCAATTGACGGCTCCTTTGTGATAGATTGCAAGAGTGACCCTGTCTTTTGCCAAGTCGGGGGCTCCTTTCGTAGCTTTGGACACTCCGGTCTTGACGAACTTGAGGGTTTCAACACCAAGCAGTGCTTGAAGAGCGGGTGGGCTGTTAGTACCAATGCAGCGGCTGACGTAGAAGATACCGGCAATGTAGGCAACATACTTGTTGCTGGCCAATATGCGGTCCCCAATAGCTGCGTCCCACTCAGGCCATGGCCTGAAACGGAGAATGTACATTTAGTATCACTCAAGTGAGGATTTCTCATCATATATTCTAATGCTGGGGATAGGGTATGGCAAAGTGCTTTGATAGGCTATGTAGCATATCATACGTACCAGTCTTGGAAAGGCGTGATCTTCTCCGCGGCGGGGAACAAGGTGCCCAAGGGATCGTGAGAGGAGTCTTCAGACATGGCGCCCGAGAATGAGTCTGATAGACGTAAACGGGAAGTATGTGATCGAATGTGACGAGAGAGTCGGAGTCGTAGAAAGGTGCTGGCGGTCAACGACAAACAAAGGTGAATGAGGGAGCGAGTGGTGTTGTCGATACAAGTAGCAATTTTAAGAGTCCATGACAAACACGCCGGTCACGTGCTGACAAACAGATCCACTGGCTCTCATTGACTCTGTGATAAGACTAATCACGCGACGCGTCTCGTGCGCTGAGCAAACAGCGGAGGATTTCATCGCTATTGAGCTTTTGCAAAGGAAAGGAATCATCTTCGTCACAAACCCTGGGCGTCCTACCATCTGCTCTTCCAATTCTGTCGACATAAGCTCAATATGCCATGGCATATCAGCATGTCCTGAACGCACCAGTTTGATTGATCTGACACTTTGTCTCTGTCTTCCTTGGTAGATTTTCTTCTGGACGAGCGGGCTTTGATCTTTACACCTCGATGTGGCACGAAGTTCCCACACTTGGTTGAACGACGAGCATGCTCCGAACAACGATCTGGACGGCGGCGCGAGGAAATCAACAACATTACAGAACCTACTGAATATCTACTTTACTAGCGGATGTTTCCTCCTAGGCTTCATTATCTCGTTGTTTTTCGTATTCATCATATGATTTCGAAAGTAATAGTCGTGAATGTGTTTTATATACAAGTTTTGGTCTCGTAACAAGTAGCACACATAGGATCAAGCACATGTACATCGTCTAGAGCCAAGCAGTATATATTCTTTTCTAACTTTTTTTAAACTTGCTAATTATCAAGTACAGAAGGGTAGATTGGTTCTTCCTGGGTGGTCTGCTGACTCTGCTCGTGGTCTACTACATACGGACGAGCACATTGTCTGATGACAGTGTGAAGTCTCACTTTTGCTCACAAGCAATGGCAATTAGTCACCCGGCAGTAGTCATATAGTTGTGCTTTTCCCAATGATACCATGAACATTTGCAACAACATCTGAAATTCACTGCATGTCATGCAATGCTTCGACTACCTGACCGCGCCTCCGCAGAAAAGCGAGCGGTAATGATATCATAAAAAACTTACACCACGTAGTGCATCATGGGAGGCGTGGCTGCGTCATGCAGATGATCAAGAGACGCCAATCTCTTCTTCTTCGGGCCTCGTTAACGGCGAGACCGTAGTTTATTTCAGTATCAGTGCAATCTATGTACGAATCCAGAGACAAAGTGTCCGTGTCTTGATGGCTACTATAGAATACTGCTCGGGAAAGTACTGTTGTGGTCCCTCTCACCTTTCCCGTTCATTGAGCCAGGACCCTCACACCGACAACATGAACAGCCTCGCGGACCGCATTCACGTGGATCTAGCCTCTCTTAGTTTTGGAAATTACTTTTAAGCTCCAGGACATATGTGAAGCCCTGCTGATAGTTGCATTCCATTGCAGTTATTTATCACTGTCTAAGTTCCTCAGAATCTACCTCCTCCTCGAGCGCGGCTGTCAGACGGACTCAGACCCCGACGAAAACTGTCCCTTGGATGCGACAGACAAATCGAAAAATTTGATCAAGTGTATTACCTATCTGGCACTTGGTCAAGGATAACATAGACAGATCATAACGCGGCGTGCGCCCACGGTATAACTCCACTTGATTCGATCCGGCACAACAATTAAACCTCCCAACACACAATGCCACTCCCAGACTCAACGCCAGTCGCCAACCCACTGGGAGGCCAACAAAACCTTGCTCGACCCAAAACCAGTTCCAGCGCTGCTACTTTGACTCTCAAGAACCTCATTCTCAGTAACGCGCTCACAGACACACAATCACTATCCCTCCTCTACACCCGACGTGCTCACTTCGAACGATACTTGTGCCCCCACCTAACCGAGTCCCAACGGGAACAAGGTCTTCGCATATTCGATGACGCAATAGAATACGGGGTTCCCGAAGCGAAGAACGAGGGGAAAGGGCTTGTTGGTGTTGTGAGGAAGGTGTTTGCGGACCTTGGGCAGGTGTTTTGGGATGTTCGAATCAATTGGGAAGGCAGTGAGCGAGAGGAATCTTTTGAAGAGGAGGATGCAGAGATAGAGGCGATGAGACACGTGTATGACATCTGGAAGAACGTGCAGAAGAATCTAGGAAGGATTGATCCAGTGCAGCGCAGTTACGTTCTCATGGTGAGTCTTTCCCGTTTCCTGCGTCATTTTTCACCCGGGAAGTCGATGTCTTTTGAGTAATACACGGTTGATGATCGTTTGATCCGTGGCATGCAGACCCTGGCTCCAGAACTCCGGGTTCAGGTTATTTCCTCTTACGCTACGAAGCCTACCGGTCAGCCGCTACAACAATCGCAAGCTCAGACAAACAAAAAGTCTCTGATTGTATCTCTCCCGCTCCGCGTCCCGGAGTCCTACTTTATGTCTCCAGCATTCCGGGATATTCGCGAGTCATTCTACCATGTGTATCACACGGTCATCAAAGACCCCGGGCATCCTATGCACACCTTATCCTACGATTTCATCAACAAAGAAGACGAAGACGGTTACAATTTTGGACAAGGATCAACGCAACACACCCCAAGCCGTACACAGAAGCAAAAGGGCAAGGGAAAGGAGCTTAAAAAGAGCAGCCCGAAGGCGAACACAAAGAACACCCAGAAGACAACTTCATCAATCAGCAGCAAGAAAGCAAAAGAGGCAGCGACCTCCTCTCGCTATGGCAAAGTCGCGGAAAAGAGCCCCGAGAAGACAACAACGGACACGACACCTGAGAGTATGACGTCTTCTCCATCTTCATCCCCATTCAAGAAGCGCAAACTTATAGGCTCCTCACCACGTCCGCCCCGCACATCCCAGATACCAGCAGCAGAAGTCAGCGCAGACGTAGAGATGTCAATTTCGAGCAAGAATGACGATGGCGACGACGACGATGATGATGCGTGGGCGACTGCTTCGGAGTGCGATTCGGACACATAAAGCGTGCATGTGCATGTGAGAGAGAGAAGCAGGGGCAGGGAAGAGAAAGAGGGAAGAATGACTAACTATGGTCCTCTTTGAGACGTGTGTGTGTGGATCGTTTGCATATCTACGCTTCTGGGAGCAATACAGCGTAGATATATGATCGGGATTTTTATCGTAGGGTCGATGTGTTTGGATGCCTGATTTTGTAAACTTTTCTCCCTGTTTACTACATTTCAATATATTTAATATTCGAAACTTCACAAATAATTTTGAAATCGTGGTATAAGTAATCCCGCATAAAGCAATAGGTTCAACGCAATAATAGAACGAGAAAAAATAGCCAATCATCAATTTTCTTTCAATTCTTTGAAAATTTCATGATTCGTAAGTTGGAATTTGGGTGATCTGATATCGAGCTATAGTTACAACGATAGAGGAACCGAAAGCAACAGGCGATTATCGCTTTTTTGTTTTGAAGAAACTCCAAACGGTGGAAACCGCTTCGTGAAATGCAACGATTTAAAAAGTTGTTGCTTCGATTGAAACCATGGGAGTACTGGGCCGTGGCACACTACCAGAACACACTTTTAGTTCAACAGTTAAAAAGACCTACTTAGGCTTTTCGGCTTTTGAATTCGCACTTGCTTTTCGTGGGTGCGGGCAACGGATTATTCTGCCTTTGACGTTTGATGTGCATAGGTGAGCGGGTGTGTAGATTTAGACACGTAAAGGGCTCTACATCATGAATAAATGTTTGTTCGGAGCATATAAAATTACACAAGTTATTGCTCGAGGCACACACGCACTAAATCACTGGCAATGTTGAATGGTACTGACAGGATATGAATCGTTCAATCATGGAAATCATGGAAATCGTCTGCGCCACCGATACTACGAAGAAGAAAAGAAAAGCTCCTATATACAATACACCAACGAATGTCACCAAGGGATCACATAATGACAATAGGAAATATATGAACCCGGAAGAAAAGTTCCGCTCCCAAAATTGTCATAGATCCCGCTTCATGTGTTCAAGAATACACGTGAACGTTTTATCCCCAGTTCCCTTGAGTCGGCTCGTGCGGCGAGGATCCCTGCTGGGGTATCCCCGAACCATACACCAAAGCTTGTCGGACTCTTCCTCCGCTGGGCGGCGGCATATCTGGCATCGTCTGCGTATTGGGCGGCGTGGTGGTCCATTCCGGGGCTTGACTCGCAGCGGAAGATGGTGTGTACTGGCTGCCGTTGTTATATGGGCTCGTAGAATAGGGACTGTGTTGCTGCTGGGCATATGCAGAGGGTGGCGTTGCTGGCGGCCCGTGCGAGTACATCTGCTGCTGTTGTTGTTGTGGCTGCTGGGGTGAAGGTATGGGGATCCAAGATTGCGCTGCGTACGAAGGTTGAACGGGAGTGTGAAGTGCTTGAGGGGATGGATGCGGGGATATGGAAGAGCGTTGATAGAGCTGGGCGAGAACGGCGCCTGACTCCCGTTGGAATCGGTCGCGCCAATGTGTGAAGCCAAAACGGAGGCCGAAGCGGGAGAGTATGGTGGTGAAGTCGTTGATGGCGTTGATGGCTCGAACTGGGGACTCCTGTGGCACGGAAAGACCGTCGGATAGAAGCGGTGTAGGAAAGGGGGGTGGCTGCGCTGTCACAGATGGTGCCAATGGATCGTCAGCTGGAGTTGAAGGTGCAGAGGGGGCAGGAGGTGACGGTTGCCGCGGATCGAGTATCACGTCCAGGTTGCGGGATAGGACGTCGACGAACTGTCTCCCTGTCATATACGCCCGCATGGCATCGTAGAAGGTGACTGGCGGTTTTGTGGTGTTGGAAGGGTTGGAGATGTTGGCAAGAAGGTTGGTAGCATATGCGATGCAGTGTTCGAAGATGAGACGCTGAGCATACTCGTGGATGTGGGGTACACGCGAACTGGGAGAGAGAATGTAAACGTAGCTGTACAATAGCTCAAGTTCGAAGAAGGACTTGAGGGCCGGAAGGGTGCTCTGAGACATGTCATTGAACCATTCAGACATGCGATTGTACATATTCCATATGTAAGGGTAAGGATCATGCCATTGATCTCGGCCGGACTGGAAGAGATCCATGTACCATTCCGACTGGATCTGACGGATTCTGAATAAATCGAGCGCGGAATCGAATGATTGGAGGAACACTTGACTCTGCGGTGAGGAGTGACGTGACGAGGGAGAAGCTGCGCCATGGAAGGGAAGTTGCACGTGCGCTGAGTCATCCGAAAAGGAGAAGGCGCGAGTCTGCACTAGAGATGTCGATCTATCGTGTGTTCAAGGTTAGCGTAAGTCATGGCAGTGGAAGATGGAGATAGTACCTGTCGAGAGAGTACACACACCAATACACACGGCGGCGAATCTCCAGCTTGGATTTGGATATGGGCATGCTCCGCGAGGGATCCTGGTGAATACCCAAATCTACCATGGCCCTTGATGCTGCACCGATCAGAGTCCAGCTATCGTAATGATGCGGGTCCATGGTAGCGTAGATGACCAGTAACACGAGAGCCTGGATACTCGTGACAAATCCCGGATGCAATACCTTTTCAGCGTGCTCTAGAGCAGCATTGGCATGGCCGACAGCATCCGAATACAAGGTATCTCCACGCTGTTCCGACTGCGACAGGCATGCTATGGCGAGCACCATTCGGACGACCCAGAAATCGAAAGGCCTCCCGATTCCGTCCAGATGATAGACGGAATCCACGCAGGCGTACAAAGTGGCCTCTTCGAAGATGGGGAGCAAGGTGTAGATATTGTTCACGTAGTGCTGAATCAAGGGCGTAGCAGCGTATTTCGGAGGAAGGGCCTTGGTGAGACCCATGGGCATTGGTTCTTTAGAGCTCGCAGACAGGATCAAACGTGCGTATGACATTTCTGTAGTGAAACCGTAGAAATCTCTAGCGGTGGCGTTGACAGCCAGCAAACCAAAATCGGACACGAGTTCGTCAATATCAGAAGCTTCTTTGCGACGTTCAGCGCGCTGGCTTCCATGCTTGGCTCCCTTGACGGTTTCGACGGATGAGCGGCGTGGAGTGGCTGGTTGGTCAGAGGCATCAATCATGGCAACCGAGGAGGATTTTCTTCGGGCCCTGGCTTCGGCCATCTTCTTCTCGAGTCTCTCCACACGGGCTTCCAGGGTAGCGACATAGCTCCTTTCTTTGCCTCTGGCAAACTGGTCATTTGTGCTGGAGCATTCCGAGGCGCGATTTGATTTTTCACAGGCGGTACAAGCAGGCAGCTTGCCGTCACACTTGATCTTGGCGCTCCTGCATCGTTGACAGGCCGCCACGGGCCTACTCACACGGAGGAGAGGGGTCTCCAGCACCATGAAGGCGGATGCGATGTCTGCGTATACTGTCACTAACGCTTCGAAGAGAATGGTAGGAGAGACGATTGCCCAATTCGGCAGGACAGTCTAGCTGGGGCGGAGATTGTATGGGTTGGTATAGGTTGAGATGGTGTGGAGAAAAGGAAGGTTAGACCAGTCGGGGGGAAAGCAGGGCAGAGACATAGGAGCCAGACATGTGTGTCATTTGCACTAGACAGCGGAAGAAAAGAAAAAAGGGAGAGAGAATATAACGTTGCCACTGACCGGTGTGGTATGTACAAGATGAGGGTGAGAACTAGGTACGGATGGACTGTGGTCGCTGGCTGGCGGGTCAACGTTGTGGGCTTAGCGTGGGCCAAGTGGAGCGGATTTCTCCCCCCCACCACGTTCAGCTCTCGTGTTGGCTTCAGGCGTTGAGGAGGCCCTTTGCACTCGGCTGCGTCTTCTTCTTCTTCTTCTTCTTCTTCTTCTTCTTCTTAACTCTTTCGCACAGGAGATGCAGCGGCGCAACAGAATGGCGACTACAGGATTGTATGCGACATTGAATCGACGTACCAGGTTGGTGGCTGGCTGGGATTGGAGGTGGGGTGGGGCGGAAGAAGGTGAGGCCGCGGGCACTACGACGAGAGAGGTGCACGAGCCGTGGCAGACACGAGGGGAGAGACGGATACGGATTACAAAAGGCCTTTTCACCCTATCTCGTCGGTTTGGTTCTTGTTGCTTTTCTTGTTCCAATCGTGATTATCGTATTAACGGAACCGTGAGCTTGGGTGAGACGGGCGAAAACACGTGTACATATTTATGGGTACATATGTAGCATGCAGTAGAGGCCGTTGTCAAGGATATGTCACCCAGCGCCTGTCCAAGTACGTGAACACTTGCCTGTACATGGTTGTACCTGAAATACGACGTCGATCATTGCAGACGGCTTGAAGGATCATGGGATGAATGGGATCATGGTGGTCCATCGGCACACACAAATTCCACTCATGTATGCATCCCGTTGCCCACTTCGCTCTGTTGCATCGCCAGCCTCATCTCCCCATCATGGTCGTATCAATTCCACCCATTCAACATCTGCTGGCCGTGCCCCGCCAAGTACACGCTGTTCTGGACGGTGATTGGCCATGGCCAAAGTAGAGCTCATCTGCCATCAGACAAAAGCAATCATGTTATGGTTTGTACGGCCATGTGGATAGACGGACAGACGGGAAGAAAGGGGGGGCACCATGGTTTGCCATGTATGTACCTATGCCATGTAGCCAAAACCACCCGGATCCAGATCCAGATCCACGGCCAGGCCAGGCCTCGGGCCCAACCTTAACTAACTTCTGCTACCTACCTACCTATCCTCTTCCCTCCCGAGTCCCTTCTCATCCCATTCTCTCCCGTCCCGCTCTCCAAGAGGCCGCTTGGCTGCCTCTCTTGTGCGACTCCCTTTTGCTTTGCTCTGCTTTACTTTACTTTGCTTCGCTGCACCCGGCCTCGGCCCATTTCCCTTCCTTGCCCCATCCCCGGAACCCAACTCACCTGCTCCCCCCTCCTTCCTCCCAAGCAATCGTCGGCCTCCCATCCCATCACCCCTCACCACCGTCAGCCTCCCTCCGACTCCCCAAGTACCTCCTTATTTACCTACATACTACAACTCGGACGACTCCGACCATCCTCATCTTCCTCTCCGGCTGCTGTCAACCAACGTCTATCCTGATGTTCGCCCGGTGATGGACGCGCCGCCCCACCAAATTCGCTTCCCTCCTCCCGCCCCCGGACATTGCCCGCTCGCAACGCCTCCTTCGCCTTGTCCTACCCGCAGCTAAACCCCCGAGCTTGACAGACAGAAACTCAATGGATGCCCAATCCAAAGGGGACGCTGCGAATGGGTCCACCGCCCCAGGCAGGATCGCCCATACGCTGACAGCCTGCTGCCGCTGCCGCACACGCAAAACCCGATGCGACCCCGGCCTTCCCCGCTGTGGCCCCTGCGAACGCACAAACTCCCACTGCGAATACTTCGATCCCACCAAGAACCGCAAAATCCCTCGCGATTACGTTGTCCACCTCCAGCACAAGGTTCGCGACCTCGAAAAGCAGCTGCAGGAGCTCGAACGCGACGATGCCGAGCCCGACCCAGAGGATGTCATGCGCGGTGCCGCCGCTGTGAGGGTACAGGATACCGACGAGTCCAAATTCCTAGGGCCGTCGAGCGGCATCACCATTACGCGCTTGGTCATGCAGCTGGCCAAGCAGTTCACAGACTCCAAGAGCATTTCCGAGATCGTCCCCGACGCCTCGGTCAAGTCCATCAAGGCTACATTTGACCAGGAGGATGCTCGTCCCACGTCCAAAGTCTACCCGCTGGTCAGCGACGTGGCTGCCGAAGAGCTGCCCAATCGCGACCTCACCAACCTTCTACTCGAGCTCTTCTACTGCAAAGTTCACCCCATGTATCCAATGTTTCACGAGCCTACTCTTTCCAAGGATGTCGATCAGGTATACAACGGTTCCAGGGACCCCTACCAAAACTTCTGTCTTCGCATGGTTATTGCCATCAGTTTACAGCGGATGGATACACAATATGCTGGTCTTGCCGACAGCTATTACATGGCCGCCCTCAAATTCTTCGAGAGCGCAATCAAACCCATGAACATCAAAACATTGCAATGTTTTGCTCTGATTGCGGGCTATTCTCTGCTCACTCCCACCAGGACTGCCGTTTACTATATCGTTGGCCTTGGGGTGCGCCTTTGCCAGGCCCTGGGGCTTCACGAGGAGAAGACCATTACTTTAGGTCCAGGCGGCCGGCCCGCAGATCCTTTGGAAGTGGACATGCGCCGTCGGCTCTTTTGGAGTATACTGACCATGGAATACGGTCTGTCACATAGTCTAGGCCGCCCTAGCCATTTTGCCACGAGATGCGAGCACATTGACGTGAATTTCGGTGAGCTAGTTGACGACGAGTTCATCACCAAGGAAGGAATTTTGCCTGCGCCCCAGGCATCGCTGAAAAAATGGATTGGCATTCACTTCTTCAAGATGCGGGTATTGCAATTGGAAATTCGGCGAAAACTCTATCAGAGAAAAAGGCCAGAACCCAAGAATGATCAAGACCCTTGGTTTGCCGAGATGTATAACAAGATGGAGCGTTGGAGAGATACTGCCCCTGAAATGGACGGCGGTTCTGGTTTGAACAAAGTCTGGTGAGCAATCAACCCTGGCGTATCTTGAATCTCCTTGTACTTACATTGACTAGGTTCATCGGACGATTCAACACGATGGTGTGCTTCCTTTACCGGCCCTCACCACAAATCCCCCGTCCCTCGGCCCGCGCCGCTGTTCTTTGCTACGATGCCTGCGAGTACAACATATACATGACTCGCAAGCAAATAGAAACCAAGAGCGTGGACATGACCTGGATCTTCACGCAAGCCATCTTCATGGTCGTCAATGTCATGCTCTGGTCGCTTTCCTACTCCGAAGTGCGTCGAAATCACGGTCGTGAAGAAGTGGAACGTCACCTTCTGGTTGCCCTCGAATCTATTGAGCTTGCATCTGAACGTTGGCCAGGCGTAGCGTCCGCTTTGGAGTTGTACCGCAACTTGATCGGTGCATGCATGAAAATCTACGACAAAGACGGTGATATTCCAATAGCGGCGGCCTCGCCTTCGGATAGCGCCTCCGTGGTGAGCAACATAGTCGACGGCATCAATCGTTCCCGCACAACGAGTCCCGCAACAGCATCCACCGCATCAGTAAACACGCCTTCGGAGTCTACACAGCCTCCATTTGGTTATTTACATGTCAATCAGAACCAGAACCAACCGATGTTCAATTTCAACTCGCTACAGCAAGGCATACCCACGAGCGAGTCGGGTGGCATGTCACAATCTCAAACCGCACCTACACACTTCCCTGTGCAGTCTCATGCTGCGCCTCAGTCATATGTGGATACCAATGCGAAACCTCCCATGAGTACCGACACCCAGTCCGGCGTTCCTACCTTTAATTACTCCCAGCCGACACAATTCAACTCGTTGCCAACCACCTTCGCCGAACTTTCACAGTGGAATCCGGCATTCTCCATGCCCATCCAAGAACCTTTCAACATGCAAAATCAGCCCTTGGCGTCGCCCATCTACAATGAGAACTATGCAGCTAATCAAGGATACGCCATGACAGACTACTTGTATCCACAGTGGGGTCAGGACCACCGGGGCAACGGTCTTAACCAAGAGCAGCAGATGCAGCTCATGCATGATTTCGAAGCAAACGAAACAGGGAAAATTGAAGAAATGATCCAGCAAAGTCACGAGCTTTTCCGTCCCCAGGTCCAAACATATTGAAGCAAGCAGTCTGCAATGCACTAGATAATTCGGTCGATGATGTTGCGATTTTGGGCAATTTCGCATATCTCCCAATTTGGTCGACCTCACATTCCCGCGGCCACCTGCATCGCGGTTGTAAATCCTGCCACATCCAACCTCAGTCCTTTTGCATTTCCATACCGCGAACGGCTCCACCATGCAGTATCTCGAATCGTGGCCATTTTCACGGGCCTTGACTCACCTATGGCGAAGAGACTTGCGTAAACGCACATGATTAACCTCATCCGCAAATCAGTGCCAGAAAAATCGTCGTAGAGAAGACGCTTGGTTGCCCCAGCACCCCGAAGGAAAGTCTGAAACGAGAACTGAACGGCTTCTGGCCGCCCTTATTCTACAACTACTGTATCCTTCCCAGGGGCTCTATAATGATCTGCACCTAGCGACGCTCTTGCTCCACTAGGGTAACAGGAACCCTTCTTCCAGAAGTCAGGTACTGTTCCTTGTCCGAATATAGATGCCAACACCGATGTATCGTGCGGAATCCAGGTGCACGATAAACACTAGAGCTACCGTACTTCGGATTGGAACCTCGAGGCAGAGCCGGCTACGATGTTTCAGAGTCGTTGGACAATTGCCCAGATGATGACTGGGTACACACCCGCCTTGTGAAACGGCGTCAGTCCTGCCCTCTGTAATCGGTCAGAAAATCAATTTCCCCGCGTGGAGAAGGTCCTCTAGTCACATTTCGTTGTCGCAGAATGAAGAATCATCATCGTTTTCATCCTTTCGGAGGAGAACGTAAGATAAGGCGAAATGGCTTCCGTCTCCAGATTATCAACGTCGCTGCGATTCGTTGACACAGGGGAATTGTGAATGAAAGATGGAACGGCGCAGACGATGGCGGGTCGTTACTTTATTTTTAGCACGAGTATTGTCGTTTTTGTGGACGATTTATGTTATATACCATATACTTTCTATCTTGCTTAGCTTATTTGACATAATGAAGGATAATCCTAGGATTACTTGACATCACATCTCACATACCACTTCCACATTTAAGGACATAAAGCAAGCAGAAGCCCGTATTGAAACTTTACCTCGATATGCTAATGTAGGTATCCCACTAAACGGTATGCACACACGTATTTTCTTTCTTCGTTGGCCAAACTTCTTTATGCACCTTTATACAGCTCATCGTCTCATCCATACCTGACCTCACCCGCCCCATCCCTAAACCAATCTTCCCCCTGCAAGCACTCCTCCACACTCGCAAAATTCACAACCGTGCTTTTGACCTTCATGTACGCCCGCAAAGCATCCACCCCATTCTCGCTTCCGACCCCAGACGCGCTCTTGACGCCTCCCCACGGGCTCGACGGGTCATTCCGATGATGCGTATTCACCCAACAGATGCCCGCCTCCACACCTTCGGAGACACGCATCGCCTGCGCAAGATCCTGCGTCCACACGGCCGCGCCGAGCCCGAACTCGGAATCATTCGCGAGCTGCAGAGCCTCTGCCTCGGAGGTGAAAGGGACCACGACGATGACGGGGCCGAAGGCTTCTTCGCGCCAGATCCGCGTCTCCGTGATGTCTCTGGATGCGCTGGACGTAAGGATTGTCGGCGGGTAAAAGTATCCCTTTGAGAAATCCGTCTTGTCGATTGTGGATGTAGACGTTAATCTCGCGCCGCCTGTGACGCACGTAGCGCCCTCCGCGACTGCAGCGTCAACGAGGGCTTCGACATTCGCGAGCTGCTTCGCGGAGATGAGCGGGCCCATCATGGAGTCTGGGTTAGATGGGCTTCCCATGCGGCGCTCGATGCTTTTGGCTTTTTCGGTGAGTTTGGCTACGACCGTGGAATAGATGCTCGATTGCACGATGATGCGTGTAGCGGCCACGCAGGTCTGCCCACTGGCGATGAAGCTTCCGAATGCGATGCCGTTGACTGCTGCGTCGACGTGCGCCTTCTCCATGACGATCAAGGGCGCTTTGCCGCCTAGTTCAGCAGTGTAGTGGGATAGGTTGTGTCCTGCTATCGCGCCGATGGCACGACCTGCAGCTGTCCCGCCAGTAACATCGACTTTCTGGATGAGAGGGTGCGAAACGAGGGCTTTTCCTGTTTCTACGCCGTTGCCGGTGACTACGTTGAAGACTCCATCCGGCACGCCTGCCTCCTTGAGGAGCTTGCCAAGCTCGATACTGGTTAGTGGGGTTAGTTCGCTGGGTTTGAGGACAATTGAGTTTCCAACTGCGAGAGCGGGAGCGATTTTCTTGACGGCGATGAGCATGGGGTGATTGAAGGGGGTGATTTGCGCGACGACACCCAGCGGGACACGGTCTATCCAGTTGTGAAGTTTTCCGGTTGTTGGGAGGACCTTTTAGAAGGGGAAAAACATGTCAGTGAAATCTAACCAGACAAGATTCGAGAAGGTATTGGAAATTTCAAAGTTACATCTCAGGTGATGTATCAATGTTCCACCTCATTGTTCGATACGTCCAGGAAATCGAAACTTACACTGCGCTCCTCAGTCCGGATCAAACTCGCATAGTACTTGAACCACTTCACAAGCGTCGGGACCTGTGCGTTCATTTCGCGAATAGCACGGCCCGTCTGTCGAACCTCCAGCTCAATCAACCTAGGAAGATTCCGCGTCAGGAGGTCCGCAGCCTTCTCCAAGGTATCGGCCCGCACGTGGCGAGGAGCCTTGGACCAAACGCCAGATTTGAAAACATCATGGGCAAGCCTGACTGCCTCATCTACATCGACTGAGGATGCTGAGTGGCATGTAGTAAATATCTCGCCAGTCGCTGGGTCTTCAATTGGGATTCTGGTAGAGGAAGTCATGTTAGAAGATTGAACTAGTATGAGTTGAAGTGGGTGAGTGATGGGGTCCTGCTGACTGACGGCTCCGCTTGCCCTGCCTTCTCTTGCCCTCCAATCCACATTTTGATCGCTTCGGAAGCCATGGTAAAAGTAGCGAAAGCAGTGAAGAGAAGAAGACTTTGGGGATGAGGGGTGGTGGAGGTACCTCGGAGATGGCCGATCGCAGCGATAGCGCTAGTCTTGGCATGATCTATCTCTGAATCTAACCTGTTCATACCGTCCATAATTTATGGGTCAAAACGTGTGATCTACTGGACGGCAGTGAAATACTGCGGTGATAAAGAATGGTTTGAAGTTCTGATTGGAGCCTACAATGTCAATAGTAAGCCTAAGGTGGTGGTTTAACGATTCTATCACGTGGTTATATCCTGCACAGTACGTGCACATGTGTGTATAAATCCCGATGTTCAATGATGGAAGTCCCTTCATGTTTCGACGGAATGAATTCAAATAGAGCGCCTTATATACATAGATCCTCGTAGCAAATGTTCGGCGCGGATTGTTATAACCTCTCGCCGTGAAAACTCGAGTCATCCTCAAAATGATTATGTACAAGACAATTAAACGAAATACAGTACGTATCCTGAAGGGAGAATATATCTGGAAGTGTAGCGACTGGACAAGAGATCTTTCCCCGGGCAAACAATGAAATTACTCGAATATGCGTCGGCAAGGGCATAATTGAAGCTTTTATCACAACCCGGCATCGAATCGATACACAGCTCAGCATACCAGAAAGTACGGTCACCGATATGCAGAAATATATAACAATTCTCCCCGTCTTAAGCAGACATGGCGAAGTCGACACAGTTCTCGTAGGTTTGCTGGGCAGATGTGCCGAACCAGAACCATTGCATAGTGCACTCTCCCGGAGTCTGGCAAGCAGCTCCAAGGTTGGTCGGCATGGTCACACTGAAAGCCGTATTGTTGGCAGGCAATTTCGCCAAATTTTCGTCGGCATACGAGTCGAATACAAGCAATGGCTGGCCAACCGCAGTATTGGTAGCAGTGTCGATGATGGAGACGTTGGCCGGGCCTTCATGAGGGATGGGAAGTTGAGCCTTGAAGGCAACTTTCTCGCCAGGGGCAAAACTTTGAACATTGTTGACGTTGTCTTCAAACTGCGCTCCTTTGCAAAGAAAGATGTTGCAATCCGCAGCGCCGTTACTGGGAATGTTCTCGAGAGGACCAGTCCCATCCGCGAGGATTGCAGAAACGGCTGATGCGCCGCAAACCTGCTGCATAACAGGGCCGGGCTGGCGGGCTGGCGGGCTAGTGATGTTGCCGTGGGCAAGCGCAGTGGCGGCGAAGAGAGCCGAAGTGATGATGGCGGATGTATACATTGTAATGGGATGATTTGCAACTTTTAGGGTATCTCGCAGTTAAATCAAGGATTAAGATTGGCTCAAGGAATGACAGTAAAACGAGTGGCCAGCACAAACAAGAAAGATAGATGGGATGATTAAAATGGACGAAGAGAAAGGGCAGAGATAAGTAGTTATGTGGAAAGACGGCAAAATTTCCAGGGCGGCCCATTGCATGAGGTCTCATGGGTAAGGCAGCTCCGAAAACAAGGTGCATATGAACCGGCTGCAATTGTATCCCGAGATGGGGTATTATACCATGAAACACGGTACACGGCAGCGTGGTGTTTGATCTGATTTGAGGGTATGCCATATCCTGGGTCAGAATGTACGTGAAATGGTTTAGCCTTCATAAGTGGTTGGTTCTGTCGCGCTTCATGACGATGTAGGGACGGAGAAGATGAAATGCGGTTCCCAATTGAATTCCAGCTTGGCAGCGTTATTGCAGATGTCAGGATGCATGAGAATTGCTAGTCAACCGATCGCAATCTCCATAAGAATGTGGCTCAGAAATGGAACATGTTTGGCGAAGAAAATGCTTGAGCAAGCTTGATGCGGGCTTGGCGCCGGTTTCGTGTCTGGGGATGTCTCGGCCGTGTTTGAGGATGGCGGCAATGTAGGGCTTGACGTGGACTATCGGTTCCTGAGGCAGGAGTAAACGATTGTGCATGTGGATGGAGCACAAGAAGGCGGCTGGGGAGGTGCACGATGTAGTGCAAGTAGGCAGCGAAGGCACAGGTGGTGGTAAAAGGAAAAGTCTCCGGGCTGGCTGCGGGACAATAAGTATCAATGGCCCCCGCGTGTGTCAGGGCAATTAGTCGCATCTAAGCGATGTCAAGAATGAGGAAGGAAATGTTCCATGCTGGTAGATGATATCTGTGGAATCAGGGAAGGGACGAACTAATAGTAAGAAAAAGAAAGTATTTATCCCCGGAGGCGGTGGAGGCGTGGGCCCTAGAAAAGGAACGAGTGTTCTTGGATGGAGGGCTGCGTGGGATCGCTAGCTAGGCGCGCGGGGGGCAAGCGGGAGAGCGGGGGAGCGGTGTGATTGAGGCTACGTGTTCGGGACGATGGAGAGAAAAAGGAAAAGTGGCAGACGGGGAAAGCAGGTAGGGCTTAGAAGGATTATCGTGAAGGCGAGGTTGGTGTATCGAAGACAGAATCGAGGCCAGTGTAGGCATGTGGCAGAGGGAACAGCGGCCAGTGGCCGGTCCACGCCAGGCGGTGATTGGCCCCGCTGCCCCTCCAAGCATCAGCTCACCCATGACGTATCTGCGGGAGTGCCTGCCGTCGCTGCCAATATGCCAACTCACCCGTTGCGGTGGGTGGTGCGTCTATTTATCGAGCTCAACAATCTTCTCCGCCTGCTTACTTCCTCTTCTCCCTCTCTTCTTATCCCCATTCCCTTTTCTCTCCACCCATCTCCAGACTTGCAAAGTCCTTCAATTGCATTCCCAGAAACTCTGACACCCGAACCCAAACACCACTACCCCATCTCCACTCCGCCACCATGGGCAAGGTACGCACCGTTCTGACCCAGCCTTCCCCTCGTCTGCCCCGCACTAACCGCCGTTGACCCACGTCGACAGATCAAGTACGTGTTGCTCGACTGCGACAACACCCTCTGCCAGTCGGAGCGGTATGCCTTCGAAGCCTGCGCCGAGTTGACCAACGAGTTGCTCGAGAAGCACGGCATCGACAAGCGCTACACCACCGAGCAGCTCCTCGAGGACTTCGTCGGCCACAACTTCCGCGGCATGCTCAAGGCTCTGCAGCCCAAGCACAACTTCACCATGGCCGACGATGAGCTCGAGACGTACGTCGACGCCGAGCTCGGTCGTGTCACCAAGAAGCTGAGCGAGAAGGCCGTCGAGTGCCCCGGCGTCACCGAGCAGCTCGAGGCTCTCAAGAGCCAAGGCATGCCCATGTCCGTCGTCAGCACGTCGGCCAAGAGCCGTGTCGTCGCCTCGATTGAGAAGTGCAACCTTGCCCGTTTCTTCCCTCCCGAGCACGTCTACTCCGCCGCCACCTCCCTCAACCCCCCCAGCTCCAAGCCCGACCCCGCCATCTACAACTTCGCCTGCAAAGAGCTCGGCGTCAAGAACGAGGAGGCCGTCACCGTCGAGGACAGCAAGTCGGGTGCTACTGCCGCCATGCGCGCGGGCATTCCTTGCATCGGATACGTCGGCATCTACGGTATCGAGGACGGCAAGGAGAAGATGGACGAGATGGCCAAGATCCTTACGGAGCAGACCAAGTGCAAGGCCATCATGTACGACTGGAAGGACTTCCCCAAGCACCTCAAGGAGGTGGAAGATCAGATGTAAGCTTGTCGTCTACACGAGCTTTGTTGGCGACGGGAGCCTGGGAGACGGGTTTAGTATACCCATGATAGATCACGATTAACGAAAAGGGCGGTGGCACGACTGACGATAGAAAAAGATATCCTATGCATTTGCTAGAGCAAATAATAAAATCCAGGCTGCAGGCCATGTTGCTCCATGTTTGTTTGTTTGTTTGTCTGTTTACTTGTTTGTACCATGACGTTCTGGTGACGTTTCGTGATGTGTTTGGTCCACTTCGCCGTGTAGCCGAGTCATGGCGATTTGTCTAGGCTGGGTTCATGTAGATTGGGTGTGTCAAGTGTTATAGATATGTATATATTGCAGCTGCCGCATTGCGACACAGGAGCAGATAATGATGCGAGATGCCAGCTCAGAAGTCACACAATATTGTCGCGAGGTTACCGGCGCCAGCATACCGAGTCATTCAACAAGGCCACCAAGAAACCATCATGCGGTTTCGCGGTGGATACTCTCGGGCCAAGGTTCGCGCTTGTCACCATTCAGCAGACCACATCCAGCTTTTTTGCAAGAGCAACCCTGCCATTGCGCTATGATATCCATGAATATTAATAATGTAGTGTATTGGCCGATGCACTCCCAACGACGGGGGGAACCTTTGCAGTTGGACGATAAGAACAATCATCCCCCGTTCCCCCGCTGACCTGCCTGGATAGGGATCGCCTTCCCCACAGGCACCGGGCGATGGTTGCTGTCGGGTCTGCCGGCGCTGGGGGAGGAAGGTTGAGGTTTAAGATTCATCTGAAAGTTCCATCGGAGCCTTGGTATTCTCACGTGCTTCTGGCGTTGCCGCGCGAAAGGGGAAGGTTGGTCGCGTGCCAAGAAACAAATTCGATATCTGGACAGAGGGCTGACTGGTGATTTCGGAGATATTCCTTCAATGATGGGATCGTTTCCCGTAGATAGCGTGCGATGCGATCAACGGCCATCGCGGGCGGTTGCATGATCTTCGCCCCGTGGTGCTCGTTCAGGCTCTTGGCGCGCGACTGGACGTTGATTGCCTCCTTCCTCTTCCATCTCTTGCCATACAACAACAAGCTTTGGCTAATCTATCTCAACCAATGCTGCCCTACACAGCGCCAGCGAAGCTCTTTCAATCAAAGGCCTTGTCGCTGTGCCAGTCATGCCCCCAGAGACAGACCCCCCGCGCGGACCGGACTCGAAATCGGGAAGGCAGTCTCCAAGTAATGGTGTGGTCCGTCTTTGTTTGCCCACTATGGGATGCAGGCCTCATCGCCACTCATAGCACTTTGATCTATCCGAGGAAGGAGCGTTGGGATGTACTTATACTATAAAACCCGCTCAAACCTGCTCCAATCTTCTCACCTTAGCCTCGTCTCCTCCCAGCCTGTCTGTCTTTGAATTGTCTTAGCAGCCTTCCGCCATCATGTACCTGCGAAGCGCCTTCATCTCGCTATCCGCTCTGGCCGTTACTGCCAGGGAGCTGCCCAAGGATGAGGAAGCTGGGGCCCGCCTGTACGACAGCGGCATCAAGCACATGAACAACATTGCGCTCAAGGAAGTATGTGACGCAACTCCTTCGTGCCTGTGCTTGCTGTCATGGTTGGACGCTAACTACCCGGTGTTAGGAAACTTTCGCCCGTCAGGAAGCTGCTGGTGCCTATGAATCTTCGCAGTACGCCGAGATTGCCGATGTCGTTACCTGCTCCAATGGTACCGCCGAGGTTGGCTCCGACTCCTTCAAGTGCTCAAATGTATGCCATCTCTTACCCCTATCATACGTCCGCTGACACTCGGTCAAGATTGACCTGCTCCACTTCCTTCCCCACTCCGACTTGGGAAGCGTTCGTGGCTTTGGCTCCTCCTCTTGGGGATGGACCAGCGCAGATGGTCGCGAGTTTGTGGCCATTGGTCAGTCTGATGGTGCTGCTTTTGCCGAAATCTCCACCGAAGGCAAGCTCATCTACCTCGGTCGTCTCCCTCACGCCTCAGTCCCAAGCAATTGGAGAGAGATCAGGTCGCACAATGACTTTGTCATCATCGGCAGCGAGGCCCAAGGGCACGGCATTCAAATCTTCGACTGGAAGAAGCTTCTCGATATCGACCCGGCCAAGCCTGTTACCTTCGACAAGATCAAGGACCTTGTTGGTTACTACGACAAGCTTCCTAGTGGCCGTACGCACAATGTTGTGACTAACCCCGACGGCGACTACATTTACTCGGTCGGCGCTCAACCAAGGACGGATGCCTGCAAGTCTGGAATCATCTTCATTGACATCAAGGATCCTTCCAAGCCAACCAAGGCCGGTTGCGCCTCTCAGGATGGCTACGTACACGATGCTCAGTGTGTGACCTACAAAGGACCCGACACTCAGTACGTAGGCCGCGAGATCTGCTATGGATACAACGAAGACACTCTCACCATTTACGACATCACCGACAAAGCTGCCCCCAAGGTTCTATCCATCACCTCCTACGAGGGAGCATCCTACACGCACCAGGGTTCCCTTCTTGATATCGAGGATCAGCGCTATCTCCTTCTTGACGACGAGTATGACGAGTATGACAAGACCGGCCCCGGAATCCCAGGTAACCCTATTACCTACATCTGGGACATCTCCTCGCTGAAGGCACCCAAACAGACTGGAATCTACAAGTCAGGGGCAAAGGGCGTGGACCATAACATGTATGTTGCCAATGGTTTCGCGTACCAGTCCAACTACGGAACTGGTTTCCGCGTTCTTGATGTGCGTTCTATCCCTGAGGACCCAACTGGCGCAGGTGTCAAGGAAGTCGGCTTCTTTGATATCTACCCTGAAGACGACGATCAGCCTGGTGGCGGTATAGTGGACTTTGTCGGAACGTGGAGTTCGTACGCCCTTTTCAAATCTGGACACATTTTCGTCAACACAATGGAGCGCGGCGGGTTTGTGCTGAAGATGCAGGAAGGCTCTCAGAAGTAGACGCGTGTGGACATGTTGTAATGTAATGGGAATGAAGCCTAGGACGTAATATTGTCCATATACCCCTACAATGAAGATTTAATGTGCATAAGAACTCATTGAGCAAACCTTTTTTATACACCCTTTTTTGTAAATAGACGCTAGCGCTTTTTGGCTAGTCTCGCAGTCACGACCACAGTGGCTGTGCTGTGGCGCCAGTCTAGCTGTTTTTAGGCTGTTCCCTGGCCTGACCGTCCACACCTCCTCCGCTTTCGCCAAGCCGGAGCAGATGCATGAGCCGCAATCTACGATGACCGCCAGTCTGCCTTCACAACGATGCGCCTTCCTCATTCCGAGCGTCGAAACGCCATCCCGAAGACAAGATCGCGTCCCCCGTGAAGCAGAGCCTCCATGCGGCCCGGCCTATCAAAGATGAACGGAGACGGAGGATGCGATGATGTGGTACCTCGCGCCAAGATCGTGGCGTCGTGGTCTCTCGCTTTTCCCCGTCGATCTTCCCCTACACCGATGGAAGAATGGCGGGTTATCCGTCGTTATCGTTGATTGTGGCGTTGAGCTGAGTGGGGAAGGAGGTGGAGCACACTTCAAGACGATGAGGTCTGGAGATGACCATGCTGTTGAAGACGAGATGTGAGGTTTGAGGCAGACCTGGAATGCATTTCCGCAATTTCCATGGCATGTTGCGCTGGAATGGCGCCTGCTATTGTCAGAGATGAGATTGAATATCGCAAAATTGTGTGCGCAGGCCGACTGCCAACCAAACCCTATTTATTCCGACGCCTCAGTAGGTCACAGCATCCGGTTGTGTACATCGTGCCCTGACCTGCAGCAATTGACACGGGAAATTGCCTAACGAGCTTCTTGATTAGGCAAGGGGCGGATTTTGCCATCGCAGCATAATGGAGCATCATCATATCCAAATTTCGACCTTTATCAGTGGATACGAAAGAGATAGGCCCAGATCTGGGGGTTTTGCCTTCTTGGTTATCTACACAATGAACATATATATCGGCGCGCGCATCTCTCGCCTTCGTGGACCACGGGTCTCTTTTCTTTCCCCCGCATTGTCTCCATCGTCCATTGGCACCACCCACGATCAATCTTCTTCGGCTTGTGATTTTCTGACAATTGATCGAGATCGATATGAAGACTACAACGTCAATTGTTGCCGGGCTGGTCGCGCCTGTTGTTGCTCAGTATAAGCCTGTTGTTTCTTCCAAGGAGCTTGTAGGGCTTGTCAACACCGAAGAGCTTGTTGCAGGTGCACAGGATCTCTACGACATCGCCAAAGCCAATGGCAATACCAGAGCTTTTGGCAGTCCAGGCCATAACGCCACTGTTGAATACATCTTTGAGGCCCTGGTGGAAACAGGCTACTACGATGTTTACAAGCAGCCTTTTGTGGAACTGTACGAGGACGCGCAGGTAGATTTCAGCGTCGATGGGGTAGAGTACGCCGCGAGATATTTGGTGAGTTTGTCATCCTACCAAGGTTAAGTTGTTACAGCACTGATGAGACCCATGCAGACATATTCGCCTTCGGGAGACCTCGACAAACCTCTCATTGGGATTTCAAACATCGGTTGCACCTTGGAGGATTATCCTACATCAGTTACTGGCAACATTGCCTTCATCAAGCGTGGCGAGTGCTCTTTTGCACAAAAAGCTACCAACGCGAAAACTGCGGGCGCGTCTGGTGTTATCATCTATAATCACTTGAACGAAACGCTTTCGGGCACTCTTGGAGAGCCCGGCGACTGGCTTCCGACTGCAAGTGTTGAGTATGGACCCGGTCAAGCCATTCTCGCTCAGCTATCGGGCTCCAATTCCACGACCGCTTCTCTCACCATCGATGTTGTCCAAGAAAACCGCACGACATACAATGTTATCGCTGAAACTAAAGAAGGTGAGTCGCCTGGACGTGTTATCTTCGATTATGGAGACGATTCTGTTTGGATCATAACTAACTCTGGATCCGGAATGCAGGCGATCACAACAACGTTCTTATGTTGGGCGCTCATACAGACTCTGTCCCCGCAGGCCCCGGCATCAACGATGACGGCTCAGGTACCATTGGCATTCTGACTGTAGCCAAACACCTCGCCGGTTTCTCCGTAAAGAACGCAGTTCGCTTTGGATTCTGGTCGGCCGAAGAATTCGGGCTGCTAGGCTCTTACCACTACCTCAAGACTCTCAATGGCACCCTGGCTGGTAATGCCACCGAGGTTGGTAAGCTCCGCGCCTATTTGAACTTCGATATGATTGCGAGTCCCAACTACGCTCTCGGCGTCTTAGATGGTGATGGATCTACATTCAACCTGTCAGGTCCTGCTGGGTCTGCCACTATCCAGAAAGACTTCATCAGCTTCTTCGCTTCACAAAACAAGTCTACTGTAGCCTCGGAATACAGCGGTCGCTCCGACTATGCTGCGTTCCTCGACAACGGTATTCCATCTGGCGGTGTGGACACGGGAGCTGAAGGTCTCAAAACAGAGGAAGAAGCCGTTCTTTTCGGAGGTGAGGCTGGTGTCGCATATGACATCAACTACCACTTGATTGGGGACACAGTGGATAATCTGGCATTGGATGCATTCCTTTGGAACACGCAGGCAATTGCGGACGCAACCGCGCGGTACGCGCTGGACTTTGGCGACATTCCCAAGCCAAACCAGACCACTGAAGCGAGGAAAAGAAACGTCGAGAAGAGCCGTCTTCGGAGAGCGCTCGAGAGCGTGCCAAAGCGCGTGAGTGGACTGGGAAAAAGACATGGTGGATGTGTGCATGATGTCAAGACCGAGCTGTAAGTGAAAAAAACTGGTGTATCGCGACGAATCAAATAATATTACATGATGCTTGTATGGCAGTTTGAAAAGGGCTATTTTGTGTGAGAGTTTTCCCTCGTCCCATTCAGTGGCGTTTCTTTCGGTCTCTGTCCTCCAGATTTGTCGGTTCGAGCAAGTTCACGGAATATACTGTTGCACATGCACTCGTGCCGTTCATTCAATCACCACCTAACAGATTTCTCATGGTGCTCTGGGCAATCTTGAGTAAATTCGCACCTTCATTTCTTATGTACCGGCTCGTCTACTTCACTTGGCTGTCACGATCTAGGCTGGCCGTTTTTAGAAGTCGTCATTCCAAACTTCTAGAAGCCTTCTAGCGCATGGTCAAATTACGGATCATCGACCCAATGTACCGAAACTGTGCGTGGGTTCGAGCACGAAAACCTTCTTTTGTTCTTCCTCAACTCAGGTGACGGCACCACGATCTCTGCCCGTGGGATTGGCGCCCCACGGGGCAATCTATATACCCCCCAAGCGAGGGAAAACTGGGCGTTTAAGCTTTTCTCGTCAACCGGGGTACGTCGCGCTACCGTGTGTTCATATACGAGATTGTCTGTACGCGGCCCGACCATTACATTGTATTCGATTTATTTTTGATTGCATCGGTCGTACTTGTGTAATTGAGAGTTTTCGGTCCACCTATTGCAGGTGGCCCTCGCTAAACGAATAGGTGCTGAGGCTCGAGTTCTTCCATGCAACCGTGTGCTTTACGCGCCTTTTGCTTGGTCTATTTCATCTGAAGGGAATATATTCGCACGTGCTGCATATTCGACTGTCCCACTGTATGGGTCAAGCAAAACCGGGTAGCGGTGCGGGAAAGCCCCTGGTCAAGACGCACAAATGTACGCTACTGCCCTCGCTACTGCCATATCAACAAGGTACATACCATGTGTAGCATTCTTGGTATCACCGCATGTGGAAGGTTCTACTTCCATTTCTCACGATTCCACCAAACTTCGCTACCTACGCGAGGGGGCTTGGAAACTCGCTGTGGAGCCCCAATGCATCACATGAAGGAGCCGCTGGCGCCAACGGGAGGTTTTCCGGGGTTTAGCTGTGAGGCAAGAAGCTCTATCGTTTCGACGGAATGTTCGATCATGTTCCGATAGTGGGTCACCTTCTGCTATGCTTGAATGGGCTTTTCGATGGGGTTTCGAACTTGCGTTTGAGTCTGGGGGGCTTCGCTATGGGGTCTCTCCAGATTGTGAGGTATTGGATGCCCAGTCTTTTGGCGGAACTTCCATCGTGGCTCCGCGATGGCTCATCTATGAAATTCGACATATATAAAGGGGAGCGACATGTCCCTATGGAGTCTCACTCTTGTCTTCTCAAGCCAGACTTCAGTCAAGCAACTCTCTAGCTATCCGATTGAAACTCGCCGCCAGCATGAAGAGCACTCAGATCCTCGCAGCCGCCGCTTTGGCTACTGCTGCTAACGCTCAATCCGCTCCTCTCTACGGACAGTGTATGTTGGTGATCGGATGATCAAAACAAGACCAATGCTTACTCTGCGATAGGCGGTGGAAACGGTTTCAATGGACCCAAGACCTGTGTTGCGGGATCCTACTGCTCTGTTCAGAGTGAATGTGAGTCTGATTCACTAATTGTTCAACGTAAATTCATAAACATGTACTGATTCTTCTATCAGGGTACCACCAGTGTCTTCCAGGCACTGCCCCCGGTGGAAGCACCACAGCTCCTACCTCCAAGCCCACGACCCTCACGACTTCCACTTCGAGGACCACCGGAGGAGGAACTACCACCGCTCCCCCCACCACTACCGCTCCTCCAAGCGATGGCTCCAACCCTCTCGCTGGTAAGAGCTTCTATGTTAACGACTACTACGCGTCGGAAGTTTTGAGCATTGCCATTCCTTCCCTCGTCGCCGCGGGCAAGTCCTCCCTTGTGCCCAAGGCCAGCGCTGTTGCCAAGGTTCCTTCCTTCTACTGGATGTACGTATAAGACTCTTCCATACATTTCGCGAATTGTATATTAATATGAATCAGGGATACCCGCTCCAAGGTCCCCAGGATCCCTCAGTACGGAAAAGACGCAGAAGCCCGCATCGCTAAGGGCGAGAAGCTCACCGTACCTCTCGTCGTCTACAACCTTCCCAACCGTGATTGCGCGGCGGCGGCCTCTAACGGCGAGCTCTCCCTCGACAAGGATGGCGCGAATCTCTACAAGGGATACATCGACAGCATCAAGAAGGAGCTCCAGGCCTTCCCTACCGTCCACTTCACCCTCGCCATTGAGCCCGACTCCCTTGGTAACCTTGTCACCAACCTCAACGTACCCAAGTGCGCCGCCGCTGCTTCCGCCTACAAGACGCTCACAGAGTACGCTATCAAGACACTCGACCTTCCCAACGTGTCCATGTATCTTGACGCTGGACACGCGGGCTGGCTAGGCTGGCCAGCCAACCAAAAGCCTGCCGCTGACCTCTTTGGCGAGATCTTCAAGAACGCCGGTTCCCCCAAGGCCGTCCGCGGTCTCGTGACCAACGTCTCCAACTACAACGCCTGGAAGATTGCTTCTTGCCCCGTCTATGCTGAGAGCAACACCGTCTGCGATGAGTCCAAGTTCATCAACGCCATGGCTCCCCTACTCAAGGCTGTTGGCTTCCCTGCTCACTTCCTCGTCGACACTGGTACGTTTCATTCTCCAAATCTCTGGACTCCCTCTTCTAAACACATCAACTAACCTGTTGTGTATAATAGGCCGCAGCGGTGTTCAGCCCACCAAACAGCAAGCCTGGGGTAACTGGTGCAACGTCATCGGCACCGGCTTCGGTATCCGCCCCAGCACCGCAACCGACGATCCGCTCCTCGACGCCTGGGTCTGGGTCAAGCCTGGTGGTGAAGCCGATGGTACCTCCGACACCAGCGCCGAGCGCTACGACAGCAAGTGCGGTTCCCCTGATGCCATGAAGCCTGCCCCCGAGGCCGGTTCTTGGTTCCAGGAGTACTTTGTCCAGCTCTTGGAGAACGCCAACCCCGCTTTTTAAATAGGGGTATGTGTGAGAGAGATCAAAATCTGTATATAGAACTTCTTGGTAGATGATGAACAGGGTGGTTTTGGTTTTATTCGATGTAGATATTTTATGCGATGAGATTTGCCCCATAGTGCGGCAAGGTTTCTCGTGACTCGTTCACTGAATATCAATTGATCCTTGAGATTTTACTTCCGAACTCAGCTCAGTGTCGTACTTGTGTTTTGCCGGATCTATTGATCCAGTTGTTCCAAAATCAGCTCTAATTAATCCTTCGTCTCCTTGTCTGTCACAGTGCGTGAGTCGGATTTTGTTTCATGTTTAAAGTGATTCGTCTATAATATTTTTGTGAGATAAGATCCAATACCGCGGATTCATCGATATTCATCTTCCAATCACCAATTCTGGATTTCTGTATATCTGGCCTAGACCATTTCCTTGTCCATCCTCCGGCCAATGGCGACACATAGATTATCAAGACCAAACACCAGCAGCTAGGCGTTCCCGAAATTGTCAAGTATAGGGTATATAGCAAGCCTCTTCCTTTTCCACTTCCGAGACTTACCTCTACTCCACCAAAACCCAGAGAAGTACCTCTTATCACCCCAGTTGCAGGTCAGCATCTCACACACTCATAATCGACCACCACTGCATCTTCTTGCACAACAACGACCCAAAACGATGAAGTCCAACGACTTTCAAAACGCCAAACAACCCAAGATTGGCTGTAATTCCAACACGGAAAGCGATAATGGCCCAACCAACCCACAAACAATCTCGCAGTCCAGATCGCTGATCGACGAGTTGCGCCACAAAACGCTGGAGAACCAATCGCACCTGAATCGGATTCAAGTACTGATCGCCGAGAACCAAGAGCTCAGACAGAAAATGAGGGCTCAATCGGAAGACAGGCGATCAGCGAATGAGGAGGGTAAAGCAACCCAAGCCGCCGTCGAAGCCTTGGCCGAAAAAACCGATGCGCTCGCTGAAACAATATATCGCATGGAGGAGAAAGTAGACGGACTCAACAACGCTTCTGGCATCCACCGTCTGGAGGACAGACTCATCGACATCGAAGCACGTTTGCCAACGACGCCGCATCAAGGAGAGCTGATCGATGACAGCGATACTTGTTCTGAAAATTCGGACTCCACAGCTACGGATATAGATACAGATGATGAGATGGGGGCACTCTTGGGGCTGTCGGAACACGTGAAGATGGCTATATTTCTGTGTTCTTGGGGGCTATGGGTGTGGCTGCATCCACGAGATCGGTGAAATGGAAACAGTGGATTCATCGCGTCAGATTGAGGGAAGGTATCGATGATGTTTGGTTGTCCTGGTTGCGCTTTCCCGATCAATCTTTTGGGGGTCGCGTGCTCGCTTGTTGGCGGATACGTCAGGATGAACCAGGAGACGCGCCTTCTCAAAGGTAGCTCGTTGAAGAGTAGGACAACAGATTCAAGAACAACAGCCTTTTTCATGCCCCCATCATATAGTAAACTTCTAATTGTACACATAGCAGCAAGTTTCACTATGCTGTCACGAAAGAAGCATGGAAATAGGCGCGTGAGCTTTTCCAATGCATTGCCGGTAGATTAGTGGGTCCATATTCTTCGCTCCCGTAACACTACACCTGCAGCGGATCAGCCTCGCACATCCCCCGACCCCTTCATTCCACCATTTACAATAATTCTTTGCACATAAGATACAACCAAGAAGCTTGTGGACTTATTCTTCAACCAATAGATGATCTAATACGTCACCCTCCACTTTCGCCTAGCTACCCCGCGCCGAATTCGGCCTCTCCCAAATACACGCAACCACACATCTCCAAGATGTCGAAGCCAAAAGTTGTGGTAACACGCCAGCTTATCGATCAAGCTCAAGCCCTCCTCGATTCGAGAAACGATTTAGACATCGTACAATGGAATTCGGAAAAGGTACGAAAACCCCCCGCTACATCGACCAGCTTGCAACCGCTAAAACTCAAACACAGCCCGCCCCCCGTGAGTGGCTCCTCGAAAACGCCAAAGATGCATCCGGGATTCTCGTCATGTTAAGCGACAAAGTCGATGAAGAACTCCTTGCGGCAGCCGGATCTCAACTCCGCACCATTGCCTCGTTCTCTGTAGGGACGGATCACGTGGACACGGCTGCGCTCAAGAAGCGCGACATCAGGCTCGGATACACACCGACCGCGCTCACGGATGCGGTGGCCGATTTGACTGTTATGTTGATACTCATGGCGCAAAGGCGGGCAGGCGAATCGATGGGGAAAGTCTTGAAAGGCGAGTGGCCGCAAATGCCGTGGCACCCGCTGCTCATGACAGGGCCGCAGATTGGCGGGTCGACGGTGGGTTTCTTGGGATTCGGTAGAATTGCGCAAGCGACGCTGAAAAGGCTGTTGCCGTTCGGAATCAAGAAGGTCGTCTACTTGACTTCTAAACCTGGGCAGCCGGCCAAGGAGGATCATTTCGGCTTGCTGGAGAACCCATCGATACCGGTTGAACCCGCGGAGAACTGGGAGCAGTTGGCCGGTGAAAGCGACGTAGTTGTTGTAGGATGCGCGCTCACGCCGAGCACCAAGCACATAGTCAGCAAGGACTTCTTCATGAAGATGAAGAAGATGGCCGTACTCGTGAACATTGCTCGCGGACCTGTTGTCGATACGAATGCGCTTGTGGAGGCATTGGATACAGAGCAGATATTCGGTGCTGGACTGGACGTGATCGAGAACGAGCCCAACATTCCCGCTGATCATCCGATTCTCAAGCAACCTCGATGCGTCCTGTTGCCACACATTGGCTCGGCGACAATTGCTACGAGAGAGCAGATGGCAGAAGAGTCGGTGGAGAATCTACTTGCAGGCTTGAAAGGAGAAGCCATGGTGAACGAAGTGCAACTGTAGCTTGTCAATATGGTGCTCAATTAGAGGGCTTCTAGAAAATACCTTCCAGAAGATACCTTCCAATCTCGCATGCTCCCACCTCATTCAGCCATGTATGCACCACGATCGTCGTCTAATTAGTCGATAGGGTTCGTCTCAGTTTGCCCCTTGGATACTGACTCAGAGTACATGGGCGGTAGTCACGGAATACTATCGAAATCGGAAAATTCAAAGGGGATCGTGTGATTGAGCTATATACACGAAAGGATCATGACATTCCATACCGAGCCTCGTGACCATGGATCTTCATCGTCATGGTTTGAGAACCATGATTTCTCACTCTCATGATTTGTGAACCATGATTCGTGATTTCTCTCACTCTCACTGTCATGATTTGAGAATCATGGCTTTTCAGTCTCATGGTTTGAGAACCACGATTTCTCACTCTCATGGTTTGTGAACCATGGCTTCTCAGTGTCATGATTTGTGAACCATGACTTCTCACTCTCATGATTTGTGAACCATGACTTCTCACTCTCATGATTTGTGAACCATGATTCGTGAGTTCTCTCATCTTCATGGTCTGATGACAGCTGGTATTGCCAAACCCACAAGCAAAGATCCAAAAACGAAGCATTTCCAGACGTCCCTAGAATGGTATCTTGAACGCTAGAACCTCTTCATCGGTTAACTCCCTTGTAAGAGCTTCATCGAACGCCTTTTTCCTGGCGTCTTGGGCCGCCTTCTCTTCCCTGGCCTCGGCCAAATCCTTCTTATCGGACGCAGTTATAGTGGCCCAATGATCCTTCCAGTTGGCCGGGAGCTGCTTTTGACGAACTGGTCGACCAGAATTACCCGAATTCTGCTGGTCTCTCATAGGAGTGGCCGGTGGAGCTTTTGCTGCTGCAGTAGAGTATCCAATCGCCCCCCCTGGGCTTGGATTGAGACCCTGGTGCATACTTGCTGGCCATCATGGCTGACTGAGATGACTCGCCGGTCGGTTTTGGGGCCTTGCGCTGGGAAGCTTCCCCGGAAGCTTCCTGGATCTTCTTTCTCAGGCTAGCAACAAGGAGCTTCTTTTTCTCGATCTCCATCTCCAAGCCCATCTGATCATCTTATTAGCCAGTTTCACTGCATACTAGATAGCAACATACCTTCATAAACTTGTCCTGATAAAGCGGATCTGTCTCCAGATCCACGAGCAGCATACCGACCACGGCGGTATATGTGCGGAGCTCCTCCCGCAATTTCTCCATCTCGGAGGCAGGTGTCATCTCGGAGGCAGTTGTAGAGGTAGTTTTTTATGTGAAAAGCTTGGGAAAATGACTTGTGATGAATTTTGGGTGGTGTGTGTGTTGTTGTGTGGTGAGTGTGAGTGGGACACGCGAGGTTGTCAAGGCAGCTGCTAGCCGCTAGGCAGCTATCAAACACGTGGCCACGGTGTTGCAATTCTGCTGATAAGAACTAATATTTAATCTCCAGGTGATCCCAGCTGTATAAGGTACGCTGATATACTGTTCAACAGTATGCTAATGCAGAAAGTGTAGTAAACGCACTATCCTGAGGTGCGCTAAACCTTATCATGTCCTTCCTGGCCTCCAAATACATAAAGAGAACATGGCCTGGCAACTGTTTATAAACTCCAAACCCATATAAACCCGGAGATTCGTGACTACTTTCTCATTATCGACGATACTGACATTAAGCATTGATGCCACACCCTACCGGCCCACCTTGAGTTTCAGGAACTCTCATGTCTGCCCTTCCCCTGAAAACACTATTCTTAACTCTCTCTTCGGTGATGAGAAAGCTCTCAGGGAAATCCTCGTTTCCTTTGCCGTCATCCGTGAGCATTCTTGCCAAAGCGTCGGCGCTCTTCAGACAAAGCACCATTCCGTGTCCATTGAACCCTGCCAATATCCACATTCCCTTCTTTCCGGGTATCTCACCTACAAACGGCAAACCATCTGCTGTAGCACCCATGATCCCCGTCCATTCTTGTACGGTGTTATATCGCGTATCTTCGATGTTTCCAGTTGCATCCCCGTTCATATGTGCACTCCCGAAATACCCAGTCAGTGTCCCTCGTAGATACTCCGACACTTCATCGTTCAAGCGGCTATCATCCACGGTCCCAAACTCACTTGCTCCACCCTCGCTCAACCTACCCAATCCACCCCCAATAACGACATGCTGCGTTCCATCTGGCTCGTTTCTTGATACCATATATTCATACCCCTCGGCATATATGAACGAAAACGTTCGTGGCAGTACACTAGGATGTACGGCAGATCTCGGAGGCTGCTGTGTAGTGATTTGTCCACGAAGGGGAACAATAGCTCCCTGGAGGGATGGAAGAAGATACGGCGTGTACCCGTTGGTCGCCAATATAACATTACGGGCTCCAAGGACGCTGCGCTGCGTGAAGACCTCGTACATCTCCGGCCCGCGAGGAAGTATAGAATGCACTGGCGTATTAGCACACAGTTGGAGACCTTTTTGTACGCAGAGCTTAATTATCCCCGTTGCCAGTTTGTATGCATTTATACGCCCTGCAATATATTCGAAAGCCCCCACCAAATTTTCTTGTTTCCCGTTCATAGTGGAAGCGGGGTTTGTGTTCGTGTCGCTGACCCAAAATTTCTGCTGGATTCCGTCGTCTTTTTCGTAAACCTTGTACCAAGCCATACCGCCTGGCATTTTCTCATCTTCAGTGGCGTCGTTCCGTAACGCCTCAATAGATTGCTTGCCTTGTTGAAATGTTCCTTCGTCGTATATGAGATCGACGGTATTACATCTCTGATTATCACACTCGATCTCCAACTCATTCACCATTTGATGTGTGGCTATGATATTTGAGTACTCCAATCGTGCAATTTTCAGCGCTTCTTCTTTGCCGAATTTGTCTCTGTGCTGCAGGTACGTTCGATAGGATGCGGCTTTTGTATGTCCACCGTTCCTGCCGGTAGCCCCGCCACAGATTTCTCGCGCTTCCAACATGACAATGCGTGGGCCAGCGTGAGTGGTGCTGGGATTGGGGTCTGAGTAAAGAAGATTGTATGCGATCATTGCTCCCGAGATCCCGGAGCCGATGATAGCATAGTCGTAGGGCTGGGATGGTGCTTCTGTTTCTGGTTCGATGACATTTGCCAGGGGAGATTTGGGATTGTGCCAGTATGAAGGCAGTGGGTTGGATATCGGAGGGCCCACTGGAATATGAGATCTTGATTCCATGATAGTGGTGTTTTGTGATTTCCAACGATAACGATGCTGTTCTGGGTCGGGGTGGTTCAAATCGTGACAAGTATAAGCCGAGTCTGTCTATAATAGATGCAACTACTCAAGGCTCTGACTGCTGTTGAATGCAGACTGATGCCACTGATTCTTTGGCTGTCCCGATAACATCGAAGTCGGAAGCGTATCAGGATACACTGAATGTGGGGCCACGACTGTACCTGCTGATTTCGGCCTAGTGCATCGAGCATCTCCAAAGGCAATACAACCCCACGACATGATCAGAACAACATCTCTTACCGATATAACTTAAAATGTCAAACTTCTCTCATGAGATCAATCTCTGTGTGTTGAAACATCTGTAGAAGAGTCTTAAGCGCTTTTCGGCCCCAGTGAAGCGCAAGAACACATTCCGAGTAGAGTGTCCCTCATCGAAATGCTCGAAACCAGCCCACCGAGATCTGATGACGGGCAGAGCGTCAGCTTCACCTACAAGAATCCAGCATATGGCCATTTGCGTAGACTCTCGCGTGTCTTTTCCATTCCGTCGGAATTATGCGAAGTGATGATGAAATGTCCCTGCTGCCAAGATATCATACAGGAAACATGTGCACAGGGATTATGAATGCGTTCCATATAGTCTCGCTACACCACCTCACCCAGTCATCTCGTGGAACGAATAGCAGCTACCACGACTAGCTTCAGAACGTGGAGCCGAGCAGTTAGAGCTAGATTGATTGGGCCGACTGAGTAAAGTTCGACTCTCATTCTTAAAGTTGCTGCGTCCCAGTGTTGCACAACGTCCGTAAATGCGAATGAAGAAGTCATCACTATTTTGATTCTCTTGGCAGAAACCAAAGAAAACTTAAGAGTCGTGATTCCAGATCTCAGCGAGCGCGAACACTCCACTGAGAAATCTCCTAGACTTCAACATCGGAATTGATAGTCACGATGGATACAAATATCTTCTGCGTCCTCTGCGGTTGCCCTTTCGCGCTGGAACATCATGTCTACGGTATTGACCCACACAAAAATGAATACCAGGCAAGTCATTCTCGTGTTTCCTACACTCGCATTCTGCTTTGCATCTTATCTGCGCAGTAGCTGACGATGGCAGTGGCTGTATGATGCGCGTCTGCTTAGCGCCACTTCGGCTCTCCTCACCCTCAGAATGACCACCCGCTCTGGCGAAAAACATCGCAACTTCTCAGGCAACGATGAGATATTCCTATCCCAGCGGACATGTTGGTCGATCACAGATGCCGACTGTTTCCAATTGGATGAATCGTTCTACCACGTTCTTACAGTGGACGAAGCCGGAGACGCGATGTTCCCTCTGCACCAATCATGTATCACGATTGCATGCCGTGCTATTGAGTCGCATACTGCAGACTCTGCTATCGAAGAAAGCGATTCTAGTATTATACAACTTTACAATTTCCTGAATCGCAGTTTGCAAGCGAATAGTGCCTCGGGAGCCACCGGTGTTGCAGCATATGATATCTTCTCGCTACGAAATCCCAGCTCGAACGGTCCAAGGAGCGTCCTAGCTTTGGATGATCTGAGTTGGTGGAGTGGGGCCTACGAAGTATGTCATATCGTCTTCATCTTATTGACAATCACAACTGAACCACGCCAGAAATTCTTTGCAGATCCTCTGGAGATTCCCAACCTTCTGCCAGCAATTCTGAATTCGCTGCAGCCACTGTCATCAGAAACCGATGAAGTTCAATCAGCGGATCTTACGAACGGTTCACAATATGGCCTGGAGGCTTTGCCTATCGAGCTTTTGGATCAGATTGAGTCGCAACTCTCGGCCCGCTCCATTCTGTCATTGCGACAATCTAGTCGAACGCTAGCATCCAAGATAGCGTTTGATGAGCGCTTTTGGCGGCGACAGTTATGTAATGGCAGTCTTCTGCCTCATATCTGGGATCTTGAAGAGGACCAGTTCAGACATCTACTTCAAGCAGCATCTCATGCCCAAGCTTGGGACTGGGGTAATCTCGCCGAGCGACTGAGGGTGAATCATGTCATCTCTTCACAGTATTATCCTTATACGGAGGTGTTTCCTGCTGGTCTCTGGAACAGATGTCGAATATGGAACATCATCGGCAATGCATGTAGATCGCCATGCGGACACCAAGTAAGCGAAGAGTCTGATGTGCAGCAGTCGGATATACATCGAGGGAACTCCTATCTGAAACCACTCGCAACTTTTGGGCTATCAACCATACTCATCCTGACCTCCGCATGGTGGGACTGGACACCATTGGCGGGGTAGCACTATATGGTTCTCTAATGGAGTCATATGTCATCTCCCTCTCTGACTAGAGTAAAGTAAACATTCCTGTGCAATCAATACTTCTTATGCTTCGATCGATTACATCCAATCACATAGCTCCTGACACTGAAGCCATAGCTGCGACGAAAGTATCCCAAGAAGTAGAGAAATTATGATAGAAGTCCACCTTCAAATCCGTCACAAATAAATAGCGAGCTCTTTCCCGCATCGATAGCACGACCTTCTCCAAATCCTCGTCACCAATGGAATGTATCATATAGCTCGTCTGCTCACGACCATAGGGCGATAATGCTAGCCAATCCTGGAACTCTTTGGACATGAAATCTCGATACGCAACCTCTGCGCTTGTGGTGACATCTGGTCCTGGCTCCGCAAGCGCACGCTGAACAGTAGTCCCAGGATTATGGATAACCTAAACACGTTAGAAGAAAGCGAAAGTAGTCATTCTTCGTTGATAGCGCACCAATCTTTTATCCAGGATACCCTGCGTCTCTTTCACCTTTGTAGAAACAGCATCCAGGTACGACTTGACGTCTTGAGTGTGCAGATTCGGCGTCTCATCGAAGAAAATTCCGCTCACACCTAAACCCGGAAACCTCTCATCGCTGGCCCACGCTGCATATTTTTCGATGTCCTGGAGCACATGCTCGATATTCCGCTTGCAATACGTTGTGGCCACGTATCCGATCGTGAGTACATTGGGAAACGCGTTCAACTTTGGAATCTCACGAACATAATCCGCATTGGGCCACCAAGGATCGGATCCTGGCCCACTATTTGGATTCACGATAATGATGAAGTCAAGGCTTGGGTAATATTCGATGCTGTTGCGATGTTAGTATCTAGGGTCTTGCTGAAGCTGCGAGGGGACTATCTTACGCCTTAAACAACGGGTCCCACTTTCCAGGATCAGGATATATATATAAGGGAAGAAGAACTTTGGACGCAGGGGGTGCCATCTTATTGGTATTCAAATGTGAGGTGTCGGGATCCGAGGTCGTGGGTAGTCTTTATACATTACTACATCTTCCGACACCCCTGCACACGCCAACTGGGTCTGGCCAATGGTCCGCCCTCGTGGCAGAATGCTACGGGTGCTTTCAGGAAACGGACAATTATTCAGGTGAATACAAAATAGCAAGCTGGGCTAGGGCATATGAACATTAAAGATTTCATGCGCCTACCAAGAGAGATCCAGAAACATTTCCCATGTACTACTATACCGCCTATACATGTCTTCTCCGCTGCTTTCATCAGTCATGTACAACCATTCAATACTTCTTTTCGTTTGATCCACGAATTTCCGAACTCCCCGTCTTCCTATCTCCTTTGGTACTGAATGCACACAGTATGCAAAGTCCTCTCGTGGTCTCTGTAGCTGCATGAGGTCTTCGCGAACTGTATGGAGAGAAGGCAGCTCTCTGTAGGCGCCTTCGAAAACAACCGTCAAATCCACCGATTCCATAGTCATGCTCGCATTCGGGATCGTTCCGGGATTGTGTATCACCAATCTCGGCTCGTCGAACCCCTCGGCTTGCTTCACCGTTGCACTGATGTTCCGAAGGTACGCTCGCGCTGTTCCATTGGCTTGATCTCCCCATTCCTCGGATGGCGTATGGTCGAAAAATATCCCAGCAATAGCAATATCACTGGAATTCCAGCCAGCGTACGTTTCAATCTCTTTGCGCACTGTCGCATTATCACGCCGACCGCCCTGTATATCGATGTACCCAACTGTCTGTACATTGGGTAGTTTATTGAGTTTCTTGAGCTCCGTGACATAGGTTCCAGATGGCCATACAGTAGTGCCCGGTCCGTGGCTCGGGCTCAGAATGACAGTGAAATTTGTATCGGGGTGCTCAATTACCCTATTGCATGCGTTGTTAGCTTCAGACGCCGCGGGGATTGTTACGCGAAAATTTATTAAATACAATCGAGTGCGCTGAACTTACGAATCTATCAGACGAGCCCAGCCATTATCTACGGGGTCAACATAGAAGGGCAGCAGCACGTTTACTGGCAGCGGAACAACATATTTGGGGGGTAGAATGGCTCCGAGTGGTAGCCCGATCGATACCAACAGCGCGAGAAACATGGTAACTGAGACTGCGAGGACATAGTCATCGACCTGGAGCAATCCTTTGCGGATTGACTTGCGTGTAGATAAGGACTCTACAGATCTGTGCCAATTTCGATGTGTTCTTAATGGTATTGGTTTCGAAGGCGGGAGTTTTTGGGTGCCTCCATGGAATGGCGACTTTGCAGCGGTCTCATCTATCTGTGGTAGTCGGCCAGGCGGGTATCTTGCGCTGCTTGGATGGAGAAGATAGTCTGATCGTGGTCGTGGATTTTCACGGTAGTTTTGTTCTGGTGATGGAATCGGTTGAGGGCTCGTCGGACTATGTATCTGAATGCAGTCCTCAAAATTCTGCGATGTAACTCGATGCGGAGGTAGGTGTCTTGCAGAATACCTTTTTTGGGTGACTGGCCTCAGCATTTTTAGTGATTAGAATATTATAATATGGATTTGAGCTGTGTGTAGATCAATTGGTGTTGATTCAGTGCTGGGCAGAGGATGTAGTGTTGGCGGCAGTGCGTCGCATTCCTCACCACCTTGACAACGGGAGTTACATTCCTTGAGGGATCAAGGGATGCTTATTTAAAGTTATCCCCAGCCATCGCGAACTTACCAAGGAGCGTGACGTGATTCTTAACCTTACAAACTTTAATGTTGTCCAACCTGCATACGTTACACCAGATAGAGTAAGCCTGTGCATGTCAATCTGAACTCCACACCGCTAGCACATGGTGAACCAAGGAAATTAATCCCCCGAAGGACAGCTTAAGTTCATATTTGGGATATAGCGTGCAGATAAACAGTAGCTAGAGATACCGCTTCGCAAAACGACGGGCGATCTGTCTCTAGAATATTGTTTCGTCTGGATTAGATAGAAGAGGACGGAAGGTGCCATATAACCCTAGGTGCGGCTTTAAAAGTGAGGCAAATCATGGTACAGAGTCTGGTAAACGGACGCCGGAGCGCCCAAGGAATTTATTGATGCCATGATATGACACCCTGCATAGTTTTTTTGACACATTGAACGGGGTTTTGTCGCCGGTCTTATCTGTTATTCTTCTAATTATGGCTTTGTGTGGCGCATAATGCTTTACAGTCTCGATTTCTTATATAAAGAATCGAGATGCATCATAATCCACAATGGAAAATACTGCGTCGAATAAAAAACAAACTAGAAATACCTCAATCGCAAAGTTGTCCAAGTTTACCGAATCGTCGTGGGTAGTCATGACGGACAACATGTCTACGAGATATGCTTCTGATTGAGAGCACTACATTTACTGATTGGCTAAATAATAGAGGGAAGTGAATAACACGTCGTTGTATCGGAAAATGGGTTAGTTTCTATATTATCAGTTGTCGGCCTTGGCGTCTCTGAATCTTTTTCGTTTGCTGATTGTTCGACAAAAATGGACCAAACACCGCATGCGAACTATCTGGTTGGATCTCATCTCACGATACACCAATCCTCCAATTCAATGTTTTTTTTTCGATAATAGTTAAGAAAACGATCGTAATAAGTTGTGCCCGCTTTTGCCGAGTCTAATGTTCGTCCGCAGCACTGTCCTTCACCCCACAATACCGACAACAATAGGAAAACTCCAGGGTGACCACGAAAGTGCTATTGTGCCAAAATGAACGTCACGCTTATTATTGTCAATAGAGGTATCCTCGAATACTCAACTTCAATAGCAGGCAAATATATATAATCTCTGAAACCGACCAAGGAAGCGACAACCAACGAACCTTCCAACTTTCCATACCTTCCACATTTACTGCAAACGACATCAGACATGGAAAACCCGGCAGAAACGCCAACGGACTTAGCACCTTCCACTGCTGTACCCTCGAAACGAAGCAGCAACTCTACTCGTTATGTGAAACCTTTGCACATGGGCGATACCATGTCAATGGGGTCCCTCCACAGCAACCGCACCAAGGCGACTCTCGTGGCTTTTCTGTATGAGTATTGTACTGGTATTTCTAGCCTCGTCGATGATGCTTCCAATTTGACTAAGCGTGAGCTTGCGGCGCGCGTATTCGAGGTTCGAGAGGAGTGGAATCGCGAGAAAGCGGTATGTACTATCGCGACGAGCAGCGCTTCAGCACTCTGGTACGACATTCTGATTACACTTTACTGACTTCGATATAGGCAGGAGTGCCTGAGGAAGAGCGCCTTGCAAAGTGGATGACGGAGGCAGATAAGAAGAGGAGGAATAATGTGTTTGAAGGCGCCGAAGTCTTGACGACAATAGAAAACGGAAGCATGGATACGAATCCGGGAAGAAAGCGAAAGCTGGTAAGTGCATGCGGCATGCCATATTGAGACATCTCGCTGTTTTTACGGGGCTCCTTTGCTGACTCTGCTGTTCTAAGGATGCTTCCCATAGTACGGCGAAGGGGAAGAAGGCCTGCCGTCGTGAAATGGAGCAAGATGCGCACGAGCACACAGATAGCAACATCCGCGAGAGCACGGAACAGGTGCCGCATGAAGATCGAGCGGAGTACATGGATATAACTCCAAAACATGAGGAGGACGCCGGCATGCTTTACATCGATCCGCGTCGCTTCCACGATATGTCACCTGCATTCATCCCTCCCAAACCTCTCACATTGCCCGAGGCTCTGGCTCTGGCTGCAGCTTCTCATTCGACTGGAACCCCTGCGCCCGCGACCCCGCCCTCCCTCATCGTACGGATCATGAAGAATCAATTTTGCGATTACGTCCGCGTGGGCAAGTATGTGTTCACTTCCGGAATGCGGTTCTACCAGATCCCACAAGTTTTTCGCAACAGGGTCGAGCGAGGTGTAGGCCGATGGCATTCCTATCGGCTCATTGAGCTCTACGTCATGCGACTGATTCGAGTCGAATGTTATCTTAACAACACCAAGCTCAGCCGGAATGAGCGCGGTTGGGTACTTTTCCGCTACGAAGTCCTTGCGATGGCGCTAGTGAATCTGCTGGCAGAGCTAATGCAGAAGTATGGGGTAGAAAGCCATGATGAGGCTAGTCGTGAGATTGTTGTAGCAGCCTTGGAGTTCTTTGAGTGAGGTGTTCACCAGGGAGCGATTGCGAGAATACTGGATATAGCTCGCTGGGTGAAATCTGGGGCTGGTTTAACCCGATATGCACGCCATTAAGATGATCTGGGATCATCATTACGGGGCACTTCCACTCACTTTCTGGCCCATAGTTGTGGAGAATATATGTATAGTGATCACAGATAATGTGTGTTCATTCATCGATTACATGTTACTCAGAAGAGCTGCACTGAGGTGATCGTTTGTGTATGCAAGGGGTATCTACTTCCGCTCTCATTCAAGGGGAGTTATCATCAGTTTGACTCTGACTCGTTTCCCACTGAACACAAATGCCTGGAAGCATCTGAACTAAACCATTCTCACGACAAGTGATGAAGCGGTTTCACTGGCCATTGTACCTCAGCAGCTCCGTCTTGAGAGCATCCAGCCGCAACTTATCCACATCCCACTCGCACCCATCTTCTTGCACGTGTGCTACCAAGTCGCTCAGCTTGGAGAAAGAAGCCCGTCCGCAGGAGTCTGCTCGACAAACGAAGGGCTGCAAAATGCCTTCATCCATCCAGTTTGCCATGGTATCCAGATTGATCTCCTCCCGCCGGATCTGTGCATGCATGTCGAGATCCATGTAGAGCGGTGAATACCACCATTTTCCGAGGGTTGTGAGTAGAATCTTGGAGGGCAAATTGGGGCAAATCTCGAGGTGTTCGACGAGCTCAACAGGTGTGGCGAAACGCACCGACGTGCAGGCCCAGCATGGAAGAGTAGGCTGATCAGTCGTGATTTCGGTGTGCTTTGCGAGATGCTGAGAGTGTCAATCACCTGAATGGCATGTACGTTATTATACAAACTCACCAGCTGATATTTGTCCTCACTGTCCGTCCTGTGACCACATTCCATGCAATAGAAGCAACAAGTCAAGTGCTCAATTAGCATCGACTGGCCTGCACACACTGTCCCACAATCATTCGGGCAAGGGATGTCGAATTTACATTCTTTGGTGTGGTTGTTGAGACGCGTACGGCTGGCAAAGATACGTTTACAGCCAGTGCAGTGAAAGTGGTCCTCTTCAAGATGCTTCTTCAGAGTAGCCTCATTCGGCGCATCGAAGTCACAAGCAGGCTGAAGGCAGTGTTTGTGCTCTATCTTGATTAGCATCCAATAACAGTCGTCAAGAGCAATGATCGATACTTACTGGTAGTGACAGTCCAGTGTGCGTCGCGTTCATCTTGGTTACGGAATCGCCTGTGACAGGTAGTGCACCACACATGCTTCTCGCCTGTCAACAAGTGATGTTCCAACGCTTTGTTGGTTGTGAAGCCCATTAGGCAGGCGAGACAAGCGAACTGGTGCCCGACTGCATAGTTGTTCTCAAAGTGATTTTGTAGGCCCCAACGGTTTTGAAATGCACTCAGACAGAGGTTGCAATATACGTCATGGCCAGCTGAGTTGTCGACATGATTCCTCAGACCATTTCGATCCACAAAAACACGTCGGCAGAGGTTACAGTAGTTGCCGTGTGTTGCGGCCAATGACTTGATGTGCGATTGAAGTGAGGATTTGCTACCAAAGAACTGCGAGCAAACGCCACACCAATTCTCTCGGCCAACTGGCTTTCTGGGAGCCTCAGATCCAGGACTGGGTGCGCCGGAGCTCTTGCGTGACTGTGTCGAAGCGCTTATAGCTGGAATTTTCCGGTCGGTATTGCGAATGGTAATCGTTTTGACAGGCGTTTTGACGGGTAATTTTGTAGTGCCACCGCGCCCTACCTCTTTCCAGGGTACGTTTTCATCCGCCACCTGATTGACAAAAGGGTTGTCTTTCTCTGGTGGTTGTTGCACAGGAGCAGGCTCGTCGTCGTGTGGGTCGGTGAACAGCGCAAATCGATTCTTAGCTTTGGGAAGCATGGTGACACTGGTTTCGGAATCTTGGATTCTAGACGAGAGTATAGTCGTTCGCCAGCATCGTCGCTGGTGGGTATGAGGTTACTGTTGTGGTAGACCACGCTAAGACGGGAAATCACGTGACGTTTGTCTTGTTGCATTGCGAGGGCGGACCCACCCTAGGATCAGCTACCAACACTCATTTAAGACTTTATGTTATGTCTAGATCATATTAGCAGCCTTTTAAAACCATGTTAAGATGCTATTCAATAGGGTTTCAAAGTAGAAAGAGCAGTCAACACCCCATGCTTGGGTGAGCCCTCCTCAATACTGTGGGAGCTGGGTGCAACAGGTACATGACCTACAGTGGACGGCAAACTGCATGCTTCTACGCCAGAAACAAGCCGTATTCTGAGACCCTGATACTGAGTCAAAGGGAAAAAGGGAAAGTAGGACATTGTCTCTAGAAGTGGAAGAAAAGCAATGCTGAATCCGATGAAGTTGAGTGTGCAGGAGACTGATGAGAGACACGGCACTGCAGGAGGAAATGGATATGTATTGAAGAGAGAAACAATGAGGTGGGCAGGACCGAAACATGCGTGGTGTACTACAGTTGGCACTGTGGACCTAGACGGGACGCGGCATGAGCACCAACGAAACGTGCTGCCATTGGCCATGATGGCAAGCAGACAGATCGGAAGCAGTCCGGTACAGTTGGATACAGCAGACGAACGGGATGCGGCGGATGAATGTATCGTACGGCAACGCGGGTGAGTTGGGGGCCTCAGGATGTACGCGGAGTTAAGGAAGAAGAAGGCGGGGCGTGAGCCTGACAAGAGACGCCACGACAGCAACGAGCTCTACGTGTAGAAAAGAAGGAAAAAAGAAAGCATGCGTCGGAGGCGGAGTGATGAAGAGTGATGCTGTCGTCCAGGTGTACAAGAGGTACTTGCATGCCATGTGAATGGTGTAGGGAGGTAGTGATAAGGTGTCAGGGCAGCATCCAACACCTTCCCAATCCATTGGCTCCGGCGCTGCACCGTCATCTTGGCAGGCATCTAGGCCTCTTTGCAAACCCTCAACCCAACCCCCGGCCAAAGCAGAACCCTTTCATATTGCGCCACTCGTTTAAGTACTTGGTTATATAGATCCCAAGGCCCCCCAACCATGGCGCAAGAATTTGGAATGTTATCCCCCGCCAGGCCCCCGCCCGTCGGTCACATCGAACCCTCGGGCGCCCTCCTGCAAACAACCCTTTCTGCGAAACACAATGGGCGTTCAAAGCGATCCATCGCCGTCTTCCAGCGATGAGGAGTTATCCGAATTCAGCGACATCGACCCAAGCACACCCAGTCTGCGCCGCGCTGGCAAGAAATCCACCCTGAGAAGCTTTTGTCTGCCCGACCGATGGCTCGCCGTTGTGGGCTTCATCATCACGTTAGCCATCGTGCTGGGCGTGGCCCTCGGCACCAGCGTCAAACGCAAGAAACCTCGGCCGGAAACCGGACACTACCCATCCGACGCTCCCTTCCGCGAGGTCATTCACTCCAATTTCCCCGACCCTGCCCTTCTCCATCACAACGGAACCTGGTTTGTCTATGCTTCCAATAAAAATGCTGGAATTGTCGATACCAGTAGAAATATCATCGAAACCGGCAGCGACCCGGACAATTATGCCTATTTGCAGTTTGCGACTTCGGAGAATCTCATGGATTGGACCATATCTGCTCCGGACAAAGCCCCACTGCAAGAGCTGGGAGAATGGGCAAAAAATGAATCAATTCCTGAGCCGCGAGCAGACGTGTGGGCCCCTGACATCTTAGCACGGCCGGATGGGATATTCGTTCTATATTATTCAGCGGCTCCTTCTGAGGATGAAAACGTACACTGCATTGGTGCAAGCGTTGGGGACACTCCATGGATTCAATTCAAACCCGAGTCGAAGTCTATTGCGTGCCATAAGAAACAAGGTGGAGCCATCGATCCGGCACCGTTCGTCGACCACGACGGGACTGTGTACCTTTTGTACAAAGAAGATGGTAACAATTTCGGAAACGGCGGCGATTGTAGGAATACCGTCCCACCTCTCGTGGATACACCAATGTTCGTCCAGAAGATGGAGAAAGATGGCCTCACCAAATCTTCCGACGACCCCGTCAAGATTCTGGATCGCACAGAGAGCGATGGTCCGTTGGTTGAAGCTCCGTCGCTCATTCTGAATGAAGGCATCTACATTCTGTTCTTCAGTACCGGCTGCACTTTCGATGATTCCTATACACTCAAATACGCGACCAGTACCAACATCACGGGACCCTATACTCGCAGAGGGACGATATTGCAGACTGGGACATCGGGTCTTTACGCTCCAGGTAGCGCATCGATTGTCCGGGATGGGAAAAGATGGCGCATGGCTTTCCACGCTCGCGTCTTCAACGAGAAGGGTGAAGGCATACGTCCGATGTATATTGCTGATCTCCAAATTAAGGATACCGAAATCGCTTTGAAAGAACCAGAAAACGCCTGAATCAGGGATTTGAGCCTCCGCCATACACCATCCACACGGAAGCCCGATTCATCGATACGTGCTTGCGATGATTGCGTCATTTGGACAAACCATACCTAGCGATTCATCTGTGTAGGAACTTGTTCCTTCATTACTTCAAAGATCTTGCCTTAGCGTCATTGCATTGCGGGCGTTCTCCTTCCGTTCTTGTTGTCCAGACACCTTGCATGTGTTGGGTTAGCAATTGAGCGAAGCTGCTTGTTGCGTACATGGGATGCATACAACACCCAGACTACCTTAGGGCGTCTCTGACCTGCAGGAAAGAGACAAGATATCCCGTTCTTTTATTTGGGTCTATATCATTTTAGCCTTTCGCAAAACCGGCGCCTACACCCGCATGGTTGATGCGTGGTGCACATGGTCGTGTTGAATTTTTGTTGCATCAAGGAAATGTATTACGTATCATGGCAGGAAGCGCTGCTAGATCTCTTTGGATAGAGAGTCATGGAGGCCAGCACACACGATTAGGACGGTGTGGTGGGGGATAAGTAGTAGCGGCTCATTACTAATTTTGAGTCATAGAAAGCCACGAGCTCATATCTAAATATAAACACGAATATAACCCTGGCTCAAGCTTCCACGCTGTCCAAAACAGAAGAAAAGGTTTCGCCTTTCTGCTTTGTGGACTCCCTACATATGCAAGCACTTCGTGTGTATCACTCTCTATCATGGCTCATCAAGCGCACGCCATCCCGTGGCACACACTAGCCGATCACCTGAAGTTCACACCCAACAATTCACGATACCTAGACATCACGAACCTCTACCCACGGTGCAAGCCAGATCAAGGCAAGCAGTTGCAGCACTTTGCACGAGTATTTGCGAGTGTGCTCACGGAATACTCCGTGGTCGAGCGCAGGAAGTATGCCGCAGAGTACACCGCCCCCGAAGACAGCGAAGTCATCATATCCGATACCACGGCCAAGAACATTGAAAAGGTCATGAGAGAATATACGAAGGCGAAAATCAAGCAAGACCCCGATGCCGAAAAAGATCCGCTGCGCCCTAGGAAACGCACAATCGAGCCATGGATTGATTCATCTACTTACAACGACTGCCACCCGTGTGATAGTCTTCTCGAAACTGATGAGTTGCTCCGCACATTGATTCTATATGGAGAAATGGATACTGTCTTTCGCATTGCATGTCACCCACAGGTCCGACTCACTAAAATGTGGAGGCAAGGTAACAGGTTCGCATTCGATATCGAAGGGTATGGGCTCTGTGAGCTCAAAGAAACAGCTTTACTGGCATACATCTGCCTCAATGTGTTCCATCTCAAGCCGGAGCTCTACGACCCGATCATGCGCGCACGAATGCTCAGCAGGAAAGCAACCCAGAATGAAAGCATGGTCTCGCCAGAGATGTATGATTACCGCCGTACCGCTGCGTATCAGCGGATGCTGGTGTATTGCACCGGAATCGGATACTCGTACCCGCACTACGGAGCGCACAAAATTCCCCATCGCGAATTCTTCGGTGTTCCGCACGGCATGTACATCAATCGGACCCAATGGCGCACTCCTTGCCCAACAGACCCCGTAATTTACGGGCGGGCCCATCTGAACGCCCTCACGAACAAGAATTTCCCCCACCAGTATGTCCCAGGCAAAAGCGACATCCCCGTCGTCATAGCACTCTTCCGCAAATGCGGACTCCCGCCCGAGATAGCGTTGCAGATATTGGATTTGGCCGAATATATCCCCAGAGGGCGGCTATATATAAGAGACGACCCGCTACATCTTGACAACGCGGAAGAGCTGAAGAAGTATCTTGGGTATTGCTGGAAGCTGCTAGTCCGAATAGATATGACGTTAAAAGCGAATGGCCAATGGCTGGATTGGGAGAGCGAGGTCGCGGACGCGGTGTACAAGTTGTTTGGACAGGCGTACCCGAAGATGTCTGAAGTGGTGGTGGATTATGGGACTGAAAGGCAGGATGTGGCCGAGAGGAGGGCTAGGAGGCGATTTGTGTGAGAAGTTTCCCTTGACTTGTGAGTTTGCGTATCGCACCCGACGTGCGATATCAGTTGATAAAAACCCGGGAGTATGGATTACAGGGTAAGCGCACCCTAGTATAGGGCATCTACTGCACCTGTTGTGATGCGCTGAGGGGCTGCTGCGACAACCATTCTTAGTGGAGAAACAATTGCCTACATGTATGGCTAGAGCCCCACGTCACCAGCTTTCAACATGGAAGGCACAACTTCCTAGTTCTCCTACCACCAAACTCCAATGACATTCTGGTTACTCGATCAACATTCATCATATTGAACATGGCAGAGACACCACACAGCTAGTGGCATATCTGAGCACATGTCGCTTCTCAGTACCTAAATTAAGTTCGTGGAAGTATGTCAGAGTGGGTCGTCATTTGTGGTGTCTTGATGATGATGAAAACACTATGTATTTTTGTATACCCGGATATCAGAACGATTCCTTCAATCCAGACAGGAATATGCAACCAGAGATCCATTCAGCCTTACAGATGTAAATATAGAACAAGGATTCGTACGAAAACTAGCGCGCACAATGTCTATCCCACACTTCATCTCCGGCAAAAAAAAATTGCAAATGCGAGGCGTTGTGCGATTCATGGTCCCAACAGAACACCGCCATCGAAGGAATGGGGGTAAGCTCTGCATGCCATGGCCATTACACAAGCAAAAAAGGATTCCCGTAATCTGTTCTGATGAACAGACGAAGTGTTGATGAGAGTGGGACTCGAACCCACGCCACTTTCGTGACCAGGAAATTGATGTTAAGATAACCTTAACCTGGCGCCATAACCAACTCGGCCATCTCACCATGATTTGATGTGGTTTTCAAGCCAGAAAAGTGTTATATTCCAACTCCTTTGGCTCCTATCGGCGCCGAAGGCTGCGTTCAAGGCTTAGTGGGGTCCATGAGTAATAGCGGTAGTGAACGGGAAGATAAGCGAACTATCCATGGGTTGGAATTGGCGTAGAGCTAGACCCACAGATAGCACAGATGGTGAAACGGCAGAGAGTTGCGTTGCGGATGATCAATAAGAGTTATGTGATGGATTCACAATCATCCATCACAGTCTTATATGAGGATTTGAAAGCTCTGGCAGTCTGCACGATGCTGTAGGATGCTCAAGATACGGCTCGGGAGAAATCTGATCCATCAATGGACATATAATTCGGCGTTGTTTGTATTGGACAATATGTCAAGGGTGCTCAAGTTGGTGATTATCGCAGCACCCACAATCAAGAATCCCGAGGATGCTGGGAATTCATTCGAAGAGTTAGAACACACAGCATCGCTATAGTCGATTACGAAAGCTTTCCGGTTTCCACATGTCATTCAATAGCTTCGTTGCATTGACCATATCAGGCTTCAGTTGATCTAGGGCGGTGACTCCGAGCAGCCGCATGCCTATTGCCAACTCCTCCACAAGGACTAATCGAACGTCAGCGAATTTTTCAAGGAATAGGGTATACTCACCATCAACACATCTTTCGACCCCCTTTGCTCCGTATGCACCAAGTGCATACATGAACGGTCTCCCCACCCCCACTGCTGTAGCACCTAGGCACAGCGCCTTCAGAACATCACTTCCATCTCTCAATCCGCCGTCCACAAATATCTCCATCTTACCAATTATTTCGGGACAATATGTGCGTATCTCGCACAAAGTCATCAACGCACTCGGCGCAGTGTGTAATTGCCTGCCACCATGGTTACTCAATAGAATCCCGTCTATACCATACTCATGTGCAAGCTTAGCATCTTCAGCGCACTGTATCCCTTTCAAGACGATTGATCCATTCCATACTTTCCGGATCCATGCCAGATCGTCCCATGTAGTGTGCGGACTAAGCTGGCCAGTTACTGCACGCCCGCCCATCGCGGGTGCGAATGCGTTTTCTCCGCCGACTTCCCACTCTGCGGATCTTTCTTCTTCCATGCCGACAGCTAATGCTTCCTCTGCCTGCAAAGCTCGATCTTTTGTACGCTTTCCTAAGACGGGGGCGTCTACTGTTATCCATAAACCTTTGTAACCACATTTCTTTACGATATGCATTAGCTCAATCGCTTTCGTGCGATCTACTGGCATATAGTATTGATAGAATAGCTGTGTGGGGCTTTGGTCGCTCAACCCTCTCTGTTCATCCGCAAAGCTTTGCATGATCTCTTGAGCAGACTTCGTTGAGGCTGTGGAAACGACCATATGCACGCCTTTCGCTATGGCCCCACGGACCATTTCTGGCTCGGCTCCTGGGTGAATAGCTCCTAGCGTGCCCATCGGGGCGATATAGAAGGGATACAAGGACGAGTGCCCAAGCATCGCTCTCCGAGTGTCCACATCGCCAACGTTACGCATCACTCTAGGTCGGAATTGAATGCGTTGCCAGTCGTCAAGGTTGGTCTTCAGGGAAAGCCCTGCATTCGCTGATCCAGATGCGTAAATGTAGGATTTGTGCGGTAAGATCGCTTTCGCAGCCGTCTCGAAGTCAGGGCAGGACACACAAAGACTCGGGTGAGGCAGGCCATCGCCATGCGCTACCTTTGGTGCTGATTCCTTCTGTTTCCTCAGGTTTCCCAGAGTACCAGGATCGATACGGCCAATCAAACTTCCCGCAGGCAGAATACTAACATAACCGAGAGGATGATAGTTTTGGAATTCTCGGGTGGCGTCCTAACTCGTCAACAATCCAGGTCCGTGTACTGTCAGCACTTCACTCACAGTTCCAGCTTGCTTCAGGATAATAGCTGCTCCCCCGGGATGTTTCTGCAAGAACGAAGTGACGTCATACACGTTCGAATCCAGAACAATCCAACAGGAGCTTTTACTGTTGTGCTCAGCAACGTGCGCTCCATCGATTGAATCCATAGTTCACTGTACTGTGTTGTCAACCTGCGTTGGAGACGGGATGTAGGGTGTTGGAGAGCGGAAGGGCGCTAGTTGCGAATGGGGGTCAACCGAGGCAGGAGCTACCAAAGAGTGGGGGAAAAGTATCAAGACGCCCGCACCCTCCCGCTTCAACTTGGGCCATCGCCAATTCAACACCCCAAAAGCCCTGCCTATTCTCATATTAGGGCTCCAATTTTTCCAAGTCCTGATCTCGTATCATGCAATTGAATCCAATCGGGATTCGAAAATACGAACAGATTGCCCACTTTGTCTGGCCCGCAGACAAAAAAGGCACATTGGCCTGTGCGATCCGGGTCCCCGATATTCAGCACAGTAAGCAATAAGCGTCGACGGCTCGCTGTGCGTGTGGAGAGTCAAGAGTGGAAGCCGCGTTCAGAAAGAGGTGCAGTGCAGGCTGTTGACATATTGGATTCCTAAGAAGCTTGTATACGGTGTGTGAGCGAGAGCGAGAGCGAGCCTACGGAGCACACGGTGTCTCAGGACAGGAGATTCAACGGTTTTCTACCGATATTGCGCTCTGACTAACCTTTGGGATCAGCCAAGAGAAGGCGAGAGACAGTGATCTATTTGCGGTTGTAGGAGGCGGAGCCTTGCATGCAGACTTATTGTGGTACACACAGGGTGAAGCACAGTCCTTGGGATTTGTGAAGAACGCACCATTCGCAGAAATTCTACCTAATGATAAATCCACGCGCGAATATCGTACTCCACATTGTAAGTCTATAAGGCTGTTCATCGTCTTTGGGAAGCATTGAACTTTTGTACTGACAATGTAGGATCAAAACATACTTGATTTTACTCATGTCCAATCGCTGCCGACTCCTTAAACCTTACGCGATATTAACCAATTCTATCGGAGCGAGTATGTCGCGCTTTGCCTTGTAGAGGCAATAAAAGTGCAGTTTCGGGTTGGGGGCCATCTCATAAAGACGTGCATGCAGGCCCATCATCAGCCTTTGAACCAATTGTCCGAGCGGCTGGTACGGCATCAGCTTCTTGGAAGATGGGATATCTTGCTCGGCACGTCCCTATTATCAGTCTGACCTCTGCTCTCTGCTTCTCACTTTCCTTCACTCTTTTGCTTAGCGTCTGTCCGTTAGTCACTGTTAATTGCTGATGACTACAGACTGAAAGCTACCACACTCATTTACTACGACATTCGTTCCGAGCCCTCTAATTCAAAATTTTCTATATTACTTTCGCTCACAATGTATACCGGGCGATTCGTTTCTCTCGCGGTTGCGGTCTCAAGTCTCGCCAGCACTGCGTCTGCAACATGTTACTCGCCAAATAACATCACTCGACAATATTTCCAGGAATGCACTGATGAACCAGGCAAGATCAGTATGTGTTGTGCGCTGGACCGACCGAGAGCTTTTGGTGGACCTGGCGACAAAGGCCCAGTTGCCGACAAGTGTATATCAAATGGGCTTTGTATGAATACCCGTCTACATGTTGATAAGAATATCAACATAACGGAGTACTGGAGAGGCGACTGTTCTATTGAGACCGGTAGTGATGATCCGCTGTGCTTGCGAGACTTGTGTACTGAGAGGGTAAGTAACAGAGCGAGGGTATGCACACTTGGGTAGCAGAGGCTGACAGATCCGGTGCAGAGCGTTCATGGATCCACAGCTTTGACTCCTTGCGATGGAACACCAGACTCGGAGGATTGGTGCTGCGGGAAGAACACCACTTGTATGAACACCCCAGGCTTGACGCGTCCTACGATCGCATTGTCGATTGGTTGGCTAATATCCTGACCTCAGCATGCTGCGGTACCTCTACAGCAATCAAATTAGCAAAAGTGTTCAGTGCAGAGCTACGTCCTGTTGCAGTCTCACAATCATCCTCTCCGAGCTCATCCTCGAAGCCCACCGAGTCAGCTCATGCGGTATCATCTAATACCCCAGCGGAGTCATCCAATACCCCCGCGGAATCGTCCAATGCCTCCGCGGAGTCGTCCGATGTCCCCAAGGCCAAAGGCACCAGCACGGGAACTATCGTCGGTTGCGTTGTTGCCGGTATGACCATTCTCGGAGCAGTAGTCGTCGGTATTGTCATCGTCCTCATGAAGCGTCGGAACCAGAAGAAAGGTCCAGGGGATGGTCCATACGCAAACATGCACCCCCAACACTTCTACAAACACCAACCACATTCTGACGGCGCGTTCACTGCAGAGCTGAGTGGCGGCGCGCAAAGTGATTGGGAGTATGAGAAGAGCGGATCCCAATACAGACCGGGGGTGGTCGCTCCAGGCGCTCCTGTACCGGTGGCGACGAGACACTCGGTGAGGAATCAAGATAGAAGATTTGAGCTTGACTCTGCTCCTATCGCTGAAAGAGGAGGGAAGCATGGCTTGTAGTGGTCACGTTTGCAGTTGAAGAAAACAATTGGTGCTCTACGATCGATTTTGTGGGTATTTCTCAAGAGATGTCGCCGCGCACACGACCTGAAAGAGCTTCAGCTGGACGCAATAGCCTGGACTCTGGGGCAGAGCATACAAACAGAGGAGCCCCGCAGTTTCCAAGATAGAGTCATCACAAGGTTTCGGCGCATAATGGCTCTTTCGACAGGCTCGCAAAGCTCATCGCCATACTTATCAATATAAGCCAAATGTCTGTCTGGTGTATTCTTTGCTCCGCTTCGGACACCAGAGATTCCGAAGCACGAGCCTCCAATTTTCATTGCTAACCAAGGAGGAGCCGGGATATCGGCGATGTGCTCTTAAGATCTGAGCTTTCATTCAAGTCAGCTCTCACTGGTTTAGTCTGGGGAAACTGAACTCGAGGCGTATTCGATTCTTTCAATATTCGCGATGGATTACGCATTGTACCTGGAGGTTATACATGTCCGACAGGTCTGACGGCGCAAGCCCCCACGAAATGAAACGCGAGAGTAGATACTTTTCCGTACTTGATACCCCACTATAGCGGCTGTCTCACGAACGGCGACATGCCCAAGAACATAATAATAAATTTTCCTCCTCGGATCGTACGATCTCCAGCATTGCGGCCCTTTTACCATTTCACCCCACTCGTTATGAAGCAGCGCATAAGAGATCATCATCCTGGAACAATAGCCCTCTTGTGCGAGCAATCGAACCCTTACTAGATGCACACCTATCCACTTGAGTAGCCAGGTGTCATGGAGCTAAATACGTCACTCCAAATTTCTCAAGTCAGGCACAGCGACTGAGGAAGGTTCACCGCAGAGTGGGCAAGTGCTCATGACAAGATCTCATCAGATAGCACGTCATTGGGGTGCGCAGTCCACTGGTGTAAAGAGCGATGGGTTCACCCGCTTACCCTTGATTCATACTGTCAGAATTGCCCTAGGCCGAAACATGGTAGAATCTTTTGAGGTACATATGTATACTTCAGCACCCAAAAGTCACACTCGGGCGTACTGTCGGTGTTTCAATGGTGGACGTCAAGGGGAATCGAGAAGAACGTGTACCAATGAATTCCAATTCATGCCTGACACTGTCTTGACACTGCATACATGCAGTGTGGTCCCCTTGATCTGCGACGCCCCAAGAGTTTTCGGACCGAAGCAGACGGATGCTTAGTGAAGCGAGCGATCAGGGACTTGGTTTTCAGAGTTTTCTCGAGGAATAGATTATGATGGCGATGAATGATGCAATCTTCCAATTCGAAAAATTCTATTGACGCAATCGCGCATGTGTATATGAATAGAAAATAAAGTTAATCTATGGCGTTGTAAGAGGTTGACGACGGCCCCGGACAAGTGACGCGCCTCATGCAAGCCTCCCGCAAGTAGCGACACGTGTAGGGTGGTGAGATGACCTATCAGTCAATGCTAGAAAGAACAACCATGGCCAAGTCGTCGCTGTGCATGACAACTGCATTTCTCGAACCATAGATGCGCCGCCTGTGGTCCCCAGGAATATCATGCCAGCTATTACACAGCGTGCAGGATGCTGGGACGAGTAGGGCCGTGTTTTAGTCGCAATCCTGTCCGGGGGCGTGGTGTCATAATTACAGAACTGCATCTTCTACAATTCAGTCGCCAACCAATAGCAGCCCTGCTTTTCGTGTATTATTACATATTCCTTGGTTTTCCGACGATGTGATTGGATGCGGAGTAGGGCCAATACAGCAGGCAGGCTGTGACATGCACAACGGTGTTTCATATTGTTTGTGCACGGCGGTATTCAGGCGGCCGTCTGCCATCTGCCCACCAACGCAGCGCCCAGACTCCCCAGAGGATTGCGGCGTGCACGCACACAGCCCAGTAGTGTTATATCTACTCTGTGTTGTCCGGGCCGTGTTTTGGGAGCTTCTTGGTCGCTTCTTCATCATCATTTTCTCTTCTTTCTTGTTGCTTGCTTTACCTCACCACCTTCAATTCGCTTCTTGATCCATAGCCAACAAGAGTCACCAATACCTTTATTTCCTTGTCATTGCGCTGTCCACTTCGACACATACCCTGCCGACCGTTATCCACTTCGCCGATCGCTAGCGGGAGGCCCATCACCCACGAACCCACTACTCAACCTATCCCCGGATTTCCCCGCACCATCCATTTGGCTATCGATATAAAGTATCAGTACCAAAAAAACTACCTCAGGAAAAACAAAACCACGCGAAAGCAGGCTCTTTCGCCAACAACCATGGCGCGTCCTCTGTCCACCGCCCGCGTCTCCAAATCTCCACGCCACACCACCATACCAACCACCAAAACCACGAGAACAGCATCACTCAATAATCCTCTTCTCTTGACCTCGTTCCTCATCCTATCCCTTACACAATCAACACTCGCCGCCCCGACTCCTTCAGAAACCGGCATCAAAACTGCGCCTTCGCCTCCATCGCCACCGACCCCGCCGCCGCCACCTCCTTCGCCTCCTCCCCCAGCACAAGGACCCAAGCCCCTCGCCTCGGGCGTCATCTTCGCCATTTTCCTCGCCGGAGTCGTCGTTATCGGCAGCATCATCGGTTACTTTGTGGTTGTCAAAATGAACAAGTCGAAGAAGCTTTACGAGGAGGCTGAGGCGGCGAAACAGGCAGAGGCTGCCAAGTTGAATATGAACAAGGGTTCGATCGATTACGGGAACGATGCCATGGAGATGAGGCCCCCTGTTCCACCAAAAGAAATGGGAAGGCCGATGGTCCGGGGCAGCGAGGGGGTTTACAGGAAAGGCGATTGGGATTGAGAAGACGCAGACCTAGGGGCTCGCCCAAGAGATGTGTGGGGACTGAAACCTGTCCGAGATTGATCTTTCTGTGCTATATTGTTTTCTTTTGTTGTTTTTGGGAGCGTGTTTGGAGTTTTCCATGTCTTTGCTTTTCGTCTTCTATTTTTCCATGATATCCAGGGATCCAACACCCTTGTTCATACTCAGTCGAGATTTTACTTTCACTTTGTATCTTTTCAATTCTCTTTTCTCACCTTCTTCTCGGGCTGGGCATACGGGAGATGATAGATTTATACAAGCTTTGAGGTGCTGCCGGTTGGTGGGCACCAGAATGATTATCCCTTGACACAGCGTGATGGTTCTCGTTCTCACAGCCGTGTATAACCCCATGGAAAGAGATGATGATGACAATGGGGTCCACGGGGGTATATGGTGATGGCGAATGCTTCTCCGCGTTACGGCAGCACACTCCCCGCCCATGTGATTCATTGACTTGCACTTGCGATGAAGTAATTTACAAAAGACAGCACCTTCAAGCTTCTCTGTGTCTAGGTCCTTGTAATAATAGATATTTCTCTCATTCCGGGGAACTTCAAGTCTCCCAAATCTGTACCGCATGATAGAAATTTCCTGGGACGACACAAAGTGGGCTCGAAGTGAGTAGTCACCCTGGCACTGCCTCTCCCGTTTGTACTGTAAGATACGATGATGGGCAGCGGGGAGACAGGTGAAGAGTCAGTGGTAAATGTCTGCAGCCGGTTCACTTCACGGTGACACTGACGCGGATCTTCCAAACGGGGCTGAGAAAAAGAGTTTAGAGAGCACCAGTACATCTAGTCGGCTTCATATCTACTTATAGAAGTAAAAATGGGGTTCAATTGACTAGAAGTTGGCTCTTCTGTCACTACATGCGGATGGGCAGGAGTGTATGTTAGGAGAATCGACGGGGGAACAGGATTGATGTGATTTGACCAGCCATCAATATACAAACATCAGCCAGATTAAACTAACGCCACTGACTGCACGACATCAACAACAGGTTATCAACCGAAGATCGCCGACTCTGCCTGAGCTCGGTGTACTAGCACTTCCCTCAAGAATGGTATCATTCATTTGAACTTTGACTGATGAAAGGAAGCTCTTTCGCGTTGATTGCACATCAATGCTCGTGTTATCTCTTTACCGATGCTTCATTTCAATAGTTCTACGTGAATTCAGTGAGCTGTGTACCAGTCGCGCTCGTGATGAGTTCTGTATTGTAGTCTATGCATATTTATCTAAGAGTAATGGATACTAGCAATGCTTTCCAATTGGGACAAACAAATAGTCAGTAACTCCCATACATTCGGAGAATACGATGATATGATATAGCAGCCTATGATGGGTAAAAAATTCGTATATCACCAAAGGTCTTTCACAGGCTACAGTTCCTCAGATTGAGCGAAGGCGTAATAGAATGAAAGCAGCTATGACGAAATTGTGTATGATTGACTATTCATTTCTAGGTACAGAGACAGAGTAGTACATGTAGTCATAGCCGTGAGACAAAACAGATAAGTAAAGAACAGGAGAAAAAAGTCACAACCATGATTTACACTCAGGCGAACTTGTGGGTATCAATTATGCACACGTCGCCCTAAATTTCGGCCAATTCCTTGATGGCCTGGAGCTTGTTCTTGATGAGGGCCAGTTCAGCCTGAGTATCGGCCAATTGAGACCGAAGGGCCACATTCTCATCCTCTTTCTCCTGGAGTTTCGTCTCAAGGCGCATGATTGTGTCGTCCTCGGGCCGCTGCCGCTTAGCATCATGAGTGTCCGGAAGGCCAGCATCCTCTATCGTCCGCTTTGGTGCCGCCACTTTGGTATCAGCCACGTCCGTCAGATCAGTAGCCCATGAATATCCGGCCGCTTTCAGGATGACGAGGGTTTGGGGATCCGGCCAGAATTTGACCCCTTCGTCCGACCGGGGAAACCGACGCAAATTCTTACTGTAGAACTTCCAAGTCACATAACGGGCCGGACAAAACTACTTCGATTTTAGCGTAAATCTTTCCGTATGCACCTCATCACTTACTCGTCCTTGATGGTCCATAGTCCCACAACATCCACAAGCTTTGGTGCAGAACTGAGACATGGTGTGACCGGTGTTTGCATTGTAAGGCTGCATGCAATGGGTGCATATTAGATCACCCTGTTTATCGCCGTAACCATGCGGAAGACTATCTTGGCCGATGAACTTCTTGGGGGGCTTATAGCTACATAATGGTTAGTGATGTAAGAACTCGAGCTTGAAAAAAGAACTTACGCCAGCGGCTCTGTGTGCGGATCCGGCCGGATATTCATGTACACTGTCGTAGACCTCTCAGGCTCTGGTGTGTCCCGCCTGTGAAAAATTCAGCGAGAAATTCTACAGTTGAATATGCAATGCTTACCAGCCATCACAGTCTCCACCTGCACCCAATCTGCCAGGGGCAAGTAAGCCTCCACGTCCGCGTCCAGACGGTATACCTCCGCGTCCAAAATGACTGCGACCAGCATTATGATGGCCATGGTAGGAACCATAGTCAAAACCACCATAGCCATAACCATCACCGTGGTAAGAGCCGGGGCCAAAATGATCATGTTCATGGCCGTAGCCATGGCTGTATCCTCCACCTCGACCGAAATCACCATGGCCATGGCCGTAACCATGGCTGTAGCCCCTGCCTCGACCAAAGTTTCCACCACCGTAACCTCCACGGCCCGGACCACCAGACATATTGAGAGAGAGAGAGAGAGTAAACGAGAGTGATAGAGTAAGAGGGGGAGCACAGGGTGCGGATGATGTGAGTGTATGGGGTGGGGGAGGGGGGAGTGGGAGCGGGCGGGCGTCAAAATCGCCGTGCAGGCAGCAACTGGCAGCTGTCACGTACACCGAGAAGCGACAATGCTAGCGCCAATTGGTTTGTTCTGATATACTCTCAGTTTCCTAGTATGTAAACCTATTTGGCGGATGCTAGTGTGGTGAATCCAGCCGTTTGCACGCAACTTGAGTCAGCAGGATCGCCAGTGACGAACAGCGAAACTTATAGATCCATATCCAGGAACGCGGAAATACCTGCAATGAATCACTTTCCACTAATTATCTCAGAGAATATAACGTGCGTCGTTATAAGGCTACATCGATCGACCATTTCCCAGATCATACAATCGAATCTTGAGTTAAATGATTAGCCAGCCCCTCTCCACCAGGACATTATCTGGAAATCAGCTTCCAAATATAGATAATCAACGTTATACATCGTCCGGTGAAGTCAGCGAGACGCAGGTAATAGGCCCACCGAACTAGGGTCGGTAGGCTCATTCCTATGGCTTGGTTTTTGCATAAGCGTCAATATCAAACTCAAATAAACCACATTGAATGTCTTTCACCTCAAGATCCATCCTGTTTGCCCAAGGTCGCTCTTTCATCAGCGTCATACACAGCACAGTACGGATGAGTGAATGGAAAGGTATCACGTTCAGAGTTTTGCATCAGCAGTGACAGGTGATTTCATTTAAAATACATAAAAGTCAGTCACGCAGGGCTCATGGCAATTGGCTTCTCTCGCCTCGACCTAATCCTCGGCCTCTCGAAGTTTCTTGATCCGAGCAGCTTCCTGGGCCACGCGCTCCTCCGCATCTATGACCTCCTGTCGAATTTGTTCGGCCAAAAGAACCCTTTCCTCGTTGGCCTGAAACTGGGCTTTCAACATGGCCAGTTCAGACTTGGTATGAGCCAATTCAAATTTGGTATCGGCCAGTTCAGACTTTAAATTGGCCATTTCAGATTTTAAATCGGCCAGTTCAGATTGAGTGTCGGCCACTGAAATCCCAAGCTGTTTGTCGGCCGGAAGTGGCTGTCGTGGAACAGGTGCGGAGGCCGGGGGTGTGGGATTTGAGGCCATGGCAGTGTATCCAGTCGACTGACCGGCGACCTGGGGTTTGATCTGGGGTTCGGCCGAAGGTGCGTACTTGCTGGCCGAAATCTGGGTAGGCCGAGATGAAGGATTGGCCAGAAATGTCGCAGGCTCTTCCTGCGGTTTTGGCCGAGATGTCTCCTCGAGCTTTCGCTCTAATTGGCCAATTTTGATCTTTTCGGCCGCAATCTCTTCTAACATGGCCGCCTTCAGATCATATTAGCTACTATACTACCACACGTTGCATTGCAACATACCCTGTAGGCCGGAACTTGATATAGAGGCTTGTGCTCCAGGAGATATTGCGAGTCCTGGACCAACTGCCTAGTCTCAAGGAGTTCTTCGCGAATTGCGTCCATTGTGGGCGCAGAAGGTGAAAGCAGTGGGGGAGATTGGGGAGCGGGGGGGGAGGAACGAGAGAAATTGTTGAGGTGTATGGTGTGGGAATTGAGGCAAAGGCGTACCTACCTACATAGGTAGGTAGGCAGCTATATGACTGGCTGCCTAGTCACGCGAATCCACTAGCGTTTATCTTCAAACATTTGAATGTTTGTGTCACCCAGAATCTTCCAGTCCACGGGCACGTTACGTCATTGACGTCACACGAGGTGCTGTTGTCAAACTTACTGGGAGGGAAGGTGGCAGCCATGGAGCGAGTGTCGTTGCTTGTCGGACGTTGTCAGGAAAATCATACATTGGCCCTTCGAAAGCATCGAGAAACCTGCGATTTTACTTGGATTATGCGAGCAGTGGTGAGACCAAGCTTTCAAATGTTTGGGCTGCGGGTCGAACAAGCTGGTCGGTACAGCATTATCCCTTTCTCCCCCACCGCGATAAGAACCACCACTCCAATTGCAATTTTATTGCAAGACATCATAAAATGGTATTCTGGTAAAAAGAAGACCACAACGAAGTGTCGTGACAGATTTCAGGTAAATTAAAAGATTTTAGCTAAAAGGGGGCCGCGAGGTACAACATGAGGTTTTTGCAATATAAGCAACTCTGGTATAGGACGATTACTTGGCTTCTAGGAAATTTATTCCCCTAGGTTTCATGAATTTTTACCCTCGTGGTGTGGAGTTGTAGTCGATAAAAGTAAATATTGTTCGTTAGTCTTGAGGGGTGCGTTCAGTTGGTTTCTAGAGTATATTGTGCTAGGTTTCAAGTGTTTTAACTTCTGTGGTGGGGAATTGTGGTCGAGAAAGGTGCAGAGGTCGTGGTGTGGAGACGTCGTGGAAGTGCACCCTACGACGCCGCCTCAAGGACGATTATCCACCTGAAAGCTTCCAGCACGGTGACTTCAAGGAGCATTATAGGCTTCAAATAAACCGTAATCACAATCAAATCTTGAATGAATTAAGACTATACGTAGATCTACGCCTTGCGGAAACCTCACTTGTACCTCCTGAATGCCTATCAATTCAGTAGACCAACTTGAAACTCGGAAGTCTTGATTATGGGTCTACTTGGTGTTTGTGAGTTTTTGAGTTTGCTTCGCTCGTGGTAATGGGAGCTCCCGTCTATCTGAATCATGGGCGCTGAATCTAGCTATGAATACTTAAAGTATCAATACAACCCTATTAATGAGAGCGCACGCACTCTCATGTGCCCTCTGTCAGTGGTCGGCGCCGGGCTTTGGGCTACTGGTAGACAAACAATGGAATTCTTCCAGTAGCTGAGTCGCAAATGTCCGACTCTTCAGAGATTGCTTGCAGAACTCTGTCTTATGTTGTGACGGTGAAAAGCTGAGGCAGACCAAAGAAGAGTGGAAGCAGGCCGAGAACTTTATGGTCGATCTCAAAGTTTGACAGGCCGCACGTACACGGTTTCGGCACCCAGAGCTCAAATCTTGAGACTTGAGCACCGTCTGTTGGGCATGTTTACAATGGCACATGTTACGGTCGATACGCTACCCTCTATTTCACGAAGCATGAATCCTCTCGCTGAAGGGACAATGAAAGTGGGACATCATGTTCATCTCGCTGTCAGAGCCTAGGGTAAAGCTCTTATTGGCGCCTAGCATAACTTTGGAATGAGTGCTTGGAGGATGACTGAAACATTGGAACGCAGACATTTCAGAAGAAGCATGAAGCGCTATGATTTAAGAAGTGTTCTTTCCATAGCGATAGGGCGGTAAACCGCAAAAGGCCTAGAATTAACGCATCCTTCACTGCCATCTTTAGTCCTTACGTGCCTTCCACCCGGGCTCCAGTTATATTTGATTCCTTGATTCCGTCTGGTCATCAGTTTTCTCTCATCAACTTGCTTGAGTTTGGTTAAATAATGCGTCCTGAGTAGAGTTCTGGCATATAATACGTCTGAGATGCTATACTTGTGCCTTAACCAAATTTCCTTGTTATGCATGTATTCAGCACACCACACTACACCGCCTCCAAATACTACTCAAGATATCAGGAAAAAAGAACCGTGCTTATACTTTGCATGATGGAGATTATCCAAGAGAACCTTCACAAACAAACGGAGTTGTTCTAGAAGCTGCTCAATAGAGTATACTACGATCCTAAAGTGCAAGATTCAAGCAATGAGGCCTGTCTCTATATGGAATCTAGAGTAGAGTCACTAGAAATATAGCCAAGAGCCAGTGATTGCTTATTTAGAGCAACAACATCAGAGCACTACCTGGCCGGGCCCGCTTAATGCGGAGCCTCCTGGCCTCCAAGCCGGCCGTTACACTGCCTGAGACACCCATGCTTGACAATTCGGGCCGGTCGATCCGGTACGACGGCTACTACATCCTTCACCAACACCAATGCTTTCAGCGGATGACAGCATGTCGAGGTTCCCAGCTATTCTGTTGCATTCCATTTGAAGAAGTTTACCAAGATATGTGAGTTGATCAGTTGATGAATCTATTTTTTTCATTTGTTTATGTGAGCACAGTATTCCAGCGCTCGAGTTTGAGGCCTTTTGGGAAATGCGTCAAAAAGTCTATGGAGTTTGTCGTGAAATAGCAAATATGTACAGTAGATTGCAAGCAAGACAAGTAGAAGAAGAGATGCGCGATACTGCGCAAATATACAAGAACAACCATCGGCTACAGCAATAGAAGCTCGATTCAGTCGGTTTCGCTAATGTGATCGATTCAGGCAGGGATACCTGAGTAGGCCATCATAGGCTCAATATGCCACGGCGCATGGTGTCTCGATGACGAAGAATTCCATGTCCATGATAGAAGGACACTCGTTAAACGCTGGAAGAATTGTTTAGCTCGTTGTCCGGTCACCAAGAGAAGGAAGGCTGCAGCGGTCGGGGCTCGAACGACGCCTCGCGACGTATCGAGGCGAAGATGTTGAGAAGTTGCGCAGCCTCCATACCTCCCTGCTCCTGCCAGAACGTGGGTGCAGATGCTTGTTGCACGGCCAGATCATAGCACGTGTCGAGTAGTGAGTTGGTGTTTTCGGCGGCATCCTTGATCCGCATCTTCATGCCGATGGCCATGGCCATGAAGACATGAAATCGCGCCATTTGAGTGGAGACAGAGACGTCTACAGACACTCCCCTTTTCTTGGGATCTGGGTAAACGAATTCGCACATGCGGCTGAATTGCGCAGGCGTAACGGAATAGACCTTTTGCTCCAGGGATTTGACGAAGCCTACAAATTCAGCAGTCAAAGTCTCGGCTTCGAATCGACTGGGAAAGGGCGTGGTCACGATCGCGCGACTCCTGTCTGTGTACGCTGATCTCGTAGATCCCGGAGGGGGCGATTCGGCATGTGCCGCAAAGATACCTTGTCGTGGTAGATGAGGCACGGGAGCAAGAGGCATGACATCGGTATCTTCGTCTCCACCAGCATCATCGCTATCCACGGAGTTTGACGATGCGGTTGTGGAAGTTCTTCTTGACATGTTGATACTTTGAGGATTGTGAGGTTTCAGTTGACCTTGGTATCCTTGAGCCATAAACTCCCACGAGGGTGCCGTGTGCGGAGGGCCCGGTGACGGTGAAAAGTGTTTCGTTTGGGCTGAAATCACAATGTTAGGATCAAAAGGCTGTATGCTGGTAGGTGGAAAATCGGGAGAAGATGTTTGTGTTGTGCCTCCCCACAGCGAAGGCACTGGCGAGGACGTCGGGTGCTGTACGGTGGGGGCAAGCTCACATTCAGTGATGGCTATTGAGGGCACACTGCCCACAGAAACTGCCGAAAAATTCGCCAGGTCAATTTCACCGTGCGAACTGAAAGAAGAGCCAAAGTTGGTGTCGACAGTCAAGGGTGGAGGGCTTTGACCCCAGTCGAAGCTCGAAGGGGTCAAACTTGCGGGTGTCGTGGCCATGTACGAGTTCTCGTCGATGGTCTCCATACCGTGCATTGGAGCGGATACGTGAGCAGCGAGTTGGGCTTCTAGCTGGTGGATTCGGCCTTCCAGTGCGGCTTGGTGTTCACTGGGGACGGTGAGTAGGCGATCACGTGAAGGCGCGAAAAGGCGCGAGGGCCGCATTGACGGGTTACGCACGATGCGACCACTTCCCGTGGTTTTTGAGATCTCACACATTGCAACGAAAATCGTTTGCATGTCGAGCATGGAGTGTCACCATCACATCTGATTTTCCTCCTTCGACAGCGTTCGCAGGCATTGGACACTGATTTTCTCCTTGGTTGCCAGTCCTTGACGGCAGCGGCAGCGGGCGAGGAGCATTGGTTGGGACCGTCACCGGTGGGCAGAGAGGCTATCGGCAGGGAGTGCAGAGGTCAGTCAAGGGAGCATTACGGCGGGGCGACAGCAGTTGGACAGGAGGCTGTTCTCTGTGTAGGCAAGCAGAGGTGCGGTTGCGGGAGAGGTCTTACTGAAAGGACACATGATATAGACGATGCGGTGGTATGATATGTCAGAAGCTCCGCACCGGGTAGGGAAGATTCCGGGAAAAAGAGCTCGGCGCTGGAGGAACAGGAGAAGATGTGCTCATTAGACAGCGCGGAGGTTGAGATTTGTGTTTGTTTTACGGGCCGAGGAGTGGTGGGAATGAAGAATGAAGGCAGGCCAGGAGAGGGTGAGTAATCGGGAAGGGTTGCCTTTCTCGAGTCTGGATGGCACTGCGACGCAGACCTCACACAGAAACGTCCGCACGACACACATTGCGACGTCTCGCGTGCCCGGGCGCCCTCATTGCTTTGTCGTTTCAGCCGGCATTTCATGCATTCGTCTCCATTTGCCTTCTCTCGCTGTTGTTTTTAGCGGAGGCGGCCGCTATTCCGCACTTGCGTCAATACTTGTCCTGGGTCGGTCAATATACATGTTTCGGCTTGTTGGTGTTGTATTGGGTCCCTTGTATGGTTACGGGGTCACGGGAGCTGAGATGGGCAGACTACGCCATTTGAGGTATCGTGGCTTGGCATATCCCTCACCAGCGACGTCAAAAGGATCTGAACTATCCCCTTATCACGTTACGCACCACGGCTGGCCTTTTTGTAACCGCCGCAGTAATCATGTACTTTTGCTGTCATCCATCCACCGCCGCTACCAGCTACTCCGTCTCCAATCAACAGCCGAGTAATTACAAGCAACAATCCCCACTGCGCGGCACTTAGCGGGGATCGTCCCTTGTCTGCATGCTCAGATCGTCTAGACTTATCACTGCTATGCCACCATCGACCCCTTCTTTGGGCGCCTCACTCGTATCCAGTCGCAGAATGCCATTCCCTCATGGCATTTGGTTGACCGTGCCATATGCCACCCATCAACCTGGATTCGCCCCGATTGGCTTCGTCCTACATGCGTCCGCCATGGCTCCGGCACTTCGTGCGACTTGATGCTTCCAATCTTGTACCATCATACACAGTGGCCGCCATGTGTATAAGTATCCATCTAACCTCGTGGCCTGCGCGTGCCTGGTCCTGTCGCTGGCTCCACTAGGTCGACTACCATCTTCGAGCTTGGCAATGGTCACAAGCACGGGAAATGATTATGGCGCGCTGACTACTGGGCCTGTGTACCATGTGCCCACCCCGCGTGGGCTCGGTTGACTTTGCCCTTTCGCCCCCTGGATAACAACACGTTGTGTTTGTCAGTGCAAGTCGACACGAGGCTCGCCATCCCCAAGAGTTCCCAAGAGATCCAAGCATTTCACCCCTTTGCGCCTGCGCGATACAAAATATTTGTCTGGCCAGCTCCACGCGAAACACCCTGGTAGAATTGTAACGATCCAGTCGTGCTGAAACGCAATGAAAAAAATCATAATATCATAGGTGGGAACATCGTCTCCACAAAAACTACGAGAACAACAGTTGACAAGGCTGTTGCGCTTTTCCACGCATGAACCCCAGGGCACTCCCCACAATTCGCCATGGCCAAAGAACAAAAAAGAACAAAAAAGAGAATGTCTTCGTCAATGCGAATACCTCCTCAAGCTTTTCTTCCAAGCCTTCTCCAACGTTCACCCACCACAACCTTGGGTCGGCTGTTTTTTCTTCTCCATGATTCATCCCAGGTTTCACCCTGTGCTCCGCTCCACCGCGAGCCGCTCCAAGCCCGCGCCTGCACTTTCATCACATATAATCACATCGACGTCTAACATTGCACAGCCCCAAAAACTCTTGTCTCTGCCTACTCTCTCCCCGTATCTTTTAGATGCAAAGACTCGACGTCGCTCGGCGCCTCAGCCAAGCGCGGAGCAAGGACTTGGCCCTCCGCGTCTTCTCTGTCCGATCATCAGATTTACCAAACGACAAAACAGATTTGTTTTGGCAGCGTTTTTGCGCAGATAGCATATGGATATATAACTCGCAATGGAAATGTTTATTGAATGCAGCCAGCTTTACAACCTCCTTTCACCCCATCCCTCATCATCCTCGCATGTTTATATTCTCCTAATTCTTTGAACACAAACACTCAGTTTTAAGCCTGTTGAACATGGCTTCCTCATCGAGCGCACAAGACAATGCCAGTCTACCAGCGCTGCCTGAGATCACAGTGGATATTCCACGAACACCAATGCGAGCAAATACCGACGACACCCTGACGGCAATGTCTCCTCATGGCGACGACATCTCCCCGGCAACTTTAGTACCAGATCGCACATTCGTTGCACATTCAAGAAATGCGTCGAATCATAGCACATCATCAACACGGAATCCCTTCTCAAACACTGTGGCAGCAGCACGGAGTCGTGCCGCTTCAGAAGCAACACTCGCACCGCCAGCGACATCAGCGGGTGCGTCTTCTATCAACTCGAGTGCTTTTACGCTCGACGGTCACTCCCAAGATGATGCGCTCAAAGCCGATCCGGGGTCGGAGAACGACTTCGCGGTCCTCAACAACAAGTTTGCGTTTTCGCCTGGCCAACTAAACAAAATGCTCAACCCGAAATCCATCCCCGCCTTTCTGGCTCTCGGAGGATTACCTGGTCTCGAGGCTGGCCTCAGAACTGACGTCGATGCCGGCTTGAGCATCGAGGAGACCGAGCTCTCTGGTTCCATCTCGTTCGAGCAAGTCACAAAGCAGTACCGCAAAATGCGTGGCGCAGATGTATCTGGCCTCCCACGACCAGTGGAGACTCGTCATATCGACATTACCGACGATGGTCCCTCGGGGGCGGCAGGCTCTCATAGCAACGAGGCTTTCTATGATCGCAAACGTGTTTACAGTACCAACACCACACCTACTAAGAAAGCAAAGTCTTTCTTCATGCTCATGTGGGAGGCGTACTACAAGGAGAGCGTGCTCATTCTGCTTACAGTCGCTGCTGTCATCTCGCTCGCTCTTGGTCTCTACGAAACTTTCGGTGTAGAACACGCGCCCATCGTCATCGAAGGCTGTGTAGGCTCGATCGAAGAATGCACAACGCCCCCTCCTCCTGCTCTAGACTGGATCGAAGGTTGCGCAATCTGTGTGTCTATCATTGTGGTCGTCATGGTCGGTGCTGTCAACGATTTCCAAAAGGAACGCGCGTTTGTCAAATTGAATGCGAAAAAGGAAGCGAGAGACGTCAAAGTCATTCGCTCCGGCAAAAGCTTCACTATCTCTGTGTACGATGTGCTGGTTGGCGATGTTCTGCACATGGAACCCGGTGATCTCATTCCCGCCGACGGCATCTTTATAGCAGGTCACAACGTGAAATGCGACGAATCCTCCGCAACGGGCGAGTCGGACCAGATGAAGAAGACCAACGCGGAGCAGGTTTTCCGTCTTCTTGAGCGCGGTCACGGTGACAGCAAAGACCTCGACCCTTTTATCATCTCCGGGAGCAAGGTTCTTCAGGGTGTAGGCACATGTAAGTCATTTCTTCGCCATCATCGAGTCGACATCTAACATAGTAACAGACCTCGTAACCTCCGTCGGTGTTAACTCCAGTTATGGCAAAATTCTCATGGCGATGCGTCAAGACATGGAACCGACTCCTTTGCAAGCCAAACTTGACAAACTCGCCAAAGCCATTGCGAAGCTTGCTTCGGCTGCTTCATTCCTTTTGCTATTGATCTTGACTTTCCGCTTGGTAGCCACTTTCAATGGAAGTCGCAGTGGACTGTCTCCCGCCGAAAAAGCCTCCCGATTCATGGAAATCCTCATCGTCTCGGTCACCATTATCGTCGTCGCTGTTCCAGAAGGCCTTCCTCTGGCTATCACACTATCTCTCGCGTTTGCAACTACACAGATGGTGAAGGCAAACAATCTTGTCCGTGTCCTCAAATCTTGCGAGGTCATGGGAAACGCCACCACTGTTTGCTCCGATAAGACAGGTACCCTCACGCAAAACAAGATGACTGTAGTCACCGGCACGTTTGGTCAAGACTCTTTCGATGACAAAGCTGGAAGCTCGGAAAGCCGGTCATCTCAATTCGCGCAACGCCTTACTGCCGAACAGTCACGACTACTGGTCGAATCTATCGCCATCAACTCTACCGCTTTTGAAGGTGATGGGGGCGAATTTGGTTTTATTGGGTCTAAGACCGAGACTGCCCTTTTGGGCTTCGCAAAGAACACCTTAGGCATGACCAGTCTCTCTCAGGAACGCACTTCTGCGACAGTAGTGCAGATGCTACCCTTCGATTCGAGCCGCAAATGTATGGGTGCAGTTCAGAAGCTCTCCAACGGCCAGTACCGACTTCTCGTGAAAGGCGCTTCGGAAATTCTATTGAGCTATTCTTCGCAGTTGGCCCTCGCTACCGGTGTCGTTCCCATGGATGGCTCGCAAACCCAGCGTTTTGCCAAAATAATCGACTCGTATGCGCAGCAATCCCTCAGAACCATAGGCATCATCTACAAAGATTTCGCACAGTGGCCACCCCGAGGTGCCGAGAACCCCGATGATCCAACCCAGGCCATCGATCTGGGCGCTCTGTTGGAAGACATGACGTATCTTGGTGTTGTCGGTATTCAAGATCCTCTTCGGCCCGGTGTCCCAGAAGCCGTCGCGAAATGCAGACATGCCGGAGTGGTCGTTCGCATGGTTACTGGCGACAACATCGTCACTGCTAAGGCAATTGCTACTGATTGCGGCATTTACACCGACGGTGTAGTCATGGAGGGACCTGAATTCCGACAACTGAGCGAAAGCGATATGGACGCCATTCTTCCTCGTCTTCAGGTTCTCGCACGATCCTCTCCAGAAGACAAGCGTGTTCTAGTCACTCGTCTCCGTGCTCTTGGCGGTATAGTCGCTGTAACAGGTGACGGAACCAATGACGGTCCAGCACTCAAAGCGGCAGATATCGGTTTCTCTATGGGTATCGCAGGAACTGAGGTCGCCAAAGAGGCCTCAGCCATTATTCTCATGGACGATAACTTTGCTTCTATCCTAGTCGCGCTGATGTGGGGACGCGCCGTCAATGACGCCGTTCAAAAATTCCTCCAGTTCCAGATCACGGTCAACATCACTGCCATGCTAGTCGCCTTCATTACCGCCATCCAAGATCCCGAAATGCGCTCTGTCTTGACAGCCGTGCAACTTCTTTGGATCAATCTCTTCATGTAAGCCTCCTTTGCTCATCCCCGTCCCATTTCAAGAGCTACCTATTAACGCCAATACCTCCAGGGACTCCCTCGCCGCTCTCTCCCTCTCTACCGATGCCCCAACAGAAGAAATTCTCGACCGCAAGCCCACCCCACGAACTGCCTCGATCATCAGCATGACTATGTGGAAAATGATAATCGGTCAAGCTATCTTCCAAGTCGCTGCGACCTTCATCCTTCACTTCGCAGGTCCCAAATTCCTTCCTTATCCCGAAGCCGAGATGCGTTCCCTCATTTTCAACATGTTTGTTTGGTTGCAGATTTTCAACCAGTACAACAACCGTCGCCTGGACAACAAACTCAACATCTTTGTCGGGATACACAAGAACTACTACTTCATCGCTATGAATGTCATCATGGTTGGATGTCAAATCGCCATTGCTTTCTTCGGCAAGGCCGCATTCAGCATCGTCCCGATCAACGGCCCCCAGTGGGCTATCTCCGTGCTCGTGGCGCTGTTTTGTATCCCCTGGGGTGTATGCGTGCGTTTGTTTCCCGATTCATGGTTCGCTGCGATCGCGCATGTGGTTGGAGGACCGTTCGTTGTCGCATACCGCCCTCTCGCACGCTTGGTGGATCGCATGAGTGCGAAGTTCAGCAAGAAGGGCGAGACCAAGGCGTTGGACAGGGGTAAATCTCCCGTCCACAGCATTGAGGGAGATGCGGAGAAGGGCGTCATGGGCAAGATCTAGGCTTGTTTGCTTCCCCTGGCTGACTTGTTTTGCTCAACGCACGTCCTTGATTCTTGTCTTTGTTTCATAATCCCACCTGCATATTAGTTCTTTTTTTCTCCTTTCGCGGTACATCGGGTTTCGATATTGGTCATTAGTTTCCTTTTCTTCTTGTTTTCTTTTCGTGGAGTTATGGTCAAAAGATATTTGGATGGTCGATCGAATCGACTGGCAGGGCGGAACTCTTTTCTTTTCAACTTCGGCGCAAATGGGTACCGGGTATGCCCACTCTACTTCACTCCTTATACCAAGCATGGCATCGCACTGTCAATTTTCTTTTCTTCTTAGCATACATCGACCACGCGGTCTGGATCCAATGGGAATCGGGGAAGAAAATGGTAGAGCTCGCGCTATGCGCTTGAGCCTCGGATGGGCGTTTGGGTATATGTACATGTTTAGGTAGTAAGTGAGCTCGCGCTGATGCGCTTGAGCCTCGGGGGGAAATGTAATAGGGTTTCCTCACATATCCGATCGTGTCGTCTCGTGAAGTGTTTTCGGAATGTAAGTCGAGTGCCCTGAGGCCAGCGAGGTTGTTATGGAATTTGTATGCAACCAAGGGCACAACTTACCACCCCAGAATCTAGATTCAGAATTATCCGTATCAACTGGCATGTCAACGTTTATACATGTACCTTATAGCGTCGCAGTAGGATTCCTAGAGAACTCGGCGATAAGCCATTATATCTGACAAGTTTACATCGTGTACCAAGAATATATTGAAAATGGCGCCATGAGGAGAGTACGGAAAAAGCTAATCCCCACGTGTTGTTCTACGCAAGGAAAAGTACCGAGTCAATCTCGCAACATCCTCGTCATCGTCGATTCCAGAATCAGATATGGAAACCACCGCATAAACCCCGAACTGGCAATCCCCTCGTTCACTCGGAGTCACATTCGAACCTGTGGAGCATGGAAACCGCCCTGCCCGCCCGTATCGCCCGACAAGGTCAGGCCCATCTGGATCTTCAATTCCCGCAGGCGTTAGCCATGTGCAGCCTCACCGACCACCCTGGTAATCATGAAGGCTCTTTTCATGGCTTAGCGCGAGCGGAGTAGCGAGCAGTCGGTCATTGTTTCGTGGAGCGAGACTCAGCCTTCCAAAGGAATAAAAAAGTGGGACAGTACGCTGGAGCATCACAGACCTGTATGATGACCTACCATTCTTGTAATACATATCAAAGTTTAGGGATTCGTGTATCGTTAACTGTATCATAGTTTATCGCATAGGTCAACGGTATGTCTAGATCGTGCCAGTGTTTTGTATTCGGGCCCCACATATATGTATGACCCGCTCTCTCACTTTCTAGGCACCGAATATATTGAGAAAACTTCCTCGGGTCCCGGCACATCGCCAGAGCAGTGCACTGTACTTTCCGGCAGTTCGCGACAGATTGTGCTCAATGGCACGGTCCATGACACTAGGGACAATTGTCGTTAAACACAAGTTCTATGGTTTTCCGCCCCGTAAGCAAACGCCCGTAAGCACGCACTAAGCTTGAATATCCTTTAAGAAGCCTAAAAAAAGCACAACCCCGTTAAGACGTGAAACTGCGAAACGTTGATGCTTAGTAGTAAATGACGATCTCGACAGATATACAGATAAACTAGACTCTGTCCATTTTGATATGGTCGCCAAGATGTTCTCTGGTAAACGGACAGCAACAGCCAAGTGCATGTGCGTGTGGTCGCGCGAACGTCTTCGACTGGTATACAGAACTCGGGGTTACACAGAGCATTAAAAAAAGTATCTACTATGTATGTGCACGTTTTGTAATCCCCGATGACCTCCCCAAATCCGAGCCAGTATCCGTGCTTTAACAGCCCTCAATTGTCTCTCAAGCGAGATTACCTTGCGAAGAAACCCCTGCTGAGGCTGAACAGCCCTGGTCGCAAAAAGAGGGTGCATTATCAACCATTGCGGCGGGTTTTTAGATAAACAGAGTGCATATACTGCATTTCTGACAGTATCGCCTTCAAACGTCTGTCTTGAACTTCCCTCGCTTCGTGTTTTTCTCTTTTCTTTCTAATTGTCGCTGTGACCGTTGTAGGGTCAAATTTAATCACGATGTTGGCCCCCACAACCTGGTCCGCAACCACTGTCCTTACCTTTATTCTTATATTCTCCTCCTTCGTTCAACAAAGCACATCGACATGCTTTGGCTGGGACGGCAAAGAACAAACCTCTGAATGGCAGCCCTGCACAAGTGACTCGGGAGCCATCACCACATGCTGCGCGACCAACCGCAAAACTCCTTTTGGCGAAGATCCCGGCAAATTGATGCAGAATAGCGATCGGTGCCTTTCCAATGGACTCTGCCAGAACCGCCTGTACACAGCAGCTGGCTCCAACAGCCCCGTCTCCAACGAGACGTATTGGCGTAATGGATGCACGGCGAAGGACAAAGACGATAAATCCTGTCTTAACACAGTTTGCGCCACAAACGGCAAAGATTCTTGGGGCGGAGCCGCGAGGATGACACCTTGCGACGGGTCCTCGAATAGCCAATATTGGTGTTGCGGAGATTCAACCAGTTGCTGTGGCAAGGAAAACCAATGGGAGCTTCCTAAAGCCCTGGGAATGGCTGTTCCGATCATGGGAAAGGCAGTCTCATCGTCCGCGCCTTCTCCATCTGCTTCTGAGTCGAATTCTATTAAACCAACAACTGTCGCCACTTCTTCAACCACCACCTCAACAGCAGTCACTTCTGCCACAAACTCGCCCCAATCGAGCGAAATTCCCCATCAATCAGCCGAGAAGCCACGTGAATCTTCCGCCGCTACCTCAAATCCACCGGCTGCCGCTTCGGGCGACCCAGGTCTCACTCCTGGGGCCATCGCTGGTATCACAATCGCCAGCGTCATTGCAGTCGCCGCATTGATCGCCATCTTCTTCCTTAAGCGGCGCTGGGATCATAAGCGTTTCAATCTCGAAGTAAAAGTAGTCAAAGCTCGAAAAGCGCAGGAGGTGAAAGAAAATGCAGCCTACGACTACTGGGCTGATAGAGTGGACACGAGCTCGCCGCCATCGGAGATGGGTACAAATGAACGAACGCATGAGCTGTACTCTGAACATGCGCATGAAATTGGAGTAGACGTTGCTTGTCAACAGATGAAAGATGTAGTGTAACAGAATGAAAATTCGACCGTTCACCCCGAGAATCGACTGAGGAAGAAGGTGTACCGGGGCATGTCCATTCCGATACCTTCTCCCGTTGCTCGTGACATTCAGGTAGCCCAGGATCGCGCTTCTGTTCGTGTCGTTGTCGTTGTCCGGGTCCATTATTGCCATGGCGTCGTTTAGCTGATTAATCCGAAGTCGATCCTCTAGGGCAGTGCGCAGTGCTATGATGTATAGAGTAGAAGACCAGCTGTTGAGGTCCTTGTTAACCCATGAGATCGTCCTTCAAGTCGTCGAAGCTTTTAAACTTGGTGATGAGCGTATTAGCGTTAACGTGGAATGTCTCTATGCAATCGCGCGGCGTTGGTGTGAGGGTGAGCGCCATAGTGAGGTGGGCAGGACAGGGTTGATAGAAATGGTAAGCCTTGTGAGAACTCTGCTGTAGTTTTTTTATATCAACACCCTCAACACCACAGATATCTCGAATCCGTACATCTCCACTGTATCATTGGGACGACGTATACGTCACTACGTCAGATGCGCAGTCATGTCGGAACCCCGAACGAAGCGTGCTTTCACCAAGAAATGTCGCATGCATGGGTCGAAACTACCCGTATGATTTCGTTGTCGACGGTCGAGGTAAGTGTGATGGGGCCGGGCAACGGCAATGGTGATAGTTGAGGCAGCATTATGGGCAACGACGCGCTTTCCGGCGATGGCTATGGAAGTAAGAGTCATCGAGGGCTTGTGGTGGACGAGGCCCTGGTTGACCCCTATCCACCTCACCCTGGCACCCACCCTCACACCAACGCCGCGCGACGAAGCCTTCAAAATCACCGTTGAGACGGTTCCGACGTGAATTGCACTCGACTACACTTTAAGGACTAAGCGTAGTGGTGATTCATCGCATTTCCATGCGGCACAAACACTGGGTATTGAAAACACGATTAATCTGCCTTTGAGCTCCAGGCAGGACATATCTTTTGTGGTTATCACGAAACTGATGAGCTGAGTGCGGATTGGGTGAGGACCTCAACACCACAACTCAACGACCCAAGTCGACTCATTGAATGATGAAGAAAAGCCTGAAGTTGCCTGGTGAAGGCGTATAAAGCAAAGAGCTTTCCCCCAGCCTTATCATCCATCCGACCTCGAACGATCAACTCGCAATACAAAGTTAAGAATGGTTTTCAGGTCAGGCCGAATGAGCGGACAAAATCTGGCCAGGACTTCAGGATAGTGGTCAAAAGCCGGGCGAAATCTAGCTAGGACTTCAGGATGGTGGCCACAGGCTGGACATTTGGCCAGGATGAAGTGGAAAGCCTTGTGGGAACTCTGATCTTTATAGCAGAGGGCGACGAGCGTACCAACACTCTCAACGCCACACATTTCAAATCCGTACATCTCCACTGGGTTGTTGGGACATGCGTCACTGAGTTAAATGCGTAGTCAATTTGGTCAGGAATTCAGGATGGTGGTCACAGGCCGGACGAAAAGTCTGTAGGACATAACAAATATCCCTGGAACCACACAGAATATGTGTTGGGGTGAGTTCCTACATGGAGGTGCTAGGGTACTTGGCTTGACGGGGTTTTAAGAAAGGTCTTCAGGTCAGGCCAAAGGAGCGGACGAAATTTGGCCAAGATTCCGGGAAAAGTCTATAGGACTAACAGAAATCCCTAGAACCACATAGGAACGATGTGAATTCCAGAGTACTTAGCTAAACAGGGGTTTAAAAAAGGATTTTAGGCCAGGCTAAAGGAGAGGATAAACAAAATCTCTAGAACTACACAGAATATGTGTTGAGGTGACTTCCTACGTGGAGTTGGATACCACAGATGCAAACATAGCACCTACTACTGTCTCGAAGTGGGGCGAGCGAATACCACGGGAAGAGCGATGGATGGCTTGACCGGGTTGATTTCAGCACCTCAAGATGATGCCTGGTGTAGTTTGCCTGCTTGCAAGGGTCAACTTCTCTTCAACCTCTCCGATGAAAACACTTGCCCGATTCGCATCACAGGCAGTCTCATGCGCCCACGACGAAACTTTGGAGATTGACTACGCATCTAATGCTAGTACATGTATCCTTCTTCGAGATCGTGCTCGATGATGGGAGGATTTTTTTGACGCCTGTAGTGTATACCTGATCCCCATACTATATCGAGTCATTCGATACTCTGAAATCTTCATTGCCAACATCGAGTACGACCAATTCTTTGTGCTGAGGAGAATATCAGTATGAAAACAGTGAACCTTTCAGGTCACGTTGGAGAGTAGATAGTTAAAAAATGAATCCCATGAGTTTTTAAGTCACCAGATACATGCGATGATTGCCTCAGTGTCATCAAAGGTAAAATGTAGACCAAGATATTATTCGTTGGCGTTTCGCTCTGAGTCCCGTTCCCTCACCATGCTTAGTCATCACAAAGAATCACCTCCTGTTTTTGCACATTATTTGCAAGACATACAAAACCTAAATTTTTGTAAATTTGAGATCCTATTTAATCATCTGGACAAGTTTCAGCGAAATTGATGATCTTGGCCAAAAAGGGGGCCGTGGGGTGAATTTCGAGTTTTTGGCAATATGGATAAATTTGGTATAGAATCATTACTTGGATTCTGGCGAACATTTTGAGCTAGATTCCATGTGTTTTAATCCTTTTGGTGGGGAGTTGTGGTCGAGCAGATGCGGATGTGGTGGGTGTGAAGGTGTGATGGAATCTCTCTGCGGCGCCGCCGCCTCACAACCGTCAGTCAACCCGCAAGTGGCCTCTTGAATGCTCAATCACACGCATTAGGCTAGAGTTATTCAATATGTATATAAATATTTACGTCGTAGAAAGCTCTCTTGCGCTTCATTGATCATCGATTAAGTCAACTAGTTTGAAATCTGAACCCTTAACGTGCATGACTGACGAAATCGTCTTGTATCCTCAAAATCTTGTTTTTGATGAGCTACTCCTCAACTGCAAATCAGGAAAGTTGCCCGTAGCTTACCATGTAGGATCGCTGTTCTGGCCACTGCTCTTGCTTTGGTGTTGGCCTAATCGGTCATAACAATTACTAAATTTCTTTAAGAGCATAAAGATCACTGTTACGCCAAACATAGTCCAACGCTGTCACTATGATGGCTGATGAAAAGGTCACGATACTCTTGAGTGTATCATCTTATTTCTACACTCCACCGAGAACGGCTTTGGTGTCTACACCCTGAGTCTAGGTTCCCGAGCTCCACCATGGTGAGCATGAATCAAACATTACCAAGAGAGTAGGCGCTAGCGAATGAGATTAAGAGAGCATCATGACAGGAGCATAGACGATAAGAACTGGGTGAAGTCTAGCGATGAATGAATGATAATGACAAAATGTTTGTATTAGTACAAGATACATAGCATACAAATTCTGCAAAAGTACACACGGCGTGGGGACGAATCGCCAGATGCTTAAACTTTGTAAGCCACCTATTCCACTTCGCATATTAAGAAGTCGCTATTGCTTTTCTCGTCTATCGTTCTAGCCACATCCTCAACCTTCCTCGCACAACATACCACACCCCACCGACCGCCCAGATGCCCACCAAGATACCCGCTTGCACGGGCGCGAACACAGCGCCTCTAATCACTACAAAGCCGCTGATGAGGGCAAATACCACGGGGATAGCGATAAATGGCTTCACTGGCCTCTCGAGACCAGGTTGCTTCCAGCGCAGCAGAATGGCGCCCAATACTGTGAGAAAGAAGAATGCGTACTCGGCAAGTCCATTGAGTGTAAGGAGCATTCGCATGTTGCCGAGAAGTATGTAAACAGCAGAGAGAACTGTACTGAGAAGAAGAGCATTGATCGGAGATTCGTCACCAGGATTGGTGGATGTATCGGTCACTGCGGTTTCGTTGGAGGACGAGGATGAAGGGAGTTTGAATGGCGACGAGGACACTTTGTAAGTCCCTATTTGACCGACACGGGCGAACACAGATGGAATCCAGCGCTTATTGGCCGCTGCAACTGTCATCCGACCGGCCACGAAGGAGTTTCCTAGGATGGAACCCAGTATCACAAGGCAGATGAGGAATGTGGCTATGTAAGCTGGTACCTTCCCGATGAAGTGAGAGATGGCAGTAACGGCCGCCGCATCCGTCGTCGAAACAACGTTCCAAGGGAGAAGTACATAGTAGACAGCATTAGCTGCAATGTAGCAAGCAATGATTGTGGGAATAGCGGTATTGATAGAGAGGGGCAATTGCTTCCGTGGATCGCGAAGCTCAGCAGCAACGTAGTTCGCCTGTTTGAGGGAACCAGTCAGTCTGTTGCCCCGTACTTTTCATAATTCAACCATTTCCACGTGTCGAACTTACCTTGTCCCACCCAGAATATCCCCACAGTGCCCCGTAAAGTGCAGCAGAAAAATAACCCAAGGTATCCCATGCTGATACGTTGTCCCAGTCAAATGAGCTTCCATCAGGCATTGTCGTATCTCTGGGTGCGTACCACCCTTTTTGATGCCAGTCCCCACCACCCAAATCTTTACTCTTCCCACTCCCCAAATAAACCCCCACAACCACCAATCCAGCAATTCCCAGTAGCGCGATAGTAAGAAACTTTACCGCGACAAATAATCCACTCAGCCTCGTGCTCGTCTTGGTGCTAATGCTGTTGGCGACAGTGACAGCAAAGAGTACCAAAAGTGACAAAAGTTTATGTGTGATGGGTGGTTGTGGTTCGTTGATTCCAAGAGACGAGTAAATGCTCTCGACGAAGACAATGCAAAGAATCGCTAGTGTTGCCGGCATAGTTGCCACTATCCAAGACCATGCGGCCAGATATCCAATGAACTCGCCGTACATGTACGTGAGATAGGGTTGGATGCCTCCTTCGCCGGGAAAAGCCGTGCCCAGTTCCGCGAAAGTCAATGCTCCACTCCACGCTAGAATACCGCCCACCAACCAGACCAGTAACGCGAATCCTGGAGACGAAACATTTGCATCTACGGGTCCTGGGGATGAGAATACACCAGATCCGATGACGATGCTGATGAGGAGCGCAAAGCCATCCAGTGCCCCCAGTTGTGCTGCAAAGGTCCCGTGACGCTGAGATGGTGAGGGAGATGTTTCATCTTGATTGGTAACGGAATCTGGAGGAGGATCCTGGAGAAGTGGGGTGTTTTCGGACGCCATGATGGCGATGGAAGGAGAAATACAAGAGAAAGATGGAGAGTGGTGAGTCGCGAGTCTTAAGGTGGAGGATGGGGTGGAGCACATGATGCAGCTAGCGAATTGCGTGACTAGGCCTCATTCGGGCAAGAACGGCCTGAGATGCAATCTCCTGATATTCAAGTACTTTACACCGCATCTTGCCGGTTCTTTGCTTCGATTAGGAGTTTCAACATATCGTCCGCATGAATTATTTCTACCGCAAAGTGAATGAGGGCAGCTGGCCCCATTCTCTCCGAGCTACTGAGGACTGAGAGATTACTACCTGGAGCATCGTGTTTCAAAATGGCTTGTCCGGAGCTGGCCTCCAACATACACGCGTCAACTTGGAATTGCCAGGCACACAATGTGTCCAGACATCGCTCAGCGTACTGGAGCATCGCCCCGATTCTCAGTTTCACCACCCCAATGGGTATCATGGGAGGTTCCCGCGGGTAATTCCACCGGGTCCATCGGCTTGGCCTCGATCTCGTGTGCATCTCTCCCTGTTGGAAGCTCAATAAAAGGCACAGATCTGCCATCGATTTCGGGCTTCTCCCATTCCGCTTGATTTTCTTCGATCGGTATAGACTTTGCCTTCTGTCTCCTCCTCCGTATAACAAAGAAGATGCCTAGGATTACGAGCAGACCCATTACAGCCCCGACAACTATTCCCGCTATCGCTCCTCCCGACAGAGACTTTGAAGTCGGAGCAGGCGTATCTGGAGGAGCTCCCGAACTTGCGCCGTTCGGTGTGTTGCTGGAAGTGTCGTTGGGTGTGCTTCCAGTACTTTCGCCGACAAAAGGATTTTGGTCCCTCCCACCTTTTGCGTTTTGGATGTTCACTGCGAGTTTCCCATTGGCAGAGTGTTGTTGAATAGACGTGTCCCGATCTGCTCCATTTTTCACAGCTTGGCCTGGAGCTACTGCCCATATCCATTTGTCTTGCGATACAGGACATTTTTCGCCTGGTTGAACTTAGCGACAACTGTTCATGAAGTAGAGTGAGTGGACATACACCTAATATTTGCAGTCAGAGTTCCGAATGAGACACCCGATCCATCAAGCAACGCCGCTTGTATGGCACCACTATAGCTAGGCATGAAATGCCCCTGCGCCTCGCGCGTAGAAAGCGTCACGTTCCCGTTCCCATTGGCGTATATAATGAACATTGTCGAGCCGGACATGCTGCTCCCAGTCCCCATCCCAATCCACGACAGATCCTGCTTTGTCCCTGATATCTGGATATACACGATTCCAAGATCCGAGGACGACGCGGTTTGATCGGGTACATTGACTTTGAAACACACCTCGCCCGTAAATTGGCTGGTGGAGCTGCCGACGCCTTCGTTATCGGCATTCGTTTTACATGACGAAAAGATGGTAGACGCCGCGGCGGTGACCGTGGCTATATGAGCAATATGTCAGTCGTTTTCCTTCAATAAAATCATGGGACAGACTTGAGTAAGCATACCGCAGAAGAGGAGGCGTGACAGTCGCAGCATTGTACTAATCGTCCAGTTCTTCGCCCGAGAGAAAACAAAGTTCGACAAGGCTGCGATTTCATCCATGGGCACCCACGGCTTTTTAAGGAATCTGCAGATCTCAACAAACTTTCGGGCAGCGGGCACTCTAGCGATCAATCAGTAATGCTGGTAATACGAGGAGCTCGTATACGACTGATCGAATGTGGCAGCGGACGTTGAGCACCCCTGCTTGCATTCTCCAGCCTCGTCGTTCGTCCTTCCTCTTTCATAGCATCGCACATATTCCACAAGAACTAGGGGGAATCAACTGCCTTGGATTGAAGTTCATCTCATCGCTCGTGTAATGCCGCGACCCGTGATCCTATCCGATCAAAAAATTGTGAATGGGGACCCGGGAGGGTAAACAACCACTTGACCGCTAAACTCCGCCCCTGGCCAATGCATGTAGATATATGGCCGTCCCGCGAATCAGACCGGTGCTCAATCCACCTTGGCACGACATATACTCGCGCAATATCTTTTCGGCTTTTTCGATACTGCAGCATAAGCATGCATGGTGCACCTGGACCATCTGTGCAATACTCATGGAGAGCTACAAATTCGAAAACAAGCTGTGGTCCATCGTGATCACTCAAATCAACACACAACATCTAAAGACGATAGCATACCAAAGTTGTGCTGCATACCGGAGATTTTTTTGATAGTCAGACCTATCTACATACAGCTACGAAAGGATATAGAAATTACGCACACGAGCGTGCCTACAGACAAGAGACATCCAATAACTAGTCGACGATTACAGTGTGTGAGTACAAACACATAGGGTATAACACATACAGAAAAGGAAAACAAGAAAGAAACAAGAAACCGAATATAGTGTGCTGACGATGCCTTCTCACAACAATCGTTCCAGATCTTCCCCAATTGAGCAGATTTACCGCTCTAATCTATCACGTCACGTATACTCTAAGCACCCATCTCGAGCGCGGGAATACTGAATCCGTACCCATCGGTGCGTCCCTCGCGGTCTTGAGGACTAATCTCGACTCTAAGAGAGACATCGAGGCCGTAGAGTCCGCACAATCCTGTCGCCTGTAACCCACCAGCAGCGGGGTGTCCTGTACCGGCGCCCTGCTCGCCAATGTGGATAGGCTTCCTCGTGTTCCCCTTTCGATCCGGAGGGGAGGAAGTCTGCGCTGGCTGTGCCACATCGCCGTTGGTAGCTGTAGGAGCGTCGACGGGGGCAGGAGGCGCGGCGGAGGTCGTGGCGGTGGCATTGTCATGGGATTCGCAGATGATGGCGTAGTTGCGCGAGGGCATAGTGGCATGGTTGGCATCTGATGTCTTTTTCTTCACGTCCACATCGACTGAGCCGTTCGTGCCACCGTTGGTAGCTCCGTTGGCCTTGTCGGCGTGGCCAGGGTCGCGATCAAACATTTCGAGAAGAGTCTCGTCGGTATCGTGGTCCAAGTGGTGGATCTTGTTCCGCTTGGCGAGCAGATTTGCCACGGCCTGGGGTGGAGGCTTGTTGGTAATGGCTGAGCTGATGACGTTGGGCATGTAGCGGTGGTCCTTTTCTGCCGGAATACCGAGCTTGGGATTCGAGTAGAAGCGACCGATTGCGGCAAGATGGACGTCACCTCCCAAGATGGTGACACGCACGGAATGCTCCTGGGAGAGCTTCTGCAAGTAATGAATGAGTTCCCGACGCTCCGTCTTGTGCTGATGCGCAGTGTAATGATCATCCAAATCATCTAAAAGATCGGCCTTGCCATCGAATTGGTTGAAGAAACCACCTGCCAATCCGAATCGCTTATTCAAAAACTTGATAGGTCCAATGAGCGGAGAAGACAAGATGTTTTCGAGCCATTGAAGACGCGGGTACGCGATTGGTACGCCTAACAATAACACCAAATGCTTGATATTGGGGTTCGCAGCAAATTCCTTATTCAACCGATCGAAGATGATCTTGTACGTCTCAGGGTAATTGATTTGATGGCGAGTACGCTCGGTTCTGGCATCGATTCCACAGAAGGCGATTCGAGCACCAAGCTGACAGTATATGCTTCGACTGCGTTCCTCGACGTAAGGCCCTGGCTTGTGTCCAACAATAAATGAGGGATCGTCTAAATCATCAACCTTGACAAAGGCCTCTTTAAGCTGTGCGGGGTCAGGTCCGGTCCCGTCTGGCCCGGCCATGGTAGTCGCTGGGGCGTCTGTAGTAAAGGTGCTTTTGGGTGGGGCCTGGTGATGCTGGAAGAGAAGATAGTACTTGTGCGCGACACCCCCGATTCCGCGGAAAACGGCACACTTCATAAAGTGGTCGGTGTAGGAACCGAACCCATCGATGATGTCGTGGTCGTCCCAGATATTGACTTGAGCAATCTGCCCATTGGCATCCGAGAACGGCGCCTGTCCATACCACCTCACATAGTTGTTGAAATAGTATTCATCGCACTCATCACGCATCTTTTCACCGAATGGAAATTCGCGACGCTTGTGGGGGTTGCCAATGGCTGTCCATGGCTTGAGAGGGCCATCGACACGCACGCCATCATTGTAGATCTGGTCACCTCCGCCGAGCATAACGTGAAATGGTTTCTGCTGGTGCATGCGGTTCACGTCGTTCCACAGCGCCGGTCCGGACCACGCGTCCACATCGGTACCAACACTGAACCCGTTGCACGAGTGGAAGAGAATGCGCATGGATTGCGAAGTCGACGGAACGACGAAGAACTGAGGTTTGGTTGTCTTGTTTTGGTCTTTGTAGATCATGCCCTGGATCTCATATTGCCAACGCGCCTCAAACGCCTGGAATGGAACATCGAGCTTGAAGCGCCAGAAACCCTTCACAGTGTCCTCGTACAGTTTCTCGGCGACAACGGTGCGTGCGCCAATGTTTGCAGCGGCTTCCTCCTGGGTAGCACCAACAGCGCCAGCAAAGGTCAAAGTGAGCTGTGGGTCTCGCTGGCCTGGGGTGGTGACGATGAGAACGCTGCCGTGCCACTCCCCATTCTCCATATGGCGATAGTTGAGGAGCGGACCCACGAGACACTCGAGGTTTTGGGAGGTACTGAGGACTTGAGGGCCATTGCCGACACCTTGGACACCGTTGGTGTCGGTATGGGGTTGCGCGAGCTGTTCAGCCATTGCGCCGGTGACGATAGTTTGTATGCGGACAAGAAAGAGGGGATGATGGAGGTATGGAAGCGGAGGCGTAGAGAGAGAGGCACAGTAACACGGTAGTGAACTATATGTAATTAGCTGGGAATTGTCAATGCGCCCCGTCGCTGGATTGAATGAACGGACCTGGAGGCTCGAGCTGAGTTGCGAGCACTTTGTAGTACGCGCGAATGTTTCGCTCGGTTTGTAGCGTTGCGCGCCTAATTTATGTGAATTGATAGATGGAGAATCATTCCATGGGGTTTTCCCGCGATAATTGGAGAGAATAATAAGGAGAGGTGGTTGAAGCGGTAATGAAGGCCGACGTGCTGGTGGACTGATTTGAGGACCCCAATCTGCTTACACAGTCGATAGCGAGCTTCGCGTTGGCCAGGGAGCAGGGAGCAAGCAAGGCAGGGCGCGCACAAGCCTTGCCGCTAAAGCCTATGTCGATCCACATCTATGACGATGATGATGTATCCACCTTACTCGATGCACAATCACGAGCCTCAAATGTTTGGTGGGTACTGGCTGGTCGCCCAATTGACTGCTGTGTGTTTGGTACTCGTTTCCATGTTCTTGACGCCGCAAATGTCCACACTTGGATCATCGCGCTGCAGCGACGCCGTCGTGCATACTTAGGTATGTGCTAGTCACATAGCGTCAAGGTTTCTTGGACGTCAAACATTTCGTTGGACGCAATTTGCAAAAGTGAAGGATGGCTAGATGAAAAATTCCCTAGATTTAGATTGAGCTTACCACCGCCAGGTTCGCCCCGCGAGGTGTATTATTGTAATAGGCTCCACTATCACTTATGTGCACATGCGCAATGTTGACTTTTTGTATGAACTTCAATTGTCTATGTATACCGCTACACGTTGCATTGCAGCTGTTGCTGCGATACGTTGCGCACTCCTCCACTTGACTAACAATAATCAGTCCATCAGAAACCGTGGACTTGGTGTTCAGGCCTTGGCCATAACATGACCATCCGGTCCATTCTTCGAAATGCAGCACGGTGCTGTAGAAGGAGAAGCAGAGAAAGGGAAGACGCAGAAAGCGAAGGAAAAGGGGTATCATCCAAGAATCCGTCCCACCACTTCATTGCGCAGGTATAATCGGTCGTTCAATCATGATTCTGCCGTATTTCACGGTTTCCGAAATGTCTCATATACTGAACCATCCCGTAAGCGTTGTTCTCCTCCGTTGTGGAAACGTGAAGAGTTGTACGCTGCATGGTGGATAGGCTCGGGATGCCTTCCACTATACACCAAGTCATGAGCAGGTACATATGTGCCATTATTATGATTTCCGGAAATCTCATAATGCATTCCCCTTGGCTCTTGAGCAAGAGACGTGTGAGGTACCGTGATGTACCGATCGTGAGCCGGACCTGCTGTCCACAGATGCGGTGAGCCAGTAGGTATACCCTCATCCACATGGTTCACTCTTCTAGGGCTTGCTGTTAAGTCAATACTGCGCTGTTGGGGGAAAGGTCGATGGTCAGCAGTTACAGGCCCAGGCATGGGATGACGAGAAACACTGTTCTGATCAATCACGTGTCTGGAATGTCTCCGCTCATCTATTCCAGGTCTGAATCGCTTCGGCTGCGGTTCTGGTTGAAGCTCGCCAAGCTCATATGTTCCTGGTGGGCCAGGAAGGCTTTTCCGCTTTAATGGTTGAGCTTGGGTTTGAGCATCAGTATAGCTGACAGGGTAGCGACCGCCAATATCTTGTTGTTGATAAGACGCATCTGGCACCCTTATGGAATCCTGCTCAATCGACGGTAAAACTACGTCCTGATCCGATGCACGTCGGGAAGCGGGTGTTAGTACTGGCCTGCCACTATGATTGAACTCAACAGGAGGTTTTCGCCGGGAAGGTTCGTGAGCTTGACGAGCTGGCGAACTAGGTTGCGAGCTATATGGGCTGAGCAAGGGGGTTTCCACAAGTCGAGGTCGACCGTTACTCGGACGCTCAATAGGTTGTAGCTGCGCTTGTTAGCATCAAATAACATGGGGAACGGATACCTCGATAACGGCTTGAGTTGAGCCGTAGATAATTCACTCACGGTGTACAGCTGCCCGTCAGAGCCGCGCATCTGCAAAGGCCGCGGAGCTCTGGTGGGCTCTCTCGCTCTCCTATTTCGATTAAGGCGACGAACATTTTGGTGGAATGGGACACTTACGATTCGAGCGGTCGTGCACGTATCATGCTTCGCGATTCAATGAGTCCAGGGAGTGGCCGCGAAAACACACGAGGATCAGTTGGAGGGTATTGCGGAGTATCGTAGACGATTGGTGAACTATACGCAGATGAATAAGGGGCTACGGGGTGTGAAGGAAGGTAGATAGTCCTCCTAGTAGATCGATGAGGCTGAGGAGCATATCCTTGGTCATGATCCATGGACTTCGGAAGAAGATCACGCGCAGTTGCAAGACTGGACACGACCTCCATGCTGACTTCTCGCTCATCCACGTTTGGATCTTGCGACTGATCATCATCGCTGGAGTCATCGTCATCGTCAAGGACAATCACTTCACGGAAAACTTCTTCGAGTTCCTCCGTCGCAGTGCCTTGTTCGTCTCTCCACTCAATCAGCTTAGCTACCGATGTTTGTTCGACGGCCTTCCGAGCATCGCCCCATGTGCCGGTCTTCAACATGTTGTCATACTCGGTATACTGGTGACGAATGTGCGCAACGACAGCAAGCTGTACACGGCGGGCAAGTGTCAATTCCTTCGCATTCCCCACTCGTTTTGTGCCCTATATATATATACAATTAGCGAGTGAAATGTAGTCACTATCCACATCGATCACTTACAGATTCGAATGCGTGGTTTACAATGGATTCCAAATCGGCATCTGGAATGTTGGGAAACATTTCGCGAATCGCCCCGCTTATATATTCCTTATTTTCTTTGATGTCAGTCGGTCGTCCGTGGAGAGCATTGCGGGTTTTCTCGTAATAATCGGCAAAACGGCGCTCGAAGTAGGCGTCCCCATAAAGAGGCGCATCCGGCAACTTTTCAAGGCCACCTGTCAAAGAGAATTTGTATTGCAGTAGTTTACACGCCGGTTCGATGACGTCTAGCGGAAAGTGGTACCCGATACGGTGAACGTGAGACGACAGTTTGGTGGGATCGGCGTGACTTCTATTATGTGGTGCCGCCTACGCGATATTAGCACAGAAAGGAACATGTGGCTAGACGAAAACTTACAGATACTATATGCACATCTCTCCCCCGTTGGCGGCATTGCTCTCTGCACCAATCTGTGAACTCCCCAAATCCCACAGGAATGAATCCATAGCCTTTGGGAGGGCGGTCCACATATGTAGACTGATGACGTGTTAGTAGTAAATCAGGATGAGCGAGCGAGACCCGACTGACAACAGTGTGCAACTTGCGCTTCTGCTCTGTCACCGCTTCAAGTACAACCTTGAAGTCCTTCTTCTTCCGGACAGACCGTTGGCGATCCCGCGGATTATGCGAACTGGCACGGTGAACTCTTGTCATTCTGTAAATACGTGTGAAACGAGTTGCGCAAGGGCTGAGAGACTGGAAGCTGGGACGATTAGTGGTTAGTACACGGTGTCGCACTTCTTCAGGAACGTTCAATAGAGCGCTTGGTCACGAAATGAACTGCTTATGTCTCAAGCATTCCCGTGGTAGGTGGAAAGCGCGGATGTTGTTTATATACAGCGAAGAAGAGTAGAGGGTAGCAGAGTGGCGTATGCGCATAGGGTGAGTCGTGATTGAGACGAGCGCGCTTAGCGCCGGCGTGGATAAATGTTCGTCCGATGGGACAGCCGTCGGCCCAATCACGATCAGCCTCACCTCCGAATACTCCTTCCTCTTCTACATCTCCCCAAGGTCATGTCTTCACAAGATATTGTTCACGGCTATAGACACCTATATCGCCACGGTTTGCGGGCAGTTCAGTTTTCTAAACCTGCGCGTTACGTATTGCGAGACCGCCTCCGCCTTGCCTTCCGCAAACCAACACAGAAGAACGAGTACAACCCGCAAAGAATACAGAATACGATAGAATTTCTACAATACGCAACAACTCATAGTGGTCTCGAACACAAAGTCCTAAAAAATCTCCTCCAAGTATGGCGGTGCCAGGCCTTGGGTGGCAAGGCAAAGCCGACCGGCAAAACTCCGTGAGTCGCTCTCAAACTTCATCAATCTACCTAGTAGTTGCGCTGGATGCTAACTGAAGTAGTATTAGGGATGAGCTACGCATCAACTCTACCGCCTACGACGCCTTTAACCATCACATTGATTTGCTCAACGAGAGCATGGAGATGTGCATTCCAGCGACGACCGTCCGAGACCCGAGGTTCTGAGTACAATTCTATCTGCTAGAGCGAACCGGTTCACAGCTGCGGCTCGGGTCCTTACCGTGCCCATAAAAGTTCTGATACAATGTTTGTGAGGGGGATTGCTGCATTCAATCCACTGCTCTTTCAATGTACACGCTCGACCGATCACCGCAAGTTTAGAAAAAGTCGTCCAGAAAGTCCTCAGAGCGATCTTGGTTGCTGGATTGCGCAATGTTCTCTTCCGAGAAAAGGTCGTCGTAAGCGTGATCGCGCTGCCACGCCTTCTCTTTGCGCTCCTTCGCAACGCGAGCCTCTTCTTTGCGCTGTACCGTGTTAGCAGACCGGCATTCGATACAACGAGTCGGTTCCTGGCAGGGAAGATGACAGAATCATGCATACCCTGGCTTGTACAGCATCGCGATCGCGACTTCTCAATTCCTTAAGCCTCGCTTCTTTCTCCTCTCGGAGATCCGGAAATTTCTCCACCTTTGTTTTGTTCAAGCGATTGACGATTGGGTTCTCCCGTTTTTCCACGTGAACACGTTTGACCTAGTCCCTGGTCAGTCCACCAAGGGATCTGTAGATGGGCTTTGAATAGATGAATCCGCTCTGAAAATCATAGAAAGAGCCTTGAGTCAATGAATGTGTGCACGAACTTTCTTTTGATCTTTGAATCCAACTTGGCCAACAGCCATACTTCCATCCTTCTTGAGGTTTGACCAGGGTGTATACACAATGGTGATGTTATCCTTCTTATTTCCTTCACATACCATGGTTAGAACGTGTGCAGTCGCGATTTCGCGATGAATCTAGCCAGACAAATAGAAAAGAAAAGTAAACCATAACTCACCCTCGATACTGTTCGCTTTGGTCAATTGCGCGCAATCGGTCAACAGCGCCTGGTCCATGTGCTCCCAGTCCTGATCTTCCGGCAATCTCACATAAATATGCGCAGATGACAAGTTATCAACGTGGAACCATACATCCTCTTGCCAGCCATGTTTGATAAGCTCTTCATCTATGCTCCGTCTTGATCAGCCTGGGTTCGCTTTATAATGTTTCCGACTTGAACTTTGGAAACTGAAGGGGGGGATTGTGAAGTCCAGGGAAGGCAGCTGGCTAATGGCACATACTTTCCACCTTATCCTTGCCGACATAGATGAAGGCGGAGGGGGAGACAGTGTTGGAGCTGAAATAGTACACCATTGTTACCACACCAGGTCGAACAGCAAATCACGACTCGTTGACCGGGACTGGGGTTGGTATCATGCACGTCTAACGGAATGACTAGACCGGGAGAAATATCGGACCGGTTCGTGTTATCTGGCGTTTGTTGTCGTTTTGCTTGGGGGGTGAGAGAGTTGGTTTAGGTCGGGCATGGAAATTTTGGTGGGGTTCCTGGCTGGGTGGGGCGAGAGCGGGAACGCAGCGCCACGGATCATCGCGTCCTTGTTGTGCAGTAGGGATTGTGAGATTATAATCAGTTACTGCATTCGATGGAATTGAAATTGTTGTCAAGGTTCGTGAGCAGAACCATCTCAATCAACGTCACTTCTTTCACGCACTAGTAAATTGCCATGGCTGTAATTGATATTCATTTCGTAGAATTTCGGTACAAGATATAACACGCTTGTGCGGACTGAGAGAGGGACAAAGACACTAAGCTAGGCAGTCGAAGGTACACCGGGTACTTTTGTGGTGGACGTCATGCTAAACCCTAAATACATAATCGATAGACACAATCATTTCGCGCCTCTCCGGTTCAAAAGGTCTTCTTGCGACAATTCCTCCTCGCCTGGGGCGGCTCTAACATCGTGATCGGCTTGTGCCAACCGATCAAATTCATTAGGTTGCCTGACATGTTTAAAAGCCTGCTCGTGACCCTTTGCTTTGGGGTCAAATCCCACGTTATCTGCAAGTAAAATTGTATTAGCCAATTATTTACATTCCAAGACGGATGGGCTCTGGTTGGACACACCAAAAGTCTTCTTCTCGATGTTGGTTGGCATCTGGTCGCCGGTACCAGTTACGATCTCACTTGTAGCGCCTTGATCTCTGGGGCCTCTTGGAATATCAAACGCATTATCCGCGGCGTGAGCTGGATTTGCGTGCGAATAGATGTCTGGGTTGGGATCGATCTGGTCGGGGCGCGGGACAGAGGGGATGATGCGTTGAGCGCCGGCATCATTAGGAATGGATGTCCCTGTCGCCGCCATGTCTTCGAGACGGCCGCCTTGGTGGGGATCTTGAGGCATTTCTGAAAAGGTATATGTGTAGACTGGAACCTTAAACTTGGTTGAATTTGGTGTTGAAATTGATTTGAAAACGAGGTGATTATGGAGGATAGATGGAGTTCAGTGAAGTCTTCGCATGTGCCTCCATTTCGAACTGTTTTGTACTGAGGCCTACGATTTTGTGGATATGTCGTTTCGTCATAGGCGTCATGATGTCGTTGACATGAGATGGATCTAAAAGAAGCACGGAAGCTGTATGTGGATCGAAGATCTATGGGGAAGCTTGGACCGCCTTTGAGCCTCGCTCGCGGGGTGGAGGGGTAGCTAGAGCCCAGGGCGGAACCTCGGAAATCTGCTTCAAACCCTTGAAAGTGAAAACAGCAACAAACAACGACGAACGAGCAACATCCCGAACGATTTCCGGCCGCAGGACACCATATATCACTCTCCGATCCAAATTGTACCAAGGTTTCGAGATCCAATTGCAATCATGCCAACGGAGCCGGCAGCCCCAACTCAAGAAGTAAAGCGCAAAGCTGCGCGTGAAGTAATCGACATCCTCCACGACATCGCAACGCTTCTCGTACTATAGTCCCCCAAGACTCAAGATCGACTACCATCTAACAAAAACTTCAGAATACGCATCTCGACCGCCAGCAACTATCGTACTGCGTCTCACTCATCGAGAACGGCGCGAACCCGGAAGCACTCGCGGTACGTTCTTCCTCCGTCAACTCCCTCCCTCATGTCGTGTGCACGAACACAGAAGGATGCCCAGGCATGCCTATCGTGATCCATGCATGCCACGCCGCAAGCTATCAAGCAAACCAACGAGCAAGCTCCAGACGCAACCCTCGCGCGTGACGTCCCTACACCCGACGCTCAACAACCCCACCCCATAAACACACAAGAGCCCGACTAACTTATCGCGATTCCGCAATCCACAGAACGTGATACGTCAGCTCCGCGACGAATCTGATTCGGTTGAAGCGGGTGCAGAAGAAGCAGGCGCACGCTGATATCTCACTCAGCTTCTTCTGTCTCTATCTATCTATCACACACACCGTTGACCTGTCATCATCCCTGGCTCAACCCGATAGTTACCCGGGCGAGAAGATGCAGTCACGACGATCCAACGATGACCCGGCACTACCATCCGAAAAACTCCACCGTAGCAAGCACGAGAGAGGGAGGTCCCAGCAGCCAGTCAATCATTATATGCGTAAGAAGGACTCAAACGGAACGAGACTCATGAAAACATGGTCAGGCATAATCAAACTATTTCCCACTTGAAAAGCCAACAAAATGGTACAGTGGATAAACGCCTTGCTCCCCCCCCCCCCCTCACATCTCCCAAATCAAGCCGTACACCTACCCCTCTTTCCAACATTCTTCTCGAGACTCGGACGTTATCAGCGAAAACGCGCCCCCAAAAAAAGAAATCCCTTATCGCTGCACTGGCTCGGAAAATGCAGGCATGTGCATGATGCCTACCCTATATCTTAGCCAGCTAGCTAGCACACATAATACGCACTCAAGTGACCCAACACCACGTCCACCATCTAGCCTAGTTGGTTAGTTAGGCGCGCCATGGCGCGATCCGCCTTCACTTTTCTTGCTCATGCGGGCACGCCAGGGAAACTCCCCAATGAATAGAAAAAAAAAAGAAATCAATATTTCTTGTTGGCGTGAGTTGTGCTATGTGGAGCGGTGTGAATCGAAGTCACCATTCTAGGCCATGGAAAGCTTGTTGAACAGAAGGAGGGGTAGGAATGTACAACCCTTTTTCTTTTCAGAGACGTGCTGCTTATTTGTGAAGGTGTTTTGATTATATGGCGGTGCAAATGCAGTGCGGTGTAAACGCGACTGCATGCTCGTGCACGCACACATGCATGCATGACGCGATAAGGTGTGATTAATTGATTGATTGATTGCCTGCTTTTTTTGCCTACACAGCTGGGTATATGATTGGAGCCAGGCTCGTATTTCAACCGATTTTGGGGAACGCCAGCAGGTTTTTGTCATCTTGGGCGAGAAATGGTTACCTGGGTAAGGTCGCTCGCGGAGAGCCTGATGGTTCTCATTTGGAATCGATCCAAATCAGGCAGAAGGAATATCTCTACCTTGGTTTGTAGTTGATAAGCATCTTGTTTCTTGGAAGGATGGACTACAGCAGAGCCAGTCAAGTAAACACTTGGATGGCGGGTTGTCGAAGTATTCACGGGACTCAAAATAGCACATCACAAGTATAAGATAAGAAATCAGTAATGGCTCAAAAACGTTGATTATTCTCAATGCGTAACCAACGATTGAGGCTTGTAAAGCGAAGGTATATATAAATAGGAATAAAACAGGACAAGAGTGAGGGTATCATCTTTGTAAACCGCGATGCTGCCATGTAAGGAATAAGAGCCAATAGATACCTTCCCCAGCAAAGCCAGCCATTAAAAAGCGAGATCAAAAATATATATGGTGAAAAACGAAGGGATGATAGATCCAGGCCTGTGACATCCATACCCAATTGAGAATGGCAGAAAGAGTTCGAGTGTAGTCTATTGAGTCTTTGGAGTGAAAAAGAGACAATGAAGAGGGAGATGTTCATCGGCTTCCCCAAGTGGGCGACGAGCGCCTTTGGCGGAAGTTGCCCTTCTCGTCGGCAACCTTCTCAAGGGCCTTTTCAGCGCGGGCTTCTTGCTTGTCTAGGAAAGAGTTGTAGACGGCGGGGAGAACGCGTTTAGAATCTAAGAGTTCAAGATTAGCCAAACGTTTGAAGAATGGGTGGGATATCCCTAAAACACGGGGAGTGAGGGTGAAAACTTACTCGCATGGTCCTCAGCAAACACAATCCCGTCTGCACCTCGCTCTCCAGCAACCTTTACCGCTTCCTCCAACAAGCTCTCTCCAATGCCCTTCCCTCGGTACTTTCCCCGCACAGTCCAAGCGCGGACAACGGCTTTTCCACGCTTTCTCTTCGCGTGGCCCTTTTTCTTGCCTGCCTCGGCATCCGCCCACCCTAGAACCAACGATCCAATGATTTCCTGACCCCATTTCACAACCAGAACGCGATCGTCGCCGAGCCAGTCCCAGTTGATGGTCTCGGCGTGCTGGATATACCGCGATGTAGCCCAGCGAACGGCGATAAGGCACGAGAAAGTAGCGCCACCGAGCGTGGTGAAGAGCAGATAGATGGCGTCTTGCGATGTGTAGATGAGTTTGGTAAGGACGCCAAGGAGTAGGATGAAAGCTGCGATATTGAGTGGGTGGTAGATGAGCATCTTGCTGGCAACTTGGCGCTGTTGAGCTACAGAGTCTGCCACGAGGCGAAGGGCGGCAATGCGTTCTTCCTGTGTGGTCGAGGGGTAAGTCGTAAGTTCAGGGAGGGCATCGGCGGGCGCAGATGAGGAAGGTGCGCTCGCAGTGTTGGACAATGACGGGGCAGACATGGTGGGTTCTGCTTCCGAGGAAAGCGATTGAGGTGGGTAGGGAATGTGTGGTGCGATGGTGGAGAAGGCGAGGGGTGATGGAGGTGGCAGGAAAGCGTTGTTGGGGGTCCGGAAGGTGAGTGGGGTGTGGAGTGGTGAAGGGCAATCGGGATCGATTTGAAGGTTTGCGGATAGAGAAGTGAAGAAGGCTAATGGTAGGTTAGCAACAGGGCAAAAGATGGATAGAATTGTGTGGGCAGGTCCCGGGAGACTTGGAGATGTTGGGGAAGAGATGACGATGGGGGGTGGGGGAGTGGTGAAGGGATAGCGAGGGTGGAAAAAAAAACGTACCAGCACTGGTTCTGAAGCCTGGAATAGCGGGGATTGCGGGAATAAACTTGTCTCCAGAAGCGATTCCCGAGCTCAAGCCACCAGCAGGAGCAGCGTATTGATTGGATCCGACGGGAACGTTGTTGACTTCGATGCGAGGAGGACCATACAAGCCTGGAGCGACCTTGAGATGTGAAGGAGGTTGGATTTGGCGACGCATTGTGTAGGACAGTGAAGGGAGAAAAAGTAAGGCAAGATGGAGTCTCAGACCCGAAGCGCTTCAGGAAAGCGAGAATAAAAGCAGGAAAAAAAAAATATAAGAAACCTAGCGCGGTGGAAATTACATAAACCAGAGAAGGGTCGACTAGCGAAACCTCCAACGGCGGCGATGGGTGTATCAAAGTAGTAAAAGTAGTAGCGGTAGTATGGATGAAAGGTGTCTAAAAGTCCATTAGACGGGAGTGAAGCAGAGTAATGAATTCCCGGATTACTTGGGAGAAGCGGTTGGTGGGAAGAGAAACAAGGGAGAAGAGGAGTGACAAGGCGTGGACAGCAGCGTGGGTATATCTATTCGGTGTGAAGCCAAGAGGACAGGGCGAAAATCAAGCGTCGAGCGAGCGAGCGTGCGTGCGTTAGTCCCAAGTACTTAGACAAGAAATGGGCTGGGGGGGCCCGCAGACGGACGGACGCATGGCGTTCAAAGGAAAAGACTATGCACCGACCCCCTTGTCGCTGGGCACTGTCAAACACGGTGGGTGATCTTTCTGATGTGTCTGTGACAAGCCCGCAACAGGCCCAGACCTCTGTCTCCAGACGGTTTGCACCTCTGGCTGCGGCGTACGCGGCATGCATGATTGGACCGTGATAAGCACACACGCATACACACACACGGATAGATACACATGTGTGTACATTGCACCATCCGGCATGACGATGATGATGGCCATGACGGCTTGATAGATATGGAGCCATGGAGCCAATGAGCCAGCACGACTGCCGAGCTGCGACGCGTTACAGCATAGGTCCATCACCACCAGCATGGCAAGCATCATCATCGGTGGGCGTCCATGTTTGGTTCCAAACCACCAGAGTTCGGTCACACGAGCGCTTGCGATGGTTTGAGTTCGTTTTGCCTGGCTTACTATCCATCCATCCCGTCTCCCCAATCACAACCAACAACGTCAATGTCCGATTGAGTGCTCGTGTTCCTTCCAGCTCTTCCGAGCAAACATGTACCTCACCACTTCACCAAACACATGCCATACCACACGTCACACCCCACCCGCATCAACATCACCATCATCATCCTCATTGCCGTCTATCTACCATTTAATCAATCCGTCACCTCTACTGTCCAACAGAAAAGGATGATCCCATCTTTTACCCTCAAGTGCCGGCACACACATACACGCACATGAAGGCCAACATCCAACGCAATGCAATGGGTGAATCCGTCAAGCCCACCAAGCAAGCCAGCAAAAACGGGCGAGCGAGTCAAGCGAGAGTCCAAGCCAAGACCCCGCGTCGCCAGGGGGCACCAGCCAGACCAATCCCCACCGCGGAGCCATCAATCTGTAACTCGCCTATCAACTGAAACTCCAAACATCAGTCTCACCTGCACGGCCTGGCCCGCTGTACACGAATCCATCCACTTCCTCGTCCTCTTCCCATCCGGCAGAATCCCTCACTACCGCTTTGAACACCACCAGAGTGTATCACGCCATTCCGCTAGCGCTCCCTCCCCGATCCCCTCGCCTTGACTTGCCCACCTAACTGCTGACTTACATGTGTAGTCTACCCTTCACATCCTGTAACTTGATGGACGGCAGCACGCCAATGTTTCATCCCATCATCGCCATCTTTTATCCCCGCATCGTTTGCCGTTCCCTGCAGTTTGTGGTGCCAAAGGCAATGCCGTTTGGGTCCCCGAGTATACCCAACGCATAACCTTTTATGCATATCATCCATCCACCAACTCGTACATCCATCCGTTGCCACTCAGCACAATCGCGCGCGTTACCTCAAACAATAGGCAAACCCTTCTGCCTCACTCCTTGTAGAACCGCCGTCACGTATATACAGCGCTGCCAAACGTTTCACTCAGGTCCAGACACATACCCACACCCATGGAAAGACTAATCCCCGTTCAAGAACAAAAAAAGGGAACGAACCATCCATAAAAAGAAGCGTCTCCGGTTTTCTGGCCGCTTTCTGTCCTTTGAGCAACCCCCAGTTGCCGTTACTGTCGGTATTCTTAGTTTCGTTTCGCACTCCGCCCGCCCAATCGCATGCCCCCTTGGCATGTCAATCTTCACCACAAACTGCCCGACATTGGCTCACGTCGACAGCTGAAGTTTTTCCTTTTCTACCTCTTACGTGCATAGGGCAGGCAGAACGCTGCACCTAGATTGCAACAGCTATGCGTGAATTGAGCGTCGTCACGCGCAAAGTCCAGCACGATGCGTGGTGTATCTCACACAGGCTGCAGATGAAAACTTTCCCCCATAAGCGAGGAGAGACCCTGATACAGATGCAGATACAATATTCCGATTCGCGGCCTTGCGCGATCGTGTCTACCCGAACAAAGTGACAATCCTCTCCTCGTCGGGCAGGTAGCTGTGGTCACACGGGAATGCTTACGCTTCTCCCATAGACGTTGCGTATGTACGTACACGTCATCCCTAGCCTTGTCTATACATGTACACATATATCAGCTACATCATATCACTCTATTGAACCGTCGAGGATGGGTTGAAAATCGATGAACAGTGAGACAACGATGCGACAGATTGATGTAAATCTCGTTGGCAAGGGCCGGCGTTGACGATACAGTGGCATTCAGGATGCAATCCGAGGAGTGGAGACGAAAAGAACCAACGTCCAATGTTGATACGCGGGACCGGGTTCCTTACTTCACGTACTCATGTCAGCTGCTCTAGTAATGATAATTGGGAGAGGAACGAAGACGGCAAATCGGGTTTCGATCTCTGATCTACTCATCTACTAGTCCACCTTATATATGAAGTGAAGTATTGCCTTCACTATCGAAGGAGCGGTTCCCGCGACGATCAACTCGAGAAGAGGGGCGGACAGGATGTGTGACGAAAAGGCGTGAGATGAGAAAGAAAGCAAGGTAAGACAGGATATCGAGTGCCGCCACCAATAATACAGTATGAGAACAGCCATGAAGGAGGTTATCGTCTGGGGAGAATCAGCTCTAATTCTCACAAGGCATCACTCTTTACTGCGTTCTCTGAAATTGGCAACCTCAGATATCAGAACAATACAAGTATTTACATTACGACTAGCTGGCTGGCTGGTGAGGGGGAGATGTTCCGTAATCCAAGTACATACCCGATTCCTTCTACTCTTCTCAACTCATGCACCAACTGTTTCCTATCCACACCGATTCATACATACTCCAACACGCGTTCTGCCTATCTACAGGGTAGGGAATAATTCAAACCATCATCAAGGCACTTCATCTAGTGACAAACGACAAGCCCAAGGAAAAGAAAGGAGAGAGAGGGGGGAAAAAGACGCATGAAAAACAAAGAAAGAAGAGGTAAGCAACAACATCTCCTGCTTTTCGTGGTCATTCTGCCAAACAAACAGCGCCCCGCTCCAGGGCAATCACGAAGTCAAGACAACGAGTAAGCAAGTCTATATATGAAAGTCAGTCCCCCATCATCCGTATATCCGGCATTCTAGATGAGCTTCACCAATCCGGCAACTGTCGTACACAGGACAATATCCCGCAATTCTAGAAGTGAGACGCGGCCTCCTCCTTCTTCCCCACCATGTTAGCGGCCCGTGATGCATCTACACATGTTCTTCAGCCCGGAAACAGGGTATCAGGCGTATTTCTGCTCCAGCTGGCCTAAGCAGACCACCATAATGCCGGCAGATAGAGCTTCAGTAACCTAAGCAGGCATTGTTCGCGACATACGCTGGAGCTCGTTTGCTTGCGGCATGCACTAAAGATCGTTGCCTTCGACAGGGGCTGACGGCAACGGCGTGCGTTATATGATTGGGATAGGCAGTGGTACGCTTTCTACGCGTAACACCTCCCTTTCCTAGACCACCCACGGTAGAGCCAATCCTTCACGAAGGCATGGTCCAAGAATCTCATCAAGTATGTTGCGTAGCTCACTTCTTCTGCTGGGTGTTGGCAGCGGAGCCTGCAGCCGGCGTCGCACCAGGTTCGAGAGTGTGTACGTGGTTCTCAGCTCGGAGGACCTTTCCGCCTTCTTCTTGGGCGCAGACCTGGTTGTTTTTGACCCACTTGTCTTCGAGAATCTCAGCCAGTGTAGCTCGTTTCTTAGGGTCGACTTCGAGCATACGACCGACGATACTTCTACTCTCCCTAGGGAGTAAACGCAAAAGTCGCCATGGTCCTTTGATCACCTGGGGAGGCTGTGAAGAATCCTTAGCTACGGTTGTAGCCTGGGACGATGCGGAGGTCTTATCGTTGGTGACAGGGTCCGAATGAGAACCATTACTGCGGTGGTGATGGTGGTTGGAAGAAGATTGACCCGAAGGAGCACGGGATGCTGGCTCGGATTGCGCGCCTGTTTTGTGTCGATCGTCCTGAGCTGCATCAGGATGAAGGTCCGTAGCTGATTTGGATGGGTGCGTGATGGATCTCGGGCCGTCGTTGGGTGGTGCGACAAATAGTTTGTAGCTATTGTCTGAGACGCGGGGTGCTTTCCACGGAAATCTGCGCAGTGTCATGCAGCAAAAGATGATAGCAAGAGACCAGACGTCGGTAGGCTGAGGGTCGTACTTCGACAAGTCGTATACTTCGGGCGCCAGGTACGGATCAGAGCCAACGATACCTATGAGAGTGTGAGTGATGCTCCACGCTAAGCACGACAATCAAAACTTACCACTGGCCATTACAATGTCTTTCTCAAAGGGATATCGGAAGACTGCAGCGCTGCCAAAGTCGATGATCTTCATGATACCATGTTCATTCACCACCACGTTGTCCAATTTGAGATCTCGATGGGCAAGACCCATGCTATGGAGATAGGCTACACCGTTTAGAATCTGAAGCGTGCAGCAGGTCATCTCTTCACGGCTCATCTTGCCTGTCATGACGATTGCAAATAGATCGAAGGGTGCGTATTCCATGACAACGTAGTAGTTGCCTTTCTCGTTCACCAGATCCATGGTTTCGATGATGTTGCCGTGATGCAAAGTCGAGCCTATGCAGAATTCCGCCGTCACCTTCTTCTTGTAGTCTCGCTCCGATTCATACGTGTGCTTTGCTCGGAATTGTTTCACTGCGAATGTGACACCGTCGCCGCTTCTTTTCATCAAGCGGACCGATCCTCCAGCTCCTGAGCCAAGTACTTTTCCAAACTTTCCATATTTGTTTTCTAGACCGTGATCGTCGGCAAAAGGAACAGACGGTCCTCCGCCAGTTATTGGTGGTGTCATGGTAATTCTATTCTTGGACTTGATCTTATCTTTCACGGACGGCGCTGGAGACTGCGGACGCTTATCTTTCTCCTTGTCTTTTCCCTTCTTCTTGTCCTTTTCCTTTTCCTTGTCCTTGTGCTTGTGGCCTCCAATCTTGAAGAACCGTTTTAGTTCCGACATAGAAGAGTGGTGATGTTGCTTGCCAATCACGGATCTAGCATCGCTATCATCGGCCGAGCCATGACGAGATTTTGATCCACCAAAGAAGCTGGATCTCTTGTCCGATGCGCCGTCATGGTTTTTAGCTTGGAGTTGTGTGGTTGAAGACGCGGGTGACGCTTGCTGCTTCTTTCTATTCTCATTTTCTAAAACAAATCGAGCTTCCAAACCCTCTGCCAGTCTAGGTTGTGGAACGCGTTTCCCACGAACACTGGAATCGTCTTTCTCTTGAGGAGTATACGGCCTGCTGCTAGCTGGTGTTGCTCCAGGTGAATCCCGCAATGGAGTGCGAGTCCCGGCAGTCCCCGACGGGCTGACATCCCTCGACACTGGCAATGAGTCTCCAGTTGGGCCTACATGGAAAGACACCGGGTTCCTAGGATGGGGTCCTAATATACCCGACATATCGGCTACCGACGACGGACGGGAGGCCTCCCTTGAATGTGGTTTGGGCGAATGAGGGGCTATCATGGACTGGTGTTTTCTATCACCACCACTGTGCACAGCATCCATTGATGTTGGGGGTGGTTCATGCGGAGGTGAGATCTGTGGGGTCACCATGGCCGGGTCCTTTCTCTGTTCTGGCATGACCGACGGCTTCCCATCGTGCGAACTAGTGCCCGCGGGCGTCAAGGGTGGAGAGTGCATGGTAGAAGCAGGAGGAGACGGGCGAAGCGGTGTTGCCGAGAGGCGGTGGTTCGAGTGACCAGAAGGTGTGCGAGACGTTGGGGTTGGAGATGGGGCCTGGACGCGTCAGTCAAAAGATAAATGTGGAGATTCGACAAGTATGCTTACCCTTGAAGCGGGCAAGGAGACGGGTTCATAACGTGCTTGACATCGAGAGTTCTGCAGAGTTTGGGAGATGTTCCGCAGCTCTTGCTCGGCCTCGGGGCTCAATGGCTCATTTTCGTCTTTCTCGACACCTGTGAGGGCGGCCACATGCCGCACGGCAATCTCGGGCTCGATTTCTTGATTTACGTCGCTGAAACGCACCGACTGGCCCTGGTCTTGCGGATTGGCAGCCATGGTGAATTGATGCGAATGGAGGGCGCGAAAGCAAATGGAAGAAAAGGCTGCTGACTGGTGGTCAAACAGCTATCATGTGCTAGTCGGAAGTCGGAATAAAAAAGGCCTTGACTCCGACTGCTAGCCGACACAGCCGTCACTCTCGCGGATGGCGATTGGGAGCGCAATTATTCGGGATTAAAGAGGTTGGTGGCCAGTGAGACAACGATGAAGGGCGGGTGGAGGGTTGGCTAAAAAGAGAGAAGGTAGTTGGGGGGTGTGGTGTTCAACGTCATGTAGTGATAATGGCCGAGACGAAGCTTCTGCCCCGCGATGATGCTCTAGCGCCGATTAGCTGGTAGAGGATGCGGGATATCCGGATCAGGCAGTCGACGAAGGAGGGAATGCAGTCAGCGCCAGCTGCATGAAGAAAAAGTTTGGGGTGAGACAAGACGTGTTAGTCAATGATGGGGGTTCCGCTATTCTTGGCTGTTGCCGTGGCCGTGGTGGAGATTTCTTGAACGGACGGACGAAGAGAGACGGCAGGAGAGGTGAAGAGAGAGAGAGACGGCGAGTGGGCGAGACAAGGACGAGTCAGATGGGCTCGGCTTTAGGTCATTCCATGCGTCGGTGGACTCTGGACTCCAAGGCTAGAGTCTGTTAGCTACAGTGCAGAGAAATGATGGCGCATAAGTACAGAATTAGCTGTGGGGCCAGTGGAAAGACAGAAACGAGGCGGCCCAGGGTGGGATGGGGACAAATGTTTGATAAGCAGAGACAGCCACACCTACACGCCTCACATCATCATCAGCGCCATCATGGATATCCTCCTCGACATCTGGTACTGCTACACATGTGCGTTGCTGTATATCTTACTAGGTGTGGGGTTATGTAGTCGCGCATCGCTGTTGGAAACTCTAAATTCTGTACATACAGTACATGTATGTAGTCATGAGCTACCAGTTGACGCCATCTAGCTACTACTGATTATAATCAAAAAGTACATACCTGATGGATGACAAACAACAAACGAAGCACTGTTTGTACCTCTACCGTTACTTTCAGCATCACCGGAAATGTTTCCTGTTCCTGTGCCTCCTCCGATTTTTCCGATTTTTTTGATTTTTTTTTAATATTTTTTCCCCAAATTTTTCTCTTCCACTGCTTCCCAACAGTCCATTGCCCCCACAGCTCGTGTCATGCCCGTGGTATACCCGACACCATCAGCGATCAATGGATTGAACCTGTTTCCCATTCTTCTCGTCACATGCGATTTGCGCCTTAGCGCACAGCCTCTTTGATGCTTGTCGCCTTACCCGGCCGTCCCTGGAAGCTTGGCCTTTCTTTTCCTCCGCGGCTCCGCCTAACCAACCCTAACCAACCATTCATTACATACTGACTTACTTACTTCTGCCAAAACAAGACTTTTCCTCAGCAAAAGCGCCAGCAAGCCTTTTTGCCTCCCAGGGACTTCTGCCTCCTCCTCACCTTTTGCTCTACATCTAGTGCCCGCAAAATATCCCAAGCATAAAAATGTTTCGTTGGGCTCAACAACAGTCAGTTCCTTCCGCTCCTTGCCTCCCGCCACTCCACCATCCCGCGGCGGTGGTAAGCCCGCCCCATTAACTCACATGCCTCCAGGTTGGCCAATGTCGCCGGTACCCAAGAGCCCGAGTACGGCCCCGAAGCTATTCAGCCCGTGGGAAAGAATCCCGGCGATCCCGCCTTCTCCGAATTAACCAAACAAGACCTCAAATGGAGGACGCTCGAGGTGACCAACGTCGAGACCCAAACCTTCTATGTGATTGCCGATAGTGGCCACACCTGCTTCTTGCAGGTCATCTATAACAACATAGCGTACGAGCTCTTCCCAGTGCGTCTGCCCCAGCTCGAAACAACCTGCTGACGCCTCAAAAAGCGGTCTGCGCATCACCACGCAGTTCAATTGCAAGATTTTTGCTCCCGACAACTCCAAACCCTTCATATGGTCAAGCGATGCTCTGTCCAACCACGGCTTCGATGACGACCATTACTCGTTTTATGCCGACAACCTCTCGGTCGAACTGTCGGAAGATGGCACAGCTTACACCATCAAATCGGCCATCAACGAGAACAGCATGGTGGACGTCAAAATCACGCGTACTGCCCCTGGCTTTGTAGGTGGAAACGATGGTTATACCAACTATGGAACGGACCCCAAGGCACCGTGGGGATCCATGTGCCACGCTTTCTGGCCAAGGGCAACTGCGGAGGGGAGGATCATCACAAAGGAGGGAGAACTCGACTTCAAGGGCAGAGCCATGCTCAGTCATGCGCTGCAGGGCATGAAACCACACCATGCCGGTACGTAATTCGACGCACCCGCCCTCTCGAGCTTCAACTGACCGTAAATAGCTGCGCGATGGAACTTTGTCAACTTCCAGTCTCCTACGTACTCCGCCATCTTGATGGAATTCACCACTCCTTCCTCGTACGGATCCACTGTAGTACGTGTTTCCGGTATCGCCACGGACGGCAAGCTCCTGTTCGCCAGCAACAATTCCGGTCACGCTAAACACGTTGAGACGAAGGAGGATACTGAGACTTTCTGGCCTGAGCCCACCACTGTGAGCTATGCATGGGAGGGCAAGACTGAGGATAACAAAGAGGCTTCTGCGCTTCTTGAGGGTAACCTTGGCTCACGATGGGACCGTACAGATGTCATGGCCGAAGTTCCTGGCTTCGTCAAGACTATAGTAGCCAACGCTGCCGGTACACGTCCCTTCATCTACCAGTACCGCCCCAAGATGACCTTGGAAGTCAAAATCGGAGAGGAAACGAAGAAAGAAGAAGGAATCGCATTCATTGAAGCGACGTTTGTATCGTGAAATGTTGAAATGGAAATGGACACCTGGGGGCCTATGAAACAACACGTTGGATAGACTTATGACTACGACGCCCTCACCCTAAACTAATAACTCGCTTTACTCAGGGCTGGCGCTTGAGAACCTAATGACTGAATACAACCTTTCTTTTACTACGGACCCTTGTTCTAGTGAGGCTTCATTCACGCGTACTGATATCTTTACTTATTTTAAGAACCGGTCAAGACTTTGGACATCGAGAGTCCAACACTTTTCACTTATTATGCGCACTATTATTTCCACCTGCGTGCCACCCGTCCATCTAAACAAACATCTAAACACGTACCGTCCGCCTGTCAACCCTTTGATGGGGATTCTCCCTCATCCACAACACCACTGCAGCCATCAATCAGATCAGACGGGACAGTCAGGCACACTTACTCATCACTTGACGGACAGAACTTTACTGCAAAGGCTTGATGTTCTTACATCTACTGTTCCAGCTCTTTACTTCCATGAAAGTAGGCAGCACATTTGCCTCTTTGCTGCATTCGTTGGGTCCGATGCCGAATGGGGCTTTCGCGTAGGCGCCTGCTGCAGCTTGAACGCGACGACGTGGTCTGTGCGACAACGTTGTGTTACACACAACTCGGGTTAGTCGCCACCCAACATGGAAGAAGCCATGTCTGTTTACCTTTGACAGTTTCTTCGCACTTTCACATCTACAGCAGACAAAAACTCCTCACTTTTTCAGCATGGCTCCGCCGCATACTGAGCGACCGCGGCAATTTGCTGGTACTCCTCGATTCAGCATCCCCAGCAATTCAGCTACTTCAAGCTCACGCTGGCAATCGTCAGCCACGATGGCCGGTACACCCGCTACATCACGTCAAACCCATTCGGGCTTGGGACTAGGAGGCAAGGGGAAAGGCTTAGGTCAAACCCTCAAACGTCACAGGTAAGTTGAATAGTGTCTGAATGTTACACTTTGCTCCCTTGCGTTTCGGTATGCTGATTGTAAATTGCAGGAAGGTGCAAAGGGACACAATTCAGGGAATATCTAATGGCGATATTCGGTATGGATCCAAGATCTTTGCACGAAAAGACTGCCAGGTATTCGCTAACTTCCCATTACCAGTCGTCTTGCTCGTCGCGGTGGCATCAAAAGGCTGTCTGCTGACGTCTATGGCGACGTCCGCGCTGTGCTCAAAGCCCGCCTTCAACGGATTCTTGGGGCCCTCATTCCTTTGGTCGAGCATAGCAACAGAAAGACAATTTCTGTGGAAGACGTCATTTTCACATTGAATAGGGTATGTGCCTGGACGTCTCCTTTCTTGCCTTCTTTCAAACCTCCCTCCATATTTCTCAGTTATTGTGATACGTGGTCTAATGCATTCTTACAGTTGGGAAATCCCATTTATGGCTTCCAACCCAGCTTCGACGGGCGACATCGTACATGAAAACAGTTTTGTGGCAACACTTGAAATTCGAAGCCCGGCTGCACACCGGCATTCAATCTTTTCATCAAAACCACGACTGTGGATCGTGTAATGATTCGTCACTATTTGTTTGGCGTGCCCAAGAAATAACACGCTTTGATCCCGCTTCGAGGAACGCGCGATGTCCTCAATGCAAGGGCACGATTACATGAGTTATTTGTTCCGACCAGTCCTGCGCATGTACGCAGCAGTTGAACATCACGTCCTGCTATTATAATGAGCGTGCTTTGAGCCACGGGAACGCGATCCACTTGTGTAGTGACTGGAGGCTTGCGAAAGCTCTGGCGTGGATCTGTTTTGTGCGGATATTACATATTGCAACAAGCAGTGGAATGTAGTTAGTTGCTGCCCTGCAAAAATGGAAGGACGCAAAAGAGTAGTTAATACAATGGAGACGAATGGTAATGAATGATTTACCTGCCCAAGTACTTAATCATGCCGGGAGGGCATGTGTGTGCGATCAAACGTGTCTCCAACATTCATCCTTCGGAGCGTCCAACTCCAGAACGATGGTTCACCCAGACGTCATTCACTGTAATACCATGATCCCGATCCAGACTGCTACAATTTAAGCTTATTTTTTGACAAGCTGACTGGCGCGTTCCTGCATGGCGTTGCCGAGTATAGTGTAGCGTGCCATGGTTATTCATCCCAAACGCTCATCATTCCCCGCGTAATCGGTACGTCATAACGCACGTGTAACTGAACAGCAAAGCTGGAGCTGTAGCTAGTTACGTGGAAGTGATTCAATTCTCCATGTTCTTTAAAGGCTTCAGCTCCCACACAAAAGTCTTTATACAAATCCCACTTCTACTTCAACCAGCTTCTTTTTCTTAACACTTCCTCGCACCTGCAATTCACCTGATCAAGCCACATTCTCGACCATATCCCCACTCCCGCAATGCTCTCCAAACGCGTTGCATCCAACGTTACCAGTGTTGCTCGCTGCACACGTCGACCCGTTCCCCGAATCCCAGCAAATGCACGACTCCGCACACAAAACTCCCGTTTCCAATCGACCTCCTCGGGTAGCAGCAGCGGTGCTAGCTCCAGCTCACCAGCCCTCATCGGCGGTGTGGCTGGCTCCCTCGCCACCTTCTCAATCGGCTATCTCTGGTACCGACAGTCAGGAGCACAAGACCTGTTAGCCGCAACCAAAACCACAAAAGACTACCTCAACACCACCTCCAAAAAGCTAAAAGACTCAACGCCGGAGCCCAACGAAGCGCTCCAATGGCTTCGACACACCGCTCACAGCTACGCCGTCTTCATCCCGGGGGCCCGGGGTTACATCGATGCCGCTTTCAATGACCTAGATGCCATCCGCTCTAAGCACGGCCAGGAAGTGGACGACATCGTGAAAGAGGCGTACACGGAACTCCAAGGCTTGGCCAAGGATGGCGATCTCTCGCTTCTCACAGCGCAGAAGGCATGGAGTGTGCTTGTCAAACATCTTGGCCGCATCGGCGACCTCGCAGGCGATGCCTCGCAGCAGATCCTCGACAACCACCCCTCACTCAAGGAGAAGGTTGGTGGGAACATTGATAAGCTGAAGCAAATGGGCGATAACTACGGACCCGAGGCCAAGAAGGAGCTCGACAAGACATGGCAGCAAATCAGCGACATTGTCAAGATGGGCCTCAGCGCAGAAAACATTGAGAAGATCAGGAAAACGGTACAGGAGAAAGTCGACCTCATGAAGCGCTACGGCGACGAGGCCTGGGAAAAGGGCATGGAGCAGGCGAAGCCATACTTGGAAAAGAACCCGCAGGTCAAGAAACTCGTCGAGGAAAACGCCGACAAGCTCAAGCAAGGCAACGTGCAGGAACTCTACCAGAAAGTCAAGCAGGCCGTTGAGTCTGGCTCCATGGGTGATTTGGAATCGTATGTCAAGTCCGCGGCTAACAAGGCCAAGGACTCGGGCATAGGAGGCGGCATCGAGCAGTATCTGAACAAGATTCCGGGTGGTGATCAAATCCTGCCCAAGCTCACGCAGCTCCAACAGGCGGCGGAGAAGCACGGTGATGAGGCGCAGAAGCTGCTCAAGGACGCCGTCAAGGAGATTGAAGAGGTGTTGAAGAAGAAGGGCAGCGAGGCGGAGAAGCTGGCGAACAAGGCCAAAGAGGAGACGAAGAAATAGATCTTACCAGCACGCGGTGTGATATGAGCGGGGGGGATCCCTTCAGCTCATCATCTTTTTGCCTTCTTCTCTTGTATTATAGAATTCTTGGAAAGAGTTACAAGTTGTTTGTAGCGTTTCCCCTTTGCAGCATTGATGGGCGGGATATGTCCCTCTGAAGATTTAGGGAGAGGGATAAAAGCATCATTTCATACACGAACTCAATAAAGACAATGGCTTGCCCTTCATCATGATACATACTATTTATCACTATTCAAACCCATGTTCCCCAGGAAAATAGAAACATCAACTTGATGACCGTGTTCTTTCCATTGCCGCTTTGCTAGAACAGAACAAGGTCTAACCACCCCCTTCGATCTCGTTCTGAGTATAATCTCCCCTACTATAAACAAAGCACACGAAACGTTGTCACGACACTCCACGTCACAAACGACCAATGCCTAGTCTTGTTATTCTTCGTAGTACAGCCAAATCCAATCTTGTTCTTTATGTTTTCCCCCATCGCCTTACCACCTCGGTACTCAAAACACACTCACGTATCACCATTACACACACATACAGATACGCACAATAAATATAGAAACAAGCGACAAGAGATGTAACAGGTTAGGACGCAGGGTCACGTACTTTGCTTTTTTTATTCTTTAAACGTCTTGATCTGTTTCATCCACCTCCCACTCTAACACGAAAGTCCGCTGCGTTTCCGCGTGGGGGCAGTTACGGGTGCCCCATCGCCGTTTCCCGCTTGTTGTCTTGCTTGTCCTTGTCCTTGAACGATACGAAGCGGCCCACATTTTGTAAACGCGCGCTTGTTATTTATTGTTTGCTTTCCTTACGTATTTCTGGCGAGCGGCAGGTGTTTATATGTGGGGGGTGTTAAGGCCGTGCCTGATGCGTGGGGGGAAAGTGCGGGTGTTAACAGGAACGTTCATTGTTGGCCTAGTCACAAAAGGGGATTTTGTGCATGTTATTTTTCTTTTGATTGTTGCTCACCGATCAATGTGTTTGAGAAGGTGAACGGACTTGGCAGAGAGATGGAGTTCCCCGATTTTTCAATGTCAATCGTGCAGTCGGCGTTTCCAACTGGTGCTCCTTCCATGCAAAGGATGCCGACAAGAGTGGTTATGTTCGGAAAAGTAAAAACATCAGAAATATATGTGGTTATACATCTTTGAACTTTTCGATCTCTCTATTCCCTCCCATAAAGACCTGCGGGAAGGATACCCTGTAAATACGGGCCGGGGCACAAGACGAAGCGAGAATACAAGAAAAAAAAAGCAATGAAGATAAGGTTGTCAAGAATTTGAACAATGTGACTCAAAGTCGATCAAAAATCATCCGCCCAGAAAATGCAATCGCTAAAGTGAATGGTCGTCATAATGATAAAAGAATGGTAGATTACATAATGCCTTTCAAGCCGCGGAAACCCCCCGTCTTTTTAGAGGAAGGCTCCTTGGCTTCCTTCTCCTTCTTCTTGAGGCTAGAAATGTTTTGTGCGCCGCCTGATTTCGTGTTAGCTAACAGAGCTCTAGAGTACTGATGTGTGCGTTGCAGACTTACCACGCCCATATATACGCAGCTCTGGCTTAGGTGCTGCGGCTGCCTTGTCCTTCTTGTCCCCCTTGCTACTGTTCGTGTCGACAGAGTAGGCGCTCTTTCCGCTTGATGCTGGAACTTCGGGAGTTCTCTGGTTCTGAATTTGAGCATCAAGATGATCTTCATAAGCCTCAGAAAGATGATCTCGCTGGCCTCGGTAAGGTCGCTGTAGCGGCATCGATTCATATCGTACTGGTCGCGATGTCGATGTAGACGTAGGGGAGGTGGGAGACCGGTATTCCGGTGATTGATAATCGGCATAAGGGTCGTGTCCTTCCGGAAGGTCGGCATAATTGGGCTGTGTGAAATTCGATTCATGGACCCGACTGTTACGATGGCTATTGACGAGGCTAAAGTTTCGCACGGGAGTGTCTTTCTCGGAAGCATAGCCGGCTCGATCGTTGTTGCGCAGCTTGCCCAAAAGGGCTTGGTGCTCAGCATCTAGCTCGTGATACTGCATTTCGAGCTCAGTTCTTTGATCTTGAAGGCGATGATACATTTTTTTCATGTTTGCCAATTTCGCGTTGTTGGATGCCAGCGCTGAGTCGAGCATCTGCTGTACAGAGGGTGGTAGCTGCCCAGGTCTTCCGACTGGTCTGTCACTGCGATGTAGTTGTGACTCAAGCTCCATGATACGACGTTCGTAGGCTTGAACTGATCGTTGGCGGTCGAGTTCAAGACTGCTATATCGTAAGTTGGCACTCTCAAGCTCATTCCGTAGCTCGTTGCGCTGCTGAATCATGAGACTGAGATCTTTCGACTGATCTCCAAACCCGATTATCTTGTCTTGGGCAGCTTCTAGTTCTCGACGCATCTGACCATAATCTTTAAGTTCAACTTCGAGGGCATGGGTTCGCTGCTGGGCGCGCAATTGCTCAGCTTCTGCTCTTTCGACAATTTTCTTGAGATGATCAAAGTCAGCCCGCGTCTTGTTGAGCTCAAAACGCAGAGACTCCTCTTCGCTTTGCCATGATTTTTGATCGTCCCTATAGGAACGGACTTTCCCACTCAACTCTCCCTCCCATTTCTTGGACTGGCTGCGACTGGTGAGGGTCTCTTTCTTGAGCTGCGCATACTGTTCGTTCATTTTTGTGAGCCGGGCTTTCAATGTCTTGTTAGTGTTGATAAGATTTTGGGTGTCCGCTTCAGCAGTAGCTTCTTTGAGTTGCTTGCGTTGGAGCTGCCCAATATGAGAAAGGTGCTGAGACTTCATGTAGCGCTCAAAATTCAGATCGTTGCGCAAAAGCATAATTTCCCTCTGTAAAGCAGCCATGCTTAGGTTCTGAAACTCGGAATGAGTGGGGGAGCCGACAGTATTAGCCAGGGCTGAAATGTTATCTATGCTCGGGGAGGGAACGACAAGGCGTTGCGGCATGGCCAGAGGCGCCCCGAGAAAGTGATTCTTCTTGGTGGCATCTTTCATGGGTGGAAGAGTAGGGGAGTCCAATACATCTTTGCATTTTAGCAAAGGAGAGGCAGAGTATTCCGATCTAATTGACTTAATCTTGGGTGCTTCCTCGGGACTTTCGGGCAAGTCGGACTGGCCATTGGTAGATGAAGCAACGGTTGTCGACTGCGTGTTCCTCCAGCTAGCTGTCGACCCAGTAATTGTGGAGCCATCATCGAATTCGGCTCTTGGGAGAGGAGTGTTGGAATTGGGAGGTGAAGGAAGGTCGGGAAGCTTAGTGGCCGGCGGTGGCCCAGGATCGTCCAGAGTGGTTGATACTGCTACGCATAAGTCCATGCATTCCATGACCACATCAGCAGGATCACTGTTCAACCAGCGATTTTCGTTCAACTCGTCTTCAACTGTGGTAGTGAACATGTTGGGATGCAACAAATGAACACGACGATAAGGCTCGGTCCGTGAATGGATTAGATCCTGATCCAGGTCGAAATCGTCGGCGCCAGGAAAGTTGAGCGACTTGAGAAACTTCCTAGGTTTGCGAATGAAGCTCATAAAATTCAGTGGAAACAACCCGTAGAGAAAGGTATAGTAGTGCAGCAGCGTTGGAGGCGAGGTATCCATAGAGTCGGCGGATTGGTCTAACTTCTCCCAGGCGGGTTCTGAATCTTCCTCCTCGTCGCCTTGATCTTCCTCCTCATCGGATGATGCATCTTGGGCTACAACGTCGTTGGGGGTGTCGAGCTTGTCCCAGCATAGTATCCGGCTATAGATGAGGAAAAGTCGGGATAGGTGATGGTCGGACTTCAGATTGGCAGTTATGTGGGGCAGAAACATGATGAGAATCATGAGAGCCTGGCTGACGACGGTTGGGGATGTATCGATCAACAGACATTTCTCGAGGTGCTGGATGATGGAGGTTTCGAGTACAAGGTGTAGGTGAGGTGTCTGCAACCGAACAAATGCATTTAGCAGTATGAGAGCCTGGACACGATGCTGCTTCTGAACGAAGAGATGGTCCACTGCAGCAAGCAGCTCCTTGGGACGTTTCCGCCCAAAAGCTACCAAAACGGATTCGATTTCCTGTGAGACATGGTCGTCCTCCTGGGAATTGATGTGATCGGCCGTCGAGGGTACCTTGGTCCTGGCCAGGTAGATGTCCACCAGGTTCCCTAGGAACAGGTTAGAGAGACGGCTGTGGTCTCCGTCCTTGTCGTCGTCGGCATCGTAGAGTAATATGGACCGCAGTAGATCCCTTGCCTCTTCAACCTCATGCCTCTTGTGACCCACGCTGTCGATGGTGGGCTTCAGCACGACATCCCACCATTCCTTCCACCTCATTTCGCCCGTCAAGGCAGGGCGCGAAATGTTCAGGAGTTGCAAGAAGGTTGGGATCTTGTCCGGCTGGCCGGCAACATGTTTTGTGTAAAGCGAATAGAGGTCATCGTGGAAGCGCTGGGAGTCGTGGTCGTCGATGTTGGCATACCGATCGAGGAAGCTCTGGATTGTTTCCTTGATGCCGTCGGGGAGCGGATATGGGACAGCCGGAACGGAGAAGATGGTATGGAGGCTTTTGACCGTTTCCCTCATGGACCTTGTTCGAGTGTTAGCGATGCATGGCGACCAAGTGCAGGCGCATTTTAGAAGGGCCGAGGGCGCATATGGTGCAGGCGCATCCCGACCAACAAGACGTACCCGGAAGCCATGATGTGTGAGTGCAAAGCGAACAATTGCTTCTAGAGGCGTAGATTTGTTTTGTCATTGACGTCGGACCAATGCGCCTTCACAAGCCATAGAAAAAAAAAACAAGATGGAATGCAGAGTGGCCACGGACAGCACAGGCTTGGAGCGCCTCGTCCGGGTCAGCTCAGGGCGGAAGGGTGAATGGATGGGTGAGGTGGTGCAAGCAGCTAAAGCGATGATGTAGTAGCAGCCAGCCAGCAGCAGCAGCAGCAGCAGCCGCCACAGCAAAGAGATTTTTCTTCAGCGAGCTGGGGGAATTGATTGGAACATAAGCAGCAGCAGCGGCAGCGACGGCGACGGGTCAGCGCTGGTTCAGCCAGATCAATCAGCCAACAACGGCAAATGGGTGTTTGTGCAGCAGCGACATGGAGGTAAGTAGGTGAGTAAGTAAATAGGCGTCTGGAAGCGTGCGGGCTGGTTAATGAAAAGGCGTCTCGTCTGGCTGGTGCTGTCTGTGTTGCCAATTCCCCGCCTACGCCAACGACGTTGGACAGGGCCGCCTTCCTCTTTCTGGAGGCACCCCCGGTCAGGTCAGCACGCTCACGGATCGCTTTCCTTGCGTCCATCTCTCTCACCCCCACACTTCTGCCTCGACCCTCTCTCCCCGTTGATGCCATTGCCGACGCCGACGCCGCCGCCCGCCGTCCGTCCTATTTATTAGTCAATATGCCACCCATATCAGTCTCGCACGTCTATGCTTTTTCTTCGGATTCCATTTCGAAACATGGGTGCATGTCTGCCCGCCTGCATGGCTACATATGTACATGTGTGAGTGTATGCGTGCATCCATGTATAGATATAGGCTGATGTTTATCCAGCTATGTATGTACATAACTACTAGCCGCTTGTGTATGCCATGTCTCCAACCACTGCCTCTAGCCACCACCCTGCACAGAGTCGTATTGGGGCGGCATTGATTGCATCTCACCCGCCGCCAGCCAACCCCATTGCCTTATACACAACCTACCCACCTATCGCGACGATGCTCTGCGGGTCAAGTCACAGCACTGTAACCCACCCCCCTGAGCGCCACCTGCAGCCACCGCACCGACCGTCAGGGACACACGCGTGAACGTTCCCATCCGTCTAGCGTCCGGACACGAGATTCACTTGAAATGTTACAAACCACTCGCTCAAATCTGCCTTCAACTCCTACGTTGACCCGTCGTCGACAGTTACGTACCGAGCTCACCACCTTATCGTTCTGCCCAGCGCTGTCCATTCGCCCATGTAGACACTTGCTGACCCACGTTTGCCTTCACCACTGACAACCTCTTCTTACTTCATGAGGTTAGATATACGTCCCTCTTGACTCTGATGCCTCGTCGCCGCGACCAATCTTGATCCACTCATACTTCAATTCCATGACCTTCCATATTAAGTGAGTCTCTAGCGCTGACATTTCTGCTTGCCTGGCTTGGCCTGATGGAGAGCACCCGGTACGAAAAGGGGTGTTGCACCGGAACGTTAAACGCTCGTTTGACCTACGGCACGGCTACCGACATGGTGGTTCGTTGGAAAAGCGCGCACTCGCCTGGCCTCTTCTCCTCGGGATGGTGGTGCCACTCACATGCGGCTACATGCTGATCGAACCAACTGCAGCTCTTCAGCCCAGGTCGATGGGATCGACTTTCTTTGTGATTGCCTATCGAAATGACAACGGTTAGCGATAAGAAGCTTGCTCGGCATATGTCCGATCAATCGTGCATGGGTTTTTGAGTCTTGACAGTACAGAGAATCTCGTATACTTGCAAACCGCCATCTGTACGTCGATAATGCGATACTGATTTAGAACGATCCTCACGGTTGCTCCCTTTTCCCATCTGCGAGTGTGGTTTCACAGAACTCTGACTCGATGCAGTCGGCCCCGTATAGAGACCAAGCTGCGCCGCGTCGCAACCCAGCTTGTTACGGTCCATGGCCCGTTTACCTTTGCTGAGTACCCTGTACCATCTCTTATCTCCTCCCTTGCCAGTCCAATATAACACCTCCGCAGGCTGCCTTATCCGTGAGAGCCTTGCTTCTGCAGGAACCTGGTATGCAACGAGCGACCCTGATTGGTTGCCGGCTTAATGGTGGGCTTGGAACATTCGCTCGTCGATGTTGGTCGCACAGTTCGTATGGTCGTGTGCATTTTCGAATCCGGGTATAGAGTACATACATATGTATGCGAACATGATAATCTATTTGCATCCATGTTTCTGTATCTCTATGAGCAAGAAGCTACTTGTCATCCTGCTGATCATCGACACCTGTCAAAGATATACGCTAGCTTGTTATGGTTAGTCAACATATCCAGCCTTCAGAAGGCAGCTACGTCGGACCTCAGCATCAGCCCAGTCTTGAAGATGAGGATGATTTAAAACGCGAGACAACCTTCTGCTTGATCACCAAAATCCTAGGGCAGAGTGGTGTACCCCGCATACTTACGAACTGATGTGCGGTCTGCCAACCCCGCGAGTTCTCGAAGCGATCATGGACAGACGCAGCAGCTCTCACAAACTACCCGTTTTCGTATTGTTCGGCGATTCATTAACCCAATGGAGCTTCGACGAGAAGACTGAGGGTCCTGGATGGTATCTCGGGTGCACGTATAGGGACAAAGTTGAGATCGAAAACGAAGGTAATGGCTATATCAGCTGTGGCGGCAACATTTGCGCTGCACTCTTCTCCTATCTTTCCTCATTCGGACATACGTATGTGTGTCTCATACTGAAGTCCGAGCATTTCAACGTTTATTCGTACTCGGGATTTGGCCTCGTGTTATATTTGCAAAAGCTAATGGTCGTGAACCCCAGGATACGCCGGGTAAGCTGCAGCTCTATATACATGAAGTCCGACATCATATCACGCGCCCTGCGATGACCTCCTCTCTCGAACAAAAAGATTTGACTAACGAAAAGCAAATGCTGTTCGATCGGCCAGTTACACATCCTCTTCTGTTCAGCGCGACTTTGACCGCCTCATAGCCCGCATTACACGGCCGGACGCACCCCCCACGCTGCTCATCACCATATTCCTAGGTGCGAACGACGCCTGTCTCATCGGGAACTCGGAATACGTCCCCCTCCCCAGCTTCGAAGCCAATATCCGCGGTTTCGTCGACGCCATCCTCGCGCAGGACGCCCTCCGCGAAACCAAAATCGTGCTGATTACACCGCCACCAATCAACGTTCCGGATCCCGTGGATGACAGCGACACCGACTATGAAGACCTAGGACCATCTATGGCTGCCGCACTCGCCGCGGCACGGCCCGATCCAAAGGACGATCGTGCTTACAGGACCTACATGAGTAAGAAGTGCTACGCGGACGCCATTCTTCGGATTGCACGCGAGTACGAGGGTGCAGATGATTCAGCGACAGCAGAGCGGGTAGCGGGGTTGGATTATTGGAAGGCTCTTGTGGATGCTGCGCTCGAGGATCAGGGCAGGAATAGCAGCGATGAGGACGCTTACGACGAGGAGAAACTGCCTGGGTGTGGGCTTGCTACCGCGAAGGAGTTTGAAAAAGGGTACTTCACAGATGGTTTGCATTTGGAAAAAAGGGGGTATGCCGTTTTAAATAGGGTGCTCATGGATGTTGTGACTAAGAAGTGGCCTGGATTGTCGGCGTTGCGGTCATGATGGCTAAACAGTGATGTTTGTGGGAGTTGGAATAGGCGATTAGCTATATGGTATAATCCGTTGACCCTGTTATGCTGGTTACCAGCACCCATTACATCTCTCTTGCGGTCACATAAAATAGGACAGAACGAGCAAGATATAACGGCACGTTGTTCTCATCGTATCCCATCCACGGTGAGTGATAACCTCAACCCCTATTGATTGTATTCCCACTCCCTTTAGGATTGGCTTCCACATACTCATCCCACGCCCTGGCCTTCATAGTCTCCTCGTCCGCTTTGTCCAAATCATCCTCATCCACAACTTCCCGCACCCCACTCGCCTCGCCACCTCCTTCGATGATCCCACCCCGCTTCCGCTCTTCCTCGAGGTAATCATCGATACTCATAGTCGGCAGACTGTGGTCCGGGCGAAACACATCGCGAGTCATCTGCGTGCGCGACGCCATCGACCCCGTCAGCGTAAAAGGCCGTAGCGGTTTTCCGGACTTGCTGAGAAGGGGTCCGGTGTAGCGTGTGGAGAAGGGAATATCGGTATCGAGGCGATCAGAGTAAGCGGTATCCCGCGCTTGGTCGCGCGAGTCGGAACCTGCTGGTCCTGAAGAAGCTGAAGGGTCGGATTGAGGTGGCGGGGCCAGGGAAATGATGTGGAGTTCTTGGGCTAGGGATTCGAGTGACGCGAGAGTTTGGTGGACTTGGTGGGATAGATTCGTCAGGTGGAGGGATCGAACTGTTTGGTCATCGTTTTCGGCGAGCTTGGGGTTTGCGCGGAGGTACTGGGGAGTCGGTTAACAGCTGTGATGACGTCTGTAGAGTCTGGTTGAAGAAGTCGAATTGCAAGTCACGTGCTCTTGAAACGTACCTCGAGCTTTTGCTTCAACTCTTTCTCTTCCCGGAACCGCGCAATCTTGACCTCTCGCCTCGCAGCTGCATCTTTCGTGTTCGCTGTGGAGAAGTGGTCCTTGTCGTCCGTATACGCTTCCCACAGCTTTCCATCGCTGCTACTAAGCATATCGTATGAATCTAGGAGTTTCATAAAGCGCTCGTAGTAATTCCGCGCTTCAAGCAAATTCGTTTTCCGGCTGGCAATGTCGGTGGTTCGCAGCTTTTGGACTAATTCGGCGAGATGGTAGGCGATGGACATGTATCTGCGATGGGATCATAATGTGAGATGAAAAGATCTGATTTCTTTGGTGAAAACATGGATAGCGGGGCTCCGACTTGATGCCTGAGAGGGAAAAGGAGAACACAATAAACGAAAATCGCTGGAAATGATATCAAAAACACTGATTCATACATACTCCAGATCAGAAGACGAGATATCGTCTAGGCTTTCGTTTGGCGAGAAGAGAGATACATGTTCGGATAGTTTGAGACACGACTCATAGGTGGCGATGGCGTGGAAGAGGCTGTCTTGGAAAGTAGCATCATTGGAATCATAGATGTTGGATAGGCTGTTCCGGAGGCGTTCAGCGCTTATGAAAAGAGCACGAATGCTTTTTGGTTCTTCTTCAGACATGGCGAAAGATTGTATGGTACTAGTGGAGGACGGGTTGATGCTTGCGATGCTTGTGATGTGCTGTGGGTGGTCCGTGGTGTCAACGTCAGATAGCAAAGCTCTCTCTGATCCCTGTCTAGACCGTCAGCTTTCAAATACTTCACTCCGAATTTTTCGGTGTATCTTACTCGGTACCTGACTATCAGGGTTGTGGGTGAAGACGTGATTTCTCCAGACGCCAATTTCGGATTAGAGAGCGGCCCACGTGAATACGTGAAATGGCGTCGCTTAGTCTGTCTTAGCGCTCTGTCCTAACTCGCGACGCGTGCCCCACCTGCCCTTACTATCTGTGTGTGCGACCGAGGAGCCTCATTGCTCGGGCTATGACAGGGGGGGGGTGTTGCATCAGGATATCACAGCTCGAGAGGTTATATGTAGGTATACCATCTATTATTCACAAATAGAAGGCTCCAGTAGATTCTTAGCAGCTCTTGTATTCGCGAGGAGAGCTATAGTACACTATGCTCCCGTTGTGTGACATCCCAACTTGAAATCTTGGCAGACCACAATTCCGCCATTACTTCTGTGTAACAAAACATGCGGTGAAGCAGCGTGTTACTCGAGGCGCCAAGACTTTACAAAGTAAGTTTGTTCCCCTGCAACTACCCGAGCTATACAAACAACCTGGCGAGAGCGACTAGTTATCACTCGACCCTCTCCCATACCACCCCCTTCGTGTGCTTTGCTTCATCTTGAGATTAATTATTCTGGAGTCAAAATGGGTTGGGCTCAGAACTACGAATTCCAAGAAGACTGTACAGAAGAGAGCGAGGATGAGTATCACGCACAACCACAGCCATCCGAGTCTGAAGAGGAGGACAGTGATCTCGATGCAGATGCCGCGCAATCATTCGGCCCCCGCACGACTTCGGAACGGAAGAGAGCCCAGAATGAAATCTTCCGTGCATTTGCGACTGTCAAGGCTAGTCAGATCACAGAAAAGGAAGTCAAGGACACCATCAAAAGCGCAAAAGACGAGGTTCTGTCCATCCAAGCTATTCTGGCCAAACAAGAGAATAGCTCTCGAATCAGTACTCCTCGCGACTATCAAACGGAGCTCTTCCAGCGAGCAAAGGATGAGAATATCATCGCTGTGTTGGGTACAGGCTCAGGCAAAACTCACATTGCTACCCTGTTACTTCGACATATACTTGACCTAGAAGTTGAAGCCCGTGCCAAAGGAGCCCCTCCCAAGATTGCCTTCTTTCTCGTTAATTCCGTCAACCTTGTGTTCCAGCAGTCCAACGTGCTGCGCTGTGGTCTGGATCATGGTGTTGAAGGTATATGCGGCGCTATGGGTGCACGTCTTTGGGAAAAAGCCACCTGGGACAAACACTTCGAAAAGAACATGGTCATTATATGCACTGCAGAAGTCCTCTTTCAATGCATGATGCACTCTTTTATCGGCATCCACAAGATCAACTTACTGATCTTCGACGAAGCTCACCACGCAAAGGACAACCATCCATATTCTCGCATCATGAAGGATTACTATATGGCCGAGCCTGATATCAGCAAGCGACCAAAAGTTTTCGGGATGACAGCCTCTCCAGTCGATGCGAATAAAAACATCAGTCAAGTCGCCATGCAGCTCGAGAAGATGCTCCACTGCAAGATTGCAACTACGTCTGACCTGACGCTCGTTGCCAATGCCATCAATCAGCCTGACGAGGAAGTTGCACAGTATTCTCGGTTGCATCAACCCTTCGAAACTGCCTTACATCAAGAGTTGAAGTCCCGATTCGGAGACGTGGATGACTTTCAGAAGTTGTTTAGGGCGTCGAAGCTAATCAGCACCGAGCTCGGCCGATGGGCGTCCGATATCTACTGGTCATTCGCATTCACGGAAGAAGCGACTCGGAAGCGCGAAATTCGTCAGGAATTTCATCACCACAAGACGTTCCAAGATGGAGGAATGGAAAAGCTCAATGATCAACTCGCTCGTCTGAAAGAGGCAGCTGCATACGTTCAACAGCTCGACTTCGGTGTGCCAATGGCGACCCCACAAGACCTCAGCTCGAAGGTGCTAGTGTTACATCACTGGTTAAATAACTATTATCATCGACATGGCGAGCATAGATGTATTGTCTTTGTGACCCGACGGCAGACAGCTCGTCTGTTGCAATTGATCTTCAGCCATCTAGGCGGCCCTTTCCTCAAGAGCGATATACTGGTCGGCATCAATGCAATCGGGCATGATTTCAACGTATCCTTGAGAAAACAGATCATAACGGTAGCGAAATTTCGCAAAGGGGATATCAACTGCCTATTCTGCACCTCTGTGGCAGAAGAGGGACTGGACATACCTCAATGTAACCTGGTTATCCGATTCGATCTTTACAGCACAATGATCCAGTACGTCCAATCTCGGGGCCGAGCGAGGCACCAGAATTCGAAGTACCTCCACATGGTAGAAGAAGGTAACATGAAACACCGCGAGGCTGTCTATGAATCAAGAACTTCCGAAGCAGTGATGAAAAACTTCTGCGAAGGTTTGTCTGTGGACCGCCTGCTCGATGACGAGGACTCAATGGTGAATTTACCGGACATGGATCCAGAATACATGTCATATACCGATCCGGACACCGGAGCCAAACTCACATACAAGTCAAGCTTGGCAGTACTGGCACACTTTGTTGCTTGCCTCCCGACCTCGAACCACGACACTATTTTGCAGCCTACATACGTTGTCAGCCAGGCCAGCACCAGAGATGATCCAGATGACGATATGCAGACTGGCTTTCGATGCGAGGTCATCCTTCCAAGTTGCTCCCCCACCGCCTCAATGGTTGGCAAAGCGTGCAGACGAAAAATAATCGCAAGATGTTCTGCAGCATTCATGATGTGTATGGAACTTCGTGAACGAGGAGATCTTGATGGAAACCTGCTGCCTACCTACGAAAAGAGATTGCCTGCCATGCGAAATGCACATCTTGCCATCAGCGAAAAGAAGAAGGGTCTGTATCCGATGCGTACAAAGCCTGAATTCTGGAATATCAATTCTAATTGCGTCCCCGGCCTCCTCTACCTGACTATTATCGACGTGTCCTGTGGCCTAGATCGACCGCATCAACCTCTTGGTATTCTCACGCGCACTCCCATGCCTCAGCTGCCTCGATTTCCGATATTTCCGAAGGATAATCGGGCCTCTGAAGTAGTGTCGGTGTCTCTTACAACCCCTCTGGAAACAAATGATCAGATGCTCCAGCAGTTCACGCAGCTCTTCCTAGTTTTGTATGAAGACGTATTCAACAAGGTATTCGAGCACAATGTCACCAAAATGCCATACTGGCAGGTTCCCATCAAACTGGAACGAGCTGGATCATTTAGCTCGACTTCCAAGCCTGGAGACATCATAGACATGGAGCAAATACAACTAGTGTGCAATCAACGCGAACACAGGTGGACACCAGAATCAACTGCCAAGGATCTCTCCGATAGGTACTTTGTTGACCGAGGTAATGGTAGCCGACGGTTCTACGCAATCGCCATAGCACCCCAATATAAAGCGCTGGATCCCGTGCCGGAATCTGCCCCAACCTACAGATACGACCGGAATATTCTGGACTATTCAGTCAGTCTTTGGAAGTCTGCTCGTGAAAAGGCGAAGTGGAACGAGACACAGCCGGTGATACAGGCCGAGTGGATACCTTTCCGCCGTAATTTCCTGGCGACCGTCGAGGATAAAGAAAAGGCTACTATCAGGGGGAAAAATGTGGCATTTGTATGCCCGGAGCCTTTCAGGATATCTACAGTGAGTTCTAGGCTTCCCATATTGAATCTTCACTAACACTCTCTAGATATCCACACGATTCATCGCCATGTGTTATGTGTTTCCGGCCATCATTCATCGCTTTGAAGACTATCTCATTGCTCTGGAGGCTGCTCAAATGCTCGCTCTTGACATAGGGCCTGCTTTGTGTTTGGAAGCAGTTACCAAAGACTCCGAGAACACAGATGAGCACAGTAACGAGAAAATCAATTTCAAGAGTGGTATGGGTCCCAACTACGAGCGTCTCGAATTCTTGGGTGACTGCTTCTTGAAAATGGCCACCTCCATTTCAACCTTTGTACTGCAACCCGACGAGAACGAATTCGAGTTCCATGTGAGGCGCATGGTAATGCTGTGCAACAAAAATCTCTTCAAGGCCGCAATGAAACTGAATCTGGTTGATTTTGTTCGGACGGAATCATTCTCACGGTAAGGATAGACCTACATATTCACGCTATCAATACATATTAACGAAACACAGTCGTACATGGTATCTTAAAGGGCCAGTTCTTCTACAGGGTAAAGGCCCCAAATCAAGCGGACATGAGGTTATCAGGCATTCCCTAGGCGATAAATCGGTCGCAGATGTGTGTGAAGCATTCATCGGTGCTGCTTTCATGCAGCACCATAGGGAAGGACGCTGGTCTCCAGAAATGTGGGATCAGGCTGTAAAAGCCGTGACTGTATTCACAAACACAGAAGACACACAGGATCACCAGATGGAGAAGTTCTCCGACTATTACGCAGCATACGAGAAACCAAAATACCAAGTGGCGGAACCAACGGCCACGCAACTTGACCTTGCTCTCAAAGTTGAGGAACAGCACCCTTATCATTTCAAATACCCTCGTCTACTCCGGTCCGCATTCGTGCATCCGTCGCAAGCTTTCATGTGGGAGCAAGTTCCAAATTACCAACGTCTGGAATTCCTGGGGGATGCACTTCTGGACCAGGCCTTTATTATGCATTTATTCTACAGATACCCCAGCAAAGATCCACAGTGGCTCACCGAGCACAAAAGCCCCATGGTTTCCAACAAATTCCTTGGAGCCGTCTCTGTCAAACTAGGATTTCACAAACACATTCGCCAGAATAATTCAATGCTCAGCAGCCAGATCTACGACTATGTTGGCGAGATAGAAGAGGCTGAGCGAGAAGCCAATGGCGCGGTGGACTACTGGACCACAGTTATGGAACCACCCAAGTGTCTTGCCGACGTGGTCGAAGCTTTTGTAGCCGCTATGTTCGTGGACTCGGAGTTCAACTTTCAAGTAGTTCAAGACTTCTTCGATATGCACCTCAAGCCGTTCTTCCTTGATATAACGGTCTATGATAAATTTGGCCATCACCACCCTACAACTCGCATGATGAAGCTCCTGCACGAGAGTTTTGGGTGCCGTAACTGGCGAATGGCAACTCACACAACAAAATCGCTGCTTCCAGGGAAAGATCAGGTGTTGGCTATGATCATGATCCATAACAAGGTGCGATTCCACGGCGTTGCCGCAAGTGGTCGGTATGCACGAATCAAAGCCAGCCACTCTGCGTTGGAGCATCTGGATGGACTACCGGAATACGAGTATCAGAAGAACTACGGATGTGATTGTGCAGAGCATAAAGAGGATGAGGAAACGCTGGAGGAGGACCTGAAAGAGAGAATGGGACCTGCAAACTAGAGTAGATGAGATTGAGCTATGAGTGTATGAATTATGAATTGTGACACATTTTCTTTCTTTCACGTGAGTGTATACTGTGAATCTTTTTCTAAATTCCTACTTTTTGTAAAATCATTCTATCTGCATTTTGAATGCAGGAAACACTTCAACTTAAAAAAAAACTTACAAGGCTACGATGGCACACCCAAAATGACCATGAGAGGTTCTGGCATGTGGACTTGTTTGTTCCACGACATTGCAATGAAAAAGAGGGTCTTAATTTGTGTACGTACATGTAGAGATACAGCCCAAGAAAAAAAAAGCAAAAGCCCAACCCATGGTTCACATACCAGCACGGTGCCGAAATCACTCCCGCATCTCTCCTTTTCAAACTGAAAAGTATATGACCCTGACTAGAAGATACCACGAATCACTCTCTACTTGCTCCAGCCCTGAAACAGCAAAGAATCAGCAGTAGTTCCACGACTCAAACTTTAACGCACCCGTACAAGTACGACAGGAGAGGGGCATACCTTTTCCTTGAGCTTCTGCCAGTAAGCCTGGTCCCTGTCACTACCTTTCACATGCCCATCCCTTGACCCGGGGGTCGAATAGATGCTACCCTTTCGGCGCTGGAACTGTGAGGGAGGAACTTTGGACGCGTCCCATTCGCGGGACTCGCGGCGATCGGCAGTGTCCTCGGGGGACTGTGAGAGACGCATGTTGTCGTTGCCGGCGATGTCCTTGAGGTTGTCGTCTATACGAATGTATTAGCTGCATGTTCGAGGGTTGTTTCGCATGGGAGAGGAAAGGGGGAGGTTGGCATACCATCGGACGAACGTTGAGGGTTAGGAATGGGAACAGAAGTTGTGGGGTTCTCTGAGTAGATGTCAATGAGGGAACTTCCAAGAAGTGTGGTTTTGCCACTGGAAAGTATGGGGGGAACGAATTGGCGGAAAGTGGATCGAAGACGACGTACCGTTTGAAGCCATGTTGATGAAAGAACACTCTATCTCTACACGAGATGTTGTAATGGGCTGGCTGTATGAGTAGAAAGTGTAGATGGTACGAAGTTCGTCAATTCAGCAACGAGTTTTGAGGCTTGAAAGAAAAAGAATTTGGTTGTAACAGGTCTGAATGAAAACCACCAACCGTACCAAGACAGCGGGGTCCAGATATATATACTGTAGCCACACACACCTCGACCTCTCTACCCTGATCTTACCAGTCCATAAGAAGGTGGCACAGCACCAACAGCAACGGCGAAAAAAAGCCACACATCTCGGCGGCTCGGCAACAAGGCCACACAGCCCATCCATGCCCATTATGAAGAACGTATGGGGTATCACGCGCCCAGTCCAAGCAGCAACGCGCAACCACTTACCCCCCGGTAGATGCCCAGAGAATGACGCCGCCTCCTCTCTTCCTTCCCCAGACGATGGTTATGACGGGTTGATCAACGTACCCAAGACTTTTGTCTGCCCAGACAAAGCGGCGAGGAGGGGTTGTCTCGCGCACATCCTTTCCGCTTTGCTAAGTACGTCGTTCGATGGGTGACAAGCTTCCTGGTCGGAGATAGTGGCACGGCGAGGGAAGGAACATGGTGTTTTTATGCGGAAATGCAATGCGATCAATGTGTTAATATAGCACTGCATACCTGCGTATCTCTGTAGACTCGACGGTATAGATGCGACCCAGTGCGCAATAGAACAAGTCAATCACAATCTAACTGCGCACCTATATACAAAGAAGGTGGCATGTCCTCAACAAAACATGACCCCGCCTCGGAGATTTACTTTAGAGTGGTGCATTCAAGAAGCACACTATTACCCGGGTACCAACGTATTTTGTACGTCATCAATAAAGATGTTATTTATACATTTTTTCTAGCAGTCAAGGCTTTATTATTGGGGAAAATAAATAAATTATTAATTTAACAATAAAATAGGTTCAAAGTATTCCAGGAAAAACGAGTGCATCTTGGAGCTTTAATAATACTGCTGCTAGGCGAAGTGTAGAGAGGTGAACTTGGAGTTTAAACAGTTAGACAGCACTTTAGCTGCAGTTTCCCGCAGTGTGTAACGCTGTTTCCCAACGCCGACCCCCGACGCCAACCTCCGTGTGCAGCGGGAGTCAATTTGCCCAATTCAGCCTAGCGTGGCTCGGACAGCCGACTCTATCCATGCATCCCGACCTGCTCTCCTCACCATCTACAGCCTTCAGAGCGAAAGTGCAATCCCACAGCGCTCTCGCGAGCATACACGCACACACACCACCAACAAGCACCACCTCTCCGTTCTAATGCCGCGCAACGAGCCGTCAACCTCCCAGCGTCACCGCTTGGGCATACGCACAAGATGGACGCCGCCGCACTCGGACGCGCATACTCATTGACAGTTCTCCCGCTCCGCCTTTAGATTCGCACCGAGCAGCTGCTGGATCCACTGGCTTCTCGGCCCAGCGTTTCGGAAACTCCTTCGGCGACTAAACACACGTTAAACCGAGCGTTTTCAAGAGGACAGTAGTTCTAGAGAACAGGTACATGTGGAAAGTAGAAACGCCTTGCTCAATCCAGAAGGAGAGGCCTGAATACGCAGGCCGCTAGATTGTTAGAATACTTGTTAAGTAGGGCTCTGACCAACAGCAGGTCTCCCTGCCGCCGATCAGCACGCGAGCCTTATATGCCGTATGCCGTTCGCTTATTTGATGTATCCTAACATTATCACAAAGAAGTGCTTCACCCAACTAAGTATGTCACAGCTAAAGCTTATCGTGGAGGCACGGGAGCTTTGGTTTCGATTTGTGAGGCTCCAATTCGGTTTGCTCCATGCTTTTTCACGACAACCGATTGCAATCCATAGAAGACTTGAATAGTCTAAAACCAGTTACAGAACTTGCTGTGCGCCCTCCAATGATCAATTCATACTCTTGTCCACTTTTCAAGTCACTCGATAAATGCAGGTCCAGGAACTTAAGTAGGGGTGGGAGTTATCACGCACCATCCGACATGCCACCTTCCGATACCAGTAATGCCACCGTGGCCCAGCTCAATACTTGAAAATATACGCATAGGTTTTTGATCGAAGTGGCCTGATAACACCCACTTATATAAAATGCTTCCACGCAGGCTTCTAGGAATTAGGAAGATAAGCTTTTCTCGCATACGTAACAAGCATTTGGTTGGGCCTATCAACAACTTTGAATGGATCCTCACTAGAGCCGGATAAATCTCATGCAGGCACGTATTATTTGGTCAATCCTTAGAATGCGAGCCTAGGAATTTTGTATATTTAAGGGCAACAATACCTCATACAGACTCTTTTACATCTCAAAATATCATCTCAAATCAACAGCACGACTCGAAAATGAAGCTCTCTTCATATATTACTTCCGGTCTTTTCGCTTCGTCCATCGCCGCCAGCCTTCCATCGCAAAGGGAACGCGCCGCCGCACGTATCAATAGGCGTGCAGCACTTCGAGACCGCCACTCCAATCCGCTTCAGCCTTCAACAAACCTCGAAGATTTCCATCCTGAAGCCAGCAACAGCACTCTTGTGAAATACAGCAACAATTGGGTCGGTGCCGTACTCAGCGGTTCTGGCTACCAGAGTGTGACCGGCATCTTTACTGTACCCAATCCAAAGAGGCCTGCAGGTGGAAGCACTTTGACTGCATACGCCGCTTCCGCTTGGGTGGGTATCGATGGTAGCACCTGTACCTCCGCCATTCTCCAGGCTGGAGTGGATTTCGCCATCGTAGGGAACACGGTGTCTTTCCGTGCCTGGTATGAGTGGTGGCCGGATTACCCCTACGAATTCGATGGATTCCCAGTCAAAGCCGGTGATCGAATCAATATGACGGTCACTGCGAGCGGCACTAGTAGCGGGTCTGCTGTCCTCCAGAACCTCTCCACAGGCAAGACAGCCAGCAAGACATTTACTAGTCAAACGGATAAGTCAGAAACCCTTAGGGTAACTTAGCGATCAGGTACTAACATGCTCTTTCAGACTGTGCCAAACTGATGCTGAGTGGATCGTCGAAGACTACTCTACGACTTCTGGACTGGTTCCCTTTATAGACTTTGGAACTGTTTCGTTTACTGGCGCTTCGGTCACAACTACGAGTGGCTCAAAGCTTGATCTTTCGGGTTCCCAGGTTTTCGATATCAAACAAGAAAAAGTGTATACTTCATGCTCTACACCGAACTCGTCATCGGTTACTTGTTCATACACAGGTTATAATAAGAAAGCCGCCATACCTTTAGCTAGGAAATAGTATCATCGAGAATCTTCAAGGGATCCATAAACTGTGAAGATAGGTCCCATTAAGCTGATTTGCGCGACACAACCTTTTCTGATGGCATAGACACGTTGCTCCTGGCGGGTCGAAAATGGGAATGTGCGACTCACTATGAACGACCAAGGCAGGCAATGGGCTTTCTGAGCACGCGATTCTCTCATGTACAACGCATGAATAGGTCAGCCAGGATATCCGTAAACGCCATGGCACATATAATGACTCAGAATCGAATCACTGGCCAATGTACCGTTAACCTCGTAGAGCCGAACGCTCTGCGCAGTAGGATATAATATAGCCAAGTGGAGTCCGCGGGAAGGATATACGCATTTTCTTCATTTGTCTCTGATTCACATCCTTATAGGAATTCCATCACCGCCATGCTTCTTGACAACTCAATACCATTTGTCGATCTTTGCTCTTCGCACGAGAAGAGCGGGTTGGTTAATACTAGGGCGGTGGGTAAGGACATTCAACAACGTCCGTGCGTGGGGGCCGGGTCTGGGGGAGAGCAGACTCATGTGCATGTAAGACGGATCCGATGGAATGATCCGACTTTCTGCGTATGCGTCCCTGTGTTGACTGAATCACGTCCCTGATTTTCCTTTTCGTGTTCAGTGATCCGAGGACTGTCGGATTCGATTAGGCTCATTTAATATGATCTGGGCTCTACGAGGAGGTTAACTTTTTTCATTTGTGTCTTTTTTGTCTGCTGCATTGCTATGAATCCATTGATATGAATCAATCCTATGATGAGTACTTTGGTAACAGGGGAAGAATCGCCTTTGGATCAGTCGTATTGATGGGAGCCAAGGAATAGGGTGTTTCTAGATTCCCTCAGCAATGTGAGCGTCGGTTTCATGGCAGAAAGTTAAAATGATATTGTCGAGGCGCGCCTTCCGGCTGGAAGGCTTCCGTGGAGGTCTCTTGGACAAATGTGGATTTCTGTATCATTGTCTACATGCGGTATGGTTAGGTTGGGGTCTGTTTATTTCGGTTTTGGCGTTTCAGCGGGTGTCGGTTAGCTGGCTGGACCGCGGACGAAGATCATTGTTTGAGAGGAAACGAGTGGAAAGAAGCGGAATAATGTTTAGATGTAGTTAGTACTGATGTGGATGAAGTGTTTGCGATGGTTCTGGCGCGGGAGAGTCTAGATGAAGTATCAATCGTTGTTCACAGCATTCGAGGCATTCACACTCGACGCTTACCACGCACACTCAACGCGCGCATGGATGTCAGAGACAGCCTACTCTCTTGCCAACATAAGGAGTAACTTTAATCGATATGAGCCCACCCTCTCTCGTGCGAGTCAAAGATTACTGCAAAAGGGTAAGTACCTATTGTACTAGCAAGAAGCGAGCCGACCAATCGTAGATTTCTGGACATCGGAAAAGGCTTAGTGGACCTTTTTATAAATAATTAGGGGCCTCAACTCGGCAGTACACCCTAACACCGCAGAAGGATCTGGCAATGCGAATAGTAGTACCTGGGCGCAATGTAAGCACTGTAGCGTTTAGCCAATAAGATGCCATTGGAACTTCTAGTGAAGCTCCGACCTCTGGCGGACTATACACTAGTCGGACAACCTCTATAATGTAGACGCAACTCTCGGTGACCAGTCCAAGTGCACGGTCAGTTCTCTGTAGCATTTCCCTTCTTCGAGTGGACCCCAAGGCATCGAACGTGGTCCCAGCTGTGCCGTGTCTGATCGCTTGCCGTCATGTATATGTATATAAGGCTGGTGTCTCTGGAGTGTATTTTCTCCTCACACACAGTCCATTCGCTCAGCATCACTACCAGTTTTCGAATCAGCTTTCTCCTTCTTCCGACTCCTCTGTGTCGTTTTCTTCTAGCCTTTCCCCTTCAATCGTTACATTTCGGGACTCACTTACACGATGCATTCCACAACTTTGATTTCCGCCTTCGTGACGCTTGCAGCAACCGCTGTCGCTCAAGACACCCCAAACGCCGACAAAAGCCCCAGCGGTGTGGTCTATAACGCCACCGTAGAGTCTGTCTCTGGATCCAACACGAAAGGCTTCTTCTCGCTCACTGGCACCAAAAGTGGCGAGGCCGAACTGCTCTTCAGCTTTACGGGCATTAGCAACAAGAACAACCCTCCTTACCACTACCGGATCCACGAGAACCCTGTCTCTGGAAATGATTGCGCCTCTGCGGGCCCCATCTTCGACCCTTATGGCATCGGTGGCACGCCGTGCCAAAGCTTGCCAAAGTGGGGAAATGGTATTGAAGATACCTGCTTGGCTGGCGATGTGAGCGGACGCGCGGATCCCATCGATGTTCCGAGCGATAAGAACGACAATGGCGGGTAAGTAGCCACCACACATCATTGTTTGATAGCCTTCCCATATCAAGCCCCATTCAACGATTGTACCAATAGAATGACAACCCGAAAACTAACATCTCACCCTCTCCAGTTTCCCCGACGACAAAGTCTCTCTCGACCCCAAGAGCAAAGCCTTCGTCGGCAACCGCGCCGTCGTGATCTCCAACGGCAAGAACGAAATCGTCGCCTGCGGTAACCTCAAATGCGTCAAGGGTGACTGCGAGGTTGCCAACAACCCACCATCCAACGGCACCAGCACTGGCTCTCCTGCGAGCGGAACGAACAGCACCAACGGTACAGTTCAACCTGGGCAGCCTGGCTCCGGCCCCGCTGAGTCCACCAACGCTGGCTCTCAGCTCTACGCTGGCGCTGGTGCGTTGTTCATCGCCGTTGCTGCTGCATTGTTGTAAGCGGATCGTATTGTACGGTTAAGATTTTGAGGCGATGGGAAACGGGAACCCTTGAGCTGCTTGTGAAGTATGGTTACTTGTACGTATAGATATACTTGCTATTAGATGATAGTTTGTGCTTTATAATATATATAGATAGTTTGGCTGTACTCTCTGTCTTGCTTTGTCTCTGATGTCTGCCTCGGATACTGTTGTTGTAAAGATCTAGCTCACTCAGGTTTCTCCTTCTACATTCACGGCGTAAATGCCAAAGTGACTGATTACGCGTGCACCAATCATCCGGAACTCACGGTTGCGGGGTTGGGAGTGCAACCCCTCACTTTTTATCAAGAATCGCACCAACGCTGCGATGAACTTCAAATGTTTGCATTCAGGGTCATCGTGTCCATTTGTTGTCGATAAGGTTGAGGAAGGTCTCTGACTTCATAACTGCCTTGCCGGATACGGGGATGTATAGATGCTCAGAACGATGATACTGAGTAAGTACTTTCTGTCTATGGGAGCTTTACAGCACGATCAATTACTAATGCACATCACGTTCACAACAGTGCCCTACCTTACGACGCCTACTTCAGCCTTCTGCTTACAACCTTTCGACAGTTCACCCCGCCGTACACAGAGATCAAGATGGCAGATGCAGCAGGAAGAATCACCAAACTCGAGGTTCGCTGCGCTTGCGGTACAAGTTGCGAGAATGCAGAGGCATACTTTCGCCACAAGTCGCTCTGCGGAACCCATCAGAAGAAGAAATTCCTTCATACAACACCAAGCTCCAAACCAAGCTCGACCCTAGGGCCAGCTAGAGCTTCGATTTCAGATTCATACCCAGAGACTGTGGCCTGTTGGTGTGGCAGAACGTTCAAAAATCGCCGTTCGCTTCGACAACACGGGTACTATTGCGCAGTGTACAAGCAGCAGACGAATGCGAATTCGACTCCTTCGGATCCAGCACGTGTCTTGGAGTTGAACTCGAATCCAAACACAGCACCGGCGCCAGAGAAGAGTTACAATCCAACTGCGCAATTTGCGGCGAAGAAAATCCAATGTCCTTGTGGGCAGAGCTTTGCGAACGAGAAAGCACTGAGCAGGCATCAACGTTATTCGAAGACTCACCAGGTAGGAAGGCCTGGATATGCATCTACATCTAAAGGCAAAACATCAAACCCTGTGCCGTTCATAATTCCACAATCAATTCGAACTCCGATCCATCCAGCTTCGGGCCCAGTACCAGACACTACCCCATCTTCAGTGCCTCCAGCTGCACACGAACAATGGGACGACGTTTTGGTCACCTCCTTCGCTTCTTTGAACCTGGGGTCAATGCAACCTCAGCTCATGCCTCCCGTAGCGGGATTTTCCTGCGTATGCGGTAGTATATTCATCGATCGGAAAGCTCTCGAACACCATAAGCAGGATGCTAGATTGCATGCGAGGCAGGTAACAGGAGAGAGAAGGGAGAAGAAATTCACGTTGTCTCGGCCGCAGTATCAAAAAGAGGAGGAATTGCACGATATGGCGGCGGTCTATGCACAGCAGTATGAGAGTAGAGAATAGTTGAGAAGAATTGCTGAAGATATGTTGGTTATATACGAGTGCCATGTAAACAGCGCTATAACACGTGAACGTAGCAGAAAAGGTCTTGAAGAGCAGATTGCAGGAAACTTTAGTTCTGGTAGTTGGTAAATAACAAGTTGCTCTGATTTTTACTATAAAACCCCATAACAGTTATAGATAACTTGTTCAACCAGTCAAATATATAAGTTTTGAGTATTGAAGTAGTACTTATTTTTTAATATTGATATAATTATAAATTAACGTTTTAACATCAATCTAGCTACTCTTGTATGCGCCAAGAGCTAATAGAGTGCCATTTAAATGCGCAACCCTACGAGCATCATGATCACGACTGTTCCCCGCGAGCCGACGGTTGCGCGCCCAGCCAAAAAGAAGCCTGGATGCGTGGACAATTGAAAGGCGTTGGGAGATATTGCGCTACGTCATGGGGGTTGCGCGTAGTGGGGGATCATCTGGGGAACGACGCCGGTGGGGACATACTTGGCTGCAATTGGCCCGATGACACACCCTTATGCGCGCAATGTGCACTGCCTCTTGTCCATCTTGACTTGCTCTAGAACCAACCCCTTCTTGCTTGCATCTGCTGCAGGGTGAGGAGCAGGAAGGGGATGAGTCCCGTCCCATCAAAAATCTCCCTGCGGCTGGAAAACAACTGTCCAATCTTACCCCCTCTGCTTATGCTTCGAAATCGATCCCTTCATAAAACTTTGGCAGTGAATTGGAAAGTCAAACATGAGCGATCGTCTACTGTACTACCCTTTGATAAGGTTCTGTACACAGGCAGTGAAGCACAGAAAAATACCGCATACACCTTCAAACTCCCAGCAAAGTATCCTCCGGCAGAATCCATTCATACCACCACTCACACACGTCCTGCCTGCCGTAGATCATCATCAATGCCACCCATCTTTGCGAAATAGGGGAAGATTCGAGCGTCATTGCAACGCCATTGCGCATTGTTGCGTACTATAAGGAAATTGTGAGCGGCCATGCATGATGATGACGATGAATGATGCTGCAGCAGCTGCAGTGTCGTTCATCCCCGTCTGCTCAATGGTGTTGTATGTGCCACCACCAACGCTAGTAAGATGGCCGTTCATGTGTCGCGCTTCTTGCCATTCCAAACAGTGACTGAGGTACAAAGTCCATGTGTATGTGCAGTGATACATCCGTGGTACCAATGACGCTGCATGTCTCTCTTGGCAGGGGTGGTGTACATTCAAATGTTTGCTTCTACCATGGGTATAGTCGTAACACAAGAACATAACACGCTCCAGTTGATAATAGCATTGTAGATGATGGATGTATCAATTGATCGAAGGGGAGAACGCGTGCCTCTCTGCTGCCCCCTTCCACTATATCAGGAATGGATTCAACGAGAAATGGGCAGACAACAATGCGAGCGTGTGTTTATGTCCCTACGCGTGCCCAACACAGATTCGACTCCCACATCGACATCAGTCATACAATCCATGCATCCCAAGAAGCTTAAAGCTCAAAATGAGAAAAAAAGAATATTGTTTATGTAACCGTGACTTGGTTCGAACCAGGTGGTGGGTTCGCACAACCCCCACACCCCACAAACCAGCCCTCAAGTCATCAAGTATCCTCATGAACAGGAAACCAAGATATCACAAAAAAAAATAAGGAAAGTGAAGGAAAAATTCAGATCCATGTGCCTGCAACCTACTACCCACCAAACCGCCGCCTTAAATGACCCGGGCCAGACCAGTATACCCTTTCCCCCTTCCCAATCAATACACATCCCATTGCCCCCTCTTCCTTAGAAGCCACATTTTTTACATCTTCGACTGAAAGACTTTCCGAAAACACATGAAAGGAAAAGGAAAACGCCATGAAATGAATGCATCATCACCGCCGCAACCGCCCGGGATATCCGTTTGAAGAGCCAAGATTTTGAACAGCGCAGAGCCGATCACACGAAGGAAGAAAGATAAAGAAACCAAATGACCATTTACACAAGTAAGAAAATATTCTGTGTTCCAGAGTGAATTGAGTATAGTTGTGGGCCGAGTGCCGATAAACGCCGGGGAAATGCAACAAAAGCTTGCCGAGTGCAAGGACCGCCCGAGAGAGGGAGCCGTATATCATCATAAATCGTCGTCGAGGTCGATGGCATCCGGGTTGGCCGCAGCAACTTGGCCGTTCTCGTTGGTTTTGATATTGCCGCCTTGCGGTCCGGTGCTCGCCGCGACGAAGCCTTGTGGAGCTTTCGCTTGTCGTTCCAGTGCTGCCATGGCATCCTCACCCTCGTCAGCATCGCCGTTGGCATGCTCTCCATCCCCGTTCTGCTGGCCTCTTGCAACTGCTTGGGAAGCAATAAAGTTGACATCGGTGCTGCAGAGCATTAGTAAAGATGTACGCATGGAAAAATATCCGAAAGTTTACGTACTTGTATTGAGCTTGAACACTACGCTTGATGCGAAGCATCTCCTTGTATGTGTCCTCGTTTCCATGTTGAACCTCGAACTGCTCCCATTTCTTCCAAAACTCTGGGCTGGTTCTCGGGTCGCAGAACTGACTAGCGTGGCCATAGATTGCGCGTGCTCGGTCAATTTCACCTAGTCGCCTTTCCATTTCGGCAAACTTGAGGCACATCTCCTTGGCTTCAGAGTCGGGCAGAGCGGAAATGGCGCGCTCGTAGATCGATCGTGTAGACGCGAGACCGAAATTGGAGGCTGATTTGGTGATGTAGAAGTTGAACATTTCCATGCGGTCCTCGTCAGCCACGGCACGAGTGGCGCGCTCGTAGATTCGCATGGCATGGCGAGCGAGACCTCGGTCTTCTTCCAGGGTACCATACATAAGGTACAACACCTTGGCGAACTTCGGGGGACACCCTTCAACGGCTTGTTCGAAAAGGTCGCGTAGACGTTCCATACCGATCTGGCGATCGACGGCCTTGGTCAAGTATAGATTCCATAGTTCAAAAGCCACGGGATAACTGAAGAGATCCAAACCTCGTTCGAAAACCTTGAAGCAGTCCTCAAAATAGTCATTTTCTTCGAGTAGGTTGGCGTAATTGACAACAGTCTGCGGCGTGGCAATGCGGAGCTCGAATATCCTCTCGTAGACCTTCTTGGTTTCTTCGAGCGTGCTGACACTTTCCACAAGATCGACATAAAAACTCCATAATTTCCAGCTCTTGTGAACGCGTTGTTGGGGAGTCAGCGATTCGTCGAAATAATCCACGCTGGATCGTTTGGGTGCTTGCGTTGCTTTGTTCATGATTTCCACTGCTCTGTCGAAGTTCTCGTTGCGCAGCTCCATCTCAGCCCACTCGCACCACATTTCGGCCAGTTCGGCGACCGACTTGAACGGCACCTTCACAGCCTTCTCCATGATCACGCGAGCGTTTTGCAAATCGCCTCCAGTCTCGTAGAATTTAGCGTAATTTGTCCACAGGTCATGGTATTTTCCGAGAGCTTTCTTTGGGTTGATGGCGGCAATGGCGTCGGTGTAGGTTTGGACTACTTCGATGGAGTTATCGCCCCACAGAGCAACGCGCTTCTCCCATTCGATGACATTGTGGGGATTCTGCCGTAGCATGACATCGTTCAGCAAGAAAGGCCGGCGTTGCATAAGCGACTCGAAACGCACCATCCGGATGTCGAGGTCTGCATCCGCGTCTTGGTCAATCTTACCCTTATCGGACCGAGCGGCAGCCTCTTGCAGCTTGATACCAATCATCGCTTCCTCAGCCTCGACATAAGTATCGAATACGACCGAGAAGTCACGGACGGTCATAACGGTGGTTATTCCCTCCTCGAACACGTCGCGGGCCTTTTCGTACTCATTCTTGTTCATCCAATAGCGAGCCAACCCTGTCCAGAGGATGCCACGCTGGTCGGGGAACTTCAGGATACCACTCCTGATGATTTTCTGCACATTGATACCACTATCATCTCCAGTCTCAATGTCCTTGGCGTGATCAATAAGCAACTCGATCATCTCTGTCCAGAATTGGAAGGGCCCTTTGGCTTCTTTGCTCTTGAAGCGTGGATTGTTGAGTATCTCCATGTATTTCCTGACAGCCTCGGTGTATTTGCGCATGTCCTTCAGAAGCTCGATGAAGTCTTCGGCGTCCTCGGGGTGGATCTGCATATATCTCCTCCAGATCTTGACAGCTGTCTCGCCCGAAGCAGACAGAGCGAATGGACGATAGAGATCCCATATGCGGTTGTGTTGAGTAAGGGGCAGTGCACGTAGGGCTCGATCGAAGGTGCGGCGGGTCGTTGTGACTAGTGGCTGCTGCATGAGGAATTTGAGGTACAATTCCCAGATGCGCGGCATCTTGTTGAGCAGGACCAGGGCGCGTTCGAACAAGGCATTGACCTTGACGTAGTGAGGTGCGAACTTGGCCGGGTTCTTGCTCTCGAGGTGCTTGGTGCGGAGCTCGAGGTAGAGCTTCCAGAGCTTGTAGGAACGCGGGAGGGTGGTGCAAGCGCGCTCAAGAACGAAAGCCTGCTCTAGAAGACTGCCACGAGACTTCTTGAAGCTGTGGTAGTCGAGCCATGGCTTGACGCTGCCCGGGTTGCGCTGTATGTCCTGCTCGTAGACGACGTCCTGGTCGGAAACGAGGAAAAGGTCTTTGGAAGGCTCCATCTTGCGCTTGCTCGGCCTGGACAGACTAGCCGTCACGGTGCGGATGAGTTCGCCGGGCATTGTGGTGAGCCGACGCAGGGGAGAAGCCCGCGGGTGGGCAGAAACGCGATGGAAGCGTGGTTGTGATCGATGCGGGCGGTGGAGGACTGCGAGGGAAACGGCAACGGGGTGGTGAGAGCAAAGTTGGAGCAGCAAGAGTCGGTGTCGGGCAAGGGCCGGCCAATCAGCGAGGGCGCTAGGGACGCTGATGCAGCTCCAGCAGGAAGCGACGGATCAGTCGTGTCTTTGCTCGCTCGCGCGTTTTCGCCGGCCCTGCCGACGCTCGTAGTTGGTCGTAGCTTCCTCCCGGGGGGCGTGACGTTAGTTGGTTGTGGATGCAGCTAGTGCACCAGCAGTGGTAGCAGCAACAAGCCATACATCACCAGCCGCAACAACCTCCCCCGTTCGTGTGCCATAGCCCGCCCATTGTTTGTTGATTCAATACGCTTCCTGCCCAGGCACCTCGAGCCTCCCTACAACCCTCGATCCTAGCCAACAGCCGCTCATCACCATGTCGGGCAGCGGGGTAAGTCAAGCTCATACGATCGTGGACCGAGCTATGTATGCTCTGCTGCTCTCTGCATACTCCCGCATAGCATCACATCCACACAGCACACATCGCATGGCTAACACACCACCGTCAGGCCAGGGAAGCCGTCTTCCCAACCCGGCAGTCGCTCGGGCTGATGAAGACCAAACTCAAGGGCGCGCAAACCGGCCACGATCTGCTGAAGCGCAAGAGTGAAGCCCTCACAAAGTACGCACCATGCATTCTCCCTCCCCCAGAACTCAAACATGTACTGACTGCTGCTGCCCCGCAGGCGTTTTCGAGGTAAAAACTTCCACACCACTCCCCGTCATGCACATCATCTGGAGAACTCTGCAGCTGAAACGCTTCCTTTCCTTCTTGTTTAGAAATTACCCGCCGCATCGATGAGGCGAAGCGCAAGATGGGGCGCGTCATGCAGATAGCCGCCTTCTCGCTCGCCGAAGTCACATACGCCGTTGGCGGTGACATAGGCTACCAAATCCAAGAGTCGGCGAAGCAAGCTCGCTTCCGCGTCCGCACCAAGCAGGAGAACGTCTCGGGTGTCTTTCTCCCGCAGTTTGAGAGCTATACCGCCGAGAGCAACAACGACTTTGCCTTGACTGGCTTGGGGAAAGGTGGTCAGCAGGTCCAAAGGTGTCGGGAAACATATGCCAGGGCCGTGGAGACGTTGGTGGAGCTGGCCAGTCTACAGACTGCATTTGTCATATTAGACGAGGTCATCAAAGTCGTCAACCGTCGTGTGAATGCCATGTGGGTGCCCCTGCTGCTGATGATCATCTCATCCCACTTTGTTCACTAACAGCCCGATAGCGAGCATGTCATCATACCCCGTACTGAAAACACAATCAAGTACATCAACTCAGAGCTGGACGAGCTGGACCGCGAGGAATTCTACAGGCTGAAAAAGGTCTCGGGTAAGAAACAGAGAGACGCGGCCGAGTCAGAACTCGAGAGGGCGAATGAGAAGGCTTCTGCGTCCAAAGACCAGGCGGAAGAGGAAGCTGCAGACGCTGGTGATAGTCAAGATCTACTGGGTGATAAAGACAATGAGGATGTAATCTTCTAAGACGTCCATCTGGCGCTGAGAGTGGTCAATGATTCGTCGACGGATGATGTAAAGACTAAAGGGGATAAATGCAAGTACACAACTGCAATCTATCAAATATCAACCGTCACCGCACATCGACTTATATCAAACACACACGAGCAAAAGATCAACCAAGTGGATGGAACCAAGTTTTCAATTGTTTTTCCTCAACGCCAGCCCGAGCATGTTCGGGTATGCATATGGCCACCATCTTGGCGACGTGATAATATTTACTCCTGCCAGAATTCCGTCATCAAGGCTAGAGTAATCAATCAAACCCCCTACGTGACGCTAAACACTAAAGCAACCTTAGTCCTTAGAGGGGAGGGTACATGTATTGAGAGTGAGGGTCAACCGTAGGCGTAGTGTTGAGCTTCTAGTGTTCAGGTTGGTACTTGTCTTGAGGGACCATTGGCTGCTGAGGCATATCCACCGTAGCATCCTCCACATCCCCATCCCGAACCCAGGGGGCAGATGGGTGATAAGCCGTACGAGCCGTCTGAGTCAAATGTGGAACAAATGTGGGGTAGATGTGCTGCCAGAAGTGCGGGCGCACAACGCGCTGATAATGTTCCTGGGCTACGCTCTTGATGTATTGAGCTTGGGGAGTCAAGCCCTCCTCTTGTGCTGCATCGCCTTCCCTAAGTCTGGTTTTGCGTTCAGCATATGTGTTCGGGTTGGAGGAAAAAAAAACAGTTTTGCATGAAGGCGCATGGAGCAACACTTTCAAAGAGTCATGTGTGCTCCAGGTATCATAAAATGCACAAGAACAAACGAACAAAGAAAAAACACCATGCAAAATGCAGCACAAGAATCTTGGCTTGCAATGAACCTACTCGCGCTGGTATGAGACCTTCATTGGGCGTTTGCCAGCACCGACAGGCATGTTGGCGGTAGCCTCTTTGGCTGTGATGGCGTACTGCTCATTCTCGAATTCGGCGAAACCAACAGCCCTGACGCTCAGGTAGCGGATTTCCTTGAAGCCCTCGAAGCGTTCAAAGATGGTAGTCAAATTGTCCTCATCGATATCATCCGGAAGATTCTGCAGGAACAAGACTTTGTTGGGGCGCACATATTCGTCGGGAATGACGGAGATGGCAGACTTGAGAGTGCGTGGCTTCTCAGCGGCAGCGGGGTTGGCGGCTGCCTCAGCGTCCTCTTTGGCACGCTTGAAATCTATGATGGGCGTTAGTACATAGACACACTCATTTTCCACCGGTTATTGTACCTTTCTGCATGAGGCGCTTGCGCTTGTGATCATCAAACATGTCGGCCGCTTTGGACTTGACAGTTGCATCGCTGTGTGTCTTGGCTCGCTGGACTTTCATCTCCTTTCCGTACATGGGAAATCCGTCCATGAGTTCGACAGATTCGAGGGCAGACTTCTCGCTATCAAAGACAACGAAAGCCTGACCTTTGCGCTTGAGGCTGGTCTTAGCGATGATATCAACGATTGGTCCGAAACGCTTGAAGACAACGGTAAGAGCCGCCTTGAGCGTGGGGATCTTGACGCGCTCCTCGAGATTTCCAACCTAAATAGCACATGGTCGTAAGTATGGGATGCGCTCGGGGCGCGCGAGAAATATGCTGCGCCAGGGAGGGGCATGCGTAGTTACCCAGATGCTGTGACATTGTCAGTGGGTGCTTGTTGGCCAGTGAGGTAGAGGAACACATACGTTTCGATTGGCACAGGATAGTTGCTGGGGTCAACAGCATGACCACCGCCAGTCACACCCTCCATCTTGTCAGCCATTGCGACGTTGTGTTGCTGCGACGTGTTGTTGTTTGTTGGATGGCTGTGGACGTCGGTGGAGTTCGAGAAGTCGGAAGCTTTCGAAGCTCTTTCCGACTTTCTGGGTGCCAAGCACGCTAAGTAGTTTAGGGTTAGCGCATACGTACTGCATCCTCCAGCTATGGACAAGACTTGAAGTAACATTTGAATGCAGCAACCCACTTTTGCTCTACACGCGAAACTTTCTGCTTTGATCACGAATAGTATACTGCATATGTCTGGCATACGATAGCTTGAATGCATGCTAGAGTAGCAAGATTAGCTGTAAGTCCTTGAGAGGACTACTAGACATATAGAGAGTCTGGATCCACCGACGATTTTTATACAATCAACGGGCGTACAATGAAGTAAAGCGAAGTGACATGCAGCCGGGAGTCTCTCATTTCCGCTTGCCAAATTATGGTATATACAGGTGTTGCCTGAATCAACCACTATAGGTTTAGCGTAGAATCCTTCATCCCACCTCGTATAAGGAATTCATCCGCCCTCTCTATCGCTGAACGGTTGCTGCTTCCTTCATTTACGCCTTTGAGCTTCGTCTCTTGCGCTTCCAAGCATATGGTTCGTCTAATTTCGTTGCCAACTCAAGCACTACTATCTTTTCCGTGAAGTAGCACTCATTCTCATGCCGTGATTGTAGGTTTACAACCCCGAAGTGACTCTTTCCCCTTCTGGAGTACATGAAAACAAGACATTTCCGGGGATAAGAAAAGGACTTACACGCGTCTAAGACTTCCAGGAGTATAAGCAACTGATATATGCATGTGGGTTTATTCTTCTGTTGGTCAATAGGGAACCCGACAGAAGAGCAAACAAACCCCAGTGGTGATTTGATGAACTGGGTAGATGAGCGAGGAAGAGAAGGCACTGGCAACTGAAGAAATTAACGCGCTATCGCTCGAAAAAAGACTTTTTTCCAGCCCTCCTCTTTGCGTTCCGTTGTACGAAGGATCCACCCTGTTACAGCATCTTCTTGAGCAAAGACTCTTGACATTCTAAATTTCTGCCTGCTTCTCCGCCGCACCGTGCAACATCATTCCCTCAAATCATCGGAAACAACTCAACAAATATGGCGCCTTTCCTCAAGAAAGTTCGGACCGCAACACTGGGCGAAAAACCAAATCCCTATAACAAACGCAACAATCCGAGCAATCCCACCTACAATCCAACTTCTGTTTCTCAGGACCCTGATCCTTTGTCACTACCAGAGAACACAACAACGGTGTCGCCGCGCGGCTCAATTGATTATCTTGCAGAAGCTAGGCAAGCAAGTGGGAGAGATCCCGTGACTGGGAAGAGGGCTATACCTGCAACTAGTAGCGAGGGCAACCAAGCTTCACATAAGCCCAGATCTTTTATGAAATTGAGACACAAAATTGGTGCTAGTCATCGCGACGCAAATCCCAACAGCAACCAAGATAACAGTGGCTCAACGGACCCGGCGAACCCTTTTGCAGATCCAGAGCCAGAACCACATGCGAAGGCGAACTCGGGAACCCAGCAACAAACAGCAGATAGCAATGGAAACCACAACAATGGCAACGTGAATATGCGGTACGAGCAGTATATTTGGCAGATGAGGGAAAGGGAGTTGGCCCGGCAAGCATGGCAGGAACCGGCGGGTGGTTCGTTTTATGCGCCGCCACGGAGAGACGATATGACGTACTATACATGGGGCAGACCACAGGCGCAGCCGTCAGTCGAATCATTCTTCAGAGATGGAAAGTTTCGTTAGCATTAAGAGGCATCGTAGACCAAGGAGAACGCAAAGTGGAGGAGGAGTACTTGAGATGTTTCCAGATAGATTGTTGGGTGAGATCAGAAACGATTTGATGATGATACGAGCGAGTGCGTACGCAGAAGGTAGATAATACAGTACTTAAGGCATGTCTTCATGTAGAGATGAGGCCTGGCTCTTTAGACAACGTGAATGTGTGATGGAGTAAAAGAAAATAGGTCGAGACATATCAAAGTGTTTAGCCACGTTGATTATTCATCTCACCCCAGATGTTGTTTTAACTGGTACATGTAAAGGGTTTGTTGGATTGCTTCTGTCAATGTCTGTCACGCATGGATCTGCCATCAAGTACACATGTGATAGAGTTGGAATGAGTTTGTGCATTGTTCTCGCTGTATAAAGACGTGCATCTACACGCCCGCAAGTAAAAGAAGAGGAAAAAAGAAATCAGGAGTACCGCAGCCTTGAGAGGAACCGTGTTGGTACAAGAAAACACACACAATCGTGTAGAGGAAGAAATTAGTTGCAAGAAGTAAGATACCCAATCCCATCATCCCATCGTACGCCCGAAAAGGAATGGATCAAGGGATCCACATGGAAGCGAGAAACAACTCCATGATAACTCAAATTCAATGAACAGGAGCTGTTGGAGCGGTGCGCCTACCCCAAGGCTGGCTGTTCGACCACGGTCCACCGGAAGAAGCGCGGGCAGAGTTGGAACCATGATTAGATGGTTTCCGTGGACGCTGGTTTTGGCTGCCAGTGGGTGAGCTTGATCCAGCTTGGAAACTGCGTCGAGTCTTTGCTTGTCCAGGTCCTTTGCCATTCTTGCGACGCTTAGGAATTGATTTGGTTACGGCTTCCTGCATGTTACCGACCTTGATACGGATGTCGATATGGTCCGAGTGTTTATCGAATTCGCCGTTGTATGAGGGCTTTGAGAACATCTCTGAATCAGGCCACCTACCGTATTTAGAACCTTGTCGAGAGTTTTGTCGACCTGATGGAGGAGCGCCAACTGGCGGTTCGTTCGCTGCCATGTGAGGGACTTTGGACAGTTTGACCGTCGGCAAGGAACCGAATTCACGATCCTCAAGTAGCATATCTGCACTTGTGCGCGTTGTGACAGCGCTACTGTTATCGATGGCGAAAACCCTCCTGCCCGTAGAGTTTGGAAGTGACACGGTTGCTGGACTCGAAGTCTGACGGACGTCGAGCGGGGCTTTCGACGAAGCAGCGATAGCAAACGAGCCAGCATTCTGGCCGACCGCTTGACTGGAGACATGGGGTTGAGCACCTGGTATAGATGTGCCAGCTGACGAGGGAGCCAGCAGGTTGTTGAACCTAGTTTGCCATTCTTCCGAGAGAACTAGAGGGCGTTGTCCGATGCTAGAACCAAGACGAGTACGAGGAGGCATGCTTACAGGAGCATCGGGTTGCACGGCAGGCTCCACCATGGGAGGAGGCAATCGTACGCGAGGTGCAGGCCTTGGAAGATTCACAACAGGGGATGTAGAGTCACCGCTATGGGCTGGATGAGACTGCGTCTCTGGTGGTGGTGGAGAGTCTCCCACAATCGCCGCAGGTGCTGGAGGCGCCGTGTCCGAGGACCGAGGAAAGAATCGCGACGATCGAGGGCCCTGGGCTGCCGGATGGATATGTGGGCCTTGACCGACTGTATGAGTTGTTGCGGGACCATCGATTGCGGCTCGAGGCAACTCTTCTTTCGATTTCAGATCGAGCGCACCTCCATCTTGAGGCGTCTTCATATCGATACCACCAATCTGAGCATGCAAGGTGGTTTGTGTCCGGCCTTTGCCATCTTTGAAAGTCTCTCTAATCTCGGGAATGAAAGACTCGCCTCCAAAACGCTCAAAATCTTGCTGTGCTTTGGCAATAGTCGCTTGATCATCACGGCGTATCTGAGCTTGGAAATCTCCCCATCCTGGGGCGAGCTGACGAGGCTTTGGCGGCATGCTGGTTTGTTTCGGGATAGCTGCGCTTTGAGGGTAGATGGGCTGGGCCGCGAAAGGCTGAGCGGGAGCAGTCTGCTGATGCTGTGTAGACGGTTTCAGTGCGGGGCTCACGCCAATTGGTGCCTGGCTTGCCTGCGGCTGCGGAACAACTTGTTGTCCGAATGTACCGTTCCCGAGAGCCCTGTCTTTGGTGGGTGGAGGACCCCACACGGCGGACGTCCAGGGTCGTGGTTGCTGAGGAAGCGACGGGTTCGACCAATTTGACGATGCCTGTGTTGGCTGACTAGGGTTTGTAGATGTGTAGCCGGGTTGCAGAGGTTGTGTTTGTAGCTGCGTCTGGGTTGGTGTGAGTGTCTGCGTTTGCTCTGCCCGGTTGGTGTGAGGGTCGCGACTGAGGCTTGGCGCGCTCGAACCTTGAGCAAACGGCGTCGACGCCTTCGGCTCTAGCTCGGGTTGTGCTTGTTTGTCTACAGAGGAAGGGCCTGGCCTGGCAGCACGAGGCTTAGAAGCTAGTGCGTCGGGAGGCGATGCTTTCTTCACAGGCTGCGGGTGGACCTTGATCATCCCGTACTGTGCAAACTCGCCTTCTGACGAGGGCATAGGTGGCTTGGGTGGTGACTGTAGTGGAGCCGGTACTGCTTTCTCTTTCAGAGGAGATTTTGGAGGTGGCGCCTCTGTATCCTTCTTGGGCTCGTCGGTAAACCCTAAAGATTCCATCTTTTTACGTAGACGCTCTTTACGCTCAGCCTCTTCCTTCGCTTCTCGCTCCATTTCTTTCTGTTTACGAAGCTTGATCGAATCTATCTTCTCCTGCATGACACGCTGCTGTACCTCAACTAGGTTTTGAATTGGTGGAGCGCCACCGCCTGGGGTGGTAGCATCTTGAGAAGTGATAGATCCTAACGGTGACGCCGGCTGTACTTGTGACATACTGGGTGATGGCCTAGGTACCAGAGATGAGGACTGTTGATCATTTGATACCGGGCGTGTAGGTAATGCATGACGTTGTGGCCCTGTCGTGCCGGGGTCCACAGCCTGCATCGATTGAGACTCCCGCCGTGCCATGCTCATAGATGCGGATGGATGGTCCACGCCGCGCATATCGAATGACATGCGGCCGCTTCCGCCACTGACATTGGAGGAGTTTCTTCGACGACCCCAAGTCGGAACGTCTGCGCTTGACCTTGATGTTTGGAAAGCCGCAGATGGTTCGGCAGGCCCATCATGTGACGGACGCTGCAAAACCGAGGGTTGCTGACGAGCATTACCATCACGTATCGAACCTCTACGGACATCGCGAACCGGTTCATAACGGCCACTATGCGAGTTGAAGAGTTCTCGGTTGCCACGTTCGTCGCGCCATGAACGGTTGAAATCATCTGGAGCAATCTCCTTGGCGGGCATCGATGGTGGTGGCATAGTATCGTATCCGCTGGCAACATCCCGAGAATACCGAGAAGAAGAGGGTAGTTGCGCTGGAGGGTTTATCGCAATAGGCGAGACCTTCTCGACTGGGGGTAAAGGGGCCCATGGTGACTTGACGGGAGCAGATGTAGATGGTTTAGCTACCAAAGTAGGCTTGTCAGGCTGTCCTTTTGGTTTGGGAGTGTGCGCGCCAGGCTTGAGGATCGTCTTGGTGCCTCCTGTCAAAGTCGTCTTTGGAGCGCTGGTAACTGGAGCTGGGGTCGTGGGGTTTGAAATCACTGCGGGAGACGGTGGTTTGGCCACGGGTTTGGGTTCCTCCACATGAGCGGGCGCCGGTTGACTCTCGACCGCTGCAACAGTCGACTTTGTTCCATCCATCCATTGGACAGTCTCGGGTGCCCAGTCATCCTCGTCATCGTCGATGTCTGCCCATTTCGCTTCTTTGCTACCTTCATCGGCTTGCAAGCGGGTCGCGAGGTGAATTCCATATTGTTGTTTCAACTCTTCATCGGTGAACTGCTTCGGCGGAGGCGGAGGCACAGGTTGATTCTTGTTCCACACCTTGCTTCCGTCCGGTCCAGAACCTGCCCCGTTCATTTGCCCTACAGCGCGAGGCACATTTCCGCTACCAGATTTTGCTACTAGACGTGGCTTCGCGGACGATAGTGCAGATGAACTCGGTTGTCCGGGTGGCGTAGCTTTGTCGCCAGACCGTGTAGCCGGTGCGGAGACGGCCGATTTAGCCAGGAAGTTCTTAGTCACGGAGACGGATTTGAAGGAGGTGGGCTTCTTGATCGAGTTGGTACGCAAATGGCCGCTGGCTTGCTGAGCTTGATCAACGCTTCCGGGGCGACTGATATCTGTGTCGGAGCTTCCACTAGCATATGCTCCAACCTGTTGGGACTCGGGGGTGAAGCTGTCGCTGTTATCGCCATTCGCCAAACGTTCCGTAGTCTCGTTCGTTTCAGGAGGGTTGTTATCGCGCTGGGAATCGAGGGTACTTGGGTCAGTGGCAGCTGGGCCGTTGCCGGCGGTAGTGTTGGTAGTTGACGCATTAACGTCGACGGGCAAAGCATTACCCGCCGACTGTGCTTCCTTTACCACATCTTGGGTAATCTGCTCTGCCATAACAATCCTGGGATCTGCAGCATGGGGCGGAAAATAATGCGGGTCAGATAGATGCTCAGCAGAAGTATGGGAAGAGGGAGTAGTGCCCTTGTGCAGAGCGATCATGCTGGCCACGTGCGACGGGCGACGGGCCGATCGTCTACGCAATGCGCAGGAAGAATAGAGAAAGGCGAGGAGCTATTCACCTAAGGTCAAAGTTCGAGCGTCGCCACGGGGAGGATCAGACCGCTTCCGTAGAAACGTCGAGGTGGTGCTCCGGGTGGGCGGGCGCGCGAGGTGGATGGATAGATGCGGTTACGGTAGCAGAATGCGGAGGTTCGGCTTCCAACTGCAGGCAATCGCGGGTACGGGGGAGAAGCTGGTTCTCGTTCGGGGTCGGGATATCTCACGCTCGGGGAGGAGCAGAGGAGAGAAGGCCTTGCGTTCTTGGCCGAGTTGCTTCAGCGATGGAGTGGGAGGTGTTGGTTGTGGATTGTGTACAGCGAAGCTTCGCAGTGGTTGGATCGTCAAGGTCTTGGCGTCTACTTTCTTTGAAGCTGACTTGCGGTAACGCCAGGCGAGCACCCTCGCCCGGCGTTTCGACTTTGTATTCACTTGTATTCGCCTGCGCTTACTCTCGCAAACAGGGCCAAGCCGTTGGTTTCATGGCTTCTATAAGTTTATGCTAACGCAGTCATGGAAGCCTTTGCTCAACAAAGTTCCCATAGGCATTCACACCCTGGGACGTTGGCGGAATACCCATCTCCGCATTACAAAGCCACCATCCCAGTGTCTTTAGTCGCATACAAGGGTTAATTGAGAAGCGCAGTCATCTTAAGTGCGCAGTCATCTTAAGTACGCAGTATTCTTCCTATCAATATATCTCGAGCATGGAGTTGGTGTCCCCTCGCGCATGAGCTCAAGCTGGACAAGCCATTTGGGCCACTACTAAACACCATCATTGCACACGAAAATCGAATAGACACGAAAGCAAGAAACAAACTGGATTTGGGGTTAGGACTGTGGATTGGGATCCGCTACACTCTATATTTACATGCCACTGTCGCGCTCGAATGATTCTATCCTCAGGTTGGCGATTCTTTTAGTGGTGCACGTTGTTCTTGTGGTGACCTGATAATTGTCAGTCCTGGAGCACTGCTGCGTGTACAATGGGTCACCTACGCAAGTGGAAGTAGTAGTTCTGTGCGTAACCGAGGGCGATGAGAGCGCCGATAACGTGAACGAGGGCTGTGAATTGATGTCAACTTGGGTTCCGCATCGTTTCGAAAGAGTTATTTGGGACTACGTACGCATAGCAGAGGCGTTCTTGCCGAAGTATCGGTGCTGGTAACGGCCCAACAGACCTGAAGGCTTCGCCTCGGGGGCGGCACCACGGGGGAGCTTCTCGTAGAAGTTCACCACCTTCTGCATGCGGACAGCATTGGGTGATGATCCGATAGCCTTGAGCGCACATCAGCAAGAGTTATCCATAGGTAGCCCGCTCATGTGCGATGTGTGGAGGTAATATGGTGCATCGTCGAAATCTTTTGCGGGCGTCCGGAAAAAGGGCATATCGGCAGTGAAAACGTCGGAAGTATCAAGACAGATGAGCGAGTGAGCTTACATTCGGAGAAGCAACCTAAAGACAAATCATTAGTATAGAACGAGACAAGGCGTAGCGCATGGTCGTCGACTTTAAAGGCGTACCTTGGGAGGGATAAGGGTGGAGAGGGCGCGCTTGGTGACGAAGCTCATCTTGCCGGCTACGGTCCTGTCAGTCTCAATTGCTTTGGTGCAGCGTATTCGGATCGATCGGTCGACGTACTTTGATTGACGAGATGATGGGTGGAGATGGACTTGGGGTCGATAGATGGATTGTGGTTGTTCACGACAGGATGAGGTTTGCGCTAGTGTTGAGTTCGGCTTGGCGTCAAGCTCTCGGGACCCACGACTTCAACGACATCACTCAAGTTACGCCCCTCAGACCCGACACCCCCCACACCCAACATGTCGATGCTACCCAGGTCAATTGGCTCGCGCCTGCTTTTGGCTGGTGCCCGCTCATCGCCTGCGAGGTCAATCGTCCCGACTTACCGCACATACGCATCCCAGCCAGCGTCGAAAGAAGCCGAATCCAAGACAGACTCCAGCGACGCGCCCGCCGTAAACCTCACCGAGTCGACCCAGATCCGCGAGCAGGGCCCTTCGGAGGGCAATGTTAGACACCAACCAGACTACAATGTGGCTATAGATTACCGCACTTCGTATGTCTGGCACATAATCCCTGGACGATATGCGTGTGTCTAACTTGCACCAGCAATTTCTCCCCGGTCCCGAAGCGCGTCATGGATGGGAGCGAGCCAGGTGATGTTGTAGCTGCAGCTGTACTTTCAGGTGCTCCGACAGATCTGCAAGCTCGCACTGTGCGGTATGCAATCCCTATCAAGGTCCCCTACGGAATTCCACTTCAATGTCTAATTCATGTATAGCATCTACAAGCCCGCAAAGACGGCCACCCAATCCGGCAACTGGCACTCGCACCACTGGCTGATGGATTGGGATGTGCTACCCAAGGGCCACCGATGGGAGAATCCTCTCATGGGCTGGCAGTCATCTGCCGATTTCATGAACGGCCACAGAATACAGTTCAAATCGAAAGAAGCTGCCATCGAATTTGCGAATAAGCAAGGTTATGAGTATTTTGTGCAGGAGCCGAACGAGCGCAAGTTCGTTCCCAAGGCATATGCCAACAACTTCACCCACTCCCCTGGAAAGTTGAAGATGGTCAGGACCAAATAGAGGGCAGAGATTTGGTAAGGGACAGTTTGTTGGTGTACATAGCTATAAATGGGATTTTCTTTCAACATCTAACTATGCTGTCTCAACTTGCACATTGTGACACGGATGCCTTTCCACAATCTTGATATGTCTATGTGGTGATGATTATGTATAGTTGGACAAGAATGTCATGCTTGCCCTGAGCCGCCCACGGGCACTGCTCAAACAACACTTTTATAATTCAAGTACACATGAATACTGAGCAACCTATCTGGTTTCACGCTGATATTATACCCCTCGAGCGATCAGCTGGAAGCTGTAAACCCACTATACACTGAACCAAATCCTACTTCACCGTGACTTTTGACAGCACTCTGTAGCTCGACAGCTCATAATCCCAAGGCATCCGCCTTCACCCTGTCGCCGTCCAGGACACAACAACCACGCACAGACCAACATATCAGTATAACAACCTCCCTCTCCTCGACTGCTTGTTCTTTCTCCCATCCACATCACATCCCACCCACAGTAAGTCATGATCAGCATTTCAGAACATGTCTTCAAATAGGAAAAGAGTAACAGCATTAGCATTCATCAACACCAACACCACCACCAACAACATGGGCAGAAATGGTACGTACAGCCAACTGAGCAAGCAGTACGGAACTGGCCTATACTGACAACTATCCAGCCTACGACACCACCGGCCTGCGGGCCCAGCAGCAGCGGCAGCAAGTACGTACAAGACAGACACTCCTCTCTTGCCAAACCCCACATCACCTCAGTGTCTACTGACCACCCTCTCCCGCACCTTGACGACACTCTATTGCCGACCGATCTACCTACCTACCAACCTACGCATACTTCCTCCCCTCCCCATTAACATCCAGAAAGCAGCAACAACCCCAGCAGCAGCAGCAGCAGCAGCACCAACAGCAGCAGCAACAACAACAGCAACAGCAGCAGCAGCAGCAGCAAGAGCCGGAGAGCGCTGCCGGCAAGGTAAGTTCATTGCGCTGGGTGCTTATACCTGATTCTCGTTGCTGCTTGTTGAGAGTAAGTTTGTTGACATGCAAGATACAGAAGAGGAAGAGGGAGGCCCTCCCAGGGGACGATTTGGGAGCGGCGGGGGGGAGGAAGAGGATGACGGAGAGAGAGTGAGAGAGAAGAGGGAGGGAGCGGGGATTAGTCCCCCATGACATGTCTGTTTTGTTTCTTTTTCCTTTTTTTTCCCTTTCTTGTAACAATACTTTGTACAATATTGTAAGTTTATACCCTTCTTTTCTTTTCTTGTAACAATACTTTGTACATTATTGTAAGTATATATCATAATGCAAGCTCCTCCCCTTCATTCATTGCGTGTCTTGATCCCGTCACTGCACTATACCGTAAAACTCATAAAGCACTCAAACCATCCACGCACCTACGAACCCCCTTCAATCGCCTTCTTCACCACAGGATAGAAGTGATCAGCCATAAACACACTCCCTTTCTCATTCGGATGTTCGCCCTCGGTCGTCATTGTGACATAGTCAAACCCAGTATAATTATCGACTTGGAGTAGCTTGTTCTTAGAAATCCAATCGCGTAACGCGGCATTGAGAGATATGATGCCGTCGGTAGCACCCTGGCCGAAGAGCTTGGGGTCGATGGGAATCAGCAAGCTAACAATGACTTTCATGGCGGGGTTGGAGGCTTTCATCTGGGAGAGGAGCGTGTCGTAGGCTTTTATGATGTCCGGAATGGAGGTCTTGGTTATCACGTCGTTCGTGCCTAGATGTATCACTGTACGCGAAGTAAAAGGTAAGAATTTTGGCTGTTCAGATATAATATCGAGATGTGTTGAAGAGTTGAGGTGTACATGAAAAACGATAGAGGAAACGTACTGATGATATCGACCGGTTTCGCAGCGTCCAGCCAGCGTGTCAAGTTCCCACCTTGTACGTACTCAACCGCACGTGCACCTCCATGGCCTTCGTTGTTAGGGTCGAACGACACAGATGCGCCGTTTAGCGTGCAGGATGCTGGGCCAGATTGACCGCCTACGAAGTCGATGTTTGTGACTTTGGCATCCTGAAGCTTTTTCCAGAGATATGCGCGCCAGCAAGTCTGAACAACCAGCCATTAGAATAAGTGGAAATGTGTTGATTGATAACATCGTGCAATTCCTTTTGCCACTTACGTTTTCCACGATACTCGCCCCAAAAGGCATTATCCGAATCTTATCAGCTCGAGGACTGACAGCGGTGTTGTGGTATCCTGGCTGACTAGGTCTTGCGGCGACGAGGCTTAGAAGCCCGCATAGTGTTGCTAGGATGGTGAACTTCATTTTGGTAGAATTTGGATCGAATGACTCTTTCTCTTTCTATCTCTTTCTGTGATATCTTGTGAGTGTTCGATGCAGGCGACACAGATTGACCGTTTGCAGCAGGGATGGAACGAACAATTTCAGATAAAGCCCGTCTTCTGAAAGGTTGCTTGTGCGCTGAGATGCGATGGTGGTTTATATGAAGCCGGGTCGTTCAAGTATTGTCCACGTAAATTTCCAAACTCGGGAGAGCGCGAGAAAACACGGCCACTCAAAGGAATAAACCAGCGATCAAGATGGATGCGCTTTCAACGCACGCCCTCAGCGGGATATATATATATCTATCTTAAGTTACGATTCAGCGAGTCAATCCGTGCCGCTGCAGGGGCGTCTTGAGTGATGATCGGCGGCAGTGAGAACTAACGTAGCTAGGAAAGTGATACCAAATTTTAGCAATCATGCCGACCGGCTGACCTCGTTACCTGTACTTGCCATCTACTGTGGGGGACGAGAAGCGAAAAAAGGTCAGCATACAATCTGCACGGTATGGCATCCCTGGTCAATTCATACGCTAGGTGGGACAAAACCTTCATCTTGGGCGATGATGTAATGCGGCAAAGTGCCTATACATGACGGTACCTTTGTGGCAAATTGCACAATAAAGTTGAAGAAGCATCGCTGTTTTGCAGTAGGGCGAGTCAGTCGTGCATGAGGCTTGGAATAGTCTTCCAAGCAGAAAATCGATGCCTTTCTCGAGTAGTGTATTCTCAACCACGGCTTATAGGACGAGTAGCTTGAAGGAAATTGAAATGAAACGACGGTATGTGCCTTGGAAGCATCTCCTTTGTACATGCAGAACACTGCATGTACCGGTACTGTCTTCACCAAGACTTGAAAGCCGAGAACGTGTACGTGCATAGCGTGGATATATAGTCGCGTGCATGCATACCAGTGGCAATGCAACCCTGATTAGCACACATATGTACAGTACAGAGCTCAGATGCACTCTCCGGTTCTCGCTCAGGTACCCCGCAATTATGTGCTGGAATCAACATGATCGGGAGGCTATTGATTATCCAACGTGATCACTCTTGCTGCATCAGCTGGCGGGGATAGAATACAATCGGAAGCACGCCAGGTGATGATGAGGGGCCATCAGCCGATGCCAGGCTTGGTCGGAATCGAGCTAATGTCCTTGGTTCCAGCATGGCAGTGCCCAGTTTTGGAAGGTGTTCGTGTTGTTCGAATCCAGGGAGAGTGCAATGGGTTGGGTAGTCAAATCAAGCTCACCACACTACCTATAATTCCTCGGTTAGCTGCAGGCCGGCCGATCATCCATTCGTCTCGTATGCCCAATATCCATGTGGCTTAATCCGTTGGAGCGGCGCTATACAGCAGCAGCTATAGATCCATGGGCGAATGCCAGCAGTCGACTTCTTCTGCGAGAAGTCCTTGATGGATGACTGGAATCGTTGAGGGAGAGTCAGTTCTCGGTTGTTCGCGGCGCTACCTACCGGAAGTCTGGCGGTGGGCGCGCTACGCGGGACCGGATCAAATGTAAGCTTTACGGCGTGCGCTTGATTACATCCCGATGTGGGGAACGGTTATTGTGGATGCTGCAATCGTGGTAGAATGGAGTAAATTGTAGGGTTATTGGGATTGTATATGCATACAGTGCGAATGGTCGAACGCGTAGGAAGGGGGCCAGCCACCGAATATCTCCGAGGCGGTTGGCATGGCCATGGACATTCGAGCCAATACCCATGTGTATGTGACGTCTTCGCCGTGGAATATGGCGAACCCGATACAGCGCTGTGCGTGGCGAGAAAGAAGGCGTTATTTTTTGGCCAGTCTGATCTTCGTTACAGTTCATGCGACGCATGTGATCCCAACTGTATACATACATATGCATGTATGTAGGTATGCATCCAAATGTTCAATGTCAGTGGTCATGCTCTGCACTCGCAACAATGTTCCCTGACAGTCACCTTGAGATGAATGGTCAATGGTTCGGTCGGTTGCTAAATGGATTGACGTTATGCCAAGCGCGCGCCCTTTTCGGTGTGGTGGAAGCCGCCAACAACCAACTCATCCTCCACCAGCAAGCACATGCATATGCGGGAGGCTGCATTATCTACACACTTCTCTGCTCCGACGACCTTGACTATGCGCCTCTCGAATCCTATTCTTCCCATGAATGGGGATGCCATTGCTGTCACGAAAGATTCCGAGCTTAATCGTTTTGCTGGTCCCCGGCTCTTTTGTTGGCATGCAGGATCAAGAATGCCTAAGGCATGATTCGACAGATCTGCGTGTCGAGCCACTAACGCAACTTCACCAGGTCTACCACCTGTCCGCTCTATCCGATCAAGGAGCAAAGTATGCTCTCGCGCCGCAGCACATACGATCCGTTCGAGAATGTCGACGAAGAGATTCGGGTTCTGTACCTCGACCAAGTATTGCTAGGCGAAAGCTATGGTTTTGAGGATTATTGTATTTCGGGAAACCTCAAACACATCACCCTGACAGGCAACCACAGCCCGTACTTCGCCCTTTCATATGTATGGGGCGATTCAACACCTGTATCAGCTGTCATACTTGATGCGAGGGAGCCTATTCCAATAGCCCGGAATTTACTGTTGGCCTTACTCCACATAAAAAAGCATCATCTGTTACCCGTACGTCGAGCGTCTATGTTCAGAGTTCTCTAGTGTTGATGTTGCATCGCAGCCCGGCATACCTATATGGGTTGATGCAGCATGCATCGATCAATCTCATGAATGGGAAAAGAGCCGTCAAGTTGCCCATATGGACAACATATATAGCAATGCCATGGGGACGCTCATATTCTTGGGATCAGAGGCCGGGGATTCCGAAGTGCTCATGGCCTCGCTCGATGCTATTGGCCAACGAGCGGTGGAACACGGAGTATTTGATGCTCTAGCATGGGAGCAAGAGTTTTTGGGAATGGCATTGCTAGAGTATCTGCCGGGAGTGGAGGGAAAGAGGGAGTTGCGGCAGCGTATCAAACCTTGGAACCGGTTCCTCCGAAATATCCTATGTCCCGACAACGACATTTGCGCGCCCACTGTCTCTCTGGAAGCGATTCAAGGGATGATGGCATCCTCCTGGTGGACTCGCATCTGGGTTTTGCAGGAACTTCTACTTTCGAAGACCCCGAAGTTTGTCTATGGATCAAAAGTCGTGCATGCGGAGCGCGTAGTAGCAGCTTTGAAACTTTTATCGCTCATACAACTATACATTGAACGACTGCGCACTTTCGGCTTGAAGCGGCCGAAGCTAAAGGGTCTTGAACGTATTTTCGAAGGCCGATCGGAAACTCGATACACTCCCCCAGCAGTATCCCTTTACCATCTTCGTCGAATGCTTCACGACGACGAGACATGGTCGTGGTCTATTGGCTCTATCTTAAGCTGGATAAGTACCAACGATGAAGCCATTCTCTCGGCAACGAATGCCAGGGATTACATTTACGGCTTTCTGGGCTTGATCTCAGAGTTACCACCCAATGGAGAGCTCGTTCCGGATTACTCACTTACACATGTCGAAGTCTTTACGAGGGCCATGGCCGCGTGTTTCCAGTCGAGCATGAAGTACATCAGTCTCACTAGGGCACTATTCCCCAAAAAGATGGTTGGCCTCCCATCATGGGTTCCGGACTGGACGGTCGTCCAGAAATCCTTCGATCCATATTCTAGCCTGTTTGAAGACTGCATTGGACCCACGCCTACATATGAAGTGACGACGGACGGAATGCATGTATTGAGTGTAACAGGCATCATGTATGGAGTTTTACAAACTCTAAAAGCGCAGGGTGCAGATGATCCGCTTCTTGATCTAGATGCGATGGATTATGATCAGCTCACCGATCTTATCAAAAGTTACCTCCCTTCAACCCTACTTCCCTCCACCAACACATCGTATCATGTAAATCTACTCGACCTGATAGCCGCGCACTTGTTATCCAGATGCGACATATCTCCATATCAGATGTCTAGGATTCAGGATTACTACGCCACATGCGACACGGACGCTGATGGATTATGGCGCGCAACAGATGAAGAACCAGAACCCCTGGGCCTCGCAGACATCTATAAATCAGAGCTTAACCTCATCAGCGACATGTACAACATAATGACGCAGAACACGCGCGATACCAGTGAGGAGCACATGGGCATCTTGAGATGGATCTCGCATACCCTGATCAATCGCCCACAGGCATACACCATTGTGCAAAGCTCATGGTCCGGCGACCATAATGCCCAAGAGCCAGGAGCGGCGATGTTCATAGGTACAGCTGGCCCAAAAGTCCGCAACGGAGACGTCCTCGTCGAATTCGGTGTGGAACCGCATGTTCTGTACGTTCTCAGACCCGTGGGTGGACACGACGGTATGTGTGAGTTGGTGGATAGAGCGTGGATTCCTAGGCTTGCCAGGGAACGCTTGGTGTCTTCAGATCTTCCCTCAGAACCCCTGTCCGCTTCTTCTTCTTCTTCTTTCTCGAAATCCGAGGGATCTCGTACCGTGTTCCGGATTTGCTGAATCTAGTTTGGCGCGAATTGGTGGATCGATCTGTGTATGCTGACATATACAAGAGTGAAGTTCTATTTTGTATGGGGGTAGGAACTTACTTTGGTCAAAAAAGTGTCTTGCATGAATCAGCTGCAGAGTGGTGGGGAAAGTGACGATTACGAGATGAACTGTGGCTCAAAATAGTACCCGGAAGCCGTTTGTTATCGCACTGGCTTTCTTGGCTCTCTTCTCTTCTCACATCTGCCGTTTGCCGTCGTAGTTTGAAGGCCGTTCGGGTATACGCAGTTTGCCCAATTCCACTGCAACATTGCATATATCATGAACTTCACTACCGTGATGCTCACATGTTTCTCACCAAGCAAGTAAAAGAACGAGACCCCATGAACGCAAGTAGTTTCTTGATTGTGAGTGCAGCACGATCCGGTTGCAGACTATAATCTGCAACATTGGAATTGTGATTAACCTATCCCCCCCACGCAATCATCCGACAGAAATCCATCCCAGCAACAGCCCCAGCCCAAGCCCATACACACATCCGTATATGAACAATAACGTATTGTACTTTACGTAGGAGGAACATGACGGATCCATTCGATAAAATCGGCCACCCGAACGTATAGCCGAAGTCAAATAACAGCACAATGTGCCATAATCGTATAAACATGTTTCCTCCCAGATGAGGATGGACACCATCCATCGATTTGTCAACAGGAGTTGTGTCCGAAAGACGTCCCCTATCATATGTTGTGGATAACAAGGTATTCTGATGTTATCGTAGAAACACTAGAAAGAGAGCTGTTCTGGTCTTCCGACAGTCATTCCTCAAGTGGGACAAAAACGTGTCCTTCATGCAATGCCCCACCACACCGACTCCAAGGAATCAGAGGAGCGTTGACATATGAGACAGAAGACGCGAAGACAACAAGGGCGGGGAGGAGATAAAAGTGACGGGAAAGTAGAGCGAAAGAGGTTGGCAGCCTCTGAAAAATGCAGACATTTTGCATACTTACTTGTAATGCTCTCGAAGAGCTTCGCATGTTTGGAAAAGTTGCTTAAACCAGTTGGGTGATGTCTCCAAGGACAGGTCGAGGCGTTTCGACTTGCAGTCTCTCTATACCGTCAGCAGGACTAGCTGAGCGGGAGCGGGCTTCACGCAGTGGCGCGTCAACGGTGGGAGTGAACATGGGTCGAGGCAGATTGTTGATCGGAGACGCGAAAAGCTGTGCAGTCAGTTGTGCCATTAGCAAAGCTCACTTGACGCTTGTGTATATAAACCGTGGATAGATACTATATGTCTGTTGAAACCTTACCTCGAACAGATCAACATAGCCATCCAACGAAATAAATGAGCCATCTTCGTCAAGGCCATGGAAGTCTGGTGGTAGAAGGTCGGGAGTAGCCTCAAGAGAAGAATGCAGCTCGTCGTTGTCAGGTTCCGGAAGCTCGTTCTCTTTATCATCGTCCTCCTCTTCAAAAGGGTCTGGGGAGCCCGCGGTTATAGACTCGCTCGCGACTTGTTGTTCTGGCGAATCTTCATAGACAGCGATGGGCGAAGCTTCAGGTTTCTGCGTCCGTTTACGGGTTGAGAACATCCAGTTAGATTCTTCATCATCTGCCACAGAATTTCCCTTGGAATTGGCATCTCGCTTGCTGTCCTCCTTATAGGACTCGACGTCTATATCAAAATCCGATTCGTCATATGAATCTCTCACTTCAAGAACACGCAGGTTCTGTTGTCCCGTGTTCGAGGGCATCTCCGAGCTAGCATCAGGAGCTGCTACATCATTGTCATCGAGAGTTGCTACGGAATCATCGTCGAGGGTCACCACATGATTATCATCCATTGCTGTTACGGACTCGTCATCGGGAGCTTCTACAGACTCAATGTCGGAGATTTCGTCGAGTTCCCTCAAGTCCGAATCCTGGGGGTGCAAATTTGCGTTGTATAGAGGATTACGGTTGATAGGGCGAGAAGTACGGCGAGTTCCTTGCCGACTATGCATTGTCTTCGGCCGTTTGGAAGGGCGATTTTCATCTCCATTCGAATATGAATTGGAATCGCTATGCAGTGTGGCTTCGCTGTCAATCCATTCCTCATGCTTTGCTCGCACTTGCGCAGCATGTGCTGGTCGGAGAACTTCGTCCATCGGGTGGTATCTTTGGTCGTATAGGATGGAATTTTGGGTTGGCCGAGCCCGAGTGTTGTAGGATGAGGTGAAGGTTGGAGCAGACGATTCAATTGAGTCGTGAACGTGGAGGTCAGGATCCGGAGTGCTCTTGAGAATGTTGTCAGAGTGGAGTCCAGCGAGCATGCCGCCTCGTTTCCTCTTCTTTGCAGGAGAGATAATGCGAGTTGACCTTGTGATTGGCTCCGGCTGCGCTTTTGCTGCTGCTCCACGCTCCTCTTCTTGAATCTCCACAGTCGAGCGAGTGTCTGAATGACACTCGGAGCCCGAATCGGAGAAGGACTCGTAGTCACTGAGTGCGGGAGGCATGGCGTGTATAATGGCGGAAAGGTGCCAAACGTGCAGCGGAAGGTGGAGATGAAGGTGAATACCATGCAAGAGGAGGGAGGGGAGGGGAGGCAAACAGATGCGGGAAGGCGGGAACGTGTAAGTGCAGTAACGAGCAGCAAACGGGGGTTTTAGACGAGGTTGACTAGAAGAGAGCAGACGATTGGCTTAGTTGCATAGGTGGTTAGTTACCTAGAAACCAAAGTTGTTGGGTTGCTCTGTCGTCGCTGCCTCTTTTGCACCCAGAGGGAAAGCACGCACCCAGAGTCTGCAAACGCACGCCGTCCGCAACCGCAGTCATTGCCGTCCGAAGCAAAGTGGAGACAACGGTTCTATGTTTGATATCTCTTCATTCATGCCTGCATATATGTATCGTTGCTTCTTGGCGGTCGTCGTCGTCGTCGTCGGTCTAGCTCAGCCGCTTGTTACACAAACGACCACGCATACAGGTGGGTACCTACATATCTAATTAGGTATACAGACTACCAGTTTGCTGGACACGAAACGAAACGATGAGTATGAACGGCTAGCCCAAGGAACAAGCAAGATGCGAGACACATGATTTGAGAGCATAGACGGCGTCATTCAATTGAGCGCGGTTCGATTATTACAATCCAGTATGGTAGGTATATAGAAAAGCGCAACAACGAATGCATTCGATACAAGCACCACGAAGCGATTTTGAACTCTCGATCCAGACAAATTCCCCAGTGCACGACAAGCGAAAGGATATGCAATGCTGCTTTTCTTAAAGAAAATCGGAAATGCGTGAGGAGAACAGGAAACAGTAGAAAGACGTCGAAACCGTCCGCGTGCCATGAAAATGCTATGCTATGGTCGTAAACGGCATGAGGGTCGTTTGGCTGGCTGAGTTAACTCGGTTCGTGAACAATCTTCACGATGCCAGCCATGGGAGGCGCAATGGAATACATGGTTGGTGGGACTCGCTTGAACGCAAAAGGAAAGAAGCAGACTGGTTTCAACCGGGAGATACTACATTGCCCGTGATCTAAACCGCAAAGGAGGCATGACGATTTGAACGTCGTCATCTTCTTCCTCGTCGTCGACCTCAATGTCCATCACTTTGGATGGCGGCAAGTTGGTGTGCGCCATGTCCACCTGGAGGAGGCTAGTTGATTCGGGAGGTGTTACGGGTTCTGCTGAAGGTTTCGATGGCGGTGTTGCTTCGAATTTAGTTAGTGGAGGTGCAATCTCATGCTCCTCATTGGCCTGCTGCTCTCTATCGGCAGCATGCTTGGCGACCTCTTTCTTCGCGATATCTTGCGCCTCTTCGAAATGGGCTCGGACGACCCGCAGATCTCTCCGACAGTCGCCCTCCCGAAGGATTATGTGCGCGGCCTTTTCGCACAAGCTCTGCGCAGATTCCAGAGCCTTGTCAGCTGAATCGAAGACTTGGGTAGATATATCGGAGTTGTCGGGGATGCCGGTCCGCGCCATGACGGCCCGGTTGCGCATGGCAGAGAATCCTGTACGGTGTCGGTATCCCATCTTTGACTTGTCGATGCCGCCGTCCTCCTCTCCGTCTTCATCATCGTTATCGTCATCATGAAGACCAGAGAGGGCAGCCATGGCATCCAGTTTAGCGGCCATCTTACCCTTGCGGAGTAGATTACGGCCAGTGCCAATGGCGCGTACCAACTGTTCGAACGAGTTTTGTATCTGACCATCGTAAGCGACGACAATCATATGCCTCGCGCGATATTTCGAGGGCCCTGATATATTGCCGGACGTGATGGTAGGAGTTTTCCTTTTCCGAGTCGTCGTTGGAGTGGCTTGTGTCGACGAGTCTGGGTTCGTGGATCCAACCGCGGTATCGAAATCGCCTCTTAATGATTCCATTGAGCCTGTTTTCCGTTTGAGAGGTACGGATGTGGAGGGCGGGACATTGGCCAACTCTTCTTGCATTGTCAACACCTTGGCCTCGATTTCGGCTATTTGTGTGAACCATGCCGGAATGCTCTGGTCCAGAAAGCTGAATGACTTTTCAATGTCCGACATCGCGAGAGATGTCGGCTCCCGCCGAGTTGTGCGCGGATTCGAGTGGGGGAGGGGGCGAAAAAAGGATGGGAGACGGCAACGGTCTGCTGTGCAGCAGCGCAGTGGATGCGGCGGCAGGGTACAGGAGCGAGATGGAGAGACGGTATGAGGGCGAAGGCAATGTGTGTGTGTGTATATGTAGGAGGTGGGCGGGTGTGAAGGAAGGAGTGGGTGAATGGGTGAGCGGAAATGCAAGTACGTATATACAAGAGGCGGGTAGATTTGGATTGAGGCGTCCGGGGGGGAGGCGAGTGGTTCTTTAAGAGAAGCGGTCGACAGGGGTCAGGGATGCCCTGAGGGCAACATTCGAAGGGGGATCAACAGGCCTGGCTGGCTAGCTCGCCGGCTACCCTGCTGGCTCAAGCTTCAACCCTCCGCCCACGGCCGCTACCAAGATTTTAGATTGTGTACAGTACAGTTTCGTATAGTACAGTACATGACAGTACAGGGCAGTACACGACGCAGTTGCAACGGCCCGACCGACGACAGACCAGCAGACAGGACATGTAACAGTGGTAACCAGCTGGGCAAGCAACAAGGCAGAGGGAGAATGACAATGTCGGAAGGGAGTCGCCGAACAAGGAGGAAGCACAACAAAAGAAGACAGCAGCTGGGCACTCTTCCGACGTGCTTTATTGTCCACAGGCTTGGATTCACCGGCCGCGCTGTGTTATATTACTGTACGCTGCAGCCAAATGCACGGCACTGTATGTATGTCAGTAGGTACATGCATATCCAATGCCTGCACACCTCTGGAGATCATGTAGTTTCACAGGCGGTCAGGACCATCGTCCCATCTCCCCATCTCTCTCTCTCCGTTCACTCTACACGTGAAGGAACACTCGGTGCACTCCCTTCGTTTTGGCTGGTGGCTTGTGGCGGCGGATCCGCCGGACATGCCGCCGCCGTTGTGAGGTAAGGTGAGGTGAGGTGTGGTGGAGTGGTGTGGTGTGTCGGCCTCCCCTCTTTCTCTCGTCGTCAACACATGGGGACGGAAACGCTCGGCTCGCCAGCGCGCATGTTTTACCAATCATTGCTGCTTTGCTCGTTTGCATTTCACTGCCTGCCTGCCGCCTGTGGGCGGAGGGACAAATGATGCAGCATGCATGCTGCGTCTACCTACTGTATGTAATGCTGCAGCTCGGCATTGTTGCGGTGAACCAACGCCGTTGCGCGGTATAATACCGTTCAGTGCATACATGTTTACAGTACAGACCTAATATACCTCACTGGGCTGGCTATATGTAATGCCGCCACGCATCTATCAAGTCCCTCGAGGCAGATGCATATGGAATCATCATCCGCTCGCAATCGCTTCTTTCTTCGCCCCTACATTCCCCACTCCGACTCCAGATCGATTGCACTGTCCGTGTACTATGTATGTATGCATGCACTTTCATCACCCTTCTCCACACACGCACATTGCTATGGTACAGCAAGCCGGCCAGGTGACTCTGTCGATCCCTAGGTACAGCCCAGGTAAGCGAATGTTGACACGCTGGCTAGCGTCCGCCCCGGTCGTTGTTCCACGTTCAGTACTCCATCACTCCACATTCTCACCCATCAAATTACGGCGTCTGGAGGAATCAATGTGTTTTGTCTTGTCAATCCTGACTGAAACATGAGCCGGAACATAGTTTATGTGAGGAATGGAAATCAAATCAAGTGCAACAGATGTACGACGCCCTCGTCTGGTTGGTGCGGAGATTGACGTGGATACATAAGCATTTACTCCCACATGCCCTTGTTCGTGCTGTGCTCCTCGATCGAGCAACTTCTTCTTTGAGCCGTCCTGAAGCGGTCTTAAGACCTCATTTTAAGGTCAAGCAATTCCTGTTTCGCATGCCTCAATGGAACATCACGCGCATACCCTCGCACCACTCATCGACACTCTCAATTATTTTGCTCTCCGATACGCCGATCATGGGAAATTGAACGGCGACTTTCCAGCCTGCTCCACTTCCCCTAAAAAAGACCCTCGTTCACGACGATATCGCCAAGCCTGCTGGGGGCTGAATCTTGCGCAACCCAGGCTAGTCGACCACACCCTGTACCACACCACGACATCAGACGGAGAATCATCGTCAACAATCAGTTGTGAAGGTTGGCAAGACTTGTGCAACTCAATTTGCTTCTAGTAGTCCACCGAGCGGAGCATACAAAACAATTGGTCATGTTGCGCCGTTTCTTAGTCTGATGGTAATCCCAAAATGGCATTGGTGGATGACAAGATGACGACACGATTAGTCCCACCTTCATGCTCCAGCAACATCTCATCCTCATTGACTCTCCAAACTGACTACACTCACATCCCATCAAAATAGCTTCATCGACTGTTCCTAGACGCCTCGCGCGCTTGTTCTCCACCATGTCGTCCACAGTCCCGTCCGCTTCCGCACGGCCTCAAGCGCCATGGAAGTCGCTCTTCAACGAGCACATATCCAAGATGCCCTCGCCAGAGTTCGTACTCGGCACAGTTGGATCTGCTCCCAAAGGCTCTCCCACGCCGTTAGTCCCACGCGTGCGATTCTGCATCTTTCGTGGCTTCTGGACGGAACTGCCCGAGAACAAGCACAACGATGCCGAGAGGAACCCCGCTGTGTACGAGAGCGATCTGCCTACATTTACAACAGATGTGAGGATGGAAAAAGTGGGTCAAATCTTCGGAACCAGTCCTGGACATGCAGAGAGCAGCGAGCAGACCCAGGGAAGTGGTGGGGGCGGCCCTGTAGAAGCTGTGTGGTGGATCAAAGAGACAGGCACGCAATGGCGAATCAAGGGACGCGCCTACGTCGTGTCTCGGGACATCGAGGGAGGGGATGAAAGCAGTGGGGTTCGAACAGTGAAGAGTGAGGTTGGAAAGAGAATGAGATTGGTTGACGAAAGCAAAGAAAAAGATTGGAGCTGGTCGCGCGAGCTGACCGCTATCTTTGGCAACCAATCGCCAACCATCAAGGGTACGTTCATTCCTCTATCTCTCGCCAACAAACTCCTGGGCTTATTTCAATCGACTTTATGAATTGATCCGCTGATGCTGAATGTTAAAAGGATCTTTCCGCAACCCACCCCCCGGGAAACCCACGACTGTCGCACAGGACAATCAGGACCTCAAATTAGACGCCAAAGTAGATGACCTTCACGACCCCGTTGCCCGCCAAAACTTCCGCCTCGTCATCATTATTCCGGAGTCGGTGGAGCAAACCGATCTGAACGACCCCGCCAACGGTCGCCGTTTCTTGTACACTTATGACGAAAACACAGATGCTGGTTGGAAGACCGAGGAGCTGTGGCCTTGAGAAGAAAGCTACCTGACCTTGAGCTTGCTGCACATGTACAGCCATCAAAATCAGGCTTATGTGCGGACCTTTAGAACTGCGCTTTGTAGATAATGAACGATTACGGGTCGATGAACTGAGTGCACATAATTGATTGTAAATCATATGAACATGTGCGGCGAAACACGCAAGTGTCACACTACAAGTCGCGATTCAACCATACAGGTCAGTGCATAGACTCGCGCCGCATGCACAGTGATGCAGCTCTTGTTACTTGATAACTTGTCTGTTCACCTAGGTATGCATGGCATGTGCACTGATCGCCATGAGGATGCGATTGCTAGAGCATCCGTGCGCTGCGTTTTCATGCACTGTGCCATGCCCATGCTTCCGATCAAAGCTTTGGCTACTCCTCATTGTCATGGTTGAGCTTAGCAGACAAAATTTCTCCGTCGGCCTATCTCATTTCCCCTTTGTTGTAGCTTCGGCGAATTGCTGCATACGTTCAAATGTTGACAGAGGATGGACCAGATGTGAGCAGGAGTCAGTCAGCCACCGGTTTATTTTATTTTTCTCTCCTCCCGCCCTCCCGCGGCCGTCAGCCCGACTACCCACACGCCAACGCCACCGAGCGTTATGCTAAGAGACGACTGCCGGCGTAGGTAAGCCGTATCGTAAGTAACGATGAAAGAAAAACCAACGGACCGAGCCTAGATTCCGACCAAAAAAAAGTCGGCGGAACACTTAGGGTTCGGTGCCGGCGGTTGTCTTGTTTGCTGAGGCGGAGAGGAGTTGTGTGCGAGCGACGGAACAAGGAACGAATCCTGCACGCAAGGAGATATTTCTCTTTGTAGCGAACGTCAAGCACGTAACGTTACTTGGACTACCCACCCGCTCGCCCGCCCCTCATCTACTCTATGTTTGTACGATGGCGGTGGTGGACGTTGATTAAATTGAATTGCACACCCCAAGAGACGCACGCGAGCGGCGTAGTCGACTGGTCTGCAAGCCCATGGGTCATTGTCATTATCAATCAAGTTTTGAAAATCATCACGATATCGTAATCAGGTTGGGGGCAAAAGCAACAAAATCTCACGAGTGGGATACGAAGCAGCGGTCAGAATGCAGGCAGCGCTTTCCGGCCGTTGCAACTTGACCACTCGATGCGCTCAAGTCCTTTCATTACGTCCCCCACTGGCGACAAACTCTACTTCCCACCTGGACCTCCTAAAAAGGCATATACAGTTTCCTATCGAGGAAGGTTTTAGTCGCGTAGGTCAAACGACCACGTTGTATATCTATGTCGGCGGCTAATATTGTACGTTTCGGAGGCGCGCCTTAAAGGGGTGGAATTTAGCGAGAGAGGACAGGATGGAGGGTGGTACTGGTGTTGCAGAGGGGGAATTGGTGTGGTTGCCCACGATACACCCTCGCCGTACATCATCGTCCCCCACATCCTGACATTCATTCCCCTGACCTTGTTGGTTTTGCTGTTTGCAAATGTAGAGGGATCAGGGGATGGGCATGAGGCTAAGAATAGATGGTTGGGCTGCTGATGGGGGGGGGGGGGGGGTTTCTACTGTTTGGCTGAAGGCTACGCCGTTTCGTCCATGATGACCAACCTGAGGGATAGCACACCAGTTCTCCTCCAATGCATTATTATGTAGGGCGCTGCAGTTCAACCAAGCAGCAGCATATGCGCCGTCAATAACGCGGAGCTCTTTATTGTGTTTGCCTGCGTATGCAGGACCTGCGAATTTCCACCTTTTCATTTTTTCCCCTCATGTGATTCCGGTAAAATCCCAAGGTTCCTTGGTACGGAGACAGAGTTACCCATCAGGGCGAATTCTTGCGGACGACCTTCATGCCGTGATCTCGCTTTCGCCTACGCTCGTTTATTGGCCATTTCTCGGTCTCGCCAATCACAGCGGTGCAACGACTGCTTTTGCTCCAATCAAATATTGATTTGAATAGGGATATAACACCCTGGCATGCAAGGCGCGAACCGTGACTCAAAAGCGAGCTCGCTCAGTGAAGCGGTTTCGAGCGCCGCGGAGGTGTAATAGTACGACACATTAAGTTACGCCATACCGTCATGTCGATTACATTGCGCAAGACACGAGGGGGATACGAGCAAGGATTAGCATTAAGGCGAGCCACAAGGCGAGAACGGCAACGGGAGCGGGAAGCGTGTGAACGGGAGCTTGATGACAGCATCATGTTTCGGCCCTCCCGCTGCACACCTTGTACGAGAAGACGAGCTACTGCTCTAGATTCTTCGTCTGTGGTGTGGTTCGAAGGGGCCTTTGCTAGGCTATTATCCGAATGGCGGTTGGCAATGTGCGAGAGAATACGAGCATCACGAACCGCCTAGTCTAATGCACCAGCAATCAAACACCAACAACCAGCACTTCATACACACAAAGCGCGGCACACCACCAGCCCTCCCACTTCTGCCCGCCCTGCCACATCGCCTTCTTGCCCACCAGAGACGGGCAAATTTGCATCATCCCGTATCCTCTCGCAACGCCGTTGTCCCTCAGAAGCAGTCAGCACGTACTCCGTCCCAACATGTCCGATCCCCGTTGAGCCTTCCCCACCTCTCAACTACCGCTTATGGCAGCGCAGAATACAGTGAGCACTACACACCCCGGTCCCGTTCTCTTAACCGACGTAACTCAGGTCGCCGACTTGTGTGACTTTCCCGTTGTGAATTGATTGCCGTATAAGTAGTAGGGGTTCCCATGCCTGTGGGTTTGTACACTGCCTATGGGCACGGACGGCCATATATCATTCCACCTCATGTAGGAAAGGAGTGATATTATTCTACAGCTGATAGGTCACATTTTATTGTCCAGTTGAAGGCGGGCGCTAAGTCGAATGTAGAAAAGAAAAAAAACTGGAGTCATCTTCTACACAAAAGTAACCAAGTCGTTGAACCTTTGGTGAGGAGGACTGTTGCAGTATACAACAGCAGAATGAGGACTCATTTTCTGTGGACGACGCTCGAATCGACACGATGAGGCTGGTTGCAACTTACGTCAGCGCAACTGGTGATTGGCCTCTGTAAGCGCAAGGCAGGTGCGTTACACCGCGACCATGATCTTGAATTCGTCGTCCTGCAACCCATTGCACCAACATTCCCGACTTCCCAACGTTGTACATCTACCGACTCCCCAAGATGGCACCGAAGAGATGGGTAATGCTTGGTAAGGGACTTTGCCCCTCACGTACACCATTTTGTCAATGAGTGCAAACTCATGGCGATTGGTAGAGAATAACCCGGATGTCATGAACCAACTGGCAGCGAAGCTGGGTCTGTCCTCCGAGCTCGAATTCTACGACGTCTACTCTCTAGATGACCCCGAGCTACTTGCTCATATTCCCCGTCCGGCCTTGGCCCTGCTAGTCATTATCCCTCTCACACCAGCTTGGGATCAATTCCGCAAGGCCGAAGATGCCACCATGGAACCCTATGCTGGCTTTGGTCCTGATGAGCCTGTTATATGGTTCAAACAGACCATTGGTCACGCCTGCGGCTCTATTGGCTTGCTTCACAGCGTGTTCAATAGTCCAGCTGTGGACTACATCAAACCTGATTCCGATCTCGCGACAATACGAAACCTCGCTATACCCCTGGACATGACCAAACGTGCTCAGATGCTTTATGACAGCGAGCCATTTGAAATAGCTCATAAGTCGGTCGAGCAAGCCGGCGACAGTGCTGCGGATCTGACGGGTGAGCGTGAAGGTGGACACTTCGTGAGCTTTGTGAAGAGCGCTGGGAAGCTCTGGGAACTTGAAGGGTCGAGAAATGGGCCTCTAGAGAGGGGTAGCCTTGATGAGGATGAGGACGTCCTTAGTCCACGTGCGCTCGATCTGGGGATCAAGAGAATCATCGAGTTGAATGCCGATGGTGGAGGGGAGAACCTTCAGTTCAGCTGCATCGCTTTGGCTCGTAAGGCTTAAACTTTGAGCAACATCGTCTAAGTTGCATACAGAGATGTTATACGTTGCTGTGTGCTGTATCGACGGTATCTTATCACATTCGCATGGTACATGAGAGCAGGAGTGGTCACTCGAGTCTCTCTAACGCAGAATAACGGGCTACTCGATAGCTGTCAAATTTTCAGGAAGGACACTGCCACCCTCGCCGCAATCTTCCAAGCTTGGTCTGCCTTCCTGGCACTATGCCAGACGAGTGTAGGGGTTAGAGTTGGATGGAGGCTGCTCGAACGACCCATTGGGTACGTACATACGTAGGTAGGCAAACAGGCAAACAATGGTAATTCTATAAGCAGATATCACTTGGCGCAACGAGTGCCGCCGCAGAACTGCGTTCAAAGGGATAAATTGACTCAACGCTCTATCCCGAATTCTCTATTCCTCCCAAACATCCTTCCTTCTTCGTCTGCTTATTCCCGTGATTTACCCCTCTTCCTCCTATACATTGACCTTTTGCCTTAGAGTTGACATGGCTTACGAATACGAGATCATGGTGGTGGGCGCCGGTCCCGCTGGCCTGAGCACTGCAGCATCCATCGTCCGCCAGGACTACAGAGTTGTCATTTTTGACTCGGGGGAATACAGGAACGCGCTGAGCAAACACATGCATACTCTGCCTACGTGGGACCATCAGGACCCAGCCGCTTTCCGCGAGGCTGCTGTAAAGGACTTTGCACGATACGGATCCGTGTCCATCGAGAACGTGCAGGTCGAAAGCATCAAGAAGCGCGAAGACGGATTGTTCGAAGCTTCGGCTGGAGGGAAATCATGGACAGCCCAGAAAGTCGTGCTGGCTACCGGAGTCGAAGATGTGTTCCCAGACATCCCCGGGTACGCCGAATGTTGGGTTTCAGGCATGTAAGTATCGTCCGGAGCAGTATCACTGGAAGGCTCACACGCTCATCTCCTTCACAGCTTCCATTGTCTGTATTGCCATGGATGGGAAGAAAAGGGAAGCGAGTCTGCTGGGATGCTGGCCGAAGGGGATACGGGCAATGTGGTCGTCGCCCTCCACTTTGCCCGCCAGGGACTGCGAATGGCCAAGCAAATCACCCTCTACACCAACGGCAACGAAACGCTTGCACGGGATCTGAAGGATGCCCTTGAGGCGGCTCCGGCGCCCATGTCGGTAAATTCGAAGAAAATCCAGAAGCTTGTAAAAGCTTCTGAGCGCGCCAGTGTAACCCTGGAGTTTTCGGACGGAACAAGCACCACCGAGGCGTTTCTCGCACATAAGCCAAAGACCAAGTTGAGAGGAGACTTGGCTCAGCAGCTCGGTTGCGAAGTGTCGCCGATGAACCTGATTGTCGTCAATCCCCCCTTCAACCAGACTACCGTCAAGGGCGTCTTTGCAGCAGGAGACTGCTCCACCCCCATGCACACGGTGACTGGGGCTCTCAATTCTGGAACGTGTGCAGGAGGGGGTGCGCCATTGCAGATCCAGGCCGAAGTGTACAAGCAGAGGGCTATATTCTAGCCCAGTGTCGAACAGGACCATGCAAGGGCCGCCATATACTTTGAAATGCAAATCAGTCCTCAGATCTACAATCAGACTCCCACTCACATAATTTATCATCTGTACTCTCCTGTTTGTGGTATCTTCAATATTGTTTTGGTGAAATATATCTGCTGCAAGACGGCGTACCACGATTTTCTCAGACTGGTCACAATGTACCTGTACAGAGTCAGTAAACAGAGATTTTCGTCCGGTATACGATGTTCAAATACTACTATTGTCGCTGGCTGCCCCTTTGCATGTTTTGTCAAGATGTGTACGCCGTTCTCGGCTCGTGTGATCAAAGATGATGACTCGCGATGCACCTGGAATTTGCTTCACAAACTCCTCGATATGCGGATCATAGATCTGTTCAACAGCCGTGCTATCATTTACACGCAAACATCTTACGACTTCTTCAGATAAAGCATCATCATGATACTCAAAGCCATGAATGTCGAGCTTGAAATCAGATTTTCGGGGCCTCGCATTCGCAATCTTGACTGAGTAGTCCTGACACTCAATTTGGTCATAGAGTCTCAACCACGTCATGATGTCGGCCCAGATACGTCTTTGCTGGAAGACGCAAGACAAGCGATGGACAACGAAGAGCCCGCGTCTCACGCCGTGGAAGATGATAATGGCGCCGAATACCTTTTCCAGTTGGTGTGGTACCACATTGTCTGTGTAAACCAGTGGCTGAATGATCGAATGAAACGTCGCACTCAGATCTTGACTGGTGAGTCGTGGCAAATAGGGAGAGGCCATATCTCACTTCCATCTCTCCGTACCACCTATTTATTTCTGTGCTGCAAAACGATAATTTCTTGTTTGTGCATCCCGAGCTTTTAGAGAGGAAGCATATTCTCGTCCAAGCTGGAATGCCATGCGTGAGCGTCAAGTTGCTCAAAAAAATAGAACCAACAGAGGGAAATGTTAACAATGAGTATAACATGACATCAAATGTACAGACAGACACGCATGTACGCATGCACGCACACCATCGGAGCAACGTACGAATCGGGAACTCTGAAGTGGTGCCGGTTGTGTGGCAGACATGCGCGGGGTCGGAGGAGGCGTTCGTCTGGCAACGGCATTGGCTTTCTTGGTGCATGCATGCAACAAACGGTCAGTCAAATCAGCTGTAGTGAGTCGATTGCGCTGCTATTACGGCCTGCTTTTATTGCATCGCGGTGGAGGGGTTGTGAGGGTCGCATGAGGCTGACGGTGGTATGTATGTACATGTATGCAATGGGAGCCTCGTGACGTCTTTTGATCTTTCGAATAGATCGAGTATTGGGTATTGCATGATGTATGAGATGGATGTATTTTGCTGTGAGTGGTGGATGCGTTTTCGTGACGGGTTGCGCCTGGAGGTTGTTGTGCATGATGTTGCATTGATAGTGGGAGGCGAGTATTGAGTTAGATATGTTCGGCGCGTACACTGGTAGTCAATTTCGATGCATTTGTACTAATTTCATTTACGGCAGGGACGATTTTGTCAGGTGTAGGTAAGAGTTGCTAGAAAGATCTCATAGGAAAGGTTCAGTGACTTTAGTAGCTCCTTAGATTCCTGCCTACATATGCATGTACTAACCAATGAATAAGCCTAATAATATTGCTTGTCAGTGAATAGACGTTTAGTCCATGTATATAGAATACCGGACTTAATTAAGAGACACTGCTCACATAGAGCAGGTGGACATTGAATCTGATCTTACACTTCTTCAGGTAGCCTACTTCTTTACGAAGAAGCGTGTTCATGCAGATGAGTAGTTCGACTTAGATAGGATGTCACAAGCTGAAGCATTACATCTAGTACTTGGAATAATCAAAGAATCTTTACTGCCATCGCGAGGAATGTCCCAATGTGAGCTCTTCATAGGAATATGACTTCTCGGGACATGCCTTCAAATTCCACCGTCTTCAGTGTTTCCACGAGTTTGAGGAGTCCGCAACTGACAGCCTCCAATATCCCTATTTCGGAAAGTTATATATTCTCTCGTGCTTGCCCGAGATCGAGAAGTGAATGCCGTGTTGGTCCGTACTAGTGTGCTAGGTTCTATTCTCGGTGGCCAGTAGGTATAGGAAGGAAGCTAGCAGTGCGTCATGAACGAATCGCAAATCAGTGCCAGCTCGTATCTTCAGAAGAGTGTCGTGGTCTTATCATCGTACATCTCGTATTCGAGGCTGAGGTTTCTGACCTGCGTGCTGTCGAACGTAAACAATGGACACGCACTTGTTCTTCGTCGGAGATAGTGCTTGTATGAAAGCTTGCCGTGATCCTCGCACCTGTAGTTTTGGGGTTTGAACACAGAAGGTGCGCTCTACGAATACTCAGGGAAATGCTCTTCCCGTTTGGGTAATCACATGCATACAGGCACCAGTTGACGCTAGCGCCGCCCTGTGGACTGCATCTTCATTCAATATCTGTGTTTTCCTCACACGATCACCAAAGCACACCGTGAATAAGAATCTTACATTTCAGTCGCTGGCAGCCTCTTTCCTCGAGTTATGGTGTACGTGGATCCCCCAGGCAGACAGTAAGGCCTGAGGCATGTGACCAACTTTTGTCACGTGGATGTCTTAGCCGCTCCACAACGTGCCCATTGGTCCTCGTGTAAGACGAGTGTGATTTGTAGAGGCTGAGCATGTGGAAAATCCAGCTGATAAAAACGTCAGCAACCTCGAAGGCTGTTGAAGAGCTTTTTGGCGTGGCGGAGCACATACTTCAAAATGCTATCTTTTCCTTGACTGGCTAGTAGGCATGCACACAAACTTTCTTCTACACACTCTGCCTAATCCACATACACTTAAAACCAGACTCGAGAATCGCTTTCAAGTGCTGCAAGGCAGCGGAATATACCTCTTGAGATGTTGGGGTTCATGATACCGTATTGGCGTTCGAGACGCGGCCTTCCACTGCAAGGCATGCCTGTGAACTCCTCGTCTCAGAAGACAGAACATCATGCAAAAGAAGTGGAAGCTCTCCGCGAAGCACTTACTGCAGCAGCCACGCCGACTCCTCAAAATGCCCCGCTGTTAAAGCTACCCATCGAGCTCATCCAGCATATATCTACCTACCTCCCCAACATATCCACAGTGGCTTCCTTCTCCCTCACCTCGCGATATCTATACTATGCCATAGGCACGCTTCCACTCTCCACCCACATGTATGGCGCAGATACTATTCCATCTCATGGAAGCCGCACCTCCAGCTATTCGCTATCGAGAATATCACGGACTGAGCGCCGAGAGCGTCGAGAGATCCTTGAGCGTGCATTTCCCTCGCGTTGGTACTGCGCATGGTGCGACAATTTCCATATCCAAGAAGCATCCACAAGTCCCAAGCTCTTTGTATTTGAAACTAAAAGAGCATGTTCTGGATACAACAGCTACCTCCATGACGACAAGAACGAGTTCGTGCTTTGTTTTCACCATGTGCGACTCGCAGTAAATAGACAGCTATGGGGTCCAGAGTACGGCATTGGTCTTGATGCGTTTTCCTACACGTCAAGTCCTACGCATAAGACATTGCATTTAAGAAGGAAGAAGATTGGAATATCCACAGTCCTACGTACTGGGGCGAAAGTGGTGGATGGCCGATTTCTTCTCAACGTCACGTACTCAATATCAATGCCAACGCCACCATCTGGCACGGGGCTCGCGCGAAGCCTTGCGAAGTCCGTTTTGCCGATTCTCCCTCAGATTCTCGCGGGTCATCGCGATTCGCATGAGCCGCATACCGGATTCTTGATCGCCCTCGAAAAAGCGCTCTTGTCTCCGGTATCGAAGCCGGGTATCGTCCGTCTGTGCTCCGTATGCGCGACGGATTTCATAGTCGACGTTCACCGCTCCGCATCGAACAAAGAGTATTCAGCTGGAAACGTCGCCGCTTTTCCTAAGATATTAGTCAGAATCTCCGTGTGGCGTGATCTAGGGGATGGTCGTAACCCTTTCAATTCGAGTTGGCGTGCACACGGGGAGATTGGTCGTGGAAAAGAGGGATTTGCGCAAGACCTGTGGCGCCTGGTGCAATTACGGCCCGGTGGTATAAAAGAGGCATTCGAGAAAGACAAAGAGAAGGAATCGAAGGCGGATCCAATCGACGAGGGAATCAAGTGTTGGATATGGGAGGAGGAAGTACTTGGAAAGAGATATAGAGAATCGGCTAAGCTTTAAGCGCGATAGAGCCCGGATTCAGTCCTCAACGTAGCTGTGTCTGATGCGAAGATTAGATGAACATGGAAAACGAACCGTATGCAGATATACGGCCTGTGGCAGTCACTTTTGTGACGTTCTTGAGCCGAATCATTCCGTATAGACGACTGGCAATAAGATGACTGAGGGGATGAGAATCCTTCATTGATAGATTCTTGGCTTGCCACGTTATTACTTCTTTCCTATACTATCAACAGAAGCAGTTTTCATATCTGCTTTTGCTAGTGATGTTCTGATATCGTCGACCACGGGCTTGAGACTCTTCGGAGGCAGGATCCAGTCGTGCCTTTTTAGCCCTTCTTCCCCGGTCAGCATCCAAAGGATTTCGGCGGCTGCAATGCGGATCTGGAAATACTATCAGTCAAGATACACCTTTGTCAAGGTAGGAATACATAAAAAGGGATGAGTTGATCAGGTAGCTAAAGACAAAACGTACCTTGGGGAAAGGATGCAGTAGCATACTCGTGACCTTTGTGATCGTATCCACTCTCGTCTGCGCTACCATTCCCAAGCCACGGTACACATCCAAAGCCAGAAGGAGTTTTGGTATATGCGTCGATTTGAAGTGTGCTTTCTGGGTATAGGAAAGTAAAGCACGGAAACTGTGGGATCGATGTAAGTCATTAGCTGTCCGCCTCTCTTTAGATAGTTTTGATAGTGCGTAGAAACAGGACAATCTTACTTGAATGATGTAGAGATCAATTGTTGCATGATTTGCATGTCGAAAAGAAATGCCAGCACTTCTAGCAGAGGCAATAGAACTCTTTCCGACTCCAGATTCTTTTTAAGTAGTGACAAAAAGCAGTTTGCCATGTATAACAGTGAGAGTCGTACTTCGTCTCCTTCATGTGTTCCACTCTCAATAGGCCATTGGTCGACAGCATCGAGAAGCGCAGCCCGAGAATTTTGAACTACAGATTCCGATCCCATACCTGCAGATGTGATGAAGCCAAGGAATAATGCTTCTCTCACTGCTTCTGACGTGGTTGGCTTTATGACGTTGAGAGCGTTGGCAAAATATGCATATGACGAGGTGCCATCCGCTACGATGCTATAAGCCTGCAAAAAGCTTTCGTATGACCCTTTTTCCAGCGTCTGGGCAGCTCTGAGGCGGATCTTGTCTAGCTTTTCAAGCGACAAGCGTAGGATGTCAGCGTGTAACTGCTCTTCATAGGCAGAACCTTGAAGTAGACCTGTTTCCCATGCCACTCCAATTGTGCTGAGAGCTTCCAATCGAACCAAGGCTCCGATATCGCCTCGCTCAGTAGTGGTGTAATCGTTTACAGCAATATGCATAGCCTTCGCGATATGATCACAAACACTATCGTTGAGAGAGTTGCCATGCGCAGTCTTTTTGTTGCCTTTCAGCAAAACGCTAATAGCTAACAGAGCAACGGTGCGAGGCTCAATAGCAACCGCTGATGTGCACCTGAATGCAAGAACATCGACTATCCGGGTTTGGATAGCGACCGATTTTTCTCCTTGGCCTCGCAAAGCGACTACAGAGTATGCTGCCCCGAGTGCAACTGCGAAGCCTGACCATCGTAGGCCGTTGTAAGAAGCCTCATTTTCGAGCTTTGCAAGCCACTCTTGCACGAGCTCCTCTGCCTTATCGGAAGAGATAGCGTAAAGAAGTTCGAGAATAGCGTGCGTGGTTCGAGGTATATTCTCCAAAACAGAATCAGCATGCCGGCCAAGGCATAGATTGAACATCCTTATAAGCTCTGGAATAGGAAGGTCTGTTGCATTGATTCGGTCGTATTGGCATTTTGTCATAGAAGAGAGAGCCCCGATGAAACTGCATATCGAAGAAGCAGTCAATTCCGGACGTAGAGTGGGAGAGATGAATGACTTCTCTTCGAGGAGAAGCTCGTTCTTAAGTAGACTCCATAAATGAGAAAGGTCCGCTGCTACATGCATCCCTGAGCTGTTTGAGCTAGTTTGATTCTCTCTTGAACTATTAGCATCAATGAGCGCTGCGAGAGAAGCAACAAGGCCCTGGCGTTCCTCAATTTCTCTGGGTCGAAGGGCTGCAAGTTGGGTACGTATCTGCTCAGACATCTTCCAAACAACATCGTTAGGCCGCCCATGAGAGAGGAGACCAACTGCCCGTGCGGCTGATAAACGAGAACTTGAATCCAGAGATCCGGTCCCTCGCCACCCGAGAACATTCTCGAATATCGCTTCCCAGTACATTGGATGCAACACACTAGCTTTCACAGATACTTCACACATTGCCCGATCTCGGAGTCCAACCGCGTGAAAGTCGACAATCTGTACAAGCGAAATGCCTTCTTCAACAGTATTCGGGTGGCGCCCTATCAGCTCTTGGAGTGCAGCAGAAGATCCTCTTCTGATGTTTCCCGCGGGATCTTCGCAAGCTACAACCAACAGTTCGATTGCAAGGACCTGAATGATCGAGAGAGACTTCAAATGCTCGGATGCACGCACTGACGAAGCCTCTACAGCGAGGAGCTCAGCGGTAGTGTAGCGGCGTGAGAGAGCCCAGATACCAAAACACGCCGCGTCTCGCACGTTGGTACCAACTGAACCGCCTGTTGCTGATCTCTGTTCAAACGCCAGAGCCAGTAGCAGTGCATTTAGTACGTCGGGCAGCTGTTCAGGTGAGAGGGCCCGTCTGTAAAGGAGGTGAGAAAGTGTCAATGCAAGTCCATGCCACGCAAGCGGATTCACTCCACCCAGATTCCTTTTCGAGCCCTGCCAATAAACATTCTCATTTAGCGAACCTAGAATGGCTTCGACAACCTCACCAGCCATTTCGGATTCTAGTTTCATGGTGATGATGCTGAGCGCCTTGCTAGCAGCATAGCGAACAGGCGTGTCCCCGTCAGCTACAGCTTCTAGAAGATATTCAATTGTTTCTTCAAGCACAACGGTAGTATCGAAATTGTCGGGTATCCCTTTCCCTTGCAAGCAATGAACGGCGATGTTGCGAAAATTCTTGATGATCAATTTCCTCGCTACTGCTGACGACTTTATGAAAACAAGCGTAGGTCGTTCGAGGATGTTGCGGCACACCGAGTAGAATGCCGGAAGAGAAGAGCCCATCTCATTGTTATTCGCAGAAGCAGCCAGACCCGAAACAAAAGTGAGCATACCCAAGCACTGATGAATATCTGATGCATCCTCAGATATGCTTTTGAAGAAGGACAAAGACCAATCGATGATTGAATCAAGAAGACCGATGCGTTGCATGTCTGGGCGAACACAAAGTTTCACTAGTAAATACGCCGATGCACTTCGCTCTTTTGAGGCTGATTTCAGGCCTTCGATGCATATCTTCAGGATACGAAGTGCAATATGCGGCACTTCTGCGGGGAGCTTGATTCCAAAGGTAGAGGAAACTTCCTGAGAGGATTGTAGAGTCGAAATAGACGCCAATGGGAAAGGAGCCAGCATCAAGTGAGACAGCCAAACAGTTAGCATATATCGTTCCTTCCAAGGCACGATCGATGGAAGTAGCGGCTCATCGACAGTGCCGGCATAGTTTCTTCCAGCCTCGAATTCCGAGAGGATTGGCTCGAGATATCGCGGCTCGTTATTCAGGAAGCCTCGAACGACCTTCTCCCCTCGCACTTTGCAAAACAGATCTAGTATTTGGAGAGCCGCGTGCGAGAGAGGCACAAAACCCTTCTTTCGTTTATGAGGTGCTGTGCTGCCTAGTGTGGCTAAATAGGCAGCGATCAAAGGTGGGATGAAAAGCTTCAGATGAGTGTCAAGAAGCTGTGGATCTTCTTGGAAAGGTTCAATCTTCAAAAAATCAGCACAGAAAGATGTATAAGTGAGCAAATTTTACCAGTTCCATAATCTTGTACATTTCGCTCTCTCGCACTTGACGATGGGCCGGGTTCATGTCATTTTTCGGTGTCTGTGTTAAACTTGAAAATAGCTGATTGAGATCAGCAAGCAACGTAGCTGTTGCTCGCAGTAACTTAAGATCGTCTTCTTCTTTTATCTCCATACTTGGCGTTTTCGATGGAGATTTAGTTGCTGGTGACTATCAAGATGGTGGTGTTGGAAAGTGCATCTGTATACCTAGTGGTAATCCTTGGCGCGCGAGTCATTTCTTCCCAATCGAGCAGGACACCTGACCCCGCGACGCGTTGCCGTACCTTAACTTTCTGACCTCACATTTCCTACGCGACAACACCGCGTTCAACGACTTGATCCGACCCACCAATCAATAATGTCTTCCGAAGTAGACTACAAAGAGTATCTGGCCGCTCGATTGCTGGCCGAGAATCATCCAGTATGTTTTAATCTTGCCGAAACGAACATTGGCTTACTTGAGCCAGGTTACCTACCGTTTACTTAGTCGGGCAGTCAAGACTCATGTGAACAAAGCAAAGCAGATGCTCTACGAGTTCCACAAGATCCAGAACGCGAAGAAACCTCAATCAATTCACGCGACTTACCTCGTTACCGGAAGGAAACGCACACTCAAACACACAAATGGGTTGAACGGAAAGGACGGTGAAGATGCAGTCATGCAAGATTCGCCATTCCCGAGCTCTGTACCAGAGCCCCAGGAGCCTCCCGAGGAACCTATTCCCACAACTTCCATCGTTCTCGTCAGGGAGGAGGAGCTTGAAAAGACGAAGGCAGAGTTCTCGGATATAACTTCTATACATATCTACAGCTTGGAGTCTGGTGCCATCGAAGATCTGGGTATTCTTACTCTGTGCAATGCGGAAGTTCCAGCCCAATCCAAGAACGATGACCCACTCGAGCTCTGGCAGCTGTATGGATGCATACACAACCCGTACATCAAGCGAAGAACACCCAAGTCCAGTATCACAGCCTCCAAATCCTCCTCGAAACCCACAGCGCAACCCGCCGCAAAATCCCAACAGCCCTCCGCCTCCGCCGCACCAGCCGCTTCCAAACCTAGCAACACCAAACCCAGTGCTACAGCACCTGCGAAAGCAACCCTCAAGCGCTCCGACTCATCAAAAAGCAATGCATCTAAAAAAGGTCCTCACGCAGGCGACATTTTCAAATCGTTCGCCAAAGCCAAACCACCCAAACCGAAAGAAACCGCCACACCTTCTGCCACGGACGACTCGCCCATGGCTGGAATGTCTGAAGACGAAGGGTCAGACTCGGAGCCCGACCGCAGCACCACTCAGGTCGATGAGGCTAAAGCTGCAGCGGCACGGGAAGAGAAAGAAGCAAGACAGGAAGAGCTGCGCAAGATGATGGAGGAGGATCTTGTCATGGAGGATGCTGCCGCGTCTACATCTCCACAAGATACAGCTGATATGGATGAGGCCTCGCAGGATACACCGGCTGCTACACCGTTGGATACACAGAAGAAGGACGAGCCGAAGCCTGTCGAGACTGTAGTGACTGAAGGCGGCCGTAGACGTGGCAAGCGGCGCGTCACTAAGAGAAAGAAGGTCAAGGATGCTGATGGGTATCTAGGTAAGTTTTGCATCCTTATTCACCCCATTCTTTTGTTCTGGTACTAATTGACTCCGGAATCAGTTACAAAGGAGGAATCCGTCTGGGAATCCTTCTCCGAAGACGAGAAACCACCCGAACCTAAGAAACCAAAACCCGCTGCCTTCTCGACCGCGAAAGGCGGAAAGAAAGGCGGTGTTGCGAAGGGGCAAGGGAGTATCGCGAGTTTCTTTAAAAAGGCTTGAGGAAATGGTGGCAGTTGGTGGAACGGGATCAATGAGGTATCCTATTTCACTGCGCTATGTAATCCAACTACGCAGAGCTACGACCAGGGCTGATACTGTTGTCATCATGACGATTACATTTCCATCTTCTCTGCTTTCATCAATTGGAACGAGGCTTAATTTATATCACTTCCTGTGGTCCTCCGACGGTTTCTCAAATCTGTGAATGTTTCATTCATTTTTCAAGTTTTTCTCTGCCTCAAGAGAACTAACTCATCGGGGAAAGCTTCATTGCTAAACAGTAAAGAGAAAGCAAAAAAGTTGGTCGTCGAAAACAGAAAGCTGGTGGTATATTTCAATCAATCAGAAACAGGTCCAATGCCGTCATCCATCTCCCTCCTCCTATGTACATGCACACGTGTATATTCCCAAAGCCAGCCAGCTGACCTCCCCGTCCATCCTGTGAAACCCACGCCATTTTTTCCTTCTCTATAGAAACGCCTCATCATGCTGGAGGAAACTGGGTAATGAGAAGGAGAGAGGCAGGGGAAAACCCCAGGTTAAACAACAACAAACAGCACCATTTCAACCTCCATTCCCGACTTTTTGTGGGGAAAGAACGCTACGCTAGATGTCGATCGACCCTCAAATGCAGCGAAGATATTCACAAAGCAAAAGGATTTTGGCCAGTACGAGTTCCTTCACATACGACTTCCAGAATTTACGATTTTGAAGAGCCAAAGAAGTGGTGCTTCTTCTTCTTCTTCTCTTCCTTGTCCTTTGTGAGTTTCCCACCGGAATGAGAAGAGGAAGGCGGCGCTTGCGGTCGCGATTGGTTCATCGACATATTGGCCATAGCGGCTGTTGGGGGAGCGGGGGCACGGCCAGGACCACCAGGGCCGCCAGGCCGTGATGGAAGCCCGCCTGGGATGTTGGGCATTGGCTTCGCGCCTGCGGGTGGAGGAGCGGGTTTCGGAGGTGCCGGTTTTTCGAAGAGGTGGGCAGGAGCTTTTGGCGGGGGTTGATCGGCTGGGAGGCGTAGGTTGCGACGGCTTTGACCGAGATCGCCGACTTGACGGAGAAAGAGTCCTGGGTTCATCATGTGGGATGTGACCAAGAAGATGTCCCGTGATGTTTTCTCCGAAACTTCGTAGCATACGCGCGCTTCCGAATAGGTTGCGCCTCCACCCATAAAAACAATTACCCGTTGGCGTGGTTCAACGCTGGCCAGGCGTGACTTGGCCCATGTGGGTTTCGCGGAGCGGAGCGATGCTGCAGGGGCAAGATCCTGCATACCCTGCTCCTCGGGTTGCATTTTGGTCGAAGGGAAGATATCTTGTGGTAGCCTTCCTGCAATGTGTTCTTCCAAGACATCTTTGAGGACAGGTTCGAATCTCGAAAGAGAATATTCTTCTTCGCCGGGGGGAGGGGCAGGGTTCTTGGGGAAGAGAGGTGGTGGTGGATCGCGTTTCTCTTTGAGAGCCCTGTCTGTTCGAGCACCAAGCATGTCGAGTTGCTTCAGCACGTTGCCATCTTGTACTGGCAGTTGGGCGTGAAGAAGGAGCTTTTCAAGATCAGCGGGCAGGATTCCGTCTCTGTATAATACGTAAAGGGCAATCAGGCGGAGACGATCTGAAGGCGCCACGGCATCTTCATCCAAAGTGCGTATAACTTGGTCAGCCAAGTTTTTGGCTTTGCGGAAGTCTTCATCCAGACCAGTAGCTAAACACTGTTTGGCAGGTTAGTGGATATCCGTCCTCATGACCGAGTAATAGAAATACAAGCATACCTGCTCAACCGAGGCAACGTCTGGAAGTTTCCGCTGCTGGAAAATGTTCATACACTCTTGAGCCATAGATATGTTCAAGGAGTATAGTTCTTTCATATTCTGAAACTGGGGAAGCCCCGCCATCATGTCCTTGATTGCATTCAAGCCGTTAATTCCACCTGCGTTTTTACTGTCCTGGCTGGTGAAGTGTGGGTTATCGGCAATGAACTTTTGGAAATCAGTAATCAATCTGTTAATGGTGTCCTTCATGTGACGGTGACGATATTCGACCCATATCTTATCCTTGTCGCTAATCTCCATGTCCTTCTCTTCCTCATTGGGCTCTCCCTCGTTGACCACCGTCCTGTAAGTCACCTTGTCTCCTTCTTGTATCCGTAGCAAATCATGTACCATTGCTTGATATGTGAATTCATGCAGCAAAGGAGCAAATAGATCCATGGATCGATCTGTAATGTATAGTGCACCACGTGGTCGATTGGATTGCGGAGGGAAGTCGGGATTGTATTGCGCGTATGTATCCAACTTTTCTTGTACAAAGCGAGCGAGATGAGAGCATAAGACCGAGGCATCGTGGGTAGGGTTACGGGGGCGGTAGTAGCGTATAGTAGGGTATTCGCCGAGGGCGACGCATACACCGGTCAGCTAGAAGAGGGGTTCAGCTTTGGGATTGCAGCGTGTTGGGGTGACGCCATACCTTCTCAGCAATTTCCTCCATATGTTGACGGACAAGGTTGTTGCACTCAGGATGGAATAAGGTGGGGAAGCTCCAAGGGTTTTGGAAGGTGATGAGGTGAGATTCGCGAGGGTGGAAGTCAAGATGCATGACCTTGAAGAGGCGGATTTGCTGTTGAGCCATCTGAGAGCGTTCGAGGCGCTCTCTTAGCTGGCCAGAGGGCAATGTGGTCCATATTAAAAACGATCCCCGGTATTTGCGGCGCTCAAAATCGGCCATGATACAATCCACGATATGCGGCTTGGGGGTAAGGAAGTATACAGCGTCCATGTCGGGCTGGGTCTGACGGCGATCCTCGATGCGCTCAATGTTGGTGATGTTTTCATTCAGGATATCGTCCTCTTTGACCACATTGTCTATCAACTTGCGGCTTTCTTCGTCTACGATGAGGACTTTCCACTGCGACAAATCAGCACGGTTGGAGGTGAGAGAAGGTGATGGGGAGGTAGTACGTCGCCGCGTGTGGTGCTCCGGATGGTGTTGAGAATAACTGTGCAACAACTTCAGTTTACTGTACGTATCAAAAAGGGGTGTGCAGAGGCATACGGTCTCGCTGGATATCTATCATGGAAACCCCCATGATGACGGCGGGGTGCTGGCGGCAGCTATGCCGGCCGACGCTCGTGGGATTATGTATGGGGGCGCTCTGTGAAGGGCGCAGTGAAGAACAGACGGATGACCGAGGTGGCGGCGTGAAGGGCAGTGGCAGGCCAGTATATCCAGAGGTATTGTGTGGTGAGTGTAGTGTAGCAGCAGCAGCAGCAGCATCCATGTGTCGTGAGCCCTAGTGCGGGCAGGCTGGCGGGAGTGCCCAAGCTGGCTGACAAGGGTAGGAAGGACAGGGTAATTAGTGTACACCAAGTGGTTCCTTTTTTCCAAGTCGTCGCGATGCATCTGCTTCCATCATCTGTACCATCGCTTCTCCCATTCTTTGCTGCAATTCGTTCGCAGGCCCATCGATGGCTTCGTCTTCGAATGCACTATCACCATACATTGCTTCTTACAATTAGACTGGAATGACTGCACCGCGAGCGCCGCGCAGTCCGCTGTGTCTTTTGTGTTCCTTCGCCGCCACCAGCTCGCGCCCGCAAAATCGCCTCGCCGTTTCCCTATCCCGTACTCAAGTCGCCTACCGTAATAATGTCACAAAACAAAAATCCAAGGCTCCAGGGAAAAACTTCAGACCAGGCCATACACTCCATCATGGTTATGGATTTAGGCCGGAAGCAATCTTGCGCGCACAGCTCTACAACATCCGCCAAGAAACCCGAGAGCCCGAATTCATGGAGAGCTTGCGTATGACCCCCGATACCTTCGATGCCCATTGGAAGCGTTTCGAAACTTCCGTCAAACGATGGATGGATCAAGGCGGTCAAGAGTTCCTCGGCCTGATAAAAGAAGCCTCAGGAAGGAAAACAAAGCCCTTGGAGAATCGTCTACGGTATTGGTTCTATGCTCTGTTATATGGCGACCGCTTCTCTCCGGCCGAGCTGAAGATCCACAAAGAAAAGGCGGATCTTCGATACCCTTCGGAATGGTTTCCTGTAACCAGAAGACTCCGCCGTACCATACATCTCCACGTCGGTCCTACAAATTCGGGGAAGACATATCATGCTCTCAAACGACTCGAGGAAGCAAAGAAGGGTATATATCTTGGCCCGCTGCGCCTCTTAGCCCACGAGATCTACACCCGCCTGAACTCCAAAGGAATACCGTGTGTCCTGGTTACGGGCGAAGAGACTCGTATGCCAAAGGAGAAACCCAGAATGTGGAGTTGTACCGTCGAAATGGCCCCACTGCAATCTAAATTGGATGTCGCTGTTATCGACGAAATTCAGATGATCAGCCACAAGGAACGAGGGTGGGCATGGACACAAGCTTTTCTGGGTTTACAGGCTGCAGAAGTTCATCTGTGTGGCGAGGCTCGTACTGTGCCCATCATCAAAGAGCTCTGCGCCCTGACCGGTGACGACGTCGTAGTCCATGAGTACAAGCGTCTCACCCCACTCGAAGTCGCAAAAGCACCTCTCGAGTCTTTCAGCCACCTCGAAAAAGGTGATTGTGTGGTTGTCTTCTCAGTCCTGGGCATTCATGCTATCCGACAAGAAATCGAGAAGAAGACGGGCAGAAAGTGTGCCATGGTATACGGCAGTCTGCCCCCAGAAACGCGGGCTCAACAGGCCCGTCTCTTCAATGACCCCAGCAATGAATACGACTTCCTGGTAGCCAGTGACGCTGTAGGGATGGGGCTTAATCTTGCCATAAAACGCATCGTCTTCGAGTCTACAGTGAAGAGTAATGGCCGGGCTATGGCACCATTGGAAATATCGGATCTCAAGCAAATCGCTGGCCGAGCAGGTCGTTATAAGACTGCCTTTGAAGCGACCACAGCCGCTACTGTACAGCAGCCTGAGGGCGTCGACGCGAATGACCGTGCCGAGCCTGCCCCTGAGAAGACGAAGCCCCAGACTGTAGGCATTGTCACTACGCTTGAAGAAATTGATTTCAAGTTTTTGAAAGCAAATATGACAAAAGAGCCTGAGCCCATCCAGACAGCCGGTCTATTTCCTCCTTCCATGATTGTCGAGCGATTTGCTAGCTACTTCCCCCCTGGCACACCGTTCAGTTACATATTACTGCGCCTGCATGAGATCAGCGAAGTACACCCGCGCTTCCATCTCTGTTCACTGAAAGATGCACTACCCATCGCAGACGTGATCCATTCGGTCAAAAATCTAAGTATTTCCGAACGCTACACCATATCAGCTGTTCCAGCCAATATGAAGGATAACACGGAAAAGGCATTCCTGCGTTCGCTTATACAGCGCATGGCCGAGGGCGAGACCTCTGTCTCTATCCTCGACATTCCTGAGTTACCGCTCGAAGCCCTCGACCAACCCGCGTCAGCAGCACGCAAATATCTCAAAGACCTGGAAACCCTACACAAGTGTCTAGTTTGCTATATCTGGCTCAGCTATCGTTTCCCCAGCGGCATCGGGGGTAGAAAGCTTGCTGAATATGTCAAACGACTCACTGAGGATGCCATCGAAAGAGTCCTAATGGAGTTCACATACACAGAAAAAGATATTGCTCTTCGAAAGAAGCAGAAGAAAGCGATCATGCGACAGTTTGAAGAAAAAGACGGTGGAGGCGTGTTCGAGCAAGAGCAGGCGAATGTCAGCACGTCCGACACGGTGGGCCTGCCCCCTGCTGTTCAGGATGTACTCCAAGATACAAGTTCTTTTGCGGAAGACTCACCACCCCGTGATGACGAAGGCACATATCCTGTCGCAGACCTTGAGGTGCTAGAACCAGAGGCGGTGGGCCCCAGAGCCGCAAATCGACACTAAGAAATACTCTTCCTCGATCTACGCCTCCTAATCTCCATCCAAATTCGGATTTCACTGTACTGTATCACGTGTCGTCTCCTAACTTTACTATTGCACATCCTGACGGTGCATTGTCTCTCGTTTCTTTCTGGCAAATCATTCTGGTAGCACTACACCCAGATATCTACCGGCATCCACCTGTATAAGTATCAATGTACATATATATCATCGCTCTGGAAGATCAAGGTCTTTCATGTACCACTCGTGTATTCTTAGATTCATCTACGACAAACAACAACTTGTACCATCTTCAAACTAAATCATGGATAGTGCACACGCTACATTTGTTTCTCATTGTCACACTCTCGTACTCGCCTCAACTACTTGTACCTGACGCCATTGCAACACTATCCTCATCTGCTAATCTTACTTTTGCAATCCATCGTATATCTTCACCACCTTCTCTACAATCTTTTTCACCTCCCTCGAATCCAGCTTCTCCTCTCTATCGGGTGTGTACAAGCCGTTCGTCTCTTGCTCGATATCCGTCAACTGCGTATACACAAACCCGCAAATCAAACCACTCTCCACGATCCCAACCATCATCTTTTCAATACGCTTCAGCAAATCCGCGCCGTCGCTCGCCGTCGTGTAGCCCCAATCACGCTGCTCTTTCCCGGCTTCGTCTTTGCTCACGCGTGCTACGTTCACGCCGCCGAACTCGGTGCATAGGATAGGTGCGCCAGGTTTATGCGAGCTCCCTGGGTCCTCGGGCGCAAACGCAGATGGGATGGATGGCAAGAAAACGCCTCGACCGGCTTTGGGCGCTAGAATCCCCTCCAGCGATTTACACGTTTTAGATAGCTCGTCGGCGTCGCTGTAGTCGTGGAAGGTAGTCAAGTCGGTAAGGACATGCTCCCATCCGCAGTTGTCGTTGATGGGACGCGTAGGGTCGAGCGACTTGGTGAGATAGTACAGCGCGCGGATATGATCGCGCTGGTGAGCGCTGCCCGCGAGATCCGTATACGCCCACGACTCGTTGACGGGTGTCCACGCCACGACGCACGCGTGGTTGCGGTCGCGCAGCACCGCTTCGGTCCACTCAGCGTCGAAGCGCGACATGTACGTGTCTGAGAATTTGTACGCGTTTGCCATTTCGCCCCAGACGAGGAAACCGAGGCGGTCGGCTTCGTAGTGGAAGATGGGGTCTTCGACTTTTTGGTGCTTGCGGCATCCGTTGAAGCCCATGGCTTTGGCGAGCTGGATGTCCTCTGCGAGGGCTGTTGGGGTGGGAGGGGTCATGAAGGTCTTGGGCCAGTAGCCTTGGTCGAGGAAGAGGGCTTGGAAGTAGGGTTTGTTGTTGAGGCGGAACTGCGAGTTCGTCCAAGAGAGCGAGCGCATGCCGGCTGTGGTGGAGATACTGTCGATTGCGGCGCCTTTGCTGTCGTAGAGGCGAATTGTAAGGTCGTAGAGGGTCGGATGTTCTGGGGACCAGAGAGCGACGTTGTCGAGCCAGCCTGATGATGAATCTAGAGGCGCTTTTTCGAGCACTTCCTTGGAGAGTTGAGCGGTCTGGTCCGACGAGAGGCGTGTGTTGGTAGTGAAGGAAACCGTGTCTACCTCTCCTGGAGCGTCTATCTTCCCCGTTGAACTGACCAGAACACCGCCGAGTCTGGCCTCCACTTCTACACTGTACTTCCAGCCCTTCTGCCGTCCCAGAATCTTGACACTCCCTTTCAACTTGCCGCCTTCAATATCAGTACTCTGAATCACAGTTCCAGCCGACGCATCCCCAATCCTCGCAGCAGGAACAACCTCCAACCAAACACTTTGCCAAATCCCTCCACTCGGCGTATAGAATATAGACTCAGGCTGGCTATGCCAGTACTGTTTCCCGCGAGGTTCCTCTAAATCATGCGCAGAATCAAACACCCTAATCGTAACCCGATTCTCCTCCGCCCTCAACGCATCCGTAACATCGATATCAAATGGAACATGCCCACCGCGATGCGCACCCACAAACTGCCCGTTAACATAGACACTGGCCTCGTAATCGACAGCCCCGAACCTCATGACGACTCTTTTCCCTTCTTTACGCTCTGCATCCCCGCGCACATCGCGAAAACTCCGCTCATACCAAAACACCTCGTGAACACCCAACTCTTCTATGCCACTCGCAGAACACTGCCACACATACGGAACCTCGATGTCGCGCTTATGATGCGTGACGTCCTTTTTCGAGCGCTGGAACGCTTCGCCCGTGAAGACGGCCTGGGTATCACCCGCGATCTTGGCAGTGATGCTCGCGGCTTCCTTTGCGTTGTCCTCTGCGGATGACGCGGTGAGATTTGGGTCCACGGTTACGGAGGAAGGGAGACCGGAGAGGTGCCAGTTTTTGGAGAGCCCGATGTCGTTGTCGTCGAAGAGGAAAGACCAGGGTCCGTTGAGGGAGTGCCAGGTTAGCTGGGGGAAGCGGTGGAAGTCTGGGCGGGGGTAGGTTGGTGGTGGGGTGGCCATGTTTGTCGTTTGTCGTTTGGTCTTGTTTTGTTGTCGTAGATGAGATTTTGTTTGCGTGTACTTGATCTTTCCTTCTCTTTTAATATTTCTTTCACGTTTGATTGAGAAGAGGAATTGGGGTTTGTAATGCGTGTGGGATGTTCAATGCGTAGCAGTGGTATGTAGAACGACGTCGTTAGACCCAAGTCGAGTAGGAAAGAAGAGGATTCCGTTACCCCCCCTTCGCCTCTTTACGTTATATACTCCTTGGTTGTACTCGTGTGGAACAAGCGAAGGATTGCAGTCTTGCAGGATGGGTAAAGTGGAGTTTGACCCATATATGGTCCCAGAAAGATCGTCGTGTTGCAGCAGTAGGGCTCTCGGCTTACTCTTTCCGAGTGGGAACCCCGCCTCACTGCACAAGACTCTTGAGTTGCTCGTAAAATGGAACCCTAACGTCGTGTATCGCGTAGGTAGATGTATATGATCTTTTGAGAAAGGTCTTTTGCGGGCAGAACATCTTGGCTGTGTTTGGGGAACTGATTTGGATTCTCGAAAATGTTGGCAGCATACTTGGGTACCTGCTGCGTACATATCTAAAGCCTCCAGATGTCGAGGTTGAGATTGAATTGCTGGCCTCCTGAATTTCTTCACCTCCCCCTCGTTGAAAGAGCAACATTTCTCCAACCGGAAAACCAGACGATGAAATGCATTATTATGTGGAGCGTGCACTATGCTCTATAGTGCTATGATATATATACACCCCTTACAATCGGTATGAAAGCGAAGAATAGTCGCAGTATGCCAGCTTCAACATCAATCGCTATATGCCACAAGCGCCTCGAACTCCTTACTAAATCACCAGTCCCTAGAGCAAGTTATGGAGAAATCCTCATGGGTCATTGGATGCAAAAGCTCTCTCCCCCTTCGAATGTGACGCCACAAGTATCGTCGTCCTAGTTGGTCTGCTGTGGGCGAGAGATCTCGTCATTCAAAGCAATCATTGAGCACTCATCGTACTTCAAGTGGAGCCGCGGGCTTTGCTGCCAAATCTTTTGGCGGGGCAGGTGGACCAGTCCCGCTTCTCCTCCGCCTCTCACGCTCTCCTATGCCAAGGGGGGCCTCCAGTTGCGTGCTCTTTCTAAACTTTCCTCCAACACCCTTCATCCATGTCTCGTCCTCATCTGCGCCCAACCAATATGAGGGGGCACCGCTTAGCATGACACGACCAATCTTGCCCCTGATTCCATAGCCATCTTGCTTGCCTTCCTCGAAGGGATTTTCAGCGAAATCAGGCGAAGCGTTGGTAGAGTTGTACCACGCTGCGGAGGACGAATTGGCGGTAATGTGTTGGCGAAGACATTGTCGCGCGAATGCGAGCATAACGAAGACGAAGTAGACACGGAGGACCCAGACACCGGTAATGAAAGCGATGCTCATGATGCTCCCGCTTTGGAAGACCACATCTCCGAGGCCTGCGGAGCCATTCGCTGTACCCTTTCCAACTGCGATAGCATTCTGTCCTGCTTTGACGCCACCTGCAGGCTCCACCACCACATCTACGTGGCTGACGTTGTATTTGGGGCTAGTGAATCCAGCATTCTCAGCCATGCCAGGTGCAGCCGAGCTTTTCGAATCGCCGGGGTGGTTTGCAAGCGTGTAGAACCACAGTACGCCGAAGAAAGCGGTATACAGGGCGTTCACAACGGAGTCGAGTGCGTATAGGTGTGCGAGTAAAACGGTCTCGAAGGGACTTTGTAGCCGGATGTGCTTGTAGAGGTATACGGTAACAAAGAGAAGGACGGTAGAGTAGAGGTACATTGACAGCTGCCATCCGTCGATAGCGGCGCCTGTCAAAAGGGCGAGAAGGCCGTACAGGCCGGACACTTTATTTATTACTTGGAGAAAAGTGATGATCTCGGCTCCGGTACGCAGCGACATTTTCTGGAAGAACTTCTGCTCGATTGTCAGTCTTTTCTCCTTGCTGCGCATGCTGAGCTGTATAGACATACCTTGGGCCGCGGAAGCTCGAGGAGGTGGTGTGCTGACGCCATGGCGGCGCGACGGGGAGTCCCAAGGGAGCTGTAGAAGGCGAGATGGTATGTATGCTTTCGATAAAACTGTGTGCAGGGCTAGACGTTGAAATAGCACAGGTGAAGGGAAAGACTCTGAGAGGAGTGCGTGAGGAGTGTACTCGTAATAATACCTAGCGGTCGCGGGTGCGCCGGCTTTAGCAATTTGCCCAGCCTCATTTCACTAAGCCCCCTTTCGGTAAGCATCACGTGGGTCTTTGTGCTGCCCCATTTCGAGCTCTGGGGCACACAACAATCAGTAGGTCGTATAGCGTGATTGTATACAACATTCAGTAACACCAGAATCGTTTGACTATCAGCAATGAAACTTCAAGTTTGTCTTCATTTATTCGTGGATATTCCAAGATCGGTGCTATGAGCCACCCACGCCGTTATGACGCCATCGCGTTGTGTCTCGTTCAGCTGTAGAGACGGAACATGCATGACGGCTGTAGACTGTGGTCGTGTAACATATGACGAACATAGATGAAGCCACTCCCCTATACGGAGATATACATTGATCTGACGACTGTCTTTCAACTCAATCGACTTGAATCACTCGAGAAAAGACAATGGCAGACTACAAACCTGGGCCAATCAAGTTACAGGAGCAAGATCTGAAGGGTAAAGTAGCTGTAGTCACGTAAGACAACCCCCGTACCAGACGTTTGGTTTACACATGACATGCAATCTGACAGGCCTGACAAGCACACAGTGGTGCGACCAAGGGAATAGGCCGGGCAATCACTCTCAATCTATCAAGCCGTGGCTGTTCTGTTCTCGGAACCTACTCTTCGCCCCAGTCGGCCCACAATTTTGACGTTCTATCGCATACCGTTCACGATCTTTACCGCGCCCCTGAAGCAGCGCAACACGCCCAGGGAGAAAATGCCCCAAAAATGAAGGGTGTCGTGGCAGACATCACCTCCTTGCAATCCACCGGCACGGTACTGGGGAGCTTGGAGCGGGAATTTGGGAACAAGCTGGATATCCTGGTGTTGAACGTTGCCTACAACACACGCCCATGTCTTGGCAGCGCGAGCGAAGACGATGTGCAAAAAAGCCTGACGGCGAATCTACAATGGCCGATTGTACTGATGGAGAACATCGCTCGAAACAAGTTGTTTCAACCATGCTCTCGCGTCGTTGTCCTTTCCTCCGACCGCGTGCGCGACCCTTGCGCAGGTTCGTCCATCTTCAACGCTACCAAGGCTGGGCTAGAATCACTTGTACGCTCGTGGGCTCTCGAGTTGCCGCCCTTGTTCCCAGGCACAACGGTAAATGCAGTGAGCGTCGGCTTGACGGATACACCAGGGCTGAGATCACTTCCTCCTGCCGACATAGAGGGCTTGAAGAAGCAGCGATTGCCAAAAGTGAAGGTGGTCGAAGGGGGTAGGATGGGTTACCCTGAGGATGTTGCTGACATTGTAGGCTTTCTCGTTGGAGAGAAGGCCCGGTGGCAAAGTGGCAGTGTGGTAGCAGCAAACGGTGGAGCAGAGTTCCTGGGGTGATGGGCCTGATGTCTTTGTATGCCTCGGGTCATGTTTTCAGCTAAATAGGAAAAATACGTGGGTAGATCAGGAGTCCTGATGTACACAGAAAAAGCCGTTGGGGGTGGCTGACTACGCGGACTGCTTTTAGATCAGAATAAGCAGTTGACCGGACGCGCATCCTCCGCACATGTGCCTTTAGAGTGCTGACAGTTTTGGACGTGAAACTGCTCTAATCCTCCGTCGACTGCGACGCGTGGCGGCCGTAACACTCTGAGAGGGCGGCTGCCAATGGCAAATGTGCATGATGACGCTGGATGCAAAGATGGAATTCTGTCGGGGCATGTAGCGGATACGACAGCCAGGATTATGGTAATTCGAGATTGCGACTGAAGGTAAGGAGTTGTTGTCCAAAGCATAAAAATAATCCTTTTGGCTTTTGCAACGACATCCATGCCACATGAAGATTAGAGGCCCCTTCAAATGCTAGCAGGAGACTGGTGCGCTGATCGGACATGTGGTCATGAATGAAGCATGGCGCAAGCAGCAATAGGCTCGGAACATGGCAGATGAGAGGCAGCTGGGGGCCCTGTTTAGGTTGCCTCGTAGGATTGCTGCTACATTGCCCCAGGCGTCCCACGTTGTAGCAGAGAAAACGCAGGTTAGGTGGCGGCAGTGCAGCTTTACCTCAGCTGTCGGATAGGTAGATGGGGCGAAAACAAGATAGGCTCGGTGAAGTAGGCATGTAGGCATGTATGAATTGGAAGCAAGCAGGCAAGGTGAGACAAAAGGAGAGAATGCAGAACGTGCAATGGATAATCTACGATCGCCTGTCCTGAACTGGACACGGGGATGAGCAGGTCGGGGCGGGAGTGAAGCTGGTGCAGTGCTGGTGCTGGCATGTAACAGTACGCGTCCGACGTGGGGATTCGGACCGCGACGTCGCTCGTCAACGAGTCCGGGCGAATGAAGAGGTTACTGGCAGAGGATGATGGGCAGGCAGGATAAGCTACGACGGCCAGGTTGGCGCGGCTAAGGTTTCCGCCGGGTGGAGCAACGATGAATTCTTGTTTGAAAACACGCGTTCTCTGGATGACATAGTGGTTATGATGTGCATGCATACCAGGGAGTGCGTAACAACGTGCCTATTTTCGTACTGTGCATTCATGTATCGGAAACCCCTGTGCTGTAATTGCAACTGGCAATTATTGATTCATCAGTACACACATGCAGATGCTCACAGAAGCGTGGGTACATGCGGCCATGTATCTGGCTGCAACTGGCCTGGCTCCCTTCGAGGACATGGTGGTCGAGGCCCCAAGCCATGTGTCGATCCAATAGTAAACACGAGACTGGGGGGTGCGGAAAGCTATGATGCTCGAGCCAGATGCTTGATTGATGTTTCCTGTCCGCTCCCCAGCCAGGCAGACCAGCACCGAGGCCAGCAGCAGCAGCAAGAAAACTGGCAGCGGTCATCAGGATCGTCGGGTCCATCGTCATCAGCATCATACTCTGCATGGGCAGAGGGCAAGGGGGGAATCCGGTGGTGTTGAAATAGTACATGGAAAAGACGGGAGGCCGTCGTCGCATCAGGGAAACAGGCAGGCCAAGTGGATCCAGTAAACAAGACCAGCCGGTGTGTATGCAGTTGAGCCGCGGACGGGCAAGCGCTCCCATCCAGCTAGTGTGTGTGCAGCGATAATGGCCGTGATAATGGCCTGGTTGGCGGCGATGACAGGCAATAGCTCTGCCATGTAGTAGTGGTGGTGGTATGTATGTCTGTACCTATGCAATCCATATGTATTGTATGAGCAGGGAGGCGAGGCAACTGGGAAGGTGGCCAAGCCCGCAGCACAATCCAGACACAGCCCGCGCCGTCCGTAAGCGTGATAGCCCCTTGCACGGGAGCTGCTGCTGCTTGTGTGTATCGGACTTTCCTCAACCCTCCTACACGCCTGCCTGCACCACTTGCGCGTCTTTTTTATTCACGCCATCTCCCCCCCGACCTCTAGTCCTTCTCTCTGTTTTCTTCCCCCAGCGCCATCTACACCACCCCGTCCCTCCCTCCTTTCCTCTCCTCCCCTCTCCTCCACCCTCATCCCACTCCACCCTCTCCCGTCCGGCAAACCGGCACTCCCTCCTCCGGCCACCTCCCCCCCGGCCGCTGGGACTGTCCATCATTCTTGTTGTAGCAACGTGCACGCCCGCACGATAAACACGACACGCCCACACGCCCACACACCCACCCTCTAGCCGGTGGAGCTCCAAGCGCGAGCTAAGTGCTGTGCTTCCAGACAGCCAAGCCTCAGTCCATGGCCGTGGCAGCAGGCGGATACAACGTCTCGACCAACATCAGACCTCGCCGCCGCACAATCGACCGCAATTCACAACCCACCTCGTCGTCCATCTCGACGCCCTTCTCTGCCACCGCTCCCACCGGCCCGTCCTTCGACTCCATCCCCGAGGACCACGCCAAACGTGACCACAAGGACAAGCAGCACTCTTCGCCCGCACGCTTCCTGCTGGGCGTGCGCCTGCCAATGTTCTCCGATGTTGCCGCTGGCTGGCAGTCGCATTGGCTCAGCCGACTGCGTTCTGCCCTGCGTCTGCTGGTCGTGGTGTTGAGCGGCGCCGTCATTGTCTTCCTGGCCCACACCCTCGAGATCCGCCGCAGCAATCGCTACCTCGATCTCCGCAAGGGCGAGTTGCCAATGACATGGCCTGCCCACACCAATTTCTACCCGACCTCAATCCTCTTGCTGGTTGCAGTCGGCAACTTTGTGGCCTCAATCGCCTCCATTGCTCTTTCCTTCCGCCGCTCTTTCCGCCGCCCAGCTCGCTCCGGCAACACCTGGCGCATTGTGGGCCACTGCCTCATCACTCTCATATGGGCTGCTGCTATCACTGCATTCACTCTTCTCGACAACAAGTACAAGGCGAGCTTGGGCAGATATGCTTGCCACAATCAGAACGTCATGAGCAATGGCCGCTACCAGTATCGCGCTGTCTGCGAAGAGCAAGTAAGTCTCGAATACCCTCACATGCTAGTTTTCCTAGGACGTAGCCGCTGACAGCTTCCAGGGTATGGCATTCTACATGGCCATCACTGCCGCCGTGGCCGAGCTTGCCGTAGCCGTGTCGCTCGCAACGTCTTCGTTTTTCCCCGCAAAGCAACAAACAATATACCGCTACAAGGACGACCATGAAAAGCACAAGCGCTCCATGAGCTTTGGCGTGACTGGTCGCCAGGCTTGATAATATCTCGAATAACAGCACTTTTCTACTTTTCATCTTCTGATCCTTGACATCTGTACAAACCTTCATCTTTTTTTCATGTCTGCATGATACCCTGGGCGCAACTTGTGGATTTCCGACCGGTAGGGTGGGGCAAAATGGCGTTGAGCTCAGCATGACCTGTTCTTTGATTTCCTCTCGCATCATCGTTTCTGCGTGCATTTGCATTGCATTTTCTGGGGTTGCATACTGCGCTTTTTTTTGGTTTCCTTTCCCTTGCTTCTTGTTTACGGTGTGACGAATACGTCTAGACGATACTTTGAGGGGAATACTCCGGTCTTGTTCGCCGAGTACCTATCACGGCTTGCTTGCGACTCCAAGCTCACGACAAGCTTGCCAACGGCGCTCAAGGAAGAGAGAGAGCAACCGGAGCTTTTCCCCAGATAATCCTCTTGTAATTACAGATCTAATTACGCTTCTCCGAACATAGCCAAGGACAGCATCAGCAGTATGAGAAAAATACAGAATATAAAATCAATCTAACAAAGTCGAACAATCCAAGGACCTCTTGCAGGGGATTTTTTCTCGCCCTTGTTTTCTTAGGACCTGGTGTGGTGGTTGGGAGAAACCCCGCATTTCATCATGATTGTCGTTATCATCATCATCAGACCATTGTTTGTCGGCCTCTGGAGCCTCTTTGCCGGGTGGGTCGGCAACAATCTTCTTGGTCCACCGTGCCGTTCGTTGCGGGCTCGAAAGCTTTTTTTTCCCTCTTTCTTCTCCTTCCCTGTCATCCCGGTTCCTTGATTTCTCTGCATCTATCTCGGTAAAGGACGCCGGCCGTCCCCGTTTATTTTCCCACCCTACACGATATGCTAGGTATGTAATAACGTCGTGTTATGGTTTGCTGACGTGACCTGACCCTGGGATGGTTGTTTTTTCATCTTTATTTCCTGGCTTTTTTTCCCGGGTGTAGGGATTGGCCATTGATGACGTCGTTGTTTGGGTTTTACTGTTTGCTGCGAGGTTTTTTTACGGGTGTTTGGGTTTAGTGTAGGTCGATAGGTAGGCGCGTACTTGGTCGTGACTTCTTGATTACCACGGACAGAGAGAAATTCCTCGATTGATTTTCTCTCTTTTCTATTATCATGTCTTGTAGTGAGGAAGTGGCTTCGATTCCCATGCACGAGCACCTAGCATCACACTGGCATACAACGCCGTCTCACAGTACGCGCGATGAGAGTGGATGGATCCCTACATAGAAGACTGTACAGGTCAGACGTATGTATATATCGGAGCATGCAGTATCATTAAGTTGAGTTGGGAGTATTGGGAAACCCTCATTATCCCGTGCGGAAACACCTTCGCCTGACTATGGTATATAGATTATGTGATCCACCCCTTTTTTACGCCGGAGGATGCTGTGATATCAGCAGCATCGCAAGGAACAAGGAAAAGAAACAATGCAAGCATAGACACGCGAAAAGCACAATATCAAAAAGAAAAAAGAGAAAGAGAAGAGAGTAAATAAGACATGAGATGCTCTGGTACCCACCAGGCTGAACAGAGGAAAAAAGGGGTATATATCCCAGAGAGAGAAAGATCCCCATCCCTACCTACCATGTCATAATACCCCTCCACCCCATACATTCATTCGTAAATTAATACTTTTGTTCCGCGAGAAAAAAACGCAAGAAAGACAGGTAAAAGGAAGCAAGAAAACTCCGAAGAGCTCACATCTTGCCAACCCCACTAGCAGCAGCACCACCATCGTCCTTGTCACCAGCCACGCTATCGCAATCAGCTTCATCGCCAGCCACCTTGACGCGACCGGGTAGGTACTTGTAGGACGTGCGGAACTGCTCCTCGTAGTGCTCTTTGAGGACGCGCTGACGCTTCTCCTTACTGTGCAGCCACAGCACGAGCGCGAGGAGCCCCAGCATCGCTGCGCCCGTGATACCGCCCACGGCTCCCCCAACTACGCCTGCCGTTTTGCGTTTTTCGGCCGCGCAGACGTCGGTGGGCTCTGGTGGGGGGATCGATGGGGTGGAGGAGAGTGCGGCTTCTGGAGTGGTGGTTGGTGATGGCGGTGTGCTGGAGGAAGGGGCTGGCGACGATGACGACGATGACGACGACGACGATGAGATGGATGATGAGATGGATGATGAGATGGATGATGAGATGGATGATGAGATGGATGATGGCGATGGAGATGGAAGAGAGGAATTTGTGTTCGAGTCCAAGCGTGAGAGTTGAAGCGTTCCCAGGGTTGGTGTGGTGATTCGGGGGGTCAAGTTGTTGCAGCAGCTTGTGGTGTCGCTGGCCTCACGGCAGCAGTAGGAGCCGTATTCGCACATTTGGATGTTCCAGGCTGTTACCGTTCTTCCATTAGATGTAGCTGTAGTCGGTATGTTAGCTTGCTTGAATTGGGTAGGTTTCGCTGTAGGATTCCACGTACTACTGGGACATATCTTGGGACACGAGGGATCTTGTCCGGTAGGATCCGTACAAGCTGCTTGCCAGATGGTGCCTATGAATTCGTTGTTGGTTGCCATGCATAGCCCGTTGCTTAAGCAGATGTCCGGGGAGCCAGTGGTTCTGTTGACAGCACAGCAGCCGCTATGTGTGGCGGTTTGATTGCAAGGCGCATATGTGCTGTCGAGTTCTCCGTCGGCGTTGTAGCATTTCTTCTCTTGTGCGATTGCGCATTGTATGTAGATGATGAGAAGTAAAGAGATGGGGAGAGAGGAAAAGGACCGCATTATTAAGTATAGACAGTAAACATGAATCGGTTTCGTAATGGACGGGTTTGACAGCGCAGGGAAGGGAGGCGGCAACGAAACAGAATACCAGAAATTATAGAACTCGAGTACGCAGTGCAAAGGACAGGTTATTAGCGTTTATCGATGAAGGAAAAGAGAGCGAAGGGAAGACGAGAGAGAAGAGTTGAAGTAGAATATGTAACCTCGAAAAGGAAAGTGGTATAAAGGAAAAAGTAAACAACAAGGACGCGATCTAGCTACACGCAGGCGCCCTGGGAAGAGGTCTAGATAATAAAAGCATCTCGACGAGCTTCCTCTAAAGTGACAGCCTGTCGATGCTGTACGACCAATGCACCGCCCAACAAGGATACCACGTCTTAGCCATGGCATCGACATCTGAAACACAAATCAAACCCAGCCGGCAATCCTCGCCGGGATTGAGCCTCGATGGGTAACGAAGCTGGGGTTGCGCGGTCTCCATTTGGAAAGGCGAGAGAGTTTACAGGCCCGTGCCAGCGTCTATGTTGGAAGGCAGTCACTCGTAACATACGCTCTCTCGCGCGCTGTTTGGTTTGAGCATGGACGTCTGGAAACTTTGAAGGGGTATGTCCGCACCAGGACCACAACGACGACAACAGCAGCGCCTGAGATTCGAGTACGCCAAGGCGCGCACTGGAGCTGAATGCAGAACCAAATAACACTGCAGGTTTGCGACGGCTTGGGAGCATAGGAGGCTTGGTGGTGATACTGGTTAAAGAAGACGTCTGGGAGCATTAGGCCATGGCGTTTAGTGTGGAAGGAGAGGTAGGGCTGACCGGACCCGCCATTGGTCGACCAGCTATAGCCAGCGCTGAACCCTTTGATCTTACCCACATAAACTCTATTCCTTGCCGCGAGATTTGACTTTGACTTTGACTGCATCTTCCCTGCAAACCCTTTTGACATGTCAATGCGAAGCAACCGCTGCCGAGGAGTCTATTTTTTTCTTCCACTTCTTCTTCAAAGTCGTAGCCCACGAAAAGGAGCAAAGCTATTGTGATCGTCGACCACCTTCATCCCCTTCAACGCTTCGTCGTAGATTGTGCGACTGGGATAATTACCACAGGGGGCTACAAATCGTGACACAGTGTAAATTGGACGATGGTTACTCAATGCTGTGATCATACTGCCCTTGCCTCAACGGCAGTATCACGGCCCTCCTTAGACCTGCGCTGCATCGTTGCTTTTGCCGCCGTCCGCCGTCCGCCGCCTGTCATTGTCCTGCCGACAGACTCCACAGCATCGTCATACTCCCAATTCGCGCAATAATCCGTCGACACGGTCCAGCTCATTGTTCAGCCCTCCATCCACAACCGTCCAGTTCAGCAGGTTCTTCCTGGCCCTCTTCGCCCACATGATGGCCTTGTCCCTCTTTCCCAGCCCGTCATACACGTACGCCATCCTCTCTAGATCCGCAGCAATCAACACTTCAAATCCTTCCTTTGCGCTAATCTCAAACACTTCCTCCTCCCATCCAATAATCTGCTCTGCGTCAAATGTCTCCGACGTCAACGAGTCGAGTTGTTCGTGTAGCCATGCAAACCGCGCCCTCCGCTGATCGCTGCCTGCAATCGCATATGAATCTGCCGTGCAGAGAGGGCATGTACATGTGAAATGCCAGCCTTTCTGATATAGGTCCTGCCGCTCTGCATGCTTGAGATCTACGCGCCCGTACGAAATGCTGATCTCTTCACCCGCCTGAATGTCCCGCAGTGCTTTGATTTCCATGAGCAGAGTGCGGGGCATGAATTTGGCGTTTGCATTCGGGCGGCATGCGTGGTTGATGCGGGAGACGAGGGGGAAGAGGCAGAGGTAGCCGTCGCCTTCGCCTTCGCTGCCGTCAGGGAACAAACAGCCGAATGAGTTTGTTTTGAGGATGTCGTCGGCGCCAGTACTTTTCTTACTTCTGTCCAGAGCGAGCACGAGGCTTCTGTCTTTAGGAGGAAGTCTGTCGACCGCACTATCGTACAGTTTAAGGCCTTCCCCAGGTTGTACATGAAAAGGGACCTTGGAACTCGTGATGACCCTGGCAGCGTCGACCATGATAATTTTCCCTTTCTTCAATAGCTCTTTGGCGACGAGGCCTTTGCCTTTTCCTGGGATATCCTGCACTTCTAACCAGTCATCGTGAGGGTAATGCGCATGTTTCCGGGCATGCGCGAAAGCCTTGGACGCTGCTTCAGCCGCTTCAGGCGTGGAAATGATGCTGAGGCCGCCACCACGAAACTTGGATGTCGTGTGTACACAATACTTTCTTTCCTTCCCTTCCACACAGTCCGGCGCTTCCGTCCATTCTCCCTGTACGTGTGGTTTCTTAGCCACCGTGTCTCCAACTACCTCCTCTGTGAGCAGACATGCGGCTGGTTTCACAAGTAATTGCTGTGGGGGCGTTGGTAGTTGGCATTGAGAAGGAGATGAGTACGCCTGGTTAGGAAATGTGAGGACGCAAAACAATGCAGCGAGGACGCCGTTTGGTATCATCTTGTAAATGTGTATGCTAGGGCATGACAGTCGAGCGGCAGGATGGATATTGTATCGTTGCTGATGCTACCCCGTGTTTTTCGCGACATATCTGAAACATGGAGCCCTCGAGGAGTTCAAAGGGTAGATGTTGGATAACTCGCAACTTAGTCATTGGGACTTTGCATACGCACATGAGCGTGAAGCTGTTGAATACATATGCGCCTCTCTCCGTGAAGAAGCTCATTCACACTCGTTGGATATCCTCCGGTCTTGGCAAGATCGCAGGCGCTCGTAACCTTTACCTATTTCATCGCGCCAGAGATAGAACGACAGGGGCGCCGACGGAGCATCGACATACACGCTCTAGTATCACTACCTCTACGCTCAATGGGACAAAGTGTAAAGTTAAACTGGCAAAGTGCCATCGTGAAGAAGTTGAAAAATGATGACCGGGAGCCGCAGTGTCCCGAGCCAACAGCTCATTATTTTGTCTTCGGAACCTATCCGTTCCGACCAATCATTGACCAGTGTCCTCCTAATTAGATTCCCTTTCTTGGAAACTACATATAAACCTCACGTAAGTTTCTGTCCTTCGACATCCTTACCTTACCTTCGCTATAGTTCGTCCTTTTGTTTCTTTTCTCCTTCCGTGCCGTTCCGGCTGCCAAACGCCCGCAAGAAATCATGCGTTTCCTCACCATTCTCGCGGCCATAGTCGCCGCTATATCGTCTATGATGTACATGCTCGAATCGCACCTCGAAAAGTTCTACATATTCAACCCGTCCGAGCTACACTCTCTCTCGCAAGAAGGGATCGCCAAGCACGGAAATGACACACGTGCCGTCGTCGCCCATATTGTTTCATCGCTATCGACCACTCACGGCAAACACATCAACCTAGATGAAGAGTGGGTGTTTAATAACGCCGGTGGTGCTATGGGCGCCATGTGGATCATCCATGCTTCCATCACCGAGTATCTGATTGTCTTTGGATCAGCAGTCGGTACAGAAGGACACAGTGGTCGTCACACCGCTGATGACTACTTTATGATTCTGAGGGGCACGCAGTATGCGCATAGGCCTGGGGTTTATGAGCCCGAGGTGTATCCTCAGGGGAGTCTGCATCTCATGAAGAGGGGGGAGGTCAAGCAGTATATGATGCGGGATACGTGTTTTGCGCTCGAGTACGCGCGAGGATGGATTCCCCCCATGATGTTGTTTGGTTATGCCGACAGTGAGTGTTTGAGCGTTGAATGTTGGGTTGAAGGTGTATTGGCTAATCGTCTGCAGCTTTTTCGAGTACTATCGATTTCCCAACTCTCTGGAGGACGACGGTGATTACAGCGCGACAGATGTTGGGCAACCTTGCCATGATGAAGCTCTGAGCCCCAGGCGGAATCAAACACAGTACAAAGAACGTCTATCTTAAGCCACGAAGACGGCTTTCGAGAATCCCGAGGTATTGTATTCTTTGTACAATTTCCCAGTACTTCGATACATAATTTATAATTTGGACTTTACCTTTCCGTTTCCCTTCAGACTCTCCAACACCAATCTCTCCACTTCCCATGCACTTCCATAACTGCTTTGATAACCATATCCAGCATGACCATAGTTGTGTATCACTGTATTTCCTTCGATTTGCTCTTTCTCCACCCTAAGCCCGCCCTTTCTCATCGGTCTCAATCCAACTCCGTGCCTTACAATCGATAGTTCACTCACTTTACCCGTCTTGGGGGCGAGGGCAGGGCAGAGATCAATGGACCGCTGCATGATTCGCTGAGCGAGGTTAGGATCAGGTTGAGATTCCCAGCTTCCATGTTGCAAGCAGCCACCAAGGATGGTTCCACCGCCTACAGCGCGATGCATGATATATGTCGCTTCATCGCCGCCATCATCAGTACCGCTAACGGTGATCATGACACCCGGTTCGTTCCTCACAAGTACAACCTGACCACGGCCGGGGTAGACGTTCTGGTCCTCGACGCCCCCAAGCTTGGATGCCTGGAGTCCGGTACAGTTCACGATTATCGAGGCATGCCCATTGGGGTGATGGGACGGAGCATCAGAGATGTGATCAAGGATTCCGCGTTTGATGGTTACGCCGTTCTTGACACACTGACCTAGCAACCAAGGAAGATAGACGGCCGTGTTCAAACATACACTGGTGAAGGTAGTCCCTGTGTCGCAATCATCTGGCAGCTCCGATTTGCCTAGGACGCGGAACTGGGTAGGTGTGTTAGTTGTGAACTCTTCTTCGTGACCATAGGACATACATCGGGTACGACATCCTTGAACCACGCATCTTCCCTGACCAACTCTCCGAACCAGTCTCCCGTGGCGGTGCCAGCATCTTTCTTGCGTCCGTAGATGACTGTCTCTTGGAAGTGGATACCTGCTTCTGGAATCTCTCTGCAAACTCTATCCAGCTCTCCCCAAGTTGCCTTTTCGAACTTTTGAAGATTGGAACCCGGCTTCCCTACGGGGAAGAAGTTGGCCCCAGCCCAAGGCGAAGCGTACTCGATATCGTAGTCTCCGGCTTCGGAGCAACACAATATGTGAGAATGGAGTTTGACCAGGTGGAATGTCGAGTTTGTGTGGGAGTCTTACGCATGTGTTTGGCAACAACGACAATTGAGAGGTTTTCATGTTTGGAGAGAATGAGGGCGGTGGTGAGGCCTAGGACGCCGGCACTGTGAATAACAATGAGTCAGTTGACGAGTTCAAGTGGCGGTATTTGCTCGTCTCGAACGAGTTGAGAAGATGCGGAGATGTTACATACCCAACAATGACCACATTGGTAGACATGTCTGTCGCGAGATGACTGGGAGAACAGGAATGTGGTTCACGAATCCTGTGACTGGGAACTCGAGAGACAGGTGACGGGTGGACTCAATCATGAGTATGTATGGTGCGTTCATGGACCCCTCGTGATTCGGCGGCGCTTGATTGGGCATCCCCACCATCCACCGGCCCTACGCCATCTTTGTAGGGTGGACTGTTTATTCTGTTTGTTTACTTCCCCTTGTGTGACTGCACCCATGTGGTCCTGGGAGCACACACGCATAGAAGACACATGTGCCTAATCGGATTCCCGTCTCATAACAATTGCCATGCTCGCCAGGCTCCTGTTCTTGCACACATACCTATATACACCTACATAGTATATACGTATCCACGCACTCAAGACTACCCCACAACATAGCACACATACAGCGGGGGCCGTCATCCGACTTCGCGCTTGGTATTCCCACTCTGCATCACGACTCTGCACGCACAGTCTCAAGTGCTTGCACCAAAAGCCTTTCGGCGCGTGTTCGGGCATGCTAGAGGCAGCTGGCCTGTGACATCACTCCGAGGTTCGTCTACTTGTTCCCCGGCACAGAATTTTCGATGCTCGAGCTCCTCCAGCGTCTGCCCCTCTCTCCGCTGCCCATCCACCGGGCCTGCCTTGGGACGATTGTTGTTGTCGTCGTCGTTGTATTGACTCTTATTGATCAAGCTTCAATCCCTCGCTGAGTGGTCGCGTGTCGGGCGGGCTGTCTGTCCCCCTAATATTGTGTGTTACTAAGCTCCAACACAAACGCTATCCCTGTGTCGGGCCCCTGCTAGAGCTTCCGTCACTTAAAATCCGATTATTGTCGAGCATTCACCTTCACCTTCGTTGAGCAAGAGGAGAGCTGCTCCACGCCTCCACGGCCCAATAGGAACAATACCATTGCAATACAATACAATCCAGGTGCCGCCTGCACCCTCCCACGGCCTTTGCACCCTCACACCCATGAAACATAAACGTCGTCGCTCCCGCCTCTTCTCTCCTCCCTAGACACACCAGTTACAACACCACTCTCGCTCGCGGCCTTGCTGCACCCACCAGCTGTCAACATGGCCCCCCGCAAGTCGCGAGCCAACACCCCCGAATTCCCCATTCTCGAAGCCCACGGCCTGTACCCTGGAGACATTCGTGGAGATGGTGAGTTTGACGGCCCGCCTTTCTATTTTAATTAATTCCCAGCCGGAAGCTGACACCAGCAGGCAACTGCCTCTTCAACGCCCTCTCGGATCAGCTCTACGGCCACCAAGAGAACCACGAAGTGCTCCGAGTTACCACCATTGAACACATGAAAGACAACTCGGACTTCTACCGACAGTACATGACCTGCAACAATGTCCGCCGAAACCCAAAACGCAAGACAAAAGCTGCCCAACAATCGCGCGTCGATGCGTGCTTCTATACAGAGTCTGAGCTCCAGAAACAATTCGAAGATCACGTCGAGAAGATGGGCCAACCCGGTGAATGGGCCGACAACATGGAAGTCTCTGCTTTTGCATCAGCCTTGAACGTTCATGTTCGTCTCTGGCAGGCAGACTACACCTACCTCATCTCCCCTCGCTTGCAATACGTTTCCGAGGATGCAGCTGCTGTAGATGATCGACAAGTCCTCCACATTGCCTACCACGTAAGTGACTTCTTCTGTCTAATTGGTTCTATTTCCCAAAGCTCACCTGGATGCAGACCTGGGAGCACTACTCCTCCGTCCGCAACAATGCTGGTCCACACACAGGCGAGCCTACAGTCAATGTCACTCCACAGCAATCCACTGCAGGCTCCAGGAAGCGTCCCAGCCCTAGCGTCAGCGATGAGGATGAGATCCCTCGAGCCAGCAAGAGGCGCTCACCGCTTCCCCTGTTCGATTCCGATTCCACCCCCGAAGGCACCGAGAGCTCATCAGACGAGTCCAACGGTCCTCTTCTCTCCCAATCACACTTGGATATACCCGAACCAGATCAGACGGCAAAGCCTCAAAAGCTGACCATCAAGCTCCGAGGCCTGCGTACTACTGATCTCGTCGACCCTGTCGATCCAGTCGAGCCAGTCGAGCCACAGGAGCCATTGACAGCTATTCCCCTAGACATCAGCCCTACACCCAAACCTGCATCTACCACACATTTGCCGCCATTTCCTCAGGTCATTGACCTTACCACCAACACCTACTAAGTGCTCTTCGCCGGGTGTCCTATTTCATATCCTTCTCTACAGGCCATGGCCAAAAGAGCACTACCATTTCTTTCCAGCTTCTTTGATTAATGAAGCTTTCCAGACGACGAAAGACGACGAAAGATGACGATACCCCATCTGCATATCATTGCATGCATAGTTTTTAGGCGCACCTCTTTATTTTCATCCTTCCCACTTGCATGAAACTTCCTCTCCCATCAGTTTGCATAGCATATGGGCATTCACGGGCATTTCTGCATAGCCAGTCAGGCGGGCACCAAAGTGCTTGGGCCTATTGATTTTTCTGATTGGCAGGGCGTTGGCGGCTTCCCTCAATTCATCTTTCTTCTTTTATGGCATGGCAAGAACAGTGAAGGAACAGGTACCATGTGTGAGTGTACGCACCACAGCATGAGTTGAATTTTAGCATAATCAAATCACGACCGGTTGTTTGACAGTCGATTCTACCTCATAGTGATGCAGTCGTGAAACAAATTGTACATGCTTCCATTCATTCGTGCCCTCTCACCATCTAAACCATAACATCTTCTGGCGTCCATTTCAAAGCATCCGGCTCACTCATGCCCTCGCTCCCCGCAACCCAAAACGCCCAAGCTATGCCGCCCATCTACCCAAGCCCATCACACACCTCTCCTCAAACAACGAAGCAAAGCAAAGTAAAATGGACGATAATAGAAGAAGAAGAGAAGAGAAAAAAGTACACATTACATCATATGTTCTCGAAGCCGCCCGTGTCCCTGCTTAACAAGACAAGTCCATCTCCACTCAGTCCCTTCACGCCCCCTCGAAATGATCATCCTTGACCTCGCCGTCCTGCGTCTTTCTATCCACCCTCGGGCTCAACGGCCCTACATCCACCGCCGGCGCCGGGACCCCAATCAAGCTCTTCCTATGCTGTCTGGGACTCGTATCGAGCGTCTCCAGCGCCTCGTCTTCTACAACCAAGCGCTTCTCGTCAACACCAGTATCACCTACGCCGTCTTCACCATCACCATCGCCAAGAGCATCACCACCTTCAACGAAGCCGCGATTCGCGAGCCGCAGCCCCATGATCTGCTGCCTTAGCGCATCGACGAAAGCCTGCATGTCTTGAGATGGTAAGCCCACGAGCTCTCCGTCCTCGCCACGGCTCCCATATAGTGAGGTAGCGAGCTCGAGACATCGATCCGCTTGTAGTGCGCGCTCCATCTTCCACCACGTCTCGGCGGCAAGGACGGCCCAGAACGCAGCCTTGCGCCTGCGGGACCCGACGCGCAACGTGCCGACGCCCGGTCGGACGACGTAGCAGGCGGCAATGCGTTGTGTGAAGAGGGCCGCGCCGATGGGGCCTACGAGACCCGTTTCCAGAATGCGCGAGGCCCAGCGCGCGGCGTCGTCTGCGGCGGATGAGCCACGTAGTCGTAGGAGCTCGAGGCCTAGGGCTAGCGTGCGCAAAGCGTAGTATGGTGCTGCGCTGCGTTGGCGGTCGGTGTAGCTGTAGCTCGCGTCCTGGATCAGGGTGTTGACGGTATCTGTGCGGGTTTTGGAGGTCAGAGGGCCCGGGGAGAGTAGGGCGGAGAGGGCGGCCATTTCGGCGGCGCCCGCGTAGTGGCGCCAGGCCTTGTCCGTTTGGAAGTCGGCGCGCAGGATATCGTACGTGCTGAGGCCTAGCTTGTAGTCGCGCAGCATGAAGCAGTAGTCTGCGAGTTTGCGCATCAGGGCTTCGGGTGCATCCGGGCGGTAGAAGCCTTGGAGGCTGTCGTAGTTTGAGTTCGAAGTTGAAGAGGACGAGGAAGATGTACGAGATCCGCCGAAGCCGGTCCAGCGTTTGGAAAGCGACATAAACCGGCCTGAGATGCCGCGGCGCCGGGCAAGAATCTGCTCGTTCCATGTCGAGACGGCGCGCTCCATGTTAGGGACTATAGATTGGGCGACGAGTTCACGGATGAAGGTTCGTATGGCGGTAATGTCGGAGTCGGGAAGATACGGAGTGGGATCTGTTATATCGTCCGAGGTTTCTGTGTCGAGTTAGTACAATGAGGATACTTCGCAATGGAAGGCAATCAAGGGGACGGCATACCTCGCTTTTGGATTTCTGCCAGCTCTTCTGACGCAGACATCCACTCGCATGTTGGTAACCGCACGCTGTCATCGTCCGACGGTATACACTGTTGGCTTTTCAACCGCAGCAGATGGCAATGTAAACCGAAATGGCGTTTCATTGAATCGAAGGTCTGGTTGGACTTTGCAATATCCCCTGTCTCTTCATCGTGTACCAGGACGTAATAGCGAAGATAATCGTTCTCCACCCATTGCGGGAATCGCAGGTCGCCGTCATGCTGCCTGCTGTAGAGTCTCCTAAGCTCTTCTATTGGATTGGCATTCCGTGACGAGATGGCGATGATACCGGCCACTGGATGGGCGAACGTTTCGTGTGGGACAAGTGGAAGACCCGATAGCAACCGCCGGAGATATAGTGTATAGAATGGAGATGTTGTGCTTTCTTGCGGTTGTGGTTCACCTTGGTTAAGGTAATCAGCCACCATGTCCTGGGAATTAAATTCCGAGTACTGCAGATGACGATCGACCAATTCCTCAACCTGCGGAACATCACCGCCTAAGCGGCGTGGCCGTATTGAACTCGAAGAAGCCCTTCCGCCTTCCTTTTGGCCACTGGTCGAGTCTCTTCCAGGCATAGGCGGCAACCCAAGCCCCTCATTAACCCCCACGAATCGTACCCCAAAATCCTCATAACTCTTGCTTGCGCCTACGCTGTCTCTTATTGTAACTTTGCCAGGCACAGATTCTCCAAATGGTCGCAGCAGCTGTAATAATCCTCCCTCGAAACCCTTTGCCCGTATGAGTTCCTCCGTTTCCGTGTCCGCTAGTACCGCCACATGTGGTGCAAAGGCTCTTTGTATCAATGTTCTATGTTCATCGGATACACCCGGCGGTAGGCTTCCTGGAGTACCGGCCCCATTGTATCTTGAGCCTGGCGAAAAGAGGGAACTCGGTATGGTGGACGGCGGTGCGGTAGGCGTGGCCGTACCGGAGCTGGGGCGTGATCCTGATATAGAAGCCGTAGACTCGAACAATTTCTGTAGCGACGGGTTCGACCTGCGATATGGCAACGACGCCAGCGAGGAAGCAGGGGAAGCGCGCTGCTTGGGTAATATCATGGACGTCTCCAAATTGGCAGGATATTTGGGGGGCTTCGGCGTGGCATCTTGCGGCGGCGTCATGGGGGGCTCGGGCGGTGCGCCCACTGGTGATAAACTGATGCGCGCAGGTTTTCCAAGATCGCCGGCATATATGGTAGCGAATTTCAGGTGCTGAAGGTATGAATCAGGGCTCTATTCGCGGTAGGGTGGGCTTTGGCGTTTGGGCATCGGGTTCTATAGATCGGTAGTGACGAGAAAAGGTGACGCTGGCCGATGCGGCCGCTCAGCTTCCTGAGTGGACGAGACAGCAAACCTCCATCACCATCGCCAATCCTTCCCTCTACGCTCCTTCAATTAATTTCCGACCCTCACCCTACTATCCTTCAGATTACCGTCATTTTCTCTCACTTCTGCATACGTGGCTTGCAATACTGCAACCTGTAATCGCTGGTGACTCACGTGAATGCCGTTGATGAGTCGTGCCCTCCGTTTTTGTTCACCGCGAGCGACTTCTATACAAAGCCTCATCGCACAACCACCACCATTCCCTCAGCAATATCTAAAGACGAAAGTTTCTCTCAACCGATTGCAAATCATTTCTCTTTTTCATCGCATGCCTGCACGGAGGCAACTCTCGCCTGACCAGCCTGAAGAGTCGAATTTGAAGCGGCGCAAAACTGAAATTGGCCAGCCACGATTTATTCGGCCGTACGGCGCCATGAGCTCGCAATCGGATGCAAATCCAACGACTTTCGAGTTGACTGAAAGCGAGACTCAATTGCGCGAACTTCTTCTTGGCGTAGCCACTTATATCGACGAAGCGTCAACCACCGATGAAAATGCCACGGGAGTAGAAGTGCCCGCTGAGCTTAGCAAAGACAAAATTGTGCTGCGCTGGACAGGTGGCTGGGTTCGAGATAAGTTATTGGGCGTGGAAAGTCACGATGTGGATGTCGCAATCAACAAGATGACCGGCGAGCAATTTGGACTCAAGATGCTGGAATATCTCAAGATTCCCGGCAATATAGAGAAACATGGGCTCAACAGCAAGGAGGGTGAGAAAATTGTATCAGGATTGCACACTATCAAAGCCAACCCTGAAGCCTCGAAGAATCTGGAAACAGCCACCATTAAGATCATGGGCATAGATCTGGATCTTGTCAACCTCAGAAAGGAGACGTACAATGAAGTCAGCCGGAACCCGGAGATGGAGTTTGGCACCGCGGAGGAGGACGCAATGCGGCGTGACGCCACAGTCAATGCCATGTTCTACAACCTCAATACCCAGAAAATCGAAGATCTGACCGGACGTGGATTCGACGACATGGCCAGCAAGATCATTAGAACACCATTGGAGCCTTACCAGACCTTCAAGGACGATCCGCTACGCGTACTACGGCTGATCCGATTTGCCAGCCGTCTAAATTATATCATTGAGCCGGAAACAGCGGAAGCCATGGCAAATGCAGATATCCAGCAGACACTCAAAGTCAAGATCAAACGCGAAAGAGTTGGTATCGAGTTAGAGAAGATGTTGCGAGGACCTGATCCACATATGGCTCTTGCACTTATCCACCGATTCGGTTTGTACCACACCATCTTCACCGATCCATCCAGAGATATGTCTTCGCAACCCGACGTGGACTACTTTGAGCCCGCATACAACTTCATCAACTCAATGCATAAATCGGATGATACATCTATTGTTGATCTGTCACGTACGCTTTTGAGGAATACGGACGAAAAATACCTCTCATGGGTATGCGCAGCTGTGATGCCCTGGGCTGATGCTCCACAAGTTCCAAACTCGAAGCCTGCAAGACCACCATTCTACGCAGCATACTTGGTGGCTCAAGAAGGTTTCAAGGCACCGAACAAAGTTTGCGATGTTATTGCCGCCTCTTTGAACAACAGCGAAGAGATTAGGAAACTAGTGGACAAGCGGCCTCGAGAGAGGGATGTTTTGGGCATGGCAGTCCGGCGCTGGGGTCCGACATGGAGGACGCAAGTCTTATTTTCACTGGTGTATGAGATCGTATTGGGTGCTGTTTCGAAAGATAGTGAGTTGACCCGCCACGCAAATGGTCGTCGAAGAGCCGTTAAACGAAATTTGTGATCATTGACAACAATCAACTGACCCACCTCCAGCCATTTTGAAGCAGTATTTCGCATTCGTTGCTCAATTGACAGAAAAGGACCTCTTGGAAGCCGACACTTTCAAGCCTCTGGTCAACGGGAAGGAACTGGCTAGCGCTATGAGTATCAAGCCCGGCCCTTGGATGAAAGATGCCTTGGATGTAGTGATGGCCTGGCAACTCCGCAACCCTGGTATCACGGATCCCGCTCAGGCCATAGAAGAAGTCAAGAAGTCTAGGAACAGTGAGCTTCCCTCCAGACTCATCAAACATTTTCTTTCGCTTACCATCCCGCCGTTCTTTCCGCAGACTAGCTCTTCTGAGAACAAAGAGAACCGGCCATGGAAAAATGCGAAAAATGAGTACTTCTTGGACCTGCTGAAGTGGAGCCTGAGGGCAAGCTCGGAGGCTGATGTAAAGAACAACATGCCTTTTTTGCGCCCGCCAATCATGGAATTGCTTCTCGACACCGACCTTCTGTGGCGAGCTCGAGCCTGCGAACTCATCACCTTACTCGTTGATGCTGCACCGCCTACCTTCATCATCACACACGGGTATGATAAGATGTTTTCTTCTGAGCTTTTCCCTTTCTTTAGCTTTCTACCCTCCATCACCCCAGAATCAGAAACCGTGGCTCTGTTCGAAAATGTGTTTCCTGCTCTTATTGCGATCTGTAAAGTGTCTGGGAAGGAAGAGAAAATGCTAGACAAGATTATCCGTGACGGCATTCTGGCCCCTCTGCATCATTTTCCGACACCCGGCACATATCCCAAACTGGCGACACTTTTGTTCACACAGCTTGCAGGTTTGTTGGATCTGTTGGAGATCCATTCTGTGAAGCATCTACAGAACATACTTCCCCTTCTCAGCGCTATCATACAAGATCCCCTTACGCCGTCGCACCCTCCTCTTCTATTGGCTGCGTGCAAAGCTTCGCAAAACGCCATGCTCAATGGCTGGCCTCGTATCGATGCGGAGCGTGCTATGCAGATCTACGCATGGGCTTGCCAGGCCTGGGTCAACTGCCGGGACTTCAAGGACCCTAAAAGCCTGGACGATGCTCGTAACGAGTTGAAGAACATGGTCAGCATTGTGGACGCGCTTTTAAGGCAGCACAAGAACGAAGATGTGAGGAAGACTTGGGATGCGGAAAAGGTGAGGGCGAGGAAGCAAGGGCTCTACCAGGGCTTTTTCGACGCCCTCGAGTAGTTTTGCGCTACTTATAGCTCCGGGGTATCTCCTGTCACTTCTATAAATGGCATTTACACTGAATTCAATCGTGTCTCATGCGACTTTGCCTGATCGGTGCCGTGTGATTGTTCGCTTTGCTGTGTGTGCGACTGGAATATTTTCCCCGACATGAGTGTGATCCCAGAGATATTGTCCCACAGAGGTTTATCTGTCCGTGGATCTCAAGAACCGAGTGGAAATATCGGTCGGCGATTATACTAGCTCACCCTGGATTTCTGCCCTCGCCGTGATGCACTCCAAGAAGCCGTGCAGGAACCTTGCATCGAATTCTTTCACCAGGCAGTTGGGAGGGGGTTGATTGTATGAAGTTAGCTTTTGACAGCTTTCGAGATGTAGGATAGATACCATTGCTGATAAAAACTATCAGTTGGTTCTATTACTTGCGTTTCAGGCAACATTACATATGTAGTAAAAGACCCATCCCCCTTCTACACCGAATGCATACATCCACCAACTTACTTCTAGGGCAAAAAAAATTGCAAAAAAGACGTGATTGATGAATCCCTAAGGGAATCGAACAGCGCACCTGAGAGGAAAGTGTAACCCAGAGCACCTACCAGGGCAGCCGAAGGACTGCTAGTGATGGCAGACCACCAGACTACACTGTTCTATCACTTTATAGAATTATCCACTGATTAATGATTATATATACAGCATCAAAGAGGCTCAATAGTTAGGGATACAACTGGAGAGGTGAAGCACAGGTGAGTGGGTGAGGTGAGGGACGTAAGCGGACTTGTAGCAAACAGTGGATAGGTGAGCAAACAGTTAATCTCAAATCACGACAACAATAGTAGCAGCACTTCAATCAAAGGCGTCTTTGAAATGAGACATACCATACGAATTACTTATGACCTCATCTCTTAGTACAAGTGCAGCCGTAGTGAGGACATTTCAGTACCGAGTATTCTCTTATATCACTCAAAGCATATGCCTGCGCGACCACTGCTACTCAATAACTCGAATCTAACATGAATAAAGGTAACTCAAAAGGTGACGTAGGGGCCATCACCATACAATGCTAATTTGGTCGAGGTGGTGGGTATAGTCAAGTAGAGAGCTTGTGTAACGGTGCGACAAACATGGAGTGAGGAAGTTGGAGCCTGGGATTGCCTCACCGCCCGCCAATTAAGATTACTTACTCTACAGTCAGAACTAAAAGGCGGGGCTCTACGAACGAAGGTGAATGAGGAAATTGAGAGCACGGACACCGCACGTGGGCGTCGCGACGAGTTTCTCTCACTTTCCTCACCGACGTTGGTCTATAAAGCCCTCCCTCCACCTCCCACCACCTCTTCTCGTCCTCTCAACCACCACAGCACTCTACCTACTTGCATCTACATCTTCCACTCTTTGTCCCCCCACCAACAACACCACCACCACCATCATCATGTCTGCCTCCAACGCCCCCGACTACACTCTCACCGGCGTCCAGAAATGGGCCGAGGAGACTTTCCCCTCCGCTTTCGAGACCGTCCGCACCAAGACAACCCGGTCTCACTTGTGGTTCTCTTTTGCAGGCGACTTGGACAAGGATGTCTACACCGATACCACCATGCTGAATATCGGCATGTTCGTCCGCAAGGACAAGGCGGACGAGCCTGAAATCCGTCGCCAGCTTCACGCCTCCCTCCGAAAGGATGGCGATATCACCTTCACGGCGGTGAAACAATACGAGTTCTCTCACCCTGATCTTCTCAGCGACAAGGTCGAGTTCAACTACATATTCCGCTCAATCTTCCTCGTCGAAGCGGAGGAGAACCGCATTCGCATGCTCAAATCACTCTGCCGCTATCTCTACCTCAAGAGCGACGACCACACCACCGTCAAAGAGTTCAAGTCGACTACGTATATCAAGCCCAACTTCTTCAAACTGGCTTGTGAGCGTGTCGAGGAGGCCACCATCACGGGTCTCTACAACGACAGGCGCACTCTTCGTGAGTTCAAGGAGGAGATGCGCCAGAAGCAGCACACCATCGTGATCCACGATAACACCCCCAACCCAGCTGCTTAAGGCGCTTGACGCGACGGATGGACACATCATCAGGCTTTCATTTTTCACTCTCCTGCTCCTCTCACCGCATGGTCAAGAGCACCCATGTACATCCTCTGAATACTAGGATAGATTCTCTATGATACCCAATAAAATGACTTTTTCACATGTTTGTGTGCCTTTCTGTGATATATGTGATAGTTGATTGACGCGATTCAGGATCACTTATATGTATTAAACAAAAGACCAGGTGCAGATGTTTTTGATAGATTTTTGAGATGTATATCATAGCATATTGAAGCATTTCCGGATGACTTTTAACACAATCAGAAATGACATATACATGCCTTTGTGAATTATACATGTAATACACGGTAGAGCTGAGTGAAGCACTCCATGATCAACTATATGTCATTCACAGTTGATGCCCACATAATAAAGTGAAGAACAACAGGATATTCCGTAAAAAATCCCGAAAACACTAATTTACCTGCTTCTTGTGCATTTCTATCAAATATATTACAAGTACTTGAATAATCTTAGAACAAAGTATACGGAGTGTCTCATTCCTGAGTTTACTCAACATTTTTTTATTTCGTTGATTCGTTCAGAGAATATTGATGTATACTTAGATGAAGTGAATGCTACTAATGTAATTGGTGCAAACTAGATTCTCAAGTCATAAGAGTTCCTGTATACATAGCAAACTCGCAAATAATAGATACTGCGTATAAGTTTAGATACATTATAATACTTATTGAAATCACTGGCTCATAAGGCTTTGCATATATAAAATTGTACATATATATGCTCGTTGCATGTTAGCACATAGTAATACTATGGTTTTCTAAATATTTGTATAGATTCTTAATACACAACAATGCATTGTAACTCTTTGCTAATTCTTAATATGCGAAGTACTGTGTAGTATCTCTAAATATGTTATCTGTAGATGCATCTTTTCAAAGAAAAGCACTTTGTAGAGTATCTCTATTAAAAAATCACAACGCGTTAAGAGAAGTAGAGGTACACTTTCACACTGTAGAGAACCAGGTCTAAGAACACTACAAAAAGACAAGATACCCTTCGCATGCCGTATGGTACCACCTATAAGCCTCTAGATATAATGGTTGGATACATTATGAGAGATCATGATTCTGCAGTTCGCTGTAGATAAAAGTTTGTTATAATCCACTATTTCATTTCTGTGACACCACAAATACTTCACAAGAATCTATTAACATGATTTATCATAATGCATTGTCGGATAGCATTCCCAAGAAAATAAAGATATATACCAACTACCTAAAACTCAAAGATGATGTAGATGAAATAAGAAACTTTACATTACAATACTTTGAAACGAAAACATGTCTCAACTCAAATCTGGCCTCGCACTTACTATGATAAACTCCTTTTTCTGCCTCCTCAACCTCAACTTTTTCACCTTTCGAAACCCCTTCTTAATTCCCCTTCCCCGGGCCATTCTAACCCAAACCGTCACCATCCGTTTCGCCAAAATCTTCAAATCCGTGCTCTTCCTAGCACATCTGCCTCTCAAACCACCATGGGCGTCATTCGCGTCCCAGCCTCCGCTAAGCATGCGTACATACGCACGATCTCTCTTGAGTTTGAGAGCAGAAGAGAACTTGACGCAACGCTTCCACGCTTTCTTGCGTCGTGACGAATCACCACCGCCAGACTTATTCTTCAGATTCCTCATCGCTCTACGATGTAAGAACCGGATCAGCGAGGAAGGGGACAGTTCTCGTGTACTCCTTGAACGTTTTACACCTCTTCTTTTACCTTGGTACTTCCTCTTGCAGTACTGCTGGAACGACTGCTGCCAGATACGCATACTCTGGTATACCATGACGAGATGCTGTTTGAACTTGTTGTTGGCGGGGTCAACTTCTTGCATCTCGACGGGAGCAGGAGTATCAGGCGAAGTAGTAGGGTCGGCGATAGCGGTTGTGTCGTCGGTGAGGAGTGGCGGGGGAGTGTTTGAGACTGTGGAGTCTACATCTTCCCAGGAAGGGGAGGGGCTGCGGGAGATGGGATTTTCTACCGTGTGGGATGAGAGCGAGAAGGGACGGAGGGGGTTTATAAACTCCTGATCGATGATTGTGGAGGGGTGGGAGGATATGGGTGTTGGTGATATGATGTTGGGATGGTGGGTATTACGGGGACGAGCAGGTCGCGAGTTGGGTCTTGCGTAGGAGAAGTTTGCGTAGAGGTGGGAGCGTATGAGGGGCTGTGAAGGTGCTTGTGGGATGTGCTGATCAGGCGAGGGAGCATTGCGGTATGCCGTAGAGCGATATATGCTCGTTGCTGGGGAACCAGACCCATTGGTAACCTCCGAGGAACTTTTGCGGAAGTGGCGTTGAATAAGAGCTTTTCTTCGTTCTTCGTGAGCTGCACTGAGCTGGTATGGCTTGCGACGACCCGCTCTCAGTCCTTGACCCTCCCTGTCTTCTTCTACTGTGCTCATGATGCTCATCTCTGCGCACGCGGTTGCGAATTCTTCCATTTCTTTGTCAGCAGACTCTTCCATCCTACGTGCGTCTTCGAGCCGTCGAGTAAGATCAACAGGGTCTTGCTTATTAGGCATCAAGTACATACGTCCGCTTGCTGTACGTAAAATGGATTCCTTGCTGTTGTAGACTCCAACACTGGGAGAAGGTGGGTTGGACGTCCCTGGTATGGAGACGGAAGCACGAGTAGAGCACGTATATGATACCGGATTGCTCGAGGTTTGGTTAAGGTGAGTATTGGTAGGGTTCAGCGAAGTAGTGCGAGTAAGACCAGGTGTGGATGCCCTTTGTGGTACCTGTGGTATCTGTGGAGTCGGAAGTGGACGCGGTGTCGCCTGGGCAGACGCTATGGGAGGCGACGGAGGACTTATGATAGATACATGGGGAGAGGTAGTATCTGATGCAGCATCGAAAGCAAGTGAAACCGATGATAGAGTGTTGGTCGTCGTCATGCCAGGTACATCTCGCACTGGAAGTGATGGCAAAGGTCTCCCCGCATATGCAAGGGCACTGGCGTATGGATTCTGATTCAAATATTCATGCATAATGCGGCTGGAATCGTCTCCGCGGGATGCTACTTGGTCCTCTTCGGAACTGTCGTTAGTATCTTCGATATTTCGATCTAGAGGAGAGGGATCTATTGGACTTTGATGTGTGCCCATACTGGAAGCACTGTCCCTCTTCTCAGTCCACTGATTAGGTTTTACGCCCTGATAAATGGTTTCTTCTCGACTCTGAGGCTGGTATTGAGATTGATACTCCTGGGTGATGCGTGCAGGATTACTCCTGTTTTGCACCATCTCCATCGTATTGGTGTAATAGTCTCTGGCAAACATTTCGTCCACAGAGACTCGATTATGTGCATTACTTAGAAGAGATGGCCGAGAAAGATCTCTGAGAGGTCTTGAAGCGAATGGATTGTGCGTGTTCCAATGTCCGGTTCGAGCCACATTCATCTCATTGTTTCGGGAACTGGTATCGGGGCCATGAATTAGGTGTGATATGGATAGCTCTCGAAGACATCCAGCCATGACCTGGTTTGGCAGGCTAGCGATTGAAGACGCGTCCTTAATTTCATCTTGAGAGGAGGCCGGTGGTGTGTTGCAGTCAGAGAAGCCCCGTGGTAATTGTGGTGGAGGAGTTGCAGGCCACGCCCCTGGGACAATTGGCGTGGAGTTCCTCGCCAAACTTTCTGAATGAGCTGGCGTTCTGGTTCTCGCAGAGTTAGAGTGGGTTGTATTTGTGCGAAATGTACCGTGAATTGGAAAGTCGGTTACAGTATCTGTCGTGTGACGGGGACTGTGCTGCGCATTGTGATATGTCCTCGAACGGCCACCTATAGTCACCAACTTCGCCTTGTCGCTCTTGAACTGCATATTTGTCAACGCTTCCGCAGTTCTCTCGACACTACTCTCGCTTTCAAGTTCCTTAGAGCCTAACTTCTGACTTGACCTCGACAGGTCGCGTTCTTCTGAAGGGTATGGTGTTCCAGCTCTGACAGGGCCATGAAGATGCTCCCCCAAGGGTGGCGACTTGAGGATCTGCATTGGCGAGAATATAACTGAGCGGTGAAAGTCGGACGTAGAAAGGCTGTCATCATTTCGACTAGAGTATGGCCGACTTGAGCAGCTGTCGCTAGTAGTGATGCGGGTTGGAGCGTCTGAAATGTCCGAATTTTCGCTGACCAGGTGCGCAAATTCCGGCACAACTGAGCCTGATTCCAGCGTTTTCCGGCGAGAAGAGGTGGGATGCCCATTGAGTCCTGTTGGCGATGATCTACACATTTTTCGGGGCTTGTCTCTGTTGCAAATGTCCTCGCCCCGAGTGTCATGTCCTGGCGAACGACCACTGGACCGGGCATATCTCTTTGTAGCCTCGCTGTGGAAGTTTTGAGGCATGGTGACCGAAATATTCCAGTATAATAGTCGTAAAAGGGGACAAGGTTGAGAAGTAGTGCTGTCAATACAATCCGTGATGCGTGCCTATGAAAGTAGTACGACTGAAGGTAGGAGAAAGCAAGTGTGTAGAAGTGTGGGGGGAAGACTGGACACGTAAAATATCATGACCAAGGAATGATCTTGGCCAGAACAGTATCATCGTTCTAAGAGTGGCAGCCCATTGGATGGGGACTAAGTCACGAAGCAATTGATGGGAGTGAGCTTGACGCTTTGATTTCTATTCGCAGTCTTCAGATTCGTTACCGAAATCGCCAGAAATTTATTTGACGGGTCGCTCCTACCAAAGTTACGGTGCAGCCCGTTAAGAATCGATTATCTCATAAGCAAAGTCCAATAACACTCTAGAAGATACAATTACATGGTTTGTGTTGGAAAGCTGCCAAATCTCGGTTGTGATGGGTATGTGATAAATTCCCGTATTGATACGGCCCAACAAAGCTCTGCTAAACAGTGTTCGAGCTCTCCACATCCACCAAAGGATCCGCAGGTAAGGTAAATATCGTCATCGTCTTTGCAGGACTCGTGAAAGGTTGCAAGCCAGATGGTTGTGATATCGTTGTCTCTACTTTATGATTCAGACTAGAAGCAGCGTCCGCCAGGAGCATTTAATCCCTCGACCCCCTGCCCAATGTTTAAAAACGCAACTTCATTGTCTTTGTACGCTTGTGGTCGTTCTGTTTCGGGACGTCCCTCAATCCGCTGGTAGTCGGTATTAGTAGTCCGTTGCTAATCATGTGGGACATCCTGCTCCGACGGCTTAGGGCTACTAACCGTTTCCGATTGCGGCCGTTTTTTCGCTTTTGCTCTTGCCTCTTCGACCAGTTTATCGAAATGACTCTTATGTGCTATGCCATGGCCTGTCCCATCGAAATCCTTCTTCATGATGGTTGCGGTGCTAGCACCTTGGGCCCGCTCCCATCCCTCTAGTTCTCTGAGCAGCTCTCGTTCAGTCTTCCGAACATTTTCTGCCGCATCGCAATTCGAGTTAAAAATATTGATCCATTCTTGATGCCGTCTAACCATTACAGGTTTCGAGCCGCTGTTTGGTATCCCCAGTTCTTTCAACTTCTTCCTCAACGCCGCTTCCGAGAGCATGGCATAATTGAGGCCGGCCATACGTTTCACCGGTGCGGTCGGCTCTTTTAAATGGGGTTGCTTTCCTTCATCTTTGAGGACGTGATTCAATTTACTGTACGCTCTTATTAGCGTCCGAACTTTTTGGTGCTGAAATCACAGAAAGCTACCTCGAACGTGTCGTACGATTTGTGTTTTCTCCGGTGCAAACCTCAACATGATCAAACACTAACTCTTGTTTCATGACAGTACTGCACATAGGGCATCTGACGAAACCCGCCGGCAAATACTCGTCTCTCTCTCCTCCGCTGTCTTCCACAGTAGCGTACGGATTCGGGGCACCAGCTGAGCGACCACTCCGTGTACTCCTAGCCCTCGTCTGCCGTATTGGTTCTTTATCGTCTTCCAAATCTGTGTCGTCCACTTTTCTCTTCTTCCCACTGTCACTAGCACTGCCTTTGTCTCTTGCAAGCTCCAGGGCATCCGCGCGCGCGTCCTGCCACTTCGCTACAACCTCTCTGATTGCAATGTTCATAACCAATTTGTCGGCCTGACATATGCTCCTGCAGGAAGGGCATTTTCCGTCGACCGAAATGCATCTGCGTATGCATAGGCTGCAAAAAGTGTGGGCGCACGAGGTGGTAACGGGGTTATTGTAGAATTCTTTGCATACTTCGCAGCGGAGCGCGGCTTCGAGATGTGAGAAGGCAGGAATCGCAGTGGGGAGCCAGTCGGTAGAATCAGGGACATCTTTCGAAAGCTCCATCGCGGGCATTGTTGGCTGATTAGAATGCAGGTTGTGCAGATCTGCGTCGCGTGAACGCGGCGCGTCAGGAGCCTGGGCACGTGATGATGCTTTGTCAGCCAATCTATTGCTACGAGGAGAAAATGGTCGAAAACTCAGAGTCGATTGTTGGGGCATGGTGAAGTTGAGACATATGAGGCCGGTATATAGCTTCTGGAGAATCAAGAAGGTATTTGGGTGAGTGGTTGTGAGTGGGTATAAGTGTTAACCTCCAGGTGAGTGAGAGGAACTGAAGACGCGCAGTGGAGTGTCAACAGATATGTGATTCAATCTTGTTCTGCCGAGGAGCAAACAAAATGTACTTCACACTGAGTTCGCAGTTGATCTATAAGTTACTCGCATTCAATTTGTGATATTCATCAGGACTTAATGCTGCCAATGATTTCTCCTTGATGCCATGGATATTATCAGACCCGAAAACCACAATACGGATCGTTGCATACTGAAATGTAGCTTGTCGCTCCCCATATCTATACTCTAAAGACCGCCATTTTACTTTTGACGCCGTCGAAAATGCAAGTATTGTCTACCGGAACATATTGCTCAGTAATCACTTTGATGATCTCTTGCGAAACTGTCCCTCCGGTGACAGCGGAAATGTTGTGAAGCTCAGCACCACCCGCGCGGACGAGTTCCCCAGAGAATTCTTCCAGCTGCTGACCCAAGGCCGAGGAATCCTCATCGTCAAGTGATATACTTGCTTCCTTGGTCAATTGGGTTGCTATATGCAAAGCCATTCCCTTGACTTTTTCAGTATCTGACTCAATGTCTGATTCGGATGCGCCGGGTACTTTGGGAGCACCAAGCAGAGCGTCTTGATCGTGCGTTGCTACGAACTTGTCCCAGGCAAGGAAAGCAATATACAACGGGACAAGATCATCAGGGAAAGTCAATTTTTGCGCTATCCTAGTCAATAGTCTACTCTCGGGTCGGGGATATGAGGTCTTACCCATGGCTTTAGCCCTGTCCCCCCACTTCACTTCTCCTTCTGTAGGTACTACAGGGAAAGGTCGACCTCGTACTAGCTTGATGTGTGCGGCATTTTTGCAGAAAGTCTCGACATCCTTCTCCTTGATAGTTGTGCTTCTGTTCGCATTTCGTTCCAGGAAACGCACGCTGTCTAGTACCTCGGCAAGATCCTTTCTTGCTTTCGATTTGTACACATTTTGGAGCTCAATATAGTCGGCAGAGCGAGCTTTCATATCCGGAACCGATCCAGGCACAGGCAGAACGCCGTATTTTGTGTAGAACAGTCCGATCGCATTAGCTATCACCCAAAAGCTAGGCGAGTCTTGACGTATCAGGAGTGATTCGGGGGCTTTGAATATATCTTTGACGGTGCTACTGGGTTCGGGAGGATTTAGCGACTTGAGAACTGCTGCCACGGCCTCGTCGAAATTCTCTTCTCCACCCTCCGGATTGTTCGCACGTGCAGCCTTGGACACAATATCCCTGAACGCTGTCTTGTCTTTGTAATTTTGAGGCACCTGGCCGTTGTGTTCCTTCTTCCACTGTTCCAAGTGGTATAGTAATATGGCAACGAATGGAACGTGTCCATGGTCGTCGGCACTCATACCCTCCAAGTTCATCGTCTTTTGTGTGGCATATTCGATCAGCTCCGGCCACGGCTTTAGTAGCCGGAGGTCTGTGATGGATTCTGGGCTAGGATGACTATCGACAACGGGAAACGCAGGAGGTAGATGTACTGAGAAGTGCGAGTAGAAGCCGATGGAGTGGACGTAGAAAAGAGGGATCAATGCGGTGTTGGCATGGACAGAGAGCTTACTCAGATATTCGGATTTGATAGGTGCTGTTGCCAGGATCAATGTGTAGGGTGCGAGCGCATCGGGATTGGAAAGCCAGGTATCGATGGGCTGAAAGCTGTCAGTGACGTTTGGAATGGGCGTTCTTGAGTGATGCCTACCTCGGTGATGAAGTTACCATTCACATCGGGGTTCAGTTCCTTGAGCAAGTTGCATGTATGCTCTGCGCGGTAGCCTCCTAAATGTTCCTCTTCCAAGAAAAAGTTGACGCCCAAGTCTGCTTCTGATACCACAGTTGAGTCTTGTATAGTGAAGTTGCCAATCCCGGGAAGAACAAGATTTTTGAGGGTTTCGACACCGACTACGCCAGGACCAGAAATGACGAGAAGAATGTGGGCGTTCTCGAGTGCGATCTGGCCATGAGCTCCCCAAAGGCGCAGCTGGCGGTCGTACCTAATATTGTGCTTAGCTCCGCCGCATGCGAGTTCTCTGCAGACGGATTACTTACTTCTTTTCTTTTGCGGTAGGACCCTGCACAGGAGGAGGTAAATCCGCCATGTTCTCGGATCGGTTATATGCAAGGTCAAGAAAAAGAAGGGTTGTTGCTCAGTTGTGGTCGCGTCCCGCGGTGATGATGCTTGAGCTCCAGGCAACACGGTTCTGCCGCCGGTCACCGCCGGGGGGGGGACTGCTGTTATGACTGAGGCTGACATATGCATGCGATTTGCTGTCTGTCTTGGCATATGCTAATGGCGGGGCAGGCTGATCTTCCCGCCCAGGGTGACAGGGGCTCTTACTTTCGACCCCTCTTTTCGTCACCTTCGTCACCCTCGTCACCCGTGTGCTTCCATAGAGCCCGGTTTTTTCTGTACAAATCTACCTTGGTGCCCACATCTGCTCTTTTCTTCTCTTCGCCTCCAAGCTGTGATTTCTCTACCCTCGTAACATCTTTGCGCACATCAATTGATGCCCCTTTACATCCGACGACCACTGCAATCCCCGACAAGTTCAAACCGTTTGAACACTTTTGCGCTGCTTCAGCCCAGTCGCATTTATTTGTCTTGCTTCGCATCATCTTCACGTCGAGTCCCAGGCCCGTCACGACAGGATCGAGCTCTCTTGCCTTCGCACCGCTTCATCACACCCATCCGGACCTTTGCGAGTTACTCTAGGAGACAACACCAGGCGAAAATGTCAGACGCAAACGTTGAAGCCGCGAAACGCGCAGCCGCTCGACAGGCCGTGAAAGACCACTTCGATCCCAATGCTGCCAACGTAGGGATTGGTTCAGGAACAACTATAGTCTACGTGGTCGAAGCCATCAAAGAAGCATCCACAAACCCCGCCATCCGTTTTATACCCACCGGCTATCAATCACGACAGGTCATCGTGAAAGCCGGTTTGACCCCAATTGCGTTTGACAGCTTGGCCGAGGATACAATGCTGGATGTTGCTTTCGATGGTGCCGACGAAGTGGACGTTGAATTGAACTGCATAAAGGGTGGGGGTGCATGTCTGTTTCAGGAAAAGTTAGTAGCTCAACGGGCGAGAAAGTTTGTTTGTGTGGCAGGCAAGTCTCAAACCAATAATGCAACAGAGCCTACCTTGTCTAACAGTTCTTGCCATCAGACTACCGCAAAAAGCAGGATCGTCTCTTGACAAATTGGCCCACAATACCAATCGAAGTCGCACCTCTCTCCGTACCCGCCGTTCTCCGCGCCCTGAAGACTCTCGGTGCCACCGAACCCAAATTGCGCACCACCCTTCTTGAAAAGTCTGGTCCATTAAAGACGGACCAGGACTTTTACATTGTCGATGCGCCCTTCAAGACCCTCCTGGTTATGGAAGACGTCAAAACCGGCAAGGGCAATGGTGACGGCAGTGATGGTACATGGGAAGTGAATCGGCTCAGTGAGGCCATCAAGAGTCTTACGGGTGTGCTGGAAGTCGGCATTTTCTCCGGTCTGAATGGTCCCGACGCCGAGGCCCTCAGGGCAACGGACAGCAGGAAGACTGTCACAAGTGGGCAGAAGCCAGTCGCTGTATACTTCGGTATGGCCGACGGGACAGTGGAGCTCAGGACTGCTCAGCAATAGGTCTGCGTATAAGTTCTCTAACGGCACACTGTGCCTACTTGTGGGTGCTCTCCAGCAAGTTTAGGCATCGTTTTGCACTCTGTGATGCGCCACGACACAGCTCCATCTACATGTACAAGTATATCTATGTACATTTGCTTACCTATTCGAGTCGTCTATTCCGGTTTCAGAGTCCAATAGCTTGCGTAGAATGGTTAATTTCGATTTCACTTACATGTCCACACAGCCGCCTACACTCCCCCATATGTTTTGTTTTTGGGCAACACAGTGACTGCGCTGCTGTTCAACAGTGTCAAACCCATGGCCCTGTCACACGAATAGACTTATTCACATGCCACATCACAATCAAAAAAGGTCGAAATACTTTGCGTTCAAAATTCCATAAATCTCGCCTATTAAGAAGGACGAGTCGCAGAAAGGCTAAGTAATGCTTCTAAAAAAAAGATTCAAAAAATTCGGGTGGATAAGAATCGAAAAAAGTAGTTTTTCATCACATCTCCCATTCGTTCCATGTCCTGTCCCTCTATTCCACGGCAACAGCAACTGTGCGAACAAACACGCCAACACACAGACGACAAGGGAATGGTAGGCCACAGACCTTTACCATTCGTGTTCAGAGTGTGTGTTTACAATCCCCTCATGCGGCGGTGGTGCACGCCTCTCCTCCTCTCGTAGACGGTCTGGTAGACGACTGCGGTTTCGGTGACGACGGGGCCGGGGGCCTTTGTCACGGAAGCCGAAGGTCGCGACTTGGACCTGGTCTTGGTGTAGGGTCTGCCGTTGTCCCTGTTGCCGGTGGCCGAGGGCATCGACTGTTCGACCTGAGTGGGAGCAGCCTGGGAAGAAGAGGGGGCGGCTTGAGAGGAAGGAGCAGGCTGTGCCGCCGCCGACGACGACGGGGCGGGCTCCACCTCGGCAGCAACAGAGGTTTCTTCAGCCTTGCTGTTGTCGTTGGACGACGATGACGGAGCAGCAGCGGCATCGCCTTGAACGACTTCCAGCTTGCTGCCCATGACGGGTCCGACATCGATCTTGGCCTTCTCGGGGGTGAGGTCTTTGCCCTTGTTAGGCGGGCCAGTGAACTGCTTAGCTGTGCATGCATCGTTCATAGCGGTGCACTTTGCCGACCAGATCTTGCACAGCTTGCCGCCCGTGGGTCCGGCTTCCGCCCAGCACTTCTTGTCCTGGGCCCAGCATTCTTCGCCGGATGCCCAGCAGCCCTTCTCGTCGCTGTACGAGGAGACTTCCTTTCCGCACCAGTTTCCGTTCTCGAGGATGCAGCCTTCGGGCTTGAGGCCCTCGGTCTGCGTGGTCTCGCTCTTGGAGGAAGCTCCGGAGACGAGTTTAGCGACAGGAGGGCCGGCGACTTTGTACTGGTCGTTCTTCTTGTTGTAGATGTTGAACTGGACACTTGGGTCTCCGGCCTTTACGTATCCGGGGATGGAAACAGTCGATCCTTTTTCGGGACCGAGGTCGCCCTTGGAGTCGACGAAGATCTGACCGCAGCCTAGGTAGAATTGGCCATCGCCGTTTGTGGCGTTGTGGAGGGCCAAGACTTCGGGGCGAGCGAGGTAGTATCCACCAGCGAGGTTTTCGGGGATCTTGACGGAGAAGTGGCCTTTGTTGTCGATGAGGTCGTCGGTGCACCATCTGTCGGTATCCTTGTTGTAGCCTTGCTCGTAGAGTTTGAACCAGCCGTCGCCAGCACCCTTGTCCTCAACAGCAGAAGATACCTTCTTCAGGTAGAAAGCACAAGGGCCGTAGTGCTGTCTGGCCAGGGATTCCTTGGACTTGTCATCGGGCCAGGATCGCATCTCAAAAGTCAAGGTGGATCCGTCCTTGATAGGCTGAACACGTGAGACACCAGTAGTTCCGTCGACATCTAGAAGCGTTTGTCAGTCAATGTCTCCCCAGCGCGTGAGGGGGCAGAGTTGGCATACTGCAAGCCATATCATCACTGGCGTAGTTGTTGATAGGGAAGGTGGTCTTGGCCGGGTCTTTCCTCATACGAACACCAACGGCATCACCCTATATTTTGTCAGTAGGCTGATATGCTGAATTTATTGGAAGTACGCACCTGGTCGAGACCATCGATATAAAAGTTGGTCCAGGCGGTATGGGCCAAAGCCGAAGGGGCGGCAGCCAAAGCGGCAACGAGAACAGACTGAGTCTTCATGATTCGAATGGTTGTTGTTGAACGCTGATATCCAATCGCGGGTTCGGTAGTATAAGCAACGAAGGATAGTTGAGTCGCTAGGACTTGTAGGATGACAGTGATGGTTTCTTAAAAGAATGTCAACGTCGACTGGCGACGGGGTGCAAGAGAAGAAAAGAATGTGAGAACCCGAATGGGAAAAGAGAAGGACGAAAGTTGGGTACTGCGAAGAGTTGAACACCGGTCAAGGTGAAGAAGAAAGAGAAAGAAAGGATGCGAACGGGGGCGGGAAAGGGTAGGGTTTTGATGTGTGAAGATTGCGGGCCAAGATGGCAAGACGCGATTCACTGTCATACCGGCCAGTACAATCTTATTCCCACATACATAGCCAGAGCAGGCTACAGGCTTGGAGGGCCAACTCCGCAAAGTGGCACTCATCTCGACAACCCTTGCCATTCGCATCGCAAAGTCACGATTAGTATACCAAATCTCGCCTTGCCTCGTGTTAGTGTAGGCGTGCGTCCCGGGCGCGTGGATGGCCAGGCGGGCCACTAGAGCCAATGGCGGGCGTTTGGTGACACCCGTCCCGAAACGTGAAACAGCCACTACAGGGCGGGAGATGACGGATTGACGCCAGGGGGTCAACCTCATTTCTGTCTCTCTCACTCTCTCTCTGTCTGTATTCATGACTGACTTCTGATTTCAATTGATTCTCGCCATCGATGCAGACATCTCCACACACGCACACGACATGCACACGTGTTGCATTCCTCCTATATAAACTGTGTTGAACAGGTCGCCGATATCCCCATGCATGCATACATATGTATATCGAGCAAGACATGCGGTGCTCCTCCACTCCTCAACAGAAAAAGAAAAAAAAAAAAAGAGAACCAATTCACAAGCCTCTATGCGCGCGCGACCATCGTTAGCATCTCCATAAACCACCTTCCATTCATCCATCTCGAACCCGCAAAAAGAGTCAGTACACAGCAGCGTCCCTTCGCCCTAACTAACCATCTAGTCCAATCGCTACCCTACTCTTCTCTAGTCAGGAGAAAACAACTCCATCACCTCCACATAACCACAACACCACAAAACTCTATCTTATCGTGCTCCGAATGCCGTGCCGTCCAGAGCACAGCATACGGCGTCAGATTTTCAAGCTACAGCGTGCGCTTCTGTAGTTCGCGGGGGCTTGGAAGTCCAACTAATGGCGTCTTTTTTGTTCCTTTTGCTGAGCGAGCCACCCGTAACCCGGCCTCCCATCATCACACCATTGCTCAGTCACCAGTGACCTCCGCAGCCCACGAGGCCAAGCATGTTTCGCCGACTCCGGCCTTGTCTGCTGTTTGTTGCTGAGCTGTCAGCACCGACGTTATTCATCATGAGTATCTAGTATAGTTCGGAGTTGGGCTTTTTTGCCTTGGCATATCTTATTATTCTTCACATGGAGAGATGGAGAGGGGGAGACAATATGGAGAACTTCGGCATGCATGTCACTAATCCAGCACTTGCTCTACCATTCCATTCCCCGTTTCCGTTTCACCCCTTATAGCAATCTTTGGTATGCTATGTTTCAGAAAGTAGTCTTTTTCTCTAAACGGATTCCCTTCCAACTAACAAAACATCCCGTGTGATCATCAATGTGGAGTCGTCCCCCCTCTACCTATACCGATCCCGCTTTTCCCTCGGTACGCCTTCCTCAACCACCCCCGCCCGTTCTGGACTCCTCGCCATCTATCCCGTAGGACTGTGAAGTTTTCCGGTCGTACGGGGACGGCACTCCCCCCTTTCTTCCTCCCCCTTTGATTTCCACTGCCTTCTCATCTTTTTTTGCTTTCTTTTTTTTTAGCCTCTGCTGATTTTCTGTTACCCCATACGATATGTTCCGTCTGACGGGTTGGATTACATATCCCACGTTCCACAGCATCGCCAAAGCCCGAAACTCAAATCTCATCTTTGTACGCTCGCGTACTGCGTACGAGAGATTGCTTGCATACATGTGTGTGTGCATATGCGTACATGCAATCTGTACTCTCTCCTCCTCGTGATGCTGATCGTCCTACCCTCTACATACATGAGCGCCACATAATGTATAGTGCATATCATCTGCTCCAATTGCCATGGAATTGAATTTATGAACTTTAAACAAGTCCCAACTACAGCACAGGGCTAGCCAGCTCGCTGTACGACTGGCACTGAAGTATGTCGACTGGAATCTGCGTTCAACTCTCCCGGGTGGCTTTTTCTCTCCCGCCACGGGAAGCCTTGGAGAGCAGAGTGGGGTAAGGGCGACCGATCGTGGGTACGGAGAGGGAGGGAACGAGATAAGCAAGGAGAGGATGGGGGAAGGAAGGGGGAGGATGATAGGGAAAGAAGCGAGTCGTTGTTCCCAGAGTTCGACTTTCTAGGAATTCTGTACATGGAAGACCAAACAGATCCTCCTGCTCGTGAAATCTCAGTTTGATTAGCCTGGGGCAATATAACATGCCTCATCAATCGCAATAGCCCCAATAAACTAGTAGAGCTCCAGATGACAGCATACTATTTCTACACTTCTAGATAAGTTAGGAAACAATATATCAAACAGCAAACACAGTAGAGGAAATTGTGCGCTTCTCCAATCTACCTTCATCCCCACACACTCTATTGAACTCTAGATCTAGCCCAAGCACAACCTTTCACCTTCTCTTTCTTGTTCCATTTACTTCGCCCTCGGTAGGTGGATGAATTACACAGTCTCCACGGTATAAGAGTAGTAAGGGTTCCTGTCCTTCATGAGCTTTCGCTGTTGTTGGAGCTTACGTTCCCTTCTCCGCTTCTGGCGCTCTCCCAGGCAGCCGTCCGACTGCCAGAAGCATTCGTGGTTGTACAGGCACCTGTAAAGAAATATAAGCGCCGTGTACGCGGCAAAGACTTGCAAACAAAATAAGACAATCCAAGCACCCTTTAAATAAGAGTCGAAATCGATTCCGTTGGGTTTGATATCCCTCCATATTGATGACCACGCCGAACATGAAAGCAAACGCATAAAATTAATATAAACACTTACTTGGCCATAACCAGCAACCAAACCGATATCAGGCCCGCTGCAAAGATGGCACCAATCAGGATAGCGATGTCTTTATATCCCTTTGCCATTTCGTTGTGCAGCATCTTGGGCTGCCACTCATCTGGGACCTCGGACAGCGAAATGGCGTGCATGCTGTTCGCGTCCGAGGCATCCCACGTTCCTGGAGCAACAGTGTCTCGAAGAGATGGCGCTATGTGTCTGCGGACGTGCGAGAGAGGGTGATCTGCTGATCGAACTGATCCCTGCTCGGGTTCGTGGTGTATAAGAATAGATGGAGGTGAAGTGCTGTCGCTCATGGTGGAATGGTGTCCGGGTGTTCCTGGGGTGCTGTGTCGTAGAGGATGATGTACAGGATTCTTTGTTTTGAATCGGTGGGTCGAGGAGCGGGAGGTAAATGTTGTTTCTTGTGGTATGTTTGTTTGGTCCAGTCTATTGGCAACGACTCAATCTGTCCCTGATCATTGCAATCCCACGTTCACATGTCGAAGTTTTGCTGATACGAAGTTGGCTGGGTCGTGTATCAAAAAACATGAATTTGTTGGGTCAAGATTATACACGATTGGCGGGTATGTCATTCTCCTATGTCGAATTGATATAACTCTGGTTTCATTGCCTTGTGGCGCGGGGTTGTTGCCCCTATATTTACTGTTTTGGTTCGAGAATGATGTTATCAATCAGCCGAACGGGTATCTGTCCGTCTCCAACACCAAGCTCCTCGCCTTCGAGAGGCTGCTCCACGGGCAGCATTTTCACGGCGCCGCTTAAGATGGCTCCTCGAGTCTCGTCCACTTCGTCAATCTCCTCCATTGTTTCGGGATCGGCAAGACTGATGTAGTCAACCTCAAACCTGGCGCGTTTGCTTGGATCCAAACTTTCCTGCTCAAACTGCACTTTGTCCGCGTGATCGTTGGCTTGCCAGAGAATATCCCCTCGGTTTCTCTTCCCCGCTTTGTACTGCGCTTCCGCTTTCCGTAGACATTGGTTGAGCACGATGCCGACATTGCGCCGACGGGCTCCCAAGTATACGTTTCGCGACGACAAGGCTAGACCGTCTGGCTCGCGTGAAGTTGCACCAATTCTAACATCCATATCCAAATGAAAATCCCTAACCAACTGACGAATAACGACTGTTTGCTGCACATCCTTCTGCCCAAAATATACTCGATCAGGCGCGCAAATGTTGAATAACTTCATGCACACGGTTGCTACACCGCGAAAGAAAACTGGTCGCGACGCGCCTTCAAGAAGTTGACCAAGCGGGCGCATCTCGATGAACGACCCGACGCCGGGAATGCTGCTATCTGGAGGCAGACTTGGATACATGGTCTTGGTGGTAGGAGCGAATACGGCCGAAACGCGTCCAGCTCCTGCGCTCGCAAGCTCTTGATCCAAAGTGTACAGCAGCTGTAGATCCGCTTCCCATGTTTTTGGGTACGACGCAAGATCCTCATTCAGACCGAACTGTGTTGGGTTCACATAGATTGTAACGAACACGTCCGTGTTCTCAGCTGCCGCCTGCCGAACGAGAGAAAGGTGCCCCTCGTGGAGGGCTCCCATTGTCGGAACAAGACCGACGGTTCGTTTGTTCATCAACAGACTTCTCCGATATTGCCTCAGAGGTGCTACATCGCGGAATATCAGTGTAGGCGCATCGGACGGCCCTGAGCTACGGTGGACCCTTGCGACGGAGAAACAACGTAGATTTTGTCGGGCGATAGGAGTGAGAAAAGCGGGAGTCCGGTTGATAGATAGTATCTGAAGAGATCTCAGGACTGCCATGAGTTAGTGGTGGGTTCAATGGCTCCAGGGAGCAGCTTACCTCTCAGACGTGTGTGAGCCATTGCGGAGGTTGCGGAGGAGAAGCTCCGGGTCATAGTTCGACCTAAATTCTCAAGATGGGTGTTTGTAATCGAATTTGGGATATAATCCTCCTTCTACGATCGCCGAGTGGGAGAGAAGTATGTGAAAAATCATCGTGGGCCACATATGAGAAAAGGGATGGGAAGTATCTTTTCTGCGCCGTACATATCCTCATGGTTACCAATCACGTGTCGAGGCTCTGCGGGTGGAGCGGGAAAAGGGTCCGTGCACATACTCCACCAAAAAGTCTCGGTGGTGTTGGATTTTTGCCAAAGACCGCCAGGCGACAACCACCAACTAAACAGGATTTTCCTACTCAGCCATAGCAAACATGGCCGACGATGGCATGCTCCTCAATTTCTCGATACCCGAATCCGGAATTCTTAACAAGCCAAAATTCAAGGGCGGGGCCTGGCGAGATCGTCTGACAGCGAAAAAGGCTGCCGCTAATTGGCATTCGAAAGCAACAGAACGCCTCACCGGAGAGAAGGCTTCGCCAAAAGCCAACACAAAAGCGACGAACGTGAACCGCACAGAGCTAGGACCACGAACCCAGGCAGCGCCGTATCCAACAGATTTCGATATAGAAAGACCAGCCAAACGACCGCGTGTGGGAGAAGGCGTGAAGACAAAGTTTGATGATAATGATGCGCCGACCGCAGAGTTCCGCCCACAATCGAATGCAGGTGTTACAAAGAAGCCAGGGAATCAGCAGGATTCTGGGAAAGGCGGGAAACAGATCGTCTCCTCGCTCTTCTCGTACAACCCCACCTCGACAACCAAATCGCAGCCACAGCCTGAGAACGATGAAGTTATCGAACCGTCCAACGCCCCCCTCAAGAGCGAACTCGATACATTTACTTCGCTTGGTATATCTGAATCGCTCGCCACACATTTGCTCAAGAAGATGGACTTGAAAGCGCCAACGGCGATTCAAAAGTCGGCAATTACGCAGTTGCTCAAAGACGACTCGGATGCATTCATACAGGCCGAAACTGGTTCAGGAAAGACGCTATCATATCTTCTGCCTATAGTGCAAAGGCTCATGGAGCTGTCGGCCAATATGAGAAAGCGAAAGGTAGACGAGTCAGTGTCTCGGCAATCTGGGTTGTTCGCTATTGTGTTGGCTCCAACGCGAGAATTGAGCAAACAGATTGCGACTGTGTTGGACAATCTTTTGCGGTGTGCTCACTGGTTGGTGGCCACAACTGTGATTGGTGGTGAGAAGAAGAAATCTGAAAAAGCACGTCTAAGGAAGGGTATCAACATTTTGGTTGCCACGCCCGGTCGGCTTGCAGACCATCTGGAACATACAGAAGCGCTGGATGTCAGTAATGTGAGGTGGCTCGTGCTGGACGAGGGCGATCGCCTGATGGAGCTGGGCTTCGAAGAAGAGATCCAGAAGATTGTTGGCAACCTGAACAACCGAATGCGAGTTAAGAAAGATGCCAGATCCGCGATACCTGGTCTACCAAGCAAGCGAACCACAGTCCTTTGTTCCGCAACCATGAAGATGGATGTTGAACGGCTAGGACAGATCAGTCTGAAAGACGCTGTACACATAAAGTCTGATCCGGCACTACTCGCAGAAAACGGCGAGTCGGAAGAGCAAGAAGAGCAAGGCTTCTACGCTCCAGCGCAATTGAAGCAATCATATGCGGTAGTTGCGCCAAAACTGCGCCTCGTTACTCTCATCAGTTACCTCAAGCGCGCATTCGCGCGGAAAGGCTCAGTCATGAAGGCGATTGTCTTCATCTCTTGTGCTGACTCGGTTGATTTTCACTTTGATATACTCACAAGCAAACTCGAGGATGACGAGGAAGATTCTAAGGAAAAGGAAAAGGACAAAGCAAAAGATCCTGAGCCAGATTCCGACAAGAAGAAGGGACCGAAAGCCGTGACCCAGGCAGACCCAACGAAACTCGCAGTAACTCACGCCGAATCTCCAACCCTTTCGTCCAAGACTCATGCTGTCATGACCTACCGCCTCCACGGCTCACTCCCGCAATCACTTCGTACCTCCACGCTCGCACACTTCAGCAAGAACACCGAAGCCTCTATCCTTCTCGCCACCGATGTCGCCTCTCGCGGTCTCGATCTCCCCAACATCGACCTCGTCATTGAATTCGACCCAGCTTTCGCCCGGGAAGATCATCTCCATCGTATCGGTCGTACGGCGCGTGCCGGACGAGATGGACGAGCTTGTATCTTCCTCATGCCAGGTTGTGAGGAAGGCTATGTCGAGATACTCGCCAATGACCGTAAGAAAGACAACAGTGAGACGGGCGCGTACCACATCGGCCGACAAGATGCCGACGAGATTCTCAAGCGCGGTCTCATTACTTCAGGTGTCGTGTCGACCAAAGATGGCGCAAAGACGGCCTTTATGGAGAAGGCTACGGACCTCCAGCTCGCTGTCGAGCGCTGGGCCTTGGCGTCGCCGTCCCGCCTCGAGGCTGCCCGTCGCGCGTATCAGGCTCACGTCCGTGCCTATGCCACCCACGTTGCTGCTGAACGCGGCTATTTCGACATCAAGCAGCTGCATCTAGGTCATCTTGCCAAAGCTTTCGCTCTAAGGGAGCGCCCTAGCGGCATGAAAGTTCCTGGATTGCGAACTGGGACAGGCAGGGAGGACAAACGACCTGCTAAGATTCGAGGTGCGGCAACGGCGGAGAAGAAGGCCGCTGCTGCTGCTGGGGAAGGAGGCAAGGCTGATCTCCGTGAGGATGTCAAGGAGTTGGATGACAGTGAGGAGGCGAAGAAGATGAGAAAGGCGGTTAGAGCTAGGGAGAAGTTTATGCGGCATGCGGGTATGGCTGCCGAGTTCAATTTGGGTTGATCGCCAATATGATGAACTTGGGAGACTTTCTTATATTTTCATTACTTTATATCAGCGAAGAACGCATACTTTTTTCTCTATATTCCGATCCCCTGCGTTCTGATTTTCCAGTAAGTCTATTTCTCTTGCGTAGTAAAATTAGCTAGCGATGTGAGACAAGATACATCAAAATGCAAACCTCTTTCAAACAAGTCCATACATTGCCTGTGCTCGTTTGCTACCACCCAAAGGATATTACAGTCAGCCATGCCATATCCCAGGGAGTGACGTTTGTGTATGCTGTTCTAAGCTCCATAGTACATATGTATATTGAGTAGCTCCATAGCTAACTACCTCCTTCCTAACGTGAGAAGTCGAACAAGTAGGCCATGAGAAGAAAGAGCACATATCCCAATAAAACGAAGGAGTAACATCGACAATGAATAGCAAGTTGGAGATTAGGTGATTCCACACACAGCCTTAGAGACAGACGAGCAAAGCATCAACCACCGAGTGAACATTTTTTGCCTACTCTACAACAACTAAACGTAACTAAACAAGAATGATCAGTCCCCTGCCCATCATCCATCAATTTATCTCATTCAGAAAGAATGTACCTACTACCCCTCTTCATCCACACACACACGCCTTGCTCTACTTGCGTACTAGACAAAACAGACCGTCTCTTCCCTCTCTCCCCAACGAACCCACACCACCCACCTGCCTACCCCAGAAAGTTGCAAAAATCCAAAAAATCTACAAAATCTAAAAAAAAAGAAATGATTGATGAACCCAAGCGGATTCGAACCGAAGCGACCCAGAAGGAAAGTGGAACCCAGAGCACCTACCAGGGCAGCCGAAGGACTGCTAGTGATGGCTCTCCAGCGGGACCAACCCAGTTCTGTCATTTCCTTTTATGGAGGAAGTTTACGGTTTAATTGTAGATATAGAGGACGTAAAAAAGGCAGATGCTTGAAGGTGGGTGAGGAGGAGGGAGCGAGGGAGGTGGCGTAGCGTCATTTGTTTGCCTGGGGAAGGGGGACAAACAAACAAGCAAACAAACAAACAGGCGGCATTGGGGTCAAACACCTCCTCTTCCTCGTCGGCGTGTCGTCCACCGCGCCATTACTACCTCACTCTATGCCGCCCGTTCGACGATCGCCGCAAGACTCGGTCATTGTACTGTCATGGATCCCAGCCCAGCATCAAAACGTCCTGACCTCCCTCGTCGGCACCGTCAACCATTCTGCGGCAACACAAAGACCTTAGCTAAATCATAACTCTTTCTTTTCATATTTGGTGTGAACAGTGCGTAGCCCTCTCTTTGGGGACGTATACGCCGCGCTATTGCTACCTCGTAGCGCGTATGTTCCAAGGAGTAAACGGGCGCATCTTGATAGGGAAGGAGGAACAAGAACAAGGAGAAAGAGAAGGACGAAACGAAACAAGAGGCTGGTTGTTGGTGTGGAAGGGAGGTTGCTAGTATGATCTATTAACGTATCCTTTATCCAAACTACTGACTTAACCACGCTAAGAAATAGAGTGACCAGACGTCTCTCCCATAGCCAAGTGAATTCCAGGTAAGCCCATCGAGGAATAAAAAATAAGAATCCCAAAGATAAGAAAACCAAGTAGAAAGAGGTAAATAGCAGTCGGAAAAAGGAAAGAGGATATATCGCATAAAGCATCATTGATACCACTCACTCTCGTCATACAACCCGCCATCACCGACAGAATACGCACCCATGGCGGCGTTAACTCCATTCACACCACCGCCACCGTCTACGCCGCTCATAAGACCCTCAACATCGAACCCAGGGCTACTCGCGCCGAGGATTCCTCCACCACCACTGCCGCCTTGCCGCGACTGTTGCGCAGCAAACCACTCAGCAGCAGCGTTCAAGTCATCTGTTCCATTCCCAAGACCGCCAATAGCAGCACTGGCAGCCGGGTGTCCTGATGACACGGCTGGAGCCACAGCGGCAGCAGCAGCGGTGGTCGCAGCAGTGGAGGCGGCGAAGTTCCAGTTATCGAAGCCTAGGGCGAGTTGGTTCTGATCACGGAGCCACCAGTCTTGGCCTTCGCGCATGAGCTGTTCGACGCCGCCGAAGACTTGGCTAGGGGAATTATGGTCGCGCTCCGGGAGGGATGCGTCTATGGCTTGGCGGGGTTGGTTATTGAGGAGGGTTGCGGTGGTATTGTTGTTTGGGGTCGTGGGCTGTTGGTGTTGGAGATGGTTGTGGGGTTGTTGAGATTGATTGTTACTCTGTTGCTGGAGCATTTGGGATAAGCTGGCTAGATCGGTTGGCGTTGTGGCGGCTGTGGAGAGTCGGTGTGCGGCTTCTGAGTCGGGGTTTGCGGTGAGAGTAGTGGGTATGCGTGCTGTTGTTGTGGTTGTGGGTATGATGCCACGATTGAAGAAGTGTGTCGCTGAGTTGGCGAGACTTATGCTGTAGGGCTGGAGAGTCGGGCTTGTCTGGAGAGGTGGCTGGGTTTGGAGGAGTTGCTGTTGCTGCTGATGTTGCGTGCCTTCGACCGTCGTGGGCCGTGGTTCCCTTTTTCTAATCTTGGGTGTGCTGACACCTTCCCAGGGCCCGAATTTGGCGTCTGTACGGGCAAGCACGACAAGTGCATCCTCGGGGAGCTCGACTTTCCAGCTTTTCACCAAAGTACTGAGGATGTGGAGAGTTCGTCGGGCACAAAGCCAGCCTTCTGCGATTTCTTCTAGATGCTTGACTCCGTGCACTATATCCCGCTTTGCGCTTTTGTCGGGCAAGTTGAGAAGGTGAATGGTGCATGCCGAGTGGGCAATGTAGACGACGATGTTGCAGATCTGGCGCAGACCATGGGAGCGTTTGTAAAGACGAAGGAGCTTCGATATCATAGCCGCGGCCTGTGTGCAAAGCTTCCGCGGTGACACGTGGGCAGGTAGTGGGGAATTGACGGGATTGTATTTCAAGAAAGGACGGAAGAGATGGATGAAGAGGAGTTGGAAGAACATGCTTCGATGCGTTAGTGAGAACGAGTTAGTGGGGATGCATCAATACTTACTGCATGACGAGCATGGCAGGTAGACCTCCTTCCTTGGGCTCAAGTTCTTTGGGAAGCTCCCTCCGCCACGTTTCCAGCCGTTGGTGGAGTTCACTCAGTTTCTTCAATTCTGTCTGCTTCCCTCTTGCCTTGTCCATATCTATGGGATTATAGAAGTGGTTCATCAAATCGCTCGAGATCTCACAGAGTTTTGATATTTGAAGAGCAACCTAGGAGGTGTTAGTTGAGATACTATCAAAAGCTCAGAACATGTACTGACAGCTCGGGTACGAGAAGGCTGCGAATGCGCCTGGCTGATTCCGGAATCTGTGTGCGCAGACCAGATCTCCGAGTCTTCAACAGGAAAGACTTCGTATTTGGGTACAGTGACTATCGAACTGGGTAGCTGTGGCAGTCGTCCTAAATAGTTGGACCAACATCTGTAACAGCACTTAGGTTAGTGATTATTCGCGCTCGGGAAATTCGCATTTGCTCGCAAACCTGTGGACTGCATCTTGACCCGACTGCTCCAACTCCGAATACTGATTGAGAAGAAAGGAACTTACTTGTCGAAAAGGAAACACCCCCAGAAAGTCACTCTCCTGGCATCTTCTTCTACCTCTCCCATCCCCTTCCCTCCACCTCTTCCCATGCCCAGATTGAGACCCAAATCGCAAGCCATCCGGAAACTCATACCGCTATACACCCAACCCTTTGCTTCTCTGCCACATCCTGCCTCCCTCACACTCATCAAGGCCAGCGCTTGCACAGTGGTCAATGCCGGCACTTCATGAAGATCATCTTCCAAGATCAAGCGTTTAGCCTCTTTGAAGAAGTGGTCACCGGCCGTAGCGCTATCACTGCGCACGCTGCGAGCTGCAGGCCAGGACGTGAAGTGACATCCAAGCGCTAGCATCGCATTGACAAGGAGAGGAGTGCAGTATGTTGGTTTACTAGGAGAATCGGGCGGAGGAAGCCCGCGGCGGAATTCTTCCATGAAGAGGTGTTTAGATAGGGTAGTGAAGAAGCTGTAGTGCCAGCAGAAGTACATGTCGATGAGGTGTCGGACGAGTTCGGGGTCGGACGTGACGGTGGTCCAGGAAGTCAGGGGGTCCTCGTTTTGCTGCTGAAAGTATGCATCAGCAGCGGAGGGAGGCACAGGGGAGTCGGTACCATCATTGGCGGTTCCGAAGTGAATGAGGTGAGAAGTTCCGCCGATGTAGCGTGTTGAACCGTGATCGAGACGAAGCTCGCCCATCTTGCCGCTGAGCTGGCTCTCGAATGTGGGCTTGACGCTGCCGTCGCTGTGGTCTCCTCGGCCAACACCCTCATCACCCACGCCTTCTGGATCAAGCGGCTCTTCATCGTCTCCTTCACCATTTTCCTTTGCTATTATGGCATCGGCCACCGCGTCTAAGCTCTCACAGGTACGTATCTGGCGAACTAGGGACGTAACCTCGTCTTCTGGATAGTTCAAGATGGCCTGGATGAGGGTCTGCAAGGTGGTGTTGCGAGTCTTCAAGTTGTCAATGTCATTCTTGTAGACCCCTTTGCGACGATGATCCGAATTGGGGTCGTATATACAAGGCGTGTTGTACACGGCAGCGCAGGCAGAGCATGCAGGCGTAGTACCGTCACACTGTAACACATGGTTAGCAAGCGATAGACTTGGCCTTCTCAGTCACTCATCACTAGCGATCGTCACAAGATTGATTCGCAATCACTTATGATGTTGCGCTTGCGCTATCCGACAGCCGCGGAGTATGTGCGTAGACACAGTACGGTGCCGGAGAAACACAACCAATTCACCCATCTCCACATGCGCGCTGCGGGACTTGGCTCCATACAGGTACGCAAACTGCGCACGCATACACACAAGACGAATTGCATCATACATACCTTACTCTTTCTTTTGCGACATGGCACGCAAGCGGAACTTATACATCTCCTCTTCTTCCCAGCATCATCGCTATCCTTCTTCCCTTTTCTGCGGCCTTTGGCTGGCGTCGTGCTTTGAACCTGCTCTTGGTTGTCGCGTTCCTTCTCCTCGTGGTGTTGGTGCAGACTGCCCTGGTCGGACATTGCGGTGTCGAAGCCGTTCATGACCATGTTTATTCCTACCTCTTGACAAGATTTTGCCTTTTCAGCCCGTACCTATACTTTGACGAACAAGCACATGCAGCGGCAGGAGGTCCGGAGATAGCGGTGGGTAAGGCGGAGGAAGCGAGTACCTATTTTCAGGGTCGATAGCGGGGTTGGTTTCTGATTTTCCACGAGGAAAGCCTGGGGTAACAAAAGGGTGGACTCGACACGAAAGCGACAGGGCCACGACAAACGCAGCGCAGCGCAACACGTTGGAAGTGAATGCGCAAAAGCCTCGCCCGAGGAGCTTGTTTTGTTGCCGCAACAGTAATGTTGATTTCCAATAGACACAGCTGGTGAGGATGCGAACGGCGTCATCTAGCAGCCCAAAGCTCTTCTCCGCATGGCGGCTGCATCCACAGGCAGGGATGCAGGGGCGATCTATCTGCTGTATGTTTCTTTGCTTTGCTTCCGACACTCTCTCTCTGGAGCACTTTCTGATCTATCTCTTTCTCTCAGGGCGGGCAGCGCAGCATGGTCACCATTCGAGGGACGCTGATAGTCCGAACACGAGAGCAGGTCCGGTTCGCTGAACAGGCGCGTGGTGATTGGTTGGCTACAGCCTAAGAGGGTGTCTTATCGGAACGGCTGAATTGTCGCGGGTGGGAACATCTGCAATCGACGCCACGTCTGAGCCTGGGCGAGTACCCAAGGGTTATTGCTTTTGCCTCGCTTTCTCGATCCCTCAGCCTTTCTTTGCTTTTGGCTTTTGCGATTTGGTGAGTTGGTCTGGGAGAGGGAAGAAGAACATCGTGTTAGCTTGTCTCAAATGTCGTTCTCTCAACCATCTAGACCGGCCCGAGAGCTGCTGACGCAGCAAGCCTTGAACCTACCCCCCCACTCCGCATCAATAGACATCACATTTGCCACTCTTCACTTGCTGCCTGTGTTGATGGAATGCCGACTTGTGTTCACGGGAATAAGGCAAAGAAGCCCTGTGCTACCAATGACAGCACCCCGGAATATCCCACCCAGAGCCATACATGCAAGTACCAAGATCCCTTATCAGTAGCTTGGCTGCCCATAATGACATACCAAGTCATGGAAAATCGAATAATCCCAAGACCTCCCAGATACCCTGATTTAGATCTGACGATATGGCTGCGAGGTGACTCTCAGTGCCTTATCCCGAATCTGTTTTCCCCCGCTTCTCTCGTCATATCCACCCAAGTGATAGCAAATTGAAAGATCCCAAGACCTCCCAGATACCCCGATTTGGATCTGATGATATGGCTACGAGGTGATTCTCAGTGCCTTATCCCAGATCACTTTTCCTCCGCTTCTCTTGCCAAAATCGCCATCCCAAAATCGCCATATCCACCCAAGTCATATGTCAAATCATCCAAACCCCGTTACATCAAACCATGTTGTACAGAGAAATCCCCATCAGTCGTCGTTCACATAGCCCTCGTGATCGTCATCTGCCCTGAACCCCCCACGTGGGTCGGGATTGTCGACCACGATAAACGGGTTTCCAGCCTCGTCCTCGTCCAGATTGCCGAACAATCGCATAAGGTCGCGAACTATACACTATCAGAATACTCTCGCGGAAAAAAGAACCATTGGTAGACTTACTGCTCATACTGCTGGTGGTCTTGCCTTTGTCCTCCATGATCGCGTCAATCTCGCGCTGTTTCCGCTCTTGCATCGCAATAAGACGCTCATCCACCGTGTTCTTGACGCACAGCCGCGTCAGGAAAGTTTGCTCTCGCTGACCAAAGCGGTACACACGGCAAAAGGCTTGCTGCTCAGCTGCTGAGTTCCACCATCTGTAACAGTTGTTTAGTATCCATGTATCACATGTCCAGAATAAAATACGTACGGGTCGAGGATCATGACTTTTGAGGCCATGGTGAGATTAAGACCTAAGCCTCCACACCTGAGTGACGCCAAAAGAACTTTCGCCTGTGGGTTGTTCGCGAAGCTCTTGATGGCGTTGTTGCGAGCATTGAAGTTCAGCTTGCCATGATATTGCTCAGTCACCCACCCCTCTTCCTGACACATCTTGCTCAGGATCTTAATCATTGCCAAGAACTGAGTATAGATGATGATCTTCACGTCAGGGTTCTCCTTGATCCAATTGAGGATCTGTGCCTTGACTGCGATGGTCTTGGCTGAAGGCAGTACGCTCTCGCCTCCCAGCATCAACCAATCGTCCTTGATGTCTTGTTCCTCGATCTTCTTCCGCTCTTTGTCCTTTCGCGACCTCGTCCTCTCTGCTGGTCCGCCATTGTAGATTGCTGCTTCTTCTGCCGACACCGGGGTAAAATTCTCAATCATTTCTCCGCAGGATTTACAGCTCTGAGGCCCGCTAATTGCCTCTCTCAAAGCAGTCTGTTCGTAGCATTTCTGGCATGAAAGGTGGCTGCAACTCGTGATCCACGTTGGACTATTTTGCTTAAGTGGTTTATCACACATACTGCACTTGGAAGCCTGTTTCAGGCGATCCCAATTGTCCCCGCTTGCTAAGCTATTGAGGTATGGCGTGAAGTTGAACTCTTTCCCGAAAGCTTTGCCAGTTTTTGCTGATGCTGATGCTGTGGACGTACTGTTGTAGCCATCGTGTCTGCCTTGTTCGCTACTGACTGAGTCCCTATCCAGATTTTGAAGGGAACTCTCCTGGGCGTCTTCTTTCCAGCCGGCCAGCTGCTTTCGTAGAGCCAAAATCAGCTGGCCTTCGCGTGTATCTCGGTTGTATGCAGCTTCGTTCACAATGATCCTGATTTTCTCGATGTCCTCGCGTTCAGCCAGGTCTCGGAGGACAAACTGGAGCATAAGTGGTGAGCTAGTCAGCTGGCGAAGCCTCAGAAGCATCCTATTTTGGATCAGTTAGAATCTCGGTATGGTCATGTGAGGGGGAAACAGTAGTCTTACACTAAAACATTGCTGTACGCCTTATCCAGCTGTTTATTCTGTGACCAATTGTTGATGATTGTGGCGAAACGGGTCTGAACGACAGTGTAGATACTACGCTCCACCGGATTGAAATCACACCATTGTGTCATCTGCCCCGCTTTGGGCAGCTTCAAGATTGGAGCACCGCCAAATTCATCTTCATGGGTCCTCCTCAACATGAATTCTGGATGTATACATTAGTTCCTGTCCCGATTTAGATGCCATGGTCTTTAGTTACTCACGTGCAAGGCGAACGAGAAGGCGTTCGTTATTTTCAGTATTGCCCGGATCGCAATAGTTGTGCTTGAAAATCCTCAAAGAGCCAGTGTTCGGTACGTTCAAGAACCTGAAGTATGGATACAGCTCCGTAAGGTTATTGACGATAGGGGTCCCGCTCAAAGCCCACTTGTGGTGGGCGATGAGCGCACGACACGCTATCGACGTCCGACTGTTGCAGTTTTTGATAGCCTGCGCTTCATCCAAAACCACTCGATGGAACATCATGCGGTGGAGAGCCCCTCGCCTCGTTTCGAATGTATTTTTCCACCACTCATTCTTCTCCTCCGTGGTCTGGCATTCAATAGGCGGCTCATTCTTGGGGTACGAATGCATAATCTCAGTATACGATGTGAGAATAATATCATGACCGCCTAGTATCTGCATTATGAGGTTGGAGTCAATCCGCGAACCTGTAGTGTACTTCATTACTCTGAGCCCGCAATTCGTGTGTAAACCAATCTCGTCGGCCCATTGTGAGAGAAGACCGGCCCCTGCTACTATCAATGTTGTCTTATGTTCCGCTTCGGAATCGGGGCTTCCATTCACAATATTCGCTGCATGGTGTCAGTACCTCATTCTTCTGTCATAGTATCCAGGCATTGCATATGTATCTTACCCAGCATCATCAAGGTCTTCCCCAGACCCATTTGATCTGCCAAAAGACCTCCACGGGGTTCCTCTAGTGCATTTTCTCTACGACGCATGAAAGCAGTTCCCGTGATTTGGTATGCTTTCAGAGGTGTCTTCATCCCCTTAACCAGCCACATACCGCCTTCAGCAGGCTTAACGCTACCACGGCCGGTGAATTCCATGATAGCATTTCTCAATCCATGAATGTCCGATTTAGCGTCCTTCTTTTCTCCAACTGTAAGACTACTAAGCATTTGTTTGAACGCTTCCTGCTTGTTGGAAGCGTTAAAGGTCGGCTCAGCAGGAGCATCTTCGGGAGCTTGTTGTCGGAAAACATTGGTCGTGAATAGAGACGCAACTTGCTTCGTGGCATGTTCATTCTCCTTCTTTTGCTTGTTGGTCTGGCGGGGTTTGGATGTTCCAGTCGCAGATTTTGTAGTGCCTTTGGGTCGTTTGCTTCTCGGTTTGGCGACTTTCGGAGGACCACCGGAGCCATTAGAAGTCTCTCCAACACCATCACTCGTGCGTGGCTTTTTCTTCGCCGGTTTTTCCCTTTGTCCTTCGAGTCCCACGTACATGGACTGGAGCTCGGCTTCTTGGAGTGAGAATTCCTTGGCTTGTTTCCGTGGCAACTCAGGCCGTTTGCGTTTGGGTGTATCAGAAGTCTCGATATCCGGTAAATTATCTTCCGAATGGTTACCTTGGGTACGGGACTCATCCTGTTCCATGAAATCGGGGAAGAGATTGACATCGTCAGATTCCCTTTCTGCCATCTTCGCGTCCTTCAGCAGCTTTCGTTTGCGAGCCTCTTCGTCTTGTGCAATCTTCATCCATTGGACCTCTTCTGTGAAGCTTAGCTTGCCATTCTTGCCCCTGATTCTGTCGTAGTGTCGCTTGCGCTGTTGAAAGTCGTTCTCAGCCCTCTTGTTGTACGTGTCGTATTCGTCCATTTCAGAGATGACCGTATTGACATGGGGCTGATTGAACAAGTTGGAATGAGACGTTGGCTGATGGCCCGGTACCATGTTCCGTGCCTGGATTTTCTTTCTCCTGGCTTTCAGTTGTCCGAGTTTGCTAATTGTAATTGGAGGTGTAGTATTTGCACTCATAGATACAGAAGGGACTGGCTGAGGTGTCTCTGTGATGACTGGGTGAGAAGAAATCGAGACTGACTCTTGATATGGCAGTTGCAATTGGGTAGGAGGTGATTTTTGTGGGGCACGCGGAAAATGCTGATCGTCAGTCACGAAAAGACTGGTACCATCGTCGTGTTCGTTGTTCACCGTCAGTGGCATTGGTTCAATAAGATCATCCAAGCCAGAATCGTGCATTGTGTACTCACGCCCGTTCGGCATCAAGGGCTGTTCCACGTCGGAGTGGGTAGATGGAGTGGCAAACTCTTCCCGATCATCTGGTTCTTCACTCGAGTCTTGATCATGGAAACCCAAGCAAGGTCTCCTGCTGCGCAAGCTGCGTGTATCTTCGATGGATGGTATAGCTGAATCGGGCCCACGCTGTGCTAATCTTCCGATACCGAATGGGTCGTTTATGATATTATTGAGCTGAGAATCGAGCTCGCAATCGGTTGAGCTGGGATTACCAGAGAGCACTGGAATGCTGGGGCCTGGTGAAGGAAATCCGGAAGTCGGGGGAACCTCATAACTTTCTGGCACTTCCGGGGGGGCTGCTGCTAGAGAAAAGTCATCCATGATGGCGTCTGCAGCTTGAACGACCGGTAGGGTAGGTTGAACATGGTTTTGATCACGCTCAGGTGAGATTGGGTTGGCTGACTCGGCTTCCATGTCGTTTGTGTCCCAGTCGGATCTGTGAAGGGTCAGAATGTGCAAGAGACCCCAGGGAATGGAAGGAGGATCACCGTCAACGGTCAAACTGTGGAAGACGTGTACCAAAAGGCTACTGGAGAGTGGATGGGGAGGCTTGAATCGTAGTCGGCCTGGCTGTCAGTCCAGACAGGCCTTGTAAATGTCAAGTCAAGCCTGTGAGCTGGTGGTGGGGGTGGGGGGAGTAAGGAGAAGAGTAGTGGGATGGAGGAAGGACGGAGCTTCAGCTCAAAGGGCGCCTTTATATATCCCTCCCGTCACAAAGGTGATAGAGAGAAAGTAAAAAGAGGTCAATGGGAATGAGAGGAGAGAAAGAGGCTGGAGTGATGAAAAGATGGGAGATCACGATTTCATCGTCTACTGGAAGACGAGATGAAGTCCAACTTACCTTTTGGTACACACCCTCATCCGCATCCGCGGTAAGAGAGGGAATAAGTCAACAGTGACTTTCACTCTTCATTCAGTCCTGACTGACCTCCCCCGATCTTTATCGAAGAGCCCATAGAAGACCAAAACCCCCCCCAAAGAAGATCGAATTCACTGGATGAACATGTAAACATTCAACCTGTGAGCTTTACGCCGATGTAAAGCGGAGCAAGAGGAAATGGTGAAATAGTTTATATGATTGCATTAAATGTTGATGTACTGGTGGCAGACAGGGTATCAGGAAACAAAAAGAAAGGTTCAGTCTGCCCGACGTATTGAGTTTGAGAAGAAAAGAGCTCGACGAGCTCGATGGGAGTGAGACCACCGTGTGTGAAATAGGGAGTAGTGTCACAGAGGACGAGAAACCAAGGAATGAGCATTACTAGCAAATTAGGAAAACATTTACAGGGAATAGGCCGTGTAGGCCGTGGCGAAACTTTTAGGGAGTAGTTCAGAAGAATCTAACACTGTTCCTCGTCGATGTTGGGGTAGAACCAGGCAGCGAGGGCGATGATGAAGTAGGACGACATGAGGAGCACGCCTTCCAACCAATCTGTAGAAAGAATGTTTGCGTTAGCATTTGAGGAGTAGGGGAAGTCAAGGAACAGGGAGAAGAACGCGAAAATACTTACGAGACTTGCCATCCTGAATCAAGTAGTTGACCAGGAGCACCGAAACGAATAAGGTGGCGATCTGGAACGTATCAAAGTACAGTGTCATGCACTCCTCTCCTATGATCCATCCGAGAACCACGATGAAGGGGAGCACAAGCAATGCGATTTGCATGCTCGATCCCACGGCGACACCGATGGAAAGGTCCATCTTGTCCTTGATAGCGACAGTGACAGCTGTAGCGTGCTCGGCAGCATTGCCCACGATGGGAAGCAGAATCAGACCGACGAAGGTCGTAGATATAGCGCCGGTGCTGGTGATACCTTCGATACTAGAGACCATGAATTCGGAGCAGAAAGCGACCAGTGTGGTGGAGATAGTCAGAGTGACAATTGCGCCGATCCAGGTAAGGTTGGGTTCCTCGAAGTCGTCTTCCTCTTCCTCATCATTTCCGTTGCCGTCCTGAAAGATGTTGCCTTTGGCGTTGACACCACCGCCCGCAGCTGCAGCGGTACCTGCTCCAATCGCTGCGATACCCTTGGCTGCGGCACCATCTTCGAGCTTGGAAGATTTGTTTTTAGGAGCTTTCTGGGAAGGCTCATTATACATGGTGACGTGGGTCTTGAGCTGGAAGAACAGGTAGCATCCGTAGACGAAAAGTAGAATAACAGCAGTGCCGTGTGACAGTTCGCTATTCTTGACAGCATCGCCAGCAGATCCGTGGTCTTCGGCTAGCATGTTGTGGAAAACTGTCGGGATGATGAGGGAAGCAATGCACAAAGCAAGCATCGAAGCAGCCGTCTGTGCAACGGTGACGTTGAAGAACTGCTCCTGACGATTGATTCCGCCCAAGAAGAACGACATGCCCAACACGAGCAGAAGATTGGAAAGCATGCTCCCAATAAGAGACGTCTTGACGATAGTGACTTCATGCTTGATCAGAGCCTGGATGGAGACGATGAGCTCGACAGCGTTGCCGAATGTCGCATTGAGGAGTCCACCAAGTGTTTCACCGACTCTCAGGGCCAATTCTTCTGTTGCATAACTCAATATAGCCGCCAACGGGATAATGGCGAAGAAGTTGATGAAGAAGATAGCCCAAGGACCACCCGTCTTGGTGTAGTACAAGGCAAAGCCGACTGGTACGAAGATCAGCAGCCAATTGATCTTCCAAGGCGCAATTAAGACGGCGTGAATCTGTTGTCCGACGGGGATCTTCCTCTTAAGAGAACGCTTCTTGCGCTCCTCGAGCGACACGTTTTCATAATCGCCATCATCGGTGGCAGGTGAGGGACCGTCCGAGTCATCTTTACGAAGCAGCTTTTTGAATCTACCACGCTTGGTAACACCCGAATGGTCCACGGCGGTCTTATCGCTCAAATCGGCCGAGCCTTTTTTATGCTGCTCCACGTTTCCGTTGGCTACCTCAACATCCTTGTTCGAAACATGTGCAGGTGCGGTGTCGGCGTGATGCGGTGCTGGAAAATCTCGTTGATCTTGCGCACTTGTCAGATTTCGCTCCTCTGCGATGGCGGAATTGACGTGGGCCTCGGATTGCGAGGTGGGATTCCGGTGCAACCTGGATTTCTCGACATCGAAGGAGGATTCTCTAGATCGTGTTGCTCGCGCCCATGGGTTGTAGTTGGCGCCATTTTCACCTGGGCCAGGGGAGCTGGCAACCCTATGAGCTTGCCTTCGTATCGCGTCTGCAGATTGTGCAGTTTGGTTAGTCTGTGTTTGCTGCAGGATGTCAATGGGGCTGCATCGACTTACGCATATTGTGGGTCAAGAACAGCGTCCAGACAGTCCAAAAAGTCCAAAAAGTCCAAAAGGATGTTGGTCACTCGTCGATCGCAGAATGCTATCCCAGTCGATGATTCGATGGCTGGCTGTTTCCTGGGGGCCAAAAAAGGTGGCCGCGGGGGGGGGGGGGACACGGATGGTACTTTAAACCGTTGGGGGTAAATAAGCCTGGTTCAGCCTGACTGCAAGGGGCTGTGACAGTGCGGTCAATGTCGCACAGGTATCAGGTATCAGGTTGCCGGGGGAATGGTGCGGGAATTGTTGGTGAAGTTGACGAGAAGGGAGAAGGGAAAGTGGTTGAGTAAATAGGGTGAGATGCGGGAAGGAAGACGCAGGGAAAGAGGGCGAAGGGAGGGAGTAAGTACTTGGATAGTCGGCAGAGTGGTGACCGCGGTCCAGCACATGGGTGGGAAATCAAGCAAGCAAGCAAGCCAGCCAGCCTGAGCAGTAGGAGGGAGCCACGCACGTACCCCAGCGAGGCAGCGACAGCAAAGAGCTTGTTTTGCTCCCAGCAGCCAGGGGGGCGAAGGCTTTTCCTCAAAAGGAGGCTTGTCGTGCGAATCAGCGCCTAACATGACAGGAGATTGTTTGGGTGTGAACCAATCGTGACGCTTCACCAGCCACAGTTTGGATGCGGCCAGCAACCCGTCCATCAGTGAGCTCGCAGCTGTGCAGCCATGATTCCCTCGCAAGACCCTGATCGGGTGGGTAAGATTCTATAAACTGCAAATCTTCAGCGGCTTACGGGCTCCCTTGACCGTTGAGAGTCTCTGAACTTCGGATTGTGCATCGCGAGTCTGACCTCTGGGCCAAGGGATATTGCCAAACCCTCCAAGCTCAACGTCACGGCAGACAAGCAAGCTTGGCCCACAAAACAAGGCTATGCAGGCTAGCTCATCGTGCAGCTAACTCGTCATGGGCTCTCAAAAGATCGCCACAGCTAAACGCTTGTAACGACGACTTTGCTTTGGCAACTTTATCCATCACTCTCCAGCAGCCATCATCATTACCGACTCGGCCTTGCCCCAGATTCCTGCGTCCATTAGAAACATCGTGTCTTGTGTTTGGCTCGGCCAACTTCCGCACATTGAGATTGCTTTTGGTCTTCGGTCCGTTCAGTCTACCATGCATCGTGAGATCGTGGCTTTGGATCGAATGCGCCACACTTCACTATTCCACCCACCCTCGTCCTAAAACCAATTCAATTCAAATCAACCATTCCTCTTCGCAAATCGCAGGACCAAACGCCACGCCGCGCAACGAGCCCCCTTCTGATTCATCACCCACTAGTTGCTGAGCCTTGCTTCCATTACGAATGACCGCTTCAAATCACCAAATCCACATCTCCAGTTCACCCCTTTCAGCCGAGCGCTCTGACATTTCGTTCCCTTCGTTGCGAGACCGAGACCGACAGGGTACTTACGAAATCTGTGGGGAACTGATGATGTGAGATGATTCCATATCTACCGTCCATACAGTGCCATTCTCCTTTGTTTATCGTGAATCAGATAGATTGGGCCCGTCGAGTCCCTACCCGCACTGATTATTCGGTGAAGTCTCATGTCATATGCTGATAGTAGCCTGATACGAGCGACCCTGCTAATCTCGCAACCCAGAGGATTCCCCTGAACGTATGGCTGGGCCGACAATCATCGTATGCACCCTGCCTGTGTGAATCGACACCCTTTCAAGTGCATGTATGTCATCCATAGCACGTTTGCACCCAATTTCAACCAAAGGGTATATTTCGTGTCAGAGCAGGACAACATAGAAAAGGCATCGATAGCATACACAACCATCTATCCTCCCGATCAATCCTCTGGCACGCAAAACGCAGTAAACAAAAAAAGAAGTCCAGCTCGAAAAAAACTCCAGAAAAATCGCCCAACAGACCCATAGTAATATCCTTGCCCCTTCTTTGTTCCGTGTTATACATGCAATTCGTGGAGCCAAAGCGGGCTTGAAAAGTCGCCCATACTACTTTGTAAGTCGTGCCAAAAACATCTATGGATGCTGCACCTTGTTATCACCCTTTATGACATCGGCATAGGTAGGCGGCGGTTCGCTCGCACCCTCTGCATTCGAACTCGAGCCCGCTGCGTTACCTCCTGCATCCGCGTGCTGAGCATACACCGTCTTGGGGCCTGGAATAACGCCTGACTGCTGCCCGGGAAACTGTCCACTGGAAGGCTGGTTGCCGCTGAGCGTACCATAAGACGTCTGCCCGTGTCCCTGGCGTTGCGCCTGCGCTCCTGCGCCCGAGGCAGGATGTTGTGGCTGTGCCGTGCTCACATAGTAGTACGTGACGGATCCATCAGCACCGCGTTCACGGTCTTGTACGCCTTCGTAAGGGTATTGCTCTGGGTTTTTCAGGATGATGTACCAGGCATGAAGGAGGCCAGGGAGGAAACCGAGGACGCAAAGGGCGATGTTGATAAGGGAATCAGCGCTGCAGACGCCGCTCTTGACCCATACTGTGCAATGCTGATTAGTTCTCTGTTTGTGAGGCTGGATGCAGCAATGAGGAAGTCATGCATTGGGATACCTGAAAGACATGGTGGCGAGGCAGCTCATGCAATCGCTGGTGCCTTGCAGGACATGCGGGGAAACTTACCTCCAATGGGTGGGAAGAGGACGGACAAGAGCATCAAAAAGCAGTCCGTGCCGCACATATTGATGGTTGATCAAGGGGTGGATCGAGTCGTTTGCGAAATGTAAAGTCGATAGGTTGGATATGAGGATTGTGCAGAGAAAAAGAAGTGGACGAAGTTTGAGAGAGGAAAGCTGGTGCCTGCCTGGTCACGAGCTTACGGAAAGATCCAAGTAATCGTCATTGTGGCGCAGCTTGTGGCGGCCCGGGGCGAAAGCTGGGGAACAAACTAACAAATGCTCCACCACAAACTCCAACTCAAGTCCATGGGATAGATTGTCGATATTTAACACGCAATTCCATCAAATTGATTGCACTGATTTGAACATAGTTTGTTGTCGTCGAATTGTCTAACAAATTACTCTTTGCCTCCGAGGTATCTGTATACAACAGAAAAGTCCCGTCCTTTGCAATTCTCGGCTTGCTCCACCTTGTCATACAATGCTTGCGCTTCATCAGCTAATGCAAGTTTAACGTTTGAATCTTTTGCGGATTTGATTGCCAGCTTCAGATCCTTGTTCGCCAGCGCGACGCCAAAACCGCCTTCATAGCCTCTGCTAGCAGGCGACCCTTCAATAACGCCGGGAACAGGATTGTTGATTTCGCTCGGCCAGCATTTACCGGTACTAATATTGATCATGCCCGCGAGTGCTTTTGGTTCAAGACCCCACTGAATACCCATACTCATGGCTTCGGCGGTGGCGATATTGTTGAGTGCTAATAGATAGTTGTTGGCAAGTTTGCCCTTGAGTCCAGCGCCCTGTCCTCCTAAATGAAGAACACGCTTTCCCATCATCGAAAGAACTGACGTCGCTGGGCCGACAGCCTCGGGAGCAGCACCGATCATGAAAGTGAGCGTGCCTGCCTGGGCACCGACGACACCACCAGACATAGGTGCATCTATAAAGACGCCCTGTTTAGTTGAAGAGGCGCTTTCAGCGACGGAGGCGGACGTCATGGGATCAATTGTTGAGCAATCAATAAACAACCGTTGATTGTTCACGCCTTCACTCAAAAGCGTCGCAGGCTCTAGCATCTGCTTGTATACGCCTCGAACGTGCTGAGGCTCTGGCAAACATGTAATGACGGTTTCCTTTTGCATGTCAGCAATGTCTTTTATATACATGAAAAGACAGTAGTAGCGAGTAATAGAGACATCAGAGGATTGGCTATTTGTATGGGTAATCAGACGAAGGGTCACAAGTGACCCCCAACTTAGATCATAGATAGAACAAATGGATCATCACGGAAGGAGAAGAGAAGGAGAAAATTTAGACATACCGCTTTCTCGGCGACTTCGCGCACATTATCAGCCACACGTACACCCTGCGGGTTCTCTTCCAGGAACTGCTTCGACGCAGCGGTGTTCACGTCCTGGACAAAGAGTGTGTCTTCGGCGGGGAGCTTTGCCCTGAGGTTTCTAGCCATAGCGAAGCCTACAGCGTCATGATATCAGCCTAGTCCAGGTCATGTGAGCTTGAACTCAGACTAACCCATCCGCCCAAGACCAATGAATCCCCATGTGGCTTGGAGATCTTTGGAGCTCGAGAAGTGTCTCCGTGAAGGCTGGCGGGCAGTAGCCGGTCTCAGCCTTCTCAATGGTGTTGCTATCGCCGAGACGGTCCTCATAGTATACTCTTGTATAGAATTTGCAGCTTCGAAAGATGCAGGTCAGGAGAACGAGGTAGATACTGCAGGTGTAGTTGGGGTTCCGCGGTCTTGGTTCGCTCGCTCTTCAGCCGAGGTCTTGAATTTGAGCCGCAGCAAGACGGTTCTGCGTGGGGAAGTCCTGCAGGAAGCGGGGGTAACTGCCCAAAGCCATGCTGGAGAACGGCATAGCGCTGACAGGATGAAGAACAGAAGTAATTGGCTCCGTTCCAACCAAGACTTGAAAACAGAGTTGTTGATGGAAGAGAAAAGGTCGAGATGAAATGTGCGCGGGAAAATATTTCCGCTTGACTCACGTGCTCACGACGCTACCCTGGATACGGCCTGGCCAACACTTTGCATTCAGCTTGAACCAATCAGGCAGACAGCACTGGAAACTCGAAAAGCCTATAAGAAAGTAGCCGCGGTGTCCCAGCGACCCAAGTGTATATATTCTTTTATGGTGGATAACGTACTTGTAAATGTAGGATGATTGATGGGCATATAGCTCTGGAATGCTTCTGTAAGAGAACCCAATCCTCCCAAATAGCTGAGGAGAGCGGATTGCTTGGAAAGTGGTCAGGCGCAAATTTCTTTAAATGGCGGACCTCCTCAACATTCTACCAAGTATATCTTCCACTGCAGCGCTGCCAAACCCATAACACGAGGTAATGGTGCTTTGCCTCGACACGAGGATCAAGCTCATTACATACTCGAGTATGTATGCAAGAGTTTGAACAGGCGTTTTTTGCACAAGATGATGTGGCATATTCATATCTCTACCCCCATTGGGAACGAAAAACCACTGTTGTGCTCATTTTAGTTCTTCTTCATTCGCAAGCATTTCTTCATTTTCCTCCTCATCAGATTCATCCGAGATTTCGATTAATTCCTGGCGCTTCTGTGGCATCTTTTTCTTCAAACCTTTACCGCCAGAAGGAGCGCTAAGGGTGTCAAGATATTCACCATTGGACATATCTGCGTGCAGTTTCGGCGCTGCGGCGGTATCGTGTACGAAGAGACACTCTTCGTATGTACCGTAGGCGTCTTTTGTCTGTAAAATGTGAGCGTCTGTGTATTCATGGGGATACGATGCTGTTACATCTTCATCATAGTAGTCAAAAGTCTTCCACTTTTCCTGGTTCGTAGCTTTCATAAATGCTTGGGTTAGTTCTGCAGCAGTGTCGCCTCCAGCCTTCTTCACTGTTGGCATAAACGCTTTAGGCTCAGTCGGTCTTGCGCCTTCTTGCTGTTCTTTCTCTCGTCGACGATTTGCGGCTTCGAGTTGCGCAATGGCATCTATGTGATGAAACTGGGTGCGCATCTGAACAAGACCGTTGAGCTTGGTCAGGTGCAGTTCATCTACAACCCCATGTTAGTGTGGGTCCCCTATTATTAGCGGCATGTGCTCACTCTGTTTGAATGTGCCCAGCATGTAGTTGGGCCCTTTGCCATCTTCTTGTTGGATCTGACCTCCATATGTCTGTGTATTGAAAACGTGGCCCTTCTCGTTCGCATCGTCGAAGTTGATGATATACTCTTCGTAGTTATCATCCTCTAGGCTGGTGACTGGGGCCGGAGTCGATCGAGTGTCGCCAGCGGAAGCGGAAGCAGCTCCTGGCCTGGGAGGACGTGGCATGGTTCTCTCAAATCCCGATGCAATTCCGTATGCCTTCTGCCCAATCTGCTTCGTCTTGCGCATTGCCTCGCCCCATCGAACGCCCATTTGACGGTTGAAATGCTGGTGGGTATCGAGCGGCACGTCCACCTCGACGAACCCAGATTGGGTCTTCATGCGCACTTGTGAAGGCTTTGTACCGGTCGACTCGGTGAGAGGATCATCGGGAGGGCGGTTCAGGTATTGCAGTATGTATAGCTGCTCTTCGATCTCCGGGGTGATATAGACATCGTACTCGGCGACGACGGGATCATCCTCGTCTGGGTCTGCCGTGGCTGTTAGGACCATGGTGGAAAAGGTCAGTTGGCAAATTCAAGGAACGAATTAGGAGCAGGGATTCGGGTGTCTTACGAGCCATTTTGTGGGCGAGTGGGTAAGTAGCAGCTGGAAGCTCTCATAAAAAAAAGTTGTCGCGAATATACCGGAGAGCTTGCCCGCCTAAATCTTTAGGGTACTTTCTCGCTGGGTCGCTGCCCCGCCCCGCGTCCGCCGATTGCCCGCGCTCGCGTCGCCAGCATTAAGCTGGGGTCTGTGCGTCCGTAATGACGGCGGCGATAGCAATTGCCCACCTGCATACCTTCTACCTATTAACCCAAGCTTCCCGTTACTCTTGCTTTGCTTCAGCGACCAATACTAATTTTGCCTTTACACTGCACTTTGCTGGGAAATCGGCCGGTTTCTTCATCATGGCCTACGTTGCTCCCATTCACAAGCCGAGCAGTATCCGGCATGCTTTGAAGCTGAACTTCTTGACCCCGGACGAGGACTGTCTAGTGGTTGCGTGAGTAATAAGGATACTTCCGAGACAAGACTTTTGAAGTAACAACTGACCATGTTTTCAGTAAGTCAAATCGGCTCGAATTCTATACCCACAATGCCGACGGTCTAACTCTACAACACTCCAAAGTCGTTTACGGAAAGATAACCATGCTTCAAAGGCTCCGCCCTGCACTATCACCGACCGATCACCTTTTTGTTGGAACCGATCGCTTCGTATACTTTACCTTGTCCTGGAACTCGGAGAAGAAGCACGTCCAGACGGAGAAGACGTTCGAAAGCGTTGCCGACAATGCTGCAAGAGAGTCCCAAACGGGCGAGCGATGCCATGTTGATCCCTCCGGGCGATTCATGACAGTGGAGGTCTATGAAGGCATAATAACAGTCATACCGTTAGTCCAGCGAGGGAAAAAGAGGAAGCAGGAACCCGACATTGCCCACCTGGGAGAGCCCCAGCCTTGTCGCTTATCCGAGATGTTCGTACGTTCGTCTGCCTTCTTACGCCCTCGATCATTCGACGTAAAGCCAAAGCTAGCTCTATTATACGAAGACACGCATTCTACAGTCAGGCTCAGAATCCGAGACCTTGCCTTTGAAGGCGGGGATGCCGTTGAGCTTGCTGAAGGCGAGAATTATCAAGGAGAACTGGAACTCGGAGCCACCCACTTAATACCAATCGAGGGGCCAACGTATGGTCTAGTGATCATTGGAGAGACTTCGATTGGATACTACAACGATCTAACCAAGGAAATACTCACAGAACCTCTTGAAGATGCCACTATTTTTGTCGCCTGGGAACAAATCGACGCACAACGTTTCATTCTGGCCGATGACTATGGCCGACTCTACCTTTTCATGCTGGAACTTGGCGAAGAAAAGCAGGTCCTCTCCTGGAAGCTCGACTTGATAGGGGAAACATCTCGTGCGTCGGTACTGATTTACCTCGACGCCGGTTACGTGTTTGTAGGGTCACATCAAGGAGATTCCCAGGTCATTCAGATATCCGCAAAATCGATGGAAGTCGTGCAAAACTTCTCTAACATTGCTCCCATTTTGGATTTTACAATCATGGACATGGGCAACAGATCGGGTGAAGGTCAAACAAACGAGTACTCGTCAGGACAAGCCAGAATCGTCACTGGAAGCGGTGCATATCAGGATGGCAGCTTGAGAAGTGTACGGAGTGGAGTTGGACTCGAAGACTTGGGAGTTCTGGGCGAAATGGAACACATTTCCGACATTTTCAGTCTGAATTCGGATGGCCACTCTGAACTTGTCGATACTCTACTGGTCACGTTCGTAAATGAATCCCGTATATTCAAATTCGATGCCCAGGGGGAGGTCGAAGAGGTGGAAGAATTTGCTGGTCTGCAGACACTTCAAACAACACTTGCTGCTATCAACCTGTCGCAAGAACGAGTTATCCAAGTTACCGACAAGCAAGTCCAGATATCAAACCTAGAAAGCGGTATGGTTGACCATATATGGACTCCGGCCAACAATCAACCCATAACGGCCGCATATGCCAACCAAAGTCATGTCATCCTGTCATTAGGCGGTGTCACTGTTGCTACAATGAACATCGAGACTGGTCTAAACAAATACACGGAAAAGACATTCGGTGCCGAGAGTCAGGTTGCATGCGTTGCGCTCCCGCCTGGGTCTGGCTCTATATGTTTCTTAGGCTTCTGGAAGAGCTCTCAGCTTTCTGTCTGCAAAGTAGACAGTCTTGATGTCATTTCCACCATCCAAATCTCTGACGATTCTGTGCCCCGCTCGCTACTTCTGACTCAAATCTTCCATGACCAACCACCTACCCTCTTTGCAGCTATGGCCGACGGAAATGTTGTCACCTATTCGTTTGACACATCTAAGAACGAGCTGTCGGGAAGAAAAAGCATCGTGCTTGGTACACGTGAAGCCGCTTTCCGTGCGTTACCCCGCGGCAACGGCATTTATAATGTGTTTGCGACCTGCGAACACCCCTCGCTCATTTACGGCTCTGAGGGAAGACTTGTCTATTCTGCGGTTACAGCAGAAAAAGCGACTGCAGTATGCCCGTTCAACTCAAGCGCATATCCAGGTTCGGTTGCTATCGCTACATCGGAAGACCTCAGGATTGCATTGGTGGATACTGAGCGAACAACGCATGTCCAGACCCTCAAGGTTGACGAGACCGTTAGAAGGATAGCATACTCGCCCAGCCTCAAAGCGTTCGGTCTTGGAACAATCAAGAGGATTCTGAAAGGTGGAGAAGAGATACTCCTGAGCCACTTCAAGCTCGTTGATGAAATACAGTTCAAAGAACTAGACACATGGCCTCTAAAAGAGGAGGAGCTGGTGGAAAGCGTGATGCGTTGCGAGCTCCCCGACGGATCTGGTAACGTGGCTGAGCGTTTCGTCGTGGGCACTGCATACCTGGACGATCAGAATTCGACGGCTGAAAGAGGTCGAATTCTTATACTTGAAGTTACGCAGGATCGACAACTCAAACTCGTCACCGAACTTGCAGTCCGAGGTGGCTGCAGGTGTCTCGCCATGTGCGAAGGCCGCATTGTAGCAGCATTGATCAAGACTATCGTTGTCTACGATGTAAAATTTCAAACAGAGAGTAGACCCGAGCTCGTTAAAGCTGCAGCTTTCAGATGCTCCACAGCTCCGATCGACATCACTGTGAACGGTAATTTCATTGCCATCGCAGATCTTATGAAGTCACTTGTCGTAGTGCAGTTCTCGCTCGGTGACACAGGCCTTCCAGATACGCTCACAGAAGTTTCACGTCACTACCAAACCACGTGGGCCACAGCTGTCGCCGAAGTCGACGAAAACACATACTTGGAGAGTGATGCCGAGGGTAATCTTGCAATACTATATCGCGATCCCCATGGCGTTATGGAAGACGATCGACGGCGACTGAACGTAAGCGCAGAAATGCAGCTCGGCGAAATGGTTAATCGGATTCGAAGGATAGATGTCGCCACTGCTCCAGATGCCCCTGTTATTCCAAGGGCATTCATGGCTACTGTAAGTATCGTATTTTCTAGCAGCTCTATCCTGATGTCCATACCTGATGGCTTGACATGTTGCTCCTGACTAACATTTTGTCCAGGTCGAAGGCTCAATATACCTTCTCGCTCTCATCGCTCCAACCCATCAAAACCTTCTGATGACCCTTCAACAAAATCTAGCTCTCCTTGTCGCCACGCCAGGCGACGTACCTTTCGCAAAGTTCCGCGCCTTCAAAAACCAGGTCCGCGAAAGCGAGGAGCCGGAGCGATTCGTCGACGGAGAACTGATTGAACGGTTCCTCTACCTTGACGATGCTACACAAAGTAAGGCTGTTGAAGGTCTAGGTGCAGAATGGGATACCGAAAGGGTTAAGGCGCTGGTGGAGGGACTAAGAAGGTTGTGCTAAAGGGGCAATATGGTCGGGGCAAAATTTGTGGAGGTTTTTATGACCAAGATCATGATAGGCGATCTTACTGGCACCTGTTCTCGACTGAATCACGTTGCCACTAGGTACATATGTCATCAGAGACCTTGGTCGGCGTGATCAGACTCAATCCAAGGGATGTTCATCTAGGGTGGTAATTGGGTGCAGTATACCCGCGGGTGAGGTGAGGGTGGAGTATTGTCACATGCTATCTGGGTGAACGTGAGGGCGCCTATGTAGGGTCATATGACTGTGGGTGAGGGTAGGGAGTAGTAAAACCTACATAGGTACTCATATAAAATACTACACTCTACCCTCACCCTTACCTATCGTCTGTACATCTCCACCTTTACTTTCACCCGTCTTAGCATGGGTCTTATATAATATCACCTCACCCTCACCCTCACCCCAGTCACGCCCATTGAACATTCTTGGAAGAAGTTCTCGATTCATTTTCTTCCAACGGGGTGTTCAGTTTGTGCTTCCGTATTTGTCCGATCTCGATTTCGATTAGTTGCGTAATTAATGCAGAGATGGAGTTTGCCCTCGGGTCACCTTTCAAGTGAACTCCCACGTTATCTTGTCGATGGGCGATGATGTCAAACATTAACGCTTCTTTAGTCAATCATAGTCAATTAGGGAAGAGAAACAAAACTGGAAGTTCCAATATGCATTAAGGGTATAAAGAGAGGTATCGATCGCTCCCATGCTATTTCTGCATGTAGAGTCCTGCACTCATGTAATACGCAGAAGCTCACGCAGAAAGCGGGAGAATAAACTATATGCCATGTACCATGGTAAGGGATCTGAATCACGCAAGTGAAGACAATATATACCCTTCAAAAGGAAAATACAAGAAATGCAGAAGTGTCGAAAGCCAAAGAATGCGCAGAGTAGAAGATCGCGAGCCCAGGAGAAAGAACCGCGTTTTAAACGCCAGAAAAGTGAACTCTCATTGCTTTTCCTGGACCCATTTCTTCATCCCTTCTCAACGGCCAGCCCGTCTTGATGTGTATAGGCCATTTGGAAGCATGTTCGATGATACGGTCGTGCACAGGCTGCAACTCATACCATTGGATGTTGATGCTCAGATGGAATCGGTTTGACGTCAGTCAACCGTCGATCCTTGCTACTCACTCCTGCTCTTTTCCGCCGTCCTTCTTTCCGCCGCCCTCGCGCTCATCGACCCCGTCAGAATCGTTGGCTTCGCCCGCATTGCTAGCATTAGCTGTGCCATGTTCGGAAGTCTCTTCGTTACCCTGGAGTTCGTTGGCTTCGGTAGCCTCGTTGGTGCGGCTTGCACCTGCAACCGCCTCTCCGCTATCCTTGGAGTCGCTGGCATCTGATGCCTCACCAGCAATGGGCTGTTTTCGAGCGCGCCTCGTGAAACGTCTAAAAGGCGCCCTCTTGCTCCAGTTTGCAGCCTGCTTGCCATCATTCTTGGAAGAATTTCCGGCCTCGCTGCCTCCACCAACTCCCTCACTCGTCTTGCTGGTCTCGCTCTTCTCTATGCTCCCGTGCTTGTGCTTCTTCTTGCCGCGACCCTTGGAGCGCTCGTTTGCCGGCTCACCAGATCCAGCAAAGCCAGGAGCATTCACAGCCCTATTCTCGCCGGTTTCTCCGAAACCATAATATTGGTTTCCGAGATAGTACTCGCCAGAGAATTGACCGTTGGCGTCGTAAACTTCATTGCCTGGTCCGAATCGCGGGTTCCTGGATTCATCGTTCGAAAAGCGCATTTGGGCTAGGAAAGAAATATACCAATCAGGCTCCTGTCCGACTTGATAAGGGTTCCTGGGGAGTGTCTGGCCCTCATATTCCAGGAAGTTGCGCGCGGTGTTGATGTTCTCGATTTGATTGTAAAAGGCGAGATTGTAGGACCTGTTGTCCTCTACCTCACCGTTGGGACGCAATGGGTGGTCGAATCCGTACGGCTGTACGTACGGACGCTGGTCGAAATGAGACTGGTTCATGGGCGGTTGGCTCATGTGGGGGTATACTGGCGAAGTTGCGTAATAGTACGGGGATGCGGTGGCGTAGGGAAGGTTGTCTGCAGTGGCTTCGTCCGCAGTGGCGCCGTCGGTGCTGGGTTGGGCGGTTAGTATGGAAGAGCCATCAATCTTGTTGCAGGCCAGGCAAGACTTTTGGATGTTTACTTACGTTTGAGGCTCCACTGAGGGAGTGAAAGATTGCACCCGCGGGTTGAGGGTGCTCGTCTGGGCGGGCGGCAGGCGCTCTTGGGGAGATGGGGTGGGGTGGATTTGCGCATTTTGCACGAAGGAGGGAGATTGGGGGTTCATCCTGAAGGAAGGGGGGCACGAACGTGTGTTCCGGGGTGGTAGAGGAAATTGGGGGAACTGAGGGCTGATTGTGAAGGAAGGGGGACAGGAAGTTGTATGTTGGCGGGATTGCGGGGATGGGGGGGGGGGTGGCTGGGAGTTGGGAGTATGCATGCCTTCTTGTTTGCTTGTTTAGTTTTTTCTTGCTGAAGCAGCGTTTGGTGTCACACAAAGGTGGTGAGAAGGTAGTTGTGTGGGGTGATGAAGCGGATATTTATAAGGACGCTCGCGTTTGTTTGTGCGTACTTGCTAGCAACAAATTATCACAGGTGACCAGAACAATTTGAAGTTGTCTTCACTCGATCTAGGGATAAATTGACGTGAAGCTGTTTTGTGTGGTACCAGGGCAGCACATTAGAGCTGGGTATCAGCGTGTTGTAAGTTAGAAGATAACCCTTCCTGTAATTCTACTTCACTGCTGAATACCACCAGAATCTAACGATAAGTCTCCCCGGGTCTTTAATCCAGAATTAACGTCGATTCGTATTTATAGGATTCTACAACTGTGGTCCTGCGAGTCTATAGATTATAGTAGCTATGGGAAAATTCTTGTAGAGAGAGAAAACAGTGACCATGCGTTGCGAGATCCCCGAAGTGACAGGGTTCTAGAGATCGCCTTATTTTGCTGCTCTCTTCAATACGGCTTATTGAAGAAATAGTACTATGGGGCGAATGCTCTTGTGTCCATCACTGGTTTAAATATCTAATAGCAGAGAAACAATAGCAATGAACAATGTTGACTCTAGTATGGTAGCAATCTGTGGTGAGTTATGTATTGCCTTCCCAATAATATATCAAAGTCAGGCAGGAAGTACTATCTCACTGTTGTAAATTATAATTTTTTGTTGTGCATTTTCAGATGTTACGAGCATCTATCTAGGGCTTACATATGTAATTACATAGTTACATCAGGATTAAAGGCAGTATGAACACTTGTAATATCACAAAAGACAGGCTATCCAGCTATGTTACTTCACATGAGCTCACATATCTTCAGAGCCATGTGTTCAAGGATACTTGATGTGTCGCTCTACCCACATGTGGCATATCCCTCGTACCTCAAGAGATCCCGCAAAGCAACAACAGATATTGGAACTTGTACTGTACTGGAATGACCCTTTGTTGTAGACCAGGTTTTAAACATTCCTGGGCAGAAGAAAAGATAGCGAGATGTAAGATTATTTTGTGAATTAGAGTCTGAAATTCGTTCAGATACCCATGAATGGGCGACAAAATGGATTTTTCAGCTTCAGCTTTTTCGAGTACTTTATTACGTCCGGGTTCGTCTTCGTGCAGGAGCCTATGACGATGCTTTGGCAGGGGTAGGTCTTTCCCTTATTACCGTCCATTCCGATTGGCAAGAGCTCACTGTGTTCATGTGAAATGTATTCTTTGACCAGTCTCTTTGCAATCCTCGACATTTCAGTTCGCGATCGCGGGTCTAGACATTTCGCAATCAACAGCTGTCGTCGGTGAACGCGGCGCATCAATCTCCCCGCTGGAAGCTCGCTTGCCCGTTAACTCCGACGCCTCTACATCATCGACATCACCACCGTCGCCATTATCACCACCATTCCTCCCATACATTATGTTCGTTCCTACGCACTCACCCGGCCCTCCAGATCTTATCTCTACACCATGGCCACTACATTTAGCGTGATCCCATTGTCCCCGCGGCGTCCCGAATCCTATGTTTTGCCTCCCTCGCACCATGTTGGTATGTATATTTCACGTAAAAAGCAGTCGCACTCGGAGACCCTACATGATTTAGTGGCGGAAGATCCTTATAATATGTTGAAATATGTCTGCTTGGTTGATACTGATCATGTACTCGCATTCCAGGCAACCCCCCAACATCTTTCAAGAATCCCTGGCCTTCGTACACATCTTCTGGACTGGCGGGCCTTGTTAAAACGAGACTGAATACCCCCAAGAACTTTGTGCCTGTTCCTAGCGATCGCCTTGGCCTGGTCGAGGTTTGCAAACCGGATTTTGGGCAAGGCAAAAACGGGCTGAAAGCCACATGGATTGGGCACGCTAGTTTTCTTATCGAGACTACTGCACAGAAGGGAAAAGAGCGAGGCTTCAGGATCCTTCTAGATCCCGTTTTCAGTGACAGAGTTGGCCCGTATGGCATGGTCGGTCCCGTACGCTTTACACCACCACCGTGTGAAGTTGAAGATTTACCCGAGATAGATGCTGTATGCATCAGCCACGACCATTACGACCATTTGGATATTCCGACTCTTCGAAAACTGCTTGCGAAGCAGAATAGCAACGTCAAGTTCTTCTGTGGGCTGCGTGTTAAGGATGTGTTAGTTGGCTTGGGGGTAGGGATCAAACCTGATCAAGTCACCGAATTGGATTGGTGGGATCCCATACACTTGGAGTCTAGCAAAATTGGAAGTGTTGATTTGGTATGCACCCCCGCGCAACATCGAAGTGGACGGACACTATGGGGCTTGAATGGCACGTTGTGGTGCAGCTGGATAGTTAAAGAGCCCGGAGAAGGTGGCAAGAGCCTGTTCTTCGCAGGCGATACAGGGTATTGTGGAGTCACATCTGACGACCAGCCATCACATCATCAAGCGCCCCATCCTCCTTGTCCAGCATTCTCCGAGATTGGGCAGATTTATGGACCGTTTGATTTGGCATTACTGCCAATTGGATGCTACCAACCTCGATCAGCGTTATCTGGCCAGCACTCTTCGCCCGACGATTCTATCGCTATACATAAGGATGTCAAGAGCAAGAAGAGCATTGGCATGCATTATGGTTCCATACGGGGCGGCTTTAGTGCAAATTATGAACCTGTTATTGAGCCTCCGAGGAGGTTCAAGACAGCTGCTGAAGGTGAAGGCCTGCGCTGGGGTGAGGAAGTGGGATTATGCGACATTGGAGAGACTGTGGTAGTGTAAATTTGGAATGGGAGGCAAGGTTCATTGGTAATTTAATAATGACGATACGATTCTACGTGAATACACTTGGCTTTCCCTGCGTATGGCATGGATATTGATCTGATAAGATATTGCGTTAATTCAGTTCGATGGCTCTGGTAGGATGGTAAGTCTGAAATCTCACTTCTCATCCTCGAGCCTACTACTTGTGGCAGTATGCCGCTTTGATCTTTTCAAGATGTGAATGCAGGCTATCCAATAGTTTACAAGCCTTATAGTCTGCGACGTTCTATTCTGTTGTGCAGACTCAACGGGGAGGAAGAAGGTTCAGCCGAGGTGATGATTATATAAGCGAGATTTTCTGGGTACAAGCTTCACGCCTACGCAAACAATTGTGACCGCGCGACTCACAGCCTCGTCCCCCACAACAAGACAACATACTGACAATGGCTAAAAGGAAGAGAGACATCGTGGAAAACGAGCCTGCCGACTTCGGCTTAGGCGCGACTCTTGCGCATCTAAAGAACCCCGAGGGCGCAAACGCCGAATCGACCAAAGCAGCCGACCATGATACTGAGGGCTGGACTGTCGTTGGCCCGAAGAGGAGACGGAATCACAATGATCACCAAAATCATCATCACAGGCGGAGCAAAGATACGCGCCGTAGAAATTCACCGCCGAGATCTCGTCGCGCTGATTCCTCCGACGTAGAGCCAGTTGAGGCAGCTCCCAACGCATCTGCTGCTTTCGAGAACCCATTCGCTTCGAAAACCGACTCCAAAGAATCTGCGCGCTCGAGTAATCCCTTTAGCAGTGGTGAAAAGGATGCGGAGACGGATGCACCCTCTGACCCAAATACATCAAAAACAAGTCGCCAAAGCGAGAGAGAGGCACGTCGTAAAGAGCGCAAGCTTGAACGGAATTACCCTGCGATTGAGCATTCGCCTCAAGCTCGTATACAAAATTTTATCAAGATCACGGACTTGCAGGTTTTGGCGTTGTACGTGCTCGCCGAAGGCGTTGCTCCTCAGTGGGTAGCTATACGGAACAAGGGAAGCATTCGTCGTGTGGTAATGCTCATGGTACCTGGCCTTGAGCTGGACATGTTCTCCGGAAAGATACCCATTGACGCCAACGACTCAGTTGGTGACGAGCCCAAAAGCACTGCCGGAGACGAAAACGAAAAGCCCAAACGCTTGACGGTAGATCCAGATGATTATTACCCTATCAAGCTGAAGACTGAAAAGATGCCTGCTGCATTACGGCCCTTATCTGAGATCTTCCCTGATGTATGGCCTATCAGGGCTCCAGCCGATTATCGTGGGGACCAATATTTCAGAGTTCATTCACCAATACACACAATGTTGACGTCGCAAATCCCAAAGAGCAAGGAAGAGAAACAGCTCAAAAAGAGCGGCAATCATAAAGGTCCTCTCCCACAAAACGCACAACACTGGGAGAACAAGCGTACACCAATCACAGAATACATTGCCAGCTTTCCAGAGCAGCAGGAAAACGAATATGTCATTCATCCTGCTTGGTTCTCGAGTCCAGAAGCCAAGGCAAGCGCGTACAAAGACCGTGAGACTGCTCGTCAGACCTCGGAGCATGGTTGGGTCGACACCAATGTAACATCCCTCGACGATGGCGAAGTACCTTCTGATGAAACAGAGGCTGGCAGTATTACTGCAGGCAGACGTGTTCTAGCCGTAGATTGCGAGATGTGCAAATCCGAAGACGACGAATTTGTGTTGACCCGCATCAGTATTCTAGATTGGGATGATACCGTGGTCATGGATAAGTTGGTCAAGCCTGATGCTCCCATCAAAGACTACCTTACCCAGTATTCCGGCATTACAGCAGCCATGCTTGAAGACGTCACCACCACCCTCCGAGACATTCAACAAGAGCTGCTGAAAATTGTCACACCTCGTACTATCCTTGTGGGACATTCACTTAATTCGGATCTTAAGGCAATGAAACTTACGCACCCGTTTGTGATTGATACCGGAATCCTCTTTCCACACGCTCGAGGACCACCCTATAAGCAATCACTGAAATGGCTCGCTCAAAAGTTCTTACAGAAAGACATTCAGAAGGGAACCAGCGGCCACGACAGTATCGAAGATGCTCGCACGGCTTTGAACCTAGTCAAGCAGAAATGCGAACGTGGTCCTGCGTGGGGCACCAACGAGACGAACGCTGAATCTATTTTCAAGAGGATTGGACGATCGAATCGACCGCAATCAAGTGGTGGCACACGCGCAGGTGCAGTAGTCGATTGGGGTGATCCCAACCGCGGACATGGCGCCCATGCACAAGTGTCAATTGGATGCCAGAGCGATTCCGACATAGTTCAAGGCATTGAGCATGCCCTATCAGGACAAGCCCAGGGCAAAGAAGGTACCTCTGAACATATTGACTTTGTGTGGGGGCGCCTTCGGGAACTGGAGTTGGCGAGGGGTTGGTGGGACGATGGGCGGACATCCGAAGACGTCGAAGTCATGCGTCAGGCAGCGCTGGCGCGATTAGGCTTGTCATCTGCAGGAAATCAAGAAGAGGGAGCAGCAACTGCATCAGAGACAGAGCAAAAGCAGGCCGATGTGGAGGTCACTGGTGCAGCACTTGGCCATGTGGTTTCCCAAACGGTCGAACGCATAGTCAAGATCTATGACGCTTTGCCACCTTGCACCGCCTTCATCGTGTACAGTGGTACAGGCGACCCTCGGGAGATCCGACGCCTGCAAACCATGCAGCAGACGCACCGGCGCGAGTTTGCGACAAAGAACTGGGACAACCTTAGCGTGCAGTGGACCGACACCGAAGTGCAGGCGCTCTCCAGTGCGTGTCGCAAGGCTCGCAAAGGCGTTGGTTTCATGGTGGTGAAATAAACCCGCACTCCGCAAACAGACACCCTTTTCTATTGGTGACACGACTGCGTACGACAATGAGCGGAGTTTAGTGGGGGTCAGCATACAAAACAATCTTGTTTGAGGTGTCACGGCGTTTCAACGAAAAGAAAACAACATTTGAAATCGATCGAGAGGGAAATGCGCATTTGCATGAACCAACGATACGATTTCGGGCTCGGTTGGTTTCGGGGGCCAAATGAAAAGGGAAAATTAACGAAAAAGGTTACTGTTTGAAGGCCTGAACTTGGCTTACTCTTACTTATGCTCTCTGTTCTTTGTCAAGACGCTCACTCGCGCGTAAAATCTTACCATCCTGTACGAGATGGTACAACTAATGGCGAGAGTTCTTTCCTAGTTTTTCAGTCGGCGCGGCCCACAAGCTGATGCAGCACTCAGCTGGAACATCAGGCGAGATGGGCCTTGGAGCTGAAAATAGGCGTACTAAGTGCAAGAGGCAAAAAATCAAAAGGAAAATCATCATCCCGTTATACTATCTTGGACAAAACCTTGTGATTGATTCGTTCTTCCCCGCCCCCGTCAGCACTGCTCTGCTCACTAGACACCGAGTAGCAGCAGCAGCAACTGCAAGCACACTAGAGTAGCATTGCAGATAGGCAAAAAATGTACAAGGATGCCCTCTTTTTTCTTCCATTTCTTTCCCTATCCCGTTACCTCCTCGCACTCTTTTATCCGTTTCGGCAGGCTAATCCTAATCTCGCAAGGATCCAATCTAATGCCTGCCCGCATACCTTGCATACCTGCGTACGTGAGTCCTTATGTCTGTCTGCAAACTACCCTATACGGAGTAGCGAACGAGTGCGTACGATGTAGCAGCTGGGGGCCAAAAAACCAGACGTAAAACCAAAATAAAATAGAAAAAATGAAAGACGGAGATGGAAATGCTGACGCAATTGTTCCCTTTTTTCATTCTTTTCTCCTTGCTTGTCCCGTCTCTCGTGTAGGGTCTGGTTAATACGATGACGCGGGAACCCTTGAGCCACAGTGCTTTATACGTGCGGATTACGCGAGGGTTAAGGCGTGTGCAAGGAAGGGAGGGTTCTAGGACCGACCGTATCCGTACGATAGATGGGGATCGAGAGATACGGGGGCGTTTTTGGGGGCTGGAGTCGAGCTTCTCTCTCTCTTTCTCTCTATCTCGTTCTCTTTTCGCGTTCCGATCAGGGCTAGTTTTTTGGTACTTTTGTTTCTTTTCCTTTTTCCGATTTCGTTTTCCGATTTGCTGCTTCTCCCCGTAGATGAAGTCTGGACCATTCCATTCTCGTCGGTTATCTTTTTATTTTTGGGCTGGCTGGTGAACGACTCGTATTCTATTGTTGGACAGCGTCTCTGAGATGGGTAAGTATATCGTATGTACTGTGTGTTATTTCCAACATGTCTCAATCATGCTGGTTTGGTGGTTTTCTCGCTTTGTCTCCGAAAGTGGTTTCTATTTTGGTTTAATTTACGAGTGAACGGATGGATTGGCGGGCCTGTGCGTTTTCCGTATTCTTTTGCGGGCGGTTTTGGAGTGGAGTTGGAGTAAGTAGTTCGCAAGAACCCGGTCTTTAAGATTGAGATGTGTTTGGCACTGCGTACAGTACTGTATCGTGCTGTACTGCGGAGCATAGCAAAATAAAAGCACTTTCCAGGAAGAGTATAAACTCTCGAGATTATTTCTCGTGTGCTTATCGTGTTACTCGTGATGCTTGTCAGCGCGTCATCACTATTGGATGAGGTGGGGAAATAAAGTGTTCAGTTTTCTATTTTAAGATACAGACGTATAATCACCACTTTTTAATTGTTTTTGTGATAGGTATATGTGTTCACAAGAGGAGAAAAAGAGGCAAGCAACGAAAGAGACTTTGGGAAGACCGGCTGGTTGTAGTCCGACGGCGCAGAGTCGAATAACCGTTGGTTTCGTTTCTTCGCACTCACATCGCCGCTGGCTCGCTGGATCGCGCGGCCCCCACAAGGATAGGAATAAAATAGGACAAAGGACGACGGGTTCGAAGGACGGAGGATGCGAAAGAGGACGAAGGAGCAAGGGTTCACTGATCCATGCAACAAGTAGAGGAAGGAAAGAAATTAGGCGAACGGGTTGAGTCCTTTGTCCTCCTACTCACTTAGCTACTACATACGTAGAATGTAGCAGGCATGTGCCCAGTGCGGCCCAGAAAGCAGCGCCGCCTCAAAGCAGGCAACCGAACATCAATAGATAGCATGGATGAGAGGCAGGAGGAGGCGGAGGCGGCAGAGTTGTGATGGAAGAACCACTTTTAATCTTTTTTTTTTCTTTTCTCCGCTCAGTCATTGTAACAAAACATGTTGTATCACCAGGCGTAAATCCCAGTTCCTGTTTTTATGTATTAGGTTCATTTGACGAGACACAGACTGGTCTTTACTTTGTTTGGCGTCTCCTTGCGCCGCCGCCGCAAATACCGATGGATTGTGGTAATGGCAGGTTAGCGTTTGCGAAGCAACCAGGGTGCACAGCTGAACGAGGTAGTATACGAATTAGTTCCACTATTTGCTTGTCCCTCTTTCTGTTTTTATGTTTAGTCAGTTCGGTAGTTGCTCTAATCTCGGCGCTCAGACCTTTTCTTTAATTATTTTCGTTCTACTTCCTCCTGTGGGGTGTCTATCGACGTCTTGGGCATTCTGACTGTCCTTTTTTTCTTCTTTCTTTTCGTTTTCCGAGCGCGCTGTTTGCCGAACTCGGTGCCGGTTACGAGGACGTACATGTGGGTTGCGTATTTCTTTATTATCTTAGTTGCCTTCTTTTTACCTACCTTGGTAATTGACATAGATGATGGGATGACGACGATGATGGAATCCATGCTTCGATTCTGGTAATTGTTGGGACGGGACACCGGACCAGGGTGCAAGGGATAATCCGCGAAACGAGCGAATTAGTGGCCGGGATGAAAGGTCACACAAATGAACAAAATAGAGAATGAATGGAAAAAGAAAAGAATGGCAGAACCGGATGGTTGGTGGGTCGGGCAAGGATGAGCGGGCGGGTGAGCAGAAGGATAGGTTGGGATACGATATCTATCATGGGGTTGTTGATTTAACGGTGTGCGCGGCGCAGTGTCGCGCTGCTGCTGCTGCTGCTGCTGCTGTATCGTTGCGGCGGTGGCCCTTGTCTCGGATTCAACAATGCGAAGTGTGGAACCGATATTTTGTTCTTGGGGATTGGGGGACGAGGGACTGAGTGCAGATGGCACCATCTGCCAGCGACATGGCATGACATGCCCAATATGGTATATAGCCTTTAGGCCTACTGCAACTGTAAGATGACCAGAAAGAGAACGAAATGAATAAATGAATATATTGGAGGATAAGATCGGTGCTGGGTAGGACGACCGTAAGGATGGATGGGTGAGTGGTGCATAACGACGTGTATATTTAGCCTCTGTTTCTCTTTGCTTCGCAGAGCAATGCGAGAGCAGTAAAAAAGTGGTATCTAGAGCAGTCAATCAGTCACAGCGAGCGAAGGCGCATCTCGCGCGACTGGGGAGTAGCAACAGAGAGGGAAAAGAGCGTGAAGGGGCCGTTGATTGGACAGGGGGTAGCATAGCGGGATAGTGTTTGAGGAGGCGCGCATAGCACCCACACCGGTGGCTGACTGTACATGATAATATCCGCGTTAATCATGGTCATGACGAAGGCAATAATAGCGTCAATCAAACTCGGGATAGTGATAACCAGACAGGACTTGGTTGGAGAGCTGGTAGCAGGCTGGGTAGTAATGATTAGTGAATAGATGCACAGCTCCACCATTGTCTCATGATGGGTACTGGCGCTGCTACATAATTACACATGCTTTGAGTTACCCGGGTCTTGATCGGAAACCAGAGGATATTCCTAAACGAGAGGGTCAAAGCGAGAAAGTCCGGGGGAGGTGAATACGTACGAGGGTTGATGATGGCTGACTGATGTTGGACAAGACAAATCTCCCGCCTGATTGGGGAGGACGGAATGGCCTTTGACTGGACAGAGGGTGGATAACATGGATGAGCGAGTTACATGGCGAATTGGATTCCTGCCTACTTTTCGCTGAATGTATCAATGGGTGGAGGAATTGGATGCATGCATGGGTGCATGCATTGGGGTGACATGCGCACGCATGTAGGGTCATCAATCGGCGGAGAATAGGACCAGCAGCGCTCGATTCGCACGTAACGGCTTTTGATGGCTCCATGTCATTTGTTGGATTGGGGCCGACAAAAGGGCAATCATTACGAAGCTTTGGCTTACTTTGCTCGCGGCAACACTAATCAACGTCCCATACGACGTTGGAGAATTTTGACTTTGGCTGCTGCCCATCTCCCTCCCCCCCCTCACCCCCGGCGCAATATCATGGTCGTTTCTTTGACCCAAAAGAGGCTTTTGAAAGACGAGCGACAGGGGGGTGAGGGCCAAGGCCGCTGGCCAGCGTAGTAAGAAAATGGGTACACACGACGGTAACCATCGTCATCATCATCATCATAATCATCATAGTAAGGATAGCAATATGAAAGGAGAATCATAATGGGTATAATAATATCAGTAATACATATATGTGTAGAGTAATGATAATACATTGCAATAACAGGGCGGGTTTTGGTAATACGATAGCGCATATACTAAACATGGAATAACTTTTGCTAAATGTCGATCAGCCCTCTCATCTACTTTTGCAGCGCGCCACCACTCCCTTGCATCTGGGTGGGTTGGGTCGTGACGTTGGTTGGCATTTTACCTTTTGATGCCGCCGTGCCATGTCATGCTAATGGGTCTTGTTATTTATTGTCTATGTACTTAGTGAACTATGCTATTGATTCCCCCCCCCCCACCGTCGGATTCATCCATTCATTCATTCTGTCAATCCACGGCAGCCGTTGATTTGCCCCCGTCATCTACTCCACACGGCGCATAGTCGCACTGTATCGTATCGTACCGTACGGAGGGTACACGAGCAGGCAAATTAGGCCCATGGTTTTTCTTACTGTAGATGCTACGCCCGCCAAGGGGAATTCATTCATTGACTTTGCAAAACCTTGTTCATTCCAGCACCCCGGTTCTTTTGCCTTTTTTCTTCTTCTTTCCTTTCTGTTCGTTCCATTATCCTCGCCGCATTGGCTTTGTGGCGGACATGCCTGCCTGCTCGGTTTTGAGTTGATTTGATCGTGGTGCAGTGCGTGCCGTGCGGGCGGGCGGGCGTGCGTGCGTAGAGCTTGAGACCAAACCAAACCAGACCAAAGCAGAGCAGCGATGCGTGCGTAGGGTACGTACGTACGTATAATCAATGTAATCAAAGTGTGTGTGCAGAGGGTGGTGTAGTCGCGCTGATTGCCTGCTTCGAGGTAAAGCCGTGGGTACCAGCAAGCAAGGCGCCCCATCGCTCCACACCAGGCTTGCATGCAACTCGGCGTATAGATAGCTCCAAGCGGACAAGGATAATAGGGCGAAATCTGACCGGAGTGCCGTCTATCTCATTGTCTAGCGTCAGCGGTTCTCTTCCCTGTTGTAACAGTGCATCTGCAGATTGCCTCTTCTGTCGCTGCACCCTGGCCCGTTGGCCATGTACATTGCCTAAGTTAGGGGGGTTTTGTCTCATCAGCGAGGCTGCCTGTCGCTGCACCGCACACCCACGCAAAGCATGCACCCTCGCAACTCCCATCCCTCTCCAAACCCCAACGAGCCAAAGCATTTACCGCCCGTCTCAAACGAGACAGCATGGAAGCCGGCGGACTTGACCACCATGTCCACGCCGCAGCGGAACCCACCATCTGCGACAGCGTTGGCGGCTCTCCGTGGCCACCACCAGCAACACTGACATCTCTACCGCTGCGGGACGACCAAGACGACGACGACAACGATGATGATGATGTCCCAATTTCATCCAGCAGCACCAGCAATCGCGCCACCGTCGCCTTTTGCCAGCGCTGCCACGGCCGCGTGGGCGAATTCTTCAATTCGTGGCACAAGGTCGCTGAAAGGTTTGTTTGGCCCACATTCAACGTTACCATCCTAACCCAATGCCTACATTTGGCCGTGGCCATCTATTTCAGCGTCAGAGTCTAATATGACGAGCTAATCGCATCTACTTTAGATGCTATTTACCTACCCTGCTCGGATCCTACAGCTCCCTGCTCACGCCGCACGGCCGCAGGGAGCCCGCCATGGACACTGTCTTGAATGAATGGTATGTTTGATAAGCCTGTCGCTTTTCTGCTGCTGTCCTCCATCCATTGTTTCCTTCCTCCTTCCTTGCTTTCCTTCTTTGTCCTCCTCTTCTCGTCGGGTCCGTCGCACAGCTCTCTTGTTCCATAGGTATGTCCCCTACATTCAACAGCTCGCTCCGTGTTCCTCACCAACAATCACTTGGCCCGTTCTCTATTGTTTCGACTTTTTTTGTATTTTCCTTTTTGCTACTAGTCCCCCCTACTCCGTCCGTACTGTATCGTACAGCACATAATTAGCTCCAATCTGCCGCGCTATACCTTCACCATCTGCTAAATACGCCCGTCCGCATTCGTCATCCCAAGACACCTGACACTTTTGCTGATACACCATTCCTCAGTACCATTCAGCCTCTGGCTTGTCCCGGCTGTCAACTAGCACTCGGATTTCACATTGTCAGTGCGCCGCTTCGCAAGCGTTCCTTCCGGTAAGTGCCCGTTTTTCTTACCTGATTTACCTTATCATTCTTCCCTATATATAACCGTATATGTATTATCCTTTGCCGTGGCGCTGCCCTGCAGGGGTCCTTTATGCACTATCTGCAGGAAAGGATATATTCGAACGACGCCTTATAATGTCTTCCCGGCTAGATTACTGACTAGATTCCTCATCTTTCTCCACAGTGACCGCGACTTCTTCTACTTATCCCACATCGACCTTCGATGCAAAGTGGCCCCTAACCAGTACATCACTGTTCAACCTCACCTGGACACTCTCTCCTTGCCATCATCACCTCTTGTTGACTACTCGCCTGTTTCGGCCACTTGTTCCTTGCCATCATCCCCAGACAAAGCAACAATGGAAGTCGACTCGAGGCCAGCTCCCCCATTGTCGGGTCCACGCCACCATTACCATCAACGTCTTGACCAACATCACCACCACATTCACCATCATCAACCGCCACAGAACCACCACCAGAGTCAGCATCACCAACCCCAGCAATTGCAACTGCACCAGATTGAGTCTCGCAAGTTGTCTCTGCCACAACCTTCCCCTCGTTCCCCTCCTGCGCCAGTGACATCCAACACCCTCCCCCAACCGTCACCTAGTAGTCAGCCAATACCACTCCCGTCCCCCGTTGTCGGAGTAAAACCTATTCAACATGTCCAGGAGCATGCGCAGCAACCCCACAAGGATCCTAATACGAATATGACCAGCCGCATACGAGATCCTGCACCAACAGTAGGCTCGCATGCCAATTCCCCCACTGAATCTCGTAACAGTGGCCTAACATATCCCCGACCTTCGCAAGAGGTGCAGCTAGATGCTATTGAGCGTTTGCAAACCCAGATCTCCCAGAACAGCAGTGCCTTGGTCGTCCACGGTCGTGACATGCGTCGCTACGAAGATACCCTGCAGCATCAAGATGAAGGCCTTCGCCGCGAGCTGCAAAGTCAATATCATCATCAAAATAGCGAGATTCGACGTGTCGACGAGGCTGTCGGGAGATTGCAACTCGAAATGCGAGGAATACGTGAATCCATGGAAGCTCTCTCGCGTGATGTGCGACGTGGAGCTACCGCGGGCCAAGCTCCCACTCCAGCCCCATCAGTGAGCGCCCAGGACTCTGCGCTAGAACTCATGGCACAGCAAGTCGCCGTCATCTCACATCGTACCAACGAGATTGACACCTTAAAAATCACCATCGAGATTATGAAGAATAAGATACAACGACTTGAAGATACTGCTGCTGCTACTCCTGTTCCTGCACCCTCGCAGGCTGCGAGCCGACCCTACGCCTCTCCTGCATCCCAGCCATCTCACGCACCTGCAGCCTACCAGCCGCCACCGGCACAAGCTAACAAGCCTGTGCTTACATCTACTGCCATCCAAAGGCAACCTTCCTACCAATCACATCACTCACATGGCAGTCCGATGATGGTGGCTACACCAGAGGCACCTCAAAGAGTCGAGCCTCCACCCTCTCAAGCATGGGCTTCGGTCAATGGAGCTACGAAGAGAACTCTCGTGAATGGCTTTGACAGCCCGCAAGAATCAACGGCACAGGCTCCCACATCACCACCAAAACGCCTCAAGCTTGCCCCTATCGAACCTCGCGGGACCTATGCTAGTGCTGGCGCTCAGCTTTCTTCATATGAATATGCGGACAGCGACTCCGACGCAGCAAGAGTTCAGTCTCACTCATATGGTCCAGCATCGCAACCACACCCATCTCAATCTGAAACCACATTGGCCTCTCAACATCCGCATGCCACTTTGGCTTCCTACGGCACCCCAGACGCACACTCGGACGATGGCTGGCGACACATGGAGATGCGCACTCCCCGCAGCCGTGGTCGAGGTGGAGGGGGACCAGGGAGTCGTGGCGGTCGTGTTCGCAAAAGTGTAGCACACCTGCATGGCGTCGGTACTCCTGAATGGGAGAGAGAAAGCTGGCAGGGTGTCTCTCAGATTAGTCCAGACGGTTTCTACATCGTCAACCGACCAACACGAGGCATTGTCCGACGTGGTAGCGGCGGTGGAGGATCATCGCGTGGGGGACGACCTCCAAGTTCCCATGGACGTACCATAAGCTTAGGCCTTCAGGGAGTTACTGCTGGTGTAGGTATCGGGCTACCCGCAGATCCCTATGCACACACTAAGAAAACAAGGAGTAAGCCGGTGCGAAACGCAGACGGCATTCTCATTCGCAAGGATGGTCGACCTGACATGCGCTCGCAATCATCGGCCGCCAACCTGCGAAAGGTTCACGCACGCAAGGAGGATGGAAGCCCCGGACCCGAAGGCACCACTACCCCGTCCAATCTCCAGCACGCTTCGAGCGCTGATGCTGAAACACCGAGCCCTCGGAGGTACGCCGGTCAAGACATGAGCGATAGCATGGAAAAGAGACACAGTCACGTTTTACACAAGATGTTTCCCGACGGGATTGAGAAGTCGAGACAGGAGCATGATTATGCACGGAAAGTGTTTGATGAGGATCAAGACCATACTGTCCACCCCCGGGCACAAAATCACTTACACAAGAGCCAGCATCCCGAGGAGGCAGACGCGCACTATACTGCCATCAAGAACGAGCAGATCAGCAGAGTAGGTGTGGAGGACAATGAAGATGTTGATATGGATCGCCCCGAGGATCAGGCAGATGACGAAGGACAGACCCCTGGAGGGCAGAGCGATAATTCGGGCAACGACAGCCAGTATCACGATCCTGCGAATGGCGACGAGCAGACACCTCCACAGGCAAAAGAGTCGGTGAAGACCGCCGAGGAAAGTCCAAAAGGGTCTGCGGCCAATTAAGCTTGATCTACTTGAATCGTGCTTTTTTTTTATTGGGGATGGACACTGGATGGGATTGGCGCAACGGTTTATCATCGTCATGTCTTTGTTTTATTTGTTTTGGGGGTCGATCTACCCCCTCGTCGTTTTATTGAAATCACCTACTAGCGGCTACTCTTTCCTATGTTCATCTGTTACAAAAGTAGAGTTTTTTCTGTCATCATGGCGTACACACGTAGTTATCCGAAAGCTCGAATTGGGCAGAGGATTTGTCGTACATATTCGTTTTGTATCCTTCTGCAATAGTGCAATGAGATGTCGTATCGTTGACTGTTCAGTGAATTTTCCAATGTGTTTTCCCTTTATCTAACATGTGCCAATGCCTAATCTCTTCGAATCGTCTGCCATGATCTGAGTAAGAGTCAGTATGTCATGATAACAAACCTAAGCTTCAAACTTTTCCTTGGACTGCCACAAGCAAGACACCTCCATTCCCTCCCTCCCTCTCGTTGGAACATATCCTAAAATCTAAAGACATACAATCTGAACATCACTATGCGTCAACCACGAGACTTGGCCATTCAGATCTACAAAATTACGTATATGTCGTTCAACAACGTCACACCTCAATCAAGATACAGCAGTACAGGGATGGCATTGGCATGCATATATATCCAACTGTCATGCCTATCTATCATGAACGGTGTGACGAGATGTGTGGTCTTTGACGGGGGATAATGAAAAGCGGGAGTCGCCGGCAAGAATGGCCTACCCTGCCTACCCGTCCTGAAGTCCCGGTTATGTGCATCTTCAAGTTTGAGTTTGAGCAACCTCACCCATGAGATATCTCGCTATACTATAATGTGTTGTTACACCGTGTGACTTGCGTGTCTTGGCTGCTAATAAAGAGGCTTTAAGTGCTCTTGTTTCGAATCCCACCTGGTGTATTGGAATTCTTCCTTTTCCCGGAGTCATGCCACCACCACCGTGCGCATGAGATGCTGTAGACTGGGTAAGTAATTTAGTAAAGCTTAGGTGTCTCTTTTCGTTTTAGCATCCGATATTGTTAAACGTGTCTGTCTATGCGTGTATGCGGTAGTTTGTATCATTCTCCCACCGGCTATATCCCTTCAACGAACCCTTAAGAAAAAAAAACAATACTTACCATTCTGCCGCCTAAACCAACAAGTACGAATGCATAGGAGGTATAGTAATATACATCAAACGGGACCATCAACCGGGCAACCGGGTAAGGGAAGGAAAGAAGTCTCGCTAGAATTTATCGGTTGTTTCCAACGGGAGACCGTTGAGCATGGGCGGGTAGAATCGATTTCGCGTGTTTTTGCTTCATTGATGTATCGGAAACAATGTGGGGCAGGGGTGGTCCAATATTTGTTGTTTTATTGATTTGAAGATGATAACTTATGATATGCGCTGATTCAATTTCTGGAACTTGGTTTACGACGCGTATAGATGCATACGTGGTTGTATAGCGAGCATACTAGGGTTGATGTGGAGCCTGTAGAATACGCACATACGTATACATGTATGCGCGTGATTCTTGTTAGATCTAGATTCCGATCGATCTCGTCCGATCTGATCTAGTCGATTGATTGCGTGGTTAATTGATCGTGACATTGAAAGAGGAGTAATATTGAGTTTTTCGATTTGCAGTGGTTCTGTTGGCCGGATTATTGACTACGTATCGTGTTAACAACCCGTAATCACTGTTAGAAAGCGATTACTACAGTCATCGATAAAGCCTGTGGTGAACTGTCAGAGGTCCATAGAAAATTTACTTGATTGGCGTCCAACATCAGGCTACGCTGCTCCCTGCTGTATACGGCGTATTCGATGGACATTGATGAGTAGCTGATGCTGCAGAGTTTTACGTGCTGAGTGAGCACTGAAGTAAAAAACAGTTGTTTCAAAAATGGTGGTAGCTGGTGCACAAGAAGGTATTACGTGGTTGCTGTTTCTGGGATACTGCGGCGCTTGAGAGACCAGACCTACAATTCTGTCCAGTTTTCGTAAATAGAAATGATGACGATCTCAGACACCTCGCGTAGTCGATGCATTTTCGTGTGATGGAAAAGCAAAATGCGATACGAACAATGTGTGAGTGTGGTTGTCGTGTCGTTGAAATAAAGAGTCAAGCTAGCTGCTGGAAAGGAAGGCACCCTATGCCAAGACACCCGTGGGCATTACAGCACTTGAGCATACAGAAGTGCATGTTCGCAAGATCAAACTGGAAACTATCTAGAATGTCTTTGAATGTAATTCCTGATGATATTGTGACCTTTCACCCGTAAGACATCTTAATGGAGTGGTTGGACACCGCAAATGCTGCAGAGGATCAGTGTCACGTGACTGGCTTCACTGGAGGGAATTGCAATTGAACTTCGCGCAATGCAATCACTCACACATAGAAACATAAGGCTCGCATGTTTGAATGGCATAACATATCATTTGATTTCATTTGATTTTGATTGGATACCAACGAAGGTATTTGACATTAGAAGTTACAGATATCAATTGATAGATACCGCCTTGCTCTATGCAAGTTCTTTTTGGACCTTGACAACCCAAGCACCCTTCTCAATAGTGTTGATAAGGATGAAACCGGAGGGGAATCCGGCCCAAGAAGACCAGGAGCCGACGAAGGAAACGGTACCTCCGCCCTCGAGAGCATCATCATCAGGGTAAATGTCAAAGGCCGCAACTTCCTTGACGCCGCGACCGGTAGGGTCACTGGGAATGCTCGAAATGTCGAGTACGCTAATGCCGGCACCATAGTTGCTCTGGTAGGCGTATTTTCCGTACACATATTCTACGGTCACGTGTCAGCACATTCATGGACCATTTTTGATGGATTTTTCAGGGGAATAACTTACGGTTGTGGTCGATAACAGTACGTGGTCTATTTAAATAGATTTCAAGTCAGCACGGTTCATAGGAATGTGTGGTTCGGAAGAGGGAGTGTCAAAATAGTAAAAAGAGCTTCAAAACGCACCCTTGGTAGTATCCAGTCTGTTTAGGACGCTCCAGATTCCGGATATCCCATACAAATGTAGTGGGCCTCCCATTGGACGCAGGGCCACGCTTCTCTTGCTCGTCGAGCTCGTCGTCCATGATGAGGTACTCCTGGTAATCGGAGTTGAGGACCCAGCCCTGGTGGGTGTAGGAGGCCCCTTCGTAGGAAGTGATGGAAATAACTTCAGGGAAAGCTTTGTCGCTGAGATCGTAGATTGTCAAGGCATCCTCGTTATAGCCGTAGCAAATCTCGCGTCCGAGGTATTTCTGGTGGGGACCCTGGAAAGAGTTAATTTTCAGATTACCAACTGACTGATTCAAGCTTCACAACTTACCCTGTAGATGAGGCACTGAGCATCGTGTACATAGCCGTCCTGGTGGGCACAGCCAGGGCTCACGACGTTGGAGGGGTCGCTCATGTCGAGCATGTTGATACCGGATCGGCAGACGGTATCGTTACGGGGCTGAGCACCGACAGTGTAGGCGAACTTGGTCTCCGGGTTGGTCACAACATTGTGGACACGACCAAGGGGCAAGTCGTTCCAGAAATCGGTGAGATCGGTGTCGGGGGAAAAGGTTTTTGGTCCTTGCTTGTAGTCGATGTCGAGGATCTTCTTCAAGTCGAAGAACTGGACACCGTGACCGGGCTCTTCACTACCCACAACTAGGTAGTTGTCCATGGTTCGGAGCTCCCTCCAGCGGCTGGGGGCAACGCCAGTGGTCTGGGGAAGACGTCCGAGGTAACGGAGCTGTCCGGCAGTGGTGATCTGTAGACATATATTGTTAGGTTTGTTTGCAATTTCAAATATTGGTTAGAATCATACCTCTGCGAAAGCAGCACCATCACCTTGTGCGATGATAGCAAACTCCCTGCCATCGTCACTGATCCAGCCCCAAGAACTGGAACCCAGACCAGTCGCACTGCCGAGCCTCTCGTGAGAAAGGAAGTGGTGCATGTTCATGTTGTTGCACTTGAAGCGGTTGACAGTATCGCCACGGATAGGTACAGCGTACCCGTCCTTGCACTGAGCAAAGCCAAGTTCGGCATAGGAAGGGCCGAAGACAGCAGCTTCGTTGATGCCCATGAGACCCATCTCCTCGTCGTGGGAGAGCTGAGCTGCCTTTGCCGCCATGATCTTCTCGTGCATCACTCCACTCTCGTAGAGTTCTGCGTGACGTTTGGCATCACGAGGAATCTCCTTGGCGGATCCGGCGGCCGCGAGGGCTGCAATGGCTGTGTAGAACTTCATCTTGACAAGGGAGCAGATTCTGGAAGATCTGTAACAGACAATCGAAAGGAACAGCGGATGGTAGAGGCCTTTTAAACCGCATACGAGGTCTCTTAGCGCGATATGGTCCCCGGCTTGCGTATATCAAGAGTTACTCGGTACTCCATGGTTTTCTGGTTAGTATACAAGCAAAGAAGTCTTGGAAGATTTCATAAAAGCCGTAAACAGAAGGTGCTCTACACCCACGACTGTACCAAGATCGGTAGGGCCGGCGGTCACCAGGGGTGCGATAATCCAGAGTTTCTCTCAACCAGAACTATGGGCGACCACCTTCCTATCGACTCCAGGGGCGTAGAGGCGAGGACTTGGCAACATGCTCCGCTTACTCGAATGCTCATCAGGGAACCCGGGGGATTGCTTGGCAAGAGGATGTAGTGGAGTGGCGAAGCCAAGCTGAGCGGCGGCTAGATGCCCTGTTCTGTTCACCAGGTATACACTTGGGTTAGTGAGCGTTGCCGTCTTCCATAGGCGGCTCAGGAAATGCATCCCAGTGCAACGGTCGTGGAGAGCATTCGAGCGGGTCTAGGCTACCATTGGTAGATTGAGAGTTCGTATAGATCCGCCGGTAAACAGATGTGACTGTTGGCTTGCTATATGTGGAAGGTCGAAAGATTAGTCTGCCTGCAGGTCGTTATATTAAAAGAGACCAAAACAAGACCCTTGGCGTCTTGGTATATCTTGGAAGACAAACACACCAGCACTCCAGTGACCAATTCCCTTTTCTTAGCAATGTTAAAATGATTAGTGACTATGCGGGGCTGTACAGTATGATAAGGAATATCAAATAGTTCGCCATTGGATCTTTCCCGTAACGACAAGGTCAACAATGAGACGTGTGGAGTGGTGGGCATATGCCACGGTAAAGGCTTCGCACACATAAGCATCGCCTATGGGCATGAGTCGGCACACGGCTAATGAGCTGCATCAAGAGTGCGTCTAGAGTGCAGAAAGATGCAGCAGAGGTTCTTCCTGGGTTCTTCACGAGCTTGTTGCGATGGGACCATATGCATTGGCTGCAATCTGGAAGCTGTCGCCACACCGTACACAGCATACACAGCGTCGCTTCGAAGAATAGTCATCAAGCCAAGGTTTCTATCGGCGGTGATAGATGAAATTGGAAGGTCGAGGATCGTTATCAAAAGCAACGCAAAAGTGTTGCGGCGGGAGGCATTGATGAAATGAAAATAGGTGCACTAGCACTCCGTTATATGCCGCAAGCCCACAGGGCATCTTGGCAAGGGCAATGTAATCATGTGTTCGATTTCCCCTCAAAACAAGAGCTAAATGGCTCAAAAACCAGCTCAAATATGTCACAAACTCCCTCTTATCTCTTGTGTTCAGAAACAAGTTCGAGGAACTCATTCCAACCTCTAGATACCGTCGACTTGGTTCTAGCCTGGAACCACCCTTGGTCTTTTTCAAAGATCAACAGAATAGCCCAGACTATCGGGTTTCCAGCATGCAGTAACTGCGAAGTATGCGTTTCCTCTCCATGGGTACCTTGTAGTACATTGAAGTCAGGGTGTGTTGGGGTCATATGGGGTTTTGTGTTGCAATGCGATTGTTAGCATGCGCAAATCTTGTTATAAGGATCGCATTGTTGCTATGTATGCATTCAACGAAGAAGAGTTTCCTATTCCGACGAATGCTTTTGTCCAGCGATCGTACAATACATAAATATGTATGCCCAGGTGCATGTAGGCCACATTTTGTCACGTGGGGGTATTTTACGCTGTGGACTTCCAAGAGAGCACATTTTCCAACCACCCCGAATGATGGGGTAACAAAACATTGATTAAGAAACAAACAATCGCGATAATTAGGACCAAGGGGAGAGTCCCCTTTCAATGATACGCCACACTAGCGCCACCCAATGCATATGTATGGTACACAAATTTACAGTCCACCCAATTGCTGTTTAGTCCACAACACTCCACGCATCAACCATGGCGCTCGTGATCTTCAGTCTGCAGCAGATTCTGGATATCTCTTCTGCTCCTCTTCGACCTTGTTATTGTATATTTATTACTTCCTCGCGTTTACGGCTGCCTGTACGGTCTCGGTGGTTGAGCCGGGTCGCGGTGTTTGGCGGGTGATGGGTTCATTAGGGACAACGACGTCTTCGAACTCATCTTGGGAAATGACATTGATGGTATAGGCATCTGAGTAGAACAATCTGATTAGCCCGATGCTTTGACACGGGAAACTGTATCACATACAAATGCCAACTACGAGAGCGCAAATGGCGGTGCCGGTGATGGTGTTCTTGACTAGGTACGGTGCTCGGGCACGGAGAAGGGCAGGATTCGCGCGCATGCGGTCATCGTAGTAGGTGGACTGAAACGGTTTGCTGAAAGTGATATGTTAGTAACTGGGTTATGGATTGAATCATTCTGTACTCACTAAGGCATGGTGGCGGGCGGATGGGCGAAATGGCGTGGAAAGTGCTTCGCAATGTTTTTTGCGGGGAATCAGACGACTACACGGGGCGCCCGCGATGCGATGAGGCTCTGTGCAAGGCACGTGCTCCAGATCTTGGCGCTCGCGTCTGGCTGTAGCTTCCTGGCCCTGTCACAACTTCCTTCCTCAACGACAGACATACGAACAACATTCCGCCAGTTAGTTCATAGACACATCACCACCTGCGCGCCCATCATCATTCTCATCTCCTTGAAGTTCTGGTACTTTGATAAGCTGGCGATGAGGGCAGTCTCGGTGGTGGAGCACGCAGACAAGACAGGTTGATCGAGGCTTTGTCGCCCAGCTTGATTGATTCATTGATTGATGGACACGCGCGCGTGGACAAACACAACTACACCTTACCTCACTACACTGCACTGCATCGCGATCCACCTCCATATCACACCACCTGCTCGCATCAATGACGCAGATGTTGGACCAACTCGAAGCCGCGCGCAAGCTGGCCCTGAATGATGGCACTCACTATCCCAAAATCCTTCCCGGCGTCTTGCCCATCATTGGCGCAAACTCCAATGCGAATATCGAGCTGCGCCGATGGGGGGCAGACTTCCTGGCAGAGGCCTTCGCCTCGCCTACATGGTCGCCCGAGATGAAGGAAGCACTCGTCCTGCGTGTGGCTGCGGGTGCGGGTTCGGCTCTCCTGGAGGCCTTGAAGGAATACCTCGAAGTCGTGCAGGACAGGGCCGTCATCAAAAGTGCTATTTTGACTGCTGCAACTATATACCCCATGATGTACAAACACACGTGAGTGCCTTTCCCTCCCCAGTAAGCTTGCTTGGAAGTCTTCGTAGAATCGAGTGCTCTGCGCTCTTGCAAACACTTCATCCTGCATCTTTATGTTGTTGCTAGCAAACCGCATTCTCATGTCCATGTCTCTCCAGTATCGCAGATCCAAACGATAGCCACAACTGGCAGCTCATGCAGGCAATTAAGATGAATATCCTACAGAGGATGGACGCAGCTCCCTCTGGCGTGCGCATATGCTGCGTCAAATTCGTGCAGCAGGTCGTCTTGACCCAAACCCCTGGCCACGTCGATCCTAGGGTATGTAGTAACTCGTTCAGACCCTATGCTCTAATTGTGTGCTAACTCTCCTCACAGCGACCAGATCCAAATGACATCTCCCTTGCCATTCTACCCCGTAACCACGCTCTGTTGCCGTACGGAAACCTAGAAGCCGAAGGCCACGGACTACTCGACCGCATGTTGGATATCATACATGGAGATCACAGGTCAGGCAACCCAAATGCACAAACAGGCAGGATGCTGATGGAGAACAGTGATGCGTTGTTGGTCACCGCTGTGCTCAATACTCTGGGAATATTACTCCAGCGCAGGCCGATAGCTTCAAGCAAGATATTGAATAGCGTACTCAACTTCAATCCGCTGAAACTCGCTAATTCGCCAATGACCCCCAAAAATCGAGTTATAATGAAGTCTCTCGAAAGGACTACGCGGGCTCTGCTATTTAACTTCATGAAACGGTACCAACGCCCCCGGTCACTCCACACCTGCCCTTTGCTGACTAGGTTTCTTGCAGGAACCCTGAAGGCCCGCTTACCGGGCGCATACAGCAGTATCTGGAGCGCATGCATCGTATGCGGATTGATGTCTTCGACGAATCTTCTCGGAAGAGACCAGCCCCAGCAGAGCCCACCGATGGCTTGGACCCTGCCAAACGACAGCGTTTACGCGCAAATGTACCTGCTGCCAGTGCGGTAGTCCCTGTGCCCGCACCTGCGCCTCCTCCCGCCACTACACTACCTCCAGGCCCAGTGACTTATCGCCAGTTGTTCACATTGAATCCAGATGCTGGCATAGCAAATTTCGACGTGCAAACTTTCAAAGATCCTGAACAACTGGTCATGCTCACCGTACACCTGCTTCAAATGATCGACGAGGCCCAGATGACCAATGCAATAAATGTAAGTGATGAAACGAGACTTCATCGACAGGAAAATACAAGTCTCGGTTTCCTTTCTTTCGTTCACTCGCTAGAATAGACGCTGACTTTCTCGTAAGGTGGTTCGTTCTCGATACCTTTCTCTCAGCACCACAGCCTCGGGAGCTCCTGCCGCCAGCGCGCCTGCCCCATTACCTCCCCCTGTCGTTGATGACGAAGAAGATTACGAACCTGACTTCGAGCCCGAGGATGCCGAACAAGTCGCAAACAGTTTAGACAGTCTTCCTCCCCCAGGCACAGTGGAACTTCCATCAAACTCGCTCGCTCCTTATAAACTTCCAGAAGCCCCGCCGCTTACAGAACAAGAAATTCGACATTATGGCGAAGTGTCGGTTCGTGAAGCTTTCAGGATGCTCAGTAGTACCGAAGACAAAGACAAGGGCAAAACTAACAAGACCGGGTTTAATAGATTGGCTGCAAGTGACTATGGACGAGATGCCTGGATAACTATACTGTCTCGATTGGCTACTCGGGCAAGCGCAGGCTTAGACGATCCCAACGAAGGTATCAAAGACGAATTCGCAGTGAAGAATATCAAAGGAGGGGTCTCAATAAGTGATTCCGTAAGAGATGGGTTATACACATACATCATGTATGATTGGAGAAAACGTATCGACGTTGCCATATCGTGGCTTACCGAAGAGTGGTACAACGACACCATCCTCACCCAATCCGCAAAGATAGCGGCCAAAACCAGCAACCTGAACGGTAACTCTGCCTCCAGCGCATCCGGACCGAAAGGGAACTACGAACGTTGCGCCCTGCGTCTAATCGATGGCATGTTGCCGTTCGTGGAACACACCGACAAGATTCTGCTCCGCTTCATTTCCGAATTACCAAAACTCGATCATGAGATCCTCGCCCGCTTGATTAAGATGTCCGAGGATCCTGAGCGTATCGATTTGTCATGTAAAGTGCTCCAGTATCTATACATGTTTCGCCCGCCAGTGCGCTCTGTCGTAGTCGATGTGCTCTCGGAGCTGTGGACTGTGAATCATCGTGCTAGACCTAGCGCTGGAAAATTGTTAAAGCACTACCGGCCGGACTTTGCTGCATTGGAGGAAGCAAACGGTACGAACGTTGGTGGCGATGGAGGGGAGGTCAAAGCAGAAATCGTGAATGGTACTGCTCAATAGAGCGGTCTTATGGATACGCTCTCTTGATTCATGGGCATGAGCGCGATGGGTCAACTATCACTGGCTGGCAGGCTTTGGCTCCATGACCACGTGTGTTCCTTTCTCTCTTTCTTCTTTTGTCTTTCACCAGAGAATGACTCGTGTATGATATGCTTGCAGGCCGACCGCATCAGCTACGGAGGGTTTCCATATGGCATGGGCGCCAGACTTCTTCACAATGTGTATTCAGTATCAGATTTTTTCCATATTCTATTCTAGCGGAGGTGCTTACCGTGCTTCTTCAAGTATACATAAATGACTTCCGACGAGTGAGTTACAGTAATACGGGCGACCACAAACAAACCAGGCAGATTCTTCTTCTCTGATCGAGCGATATCATGCCATCTGATCAATTTGATTCAACCTGATGCAGAAACGTATACAGAGGACGCACTATGAACCTTCGGATCCCTTTTCACTTCAATTGCAGTAGTAGTGCCACGAGTTTTCACGCAATGACGGGGACATCGTAAGCCCATCAGCTCGCATTCCACGCACAACAAACGAAAGAAAAGGCACGATGGCCGTATTTGAAGAAGTCACGAAAAATGAAGAGAACATACCACCAAGACACCTTACTTCTCCCCCCATCCTCCCCAATCTCCAACCCGGCCTCCGTCAACGCCTCCTCAATCTCCTCTTTCTTCAACTACACGGCCCCGTCGCCTCGCTCAATACAAGCCGCAATCCGTCGATATTTCGGATTCTCGGGATCATACCTATCCGCTAAACACCACTCACACGTGCTTAACGTCCCCTCCCCCTAGGCTTCAACACACGACAGAGTTCTTTACAGGCCGGGGAGAGGGGTCGAGCATGGTATATAACTTTTTTTACGTAGACAAAGTCGAATGTGTTGTCTTCAAGAAGCATGGTGGTGAGATCGCTGGTTGAGAATAGGACAATGAGCTGTGTGCTACCACAGGACAATGGGCTGTACGCCGGGTAAAACACGACCAGACTCGCATGATGAATGACTACCATCCATACTATGATGTCTCTTGTGCTTGCTGGGTGCTTATCGTCGTCGTGTGAAGACTGATGTTGAGGATGTTGGTATGTTACCTTGACTTGCCTCACCACCTGACATGACGATTGCGCAGCGCCTTGACTTCACACCCACAGTCAGCGATTATCGCCTTTTGAGATAATTCATCGGTCTTTGGAACTTCGTTGTTTTGTTTTGTTTTATTTTGTGAGAAGGAGGGAGAAGAAACCCATTTATTCGACACTTGTTGAGCAGTTCCGATTCAGGTCTTGGTATACTTCTGGGGGTTTGTAGATGGCGAGTTTAGTTGTTGGGGGTGGAAGAAATGGAAAACTTGAATTGGAGAATAGATGGAGGTATCCTCAACGACACTATCTCTGTCTCCTTTTGAGAGAAATGAGAGAAACTCACTAGTCGATGGCGATGTAAAGAAGTGTTTTGTTAAAGACACCGTCAGAGAAGAAGAGAAGGCCATTTTAGTTGACTTTGTCTCTTCCCCTTTCATTCGTTCGCCCCACAAATAATCCGGTATGTCTTCGAACCATCACGTTTACCGGGCCTTAATTGGTCTACTGGATCTCATACATATACTCACACAAACATCAGAGTAGGACGAAATCAATTCATTTTACAGCCAGATTTTCGTAAAACCCCGTTGTTGTTCAAGTAACTTCTGATATCCTGCTTCCCAATCACGACAATTCGATTCGATATTCTTCTCGATGGGCAATGTTGTAATAGTTGTTTATTCCTCAGCATTTCTCCTTTGCCCCCTTTTTTAAGAGTAGGTTGTTGTTATCCCAGCTGATCCCTCACATTGTCCTGAAATTCATTGCATGTCTCTCCTTCGACACGCTCCGCTTAGCGGTGGAGAGAATAAGAACATTGCAAAAAATGGCATTCTTAGAAAGTTTCCAGAGGTTCTGTGCTTGTTGAATGGTCCGATATTTGATACTCATACAACTCACACAGCCCGTTTACACTTTACCCTCTTTATTGCTTCCCAAAACAGCAGGCAGTAATGTACTGTATCAACAGATGACAACATCTAGAAGGATAGATAGCCCCCGATCCCTGCTTTTGCTTATTGCAATAAGTTTGGGTGAAGGCAAAAATTGAAAGTCTTTTCGGTAATCGCTCGTTATTTTGGTATTTTCCTCGTTGTAACCTATCGCTGTGTGTAGGATCACCTTAACTCCCACTCAAAAAAAAAAAAAAAAAAGAGGATAGATAGATAGGACACGGAGCGAAGCACACAACCCCCTCCCCTCCCCGGCCGACCAACGACTTCATGGATATGAAATAATGAATCAAGAATATATTCTTTATATCTCGCTGCGCCTCCCCACCTGTACGCCCGCTCTAAAAGAACAAACTACAAATTCTTCGTCTCAGAGGCACCACTCTTGCAACCCCTTGCCTCCCCTGCCCCTCCACTTAATCTAGTGAGAGAGCTCACCCCGTTTTCCAACAAAGGCATCATTGCGATCTACATATCTTGAACAAGAAACCCTCACTATTTGAGCACCGTAACAACGCCGGCGCAGAAGCAGAAAAAGACAATGATCCCTTACAAAAAGCTCATCCGTAACCATGCAAAGGGACGTGAAAGTGATGGAGGATCTTCGAACAGGCGAGTATGTGTGTACAATTGATTGTTATTTATTTTCATATGATTATCCTCTTAGGTAGGATAAGAGTGCGAAGAAGATGGTGTACATTGCCATATTTACTGAGAATGCATCTTCTTGATCCTGTTGGCACCTTCGTACAGAGCACGGTCGATGGCAGCGGCGACGGTGAGGGTACCACCGATGACAGCGCACAAGCCGACCAGAAAGCTGGAGAAGGTCTTGGTTCGCTCTTCGCGGTTGACGACCTTCATGGGGGAGATGTCCTAGAATCAACCGTGTTAGCAATTTGGGATATCGCTTGTGAGAGGTGGAGTATTTTGAGAGAACAATGTGGGGGGAGAGGGTGGGACTTACGTATGAGAAGAAGACACCCGGAATGCCGCCGCGGGCGTGTATCCTCTCCTTGTGGCCTTCCTCTTCGTCGGATCCGCCCTTGAGATTCCGCTTGTGCGAAGTCACAGAGTATTGATGTGTCTCCACGCTGCCCTTGTAGGTGTGGTCGATGGTGGCGCCAAGAAGATCGTCGTGCTTGGACGGCGAGGAAGCGCTCTCCCATCCCAAAGGCAAGTATGCAGTGCTGACCACCTTGATGAAGTACATGAAATTGAAAGCCTGCTCGCCGGTGTGTTGTTCGGTGTTGTCTAGCGGGTTGATGTGGTGATTGGTCCAGCCTCCTGGGCCTGTATTGGCATGTTTGCTGTTCATGTCCGCGATCACAGCCTCACTGAGTTGGGGTCCGAAGCGGAGGTGGTTCACTTTGTGGGTGAAAGTGTGCGTCTCATCTTTGAAGTAGTTGTCGAGATCGTGGACGTGGAGGGCGCCGTTGGAGAACGACTTTCCAGGCGCAATGTGGAAGTTTCCAATGACCTTGTTGACCTTGATATTTCCCTCGAGACGGCACCCTTCCTTGCGTTGCTCGTCGAGGTGTTCGGCGTAGTGCTCGCGCTCACACTGCTCCACTCCCTCACCACGCCCGAAAGACCAAGAAATGGAGGCGTATGCATCACGCACTTCGTCACAGGTGTTGCAGCAACCGGGCTTCTGGGCGTTCGAGGGGGGTGGGGCGCCGAAACATTCACCGCAGTAATTGGGGTCGAGGTGGGAGGCTTCGTCGGCATGGCTGTCTCTATGTTAGCAGGGAGAAGAATGAGCAGATTCGAAGATTACTCACAGATCTAGTGACTTGACTTCAATAACGCGGCTTCCCTCGCTCTCAGGCGACAAACGGACCTTGTTCACGCCGTGATTTACCCCCATTTGCAATTCTCCAGAGACATCCATGACATCGAGAGTAAGCAGCCCGCATGGCATGCGGGGGAATGTGATATTCATTGCGATTTCCATCCTCTCGCCTCTGCCCTTGTCAACCACCAATTCAGGTCTCACGGTGATCCTCCGGAAATCCGCCCACTCGCTCCATGTCAAATACAGTATCACTAGTATACTGGTAATCGTGATTATTCCACCCGAGGTTGTTCTGATCTTGGCATCTTCCACCGTCTTTGTGAAGGCGTCGAGGCGCCCAAAGCGGGATTTGGCGGGCATCTTTGTTCAATTGAAGACGAGGAAGGTGGTGGGGAAAAGAGGTGAGCCTAGCGATGACTTGATCGCGAAAGAGGTGATTCGAGGTTCGCGAAAGATCGTGTGCCGTCCGGAGAAGATTCGTTTGTAGGGTTGTGCGGGCAAGTATGCTGTGTATCCCAGGCCGAATTCTTATATAATGCTCGGTCAGTTGGCGCGGGACCAATTGTTGCGGAAGCTGGTACCAAGAATTGCGCCTATCACCGGGGCAATTGCTTGGGGCAGAAAGGGAATAAGGAATGAGAGGTGCACAAGGTGCGCTAAGGTTTCTGTACCATGATATAGGGACTAAAGAAAGGTGTCGTGATAACAGCCACGGCGTGGTCTTCGGCTGATTAAAGGACACATGTCTGCGATCTGAGAGGTGAGTCCTGAGACGCAGGGGTCTAGAATAAAAAGGGACTAGCGTGCACGTGGCAGGCTCGAGCAGTGAAACAGTCAACTGCATGCATACAATCGACCGCACTTGCCGAATCGCATAGACTGTCTACTCGAGAGGTACCGATCTGCCATGGATACATATTATACATTGCACATCACGCCAATATTTGAAGACAGCCAAGCTGAACAAGATTCGAGCCTACACTTGTATGCATCGAAATAACAAATCAATAGATCAATCAACTACATAACTTAAGGGGGAATCATATATATAAAAAGCAACCATGTATAAACAACGGTGAACCAATGCCTCTAATGCGACTTTCTCTGTGCGTTTGCAAGCGCACTCTCCATCGCTCCCTGGATATCGAGGTGGAACAATGGCCGATTCAAGCCTTGTACAACCGCAATCGTGGATGCCTTCGTGGTGACGGCTCCGTAAGCCTTGCTGTGCGAAAGTTGCTTATCCAGAGACTCTTCTTCGGAGCTAGCCGATGAAGCAGCTATGCGATCGTCAATACCATCCGCTTCGGTATCGCGCTGTGCTGCTGCTTTCAAAGCCCTCCTGTTCTCCCGAGCTTCGGCCTCGGCAGCAGCGCTGTGAGGACCACCAATCTCGGCAACACTGAAAATGGGTTTCCAGCGGTGGATCTCAGAACCTTCAGCATCGGGTGTGTAATAGCCAAATCCGGCCGCTGCCAGTGCACGCTTGGTCCAGCGGTTGTTGATGTGGCAAAAGTGCCAGTCTACTGTATCAGGCGCGGCAAAACGATCAAGCTGGTTGCGGACATCAATCAAATTCTGGATCGATGTGAGATCCACAGTGTCGACGGCCGAGAAATCGAGAATGATGGCTTTCAAGGTTGGACGATTATCCGTCTCATCGACCTCCTTGCCCTTCCTGGGACCTGGATCATTCCATGGACGATCCTGTGGATGTCAGTTTATGGTTTCTTACATAGAGTGACGAGGACTACTTACACCAGGCCTTCCGTACGTGGCGGGGTTTGTACGGCGAGTCTTTTGGAAGATTGTGTGTACGAGCGTATCCAGGTGATGATTTGCGTTGGGGTAAAAGAAGCCGACTGCGAAACGATAGATGAAAATACCAGGATAAGGATCTTCAAGCTCAATCATAGGGTTGCTGCCATCGTGATGATCGATGGGCAAGAATGCACTGCGTACAGAGTCTTTGCCTTCGACAGGGTTTCGGCGAGGGGAACGTTCGGCTTCTTTGTCATTCTCGTTGGGGTGCAGAAGGTGGTCGCCAATGACGGAATGGATCTTGGCTTTCCCAAGGAATCGGCCTCGTGCTTTGAATGTCCTGAACCACCAAATCGCTGCAGAGGCTGAGACAGTGACGTAGATGCCAATCTCAATGGTAGTGAATACGGTTACTGCATATGTTAGCACAAACTCATCTCAGATTGCGGATTAACTAGAGCATACCAATGACTCCCGCGAAGAAAACAATCACTTCCAGAGGTGAAATTCTCCAGAACTGATAGACGGTGTTGGGGGGAGTGATCAAATCCAGGACTGCATGAATAATCACAGCGGCAAGCCCGGCGTTTGGGATGTACCAAAACATGGCTGGAAGAGCGTAAATTGCAAGAAGAACGATGACCGCAGTAATCACACCAGCAAATGGCGTCCTGACACCCGCTTTGGATTTTATAGCAGTACGAGAGAAAGACCCAGTGGCGGGATACGCGCCCAAAAACGGACCGAGAACATTTGTAACACCGATGGCTACAAGTTCCTGGGAAGGATCGATGGTGTAATTGTTGACTCGGCCGAAAGACTTGGAAATGGAGATGTGCTCAATGAGAAGCACAATGACGGTCGACGGGAGTTCGCCCAAGAATGATTTGATGATGGGAGTGGTAATGGGGGGCACTCGAGCGTGCTTGAACCCTCGTGGAACGTTGCCGAGGACTGAGAACAGTGGCTTCTTCCGGTGATTGCGGTTTGCCAAGTAGCTGATGAGGATGTAGAGCAGAATGACAAATGCGGTCCTCAGAGTGCTGACGAAGAAGAAGGTTTTGGCGCGGCTCGGATACCTTTTGGCAAGCAAAGTACAGATGGTCCGAATCGCATACAACATGACTAGTGCCGTCAATCCAATGGCGGCGTTCAAGTTGGAGCTCCCGAGATGCTTCAGTGTGTTTATGAAGACCAGGTAGGTGGCATCTCGCGTGGAAAATAGGTTATTGATGCCCATCATGGCCGGTATTTGGCCAACAGCGATGCTGATGGCGGAACCTGTCATGAAGGCTGAGATGGCAGGCAAGGAGATGAATTCGACGACCCATCCCAGGCGAGCCAATCCGAGAAACAAGACAATGGAGCCAGCAATGACAGCAAGAGAGGACGCGATATACTCGGGGGGTGTGCCTTCGGGCAATTTTTCCAGAGCCGATGTAACAACGTTTCCGGTGACAGTTGACAGGACGGCTACGGGGCCAATGGTGATATCTTTGGAAGTAGCGAAGAACCAGTAGATCAGAACACCCATGAATGATGAATACAGGCCAAACTCCGGAGGAAGCTGAGCCAGCTTTGAATAGGCCATACTCTGGGGAACAACAACAGCGCCGACGGTGATACCTGCTACCAGATCGCCAAGGAGCCACTGAACGTTGTAGCGGGTGATCCATCTCAAGAAGGGGAAGAGCTGGATGATGTAGGTGAGGATTCCCTGGCCGGTTGGCAAGACTTCGTGAAGCCATTCCAGAGCGGTTGGTTCTTCCTCGACATAGGTGTTTGCGGAATCGATGGAAAAGACACTCTCGCCTCGAGTGACGCGGTCGGAGCCGGTCTCGTGGCGGTAATGCAGGTCGATACCGAGGACTTTGGCAAGGCCATGGCCTATCTTGGTACTGGTGGAAGGCATGACGAGCTATTGGTGAGAAGCCAGAAGTCGCTCTCGGCGGCCCGGATGACAGTATTAAACAAGCTCCAACAAGCTACACAGTACGAGAACCCGGCGCATGAGATATAAGTATAAACGGGCTTGAGCCAAGCAGGAGGAAATTGCTTTTGCGAGCGAGCACAAGACGCAAATCAGCCACAAATGGGTGTGACGGGGAGCGTGTTGCAGCTGGAGGAGCAGGTGAGACAAGGATTGGCTGCACAGTAATTGGTTGATGTGGAGGCGATATTGCGTGACCGTCGTCTAAGCACGTATGTACGGATGGTTGACCTTGACGAGAAGGAGAAAACCAACAGCACTAACTTGAGGGCAGGGGACGGCCTGGTGAGACGACGACAAAGAGGGAGGAGAGAAAGGGATGTTGATGGGGAGACGAGGATTGTATTATAAAAAAAAGTAGTAGGGATAATAATGGAGCAAGCAATCGACGGTGCAGTGCTAGCAGGTAGGTAAGCTGAGGATTGAGCATTCAAGGTTGAACGAACGTGGTGAGGTGGGATAAACGGAGAAGCAAAATGAATCTGCGGGAAATGTGTGGGGGGAGTGGAGTGGCGTGGGCCATGATGGGCTGGTGGTTATCGGCGAAGGCAGGACAAAGGTCGTGCGCATACGGAGCATACGGAGGAGTGGTGATGGTGTTTTTTGGCCTTTGGGTATGGAATCGCGCCAGCAGGGCCAACGTCGGGCGGCAGCCGGGCAGGGATGCGCTGCGGCGGGAAGCGATGGTGCGGGCGCGCCGGCCAATCGAGGCGGGCGGTGGTTCCTGGTGGGCAATTGCGTGCTCGATCCCCAACATGTCGTTTTTCTCTGCTAAGCCGCTGGGCACAGCGCCGCCTCTTGTTTTCTGCGCCCGCGACCTATTTTTTTCCAATTAGGCCCCTTTGCATCTGGCTCTGTGACGTACTCTGCTCCAGTGTCCACCACCACCGCCAGGCATTTGTTGAAACGAGACCTCGTGGGCGGTCCGGGATCGGTCAAAGCGGACGGGGACCATACCCATCTGCCGTGGGCCTGCTTCCTCCATTACAATTACTATCCGTCATCGCCGGCGGGGCCCTGGGAAGAAATGATTTCTTCACCCTCCACATCATGAGGAGCGCCATGATGTGCAGCTTGCTTTTCACAGCGTGCTATTTTCAGATGCAAATGGGACGTGGACGTGGACATGGACCTCCTGCGAAGCCTGCCTGACTGGCATCAGATGGAGGGAACCGATGCACCTTTCCCGTGGCTCCCATGTCCTGTCACATCGCTGTCGTATGTACCATGCATGGTTTATTGACACGGCCAGGCATCGATCGCATCTGTTTGCCTGTTCTGCATTGCCAACCCCGTGAGTGGAGCCTCCGCGTTCATGGCTGCGACTATCGTTAGCTATCTGTATCTACATGACCTCACGTACATACCTTGGTATTTGGAGAGCTGGAACAAACATCATGCATTATGCATCACCGCTCAGACATGATTCACAGTAAAAAATTAAATTGGAGTAACACGGGAGCAAATGATTGTGCTTGCGTGATGTGTAGCAGCGAAGGAGCAGCAAGAGGAGCTGAGTTCACCAGCTCGAGGTTGATGCCAAGGGTGGCGTCCTAAAAAGGAAATTCTGTACACCAAGCTCCACTACCTACATGTACCTACAGCTCTGTGCGGGGAAACCCATCATCCACGACAACAACAAAAGCCACAACCACAACCATGACTAATCTTGATATGCTACTGCTCAAGGGGCCTTCGGGCAATGTCGAGGATGGCCTGAATGAATTGCGCTATACCATCCTCACCCAGGGCATTCCCGCAAATAACGAGGGCATGGTACTTATACCCAGCCACTATCCTGCGCATGCAACATCCTCATTCTCAATTGAACCAAAAGAAAATACCCTCGTAAACCACAAGAGACATTCAAAATATGACTAACCCCACTTCCAGTCCGAACTGCGCATGTACATCTGGCTGATCCTGCTCAACGCACCCCCAATCCGCACCGACATCTACCTCGATCTCGTTCGGCAAGGCGCGTCCCCAGCGCACTCCAAGATCCAAAACGACGCCTTCCGCACTTTCCCCAGCGACCCTTTATTCCGCCGACGCGTCACACAGAACAGCATCACGCGTGTCCTCAATGCCGTCGCGTGGCGCCTCAACGATGCCCACGAGGCCCGCGTCAACGGCTGGCAGAGCCCGCCCACCCTTTCTGAATTCGGCGGCAGCCCGGATAATGCGACGACCACGTCGAGAGCTTCCCTCGGCGCCCACACCATGTCGAATACGGCGTCGTCGGTCGTGAGCGGGAGTACCGCTACTGGTACCGCAAACGACGCAGAGCAGATTGGGTACGTGCAGGGTATGAATGTGCTGTGCGGACCCTTTTTGTACGTTGCGCGCAGCGAAGTCGAGGCGTTTACGGGGTTTGAGAATCTGATTACGCGGGAGTGTCCTGGCTATGTTCGCGGCGCTATGGACGGCGTGCACAAGGGCGTTGCGCTCGTGGATCGCGTGCTTGAGGCTGTGGACCCGAAGCTGTACGCGCACCTGCTGGAGAAGAACCTGCCTGCGAAGCTGTGGGCATTTGCGCCTGTTTTGACGCTGAGCGCGTGTACGCCTCCTCTGCTCGAGGTGCTGAGGCTGTGGGATTTCTTGTTCGCGTATGGCGCGCATTTGAATGTTTTGTGTATTGTTGCGCAGCTTGTTTTGATCAGGGGTAGTATCCTGGACAGCAAGAAGTAAGTCCAACGCCCCCCCTCCCCTAAATCGCATCTCCTTGCATGTATATGTAACAGATAGTACGGAAATATCCGGGAGTCACGGAGTAAATCATGCTAATCAACACCCAGTCCTGGCCCTCTGGTGCAAAAACCCCCACCACTCAACGCCGAACGCATCATCTCAGTCGCCACAAGCTTCGCCAGCAAGATCCCAGAGGACCTGTATGAAGACATCATCCACCATGCTCGCTGAAAACCCCAACAATCATTGCTTTTGGACTGCTTGGTATTCACAGCCGTTTCGATTTTCTCATTCTATCAGGATTGGCGTTGATGGATGGATTCCCTCTTTCTTTTTACACGAAGCAACGACAAGGAAGGGCAAAACAAAGGAAGGCGTTGATATTGGGCGTTTCTGGAAATAAGAGCGATACCAGGGAATTGATTGTTTATTAAATTTACGCCTATTGGGATTTAGGGAGTTCCAGGCTGGAGCTGCACAACTCAGATGCAGGAACGATTCGAAAATCACAGAAGAAAACGAATATCAAAAGCATTAGAAAACAGAATAAACTTCAAACGAGTGGATGCATTCTCAAAAACACAAGAATATAAATACAACATCCCCCTGATTCTCTCCCAATCTCACCCAGTACCAATTTCCACCACTATCAACTCACTCTTCCCTCGCCCTAAACCCAACCCCCTTCCATCGACTCCTCAAAAGCAAACTACTACAAACCACACTGACACTACTCAACGCCATAGCCAAACTCGCCCAAACAGGATCAAGCCTAACATGGCGCTCCCCCATCTCACCCATGCCCAACCCGCCTTCCATCCCCACCCCGTTATGATGCATATCCATACTCGCCCCTTTCCCAGGAACAACAATCGGATACAAGACTCCCGCGGCAACAGGCATAGCACAGACATTGTACACGAGCGCCCACGCGAAATTGAAATACACGCGACGGAACACGACGCGGCTGAGATCGAGGAGGGTAAGGAGGGAGGAAAGGCGGGAGGTGATGAGGATGAAGGAAGACGACGAGAGCGCAATGTCTGAGCCTGACCCGATGGCGATGGAGAGGTCTGCAGTGGAGAGGGCGGGGGCGTCGTTGATGCCATCGCCTACCATTGCGATTGTGGCGCGCTTTGCACTCTTATTATTATTCCTGCTCTTGAGGAATCCGGGGAAGGGGATATGGAAGAGCGACGATTTGGGCTTCTTGACGAGCGTGCGTTGGAGGTATTTGATCTTTTCGGCCTTTTGCTCGGGGAGCACGCCCGCAATGATGTTGGTGGGTGGGATCCCGAGTTGTGCGCCTACGGCGTTGGCCGTGATGGGGTTGTCGCCTGATAGCATCCATACTTCGATGCCGCGTTTTTGGAGTTGAGCGATGACGCCAGCAGCTTCAGGGCGTAAGGGGTCGGAGATGGAGAACATGCTGGATAATTCCCAGACGTCGGGTTGTGCTGTTTGTTCCGGGGTTGATGTAGGTCCTGTGAGCAATGCAGCGAGCGCTACCGACTTTCCCTGCTTCTTCCAGGCTTCTAGTATAGACGCCTCTTCTGCTGTGATGGTGACGTGATGGTCAGACATGAGTGCCTCATTTCCGATGATGGCGGTGATCTGTTGTCCATCCACTTCGAAAACTCCCTTGAGACCCTTCCCAGGAATCTCGTCCACCTTGGTAGCTTCAAGAACTGTCTCTGACTCTTTATTGCAGAATGAAACTAGGGCCTTCGCAACAGGATGATTGCTCTGTTCCTCCAGAGCCTTCACAACACCAAGCACGACGCCGCGATCCCGAGACCCAGACAGTTTGTAGTCAGTCACAGCAGGATCTCCACCTTGAGTGAGCGTCCCCGTCTTGTCAAAAACGATACAATCCAGTGAACTAGCTTCTTGGAAGGCCTCACCGCCTCCTTTCACAAGAATACCATGCTGCGCAGCTAGTCCGCCGCCCACAAACAAAGCAGTGGGAGCTGCGAGTCCAATACCACACGGACACGCGATGACAAAGACGGCAATTGCGAACCTCAAAGACCAGAGGGCCCAGCCACCAGAACCTTCATCTCTCCAAGACATAGGGATAGCTCCACTAGTTCCAAGAACAAGCCAAATCACCCACGTGAGAACAGCGATGAGAACGACGAAAGGAACAAAGTGGCTGGTGATGGTACTTGCAACTCGCTCAACAGGCGCACGACGTGTTTGACCCTCGCGAACGGCATCGATGATCTGATCCAACATGGATGTCCCAGCAATGGTGGTGACTTTGATCTTGATTGGTGATCCCTTGTTCACAGTACCCGAGTACACGGCATCCCCTGGCTCTTTTTTGACGGGGCGAGATTCGCCAGTCAGACTGGATTCATCGAAGCTGGTACTTCCCTCCAGCACGACGCCGTCGAATGGCGGAGAAGTGCCGTGGTAGACTCGAACTGTGTCGCCAATTTCGAGCAAGTCGGTGGCGACTTTGGCATCACCTTCGCCTTGTACGACTAGGAGTGCTTCCTTTGGTCGCAAGTTCCCAAGTGAAGTAACCGCGTCTCCGGTTTTTGCTTTGCTGTAAGCTTCGAGAAAACGTCCGATGAGAAGAAACATAGTCAGAAAAACGACGGCGTCAAAGTACGAATCCGTCATAGCCCCAAAAGATTTACCGGCACCTGCTAGAGCCAACTCCACAACTGATGCGAAATAGGCAATGCTGGTTCCCAGCGACATGAGCATGCTCATGCTGCCGAATTTCGTGAATCGGTGAACCAGTGAGAAACGACTTCCCGGTCTCCACAGAGCTTTTAGCTCCTTGTAGGCCCGTCGATGAAATGTATCGGCGGCCAAAAAATAAACAGGCGTAGCTAGAATGAACAGTGCCCAGCTGAGTCGAGTAGCGTTCCCAGCCCACATTGGCTGCATGACATAGCGACGGATCGAATTAGATTCCTCGACAAGACTCATAAAGACTATACCAAGGATGAAGGTTGGAATTGCGATGACGGCTGAGAGGACCAGGCGGAATAGGATGCGTCTGCGTTCACGCGTATGCATTTCTCGGGCACGCTCTTCGATCGTAGGCGGGTGATATACCGATGGTTTGAAGTTCGGGTTGAGTTCCTCGATTGTGCGGAAGATTACACGTTGTGAGCATTTTGGTAAATCCGGGACGTATTTGATGTTCAGGATTGGTTGTGTCAAAGATAGCATGGGATTTTTGATCTCAAAAGTATACTGTCCCTTCCCGTACGTGTTGACCAACTCTCGTGTGAGGTTTTCGGGGCAGTGGTGGCAGAACATTCCATCGATTCGTATCCCGGCGTGTCTCTCGGTTGTTTCCTTATTCGCTGCGCCCTCCCGGACGATACTGTCAAGAGTTGCATCGTAGCCAGCGTCCTCGATGACTTCCTTGAGTTGATCCACATGCTGTCTTCCTAGAAACACGACAGTGCCACTGTTGGACAGCAAGTTCACTTCTACACTTTCGACCCAATCCTGTTTCTTGACTGCCTCAGATATATTTCCCACGCAGACACTGCAAGTCATGCCTCCGATGGAGTATGTTGCTCGCCATTTATCCGCGTGCTCGATCTCCTCCACCGTGGCGCCGAACCCAACATCTTCAATAGTACTGACAATCTCATCGATCTTTCCGTTTCCTTCAAGGACAATTGTTGCGCTGTTCGTGAGAAGGTTCACGTTGACGGATCGAACCCATGGCAACTGTTCTACGGCTTGCGTGACACTGTTTACGCACGAGCTGCACGTCATTCCCTCTATTGCTACGACAGCTTTGCAGACCAAGACATTCTCCGTTGAATCGATCTGAACAAAGTCTTTCGTGCTAGGGGATCTAGCTCCGTCTAACGTAGTATCGTCAATGCTAGAGTGAATCGTGACAGCAGGCTCGGGCTTTGTCTTGGAAACTTCCTCGTGGGATGCATCCCTCAACTGCACACCTCCCGCCTCTTCTTTACACTGCTCACACTGCTCCACATGCTTCTCCCTCATCTTTTCTATCGGTGCGCGGGTGGATCTCGAATCCGAGGTTGACGAGAACCACTTAGCGACGGCGTGTTCGAGACTATTCCCCCAGTCCGTAGTGTCACCAGAGTCGAAGCGACACACTTCAACAGGCCCGGACACAGTGGTTGTGTTTTCCTGGAAAACACTGTGTACTTCAAAACCCGCGGCTTCTACTGAACCAGTGACTTGATCCAAGGCAAGGGAGGCGCTGTGTCGAAGGGTGACGGAATGTGAACCTACGGAGCATGACACGGACGTAGGCGCCGGACTTAGGGCACCAAGAGACTCTTGAATACTTTCTATGCAGGAAGGACAGTGCAGGTTGGAGATGAAGATAGTGGTAATCAGGGTGTCGGCCCCTGGTGACGACGGCTGTAGGGGTTTTGGGGCACCCATATCGTCTGACGTTCGAAAACCCGGTGCAATATGCTACGAGTTAGACCAGGATGATTCGATAGATGGATGGATGTGATGGTCGGTGTGAGTGTTCGTGTTAGGTGGGTGTTATGTAGGATAAATTGTCGGCGGGTCGTTTTTAATATCGAGTAAAGAAAGAAGACAGGAAGGGAAATAGCCTTTTAGGTGGGAAGGGGCGACGGCGAAAATGGTCGATCTGGCCAAAGATTTTCGAGGAATGGAAACAAGTAGGTAAAATAACAGGCTGATGAGAAAGCAAGCAGAATATTCTTGATATTGCGAGTCGCACAAACAGCGCAGTTTGACTATGACCCACTCGCACAAGTCGCGCAACTCATCTGATTGGTGGCGACCGGTGATGATTTTTTTGTCGCAAAATGCGCGCGTCCAACGGAACTTTGCCATTCGACCAGAAACTTGAGATCATCCCACTGCAATTGTTACGTCTTCAACAATGACATGTTTTCTCCAGTATATTGAATGTGGGAGTGTAGTTTGTAGTCGGGAGGCGGGAACGATGGGATGTAGGTACATGGACTGGTATATTAGCCTAAGCCACTAGTCTGTTATTCAAGTGATATCGTGAATTGATTCAAGGCCGCATGGTCATACACCCAATTTTCCAGTCGTACAGCTGGGATAAACATCCAAGATACCACCATCCAATACTACATCAGCATACATAGGTGACGAGGAAACCAATTCGGCAACGGGTAGAGAAAGAACATAACGTGCTATTGGGGTATCGTAACAAAACCAAGGGAATCCATCTCCGTATCTAAAAGCGTACAAGCGTGCAGCTGATCGTGGGGCTCAATCAATGTATATTCCCTACCACGCGACTCGCGGATAAGGTAGGTCATGTACCGGGATACTTATGAAGTATTCATATCCATCTTATGGCAATAGCCATGTCCCCATGCATGATTGCCATGCTCCATTCTTCATTCTTGAAGCAATCGGCCGAGTGCCGATATATCCGTCCCTCTTCTATTCCCGGTGAATTGCCAGCGCATGGGGAGGGGTGCAGCTGTGTGACTGCTATGACCCCAAGTAGATGGGGAATTCCCAAAAGAGTTCGGGCTCAGCTAGAGCTCTGTTCGTGCTCTGCTATCCATTGCAAATGGGCCACTGATGCTCGTTCCGCTTCCAATTCCGCCTCCAGGGTATTTACGCGGTACGTCAACTCCGTGATCTTCGCATCTTTAGCTTTGACAGATGCCCTCGCTACGTCGCGGCCCTTCTTAATCCCTTCTGCTACTGTCACATGTTTGGATAGTAAAGAAGTCAGATCGCTATTGGTTTGTTCGTCCAACTTCACGTTGGCCATATGCAGAACCCCGAAGATGTCGCGCACTATATCCGAGTCTGTGACAGCGTTCTTGAATCGACTGGGTGTGGGGGTTTCCAAGGGCGAAGATGAAGGCGACAGAGTTTGGGTAGTTTCGACAGCGGGTGACTGAGATTTTGACGGCGTGGCTTTCGTGTTGAAGGGGTTTGCGAGCGTGCGACTCTCTGTCTGGGGTGTCTGAAGCCCGTAGGTTTTCACAGTATCCTCTGTCTGCCAGGGAAGTTTGCGTCGCTTTGGAGTGACAAAGCTGTCCTCTACTCGTGGCTTCTTGCTCGGCGTCTCCACCGCCGTCACGATATCATTCAGCTCATCGTAGAAATTCGCGCTTTTCTCTCCCAGATCAAATTCGTCATCGTCGTCGCTCTGATAAGTGGCTCGTGTACGTTTCCGTGTAGAGTTCGAAGAAGCGCGAGGATCAAAGGCGGGTGCAGGAGGCACCACAGCTGGCTGCGGCTTCTCTCGAGAAGGTGTTGTCACATTTGCGCGGGCGGGTTCAGTGCGGGAATTACTTTTGAGGGCAGCGTTTTCGCGCGGCGCAGCATCTGTGTCCCAAAGGAAGAACTTGCAACGGGTCTCGTCGCTCTGTTCTTTCTGACAGGTTCGAACTATGGACAAGTTAGCAATGCTGCTTTCTCAGATCTCCAACTAACAAAAGGCATATAGGGGTTGTCATACACCAGCGCCCTTTATTTGGCCCTGCCTTCTTCACCGGAAAATGAATGGCAGGCAATGGTGGAGTGCAGTCGCAATGCCATATGCCGTCGCGAAATGAGCCTCGTGGTTTCGGTGGTCCTCGATAGCCCTTTCCACTAAAGAGTGCCTTGGGTGAAAACATTCTAGACGGTACAAGAAGCGGTCTGTGGTTGGTTGCGCCGACTGGATCAACGTTCCGGGCACACAACGTGCTTTGGTGTTGATTGCATGTGTGTTATGAGCGTGGGAGCCTATGTCATTGATGATTGTCCTGTGATCGACGCTTGGTCCTGCGGGGAGAGGCTGGGGCTGGGAAGTGGCTGGTGGCCGGAGCCGGTTAGACCGAGAGGCCCGAAGCTGTGTTTCCTCTCACTACATGCACGTATATCGTGAGACGTGGAGTTGCATTTCCTACATGTGATAGTCTCGTATCTAATGTCGCTATTTGAGCATACGATTTAAGAATAAGTTGAAACAGCTTGATCATCGCTTTCTGCCGTCGCAAGTAGGGCTAAGGTAATCTAAATGAAGATGCCGCCGTGGTCAATTCGACATGCAGGCTGCAGCTGACGCCCTTGCATGCCACGGCTGGCATTCCAAAGTGGGATCCTACATCTATGATTTTTGAACACATCTTCTGCTCTTCACTCCGAGTCAGCTTGGAGCACATGTCGCCATGATCTCCCGATCGATCAGAGCGCCTCCGTCCCTGATCCTTTTGCTCGCCTTGTGCTTCTTTCTCGGCTATCAATTCAGCCGCAGCCCTTTCGTGCCGACCACTGCTCTGTGTGCATCCCCTTCCGACTCGACCTCGATAGCAGAGCCGGGTCGCGCAAATGGCCCGCGTATAGCTATCGTGACATTCGTGACAAGCGAATACTCCTATATGTACACCTCGCTCAAAGGCAAAAGTCGTATGCGAGAGCTTTCCATATCTCTTCTTTGCGATGCTGACGAGGGCTCCAGATTATGCGCGCCGGCAAGGATACGACTTGGTCATTGACTATGAAGAACACGCCAAGCGCGGCACTATGTGGTGGAAATTCGAGATGATAACACGGCTCATCAAAACCAACAAGTACGACTGGCTATGGTGGTTAGATTTTGACACTCTGATTACCAATACGGACATCAAATTGACCGACATAATCCAAGAAACTCTGGCCAACGTGACGAATCCGGACGAGATTGACTACCTCCTCACGCACGACTGCAACGGCCTGAATATGGGCTCGTTTGTCGTGCGTGCGCATGAACGATCAACCAAGGTTTTCAGGGACGCAGCGGCTATCGAAGGTCGCCACAGGGAGAAAGGCGAGCAGTTCAGCGAGCAAGATTCCATGGTGACATTGCTCAAGGACGATGCGGCCACCAGTCAAAGGACAATACAGGTTCCCCAGTGGAAGCTCAATGCGTTTCCCGAGGAGATCTCGTGTTTCGACGAGTCGGATCGAGTTTGGGAGCCTGGGATGTTTGTGCTGCATTTTGCAGGCGCCTGGGCCCATGTGGAAGGTCCGGATCCGACAGGAAAGTTGATGAAGAAGTACGAGGGCGAGGTTATATTTGGAGATTGGGAAGACATGTATGAGCTCACGATTTGATGAGCGCATAATTGGCCAGCATTCTATTCCTGGGATATGTGGTGCTGCTGTACAGTTATCTTGGGGGTTCTTTTCGCACCGCTTCTGCTAGAAGAGCTGGTTCGCATCGCGTCAGATGAACTATGCTGTCTGTTCGTACATGCCACGGTGATTTGACACACCTGCACTCTTCTCAGATTTGCCCGAATGACCGAATCCTATTACTTTTTTTTGGTTGATACGTTGGGTGATGAGGACGGGGAAAAGGCACATGGTAGACGAGTGGAGACCCGAAAAAGAGGCCAATCACGGAAGAGCGCGAATAGCTCCGATTCTGAAGCATTGCGATTCGCCGGATTTAATTTCCGTAGAAGCACTAATGCGGCGTGGGGACATCATGAAGAGTTGGTCGTCATTCCCAGTTAACTTCGCCTACAAATTCTTCGGGTGAAACCAAAGCGTACAAAGATAACACCTATCAATGAATGCTCCTCATTAGAGACTCGTTCTAACAAGAATGGCTCGATCTTACACACTTCACATGATCTCGTCCTCACCAGAGGATAGGTGGCATTGTGAGCGGCATTTTATTATACAGCCCTTTTGCTACTTGAGCCATCCATGTGTTTCAACATCTGGTGCGATTGCATTGGTTCGGGACGCTAGCCTACGTCAGTTCGAAGGTGCAGAAGTGGAGATGTGCATGGTGCATGTGAGTTCACGTGCTTAGGATTTGCACCTATCCTACGCCACGGAAACATGTACGGGATTTCCTCCATCAGCGATCAAGGTCAGCATTTGGAATCACGCTCATCTCAACAGTTTCGAATGAGTAGCTGCGCCTCTTTTGACGCATACTTTGACCGCAGAAATGGACACATAGAGTTCAAAATCTACCTGACCATCAGCTATGCTGGCCATACTTGGTACAGCAATTCCTGTATGCTAGTTGCTGGTTCTTAGGCATTGAAGGAATGTGTACTTCCAATTTGTCTCTTTCGCCCTGTATATTGTCAAAAGCTAGATCATCATTTAGTACAAATAACGCCACATAACGAGATGCTGCTCCTTGTATCTCACGTCATGTTCTCCGAGAATTTGGCTGGCGAATGCTTCTAGCGGCCAAAGTAATACTTTAAACTATTCACGGGTCGGCGCAGATCTCAGTATGGCATGTGTTGATCCTTGAAGCTATGTTACTGTGCCTGAGCACACCCTAAAATGGCACCGGAATTGTTGAGGCTAAGCTACATAGAATAGACTTGACTTCATGATCAAAACCCAAGATAAATTTTGATCCCGCGGGGCTATTCCTTTGCCTGACTCTGCTATATTGTCATTTGTTGGCTTATATTGCTTTTCACTCATGGTTTAAACTGGGGTACTTGGCTACTAGGCGAGCTGACGCGTCGACAGCTGTCTGTCACGGCCACCCACGTTAGCCCTACCATGTGTCATGCCTACACACGTAATGAAGCGATCAGGAAAACGTTGGAGGCTTGAAATCCGCGGATCCAAGCCTCGATCAGGGATTTGAGCCCCTAGTTGCTCAAAGCTTACACTTGGAACCCGGGAAAGTAAATTTCCGAATTAGGTATGTCTTGAGAGGTTTGCTTATCGTCTTTTATCTGTCTGAGATAGTTGATTTCTCAAGAGCCGAACGGCGGGGGAAAAAATCATGGGCCATAAGCAAGCGGTTACAATGCTTGACATGCTTCAATAATTGTCTGGAATATAAACAGAGGTTCTAGACCTGACTTGCTGGGCGCGCTATTAATGCTGGTAAGGATACTAAGATGAGCAATTCTTAAGTAAGGGGGCGGCACGGGAAAGGAGCAAGACTATAGGAATATAACGCTCTAACACCAAATCGTCAACAACGCCTCTCATTACCATGAAAATCAAAACAACTCCTAAGCATCTATCTAAAAATATTGATTATTATTGTTGAGCTATAGTCCAGTAGAGGTGCTAGGAAGATGTTCTGACGAGTTTTACGTGCTGCGCACGCAAGTAAAATACGTAAAAATTGTGTTTAAAAAAGTCGGACCAACCTGATTACTAAAAGAAAGAAGATGTTCGACGTTCGAAAAGACGCCTACGCTAAGAGTGTCGGGTGCGTTCCGTATGTGCCTTGACAGTAAGGTCCTTCGTTTCCGGTTCTAAAATGGCTGCTGACAGGACGAGCCAATTTTCACATTTCAGAACTACCCAGTCTCTGTTCAAAGTCTAACCTCTTTCCCCCACTTTGTTATTGGGCCTTCAGTGCCCTACCCGCCCTTTCTTCGGCCTCCGCGTCCTTCATTACACACCCCTTCTTGCTTCACCATGCCTCCCCTGACCTTGAATCGTTTAGTTGTTTTGAGCATAACTAGTTTCGTGATCTTGATCGTCTTGCTGGGAACTTTCGTCCCTGAAGCCCGAAATGTCGTACCCAGTATAGGATCGGCGAAAGAAAAGTAAGTTTCACCGGAGTGATTGTGTCTAGCAAAAACCTGACTACCATAGAGCGTGTATTGGTGGCGCGTGTTGGACTGCTGGCAGTAACTCTTATGTCTCTCGCCTATCGGATTTTCGCCAGTCGATATCGAAATTATACGACTCGATCAAACACAGCATAACATCGAAAGACTACGTCGATGCATATGGCGATGAATTCACACTCCAGCATGGGGTTATCTGGGAGAAACCTCTTGGAAGCAAAGTCCTTATCATCGACATGGACACTCGTTCACCGGACGGCAAGAACGAAGTTTTCGGGGCTGATAAACTAAATTGGGAGACCGCAACGGGCGAAGGTAGCGGAGGCATGCTTTCAGCATCTTTCATGAATCATTTTCTGTATGGTAAGCGCATTCGTCACTGACTTCGTGCGAATCCACATGTCTTATTGGGACTTGAACAAGCTAACGAAGCTTCGCGCCATAGCTCAAATCCACGGCTACGAATACAAATTCGTCAAGTCTCAACCCCTGGAGGACCTCCACAATACCTGGATAAAGCCTATAGTTCTGGAACAGTTTCTTGCGGACTACCAGTTTGTGGTCTTCATTGACGCCGACGCTACCATTCACCATCTTGAAATCCCACTCGAGTGGCTATTCAGTCGCTGGGGTATCGGTCATAACACCTCGGCTGCGATGCCCATCGACACGAGACAGCGTCTGAACGGCGACGAGAATGCGAGTTGCGATAGCAAGGGCAGGATCACCTTAAATACTGGATTCGTGGTAATGCAAAATTTACCGACCACGTTTGAGATGCTCAAAGCATGGAAGGAGTGTCCCACCGACGAGAGGTACAAGGACTGCAGCTACTGGAAAAAGCATTGGAGTCATGAGCAGCGTGCTTTTTCGGAATATATACGCTACGACTTCAACGCTACCGGAGAAGAGATTATTGTACGTTCCACGCACTTTCATTTACCTTTTCCCATAATTTTTCCACTGCTATATCCTTGTCAAAACTTCTTTAATATCAAGAAGAACCTTCACCGTTAACCTGAATCCAGGAGATTCCTTGTGACGATGCGATGGGCTACCCCACGCTCAAAAAAGACCACCCTCATATCCTCTCTGACTGCCGTGGCCAATTCGTCCGCCACCATACCGTTGACAAATCAATGACAAAATCTTCGGCCGACATGGCCATGTTGCAGAACCTTGCCCAGATAATGCAATCTGCCTTCAAGGAGCATGAAGATGGCAGTGGAATCAAGGAGAAACATTGTGGAATGCTCAAGGGACTTTGGGGAGGAGATTGCTGATTTAAAAAGAAGAAACGGTGTCAGTTTAAACAGCAACATAACCCCATGCCTTTCAAAAGCGCTTCATATTTGGGGTTGCACAGTGGGATGACCTCACAGCAATAAGTGAGAGAGAAGGACAAGAGGGATATGCGTCCTTGGTTTAACGAATTTATGAGTATTGGTTGGGCTTGTGCTCTGAAGATTCGCCGCTGCCTTCCGAAGGGTAGCTTAGGTCATTCATCTGTTGACATTAAGAAGATATGGACCGCAGACTGTGGAAACATATGTCTGCTTTGTGGCATAAAAAGGTTACGGGATTTTTCTGTACGATATTAGCTAGCTGTGATAATGATCGCAAGCTTGCCCTGTTCCAGTATCGTGTCGGCCTTGCTATACGACACCGTCTCATACTTGGTCTTGTATTTATCAATCAATAATCAGCGGAAGGTGATCGATTGAGCATAGTTTTATATGAGTCATTTCAAAGCAGTCCTATGAAAAAGAAAATACGAGATGTAGTAGGAATACACAACAAGAATGAAAACATGTACAATCATCCAATCGTCAAGCATTCTGGCGTTTCTCATTCGACTCCGAATCCGCACCCATAGGCTCGGCACGCATCTCGTCAACACCCGGTGTCTCCATCGCAGTCGAATCGCTCAAACTTCCATGTCGAGAGGTAAGAGGTGATATAACGGAAATTTCTGGCAGACCATAGCCGTCCTCCATTCCATCTGAAGGTGGAAGATGCACCTGGCTCTTGATAACCCGTTGCCCTCCCAAATCGGCGACTTCGAAGACTTCGAAACGATCGCTCATGAGACCACTCAAGCCCTTCTCCGGACCTTGTTTCCAGATGATCAAAGCTTCCATGAGCACAGGTGCCCATGTAGCGACGGCAAGGATTTGGCCAAATGTCCACTTCTTGTCTTCATTTGAGTCACCAGTGTTGTCGTTGAGTCTATCTCGGAGGACGCAGAATACAATGACGATGGCCCACATGATGACTATCGAAACTACAGCGGAAATCATCCACCAGTGTTGCCGTATCTTCCTGAGGAATCGGCTTCGCTCGCTGCGCAATTGTGGAATTCGGAATATGTTGGTCACGAATGTGAGAGATAGGAATCCCGATGCCACCAAGAAGCTGGCCAGCCCAAGGATGGCGCGGAATCCTATTAGTACCCCCCTCTGGTTTAGACACAGGGATTCCCATTTCAGTTGATCGTCTTTGTCGTCAACAAGCAATTTTTTTAAATCGTTGTTGTTGTTGTTGTTGTTGAACTTAGTGTTATCATCGTATGTTCCGTCCCAGCCAGAAATCTCCCGCAGTCCACGAGGCAGGTCAGTGAAGGATGTATCAAGCTCACTCTTCAACATACTGAAGAACATGATGCACATGACAAGCACTAGAATGGCTATGAATACCCACATCAGTCTTCTCTCTATCCGTCGACGCATGTGAGGCGCGGCACAGCTGTGTAAGACAATAGATGGGAAGACCCCATATAGTGCTATATAGACCGATGACATAATCATAGTGACAGTTTCTGACTCTCCATAATACGAACGCGATAATGTTACTATGGCGGCAACATTGAGCGCTATAGAGAAAAGCAATGTCGCATCGAGGAAGGGTCGCAATGATTCTTGTACTGCGGCCAGTAGCCAACCGCTTTTTGTCCGTCGACGAGGTTTCCAGCCGCATCTCGAAGCCGTATGAATGGCGAAATAGGCTGTTACCATGATGCACTGTATGAAATATGTCGCTAGCATCTGCAAAACGTTAACCGGATAACCATTCCCGCAAGCATGTAACGGTGACTTACACCACGGCCAGCAAGGTCAGAAACCCCCATCCATCGTAACTTGGAGCAGAGATCCTTCCTGCAGTGTTCCGAGCTGCTAATTTCTAGCATTTGAATAGTCATCTGGCCTTTCAGAGTATCCTCTTGCTCGAAAAACCAGCTAAATATTTCTAAGAGGGGAGGGGTTGATGCATTACGTTGGTCGTTCCAGTATTTTCGAATGCCTATTCTTACGATTTCGGCGGTGATTGGGTAGTTGAAGCCGCCCTTGTCCGAGACCAACCATGCTGATGTCCAAGGTGTGATATTTGCACAGGGTACGTTATCGTACTTGAGTAGGGAAATATTTGATGGAAACCAGTCGGTAGCATTCGTGAAGTCCATTTGGAAGTCGACGAGATGTCGAAGAACTGCCTTTCACTAGAGCTACGAGATTCGAGCGGCACTCACGATCTATGAATTGTAATATGCTTTTTCATTCCCACCGATCGTGTTTTCGTGGTGCGCAGGCAACCGTTTCTGGGGGCCAAATTATGTTGCATGACGTAGCTGCACTCTAGATGCTCGTGTTTATCTGCATTGGGAACAATACGAACGGTGGTCGCATTTCATTTGATATCTTGACCGGGCAAAATACGAGAGTTGGACTAGTGACATTCGATACGAGGCTTGGTTTCCCCGTTCGGGGACACCCTTCGGGCTTCACCAGTTATCATTTGGTACAACGTCTTGCTCGATTCGACGTTATAGGCCATGCAGATTATGCCAACGAAGGATTTTAGCCACCCGCCCCTAACGAGATAAACATGAAATCAAGCTTTCCAGCAGTTTTAAACGAAGGAAAGGCCTTAAATCCCGATCTATGTACATTCGAAGACGCGTCCTACCAGTTGCCTGGTTTCAGTTTCTAGTGATCTACAGCACCATTAACTACATCAGACTGCTTAATTAACCGTGTTGACGTGTCGTGCTGCATATCTCGGTGTCGCATCGAATTTGTCATGAGTCACGTCAGGTCAGGTGCTGCATGTCTTGATGCCTTGCGTTACACATGATTACAGGAAGATATCACGTCTTTCCTGATTGGGGAGATATCGCTACATAGTTAAATTCCGCGTCTACTGGGTGCAAAAAGTTCAGTCCAGCGACTCCCAGATATGACTAGAGAATACAGATCAAAGATTGATAAAATCTCAATTGAGAGCGAGATCGAACTAATAGGACTATCCAAGTCCATACCTTCAGTTGTAACCAAGTGGACCGACGAGATCTTTGAAAGAGCCAGTATAGTTCGCTCCCGGCACCTGAATTATTAACATCTATTTTATATGGAGATCTCACTGGATTGTACTTACGTTGAACAACTTCGAGTATGGGTCCCAGTTGGGATCCTCATGGGGTGCATACTCTGCGCTGTTGAAATGAACATCGATCTGCTCACGTCCATACATCCATCTCAAAAGTGCGTACGTCATGTCCATACCTGCAATCTAATCAGTCACTATATCCAACAACCCAACAATCTCTCGGAATCGCCACGAAAAGCAGGGCACAATGAGCAATTTTCGCACCACTTACCAGCGGCCACCCCCGAACTCGTCCAAATCTTCCCATCCCTCACATACCTCGCCGTAGGCACCCACGTCACGTTGTTCCCCGCCATTATATTGTCTTTCCACCCCCGCTTGTTTGTTGTAGCTCGCCTTCCATCCAACACCCCCGCTCTCGCAAGGCTGTTTGCCCCGGTACATATACTGGCTACCACATCCGTTTGATCGAATACATTGGCAATGTACTCAAACATCCATGTCTCGTTACCATGAGAGATTCCACCAGGTACCATTAGCAGGTCGATTTTTGGTGCGTCTGCGATTCCGTGTGTAGCGACGACGGGCCAGCCAAATGCTCGGGAAGGAGTTACAGGACCTGCAACTTTGGAGATTGTGGATAGCGTCATGTTATAGGTGCTCGAAACCTGTTTAATAGATTCAACATCCATTCGACTTTTATTACATATCGGATCGCGTCGCGTATCGGACGGGGTCAACGTACCCTCTGCAGGAAGTCAAATGGCCCAAAAACATCCAGAGGCGTGTATCCAGGGTAAACCAACTGCCCGGGAGAGAGTTTAAGCATTGGTTTGATGCAAACAGATGAGGGGGAGAACTCACGTATCCCACGGAAAGAGTGCGGCCCACGTTGTACTGGTGGAACTCTTCTTCGGTCATACCATTCAACTGGCCCTTCACCACTGAACCGAAAACGAAAAGACTAGAAAGGACTTGGAAATGCATTTTGAGAAGATTTTGCGAAGCGTAAAGCTATCGAGAATTGTTTGTATGCAACATGCGCAATCTATATACCCTGATCCGTCACCCCACTTTCTTTACTCGTGGTGGGTGCATATCCACCCACAGAACATATTGAGCAAGTTTCCCTTGTCGATATCGTGCATCTTGGTGAGAAAGGAAGGTGAGTTGCAGAGGTGAAAGACTATGTGGCATCGTGAGCGAATCTTTTCACTTACCGTGGCAGAAAAGTAGCAAATGTACCGCAAACGATGCGATAGTTTGAGCAGATTTTCCGTGCTAATCCTGTGCGTTTTAATTAAGCAGCCAATAGCGACACAGATGGTTCACGTACGAGTCGAGTAACTCTTGCGATCATGTACGAGGTGATTCAAATATTGCTCTTGCGAGTAACAATCAGCAGAGTGAACAAAGCCTTTGTATCCTCTTCGAATCCCCACGGTAATGCACATCAGATCTATCCGATTTCCATTACATCCTGGTTACACGCTTCGCGATCCACATTGCGAGTGATCGACGAAACGCTTTCCGAGTTCAGTTAAATCACAAAGCTTAACTCATTCAAGGCACAGCCATTTACGTCATTTTTACCCGCCGTTGTAGACCAATGTAAAGATCCCTCCGCATCCTCTGAGCTCTTCGGCTGCACCCACTGCACTATTTCCTCTCCACCTGCAGAACTACCTTCCATAAAAAGACATCACGATGAACTCCAACAATCCTCAAGGTGGCGACAAGCCAGATTACCTCGATAAAGCTTTTCAAACAGGCGCCAAAAAGTTCGGTGGATCCCAGGGACAGAAGATTGCTGGGAATCGCGGCCTGAGCGAGAAAATTGTACGTGTGCAACTGTTTTGATGTTGTCTATGATATCTTATGTGTCTGCGTCCTCCATGCTAACTTATACTGTAGACCGACGGCTTGCGCTCAATGTACGAGAAGGCCACTGGAAAGAAGGTCAGCTCTAAGATCTCCAACTAGGCGAGGTTGCTACGGACTTTCGACACAATGAGGGCTGGATTTGCGCCTATGAATGGCATCTTGGAGGACTGTGCTTTGATTATGAAACGGATAAAGTGGATGATAGTGCGATCTGCACGAATAGGAGCGAGTAGGGATAGCTGCTTGATGATATGAATTGATACCCCATACCTTTTCACGCATCAGCTTCATGCAATCCCACCAAGTTGCCAGTGCGCCAAAGACACCTTGAATATAACGTAATGTGGGTATCGCGCCATTTGTCTCTATGATGTCCTTTCCTACAGCCACGTCAGCATACGCACTTCAGCATAGTAGCAGAATGAGAACGTCCTCATTCCTGAGTTGATATGACGTTTTTTGGTCGCTTGGATGCTCCCCTATTTTCAGGTAGTCCGCTACCGGGTGGCTGTATCTGTGATGTGCAAAAGCCATCATGAGGTAGAGGACGTATGGGACAATGGAATGTTGCTTGCTCACAGCCAACACTTTATTGCGCAATGACCCAAAAGCCTTTACACGTAAACAGAACGGTATTAGACCGAAGGGTTTCCGATGAGGGAGAAGATTTTCTAGGTAATCGAGGGAAAGAAAACGAATGAACTCCGCTGAAAGCGATACGTAGGCCATGGTAAGCTTGAACAAACGAAAGCGACATTCATAAAGAGATTTGAATCAATATTTCGCAAAACTCTATTGTACAATAACAACACGAACAGTGGTGTCGTGGGGCAAATTCAAGAATCAATTGATGAGATATCACTTCGCGCTAGCAACGTCCCGAAATGTACTCTCGGAATCTAGAATACACATACGAAATCGTCTCTGCTGATTGATCCAATTATTTGGTTACGCACGTGGCTGTAGCTCGGTTATCTGTTTGAACAGTGTGTGGTTTCATCGTATCGAATATGGAGTTGCGGGGAGCCCTAAGCTTACTCTTTTCGGCGAAATCCAGACAAGACAGAGCCCACTCGGGAGCAGTACGAGCGCGACATAGCACCCAAAACGATTTAAATTCCACATCTCACCAGAATAATGCTTCCCAGCACAATAGAAATCTCAAAATATCTTCAAACTATTGACGTCATTCCGCAATGCTGAGGTGCACGGCGGGGCTGGGTGATTCTACAAATCTATATAATGGTCGAATTGGCCAGTATTGTCCTCTATCAACACTATCAATCATCAACCACAAGTTTTATCCACTATCTACTTAAAATCAAAGCCCTAGTTCTTTTTGTCCCATGTCAACTATGGCCAAATCAGCAACTCTACTGACTCTTTTGCGCTATATTTCGGTCACAGCTGCAGGGCCTCTTTCAGCGCGATATGCCTATGGCCAAGGAAGCGGGAATCAGAGCATGATATACAGCTTCGAGAACGTACTTAGCACTTTATTCACTGTTATAGAAGCTTTTGCTAACGGTTATCTGCAGGTTCCATCCTCAGTTGACCTTCTATGGACGCCATGTTATGATAACTTCACTTGTGCACGACTTGAAGTCCCACTCGATTATGAAGATGAGAGTGCTGGTACTACCACCATCGCTTTCATGAAGTTAGAAGCCACCAAGCAACCTGCTAAAGGAGACCTTATCGTGAACCCGGGCGGACCCGCAAATTCGGGTGCGAAGGCTGCATTTGTAGGGACAGCGCCTGGTTTGGTTGGAGATGAGTGGAACATCATTGGAATGGATCCTCGCGGAGTAGTGAGTGTCATTACCTTTTCCATCGGCATTCATAATCCACTGAATTCTCGTCCGACGCACCATAGATAGCTAACTTAGTGTTCTAGAACAATAGCGGACCGCACATCAACTGCTTTCCTGATAGCTACACACAGCAGACATTTATCCATCATTCCCTGAACTCGGATATCAATCTTTACGATGAAGTTCCCCGGGCCAACTACTGGGGACTCACGGGGGCCTTGGGAGACTGGTGTAGCAAGACGCTGGATTCTAAGGTGCGGTATGCGAACACACCCGCAACGGCACGCGACATGCTACAATACGCCGAGAAGCTGGCTATAAGCAAAGGAGAGGACCCAAAGAAAGCCAAAGTAGACTACTACGGCGCTAGCTATGGCACTTTACTGGGCGCCACGTTTGCACGACTGTTTCCCGATCGCCTCGGTCGATTTATAATTGATGCCGTTGCCGATGCGGAAGATTATTACAGCGGAGCCTGGACAGTGGGCGTACAACAGGCTGAAGAAGCTCTTCTCGACTTTACTCATTCTTGCTATAGAGCTGGTACTAAATGTCCTTTCTTTGCAAACGATACATCGTCCGAGAATATACTGTCCCGCATCGATGCGATCATCTCCAGCCTCGAGAAGAGCCCCATTCCTATCGTGGAGCCCGAGACTACCGAACACCCATTCATCATCACGCACAACGATATTCGTGGTTTCATCCTTGGTGAGCTATATAGCCAAGTGACTGGTTACCCTAAGATTGCCACAGTTTTGGCCCTATTGGAGGCTAGGAATTCGACATTGCTACCTGAGTTGTTGAGCGTTAAACAAATACACAAGGGCGACGTGCCGCGAGAAAGTACCCACACACAACAGTATGACGGCGCATTGTCACGCATTGCTATTGCATGCAACGACAACGACGGACGACACAACATCTCGAGTCCAGAGCTCTTCAGCGAACACCTCGCTAAGCAAAAGGAGTTGAGCCCTCACTTCTGGGCTCCATGGGCTATCACAGTCCAACCAAGTTGCTGGAAATGGGGATTGAAAGTTCCCGAGAGTCAGAAGTTCCCAGCCAGTAAGTTCCCAGCATTCGACCTAACTTCCGGAAAACCACATGAGGCTGACAAAGCGTTCTCAACTCTCCAGAGTTTGAAACTACGCAAACCAATGCACCCATTGTGATGCTAGCGAGTCGCCTCGATCCCGTCGCATCCAGCCAAGACAAAATGGTCAAATTCTTTCCGGGGGCACGCATCTTGATGCTCGACGCCGTTGGTGTATGCCTCTTTCCAACTCTCCCACCAATAATGCAATTGCTAACGAGATAATTTGTTATCTAGCATGGTGTCGCCTCTGTAGCATCGCAGTGCACACGTGAAGCAGTTATAAAGTTTCTTGGTACCGGTGAATTGCCAAGCGAGGGGCAGGTCTGTGAGGCTGATTCGGATCCATGGGTGGTCTCTGAGTAATATCAGCTTATTGCATGAAAACATCAGTCTGTGATGGTAGGAGTCGTGAAGAGGATGTTGTCTAATGGTTGTGTAAATCTTTGTATGGTATCACTGAGTATTACCATGTATTCTAGAATTGTCGGGGATTGTAAAAAGGCTTTCTGGTTTTAGATGGGTATTACAATCCTTAGTAGTTAGTTGATCGCACACAGTTTGTTCAATGATAGCTTAAGTAGTGGTGAGTCAATGACAGGGTGACACTACACTCAAGTTTTTGGGTTTGCTGTAAATTACATTGGGACAATAATCGCGAACTCAGTCCATACTTTCGGGTCAGTTCAAAGACACTGTATCCAGAAATTCGATTGTAAAAACTGGCCTACGCTTCGATGCGCATGCCGAAGTCGGTAGCCTGCTCTAAATCTAGGCGCTGTATCTATCATAACGTTTATTGTGGTCCGGACATCCAAATGTTAGTGCCGCATCTACTGCACTGATCCACTCAATCACAACAAGTATCTATAATAGCATATTGCTTGCCCAGAGTTTCTACACCTTTTTTTGGGGCGGTGACACGCTTCCCCGCTCATGTAGTATTATGTCGGGAGATTAAACTAAAGGAATTTATAGCCTTTATGACGCACACAATATGCAATGACATACGACTACATACCATTACATAGTTATTCTAGCCTTTTAAAAACGATGAAATATTTTGCGCTTGCGCAGAAGCGCTATCTTCATAATGAGGATTGTAGAAGTGTAAGAGTCGCACCTTCTGTTATAGCCAATTCAGCTCCGCGAAAGAAGCAAGCGCGATACAGATTTTGTCCCTCAATTTATCCAATGTGACAGTTCAAGCTTTCCAAGGAACTAGCATGCAGTTCTAAAGCTTGTAACATTTCAAGCAATGCATGGTCGAGTCTTAATGCAAGGGATGTGGGGCTGCATTACCCATATGCCGGATCTTGGTATAGCACAGCCAAGCTAATCTAATATTCCTTATATTGAGTGAAGTTTGCCTTCTCCTCATGACTTCATAAACATCATTTAGAATATCTCAGTGGTGGAAGATCATTGGAAACACGAATAATATTGCACAGCGTGCTCGGTTATCTAGCGATTAATATAGAAGCAGGTATATTAAAGCCCCTCTTCTTTCCCGCGATTCTCGAAAGGTAGAACGCCCATTTCACTTCTCAAAACTCCATAGCGAATGTATTCCAAGGCCTTTTCTATCGGTTGGGTGGCTTGCCTACTGGCTGGCCTGACCACAGCGCAGAGTTCTGAGCAGCATCCACTGCTTCCTACCTGGAAATGCACTTCCTCGGGTGGCTGTGTGCAGCAGAACACTTCCATTGTGCTTGACAAGGATTCCAAGTATGCCCAAGGTGCCCCAGGCTCAAGAACGAAAGCCGATTACGCCGCCATGGGAGTTTCCACCTCTGGAAACGCCCTAAGCTTGTCCCACTACGTAAGATCAGGTAACCAGCTCAATCCCGCCTCTCCACGCGTTTACCTTTTAGGCGACGATGGCAAATATGTCCTGATGAATCTTCTCGGCCAAGAGATCTCCGTGGATGTCGACTACTCGGATGTGCCTTGCGGAGAAAATGGAGCTTTCTATCTCTCTGAGATGGCTGCCGATGGCAGAGGGAACGCTGCAAGCGGTACTGGTTACTGCGACGCCCAATGCCAGGGATATTGCTGCAATGAGATGGATATTCTCGAGGCAAACGCCAAGGCAACGGCTATGACAGGTCATCCGTGCAATGGCAACAATTGCGACAAAGGCGGCTGCGGATACAACCCATACGCGAGCGGGCAGCGCAACTTTTGGGGAGTTGGCCAGACTGTCGACACATCGAAGCCATTCACAGTCGTTACGCAGTTCCAGGCCAACGGTGGCAGGCTGTCGACAATCACGCGGACTTATATTCAGAACGGAAGAAAGATCAACAGCGGCTCCATTAACAACTGTGGCTCTGAAAGTTCCACTGGCGGTCTAGTCGGCATGGGCGCGGCTCTTGGACGTGGAAGTGGGTGACTATCCATCACTACCCCAAACTGCATCTACTGACTTTAAGCTCTATAGTGGTGCTGGCAATCAGTATCTGGAATGACGCCACTCAGAATATGGCTTGGCTTGACTCTGGTAACAACGGTCCCTGCCGTAGCGGAGAGGGAACTCCGGGTAATATTCAAAACCAGCACCCTGGAACTCACGTGGTCTTCTCGAACATAAAATGGGGGGACATTGGAACTACTACGTCAGGTTAGTACTGTGTGTACCGGGCACGGTCTGTCAGATCGGGTCGTTTCAGTGTAATCGCACATGTCATGGCCAATCTGGTCTTTTATCCAGCTCCCCAGAATTCGAAAAACACAAAATAAACATAAAAAAGAACAATTCGCTACATGCTGGGGTCTTGGAATATATCTAAAAGTATCAATACTCGAATTCTCGGTACGAAGCGTTCCAGCTAGTGATATGAGTTGTCGATCCAGTCAGCCTGGCGTCTAACCCCGCTTCTGCCTAGCACACCCGTTGATTACTGCTGCCTTGTGCTGTCCCCCCAACTTTCTCTCCGCTCGCCATTTGCACCATTCCTCTACCAGATCTTACGCATATTCTTGTATCACTACTTCACAATTAGCAACTGCGAATCGCTTACGCATTGTTATTAAGATGCCCATGTTTACCCTTAGAAATTCTTCTGCAGAAGCGTCCAAATCCCCAGAAATTCAGCTCGACAGCTCGGATACAGAACACTGGCGATCATTGATCGACGAATATGCTCAAGATAAACAAAAAGCTTCAATTCTTGCCTGGCTAGCAGCAGCCGGCAAACCTGTACACATACGAGCTTTGAACACGGCTGTCGCTCTCTTTAATAAGCCTGGATGCTCAACGTTAGCCGAGTTGGACGAGCACAATCCGCTATTGACCGAGGAATCACTGAAAGAAGCTGTCGGTGCGATTGTACGGATTAAGGGTGATAAGGTTTCTTTGCAAGAGAAAGCCGGAAGTTACTTCGCAACCGACCGGCCTCTTCACTATCTCCCCTTCTGGGACTCAAAAGGCCTAGATTTCTCTATTGTCAAAGCATTCGTCACATATCTCAGCTTAGATGATTTCCGGGACCTTCCGTTGCCTACCGATTGGAAAGGTATGAGATCGGACCTACACAAATCAGATCCGTTTCTGACATATGCGTCGTGTAACTGGCACAAGATTGATCTAACTGTCGACGATGCGAAAGCGCTCGAGCCCAGGCTGGACACCATCATAGACCCGACAAAGAAAAACGTGTATTTGTGGACTGATCAGAGCTGTGGACGGAGCAGCTCCGGGGGTCCACGAGAATATATTCACAGTCGTGCAGAGATCGCGATCAAGTATGATATTCGATGGCTGGCTGTCCATCTCATAGAGTCGGCTTCGGAAGATCTGGAGAACATGTTTCCTGCTAGGGATCTACCAACAGTGGTGAGGAAAGCTCCGAAAGTTTTCCAATTATTGTTGGACCGAAAACCAGAGTATTACCGACCAAAGATCAACCGTAGAATCCTCATGGAGGTTGCCAAGCTTAGGAATGAGAGCGCTGAAACATTACAGCTGCTTCTTGGAGATTCATCGGATTTGAATCTACCGGTCGTTTTTCTGAGAGAGGTGGCTGGTAACATGAACGGAGATCAGATGTTCAAATTCCTATTCAGCAAGAAGGAAAACTTTCCAATTACGACCAGTATGCTCCACGAGGCAGCTCGCAATAGTGAAAGTAGCGGAGACAAGATTCTTGGTCAGTTCTTCAACTACGACACCAGCATTCGTGTGGATGAAGAAACTCTCAATACCGCATTGCGTAATGGGAGCCACAGCCGCCTCGAGATAATTCTAGCACATGACCCAGATGCTCCCATAACTTCGAAAACGCTGGATACTGCCATGAGCTCAGCAATCGAAATAGGGGATCTCAAATATGTTCTCGACACAAAACCCGATCTGCTCATACCGCCGGATGTAGTAGAGTACGCTGCAGCAAATAATCGGGAAGGTGCCATCAAGATGTTGTTTGAAAATCGGAAAGATCTCAAGGTGACAGAGGCAATTCTCAAGAAAGCTGCTCACAGCGAAGGTCACGAAATTGCCATGACGGAGTTTCTTCTCAGCCGCAGCGAGCCGGAACTGATCACCTATGATGTTGTGCTGCGTGCAATACGTCGTCCGAATTCCCCACATAAAATGGTCGCAATTCTTCTCAAGCATAATGACGAGATCCAAATCACAGACGAGTTCTTGATCGCTTCGCTCGGCGACTGGGACGGCAAAACACTCGATATCCTCCTCAATCACAGCGGGGGCACAGAAGTACCCAACGAGGTTGTGGACAAAGCCATATACGTAGAAAAGTGTAGACTCAGCTGGACGTGGCGCGACCCAACGAAAGAAATGCCATCTCTACTGAAAACCCTCCAAAGAAGGGTACCCGAGGACCCCTATCTTCAAAAACTCCTCGCTGAAACCGACTTCACACCCCCACCCCCGAAAAGCCCAGATTTGACCCCAAAGCCATATCAAGTTCCGGATGCGGCCAAGAACAGCGACATAGGGCGGTTGAAGACCCTACTGGACCAGGGAATCGATGTTGACACTCTACATGGTAGTTCTTGCGGTTGTGACCGAAACAAGGGCCATGGGACCGCTCTTCAAAGAGCGGTGAAACAACGAGATTTCGAAATGTCGAAGCTACTCCTTGAGTATGGAGCCGACCCGAACTTGCAGGGCGGTGAATTCGGAAACCCGCTTCAAGAAGCAGCCAAGGCAGGAGATTTGCAACTCGTCGAACTGCTCATAGCCCATAAAGCAGATGTCAACCTCCAGGGAGGCATGCGCGGTAGCCCACTGATAGCCGCTGCTAGAAATGATGATGCGAAGATTGTGCGATACTTGATCGAGCACGGTGCTGATGTGAATATTGCGGATGATCACGGCTGGACTCCATATCTGCATGCAGTAGCTTTTGAAAGTTGGGACGCGACTCGTGCACTGCTGGAGGTGGACACTTCCCTACGAGCACTAGGGGAGCTTATCGCCCTGCCCCCGAGTAAACTCGTAAAATTCAAAGATGGATCTCCCGGGGAGATAAGTGAGGATGGATTGACGGTCACAACGGGTGAGAAGCACCAAACATATGAATCTTTAGCTTTTAACTGACTCGTCATATCCCAGATACCGTCGATTCAACTAAACTGCGCAAACGCATCTTCTTCTGCGCAGACCATCCGATTATTTCCACCTCACCATTCTACTTCGAAATCAGTATTTCCCGATTCGGTGGAGAAGGGTAAGTCTTTCCTTCAACCTCCTCAAACTGTCCGATCAGACAACTGCACTTCTCTTCTACATTCTTCCTTACTAATCATACCTGCTAGTATAATCACTATGGGTGTCGCTACTCTCCAATTCATCAAGCCAGATCATAACAGGTGGAGGTACTCCAGCTCCGACGACGGCTCATGGGAATACCACGGGAACACCGGCCACATAGTTGAGGAAGGGGACATCTTGCCCCATGTCTCGTACCCCACGTACGGTGCAAACGACGTTGTCGGTTGCGGAGTAGATTTCGAGGCCCGGACGATTTATTTTACGAAAAACGGAGTTAGGTTGGATAGAGAGAGTGGTGTGGCGTTTCACATGTTTGAAGAAGGACTTTTATTCCCTATCATTGGGATTGGAAGTCAGGATGCTGAGGTTAGCGTTAAGTTTGGTGATGGAGAGGCGTTCATGTATAAGGGGTAGGTTCATGAGATTTTAAGGCAAGGGGATGTACATATTGCCGAATGACATTGAGCACGTGTGGATGCACATGCCTAGAGAGACTGGGCCACAGCAGGTATCGCATATCTATCATATAGAACCTGCTGTTCCAACTAGTTAAACATCTTACAATCATCTACACACTCTTCACCCTTTGCTTTCTGTAGCATCAGATAGCACGAAATAATCCTTTACGCAAACATACAACATCGGGAAAACCATGAATTTTGTTTACCCTCTATACCATGAAAGCTCACACCATCCGGAAACCCATGATAGTGCATTAAAGCATTCCTAAACAGCACGAAAACCCCCCATAAAAGTTTCAAAAGCCCCCTCCCCAGAGAAGAAAAATCACACCCTCCTTCACCACAAGATCCCACAATCAGAGATCCCAGAAACCTCAAGCAAAGCTAGTAACCATAAGAGAATACGACGGCAGCAGCGAACAAGAACAACAGAACCCATAAGAGCCATGCTCTCATGCTCTCATGCTCTCAAGCCCGTCTCGACCTAGTTCGTTATGCTTAGCAGGGATACTAAGGGTAGTGGTGAGAGTAGGCGTGATGGTAACCAGCCTATTCTGACTGATGTCGATAGTGATCGGGAAGGCGGGATATAAAGGGAAGTGGGCAGTAGTGAGATTGGCCGGTTTGATGGTTTTGGTAGTAGGCGGGTCTTCAACGGCCTTGACGTGATTGATGTAAGCCTGGTCTGCTGTTGGATCCGATTGAGTGTTCTGGGTTACCGTGCTGCTGCTGCTGCTGCTGCTGCTCTGAGAGTCTTGGTTGGCGTTGTTGGCGGGGGCTTTGCGGGCTTTGCGGGCTTTCCGGGCGCGTTGCGTTCGGGCGCGCTGCGTTGAGGCGCAAGGCTCTTGATGGGAGCTTTTGCTGCTCGTGGGAGGAGCGTACATAGCGGCGGAGACAGAAGCGGCGTTGGTGTTAACTCGGGAACGCATGTTCTCTTGCTCTTGCTCTTGGTCTTGCTTGACGAGGCGGGCGGTCACCTCGATCTTAGTGCCGTGGGTGTCGAGGCCGCGAGATGAGGCCAGAGCGATGAGGTCATTGAGGGTGGTGCGAGAGTAACTTTGGGCTTTTTTGGGAGCCATGATTGGTAGAAAGGTTGGTGACGTGCATTCAAGGTTGTGGTTTCGAAGAATGGTTTACTTGTCGGCTTGCGCTGGACTGAGGGTTGATGCTTGTGGGTACGTATGAAGAGACGCTGTGTCAACTTTAAAGGTGGTAGAAGGTAGCGTGTGTGAAAGGCTAGATGGAGTAGGGAATGGACACTCAAGTGGGTAAGTGAATGTGCGTTGGTTTGCACTTAGGGAGTTGGTCCGTGCCACAAGACCGTTAGCAGAAGGACTCGTGATAGGTGATAAGACCGTTTGCATGGCTGATAACTATAGCGTGGTGCTGGGAGTAAAGTCAAAGTATATTTACACATGGCATTGGAGATTGATTGAGCACGAGACGGAGGAAGTGGGAACGTGAACATAAAAACATAGAGACACATGGTTCGTATACTGAACTAGGATTGTGACTAAACAACACTGAAAGATGATTGAAAAATTCATGCCGAATAGTGAATCGCATCTACACAATGTGTGTACTAAGCTCGGCAACAAAGGGAGTGAAGTGAACCGGGAACCAGTCACAGCTCAACCGAGTGAACTGGCCGCACCAGTGGGACCTCATCCCCCCAGAGAACGGGCGCTTGGGTATCAAATTGACAGACTTGCGTGATGTCAAGAAATTCAAAACTCTCGTACGTTCCTCCCCCCTCTCAAGGAAGTCATGGTAAGATGGGTATTTGTTTGACCCAATCGGGTATCTCCCAGTCATGCTCACGATACCTTTCTATCATCTCAGTGCGAATATACGCGGCTTGAGCTGCGATTTGGAAAACAGTATACCTCCGCAATTCCCCGGGGCTCGGAGAGCAATAATCTGCAAAGATTGTTGGGAACACATCTGGACCTATTTGGCTTAGTTATCTTGACACACTGATGACGATCCCACATATACTGACCATAGTACTTTCGTAAACCCTCAATGAGAGCCTCAATGTTTGCATCCTCCCAGATCACATCGGTAATAGGCAAGCTATGCCGAGCCATGGGCGACTCCCTTTCCTTGAAGACGGGCAGACGCTCGAATTTCTGTCCATTGGCATCTCGCTCCTCGGACTGCTTCAACAGCCTTTCGAATTCATCCGTTCGAAAAAAGAGTCGCTTGCGGAGATCCCAGTCAGGCTCATATTTCTGGCGAATGAGGTGTAGGTCTTGCCAATGAAGCTTCTTCTGATAGTAAAGTTCTTCGTTTTTCTGTTTCTGGGCTGCTTCCTGGGCTTTCTCCATTGACCGTTGGCGAATCCTATCGTAATTCATCTTGTTTATGGCTTCCGTTTTAAGCTCAGTCTGTACTTTACAATACTGTTTTTGCACAGCTCGCAGAGGGACAATAATTTTGCTTTCAATGTCCTTGATGAGTCTATTTCCAAAATCATGGTGTGGCATGGGGCCTTTCCACGTCGATATCTTATCCTTCAAGGAGATGATGGCACCAATGACCAGTAACATGATCTCTGCAGAGGGTAAAGACTGGTCGATCGGGCCGTGATTTTCTTCAAGCCAATTGAATATCATCGCCAGGTACCTAACGAGGTCTCGGAAGAGGTATGCGTGCGTGTCGAGTTTGATGGACTTTAATTTCGCATCATTTGCATTTGCTCCGCACTTTTCCAGTTGTTTTCTCAGGTTTTTAGCCGAGCAAGCTATATCTTCAAGGGTCCAATTCGATTTGGTGCTAGACTGTATAGCTTCTCGGCAGAACCAGGCAATGCTTGCACCTTCCTCAGTCGCACAATCTCCACGTCGCCTGGGGGTATCAAGAATCTTGAAAACTTGATCGAGGTCGTCCAAAATTTCGCCATCGCTCTTTTCAGAGCCTTCTTCCGAAGCAAAGTCGCTCTCATTGGGGCCCTCTAGCGGCAATACTTGTTCAGAAGTTCCGTTAGGTTCTGCAGCAGCATCCTCTTCTTCTCCTTCTTCATCCTCTTCCTTCTTCTCTTCTTCGTGACCACCGTTCCGATTGATCGACTGATTAGCAAATGCTGGGCGAGATTCACCTTCCCCAGTTGCTGAAACGGGAACCTGGTTCTTGGATGGTCTGCCACGCCGTCGTGGAATTGAAGCTGGAGTAGATGTTACCCCTGGAGATTTCATTTCCAGTTGCATTCCCTGTGCTGAAGAAGATTGAGTTTGGTCAGTAACTACGTTTGAAGCTCTGGTCTTGGGTGGTCTTCCTCGCCGCGGAGCAGATTGAGACTCATCGGGAACTGGTATAACAGTTCCAGTCTGGAGCTGAGCTTCGGACTTGTTTTTTTGACTAGCAGAACTTTCCGTTAATGGTTCTGAACGTCTGCTCTGTGCGCTTTCTGGCGCTTTCTGAGTATGGGGCTGCTTAATGATCGAATGAATCGTATGTCGACGCTCCGCCGCGGGTATAACAACCTTGGGATGAGAGTTCCTCAGTCGAACTTCCTCTGTGTCATTTTCCTTGACCGCTGTATCACTTGCGTCGTGCGTGGGTGTCAACCGGGGAGACTTTTTTGACCGCTTCAGATTGGAGGGTTCGGTCTGTACCTTTCGCTTCGACTTGCGCAATGGCAGCGTAGTTTGGAGGGTCGGAGTTTCTAGGACAGGAAGAGTAGGCGGAGGTGAAGATGCTCCTGCATCAACTTCGACCTGATCAGGCTGACCCTCGACATCAACTTCTGAAAGCCACCCGGCAACTCCAGTATCTGCCGAACTTTGACGAACGGCCGGCTGCTTGGAGGTCGAATTTCGATCGGAATTCATCGCTTCGACCTCTTTCCCCTTCTTCCCCTTCTTGACCCTTTTGAGTGGTTTCTTGTTCATAGTAGTCGGTAGCTTGAACGGAGATTCGTATATATCTTTCCCAGGCGAATCAACCGGGACATCGTAGACATCTCTTCGTGCAGCGAGATTCTGGCGGGATAACTCTGCTAAATCGTGACGCATAAAGGTAGGACGCCGCAGCTTCCCATTGCCGACCTTGCTTTGCCTCCCAGCGGTAGGATATCTAGCGGCATTCAGGAGGTTTGCACTGGCGACGGCCGAGTGCGTGGGCCCTGGTCGTGATTTGCGTGCAGAAGCTGCCTCGACTTCCTCGAAAAGCTGCTGCTCGGCCCCAGTGTCAGATTCGGGGTCTGGGTGGGGAGGAGGTGGGGTGGCATCGACCGCTACTGAGCATTGCCGTTAGCATATAATGGAGAGGGTGGACTCGACCGGTGCCAGCTATGAAGTATGGGTAGTACGGATGACTGAACATGAACAAGGGATTTATGGGTGGGATAGGATCAATGTTACCTTTACGTCGCCGCGCCATCTCTATCTAAATACCTGTTGCGATGATGGCGTATGTAGTTGGGTGCCAAGATCAGGCATGACGAGTGGTGTGGATTTCAACGGGCGGGCTAATGGAGGTTGGAGGTTGGTCGACTGGGGCATCGCGTGTTGCCGAGCTCGCGTGTTCGCGCGGTCACACTTTTCTCCAGACCGCGCTAAGTACATGTGTACCTTGTCTACTATGACCGCATACCACAGATCTACCGCATACCGCAGATCAGATATTCATAACATTGTGCTCCTCATCCCCACCACTCCAGGATGGCTCCCCCCGATGCCTCTTTTCATACTTTGCAAACCATCGACCACAATGCCGGCCATCAATTTAAGCTCCCAGTCAAGTGCATTCATGACGGCAGCGATGTTTCTTTTTTCCTTACTAGCAAAGCCTACACGGATATCATGACTTTTCTCTTCCAGCTCAATACGTCCATGTTTCCTCGCAAAATTATTGATCAAGAGCAGAAAGTTACGAGTGTAAAAGAGTGGACTCTCGAGGATCCAGATGTCAACTTCCCCAGCATAGTACAGAACCTCTCTCAACTCATAACAACTCTGGATGCCATCATCGACAGTACGCCACCAGATCCTGGCCCCCGTCGATTTGGAAACGTTAGTTTTCGGAAGTGGTATGCCCAGGTCGAAGAGTGTATACCGGATCTTCTGAATCAGCACCTACCTGCAGAAGTCTTATCGAGCAACCCCGATTCCGATATCAAACCAAGTGTAGAACTGCAGGCGTACTTGCTAGGCAGCTTTGGAAGCGCCCAACGACTGGACTATGGCACCGGACACGAATTAAGCTTTGTTGCTTTCCTAGGGGGCTTGTGGAAATTGGGCGCGTTCCCAAACTCTACTGATGGGAGCTCTGAGCGAGCCATCGTACTCGGCGTCATTGAGCGGTACGTGGCAAAGCAGCACCTGGAAATGACCAACTAACCCCTGCAGATATCTTCAACTCATTCGGCGCTTGATATTGACCTATACCCTGGAACCTGCAGGGTCCCACGGCGTCTGGGGCTTGGACGACCATTCGTTCGTTTCCTACATTTTTGGGTCTGCACAGTTTGCTCCTGCGATATCGTCTCCCTCGGAAATCGTCACAGAGGGTTCTTTACCAGACGCGCCCAATCCCGCGGACGTTGCAAAGGCGAATGCCGTTGAACGGGAGCGTAAACGCAACATGTATTTTAGTGCCATTGGTTTCATCTACGACGTCAAAAAGGGTCCGTTTTGGGAGCACAGCCCCATTCTGTTCGACGTCTCGGGGGTCAAGGCAGGCTGGGCTAAGATCAACAAGGCAAGCGCCACGTATTTCCAACTTGTGCTCTTCTTTATTAACAGATGCGCCAGGGTATGCTAAAGATGTACAACGCCGAGGTGCTGTCCAAATTTCCCGTCGTGCAACATTTCCCGTTCGGTTCATTGTTTGCTTGGGAGCGAGATGCAGCCGCCGAACAAATCCAAGCCAGTGTACACACATCCAGCCAGCCCCGATCCAGCGCGAGCGCAAGGCCGCAGCAACCACTGCGAGATGCAATGGCGGAGCCGAGCATGTCAAACGTCAGAGGAGGCCCTCCGCCAATGAGCGGCACAGCAGCACCGTGGGCGTCATCGCGTGCACCTGCACCAGTCCCCGCCGGACCCAACCAGCCCACCAAAGCACCGTGGGCATCCAGGACTCCTCTTCCGCCTGCTGCTGGTGGAAGCAGCGCGGCTCAAGCGCGAGGTATGGCAGCACCCCAACGTGCAGTGCCTGCTGCTAGGGCTCCGGCAGCGGACAGACAGCCATCACACCAGGAAAGCAAACCCGGCCTTCCTCGATGAAATATGCCAGAGTATCTAATCACGGAGATTGGGTACGAAGGATGTACATGATACGGGAGTTGGCTTCATCAACCAGTCAGTCAGTCAGTGGGCGCCGGGCAGCGCATAGAAGAGTCCGGCAGCGATTGCATGTCGCAGCTCGAATGGATGCATCGTCGTGCAGCATCCGGCCTCGCCTGATCAGGAGGGCATACGCAACGCACTCTTTGATTGACACGGCTAGCTGAAACACAAAGTCCTCTGGGGGCGAGGGATCTGGAATGCCCGCACGGCCTATTTTTGGCGTGCCATGGTCGTTGTGGGGTTAGCCTGCCCGCTAGTGAACGTAAGCTTCCTAGCTCCCAGACCGCATAATACCCTCAGACACTCCCTTTGCGTTGATTGCCTTATTTTATCCCGGAATCTCCCCTCGCATCTTGCACTCTGTGATCCGTTTTTCTTTTTTTTTTTCTTTCGCCAGTCTCTGTGAAGCATCGACTGCCCTTTCTTGTTCTTCGCATCTTCCTGATAAGATTCTGGTCATCTACATAGATCGACAACAATCAATATGCCTGGCGTACCCCCCGACGCGGTCGATAAGGTCAAGCTTGTCTTCAAGAACATCTTCGGCAAGAAGAAAGACAAGAAAAGCAACACTGACGAGGCTGCCCCAACGTCTACCTCTGAGGCCGCAAGCTCCACTCCGAACCCCACCGAATCATCACCTCCTCCACCGGCCCCGGCCACCGCACCTACGCCCGCTAAGACAGAGACCACCAAGCCGAGTGAGCCAGCAGCACCAGCGGCCGTTGCTGCTGAACCCGAGCCAAAGAAACCCGAAGCTGCTGTGCCTACCGAGGCGAAGAAGGAGACTGAAAGTAGGTGACTTCGAGTTTTACAAAATCTCATTGTATATGTGCTATTCAGCATTTGCATTTCACCGTTCAAACCTTGTGAACAGTTTTTGATCGCCCAATTTCATGACTGACTCATCTATCGCAGCTCCCCAGCCTCCTACCAGCGCCGCTGCTCCTACACCTCTAGCAACCGAAGCCCCCAAACCCTCCACGTCTGAACCTGTTCCAACCGAGCCGAAGCCAACTGAGGCCCCCGTAGCTCAGGAACCACCTCCAGCCATTCCGACAACAAAACCTGCCCCGGGTATGAGTGCCACTTCGGGTCCAATGGGGGATGTGCCCGATTTCAGCGACGAGGCTACAAAAGCAGAGCCCGTCAAAGTGGAAGAGCCTGCGAAGGAAGAACCCGTGAAGGAGCCTGCCCCTACCCCGGCAGTCGCTCCAGTGGCTGCCGCTGAGGCGACTCCAGTTGAGAAGAAGTAGATGGCGGTTGGCTGCTAGCTCATCCGATGTATGATTGGGACAATCACACACTTGTTGCAGGGTCGTAAACCTGGCAAATGTTTCACTGGAACATGAACCAAACATGACGCTTGAGTGTTTGTCGAGTTTTGATTCTGCTCGCCTTGAGTGCATATGTCATCCTCGTCGGTGCTCCGACCCAGTGTCTGTCTTTCTATTTATCTTTTCAATATTTCCTTGTTTTCTATACCCCTGAGAGCTGGTTGCCCAGCTATGAGTAGCGGAGAGCGAGGAGTTGAATGAAAGAATCCATTGTTGTTGCAGTCGTTCTTCTCGCCATTATGAAACAACATTGTGTGAACGAATAACATGCCATGAATTACTTTAGCAACAATGTCAACAACGCGGGTGAACCTCGGACGCAGCCTAGCGCGGGGCTCTGCCGCTGCGCAGGACTCGCACACGTCATGTTATACAGTATTGCCCCACTAGCGTGAACTCGATTCACAAAGAAAGCTACAGTTTGACTACTCGACTATCTATTTAACCACCTGCCCATACTCCTCAGGGCCTCAAACACCCACCGAAACTTCACTGTAGTTTTTCCAACCCCAACCCGCCCACAGATCAACGCCATCACCAGAAAGCAATCCCGTTAGCCGAGATGCCTCCCAAGTCGGGCCACCAGCGCGCGAAGAATATCGACTACGACGATGACGAATTGTACAGCGATGAAGACGAGTACTACGAGGAGGGAGGCGAGGAAGAGGGCATATCCGAAGCAGATAAGCAACAAATGGCAGCGGCAACTATCAAGGTCAAGGAAGCATTAGGGGGCAGCCTCAAGCCCACAGATGCCGAGATACAAGAGGCGTTATGGCACTATTATTATGATGTCGCCAAGTCCGTTTCGTACCTAAAGAGTGAGAAACAATCAACTCGTTTGCCAGTCGTTTCGCTAACAGTCGCAGACAAATACGCGCCGAAAGCGCCGTCGAAACCCAAACAACCACAAAAGCCGGCATCGCGATTCGACCAAGCAGCAAGTGCTGCTGGAACGGGCACTACTGACGGTAAGCAATCACCATTCATGGATTCAACGACGGTACGCGCCGCACTTCATCTGGGACTCGGTACGCAGGGCAATACACCTTCCTCGATTCATTATCCCATCATCTACGATTCCACATCGACCGAAAATAGAAGCGATTTTTTCTGGGACATGCCATGGGGCAATGTGCCTACGGAAAGGCTTTCTATTCTTACGCCTGAAATCTCCACGCCGAAGGGTGGTCTTCTCGGTGGCTCGAAGCTCGCGGCTCTGGCAGCCAAGCGGAAGCAAAAACAACAAGAACAGGCTGCCAAAGCAGACGGGGAAGACGATACCGACAAAGCCGTAGCTCTTCTCGACCGTCTTAGCGTCAAGAGCGAGCGTCTTGCTTCAGTTGCTGCAAACGAGAAAACACAAAAGCCAACTGCTCGCTACCAGAGAAAACGATCTCCGTCTCCCGAACCTCAACTACAGCCTGAATCAGATGAAGAGCCTGATCTTACTCCCATCAGACCAGTCGTAGAATTTCCAGACCTCCGTGCTCAGCCCTCCATGTTCGCGGCGACTCTCTGCAGCAAAGTCGACTCAACTACCTCCACTGTAGAACGCCGGCCAGTCATGTTTGCAGATTTTGCTCTACCTTACACAAGCATGCCTGCGTATAAGCAGGTTGACCCGTTCGCCGGCCCAAGTCCCGATGATATCGTACACGAGGCCCAGAAGCGCAGCGCGGGACGTCATTAATTGTACATTTTTTTCGTTGTTACTCATCTTGACATTTCTCTAACATGTGAACAGGACCATCAAAACAAAAGGCTATACCGAAGAAATCGGCTGCAGACAAGCTCGCAGAGTCACTCGACAAGGTTCAAGTGGAAGAAACACCCAAAATAAAAAGCAAGAATTTGAATGTAGTGGAAGAGTTTGCTAAGAGTGGGCTGAAGCGAATGGCAAACTTTGTTGTCATAGGTAAGCGTCATTAGCCCCGTATAATACGCCATTGCTAATATTATTAGGACATGTTGATCATGGGAAAAGTACGCTTATGGGCCGACTACTCTACGACCTTAAGGTCATTGATCAACGATCGGTGGATAAACTCAAGAAGGAGGCGGAAAGTATAGGCAAGGATTCTTTCGCTTTAGCTTGGGTGATGGATCAAACAAGCGAGGAGCGTAGTCGTGGAGTGACTGTGGACATTGCTACGAACAATTTCGAGACTGACACAACGCGCTTCACGATACTCGACGCCCCAGGCCACCGGGACTTCATTCCTAATATGATAGCGGGCGCTTCCATGGCCGATTTTGCCGTTCTTGTTATCGATGCCAGCACCAACAGCTTCGAATCTGGTCTCAAAGGGCAGACCAAAGAACACGCTTTGTTGGTACGCAGCATGGGTGTGCAGCGCCTGATCGTCGCCGTCAACAAGATGGACACGGTCAACTGGTCTCAGCGTCGCTTCGGCGAAATCTCAGAACAAATGACGGCATTTTTCGTCGCCGCCAGCTTCTCTCCAAAACAGATCACTTTTGTTCCCTGCGCGGGCAAAGAAGGGGATAATGTTACCAAACGTGTCGACCAATCCCAGGCAGAATGGTACACCGGCCCTACTCTCGTCGAAGCTCTCGACATGTGCGAACCCGCCAAACGCCCAGTTGAAAAACCTCTCCGTCTTACCATCAGCGACGTCTTTCGTGGTGGCATAACAAACCCTGTCTCCATCTCAGGCCGCATCGATGCCGGTACTCTTCAAATCGGCGACACGATCCTCGCCATGCCCTCCAATGAGAAAGCCACCATCAAGGCCATTGAAATCAACGACGAGCCGGTAGACTGGGCTGTTGCAGGGCAAATTCCAACCTTGCACCTCCAAGACATCGACCCTGTTCATCTACGCCTCGGCGACATCGCATGCGACCCCCGCAACCCTGTGCGACTGGTCAAGTCTTTCACGTGCAAGATCCTTGCATTCGAACACGTTCTCCCGTCCTCCGTCGATGTCTTCCGTGGGCGCTTACAAGCTGAAGGCCGGATTATACGGTTATCGTCTACGCTCAACAAGACGACCGGCGAGGTAATCAAGAAGAAACCGCGTATCATAAAGCCCGCCGAGGTCGCACGCGTAGTGGTTGAGCTTGAGAGAGAGTTGCCACTCGAACACGGAGTCAGAATCGTACTGAGGGAGAGGGGGAGCACAGTTGCTGCGGGACTTTTAGAAGGGTGATTGTTTCTACTCAAAGTCGGATTTCGGTCCAGTTCTTCTATAGCGTGCAGCGAGGGCCGTTGCATATACCGCGTGTTTGTTGATTCGATAGACATATACATGATTTATTACTCGAGTTCTGTGTTGTTTGCTATGTGACTGCGTAACTTGTCTACCTATTTGTTTCGTAGTGTCATCGCACCAAAAAAAATTCAGTGTTTGGGTCATCAGGCAGCTCAGACTCGATCGCCTCGAACTCTGGCTGCTCTGAAAAGATTGGTGTGTGATGATCGCCTGTGCTAATCAGTAATTCCTAATACGGAGAGAGTACGGAAAGTCCTTGTGGCACCAAACTCCGAGCCGTAGGGGATTTGGGTCTGGGGAGATTGATGTTGCGGAGTAGGACAATTTTGGGTTTGCAAATTCAAGAACTAGAGATATAGAAAGTCACAGGGAAGTAGAATGGCGGCACTGTTGCTTTGCAGTTATCTTTAATATTTTATTAAACAGCATCTTGACATAGGTATCTACAAGATTTTAATAGTATCTAGACATAAAGTAAAGTCTTCAATGGGTGTTGATAGCTGATCCTAGGGTCGGCTCGCCCCTGCAATGGAAGCAGGAAAAAAAAATCAGTCTTAGAATTCTAGTATACATTTTCGGGAGCGCTTTGCAACAATGATATTTTCCTACGTCACCAGTATGTTCCATTGCTGAAGATGCCCGTTGTTCTCCCATGCCAGAGCGTAACACCAAAATCAAAGCCTTCCATAGCAACATCTTGGCCGACATCCGACTCCTTGAATTTCTCGGGAAGATCGTCGTACCACGTCTTTTGCAGCTCTCGTGCTTCTTCAAGCATCCTCTGCGCTTCTGAAGGTCGGTTCATAGAAGCAAGGACCAGTCCCAGACGGTATTGACTGCGCGCTAGATCTTCGTTTCGCCACTGGACTGATTGTAAGTTGTTATCCAGGGTTCTTCTTAATTCGTTTCTGTTGATGATTGTTAGCGACGTTCTTATAGGAGTGCGTATCACTTACTCTGCGTCCTCTAGCTTGCCCACATTTTGGTAACAGACAGCCATCATGTACCGACCAGCGAGAACATCGTGATGGCCTTCTCCCAGCTGCTTCACGCGGGTATTTGTGACATCTTGGAACGCTTTCAGTGCACTTTCGGTATGCCCGAGTGCAAACTCTGCCACGCCAACGTTATACCGTGTGAGCAGTGTAAGCGGATTCGTCTCGCCGACTGAAGAGTTAAGTAACTCCAACGCACGTTTCGAGCTCGACTCGATAAGATCTTCAGCTTTCCGTGGACCCAACACCCACATCCTACATCCATATATCATGCCATACCGAGACGGAATACTGGCTTCTCCTCCCACTGCCTCTCCTGTCGAAATGGCGGCTTCCATGTTCTCCTCGGCAGCATCAGTCAAGTTCATTTGCGCGGACGCGCAGCCTTTGTCAAGGAGAGCACGGCTTAATCGTATGTGATCCAGGTCTGACCAGCTGCTATGATCTATCTTAGTAGTAGCTTGGTGGCGACGCTCGAGATTCTCTGTTGTCAATGCCAATGATCTCTTGCGCCCTTTGATCCCAAGGAAATGATTGTAAACTTGAAGGAACGATGTAATGTCTTCTAGCGTCACAGATGCAGGCGCATTCTCCTCTTTGATCAAGTTTATACAGATTGTTCGTCCAGTCTCTAGTATGGGGATACCATCGCTTTGATAGCCGTTGTTCAGGAGATACGATCCAGCGTCGCGAAGCACTGTCGCGAATTCGAGAGTCCCGTGCTGTTTAGTGCCTGATTCGGAAAAGGCTTGGTTCATGGCGACGACCTGCGAGATGTATTTTCGGAATTTTGGCCATTGGGATGGATCACCTCGTTTGCGGACATCGTGCTCGGGGAGCACGGCTCGGATCAAGGATACTGCTTCCTCGAAGGTCTCCTCGCGAAGAGTTTCATCGGTGTCAAGACGGCCGAGGATGCTTTGTTGTAAGGCTCGGTGTGTACGTAGGACGCTGTGTGTCTCTAGAGAGTCTCGATTGATTAAGTGGCGCTCGCGAAGGATGCGGACCGATTCGTTGAAGCTGGTGGAAAGTCAATACTGCTCATTAATGTCGAAGGCGATGCTCCTACCTTGCGGGAGTCCAAGTAGAATGGCCATCCGATTGCGGCTCCACCGGAATGAATATATCCTCGGGTACTCCATCAGGATCAAGAAAAGCCATGATGCGTATCAGCTTCCGCGCTTCTGATGTCAAGCGCACGAATGCCATATCCCATACTGTCGCCAGTGTATGGCTATACGGGCTGGTAGATATCGATGTCGTCGATTTCCATATCGCACTCGATTCGAAGCGACTGCACAGGACCTCTGTGATATATTTGATCGAGCATTGAGAGTTCGCGACATATCCGGCAAAGTGTGATATCGCTAGAGGCATTCCACCGAGCTTCGTCGATAAGGCCTCGCCTTCCTTTTGCTCTGAGCGGCCGCGGTTTAGATATCTTTGCAGAAGCGTGCAGCCTTCCTCGGGGTTCATTGGGGGTAGTTCGATCGCGTGACTGGTGATGCGATCTAGGGCTGGGTTTTGCGAAGTGACGAGAATAGAGCCACGGTCACCGGCCGGCCAGAACTTACGTATGGCGGTCCATTCTATGGCGTTATCGAAAACCAGTAGCCATGTCTTGGCTGATGAGTTTATTAGTATGATGCGTGCGAGTCGACTGTGTTCGCAGCCCACTTACTGGTACTACGCAGCCACTCAAGACCGACCTGTACTTTCAGATCACTGGCTGCTGTTTCAGTTAAAAGGTCCAACTTGGCGACCGCTTTTAGGAAAGAGCTCAATAAAGTAGTCGCAGTCTCAGCGTGCAACCAGAAGATGTGGGTGTACGCCCTACTGTACCGATACGTATATTCTAAGGCCACCTCGGTCTTGCCCATACCTCCAATATTATGGATCAGCACGGATTGACGACTTCTTCCCATGGCATTGGTTTCTCCGGAATCCAGTGTCAGCATTTCATGTATGCGTTCGAGAATCGTATCCCTTCCAGTGAAGACAACATTCCTTGGGGCAGGGACGGTAGATTCAAGTCCGCCATCCCCTGATCTTGATCTTGACAATCTTTCTACAACCTCACGGTGTCTCTCCCCTTGTACCTGCACGTTAGCTAGACTTGCTTCTGCCTCGAAATCGGAACATGATATTGCGAGTTGGTCTTTTGTCGCATTGTATTGCCGAGTCACAGTGGACCATTGTATCTTGACCATTGTATCTATAGAGTCAGTTTCCTGTTATGACATGATAGGGCAAGACACAACTTACAGCACCTATGCGACAACAAAAATCGCACTAGAGCGAAAGCAAAGTCTATAAAGGTACTGTAGACTTCTCGAAGTGCTGCGTGCAAGCGTGGCGTGTGCAATACTTGAGTATAAGCCTGGAATCTTGGGAGCAGTTTTGCTAGATCTTGAAGCATCTTGCTTGCGCTATCAAACGAGTCTGAGAGTTTTACAGCATTCTGATTGACGCAAGATCAGTAAGCGATCCATAAGTGATCATTCCATTCTTACCGCAAGAATAAGCTGCATCGATCCCCAGACTAGTCCAGCAATCATAGAAGACTGGACCATTGTCGTAATCGCAGCGATGAAAGGTTTGATAGATTCGAGCACCGTCCGCACTCTCGGAACATGCTTGCTGAATCCTTCGAGCAAGTACTGCTGGCTGAGACTAGCGAGACAACTGTCAAAATCAAGATTCAAAATAAGCACATCGCGAAATGCTTCCGTGCTTGTATAAGAATCAGCAAGTTTATCTCGTACTGTCAATCTCCAAAGGTCTGTCTGCAACGTAGAGCCTTCATTGTTCATCAGATCCGGGTATTCAACATCCTTCTCGAGCTCGCTGAGTGAATCGCTGTCGGAAATCGATCGACGACGGGTGGGCGCAAAGCGGAAAGGGAAGCAGCAGCAATCCATGAGTGAGGTGTAGAGACTCCGGCTCTGGGTTATTGAGATTTGCGACGATGGCCTGCGAGAAGGAGGGCATTGTTCTCCGGCTAGTGTGGTTGATGATGCCTGCGAAGCTGTCGTGGGCTTGGAGTTCGTATCCGTTGTCGCCTCATCATTTTTCGCGGGCAGGCACCCGCCCCCAGCCTCGCCGTAGTGGCCCTGGTGCTCTTGGTAGTGGAGGCTTGCCATTTACGATAAACGAGTTGGGCATTCGAGTGATTATGAGGGCTCCTGTGCTTGTATGAGCAGTGACTGCTCAAGCCGAATCATCAAAAAGAAAATGTTATTTCGCACTGCACGTAAGATCACGCAGCGAACCTCGCCGGTGTGAACTCGAGCGTTACCAGCTTTTTACATCTCCACCGTCCTTCACGCAAAACGATAATCGCAATGCCTACGGACGGTTGCGTGAGCATGACTTGCCTGCGATGGAAGGCTCCCATCCCGCCCCCCATCACCAACACGACGCGGTGGCGCATTTTCGAAGGCTTTCGCATCCTTGACATTCAAGGATACGGGTCTGCAGACAGATGCAGCCTTTCTAAGTGCACCTATCATACCCACACACGCTATCAAAGCATAAGATTTTCACACCCATAGTTTCAGGCTGCACCTATCATCTTCGCACGGTTAAGCCTTCGATGCCGTGTGCGGGGTCTTTGACCGGAAAGTGACGAGCATCAGCGCGACCGGCAGTAGGATTCTCAGCCTCGCGTTCTACAGTCAGTGTTGCGCTGAACAGAATGCCCACTCTACGCTTTTCCATGCAATATCCACACTCCTCCATAGACATTTATGCATTTCACGTTACAAAAAATCACATACTAGGTTAACATTTCGAGAATTATGCTTTAGATTGCTACATAGCCAGCAAGTGTTCAAGACAGGGCAACTACCGAAAAGTAAACACGATGCAGTTTATCTTTGTCAATACCTAGATTGTACAACTGCATATCTGATCGCCGATTCGCACGGGATGTTATCCCTCAAGTCCCTGAGTGCTGCATCTCCTCGTTGCTTCCCATGCACACATAATCTTTGCCCGCTGGGTTGGTATCGGTAACGGCATCGAGAGTCGCTCGCCATGGCTGTTCGCGCTTCTCTTCCGCCGCTTTCTGGTTCGCCTGGTCGACCCAGCTTGTTGTCTCTGCGACCTGTGGAACCTCAGATGGGGATTTGGTATTGCTGTTCGCATAGTCAGTGCGTGACTACTCGCCGCTAGAAACTTAGATCTAGTCATACCTAGAATCCATCTCGATGTCGTGACAGCGATGAGAGAAGTGGTGGATAGTAGGGGCGTGTCGGATAGATCAAAGATTGATCACAACAGTTGAATCATAAGGCTGAGATGAGGCGATGGTGTATGCACATTATATACATTATAAGAAGAGTATACGCGTGGATAATGATCGCTTGCTATTGGCTCATGGAGATGATTCCTGGAGGTTGCATGGTAGCTATACGTCTTGGCTCACGAGCGGGGTATCTGGCATAACGCGGCAGAGCGATAAAAGAAATCCGTATATTGAGGCTCTGCGGAGCCAATAGAAGAGAAGATTGTGAAAACGGAGTAGCTATTGCTGGCAAAGGCGTTGCACGAGATCACTGATCCCGCAGACGAAGTTGCAAACCCCGTTCACTCTTTCGAGAAAATGAGCATCCTGACTTCAAAGCTCTCGCGAATAGCATCATCTCTCGCTTCTGGGTGTGGAAATGAGACATGTGGAGCGACTGATGAGACTGTTAGTTACCAAAAATAGGTTGCAATGCTTGATACTCACAGTGCGCCTTGACATTGCCACTGGAGTCAAAATTCTTGAAGAGGATCGCTTCGTCCTTCATCTGATCTTTCAGGTAGTGCCATTGGTACTCAGGTCGGTGCATCAGGTTCAATGACGCTCCAACATACTTCCGGCGAACGTGGTCGGTTTCAAGAAAATCATTCAAACTTATGTTGCTGCCGTCCGCGAGGCCCAATGGCCAATTTTCAACGCGGTGTCTCATCGGATGCCAGAGGCTAGGTGGAGCAATGGTAAGAGCAAGATGCAGATGTCTGGCGTTAGAACTCACTTTAAGACTCTGACACGCTTGTTGAGAAGCTCTTTGTAGTTTTCGGGAAACGTGGCTTGTATGCGATCGAGTATCGGTTTTGTGGCATGGTCTACGTAAAGCGATATTAGAGTTTGCGTTGCTTGGATCTGTTGATAAAACACGTCGCATACCAATGTGCGGGTGCAGAGATGGACGCAATCTCTCTGTGGGCTCCTCGAGGTCGCGAAGCTCACCGGGATTCATCGTCGAATTGTCCCTTAGCTGCAAGAATTAATCTTCGATCCATACACTGTTTCGCAAGACAAACCAACCCGCCACTCGAACAATGCAATTTCTTCGGCATCTGGAATTTTCTCCCTGATAAACTTCTCAATCTGTGGCAGATACTCCGTCTCGACGGCAGCTCGGTCTCCGAAATTCTTGAAGGTATGCGGCCACTGGATGAATTCGAAACCTTGCTCATCCAGCGAGAATTTGTCTTCTTGACCACGGACGTTGTGAAACGATGTGTCGATGACATCGAACTCGAGGTTGTTTGTTCGCGTATCTTGCGCATCTTCAGGGAGATTGATGAATATATTGAAAGGTTTCTCGTTTTCATACAGTGGCAGCCATTTTATGAAATGAACTGGGGCAACGACGATAGTGTCGCCTGTCATTCTGTGTGGTGTCAGGCAGTGAATATTTTACGGTACAAGGACAATAGCAAGCTATCTGCGGAACAAGGTGGTCAACTGATCTTTATGTAGTTCGATCAGGCCGCAGCTGCAAGCGGTCTTGGTCTGCATGGGTAATCACGCATCCATGTATCATTTGAGAGCCCGCACTCACTTGTACAAGTGTGTAAAAATCGAAAATTCCCTGTCAAGTAAGCATGAGTTTCGTTTATGATTTAGACGTGATAGAGGGAAGCTTCAACAAGCTCTTCAAGAAATTCGGGTCGAGTTAGTACATACAAGAATTCGCAGAAGTTTATGCTACACAGACTTATTTACGGTTGATAGACAATCACACGATAAAATGCCCCGACCAGGCTGTCAGAATGAAATTGAGGCTGATAGTACCGCGACGACAATGATATCAGAGAATTCTGTGATTGGGGGTGCAATCAAGCCGGAGAACACGAGACTGAAGCTGGGGTTGTGATGATGCGCAATTAGCGCAACACTCAGTCAATCATCAATAAAAGCGACAAGATTAATAAACTGTCCTAACCATGAAATCGATGTTTTGATCAAGACATCGAAAGTCGCAACTGTCGAGGCTGATAACACGCGTGGCATTGTCCCTCTTCCCTTGCGAGGCCGAGCGGGATTCTTGGAAGTTGGTTTCACAGCCACCGCCATTCGCTAACGAATGCCCCGCATCTCCAGTTCACGCATATGTAAGCGCCTGTTCCTCATCCCTTCTAATCTCTTTCTTCGTAGTTGACTACATCAATCAGCTTCTTCACGGCCACCAACGTCCATGGCGCATGCGACATGGTACAATCAATCGTCTGAAACCGACTCCGAGCATCGCAGGCTCTTGCCGTTCATGACCAAATGGAAATTAAGAGATGGGAAACTCCTTACCGGATGAACAAGATTGGGAGGAGATTGACGGGCAACATGACAGCGATGATGGCTACGAGCATGAAGATGACGATGTTCTTGGCGATCTGACATCGTTCTTACATCCTCACACATTCAGTACACCACTGTCAAGGAGCGCCTCAACTGATGCCAGCTCTCAAAAACATCGGCCAGGTCTCTCAGCTGGCGGCATTTCTGCCTCGACGGGCACATTTGTCTCTGCCAAGACCAACCAATCCGACCGTGAGAAGCTTGATGTAGCTTCATACAGCACCAGTTATTTCAGTGCGAGCCCTCTTTCTCAAGCCCTGAGTCGAGAGATTTCTGTCAGACCAAGATCAAAACCTCGCGAATCTGTACGCGGACCAATGAGTCTGGGCTCTTCATCGGATTACATGAAGATTCTGGAGCAGAACGGGCTTCTTCCCTCCATAGAGACCGAGCTTAACTGGTCTGGTCGTAAACCTGGATCAGGTCAACATGTGGAGTTTCAGCCATACGAAACAGTTCCCGTACAAAGTGAGGGGCTGATCTTCTGCTCTGCTACTGCTCGGATAGATAAAATCAGATGCAGGCGAATTCTACTTGCGCGGAAGTCGATGGTCTGCCACAGGAAAATGACGTTAACGGACGCAATGAACGAGGTGAAACATCTTAATAATCTGAGACATGCTCATATCGTTCAGCTAGTGGGAAGTTATATACAAGCCAAGACGTTTGCGGTTCTCTTGTATCCGGTGGCAGACATGGACCTGAAGGATTTTCTCCAGCAAATTGAGAGTGTTCTTGTGCCCCGCTGCACCCTCGACTATGCGAACTTCATGGCCATTGCTAGCCTGGGAAGATTCTTCAAGTGTCTTGCAGCAGCACTTAGCTATGTCCATGGCCAGACCACCAAGCATCTTGATATAAAACCGCGAAACGTCCTCATCAAACGCAGTCGGGATGTCATGTTTGGCTACCAAGTCTATCTGGCTGATTTCGGCATCTCTCGGTCGTTTGCCTCTACAGATCACAGCCAAACCGACGCTTGGGTTGGAAGAACCGCTAGATATTGCGCACCTGAAGTTCATTGGAATGAGACGCATGGTCGAGCAGCAGATGTGTTCTCATTGGGCTGTGTGTTTCTAGAGATGCAAACGGTGTTGTGTCGTCGGCCCCTCGATGACCTATACGAACTTCTTGATATCGAACATCCAGCATCCACTTTCCATGCGAACCTGCGCCACGTGTTCGGATGGATAAAAACTTTGGCAAGCCATCGCGCAGTGTTTGTGACAGTATCGGAGGAGGATTTGCAACAGGAAGTGTTTGCCAGATACCCATTTGAGGGTTTGACAGAAGATGGGCGACGTGGATCCATATCACGTCGCCACGCAAGCTTGTGCACATTGATTCATGCTATGTTACAGGAGACCCCTTCTAGCCGCCCAAGAGTAACAGATGTATTGCGATTGATCGACAAAAACGACTGCTGTAATCAAGGAAGAGAGCCTTTTCGTAGTGAGGCAGCTGCCATCATGGAGCCCATCGACTCGGCGGCGGAGTTGAATCGATTGTTCCGAAAGACCCATCAAACTTCGGCAGCCGAGAGAGAAGATATTCTCTATCATATTATAGAGAGTGGAGATCAACCATTGACCGAAAGCTTTTTAAGATACTTCTCAGCACATCGTCTAGAGCCTAGCGAACGCGTGAAGCTCAAGGGCCTCCAGGCTGCGTTTCTCAACAACGATTTTACTCTGCTCAAGATGTTGGTCGAAACCCTCGATTGTAGAAACACTTTACACACTGTCTTGGTACAGAACCTTCCATTCATGGACGAGAAAACACTGGAGAATCTAGTTCAAAGCTTCGAGGCCGAGAATACTATGGAATCCGGCATAGAAAAGCTACTTCCATACGCCGTCAAAATTCATCGAACTCAACTTGTGACTTGCATGATTCGACATGGATTCCACACCCGTAGTAAAGACGGGTACGGACACGCTGCATTAGATGTTGCAATTTTGATTGGCAGCCAGGAGCTCGTACACCTACTTCTAGAACATAATATCCGACTACGACAAGCCATCAATGATCGAGCCATGCTCTCGCAAGCAGTACTTAAGGAGCACTACAACCTGGCAACATATCTCCTAGTAACAGGGGCGGACCCCATGATTAGTATTCATAGAACGATCCAACCAGGCCGCACAGTGCTCCATGATATCGCATCAATGGCTGCCCCCGGCAATGATAGACTTTTACATCTAGCAAGATTGACCATCATGACTTGCGATCATCGAACCGAAATAGCTTCCGTCGCGCAAATCGGTGCAGGCAAAAAGAAGCCTGCATCCCATGGGACGCCTTTCCAGATGCTTCCTTTCTTGTACAACAGACCCTGGTTTGACTTGTTAACGTATCCGCCAAATACTATCGAAAATGTATGGGACGTGGAGACGTTGCGCATGGGAGCAACAGCAGTGGAAGTGATTTATCTGAATGCCTTTGCGGATCGATGGGAGAAGTATATGTCTATCTTGACCTGGAACCTGACGATCAGCAATATAGTGTGTCTGGATACTGGGACTAGCCCGCACACTGCCGCCCGTCAAACCGACTATGCCCATCTCTTCATTGTCCGGGATACCATTCAAAATGTTCTCGTGAACAGTAACAAAGAGTTCAACATCTATTTGGAAGAAAACCCCTGGAAATTCGAACAAAACTATCCTTCACTGCTGGGGCTACATGAAGAGGATCCCCGTATCATTTACAAACCACCATTGACACAATTCGCACACATCGACCGGCATTCCATCGTGATCTCCCTCAGTCCTGCATTCGCGGCTCGGCAAGCATTTGCAGATCTACTTCCTGGCTCGAGAGGGTATCCAGTGGCCATCATTTGCGAAAGGGTGGATATGCAAGCACGCGTTTACCCAGTTCTGGAATCTTCCAACGATCCTATCTCTAGACAAGTGCAAGCGTTCTTCCGCCGTTACACGGCGCATGACTTAACGAGCCCCGATATCAGTCCTGAGGATGAAGCGATGCATGCACTTAGCAAACTAACGCTTTATTTGCGATCAGACATCCATGCAACTGGATTTGAAGAGATGGCGATTGATAGATACATTGGGTAAACAGTGGCTTGGAATGTCTTCGGCACATATTTGAAACGTTACATCGCAGCAACTCTCTTAGTAGAGATATGAATTATCTCCAAATTCCGTCACTTGAGTATACGCGAATGATCGTTGACCCGAATTGTGACGTGCCATCAATTTTTGACTTGTCCACGCAACAAGCGTCCAACCATTATACTCTCATTTCTTGTGACCAATGGATAACTCGATTTCTCAAGCCTTTAATCTATGCGGTTGTCACAGAGAAAGTAGACATTCCTCCCTGATTGTGGAAGCCCATTGTTTACTTTAATCTCCATCATACAATAACAGCCCATCGGAACACATGCAACCTTCTATAAGCCCATAAATATTACGGACTTCAAACATAATCACAGTGAGCTCGAACCATGGACTCAAGTATCCACAACACAAGAATAATACCTTGATCTTGCCAAACTCCAGCACCTAAGACTTCTCAATATACAGCTTCGTCCCATTAACCTTCACACTCGCGGTATACAACTGCCGTCTCATAGGCTTAATCGGCTCCTTCAACCCATGGAAAATCACCTTGGCCTTCTCCTCATCCCCACACGGACTCCTCAAGAAACTCGCACTCCCCGGTCCAACAAGACTACACCCAAACTCATCCGTCGTCTCCAGCAACGGCGTCTTGACCCGCTTGTACGGACCCAACACGCTCTTGGCAGTAGCATACTCAACATTATATGACCCGTCGCCGTAGTAATGCGTGCTGTACGCCAAAAAGTAAATATCCCCTCTCTTGAACAGAGAAGGTGCTTCGAGGTTGTAGCCATCGGAAAACCCCTGTTCGTGCATTTTGAGGAGCTTGTGCGCGTGCCCGGCGAACTGCACGCTCTCGTTGGCTCCCTTGGACGCGACTTCGCGGAGCTCGAGGTATACTTTCGGACGATCGGTTTTGTAGACAATGTACTGTTTGTTTGTGGAGGGGTCTTTGAACCAGGAAGGGTCGATGACGCCGGTTTCGTTGCATTGTTTAAACGTGTTGATGGGGTGGTAGGGACCGGTTATGGACTCGCTCAGGGCGGCGCCGATGCAGTGCGGTTTTGTTTTGTTTTCGGGGGCTTTTTCGTAGGCGGAGAAGTACCTTTTGATCCCATGGACGTTAGTGAGGGAAGGGAGGTTATGGAGATTGGGGACTGACATTACGTATTTGTTGTCGGAGCGTTGGAAGACGTCTGGGGCCCAGATGCCGTAAGTGCTGTTCACGCGTTTCCCTGCCCATGTTGATTCGTTGATTGCGAGGATGCGGTGGTCGGGTCTGATTTTGCTCCATCCGCTTTCGAGGTTGTTGGACTGTGCGACTTGGAGGTCTTGTCCGTTGAAAGTGCCGAAGCTGTACCATGTGTCGTTGGTGTAGAAGAGGGCTATGAATCCCATTAGCAACGCATCTATTGTTCCGTTTATGATTTCTGTACGTACATGGATCTGGAAAGTTGTTTTCAAGAACGGGTCCATTAATACCATGGCATTGTTCCGCAGCGGCAGTTTTGTTCTGCGGTTCTTTTGATGCAGGAGCCGACGATGCTAAAGCGGTGAAAACCGTAGCCGCCAAAGAAACTGATACGCGCATTTCGGAAAAGACTGACTGTAGTTATAAACGATTATAGTTAAAAACTAGGAAATTTAGGAAGCTAAAAGAGCGACTCTGACTGTATCCACTCTATCCACGCAGACACCGTGACTTTGTCAATTACTTATAACATAGTGGACGTTTGATGCTAAACCTAAATGCCGCTCTAAGTATTAATAGAGTGAGGCTGGGCTGCAGAGGGGGCCGTATAATTGTGTACTTTGATCTTGATTGGGAAGTAAAGTTGTCTTACTTTGGTCGCGGAAATTGCACTCGTTCGGTTTGGGCCCCCGGGCCAAGCTTTATGAGCTGCGGCTTGACCCAAACACTATTCTGAGATTTATGTGGGGCCCCTTCAGATGCCTATAACAGGTATATGATGGGTAGGCCGCGTCGAAGATGCACAAATTGACCGGATGAATTGTTGTGATACATCGGTCCGATATCTCCGCCGATTTTCACTACTTTGAAGTCAAGTCAATAGATAAACACCGCGGGACGAGGACAATGACCATTGTCGTTTAACAGCCGTAACACCGCGCAGAAACATCCTCATCGAGTTTTATGTAGTTCGTTTCGTTACTTCCGCAATAGGAAAACGTTCAATCGCATGCCGCCTCCCCAATGCTGCATCGCAAATTGATTGTAGAAACACATTTCTGATACGGCTCACATACGGAATGGGTTTTCATCAATTCCATAGCAGCCAAGTCGACTACAACTCCGAGACATCTATAAAATCATTGACTCGACCCTATAGAGTCGTCTGTGTCGTTTCACCACTAGCTCCCGACCCAGCATGTCGGCTGTAGAATTTCATGAGTCCAATCTCAGTATCCGGACCGCATTATTTCCTAACACGTCCTGCGCTGCCTTATCATCTCCGCCGAAAGTGCTTGATATGGCGGTGTAGTTCGCGTTCACACTGTGCCATTCCTCGGCATTCTCTTCCAGCGGTGGGAAGAATGGGTGGTCAGTTCCTGCAAAGTTTATTAGCAACGCATGTAGATCTTGAACATCGCGTACTCACCAAACATCAAACGATCAGCCCCAGACGCATTGACCGCCGCCTTCAACCCTACTTCGGAGTAGATAACCGCATCCAAATAGATGTTTGTCTTGAGAATATCCCAGACGTCTCGTCTGTTCTCGATCTTACCCGCCTTCTTCAAATGACCATCATGCTTTACACAGCTCTCTAGCCGACCCGCCAGGAACGGCAAGGTGCCTCCAGAATGCGCGAGCAACACATTGAGTTTTTGAAATCGATCCCACACCCCACTCAGCAGCATGCGACTCACTGCAATCGTAGTCTCGAGCGGGAAGCCCAAAGCCAGCGGCAGAACGTGTCCATACTCATTTCCCCTAGGGCCATATACCGAGGCCGGGAGCCCGTAGTGCGGATGCAAGAAAATCATCTGCTCGGTCTTCTCCAGGGCAGCATACACAGGATCCAGTTCCGGGTCGTCAAGCCCCTGACCTAGTCCCGAAGTCCCCATGATGACACCACGGATATGCTTCAGCCCTTTTATCCTCTCGATCTCGCTAACTATCGTGGCGGTATCCGCGCTCAGCGGTAACGTAGCGAACGCGTACAAACGTCCCGGATATCCAGCACAAATCGTATCTACGTCGTCGTTGATCTTCCTCGCTGCCTCACCAGCCTCCTCTTTGGGCAAGAAATCGAGCCACGGGTTCGCGAGACTTATCACGCTCTTGTCGATCTTGTGCTGGTCCATAAATGCGATTTTCTGCGCAATGTCGTAATATTCTGGGCCGATGGGCCGTCCTCGAGAGGTGGATGGGGTAGAGGGATCATCTTCGCCGGGTAGAATGATCAGACGTGAAGAATCCGGTGCGTCTTCGAAGGTGCGGACGTAGGGGACGGTGGTTCGAGACCGTAGGAGCGAGACATAGCTCGGCGGATAGATGTGTGTGTGAATGTCTACAATGGGCATTGCGAGCTATGGCAGCCGACTCCTCTGGCAAGACAGGTTCCAAAATTTCGATTGATGCAGGGGCAGCCAGCTGTACTATTGTACACAGACGCAAGAAGTGGTGGTTAGTGGGGTATCTGTTGTGTTGGGGGATAGCTTGAGCTACTGCCCCACTACCATCTCAAGCTCCATCCCACCTTCCTTGTGGGGAAAGGTTTAGGAGGCCTCGCCGTAGGCCGTCCTTTTCGGAGATCTCCGCCCGTTATCATTACAAGCACTTGAGTACTAATAACGAGTCTACTCTACTAATCATTCCTGCGTAAGGTTAGTTTACATAGACCGATGGTCAAAGTATTGCGGCTACTGGTTTGACATTAGAAATTTTACATTTTGATAAGAGTCTATGTCCCTCCCAGGAACATCGTGGCCAGAATGGCCACGATGAGGGCAGATATACTTGCTGCACCCTGAGAACCTGCACTCACTTCCGCAGGCTTTTGCGAGGGGTCAGTTACGTTATCACCTTTCCCACCAGTGCCTTCCTCAAGCACAATACTTTCAACCCCTCCGAGGACTGTTTGTAACGGCGCTACCAAAGCCATCTGTGACCACGAAAATTGGGTATTACGGCCACCAAAAACGAACACCTCAAATCGACCCTTGTACTCATCATCCACCCACACTCTGCTTCCATTCACGACATCGGTTTCTATACGGATGGTAGCTGGAAGGATGATTGGCACTTCTTCGTGTGAAGAACTTGATTCATTGACCCATATGCGACCAGGGTGGCCGGGATCATAGCCGTCATCCAAAGCAGTCGAGCGAAGCGGATAGGGGAAATTATCGGATGTGCTGAACACAAGTGTCGAATTCGCCCATGCAGTCAGATTGGTTGATATGGGTTCGACAGTGAGTGAAGTATCGGGTCCGCTCAATGTGAATGGAGACGTAACGTTGAGCGTTAACGTGTATGGCGGTCCGTATGATCCTTTTCCTAACGTGACATCTGCTTGACTGCTGGTTGGACGTGTCCATGTGAACAAAGGAGTATCTTTAGAAGGCCTCTGGGAGTTTGGAATACGGCGGTCGAGGTTTTGGCCAGGTGCCAATGGCGTCAGGTACTTGAGCGTGGCTTCGAGATCTTTGGCGCTAATGTTTGTTCCCCTGTGACCGGACCACGCACGTGCCGCGACGACGGGAATGCCTTCGCGCATGGCATAGTATGCTTCAAGCTGGGTCGTAGCATCCGGCCCGTTATCGCTCCAAGCCGCTAAAATAGCACCTTTGTTTACTTTCGCGCCGGGTTCTAGCTGCTGAGTTGTGTTGACAGGATTGAACACGGAAGGATCCCACTGCCACCCGTCAACGTTAGCGAAGTTCATCGTGCGCGTAACATTGTAAAATTGCGGGTATGGCAAAGGTAGGATGGGTCTAGAACGCGGTACATTGTCAGCATAATTCAACCGAGATCAGAGACCAGCAGAGGCTAACATACGTATGGTCGTTTTTGAGACTCATGTATGCCCACCAGTCGTTTGAATTGATCAGGGTATAATTGTCTTTCTGAAGTTGAACAGGATCTGACTCTCCATATTGCCAGTGTTGAATAACGATGTCTTTGTTAATGGTAAGGTTATCTGATGGCTCGTTGGTTCCCCAAATTCTGATACGTTTGCCTGATGTTGACTTCACGAAGTCGGACATGGTGTTGACGAAGTTGATGTAATCGTCAGCCAACTTGGAGTCGTATTCATCTGCGCCGATGTGGACTTCTTTGGTCTGGAACCATGGTAGAAATTCGGCCCAAATGGATTTGATCGTTGGGATCGCGTCGGGATGCGTGAGATTCAATAGGTCTTTCTTGGGGAGCGCGAGTTCGGGTTTCCACTTGGTCACGGCAAGGCAATGTCCTGGAGCCTCGATTTCAGGAATGACAGTGACTCCTCTCTGAGCGCAATGCTTTTGAAAATCCTCAAAATCCGCCCTCGACAACGTCTCGTTGGGACGTTGGATAAGACCGCGAAGCTCCGTATTATTTTCAGGGTTCAACGAGAAATGAGAAAAAACTTGGTTCCACGTCTCATTGTGTCCACGGTTCAAGGGATAGTTGTCGCTGGAGTGATAATGGAACTCTGACATCTTGAAGAACGATGCATACGTGCAAAGTTCTTTCAGGAAGCCTGCCGTATACCACTTACGCCCTGCATCTAGCATGTATCCGCGCGTTGCATACGCGGGTGAGTCCACTACGCGTCCTGGAGGAATAGGCGATCCATTCGCGATGGACAGCTTTTGAAGCAGGGTTCGTGTGCCCCAAAACATGCCGCGCGCCCCTGTGCCGCCAATGGTTGCAAGCCCGTTGCTGATCTCCAACTCATAGGCTTCTTCAGTAGGCTCCCCGTTTTCATACGTTGGAGCGCTGGCATTGCTTCGAAATGCGCGGAGGAAAATGCCCTTACTTGGTGATGAATCGACGGTCTTCAGCTCCCAATTACCCCCGAAAACTTGGGCCAGATCTTGGCGGAAGGTGTCGGCAAACTCGTATGCGGTGGGCGGTATTAGGGTCAGGCCATTCTTGTCGGTAACGTTTGCGAAGTCCCTCTGGATGTATATTGTCGTCGGCAGATCAGCCGGAGCGAGCCCGCGACCATAGGCAGTGTTGTTGGCACTGATCCATTCTACCGGCGGGAGGGTCTGCAGAGCTGCTGCTGCTACGCTTGTCGATGCACACAGGAATCTCCACAACATTTTGGGGATGTTCGGAGGAACAGTCAGCAGCAGAGAATTACATGCGACGGCGATGTCCTAGGTTTTGTAGGCACATGACGCAGGGTGGCAGCCTGGCAGGGTCCCTATCGTATTGACTTCGGGGATCAGCACGGTTGACCAGGATACGAGCCGTCATTATCATTCGTTAGGCGTCTTGTTTTCCCCGCAAGCTGACTGTTGGCAATGTAACCTGAGAGCTGTGGCCAAGTCTGAGTGCGTGCACATTGCCTCGGACGAGGCACATTCTTCGTCCTCGAGTCCTCTTCACCAATGACGTCGTGCTTGCAAGATCCGAATTCCAGATCCACGCCGAGGAGGTAGGTGGCTGTGAGCGAGCACGACGGTCAAAGTGCCCTAGACAGCGGCAGGTATACACGGTTTCCTTCAATTGGTTTCTCGGAATAAGAGAGTTATGCTCTGACAAGAATATACACGAGAGGGTTCATGGAGAAACTAAAATACCGTTGGTAGTTGGGACGGAAGACGAAGGCATTCCGATTTGTGAGCGAGCGGCGGGCCAGGGGAAAGTGGGCTCGGTTGGCGCAGGTACGGCGCTAAGCCTATTATTGATGGCGACGGCGCTAACCTCTTCTCGGACTTGCCCCTCTTCTCCCTCTCCCTCTCCTCCTCCTCATGCGACTGTAGAGAACATCCCTCACAGGTCATTGCATGTACCGTGAGAATGGCTGCAATCCGTTCACAGTTGAAAAAAACCGATGTCAGGTCTCATATCGCAAGCATTTGTCTCGTACAATTTGATCATGTTGTGAGTTGCTTCGATGAGATATCTATCGCAATATAAAATCACCGTTACCCATGGCAAGCAGACGTCACTCACTGCAGGCTATGCATATCCATAGAGCAAGATCCGCGGGAACCATGCGCAGCTACCTTGATAGGTACATGTCGGTACGCATCCCACATGTATAAGTACTGTAGAGTTGCGCATTCAAGAGGCAGCCCGCACCCTAGAGCCGTCGTCCCCCTTCAATACCTACATACCTAGGTACACATATGTATCCTTCAATATTCACATGATCCCACATTCACACTTTAACCTTAATTCAGCTACTCTTTTTGCATCAAGAATCCATTGGTTACCTCTTAAATGCGCAAGAGCTTGGTTTACATCGAGTCTGTAGTCCATCTCATCTACGCTTTCGTCTGGGTGAATTGACAGTGGCCTTCTTTGGTTGAAGCTCGAATTGATATTCATATCATCACCATTGTTTGCAAAGTTCCAAGGCTATATCCATCATGCACGGACTCATTGCCTTCATCATTGGTCTCGCAGGCTCTGCACTGGCAACCCCAACTCCCCTCAGTGCGCGCGACGCCCAATCCTACCCCAACGTTACCTACCCAGGCCAGAAAGGAGAAGACTATGACTACACTGGGTTTGACTCCAATCAGACTCGCCGTGTCGAAGCCGTAGTCGAGATGTTCCGCTTTTCTTGGAATGGATACTACGAATACGCTTTTCCAAATGATGATCTACAGCCAGTCAACAATAGCTTTGCCAACACACGGAACGGATGGGGCGCCACTGCTATCGATGCATTGAGTACAGCTATCATCATGCAGCAAACGGACATAGTGAATCAGATCTTGGATTTCGTGCCCACAATAGACTTCACCAAGACCGGCGCAGATACTCGGCCAGGAGCATCGGAAGATGTGAGTTTGTTCGAGACAACTATCAGATACATCGGAGGTTTACTATCCGGATATGATTTGCTCAAAGGACCGTTTGATCATCTGGATGTCGACAAAGATAAAGTCGATGCATTGCTTACTCAGTGCGCTGTATTGGGTACGTTGCTTCCCCAATCCAGATTCGTCATTTGTACTGACTACCATAGCCGATGCTATGAAATTTGCATTCAATACTACAACTGGAATCCCAGCAAACAACATCTACATCAACAATCAAACGTTCGCACCACGTTACCTAATGGAAGACGGCACACGATCTGCAGGACTGGCCGAACTGGGTACTCTAGTTTTGGAATGGCAGCATCTATCTGATCTCACAGGTAATCCGGAATATGGAGAGCTGGCCCAGAAAGCCGAGGATTACTTTCTGCAACCTAGCGAAGAAGTGTTTCCAGGCCTTACTGGCGGCAATTTCAGTATCGAAACCGGGGAGATTCTGGATTCATGGGGTGGGTGGACGTCGGGTAACGACTCTGCTTATGAGGTATGTGTAGATCTTTTCAAACGATTTCTGGCAGGCAGTCACATGTACAATGGCTTGCCTCGACCTTCACTTGTACATATTCTGACATCTCCCAGTATCTCATCAAGATGTACGCATACGACCCTGAAAAATACGCACTCTACGCCGAACGCTTCACTCTAGCCGCAGACTCCACAATCGCCCACCTCCTATCATCCCCATCTTCCAGACCAGATCTCACAGCCGCAGGTTCCTTCGCCGGCACTCAACCTCAAAATTACTCGGAACAACTCGCTTGCTTCATCGGCGGATCCTTCATCCTCGGAAGCACTATCCTCTCCAAACCCTCGTACCTAGAATCGGGTCTCGACTTCGCTGAATTCTGTGCAAACGGTTACCGCTATTCGCCCTCTGGGATTGGCCCTGTAATCTACAGCTGGAACACCACCGAATTAGCCCAGCCCCAATTTGCCAACCAAACCTCGCTCTACAACAAAGCTGGTTGGTTCATCAACGACAACACTGCTTTCGGAGGCGGCCTGACACCCGAGGCCGTTGAATCCTGGTACTACGCCTACCAAGTGACCGGAAACCAGTATTGGCGCGACGTGGCGTGGGAGCTAACCCTCGCGCAAAACCGCACCGAGCGCGTGGGCTCCGGGTTCTCGTCGCTGCGGAATGTGCTTGCGGTTGATGGAGGGGGGTGGCAGAATCGGATGCAGAGTTTCTTTTTGGCCGAGGTGCTGAAGTATCAATATTTGATTCAGGCGCCCGAGGAGTTGAAGGGAGAGTGGGATGTTGAGTTCGCGCCCAACGGGGTTGGCGAGGGCGGGAATGTCAATCCTTGGATTTATAATACTGAAGCGCATCCTTTCAAGGTTAGGGCGCAGAATCCTGTGTAGGAATTTTGATGGATCGAAGATTATGGAAGAGCTGGATGTTGTGGAAATGACTGTCATGTTTTTGGATAGGTGTAGCACTAATCTCGGTCGCCCCTCCGTACGGACACGATATTCTAGACAGCACTGAATAAAGAGGGATTCCATCATTACGAGCTCTCTCCATCTAGATTCAGATGCTGTTCACTATCTGTGGAGCTTTCTCTGCCTCCCCATTACAGCATGCCGTTCTACTACTCGTTACGGCCCCCCGACACAGCCCGATTGATGGAGCGTGCGTGATTTTATTGAAAGATCGATAATTGTAATTGATATCTTGCTTTTCACTACAATTCATCTACATTACCCCAGATATGTGCAGATGGAAAGGTGTAGCAAGATACAGTGAAATCGTTGTAGGATAGCCACCATTTGTATGAGCACGATACGTAAAGACAATACTACAATCAGATGAAGGGTATAGATACTAAAAGTGACGTAACAGTTGATGGAAAATAGAGTAGTGATGGGCTCGTGCGCTGGTTGACAGCAAACTCACTCGACTCACTTAACGCATTTGACTCACTTTAGGTGAAGGTGAGTACGGTGACTTTGCTCTTTTGTTGCTTTCACATTCCTCATCATTTTACCTTTTCAATTTAATTTTTAGCTCTATCACTACACATCACCTGAACAACTCAATTCACATCCAAGAATCTCTATCAAAATCACCAATCACCACAAACAATGTCTTCCTCGAACCCAACCGACCAATCCGTCACAGACGCCGTCAACGCAATCGTCACCCTATATAACGTCGGCAACAAAGAAGAATGCATCCGCCGGGCCGAAATCCTTCTCGCCTCTCCCCTCCTCGCCCATCTCCAATTCCACATTCTGGTGGTCCTGGCTTCGGCCACTAAGGACGTTAAAAGAGCCAACGCGTACTGCGTTGAAGCGGAGTCACTTTGGCTCGAGCTGCCTGAATGGCACTCGCAGAGGGGCGATCTGGAGATTAGTCGGGTGTTGGAGGAGCTTCGGGGAATTTTGGATGGGCTCAAGTTGAGCCTTGAACAGGAGGCGAAGAACAGACCTGACTACCCTGCTTGCATGGATCAGATGAAGGGTTTGACGGTATGTACCTTGCTGTCTTCAATGTCAAGTACTATTCATACTAACTACTATAGCTGGTTGCCGTGGAACCGTCAGACCCCATTGCCGACGCCATGGATACCCATATGATCGACGAAGAAAATTGAAAGGAATGCTGGACACTGCGGAGGAATATCAGCGCACGGGAGAGGGATTATAATTGTGTTTGTTAGACTGGTCAGAAGTGATATACCCAAATATGATAGATTAACACTCTCTATGAATCTTTGTTCTTCCCCGCCCACGTCCGTAGAAATACATTCGGCGGCTTACTCCAATCTTTGAACTCGTCATCAACCTCATAAAAAATATCCCCATTCCCCTCATCCGAAAACCCCAATTTCTTATACGCTCCCCTCCCCATACTCGACCCCTCCGTCGTGCACTCCAACCCGCCCCTCTTCTCCGCCTCCTCAAGCCCCCACCTAACAAGCTTCTGCGCAATCCCCCTCCGCTGAAACTCCGGATCCACACAGCACATATCGAGCACGAAAATCGCCGGCGGGTCCGCCTTGAACTCAGCTTTCTCCTTCACATACGCAATCCGCCTCTTCCAAAGCGACGCAAACATCTGTTTTGCATAACGCTGCTGCTGCTCCGGAAGGTCCTTCGCGCTCGGCGGGAGCGTATCACTAGGCGGGTCTCCATAGCCGTCGACAAACGAGCATTGCTGCCAGATAGCCATTCCGGCTATACGCGATTTCGTGGGATCAGATGGATCTGGAACAGTGGCTTTGAGAAATACGGTGTTGGGCTTCCCGTCCTTGTTCTGTTTGATGGCATTGAAGCGGCCTGTTAGTTCGGCGGCTCCCGTGGCTTGTCCTTCTGGGGTGTCGAATTTGGGATTGAGGGAGAGCCAGACGCCATCTTGGGCTTGTCGTCCGAAGGATTCGCCGATGCAGTTGAAGATTGCTGGGAAGTCTGAGGGAGACGTTACGACTGAGATCTGGGGTTCGGCCATGGTTTTGGATTGAGGTTTGAGTCAAGTGATGATGATGGAAGAAGATGGAGGAGAAGGAACGAGGGCGAGGGGAGCGTGGGGTATTAGAGAATGTGGGGTGAGATTGGAGAGACTACTTATATTTAGTCGTATGGAGTAGGAGTGGAGCGTGGTGTCATTGAATATGCTTCTAGATGGTTGATTTTACATAAGCTTATGGTCTTTCAGGATTTGTGATGCATCACTGCCAATGACATAGGCTTGGCCAACGTTTAGTCTTGCTTATAAGAAGAAAGAGGAATTATCGCTTCTTGGCTAACCGCGAAGACCGAGCCTACCGTGCTGATGTTACGTGTACTGAGTGGTAAAGTGGGAGGTGGGGAAAAAAGACTGAGAACGTTGGTAGCTGTGGCTAGTACTGTGGCGGTGCACCCAAACAATCAATTCAATTAACGCGTCCTGGGATGGCACGGGCCCTAACACGGAAAGCGCGACGGCGCGTTCTGACATCAATTCATTCCTCGCATTTATTACTCGACCTTTTTGTGTACCTCACGCTTCAACCGTGATACAGTTTGATCTTCTTTTTTCTCGCCTCACCCGCACCAGATTGCTTGTACGAATCTAGACAAGATGCCTGGCGCAGTATCCAACGCCCCACACAAGCGTGTGCTTTCAGAAGCCAGCAGCACTCGCGCCAATGTGCAGGCGTCGCCCCGTTCCGCGAAGAAGCTCAAACTCGACGATGGTAGCATGAAAAATGGCCGGGCCCCCGTTCGATCGGCCAATGTGTCTTTCAACAGCAGCCAGCCGCAGAAGAGTCGGTTCGAGGAGGAGGTGTTGGAGCAGATGTCCCAGGACATTGAGACGTTGAAGCACACAAACTCGGAGAAGGACCAACAATGGAGTCGGCCGTCGTTGCCAGCCGATTTCGATGAGACTACACACAAATTGGTATTTCAGAATATCGAAGCTGAGGAAGGCGTTCTCAATGGTGGGAAGGCTACCGTGAAGCTGTTTGGTGTAACAGAGGTGAGTTCTGACTTCATTCATATCATCTAATTGCTTGATGACTGACGGTTTATTCGTATAGGATGGACATTCTATCATGCTACACGTTACCGGTTTCCTACACTACTTCTACATCGCCGCACCCATGGGCTTTCAAGCAAGCGATTGCAATGCGTACAAGAACTACCTCGAAGCCCAGTGCCAAAAGAGTTTCAACTCCCATTCCGCTGTTATACATTCTGTACAGATGACGATGAGGGAGAATATTCTGCGCTTTCAGGGAAACCAGAAGAGTCCATACCTCAAAATCACCGTGAACGACCCCAAGTTCATTGCGCGCGTGCGGAGACTCGTACAAGGGAAGGAGGCCAACTGGAAAGGAATGTGGCCTGACGTCGAGGGTGGAATTCTCACATTCGATAACATCATATATGTATTGCGTTTTATGATTGACACAAAGGTATGTGATACTTCGCAGAACATGGAACCTTTGCTAACAGTACCAGATCTCGGGCATGTCTTGGGTCGAGGCTCCAGCCAGCAAATGGAAGCTAATACATCCGTCTGAGCGCCATTCCAATTGTCAAATCGAAGCTCAGATGCACTATTCGGATCTGATTGCGCATCCTTCTGATGGGGAATGGGCCAAAATCGCCCCTCTTCGTGTGCTGTCCATGGATATCGAGTGCGCTGGTCGCAAAGGTGTCTTTCCTGAGGCGGAAGTCGATCCCGTCATTCAGATTGCGAATGTTGTCACTCGCTACGGAGAGGATAAACCATTCATTCGCAACGTGTTTTGCTTGGATACCGTCAATCCCATCGCCGCCACCCAGATTCTCTCCTTTCGCAACGAGCGGGATATGTTGTTGAAGTGGCGTGATTTCCTCCAAGAGGTCGACCCGGATGTCATAATCGGGTACAATACTTCGAACTTTGATTTTCCATACCTTCTCGACCGTGCTAAGCACCTCAAAGCCACCGGCTTCAATTACTGGACTCGTTTAAAGAATCAGGTCACCTCGCATGAGAGCTCCAAGTTCTCGAGCAAGCAGCTGGGCAGCCGTGACACGAAGAACACCAACACCAACGGTCGTCTGCAACTGGACTTACTACAACTTGTCCAACGTGACTACCAACTCCGAAGTTATACCCTCAATTCAGTGTGCGCTCACTTTTTGAAAGAGCAGAAGGAAGATGTTCACCACAGCATGATTACTGAACTATACAATGGCGACGCTAATTCGAGACGAAGGTTGGCAGTTTATTGTTTGAAGGATGCTTATCTGCCGCAGCGGCTGCTAGATAAACTCATGTGTCTGGTCAACTACACTGAAATGGCCAGGGTCACAGGTGTCCCCTTTAGCTACCTCCTCAGTCGAGGTCAGCAGGTTCGATTCATCAGTCAGCTTTTTCGAAAGGCTCGTGAGCACCAGCTGCTCATTCCCGACATACCGAACCAAGGTGGCAGTGAAGATCAATACGAAGGTGCCACCGTCATCGAGCCCCACCGCGGATACTACAAGATGCCTATCGCAACCCTCGATTTTGCTTCGCTGTATCCCAGTATCATGCAAGCACACAATCTGTGCTACACAACTTGGCTTACCCGCGACACTGTCGAGAAACTCAAGATGAAGAAAGATGAGGATTACATTGTGACACCGAACGGCGATCTCTTTTGCACCGCTAAGGTTCGCAAGGGGCTTCTCACCGAAATTCTCGAAGAGCTGTTGGGCGCACGTAAAAGGGCAAAAAAGGACCTGGCAACCGAGACTGACCCTTTCAAGAAGGCCGTGTTCAATGGCCGACAACTGGCGTTGAAAGTCAGCGCCAATTCCGTATACGGTCTGACGGGTGCCACTACTGGTAAATTGCCTTGTCTTGCTATCGCCAGTAGCACAACGAGTTTCGGTCGTCAGATGATTGAAAAAACGAAAGCAGAGGTGGAAGCCAAATATAACATCAAGAATGGATATAGCCACGACGCAGAAGTCATATATGGTGATACGGATTCCGTCATGGTGAAATTTGGCACCGAGGATCTAGCAGAGGCAATGAAGCTAGGCGAAGAAGCTGCCGATTACGTTTCAGGGAAGTTCATCAGACCCATCAAACTTGAGTTCGAGAAGGTCTACTATCCATACCTTTTAATCAACAAGAAGCGCTATGCTGGCTTGTTCTGGACGAATCCAAACAAGTGGGACAAGATGGACACCAAGGGTATCGAGACCGTACGTCGTGACAACTGCCGCCTTGTTCAGACCGTCATTGAAACCTCGCTCCGCATGCTACTGATCGATAAGGACCCCGAGGGGGCACAAGAGTAAGTACCATTCTGGTGGTTGATCGAACAGAACTAATTCAACGCAGATTTGTGAAAGATACAATCTCCGATCTCCTACAGAACAAGATCGATATGTCCAATTTGGTGATTACAAAGGCATTGACGAAGCAAGAGAAAGAAGACGGCACTGGCGGGTATGCCAACAAGCAGGCACACGTCGAGCTTGCCGAGCGCATGAAGAAACGCGATGCAGGATCTGCGCCTGCCCTGGGAGACCGGGTTGCCTATGTCATGGTTAAAGGTGCCACTGGCGCCAAAAGCTACGAGAAATCAGAAGATCCCATCTTCGTTCTGGAGCACAACCTACCCATCGACACCAAGTACTATCTGGACAACCAGCTGGCAAAACCGCTTGGTCGTATCTTCGAACCTGTCATCGGCGAGAAGAAAGCAAGCTCCCTTCTCACGGGTCAGCACACGCGCACCATTTCCGTGGCGGCGCCCACCATGGGCGGATTGATGAAGTTCGCCAAGAAGACGGCCACCTGCATGGGCTGCAAGAAGCCTCTGACCAGTGCTGTTGAGAAGGACGGTGCTGTGTGCGAGAACTGCCGTCCTCGTATTGGCGAGCTGTACCAAAAGACATTGACCAAAGTCAGCGAGCTTGAAGTGCGCTTCAACAGACTTTGGACGCAGTGCCAGCGGTGCCAGGGTAGTCTGCATTGCGAGGTTATATGTGCGAGTCGGGATTGTCCCATTTTCTACATGCGTATGAAAGCGAGGAAAGATGTGGAGGACGCAGGAAAAGAGATGATCAGGTTCGACAATGATGCCGCGCTGTGGTAAAACATAGTAAATGAATGAATCGGCGGGCACTGGATGCAGAATGGTATTGATATTGCTTAATATCCTCGGGAACCAGACGTGTTGTTTCCATGGACGCCCAGTTTCTGAATTCGGCGTGGCATGATCTTCCATAACTCTATAGTGTTGAATATCATGTACATCTGTATAAGTGCAAATATCTATGTTCATCTGTGTATTTCTTCGTCTTCCTACTTTGAAAATTTTCATGGGAATCACACATTCCGAACACGAGTCTCGTCAGTTATCAGTTAGGTTTCACTCCGGCTCGAAGTAACATCGGCATAGATAATTGTCTATCGACATAATTGCTTCGTGTAGCTACGTTGATTCAATATACACTCTTACAGGCTAGAATATGGTATCAACTGAACGGTACAACACTCATTGTTGCTATATATCGTGAGCTTGAACATGGCACCACCAATCATTCGTAAATGCCATTACCACGAGATGCCAGTATCAATTACTGCCTCATGAAAAGACACAAATCCACCTCAACCAAGCATCATACATCACTGACGCGGTATTGCCCGCTAAAAGTCTGCTTCACCCAGAAAGTAGCACCTAAGTCTTCTTCACCCTCACTATAGACTTACGGTGAGCTCTCAGCGAATCAGGAAGCTACGTGAAGTACTCACTGTTTGCCAAGACCGCTTAGCACGTGATCGTAGGCGGTGGTCATAAAAGTTGTCTCGCCGCTCGCCCTCCTCTCTTCTTTCCTCTCCAACAGACTCTAACAAGGTGACAGGACATCAAGAGCTTCCCGCCTGCCACATGCCTCCAATGGCAAACAACCCCAAAGATCCCCGGGGATCTTCCAACGACAACAACAATCAACACCATCCGTCACCTCCACCCTCTCCGCCTCCACCATCCCTTCCCCCAAAACCACCAACTTCTGCCCTCCCTCCCCCTCCCTCTCCACAGTCTGCGCCATCCACGCACTATCCGGCGTACTATCCGGCGTACTATCCGGCGCACTATCCGGCGTTTGGGTACCAGCACCCTCAAGGGGTGCTCACGTACCCTCAAAACTACTACCAGTACCAGGCTCCACCGCCACAACCACCACCTGCCCAGTTCCCGCAGGTGCCTGTTGGGCAGCCAAGGCGAGATAACAGGACGAAATACGCTGAGTAAGATCTATGAAGTATTTGCAACGCATAGATAACTGACAAGAACAGTGTCGGCGCTCCTCTCCCCACCAATCCACGTACTTCTCGTCAGCCAAATCCTCTCCCGCGCAATCCAGTACTCCCAGCCAAGCCACCTGGACCTCTCCCGGCAAGCCCTACTTCAAACTCCCTAGAGCCTGCGGATGATGCTAGCAAGACCATGGACGATTCCAAACCTGCAGAAGGTGCTAACAAGGCCACGGAGAATCCAGACAAGTCTGCAGCCGACAAAAAAAAGGAAGCTAAGAAGGAGGCTCCGAAAAAGCAAGAGTAAGAGAACATGCTAAGTACATTGTAACAAATCTGACCGATGAATAGAGCTCCGATTCCTACTTGGGTCCTCTCTGAGCCGAAGCGAATTCATAACTATAATTGGATGCGACCTGGACTTCTAAGTTACTTGTACAAGATCGAAATCCGCACTTTGAAGCCGACTAAAATACAGGTGACCTCCGATGGAGGCTTCACTGAAGTCGTCTCATACAGCATCCAAATCGACGGTTCTATCATGGTTCCCGGTTAGTATACCACAAACCGTTCAAGATGACGCGATCTAATAAGAACAGGCGGTCCCCCACAGTTGACCTCGCATCAATTGCCTTTTGTTTTGCCCCCCGATTCTGAACCCCAGGTTCTTGACTGGAATAGTCGAATTTCGCCGAAGTTCCCGTTTGAGCCATTGTTACGGGCTGCAAAGGCCATGAATCCTCGCTTCAACCTGAACAATGTGAGCATGGTTCTGGATCGTAAAACCCTCACGAAGATTCTTGACTGCGTCACTCTTCGGAGACACCCAGAGTTCAGGATCGACATAATGGCAAAGGAAGATACGGTCTTCTTGTTCCGACGAGAAGAGCGTGCTTTCATGCCTATCAGCCAGGTGCACAATCCGGTGTACACGCAAAACTTCATCAAAAACATCACTGTGCCACAGCCTGGCCTCGAAAACTCCTGCAGCCACTATCGCGGTATTCGATACTTTCTCGGTGACTTGAACCTGCTTGTTCGATTTAGTGTCGACGCTTGTTACGAGGATTCTTCTCAAGCCGTGCAAGCTTCTGACACTGCTCCTACCAACTTCTCTGACGCTGCTCAAGCGCCTGCAACGTCTTCTAATCTGTCGAGTGCTCCTTATATCCACCCCGATGGTGCCATATACGTGCGTCTCCGCGGTAGACCAGTCAACTCTTCCACACTGGCCGAGTGTCAAGCCACGAAGAAACACGCAGTTGGGAAGCGATTGCCAAAGCTGTGGTTCAGTCGAACTGCATGGACAATTAATGGACAACAAGAATTGGGTGTGTTCAAAGACGTTCAGAAAGTGAATGTGACCGACAAGTTCAAGGACTGGGAGGAAAGCCATCAGCTCGAACTGCAGAAGCTCCTTGCCGTCCTCAAGGAGGCGAGGTCCATCGCGATGAGTCACCCGGGTGAGACTCTGGCTCTGGTGTCTGGAGTGGACGGTCACCTCCAGATCTTCAGGACTGATGAGAATAGAGCTGCATTGCCTAATGACCTGGTCGAGAAACTTTGGAACTGGGGTGAGTAGACGGTCTGGCAGCGATATCGCATGCTCAATACATATGAATACACGGGTGGTATTGGCGGAATTGGGCAGCTGAGGATCCCTGACGTTTGACGATACAATGGACATTGCTATGATTGGCTTCTAGGATAGCAATGATGAATACGATTGTTCATAGTCCGCATAGATTCCTTCTCCTACCATGGTTCATGGAGAAATGTGACACGTGCTTTCATCACTGCATGGTAGCGCAGGGGATTCCCACGCGACCCGGGGATCCTCCCGCTCAGGCGTTCCACCACGCCAAAAACCACGCTAAAACCCGCATCGATTCTGATACAAAGCCACCGCAGCCACTAACATCCACGTCCGCGATCAAGGTTACTTTCGGGAATTATGGTTTTGTCTAGATCGGGCTCTCCGGCATAATTCTGAGGTTCGCTACTCTAACTGTCCGTTTGACATCCAACCCCGAACTGCGTGGCAACACAGGGATCTGTACGCATACGTCGCACCGCCTCTTAAAGAAATGCGTCCGCCCCTACCGCAGCTCGAAAAGTAGGCCGGGTCTTTGTTTCTGGAAAATCGATCCGAAGTTCTCTCTTTTTCTTCGTGGACTGGTGGTCCTTTTCAACAATGTTTGCGCAGCAGGCTACGGAGTCGAAATCCTCGGAAACCCTCTCCAACACCCTACTTGGCATCACATGGACACTGTTCGGCATCGCAACCATCAGTTTCGGCGCGCGGCTCTATCTGCGATGGAAGCGCTTTGGACGCCTGTTTTGGGATGATCTCTTCGTCTTCTTGGCGTGGGTCTTCTGCGTGCTGTTGGGGGTGCAGGTTGTGCTGTCGCTGCGCAGCGCGGATCAGAAAACCACGACGGCCAACAAGCACGATTCGCTCTTCATCAGTAGACCCATCGTTCAGTTGTGCTTCTACTCCTCAGTTTGGAGTATCAAGGTCTCGTTCCTGCTCTTCTTCCGCCGTCTGATCGGCGTCGTGTTGAGACGCGTTAGAATCTATTGGGTAATCACTCGTTCCCTAAATATGGTGATCATGGATAGAGTCGCTGACTTTTGCTATGGAACTGTGTGTTTATCTTCGTCCTTGCCAGCTTTTTGTTGACGTGGGCCTTCAACCCGTATCACTGCTGGGCAACAAAAGGGATAATAGCTTGCAACGGAGACCCACTGGGAGAGAAGCTGGTTCTCATCACATTCCCACTCGCTGCAATGCTCGACATCTTGACTGATCTTCTGAGTAAGTCCCAGACAATCCCTCGCAACAATCATTATGCAAGCAAACGAGTTCTAATATGCAGTATAGTCATGGCGATTCCATACATGATCCTGAGACATGTCCGCCTGTCCACGAAGCAAAAGCTCGTCTTGTACTCTTTGTTCTCCCTAGTAATCATCACCATCGGGGTGGCCTTAACGCGGGTGATCGTCTCCATGAAAGCTCGGCGCCAGGGAGGCCTAACAGTATCACTCCTGGTATTCCTAGCCGATGCCGAAGCAGCCACAGGTCAGGCCACCTCTACGCCCTTCCCTTTCCACACACATCAACATCTTCTCTAACATCCCACACAGCACTCTTCGTAGCCTGCATCGGCAGCTTTCGCACGCTCTTTACCCAAGCCGACACACTGACCCCGTACGGATCCCGCAACAACCAAACGCCAAAGGCCAAACCGCAGAATCTGGGGAAACAGAGGAGTACAGGATATAGCTCGAATAGGAATGAATCGAGCGAGGCGATTGTGAATGCGACTGAGCTGAGGGATATGCCGCCGCAGTCTCCGCAGACGCCATCGGCTTTTTATATGAAGCTCGAGTTGCCGGGGCTGGGTAAGACGTGAGGTCGCGACGTTGGATGAAGAGAACAGAAGTTATAGGAAACTCGAGGATTTGGAGGACGAAGATCGTATGGCGTACTGTCAGTGCGGGCAATTCGACGTAGCGACGAGGTCGCTGTCTCGACCGAAGTCACGGTCGAACGGACTCGAACCCCCTTCGCGACCTCGCGATCTTGGACCAATCCATGAGACATCACCGGCGACACTTGATCTCGGTACTTGTGTGATGAAGGCCATCGCGATCAATGAGATCCTACTCAAACACAAGTTACGAAGGAGAGACAACAGGGTTACACATGGATCCGAGGTGGTATACATATTCCGTGATCATCTCCGGAATAGACTCGTCAAAGGACGACAAAACACCACAAGCCATCACTCAGTCACTAGAAGAAATTTCTCCGATAGACGATTTTCCATCGCAGCACCGTTGTCAAGGAGCATTCATCCCTTCCGTGCAAGGGCGATGGCTAGAGAACTGTATGAGTACGCACAGGATGAGGATTTACAATGCCATTCACGACAATGATGTTTTTATGGTGGCGCGCACAAGCATCGCACCTGGAGTGCGAGATGCCGGAATGTCGGGGTTTTCCAACATTATATTGTTATTTTAGTTTTTAGTTATCGGCAGCCTGGTGCTGTGCAGTTGAGTATCGTTGCTGGATCAGTCAAATACAAATATATTCGCATGCGCTATGGTTCACAGTCATTATGATTCTTTGCTTAGTATACGAAATGGACATGGAAATCAGTGCGCTCTAATCCGAGTTGCTCTATTCCAACCAGTCGTATTCGGATTTTGGGATATGCAGGTGCTCTGATGTAACCTCACTGACATCGCTCCGCGCACGTTCTAGAACTATAATTTCTTGTTCTGTGGCAGCGGTACTCGGTGTAGGCTTACACACCGAATGAAATTACCCACATTTTAGTCTGCGCGTGTATCCCGCTCAATCATGCGCTAACACTCAACCTCGGCTGGTTTCTGTTGTTGCGCCTGTGATAACTCAATCACTTGTGCTCCTCCAGGAACATCTCATCGCCTCGTGTGCCACTGCACAGTGGATCAACGTACATTAGCGGTCAAGGGCGTGTGGATGAGCACACCGGCAGTTGCTCGTAATTATGACGTACGGTCAACGAGTCGGGGCGAAATGTGGGGGGCAGGGAAGCTGACTCGCACGGAAGATGGGATAGGAATTGGAGGTGCCCAGGGTGGCACGCGAAGCCGGGTGGCTGGTTTCTTGGATCTTGATCATTGGGATGGGTATGTTTATGTTCCTGAACGGTTAGTTGGAGGGTTTTGGAGACCCTGACCAGGTGTCGCTCTCTTCTCAATGGCGTTCCCGTCATCGTGATAATTCCCAGGCTATGCCGGCGATGAATCATGCCTTCTTCCTTTGCTTCTTTTGCGCCAAGATAAAACTGCGAACTTGTTCGCACGGAGGATTTCTCGGAGACCGTGATGAATGGAGTCAAGAACAATAAGAGCAGAACATCGAAATCAACACCGAAAAAGAATATCCCCCGCACGATACTCCACACTGGGGATACCCGATTGGTCTCCACCGCGTGAACAATGCGGAGACGACGTTTAACCGGCGTAATACCGTATGCATTACCTGGTCGCCACATCTCTCCCCGCATTCTTCCACTATTCGACAAGCTTAATACTGTCATATACCTGGATGCTTATTCCAAGACCACGAATCGGGGTAGTGTTGAATACAATGAGCATAGACCAAGCACGCTACAGACGTCACCGTAAGCACAGTCTACAACTGACAATTGCCGACAGTTATGAGCCGTTACCCCCATGGGCATTCCCCAATCGCCAAACCAATCTCGTAGTACCATCGATCAGAATGAGGATCCCAAGGCCGTGATCTTGGCACAACCGGGGCGGGCTGTTCGGCATGATGGATTCAACGACGAGCACTATCCTTGCCGTTCTCTTCTGAGGAACGGGCGACCGGTTTTTCTATCAAAGCGGGACGGGGCCATTCTTGCGTTGATCGTCAAAAAGTACATAAAGCTACTCGTGGTGCATTTGTTGGGTCGGTATCTGGAATCAGTTACCAGTCTCGCTTTATTCTCTATTCAGCGACGGGATTCAAGATGGTACTTTCTATTGCTTTGGCATCGTTGGCGCTTGCTGCTACTTCCAATGCTCAATTTGGAATCAAGCATACGCAATATGAGACAAGTCCGCCTGTGTATCCATCACGTAAGCAACCTTGTTCCGACGATATCGCATTGGCGATGGGTAGTGATTGAAATGATATACTAATGTTTTCCATCAGCGAACATCACTGGCATCGGAGGATGGGAAGCAGCACTAGAAAAGGCAAGAGGTTTCCTCGCGGAGCTCTCATTGGAAGAGAAGTCGCAAATGGTCACTGGTACACCTGGCCCATGTGTCGGCAACCTTGCACCGATTCCTCGACTCAACTTCACTGGAATCTGTTTGCAAGATGGACCTCTATCGATTCGACAATCGATTTACTCGAGCGTTTTCCCAGCTCAGCTCAGTGTAGCTGCATCTTGGGACCGCAAGATGACCCACGCCCGCGGTCTACAGATTGCTGAAGAGTTCAAGGGCAAAGGCGCTCATGTAATCTTGGGTCCTGTAGTCGGCGGACTGGGTCGGACTCCCTACGGTATGTTTCTTAGGTCTGAATTATAAACACAACCCAATTGGAGGTTTTGGAACTTCAATGGATCATTCAATCACTTTCAATGGACTTTTACTAACACCCAATAGGAGGTCGCAACTGGGAGGCTTTCTCTCCAGACGCCTACCTCTCTGGTGTTCTCGTGGAGGAGACCATTCATGGAATGCAGTCGACCGGCGTGCAGGCTTGTACTAAGCATTTCATCGGGAACGAACAGGAGATCATGCGAAACCCTACCAAAGTCGACGGGCAAACTGTCGAAGCTCTGTCTGCTAATATCGACGATAAGACCATGCACGAGACATATCTTTGGCCTGTAAGTGTACACTGCACACAAAATCGCATGATGAGATACGGAATCGGATGGCAATTTTCGAACACATTGTAACGACTGCGCTTGAATCGAGCTGACCACGTACTTCGCTATCAGTTTGCCAATGCCCTACACGCAGGCACAACCTCGATCATGTGCTCTTACCAACGGATCAACGGATCATATGGTTGCCAGAACAGCAAGACCCTGAACGGAATACTTAAACAGGAGCTTGGATTTGAGGGATGGGTTGGTAAGCTTCCCTATGGCCACTGTGCATGAGTGCAACATCTCATACATGGACTCTGCTAACTTGCCTCCTTCTTCCAGTGAGTGACTGGATGGCTACACATTCTGGTGTTGCCTCTGTCGAAGCTGGGTTGGACGTCAACATGCCTGGAGGAATCGCATTCACGACGGATCAGCCTTCCTACTGGGGCGCTAACCTCACTACTGCTGTCAACAATGGAACCCTCGATATCAATCGTCTTGACGACATGGTTCTCCGTATCATGACGCCCTACTACTTGCTTAACCAGGACGTTGATTTCCCCAAAGTGGACGGATCTACTGTTCCCATCAGCTTTTTCTCCGAGAAAGACTGGAGGTTCAACTTCACACTCGGTGAAACTGTCGACGTCCGAGCCGACCACCACAAGCTTATCCGCGAGCTTGGCGCGGCTGGTACAGTACTTCTCAAGAACAAGAACAATACTTTGCCTCTCAAGAAGCCGATGAATGTTGGCGTCTTCGGTAACGATGCTGCTGATTTGACTGCTGGTCAATACAGTCTCGGCCAATACTCTCTGCTAGCCGGAGGCGACTACGAAATCGGTACACTTCCCGCGGGGGGAGGATCCGGTGCTGGCCGTTACACCTATGTCGTTTCGCCACTGGAAGCTATCAAGGCGCGCGCGCAATCCTACGGTGCCCTAGTCCAGTATGTCATCGACAACAAACTTCTCGCAACCGGTGCTGCGGGTGTACTCCAACCTGCACTCCCAGATGTCTGCCTCATTTTCTTGAAGACGTGGGCCACTGAAGGCGATGATCGAACCACTCTTATCGCCGACTGGAACTCGACCCTAGTTGTCGAAGAGACTGCCAAATACTGCCCTAGCACTGTTGTTGTTCTCCACGGTGCCGCTCCTAATGTTCTCCCCTGGAAAGACAACGAGAATGTTACGGCTATCATCGCTGCACACATGCCTGGTCAGGAGACTGGAAACTCTATCGTGGACATCCTTTGGGGCGACGTAAATCCTTCCGGGAAGCTTCCCTATACCATCGCCAACAATGAGACCGATTACGATATCGGCGTCGGTACGTATCCATAGATTTCCGAGAAGATCATGAACATCCACTAACCTCGTTTCCTGCATTTAGTCAACAGCACTGAGCTTCTCGCCTCTACCGACCCCAATGCGTGGCAAGATGACTTTACAGAGGGCAACATCATCGACTACAAGGAGTTCGACTCCAAGAACAAGAGCGTCGCCTACGAGTTCGGTTTCGGCCTAAGCTACACCACCTTCGAACTCTCCAACCTTGAAGTCCAGGTCGCCGCCGCAAACGCATCACGTCTTCCCAGCTCGTCCGCCAAAATCTTGCCTGGTGGTAACGAAGAGCTATGGCAAGTTCTTGCCACCGTCTCGGTCACTCTCCAGAACACTGGTGACGTCGCTGGAGCTACAGTACCGCAGCTTTATATCACGCTGCCTGCCGAAGCCGGCGAGACTCAGAACGTGAGGGCGCTTCGCGGCTTTGAGAAAGTGCACCTTGAGGAAGGTGCGGAGTTCAAGGTAGAATTCCAGTTGATGCGCAGGGACTTGTCGTACTGGGATGTGAACGCGCAGCAGTGGAGGTTGCCCGCCAGTGCCATTTCGTTGGATGTTGGGTTCAGCTCTAGGGACCTGAAGCTGAATGGCGAGCTTACTATCTAATGAGTGTATGGTGATGAATAACGATACCTATCTATGTACATAGCAGATGAAATTAATCAACCTTAATGTTCATACTCAAAATGCTCCGACTAAGAGACTATTCCGGACGTGATGAAATACCCGCATGTTGTCCGAGATGATAGATCTCAATGTACAGCATATATCATCGCATTCTGAAAACAGCATGAACATTCGAAATACGAGGGCATCGCGAAGGAGAGTGTCACGTGAGATCACGTGGACTAGCATAATCAACGTCACTTGATTGGATTCCAAGCTTGGATGTATTTTCCAGTGCCAATCAACGGCAGCAGCTCAGTATAATTCTTCAGAAGAGTCATGATCATGTGAAATGTCTTGAATTCGGTCTTCTGATCATGCGAGGTACCTCATTGTCGAAGAAATTCAGAGAACAGAGTCTGCCGTCATGGTCGCTATGTAGATTTGAAAACATGCATTTTTACTGTGTGGCAGTTCTGAGAGTCTAATACCATTGATTTAAACGGAAAATCATGCCAAACGATTGAAAAATGTTGGCTGCTTTGATCTGAGTAGGTGTCGCCCGGGCAAGAATATTTTGCGGCCAGCATCAGTCTGTTTCAGTCAGGCTTTCACCCTCTACCGTGCAATGTGGCAGGCTAAAAAAACAGTGTGTATCGATAGATTAGTTTGAGTGAGCTGTTCCATTCCCCCAAGTGCCCCCAAAATCCGCGTCACGCTTGCAGGCCACAGCATCAAAACCTCCCCCGGCTGCACAAACCTCATCACACTAAATCTGCTGAGACAGAGGACTAGCAGACCCTTATAACTTGCGCCTTGAGTATGATTTATTTGATCAAATCAATGAAAATTTCCCGTGCCCATTCACTATAGGCTGCCTAGACGGAGCGTCCAATCAGGTATATCGATTAGGCTATTCACTCTGGCGTCATTGGCCCACCTCACGACAGCCGTTAGCAAGTGATGGGGACACCCCATCAGACAGTTAGCCCTCTGTCGTCGAGCCTGCGTTTGTATTCTTCCTATTGTCGTTTGGGCTTGGCTCGCTCGACCTCTTGTCCTCATCCCACCGCTACCTTTTCACCTCACTACCTCCATCATCACCATCACCACAACCACCACCCCACCCTCAACCCAAAACCTCTACTTCAATCTTTCCCTCAATTTCACAGCGCGCCCTCTGGCTTCGCTTCTCTTTTTGGGCATCTGTGCACTTGCATTCACATTCTTGTCGCAAGGCGCTCCTCTTCTTATCTTTGATATCGCACGCCCTCCTCGCACAATCCCTCAAAGCCGTGCTCGCCTTCGCACGCCAGTGCCTCAGCCCCACCACCCAGCTTTTATCAGGCTGCCGCACCACATATTCTGGTCTGCAACCTCGATACTATACCTCCTACAGCTCTGTGTCAATTGGGCTGCGCTTATTGCACCCCGCGGCACCTCCATCGCACCTACCGCGTGCCCCACCATCCCTATTCACAAGAAATCACTTTGGTTCGTCATGGCCGATTTCAACAACTTCATTCCTAAGGAGCCCTCGGTCGAATGTACCTCTTCCGAGGAAGACCATGGCAGCGGCTCTAGCCCCGGCACCGAGGCTCAAGGCATGGCAGCTCTGAAGCAGAAAGTTGTCGCCATGGAGCGTGCAGCGAAGCTGTCCGACGAGCGTTTCAAGAAATGGAAAGAAGCCGAGCATCAAGTCAGGCGTTTGACACGAGAGAACAAGCACTACGAGGATGTCATCTCCGGTCAGCAAACCAAGTTCAACTCCGAGAACAAGATGAGGGAAGACAGGCACCAATCAGAGCTCGTCGGAGTCAACGAGTATGTTTGTGATATCCGTCTGGAGCTCGCATCAACCAAGAGGGAGCTCGCCAAGGTCAACCAAGAGCTCAAAACCTTCAAGACATACCACGAAGGGAAGATGAGCACTCTCGCCAACGATTACACCATCAACTTGAATGAGCAGCGCACTCGTAGCGTCGAGCAGGCGAAGGAAGTCAAATGGGCCCATGAAGCGAATAATAAGAGAATGAAGGAAGGATACGAGGCCTCCATCCAGCAACTTCGCCAGCAAGTCTCCGCTGCCCAAGCAAATGCGGGTTCAGCTGCCGCGGCCACGCACACCAAAGAGTTGCAAGCCGTCAAAGCGCAGCACGAAAAGAAGTTCCAATCTCTTTCCGAAGAATACAAGAAGAGCGTCCTGAAAGAACGTGCCGAGAGCGAGAAGAAGTTGGCCCAGACTAAACTGGATCACGATTCTGAGATGCAGAAGATGAGGAAGAAGTTCACCGAGCACCTTCAAAACCTTAGCCAGCAGAACGAGCTCTTTCGTCGCCAACTAGCTCTCAAGGGAGTCATGGTCCCATCTCCAGGACAAATGCTTCATATGAACGGAGCAGGTTCCCCTCAGGTCCCCGGCGTCCCAAACCAGAACGTCGGCAAGAACAATGTCGGCCAGAACAATGTCGGCAAGAACATCATCGGCCAGAACATCGCGGGACATAACAACGTCAGCCAGGGCAAAATCGGCCTGAATCAATCTTTCAGTGCCTCGCCTGTTCAGTTTAGCGGTCAGCAAGTCCCTGGTATGGTTCAGACCCCGTACCTCCAGACTGGCCCCAATACCCTGAAGCGCCAGCGTTCCGACAGCGATGCCCAGGGTCCCCAGAATCCCTCTGTTAGGCAGCGCACCGAGAGCTACGTGCCTGCCAAGGAATCTCCCAAGTTCTCCGGCTCTGCTTCGCCTCGAGTTGTTCAGTCACAGCTCAACGGATCTGCTATGTAAGTCCGCACTATTCTTCTATCGAATGATCCTAGTCCCTGCAGTCAAAAGCTAATACAATTTCTGTAGGCTGAAATCGAACTCGCAAGGACCTCTTCCCTCGACGCCGCAACAGACCCCAGCAACCCCCAACATGTCCACGGATGTGCAGCGAGCCCAGGCTGTCCTGAGCCTACCCCGTAACGAGCAGATAGCAACTATCAAAAATCTTGCCAAGGGGCATGCGCAGCGCATGATCCTCCAGGGTAATCGCGTCGAGGTGGCGAATGGAGTGCTTCGAGATGAGCCTGCTGCTATGCAATGGGCAATGGGCGTAGTCTTCCGGGGTCTGCGTCAGACAGCGGGCCTCGACGGTTTCAACATCTCTGCCGTAGGTGCTGCGAATGGAGACGGAGAAACCGGCGATGGACTTCCTGCTCCTATTGAGCAGATGGGATGGCATTCTGTGGGATTCCCTGGAGGACATCAGGGACAGCAGTAAATGATGGTATTGGATATCCCCGGCGGGTGTTGGGATATACAAAAGAGATTGCATACTGATATGGATGGAGAACTGGTGGCGTTTATGAGCCTGAGTCTATTCTCTTTTCATGATCGCTTCTGTGCGCGAGATGCATTGGTAGTTGCATTACTTGATTCAGATGATATTGTCGGATCGGATCCAAACCACGATAGCTGTGGAACCACTGATTTAGAAAAATTCCTAAAAAAAATATATAACTCTCTATATCCATCCCGCCTCCACTGAAATCCTCCGGCTTCAAGCCAGCTTGTGCAGGTCCCATGATAGCCATGCAGTTCATGAAAGACCGCGACTCGTGTACTAAGCAATCCCAACTCTTCTCCGCGCTGTTCCGGTACGCGATACCTAGCAAATTCGAGAAGAGAGCACTAAAGTCTTGTAAGTTTTAGTTTTCATCTTTGTAACATTTCAAAACTTTGTTTCTTCCCAGTCAGATTCAGCACACCACCATCTCTAGGAATCAAGTCCTGGGTATCTCTGATGTTCAGGTTGCAAGAACCATATGCACTGCAGACTGATCCTCACACCATGCGATACCATGCACGGAAGCAACCTTTGTCATAAACGAAAAGTGGGATGGATTATACAGCTTCTCCCTCGCATTGAACTGCTCGGTGATCAAGTCCACGGTGAGTTTCCCGGCGCGGGCTCCGTGCGTGGGATCGTCTCCACCGCCGCCCGTAACAATGTACACATGTATCTTGCCCTGTTCGCTCCTGATCCGACACTGGCTCAAAGACCTGCCCGCTCCACTTCTAGTCGACTGTTGTACCTTCCTGGAATCGCTCGCGCGTCTAGGCCTCTAGTTGACGGAAGGCTCGAGTGTGTCGCTTTTTCCGAGTTTGTGGTCATCTCCTCCAGCGAACGTGTAATCGTTTTCAGGATCATGTTCGGTCAGTGTGTATCAAAGTAGGCTTTGACGGAGTCGTATAAGAGAGAGTCTTCCGCTGAACGCCAGGGAGTGGGGAAAGCGATAAATTAGGTGCGATAGTGTTCTTCTTGTGCGATAACGGAGAGTTTCTGGAGTGAAACACAGGGCGCTTCAACGGCATCGCGGAATTTTATAACTGAACGAACCGTCAAGCGTGGTCATGTTGACTTCTTTGTGGTCTATACCTAGGATTTAGGACGTCCTTCTCTTCGATCTCGACTGCGCGCGTGTAGGTGTAGCATTGATATTTAGATTAGCTCTAAGGGAACTTGAGAACTTGCAGAAGATATTCCATAGGATCAGATGCGGTCTTATTTTCGTAGATAATAGCATTGTACTGCTCAGCACTTCCCTCCCAGCCTTTGATAGCGGACTCTTCCTTATGATGTGCTGCTAGCCCGAAGGCTCTAGCCTATTCTCCGTCTTGTTGTCTCTCTAACGCGGCTCAACGCGCTCGAGTAGAACTTTGCGGCTGATTTCGCGCCATTGTCGCCATGCTTCTGGGCAATAGCGGTGAATCCGCCATCCAAATCTTTCGCAAGATGCCTGCTCATTTGGGAAAAGTCGGACCGTCGGACGGGAGAAAAGGAAGCGGTGTGAGTACAGACGGCGCCGGTGTTGCCGGAGGAGCCTTTGTGTTGCGGAGGCTCAGACGTCTTCGCAGTCATGGAGTGTAAGTTGAGATCAGTTTCCATGTTGGAATGTATATTTGCGATATTTGCGATGATACGTGAACTTGGCAATCAGAATACTGGGAGCTGTGAAAGTAAACATCATCGTACGAAGTATCACGCGCTCTATATCCACGTAATTCAGCCAACTCACTTTCATTTCATTTGTCGGGTACATAAGTTGGGTACAAGCAAAGACTGCAATTCGTGGTGTTGGCGTCTCTTTGACGAGGGCATGACGGTAATGAGGCGATGGCATGTAGTGTACAAAGTCGTGTCAACATGAGCTAGCGCTGATCCAAAAGGGGTTAGAGCGTTCCGCTACTACAACTTCACATCGCCATCCCAAGAGAGAGTATGGGCTGCGTGAACGTTTCACTGGACAATATCACGTCCAAGGAAAATTCTTGAATCGAGTATATTTGCCATCCACTATGGACTTGAATGTTATCGAATAGTATACAAAGCCACTAGGAGTTCTTCAGGACAATCTTGAAGATTGAAGTTGAAAAGATAAGTGGGATGAAATTCCGTTTGCATCTTGAATTAGTTAACCTTCAGTACATCAAGTGTTGTCAATACGCGGGAACGACATAGGGTCTGAACAACCCCATCAAGCATTTGAACAGGCAATCACAATATGAGCTGGCATGCTGGCCCGCGGCCCGCCTGCGGCCATTACTCTGGTAGAGATTCCAAACACAACCATAGGACGATCCCTGACACTTAGAACTGGAAAGTCTAAATCGAAGCCGGCAGTCAAGTTGAACAAGGCTAGTCCAGTTAGAATCGGTGAAGATATCGCCCTCGTGTGTTCGAAAGCCGGTTTCGGTCATGGGATAGACTGGCAAACAGTCTTTCGAGCAAATCAGCATATGAGTTCCTTCTTATTTTGTACGTGAGGCCCCTTATGATCGGGTATCATACTTTGATACGACTGGGATTATCACTAATACAGGTCAGCAGCCGCTCAAGTATCGCGCAAGACAGCAATGGAAATTGTGCAACTGATGAGCAGGAGCATTTGACTTCCCCGGGGAACAGTAATTTTGAAAAAGCACATGAAAGCGGTACCTCACATGGTACTGGCTAAAAGTAGTTGGTAAAGGGTGAGGGTACATATTTACATCGCCCTGCTGCTCAGTCTACATTATCAATCGTTTTGTCAACAGTAGGTCTTTCGGAAATATGCGATCCCTTATCTGCAGGGCTGCGTCAATTCTCAAGCCTATCCTCCAAGATTCAAGATGAGTGTTTCTGATTGTATTGGATAGACAGGCAGTCTCAATTGCCTGTACTATACATATGGAGATATTCAGCGAGATCAAACCTCATTCCTCTTTACTCTCGAGACAAATCTAGCCTTATCGTCTCTTGGGTAAACAGAGCACCGCCCAAAATGGCCTGATAGCCGACGGCGATCCATGCATTGCGTTATTCCCTGTAAACCTCGACAACTTACTATATTTTTCACGTGCAAAGTCACATCACCCAGGCAAACGACTGGCCCCTTCCTCCCCTCATTTCCCCGTCTTTCACTCAAGTCTACAAACGCGACACTCGCCAATGAGAATTATGCACTCGCTGTTTGAACAGCTCTGTATCTTCCGTGTCTTATGTGAAGCAGGTAGATCTCTGCGTTTGTACGCAAGGTCAATGCTTGGCGCGCACAGATATTAAGACTCACCTTGACCGCATATATAGAACCCTACCGACATTACACACTCTACCACCGCATTCAATCATACAACGCCTGCTACCTGCTGCCTAAATAGTGCACCAATATACGACTGCTACGACCGCCAACTGATGAACACCCAACAACACCCCATACCTACAATGATGACCTCCCGACCTACTCCCTCAGAAGCAACCCGCTACAAGGACAGCCGCGGCGATACCATCGTTATCAAATTCTACCCTTCTCTCATTCCGTCTCTCGCCGGCTTAACGCGTCATAAACGCCGCCTGCACTTCCCTCCGACACCCCTCGCACCAAACGACCCCACCAAATCTCGTCTCCAGAGCACACCCATTCCTGGGCCAATCGAGATCTACCACGAATGGCGCCAGGAAACTGCGAAAGCGGTAACGCTTTATTCCAATACCCTAGATGTGGAGGGCGCCATTGAGCGATTCGACAAGGATAAATTACCTGCGCGGGGGTTTATTCTGTGGGACGGGATCGTTCAAGGGAAGAGGGTTCGAGCGCGGTGGCTTGGTTTTCGCGACAGTGAGTTGGGTTGCGTGTTTGAGCTTGTTTGACGAGGTGAAGAATTGGTCACGACCGTGAGAGATGAGGACTGGTGTGCTCAGAGAGTACCGAGATCTTGGAGCGATCTTGGATCACTATAGTGTGGAAGGCTTTGTTCTGTTTTGTTTTGTGTTCCGTGTTATGGCTTATCTGAGCCCCTCATCCCCTATACTACTTCTTCCTTTTTCTGTTTAGATTGTATTGTACATGTTTTCTTACACAACTAAGCTGTACACCCACTATATTAGAACTTAATAATTGAACCACAAAGTTTCTGGGATCTCTTGGTCGTGTCAATAGCTACTCCGTTAATCTCCCTTACCATTGTAGCTCCGATCGTATAGCCGCAACCGATACCAAGGAAATGAATACCTTCGGCCGCGTCGGATTGGGCAATCAGAACTGTTTGAAAATGAATTTCTTTTTATGTGTCTGTCCTAGCTCCAAGTAGCATATCTGAGAAGCGACATTCTCGTGAAGCACTGTCTACGTAATCAGATTTATGTCTTCCGCCGATAATTCCCCTCGCTCCGAAGATTTTCAGTGCGGCTCATTGGAGTTAAAGAAGGCAAATTATCAGCTAAGCTCAATGCAGCACACTTAAAAGGATTGAAAAAGCCCATGTGGCGGATGGAGAAGGGAAATGGGTTTGATTAAGCGCACAAGCATTGTGTCGCTTGAGGTTTCTGATGTGTGGTAACTGAGAACACAGCATACAACACTGGAAAATATGAAAAACCATCAGGATTCACTGTCAATCGTGATCAAAAGAGAAAGATTTCTTGGGAATGTAGTAAGTAGGGAGAGAAAAGATCCTCGACCTCCAAGGACGCTCCAAGTTGATTAGCGTCCACTGTTGTCGCCTAGGATGAAGCACGACATTGTTGTGTCATTGTTCAATGTGCAGCACTCCTGCAAAAAACTGTAACATTGTGTATTTCTTTGCGATACTATCATATAATTAAGTCCATACCTTTTTCTGAACTCCTATATGACCGTCATAATCTACTCAAGCATTCGTAAAATCACTAATCTTCTACTTTCTTACTTTCACCGATCAAGAAACCATGGTCCGTGACAGCAGAGGCAACGTAATTCCCTGCACGAAATCTTCCTTCGTTGCCGACACGCAAGGGCAATACATTCCCATACATCCTGCTGGCACAGGTAAGTCTGGACAAGTATGGTACGCACTTTCTGCCAAAGAAGCGTTCTCATCGAGCAAACCCTCACCATGCCAACTAATCGCTAAGATTTGTGCTGTCAAGATATTTCCCGCTGGTGTAAGCTTGCGAACCTACGAAAACTCGAAACGGCATCCCAATGATAACGTGGAAGAAGTAAAGGCCATGTCGAAGATTTCTCGTATCGCTAAGGGAGACATGATGAGACATTTCCCTCAGTTTATTGAAGCGCTGATATCCAGTGACTGTCATCATGAAATTTCGCCGTGGCTCAGCATGCGTGCTGTGCGCGGGTTCGAACTGCAGGACATGCTGCTGTTTGCGCGACAGCTAAAGACTCCTCTACCCGAAACGCTCGTATATCATTGTTACGTACAGCTCCTTCGCGGTCTTGAGTTCCTGCACAACAATGGTATTTCGAAGATGGATATTCAGCCCGTAAACGTCATGGTCGACGCTGATACTACCAAAGCCGAGATCACCGGCCTTCCAAACTTTGTATGGATCGATTTTGGTGGATGCAAAGACAACATCGACGCCGACAACGCCAAGATTCAACGTGGAATCTTCTATGACTTTATACACAGACTCGCTATCCAGTTACACGTCTGTGAATGCGAGATTGAAGATAAGGGTCGTCTGCAAGTGGATCTCTGCAAACAACATGATCGTCTGTGGCAAGGATTCGTTCGCATCATGCAGATGAGTAAGAGTACCATTGGACACGATCCGATTAGCGTACTATATAAGAATGACACTGAACTGAAGGTCGGTGGCCGCCTGTTCAATATGGTCGAAACGAAGCGTCGTTATATCCCACAGTTTGATCAGGCGATCATCAAGGCACTGATGGATCACACGATCGCGTACACCCCCACAATGAGAAACAAGTTCCCTGTGGAAAAGGACGTTGAGCAGGCTATCAAAGAGTTCAGCCAATTTGTTTCATGAAAGAAGAGTTGTTGAGTTGCGATGATCTCTCTATAGCTTGACGCGGATTTGGCATTCTCAAGACTTCCAAATTTCACCGATAAGGATGCTGCGGCATTCTACCAAAATTACCATTTTCTGTATTTAATCCAAATGAACTCTCTTGTTTTCGTTTTTCATTCTATGGCCCACTGAATGCAAATATCTATTCATTGCGATGTCTGTACTCTGATAACTGCCAGGCGTGACGAAAACACCTAAGCTTCAAATTACGGAATCTCCCCTTTCCACGTCATCCTTCACACTTTTGGCGTAAACACAAGCTGGAGAAGTCAGAATCCCAAGATTTCATTGTTCATTCTGCTATACAATGCGCCCTCATTTATACAGATGAGACGGCACAAAGATAGCCCGCAGGCCCATTGTTCGCCCGCCTCATCCATTTCAGTGCTCAAAAACACTTCCAAAATCCCCCCCCCCCCCCCCCCCAAAATCCCCCAAAATACCCGGCAGTAGTCCCATTACGGAAAAGTATAGCGGGGCTTACATGAAGCATGATTGCATTTTTCTAGGCGTCACGGTCAGAAAGAGCACGATGTAGTGATAACTCTCCGACCCACTAGCGACGAAACCCGTTCTCCACGGCAGCGACACCAAGCAGACTAATTCAAAACGCTACTCTCAATATCACGTTCGATTCGCACCGCAACCCCAATAAGTCACTCATCTTGCGCCCAAACACAGCCCAGTATTCCGATCTTAATGGCCAAGCAACTCCTTCGAGAGTAATCACCAACTTAGCCCAAGCATTTCGCCAAGCATCCCGCTCCACTCTAGTCTCCACCCTCACCGATCTCACTCCGCATAAAACCGAATCCAGGGACTGCACCGCATACACAGCGCTTACGAATTTTGTCTTGGCCATCTATTTCTTACGGACGTAAGAGCTGGCTCCGCTCGGCTTTTCTCCGTAGGAATGATTTGGCCCCGGCATGTGCAGAATGATGCGCGGTATCAGTGGGGTGGCGGTTTGCGACACATGCTAAGTGCATGACTTCAAGATCATTATATATATCAGGCGCCACCACCAATATCGCAGAGAAGACACACCGCGATTCTTTTGGCTATAAAATATACTTTATTGAAGACCACGGCAACATAATATTGCGAAAAATAAAACATGTCACACCTCCAATACTTCAACTACCCCGGATTCGGCGAACGCTCGCGAAAAGACGTTCATTACAGCCAAGCAGTACGAGTTGATAACCGCATCGAGATATCAGGACAAGGTACTTTTGCCTCATCGCCCCCATTATACCAACTCCTCAATTCCCCTCGCAATGTCTCTAACATGACCCGCGAAAACAATCAGGCGGCTGGGATCCGACAACCGAAGCAATCCCGACCACCCTCTCCGCTGAACTCGAACAAGCCTTCTCGAATGTCGCGCTTGCGCTCACGACCGCGGGTGGAAAAGGCTGGGAGCAAGTGTATAAAGTGCGCATGTATATTGTGGTGAATGAAGGCGATAGTAAGGAGTGGGGAGAGGCGTTGGGATTGGCGGCGGAGGCTTTGAGAAGGTGGTGTCCGGACCATGCGCCGATTCTCACGGGGGTGGGGGTGAAGGGGTTGGCGCTTGAGGGTATGAGGGTTGAAATTGAAGCGGTGGCGCATCTAGGGTGATTTGAAGCGCCGACGTGGGGTTGGACACGGAGATTTCAGGTTCATTGAAATGAACAGCGTACTTTAGCTTTTTAGTGCTCAATCAAGCTGATTGCAGATGTATGAAAATTATTGTTGAGAGAAACCTTCCGAATAAGTTATGGTTGCTCTCATCTAAAGCGTTGGGAGGGCCATGATTCGAAGGAAGCTCACGAGAACGCATCTAATAATATTTCTGCTAATTAGAATTACGCTTCCAACGGATCAATTATTGGTTGACAAGACGCAGTTGAAGACGGGTGCCAGATATGCTCTGCGCTGGGTGCAGTTTGAATGCAAACATCGGCGTTCGTGGCCTGGAACTGCCCTTCTACTATTTTTGTAACACCGTTGTGTTGATCATGTTACAAGCTCTCCGTCTACAATATCACCTTTCTTGGGTGCTGGGTATTCCTCCTCCAGATATTGTTCCACTCGACCAGTCCACTCGTGGGTGACCTTCATAACCTGCCCTTTTTCATCCCGTTGAACGCTCACAGGTGGGGTGCCAGCGATGGTGATATTCTTAAGGTGAGGTAATGCTGTCCATGCCAGTAAAATACCCTGGTCTACCGCCGTGATGTGTCCTCGCATTGTTTGACGAGAGGTCAAGTACCCTGATGGTCCCATGTAGGCGTTACCACAGAAGGGACCGCCATCGAATCCTAGACCCAGGTCGTATGATTCAGGCAAGTGAAGAGTTGTGAGATTATGAGCTTCCCTCAGGGCATATAAAACTGACTAGACAGTGGATGTGGTCAGAAAACATCCAATAAGCTGGAAGCTCTACCCACATGAACGAGGGCGGTTGCCTCCATACCGGATTCACTCCAGGTATTAATGAGTTGCCCCATCATGGTGAGTTGGACCAGATTCGGAACAGCAACAACGATCTCTGCAGTACTGTAAACATACATAGATGAAGATGCAGAATATCTTACTTACCTCGCGCAAACTCAGGTGACCAGGTGTCCATACACCCTATGGAAAGATTTCTTAATTTCTTCGCGCCTGAAAATACTTGTAAAAGAACATCTATTGATTCCTCCCATCGAAGCCGGGGTTTCCAGCTACAGTAGTGAACAGGAATTTCATTCTTCAAATCCTCAATATTCGGGCATACAGATATAATAAAATGCCCCTTGCTTCCAACGGTGAGATGCGTGACACCCATAAGCTTGACTCCCCTGCGAGCGAAGGTCTTCTCAAAACGCGGATTAAAAGCAGTTGGAATGTTCCAGCGTAACATTGCTAGGTTCGGCATTGACAGCAGAACGTCTGCTAGTAGCTCGATTGTGTTTTCGTTTGGGTCTACTTCGTCAAAGGCGCTGAGAAAGATTTCCAGGTTGAGATAAGTGACTTGTTGAAGTGCAGCTGGACATTTCTTCATCTCCTCAAGTCGGTTTTGCAGGTTGATCCATGCATGGCGGTCTACTGACTCTCCACGTGGGAGCTGATAGCGGTTATTATCGATATCCAGACGATCAAAGAGATCACGGGGGATGACCCGACTGGGTGGCTGTCCCTCTATCTCGCCCGAGGGATCGCAAAGATCGTGTAGCGGGTCCGGTCGCTGCTCAAGCCAAGCGAGGTTTGCTTTATCTTCTATCCAAGAATGGCGAAGGTCATGCACAAAAACTGGAAGTCGCGTTTCAACCAGTGACGTCATGTGTACGGAGAGCTGATGTGGCAGCAGATATAAGAGGCGATGTTGCAGATAGAGTAGTGTGCTTAGTGTGCTCCCGTGGGAGCAACCAACGAGAGAGATGTACAAGGATAGGACATCGATGCGCATGGTTGGTTTGGAGGAAGAACTTTCGATGTCGCGACAATATATGTTTGATACTTCACGTTTATGAAGTGTTCTTTCAAATATTGTTGCCTAGTAAGGCCCATCAATTGATTATTAGATAAGCAAGGCCTGGCCCATATTAAGGCCTCCAGTGGTGCATGTGAACACTTTTTTTTTGATTCAACAAATACCTATGTAACATCGAGTCGATCAATCCACCTGTACCGAAAAAATTGATGGGCACTTTGGCTTCAAACAGCTATAACCCAGTGTACAAGTTGGGCTTCACTGGAATAATGTGTGAACAATGTGACATGGCTACTTCCAGTCATTAAATGACCTTTGGATTTGAAAATTACAATATACATTTGCATATGCCTTGTCGCCATCCACAATTATATATAGAGAGTCACACTGGTTGATGAAACAGACTTTCTCTTTTAGAGTATCGCCCTCAGGCTCTGGCCGCTCTGAAACACTCACAGTTGTACTACCTAAGCTTGTGAAAATCATCATCATGCCGAGAAGTTACTATCGGCCTTATGCCTGCAGTCGCGCGCAAATCGGTGCAATCCGATGCCTAGTCCGGTAGTTGTCATCTGAGCGATCATACGACACGCCAACCCCGCATACTGAGAACTCGATCGGGTTGCTTGCGGCTGCATATTTGCGATAGCTGCGATACTGACTCTTCTACTAATCGAAATTTTCAAGCCATATGATCGAAATAGAATAGGATCGAATTTAACAGAGATACGACAGTATGACTCTCCTTTAGGCCGCTACCAACATGAATAGAAGTATTGGAATGAAAGCAAGAAGCATAAACCATATTGAGGGAGATATTTCCGCGATAAGGAAGATAGTAATTGTCAGTTCTACGCAGAGCTAAAAGTAATGATGATTCATCGCATTTCCATGCGGCACAAACACTGGGTATTGAAAATCACACGATAAATCTGCCTTTGAGCTCCAGGCAGGACACATGTTCCGTGGTTCACGAAACTGATGAGTCATCATTCTGAATAGCTGAGTGCGGATTGGGTCTCAACGTCTACGCAGAGCAAAGATAGAGGTAAGGTAGAGACTGAGCGTACTGCCGATTGTGAACGGAAAATGACGCAGGCATCAAAGAGACGGACCTCGGAGAGCTCTCATCAGAGACGGTAGGCTTTCTGATACGTGTTAAGAATTCCAGGATTCTTGCCTGTCTGGATGCTCATACGAGCTGGCTCGAACTCGATTGGTTGCCTGGGCTTTGCCGCTCTGAGGTGGGAGGCAAGGCTGAAACTTACCACCTCTTTCCTTGGGTTTCTATGAGCTTCTAGGCGCTTGAATGGAATGCCTGATTTCTATAGTAACGATAATGTTAGCAATGTAACCCCTCTCTCCATCGCTGTCCTTCCCACATTTTCATCTCACATTTCCGCCTTTCAGCATCCACTGTGCAGTCTATAAGCGACTACGTACATTCTGTACAAGAATTCTGCAATGCCGCCTAATCAAGATGATAGATTAGCAAGGAGAGCGGATTCTACCTTCAGGCAAGTCCAGCGGGGCCAACGAGGCCAGTCGGCCACAAGTTTCATCGACAACGCCACCCGAGCATCGCCCACATACCCTCCTCAGCACCCAATGCCCCAGGCAGTTGCCACGAATGATAGCTTCGAACGCAACATGTGGGTTTTCTACGAACAAGAACTTGCTGTAGGATGGTACAAGATTCCGAAAGACGGCAGGCAGGCTTTGGAGAGTCTGGCGAAAAACCGCAGGAAACTCGCCGATCCAAACCTGTCCAATGTTCCGCTGTATCTCTCTGAAGAGCCCGGCGAGTACGTCTATCGAATGGCCTGTAGCCGTAATACCTGCAGCTGACACATGAATTACTCGAGCAGACAACCTTCACTCTATGCAGAAGTAAAGCAATGTGCCGAGTTGTGCGGTGATGCGTTAGGCTTCCTACATCCTGCAATGCAGCGCATTCTCGAGAAGTCAAGGGCATTGTATATAACACATGGACCGGTAAGCAAACTGTTACCCGAGCTTGCTTGACAACAATGACTGACTGATAAGATTGCGCGTGTACTGGAATGCTGCGCTTCGTCCCATTATAGCCAGGCTACTGTGGACAGCCATCTCAACGAAATGTTTGTCGCTAATATAGACATCACGACAAGTTTTAGGGAGATTGTCGATAAGTGGGGCACCGTACTTCATCGCGTTGATACAACTCGCGCTGCCCTGGAGAGCCAGCGGTGTGAGCACCCCCTCCCTTTCGCCCCGAACTTTCTATGACACATTCTGACTGTATGAAGCTTTTCTTGCTAGACATCGAGAAGAACTTCGAGATATGATATCTTCCCACAGAAAAGAGTCGAACATCCTCTCAGAGAAATTATTGGACATGACGGTCTCTGAAACTCTGGATCCGATTCTTTCTCAGCACCTCAATCGAGATATAGGGAAGCAGACAGGAAGCAGGTCAAAATCCTTGGTTGACATCGAGTCTCTTGAGAATGACAAGCAGAGATGCGATATGGAAGTGGACCATATAAATCATCGCATGAAGACCGAACGGAAGATATTCGATGATAACGAGAAGCTGGAGAAACAGCGACAAGAGGAAAGACGTGAGAAAGCAAGATCAGGCGAGTATTTGACGGTGTTTTTAAGGATATCATATCTAATACTCGAGTAGCGAGCTGGTGGGAATGGCTCAATGGTAGTTCCTCCGCAACCGAAAAACAACACATCAATGAATGGCGGAAGATCGAAGAAGAATTTAGAGAGCAAGAGGGACACCTCATACGCGAGAAGAACAAGAATGAGAAAAAGGCGTTGAACCTGCAATTGGAAATTGAGAAGGGCAAGGCGCACAACCATCATCTGACTAAGATCATGGACAAGCAAAATGTGAAGCTTGATGACCTTGGCGCGAGAATCAAAGCGACAAAAAAGAAACAGGGCCGAAAAGCTGATGAGCTTCAGCTCTACGAAAATAAGTATAACCTGCTGGTAGGGAATCTCGTAATTTCCATTGTGTGGTGAAAGTTTGAGAGTTGCTAAGAACTGGCAGGAAGGGTATGATGCGCTGGTACCAGATATCATCAGCAACCTCGATGCAGTTGCCAGCCATAGCAAGCTTTTCATTTCGACATATCGGAGAATGTACGAGCGATTTCGAGATTACCAAGCCACACTCGATAGCTTCGCTACCAGAGTGAGAAGCCCGCCGAAACGAGAACCCAACGTAAGTAATCGAGCGGCCAAGCGCGTTGGACAAACAGTAACATGAAAGCTTGCAGTTGCAGAGGGTACGCGAGGACGTGACCCAGATGCGTATCGTATACTTCATAGTCTGTGCAGCGGCAGGCGCCAGCTTTTATATAGCTGAAATACAAGAGCTCGAAGCCATAAGAAACTCATTCATGGCTTCCACAGCTTCGCAGCGATCGAAGGAGATGGCGGTTCAAGCGCCGAATCATTGGTCCGGGAATAGCAGAGCACATCTTGCAAACCAAGCGTTCGGCGGGTATACCCAGAACAGGGAAATGTATTTCGACGAGGTATGTTTGCGCGTGGTGTTTGAGTTTTGTCGAGCCCCTGGTTTTTCATCTAACATGGCCCAGATCAAAACCAGTGGTGTCGATCTGCGTCCTGATGTGTATGAGATAATCGCGTCTTCGGATATGACGCTGAAGTCAAATGCACAACCATCATCACCACCACCACGTTCACGCTCGATCCGACCAGCAAGTACAAGTACAAGTACTAGCGAAACTCAAAAGAAGAAGAACAAGTTCTTCTAGTTGTGGTACCAAGATTTCAACCCCGTTTATCATATAGAAGACTTGGGTGGTGTTTGCTCCTTTCAAGAGTATTGCTAGAAGAAAAACGCATACAAGGCTTTGGCGTAGGTTTGATGGAGGATAGGAATTACTATTCCGATAGTGTGTTAACAGTTTGTAGAAGGTACATCGAGGTACATCGAGATGCTATCTGAATGAATATCCAGAGTAAAAATTGCGATTGATACGCTGTTCCAAGCCCTGCTAAGCCCCGTAATGCAAATATCAACTTTTGAATTTGAATATAGATAAACACAACCTCCCCTGAAAGCGGGATACAGACGAACGGGTGATCTGATCAAGGTACATATGTAACCAAAAGAAAAAGGTCGGAAGATTTTTTTTCTCGAAAAGGCTGAAGTCTCGCCCATTGCAATCCACGGTAAGCCATCTCAACACCATATGTGCTGCCGCATCGATTTTTTAATAGATCTGATTAGCACGCTTCCTCATGCACCGCACTACAATGGATGTAAACCATCACCATGAAAACATAAATCTGCTGTATATACCTATCTGACAATGAATGTCGTAAGCAAGGTCGAGACGGTTTCATCAAAGATTGGAAAAATGCCAACGCCGCCGGGTGTCTAACGCCCCAGTGTCAGCAGCATGAAATCGAGTTCATGACCACTACCTACCTACATATGTACAATGAAGCGTCGAAATAAAGGCAAGGGCGAATATATTGACGGAAGCATCTCGTGATGCTGACTTAGCAAATAGCACTGCACGCAAGCACCAGAATCGATTCAATCGATTTTGACATTTTTCTCTTTTGGCCTCCACCCAATAAAGTTTTGCCGGCCGAGGGGGCTAAATATAGCTATTAGTATACTAAGGGGCTAGCGCCCGTCCGGTCATGGAACACCAGTCATGCAATCTCCCCATTATCCGCGATTCAACTCAACCCACAAGCAATCGCAGCAATGAAGGAAAAGCGGAAACAACCGAACGGAAGCCAACGGTGATGTAGACAGCAGGATAAGGGCACATATAAGAGAAACGTCAACGGCGTCTGAGCCACCTCCGTTATAAAGCTAGACCACCCGAGGCGCAGTGAGACTCTTTCGTATCAAGACCCTGCTGATTCTTGATCCCCAATGGCCAAGCGTGGCGCTACTGCGAAACAAGGAAAGTCGTTGGAGGCCGCAAAGAGTGTGATTGGTGGATGGGCGGGCGGGAATTGCAGATGGCCTCGATAGGGTTAAAGGGATTCCGAGTCAATGTCGTTTAAGCAATCAGCGAGTCTCACCCTTCATCTAAGATTGGGCTGGAATTGGATGGATTCGATGAATGCCGGACTCGGTTACAACGGTAGTAGGCTGTAGCCTGGTGGTTCTCATCAATGATGATTCCCCTCGTATACTTCTTCACCACCACTCGTTCACCGCCGCCTGTTTTCGATTTCTGCTTTTTTTCCCAACTTTTTTGTTTTACCATTGATATAGCGTTAGTCGATTGACTGCGCATCCACTCGCTTTTGAAAATCTACACCAGTAATTAATTAATATGTCGCAACGACCTCAGGTTTCACCTGTCATGGAATCAGCCCAGCCCGCGCGCGCAGCGGAAGCTGGTCCATCGACGACAGCACCATCTCATCCTGCCACCACTCACCAACAGACGACGACGACATCAACAACCGAAACTGCACCAGCACACCCGAACATTGTGCCAGCCTCGATCTCGTCCACATTTGCGCCCACCGGCACCACTGCCCAGGCCGAACCTCTGACCCTCAACGACCAGCTGAATGCCGCCGACCGTAAGTGGAAATGGAAAATCGGCATGCGCATCATCATCGTTCTTGTTAGCATTATCGGTATGGGATGCGTTGCGTGGATTGTTGCCAACTTCACAACATCCGCCAAGTACAAGTACTTTGACTGGGATACCGACGACCAGTTCCTGATTCCGTGGTTACTCATTACTTTCGTGTTGTCCATCATCTGGAGTTCTGCTTGTATTGCCGTCTTCTTCATGAGAAAGACCCATGAACCCATGGTTCCTGGTGCGCAAGTTGGAATCGACCTCATTCTCTGGCTCGCTTAGTACGTATTTCCAGGGCACAAAGTAGCTGAGGGCCACATGCTGTGGCGCTCGTATGCTTTGCTGGTTCGTGGAACCGTGTTCGCTTGAATGTTGCTAACTTGGTACCCCTCTGTAGTGTCGGAACCGCATTGTGCGCAGTGGCGGCCACCATGTCCGTAGCTTCTTGGGGCAACAGCGGTCAAATTGGGGGCCGTTATTCTTATTCTTCTTACAACGAAGGTCCTTGGTCGTACTCGGCCGGAAACAATTCTTGGACGTACTCGCCAGAGTCGTCTTCATCGTCTTCCGACAGCTACTACGGTTCGTGGACCGACAGCAGCAGCAGCAGCAGCAGCAGCGAAAGAAGCTGCAATGGATCATCGTCGAGCTCATACTCGTACCGCAGCTATGAAGTCTACCCGTTCTCCGGCTGCGAAGACATAGACGCATACGTCAACACCCTGTGGCAGACCAAAGGAGCTCGTTTCAACTCGGAGCTCACAGCGTGTGTATGCCAATTCATCGCTCTATTCCTGCATCTCACCCTTTTCGTATGGGCGTGCGTCGACACACATCGTAGGAGAAAGGGAAAGACCGGAAAGGACGCAGAGAAGCTGGCCGCGGAAATCATTCAGAACATGATCAAGACTGGTGCCGTTGTTCCACCGCCAAACCAGGCGCACATGAGGCCGATGGGGCAGCCTATGCCACACGGATTCCAACAGAACCAGCAGTATCCTCAGTATCCTCAGTACCAGGTGCCCCACTCGCATCCGGTTCAACAAGCGCCTCAGACCCAGGCTCCGCAACCCGCTAGCAGGATCCCACCGCATGAACAGTCGGCTTTGGTATCGTAAAGCTCCAGATGAAGTGTATTGAAGTGCACAACTTGATGGATTAGGGGGCTCTCCATTGGACCATCTTCGTAATCTGTTCCGTATTCATCTTGTATCAGGGGACCATGGAGAGAAAGATGGAAACTGGTGGCGGAGCGGTGCTTTAGGCAGGGAGGAGGGATCATGGAATTCAGTGCGAATGGAAGGAGAACAAGTTGTATACCCCGTAGCCAACATTTGAAATCAGAAATTATATCCGAGAAGGTAAAATGATGTCCCGTAACCCGGACATGGGTTGTGATGTTGTTTGTTGAGTCGAGTCTAATCGGGGAAGAGCGAATGCATGCAGGAATGCATTGTAGGAGCGCGGGAGTCGGCGGTTGACATCATCTCCACGTCCGTGCGTTCAACGAATGGGAAGCGACGAGTGATTGGCCTAGCACGGAATGGTTGGCCAACCTCGACAAGTCGATTTTGGGGGGTATTTGTTCCTCCATGCGACTTCGTTGACGCCGCATTTCACTAATATACCTATCTACAAACACCCCCCCCCTAAGCCGCACGTCTGCAACCCCCGACCCGGGGCCCGGACCAGACGGAAAACCCTTCACTCACCGCGTCCTCCACTCCATGCCCACCTCAACCTCGATGCGCCCTCATTAGCCAAGTACTGTGCCTACCAGGTATCTGACCATCTTACACCCATTCCGACGAACCGCCTGCGCCTCGATACCAAGCTCCACCACGGCCCACCAACTCCGTCCAAGCAGATACATGTTGACGATAGTATATTATGTCCAAACACCCGCTTTTCCACTTCACTAGGCACGACGCGTGCTTGCGCGCCATCTTCATTCTCACCCGCTTCACCAGGTAGAAGCGCGGGGCATATTTCCATATACCTTCACCCACAACATACTTGCCCGGTCGCATTTAATATTTAATCATGCTCCGCCAGGCTCTTCAATTGACGGCGAGTCTGCTGCTGCTGTTTGCCATACTGTCCTTTGTGCTTTTTGCTTTCATCCGCGTCGTCACCGGTGTCTCCATTCAACGACTGGGCTTTTCGAGTTTGCGCCACATCTCCTTCACCCCCAAAGATGGCCTGCGCATCGAATTGCGCGGCCTCGGCTTTACACTCCACCGCCCTACCTTTGCCCAACCCACGTGGATCAGCATAGTCCTTACCGAGTTGAAAGTCACCGTAGACTTGAAAGCGCTGGAAGACCATTCGCGAGCAAAGAGCACCTGGTCGAGGTGGACAAACGGATCATCTCGGACGTCTGCTGCGGAGAAGGAGCCTCTACCAGACTCGACAGGAGAAGAACACAACGTGAAGGAGGCGGATGATGAAGAGCCAGCGGGGGACGATGAGGATGATGTACACCGGAGTCGGACATGGGAGCGCTTGACTGAAGCCAAGGAACGAATCAAACGTTTACACCGTCGCATCAAATGGATCAAACTGGTCGACGTGATTGCGACAGGATCGACCTTGGTCATAGTGGATGTGGGTTCGGTGCAGGTTGGCAGCTTCACAATGGCCGTGGATACAAGACGAAAAACCGTAGATCGTAGCCGTCTCTTCAACCACCATAAACCAAAACCAAATAAGGAGCAGCGGCCCGCCGAGTGGCTCTTCACAGTCCGCAGCGTCCTTTTCGTGCCAGAAGGCAAAGAACTGGCCGAAGCGACCCCGACCGAGATCCTGGATCAGGGCACGTTGACAGTTCATGGCATGCTGTACAAAGAACTAGATGGGTTGCGCGACGCCTCCATCAGCCTCAAGTTTGGTCGTCTGACTATTCCATTTGACTATGTTAAGACTTGTGTAGATCGCGCCAAAAGGTGTCGAGCTGCGTCTGTCCCCAAGGCGCAGGATCCAGCCGAAGCAGACGTCTCGCTAAGGGCTGTCATGGAGGAAATTGACCAGCCAGGAAGCCGCGAAGAGAGCATTGTGCGTACCGTGTCAGATTCGAGAGAATTTGCCAGTTCCATTCTTCGTGGAGTTCAAGAGTTCCAATTCGCCATTAGTGTCTTCAATATGACCAAGCGCATAGATACGGGCGATGATAATGATTCTCCCGTCAATCTCACCATGATGTCCAAGGAGATTGGTATGGATCTATTGCGTCTTGATCCCAAGAGTCCGGCACATTTGATGTACTTCTCACCCAACGACATTGCCCACCAAGCTCTATTCGCCGTCATCTCCGTCTCGGTGGGTATCGACGACGGCCATGGCCATCCTGAGCGTCTGCTATATATTCCTATGGCCACAATGACGCTAAACACAACCCTCCCTTCCAAAACCATACAGTTTTCCAAAGACAAGAATGCCACTGAACGTAATACCAATATTCTCTTCGCCAATCTCGTCATAACGTCACCCTCTGTGGACTTCGACCCGAAGCATGTGCCTCTACTTCTCGCGGTATTTCGCTCTGAGGAAACAATGAGGAAGCCTCCAAAGCTGCGCAATCGAAAGCGAAGCTTAGTACGCCGACTCTTACCAAAAGCTAGCGTCAAGATATCCATCCATGAACCTGTCGTCCGTGTCACCTTACCGCCTATGGATCCGAGCAAGAGGGACACTGATGAGTTCGACTTGCTTATCTCATCTTCGTCTTCAGTATCATTGGATTTGGAGTCCTCTCACGCCGCTGATGTCGAACTTCATTATGCGCTTGCTGCAACCTTTCGAATGAATTCCCAACAGCTCTATTATCAGACAGCGTCTAGCGAAAAACACAATCTTCTCCTTACGAACCAACTGGAGGTCAAAGCACAACTGAGCGCAACCCCAGACGTCGTGGTCAACATTGTCGGAACAGTGCAAACCTTTTCGGTGTTCTTAGTTCGACCGGAAATCAGCGAGGGTTTGCGCCAAATCGTCATGCAAGTCCAAAAAGATGTACGAATGCGTCGTCGAACACCGAAAAGAAAAGGGTCTAGTTTCCTCCGGAAATTGCCTCCATGGCTGGCTCATATGCAGTTGAGTGGTTCAGACTTCAACCTCGAAGTCGCTGGTGTTGATCCTGATGTCTCGAAGCATTCTCGTGGTGTTGGTCTGCACCTAGAGTCCTGGACCTCTGAATATCGCCAGAACAAGAATGACGAAAGCGATGCACGACCCACTCGCCGGCGCGCGCCAAGCAGAACTATCAATCGCGATGAATACCTCCTCCGCCCGACTACTCCCTCCTCGCCAAGTTCACCGCGCAGACTGGGTGACCCTACTGATGGCAGACGCCTGACAATCAATTGGCAAGGGTTCGAGGGTTTCGTACTTGAGAACGACGATCAATGGGAGCAAGAGCCATTCCTCTCATTGCCCCGCGTGGAGGTAGCATTCAATACTTCGACAGATAAGCAGGGGCCTCTTTTGCACACTCATCTTTTCTGCCAAAGCATTTTCTTACACTACTCTCTCTACCGCCACTTCGCTCTCGGGGTTGCTACTCTGGTGCTGAAGAGGTCTTTCAACGTACCTCTTTCGCAGGAGAAGGAGAAAACGCCTGTTTCACCCCACGCAGCTCGACATTTGAATGTACCCGGAGAAGGAAGAGAAGATATAGATCCCGCAACTGGACTGCGGCGTGAATCTTATACTCTCGACGTGAAAGCACATTTTATGCAGATCAAAGCTAATATGCCTGCCGACCCGCCTCTGATGCTGCAGGTATATGGCTTGGAGGCCGGCCGCCATCGATGGACTAGCCCTTTTCTACGTTCTCGACTCGTTAGGCTGTATGCCGAAAATCCACATGTTAAGCGCGTCTGGAGTCGCATTGTCAGTGTCAAGTCGTTGCGGATGGATTATAGACAGTCTAAGCGCAGATACGGCCATACCGTCACCGATGAGAAATCTTTTGACGTTGCAGCGGATGCTATACGTATAGCGGTACCCCATCAGCTTGTTATGCATCAAATCTTCGATAACATTACGAATGTCACGAAAACCGTCAAACAGCTACACCACCGCTTCAACACCGGGGACAATGAGTACGTGCTAGACAAAGAACCCGAAGGTCCCAAGCATGTGCCCAGGATATCATTGCGCAGTCGAGCTGTTCTCTTCGAAATCGAGGATGGATCTTTCGAGTGGAAACTTGGAGTCATATATCGATACGGGCTTATAGAGCAGAAGCAGCGACTTGCGCGAGAGCTCGCTTATGAGCTAAAAGTCAAAAAGCTCCAACAACATGATGACAAACGTGGAAGTCGGCAGCGTGCAAGGTCAGCTCACACAGGACGTCGAGGGCGGAGTAAAGCACAGAAAGGCAAAGAATTACGATTCCGGAGCAAGAGTGAAGATGCCAGCGAGCCGAGTTCGCCTGAAAGGCCAAAATCGGACCATCCTATGCGATATGATAAAGAAGCGTACAATGGCATGAGCGGCCACTGCAGAACGTCAATCGCAGAAGCACGAGACAAATTAAACCGGCTCAACGCGCAAACTTGGCGGAAACGCATTGATCACGCTCTTTCTTCCCAAAATCGTGCCATGGATGAGATCAGGAGCATCTTCTGGGGACTCGATGATGTGATTGATGATGTTGACCACAAGGAACGCATCATGGCTGTATCTCAGCGACCGCCACTTGCTTCCCTAGTCGTGAGTGATCTTGACCTTGTTGTTGACAAGCCCTCTTTTCCTTTGTCGGAGTACCCACGATTTCTTCATGATGTTGGAAAAGGGATGCCCACCGATATGCAATACTCTTTACTGGTTCCTATGCACGTACATCTCCAGATGGGAGAGGCTAAAGTCCAGCTTCGGGATTACCCGCTGCCGTTCATCCACATTCCTGCTTTACGTCCCACCCAATCTGCTCGAATGTCCAGCCTGAGCTTGAAATCGGATTTTGTCATCGCAGAGGAATATCGGAACATCGAGTCGTCCCGTATCAGCAAGGTGGTTGTCCTTCCACAAGAAGAGAATGAATCGGGAGAACTTACAGGGGGCTACGCCGTCGACGTGCGACGTACGGTTGCGCCCGTGAAGACTTACTCAGACATGAAGGTGGATGTCAATTCATCCTATCCTACCCGGATCACCTGGGGAACATCGTATCAGCCTGCCATACAAGATATGATGCAGGTCATTGAGGGATTTTCTAAACCAGCAGTAGATCCTTCTGAAAGAGTCGGCTTTTGGGACAAAATTCGGCTCACGTTCCACTCACGCATCAAGATATACTGGAAAGGCGATGGCGATGTTCATCTGATACTGAAAGGATCTCGAGATCCCTATATGGTCACTGGCCATGGTGCGGGTTTTGTGATGTGCTGGCAAAACGACGTTCAGCTTAGCCTTGCAGAAGACAAAGACCCGAGGAATTTCATGATTGTGAACAGTGGTAACTACGTTCTTGCAATCCCCGACCTCGCTCACTACGCTCGTCAAGATTCCGAACCGGAGTCCCTTCATCATTCGGAAACAGCTTCCAGTATATCAAGCTATAGGCAGCTTGCTACATTTAAAAAGACGATAATGAAGCTTAGCGGCAACGTGCGCTGGGTAGTAGGGCTCGTTTTCGAACAAAACCTGGATAAGGGGGGACGATCATTCGACTTCATACCTCATTATGATGTGGTATTGAAGCATCCAGACCATGCCAAAAATCAGAATGGCATGGTCTATGATGCATACCGAGGTTTCCGAAGTCATCACATCCACATGTCTCTTGCCATTGCTGCACCTCATGATCGGGAGTGGTCCGTCGCGAATTTGGAACCGTCGAAAACCTACAACAGCGTCCATCTCACCCCTCGATTCTTCACTCATTTCTACAACTGGTGGTCAATGTTTTCTGGTGCAATGTCGCTTCCCATCCGACAGGGTCCATTATGGCCGGGCATTGAAAAGTCTAGTAAGAAGTTTGGCCGCCATTTGGCCACCATCAAGTACAATCTGTTGCTGTCGCCATTGTACATGAGTCACATCTATAAACACAAAGATGCCGAGGACTATGGTCATACATCTGTTGCATCTACTGGCTTGAAAGCCCGCCTTGACAGCTTTATGTTCGACCTACACCAGAGGCGTGAGGAATTTCGCACTGTGGTACAAGCACCGAAGAACCAGGAGGATAGCAAGCAGAATCAAACATCAGGCATGCGCATCAACCAGGTGCAGCTGGATCTCATCAAAACAGATGTTCGTGCTGTATCAGCTAGCATAGCAGGTACGAACCCGGACGACGTGGACGAAGCTTCCTCGGAGACGATTGCCGATTACAACCAGGAGAATCCTACGGCAGATTTGTCAAAGTTCACCATACCTGACAACGACTGGGGGTGGGTAGATATGGATGACTTTGTCGAGCTAGGATGGCTACTACCCTCCGAAGTCCACCCCGAAACACATATCCTTCCTCTGGCGTTTGCTCCTCGTTTTACATATTTCCGCCAAACCGACCATGCAGACAACATCTCAGGCGATCCTCACCGTACCAGTCCTTTCGGGAATGAACCAACCCACCATTGTGTCATGTCGACACGCAACGACCCGAGGCAAGTTCAATGCCAGTTGATCGAACAACGTCTTAAACGTGTCAAAGAGCAAATGGAAAACAATCAACGCGCAATGGGTGAGCAGGAGCTTCGTTCTATTCGGGAACCTGGAGGTAACGAGGAGCTCCACGAGCGGCTGGAGATACTTCGCAATAACTCGTTGATCCTACAACGGAAGCACGATTTTTTGCTTCTGATGCACCAGAGCTTGATTGAGAAGCTCGAGACCAACGATCAAAGCGCTTTGCCTGATGGTGAGACAGAAGATGAAGACGAATACTATGAAGCGAACGAAGACCACGCACAAGCAGACCCTGACACCAAAGGAATGGATTCCTCGCCCCATGTTGATCAGATTAGCGATTTCAATAATCGTTTCATTATCCACAATGTTCACTTAAAATGGAACAACTCGCTACGGAACATAATTTTGCGTTACATTCACCAAGTCAGCCAGCGTCGCGGTTTTGTTTACTACATGTCGCGAAGAGCCGTCAAATTTATCGTGGATATTGTAGAAGAGCAGAGAAGATCGCGACAACACTCTTCTCCTGCAGCCCAGGGACCAAATTCACCCCAGTCGCCTGATTATGATGACGAAGCCGACATCAAGAATCATATAGAGCAGATGTTGAACGATGGTAAAAGCTTTGTCGATGGAGATGGCTCAAACGGAAGTGATGAGGATAGCTCCTCTGAAAAGAAGGCAGCCGACAAGTTGGCAGTTGAGTACCTGGCGCAAAACACATACATTGTACGATTGATTGCACCCCAGATACAGCTGCAGAGTGAGAAGAACAACAAAGCAGCCGTTCTTGTTACAGCCAAGGGAATGCAATTGAAGGTGGTCCAGATCATGGACAAAGATCGTCTTATGGACGAAGTGTCCGGTCTAGTGCAACGTCGCTTCACTGCTTCTATGGATAGTCTGCAGATATTTGTTACATCTACTCAAGCTTTCAAAACTGAGGATGTTAGCATGTATTCTGGCAGTACATATGGTGCACCTGCTGGTACCGCGTGGCCACCGTGGGTGCCATTTGAAGTCATGTTCGAGTTCCACACCAATCCTTTCGGCTTCCAACGAGTCGTCCAGCGCACTTCAGCGAGCATGCGCTTCGACAAGCACAACACCCTTCGACTCAAGTACAATGATGATGTGTCAGGCACAGACAATGATTCACACCAAGAAAGTCTGGAGACCAGAGTTGATCATCTCTGGGTTGACTTCCCGCATATCCGTGCTGTGTGTAACTCGCGACAATACTACGCCATGTATGTGATTGTACTGGACCTCCTTCTCTACAACGAACCACTCGAAAAGACGCGCACGGAGAGATTGGAGAAGATTATGCTTGCTTCCGACTTCAGTGATCTCACCGGTGCGCCGGCGTTAGTCGTTGGTCTTCAAGAGCGAATTCGACAGCTGGAAGAGATCAAGACCGCTTTTCAGGTCCACGAAAAATATCTAGATAAGCAGGGCTGGAGCGATCGCATCGAGGTTGAGAAGGACCTAGCTGTGTACGAAGACGAGCTCTTCTTCGTCATGAAAGCAATTACGACAGCGCAACGCAAAAATGATGATCGCGCTCAAGCCTCGCAGTCTACTGCAGTCCTGAGGTGGTATATCACTGCCTCGGAAATTGTCTGGCATTTGCTGCGTGAGACCAATCAAAATTCACTAGCAGAATTCCAGTTGAAGAATGCGCTTTACGATCGCACCGACAACAGCGACGGTTCCAATCTCAATGTTGTAGAGGTCAAACAGATGACCGGCCTCAATCTGCTGCCCAACGCGATTTATCCTAAGATGATTTCGCCCTATCTAGAAGCAGGGCAGCCTCCAAAAGACCTGCCGGAGACCAAGATGTTCAAAGTGGAGTGGGTCATGCTGGAAGCAATCGCAGGTATCCCGGTCATGGAACATTTCCAGGTCAATCTTTTCCCTTTGAAAGTACAGCTTGAATATGAAATCGGTAAAAAGCTGTTTGAGTATGTTTTCCCGGGCATCAAAGACAACAAAGCTGAGAACGCAAACCATTCACCTTTCTTGGTGAGGCACATGATGCCCGCGAACGACGATGACGATGCCGATGATGATGGCAGTGTTACACCTGGCAGTACCGCGAACAGTGCCACATTGTTCCCTGATAATGAGCACGAAGTCAATGCTCTAAAACTTCGCCTTACACCGACTCTACATCTTCCAGATAAGACCGAGGACCGAAAGGCCAAGAGGTCGTCGGAACGGAGGCCTACCATGCACCATTTACGTTTCTTCCGCGAAAATCAATCCCGATCTGCCGGTGAATTCCGTCGTAATTTGCATCCCAGCTCGGCGCTCTCTATACACGAAAACTCTGCGGCACCTAGTCCCGCTCGTCCTGGGTCTACACGTTCAGGATCGATGTCTACGACAGTGACTTCGGCTTCAGCCGCAGAATCGGATAAGACTTCCAAGCGCTTCAATCTCTACAGGAGTAGCACCAATGACAAGAGAATGATCGCGAATAATAAGAAAGCGCGGAACGATGATCTCACACAGATGATGACCCGCGCTTCCAATTATATGACGCTTTCCTATGTGCAGATTCCTAGCATGGTCCTATGCCTCAGCTACAAAGGCAAAGGACAGCGCAATTTTGAAGACGTTCACGATCTCGTGTTCAAAATGCCAACACTGGAGTACAGCAATAAAACTTGGTCGAACCTAGACCTTGCACTGCAGCTCAAGAAAGACGTGATCCGCGCCCTCATCTCGCACGCCGGCGCCATCGTCGGCAACAAATTTTCACACCATCGCCCCTCCAAAAATACGCAATCCCGCCTCCGCCAGATCGTAAACAACACCTCGATAATGAGCACATCTCCCGACCTCTCCAGCAACGACTCCAACTCGGCCCGAGACTATAGCCCCGGCGGGTCCGACAATTCCAGCGAGCGACCCGGCGGCCGCCGCTCCTTTGCCTCAGGCCGCGCAAACTCGACCTTCTCAACTCTCAGCGAAGAAGGCTCCTCCATCCATTCGTCAGTCCGCACTCCGAACCCTAATGCGCACTCTCTCGAGACCGGTAGCATTATGACGAGCAGTTGGGCCACGGACGGCGCCGGTGGTCTTGGTATCGGCCCAACAGACACTATAGAAGATGGCCGCACCTTCGCCGACGAAATCAATCGCGTCGACCAGACGGAACCCGAATTTGCGGGCGTCATTAGCAGTTTGAGTCGTCATCTCACACAAGTCAGCGCTCCGTTTGCCGCGGTGCATAAAGAACGCGGTCGTGCTGGACCTGGGAGGATCATTGCTGCCCCTGGAAGCTCAAGCGGATTCGGCAGTGGAAGCGGGAGCTGGGCAAACTATAGCCGAGGTGGTAACAATAACAGCAGTAGCGGTGTTGGTGGGGAAGATGAGAATGGAAGTGGTGTGAATACGACGATCACTGGAGGTTCTGGTGGAACAGCCACCGAGGAGGGAGTCAAGAAGAAGAGCAAGTTAAGTAAACTCTTGTTGGGGAGGGATAAGTAGTTGTGTCTACTAAGCACATTCTTGTGTTTTCATCTTTTCTTTGTATTCATTTTGGGTGGGAGGATCTTGACTCGTTGTGGCTATCCCTTTGGGGATTGTTGGGGTTTCTCCAAGGCGTATCCATCGTGAAATGGCCTTTCTCGGATGTAGAATAGAGGCATATTCATCATGGCGTTTGTGGGGTTTCCTTGTCGTTTATGAATCGGATGGTGGTTCATCCTCTGTCACTAGTTCTGTATGTAAATTTACTTTTCTTTTGTACATACATGTATCCAACCAAGCTCGCGGAATCTAGAGAAACGCCGAATAAGCTTCATAGTTGAAGATATGCCTACATCTATGGATGTGTCAAAATCAGCCTACAGCGTGAGGATGCTCCCTATATATGTAACGGAGCGAGCAATGTTCCGGCGATGATGTTGATGTGTTTATCATACCACAATTCTCATACAACCGAACAAGATTCACGAAGACAGAATTAGACATTAACCGGAACCTGAGATATAGAAGTCGAATTTCATTGATCATTATCTGTGTGTGCCACATGCACGCATCGTCTCATATTTAGACCTGCTAGAATTAGTTCCAAAGTGAAAATGAATCACCTGTGAACTCGGCAAGATCTCTTCGCCATTCTAGCGGAAAAATGAGAGAAAAAAAGTGTAGCTCGAGGAGTCGAGCAGTCTAACAAAAGGAAAATTTTATCCACGGCTCCAATGTGATGACGATGCATCGAAGGAGCTGAGCGAGATGTCCCCGCTGTGTGGGAAAGAGAAAGGGTATAATGTAAGCTCAGAGAATGAGCTGTCTGGAGAAAGAAAATTGACCGTCCGCTGCGTAAGAGGTGGAACTAGAAGGAAGCGATAACACTTCATCGCCTTCCCCCCGAACAAAGAAAGAAAAAAAGTCAACTCAGAAAACGAGCCCGGAACCGGTAGTGAAGAAATCCATCGATAGCGCATGCAAGATCGACTTCTCGTCGTCCCACATTTAATCCATCTTGCCATCCATATTCATCTTCCAGCTGCCCTCCCACTGCTCCCAAACGCCCTTCAACTTGTCGAGCCTGCCAACCTCATACAGCAGATCCTTGAGCGCCTCGACCTTGGAATTATACGAGTCGTCGGACTTCACTCTATCAGCGTCGATGGCGGCGCTTCCGGCTTGGACGAGCTCCCATTTGCCGACGTTGTGTGCGAGGAGCGCGTGATGGTGAGTAGCTAAAGCAACTCCGGGGTTGAGGAAAGGGTTGATGGCGGGGATGGCGGCACGGGCTTGTAGAAACGCGTAGGTTTGGTTGTGGAGGCTGAGTTCGCGGACCTCGAGGATGGAAGATGAGAGCAAGGGGTTGTTGGCGCGGGCGTGATCTGCGGGGTCATGTGATTAGTGGATCTATGTTTGATGGTTGCGGTTTGTGTTTGTGTGGGGGTGAGGGTGGTGTTAAAATGATTGTTAGATTAGTAGGGAAAGAGGGAGAACTTACCGATGATGTCCTTCTTCAATTCCTCGCTGATACGCTTGACTTCTCTAGCCTTGCGTTCGTCCTTGTATTTGTCGATGACCTTGAGCTGCACACATCTACCGCCGATCCAGGTTCCGTTCAGCTCAGCCACTGCATCCTCGGCGTGCTCGGGATCCTTGAAGAATACCGCAGCACTGAGTGGGTAGGAGAAATTGCCGACATGCTTGAGCTCAATGTCTTCCTCGATTTCCCAGCCAAGGAAGAACTGGGCGATGTCTGCCTCGGTGAAGGTCGCGGGGATTTGAGTAAGCTCGACCTTGACGCGGTAATCGTCGGGGACACGCAGAGAGTCGAAGCGAGGGGGAGGCACAAATGTGGGAGACAAGTCGAGAGACGTATTCCTGTCTGAGACAGAGTCATGGGCAGGTGAGAAGGGAGGGTTAGAGCGGGTGGAGGAGGAGCGCTTCTTGAGTGGAGAAAATTTGCGCAGGGTGGCGGCTGAGGTAGAGTGACGGGTTAATAGCTTGGAAATCTTGCTGGGGTTGCGTTGGAGGAGAGAAGAGGTCCTGAGGGGGAGGCGGTTGTTTGGAGATGATTGGAGGGAGGGATCCTTCTTGGAGGGGGTGGAGAGATCCATGTTGGAGGGGGTGGAGGAACCTTTTTTGGTGGGAGTGTATGGATCCATGCTCGAAGAGGGAGAGGAGTTCATGTTTTAGGGAACGGTGGGAATCAATTGGGGGAGGGCGGCGGGCCGGGGGGAAGCAGTTCTCGAAAGAGAGGTAGGTGGAGAGAGGGTGGTGGTGTTGAGGGGAGATTGGCAGTTTTGAGAGGAGGGGAAAACAAACCTGATTCGTTACGCAGCTTTTCAAGGACAGACAGCTTCTCGTCCCTTGCCATCGCCTCTTCGTCGCCTTCGTACAGCAACGGGGTTTTGTCGAGCGGCTTTTTGCCCGGCGATGGGGAGTCTGATTTGCTTGCCTTGAGTTGTTGTGGGCTGTAAAGACCCAGACCAGCTCCAGTGATTGAATCCATGGTTGGTTCGTTTTTCACTGGGCTGTGTAGGGTAAGAGCGTAAGTCTTCAGCCGGACGGACGTGACTTATAGTAAGAGGTCACGTGAGGGCGCCTCGTTAGCGTCTACCTTGTTGACAATATTGGACTTAGAGACAGCTGGACTACCCAATCAGACAAACACAGGCTGCCATTAATACGTATTCACCTCGAATTTCTCTCCAATGTACGAAGTCCTGCCACGTCAATCGTTACGCTCTTCAGTGTCAACTGCTCTTACTCGAAGCTACGCAACTGTTCCGCATCGGTAGAGCTTTTGGCAGAAGCCCAGCCTTCTTTCTCCGCCTGTTGCATGTACGGAATCCACTTCTTGATTGTTTCCTCTAACGGCGTGAAGCCTTCTTGCTTGCCCAATCTTCTCAATATCTCTTCAGCCCTCTTATTATCCACCGTCCCTCTATCCTTGACCTCCCCGACGTCATCAGCAAACTCTCTTCCTGGAGCTTCCTTTCTGAAGATGGCGAGAATCTCATTCCAGCTGTATCGACCCGCAAACGCAAGTAGACGCTCTGAAACAACATCGGGGAGCGTGAACGCAGCGACATGTAGCAGAGCACTGTCTTCAACATCGACAAACCACTGTGGCGCAAACAAGCTCGTGAAACTCGTCTCGCCTTCCCACAACATCTTCAAGATACCTCCAGTGCTGATGAATCCTGTTTTATCGGCTCGCGTCATGATACCGAAAGTGCTATTGGGAAGCACCGAATTGAAATCGAACTTGGGCGTGTTATCCTTCATCCACTGGAAAGCGCGCTGCTCAGCTTCCACCTTCTTGGCCGCATAGTTGATATACCCACGAGAGAATCCCTGGGTCACTGGCAGCGTCCATACCACTTTAGCTTCCTCATTCCAGCTATGCGCATCGAGGTGATACTCCAGGCCCGGCGTATGTGTTATGAGTGCCGCCGAAGATGACGTGTATACGACTCTTTTGACAGTATCCTGCGTCGCAGCAGCCTTGAGAACATTCAACATGCCGTTTATCTCGGGCGTGATGACTTTCTCTGGGTCTGTGTCAAGCACTAGAGTAGCGGCCGTGTGGCACACGCCGTGGACGCCTTTGATAGCCTTATCGAAAGCGTGGGGTTCTGCCACATCTGGGATCTGCACCAGCGAGAAGTTGGGTCCATAGTGTGGTTGTAGCCATGCGTTCTTTGGTGAAGAGATGTCACGGACGCTGCCGCGCACTTTGAAGCCGGCGTCGAGAAGCTTTTGGATGATGACTCCACCAATGTAGCCATTGGCTCCAGTGACGAGAACCAGTTCGCCAGATTCGAGGATAGGCATTTTATGTCATTGTTATCAATCTGCGAAGAAGCTTTCGAGTTGTATTGCGTTGAATGATGGGGAAGGAAGTCAGTTGTCATGGACACCTACATATTTATACCTTGAGAAGATAGATTTGGAATGAAACAAGTAGCAGGAATCTACCAACAGTCCTTCGGCAGCACTAAAATTCCCTCAACAGAGAGCATCACCTCATTCACTTACTATTTGTAGTTAGAAGTACGCCCTACCAGTCCCGCGTGTTGTACATGTTTGTGGAATTGAGCATGTCACTGTTGGATGTAAGTTGGTATCACCACTTAATCCGTTCCGTTCAGAGCTCTTTATAATGATAATACGTAGGCCATGCCAGGGTTTTACGCATCGTGAATAGCGAAATCGTGTGTTGTTGTCACGGTTCGGATTGTACTATGAATTGAGTTAAAAGTGAGTTATAGTACACCAAAATGTACGCAGGTATTTCAGACGAACATTATACCAGAATGTATGTAGACATTTCTGATGAAAGGGTACACCAAACCGGATGCAGAAATGTCTGATGAAAAGGTATTGCAAAATGCAAATAGGGTGTTCGGACGAAAATCACGTCCGGACGGACATCGCGGGCGTGGACTTATTTGGAATTTGACCCGTTGTGAACAAGCTTCTTTAACGATCTATCCTCGTGTTCACCCGCGCCTTCGATGGATCAGCGTGTGCATGGGTCTCAGACTTGGTGCTGAACGATTATACCGACTTTTCCGGCAGTAGAAAAGTAAAGCATGAAGCAGAACATGGAGTCCATGAGTCAGGCAACCACCTAAGCCGGGCATGCACTGACTGAATATCGTAAGGCAGAAGGCAAGTTCCGTAACTGTCATGGACGACGTCTCAAGAGCGTGAGTGAGCCGGTTTCACGTTGTTTGGTATGATACATTGTTGTACACTATTGTCTGTTAGAAATACATACAGCGAACAAAGCAGCCTCGCGCATCGAGAGGCACTATCATCAGTTCTTCCACCTCCAAGTCGAATTCTTCGGGATTCGCCAATCTCCACTTTGAATCGACTTCCAGATACCCCAAAAGCCACCTAGGGGCCAAACTGATCGAAGTTTCAGGCCCCAGTCTTGTTTTGCCATAGCTTCAAGCTTTTCGATATCGACATGGACCTTTTCGTGAACATCAGGCAGCGTGGTCGCTCGGTATTTCGTCCGTAGATTTTCGTGCCACGATCGGTCGAATTGCTTCCAGAAGTCGTTGTCGCTGTAGTACGTGTGTGCGTAGAGCCACTTCATACCGCCCAGTTCGCCTAGCTTGTTCTCGAGATCGCGGTTCTTCTTGAGGAATTGAGTGCGATCTTTGGGGCCGAAGCCCCAGAGGCCGATATTTAACATTTGATCGTCTTTCAAGTCGCCTTTGGTGTGAGGGTGCATGGTGGGCTGTGGTGATTGCTTCAATGGACAGAGCCAGAGCGGCCAGATGCCAAAGCTTTTGTCGGTGTACTCAATGAACTTTTCGGCGTTGGGGTACGGGAGTGCCATGTCTTGCACGACGTAGCGACTGGATTCGCCACTTGCGTGCAACGCGCGGTATAACATGCGCGTGTGGCAGAAGTCGTCGAGGAACCAGCGCGTGTATTTGTTGAAGGGAAAGTTCATATATGTGAACGCAGAGCGTCCAACCCAGAAACCGCCACGATCGTAGCGAAACATGTATTCGGCGAGGGGGATATATTCGACAATTGGCTCGGAAGCGGATTTCGTACGAGCCTCCACGTGCAGGTAAAACCAATTATCCCAAGGGTTACTGAAAGTTTGCGGTTTGTGGTCCTTTGGAATCTCATCGGTCATCTCTCCGGTTACGATTGCACCGTGATCTTTTGAAAACAGGATACCGTCGACGTAGTCATTTTCAGGTACTTCGGTGTGCTTTCGGACTTCCTGAACGGCTTGCGACACACTTGTGGTGGGATAGTATGTTGTCTTGACAAACTTCTTGGCTTGAATCAATTGAAGTTCTATGAGAGTTGCCACTCCCAATGTTCCTACAGCACCTGCCGCCCCCCGGAACAGATCCTCATTCTCTTTCTCAGATGCCTTGACCACTTCGCCATCTGCCAGAACCATTTCCACTGAGTTTATTGTCCGATCAAAGAACCCATACCGAAACGAGCTGCTCTCTCCTGCTGTTCCTGCGTAACCTCCTCCGGCTGTTATGCCTGGGAACTCCATGACAACCGGGGGTACCAATCCATGAGGCAAAGTAGCTTCTACAAGACGATCCATGGGCACATTTGGCTCTACGAGCGCAGTACGCGTCGCAGTATCAACCTTGAGAACATTTTTGAGCTCGCTGATGTCGACGACGCGTTTTTTGAGTGACGGACGCGTACTATTGGTTGAGCCATGGGCTATACGGAAAGATTCTTTTCGGGAGAAGTACTCCTTAACTTTAGACGCCACCTGCGCGACAACGCGTTGGTGGCGATCCATAACGCTTGATACGATATCAGAAATAGAAAGAAAGGAACGATAACGAAAGAAGGCCAGATTCTAGTTATACATGATGATGTACAATGTGTCGTTGATGATTGGAAGAGGTACTTAGTGATGTTGCTGGTTGGGATTTTGCCGAGAAACAACGCTATTCCTAAAACGACCTAGCTTTCACGCAGCACTCGCAGCCTTTGAGATCGCTCTGCCTCACAATGTTGACCTGTACATGCGTTTCCATCGAAATTAACGTTCTAGTCTATATGCTCAATATGTTATATTTCGTTTCACAGCCTGAATTTGTGGCGATTTCGATGGAACGCGAGTTATACCGATAGCTGAACAGGGTTCTTTACAACCTACATATGTGACGAGACACGCGTAGATCCGGACTGAATCTCACACACAATTAGCTTGAAAGCTATATGCCGTTCTTCTGATCCGAGATAGGTGTTACTCAATGCAGATAAGAAGACCACCCTATATTTCTTCTTATCCAACGTAATGAGCAAACACCAGCCGCGGAGTTTTCGGCGGGGAAGCGTGGCGGGGCCCCCACCTCCACCTGGACACCATTTGAACTTCCCACACCACGTGTATCCCTTACCTCTACACCCCCCTCTGATACATCCGGTATTAAAGCCTGCTCAGATCTAAGATTGGCCTCTGCATTGGATCGACCGTTTCACTCCAATCCCGCTTCCACCATGTCTCTCCCATCCTCTCAGACTGTCGCCTGGATAGATAACCCCGGTCCCAATGGCACACTCAGCATCCGCTCAGGGATAGACATTCAAAAACCGGGCCAGAATGAAGTCCTGGTCAAACTCGAATATTCTGGCATCTGCCATTCCGACTGCCACAACGTGTACGGTACATCAGGCGGGTACACTTCCATCCCTGGCCACGAGGGTGTGGGCGAAGTAGTTCAACTAGGTCCCGGAGCTTCTGAGTCACTCATGGGCAAAAGAGTTGGAATCAAATGGCTTTGGAGCGCGTGTAACCAGTGCGCTTCGTGTAAAAAGGGCCAAGTCAACAATTGCGCGAAGCAGAACAACACGGGACGAACGGTGCTAGGGACGCTGCAGCAGTACGTTGTGGGTCACGCGGATTTTCTGACGATGATCCCTGACGGAGTGAAGAGCGAGGTCGCGGCGCCGCTGCTTTGTGCGGGCTTGAGTCTGGCAGGAGCGGTGTCGAAGTTATCGCCAGAAGTGGAGACTGGGGACTTTGTGGTGATTGTTGGAGCTGGTGGCGGTTTGGGCCACATTGGTGTTCAGATCGCTACTATCAAGGGGTACAAGGTTATTGCGATTGACAGCGGGGCTGAGAAGGAGAAACTCTGTAAAGAGATGGGCGCTGTGGCTTTCGTCGACTACGCCAAGCAAGACGTTGTTGAAGCTGTCAAGAATTTGACTGAGGGCGAGGGTGCCCACGGCATTATTTGTGTGGCCGGCAGCGAGCGCGCATATCAGCAAGCGCCGAATCTGATCAGGAACAATGGTGTTTTTGTATGCGTGGGTTTACCACCCCCGGACTTTATGTTCCCAATGGCTCCCATACAGATCGCAAACCGCGGCCTGGTCATTAGAGGCTCATCGACTGGAAATCTGGCGCAAATGGATGAACTGTTACAGCTTAATCTGCAGGGTAAAATCACGCCAAAGATTGAGGTTTACGATTTCGAGGACTCCCCGAAAATCCTCCAGGAATTGCAAAAGTATGAGGTTACGGGAAGAAAAGTTGTACGCGCCCCGGTATAAGTGTATCATAAAACCAAAGTCGAGACTTTCTTAGATCTGTATAAGTGGAACTCCGTGCAGAGTTGTCGCAAGCATTTTCTCCCTCCTTGCTGTTGTATCTCGGTTCAATAGGATGCGAGATGAGGCGCTAGATGTATTATGGTTTCCAGTAGACGACTACAAGATAAAGTAGCTTATTGAACATTACCCCTAACATGAGAGACTTAAATCAGCAAAATCTCTACTCTTCGAAGCATAGCTTCATATCCCCCTCGAAGGCCCCATCCGACGTGTACTGCTCCACTCCACTCATTCTCAACACTCCAATACCAACATCATAATTCATATGCAATGTGTCGGTGCTGTGGTTCGTCTTTCCGTACTGCATGGACACGTGCTTTGGCGCGCTGCTCCAGCCCTTGTACAACCCGTTGCGTCCCGTGGAGTTGTTCCGTGGTGCTCCTAGGCCAGTGATGGTAACATTGTCCAATGGCTGTGCAGCATGGTAAGAGCCTTCAGAACTGTATGCAAGGCAGTTATCCGCATAGGAAAACTATGATAAAGTCAGCTACATCTTCTTATTCTCATCTCACGAAGATAATACACTTACCGTAACCAACCTCGTGGCTTCTTGTACCAAGCTGACTCCATCGTCAAGATACAAACTTCCACTCGCCTTACCATCGCCATCCAGTGCCACTAGAAGGCTGTAAGACGTATTCTTCGTTTCCTCGACCGTCAATCTCGGCTGCTGCAGTGCGATGACACTCCCTCCTCTCACGTGTACATTAATATGTTCAAGCGGGGCTTCCATAGTCACATTCTCGCCTGGACCAGCCCTCACCTCTTCCAATGAGTACCAATCATACCACCTCTCACCCTCGCCAACGCCGGGAAATACGCCGCGTACGGTATCGACATTAGGCTCGAGGACAGGCGTTACGAGAATCGATGGCCCGAGCATGAATTGAGCATATGTTTTTCGCAACGAGACATCGTTGGGGAATTCCCAAGCTAGTGCGCGCATCACGGTAGCGCCTTCTGTGTGGGCGTAGTAGAAGAGCGTGTACATGTATGTGAGGAGTGAGTAGCGGACCTTCATGGCACGACGGGAGGCTTCTGCGACGGAGGACCAGCGATAGGCTTCTTGGCCTATGGTTGCTTTGACGTTGTGGTTACGGTAGAAAGGACTATAGTTTCTAGTCAGATTGCTGTATTTGGTGAGAATCAAGCGGAGTGGGAGACTTACAAGAAGGCACTGAGTTCCATCCATCGAGAGCAGAGTTGGAAATCGGTGTTCCTAGCGAAGCCGCATGTGTCTGCGCCGAACATTGGAATCCCGGACATCATCTACGAATTGTCAATATATCGGGCGGATATCAATATATGCAGATGGTTTACCATGGTGAGAGCTTGCGAGATCGAAAGAAACATTGATCCCCATGTACTAGTGTTATCTCCACCCCAATGACCGGTCGTTTTCCCGCTGCCCGCAAAAACACTCCTACCAACGGTGAATGGCCTGCGACCGGGGAACAGCTCAAGAAGGGCGTGGTAAGTCGCGTTTGATATTTGGTAGCCGAAAAGGTTGTGCCAGTCATACTCGGTGGTGTTGTACTGATTATTATGGGTGGCGTTTGGTCTATGATAAATGGAGTCAGTAACGCTGCAGCATTGAATTTTTCACGACGCCACACCACATCTCGTGTGATTTTGTCTGTCTTCAGAATGTACATACGCAATAGCACTTTTGCCCAGTGCATGGCCTGCCTGGACATTATTTATAACATACGGTGGAAAATTGAGGTTGCGAACACCAGGGGTTGGTTCAGTCCTCCCGCGGGTAGTCGTTGTCGGCGATGGGAGAACAGGCGATGCCGACATGGCAGAAGACTGTGAAGCAGACGCGGCTGTCGCGGAAGCGGCTTCGGTGGCATTTGTCACATTGAACCCTTCAGGGTAGTTGTAGTCAAACATGAGTGGATCTCCAGGCAGTAAAAATGGTGGATGAATAGGATTTTCGGTTAATCGACCGTAGCCGCACGATCCAGCGCAGAATGAGGACGCTTCACTGAGGTCTATCCAGATGCCGTCAAAAGGAGTGCCGTTATGCCAATCGATTATTTCCTTAGACCACCATTGCTGTGTGGCTGGAAGTAAGAAGTCACCCCAGACACTGAAGCCTGGCCAATTGTCGCCGTAGTAAAAACCTCCAGTAGTAGGGTCTCGGATGAACAGCTCAAGATCTGCACCTCTCTCGAATGGTCCATATGTATCGCTTTCGTTATCGGGGTTCGAAACGTAGATATTGCTATCCACGATCGGTACGTAATGCTGATTATTTGCATGCAAACTTTCGATGAACCTGGTGAACTCGGGCAGTGGGTACGTAGCTTCGTTGTTAGTGAAATCCCGATACAAGTCATAGATATCGAGGTCGTTCCAAAGGCATTCAAGCGGAACGTCGGCGTTGCGATACCCATCTACTACCTCTTGCAACACTGAAATATTTTCCCAGCCCCAACGAGCTTGGTGAAATCCCAAGGTCCAGTACATGTGCATAGCTGGTAATCCGATACCCTGGGTATGGAACTGTGCGATTGTTTCCAGCGCACTGGAGCTTCCATCATCTTTCTGGCCACTGTAGAAATATAGATCAAAACTCCCGCCCAATGTCCGGTATGTGATGCCATTTTCACGAAGAAGCCACTCTTGACCATGGGCTGTTGCTCAGGTTAATTGACTGCCGATGTCGGTATTTTGGGTGGTGGATGAGTGTTCGTACCATTACGAGCATACACGCCATGGGACGTAGTGTCTGTACTGTTATGATATCTTGTTTCCTGGTAAAAAGGTATCGCACTGTACACATTGCCATCCACAGTGTTGCCTGCGTCTGTCGCGTAGAAAGTCTGTGTATGATTATTGCTCAACCAGAAGTCGTGTATGTTTTCCGCCAACCCATACACATTGTAATCCTGCCGTGATATCAATTCATTGCAATTGAATCATATTCTTTTCAACTCACATCAATCATATTTGTCACAAGTTCCAGAAACTGGTCTTCATATACAATAACATGGCCGTACGTTGAGAAGAGCTCTTCCTTATTGTTGTTGCGAATTATTCGAAATTGAAAAGTGGGATCGTTACTCCATTCCAAACTAAGATCGCTTGAACTAGCAGTCGTCTGGCCATCCCACTCAGGTTGATCAACGATATTCGAGGGTAGAATGTACCATGATTCTTGCTCAGGTGCGATATGCGTCGGGTAAATTCGGACATTCAATCGTTGTTTTGACTGGTAGGAGACCTCTAGTGTCAGATGCGAAATATCGTTGCCGAAAGCTTGACAGTTGTCTCCGGCAATCATCAGATCTGCGGTGAATCCATAATCATTTTCGAGTAGATTGGATGCTTTGTATCCTGGGCAATGTTGAGAATTGGGCGCACTGCTGTCAAGGATTGTAGGCGTGAGGCTAGGCAGCGCGTTGACTTGCGGAGAAAGCGTGGGGATAACGCGCTCAGTTCCAGAAGGTGTCAGCGATTGACCTGCATCTGTCAGCCAAACTTTCTAAGACATGACAGGTGTGCAACGAACCCTTAACACGTCCCAACAAAGCGGTACACCAGAAAATGGAATAATAGAGTTGCATCTTCGTATACAATTCCAAGAGGTGATGCCCTTGGCCCCTACTTGAAATCTCAGTGCTTCGCTATCGGTATTTAAGCACGTTGTGTGACGAATTTAGGAAATCTTGGATTTGTCGGAGTGCAGTCCGCGACTACCTAAAGGCACCAAGAAAGCTTTGCACTGCTAAACTATTGCTTACTCCCTAGTATCGACACTACCCAGATGTTTGCTACAGTATATGCACCCCGCATCCGCATTTTCAAGTTGGATCGAAGCCCAAAATCTGTGGCCTATGAAAACCTTTGTGGTTTTCGCCCTCAGAACGCTTATTTGCGGGGTCGGCAAAGTGACGTGTGAGATCCGATGTTCCCTGTGCCAGAATGGCGGGTATACTTCAGCTATGCTCAATTGATTTGCAGGCATGCATCGCGGTGTGTATTGTTTACTAGAGCTGACGTCACTATTTACTATTCTCCTTCTCTTGCTTTTTCCCATTATTATGGCTTTTACGTTATTCTTACGCCGTGTAAACCTACAATGCGTAGCATGCGCCATAACAGATTTCCTAGGTCTCTCTCAGTACCAACCTCTTACAATTGTGGCACTATAGATTTGCGATTCTCATCTGGGTGGATGAAATAAACTATAATTTGTGCATTAACTTGCAGGAATCTGTAGATGCATAGCAAACCATAAGACAGTGGCGATGACCAACGTGGTCGAGGTTATCGAAATCAATAAGATTTGGTACAAACACCAAATACACAGGAAAAAAAACACTGGAGTTGGAGATGGTAGTTCGAAAGCTATATAATTTTTACGGCGATGGAAGTCATGAGAACTAGCCTCTCGTTCCAATTTGCCACGTTCCGATTGTTTCAAAATGTATCAGTCCATCCAGTCTGAAATCCTGATACAACCACCGTCGGCATGGACAATTCGTTTCTACAGGCATTTTGACTTTATTTTCACTATATCAAATGAAGTTTTTGGTAAACAGTGAAGCGTAGCTATAGCTTAGTGACTCGCGTAGGCATACTGATGATTTCGATTGTGTACGAAGGAACTGAATGCAGTCACGTAATGTAGTCATTCATCAGAGTCCTCATCGTGATGAATCGAGGAGATATGTGAAGAGCACTTTAAAAAAATAGCTAGGTACTGAGCGCTGAGATTCCGTTTGAGTTTCTATAGATATATATTCCCCCTTCTAACCTCAACTTCCCTCTCACTCACTCACACTACCACAAGTTCAACTCAACCACCATTATTTGCGGTCCAAGACAAACTTCTGTTTGATTTGTCCCCCAAGATAGATTCCCCCTCTGGATCTTGGACTTCTTCTCCTTCACTTACATTCATACATACTCTACTCAAGCTCCTTCGGGGACAACGCCAGACTTCTATTGAACTTCACTGCCATCGAAATTCCTCATAACTACACTCCTCTACATCGTGGAATCTCAAACTCCTTTCCTGGCTATATCTTAGTACACTCTTTCTACATGGTTGTACTACGCTCCAGCAAACGCAAGCAAACCCAAGGCGTTGAACCGAGACGGTCCGCCAGCATCCGAAGCAATCAGGGAGATGTATTAGATCCCCTTGACTCGGCACCCCTTCAAGATATCGCCGAAGAACTTAGCGAGAAGAGTACCTCCCCTTCTATGAGCCGTCGTGTTGATCAGCCCGACCGAGACTTTAAACCTAGACGCCCTCTATTCCCCCCGAACCGACGAGGGAAACCGAGTCACTTACTGCGTCGGCAGAGTCAACGGGAGAAACGAAGTGAACCAGCTCTACTTACACCCAACATGGCATCACCCAACAGATCTATTGAGCCGAGACACTCTCCTTTCCCGTCTAATCAGCAGGCCGAACGAGATGTTTCTCCTGTGCTTCGAGACAACCAGGATGATGGATCGATGCAATCCTCACCGTCACTGAGCAATCGAAATGATGAGTCTGAGCATCCTCTCATGACTTCAAACCTTGAGAACAATAAATCGAATCCCCTCCCCCAACCACCTGATGTTCGCCCAAATGAAGTTGAGCAACCTGCTTTCGACCTTGAAGAGAAACACAGGAAACCGCTTGAGAAGTTCCAGCGAGGTGAAGACATCAGCGATGATGAAGCTCGTCTTGTCGCCGAAGTGATTGCAGTTGGCGTGAAGCTGACCATCATGCCACTTGCCGGCACTGTTCAGTCGATGGCTCGGTATCGCCAGCTCTTCGGCTCTTTGACTTCTCCTTTCTCATCCACGGTGTGGTTTAGGTTCCTGGATATTACAAACCAGACGAGGAAGAGGGAAAACTTAGATTGGAAAGTGTTGCGGGAAATGGCTGAAAACAAGGAGGATCTATTAGACCCCGGGTTCACTGTCGATGAAGGTATGTTAGCCCAATCACACTATCGGCTAAACGCTACTAAACTTCTAAACAGCTCTGATCAATAGAGCCACGCCACCATTCACCAAACTGGCTTACCACCTGACTCTAAAAGAGATGACTTATGAGCTGAGGCTACAGGTCCACCGAGCCAACCAGCTGAAAACCACACTAGACACGGTCAAGACCGCGTTGATAGATTTGATGAAGAAGCTCCGTGAGCTGTCGGAGCGGAGTTTGCAAGGCTTGAATCGGTGGTCAAAGGTTCGTCAGCATAGGTTCCATATACTCTCGAAGTCCTACTAAAATTGCCCTCACAGCATTCGCATCAAAAATTCGAAGACCATCGCATTCCTGCTCCTATTAGCAAGATCATTCTCGAATATATAGATGGGGGCAAAATCGAATTCGAGACGATCATGTACGAACTTGCATGGTTGGTAGCTAGAGTGGCGAATACATTGACGAAAAAGGCCGAGGATGCATATCCGAAGCTCGAAGGCCTTCGAGAAAAGATGCCGGACTTGAGCCCGCCATGGAGCTACGAGAGCCTCCAGTCCGTCGAAGCCCGCCTACATCGCGGATGGGTCTGAGTGTATACTGCTGTTTCCCTCGACGAGGGCCAGTTTCGCAAAGCGCTCATCGATCTGATCGACTGCGCTGCAGAACATGCAGGCAAGTTGCGAATGTACCAGAGCCGTTATCACCCGAACTGTGTGGCTGCCTGGATCGCAAAACCAGATGGCACTAGGCTGGAGACGATACACGCCAAGTTTGTTGAACTGTCACAAATCACCGACAAATATCACTTCGTGACAGTTCTGATGGAAGCACGGGCCCTATGTAAGTACTTGTCTTGGAAAATACTATATTGCCTGAATTACGCTAACTTGACAATAGGGATGATTAACTCGTTGCATGGTGTGGTAAAATTCCTCGACGACTTCGCCCAATCGGTAGGATCGATTAAATTCGACAACCCGGATGACATCACGATAGACAGTTCAGTCTACCACGAACGTGATTCATTCTTAATTGGATGAGGGTCTAGTGCTTAGATGAGATCCTGCCTGAAACTGGCACACAAATAGGGCATATCTTGATAGACTAAAGCAGACATGACCAAGACGTTCGCTAGAGCATTGAATTTCCAATATCATTCGAAGATACCCCATAATTATTTTTGGTGAAATTCGGATATATGACACTTAGAATTGTCGTAATTTGAAAGTGTGTCTGTTGCTAGAATTGATTAGAAGTGATCACAATCACAGAAAATTTCAACTATTTGTACACACCTAGTACACCAGTCAGTAACATGAGCAAGCAGCTTGTTGTTCCACAGATGTAGCTTGCCTTTATAAGCCAAATAGCAAGCCGCTTGTCGATGAGATTTACCCGTCGGGTCGTGACAATTCGGGATACCAGAGGTTTTGTTCAATAAAATGTTGAATTATCACCCCACTTGGTAGTCTTTACTCAGTTCTCCTAAGCTGTCACAAACCGAGCCGACCTGTCATACTACTGTAAGAAATAACAATAAAAATCAATTTTGAGAACTTCCCGGTCTCATTTGGACAATGCTCAAAGTTCATTGAGGACAGCGCGCTCAACACAATCCATCGCAAGCACTAAAAGTAGCAAAGAAATACAGCTATCGATTCTTACGTGCTGAGTGAGCACTGAAGTAAAAAAACTGGTGTTTCAAAAATGGTGTTTTAAAGAAATACAGCGATTTGCCCATTCACTCTATGCCTGATTCAAACAACACACATCCATCACGCCATCCCCGAAGTCCCCGACGGTCTCCTAAACACCACCCCACCAACATCCCAATCCACCCTACAAGTCCAATACGGCAGTACAACCTCCACTTTCCTCACCCCCTTCACATTTTCAATACTTTCCACCAGTCTCTCCTCCAAAGACAACCACGCCGCCTCCCAAATACCCTCACGACTCGCATCTACAATGACGACCTTCAAATCTTTCAAGCCCTCCAAACTCCCCAGAATCTCCCACGCTTTCTCCCAATTCGCAGAATCCTCAGGGTAGGCTAGGGCGTTGGACTGTCCGGCGCGGCGGTAGTAAGGCAAAGCGCGGATGGTCCAGCGGAGGCGGAGAGTTCGGATATGAGACAGGGTGCAGAAAGGGACGCGAGTGGGGAGGTAAAGGAGATGAGTTATATGCAGGAGAGAAAAGGTATGGTGAATGTAGAGATGCGGATGCGCTTCGAGATACCTGTTTAGTTGAACGTCAGTCTAATCCTAACCGTGAAAGTTGAGTATTTGGGAATACGCACATCCTCCAGCACACTCTCAACATCTTTGTACTCGACCCCTCTAGCCGCGCACTCTGTGACTTCCCGCCTACCAGAACTTTGCACCGGCATAATTCCCCGTTCTCTGCGGTGTCATGGCTTGATGAAAACTCATCGCTCTCAGATTCATCGCGACACAAAAAATGCGCGAATCGTTTCTTCGCGCCAAGCGTCAAATGCACAGTCTCCTCGCCCATGACATATGCATACACCATATTCCTCACCTCCGGCGGGAGCTTGCTGAAGAACAAACTTTGACTCTGCAGATGCACACGCGGTTCAATTCCGTCGACGTCATCGGAGAGGGAAAGTGCAGAGCGCTTGCGGTGGCGGTTGTGACGGAAACTTGTCGAGTGGTAGGACCTGTTGCCTGATTGGAGCGTATTTGATGTAGAAGAATCCAGAACAGAGAATTTCGAGAGGACTTTTGGGAGATGGAGAAGGGATGTGGTGATGGATTTGGGTTTTTGAGGGGAAGAAGAAGCGTGATCGATGTCGTGTGGCGTCCAGCGTATGGTTGGGGTATGTGGGAGGAGACCGAGGAGTTTGTTATGCATTGTCATTCTGACTGGAGGGATCGATTATCGGAATTCTGCGTCCCCTTATCCTTTTCCTCGGCTCCTTTTATTTGTCGTGTCTGTATGACGGGCCAGCCTGATTTGAAGTGCGTTTGAGCGGTCGTGTATAATCTAATGATCAATTCGAGATGTCCGACCAGCTGCCTCTTGCCTTGTAACACTTCGCGCACAATGCGCTCTCTTTTCCGGCGAGCAGAAGAAGCAGAAGAAGTGAACGTCCGATCAAGTATTTGTCCAAGGAATCGCAATCGTCCCAAGTTGATGACGATTATGAAAAGCGGTCCGAGCTCTTACGCTCACTCAGAATGCTTGATGGGGATAAGCTTTGTGCGGGGAAGAACAATAGAGGAGGCGGGGGACCAATATATCTGAGCGAATCAAAGGATGGCAGCACACGCGACAAAAGAGCAATGAGACTGCAGAAGCGAAGTCGGTTTGATTTCAAAGGAGATACTGATTGTCGGATGGTAGATTCGTGGAACAGTATTTATATGATCGGATGGTCCCTCTTCAAAGGTTCCTGTAGGATTATTGATGATGCACTAACTCATCGCGGGAAAGTTGGAGAACTTTCCCAATTTGGCAGTCTTCTCAACTTGGAAAGCCTCAAAGTGCAGCGTTCAGAAAGCTGAGTCATGAACTAGCCTGAATACAAACATGGTAATAGAATTAATGAAAGGATGCAAAAGAAATTAGATGATCGGTAATGGCATTCTTAGAGCGTGATGGTGGATCCAAAGGTAGATTAAATGGGCAAGCTGACGTCCCTCTATTTGGGAAGCATTGAGTGGTGGACATAGCGGGCCTAACGGCGATTCAATCCAACATTGGGCATTGAGACTGCTTAATGCCAGATCATCGGCAACGGTGAGAATAGCTCAATGGCGCATCGTCGCTATTCGTCACTCCATCGCATCCTACGAAATGATGGTTGAACTTCGAGTGCTTTGGCTCTGAACTTGCTGGACAGCCACTACTGACAGCGATTGCTCATGTGTTCGTTTTCACCAAGGTACACATTCTTTTGTATTCAAAGGAAGTGTTAACGTCCGAAACATCCGCAGCGGACTGAGCACCTAAAAGGAGGTAAAGACAGCCGGCAAAAGAGCTGAGACCTGCATGTATTCGGTTTTCTGAACACTCATTTTGATATGTAGCATGCCTTCAGAGATGGGATACACTTGTCAATATCCAAATACTGTTGACGCAACAGTACGGTTTTCGAGGAGAGTGCACTTTTCTACTACAGCGGCATGAGGGAAAGCTCGCGACAAAGCGTTCGAAACGACAACACAACTCCCGTGAGCACGAAGAATTGCGACAGTTACCATACTGTTCACAAGTATTGCCCATACAGCTGCAACTGCATGGGTATTGTAGAGTTATTAGGCCGGTCAATACCAGAATAGACCCGATTTTCAGAGCAGCCAAATCAGAAAGTCTTAATTCGTTAGGGTTGGAGCTCAAAAATGCGTGTGAAATCGGTGACGGAAAGATCGTGTACACACGAACAGGCAATAATGACAACAACGTTATTAAAGTTCGAAGTAGTTGGTGTAGAAGTGTTGAGGTGATGGATGCTGGCTCTAAGCGCTGTGCGTGTTCGCTTTTCAAATCTAGTTTAGCGTCATCCTTCTCCACGCGGGGGCGAGTGAGGCTCAAGGGTCTGGGCGAGACGGGCATGTTCCTTCTGCCGTGAATCTTTAGAATCATCCTTACGAGAGGCCAAATCGATATTCAGCGAGGTAGTAGTTGTATAATTCATTGCAAGGAGGGCTCTGCTAAATTGTTCATGTTGAATCCCGTTAACTTCGTTCAAAGTGCCAAGCAGTATGGCTCGAATTGCATCCATTTATTGGAGTGTCGCGGGCAAACTTTTGTACGCAAGCAGTTTCTGATAAGAAAAGTCGGTGGAGATGCTATGAAAGTGATGTTGACATGTAACCACTATCTACTAGGGACCGATGAACGACCGTCCAAACAGCGCGATCTAGTGTCAAGGGCATTGTCAAGTGACCTGCGCACTACGACTCCTGAAGAACCTCAACACCATGCTCATCCGCACGAACCGGCTTTATGTAACACAACACCATCGAGAAACACGTCGCAAGGAGATGCTCTTCTTCATAGACAAGTCAACGACTTCAAGCTGGTCCAACTTGCACTCCTCCATCTCAACAGCGAAGTCTTGGCGGCGACGAGGTCTGCCTTTTTCTCGTACCGCTGTGCAAAAGCCTTATCTTAAATGGGGAAACAAGGCCCGTGTCTTGGATAATTGATTCGTGGAACAAGGCCCGGATATCGGTCCCATGATACTGCTATTACGTTTCATTATCTCCCTCAATTCCGGCCTGGCCGGAATCAATCCGGCCTCAAGATATAAGCGACTTCGGGAAGCCGAGAGATTGTGTTTCCGTATATCCTCAACTTCCTCATCCCGACAGAAGCAAAAGTCTTGGCTTTCTACTCGAGCTTATCCTGAACGTCTCCTTCGACGTTGACACATCATGCCTTCATCTACTTCTTTCTCCTTTCCTGTCATGGCGGACACCAAACCAGAGGACCGGTCTCTTCCAGCCTTCATGGTGTCCAAAACTCGAGGTTTCCTTCCAAGGCAGGAGCCGATTGCTGAACTTCCCATGGAGTTCCAAGCTGTCGAGTCGTTGCTTCAACGTATGCCAGTGAAGACCCTATCCGGCGAGCCAGGGCTACTTGCCACGTTCACTTTTGGTGACACTGTGGAGAAAGAACTTCCCGACCTTAGCGTTGAAGTAGAGAAGTATCGAGATGATCTCGTTGTCATGAATGCTTTGTACAGGGACTATTCGTTCCTTGCGTCGGCGTACCTGCTTGAGCCGTGTCACGAACGTTTCTTGAAAGGCGAGGATTATGGTTTAGGCAGGCAGACACTGCATCGTAATATTGCTTTGCCAATTGTCAAGATTGCCGAAATGTATGTTCCCTATTCATTTCCATGTCTAGATCAATCATCGCCTGAGCTGATCACATATCCTTGTAGTGCTGGGTTCAAGCCCTTCATGGAATATGCAGGGTCGTACGCGCTCTTCAACTATCGCCTAGAAAATCCTGATTTAGGTCTCGAGTATGGAAACTTGCGCCTTGTTCGTGCTTTTGAGCACGGTCTTGACTCATCTTCCTCCGAGGCAGGTTTCGTTCTGGTGCACATCGCCATGGTCAAAGAGTCCGGTGCCTTGGTCAAAGGCACAGTGGAGATGCTCGAAGCAGCCAACGAGAAAGACCGCGAAAAGTTCAACGATGGCTTGCGGGCATTGGTTGATGGATTGCGTAAAGTGAATGCAGTGATGAACAGTGAGCCATCTCGAAACATCTGTCACTGTCCCCGCAACGGGATCTGACCAGCGCCCAGCTATGTGGAATCGCAGCAAGCCCCAAGGCTATACGTCCTTCCGGACGTTCATCTTCGGAATTACATCGCAGTCTATGTTCCCCAACGGAGTGGTCTATGATGGCGTGAGCGAAGAACCGATGAGCTTCAGAGGAGAATCCGGAGCTAACGACTCAATGGTACGTTGCTAAATAATGGACAAGGCTTCTGATTAACCAGTTGCAGATCCCGCTGTGCGATAATCTCCTTCAGATCCAGATGCCCGAGACGCCACTCACTGAAATCCTCAAGGACTTCCGCCAATACCGACCAGGAAACCATCGCGAGTTTCTCGAGGCCGTACGCGATGGAGCGCAGTCGGCAGGCGTCAAGTCTTTCGCATTAGAGGACTCCGTATCTGCCGCCCTTTATCTTCAGGCACTGGACCAGAACCGCGATTTCCGCTGGCGTCATTGGTGCTTTACTAGGGAATACATCCTCAAGCGCACAGCGCACCCCACAGCTACGGGGGGCAGCCCCATTGTTACGGTAAGTGTTGGGGCTGATGCGAGACGTGCACAAACATGTGCTGACACTACTCAGTGGCTACCAAATCAGCTACAAGCTGTCATGATGCAAATGGTGGAGACATATGGCTATTGCAAGTCGGTTCATGGGACAGAAGATATTATGGATACGGTAAATCTGCAAAGAGAGACGCTGAGAAAGGAGGTGGAGAAGTACTGTGGCGAGCGAGGTGTGGGTGTCGTTGCATCATGAGACTGATGTCTGGTTGGCCGCAATCGGTCGCGGGCACGTGTCAAGACTTAACATATTAGAAATGAGTGGTGGTCAACTGAAGATTATTGTTTCGCGTCGTATTGCGCCCTTCAAAGGATGTCGCCCTTCGTGAGTGTGTGGTGATGTTGCATGACTGACTCAGTCCGAAGATGCGGTTACGTCGATGACTCTTTATCGATAAAGCTAAATAGGGCAGGCCCCCGCAGCTTTCCATCTGATTAACAGCTGGAGAACGCTCATCAACTGCCAGTACAATTGCCACCGCTATTCATGCCAACGATACGCCAACTGATGGAATACTTACTCCCAACACGAATACATACATTACTACATACACGAATACGGCACTTCACCTGACTGAACGCTCACTACCGACCCGCATCGTCATAACATCATCCTGACACCCCAAGCGCTACCCAGTAACATGGCTTCGAGACAGCCAAAACCCAGCCAGAGCCCTATGGACCGGCGGAAAGGCGAGAGCGTAGGTCTTCTCTACAAGCTGTCGATAACTAAGCTGATCAGTCCATGCGCAGGCTCTCAGCGACTTCGCCGATTATGTGCAGAAGCAGCAAGCGTTGCGCCGCCCTCCCGGCCAAACCCCCGCTATCGAAGATCAAGACGAGGCCGACGAGCTTAGCATTCTGGACCAGTTGGGTCTGACCGACGATGCCTCTGCCCGCGTCCGACTTAAGACGCTGCTGCTAGACCCTACTGAGGAGCATACCGACGCGCTCGCCGAACATGTAAAGGCGCGGCTAGATGAGGGACACGGTGAGGCGCTTTTTGACGTAGGTCTCGAGGATAGTGGTGATTCGATGGCTTTCTCAAAAGAAGACTGGGGAACCGCACTGAAACGACTGGATGCGGCATGCGAAATTGCCAAGGCCGACTATAAACTGTTGATGACAAGAAACGTGGGAGCAGTTGATGAACTGGAGGTCGGACCAAGAGACAAGCAAGATACGGGTGCAAGCGGGAAGCTGATATTGCGGCGGCGGCCAGAGTCAGTAGACGATGTCATTGAAACTCGAATAGCAGTCGTCGGAAATGGTGGGTAGCTATACTGCTTCCACAAACCTACTAAGCTGACATTGATATGCATAGTTGATGCGGGGAAAAGTACCATGTTGGGAGTTCTAGTCAAGGGTGGCCTAGATGACGGTCGCGGAAAAGCGCGTGTGAACCTCTTCCGCCACAAACATGAGATTGAGAGTGGCCGGACCAGCTCAGTCGGAATGGAGATCATGGGATTCGACAGCAAGGGCGAGATCGTGGTTTCTAATGTCTCGGGTCGCAAACTTACTTGGGAAGAGATTGGTCGACGTTCGGTATATTCACTCGACTGTCAGGCGATGTAGGCAAAGGCTAACTTCTGCAGGCTAAAGTAATTGGCTTCACTGACCTGGCAGGTCACGAGAAGTATCTCCGGACCACTGTGTTTGGCCTGTTGTCCAGCGAGCCCAACTACTGCCTACTTATGGTTGCGGCGAACAATGGCCTGGTCGGTATGAGCAAGGAGCATCTAGGCATTGCTTTGGCGCTCAACGTGCCTGTCATGGTCGTCATCACCAAAATCGACATATGCCCGCCCCAGATATTGGAGCAAACAATCACGCAGTTGACCAAGATTCTCAAGTCACCCGGCGCTCGAAAAATTCCTATTTTCATCAAGAATCGCGAGGAGTGCATCAACACGGCTACGCAGTTCGTCTCGCGTAGGATATGTCCCATCTTTCAAGTGTCCAACGTCACAGGTCATAATCTGGACTTGGTCCGCACATTTTTGAACATCCTCCCGCACCATGGGAACTATGACAGCTCCGCTCCATTGGAATTTCATGTCAACGACACCTTCTCTGTACCATTCGTAGGCACCGTGGTCTCAGGCGTTGTCAAGTCGGGTGTAATACACACTGGCGATACTATATTAGTTGGACCGGACAGCTTGGGACAGTTCACCACGTCCAAAGTCCGTTCGATCGAGCGAAAACGAATCCAGGTACCTGGCTGTTCGGCTGGGCAATCCGGCAGTCTCGCACTGCGCAATGTCCGGCGGAAAGACGTACGAAAAGGTATGGTCGTTCTGCACAAAGCAGACAAACCTGACCCCACGACTGGTACCATTCCCATGCCCAAGGTGTATCGCGAGTTCGTTGCCGAAGTGTTGATCCTCTCTCATGCCACTACCATTAAGACAAAGTACCAAGCTATGTTGCATGTTGGTCCCGTTTCGCAGACATGCGCCATCATCGACATTGATCGCCAGTACATTCGTACCGGTGACCGGGCGCTTGTGGCATTCAGGTTCGTACAGAGACCTGAGTATCTGACCATCGGCGATCGAATACTCTTCCGCGAAGGCAGGACAAAAGGATTGGGTATAGTGAAGAGGGTGGGATACGATTCAAAGCAGCCGCTCAATCCCGAGGCGTCCAAGCCGGTTGAAAGCAATGCTGGTGGTGGTAAATGAAGCAAATGGGCTGTATTTATGGAGCCGCACTCATCATACCGCGGATGCGTTGGATGAAGATACCAGTCAATGTCCATTGCTCTTGACTTTCTACAATGCATATTCACAGCTTGATGGAGAGAGAGAAAAAATACACACCTACCTAGGTATGTATGTCCGTATTTACTGCCTTAAGCATAATTGATGAAGAATCGCATTTGAGTGTATCTCACAAGTATGGAGTTCTTCCAAGTAGTAGGTTTCGATCTCCACCACAACTCAAAATGGAGTTTTACATTCAAGTTCTCGATTTCAAATGTTTCGAACTTTGATTGTCGGATGACGGCCTGACGCACGTGATTACGCGACTCGCAATAATTACATACACTTGACCCAATGGGGGCTGTTGCCTGAATACTAAGTACATTCTCGAGGCAACAACCGACTAGTTATCATTTAGTCTCGTGCGACAAAAAAGCTTTAAAGGAGACGGGGACACGGAATTCAATTCTTCACGTTCTTCCATCTAACCTACTACGCTGACAGGCATCTCTATTGGTCTTTCTTGAAGTCATGGCACGAACTACTGCCAAACGACGCAAAAGCGTCAGTAATACTGCGACGAAGACACCAGCGCCCAAGCGAGTCAAGAAGACAGACGAAACGCTTGATATGAGCAAGCAGAGAACCGCAGATGCAACTAATCAACCACTCGGAAGCCGCAACGAGATGTAAGTGATGATCATACGCACCAATTCCGCGACCGATTACAGTACATGTATCAATGATGTACAGCTCACACGTGTTCTAACATGCATTAGCACCCTGGCAAATCGCCAAAATTCACCTCTTCTGCGATTGCCCACGGAGCTTCGAGACATGATCTGGACCTACGCCTTTGGGAACCGTACCTTGCACCCTCGTACCACTCGTGCGTATACTGCACTTGGTGTCGGGAAAGTATCCTTTAACCGATGCACGGAGAAGTTCTCCGACGCTGAGATTTATGAGTTATCGCGCAAGGGCGCCAAAGAAGATGATGAATATGCCTGGAAAGCAAGCGTGCTTAACGAGCCCGTTAGACGCTATGCCCCATATGGGGTGAATTCTATCGGCTTCCATGCATGCCCCCACGACTCAGATGTTTCATTCCTACAAGACGGGGAACTAGTTTGCCAGCAAATGCGGAGAGAGGCAGTCCCTATTAAATGGAAGAAAACTACATTATGTTTCAACGATTCAGAGGATTTTGTCGACTTCATCAAGCATGCTAGTAAAAGTACGAGTTTGGTCGACGTGCAGAGTAACCAAACCGTGGTACCCATACATCTAGTTGAAGAGATCACATTCACTTCAGGAGGCCTTCGTAACGGTTGGACCGCAGCGCTGAAACCATCCAACGTCGAGTGTTTCCAAGGTCTGCTCGGCATTCACCTCCTTGTTGCTATGTGGGACTGGGAGCATTCACGCACAGGGAAGATGGGTGATTTGGAAAAAGAATGGCCAAGCTCTTCCCGTCACGTACCCAACATCTGGAAAGAATTCCAGATGCTCCAACTTCGGGAGGACAGAACCACGGTTTGGATCCCAGGCGGTTTTACTTCATCACAGCATCGCGAGGAGTCAATGGCTGCGCCCATCAATCAAGGTGGACTTATAATTCCGCCAAAGGATGCTCTCTCGGTTCCTCAACGGTTAGAGCTCGCAGAAAGGGTCAAAGTTTTGCTTTTAAAACACAAACCTAGGAGACGCACAGGGAGGGGAAGGTGATGATCAAGTGCCCTTCGATGGGATGTACATTCGATACTTGGTCTCTTGTTATGATGCATCTTATGCATTGCAACGATCGAGAATCATACCGTGGGTAATACAGCAGTCATATACAATAGCATCTTGGTCGTGTTGAATAGAGAGCAGGTTGGCAAACGAGACTACATGTGCACTATATGTTCCTAAAGCAGGCAGCTGCAAGTGGCGTAAGCAATCCCCTATCAAGAATTAGAACTATGCATGTTTCCACAGGCAAGTATCGCTCTTCAAGTGAGTTATTCTAACGTTGCTCTCTAGTCCTGCTTACGTGATTACGTGAGACTGGCACGAGACACGTGTGCTCTTCCGCCAGCTGGTATTCAATAGTTTATATCGTATGGCTTCATCGTTGCTTCAGTACCTTGCGAAAAGACCTAGCGATATCGCGTCAAAAATTCAGAAGTGCCTGCCGATACCATGTCTTCAGAGGAAATTGGTGGCACGGGAACCATGAGCCAGCCCGTAGACATGTGAGTCAAGATACAGCAATCCAGTCCCAAGCATCATTCATGCTTTTCGATAGCTGATCATAGCATTGCTAGCACGCTACAAAACCAAAAAAGATCGCCCCTATTACGCCTGCCAGCCGAAATCCGGGAAATGATCTGGGTCTATGCCTTTGGAAACCGTGCCCTCCATCCAATCAGTAACCGGAAAGTCGGACCTGCAAAAAGAATACGGTTCTATCCATGCCGCGAACAACTCTCCGACACCGAAATCTACAAGCTCACGCGTCTTGGTGCCAAAAAAGGCGACGAATGTGCATGGGGTGCGGATCGTTTGTATATGCACCCCGGGGTCGACGATCGCCTTGCTGGGATGCATAATTGTGTAGGAGAAGGATGGCCCGTCGTTCCGTTTCTGCATGAAGCAGTGATTTGTCGGCAGATTTGGGCCGAAGCGTTCCATTTACTTTGGAAGAGTACGACATTTTGTTTTGAGAATGATCACGATTTTTTGCATTTCACCGATCAGGCGGTTAAGCCGAGGGCAGTGTCATTAAATCAAGACACTACCGCCGGCGACGATAATGCTGCACCCATTCCACCCGTTGAGCTGATCAAGGAGATCACCTTGCTCGTCAGGGACATCTGGAAAGGTTGGAGGTTCAGTTTTAATAGTTACAAATACGACGGCCGCTATCAAGGTCTAATCGGCGTACACCTCATTCTAGAGTATGATGGATTTTACCTAAGTGGTTCCAAACCCGGATGGGAGTGGCCTAGCGACAAATCAAATAGGCCAAGAAGCTTATACAAAAAATACATACCGTTCGGGCTACGGGAGGACCGCACTACGGTGTGGATCATAGGTCATTATCCTGTACAAAGGGGTGATGATCAGCCCTGGTATAAAAAGCTGACGATTGCTCAGAGACTGGAGCTTGCGGATATTGTCAAAGGGTATGTATTGGGATATGTACCAAAGAAAAACTGATAATATCCTGGACGTTGGATCATCCTCGGTGTAATGGGAAGCGACACGGCGTACCGATATCAATTTCTGTTTGCATTCTCGCCCAGGGTCTTGGGGCTATAAGGCGATTAGGACAGAAATCGCAGTATCAAGGGTTTGGGCATAGATACACACTGCAACGAGTGACGTGAGGTCAGTGGATGCCTAACGTGAGCTGTTATGTGAGTCGGCTTGGTATGATGCAAGTACTCTTTGCATGTGGTTCCCGTGGCAGTCCAATAGGATTGACTGCAATTCATCTCATCCTCAATACAAGAATACTCAATCAATCTCAATGGTCCAAATTTTTACCCAAGGAAGTAGTAAGACGCGCACCTGATATCTTCTCCCAAACACCAATGGGGTTGTGGAGCTGTTTTCATGAGATTACCTTGTAGATGTTCACCTACCAATAAGCTGGATCAAAATGGGAAAAGAAGAACCGTGTTTTCATCGAAAAAGGAAGAGATGATATTTCTGTAAGAACCGGAGATTCGTATCGGAAACTACCAATTACCTTTCAAGACTCATTGGATACTGTCATGTAGATGGGTTTTCTGTGGCGCGGTAAGAGTGGCGTTGCGGAGTGCTGGGGTGCCCTGCAAGTATAAGTTGCACGCCCCTCCCCATTATTTTCGGAGCTAGAAACATCGTCCACCAGCGCTATCACAAAGTCACACTCGCATACAGACCCTCGCGATCCAACACTCTCACCACACTCAATCCATTGCCATCGGCTTCAGAACCTTCTTGTCTGGAGTTTTTTGGCGCTCTTGACATCCGATTCCTCCGCCACACCTACACATCAGTTCGCCATGGCACCTCCGAGAATAAAAAAGCTCACCGCGCAGCCGATCCGCACACGTCATTTTGCAGGCAAACCCGCAGCCGCCGAAGTCGAAGATCCATCAAGCAGCTCCGAATCCGAGTCAGAACAGGAAGAGGTCAAGTCGAAGCCCTTCCTCAAGCCCAAGGCCGCGCCTCTTGCCTCCTCATTCCCCAAAGCAGCCCTGAAAGCGAAACTTGCGGCGCGGAAAAAGCCGGAGGTACAAATAAATCAAGACGAGTTTGAGACGGAAAGCGAAGGGGAGGAGGACGAATCAGACAACGAGGGTAGTGGGAGCGATAGCGGTAGTGGAAGCGACGAATCATCGTCCGAAGAAGAAGATAGCAGCGAAGACGAAGCACCAAAACTATTACGGCCCGTATTCCTCAAGAAATCCCAACGCGACCAAGTAGCAGCTCCTGCAAAAACCGCCGAGGAATTACACGCCGAGGAGGAGAAACGGAAACAAGAACAAGCCCGCGCGCTTGTCCAAGCACAAATCGAACAGCGCGCCGCCGCAAAAGCAGCCGGCACAAAAGACTGGGACGATGACGTTGAAGAAGCAGACATCAACGCCATAGACGACACAGACCGCACAGATCCAGATGCCGAATACGCAGCCTGGAAACTCCGCGAGCTAAAACGCATCCGTCGCGAGCGCCTCGCCATCGAAGAAGCAGAAGCCGAGCGTGCAGAAATCGAGCGCCGGCGCAACCTCACAGACGCTGAGCGGGAAGCCGAGGACCGCGAGTACATTGAGAAGCAAAAGGAAGCCCGCGAAGGCGACCGCGGCGATATGCAGTACATGCAGAAGTACTTTCACAAGGGCGCCTTTTTCCAGGAGGAACTCAAGGAACTCGGCATTGATAAGCGCAATGCCATGGGCGCCCGTTTCCAGGACGAAACAAATCGCGAACTTTTACCGGAGTATATGCAGATTCGCGATATGACGAAGCTTGGTAAAAAGGGCCGCACGAAATACCGCGATATGAAGAGCGAGGATACGGGGACGTGGGGCGATTACGCCGATGTGCGGCGGCCGAAAGGCGATTATGGTCTGGATGAGCGGTTTCGCTCGGATGGCAACGGCGGCGGCGGTTACCGTGGACGCGACGGGGAGGGCGCGACGGGCGCGAATGCAAAACCGCTGGGAATGGAACGGAAACGGGGTGGTGAGGCGAGTGGTAGTGGAGATAGGGATTCAAAGAAGCCTAGGACTGATTGATTGATTGATTGTTTGTTTATAAACGCAATATACCCCTTTTCAAATCCAATCAATAACCAATCCTGTGATATGTCTCGCATTGAATGGAATACCGGAGTAAAGCAGTACCATATCGTACGAAAATGATGGCAATTGTGCGTCTTGTTAGTGGTGCACCATCATACTAGCAAATATGCATCCTTGGTTCACCATGATATACTTATCAAGAATGGATTTCTTTTGCAGACGACTTGGAATTTCGGACCCTCTTCCCACATTTCAGAACGACAGCCACAGTGAAACAAAGCGCCACTTTGTGATAAAGATACAAACCATTAGATGTTTCGTGTATTAATATCGTCAGTGGGTTGGCCTGGAGTACAGCAAGTGGGAGTTTGTGTTATTTCTATTTTCGATGAAAAGCAGTTTTTGAGCGAAGAGTAAAGTTCGATCAACTGTAGCCGCGGATTTTTCAACTCTATGGCAGTAGAAGAGCTACATAGCCTCTTATCGATCTGCATTCCTCATAAGTCTCGACTATTCGGGGATTACTTAAAATCGCAATGTTTTTGTAACTTCGTTTTCGAATATTAGGCATAAGTTCTAGATGTGATGGAAAGCAAGAGTAATGAATACATTCTGCAAATGAGCGAAACCAATGGTTATGGTATATAATAATTGGATAGTAAATTGGGAACGCTTGCGCCAAAGCTCTTACATAATGATAAGTGACATTGAACTTTTCACTTTCTAAGTGTGCTATCCATCCACGCACATCAAGCGTGTCTATATAAGATACATATACAATAAGAATAACGAGAACAAGCCCCAGGCTATCCCAGCGTCAAGCAAATACCCAATGTTCAAAATAAAAACGGAAATGAAGGAAAATCCAGTCCTCCTGTAATATACGCCAAGTTCCCTTTCCCACCTAGTAACGTGATCTTAGAAAGTATAAAACCTAAGCAGCAGCTTGTTGCGCGAGGAAGTTGGTAGCAGCTGCAGGGCAGCCCTGACCCAATCCGTTGAGGTTCTGCAAGACGATAATGCTTGTTCCGATTCTCGCCTTCTCGCTCGCGCTCGAGTTGTCCGTGGGGAACTCCACTGGTACACCCTCCGAGTTTCCGGCAGCGGCAGCGGCTTGAACCTTTTGGATGAATTCCTGGCGATCAGGTGGGCAGCTGCACGGGATCTTGACGTTGTTGTTTCCGATACAGTTGCCAGCGCCATCGGGCTGTTGGCCAGCTTCGATACCGAACTCGGGGACAAGTGAGGCGTCAAAAGCGCCATTTTGACCAGCCTGTCCGTTGCCATTGTTTGCGTTGCCGTTGGCGTTGCCGTTGTTGGCTCCAGCTTGAGCTCCATTGCCGTTGTTTGCGTTGCCGTTGCCATTGCCATTGTTGGCTCCGGCTTGGGCTCCATTGCCGTTGGCGTTTCCGTTGTTTGCATTTCCTGCTGCTGCTGCTGCAGTGTTCTGAGGAGCTTGGTTGTTCGCTGCGCTCGTCGCGGCTCCAGCTTGAGCACCGTTGCCCTTCCCATTGCCCTTCCCATTGGGAGCAGCAGTGGCAGCGGGGGCTTGGGCTTGAGCTTGGGTTTGAGCCCCTGCGGCAGCACCGTTGCCTTGTTGAGCAACTGGAACAATGTTGTCTTGATTGTTCTGGTTGTTTTGGCCAGCAGGTCGTCCTATACGGGACTTCCCATTTCCATTGCCCCTCTGGGGAAGCGCAGTGTTGAGACCCGCAAGAGCGGCGACAAGGACAAGAGAGAAACGCATATTGAATGAATGTAATATAAAGTAATGATAGGTAGTAGAGAGGCCTGCTCAAAGATATAACAGACTAAACTCAAAGGGTATCTCAAGAAGGTAAAGGACAGTGATAGAATGAAAAGGCAAACTCAAGAGAGCATGATGGACTGAAAAACCGTGAGAATAGCGATGTTCTTAAAGGCTTCAGTTGGTAGGACCAGCAGCGCCAAAGTTTCCTACTCCCCAGCCTCCTGAGTCTCAGTTTTCCGCAACCTTCCTGTCTTGGTGATGATGATCTACTATCCTCTGAGGTCGTGGTAATTGTGAAATCCTGGGTTATGCCTCAGATCCTGAATGAAACTCAGGCTAGGATTCAGGTTCGACATATCACAGCGTACTTGTGGAAACAAAGCGCGGGGTTTGAGGCAAAGATCTCTAGTAAATTCCAAACACAGCGCTAAATATCTGGTTTCACAGTCTGGACAAATGATCCTTGGGCGCGAAGGCCAAGCATCGCAGAGCGCGCACATGGCTGTTCACAATGCAAATGCTGGAATCGTAGCTAATTCTGAAGCTCTGAGAATCCGTCCGGTTCATGCGAGGAATGTTGCAACCTATATGTTCTTTCTCGCGAGAGAATGCATGGTTCCGGACTTCGTGTTGTGGTACATTCGGACTAGTTTTGATGTTTCACAATTGCCATCGCGAGGTCTGAAACGACTTACGGGGCTGTGCCGAGTTCACATTGGTGTTCCTGACAAGTTTCGCATAAATGAGCGCCATTGATCGACCAAACGTTCATTGGTGGGTACGTTTTGATCTCTATCGCCAGCAAACGTGCGGGTTTGCTCATCAGCGGTTATAGTTCGTTGTCTGACTCATTATTCGCAGCTGGAGGCAGCGATAACAATAACCTATACTCGATAAGTAGGAAAACACGACAATATTGCTTCAACATGCTCGCAATACTTGCCCACATGTTGCGTGTGTTCATCGCCTGAATAGTCGTTATACCGATTTTTTTTTTCGCATGACATTCGATCAAAACTTATTTTCACGGCACAAAATGATGCGCTTCACATGCAATTCGTTCCAGGAATGAATGGTCCAACCCACCTCATACACAGTACGATAGAGGCGGAAGATCATCAACACGTGTTTGCTTTTTCGGCTTGTATCCGCTCTATTCCAGCTAGATATATTCTCCTTAACAAATTTAAACTGTTTCGTGACTTCAATGCCTGGTACAAATAAGTGACAGATTGTTATGCTGTTCTGGGTCAACTATGGTTTGGAAACGTCGGTGATCCATGGTACACTAGAACGGCAAAGTTCAAGGCCGGTCAATCATTGATCTCCTCTGCGCACTTGGAAGTTCGACATTATGATTTCCTCGGAACATATGTTGTAGTCGACCGTCATTCTATACCCAACCATCATCCGATAAACACCCGCATTCTTGAAAGTGTGTTTTGCCTGTGTTTGTTCATTAAGAAGCGGTTTATATCTAATGCTTGCATTTCCATTGGGGAGACGAGGCACGATTTGGCAGACGGCGTCTCGCTTATGTCAGCTCCAGCTCTAGTCGGGCGCCTCCCAGATCACTCTTTTGGTGGAGACCGAGTTGTTCTTCTCCTATCTACTGGTGTGTTAATGTCTAATCTGAAACTACATCAAATTCCATTCCAGCATCTGAAGGTCGAGTCTCATTGAACACAAAACATTTTCTCCGCGGAAACCACGAAATAACGACCACGATAGAGAAAAGTGCATGTTTAGAGGATTCGGTAAAACTTCTAAAGTTGGTAAAAGCGCCCCACTGGAACAAAGCATCCAATGAACGGTCATATACCGGTGTAATCGACGATGCCCCTCGTCAGCCTATCTAAAAACGAAACTTGGTGCGTATGTTGCATGCCAGTGAACGAAAACTCATCTACTTCGGACCTCTACTCCACCACACCGCCCTCTTTCGATGGTGAAGTTATCGCATAGGGATTCTATTCTAATTCTTCAGCCTCAACCAGCACCATGGGCGCCGAAAGCATCATGAACCAGAATGGGTTCACTGACAATACCCCTCGTACCCAAGACGCTAGACACCTCATTGAAGTCCGCGATACGCCCCAAAGTGGTCTTGGAGTCTTCGCCGTAGCACCCATTCCTCGCGCGACCCGCATTCTCTCCGAACCTCTCCTGCTCGCCCTTGACGGGGGTGAAAATCCGACCGAAATCTTGAAGGCTGTAAACAAACTTAGCAAGGAGGATAAAGCAAGATACCTTGAGCTTCACCCTTTCGCACCTCCAGTGCGGAAGGACCTCGCGAAGAAACACATGGGAAAGCGTTGGCAGGATCTAGCCCAGTGGGAGCGTGATGCGATAGGCGTATATGATGCCAACAGCTTCGAAGTTGGTGTTTACTTTCTACCATCACGCATCAACCACTCGTGTCTTCCGAATGTGCATTATGAGTACAATCCTGCTATCGAGAAGGGGACATTCCATGCCGTGAAGGATATCGCCGAGGGAGAGGAGCTATTTATTTCGTATATCAACGGCGGTTCACGGCTCAGGAAATGGAGACAACCGAAACTAGACATGTGGGGGTTTGTCTGCCAGTGCGCAGCATGTGGTAATGACGCCGAGGGGAAGAAGAGAGAAGAGCGTCGCAAGGAAATGTTTGACATTGATCAAAAACTCGCGAAGCAGAGTGTATACGGGACCGAGATGACATCCGCTCAAGCATTGAAAGCTGCTACACGGCTAGCAGGACTACAAGTAGCCGAAGGGGTCCTCAATCGTGAGCTCCGCACGTCATATCATGACGCAGTGAGATATTGTCTGGAGATGGGCAATGTGAAGCTGGCGCTACTTTGGGTGGAGAAAGAACGCGCTCACGAACTGATCTGCGTGGGAGAAGACCATCCGATATATCAGACGGTTGCTGCGAGGGCAAATCTGTTGAAAGATGTTGACGCTGGAACCGCGACGTTAGATCAGTCCATACTCGAATGCTTTCACTGATCTACCCCGCGTGGTTGTACACTAAGCACCCCCTGTCTAGCTCCGTCTCTCATCAACTTCATCAACGACACGACAAAGATGCATGTGATGAAGAACTATTGGCATCTTGAGCACATAAGGCTGCGGGACAGGGCACAGCAGGTTTTGGAATTGCCACAAGGGTTTCCGATACTCTGCATCCCAAGTCCAGGGCAAACCGTTACGTCAATTGTAGTTTGTCACTATCGGCCTGGAGATTCTATCATGCGGTCATAGCTGGCCGTGAAATGCTTCATAGAGGTGCATAGCAATGATGTGCAGAAGAATTGCAGTCAGCATGTCAGCATGTCAAGAGTCGAGCAGATCGTAGTCCAGGCTTGGCGTCAGTTCATCGTCATAGACTCCGTTGCACGACTCAGCCCCATCTTGTATCTCCCGATCATTATCCAACCAGCATTGAAAGCTTCTAAATTCAGTCAGCTGATTGTGTATTAATCGTTGACGTTGGTTGAATACAAGGAATCGGTTCGCATTCGTTTAGTGCTACGGAATATCAAGTGAAGTGGTGACGTTGACATTACAGGCAGTCAATGCGTTACTTGGCTTCTAGAGTGCATATAAAGAAGCTACTTAACACTATCATTCACAAGAAGCATCCCCAATATATAGTCTACAACAGATTATACATTCTCAATCTCACCAATCTTCAAAACCAACTTCGAAATCACGAAATATGCAAAACGAGCGCGGTCAGGGTGTATCCCACGCCACCGGCGGATCTAAAGTCCCTGGCTCTGTTCAGAACAAGGCCCCCTCTGGTCTTGAAGAGAGCCTTCCCAACCCTGTGTGTTTCTTCTCTTTGATATCTGAGATCATCACAGCACATACTAATTGCTGAAACAGGTACACGACACCACCGGCCTTGACGGACAAGACTCACAAGGAAAGGGCGTCAGCCATGCTGTGAACAAGCCTGGTGCATCGCATGTACCCGAGAAGATTCAAAAGGCTGTGCCAGAGAAGCTAGAGAGGGCGCTTCCTAACAAGATCCACGACACTGGACCAAAATAGTTGGACTGAACTTGTGGAATGACTCGATGAAATGAATCTCGAATATGAGATTATCAAGATAGTAATACGATTTTAAAGCAATGCAACACGTATATTTGTAAATTTTTGGACTTCAATAATGGCATTTGGCTTTCGAGATTCCCAAAGTTCTGGTATGATTGATCGATCGATGCTCAAACATGTAAAGGCGACAAATTAAACTACTCCAAACTTGCAGGGAGTAACAGGGTTAAGATCAAGCTGTATGCTTGAGGTTTTGTTTAAGGCTACTAGAAGATTGTGCAATGACTGGCCGTAGATGCAGGCGCATACGTACATAGACACGTTACGACTATTAATAAGTGCATGCTAAAATAAGCGATGGAGTAAAGATCGATCAGACTGAATAAACACAAGTAGTAGGGCCAGTTCATAGTGGATGGATATACACACCACTTGACATTTCACGTTTGCGCCACTCGAGGTATCCAGAAGTAAGACAGATGGCTTCAGAATCACAGCAATCGCTGATGAGCCACTGAATTTCTAACTTTTGACTGAATATGAAATACTTAGATCTACTATCCTCGACAGACAAATAAGAGCACTGCCCGATAAATGCATGTCTGGGGTACGCAAACGTAATCACGGATCAACACCATAATAATAATTCTTTGGTATGTAAAGTGTGATAACAATAATGCAAAGGGGTATCAATTGAGCAACTACGAACTGAAATACGAAAACTACCATTCCAACCGGTCATCACAAGTAAGCTTGACGCTTCCTCTATCGTCGCCCCTCCACACATCACCACCCCTGTTCAAACCCGCTACGATACTCCTCAACTCGCTAATCATGCCTCCGGGGCCAGACGCGAAAACATCTGTCGATCCCATTACCGTCCCTGCCACGAAATCTCCAACCGCAGCATGCAGATCTGGCCTGGCTTGGATATGATCAACAGCCATATCAGCCTTAGCCACACCATGCACAGAAAGCGCCGATGAGACTGATGCGGACGATGAATCAGAGGATGACCCCGCAACCTCAATGTCGGTAGCGCAAGCATTCTTGGTAGCTTTCTCGGAGATGGCGGGAACAGTAGGATCGTGCGAGGCATCTTCGGCAGCACGTGTGACGTAGATGTGGATGCCGGCGCGGAGGGCTTTGCACTTTCGCTTCAGAGTGGCGAGTTCAGGTGCCACCCAGTCGATATCGCGGCGCCGACGCACGACCCAGATAAGAGAGATCTTGCGATCGCGGGGTTGTGGACGGGATGCGATGTCTAGGAGGACAGGGAGTACGTATGTGATTCCAGTGCCTCCGGCAATGCAGAGAACATTGGTCTCCGGAGCGAGGTCGCTCACGGTGTGCTCACCGTAGGGACCAGTTAGGAGGACTTTGAGTTTGTTGTCGGATTTGGATCCGTTGACGGAGTTTTCTGGGGCAGATATGAGGCGTTTCGCTGAGAGTTCGGCAATCTTGCGAGTTTCACCCTGCTTGGCACGGAAGATGTAAGAGTGGCGCTGTGTGTCGGCACCGTAGATGGGGAGGCTGTGTGGGGTGAAGGGGTGAGACTGCCAGATGGTACTCTCAGGGAAAGTAATGTAGAAATGCTGACCAACGGCCCAGGCGTCGTGGGCGTGGTCAAAGTCGAGACGAATCACGTGGCCATTGATCTCATCGCCGAAGAAAGTTACGTTTGCAGGGACTGCGCCGAAACCCATATGACCGGAAGGCAGGAAGTTGTAGTGCAATAGTGCAGTCCTTCCAAGCCGAATAGCACGATCGAGGAACCAGACAATCAGACCAGGAATGAGGAAGACTTTGAGCTGCTCCCAATGGCCGTAGCAGGCGCCAATATAGACCATGGCGAGGATGTAGTGTAGTTTACGGAAAACCTCATAGCCTGTCATGCGGATGCCCCATGGCGTGGATAAGACGACGAGAGCCAAGAGGATGATCATAGCGACAATACCCCAAATTATGTAGAGCTGGTTGACCCATTCTATAGCAACAGTGGGTTGAGGCTGGTATAGTCGCAACTCAATAATCAACCAGCCAATGGTATGAAGGGTCGACTGGACAAAGATAACATAGCCTAGCCATCTGTGGAGGAAATTGAAGCTCTGATAAGGCAGGCCAGTAACGAGAGACAGGATAGATTCACGACTAGACAGCATAATCGACAGTGGGGTCAAAGCATAAGCGATGACACCTATTCTGTCAGACCAGGGTCCGAGTCCCGTGCGCGTGTTGTATACACCAGGCATTTTCTTGACAGGCGTAACCCATTTCTTGTAGACGATACCCACAAAGGTCCAGATGGTGAGGTATCCGCAAAGCACCAGCAGAGTCAGGACCTGAGTGCGGGTTACACGGCCAAAAAGAGCCCTGGACGCATCCGGCAGTAAATAACGGCGGGCATACGACGAAGCAGCAAGCGGTAATCGCTGGAGAGCGCTCTTTTTGGCGTGGATGCCTTCTCCATCCTGTGGCAGCTGAACACCCGCTGGGTGTGTGCGCAGGAAATGACGTCCAATTGCCCAGATGAGGAGGATACCGCCTATCGTGGCCCAGATGATGCCGGTGTAGTACATGCCCACGTCGTGGCCATGGTAAACGGCATCCAAATATTCGCAGGAGCCTGGGTCGTTGGTGCAGGGGACAATACGGTCGGCATAGCCCCAGTGCGGCTCAACTTCGCTCGCGGTGCTGAAGTCCTGGATATGACGAGCGGACAGCGACATGATGAATGATGGGGGGACGAGGCCAAAGTCGATGCGAAGATTCAATGGCTGACCTGCCGGCAGTGATGGGAACCACGCGGTAGGATCTTTTATATATACTCCATAATGCAGCAAACAACCGAATCAGGACCCGGGGTATTGGATGACGGATCCTGACAAGTTGCGCAAATGGAAACAGTGCCAACAGCACCAACACCTCACCAAGAGTGGGTTGAGGTGGTTGTGATGATGGGACGAGGGAGCCAAGGCCGCAAGCGCAAGAAGGTTTGAGCAAGTTCCCCCACAATTCTTACGGTTTCTTTGCCACTAACGGGTAAAGACCCACGAAGACCCTCACGGCTGTTGCACGCCAATGGACTCCTAATGTACGTTTTGAGAGGATTCTGGACCGGCTGATCGGCTGGCCAAGTCAACCATGTGCACCATGATGGCACTGGCGACATTTGATAATAAGAGCGCACATTTGCCCAACTGTCTTCCACTCTTGCTGTAACTTGTCGATTTCGTTGCGAGGAACTTGATCCTACCCTACAACCAATTCCTTCCAATCTCCCTCCAATTGCCGTCGCAACCATGAGCCACCACAACACCGGCAATGCTACAGTTTTAGGAGCAGGTTCCTGCACCATGGAGGTATGTCGACAGATTATCGTCATAAGTCTTACTTCTCCATCGTGTGCTATAGTACTGACTTCTTTAGATGGTGTGGAACTGGAACGTTATCGACTCATGCTTCCTCTCTGGCTCCTGGCACGTCAAAAACAAATCCATGTTCGCCGCCAGCTGTGTCGGCGTCGTTTTCCTCGTCGTGACTCTCGAGTTCATGCGCCGTGTGAGCTCCGAGTGGGATGCTTTCTTACTGCGCTCATTCCAGCGGCGCTTGCGACTCCAACAGGCCGCTGTCGCCTCTGCCACCCCAGCAAGTTGTTGCGACGGGCCCGAATCCACATTCGTCGGCCCACAGTACGCTACGTTTCGCGCCACTGCTCTGCAACAGCTGTGCCGTGCGATATTACACGGAATCACCCTTGGCCTGGCCTACCTTCTCATGTTGATCATCATGTCTTTCAACGGGTACATTTTTATTTCTGTGGTATTGGGGGCTATTCTGGGCAAGTTTTTGTGCGACTGGATGGTGGTGCGCATTCCGTATGATGCCCCGAGGGGTAAAGAGAAGGATCAACGATCTTACTCCATTTCTGCTGCTGGGCCCACTGGGTGTTGTGCTTAAGCTCTGAGCGGATGAACAGATATGATTTTGGCCGGAGGATGTTTGTAGATACCCAATCGATTTACGATTTTTGATTTTTTGAGATTTTCCCTCAAGAAATATGAGATGTTGGTTGCGCAATATGGAACCAAAGACCAACAAGGAATTACTCGGGAGCACATGAACCCCTAGCATACTCCCAAACAAGCTGAATTTAAATCACTTTAATGGTCATTACAGACGTACTGGAATAACTTAATCGTGAATTGGGCCACACAACTCCTCTATCAGTCAATCGTTTCCTTGCACGAAAAGCACGAATGGTGTGAGCAATCGTTATAGCTCATACAATACGGATAGTTTCCTCAATTAGTCGATCATCCAAGAGCGCCTCACCTTTCATATAGCCATCTAGAAAACATTCACCTACAACAGTAAAATTATCTCTATCCTTAGTCCGTCTCAGTAGTAAAGGCACATTGCACCCAAAGAGGATGCAGACAACATCGCCCTTCATCGCTTTCTGCACGACCATACCAATACCACCATTGGTGCTCGTCATCAACCGCAGCGACATCCTTTCAACAGTATCGAAGAATCTGCCATAAAACGAATCATGCTGGAAAGCGTCCATGTTGAGTGGAATCGCAAAATCTATAGCAGTGGCCTTCTCTCCGTAGATATCGCGTAAGTGGTTCTCGAATGTTTTCCCTTCGAGGCGAAGTGATCGAGTTTGTTTGAACCAGTCCTGAAATGGGGAGCTTATATCGATTTTTTGACGTGAAACGAGAGCCAACGCCATGAATGCAAAATTATCAAAGAACTCTTGCATAGGCATAGGCTCTTGAAGGTACCGATCTTTGCGGTCGAGAACCAAGCACCTACAAATACTGGCCAAAATCTCCAACGATGACCGCGCAGGATTAGAGCACTGCAGATGCTTCCCTGAACTTTGGACGAGGTCGGAGAAATTGGACCCGGCTAAACCATCGACGGTATCCACGATATAGCCACGAGCGAGGAGAGTGGTCCCCTCGAATGAGTACACTGCTTTTTTGGTCCGTGATGCTTGGTAGCATGTGGAACTATTGTCACGGCCGAGAGCTCTCGGGGGTCGAAGGTTTCCAATGATTCGATTTGAGCTTTGGCTCACCATCAAAGGCGTGACTAGAGGACGCAAGCGCTTGCGCCAATCGGGGACCCAGGAAGGCAGTGTTGAACCGGGCGAGGCAGTGTATAGCGAAGCGAAGCTCAATATATCCAAAGATGCATGTTTCTCAATGAAAGACATCGCAAAGCCCAAATATACCTCGTCGACGGATCGTGAGTAGTCAATAAGCAAACCATGTTTCTCTGTGCTTAACCCTGTCAGTCCATATAGTCGATCGCGATCATCTGACGCTTCGTTGCTGGAGAAATATGCCACCAACCCGAGAAGAGGCATATTAAGATTAGATCCAGAAGATTGCCAAGTTCTGTACAGCTTCCACGCTCGTATACGACTGAATGCATGGTGAATCATGACGCTTTCCCTGAAACTTCGCGGGCCGCACTGATCAGCCACCATCAAAGCATCAAATACAACATCCCGACTGATATTTCGCTCTCCGCACCAGAAAGAGATGTCAAATGGGATGACGAATTCCTGAACTGTCCAGATCCTGGTCCACCATCTGCGGAGGAAGAACCTTTTGAACGCTTCCGAGTCTCTTTCGTACTTTTTATCCAGTAGGATTGCTCGCAATTCTTCTCGATCGACGACTTCTTTGTCCATGTTCCTGAGAAAATGCATAAAGTCCAGTGCCCGATTGCTATCCTCAGATTTTTCTCCCAGCCATATAATCACACTGGAAGCTCCATTGTAGATACTCTTCATCTGGGGCACTTGCTCGTCTCGCTCTGTTGTATTTGTCTGATCTATGCATATCTAAAGCCACGGGGTATGAAATTCAGTAAAGTTCAAGTAGAAGTGTTTCAAAACAGCCATATGCGACTTGACCTGGGAACATCGAACTTACAGAGTCTATCCACCACCATGTGTCATCCAGTAATGTACCTTTCGATCTCAACGCTTGCAAAAAAGACCATAAAGAATCCAGTACTGGGAGACTTTGTGCTCCGATTTGAATAGACCATTGTCTGTAGGGTGCGCTCTGGTCAGAACCCCAGGTGTAGGAGAGGGCGCTATACTTTGGATGCGGTGCTTCCTTGGAAAATGTCTCGAGCACTGCATGTACATCATCCGCGTCGCGAGTGAAGCGGCATAGACGAATCTCGTTGGATCGTATCGGACAATATAAGTATTTCCCTTTCTCTTCCATGTCTAATGATTACCCTGGATCATGAACCGTATCACGGGAGACGAACAACAGTATGACGAGACTTCTTCGTTAGACGATACTGCCTTTGAACGGTTTGGACAGTTTGTGAAGCCGCTGGCGCCTGATAATTGCAGTGGTAGTGAGGGTAAACTTATACGAAAGAGGTTTAAATATAGAAACCAGTCTTCGTCTTCCCCTGTTACCTGGATCGCTGCTCGTCACGAGGCTGGCGCCTACCGGCTGACTACCTTGCAACTGACCGGAATGCAGACATGGCAGCCTCGTTTTCAAGTTGACCACTACATCAGAAGTCCTCGGGCATGAAGTCGTTTAATGATCCGAATGCCGTAAACTCGTGTGAGATAAGAGAAAAAAGCCTGGTGCTACTGTCGCTCTCCGTTACACCGCGGCCTTACCCGTTATGGGCTAGTTCCTGCCTCCAATGTTGAGACCCGTCCCCTAACATGATTTTCACTCTGACGGACAAAAAACCACCACTCCGCTGCTGCAACTTGAATAGAGGTATAAAAAAATCAAAAAAATATATGAGCATATGCTGGATTGCATCCAACGGGAGTCGAACCCGTGCCAATTGCTGACTAATCATTGCTTACTAAGCACTAAGCGAATGTATGGAAGGCAATTATCCTACCGCTGGACCATGGATGCTTGGTCCCTGATGTGCTTGATTGCACGGTGGGTTGTAATTGATGGAATTGGAATGCGTTTCATCGATTATATAGCTTTCCAATTACACATTGCAAGCATCCACATGTGGCCCATCGCAGCGAAGCCTAAGCGAATCCGCTACCTAGGTAGCATCTTCACCATGCATCATCATAGGAGAGATAGTGTTTCTGTTGAATGACATACTTCTTTGACATTAAACTCAAACGACACTTTCATTTTCTCTATTCCAAGAGAAATCATCAGTCACTATGAGCAGAATGGCTGCACAAGTGGGAGAAAGGATGAGCCGTAGCGCAATGAGCAGTGCCGCCGACAAGTCGATCATCAATCGTTCAATCGAGTAATGCTATGTACGAAATCGATTTCATTAGCACAGAGGATTATAAGTTTCAAATCGCGCTTCTACACATCGCGTTTTCCCGAGTGAGACGGGTTGCAGGTAATTTGAAGACTACCCGGAAAAGAAGAGTGTTGGATGAGCGCGCACGCTTCAACGGCTCAGACGTGAGGTCGAATAAGCAAAGGTGGATCACTTCTGCATGCACTTTCCCGATGCTCTCATCTTTGCAGATATGACATCACGCTGGTATGCGATCACCGTATGGTTATTAGTCCCAGCCTTCACGTCTGACCGCCGCAACCACAGAGATTTCTGAAGTAGCCGTGACCACAAGACGGAACCGAGTACCAATGACTCTCGAGGGTATTTGCAGATTCTTCCAGTCGAACCATACACCGCAACAAACACGCCGATTCCTCCCTATCGAAGATCGCGATGGTTGTGGTGCGATAACTAGTGTTCAAAGCTTGTGGGGTTCAAGCTCGAAATTTCACGAACTGAACCCACTCCACGTCGGGAGCCTTACGCTTTGCAGACTAATCGCTCTGTGAGGCTCAATGAGGCTCAAGTACGCCCCATATATCCTATGCGAATTTCTGTGCTCGACTCCATAACCAACGTCATTGTGGGTTGACAGTTTTTCAAGAATGCTACTGTTCGAGATGCGTACATATTTGTTGCTGGCCAGGCCGCCGTTCTGGGGCATCCACCCCAACAGCCCGATTTTCCCCCAGCTTCGACCTCCAGAATGGCGGAGAACATGTGGCAGGCGTCATCTCCGCATGCTACCGGCAACTCCACACCCGCAATGAGATCCGACGAAGGAAGTATGTCTGAGAAGCCTGTTGGGCGAACTCTGAAAGACCAGCACGAGGAGAATCATCGTAAAAGCAGCTGGTTTGATGCCCATCGCCCCTCCCAGCTTCCCCGGCCAGACGGAAAACGCGAGCTCAGGGAGAAAGATTGCTGGGATCAGCTGGCATACTCATGGCCCAAATGGAAGAAAGCCATGTACCTTGCTTCAATTGCTGGGATTCAGATTTCCATGAATTTCAACACATCCGTGTTTCCCAGTGCCATCAACCCCATCTCAGAGCATTTTGGCGTGAGCGCACAGAAGGCGCGTGTCGGTCAAATGATCTACCTTGTTGCTTACAGCTTTGGCTGCGAGTTATGGGCTCCGTGGAGTGAGGAGTTCGGGCGATGGCCAATCTTACAGCTGAGTCTGTTCTTCATCAACATTTGGCAAATTCCAGCATCTGTAGCGCCGAATTTTGCAACGATAATAGTCTGCCGAGGCCTTGTGAGTTACTTATGATCTCGAATCGTCCAGCGCACCTGCTAATATGACTGTTCAGGGTGGTCTGTCTACTGCCGGAGGAAGTGTGACGCTTGGCCTTGTCGCAGATTTGTACGAGCCTGAAAATCAACACTGGCCGTTACTATTCGTCGTTCTGTCCTCTACCATCGGAACCAGCATCGGTGGCGTCATTGGTGGCCCCATCGAGCGTTTCCTGACGTGGAAGTGGAATTTCTGGATCCAACTTATCTTTGGAGTTGTCGTGCAGGCAGTCCATTTCTTCATGCCCGAATCACGTTCCACCATCCTCATCGACCGTGAAGCCAAGCGTCGCCGCAAGACAGGCGAGGACGATAACATCTGGGGACCAAACGAGCTCAAATCTCCTCGTATCTCTTTGAAGGAGGCCGGGAAGATCTGGCTTCGTCCGTTCGAAATGTTCGTCCGCGAGCCAATCGTCCTGTTTCTATCACTTCTTTCTGGATTCTCCGACGCACTCATCTTTACATTCCTCGAAGCTTTCGCTATTACTTTCCCTGAAAACTTTGGATTTGGAACCCTGGCGACCGCATGGGCTTTCATCCCGATCAACGCGAGTTACTTTTTCACGTATTTTCTGTACTGGCCATGGTTTTGGCGAGACGAACATATGCGCAAGAAGAATGGTCCTGACTTCTATTCCCCTGAGCGTCGCCTCAAGCCACTTTTGCTTCTCGCACTCTTCGAACCGATCGGCCTCTTTGGGTTCGCGTGGACATGTCAAGGACCTCCCACGACACATTGGATCGCACCTATGATCTTCTCGTTCCTGGTCGGCCTAGCCAACTTTGCGATCTACTACTCTTCAGTAGATTACATGATTGCCGCATACGGACCTTACTCTGCTTCTGCAACTGGCGGCAACGCTTTCGCACGAGACTTCCTTGCTGGTATTGCTGCAATGTATGCGACGCCGTTGTATACCAATCTCAGTGACTCCAGGCCATCAGAATATGCAACCACTGTCCTGGCGTGTTTGTCTTGTATAGGCATCATACCTATCTACATATTCTATTGGAAGGGGCCTCAGATTCGCAAGGCCAGTAAGTTTGCTTCTATGCTGGCTGAGGATAGGAAAGCGGAGGGTGTCAAGAGGTTGAGTAAAGCGGAAAACATGCCATATCCCGCATAATGTCGTGTCAGCATCAATATGGAACATAAGACAGTCTCACGAGTACAAGCAATCATTGTTCATTGTGCCCTCAGGCCAGGACATGCAGTGTCGCACGTTCTACATTTTGACGATTTTTGAAGCAATTTCCCTCTCCAAATAATCGTACAAGTATTCGATGATTCCATGATTGGCGGAGATCGATGATAAGAACAAGTTGGCTATAATGATTTTGTCGAAACGGATCGGGTCAACATAGTGAACTAGCTAGTATTTTGTGTACTGCGGGGCAATCATTGGCCGAGGGGGAGGATAAGAAAATATCCATCCCGCGCCACCATTTACTACAAAAGGGCGCGCGAAAAGTGGGTATGTGGCATTAGTAGAGAGATATAAAATCTGCAAGGCAAAGACTCCCAGACATTTGAAGACGTTCAGAGTATCGTTTCCATCTCCAAACCAGACGTATTTTATTTAATTGTCCCTAACTGTATTCTTGTCACGCCCCTCTCTAGATCACTCAGGAACGAAACACAGCTCCTCACAGATAATGGCTTCACAACTGCAATCACTATCTCTCCCAAAGCCTTGGAGAAAAACCCCATTGATACATTCTACCATCCTTTCAAAACATGCAGGCTGGTAAATTTGCGCATCGAATCGATTCAAGCAATTTCTGACACATTAAAGCCAAATTTACCTCAAACTCGAGACCCTGCAACCCTCTGGTTCATTCAAGTCTCGTGGGATAGGTACATTAGATCTCTCATACCTTCTAAGCCCTTCTTTCTAATGCGATCCAAGGAAACTACCTTATCCAATCCCTCAACTCCCTCTCCGACCCCGCCGACCGTGAAAAATTGCATTTCTACATTGCTAGCGGCGGCAGCGCTGGTTTGGCATGTGCATGCGCAGCTTCTATGTTAGGCGTATCAGCATCAATCGTCGTCCCCACCTCAGCGAGTCAGTACATGATTGATAAGATCAAAGCAGCTGGTGGAACTGTGGAACAGATTGGCGCATCTTGGGTCGAAGCGGATACGCATGTGCGGAACGTGATAATACCCACCGCAAAAGAAAGAGGGGAGATTGCGACTTACGTGCCAGCGTTTGATCACCAAGATATTTGGGACGGGCACGCATCACTTGTTCCTGAAGTTCTTGAAGAGCTAGAGGGTGCGCCGGATGCCATTGTGTGCAGTGTGGGTGGGGGAGGCCTCATGAGCGGCATTGTGCTTGGTTTGGATAGAGCAGAGGCAAGTCCAAAGGTACTTGCTGTCGAGACTGAAGGAGCGGCGTCGCTGGCACTTTCTCTAAAAGAAGGAAAACTGGCTACTCTGCCTGCGATCACGAGTATTGCGAATACGTTAGGCGCAAGGACGGTGGCTCGACAGGCTTTCGTTTATGCCGGGCGAGAAAATGTAAAGAGTGTGGTGTTGACGGATAGAGATGCAATGGAAGGGTGTGTGAGATTTGCAGACGATGAGAGAATCATGGTCGAGGCTGCTTGCGGAGTAACTATGGCAATGTGCTATGGGGGTAGGCTCAAGGGGGCTCTTCCTGATTTGAGAGAGGATAGTAAAGTGGTGATTGTGGTTTGCGGCGGTTGCAACATTACTGCGGATATGCTCACACAGTATTCTATGCAGCTTAATCAGTAGGTGATCATGCCTCACTAAGGGTAGCAGTGCCATACAAGGACCAATTCACGGAGGTAGTCTATCTGGCAAAATTTGAGGATTCTACTTGGAGTATGATGAGAGATGCCTTCTTCTACGATACCTCGCGTGCCATCGAATAAGCTGGATGCAACGACATCTAGTCTAATTTTACTCATAAATAGTATCTCAAGAGAATTTGGCCAATTATCACATAGATGCAGAATAGCTCATAGATCAATACCGCACCGGAAGAGGCTGGTGTTCTCGAGTATACTGACCAATTTCTGAATACCTCGGGAGAACGGTTTCATTCACCCCAGTGGATAGCCTCTAGCATCTCAATCTCAACATCAAGTTTTCCTAGCTGTCAGCAAATAATTGTCTGAACAAGCGCATGGTGAGAATTACTAGATCTACTCCACAATGACACTTACTGCTGGGGAGCCAATCAGACGTCGCCGTACTAGTCTTACAGCCTAGTGCGACTCTCGCTCGAAAGAGCGCATCTCACCTATCGTCAACACCGGCCATCAACGGTAGGCTCCACGATATAGACTCCGAAACGCGCAATGCAGTTTTTGTAAGACAATTTCTGAGCTCTATAGTAACTAAGATTTTCAATGAGTGTCTCGTCGATATACGACACGTACTCCCCTCATGGAAACATACAATATATTTCCAGTTTGATCATGTTCACCATCCAAATAGTATCCACACCGAAAACATATGAGGTTACGTAGTGGGGGCGAAAGAACGCTATGGGTCCGATAAATTGTAACTCCTTGATGAAGGATATGTCACTTGTCTACTAGTCATCTTAGTTATAATGACTCCAGCATTCCATTGGACGATTCGTATGTACCCTCCCACAAATGACTGACTAGTCTACGCGTTCTGTCGTATTTCAGAAACATTGTACCAAAAACTATGCTGCGCCAGCATCAGATTCGTCATGGAGATGGGGTAGTTGAGCATATATAAGATACCTCCCAGCGCCCATTAGGAGTATCCGTCACATCAACACATCACATCATATCCATCATGCACTCAATTCTACCCTTACTTCTCTCTGTCGGTCTGAGTGCCGCCCAGGAATCAGCTTTCTCTCCTTGCCCCATTCTCGGTCCTAGGTTCCCGAATCCCAAGTCAATTGCTACGTCTACAATCGTTCGAGAAGCGTTGGAAAACCTCACCAAGGCTCTTGATTCGTATATGGATGCCGGAGACGGAGAAAATGGCCCAGTCTACCCGAATACCACCTCGCTGAGTATTTCACTCTTCTCCACTGAGATGAGTAACTCCTCCGACACTTTTCTATACGAGTACCATCATACAGCGACAGCAGAAGGGAATTCTACATCAGAGGTTATCGAAGCAGGTCCAGACACAGTGTACCCCATTGGTGATCTGACGACGCTCTTCACTGTTTACCTATTTCTCAAAGAGGCGGGCGAAGCTTACTGGAACGATCCAGTCACCAAATTTGTACCTGAACTTCAAGAGTATGCCACCAAAGGAGGGAAGGGTAAAATAGCTTGGGATGAGATTACTTTAGGAGATCTGGCCGGAAATTTGGGCGGGATTGGTGGATTTACCCTACATGATGACGCGTTGAATCAAGATTTGGCATCCTTTCTCGATGAACAAAGTGTTCCGAGTAGCGTCAAGTCTTCATCGTGTACTTCCGGTAACTCAACATGTGGGCGCCAGGACTTCCTCGAGTACTTTGGTAGCATAGCACGCCCGGTATACAGCCCAGCGAATACGCCGATATTATCCAACTCCGGCTTCATTATTCTCTCCTTCGCATTGGAGACGATCACCGGGAAGCCTTTCAACGACCTTCTTCAGGACAGTCTGCTAAATGAACTTGGACTTGCAAACACCACCCTGTCGCCCCCATCCCAGAGTAACACCAAAATTCCTTCATTCAAAGCTTCAGGAAACGTTTCACACACGTCCATAGACGTCGAAGCCCCCTTCAATGGCCTCTACTCCACTTTAACCGACGTCTCCAAGCTAGTCCAAAGCATCATGCGCTCCGACCATCTCTCCAAAGCAACAACGAACCGCTGGCTCAAGCCCATCGCGCACACTTCCAATCGCGCAAACAGCATCGGACGTCCATGGGAAATCTTCAGTCTACCTCTGACCCAGCAACTCATCAGCCCCATGTACCAAGTCCGCGGGAACAAGGGCTTGGCCTCTTCCCACATCGGCATAGCTACAGACTACAATCTCGGTTTTGCTATCGTGGGCGCTGATACCGAAGCGAATCCTGATTTCAATGCTTGGGCGGATATCCTGGCGAGGGAGATGGTTCCTGCGCTCGAAGAAAACGCGTTGAAGGAAGCGGCGAGGAAGTACGCTGGTACTTATCGATCTGTGGATGCAGAGACGGACCAAGAGATACAACTTACTATTGCTAGACCTACAGATTCAACACCTGGATTGGGCGTTGTTGCTTTCAACAGCTCCACCACAGATTTGTTTGGGGTTTATGCGAAGATGGCGAGCATCAATCGTGATGCTCTAAGCATGCGATTGTATCCCACCGACGTAGATGTCGGCAAAGGGGTGGATGGTCTTGTCATGCGCGCAGTTTTGCAGGATAAGTCGGCTTTTGCGGATGCAGGGACACCCACTTGTGATACTTGGAGGTCAGTGGATCGGTTGCAAGTGAATGGATTGGGTATGGACGAATTCAAGTTTGTGGTCGGAGAAGGCGGAACCATGCGGTTAGATATCGACGCTTTGGGGGTGAAACTGGTAAAGGAATAAGTACATATCTATGAGCATGTATCGATGACTAGAATTTTGCATCAAGATGCCAACAATCATTAACATAATTTTTCAAATCTCGGGAGTTACACTTCAACGCAATGTAGTCAAGAATTCTACCATTTTCAACTCTAACAGAACAGAAAGCATCACCTCGTGTGGCATAATGTTACATTCGTCTATAATATACAAAGAGCTGTTTGTTATCAGATCTAACCCCCACGCCCACCTCTCTCATCCTGCATACCAATTGCCGGGTCTGGTGCTTCAGGATGCTCCCGCTTGGCCTTTGCTACTCCGCCTGCAGAGTCTCTTCCCTCTGTCGCGTGACCACCGCTTTTGCCTTGACTTCTACAATACAAGTTAGAAATTGGACCCATATTATCACGTTCCGAAAGAGAGTAGAACATGAACAGTGCACCGCAGCAGTGACGACGGCGTGCAGACATGGGCTGTAGAGATTGAGAGATTGAGTTTCAGCTTACTTGATTGCGTCTTTTGTGTTCGATGATCGAATGTCCAACGTATCTCCCTTGGAAACTTTATTCACGGTATGCTCGTCGTCTGGAAACTGGTCTGTCTTGGCCGATGAATCCGTGCTAAGGTTCTCCTTGTAGCATTGTGTTGAGGCACCGAACTGACGTAGTGGAGCCGAAGTACGAGCTGCAGACCGCAGAACTCGTGACGATGACGACGAGGAGAGTACCGCTCGGCGGTAGAAAGTGAGGAATTCAGATGGCGACGCCATTGTGTGTTGTGTATTAATTTGCTTAGAGCAGATTGGTGATGGATGAATTTGTTTGATGTCTTTGATCAGTTCGTATTGTGAGTTTTGTACTAAAGATCAAAGGAATTGACAAATGCCAGGGTAAGAGGATGGCACTTTTGTACTTGTAATGTGACGCTTGAATTGCGCTTGACGGAATCGGGCAGTGGATGAATACATGATGACGCGCCGTCGATGACCGGGTACCTTGCACATGGAGCTAACTGCATTAGGAAGCGCGGGGTGGTGGGGGAGAGAGGTCATCGATCTAGATTTTGAGCTTCCCGAGTTTTTAAACTTCTTGCGATGCACCGTAACTACGACATAGAAGACGCGGGCTGATCGCGCTACATTCCTCCGATCAACGTACATCATACAGTATCAGTGCTCCCTCGGACCAGTTCGTCCAGTGCGACCATGGCTGATCAAACCGATCAGCCCGACAAATTTCCCTGTAAACTGTATGCCTTCGCCAGTCAACTGCTTTACAAAACTCCTGGCTTACCACCGTCTTGGTTCGCAGTACCCTCGATATCCCGTTCCCCACTGCCCACCTCGCATCCACAGCTCTGAGCGCGCTCGCCGTCGATAGCGAACCCTCATCGCTCGTCAAACGGTCCTTCAGCACCCTTGCGCCCTCTGACTCAACCGAGCTAACAGTCCTGCGAGTCGACTATGCTGCGGATACAAACCGAATGCTCAGAGTTGCAGTCAATAGCTTCATGGAGAGCATGGGTGTGGTAGTGGGTGTCATGAAAGAACTGGACGTGGATGTGGTGTATGGAGAAATCGAGGGCGGCTTGGAAGGTGTGCAGGGGCTGGAAGAGGTCAAAGGATGAATACAGCTGGGAATAAGAAGACATGCTGTTCTTCATCATTATGAGAGGGATGCTTTGGTGTGGATCAGCTTTAGGGATACATGTACGATGATTCTCGAGAGCATTGCGCCCGCCAGGGATTGAGGAAGCCAAGACTTGATCATTGGGTCAAAACACTTGTAATAAAAGATGCTGGACGATGCAAACAAGAATTCTGGAGAGAGCGATACTCAATTCGATTCCGATGGGATTGGCATGGCTATGGTCCATAAGAGGCAAAGCATCGGCGGGGATCTGCGTTCGGATTTTAGATACAGAGTGCTCACGCCCATCAAGCATGTACACAGAAAAATTCAAAACATCAAAAGCCGTAAAACGTCAACTTTTTTGTGTCTCTTCAATTATCCCAATCAAGTGACGATGGAAACGAAGCTTCTCGATTCTCACAAACATGACTAATCGTAACCACCGCCCATTCTGACCAATCACATCCGGTTGACCCGAAATGACGCGATTTCTTAGTTTGAAAGTTTGCGCTCCAAAATTTCGCCGATAACCACTACAAAGCATACTATTCCTGAATAAAGCAGAAAAGAGACCATGGTACGTATCATGCTTGGGTTCCAAAGCCAGTTCAAGTAAGCTTACAATTGTTTTGCAAAATATAGGTTCACGCGGATGCTTCCACATTTGAAGAAGGCCTGTCGAAGAAGGAGGTCTATGCTCAGGTGCTAGAGCAAGCGAGGTTGTTGTTTGACGGGCAGAGTAATTGGGTGCGTACTTTCGAAGATTCCTCTTCACACTTGAGATAAAAGGGCAAGAGCCGTTATGCTGACTCCTCTCTGTCCATAGGTGTGGTAAGTCCAACAGGCGGCGGTTCTTCGCGTTCCGAAAGAGGATCCACCGGAACAAGGAATTTGTGTGATCAAGCTATACGGCCATTCTAACAAGAAGGATCACAGCAACTTCTCCAATACTGCGTCCCTTCTTTGGCACGCATATCACTCGTTGCCATCTTCCGCTCCAAGCTCTCGGGTCAACTGGTCGGGATTCTACTTCACTGACCCCAAAAACCCATCACAATTAATCCTCGGTCCCTTCCACGGCCAGGTCGCCTGTCAAAGCATAGCGTTTGGTCGAGGGGTATGTGGAGCGGCCGCGAAGACTGGCTTAACACAGCTGGTCGAAGACGTAGATAGTTTTCCAGGCCACATTGCTTGCGATGGAGCGAGTAAGAGCGAGATTGTCGTGCCTATAGTGAAAGGCGGCAAGGTAAGGTTGTCCCAGTGCGAATGATGCAACAGAGGCTAGACCGCAGGATAAGGAGCTGATGAAAAGCAGGTCGTGGCGATTATCGATGTGGATTGCGCCGAATTAAATGGGTTTACGACGGAAGATCAAGAAGCACTGGAGGAGTTGGCAAAGTTGTTGGCGGAGGCTTGTGAATTCTAGATATTGTGGAAGTGTTGGATCATGATGATAGAACAGGTTCTCGTTGGGGTGCCACTATAATTCAATCACCTTATTTTTTTCTCATTATTCTGTGACGACGACTTCGTGCTGTCAAGCCTGGCAAGGTGTGAGCGTTTCAGTGATGGGTCATTTAGTGATCAATAGATACTCACCACCTTATTCGTCAATGTTTCCACTGATATGCGAAGATGGATCGCGAGCTTCATCGCGAAGACCAATGATCAAGGCGGGTGGGAGGCGTGAGATGCGATCTCCACCGTTTTTGACCGTCCTGGAGTATTCCACACCCACCAACATCCCCTCCATCTCACCTTCTAACACCTCCGCCTTCCATAGTCCCTCGACGTCCATGATCCTAGCAGTAATGATACACAACCTTCCCTCTCGTCCCACGGTGGGTTCTGTAGACCACTCGCAAATGATGCGCCTTGCAGCCGGCGTGTTCTCGTTTGGACCGCGCCTACCGATCCACCGGTTGAGATTGTAGTTGTATCTGAAATGCCATCGGGTTTCCACCGAGACAGAGCCTGGGAAGGTCGGATCATATTTGGCGGATGGGGGCCGCTTCCTAACGTACACGGTGGGTGCTTGAAGGTAGGCAACCGCATCATCAAGGCCATTCTCGAAAGCGGCGCGTCTTAGCTTGATCGTGAAAGTACCTAGATACAGATAGAATAGCGCCATGAAAGGGTCGTTGCGGTTGAAAAGCCTTGGGCATGGGACGCGGAACACCTTCAGGTTGTACACATCGTTGAATGTGGTCATGGGCGCGAAGATGATATCGTTATCCATTGCAGCACATCGTTGTTGGATGTCGAGAAAATGGGCTCGCATACGTGTGACCACAAGATACTCCAGTTCATGACGTATTTGTCGACACGAAAAGAGCAGACCGGTGAATTGCGAGGGCGGAGTAGAGAGTGGGATGGCGGCCAGCAGATATTCGTATATGCGAAGACGCATCTCCGGGGGAAGATCCAAAATCATGGCGGCGCTCTGAACAGCGGTGAGAGTTGGTGAGAAGATGAAGGTGCCGTCAACGAAGGTGAGCAGAACATGGACGGAGCCGGTTGCTCATGTCGGTGTACCAATGGCCCGTATACCCAAAGCTGAACAGCCCAACTCGTCATGCCGTCTTAGGCAGCAATGCAAGCCGTCCACTGGCCCATCCTCTATTACTCGTAGAGTCATGCGCTCATCCGCAACATATCATCAGAGACAACCCCGACGTGTACAATGTCCAATGAGTAGTAAATCAGCGTTATGGTGGATGATGCAAGCACTGGAGGTCAACAGTGTTCAGGGTACCCTTTCCCCAGCTAACAAGCTAGCCCCGCCCCACTCATCGCGCAACGTCCAAGCGCAAGCTCAAATCCGCAAACCTGCCGCCATCTCTACTTCCCTCGAACACCACCCGCCACCACCATGCCGTCGTCAGAATACACAACCGGCGGCGGCGGCGCGCTCAAACTAAAAGGCGTAGGCGGTATCGACAAGAAGAAGAAGAAAAAGCGACCGAAACCCACCAACCCCTCCACCGCCGAATCGTCATCATCAACAGCGCTCACGACCGGCACCTCTGCCCACGCAGCAGCCGATGCCAAATCGAGGTCAGGATCTCCGGACCATACACCGGGACGCGCCGTCTCGCCCGGCGCAGCAGAAAAGGAGATTCGCGGGGGAGGAGGAGGCCGCTCAAAGACGGAGGCGGAGAAGCGACACGACGAGAGGAGAAGAAAGCGCCTGGAAGAAAAGCTCAAGAGGGAGGGTGTCAAAACGCACAAGGAGAGGGTGGAGGAGTTGAACAAGTACCTGAGTGGTCTCAGTGAGCATCACGACATGCCCAAGATTGGACCGGGTTAAGAAGACGAGCGGTGGTCGTTCTGGACGGCTCGCGGTGACGAGTGTGCTGATACTCTTACGTGGATATCACATGTTACGTGTGAGAGGCTGATAGTCTTCTGGCCGCTGTTATGGAGAGATCCTGGGGAGCGACGAAATATTTTCCTCGCTCAAGATGCCACGAGGAACTGTATGCAACCATTTAATCGAGTGGGAAGTCATAACAGCTGGGTCGTATCTTGGACTGAAAAAGGGAAGGACACACATGTGTATGAAGAAACGGAATTCCACAAACATATCGAAATAATTAATCATCACGGATCAACACCTGCCGCCCCATTCAATTTGTTTCGGGATGGCGCTCATGCCACGACCACGTACGAAAGAGTTTGCGCTCCGACAGTGTGCTACTGAGTAAGGTACGTTTTTCCACGCACTTCAGATGAGCGGTCGCGCCAGTCTGCGCGGCAATTGCCAGAATCATACAAACGACTGCATGTAACCATGTCACCAAATGTCATAGCGTCACCCAGAACAAATTGCAAAGTGTACTAAGACGACATAGGTAAAAAACCTACATTGCCTGACAAGGAAAAAGCCTCTCTAGTTCACTGCGTTATACAATATATAGTTGTCGATGAGAAAGTGAATTTCCGTGGGTGGTTCCGGTGTACCCATAATCATGCTTTGGTCCATTCATAATTCACAGGTCGATCCCGCGTAAGGCCTTAGACAGTGCTTAGTAGACTTGATGGACTTGATTGAAGGAGATTCGCTCGTCAGATGCACTCGTGCTTCGTACAGCCTTTCCCCGAAGAGAAGGACAAGTCAGGATGGCCCTGGCATCTACCCTATCACACATCAGCTGCGCACCCGTTGCCTTCTTCTTGGACCCTTGTTCGTAGAACCAACGCGCCAAAAGAGACAGGTGTGTGCTGTTCCTAAGCGCGGGAACAGGGGGCTTAGCTGTTGTCCAGATTGCCAACCGACGCTGTCAGACTTGAGGCGAAGGTCTACGCAGAAGGCGACAATGCAACTGCGGCCCCATGTAGAAATGCAGTGCATGAGCACTGGCAGCAGATGGCTAGGGTGCAGGCAACCAATTCTGGACCTCTCTTACATGCAGGCTGTTATTGGTAGTCCAGCAGCTGTCGTGCTCTGTCTCGGAGCGCCTCTCGGGAAGCGGTGCAATCAAGCCAAGGCGTCGGCCATGGGTGGAATATTAGGGATGCAGTAATCGGCGAGACATGTCGGTGGCCCAGTTGGGAGGTGAGTTGGGCTGGCAGGCAGCGTACTTAGTTTCTTCTCCAACTACACAGCACCTGCTGCACGCCGGCCGTGGCTCTTGAAACAGACACGAGCCCGAGGAAACAGTGTTATGGAGGTTGAGTTTCCGGGACTAGCGCCGGCGCGTCTTTGTTGAACCCTCGAAATGATATTATCTAGGTCTTGAGGCATTTTGGACAGAACATGCACGCCCCCATCCTATATCGTGTTCCAGATAGGTAGGTGGTGCAGGGGTTTCGACCGGTCATAGCGTATCGTTCGCCAACGAAGCCAAGCGCGACCACGGCCGTCCCAGAAGCTTGTGCATGTTGCCAAATTCCAACAAGGCGGACACTAAGAGCAAGCTCCAGGCCGTGGTCGTGGAATGGGATGGGATGAGACATGTTGCTCATTTGCCGAGTACAGCAGTCGGATTGTTTGTATGAGCCATAAACACTGCAGTGCATACACCAACTGTACCCGTGATACAGGCCGGAGCGAAGGTTCGGTGCATTCCACAGCCTGCACGCGTGTCCGTGTTCCGTCGGCTTGTTCCCCACGCAAATATATTGTTGTGTGATCCCATCAGCATTCACCATCTGTCGTCGCTTGTTGTAATCTTATCAGGTCCCCTGTCACCACCAAGTCAGTCTTCAAACTGTCAGTGAGACCAACCAAGGAGCTGGTGCCATTTGGTGCGGAGGCTAGAATGTACGGTTCGGCCCATCTCAGAACATTGTACCGCGCTGCGTGCTGTGGCCAGACGGCAGGGGCAGCCAGAGTGCATCGAGCAGGGGCCTGCAGTCCTTCACAGTCCACTCAGCTTGTCCTCCATCGTATTCCACCCCGTGTCTTGCTCTGCCTTGTGTCTGCTAAGCCCTGATCCCTGGCATGAGATACAGCAAGCCTTCTCAAGTGCTTGCTTGTGACTGATAGTGAATGTTCCAGCCTTCACAGAGGGCCTTAGTGGCCATGCCCCTCGCTGACCACCATACTTATATTAAAGTCTCCCTTGTGCTCCCTTCCTGCGACCCGACCAGTAGAGGCAATCCTGCCCTCACTTTAATCCAGGCATAACGCCATCCGAGGTATCTCTGGCTTAATCTCGTATACAGCGGACCCCTAGGCCTTCCCCTCTTCACTACACCTCCTCCTTCTTTCCTTGCCCATCTCCCTTCTCGCCAATCTCCCTTCTCGCCATAATCACCTCTGATCGAGGGCCCCTTTGCCTATCATGGCCACGGAGATCGACCCTGAAAAGACGCAATACACTGAGGGCAGTGCCCATGGCAGCGAGCGCAACATCGTCAAGGAGAAAGGCAATGCCGTTGGCGAGGCCGCTGCCTTGTATGGAGACGTCAAAACCGCCGAGGATCTTGGCTATGTCGAGCGTGGTCTCAAGTCGCGACACATCCAGTTTATTGCCCTCGGTGGTACAATCGGTACCGGTCTTTTTCTCGGTATCGGTACTGCTTTCGCCAATGCTGGCCCCGTCTCTGTTCTTCTCGGGTACACCTTCACTGGTGTCGGCATCTTCGGTATGATGCAGTGCCTCGGGGAGATGACCACCTGGCTTCCTCTACCTGGTGCTATCCCTCAGTACGCTGCCCGCTACGTTGACCCTGCTCTTGGTTTTGCCGTAGGGTGGAACAATTGTGAGTCGAAATCCGGCTCTCGCACGCACCATCTCTTGACTAACTCTTCGCAGGGTATCAGTGTGCCATCACCCTGTGCACTGAAATATCTGCCGCTGCTGTTGTTATCAGTTTTTGGGATACTGAAACAAAAGTCAACCCTGCTGTATGTTTTGCAAAACACCGCCGTGTTTTCGCACAGCTAACATCAGACAGGTGTGGATTACCATCATCCTTGTCCTCATCGTTGCCTTGAACATCTTCGCCGTATCGATTTATGGAGAAGCCGAGTTCACCTTTGCCGCCATCAAGATCATCACCATCCTGATTCTCCTCATGACTGGGCTTGTCATCTTTCTTGGTGGTGCCCCGGATAAGGATCGTCGTGGTTTCCGCTACTGGAAAGAGGGCGCCATGAAAGAGTATGTTGGCACTGGAGACACCGGGCGCTTCACTGGACTCTGGAGTACGCTCGTAAATGCCGCCTTCTCCTACGGAGGAGTCGAAATGGTCGCTGTAGCTGCTGGTGAGGCTGAGAACCCCAAGAAGAATATCCCCAAGGCTGTCCGCCGTATCTTCTGGCGCATCTTGTTCTTCTATGTTCTTGGCTCCTTCTTCATCGGCGTGTGCATCAGCTCCAATGACAAACAGTTGACTGACGACAATGCATCCGGTGCCCAAAAGTCTCCTTGGGTCATTGCTTGCAAGAACGCTGGAATTCCAGTTCTTCCTCACATCATCAATGCTGTCATTTTGACCTCAGCTTCATCGTCCGGAAACGCCTACCTGTATACTGGCTCACGTTATCTTTTCGCTGTTGCTCAGAACGGACATGCGCCCCGGTTCCTTCTCAAGTGTTCCAAGAACGGTGTTCCATACTACTGCGTGGCCATCACAGCCTCAATTGGCCTTCTCACTTATATGAGCGTCTCGGCTGGTGCCAACACGGTCTTCCTTTGGTTCCAGAACCTAGTCACCGTTGCTCAGTTGTTCACTTGGTGTGTCATTTGTATCACCTACCTTCAATTCCGCAAAGCACTCGCTCTCCAGGGTGTTGATCGCAACACACTCGATTTCAAATCACCATTTCAACCTTACACTGCGTGGGCCGCTTTTGCTTACTTTGCTCTCATCATCCTTTTCAATGGATTCAAAGTCTTCACTGGACCAACTAGAACCCACTGGGGCCCTGATGAGCTTACGGGCTTCTTCACTGCTTATGTCGGTATTCTCATCTTCTTCCTTCTCTACGGCGCTTGGAAGATTATCAAGAGGACCAAGGTGGTCAACCCTGCTGAGGCAGACATCTTCACTGGGAGGGCGGCTTTGAATGCTGAGGTCTGGCCAGAGCAGATCCCCAAGAACATTTTTGAAAAGTTCTGGTACTGGCTTTGCTAGTCAATTGCCAATTCAATAATGTACACTCCAGGAGCGTTGGAACGCCTTGATGCGAGGACGAATTAGGAGTCAACTCCTCGACCAGAAAGGCGGCGGGTAAAGAACCGTAGATAAATCCAGGCGTTGGACAGTTTATGATACGCATTGAGACATTTTCATCAATATACTCAGTATACCAAGTTGCATTGCCTCTGCGATTCTTTGAATGTGGATGCCTGGCCGGTCATATGTCCCGATCAATTATGAAAAGGTAGAGGGCGAGATCGTTGAGGGTCATAATAGCAGTGCTAATTCTTGTTAGACACTGTACTGGATTGTTGTTAGCCATTTCACCTGTGCTCTCCGCTCACCCATGCAAGACTTTACCCAGTAGATCTCGCATCAAAATCGAACAGCCATTCCATTCATCCAGAGACCCATCGAAGATAAAAGTGGGATTTGGGGCGAGTGAAGGAAATCGCGTCGCGTTGGGATGGAGATCGTCTTCCACTTTATTAATGGAAATGACGCACAGACCACCGACAGAACGGTTCCTTCCCTTCGAGAGAAGGTGTGAAAACTTCTGGAAGTACGCTTGTGTATACTATGAGCGGTATGTTCTGAGCATATCAAACGCTATGAATCTTCAACCGGGGCGGCCTTCGTCGGTGGTGATGTCTGATACACAACAGAGAAAGGACAGCTCTCAAGACGTCTTCGTCCGAACTGTTCTCTTTGTTCCGTAGGTACCCGCTAGTGTATAATTGTGGAGAGCCAAGGCGAGGCAAGCACTGTAGAGAAGCAATTTATTTATGAACAACAATGTAAGACATGGCCAGTGTCCCGAATGGACACAGGAGTCCAGTTCGATTGTGGTGAGCACGCATTTCACCAAGCAAACATTGCTCATATATGCCTGGATACTGATCTATATGGGATAGATATCTTCTTCCACAGATGAGGGACTGCGAAGGTATAACGAAGTCGAATATAGAGCTGCGGTTAGAAAAGGGAGAAAGAGCAATACCAAGCATTCTAACGCCGAACGTCTGTCGGCGAGAAACCAACTCGATTCTATGAATCACGTCCTAGAGGAATGGAGCGCTTCATGACTTTGTAGCTGGCACGGTCTTCGTTATCGTTCGAGGAACGGAGAAAATCTGTCCGACCTATTACTCGGCGCAGCATGAGCGAAATTGTTAGACGATGTTTTCCACACCATGCAATCCAGAGTCACAGTCGAGCAATAACGGAATCGGCTTTTTTCGGCTTGTAGACTTGGAAACTTTGGACAAATCTATACCGCTCCGGTGTGCTCAAGTCATGGCGTTGTATCCGCCTGACCGAAGGATAGGCGAAAAGTGCAACTGTATCCACATCCTCACCTCTCTAGTACCCACATTGTGATATATGTAACCGGTTGATGCGAGGTACGCAATCCAGCAGTTGGTGTCTGGGCGAGTCAGGCGAAGCAATCAGTAGATCCCGCTGCACAAGACCAGCACCGGAAGAGTCGGCACAAAGCAAAAGCTACTGGCTGGCTCTTCCCATGACAATAGGCGACCAATTTTGCGGGGTTGGCCACATGGCGAACAGAAGAATCGCGCAAAAAAAAAGGGAAAAAAAGGGTACAGTTGCATACCGCAGGGTCCAATTATCCCGTGCTACCGTTCGATGGTACATACAGCTAAGACAGCGTATGCTATGCCGAAACCTTGTGGTGGTTTTGAAACTATCGTTGTTCAAGCATTGAGGTGCGGCATGTCGTGTCGGTGAATACTGTTCGGGAAATGATTGCCTGAAGGATATCAGCGATGACGTCTGCCTTGATATCTCCAACATATTTGAATCGCAGGTCGTGATTCGTTGGGCATGTCATGCCGACGAATCAAAAGCGGCCGACAACCTTCAATGTTGCACATGTGGAATATCCAGATGTCAGTACCTAGACAACATTTCAAATGTTGAAGTGATAGCGTCCAATCACGTGCCCATGGTATGCTCAAATGTTCCTACATGTATGTAACGTAACTGTTGCGCCTGAGGCTGTGTAACACGAATTTGGTGAGATAATGACGAATGCCAAACATTGTTTGGGTTTTTGATCTGCATGTCGCCAGTCCAGTGAGAGATGCAGATAAGGAGGATTGGTGCTGACTGAAACACGAAGGACCTCGGACAGCGAATCATAACATGACGCCGTGGTGGGATTCGATAGCTGCGACTAGAAAAGTGCATACCCGATGGAGTCGCAGATACACGTGCATTCGTTTGCTAGCCTGAAAGAGATTGGCTGACCTGTGGAGATCTTTAGCACTCTTCTTCGAAAGCAGAAGCTGTGAGGCGGTGAGGTGCATGGGATTCGCTCGGAACTGGATGGAGACATGTGTGTGAGATTCACTTACTAGCGGACGCAATATTGAATCGTCGGCGGTTTTCGATGCCGTGCGTATCGCGTCGACCAAGAAAATCAAGAATAAGAAAGACGATGGCGATGGCGATGAACGCTGATGTTGCCGTCTGTCCATCCATCTGTCCGTGCTATCTGTCGGAGATTAACTGCAGAAAGTGTCTCGCAGCACCTTTGACGTCTCTCACACCTGTCTGCACGTTGGCGAACAGTACTACAGTGTTCCCACGACTGCATGAACACCACGACAATTGCGGTAACCCCATCTCTTGAACCTTGCTAGCGACCGAAACACCATCCACATTGTACAACCGTGCGCTTCTATCGAAAAAGTCTCAGCGTCTTTGCCTGCCACGAGCCATTCAGGTTACCGACTTTTCAGCAATGTTGATTCTCTGACCCACTGTAGCAAGTATTCCGCGAAGCCATCTGTAGTAGTCAGTACAAACTGAACGCTGCAGCCAACACCGCGCCTCACCCGACTACACGATAGCGCACTTTGCCTGCCATGCACAACGACGTAATTTACCACCTCCCCGAGTTTTTTTTCCCCCCTTCACCTACGGTCGCACCCCAGATGCTACGGTTGGTCCTGTGCTGGCACTACGACAACACGAGTGGGATGGAAAGACAGCCAGCGGCACGTTGAGCTCTACGTGGGTGATTTTATGACGATCGCTAGACTAGCTAACCAAGGGGGCGGGCGCCAAACGCGGTGACTCTACTCATCATATCCTAGTACTCGTTGGGTGGCATGGGATTCTGCGGCAAGGCGATCTCCTCGGATGGCTATCAGGCCCGGTTCGATCCAGGAGCTGTTGGCTCATGTTGTGGAGGGAGGCGACTGGCTGTTGTAGAGTCGCAAAGAGGGGTCCTCTGGATGGAGGAACGGAGAAGCGTGCGGAGTGGTAGACTTGGGTCGACGGCCCGCAGCGAGCACAGCCGTGGCGGGCCAACATTGGCGCTCTACGGTGGTGTGCTGCGATGGCCTGTAGCGATCAGCTGTGATATACGCCATGTGTTTGAAACAATCGTGGATGAGGGAAGTGGATAACAAAAGCATTCGCTGTTGACCACTCTTGATTAGCAAGGAACGCGATAGGTTTCGGCACTTCATTTGGGAGAGTTACGCCGACGGTGGAGAAGTCGCCAAGTCTACATATTCAGGAATGACACTGTTTTGTCCGATTCCCTATTATAAAATCGATCACATCATTGTAGACAATCGGAGCCAATCACCCCCAGGCACAATGTGGGTGGTGCCATATACTTCACTTGAGTGGGCGCATGAGTGTTGTATGGTTTTTCACAAACCTAAATGCGCAGGTGACTTGAGCGGCCGTTGGATTGATTCATAGACTCTTAAGATACAGCAAGTGTGGGTCCTTTTGCAAGACTCCAGTCCGTCATCTGCCCTGCTCAACGCCGTGGCGGAGCGCTTGATCACCAAGCTTCGGACAGGCGGAATACTACATACTAAAAGTGCCCACAAACGGAAGAAAACGGGGGGGTATGGTATGAGATAAGCGAAAGCTGATGCCCGTACGCCCAGCACTTGGACGTAAGGTGAAAAAAAAGGAGGCCTCTGTTGAGAAAGAAATTGGATCCCCCTTGACGCGGAGAAGAAACAGAGAAGCATTCATTTGTGTCGTGATTGAAACCAGCCGTGTGCATCGCCCAGGATCCTGGATGATTTCGAATATCAAGTGAATGCATATGGGCAGAACGTAGGCAACCTTTCGTAGTGCTACTGCCGAAGATGAGAGATGTTGATGATATAAAACGCCGATGATGCCAGATTTAGTGAGGAGAATAATGAAGAGTATGACTCCCTCCATCCGAAGTTTGGAAAATGCAGTTTTAGCCCAGCTGGCTTCCCAAGGAAATGCTGTATGAGAAGAGCAGAAGATGGTTGTTGAGTAGTCACCGGCCGCCAACGGAAGCCGTTCGTCCGCCTGGTGAAATGTCGCCACGACGACGGGCTTCCTCACGTATGAGGTGATCAACATGAGAGTTGGAATCCTGGACTCTCATGCCAGCGGTGAGGTAGCCGTCGGCGCCCTCAAGCTCCATCGGGGTGACGGGTCCCGGGCTGTCCAGAGGATTCAGGCGAGGACTGGTAGGTTTTGCGATAGAACCCCGAGCCTGACGAGTAGCATTGGCGAGGAGCTGTTGTTGATAGGCATACATCTGGCGTTGAATCTCGGAGTACTGCCTGTTGTGGGTGCGGGGTGAGAGTGGTGGTTGAGGCGAGTTTGGGCCAGTGGTCGGGGTCGCAGCGGAACTGGACTGCTGAGATGAGGTGAAATTGGCAGGATGGAAACGGGGGAGTGATGGCAGTCTCAAGCTAGCCGCAGTGCCTTGGGATGACATGCGGTTGTGCATGGGCGGGCGGCGACGAGTCTGGGAGGGGATGGCGAGAGAATCCATCCTGGGGGAAAGCGGTGATTGAGGCATGTTGCGGTCTTGACGAGGAGACATGGGCAAAGGCGGCGGCGGTGATGGAGGAGTGGAGTCGGGCGGACTAATATCAGTTGTCGAAGGTTTGGTGCGAGTATGACGTGGGTGTGGGCCTGGTGCTGGAGCCACAACGGCGTCTTTACTGGCAGACGATGCCAGTGCGGTGGTTTTGATTTTGGGGGAATTTCCGTGGAGGAGGGTCAGGCTTGGCCACAAGTTTGTCCCGAACAGCGACGGCGGTGGTAGTAGCAGTGGTGAGCGGCAGCGATGGGGGGCGAACGGGGGTTATAACAACAATTGCCAACCAGGAGTGGATGCTTGGACGGGAGCACCGAAAGGGCAGCGTTGATGGCTGATCTTCCGCACGCGCAGAGGTCAGGCTATCCAAATGTGGACCCTGACTCTGCCAACCGTCGACTCTGGCTTGCGTTTGAACCCGACAGGGAGATGATGCGCTGTGTCTGTCTGGTGGAGTGTGTGAGAAATGTGGGATGTGTGCAAGCAATGAGAGAGTGTGTGGGTGGAGAAGCAGGCGCAGATGTGATACCCACCTCAGTCATATATGTACACGGCTACTGCAGACATCGATATATAATAGACAGGTACATACATACATACATACATACATATGTACATAGGTAGATGCTTTTGCAGGTACATACATAACTCATGCGCCATGGACGGGTGGATTGCGCCCCACACAGCAAACAACAAAGGGTGCCAATCGTCATCCATCACTCGGGGAACCGCCCAAGGGCAAACGTCGAGCAATTCCAACGCGCGGGGTTGCAACTCAAATGAGCCATGCCAGCCATGACGCACCAAGAAACGCTTCGAGCATCGACCGTCAAACGAAGCCGAAGTTCCGGACAATGTCAGTCTTGACCATCGTCGTCTCACGTGCCTCGCCGGGGGATCCCGCTAGCCGCATCCATCCACCCTCGTGTCCCCGTCCTCCATCTCCGCATTCGAGCTAGGCAAGCCATCACTCTCTCTTTCGCAAATCTTAAAATCACTTCGCGGTCCTTGATATTCCATGATGCCTTGGTGATGCTGCAGCCACCTCTCGTCACAAGTTTGTCCTTGTTGATCGCAATCCACGCGTTTCAGCCCATCGTCGCCAGTGGTCCGCCAGGGCCCATGTATGCTGTAGTACGTCTTCTGCCGTCTGCTTGAGCAAATTTTCTCGCCAGCAGTCCCGCACGCGGCGCCGACCAGCCACTATCAAAGCAGACGCCTGTTTGCAATCAAGGACGTGCGTACGGCGCTTCCAATGTTGCAGTCCACGCCCCAAGCATAAACCGAGGCCCATCTCCCACGGCTCAAAACATGCACTCAATTGGCCCCGGCGGTTGAATAGGCCAAGTTCGAATGCACGAGATCGAGCATCAGCTAATCTTTGCATGCCCAAGTACCACGTCCGCTCGTCGATCTACCACAATCGACTCGGCAGACCATTTTTCTTTTTCTTTTTTCTCCCTCTCTTCACTTACCTCATCAACCCCTCCCTGTCTGCACACGGCAGATCGTATCGTTTGTTCATGGATAGATTGCTTTGCGGCTTCAACAAATGCCGCACTCTGCTCGGGTTGTACAGATTTCAATGCCAACACCGCCGCCGTCAATACTGGGGTTGCCGATCTGTTCCTGGTACATTGGGTTCAACCAAAAGAAAATGCATCTTGGATGATTGCCTGCCTGTTGTGATTGATTGGATGCTTTCTACACTTTCCTACTGCCCCATGCCCCCGTAATCCATCGTCTACGCTCATCGCGCACCGAGCTTTTCCAATGCTCGAACCCCTTGCTCCTCCCACTCCTGCTTTGATATCCACATGCTTTCCTTGTCGGCCATCTGTGCCAACGTCAGCCTCGTGTGCAGCAACAATCTTAATTGTGGGAGAACTTACAATGTTAGCGAGCACAGCACCACCCAGGAATACCATGTGCCGACGTCGCGGCGGATCTTCAATGCGGACCTTGAATTTCTGTAGTCGTAGATTAGCACAATTCATAAGCGAGGCTCAGTAGTGTTGCATACGTTGAGACGTTCGGGATCTCCTTTCAGCACCTTGGTGAGCCATAGCTGCTTCAACTCCTTCTCTAACCGGCTGGGCAGACCAGGGTACATGCTGCTTCCTCCGCTCAACACAATGGCCTTGTACAAACTGCTTCTTACATCCACGTCGGCGGACTGGATCGTGTTGAACAGGAACTCGGCGATGCCAGGTTGTTCAACATCTACCAGGTGGGGCTGGAACAAGCATTCGGGAGCCTCAAAGCGTTCACTTCCAACCCGGATGACGCGACCGTCTGGCAGCGTGTAAGACTCCACCAAGACTGTTGTGTCTTCGCTTAGACGCTGGTCTAATTCGAGATCGTACGATACATAGCAGAGCTTCTCTTTGATTTGTCGCACGGTCTCGAAATCGGCGGTCCTGTTGAGGGCATAACCCCTTCGCAGCAGGAGGGAGATCAAGTTTCTCGTAACATCGCGACCTGCGACATCCAGACGCCGTGTGAGGTGGTTTAGAACTGTGCTCTCGTAGACCGGAACAATATGGGTGACACCGTCGCCAGAGTCGACCACGACTCCCGACGATAGACCCTGCGCGTACAGCGCAAGGACAGCCTGTATAGCCACGTACACGCCTCCAAAGTTGTAGCGCTCAAACATAACCTCGCACATCTGCTCTCGGTTCTTAAGGGGATTCATGGGGGGCTCGGTCAGGAGAATCTTGCGGCCTGTTGGATCCAGGCGCATCTTCTCAAACAGAGTGTAGTCCCAAAGATGTTGCATGTCGTCCCATCGCCTAACAATACCATTTTCCATCTGCCAGCAGGAAAACGTAGTTAGTTTATATCGGCACAGCGAAGTCGCCCTTAAGAATACGTGAGCAGCCACGTACGGGGTATGTGATTTGAAGCATGGAGCGCGCTGCGGCTGCCTCGTCGCCACACATTATATCCTTGACTACAATGTCTCCATCGCGCTCTTCGGATCGTAGAATCGGTCGGCCGACTATCGAAGGATACTGGTGGTCGGGGAAGTTCTGTCCGAGTCTCGCATTAGATGTACCACTCTGGTAGTAGTTTCAAGTGACTGTATGAAGACACACCTGGCCTGCGTAGCCAGCCTTTAAAAAGCCGGTTCCTCCATCTAGCACTATAGAAAGAGTCAATAGATAAACCCAAAAACTGCACGGGCTTAAGTATGATGAGGTGGAGAAGGAGAAGGAAGGTGATCTGTCCGACTAGATGTAATCGGTGCTGTACGGGGAGGCCAGGAAGAGCGGGGCTTTGCATACCGATTGGAACTTCCGCCATGGTTTCCAGATACGATTGACAGTCTCAGATGTCAAGTAGAGAGAACCGGTGGTGAATATACAATGCGCGGTCTGTATACCTGGAGGCGGTGGTGGGGTTGACGTTGAGGCGAGCTCTCAGCCTCCATTGCCCGTTCGTCCGTGCACCAACTCACTATAACCTGTAAGCTTCACGCAACTGATTGAACTTGAAATGGTAATTGAGAAGATAAATTGGTCATAAAAACACTAACGCAAAATCATCAAAGCATACCGCATACAGTTAACTATTTCACATGATAGACCGATTCCGATTTGTGTTATTGCAATACAGAGCTTTCCTGCCTCATTGCATACATATGTAGCATACTTCAGGAAACTGCACTTCATAAAAAGATTCTTGAAGTTTTTTAGCGTTCGCTCAAAGGCCAAAATAGTTGGATATGATTTCGTACGAGCTTTTGTTAAAGTACTCAAGATGCGGGATATTCGACTCAAGCACTTGAGAGCAACAACCCCTCTTGAAAGCTACTGATCTATTAGCCTTCAAACATATGTCTAATCTATGCTCAATTGGCTACAGTCCATCTACTACATGGTACATGAAGTATAAAAGCAAAAGCATTTTTTAGCTATCTCTTTGCTGTGTACTTTGCGTTGCTACTGCGATGAGGTGGGTGATTGGCATGGTCACCCACCACGCAAGGCCCGCGGCTCGACTGCTCGACGACTACAACAGAAAATAAGCGAGCCCGCACCCACAAAGCCAACTTCCTCCCCCGTCAACTTTTCGAACTTCAACCCCGACAACGACAACGACCACGCCCATCGTCACCACCGGTCAAGATGCCTTTCGTAAGTCTACCTTGAACGACGCAACTGGCAGCTTCTTGCAAAGTTGCCTGTGCGCCAATCCTTTGCTGCTCCCCTTACGAGCCCCCCCACCACCACACAACGGCGAGTCTTTTTGCGCCGACAATGCCCTTTCTTGGGAATCCCGTTTGGTGGCCAGTTGGGGTGGAGTCTCTGCAAGCTGCTTCGATTTACGGGTTTTGAAGCGTCAATTGCTGACTCTGGGTTGTACAGTCCAAACTCGTCAAGAACGATGCCTACTTCTCGTGAGTTATCCCCACTCCTCCGCCCGCCTGCGACCGCATCGACATGAACTAATGGGCATGCAGGCGCTTCCAGGTCAAGAACAAGCGCCGACGACAGGGAAAGACCGACTACTATGCCCGCAAGCGCTTGATCACTCAGGCCAAGAACAAGTATGGCGCGCCCAAGTACCGACTTGTCGTGCGCTTCACCAACCGTGACATCGTCGCTCAGATCGTCAGCTCTGAGATTGGCGGTGACAAGGTCTTCATGGCCGCGTATGCCCATGAGTTGAAGCCCTACGGCATTACTGTGCGTACATATCATGTGTGTCTGTCTCACAGCTGTCTAACACGCCATAGCACGGTCTTACCAACTGGTCCGCCGCCTACGCTACCGGTCTCCTTCTCGCCCGCCGTACCCTCAAGAAACTCGAGCTGGACGAGGCCTTTACTGGCGTTGAGGAGGCTGATGGCGAGTTCAGCCTTACCGAGGCCGCCGAGGTCGACGGAGAGGAGCGCCGCCCTTTCAAGGTCTTCTTGGATGTCGGTCTCACCCGCACTTCCACTGGTGCCCGTGTCTTTGGTGCCATGAAGGGTGCCTCTGACGGTGGTCTCTTCGTCCCCCACTCCGAGAACCGTTTCCCCGGTTACGACATTGAGGGCAAGGAGCTCGACGCCGAGACCCTCCGCAAGTACATCTTCGGCGGTCACGTTGCCGAGTACATGGAGACCCTTGCCGACGACGATGAGGAGCGCTACAAGTCCCAGTTCAGCGGCTACGTCGATGACGATCTTGAGGCCGATGGTCTCGAGGAGATGTACACCGAGGCCCACAGCCAGATCCGTGAGGACCCATTCAAGAAGGAGGAGGGTGCAGAACCCAAGAAGAGCAAGGATGAGTGGAAGAAGGAGTCTCTCAAGTACAGGAGCCAGAAGCTCACCAAGGAGCAAAAGGAGGCGCGCATCCAGGAGAAGATCAAGGAGCTCAAGGCTTAAGCTGGGCCGTCTATCTCCTTTTCAAGCGACTTCTCTACGAAAACAAAAACAGGGCTCACGGCGTCTGGGGATGCATTGGGGAACTTGGGATATCGTACCTCTCATGGCTGTGAATGAATGGCACTGCCGTATGAATTAGGGTAGCGCAATATCAAGATGATGAACCATTTCAACGCTGTAGTTTTTCTAAGCGGCTTCTATACATAAGCATACGCGTACAGGTCTAATCAATATCGAGCAAACTTTTGAATGGACTGGTAGTGCACGTGATGGCAAGATGGTGGAAAGGGCCTCAAGCCCTGGAGTGCTCGAGGTATACGCGCGGCACATGATGCGTGCCAATGACGGCCGATGATCAGGCCAGGTTATGGTTTGCACACACACCGACAGGAGCACACAAGGGCACATGTAGAAGTACGGGAAGCGTATCTTGACGGTCCGGCAAGCGGAGGAGAGAGGAGCCGAAATGGCTACCCGCTGTCGTCATTGCCGGCGGGTGACCTGAGTGTACCGCAACAAAAAAAAGTCAAAGGGGAGTCGGAGAGATTTCCATTCCCCCTAGTAAAATGCAATAAATAGGATGATTAATTAGCTTCATACGTACCTATGTACCTGTCCTGCTGAACCCTTTTCGCGGGCCCTCTATCCTCTCACGTGAAAGCTGGTCAAGACTAATCCAAGCGGCAAAGAAGGCCAGAGAAGAGAAACAGGTGCGTTGTGTGATGATGATGATGATGATGATGATGATGATTAGCAAGCAAGAGGGCTGTCTCGTCTGCACCCAGCAGTAAATGGTTGATGTGTGCGGCTAACATCACCAGCCCCCGCTGACCGATCCACCTCCGAACGAACGACGAACGACCAACAACGGCACCACGCGCCTGTCTACAGTACGATCGGATGGCGCCCACGATAAATCTGCCATAGCGCCTAGAGCAACTGCCCAACACAACACCCCCAGCACACGACAGGACATCCTTCTTGGCCGCCTATCATGGAGGATATTCATGGCGTAGACGTATCCTGGCTGCATCACTCCACCCGAGGTACGCTATCACTCGCATCCTGCCACTCTGAAGCGCACTATGGTAGACATCACAGCCCGGCAGATGCTAACCACACATCTTCAGACCCTCATCGACCGCCCGCCTCGTCGACATCAACGCCTAGCCTCACTAAAGACGCACCTCCGCCCACCTCCTCTTCCAAAGAAGGAGCCCCGCCTGTCTCACCTCCTCCACCTTCAGCCCCCGGTCAAGAGCGCACAATCGCATCGTCTGCCCCCGCTGTCCAGAAACCCTCACTTCCACCGCCGTCGCCTTCCGCCCCGTCTCCTACCCAAAGAATACCCATTAAACGTCCGGCTTTGCTTAATCGAACTTCTGTCGACAGGCCCGGAAGTGTCACACCGCCTGGTTCGCGCAAAGGCTCGTGGATATCCAGTATTAGTTCCAAGTTCTCTTCTCAGAACTCTCCCGCTCAGACAACCCCTGCGCAAGCTCAAGGCTCGTCCGTCACTGCCAACGGAACACACGGACCTACTTCATCGGCAAATGGCGCTCTGAATGGCATACAAGCGGCAGCAATCGGAAGCCATGCGGGACACGAGCCATACGTTCCACAGGCTCCCAAAAGCTCTTTTATATCCAATGCGCTACGACGTCTTTCATCTGGTAGTCAGGTCGGCACTGTTGGGAGGGTAGCACCTCACGGAGGTGTGTGCCCTAGGAAGGTGATGAACATCGATGCGACTCGAAACAGATGCTTGATGCCCGAACTAGATCAAAACAAGCTGCGTCGTGTTGCCTTTTGTGTCGATGTCGAAATCGCTAGCGGTCCTAAATACAAGGATGATCAGGATCTCGAAGATAAAAAGAAAATACGCAAAGACAAGAAGCTCAAGGAACGAGGTGAAGGAGAAGCTCTAAAACATCCGGATACGGTTGCAGAAGAAAAGGAAAAAAGTGGCGCTGTCACCGTGGGCAACTCTGAAGAAATCCTGGGTACAGAGGAAACGCCTAACCCAGAGGGCACTGTGGTCGAAGAGGCAAAGAAAGAAACAACAAGAAAGAAAGAAAAGAAAAAACGATCCGAGGCCGAGAGAAAGGAGAGAAAGGAGAAGAAGCGTCGGAAGGCGGAAGAGAATGGTTCCGTGCCATTGGAGCTGACTAGAGATGAAGACGACAAGAGTACAGATGGGACAGATACGGCTATCAAAGCGCCACCAAGACATCAAGACCGACCTACAACGGACCCTCTTCGAATCTACCGCAGGTGCTGCCAGTTGCGGGAAACCCCGATCCTTAAAAGAATCAGCGATCAACTCTCTTCGCCCTCTGCGTGCGCGCTTATTGCTCCTGGCGTGGTTACCTGTCTAGATCTCACCGGTTCGCGACTCCAACTTGCCGATGTCGTTACCCTTTCCGATTGGCTCGCGGTAGTGCCAGTGAAGAAACTTATTCTCGAGGATGCTGATCTGACCGATGAAAAAGTACGGCTTATTCTTGCTGGATTGCTCGGTGTCAAGGTTCCTAAGACACTCGCGCCAAGCTCACAGGATGCCCAAGAAAACTCGCGTAAGACTACAGATCGATCCGGCGTCGTGAAGAGACTTGTTCTAAAAAACAATTCGAAGATCACGGCTGAAGGTTGGGGCCATATTGCCCTATTTACATACATGTGTAAATCGATCATGTCACTCGATGTCTCGCTGGTACCTTTTCCAGTCTCCAAAAAGACTGATTTGTCTCCCCCGCCGAACGAGTCTCCAGAACATTCATCGCACACACAGGAAGCTTCCAATCAGACTGCAGAAATTTTCTCGAAGGCCATTGCCGAGCGGTTAGGAGGGTCTGATCTCGAAGAACTTTCTCTCTCAGAGTGCGGCCTCTCTTCTTCCGTGCTGAGGAAGATCATAGATGGATGTGTCGTCAGCGGCGTGCGGCGCATGGGTTTGGCCGGTAACGATTTAGATAACGAAGGCCTTGAACACATCATCCACTATCTTCGGTCGGGAGTATGTCAGGGAATCGACCTGGGTGGGAACGCTCTATCAGATTCAATAGAGAGGCTTGCCGACTGCTTCACGAAATCTTCTCCACTCTGGGCACTTAGTCTTGCCAACACGGATCTCACCCCCAATTCGCTGAAGAAGTTATTCCCTGCTTTGGTCAGATTGCCAAATTTCCGATTCTTGGAGCTTTCCCGTAACAAGAACTTGTTCTCCCATTCAACGTCGCTGTGCCTCCTCCGAAAGTACTTACCACAACTTCCAGAATTGAGGAGGTTGCATCTAAACGATGCGTCTTTGTCACCTGCAGATGTAATTGGCTTGGCCGAAGTACTACCCGAATGTGCTCATATCGCGCATGTGGATATGCTTGATAATCCACAAATCACTACACTTGCTGAAGCCACAGACGAGGAAACACAGGAGGAAGCCGCTGCGGTGTTTACATCACTCACAATGGCTGCAAAGGTATCGCGGACTCTCGTCTGTGTCAATATCGATGTTCCTGCATCTGGGAGCAACGAAGTTGTCAAGGCTTTGGCTAAACAGGTAGTCGCATACTGCCTAAGAAACATGGAGAATTATCACGAGGACATTCCGGAGCTCAAGGAAGGAGAGCTCAAGTACGAAGAGAAGCCTGTGGAGATTCCGGATGTTCTTATGCATTTGGTAGGACACGAGATAGGTTCTCCGGTAACGACCGACACCGAAACCCCAGCCCCTGATGATGATTATATTGTCGGTGGCATTGGCTTATCAAAAGCTCTGAGCTATTGTTTATCACAGAAAGCAACAGAGTTCAGGCGACAGTCCTTTCCTGTCAGTGGTACTGCGACACCAAGAAGCAGCCATCCCGAGGATATGGGAGAATCGGGCAAAGCCAAAGCCATGTCTAAAAACCTGCTTGAATATGCGCGCAATATTCGTGCCAGGGTGCAACCTGCCTTGGTCAAGGTTGCAAGAATAGGCAGTGACACGTCATATCGTGAGTTATTCTTCGTCTCCTTACAATTAGAAGTATGCTGACGCTACATAGGTCGCCTTTTCCTGCTCGACCAAACTTTACAAGGAATCATTCAGCGCTTCGAAGATGAGTATCCCGAGACCCGCGTGCAGCCCAACAGCAGCAGCGATGCAGCCTCCACCCACAGCTCTAATCCCAGCACCTCTCCGCCTGCATCGACCGTTCCTACCATCTCCACTGCTGTCACCGAAGGTGGACCCGACTCTGATGAAGAAGAAAGCGGCAAGCTCGTCAGGTCTCGTCACAACTCAGACGTCAATCTTGCATCGCGTGCACAAGCCCTTGAGGAGGGCAGGGTTCATCGTGTCGGCCACCGCCTCCGCACCGAGCTCTTCAACCCCTCCCGTCCGTCCTCGTCGCACTCGCAACAAGCCAACCTCTCGGGCTCCATGGACAATCACGATCTCCCTGAGCACATGATCGCACTGCGTCAGAATCTCTACCGCTATAGCGGTGAGGAGATCAAGGCCATGTCCAATGGTGCCGGATGGGATTCCGTCTTTGACCAGATCGCAGAAAATGCAAAGGAGTTGAAGGCACTGGAGCACGATCATCCCGAGGAGTTTGCGCGCTTCAGAGAGACACAGATAGCGGCACTTAAGAATCGCAATCTGGAAATTTTGCCTGGCCAGCACCCTGCTACTACGATAACGACGACTACTACTACAACTACTCCTCCGACTGGAAATGGTCAGTCCGCCAGTCGTGACGATTCTGCCGTTGAGGATTCGTGACTGGGATTATGCGTCGGTTTTATATCGTGTTGTACTACTCATCGCGTATTTCTTTGTAACTCGAAAGCGTTCTTACTTTGTGTTTTTCTATTGGTGCACAGGGTTCTGTACTGGAGCAGATGGATGGATGAATGGATGAAATTCGGGTATGCTCAACGGAAAACTCTCTGTATTTATTTCCTGATCAGCCCCCCCTCCCCCCACTCCCGTTTTGAACTCGCTTGCGGGAAGCGTCTGCAACGATTCGTTGTGTTTTTATTTTATCCTTTTGGGGGATTTCATTGTTGCTATGTAGTCATGCATTATTGAGCGAAACGTCTTCCATTATCATTAGCTTCTTCTTCTTCTTTTTTTCTTTCTTTTTTTGCAATTGATCATCTCTCAATCTCGAACTTTTTAACCTTGACTTGCAATGCTTGTGCCCTGGCTTATCTCTGCGTGCTTCTGGCGAAGACCTCGATGTGATCTGACTGGCCCGATCAGGTCCAGAGGTTGTTCATCTCGTTTTCGAGATGTATGCTCATAATCGAAGTAATTTGTCTCTTGATCGTTCCTTCAACAAGATGTTCATAGGCGATATAGTGAGTAAAAAACACCAATGTATTTCATGGCGATTTATCTAATCTCGATTTCTGAGCTCGTTTCAATTCGGCTTCTTATCAAATATATGGAAAGGAATGGTGAATGGGTGATGAGTAAAAGTTGGCATTTTGCTGTAGAGCAAGATATACGTAGTTAATCAAGCGGAAACTTCGGGGTTTTTGTTTTTTTGGTCATCGCTCGTGTTTTTGGTACCTTTTATCGTTGTAACTCTTCGCTGTGTGTAGGATCACCTAAACTCCAACTCAGAAAAAAAATCAAACGGAAAGTGGGCCAGGAGACGTTCTAGAATCTAATATCTGCCAATACTTTGAAATCTATTATTTTCATTTCCAGCTCAATACCAGCCCGGAATGGCCAATAGATGGCACATACATCAAACCATGCAGCAACACTTTCTACCTCCATACTGCACAATCGCTTTCTACCCTACAAAACTAACCCACAATCTTCAAATTCCATAGCATCTCAACCGACCACTACCCCGAGCGCAGCTTCAACCGCACAGCAACTTTCTCCAATGGCTTCAAAACCCCATAAGCAACTTCACCAACAGGTGGCAGCCCCGCCTCCACGTCATCACCATCACAAAGGTTCATTTCAAACTCGGCGAGCAGAACCGCCACAGCCGCTGCCGTGAAGACGTCAGCGAGACGGATTTCGAGGTCTGAGCAGCATTCGTCGCCTATACCCCCGCTGAGAATCTCATGCAGTGTCTCGATACCGTCGAGGCTGAAAGTGCCTGTGGTGACGCTATCTCTGCCTTTGCGGTACCGCTTCGTGGACGCGGATTTATCCGGGATCAAGAAGCGGTCTGACCAGAATTCTGCGAGGGGGCGGGTCGTAATTTGTGGGCGAGCTTTGGACCAGAGGGCGGTGTTGAGGCCGATGTCCTGCGAGAAAGCTAAAACAGATGTGCGATTGGGGATCACCCAGTTGTTGTCTAGATGGGCATCGGGGGTGGCACTGGTGCGCAGCATATATGTAGCCGTCCGGATACGTTTGATTTCTAGGCTGAGCGATTGGAGATTGGGCAATTTAGTGATGGCTGCCAAGTCGTATTTGTCTTGGGTCGGTTGGGCGTGTCGTAGCACCTCTCTCGAGAGGTAGTCGGTGAGGGCTTGATTGCGGAGGATTTCTACAATGTGCCAGAACGTTGATGGCATAGCGGCAGAGCTAATACTGTGATAAGTTAGTATAATACATGCACAATCAAGGTGGTGCGATAAGCAAAGGTACACATACTTGTGTATGATCCTGAGGCATTCGGAAGCTCTTGCTTGGTAGTTGAAAGAAGGTATCTGGGCGAAGGTGGCGTCGCACTCCTGGATGAATTTTGAACCTCTCTTTTCATCCCAGACAGGGTCTGAAGCCTTGATCTGTGCGAAATCAGTGCCGCCATGGGTCGTCTGCAGCCACTTCCTGATACCTTCAAGAAGTCGATCCCGTGGTGGGACGGCCGAAGAGATGGTAAATCGCGGGAGGCCAGGTATGAATTCACCCGTCTTAGATTGAAAGTCCCAGTAATCTCGGACCAACTTTGGCTGATTCTTGATCAGTGCTGAACCGAAGAGAGTCTCCACTGCCCCGCGAGTGATTTCTATTTCCAGAAATGACCATAAGTCTTCAATCTGTGTCCCTGTTTAGACACACAAAGGACGGCTATCAGCGACTTGCTCCTAACGAAAAAATCTTGGCCTAATATCACCTACAGCTAGAGGGTTGAAACATCTTGTTCGACATATTGCGACGGAATATGGAAATGAATGTATCTGTGAGCGACTTGAACTCAACATCATCCTGATATTTGCTATGGACTGAAGCAAGTAATGGATGGAATGGGCCGCTGTCTTGATCGACAGATTCATTGATTTGGTAGTACCTAATAGCGTCTCGAGTCGTGCCAAATACTTTGTCGTAGATTTCTGTCAGGTTCGATTTCGCCTTCGTCGAACTCGATTGCCGGAGAAGAGAACGACAGTGCTCCGAGCTCCGAACGACCAGATACGAAACTCGGCCTATCTTGACCGTGAAAGGCGCGTGAGCTCCATATTTCTTGATCAACAGTGCGAAATATGTTGATGGTTTGGATAGTAGTCCGAGTGCATGGTACAAACCAGGAACCCAATAAGGGATGGTTGGAGGTTTTCTAGGAGGACTTCTGTTCTTCGATTGCCGACGAAAGAGGAACGTAGTAATGTAATGTGTAAGGAATGGGGTTAATATGAAAGCTAGAAGTATTAGCCAAGCCATAGTTGTATAGCCAAGTCACGCTTCGAACTCATCTGGTAGAAAGTCGGGGTACGTCGAACACGTTGGAGACCGGATGAATCTCGGTACCGAGTTAAGAGCTAGGTACATATGTACCTAGTTATCTTCAAGTCCCGTTGTGCCAAACTCTGATAGTAAACACACCCCAAAAACATTTACTATCGATTTTTACGTGCTGAGTGAGCACTGAAGTAAAAAAAAGCTGGTGTTTCAAAAATGGTGTCAAAAACATTTACATTTTCTCACTTTGATCAATTTTCGGATGTAGAAGCATGGAACTCCGTATTCAAGCTTTCGACGTATTGAATGCCACCTATTTCTCATCACAATTATTATTCAGGTGAAAATTCGTTTTGCGTACTCAAGAAAGACTTGTTCGGGATGTGGTTCGTCATTTTCAGCGCGCAACGCCCAGTAGTTTCACCAGATGAAGTCTACCTAGTCGTGAAATAGAGCTATTTTGCCCGGAATCCGTGACCTTACAAATCTTCCATCACATCTTCCACTTGTCGCCCACGACATATTGTGGGTAAAACAGATACTCTAACCCTCAAGCTTCTCTGCAAGAACTTGGTTGTACTTGCTTTTCCAGAAAGCAACCTCGGTTGCCGCAGTTGTTGCACCCCCGGCTTTGAGTTTCTCGTTCTCCAAGCGATACTCATCTGCCTTCCTATACGTGGGCTCCATGCTCTTGAATTTACTGTAGGCGTCCTGTATGTTGTCAGCAAAAGAACGAGACGCATCCTAAAATTGAAATTGAGTCACGTACAATACCCAGCTGCGTAGCGCTAGCGAGTTGTTCTTTCAGAGTCGCGATCTCCTGGTGGGTCTCGGCAGGCCCCATAGAAGCTCTGAGATCAGCGTTCTTGATCGCTGCCTTCGCTTCGAGAAGCTGTCTACTGAAACCATCTCGGGACGCTTTCAGCGCGTCTACTTCGCCATTCAGCTTGTCGTTGGCCATTTTGAGTTCGGAGAGTTGCTTCTGGAGTTCGGTGTTCGAGGCCTGTAGCGCGCCGTTTTCGGCCTTCTGCTTCTTGTTGACATCGGCGGCGGCAGTGCGAAGTGTGTCGTTGTCGAGCTTTAGGTTCGCACATGTACAGTTGAGCAGCTCAGCTTTCTGCTGTGCACCTCTGAGCTTGGTCGTCAATTCCAAGTTCTCACTCTTGACGGCACCGAATGCACCCTTGAGTAACTTGTGCTCTTCTTCCAACTTCCTTAAAGTCGCTTCGGCAGTAGCCACGGCTTCCTTCACGCGAGACAACTGTTCCAAGAGGGTGCCTCGCTCAGAAGTCACCTTGGCTAGCTGGCTTCGCAAATCATTGGTGGTATCTTGAAGGTCTCCGGTCTGCTTACGAAGATCCTCGGCAGTCTTCTTGTGCTCGTTCATACTCTAGGTACGAAGTTAGCGGATCATGTGCTAGAACATCGTAATGCGACCCTGAAGGCCTGAGGCGCGACATGTGTATGTGGATTAAGCAGAGACCTACAGCAAAGGCATTGCCATACTCAACACTCTGATTACCATACTTTTCTTGGGTGTGTTTGAGTTCCGCAGCGAGAGACTCGGCTTTTTTCTGCTCCTTGGCAAGATTCTTCCTGTGCTCTAGATCTTGTACTGCAACCTCTTTGGTCTTTGCGTCGAGGTCCTGGCGGAGACAACCGTTTGTCAAGGCCATGCGGGAAATGCTATCTTTCAAAGCGGAGACCTCGGCACGATGAGCCTCGCTCTGTTCCTGAAGCTGTGATGTGAGACGGGCTTTGGCGTCTTCGAAAGCACGTTCCTGCTCAACGAGCAAATTGTGCTGGAGATCGACCTTTTGGTGCTGAACTTTGAGCTCATCGTGGACACCTCGAAAGGCCGAGTTGGCGACGGTGCCGATTATTAGGCTAGCAGCATGGTTCTGTTTCTCGATGAAACCGGGTAGCGCAGACCTAGCTTCTTGAATGCTGGTGTACAGCTTTTCCAGCTCAAACCAGAGCGTCTCGACAACCTGGAGTTTCCCGGCAGCGGCCGCAGGGTCTTCAGACTTGAGAGCATCATGGAGCGCCATAAGTATCTGGAACACATGGTTAGGCTTGGGCAGCGCGGATTGAGGGCCAGCAAACATACCTGGCGAGTGGCTGCAGCAGTGGAGGTGGACTTGGACAGCTTTGCTGTATGCTCGTCGACTTCTTGCTTCAATGCCATTCCTTGCTCCATTGCTACCTGCAGACCAGGATTCAACTTAGTCTCGGTGGCGGCGGGTGGTTGCTCCTGACGGACAGTCAAAGACATGTCTAAGCCCGCGGTGCTGGCAGCGTCAGAGATAGCAGAGGCAGAGATAGCACTGGCCGAGGCTGCGAGAAATGCGGCGTGCTCCTTCTTGCGCTGAGGAGGCGCGTATTTGGAGGCGCCCATGGCAATGGAGCCGCGGAAAGGTTGATGCGGAACCATGACGGGGACAGAACGAGCGTGGCAGCAGTGCAGACAGAGCGAGAGAGCGGGTGGATGTGCTCAAGAAAGAGAGAGGGTGTGCGTGAGGGTGGGGTTTTGGGGTAGCAGTGACCTCAGGTTATGGGGGTGTTGGGGGTGTTGTAAACAAGACCGCCGTAGAATCAGAAAGAAAGGCAGGCACGGCTGTCCCCCACTGGAAGAAGCCCAGCGCGACCCAAACATGGCAAGAGCGGGACAACTGTTTGTTTAGTACGTATATACATACATACACACTTGCCTTAGTACTTGGCCACGTAGTATTGATTGCTCGAGCTCTGTTCCTGCTCGTCTCCCTGCGGCTGCTTCTATCCTATCCTATATGGAGCTGGCCATGATTATACAGAACAGCAAAGCGCACAGTGTCGTCAAGCGCATTTCTGGTTGACGGTGGGATGGAGGTATCATATATCCCGGGTCGTTGTCGTTGACACGGGCGAGCAACGCTTGGTGACTACTCCGATGGAATCGATCAACCAAACTATATCAATAAAGTAATCGACATGTCAGCAACGTAGGTGAGTGGCATGTTGCTGCTGAAATATGTGATTACGTATACGGTACGGAAGGCCATTTATCAAAGTGAGATGGATAGATTAGACACTGCAAATGTTAGTTTAGACATCAGAAGACGCATGCACAGATAGGAGGACTGGCTTACAGACTAAAAAGACACACTGAGACATTGGATGGGATTTTGCAAAGGTAAATCTAAGCCAAGACAATACAGGTATTCTTCACGACAACCGTTTGATTACATATGATATTGCTGCCCCAACTCTCACAAGGGACTAACTCGGTGAGGTGGCCTAGGGATTTACGGTGGCACACGGAAATGGTGTTGGTGAAGGGGCACGGCGTTAAGAACTTGGCAAAGCATGGAAAAGATGGCTAAGGAGAACGGGTAGGTCGCGCACAGACAAGGTTGGCGATGCAGGGGAAAGGAAGCGGGTCAGGATCCGATTGGAACATTGGAAAGGATTCCTTTGTTTTTCTTTCTCCTTTTCTCGTGGCTGCCGAGTGTGACAAGAGTAAGTACATGGGCAGCGAATTCATTTGTCATAAGACGCGATGGTGTGTGTAGTACGACTCATGAGAAGGGGGGGGAAAAGAGAGAGAGGGGGGGGAGAGGAATATCACCGAAGCCGGACCAGGGTAGGATAACAAAGTTTAACGGGTACATGGTGTAAAGGCGTACGTGAGGTTCGGCTTGTGGCGCCTTAGGGGGACGGAAGGCAGCAACAAGCGGCGGGCGAGGCAGCCCACGCGAGTAATCGGTGCGGAGACGGATTGTTGGTGTGATATATATGTAATAGCATATATGTGCATTTACCTGGGCGTGCGATGAAGTCGGATCACCAAGCAACACACAGAGATGGCGGCTTACCTACAGGTGAGACGGGAAGGGCCGAATGCTGACCTTTGGACTAGCCCCCGAGATAAGGTGGCAGCCATGGGCCGGCAGGTGAGGGTGAGGGTGAGGGTGAGGACGGGAATGGCGACCAGGTGCATGTACAAGTGCCGAGTGTTTTTGGGCGGAGCGATGAGGATCGATGGCAAACAAATAGATGGTGGAGGGCGAGAAGGAGGTGCGTGCAAATGGCTTGTTAGCAGCGGGCGGGTGGGTACAGGGGAATGGGCAAGTGAAACACGCCCGGGCAGCCCTCGTCCTCTCTGTCGGGACGGCGATGATTGATTCGAGCAGGTAATTGCAGGAGGCTGGTCCGGGAGAGAGCATGATGATTCGAATGTTATTGACTACATACATGTATCTAAGTACATACATGTGTAATCTGTGTATTGTAATCTTGCATGCAAACATGCAAACCACCACCAAGGAGGAATATGCGCCTCTTTCGCCTCCCGGGCGGGTTGGCCTTCCCCCCTCCCCACCACGCCATCCCTGCTCCAGCGCGCCCATGTGGTGGGCATCGCAAACTAGAGCAGAGCAAGGCAGAGGCAGAGGCAGAGGCAAGCAGGCCTTTCCATGCAAAACCATCACCATCACCACCACCGCCGCCGCTATCCTGATGCTTGCTGCCGCCTGCATGATCCAAACTCTTCCTCCCTCCCCCCTAACCGTTGCCAACCCACCGCCATCCATCCATCCTTTGATTCTTTGCATACATAGTCGCACTCCTCCTCGCCGTAAATCAACAAAACTAGATTCAAAACCCGCAGTTCTAGTCCCCGAGCTCTGATCATCCTGCATCCGCTGTCCAACGGCAGCCAAGCCATTTCCTATTGCGTTTGTTCGTTCGTGCCCTCGCTCGTTCCTCGACCTCTTTTCTGCGTTATATACTTACGTACGGGCCTACATATACATACATACCTATATAGATTACAGCCTACACGCACTACTTCCTCCCCGCCCGCCCCCCAATCGGTGCGCTTTTCTCCACCTTCTTGCTGCTGTAATTGCTCGCCGCCTTGCTCGCGACGAGTACTATCATCATCACCATTACCACGCAAACACCAGCTAGCTCAATTATTAGAGGTATGTACTCGCTTGCAACCTCATCTATGTGTGCCTTGTTGGCCCGTGTCTGTCTAGATTGACTTGACTGACTGCCTTGCGCCCTGCTCCCTGCTGCTGTCGCTTCCCAACTCATCCTGTCCATCGATTATTTGTCTCGCGTCTCACACACTTTTGTCAACTCCAACTGCTTGCGGTCCAGGGTTTCATTTCTGCCTGCCCTTTGCTTGCTTGCTTTCCTTTCCCTTCCTTTCATTCATCTCCTTTTCCTCTCCTTTCACTCGCCCCTCTCCAGCCTTTTGCTGCCGACGCCGCCGCCGCCGTTGCTGCTGTTGCTGTTTCTTCCCGCGCATCCCTTTCACTCCACCTGTTTCTCCTCTGCGAATCCATCGCCTTGTTGTTTGGGTTCAAGCAAAGCTAATCCGGAACTCCTAGCTTGTCGCTGTCCTATACCGCTGCATGACTCGGTTGGCCCATAAACACCCGCGACCCTTGATTCTCTCCGCCGCGCCAACATCGACACCCGCTTCCACATCCTTATCCGCAACCGCACCTGTCTTGTCCTCCCGTTCATGGCCGCCGGTATAATGTGTTTCGGCAAGAAACCCGCAGACCCCGAGAGTCGTCGCAATGAGGAGATAGAGAAGGGAATCCGGAATGACCGTCGGAAGCAGGAGCGCGAGGTGAAGCTGTTGCTGCTCGGTATGCACCCTTCTATCCGCCCGACCCCGCCGCATGCCCTCTTGCTGATGAGAACTACACAGGCGCCGGTGAAAGTGGAAAGTCCACGGTCCTGAAGCAGATGCGAATAATAAACGCCGGCGGCTTCAACAAGACGGAGCGCAAGCAATGGCGAGCAATCATCTTCAACAATCTTGTCTCCGCCTTTCAAACCATCTTCGCTGCTATGCAAGAGCAGGAGACCGATTTTGAGGACGATGACAACTTGGTATGCTCCTTTCGCCACACGCATCCCATACGGCCTATACTGACCCATCTAGCGATTCGCGGAGCTCATCGCTGCCGACCCCGAAATTGCCATTGACGAGTCCATGCCCCAAGAATGCCTCCAGGCTTTCAACAGCCTATGGGCGGACAAAGGCGTGCAGCTGTCCATCTTGAAGGGCAATCAATACGCCCTGCATGACAATCTGAGCTAGTAAGCCGCGCCCATCGTTCTACGGTTTTGATCCGCACCCTAACACGTTCCAGCTTTTTCGCCGAGGTTGACAGACTGTTTTCAAAAGACTATCTACCCACAGACCAAGACATCCTTCGAACTCGGCTGCGTACAACAGGTATAACAGAAACAATCTTTGAACTGGGCAATCTCACATACCGCATGTTCGATGTTGGTGGCCAGAGGTCTGAGCGTAAGAAGTGGATACACGTCTTTGACAATGTTCAAGTTGTCTTGTTCCTCGTCGCCATCAGTGGTTACGATCATGTACTTGTGGAAGACAGGAATGGCGTGAGTTTGATTCCACCCGAGTCGTAGAATGCGCCACTGACCCGCTGCAGAATCAAATGCATGAAGCCCTCATGCTCTTCGAATCCATCTCCAACTCGAAATATTTCGAAAAGTCAGCGCTCATCCTGTTCCTCAACAAGATCGATCTCTTCCGAGAGAAGATTGCAGGGGGTATGAGCCCCATCAGCAAAGTCTTCCCAGACTACACGGGCAAGCATACCGACATCGAAGCTGGTCAGGAGTTCTTCGCAAACAAGTTCCGCAATCTGGTTCGCCAACCGAAGAAAGAGGTCTACGTTCACTACACCAACGCTACAGACACCGATCTGCTTAAAAAGACCATGGCATCTGTGCAAGACATGATCGTGCAACGTAATCTCAACGCCCTCATCCTATAAGGACAGACTCTTGGCTGGGTGCTTCGATCCAGATCATAGTCTCGATGCCAGATCGGGACACCTGTGCGCAACAATGTGCACAAAGTGTTGCATGAAACGGCCGTTTGAAAGTTTTTTCTCTTTAACGAAACTCAGTCCATGGATGGCCTACTCAGTACGGTCATCTGGGTACATTTGGCCCCTCTTTTAACCTACATACCCCTCGATATCCCCATTCCACAGCGATTCTCGCACCTGTTTATTTTCAAGACGATTTGACGACTTCTTTCTTCCACGGAGAGCCTGCGAGCATTTGCGCTCTTATTTTCTTGCTTGTTTTCCCCAATGTTCACAGTACCAAGGCCTATGTCAGGGCTCTGCCTTCTGTCTCCTTTCTCGATTAGGTGGGATGAGGTGAGATATACGGCGGGACGGGCAAGGGAAAGACTGGCGTGTAAGTTGCCGGCACCAGGCATCTGCAAAAAATTCTCGAGATTCACCATGTAGTGTAGTGTAGTGTATGTAGCGAGTGTACGACGCAATATTGGGAGAACTTTATCTAGTTTCAAACTTCCAGTTTCTTCTCCCCTTCAAACACTGTGACAAGCTGTTGATACCTAGGTAAATTCTCGAACACAAACGCCCACGTGAATCCAAAGCACGTTGTGACCACGTTTCCGTCTTCCTACAGCCAGGCAGCCCCTGTTCATCTCGTAGTCAAGAGCCGGACGTTGCTCAGCAAATGCACGACCATGTCCGAGCGAGCGAGTATGACCAAAACTCTGACCGTTTGGCAACCTGGGAACAGCAAAAATTGAGAGTGAGAATAACGCAGTCATCCGCGTCCCCAACTCACGCATGCCTTTGCAGGTGATCGGCCATTGTGCATGTATTGAATTGTGTGTGCATCAGGAAATAATCGTACACCAGTGTCATATCAATTCCTCCATGTGTATGCATGCGCGTGGCGAGGGCGCCTTCTTACTCTTATTCTTCGCTCTCGGACACCGAGGGTGGATGGATATAGTGTCTGGGTGTACTGAGTGGTGGGAGGGGCTGCAGGCAGATCAACCTCACACCTTTATTATCAAACGAGGGCCGCTGCGGTTTGCCTGCATCCATGCTGTGTCATACCAGGTAATGTAATGTACGGTAAAGTAAACGGGCCCAAGTAAATGGCAAAGTACGGATAGCATATGGGATTGTCTACCTTCTTCCTCTTAGAGTAATTTTTCTCTATGCTACCGTGCTTCCTCGTGTACATGCACACCTGGAAAATACGTCATAACACTGCTCAATCCGTAATGGCAAGGGGACAGGGGGTCATCGATGTCCGAACCACGGCTGTACAGTTGCGTGTGCGCGAGCGTGCATGCAGTGTAATCACCACACATGTAATCATCAATCAATCAATCAACTGAGCAATCCGTCCTGGTGAGTGCAACCCATCCCTTCATCATTATTTCCCTCTCAATCGCCGCTGTGGGTCTGGTAATTTATATCATATGCCTGGAACCTGCTTCCGTTGCAGGAAATATACTCATAAGGCAGGTAGCTCCGTATCTAACGCGGAATCTGGACATGTACATTATCTAACACTTTGGGAGATGAAGGTCTGCTTGTGCAATGTTAGTCTGGGGAACGGAAGAACGACGTCACATATCTAGTACACGGAGGGTTTTCGCATATATGTAGTGCATGGCAGCCACCCGTCCATGTAGGTGTGAGAGACATCGCAACCCCCGGGGGTCTAAACAACCGCATGAGAAATCCTGCTTGCGCCTTTGCCTGAGACATGCATACATCAAACGCGCGGGGGATACGAGTTTGGGCAGGAACTGAATTTGTACATTTGGGGCGTAGAGCCTTCACGTGCGGCGGGCACAGTCGTGTTGAGAGACACGAGTGCTCTGGGATGTATCCATACCCTGTCATGTATATACCCGTCTGGAAATACACGCATCTGTATGGATGCTCTCCAAGGATCGTGCAGATGTATAAGCCCAGGTCTAGATGAGATGGGTGGGTGAGATGAGCGAGGTCTGGGGTTTCGGATTCGTCGAATAGTATTGGTAGGCTGTTGCCAGAGATAAGTCGCTCTGGTAAAAAAGCACATCAACACCACAATATCGTTTCCCTCGTGAAGAAGTTGAACATGCCCAGGCATCAAGTCGTCGTTGATGGAGTTGGAGAGGGGTCCGAGGTCCCGGTGCGTACGCCCGGTTTTTTCCGACCTAATTGTCCTCGTGACAGCCCGGAACAATAGACGGTCCGTCGTTGGCGCCAGTGACTCGCAGGCAAGGCGAAGCATCATCCGCCATCAACACGATCGACGAAGAGCCTCCTCTACAACTACTCTTCGTTAGTTGATCATGTTATCTCCCGCCGTCGGGAGAGCCGTTCGCTCTTCCGGACCTATATCTACTGTCTCAGCGTGTGTACTGAGCCGCCCTGCGACCCTCGGTGCTGGCCAGCAATCCTTTTCACGACCTTGCCATCAGCGGCGCCTGTCGTCTTCCAATGCGTCGATACCGCCTGATGGCTCCAACACAAATGGCTCCAGCTCGCCACAGCAGACGCCTGCAACTGCGAGCAAGGCTCCATCCAGGAAAATGACGGGAAGGACGTCCAAGAAGAGATCAGTCACGCCCGCTCTCAACGTCCCTCACGTTCCGCCTACCGACTATCTACAAAAGCCTGGTATGAACTTGGCACCAAGATCCTGCGGGGGCAAAACAAGATGCTAACCCAACCCAGAAGTCAAGATATCTTCTTTCTTCTCGCTCCATCGTCCTATATCGCTCACCACACCGATACCTCCTGTCGCGACGAACACTTCTTTTGATTCCATCTTCAAGGCTCGAGCGCCTAATGATAGGAAATCCATGGTGAACAATATCCAGACTCTGTCTAGCGGCATTGAGAACCTGGAAGCAGCTCTACGTGTGCACGAGAAGCAGGCTCCTGAAGACATGAGTCTTCAAGTTGAGACCGAAGTTCACCACTTGGATGGGCCGCCCCCTCAAGCATCTATAGACCAGCTCATGGCCCGATTCGTTCCTTTCCGGCCTCCTCCTGCTCCTCTGCCTTTTAATGAGGCCGAAGTCCCTGTATATGGTGCGGAAGAAGTACAAGCTACCAGCCAAGCCAAACAGCGCGCGTGGAGCACCGAGGTTGTTGTAACCGAGTCAACAGACCCTTCGGGTAAACGTACATACTCGGCCACTACAGCGCCTATGGTGGAAATCACAGTCCCCAGCACAGATGACGCCATCGAAATTCGACAGCCCTTTCTCAACCGCATGCAGCGCCGGCAAGATACCCACCTCCGTCCAGACATGCTTGCTATCAGTGTTAAAAGACAAAGGAAGCTGAAGATGAAGAAGCACAAGTACAAGAAGCTCATGAAACGAACGAGGCTAGAGCGCAAGAAGTTAGACAGGTTGTAATAGAGACGATTTTAGTGTTGGCTGCGTTTAGATGCATATTCGAGTGAAGTTGGAGGAAGCGTTTGGTGTAGGGAGAGGCTGGCATAGCATATTCAATGCACGATACCCATTTCCACTCAACGTTTCGCCGCCCTCGTCGCATCCCGAGCGATCCACTGCGTGATCGTGGACGATCTCCACTTCATCCTCGACCGGGTGAACTGGTGGGTGGTGCGACCCTCTCCTGTCGCCCACGTCCTGGTTTCTGGAAGCATTGCGGACGCCCCTCCCCTTAACTAGTTGGGCGTTTGCGCCCGTTGTAGCATTTGGTTGGCCGCATAGTAGCACGTTGTCGGTTTTGACGCTTCATATTGCTAGCATTTGCATGGTGCACCCCTTTCGCATGAATGTTTTGGTGTCCGTTCATCCCTCACTGTTTATTGCTGTTCCGCTGACAATGGCCAACATAATATTGACCTCGGCACAGGGAGAGGTGCGGGAAGCATAGATGTTCCGTCTGTCAGAGTAGCTTGTCAAGGCGGTTAGCAGGTGTCGTTGTAGTCACATGAGACAGATCTGTGACCTGCACAGTCGCAGACGTCTAGTCTCACCCTCGCTAACATGATACCTGAGGGCCGGGGCTCGTCAGCAAAACGCTTGGTAGCGCGAACATGGAGCTTGCCGACGTCGCAAGCAGTCGATCATACAGCCCGCTAGACTTCATGCTGCCTAAGGTCGGCTGCAACACCACGGCTGGAATTCTTCCATGGTCCGCCTCCAAGTTTTCCACGACTCTTGGCATCGTTATGCCACAACGCTGTTGCACTTGGGTGCAGGATACGAGACGGGCCAATGTCTCCTTGCCATTTTCTTCCTTCCTCAGGCGGCAAACAAGAGCTGGGGTAGTAGCAATACGGGATGGGGTGGTCCTGCGCATGAAGGTATAAATCGATCGCGGCCGCCTCCACAACGAAACCTCATCAGCACAGAACAGCATTCGCAGCAGCTTCCTCCACTCTCTTTCCAGTTTTTCTTCATTCATTCTATCCTTCTTTCTTCAGCCCCGGTTGGCATTTATTTGAAACATTATACGAGCTAGACTCCCTTTACCGGTCTCTTTATAACATCTAAACCAAACACTTCAACCCAAATCCGACATCATGGTTTCCAAGGTCTTCATCCTCACGGCCATCATCGCCTACGTCGAGGCCCGTTTCGGTCAGGAACAGGTCCCCATTGCTGACATCTCTGCCGTCCAGGGCGGAGATGCTGGCGCGGCTGCCACAATTGCGGGAGCAGCCATCAGCGATTTGCTCGGTGGAGCCAACTCTTGCGACAAGCTTGTGACGGCCGATCAGATCTTCACTGAGCTCGGAGGTGGTGCTGATGCTCTCGCTGCCGCCATTGGCATGGTCACGGCCGAGAAGAACACCAACCCCTTTGCTGGAGGCAACGTTCAAAACGTCTGTGGAGATGCAACTCTCCCAGTCACTCCTGAGCTCCGTGGCATCACTCCCTTGATCGATCCTGATGTCGATACCGCTGGTGGTGTTGCCGCTCTCTCCGCGAGCTCTGCTGCTGCTCCTCTTGACGCCACGGGCAAGAGCGTCTTCGACCTCCTCGATGAGGCTGGATTCGGCGACTTGGTCGCTTCCCAGGCCGCCGGTGGCGGTGCAGCAACAGCAGCTGCTGCTGGGGGAGCAGCCCAGAACAACAACCAGGGAGCAAATGGAAACGCTCAGCAAGGCAACGGCAACGCTCAGCAGGGTAATGGCAACGCTCAGCAAGGAAACGCCCAGCAAGGAAACGCCCAGCAAGGAAACGCCCAGCAAGGAAACGCCCAGCAAGGAAACGCTCAGCAAGGAAATGCTCAGCAAGGAAACGGCAACGCTCAGCAAGGAAACGGCAACGCTCAGCAAGGAAACGGCAACGCTCAGCAAGGAAACGGCAACGCTCAGCAGGGTAACGGCAACGCCCAACAGGGTAACGGCAACGCTCAGCAGGGCAATGGCAACGCTCAGCAAGGAAACGCTGGCGGAAACAATGCTGCTGCTGGCGGAAACAATGCTGCGGCTGGCGGAAACAACGCTGCGGCTGGTGGAGCGGCAGACTTCGGTGACTGCACACCCACCATCTTCTTTGAGGGTGGTCTGAACGGAAGGCCCGCCGACGAGTTCACATTCCAGATCGAGGATCCTCTTGCCCGCGGCGGTCAGGGTGAAGCCCTCAACCCAAACATCATCACGAACGCCCTCTGCAACCAGCTCACGAACGTGTGCAATGCCAACGATGCCGCTATCACTCAATGCGAGGACGCAAAGGCACAAGTTGAGGCTGCCGGCACTCGTGATCAGACGACCGCCGACCTTTTCAACAGCGCTATCCAGGGCGGTGCTGCCGCAAGGAAGATGCGCAGGGGTCTCAGGATCAACTAGGCGCGACGTTCTTGTGCAGTGAGCGAGTGCCTTGTCGCCGTCAATTCCATCGAGAACGCACTATGACGCCACACATTGACTTCGGCTGAGCAAGTGGTGATTGAGATACCTGCTTGAAGGGGTATGGATGGACGGGATGAGTTCGGTGATGTGGATATAGCCTTTATTTTCTTTGTTATTTTCTTACGATTCACCTGTATGACTACAATAGTGTCGGCCTTTTTTTTTAGTATATCTAGCGGAAGTGACCCAAAATGAATGATCTGTCTGAACAAAACCCCATTTCCATTCGTCTTTGCCACTTTGATGCGTGAACTTCGTGGAAGAGACGTGGACCTTTTTGTCCTCACCTACTTTTTGTCACCTTTTTTATCTGCCGTTTTGAGTTAGGAAACACTTTAACTCCTAATAAAAAAGAATAAAAAAAACCCCCGTGGAAGAGAGTCTGCATCCTTTCTCCGTCTGCACGCAGTACTGGGTGGCTTACGGTGATACATTTTTGAGTCAGTGTGTGATATATCTGTTTATGTGGAGTTGGTTGTGGACCGCAAGAGTGTAGGGTCTATTAAGATTGAATTTATCATGAGTAGTCAATCAGCTATTGTCCTTAGTAAGCAAGCTCAGGAACATCCGTCTATGGCCGAAAGCAAAGTATTTATCGTCATTATTGTCTTTGGCAAAACAAGAGGTCAATATAATCTTGCCAGTGGCTTATCTTTCTTAGTCTAGTGCTTGAAGGCTGTGAACCGGATCGGCCTCGGGGGCACGTCGATAATCACCCCGCCGCTAAGCATCCCACCTACACGTAACGACTTGTTGGTCAGCTTACATACTATCCGTCCTACATGCGACATCGTCACATAACGATTGCAGCACTTGGTCTTCAGTTCCCACTCCGACTTGGGTGCGCACATGAACAGCTCCGCCTTGCTACGTGCAAATTCTGGGCCCGTTTCCTCGTCTGTTTCTCAAATTCGAGTCCGTTTCTTTACTTACTCGAAACTCGTGTATTCCACGTCTCATCTCGGAGAACCGCAAAAATCTAGTTTTGAGAATTGGAAACGAATCTCTTTGCGTGGCATGTCGCGTGTTCAGCAAGATTTTTTCCGTATTCGCGAGGCGAGCAAGGTAGAGCCCGATGTATTGAAAAGAGAGAAGCAGAAGAAACCGCACGTCGGTGTTGTGGGTGCTGGGGTTTCTGGTCTTCGGGCTGCGGACATACTCCTCAAGCATGGTGTCAAAGTAACCATACTCGAAGGGAGAGATCGCATAGGCGGCAGAGTAAGGCTTCTCCGTTAAGATTCCATTTTCTTATCATTAAGAAACCCTTTTTAGTTCTACCAGAGTGATGCATTGGGGCACCGAGTTGACCTGTAAGTCATTGATATTCTTGCACTTCATTCCTTACTGTCAGATGAGGACATAGCTCATGACTTTCAAAGTGGACCAAATTGGATCCATGGCACAGAGAACAACCCAATACTGGAACTAGCAAAAGAGACGAACACGGCGACGATGTCTTGGGATGGCCGTCAAGCGGTTTTTGACCGGCTTGGTAGACTGATGCCCGATGACGAAGCTACAGAATATACAGAGATAGTCTGGGAAATTGTCGAGCAAGCGATGAAATATTCCAACGAAGAATCGGAAACAATATCCCCGGACATCAGCCTTTACCATTATTTTGAGGAGAAAGTTGAGAAGATGGTGACGTCAAAGACTGGAAGTGAAGAGGAAGTGGCCGAGAAACGACAGATCATCTTGCAGATGGCAGAAATGTGGGGGGCTTATGTTGGTAGTCCTATACGGCAACAGAGCCTTAAATTCTTTTGGATGGAGGATAGTCTCGACGGCGAGAATCTCTTTGTTGCAGAGACATACCATAAAGTGTTAAAGAAGATAGCAGAGCCGGCAAGTGAGAATGCGGAGATCAAGTTTGGACACAAGGTCAAGAAAATCTCGTCACGCAAAACGCCCGAAGGGATTAAGATTACAGTGGATATATGTGATCAGGACAGCTTGACTTTTGACGAAGTCGTAATAACAACGCCATTAGGCTGGCTTAAAGCGAATACAGATGCGTTCGAGCCCGATCTACCCAGTCGATTACAACAGGCCATATCATCAATCGGCTACGGACACTTAGACAAGGTAAAGCGTTAATACAGTTACTCTGGGCCACCACTCATACTCACAAAGTCTTCAGGTCTACATAACATTTCCGACAGCCTTCTGGCACGAAACATCGGATCACATCACTACCACCAGCACAAAAACCCCGCCAGCCCAGCTACCATCCACAACAGCACCTATAAGTCAGCCCACACCCGCCACCACCACCCTAAAGTTTCCCGGGTTTGCACATTGGACAAAGCCGACATACGCAGCGTCAACCAATCCTTCACTATGGTCCCAAGAATCCGTGAATCTCGCGGCTCTTAAGTCACCTTTCGCCCACCCTACCCTCCTTTTCTACACGTACGGACCGACCTCCAAACATATCGCCTCTCTCCTGAAGTCTTCCGCGCCCTCATCTTCACCGCCGACCGTTTCCTCGGGAGCAGCCACCACAGCCCTCCTCCTGCCGTTCTTCGCGCCCTACTTCTCTCGTCTGCCGAACTATGATGCAAATAACCCTTCCCATCAGCCGACTAACATGCTGGCCACTGCTTGGGCAAACGACGAGTTGGCCGGGTACGGTAGTTACTCCAATTTCCAGGTCGGGCTGGAGAGGGGCGGGGAGGATATCGAGGTTATGCGGAGAGGGGTGCCTGAGCGTGGTATCTGGATTTCAGGAGAGCATACTGCTCCCTGGGCTGCGCTGGGAACTGTGAATGGGGCGTATATTTCGGGAGAAGAGGTTGGGTGGAGAATTGTTAGGGCGTACGGGTTGGGTGGCGGAGAATAGCAGTTGAATCGAGGTGGTATTTTGAGTGAATTATATCTGGTGTTTTATTGTGTTCTGCAGAGGGAATATGAATGCTTGAACTGTGGTAATTGAACTTCAAGTCTTCTCATCGCCCTTCATGTTCGAATGCTATGGTGCAGTCGAATTCGGATTTCCCTCTTGCAACCGTCGCCCCAGATAGATTATACACCATGGAGAGTAACACATAAGCCATCCTCATCAAGCAAGTCTCGCATGCTTTGGCCACTCGCCATGAAACTTCCAAAACCCCCTCGAATCTATCCTCCGCTCGAACGATGAGACGTCCCGAGGCAGCGCCCTTACACCCTCTTCAGCCATCAGCTCACCAACCCACTTCCCAAACGTCAATCTCTGTTCCCTCTGCTCCTCCGTCTCCCTCATCACCCCCTCCCCACCCTCCGCCATAGCACTGAAGCTTAGGATCAGATCCCACCAATCATACGACCTAGTATCAGCAACAATCCACCGCTTCGCCCTCGTAAAGTTACGATGCGTCAGCAAGATCGCACGCGCGACATCCTCTCCGTGCACGAAATGTACATTCGATCTCTTTTTTACATCGTCTTTGCACTTCGCGAGGCGCGGGATCCATGTCCGCGGCACGCGCGTGCCACCATACAGCCCCACGAGATCGAGTGCGCACCCACCAACGCATTCCATCAGCTCATCTTCGGCGATTGCCCGCGCATCGCTCTTGTCATAAGGAGAGTTTTCATCGTTCCATCCGGTTACTTGATCGAATATGAAAGTCGAGCCTAATTGGATCCAGTTATTAGTTTCGCCGTGCACGGAGCGGTATAGGTCCGTAAGACGCTTGGATTGGCCCTGCCCTTTAAGAGGGAATGTAATCAGGATGGTGGACGCTGTGGGTAAATTCTCGTAAGGGTCTGTGGAAGTGGAGGATGGGTCGAATTGGAAGGGTATGGTGTTGTCTCGGCCTGTTGTCGTTGTTTCGGCGTGCGAGACTTTTTCGGTCTCGAGGAGCGGGATGAGGAAAGTTGACGTCCATCCGGCGCCGAGGATGAGAAGGTCGACTTTTTGTGGCTTTTGGCGGAGCATAACTATGTTTCCTTGGTTTAAAAGTGCCGTTTATTCTGGTGGTGGGTGTGCGCTGTGTGGAACGGGAGCGATGATTGATGATGGACGGGTTGCTCTCGGGAAAAGCTTACAGTCGGTGTCGTGATGTCATACAGTCATAGTAGTACACATGCATGCAAAGACAACTAGAATCATACATATGCAGGAATAGCGTAGAGACCATCAACAATAGGGTGCTAACTTTAACCCAATCGTAGCGTATAACCGACCTTGCGATATACATGAGTGTGTAGAGGATCTAGACGAATGCTTGGTCTAAATCACTATGCACTGGGAGGAGCCTACCATATGCTCGCGTAGAAATAGCCTGTTTGTTTATCAGAACGATACGAGGGTATAAATATAACACACAAAAGCAAGGTCACCAAGTAAAAGAATCCCGCCCAAAAAACATATTGCCGTTGAATACAAAAGGCTCGTGTCTATATTGTATTGTAGGAGTGATTGGGGCTGCCCAGATTACAAACGCCAGCAAAATGCGTGTCTTTTCAGTATCATAACTTCGTTGAGTGATTACTGCGTCGCACATTGAGGTCCCTCTGGCTCTCCGTCATCGTCCTCCCACTCTCCTCCTCCAGCTCGTGGGTCTCCACTGCCCGCACCAAAGTCATCCATATCAGCATCCCATTCAACTTCTACCTCGTCCACTTCTTCATGGGTTTGCTCTGGCTTCTCTGGCGCAGGCAGCGCATCCTTGACTTTTTGTAGTGCGGCATCATTCTTTAGCCAGCCATCCTCAGGGAACTCAACATCGACGACGAGGTATAGATCACCTTTTGCGTCACTGCGCTTTACGGGCATACCCTCGCCGGGCACTTTGAGGATTTGCCCGGGACTCAGCACTTTTCCGTTTGGTTGCTGGACATTGAGTTGGATTCCACGTCCATCCAAATGTGTGAGCACCACACGATTAAAGCCTGTAAGGGCTTCCACCAAACTGACTTTGAGCTCAGCCCTCAGGTCTGATCCTGCGCGCTCAAATGTGTCATGATCTTGTTCCTCGAGCGTGAAGACGATGTCACCAGGTTCTTGCTCTGGTAGCTGGTCTGCCTCGCCAGCGAGTACTATCCGTTCACCTTGTCGTGCACCACGTGGGATGTAGAGCTCGAGTACGTTCTTGGATTCGACGACTTTCTTGCCTTTGCACTTCTTGCACCGTTGTTTCTCGGGTATGATCTGACCGCTGCCTTGGCAGTTACCGCAGGGGACGGTCTCCTGAGTAACGAGGCCTGGACCGACTTGCCGGAGAACGTTTTTCTGTCCTAATGGAAGTCAGTCATATCAATATTTCTCCACTCGAGAATCAGAGCTGGGTATGTACCTTGTCCTCCACATTGACTGCAGTCGTGTGCTTTTGCGCCTGGCTTTCCACCCGATCCCTGACAGGTTTGGCAGACCACATTCTTGGTGTTTGAAAATTTAGTTGTCTTCCCCTTGTAGAGCTCTTCTAAGGTCACTTCGTACTCTTGCTCCACCGAGCGGCCTTTGCGGGGTACGTTTCGGCCTCTGGGTCCTCCAGGCATGCCTCCCATTCCTCCCATGCCAGGCATGCCGCCAGGAAATCCTCCCATACCGCCGAACATTTGTGCAAATATGTCGTCCATGTCTGGCTCACCGCCCATGCCACCACCCCTTGAGGGATCAAAAGCGGACATGCCGTGGGTATCGTACAAGTGACGTTTGTCATCGTCAGACAAGATTTCGTACGCTTGCTGCGCAGATTTGAAGCGAACTTCAGCCTCCGCACGCTCATTCTCGGCCACTTTGTCGGGGTGGTGCAATAATGCGGCCTGATTTCACACTCGTTAGCAACTTCCCAACAAAGGGTTCCGAACATACACGAACCTTGTGGTAGGCTTTCTTAATCTCAGCTTTGCCAGCTCCACTCGTGATCCCGAGGACCTCTGTTCTAGTCAGACTACCGTCGTTGTGTTTCGCTTGTAGCTGGTATTCGATACGTACCATATAGATCTATTTCTTCCACGCCGGCCACTGAATGGAAATTAGTTGGCGGGGAAGTGATAGCTGTGATACAGAAAAAACTTACTTTTGATGATGTGGAGCGGTCAGGTCGACAACGGAAGATGGCAAGAAAATGAGTGGCAAGGGCTTTTTGAAAAAGTGTACAAAGAGCAAACCGTAGAGTATGCACAAAGTTGCGACAGCAAACCGAAGAATTTCAAAGCGTCCTGCAAAGCGGCAACTACCTGCAGGGATTCGGAACTGACGTCGGCTGAACTGTGCCCCGAAGGCGGTGAGATTGATTCTGCCGCTAATATTTCCTAGCTGGTACCAGCTGCATGTGCTTAAGTCTGTGTCCATGCCCAGCTTCAACATGTCCTATTTACTACTTTCGCGGCCTCGATTGCCCGTGTACACATGCAAGTCATGTTTGACACGACTCTCACAAGCTTCCAGCCGGTCCATATCATCCAAACCAGCAAGATCGACCAAGTCCTTACTTCCATCTGAGCCCGCTCGTACACGCTTCGCGCCTTCCCCCACAGGCTATCTTCACCTGGGCTCGCTGAGAACTGCGCTCTTCAATTACCTCCTCGCCAAGAAAACAGGTGGACAATTCCTTCTTCGTATAGAAGATACAGACCAAAAGCGCACAGTTCGTGACGCCGAATCGCGCCTCTTCAAAGATCTACGATGGGCCGGCCTGCATTGGGATGAAGGTCCTGAAGTTGGTGGCCCATACGGTCCGTACAGACAATCGGAAAGAAGTCAACTATATAATGACCATGCGCATCAGCTTTTGGATAATGGACACGCGTATAGGTGTTTTTGCTCGGCGGAACGCCTCAACGCGTTGGCGGAGCAGAGACATAAGATGGGCATAGCAACAGACTACGATCGCACATGCGCTAGTGTCTCGAGAGAAGAATCGGACGACCGCGCTTACAGAGGTGAATCGCACGTTATTCGTTTACGTGTCCCTGAACAGTATTCAGCGTACGAGGACTTGATCTACGGTGTCTTTAGACCTCTGAAACGCCGTGGTCATGTTACTGAATCCGCCTACGAAGACCCCATCTTATTAAAGTCGGACGGTCTTCCTACTTACCATCTTGCCAACGTTGTGGACGACCACCACATGAAGATCACCCACGTCATTCGGGGCTCAGAGTGGATGCCATCAACACCCAAGCACATTGCCATGTACGATGCTTTCGGGTGGACGCCTCCTCAGTTCGCACACGTAGGACTCTTGGTAGACGAACAGGGCAACAAGCTAAGCAAACGCAACTTCGACACTGATATCACCGCTTTCAAAGAGATGGAAATATTCCCCGAGGCGTTGGCAAATTTTGCCGCTTTGCTCGGATGGTCACACTCCGAGAAGACAGACATTATGGACCTCCAAAAATTGATTGAAAAATTCACGCTCAAGTTCACAAAGGGAAACACTACGGTTACGTTCGAAAAGTTGCATTTCCTGCAGCGCAAGCATGCTACACTGCGTATCGAAGCCGGTGGGACAGGCTTTCAAGAGATGGTCAACAATGTGGTTCAGCTTCTTAAAGATCCGGATTCAACATACAAGGACTGGAGAAAGATTGTTGGATCTTCTTTTTCCCTCAATGACTACGTCTCCCGTGTGATACGCGCCGACTCTGAAAACTACACCAACGCCAACGAATTTGTATACCGCAACTCTTTCCTCTTTAATCCACTTCGACCTACCGCGTCGTTGAAAGAAGAATATTCTTCCTCTGATCTACCCGCAGCAACAATGAAATTGGCGCGAGTGAAGGGATGGACGAAGGAGGAATTGATGGCGGTAGTCCACGAGATGATTGATTCGAGACCCGAAGGGAGAAAGGGTGCCAAAGATGTGTATCATTACCTGAGGAAGATGTTGACGGGCCAGACAGAGGGTATGAGGTTGTACGACATAATGCTTATACTAGGGCGTAAGGAGACTCTGGCGAGGTTGGATGCAGCGGAAAACTGAGGCTGCAGAGGCACAATGATACCCGAGTAGTGGCTTGGATGTGTGTGCAAACAATTGTGGCTGTATGATACGATGGGATAATTTATAATTCAGTACATGGTTCACGTTGAACCCGTATTGATGGTTCCAACAAACAAAACTCCAGGACTTGTGTGGTATCACTACATCGTGAGATCCACAAAGGGGCTGACATGCAACTCCCTCGCTTTTGCTTAGGCGGAGTGTCTTGACAGAACAGCCAACCGCCAGGGAAAACGGTTGCCATTGGCATGCAATCGCAGCTCAGCTCACAGCATGAGTGAGTTTGGGTTTGGTCGAGGCTGCTTAACAATATGATGTCGTGTGAGCTAGAGCTATTCCATTTTGCATCATACTACAGCTGCAGCCTCTCTATCCTTTCGGTGTCTGGGATCTGTCTCTTGCATCTTTCTTCTCCGTTCATCCTTCTTTTCCTGTCGCAGTTTGTTCTCGGCCTTCTTCTCCTCTCGAAGTTTGACTTTGTCTTTCTTCTTCTCATTCTCTTCTTTCTCTTCGGCACCCTCCAATTTCTGTCCCTCGAAGACAAACGTCATCACACCACCCATAGCTCCCTCCGGCTCCGTGACTTGGCGTGCGCCTTTTATCTCCTGTACAGTACTCTTCATTGATTGCAGTAGATTTTCGCATTCCTGCTCCGTTGCTACCCGGCCTTTCCTCTTCGGCCCAATGAGTACCTCTACCTTCCTCCCTTCTTCCAAGAATCCGCGCATCTTGTTCAACCTATGCTTCAGGTCGCCTGCCTCAATAGCCCAGTTCAGTTCCAGATTCTTGGAAGATGGGCCGACACCCTTGCCCAGTTGTGTGCGGCGCTCAATAGCAACCTTCTTCTCAAATTGCATGCGAAGGTCGATCTTGGCAACGATTTTGCAGACAGGCAAGCTGCCTGGTTTAGGATTTCCTGCTTCGTCAACTGACGCTGGAGTCACGAGTAAAAGGTAATGGGTAACGCGATTGTATGAGCTAAACACGTCGTGGATATACACGTTCTCGTGGAACACGCCATCAAGGTCGACATAGTCGATATAGTCGGCGTCGATGGCTTTGTCCAGGGTGTAAGCGTCAGTGAGGGTATAGCGTTGAGGAGGCCGCTTGGCAGTTTTCAGTCCTCGTGTGGGAATCTGAGGAAGAAGGCGTGCAGCTTGTGGGACGAGGAAAGTATGTTGAAGGCGGAATGGGCCCGGGGTCGCGAGGGTCGGAGCTATGAAGATGCGGTAGAGAGCACGGGAGGTGCTGGAAAAGTGATAGCGAGACATGGCTGCAGACAGGAAACAGCTCCAAAGATGAAAGGGAAGATTGTGATGGGATAGACGAATTCGTATGACATCAAGTAGGAGACGTGGTGAAAGAATGTAAAAATCTTGGAGGCTCTTGCGCATTGAGATCGAGCGCACGGACGGGACAGGTCAATTGGGTAAAGTGTCACCCCCGAGACTGCCCGCCCGAAGGCAGCTGGGCTAACCCCGCTGTCTGTTGGCCGTCCTCATTCACTTTGATGGGAGTCGCACAGCCAAAGCTGCGTCGTACGTTATCCATGTAATCACAACATGACATGCACTTGTTTCTCGACACTCAACCTTCGATCTAAACTGCTCGGCCTGCTACCATGAGTACTAACAATGCACTCGCCGACTATCTGTCTGCCTTGGAGGCACGAGACGCTCGCGAGAAAGCTCATGAGAAGTACATCGATGCTTGTACGGGACATTCCATCGGGAAAAATACTTCATCTTCCAAAGAGACGAGCTGATGATGGATACTTACAGTCACAAAACTGGCCGACCGCGCGGCAGCGCAGGCAACGCTAGCAAAACAAAGCAAAGCCACCACGCAACAGCCCTCACCAGCGACCTCAACCAAATCGTTACGCCCAAATAGTCCCAAAGGAATGCCTGCCGCTATAGGAGATGTTCAAATCCGCGCAGAGCTAGCAGCTACTCAGAAGAATCGAGCCGATCTTGAAAGCAAGCTATCCGCCGCGACCGCCGAGCTCTCTGCTCTTAAAGCAATCGGTGCAGATCAGACGAAACGTATCGTGCTTCTCGAAGCATCCAAAACTCAACTAGAACGTCGTGTGAAAGACAGGGCGGACGAGCTTAAGGGGAAAGGCCGGTTTGTGGAGGACGTGCAGGATGAAATGGTTGCGCTGACGCTGCAGTTGAACATGGCAGAGCAGGAGAAGGAAAGATTGAGGAACGAAAACGATGAGTTGACGAAGCGATGGGTTAAGAAAATGGAAGAAGAGGCGAGAAGGATGAACGACCAAATGGGCTGGCAGGATAAGAGACGATCGTGACAAGTCTCTCTGTACCATGGCGCAAGACTGGCTCAACTGGTCTCAAGTGCTGATCTACAGCGTCCTGGTGCTTGGTCCCGCCACAACCAAAACGCGATTTTCACTCAAAGTTCCATCTTTTTCCTTCAGCTAGGATGATATATCTTGTCCTTTAGATATCGCCCAAAACATCAGTAACTGGTCGCGAGTAACTGTTGTTCTGGGTTTTAATGACCCACTATGGTTTTCATTGTGCGTGCTGCCATGAAAGTGACCGCTTGAGTGAATGTGTTCGCTGATGCCTAGTGCTTGTGCTTGGCACTGCCGCGGAGTTCCCCACCCACCTACTACGCCTACTACATGCCATCTAAGCTTCCCACCTGCTCATAGCCAAACACTCCACCACTCCCCCATTTCAGGTTCTCGCTCATTCTTCAACCATGGATACAGCATTGAAGACATGGGGTAAGTTTAGAAAAGAAACATGAATGTGTCCCACTTCACTTCTACAAGCTACTACCCCGCTTGGCTTTCTAATACTAACATCGCACAGAGCTGGAGAACTCAATCAAACTGGTGGACCCAGTCAAAGATGCCCTTTACACTTACGACTCAACACGGCAAAAGCAAATCAACAATGTCAAGCCCTGGAGGATGGATTTGAACCATTTTACCAATGTTCGCATCTCCGCTGTCGCCCTTCTCAAAATGGTCATGCACGCCCGCTCTGGCGGCTCCATTGAAGTCATGGGCCTCATGCTCGGTAAAATCGAAGATCGAACCTTTGTGGTGACTGACGCTTTCCGTCTCCCCGTAGAAGGCACTGAGACACGTGTCAATGCACAGGACGAAGCCAACGAGTACATGGTGGAGTTCCTGACAAGGGCGCGAGAGCAGGGTCAGATGGAGAATGCGGTCGGATGGTATCACAGTCACCCTGGCTACGGCTGCTGGCTCTCTGGTATTGATGTCGGCACCCAAAAGACACAGCAATCATTCTCCGATCCATTTCTCGCCGTCGTCATTGACCCCGACCGCACCGTGTCTGCCGGCAAAGTCGAGATCGGCGCCTTCAGAACGTACCCAGAGGTCTACGTCCGGGAAAAGGAGAAATCGGCTGCAGGCGCGAAAGGAGGCGCGGGTGAAGACGGCTTCCAGACAATTCCTCTCGGAAAGATCGAGGATTTTGGCGCACACGCTAATCATTACTACGCACTTGAGGTCTCGCACTACAAGTCGTCGCTAGACGCCAAAATCCTGGAAGCCCTCTGGAACAAATATTGGGTTGGTACACTTGCCTCGTCTCCACTCATCTCGAACCGTGACTACGGAACGAACCAGATAAATGATCTAGCACGGAAGATGGTGCAGGAGAACGGGACCTTGAGCAGGAAGAGCGCTTTTGGAGGGGAGTCGAAGGGTCAGTTAGGGAAACTGGGGGCTGCAGGAAGCAAGATCGCAAGGGAAGAGGAGATGGGCTTGCTGAGCGCCAAGGTCAAAGAGCAAGTCTTTGGACTCAGTGCAACGCCTAGGGACGCCCAAGTTGGACAGGAGGTCGACATGAAAAGCTGAGGTAGGATTCAAACGGACATGATCTTGACGAGCGAGAAATGCATGACTGGGCGTTACGGCGATCACAGGCGTCAGGTGTGGACAAACTAAATGCGAGGCAGCATTTTCTAATTTCCAATCAGTGGATGGGGAATATAATCCACACAAGCCAAATTGTTTACCTGGACAAGTCCGCGATAGGGGCAAGTAATATAGATATAGATCAATCATGAAGCATTGACTATGCTCCATTGTCTTTGTACATGTTTTTACAGAATGCAACTATGTTCTAAAAAATGCCGAAGGGTCCATACCCTCCATACTCATACACCGGGAAAGCAAAAGACTACTAGTTTACACGCCTTCAATCCTTTGGTTTTGCGGCAACCTGCTCGTCCTCTTCTTGAATGTCTTCGTTCACATCTTCTGATTCCTCCTGCAATCTAGCGGCTTGGGCTTGCATCTCCTGAGCATGCTCCCGCTGTTCTGCAGCACCTGTTCTGTCGCCATTCAAAAGACATACATCCGCCCTCGCCTCAGCAAGCTGCGCATGCGCCTCGAAAAGCTCAATCTCAACAGCCGCAACATCGGTTCTCAAATCGCTTGCCTCGTTCTGTAAAGCATCGGCGCGCTCTAGCTCGCCACGGTGTGCGCAAGCATCGCGTCTGTTCTCGGTAGCTTCGGCCTGCAAAACCGCAGACTGGTAGACAATGTCACGCCAACGGACCAGGGTCTCTGAGAGCGTTACCATGGCCTTTTTCTGTGCAGCAGGATCGCGCAAGTGCGTAATTTCGGCTTCGAGATCAGCATACTCAGCCTCAAGGGGATCAGGCTTAGGCAGCTGAGCACGACGCAAGTCTTTGGCTTCCGCGGCAAGATCGAAGACGGAGGTTTGGAGGCGACCTTTTTCGGGGCCCTCCTCGAGTTTGGAGGCTTCCTGCAGGCGGGCGTGGGCTACCGATTCATATATGTCTGGTCGTATGGCGTCACGCTCGGAAGGGTCGGCTTGCATGAGCGTGCTGAATTGCTTCCAACCAGGGATGCGGAGAAGTTCGTATGGATCCGACGGGTAAGTGAGCCTCGAAGGTTTGGTGTTGGTGAGGTCTCTTTGATGGTTTTTAAGAATGCTATCAAGTGCGCGACGCTCAATGATGACGCGAGAGAGCTCCAGAAGGTCCTTGACATCTACTTCATCCGTGGTAAGAGCCTGCCGACGACGACCCATCTTTTCGAGCGCTTGCCCAAGCAATGGCCGGTCTGCTGCTGTAACCAGGAGGCTTCGGCCCTTGCCTCGTTCCCTTTCGTGGAGCTTGAAAATGTGCTCGAGAAGACGGTGGGAGGGACTCTCAATCTCCATGGCATTTTCCACGATAATGAGTTCGCCTTTGCGAAAGCGGTAGGAAAGGGCAGTACGCCAGGCTAAGTCGTAGACTTTCTTAGGGAGATCGGTAGAAAAGTCGCGGAAATGAGGGCCGTGAGAGACACCACCACCTGTGCGGATGGGCGACTTTTTGTCTCCCACACGCGCGCGTCCAGTACCCTTCTGGGGAGCCAGTTTTCTAGCAGAACCGTGCACTTCCCAACGTGTTTTCGTCGATGCCGTACCTAATCTGGTGCTATCTCCTTCGAATATGACGGCACGGTGGAGGATGTCTTTCCGAGTGGGCAGGTAGAGGTGGTTGGAAGGGTATTTCACGAGCCTGAGGGGTTCCAGGGACGGAAAACGGTGAATGGTTGCGAGAACGGTTTGCTCTGCAAAGGGCGTGACAGTAGGAACGGGTCCATCTACCGGTGTGGTATTGGGCGAGATTGCGGCTCGTGGAGAGGTCGATGTGGTAATTGGGCGGGCGAAGGAGGTGGAGAGGGATTTCTGGGGAGGTGAGCTCAGTCGGCATGGATGGATGATGATGGGCCTGTCTACTTACAGGCACTGCGTCCTGACGTATCGCCAATCTGTTCAATTGATGAGGAAGACCCCGCATGGGATGTGATATTCGCGGAGAAGCCATGGTGGCTCTTTGCGATACTTCAAAAGTCTGGTTCTCGCGGAGCTTGCGCGGAGGTGGTGGCTCGGTAGCATAGAAATTGGAACTTTCATGGCTGCATGGTCCGTGCGAGAACTCAGCGCCCAAAACTTATCCCATCTCTGTCTGCACGTTACCTTTGCTCTTTCATCGCCAACAGCCCACATTCCGCCATGGCGTCTGTCAAGCCGTCTGGACGGCACTTCAGCGCCTGCTTCAAATGCATACGAACCCCTGCCTCGGTCAATGTCAATGGCACGTCGCGTCGCTTCCTCCAAGTCTCGGCCTCTGCTCGCGAAGAACTTCAGACGCAATCAACGCCTTCGCCAACCCCTCCACCGCCTACTATGAAATCTGCCGCTAAAAAAGAAGTGCCAGAGTATATGCAGAAATGGGGGGAATTGGATGCGCAAACTGTCGATGAAAAACGCGAAGAGCGTCGTCTTGTCCGAAGAGAAGGGGTACAGCCCGTGGGATCCCGTCGTCGACGAACGATTCTCAATCGAATGGCTGCGAATCGAGCCGATGAAATCGCTTTCGAACAGCTGCCTTTTCAGGCTTTCCAGGAAGCAAGGAAGTTCTTACTTCAGGATCGCCAGGAGAAGCTGAAAGCCATCGAGGTGCAAACGGCTAGGATAAACAATCTTATGGAACAAGATCCAGCTGTGAGCGGCGGTTCATCCGCTAAAGAAGCTCGGTTGAGGAGTATGCGGAATCATGTTCAAGAGCTGATCATTCTTGCCGACATCAACGACCCAGTCGTAAAGAAAAAGTTTGAGGATGGAGAGGGTATGTTGTGGCATTCGTGGCGTGAGAAAAGGCATATCTAATGTACTCCAGGTGACATGAACAAACCCATATATCGCTACCTTGCTGATCAAAAATGGCGCAAGTACAAGCGTCTCATTCTGGAACAACGAATTTCTCAGTTGAACTTGGTTCCCGATTTCCTACCTGCCTTGAACCCCGTGGCAGACGTTGACCTCGGTTTTGGGCGCAAAGACGTAGCTCCGGGTGAATTTGTTGATTCAGCCTTGAGTGAGCAGATGCCGCGACTTAAAGTGCAAACATTCGAACCAGGAGAGAAGTTGGTCAGTGTGGTCGTCGTGGATGCCGATGTTCCTGTACTATCAAAGGATAGTTTCACGACCCATTGCCATTTCATTGCCTCCAACATTCCCATCTCACCCACGCAGACGTCTATTCCATTGATCCGCATCGGTCAACAAGACAATAAAACAGAAGACGTTTCGGCGAGAAAGATTGCTCTTCCTTGGCAAGCACCCTATTCCATCAGAGGTGCACCTTACCACCGCCTTGCTGTATTTGTACTCGAACAGAAAGATGCCAAAGCATTGGATGTGGAGGCTCTCAAGAATACTAAGAGGGCTGGCTATAATGTCAGAGCGTTCGTTGAGAAGCACAAGTTGAACGCGATCGGTGTTTCTGTGTTCCGGACGAAGTGGGATGACAGCATGGCTGGAGTGATGGAGAGGGCGGGTCTCAAAGATCTTGTCAATGTTGAACTGAAGAGGAAGAGGATCGAGCCGTTGCCGTACAAGAGAAGGACAGAGCGCATGCGGTAATCTGTGCCGTGCGAATCATTGTATAAGTATCACAGTTGCCTGTAAGTAGACAGTGGAATGTACAATACCAAGTGTTTCGATTAAGTTAGTTGGATAATGCCGCAGATGATGCTATTTTTTGGTATCCAGACACCTCACATGGCTTGTAACGGTTGGTGGTGCGTCTGAGTGGGTGGTCTGCCGCACCTGCCCGCTTCTATGTACGGGCAGCAATCGCGCCTTCTACTGTGAACCACAACCCCACACCACGACGCCCTCATCCCGCTTTCTTCCAGGTGTCTTCACATCTTTGATCTCATCTCGAAATGTATCGATCGTTCACCTCATGAGTCTCGTCTCCACCAAGAAAAGAATATACTTTGCTTAAAGCCTGCATCGCCGAGTGGTTGATTCAGCTCTGACGAAGAGAGGTCTGCCTCGACTTGCTTGGACGACATGAAGCTGCCAGCTGGGGCTTCTGGTACCATGCAGCTGAAAGCTGCTACAAACACCGAATTTAATGTCCCTCCCCCCGAAGCAATTGCATTTGCACTCGCTCTAGTGAAGTCAACGCCTGCCCACATGTCTACAAGGGGTAAGAAGGGAAAGCTTACTTGAACACTTGCAAGGCTGATTGGCATAGAATACGCTATCGAGTTACGTCAGCACTTGAGAGGGAACGAGCGAAGTCAATATCTTGACCTTACTAGCTTTTGGCAAAAGCGTTGTAGTGAGCTCACGAGAGAGAACGAACAGCTCAGGACCCAAAACGCTATGTTTAAACGTGCAAATCAGCTTCACGAGGACCAACTTGGGGATGGAGAAGTTATGACGGATCAGATGACTACAGTCAATTCAACAAAACGCACGAGAGGCGCAACAAAAGCACCTAAACCGACCCCTAAAAAAGCAACACAACAAACAGAGGTCAGCGCAGAAGTGACACTAGAGGATGACCTCGATCTCGTAGAAGGTCTTGAAGGTCAGTCTCGGTAGTACAGCTCCAGAATGTACGCAAAGAAGTTAACGAGGATCAGATGGCTTGTTAGTCATGGAGCATGCATGGACATTCCAGAGGCTACTTCGACAACCAGACCCAGACCCTGTAGCAATCTGCTCTAGCTTGGTCGGTATTGCTTCTTCCTTGGGTCTTGTCGTGCGAAATCTAGCGAAGAGTTGCTCCCGCCCGATAAATCGTAGCTGGCAAAAGCCTGGTCTGCCTACCCTGGCCGAAGATAGATCCGAATGCGCTCGCGTGCTTGGAGCATGTGGACGAATATTCGGAATGCTACTCACTGGCCTTGAACGTCTCAACGATGACAGCTCTGGGAAACATCTCCCCGACAGGGTCATCTTTGAATGTGTCAACATGTTTTCAGTGGCTCTTAGTGCTATCGAGTCCTCCGCCCGTCAGTCAGCCGTAAAGACTACTCAGACCAAAGCAGATGATGCTAGAGAATCGCTTTCGGGTCGGCTGATTGCTCATTATCTGACTGGACTCATGGGTTTTCTTGGGCAGGATAACGTACTTCACCAAAAGCTGTTTGACGGTTTCACTTTCACTCTGTTGGAGAGGGTTAGTAAACAGCTCTACTACTGCGTCTTTGGCCAGCATCGCAGCACCACCGTTGCCGAAGATATCACAATACCACTCGTACCTAAAGGAAATAGCACTCAGCAAAATGCAGAATCTGTGGCAGCTCATTTCGAGATGAAGGCCCTAGTCGTTATCCTTGAGCGAGCCTTGAGCCGTGCACCAGCTCATATGAACCCTCAGGCTGTTAATCGGGGACAGTCTGTTGGTGTACGTACTCCCGCGCGTAGCCGAGCTTTGAGTATGGTCAATCTTCCAAGCAAGGGTCGCCTGAGTCCCATCGCCAAGGACCGACTTCAACGGACACTTGTTACCTGCATGTACGGAGACAAGATTGATGATGATTTCATGGACTTGCTCTCTGCCCCCGTTGATCTGGGGACCATTCCAAACATGCCGAAGATTACCGATCAATCGGTTGAAGAGTGGTATCAAGAGCAAGTATGGAGGCTAGTGGGTTGGGATATCATGGCCCAAGAGAGCTTGTGGTTGAAATGCGATACTAGAAGCCAAAGGACATAGCCGGATGTTTGAACTCGAGAGTGGGTGGACGGTCATTGGAAGATGTAGGATCAATCTTTTCGGGAAATGGTGACCGATATACCGTAAAGAAGCGTGTGTAGCGCGCTTATGCGATGATGATAGATATTACTTCTCGACTCAAAATCAAGATAAGCCACCTGAGTGATGAAATTGAACCTCCTGCTTTCTTCTCATATCTCTATCTCGAAGTCTGAGATGACCCTCAAACCCCCTTCCTAAAAGGAGCTGCTATTAGTTGATTCACGCGACATGGGAAGATGCCAGTTAAAATATGAGAGTATGATTGTTTAGAGGTATTAGCTGCGAGCAGATATGGTCGCATCCTATCACTTCATTCGCATGCCTGCATACATGTGTAGCTTTAGGACCGGTTTGCATGATGAAAGAAGTCATTTTTATTATGATCCAAGGAAGGTGTTACTTCCTGCTATAGAGAATCCAGAGGTTCGTGGCTATCTAGGCAAGAGTGTAGAACTCCGCTCACCCGAACAAACAGCTGAATGATTCTCTCCATGACAAAGGAAAACCAGAGGGGGTATCATGTATAACCTTATTAACCCACATTTCTCATAACAGTCATTCCATTCGTGATTCCATATACCATTCCGGCGTATGGTGCTAGTTCTTTGCGAACCTCGAAGCGTTGTTCTCGGTCTCTTGGAGCTCATATTCCTCGATGTGCTCTTCGGCACCAGGGAAACTCTGGTCGTCCGTCAAGAACGGATTGCGGAGCACACAAGCAAAGAGAATGAGTAGGACGCAGAGGCAGATACCGACAATGCACATCAAACGCTGCACATCTTTGTACACCTCGATGACTGTGTCGCGGTTGGGCGTTCCAGGCGGATACTTCGCAATATAGGCGAGGGGTTGCGCGTACCACGCGTGAGCCTCTGTAGAATTCGCGATGCGTTGCTTGAATTCTCGGGGTAAAACCTGAGTCCATATGGCTCCCGAGACAGTGTTACCTAATGCAGATCCAATATTGTAGGAAGCCAGGTAGAGGCCAGTGACGATGGCGACGTGCTCATGCTTGGTGGCTGCTTGGATGCTCGCCTGAGCTGGATAGGGGAACAGACCGCCGGCAGTGCCCAACATAACTTGTGCACCGACGATTCCTTTGTGATCAGTCTGATCCGCTCCCCCCCGGAAATGGATAAGCAGACCGAAGGCGGCCATGTAGAGGCAGGTCCCGACCAGGATGAAAGGTTTAAGGCGCCGTACGCGGTAGACGACAAGACCGAGGAGTACACCAGTGATGACGGAGGCGAAACTGTATAGAGAGCTGATGCGGGTGGCTGATTTATCGGATTCGTTGAAGCCAACTCTCAAGACGGTAAAGAGGTAGTCCGACTGGCATGTGTAGGCTTTGGATTCGGGTTAGAATTAATATACTTGCAATGCTGGATGCAATTTTGGTGTTGCACGTACCAAAGTTGAGGATACACCCAATGCCCAATGCGCCCCAGACAGCACGATCTTTGACCAGCTTGGAAGTATATTAGCTTGGAGATGTTGCAGAAGGGCGTGTGGTTATAAGAGACTTACATGGAACGGCAACAGAGGATGAGGAGCATGCTGCTCCCACAGAATAAAAGCAGGTACACACAAGACGCCAGCGATAAGAGGCGCAAGAATCCGGCCTGTAGACCAGGAGGCTGCTAAACCGACGTCTACTGCCTGCTGACCGCCAGCGAGAGTCAAGGGGGTGAGAATGAGGCCAGTAGCCGCAATGAGCAACAGAAGGCCAATGGCATCGATCTGCCAAAAGAGGCCCACAGCCAGTCGTCTCCATCCCCAGAGTTGAAGTGGAGTCTTGTGCCGAGCCAAGTCACCGCTCTTGTATGCTTTCCATGTAACCCAGGTAAGAGACATGAGCAGAGGCAAAGCGCAGACTGGGTAGATGATGCACCACATGCCTATCCCCCAGCGCCAGTTGCTGTGGGCAAGGACTGCCTTACCAACATCTCCCGAGACCCAAGCGTTGATAATGAAGGGGGTGGCAGGGACGTAAGAGAAGAAAAGGCGGGAGCGGAGAGAAGTGGTGTCGGCAACCACGATCTCGAGAAGGAGAACGATGGAGGTATAGCCTACCTGATAAAGAAAAGCTCCGGCAGCAAAGGCCTCGACGTTGTCGGAAGTTGCTTCCACAATGGTTCCGGCAACATAGAAAAGGATGGAGACTACCATCATCTCGACACGACCAAAGACATCGGCAATCTTGGCGGTGGTCGGCTACAGGCGTAGCAAACAAATCAACAATCAATGTTTCCACGCACGAGCAATTTTTAGTGATGATGATGTCGTCTTACCTGAGTTGCAGCCGCAATCACTGCCCGTACGACATTGACGGTAGAAAGCAACGAGTGGTTCTTGAACTTGTCGGTGGCATTGGGCTGGTAGGTGAAGCGCAGGGTGCCGTCGAGGCCATAGGCATAGGCGATGAGGAAAACACCAATGAAGATGAAGACGCGGTCCAAGGACGAAATGTGTCTGGACAGAGCCTCGATGCGCAAAACACCGGGGCTCTTTCTTCCCGTCAAACCGCGTGTGGAATCGCTGTCAGCACCCAAGTTGGAGAATGGAGTGTCGGGCTTCCTGTTGTAGTGGGCCATGATGCTGCCAGGATCCGGGCGCGCTATGAGAGAACTGGGTAGGTGGGCGGAGACGGATAGAGCTGGCGCAAACGCGGCGGCGTGGGGTCAATTGCTGCAGGGCCGGCTGATAAGACGATCTAATCAATCGCCAAGTCCTTTTCTGGGATCAAAGTTCTCCCGTCCGTCGGCCCTGGCCGTCCAATCGCATTCACTTTCACTTTCGCTTCATTGCAATATCGCAATCTCTTGCATCGTTCCCATTACTCCGTCGTGCCTGTATCGTATCCACTATCCTCTTGAAACTCTACAAAAGTAGCCATCTTCTTGCGCACGTGCTCGCCGTACAAAACACTCTCTGCATCCCCGTCCACAGGCACCACAACGCATGCCTCGCCTGGCTCGAAGAAGAAAGGAACGCTGAAACGTCCCACCTCGCCCTCTTCTTCTTCTTCTGGCGCCGACTTAGGACTAGGTCTCCGTACTCGATGCATCGTGGCGGTAAATCGTCCACCTGACACCCTTGCCATCAAGTCGCCGATGTTGACCACAATGGAGTTGGGCACATAAGGCGCCGAAACCCAATCGCCAGCTGCGTTGAGAACCTCTAACCCCCCGGTGGAATCTTGAGTGAGCAGAGTGAGAATGCCGCTGTCGGTGTGGGGAGTACAGCCTTGCAAATCAATCAGCAACGGTTCTTCGTTTACTCATCTCATAGAGTACAGCGCGGCTGGGAGTGGTTCATCGTGTGCAAAGAAAAAGTGTTTCTGTCATGACATACTCAATTTTATATTGTCTGGATTGTGTTCCTGTTCGTTTCGCGCAGATGGTGGGTAATGGAGCAGACGCAATGTCGACAGCGAATCGTCCAGCCATGGCGCAAAGTACCCAGTATCCTTCCCAAGTGACACGGCTAGAAGTGACAACAACTGCGAGGCGAAAGCTTGGAGTTCACCATAAAGCTGCTCAAGCTTCTCTTGTCCATTGAAGTTGCTTGTACTAGGCCACACATTGGGCTCGGATAGATTGATCTTTTGCCCTTCTGCCATAGCACTATAGCTAGCTGCAGGATTCCCAATCTCAAACCCTTCTTTGAGATTGTCCGATGCGAGATGAGGTTGCACCGGGAAATATCTGGGCTTATCATCAACACATATATTGAGGGTTTTAATGCCATATATACCCTCGGTACGTGTTCCGGTGTCCCGGGAGAAAAGACTTTTTGGCGAGTCGCATCTTTTCGTTCGTCGGCAGAGTGAACAATTCTCGTGTGAGGCCGAATATATCCTCATGGGTGAAACTCAATGGCGTATTCACCAGATACGCGAACCCCGTCGTGGAGAATACATTGTATAACTGCCTGCTCAAATTGTCGATAGTATCAGCTGAGAGTTCTGTTTGTTGTAAACCTCCAAGGTCCACGATCGGAAGCTTAGAGAAGTGGGTGGCCATGGTGAATTGACATGAATGTTTTCGAGGAGGAGGTTCCGAGTACATTTTATGTACGGGACGTGTTATAAGGGGATTATGTTACATCGATGATCCACCCTCGGGTCCGCATTCTGCTTTAGGCAAGTGACCATGTGCTCATTGCAACGCGGGGAACGCAATGCGCGGCGACACTGGTCCTTCCGAGCCTTTCGCAATAGCTCTTATTGGGTAATCGAATCAGAAAGGGTAAGCCGCAGGATTCTCTCTCCCCATTGTCGCCGGATCGGATTGCATGAAAGCTTTTCTGTCGCCACCACTCGGGCGGGGGAGCCATTAGACTAGAAATAACCGTGTGCAGGATCAAGCGTTGAGTGGCGGTGTTAGTAAACCCTTTGCTACTTGATAAGTCATGCTATCCCCATTCCTTTCTTTCTCTAAAAAGAATTGCAGTACCAATTCTGCGGCTGCCTCGGCATCGTCGTCAGCATCGATCGCCTCGAAGGTCTTTTTCAACTCCATGGGTTGCCATGATGCACCGAAGACTTTCATGATCTCAGTGCTAATCCACCTGTCAAACTCGAAATGGCCTTGTAGAGTAAGGACTCTATTGGACTGAAAAACCCCTTGCACACCGCAATGCTCCGTTCGGCCAACCATCAGCCATGATTCTGGTAAAGCCGGTGGCGAGGGGATTTTGACATGGTCGGCGTGAATGAATTGAACCCTCATCGTTTCGGGGATTTTTTTAGGGAGTCTCAGGTCTGAGTTGACTTGAAGTTCATTACTCCCTAAAGCCGCCCGGAATTTCGCCTCAAGCTCAATCTCCTGCACCCCAAGCTCCCAACCGTTGGGATCCTTCTCGACCCGTACACCATATCTTCGTAAAAGGCTCTGGCATATGATTTGATGCCCAAAACAACTACCAAACAACTTGATTCGGGGATGATTGGTGTATATTTCAAGGATGTACTTGTCAAGTAGGCGAATCCATTCTTGATCATCATAGGATGAAGCGGCGGAACCAGTTACCAGGACAACGTCGACATCAGCCAGCGATTCTGGAAACTCCGACTTTACAACATCGTAGTAGCTTGACTGAATCTTGATCTCTGGACATAAGCGCGAGGTTGCTGCCACTAGGAGATTATGGAACATTTGCCCATAGGTGGGGTAATTTGGACGGACGACAGGCACTGGTGTGTCGGCGTTGAGCATCGCTATACGAATAGTGGAAGACATTTCGAAACGCGTCAAGGGATGAGTTATTGCTGACCGAGGGATGATGAGCATGCCAGGTCTCCTTATGTATGTGTTGGCAGTGAAGATAGCTTTGGAATCTATTACCGGATCCGGCCTGTCTCGTGACGTATAAAATCGGGACCGATAACAACCGAGCAATTGATAAGGCCGCCGGCGATAGTTTGATTGCCTTCGCGGCAAAAGTTGTCTCGGGGAAGGACTTTGCGAGAAATGCTCACCTCCATTTACACTAGATACGATACGTCACGTCTTCTATTCTGACTAACTCGCTCCAGCCCATCGGCACATATATGCTTCTCCCTAGGTATCAGATGTCAGGATTGTACAATTCCTGATGGCTCCAGTAGGAAAATACATGTGAGAACGGTAATTCTTTTCAGGAAAAAATTGAACAAAAAAACGTGGACACTGTGGGAATTGAACCCACGACCACTCACAATTCAGCATGTGTTTAGATATGCGAACTATCACAATGTTAGTGGGTAGAATAACATTTAGATTTGATTTGTGGAACTTACGCGAGTATCATCTGATATACGTTAGAATTCGGTAATTTGCCATACTAGAGTGATTTTACATACACCCCTAGACCAAGTGCCCGGACTTGTGTGAATATGCATATTTTTCAAATAAAATCAGGGGAGTGTATGAAAATCAACGTCGAAATAGGCGTTGCTTGATTAGCATACACGACCCACCGGCCCAGCCGATGAACCATGCCTAATTCACTTTAAGAGATTTTTTATACTTGTGCGAATTTGAAGTGTCCTTGGAACCACAGTGTATTTTTGGTACACAGTGTTGTTCAACTAGTAGTTCTTGCACCCGAACAGTGGAGTAATGTTAGAACCATCCGGTATAGCTTCTCTGGATAAACGACCGGATTTTTGATCAGAAAGCTTAATTAAATCACAATGTCCAACACTCGGCATGATATCGTTACGCATCTTCGAGGTACGCCTGGCCCCCAGCCTTTCGGTCAAACTCCATACTCTCCGTTAATCCACATACTTCAAATAACTCCCTTGGGCTCCAACGTTTTCCATCCTTCTCGACACTGGCTACACTTCCATCGTCAAACAATTGCCTGACAGCAATCCTGACAGCAGGGTACACAACTTCCATCGCCAGTGCCGGATATATTGCAACCTTGTATCCAATCTCCTTCACTTCGCGTGCCGTAAAGTCTGGTGAAACCCCACCTGGAACATTGTTGAAAAGGCATGGCGTAGGCTTAAGATCTCTCACAAAATTTTCCGCTTCTTCCCTCGACCCAACTCCTTCGAGGAATGCAGCATCTGCACCGGCCTTCACTGCCATTTTCAATCGCGATATCGCCTCGTCGTATCCTAGACCCTGGAGCGCATCTGTCCGCGCTATGATGACAATATCCCCCCCAGATTGCTCACGCGCCAGCACCGCCGCACGGATCCGGCTTGTATACTCGCCTGGGTCGACGACTTGCTTCCCCTTGAGGTGTCCACATCGCTTGGTGAGGACTTGGTCTTCCAGATGAAGTCCTGCGACCCCCGCGCGAATATAAGAAGTCACCGTGCGGTTTACCATGAGAGATCCTCCGTAGCCGGTATCTGCATCAGCGATAAGTGGCGTGGAGGGTGAGATGGCGGCGATCATAGCGGCATTGTCACGCATGTCGTTCATTGTGCAGACGCCCAAATCGGCCATTCCCAATCTTGACATTGTCGTGCCAGCACCAGTCTGATATGAAATGAACAGTCAGCGAAAGAATTATGAAGTCGCGTGCCGTCAATATCATGCACTGTTCAAGTGTATCTGCATCTGGCCGGGCCATGAAAAGTTGGGAAGTGACGTCTGCAGACATGTAGAATAAGTGACCAACGTACCATGTATAAACAATCTGCTCCCTCTTGAAGAGCTATTCTCGCCAGATACCCATCATATACTCCAGGACATATGATGAGCTTCTCCGGATCCGCCAACATGCTCCTCAGATTTTGAACCGCTGTCTGGCGTTTCTCGCCATTTTGTAGCGTCATAACTCAGGCTGATGAAGATAGACTTCTTTCCCTTTACCCCGGCTGTCACTTCTTGACAAAAATGTATAGCTCTTTTCAACGACAAAAGAAAAAGTACTGCTCGCAGTTGCTCGATAATGGACTGATATCTTGGAAGTTCTCAATGGCCTCAACTAAGATGTGAGATAAGTTCAGATAATTTATGGCCAAACGTGCCAGCTGGTGTTTGAAAAGAAAAGAAAAGAAGTCGCCAAAAGTGCGATAAACAGAGCAGCGGTCAAAACCGCCGCAGACAGAACTCTAAGTACTTTAGCACCAGTCTTCCAATCTTCCAATCAATGCCCCAACCGGAATCATCTCCGCGCTTGCCTAGTTGTCTCGCTTTCGCCTCCAAACCACAACAGAAAAAAAGAAAGAAAAAAAGGCAGCCATCAGAGATAGCCTCGGTCTTGGGACCCTGAAAATCGTGGGTGGAATTAGACAGGGAACCAACAAGGTGACCAGTCGGTTTTGATGCCGGAAACAACACACTCCCTCGACACTACCGCCATTGGTCAGCGCAAGTTGCTTCACTTGCTCGTCACCATATCACCATCTGCAATATACAGCAAGCAATAACAAAAAACATGGTATACTTCCATGCCACAACAGGTGCAATGGGTTTCCCCACCCCCTCTCGTATGCATCATCCACATGGAGCAAGTACAAGAGTCGACTCCCTATCCCCACCACATAACACACCATATTCGGCGTCCTCCACCCCCACCGTCTTTCCCCGCACCACCCAAGCCTTGGGGACAAGCAGATCCGACTGAAAGTGTATACGTCACTCGGCCCTTCTCACACCACACATACATACCGCTATCATACGATTTCCTCTTCCAGTTTGCCGAAATTCGCCGACCTTTCCCTTCGTTGGCCGATCCTTCGTGGGGTCGTGGTAATCTGATGCACGCAATATGTATTCATGTACGCTGTTGTTTCCGTTCACAGTGCGTTGTGCAGGAGCCTGGAGTGTCGGGTGAGATAGGCCTTCGCGTGGAGAGAGGACGATAAGGAGTTGGTTGCCGTTGTTTGCCGGGCTGCTGTTTACGCCATGTGATCATTGTGATTAAGAAGCTGGATACCATGCGAGACATGTAATGACTGCATACATATGTGATGAATCCTCCGGTTAATAAGAGTATATCAGAAGTGGAAGACGGGGTAGAGAACTGCAAAGATTTGCGTTTGTATGGGAACGAGGGCGTCCAACTATGGGTGCTTGCAACTAGATGTTATGTGCGTCATCTGGTTCGACCTCGCTGGCGATAGAGTATAGTTTCGAAACAAGCTTTATACTAGAAGAGTGAAGGTCTGCTGCCGCTTGTTGATCTGTTATCCTGAAGCTCCAACGCAGGGACCTTGATACATACACCAACAACAAGGCCTCGCTGATCCATCTACATGATCTAGAATATCGCCACAACCGTTGCTCCACCATAAAGTCCTCCAACGCTTACTCCAACAGCTCCGATCCCCATGCCTGCTCTCACGAACAAAGACGCATACTCCAACAACTCCAAATCCTGCTCCCACCCTCATCGCATTACCCCAACCTTCCAGAACTCCACACCCACCGCCCTACTCCATCACCCAAACTCCCACTGACACTTTAATTCATGTACACACACCGACCCGCCAGCCCGCCGGTCCCGCACAGCGATCCCCCGCTGATACTAAGCTTCTACCGAGCCTCGCCTGAACTCGCCCGATCCCATCCCTTTTTCTGCGCAGTTTCGCCGTGCCGGTGGTTTTGAATTGGACGTTCGGCATGGGCTGAGCGAAGTATATATAGTCGTAGCCCTCATTGTTGGCACTCATTCAGCGGCATACCATCTCTTCCCCTGTCATACATTCGTTCACTTACTCACTCAACACGAAAATAACCACAAGCAACAAGGAAACTAAGCAATACGATCCCACGTGTGATGCATATAGGTCGGTCTATGTACAGCTGACTTATCAATACACGCTTCTGACACTTCCATCCTGAAATTAGTACCTAGGAGTAGTTTACACGGTGGAGCATATTTACAGGTACATTTTCCAGGAGCGATTATGTCGCCCTCGAGATCTCCCAGTCGAGATATCTAAAAGCGTAGACTGCAGGCTTTGGATGAAAGCCTGGCGGTATGCCGTACCAATCCCATTCAATCCTCATAGTTCAGTCCACTAGCATCAATTTAGTGGACGCAACAAGAGTGTGCAGTTGGGTGGAATCCCAAAATGGGATATAGTATGACATGGCTTGCTGCTGAAGCTGCTAGATGGCGCAGACATCAAGTGCAGAAGTGTGAGAGATGCTTTTTCTCTCTCGCCCCATCTTCAAAATCGGGGTAGAGTTCGGCTAGCGACCATAGAGGTCGCCAACAGAAAATGGGGTCGATGAGTGGCCGATCTGCTTCGCCTCAAATACACGATCTATGCACTGGTGTTCCACGTTTTCTTCTCAACTTTCTCTGGTGGTCATACAGTTACTTGAGTCGGCAGTAGTTGGGCGACGACTTCCAGGTCTCAGCCGAACTGATATCCCCCGCTTTCTGCAATACCGTGCATGGGTGGTTGCGACCATTCATTCGTGAAGTCGAAGCTCGCAGCCCAATCATAATCTGGAAATTGGTCGAGCATAGGCGGCGCACTGTAGTCCGACCCATCCCAGCCGTCGAAGCTAACAGGCGTTTGGTTGGATTGAGGGATGTGACCCATGAAAGCAGGATTGGGATCAAATTTTGGCGGAAGAGATGCGGAGGTGGCTGGAAGAGGAACACTAGTTGTCGTGGCCTGTTGTGCAAGCTGTTGTTGGGATTGCTGCTGCTGAATTTGTTGCTGCTGCTGGTGCTGCAATTGCTGTAGTTGTTGTTGCGGTTGTTGCAAGGGTTGTTGCTGTTGCTGCTGTGCAGATGGGTTATGCTTGGCATCTTGGTGCTCCTTCTGATAGTCTGCACATAGGTTAGAATGGTGAACTTGTGCCATATCATCCGGTAGGACAAATATAAGGGGATTCAGTAACATACCAGGCGTTGTTGGCCGTATTTGGGCGTTACTTGCCGTCGTTGCCGCCACCTCCTCCTTGTCATACGGATTGCTCATATGCCCGAATTCCTCTCGCCAGTACCAGAACATATCGAAGCTCAAGCTCATGCTCAATCTCGTGCGCAGCCTCAATCCCAGACTCTCCACTACGCCTCCTCTTCGTCTGAATATCTTGTTACTACCCCACAGATTTATCATGATGTTGGCACACCGCGACGCGAGGTCGTTGTTCTGCATACTGGAGGCCTTCGTAACATTCACACCATAGAAGAAAGCAGTCTCGCCAGCGCTAAGATCTAGATGAACGGCGAGCGGAGATCTGTAGAGCTTGAGAATGATGAACCCTGCTAGTTCGACGGTCCGATCGATAAAGGATTGCGAGATAAATGCATGTGACATCTGCTGGGCCAAGGTATTTGATGCCTGGAGGGTAGAAATGCAAAGAGAATAGAGACGGCTTAGTGATTCCGCATCTGGATTTTGATTGGTTGGGTGTGCGAAGAAGTGAAAGGCTAGAACGTGTATTCGAGCACAGTTGAGAAAAAAGGTGTCTAAACAATCAGTACATGCATATATAATAAGAAGTTGCGTGTACGACTTACCAGGGTCGCTAGGTGATGTCGCCGCCAGAAGGAGCAGTTGTGAGTCAAAAACACCGATCAAGGAGCGCAATATGCCAACGTTGCAGTTGACGGATTTCAAGTCCGTTCGCGCCATGGCAGCCATAGCTTTGTGTAGGATTACATGCAGTTTGTGGTTGAATTGCAGACCCACGGGCAGATGCGCCAAAGTGTCTTCTCGTTTCTTTTCGTCGCCATCGAAAAAGGTATCAGCAATTACGAGGGGTGGTATACCTACAACACAACCGGATAATCAGCTCAATTCAAACAGGGGTATACTGTTAGGCGAAAAGCGTCTCCATACGTGGCGCAACATAGTTCCACGGACGGTTGGCAGCCCTGAACCCGGAAATAACATACCTTCCGCGCAACTCGTTCTTATCGACACAATCATGCAGTACATCCATATCTTGGCCCTGAATATTTTCTGGTCTTGGTCTTTCTTCAATGGCATTCTGGCAAAATCCTGGCCAACACCATCGACATGGAGGCCGATTTGAGTTGCCAAATGTACTGCGGCTCCACATAGCATGTGGGTCATGTCTTTGTACATGGAGTTGGTAGGTAGGCGCCATGTACACAGTATCAGGAGACCCTGTATGACTGGAATTGGAGTGGAACGGAGTGCCATGGAGGAAAATGCAAGAGGGGTTATGAGTTGACTGATCTTGTCCAGTATAGATGGGTCTTCGTGGTACTGTCTCGATCCTGTGACAACAATGGCCCAAAATAGGAAAGGTGAGAGTTCGTAGTATTCATTCGGGCTGTGAGGAGACATGGAGGAATCCAAAACTGGAAGCAGCGCATGATATTGCGAGAAGAAGCTGAAGATGAGTCAGTTGGTGACTGCCTAGATGACAGGCTGTGTGCAGGCTTACAGCTCGAAACAATCATCGACGCGCTTCGCATCAACGACATATCCATCCAAGGCTCTGCTTAGGGTTTGGCCTTGACTCCCTTTTCTCGATGCACCGCCTCCAGAACTGCCGTCATTGACACTCCCCGATCCGCCAAACGCTGGACTCAGACTGGTTTCGGTCACATCACCAGATGGAGGGCCGGAGAATGTGCCAGCGCTAGGGCTATGGAAAGCTGAATTGGTGCCGTCAGGATTGGACCCCGGAGGCTGGCGCATATTCCACCTCAGCTCTTCCAATTCGCGACGCATTTCAGCTTTGGTTTGGCGGAGGTTGCGAGTGGATGTGGGCAATATGCGGCATTCCAGGCCCATCTTCTTGCACCTCCCACAAGGATCGTGGGGGGTTTTATGCTGCTCGACATCGCAACGAATCTGCTTGGATCAACATTTGTGTTGGTATGGCGCAACAGCCCGTCTGGCACTGGTCGGCGCAAAGGTCGCAAAAGGCTGGACACTGACCTTTTGCTGTCTGCATTCAACACAAGCTTTCCGCCTGGGTGTCGTCATGGCGCCCTGCATTACATGTATTTACGCAGGCACGCAGGGTGGCAAAGGCAATGGGGGCATTCGACCGTTGGATGGATGGTAGTGACAGGAGCAGTAGTCAGCAGCAGCAGCAGCAGCAGCAGCAGCAGCAGCAGCAGCAGGCAACGGGAGCAAAAGAGTTGTCGTGGGGCAGATCAGAAAGAAACTCGAAGCAGCGATCTTGAGCTACCCTGGCCCACCCTAGTACCTAAGCCCAGAGGGTGCTAAGTCTGTTGTCAATTTACCTCATCGCTCGGCCTTGAACCGGTGCTGGTCGGATGGCGGGGAAGACGGCCGGAGAAGGGCCGAGCAAAGGGACGAGAAGACGTGAGGGCGCAACGTCGAGCAAGAGGCGAGTGAGGTTTTTTCTCTCCTCGGTCTGGTGCTGGCGTGGAACGTCGACTTCATCGACGGTCGTCTCTGTGTGGACAAGGACGAAGGGAGAGACATGCGGTTGGCTGCGTTGGCTTGCTGACCAAGGCGCTGTTCCCAGCTGCACATCAGCCAAGAAGCAACGGCTAGGCTGCTCCGGGCATGGTGTGCATGGGCCCGACTGACGACATGGCTGCAGAGATCCACCGTGGGCCGTCAAAGGTGAGGCAATTCTATTAAGGTTGAGGCCAGCGTGCATCAGCTAAGGCCTCGAGTCAGCAATTCCCTAATCCAGCTCTCCCAGAGCCTCTTAGTAGCCGCACCAGTCTTGCCCTGCGAAAAACGTGCGCCTGTCTCGTACGAACTCGCCAAAGCACAATGCTACTTCTTCTGTTCAATCAATCAATCAATCAATCAGTCAGTCGATGCATCGTTGGATGCATATGCATACATATGTATGTATCAATCGCTGCGACCATGCCATTGGCAATACACACAAGTCTCCGGCTGTTCTTGTCCTTCCATATAAAACTTTATATTGCTCTTCTCCCCCTTCTCTGCGCCTAATCATCGCGCCTGTCTACATGTCTACAAACGCAAAAGCGGGACTTCTAGGGATATCATAAAGACTTGCGTCGTGCTGGCCTCCTTATGTGCATATGCCAACACCGACAACACCATCGCCAAACCAACATCACCATGGCTGTGCAGCTCCATCGGTCAAATCGAAATGGGTACAAAGAAAGAAATCGGGCCACCAGAAAAGCAAACATGTACCAAACGTCCACTACTCCGAGACCTCTGTCCTTAGAGGAACGGGAGAACAACTCCCTTGCGTATCGGACTGCTCCTGCCGGTAGTAGACCCATCCGGAGAGTAACCCGAATCACGGTCCGCATCGTCATTGTCGAAATCAATGTCGAACCCTGCATCTTGTTCGCCCTCCTGACCCTCGCCCTCGTCGCCATCCCACGCTTTCTGTGCTGCCCCGCGGTTGTTCCACCGCAACGTGCGCGATATCGAGTCAAACCACTCCGTGGGTCGCGAAAGCACCGTGGGGAAAGGGTACTGAGATGCAGCGATGGTAACATGATCACCTTGTCGAAGCTCAACACGACCCTTTCCATCGAAAGCGCAGTAGGCTGTAGCGCGAGAGTTGCGCGGCACCGCTACGCGTAAGAGCATGCTGTCGTTCAATAGCATCGGCCTGAAGCTGAGCGTGTGTGGGCAGATGGGAGTAAGAGAGATTGCGGGAATGTCCGGATGCACCAGTGATCCACCAGCAGACAACGAGTAGGCCGTGGACCCGGTTGGTGTCGAGAAGATGCAGCCATCAGCTTGTACGATAGTGAGCAGATTGTTGTCACCGTAAAGTTCAAGCTGCGAGACATAGGGTGATGGGCCGCGGTCGATGACGAGCTCGTTGAGCACTTCAAATTGCTCGGCCTCGATATGCTGCGGTTCTCCATTGGCAGCATGTTTCTGGTAACGGTAGACAGTACAGGTAAAGCGCATGCGCAGATTGACCCGCATGCCTGTGTCGTCCATGATCTTACTCAACGCTGGACGGTACTCGTCAAACTGGAAGTTGGTGAGGAACCCTAGACTACCCAGTGAGAAGGACAAAATTGGCGGCACGATGCGCTGGAAAAGCCAAGATGTGAAGAGAACAGTGCCGTCACCGCCGAGAGTAAGAACAAGGTCGAATTTCTCGGGCGACTCCCAACAAAGATCGGGGGTCCAAAATCGGAGCATGCTCTCATAGCGAGGATCTTTGGCCAGAAGCGAAGGCATATCAAAACGCTTCGACTTGCGAAGCTTGTGATCTACGTAGACATTTACACCGACATCGGCGCCGTTACGAGGAGTGGTGATGAGCCACTCGGCCAACTCGCGAGTGAGATGAACAAGGCTGTTGTCGCGGGCCTTGGTAACGATCATAATATTGCGGACCGTCATCTTGATGGGACGACGCTGAAGCTGCTTGGAAACTTCGCGCACACTGGTTGCGGTCTGCATGAGACGGGAGTGTGAGATTGTCTCATCATCAGCTATCTCATCCAGGACACGGTCGAGATTGACAGCCTTGTCGAACTTCTTGTGGAAGAAACAAGGCGAAGCCAGAGCGGCCATCTTGCCGGCGGACAGATCGGCCGTGTTCAAGTCCAAATCGGCCAGCGCCTGGGCAAGACCACGATGAGGAACCACCTCGGATGAGTGCGTTTTGGGGGCCTCCTCTGCGGTACCCTCCATGAGCAGGGTGTTCATGGAAGTGGGGTTGTTCATGGGTGGGCGCGACTGCAAGGCCTTGAGAATGGTCTGGCGGGGGATCGAGTCAATCGAGTAGGCGTTTTTGCGGTGTTTGCGGTGCTCGCGGTGCTCGCGGAACGACTTTGTGGGGAGAGCGGCAAGATTCTCGATGGAGGGTGCAGTGCTTATCGGGTCCTGGGGTCCAGTCCGGCGGGCCTCGTCCGGGTCAGTGACGTGGGTGGAATCCTGGGGCTGAACAGGCGCGGACGCAGGGCCGCTGAAGCAGATGTCTGTCAAAGGCTGCGCATTCTTTTGCTGGGTGACTGGGTGGTCGTGGGTGTCGAGGGTGGATTGTTGAGGATGTGAAGACGGGGAATGGGGGGTAGCGGTGGTGTTTAAGGTCTGTGTTGACGGGACGGAATTAAGGCCGGAGGAAGCCAAACGCTGTGGGGACAACAACGGATGAATCCTCGTCGGGGAGAACGGCTCCGCAGAGTTGGTGGTCGGCGTCATGGTGCTTGGTGAGATTTTGCGGCTTTACTACTATGGTCGCCAGAAAGCCGGTTATGGCTGTGTCGCTCAGAAAATCCCGCGGAAGCGTCGGAAGCGTCGTGAAACGCGGATATTACGAAGGAAGTACCGGGTTGGGTGCGTTGACAGGTCAAGTGCCAATCAATGCAAATAATATATGTACAGTGAATGCTCAAACGTAGCCAGACGTTGTAGGAATAGACTGATTAAGCTGCACCAGGCAAGAAGAGAGTCGAGGCAAGGAAATGGTTTCGGTTGTGGACAGTGGTTACTGCATGGAAATCGAGACGGGGGTGTGCGGGGGGTTGCGTTGCAGCAGCAGCAGCAGCAGCAACAACAGCAATGATGACAGCGGCAAAGAGAAGGTCGATTGGTTCCTGAAGAGAATGAAGAGTCCGGCTCGGTTTGGGATGGCGGCAATGACAGGAGTGAAGAGCAAGACGGATGGATGTCTCTGTCAACGACAAGGTGGGAACCAAAGACGAAAAAAATAGCGAAAAAAAAAAGAAAAGAAAATAAAACGAGGACGAGTTGAAAGGCAGAAGTTGAGTCGTACTACTGAGGCGGATACTAGCACGATGCACCTCAACCTATATTCATTTTTTTGACAGCTCCATGATTCCGTTGCACCCCGTATGCGTGTTGGGACTAGGTCCACTGTTGCCGCCCAGCCTCAAACGACGTATCGAAACTCCGGGGCGTCTAGCCACGCTTAAGGAGTTGACACCCAGAGTGTATCACACACATGGGCCTTGCCTATTCGGATTGTATCGCTACTGACAACAAGCTTCGCTCAAGCTTCGATGAGCACCCATTGCAGGCCATGATGCGCTCCATGGCGTGCCGTCCCTCCCGTTTACATGCACCGTGTGCTATGTTTGCCTTCATGTCCACGGTGCACATATTCCAACTGTACTGTCGTGCGTGTATTCGAATGGGATGACGGCTCCCTACAGCGCTGCAGTCTGTGCAGCACAAAGAGCAAAATATCTGGACCTGTCCCACGATACACCTGGTTCCAACTTCGGGGTCTCAGACAGTAAGCTATCAACACATCCATCGACGCGCGACGAAGAGACTCACCGCTCGGGTCAAATCGGAGCTGGATTCCATCGGCATCGCTGCACATCATATGGTCTTGCAGGAGCAGACCGATGATGATTCGGACGGTGAAAGGCCCCAAGACTGGGAACGGAGTCAGGGTGGGCCTGTTTGTTAGAGACTGTCTCGCCTTCATTCCGCTTTGTACCAAAGTACCTCCACCCATGCCAAAACAACTACGAGGACTTGTCGCAGCACGCCTCCTTTTCCATGACAGCCTCTCAATCTGCAGCTGAGCCAGTCCCGTGGGGGCTGCCGTTCCACGGCACTTGCGATGCCTCGTTGAAACTGGCCTGCCCTGTGCAAATCACACACATCGGAAACCACATATCCCAATATTATATTGGTAGATGCCGCCCATGTGTCGAAAGTTGCGCCACAACGTATGTTTATTATCGATGCCTAGCTTCTAGCCCCAGGCACGCAAGACCTCTCGCCCTTGGCCGTGCATCAGTCACTGAGCACAATTCCATTGCATCAGGAACATGCATTTCCCGCACGTGGATAGCCACCAGCACTACCTAGGTACTGTGTATAGCTAGTTCATGCCGTGCACTGTATAGTTGTGCAGTACAACATGCGGTAAGCTAACCCTTCTCCCGGTGCAGGCTCTGTACTGTTCGGAACCCGCGGGCAATGGCAATGTGAGATCCCGGGATACATTTCACGTAAGCAGAGGAAGAGTACCCATTGGTTCACAGTTAAGAATACAACGGGGAATCCTCAATCGCCATAATTTACAGCAGCATGTTTTCAGGCAGGTTGAGGATCTTTATTGATGGCTCTGACCAATGGCATGACCGCAAAGGCTCCCATCTGCTCGGCAATGGCAAGACGTAGATAAAGTAGAGACCGTATTTAAATTGAAAGTGTCGCAGACTTTCATGATAGAAAATTCCATCAATATTATTCACCCTACATGCAACATGGCGGAAGCAAAACCCCCAGGATGGACCGAAAACATTACATCAATGACCCCGGAAGCCGTCGAGCTATTTCGAGTGTATTCTAAAGTGCCCACTGATAGGATAAAGGAACACATCAAGCATATTGTACGTGTTCTCTTCGGGGCGGTCTATCAATATATAGTCTAATCATAACCACCAGCGAGATGATGCCTTCAAGATTGTAAGGTTAGCGTGATCTCACATTAGTTTATGCACTCACAACCATAGCACCCCTATCCATGTCTTGCAACATTCACCTTCCTGGATCTGTTGATCACACAGTCTCATCAATATGGTGAAGTACTCCAGCGCATCAAGGACGGCGACAAGTTCCTCGATTTGGGTTGCTGTGTGGGCCAGGTCAGTGGAGCCGTGAGAAATAACTCAAAACCATGAGCTATATCACTCACCACATTTTTTCAGGATATCCGCAAACTCGTATTCGATGGAGCGCCTTCGGAGAACACGTATGGGGCGGATTTAGAACCCGAATTCTTAGAAATGGGGTACAAATTATTCCTTGACAAGTCCACTTTGAAGACGAGCTTTCTTACTGCGGACTTGTTTGACCCCAAGTCGAGTCTGAGGCAGCTAGATGGCCAGATAGACATTGTCCACGCTTCAGCATTCCTGCATCTGTTTGATTACGACAGCTGCGTCAAGGCTGTGCATAGGATCGTGTTGCTCTTCAAGAAAACCCCCAATTGTCTTTTTATTGGTGCACAGCTGGGTCGTTTGGAGGCCGGTTCAATACCAGGATCAAAAGGAACTGAGAAGTACAGACACAACGTCAACTCCTTTGCACAGATGTGGGATCAGGTAGGAGAAGATACGGGAACCAAGTGGGATGTTGATGCTCGCCTCAACGATGAAGATCTATACGCCCGGGCTGAAAAGATGGGAATAAAGGCTGGGTTTATTCCACCCGGTTCTCGCTGGTTGCAGTTTAGTGTTCGACGTGTTGCCTGAATGGCTTTATATAGACAGCCAGTGTCTAGCGTTAGCGAGCAATGCATGTAGCGTGCAGGAAAGCAACCAGACTGAGTGATGCATATGTACTTGATTAGTCACTTCATTAAGTACTCGCGTCTGCGATGAGTGCGTGATGTTGCTGGGAGGTGGTTACTGTTGCTTGTCACTCTTGCGGGAACGAATTATCTAGAAAATAGCCCTTGCTAGCACACACCCATTCTTGGATACAGGCATACTATAACCATAAAATATACCACATTCTTCTATCGGAATATATTCAGCTCTTAATGCTATCCATTTACAAGTTCCAACATATTATTATCAAGTGTTAAGGTGAAAAGAAATAAATGCAGTTGCTCCTGACATACATACCTAGGTATAAGTGTATTGCTGTACGGAGCGACTAGCTCCCGCCGTCTGACCAATAACAATTCACGACCCTGCAACCGCGAGGCTAAGACCTAATTCGTGGCTTCAACACATGCGCGAACGAGGCTCACTTACACACGTCCACCTTGCTCTCCAACCAAAGAAATACGAATTACCCACTATCTCCCCCGGTCACAGCAATTGCATTCAAGATGGATCCATATTCACCAGAGGGAGGTACGTTCCTCCACGCCTGCGCCAGCCCCGCCCAATCGCCCCGCCAACTAACAGTTTCCCAGAGCTCATCAACATCCACACGGCCTTCCACGCTGGCGCCTATCAGCAAGTCCTCGATTTTGATACCTCTTCTTTCAGTTCTGCCAATGCTCTGCCCTCACGCGTACTGAAGCTACGTTCGCAAATCGCTCTCGGACAAGCCAAAGAAGTGGCTTCCTCTCTGGCTAAAGAAACCACCCCAGATTTGGTCGCGGTGAGGTTACTCGCAGAGTACCAAGGTGGAAAAGATGTAGTTGCGGAAGTAAAAGCATTGGTGGAGAAAGAAGGTCAGGGCAATCTGACTGTGCAGCTGGTTGGTGGCATGGTGCTGGAGCGCGAAGGGGAGACAGAGGCAGCATTGGAATTGTTGAGCAAACACGAGGGTAGTCTGGATGCGTATGTTTGCTATTCTGCTGTCTTGGTCCCGACAACGGCGATCAAACTTGGAATCCGACGCTGACGACTCATAGTGTGGCCTTGATTGTACAAATCCACCTCCGCCAAAACCGTACCGACCTCGCCACAAAGGAAGCTCAACGCGCACGGAAATGGGCTCAGGATAGCCTGCTTGTGAACTTGGCAGAGTCATGGGTTGGCATGCGCGAGGTGATACCCAATCGTACTCTAATCCTGCTCCACGCATTGGGCTAATTCGAAGAACAACAGGGTGGTGAGAAGTACCAATCAGCCTTCTATGTTTTCGAAGAACTCGCCCAAACTTCACAAACGCAATCTGTACACTCCTTAGTTGCACAAGCCGTGTCAGAACTCCACCTTGGTCGTCTGCCCGAAGCCGAAGCCGCTCTGCAACAAGCCGCTGGGCTGAACGAAAATAACGCCGAAACGATCGCAAACTCTATTGTGCTGAATATTTTGCTAGGGAAAAAGGATGAGGTGGATAAGTTGAAACAAAAACTCGAGAGCGTAGACGCAGAACATGCGGTACTAGCCGATTGGAAAGTGAAGAAGGGTGACTTTGAAAAAGCGATGAGCAAATATTCGCCAAAGTTTGAAATCGCTGCTTAGATGGATCGAGATAATGAAGGATGCAATAACGAACAGCCCTGAGCCATGGGGTGGGACACTTATGCCGGGTTCGTGGGTCATTTGAAGATGACGACGATAGATCAATAGCAATGTCGCAAGTGTTCATCTGACCATCGTCGGTGAACCTTTACGGATTTGACTTTTCCCCAAAACACGTCAGGTACTTGTCCACATCGTTATGACATGTTTCAGAAGACATGGATATGATAATGGGAATCGCTTCAAGGAATTTTTCCATTGCACTTCGCCAAAGCCGTATAAAGACTTCGGTGTCATATGTTTGCGATGCTATTCGTCCATTGATCCATGCATAAGCAACGAAGCGGCGCCTATGGTTGCTATGGAGGTTGAATTCGAATGTTTGAACCCCAGTTGACCGTCGCAATTTCAGCCAGCGGATATCCTTGGAGACGAGTCACTTCAAGACACTCTTAGGCTGCGGGTAGTAAGAATGCAAGCAGCTTACCATTTCCCCTATTGATTTGACCGCACATTTGAAGAGACTTGGGACTAGACGGTCAGCCAGCACAAAAAGAACTGTCGGAGCATGGCACATCCGAGACTTATTCTGCATTTGGAATCATTGCCAACATTCGGGCTGAAGAAAACCAATCACTTCCACCGCAATACATCGAGTTATTGCATGTCCGGTTCGTTTACCACGGATGATCTGGGTAAGTTGGATGCAGCGCGCCGACCCAATTCTGTACATATGTAAGCTCTTGGGTCCCTGCGTGTGAGCCGCCACTGGAAATCGGGATTCGTGGCTTGGATCCTATGCCATTCACTCTCGAGGGGGTGTGTGCTCCTTTTATCCCTATAATTAATTCCTCGCCGCGCGTGCAACTGTTGATGGTCAACAAAATCGTCCAAATTCACGATACAGTTTGTCGACGGAAACAGTTGTTACCCCACCGGCACCTCCACCCCCGCAGACTGATCCGAAGGAGCAGATCGTTGCGTGCGCGCGCTCTAGCGGCCATTTCGTCATCAAACGCAACCATGGCCGAGGAAAGCCGTCGTCGCTCTGGTAGCGGCGGCAGCGGCAACGGCAGTGACAATGAGGACAATGAGAAAACTCCCTTGCTGCAGAATATGGTTGCAGGCGTACCGCCCGTTTTTAGTGGATTGAACAAGGAGCTTGATCAACTCGTCGAGCAGCCTCAACTGGGGTCGAAAACGAGCTTTCCCCTTCGTGAGTAGCTCCTCATCCAAGGATTCGGGCAGACTGTGGCGGCTGTTAATAGGGGGAGATGTAGCTCGGTTTGCATTCGCGCGCAAAGATGAGTCTGGGGTGAGGAGACCACAGGCTATTGCTCATCGAGGATACAAGGCGGAGTTCCCGGAAAACACAATGAGTGCTTTCCGCGGTGCTGTAGATGTTGGAGCTGAGGCGATCGAAACGGATGTTCATTTATCCAAAGACGGTGTGGTAGTTTTATCTCACGTATGTCTGTTACATTAAATCTTTTGTTAACTAATTGCCCCATGTTTTCATCTTTCCACGCGAGCTAAGTCACTGACGGGCGCTACAGGATAAAGATTTGAAAAGATGCTTTGGGAGAGAAGAAAATATAATCGATTGCGATTATGAGTTTCTGAGTACACTGAGAACACTCCAGCAGCCTCATGAGCATTTGCCCCGGCTTGCGGATTTGCTAGCATACCTCGCTCAACCTGAACTCGAGGATATATGGCTCCTACTTGACATCAAAGTGAGTACATCATCTGAATCACTTACACCTACAAAGTGGAAAACGGTGTTCTTTTCCGTACGTATCCATAGCTGACCTTTGTGTTTGGTTTGGAACAGCTCGATAACGATGCCGATGAAGTTATGCAACGGATAGCAAGTACTATTGGCAGCGTCGCTCCACTACCAAGCCGTCCATGGCAGGAGCGCATAGTATTGGGATGTTGGGCAGCCAAATACTTACCTCTCTGCTATCGATATCTCCCCGGATTCTCAATATCTCACATCGGCTTCTCAACCCTCTACGCATCCTACTTCTTCGCCGTCTCCCACGTCTCCTTCAACATGCTTCAGGGTACACTCATGACGCCCTGGGGACGGGCATTTATTCGCAAAGCGCAACGCGATCAGCGCCCAGTGTTTGCATGGACAGTCAATGACGACAGGCACATGCGATGGGATATCCGTCATGGCCTAGATGGAGTTATTACTGATGATCCAAAGCGGTTCTTAGAGCTGCGCCAGGCATGGAATCCTGGCACGAAAGATGGAGATGGCTTTGGGGTCAAGATGTGGTTACAAGTTGCGTGGATCCAGATTCTTGTCTTGGTGTTTGGGACTAGTTTTTATCGGAAGTATGGGTTGAACGTCGGGAAAGAGCTGGTACAAGTGAGGGACACGAAATAAGTGACCGCCATCACGCGCTTTGGAATGGAAATATGCACATATACATGTGCATATGTATGGTATAGGTCACTGTTTCGTATGTAGATATTTGAAAGGTCGACAGCGCTTAGACCGGTCAATAGACGAAACGATCTACCAATTGATCACGGTTCCTGCCCGCTGATCAGCAGTCCTGCATAGGCGGAAATTTGGGATCTTGTTCCCATTGATTTTGATGTGTTTGGCTATGTGCATACCGTAAAATCTAGCATTCAATGACCGTGATACAAAGTAGCTATGTTAGGTATAACTTTACAAAAAAGGAGAGCTCTTTAGATATCTAGTAGCTCTCAATAATTTAGGGACTTGCACGTACTCTAATACGGCTAAGAGTAATGGTGTAGCCATTGGAATCTTAGGCTATAAGTCAACATCAAGTACATAGACTTTCGTGAATCCTTTGTGCCTGCCTACTTATTGTAAAAAAAATTTTGCCTATTAAGTGTAAGAAACACTTTGACTTCTAAAAAAAGAAATCAAGACATAGGTCCTTCAGTACATACGTAAGTACCTACATGTAGGTAGGTATGTAAGTAGGCAGGCTAAAGTGGCCCGTGCGCTCATCCCCCGCAACGCGTCAACAGGCACGACTTCCATCGCGACTTTATATAATGCACCCGGTCTGCACTCGGGCTGCTGAAGAATACCACCGAATATGCCGCGGGAGATTATCACGCTACAAGCCGGCCAGTGTGGCAACAGCGTCGGTCAACAATTCTGGCAGCAGCTCTGTCAAGAGCACGGCATCAACGCCGACGGCAATCTCGAGGACTTTGCGACCGAAGGCGGTGACCGCAAAGACGTCTTCTTCTACCAATCCGATGATACCCGCTACATTCCCCGCGCCATTCTGCTCGATCTCGAGCCCAGAGTCCTGAACTCCATTCAATCCAGCGCCTACAAGAACATATACAACCCCGAAAACTTCTACATCCACAAAGATGGCACTGGCGCAGGGAACAACTGGGGCATGGGATACAGCATGGGCGAGCAGGTGCAGGAGGAGATTATTGATATGATTGATCGAGAGGCCGACGGCTCCGATTCACTCGAAGGTTTCATGCTTCTGCACTCCATCGCGGGCGGAACTGGGTCCGGTCTCGGTTCATATATGCTCGAGAGGTTGAATGACAGGTTCCCGAAAAAGTTGATCCAGACATACAGTGTCTTTCCAAACACGCAGGATGGTGACATTGTTGTCCAGCCCTACAACAGTCTGCTGAGTTTACGCCGCTTGACCCAAAATGCTGACTCGGTGGTAAGTTCTGTTTCCTTCGCGACGCTCCGGCTGGAAATGCAAATATCTAAATCCAATTGTAACAGGTTGTTCTTGATAACGGTGCACTCTCTCGAATCGCCGCCGACCGTTTGCATGTACAGAACCCATCCTTTCAGCAAACGAATCAGCTCGTCTCCACGGTCATGTCCGCTAGCACTACAACTCTCCGCTACCCCGGTTACATGCACAATGATCTTGTTGGGATAGTAGCTTCCCTCATTCCCACACCCCGGTGTCACTTCCTGTCTACCTCCTACACTCCTTTCTCTGGTGAGAACGTCGAGCAAGCCAAGACTGTGCGGAAAACGACTGTGTTGGATGTTATGAGAAGATTGCTACAGCCTAAGAACCGGATGGTCTCAACTAATCCTACGAAAAAGAGTTGCTACATGTCAATTCTCAACATCATACAAGGTGAAGCCGATCCAACAGACGTGAGTACTTTTTCAGGCCCGCATACATGTGTACTTTTCTAACACATCGCAGGTCCACAAATCGCTGCTTCGTATACGCGAACGTCGACTCGCTACTTTCATCCCATGGGGTCCTGCATCGATTCAAGTTGCTTTGACCCGGAAATCACCCTACGTTACATCCTCACATAGGGTTTCTGGCCTTATGCTGGCTAATCACACCGGTATTGCTACTTTGTTCAAACGGATTGTCGCGCAATATTCTACACTTCGCAAGCGAAACGCCTTCCTGGAAAGCTACAAGCGAGAAACGCCTTTCCGGGACGGTCTGGGTGAATTTGACGAGGCAAAAGAGGTGGTGCAGAGTCTAATTGACGAATATGAAGAGGCTGAGGATCCGGACTATCTGAGCAAAGATGGCCCTCCCGCTGAGGAGGCTGACGACAAACGCGCTGCATGATAACAGCTCCTACTACCTGAAAAGATCATTAAATCCACACAAAAATGACGGCCTCAGTAGGAAGTTCTTTTGAAGCGACTCCATTCGTCGTGTTTTTCCAATGACAGTATCCTTGAATGATCGCAACGACCATCTTAAACTGCGAGGCATGTTTACCAGACGATTTTCTAATCTATATCGATCAGTCTGGGCGGCGCAGTTTAGCCCAAGCACAAAGAAGAATAACAAGGGAGTGTTTTTCACGCATTCTCGGATCAATAACTAGCTGCCCTGTTCAAGTTGAACTGTCTGCTATGAGACATAAGATCATATCGAGCGCAAGAAGGGTTGTGAAATGGACTCGTCACGATCATTAAGTGATGAGAGTGGATGGATAGCACACAGTTGGTATTTGGATCGACAATAGCTAAACATAAGCATTGAAATGCAAGTATCGCTTTATCGGTACGACGTTCCACTTACACTCCTTCCCGCCGCCTAAGCTTCACAATAATGTCCGTCTGTTTATGGAACCAATAATCATCTGTCTTCCACGGGCGAGAGTGTGTCATACTCACGTCGAAATGGCGCAAGACCTCAGGCATGAGAGTATGAAGTTCGGTAAGCGAAATGTTTTTTCCAATACAGACTCTTGTCCCGCCTCCAAAAGTGAGCAATGATTTTTCCATTGCTCTAGTCCTCTCCTCGGATTCAAGCCATCGTTCAGGGGAGAATTCCTCTGCATCCTCTCCGAATACAGCAGTGTCGTACTGTACAATGCATGGGTTGCAGCCAACACGCCAGTTGGGCGGGATGAAATGGCCAGAGAGTGTCACGCCGGTAAGAGGGGAGTGACGTTGCATGCTGAGGCCGACACTAGGATGAAGGCGCATTGCCTCCTTGATAGCAGCGCCAGTATACGGAAGCTGAGCAATTGATTCGGCATAACGGATGGGAGAGCTCAAGGTCGCTTTATGCGCGTCTATTTCTTCACGGCATTTCGCGAGTTTTCCGGGGTTTTTCATGAGAAAGTAGAGGGTTGCACGCATAGCTACAGCTGTGGTGTCGGAGCCAGCCAGCCTATATCTTATCGTCAGCAATTGACGATGAACGGAAACACGTGGAGACTTACAGGCCGACGTAGGCTTCAAGTGTCACTTCACTGTCGGTGAACCGAACCTGTTCGCCCTTCTCCCGAACAATTCTACTGAACTGCTGTAGCATATCGATACGATCGGCTGTTCCTGCACTGATCTCCTTGACTCTCTTAGTCACCACATCGACAGACGCTGTATGAATGCCTTCGAAAGACTTCAATGCCTTGAACACAGTCGAGTTCAGTATAGCCGAGATCATGATGAAGGGGCGGTAATATGTTGGGGCAATAGCAGCAACGCAAAGAACAGGCATGAGAGCGTCAAGAGCGTCGATCCAGCCATTGATATCGGTGTTCTTCTCCATGAAGCCAAACATGTTTCCGAACGAGAGCTCGCCGATAACATCGAAAGCATACATCTGGAACCAATTTCCAATATCCACCTCCTCACCTGCGTCTGCCATTTCGGTCATCCGCTCAAGGAAAAGGGTAGTGCATTTTGCAACATAGTCCTCATGCTTCAACACATTGGCCATCGAATATACAGGTGCAACGATCTTGCGGTACCGAGTGTGTTCCTTTTCATCGATGCAAGTAAACGTGTCAGGTTGCGATGAAATTTGTGGTGCACCCCATATGGGATAGAAATCCGTCTTCTGGAGAGGGTCGGCGAGACGATAAATGTGAGGTATGTCGGCAGCACTGGCAGAGGTGACTTCGTTTGGAGCGATTCTCACCTGTCAAATATGATGTTAGCTGTTGGTTCTTGTTGCAGCTTGATACTAGGGGTATCGTACGACAGGGCCGTATTTCTTGTGCAAATCTCTTTGGACTACATCAAAATGTCCTTGGTAGATCTTGTGCATGTACCATAATCGTGTGACTGCGGCCCAAAAAGGACCTGGCACCTTAGCCAGCGGATGCAGAGTCACTGCGTAAACCATCCACAGGAGGGTGTAGGTGATGGTTGCCAAAGGAATGGCTTTGAACAGCCATGTTGCAATAGACAGACCCAGAATCGTGTCTGGAAGGAGAGCCATTGCAGCAGGACGATAAATGTATCCAAATAGATGAAAGGCAGCCAAGTGAGCGAGTAATTGAATGTTCGTCGTTGCAGCACCCGATGGATTGGTTTGGCTTGGTTATGTCCTGTCTGCTCTCCTTTCCATATAACTGAGTGCCGGGTAGCTTTAAGCGTGTGAGAGCATTAGATATGATCCAATTGGCTACATCCTAGACAATGAGATGGTGGGTCGATGCTGGAGGCCGCGGAGTCGCCCTTAGTGCAGTGGAACGGCACTTACTAGTCTGATATCTCCCTCAGGGTAGAAGATGAACTAACGGGGTGTCCCACTTTAATTCCTGTACTGCGTACGCATAGGGAATCGCTATTTGATTGAAATGACGGCCTGTACCCGGGTAGGAAAAAAGCGAGCACTTAAAGTCTACTCTTTATACTCACCTACAGAATTCATTTGGACATTTCAAAAGCTTCTTATACAGCAAAGGAAAAGTGAACATATGTCTTCGACATTGTATGTATTGTACTCAAATCAGTGTAGCAAGATTTTACTATACTACAGTGTGAAGGAGTAGTGTCGTTTATCACAGGTCGTAAGCTTAGAGTAGAAAACAGTGGTGACAGCAAAAGGATGCCCTCGAGCAACAAAAAATGCGTACATCGCACCCCTTGCTCTGTTCCAGGCCCGCTTGTTTCACGCTATGAATGAGCAGGCCTCCAATGACAACTACAGAGAATGTCACAGGAAAATGACAAGCCAAGCTGTATAGTTAGCAGCAGTTTATGGCCTTGGCGGCGCCCTGTATATTGGCTCCACACTTCTTCAACTACCCGGGAAACGGAGATGTCCTCAACTTCCGCGCCAGTAGCGTGACGGGGCCGTCTTTGCAGCAATGCTACATACCCACCCACATATCTTGCACGACTGCCTCCTTCGCCCCATATCGAAAAGGACCCAATCTCGTTCGAGTAATGATTCTCCAATATGGTTCGACTATGAACCCATGCACTTCTTGCTCTGGTCACTTGTGAGAACGTCCGACTCGTCTACTAAACTCACTATGGAACGCACTAGGGGGCCTGAGTACCCCATTGAGATTATTATGTTCTTTAACTACCCCATGCAGCAGCATTACAGACTACTTGCTATGGCACGAGCCGGAAAACGGGCGCTATGCGGCTATAATTACACGGGCCGCTGGTATAATAGTGGAGTGCCTCAGGGAAGAATGTGATGCCCAGGATTGAGACACTGGGGTGGAAATGTCCAAGTGACAAAATGCAAACGCGGGAGAGTTTTTCTCCTTTCTTCCTTGGTCCATTTTACAAATCCATGATCCCCGAGGTCAGGGTTTGGCTTGTATGTGAGAGAACAAGCCTGCGCTTTTAACCCGAGCATGTGTTTTCCTGCTTAAGATTACGTCTCACAAGCACTTCTTTTGGACACTGGACGAACTGTCGCATTCTTTTTTTTTGCTTATTATCGAAATCGTTTGGTGTGAGTGTTTGGGGAAGATGAAGTTGACCAGTTTCCTTGTTTGTCTCACGCTTGGGCTGTCAGTGGCAGCCCAGGAGTCTCCAGAGTGCGCGGTAAGAAACCCACATCTACAGTCATCTGTTTCTCCGATGCCTCACCTCCATCTTACGATTCGCGGCTCCTTCCTTTGAGATCGATCGAGACTAATACATCTTCAAGACACAATGCCTCCAGGAAAGTCTTGCGGCGCAGTCCAAATGCTCGCCCACAGACGTTGACTGCATTTGCGCCGATGAAGCCTTAAGTGCAACAATACAAGGTTGCGTGCTACAACGTTGTACTGTAATCAATGCTTTGGGTATGTTCATCTCGGTCTCCTTGCTGAGCTCCCGCCAAACTCCCGAAGTCTTGTTCCAGCCTCTGACATGCTCGCCCAGCTGCTCAAAATGCGACGAAAACCATGTGCGGCGCTCCGGTGCGCGACATCACATCGATAACGCCCATCATATCTGGTGTATCAGGAGGCCTAGCTCTGATAGCTGTCATCATTCGCTCGTGGATTGCGGGATCCAACTTCGGATTTGACGACGGTTGCTGTGTGGCTGCTCTTATACTTGCGATACCAATGGCTGTACTTGAATTCCTCATGTCAGACTTGGGATTCGGGAAAGATATTTGGACATTAGAGCCAAAGAATATCTATCTGATCGTCCAGGTGAGTTACATGGGATGTTTCCTTTGCTCTTGAAAATATCCGTATACCCCACGTTAAGAACTGAATCGTGCTGACCTGGATGCTGGTGTAGTACACGTGGTTGACTGAGATTTTTTGGTTTCTCGCTATCGGTTTCACAAAACTATCCTTCCTGTTTATGTACCTCCGGGTCTTTCCTAAGGTGATCATTCCTTGATTAGCGACCTTTGGTATACTCTCGCTGATTTATATGTTCCAGCAAAAACTTCGTAAAGTCATTTACGGATTCATGGGACTGATTGGGTTGCATACCCTCATATTCACCGTAATCATTTCCGTTAACTGCTTACCCGTAACCTACATCTGGGAATCTTGGGACGGTGAGCACACGGGCAAGTGCATCAACTTAAATGTTTTTGTATGGTCCCACGCTATAATTGACATTGTCTTCGATGTTACCATCTTCGCGCTCCCAATCCCTGAGCTCATCAGATTAAACATGAGCCTCAAAAAGCGGATAATGATCGTAGCCATGTTCAGTGTGGGTGGCGTGTACGTATTCCAGACCTCCCCTTCCCAATCTCTGTTCCACAGGTTATACTTACTGACGCCGCATCTATCGCAGTGGTACCATCATTTCGATCTTAAGACTCCAAGCCCTCGTCTCCTTCGCCAACTCCACAAACCCAACATATGATAATTGCCCCACAGCGTACTGGTCCGTGTTAGTCTGCTTCGTCGGCATCTTTTGCTGTTGTATGCCAGCTTTGCGGCGCCTCCTCGCCAAACTCTTCCCCACCTGTTTCCTCTCCACCAGGCAAGACTCCAAGTACTCACCCTACAATGACGAGCACACACCCAATGCGCGCCTCTCCAGCAACCCCCTCTCCAATGGGAGGAAATCACAAAGAGCTGGGTTGGGCAGTGCGCTTGGGTTTGGCGGCATCACGAAAACGATTGATACCAAGGTTACGATGACCGGGGCTGAGGACGACGAGCAGGAGCTTGTAGACATGGGAAAGAAGGGGGGGTGGGGCAACAGCGGGGGAGGAGCTTGGAACGCGACACATACGAGTGGAAAGAGCGATAGTGGAAGTGGGGATAATGTTGCGGTCGGAGATAGTGCTCGTAGAATGTAAGATTGCGAGCACCATTCACTACGTGAATTCGAAGGGAGTTTTGTTGTTTTTGTAGGATACATGTATGGTGTTCTTTATAAAATATATCCGGTATAGTGACAAGTGTTGGCTACAAAAACGAGGGTCTATTGCTGGCGTATATATAGAGTAGGAAGTATCAAATTATACCTTATGGTTTGTTTTAGTAATGCAGTGCAAGAGAAGATCCGCATTCGTACCCTCTTCAATTGCACTCAGTTCACTTTCTATGATATGGCCACAGAAACCACGCCGTAGTTGTCGTCACTTCTATATAGATTCTCAGACGAGAGAAATATCAGTCTTGTATAAGCATTCTCTAAGGGCTACCCCACTGTCCTTTCATATACTGTGCTAAACGACATCGGAAGTCACAATAGTTAATCAATCCTGTTATGGCTTTTTTTTTTTTTTTGCGCCATCATTTTTGTAAATATCGTGTGGGCCAGGATCACCTAAACTCCCACCTAAAAACGCCGTGAATTTTATGACAGGGACTTCTCAAAGCAAATCCAAAACACATATTGGTAGCTTTTCGAGACAGGCAATCAAAGAGGACATAAGAAGGCAGCTTTGGTACGGGATGACAACAAGTGTCATAGATCAGGATGAGCAAACTCGGTCTCCAGCCACTGTGGAACAACAACTCTTTTGACTGTCGCCGATTTGTCTACACATGTGATAATCGTTTGCGCATAGTTTATAATCAGATATTAGTACAGCCTACAACAGACGACATTGATAAAACGCACATCGTTGATCCTAGCTATACAAGTTCCACGTTTTCTGGGTATCACACTGCAAAATAAACCAAAACCTAACCCTCTCCCCCATACCCCACGCATGATAGATAGCGTTACATGACGACGCAGCACTTGAGGGCCTTGAGTAACTTTGGCAAGCCCTTTTTGACCATCTGCTCAATCTCATCGTTCTGGTTCTGCTGCTGGCCACCATGTTGACCACCATGTTGACCGCCATGCTGCTGCTGACCGCCATGGTGTTGGTTGCCACCGTGATGAGCCGGAGCACCTTGATGCTGACCAGGGTAACCACCATACGATGGTGCTTGCGGAGGCGGCGGCATCTGGCCGACTTGTCCGCCCTGCAGATCCACATAGATCCTTCCTTCGTTCTCCTCCGTCTGATAATGCAAACCAAGCTCCCTGCACACCTTTTCGACCCTGGGCTTGATCTTCTGTACGTGCCCTGTGCTGTGGTTGCCCTTGCCTACGATAACGTGCAAGTGGGTTTCTCCGCCGCCCCGCGCAGCCCGAATCCTATCCTCCAACACATCCTCAGCTTCCTCGACAAAGAGTCCATGCAGGTCGACTGTATCGGAAGGAACACGACCGTCTGAGTTGTTTGCGCGAAAGATATAGTCGCGTGCTTGTGCGTTATACTGATCCATCTTTTGGGCGTGCGCTTTGCCCTCATCGCTCAATTGTTTTGCCTTGGCGCCGTCGCCAGATTCGTAGGCTTGATGGGCACGATCAAAGCATGAGGAGCGTTTTGCGGCTTCCTGCCGGGCTAGGTCTCTCAGACGATCGTATTCAGCTTCTGTATCGCTGGAGGAGTGGTTGAGGGCTGAAGCTATTAGCTCGCATGTGGGAGAGGAGGCGGGGTGAGCGAACAGCGAGAGCCCAAGTGCATCATCTCCATGGCCATAGTGGAAGTGAAGGTACAGCCCTGAGACTAATTGTGAGTTTTCCAAGTATATCGGCGCGCCAATGGGTACGATAGGGGAGTGTTGTCGTGGTGGTGGTTGTTTTTGTTATTGTTGCCGACCAAGCTATCCAGCAGCTCGATCTGTACGCTAAGCGACCTAGCTGCAAGATCGCTCCGATCGGACGCGTCTGGATTCTCGCCTTCTGTCTGTCAAATATCTCGGCCTGTAGTTCCAATCTCTTCTGCAAACACAACAGCAGGTGAATATAAGCTGGAATGATATTCATGAAATGTGTAGATTTAATCATATGCTGTGTACAATGACAAGAGAGTGCCTACCATTCGTGGCCTCGAACTCCGAAGCACGTTCCCTGCGGTGAAGAGTGCACATGGACCTGTAATTGATTGGGTATATTGCGGAATCAACCCCCGAGACTAGAATCGAATCTTGGGCCCGACGAAGACGATCAGAAATGCGACCAGCCACAAGCCAAATATAAACGCGTAGAGTTTTATCCTGGCCCACCACCCTTTACCCTCTGTCATTCTCCGCAGCGTCCCCATCCGTTGACTCGCAGCGTCCATGTTTTGTGTGTTTTTGTCTAGCCCTGAAACGGCGCGGTCCAAAACGCCTTTGTCCCCTTCTAGAGTTTGGCCAAAATGCATTGACTGTTGCTTCAACTGCTTTGCCATTTCCAGTAGACCTGAGGTCAAGGCTTCTTGCTCGGAACGGTTCTGGGCGAGAACAGCCTCCGCTTGTGTTGTTGCCGTATCTCCTGTCGCAGCTGAAGGCTTAGAAGGGAACAAAGCATTGCCAGTTGACATTGCTGGTGATTCACTTTGCGGACCTCCCCTCCGCCTCAGTTCTGACGTGAGGTTTCTAGCTGCATTTTGTAGCGCATCATTGCCCTCGCCTGCCGGTGTGATATCTAGGCCAGCATCTGTGCTGATGCGCGGTGCATAAGAAGGAAGACTGCCGAATTCTTCTTCATCAGAGTCCGCTGATGCTTCAGATTCGGTATCCTCCAGCTGATTGAGTTCTGTGAGGCGTTGGATGAGTTGCTTTATGAGCTCACGTTTTAGTTGAAGGTCTTTTTGGAGACTCGACTTCTTCGCTTGGGTCGGCGTGGTGGAGGCAGCATGTTCGAGATTGAGGAGGAGAGTTCGCGCGTGCTCAATGTTCTGACGAATAGGTCAGCTATTATCAAGGGGAGCACACAGAGCTCTTCAGCGATCATACCGCTCCAACCCGTGCCCGCTGATAGCTAGACTTTCTCAGTTGTGGAGATGGCTCGATAAGAACCGTGCGTTCAAGTCTCGAAAGCAGGCGGGTGAGGTTGATTGAAGTTGTATCAGGATAGTCGGATGGTGAGGGATGGGCAGCCATTGTTGAACTGTGGGGAGCCTTTAGGTCTTTACCGCACCTCCCCTTTCCGCGCGAGGGTTCCACTGGCAATCGGGAGAAATGAAACGGCAATGATTCGTGTTGGGTGGGTATCAACAGATTGAGCACAAAAATTATTGATGTGCATGTAGCTTTGAATGTACGTCAGCATCGCCAACGTCAACGTATGCAGAGCAATGGTGGACCCGTTTCCCCGCATGCTTGGTCAAAGCTTAGGTAGCGACCCACGCACTACTACAAATGTCCAGTGTCCCTAACTGAACTCCATCTCGCTCCAGATGGATTGCATTTGCAACATCCAAACCACAAACTCAACTTTCTGACAAGATTCAATTCATTACAAACAATAACGTCTCGTAAAATACATTACTTCATAATTTGAAGATTCGGACAATTTGCCAAGTAATCCAGACGCATTGAAGTCAATGCTGCTCCATCCGACAAATGTTGAATGATTCAATCCTTCCAAAGAAAGTCGGTTCTTCGCTTGCATCAGCCAGCTTCAGCACCTAGACATAGCAATCTTACTGCCTCAGGGTCGTCGTATCGCGCTGCTCTTTGCCTTGCTGTGGAGCCGGGACAGCCGGACCACGCGTATAGCTGTGAGCACCTGTTAATATTCCATCATATCGTAGCATGTTATCTTCTTCAAGATTCGAGAGCAGTGTTACCTATTCCACATGGACCCGAACCATCCGGATTTGCCATACGAATCTTGCAAACTAGATCTCCTATTCACGCTCGCCTCGTCGCTTGGTCTTTTCAACGACTCGAGGTTCGCGAACCGGCTTGCTGATGACTGATAGGGTCAGTAGAGCTCAGCAATAGATACAGTCGACATACTCGTCTGCGATCTGTGGTGGGTGAGCCTGAGCTCGACCCTACGGAAGCATCGGATGCTCTACGTTCGGTGTCCTGCTTGGCTGGACCCTCCGGCATAGATGGCATTGTGTTGTCTCCAAAAACCTTGTGGCTTTGACTGGAATACTTTTGATGGAATGGAGATGGCATTTCTAGAGAGAGTAGGTCGTGTTATACTAACTCAATTGTGCCAATGTATTAGTTGATTTGAGATGAAAAGTGAAATGGAATGCTCGCTGGAAGACGGTGCGAGTGCACAATTATAAAGCCACCCGGCTCAACCCAGCGAGCTTACTTTGAAAGCATAAGATCACCAAATCATATGGACATCACCAGCGAAGGAGCGCGATCGAGCCAATCAACGTTATCCGGTCCCTTCCCCGCCACGCACTTGTGTAGCTCCAGCCCTCATCTGTGACAATGATGGTGAGGGGTAAAACTGAAAGAACAGAGCTTCATCGAACCATTCTCAGAGGCTAATGGGTCGATCAGCGTGCTGGTTGATAAGCTCCAAGAGCAACGCATGAATACTCAATGGCCCTAAGGATATCATAATCAATAATTTGCATCCAGCGTGTTCAATTCTTCGAATACGTTTGAGCTGCAATTTCAAGACTCCAGCAGCATAGAACGAAGTGCTAAAAACCAACCCCTCATCTGGTTTCTGGTAGTACATGGCTCCGGTGGGGGCTTGCTATACTTCATATCGGTGTTTGACAAGATTATCTGAGAAGGCCATCGACTTTGACTCCGACTCCACCTTTGTGTTGGATGGTAGATACCACATTGGGGAACTGTGCGATCGCTTTCAGGATGATGGTGACGTCACATACTAAACCGCGAAACATTCTGCGCAACGTCGACATGTACATATGTATACATATACATATAGATCGAGACGATCAAACGTGACTGTCTCCGATAAGTGAACAACGGCGAGACTCTGCATGTATTTTCCCGCCCACGGTGGTCCACTGAAATACATACCAAGCCGTTACGACATTAGGCTCATTACATAAGCGCCGCCAGCCTCGCAAGGCCGAGGAGAGCCCGCTAACCGAATCATATTTGAAGCTTGAACGCTGATTCCAAGTGCAACGTTCCTTTCTGCTCATCAACTTTTGAACGCCAGTTACTCAGGTCCACGTGTCGGGGCGATGATGGCACGTTCACGCACGAGGTCAAACGCACGAAATGACCCAGCTAACATAGGTGAGGGAGCTGACCGGCCTGCGGTGCTTGCTGCGACTGCATCTCAGAATAAATTATGAGTTTTGAGGCTCTGCGTTGGGCAGCAATGCACACACTCACACGCACGCACACACACACACATGCCTTACAGGCCTGAAAACATTGGCAGGCACCAGTTGTTGCAGCATCCGCTCTCTTCCGCACTAGGATTCTCTCAGTGTCGTTCCCGTCCATTGCTGTGCAAGCTATGAACATGACCGCTGGTCGAGGAACCGTGGCTACCTAGGTAGGTACCTAGGTACCAACACAATTGTCTGGTATGTACTTTGCTCGTCTTTCGTTATCTGCCCCTCCGTTTTCATGATGAATCCACATAAATAAGCATAGTTCAACCGATGGTCTGCGGACCTATGCGGAGAAACAATCGTTGTCTTTCGCTCCTATCTGATTTGAATATCCAACTTTGGTGTCAATGATGCAGTCAAGATGAACAGTCGCTGACCCATGATTGCAGGTGGTTGCTTCGCTCGTACAGGATTGAGCCTGATGGCTATGTGTGGTATATGAAGCCGCCGATGTCATAAGTCTGTGTGAGATGGAGTGTGAGGATCTATCTAGTAGCAGTGCATGGGTGAGTGCAACGGCCGGGAAATTGATGCACAGGAGAGGCATTTGTTCAGTCGATATGTTAGCGATCAGTGAGGGATGCAAACCAATTTACGTCGAGGCCGAGGGAGATTGCATCTTCGGGGAGCACGAGCACGGCGGGACGGGTGAAGGGAAGTAAGCCGGCGATGGAATGAAGGCTTGGTCGACCATTTGGGTCAATACATATCAATGTCATATGCTGGATTGGTGCGCGCAGGCTGGCGGGTCGCAGGCAATCTGGGAGCAGGCTCTGACAGGGCTCGACATGGTGGTGAAGGCATGGCGGCGGCGCGGCGCAGACCAGAGGGCAAAAAGCAATACCGAGTCAGTCGGTGGTGGTGAATGTCGCGCCGTGCAGGCTTTGGCCATGGATGTCGCGCCGGAGCTCCTTTGCTCCTTTGTGAAGATCGGACGCGGCCAGGAGAAAAGAGCGAGGATCTTTTCTGGAAGCAACCAGGTGCAACTGTGCACGGTGGCTGGATGTGAAGAAAGTGCCGCCGCCGGCGAGGGTGCATTTGGCCGAGCATCATCACCGTCGCCTTGACGTCCGCGCACGACAGGCCTGCCGGCGATCCCATGTCGACGGGCGGCACAGGAATAAGAAGGTGGCTTGTCCGCGACCCAATCTGCGTCTGAGTCTCTCCTCGTCCAAGCAGGACCATGGCCCCACCCAGTGTGTTGTCACCTCGACGCTATTCCCCATTCGTTGCCCACTCGCATCGCTGACCGACTCTTCGTATTTTGCTCTCTCGCCCTCCCGCCCACTTCCTCCACTCTTCTTCCCTCCCCCTCCCAATCTGATCTCCTCTCGAGCATCATCAGACGAACCCCCAGAAACACACTCGCCCATACCCGCATATATATACGCAGACACCAACATACCCACTCTCACACACGTACAACATACGTACATAAACACGCCTTGCAACAGTTCGAGCCCAGCCTCCCCACCAGTCTCTGTAGGCACGACAAAAGAGCCCACGCTCAGGATGTCAATTCGGAGCCCAGACGGAGCCCTATCCAGGTACTTACTGCCCAATGGTTCTCCCCCTCCAATCTTTCACAGTTCCAAGCTCTCCTTTCTCTATGCCTCGTCTTCTTCTCTTTTGTTCTCAACGCAATGCCATGTAACAGACCGATCATGTGTAATTTCCTTTGCATCATCTTTTTTCCACACTTCTTTTCTTGCGTTTGTTTTCTCCGCCATACAGCTGCCTTGAGGATGCCCGTGGATTATGCCTGGTTCCTTGGATCTTACACGCCCCGTATGGATCGCCCCAGGATGTTTGCATTCCCTATCTGTTTTTTTTCTCCTGGAGTTCCAGCAGCCGCTGTTGTTTTCCCGGATGGACTTCACGCCCCTCAAAGGACTATACGTATGCCCTCGCATCCATCGTATCGTAGGTTCGACAAGCCCTGGATCGTAGCTGAAACCCCTTGCCAGGATGTACACTCGTAGAGCTTTGCACAAGTCGGTGAGCGTTAGCAGCACACCCGGTTTCAAATTTACTGGTCAGAAGTTGCTCTAGTTTTACGCTATCCCGCACGAAGCGAAACCTGTCACGGCTGGAGCCAAGTCGTTCATGATCTTAGTTCGACGAGCTCATAATTATTCGACATGCCGTAGGATCATTCATCTTCCCCGTAGAGGGTGTACGTACCATCATTGCAAGTCTCCCCATGGGACGTCTCAAAAGCCCTCAAATATAAACACGACTCCCGGATTCCTTGATACCCTTTTACCGGAAAAATGGATGGATATTTGGATTAACCGTGACAAATGTACGTACACGATAGCGCACATTCTCCGCGCATCATCCCAACATTGGTTGATTCGATGTACTGACTTATAGCCGGATTCTGAAGATTTGATGTTCACGCTCTGCTCAAGGTTTGATTACCACGTTCTTGTTTCTGGATTTTGCAGTCTACCTTCGCCGGAATGGATCCTTGCCATGGACAATTACTAGAATTGACAGCCGGAAACCGTCGCCATCTGTTAACAAGTAGCATTTCCCCAGCTCCGAAACCATCACATTCTTTGCATTTCAAGCGGACTCAGACTCTCCACGGCACGAAACAAGGTATGTCCTCGCAATACTGTCGTACTACGAATGACCACTAACTTGATGTGATACCCAGGGCCTCTCTCCGACTATACGGTTACTAACAATGGCGTTTCTCGTTTTTCATTTGTCGAACGACTGTTACATTTCATCTTCTTCTGCCATGACCCTTTGCTTGACACTAACCCCTTTGCTTCAGCGCATCATTTTTCGACGTTTTGCCAGAGGAGTATTCTACCACAAATAACCAATCCGTGGACATTGCCAAGTGGAGAGAGGACATTTCCGGATTATCCACTGCAGCAAATCTTTTCATTTCCCAGGCGCCCGATTTAAGCATGACATGCAGATCGGAGGCGGACGTCAAAGATAACACATCTGAATACAGCATGGACAGTGCGTACCACAGCCAGTCAGGTAACCAACAACGGACAACGATGACTACCGAAGGTTTCCAGTGGACATCGGACCAGGTTTTTTTGTTCGAGGATTCCTCTCCTTTGCTAGGATCTGATAATTACACCCCATTCTCCGGATCCCAGGACATGGACCAGCTACACCTGTCCCCCACTGCCGGGGCGATGGATACTGGAGTACAGTCTTTTGACTGGTCAACTAATTCAACTTTGAACCAGGACTTATTCAACTTTTCCTCGGCGACAAACATGTCCCAATTTTCTCCGATGGACGATACGTACGGTCTCGGACCATGGAGTGCAGCCGCGGTGATGCCATACGATACTAACCAGGGACTCTCCGGAACCGAGGTGTTCAACACCCGTGCGCAATTGCAACAACATCAAGACACGCATTCACTCGACGTCTCGACGCGACCTGACGTTCTACGACACAATTCTTTCAATACTCAATACCAGACCGTGCGGACACCTGTGCAACCCGGTCCTGTCGCCGCTCCTACCAACCCTACTACAGTTGGATTTGCACCTCGCACAGCTGATTCTAGGTAAGCAGAGCAGTGCGATCATGGAATGATCTTCGTTAACGCAATGTTTAGAGCTACAGCCGAGGAATCCAGCACAAAGTCTTTGGATGCGCCATCCCTTGCGGATGACGATGAAGGCGAAGACGAAGAGATCTTTTCTCCACAGGATCCCGAAATCAACCGTATCCAAGAGGAACACAAGAAAGTTGCTCGTACCCATCCACTCTACAATGCGAAGCCAAAGGAAGATGGCAACTTCCACTGCCCTTTCGAAGGACAACCAGGATGTAACCACAAGCCAACAGACTTGAAGTGCAACCATGAGTGAGTGTCCACTTTGCCTAGGGTATGGTTATGTGTGCTAATTGTCCACAGTAAATATGTAGACTCGCACCTGAAGCCTTACCGTTGCAACCGTGAAGGGTGTCCCAACGTACAATTCTCATCGACGGCTTGCCTGCTTCGCCATGAGAGGGAGGCACACGCTCTTCATGGCCACGGAAAGAACCCTAATCTTTGCTACTACACTGACTGCGAACGGGCCATGGCAGGCAATGGGTTCCGGAGGCGCTACAACCTCTTCGATCACATGAAGCGTGTGCATGATTACACAGGACCCACCAATGATGTGTCAGCATCGCCCTCCGCAGACTCGCAAGCACCAAAGGGTCGCGGAGCAGCTGGACGAAGGAAGAAGTCCCCAACTGATATTGGCGCTTCAAAGAAGCACAAGGTCACGAAGGCCAGCAACCGTAAGCAACTTCAGCAGCAGCAACAGCAACAGCAGAAGTTGCAGGAACGTGCTCAACTACAGGAGCGTTTCGCCAAGAAGAAGCAGAACTTGCTTGAGCTGCTCACCAAGCTTGACGGTCCAGATGATTTTGCGGCCGAGCACATGGATCGCCTTACAGCGGAACTAGGAGATCTTTCCAGGATCGCATCCATTCACAGGAACACCGATGGCGCTGTGTCTGGCGATTGAAAATATAACTCCCTGATGCAGGAGTCCTGATGAGCTTCTGAATTTCATACTCAACATTTCACGGATAGATGGGATCGTCTGAACATCCTTATTCTTCACCTCCGGAAACTACATGACACAACGTTTCGGCATTCACACAGCGTCACACGACACGCCTGTTCGCTCAGCGCATCTCAGCACCACAGGTTTCGCAGAGCCCAGGGGGACAGGGCCAGAGACGCTGTCTTCACGAAAACGTTTGATTGCGCCACAAAGTCAGATCAACCGAAAAGCGTTTGATAAGGCGAGGTCTCGGGTGCACAATGCGCCAAGCTTCCACTGTGAGCTGTCTATGTGACGAGGACTACATAAATTGCGCATTTTTGCCATAAGCTTAGGGTTCTTTTTCTTTTCTCGGCGTTCATATGGAAATTTACTCCTGTCTCATTCAGTTTTGCACCGCGAGGTTTCAATCGGTTATGTTGGAAGCAGTGTTGGTTTTGACAGGGACTGTTGTTCAGCTTGATTTTTGCAGTTTAGCTTTTTGTGATTAGATGAAATTGATATCGCGTGGTATCAGGTACAATTGGATGTTTACTGTTTACCTAATGTAACCGGAAATGATGATGAATTATTTCAAATCGCAGTCGGGGGAACAAGTGGTCAACCCTCGGCAGAACAAAAGTGGATGACGACACAGCACGGCAGTACTTTCCACCCCTGTTTTGCGCTCGTTTGCCGTTGCAAAGCCTATGAGTCCAGGCCTAAGAAAGTCCATTTGATCCGTAATACAGAGCAATGTGACACGGTCAATACCTTGATGCCCGCCTCGGTCCGTCTCGCATTTCACATGTCCTCGTACGTCAAGTGGAGGGCTTGCAGCACAGCCCCTGTGGCCGCGAGAGGAGTGAGCAGGCCAATTCACCTGCCCTTTCCTGCCCGCCGCGCTGGGATTTGTATCTTCGCTACCCCACTACTACGACCTCAACCAACTTCACCATCACCCGATCCTCAGTACATACCCTTTCACAGATCCACACCCAACTCTCCAACACGAGCAGACTTTGCAACCATGGCTTCCGCGACCTCGTTCTTCGAATTTTCCCCCAAGGACAGTACGTCACCCCACCTGCTGTGTTCTTTCTCCCATGATACCTACATATATGCGCACACCCCCAGCACTTTTAATCTACGCATGGCGCATTCGCTAATCATCGAAAAATCGCGCAGAGAAGGGTAACGCATACTCCCTTGCCGACCTCAAAGGCAAAGTCGTCCTTGTCGTCAACACGGCTTCCAAGTGCGGCTTCACGCCCCAATTTGCTGGCCTCGAAAAACTATACCAGGACCTCAAGGCCAAGCACCCCAAAGATTTCGAGATTCTTGGTTTTCCTTGCAACCAGTTTGGCGGACAAGACCCGGGTTCCAACGATGAGATCCAGAACTTCTGCCAGGTCAACTACGGTGTTACCTTCCCCGTACTCGGCAAGGTCGATGTCAACGGCGACAAGGCGGACCCGGCGTTTGAGTGGCTCAAGAACGAGAAGCCTGGCTTGATGGGCTTGAAGAGGGTGAAGTGGAACTTTGAGAAGTTCTTGGTGGGCAGAGATGGCAAGGTCATTGCGCGATGGGCTAGCACATCGAAGCCGGAGAGTTTGAAGGCAGATATTGAGAAGGCTTTGGCAGCCAAGTGATCGAGATGATTCTGCTTCAGGGGATATGATGTAACGAACTTCACTTTATATTAAATTTCCACAATAATCCACGCTACTGCCTTCACTGTTCACATATGCGCTGTATGCGAGGCCAAACGTTGTTGCGTATATTGTTTGTCACCGTTGTCGAGACGGAGGAGCCGCGGCCCGACGCCTCCGACCTTGCGTTGTCATCGATCCACCACCACCACCATTCCAGCACTTTGCCTAGAAGACGACATCATCGCCAAATCTCAAACATGACAGCAATGCCTGTGCCCGCTCATTCGCCTCCCGACCTATCCAAATCCCTCCCTAAGCTCACACCCCGCAAACGAGGCCCCGTTCAACGCGAACCGCCCACTGCCCCTCCTCCGCCAACTCCCCCGCTCCCCTCGCCGCCAGACCTCCAAAACCACTCGTACATCCGGCCGTCGCGACGCATTCTTAGCCCAAGCGACCATGCCCTTTTTCTCAAGAGTCCGACCTGCACGCTCGTCACTTCCTTCATCTTCAACATTTCCGATAGCGTGAGGGACAAACCGCGATCCAGCGTAGCCAAAGAGAACTTACCCTCAATCATCACCAAGATCCTCCACATTCTCGAGCAAGCCGAGCAAATCCTACTCCAATGCCCCCCAGAAGACACAGGCTCGCGCTTCGGAAATCCTGTATTCAGAACGTTCCTCGATCAGATCGGCACTGCGCTGCCCTCATGGCATACATCTGGCCTTGGCCTCACCTCCGCCGCCCAAATCGAAGAACTCTCCACATACCTCCACCATGCCTTCGGCAATCGATCACGCATAGACTATGGCTCAGGTCACGAACTCAACTTTTTTCTCTGGCTCCTCTGCCTTAACCGCCTCTCCCTCGTCCCTACATCGGCATTCCCCGCCCTCGCCCTCGTCGTGCTTCCTGCGTACCTCACCCTTATGCGCAAGATTCAGGCGAGCTACTACCTCGAGCCTGCGGGTTCCCATGGCGTCTGGGGTCTCGACGATTACCAGTTCCTACCGTTCCTGTTCGGCGCCAGCCAGCTACTACATCACCCCTACATCACGCCAAAGGCGGTCCACAATACACTCACACTTGAGGAGGAGAGCCCGCAGTTCTTGTACCTTGATCAAGTGGCGTTTGTCAATAGCGTCAAGAACGTCGATGGTCTGCGGTGGCACTCCCCTATGCTCGACGACATCTCGGCCGCCAAGTCGTGGGCCAAGATCGAGGCGGGCATGCGCAAGATGTTCGTCAAGGAGATCTTGGAGAAGTTGCCCGTCATGCAGCATTTCTTGTTCGGTTCGTTGATTCCAGCGCAGCCTGAGATGAGTCATGAAGAGGATTTTGGGCTGGCTGATGAGGAAAATGAGGAGGAAGGAGGTGAGGTTCAGGTCTTTGACGACGAAGAGGGGAAGAGACATGTTCATGCTAGTGTGGGTTGGGGGGATTGTTGCGGTATACGGGTGCCTGCTGCTATTGGGGCGGAGGCTGAGGAGAGGAAGATGGGCGCTGGGAAGAGGTTGAGGAGAGTGCCTTTTGATTAATCTCTCTGACTGGACAGTCGAGAAATTTGATGAAGAAAGGAGGGTTGCCAATGTGCTGTGTGGGTGACTTTTTTCCTCTCCTGGTTCTTGTTATGAGTATGGAATATGAGTTTAGATTTAGACATAAAAATAGTGGACAGTATTTTTACGGCGTCAGTGGATCTTCCATACCGATCCGGTCAAGTCAACAGGTCGATGCAAGAAAAGTCTACCGATGTGAAGCAAAAGAAGAGGAAAAAATCACATAGGATAAATGGCATCAACCACGACCAAGCTGGAATTCGAGCAACACCGGACGGAAAAGAGAGGCAATGGATATATTTATACGTAGGTATTGTTCGAAGTAAACTTGGAGCTTCAGCCACCAATAGCAGCGGGTGAAGCACGTCGAGAACAGAGTCGTAGTGGCTACAAATATATATTTCATATCTGCCCACCTCTCTGCACCGTTGCACGTCTTCTCTCTTCCCCACCACCACCATCACTACTGCCGTCCTCTGAAGTTCCACTTCCCTCAACTCGCAAAAAAACTGATTTCCTTTCCCGAGGGGTACTCTATTCGCCCCACCAATCCGTGGTTCTGCCCTCCAATCCATGATCCCTGTGTTGGTGATTCAGGTCTTTCTATATCCCAATGGCCGTCCGGCGTCCTCGATGTTGGTTCGAGTGCTAACCCAACAGGACAGACTGCAAAATCCACATAACCATGCTCCCAAAACGCCACGCGTATGTAGATCTAAGAAGGTGACTAATGATGCCCCAAAAGTCTTGTAAACGCTACTTTAACCACACCAAAGCAAAGAAGAAAAAAGAAAAGAAGGGGGAAAGACACAGAATACAAGCAAGAAGGGGAAGAAGAAGAATACTGAAATCTAGCCCCCTTTGAAGATCCGAAAAGTGGCGGGGGTGAAGAATGATAGAAAGAAGACAGGAGTAAAGAACCTCTTAATCGTCGACATCGCTCCCGCTCTCCTCCAATTTCTTCCTGCGCTCTTCATCCATCTCCTTGTACGTCGCCCAGCTGAGAACCAGGAAAGCGCCAATGATGAGCAAACCACCAAAGAGTGCGGCAGGCGTGAGGGGCGAGTTGAGAGGCGGTGGAAGGAGCTGGTCAACAATAGCGACAATGAATATGGTGAGGAGGGCTGCGACGGAGGACAAGACGGGAGATGTCAAGCTAATGAGAACCAAGAAAGATCCAGAGAAAGCTGTTAAGATGTTAGCAAACCAAGTGCTACTTGTTGGTAGTGTAGACAACAACGAGAAATACGTACTTGCGTTCGCCAAGACGGAGATGGCCATCATAGACGCCTGCTTGCCCTGTGGCAATTGGAACGTTTCGATCTCGAGATAATGCAAAATAGGCAAGGGAATCCAGAGAACCAACAAAGTAAAACCACCGATCAAGCTTCCGAACGTGTTCGCAAATACCATGCCTCTACCTGGTGAGCACCCATCTGGGGGGCAAGCCAGCTTTTTGTACAACACCTCGTAGAATCCGTATAAGATGCTCCCGACACCAATGATTAGATTCCCGAGCGCGCGGTTATCAGCCTCTTCAGAGGGTGGGGCTTTTTCCCCGCCAGCCCCGCCTCCTGACTTGGAACCATGCTTTGCAGGCGTGTTATCTCCATATGCCACGACAAACACACCGAAGATTGCGATTGCGACGGCGACAACCTTACTGGTGCGCACCTTTTCGTGGAGCAAGGGAATGCTAAAGGCGTAGGCAAAGAAGGCAGAGCAATTATAGATGGCAGTCAGATCACTAGCGGTAGTTAAGTTGACGGCCAGGTACCAGCTACCACCGGCCACGGTGAGGGCGCAGGTGATGAATGCCGTCATCTTGATCATATATCGAACGGGCGAGACTTGGGATTGCCTCGGCGTGGGATGAAGGGTCTGATGCTGCACCATGAGGGCGGTTTGACGGAGAAGCTGCACATGACGGCGCCAAAATGCAGGCCAGGGTTGAGACCAACTCTGGAAGCGGAGCAGCAAGAGCTGGACGGGCCAGAGGACAACCCAGGAGCCGTGGGTCATATACCTGGAGGAAGGGATTAGTTTGCTATCCTCCAGTCGCCGTGTAATAGGATCAGCTTACAGCATGCAGTATGGTTTCTCCCACTTCAGCTCATGCTGGATGTACACGGCCGTCTCGGTTTGGACGGTGAAGGATACCAGACTGAGTGCAAGGAAGATGGCGGCATAGGTATACCGCCTCCTTGTCTCGAAGCGAGCTTGACTCTCAGGATCGCGCTCGTGGAACGTGTGCGTCGAGCGCATCGTCACTCCCGAATTCTGCATGGCATCGTTACCGACGTCGTCTGCCAGGTCGTCGTCATCTTTGCGGCCGAGTAAGGGTGAAAGGGAGCGACCGTCGCGCTCGCGGTCGAGGTCAGGTCGAAGGTCTGAAGGCATAGTGGAAGAACTATCGTGCTCATCCCAATCGTCAAAGGTGATGTCGGACGCAGGACTTTGGGGCTCAGTCAAAGGGACAGATTCGGGCTTTGTTGCGGAACGGACGCTCGTCAGCGGGATGGATTGCGGCATACACGCGGAAACGAATAGCGCGGCGCTCTGGCTATGCTCGAGGCGGTGGGGGGTATGGTGAGACTGTTGTACTGTGACCTTTGCCCAGCGGCATGTGGATTAGACAGGGAGGGGAGGGGAGGAGAGTGTGTGTGTGGGTACGTGGATGTACGTGGTAAAATGAGAGCTGATGGTGATGTTCATGCTCACGCTCCGCCGCCCCCTGCTCTGCCCTGCCGTTCCCCGGTGGCCGGTGACAATAAATAACTACCGCCTTGCCCCTTGAAGAATTAGTACGCGTGGCTCCCCACACATGCACCCAGGGTCCAATGAACATTCCATGCGTACTCTTTGCGATGTCTTCGCCTCTGCCGTCTTCCGGTCGAAGGACGATAGCTATGGACATCATTACTAGCTATCTTGCTTCTGTTGTGCGAGGCTGTCTTGATCCAGGACATCATTGCACATGACTGTTCCTCGTGCCTATTAAGGAACGGTCCCACTTCTAACCGCTATCAGCAGCCATCAGGAGAACATACATAATGATTTACCTACATACTTATGCAAAAATGATATTCTGCAGGTCCATCACATGCTGGCATCTGATTGCACCGGGTGATACGCCTTCTTCACTTCCTACTCAGTTCGCTATCATATCTCTCTCTACCTTTACAAACATAGCCATGCCCTATATTCATTCCCATAGGTTGTCCCATATCCTCAATCCTTTACGCCCATAGTTTCTTCGCTCTCCAACTCCAACACTTGGGGGAATCATTGATAATAAAAAAAAGGTGTACACAGAAAACAGACTTCTCACCCAACGACTTCTTGTTCTTCTCCTTTTCTTGCCACGCTTCATCTCGTCCCTTGCAGTGCTTACAGTGGACTCTGTACCAGTCCTTCTGCACGCTCCTGCGTCTCCGCTTCTTCTAGTTCCTTGACGATTTCTGGCAACATAGACTCGATGTCCTCTTCGCGCTCGCCCAATGCCTTTGCGATGAGACCTTTGTAGACACCCTGCTTTTCGCCCATACCTGCCACGGACAGGTTGCCAACGACTTCTCGTACCAACGCTTGCCGCTCAAGCTGCGCGTTATGGAGTAGCAGTGCGAGTCTCAGCTTCTCGTTCAAATCCAACGGGGAATTGGAGTTGGGTTGCTGGGTGGAATTGCATAGTCGCCGTAGCTCCGCCTTCTGCTCTATTTCCAGAAGTGACTCGGCTTCATCCACCAACATTGCCAACTCTTCTTCTTGCTGTTCGTCCATTCGGTCATCACCCAGATCAATGTGCATTCCATCTTGCATGGTTGCAAGCTCCGCTACTTGTTTGCGAATCGCCTCCAACTCTGCCTCACGTTTTTTGACTACACGCTCGGAATCCCTTGACTCAGCTTCCTTCTCTTGTAACTCCGCTTCATACGCTGCGGCCAACTCTTCACATTTTTCGAGTAGTGTCGGGGCGACCTTGTTCATGAGGTGCGAGGCTGTCTGCGAACGGTACTGCTGTGGTTCCTGTACCCGAAGGGTGGGAAAAGGAAGTGATAGAAGTGAGGACGAACCGATGCCATTCAGATGGGCCCCAGCTATGCCATGTTCCAATGGCGGCGCAAATGGCGAGGATGAAGCTTGCCGCGGTCTCGTCCGTCTCCGCGAGTTTAATTCTCTAATGAGGTCGTCCGCCGTCTCATTCTTGTTGTTGGGTATATCTACGGTGACGTTGCGTCCCAGCAGACTTCTGACACACTTGCGGGCTCCGTTTCGTGCAGCAATCATGACAGCAGTGTCTCCATTCTGATCTTGTACATTCAATAACCTTGTGACTTCGTCCGGTATCCACGTTTCGGACAGCTTATTAATAATGCAGTCAAGATAATATCGCGCGCATACGAATTTGTTGGTGCTGCTAGTGGTCGCTGCAATGTGGTGGAACACGGTGCTACCGAACCAGTCTGTTCTCGGGACTGTTTGCGCGAATATCTTAATCATACTGGGCATCACGTTTTTGTCGAAGTTGTTGGTGAACATGACCGCACGCATGAGGGGCGTCTCCAGGTTGTTGGATAGGCAGTCTAGCCGTGCGCCTCGACTGTGCAGTTCCCTCACTACTTCAACATCGCCCATCGCCGCCGCCCAGTGCATAGGCGAATGCCCCTTTTCATCGATGGGGCGATCCAAGTTAACTGTGGGTGGGGGCTCCGGAGGTGCAACGAAGCCTTCCTCCGAATCTAGCAATATGAAATAGTCAAGCAAAGCATCCGCCCACATCTGATGCTGGGAGTCTTGAACAGACATGCGGTCCACATCCCGTTTGCGTTTACGACTTCCAACCGAATATTGTGACCCTGTGAGCATGTCCTGGTCTCCCAGAATAGATTCAGATATGACTGTCTCATTGTCGGGTGTTTGATCGCGATAGATAGAGTGTTGTTGTCGTTGCGTATCCTCGAAAGGGTCCTCGGTGATCTGTGTTTGCGAGATGTTCGAGGAAAAGGCTGTGGATGTTCGTCAGCATGCACTCAATCAAGTACACTATTGAGAGGTCCGAAATAGATTGCTTGTGCTTACCATTTTGTCCCGCTGCAGCTACCGCGGCTGCTGCTGTTGCTTGTGCTTGTGCTTGTGCTTGCGCCGCTGCTGCCGCGGCTGCAGCAGCAGCAACTGCGGCATTGTTTTGACGTACGGCCCTAGGGCGATTTGACGCAGCTGTAGCATGCTTCGGAGCTGGTGGTGGGCTCCTATCGCCAGGCACGAAGTCGAGAATGGGCCGCATCTTCTCAAGTACCCCGTTGCGCTCAGCAAGGAGACGGCCTTCTGCCAGTGGAATCCATGTGCCTTGGTACTTGCCATACCCTCCCTGGACCTTCTCGTGTACACCTTTCTGCACCTCACGCTCGAGAATGCGCGTACGGGCCGGTTTATCGTAGTCGGCTACTTTGAGAATATGCGTCGCATTAATCCAGTCGTCAGCACGACGGCGCATTACGTGGTTTCCGGCGACATTGAGCTCGTACACAGGTACCTGGCAGCCGCCATGTTAGCTGAACTCCCCAACGACGGCGAGAGAGGATGTGTGATGCAGCCTACGTTGCTATATGTCGCCGAGTAGATCTTGCCGTCCGGAAGTGGAGGCATGGTGTAAGATTAATTGTATCCAGCTCAATGTGAGTCTGTAGCTATCGACAATTCGATCATATACAGCAGTTAGATGGGGGCTAGATACATGGATGCACTAAGTAGTGTGCAGGATGAAGTCGTCGCGGTGGCAGCTGGAAGTCGCGTCGGCCGTCGGTCGCGGCTGCTCGTGACCTGAACGCACAGACTTTCCCGCAGAGCTTCCGAACCGCACTCCCTCGTTGCTTAACGACGTCGACATCCGCAATTGAAGGCCGCCGTCTTCCACACACACCATGACCGTCACTGAGAAGATAACCAATGCCGTTGGCCTCACGGGCGGCGAGCCAAAGAGTCAGTGTCTCGCTTTCTCTTTCCTGTGGCCCTTGGACAGCTGGGAACGGCACTGACTGCGACTACAGAGGCTACTCGCGAGGAGATGAGTGCTGCCAAACTGCCACTGGCCTACCGAGACTCATGCGCACACCTTTTGATTCCTCTCAACCGATGCCGGTTCAACGAATATTATCTTCCGTGGAAATGCGAGGTGCGACGAAGTGCGCCATGTGAATCACTAGGCACTAACGAAATTACAGACCGAACGACATACATATGAGAAGTGCCAGTACGACGAATTCAAAGAGCGTGTACGGAAGATGGACGAATTGAGGGCGGCCAAGGGTGGACAGAGGAGCAACTAGACAAATGCGAAGACGACGCAGGCACGTCCGGTGCATGTAACTATTTCTGTGAAAGTTGAATTGAAGACCATTATGCATTTCAGCAATGGCGAAGACAGGTCTCCAGGTGATCAGTATCATAAGGCATCGATCAAAGATTTGGGTCATGGCATCCCTCATACCCTAGGGATTCGTTCACGTAATATTATATTCGAATGTGTTTCTTGGATTTATCAGGCAAGCCCCGGCATACTTCCTCCACCCAAATACAAAGATGAGCAAGCTCATGCCCTGTACATCTCAAAGGAATCATACGAATGGTCAGGCAGGTATATGAAAAGGTATATAATTTGGTACAAGTCGTGAGTGATGGATATTCACACGCTTTATGATATCGGTAACAGTACCAGCATTGGCGTGAGGAACCGTGTATCCTGAAGCTCTCTCTCTTCCAAAGAATCCAACATCTTTCGTCTAGTTGTTGCACACATGGGGTTCATTTGGAGGTATATATTGGAGCCGAGTCCATGTAGCAGAATACCTCGATTCACGGGTCTGGCGCGACTTTGCTCAAACGATCTACTTTGGATGATGGAGTACTCAACTGCTGTTACTCTTTGATCACCAGGGCACATTATCCGGGCCTCTGTACTCTCCACGTAGCCCTTCTGTGGCGGCATTGCCTCGAATTTCTCCATAGCTATGTGCATGGGTAGTTCGGTGCTCCCATCTCCTCTGTACCCTCTTGACGACAAATTTACCCAGTCCCCAGACGGTCCCGGCCACAATGGTGCCTGCAATTCCAGTAGGCGCAAGGACAAAGCCAGCTCCAGAGACAACGGTGCCGAAGGCGCCAGCGCCTATGGTGGCGATCAGGGAGCCAATGGCAACATACTTTGCGTATCGAACCACACGCCAGAAGACGAAGATGAGCGAAGAGCGGACGAGTCGCAGTGCCGCTCTGGTGCGGCGAGATTGCACAGCCTGGGCGGGCGCGGTCTTAGGATCATACAGGTAGCGCAGGTTTTGCTTGGTGGATGTGAGGGCGCTGCGCGAGTGGGCATCGATGGCGGCGTCGTCTGCCGTGTTTGGAGTAGGTGACATGGCGAATGATGGCGGTGGGGATCAATTGCAAAAAGGGGGTTGCGAGGCCGGGACGGGGAAGGGAATTGATTCGATTGACCCTAAGTACCTACCTGTCTACCTGACGCTAGTATACTGCGGGTGTCGTACAGAGAGATGAGAGAGCACAGGAGAGGATTGTCGAGACACATGGATCAGAGACAGCTGAAGTCAACGGGAGAAAGCAACGATGGCGCAATCGTTGCGGAAAGGCGGAGCAACGGCATTCACCTGTTGATTGCCTGGTGCACAGGTGAGCAGAGATGTACAGCGATTGCGTGCCGGCTTGCTCGTGCATCATACATGGTGCCAGCGAATCACGCCTCAGGCGAACCCACGTTTAACCCACCCCACCAAAAGCTACCCCTCCATTCCATTCTATTCCATTCCCTGTTTGCTGGTAACCCCTCCAGCAGCTTTCTGCCCTCCACCTCTCGTTACATTTAACCTGCCTCTTCTTCCTACATGCAACCCTTCCTCCGTCAATCCCTTCGCACATTCACCACCACATCACGCACAATGGGTGTTACCAAGACCACCATCACTCCCGGCGACGGCCCCTCCCCTCAGAAGGGCGACCAAGTCACCATGGCCTACACCGGCTGGTTGCGCACCTCCGGTCAGCCCGAGGAAAAGGGCAAGGTCTTCGACTCCACCGACAAGCCCGGACGAGGCCTTTTCCAGACCCCCATCGGCGTTGGCCGCGTTATCAAGGGTGCGTTTGCGTCCATCTGAGCTCAAGAGCTGCCCAAAGTCATAAGGCCACCTACTGATGGTGATTGCATACACAGGCTGGGACGAGGGTGTTACCCAAATGAAGCTTGGCGAGAAGGCCCGTCTTGACATCTCGAGCGACTTCGCCTACGGTAGCCAGTACGTCTATTCACTTGTCACAACATTATCGAGTCCAAAACTGACACGCTCACTCTCAGGGAATTCCCCGGCCTCATCCCTCCCAACTCTGATCTCATCTTGTTTGTTCCCAATCCTCACTCGTGCACATCCACACCTACTGACGATCCACTAGCGAGGTCGAGCTCAAGAAGATCAACTAAGTATGGACATAAAGCTGAGGGTATTCAGGTGCGGAAGGAAACAGTACAGTTATCAAGGTGCACCTTGAACATACTGCTCCCCCACGGGTGAAAAAAAGCTATCCAGAAACAATCAATACAAAATATCACCTAAGCTCGAGAATGCTACTTGACATGCCGTGCCTTAATTGAACTATGCCAAGTACCGTAATACGCCAGGTAGTTAGTGGTAGCGGTCGTTGAAACATGTTAGATGAAGCGGCTTCATCGTTCACCATGTTTTGAACACAACGCACACCCCGGAAGCTCGCGTGCGATGCAAAGTTATTACCAAGAAGTATTCTCACATCGCTATCATCAATGCGTCGTCGCGTGCAGGCTCCCATAAAACTCACTCCTCATCGCAAATCTATCATTAGTAATCCCATTTGTAGTGGGCCTGCCCTATCGACTACATGTTAGAAGGACGCCTAGCAAAGAAACATATAAAGCATAGAAACTTCCCACGTTTTGATTTGTCTCGCTATCCTACAGAGAAACAAAATGCCTCAACCGTTCGAGCTCGTCTTACCACGTCCCAACACATCAACTCCCTCTACCCCTAAACCCCCAATCCGAGCACCAACAGAATCATCCTTCACCGCAGTCTTTGGCAAGCTTCTCCCTCCAGCCCAATACATCCACCTCCCACATGGAGCAGCCGCCTACTACTCCTTTCCACCAAGATCGCCATCAGCGCCATCGGAACAACCCTCCTCCATTCCCGCCCATCCTAGCCGCGTCCTCCTCCTTCACGGCGTGCAAACCCCAGCACTAGGCCTCCTCCCACTGACCCGCACTTTACAATCGGCATTCCCGTCAACGCACTTTGTGCTCCTCGAACTCTGGGGACATGGTCTGAGCGACACGCCGCAAGCACCCCACGTGCCGAGTCTCTTTCACGGCCTCGTCGACGCACTGCTCGCCCAGTTGGATTGGCACGCAGCGCACTTGATTGGGTACTCTTTCGGTGGCGCTCTGACGGCGAGTTACGCCGCGACGCGTCCTGAGAAGGTTCTGTCGTTTACGCTCGTTGCACCAGCTGGACTTATCCAGTCCGCTACCACTTTCAGTGCCGACGAAATGGTGCATCTGCGAGGTGGTGGTGACGAGGTGGCGGCGGGGAAATGGGTCGTTGGGTGGTTGGAGGGCGAGGGGGGGTTGGTGGTCCCGGAGGGTTGGGAAGATCGCGTTGCGAGCGGTGAGGTGGTTCCCGAGGCGCTGCGGGAGTGGCAGATGCGTGAGCATCAAGGGCATGCCGCTTCTGTCGTTGGTATTTTCCGCGACGGCGAGGTCATGGATGGGGATGAGGTATTTGGGAAGGCGGCGAGGACGCAGATCCCGTCCTTGGTGGTGTTGGGTGAGTTGGATAGTGTGTGTAGCGAGGAGCAACTGAGGAGTCTTGAGTTTGCAGATGTTTTTGTGGTGAAAGGGGCTGGTCACGGTGTGATAAGGGACAAGGAGGTAGAAGTGGAACAAGTCAAGGGGTACATAGAGCGGTTCTGGAAAGGCATTGTTTGAGCTGTCATGATTGGATGCGACTGTCCATCGTCTCTGGTGTCCAACTGCAATGTAGGTTTTTTCTTCACGGTGGACGTTTTTACCAAATCATCGTGTATAGAGGGATTGCATAGGTATAGGTATATAGAGCTTTGACAAGTGGGAAGAATTCTACAAGACCGACAAAACACCCCTAGGACATAACAGTATCTGCCAGTCGAAACAGGCAATTCAAGTATACAGGTCCTCAGTGAAGGCATTGAGACCTACACCCTCCTTCGCCATATCCTCATCTTTGAGGAACAGCAATGGCATCTCGACTAGTGTACCCTTGATCGTAGATAAAACCTCCTTGACTTCCCTTACGCCTTGCTCGCCTGGGCTGAAATTCTCTGCGACCACATGGCCCACTTTGTACTTGCTGGGCTTCTGGTTCTCCTTGTCGCCCTGTTCCTGGGCGAAGAAGCGAGAATAGTAATCCTTGTACTGCTGCCAGGTTCTCGCCGAGTCTGTTGGAACTGGGTGGAAGACCTTTTCGAAAGCGCCCGTATTAGTCTTAGCTCGCCAGTTCCAGAGCTCTTGGAACTGGTCAGAAACCGGGTCGATGACTTGTCGATCCTCCTCGGAATTCCAGTCATATAAATTGGGAGCGCCAATAGGCTCAAAGTTTTGGTCAGGTTGCTCAGGATTCTGCGGCCGGAGAAGACCCAGGTGCTTGCGGAAGATCTGTCGTCGAAGCGAAGACGCAAATTTCGAAGCGTTCCATTGTTGGCCATTCATATATGACTGAATTGTCTCCGTGTCGCGAATGATGATTGCAATCTCGGAATCATGGTCGCCAAGCTGGGAGCGATCATTGAGATTGGCTGAACCGCAGATGACAGTCTCATCGTCGGCAATCAGAAGCTTCAATGGTTAGCACTGACTTTCATCAGGAGCAGACCGGGACAACTTACCTTGCTGTGTACATAAAGCTCTTCGGAGACGAAGGCATCAATCTCGTCCATGTTACCCCCTTCCCAAGGCACATTGCGGATGTCTTCACCTCCCAACATATAGCACTCAGTGACAGAGTCCCATCGTCCGGAGCCTAGACCCGAACGGCCGCCAACGTTGGAAGCAGCTTGCTGATACTTCTGGTAGTCGTCCTTCTTGTACTGATCATGCTTCTCATAGCCACCTCCCATCTCAGCAGCTTGGTTCTGATCGTATTGATTCTGGCCTTGGTTGTAGTTTCCGCCAGACGAGGCATCCATCTCATAGACGCCATACTCTGCGGTAGGCGGGGGCCGGTACGCTTGATAATCGCCTCGACTTGACTCGAAATCGCCTCCCCGAGTGCCTTCGTGAGTAGCATCATAACCTTCGCGGGCTTTTTCATATGAAACACCAGAGGCTTCCTCAGCGGAACGCATTGCACCGCTGGCGTTGATGCGGTCATAGTTTCTGAGGTTATAAAAGCGAATATAGTCAAGCGGGTTGAAGCCTGCCTTCGCAATTTCCTCGTAAATGGAGTGGCCCCCGCGGTTGATGGATTCATATTGGAACTCCATGATAGCCCGGGTTCCCAAAGCATCATCGCTCTGCAAATCACCGGCGAAAGCAGGAACAGATGGCATCACTACCATCATCTTGTATTTCTCGCCATTGCGGGCAGCCCTGACGATTCGTTCCACAATTGCAGCACCGACTTGGTTCTTGACTGGTTTTTGTTCGTTTCCAGTTGCTGTGATGAAGAACTGGTTTTCAATGTACACAAAATGCTTGCTGTTTCTGATGATCTCGCAATAGGCATTCTGGATCGAATGCTCAGTCGTAATGTTATGACTCCACTGAGCCGAACTACGTGTGAGTTGGCAGTCGACCCGACCACGTTGAGCACCATGTTCAGCGTGCGACTGCTGAGGCTGATGTTGCTGGTGTTGTTGTTCACCTTCTCCATGGTGGGAATACTGATGATAGCCCTCACTGACGCGACTGAAGAGCTGATTCCTCAAGCCACCACCTCCACTTCGGCCGAATAAGCCCCGTTCTCCTTCTTGGCCGTCGTAATTCTCTCCACCTTGATCGTCGCTGGATTCGTTTTCGAGACCTCGCTGGCCTGGGGCTTGTTGGGCGCCACTGCGAGTCGCGGACAGGCGTGAATATCTAGTAGCCTTCTTGCTGTATTTCTCATCATAGATAAAATTCCATCGTTGTGAGAAATGCGTCCTCAAATCCTGCACTGCAGGTCCGGTAAAACAAAGTGAGACATCAGACCAGCCCATGCGGGAGTTCTGAGTTCGATCAAGTTTGTTGTTTTCCCAATTTGGCACGTCCTGAAAATCTGTTGCGAATTAGTATAAGTACAGCACGCCATTCTTAGAGAATTCCAAAAGACAAGGATGTATTTGCCAGTGATGAAGACTCGTACTCACCAAGTATTCTAGCATTATTGAAATCTTGACCAGGAAAGACAATACGTTCCAAATCACCGGGATGAGCATCAGCAATGGGGTGCTGGTTGGTATCCCATCGACCATAACACAGATCCAGCCCACCCATGAAGGCAGTTTCGCCATCGATCAGGCACAGCTTTTCGTGATGTGCCCAGAACAGAACAGTGCCTTCATGAGCTCCATAAATGGCCTTCAGGCTGTCTCCTGGAAGCTGGGTAAGGCTGGCAGCACTGAAGGACATGTTTTGGAGAGATTGAATGAAAGAACCTCCCAAGGCTGCAGTATCGGGAAGATGATCAGGGTGCCTGAAGACGGCAATGTTGGGATGCAGGTTTTCCAGAGCATGTTTTGTATGGGCAGACGAGACTGTGATAGGAGGTGCAATTAGTGGGTCCGTTTTTTCTACTTCTTCGAGTGATTTGAAGATGACGTCCAAGCCCAGCCGAGTAAGGACTCTGGTGAAAGGGTCCGTGGATCTCGGTAGAAGGGAGTGGAGGTATTCGGGCATATGAGGGAGCAACTTACGGGTTAATGCCTGGGTGACCTCCTTGTACACGATGATGTTGACTTTGACGCCACGTTTGGCTGCAGCCTCGAGCATGCGATCGACGCGATATTGCTGGTTCTTGGCCGGCGGACGGCGCAAGTAGAGTTCCGGACTCAACCACCAGTCGAGGATCCAAATGGACTCTCGGGCGCGTTCAATAGCCAGGCTCACAGCGTACATGTAACCGCAGCCATCGACATACCACTTTATATCGTTGCCCTGTCGCTCTGGAGCAAAGCTGGAGAAACGGTGTTCGGAATGATATTCCTGTGCGGGCTGAGGAGCCTGGTTGCCCTGTTGGGCATAATCCTGCTGCTGCTGTTGCTGCTGGGGTTGTTCGTCCTTGCCGGACAATTTATCTTTGATGTCGGAACCGATGTCGTGCACAACACGGTGGATCTTGTCGAAGGAGAAGAGGCCACCGCCGCTACCTCCTTGGCTCGAAGCTTGTTGTTGGGAGTCCTAATGGTAGCGGTAGAGTCAGATCTAGATGCGGCCAATGGCGACAGAAAGATGAAGTAGAGAGTATAGGAAGGAAGTGAGGTTTGCACAAGGGATGATGCGATTGCCACGAGGTATACATGTACTGGAGATGGACTTACGGCGTGGCCGCCTCCAAAGATGCGCTTTCCGACATCGCCAATGAGACCGCGGTCGCCCTCCTCTCCCTGCCTCTGCTGGCGATGGTCCTCGCCATAGGCCAAATCGTCGTCCTTGGAGTTGTACGCCATGTGCACAGAAGGTCAACTCCTGGGTATGGGCCAAGATAAGTGGAAGATTTGGCAAGCAAGACGAGGGACAGGTAAGTAGATCAATGTCTTGGTGGAGCTGGCTGGAGCTGAAGACCAGGCTATTTACTAGCGAAGGTCAAACACAGAGACAACCCCGCGGCGTCATAATGCCTCAGGCGGGACAGGGGTCAGCCCGCCAGCGGTGATGTTTGTTTACCCAGCCATGCACCCAGGTCGAATCACACACCAACGACACAGGTGCGGTGGCGCGATGCATTGAAGAAAGCAGGAAAAAGGTGTGGATTTCAAGAGGTCAGCCAGCAAGCCACGATGGAGTGCATTCAAGTGCCGAGTCTCTCTTATCTGACATCTGTGACGCGCGAGGGGTATGCCCCGCTTTCGGTGCACCACGCACCCACGCACACGCAACGTCCACCCGCCCCATTGATTGACGATGACGGGAACAGATCAATGCGCTCATCCATCGTAATGACAACCAGGTTGGAATCCAAACCAGACGACATGACGGCGATACGTACAAGCATCCCCGCACCTAGCATACATGCATATGTACATACATACACAAGTGCGTGGGGTACATAACCCGTGCAGACTCCCGCCCTCCATTCACTCCCATTCCATACACACACACATTCATACATATACTTGAGTGACTGCCATCATGTCTCCCCTCGCTCGCCTTGCTGTATCCACTCGTGTAGCTCCTCGCGCCCTTGTTGTACCTGCAGTTTCGTCGTTTGCCAGACCTTCCCTGCTATACCCAGCCTCTACCTCCAGGCACTTCCATCCCACCAACATCAACATGGCCAGCCACCCAATTGCCACTTTGGATGTACCATCTTCCATTCCCTTGACTCTAGCCAAAGACTGAACAGCATAGGCGTCCCTTGTACCACGCCTACCACCATCCTCGCCGACACTCTTCGAGGCAAAGAAGCAGAAGAACCTGAGCTTCGAAGCCATCGCCAAGGAAGTTGGCCGTGATGAAGTAGCTATTGCCGCCCTGTTCTATGGTCAAGCACAGGCGTCTCCCCAAGACATTCGCAAGCTATCGCAGATTCTCGACATTCCGGCAGATAAGCTTGAATCCCAACTCGCCGGCTTCCCGGACAGAGGGCGGACATTGGACATGCCCCCCAAGGAGCCACTGATTTATAGGCTGTATGAAATCGTGCAAAACTACGGATACGCGTACAAGGCCGTGCTCAACGAGAAGTTTGGCGACGGCATCATGAGCGCCATCAGCTTTTCCACAAAGATAGAGAAGGAAACCGACGAGAAAGGGGACTGGGCTGTCATTACTCTGAGAGGAAAGTGGTAAGATAACCTGCACTCCCGTGTCTTCAACATTTGAATGCAATAGTTCATGTCTTCTGACCACTTGTCTGGGAGTAGGCTGCCATATTCGCGATTTTGAGCATACATGTACAAACGGGGCGCCATGTCAGTAGAACCATAAGAGTCATACCAAGAGTCGCGCATATCTATTGATACCTATGTTTTCATTGTTCCGACCTCAATTATTCGGGGCACTACAATACAACGCTTTTCTTTGCCCTTCAACATCAATTTGCGTGGCGGCCTGTGTGTTGACTAGCTGATTCCCTCTACCTCTACCTTTACCTTTACCTAATCGGTGCCCACCGACCGCGACTGCCCTCTTTATATACAGGCAGGCAGCCCACTTGCTGTTCTCACTTTGAGTACTCGCTCCATTGTCCGCCCCACCTTTCTTTTCTCCTTCTTCACCTCTACTCTCCCCGATAGTGCTTACCACACTCCCTGTTCACCACGCCTTCTTTACACATCTCCACCGGACTCCCAATCCACCACACCTTTTCTCTGCCATCCCACGCTAGCTTTGCCAGCTACTTCCTCCCTTGACCGAGCAAAACTTTGTGAGTCCTCTCGCGGTATCCCGGCAAGCTGCCCTGACCACTCGATCACTCGACAACATGCCTGGGCTCGAGCCAATCAAGCCTTACGAGTGCACGTTCGAGGACTGCAAGGCCTCCTTCAACACGCTCAAGGAAATGATTCGTCACAAGAAGAACTCTGAAGTCCACGACTACTGCCCCAAGTGCGACCTAGACTTTAACTCTGTAGATGAGCTTGCGCAGCACAAGGCATGGCGTCCAGACAAGCACGGCCAAGCTTGTCGTATCTGTGGGGACGAGTTCAAGACTGCCTCTGGTCTCAGGCGACATATCGAGATGAACCACCGCAGCAATCAGAAAATCATCTGCATTGGCTGTAGTGAAGACTTCTTCAACGCAACACTGTATATTGATCACCTTGAGTTCGGCCACTGCAGCGTCATCCGGCCAGCTCAATTTACTGGTATGTCTGATGATCAGCTTATTTTCGCAAAATTACCATCACGTTCAGCATCATACTGACTTCATACTACTTTCCAGGTCACATCCTCCATAAACACATCATCTTCGAGCTGTTGAAAGGTGGTGAAGCCCTTGACAGATTCCTCCAAAAGGTTTCCAAGAATATCCCACTTTCGGATGACGAAGACGGCGGTGTCAGCGTCGATGAAGAGGTCATGTGCGCACTGAATGATAGCGACCAGGCCCGTCAGGTTTCGTTCCAAGCCATGAAGCCAGAGAACGCCGAGGATACAGCCGCAGCTTTCGAAAACATGTCGCTTTCCAGTGAGTCCACTTTGGCTGCCAATGCTGGTCACGATACTGCAAAACCTGCTGGCTCTGAGCGTTCCGTGAAAGCTTGGGGAGGCAAGTCCAGCAAGAAGCTATTCCCGCATGCCCAGCCAACACCTCCACCTAGCGATTTCTCAATTGGTTTCCCCGAGAGGCAGGTAGAGCGCACCCACGGCATCAACATCATGAAGACACGCTTCTGGGATCCTACTAGCAATGATTGGAACGCTGAACAGTTCTTCGACCCTCTTAGCAAGTCTTACTCTTGCCCCTTCAATTGCGAACAGACGTTCACGCGCGAGGACGTATTGGCAGAGCACATTACTGAAGAGCATCGACTTCATCGGATCAACTGCCCCCGCTGCCTCAAATACTACGCCTCTGTCACTGCTTTGATGCGTCACATAGAGACCCCAGGTTCCAAGTGCCCCATCAACAAAGCGGTAGACTTCAGCCTATATCTTGATAGAATCACGGGCGGTTTCCTAACCGTTGAGGAGGTTACGCGACCCGAGTTTCTTCACAACCCACCCGCTAAAGTCACGAACCCTGAGACGGGTAAGAAGGAAGACTACACGCCTCCGACCGCGAAGATGTTGAAGTATCATGCTACAACTCCTCCGGACTGGAAGGATCCGCGTCCAGTAGCAGCCCAGTTCGGAGGCGCTCCTGGCGATACGTTCTCCTACAAGGGCAAGACGAGTCGATGGTGATGATTGATACCTCGAATGGCTACCTTTCGGATCCGACGAGAACGGAAACTAATCTAGAAGAAATTTCCACCGCCCCTTGCCCAAATCACCCGTTCGAATGTGGGTTAATATTTCGGGGATGGGATATGATTGCTCGGCCTGGACACAATGGATGGGTTCTGATCATGAGAACAACTGCACTACATCTTGTTCCCCGTGTTTCACTTCAATGTACGCCCATCGGCTACACGGAATTCGGCACATCTTGTTCTATTTCCCATGACCTTTTCTTATACCCCCAAATCCCCAATAGTTTCTGATGCGTGTGTGATTACCTAGTCAATGAGGTCAGAACGAGGTACATGTTTTCCTCTGTTAGTTACCTACACATGTATGTACACACGGAGAAACAAGTCAAGGGAATCAATCAAGTTTTCTTCAGTGTTCCAGTTCAGTTCGTTATGATACCAATGTGCTTCATTGTGCTAGATTGTATTATGTGTTGAATACGTATACGCATGTACCTATCCGGTCTATGTTGAGTTGTGTCTCACCTTATGGTGAGAGCTATGCACCTCGGATTTCCACATGACTTGATCGTGAAACGGTAAAGTGTAGGCATCAGCAACACCAGTGACTGGAAAAGCAATAGAGGCAAAAGGTGCGTCCAAGGGAAAGAACAAGTTTGGAACAAGGGCACGAAATGTATAGCATAGAATTCAGTGGTATCAATACCTTTCGTTCCTCCAGACCAATTGACTGTGCTTTCAATCCTCCTCCCCCGTCACTCTTACATAGCCCAGAATGATGCTACACGCCCATTATGAATGATAGATAATAAACTCCTCAGGATGCAACAACCCTCCCAAGAAAAAAAAGACATTATTTGCACACATGTGTGACATATAACCTCCGAAGAGAGCAAACACCGATATCGCCGTTCGTGATAAGTCCAACGAGGAGCAAAAATGTTCACCAAAAAAAGAACAGGGGTGAAAAGGAATATCGACCGTTACACTCCATCGTCTCATCAAAAAGTCGGTAGCAGCACGGGTAGCGGGGCGGGCTCCAACCAGGACCGAATCTGAGGTGGCGCCTTGGACTCGTTTTTGGTGATAATGTTGATCTGACCCATGTCACACCAGCTAACGTTGTTCGTGGTGATGGGCTGTCGAAATATGTTAGTTTCTGTGGCTACCTCGAATTTACAATCTTCCTATAGAGCATGACTTACCAGACAGGTCAAGTGGTAGCACCACTCGCATTCGTTTCTCCAGTCGTAGAAGTTTCGTAGAAGCAGGATAAAACAGATGAGAGTCACCAGCAGCGCAATGGCGCGCACACCCCACCAGGCCCACCAAAAGGGCTTTCTACCCTTGAAGAACCCGACAGGCTCTTTCAACAGTTTTTGCACGTTGTTGCTGGCTTTCGCAGATCCAGGCGCATTGGCGACGGACGAATAAGGAGGATCTGAAGCGATACGAGCGCGAATGATGGGAGGTGAATGCAACAGGCAGATACCGAGCACAAGGCCCATCAAGAAACCGCCGATATGTGAGAAATTGTCGAGACCTGGAAGAAGCCCGAGAACGAAGGAGATGGCGAAATCCAAGAGTAGGAACATCAGGTCCTTGACGGGCGAGCGACGGGTTCTCCAGTTGTAGAGCAGGTCAAGAAGAACTAGAGCGAGAATGCCGAACAAGGACCCGGACGCGCCAACGGAAGTGATTCCTTCGGCAGCATAATTCCCGCCCAAAACGAATCCAAAGATGCCGGAGCTGAAGTAGACGACGGCGAAGCGCAAAGACCCAATTTCTTTTTCCATATCGCGACCCAGCGTCCACTGCAGCAGCATGTTGAAGCCAATGTGAATGAGCCCTGCATGCAGAAAGATGGGCGTGATGAAACGGTACCACTGGTTGGGTTCCATGTCTTTGTGCTCGGCGCGCTGATCGAAAGTGAAGTCATATTTCTGGGTAGGGACGCCTCCGAGACCGCAGAGAGAATTGAGATTGCATCTGGTGTCATTCAGAGTCGTGGTGTCGGGGCAAGGCCACTCGACGACTGAGTTGTTGACGACCTTTTCTATGTAATGCATGCATGGCACGTATCGGGCGCCCATGTTGATGAGTACGAAGGGGGAAGGACCGATCATGATGTTGAAGTTGGGCTTGGTTTGAATCGGGGAGCCCGTTAATATGCCATTCTTGATCAATTCTCCCACAAAGACGGCGACTTGTACGGTGGTCAGAAAGTAGACGACCCAGGTGACCCTCCCAGTGAACCAGCCTTTTTGTTTCTTCTTGGAGGGTGCATGCGAAGGGCGTCTGGCTTCGGGATCCGCGGCGTAGGGGCCATGAGGGGGCATGGCACCGTGGTGTTGTTTGAGGGGAATGGCGTTCTGGTCGGCGAATGGATCTGAAGTCTGGTGTGGGTTGGGCGAAGCACCATGGTATGAGGTGTCCGGGTGATGTGATGAACCAGTCTGGGTGTGGACGAGGTTCGCAGTGCTGGGGTAATCGTAACGATTCCTGTCGTCAAAGGGCGACGAGGCGGGAGAATGGTCGTAGGATGGGTTTGTATACGTGGGCTGGGCAGGGCGTTGGCCCGAGTTTTGGTAGTAGTCGTTGGCGGCCATTGCAAAAGCAGGCACGACGGGTGCTGAGAGGCTGACGGACAGGCAGGTAGGGGGCGTTACGAGCGCTTGCTGACGAGCGGCCGGGAGCAGACAATGGGGCGTATATGTATGAGTGAGAGAAGGTTTGCAGGTATGTGGGGACCGGAGTTTGCGTGATGAAAGGAGGGAGATGAGAGAGAGGCCGAGGAGAGAAGGGGTTCGGGGGCCGTGGTGAGTCGGTCGTCGGGGGGTATATGTGTGAGTAGGTAGGTATGCAGGTCGGTCTGTCCTGTTAGATGGATGACGTGCGACAGACACAGACACGGATACACATGAGCACACAAGGGCACGATGGAGCAGCAGCCAGCCAAGTCAAAGGCGGTGCAGGGGAGGACCAGGCTTTATGTAGTGGGGACTGGACAGAAGGATTACGCAGACAGGCAGGTGGGAAGAGGCTCATCAGAGAGGGTCGCGAAAGAAGAGGCCGGGGGGACGCGCTTTGAGTGACAGACAGCCAGAGGACGCAGGCTGACGGGAACCAAACGGGCGCTGGCTTGGCCTGCCCACTACCCTCGTGGGCTAGCAAGGGGGGCATTTCCCAGCCCGTACAAGCACAAAGTGGGTGCGATCTGCCCTTTTTTTTTTGTTGCTGTTGCTTAAAATATCTTCCTGGTCTCTCCAGTCCCTTTGGCCATCCACGACTTCATCTGATCCGCACACTCGGTCGACCGGTCGTGTCATGCTGCTGGTGTAGAGCAGCCCGCCGGTCTGACGTGCCCTCGCTGCATTGGTGTCAAACGGCAAGTGTGGACACGCTCAATGTAATGTGTCTCGAGTTGATGATTCGGCGCCGCCAATCGTCTTTGGGATGCAAAAAAGCTCCGCCGTGTGGCTCAGCTGTGGTTGTGGCACGCTCGTGGAGACGCTGACGCACTCGTTGGCTTACATATGCAATTCCTAGCCAACCAAGTGCCTGTTGATGTACACATTCTAGTGGGCCTGTCCTCCTCGACATGCAACGCCCCGATGCCTTTCCTTCCGTGTTCCTCTTCTCTTTCAACCTCGTCTACAACAAACCTCTGATCGCCTTCGCACATTTCTCCTCCGAGTCATCTGTTACATGACTTATGTACCATGCAGTTTCGCACCCACGTGACTACGGACTTCGCGTCCACTTGTCCACATGTCAGCCCGCCCTACTGAAATCTGGCTGGTAATACGCTCTTTGATCCCCCCGCCCAGCTGTTAAATCTCCGTCGCAAATGAGAGCCCTCGTCGTTCCCCCATTGGGCCCCGAGGCCTTGCCTGTCGGGTCGCTACCAAAAACATGGCTTGCATCAGTCCCCCATTCCTGCACCAATCCCATGTGCGCAGTGTACTTACATGTGTAGCTACGTGGCCCATAACAAGGTGAAGCATCACAACAAATAAACTCGGGAATACAGAAGCTTTCATATATATACAAATACCCTACAGCGGCGGCAATATCTCTCTGCAATTGGGACACTGTAGCCGATACCGCATCCAACCTTCCAGGCATGCCGTGTGGAATATATGTCTGCAGGGCGTAACCATATATACTCGCCGCTGCAACGTTAATCCTCCCAGCCCCTGTCCCTCCATTGCTCCCCCAACAGGTATCACCGGCACTTCGATATCCTGTGCGCAGATGCTGCAGTCGAATATCTTCTTGCCTTTGCTCTTGGACTCGCCGGCTTGTAGTGCCGATTCTTCCGTCGTCGACTCGTCTCCTTCAAGGGCAGACGCCGTGGAAGACGACCCGATGGGCATCGTATCGCCTTCCTCGTCTTCGCGAAGAATGGGATGGTAATCGTACGCTGGAGGCGCCCATCCTTCCCGCACAAAAAACCTCGACCCTAGAACCTCCTGGCTTGCTAATGCCACCATCTGCACCCAAACCCATCCTACCAGTACCGCGAGCGCCTTCCAATCCGTCTTGGAGAACAGCACATTGCCTTCAACACCATAGAAATACCCAACCGGCAGCAGCCGTACAATGCTTTGCCCCGCCACAAAGTCCCATCGCAAAGCTTTTCGGCAGTTGCGCATAATGTTGCGGTAGATTTGTGGAACCCAGAATGACACATATACAAAACAGAGACTGTTGAAATAGAATGCTCGTGCCGTGGACCTCACCGTTGTGAATTGCAGTGTAATGAAGAATGTGATGATTAGGAGGAGACAGTACCGGCTGTAAAGGGCACCAAGTTCGGCCCGAGCGGGAGTGGTCGCCGCAGGAGCATTCGCTGGGTTGGCAGGAGGTGTGGGCGGCTCCTCCATGATATCGTCTTGGTCTGATGAAATAATGACGGGTGTTGAAGGACGGTCGCGATTGGCCGTTGCGGGAAGCGGAAGCGTATCGCCTGTCAAAGGTGCTGTCGGTTGCGCTGGCGGTGTCGGTGTGGTAGCAGGCCGCGGGCTCGGTGGAGATGGTGTCGAGGCTTGTTGCCTGTCTTGACGCATTTGTTCCGTGACTTGCACAGCCCATATATCCATCAAGAATCGAAGCTCCAAGATCACGGAGAAGAGTGCTAGAAATGCTATGGCGTAGAGGGCCAGCTGGGATGTACCCAGGAATAGATGCATAAACACCAGGGCAAGGAAAGCAAATCCATCTCCGAGCGCCATCATAGCAATTGTGTAGAAACTGATTCGATTCCTTGTCGATGGTGTAGCGGCCTCTTTTGCCTGCCTGATCAGAAACGTCAATTGGACAGCCAGGGCGACCGCAAATGCTAATACACCATGCCTGGCCTGGTCGTTGAACTCTTCCGTCTTGAGACCTTGGAGATGAGCAGCTTTCGAGGGCGGATAATCGGGTGGGCCTTTCGACTCAATGACAAACCCGCAATCGGGGGAGAACCCGACCATGGACATGGTCAGAGGTGATCGTAGTGGCGTCCGCCCCCCGTCCGGAAATCGTAGTTCATGCTCGATCCAATCCATGTCGATATTTGACAACGGGGACCTTGGGTTCTGTTCACCTTGAAATCCTACACCGTATTGCTGTAGATAGAGAACCAGTTCGCAGTGTGTGGCGCCCAGCACGCCATCATTGGTTCCCTCAACACTCGATGACCAGGGATTCCAAATTGGGTACATGCGATTTACTTGGCGATCTATGGTCTCATGAATCGTACGGTTGAGGAGTGCTTGGGAAGATGAGTATAGGAGTGGCGACAGCTGGAAATGCGGGAGTGCGAAGATGCCAGCAAACCTGCAAATGTGAGCTTGCATCCAGCTGGGTCGTGGGCACAGCTAGCCTTGGACTTACTTGTCGCTCGTAGTGGTCAACACCGCGCTCCCCAGTTCAGGGTAGTGCACTCCATGAACCAAGAACTCCCACCAATTGTCTCCCCAGCTTTCATGGTCCCCGATGACAACTTTGGCCTGGATCTCGCTCACAGTTCGATTCTCGTCTGTCCGCGCTTTCCCTTCTAGCTCAGCAAGATGTAGTCTCACGGGGCCCCCTACACCTGTCAAATTCCTATCGAACTCGGCAAACGGAAACGGGTTGTCGGGTATGATGGTTGAAAGGTTGAGGTCGGCCGGGTGGCGCACTTGGGATGATGATAAGCGTGCCCATTCCCCCTCAACATAGCCGGTCATGTTTTTATACAATCTGACGATTTCCATATTGTTCTCCTGCTTTGTATCTGAGGACAATTCTGGTCTATCCCCAAGGACGCTTCTCGCCTTCTCCCGCATGTTCTCTTTGACGCCCCCCAGAAGCTCCCAAACAAACCCATCTTCTTGTCTCAAGCCAGTAACGTTCAACCACCCTTCCTCCTCTTTCCTAAAGTCACCAAAGTCGCCCCATCTTGTCTGATTCAGAATGTCGAGGTGGGTCCATTCACGCTCGATGACCTCGTCGTACCGCGATCGCGTGTTGTAACTTGGGGGTTGCGTTTCAGGCGAGTTGATGAGGAGAAGGAGGATTATGAAGAACAGGAACTGCCGCGGATCTCGCCGGGTTTCCATCAGGATATGGGTTGGAACAAGTCGAACTGTGAGCCATCGAGTGGCGCGTGAAGAGGGTGGTGCCTATGGGGTACAGATAAGCCTCGGGGGTCCGCTGCTCTGTCGTCACTTGGCGCTTCGCCTGCTATGTAAGTACCTAGTAGGTACCTACCTGCAATGCCAACGCGCTAACTACATTAAGCACTATGTGGTGCTACCATTCGTCTCTAGGACGTCATTCTCTCTAACACCACGACTGCTATTCGTCCTAAAAACATGAATTAAAAAATATTTCCTAGGACATCACGCTCTCTAATACTGCAACTACTATTCGTCCTAACAGCATGAAAATGGCTGCCTTCCGCAAGCCCAAAAGTATAAAGGACTCGCGTGGCTGCCCCCAGGTAAGTCATTCCATCCAGCAGATCCTTCTCTACTCTCTACTCTCTACTCTCTACTCTCTACTCTCTACTCTCTACTCTCTACTCTCTACTCTCTACTCTCTACTCTCTACTCTCTACTCTCTACTCTCTACTCTCTACTCTCTACTCTCTACTCTCTACTCTCTACTCTCTACTCTCTACTCTCTACTCTCTACTCTCTACTCTCTACTCTCTACTCTCTACTCTCTACTCTCTACTCTCTACTCTCTACTCTCTACTTATTAATCAGGTACAGCAGTATACCACAATCCACTCTACGCAACAAAATGACATCAAACAAGAGCAGAGATCGTTTTGGCACCCTAGACTTCAACCTGTCGATTCTTGGCAACGTCCGCAGATGTTTGGGCATCAAATCTGAAGACGAATTGACCCAGTCAATCGAGGAGACGAGGAAAACTAGTCAAGCTTATTCCCAGGAGTATTCGGCTCCAAAAAGGCTGAAGAGAGAAGCCAATTCATCGCCCACAGAATGGAAAGCGAAACTTCGTGACCATTTTGATGGTGTTCGCAATGCCACTTTAAAACTGCTCGACAACATGATAAATACGCACGAGGAGTATGTGAAGAGGATCCTGGCTAGCGATGAGGAAGGGAACATGGACAGAAATACCGATGCCAGAAAGCTGATGGCTGACTAACTACGGATCGTCGACAAATATGGACGCGATAGATGCACCTTGCTCGTTTGCGGCGACTATATTCAAGCTGACTTCGTCCAGAAATTTCGAGCCCGCGACAACCCAGAAAAGGCTTATATGGGTGGGCTGATGTCGCGCTACAGATTACTGCCGGTGTCACAATACAGTTTAATGGAAACCAGAATAATATCCAGCAAGATCGTTTCTGAGGAAACCTTATAAGCCTACAACGCGAAATTGGAAAGGAACGGGCAAACGTATCTTTGGTGCCCAATCGCTCGGCTGCATCTACAACCTAGGCATGTGTGCGCTGCACATATCTTTCCGTTCAATACCAGGGAGAGCAGTGCCGAATATATCTTCGACCCGTCAGATGCTTTGGTACAAGATAACCACTTGATGGACCCGCGAAACAAGCTACTGATTTCGAAGGAATTTGAAGAATTACTCGGCTCGGCTCAAATCGCAACTGTCCCAGCTGATAATGGGAGTATTGACCCTGAAACCGGGAAACAGGTGATCTTGGATGAGGCTTCCGGGGGAATGGTTCTCAAAGTGGTTGTCCTTGATATGTCCTTCACCGGCCTTCCTACCTTACCGAGGGGAAACGTCCTAAATAAAAATCTTGACGGAAGGATCCTCGAATTCCAGAACGACTTCCGTCCATGGATGAGATACCTCCGGTATCTCGCATTGAGCAATATCGCACGGCGTCTACGACTTGATGTCCCGACTGGAGGAATGTTCGGGCTCGCCTGGGCACAAAGATGTGGGGCTCACCTGGAGAATGGGTAAATAAGAGTACCATGAGGGCAATAATGACCCAGGTCGGGTTGACGGAAAATGAAGACGGGATTCTGCAACTTCTGAATCAAGGACCTGAGCACCGGGAGCCCGAATGTCACGACCCAGAGATTGACAACTATGTCTCTGATACATTTGTTTGCACGAAATGCGTGCGGGAGATGCCTCTGGGTGAAGATGGAGAGCAGGAGGATGAAGAAGAAGAAGAAGAAGAAGAAGAAGAAGAAGAAGAAGAAGAAGAAGAAGAAGAAGAAGAAGAAGAAGAAGAAGAAGAAGAGGTCGAGGGCACACGTAACATTGAGAGCCCCTTTACAGACCTGAAACGATGATTCGGAGATGCCTTCATCATCGTCCCCTAATTACTAGATCAAGTATCGCCTTTCCTATTACACCATTTGATATTTGTTGCTAAGTAATTGCATCTAAGCATTCTTGAAAAAACTGATAGCGTGCTAAATCATTGCCCTACGTAGTATCTCAGCATGCGACAACTTTGTACACTTACGAGTAGACGATCTTGTTGTGTATGATCTGAGAAGCTTTGGTGTGTTTGGAGGTGGTATTTACATCATTTCCTCCACATCGTCCATCACGATACCAAGTGTTGTCGTTGTCTGCATTGATCTTCGTTTCGTCATAACTCGTCAATGCCACTAAATCTCAGAATGTGCTACCTTTCGTGATCTTCACCTTCCAGCTCCTCTTCCTAATCCCTTCGGTTGGCTCATGCCCATCTACCCTGCCAACCCTCAACTCCCTCTCTGGAACCACGAGTCTCCCCTCGCTCTCCCTCAAAGCTATCCTTATCTCATCTTCACCCATATCCTCAACCTGACTTCCTAATTCCTCCCGGATCGCTGCACTGATGTCCATGATGCTTCGGAGAAGGCCTGGCCTTCTTCCCGCCTTGTACATTCTGGAACCACGCGTCGTGTCCCACCACATCCCCGCCATGATGCAGCTCCAGACAAAATTAAATATGGAGACCATGAACATGAATATATACGAGAAACCCCATTGGTATGTTTCGGTGGGTTTGCATGACCCACGTTTAAGCACATCCAGGGCGGAGTAGTAGTCGCCTTGACGGCCGGATTCGAGAATGTTGGAATCAGAAAGCGTATAATACATTTCGACGAGACCTTCAGAGACGGTCTTGGGAGGCAGACCCCTGTATGTCACGATTATGGAGAGGGTGGGTTCGGCGAGATCCTTGTTCCCGAATTTCGATGTGCGGTTTTGCACGAGATATTCGTGAAAGCCAGGCTCTATGGGGACATCGGTAATCTGAGGGGCCTTCCAATCATCATCGGCAACGAATTCCTTCAGATCTGGCATGTTTTAGCATAGAGCGGCATGATCAGTGATCCTTAAGAAAAGATCCTATCGTGGAAGAAGCTGGAACATACATGCCTCAACGTCACGTAGAAGATCCTTGTCATACTCGGTGACGACTAGGTCTTTCTGGTACTCTGCACTGATTCGAGAGCCATTACTGATAATATAATCTACCCGGCGAACTTTGTCGAAATCGATGAGGTTGTTCTCATGGTCTTCAACGTATGCCCTATATGTTGAAATATAACCAGTCATGGCAGCCATGAGTGTTGGAAATGCGAGCACATACAATGTGCTGATCAACATGCATAGCATAGCCAGCCATCGAAAAAATCGTCTCCATGTTCCTTTCCCAAAGGACAAAAACTCTTTCGCTAGAACGCCAAGCGTGGCCATGGTGGTTGTTTGAAAGGCAACGGCTGTGTACAACTTATAGCTTGTTAAGTGCAGTTCCAGGTGGTAGAGGAGCCATTCATTGAAGACGCGATAGTTTGCGTATGCCAACAACATTTGCCCGCCTCTCCCTACAACAAGGTCCCATGCGATATCAATAACCTTGACTTGCGAGAAAGTCATGGCCCCGAAATACAGGTTCGGTGTGAAGAAATAACTAGAATCCATTATCCGCCATGTCGCCCCCTCGGCCTCTTTCCATAGTCCATTGGGATAGCAAGATCTTCCTAGGATGTAATTCACTGAGGCCTCTTCGGCAACAGTCGCAAGAATGATGATGGGCGATAATGCGATGGGTAAACTCATGACCACAGCAAATAAGTGCCATGAGATGGACCGAAAAGTTTCGATTGTCGTCCTCGTACTGAATGTGGTGTTAGGGCGATTGTCGTAATCAGAAAGGATACGGGTAGCAGATCTGTCGCCTTTGGAATCGAGTGAATAACGAGGAGAATGTGGCCCAGGATGGGATCTCATATCTTGCATCTCGAAACTGTTATGCGCATCGCCATGTCGGTTGTCTTCCCGCATCTTAAAATCGGCAATGGGCTTCATATTTGACGATAGTAAAATGCGCAATCGCGCGTGTTCTTGACTCCTGCATGCGGAGCGGAGTGTGGGCCAGAAAGGTGTGAATGATGTGCACAAGTAATATTAGATGGAAAGCTGGAGCTGATGTGAGGTGTTTCCAATTCATAATAGGGAAGGATTTCGGATTGCCAAGTGAGGCGCAGTGGGTGACTGACCAATCATGTGTTACTGTCGGAGCAATAAGATTGAACTTGTCAGCATTGCTGCATCTATATCACGGTGCTCAGGTCCGGGGCCACTCATGCGGCGTACTTCCGACGATTTTCGTAACCAGTTCCATATTTGATTTCCACGGGGATGTTAGAGTCGTCGGTCGATTCTACGGTTGCGAATCTACTAGAACCGACTGCTGACTTCAGCTACCCCAAAACTTAATTAGTCGAATATCTTGAGACTCAGGCCGCTCTACCGCCGGAGATGAGATCCATCATCACTACTTACGCGCTCGCCCACTTGAGCTCAACATATAAGTGAATTTCGGTCAGAACGATAGATCGCTTGTGTACGACATGGTATGACGGTCCGCAATACACAGAGGAGAATAGTCTTTTCTACTCTCAGATGTCTTCTGAGCGCGTGCGTCTTCATAGGCGATTATGCCACAATCACAACTTTAGATGGGGTCAAAATTGCTAACAATGTTGCTGATGCTCGCATGAAGCTTTAGTAGCTGCTTCAAGCTGCTTTCTATTCTATTTCTACTAATCTACGACAGTCTGTATTTCTTGATAAGGATAGAGTATATCAATCCGAGAATCATGTTGTAAAAGCAGGTGTTTGAATTAAAAAAAATCATATTGCATGCTATCCTGATGGACGATGGGGATGAAATGATGTAAGCGCTACAACACACGACAAGAATTCCACACAATAAATCACCAGGAAAATGCCTCGACATCTAGCTCCCACACCACTTTACCTTCCCTCCCCTTTCTCGCGACAATGCTCCGTACCTCATCACACATGCCGCCAGGACCGCAAACAACAACACCGATCCTTCCCCATCCAGTTTGGGCCTCTTTGGCCAAGATCCCTTCCAGATCAAACCTCCCAACGCTGATCTCCTTCTCTCTAACATTGTTCAACACTTCACCCAAAGTATCAACCAGACCTTGCGTATTCTGCTTAACGCTCCAGTGCAACTTCACATTATGATGATGAGCTAGGAAAGGCAAAATACCCGTGATACCAATCCCACCCGCAAGAAGTACCAAACGATCTGTCTTGAGCACCGAAGCGGGTTTGTTATTCGGATACGGGCCATCGAGCAAGGTAGTAAGCGAAGCGTGAGCCTTGAGAGCGCGTGTCATACCCGCGGACCTACGCACGAAGAGACTGATGCCAGCCGCGCTCGTAACCACCGGTGCAGACGTCACCGTAGAAGTGCCACTCTTCTCAATGTCATCGGGGGCTGTGGACGAGTGCTGTGAGCCTTGCGATGAAGACACGACTCCAAGGCTGTGTCCTCGCGATTGTAGCAGCGCAGTCGGGATTACCGAGAATGGATGATTCTCCCAAGGTCGGAGGGGGTTAACGGTGGGGAAGTAGGCGTATGTGTGGCGACCCGGTTGTGCTTCCCATTTCAGACCTGGGATATCAATTCGCATAATGTCGTCAGCGACTTGGGTGACATGGGCCTTGCGCATGCCGTTCTTGAGGATGCGCAAAACACGTAGCACACGGTCGAAGAACCACACCGCGCATGTAGCGTACATGTAGTATTCGTAACCCCATTTGCGCTCGAATCGAATCTCGATGTGGTACCAAGAACCGGCGATGGTGAAGACAGCGAGGATAATGTGGATGATAAGGAAGATTTCATAGCTGAGACGGCGGAAGTAGAGCGTTGCGGTGACGACCATGATGCTGCAAGCTATGGTGCCGATGATACCCCAGATCCAGTAGGGCGAGGATTGGTTCTCTGTGAGAGTGCCTTGTTTCTGATAGAGGACAAGTTCGAGAAGTGAGTGTAGAATTATGTGAAGGGTGAAGAATCGTGCTACCCAGCGGTGTAGAAGCATGAACGTAGAGTGACTCCAGTTAGTTAACCAGAGGAGGATGTTATTACGACCCGCGAACAGAACCACAAGAGGTGCGAGTGCAAATGACAGTCCACCGGTACGGGCTGCGACATAGCACAGAATTTGGTATTCCTTGGTTTCAAAATATAGATTCGGCGTGTAAAGAGAGTAGCCCACAGCTGTGAGGATGACATTGACAACCGCAAATCCAGCGATCCATAACGCTTGACCGACTGTAGGGGAATTGCCCAGGTTGAATGGGAGAGGACGTGTGTGGTATGTACCGATCAGTGATGGATAGATCAGACGAGGTTTGAGTTTGTCCATGACTCCGGTCATGAAAGGGAGGCGGACCACAAGAGAGAGCAAGATGGGGGTGGCAAACGTCAAAGTTATGAGAGTGATGCTGATCCACGTTAGCTGGTATCTCAATATACACTGCACTCCAACTTACATCATACGTGAGTGATGTGTCTCTGCGTTTTCAAATGCCCACAATGTTCCCCGAAAGGATTCCCACAGGAAATCGTCATACAACATGGTGGAGTCCAGTATATCATGCTCACCAAGATCTCCAATCTTCTTTGTCGGTGCTGACTTGTTCTGCAACTGCTCCAGCGACTGTTGGTACGTCCACTTGGGTTGGACTCCAGTCTTATCGCCGGTACATTGATCGAACCAGTACTTCTCCAAAACCCAAGGGGCGACAGTGTCATCGCAAGTCTCGTTGATGCAATAGGCCAGTGAAGTGAGCCAGGGTTCGTCTTCTGCGTAACACTCTGGCGACGTTGGCATGGCTCCTCCATGTCCATGGTGTCCACCCGCCATGTCCATATCGGAGCATGATAACATGACGCTCGACATGGAGTTTCGGCATGCGAATGCACAATTTGGCTTGTACACTACGAAACGTCAGTACTTTGAGGGCAAGGGCGGTACCTGTGGACATACTCTCAATACCATACCCAATCATTGCACTCGCTGTGCCAGTGAAGGCGAGAAACGCAAGGCTTAAACCTCCCATGATGGTCATGGATCACGGCGTGCTGCAAGTGTAGACGTCTGAGGCCTGCTAAACGTGTACGAGAGGCTCACGTAGGCGCGCAAAATTCTGCTGCATGGGAGGTTTATGTACTTCAAGCCCAGAGATGCAATGCCGTACAAGAGGTAGGGGCGTCCCTCAATTCCGAATGAGTGAGTTTTCAGCACGGCTGCTGTCTCTGGGTAAACATGCTCATGGTTGTTGCCACATATACTCCGTCCCACCATTCAAAACGCCCTCACATGACTGATTCGAGATACCCTTGGATGCTCACTGGTGGCTCCCAATATAGAAGGGAATTGAGCGCCATGCCGCTCAATAACCCTTTTTCTAATTGGTTGCGAATTGGAGCATTTTCTGGGGAACGAGTTCAAGCTTCCTGGACCGAGTCTAGAATGGCGGAATGGGAATCCCACTTGCACGGGAACGTGGCGAGCCTGTCAAGTCATATTCATCGTAAAGTACACAACGAGCGCAAACTTGCGCAGCCGCATTTATCTTGGCTTGGCACCCGCCTTGGCGCTCATTGTGAAGGATGTCACGGAGGAATGTTGGGGGGGATCAGGAGGAGAACAGCTAATTGGGTCGAGCTAGTGGTGTACCTCATCCAGGCATTATTCCAGTGAGATTCGAGCAAATCGCGACGGGGACTAATGGGATATCAAATAATTGGTAGAGAATCACGTACATGTTTTTATGTGCATATGCACACTGAGCAACATCCAATCGGATTTGTCGACCACCATCAGACGGAATCAGAATCCTACTTTCTCGCAAAGCAACTGTCCCCAGCAGAGGGTTGATTCAAGCCTTAATTCTCGACTGCATCCTGGCCTAATCTTCAATACAGGTGATTGACCAGACATGCCGACAGTGACCAAGGCATTGTACGAGTATAAGGCTACTAGCCTACCCAGGTACTTTCCACTGATTCTGAATAGCTCACCAGGGCCAAGCGACAGTCGTCGCATGGAACATTGTCCATGAGGCGAAAGGTGTTACTGATGTGCCATTCACAGCGAAGATCGGCGGGATTTACAATGAGATATGATCACCCATGTGAGACCCTCATGGTGTGCTATAATGCATATTATTGAATGGCCTCTGGGTATTGACATGAGATAGACCTCAGACCGCCTTCCTATCTGTATCGAAGAGGGCAGATGTGGCGCCCCACCGACTCGTCTTCCCAATGCTACTTCGCTTTTAGCGATATAATAGTGTGATCAATGGAGACAACTTACTCTGCTTCGCGCAGTATTTCCGGCAACATTTCCTCCTTGTAGCTTTCAAAAATCCCCTTCTCCTTTGCCTAATATTATAAAAATTCAGGATCAGACGATGCGGTGCTCATTGGAGATTTCCATACGTACCTCCCACCCCAGTTCTCTGAGTCTTACCGCACGACATCGGCAATTGGACCCCATGATCACCCCTGTATATTCTCCGAATAATTCCTCGAAATCTACATCCGGACTATACTCCTTTGGAATACCGTCCTCGATGAGACCCCTCTGCTTCAACTCCACGCCAACAAGCTCAGCTACTCCTTTCCAGCTAAACTCTTGCCCGTTCTCGCAGAAAAAGTAGGGGTTGTCAACGAATTTCGAAGAAGGAGCACGCTCCATATGGTGCAGGAGCACAATATAAGCGCGCGCAAGGTCCAGGACATGAATCTGCGACTCCACCGCGAGTCCTTTGCCTACGTGACCGGCAAATCCATGTTTGAGTGCGAAGCGCGTGATGGTGGGGACACGAATGGACTGGCGCTTATGGGATTTGTTGACGCCGTATATTTCTGTTGGAATCATAATGGCGAGCTTCGCCTTCTCGCCCAGCTCTTTCGAGGCATTGATGATTGCCAAGTCAATTTTTCGATGGAAAGCAGAGTCGGGAAGGGCATTGATATCCTCTGGCGTCTTGTCGGTATAGATTTTGGAACTTTCGAGAGCACCGTTGGAATTGTCACCAACTACATTGGACCCAGAAGTATGAATGAAGATGGTGGACATGTTAGCTGCGGCACGTTGTCTGATCCCGCTGAGAACTGCTTCGACAGAGGGGAGGTGGTCTGCTGATGCCGTATGTATCACGATCTGGGATGAGTAAGTTTTGCCCCGAACCATGTGAATTACTCATGTTTGAGTGACCGCGCTGCATGTTGCTCCATCGAAGTAAAGTACGTGGAACTTACATCATTCTCCAATACGTTCTTGACTATTAGATCGTGATCGTTGAGGTCTCCATGGACAGAGAGCGCCGCTCCGGATTCTTCTATGCCTTTAGCATGCTCCTCCCTTCTCACCAACCCCGATACTATATACTGTTCGGCAACGAGAAGTTCGAGTATATTCCAACCAATGTAGCCTGGGCCGATGATGAAGACCTTCCTTGGTGCATCCATTGTTGTATGTAATAAGAGTGGGTTGTAAAGATTCCGTAAGAACAATTCAATTGTCTCCGATTCATGGGATTTGTCGTTTTGTACATACATGTATGTATGTAGGTGTCCATGACTTTGACTTATGTACCACCCTACAGGTTACGCCAGCATGGACTGGATTATGCATCAAGCACAAGAGTGCAAAAACAGAATTGGCCCTAACGACTGACCCACCATTTGTTATGTCGATGTTGATAAGGAACATCAGTCCGCGGTCCTAAATGGGTACAAGGGCCCATGAGTCCCAGGCAGTGCAAACAAATTAGGCCATTGCTCGGAGTACGGGAAGAGTCAGGGCGAGTTGTGTTGCGGATGGCCCCAGTGTACAGCTTCGAGGGATCAATAAGCCCTTGAGCAGCTTGCGATACTTGACATGGAACTTTGATGCCGAACGGATCCGAAGGTGCTCTGCCAACTAACCATTCCACCCCTTAGTAACACCGGGTCGCTTCCGTAGTTTGGAAGCTTGATGGATTCCAACGGCCAAGTACTTAAGTAGTGACTTTTGTTCGTGGGGGCACCGGCGTTGTGTCCGCGCCGTCAGCCAGGTACCCGGTGTCACGTGGGTCTACTGCGTGCCAGTACCACATCACATAGCATCCAGCCGGATGCAAGGGCAATCGGGGGTGAAGAGCGCATCTGCTTGGTGTGGACATGTACCCATGAGGAAATTGGTCTGTCGAGATGTCAAGAAAGCGATGGACGGCACCAATGTTCATTGTACAGTCCCTGAGTTTCGGGGCACTAGGCCCGCCTAAGTTAGGCCGAGAGCGCGTCTTCTGCGGGTCCAGTCCGGGTAACGTCCAAGAGAATTCAGGGAGCATCATCGGACAGACTGGCGAGTTGCCATGTAATGTTACTTACACCCCTCCGATAGACCCTCATCCACCGCAATCCGCAACCTCTCCCGTCCTCGTAGCGCGTCCTGTTTTCTGGCCTGGACGCCCTCTGCGTCGCCCGCCATGGCCCTCCTCAAGACGCTGCCAATGCGACTGTCGCGGCGTCCCATCCGTGTCCTACTCGCCGGCCTCCTTTTCGTCTTCTTCATCCTCACATTGACCCGCCAACGACGTTCAGCCGGCCATGGCTCGCCCTCAGAGACCTATTCGCGCAAGACCAAAAGTTTCTTCCCTCCCCTCAATTCGAAACCTGGTAGCGACCCCGATTACTGCCAAAATTTCCCCAAAGAGCTCTTAAAGGACATCCAGGTCGTCCTGAAGACCGGCATGGGCGATAAGCCCAAGAACGTCAGAGCACATCTGAGCACCATCACATCGTGCATATCTAATCTGGTCATCGTGTCCGACCACGCCGAGCAGATGGGCGACCGCCAGATTATCGACATCCTCGGCGAATTGCCCGCTTCCTATTCCGTCAACAACACCGACTTCAAAGCCTATGCCGACCACAAAAAGGCCCTTGCCGAAGGCGACAAGGTAAAGCATTCAGCTGCAGGATGGCGGCTGGACCGCTTCAAGTTTCTGCCCATGGTCGATAAGGCTTACACCATGAATCCCAAGGCTAAGTGGTACGTCTTTCTTGAGTCGGACGTCTACTTCTTCTGGGACACCCTGTTTCGGTTGCTCGATCAGCTCGACTCCACGGAAGCACACTACCTGGGATCACCGCGAAAGGGATCCAACGACCGCTACTACGCTTATGGTGGCGCCGGCATCGTGCTGTCCCAGGGTCTGATGAAGAAGCTCATACCTCCGAAAACCACACCGGGCGACGGTTTCGAGAACCGGTTAGCCGTCCGCTATGAAGATTGGGTAAAGCCCGACTGCTGTGGAGACGCTGTGCTTGGCTATGCTATCCAGAATGCGACTGGGGTGAAGCTCGAAGGGCTTTACCCGACGTTTTCGACTGATGAGCTGAAAGAGATCTCGGTAGATAAAGATAGGTGGTGTGTGCCACTTCTTTCTATACACAAGATGTCAGCCGATCAGATGGAGCCACTGTGGAAGTGGGAGCGGACACGGCCATATAACCTGGTATGATGCAACTCTAAGCTTACTCCATTTATCATCATACTAACGCATAGACCAGAAACCTTTTGTATACTCTTCACTTCTCGCATATACACACTCGTTCCTCAAAGAAAGTCCCTCGCGCGAATGGTGGGACAACCTCTCCGTTGCCCCGGTACCAAATGATCGACCTGCGCACAGGAATGCCGGCTCTTGCGGATCCGAATGCGGCGCCAACCCCAAATGCTTACAATGGTCATATTCACAGACTGTGTGCCGCTTTGCCAATTACATCAAGCTCGGTAACCCAGTCGAATCAGATAATGGAGGACAGGGCGAGTTCACGAGTGGTTGGGATACCAAGAAGATGTCCGACATGGGATTTCGGACTGACGACGAAGGAGACATTAACGACACTTGCATGGAAGCTACATGGCTAACGCCAAAGATTCGGTGATAGGGGATCCCCCGGCGGCCTGTTTTCGAAAGCAATGATATGGGTGGCGTTTCTTCGGGGTGTCTTGTTGTTACCACGCAACACTTTTGACGCATGGCGTTTTTGGCATAGTCACGCTTCGCTTCTCTTTTGCCTACCTTTGCTGTGTCCCTCTCTTTGGGCGAGCTTCGGGTTCGAGTTCTGTGGGATCGAATGTTGCATATTTTTCCGTTCTATAGTCTAGGGATTGTGTATTCTGGTTTGGACATAGAATGAGGATGGCATATTTAGCATGTTTTTATTTGCCACGCGACCCATGCGACAGCGTGGGCTTGGAGGACTCTCTGGAGACTATGTAATTAATACATGATGCATCTGCTTCTCTTGTTGAGGAAACCGAGCTTAGGGTCATAGTGAGACTGCCTACTGACCATCGATGGCGCGATACAATATACTTCTTGGACGATGGGTGTACATTTGGAGACGAACTCTTGGAAGCGGAATCGGGTCGATGAAGGGTTACCCAATAAATACGGCATTAGCGCACTTACCAAAGGCTTCAACATCTGTGAACGAGTGAACAAGTCGGGATTCTATAGAGCTCGCACTAGCCACATTGCCTGCTCGCAAGATACAGAAATGCTTGCCTAAGCTTGTATGTCAGCTGCATCTCATCTCTCTGACAAGCTCCTAGGTGTTAGCTTAGCATTCTGCGCGGCTTTCCTCCGTCGCTCCCTCCACAAGTGTCGTTGTATACACGAAACACGGGAAGGCGGTCCGATTCGCAACTTACACCCGCAATATCGGCGCTTTAGTTTACAATCCTAAGGGATCAACGCACCCCACACCCAGATTGAACCAAAAATCGACTATATTACCCTTGGCATCCTTGTAAGACACAATGACCTCGTCTGAAATCGTCACGGCGAAGAGATGATCGGTCCTACTATAGAAGCCTTCTGGCGTTGTTCTTACGCCACCCCATTGGACAACATGGGGATGCAAAGATGAAGTCCCATATCCGAGTAATTTGAGGATAAAAAGGGCTTGGGGATTCTGGTGGGGAATCAAGCATTGCGCGATCTATTACGATCACGTCTTAGTAGCAGGCCATCTTCTAATATGGAAATGAAGAAGGCCCGTATATATAAAGAGGCGGGAGAGCACACTCAAAAGGGCACGATTCTCACATTCCCCCACATTCCAGTATAGACCTCCACACATTCTACGTTTCCGATCATGCAATACCTTCTCACAGTGCTCGCGGGCGCCTCCACGGCGCTGGCAGCCCCAGCCCTCGTGCAACGCGCCAACGGAACTATCCAATGCCCCATTGTCTTTGACGGCCGTATTCCGACCTCATTCTCCGCTAACCCCTCCCTCTTCGACACCTACGCGACCAACACTATCTATAACCCAGACTATGTCAAGGGTACTGATCTTAAGTGGTCCACGATTCTGAAGTTCCCAGGCGGTGCGGTCTCGCGTTTTGATGGCGCCGACCACGTGCCCGTCGAGGTCACCATCAGCGACAAGAGCATTTTCCAGACGCAAAAGGGGTTCCGTAGGGCTGGGCTGCAATTTTTGAAAGACTCGGCGGATGGCGAAGGTCAGAAGGGGGTCAAGACGTTGCATTTTAGTGTGAAGCAAGATGCTGCTAGGCCGCTTAACTTGACGCATGAATACCTCGTACGTTACAAATCACGGGATCTATCTAACCCTTTCCACCTACTCACCAATTGAGGGGAGGAATGGGGAGACATCTGGGTCGTGATGAGTGCTAATCTCAGTATTCGGGATGACAGAACGTATGGCACGAGACGGCAGACTACTCCGCCAACCAGTGGAACTTCCAAACCGGCACCATCATCGGGCAGTCGTCGGCCAACAAGGAAGACTTCAAGATCATTGACCGCAATGGAAAGTCACTATATGCCGTGAAGCAGGATAAATCTAGCTGGCAGAACTTTGCTCTCAAGTTTGATTACACTAAGAAGTGAGTTTCTCTCTCTCCTGACTTTATTAGTTACCTCAAGAAAAGACTGACTTTGGATGAACTCACTATCAGCCAACTCACAACATACTACTCCGTTGGTGATGCTGCTCTCAAACTCGTGGCGGGCCCGACATCTACCAACCTCGCAGGTGGCGGCCAGTTCCAAATCGGCATCCTGAAGAAGCCCACGGGAACTTCCGACGTTGTGAACGGCGGATACCAGGAGAGCAACCTCAATGAAGGCCAGATCTATGGTGGGATTTTCCTTGAGGACAGCTCGGATGGGTGTGTCTCTTTGTAGATGAGTGAATCTTTCGAGTGATTTAGCAAATGAGACTTCGTGTATATACTGTATGATCTAGTTTGGACGTTTAGCAACAGGAGAACACATCATTGAGTACGTCAGTGTTCGAATCACAGGGGAGGTGAATTGGGTTGTACGCAGCACGACACGGTGAGGAGCGAAGCCATGAAGAAAACATTCAATATAAACATTTCTGTCGAACCAACTGGCCCGATTCGCTTGATCTAATGCAAATGTAAGTAAAGCAGCCTCATCGTGAGGGTATAGCTCTCGTGATGTGTCGTAGCGGTCATAGCCGTTGCACTGAGTGTATGCCGGTGCCCATGCCCAATGCCCGGTACGCCATGTGAGAGAATCTGGAAGTCCTCATGTAAACAAAGGAAACAAGGAAACTGAAAGATGCAACCCAGAGAACATTGTGAGAAAATCGCTCGTCGTTAAAACATCGTAAACATCGCAATCGTATGCAGGAAAAACCAAAAACATCAGAAATGTGGGCAATAAAACCGAGATGAGCCGTGTTATCATGGTGGCGCATTCATCATGGCTCTGAAGTGTGGACCGGAGAACGCCATCGCTGAAATCAAAATGTGTCGACATGAACATGTAGTCGTAAAAAGGGCATAGCAAGGGGTAGACCTTGTCATAAGTATGCTTGGGGGTTGGATCAAAGACCCACGAGTGGTTAATCCAGTGAGTTCTTGGATATTCTGACCTCTCATGAAGTGACTCTTCTTCATAGAAAATGAGGAGCGTGGATTCTTGGAGTTGCTCAATGAGCGATTGACTCAAGAAATCATGCCGGGCTGTCCTCGGAAGAACGGATCGAAACCATAGATGGAACGCCCAACGAAGAACGGATCGTGGTCATGGATAGGTCGGGGACGGTAGAATAGTTCAATTTCCACAGGTTAAAGATAGGAAGATCGGCAAAAGGGTCGAATGGTGTAGTAGGAGCCTTTCGGGCCGCTGCGAACTCTTTGCCTGCTCGACTCTTCAGAAACTTCTTGAAAGATTTCTGGGCAACTTTGTGGTCGTTGACCAATAATTTGTGCGCTTCAGTGTGTTGCTCTAGCTCCTGGGAGAGCATCAGCTTGAGATCGATCAATTCCTCGCCGCCCTTGAAGTGGCATTCATCAAATTCCGGCAATAGGGCGAGGATCTTGGAGATTTCATCGAAAGACACCCCGCTAGCATCGACTTTATCGTAGAGGATCGGGGCGACCATTTCATAATACCCCCGTGTCTGATACATCATGGGGAAGTAGCTGCCCCTAACCCACTAGAGAATTTTACAATCAGCGAAAGTCATCTAGAAAGCGGTATGTGTGAAGGAACTTACCTTGACGAACGCGAAATCGGTGATCTCACCAGCGTCATAGCGATCATATAGCCCCATGACTACCTTGCTGCGTTGGAGAATACGCTCTTCCTGGGGCGTCCAGTTGCGAGCATATTTGTGCAACTGAGTGGGTACGTAACCTGCTTTTTGGGCATCGTAGGCGTTGATGTACTTTTTCAAGTCACCGCAAGCGTCAAGAAATCGCAACCTACCATAAACTCCACCTGCGCGTTCGGTAACACGGTATGCGGCAGCTATGCTCAGGCGCTTCAGATCAGTGAGTCGATTTTGAGTGGCCATGAGTTGAAGCTTGTTGAACAAATTCAATGATGGCACTTCCTCGTCTGTATTTACCGGAACCATGAACCCATAATTACCGATGTCCATGTGTGTCAAAGCAAGTGATGCCAACTGCTCTGCTTCTGGGCGTGTCAAAAGGCCTTCATCGGCCAAGTTGTTTGCCAGGAGGCGAGCATGGATATCTGAGATAATGTGAGTATCATCGTCTGGGAACATCATCCGGATCATAAGAGAGATGTCCTCTTCGTGTACAAGTCGCATATTTTGGAGATGAGAGAGCTTTCGAGCATAAGATACTCGATGAACCCAGTCCTGGCCGACTCCCTCAACACTGCTGAGAGGGAAAGTGTGATTGTTCCAAGTAATCAGAGGATCCCATGGCTCATTCGATTCAGCCAAGCGCTTACTCCGGTCTTGCATTTCGAGGATGGAATCTATTGCCTGCTGGGCCTCGGGGCAATGCAAGTTCACAGTATGATGCCCGATCGACGCAAAGATCTTGTTGAGCTCAGCTTTCGAAGTGACGATTGGTGGTAAAGAATCACAGGCTGCTTCAGTCTCCGAATGTTCCGATTCAGCGTGATTGCTACGTGATTCGATGGTGTTTGAGGCCTCGGCGGATTTGTGGGAAATAGAAGGAGTACCGGAGTAATTGGAGATGGGAATGCTGGTTGTGTCATGATGCTTTTCGATTTAGTTAGCAACTTGCGTGATTCGCGTAATACTGTAATACAATGCACTCACTAAACTAGATGCCCCGGGGTTGGAAGCCTCAGGAGGAGCAGGGGTCAATCCACTAGATGTGGATATGATGGAGATGACATGATCCTATTGCTTCAAGTCAGTGGTCGAAGTTGTGCCAAAACTAGCATCAATTATCATGTACTCACCAGGCTGAGAATGCCAGAATTAGAGTGGGCAGATAAAGCATCAGTGATCATAGAGTTAGACTGGTGGTTTGAGGTGGCATTATGCTATATGTTCGGGTCAGTGATTTGACGAGGTTGTGCAGTATCATTGCATGAAGGACTCACACTAGACGATGGTTCAGAATGGTAGCCTGAATCCAACTGGAAACCAAGATAGTGCTCAGAGGTGACTTTGACCGTCTTAACCTCTCCAGATCGCTTGAAGGGATTGCGCAGGCGTAAGAACCGAGGACGCTCGTCCGAAGAGGATTGTGTGTTGCTCGAGGGCGCAGGTTGCGTCGCATTCGACGAGCGCTTCCTGAAAGGACGCACGACGGGTTCGAGAAATCGCATTGCGATCGGGTCTTGCTACGGAATACTCGATTCGGATCAAGTGGGAATGTAGTAGTGGATGGATCGAGGGTTGGCAATGAAGATTGTAGAAGAACAAGGTGCAAGTTGACAATGGTGGCTCAAGTGCAGCTTGGTTGAGTTTTTCCGAAGTGCAGGCTGGTTGAGTGTTGTTTATGATTATGGCGACGACCATGCAATGGGTGGCTTTAAGGCACGCAGCTGGTGGCACTAGTGTGCGCTAGTGCAGTGAGTGAGTGGGTGCGGGCGAACGCGCAGGTACATTACCAACCACGGCAAGGCGAGCGCAGTGAAAGGAACAGATGCGGATTGGACGGGAGGAGTCCGCGTCTCTGGTGAATAAACGGGAGCATCTGGTGAATATTTGTAGGTCGGTCGTTTGTTTGGCGAAAGATTTCGAGTCAACAACGCACAGAGGGCGCACAGGCGAAAGTGGAAACCGTACACCGACAATCGACTTAGTCGAGCTAGGACCAGAGGCACAAAGCTACCTTTGTGCAATCCGGTAATGCTAAAGGCGCCTGGATTTATGGCGATGCTTGTCTTTGTTGCTGGGCAATCAACCAGCATCTTCCCGTCGAGTCGCTTCCCAGCTCGCTTCTCGATTGGCCCTTCCCGAGTATCGATTGTTACTATGCAACTGGCAAAGCCTATGTCAAATTCTGCTACCGTCGCTCGAATCGTGCTTCGTCTCGTCCATCACTTGACTGTCGAGCACGGACATGGCTTTGTTCAGAAAAAAAATTCGCCGTCAGAAAACTCTTAAACTCAATCTGGGAAATTTCCATGGAAATACGCTGTTTATCTATCGAAATCCTCGAGAGGCGGAGGGGGGTCTCACCCAAGTCCTCTCCAAATAGTAACGCCATCTACCTGTATCTAACGCCAGTGTTTAAACCATCATATCTCATAAAGTCAAAAGGGTGCCGCCGATTTTTACAGATATAGCTTCCGTAAAACCATGACAAGCAGTGCTGCAACAACGCCGTATATGCATGTATCAATCCATGCCAACGATCGATCAGGGATTTGTCGGGGTAGCTGATGCACAATTGGTGCGGGGCTTGTTCTCGTAGGCACAGGACGGGTCACTGGCGCAGTTCCTGCTGAGGATGCGGCGACAGCCCCCAGCTCTGGCGTAGCTACAGGAGCTTGTGCCGTCGATGATGCATCTACGGCCTTGCCTTTTCCTTTGTCCGGCTTCACCTCATCTTTCTTTACTCCCAGATCGCTCCGGTATGCCAGCCTCAGCTCTTCCGGAACAGTCTCCTCTTGCTGTTCCCCTTCAGATTCCTTAACCAAGTCTTCTCGCTCCTTGAGTATCTCTGCATTTGTTTTGGCGCAGACGCTGCATTTCCATCCAGCTCCTTCCTTTGCCATTCGCTCCCTGACTTCCTTTCCGCACTCCAGACCTCCTAGCTGCCCACCCGCGTCTGTGACCATGAAGCTCCTCATCGCGACGAGCGCAGTTCGAATTCCCCAAGCGGGCTGCCATGACTCTTCATGGTGGTCACTTATCGATAAGCATATCTCACGATTGACCTCAAAACGGCCGGTCGGGGTCAGGAACCGGAACGACGGCGGACGAAGCGGGTATTGTGATGGGAGTATGATGCGTCCGTGGTAGATGCCTTCAGCGTAAGGCGATGGGGCCGGAGGGCCTCGTAGGGTGAAGTGCCACTCGAAGAGGTTGGAATCTAGAGGTTCGGCATAGTAGTCGGCGGACGGTTGGGAAGCAAGTTCTGTAGCTTCTTTGACTGTGTTGTCATTAGCAACGAAGCGAGGACACTAAAGAAGAGGTGAGGCTTACGAATGCGCTTTACGGTGGGGCTCTTGGTATTAAATTGCCCACGGGTAGCCATAAGGGCGGATTACTAGCGTGGGATGTGTTGTGTTATACAGCCGAGCAGACTTTTTCTATAATCGCTTGCTGTTTCGGTGACTATGGAAGGTTTGGTTCGATACCGTGTTGAAGGTTGACGTTGACGTTGCAGCTTCGTCTGTGGCACTATTTGTCCGCCGTACATGCGGCTAGTGACGCACGCTAGCACGTGCCCACATGTGGGGGTACATGTAGTTATCGATACCTACCCAGGTAAGTCATTCAGTACTCCGCTATGCACACGGATATGTACAACTACACAGGTCCTGCTTGATTAAAGACAATCACACACTTAGAGGACCAGAAGAATTGCTCTCTAGGGCAAAACAGATGAATATTAATATCGCAGGAACAAAACTGATGTACTGGGTATCTTCCGCTTCGTGATGCACGCCGGACTTCCATGATAAACTAACCCTATTGAGACAAAAACCCACCATGTATGCGCCGGATGTGACAATACACAATACTGTATGCATGCTCAAGAATAAAGGACATTGTTCAGTACGCCGACCGCAGATGAGTAACGTATGCCAGACAGCTTAATGCCAAGATGACCAAAACCATCCCGGAGACCTCCCGCTGGTGCAACCACGTGCTCCGAGCCACAGGTCTGTCTGATGAGACTACCTTGTCATCCAACTTTGCCCCGTGATCGGTGGGGTGCTGCGCTGCAGTTGTATGCCTGATCTGAGTCAAGTCGGTCTCCAGCTGCTGATCAAGCTCGTGGACAAGGTTGGCACTGAGTCGGAAAATGATTTTGGCCTCTTCCACAATGTCCATTCGTTCTTCCGCGGTAAACAGGGCTTCGGCAGATGTCAGGTGACTCTTGAATGCTTCTTTGATGTCGAGTCCGTCATGCTCGCCTGGGAAGGACCAAAATGAGAGGCCAGCATCTTGGAGTCGGCCTTTCTCATCAGGGTACTTTTCTGCCATCTCCCGTCCATGTGTCCAGAAATCATTTCCTGCTTTCAGCAGTTCGCCTCGAATCCAGCGTCCACCGGAAAAGACAGCCATATAAAAACACCAGGCGTACGCGACCAGAGTATGCGGCTTGCTGCCAGCTCGCCTCCGGATGTGCGCACAGAACTCAGCCACTTGTTCTCCTGGATACTGCGAAAGCATGACGTCGAAATCCGTGGGATGCAGCCCAGTCAAGTATTCCAAGTCTCTTTTTAACCTTGCAGATCGAGACAGCCCTTTTGGTCGCAACGTCTGCAGGAATTCTAGTATCTGAGGCGAGGGTGGTGATGTAAACAGCTCAGGCTCTGCATATGGGTTCACGAGGAGAAACGATAAAAGCGGGGATATAGGTGGGGAGCCTGTAGGGCCTGGGGAAGTGGGAGGGAGGAGGTCGGCCCATAACGACTCGAAAGTCAGGAAGATATGGGCGAAATGGAGGAGACCTGTTCTGTAAGGAGTAGGGTCGGGAGCGAGCGGTGGTAGAGCAAAGGCAAGGCGCGAGGTTATCAAGCGGTTAAGCTCTGTATGCAGGCTCCTACAATATCATCAACACTGCTATCTCAATAGTGAGCATGGCGAGGTTGGAGGGGCGTACCGAGTCGCTGTGTTGATTTCGTCTGGCAGGGAGACGTGCAAGGCTTTTTCGATGGCCATGGTGGGCAGTGTCGGGCAAGGTATTCTGTTGGCGACGAGTATCGTGTGTGGTCGAGGGGCGTTGTTGACGTTGTTGACATAGATTCGATTGTGCAGAAGGGGTGACTGGTCTCTTAAACGAATGTACCGCGGCCTGGAATCTGCGTCGCCACCAGGCGACAACCTTGGGACAGGCGCTTCACACACGCGCCAATAGGTCTCAGCCTAGCCCTTAGCTCAGACTAATCGTCCAAGCGGAGAGAGACGCACATGGCTGGCAGGGCGGATGGGGGAAGCGGCCTTCAGGAGCCATCCAGCAAAGTCCCATGTTGCATGTCCCGTGCTCAGATTCTATCCCGATGATGCAATACCTGCACGCTTTTCGACTAAGCCGGTTCCGATCCTGAAGCGAGGGAGGCCAGCACTGCTTGACCCGCGTGCAGCAGTGAGACAACTTTCGCGTGCGCGCACGCTGGACGAGTGTATTCCAAGACACGAGCATCTTATGCAAGGGCAATGTGATCTACGCATAGGGCTAAGAATGGTCCGGAGATCGCCATTGCGGCCCGTCTCACGTGACGTGTGCCCAAAACGGACCGACTCTACCTACTTAGGTAACCAAGTAATATTGCCATCAGCATCTGGCAGCGAAGAGCATCGAATGCTATGTGCTTATTTCTCATGTACAACATGTGCACGAGCTTGCGTCCTTCCGCGTCTGCGTCTTCCTTTCAACCGCCCTTCTCAACATGATGTGGCTTGCGTCATACACTACATTGTATGTACATGTGTAGTACCTATGTAGCAATCAATCTTGCCGCGGTGCTACCAAATCTGTATAGGTAGCCATTTACGTATTCCGAATTCAAGTGTCTTTTGTTGTTCACGTTTAATTCCCATCATTCATTGAATGTATAGACAGTTCGTGAATCACCAAACGGCAACCAAATTTAATCGCTGTGGGCACCTTCTTACATTTCCGGTGTCGAGAGCATTGAATTGTCGAACTGCCACGAATGAGGTCGTTTGACAGTTTCGTTTGCAGAAAACCGCACGGATAACCTTTGCCAACTCGTTACATTACTTATAAACATCACTGATTCCTGCCCCGCCTTCATCCACCAGGCAGCACACCATCGCTCTACCATGGCCCACGACCCATATTGGTATCGATCGCACACTCCCGGATCAAACAGTACTCCGTTGGAAGAGCATGGACACCAACGCACGGAAAACCCGTCGCACCATCATCGTCAGTCACAAATCTACACCTCGCTACTATCTTCTCGAGTCCACGATCCTCTTGAACAACAATTCCATCGCCTATCTATTGACCAATCAATACACATTCCCTATGACCCAAGTAAACGGGATAGATCGAGAGGTTACGAAGACCGTGAATTCCACAGCGCGCGTTCACCTTACGGCTCCGGCCAAAGCATGGAGAGGATATTGTCTCGGTCGTCTGGCATCGGCGATACTCATGACCAGCAGTATCCGTTGACGTCACAAGGGCGGCGAGAACCATTTCTAACACGCCCCTTACAAAGAGAAACGATTTCTGGTCGAGTTCCTATGCACTTTCGGGAGACTTCGCATGATTCGATATATAATGAGCATGAGCATGAGCGACGGGGGCTACCGCAATCACAACATTCTACCAACGAGAATCTTAGCTCACGTCCATCTTCAACGACACCTCTCCAACGAAGGGACGTGCCGCCATCTCGCGATGGACCTGTACCTCGAGGGCAACGTCCCGAGTTCATCATTATTGGTCTCTTTGTGTTACGCATAACGAGACGACTCGTGGATAAGCTGGACTCTTATACGGAGAAGAATGCAGACATGATCTGGATCGACAGCTTGCTCTCCCAATACTCTGCAAGCGACGATCTAGCAGAGCTTCGGGGCTCTAGTATAGACAACTTCGCGAAGACGTGGCCGGTAATCATCAATCACTTCATCAAGCAGCCAAAGTTTCCTTTGGTCTTCACTCAAATGAACCCCGTTCCCCGTCTACAAGGAACCCAACGACTAAGTGACAGTAAGCAGACTTCAAGCCTCTAGAGCGACGATGGTGCTGATGATGATAAATAGGAGACATCAGAGATATGGTAGATTTTGCAGATGCAGCTGCCGAATGGGGCTCGGTCGTACAGCTTCCAAAGGATGAAGCACAGCGGATTGAGTCTTTAGCAGCACAACGAAGACTATCAAGTTGGTGAACTTGAACGATTGTACTTGATCGCTCTTTTGAATTGAGGATGGTGGGGCCTTCTTTGGGGCTTCTGAGCCCACATCTCGGATATTCAGTTGTATTCGTGGGCAACATATGGGCGTGGTTGGAATACATTTTCATTCGTAGTATAACCTCTTTCTACTTCAATTATTGTGTGGTCCATGTTGCTCGGTGGGATACGGTTGATCATTAAGTGACGTGATTCATGAGTATCTGTAGTCTTGCCTCTTCAGGTTATGGCCTGCTTCGTCTCGAATGTCGGTGCTGCGCATGTGCTTGATTGCAGGTCTTCCTTGACATCATCTGCTCGCATTATCAACGCATTCCCACTCCAGACTCCATTCTTAGGCTCAAACGATTTCCAGGTCATTTTTTGTACTCAGCTGATAGTGTTCTGTGTATAGAATCCAAGTGGCTTCGTAATAGTAGTTTTGCAACATGCTATGAGAGCCAGGCCACATGTATACAACATACACTAGGAACGTATGTAGCTACCTTCATGATGTTCTATTTGTCTGGGCCTATGTGGCAGAATTGTTTATTAGTGCTCCAAATATTTGTGCTGTGTCTAATCGCCATGGAAACACATCGACTCCCGGACGACCACATTAACCACACAACATAGGCCATATAACCTCTGCGAGTCGTATGCCTCAACTCATACCTCGAATCATGGGTGCGAATATCGAGTACATATGTATGGAGGTAGCGTTCTCGATCTCGCGTTTGCACCTGGTCAGTGCGCAGTTCACTCTCATCTTCCTTGCCACGGGATTTGCGTTCATCTTCCTCATGGCAAGATTCACTTTCACTTTCCTCATGGCAAGATTCATCTTCACTTTCCTCACAGTTGTTTGCTCGCTTCCTCACCCACGTGCTCGAGCTCTCAGCCAGTGTTTAAAAGGTTCCTCTGCTCTCTTTCCTTTCTCTCTCCTTACACTCAGCTCCTCTCAAAACTGAGTGTATCAAAAAAACAAAGCTGACAAGTGAATAGCATCAATTCCCATCGAGACGACCCACCATTCAAAGCAACCTCAGATCAAACCATCGACGTCCCGGCACCAACAATATCCCTCCTGAACAGATCAGTTCTCTCTCTCTTTCTCACCCCGAACAACCTGACCACAAAGTCCGCTCAACCCTTCCAGCCATTCCTCCCTCTTATCCGACCAAACAATTGTACCGCACGACTTGGCTGTTCTCGTCCCCGATATAAAAATACATCCTCATCTTCACCTTCCTCTTCACCACCTTCCCCAATTCATCACCAGGACCTGACCAAACATGATGGCACTCCTGAAGAAACTCATCCGCAAGGTCTTCAGGGGCAAGGATCGCAAGCGTCGTGCCGGGCGTGTCTCCTCCCCATCTCCACCTCCCCGGCCCGCAATCTCGAAGCCCTCGCCAGGCTCGAAGTCCAATCGCCAAGCTAGAGTCTTCCACCCCGCGGACGAGGAGGGCGTTCAGGCTCGGGAAGCCAACCGGGTCGGGTTCGTACTGGACTCGATCTACTACAAGGGGGGTTGCGGCCCCGAGGGTTTGTATGGTTGCGGCGGTGTGTTCGTGCCGCCCACCATGGACGAAGAAGACAAGATCGCATTGGGTGCTGCCGCCACTACTTCCCAGAGCACCCTGGGCAACGACACCGACTCCGACTCCGACTCTGAGAAAGAGACTAATGTCTCTCCCACCGCCACCCTTCACGACTCCACCATCCTCTCCCCGAGGCCCTTCTCCTACCACGACAAGATCACCTCCGAGCGGCTCAACACCATGGAACCCTCCGCTCATCGTCACCCTCTCTCTGCCGCCACCTATCGCACTGATAGCATCCCTCCCCGAACATCCACTCCTCTCATCCACCCCGCCTTCAGGCCTCGCGCTGTCGACTCCTCGGAGCCATCCATCAGCACCAGCGACACCAACACCTCGCCATCCGTGGATTCCGCTCGCGCCTCCCAGTACGGCCACGAGCTGGGATACCCTTTCATGAGCGATGCCGAGTTCAATGCTCTGCCGCAATTCTCGGACATCGAGTTCGATTCCGACTACGACTAGATGTCTTGAGCGACGCCTTGGTTCTGGGTTGATCGACAAAAGCATCTTCTCTCAACAACATACGGCCATCCGCGAGCAACAATGCGCTCATAATAAACCACCCTGACTACTCGTCTGATTGCTCTTTTTTTTTGTTTCTTCTGGACACGTTGCTAGTCACGACTAGGTTTTGTGTCTTTTCCTTTTGTGTTTTGCTTGTGCCTGCTATACTGTTCATCTGTTAGGAGTTGTTTAATATCGGGCAGTCGCAGCTCCTACACATGTTTTCTTTTTTCAAGCCCTGCGGTTGTTCCATCTTAATTTCCTTCTCTGGTGTTTGTGGTGCAATATACCCCCCCGCCCCCCTGGAAGAGGAAAAGAAAGAGAAGTATCAGGGAACAGTTTCATGTCGAGATAGGGCTACTTCAACCAATAAATCAAAATCAGGATTCTCTCCGCCATGGTCTGTCGTATTTCTCGTTTGCTCAATGTGATTTGTGTGGTCTGTGGTATATCTCGATGACCTGCTTCCACACCTCGTCTAAATACTTCTTGTGTCATGGGAAGTGGGAATCACCGTTGTATTCATGCATTTGCATAATGTAAACTTCATCGTCGATGATAAGTACAGCAACTGAGAACAGTAGGAAACTAATATGAATTGGTTGTTGGTTGAATCAACTTGTATTACTTGTATATACCCTGGCTCCACAGTGCCTCGTAATAGATACTTGAGAAGCAAGAAAGAAACCGACGCCATCAGCATATTGTCCTTCTAAACCGCTTCTTTCCGTATCTCTCTATTTCCTGATGTAGAAAAGAAAACTAATGAGTAGGTCATGATCCGTTCGTCCAGCAGTTGTGTCCGGTTGTCGAACAGAAGAAGAGGGTAAACCCGATGATGTTGATCATGAAAAAGAAATCGGAAGACGATAGTAGCTCCTCCCATAAAAAAGCGGGATATGAATCGACCTCATTGTCCTTAAGCTTGTATGGGGTAGGTATGCGATTGACCGATCGACCGACCACACCATTCGCACCATCCCCACCGCAAGCAGGCAAGCAAGCACGATATCAAGATATTTGGTTCGCAGCGAACTCAGTCAGATAGACAGGTCTGTGTTGAATCTGACGCAGGTAGGCCATGGGTGCATAGTATAAGATATGTCGGACCTTACATGACGACGCAATTGAGTCCACCGACCGGCCCACCGGGAACATCGTACTGTACTGCCCGCACCCTCACATGATGCTTCATGCCATGTGTCCTTGGTACTTTTGGAAGCTTGTAGAATCTCTCTGTTGGTCTGGCGGTGAGATGTGATGTGCTGGCGCTGTTTCTCTCGCTGGTGATGGATGTAGTGTGGAAGGACGTCTTGCCGAAGATGAAGAATTTCGAATGGCTTCGACGGATGTGCTGGTTCTTGGTAGATCGAGGCTTGGTTCGTATGATCTTGATAACTCGAAGTGCTTGACAGATCGAGAGGAGGCCTGACGGTGAGTGGACGGTTCCACGATTCTGTACAGCCTTATCGAATTCAAGAATACGCATGGCTACATAGCATGCGACTCCCGCTGTCGCGAGCGTAGCAACGAGCGAGAAGATGGCGGTAGCAATTGTCTCGGTGGGGGTAATCTCGTTGATATGGCAAAGTAGACTAATAAGGGGTATGATTGAAGTCAAGGAGAGCATCGTTGGATCGATTGCCTGTTCAGCTAGCCTGGAGAGTTACGTCAGTACGATCGATGATGGTGCTTTGGTTTGTACGCTGGTCGTTCGCTGGGGGAACATGGAGATTTACCCGGTGTCATGTAACCCGACGGGATGGTTGGATAGAATAGAATTTGGTGTTTGGCAAAGGAGATGACTCTGTCCGATAATATATGCAGTAGGGTCCTCGAATCGCGCAGTGACTCTATCGGTGATTGAGAAGAGATGCTTACTCGACAATGATGTTGGAGAGTAGGACTTGAAAAAGGATGGACAGTCAAAAGAGCAGTCGACAATGATTAAAAAGTTGAGAACAGAATTATAAGTGCGATGTGAGTGCGCCAGTTGGATACCCCTCTACCATTGTTCGTCTTCCTATTATTGTCTTGCAAGACTATACTTTGACACTTCCGACTCCCCTACTGCCGGGAACAATATGATGGTGGAGTGAAACCGACTATCCTATTGTCTTGTGAAGTAGCCAATAATCTTATGGATACAATATCACACAGCTGCGCAGCAGCTGAAAGACGGTCGTGGCATGAGCTGATTGATATTGCTGGGTCTCCGGCAGTACGGTATGTGTAGCACGAGCCTAGGCTGGCAAACTGGTAGTAGATGGTCGCTTCAAGAGTCGATGCTGTGACCATGAAAGTCGCGTGAAGCGAAAGGCAAAGAACAATAGTAAGGTTTGGGTAGTGAGGTCAGTGGAGATGCGACGTGAATTATGAGCGACCGAAATCTGAGCAGACCACCCTCCTCGATTGTTATCGTGCGTGGTAGCTGAGTGCGTAAACAATATTTCGTCGACTTCTTAGGCTCATTGCCTCGAGAGTTGCAAGTTGCAGACTCAAAACCTGCTCGTCGCTCAACAAACCAAGGTAGTGCTATGTACTTATTACGCCCTTTCTCGCACTAGTCGTGTTAATTCAAGAAGAGCATATTTGGTTGTTCGTGTGAATATAGGGTGTCTCGTTCATGTCTTTTCCAGCTCATCCCACGTTCACCCGAGCATGCTTCTTTTTCTTCCCCTCAATCTGACATCGTCGAGCCTTTTCAGTACCCCCCTTGCCCCCTTCCAGCTCCCTTGATATGATTTCAGCACTTCTGCGAACAGGTATTCCGCCGCCGGGTGAGTTGCTGCAAACGCACGCTCGAGAACATAAAGATCAACAGCGCCTTCTTCGTCGACTGCATGCGCCATCATGTGCGATGCAAGACCGAAGTCTATGAGAGTGACCTCACCCGCAAGGGAAGGGACTGCAGAGCCCGTAGAATCCGAAGACTGTACAGGAGTCTGACCGTTTGTGGTAGAAGGCGGATCCGGCGATGGCGATTTGAGCATGATGTTGCTTGTCGTGAGGTCCCCATGCGCTATGCCAATGGAGTGTAGATGGCCCACGCAGATCCCTATCCTTCGCATGAGATCCAACATTCCCTCATCCCCGATTTCCACTGGATCCTGACCTTGGATCTCATCTTCCTGTGCCTTGATTCTATTCTTGACTCGATCAGCCCATGCGTCCAGGACGGCCCGGACACTTCCTCCCCCGATCCACCCAAGTACCAGCCATCCCGCCTCCCAATCGGCACCCAGAACCGTCGGCACGCTGACACCTTCCCTACCAGCCCTGACCAACACTCTCGCCTCAGCAAGCAACCTTGCTTTCGTCAGCCTTTTGTCGAGCGTCGGGTGCCGATATGGTTTTGGTGGCCGATATTTGACAACACATTGTGTGGTCGGTGACAGGAACGTTGTCTTGTAGACAAGTGCTTCGGCTCCTTGGGCTAGGAGTTGAAGATTCGACGATGTGAAAGGCGGTGGCAGTGTATGCAGAGGGCGAGAAGGGTCTGAGGGCGGTGGAGTGGGAGGACGGACGGGAGGAACAGGTTCGATAGTTGCAGCCGCAACGGGCGCCATGGTGACTATGATGATTCCTGTAGATTGCAGTGAAAACACAAGACAGAGGAGCTGTGGAGAAACGTGCACTGGGCTTTTTGACTGTGTCGTTGCGCGCACAATGGGTGCAGCTTGAGAATTTTTGGGCGATGAATCAGTGTTAGGATGATAGCTCACATGCCCCGCATTTGAGTCGTTGTACCACACACGTACCCCACCCCACCCTCGATTTGCAGCTACCTTGGGTGAAGGAGTCGAAAATAAAACATCATGTAAACGTAACATCATGTAAACGTAACATCTAGACAAAACCCAGCACTTACAATACTTTTCAAAACAAGCAATCACAGTAGTGGAATCATCACGGAAAGCGCAAAGCGATTTTGAAAAACGAGTGTGATGTCATTTAGGTTTTCTTATCCTACATGCTCATTCGTCCTCTTCAATTGTAAAAGGGTTTGTTTTTCTCCGTGTGCGAACCATCCACCAGCAAAGCAGGATAGAATGATCCCAAATATTTCGCACTTTTGATGAAATTGCAAATGAACGCAAAGAGCTGCAGCCACAGGCCAGGAGCTCGTGATGGAAGAAATCAAAGTTTCCGTCTCCCATTCACCATTGTATCCCCCAAAAGCCGACCCAGAAAGTGTGTATATGTCCAATCTTGTTGTGACGACGAACTGGGGCAAGGAGAAGCGATCCGCATGCTCATCAAAAAAACAGTTCGCGTGAAATAGGAAACAAGAATTTGACCAATAGGAACCTCATAAAATCTCCCGCATGGAAATCATGCTGTGAGCTCCCGAGGTGACGAAGGGTAAACCGAGCCAAAAGAAGTAGGAGGAACCATCCAAATGCTGCCCCTCCTTGGAAATCAGATACAGAACAAAACGGTAAAAGGAAAATGGATCAAACAAAAAGATTCGTGAGGGCCGTCAGAGAATAGAAGTGGAAAGGAAGCAAGGAAGGTGTAGGGTCCGACGGGACGCCAAATAAAAACAATATGCACAGGGAAGAGTCCATGCGCCAACATTTAGAACTTGGTGCTCTTGCGCTTCTCGACGCCAGTGAAGACGAGCCTGGGAGGGCTGCGGGAGAGCCTGGGTTCGTTGGCACGAATCTCTACGAGGCCACCGCCAATGCCCTCATCACTGCTTACACTTTTGGCAGTGTAAGAGCGATCGATGGGTCGCTGGGGAGAGCGCTCCTTGGAAGCTTTGCGTTCGGAACCAATAGCACCGTTGGCGGCGGCACGAAGGCTACCAATGCTTGGCTTACCAGAAAGGCTGCCGCTTCCAGAACTTCGCACGCTATCCGAGTCATTGTCGGAGGCTGGGAAAGACATTTCAGTCTCGCTGACCGGGCTTGCGCTGCCGGAGCTACCGGAGCGGTGGCCGCGGCGGCCAATGCCGGCACGGATGAGGCTGCCAACGGCCTGTCGGCGTTGGCGAGCAGCAAAGTTCTTGCTGCCCTCGTGCTTGGTAGTTGGGCTGACTTTGAGCTCCTCTAGCGGAGGTGGACCGCGAGGCTGACGGACGGGGTGCTCGCCGGCACGCGCCTGTCCAGGACCGAAAGTGCCTGTCATGGGGGTAGCAGGGAAACCGGGAGGACGAGCAAGCGCCGACTTGGGTGCCTCCGGAGCGTCACCCTTCTCTACCGCAAGAGTAGACAAATTCTTCTTGTGGCCGCGACGGAAAGCGTTGGCCGAAGGCGGGGGCAGAGGATCAAAGTTCTGGGGCGGGCTGGGCGACTTCTTGGGCGGGGAAGAGCTGCGGGAGGCCCACGGGCTGGGGTTGACCTCTGCGGGAGGCGAGACCTGGACAATGGGAGTGTTGCTCTTGGGCGGAGAAGGAGCGAAGCCGGGAGTTGGCGGTGCTGGAGAGTCGGACATGCCAGCGTGAATCTCGTTGCCCATCAACTCCTGCTGAAGAGCCGGGTCCACGACATATTGGTACTGGCCAGTCATCTGATTGAATGCAAGGTAGACGCCGGGCTGTCCAGTCTCCTGGAGCGACGAGGCATTCTGCATCTGCTGAGCATACGCGTTCATCTGGGGCGTGAAAGGCATGGATGGGTACTGCGAGTGCTGCATACCGGAGCCGTTCAAGCCCATGTTGCCGAATTGGTGTGCAGTGAGAGTGAGAAGCTGCTGCTGAAGCTGCTGCTGGCGCTGGGCCAGGTAGAGCTCGGTAGCCATGAGCTGAGCAGCAATGTTGGGATCAATCTCACCGTCATCGAACTGGAAAGAAGGCGGGGCCAGAACCTGGTCGTACATGGGCTGCTGCGAGGGCTGGTTGTACTGGTTGGCGGCGGAAAACCCGGATCCGACAGCGGTCTGCGGGACACCTTTGTTGGCACCGTTGTAGGATGACCTAGGGATGGAGGCGCCCACATTGTGTTGACGCTGGCCAAAGGGAGCAGAGGCGGGAGGCTGAGCAGATGTCGGAGTTTTGGGGGCAGTGCGAAGGCCGGCAAGCAGATGGGAACGGCTGGTGCGAGGGGTGGGCGTCTCCATGCTTTCGGAAATGGATGCAACGTTTGGAGGAGATGCGACACTCAGGCGCTTGAGCGAGGCGCCCTTGCCGCGTGAGGCGAAGCCGGCAGAGGGCATACCAAGCCCGTTGTTGGGCTGGAAGTTGTTGTATGTCATTTGAGCAAGACCGCCTGCGTCCATGCTCATTTTGTCGTGTTGGCGGAGTGGAACTCACGGACGACAAAGAAGACCAAAGGGTGGACAAAGAAGAGTGTCGACGACACTGGGAAGAAGGGCAAAGAATCGAAAGTCGGTATGCAAATACAGGACGTTTGCTGCTGGGAGAGCAGACGTGGGGATTTGGCGTTGGATTAGTGGATTAAGGATCGTACTTTAGAGATGGTACTATGGTAGTGCTGGGATCGTAGACCGGCCGACGGGCAATGCAGAGTTGGGCGTATTAACAAAATGCTGGTGGGCTATGTGCGCGCGCAGTAGGTGGGTCGGTTGACGAGTGATTGAGTTGACTGGCTGGCTGGCGGGCTGGTTGGCTGGCTGACTAAGTCGAGGCAAGTGCGACAGAGGCAGAGGCGAGCGGATGGTGTTGCGGCGGGAGTAGGCGGGCACACGGCGGGCAGCAAAAGTAAGTGGAATTGAAAGTAAAGGGTTGATCTAGGGTGAATGCAGATGGACAAGGACAGGCGTCTTGATGTATGTTCAAGAAGAAGAAGGTGGTTGTGGTTGGATGTTGGTTGAGGTCGACTGGCGGGCTCTGTTGGTTGGCGAGGCGGGCTAGGCGCTCGAGATGATTAGGTAGGTGAGTAGGTAGATGTTTGGCTAAAGCTGGGAAGTAGAAGATGATGATGCAGGAGCTGCAGAGAAGAGAGTGGTGGTAGCAGAGACGAGAGATGGAGAAGAGAGAAGGAAGGCGAAGAAGGTGGGAGCGGAAAGGGCAAGGCAGAGCAGCCAGGAGCGACGGAGAGCAAGTCGAGTGAAGAGAAGAGAGAGAGCGAGAGAGGGCGAAGGCAAGCAGGCTCGGCGAGGGAGACGTTTAAGGAAGCAACTGGGCTTGGCAGGACGAGGGCGCACGGGCCGCAGCTCAGACAGACAGACAGACGGACAGGTCTGCTTGCCTGCTCTAGTGAGTCTTTCAGGGGCCAATGGCTTGGAGGATTCAATGGGATGGATGGGAGGGGAGGGGAGGCATGCGTGGCGATTTTCCAGCCCTGCAGCAGAATGGACCGGGGGCTTCATCATGGGCGCGACGAGCCAGAGGCCCAAATGAAACCGCCGTCTCCCATGCGCAGAGACCGCGGGGTTTGCCCGTTCGGTGTGCGTGCCTGGGCCCGCCGCCCGCCTCTTCTTGCTCCTTTTCTGGTCTTCTCGAGTTCCCTCGACTATGCACCGCTCTCCCGCGCGCGCACACACACACACACACACACCCACATGTTCAGCTGCTCCATCGCGTGTCATGATGCACTGCATACCCGTCTGTATCGAATGCAACAATAAATGTAGATTCCACGACTTGATTGCTCCGTCTGTCGCTGTTCTCGCACACCGCAAGAAGCGTCCCCACTTGGTTGTCGTCGTCGTTCAGTGCCGTCACTGGCTCCACGCTGCCTCCATCGGCGCCTAAGTTGCCGTGTGACCGCGACCCCGCCAGCCAATCACAGCCCTCTCCGTCCTGCTTCTAATTATAAAAAGGGTACTCGGTGATGCTGCTGCGAGGCTGAGGTACACGATATAGGTGAGTAGTCCTTTGGCAGCAATCCATCCTCAATAATATCATTACTAAGTAGTCGTCCATCTGCTGCTGCTCCTTGTGGAAAATGACAGATAATAATATTGAAAAGAAAAAAAAATCAAAAAGAAAAATCTGGCCGCCATGATTTGAAAAGCAAGGGCAAAGCATGCAAGTCTTCTGTCATCCAGCCGTCCGCTTCTGGACGCAGAGCAGAGCAGAGCACGGAGATGGCATGGCGCTGGCCAACCACGCGTCGAGCTTGCTGAAATTGCGCTGCCTACTCCCCATCGACTCGCTCTATTGGGGGCTTGACTACCAATTCTGCGCCCCGCTCACTATTGGCTACTACATGCAAAATTTCTCTGATGACGACCCCCTTGACAAAGTCCGAACCACTGCGCCCTCATCGAGAAGACTCGACAACGGAGAATAGAATCAACCTGTCCTCAACCCGCGCAACCTCTCGTCGAGTTTCATGCCCCCTCGCCCCCCGAGCCAAGGGATGCCGTCTCGAGAGTCCTGAAACTCGTCTCACCAGCATGCCCGTGCCCGAGCTCAATCTCGTCAAGCGGGGATGCAGGAACATGGCCAATGCCGGGGCCACACGCAGTTGAAACACGCGCACCTCGTTGGCCTTGCCCCCAGCCGACACATGGTTTCCTGCTCCTCGGCTGCTCGCGTCTTCATGTCTCGTGTGTCCCTCTACAAACGGGTGCGTGAGCAAGACGAGCACTGCCGAGCGCTGGTTGATCTTGTTGCTCTTGTTGCTACTCCGGCCTGGTACCAACACCCACCCTTTACCACCACCAACCGTCCGCCTGGTCCCATGTACCACACGCTATTCAATAGCCTGCCTGTTGTACGCGAAGTCCGGAGAATAACCACTGCCTGCCTGCTGCCGACATGCGCTTCCCTTCCTCCTATTGTCCTATAGCTATACTGTCTGCAGTCATCTCGTGTCAGCTTGCTCGTGCTAAACAAGATGCCTCCACCTGCCAAACGCTATCCTGCTGTCCTGTACCATTAGACACGTCGCCTCTCCCCTGTCGAGAACCATCACAGGGCTGCAGCCTCTAGTGCTCTTCTACTCTAACACCTTCCCGCCTTGTCATGCTGCCCGTAATTCATGCTCCCCTCCACTTTACCCTCCGCTCGTTAATCCAGTTGTCACCATGTGCTGTCTGGTTTGACGACAACTTGTGATAATCAATTCGAGGACGACGTCGACCTCATCTTCCCGAGTTTTCTCTTCGCGTTTCATTTACTCACCACGTACTATAGCAATATGTGCGTATAACAACCGTAGCACGCCACTCTCCATGAAACAAACGTCCAATCGCACGTTTCAGCACCATCAGTCGCCCTATCCATTGCGACGGTGCCAATTTCTTCTACCACTTTCACCAGCCTCACAGCCTTGTAACTCCTCTGATCCGACAATCTCAATAAGCCCTGCCTGCCCATCGCCCATGATCCATGTTTTCACCGTAGCTATCAGTCTATCCCTACGCCATCTCCAGCCCTTTCCGTCCCTTCTCCCTTACAAACGAGATGGCCTCATTGATCCGAAACTCGTTTCGCAGCCATCTTCACATCATCTAATGAACAGCCCCTCTTTCCAGAACCAAGCATCGGTAAACGGCCCGTCGCTACTGCCTTCCTCGCTCCCTTTTGGACCATCATGCTGCCGCCGCCGCCATCATATCGCGAACCGTTATGCTAATCCACTCGTGCGATGATCCCTTACGCTTCCATTATACACCTGCTACTTCCATGCCCTTGCTCCGCTCCTCTCCGCGTTTCGCATATGCGGGGAGCCAAGACTATATTTGAGCGTCCTCCTGCTATGGATAAACTCTCGACCTGTTTTGGTCCTGTAGCTTGTTCCAAATTCAAGTTGGCTGCAACTTTGTGTCGTCACAAGCACTGATTTGCGCCTTTCTCGTTGCATGTGTGCCTTGGCTTTTCTTTGCTCTACCTTCTTCTCGCCTTGTGTGTCTCCAAGCGGGAGCTAGCTGGTTCGCTTCTCTCGTCCCGTAACATCCTCACCACGAGGTAGTGAAACTGAGGACTTTTGTCAAGTATTGCCCTAGAAAGGGTATTCTTCTCAATCCACGAATTGACGAATTGATGTACTTCAGTATCTCTAGTTCAGGACCTCTCTGGAGTCGAATACATACTTCTAATTGTATCCGCTGGCCGAATCCAGAATAATCACAACATCAGACAATCGTCTTTTCAAGCGTAGAACATATCTAGACAGATAGAAGGTGGTTGCTACATCATGGTAGATTAGTCATCACGTTCCCAACCATCTCTCTTGTACCTCGGCATATCTCTCGAAGCCGATCGGTCGGGAAACAATCTCCCCCTCCCAACCTCTGAACTCCGAGAATTGTGTGTTATCGAATCTACACACTTCAATGATAGTTGGTAATCCAATAAATCAAACTCCTCGTATTAGAGTATCATTTCCCATCGGCACTTGTGTGATTGAAATCTGCACATCCTATATCACTGGCGAAAAGAGTCGAGCGTCTTGATTTTGATATAGCTGAACAAGGGTTGATCCATTGGACGACAACGACATTCATAACTACTCCAGAAGCCACCATTGATCAAGAGAGGCCGACGGAAAATACTTACTGGGGTCAACAGCAAAAGCGGAGACGACCAAAGCGCATAAATAAACAGAGAAGGGGGTCGATAGAACGGACAAAACTACACATCATGGTACCGTCACCACCTAAAGCTATTCTTTTCGACATTGGAGGGGTTTGTGTACGTTGATTCTTTTCCTTTTCCAGTATTTGAGAAATTAGCTCGTATGATATGGCTATCCATATTTCTATTTTTTTTTCTTCGTTCACATTCATATCTATCCATTCGGTCAATCCATTCTAACACCCCAACCCACAGGTAATTTCGCCCTTCCGTGCCATCCTAGACTATGAAATCGCCCACAACATCCCGGAAGGCTACATCAACTTCGCTATCCAAAAGGGCCCACTAGCCACAGGCGCATGGCAGCAGATTGAACGAGGCGAAGTCCCACTCGACGACACATGGTTTGCGCGGTTCAAAGCGCAGCTCGAAAACCGCTCTGCATGGGCGGAATTCCGTTCGAAGAGGAACCTCGAAAAAGATGGAGAGAAGGAGGACGACGTCAACCCACCCACCATTGACGCAAAATCGCTCTTCTGGGATATGATGCGGATAAGCCGTACTCCAGATCCATACATGTATCCAGCGCTACTGAGACTCGCCCACTTCACACAAACCGTAATGCCGAAAGTAGCACACGAGCAGAGGGGAGAAGGGAAAGAGGTTCCGCAGTTCATTCTAGGTGCCCTCTCAAACACAATCGCTTTCCCTACAGCTGCTGTCGACAATCACGGTGAAGCATTCACATCGTCGCTCCTCCACCGTTCCCCTTTATCACCGACTTTGTTCCCTCCCCACCTGCCAAACTTTGACCCGGCAAATATATCCACCCACTTCGATATTTACCTCTCCAGCGCTCACCTCGGCGTGCGCAAGCCTGACCCCGCTGCGTACCGTCTCGCAGTGCGCGAGCTCAGTCGGCTGAGCGAGGCCCGCGGCACGGGGGTCGTCGAGCCGGGTGATGTAGTGTTTTTGGATGATATTGGGGCCAATTTGAAGGGGGCCAAGGGGGTCGGGCTGAGGACTATCAAAGTCCCCTTGGGTGGGACAAAGGGGGCGGTAAAGGAGTTGGAAGAGATGATCGGGAAGAAGCTGTTGGTCAGTGGTGGTGATGAGGAGCAAAAGGAGAGAAAGACGAAGAGTAGCAAGTTGTAGGGCCTAATGCGGAGGGAGTTGGCATATTCGGCGTCGAGAAAGTGGAAAGAGAAACAAAGACACATGTCATTTTCCGTTGAGCCCATAGGCACATGTGCATGCTTGTGACAGATAGAATGCGATACTTTCTTGTCTTGAGATAATTGCATTTGCCACCCGTGTAGGTGGTCTTCTTACTCGGGAAGGAATTTCGCCTACACACGACCGATAGCTATAGATAGAGCCCCCCATGGTAATCCGAAAAATGCCTAGGCCCGCAAACAGTGTGTACTGTGAATGATATCTGTGTACATGCTAACTAATCTCAACATGACCCGCTGCTGGTCTTTCGATGCCCTCGCGCCATAGCCCCTACGATGTGTGTTATCGGTATAATGCTGAAGAAGAAGAAACAAAGGAAAAAAAATAGAAGAAGATGCGTCCCAAGAAGGGGAAACGAAGGAAGTTATGAGAAGCCAGGCCAAAGTTATAAAACGAGAACGCCAATTGGTCGGTTACGCCTTGACCGCCAGCCCATAACGTTAGCAATGCAGGAAGAGTCTCATGAAGAGACGGAAAAAGAAAACCGCCCAAAATTTTTGTTTTTGGTTTCAGGACTCGACCTCGTCACCTTTCATACTGGAGCTGAAATAGCCAGGGTCCATATCCTCCTTCTCGGCGAGCCCGACTAGCATCTTGCTCGCCTCTAGACACCTGCTCACGAGTCTACCTCGGACTCTGTTGCCTAGTCCGCTTTGCTTGCCTGTCTCGTGGCCAACCCAATGGCGCAATAGACTGGCCATCTTCTCCAGACCGTAGCTTGTCTGGGAGCGCACTATCGGGTCCTGGACAAAATGGTTCAAAACTTTGTAGGCTGCAACGAAGCTGAGTAAAGTCGTCGTGCCTTCAACCAAGCGAGTGTTGTTGACAACAAAGGCGGCGCGCTGGCGAGCCGAGACGCTGGTATGTTGAATGAGCATGTGGCATTTGGCGAGTGTCAACGCTTTGCGCACATCGATGGCTGTATCGGCATTGCCGACGAGATTCATGAACGTCGTTTGTTTTGACTGCGCGGCTGTGGGCGGTGATGGCAAAGCATTGCACGCAGTGGCAATGCGAGCATTGGTGTTATCTTCGAGTACAACCGCTTGTGCAACCAGTGACCTGACGTGGGCTTGAGATGTCGGGGGCGCAGTCTGAACGGCAAGTTCAAGATCCGTCTTGATATTGTCCTTCACTTTGCCGCCCCTAGATCCCAAGTAGCCAACGAGACCACGCTTTAGCCTGTAACTGGAGTACCAGGCAGCAAGCGCATCGAGTGGCGAGGAAATGGCAAAATCCTCGACCACGCCGTCCATTGAAGGATCTGCAGAGGTGTGCTCAGCAATCGGACGATTCCAAGCCAGATTGTAGGCGCGCTGGATGATAGAGGGCACGAGGACGTCGTCACACTCTTCCTCCAAAAGCACTGCTAGATGCTCTGGCAAAGGCTCCAGCTCGTTCTCTGGCTTGGAAGCCAAGTTGGCAGCAATCTTCTGCTCACTTCGGGCCATGTTCCAGTACCTGCGGGACAACTTGGCGCTCAAATTATCGCACATCCAGGACAACCCATGCCCAGCATGGGCAAGTTCCCACAACAAAACCCGTATATGCAACGCTTTGAGCATGAGTCGGGCTGGAGTATCCGGTAATGTTCCCGATGCCATCAATGTCAAAACAAGTCTGCTCTTACTGATCTCGGCGTCGCCGCCCGTGAGTTGCGCGTCCAACGCAATTCCCCAGGACTTCACGCGGGCTATTTCCTGCTCTTTAGTAGTGCCAGTGAGCAGAGCGTAACCATCCCAGCCGATGATTTTGCGCACGCTGAGCTTCACTGTTTTGATAGCCAGAGCGGCAACCTCGAGCCAAAAGTTGTGGCGTGGAACCCAAACAGTCTGAATCGAAGTGAGCCATGCTTTTTGTCGCATTTCTACTGGTAACGCCAGCGAAGGGTTTTGAGCCAGGTTAACAATCTGGGCGGTCTTTTTCTTGTTCTTCGTATTGGGTTTGAAGAAAGGCGCAATGATGTAGAACAGAGCGCCGAATACGAGAAGTACTTTGGCGATGGGGATTTGAGCATTGGCAGCGCCGAGAGAGACCCGGGGGGCAAGGATAGCCGCGGCATGGAAAGGCAGAGCTGACAGACCACGATCTGACGGCTCTTCTTTGGACTGTCTTCTCTCGGCAACGCCTTCCAAGATCATTAGTCCAGCCAAGGAGCCAACGATCAATTTGCCCATCATGGTGTTGCGGCGACCAGGGACCATGGGCGGTCCTGTTTGCCCAGGACGCGAGGCGCCAGAGTACTGCGGATACGCCGCGGCATAGTGACCCTGAGGAGGCAAGCCGTGGCGTAGACCGGCGATGTGATCGGGTACAGGAATCATACCCTGGGGTGGACCCGACATGGACATGGAATGCGACGGCGTAAAGGGATCTTCGGAGTATCTGCTTCCGTCTGGAGTACCCACGGAGCCATGTACATTCATGGAGCCTGATATTGCCATTTTTTCGTAGTTCTCGATACGGCGACTCATAGCTGTGACCTCGTCTTGCAAGCGCTTATTCCGCTTCTCAAGGTGTCTAATGTATTCCGTTGCTTTGGACAGCACGGTTGCCTTGTTGAGCTTGTGAGCTGGTGTAAGACCTTCCAAGTCCTCGGGATCGTCCTCCTCTTCCCCTGTGCCGTTCGCCCTGGACATGACTCGAAGACTGGGCACACTGTCGCGCAGAGCAGCAATCTTATCATTAAGATTCGTTCGATACCTTTTCTCGATCATATTATGCGCCGTCTTTTTGGGAGGCTGAGATTTCTCCCTCTTGCCGTTCGGTGTTGAGTCATCATCGTTGGTGGAGGACTTCCTCTTCTTAGGATTGTCCAGTACTGGTTCCGGAGTGGACTGTTCGGACGGGGAGCTGATTGGGCCGTTGCGGATTGAACCTGGGCTCTGACTTTGATGTAGGCTTGACCTGCTCGACATATTTTGCATGGGGGCGACGGACGCACGTGACTGATCCATTCCTTGGTGAAATAAGGAGCCATCGCCTACTTGTTGTTGTTGCTGCCACATGGGATAGAAATTGCCTTGCTGTTGCTGTTGCCCGTCGCCCGAAGATGGTGAGCTGGAAACATTGGCATCGAAGTTAAAGGTGGAAGGAAGCTCGGGGTTCTCGCCAAACGTAAAAGGCGCCTTGATGGACGGATCACTGCCGATGGTCGTAGAAGTAGGAATGCCATTCGAGGGAGAGTCCTGACGACGATCAAAGATGGGAGATTGCTGCTGTTCGGTCTTCCGAACTCCAACGGGACCGCTCAGCTTGACATGCGGAGCTTGGGAGGTAGTGTTGTGATCCCAAGCCATGAACTCGCTCCAGTTTGCTCCGGCAATATCGTCGGACGGGGCGGATAAGGGCATGTCGTCGGCTGCGGTGGTGAACCACGAGGGGCGCATACCTTCTTGGTAGGCGAAAGAGTTGGTCATGATGGGGTCGACCATGCGCTGGTTGGCGGTTTCCAGCAGGGTTGAGGAGGAGTGAAGAGGAATGGTAGATGGTGGATTGGAGAGAGGCTGGAAGCTATCGAAAACGCAATAGGGTCCGACCTGTCATTGGGCCCAAGGTTAGCGCAATCGAGCAGGACATTTCGCGCACCGTCACGTACAGCAACGTGCTCGAGGTGCAATATGCCGTCTAGTGGGTCGGGAGCCGCCATGGGTGGCAGAAGGGAATGAGGGATGGGAAGCCAGCCGGCAGCGATGTCGACAGCAACAAGAAAAGAGAGAGAGACAGGCAGGAGACAGCCACGGGACGAAAAGGTAGGAGGAACCGGAATGGTGATCGGGGAAGGTGGAGCATCTTACCAGCAGAAGTTGTGGTTATTAGCTATCAAATGCAGAATTGATTCAAGTCATTCATGGCATAGATGCGAAGGTAGAGGGACCGGTGGTGACGGTCGGCGCTGGGGCGGGCTGAAAGGCAAGCCCTGGGGCACAGATGGCACGCAGCACGGGCGGGCAAGGCGGCGTCGAGCAGATGGATCTAGATGAGACGGAAGCACAGGATACGGACCGAATGGCAGATGGGCGTCACTGGGTGGTTAATGCGGGCGGTGGTGAGGCGCGAGAGCAAGCAAGCAGAAAAGACAGAGTGAGGTGTGCGTGTGAGTGCAAGAGGGCTGCTGGCTGGCGCGGGCGGAAAAGCGGGTGGCCTGATTGTCGGAGAAAGCGGCAGCAACAGGAGGCAGGGGTGGTGGTGTCGCGACCTCGGTGTAGCAGCAAAGTGCGGATGAGGGCAGTCGCACTGGCGGCGGGCTTTTTGTATTTGGCTGGAATGGACCTCTGCGGGCGTTGGGCGAAGGCTGTACTGTGTAGGAGGGGGTGTGTGTGCAGAGAGGGAGACGGGATTGTTTGGGGGACCCTTTCTTTTGTCGTTTGGCTGCACGCGCGCCCGCCGAGAGCACAAGGCGTACAGCAATTAGCTGGCTAGGCGTGTTGGGACTCGCTGTGTGAGCCGGGACTGTCTGGTCTGGTCAGGTCTGGTCTGGTGAAAGAGGACAAGCGATCGCCGTCGCAGTCGAAACTCGAGACCTTGGATGTATCGAAAGCCCTTACCTATCCTTTTCCCCCCTGGTGCCCGTGCCTCCCCTGCCTGTCGCTTGCTCCTGCCAGCCAAGCTGCTCCAGCCCAGTCCCAATCCGCCGAGTGATCGCCCTGGCCTTGCTGTTCCTGCTGTCCCTGCTGCTCCTGCTGCCGGGGCACGTGGAAGCCGCTCCAGCTCCGAATCCGATTGCCCCCGAGCTCCGACTCATTAGCGACGAGTGGCTGCTTAGTATGAGGTATTTGGTTACAACTACTACTACCACCACCTACTGTCCTCTCTCTCCTCTCTCTATTGCATGTATCCATCGTCCCCAGTCCATGGTGACTTTACCATGTATGTATGCCTGTCCCGTACACACCGTACACAGGTGCATGTCGACAATTCTTTCCCGGGACAGCCCGTGCATCACCACCGCTGGGCGACATGACACATTGCCAGCCAAATCCTGACGACAGCTGCGAAGTTCGAACCGTGGGGCAGCACACACTACGCCTCGTTGTCCATTGTCAAGGATAATCGCCACACCCATGTTTGCTTTTGCTCCTTTGCTCCCTCATCCGCACTCCCATGGTTCAGCCGACGCCTCAGGCCCCCTCGGCCCAGACAAATACAGTACATGCACCTGTACCTACTAGCCCAACCCAGGAAATGAACACGACCAATCTCGGATTTGTCTCGGTTTCTGCTCACGCATCCATCGAGATGCCCCATCCCGGAATCCCCTCCAACACAGACGAGCAGAAACACCCTTCTCGCGTACAGGTAAACACCGCATGCGGGCGGGCTTGTCAATTGGTAGAGCCGACGCCAACGTCTCTTCAGCACGCCTATCAATATACACCCTCCTGGCAAGCATGGCACCAAGACAGATCCCTGGATAGTACTTATCCTCTTGTTGAGATTGGCACTTGTACAACGAAAGCGAGGCAGGCCAAGATTTCTATTTCGCCAGGAAGCTGTACCAGCCTTGTCCCTGATCCTCATCCCTTCATGCACCTCAAAGGCAGCTAGCGGGATTGCCCGTCCACTTTGCATCTTCCATGACTGCTACCTTCGCCATGCTTCTTCTCCAATCGGAACGCGAGCACCGGCCCAACCTCATAATCTCCAAATGGCCTGACCGTCCTCATGATCGAGCAAAAAATAAACAAACCGGATCGCGCTATGGTAGAGTGCATGGCCGTCACCAACAACAGCGAATAGCATAAACCTGTCCATGTTTCTTTGCTTTTTCTTCGCATGCCAGTTGTTGTTTGCGTCACGGTATGAGGTACCGTTTACCTGCAGCAGTTCCCTCTTTTGTTTTCCTTTCTTTTCCACCCCTCTTTTTGTCTTCGGCACTCCTTTCGGGCCAAAGGCACGCCCCACTTTCTACACTGACGGAGCGGCTGTCCCCGTGCTCTGTTCATGCAAAACAGAAAAAGAAAAGAGGTATTGTGAAAACTTCTTCACCTGTGGCGGTGTCTCCCCAATGTAGGGTTCAACATCTCGCAAGGATCAGTCTCCACTTCATCTTCATACATGGCAAGAAATGATTGGTTGCTCCCATCTGCATACTGTAAAAGCAATGGAGAGTCTTTAATCTGCAGCGGTGACCTCCGATCTTAGGTAGGGCCCGGCATCTAAGAAGTAAAGAATAACGAAGGAGACTCTCATCTAGAACATGAATACCTGCCTTGGGAAAGTGTTGGGGAGTCTAACCAAACGATTCTCTACTTGCACACATAGCAATGAACTGACTTCTCCTCCACGCATTTTTATAGAACGACCCAAGGAACGGAATGGATAGAAATCTCTGCCATGTAGTCGAGTAGTTTGGTTTACAGTATCCATCCTATGTCTCCTGCTCCTGCTCCTAGAGAAAGTAACACAGATTCTGTTGGGAACATGGTCATCACTAACCTACGGCCACCCTCCCTTCACATGCAAACACTTGCCCCCCTCCCCTTCTTTCCTCCTTCAGCCCGAATTGACGGACACATCACTCTGTGTTGTACAGGGCAAGTATATTTATGTGACAGCTATGGCGTGGGAAGGAGCCAACACTGGTACACACACACATCTAGTCCATACGCGTATACTGTAAGAGGCATGAAGGTAAGCCGGAAAGTCACTATGAAATAATCCCCCAAGTGAGAACAACCGTCCATAAAGCATGAAGTTCGTCATCATTCCTGCCCACGCATCTCTTGGAAACAACAAACCACATCCGTCAGACCGCAAAACATCGCCACTTCCACCTTTACACGTTCCGGGGAGGGGGGAAATGAGGACGAGTTGACTATTTCCCTCTCTGTTTGGAATGAAGAACAGAACAGTTGTAGACCAAAGCATTATGTAAGAGGGAATGATTATCACAGGGTGGTGCCTGGATGTTGTCGGACTCCAGACTCCAGGCTCCAGATTTCCGGGTTCTTGAGATATTTTGGGGTCAGAGGCAAGGTCGTAAATATCAGGTCATGTATTATCGTCGACAACCTTTTCTTTTTTTTTCTTTTCGTTTTCAGGTGGGCCAGAATGAACTGCAACTTCGCCCGTATATGCCTGTCAAGTACAAAAAGACCATCTCATGAGTTCTGACCCCCTTCCCCACATGACCCACCCCCCCCCCTTCCTGTTTCTCGTCTTCTAAAGAGGAAAAGAAAAAAAGGGATCTTGTTCATCACGCCACTCAAAACTATGCCTTGCCTCTTCTCGAGGCCCATGGTGAAACGCGTATTATGGATCCAAGCATGCTGGGCAAGTGGGTATCCGTGTATGTTGAGTCTACGTGTAATTTTCAGGCCGCCCCTTTTCCTTTTGATGACAACATGATTTATTTTCATTGGAAGTAGTTTGTTGGGTCTGAAGGGGCTTATTCTTAGATGTGGAGTCATGATTTTCTGTGGCGATGATTTTGGAGGCTGTACATTGGTCAGTAGATATATGTGTGAGAAGGTTTCGTCTTGTTAATGGCATGTTGTGGCCAGCAATACAATCAGGTAGGGATGGGGCACGAGGCTACTCATGGTTGGGTAGTTGTCTATGTGTGCGTTGTCCAATGTCCTTTAGTTGGGGGGGTCTGGGAGACATTGGCGTTGGAAGTGACGGATACAAGGTACGTGGGATCGGGAATAGAGTATATGATTACTATATGAAACACGTAAAAAAAAATTACCCACGAATGATGACTTCACCGAAGAATAATTGCTGCGTGTACATCAAAACAGAGTCGTGTTTGGGGGTTTGGGGTTTTTCCCATCGCCTCTTGTACCTATCTAAAATAACATCTAACAGCATGCGTCACACGCGACCGCCCATTGCTATTTCCACATCCAAACACAAGCACTCATCTCCTCTTCCCCAACATCTCCCCCGCGAACCCGTCCCTGCCTTCTTCTTTCGTGATCCTCTCCGCAGCCTTGACAAGATCAAAGCAGATATCATCCCCGACGACGCTATCTCCCTTGTACATCTCGTGGGTCTGCACAAAGTGTCTAATCCACTTGGCTGCCGTCCAGTATGTACCATCGGCCCTCTTCCTGATGAGATCGAGGTAACGGGCCAGCTCGCAGCGCGTCTCAACGTCGACATTCATGCTGTTGAGGTACGACTCCACGAGAGGAATGAGGCCGGGGAAGTTGGACTCGCCGCCTTGATGCTGCCCATTAATGACCTCGTTGATGGTCATTTGCTCGTACTCGTCCTCGACGGGGCCGACGGGGGTCGCGGGGCGACTGGTCTCTGCAGGCGTCGATGTCCCGGTTCCGTTGCCACCGCGCGAACTCGAGTGCGGGCTAAAGGGGTCCTTGCGGAACCAAAACTTCTGGCTCGAGACAGCGTCGCGAATGTGCGCCGTTTCCATGTTCTCGCTGACCCGCGCGATGGGGATGTAAAAGTTGAGATTGTACGAGAGGATCGCACGCGTAATGAGCACGATGAATATGCTGAACGCTGCGTTTTCGAAATCCGTGATTTGGATTTCCATGGGCCGGAATTCGACGCGCCAACCCATGTCGGATCCGGGTGGAGGTGGCTTGAATCGCATATGTTGCCAATTTGTTGATTGCAAGTTCTCGAAGTGGTCGGCTTTGGAGAGATCGAGAGTCTCGAGGTCCTCGGCGAAGACGACAATAGGGTCCCGAATAAAGAGGTGGGCGAAGTGGGTTGCGAGAAGGTCGTCCATACCGCCTTCTGCGAGCCGTTTCTTGATGTCTTGGTCAACGATAAGGTCCGGGTCAAGATATTCGGGGCGTAGGCGTGCGTCTTGCGAGATATAGGTGGAATTCGAGGCATATCGTGATTTGGGAAGCCGCCATCTGTCATGTTTGAGAGGCTGCGATGAGATGTCAGCTAGCAGAACATTTCGAACAGAATGAGGGAGGTAGCCAAACCTTTTCTCCCAACTCTTCTGGAGTGCGGTCATCGACTGCTCGACTGATTTGGTTCCAGCGTACGTCCGTATCTGCCAGGAAACCCTTGTATATGGGCGTCGCTGCAGTCAAAGCAAGCAGTATCGGCCCAAGTGGGCTGAGCTGATCATACATCTTCCGCCCCTCTTCGATGTTTTTGGCCTGGAATGTGATTTGCAAACAACAGCTGCCCATGCCAAATGCCATGGCATCCATGTAGATGTGGTTCTCCTTTGCTGCGCCATTACGAACATCGTCGTCTTCCGGCCATTGGTGAAGGTCATAATTGACAGTCGGATCTTGGAACGGCCACACTGTCTTTTCGTCCTTGAAAACAGGCACGTTCAATTCGACTTTCCTACCTCTACGCCAACGAATGTTGGCGGCCAGTGTTGGAAAGCGAATGTGGGGGTTGGCAATCTCATCGGGGACAAACTGAGACCTCAATTTCGGCCCGGAAACAAGGTATGATGGTACAATACAGTCCGGTAGTCCGAGATGGGGGAATGTAGTCAAGGTGATTGGGTATTCTTCTTTGGCCATGTGATCCTTGGCTATCGTGCGTCTGCATCAAGAATGAATAACTGGGCACAAAAAACTCCGTCGAGACAGATGATATCTTACCTCCACTTCATGTCTGGCTCGACGCTCAACAAATCTTTGAACCCAATCCCCCACGGCTTGCCAGGGGTTGCTTCAAGCATGAAGCGGCCGAATTCAGGATGGAAAACAGGTGCGGTCATGTCCGTTTCCCTTGGCCTCGTTAGCATTTTGCAATATAGGGAGAAAGCACATGATTGTTCGCACTTGACAGGTCCTCTCTGCACATCTGGCACACCGCCCCCTTCTGCCAGCAGCTTCTCGTCGCTGGCCAAGGCAGCCAAAATGTCTGCTTGCCGCAATGATAACCGGACCTTGCGATTGTTCTCATCGTAGCAAACGACGAGATATTCAATCTCATCCCCCCAGAGCAGAGCATCCCTCTCTTTCCCTTTGGCATTCTCCCATATGCTCAGAAGTTGCTGGAGGCCACACGTCAGTGCTTGGCTCCATTGTATGATCAACACAGGCCCAACATACTTCTATTCCCCAGGCTCGGACTTGGCTAGCCACTTTTTTGGCTTCGGGCCACTCCAATGGCGTACCTAACGCGCTTGGTATGGATCAGCAGGCAGGTCGAGCAGAGGAGTCACTTTTGCGTCTCACAGCAGACCCATGCTCGGACAGGATTCAGATGGGTGGTGCAGAGCAGAGTAGAGCCGAGCGCATAGATGGATGGGAGCGACAAATGCAGAGGCTTGCTTGGATGGCGGGGGGCGAAGGCAGTTGGGAGAGAAAACCGGGGGTCGCACTGCAGAGATCTAACCTCTGGCGGGGGTTTTGCGGGCGCGTAAGACCACACAGACACGGACAAGACGGACACAAGCAGATCAGTTGTCTGCGTCCCCTACCGAGTGGCTTGCTTGGTGTGATGATGGTCAGAGAAAAGCGCAGCAGCACAATCACAGGTGGGCCAAAAGGCTTCGTCTGACCTGAGTTGATGGATCTCTTGATTATTAATGGTCCCGTACGGCCATGTGAAGTTCTCTCGTGGTCACTAAGTGGCTAGTCCTTCCGAGGAGCTGTTCAACCTTGGTATGCCCGAGCATCGGGCCCCATTGCCTCATACACCATCCATCTATCTGAGCAGACGGCCAGCACTTGAGAATCTGCAATCCTCGCGCTCCTGGCGCATGCACGCATGAACACCGACAGTGCTAAGGGCCTGGAATGCGGCTCGGGCTCGACGCACGGCTGATCAGTCGCAATGGGAGGGCCAGGAGAGGCGAGAGAGGAAGAAAAAAGCAAATGTCCAAACGAAAAAAACGCCGACGACGATCATGTACGCGGCGAGGTAAAGGCTTCTCGTTCTGCGGGCCGCAAGCGATGACAGCTGCAGGGCAGCAGGCTGGGGCAATCTATGCGGGTGCAAGGCAGAATGTGATGGATCGCCTTGCGCCGCCATGCTGCTGGGTCCTGTCCGCGAACAGGCAGAGGCGCCCCCTATGTGCTTGCGTCAATGGCGCCTATTTTGCTTTTTCGCCCCTCGTCTGAAACCGAATAGACACCCATTCACTTTGCCCCCTCAAAGTCACCGCTGCAGCGGTTAAGCTGCGCTATCTACCTGTTGGGTCGAACCGTTTCGACCACACTGGACCGTTCGGGCAAGGGTCCAATGTCGTGAAAAGAAACACAGGCAGGGCGTCAAGTCTAGGCATGTGCTGGCTCTTCCATATGTAGCTGTGATCCAAAGTAGAAAAGACGGGCCACCCAAGATCCAATGAACAGCCCGCACGTTGTGACAAGGGGCATCCCGACTTTCCACTGTCTTGCGCTTCATCATGGTGACACCCATGAATCCATATACATTGGATGCTTCCTCCACCTAACGCTCATGCACACCTCTAGGGCTCTTGGTGGCTCAAAAGAAAAGCCTTGGCTCCCTCATCCCAAACGCCAAATCGTAGAAACATGGAATGAAACGCCATCTGCCCAGCCCAAGGCCTAAAAGCCTGCAATATGTTGTGCCAAAATGCAACCGCTGCTGGTATATGACAATAGAAGACAAACCCAATCACTGATCCAATAAGTCCAATAATTTACAGAGCCTCTGCATCTCTAGTAAGATGGGCCCGCTCACTTCTCGTGAAACTGTTCTTGAATGCATAATAATGCGTACGCCAAAAAAAAAAAAAAACTTGCAAAGAAAAGAGGGGAAACAGAAGGTCGTCAGCCCATGACATGCCGCCAAAGAAAGTAGATAGCCCAGTGCTTGGAAATTCCGCACATTCGGGCCAACCTCCAGATATGCGAATCTGTCGCTCGAAGGTAAACGAGGGAGGTTTCAACTCAGAAACAATTACGCCGGCTTTTGCTGTACACTAGAAACGAATTACAAGACAAGAGTGACCTGTTGTCAAGCTGTGGGAGATCCTTGGTCGAGTGATTTCGGTCGTAGGTTCGACGAGGTCATGGCCTGCTTGCCACCCATCTTACGCGTCAATTTTGCATAGTCTATAACCCGTTAGTCGTATCATCCATAATGATATCGGATTGACTCACGTAAGCCACACGCGTTGCAGAGAGTCCTAGCTCCATCGGGGCCACGCCTCCACTCCGGGGTTTCGGCACGATTGCAGCTATGGCATCTTCCAGGCGGTGCGGCTCGCTGACATGGTTTGTTAATGACATCTATCCACACAGTACCAGCACGGCATCACTTACACCTCGTCGTTTTTTGCCGTCAGGGCCAGCAAATCCGCCGGCGCCTTTGGATTCTTCACTGTAATTGCTCTGTGTCTCATAGTCGTATCCGTTCGTCGGTCGTTGACGTGGATCTTGCGGGGCTTCCACTAAGCTCGCCTGTTGATGATTGAAAACGACTTCGCGCATGCGCTGCAGGGACATTACAATCTTCTCGCTGTTCCGGAGCATATCATCCACCTCTTCCAGCCGAGGCATTGAATGAGGAGACATGCCGATTCTTTGAGTCTCGTGAGCTCGTTGACGATACATGTTTGAGAAAGTACTGATGCGAGCGGAACCGTCAGACATCTGCGTCATGTTAGCCATACTGATATATACGCGGGGAAAAACATCAGAGATGTACCTCATTGAGGGAAGCTTCAAGATCGAAACTCTCGAGATGCCTCTTAACAGACTCGCCATACGGGGCTAAGCTCGAACGATTGAGTTTTTTCTCTTCCACCCGACTTTCTGGCCAGGTAGACGGGTTAGGGTATGTTCGAGGGGGTGCTGAGAAAGTTGCTGGCGAGGGATATCCAGAGTTTGTTGGTCCGGGAGCCGGAGCTGAGAGGGGATAATTAGAGGGGTACTGGGAATACGGATAGCCTTGATTTGTTGGACCGGCGGAGTGCGGGGCAGGAGATCCATGAGCTGAGGGTCCCTGTGGTTGGTACGATGGATAAGTGTGATTCGATTGGGCGGGATTTGGAGGAGGAGGGGGAGGAGACTGCGTCTGTAGAGGATGTAACGTTGGCAACTTGGGGTTGTGGGGCGGGGTGGAGAAAGATGGTCTATGTTCTGAAAACGAAGATCGAGGTTCCGGAAAAGATGGACGTGGCAGCGGGTCTGTTTGAGGTTGATGATGAAGAGGTGGTGGGGGTGGTGGTGGTGGCACAGTAGGTGCGGTTGTGCCCAGGAAGGGACTTCGCGGGTGCGAGAAGGAATTGCCAAAATTTTGTCTAGCATGCTGGTCGCTTGTGAATGTCCTGGATCGTTGATCGACGGGGGACGTCGCCGGCGGAGGGAAATACGGCTTTGGCGTGGACGACGCCTCGAATGCGAGCTCATGTATCGATGGCAGCGACTGTCGCGGAGCGTCTCTTTGCTGTGATTTTTCATCATCGCCGGACGTTCGCCTACTCTGTGGCGGAGAAGGTGGGACTACATTCGCAGGATGTGTGGGCGCAGAAGACAGGTTAGGAACAGGAAAAGGATATAATGGTTTCCGGTCCAAATCCTCGCGCTTCACCGACTCGAGGGCCTTGATCGAAGGCAAGCCGAAGCCTGAGCTGTACCACATGGTTAAGCGCTGAGACAAGAGGAAGAAGGGAAAGAAGTAGAGAGAGAACAAGTGTGTGGATTGACCAACCTTTGACGGGCATCGACGGCTTCCATGACGTAGAGGGAAGTTGCAATGGTTTTGGTGGGTTGCGACTCCTGCGACGACTGCTATGTTCCTGCTCTTTCCGCGCAGGCAGGCAGGCAGGCAAGCCAACTGCTGCTCCTGCAATGACCAGACTTGAACAATAAGAGGTAGCCAGGCGATGTTGGTATCTGGCGCGCTGTCGAATGTCGAATGTCGAATGTCGAATGTTAGTGTGGTATGCTTGGACGCAGTGACGATTGATAATAGCAGTGGTGACGGGTGGATGGTGACGGCACGCGGAGAAGAGACGGATTCTACTATCGACTTTTGAATGGGCACTGGAATTGCGGCGGTGGTGCCAACAGAGAGGGCGCGGCGGGGGCGGCGGCGGCGGGGGAGCGGCTACCAGGTGGAGTTGATTGACTGACGGGCAGATGAGACGTCTAAAGGCAGAATCCTCCTCTTGCAACAACAACGACAATGGAAATGCAGCGCTGGGCGATATGGCATGGGACAGGTGCGTGTAGGTGGATGCAGTAGGCAGCAGGCAATTTGCAGGCAGGAGAGAGTGAGAGAGGCGGGATCCCGTGACGACTGGGAGGTGGTTCGGATCTCCAGATGGAAGGATAGATAGATCTCAGACAGGAACGAAAAGTGGTGGGTCTGACCGTCTAGTGGGCTGAGGTGCAGCCAGTCAGGTTGAATCCGAGGTAGTTTTGTGAAGGGGGTGGATGCGGCATGCAAGCGAACGAGACGGCGGCGAAGGGATAATGAATTGACTGGATCGATCAATGGGCCAATATCAGTGCGTCGGGCGGTGGGCTGGTGGGTGGGAAGGGGTGGTGGGTGCGTGATGATGGAAGAAAGAGATTGATGGGAAAAGAAGACGACAGCAGCAGCAGCACACACAGGCAGACGCAGCACAGCACACACACAGCAACCTCGCACCGCCGCCGTTACCAGGGTTTGGCAGCTGGATGGATAAGCGAGGTCGCCATGCCGGCAGGGTTGCGCTCGTTTCTAGTCTGTGTGTCTAGTCTGGCGGTGGGTGGATGGGCAGAGATCAGCGGGCCCTCGACTCCTGGTGCGCTGCACTTTATTGCCGTCGTGCGCCGATGCAGCCGGGCCTGCGATTTGCTGTGCCATGGATGCGACATGGGGGCCTCGGCACCAAGCACGCCAGCTCCACCTGCTTTTGCTCTCCTCCTTTCCTGATCAGATCTGCCTACGTTGGTACACTGTTGGGTGACGGGCGCGCAAATCGAATGACACCTGCCCTCCCTTGGTGTTGTTGTTGCTGTTATTCCACGGTGCGCTGCTGCTGCTGCTGCTGCTGCTGCTTGGAATCGCCGCCGTCGGATCGAAGCAGATGATGGCAGATTCGCGCGCACTAGCTAATGTCGCTCCCGAAGGCCGGGGACTTATGGCTGGCTGGCTGGCTGGCTGTCCTGGCTGCTCTACTCTACTTGCTGGCTGCGGCAGCGGACGGCGATTGCGATCGATGGAGATGCACCACACCACTGCCCACACCCATGCTTGCATGCATGCACTCACTGCATGTCCTCCATCTGCTTACCTAAGTAGCAGTCGTGGTTAGCTGCATCTGTCTGTGTATGAGTCTGTAGACGGGAGAGGCATGGTGCGGTATCCACTGCGCCTATTGGAGCTTTCATCGCTCAATTCCCATGCCCATACATGATCCCATCGTCCATCATCGTGCTGCCATGGAACCCAACCCGCCACCACCACCACCACCACCACAGCATAGCCCAGCCCATGGCTACGGCGCGCCGGTAGCACACCCAAATGCCAGCAGCCGTTTCCATGCAGCCAGATACCGGCACTCGACCAGCCATCCATCCATCCATCAGTTTATATCTCTCACTGCCATTCTACCTATGGCAGATAGGCCGTGTACCTGCCTACCTGCCACGTGACGACGGCATGCCGTCATCAATCCCACGCTAGCCAACCTGCCAGGCTCAGGGCTTCATCAGCCGCGACGGTACGATGCTTCGATCAAAACGGGGGGCGGGGCACCCGTTGCCGAACGCCCAGAGAGAGAAAGAGACTGGAATCACGATACTGCGTCGCACCGGCCTCTACGAATCGTGCGCTATCTCGAGCCCAATCTCGTCTTCTGCCTCTAGTCTTCTAGTACAGCAGCACTACCACCTCCCCCCATGAGCACATCACGCCACTTTTGAACGAGCTAATTGCCACATGGAGTCCGCCGCTTGCCCGTCCCAGCAGCGTGGCGCCTCCATTGTCAGCTGCTGCTGCTGCTCCTGCGCTTGCAAATCACCATTTCCTCGTTTCTCTCTCCCCTTTGCGCTCGCATCCATGCGCGTACACGCGTGTATTCATGTCAATGTTCCATATGTTCCATGGTCGTGAATAACATGTGCCCGCCGCAACACAGCTGGCCACGCTCTGGCAATTGCAGCCGGGGACCGACGCCTAGTGAGATTTAGTCTGCTCCGCGCCATCTATCGGCATCTTCCACATCGAGATCCTCGTCTCTGATGGCCATGCTCGGCTGTCAGGCCCAAGCAAGTATCGTTTGCCTCCGACATGCACAAGCACTGCCTTAGTTCCGAGACTTGGTCCTTGGATATCGAGAATTAAACAAGCCCAGAAACATGGCATATCTTGTCTGGTAGGGCAATCATCGACTCTGCTCGTCGTCAGCCCTCGGCGGTCCTGCCTTGCCGGGCGGCCTAACCATCATCATTCCATAAAGCTCACGCGCATGGTGACTCTTTGCAACATGCGTTCATGAGACGGTACAAGCATCATCCCGACGCTGCACGGACGGGCGCTGCGAACCACTCACCATGTCGACTATTGCTGTATAACCGTCTCGCGTATCCCCATCAAGTTACTTTTTGTTGGTTTCGTTGCTCAGGTCAGTTGGCCAGCGTGCGCATGGATACACTGTGTCACTAACCTTGCGGTCGGAGCAATCAATATTGGCGTCGCTTGGAACGATGCTCTCCTTGTCCATGATTAGTTGCGACATACAGAACGGCACCGCATGGGAAAAAAGGTGAATTCCAAAGCGAGCGTCATGGCGTGAATGCTCGTCCGACAAAGCCTCATGCTCCCCCCAGACATGTGAAGGAGATTGTACAGAACATCATCACGCCACGTAGGCCGCCCGCGCGCATATCCCGCACGTCGAATGTCTCACACGACTAGCTGGCGGAATCAAACAAGGTTTGCTGGTATATCCGTAGATGAATACACATGCTGCTCGGTTGATGGATGGGTACGAAAAGCACGGCTTGCGTCAGCCGACGAATTGGAGATAAGCGAGTTTGCGAGTCGAGCACTCCAACGGCTATTCGCAGTGCAGGTTTCAGGTGTCGAGGCGAAGGTCCTCGGAGGTCAGAACAGCAAGCAAGCTAAGGTGAGAGGAACGCCGACCAACGGTCAGATAGCAGATGCATGCCGCACCCGTACGTACTGTATGTAGTATGTAGTATGCGACTCTCCAGACGACGGCAAATGAAGGAGATGGGGGCCTATAATTAGATTGGCTGCAGCGGTACCAAGCCCCCCGATCTGGCTTATCGTATACCTAATCCCAGCTCCCGATGGGTGGTCAGAACAGACGCGCTGCAATGCGTCGAGCCTGGTCAGGACAGACAGGCAGACAGGCTCAATCTAATGTGCATGTACGTGCATGGGCATTGATGATTGGAAGCAATGGAAGGCTGAGAGGGGAAAACGTCGACGCAACCTGGTTTGATGGCCAATATTGCTCCGGTTGGAGGCAGCAGCAAAGGAAGGGCCCCACATGCGCCGCCGTGCACGAGGAGATGTGGTACGATCGGACACGCCCCACAGTCGCTTACGTCGAAGGATTCGACTCCAAAGTATTGATTGTCCTGCTCTCCCGCAGCATCCTCTCCCAGTACGGAATCATATCTGCGACGGTCCATGGCACAATCCAGTGCAGGGTTGGGCATTGTCGCCGTTTCGAACAGATTCATGTTGCCTGCCTGCCTGTCGCTCGTCACCGACGGACGCTCATGGCCTCGTTGCAGCCGGCTGCTGCTGACTCTCTCTCCACAGACATGCTCCCAACGGGCCAACTCGCAACCTCACTTGCTGTGGCTGCCAGCAATCTCTGCGCAACCGACGGCCAGGGGTATAAAAACACTGTCGGTCACATGTGCCGTACCTCGCTCCACAAAGATAACTGCCAGATGTCGGTGTATCTGAGCACAACGGACATGTGCCAGCTCAGCGGTAACCCGTAGCAGTGGGAGACAATATTGCTACAATGCACATGTATGCTCACGCTCGTCCTATCTCGCATGCAGCCCGCCCGATTCCTCTCCCTATCGCCCCTTAATACTGCGTTTTTGCCTGCCAAGGGGTGGGTGGCCGCAGCATCTTTACACGAGAATCTCGATGACAACCCTGCCAAACGCCTGCGCGTACGCTGATCTCCTTTTCGATTGCTCCCGAGCTGCCTCTCCCCCAGCTGCTTGCTCCTTGTGAAACCGGGCCAGAGAGGGCAACCAGCCTACGTCACCTGTGTTGGATCATCACCGGAAAATCCTTTCTGCTCCATCCCCCTCACGCAAACGCCCGCTGAAGCGTTTCAGCACAAGTCAAGGGCGCCTTATCGCCCGCTTTGGACCTCTACCGGACCTTTTTCACGGAACAATTGGATGCAGCGTATGTGACATGATGCTGCTCACCCTGTCGAGTCAGTCCAATGACCATCACTCTAGCCGGCATCGATTTCATGGGTTTGCCATCTGGCGTGGGAGAATCAGTGCCTAGTCCATGCCCAATGCGACCAAACATCCTTTGCATCTCTCTCTCCTTTGGGTGACGTGCAGGAGAAAAGGCGTCGACGATCACTTGTCAACCTCCTTCCAGCCAGAACCATTCTCCTTTGAGATGCCCTTTTCCTTTCCAATCCCCTTGCTCGCTAACCTCGCCGATGCTTCCGTTCCAGTACACGGCTAGCCAGGCCACTCTCAGGACCCTGCCACGCATGCTCACACCGAGATTAACATCGTATGATTATTCCTTTGGCGGTGGAATGCCACATAGTCGGAGTGCGCCTCCGCCGCGAATCAGAATACCGTGCGCGCCCGCCAACACTGGGTGAGAGAGAAAAAAAGGAAAATGAGGCGTTTCTAGTTGCTGCTCCGTCGCTTTTCATGACTACACTCCTTTCCCTTGATTTGCCCCCCATCTCGTGCTCCTAGCCCCGCGCTGAATCGCATACTACAAAAGGTCGGAATCCAAATACCCTGAAGCGATTTGCATACACGAGATTGCGTTCACCTCTTGGCAAACGCAACGCTGCGCCGCTTCTCCCTCCACCAGCCAATGTTTCCGTAAGCAGTAGGTCATGTTCCCCCGATGTTCCTTTCCCGCCCCAAAGAAGAAAGGCATCCGTGGATTCAAATAGCAGCCCGACAAGTCCCAAACAGTACATGTGCATAGACGCCCATCGTTTGTTGCCCGTCTCGCGCGCTAGGGCCAGTCCCAGTGGGGGATGGCCGTCGCTCAATGTAGGCTAGCAGCGGGCCGAGGGAATAACAAATCTGCTTGTGTCCGTCCGCTAGCCTGTCAACGGGGGGAGGGGGGGTTAAAAAAAACCTCAGATAGCCGTTGCAGCAAAAGGAAAACAACCCAAAAAACAAGCTGAACATGGGAAACCCTTGGTTGCACAATGTTCTCCACATCGATCGAATAACGGTCTCCGAGGCCTGCCCAGGACAGGGCTTTTTTGCTCTCGAGGGGAATTCCTTGTCCAGATGCAACCGGCGTCAGTAGTGTGGCCTTCTTTTGTGCGTGGCTTGGATTGGACTTGATTGAATATATTGATCGTGGGGTATTGTAGCAAGATGAACAGCCGTGGTCTGACGGCCAACTCTGGGTTACTCGCGCTCGTGGAAACCCGTTTAGTCCATTCTTATCTTGTGAAATCGTTGGACGCATATTTAGAACTAAGAAATTGTCGCTCTCCGTCGTAGCTGGGTGATCAACCCAACCTCCGCTTCCACACCACATCTCCGAACAGGTCTATAAAACTTGGACGGCAGTAGTCAATCTCATCAATCTCGTTGATATTTCGATAGAATAAGCAAAAGAAAAACCTGGTACGAAATATGTGTTTGTGTTGTTGTGCTGGAGATAAATTCCGATATTCGTACATATGTGTGTGTGCAATGTATGCATTGGTCTTGGAGAGAAGCGCCACATGCACGAGAGGTAATCGTTCACAGAGAGAGGTATTTCTTAGCAACTACTTTCATCAGCTTTCACTCGCATGATAACGCTCTGGAATCGAGGTGAGCCCACAAATCCACACGCTCACTGTGCCTACAGTCTGATCCCGAAGCCAAACATACAAAAAAGGAGAATCAGGCATTGAAAATCAGAGATCAGCCCTCCATATTCGAAACAATGTGGACGTACTTGCATCCAACATGATCGGCAGTCCCAAGTTAGTACGCTTTCTGATTTATACTCTCCCTCTGTTCACAGTGACCATGAACAAAGTACCCGTGTTTTGTCGGGATTATATCTCAAGAGAAAAGAACTTCTAAAGGGTGTTCAATGAACAGTACCTTCGATCTCTAGGCACGTCCCCGTATGAATTGAAAATGTAATATATACAGACCCATGGAACAAATCAACTGATCTTTGTGAAAAATAATGCATGTCAGGGCAGAATTGTACAACAACCCACCGATGGCACTCACGTTCGCTTCCTCTCCCTGAACCTTTCCCCATAGTCTGCCCTTCATCTACCTCTCTACAAAGTGCCACGCATGATTCTGCTCTTCCCTCCACTGCCAATCTTCTTCACCAACTTGTCTCCAACCGCAGCCAAAGAAGCCTCGAATTCCTCCACAGACTTCGCTCCCCATTTGGCGTTCTTTGCCACGGCCTCGGACCCAGGAAACGCGAGGTACAGAACATCGTGCTTGGAATGTCCCTTGTTTCCGTTCAAGCCTTCGTTCGGGAAGCAGGTCTTTGCTAGACCCAGACTGGTTTCTCCCGTGACCTTGCCTCCGTTGATATCGCCGTACACGCCGTACACCAACTTGTTGCCGCAGACGACCGCCACAACACTGAGCGGCTCGATGTTGCCGTCCTCGGTCGCGTCGAATTTCTTGCCACCGTCGCCCTCTTCGGCGCTATTGTCGTTGCCGAGGACCACAAATGTGTGGATGTGCGTGTTGAGATCTTTGACCGCACCGTTGGAGAGCTTGCTCACTTGGTCTTTGAACGCCGTCTGACCTTGCCAGCTACCGTCGCCTTCGCACGTCGAAGCTCCGTCGCAGTCAATGTCTACATCTGCGTAGCCGTTGGATGTATCCTTGAGGTATATGGCACCACTGCCAGAGTCTTTGCAGTAGTGTGTGTCTGCCTCCTTTTGTCCAGAGCTATAGGCAATGGAGATAGGGTTTGCGCATTTGCCGTTCTAGGTAGCACCGTCTTAGTAACATGATCGAACTTGAGATGGGAAAAATGGTTTTACCTTGTGAGAATCAAAGAAAGACTTCAAGTTGGCAGGGACCTCACGGGCGACTGCGACACTAGCAAGGAGGAGAGCGATGGAAGCTGCGGTACGCATCTTGATATGTTATAATGTGTGTTAATGAGGAATGAATGTAAATTTCCGACAGGGAACAAGAGTAAATGTACAGTTGCAGAACGAAAATCGAAGTGAGGAATAAAACGAACGTGAATGCGATGCCGAAAAGCGCTGCTTGGTGGGGAAAACTCAAGGCGGAGAGAGCTTCACGCAAGCGGTTTTATACAATCTTTAGCTGCCCCCATCCGGTTTCGCCTCCACTCAGGTTCCGAAAAAAGAACCACCTTCTCGTATTGTCCGCCTCTCAAAACTATCAGTGGACGATTTCGTCACCGTACTTTGCCTATATCAGCAGAGGTTTCTTCCATAGAAACAAAATGTTTCAGGTAGTCCGTCGATGTGTCCAATAGCAGCGAGTTGCAATCTTACACGACCACTACCAAAGTCCGAATACTATATAGATCGGAGGTTATTCAGCCAGTTCAGGCAAACTTCGTGTAGCCTTGTCTAAATCAAACGCACAAGGATCCCAAGAGTATCCGTGCATCTACAAAGCGGGGGAATGTGTGTGAAAAAGGCAGGTTAGTAAGCTGTTTTTACTGCGACGCATAGCAGCGTTCGGAGATCGATGTGTGGGAGCAGAGTTGAGTTACGTTATTAGGGCATTGATAGATAGACATCGATAGGTTGAGACTTTTCAAAGCATTCTTAATTGCACTTGGCGTCACTCGGTACCAGCCTTACGTGCCGAGCGCCGTGCTCAACTTACCCCAATTGCAGCCACGTTGACGAACATCTCCAGTGACACTGCCTTGTTTAAGCTCTGTGATGCGAGGTCTTGGAGCGTGGTCTTACTGCAAGTGCATTTTCTTTGCAGCCTAGCACTCAGGTGTATATGAATGTCATGTCTTACATGTCCCCGAAAGTATTCAGACCACGGTATGTTGCAGGCAATAGGTGAAGGGTTTCTGTCGGATTTCCGTGGACAACACTTGCTGCCTCAACATATGTAAGCAAATGCATGATGCCACTTGCAGCTTCGAAGACAATTATAACTTACGAATGCCGCCGCCATACCATAACTTAGGGGGGAACCAGATGGGGGCCAAACCGTATCGCGACTATTCTGGGATATGGTTCACCGCAAAGTTAAGACCGAAGCTATGGGGCCCGGCTCTTTAATGTAAAATGATGCAACTTGCTATCACAGCCCGATCAATGGGAGAGACTAGTCACATGAAGCAAGTCAAGGTTTCTCAATAAGACCGCGTTGAAGCAATTCGTAACAAATAAAGTAGCTTGGGTGTTGAACCCTGGCCTGGTGCTGAAAGCAAAACTCCTCGGGTGAGAACGTTTTGTAACTGCCTTATTTTTGTACAACTCTTTTATCAGCCTTTTGAGTGTAGGAAACACTTCAACTTCCAATCAAGAAACATCTTAAAATGAAGTAGCATTGCAGTCTTTGCACGATTGCAAAGGCGACGCACACGGATTGAAGCCGCACCCCTCTCTACACATATTTCCAATCCACCGACTCTCTTCTGACATTAGGCCTCATATCATCATAGCTGGTATACACGCTCAGATGATGAAGTTAGTCTGCGAACCCATGGAATCAATAGTGTTCACGAATTCCATGCATATCAGAAGCCACCACCCTGGAATCACAGGTAGCTGCTCATCATGGTTCCAATGTGCGCCCTCTCCTCAGCTTGTTTCATTACGCATCAGTCATCAGAGCTTCTCATTTATCTGAATTACCCGAAATCAGGTGTCGCACGATGATTTCTACAATAGCATTTTTTGACCTGCATTCTAGTGAAAAATCGTTCTGCCTCGCTATCCCATACCACATCCTTCGGCATCAAGCGCACCGGTTACGCTAGCAATCGTTCATAGCAAAACAAGATTCTGATTGCATATATATATATCCTACGGAGGCAATGAGTGAATAATAGTTAGTATACTTGCAATTTGTGCGCGTAAATCAAAATAACCAATGCCAGCTTCGAAGGGGAAACCCGTGACAAGAGGAAAACCCCTCAAGCACAGCCTCGTTTCCCTATCCCAGACGCGGGATAAATCGCGCATTCCCAATTTGACAACCCCCCCGCCCTTTGTACAATTTGTTTCAACATCCAACCTCACCGCCGACTCTCTGACCTTCTCGCCCCCGAACTTTAATCCAGAAAATCTAATTGCTCGATTCGCGGTCCTTCTCGTAAAATTGCTCGAAGACACGATCCTGAATGTCTTCTACGTCACCTCGCGAGGTATTGAGCTGACTACGAGCTTTTCGACGGAAGTAAACCCGTTTGGCGAACTTCCACGTCTCTACGCCGAGGAAGAACATGGCCGCAGAAATGAACACGATACCCCACTCCCATGAAATTGGTGCATGCTTGAAGACAACCGTGTTGATAACAGGAATATATATGACCGGAAACAGTGTCACAAACCCGATCATGACGGCCTAGAATCACGAGCAAAAAGTCAGCCAAAGTCTCAAACCGCACAATATCTCGCGGCATACATACCCAAAAGAGGAACTGGTTGCGCCAGATATCATAGACGAATTGAGTCAAATAACGCTTGGAACCGGGTTGCATGCGGAAGAATGAACGTCGAAGATCAATCATTTCCCATGCAAGGAAGAGAGCAAACCATGTAAGGCATGCAAAGGTGGTTGCTCGGGCGCGGAAAACAAGCTCACAAGAAGGGCTGTAGGTCTCGTTGCAATTCTCTCCGAGATCACCGTTTCCAAACCCGTATACCACGAGCGTGAAACTGGAAAGACAGAGAGCGGTAATCCAAAGGCCGTATACTACCATGTCGACAAGGAATTCGATAGTGAAAATACCAGCTTTGAGAGATTGGGGCGGTCGGTTCATGATGTCTGGAACAGCACGCTCGAAGCCAAGCCCCATATCTGGGAGACCAGAAGTTGCCATGATGATCCAGACCACCTGAACGGGGGCGAGGGGGAAAACGGATAGTCCAGTGTTGTCCTTGAAGGCCAATCCTACAAGAAGTGTACCTAAGACATCCGAGGGTGGTTAGCTGGGACCTGCCAAACGGAATCCGATTGACTTACCCGCCTGAGCCACATTCTCAGCCAGTACGTGGAGGACAAACTTCTGAATATTATCGAATATACGTCGCCCTTCTTCAACAGCGGCAAGGATAGAGGCAAAATTGTCGTCAGTCAACACAATATCAGACGCATCCTGAATCTCCGTTAGAGCATGTCCCCGACATAGTCGCTCGCTGGCTATCACAGTACTTACTTTAGCGACATCACTTCCGGCTTGTCCCATAGCGATACCGACGTTGGCCCGTTTAAGTGACGGCGAATCGTTCACGCCATCACCTGTCTAGAGCAAATTGTCAGCGTGTGCCAAGAGCAAATCAAGTACCTGCATGAATGGCTACTCACCATTGCACAAAAACGTCCTCGGCGATGTAAAGCATCAATCATGCGGACTTTGGTACTGGGCGCACATCGTGCAATCACCAGAGGCAAGACAGGCAGTGCGTCCACTTCGTCGTCGGACAAATCATCGAACTGAGAAGCGGTCATAATCAAAGACTGCTGTACATCCTGAGCGATGCGCCTCATGCGATCCTTCGACGGCAAGATGCCAACCTCTATAGCGATAGCTTTCGCGGTTTCCGGGTGGTCGCCAGTGAGCATGTGAACTACAATGCCTGCTTGTTGACATTGCCGAACTGCAGGTCCTGACTCTGGTCGAGGAGGATCGTACAATCCTACTAGCCCGCGGAAAACGAGGTTGCTCTCAACAGAGGCACGGTCGACTTCGGCACCCTTCTCGACATGCTTATCGAACTTTCTGCTAGCGAGAGCCAAAACACGAAGACCCATTCCAGCCAGAGCCTCCATGTTACGCAATATCTCCTCGCGCATGTCGGTAATGTCGACCAGTTCTTCGGATTCATTTGGAGCATACGTGTTGCAGGCTTGGATGACTCGTTCCACGGCACCTTTGGTGAAAACAAAAGAATCACCACTGGCATTACGCATGATGACAGACATACGTTTGACGTCCGAATCAAATGGCAATTCGACCAAATCCTCCCATTCGGAGTCCTTTTTCACAAGACGACTGCGATCCATCCCGAACCTGGCGCTCAATACCTGTATCGCGATTTCTGTAGGATCACCATGGGCCTCCCATGTACCGTCGTCCTTCTTCTTCACGGCGGCAAGGTTGGCCAGGGTGGCAACATTGAGAAAATTCTTGAGCATCCCGCTAGTTGGCGAATGGAGGTCTTGAGAAGACACCAACTGCCCACAAGCATCTCCCCCGGCCGCCAGGTTCATGTGGTGGGGTGAATCTTGGCCACACCGAACGTCACCAACTGTGGGATCTTGGGGAGATGTTGAGTTCTCGATCGTGTATGTTCCAAGACCAGGAATCCATGCACCACGAGCAATCATTCTACCTTGCGTCAGGGTGCCGGTCTTATCAGAGCAGATGTCTGTAACGCCGCTGAGGGCTTCGAGTGATTTGAGATTTCGCACCACGACATTCCGCTTGACCATGCTCTTGGTTCCTGCCGCCATAGTGATGGTGAGGACGACTACCAAACTGGCTGGAATCATGGACAATCCAGTCGCAACAGCATAGATGATCACCTCTTGACGTGAACTAAATTTATTGGCAGCGAGGACAATAATGGCGCAAACAACCGCAATGCCAAACAGCAACATGGCAAGTTTGGACAATTTTCTCTGTAAAGGCGTTCCGACGTTCAAGCCAAGGAACCTGCCAACAGCATCCGTGAAAGTCAACGTGTACGCCTCAAGATAACGATGCGGTTTTGCCTTGCCGTTTTCTTTACGCTTGACAGGCCGTACTTTGGATTCCTTTTCACGAAGCTGAGAAGCGATAGCTCCAATCTCAGTGAAGACACCTGTTGCAAATACAATGCCCTTGGCACGCCCTTTGGTGACGTTGGACGATGAGAATGCGACATTGAGACGATCACCAGGTCCGGTCTTGTCGTCGAATGTCTCCTCTTCAATCTTGCGGACCGGCAATGACTCTCCCGTTAACAAAGCTTCGTCTGTTTCAAAATTGACGGCATCAAAGACTCGCATATCAGCGGGAATGGTATCGCCAGTTTTTACTTCCACCAGGTCGCCAGGGACGACTTCGGCGGACGGGATAGTCATCTGCTGTCCTCCACGGATCACACGAGCAGTTGGAGAACTAAGGGAGCGAAGGGAGTCCATCGTCTTCTCGGCCGAATACTCTTGGAAAAAGCCGACAACGACATTCAGTAAAATCACGAATGTGACAACGCCGCCTTCGATCCAAGACTTGATTGCAAAAGAAACTGCCATGGCCTATAGTTCCAACCCCCAATCAGCACACGCCACACACGAAAATCAATGAGGTTGTTCAACTTACGAGAATAAGAACGAGTGTCATAGCATTGGCAACTTGAGCAATGAGGATCTGCATGACAGATGCACTCTCTGCCGCACCCAGATCATTTGAGCCATATTCTTCGAGGCGCTTCTTTGCTTCGGAAGCATCTAAGCCAGACCAAGTGCCGGATTGTAGCTCGCTGACAATTTGAGTGAGGGTGAGACCATGAGCGGGACGAGATAGAGGGCGGTTGGATTGACCGCTAACATGGCCCTCGGTGGGCGCGGTGGATTTCTTTCCCATGATTGGGATGTTGATTGTTCTTCTTTTTCTTTTATTGCTGACAAGGAAAAGGTGTTTTTATTGCGAGACACTCTACTGGAGAGGACTTCCCGAGAAATTATTCTGTTATTGGGATCTTATGTTGGAGCTCGTCCCGTGGTCTGTGGCCACGACGACGAATTGGTTTGAAAGTTGAGTTTTTGTTTGATACATTGACTTCAGCACAGAGGGGTCCGCCCAGACGCCGGTCCCTAACAATAGCCGTAGAGGCAGGTAAAGTGTTTGGGAAATAAGAGTATAAGATCGGAATTTGGGTGCGGATGCGACACAAGAGCAGATTGTTGGTATCGGGAGAACACAAGATATGAGAAACGTTGATGGTAGGCAAGCGGACTTCGCGGGGTGACTGGCAGACATACGAGAATAAATAGCCAACGTCTACGTACAGAGTATGTGGAACAAGACTTCTAGCGGAAACAACGGCATCCATCGACTGCTGCTATTTGCTGTCACAGTTGGGTCCCCATCCACTGCTGTCTTGGCTACGCTTCCGCAACATTGGCAAACCTCTAACGGATGAACATCTCACATACATTTACTATACACAGGCATCGGATAAGCGCATTATATTCCTATTCCACTCGAATTCATGGGCCTCGATGTTTGGTATGCGTTTCGCACGCCGAAGAAGAGACAGTAGGCCGTGGCATAGGTGTGGTGAGGTCGGTGAGGAACAAGGACCGTCATCTTGGCGCGAGAACTTTTGCCTGGGCATGCCGAGCGACACTGATCGCCACGATGATTGTCGGCTCTTGCGATATCGATGACATCAAACTACGCTCCCATACACTTCAACGCCATGGAAACCACAGCCTCGAAAAAGGACTGATGCAGCTGCTTCCCATTCTAAGCCGACTCAATCGCTGAACACGTTAGGAGTCGAACAGTATACGATGATGCTATCTTCTGTTTGCACCGACTGAACACATGTCTAGATAGTATTTCAAAGGAATACGATCATCCGCCAACATCCCGGGCTCACTCCACACATCTTAAGTATCGGAGTTGGGGGATCACATTTTCCAAGAAATGGGCTATACATCGATCATAAGGGGCCGAACGAATCATCATGGCATCTCAATCAGCTCTGTCAAAACTAATCCTCGTGTGTTTGCCTAGGTCTACGTGGCAACCTAGGTGTTTCCGTGTACTCCAAATGGTTGTGGCGCACACAGTAGCGACGAAAACACGTCGACTCCAAAATGCAACGGTGATCGACCTGTATTAGCATTAGGGAATTGAAGTCAGAATCCGTAGTTATCTTGCTTGTAGTATCGACACATCAATGCCTTGCATATTCTGTTTGTGACAAGCTTTTATTCCACGCATGCTTATGTGCTTGCCGTTGTAACCTTAATTTCGCTGACAATGATACCCTGTGTGAACCAACTTATCGAAAGGGGCGTGCTTAGCATGTATAAGGCAGGCAATCGCATGCTATTAAACAAACCACACATATCACTCGAGAGGCGCCCGTCTGAGCATTTTCAAATAACAAGCAGTAAACCCAAGATTTACAACCCCCTTCAATAGTATCTTGATCTCTTTGTTCTGTGACGTATCAAGAGCGGAGCTTTGTTCCCTTTGGATCTGTGATATAACAAGAGTCTTCAAATGCAAGGCCTTCTAGCTTGTTGTATGTTCGAAAACGTAGTGAACCTCATGAACGCAGTGGTTTTCTGTCTGCTACAATCTGCATTTCTAGGGATCTTGGAAATTAACCAGTACGAATTGTTTGTCTCTGAATCCAGGGTGAGAAACGGGCTCCCATGATGGCTTTGAAATATACTACTGTTACTCATACAACCGCAAATGCATAATTTACAGTCCAAAGGGGGAGAGAGAGAAGCTTGTCATGTTTGTGTTGTCAAGTTTTGTGTGATATATACTCCAACTCAGCATCATCGGACAAACAATGTGAAGGTTTACGTTTGACTTTGGTCCACACAAGCATTATTGCCGACGTAATTACGTGGATATGGCGACAAGCATACTTTACTGTCTATATTTGTTCTTCGGTGATGCATACAAGATGGACTTTTGACTCCTCTTTCCCTTTCCTGGGAAAGCTTCATATCAGCGCAGTCCGGAAAGATATAATATGTCGAAGGAAAGGGAATTTTGGCCGCACAGCAGCAGTGATGGAGGGATGGTTTGTTGAAAAGCATATATCAAACTTTAAGTAGATAAGAGCCGTAAAATGCTATCGGCTTCCCCAACATGCACTATACAAAAGCCATCGTGGGACGGAGTGGAGTTGTCGGTCAAACCCCCACTCGGACGCGTGTTATTCATCTCTCTCCGACAGCACAGTGTACCACGGATACACAGCAGAGAATAGGTCCTCTCAGGGTCCTCGCACCCACGAATTACGCAACCCAACCATCCCTTGGGAGCGAAAGCTATTCATCACAAACTTAATCTGGCACCAGCATCCCCAAGAAACCCCGCCCATCCCAACAATCCGGAAACAAGGCAATGTGAGTGAAAGGTTAAGGAAAGACATCCCAAGTGCTGAGTGGCGTCCTCTGACCAAGCTAGGGGGATTCTGGCACACCCCGCGATTGCAAAAAAAAGGCATACGATCACGCCCGCCCGCAACGTTCCCCGACGGTTCCCGAACGATCGAACCAGCGATCGAACGGCATTTAGTCCATCCAGCCAGCCGGAGAAGAAGGAGGGATTTCGGAGAAACGCAGTGACTCTGCATATGCGGTGGATACACAGATAACAAGCAAGTAACGCTAGTTTGAAGAAATGCGAGGGCGGGATGCGCACATTGTCGTCGCCTGCTGTCGTGTCCCTGCACGGCAACCATAATCTTTTCATAAGGCAAAAGACGGTGTATGATTAACAGTCATGATGGCAACATGTTTGCGTGTTATGCACAGTAGACAGCATGCGGCGGTTATATCCCGAGCGAATCGGCGAACAGGATGTTTCTGTTTTTTAAGCTTTGCAAGGTGGGCTGCATAGTTTCTCACATCGCGCACCACTATAATGCGTGTTACCGGGGGTTCCGATAACTCGACCGCATGTAGCGCAACGCAACGCGGTTGGCATTTTTCTTTGGAACATGGTGACCAGTCTGGTCTGGAACAAAGAAGGGTCCGGTTGTTGTCGGGGTCCTTAGGATTGGGGGCGTGGGCTACTAATGTGTTAGATTTGCTCAGAAGCGTAACGACATGATTTGATGCCGGCAGTCGTTTTTGTAATGCGCTTGCGTTGATATTGGTACGCGACACAGACGATGGATCTGTCGATGGACGTGTTGACGGGAGGATGATGTAGTGGTGGTGGTTGCACGTGGGGTCGAGGGGAAGTGCTACCTGGGTACCTGCGAGTATCGACCTCGTCTCGTGGAACGGGAGGGAGCATTCGAGGAAACTGAAATTATTTCGTCAGAACGACGTTTGGCCAAGGTGCCTGTCTTTTGGTGCCTGCAATGCAACGGATGCTGCCAGGTTAAGCCCTGGAGGCTCGCAGTATGCTGCCATCGTTTCGGTGACTCAAGAGGTCGATTCATGGTGAATGTTGCGGTTTGTTATTTTCGGACGTCATGTCTCTGCTGCAGCTTCCAAGTTTAGACATTGTAAGCCTTGAATTCAACGAGTTAGTGGCCCTGCTATGGGCTGGGGTAAGGAAGATGGATTTTGGTTGCAAGGACGTTCGTTGCTTTTGCGCACGCACTGCTGTCAGCCTGCTTAGTGCCCATAACAGGCTTGCTCCGCAGATGTGAGATGGCTGGAAATGGCAAAAAGACTTTGTTCAAATGGGTTTATTTTCGAGTTGGTTGCAATGTACGTGTGTCGAATGCCCTAGCACAGTGGTGGCCCAAATAATGATACTGTTGAATTGCTGGTGTATCAGAGGATTGGCCAAGAAGAAGACTTCGCGCGAGATGAGATATGGGTTCCTCATATGATGTATTCCCCCAAGGTTGGTCACGGGCTCGCTATGTATACATGACGTCCAGGACATGAAAAATGGATCCATTGCGTCCCAGGTGGGGAGAGGCTCGAGAGATGAATTGTAGCCAATGTGGATTCGTGTTTGCAGGGGGAGACCGGTTCCTGGCCGCCCCAAATGGAAGCTGATAGCCCCAGGGTCGTGGCCACCTGACAGCTCACGTAAAATTGCCAATTCTCAACCAGATTGGCAATCTCGACAACAAACAGCTCGCTCTACCCTCAGGCAAGGACGTCAACAGGGCAACACTGCTGGCGGGGAGATGTGAGTAAGCCAGCCACACACTGGCTGGCTGGTGAGAGGGATGTGAAGCCACAATGCTTGATGCACCATGTCCGAAATGAGCGACGCTCTTTGGGGTGAATGCTCGGCCAGGAACGGGAGGGTTGCGTACGCAGTAGGTTAATGCAATCATTGTAGCACCCAGATGCCGCTGCACAGAGAAAAGGAGCGAATACGGTGACGGTAGTGACAGCTGACGGACGTTTAGGTGCACTATCTGATACAAAAGCGGCCCAATTGGGTGTGCCGGAGCGCAGGGTAAAGGATACATTTACGTCTGCCCCCTATTAGAGGCCCCAGCAAACCGGGGAGACGCTCAGACGCTCACAACTGTGGCAGTGCGAAGGACCATTACGCGTTGGAGACCAGGGCAATCGTTAATTTCTTGAAGCACCACAAACAAAAGGCATCACAGACATAGATGGGGGAAAAGAAAACAGCTCGCACGAGGCTCAACGGCACACGACTCTCGGCGTACCTCGCCTGAAGGGTTCCAGGGGAACAGCTGCAGATGGACTAGCCTCACTCCACAATGGCTAGATGAGGCCTTTTTGGGGGAGTCTTCCTCTCGTTGCTGCCCGTTTTGGACCCGTTTGCACAGTGAGGAGCGACAAGCCGGCGTCCGACTACAATGCGCTTCCAGGAGCCGTTTGCGCACCATGTCCACAGATGGGTTCGGAGGCTCCGGCACTGTAAACTTGGCCGTGTGACGTGATTCCTGTTTTCCCACGCTGAGATGAATGTGGGGAATTCCCGAGCGATGCGCGATCAATCTTGTTGGCTGCGTGCTTGCTTCCTTGGTCATTTGTCTCTTCCAATTCTAGTTTCCATTGGCAGCGTCGCCAGTATCCCGGGATAACAGCGGAAATTGCAGCAATATTCCATCGAAATGACGATGAACGGCAAAGAGGAAACTCTGACAACCGCCGAAAAATCTGTTTTCTAGCCACCTGGGGAACAGCGGGCTGTCAAATCTGTGGCTTCGACACACTAGCTGAGGAGATTGGAGGCTGCCGCTCATGGGCCCTGAAGATCATTTTCTCGCAAATCACGTCCTCGAGAATAGAGCCGAGTTGGACGACCCCAACACCTGATCATCACCAGAATTTTCCTAGGGCCACATGCGCTTGCTAACTTTCAGCGCCGCGAAGGAGAGCCATTGGAATCACGTCAGAAGCTGAGTGAAGGTTGCAAGAGACGGCACTTGCTGTGTAGACCAGACGCGGAACTGGTTTGCAGCGCACCCGCACCATTTATACAGGAGTTTCAGACACTGCACAGCGGCGGGTCTGGATGCGTTGCGCTGAAGGATGACTTGCAGTGGAACAGCATCGTCGGGGGGGGGGGCTGTATGCTGGATTAGCGAGCAGTCTAGATATGCAAGCCGAAGCCATCAGCAGAAGCAAGCTTGGTCTGGAGCTGAAGGTGCCGAGACTAAGCAGCTCGGTCGGATTTGACGAGTTTGCACGAAGAAGAAAAGTCGGTTCATTGCTGTATAAGTGATGGTAGTGAAAGCAACGAGTTGGATGTCGGCGCAAAGACGGATACCCTAGCGGAGCGAGCAGCGAAGGCAATGCATCTCCATGCACCGGACAGCGAACAGGTTCGGGATTGTAGTTGAACAGACGTGGCTACTATAGACAGCAGCGGTGGTGAATATCTATGTAGTACTATTGCACAGATTGACGGAATAGAGAGGCGGTGCCAAAAGGAGGGTGGAGCAACTGAGGGATAGATTGCCGGTACATGGTGCATACATAGTGCGGGCGCGAAGGGAGATGGGTAGTTAGTCTGAATGAATGATGGACCCCCCTTGCATGTACAGCGGGAACATGTGTGTTGGTCCGGCGCGAGCAGCAACAACGAGGATCAGAGGATTGCTCTGGCATATGCTCGAAAGAGCAGCCGACGAAGCAGAGGATGGCGGCGGTTTGCCTTCTCCGCATTATTCAATCCTTTCCCCTTCCACGCCGGGGGCAAAAGGTTCATGGCACGTTCGCGATGGATGGATGGATGAGAGGGGTGGGTAAGCGTGCCCTGCATTGGCCAACCAGGAGTCGCGATGTATTGGTCGCCAACTGCGCATGTCCAAATTGCAGCTTGGCCCGAGGCCAAAGGCAGATTAGCTCTGGGTTGGATTCTGGCAGGGTGAAACACTTCTGGCTCATCTTCATGTTGCTGGCGACGCCGTCAGACTCGAGATTACGATAACAGCGAGAAGGCGGTCCACGGGGCCAATGGCAGCCACCAAGCACACCAGATAGCTGCGTCCATCGACAGGGAGGGGGGCCATGTTCGCCCGTGCGCCCCAGCCTTTGGCGTATCTCGGTGTGCGTAGCAGAGCGGCGGTGGTGGTGGTGGTTGCTTTGGTCTGCTCTACTGATCGCCAGGCACCCACCCACCTACGTAGTTAGGTAGTTTGCCATGTAGATTGGTTGCCAGTGGGCAGCATCAGAAGACTCCAAAGAGGGGCATGCCGCCGCGATTTCCGAAGCCGATCTCGTGGCGACAGAGGCGAGATGAAAGACGACGAGGGGAGACACACACCGAGAGAGGGAGCCGGGTTGCGGCAGCCTGCCAAGGAATCTGAGATATCCCTCGCCATCTGCAACTGGCATTTCCGTGAGCACATCGCTTGCATTGCATCACGAGCAGCGAGTGAGATGGCCGGGCTGGGGCCTGCTACCACTGGCCGCCCGCCTGGTTGCTGTAGCATCGAGTCGGCAATAAAGGATAAGGGAGAAGGAAAAAAAAAAGCCTCTCGACAACGAGCTGACGGTAGCATTGAGGCTCGCAAGCAGCGCAGTTTGGCAGACGCCGCGCCCTGCTAAGTGGTTGCTGCATGCATGGCTGCATACGTAGTGCCGTGTCTGCATGCCCAATAGGGAAATTTGTACAGGGTAATCAAATACCTGTCCACGTACTCAGTGTACATGATAACAATGTATACATGTATACATGCATGCATCATGGTCAACAACGACAATCCTCCGTCCTTGTCAGTGCTAGACGGACCAAGGTTTGGCAGCCGCCAGCTATCTTCCTAGGTGGCTGGCTAGCTGTTAGCTACTCTACCGACCTGTCAACGGTTTGCGGCATCTACTTGATGATAATAAACGGGGCAGCCATGTGTCTTGTCATGGAATCAATACATGGCTTGCCGTACGTACCCGCACCGTCATTGTGGAGTGGGAAATGGAAAACGCACAGCACATCCCCTTCATCCATCTATACGTGCGCAATTGAATGAAGAGAGAGAGACATGGCTGCCTGATAGCATAGGCGGTAGTACCTGACGTTGAGATGTGAGACGAGATGAGAAGCAGAAATGAGGAGGAGGAGGAGGAGATTGGAATGCTGCCATGGAACGGGCAGGTGCCACTTGTTGTAGATTGGTCGTACAACTGTGTGGTCAGCAAATCAAATGCCTACTCCACGGGCATACAGACAGACGACATGCCCTCTATCCCAAGTATCCATCTATCCACCCGTCGAGTATATATGTACAGTACAGTACAGTACAGTACATACATGCAGCCTAGTAGCTGAGCAGATGATGCTAAGGGAAGCGAAGGTTGTTCAGGCGTGCTGCGGCGCTCCTTGCCCTCACAGCCATCCTCCGCCCAAACAACGGGACTAGGAAGGAGCAAAGGCGACAGGGCCCTCGCAGCTTCCCAGGGGTCCCCCGCTCCTTCCAATGGTGTCCGTGCGCGCCCCAGCGCCGCTTCCCAAACCAAAAGCATCCGGTTCCTCCTCTCACCTACCTACTCGACTTTCTCTTACCAGTGCTTTCCGCAGCATCACCAACCCTCTCTCCTCCGCCTCTCCCTCCGCCTTTCCCTCCCCCCCAACCCTCAAAAGTCCTTTGGAACCTAACGTCGCACTCGAAGCTTGCTAATGCACGCTTTCGGTCGACCGCTGGTCTCTGTCCGTTCATTTCCCGTCATTCCTTAATCTTGTCTGGGTGTACTGGTTCTCATCCATCCATCATCCATCCATCCAACGACCTACGAACCTGCCTACCTACCTACTCAACTATCGCGATCCACCACCCGACCGGCCTACCTACTGACCTGTACGCTTGCGCCGAATATCTCTCGTCTACCTTTCTCTCCACTCCTCCAGATTGGCCATGCTGACTGGGCCTTGCCGCTCTTTAGTAGTAATCCGTCCTCACGTTGTACCTCGAGCGCGCCTGTTTCGTCTTGGTCCCGCAGTGTCTGCTCTCGTAGCACCACAACAAAACCGTCGTCCCACCTCCTTTCCGTCGAGCACTGGTTCGGCAACGCAAATCCTTCCCATCGGCCAAACAGATCGCCGTCTCGCGGCACTCCAATCTCGTTAGCCACCTCTACTGCAGCTCACCGCGTTCCTACCAACAGTCGTCGGTTGCAGAATGGCTCAGATCGCGCTGCCACGACAGCAAGCTGCTCAGACATCACAGTCTGCTGCAGTCGGCTCACCGCTCTACCAGCGCCGTCATCAGTCCAATACTGGTCCCATAGAACTATTACCGAATCCCGACTTCACCTTTCCTATGCGAGCCGACCGAACCTCCTCTGAGCCTGCCACCTCGAACCCCCGCCCGACAACCATGCAACAGACTTATCCTGCTGCCCGTCGAGGCTCCACGCCTGGTGGAATGAGATTGAAGTCTGGCAACGCTTTACCCGATTTCTCCTTCAACCCTGCTGCTGCCACGCAATCGGCGCCGTTGGCAGCGAGTCCTCCACAATCTCCCTTTTCCACGTCTACCCCATCACCCTCGAGGCCAATTGGTGGACATCGACGGGGTGGTAGTGAATTCATTGGAGGAGATGGCAGAGCAGGGGCTACAAACCTCCTCAGCACCAGCCCTACAAAGGTTGAAGGCACTCTGCCTCCTCCGAGCACCCTACGTCCTGGCCCGCCTGCTGGGCGTCGTGGCCATGCTCACCGTCGGTCGGGTGCCGTCTCGTCTCACGACCTCACTACGATCATGAACCCACCAACTGGTCCTCAGGTTGGCAGCGCTCCTGTCACTCCTCTCGAAGGCCCCAAGTTTGTTTTCGGTCACTCCGTAAACAAATCCATGTCGCAACCGTCATTGAGAGGAACAGCACTCCAGGAAGATGTCGAAAGTATGCCTAGGCCGCCATCCAGGGCCCGTGTAGGTTTCTCTGACAAGGTGGAGTACATTCGCCCCCTTTCCACCATCTCCTCTGAAACGGAAACATCACTGTCGACTATTCGTGGCCACTCTGCGACAAACAGCTTGTCTTCTGTTCTTAGCGCTGGCATAGCAAGCCCAGGTCGGGCTGTTCACCAGCCACTTAGTCCCTCCAGGGAACAGGACTCACGCCCAAGCACAGCTGGAGCCATTCTGGATCTGGGGAAAAGCGCTTATCTGGACCCTGAACTGGCAAATCGCAAGCGACCATCTTCAGCAATCTCGCTCACTCCTGTTGCGAGTCCGACGTCCGCTTCTACTCCAGCGAAACGCCGGGGTTTCTTTCGTCTGGAATCTCGCCGCAGTGACAATTCGGTCCCTACACTTTCCTCGAGCGCATCTGACCCTGCACTTACGGTGCCCATTGATTCGCCACTTCCATCGCCATCAGGCATCAGCAGTGAATTCGCGCCCGAGTCTAGCAAGACTAAGAGTCGCAAGTCTGGTCGCACACCACGGAAAGTGAAATCCTGGGCAAACTCAATCATTCCAAAGAAATCCAAGCATGGCAAAAAGAGCAAAGGGAGAGCCTCGAGCCCTCCCCTCGAATCCCCTGTGGATGTAGAAGAGACCGATACATCCGAGGACCTCGATTTTGACGCCATCTTTGATGTGGACAACACCGTGACCATTGTATCGCCCACCGAAGATTCTTTCCCAGAATCAGAGCCTCAAGCTGATTACGCATCTTGGAGACCTCGCGAATTAAAACGCGTGGACTCTGATGTCAAGAGCCCAGTAATTGACTTGGACGCGGCATTGGGTCCATTCAATACTCCCCAGGGCCCGAGTGTGCGTTCCACACATCGAGGTTTTGGTGCTCATCGCAGAGCCATGCATAGCGCAGGAGGGATACTCCAGAGCCACCGTCGCACTGAGAGCGCACCTGAGCTTGTTCCATTTGATTTGCGAAATTCAGCTGGTCCGACAGCCTCGACAATGGCGGATGTATTCGAGGAAGAGGAGGAGACAGAGGAGCAGGCATCTAACAATGCTGCAAAGGCCAGCCAAGAGGAGCAGGAAGAGGTTGAAGAGCCTAAGATCCTGGTCGTGGAGGCTGACGATCTTCAGGACGGTTCAATGATTTGGAACTTCAACGATGGTCTGGGCATCAAGCGAGAGGAATCCCGAGTGTACGAATCAGGCAAGGCCGACTCATCCTCGGTCGATGCATCCGGTCCTGCTAACGATAACCCGTCATCTGCAATTGATGTCGTGGAAGTCGTGGAAGACTATGAAGAGCCTCGTACATCATCGCTAACCCAGTCATCTGACTCAACGATTACTTCACCTGCAGCCACAGAGGAAACGAAAGAGCGACAGTCCATGCTGAACCTTTCTATACCTTTGCCTCAACAAACTCTCATGACCCCTGACACTTTTACTTCCTCCTTCTCATCCCCGGATTACAGGTCAAGTCAAGCTTCGTTTGACACTCCTCGTCTGGGCACTGCAGCTTCATCCATGACAGATTATGCGGTCATGCCATCGCCACGTTTCGGCGACCATAACTTGGAAGTTCGCAATTCAGTGGACGATGTTCCGTCATTGACCTCATCCCGGTCTACTATGACGAGCGCGATGCAGAATTCATTCCCTCTGACTAGCCCACACCGTCCTGGCGACCGATCGGCATCTCTATGCTCTGCTCCAAGCGATACCGACTCTCGTAGCCGAAAGCGCTCTAGCATTGCGAGCCTCTCCAGACTTATCAACAATTCGTCCTTTGGAGAGAGGAGTAAGCTTTCGCATGAGCTTCGACCGCAGTCTGAATATGGGGAACCAACCCATAAAGACAGCAAGAAGAAGCATAAGCGTTTGAGCAAATTGATGCAATTCTGGAAACCCAAGGACTCATCACGTACTTGAAGTGTCCACTACATCTCCCGAAACTACTATACCCGCGACACTACCCACCTCTTTGAACCATTTGGCCGCAATTGCTGAGCGCAACTGCATGTTGGTGGCACGATATCATGGTTTTACCGAACACACCCTTTACCCCTTCTCGCATGACTACGGAGTTCTATCAGCGAGGCTATGATCCCTTTTAATGGCGTACACTGCGATGCATTTTCTTTCTTCACACACGATCAGGACCATCGCCCACACTCATTCTCTTTGTTTCTTACTTTCCATTGGCGTGAGATACCAGAAGGATACGAATCTGGGAATCGTCTACATGGGTAGAGATTTCTGGAGAACGTTGACTGGATTCCATTGCGGAAACTTTACTATCAACATACTGTTCCCTTTCCTTATATTTTCTTTCATGTCACACACTTTACATGGTCAGATCCAATCACACATACTCCAGCGCCGTGGGTGCGACGGGATATTTCCCAATGACGATGAAAATTTTATCCCTTTCTTTTTTTTTCCTTTGGCAGGGCAAGGCGATGGATAAGACCAAGGTCTTTTTTTGCATGGATGGCTGGTGTTGTCTGCGGGCCTCCAGTTGCGCTACAAGGGGTTGCAATCTTGGTGGGCTAATCTAGCACACAGCTGCAGATTTAAATAGGAACAATCAATGCAGACAAATATTGAGAGCATACCACCTAATCGTAGCCATGTTTTTCTGATTTTCCCTAATCAACTTCCTTTCTCCTAATCACACTGGACCCCATGACCCTAGCTGCAGCGCGGGAGGGAAAGCGAGATTAGTTCACTATGAGACAATCCCACTGTGATAAGATATATGCCCGCCATCATAGCTTCCCCGAACGTGATTATCTGAATGGGTCTCACATCTTACTCCCTCCCTTTCCTCGTTACTGGTCTCCAGGTTTGCCAGCATGGCACAGGGCAAAGAGAAAAGTGCCGGATCAAATGTCGCAAGTGTTTTTGCAAAATGATAAGCAGGTGCTAGGACTCGAAATGAGTATCCCACTAGAACCCCTACCCCTTACCCTTGTCATGTGCTCATGCGTATACCCGGCATTTTGTCTCATCACCACGAAATCCTGAGACGCGATTAATTTCCCATTTCTACCGACATGGTGATTGGGGGGGATTTTCTGGGAATGGATTTGTCCCTTTGATATTTCCGGTGTTTTCGGAAGGTTTGTCAGTGGAGCGAGAAGGGTTTAGAGATGACAGATTGTCTAAATTGTAGGTGCAGGGGAAGGATGCATGTTGAAGTCGATACTTTTTATTGGGACGAATCCAAGGGAGACGACCAAAAAAAAATTGTATCCTGACTAGTCATGTGTTATACTGGGGGAGTAATATGTGTGCTGGAGCAGTAACAGCACAAACCTTTCTTGTGATACTGTTGTAAAGTCGTAGTTGTGTAGCAAAAGCATCCACCACAGTAAAAAGATGGAGAGATACGCTATACCATAAATGGTTAGCTATCCCTGACTAGAGAGCTCCACTTGGCATCAACCAACTTCGAAGCTCACCAGCAATACACACACGAGAGCTACATAGAGCCCCCAAGTCACCTTCTTTTACGTAAAAATCAATTTGAAATATGGCCGACGAAGACAAAGAAAAAGCCGAGAAGGTCGCTGCGGCTAAGAAAAGAGTATGTTCGCCTGGAGCCCATCACGAGCTTACGGAGAGGTAGCTCGAGCTGCGCGACACTCGTCGGACGTACCGGAGTGGGGGAGACTGGTCCATATGATCGCCAAGTCAAGAATCGAGCTGACATATTCGAAATAGTATGAACAATTGAAGAAGCAAAAGGCTAAGAAAGCAGGGGGTGTGAAGAAGAAGGAAGACAAGGCCGAAGCCGACCCCTCCTCGAGCGCGGCGCCCGATAAAACGGAGGAGAAGACGGAAGAGCTTCCTACTACGGAACCTATCGAGACGGGGGTCGTTTCCCCAGATCCAGTCGAAGACGATGAGCCTTCTGAGCTGCCCTCTACGAAACAAAAACACGGTCGTAAGCCTTCGGTTGCTGTAGAGTCGCGGCAGCGATCTGCTTCCTTTTACCGTGGCGGTGCGTCAGGAACGCCCACCTCACCAACCGCGGTCACTCCTGGCGGTGGAGTGACGGGCGACATATACAGGGAACAGGCGCAAAAGATTGAGGAGCTGGAGAAGGAGAACAAGAGGCTGGCTGGGGAGGTGGAGGAGGGGCAGGCTAGATGGAAAAAGGGTGAGGATGAGTTGGAGGAGCTGAGAGAAGGGAGAGCGGATGCTGCCCTTGCGACCGAGAGAGGAAAGGAGGCCGATAAATTGGTGGGTGGCTGTTCTGTCGCAACCATCATAGGTGTTCAGGTCAGGCTGACAAGTAATGCAGAAAACCGAGGTCGAATCGTTGAAGCGACAACTATCACAGGTTCAAAGCCAGACTTCAAAGAACACCCGAAAGGCATCGACAGCATCTCCTGGTCATAATGCTTCCGTCGACGACTTGAACGCCCAGGTTGCTTCGAAGTCGGCTACGATTGAATCTCTCGAGCTGGAAATGTCAAACTTGAACAAGCAATTTGTTGATCAGACAGGCAAAAACAATGAACTCCAAGGGAAGATCTCTGCATTGGAGACATCTCTACAGAAGGCTGAACAAGAAGCGAGCTCCACCAAGACTGAGCTTTCTGACCTTAAAACCAATCTTGACAAAGCTAGTGACCAAGCAGCAAAAGACGGTTCAGACCGAGACTCCGCACAGACACGAATCGCTCAACTAGAAGCCGAATTGGGAGCCGCCAACCGCAAAGCGTCCGATTCCCTCTCTCGCGCAGAGTTGCTCGAAAAGAAGGTGGAAACCCTAACCCAGTTACACCGCGACAACGATGCGCGCAATCAAACTCGACTTCAAGAACATAAGAAGATTGAACGCGAAGCCGCCGAGCTCCGCACCCGCGTAACTGGCCTCTCCAACGAGAATTCGCGCCTCCGCGAAGCCGAGCAGCGCCGCCGCAAAGCAGACCTAGGCTCCATCGAAGATACGAGCGTACAGGAACTCGTTGACGAAGAGCGCGACCGCCTCCTCTCCAAAGTTCGCGAACTCGAGGAAGAGAACTTTGAACTCCGCAGGGGCGTTTGGCGTGACAAGCGCGCCGCCCTCCAACCCGGTATGGACGAGGCGGACCACGACACCAGTTTCGACGACATCGATCTCTCTGGCACAACGCCTACCGCTCACCGCCCAGCACATAACCCACTGGGTGGCTCCACTGCCAATCGCCAGACATCGTCTTTCCAGGATGTTATAGCTTCCGGCATCTCGGCCTTCACGGGCCGTCAGCACCCTCATGCGCCCCCGCATCGTCGCAGCGACGCGGCGAACCAGGCTCGACCGCTCGCTGAGACGCAAAACCGCGCGAGGCAGGAGAGTCTGGCAAGCTTGGGTAGCATGGATGACTTTGAGTTTGATGAAGATGCGTTCCGCAAAGCACAGGAAGAAGAAGCGAGGAAGCGGATTGAGAGGGTTCGTGAGATTAAGAGAGGTTTGGATGCATATAAAGGGTGGAGAGTCGACATTGTAGACGTGAGGGTGGGTATGGGGGGTGTGTTTGATGTATAGCTTGCTGTACTATCTGTGCAATACAACCACATGTCTCTTTCGCCAGAAAGGAGACTGGGTGTTGGTGAATGAAGCAAGCGTTCCAAGGTATTGAATTCTATACGTGTGCATGATGGCATCTGCTTTCACGGGACCGGATCGCCGAAGAAGTACCATGGATATGTAGATCATCACCTCGTTGTATATTGTCACAAACATTCCAGCCGGCGCATACTTCATTACTTACATGGCCTAAGACCTGTGTGTGGAAAGCTATGATTGAAACATAAATAAAAATTTCAGAGTTGGAGTTTGGGTGATCCTACACACAGCGATGGGGTTACAACGATGAAAAGACCCAAATAACAAGCGATTACCAAAAGAACAAGATTGAAACATAAATCACGGACTCGATATTATATGCTATGTATCTATCCTCCGTGCAAGACACTCTCGTCTGCTCATCACGACTGGTCATTACAGTCGTCCGAAACCACCTCCCACTCCGCATCCGAGGACTTGGAGACCACTGTCTGAGGAGAAGGAGTCGTTCCCGCCTCCCGCAACGCCTGCCGCATCTGGACAATATCTTGATCCAGCGTTGTGGTCACTGGCACTCTGGACTTTGAAGACGTCGTCCCGGTAGAAGATGAAGAAGAAGGTGCAATAACACTCTCGTCTGCTGGAGTGCTATTGCTATCCGTTGTAACTACAGGCTTTATGGCATGATTTTCCATCGAAGTATCAGCTGGCCGTCCCTCAGTATTGGTGTCTGACATTGTGGCGGGGTGTTGCGATGGTTTCCAGGTTGCGTATAATGCTTTGATAGCACCAATGGCATATCTCGCATTGTACGGGATTGGCCCAGACTGCGCGTGTATGAAAAAGACTGCCAGTAAGCTGCCACCCAGAATCAAACAAGGTTCGATTAACCACGTAGGCATGTGACCCTAGATTTTGAAGAAGAGAGTCAGTGTAGTTCAGATAGATATGCTACAATAGGTTACGGCGACTTCAATATGCCGCATCGCATGCTATCTTAGCATGTTGTTTTAGCTAGGGGTATACGTACCTCCTGCTCCGACAAGGAACAGAACGACATGATGGTTATTTCTAGTACAGTCGTCCAGAGGAACTGATGAACAAACGGCACGAGAGGTGTAACATCTGCTCTGAGTTCTTGCATGCCCGTCCAATCTACAACGTCATGAAGTAGGCCTCCTGTGAGACTAAGTACATATAAAACCATTGGAATCCAGATGAAGATGAGTGAAACAACAGTCCAGAATATTATGCCGCGGAGTAAGCTTATTACATCCTGTGTCTTTGCGAGTACATGTAAAAGTGCTTGGGCCTCAAGCACGATCTTTTCGGCATTTACAATCTGGGCATCGGAGACCAAGGCTTCTTTCGATGATGGGATCCCCGAGAGATGGCATACGGGGCCAAAACAATCGATCTCGAAATAGGACGGTAACACGACATTCCTCTTGGGCTGAGAACCTGGGACTTTCTTTGACTTCGTTGTCTTATTAGGGCCAGGCATGTGGCTACTTCCAGTAGACCGCATGAGAATGTTGCGCAACCGACACAAAGAGTTAGTACCTACAGCTCTGGTCCAACGATAGAGCTGAGCGGCTTTCTCGGAGAAGGTAATGATCGCGCCAGTAAAGAAGCTTTCCTCTCGGTTGGTGGGGACAAAATGCAACTTGTCACACCCGCTCTGAGCCCACTGAGACGTTTGTGTCAGAATATCTGGAAAGCTGTGATAAGGCACGCCCATATAGTGGAGATCGGATATACGTGCAGCTCGAAGGAGACAATCACGGTGCGTTTCGAACATAGGTCCTCGCTCAAGTGGAATACCCAGGAGAGATTGGAGTCGCGTGTCTACGAACGGCTCTTGCATGTGTCGGTGCTGCAACGCTTCAAGCCTCGCTGTAGCTGATCCATGCATTGGCTCGATGACATGGTGCAGGCCTCGAAAGCCAGTGCCAAGGAGGATGGGACCTAGCTGGGCCCAAATGAGGCACGCAATCTAAGAGAAAGAGTACAGAGTCAGCGAGATCAAACATCGATCGATTAATGGGTCTTTGGGATCGTAAGACGTCGCACAACGTGATGCCCCGGTAGGGACTATAACAAACGTACCAGGTAAGCAACCGGCACAACTGATTTCGTGATCTTGCCCATGATGAGTGATGTGGAGAAGTTGAGTTTGAAAGTACCGTCAGATGGCAAGACGGCCGTAGATGGAGAGGTGGAAGAAAATGGTTGAGACGGAGAATGTTGGGGGGGAGAGGGTTGAGGGTGTAGAGTGGTGAAGATTTGAGATTATATAGGGCAGTGGTCGAACTGGCGGAACCAAGTGAACAATCAAGCAAACACCCGAATGGATCAGTTTGTGGACAGAGGAATGTGCAAAATTCACCCGCGTGGGCAAATACAGCTCTAAGTGACGCGCGACGAAAAAAAAAAAGAAACCGTTAGCCAATAACAGACGATGCTTAAAACATGTATTGTTAATGGGAGATGGCTGTTTCGTGCAAACGTACATGTACATATATGCAAGTATACAATCATCAAATGGGTCGTTTGCTACTTGTGTCACTGCTGAAGGGCAGGAGCAATGCACTGAGCATGTAGGCAGTCACGTCCAGGTTGGCGCTGGGACCGTGAGGCGCAATTTCAAAATGGATACCGTCGACATGACCCTTTGATAGTTGGATAGCTGGTCTACAAATGTTCGTTCCAATTACGCGATCCTGCGAGACGACCGCCTTGATGTTTTCCCTATGTCTTCGATGTCTTCTACCTCCTCAGTTTTGACTGCGGGCCCGCTGGCTATCACGGTTTTTTTTGTTGGTTCTATATTTTTACTCCACACAGTTTCCTCGCCGTCTGATCTCTCTACCTTCAACACAGCCTGCTCTTGTTTGATCCTAGCCGACTTGGCTATAACTGCCGACGGACAGAGTCCTCGATCGGAAAGTTTGCAATTGCCACACTGTCTCCCAACTGGTAAACATATTGTCTGTCCGAAGCCTACCAGCAGATTGTTGATATCATGCCACTTCTCTCTGGGCAGCCAGGACTCCAAAGCAGCTCTTGTTTCTTCGGGTTGTTTTGTTTTGTGCCACCCCCATAAGTTGGTAATGCGATGCACATGAACATCAACACCAATCCCTTCTGTCCTCCCCCATGCTGCGCTGAGGCACAGGTAGGCCATTTTGGGCCCGACTCCAGGCAACGAAGTCAACCCTTGGATGCTATCGGGGATATCCGAATTCCATTGATCGCGGAGAATTTCGGCAGTTTGCTTAATGTATTTTGTCTTGAGGTTATGGAAACCAACTTTGTTGATAAAGGCATTCAAGGCGGGAGGTTCGAGAGCTAGGACCGATTCGAGTGAGAAACCCTGTGAACGGTATTTGTCAGTCTCAATTCATGGTATCGTCACGACGGTATAAACTGCATACTCCTGGCATGTTATCCTGCATTCCCTTGATGGCGACGCTGGTCACGGTGTCCTTTGTCTGGCTTGACAACATCAGAGCAACCAAGGTCTGGAACCTTTGATCGCGTGGGCTTACATGGCGGTCTGCAAGACTCTCGCAGCCCATCGTATCTACAGGAGCAATGTTCTCATTGCGCATCTCTCTTGTAAGAGCGTAGATCTCCTCCCAGTTGGGTGGTGGCTCAGTTTTAAAACTGCCATCTACCGTCTTTGTCTTTTTTGCCGGAATACGACGGGGCTTTTTCGATTTTGCGGCCTTCTGTGGCGGGGATATATTTGCGGTGGTTGTCTCCTTGACTTGCTGCTTCACAACAACTGCGCCAGCCTGACCACGTTTGCGTTTCTTATTTGGAGCTGCCGTCACTATGCCCGTAAAGTCTGAGTCTGAGTCGGGTGCCGAGCTCAGTTCCGATTCCGATTGTGAAGAAGCATGGTGGACAAAAGAGTCTGACTCGCGCTGTTTGCCTTCCGTGGCAGACAGATTGAGACCGCTCGAGCTTTGGATTGATGGGTTCGTAGCTGAGCGTGATTGACGTAATGAACGGGTTTGCGCGGCTGCAGCGAGTCTGGCTGTGTCGCGGGCAATTCGGGAAGTGCGCATCGTCGACACATGCGAGATAGGTCGCTGGGTCTCGTAACGGCGGAATGTCGAATGGGGGAGCGGAAGTAAATTAGAGTAGGATTGCAAGTCACTGATCAGGAGGTTCTGCCAAACCGACATGAAGCTCGTTCGCGTCGCGTCACCAGCTCTGACCAATCGGTGTCGCTGACTCCTCCGATGCGCGGCATATTGCTCTTCGTTAAGATCACCACCAGTGTGTCTGTAACGAAGCTGCAGGTACAATCACACTGACGCTGTGGTCGACCTTGCGTTGGTCGCATCGTGTGCATGGCTTTCCAGCTCCATTATCCCCGGGATTCGGGGCAGGCAGGACAATCATGGAGTGACGTGTGGATGTTGAAGGTGCTGAGACTTCCAACCCCCCCACCGACCCCCACGATTTGCTTGAGCACCTCAACCCCATCCACGACCACGATCACACACACACGCAACCCCTTGCACGACACTGACAGTCTCACCAACACAACTTTACGAGACCCTCACACAGTTGATCTGCGCTCAATCTGATGACATGCCAGAACCGACCGACATTCCTTCGTTCGCTGCGTCCCAGCTCAACTTGCTCGACGCCGAGCTAAAAGCCGAGCTTTCGGAAACAAACGCTCTCCTCTCGTCACACACCCCGACCGCCCTGGCACGGGCCGGCCTCGCCATCCTTAACCTTAATGTTTCCTCTATACGTACGGGTCTGGGCGGCAAAACAGTCGTCGAACTTGGCCTCGATCCCGCCGTCGTGACCAAAGGAGACAAGGCCGACATACCTGAACACGGCATCAGAGTCGGCGACATCGTCGCATTGCAGGATCAGCCAGCCGGCAGCGCGAAGAAGACGGAAAAGAGAGAGCTCGCTGTCAAGGGAGTCGAGGGTGTTGTATTAAGGGTTAAACGAGAAGTCGTCGAAATCCTGCTAAATAAGGAGGATGCAGACGTGCCAAGTACTGGCAAACTATGGCTGTCAGTCGTGCTCTTCTCCATCTCACCAGCACCTGTTGTCATGACTAATATCGCCCAGTGTCAAGCTGGCCAACGACGTTACGTACAAAAGGATGAACCAAACAATGTCTCGTATGCAAAAATTGGAAGATCATGAATACACGCCCTTCATGCGCGTCCTGTTCGGTCAAGACTCCCCTTCGCCTCTGCCGCCTGACCTGAACGACCCGTCTAACCCACTCCATAATCTTGAATGGAATGACCCATCCTTGAACGACAGCCAAAAGGAAGCTATCAGGTTTGCTCTAGCTTCTCGCGAGATCTCCCTTATCCATGGTCCTCCAGGGACTGGTAAAACTCATACTCTCATTGAATTGATACTGCAAATGCTCAAGCAAAAGCTTCGTCTGTTGGTTTGTGGTCCATCCAACATATCCGTGGACAATATTGTTGAACGTCTTGCTGCTCACAAGGTCTCAATGATACGCTTGGGTCATCCAGCACGGCTTTTACCTTCAGTCTTGAACCATTCCCTCGACGTGCTTACCAAAACGTCGGATGCCGCAGCACTCGTCCGGGATGTCCGGAAAGAGATGGACGACAAGCAGTCGTCGATCCGCAAGACCAGAAATGCGAGAGAGAGAAGGCAGGTATATGCCGATCTCAAGGAGCTGCGGAAAGAATACAGGGAACGAGAGAAGGGCTGTGTCAACAATTTGGTACACGGAAGTAAAGTTGTGCTCGCAACATTACACGGGGCTGGTGGATTTCACCTGAGAGGTCAAGAGTTTGACGTAGTGATTGTCGATGAAGCCAGCCAAGCGCTCGAAGCTCAATGCTGGGTGCCGCTACTATGGGTCAAGGCGTCCAAGTTGGTACTTGCGGGTGACCATCTCCAACTGCCACCAACCATCAAATCGCTGAATTCCAAACATGCTAAGCCAGCCCAGCAGAGCAAGCAAGATGCTATCAAGAGCACCGGGGAAGAAGACAACAAGGCTGGATCATCGGTAAAGCGGGCGGCAGCGAGCACGACGTTGGAGACGACCCTCTTTGACCGGCTCTTGGAGCTTCATGGCCCATCTATCAAACGCATGCTAACGACGCAATACCGCATGCATGAGACGATTATGCGATTCCCCTCTAATGAATTGTATGAGTCGAAACTCATAGCTGCGGATTTTGTCAAGGATAGGTTACTCAAAGATTTGCCTTACCAGATTGAAGACACGGACGATACGCGCGAAGCGGTCGTGTTCTTTGACACACAGGGCGGAGACTTTGGCGAGAAGACGGAAGATGAAGAGATGAAGAAAGGCGGCAAGAAGGTGAGTCTCGGGGATAGTAAATGCAACCAAGCGGAGGCAGCATTGGTTGCAATGCACGTCAACAAACTGGTAAAGGCTGGTGTCAAGGCAGAAGACATAGCGGTGGTGACTCCCTACAATGCTCAGGTAAGGCGGATCTCCCCAATGCACGACATCGTTCCCGCATGAAGATTGCACGATTGATTGAATGCCTGATCCATGCTACCCCTCTCTCCGCGTCCCGATCGGGTATGGATAGCAGCACTGACGGACGATGCATGATGAACCTTGACAGCTGGGGCTGCTCTCCAAGTTGCTTAAAGAAGCGCACCCGGGCATTGAGTTGGGATCAGTGGATGGGTTTCAGGGCCGCGAGAAGGAAGCTGTGATAGTGAGTTTGGTGAGGAGCAATGCAGAACAGCAGGTCGGGTTCCTGGGCGAAAAGCGTCGTTTGAACGGTACGTTGGTTTAGCATGGACAATTTCCGCGCTGCATGGTTTTTGGGGCCTGCAGCCAGGAAGACATTAAAGTTTGCAGCGTCCGGTTGCTCACAGGATTGATTAGTTGCGATGACTCGGCCCAAACGGCATTTATGCGTTATTGGGGACTCGGAAACGGTGGGCAGGTGAGTGGATTGGAATTCTTTTGCTTTTTTGCTTTTCATTTTTGCTGTTTTCCCGCTCCCACTGAAATGGACTCCACTTTTGTATACGAGTGATCCGAGAAGGCGGGCTCGGGAAGCTGTGTAGCAGTTCGTGCGACACGGGACACGTTGTGTTACAGGCGGCCCTTGCGTCACCTCGGTGGATCGAGCACGTGCAACTAACTCTGGAATCAAACACGACAGGGGTAGCGAGTTTCTGAAGCGATGGATGGAGTTTCTGGAAGAGCATGCGGATCTGCGATATCCCGAGCTCGTGCAAGTTTACGAGCAAGCGAACATGGGGTGATGGAAGCACAGTGGATGGTTTGATGGTGACAGTAGGGGATGTTGGCTGGCCGGTGCACGACTCAAGAAGGCGTTGAAAGTGCCAGCCAGGAGTGGACTGCTGTTGCACTGGCAGTCTGCGGCTCTAGCAACTCGAGGGTCGGAAGCTCCGGAGACATGGTGCAATACAATAGGCGCACGTAGATTGGTGGTGTGCAGACGGATGGAGAGAGGATTGATGATTACGGCAAGCGAGCGAGGCGACGGGCGAGGCGATAGATAGCGAGCAATGGTATGACTAGTACATATGAGACGAAGCGTGGCACAACAGGCAGCACGAATCGAAAGGCGGAACAGTGATGGACGGGGATGTTGCCGCAGACGTGCCTGGGTTAGCGTAGTAGCCATGTATGCAAGTATGGAAGGATGGGTAGAGCATGTCGTCCCCAATGTCCGGCGGCGGCTATAGGATGGGAATCATCAGACGATTGAGTTCATGTTGAGGACCTGTTCGACGACGGCACACAGGCACGCACACTGGAAATTGGCCTGGCGCAGCAACAACGAGGGGGCCAGAGGTTAACGTTTGGGGCAGATGGCCAGCCAGCCAGCCAACGTTGACTAGCGGGTGGTGCTGCTCTCTGACTGACTGACATGGCGCCGTCGTGGTTTGGTGGAGCCCGTCTGCCGTTGGCGTGCGGAGGTTGTCGGCCAATACACGTATGCGAGGAGGAAACCAGGGACACGCACGCACGGCTGGGAGAGGGCGCAATTGACGCAGAGGCGGAAGCGTGGACACGGCGAGGGGCGGTTGTAGTTGCTGCTGCTGCTGCTGCTGCAGTACGTACGGGCTGTGTGTGCAGTTGGCAGCAGTGGAAGTAGGCTAGGTAGGTAGGCTAGAGGCAGCTAGGCGGGAAGAGTTGTCTCCCTTACAGGTACAGCCCGCTACCAGACTTCTGAAACACCAACGACGTCGCCCGCACTATTGCCTGCTGGCCTGCTGCTGCTCGCTACCCGTCCGTCCACACCCAATTGAGCCCCCATGCCCGTTCCTTTTCCAGACGCGCCCATGCATCCCCCATCGCCCATCTATGCAGACCATGTATTGATTGATTCATTCATTCATTCATTCACCCATTCTTTTCTTTCCCTCATGGCCGCATGGATTGACTGATTGATGATCCATACCCCTCACTGCATCCTACCCAGATTGGTACCTGCCTACATACATACCCTACTACCCTCTGCTACCCTCTGCTACCTCTGCTGCTTCTGCTACTGCTTCCTCCTCATTCACCCACTCCTCCTCCTCCTTCTCCCCCAATCGTCTGTCGCCATCCCGCTACTTGACTTCCACTCTTGTTCCTCTCCTCCCCTCCCCTCCCCACCTTGCTGTCTGTCTTTTCTTCTTTCCCAACCCCCAATCTCTCTCTTTTGCTTCAGCATACTGCTGCCACCACTCCCTTGCTTCGCTCCGCCTGCTTGCAGTGGGGCTTAGACTACCATCGCTCGCTAGGGTGTCCCTCCTTACAGACCCTTTCTTTCACCACCTGGTTACCATGTCCTGCCCGAGTGCTTGACGCCCTCGTGTAATCTGTCTGTAGTTGCTAGTAACCGACCAACTTGACACGGTGATGGGAACATATACTCGCCGCTCCCCTTTTTCCTCTACATTCATCCATTAGTTCCCTGCTAGCTTCCAATTCCACGTTTCTGGAACGACAAGCAGCATCGGTAGCAGAATACATAGACACGTCACGCCCCACACCCTTCTTCATGCTCACCCAAGAAGATCTGGTCGTGTCTAACATGGCAGGCCAAACCCATCTCCACCGCTCTAGCTGGAAGGCGGATGCTATCAGGAAAGGTCACCTCAAGATCAGCGGTCCTATCCCCATCACCGAAGACGTGCCACTCAACGAAGATGAAGAGAAGGAATTCGCCAAGAAGCAGAAGCTCGAGGATCCCCCGTCGCCCCGACTCGATGCAAATGTCCCTCAGACGCCCGATCCGGTTCACAATCACCAGCATGAATTGGCTTCCCTGCAACCTTCGCCCAACCTCCCAGACAGTCATGCAATTCCTCTTCAAGAACCCGTCCATCCCGAGGGAAATGACCAAGCTCCGCCAACTCAAGAGCATCCTCAACCTCAACCTCCACCTCATGTTCAGTCTGAGGCTCCATCTCAACCACCACCGGTAGAAGAGCAGCAGCAGCAAACATCGCCTCCACCGCAACAAAGTCAACCTGCATCCAACATGCAAGGAGAGCCGGATGATTCACATCGCAGGAGCGCCACTTACCCAGTCATGTACAGCACTCCCAGCCCTTATCCCTCTGCACCTGATGGCTCTCTCAAATCAACCCCCAAGAAAAAACGCAAGAGCGGCTTGAGAAATGTTTTCCGTAAAATGTTCGGACGGAAAGACCGAGAGGAGGCCTTGGATGAGGATGACGGAGCAAGGATAACGCCAACTAAATCACGTGGACACAACCACACCACCAGCGTACGTCTATTCGCATCATTTCCTACTTTTTCTTCTCCAAGTATAACAGACTCGCTAATCTACCGTATAGGACCCGGGGATTTTGCAATCTTCTCCACCCAGGAACTCACCTCTGCGCAGTCAGCGCATTTCCGAGTTATCCGTCAGTGAGCCCCAACCCATCAAGCCTATAGGCCAACATCTTCCTTTCCCTATGAACGTGAATGCTCCGCAAGAGACGAGTCCTACGCATCAGTACCTCACTTTTGAAGGAGCTCCTCCGGAACTCGGCCGCCGAAGAGCCACTCTTCCAACCTTACTGGCAGGTGCAGAGACACAGAGCCTGAAGGATAGGGTACAGCATCTGGAAGTCTGGCACGAACGCCCCGAGAGCGAACATGTTGCAAATGCGGAAATTGGTATCGCTCTCTCCGGCCCGCCACATGCAGACGCGGTGAATTCCCTCCAGTCGAAGCGCAGGTCCCGAAGTGCAGGCGCCCTTCGAGATTTGGCCAAAAGCGCCGCGTCAGACGAGAGAAGACGGAGTGCTGAAATCCGATTTTGGCGGAGCAGCTTTGCTTCTGGGAGCGTCCGTAGTGACCAGATGCAGCGGCCGCAGACAGCACAGACCGTTGACACGGTGTTATCAACCAATATCAAAGAAACGGTAGAATCGGAGTCGCATGCACCCCCTATTGTTGATCTCGCGCCAGTGATATCTCAGCCCGAAGTACCCCGACAGAGCCAGGAAGATCAGAGTCGGATCGAACTGCCGGTCGAAGCCTTCAATTTTGGTGACCTCAAGTCCGGGTTTTCCGATGATGAAGAATCGATACGACCACCAGCCGTCACTCACTCGCGCTCTCATTCTCCTTCTCAAGCCAAGCCCGAGAGGCGTCTCTCGATCGAGGACCGTATCAAGCACCTAGAAGAGGGCATGCGCACGTTGGAAGGCTCTGTCCACCGCATGTCTGGGCGCAGCAACAGGCAAACCATAGTCCTGGAAAATGCGCCCAAAGGACGACGAGGCTCGCGAAACAGAAGCTCCAGTGGCGCCAGCGATCGTCAAGAAAGCCACCATTCCTCCTCCACCCGAAGTCGCTCGGGAAGCAGAACGACGCGACTTCGAACCAGCGACAGTGATCTGCAGCAACACGCCGCATCCGCCTCTCCCGCGCCCGTCGCCCCCTTATCCGCTGTCACCGAGGATGTATCCTCGGCGACGCTCCAAAGTCCACAGCCAGGAGCCCCAATAGACTCCCAGCCCACAGCCTCCCAATACAACGCCCTCCTTGCCCACCTTAACAGCTTACAACTCACCCTCACCCACGAGCGTCAATCCCGCAAAGCACTCGAAACCCAAATCATCACCCTCCAGCGCGAAGTCTCGGATCTGCACAGCCTCATCAACCGACTTGTGCACTGGTCCCCAAACTACCCCACTCCTAGTCCAGATGCTCTCGTAGAGGTTGGCGCGAGCGAAGAGCGCATGGCGACGCCCAAAGCAAAGCCCAGCATCCGTGGGAGGAACCCGCGGATTCTCCAAAGCGGTGGCGGCATCTCGGGCCCGGGGTACGGCGGCCACTTGACGAATAGCAGCAGTAGGAACAGTAGCAAGGAGGATGTCCTTGCAAGTCCCGGGGAGCCGGAAATATGGGCGACGCCTCTGGAAGGCCGGTTTGCGCTTACGAGTGGGGGTATTGGGAAGAGGAGTGAGGAATGAGACAGATGGGACATTTTGATTCCGTTCTTTATTCATCTTCTGGCATTTTTTCTTGCTTACGGCCAGGGGCCACTATAGAAAAACGGTAAAAGGGCGGCTGAATGTTTGTTGATTTTGGAATCTCGTTTGGGTGGAAAACGTTCTCTTGTTGTTTCGTTGTTGCCTTCTTTTTCTTTTTCTCCCCATTTTTCTACTTAACCGCTGACGGATCATGGATGATTGTTCTCTCTCGTTATTCCCATCTTTCTTTCGTTTTTGTTATTCTTCCTAAACTTTCTTTTGTCATTCTTCCCGAAAGAGAAAAGATACCCCTACCCCCTTCGCATATGCATGCAAGATGCCACGTCGGAACGCAATGAGCTGCACGCATAAACACATATACGCATGTAACGCAAAATATGCATATTTTATGTATGTCATGCATTAGGACTATTTAGGTGTGATGTTGTTTCCATATAATCACTTCCTCATGCATTTCATTCTTATCAAATTTCACCATAGGTATCGCTACACTGGTTTTTGGTCTCCTTGTTCCAAGTCATATTCTCTTCGAGGAGCGAGGAAGCGCATGCAGACCATATGGTGGCTGGCGCTATTTCTTCATTGCTATCTGCCTTTGCTTTTCCTGCTTGCTGGGAATCGTGGTTCATTGTTCAGGCGCGTCCCCCATTTCTTTTTTCCTTTCCCCACCGCTCATTGCTGCCCTCGGATTTTCATTCCTTGATGCCTCATCTCATCATCCTTGCCTGCCTGGAAGGGAGAGGAACTATGAAAGAAGGCCATGGAGAATGAAGATGATCGACATCATCATTTGCTGAAGAGCAAGCGTACCTTCAACCCCTCTTTTTATGAATCCTGCGAAATATTCGACTCTCATAAACTACGTATGTGTAGAGACTGTATGCACCCACGTAATAGAGATCGCCTTTGTACGACGTTCAAACAGGTCGGTTTCATGGCAGTGGTGCAATTCGGAAAAGCCAAAGAGTGTAGACAAGGGCGATGAAGTGGGAGAAACTGCGGACAATGGTGGACAGTTGATTCTCAGGACTTTTGCCAAGTAAGTTTGAAGTCATGTATACATAGGTGTCACAGTCCCATGTATTAGAATACGTCGTGATGGTAGAGAAGAATCCTGCCCGCCTACTGCTCTTGTGTTACTATTCTACTCGGGTAATCTCACTAGTCTCCATTTGAAAGACGAGGTTGTTGATGAATGCAAGCAGAGAAAGGAAAAGGAAATAAATAGAAAGAATAACAGGAAGTTGTGACCGGGTTAAATCCCAGCCGCCAGCGCGTTCACCTCACTCTCAACCTCCGTCTCAACCCTCTTCCCAGCCACCTCGACTCCTACCTTCGCCTTGAGCCTGTACGCGCGCGTGATAGCAAAGCTGACGAAGCTCGGTGGCATGGTGCCTGGAACGCGAGCTGCGAACCATGTCGAGCATGTTTTGGCTTGCTGCCCGTGCTGTTGCTGCTGCGGGGTAGTTGCGGCTGATGATGCAGCATGTGCAGTGTAAGGAGGGGCGGACGAAGGCCCGCTTTCCTTTTCCCCGGCTTTCCCGTCTAGTTTGTGTGTCTTACGGTCCGTGCCGCCGTCGTGACCATGCTTGAGTTTGAGCTTCAGCTTCTCGAATGAAGAAGATGGGGGTTCGGCTGCAGATGCTGCATTGCCACTACTCTCGTCGAGGATATTATATCCGGGAAGTTCTTCTCCATCTTGCCCATCCTCTTGCCTGCCCTGGACGGGCACAGCATCCAACTCCACAACGCTCACCTCCGGTAGCGAATTCAGCAGCACTCCGACCTCATCCATCTCCGTCTCCTCCCCGTTATCGGGTCCATATAGACCATTCGGGATAGATGTTGGTGTTCCATCGCTATGCCCGCCATCCATGCGTTTATTTGCCACCCAATCCCGTGGCGCACGCACAAATGTAAACACCAGCAACTGCAGTTTCAGAACTCTAAACGTGAGTGCAGGGATTTTGACCACGTTGTTCGACTTGTCGAGTGCGGTGAAGACGGCCCGGAAACGGAACTCTGCACCTGAGGTAAGGAGCTCTGGCATTTCGAGGCCGAGCTCGAAGGTAAGGGATGGCGTGGAGCTGGAGAGCTTGTCCCGGAGGGACTGGCGAAACCCGACGTGCTCCGGATCTATACCTGCGAAGGCCGAAGTAGCGAGAGTGAAAGTCTTGGGGTGGTGGGATACAGTGAAGCGTGTATTCGCTGTGAAGGGGCTCCGTGGCGCGAAATTGATAAGGATAGTGCTGGAAATTGGGTCTTGGTGGTGTTTCCCGAGGCCAACACCTGGGCAGATGAGGCGTGATGTGATGCCGTACTCGATAAAAGCATGATTGGGGTGGTCTTGACTACGACCCCATAACATTGTAGGGGGTAAGGCATGGGGCATGACGGTCCATGGTGCCTCAGAGTCGCCTCTGTAGAATCCACTCCGGTTGCTGCTAGTTCCGGAGGGGATGCGGAATTGGAATGGGAAAGTGTAGGTTTGACCTGGGAGGAACTGGCGTGCTCTAACGTTCATGACATTCTGTTGTGGTAGCGGCGACAGCTTTCCCTTTGTATCATTTGGATATGCCACGGAAGGTGGAGGAGGCGAATCCAGTACATTGATCGTGACGTTAAACAGGGGCGCATTGTCACGATAATGATGATAATCAGTCTTTCTGTTGTCGCTTGGACCATGCCTATGAGACGTGCGCAACCAGACAGTCGACATACCCCAGAAGGAGACCTCGATGGCTTGAGGGGTCAAGGGAACCGGCGTGTTGAAAGAGACATGGCCCGTGACGGTGTCATCTGGGTGGAATATCTTATTATCAGGAGAGCTCAAGTGTACGGCAAGATCCGGAAGAGGGACTTCTGGTTCCTTGGATCTCGTGAAAAGGCCCATTTTCACAATGATTATGTGTTCTCCGTTGAGTTATATCGAATATCTCCAGAGGTTCTGTATCTGCTGCGCTGGCAACGCACGAGAGAGTGATTGTCCGGGGCCAATGTCCGTGTATCTTTTTGGATTTAGTAAGTGGAGACTACCACATAGCGCGTATGTGATAATGTACTATACGTGCACCTAAACAATGTGTGAATGGTGATTCCCAATCCCCAGCATGGAAGGTTGTACTGAACTGGTAGGCTTCTTAGGCAGGAGTAGAAATAGAGAGCCACATCAGATGGTACTTCTACGTACGGGGTGCGCACACAGTTTTTGTACGTCGTGCGGGCATTAGCGCGCCAAGACTACGTGAATGGTCGAGACACGTGACACATGGCAGAGCTCTCACAACCAAGGCGGTCGATGTAATTGGTAGTATTTATAGACACTAGTGAACAGCTCGGCTGGATTAGATAGGCGGCCTCGAGGCTTGGCTGCATCGCCCCACGTACGTGGTAGTAATATGGCAGGTCAAGGTCACTTGTAAGGTCACCGCCTTCTGCTTCACGCTGCCACTTAAACTAGCGTAGATATGATATAAAGCAAGTCCAGCACAAGATATTAAAGTCCTTGATTGGTTGCATAAGAGGTTAGTTCAAGACAACCGAGAAAAATGTAAACTTCTGGTAGCGAAATAACTTCACATGACCAATGAGTTACATATATGTCATAAACTGCGCAGCATCATTCCGAATAGACATTTTATGCGGAGGGAAAGAAGGCAATTCGTGCACACGAGGTGCACCAGCAGGTGCACCAGCAACGTAACATTGGTACCCCAACAGGCGACCACGAATTGGATAACGAGTATTCCTATTCAGACTTGACAAACACGTTTCGGTGCTGTGGCCCGGTCTCGTGCGTCCCCACGTAGTGTTGAAATCATCGTCATCTTTATCGTCCTCCGCATAAATAGGGACCAATTCAGCTCACCTGATCACATGAGAACCTCCAATCAGCCCGCATAATACATTGAAGAAGTAAACTCGTAAATCAAAGGACATTGGGAAATAAGGAAAGGGGGGGGTATCCCGAGCCATAGACGAAAACAAAGACGTATCAGTGAATTGAGTCGCTCCCACCGAACACCAACACCGATAACGCCTTGATATTCGTCGCTTACTCAAGATAGAGTCGTCATTACCCAAAGGAAAAGAGAAAGAGAAAGAGAAGCCATGCAGAATTTGACGCCCATGTTGAACCGCAAAGAAAAGGTAGAGGTATTGACAAGCCCCAGATCATGAAGGGCACTCGTCAGAGGGTGAACTTTCGAAGTGTCACTCTGGGACGAGGAAAGAAGAGTTGTGCTCAGAGCTCCATACGATCGACTGCGCCTTCACTCCATTGTCGAACTTTGCTCTTCTCACGCGAGTTCTCACGCTCCCGCAAGCTTTCGACGTCGCTGTTGTCGTCACTGCTCCAGTATTCGGCGCCCATGCTTGTCTCCCTCACGGGCAGGTATTCGTCTTCTTCAGCATCGATGACTTCGCCTGGGTGGTCGATAACGAGATTGTCCAGTTCATCGCTTTCTCCATATGCCCCCAAAGCCTTCTTGGCACCTGTATCGCAATATAAACTTAGCAAGAATTCAACTGAAGGCATCTTAATGCCTTGTTTAGCCAAACCACGTGTTCTAGCGACTGGCGATGGTGGATGCAGAGCAAGACTTACGATCTCCTAGCCAAAATTCTGCACGCTTCCTGCTACCCGCATTGGCAGATGATTCGTACTTTGACTGTCTGAACTTGGTGATGAGTGAGGTGGGAATGCTGGGCGAGCTAGACAGGGCGGAGATTCCACGCAAATAGAAGTAGGCGACGCGCTTCTTCTCCTTGTTGTACAGGAAGAAATGGTGACTCCAGATGGCACCGTCATCAGCGAAGGGATCGTCGGATGGCTCCCAAGCGTAGTACTCGCAATTTGCCATGTCCAGCTCGCTGTCCAAAAGTTGCCAAGAGCGGGGACTCCAGATAGGAGAGCCGAGCGGGGTCACAGCACCCGAGGGAAGACCGGCGCTATATACTTGGGGTCGCAGGTAGTACATGGTCGTGTCGATCTTGTGTCTGAATGACTTGAGCGATTCGCGACGAAAGTCGTCGGGGTTGAGCGTGTTGGCGTAGTCGTAATCGACGTGGGTCGCGTTCAACGTTGCTATGAGGTAGGCGAACGTGTGCCTGTTGGCAGGCTCGTTGAAGCTTCCGAAGGGCGTCTCCCTGTTGACATTGAGCTCGTTCATAAATCGCGCAGCAGACGCCTGGGAGAGGTCGCCAATGGCGTTGATCAGCTCTTGGTGTCGCTCTTCAAGGGTATGCTCGATGCGCTTGTACAGCTTCTTATCGCCGCCGGCGGCTTTGATGGTCCAAACGTCGCAGCCGCCAATGATGGAAGTGTCGGGAGTGTCAAAGTTCAGGGCGACGTTCACCTCGTGGAGGGCGCAAAGGTCGAGGTACTGGCATTGTCAGCTACAGAACAACAAGCAGGCACCAGGCAGCGCCGCAGGCTTACCTTCATCGCGTCGGGTCTTCGCAACGTCTGCGTCTTGTAGTATTATGCCAGTATGTATTGCACGGAGGTTGAATGGGTTGCGCTGGGGGGCAGCAGAATGGGCGGTCAGGGCGGACAGCTGTCGGCAGCAGGGTGGGTTCTTTGTTAGGCGGTGGGATAACCTGCGTAAGCCGGAGCAGTCTGTAGACACTTCTCCCAGCTGGCTGCGGAGAGTTGAGAGTACTTGCTGCTCTGGCCAGACCAATGTCTAGCAGGCGAGAGGCATATGGTGAAGGGCAGAGATGTGTTGTAGAGGTCGGATGTGGTGGACGGTGGTGGGCAGTGGTGGGCTGACTGGGCGCGACTCCTCCTCCTCCTCCCCAGCGGCGGTCGGTCATGGGGCTTGGCGGGCGGCCAGCGCTGATTGGCTGTGGATTAGTGCTGGTCCAGCGTGGGAGCTTGAACACAATTCAAGTGCCAGTGAAGCGGCCACGTGCGGGACAGCCAGCGGCCGGTAATGCTGTCGTCACCCGGGATGCGCCGAGTGGAACTGCGCTGCTTGGTCAACGTAGCTGGGTTAGAACGACTCAACAAGGCACATGGGTGAAGCGAAGAAATCAATGGTGCAAAAGTCTCGATTCCATGACATGCAAGATCACGTTCGAGTCTCGTAGGACCGATTGAGCCAAACCTGCGACATTGTCGCCAACGTCAAGCCATGTTTGTTGCAGTTTAAGAGTACATCCATCGCTATTCGCTCATCGCGGCTGAATAGCTGACGGTGCGTTCTCCAGAGTCTTCCACATGTAGACCCTTTACAACCCGGATCTGCGGCATCGCAGATCGACCTGGAGAAAGCTGTCGAACGAACAAGAAGAAGAAGAAGAAGAAGAAGAAGAAGAAGAAGGAAATGGTATACCGCTTCGAAGCTCGACGACTCCGGTTGAACGCCCAATAATCGTCCTTTTACGCCATACAATGCTCTGTGCCTGCCTGTGTACGTGTGCGTGTCGACATACTGCCACTGTTGCAATGTGAACCTCACATGAGGCCGCTGTCTTTCAGCCGCTGCTGTAGCTCATCTGCGTCCTGCAACCAATGTGACGGAGACGGTCTGATTAGTACGGGTCTGGAATGTCTAGCGAAACGTCCATGTGCGTGCTATGCTGCGCATTCCGAGCAATACGCTACATGATCTTGGTGACTATATCGTCTTCGGCCTGACGGTATGCCACGTCAGCAACGCCGAGCTACTGGGAGAAAGGTCGGGATCCTCATGGCCTATAAAAAGGAGACGACGATGCCAAACTTACCTCCATGTCCTCCAGACTGTCTTGCTGCCCAATGCATCTCAGCACGTTCTTCTTGCTGCTCTCTTGAAGTTCGCCGGCTAGCAAAAGTTCGTCGAGGATGAAATACGCCTTTTGGAAGTTGAAGATGATGTCAAGCTCGCAGACATTGCCATAGTATTTATCCATTTGTTCGACATAGCGGTGCACGATTTCGAGAGTAATCAGTTCGTTGTCGATGGAGTCGCACCCAGCAATGAAGAAGAGGGAGGCATATCGACGGTATACGATCTTGGTGTCTGGTTCGGATATAAGTATAAGTGTCTAGTGTGGACCGATCGGGATTGCTGTGCGCTGCCAACCTTTGTATTCGAGGAAATTGCACATGCGAGTGCGGCGGGCGAGGACGAGCTGCGACACATCTTTGACAATCTTGGCTTTGTCCTTGGGGGCGAGGGTGGTGAACCACTTGGCCAGGCGCTGCGGACGTTTAGTTTGCTGTTGGGCTTCGTGTCGTTGTGAGGCGTGAGTAGTGGCTTATAGTACGTACCACTTTGCCCTGCCGAGAGAGCAAGATCAGATACCTGCCACCGTCAGTACAATCTCAATGCACAGAGAGATACGTGGAGAAACGTACTTGATGGCCATGGCAAATGTGTTGTGGGGGGATGGAGGTGTGTGTTGGTGGCCTGCAGAAAAGGCGGCCAGGGAGATCGGCCACGATGAGTTCAGCCCCGCGTCGACTGGTCGTCAAAGCGCCAGTTCAAGTTCAACAAGGTATGGCAAGCCCCGCCATCCGACGCATCAAGCTTCTATTCAAGACAACCAAACTCCGCCAGTCAATCATACTTGTGCCACTCTTTGGTCTCGTAAAGGACGAGAAGGCCTGCATATCGATTAATTTTTCTTCTGCACCCTTGCCGAAGAGCGCTGCGGGTCCCGTCTTTTCCCCACTTTGGATTAGTTTCCGTTTGCGCTTACAAACGTACATAGTATCCTCCTCTCCAAGATTCAGACAACTCGACTTGAGAGATAATTCAAGACACCTGCGCCGATTCAAGAATAAGAGATAAAGGTTCCTTCTCAGCTTACGATATGAAGCTCATTCTATCAACCTCGTATGCTGGCGCTCGCCACAACAACCATTTTATGATGCGATACTAACTAGACCAGAAATATAATGTCGGGTGGTTTGTCTGTGATACGGCGGCCTACTTTTGAGAAGTCAAATACCGAACTCACCTCCTCCCTACACGCAAATTTCGCGTCCCACCAATCCATCATTCCTCCCTCCACCCCCGCGAATGGTGCATCCACGCCCAAGCCGAGCTACAGATCCTGGACTGTGCAGCAAGACGGCGCGCTATGGATACCCACGCATACCTCCTCACCTCTTACCGAACCTCGCGAGTCGTACGATATTACTTTGAAGCTGTTCTATCTACCGAATATACCTGCGGATCGACGATGTGTCCAAACAAGAGAGGCCATACAGCTGGTGTTGAAAGAGTTGGGCGCATCCTCCATAGATCTGCTCATCGTGAGCTTTCCGGGTATGTCGTTCGACGCCGATGACGACGATTCAGACCTCGATGACCCACCTTCCGCCCCAGACTCTGAGCACGATCACGACCTACATGGCACAGAAGGCGCTCCAGAAGACATCGATACTATAATCACAACATGGCGTACTCTAGAGAAACTGCACGCAGAAGGCTTGGTATCGAAGCTAGGCATCGCTGAATTTGGCGTCAGTAGGCTTGAGAAGTTTCTGCCGCAGATTGACGTCAAGCCAAGTGTCAACCAAATCAACGTGCGCGATTGTTGTGTAGTCCCCAAGCCTCTCATCTTGTACGCAAAGCAACAGAACATCGAGCTGCTCACACACAACGATTGTACAAATGTATTGCCGCGAGGCACGCTAAGAGAGATCCTTGGGTCGGGTGAGAAAGGAGTGGGTATTCTCGCAGGCGAAAATGATAGCAGTGGAGACGAGTTGAGAGGTGATGTCGAGCCGCAATGGGTAGTAAAGTACACTGCGGTCGTCAAAGATCGAGGCGTGGTGGAGAGCAAAGGGTACTTCGCTGTTGCAGAGCTGCGGGACTGAAAGTGAGTCGAGTTTAACATTGCTATGTCTTCTTCTTCATACATATTGATCACTTGTTGGTATCTCTCTATTATCCAGAGTCATTGTTGCCCTTTTTTGATGAGTATGTACAACACGCCCGCATGTCTGCCTCCATATAACTCCTCGTAGAAGATAACGCCACCTAAAAAACGAATCCCAATATCCTCAGTGACCTATTTACTTCTGATCCTGGATGTCAATGTCGTGAAGAATCTGCGAGCTTTCCGGTCCCTGTCGGATATCTCGTCCTCATCATCGTCCTCGTCTTCGTCCTCGTCCTCGTCGTCTGAAGGAGGGCCTTGTGGCTTCGGGTAGGGTGATGGTGAGCGAGTTTTACGTCCAGGAAGACGATCCGAGCGCTCATTTTCCGGTGTACCAGGCTGGGAACGGGGAGAATAGGATGAAATAGTGGAACCAGACCGGTCCTTTGACCGGGACGGGCGAATCGGCTCAGAAAAAGATAGCGTACGGGTACGTTCGAGAGGTGGCCGTGGCTGCGCCTGGCATTCTGACCTTGACTCTGAATGCGATTGTGATGAAGTGGGACTTCCTTTCATTTGCTGGGGGGGCTCTGTTGTTGGCTCCGGCTGTCCGCCTGCTTGAGCAGTCGACGAAGAGATTCCAAGCTTAAACGCCATATTGGGTGTATGCGTGTGTATCGGTGCAACGGTATAAAACATGTTAATTGTGTCGATCAGAAAGAGCGTACACGGTTGATTTATGCTAGAAATCCAGAGAGAACTTAAGCTGGTTGCGACCTGCGCACTTGAGTATCTATTTTGTTGACGGGGAATGAAGCTTGCCGAGAAACTTTAAGTTGCACGGAAGAAAAACGCTGTAAAGATTAATTGGAGGGGTCGGTGCATATTTGCAGCAGTAGGCGAAGTGGAATAAGGTGGACGTGACCATTTTGTGGTTTCTTCACAGCACCCAAGACTTTCTAAATCACTTGGCTACCTTACATGTCAAAGTACGCGTACTTATCCTTCACCACAAGATTATATCATGCGTTCTTGGCCAAACTCTTGACAGCGGATCAATGCTTGGCCGTTCCAGACTACTGTGTGTCCATTACAAACTGTTCGGCTGTCACGGATGCTTCTGCCATTGTAGCTTTAGGCAATGAGCCATCCGTGCCGACAGAAAAGACATTCACTGCGCCTGCTATTTCACTTTGTCGTCCTATTCTACATGAATGTGGTGAACGAAGCATATCAAAACTTCCATTATGTGTGATAGGACTTCATGGAAGCCAGTATTCTTCCCACTTACTGTGTTCTTCTGCCTCTTTTCATTCTCTTCCTTCACTCCTTGGTAAATCACTATCCCACATGATGGACTCGACGGTCACACTATAGGGCACACATAAAAGGTACTCAATGCAAAACAATACCAGAATCGAGCTCATCTTCAATTCTAGTATGGACCAAAATTGGCGATAGCACCTAGGATCTCCTGCGTTGATACCTTTCCCTCACACACTCTTGCTACAGCTTGATTCTCAGAACGACACGGGATCATACCACCCCATTATTTACACGGCACCGCCACTCTAGAGAGGACCAGACAAAAACTGTCCTGATTTGATCATACAACCCACTGCCCAAAAGGTTCAAAGGTACGGCTGACCCGGCAATGTGCTCATGCTCTTCCCCTACTCCGTGCAATCTTATATGCGAGAAATTGAATTGACCAACGGAAAACCTGAACGTGTTGATGTACTGCTTAAAGACTACTGTGGAAATGGAGTTGAAAACATGATGACGTCTCCTAGAAAAAAGAATGATCCTATTTATATTCACCTACCGTTCCCTAATACCAAGATCCAGACTGTGGAAGCATCCACTAGGATCTCAAATATGAAGCCCCTCGATGATTCAGACGGAGAGTTCTCGTCCTCATGCAGTAGCGAAGTATCTGATGTCGAGAATATAAGCTCGAATCCAGATACACTGGATAGCCACGTGTTTATCGATCTCTGTTGGAATTGCGGTAGCGAAGTGTTTGTAAGTTTGCATCCCCTCTTTTGGAATTTAGAGGAGCGAAAAAGGAGGGAGTAAATACTGGAGATTTGGCAATAATGTCTATGTGATTTAATTAGTACACCGATACCATGGCACCAGGTTTCGAATGTCAAGACTGCGGGGTTCCAAATTAATATGTGACTGAGCACTCGGGCGGATAGAGCCTGATAAAGGATACGAACAGTATTTCCGTATTGTCGCGGGGGAACATTTTTACAACGTAGGACGTACCTATCTACAAGTCAGGCTTGGGGTAGTCAGAAAAAAATCTACTGTATCATGTTTTGTTCCAAGGATTTGGTAGATTCGTTCTCCATTGTAAAGAGATGCAGTCCATTAGTCTACTGTCCCTTAGCCTTGATACCTTGAGAGAACTTCCCACGCCAGCCCATTCAGACTTCATGCTTGGAATTTGGCGTCCTGTTCGCAAGATGCTAAACCAGGACAAGCGTGATTATATGCGTGCTCGACTCATCAATAATGTAATCCTCCGAATCCACTCGAAACCTAGTATTTCTGTTCGGGGCGATTGTAATGGTGTTGGGGAAATAACAAAGGTGCAAGGAGAAAACAGAATGCCCAGCAGGCAAGTATGATTTTCGAACTAAGGTACGAAACGATGAGCATTGAAGCTACAATGTAACCAAATCATTTGCCCCATGGATGACAAAATCGGATGCATGCAGTTCTCCGACCGTTCAAGTCTAGACCTGTGTGCATACTTTGGTAGCAAAAGCATATTATTGCTGGTACGGCCGACATCGGCTGGGCTGTGCTCAACAAAGTTCTACATGCCTCCTAAAGCTGCCAGATATTTTGATATTTACCCATTGCGCATTTTGATCGCAGAGCATAAATAAAAGAAAAATGCTGTTATGAACACTTCTATAGGGAGTGTACAAATGTGTCAGTGCAAGTGGAGACAGAGGTACAGCAAGGCTTGGCGGCCCAATGGTTGGAGCTTGAACGTCTAACTTCCCGGCCAATAACCACACCTCTAATTTCGTACATGACAGCTCCAACTGCAAACGAACACCCTTCATCGCACACAATGCAATCGCGGTAGCTTCACACTCACCTCCACAGGATAGTCAAACACCCCGGCAATGCCTCCCCCGCGAACCCCTATACCCAGCCTCTTCTCGCGACTGCGAACCGCAACCTCGCAACCACACCGACCCGACAGCACCACCCTGCACAGGTCTGTCAAACATGTGATCGCTGGGGGTATCTTCACACACATATTCATATCATACATTGGGGGAGTTAGTTTTACACATGGTATCTCTATGGTGCCGACTATACCGTACAGCGGACAACCTGCTCCCTTCATCATCTACTCGAACCTGCACCGACGCGGTCGCAACATCCAAGTCGGCGATATGGTTATCTTCAAGCATCCCACAAGGAGCGGCCAAACAGCGTTAAAACGCGTCATTGGCCTGCCTGGCGATTATGTGAGCGTCGTGTCGGGCGCACGGGATGAGGGCGATCTAGGGAAGAAGGCCGAAGATGGCGACTGGGCGAATGTGAAGAACCAAGCTTTCAGGGTACCTGAAGGTCATTGCTGGGTTGCGGGTGACAATCTGGATTGGAGCAGGGACAGCAGGGTACATGGCCCGGTGCCGTTGGCGCTGGTGCAGAGTAAGGCTGTGGGTCTTCTCTTCCCATGGAGAGAGCGGAGATGGTTCAAGAACGGCCTGGGGGATTCAAACGGGGTGGGGAAAGAGCAAGTCATATTGTAGGGCCGATGGAGACGTGGCAATATACATTTGATATGGGCAATGAGATATTGAACAGGACGAGGCAGCAATTTGCGTAACCCAAGGCAACATTGTACGGGTGTGAAAGGTATATGGAATACCAGTATTTTACCTTGTATTATCAAGACGTGGAACCAGATCAGAACGGACCAATGTTTGCCACAAAGCGCTAACAGCTGATAATATGGTTATACAAAAAGAGTGGGCGGTTACAAACAATGTTCACTCCAATAGTTGTTGGAATGAAAACTTTCTGTTGCCGCATGCTTTTTTCGTACAACTGTTTTATCCGCTATCAGCCTTCTCAGTGTAGGAAACACTTCAACTTCCTATAAAAAAATGATACAAAGCATACAGTGTGGGGCCCGCCAAAAGTATCATCTTCTTTGCTGCTATGCTAATCATAGATTCGTGTAAGAATGAATACATGGTGAGAATGACCCTCGGATGAATTGACAAACCACATGCTATCAAACCTCATCTCGCGTCATTCTCAACCTCGACTTTTCCGTATGAACTCTTCATCAACCTTTCAATCCACATACATCTCGACTTCGTTGCTCACGAACGTTCGTCCATTAAACGGAGAGTCAACGTACAACTCCACGTCACTGTCCTTGACAGCATCACCGTATACACCCCAAATACCAGTAAATGCGCCTTCAGCCCTGACCATGTACTTGGCAGGTTTTTTTTCTGGCATCCAGGGACTGTTGAACACAACCTCTGTCGCTTCCTCGGTTCCCGGAGCAATGGTGACCAGGTCCTCTCGGGGTGGCGGCATCATGCGGTTGACCTTGATGAATTCGGTTGGAATGTTGTCACCCGTGTCTGCATTGACGACTTTGAATACTCCAGTGTTTGATGCTTGGGCGTCGAGCGGCGTACCCCATTTCAAAATTGTGTACGGTGACGGGCTGTTGTTCTTTAAAGTAACTAGAAGAGACGGTGGATTCCGTGAAATCTGGCTCAGTTTCCACTCTAGCCCCGGCACATCTGTACCTTCTGGCTTTGACATAGTGAAGTTGTTTGACGATGACGAGTAGCGAAACAAGTATAACGTGCCCAAGATTGCAATCGCGGAAGCGCCGATCTGAACTGCTCGACTGTTCATTTGGTGTTTCGTATGTGCGTAGATGGATGTTGCGAATGTTGAGGTGTGATGTTATCTCAAGCGTAGGGCTTTGAAACCGTGAAACATGTAGATACAGAATGAATTGATGATGCGCTGCTGGGATGAGTGGCGTTTATCGACTTCTGCCGTCTGCCGTGCGGGGATCGCTAACTGTGATGGGCAAGAGGAATGTAGTTCTATCTTGCGGGTCGCATTCAGGGCAACGGAGCAGATAGGGTAAGCCAGCGGGTTTTGATGTGATGGGCTAAAGGTTGTGCGTGTACATTTGCATATATTCATGAGACTACGAGGACACATGTTCGAGTTGGCGAGGCGATCTCCAAGCTAGGAAGTTGCCTTCATCTATATTGCGGCAAGTGTTCGATGCACGCTATTGGCGAGAGTAGAATGGTGCTACTCCCGGCTTAAAGTCATGCCAAACGCAAAGGTGGGAAGATGTGTATTCGACGGATATATTATGTGAGGGCTGATAAACACCTGTCACGCTTGCACGCAGCAAAGCCTCCTAATGCGACGGCGCCGTACGCCCTGTTGACATAGCAAGTGCTTACAGTAAGCGAATTTCCGAGCCTTCGCCGCGCATTACGCCCGTTGCCCTCGTCATCTTCCGCGCTCCTGGTTCTCCATTGTTTTCAATCGCCCTCCAATAATCTTGTTACTATATCCTGGCCTAGATCCATACATGATAGCACATGAATGCATCGTTAACACATATCGAATACCACCTTGTTACTTCCATTGGCACGTATTCCATCCTTCGGTAGGGCAAGGCAGCGCCGCACTCGTTGCCAATCGTTGGTGAGCAACTGGCTTCTAAGTATAACTTCTGACCACGACTTGGCGTCCCACCCCTCAGGCGGCTATCAGAGTTGCTGCAAACCTCAACACAGTAAATCTGACGGGTGGCCTCATGAAGCTCGTCGCTATGGAAGAGAAAGTAGATTGGAGCCATGATATAGTGGACTTAGTAAGACCCCAATCGTCCTGAAACGTCCCTATCACATCTCGAAGCTTCAGACCCCACACGCGATTTTGTTGAATATTTGAGCTAATGATCGAGGCTTCATGCAAAGGGTTGTGTACGATGACGACCAGACCGAATTAGGACAAACGAACGAGGATTCTATAAACATCTGTCGTAGCCCGAAGCACAGGCACTATGAAGACCCAACTTCAACATCAAGGGAACTAGTGCGCGCGAAAGACCGCTCCTTCGGAATCAAAGAAAGAAGATCTGAGTCGAACTCTGCAACTTTTCGCTTCATTGCAATGTGATGGAAGGGTCAATAAAATATCAAAAGCATTGGAAACATGGAACATCGTGTTCTTGGTGTTGTTCGTGCCCCCTCCCTCCTTGTTTCAAACATAAGCCCAGGTGGTTTTGAGTGTATGCCTGGGAAACGCCTCCCCACTCTTTGCGGCACTGCTCATTTGAGAATTCCCCGGGTCGATGTCGACGAGTAGTTTAGCTCTGCCGCGTGTGGGCTATGCTGCTCGTTTACAAGCTGTTCAATTTGCCTGCTTGACCGGGGTGGTTCTCATGAATCCCTTCCAGAGCACAGACTTCATCCGCCGCAATAAATACAATGCCACGCTCCATCACTTAACCGTCTCGTGAGCCGTTCATATCGATTTCGATTCTTTACCATTTCAGATCTATCAGGTCTTGTCACTCGTTGTATCCTTTACTTTTTTTCTAAGCTTCATATCTCACAGCTACCATGAAGGGGGTTCAATTTCTTTCCTTCGCGACTTTGGTGGCATACGCCAGCGCGCTTTCTCCTCCAACCCAGAAGCAGTCACCTTTGAGCATTGAGCTGGCATCCTCGGGTAACACCGAAGTCAAGGTCTCCGTCACCAACAATGGAGATAGCAGACTCAATTTGTTGAGCAAGGGAACATTTCTAGACGAGGAGCTTCCTGTGGAGAAGGTGTCTGTATTCGCAAAGAAAGGCAGTAAGTTCACCGTCTCCTTTTCCACCCCCATACTCATCGATCCTGTTCATTTGGTGGTGTTACACGCATGGAGAACATTCAGGGAGAAGTTGGCAGGGATCTGTTCGAACCCCGAGTCATGTCATCCTGCAGGCGCTGAAGTCCGGCGAACGTGCAGCGACGCGACCTCGGAGTCACGTGACCCGGTCAAATATTGCGAAGAGTATGCTCTGACCATATGAACAGGTAGTAAAGTTCCTTTCGAGGGTATCAAAATTCGGCTATTGACTTCAGGCTTGGACGACAAGGACTTCTTATGTTTGGGACCGAAAGAAACGAAGACGATCACAGTGGAGACTGCCGCTCTTCACACACTCGATGAAGGCGGTGATTTCAGTGTCTTCGCCAAAGGCTACCTACCTTACGCCGAAGCAAACTCAACCGAATTATGTGGCAGTCTTTCGTATGAGTCGAACAAGTTGACCATGTCTGTGAACGGCGAGGTTGCCTCCAAGGTCAGGAAAAGTGTTAACAAGAGGACCGCTGTCCAAAACACCTGCACTGGCACCAAACTCAGTGCTGTTAACACTGCCCTTTCTAACTGCAACAAGCTGGCTTCTGCTGCTGCTGGTGCAGCCAGCGCCGGTACCAAGCTCGATGCCTACTTCAAGACTACTTCCAGCAGCACCAAGAATACCGTCTCCTCCCGCCTGAGGGCTGTAGCGGGTGATTGCGGTGGAGGTTCTATCACAAAAACCGGCTGCACCGACACCTTCAATGGCTGCTCTGCCAACGTCTTGGCATACACCGTTCCTGCATCGAATACCATCGTCTACTGCGATGTTTTCTTCAATTCGCTTCCTGCCTTGGCCAACACATGCCACGGTCAAGATCAAGCTACCACAGTGCTTCACGAAACAACCCATGCTCCTGGCGTCTTCAGCCCGGGAACTGATGATCTAGGCTATGGCTTCGCTGCAGCATCAAAGCTGTCTACCAGCCAGGCAATCCTCAACGCCGACTCCTATGCTTTGTACGCGAATGGTAAGAACTGAGCTGTGCTATCTCCCCCCGAAAAGCAAATGCTAATGCTGCTCCAGCTATCAACCTCAATTGTTAGAGAAGGCTGCATGATGTTGGACACGCTGATGGTAGATATAATACGTACATTCTGTGAAATCAGAAATGCGCTGGCGCTTTTAGTTTATATTGTAATGGTACAGCGTTTCAATACCACCCTGGAACCGATATTTGACTTTTTTGTTCCATTGCTGAACTCTTGTGCGTTGACGATTTGAAGATGAGGACCGATTTTCTTCTGCGTGTATATACTTTGGGTGGTCGTCTATCCAGTGATAATATTCATTTCAAATCACTATGATGGTTCACATTCACGGACATCTAGAGTAGTAAGTGGGTAACCTGTAGGTCTGATTCGCTCGCGTGAGGTTACGAAACGCGCCTAGGTACTCAAGACCAGGATTGCAGGGCGAGTCCCCGTACTCGAAACATGCCACTTTCATTTCCCGAGATCGGCTAATTGGACGGTCACAATAATTAATAGAAAACGTTTCCGAGTGAAGCCTTCTCGCCAATTTATTCTATTCTTCTGGCACCAGGTACTAATCGTCCAAGGGACGTTTCCAATTCGCAGTGTTAAAGACTTAAGGGTATTCTCGAACCTCTGATAAGGCCACAAATCAGTTGGTAGAAACTACCTAACCAAATACATCAAAGTCTAGTGTATCAGCATGGTTGGTCCCTTGTCCTACGAAGGAGTTACGCTTGTGGTTCCTGTCGCGTAATGCCCTGATGAGGTAGGTGGGTTGAATCGTCCTTCGAGCATTTTCTCGTATAGTAGGTTAGAAGCCCTTTTCCCATCGAATCTTTTGAGTCAACTGGCCTCTTGTATGTCTTCTCACTATATGCGTTGTACTCGTTATATCGTTGTTTTCTTCTCTAATTTCTCCGTGAATTTTGATTTTCCTACTTGAATTCAATGGCATTTTTCTTAGCCGTCACGCTCTTTATGCTTTGGTCTTCTTCTCATGCAGAAGTAACCGCCACTCCAACCTTCAACATTGTCGGAACCACGACTATAATGCCACCTTATGGGGTGGGCTCAGCAACATATTATGCCTCTGAAGTGGGCAAGGATAGGAATGGAACAACATACGCAATGACATGTGTACCACACTCTCCACAAACAGCAGTACCAACATTGTCCATCGACCCTGATCCGTGCCAAACAGTCATCTATGGCACCGAGGCAGTGCTCTTCTACCAGGGACGCAAAAACTGGCGAATCATTCGCAACGCAGAACAGAAATCGAGTACAACATCGAGCGCAAGGATTACGACTACTTGCACGGCCATTCCGAAGCCTACTCATTCGTGCGGCGCGTTGCCTACGCCCATGGAGTGCGTGATTTATCCCACAGCTGATGCTATCACTGCGCCCAAGAAAAACCTTTGCGATATGGGCTTGAAGCAGCAGCAGGTGTTGATGGTGCAGATGCTACCCACGCCGATAACGACGACGGCAACGACGAGAAGAGCTTCGCCTACGGATGCGGACGTTATGACCGATGGATACTCATTCACGGACCTGGGGAGGACGCCAGCGGCGGCACCGGTTGAGACTATTACGTTTTATAAACAGTCCGGTGGAGCGGGGAAGAAGAGCGAGGAAGTTGGGAGAGGTCTCGTTGGGTTAGCCGTGGCAGGTGGCGTTATGCTTGCTGTGGTGTGAAGCTTGAAATTTCGTCATTGATATAATAATGCCACTTCTTTGTTCTGGAACTGATGCTCAGTCAAGTCTCTACCTTCCCACATCCACGATTGAAGGCAGTTTCCAGCTTGAAATCTGGGCTGAGGCTGCCGGCAGCCATATGCAAGTCCTCTTTGTTTCGAGTTGCAATCCCAAGATTCATAACAAGAGGATGGCGGCAGATACAATCACGTAAAACCTGGCGCAACGATTTTTCGCCATAGGCACAGTCGCAAAGAATAGGCATCAAACCATAAAGTGTGCGTAAATGGATCCCATGTACATGATCGTGGAGGTGGGCAGATATGAAAGATATCTACGAGGATGCCATACAGACTTTGAAACGCGAATGTTGTTAGAATAATGACAGACAATAATCCAATCACGATCAACTTATAACAATTTGAAAAAATTGTCGTAAATCACCTTCCGTTGACCAAACCGTCGATCAACACTTTCAGCACAGCGGAGTCCCCATGCATGCCAGCACGTAGGTTGATGTTCACACACATGTCATCGTTGTCTCCTCCAATGAAAATATCGTGTCTTGTATCATCCTGCGTCAACAGCGGAGACGGAAAATCTTGAGGCAGCACCCGTTTGATCACTGCTCGAAATCGTTCAGGGCTGATATTGGCGAACTTGGGCCACGGGTGCACCACACTTTTACACCAATAGGTCTCGGCTTTTGTATCAAAGCCTAGCACAACCTGAAAATCGATTGGTGGTTCCTTCTCTGATATTTGCCCCTGTAGAAACAGGACGCCCAGAAACCCAATATTCTTGTTGAAGTGCCGCGGAATAACGAGTTGCTTGTTGTCTGCATTCCAATGTTCAGGCGGGTATACTTTTGATATGCATACTATGGGGGCTGCTGCCACTGTTCTTTGCCGCTGTATGCAAAAGGCAGGGAAATCGGGAGTATAGAAATTATAAGGTATAGATACCTTCTGGCGAACATAGATGGTGGTGAGCTTTCCTGTAGGCCAGTCATCTCTATGAGATATGCCGCTCGAGTGGACACGGGCATACTGATTCCCGTCGTCTAGGCGTCTCAGGGTAATTGCAAGTCGTGAATTCTCATTATCGGTGCATCGTATGAAGGCTGTGAAATGACTCGTATCGTGTCTAGACACAGGCGCAAGTTCCAGTTCCAGTTGTAGTCGAATGCCTATTGGCGTCGCGATGATGGGAAAAGCTGAAGCATCGTCCTCGGGCTCCACAGTTTTCTCGCTGTAAAGAAAGAATTCTTTAGGGGATCGTGCCAGAAGGCCTCTGAGGCAGGCTCTGCCTGAAGGTATTTCTTGGCTGCATCCAAGCCACGCAAAGATTGAGTAATCATCCATAGTCTTGAGTATCTCTTCTTGGAGTCGAAGAAAAGCCTTATCGCCCTCCCCATATAATAAAGGCATCTGAATATCGAATATTCCGAGTAAGCAGTAAGCAATATCCTCAATACGTGTTGTTTCTCTAGTGGCACACCAGGACATGCGATTGGCTATAGACACCTCGCTCAGATCTCCGTTCTCTAGGATGAACGTTGGAATGCCCGTTACTTCGCAGAGAGCCTCTGCAAATTGGTTTTTGTCGCCCATCAACGACCAGTCCTGGAAATAGAATCTTACGTGACGAGGCGCGATCAACTCTTGGAGTGTCCAGCCTCTTGTGACTGATCATCATCATCGCTTATGTCAGAGATGTGCAATTGTAGAGCTACACTGTAGACTGTACTTACTGGTTGACATTAACATTTGAGTGTATCGTATCATTGGGGAAGTTTTGCGTACCTCCAGCGACAATCATGGAACACATCTTTGGCGCTTGATGGAGCAGCAAACCCCACGGGTTCTACATCGTTCAAGTAAACCAAACAAACATCTGATTTTTTGTACCAATGATACATTGAATTGATAGCTTCCTGAAGCTCTGTACTTGACGTCTTGTCGATACAGCCTAGATAAAAATCAGCAACGTTGGGGTAGGTGAATGCTGTGGGTATTTGACTTGCAGGTGTCACACCATATGTACTGATAGCCAAGTCTCTTAGCCTCTGCCGCAGACTTGACTATCTTTGAGTATCCTTCTCTTTTCATAAGACCCCCTTCTGAGAGATCTGTCATCAATGTTCCAATGTCCCTGTCACCATGCAACAGCATCTCCATAGCAGCCAGCATCAAAGCTGTATTCCCACTAGCAACTGCCTGTTGGCTCCGAGAGGCTCTCTGATTGCTGTAAGTGTCCAGTAAAGATCTCATGCGTGTGATCAATGAGAGCTCCTGGTAGGAGACCTCATCGGGTCCCCAGGTATGGGAGAGGATGGCATATCTGGGAACAGTTTGCTCTGAAAAGCTCTTGAGCTCGATAGTGTCAACATCAATGAGTCGCATAGCCGCTTCACTTCCGTCCAACTCTAATGATTAGTGCGAGTAGCAGTCCGGTCCGACCTAAGCCTTCGAGATTTGCTAATCAAACGCTAGACCTATCTCATCTTAGCGCAGCGATCCAACAGGGCAGTTACATCAGATGTGATTTCTAAACAACTTCAACTTTCATACACACCATATTTATTCTTACCCTTCTTTTGGACGAGGATATGGCCTTTGAGGACACGCGTCGTTCTTCGGTACGGCGCAAACGATATACCGAAGAAGACACAAGTCCGACTACCACCCGAGAACTGCATGGGTGGTTTTCTTACGCCATCGCAGCTGAAGTCTACGCAGTGATTGGAGTAGGTACGCTCGCTTTTCCTCTCATTTCAGACTTATCAACTATGCACAGCCCTAACTGAGAATTTAGGATTGTTCTTACCTGTGACTTTGGAACAATTACCGCGAGAAAATGGCTTTTTGTTTTCGGATCGTAACACACCCTGTGTGCTTCCGCGTGGATCCGGCCGCGCCAGTGACGGCCCACGTTCCACGCTGCTTGTTAGAGCAGATGAAAGCGGCGACGAACAGTGTGTTGTGAGGTTTATGGGTGTTGATGTCACGACTACGAGTTTGGCCATGTACACGACAAGCGCAGCGGTACTTGTACAGGCACTCACTTTAATATGCTTCAGCTCGTTTGCAGACCACGGTAATCATGAACATCCATGAACCCGACAAGAGGAAGAAAGAAGAGAAGCTGATGTACGACTCACAGGCCCGTACCGAAAGAAAATGCTACTCACGTTTGCTTACACGGGGTCGGTCACGAGCGCCTTGTTTATGTTCATCGGACCCAGCGTGTACTACCTGGCACCGTTCTTAGTCATTGTTGGAGTGACTTGTTTAGGATGTTCTTTTACACTTTTGAACGCTTTTCTTCCACTCCTCGTGGCCAATTCTTCTGAAAACGTCACTACTAAGTTTTCACCGAATGTGGAAAACAGTGAAGAACATGATGAAGAATCCTCAAGCTATGAGCTAGACGAGCTCAATCCGGATGCCACCCCAGATGCTACATCAGCACGCTCGGAAAAGCTCAAGCAAGACCTCGAACGTTCTTCTCAAATCTCTGCGAAGGGTGTAGGCTTAGGATATGCTGCCGCCGTATTATTCCAGATCTTGAGCGTTGTTCTCTTGGCCATATTTTCCAAGACCTCAATTTCGAAGAGCAGTCCCACATTACCTATGCGCGTCGTCCTCTTCCTCGTTGGTATCTGGTGGGCGGTTTTCACTATCCCAACTGTCCGCTGGCTACGCTCGCGGCCAGGTCCACCGTTGCCAACCCAGTCCAAACCTTCTTCCAGGACCAACTCTGGCAAAAGTGTCATATTTTATGCTCTCTTCTCTTTCCGATCCTTTTGGAACACACTGGCTCATGCCTTTCGCCTTCGCCAAGCCCTAATATTTCTCCTTGCCTGGTTTCTTCTCTCGGACGCCATCGCTACTATCTCAGGCACTGCCATCCTCTTCGCGCGCACTGAGCTTCACATAGACACTATACCTTTGGTGTTCCTTTCTCTGACGTCTATAGCTTGCGGTATGCTCGGTGCCTTCTCTTGGCCACGCCTCGCATCACGCTTCTCCCTTTCGCCCAAAGCAGTCCTCATGATATGCGTGGCTGCCCTAGAAGTCATTCCTTTGTATGGATTGCTTGGCTTTATTCCATTCATCAAACGCCTAGGGATAGGAGGCATTCAGCAACCATGGGAAATCTATCTAGTCGCTATCCTTCATGGTCTTGTAATGGGTGGCATATCGAGCTACGCACGCTCTGTATATGCTCCACTTATCCCTGCAGGGAGAGAGGCCGCCTTCTTTGCCTTGTATGCTGTCACTGATAAAGGTAGTAGCGCAGTGGGACCAGCGATTGTGGGGCTGATCGTAGATCGTGCGGGAACTATCCGGCCCGCCTTTGCTTTCCTGGCCGTTCTGGTCTGTTTGCCTGCGCCGTTACTTTGGTGGCTTGACGTGGAAAAGGGAAGAAGGGATGCTGCAGTTATGTTGGAAGGAATAAGTGAAAGAGATAGAGGCGGGTATGAGGTTGTGGGAGAGGAAGATGAAGAGTGAGCTGTAGTCAGTCTTTGTTAGCTATAACCCGGAAAAGAAACGAACCTTCGATCTTACAATTGGATTCACGATTGTGTTATTGCACTTCCATCAGGCACATATGTACTTGAAATTCTGCAGTAATGTGCATATGTAAACAGTCAAGATGTGTTTCAGTGTGACATGTTCATATCGTATCATTGTGACGGGGTATTTGTGGGATCCTGCAGCAGTATTTTTATCTACATATGAAACGATGAACCTCAACCCCTCCCCCCTCTCCCCCAAATCCACCAGGCACCGACAAACTGCACAAGAAAAACCCCTAACCCCCAAAAGTAGCGGGAAAAAGATCCCAGAAAACGGTTCCAGACACACGACCAGGAGCAGAGGCACCGCAAGACGGAAGATCTTGGAGGAGGCCCAGAGGCCCACGGGTCATGAGGAGGAGGAAGAGCAGAGCCTCCTAAGAGGATGCTGTGGTGGTGTTGCGGGGAACGAAATCCTCCGCACGAGGATTCAAGAGAGGCTACGACATGTTAATAAGATTTAGTCCAGTGAGGAGCAGAAATGACTTACAGCCCGTGGTTCCTCTTGGATGGTGGGCATTGCTGCCCGGCGGTTGCGGCGCCCGAAGCGAAAGCGCCAGCTGTGGGTACTCGAAAGTGCCCGTGGGCGACTCTCGGTGATGGTGGAGGAGGTGGTGGTGGCCACAGTAGCGGCAGCGGCAGCAGCGGTGGCGGTGGTGGTGGTGGAGGACGAGCCCTCCATGATGCGCCTCAGCGCATCCGGGGTCATTGGACCCGCGGCGAGGTGTGCCGTGATGGCGTCGTGGATGTTGATGGAGGATGAGCGGGAGTTTGCCATATTGAATGGTCTTTGGTTATCTTTGAATGGTTGTTAATATGGTTCTTGAGGTTGCTGGAGAAGGAAAAGGGAGCGGTTTCAGAAGGGCATGAGATACTTATACTACCTGTAGATGCATATCTAGATTTCTCGAAATTCCGTGGTCACGCATAATTTAGGTTTCCCAGGTGAAGTCGTACTTGGTTATGTTGTTTCAAGCTTGTTTCTGCCTTCACCTCTACAAAGAGACTATATGATGGCAACTACTCAGATAGTGAGTGACGTTAGTAAGTCATTTAGAGCTATTTTGAAGGTATCTTCTGATTAACAGCTATTCCGATGGCTTAGTGAACTAGTAGAGCTATACAATAGCGATGTTCTATACCACCGACGAAGCTGTTCAATTCACCTCGTATTGTTCCAGAGGTTTTCCTATACACTTAGTATTGAGCAAAATACTTGGAAAGGAGTTAAGATATTGGCTAGACTTTTATGTTCCATTCAAATGTGAGGTGAATTACAGAGTGGTAGCAAACATTCTTGTCTGGGCACACATTTCAAAATTGAAGCCCGATCTCGTTTGCGGACCCCTTAGTGGAAAATAAATTCTCCCGAGCTCTTATATTTATATGTATACTGCGACCGAAATGCCAAATGACAACTCGAATTTTACTAGTAAGAATTTATTTGCTTGCGAGTTACAACCATACGTTTGTACATGCGCACCGAGGATGGAGTGGAGGCGGAGAAGGTGCAGACATACCCGTAATCTAAAAGGATCTATACATAAGCATATAACGTAAAATAAAAGCATCTACTTTAGTTGACTACCTCTAAGTCTCGAGAAAATTGCGAAATATAGTATATCATGTTAATGTTTACCTAGGGACATCTATGTAGAATGCTGTGGGCCTAACGACTATCTTCTAGCGTAGTGGGAACTCCCGCTTACTTGCCGATACGAGGGTCGATCTGCTATTTAGAGGGTTGAGAGAGTAAGAGTCATCTCCAGATGATAACATTATAGGAGTTTCCCCTGAAATTGGCGCAGTCGCGCAGGGTTGTAGCCGTAAGAAACATGGCGAGCCGTTATGAGCAGAAGCCAAAGCCGAATAAATCTCTTAATCAAGAAGTTAGAGAAGACAGAAGCCCACGTGGGGCTATGTCTTGGTGACTGCTGCCATTGAGCGCGTATCAGGGAAACCTTTTAGCTCAGACATAAATAAGTACCTGCTCGCGCCGTTGGGCATGGAGCGAAGCTCCACCAACATACCCGAGGTCGTAATGCACCTATGTAGCCTGAAAATTTTGAGTCGATCCTGAGGGCGTGGGTCATGAGTTTCCTTGATCTGAGTATCGCGGATGGTCTGATGACACCGGTTTTGGAGGCGCAGCTGCCGGGCTCAGTTCCACGAAAGACCTTCTGGTCATTTACCAATCTCTTCTATAAGCATACAAACACCAAACTATCAATGATAATGACAGTACTCCAGGCCCACTAAATTCTCGCGGAAAAATTTCACGCCCTACGTCGGCATCGAAAACGACGAGAGTGATTGTCAAGTTGAAACGGCCAATACCGGGCGTATGGTTTACTACCAAGCCCCTACTACCACCGATAACTCCGGTTGAATGATACTGGATCCTCAACCTCAATCCGCCATCGTGGTATTCGTCAGTTATCTGCCGCTCTTCGGCATCTTGATTTTCTCGGATACTTACATCTGAAAATCCCCATTTGAGAAGAAGTTAAGATGGACTATCTATAGCTCGCAGAGTCCATCATCTACACAAATAGATTCGCATATGATTTCTATAGGCTTGGGCTTGACCAAAGACGAAGCGAGAAACAAAGTTCCTGTTCGCAGAAGATATACGAAAGGGAATACTGGTTTGTATAGCAGCGCCGTATAACTAACTAAAAACTCGGTCTACCTAGGGAGATCGCAGGAAGCTCCAGGATCAGATCTACTACAAAAACCGTCGCGTAGGTTCTCTAGCACCGAGTACTAAGAAGTTTCATCGATCCATTCGAGGAACAATTTGGACTTCAAAGTTGTCAAACTCGTTGATCCAATGCATTCTAATCTTAGGGAAAGGATCTTTGCGCACAAATTCCACGTCAAACTCGCGCAGAAGACTCACAAGAAAGAATCGAATTTCGTATAGACCCAATTCCCTTCCTGAACAGGCGCGGCTGCCATGTCCGAACTACAATTCTAGTCAGCTATCGGAAAGATAAGGTTTCTGTCTTGTGGAATGGATACTTACCACGAGTAGAGTCTGGTCCATACGAAGGAGGGCCTTGTGATCAGCATTGAGCCATCTTTCAGGGACTAAGCGGTCGACATGCTCGCCGAAGACCGCATGGTCTCGATGAACAACATACTGCGGTATAGTAACATTTGTACCCCCGGGTATTCTGTATCCATTGGCCTCGAATCCTTCCTTCGGTGTGATCCGCTCAAGTGGCACGGAATTTGATGAATATAGACGGACGGACTCTTTGATGACAGCGTTCCTATCGGATACCTATTAGTCAATCTTCGATTCATGAATTCTGTGAGAATCTTACAGATATGGATCTCTCATTTGTTTCTCCATATCTTTACCTTCATTGCATCGAATTATTTCCACAAGTCGTTGATATGTTTCATGATTAGTGAGGATAGCGTAGAATATTGCGGTAAGACTGCTCGCTGTTTCCGTAGATGCTGCGAAACTATTTACAGTCAGTTTCCGGCCGTGCACTGCAGCCCAAAAAAGAACCCTTACAATGTCTCCACAAGAAGATTAATAGCCATGTCGTGGGCGTCTGCGTTTTCTTTACACTGGTATGTCTCAAGAACGCCACAAATGAGGCTCGTGGGCCCCTCGTGATCGCGGCAGTCATGGGAGTGGATAAGCGTCTCAAAATGCTAGGTTTCATGATCAGTCCCTTCCCTTCGCGCTGTCGACGATGCATAACTCACTTGCAACATGGCATGAGTAGGATCCGGAAAACTCTTGAATCTCCTCAAGATGGTCATGACTCTCTCGTTTGCAAGAGAAACTTTGCAATATTCTGGTACTTGTCCGAGAGTGGCAGCATGTTCTACAATAGACTTGAAGTTGGTGATTGTTCGATTCAAGTCTTCTCCCTGTGCAAGGTATCCGAGCGCCTGACCGCACATAATGAGGTGTGTTACATCGAAGTTCCAGTACCAGATCCACATGGAAAGATCAAGATGAACTACGTCAGAGCTTTTGAGTCTTTTCAGTATAGTAGCGAATGTAGTTTCCATAGCCCATGCATGAGCTTTGATGTTATTGGTCATATGCCGCTTCACCACCTCCAACATTTGTCTGCTTTGCTGGAGATCTTTCATGGACAAAAGTGTATCTAGCGGTTTCCCTCGGTACAATGGTCTGAAAACATGGTAGAAGTCGCTCTGTAATTTTCAGCCTCAAAATTTAGTGTTAACAATTTCCGCCCAAAGGCCATACTCACCTTCAAAAATCTCTGCTTGGCATCATATATGACCGATATTTGCTTGCTGTCGGACAGAGAGACGTGATTAGGGCCAGTTCTGACTACGGGTCCGTATTTATCGTGCAGAGCAAAATATCTTTGAGGCGCTTTCCCTGAAAGCCAAAGAAAGACACGATAAAATTTGGTGTACCGAGCTATCACCGGTCCGGGAATGTCATTGTAGTGACTGAAAATCGTCTTCCCAAGCCATGACAGAAATAAAAAAGTAACTGCTACTGTGAGAGTAGGAGACAGACTCATATCGGTGACTTTAGTAGAAACTTTCATGGATTGTGGTATTCTAACAATGGAAAGATGTGGTACTCAACATGAGACTGTAGATTACCTGCTTCATTCAGACGATATGGGATCCTCCTGGATACCACTCTATCCCGAACTGGATTGCAGAAAAAAGAACACGGTCTCCGAAAAGATATTGGAATTCCTCAAGCCTGGACCAACGACTTTGCTTTAGCCTGATGTGCTGAACAAGAATGCTAAGACATGCATGATGCACGAATGCATATACGTAGCTTACTCAAGAACTGAGAACGGGGGTTTTTTTTTACTACACAAGGCCCAGTTGCCTTGTATTATGATATCAGAGGCATTTGAACCATTTGCCTTGAATCAGGCAACGACTAGGATCATGAGACGACGAGATAGACCGGAATGAGAATACGAGCTAAGAGTGCATATAGGCTAATATGTCCTCACCAATGATGATTGCCCTAATCGATTAAGATTCTCGCAATTTCCATTCTATGTGAAAGGACGCGCAAAATTAGGGTCTCCGAGTAACGCGGTTGCTTTGAACCTATTTTTACTAGAAATTGACAAAATTTGCCGTCTTTCATCACATGAAAATTCTTTCCGTACATCTAGTACACTCTATGTCTGGCGTATTCAAGCCTTTCTCAGCGTCTAACTTATTCAACTGTTCGTCTAGTTAAACACTTTTCGACTGTTGTTGGCTCGCCACCGAGTATGTTTTCTCAATCTGGATTTCTCCGTTCATGATCTCCCAGTATGACGTGTCGAGTGCAGGTGGAGCGTTTAGGTTTTCTTCTGTAGTTTGCCCTTCTTCGTTCGCAGCTAGAAAACTCGGCCCCTTTTGCGCGTCGACAGATGAGGTTGAGTTTAACTTGAAGCTCAACGCTGAACGCACAGAGCCGAGTACAGACGAAAGTGCACGCGCCTTAAATATTGGGCCGAGCGTGGGAAGGCATGCTGCGATGATTGAGAAGCACGATTCGATGTGACACCAAAGGTCTGTTTACTTTCGACGCCGGATGTTGTGAGCTAGACAAGGTCAGTTCCATCACAGCAGTAACATACAGCTCATAGACCCACGTGAATTAAAAGCTCCTTTTGTAGTTGTTGTTTGGACAATGTAATACACTCTTACACTAGACGCTACGACACAACTGTACTGATGTCAATCATTGCTTTGCCAGTTCAGAGATGCACCAGGCTTACAATGTACCCAGCAGAAAGAATATACTGACGTATATCTTTTTTCTGGTATCGATATGGAGTTTAAGAATGAGTGGCCATGGCAAAGCGAGGACAATCAAGTCCAATAGTAGGTCCATAGCGGACATGCATATGATAAACGCTTGCCAGTTAATAGAGAAATGCTCACGCCGTTTGACAGGGACCCACCACTGGACGGGGCCGCTGGGGAAAGAAAACATGTGACCCTGTGTTATTCTCAGTATACATCGGCTATGTTGATTACAGATATTGAACTTACGAAGATCGCGGTCAAGACCCATGCGGCCACTACACCAATGTAGACATAGGTTACAATATTGTATCTGACAGAAACAAAGAAGATGCGCTGGTAGAATAGAGCAGCAGAGATCTTTATCAAACCGAATATGATGTGTCCAATTATCACGTCCCAGAAAACCACCTACAATTGCTTTTAGAACTTTTGAGTTTTTGGTGATTCTTGCAGTACTGACCTTCGAACTCAATCTGGACAACCCCGGATTCCGTCCAGAGATTTGCTCTTCGTTCGAGTAAACGAGCCCTACATAAGCACCGGCAATGCAGATTCCAACGGTACAAATCTACCTGAGTCAAAAGATATCTTTTTTTCGGGCAAATGGAGTCTCATCTACCAAAGCTAACGCAATCGTATAGTCATCCCAACTGATCCTCTGCTTTTTGATCTTTCGGCTGCAAAATCGTAGACAAGTCGCCAGTATAGCTAAACACGGAAGGGCGATATTAGTAGCAACGAAAGAGTAAGCGTAAGTTGGCATAACTGCTAAGTTTTTTAGTTGCGCTGATGTGCTGAATAGTGCGACAACGTGTGAATGAGTGGGGTTGCGGTGGTTTTGGGGCTATATGTCCCGTGTGACTGCACCCCACCACAGTTACTTCAAAGTGCCTCAGCCTTCTCACCCGACCAGCTGGGCCGCACCATAACACACGAAAGCTACACAAACAGCCGCCCCAGACCTGAGGCCAGGCTTGTCTTACTCCAACAGCAGATTAAGCCTAGGCAAGTGTGCACCAGAATCCGTACAATAATACGAGACCGGTCCCCGAAGCAAGCATAGCCGATCATCCTGTGAACAACCGACGCGGATCTTATCTTCTGCTCGTTTACTAATAGTCAATACTTCGAACGTTGTGTTGTCAAAAGCTTGACGGGTATTCGGTGGAATTACATTGCTCTTGTCGACGTGTTTGCTTCTGAACGATGATTGTTCTTCTCACTCTCGCGGCAACAGCGATCGCGATCATCTTCAGGCATGCGCTCTTACGCTGGAGATATAGAGCTCGCGCAAGAAGCTTGGGATGTCAGCCAATCAGGTACTATCCACACTGGGATCCCGTGTTTGGTACAGATGTGCTCTTTGGAACCATCATCAACATGCTTCTCAAACGAAAGCCGCCCCAGAACGTCTTTTGGGATGAACCACCTTACGGAAAGACGTATGCCACCTTAAACCAAGGAAGAGACTGGATCACCACGGTAGAACCTGAAAACATTGAAGCCATTTTTGGGAAAGCGGTTTCCTTAACGGGAGACGATGGCATCAAGGGTTCGCGGACCGAAGAGGTGTGGGGAAACGCTCCATTGCGCTCAGTCATGGAACCTTTTTGCGGAAAAGGCTTCATTACAACCGATGGAAAAGAGTGGCAACACTATCGAAACCTACTGAAGCCAAGTTTTGTCAAAGCAAATGTGTCAGAAATGAGTTGGTTCAAAGCTGCTGCAAGCGACTTTGTGGCAAATTTACCGAAAAATAATCAGACAGTCGATATGTCTCAACGGCTAGATCAATTCGTAAGCAAGCCCTATACACCAATTTAGGGGCTTATTTTCTGATATTTTTAGTTTCTGAATGTTTCACTAAATTTCTTGCTTGGTATCCGAAAAGAGCAGGAAAGTACAGCAATGGACCAGCTTGCTGTCGAAGAATTCCTCCAGGCTTTCCACGAAGCAGAGATGGGCGCGGGTATGAGAGTATTTTTCGGAAGATTGGGACCATTGTTACCCAGAAAGAAGTGGATGCAAGTTTGCGAAAAAGTCCATAGTTTCGTTGATGGGCGTGTCCGGCAGGCGATGCAATCACAACAACCGTATCCGCCTTCTGCAAAACCCATCAAGAGCCTGCTGCATAATTTGACCACCCAAACCAGCGATGTGCAAGAGATACGTAGTCAGGTTATTCACGGTATCATGGCCTCACAAGATACTACATCTGTCTTGCTCAGCAACACAATATTTCTTCTTTCCCGCCATGCCTGGGCATGGGATCATCTGAGATCCGAGATAAAAGGGATACCGCCTGAATACTGGACTTTTGAGGCTCTTCTCAACTTCAAGCCCGTGAGAAATATACTGTTCGAAAGTATGTATCAAAGACGCTAATTGTTTAGCAAGAACTGACAGCATGTAGCACTGCGTCTGTACCCAGTCTTCAGAATACTAGGTCGCCAGGCACTGCAAGATACTGTAATACCACTTGGCGGGGGCAAATCAGGCACACATCCCGTGTTCGTCGCCCGCGGATCGTCGGTTGCCGCCAATATATTTCCACTCCATCGCAACAAACACATATTCGGTGAGGATGTCGGCTCTTTTCGACCAGCACGATGGGAGGCAATAAGACCGAAACGGTGGGAGTTTCTGCCATTTGGAGGTGGACAACGTCAATGTGTCGGAAAAGACAAGGCGTTGGCTGAAGCTTCGTATATGCTTGTCTTACTGGCTAGTCAGCTTACGGCAATCCAAAGTCGAGATGACAGGGATTGGACACCCCAGGTCAAGCTAACTGTTCGTAATGCGAACGGAAGTCTAGTCGCTTTGGGGTAGTTATAGTTAGCGGTCATGGGGTTGAGCCAAAGCCTAGAACTTGTGGAAAGCTTAACCGAGTTTGAATCTAAGCCCAATGATGAGATATTCGCGTTGACTTTCCTATAAGGGTCATGATATTGGGGGCGAAAAAGGTATTTGATTTGAAGAATACGAGAGAGGCAAACGGCAAGGACGAAGACAAGTTGCCTCAGTGCAGCGAGCATGGATGCAATTTACCGATCACTCAAATCAAGCTTATCAACAGGGGAGGAACATAATTTTGACTATGTATAGGTCAAGAAAACAGTTAATTCCCTAGTGCTGCATGGCTATCTGAAGCGACTCCTCCGTAGTAACGGTTGAATTCCAACGTCATTCCAATACAATTTTTCATTTGTCGTTAATGGCATGATATGCGTAAACCACATCTTCGTCTCTGTCGACATCAGGATACACAATGTAGTCATCGTTGTCTAGAAGCTACAGTAAGACGTGAGATTGATGCTAAATTTTGATGTTCACTGACCGATGGAGCCTTCTCGGGCTGCAATTGCACCTTCCTAATGTCAACGTATGGTCGCGAAAGCTGGAGCTGTAGTATTACCTGGCAAGCCAAGAGGAGCAGCAATTGCAATGCTAGCGAAAAGCAGGCTGATAAAAGGGGTGAATTTCATTCTCACGAAATAGAATTAGTTCGTCTTCTGAATCGGCTGTGGAATGTTGTGCTGTGATGAAGCTGACCTCGGGATCTGAGCACGATATATACTCAACTACAAGGAAAATGAAAAAAAAAATTAGCCCCGAAATAGGACAGGCCGTGCAGCAGGCAACTGAGAAGGGTTAAGAGTGGTGCTCAATGTTGCCTGGGATCCTTCTTGGCTTCACAGGGTCCATGAACCGTCATCATGCATGCGCGAAGGGGATGACCGGTGAGGGGAGTGTACCCACCTCATGCACCATGGAAACCTTGATTGTTACCCTTCCCCATCAATCTTGAACTGGTAAAGATTTTCCGGTACAAACGGCACACCCACTTTGTTATTTTTTTGAGAATCGCTCTGGCTTGGGTGTCGAATTGTTGCTGAATCTACGTTTCCAAACATCAGCATGGCGAAAGGTTCTCGCCCAGATGATGAGGAGTCGCTCTCGGATGATCAGCCCTTCTTACGAGATAAAGAAGTCGTTTCGAAGCAGGGGAAAAGACGCTCATTTACCTGTTGCACTCTATATTCTTTCCTCTTTCACAGCGTCTTTTCTCTCACCTACTGTGTTCTCTTATACATCTTGATTGGTCCAAAGATAGAACCAAGAGCAACGGCGCTACATCGTATGATAACATCATTCTGATATTGCTTACACACTACTGACTCTTGATTCTTATAGCTATCAATGCCTTGAATATACAACATGTTGCGTGGTCGTACGATGATTTCGAACAGTCGCCGTACTCCGGAAAACCTAGGGCATCGCTTGAAAAGGAGTGGCATCGTCTTCTCGAGGGAACAACCATTCGTGTGTCTGAGGAAGAGTTACGTGCAAGCAATCAATCTTCTGTAGCTCTCCCAGAGGGCGGAGGCTATATGGCGTGGTTAGGGGTCTATCACGAGCTCCATTGCATTGTAAGTGGCACAATCAAAGAAGATGAATTATGCAACAAATCAGGGACTGATTCTGGATCATTTGTAGAAAATGATTCGTCAATGGATCTACCGAGATCATTATCATACAGATCTGCCTGAGAAAGATGTCCCACATTGGTCCATCCATGCAGGTAAGTTTGAGTTTCCAAGGTTTATAGACTGAATAGAGGGGTTTTAATATTGATATAGATCATTGTCTGGACTTGCTGCGAAGCGCAGCCATGTGCCACGGAGATACGACATTGACAACGTTCGGATGGGCAGAGCAAACAAAACCAATGCTGAATACTCGGCCTATTGATCACGAATGTGTGGATTGGGAAAAGTTGACAGAATCAGTCAAAGACCGGGTGGTGGATCGTAAGGAAATGGCCTCACTTGTGAACCCAAATCTTGTATGAATAGGAAGCAATTGTTTAACGAGGGCTTATGGTGATATTTATTCATTGGAACAACACAGAGTGAACAAATTCGTCTACTGCTAACTAACCGTCCGTCACCACATCTATGCTTTCCACTCAAAATGGGGGCTAAACTATCTGTTCCACATGAGTCTTTTTCTGTTGCAAACTTACCCACTCTTTGAGTTGGTTCCAGTCCCTACAAACATGCTCCGTTCGGAACCCATGCACACCATTGATTTTTTCGTCGATAACTTCCAGTGTAGTATCCGCCATACACATCAATGACTGACGTATCAAATCAGTACAGTGTCGTATATGGCTCTCCTGTATATCTACGGGAAGAGCCGCATCCACCAGCTTTTCCCCTCGTATCGCGGCGCGGTGGCTTGCCCAGTATCCTCCGCGAATGGCATTCTGGAAATTGGGCTTTTCAGCAAACAAAGTAAAAAAAGGAGATAGGTTGAGCTTTTGGGGATCTCTCACCAGGCAGTGTAGTTGATGGAACACTGAGAACGTTGACCGAGTAGGGGCAACAATCGGGTGGACGAAAAAGCCCCCTTCGGCTGGAAATATATCTCTCCATGCACGATTAGTGCGATTTGAAGGCGGGTATGAAAAGCTTCTGTTGTAATGGAAAGTATGGATACTTTCATCCACTTCGATCGATAAAAAATAAGTCAATGCTCTTGGAAAATATGCCCTTCCCGACTCACATTGAAAAGTGTGGTTATGCGACACGACTGATGTCAATTGCCGCGTAGCGAGGAATCCTAACGCACCCGCAATGAAACTTGCGCACACCGATAAGATGAAGATGGAGGTATTCCTCCCATATCGGGCTGGAGGAGATTTGTCTTCCTCTGCTGTAGGAAGCTTGACGTATTTTGAAGAACTAGTGAACCGCATGATGCAAATGATACCAGATGGGAGTAACGGATTTCGAGAAGAGAATAGCAGATTCATGGAAACAGAAAATGGTGAGGTACGTAAATCAGCTTCTCAATTTAGCCTCATTCGTCATCATCATGGAAATCCTTCCAAATGCGACATCCAGGCTATACTTGACTCCAAGAGGGTTATAGTTAGTCCCCATGTGAGCTGGATATTCCCTGAATGCATGTGCAGCGGGTGGCCAAGAAAGAAGGCAAACCGTTATTCGTATTACAGAGCTAAATGCAGTAGGGAACTCATTTAGCCAACGATTGAGAGCGAACGTTCCTCAGCTGACAAGCAAAGTGAGACATAAGCAGACCTCACCCATCACTGTCAATCTCCAGTTCCGTTGACGGCTGAGAGAAGGGGGGACTTGCAGCTCGTATACTCGGTAACCGAAGAAGAGTCAAATGGCATCACAGGATAGTACATGTAGAGTCGGCGACCAAGAAAAGAAGTGATCCATCAGTCTGTGCAGAAGATTCATTCCGCTTGTCAGTTGAGGGAAAGGCAATATTGCAGCTCGTAAACTCGGTAACCGAAGAAGAGGCAAACCGCATCACTGCATGTATAGTCGGCGACTAGGAAAGAAAGCAAGTCATCAAGCTGTATAGAGGATGGGTATAATCATCGCGTCTTATGTGTCAGGTAATCTTTTATCTGTTGTTCCCCTGGAAACGACACATGGGTACTCGGGTACCCATGTGGCGTTTGGAATCTACAAAAATCGGGCTCTATATACTGTACTTAGAGAAGTGCTTCGCAGACATTATAAATCCACATATCTCCCACACATCCATTTCTCTTACATTATTTGCGCCTGTCCAGCTGTCTTTTAACGCTTGAAAACAGAATAATTGACGGAATGAGTAAATCGATCGATGATTTTCATGTTGCACACATATACAAAGATTCGAGTATGGATTCCAAACAATACCAAAACGGAGGAAACACACAGTCGCAAATCCTCAGCCTCGCTCTCTCGATCGCCCAGCAGACCCAAAAAGTCAATGATTATTTGCAATCGAAGAACCTCCCCTTTCCCTCCGTCGCCCCCTCTGCGCATAGTCACCTACCTCTACCCCCTGAACTTATGAGCTCTCAATTCGCTGTAGTAGAAGCTTGTACCGAACTAGCTGCTTTGATGGAAGGGCCGCTCAACCACTTGACAACCATCACCAGCCCCAGAGTCAGTACAGTGGTCCATATTCGTGCACATTCACCACATGTTCAATCCTCCTGTGTGTATATATTAACAAAATACGCGGTTCAGGCCAATATCATGATGGCGTTACAAGCAATCCATCGTTTCAACATCGCCTCCTCGATCTCAGTCGACGAGGAAATTTCCTATGCGAACCTAGCAACTCGTTGTAAGATGGATCCCACAGATCTTCGCCGCATTCTTCAACTGGCGGTGTCAAACCTCGTTTTCCAGGAGATTCGCCCTGGGTACATCGCACACACCACCATCTCGCACCTTATTGCTACAGACGCGACGGTAAAATCATGGATCGCACTGGTTACTGAAGAAATGTGGCCGCCTGCGAGTCGAGGCGTTGATGCAATGGCAACATGGCCAAACTCGCAGAATCTGCATGAAACGGCATTCAGTCTCGTTAACGGCGGGGTATCCTTCTGGGAGGCGATCAAGGAGGGCAACAGGGGAAGAAGATTTGCGGATGGCATGAAGTACCTCGGTAAGCTGCCTGGGTTCGATGTTCAGCATCTCATTCATGCGCTTCAATTCAAGGAAGGAAAGGAAGAAGTGCTAGTTGACATAGGGGGGTCGGAGGGGGACATAGCGGTCCGACTGGTAGAGCATTTCCCCAGGCTGAAGGTCATTGTTCAAGATCTTGATGAAGTTATTGAAGGTATCAAGGAGACGGAACTACCGATTTGCGTGGGTGGAAGACTGGAGTTCATGAAACATGATATGTGTATGTATACACCCCGGAATAAAGCAGTTTCGAGAAATTACGTGGAGAAGTGTTCGAAGGTGCTGGAATATCATTCTCATATATTTACTGAAAGTCAACTGACTTGGCGCTCACCATTCTAGTCACCGTTCAACCCGTTGCGAATGCTGATGTATACTTCCTCCGGTCAATTCTACACGACTGGCCGGACAAATATGCCATCTCCATTATAAAGAACTTGGTTCTCGCGCTGAAGGCTGGAGCTAAGGTCATTTTGAACGAAGTTTGCTTACCCGAGGAGCCTGGAATGGTACCTATGTATCATGCGCAGCTTTTATAGTAAGTTCTATCCTTGATATGGGTTTATTCTAGATTCGCGTTCAAGAGCACGAAGCATATTAACGAGACGCAGCGGCTACGATCTAGCAATGAAACATCAATTCAACGGAAAAGAACGGAGAATAGTTGAATGGGAAGAGTTGTTCCAAAAAGCAGATCCAAGATTCAAAATGGGCAGGGTTGTGTCAATGCCGGGGTCGCTACTTAGTGTCATTGAGTTTGTTTGGAAGCCCGAAGATCACACAATAGAGAGTATATGAAGCGAGCGGGAGGCGCGTAAAGAGGTAGCCATATGTATCGCAAGTCTCTCTTTTCCGCGGAGCAACTACTTCAAGTTTAGACAGTTTGAACTGGCTCGCAGACCCCGATCTATATGTGACAAAGGTATCAGACGGAACTATCTGGGTTATTTCTATGTAGCACAAATCATCATTGATCGCCCATCCCAATGATTCATAGCATCTTGGAAGAAACCTTATATGAAGGATACTGTACGCAGCGAATGTGATGATGAGTTTAAGCCGGCAGGTTTGGAGCGGAGACCCAAGTAAGTTGATATCAAGGCTATTTCCCGCAACGAAGAATGCTCAATTGCTTCCGAATGATTGGGATAGCTATCTTTGCCTTCTATTAGGCTACCTTGATTCGAGTGAATAGCTTCCTAGATAGGACCGAGATAGATACTAAATTGGGGTCATTGTTTATGTGGCAGATGGAGTGTATGCGTATTCGAGTTGGGTCTTGAACCTTTCCTTTTTCAGATGCTCGTACCTCTTCTACTCAGACCGTGGCAATAGTGGATCTATGTACTTCATATACTCTAACACACCACAAGACATCTGGTAGTGATTAATATGCTTCGTTGAACAAATACAGCACTTGTCGCGTGTTTTTCTGCTCCGGGTGGGAGCGCCTGCGTCTTTGTACTAGCATTCGAAGCAGGTGCGCGGCGTAAAAGTCTTTTGATCCTTGCATTGAAAGTTGTTTTAAAGAGGACAGGGTTATATTATGAGCCATACCTATACGCCTAAGACGCGGGCTTGTAGTAGTCATCTGTAAACTTAAAGCTATAAAGATAAATATGTGCGATTGCTTGAGACTGTCTCTTTCTACCTATTGCGCAGCTCCCGTTGATATGATGTTCTCTTTGACCCTCCACGCTTTTGCGGCAGAGCCTATTTTTCTCCTGGACAGCATACATTGAGAAACCGCGCTTGCACTCCCCAACTGAGGGCCGTAGTTGCCCGTGTAATCCAAAGTATCAGATTTTTACACTTTCGCGTCAAGCCTTTTCCTCGAGCACAGGTTTCTGCCGATCGGGATTCTCTGCGTACTCGCCCTCTGGTAGAGCATCAAGGTCGTCATCTTCGTGGTTCAACTCCCTAAAGCTCCACCAAAAAGCAACGCCCCCGACGAAGGATATGATTGCAATGACGGTGTAAAGCCACACTAGCAACGGATCGCCAGCTAGAGGGACAAAGGCCTGGCCAAGTGCCGAAGAGAAGGCGTTAGTGAACCAGAAAACGCCTGTAACTACGGACCGCATGTTCTTTGGGGCTTTATTAAAAGCATACTCAAGGCCCGTAATGGAGGCGAAAATGTCGGAAAAGGCAATGAGCATATAGACTGGCGTTTGGACCCAAACCGAAATGTTAGGTGGCGTTTCCTGACAGGCTTCGTCGGAAGCGTATTTTCCGCAAGGTGACTGCGTGTAGATGGAGTGTTGAATGATAGCTGTAATCGCCATTGCAGTTGTGCTGCATACAAACGCTGCAGTGATCTTTCGAATGGGCGACATGCGAAATCCAACGCGCGCGAGAGCAGGGTATAAGAAGTGATCAAAGATTGGTATAAAAATGATAAGCGTGAGGGGATTCAGATTATTGACCACGTCGTTGGGGACGCCATTCAGCTTTAATGTGGCAGCTTGCGAGACGAGGTTCCCATTGAGCTGGCCGTATGGGAGCCAGAAAACAGGATACCAAAGAAAAACATAGCAGGCCTTGATTCCACGGTGGACTTCCTCGACCCAGGCATCGTCAAAGGTCATCCAGGTAGGTCGATTCTGAATTTTGCTGGGCTTGATACTTTCCCAGCGTTCGGGTGATCTCAGATTTCTCCAGGTAGCAACGGGATTGATAGACCATTGGCCTTTCATAGCCAGACCATATAGTTTCACTGCTTTCGAAAGTGCTGAGCCAGCTGGGGCTCTTCGGACATAGCGCTTGCGACATACTACTAATATGATCGGGCAGGTGAGGAACAGAATCGTAGGCAATGTAAATGAAAGCCAGAAGCCGATGTACTTCTCGGCATACACCATGGAAATGGATCCTGCCATGGAACCAACATTGATGAGCTGATAGTATCGCATGTACACACGCGTAATGGTCAACCCGGGGTCGACAATGACGCGCTCACCATTTGGCTCAACACGGATGAAAGGCTTTGGATGAGTAGCTTCGTACTGCTCTGCGATGAATGGGGAAATGTTACACTTGAAGAATCCAACTCCGGTGCCAAGTAGAAGGAGGCCTACAACAAAGGTACCAAGGGCTCCGTTGGACTTTGCGATTACAGCAGGAATGGCAGCGACAATGATAAGGATATGTCCCACAATAGCGAGAGCCGTGGCCACGTTGATGGTTTTGAAGCGGCCCCAATGTTCATCGGCGATCCAACCGCCTATACAGGCTCAGCAGGTTGAATTAGGGCGAGAAGAACAGAAACATACCAATCAAAGGCATAACATAGGCCCAGAAGGCATTGAATAGAAGAAGTGCTGACATGGTGCGCTGTCCTTTTCCCAAGGCACCGGCCTGGCCATCAGTGCCCGCAGCGCCAGCTTTGGGGAAAGGTCCTTTTTCCGGCAAATCTTGCTGGAGAAAATTAACAACTATCACTCTGTTAGCAAAACTGCATGTCACTGTGGGCGAACGGGTGACTTGCACGCTGCTGTAGTGCCGTAGTACGCGAACCTTTCACACATCTCGATAAATCCAATGATGTAGATCAGACTATCGATTTTTCCATAGACGCGCCTCAACGTTTGGAGTTCTTCCTGGGTGGGACTTTGTTCCTCATTTGATCGTGACTCGGTGCTTTTGTTCGTCTCCACTGGAGCGATGTTGCCCAGCTTCTCAACAGTGTGGTCTTGCTCCCTAGGAAGGCCTTCGGCGACCTCTATGACATCATGGGATACCTGAGTCGCCATCTTGAGGGACGGAAAATAGGGAGAGGGATTGAGGATTCTATGCCAAAAGTAACGGGTGGGGATTGTACTGCACTTGAGTAACAATGCATCCCGCCAAGCGTCAGCGTCGTCACATGCAGCATATGCAGCATCCCTGGCACGCTCTGGATGCAGTGGAGGTGAAGAGCAAGCTTATATGAAGCTTTTTTCCCCTTTCAAATGAGCTTAGTGTTTTTCATTCCATCATTCCAGCTATATACTACTTACTTATTTTACTTGATTTATTTCTACTTGTGTCCGCGCCCTTACCATTGAAAAAAGTTCAAATTGTGATAATTAATAATGAAAGATAACTGACACTGTAATACATACATATAGTGATAAACAGCACGTGCCCATAAACGGTATCACGGCGTGACATCGAAACCTAGTTACCTACCTATGTAGGTATGTAGGCAGAGGATCTTAGAGATCCTAGCAGTGTGCATCATGTCTTGGCGCGGGCCTAGCACTCTAACCTTTCGCAATGCATCATCCACACCCAATCTTTACAAGCTGGAGCCCTCCACGATCGAAACAGCATCGCGGAAATGGGCAGAAATACAGACAAGCTCTACATCACTCACTCTGAATGGGCATCGTCCGACTCTTATGGTAACTCGCGTGGCGCAAACACCGGCAAAGCGTCCGCGAATGGCCTCGCTTCCACCTTCAAGCGCCTCCCCTTCAACTACTGCGCCGTCTCCCTCCAACCCTTCACCGATCCTGTGTGCACAGCTTCTGGCTCCATATTTGATCTCACACACATCCTCACATGGCTATCTAAACACCCGGACACGAACCCAATAGATGGCACCCCACTGAAACGCGCCGATCTAATAACACTGCATTTCACAAAAAACGAGGATGGCGAGTATGTCGACCCAGTCACGTACAAAGTCTTGACAGATAACACACATATTGTCGCACTGCGCAAAAGCGGTAATGTATTCTCATGGGATACGGTTGAAAGATTGAACATCAAGGCGAAGAACTGGAAGGACCTGATGTCGGACGAAGACTTTACTAGGAAGGATATAATAACACTGCAGGACCCCCAGAACATTGAGTCCCGCGATTTCGGATCCTATAAGCACATTCGCGACGGCGAAACGGTGATACCAGACTTGGAAAGCAGCGTTAATACAGACGCGTTGGGGAACGCAGGCAAGATTCTCAAAGCAAAAGAAGCTGTCGCAAAAGCGCGCGCAGAGCGACTCGCAAAAGCCCAAGGCAAACCCTCGCCCTCGAACTCCGCACTGTCCGCACAAAGGACAAACGTAGCAGCGAAACCCGCATTGACATACACCGCGAAACCCGCATACAATGCCGCGGTCTACACCTCAGGCAAAGCCGCTGCGTCCTTCACTTCCACAGGCGTGACACCGCACACCTCAGGCGAGCGCGCCACACTCTCAGATGAAGACTACATGCTCAAGCCCAAACGTGTGAAACAGAAAGGCTACGCGCGCATGTCCACCACTCTCGGCGACCTCAACATCGAACTGCTGCCTGAATTCGCGCCACGTGCGGTATGGAACTTTGTGCAGCTCGCAAAGAAAGGTTACTATCGCAACACAGTGTTTCACCGCAATATCAAAAACTTCATGATTCAAGGTGGGGATCCTTCGGGGACGGGGCGTGGGGGGCAGAGCATTTGGGGCAAACCATTCAACGACGAGTTCGAGGGCCCCAATACGCACAATACTCGAGGCATTCTGAGTATGGCGAATAAGGGGAAAAACACCAATACCTCACAGTTCTTCATCTCGTATCGTCAACTGCCGCACTTGGATCGTAAACACACCATTTTCGCTCGTGTTGTTGGCGGCCTCGATACGACGCTCAAGTCGATGGAGCTCGCGGAGACGGGCGAGAAGGATCGCCCTGTCAAGGACATCATGATCCTAGACGTGGTCGTATTCGTGGATCCGTTTGAGGAGTGGCAGAAGGAGCGGATGGAGAAGGAGCGCGGGGAGGTGGAGGCCGAGGAGATTAGGAGACAGGGTGGGACGGTTGATGATAAAACGACATGGACTGGCAAGCGGATACGTAAGGATGGCACGGTAGATCAGGGCAGTGGGGAAGGGTTGGGGGTGGGCAAGTACTTGAAGGCTGCAATGTTGGAGGAGAAACAGACGGACGATGAGATTGTGGGATTCGTGGACGAGGGGGTAGTAGAGGAGCCTGCACGGAAGAAGGCAAAGACAGGAGGGTTTGGTAACTTCGATGCCTGGTGAATTAATTACCTGTTACTGTGGAGTTGTTGGCCTCGGGCGGCTTGACCGCAATGGCTGTGGCTATGGGACACTCTTGAAAAAACCTCCAAAATATAATGATACCCCTGCCCCTCTGGCGACCCAATCACTTGTTCATGTAATTTTGCCCACTTTGTACATCTGCATTTGGGTAGTGTGCATATGGATCATGTGGCGGTTGAGGTCTGCGTCCTTTCAACGAGTCCATTTTCGCAATTACAGCCAATCAGGATACGAGGAGGTGTTGCGGAGATGCATGGCCCCGCCCGCTGCGACGCATCCACTACCTTTGTTCTTGCATTTTATACATGTATCCTGGCCTATGGCGAAGGAGGAGCAAGAAGAAGGCCGAGGGGGAGGTTTGAGACTAAGAATGGCTGGTCCTGTATTACAAGTCGGCCGCGCTCCAAGTTCTCTGGGACAAGACAAGAGGGAATAACTCCGCTCATCGCGGACAAGAGAAAGGCTGACAGCGCCGGCGGGCCGGAGGTAAAGACTGTGAGGTACATATGTAGCTAGGGGGCAAGGATCAGACAGAGGAAAACCAAAGCTTGGCGACATGTAGGGATGACGAGAGAGACCCGGGCCTTTGTTTATCTGGATGCTTATGCATACTGACTATCGTCGTCTTTGGGTATTGCGGGGAGAGCTCTATGCAATGTGGTGCTGAGTAACATTGCTTTTTGCGACAAGATTAGTGATGTGCGAGTTTTGTACATGGCGTTGTACAGCTTCTTGTCACGAGAATCAAATTAGTGAGCTGCGAGTTGTGTACACAGCACTTTACATCAGCTGCATGTAAGCAGTTGAGAATGTCAACGGAAGGTGGGCCATTGGTGGGGGTTGGTCCAGTGGAAGCTCGTATACATGCATCTCTTTTTGTTACCCTCACAGCGGCTAGGTTGGTATGGGCGCCACAGGCAGCTGGTTGTGTCCATGCATACTCGTGCATCATCGAAACGGGGATGCATCGCGTCTTTATCGTCCCGAGTTTAGCTGGACATATGATTCGCAATGCGCGAGCTTCGCATACGTCCGTCGGCCCTATCGGTGGTCTTCAATCCAGTCCATGTATGATGTATGCGTGACTGAGCCATTGTCCTAGGGTATAAATAGCTGGGCTGCCGTATCTATTTGTCTACCAGCGAACAAATACTCCGGCAGCATATCTCTTGCCATAACCCGAGATCCAAATCATTCGACCCTTTGCAGCCTAGACGCAGTCTTTTTCCACAATGTCACCCAATATCCCCAAAACAGCGCGGGCCGTTGTCATCAAAGAAGCAGGCGCTCCATGGGCCATCCAGGAAGTTACTGTACCCACGCCCGAACAAGGCGAAGTTCTGATCAAGGTTGAGGCTTGCGGCGTTTGTCATTCTGACAACTTGCTGAAAGATGGAATCATGGGTACCTATCCACGCATACCTGGGCACGAAACGATTGGTAAGGTGGTAAAGGTTGGACCAGGAGAGAAGAAATGGAAGGAGGGGGATAGGGTTGGTGGAGCATGGCACGGCGGGCACGACGGAGCCTGTCGGGCATGCAACCGGGGAATGTACCAGACATGTGACAACGCAACGGTGAATGGCATCTTCAGAGACGGTGGATGTAAGCAACTCTTTTGCTCGGAGGAGCTGTACAACGTTACTGACCCTGTGACCTCTGAACAGATGCAGAATACACCACGATCCGATCTGAAGCAGCAGTACGCATACCTGCCGACGTTTCTGCAGCGGACTATGCGCCTCTGCTCTGTGCTGGCGTTACAGTGTTCAATGGCATCCGCAAAATGGGGATCACGCAAGGCGACATCGTCGCCATCCAGGGACTTGGGGGTCTTGGACACTTAGCAATCCAGTACTCCAGAAAGATGGGCTACCGCACAGTCGCGATTTCATCAAGCGACAGCAAAAAGCAGTTTGCGAAGGATCTCGGAGCGAATGACTACATCGACACGAGCAAGGAGGACGCCGCGGAAGCTCTGCAAAAGATGGGTGGTGCGGGCCTCATTGTAGTGACAGCTCCTAACCCCAAGATCATGGGGCCGATGGCAAAGGGATTGGCTTCTCTTGGAAAACTCTTGATTCTTGCGCGTATGTGTGGCCCCAAGAGATGCTGTATCAGCACTTGTTTTTCTTCGCATGCTGACTCGTAAAAAGCAACTGGCGAGATTCCTATCGACACAGTCACTTTGATCTCGAAGGGCGCTTCAGTCCATGGCTGGCCTTCGGGTCACGCACTCGATTGTGAAGAAGCCATAGAGTTCGCGGACAACCAGGACGTGAAATGCATGGTGGAGAAGTTCCCATTCGATAAGGTGGAGGAAGCTGTCGAGCGTATGATGAGCGGGAAGGTTCGTTTCAGGAGCGTGCTTCTGATGGAGTAGGAGGATTAATGATGGATGAAGCGATGTGAGAAGTCATCAGGAAGGGCAATGCAGAGCGATGTGTAGTTGAGTACCGGGATGGTACGCTAAGCGCGAGTGGAAGGGGAGATGGATCAGCGATTGAAGTCAGTAAATGAATGCATGATTGATTGATTGTTTCCTCTTGTTTCAATGGTCTGGAGGATGGAGACCAATTGTGCCTTGGGGCGGAGACTTTGTTTAATCGATAGTGGTGAAACTATGTACATTCATGCACTCGCCCACACAGCCTTCTTTCCTTGCAATCCCCAGATTAGCAACAACTCTGCTATGATGGAGATGCAAGCATGTCCTGCATTTGGACGACTCTGGACCGTGGGAGACGGTCAACCATACGCCTGGTTCAAGGCACGAAACATTTTCCCGGTGTTTGATATATGGCGATTGAAGCACCCAAAAAGGCTGTCAACCACTAGGGTGGTTGGATTTGTGGCGGCTATAAGTCCGTCCGCTTCATGCCGGAGTGCGACAATAGCCAGTTCACTTCATGCGTCGATTGAGGGTTGCTGGCTGGAAGGCCTTACGGTATAGTGGTGTGTTGGTACTATACAGTACCGTAGACGCCGAAGCAAGCTGGCCAGCAAACGCAAAAGACAACAGGGCGAGGTGAAAGGCTCAAAGGCTCAGGAGCGACTGGCTGACTGGCTGTCAGTCAGTCAACGTCAATCAAGCGTCAAGGAATGGAACAAACGGATGGGATGGCAGACAGGCGCCCAGCACGAGTAGAACAGAACAGCCACTCACTGACTGTGTGAAGACTGGGAAGCTGGGCGGCTGCTTCAGAGTTGCCGGCTCAGGGGGCTCTTGTAACGCGTCGCAGGCTGAGCGGGCCAATACCATGCGCGCAATCGTCCAACACCCGCACAGGCTCGTTTCACCTCTCACCATCTTCCACCCCAAAGCCTCACGTCTCGAAACTCTCTACCAACCACCACGCCCAGCTCCCTTATAACCCCTACCCTCCTTGCTACCGCACAATCATGACTCCTGCCCATCACCTCGTTCGGACGCCCCATAACCCGTCGGCGCGCCCTCGCAATGGCATGAATTCCCCTCCATCACCACCATCATTGTCATCATCACTTTCGTCATTATCCTTCCCTTCGTCACGCTTCGCTTCTCTGATCTTGCGCTGAGCGCCTTTTGTATGTAGCTGGTCTGTCCCCTCACGCTCCCTCCTTGCTTGCTTGCCCGCAGCCCTTTCGACACGAGACCATTGGTGGTTTTTCTGCGTCATCCATATCGGCATTACCATCATCTTCCTTGACATCTTCCCTTGTCTCATCTGCCTCCTACCTTGCAGCACTCGCTGTGCATGCTCCTACTTTGTACCAGAGTCGGCTGCGTAGTGGGATAGTTAATTGGCCAGGTCGCAGAACAACAAAGCTGGGTTCGGTGCTGCCAGCTTGCATTTGTTCAATTACACAGTCGAGCCTTGCCGTAGATTAGACGGCTTCATAAAAGAGACCGGATCGTGCTGTGTTTGCGGGGGGTGGTACGAGAGCGGCCATCGACATCATATTCGTTCGCTTTACGCCCGCAAAGCCACGCCTGCCCGCAACCTATACACAAACGGCACGACCGTCCGCCTGTGACAAAACCTAACACCCACCCAAAACGCTGTCCGTCGCACGACACCCATCCGTCATCTTGTACCGAGGGCATAAACACCTGCTGGTCGAATTGAAAGAAGGCACCAGGGTAAACATTCAGGCGTTTACCACTTGCGCAAGCCATCCTTTCCTGCTCAGCTCCCTGTTGTCCCCACCCGCCCGTTCTTCCCAGCCCTGAAATACCGCTGCCATCGCTTCTCGCAATGGTCAACCTCCTCAGAACCACCATGGCGCTTATGGCCGTCGGCGTCACGCTGGCTACACAATCCATCTCGCTTTCCAACTTTACCCCAAGAATCGAAAATCTGCCTATAACCTGCCAAAACGCCTACGAGTCCTCCATCCAAGGTTGCACCAAGGACGACTTTGGCGGCAGCTGCAGCTCAAGCTGCATTCAAGGACTAAACCGCATCACGACAGTCGTTGTTGCCAACTGCAAAAGCGTCAATGTCCCGGGCAATTCCATCATAGGCGTCTTCATGGCGGGTGGAGGTGTCCAGGCACTTTGCCCAAACGTCCAAGCGACGACGGCTCCAAGCAGCTCGGCGACACCTCCTCCACAAACGAGCACGATACCTGCACCACCGCCTCCCACGACAAGCTCCTCTTCTCAAGCCGACGAGACGCCCGAATCATCCACAACACCTTCACCGGAGAGTACGGACGCGAGCTCCTCTGACCCATCAACAACGTCAACATCGTCGACAGCATCATCGTCAACCGACGTTGCTACGTCGTCGTCTAGTAGCGACCCCCCACAACTGTCAACTGCCACAGGCAGTCCGCCACCCCTACCCAGCCAGACCGAGAGCTCGCAAAGGGCGAGTCAGAACCCGGGTGGAGGTTCACCATTCGACATAGGGGCATCCGCTCCCGCAACGCAGTTGCAACCACGCAAAATCACCCTGTTTGCGATGCTTGGTCTAGTCTTGGTACTGGCGACATGACTTTAATGTCTTTACTTGGAGTTCCAACGGCTTCCATTCTTCAAATTTCATCTGTTTTTCTTTCTGTACGATATACCCAAGTTTTCTTTTCATGACCGGCAACAACCGGCATTGGTGTCATCAGGGTTGAGAAGGAAGGTTTGGGGACTGAGATGCGACAGCACAATCTTGATTGTGTGAGATTACTGTGATATCATGCGCGTGCTGTGCGAATGAGGGAAGAGAGTACGAGGCGTCATGGAGACGAGGATCGGGGAGTAGTAAAAGTTTAGGATGAGATTCAAGAACAAACAAGCATACAATTCAATGTTACTCGGTGCATGGACATGTCAGTCGTGATGTAATTAATTGCTCGAGCATGAGCCGATCTTGCAAAGCGTCGTCCCTCCATGCCACTCGATTGGCGACCGAGTTCATAATGCATCTGGCCGTCTGCCCCGCAATCCGGCGGCACGATAAGCAAGCATCCAGTGGTGGTGAGATCGACAAACACTGCGCGCTGGCCAACCACATCCCTGCCTTACAAATAGGGCAACATCGCGACCCATCTGGCCCTTCTCAGCCCGTCTGCCCTACGTCCATTCACCATCAACTAGCCTTTGTTCCCTGAGCCCGCTAGTTATACAATGCAGGACCATTCTCGAGGGCCACCATGAAGAAGACGCTATTGCTATGCTTTATCCACGGCTTCAAGGTACGTCGTCTTCATCCCCGCTTCACACTACGACACGGGCTTACCGTTTCAAATGACGTTGTCGCACTCACCGACTGACCCACCGTACTCTGCAGGGCGGCGATAACACTTTCGCAAACTTCCCCTCCCACCTCAAAGCCATCTTGCAACATGCTTTGCCCAAGGTGACTGTTCTGGCCATCACTTATCCCAAGTATGAGACACGCGGTGACCTGGCCGAGTGTGTGGCGCGCTTCAAGGAATGGTGGGTGCCTTTGTACTCCAGCCATTGCAGGCAACTTGTACTCACATTGGAAAAACATAGGCTCCAGAATAAAGTCATTGATCTCGAGGTCGCCAATTCGACACCATCTCCCACTGTCGACCCTTCGGTCCGCACCATCCTCATAGGCCACTCCATGGGCGGCATCGTCGCCGCAGAGACCTTACTCTCTCTCGTGGAGGAGCAACCTATCCGTTCACCCCACAATTCCGCTTCTTCCATTTCAGACGCCTCCCAGCTCATGTTCCCTTACATACAAGGCCTCATGGCCTTTGACACCCCATACCTTGGTATCGCCCCGGGAGTGGTGGCCCACGGCGCTGAGAAGCATTGGAACACAGCCAATTCCGCATATTCTGCATACAACAACGTTGCGGGCGCTTTCGGATGGGGCAAATCACCCAAACCTAGCGGGACACCCGTAGATGCCAGTCGCGCCCTCCCAGCAGCAACCGTCACCGACGCAGGCGCCGACGCTGCATCCGCACCCTTATGGCAGAAGTACGGTCGCGTCGCGCTATTCGCTGGAGCAGCTGGAGCAGTTGCCGCAGGCGGCGCGGCAGCCTACCTAAAGCGCGACCAGCTCTCTGCGGGCCTCGCCTTCGCGACATCGCATCTCGAATTCGTGGGCTCTCTCGCGCGGCCAGAGGAAATGCGCAAACGCCTCGCGAGCATTGCGCAGCTCACTTCCTCGCGCGATCTCGGCTTCGCAAACATGTACACGACGCTAGGTCACGCCGTGGACGCACAGCAAACGTCGGCGTGGACGGGAAAAGTACTAGGCCGCGATCGTACGTTTTGTAATCTTCCTAAAGGGGACCTGAAGAAGTTCTTTATCCCCGCTGTCAATGACAGGAGCGAGGCTGAGACGTGGGCGCATATGACTATGTTTGAACCAAAGAACAATCCTGGGTACTACACCATGAGTGAAGAGGCCAAGGAGCATATCATCGATTGGGCGGAGGAGACACAGTGGTATAAGGAGAGCGACGGGCCCATGAAGGGCGTTGGGGTTGAGGATGAAGCTGAGTTTGTGGAGAGGCCTGATGAAATGATGGAGGAAGAGGAGTTTGAGAATGTAAAGAGGCCCAGTACGGATGCGTGGACTGCAGACGAAGCTACTCAGGCATGGGGGAAGAAAGATGAGCTATAGAATTGGCTCTCTTTCAGGTGACTGGCTGACTTTTTTGCGGGTATATCTCTATTGCTATGACTGTGGTCTTCTTGTTCGGTTCTAGCGACTATGACTTTTGAGTGCTAGGCAAGAGAAGGCGAAGGCGACGGAGTACTCAGCACACATTGATGTGTATTTTTCTAGAATAGGGTACATAAGTATGATATGTGTTTGAAGTTGTGCTATATAAGATATAACGTAGAGCAGCACCTCGATGCACTGACATTGATTCACATGCATTGCACTCAATGTTTGCCTACCTACCTATGTAGCTATCCTTGGATCCAACATAGCGTGTCCGTAGAAACCGCAAGAGATACTGATCTGGGGATTGATGCCACCTCTATGGAAGCACTTGCAAGCTTTTCTCCGAAGCTGTCTTCAAGCGCACTTCCAACGATCATGCTTGTCCCCTTTCAGAGGAATGCACGCATCCAGACATCTGGATGTTTCAATGATTATAGCACGTGTCTTCCTTTGCCTTATTTCGTGTGCACGCCCAAACTAATAGCGCCGTCCCACCTCAACGCCCACGTTCTCATCCGGATTCGCAAAGCCTCTTGCCTTGGGTGTGGCGGTCTTCCCGCCGCTGCCAGCCACCTCTAGCGCATCGCCTTGGTATTCCCACCCCCCGTCTTGCACAAAGAAGTCAACCTCATCAATGATATCCCAAACAACATCCTCCGCGATTTGTTCTTTGTAGCGTACGCCAATGGGTCGGAGTTGTCGGCCTTGTGGAGTTAGAGGTTTTTCTGTCGCTGCTTGCGGTTGCTGATGCGAGACGCTGGTGTTGGGGGCCTCCTGAAATTTAGAGTCATAGGATGATTGTTCAGACACGACTCCCGCTGGTGGACACCAAAATTCAGGACCAAAGTTGACTTGCGCGACACCGCCATTGAAGACGGAGATGGCTGGGAAATATCCTACCACCCCGTCGTCAAAACCTGTCCGCGCGCCGGACTTGACCGCTTCGGCCGAAGGCACACTCGCAGGTGGTAAGAAGGCTAAGAGGCTCTCAAATGCAATGCCAACTTCCTTTCCATTCTTATATACCTTGATATGCGAGTGCGGCAGTGAACGAACGCTGACTTCGTCGTGGTTGGGGGTCGGGTGGATTTTGGGCACGGGCCCGCGGTCGTGATATGCGTCTACGGCTTTCGTAACTTGGTAGTCCAGCTGCTCAAAGTAGAAATTGCCTTTGTAAGGCACGGGGATGCGGTCGCGAATGATGTCGTGTGGTTTTTCTTCTGGATCATGGACAGGATTGGTGGGGGTGTCGAATCCGTCGCCCAGGTCGACTGCTGGATTATAAACGGATGTTACAACTTTCTGATGGAGGTCAAGAGAGGGAAGCTGGATCTCTAGGCCAATCACATCGCCCTCCTGTATGTGTTCATCGCTAATGTACTCGACAGGAACCGGACGATTGTGCGGTGGACGTGGTTTCATGTGTTTGCTCTTAGCGCCTTTCGCGAGCGGCTTGAAGACTTTGGAGGCACGGGACCGGTGTTGAGCTTCGAAGCGCGAGTCGGTGATTCCGTAGCTATAGCCGTCGAAGCCCACGGGAGCATCCAGTGGCGCCTCTCTCCTTGCCCAGCCCACACGGATATGTGGACCGGGTTTCACGTCGCCTGTTTTGGGATCAATGGGGTCTTTGGGACCATCTTGAGGGATGCCTCGTAGTATCTTGACTTCATAATACATGCGACCCTCTCGTGCCACCACATTGCCACGTCCCATGCGCCAACCCTTCTCTTGCGTGACAATAGTTGCGCTATCGTCGAAATGGAACCATTTGTCCGTATCCTCGTGGCTCATTCGAGGCCCGTATGGTTTTGAGTCACTTTGCCTATAGTATTGCTTATGGCGGAAAAATGGGTCAGCGACGCAGTGGGTATATTTGTAACCCTTCTTGTTCCAGGCATGATCCTGAGGCTTCTTGAGCTCCGTTTTGCCATCGGGCGCAAACAATGGAAGTGGTTCGTGTGACAAGAAGATGCCATCTCTAGGTGGGTCGTAATCGGCTGGCCTGGGCTGAACAAGGTCAGTATACAGACTAGAAGAGGCAATGGATGGCCGACCTCGGGAATGGAGTATCGCATGGGCGAGTCAGCAGATGTCCTACACGGAAGCGTCACAAAGTCAGTAAATTCTATGTGAGAAAAGTTCCAATGGATTATCAAAGTCTTGAAACATTTGTCGGTGGAATGTCTCGATGAACCGCTCCTATTACGTACCGGCTCTTCTTAACTTTTGGATTCGGAGTATTTCCGCGTGCATTTCCCGTAGCCTCGCGCTTCTTAATCGTGTCTCTTTTCTCACGTTGTTCCCGAGGTGGAGCTTTGGGTCTTGAACGTGCGGTGATGTCTGGGTTGGGATTGAGCGGGGAGGATATAGCTGGGGCATTGTCTTGTTCGAGCGTGCGCTTCACGGGAAGCGTTGATGAAGGCGTGCTGCCACGCGATGTGGACTGCTGTTCTACCATGATGGATATGTATGTATGTAAGAATGGTGTTCGATCACGAAGTTTGGAGGAGCGACCTAAGTTGTCGCGACACGGCTACGACCAGCTGCGCGGAAGTTCTAGACACTAGACAAGGGAGCTACGCTCGGACCATCTTATAGTCCCCGCTGAAAAAGTTGCCCACACCACTTTTCGTCCCGCATTCTCCCCACCACGACACACATTTTGAACGGCAAATTCTTTACACATTAAGATGCCGAAAACACCCAAATCGCCTGCTGTGCGCGAGAAGCCGCGTCACAATCCTTTGTCTGAGGAATACGCGCCTTCGGAAGCATTTCTCGAGCAAGCGCAGCCCTCCAAACGACAGAAGCGCTCTAAGAAAGGCGGAAATGAAGAAGATGGCCCGGGATTTGTTGACAGCAAGAGTTCAAGAAAGATTCTTGAGATTGGCAGGGAGCTGGCAGAGGAGGCCGATAATGAGAACCAAATTCAAAGACCACCAACCGCGAACCCCGCTTTCGACTTTCAATCACGACTTGGAGAGGACGATAACTTGGACGAGCCTATCGCACAACACGACGATGACGAAGCATGGGGGGACGAAGACGAGGAGGTCGAAGAGGTTGAGATCGATCCCGAAGATCTTGCTACCTTCAACAAGTTCATTCCGACCGACGATAACCCTATCGTGTGGCCTGGGGAAGAGGCGCAATCCTCTGGAGGCGGATCCACTGATCTCGCAGCCTTGATCCTACAGAGGATCGCAGAGCATGAAGCAACAGCTCCTGAAAAGCGCGAGATCATCGGCGGTGGTGATCCTGAAGATGCCGTGGAGTTACCAGCAAAGGTCGTCGAAGTGTATACCAAGGTCGGTATGATACTATCGCGGTACAAAGCTGGGAAGCTTCCGAAGCCATTCAAAATACTACCCACAATACCCGCGTGGGAGACTCTGGTTGCTGTCACAAGACCTGATCAATGGACGCCCAACTCCACTTACGCCGCTACTCGCCTTTTCATATCGTCTAAACCTTATATCGCCCAGCAATTTCTCAATAGTGTACTGCTCCCCGCTGTCCAAGACAACATCCGAGAAACGCAAAAATTGAACATTCATCTATACAACGCATTGAAAAAAGCGCTCTACAAACCGAGTGCCTTCTTCAAGGGAATCGTATTCCCTATGCTCATCGACGGAACCTGCACTCAGCGCGAAGCCCATATAGTCGCCAGCGTTGTCGCCAAAGTGTCGGTACCAGTCCTCCATTCTGCAGCCGCCATTCATCGACTATGCGAAATCGCTGCCGAACAAATGTCGTCAGACCCTGATGCCGCAGGCCCAGTCAACATCTTCATCAAAACGCTCCTTGAAAAGAAGTACGCTCTTCCTTACAAAGTCATCGACTCTCTCGTGTTTCACTTTATTCGATTCCGTGCCGTAGGTGCGAGCAGTGGCGATGCTATGGAAATAGAAAGAACAGCTGGCGATTTGGGTGGCACTGGCAAACTGCCTGTTATCTGGCATCAGTGTCTGCTCGCGTTTGCGCAACGGTACAGAAACGACATCACTGAAGACCAGCGTGAATCTCTGCTAGACTTACTTTTGACACGTGGACACAAGAGCATCAGTCCCGAGGTTCGGAGGGAGTTATTGGAAGGGCGAGGGCGAGGTGTGGTTGCTGAACCAGCGCCCGTCGGCATGGATGGAGACGATACCATGGTCATGGCAGTTGATGGATGATCGACTTCCCCCCTCCAGTTCTCCTTCCCTTCATGCTTGGCTCGAAAAGTCACTGCGCGCCTCGTTTTTATTTTTTTCGCAATTTTTGTTAGCATGCTCGAATAAAAGCATGGATGGACTTTTTTGATGCATTTGTAGGGCGCTTTCCTTGCTGGCTCTGCAATGATTAGGTTGGTTCAGTCTGGCTGGCAATAGATACCAAAACAAAACTTTCTCTCGTTCAAGTTCGACGAAGTTCACGATGTCTGCAAGCAAAGTCGCTTCTACTCTACGGTCTGGTTTGTTGTGCAGCCAGCAACATGGCTCAATCACTCGTTTCCGAGCCTTACCCAACGCCTTCCGTCATTCTATCCCAATGCGAATCACAAACGATGACTCGGAATCTAGGGTCACAGCACTGTAGCATTCAGCTCTACTGTGTATTTGATTCTTTTCTTGATACGTTTCGCTCGAAGCTCTCGCTTGTGCGAAAGCTGAGATGAGAAACGGATGTCACAGGCCACGGGCATGGAGGCGGACATGGAACAAGGCAACAAGAAGAGAAGGGGCAGGGGCACCCGCCAGTCAGAGTGCCCCGTACATTACTTCCAAGTGCATACATAAGCAGGATTGGTACCTGAATCAACGAGATGACGCGCATCTTGATTCTCTGGAAATGATGGAAGAGGGTTGGGTGTAGCTGAGTTGATGGCAATGCTCATGCGTTTAGCAACAGGCGCACCTGTCGATTAGATTAGGTATCGGTATGACAACGAGGCGCATAAAAGGCATTGCCAATGGAGGGTCGGGTAGGGGAGCTGAGGAGCGTGGGAGGGAGGAGATGAGCAGGATGGCGGTGCGTGGGAGGAGCCGCGTGGGAGTTTTCCCGTTGCCCGGTGCACGTCGTTAAACCAGCAGCGTAGAATCCAGATACGCCCGATATGTAATCCGCTCACGACGACCAGAGGGCTCTGCTCAACATGTGCAAAGTGTGGTGATTGATTGATTGATTGATTGATTCGAGATGCAATCCTCGCTGCAAGAAGCATTGCCATCCGGTTGGCCTTGATTGGCGCGTTGCAGCACAGGCTTATCGGGGCTAGCTGCTCGTCTCGCGCTGAGTGCGTGCGCTCGTCATCGTACCTGGTAGGGAGCTATCAACTTTTTCTGTGGGCCCCCGACCCTCCCGATGCTGGTCAACCTCCCACTCATCTACATATCTCGCCGCCCCATCCTTTCTCTCTTCACCACCTCGTCCAATTCCATCTCCCCCATGGCACCCATCTCCATGCGGCCCTTCGCCGCCGCGACTCTGGCCTCGCAGCTCCAGCAGGCTGGACGTCGTAGCTATCAAACCGCCCGCCCGTCGCTCATCGCCAACAGAGCCAGCTGGACTCCTCGTCCCGTCTCCCATCAGATCGCCTTGCGCCAGTCTATCCGTCGTCAATCTACTGAGACGCCCCTGCCCAAGCCCAAAAAAAAGTTCAGATGGTTCCGCGCGCTCTGGCGACTCACTTATCTGAGCGCCATTGGTGGTACCGGATACATGTGTTACAGCATCTGGGAGTCCAAGCACCCAGTCGAGGACCAGCCTCCACCGGATCCGAGCAAGAAGACGCTCGTTGTTCTGGGTGAGATCTCTTTCCTTCGCTGACTATCAGCCAGCACATCCTTCTGCATTGCACTAGTCAGCGTGACTAACATAGCCTCCAGGAACTGGATGGGGCTCTGTATCTCTGCTTAAGAAGCTTGACACCGAAAATTACAACGTCGTGGTCGTTTCGCCTCGCAACTATTTCCTTTTCACCCCTCTCCTTCCGTCATGCACTGTCGGTACAATCGAGCACCGCTCCATCATGGAGCCCATTCGCAACTTCCTGCGCCACAAGAAGGCTTCCGTCAGGTACTACGAAGCTGAGGCCACCAAGATCGACTATGAAAGAAGGGTCATTCTCATCAATGATGACTCTGATATCAAGGGTGACGTCTCTTCGACCGAGGTCCCCTTCGATATGTTGGTCATTGGTGTTGGCGCTGAGAACGCCACGTTTGGTGAGTCAGGGCCTCATTCACCCAGTCGCTTTGAAACCGCCATTAACACACACAACAATAGGTATCCCCGGTGTTCGCGAACATGGTCTTTTCTTGAAGGAGGTCGGTGATGCTCAGCGTATCCGTAACCGCATCATGGATTGCTGTGAGACCGCTACCTTCAAGGATCAGACCCCCGACGAGGTTCAGCGCCTTTTGCACATGGTTGTTGTCGGCGGCGGACCCACCGGTGTGGAATTCGCTGGCGAACTGCAAGATTTCTTCAACTCGGACCTCAAAAAGTGGATCCCGGATATCAAGGAGAAGTTCCGTGTCACTCTCGTCGAGGCCCTGCCTAACGTGTTGCCCATGTTCTCCAAACAATTGATCGACTACACCGAGAAGACGTTCAAGGAAGAGACCATTACTATTCGAACCAAGACCATGGTCAAGAACGTCACTGACAAGTACATTGAAGCCGAGTCTACAGGTCCTGATGGCAAGAAGCAGGTTGAGAAGATTCCATACGGTCTGCTGGTGTGGGCCACTGGTAACGCACTCCGCCCGCTTGTTGCAGACTTCATCAAGCAGATTCCCGCCCAGAAGGACTCCCGCAGAGGTCTGGCAGTGAACGAGTACCTTGTTGTCAAGGGATGTGAGAACGTCTGGGCTGTCGGTGATTGTGCTGTCGCCAACTACGCCCCTACCGCTCAGGTTGCCTCGCAAGAAGGCGCTTGGCTCGCCCGCATGTTCAACCAGATGGCCAAGACCCACGAGATTGAAGCAGAGCTCAAAGAACTTTCTGTCAAACAGGAGACGGCCCCCGGAAAAGAGGCACGTGATGCTGTCTTCACTGAGATCAAGGAACTCCAGAAGCGCCTGCGACGCGTCAAGCAGATCGGACCATTCGAGTACACCCACCAGGGTTCCTTGGCTTACATTGGATCCGAAAAGGCTGTGGCCGATATCTCATGGTTGTCGGGTAACATCGCCTCTGGAGGAACACTGACGTACATTTTCTGGAAGAGCGCATATATCAACATGTGCTTCAGCACACGCAACCGCATCTTGGTGTGCATAGATTGGGCCAAGTCGAGCATCTTCGGTCGTGATGTCTCGCGAGTCTAAACGGGGAAGGTGACTCGGTTTTCTCGGCAAATTTTACACTTCGACACTACAACGGCATGCCCTCTGGTACAAGACCTCTTAGTCGTTTGGTGCGAGATGAAGTCTTCGTCTCTCCTCTAATCATGCATCATGCACGTGTCAATCCTGATTGACCCGTACATAAACATACCCCACGTTTCGTGTGCCATCAAAAGTTTCCTTTCCACTTATCTGTCGACTCGCTTTCAGCCGTCTGTACACATATCCTGTACTCTCCTGTTCAGTGCGTCCACCCTCATGTACTATTGTAATATCTGTAGGATTAGAGTTTACGGTTTGGCCTGTCCAGTCCTCTTGAACTCTTACCCCACGAAAGAACTGAGGACAAATCTGTTCGGTCGAGGATGGTATTTGGTGTCCCTTTGTCCTTCTTTGGAGTTGTCTCAGGTTCTGTCTGTTTGTTTTGTAGCGCAGGTGTGTGTCTGTGGTTTTGCTTCCCCTCGACGCTTGAAGTTTAGACATAGAGTATTATTTGGTAGGGATTCAAGCAATTGGGTAGCTGGATTAATCAAAGAATACACGTGTACTATTATAGATTTCACTTGATCCAGAGCCGAGCGTTTGCCCAGTTGGTAAATGTACAAGCAGGAGCACTTGGATAGTGTGCTGCAGTAAGAGTTTCGCGGAACTCACGTACACCGTTTCGCTACCCGGACCCATTTTCTAATCGCAGTAGTAAATCGAAGAAAATAAGCAAAATTGAGGGATTGTAACGTCATGGGGTTCCATCGCATTTCAAGATGGCGTGTAGTCTGACTGCGTCACGGAATGGTGGTAGCATTGGCAGAGTAAGGTGCGGAATTAGGAGTGGATACTGTTGTAGGAGCTAATTCCTTCGCTTAAAACCACCGCCTTGCCGTCATCATCCACGCCCTTTGGTAACGGAACCTTTCCGATTATGTAGCCGAAGATCGGATACGTGACTTCTGGATATAAGTTGAAGAAACTTGAGAGCAATGAACCTAGCCAACTACAAATAGCTGAACTTTTTACTCTATCCTTCTTCCTTTCTCATTCAATCTGTCTTGCCCTCTCCCCTTACTCTCTCGAATTCCTTGATTGAGACCAACCCACGATGGACTCTTCGCAATTCAGAGAGGCGGCCAACTCCGCTATCGACGAAAGTAAGTATCATTCTTTCCATCTAACAAGCCAACATCGTCTCCTTTGAGATACAAATGTTCTATTTCATACGGCTGACCCGGTTTCCAGTCGTCCAATATTACGACACGCTCGCCACCCGCCCAGTGCTTCCTTCAGTAACCCCAGGATATCTCAAACCTCTCCTCCCCCAAGGACCCCCCGAGGAAGGCGAACAATGGCCACAAATCCAAGCCGATATCGAAAAGGTGATTCAACCGGGCCTGACGCACTGGCAGCACCCTAAGTATATGGCTTTCTTCCCGGCCAACGCATCCTATCCAGGCATTCTTGGCGAAATGTACTCTAGCACCTTCACCGCTGCTGCCTTCAACTGGATTTGTTCGCCTGCCATCACCGAGCTCGAGACTGTTGTTCTGGACTGGGTTGCAAAGATGCTGGCGCTCCCGGACTGCTTCTTGAGCGACAGCCCCGGAGGCGGTGGAGGTATCATCCAAGGGACGGCGAGTGAAGTCATTGTAACTGCCGTAGTCGCAGCTCGCGAGCGCATAGTTCGCAAAAACCTCCTCGCCGAAGGCTTCACCTCCCCAGACGCTGAAGAGGCCCTGGACCGTGCCGCCGACATACGTGGGAAGCTCGTTGCCCTAGGCAGCGAACACGCCCACTCGTCCACCCAAAAGGCCGCCATCATCGCCGGAACCCGCTACCGCAGCGTCTCCGCGCCCAGAAACGCAAACTTCAGCGTCACGGCTTCCTCCCTTCGCTCTACCATAGAAGCTTGCAAGGCAAAAGGACTAACTCCTTTCTACTTTACCGCAACCCTCGGCAGCACCAATACTTGCGCGGTGGACGACCTCGAGGGCATCGCAGCTGTCGCACGCGACTACCCCGATATCTGGGTTCATGTCGATGCCGCATACGCTGGCTCCGCACTCATCTGTCCAGAGTACCAGCACCTTACGGGCCCCATGTCCTCCTTCTCCTCGTTCAACCTCAACCTGCACAAGTGGATGCTCGTCAACTTCGACTGCTCTGCTTTCTACGTCAAGTCTAGAAAGGACTTGACCGATACTTTCACATTGACTCCTGCGTACCTGCGCAACTCGTACACTGATTCGGGTCTCGTCACCGACTACCGCGATTGGCAGATTCCCCTTGGTCGCCGGTTTCGCAGTTTGAAGCTATGGTTTGTGCTGCGCACGTATGGTGTCAAGGGCCTACAGCAATTCATTCGCAAGGGCATCAAGCTGGGCGAATTCTTCAATGGCCTCGTGGATTCTAGACCAGATCTCTTCACGGTCGTGACGCCTGCTGCATTCGCGTTGACTACGTTCCAGGTCTCGCCCGGAAACGGAGAGCCAAATGCAAATTCAGATACAGACGAGGCCAACCGGCTCACGAAGGCGGTTTTCGAGAAGGTAGACCAGCAGAGAGAGTTCTTCATCACAAGTTCGGTTGTCGGTGGTATCTACGTGATTCGCATAGTCAGCGCTAATGAACGTGCGGAGGAGAAGTATGTGCAAGAGGTCTTTGAGACGTTGGTCAAGGCTGCGGAAAAAGTCAAGAGGGGAGTTTGAGCCTGTCTCTTCCCCCGGTAGCTATTCCCTTTGTGAACAATGAAGGCATTGTTCGAGACGCATGAGCAAAGTAACAAAAAGCCCGACCAGGAACGGAATTGTGGAAGAGAAAGCGGGTGATTTTTTTAGGGCAGAGGTGGAATTTCCTCTCGCCTGCTGCACTCACTTAAGATATACACCACACCACCTTATTGATATAGACGACATATTACTTGTAGAAAAAGGTCGCTCGACGTATACACGAGATGCACCTAGGAGCACCATACACAGCATGATTAGAAGAGGCAGATAGAGTAAGCAGTAGCGATAATGACTACACGAATAGAGAAAAGAACAAATCACTTGAAGATAATCGAAATCGTTGCAGGTGAACATATCATGTGCATGAGTGAAAGGCAGCTGCATACCTACATGTAGGTACCAGTCTTAACCCCCGGGAGAACAACCAGTTCAGAAAGTATTATATCGACGTAGAACCGTAAGTCCTTAGATGATGACCCCCAAAATGGCAAGAGAACAGACAGATCAAAGATCAAGATGGTATATTTGCATACACACTATGGCCTGGTCAGATACGTGGAACACTAAACTATGCAGAAAACGCCCAAACCTGGCGCCAAAGAATGCGGGAGAACGGACATGCAAGGAAATTCCAAGATATACAACGCCGCAAAAAGAAACTCGTCGTGCTATGCCGTTGCCTCGCATCGTATCTCATGTCTATACGAGTAAAAAGCATGGTCGTGAATATATTTAAAAAAAATGCAGGGGACGACCTCCACAGTGTATACTTCCTCTAACGACTTCACCAAAAACATAAACACTAACCCCCTACGCCCCCATATCCAAAACTTCTAGGACTGGCGTGTCTCTGCGTTCCCAACAACGCTCTGGCCTCATCCAACGCGCCCCTCGATGAGATGGGAATGCTCGAGCTCCTCTCGCGACCCTCCGCATCTTCAGTTGTTGGAGTGTGAGGGTGGGCATCAGGTGCTGGGGTAGACGCGCGACTTCCACTAGGCGTTCCAGCAACACTAACCGCTGGAACCCACCCACGCATCCACCCACTTACCCTCCTCCATCTGACGCGCCGACGCTTCCTTGCTCCATCGTCATTGACAAGAACCACCGAGACAACGCTATCGCTATCGCTGTTTCGCGCTTTTCCACGACCACGAGACGTGTCGGTACCGTCGACATCATCTCCGTCGCCAAAGTACCAGAACTGGAAACCCACGGCTGCATCCATGACCAGCACTCCGGCGGCGCCCAAGAAAAATGGTGTTGCGCGCAACACCCAATCCTCGCGTACGCTACCTTCAAGGCCAACCCAGCCACCACCCTGCCCGGGTGCGAAATCAGACCATGCGCAGGGGTTGGTAAGGAGCGAGCTCGAGTAGAAGAGGTTACCAAAAAAAGCGGCTAGGAAGAGTGTGGGGCTGAGGCCGGCGGTTGATCTGCGGACGTGATTTTTGTAGAGTTGTGGAAGGCGGGAGCCGAGGTAGAGAAGGGTACTCATCCACGAGAGTACTTTCCCAGCAATTTCGGTAGGTGTGGCTTGAGAAGACGATGAGGTATAGGCGGTTGAGCGGATAGGCGTGTGGTTTATGTAAGGAGCTGGGGCAAAGGGGCTCACTGGTTTCGCAGTCGAAGTGTGGGAGAGAATGGCGAGCACGAGGGAGATGTATAGAACCGTTTTCGGGGAGAGGGACACGCCGCCAGGAGATGATGATGCAGCTACACGTCTTATGTCACGGTTTGTAGGTGTAGCTCCGGAAGGGGTTCCTTGCCATGATTCTTTGTAAGAACTGGGAGAGCGAGCATAGTTTGGCATGCGAAAGGCGTCCATGGGATTGGAGCGCTTGGGGGTATTTTGCCGCGGACTCGAAGAGAGAGTATCATCCTTCTGGTCGGCCGGAATGACTCTAGGTGTCGATTGTGAGACAGTTGCTGAACTTTGGCTATCTGCGATGCTCATCCCGTCCCCCGACTGGCCCATATCGGATGCACCGTTGCCATTGGCTGAATGTCTGAAGTCCCAAGCGGGGCGAAGAGGCCGGCCATGCTTCAAGAGCGCGTACCACACCCACTGGAAGCAAAGAGCACAGTCAACGAAGACATAATATCCAGCGATAATGACCTGCCACGTCGCCTGCTGGGTGAAGAGGGACCCCAGCAGGTTAGACAAATCACCCAGCAACCATTCGGTGAGAAAGAATATGCTGAGACCAGACGTTGACTTCAACTTGTAGTTTTTGTATATTTGGGGGAGTTGGGCGAACAGCCACGATACGATGCTCAAGGTACCGAGGAGGGTAGAAATGAAGGCGAGATTTGTAGGAACACAGGAGCCGAGGAAGACGGAAAGGCTGTAGAGGAAATGGTTGGCGGGTTCGCAGCGATCAGGTAACGTTCGGTGAGCTATATGTAAGGGTGATAGGTAAGGCGGCATTTTGTCATGGGCGCAGAGATGGCGCACTGGAGCTCCTTGCGGACTGTAATTCTGGGAAGCTTCGCACAGCCCCTCTCCTCTGCAACAACTCCTTTGATAACAACCAGCTGAACACAGTTGTATGCCCTTCGCCTTTGATGAACAGACTCGGATTTGAGCCGCTGTTGGCCTCTAGCGGGGTCAGGTGGGGGTTTGTCGCAATCAATCGCCGCAGACACCGAGGCGCACGCTTTGTTTCGTCGACTGGGGGAGCAAGGAAAAGACCACGGCGAATGGCGAACAGACGGAAGCAGAGCAGACTCAGAAAAATGGCGAGCGAATAAGGCGGATGGATCGAGACTCGGTCGGCCTGGACAGCTCTTGCTTGTATGTACTCGAACGGCTGTGCCGAGGCGAGTTCGAAATGGCAGAAGGAAGAAGATGGGCAGCGAGACGGAAACAACGACTTCAATAGAAGCAGGTGAGTGACAGTGACACAAGAGTGAATGGTAAAAGAGTAATGAATAAGTAGAGAAGACAAAAACGAAGGAGGAGGAGAGGAAGAGGGATGGTGAGCGCAGGCAGAGAGAGAACAACAGTCATCCGTCAACGAGGAGCTGCCTGCCCAACAGGGTCATGCAAGACAAGACAAGACGATGATCCATGGGTGGCGCCGGCGGACTCAGATGACCCGATGTGGGCAAAGACGGAGCAAAGGCCAAAGGGAAGCGCGTGGGTTATCTACGCATGATGCTGTTCGACCGCGTGTGACTGTTGATGGCTGGTTCAGGACTGATAAGGCGCCCGCGGCTTATCACTTCAATACCTGCCTAGTACCTGCCAACTACTACCAACATTGAACCACTTCACCGACCACGGACGGTAACTTGCACATGACCAGCTGGCCCTCACCATTCAACCACATCCCCACACTGTGAATCTGTCCATCTTCACTCAAAGACATGCCTTCTCCGTCTTCGCTGTTTGCCTGTCTGTCTCCACCACTCCGCCATCGGAGAGGGGCCGCGCCTTGGCGTATCCATGTTCAACTGATCCTTATTTCTCACTAACGAATCCGCCGCAGCCTCGCAAACCTTAACACTGCTACTCCCCCTCCCCGCCGACCCTGGAATACCCGCTGTCTCTCTGCGCCCTCCATCGCGGACTGTAGCCTCGTCAGTGCTGTTATGTCCCACCACAGTTCCTCATCCTTCCACAGATTCACCGGCCTACGTACTAGAACCAGTTCCTCAGTCCAACAATGCCCGCTGTCATGGCAGCGTACCCGCCGAGCGTCCTGGACCACCCGCCCTCCTGACCCACGCTGAGCGCAACGAGATCGTACACCAGGCACCCGCCAAAGATCCAATCGCTGGTGCTTGCTGCCGCTGCAAACCCCACACCCGTAGCTACTTGCACCACCGTGCTGGGTGCGACGCCGCGGTAGTACGCCGCCGAAGTGTTGTGCAGCAGGTCGAGAACGCCAATTCCTGCAAACGTCTTTGATACAATGTGAGTGAGTACGTTTGGGGTCGAGCGGGTGTCGAGCGGTGGCAGGATCGTGGCCATGTAGAGGATTTGCGCGACCGTGTTGATGATTACGAATATGTTGGACGTCTTGAGGTCGTTCGAGTTCCAGAAGAACATCCAAGCTGTTTGATCGCGAAGGAAAACGAATGCGTTAACACATTGATCATCATTACCCAAGGCCTACGACCTCTTTCCATCCATCTCTTTCCTATGCAGAGATCGGTGACAAGAATGGTCGACTTACATCCTATACAAAAATTCCCCAACGAATAAACCCAGGCAAACTTCTCCATCATACCCCTCTCCTCCGCATTTCCTTGTCCATTCCACAGCTTCCACAGCCACACAAGTTGCACCAGCTGCTGTGGAAAGAAGAAGCCCCCGATGAAGTACGGCTGCGGCGAGAAAGCAGCAGGATTCTTGTTGTGGATGTCAAGCATGTTGGGCGACGAAAATATGCCGTATTGCTGCGCTGCAAAGTCGAATACAAAGGAGAGCGGCGCGATGATGCGCGCTGTCGAATTTGCGGAGCCCATCGTGGATACGAAGGTGGCGTTTGTGAAATCAGAAGGCCGGCTTAGCAGATGTCCTCGTTCGTGGTATAGGCGTTGTGCATGTATTTTGGCAAAGTGGGATCAATTGCGAGTTAATTGAGCTCTGGGGCCCTCTATATGATATAAGTGTATACCTAGCTACGTAAGCGTTTCTAACACGCGTTGTGGTAGTGCATCTTACAATCAAAGACGTCACCACAAATTCTCCCTTGTTGAGATGGGGGAAACCCTTTGTATTGGCATGTCATCATGCCCATCAGTGCTGGATCTTGTTTTTATCTTTTCTATTGATCTTCACACGGTACGACCGCGTGCTCATATGGCGCTAGATCGATTGGCCTTCAGTATAAAAAGGAAGGCGTGCACAGTGGGCTCGTCGCTGCATTTGGGCAGCTTAGGTGAACATGATAGCTTGCACAAGCTAGGGGTTCAGTCTCTGGCCCTCCCATCACATCAACTGATGTTCAGTTAATCTCTAGTAATAGCACTAACGCGCTGAAATGCAACAACGTGATGTACAATCTCCCTTTTCCTGTACGATACTGGCGAGAGCGCGTGTGGGGGCCAGAAAGGTGGAGGATGCTTTAGCCGCCTGATTAACAACTTGATTCTCATACAGCTCGGTCGTAAGTAAAGAGCCGTGTTCACGTATTCTCATGGATCCACTATCATTCTCAGCGAGCATCGCGGGTCTACTGAGTCTCACCATCGAGATCACGAGACTAACGTATGAATATGTCTCAGGGGTTAAAGATGCCCCGAAAGCAGCCCAGAATCTGCTCACGGAGACAACAGCGATTGAGAATATCCTGCGCGACTTGCGCAACAAGGTATTACTCAATTCTGATGTATCCGCAGTCTTCAAGTCAGCGTCGATGGATCACACTGCCCGTGTACAGCTCCTTGATCAATGCGAAGGTGACTTGACCTCTCTGCTGAAGGATCTGGAGCGCGAATCAGGTTCATCATCAACTCAGAGGGCGGCGGGGCTTCTACGACTAAGATGGCCGTTCAAGGAAGCCAATTTACAGGATAAGCTCACTCGTTTGCGCTGGTTCCAATCTCAGCTGGCCACTCTTGCGAGCCATGACACGTTAATGACTTCAACCTTGACTCTTCAAGAGGTTCAAAGCTGGAGAGGAGAAGCCATACACAACGCAACATTGGAATGGCTGTCGCCATTAGACTTTGCTTCAAAGCAACACGATGTACTCTCACGACTTCATCCTGGCACTGTAGAGTGGCTGATACAATCTCAAGAATTCTCCCGCTGGAGCAACGAAGATATCACAGAGTCTCATAGAAGAATTCTTTGGGGCAGGGGCCCTCCGGGCGCAGGCAAGACTATAGCTAGGTACGTGAAATTGCATTGCAGAAAAATCGAACTTCTGAAGGAACTGACAATGTGAAGCGCGGTGGTGGTCTCGCATCTCACCGAGACTTGTCAACCTGGGAAGCATGGACTTGCTTACGCGTACTGCAATTACGACGATCAAATGAGCCAAACGTCACAAAACATCCTAGGCAATCTTGTGAAGCAACTGGCTTCCCAAATCGATCAACCACAGGCAGTTCTCCGTATGTTCACTCCAGCGAAGCGTCGAGCACCGCCTGTTGTCGACGACATTTTGAAATGTATCGAAGCCTTTTCAAAATATTTCGAACGGGTGTATATTGTGCTGGATGCTCTAGATGAAGCGGAGAACATTCCGCAGAAGAATCGTGCAACCTTACTCCGAGCATGTATTCGGATGGCAGAGTTCGGTGCAAATTTTCGCATATTTGTGACTAGTCGAGAACATCTTGGTGACATTGATCGAACATTTGAACGAACAAGCCGGATCAAAATTGCTGCATCACGAGATGACCTACAATTGTAAGCACCTTTGTTTGGCTACGACCATCGTTGCTATTCTAAATAACCGACGCAGGTTTATCCGAGCTCGCATAAACGACAACGAAGACTTGGAGGCGATACTAGAAGATGATGACATATTCAAAGAGCACATAATCTCGGATATCCTCGATAATAGTGCCGATCAGTAAGTTACTCAAGTTGCATTCATACGAAGTCCTGGATGAGCTCTGCCTTCATCAGATGCACCCTCCTCTTTCTACCCCTCTAAAGTTGTTCATGTCATCCGCGGAAGCTAAGAGAATCAAGGTTCCTTCTGCCATCTCTTCATATTGAACGTCTCAACGATATCACTTGCAAAGATGACATCGAAGATATCTTGGCGGACCTGACTACTTCCATTGATGAAGCCTATCGTAAAACGTTCAACAGAATGAAGGACAAGTCAAAACAGAAGCAAGAACTTGTAGATAAAGTCTTGCTCTGGTTGTGCTACGCAAGAAGGCCCCTGCGGGCTGAAGAGTTAGAAGTCGCCGTAGCCTACCAATGGAATGAGCAAGAGGAAGAATTCACAATGCGTAGCCGTGTTCCGCAGAAGATCATACTGGAGACTTGTTTAGGTCTCGTCGTCAATGAGCAAAGTGGAGCTATTCGATTAGTACACAAATCGCTCGAGTCGTGGTTCAAAACAAATTTCCGCTCCAACGTTGATCCAGAGGCATACTTGGGAAGATCACTTCTCAGCTATCTTTCCCGCGAGTGGACAGAAGGGCTGCCCACAGAGAAATACTCAATCTTCTCCCACGATATCCGCAAGAAGAAGCCACTACTCCCGTACGCATTTCACTACTGGCATGAGCACGCCAAGTCAAGTCAAGATCTTTTTGAAAAGGCCATTCTCGATTACTTTGCGCTGCGTCCGAAGCTGCTCCCCATCCCGCACGACTTTTACGTGCGCACCATGCAAACAGGTCTGCTCGTACAAGACCCGCCCGTCTCAACACAATGGCAGGATCTCTTCTACGCGGTGGTCTTACAGCTTGACCAGCTCGTGCGTCGGCTGGTACAGAGAGGCGTCAACCCATTCGCCTACCACCGCGCCCTCGGCTGCCCTTCTATAATGACGTGGATTTCTAACTCATACCTAGCACCTGTCAACGACCCAGCCATACTACCTATCCTATATGACAAAATCGTATCCGCTATTTTCCAACCAGAGCACGTCGACTTCTCAGTCAATATTCACGCTGAGGACTACGTTTCTCTTGCCAAAATCTTCCCATTCCTCTCAGAGTCAACAATGGAGCTCATGATCGAGCGCGGCTTCTATGTACACCGTCTCCACCGCTTTACAAGTCCCGTCAACTTTCTACGCATGTATTCTAACGCAGAAGTAGCAAGAGGGACTGTGCTCCACATGGCAGCCTTCTTGCACGAACCCGTCGCCATAAAGGTGCTCTTGAAGCACGGCGCGAAGGTCAATTTCTACGCAGACTACGGCGGTACACCACTCTATATGGCACTTCATGCAGAACGTAGTATCGATGTTGGTGTCAGAGACGAGTGCGTTCAAATTCTTCTAGAAGCTGGTGGTCGAGAGGAGGCACCGACTAGTTCGGAGACTGTGACCATGGTAGTCTCGGGAGATCCGTGCATGACGGGTCATGTGAATGACCTCAGAGCTAAGTCTCATGTTCGTCGCGCGCATTATCAGTCCACGAGTTCGTATAAACCGAGACAGGACAGCTTCAGGAAGTCGTCGACGGATGCACTTAGTGAGCATATCAACTTTCCACGGGTAACGGAGCTGGATGAGGAAGAGTGATAGAACATGTGAATAGTGAAATACACGATGTCTATGTATATCGAATCGGCTATCAGATCCTGCGTGGGTGAATCAATACGGACAAGTATGCTTATGTATGTCTACATGTATGTGGGAAGGATAGTGATTGGAAAGTTTCTTTTCTCTAGTTCTGAAGCCTAAGATGATCTTTCCTTATCTTCTGGCGTACAGCAACCCATAGCTCAACTCCTAAATCGTACATTGAAACTACACAACACTTTCATTGCTGTTTAAAGCGTGTGGTACTCTATTGGATGACCAGCATGTTCAAACCAAGAATGGGGCTTTCTAGATAATATCTTCTCTTATGTGAACTAACAATGCCGAGCGACCTCCGGAAGCTTCATTGTTAAGATTAAACAACCCCATCGCGGAAATAGGTGCACAACAACTACTCCTTAGTTTTTTAGTTTTTTTTGAGTTGGAGTTTAGGTGATCCTACACACAGCGATGGGTTTACAGCGATAAAAAAGACCAAAATAACAGGCGATAACCAAAAAGACGAACTCCTTAGTATATAAATCTTTCCGAAGACAAGATTGCAAGGCACTAAAACAGACAAGTATTGACAGGGAGCTACCAACAGTTTTACGCATATCGATCGACGCAGAAATAAAACTGAAAAGAACTTGCCATCAACGCAGGTCGTTTTTAGAGATTGTCTAACTCAATATGACCGACCGAACCGAGTCTATACCGCACTGGAATCCCATAAAGATTGCTCTGTTAGTACTCTCAGGCGTTGCAGCGATCATATTTCTGTCTGCCCTCGTCTGGTGGCTCAACCGCCGCAAAAGCCTCAAAAAGGCCAATAAAGAACAAGATACGCCTGCGCTTGGTTTCTGCCCCAACTCTTTGATGACCCATCACCCACATGAGTACCGTGGAGTTCCACAACCAAAGAAAGTAGTCCTGAGAGCTCCGACAGCACGAAAACTAGTAAGGAGGGATGTACCAGACCTCCCGGCCACAGGATATCTGACCGTCCCTGAAGTCAACCTAGACACACTTGCCAGCCTACCTAGGTCAATTGCAGACTCAGGTTATCAGGCCAGCAATTACTCTTCTGGATCGCGGCAGGTACCCGTCACAGATGTCACAAATAAATATCTGACCGTACCTGGGGTCGACCGGAACATACTTGCCAGCCTACATGGACCAGTTTTAGACTCGGGTTCTCATGCCAGCAATCGCTCTTCCGAGTCGCGAGAGGTACCCGTGATATTCGTTACCTCTAATAATGACAGTATGCACAGGAGTGCGTCCATGACTTCGTCCGAATTCGATGTGGAGTGGAAGGCTGCTGAAAGGGAATGGCAAGACTTCGACAGCTAATCACATATGCAACCCTATATTTTATTTCAAGGTCGGGAAGTTGGACCTGTAGTTATTTCTTTAGACAAGGACAAAGTTAGTACAGCCGATCAAAATTTTAATTCCATGACTTGAACAAATCATCTTTTTTCTGCAGCAAAATGTGAACGGCGTGAAATTGCAATAAGGTCCAGGATAAAATGCTGTTAGAGACAGCATTTTGAAACTGAAAGGGTGTGCCTTACTTCCCAATGATATGATATTGTGGCATCTTGGAGGTGCCATAACCCCCCGCCCCCCCCCCCCCCCCAAAAAAACCCCACACGTTAAACATTGTGCAATCACAACGATCAAGTCATCACCACAATGGACAATGAGACTCCACACGATGACAAAGAAAGAGAATTAGCTTGATTGTATATAGAATCTCGATCATCTGTGGTAAGTCCACGATACACACAGAAAAAATATATGCGCATTACAGTCTTGATCAAAGCCTGCAACGCAATCTTGTTCTTCATGAGATACGAAACCAAAACACCCTCTAACGAGCTTCCTACCGCCCTTTCCGGCAGGTTTAGGCGCCTGAAGATACGTGAAGACCCCGGTAGCAGCAGTTCAGACACCCTGAGTAACGGTACTTTCCTCCCTGCCGTCGTTATCTTGATCGCTGCGGCAGTCCTCGTTGGCGCGGCAATGCTATACAAGCAGGAGGTCAAGCGCTACATATCAAATTTATGGCACCAACGTAAATCCTTCAGGGCCTATCTTAAGGCATTCAGGTCTCCAAATGTTGGTAACGCAGCCTCTGAGCAGCACAAGAATGACCCTCAAATGCCCGCCTCTGCTGAATCCGCCCCTCATGACCGGGATCTGGATCCGGAGTTGGGAATTCGCGACAATGCTTACAATGTGAATGTTCGCCAGCCTCGGCAGGTGTATCTCAATGACAATCAAGTCTATCACGATGGCGATCTGCTCAGGGAACAAGGTATGCCCAGGTGGTGGCGTTGGTCAGCCATCACAGTCAATGAGTCGAATGCGAACATTTCAACTCAGCCACCAGACTCAGCATCAATCTCTTCTAAAAACTCTGTAACTACGCTGACTAGAAATCCATGGGGAATCCATTCTCCTGCGAACTCACCATCACCGCCGCGTGCGGCTACTGAGGCGGCCCCCATGAATCAATGGAATCATGCTCAAGACAACGATGCTCAAGCTTCGAGCCTGCCATCGCCATCACAGTTCGACATTGAACCTTCTCTCGATTGCGCAGAGTCTCAGCCCACTGATAATGGCACTGACAGGTCGAACTCGCCGACTTCAACGCTTGTTAGCGGTGAATCACCTCCACGCCATGGTCCTGAGAGGATAATCTCGCCGTCTCAGACGCTTGTTAGCAATGAATCGGTTTCAGTTGAAAGTGAGGATTTTGAAGATGCCAATCTTGATCGTCTCTCACCGCACTGATAGCTACGATCTCCTTGATCTTCTCGATGCCAACTGGAACTTTGCGCCATAAAGACGAAGTTTAGATAAAATGTATTGAATGAGCATCTACGTTAGGAACAGATATATGATTTGTCCGTGAAGTGCCACTGTGGGTATCAGGGAGGGCTTTCCAACAGACCGTTGCAAATCGAGACATCAATCTTCAGGCCCTCTCGTAGAATAAAGATGGCCCAAAATAATCACCCAATGGTCCCAAAAGCCGATTACGCTATCTAGACAATATCGAAGACAGACGACCGCAGAATTGAGCGACCAAAATGAACAACGTCATTCCCGCCACATACTGCGCTAATAGCGCGATGATTCATCATTCGACCATAGGTATACACAGAGAACTCCACTTCTGTAGTGAAATATGAACCAGTATCCACTAGTGTTGTGTGATATCACTTGGTCATTATTTTAGTATGCGCGTTATATACATCTGGACTTATAGTAGCATGAACACTAGTTGGAACGTGGTTTTCGACAGCTGCGCCGATTTCAACCTCGAAACTGACGTACACTCCTGGCGCAAATGGAGCGAATGAACAAGCAGACACAACAGCTTGAAAAACTCGGCCTGTCGCAAAGAGCACCACAAGGTAAGCCGGGATTAGAGAATCTTGTGAATTGGATATCCAATTGGGCTGTGAAACATCTTGTTATTAGTCCCAAACAGCTACTTTTAGCACTTCCATTGTGCTCCTCATTGCTGAAGGATACAGTTTAGATTGCTAAGAGCATCGGCATCCCAGTTCTCCCCACGTTCCCCCAGGCCCAGCATTACGTAGCTAGATACCTAAGACCTACGATCCCTACCCACATCAACTTGAAATGAAGTCTGAGTTCCACGTTCTAAGCCATGCCGCATCAATTATCACACCGCCTATATCGCCGATCCCCAGTGATGTCAAGCGCGTAGCTCAAACCGCCAAAGAGCTGATAATAACTAGAGTAGCCATAACTGGTTATTAAGTTTAATGGGATCATTGTATATAATTAATGTAAAATGAGACCGATTTCCCTCGTCCCGCAGCCATCGGCGACGAAACCTGGCGTTTCCTTTTCGGCCCGTGGTGGAATGGCGCCACAACTCAAACACACGCTGGAATACTCGTACGATAAGTTCGTTGCGGGAGCCTCTACGGTAATGATGTGTGGGTTGGCCTAAAGCCCGCCTGGTGGATACCAGATTGGATCATGGGGGAGCTAAGATTGGGTTGATCGGTTGGGATGATCGCTGGAAACGAGAGTGTTTGATATGCGGCTTCGCTGCTACAATGTGTCACACGTAGCGATTTAGGGAGCGATTTGGAGGGTATTTATTCCCGGAAAATGAGGATATTATGGTGGATCAAAGACATGTGCAAATCGGATGAAAGGGGTTTCGTCGATTTTGTGGGGATTGAACAGGCCCAGGGCGATGCACGCAGAATGGAGAAGAGGCAGCGGGAAGAAAACAAGGTGCACAGTCGCAGCGGACGATCCATCAGCTATGCAAAGGGGCTGCTTCCGGCAAAGAAGTCAAGGCTTGCAAGGGATGCATACCATAGCAATCCATATCATGGCATCGAAATTGTGCAAAAAGATATCGGTATTATCGTATTTGCTAATATTGAGGGGACCCAGCGGAAGTGGCTTGATTGTGGACTGCCCCGGTTTGAGATCTCCCCGAAGCGGATTAACATTGATTGATGATTTTATTTCAGTCGTACGTTATACCGGGTGGAGGGTCCGATTTGTGCGAAGACATGGGATCCTGGGCAGCTGTGGTTTTTATGAAGACTCAAGGGATTGTTATCATCATCTATTCCATCTGTCGCGTGGACTTCTGTTTTCTTGATCTATTAATATCATGGTGAATAAATGCAATTCTTGGGTCCTCGGGGGCACCGAATTTCCTCAGAGATCTGGTGAGTTAGCCATAAAGTGATGATTGTGACTAATGAAGCACCAATGGAGATTCAGCGCTAGGGATGCCGCCGCTCGTCGTATTTCGTATACGAACATGATGAATCGGGGATACGAGTGACAGTCGTATTGCGCTTTTTGTTGGAGGATCAAGGTAGGCAGATAAGAAACGCCACAAGATCGTGCGTGTTCCATGTCAAAAACGTGCCTGCCAATCCAACGGAGCTCCAAGGGTCCCACATATGACGCACCTCCACTTGACCCCTACCGGCCCAGCATCCTGAGCCTCCCCACTCGTTAATCAATCAACATTAGAACCCAGCATACCCCAGTGAGCTTCACATGCACGCCGCTCCAACACCTTTCAGGGGCTATCCCTCTGGAATCGCCATCCTATCAACTTGCCCATGGAAATGACATGATCGGGCCCGGGCGAAGGGACGTAGAAGATTGCGACAAGCGTGCTTGAAACGCCCAAAATGCGACTTTCGAAGCACTAAGGGTCCATCGTACCTGTCACAGACACAGGCGAGGGACCGAGTTTCACCTTCGAAGGTGGTGCGGGAGAGAAATGGAAGGGCACAAAAGCCGTTGTGCTTATGTGGGCAGGGTGCAATGAAACCACACCGTATTGGACTTTGAGCGCTCCCAGACATGCAACAGATACCGTTTAGCGAGAGGAACATGGAAAAATTCCAGAGTCAATGTCGGCCCGACGAGATGAAGGATCGATCGCGATGAATTGAATTCACCTAGTGGCGTTAATGTCAAACAGTGTCCCTGGGAATGACGCAAGGCACGTCTTGATTTAGCAGAGGCAAATCGCCACAACTTATAGCTGACGATTTGCAAGTCTCAGCATGTTGCTGGTTTCTGATTGATTGTATGGAATAATCGTGATATATTGATTGAGCAGGATAATGAGAAGCTCCAGTATAAAGGCTGCTTGTCCTTGCGGGTATTGGTATCATAAAAGCGTCTCTCTTCCTAGTACAAGGCTGCAACATAAATGGCATACAGTGCCAGTGTTTTCGAAGAGAATTACAAAGCAAATATAACGTGAAGCAAACATAGCCACCAAAGAAGAAAAAGAAAAGAAAAGGAAAGGGAAACCTCTTCTACCTGAATAAAGATGAGGAAGGGAGGAGGGCCCGCCACCTATTGGTCTGCAATGACGCCTGTCTGCTCCATGCTGGCGCGCAGAGCCTTTCGATATTCGCGCTCGATCCCATGATTCACAGCGTCAAGAACCGTGTTCACCGTGGCCTTGGGCGTGAAGCGAGGCTTAGTACCTTCTTGGAACACACCAGTGCGAACGAGAATGGAGTACCAAGTATTGTCTGCGTGCTTGTTGTATTCGTTCGTGCCGCGGATATCACTCTCAGGTGTGTCGCCAACAAAGTACACGGTGTCCGGGGGTGAGTCGATGCCGTGTGTGTCTTTCCTCCATTCTTGAAGTAGACGGGTAGCAAATTCAAAGGTGCCGATTTGAGGTTTTCCGAATGCCGTGGTTTGTAACTCTTTCCCAGTAACAGCTTTGAACATGGCTTCCAAGCTTACTCGCAACGCACCCATACCGATGCGTGTCAAGTCATGACTCGCTGACCAGACTACATCATTGTGGCTAAAGAAAACAGGTGGACCTTCTTCAAAAGTCTCTGATCTGGTTCCGAGATATCCGCCCTTTGACATTAGAAGATCCAAGATGATTTGCTGATCGCTAGCCCAGTCGCGAGAATCTGCAAAGACGAAAATAGCATCGATCTTGACCTTGGCGAAGTTTCTTGCGCGGGAGTTCCGGTGTTCCTCCGGTGTCAATCGCCTGAACGGGGTAGTGTCGGCGTTGTCTTTGATAATGTCTCCAGGTGTGACGACATCTTTGAAGCCATAACCTTCAGCGACGATGCGACATTTCTCTCCTTCCCCTCCGACGACGAGAACTGTGTCGTACTTCTCGGCCATTTCTCGCATTGGGGTATGTCCACAGATGAATTGACCGGGGGACACCTCCATCTCTAGCTGTTTACTCAGTTGAACGCAACGTTCAGCTTCGGACTTCCCGCCGCCATTGGTGACGAAGATATACGGTACTTTGACGCCATACTCATTGTCTCCATTCAGCGCCTTCATGGCTTGGATTGCTTCGGGAATAGGCCTTCCACCCCTGATAAGAACACCGTCTATATCAAAGGCAAAGGCGTATTTGTCTGTGGTAGTGACCTCGACAGGAGTTGGTGGGGTACCAGGAGACGAAGGTGCTTCAACACGCTGTCTCGCCAATTCCATTGCAGTCGCTATTTCGGAAGCATCACTGGGGGCCATCAAATGCTTGGGAGGGACGACGACGGTAGGGCCTATTCGCATCTTCTCTTGTGTGGCTTCGTTGGATGATAGGCGACGAGCATAACGGTTGTTGGGGCCCGTAGGCAGCACAATTGAAGGGGCAGACATGACGTGAGAGTGAGGCAAATTCTATGGGTCAAACCCGTGAAGAAGGGACTATCACAGTAGAAAAGTGCTGAGTAGTTTGGATGCCAAAAAAACGAAGAAGTGGGCAGGAATAAGCTGTATTTATGTCTGAGAAAGCAGTGCGGAGAAAAATTGGAGCGACCCCAGGGTTGTGGAGCAAGGTGATGAACGTGCGGATTCGGTGGAGAGGATCACTACACCATGATTTCAGGTGTTTTGCTGCGCACCGCCTTTTCCAGAAAAATGCCTCTTGGATTTGTCTTGATAGTCAGTGGACCCTAGCCGATGCTTATCGACGAACTGCTTCATAGTGGAGCCCGTGCGTCATCGTACTGGAGACGCGCTGCGTGCCTGACACTCTGTACCTTCAACAAAAACCGTAAGTCGAGCGGCGGCGGCATCCGAAGCTCGGACTTGGTCGACATGTGAATGGGGTTGTGCTCGAGGCTGTCACTCTGATTTGGCGCGGACAGTTATGGTGTTGCAGTGAAAGTGGGTATCTTGTAAGGATCAAGTGTATCCGCGCTCTTGCAAATGGCTGGATATGCTTGACGAATGCATTTGGCCCCTTGCGGTGCTATCGCCTTGTAGCCACGGCCGCGCTCGAAAGATTGTTGGATGAGGATGAAGCTGATGATGCAATCGCCTCGCCTAAAGGCCCACATATGGGTTAGGGAGCATCAGGCACCATTACTATCTCTCCCTTTCTCTGCGCAGACTCATCAGGGTCCAGAAATACCGGACGAGGGGGCCCTCGAGAAAATTCTGATCGACATATCTCTTATCCAAGTCGGGTTGTGCGATAAAGATCCGGCTTCTCTTTCGTGCGCCAAGTCGTCTTTCCTGGAGGCTAAACCTGGCTGGTGAGATGATGATGGGACACCGACGAGCGGTCAGTACAGTACTCTGTGCCTGCTGTTTCGAGAGACCACCAGGTAGGAATTGGCCATGGTTTTACCATCTCTTGACCGACGCAACAGAAAGGAATAGATCTGCTCATCTCAGCTTGCACCAACGCCAGGCGCTTCTTTCCTCTCTTCCTGTGCCAAGCAACGTGCTCTCCCCTCCATTGCTGCTCATTATGCGGTGTTTTACGATAGCTTCGGATGCTTTACCAAGGAAGTAACGAGTATCCACTTGCATCGCGCTTGACATCATTGCGCCGCTTTGTTTACACAGCAGCGTGTTTTGGAACCGGTCACTGTGTGCCAATCTGCCCACTATCTGCCTGCTATCTTCCCGCAACTGATGAGGGTTGATGCAGCAGTGATGACCTTTAGCAATATCCAAAATCCCATATTGGGGCAGATGCAAAAGTATGCGTGCTCTCCTCGTGTTTCCCACCCCCTCTGGTTATCAGATATATTCCCCAGATTCTGCGGCAGCTTCGCAATCGGTTATACGGCATTGTTCTCCATCGTCCATCTCCACTTCATCTCCACTTCTCCATACTGATCAAGAGCGATCTGGGGTCAGCCGATCGTGGGCCACATTGTTCACCGGCGATTTTGCACTGTCTGTCTGTAACTATGGAGACAGGTTCCTCCCTGGCTTCTGAGGTGACTACACCCCATAGTAAATGACCGAGGCTGATGGGCCAACAGTGAGCGCGTTAACCGCCCTTCGATATATAGTATGCTCGGGCGTCAGACTCAACCGACGTTGGGCCAGAGGTGTGTGGGTTGATAGAACGGATGACAGGCCCGCTCTGCTACCGCTTGTCAGCCTCCTTCTGCAGGCTGAAGTCCTGATGCTGTCGATTACGCCAATAGCTCCTTCTTGAGGATCACGCTCGACAAGGATAGGTATTGGCCCTCGGTATACCTCAATCAATTTGCATCGAGTAATGGTCGGGACATGAACGGTGTTACTCCGGAGGACATGTATGCATAGGTATAGTGGCGCTGCTGACCTTGGCAGGGTAGGCATAAGCCTCAAAAGTACGACCAGTCGATTCATCCATCGCTCAATCGATGGCGGGCATTGCGCCTTGAAATATGAAAAAGGTCACCGTGGCAAGTTGAGGAACCTTCAAATGTTGAAGAGAAGCGTGGTCGCAATGGGGGAAGGCGCAACCATTGGCGCTCACGTGACCATGCGCGCCTGCTCTTCAAATGTTCTGAATGATGCTTACATATGTACCTACGTGTACTCAAAAATTTCAACATGGAATGCTGTTCTACCTGTACTCCGAATAATTGCCTGAGCACCTGCATATGTCTGGCTCATAGTAAACTGTCTCCGTTGCATCGCTGTTGCCACTATCGCACACAAAGTATTTACCATGAACTGGACCGGGGGCAGTCTGCAGCGCCTGAGAAACACGAATAAAGGCACTGTCCAAAAGCAAAAGGCACACTTCGCCCGGGCTCGCACTCGCCTGCAGAGCGGGCCGCGCAGGAGCAGTCCACCGGTCCCACCATCCTATATATCCAACAATATCCCAGTTGGAAAAGACACGCCGGACAACTCTAGATTCGGCCGCGGGCATGGTGGAACGCTGCAGCACAAGCACAGCAAAGTATCAAATTCACTGGCCAACCGGAGCCCTGAGGTTGCAGTACATGTGCCCAGCTTGTATGGAAGAAGTCGCAACTTGCACCGGAAGAGTAGAGGCAACTCCAGGCCCGTGTCCGAAACCAGTCATGGTGAGCGTTATTTCATTAGTGGTAGCATTATAGCTCACGAGTGACATAGAGCGAAAAAGAAAGAGAGGAAAAGATGAGCAGGACTCATCTAGCATACTACTTGACCAGAGACAGACCCTGTTGAGCCAACATAACTGGGTAGGCTTAACGGTCTCGAAGCCAGCGCAGTTGCGCATCGAACCGTCGAAGGAGAAGGAAATGATAGGAAAGCGCCGTAAGATCGAGGATTGTACACATACCATCTCGAATGCGCCAGGATTTCGACGCCAAAGAACGAAAGACGATGGGAAACTACTCCATATGGCCGCCTCCCTACCATTTGAAGACGTCGTGATCCAGTTTGGATCAGACGCAGCGAAGACGCAGCCAAGTCCTGCGCAATCCCAGCCATCGTCGACACGCGACTCCTTTGCTACGATGCTATTTGATAACGACCATTGGCGGCCGTCTGGTTCACTCGTGGATAGGCGATCTGCACGGGGCGTAAGCCAGGTCTCTCAAAATTCCATAGGGGTCCTTGTCGAGCATCCTCTGCGTAGGGATGAAACGCAGGAAAATCGAGCTGTTAGCTGGAATGAAATAGGCTCAATACCACCTGCGAGCCTAGACGTGGGCTGCGAAGGCGAATTTCGTAATTCACAGACACATAAGCTCATCAAGCACTCGACCACGGCATCTTCACAAGCGGGCGCGCTTCACAGCCACGATATCACACAGCTTCATGAAGGTAGCACTCAGGCATTGCGCTCCATGGTTGACCGAACCTCTGTTTCTCTACCGTCCAGAAGAGAATACCAGATCGGTGAAACGAGTCATGCGATTGCCCCGGCTAATGCAGCGTTGTGTGAAAAGGGCAAGAACACCCAGCACTCAATGGGTAGCATCCCATTGATTGAATCACCTCAATCTAGTGACTATTGCCTTTGGAAATCATTAGTTCCCTTGGACGACCGCTCCAGTGTTGGATCAGAACCAGATCTTTCAAAACTTGGCGAACCAGGTCACGATGGTATTGAGCTACACCGGAAGGCTCCCATTATTATTGAACCCGAATCTTGGTCTCAGAAAGCCACGCAAGATGAAGAGACGTATGCTGGTTTAACTCAACTTGCTTCGACATCGTTACCCTCCCTTACGCCATATTCCGACAGGCGCACAGGACTATGTTCAGAGGACTTGAGTGGCTGGGGTGGTGGCCTTGTCGAAGAGCCATATTACCAGCATGAAGACGTAGACAAGGACGAAATGCTGTGGAGGCCATATGTCTTTGGCAGTACCGATGCTACACCATGCGGGTTGAACGATGCAAACGTAGAGGTTGCGGAGAAAGAGATGACAGCTGGGAGAAGGGTTGCAGCATGCAATGCTGTAAGCTCACTCAGCTGCTCACCGGTCAGGTCCATCCTCAAAGGCCCTAAAGCTGCCGGCTGCATAAGCGACAATGCACAACATGGAGCAGCCCGTGCGCCATCATCAACGTATTCAGGGTCCTTGCTGTCGGCGATGACTTCGCCCGTGGTTGTTATCGATGGGTCTATAATGGGCAACAGAAACCGCAAGGGAATCAGCAGAGGAGAGCGGCTGGCTGAGCATATGGATTCATCAGGCCAGCCACGAATGATACGGAGCTCGATTCAAAATAACGTGTCGTGTAGCACTGGTGCAAGTTCCACAAGTAATATCGGTCCTAACGTTTGAGCGGCGCAACAATGGTGGTTTTGTTTCTATTCGTATCGATTTGGCACGAATATAAGCGAGTGGGGTTGAAATCAGAAGGCCCTCCGAGCTCTCCACATAAACAGGACGCTTTCCTGCCTTACTTTGGCGTGTGTCGCCACTGCCGCAACCGTTTGGGCAATTTTGATGGTCCATGGTGGGATTTTGCATCATTTTCAGGCCACCATGGGATTGCGGAATCCAGGCAGAGTGGCAACAACAAGGGAGGCTCTTGCGGGATTCAACAGGATATGTCGAGAGACAAGGTGATTGTGCCGTATGCGGCAGATGTTGGTGACGATCCATGTCAAGACGGGCTTCAAACAGGCTCACCGACAGTTTGCAGTTCGCGCTGAGATTTGAACTGGGACCCTGACAGTGAAGCTTCTACAAGTCGGACGCCCTCTCCGCTGCCATGCATGTCATGCTGTGTTAGCGAGTTCCCGGATCACTCGATGATACGTGCGAGCCCTATAGCCGGGTGTTATTTTGAGCGTTTGACGACCAGGGTGTTATTGGCGCAAGCGAAAGGCAGTAACTGGGCATGTGATGGGTACATGTGTAGACAAGCAAGCAACGATATTGTTCCTGGAGGTGTCGAGGGGACGTGAAGAAGAGTAAGACGGGGGAAAAGAAGCCGACGATACGATTCTGCTGGGATGGATAGAGGAGAGGTGCCCAAGAATAGGCACGACTCCCGAGATGGGGTGGGGTTGGCGAGTGCTGATTCGTGGGCAAAGAGGTCTCGAGAGGGATGGGATTCCTGGGGCGCGCTGGAGGACCGAAGAGGAAAAGGAAAAGCTTCTAGAAGACGCATGGAAGGCAGGCGACTAGGAAGGATTGCATTGCATTGCATGCATCTCTGCAGTGTTCGCATAGGATGTACTAGACAGCGTGTACTGAGTGAGAGTGGCAGTACATGTTGATGGCACGGCAGCGACTCAGCAGCGAAGTCGAAGCAGAAGGGCTAAAATAAGGATGGACAGGAGATGATTCGACACACAGACAGCCAGCGAGGCAGAGGCAGTAGGGCGGCGGCGGCTCGGATGGCAGCGGGGCAAGCTAGGGTGGCAGCCATTGCATGTTTCGGTTAGGGCAGAGTGGCAGGGCAGAGAGAGTTTGATGTTGCACTTGAGCTCGACGAGGCTAGGGGAGACGAGAGGAGAGGCACACGAGGGCATGGGCATGCTCGGCAACTCTAAACCAACACGACGAGTTCAAGGCCTGGCCGGAAGAGACGGCATTGGCAGCAACAGCGGACTGGTTGGGAATACACAATACATGGCTCCAGTGCTGGCGCGGTCCGACCATGGTTGGTTGGTTGGAGGATGGATTGATTACCAAAGATGCATGCTGGCGTTCACAACGGGAAAAGAGGCACAGGGACAGCCAGCCAGCGAGCAAGCCAGCAACAGGGCGGCGGCGAGGTACCAATCATGGAATCATGGGAGACGCCGTCACGGCGGGCGGGCCAGCGACGTTTCAGAGGCTGACCCGCTAGGCCGGCGAGTCGAAACAAAGCGGCGGCGGCGGAAGCGGCTATGGGAGGATGGATGGGTGCCTGTCCTGTCTGTGTGATGGGGGACTGGAGTGGGAGCGACGTTGAGTGGGTAGTCGCATGCCTTGCCTGGCGCTTTTGGTCGTCATGATGTTGATGCTGATCTTGCAATGGAGTTTGCGAGTCCCCAGCCAGCCAGCCAGCCAGCCAACTCTCTGTCTTTCCTTCTTGCTCTCTCTCGCGCTGCAGCAGCAGCAGGACCCCGTTGCCTGGCAGCGTCGTTGGCCGGGCGGTCCTGGACCGGAAGCGGAGGACCACCAGGTACCAGGGGGCTGAGGCCAAACTCTGTCAGAGTCTGTCTGTACGCAGTGTCTGTCTGTCTGCCTGTCTGTCTGTCTGTCGCTGTCCTGGTGGAGATGATGCCAAGGCGCATGGGAGCCGTTGTCGTTACTTCCCGGCCCCGCCGGGGCTTTGGTAGTGGACTGGCTCTGATGTGCGGTACCTTACTATTGATGTAGTAGCTGATGGATGGATGCATGGACCGTGTGCCCCTTTGCAACTTTTTGCCTTTGCTCTCTCTCCCCCCCGTCATGTTATGCCATCCAGCCCTTCAATTGCCTGGCTGCCCTCTGACTGTTTCGCTCGTCATCCCCAACATTCATCATCATCATCAATCGGGCTCCGCGAGTCTGTCTGGCTTGCATTGACTGACTGCCATTGATCCACCCCATCGTTCCATTCCCTCCTTGACCCGTTGTCCTCTTGCATTGACTGCTGGACTGGTCGATTGATTCAGCCATCCACCCACAACGCTGCACCACCACCATCAGCCACACATCGTCCCTGCTACTGCCACCACCCGACTGTATCCTCGCCGCTATACTATACTATACTGCACTACACTACACTGCACTTCACTGCACCACCATCGCCAATATTCAACACCACCACCCTTACTTACCACCGACATCACATCATTGCGCATCTGCTGCACTGCTTCTCCGCACCGCCCGGCCACTCAACTACTGCCTGCGGTACCAGCGCTCGCCCGGCAGATCAATCAATAAACCGACTGCTACTCGACCGGCATCCAACACCAAACCAACCCACCGAGCCCACCTGTCACCTAGCTATCCGCTCTTGCAGCACGCCGACCACCCCCCTCCCCCACGACACATCCATCCTCGCGTTACCCTCGTGTGCCCTCTTGCTCGTGCTGTGCTGTGCTGTGCTGTATTGTATTGTGCTGCCTTGGCCCCAAGTTCAGTTCCAGAGCACAATTCAAGCCCACCCCTGTTGCTCCCCCCCCGGGCCTGCAGTCACTTCCATACTGCATCTGCATTCTGCATTCTGCTCTCTGCATCCCGCACACGCAAGCAATAACCTTCTTGCAGCCTGCCAGCTGACTGCTTGACTGCCTGCCAGCCTGCCTCCATCCCCTCAGCACATTCGCTGCTGCGCGCCGCCCTGCGCGAGCGTATCATCATCACCGATTGCGTCCCCCAAATTTCCCTTTCCATCCCGTCTCGTTTTCCTCGTGCACCGCGCATCGCGCTTCTCTCTTGCGTCGACCCCGGATCCATTGCCTGGTTACCTACTTCGGAACAAACGGGCGGCAGCCACGACACGACACAAGACAAGACACGAGCCAACTCCTCTTCACTCACACCATTCCTGTCCACCGACTTTCTCCCCACCCCCCCTGGCCATTCATAAGCACCGCCTCCGCGCCCCGAGGCGCAACTTCAGCTACTCTTCCATCTGCACGTGTGTGCGTGTGCGTCCAAGGAACATACACCTCTGTGCATGCGTGCATTTGGCTTGCTGCGTGCACCCTTATCCCGTGTAGATTCACCTCCACCATCAGCTTCTTGAATCGCACCATGTCGACGCACACAACCTGATTCTTCTCACTCTTGATTCCCCGTCTTGGCCATCAGCCTCCTTCATTCAATCCCACCAAAAGAAAAAGAAAAAGAAAAAGAAAAGAAAAGAGGTTCCTCAGCCTCGCCATGTCGCGTCCCAACATGTCTTCACCACCACCTTCTTTCTCGAGGGCCATCAACATCCCCTCCTCACATACCAGCCCCGCTGCCTCTCAGTTCGGCAGTACCAGCCTCGAACCCACTCCCGAGGGTGCCATAGCCCCCATGTGCAGCAGCTCCTTACCCGCCGTTCCTTCCTACTTGCTCCCGGACGCCCTTCTCCCGCCGCCTCCAACCTTGAGTCAGCCGCCAACCTCTACGCCTTCCGCCATGGTCGAAGCTCTGAGCAAAGGTCCGGGTCTGATCCGAAGAGTCAGCCGTGGTGCTCAGGGCATTCCTGGCAAATTCCGTCGCAATGGCTCCAATGCCCAGCGTGACAAGAGCTCCGGTCCTGTCATCATGCGTAGACGCAGCGATAGCAGGTCCGCTGTAGACGCCGCCCACGACCTGTCCGACTTTGATGCGTACAGTTTCGAGGACGACATCGCGGTGGACGAAGACGGCGAGCCCACAAATTCCCTAGGCATGGTACAAAAACGGCCCTCGGTCAACTCCATTCCTTCCTTGACCGCAGAAGCACCCACACGCAACTTGAGAATAGAACAGGGAACCTTGGTCAAAAAGATCACCAAGAGACGCAACAAAGACATCATTCTGCGCCTCGACCTCGACTCGGCAAAGGTATGCTGGGATCCATCGCGCCCCTCCAAATCATTCTACATCGACGACGTCAAAGAGATAAGAACGGGCGTCGACGCCAAACATTACCGAGAAGAGCTGGGTTATTCGGAAAGCTGGGCACCCCTCTGGATGACCGTTGTCTACTCGGACAGTTTCCGCTCAAAGGGCAAGAGTAAGACCATGCACTTGATCGCACCCAATGTCGGAATATTCACCATGTGGACTCAGACCCTTGATTCGGTGTCACGAGATCGCATCGATCTGATGGCAGGGCTTATGAGTCTGAATGAGAAGAGTGCAAAGGTTGTCTGGCAACGCCAAATGAAGAAACGTTTTCGTGGTCAGGTTCATGCCGGAGAGCAAGAATCACTCGATCTCGCAGGCATTATGGAGATGTGCCGTAGTCTGCACATCAACTCGTCTGAAGACAAGGTCCGTACCTATTTTGACAAGGCAGACACAGCCCGTACAGGCCGCCTGAATCAAGCGCAATTTTTACTCTTTGTGCGTCGGTTGAAGGAGCGCAAGGATGTCAAGCAAATTTACAAGCTCTTCACCCCTGCTCCCCATACCGGTATGGACAAACAAACCTTCTTTTCTTTTCTACAGAGAGAACAGGGCATCGATGTGGATTCCGATATTCAGCACTGGACTGCAACCTTTGAGAAATTCGCGCGCGCAGGAAAACCAAAAGCAACGCCCCCTGAAGGTGGAGAAATACCGCTACCTTCGACTATGACTTCGTTCGCCTTTCAAGCCTTTCTCGTGTCCGATACCCACAATTCCATATATAATCCTATCAAACCCTCGTTGAAACTAGATCGTCCGTTGGGCGAGTATTTTATATCCAGTTCCCACAACACCTACCTCATGGGCCGGCAAGTCGTCGATGAGTCTAGTACAGAAGCGTACATTACCGCTCTGCAAAAAGGCTGCAGGTGTTTGGAAATTGATTGTTGGGATGGTAGCGATGGAAAGCCCATCGTGACCCATGGACGCACCTTCACCAAGAGTATAACATTCCTTGACGTCATCAAAGTTATCGACAAATACGCTTTCGCTGAATCCGAGTATCCGCTCATTCTGTCACTGGAGGTTCACTGCGGACCTGAGCAGCAGGCTCTCATGGCAAAAATCATGATCGAAGAGTTTGGCAGCAAGCTTCTCGCGCAACCCCTGGATTGGGGCAAGTTCGTCTTACCGTCTCCCGAAGAACTTAAGCACAGAATTCTCATCAAGGTCAAAGCTCCAGCTGAGGAGCTCGATGTCAAAGCCGCAGCGAACGAGCTTTCACAACGCAGGCGCGAGCGCGGGATGAGCTCGCCTTGGTCGCGTCCCATCGACACCATCATGCCCAACACACCACCGGTTTCCAGCCCCACCTCGATAAGCCCTCCGGAACGAACCACCTACTTCGGGACGACGCCCTTGGGGTCGACAACGTCAATGACCAACTATTTCGCGACAACACCACTGGGATCCACAACGTCGGCGACAAGCACTGCACTCTTGACCCCTGCCGGCTCGGCCGATGATAGCGATAGTCTCCATGGCGGTGAAGATTTCAAAAAGAAGTCGAAAAAATCCAAGACTAGCAACATCATCAAAATGCTAGGAGATCTCGGTGTGTACACTCGAGGCATGAAGTTTGAGGACTTCTCCACTCAGGACTCAAAAACGTTCAACCATGTGTTCTCCCTCAATGAGCGAACTTTTGACAAAACCACAAAGAATGGCGAACTCAAACACTCTTTGGAAGCCCACAACATGAACTGTTTGATGCGCGTCTATCCCAGTGGACACCGTATCAATTCCAGCAACTTCGATCCCCTCAAGTCGTGGCGACGTGGCGTGCAGATGGCTGCCCTCAATTGGCAGACGTACGATCTTGGACAGCAGCTCAACGAAGCCATGTTCGCAGGCGGCGACGACCGTACCGGCTACGTGCTTAAGCCAGACGAAATGCGTCTCAAAACCACAACGCCCGTCCCGAATCTGCGGAAGTTACCCAAGAAGGAGGTCAAGTTCACTGTTCAGATCATTTCTGCGCAACAATTGCCCCGCCCAGAAGGCCTGTCAAGAGACGCTGGCCTAAGCCCTGTCGTGCAGTTTGAAATGTATTGTGCGGAGGATACAGGGCCAAATGCAACCGGTATCGGCGGACAAGATGTTTCTGCTCGCAAAGACGGATATTCGGGAATCGGTCATCCACTGAGGAAGCGAACTCGGATCGCCCAGGGGAACGGGTACAACCCTGAGTTCAAAGATGAGATTGAGATGACCGTTACCACCAAATACCCCGATCTCGTCTTTGTGCGGTGGACGGTCTGGAACACGATTGACGGGAAACTTCAAGATCACGCCCCCATTGCCCAATTCACTGCCAAGCTTAACAGCATCCAGCAAGGCTATCGGCACCTACCCCTATTTGACGGCAACGGCGAACAATACCTGTTTTCGAGATTGTTCTGCAAGATCAAGAAGCAGGACATTGTCGATGCGCCCGTTGTTCCCATTCAACGCATTGGTTCGCGCCGCCCATCCGCGGAACCTAACAGCGCGCTGCCGGACCCCAGCAGCAAACCAAGCTTCATCAAACGTATCATGCGAGCGCCCAGCGAGCGGAAAAAACGGAAGGAAGAGCGTACCATGGGCGAAACTGAGAAGGGGGATTGGGAGCATGTCAGCCGCACCAGCACTCTCGAACGATAACAACATCAAATCCCGCAAAACCACCCTTGTCGCCCTGTATGCGGTCCCTGAAGTGGGCCCACAACATCACTTTGGCATCGAATTCACTCATCCGAACGACGATTTCCATTCATGTACCATACCCTTACTTTCATTTAGCCATGCATACCAATGCTTCAAATTTTGCGGTACCATGGACTTACTGCTTCATTCATTATTGCCCTCCGGGAGGCGAGGGCACGCACGCAGCATGACGGACGGTAAGCTCGCGCCGCATACCTATCCTGGCAAAGAATCCGCGGATCCCATATTTCCCGGCAGAAGCGCGACTTATTCTGTGTTATTTCGATTGTGCGGAACCGAAGCGGCTCGAAATTTATCGTTTACACCGCCAATGGAATCTCGGCAAATGGCTGCTGCACCTACCTAGTCGTTGCAAGCCTGCCAGCAATTGTTTCTTACAATCCGACGTTGAAGTCGTTCCTGCCTCCTCCCATCGCAAGATTCCTGCACGGGTTGCACTCAACGACTGAGCCCCTGGCTTACCTCCGGTTCTCTCACGCCTGAATACCCCCTCTTGTACTGGTCTACAGGCGCCTTTCCACTGCTTCATCTATTGCCCTTACCGTCGACTACAGCCGCGATTGTGGCCATGATTGCGCTCTTTTTTGCGATGAATTCACCGGCGTTCTAAGGGAAGATGCAATCGACATTGCGTGCCCCGGAGCACCTTACCCAAATTTGACCATTGTAGCGAGATATCCCATAGACCTTTGTATCTTTCTGATTTCCAAAATACCCGTTCGCCTCGGATCTTCTCAACCGAGACAGCTGTTGGTAGAGAATCATTCTCCCACCTACCCTTTTCTGTCTCGCCTACTTTCCCATTTTGTCTTATAAATTCATCCCGGGTCTATTCAGTGATAGCCTGTTTTGCTTCCCCTTTCTTTTCTTTTTTCCAACCATCTAACGACGATTACGAAACCATTGATCCCTTAAGTCTGGATCTTTTTGCATGGACTGGGTGGCTGTGCTACCCGAGCAGATCTTCTTTCTTTCCTGTTGTTCGTTGCTGATGATCTTTGATCACGTGACTAAGCTGTTTGCGTTGTGTTTGTTGCACCTTAGCTACCAACCAGCAGGAAGGTCTTTCACTTGAGTGGGTCAGAGGTATGGACATTTTAGCCACCCTGTCTTCCTTTTCACGCGCAGGGATGAATGAAAGGCAAGAGCTGATACGTGTTCCTGGTCGAATCGAGATTGTTTGTTGTTGGAAAGGGGGAGGGGTTTCCTGGGGAAAGTGAATGTATAGCTTTTTTGCTTGCACTTTATCGTGTAGCTAAGGCGGCCCACGCATTCGAACTGAAGACCAATATGAAAAACAATAAACATACTTGTCACATCTGAAAAGTCTTCGTTGCTTTTGACACGCTCTGCTGTTTTTCTTACGGAAGGAAGGGGTGTAATGGAAGAAGCTGAACAACAATTAGGGCCTCCACACAGTTCTATACGATGTACTCGTCCATGATGAATATCTATACAATCAGCACTTCCGCCCTTTGGCCACATCCACAACCCCATTTTGTGTATTTACACCCTTCTTAGTGATCACATTCACCGTTCTCGAGTTATCCTCTTTATTGTTATATACACGTGTCCCCATGTTTCTGGAGACCAGGTTTGCTAGAATTAGAGATATACTGTCTAAGAATTCCAAGTTGGAGTTTGTGTACACTGTCTATTCCTTAGTAAACCAATCCCCCGACACTGCCTACTGGTGTAATAAGTCAGGTGATAGTCAATGGAGTGAGCATGCTTATGAGAGGTTATCTATCGCAGATGGGGATCATACCTGTAGTGAGGCGTAATTGATAATGTGCGTGGACGTGTGTTGCCGTGCTCAGAGTAGATGCTGACCTCTGCTGTGTATGTATCCATGTATTGGCACCGATGATCTGCTCTGTAAACAACACAATCCTGTCGAGAATAGTGGAGTTGTATGCTAGTAGAGCCGAATCCGGTATGTACTGCGTCTTCGCTGTTGTCATCATATAAGTAACTTAATGTACTATAATTTTGGGGGTTCACTACAGAACCATAGACTTGAAGAGATTGCTACCGGTAATGAGAGGCTAGGCTTGTAAGTCCGAAGTTCCACAAATATCTTGCAGCAGAAGCCAATGCGATTGCCATCGGATGTTTCCTTCTTCGTACGCGGCTGCTGTTCAGAGTCGTACTGCATATTCAGCCACGCACGACCAAAAAGCCGACATGCGTCGTATTCGAAGTCGGGTATATCGAAAAGATGGTTGGAGATTGCACTGCAGGGGTGTGTCTTGTGGGAATCCGTGGCCGGAAGAGAAGGCAGTCCTTCGATAGGGACGGAATAGATTGTTTGGCGATGATCTGCAAACACCAACTTTGTGCCTGAAACACGAATCGACCAGTAGACGAAAATGCAACAGCCCGAACCAACCCGAACGATGCAGCTTCAACATCATCCTCGCGTGTGCATTTTGCAGTAGAGCGCGCGACAGCCGCTGGATAAATCAATAGAGCAGAGCATATGGATGGGTAGTGTGGCTGCATCCAAGCGATCTTGGTCCGCTCCTTTGGGTACGTTATCTTCGTACCACCTCGTATTCTCTCACCCGGGGCTTCGATACCCGAGCGATCTTAGTGTTGGGACTGGTGGGTAGATCGGTAGTTCGTTGGCACAATGTGAGCAGATGGCCTTGCTTTGCCACAAGCTGGTGAGCTTGCATATGGGTTCGACAGCAGCAACGTGGCAGCTCCAACACGGCAGCTTGCCCTCGCGATAGTCATAGAAGTTCATGGTACGGTCTGGGATGAAGGCAGTCTTTCGATAGTTAGTGTGGGGTGTGCAGTGGCTTTCGACATGGGTACAGTACAGTGCAGCGCAGTGCAGTAGCCATGCGGTTAACCTTGCAAGACTTTGTCGTGCAGATAGAAGTACCCTTGTCCAGCTGAGAATCGTATGTTCTTTTCTTTTCTCGTTATCCAAGCTGCAGCTAGTAAGGATTCATGCCAATCTGCCCATGGAAGATTTCGGTGCATACTATACGCATGCATGCAGCACTTGAGGTTGATAGCAATCATGGAGACAGGGGATGGCCTCACAGTTTGACAGTAGTTGAACCCATGCAAAAGAGCCGAACCAAGTCAAGAGTTATTACAAAGCAGTTCACTGGTAGACAGGGCTAGATTAGCATGGCTGGAGCAGTCCAACGGCCAACTTACAGATGTTTCTTGTTCATGCAGAATCCCATTTTTGCCCGGTCCTCATGCACCCCGCAGTCAGTCTTCGCACGGCGCACACGACAGCCCACTTGTGCATAGCCATTTTATGCCTCACTTATGTTGTACAAGGTAAATTTCATTAGCTCCACGGACGTGTGCGCATTGCTTGCGCATTATATGCTGTATTATACCCACTTGTAAATACTCAACCCCTCATCTTGATAACGAGGGGGCTCTTGCTGAAGCGCGGGGCATTTGAAAACGTTAGAACACCTTCCTGGCAATTCACAAACCGCGATCTAGGATGTCGTGTGAAAGTTTAAGCTCCAACAACTCAAATTCAGGTGTATATCATTAATTATCATCGAGAAGCAAGAATCGATTGCTCACATCGATTAACTACTAACCACGCACGTTGAACGGACGAAGTGTATAGACGTGTCATGACTCGTTCCGAAGATCTCGGAAAGCTCGGTAAATCGTCTTTGAATGACTGGCGATTTTCCAATTACTTAGGCGCAATGGATTCACATGTCGAGTGCAACTACACAGTCGACAGGGAAACCATCGCTTTAGTGGATATGGTTCTGTACCGCGGTTGGTGTTACATGCCTAGATTCGAGAGACGTTCATGTACCAGAAAACGGAGTATGTTGTAGTCATACTCCCTGATTTACCTACTTACCTACGTAGGTACCTGTATATGTAGAAAATAAAGTTGTGTACTTGAACTTTATACATACGGATCTTGACTTGTCCTTACCTAAAATAAAATATCAAACAGAAATCTTCGAAAGGGGAAGAAAATAGTGAAATTGATACCTACATATGTGTGTATATAAACCTGACTTTTCACCTGACGTTTCTATACCGAAGATTCTCACTCTTGCTGGATACATCTTGGCATGGCTGTGCGAACTACATGTATATGTATACCTAGGTACGTAGCGAGCATCTGCCTGGAAATTGTTCCAACGGAACAGCGAACTTCAACTATCATGAATGAAAGATTCCCGTATTTGCCCTTCACATCGAAAGATCGAGACGCTATGCGACTTCCATATAGAGCTATAGTAGCCAGAAGTTGCGCACAGGCTACGCAGACCTGGCCGACAAGGCAATGATGAGTAGGTATCTTGTTTCCAATGGTGTTCAGCCCGCCCTCATACAAAACCATCCCAGGAAGAATAGCTGAGATCCAACAGCGCCAGCAACAGTCCTCGTGCACAACCATAGCTCCCTCCAGACACGCATGGAGCCAGGAAAGTCTCACGTGACAAATTCTCGATGACATCAATGTAACGGACCATCAATTGATTACTTGTGTGCGTGAATGTCTTTCAACATATTATGTACCCTTACACATGCAATCAGTAAACAATATGAGTCATCAGAGCATATCCGTGAATAAGCGGTAGGGAAGTGAGCGTCCAGGAATGATGCATTGCGACATGAAGACATTCACTAAGAAGAAGGCACGGACTCCAATGCCAAGATGAGAGGCTCCGACAGCCGATGGGCAAAAAGCAGCCCACCTAAGTTTACGACGACGAACGAGCTCGCCGCCGCCCACCAAACAACGTCCACCGTTGAGTTTTTTTCGAATACAAACGCGCGCAACCCAGCTAGCTCGTGACACTCAAAGATTGCTCTTGGTGCTAGCAATGGTGTGAAAGGCGACCGCGCATCACCTTCATCGTTCCATTCCACCACCCTCAACAGCACCGGCCCCAGCCGTCGTTTGTTGACCCGCAAAATTACTTGTACTTTCCCCTTCCTTCCTGCATATAGGCGACCTTACCACCGCTCTCGTCCGCCCTGCCGCCATGGAGGGCGCTTTCACGCATGTGGGCAACCACCTAGTCTCTGACTCTGCGGCGACGATCAACGCTGGCGCTGGCGACGATGAGAGCATCCTCGACGGCGACCTTTCTCGCGGCATGACATCCCGACGCCGCCGAATGGACGACGAAGAGACCGAGGCCTACGAAGACGACGATGATATGGAGAGCTTGGTGAGCATGCCTGTAGATGGCAAGAATGGCAAAACACAGAAGGCGGAGGAGGAAATTGAGCTTCCACCTCATGCATGCGCGTAAGTGGCGCCGGCAACGAGTATTCATTGTACATGTGGGGGACATGCAACTAAATCAGCCCTTTCTAGTTACTGTGGCATACACAATGCCGGCAGCGTGGTCAAGTGTCTAGCCTGCAGCAAATGGTTCTGCAGCGCTCGCGGCAATACTTCCTCCTCACATATCATCAACCACCTCGTTCGCGCTCGCCACAAGGAAGTCCAGCTCCACCCGCAATCTTCCCTCGGAGACACCATTCTCGAATGCTACAACTGCGGTATCAAGAACGTCTTCCTCCTTGGCTTTATTCCAGCCAAATCTGATACTGTGGTCGTTCTGTTATGTCGCCAGCCGTGCGCAGCCATGCCTTCGCAAAAGGATATGAACTGGGATACTTCGCGCTGGCAGCCGCTGATTGAAGATCGCTCGTTTCTTCCGTGGCTCGTGCCCCCACCCACCGACCAAGAACAACTCCGCGCCCGCCAACTGAGTCCCCAACTCATCGCTAAACTCGAGGAGCTGTGGAAGGACAATGCAATGGCCACTATTGCCGATCTAGAAAAAGGCGCTGGTCAGGAAGAGGCAATCGCCAAGGTCTTGCTCCGTTACGATGATGCTTTCCAGTATCAAAACGTCTTCGGTCCGCTTGTCAAGATCGAGGCCGATTACGATCGCAAGTTGAAGGAATCGCAGTCGCAAGATGGACTTGTAGTACGCTGGGACATGCCATTGAACAACAAGCATACCGCTAGTTTCATGCTCCCAAAACTTGAGCTGGGCGATGTGAAGCTTGCCGTCGGCGATGAGATGCGTTTGAGGTATTCTGGAGAGCTGAGACCCCACTGGGAAGGCGTGGGCTACGTCATCAAGATCCCCAATAATCAGTCCGACGAGGTCACTATCGAATTGCGCAACAAAGGCGATCACAAATCCGTACCTACCGAATGCACTCATAATTTCAGTGCCGATTATGTCTGGAAAGCTACTTCCTTCGACCGTATGCAGCATGCCATGAAGACATTCGCAATTGATGAGATGAGCGTTTCAGGATACATCTTCCACCGTCTCCTAGGTCATGAAGTAGCCTCTGCACCGATGAAAATCCAGCTACCCCGGAAATTCAGCGTTCCAGGGCTGCCGGAGCTCAACGGTAGTCAAATCAATGCTGTCAAGGCTGTACTGCAAAAGCCACTTAGCTTGATCCAAGGTCCTCCAGGAACGGGAAAAACCGTCACTTCCGCAACCATCATCTACCACCTTTGTAAGATTAACGGTGGACCCGTGTTGGTTTGTGCGCCTTCCAACGTTGCTGTTGATCAGCTTTGCGAACGTATTCATCGTACTGGGCTGAAAACAGTCCGCATCACTGCTAAATCCAGGGAAGATGTTGAATCGTCCGTGGGATTCTTGTCTCTCCACGAGCAAGTTCGCATGAATGACACTAACGTGGAACTGAACAAACTCAACCAGCTCAAAACCGATATTGGAGAACTTTCCAGCCAGGATGAGAAAAAGTTCAAGCAATTGACTCGGGCTGCCGAGCGCGAAATCCTTAACGCCGCGGATGTCATTTGCTGCACCTGCGTCGGTGCGGGTGATCCGCGGCTCTCTAAGATGAAGTTCCGTACAGTTCTCATCGATGAGTCGACTCAATCTGCCGAACCGGAATGCATGATTCCGCTCGTTCTCGGCTGCAAACAAGTCGTATTGGTCGGTGATCACCAACAGCTTGGGCCTGTCATCATGAACAAGAAGGCCGCGACTGCAGGTCTCAATCAATCCCTGTTTGAGCGTTTGGTCATCCTCGGTTGCTCCCCAATGCGCCTTCAGGTGCAATATCGTATGCACCCATGCCTATCTGAATTTCCATCCAACATGTTTTACGAAGGATCTTTGCAAAACGGCGTGGGACAGCAAGAGCGCATCCGCCGAGATGTTGATTTCCCGTGGCCTGTTGCAGACAACCCAATGATGTTTTGGTCTAACTTGGGTGTCGAGGAAATCTCGGCCTCCGGAACATCCTACCTCAATCGTACAGAGGCCCAAAATGTCGAGAAAATTGTCACTCGCTTTTTCAAGGCTGGTGTGCAACCCAGCGGGATTGGTGTCATCACGCCATACGAGGGACAGCGTAGTTACGTGGTCAGCTCCATGCAAGCTACTGGCAGCTTCAAGAAAGAGAACTATAAGGAAGTCGAAGTTGCTTCCGTTGATGCCTTCCAAGGACGTGAGAAGGATTTTATCATCCTCTCTTGTGTTCGTTCCAACGATCATCAAGGTATCGGTTTCTTGAGCGATCCTCGCCGTCTCAACGTTGCGTTGACACGTGCAAAATACGGTCTCGTGATTTTGGGTAATCCCAAGGTGCTCTCCAAGCACCCTCTTTGGCATTACCTGCTCATCCACTTCAAGGAGCGCAGTTGCCTTGTTGAAGGTCCTCTGACGAATCTACAAGTTTCGCTTTTGCAATTCAGCCGACCCAAACAAACCTACCGAGGCCCACAGCGTTACCAGATGGCTTACCAGCATGCCAATGCCATGACCTCTGGTCGTCAAACTGGAGCGTATAATGGAAACAAGCGCCAAGAATACAACGATAACGGTTCTATCGTGGGCTACATTCCAGATGACGTCTCCTCTGTCCACTCGTCAGCACTTGGCGGTGTAGGCGTGAATATGCCCTCCAACTATCCTCCGATGTTTGCCAACTTCCAGGAGTCCTGGCCCTTGCCTGGCCGGGGTGCGCCGGGCATGAAGGGAAAGAGCGGGGCTCCAAGTATTGCGGGCGAGTCTGTTGCTGCGAGCGAGATGACAGATACCCGTAGCAGTATCGCAGATGGGCCAGGCGGCATCAGTCTCACGGGATTGAGCCTCAATGACTACAGCAAGCCCACGTCTCTGAGTCAGTCAGACCGCCTCAGTCGTTTTGTCGAATCCACTCGTCGCCCGGAAAACGCGCCAACTGCCTTCGGGGGCAACCGTGGGTTGCGAAGTGGCTTCGATGACGATGATGCTCGGAGCGTGTCGACGGCATTCGCAAGCCAAATTGGCGGGCCTGCAAATTACGACTGATCACTCACTGCGCCAGTACAAGTGTTTGGTATGTTCTTCCGAGCCTGAATGGGACACATTGCCGTTTGCATGCCCTTACTCGCAACACGGTGGGAAACGCCCAGCAATTCCCGACTGGATAGTTTTTCCATGCTCGGTATGGTAAACGTTTACAGGATAACGGAGGTGTTCATCTATGGATAACCGCAAGAAATCTGCCTGTAGCTTCCACCGCGTACCGCCTACAAAACCCCCGCCCTGTACCGGTCAACGAAGCGTAATTAGGCCGGGATGGCATGCGCGTGAATATGCATTACATGCGATACTTCTTCCGAGAGGATAGCAGATGCTGTTGGGTCAGCATGGGCGAGGTCTTGGGAGTGTTGGGGTGGACATGAGCCATACATAGCTCGAACTGAGCTTTCAGTTAGCGGTGCGGAGCCATGGATGATTCCTCTTCATCATATAGTAGCACCCTTGTCTTAGTGTGTAGCTCGAAAATGGACATTTCCACATGTAGTATCTCCACATCAGCTGCGCATTTGCGTGTCTCCATTCATGTGCTCTTGTGAACTCTGAAGAATCAATAGCTGTTTCTCTCCTCCATCTCAAGCTATCTCTGACTGCAGCTTCGCCATGGTGGTTATCGGCTGGAGTTGAGCATGCCTTGTAAGACTGAACTGAGCCACAAACGTCATCGTGTCAAAAGCTCCTCTGTGTTCTACTAGCAATCCCGGCACACGGCGGAATTTCCTTAGGCACCACATGTTCAACGCGGCTGATGCCATTGGCCAGTCTGTGTAAAATCAAAAATGGCACGGCTCGTAGAATATCATCATCCCTGACCTCGCAAGAGCGGCACAGCAACCATATAAATGTCGGATCGAGCCCCAAATTCTGGGCAAAAAAGCTTGGTGTTGCTTAGCCCTCCATCCCAATCCGTCTCACATCTCAATCAAAGTGCAGACCGCAAATCGCCTTAGAGGATGAGGACCTATATTGAGTTTTCTACCATGCAAGCCGCGCTTTTGTTGTCGCTCTTTGGCAACCCCCATGGTGTGGCTAGTACTACACTGCCTGCCGCTTCGTATGCGGGGAGCCCCAGTTCAGATGTGTACCCGCCTGCTGGAAGTAAGTGCTTCACGACCTTGCTCCAATGCTGTGAATTCTTGTCGACCTACTGATCGTTCGGGTACAGCTTCAGTCAATACTGCACAGTTCCCGCCAGAGGGTGTCATTGGTTTCCCGTAAGTAGTTCTTGCATGAAGAATATCATCACACGCTGCAGCTACGTCTCTAGTAGCATCCGCTAAACTTCTATACTGAAACTGTTCTTATATCTGATTTTATCTGTAGGGGGCCTACGCCAACCGGAGCTGAGCCTGCTGCTGCTCAAACAGCACCAGCTTACCCCTACAACAATGGCGACGCTTTCCAGTTTCCGCTCATCAATCCACAACCGCATGACGCAAGCTCTGGTACAGACTTCGACATTAGCAAGTACTGGGGTAATCTATCGCCATGGTACTCTGTTCAATCAGCTGATTACGGCTTACCTGATGCGAGCCCTCTGGCACCCGAGGGCTGCGACATCACCCAAATGCATCTCCTTTACCGTCACGGCGCAAGATACCCAGCGAGTGGAGCGGCACCACAGACATTTTCCCAGAAGATTGCAAATGCCACCAAGTCTGGTTTCGAGGTTTCTGGCGAGCTTGCGTTTTTAGCAGACTGGACGTACAAACTCGGGGCTGAGCTCCTTACCCCCTTCGGCCGTAGCCAGAACTTTATGCTGGGGGTTCAGTATAGACAGCTGTATGGTCACTTACTCAATAATTTCACCGAAGCGAGAACCATTCCTGTTTTCAGGACTCAAAGCCAGGATCGCATGGTGAAAACCGCAAACAATTTCGCCGCGGGCTTCTTTGGGGTGCCGGAGTATCTGGACCAAGTCTCCATCGAGATTCTGGTGGAAAATCCAGGCGTCAATAATTCGGGCGCACCTTATGAGATATGCAACAACTCCAATATTGCAACCCGGGGTAGCATCGGAAGCAAGATTGCAACCAGTTTCGCAAACACGGCTTTCAACGCCACGCTAGCTCGTCTACAATCCCAAGTTTCGGGTATCAACCTCACCGCTACAGACGCAATTGCCATGCTTCAACTCTGCTCCTACGAGACACATGCCCTAGGCTACTCTGCCTTTTGCAATCTATTTTCGCAGCAAGACTTCCTCAATTACGAGTACTACTACGACCTCTCGTTTTACTACAACAATGGTCCAGGCTCTCCCGTCTCCGCAGCGCAAGGCAAAGGATATCTCGACGAATACATTGCGCGCCTCATAGGTGCATATCCAGACGCAAAATCAGCCCTAAATCAGACTTTCGACAACTCATCGACCTTCTTCCCGCTCAATCAGTCTATTTACGCAGACGCTACACACGAAGTAGTCGTCCTTGACACTCTCGTCGCGTTCAACTTGACTGCCCTGTTTGATGGCCCGCCATTAAGTCCGACTGGAAATGAGCAGAGTAATAGCTTCGTCGCGTCCAAACTTGTGCCATTCGCAACGCATTTTACGACGCAGGTGCTCTCTTGCCCTAACCGGGAGCAGTCAAAGCAGATTCGGTTCATTGTGTACGTATTCCATTCCCTTCCACTATTGTGACGCATGTTCTCTCGAAAAAGCATGTTAATTTCCGTGATTCCTACGAGATTACGGTATGCTTCAAACTCAATTACAGTGCTAATGATCTTGGTATGTAGTAATGATGCTGTCGTGCCGCTTCATAACTCACATTCTGGATGCCCCGTCGACGAGGACGGCCTGTGCGCTTTCGATACAGTATTAGATGTGCTTCAGAAACGCAGTCGTGAGATCGACTTTGATTACGATTGCTTTGCTAATTACACGGCGGCCGCTGGTGTTGATTATAATGGTAGAGCGCCGCGGGCTTTGTGATTGGTCTTTGTTAAATGTTAATACCTTTAACCGTTTAGGTTCTTTATTGCTCTGTCAAGTGCAGAGAGCTATCTTTAATTCAGATGTACTGGATTTCAGCGTGGCCTCCGCGAAGCTGGAAGTGATCTTCCTCAGTGATGACCATTCCATCATTATCTGCTAGCATTACACCCTTGGACTTCTATTACATTAGAACGACCTACCACAACACATGCCCAGCTGAACTTCTAGACTACTTATACACGCAAACTGAATTTTTTATTTCTACCCAATGGATACTCCTTATCGCGATATCAATCTGTTCAGATAGGTGAACACGTGGACGCAAGCTGCATCTGAAGGAGTGCAGCATTGGCATGATGAACTGACATACCCAACTTCCGTAATGGCAGTGCATCAGGCTCATGATGCAAATATACACTCCCGAAAGTATACTGTTGCACTTCGAACTGCCAAGTGGATTTGCATCACATGTGTGCTGGTCCAGCCGAGGTTCTTGTAGAATCTCCACTCTGTCTACCAGCACCTTGACATCATTGCTCAAGATCTGTAAGAATAAGTACCGTGCGCTTCGCTAGATGTTGTAAGCTGCAACCTTAGCACTATCTTCACTAATAAGAACAATGTATAGAATAAAGAGCGCTTTCGATAAAGTCAGCAATAGACTGCAATCGTTCGCATCAGAAGAAGAACAAGCGTGGGGCAAGACTCAGAATGAGGGCCCACGACAGGGACGCATCGCATGGCCTCCAAAGCTCGTGTGTCCACCAAAAGTTCTCGGAGAAGTGATCGACACGTCGGGGCGCCGTTATCCTCGAGATATCGGTCGCTCCGTTCAGCTCGGAGGTCGTATGTACTACATGTTTGGAGACACATTCTGTTTCGATGACCACGACGAATTCCGAGGCGTGACCAACAATAGCATTGCTTTGATTCCCTCTCTCGAAACCCCCACGAAGAGTCGGTACATTCGCCACGAGGCCAAAGTCCCCGAATTCGTCCCCTTCTCGAACAACGAGCTCGATTTCTGCGAGGGCCACGAGAACAAGGTGCAGAACCGAAGGATCGTGAACTGGGCCTTCGGAGGCCTCATCCACGTGCCCGGTACACACGGCCGCGAAGGATGGCTGTTTTACGATCAAGTGGAAACGCACGGTGCAACGCCCGTGAAGCAGAATGGGATCGGACTCGCCAAGGCAAGATCCAGTAGCACGGATGAAGGAATCGAGTGTGAGCGGGTGGGCTCGTTCCCGCTCTTCGATGGCAACGGGCCTCTCTGGGGCAACATTTCCAGCGTCGATTCTCCTGACGGTTGGACCTATCTATTATCGGGGATTGGGTCTGAGAACGGCTTGGATAACTACATGGCCCGCATCCGTACCGATGCCGACTTCTCCATCAAATCAAACTATAGCTATCTGATGAAAAGCGGTGAATGGGCTCCAAGCTACAGCCCGCCATACGGACCCTTTGGTGAACTAGCTCATGGTGTGCTCGCGGGACAAGGACAAGGGGCCATCGCTTTCATCCCAGACCATGCACCACATGGCAAGCCGTTTCTCTGGATCGGATGTGAGAAGTTTCCCACGAGCCAGCTGTGCATCGGGGTAGCAGCGCGACCCGAAGGACCGTGGGAAGTGCATAAGGTCGGAGAGATGCCAAAATTCACCGCAGATGCGAAAACGAGGTATTGCATCTACCCGCACATCTGGGGGAGCGATTTGGCGAACGGCAAGATCTTGATCACCTGGAGTGATGATGGAACAATGGGTGGGAAAGTGATAGCTGGAATATTTACCTTTGCTGTCGTTTGAGATGAGAGGTGATAAAGCAATCCGAACGCCAGCTTTGGTGCACGTTTCTTCGGGTCAGGTCGGTCATTTTACTTACCCACTTCGAAAATGACGTTGAGCTTGGACGGCTGTTGTAACAACGATGGAACATCCAGAACATCGTATGATACTTTGTCTACTACCATGATATCTTGCATGTTGTACACGATGCAATTCAGGACGAATTTTGTGAATAAAACTGCAACGTTGATAGGCAAGTGACACATGGATGACTGACGATCAGAATGACTGAAAACGTTTGGTTCGTGTTGAACAGTGGACATATCCAGCACACACATCAACCGGCGGCGAAATATCAGTAGAATTACGATCAGCAAGCTCATCAGATGATGTTCTTACCCCTTCACACGAGGTTCACACAGTCCCTAAGGAGTTGCCCAAAGTAGAACAGTGTCGATATTGTCTACGGATGCTCGTAAGTCGACGTATCAAGCATACGAGCATGTAATCGGCGCTAGGCCATCGATTTACACTAATGAATCCCAATGTGATGAAATCTCAACGGTCAGTCCGACTTCCCGATTCAGACTCGGACGCAATAAGAAGAATAGGAAAGAGGGCCGAGTCTGGAACCCTCACGCAAACGCCTCGTTGTGTCTGCAGATGTTTAATTGACGGGCAAAATTAAAAGACAAAGTAACGTGCGGGAAGACACGCTGGTGTTCCAGGCTTACTCACCTTTGCTCGCAATTCCGGAACCGGTGACAGTTGCGCCGTGCTCTCCACAACGCCTGCCCCTTGTATGCGCCCATCTCAAGGCTCTAGTGAAGATGCCAACGGATTTTGCGGCGGACGACGCGGTGGTAAACTCGTGCGGGTGTTTTTATTTTTCGGTATCATTAATTTCGAATTGACTACTGGACGGTCATTGCGTTAGGCGGACTTGCGGACACCGCGGATGCAGGTGTGGCTAGTTGTGGCGGTGGGCCCCCAAGTCCGATGCAGCGGATTCCCTTTGGGAGATTCTGGTGCGATGGGGGCAGAACGACAAGGAGGAGGCTGAAAGAGATTGCGTGAAGATTTTTTCAGACACCGACATTGCGGCACTGGTGATGCTACAATGTGGATGCGGACAGGGCGTTGGGCCGAGGTGTAGGAAGCAGAAGTATGAGAAGCGGCACATGCGTCATTATCGATTCCACCCAGTGCAAACATGGATTCAGATCCGTGTTCCATTGTCTAGTTAATCCAAGACTAGCACTGGCGGAGAGTCCCATCGCAGAGTCAGTGGTAGTTGTCAATCTTAGATCATCGTCCACCAGTCGGGACGCCGAGGTCCCTCTAACATCCCAGTGACCCCACTGGAATCATACACAGTATTGATGATGGGAATGCTCGGGTTCACCGAGTGGAACTAGTGAAATGATGGAATCCTCTTGCACTGTCCTTTTTGGATTGAATGCGTATCTGTAGGTGAGACCATGCTTACAAGGTTCTGTGTTGTGATTCATGCGGTGGCATTTCGCAGTGCACGGCCGGGGTAGTGGCTACGGCGTTGATGGGGGTGGCAAGATTTCATGGCGAGCGTGGGGAGATATGATATCGAAAAGAGCCCAGTTGACGGGATGTGGGTTTTGGACGAGCATGTTGGACTTGCCTTTTTGGGAATAATGAGTTGAGCACTTCGTCTTTTACGCACCTAGCAAACCACGGAGAGCTTTGCTCTACGTTCATAGAGAGAGAGAGAGAGAGAGAGAGAGAGAGAGAGAGAGAGAGATAATTTACGATCAATTGCTATTTTATATTACAGGGTTCATAAGAGTGAATGCGTTGAAACCTGACAGGGCAAGGAAAGCGGGCTTAGGGCAGTAGGGTATCGTTATAGCGGTAGTTGTGATCGAAGTTCGGGAATAGGTAACCAGTCAAGGAAAAAAAGAAAGCAAAAAATTTGTAAGATGGAAGTGGCTGACCAGGTATTACCCTCGGGTCACCCATTTTGTGTCTTTTTTGGTGGAAGGCACATGCTGCTCATCCTTGAACTCCAATTACCTCGAGGAAGCGGAGTCATCCATGTCGATGGGTATTCCGTGAATGTTGCAGTGAACACAGAGATTCAAGGACCTGAGCTTGGGTAACTGTAATACTGGGGGGAAGGTGCGTAAGAGTATGTTGGCGCGGTGGTAGTCGTGTAAGGTGCTGTCGTGTAGGGCGAAGTGGCATACGGAGACGTCTGGTGCGATACCGTTGGCTGTTTTGCGCTACTACCGTATGCACTGCGGCTTTGGTATGGGTTCTCTGTTGTCGAGTGTCTCCCATGGTGATGAGCGTATCCCGAGTGCTCGCCGTGTGTAGCTACACTGGCTTGTGTATATGGAGCTTGGCTTTGTGAAGCATAGGCGTATGTAGATTCCGGCACATAAGACGGATGGGTGGTATATGCCGGATATGTGTAAGATGACTGAGATGATTGAGGGGATTGCGCGAATGGTGATCCTGCTATTTGTGATTGTTGTCGGTAATTCTGTGGCGGTGACACCGGAGAGGCAGCGCTGCTGGGCGAACTTGCGGACTGGCTCGGTGGGTACGTGCTGGACGTTGAAGGTGTGTGCTGTCTAGAGAAAGAATTCTGGAAAGTAGGACTTCCGTGTGCCCTCGAACTCCGGGTCTATCAATTGGAAGGGGTCAACTCAATGGCCGAAAGTATGTGTAAAATGATCGTATACGAACAGGAAGCCTGAAGTCAAATTTGAGGAAAATGAAAGACGAACCTGGATATGTTCAGGCGGCGGCGCTCTGCTCTGATCTTTTTGCCCATTCTGGCCATCATCTTCCACTTCTGGTGGCTTCATCAAGAAGAGGTCTAACATTTTGCTGGAGCCAAGTAGGCGAAGAGAAATTTGTTTGAAAGGATTTCGCTAATGTTTACTCCTGCTAGAATGGTAGACGGATGCTCCGAGCTTGAGGGTATATATGTGTGCCAAACAAACCAGTAGACGATGCGGTGACATTGCCGGCAAATGATCAAGCAGGAGTATCAGCCATGCATCGAACTGGCACAGTTGCTGTATCTCAGCTTCATACATGGAGCTTGGTAGAAGTTCCACATTGGGAAGGACGATTTGCAGCGAGAGACAAGTGGAGATTCGAATTGGCTGCACGAATGGTCGCCCACCTTTCGTATGCGGATCCTCATGACGTTGTGCACACTAACAGTCTAGAATTGCACCGAGGCGCTAGTATTCATGATTCGTTCTCTGCTGCTGTTAGCATGCCAGGCACACACTCTCCTGAGACCCACGTCTGACCAGAGGCACGTGCATCCTCGTGGAATTACATGGCCCCAAATAGAGTTGGATAGGCGAGACTCTTAGCGAGATAAAGATGGGGCTCGAGTAGCTGGTAAACCCGTACAGTCGTCCCTATTACATTACGGGACCGAGTGATTACGGATGGGCAAGATTCGTTTTTCCCGCAAGCAGCAGCTTATGGCTAAAGCCAATATTTGCATGTGATTTGGCCGGTAGACACTGAATCATATCCAGTCGCTGACTGCGCCACTTGTGGCTTGTCCATCATGTAAAGTCATACCCAGTCTGATTACTGTTGAAGTCCGCACGTTAGTCTTGATGTGCATTGGTTGCTGGGAGACCTTCCTTTGGACTGCTCCGCACGGAAGACGCCGATAGCCAAGCTAATAACTCGCAAAACCCAGTTCGCAGCGTGTGCAAATGTGCAGCTCCTGCTCAGAGCCGCGTACAGATGTACAGCACCAAGTGGTTGTGAAAATGCCAACGTTGAGATTTTTCATGTAATTGAAGGAACACATGGCGCTCTCAGCATCCTCATCCATAAAGGGAATGTTGTAGCGGATATACCCATGATTCAAGAACGTCATAGCATTGGCGCTGCATTCCATAAGCCGCAGGCAACGAGCGGGACTGGTGAAGAGACAGTTGGCATTCATCGCCAGTCCGAACAACTCGACGATCAACCGAGGAACAGCCCATGACTTGCGAGGCAGACATCCATCCAGTCTTGCCTTTCTCGCCAATCCTGCATATGCAGGTAAGAACATGTATGATATAGCGCTAGGCGTTGGTGAGCATCATACAATCCAGTGCGCCGTTTAATTTAGTGGATCGCACGTATTCATGGTCTAGCCGCTTGTTTACCTGTCAACGGGAGCTTATGCAGGGGTAATGGAGATCCTGGATAATCGACGGTATGGCCTGCTCACTTTTCAATCCCTGCGGTACAGCTTCATACAGAGAGCACGCGAACAAGCAAACGAACGTCACAGTTCTTGATGTTAAAGTTGTTTCAACATTTGGCAAATGCAGACTGACAGAGCTGATGATGCCCAAGCATGAATGCTAGTCCAAATAAACTGCGACCACCACAAAAGTTTGCAAGAATGCAGCAGCTCGGAATTTACTCTAATCGGCCTTGCGCAGTATCACTGTGGCTAGAACAGATCGAGATTGGATTCGATATGAAGCCTTGGGGCTCGAATTTACCCAGTTTTCGAACTACCGCAACCGGCGAGACATGACAGATCCACCAAACTACCGCCACGCGGGACCAACTCCTGCAAATACCCATGGAAGTGGCGAGGTCCGCAGAGCCCCAAACAAGACATCCTGATGCAGTATAGATAGCTATTGCATGTACGCAATCTTGCATACAGTCCATTCTGATATACGATGGTACGACTGGAGTACACTAAACTACGAATAGGTAAAATAAGAACATTTATGTTGGGATGAATATGATTGGTATATTAGCCACGTGTACTAGGTTTCTAGAGAGACATGCCAATACTTACAGTCGTACAGTATGGTATCATCTTATGCCAAGTACGAGGATGTGGGGGCCGCTTAGTACGGGCGATGGGGACGGGGGGCTTTCTCCTCTGTGGCTGGAGCTGATAGAAGGGGTTTCTAGGCAGCACTGTTCCGAGCCACTCAGCCTATCCGTTCATCATCTTCGGAATTTTGCACAAAGACGCTCGACGAAACACGAGAGGCAGCTGTCACATGCAAAGGCTGTAAGGAGGTAGAAATAATGCTACTGCCAATTAGGGAAGGTATGAGTGCGCACAACGGTGGTCATTGAGACTAGACTCATTGATTTCGGATCGCCAGCACAAGGCATCAATCCTATGCTGCTGACCAGATGACTGTCGCAAGAGCAATTGCAACCAACTCTTACAGGGTACAGTATTGATTTGATGAGCTGCCCAAGTTTCTCGATCATTGTTTAATTGTTTGAATGCTCGACTCCACCCGAAAATGCGCGTAGCTTTGAACGGAGTTACCTAGAAGGCGAGTCACCGAAATTACAAAAGAGGTCTCGGGAAATAAGCAAGATGCTCGTGTCAACTCAGTGGGTGTCAAGGCGGATACATCTCATGCGTGATTAGTGTTGATGGCGACTTGATTGAATCACAATTGCGACATTGAGATAGATTGCCCAATATCACTACGACCAGGATGAATGAGACACATCCGTCCGCACCTGGGGAGGTAGAATCTAGCTATCAGTGTCTTCGCAAGGTATGGTAAGAGCACTTTTACTCTAGGAGAAAGACACCAGCCAGCTTCAGATGTGCTTACCATGTCGGGAACAGATCCTAAAAGCTAAATGTAGGATTGCAATCGCTTTCAATTATATATACTTATGACAACCGCGATGAGCAATAGTCGTTAATTTCAACCCACAAACGCAAATAGTTATGCTTGTCGCTCGCCGACGCGATTTGCGGTACATACCTAGGGTGTCATTTTATTTCTACGATGTATCGTTTGGTATATTAAATAATGAGTGTGGGCCATAACGTGTGCGTGGTGCAACAATAGAATGTGTGACGGACACAAATAATTCCCGGCGCACTGCGATGCTGATGGCGGCAAATCTTTGATTACCTACGATACTAATCCATTCAACTGTCAAAAGCTGGTTTGGAATCGGTTGAGTATTAGAGTTCTGGAAAACACATCCGAGAAAGCGGTCGTCATGGGAACCGACGGAAAAGTTGCAAAGCCGTCTTGAAAACCTGGGTATTACGCCCAAGAAGTTGGCACAGCTTCCCAGTGTCACTCGTAATGACCACATGATCAATTTATTGCGACGAAGTCAAATTTCTTGCCGCGATTGGATAAGATAGATTTGAGAGAAGCTGTTAACATAGTACAGAAATCCTTCTCTTGTTGTAGTTAACACGGGTCAACAGCATCATAAGTTCGCATTCAATCTGTAAATACATACGATTGAGATCGAAAGGAGCCCCACATATAAACATAATAATTGCGAAGGCATAGTCAGCAAGCTCAACTTTTCATTGTCGTGTTTGCAGACCGGGAACTCGAGCTCGTGTGTAGTAGGTTTCGTTACCGCAAATGATGTAATGGCGATCACCACAGAACAAGGTTCACGCTGATCACCGATCGAGATGCATAGAATCATTCAACCGCACGGTAGTCCAGCCGAGCATCCAATCTATGATCTGATGGTTGCATCTCATCAAATATATGATTGGAACTGTCGCAGCGTGGTGCGCAATACCCAGCATGATCAAAGTGTTGAGTCGTTTGTATGAAATGTTTACACGAAGTGAAAGGAACCAATTCAATGTATCTAGCATTTGGGTTTCCGGTGGTGATCTCGGGATTTGCTACGGGATCCCCACTCCGGTATTTTTGTTGTACATCATAACCTTTAGCTTCCACTGCGTCAAACGTACTCCATGTTTCTATCGATACTCGGATGAACTCCAAAGTGACCTAGGCTCTTATGAATGGATGTCAAGCTTCTAGCGGGATGCTCTTATGCATAACTGCTAAAATAAAGGCCATGAGGCCCCATGAAGCTGTCGGCTTGTAAGGTCTCTGAATGAGAGCTGTGTGCACTGGGAACTAAACTTTGGACTAGGCAAATTGTCAATCTGGAGAACGTTCTCTGGGCCGTCACCAGAAGCAGCAGCATCAGTTCACTCCGCGGCCCCTCGTCTCCCAATCAGCGTATGTGGAGACTCCGAACATCCTTGGGAAGCAGTGCAATGCGAACTCATGCAACCTTATTATCTGTCACGCATGGCTGCGTCTCTCTGCTTAATATTATGTACGCGCTTCAGTGGAAGGTCATAGCGACAGTGGCGAATTGGGCAAGAATCGCCAATTGCTATAAGATTCTTTATGCGCATTTGATACGGCTTGTTCTTTGATGCTGCTTCAATTGAAAACCGCCAGTCCTTCATTCTATTATTACAGGCGCGATTGATGCCAGGTCGAGATGTTCTCTTTTTCTACACCTAATATGTTTTTCTTTTTTCTATTGATCAACCAAGTCCTTGGAAATGATACACTATCAACCAGGAGTAGAATTGGTCGTTCGGTGAACGAGGGTTCCTGGTCAGTGAATCCGACACCAGAGAATGAGCCAGGCTGGGTGAGCCCACCGTACAGATGGATTTTCGAATACCCTTTACCCATTCCACCTCAGAAGCAAAAGCGATTGTGAGTATCTCAAAAAACCTTGCCTGATCGTACAACTGACCATGACAAAGTACCTGGAATGATCATGTCACCGGCGCAGCAATCGACTACTACGAGATGGAGCTGAAACCCTTCACGAAGCAGATCTACCCAGATTTACCAGCAACCGAATTGGAAGGCTATGATGGAATGTCACCTGGACCAACTTTTGCTATGCAACGCGGAACGGGCAAGTACTCCAGCAGTCGAATGTCCTTGAATGCTTAGACTGATAATGGTGTCACAGAAGCGGTGGTCAGATTTATCAACCATGCTTCATCCAACATGACTGTCCATGTTCACGGACAGTTCAACCGCGCACCCTTTGATGGATGGGCTGCTGATTACGCATTGCCCGGCCAGTACAAGGATTATTACTATCCCAATGCCCAAAGTGCCCGCACAATCTGGTATCACGTATGTTGACGCTATGAATTGGTACCTAACATACAATCATGGGAATGCTAAAGTTTTATAGGATCACATGGAGCATCATGCGGCCGACAATGCATATCACGGCCAGGAAGGTGCCTACCTCATCTCGGACCCCGAAGAACAGGCTTTCAATTTCCCAAGCGGCAAATACGATATTCCATTGATCATCACATCGAAATCGTATAATTGGGACGGTTCGCTTAAATGGGATACTTTCGGCGATGTTATTCAAGTGTAAGAAAATCCGCAAACCACTCTATTGCGCCACTGACTTGCCTAGAAATGGTCAACCATGGCCATTCCTCAACGTGGAACCCCGTAAATATCGATTTCGCATGCTGAATGGAGCAATCAGCAGAGGTACTTTTGTCCTAGGCCTTGTGAAATGCTACATACTGACTGTGTAGCCCTTGCGATCTCTCTACGAGAAGGTTTAGATGGAGACGAAATGGAATATCAAGTGATCGCCTCTGATGGCGGTATGTGTCCACTGACCCACAAAGTACTGCTTTTACTAATAGATCAGGTCTTTTCTCTCATCCAGTCACCACCAGCGATATTGCGTTGTCCCAGGGCGAACGGTACGAGCTAATCGTCGACTTCACCAACTATGCCGGGAAAAACATCACGATGCTCAACGAGCGCGACGTGATAGACACAATCGACTTCCCCGCTACCGACAGAATTATGCGATTTGTTGTCGGTGACTCGATGACTGACATTACTAACAACGAGGAAATCCCTCACTTTTTCCACGATATTCCGATGGTTCCCGGAAACGCAACAGTCGAAAAATCCTTCAGCTTCACGCGCAGAAACAATCGAGGATGGCTTATCAATGGTGTTGGTTTCTCTGACATTAGAAATCGTATTCTGACCGCACCCATGCGTGGATCGGAGGAGATCTGGACGCTCACCAACGGCGCATTGAGTGGATCACACCCCATTCACATACATTTGGTAGAGTTCCAAGTCATCTCTCGTACTGGAGGCCGGAATTATGTTGCGCCTTACGAGTCTGCGGGCATGAAAGATGTGGTTTGGTTAGCGCCAGGTGAGACCGTGAAGGTTCTTGCTCGTTATGCGCCATGGCCTGGAATCTAGTGAGTACCACACCGCAGCGCCAATACGAGTAGACAGTTCAAGCTAACCATGCTCAGCATGTTTCATTGTCACAACCTCATTCATGAAGACCACGACATGCTCGTCGCTTTCAACGTGACTCAGCTTAGTGAATGGGGATACACAGACGATGCCATCTTCATCGATCCCATGGAGCCACAGTTCCGACCAACATGGTACGATGCTGCAGCTGAGACAGAGGCAGCCATTAAGTCGAAGATCGCATGGTTATACGGCAAGGATCCTTACAACAAGGGGGATATCAAAGGTGTTTGGCAAGCATTGAGTAGTATGACCTCGTGGGCAGCTAAGCCAACAGACCCACCCAATCCATCGTCCAGTTCGTGCAGTAGCACGCTCACAGCAACTGTCAGAAAGACAGTGTATGCGCCTGAACCTACCCAGGCACCCGCCCCACAAGATGATCATTGGAATGAGGATGTCCGGAAAGGAGACAACTGGATCGATGTGGCCGAGGCAGACCGCTGGTATAACGCAAACCACGGGCAAAAAGGAGGCCCGCCGCTATGATCTCCAGATGAGGTTTTGGTTCTACTGTTGTTTTTCACAATACCCATTTTCGTAATTACTTAGCCATTTAATACAAATTAATACATTTCTTCTGCCATAAACAGCCCAGGTTAGCCACATCAATGGAATATTGTGTTTGCCGAGTTCAACTTGACATGGCAGATGTCGATATTAGTCACTACATAGTCAGATCAACAGAACACTATGCATGCGCTTGCCACGATGTTACTATGTGATGATCGAACACGCCGGCTGTGCGACTATAGCGTGTCATATTGGACTTTGCATTGATACTAAGAATTTGACCCTGCAGGATAGCACAGTAGATTGCGACCGAGAGCCAGACTTTGACCGGAAGCAAGGTTATGTTGGGCCTCAACGTAGGCGGAGTTCGTTCCCGTAGGCGACTCAACAGCAACTCGACACGAATGCGGAACATGACGCTACAATCAGCGCTACCAAACATACAGAACAATTACTAGATTTCTCATGACTCTATGAGTAAGCTAGAGGTATGGTCGGGTGTTGCATCCCTGGCCCGGTGCCGAAAGCAGAACCCCTTTGGTGAAACCTTTTTGTCCTCGCCTACTTTTTGTCCTCGCCTACTTTTTGTCCTCGCCTACTTTTTGTCCTCGCCTACTTTTTGTCCTCGCCTACTTTTTGTCCTCGCCTACTTTTTGTCAAATCATTTTTATCTCTCAAGGAGAACGAAACTTCTCCAAGTGGCAGACGTGGACAAAACCTGATCCACTGAGTTACTCAGCGCTTATTGATTGATGACGAGGGAGCTATGGTACGTTCACTACTATTTTAAGCTTCTTGTACTGGCAAATGTTAGTTGCGCGCAATTTACACATTTCAAGCGTCCCGCGCTCTTAGTGTACGCTTTCTGGCGTCGAACTATATATCGCCAATGCTGATGTGAGCCCCATTTTGCAGCAGTGGCCAGCCCACACTGATTCCGATATCCATTTCTACTTTCGGCATGACGAAGCGGGGATTGTGAGCATCAGCACCCGTAAGAATAACTCCAATCGTGTCGCATCTGAAGAACCATAGGCGGATGGTAGACACTGGATAGTCTGCGCCTTCAAATTTGAAATAGAGCAGGTCGGAACAAAGTAAGTGCCCAGGTCACGGGTGGGTTAAACGCTTGCTCGCAATCGAATTCACACTGATAACCCCATATTCGCCGTTTGGCATGACATTGACAAGCGCGCGACGTTAGAGAGAGGCGGGATGGGATCGTTCTAATGATTGGAGTTCACCTTGCATGTGCGCTGCTGTCACTCGTACATTAACGATTCGATCACTTTCGTGTACGTTTGTCGAGCGAAACATACGAGCCCGCAAGGCCCCCCCAGGATTCACGCCGACCTATCAGAAGTCGAATGTGAGGCTTGACGTGAAACTTTCGCCTCTTAGAGGATTAGTCTCGCGTTACAGAGTATCACTGACCACCGACTTGAAACTTTCGCGGAAACAACACCATATGACCCGTTTTGCGACCGCAAGGCTCACGACGGGTTGTAGGAATAAAAATCTCATCATATCTTTTGCTCATATTTATACACAGCAAGAACAAAGCGAAATGGTTGACATCAAGTATTTGGGGGTCTGGCACAGATGGTGGGGTTTTCGGATTCCAATCTGATGAAACGCACCGAGTCAGTGCAAAGGTTGGCCTATTCTTCTCACCAAGTGTAAGTGAGGCACAACATCGCTACGAAAAACTAGCTCCTTCTTCACTGGGCACGAAGGGGAATATTTCTCATTCGGGGTATCGCGTCGTGTTTGGAGTCAAACGTACCCACAGGAGCGGGATTTCCACACGAGTGTGCTATGGCCAACGATCAGGCCTACCACGGGTCAAGGCACTAGGTAGGATTATGGCAGGATGTTCCTCGGGAACACACGAGTAAGCATTCGTACATAACGCTGATTGTCCCTGTGAGCTCGATATGAGCTACCCGCTTTCTTAATATACCTTTGGGCAGCTGGTCTGGCATCAAACGGGAACGGGTGGAGTACGCCGTTGACAATATTCTCATAACCTATTTGTATTCGACCAAGCAATCAATACTGAGGCTCTTTAATATTCCCGAAATGAGATAAGGTATACGCTATCAAACACGCCGTCGATTCCAATCCAGATAAATCTACCATGAGCCCGAAGCCATATGGCGATGCATACGCACGAGCATCCACAAAGTACGACGCGGACGATACTGCTTCGATTCTCTCCATGACCGAGACCTTACAATATTCGCAGTATCAGGCATACCACCCAGGGCATGAGCGTAACATCCCATCCAACAGTACAGACGCAAGTCGGCCACCATCATGGATTCTTTCTGCCATGAATCTTCAGCAGTCTCTACCACCAGAGCAGATGGCGGACCCTCCTTCACCTTCCATTTCTGAGCCAGAGCGTTCGCCAGGGATGAGACCATCGATTTTTGGAACAAGAGACTTGCCTCAAATACCGTACCAGGAGTCTGTTGCATGGGCGAACTCGACACGCTTTAAATCTACAGCCGAGGATCGAGCTCCCATAGGGACAATCCAAAAGCTCGAACCTACGAACATCAATCATTTTCAGCGGGAAACTTATGTGCGAAAAGACTCTCGGCAATACTTTAGGAGTCCTCGCCACATAAACGAGCCTTGGAAGTCCGGGACGTGGAAAAGATTTCCAATATGGGGATTCGGCGCTCTCTTCATGGTCTTACTATGCAAGTTTATAGCAGTCTCGACGCAAACTGTGAGCAGTAGACTAACTAATGCGCAGTCACTGGAGCATCTATCGGTATCCTTGTTGGTAGCAACGGCAAAACAAATGAGGACTGGAAGATTGGAGGTGACAACGCTCAGCCTCAAGTTTACCTTTCCGTTTTCGAGATGGTCATGAATCTCCTCACCTTTTTCGCTCTGGCAGATGGCATGGTAATAAGGTACTGGTGCCAGCTACTACATGGTACCACAGTGAGTCTTCCCAGTAATGTCGACCCTCTCGACCTATTCCCTCTTTCCTGTATCCCTATCATTGACTAATCCGATGCTCAGCTCTCCGCTATGCACGATACCTACGAATCCGCACAGATCTGGCCAGCCATGAAGCGAATCGCAACGCTGCGGTGGAACGGCGTAGCAGTTGGTAAGTTACTCAAACGCACTCAAACGCACCCACAAGCACACACCTACCCCATCAAATCGCTACTAACGACTCTCCACACAGCCTGTGTATCAACCGTTGTATCTCTAGCCCGTGGGCCCTTGTTCCAACGTGCCGTAACCATGACTCCATCGAAAACCTCCCTTCCAACATATACCATCCACGTACCACTCATTGCTGTTGGTACCTTCCTCTCGTTCCTGAGCGTTATTGCCATTGCTCCTCTCTATCAAGGTTTCTGGCAGTTAGGCCGGCCCGTAAGCCTGAACCCTCTGGAGATCGCGCGGGCGTTTGGTGCACCGTTGTTGAAGGGACTGGACGCGAACGCGACGCCGGAAATGATGACGGTGGAGCGCGGTGGGATGGGTATCAAGTATGGGACACTGGAAAGGTATGGCGAGGGCAAGGATTTGAGGATCGAGGAGATGAGTCGGACGAATATCCGGATGCCTTGGGAAGGGGAAATCTTTGTTTGATATACCCCCCGATATGGATGATCTGATGGCTGGGTACATCAAAGCCAAAAGTGATATTATTTGAGGCAGTCTTCAACTTTTCATGCGGCATAGGGACTTTGTGAGACTTTTTGTTCTTGGTGTATTGTCTCTGTCTTTGATGTGAACCCATATAAGCGCACCCAGCAAAGGTGCTCCTAGAAGAAAATGAAGCTTACATACACAACGTCAATTTCTACAGAAAAAAGAGGAATCACAACAATCACCAAAGTCGATTCAGCCCCTCAGCCATCAGGAATTTGCCCAAGACTTCCATCCACCGACCCAACAAACCCGAGTCAGGTGAGTGGGGCGTGTCGGATCCTTCGAATCCTTCCACCCTTCTTGTGTCCTTTGTCGCAACACGAAGACCCCGCACAATCTCGTGTACCATTGTTGCCCTCGACAGCCTCCGCCTCCTTCGCTTGCAAGAGATTGCGGTGCCATTTTAGCATTTTGAGACTTGTGTAGTTATGCATACCCTCATAGAATCTAGAAGAGAACTTGACAAAATGGGATCAACCAAGATTGGCTTTCTCAATGCTAGTAGCTTGATTCGTGCGTATGATTTCATTTATGTCACTGCCTTCATATGACTGAAAAATGTATAGTCTATCGTTAACTTCGAGTATACCAATTAACGCTTATGATGACAGTAGGGTGCCAGTGTCATGATGATCTTGCAGTGGTGAACAATGATAGAAAAGGTATCAATTACATCAAAATCGTGAACTTACTGAAAGGTATCGAGAAACTACAACTAGAATAAGAAATCATGGGGACTCGAAAGGAACTTGAAAGCGCAGAATCATAACTCATGACACTGACGTTTGGTTTCGTCACGCAGGATCTTGCACTCATTTGTCCTTGTGCCCAATATGGAGCTTCTCTTTCAGCTTATGCATCTTGGACACTTTGTCTTTACCCGGGCTTCCAGGTGACGCATCGGTTCCGCCCTCCATGTTTCCCTTCTCATCGCGATGGATGCCTTTTTGCTCAAGGAGACCTGTGATCATGTCAGCCCTGCTCAAGACATTGCCTACTGTGGCGGCAGCTTTGGGTAACGTACGGTCGGCCTCCCTTCCAGCACCGGGCTTGCTGGCGTCAAAATCGCCACCATCAGTAGCAAGGCCAGTGGACTTGACGTGCTTCTCGCCGGTACCTTTGGGCTCTGTACCGTGCTCCTGGCCACCGGGGTTGCCAACCTTGGACTCGCGGCGCTCTTCCTGGGTAGCTGGCACGTCACCGGGAGCGTTGTGCATTCGCATGGGCTCACCGGAGTGATCGTTGGGGTCTCGCTTGTGCATGGTAGCCTCAGCATCCTCCTTCTTTGCCTTCACAGCCTCAACTCCTGTAGAGTCGGGGGCATGGTGCGGACGGTCCGCACCCTGCTGTGTTTCGGGATGAACGGCACCAGAAGACGGAGCTACACCTGTATTCTTGGAAGATTCCGAAGGCACGATGTCACTTCCCTTGGGCTCGTATTTCTGAGCTGAAGCACCTGTGACACCAGTACCCTCCGTGTTCTCAAGAGGCTTTGGTTCTCCCTCCAGCGCCGATGCTGTCGGGTTCGTTGGGATCTGTGATTTGGAAGGCTCGTCAGCCTTTACTGGATCGATGGCGGTGGACGGCGTCGGTTCATGGAGGGCGTCGGTTTCAGGAGCTTTGGCGGTTCGGATGGGTAGTTCCGTGGTCTTGGGCTCGATGGTGTTGGTGGTAGAGGGTGCAGAAACGTCGAGCTTGCTAGCCTCAGTCCCAACTGCGGTGTCGGTACGATCCACCTTGCCAACGGGGTCCGAGGGGTTTGCTTGATTTGGGAAATCTAGTCAGTCTTGGTGCGGGGCCATAGGATCACAACCATCATGACGTTCAACAGTGGAAGCTACTGCGCTGGGGGTGATGGTTGTGAAGGATTGACTTACGGGCATTGCCTTGATCATACGGCTCTGTGGCTGTACCTTTGCCTTGCAAGCCAGAGACAGGCTCGCTGCCACCGGTCTCATTGGCGGTGGTGGCAGTCTGGTCTCCCCAGATGGCTTTGCTGGCCGTGTTGACGACAGTGCTGATGGTTTCCATTGCGAAGTGTGGGAAGGGGTGGGTTTCCGAGGTGGTGAGAGGAAGTGATAGCGTGGTTGTGGACACAAAAGATGACGGCCACGAGGGTTTAAAGGACGAGGGTTTAGGCCTCGTGTGACGTCTTCCCCAGCCGTCTACAGCGTCCAGGTACGGGAACAACGAACGTCATGGCGGGGCGCTTGGCTGGGCGTCGGTCGGTAGCCAATCAAACAGAAGGTCGAGATTGCAGGTGTCGATTGATCAGGGCACGGATTCGATTGTGGAATCTTGGAATTGATGAAGAATTGCTTTTCCTGCCTTGAATCAAACGGGGGTTGGGGGCGTCGTCTTGAATTGAAGCCAAATATAGACTTACGTCATTAGCCTTAGATAAGCAAAGTGCTGACTAAGTCAACCATGTCGAAGATGCCTACATGTAAGGGCAAGATTGGATCTCGCGTTAATTGCGACCGAGCTATGCGGTGCATCAACGACAATTGCTGGATCTATACCTGATGTTGGTCATTGTTGAGGAGTTTCTACATCAGGTACGCGTGTTCGCCTAGTTCAACGGTCAATTGATTGATACATGCAGAGATTCCTCCACGTTTCTCCCCAGCTAGACAGACAGCCCGACCCCACACGGCCTTGGCTTTTCTCCAATACACGCATCCCTGTGTATGAGAGATAGGCTAGTAGCGCGCCTTCCTAATCCGACGCCGGAATATCGAACGAAAGTGCATGCATGCATGACCAGAACGGATGAATACCTGACGGGTACCGGTCAAATCCCCCGTGGAGCCGACGACGACGACGGTATCTTGCGTGTACACTCGTCAGCCTGTACAGCACAGAGTACCTGCCGTCAGTCTGCATTGACTTGGCAGACCGAAATGCATGGAGCCGTCTGTTCCTGAGTCCAGCATTCGCTGCCTACTGTATAACTCGAATTCCACCTCTAGAGATTCGGTATACAACTCCAATTAGCAGTGGATGGTTCGGGACTTGGAATTCCCCACACGCACTCGCGCTGAGAACAGAACACAGCGTGAACCAAGCTTGCTTCGATGTCTATTCTCCTGGGATCCAGCTAAGGGTCCTGGCTGGTCTCCACCCGTCTGAATGTTTGCATCTCTACACCACCACTTGCAAGTAGTACAGGAGCATTTGGCTTCTGTCCAAAGAGTATTTTCGGCCTTGTTTGTACATCTTCACATGGTTCGGCTCTGGGGATTCTGCTCCACAGCCGAGGCACCTTCCTTGGTGTTATGCTGCAGGTACTACTTGGGCATTGAAGGCTCACAGCCACGGTCCCTTCACTAAACTACAAGAATCTGGAGAAGTGTGCGATGCCTCGTTACCCCGCGATCTATTCCACAGAATCTAAGCACTTTTCGGGCAACACCTCCGTCCATCGCCCTCACTGACTGTAGCCCCCGGCTGATGTCGATTCCATCCTATGCTTCCCTCTTGGCCAATGCGTCCGCACTCGCCCGTACCTGACTGAATTCGAACAGGTCAACAAGCCTATCCAGTAGAGACAGTAGACAAGCTCCCCTTCGCATGAGACCAATTTCTTCATACATACAAATTTCCGCCGCCGTTGGACACTGATGAGGGTCAGCTTTTAATAGCGACGGGCGCATAAGGACGGGGAAGCCCAAACCACCGATCTGCGAAGTGGCGCCCGTAACAACCGGAGCGCGGTGAGAGGCCGCTCTTTGATTCGCTCGCTCTGCTCCTGCTCTATCCTCATGACCCCCCAATCCAACAACCACTGAAAGCAAGTCTCAGTCACTTTATCATTCCCGTCCCCTTTCTGCTAATCATAATCATACCTCCATACCTCCATGCCCCTGGAGATCTCGGCATTTGTAGGCCATGATAGGTCAATGCGGCCTCAGTCGCGCTGACAACCATTCCACCCCCAGAGTTGAGCACTCTCGGTTCCCATGCACCATGCCTGCAATCATGCACTTCTCCATGGGTATATCTGCATCCACGGAGACATGGGCACTTGCTTCTAGTCATCAACTTCTGTTCCTTCAGTCACCTGGGCTTTCTTTCTTTCTTTCTTTGTGCTTTTGTTCAACCGAGGCGTGCAGGAATCGATATACCGATACACTAGGGGGGCTTGTGATTTCTCCAGCCAAGGGATACAGTCACATATAAGAACGGCGTGAACGAACGACTGTACCATTGGGATTATCATCGCTGTATCGGTGCATCAAATCACCAAGCTTCTGATCTTTTCGTCGTCATCATGAAGGTTCTCGCCCTCCTTTCGTTCCTACCTCTTGCCTTTGCTGCACCAGCTGAGGTGGATAAGAGAGCGGGTCCCACTGTCGTTGCTCCCTCTCCGCAAGCCACAGTCGCTGGGAAGTCGCTTTTGAACGTAGAGTCCTTCAATGGCATTCCTTTCGCTCAACCTCCCACTGGATCACTTCGCCTCAAGCCGCCACAGCCACTGACATCTGCCCTTGGCAATGTCGACGGAACCAAGATACCAAAAGCATGCCCACAGTTCTTCTTCAGTATCGATGGATCCAACTTCCCCACCAACGTTCTCGGGCAGATCCTCAATCTGCCAATCCTCCAGGTGGCAACGAATGCCGGTGAAGATTGCCTTACCATCAACGTCCAACGCCCAGCTGGGACTAAACCTGATGCTAAACTTCCTGTACTTTTCTGGATTTTTGGCGGTGGGTTTGAACTTGGATCCACCCAGATGTACGATGGCACATCTTTGGTGCGAGAGTCAGTGGAGAACGGAAAACCCATTATTTTCGTTGCAGTCAACTACCGTGTTGGCGGTTTCGGCTTCTTGCCTGGCAAAGAAATCCTCCAAGACGGATCCTCCAATCTGGGACTTTTGGATCAGCGTCGCGGCTTGGAGTGGGTGGCTGAGAACATAGCTGCATTTGGAGGAGATCCAGACAAGGTGACCATCTGGGGTGAGAGCGCAGGATCCATCTCGGTCCTCGACCAAATGGCCATGTACGACGGCGACAACACTTATAAAGGCAAGCCGCTCTTCCGCGGGGCCATGATGAACTCGGGCTCCATCGTCCCCGCCGCGCCCGTTGATGGTACAAAGGGACAAACCGTCTACAACATGGTAGTCGAAAAAGCCGGCTGCTCGTCCTCACCCGACACGCTTGCCTGCCTGCGTTCCGTCTCCTACACCACCTACCTCAACGCCGTGAATAGCGTGCCAGGCCTTCTCTCCTACTCATCCGTGTCTCTGTCCTACCTTCCCCGCCCAGATGGTAAGATTCTAACAGCATCCCCGGACGCCCTGGTCGCTGCCGGCAAATACGCCAAAGTCCCCTTTATAGTCGGCGACCAAGAAGACGAAGGTACCCTCTTCGGCCTTTTCACGCCCAACCTCACCACGACAGCCGACGTCACCGACTACCTTGCCACGGTCTTTTTCCCAGACGCACCCAAAACTACCCTTGCGTCGCTCGTCGCATCCTACTCCACCATCACAGAGTATGGCTCGCCCTTCCGTACTTCCCTCCTGAACAATTGGTACCCTCAGTTTAAGCGCGTCAGCGCCCTCATCGGTGATATTACCTTCACACTCACGCGCCGCATCTTCCTCGAAACCGCCCAAGCCGTCAACCCGGACGTGCCCTCGTGGTCCTACCTCTCCGTCTACAACTACGGCACCCCCATCCTCGGCACCTTCCACGGCTCCGACATCCTGCAGGTCTTCAATGGCATTTTGCCCAACAATGCGAGGGCGAGTATCCGTGGGTACTACTACAGCTTCATCCATGACCTCGATCCGAACAAGGGAAGCAACCTGCCCGAGTGGCCTAGGTGGAGCACGTCCCAGGAGTTGATGACTTTTGGCGCGAATTCGAACAGTTTGCAAAAGGATGACTTCAGGCCGGCGCCATATAATGTTTTGAAGACGAACATCAACAACTTTTACATTTGAGCTGAGATGACGGGAGACACCTTTGCGAGCCGAGTTTAAGGGGGTGCATGTTCCCTCTGCTCGTTCCCTCTGCCGAAACGACGACGATGACGACGATACGAGGACAAGAAGGCAACAGTGCGACGACGATGATATCATGCATTTTTATGCTTCTTCTTCTATTATCCTGAACGGAAAAGCATCATGTACATACTTCTTCATGTAGATACCTTTTTTGCTGTTTAATCATTAATCCCGTAATCAAACATTTGCATAATCAGCGACCTCACAAGTGGCTTTTGCTGCACAGTAGTGTATATATCATAAAATTTGCTGCTTGGTAAGTCTAACCAACGGCTGGAAAATATTTTGCTCTATACGCTGGGAATTATATCAAACACAGGGTTCTGTACATTGATCGCGTGCACATGTACATAAGTGGCAGGACCTTCTTTTTCTGGCTGGAGCAGAGTCGGGGCTTGTCGGTGGTTATTGCTGGCTCAGCATGTGCTTGAATTTCTCAATCTGTGTGCGTACGTAGATATATGGTTAGTTCAGGAATGCAAATTTCGGGTTGCGAAGATGGGCAAATTGTAAGGAGAGATTGCACTAGAGGATTTGGTGATGGAAAGTAGAAGCAGAATCCCAGCAACACGGGGGAAAACAGAACTTACCTTGGTACTCAAATACTTCTCCACCTCCTCACTCTTGATGCCAGTTTTACCCCCAGTCTTCCACGCCAGCGGCACCATGGCCACCCTCTCTCTGACCACAACCTCCCTACCCGGACCCTCTACCGCACGCACCTTATCCGGATTATTCGTCAGCAATCGAATCCCCCTTTCGCCACCCAGACCCAAGTCCATTAACATGGCCGTGGCAAGACCGTAGCTTCTAGCATCAGCAGGGTGTCTGAGCATGACGTTGGCCTCGTAAGTATCGTTGCCGAGATCCTGGAGGTTGTACGCTTTGAGCTTCTCGCCCAGGCCGATGCCGCGGCCTTCTTGGCGCAGGTAGATGATGGCGCCGCCAGTGGGCGATAGGTGGACGTCTGACATGAGGCGCGCGGCCTCGTCGAGCTGCTCGCCGCAGTCACAGCGCGCGGACCATACTGTCTCGCCTGTGTAGCATTCCGAGTGAATGCGCACGAGGGGAAGGTCGAGCGAGGAAGATTCAACGTCGCTGTCGGAGGTGGGTGAGGCAGGGGAGGAGGAGAGGGACGGGGTGTCGCTCGTACTAGGAGCGGTGGAGGGCGGCTGGGATTGTTGCGGAGCGAGGGGCTTGGTGGGGATGCCTTCCGCTTTTTTGATCTGCTCTATGCGCGAGCTCGTTCGTCCTGGGTATAAACGTCCCACGTAAGCCCCTCGGGTCATGCGGTCGAGTTCGGTTTCGCCAGGTCGCTCACGATCTAGGCTGTGGCTTCTGATCTGGTTTCCGAAGACGATTGCGAGATGTTCCTTGGTGTCTACATTGTTTCGATACACATGTAGCCACATCTCCTGGCCGGTTGTCGTGGGTATGCGTGCGCGCACAGCGCACTCCACCACCGGAAGCTCCTCGAGCAATTCGGGCCTTGGGGCATCGGATGGAAGAGACGTGTCTATGGGTATAGAGCGCGGAGGGCGGGGAGTGGATGTGCCGGGGGTGGCGGGTGGTGTGAAAGCGGGGGAGATCAGAGAGGGCGGAAGGTCGGAGCGGCGAGCTTGAGGAGCGGTCAAGTTGTCTTGGTCATGCACTCTTTCGAGTTCACGGTCGGAAGGCCCGAGTGTGAAGCTGTTGTCTTTCTCGATGTGTGGTGAATAAAGCGGGGGCAGAGAGGATGGCGGCAGGGGCGATGAGTCCTTCATTTTCATGTGTTTCTTTTCAGAAGTGCGCGAGGTTCGAGGAAAGTAACTAATGCAGGGACAATGGCCGAATGCGCAAAGAAGAAAGGGCAAACGGGGAGGAGCAAGCAAAGAAGAAGAAAAAGAGCGAGAAGGCGTATTGTTGGTCAAGTAATCGAGAGAAGTTTATGCTCAAGCAATGACATTGTTGCGGATCACTAGGGATATGTAATGCGGGACGAATCTCCTTCCGAGGCTTGCGGTAATCCCGCGCGCAAACCTCCGGCCAAGCGCCGATATAGGTGGATTGGGTAAGCAATTCAAAGCAACTGTCACCGAAATGTGGAATGGCTGTGGCCCGCGTCAGTTGGGAATGTTCTTGGTGCTGTGATTCCTCTATTTGATCCAATCTTCCTATCTGCTCATTCGCTCATGCCTCGACAATTTGCGCTCTCTGATCAAACAGTCCGGCTTCAATCTACTCGTCGCTCCCTTCCCCAAACCTCATCAGCGTTCTTCTTGCCTTTCGTTTCAGGCACGAACCAGCCGATGAAGAGGAAAAAGAAGGCGGATAATGCGGCGAAAATAAAATAGACCTTGCCGTGCAATTTCGCGCTCGCCAAAGGGAAGAATTGAGCAACAAGAAATGTGGCGATCCAATTCGCGGCGAGGGCAATACTCTGCGTCGCGCCAACAGCTTCTGGCCCTACAAGCTCGGCTGAGAGGATGAATGGAACGGGGCCCAATCCAAGAGCAAAGCTAGATACAAAAAGAAGGACTGCAATGGCCGAAAGAACAGGCACGTGATTGATAATGCCAAAAGCCAGCAAAAGCGAGCTGGTGCCCATTCCAGCTAACGACTGGAGCAGGCAAGTCTTGCGACCCAGTTTATCGACAAGAGGTGCGCACGCGGCAGTGAAGATGATGTTGACCGCCGACACGGCGAGGTTTAAGAGTGCTGAATTCGACTCGAGCAGATCCGCTAATAGAGAGACGCCATACATGACGATGCTGTTTATACCTGCAATTTGACATGTCAGCATTTCACTAGGAAACCTTTCAAAGTTATTGCGTACCACTGAGTTGTTGGGCCAACATGACCATGATGACTGCGATTGCGGCCTTCTTATAGTCAGGGTGACGAAGGACCTGGCCAATACTCATGGCCTCTTCTCTCTGCTGATTCTTTGGTGTCACTCGCTCGCGGTCCTCGTCACCGAGCAATGTTTGCTCTTCGTCTGCCGCTGGAATTAATATTGTTGTGGGGAGGGATTATACTTCAGACTCACCAGCGTCATCCATACCATCTTTCTGCCAGTCACTGATCTCTTCGTCGATGTCCGCGCCTTCACCCCTGATCTTACGAAGAATTCTCTTCGCTTGGGTACCGTTGCCTTGCTCAGCAATATACTTGGGGCTCTCTGTGGACAAGAGAAGACCAAGACTCTGCACCATACCGATGACACCTCCGGCAGCTAGTATGATCCTCCAATACTGTCCGTGACTCAAGAAGTAGCCAAGCAACTGAGTGACGAGAATGCCAACGTTGCACATGATCTGTGTAAAGGCACCGAAGAAGCCCTTCTCCGCTGGAGGAGCAATCTCAGAGATGTAAATGGGAACAACCACAACAGAAGCTCCAGCTCCCACACCGGACAGCAGTCTTCCAAACGACATGACGCCAATGTTTGGCGAAAGTGCCTCGAAAACGGGGCCGAGGATGAAGAAGACGGTGGTGATCTGCATCGTTCTTCTACGACCATATTTTCCAGCCAACGGCCCTGCAGAGAGGGCTCCGATCAGACCTCCAAGTGTATACGTCGACCCCACAACGCCCCATTGGGTTGGAGTCATCTCAATGCATTGCGGGAGGGTGGCGGCGGCAGCGCGAATAGAATCTTTCTTGCAGCGGATTACATCTTCGGGTGCGTTCAGTTCGGCCTGGCGATGTTAGCTGGCATACATGGACGTGCGACCAGCTGGCAATGTGAATGACGAACCAAGTGGAAGCCGAAGAGCAATGGCCCCAGGGTCGCGATGAAGAGGACGTAGACGAAGTATGGAGTGAGATGGCTGAACCATGTCCGAGGGTCCATGGTAGCGGGCGCCATGTCGGCAAGGGAGGATTTATCGTAGGGTGTTTGGTGGGGACAGTGCTGCCGGGTTGGTGAGGGCAAGGGAAGGCAGATTGGCTGCGGAGGTTATGTAGTCTGTTAGCACTCAAGTGAGGGTTTGCGGCCGCGGCATATGTGGGCGTTACGCCATGATGACACCAACACCAAGACGCACCTGCACCGCACAGAAGACAGACAGACAGTCTTGTCGTGTACTTTGTAATCGAAGTATTGTCGGATGGGGTAAAACGACGTGGATGGGCGCAGAGTGTTCCCTCAATGGAGCATCACGAGCAAGCGTCTTCAAGCCAGCAAGTGGAGCGGGATCCGTGGTGGACGGTTGGACGGTGGGCGCTGGGCGACACGAGATTCAGGACGATGAGGCTCTGCGGGGGATCTGCTATCTTCCTACATAATACCTACATACCATCCTATATATCGTCTCCCTATCCTATCCCATCCCATCCTAGCCGCCGATGGTGCACATCGACAGCTGATGCGCTATCTGTCTTATATTTGCATGTACATAGGTAGATATCCTCGACCTGGCTCACCTGCATCGTGCATCAACTGCCAGCTTCAAGGGTCCTCCGCCGTCATCAGCGCTCCACGTCGACCCGCTTCGGCGCGACTGCTCCACTTCGACTCCCGCCGCGAGCTGGCCGGGCTCGATGCGCCATTCCATCTGCCGAAAGCGAGAGCGGGCGGAAAGGCGCTGAGAAATCGTAACAGCAATAATAATGCCGGGCAGCGATGCTTCGTCCTCCCAGAATCCCCCTTCCACGGGCGACGGGCCTCCATCAGCACCTGCCTCCGCCCGAGCCGCATCGCGGAACAGTGGTGTGCCTCCACCAACCATCAACGGTCCGTCTTTCCTCCTTTTGCCCATCGCCTACATACACACACATATATACATACATGCACATTTGGTTGTACAGACCTATCCATCCATTCATGTACCGGGACATCTCTGCCATGACCATGCAGGCCTGCACTTGCTGTACCACTGTGCAATCCCTTTCCGTTTTTTTCTTTTGGGGCATGACTGTCTGCATGCACTGCTTTTGTTGTTGTTCCTGAACTGTAGAGTTGCTTCCATCCACCTGTCTGTTCCCGCGCGCCTTACTTTCCCCATCATCGCTCCCTACTGGCCACCGCCCATCATCCCGCCGCTCCCGGCCATCTCGCACAGTCCATCAGTCGACTCCTCCCTGTTGATTTCCCGCATCGTCCATTACACAATCCATTATCTTTCCCTTTCCACCCGTCTTGCCGCCGCAGCAGTCGATGGGCTATCTATTGGGCATGTGGAATTCGTGATCCACGCTAAACTTCAACGTCCGCAGATACAACCGACTCCACTCAAACCATGTTTTCCGGGTACAACACTAAAAAGCGAGTCAATGAGCGCTACAAGATTGTTGGTTTCATTAGCAGTGGTACCTACGGCCGTGTCTACAAAGCAGAAGGCAAAAATGGTCGTGTGGGTGAATTCGCTATTAAAAAGTAAGCTCATCACGCCTCAACGGCACACCGAGCCTGCGAGCTGACATGACCAGATTCAAGCCGGACAAAGAGGGCGAGCTTCAATACTCTGGCATCTCACAGTCTGCCATTCGGGAAATGGCCCTATGCACCGAACTGGCACACCCCAATGTTGTACATACGGTCGAAATTATCCTAGAAGAGAAGTGCATCTTCATTGTGTTTGAATATGCAGAACACGATTTGCTGCAGATCATACACCATCATAACCAGCCCCAGCGCCAGGCCATTCCCGCAAAGACCATCAAATCAATTCTCTTCCAGCTCCTGCAGGGTCTAGTTTACCTCCACAGGAACTGGGTCATGCATCGGGATCTCAAGCCCGCCAATATCATGGTCACGAGTGCCGGTAAAGTCAAGATTGGCGATCTCGGTCTGGCGAGGCTCTTTTATAAGCCATTGCAATCATTGTTCTCCGGTGACAAAGTCGTAGTCACCATATGGTATCGCGCGCCCGAACTGTTGCTGGGAAGCCGTCATTATACGCCAGCCGTTGATCTGTGGGCTGTGGGCTGTATCTTCGCTGAGCTGTTATCACTGCGACCCATATTCAAGGGAGAGGAAGCGAAGATGGATAGCAAAAAGACGGTACCGTTCCAGCGTAACCAGATGCAGAAGATTGTGGAGATCATGGGTATGCCAAGTAAGGACCGATGGCCACTGTTGACCGCCATGCCGGAATACCCACAGCTCTCATCCCTGGCTGCGAGCAACGCGCGATTCCATCGACCGCAAGGACTGGAGACCTGGTACCAGACTTGCCTCAAGAACAACCAATATCCTCCCGGGTCTGGTCCTGATACACCTGGGCCGGAAGGGTTTTCTCTTCTTCAGCAACTTCTCGAATACGACCCCCAAAAGCGGCTGACAGCTGAGAACGCATTGCAGCATCCATATTTCACTGCGCATGACAGCAAGCCTTCGGAAAGTTGCTTCGAGAACTCCAAGATAAAATACCCAGTGCGACGCGTGAGCCAAGAGGACAACGACATCCGCACGTCAAGCCTGCCCGGCACCAAGAGGTCCGGATTGCCAGACGACTCTTTGATTGGAAGACCCGCGAAGAGATTGAAAGAAGGATAATATCTCAGCTTCTTTTTGGTCAGTCACTGGGTATATCATCATACGAGCTTCATGGAGATGATGCACCTGCCGACACGAAGGGGCAAACATGACGTCTTTTCGATATGTCTATATGCTTGTCACTGCTACTGCACCATTATCGAACCTCTCCTGAACACGAACGGGCCCCGTTTAGACCTTTCTGGTTATATCCAAGTGCGGATTTGACTTTGCCAGCTAGCGATGCTGTCGCACTTTGGCTCTTGATGAACTTGGGGTTATTCAGACCGTGTATAATAGAAAAACGGGCGTTTGAGCGCAAAGCGGGGTTGGAAAAGTATTCACATGATGGGTCGATTGATCGATATCAACTTGGACTGTGACGGGGGCGTAGTTCCGGTTGATGATTGTGCACTCTTGGTGAGAACAGGACTAAGGTTGTTGAAGAAGTGCTGTGAAGGTGCGCCATAGAGACTGCGAGCTGGATTGTCAAGGAAGCGGGAAACAGGGATCTGCAAGTTTCCAATTAACAGGTGGTGTCTCTGGGTGCACAAGCGATTGCAAGTGCAGTCTGTGGTCTCAACTGGCGCGCGCGTGGGCACACTGACTTCAGTCTGCCTTGAAGACACATAGTTGTGTCACTCGAATGCCAACGTCACGTCTTGTTAGTGTGTGTCTGCCGCCAGTGCTGAGCCGATTTCTCTCGCACCCGTATCTACCATTGCTTTCAATCAATCCTCCTTCCCACCGTGGATGTGTATTCGTCGTCTCGGTTCGTGTGTGGACGCATCAATGGTCGTGGACCTGGCCCTTTTCGCACAATGGCTGTCCGTCACAACCTGGTAAATGAAGTCGATCTGAAATGGAAATGTTTTCCGTTGCCTTCACGGCAACGCTGCCATAATCACCTTGATATGGCGGGCACCGTCTCACAGGCGGGATCGTCGCAAGCCAGTCTCACGACAGCACACCGTTAGTGATGTCTCGTGGTGTGTTTAATCGAGGCCGACGCGAGTGATGTTGTTTCGCCGTGAAAGGAGGCCCCGCATCGTACCTTGACCGACCCTTAGCAGACCAGCAGCGTGAATGAGGAAAGCGCCATCTGGCTATAAGAGCGATTGCCCCGAGCAGCCCACCGCTGTCAACACACGCAGTCAACCAGGCACCTGCTTGCTTCCCCCGCCTTGTGTGCGCGTCTGCATATAAACAACCCCTCCCCCATATTCTCCCGCGTTGCCCCGACTTCCAACTGACTCTCCCTTGGCTTGCCTGTTTGTCTCTCCTTTTTGGCTCCATCAATTGCCAACCCGTCAATCACCTCACCAACCCCTTCTCAGGGCTACGAGCCCGACCCTATACACTCCTTATATTGCTTCCTCTTTCCATCCTACAATTTTTACCTCTCGTCTCCGACCTGCCAATTGCCCTCTTGTTGCTCGAGCGACCCAAGCCATGAAGCTCTGCATATCTCTCTTGGTGGCTATCGCCAACGTCGTGCTCGCCGTCCCCGCCGCCGTCGTCCAATCTGTGGAGGCCCGTCACCTTAATCAGGATGTCCCCAGCATCGACGACCCTAACTTCATCAAGACGGTCATGGATGCCCATTGGTTCTGGCGCCGCATGCACTGCGCCCAGGAGTTGAGCTGGGATCCCAATCTGGCTCAGCAGGCCTTGACATCGGCCAACAGCTGCTCCCGTAATGTTCAACACGTAAGTTGTTCCTTCTAGTTAGCTGTTCAACCCGCTTACGCAGACCTGGAATCATAGGACAAAGTTGGCAGCAACCTCTCTGGCGTCACCCCACCCCCTAGTGAGTACGAGCAATGGATCAAGATGGCCCGCGACTGCATTCACGGCTGGCACGAGGAGGAACCCAAGTACCCCTACGGAAGCCCTCAGATAGAAGCTCACGCGGGCTATCTTCACTTCACCCAAATGGTTTGGCGTGATACCACCCGGATTGGGTGCGCCATGTCGAATTGCAATGACTTGACCGACTCGAGCCCTGCCCGCATCTACTGCTGTAAGTTGATGTTCCTGCCTTCATTTTTTTTTCGCTCTTACTGTCGGCCTCGACGGGCTGCCAATGACCGCTAGAATGCTAACGCATAGTAATTTGAACCTCGCAGTCTACGAAACCCCAGGCAACAATGTTGTCGAAGGTGAATTCGAAAGGAATGTGTGGCCGCCTGTTTGCTACGCTCCTTCCAGACAAGAAGCAGAGCACCGTTTTGGGTATTAGATACCCTTTTCTCCCAGTTTTGGGGCGCTTCTTTACTCGAGGACCTACCTTATCTTGCTTTCATCCATTCTCTTCTTTTGGGGCCAGGTGGATCAATGACTAGATCTGAAGAATATCACGACGGTAGGACGCGATGGGCTTGACATGGAACGTTTCACGAAGATGGATGTCACACGGGTAGCGGGAAAATGTCTTCCTCTTTGCCCGTACGCTCCCCAATCCTTTTCTTCGTCACCCCTGGGGAGTGTGAGCGCACAGAAGGATGTCTCTATTGGATGCGTCTACACTTCTTCCCTTTTCTTGTAACCTATTTTTGATCAACCCCTCCCCTCTTCCCCTCCATCGACTGGATATAGGAGACTCGGATCCTGGGTGTGATACCGTACCTCCCACTTCTGTCTTCCTTTTGCCTTTTTTCTAGTATCACTCTTCACTCTCTTCTAACAACATGAGATTTTGGCTTCGAAGCCGAGAGGTGCGATGGTGATTTAGAAATACTGTTTCCTACCAGTGCAATGAATGGAATTCCTTTCAACCACATCTGATATTTGTTTGAACAGGTGCCTCAGTCGTGGTGTATGCACATGTGTATATACTATGTCTAGATATAAATGTGTCTACGGCATGTGAAGAAGAATCATGCTTTGCGCATTTGTGTTGCAATGCCTATTGTTCATGGACGGTAGAAATAGAATGGACCTGAGAGAATCACCGCATACCGTACTCATTCAAGCCCATGCCCCGCGCAATCTTCTTAACCAGCGCCTTCTTTAGAAATTGCTCTCGAGCTAACGTCCTGGTTTGCTATTCGCACGTCAGCAACTTTCTTTTCCTCTTTCTCACTTGTCGCAGTACTGACGCACCAATGATAGGTAAAGAGACACGTGGGGACGAGACTTACCTTGACGAAAACATCCCCCCTGATCCGACCTTTGTCCAAAGCCTGACCCAGCACAAAAAGCGCCTCAGCACATGCCCTTTCTTCAGCCGCAACATTGTAGAGCTGCCCACCGACCACCGTCGGCGCAACCAGCACGTCGTCAACATCCGGCGCCTTGCGTTGCCGCGCATCCTCCATTACGCGATCAGCCTCCCGCATGGCATCGCTTAGGATCTTTTCGTTGCTAGCGAGCGCGGCATCGAGTTGCTGCAGTTGATCGATTTCAGATTGCAGTGTCGTATATGCAGTACGTAGGGCAGCCTGCTGGGCCTGCAGAGGCGCGATAGCGGCATGGTTTTGGGAAACAGTGCGGTTTAATTGAGCTACGAGGGTCGCGGAGAGAGCAGTGAGCAGGGCGTCTTTTTCAGGGTTCGGGGGTACGGGTGGAACAGGGAGGGATTGCTGTGGGCCGGACTGCGAGGGAATCGTAACGGAGAGTATGTTTGTGTCCATGTCCATGAGGTTGGGTGGTGGGGCGGCGGGTTGCGGAGGAGGTGGTGCTTGTTGTTGGTAAGGGGGTTGATGTTGGGGGGAATACATTTGTTGCTGTTGCTGTTGCTGTTGCTGTTGCTGAGGATGATGATATGAAGACTGACTGGCCTGTTGCGGTTGGTTATGTGGGGTTTGGTGATTGTATTGCTGCGGAGGATAGCCCTGGTGGTGTTGGGTCTGTGGATGTTGCGGTTGCGGTTGCTGGAGCGGAACAGGGGCAGATTGTTGATACCGTCCTGTTCGTTGATGGTTTTCAGGCGAAACCGGACTGACGGGACTTCCGAAATTTTGAGGTTGTGTCTGTATCCCTTGTGCTTGAATGTTTGAGAGGGACTTTGAGACTGGTGTCGCGGGACTCGCAACATGGCTTGATTCCGTATAACCTGGATTTGATTGTGGATGGCCCCGTTGCTGCCAATGATTTTGTGCTGCATAGCCGTTATTTTGTGGCGGTTGATATTGAGTTTGGTGAGGCTGTTGCGAGGGTAGAGGAGGAGGTTGTGAGTATTTATCACGCTGCTGCGATTGGGGTTGTGGAGTTGGTCCACCTTGTTCATACGGCTTCGGTGGTTTTGGGGGAGGTAGTGGTGCTTGAGCAGATGGGCCTGGCGCTGGAGATGCTATTGGGGTGCTCTGCATAGATGTTCGCCATTCTGTGGGGGGAGGGGGTACGGGTGGAGGTGCCGGAGCAACTGGCGCATTCTGAAGTTGCTGTTGTTGCTGTCTAGAGCGAACAGGCGGTTCTTTTGCAAATACTCCTCGTAGTACAGCGAGGAAATCGAACAAGGTGCTTTTCTACTACATGCGTCAACGATTTTGCTTCGACAGGGAAGATTTTATGATTGTTGAAGCGCATGCACTCACATCCCAGTACTTCCCCCATTGTGCTAAATATGGATGGTAGACCCTGCCGTCCCCACTGACATGCTGTCCCGGCCTAACCAGCATATCCTGTGAAGGGGTGACATATACAATTGGCGATTCTCGAGGGTAGTTATGCGGCACCCATATCACGATCGGGAAACCGTATATTTGCTCGCGAAAGGTGACCGGTACTGCTCCACCAATGCGCAGGAGCAGCGCTGAAGCTCCATTTTCATAGGCTGGTAGAGTCAGCACATGATTGATTTCCGCGTCAACAAGAGGAGTCTGAAGTGGCGGTAGTGGGTCGGCGAAACGTACTGTAGACCTCTGTTCGAGGGGAGAGCGAAGGGTAGTTGGAGAGGGTTTCGGCAACATCGTGGTACGTTCGATTCACATCTGCGTATTCCTTTCAAAACGTCAGTTTTCCCAGAGATAGAAGTTTGATTGGATCTCGAGTCGCCTTACACTGGGTAATACGCTGTATAGCCAGTTAAGCACCTTTTCTGGCACGCCACCCATGATGCATGTGAGGTTCGAGGTACGGCGGGGAAGCTCCGGGATTCAAGATGGCGGGATGCGACATCATGGCACCTTGGCGCAAGCGGAAGGAACAACAAGCAGCTCAAACCGCCTGTACAACATATATCTAATCATGTATAGACGCATTCACGTATAGCAATTGATTGTGGATTTAGCATAACAGCGATCGTGTGTTGCGCAATTCAATGCGTCAAAATTGAATTAATACTATACAACGAATGTGAATCATTGTGATCATAGTTGAACGCCTTGACCAGCGTGGATATCTCAACATGCGTAGTGGCAAATGTATAATACAATAATCAAAAAACAATACTTTCGAACCCCAAGATTTAGTGTTGACTCCACTCGATCGTCTTAAGATCGATGCCTTCCTGCACCATTTCCCAAAGAGGGCTGGCATTTCGTAGGAACTCGACGCGATCCTTGACTACGTTGAGAACATAATCAATCTCAGCTTCGGTGGTGAACCGACCGATGCCAAACCGGATACTGCTGTGAGCACTTTCATCACTGCTACCCAGCGCTCGCAGTACGTAGCTTGGCTCAAGCGATGCAGATGTGCAAGCGCTGCCGGAAGAAAGGGCAATCTTGTTCAGACCCATCAGGAGCGATTCTCCTTCGACGTACGCAAATGAAACGTTGACACAGCCGGGATAGTGCTTTTCGCGACTACCGTTCAATGTTGTGTGATCCATTGACAGTAATCCTTCGAGAAGGCGATTCGAGAGGCTCGTGATGCGTTTGGTATCATACTGGGAGATGTTAGCACGAGCCAGTTGATCTCATGAACCAAACACAAAGAAGATACAGTCGCTTTCTCATAACCCCTGCACATTTGTCAACATGGCGCGTAGGTGACCGAAGCCACCAGACGCTCTGAAAGCCATGCATGTATAGAGCAAATAATCATCGGACTTGTTTTCTTTTATCGAAGACGAAAAGTAATTGCAACATACCTGCATCTCTTCATGACATATCCGCGCCGCCTCACCAATTCCAACCGCAAGGAAAGGTGCCAGAGTGCCGCTTCGCAAGCCACGCTCTTGACCTCCACCACTGATGATGGGGTCAAGCCTGACTCGAGGTCTTCGTCGAACGTAGCAGGCGCCAATACCTTTCGGTCCGTATATCTTGTGGCCAGATATAGACATCAAGTCAATGTTCATCTTGTTCACATCGACAGGTATCTTCCCCACAGCCTGTGCAGCATCAGTGTGGAAATATATCTTCTTGGACCGGCAGAGTTTGCCAATCTCTTCTACAGGCTGCACAACACCAATCTCGTTGTTGACGGTCATGATGCTGACAAGAGCAGTCTCAGGTCTGATGGCCGCCTCGAGCTGTTCCATATTGATGAGACCATCATCCTGTACGGGGAGATAGGTGACCTGATAGCCCTCATCTTGCAAATGTCTGCAGCTGTCCAGCACGCACTTGTGCTCAGTCTGGCATGTGATGATGTGGTTCTTCTTCCCCGATCGCTTGAAAAAGCGTGCTACACCCTTGATACTCATATTATTGCTCTCGGTGGCGCCACTTGTGAAGATGATCTCCTTCGGGTCGGCGCCTATGAGGTTTGCAAGGTTTTCGCGCGCTTGCTCTACAGCCTTCTCGACCTCCCAGCCGTAGGCATGGGTTCGGGAATGAGGATTACCGTACAGACCAGTCATGTAAGGAAGCATAGCATCGACGACTCGCGGGTCCATGGGCGTCGTGGCCTGCATGTCCAAATAGATGGGACGTGTACCTTGATCCATAATGGTAGCTTGCTTCAGTATGCCTGCAATTCTTTAGCTCGATACTCGTGGCTGCCAAAGCAGGAGTGGCGGATAGCTACCAGCTGTAGGGCTCATCATCACATCCGCATCCATCCCCGTCGTCGGCATGGTCGCTTCTTCAGGTCTCTTGCCAGTTTGATTCAAGAAAGACTTCTGGTCAGCCTTGATGGTTGTGTCCAAGTTGACGGTGGCGCTCGACGGCTTGGTCGGAGAGACATAGTGACGTCGGCCGGTGCTGCCATTCGCGACGGGGCGAGAAGCAAGGCGAGAGAAGGCAGACGATGGATAGCGACGAGAAGCAATCCGGAGGGCCTGCCTCGCGACTGTAGGTGCAATGCTGTTGGGCATGGCAAGGGATGGTTGGGATGGATGGATGGATGGATGGATGGAGGGAGGGTGCGGAGAGGAGAAAGATTGTCAGAGCTTTCTAATGGGATGGAGCTTATGTAATTAAGCGAGCTTTATCGCCGAACCGACCCCTCGTCCGTCTCGGGGAAGCATTGGGAAGCACCGCAAGCAGCTGCACAAATGCTCGGATGAGTCGGATTAGCCAATTCAAGCCGGGCGAGTCTTGATTCTTCAGTCAAGAGTCTTCGCTCAGCCCGTCCTGCAAACCTGGGTCCCAGTCAAGCTCACGACGAGTCGATCGCCGCATTATGCTGCTTCCAGTTAGCTCGAGCCACAACCCACTCAGCCACTTTGTCAGTCGTCACTCGTCATAGCCAGCCAGAAGCGACAAGACATTCAAAGAAGCCGAGCTGCCGCCAAAACGCTGCCTGCGCGCCAACCCACTTTTTGCTGTCCCTTTCCCCTCTGCTGCTGCTATTACGTATCCTACAGATCGGGCTTCAATAACCTCCCTTCGTGGACCTGTAGAAGAAGCACAAATCGCACACCTATACGACTACTTGCACCCCTCACTCACTCATGAGCTGGAAGGGCCTCACCAAGAGCGTCGTGCGGGTATGGCCCTCAGTCTCCCCCTAGGAGCAGACGATCCGCTAACACTGCCATCTAGACGCCGCAAACCTTCAAACAGCGCTTCAACATCGTATGTCTCTTGCGTCCACAACCTGTCTCGTCTATGCGCCTGATTCCGGGCTCTGCTGTGGGGCCGCCAGCTGATGGTCGCCATCTTGTGTTCTAGGGCGAGATCACCAAAGATCCCATCTATATCGATGCTGAACGACGCTTCGATGAGCTGGAAAAGGAGACCAAGAAACTTCACGATGAGTCAAAAAAGTAGGCAACGCTTTGCATCCATTGTTCGGTAACATGTACTCACTCTGATGCAGGTATTTCCAGGCCATAAACAGTTCGTCTACTCACGCTGTTCCGCTGTTGCACTTGACATGCTGACATTTACAAAGGCATGCTCACTCATCAGATTGAGTTTTCAAAAGCCATCGCCGATATCTACAAGCCCATCTCTGGACGAATGTCCGACCCCGACTCTTTCGTCGACGAAGGCAACGAAGCCGGTATACACGCGTGTGAAGAGTACGAAGGAATTGTCAAGGATCTGCAAGAGACTCTGAAACCCGAACTTGAAATGATTGAAACTCGTGTCATTAAGCCGGCCGACGAGCTGCTCGAGATCATCAAAGCGGTGCGCAAAGCCGCCCTGAAGCGCGACCACAAACAACTCGACTACGACAGACATCGCATGGCCTACAAGAAGCTCGAGGAGAAGAAGGAGAAGACGCTAAAGGATGAAAAAGCCATGTACAAGGCCGAAGCCGACGTGGAGCAGGCCACACAGGATTATAATTACTTCAACGATCTGCTCAAAGACGAGTTACCGAAACTCTTCCGGCTGGAGCGTGAATTCATCCGGCCCCTTTTCCAGTCCTTTTATTACATGCAGCTCAATGTCTTTTACACGTTGCACGATCGCATGCAAAACATCGACATTGGCTATTTCGAACTCACGTTTGACATCGAAGCCGCCTACGAAAAAAAGCGAGGAGACATTCAGTCGGATGTAGAAGCCCTCTCGATCACCAAATTCAAGACCACAGGTTGTAGGACTCCAGGCCAGTCAAAATATGGCGGCAAAGCCTTGGAAGCAAAAGCATCATCTGCGGCAGCGCGGCGATCCAGTACCAGCACGGACGCACCGCCTCCACCATACAGCCCAGGCCCAGCAGCGCTTAAGTCGCCAACTGGGGCATCCGCAACTTCGTGGGGCTCTGCCGCAAAAGCGAAGGGCGCTGCACCACCTCCTCCGAAGCCAAAGCCGTCAAGGTTAAGCGGAGTGCCCGCTGTCGAGCATGTCACGGCGCTTTACGACTACGAAGCCCAGGCGGAAGGCGATCTTTCATTCATAGCTGGTGATGTAATAGAAATCATCACTCGAACACAGAACGAAAACGAATGGTGGTCAGGGAAAGTACGGGGAAAGCAAGGGCAGTTTCCAGGTAAGCACTCACCCACGAAGCCGTGAATAGTAGATATGCTAACAGAGCCCTTGCAGGTAATTACGTGAAACTGAATACATAGAGGGGACGACGAACGACCGGGCATTAGACACATATATTCTTTGTTCAAGGGTGCATACAGTACTAATCGTCATTTGCATCTTCATTAGCGGGAGAGGTTTTCGTTACTGTTCCAACATGTCTGGGTTTCCAATCCAGAAGTTTCTTTTTATTTCTGTTTCTGCGTTACTCCTGAAGTCGCTTGTATGAAAGTCAATTCACTACTACATTGGAATACATGCATAGCTTCGCTTTGTCAATTTTGTCGCGTGTGTCCCATGATTCGATTGACCTTGCTTTTCTCTATGTCGTCACCCTATCACCAACTACCAACGGGGTCACAAATGGTCATGCGTCATCACAATTGCTGTCGATTGTGTCTCTTTGGGCCATCGAGAAAATGGCGGGGAGAAACCTCGTAATCCCTACACGTAACATGTTTAAGCGTCTGCAAGGCCGAGTCAGCCAGCTACGAATTCACCTACAATAACTCCTTCCTTGGCATGTGTCCCACACAGATTCAAAATAACAAAGCAAACGAGACACGAGGCTAAAATGGGAACATGGCCAGTTCCAAATCGAGATATTGGTCTATTTATTTATTTGGTTTTTTGGATTACGATTACTTCTGCGTACATAAAAAAAGACTACAGAAAAGCTTGGTCTTTGGCTTTACTGACAGAGTAGCCACACAACACACACATGACTTCATAAACATCCCTCCTACACCCACTAGCCATCTATAGCGGTGGCGCGTTCGGATCCATCATGCACTGGTCCACCCGCATAAGCTGCTTGCCAGTCGCCTTCGCCTTCTGGATAAACTCGCGCAAATACGACACGGTGCTGGGATACAGATAATGCAAGACAACGAGATTACCACCCTTGTCGACGTCGCGCTGGAATGCCGTGAGCTGCTGCTCGGGGGTATCCGTCTCAGCCCACAGCCAGTCCTCGACGTCGACGCTCCACATGGTGATGGTTGGCTTCGCGCCCAGAGTATGAGCAAGTCGTTGACGCATACGCGCACCTTCTGTGCCAAACGGTGGACGAAAGTAGTTGGTGTGAAGGCCGTTGAGCTGCTTCTCCACCGTCTTGATATCCTCGTTGTACTCCCAATCGATGGATTCATAGTCGGGGAGACCTTCCATTTTAGGGTGAGTTTGGGAGTGGAGGGCGACCTGGTGACCCTGGGACATCATCTCGCGGTAGACGTTTGTCAAGTTTGTGGAGGGGTCGAGGAGCGGGGCACCGACGGTGAAGAAGGTGACTTTGATTCCTTCCTCCTTGACAATCTTCATGACTTCCTGGGCATACTCGGGCGAGCCATCGTCGATGGCGAAGGCGAAACTGTTGGGGCGCTTGCAGGCGAAGACGAGGTCGCCAGTTTCGAGCTTGTTGGGGATGATGGTGCCTTGGGCAACAGAAGGGACGATTTCGATGGCGGAAAGAGTGACGGGGTCCGCCTTGTAGAAGCCCTTGAGAGAGAAGCCGATGGAGCGGCTGAGCTCGACTTTGAAGTGCGACATGGGGATATAAATGTGGCCGTTCTTGGCGTAGCGGCTGGCCTCGATTGAGTCCCAGGTTTCGGGGTAGGGAGCAATCGCCTCGTCACACTTGCTGTTGTGTTGCTGGAGAGCGACGGTGAAGGCGGTGCTGCCAGAGTATGCGATGTGCAGATACGAGTCCTTGTACTTGGACATGTCAGTGCAGGATCCGGAGATCTGCGTGTAGAAGGAGTAATCTGCATCGTCGGAAGTGATGGTGAGCTTGCCGCCATTGTAGGTGGTGACCATGCCCTCGTCGCCACCGTGCCAGAAACCGAGCGCGTTGCTGTCTTTGTTGGCAAACTTGTCAACCACAAGGGTAGGCTGGGAACCGGCAGGAGCAGCAACCGTGGAAGAAGGGCCGGCAGGAGCAGCGCTGGTGGTGACGATGTATTCGCCAGTAGAGCCGCAATAGAAAGCCATGGGTCCGAAAGACATGCTAGAGCTGAATCCGGAGAAGAGGATAGTGGTAAGTTTGCTGGGGTCCAAGTTGGGGAACTTGGAGAAGGGGATGGTGTAGAGTTTCTCGGAGCCGTCAAAAGTCCAACCAAGGTCCCTGGAAGTCACGGTCACGGCTGTTGCCGCTCCCGCATCACAAGAAGCCGAAGAGTCGAGTTCAACGCTCAGCGAGCTTCCCGATGGAGCTTTGATGCGCAGAGAGATACCGTTGTAGCCGCTCTTCTTGGCATCCGTGCAGCCAAGTTGGGAGTAAAAGTAGGATCCGCCGTCCTTGGGGTTGATGGTGACGCGGTTCTTCGAGGGCTGGCCTACAACGAGGGAAGTCATGGAGGCATCGTCGGAAGATGGCAACATCATGGCGTTGTAGTAGAGGAAGGTCAGACGAGACTGAGAGGTCCAGTCGTCAATGAGGAGAGGCGAGCTGCAAGACCCAGTAGCGGTAGGCGCAGCCGAAGTGACCATGGTAGTCGGGGTTCCGCTCGTGGTGGCTTCCTTTGAAACAGAAATGGTAGACGAAGGACCGGAAGATGGAGCAGAACCCCCACAGCCGAATTCGACTTTGCTCATTTCCCAGGTGTGAGTGTTTGACGAGAAGCCAGACCAAACGAAACCGGTAATGGCATTGGGGTTGGCACCGGAGAAGGAGCTGAGGGGGATGGTAACGGTCTGGGTGTTGCCATTCAACCCAGTGATGGGAGCGTAGTAGGACTGGTATCCGGATGCTCCACATGAAGACTGGGTTTGGATCTCAAGAGAAGCCGAGCCGCCAGCAGGGCCCTTGATGGTGAATTGAACAGATCCATAGCCGTTGGTGGTAGCCGCCTGGCAAGGGAACGTCTCGTAGAAGTAAGAGCTTCCGTCTGATTTTGGCTTGAAGGATAAAACTCCATTGTTGGCGGAGATAGATGCCATAGAAGCATCATCTAGAGGAATCAGCGGGGAGTTTGTCGTGAGACGACATGGTATCTACTTACCGCTGGTCCACTGGCCAAGGCTGTTGGTGTTGCTGGACCATTTGGAGAAATTATCGATGGAGAGTGCTGAGGTGCAGGAGGCTACTTGGGCCTTTGCCTGGGGTTGGGCGTGGCTAAGGTTGGGGGTGAAGGCGGCGACGAGGCCCAACAGTCTATCGACGATGTGGCGCATGATGATGGATGAGGAGGGAAATAATATTAATTGTATACAACGAGAGACTTGATTAAGAAAAGCGAATGTACGGAAGCAACAAAGACTTCCAAGAGCAGAAGAGTTCAGCCCGTGTAGGTTGATGAGGCACGGGCGACGGACACAAAGACTGGTGAAGTCGTGGAAAAAGAGTCGGAGGCAAGCCAGGACATATGTACAACAAAATAGATTGGAGCGGTGGTCCCCCTCCTGCAGAGAATGATCGAACCATGTTTGGTTTTAGTGGGGAGAGTGCTAATTCGGGGAGAAGAGCAGGCTGGGCGCAGACCGATTCATTGGGCCGTCTTCTCGATTGGGGCGTGTGGTGACGGCTACGATGCAGAAGATGGGGGAGCACCCCTGGGCGGGACAGGATGTTCGTCTTGGGGATGGAGTGAACCAGGGTGTGCATGACAGGATATGATAGGCGACGCAGTGGGACATGACTGATGATATATAGACTGTGTGTGTGTGTGTGCGTTATCCAGGAGGGAGGCATGCTTGCATGGCCAGGAAGCAAGCTCCCTTCAGGCTGAGTTGTGGCCATTGAAATATAGTGATGGTTGCAGCATTGCGGTTCGCGAAGAGTCGGCATTCCAGGCGCTACACCATCATCTACCTACCTGTGGTAGATAGACCATAGACTGACGGTGGCGGGTGTTAATCAACATGGGACAGGTGTAGCGTATTGTTTCTGCAAGAGTCTTGGGAGACTACCGAGTCGTGGGTTTTGGCTGGCACCCGCTTTGGGACGCTCGCCAGCCGAAAGGAACAGCACCAGGGGCAGACGCATTGCATCGCATACATACTGTAGGTGCTATAGGTAGTGCTATAGCTTGCCATGGCATCCCAATCACATGCGGTGGGCCCCATGACAGCCAGTCTATTGCTTTTGGCCTTGCCGACCTTCCTCCTGCCAAGCTCACCGTGGCCTACCGTTTCAAACGAGTCCTTTCAGAAACAGCCCGCGGCATGGCACTACAGTCTTCACCAAATTGCCAGACCCGACCGGCGAGGCGCCGTGCAGATGCTACCGCTGTTAGCATCCCGATTCCAAGAGTTTGATCCACCCAAATCGAGCCGCAGCAGATCCAAACCTCTCCGAATACCTACCTCACCCCTGACACTAGCAGTCATCCAGCAACCTCATTGTCAGAATGTGCGGCATCGGCACCCGAGTCCATTGCTGCATTCATGTTTGTTTACATAGCTATGTAGGTACATATATATGTAGGTATGTAGTTGAAGACTGAAGCTGCGGAGTGAGCGGTCGCTTAGATTACAAAGCCTCGGATGACCAATGCCCATGTATATGCTGTCATTGACTCTCTCAACCCCGCCCTCAGATGCGCCATGTACATAACAACCTCAGTTACTTCTTGCCGCCGACTGCTATCGCATCTCAAAACACAATCCTCACGACTCAGTCCGCCCTGCCATTTCAAAAGCAAACAGCATTTTCCGAGATACCGAGCATTCTCAAACAACATGTCTGACGTCGACGCGTGAGTATTCTCCCTTCATCAGCTACAATACAGCTACTAGCGTCTGTAGCATGATCCCTAACCAACAAACGCCAGTCTCACAAAGTTGGCCCACAAACTCGCATCCGAGGGTCCACACAAGTATGAAAAAACGCCCCGCCGTGTCCGTGGATTACTCAATGGCAAATACATCTTCGATACCACCTCGGCCTACCTCGTATGGGAACACTCATATTTTCCCCAGTCAGTAGCCAGACGCTTCCCCTACAAGCCCAATATCCTGACCACACATCACTTCTCCCTGTGCCAATCAGTCCCCACCCACTTCACTAAATCACCCAAACCTCTCGCTCACCACCTTGCACTCCAGTTTCTACATACCCGTAGCTTCCCTCTCACCGACAACAACCTTGACAAAAACCTCCCCAATTCAAAATGCAAACGATACCATCCATCTAGGCACCCTCAGCACATCTTCCTCTTCATCCTCCGATCCCAGCAACACCCGCACCCCAACCGTTCTCATCCTTAACATCCCCACCTTGCCTGTGCCCCTCCTGAAAATCCCTCCCCCCGCTTTAGACCAATGGTTCGAAGAAGACAGCCCCCTCTACACTTCCCACCCAAAAGACCCCTACAAACGCATTACCATCCTCCCCTCCTCCCGCTCCGTCAAAATCTCCCTGCGCTCCACCGTCCTCGCATCAACCTCGCATCCCTTCTTCTTGCATGAAACGAGCTTGCCTGTGCGCAGCTATCTGCCTCCCACATCCGTCAACTGGGAGTATCTGAGGAAGAGCGACACCACTACTTATTGCCCGTACAAAGGCCAGGCCGAGTATTACCATGTTCAGATTGGGGACGAGGTCTGGAAGGACGTTGTTTGGTATTATCGCTTCCCAGCCAGTGAGAGTGTGGAGATTAAGGATCTGGTGTGCTTCTATGATGAGAAGGTTGACGTCGAGGTCGAAGGGGTGGAAGAGGGGAAATAGATATCTTCCATGCTCTCCATTCTTCACTTGAGGTTTCCCGGTGTTGAAGAGGAGGAGAGGGAGGATGGATTTTCTTTGTCAGACTGTGATATTCTGGCATTCGCTCGCGAAGCTCGCTCGTTCGCTGATAAAATTCATTCATTAGTGCATCTGTTCATGGAATGCAAGGGTATCGATTGAACTAATTCTACTCTGTTTCGCCGACGGCAACAGGTGAGGGAGCTCAGGAATACTGTCCCCAGCGACAATTGTACAAATTTCCGCCGTGCCTACTTCTCAACAGCACCGGACCCTCTTGGCTGGTAGCCTCGAGGCTCAATGTGAAACTCTCCAACAAAAACCCACTTTGACGTCCTCAATCACCCCCATTGGAATCTCTCCTCGTCAACCCTCGTTCCTTCTTCCCAGCACTTTTCCACCCACGCCGCACCCACTACTCGCGCCAGCCCCGAAACCCTGCTTTTGCCCTTTGCCATCGCTCCACTCTTTTCGTCCAAGCACACAATATGGGTGACACCCTCTTGATCCACCCTATCCGTAATCTCCCCGTTCCCAAACTGTATGTAGTTCCTGACCATTTGCAATCTGCTCTCCGCTTCCTCATCGTCGCTCCTGAGAACAGCAACCTTCATGTTGTGGAACATGTAATTCCGCAAATGACCTATAGATTTGTCGTGGTCGTCCAGCTGATCGAGAAACAGACCATCGTCAAAGACCTCTTCGAATTTGTTCGTCATGGCGTTGAGTATCGCTTTCATTTCCTCAATGTCCGCAATGTCCCGCTCAAATGAGTCGCCATTATCATCAACATTGTTTTCGTAACTTTCTTCATCTGCCTCAAGGAGATGGAACATGTGACGGTTCGCTTCAAAAGGAAGCAGATAGCGTGTCGAAGCGTCGATTTCGTTTTGACGTATGCAGTCATGTAACCAGATGGGCTTGACGATGTTGTACACGTTGCGTTTTTGTAGTGAAGAGACCTTGACTAGTCGCTTATCGGCAACGATGATGAGCTTTTTGTCATTGATACTGTCGCGCTGAACAATCTTGCCACCGTTGGCTTTGACGAGCGCTTCGAGCTCGGCTTTGGATTTTTTGACTGGGTAGACTTGGTCCGTCATGATGTAGAAATTCAATCCTTCCAAGATCTTCGTGTTAGGCCCTGCGTAAGGTGTAGTAAAGTCGTCATTGCCTGCAACAACCAAAGGTTTTTTCTCGGTGCGAGCTTTTTTGCGCCTAGACTGCTCGATTTTAAACTCCTTTTCTTTCTCGTCTTGTTCCCGTTCAACAGTGTTGCGAAGCTCTAGAAACTCATCATAGGAAAGGGCTTGGTTCCATTTCTTGTCGGTACGGAGCTTCTTGAAGCGTGGGAAGCGGAGCGTAAAGCCCATTCGGAACCTATCGCTCCCCTCTACGCTGGCAGCTTTGCATTCCAGCACCACAGAATCACTTGGGTGGATCCATTGATCCGGCCTCTCATGCTGACGGTTATCTTTGTGGCCTCCTAGTTCGATCAGGGGTGGTGGCCGTCGGGCATCCCAGTCCGTCCACTTCCCTTCAGTCCGACCACGAATTGCGGCATAGTCATCTCGAGTGAGACCGCCACCGACTTTGAAAAGAGACCAACACTTTCCGTAGCCTGGATCGCCTTCCTGGGCCTCTTTGTTGATGAGCAATCCGCAAAGGAAGGAGGAATGAACTCCACCACGGTGACCGGAGCCAAAGTAACCTCCGATTACAACACAATCCAACGACTCGCCAAATTCGGACATGTATTCCGGTTTGACTTTGATCCAATCGTTATTACGATCGTTGAGTCGGTACATTGACCGTGGGTTTTTTAGGACCAATCCTTCCGAAGAGTTTTCCACCACTTTGCGTAGCTCTGGTTCAATCTCGACGTATGAACGAACTTCGAGATAGGGGTGAATTTCCAGGCGGCGGTGAACGCCTTTGACAGCGCTTTCGAGAGCCTTGCGGCGATCTCGTAGAGTATATGGCGTCAACAAGGTGTCATTAAGATACAAGCAGTCGAAAACCCGAAATAATGGCCGTTGTCCGGTTTTTGTGTCGGCCGAACTTTCCTTTTCTGATAACGCAGCTGTTTTGAGTGTGCCAAAACCAACAATGTGGTCAATATCCATGTCCCAGGTGATCATCTCGCCATCGAGGACAATGTTGCGCACGTTTTTGCTGAAGGCATTCTTGATGAACCGTGTGAGCGCGCCAGCTTCTTCACCGGAGAAATGCTTTCCGTAAAGATAAGCGTAATCTTTGGCTTTGCGAGACCAGAATCCAAACAGCCTTCCCCCCGGAGCTTCTGGATCCTCTATCATGTGAAGCTGCATACGTTCCCCGTCCAGTTTCTCCTCTATCCAGAAAGAGTCATCGTTGTCCTGCGGCCGGAGCTTAGCGACAAGCTTCTCAAAAGAGCCGACTTTGGGTTGGAAAGCTGCGAGTTGTGGCTGGAAGCATTGCATCAAGCTTATACCAGTCTCATCACCTTCCAGACGGGTTTCGGGGTCATGTAGCTCCCAACAAACGCGGCGAAGGTTAGAGGAGATATTAAACAATGCCTCTGCGTCCGGGTGCCAAATGTCAAAGACGGTCTTCTCCGTTGCACCGATCTTCATGTATCGCAAAATGATGCGAATCAGCCAGGTCATTTCTTCGGCATTCATCCGTCGGTAGAATCTTTGGAATATTTTGGTCTGCTGTTCTACCGCACTGACTTGGGAAAGTTGATCCAATGTGTTGTTGACTTCGGCGATGCTCATGGAGCCGACTTCAGACCGCATTGGTCGCTTGGATAAGACTTCGTAACATCTGCCAGCGAAATCACCTGCCGTAGACATTGTTGCCTGGTGTAGCTGGCCCGGAAGCTTCCAATTGAGCATTTGTTTAGCATCGTCCGAATCCTTGTTGATGTTTGTGATGCTTATAATGATCTTGGTAATGGCCTTCTCCTTCAACCCATACATGGCACGATCGCGGTCTTTTTCTGGTACTATGAGGCGCATCGCCGGATAGAAATCGGCACCAACCTGCTTGCGCCAGTCTGCGACATATCTCTCTATTATCTGTCGGCGGGCTTCATGTGGTGAGAGGTTGGAATGGCCTGATGGTCCGACTTTACGCCGCGGGCCGGTTGTCCTGGCTTTCTTCTGGGTGCTCAAAAGAGGATCAAACAAGTCAGTGAACAGAGTATGGAAGGGGCGTGTTTTGTGAAGGTTGATTGGTCTGTTTGGGTATTTTGTATCCAGGTCATCTTCGGCGCCGTACATGAGCGTCTGCTCCTTTATGGCAGCGGCATCGGGCACAGATGTATCTTCAACCATGTTGGGCGCATGGAGGGAAGAATGGGGGTTGTCAAGAGCCTACTTGCAATGTTGTTTACATACCGATCTGGGTTCTTATATAAGAGTGAAGGGGGGCCAGCGAAGGCAGCAGCGCGGCGCGGAAACCGCATTTGGCCTAGCACCATAAGACGTGAGGCTCCAGTCTACAGGTAGGAACTAAGGACTGTCAATAATACCTTTGGACAACAACAACAAAGTCGACCACATCTGTGCCCTTCCCGCCCCTGCAACCTCACTCGCTCAGTTTATTCACCCAGTCCCTCGCTTTCCTTGTCGCCGTTGACTGTGTGTCGCGTTTCACTCCTCCTCTCAAGCTCTCTTGTTGCTCACTATCCCTCCTTTCCCTTCCTTCTCTCTAATGCAGGTGTCTGAGCACTAAGCAACGCCGCCCTACCCGTTCTACCATCCTACCAACAGCCCGATGGGCTGCTCTCAATGAGCTCCCGCGCCAGTCCCCAGCACCAGCAGGTCGCTTCGCAATCCACCGGCGACACCATACATAATGTCCCCAACGCAGCCCTCCGAGGCGCCTCCAGCGCTTTCCTGAAGCCTCCCGTAAAACCCAAGCCGCAAGCAAATACATACACAGGTGGAGGAAATGGGGCATTGCTCGCCGCGACCAAAGTAGGCACCGGATCGCCACGCAATACAGCAGCCCCCTCTGGAACGACTACACCTCTGCGAAAGGACTGGACTGGCGGTAGCAGGTCGAATGCATCCCCTATGCACCAGCTGAGCAACTCGTCGAGCTCAAGTACGCTTGGTATACCGGAAGACAGCTCTGCTGAACGGATACCCTCGCCGTCCAATATCGCCGCCAAACTAGCTGCCGCAAGACACACTGCGCTGAAGCCTCCTACTCAGGCTACGGTTACTCCCGTCATGTCTGAGAAGGAGCAAAATGAGGCCGATGTCATGCCTCCGCCCGGAAGCGTCGGAAATGTGCTGGCAAGATTAGACTCGGAGAAGCCTAAGCCATCACACGCTCAGCGAACACGGCTTCTTGCTGCTCCGAGTCTGGCTAATTCGGGGTCAAGTGCTCCTTCAAACGATGCGCAATCCACAGATGATACACCAATTGCCCCTACTACTTCTCTCGTGAAGATGTTTGAGCAAACTAAGCCTTCCGCCCCTTCCCGAGCCCTCTCACCGATACCCCAGATATCCAAGTCTCCACCCCCTGTGCGATCTCCTAAACCGCAACGCAAATTCAAAATGCCACCCGAGTCGATTGGGGACGTGCCTCTGGAACAGCAAAGAAGGAAGACCCCACCTTTGATCAAACCGAAACCGAAACCGAAACCACAATCACAACCACAATCACAAATACACTCTTGGTCGAAGAGTGCTGGAGAAGAGTCCGCCTCCATTTCGCTTCATGAGAGACAACCCAGTGCACGTGCGCACTCTCCTACACAGGCGCCACGTGCAGCAGTCGTGAATGCTGAATCCCGCCCGAAACCACCACCTAAAAAGATGTCTAGACAATCACGGCCAAAGTCCGAGGATATGACACGCTCACCAGCTACCAAAAACAGGACGCTGTCGACTTCCACGAGCAATCATGAAGCTCCTTCGTCTCCGGCCTCCTTTGTTTCCGCTCGAGAAGAACAGGAGGAGGAAAAGCCTAAACCTGCTCTACCTCCTCCACGTCGTTCAACTAGGCAAAAATCAGAATTAACTGCGGAAAGTACTAGGGTGACATCGCGACCTCCTGAACCCCATACCACGCCGAAGTTGTCTTCTCCGATTCCTCCTCCTCAACGTCTTTCTCGCCCACATAGCGCTTCCTTCAGTAGACCTTCCACGCCGTCCAAAGATACTATTTACCACTCTAACTATCAACGCGAATCTGTCAAATCCATCTCTAAACATATGACCGGTGAAAGTCTTTCGAATGCTATCGTTGGGGCTGCCCTAGCTTCCTCTCGGAATGCTTCTCCTAGCCCCGCTAAGCTGGCCACGCCTGATTTCGGACGGAAACAGCATCATCATCACCATTCTCCTTTTCACCGCTCCCCTTCACCGCCAAAGCCGCAACCCACAGGAAAGCTTCGCTCAACCATGCGCAGAGATCCCTCTTCATCCGATGAAGAGGAAGAAACAGACAGATATAAACGTAAGGGCACCCGAATCATGGGCATGGGCCGCAAGCATCCAAACAAACACCACGAAGGCACGCGCAAACGATGGCGAGACCAGATTACAGATCGCGAAAGGAAACGGTACGAGGGTGTCTGGGCGGCTAACAAAGGTCTCTTCATATCAGACACACCTACTCGCTCTCCACCCGGTGTTTCCGATGATCCGTTGTTAGATGTTTCAGGCTTGGTGGTCAAAGAGATTTGGATGCGAAGCCGATTGCCGGACCATGAATTGGGAGAAGTTTGGGATCTGGTCGACGCGAGAGGTCTTGGCAGGCTGCGTAAGGAAGAATTTGTGGTCGGCATGTGGTTAATTGACCAAAGATTGAAGGGGCGGAAACTGCCTGCGCGGGTATCTGATAGCGTGTGGGGGAGTGTCAGGGGGGCTGGTGTCAAGATTAGAGTCAAACCCAAATAGAAGTTAGGGACCATATGATGTGCTACATATTGCGGACGCAAAGGCTTCTTTCCGCCACGCGTATTTGAAGATACCCCTCGAATTATCATATAATGTTTGTTCGTTTATGTTCTATTCGAATCTCTTTCCCTCTACTGGTGGTAAATGTCTCCTATGCTTTATTCATACAGCCACATTCGCAATACATTGGATGAAAGCTTAATGTCAATGAGCATTATCCCGTTCTGTGTTGCGATCCCGAACAGAAAGATTGGCTGAGGAGGATGGAAGAGCTCCAACCATCAATATACCGAATTTTGTGCGTTGATATGAGGACCGTGATCGGGCAGTCGAATGGACGACCCAGCCACTCTATTAGTCTTCATTCTCGCCAACACCATGATTCTCGCACTCTCGCTCATTCATAGTCAACAAACCCACACCCCGCACAAAGTTTGCAGTGCTCCAGAATCCTCCACTGAAATCCAAATCATACCAATAGTTCACCGCACAGCATATGCCTTCTTCCGAGCATGACTGCGATACTTTATGATACCACAGTGCAGGCAGATACAGCATATCGCCTTCATTGAGAGTGACTCTCAACGGCTGTGAGTACTGCGAGTAAGGAGTTGTGTTGCGCTCTGGCTGATCTGGATCCCATGTCGCAAATGGCACATATTCTACTGGATCATCAATGACGGCTGTCATGTCGCCGCTTCGTACTACAGAATCATCTCCACTGATGGTACCATTGCCATGAATTTTCCGAATCTCATAGGTAGCAGCCAACACGCTCTTTTCCCCTACGCAAGCCGCTTCAACGTGCGGCAGGAGTACAAAGTGCTTCTTCCCTAGAATCTGTACATAGACATTCTCGTAATTGTCCTTGTGCAGCGCAGTCGTAGAATGCGAGTTGCCGAGCCAAAAGTTGATGGCATCTGGGTCTTGAGCGAGCGCGATGCGGGCAAACGGTACGGATTCTGGAACATCCGAGAATATGGTGGTATATTCGTTGCGTAGATTGTCGTTTTGGGTTTGGAGGTACCGTGTCACTGGCGCTGCATTTGAATGCGCAGATGGTGCCAGGGAAGCAAGTTCTTGCTCTTGTATCTGCTCCATGACAGTGGTAAATGGGAGCATGGTTTCGTAGGGCTTGACAAAGATCATGTTCTTCGTTTTCGGGTCCTGACTAGGATCGGGCAGTTCGATGACAGAGTCGGCGTTACCGTAGGGCGTGATGGCCACATTCACGCTTTGGTCTTTCAACACGCCCGACAGATAGGCTGCGTTCCATTTTTGTCGCGCTTTCCAGTTTTCAGCTCCTTTACGGACTACGAAAGGGCGATTGCGGGATACATATCGCATAAACTCCAATGCCGAAGGTTCCTCTGAAAGCTCATCGATGGTGGTAGAATTGAAGGAATGATACGAGGTGATCAAGTCTTTGGTGTAGTGAGGTTGGTTATTGAATGATCAATTTTGTGCTGTTCAATTGACATGAACTGTGAGGAAGGAAGCACCTCTTACGGCATCATCTACTTTTACCCCTCCGAATCCAGTAGGCGCAGACCTGTTCATCTTAGTAAAATACAGCAGAAGATTCACTCGAAAGTAGATACCGTGGAGCTGCCTGATTGGGTTCATCCAGCCCTTGAACATTGTGTTCCGAAGACATTTATGTTTGGCTTGATTATGAGGGTTTCTAGGTGTTTGATTGAGTCAAGTACTTGAGTACTGAGGCTTGAAGAGATTAACAGGCTGACTAAGCATGGCCTGTAGTGGGCTGTGTATCCACACGTTCTCTCGTTCAATTTACCAAAGCCGTGAAACGTGTAGTTGACACAATAATTCTCAATTCGTGAAAACAGCAGCGACCCCTCGATTCTACAATTATAGCCCGATTTCAAGCTATCATGACACGAGAAGTAAACAGATAATGCTCAAGGAATTGTTCATTCTTTCCTCTCCCTTTCGACTTTCTGCTCATTTCTTGACTGGGAACACGATTCAGGAGAAAATTCTAGATCTCCAAGCAGAAGATTAGTGATTGTGAGATTTACCAGTGAAAAGTGTTGGGCAGGCCGACCCTTCGTCTCAGTGATTCGGATTGCGCAGCACTCTCACGATCTAACAGTCAACACTAAAACAAGAATCTCACGGATCAACATCTCCTTGCATGAAAAGATTGTGGTTTGATACAGAATTGCTCAATACGTGCTGGTTAACCTTTTAACCAGATATTCGCCGCTCGTGACGGCGGGGTATTTTTTCCCAGTCTTCTCGTAGGTCCCTGGAATAGCTTCTATTGTGCGGTCGAAATTGGGATTACAAAAGTATGCGACGGAGTACCGGGGAGGATACGAGTCCGAACCATCGCCGTCGTCCTTCTTTGGAGGTGGCTCTACTACCCTGTGCTTGGTTGACTTGATAGTATCATTTGACCAGCGGGCGAGCAGGTCACCCGCATTCACAACGATAGCGCCGGGTATCGGGGTCGCATTAACGAAAGTCCCCTTGGGGGAGCGAACTTGTAATCCACCTCGAGAATCTTGGAAAAGAAGAGTCGCAGAGCCGTAATCGCTGTGCTCGCCCGCACGAACCTGTAATTGACCATCCTGCCTCTTGAAGACCGATTTGGGTACTCCGGGATAGTGGAGAAGGCGAAGGGTGTTGTCGCCGCGGTCAGTAAAGCTGTCGAACCATTGCTCGTCGATACCCATACCCAAGGCTATAGCGCGCATTAATTGCATGTGCAGTGCCTTGCAAGTATCGTGAAACTTCAGCATCACCTCCTTGAACACTTTCGCATCGTTATCACCCTCCACCGCCGGCCACATATTCGGCATGCCTTCCTCTCCCTCCCTCCCGATTTCCAGCGATTCCTTCAAATCTGGCACCGCTTCCCTTAGTTTTCCCACATCATCCAATTCTTCCAGATCTGTAACCTTTTCACGTCCGGCTGCGCTGTATCCGCGATTGGCCTCGGGCGAATACCAGGAGAGCGCGTCCTTTTGCGCCTGGGGACGCGCAAAGAACTTGGCAGAGTTGGCGAAGACATCAGAGACGGTCGCTTCGGGGATACCGTGATTCTTAAGGTAGATGAAGCCGGCACCTTGGAAGCCCTCCAGAACAGCTTGTGCAGTCTCCTTCTTCTTGACGGGATCTGAAGACAGGAATGGCGCGAAGTCGATGAGCTGCAGGCGAGCAGTTAGCGCCGATGTACGCCATTTTCTGGGTGGGATTGGGTATGACTTGCCGGTATCACTAGATCATCCTGCGCGACCGCCTGGTCTACAATGATATTTGCCATGGTGGTTTAGAGAAGGATGGTTGTGATCAATCAGGAAACAATATCACATCCGAGAAGCTTGGATTGAATAGACTGCGGACGAGACGAAGAAGAAGAAGGAAAATAGAAAAGCCACACGAGCTCTACATCTATGGCCAGCACCTTGTATTCGGCGCTACTATTATCAACAGCGATGAGACAAACGGTGCCGGCGGCGCTATCGTGATGCCGTTAAACTGTTGATGGCATGACCAGATGGCGGGGTGGTGGTAGCTTAAGCCCCATTGAAGGTGGGGTGGTGGGGTCAGCCCCAATGAGGAAGGTGTAAACGACGATGTCTGTTGATAAGGGTGGGGAATGTAACTTGACAACATTTGAGCGACCTTCACTGCTCTTGGTCACGCCGTGTACATGTATGTTTAGCCGTGGCAAGACCTTTAGGCCTATACTCATCTGTTGCATTGTAAAAGTATCTTAGAAAGACTATGCTAATCGCAGGACGACTCACTCGAGCATATGCAAAACGAAGCTGTCAATCAATAACATGCTGGGCGCGAAATATCTTTGTCAACATTTGAACACAGCAACACTTGGGGTACAGAATACAGTCGGCCTGCTTCGCTAATAGTGTAGCTGGAGGACATCTTTCAGTCCGTAGAGGAACACAATCTGCCCAATAGCCACCGAGATATGGAAGAGTTGATGGCTGGCGCCCTACGAAACATTAGTGGATCCTAACTTCTCTGACGCCAATTAGTAGCTAGGGAACTTGGCTTACCCATAGATCGAAGGTTCCGGGCCAGTACCTCTCCGGTATTCTACGAACATACAAGAGAGTACCTAACAGATAACATGAGCACGTCACCGCGATGTTCAGCAAAGGAAACATCTTGAGCGCCTCAACCCCCCCTTTCAATCCAGCGTGAACAATGGCTCCAAAACCGCTGGCCCCCAATGTTGTGAAAACTGCAGCCCTGTTTTACTTTAGCGTTCCGTGCGTTGAAATGAGTAAAACGAGGGGTGGCACACCTCCATGCTGCCGCCTTGGGACCGTCTGCATCAGGCCTGAGAACCATCCAGAACACAGTAGTCCCACACAGAACGGTAACAGATATGTACATAGCCTGTAAGCGTGGATTGCCATAAAGTCCGAAATATGTGGAAGTAATACACGTCGAGCTTATGGTTAGTACGATCCCGAGGTAGTCCAGTTTGAGCGTACGGCGCGCCATCTCAAAGGAATGGGAGTTCATCCCGTGGAAAGTAGCCTGCCGTGGTTTCCATCAGCAAATTGGCCCGAATGAAGAGAGAAACAAATAACAGGGAAAAGGCCATGAAACTCCACAATTGATGGGGGAAAGCTCTCGTCACTGACCGAGAAAAGCAGGCATAGTGCCGTACACGCAAAATAAAACTGCATCATCGCCAGGTCGCTCCACTTCATTCCTCCATTTCTCCCCTTTAAGTCTTTGAGCTGCAAGTAATCCGCCCCAACCAACAGCGCCAGGAAAAAAGTCGCAGGAAGCAGGTGTGACCATGTATTGACCAATTCATTATGTGGATACCAGAGTGAGTGTAGACAGTCGTTGATAGCTCCTGTAGATTTTCGATATCCCCGCTGGATATGCGGATCCGTTTGCATCCATGCTGGGAGTTGCTCGAAGTGCAAGGTTTGGAAAACTGAGTCTATGGTTGCGGATGTAATGGCGCCCACCTTCTCTGCGGCGTCTTCGGCACCTCGTGTGGATTCGATTGCAATTTGTTCTGTTTTGGCAGCAATTTCTTGTGTCAGGGTAGTGTTCTCGCTATGGGCTGACATGGTCTCAGGAAGCTCGATGGTAACTTGACGTATGCGAAATATTGGGAGAGAGATGGAGACGTTGAACAGAGACTGGGCGAAATTTATCAGGAAAGTGATTCAACGGATTGAGTGACTGTGAAGACTTTCTGGGCTTAGCGGGAAGCGGCTTCGGTGACGTCGAGCCACACTCTTTCCTACCTAGACGAACCGTACATACATACGTACATAAATAGAATAGTGGGGCTGGCGAAATAACACGAGAGCAAGGATGGCAGAATGTACTCGGAAAGATTCGATACATCACACAACAGGATGCGTAATCGATTACTACTAAAGCTGCATATTGATAGTCTTTATGCTCTTCCAGAGCACTCACAATGCCACACACGAGGACGGGCGTTGGAGTGTAAGAATAAGAATAGGGGCTGTCTTCATTGGCAGAACGAGTCAGACAGGTAATCAGTGAAATCCTACGCGTGCAAATCTATTTCTTCACAGGTGGGAAATCTGGATTCCATGGAGTGGCTCTAACTAGCATCCTGTCTCCTTCTCTTATCATGCTTCCATACGGCGTTCAAAGGCACAAGTAAGAACGCGCAGCCTACGGCCATCACAACCCCACTGTAGACAGCTAGGTTAATGAAAGAATCGGCGTTTATGGTCGTTACGATTGCGCCTGCGATGGGTGCTCCAATAAGCACGCCTAAGCTGGTCGCAAACCACTGCATGCCGAGGCGTGTACCAATCACACTCGGCGTTGGCGAAACCACCGGATGGGCGACCACAACGGGATTGGACGAGATCAAGATTCCAGAAAAGAAGCCGAGTAAGACGGCGAAGGCAAAAAAGGAGCCCAGACTCCGAATACTAGAGAGGAAAAGTGAAAAGTTAGCGATCTCCTACTAGAGGTGCAATCAATATGTTATCAGGACCTGAGCGCCCCTGCATCGATCAGCATACGTACCCAGTCCACCCAAATATGAGAATCGTAGAGGCTACCACGCTGAACAAGAGAACATTCTGAGCACCCAGCTTCTGGGCAACAATGGCCGAGCCCAAGCGACCAAAGCCAGACGCGCCGTTCAACGCAGCCAGCACGTAGAACCCGAAATCTCTGTCTGTTCCTAATATCGTGGAAGCGAAGTATGGGACATAGAACAATGGCACGAAGTAGGCCATGAATATGAGAAAGTTGGCCACGCAGTAGGCACTGAAAGTCTTCTCTTTCATGGCGTGCCAGTGTATGATGCGACGTGGAGACGCGGGCTTTGGAGGTCTCGGTATGCAAAGAAGTATTGGCATAGCTATACAAGAGCAAGCAAGTTGCAGAAACGCCAGGACTCGCATTGTCCATGGATATCCGATTCGAGGTTGCAAGCGAATGAAGATGATTGGGAATATCACACCACCTAGCACGCTGGTGAGTCAACTCTTTTTTTCCCGAGGGATCTTGAGCTTGCACTTACCAACACTGGCTCCACAAGTGACAAATCCCATGGCTAACGCGCGCTTTGTTGAGAATGTCGTGTTTACAAGCGCAATAGCTGGTACATAGAGTAGACCTGACCCTATTCCAACACAGAATCCGAAAGCCAGCATAATCTGGTAGTACTCAACTGCCAGGCTTACCATCATCATGCCAAATATCACCATTAAGTGGCCGAGTGCCATTAAGTGAAGCAGATAGCCGCGGTCAAATAGAGGGCCAGCCACCACCCCTGTGCTAATGAGAAAAAAAGCGTTGACGGTTCCAATCCAGGATATGTCGGAGGCCGAGTGAGATGACAGAAGTTGGTCAATATAATGCTCCTGGAATGCACCAAAACCGGTAGAAGGGCCCCATGCGATCAAGAAGGATAGACATGCTGCAAAGACAGCTAGCCATGCTTTGGTGCCGCCATCTGGAGGACCTGGAGGTGTGCTTGCTACGACAGGCTCCTTCTGAGTCTTCGCGTTACCATTGGTATCCTTCTCTGCGGTCGAAATAGGCTTTGGCATTTTCTCCGCCATGGCGCGATGAGTATGAAGATAAGCGTAGGCAGCAGGTGGAGCGGAATTCAGCTGAAGTGCTGAATGGAAGGTATCAAGAAAGTGTCGAGTACCGAGGCACGACCGTTGTGGCTTTTGGGTCGTCTTCAAACACTTTTAAGAAAGAACTTTCTTCCGCTTCTTGGCGAGTGGGGAAGGAAAACCCAAACCGCTCCGCTTGGATCTAGTACGAGAATACTGGCAAGTGCAGATGGATAAATCGTGCAGTATTAAAATGATGTGATGTCATGGGCGACATTCAGTTTCAGCAGGTGTGTCCTACCAGAAGACCATGTTTTGCTGATCAGAAGCCAATCAACAAAATACAGCAGGGGTGACGCAGGGTGCTTCGCATAGCACATGCAAGAATGATTACTATACATTTTGTGCTGTTTCGGGAGTACTCACCCGCGCATACATGATATATACGAGCAGGCAGAACAAGGATCAAAGTCCGTCCTCTCGGGGTGATGGTGCCAACTGCAAGCCTTTGGATCAGTACGAGAGTCAGTTATCCACTACATGTATGTTATCTGCAGCTGCGATAGCAGACATGATGTTTCAAAATCCGCGATAAATACCCTTCCTCCCGGCACCTCGTCGTTGTTGATTGCGTTGTTTTGGAGATAAAATGTCAAGAACACTTGCCAATTTCATCAACACCGGCCCCAGAACCTCAGTGTATACACCGTCAGAGCCAGCCATTGGCGAGCTCGTGATAATATGTACATGGCTAGGTGCAGCAGCGAAGCATATCAACAAGTATGTAGCAATGTACCAACGAATCGCACCTGGAGCACGCATATTGCTTATCGAATCGGCTGTGCCCATCCTGGTGAGCAGTTATGCCCGTCAACACAAGCACATTCAAGCGGCAGTACGTACAGTCATGGACACAGTAGCAGAATGTGACGGAAACGGTCTTGTCACGACAGAGAAAAAGCCAGTCCCGAGTCCCAAGATACTGCTCCATGCTTTCTCGAACGGCGGTACCAACACAGCAACTCAGCTTCTCATCGTCCTCCGTCAGAAGAGTAAGGGACCTCTGCCTTTACTCGGAATCGTCTTCGACAGCAGCCCAGCTAAAGGCACATATTGGAAGAGCCACTCGGCCATGGTCCTGAGCCTGCCACCCAACTTCGCAACCCAGCTGGTGGGAACGATTGTGGTGCACTTTCTTCTGTGCATGCTCTATACGTGGATCGCATGCGGGAACGAAAATCCGGCTTCTTTGCAAAGGCGGACCATGTTAGACAAGGAGACGGTGACGGCTTCCAGCGCTACTGTGGGCGATGAAGATGGCATGGGGAACGCGCGATACATCTACAGCAGGTCTGACCGCATGTGCCAATGGGGCGATGTCCACGATCATGCTGAGGAAGCCAGGCGGCGGGGGTGGAATGTGGAGGAGGTGGTATACGAGGGCACGGCACACTGTGCGCATTATTCTGGAGTAGACGGCAGGCAGAGGTATGAGGATGTGGTGGAAAGGCTCTGGTCGGACGAGTCAGGAGTGGAGGTGGAGGCTGCATCCAAGTGGGGTGGCGGCCCTTCCCGCCTCTCCAAGCTCTAACCAGCCTAGATCGGCATGCTTAATTGATCAGCGCCCAACATGATTACTGAACAACATTGAACATCTGCATCACATCTCCTCTCATGCGCTGCACACATGGAGTATTGGCATTTGTATAACTCTACGCAGGTGACGTGTATTTGGTCCGTGACCGCCTACGCGACGACGCTTCATATGAGCCATTTACACGCGTACAGGCAACCCCATCACAAATTCCGGCCGACACGAGGTCCTGCGCAGTATCCACTTCTTATTCACCGGTCCTCGAATTGAATTCCGACGGCTACCAGTACTCTCAGTATCGATGACTCTTCGTCGTGCTCGTACCAATCGTATCGCTTAACCAGTGCATCTTTCTTATCCGCGCTGATAGTCACTACCGACATTGATTCATCATCTACCCATCGGCTACTTATTGGGTCACCGTTTCGGGTCATGTTTTGGACGTTGGTAACCCTTTAGAAGTTTTTATTTTTATTTTTCACTGAATCTGCACTTGCTGCACACCCGTGCTTGTATGGGCTTCTTATTTGCTAAACCTAGCATTTCCCAGGGCGGACTGGCACTAAAGGCATGAGGGCGGGCAAAATGGGCATGCAGGCACACTGTATTCAGACTGGAAGTTGTAGACGGGCATATACATCATCTCTCGGTAAAGATTTCTAAATACACTCTAGATATCAGCTCTCTGCCTCAGACTGTGGGTGAAGTTTGATACTCCGTGCCCATGTACGTGCCGTCTGAACTCAAGCATGTAGGTAGGGATTTACACATGATACGCAGTAGCTCTATGCATACAATTAACAGTGTGAAGCGATCTTGAGTCTGATATCAAAGTGTGTTACAAGCCCGATGGCGGTCCGGACTCCATTTTCGGCCAAATACCAGCAGCATCGCTTGATATTTCCAAATTCCGGTACACCCTGTTGTTGGAGTACAAGTGCAACCCTTTTTATCATGCTGTAATGTGATGTCACAGTGGCTTGCAATGTACAATACGCAGCTAACAATGGATACTGGACACAACTATCCATGCGTAGCTAGTCTGTGCGCCTCCCAGACGTTCATGTACCTTCTGTTTGAGCCACCCGTTGTACCGACCAGTATTGCGGGACAGAACTAGAATGGCTTCAGATAAGGTGTGTATTGTCAATTGGGAGCAATGCTTTCCAACTCCAACACTGTCGTCGATATTCGAGACATTTACTATCCACTATGTACGGCTTTCTAGTCGTAGTGACAACTATCATCAATTCGGCTCAAAGCTACATATTTTCCTCGGAGCATTACGATGCAATCAAGCAAAAATCTTTGCTAGCTAGCGATGACGGCTTTGGGCAGAACGAGCCTTTTGTCCCCACCCCCGCACACCTCCTGCCTTACAAAAAACCTTTCAAGATTGATGAAGAGCACAACTACTACAAGGGATACGTGAACGGTTCCGAAGACGGCTACATACGTCGCTCATCTTGTCCCGCTGTCAACGTTTTAGCGAATCGTGGATATATCAACCGCTCCGGCCGCAACATATCATACACCGAACTCTCTCATGCCGTGCGGAAAGTATGGAACTTTGGTGACGACAATGTAATCCTAGAAGTTTCCAGCAAGCATCTCTCAATTTTACACTTACACTCAACAGAGTATGCTTGTCCTTGCTCCTACCTTCGCCCTTCACGGCTGGCCCGACACGATCGATCTCGACATGTTCAATGTAAGCTCGCACTTTCTGCTCTCCTCCTCTAAGCGTAATCCAGATTCTCAAGAAACTAGGACGATCTAGTACAGTTTGCCGTAAACTGCCCCGCCGCACCCACACGCAACGACCGCCAAGTTGGTGAAAATGTTAATATCAACATGACGTTGTATGAGACGTTGGTAAGCTACTCTTCTGATGGAGAAACATTGAGCCTCGAAGACATGGCCGAGTTCCACCATTTACGGCATAATATGAGTAAAGCGGAAAACCCATTTTTTGTATTTGGAAATCAGGGCGCGATTTGCTCATTGTGAGTGCATTCAGCTTTACCGGGTATATTCAGACCAGGTCGGACGCTGACAGAGTTCGAATAGTGCGCAATACACGAACATGATGGGTATACTAGGTCGGTACGGTAAGCATGGCAGAACTACCCTGTATTTGGAGGATGTCGCGACATTCTACCTCAAGGAGGACATCCCTCTAGGATACATGAAGAGAGAAGAACCGGTAATTAGTCTTTTCATTTTCCTGTCTCTCTTCGGGGATTTCTGTGAAACAGATCTAACTTAGACTGTCAGTATTACTCTATGGAAAGTAATGCTCTCATCGACCGCATGACACATCATATTGGGTACACAATCCAGCGACCATTCCCTGATGATGATCAGTCACCCGGAAGGGATATAGAGCCTGAGGTTGCACGATTCGAGAGAGAGAAGAGCAGATGTCCGTTCACTGAGAAGGAGAACTTGGAGCTATGATAACCCGACAATCAACATGGTCTCTTGTATTCATTTTCTGATGACAGGACTCCAGGACATATCAGATGGATTTTGATATATATCATAATTAGGAATATGAACCAGAAAACTGTTCGCCTTCTGTTGTATTTGTTGCACCAGACCGCTTGCAGCATTGAACGCCTAAAAACGCTGTTACATGAGCTGCAGTGTATCTCCTTGTAACTCTCCGACCTTGTGTGCTCATCAGACATGCTCTGCAAACACGATAGCAAGATATTAGATATTATTGATTACTTGGTGCTCATCCAACGTGTCTCGGATAGCCATGGTTTGCTTTGCCGCCCTTCGTTATCGTCTGTCTCTCTCCAGGCAGTGACGCAGCGCTCGCCGCCCCCACGCACTGCAAAAGTCCCCTGTTCACAACATGACCGCGGTATGAACCTAAAGATGCAGGATGTCGCATTCTCGCTTGAACCCGGTCGCCACAATCTACAGGCAATGCAGGAGAAGGTACTCAAAAACTGTGTAATGATGTTGAATTTCTCCATGAGGGCATCGATACGAGTACACGGGCAGGTTTTCAAACGATTTTCTTACAAATCGACGATCACATATTGTACTATGATGTTCAGGCAAGCGGACTCGGCGAGCTCACAGTGTTTCGGTGTGCTATCGGCGCAACAGCAACCACTTGCACACTGCTCGTGCATGATACGCTGTGCCTTACTTCCGAGAGATTGTAAGGTGAAGAAAGCATGCATGCCGTCTTACGCAGGCTTGTGCAGCGGAAGCTGCATGTGAAGAGACATAGTGAGTCGTAATAATCAATTGTTTTCTACAGGTGCATATGGGAAGCTAATGTACTCATGTGCATGAGACTCGATTGAGCCACGGTTCCTTGAGGCACTTGAGTAGACATCAAACCATAACTGCTAGAACGAGCGGATAAGCTCATCCCATGAACTGGAGTTACTACTTCTCAGCTCCATTCCGATTGATTCAACTGAAAGAAATACAAAGAACTGAATCTTAAATGCGCACGCCCAGTTCTTCATTTTTGAGAGCCGTGCGTGGCGGGAGTGGGGGAGTGGGATGATCGATAGGACTAGCACATTTCTGTGCGAGGTGCATGGTGTCGTCTTCGAAGACAAAGCAAGCTTCTGCGGGCCGTACCGAACCATTCCCTAGATAGCAAGTCTTATGCATGATTCATAGTCACACGCTGATGTCCCAGGTAACTCAGCACAGTCTCAACAAGCTTCAGCCCCCATTTTGCAGCTGGAATCGTGTAACTGGACCAGAAGACTTTTTTCCATTGCTGACACAGTGAGTTTGAGGTTCCGTATAGAGTATGCAATACGAAAGACGACGGCGGCGATGAGGTTGCCAATCACTGCAAATGATAAGCTGCGCAAACAGGAATACGCACGTAATTTTGCGGTCAAGTTAATCTCATTTTTCATTGAATTCCAACTGCAGAAGTCGCCTGATGTTACAGACCCACAAATACTACACAACAGGACGTTGTAGTTCATGCTTCCCGTTCCAAGTTGCAAACCAGCTCGCACGAACCACTGCCTTCAATGGTTGAATACGTGGTTGACCATGAACCTGTACCTACTTATTGTACTATGGGGGACATGCCAGGTCGTGTTTGTCTGGCAAAATAGCATACCCAAGCCATTTAGATCAAGCAAACGCCCACTCTTACTCTTTCTGCCACTCGGAACGCCCTGATCAACACCAGTACCACTTTACGTACCACACCTGGACTACGAAAAGGACACCTCTGAGATTGCGAGGCCCTACTGGACAATTGCCTCAGCCATGCAATGCGACATCAACCATGTTGGTTATCGCAGTTCGCGTGGGATTTCCCAAAGAAAAACAGCACGTATTTCCGTTGTTCTGCTTACACGAATGAAAGCGATATGTGTATTGGCCAAGTTCAATCAAGCCTTCGCCTAGATTAACTACAGTAGTAACGGGACGGTCACAACCGGTCTGGCGCACACCATCTGGAGATTGTCTCGGCAATGGCATGGAGAGATTGGCCCGAGCTATATAATGATCGACTCAAATGCAAGCAGATAAGGTGGCTGCTCAATAGAAGTAGTTTATACACGGGCTCGATGCTTTTTCTAGTCTGCGCGTCTACACATTCGCTTCACCATGCAATGTTTCGCGAATGCTGTGTTGTTCTATGATGATTCCCGCAGCCATCATGACTATAAACACGTATTTGTGCGCCTACTGATATCCCATATTAACAGCTGAAATATATATGATAAATCAAAAGAAAAGAAAGGGACGATGAGATGTTATGTCTTCTTCGACGATTCATAGGGTAGAGAACCACACATGTGATGTGCATCCCGTCATTTGTCACTGAACGAGGGCCGTTTCCACAAGGCGTTGATTCGAGTGGACCAGCAGGCTTCCTCTATACACACAAGTAATACGGGATTTTCCTCGGATCTATGGAGCGCCAAATGAATGGCATACCCTGCGGACCGAAGCCGTTGTCGTCAAACACCTGCGCCCGTATATGATCGCTGATTGACTCCATTGTGCGTTTGAACTTTGCTGCCGCCTCTCGTACACTATCCGAAGTCGCGGCCAGGAATTGCTTGCCGGACCATTGATTGACGAGGTTACCATCCCACTCTTCCAAAAGCGGTCTATTGAATCGGACGAGTAATGATGCTTGTTTCAACGCTTCAGTGTCGTTGTGCAGATACGGCATGAGGTCGTCGATGCAACCTTTGCATTCTGGCAGCGGTTTTTGAAAAGCTGAAGGGTGTAGGGGTAAGATTCCTGCCGCCTCTCCGAGTGTGGCTGCATTGAGTACGTGGTGCCCGATGCCACACAAGAATGCAATGTGCGACAGAATGTTGATGAGCTTTGCTCTTTCTGTAAGAGGTGCTGGATGGAAATCCAGGACGTGGGCGCCTACGTGCGCCTCCACCATCCAGTCCTGCACTTCCAGGTCGTGCGTGAGCAGCGCGTCCGAAGGGTAGTAGCTTTCCACATAAACTGTAACAAAGTCCTCGATGGCTGTCATCATCGGTTCCACTGTCTCGTAAAATGGCATTGACTTGAGCTGGGGCCCATATGTGCAGTTAACAAGGCCGCGTGTCACGAGGTCTGGTCGAAATTGACTGCTGCGGAAAAGTCCTGCATATACTGGGTACATGTCACCAGCGAAAAGTCGGCCAGCTTCGTTGTTCAGTGCGAATGATTGATCGAAGAAACCGCCAGGATTGTAAAGCACCTCGTCTCCTATCGGTCTGACAGCGTAAGCTTGATACATTACTACATTTTTGTCAGTGTGTTGGCTTCTCCATAGGTTTAGAGAACATACATCGATCGAGCAGTCCTCTAACTGGGTGTCTGCTGCTCATAGTCCGGAGAGCAGCTTGGTGAAGGGGCTCCGCCACGTCGTGAGTTGCAGCGAGATGGAGATTCTGACCATGGAAGAGATCGTTCATTTCGAATGACATCTTGGCTATGAGCCAATCATTTTCGTCATCCAAGGGCGTGTAAGTCAAATTTCTACCCACATTCGTTTTTATCGCAAGAGGAAGGAAGTCTCCAGACTTTGGATGTATGTAAAAGTATGCTGTGCAAGCAGCAGTCCAGCGTCCGGGTATGGTAGGATACCCGGCTTGTATGGAATGATCTGCCACGAAGAGGCGCCCAGTCCGATGGAGCTCTTCTAGGCTCATATTTGTGAGTTTTTTGGCAGTACTTTGTTCGACCTCAAACGGCAGAATTTGGTCCTCTGGATGAATGCGCTTGACAGCATAGGGATTGTTCGATAGACGCTCCATGGAAAAGAGAAGATCTTGCGTCCAATTCGTCAACATTCCAGGAGAAACTCCATCTGGGATAGAGTATTTCCATTGCCCGTCGTACAAAGTTGCATAGTCGGAGAGCGTTTTGATACCACCAATCTAAGCTGCATTAACGACAATAACATAGTTCAAATGGCAAGTTTATTTACCTCCGCGAGCGCCCGCGCTGCTTGTGGGATCTCAATTCCATTGACTTTCTCTGTTACATACTGGACATCTTGGAACCACATCTGTTTATCCCTTTGGACCATTGCATCTCCAAGTGGCCCAGTGGGGAAGTATGAAGTATTTCCTAGTAGTGGCGGACCGTACTGATACCCGATACGGTTTGATCGGATTTCCTCTGCCCTACTTACAGGTTTTGAATCGAAAACTGGGAGTACGAATCCATCATTGGTGGGGAGATTGATGGATGGTTTGTGATCGCTCAGAACTTGCTGTGTCCCATCATAGGGTAGAGACAAGCAGATGGCTGACAGTAGAGCGAAGGTAAGACCGTTCACAAAAAGATGTGAGAGCATTGTCAATGTATGGGACGCTTTCACTTCAGAGGAAAGATGTCAACAGTAAAAACAAGCAGCTCGGATAGGCAAAACGCTTTATATCATTCTCCGTGCTTCGAATTGTTATCAAAATCGTGTGGCGTGACATACAACGTAGAGCCTACAGTCAACAAAAATGCTACAGCAAAGGTAAACAGAGCCTATCTGATCTCAATGTACGTCAGTCTATGACTGCCATTAGCTAGCTTTTGCCATTTTTCTAACGTAAATCTACCTGAAGCCGGGAGTTGCACCAAAGGGACGGAACTGCCCTTGATCGCTTCACGGGATGTAAAATGTTGAACTTCACAGCGATTTGCAAATACTTCGCTCTACCCTGTTGTCTTATCATGATCCCACCTACATCAACTTCTACCGGAGGATCGACATGCTGTATATCCGGCGGACGGCATAACGGCAAATCTTACGAGGTATGTCATGAGGGCTTCGGACTGGTCGGATAGATATACAGATCAAGAAGGATGACGTTGAGCAAGGGGGGTCTCAACACTGAACTAGCAGGCCACAACATGCTGTAGCTATCACATGTAAAAAGCAAGAGACAGAATGCAGTGCTTGGGAATGATCATGCATATTCAATCATACCCCATTTGGCCACTGATGGGCCGGCTGAGATTGCTCGGTACGAGATGTTGCAGCATTGGGGGACAAGACTAGGCACACTACGGTAGGTCCAGCGCTCTGCCCACTGCCACTCCATATCCCGATTTTACGAAACTTCCAAGCCCTTTCATCATGTAGCATACGAGCGTATGATCTCATGGGAACCTCCATGGAGCAATCTTCCCGGCTGACCCCTCTCCAAGCCGAGGGTATTCCAGCGTGCTTCTGACTGTCCATTCCCCATATCAAGTGCACGCACACTCTTCCTCAAACTTGCAAACCACATTCGCACAAAACTCAATTCTTCTTGTTCAAATTATCGTCAACATGCTGCCTCTATTGTACCAAGCTCTTGCCGTCGTTGGCGTCTTCTGTGTTACTTTTCCAGTGGTGGTACTGTACCAGAACCGTCGTCCCAAGATCAATTTGCCCGGTCCAAAAGGATGGCCACTTATTGGACTTGGCCTCGATCTGCCTCGAAGACCACGGCAGATGTTGAACGACTATCGAGAGAAGTACGGTGACATGTTTCAAATGCGCCTTGGGTGGTATGACTGGGTTTTCTTCAACAACCCGCGGGACGTTAAGGAAGTTTTTGATAGGAAGGTATGTTATCTTTGGAGCTTCGTGCTGCATCCTAGTCTGCGATTGGAACAAGCGGCTAGCTATGGGGCCCAATCACGTGACAATTTTGTATCAACAGACGTCTACATATGTTCCCGTACACCACAGAGGTTACGCAAGCACTGCCTGTGATTGTCCTTCATTTTTGGACTCTGTTTTTGGAGGCGTTGCCACGTTTGCTGATTGATGGATCTGTAGGCAGCGATCACCTCACACAAAGTAGCTTTACCCATGGCTCACGATTATGTCATGGGAGACAATGGCATCTTATCCATGACCTACAGTCCCAAGTGGAGGAGAATGAGGGGATTCATGCACCAAATCTTGACTCCCAAGGCTTCCGCTGCCTTCATTCCTAGTCAAGAATTCGAGATCAAGCAGCTTTTGAACGATTTTGCTGGGGAAGAAGGGAAAAACAGTACAGACTTTTACATGTTCATTCGCCGTAAGTGTGTTCCCGACACCAATCAGCCCCATTAAAGAGTATTCTGTGGCACTGTGTGGTGTTTTGTGGCCTGTCGTACTTGTTCAGATTTGACTGACTTCTCTGTGCTGGTGATATCAGGCATGACCTTTTCGATCATGATGACTTCGACGTACGGCACCAGAATCCCGGAATGGGATTGCGAGGAGGTCAGGGGCGTGTATGGCAACATGAGAATTCTGTCTATAATCTTGAGACCAGGGACATTCTGGGTAGACGTTTTCCCACCTCTGCGCATCTTCCCTCGCTGGATAATGCCGACATATTGGCTGTTGGCCAGGAAGTGCAAGAAGTTCATGCAGGATAGCACAATGAAACATTGGTACAAGCTCAAGGAGAAATACCAAAACGGCCAAGCTCCAGAGTGCTTCGCAAAACACCTTATGGAAGCCAATTACGAGGAGATGGGACTGGATGAAGTCACAATGAGCTGGCTCGCCCACGGTAAGCTTCGATCCACTCCATGCATACTCGCGCGATCCCACTCTAAGTTCACTCAGCTGTCCCCGAAGCTGGTGCAGAAACCACGGCCAGTGCCCTCAACAGTCTGTTGATGCACCTTGCCACGCACCCCGAAGCACAGGAAACCGCAGCCCAAGAAGTTACCTCAGTGCTAGGAGACTCGCGCCTGGCCAACATCGACGATGAAGCCGCCATGCCGTACATCCGCGCCGTGATCAAAGAGATCCTACGCATGTGTCCGGTGGCGACAACAGGCTTGCGCCGCATGGCGGGTGAGTCCTTCGAGTACAAGGGCGTCAAGGTGCCCAAGCAGACAATTCTGCTAGCCAACATCAATGCGCTGCACTGGGACGAAGAACGCTTCGCTGAGCCATACAAGTTCAAGCCCGAGCGCTATCTCGACCACCCTTTCCGCTCAGCCGTGTATGCCAATTCGGCCGATGTGGAAGGTCGCGATCATTTCACCTTCGGGGCCGGAAGGAGAGTTTGTCCCGGCATTCATCTAGCTGAGAACGGGCTGTTCCTGGCGGTTGCCAATTTGATCTGGGCTTTTGAATTCAAGAGGCCTTTGGACAACGTGGGAGTCGAGAAAGAGATGGATATTGGCGACGAGGCGTTCTTGGATGGCGCGATTCGTATCCCAAAGCCTTACGAGGTGCGGATTGTGCCACGAAACAAGGAGCGATTGAGACTGGTAAGGGACACTTGGACTGAGGCACAGAGAGTAGGCTATACCTTGAGAGGTATGGAAGTGGATGCAAAGGGCGGGATCAAGGTGTAAGGGGTATTTGTTGAACTCCGGCTTTGGGTGTCTGTACTATGCGGTAGTGTCACTCTGTGTAAGGCAGTGGCGTAGTGCCACGAGCGGGTGAGCTTGCGAGGGTAACAAGCGTAGTATGTCAGTACAATCTTACGAGTGGGAGTGTTCGCGGGATTCGAAAGTGAAAGTGAGTATGGGTGTATGATCGGTCAAATTGAATGTCGGATTACCATGTCCTTTGTTTTGTCTGTGCAACAAAAAAGCAACTGCGTGAGTGATCATACAAGAATGAATGCATCATCCATGAGAGCTCTCCCCGGAACATAAAGTACATTGACATTCCAATCTCAAGTTACAGGTTAATCGCCCCTGGGAAACCATTGTAGTCTCCTGTGCGCTCGAAACCCACTTAAGAAAATGCTCACAATCCCTTAAATTTCCACATGCTTTCTATCGCAAACCTTCTCACTGTGATGCCGCGTAGCGAACCAACACCGCCAAGTACTATAACAAACAACATACACCGCCATTACACGATCCATAAGCATATACAACGTAGGATACACCAACGTAGATAGAGGAGGCGATGGAACGAAGTTCGTTAAAAGCAGCACTACGTTCCCGACAACATTTGGATAGTTGTCAATTGTCACGCGTTTTGGACGGCAAACTACCGATGTCCTGGGACGCAGAAGGAAATAGAGGACTGTGGCTTATATTAGATTTTAGGACCAGTCACGCACAGGGAAAACAAAGTAAAGAACGTGTTGTAGCTAATAGAAAGCCAATCTTGGAATCTACCGAACTCCTCACTCCTTATCTAAGGTGAACACTGCGAGATCCTCCTTCGCCGTCCAGGTGACGGATATAGCAAAGGCGCACAATGTGGTGCACACTTTACCGTCATGACTCATGTGCCCTGCCCGCAATGGATCACGAAGCTTCTCTACCGAAGGGACGAATACCTGCTTCCAGGGCATTCAGCTGCCAGCGCCTCGGTGGAACATCTGGCTCGAAGAGTATAGTGACATGATAAAAAAACGCCATCCATGGTATGATGTGATATGATATGATGCAATGCAGTACTGGCGTTATCCACGTCCAGCGTCAACGGCCAATCAAAAAGAAAAAGGTAAAAACCGATCCTGCCCAATGCAATGCACGCTAAAACGCAGAAAGTGAATCGATAAATGGAAAAAAGGAATGAGCCGTTGGTAGCGAAAATGGTGTACAGAGAATGAAGCTAGTGTTCAGCGGAAATCCGGCTGCTGAGGGATAGGAATAGGGAGAGAATTGAGGTGGTGGGGCTCTGACCAAGCGCTGTGGTCCATATATGGAAGTGGGCCAATACGACGCTCTGTCATGGGTCGGCCGAGTGGCTGGTATTGCATCTGCTCGTAGCCAATATTGCGAGCGGGGCTATGCATCGAGGTTGAAGGAGGGGGGACAAGAAGAGTGTGAACCCCCCGGACTGGACGGTAGGGTGATTGTCTTTGACTCAAGAAATGCGAAGGCGAAAGTTGGCGTTGAGCGGAGGTAAAAGAGGCACTGAGGGGCGACGATCCAGCAGAGGGTGGGTACGGGCTGACTTGACGTGAACGGTCGGTTCTACTAGGCGTATAGGTGGCAGGGAACGACGGAGCACCAGTCGAAGTAGGTGTACTGACGGGTTGCTGCCACTGCACAGGTGGAGGGTAAACCATGGCCATAGAGCGGCTTCCAGAGACGGGAAGAGGAAGATCGGACCAGTTTTTAACTTGCATGGGCGGGTTGGTTTGTGGTGTTGGTATAGAAAGGCTGGGAAGTGGCGGCAGGCGGTTCATAGTAGGTGGGGGCTCAAACGACCGCTGTACAGGCGCTTGCAGGGTTGGAATGAGGGGGCCGTTGCTATAAGGGCCTGGAGCAAACCCGTGGGCTTGCCTCTTCGGGGCGGGTTCACCGCTATGATCATGACTGCGTTTGCGTTGCCCAATGGGCCCCAAATCTGGAAGCTGTCCGATTGGTGATACAGCTGTTGAAGTGGCCTGAGGTTGCAGGAGCGGCGTATTGGAAAACTGCGAGTTGGTCGGTGTCATGAGCAAGGTGGATGGCGGAGAAGTCTGTTGCGCAGAGACTGGAGAGTGTGTGAATTGCTGAGAAGCTTGTAGCGAAGGCATCAGCATGCCTACCGGGCTGACAGCGCCGGTGGTTTGGATTTTCGAAGCTCGATCGAAGAAGGTTCCAAACTTCCCTAAGGTTGTGTGCCAATCTTCCCATTCCTTGTGCGAGGTGAAAAGGCTGTACCGCATATTGCTGAGAAACTCCACCTCCATTATGTGCACTTCCTGAACCGAAATGCCCGAAACCTCAGCCCACGTTTTGTTGGTATAGGTATTGTCGTCTAGAAACTTGTTGCCCAGCATTAATGCTACGGTCAGCAACCGATACTCACTGCCAGGCTTGCCCTTGACCGATGGGTTTGCACGCTTCAATCGGTATATGAAGAGCAATGCAAGGAGGATGACATTCTGCGCGACTTGGGTTGTTGTGAGGATGGTGGCTACCCATTTGCGAAATCCTGGGGTGGGTAAAGCGTCTGGTACGAGGGGTAAAATGTTCTTCGGTGAGCTGGTTCCTACCACCTGTTTGAGGATGGTGGAGCTCTCGAACCAAAAAAGGCACGTCACCTGTATAATTGTCAGAACCTCGGTAATGTCCGGATTTAGGGGCTCGAAACTCACTTCAGCGGCGAGTTGAGGAAGACCTTCTTGCGGAGTACTGATGGAGGGCGGAACTCGCAGATTGGGAGAGATTGACCACTTCTTCTGTTGCCGAGCATCTTGTGATTGTTGCGGAGGCTGAGCTTCCGGGCTGATCTGAGCGGTGGCAGCTCTGGAGTTTCCGATTGCGGGCAATTGGTATCCGAATTGCTGGCCAGCACCGTCTGTAGGTGGCAGAGAGACGAGTCTCACGGCGGAGCCCGGGATTTCCGAGGGGGGCGTAAGCTGGCGACGGGTGTTTGATCTTGAGGACTCCACCTCATAGCCCTGAGGCAGACGAGGGACGGGTAGTTGTGGGAAGTTCATGGTACGGGTGGAATCGAGCTTGTACGTGGGGCGAGAGGACGAGGAGGAGGGAGGGTAAAAGTCGAAGGGATGCTCTCGCGACACGGCGTGAGGCATTGGATTGGGTAGCTGTAGCTCGAGCATGGGGTCGGGTCGAAAGGTGAGGTGAAGTGGGACGACGGCGGACTAGGAAGGCAGGAGCTCAAGCGATGGTGAAGGAGGAAAGTGGCGTGCATGTAGAAGAACGGGTAGGGAAGGCGAGACAAGGTCAGCTAGACGAGGAAGTAGTAGCAGCAGAAGTAGAAGTAGTATAAGAAGAAGAAGAAGAAATGGAAGAAGAACAAGTAGTATAGTGGAGAAGGAAGCGGAAGCAAAGACAAGCAGGCAGGAGGCAATTGCGTTTGCACGGCTGGATGACTGTCTTCACGACATGGCGGACCGGGGGTCTGCGGTGAAGTGATGCAAGCAGAACGAGGCTAGGCGTCGGCGGACGAGCCAAGCAAGGAGACGGCTCGGGGCGAGTTGTTGATGGTATGCTCTGGCAAGGCAAATATGCTCCTCCGGGGACCAATGAATGCAACCCTGGTTCCGAGGAGGGTAAGTGTTGGTACAAAGTAAATGTGGGTGGGGGGATGGTCAGAGCAGCAGCAGCAATAAAGGGAACGAAGGAGCAAGCAGCGGAAAGGGAATGGAAGGGTAGTCCAAGGCCCGCCCGGGATAGGACACACGGATCAAGGCAAGACGACGCAGCAGCAGACGACGACGACGATGAATGAATGAATGACTACGGCGACGACGACACCGGAGCTAGCCAGGATGGTGAGATGGGATGAGAGCAGAGACTAGACCGGGAGCGGGAGGGAATAGTGTACGGTATTGAATATGCGTCTAGATGGATGGATGGATGGATGGATGGATTGATGTATTATTATTGTGCGTGGGTGGGTACCAGGGAGGGGTATGTGTGTGTGTGTGCGTGAAGGGGGGGGCGGCGTCAGGGAGCGATGGGTAGGCAGGCCGGTACTAGGTAGGTAATGTTAATAATAATAATGATAATCATCAGCATCCTCGTCGTCGTCCTCATCCATCAGCGGGAGCAGCAAGCGTCGACAGGGTGGGCTAAAACATGCAAGCGCAAGAGAGTCAAAGGCGAGAGGGAGGTCAAAAGTTGGCGGGACGGGGGAGGCTAGGTGGCAGGCCGTGGCTTGGGGCCGTTTGTGCTGCGTTTGGGTTGGTGTGGAGACGGGCGGGCATCAGGTCAGTGATGACGACCCAAGGCCACAATTTGACACACACACACACAGGCATGTTCAGCAACAATGGGGCAGGTGAATGAGACCAGTCGCCAGGGGACCACGGTTTTTTTTTTCTTCCTTTCTTCCTGTCCAGGAGCGGCGAGGAGGAGCAGTCCGGTCCAGCTCAGCGCAGCGCAGCACAGCACGCAGGCAAGCAAGTAAGCAGGCAGGCTTAGACCAACTAGGGATGTGTGAATGTGTGGGTGGGTGGCTTGTCGGTGGCTCGGAGCATCTAGACAGGTAGCAGAAACAAGCCGCACGTCCGTTTGTTGCGTGTGCGTGTGTGTGTAAGAGGTTAGATTAGATTGAGGATGGATGGATGGAGGATGGAGGAAAGAATCGATGGATTGAATGAATGATGGCAGAGCAGCGGGCGAATCAGGGCAATGGCTTGGTTCGGCCAATTGCAAGTCATGGATGGCACAAAGGATAGGCAGTGTTTGTTGGTCCAGCAGCCAAGTAGTAGGCTTGGTTGGTGTGTCAAAGCCGCCGACCAGGGTACCGCCATATATGTATGCACAGCACACTACGGGACAGTCCTGTACAAGCACTGCATGTAGGCAGGTAGACTGACTGACTGGAGACCACAGTGAGCAGCAGTGTGACCGCCTCAAACCAAGTGCGACCGATTGGAGGTAGGGATACTGTACGCACCCCCTTCACCACCACCACCACCACCACCATCACCAACCACCCCACGCAGCTGTCCGACGGGACTGATTGACCGGCCACCCGCCTGGCTGAGCGAATACATGTAATGGAACAAATATCCAGACAAATCCAAATGCAGAGCCGGCCTGTCTGTCTGCCGGCCGCCTGCGCCTTGTCGACTCTGATGCTCTATGGCTTCACGCGACATTGTGGGCTTGCTCCTTGGTTTGCCCGTAACCGTATCCGTGGCAGGCCAGACCGGGCAAGCCAGCCCAGCCAGCTGCCGACCAAGTACCTGACCAAGTACCTATGTTATCCATCTACCCAGCTGGGTACTTTTTGATACCGGGCCCGAATGGTGGTGCATAGCACACTGTTTGTCCTCCTCTCTGGAAGACATACATATCCCGACTCCGTGACTGACTAGATAGTCGTGTAGTACAGGTTGAAGCTATGCCGTGCCGCTTTTTCGTTTTTTTTTTCTTTGGTCGGTCTCTCGTGTTTGTAATCACGGCGAGAGCGCCAGGGAGACAATTCAATCAAGAACAAAAGAATGGAAGCAAAGACCCGCCGCCACCATGACCGGTCTCCATCCATGACTTGATTCCTGCTGGCTGCCCAATCATCATTAGCTTCGTCACGTCCTTGCATCTACCGTATCGGATTTGCTGTCCACTTCCCTCTCTGTCCAGACACCGTACCCGTTGATTCGCCCATAGACGCTCGCTTACTCGAGTGCTTGGAGATGCCCGCTGCAACTTTGTGCTCAACCATCAATCAATTCGTTCGTTCATTCAATCAATCCATCCATCAATCAATCCCTCATCGTTTCCTGCGTGCAGCGCAGGCACCCAAGTCGGCCGTCCGCTGCTGCACAGCATGCAAGTATTTAGTCACTCAACCATTCCGGTGGCGGTACAATACGATACGGTACCACCAGCAATGCGCAGCGCTGCCTGCTTGCCTGCCTGCTTGCTTGATTGAGGGAAAAGCCAAAGCCGAGCTTACCGAATATCGTCTTGGGCAAGAATTTGTTGGACAACCACATCCCAGACAGAGTTGCGACGGCTCGGCCACATGGATCGTAACTTTGGCACTAAATGCCCATAAACCGTGACTGAGGTGAGCATTCCTCTGCGCCCCCTGGAAACCCTACCATCATCAATAATCACTCTCCGTAGCGAAGTGCGCAACTAGCAGCCATGCCTCCGTAGCTGCTAGTGCGAGGCGGATGGTGGGGATAGCACCACTACAGCACTGCAGCAGGCAAGCCAGCCGGCAGAGAGACATCATCATCCCCATCATCGCCGCCGCCAACATCATCATCATCATCATCATCATCATCATCATCAGACAAGGTCCAAAATGGCATTCTCGCGTGTTCATCGTTTCCGCTGGTTCCGCTCATAGCTCGGCATCATCCAAGTCATGCCCCAACGCCGTCGTGTTTGATTTGCTGTCGGACATGTCGCAGGCGGCCCAGGACAAGAGCTACGCACTACGGTATCCAGATCAATACGAGGCACCACTGCAGCAAAGCCAAAGCAATCATCGAAAAGCGCTGCGGAAAGAAAAAAAAAAGTGAGCGAGACGGTAGGGGTGGATGAACCAACCGTCTACCTCAACCGTCCCCCTAGCTCCGAGCCGGAACCCTGTCCAACGCAACTGCTTCGCAACCTGAGCGAGTGGTGATAATCAACGAGCAACTTAGCGGGGAGGGGTACTTTTTTCCTCCTTCAATTTTTTTTTCTTCTTCTCCTTCTCTTGCGTTCCCTTTTCTTGGGTCTCGTTGCAAACTGCGCTCCGTCGTGCGCACCGCGCTTCCAATCACAGTGCCCATTTTCTCTGTCACCAGCAGCAGCATAACTGACTTTGGCTTGGTGGTGGCAACCTCCGGCCAATCATGGGCATATGTACTCGGGATCCGCCCGCCAAAATGCACCGTTCCAAGTTGAGGCATTCTGCACCGCAGGCTCCAGAGTCCTAGGTTCACGTTCAACATGGAAAAATGGTGACGCTGAAGCCTATGTATCCTTGCAATACGAAACACGCATCATCCAACGTGATATTCCCGCCCGATAGACACTTCATTTCCTGCTGCCCACAATCACATGGATGCACTCATAGATGGCTGCCTGGATCCGTCGGGGACCGGTGTTGGCGCTTGGAACAATCATCAGCCGTATACTTGCATAGTGCGTGTGGTGTAATAATAAAGTGGAAGGTGATGGCCTTTGAGGGGGTCGCTCGTAGGGTTTCACGGGCGGCGGATGCTTTGTCTCGCCTCGCTTCACCCTGGCCGCGAAGGCTTATCGCCCGCTCAGTGCCCTCTATGTGTGCATTTATGTATCATGAGAGTTGATGAGTGCATTTGAACAACATTCGAACCGGTCCGGTCCAATGCACTCGATCGGGGCCTTCCAGCAGATGGACCTCAACTGGAAAGCAGCAGCAGCAGCTGGCGGCGGCGCCCGCGGTTTGCGAATCCGTCCTCGGGCCTTGACTTGGATCCCCGCAACACCATCATCCATCGTGACCCATATTACTTTTTGAGTCGGTGTTCCGCTTGGCGGCCTGCAGGCAGCATCAACGAGAAGATCAGAGAAGGGACCATGGCCTGGTCGGTATAGCAAAGGCACTAAGCGTGCAATCGTGATGGGCGGTGATGCACCCATCCATCCAGCCATCCCTTCACCCATGATGATGTGTGCATCATCATCCATCGAGCCCATTTCATCATCCGAGCAGGCGTGACGCCAGGGGCGCAGTGGTCTCGGGGGATGGTGGACTGAAATTGATCAAGTACGGCGAGCACGCAGTGATCGCTAAATTGAGATGAACGATAAGTCATGTCAGGTTGGTCAATCAGTCAGGCAGTCAGATATCAAGTGGGGGAGCAAGGTCCAGGTTGAAACCCCGAGACGACTGCATACGACGACCTGTTTTCCGCGCTTACTTGGTTGCTTGCCTGGTTGCTTGTTGGCTGTTGTTATCCAAGTGTGTAGGTAATAGCGAGCCACCATACTGGGCAGCTGGGCAGCAAACGGAGGACCACAGGAGCGCGCTAATCAAACACCAATTCATCCACCCATTTGTCCATACGCCGACTACGCAATCCTTCCATAATATTCGCCGTGAGGAGACGAACAACGGATGCAATGAATGATAGACTACGTATTTGCTGGGGTCGGGAATCGGCTTCCCCATCACGGACGGCGACGCACGCCTGTTGCATTCCAAGCAGGGACGACAGATGGTCAGCCAGCTAGTTGTTAGCATCTATACTCGCATCGCATCCCTACTCGTCTGGCAGTGTTTTTGGAGATGCTACTAGGCCGGTGCTCCATGGTCCACGGTGCATCTTATTACTCGCGAAAAGCCTTAAGACCGCCTCCGTCCCGGATAGGCCTTGTCCGATGACAATGGCGGTCGCAAGCTGAGAGCCACGTCCAAGCGCCGGGAAAAGAGGTATCGCTGATACATACGTATGTTCAATGTGCCCTTGGATGTGCGCAGCATTTGTGTTGCGCCTGACTTTTCCTGTAACCACCTGCATATGTGTCTTTGTCCTTCTCGCCCTTTGACTCCCTCTCGTCTGGAGCTCGGTAAGACGTATGATAGCCGAAGGCCAATTGGCAACCTTATTCCACCAAAGGACTCTTGGAAGTTGGAGAGTGGACGGGGGTTCCGGACCCAATGCAGCACATGCGGAAGGTCTGGCTTGGGGCTGATGGTACATGTGCTTTTCTGCGGTCCAAGCCGCTGTGGGCGGAGTGGTGATCCAGAAGGAGGTCATCAAACATGGACGGCGGAATCTAAATGAAATGAATTGATAGCAAGGGATACGCAGACGCACATGCACATGGGTTGAACAAATGGAGGAATGATTGCATGCAATCAATCATAAACGAATGATGCATATTCATTCGTGCGCTGAACCCAACAAGGCCTCGCATGGCCGAGTCGACTAGCCATCAGCTCGTTGGAGGTGGAGCATCCTATGTGCCGTACACAGCACAGGTGAGATGGAGTCGATTGATTGCCCCGCAGGCGACTGACGGCTGACGATTACGAGTCGGTCGTTGAGGCGTTGGGGGTTGCGAGGACCCAGCTAGGCCGCATCTGGCCCAAGTATTGGTGTCGCGCATTGGTTCGCTTCTTCCACGGTCGCGTCGCGAAATGTTGCATTTACGCGTCGTCGTATGTCATCTTGTCTTGTACATGTATCCATCATCTACCCTTTTGCCGCCATCGTCCCACAGCCTGCCTGCTCGCCAAGCGTGCACCTCTATTGATTTGCATTCCCGCCATGATGCAGACTTTGGCATTCTCGTCGTCTGTGTTGATCAGTCGGAACACCCTCGTGGCTGACTGGCTGACTGCCGCTTGCAATGGAAAAGTCAATTGCCCGCATTAACTCCGGCCTCGCTATACCACCACTCCACTGCACATGTTCACGCCGCCAAGGGGTGCAGGGATGCCCGTATCTGCAACATCTTCCTTGACCAAACGTTAGGCACTTACTCATCACTCCAGAAAAAGATGCCCAATTTGCATCCATCGGCACGTTGGGGCAGGATCAAACAAGGGCGTCGTGTGAGAGTTCCGAAATTTGCACGCACTCGTCTTACACGCACCACCTCCCTGCTACAAATACAATAGACACTTGCTTGTACGCACCGACCAGCAAGCAGGCCTGTCCGCAGCAGAGGCGAGGCTGTGGACCTCTTTTTTCTCCTTCGATAGCAGCGACCCTCATCTATCTGCGGGTTCCCAACTGCTAGCCTCTTCCTCTGGCCCGCCCGTCGCTTTGCTACCTGTACACGCGCGCGCTGCAGATCCCTTGTCCGTGACTCTCTGCAAGAACTAACTATGACTCTGTCACTGGCACGCCGCACCAGCGAACGGGAATCCAGAGCAATCACCCCAATCCTTCTAGTGCACACCTCAATAGCAATCCAGGTTGCAAGGCCTCCACCCCTATTACCGTGGCGCTTGAACCCGCTTCGTCGACGCATCACTTCATTCCAGCCGTGTACCGCCCCCTTGACGCTGCTGATGGTTGGTGATAGCCACCACCGCAAGGGATTCCTACAGCCGTCGTGTCATTAAACACCCTCCTCCCATGGCCCGGCTAACTCCTCGACGAATCACCGTCCCGCCCTGTCCAGCCCAGCCCCATGCTGTGCTGTCTCAATAGCCCCAGCGCCCCTCCCAATTCCGCCATGCAAGCGAACAAATGGCCCGGAAACAATGCGTGCGCATACGAAACATTTGCAATGTCAGCAGCAGCACCGCGACCCAACACCCCCATCCTATGTAACGCAGCCGCCGCAGCCCACAGCCATGTACAAGCCCGCATTCTGTGCGCCCAAGTGACAATGTATGCGGCAGATGTCCAACTAATCTCGGCTCCCTTGTTTGCATACCTGGCTCTTTTTCCATGAACTCCCTTTAATGAAGGAGCTGGGCGAGCTGGGGGGTTTTTTTTGTAACTCACGAGGAACGAAAATTCTCGCCAAAATCCTCGATCCAGGATGGGGAGGAAGTCCAAGAAGCAACAACCTTGACTAATATATGTGTCCTGTCTATTTTGACTTGTACAAAGACAGTTGAACGCAATTGCTACCCTGCTGTCTCCCTTTCGTTGCTTCTGAGACAAAGGGAGAGCTATATATACACTCACATACCTGGTTGGATGGCACTAGGTAGATATGTAGCCTATGTGTGGGCGTGGGTGCTCATGTGTGTGTGACATTGAATCATAAGGATGTAGAGATTAATCTACATAACCATTTTGCTCTCTCTTTCTTGAGTCGAGGACAATACCGTCTCCATCTTTCAACATTGTCTGCACTTGGGGCTACCTCGAATATACTTATTATGCCCAATAAGATAGTTAAGTATCGGTGGTCTCTATGTGCGCAGACAATGACCAAGATGGAACACCTCACTCCTCCCATTTTCTGCATGAAAGTAGATCAAAAGTGAATGAGTGAATGAGTGAGTGACCTGGTGGATGCATGGGCATGGACAAAGCAAGTGTACATCTCGGAAACAATTGATCATGAAGAAGAGTTGCTACACATTTGACTATTTTTCTATCGAGAGAGACACGTCGACTTGCAAGAGTTGTCTTTGTTTATCCTATTTTCCAAGAGCTGAAAGTCTGAAGACTTCCCGGTGGTTATACTTCCTTGATCGCGAATGGAAAACAGTACAGTGTCTCTAGACGACGAGAAAATCTCCCCTCCCTCGACTAAGCATGGTAAATCATTGGGATATGAACTAGTTGTACGCAATGTATATATACATACATGTATATATATATGTGTGTGTGTTCGCCATGTCGTTACATGTCGACTGTCAACCAAATATGCCCATCTTTGCATATATTACTTTTTCCTGAACTCTTCATCATATAACCTACATCAAACGACAGCATCTGCTGTGATTTGGCTAACATTGGTACATTCAGCCTATGCAGAGAAACGCAACGGAGAGTACCAAGAGAATGCTGCAGAGAATCTCTTATACAATCTCTTGTCTGTCGTCTATATGATTTCAATATGAAATTCCACTCACTTTGCCGTATCCATTATCATTATCAGAGGTGGCGTTTCTAATTATGACATTGATACCTTCCCCTCTTCCGGTTCCGTTCATACGAACCATGTTGTTTGTTGAATCCGTTTTGTGTGGTCCCTCCCTCGTCCTTGCAGTTCGACGATGGACGGCGGGTATCGAGTCTGCTCATTGTCCCGTGCGAGCGGCAGGAAGGGATGGGTATGATTCCAAGAAGAAAGTATGATCGGAGAGATGGTAAGAGAGTGATGTGGACAAGCCAACACGGGGTAAATGGATCATTTGCTTTCGGCCCTAATACTGTTATATTCGTAGATGTATCCACATTCGATGGTATTTTTGTATACAATGCATATATTACATATAAGAGACAATGGCACCACCACCCATATGAACCTCTGCTCTATAGCTGTACCGCTTGCTCTTAACTGACAAAGCCTAACCCACACGCATCGTCCAGTCTAGAACAACCTGTTTTCCACGGTAGTTTTGGCTGTCTTCTTTTTGGTATCCGGCTTGACGGAACCCCTTTTCAAGGAGTTTGGTATCTTGAAGAACAAACTTGGGCTCTCGCCTTCTCTCATCTTATAGCTCAGATATCCTCTATGCGCCGGGTCCCTGTAGTATTCGATATCCTTCCTCGCCGTGGCATCGGGGAGTCTGTACTTGTATTGTTTGGAAACCTGGCTCATGAGAGCGCTTAAAGCTTCCTGTCTGCGCAAAGTGACGTTTTTGGACAAATAGCGTTTCTTCTTAGGGGCGAATGCGGTTTGGAGTTGGCTGAGTATGGGTGATGGGATTACACCAGTAGACGAAGTCTTTGCCACCAGCTCGGGGGAGGCTTCTAGAGAGATTGTTGGATGCGAGTCACCCCGCAAGACTCGCTTGAGGGATGTTGGACTGTAGTAGCGTGTGGTCACGGAGCCGCCGAGACTTTCGACTTTCGCAATTGCAGAGGCAGAGGCGCGCGAGACAATGATGTTGATGGCGGAGGTAAGTGCATCGACGTCCTAGCACAAGCATGAGTGTCAGTTTCAATGTTCGATTTGGTAGGCTCATAGAACATCAATCTGTATTGGTGGGGCGACTGAGAGAGCTTGGGAAACATACTCGTCCCAAAAGTTTAACGCCATGTCTCTTGACGCCATGTAGACACCGGGATTTGTGTAGCTCCTTGATTGTGATCGGCTTTGAGGCATCAATGCGGCCTTGGTCTATCCACGATTGGATGCGATCAAGATTGATAGGTGACATTTCCACTTTGAATCTGTGTTTCCCCAAGGACATGTCTGTCAGCATATATGCCAAAGATATCCAAATTCGGCTCTGATATATATCCTATAGCTTTTCCAATACCCGTGAGATAACTGATTGAGGGGCGACTTACGGATTGTACTTGTTCCGTCCTCTTACAGGTGTTGTGACACTCAATGGCGTCTGTCCACCCTCGAACCCAGCGGGTACTTTTCCGTGCGCATGCTGACCCTTTTGACCTCTTCCCGCAGTTTTTCCCTTACCAGAAGCTGGGCCACGACCACGGCGAATCTTCTTGCTGTACGCGCCTTTGTTATCGGAGAGCGAGGAGAGAATCGAAGCGAAGCGCTGCTGGGTAGGGAGCAGGAGTGGGGATATCGACGAGGTCTTCGGTAGAATTTGCGATTGGCAAAGAAGCGACGAGCCAAGGCGCAGAGCCTTGAGCCGGGGAGGCATGATGGGTGGTTTTGGGATGGAACGCGGGTATAGAGGTGCTCGGTGGTGATGGATTCGAAAGTTTGGGATGTCGTATGACTAAGCGAGGAATCGTTCTCAGAAGCTTGGCATGAGTTTCAATCCAAACGTCTCCTCTATTATCCCGACTACACTTGATGTAACCTAAACCAATCATTCATCATGCACATCTATATTTCTAAGCCTCGTTTTGATTTCATTGGTTTTGGCCAAGCTCTGTTCTGATTGTACTTCAATGATCACGAGCAGGAAAATGCTGAGCCCACGTCGAATGTTCTCTAATCCACATCGCCGGAACAAAGGATAGACTTAAAAGTAGTCAGCTATGAGTATGCTAAACTACTTGAACTATTACTCGATACTCGCCAGAGACCAGCGGGTGGACGCATACATATATTACCTGTCTGGCTGCCTGCTTTTCTATCCAGCGCGCAACCCCAGACATAAGACACAGAGCCATTACAGCCTCCGCACACCGAATCCACACATGCCAGACTGTATTCCATAAATGTGGTTACGCTTGTCACCAGTATCTACCGATTTTAGCTGATTGAAAGATATCAACGAACGAGGTCGTTTGCCTAGACCCGTGCAGATAAGAATCGCAACCTGCCACTTGCAAGAAAGATGGCCTACTCCGGTATTTTCCACTCTTTGTTCTGGAAAACAGTCATCACGGAAGTATCAGGGGCAAACTGATTAGCACCTGCCTGGCTGTAGTCGGGCGGAAGCACATGCACAGTACTGACTGTAACCTTTGGTATGTCGTAGGGGATCCCAGGGGCGCTATTCGTAGCTGAAAAGAAGTGTTAGTCATCTTGATGAAGTAATAGTTCTGATCAGAAATATCCAACCAACACATATTTCTCATTATATGTGAGAAACAGGCGAAAGAGGTAAAAGATCGGGAGAGCGCTCACCTCCCCTCCATATACAAGCCGTAGTACCCTCGAATCCAACGCCGCCAACCCCGCAGCTATGTTGTGGGTAGATACTCCAGTCGAAATCTCCGGAGCCTTCAAAGAACAACGGCTCGTTTTGGTTCTTGTCCCGACACTCCCAGCCCTTGGTAAGCCAGACAGTACGCTCAGGCGCATGTATAGAAATTTCACATTTGTAATGTTGATCACGAGGTTTGCCATCGTAGTATACGTTACAGTTGTAAACTGCGTCCTCGCCGCTACCACGAATAGGCGCACCATGGTCGTAGATCCAGAACTCGAAGTTGGGCCCCAGCACACCGACGGCATACTGTTGGAACGTCATGTTTGGGTAATACCAATATCTCATGCCACGAAAACCCCAGGTAGGGTTTCTTACGCTGTCAAACGTGCATCCACCGTGAACAGGCCAAGCTGTGACGAGAGAGAACGCGGGGAGCGTTGCCTTGCTCTTCTGTGTGCCGACAAGGAAGTGGCTGCCAGATGGATCGTTGCAGGTGGTTATAAGATCGTCAGGGGCTCCTGTGATGCCAGGGGTTGTCTCACAGTTGAGTTTAAGGTCGGTGCTGCCCGTTGCAATGAGCGCTGACACATCGGAGTTTTGAGTTGGGTTCTCGATGCAGTACCACAGTTCCTCTACCTTGAGATTGAAATCTGGGGAAGTGCCCGTCCAAGTCACGTCGAGAATTATCTGTCCATATTCTCCACCCGTGCACCGAAGGGGTTGCGGTATTGTGTACTTCTCGTATTCGGCTTTGAAGTCACATGTAACTTCGTGAGAGATACCATTGTTCTTGACCCGTAGTGAGAGATACTCGCCTTTAGAGATCAAGTCGCCTATGGGATCTAAACAAATATAGTCCTGGATGTACCATTGCTTGCATTGCCCAACTGCAACCTTTTTGTACGTCACTGTTTGCCAGAGGTCAGCGCTCGCTCAAAGCGCCATGTGGTACTTCAATAGCTTACCAGAATCAACCGTCCACTGCTTCTCCCCAACACTCGCACAACTCGGTGCATCGACACCCGGTGGCGCTTTTGGTTGAGTGGGAGTAAGAGGTACAGGTAATTCCAAAGTCCCAGGAACAAGGTAGTCAATTCCGGAGGTGCAGTCAGTGCCTTCACACGCAGTGATCGTTGTATTCCCTTTGGCCTTGAAGTTGATTCTGCTTTTCATTAGTTTCTGTCCACCCTCATAGCACTACACTCTTGCTGCGAACTTACCTGTCACCTTCGTCTCCGCAGATCCAGAAGTCTGTGATGCCTACTGTCGCACGTCCGTTGGATGCAGTGGTCAGAGTCGCGGACATAGATTCCCCAGCACTTGATAGCTGACATCGCGATGTGCCGGGCGAGCATGTAGCGTCAGCGTAGAGACCCGTGGGATCCGAAGCGCGATTAGTGATCCGGAAGCTGGTAACGCCGTTCACGACGCGATAATGGGAAAGTATCCATGAAGGTATGCCTATAGTTGTCAGTACATATCAGTCAGTTGTATTCAGCTGTATGGAGGCCTGAAATTTCGTAATGCTGCCTCTTTGGGACTTCATTGAGTATTTGGGGGCCGGAAATACTGACTCAAACTTTTATCAGTACACCTTCCACTAGGCCATGTTGGAGCTGTTGGTATGTCGATAGCCCACGCCGCGGACACGAACAAAAGCAAAGCAGCTGTCAAATTGATAGGAGCCATTTGATAATGTACAAAAAGCAGGCTGACACGTGTTTAGGAAACGCGCGCTGTAATAGAGGGGCTCAAGGATGCCTGGTGCAGGAAACAATCTGGTAGATCGGTGCGATGATACTTCCATATATAGTCCCTTCTTGATCTCCCGAGTTGCATGATCTTATGAGTCGCTACCCGGGATAACTTCTATTTCCAATCATTATTTGTTATCACGCAGTGACCCTGTGATGATCGTTATGTGAGAGAGCTACTTCATTATTCGATCCTTCAAACTATAGTATGTCCTACCTAGAAAAGGGAGGAGGTAGTGTCTCTGGATACCTTTCCAGTCATGAAGGTAAGGGAGCCTTGTGTTGCGATGCATTTAGGCGGAGCTAAGTAGATTAAGACTTAATCTAAGGTGCTGAAAAGGAAGGAGTGGAGTGCATGATGGCATTTGCGGGGATCTCTCGAGTCCCGAGTCGGTATACCACACAAGACATCCAGCACGCTGCTTCTACAACCTCATTTCTCTCCTTCTTGCCATTGTAGGCCGAATACTATCACAACTTCTGTAGGACAGTAAATTGTGATATAGGTTGTAGAATTTGTGAAGGGCAAGCAGGAGAGAGAGAGTGGTTTACACTATTAAACCACCCGCGTGTGGAATCCTGGCCATAGTGACACTATGGTATGTGGACGTTGGTGTGGTCGTCTTCCAAGAACATGCTGCTCTTCGGATGTGAATACAATGAACCAGCCGTGCAGGGTATAGCAAATGCGGAAAGAGATAGTATGCTTTACCCGACTATGATAAATCTGAATTTGAAGGACGTCTTACGGAGATTTGATACCCATGGAGCTCATCAAATGACTAGCGTATATTGAAGCACATGCAACTACCCTATGAGTAGTCGACTATCACTGAGAACCCAATACCAAAGCATGGAGTTTGTACATATCAAGATTCGTTCATGCAAAGTCTAATGCTAATTGGAGTCGAGCTAAGTTATCTCGTTCTATATACTGCCTAGAAATGTCCTTGACTTGGCGGGAGCATTTCTTGTCTGACGCAGTCAGAGTGAAGACATAGGAGACGTCCATTCCGGGTTTACAATTGGGGTACCGAATTCTCCATTTCCGCAGTATAATCCGGACAGAAAGAGCCGAATGTGTGCTTCGGCTACTACTGATACTTTAGCAGAATTGTCAATCCCACCTGCGAGAATACGCAGTGCGCATGTGCAAGTCATGTACGTGACAACATATGTGGATGACCTATCATAAGTTGAATACCAGGTGACCACACTACATTGTAGATATCTCCCGTTCTGACGCGGTTTTTCCAGGAATGAGATTCTAATGTGATTCGCCCCCGCTTCGTATCCACGCGCGGCTTGTATCCTTCAACCCTTTGACATGTGTAAGACGCGGGCAAACTTGATTTTTGAGTGAACAACATAGTTTTGCCGAAGTAGATCTATGGATAGTTTTGTTTTTCGCATTCATCCTGGCGGTAGGGTCAGCCGATTTCCAGCAACTTCGGTGGCCCTGCAGCTACAGTTCAACTTTCCTTGAGTCTTTCCTTTCTTGAACGGAAAAACAGAGGAAGCAGTAGTAGTCTCCAATAATTTATCTTGATCATAACGACTGCTGTGTATCTGGTATAATCTCCATTTAATTTCCACTGAAGGACTAAAGTCTCAAGTGTTGTGCTCATCTGTATGCCCGAAGAAGAAGGTAGAAGTGAAGGATTGTCAGCAGGGCAACCCCCGACTCGGGCCCAATGGTCTGTATGGCCTCAAACCAGTATACTCGGTTGACTGCCGAACTATCAAGTTGTGAAGCTTTAGTACATCAGTTTATGACATAACACCTGAGTATTCCATGTTTACAAATCGTCACGTAAGCAATGAGTGATGTTTTGGGACCTGATATGCTCGATTTCTCATCGCCCATTTTGAGAAACGGGGAACGGAACATGGTGTTTCCGAGTCGGGGTTGCAAGGATCCGCCATTTTTCCTCGGTGATATGGGCGATTGGGGCTGCAGACACACATGCGCACCTTCTTTGCATGTATCGATTGGACGAGATGTGCCTGTTAACTCATTTTAAGAGTCCAGTACAAGCTTCGGGCGAAGCAAACCACGTCTGGTGTTCCTAAGCTTCCTTTATTTGGCTATATAGACTGGAAGCGCGGACTTTCCAGTGCGCAAGTATACAGGGAGTTGTCTCACGCGAGTTCATCGATGCTGCCGCTATAAACATAACAGCTTGGATGACATTCGGAAACAGCATTACTCTTCAACTATGAGCAAGCATTTGATCTAGCACATGGACATGTCTGCCCTATCTCATTTCACGCCAATGTATAGAGGGCTCTGGCATAGATCTGGTGCAAGTTACATCGACATATAAACTTGTCTTAGCACGCCTTGTGACTACCTTCCTTGGGTGGCTGTGTATTGATATTTACCATTTTAGAAGGGAGAATTTGACGCATCAAAGACTAGCAATATGAGAGAGCGCTCAGTAAAATCCAACACCAGCACAACAGCATTGAAATAGCAAGCATTCATGGTATTCGGCAGACTCTTCCATATACCGTGCTATCTTTGCCAAACTAATGTGGTACACAATACAACAGCTTCAACAACATCGTTTTTCGAGAAGTCAACTCTCGTGAAACTATAAGACACGTCCCGTGCTATGCTATTCAACTCGCATGATTTTGCGTGGCAAACGCTCTGTAGTAAACTTGCATATCTTCTGCAAAATCTACTCCATTCGTTGAAATCAATGGCTCAGTAGCGGATTGGGCCCACAAACGCCCACAGTGCGTCTCATCAATCAACCATGTTGATCTGCACTTCTATATCACAACTCCCCACAAGTTATAACTCCATTACCCAGCTAGCTAACGTGCCACCGCGCCACGAAGCACATGAGAATCGAACAAGAGGCTTTCGAGTTAGTGAAGCCTGAAGATGGTCGAGGCATATGGTTGATAAGTCGCAGATACAATCCTAAGAAGTGACCGGCAACTATCGTGCGATCGTTTCGTGTATTCTTAGAGTGTTTGAGCGATGCGACACTCCAATGGTTTCCACACACAAAAACTCTTAGTCTCAATCCTTTGTCCAAAAAGGCAATAGAGTGATCGGCCTGCGACTCCTAAGGAAGATTGGAAGCGGTGTTCTTAACGATCAGTTCTTAGAGATCTCTCTCTGTGTGAGTATCAGATAACGGCGCTGATACACGGGATCTGGATCAACCATATAGAAGATCTTGACTTGCTCATGCTCGCTCTATCCTTTTCCGTCGAACTCTCGGTCGAGCTTAGCCAGAGCGGCCGCTTTCTCAGCGTCGTGCTTGACACCCTGTACTTTCACAGGCATCTCCCGCATGACCTGCTGCACCAGCACTTCTAGCTCTTTGGGGTCCCTAGTCTCTAGCTTCGCCTTTCCTTTGTTTGTACTGCCCACCGTTGGAGCAGGAACTCTGGCTTCGCGTTTCCTGAGAAGAACTTGTCCTTTTGGGTCCATATATGTTTCGTAGCCTTGCTGATCAAGGACCTCCTCGGGAACACGCACGCTAACGGGGGATTGGCTTGGTGGCTGTTGCTGTGGGACGGGAGGTTCAGGTCGTCGGGCATCAGCCGCGTTTACCTTCTCCTTCTCGTAACGTTCGAGGGCGCGAATATGGTCTTGGTTCTCCTTGTTGCCTTCCATCAGGAATCGCAAGCACATGATAGCGTGTTCGCGTATGTAGGGATTGTGCTCATCGTACGAGCAGCAATTCAGAACCGCTTCAATTCCACCAAGAGGGCGAATCTGGTCCTGGACTTGACGATTTTTCCACACAAGTGAGCTCATGACCAGAACGGCAAGCTTCTTAAGGTTCCGCCATTCAAACTCGGAAGGTTCGTCTTGCGCCTCGTCGATGAATGGGCGTGGTGACGGCATGTAGCCTTCAGGAGCCGAAGGGTTCGCAGACGTATCGTAGGGTCTCTCCACCGCTACTGGCTGGGGTTCAGGCTCTGCGAGTGGTACAGGAGCGGGCTGTCGCGATGCGGCAGTGAGCGGGGGAACCGATATCTGCCCCTTGGGAATAGCTGCATCCAGCTCCTTCAGCAGCGTAACCAATTCATTAGCGACTTCCCAGTTGCTCAGCATGGTCTTCCAGGTATCGTGCTCAGTGAGAATCGCGAAGAACTCTAGGTATTGATAAACACCTTCATACATGCGCTCCATGTCCCACAAGTTTAACGGGAAGTCTTCAGGCTGCGCATGTCCTGCCCGAATCTGTCCCTGGAGGAAGATGAGTGCACACGTCTGCGGCAGAATATGGCGTCGAAACTGGGTGAGCAGGAAATTCACCATGTGGGCATCTCCTTGGTCGACTTGGGCCGGCGGTGACTTCATGAGGTGTTTCGAGGGCGTACGAGCTTGACGCGCACGGAAGATATTCGTGAGAAGCTTCATGATGACGGCTTGGGCAGGGGATATTATGTCCTTTGACCTACTACGCTCGTAAGCCAAAATCTATTAGTGGTTGAGATCACTTACTCGGACTCTCGGAAAGCATGGTAGGCGAATGGAAGTAATCCGTTAGCAAGAATAGCCTCCATGATCTTGACCATGAACTTGAAATAAAGTTCATCCTCACGCAAATCCCATGCAGCAACAAAGATAAGAAGCTCTCGCAGAAGATTGCGGCCATTATCTTGAGCGAGAAGAAGATGGCATCTCACACTGTGCATGCTTCGTATGCTGCTAAACACAGCGGAGTCGGAATGAAAGCCGGGCTGGCCTTCTGTTGGCTCCACAATACCGGCCATGATAATCATTGGCAATACTTCTATCTCAGTCGGCCCTAAGATTAAAGGAACATCCGTCAGCAGCCCATGACCCTCGTCGCCGGAGTCGTCATAGTCGTCATCATTATCATCGTCATCGGGTGGAGGTGAGGCAGGGGATGCTACGTCGCTTGTTAGTGCTGCTGGACGATCTGGATCGGGCTCCAGACGCTTCAATAGATCCGCCTTGCCGTTCTGAAGAATCGTGGCGCCCACGTCTGGCGGAGAAGTCACGCGAAAATCGATCTCACCTGCCGGGGATGACCTGACGATTCTCGGATTCAACATGGTATGGTCCAGGACGGGCATGGTCTTGTTGTCCTCTTCGGATGCTGGCGGCGGAGATTCATCACTAGATGCCGCTATGGAAGACCGCATCCTGTCTACCTCAACTTGCAGTTGATTGATGCTATGGGCAAGAGCCTGTACGCTCTCCTCATTCTTAGCGTGCTGGTCCAGGACCTTTTTGTACACGCTAGACTGCGTAATTTCATCGCGATAGCGAGCTACGACATCGGCGTACAGCATGTTCCATTTCTGCCTATGTTAACGGTGAAATGTTAGAGACACAAGAAACTCACGCTTTTCTCTTCTTCCGACATGGTTTGCCACCGCCTTCGGCATTCAGCCGCGATCTCATTTCCGCCTGCTTTCTCGCCGTGCTGGAGTAGCCATTTCTTTACTTCGCCACCCACCTCCCCAATAAAGAGCAGAAACGGGGAGGACGCTGGCTGCTGTGGAATCTTAAATTGATCTGGACCTAGAGATATGTCTAGAGCGGGAACAAATGGTTCTTCTTTCGACGAAGACTCACGCTCCTCGTGTGGCATGGTATCCATATTGTATTTCATATCCGCAAAATTGGGGAGTTCATTCTCGACATGGCTGTCAAACAGTTCAATCCAGAGCATAAGTTTTCGCTGCTCGTTCCGCGCGATAATATTGTTCAGGAATTGAAGACAAGTGATTAGAAGTTTCTTGTCTAGGTGCCATTAGCCATTAGCCCGCAATCTTTTGTGCAGTTCTTACACGCATTGATGACACTCTGCCATTTATCTTCGTCTTGCGTCCCAGCCTCACCATCGTATCCTCGAGCCGTGACCCGCACACATACGTTGATCATTGCGTATATATCCTTATCGAACAGCCTCATCGCCGATAGATTTTGCACTTTCTCGCCAAATACTAGAACATTCCGTCCAATAGCGATGAGCTGATTGAGCCGTTCCAGGTCGCGCAAGAGGGTCGGGGAGTAGGAAGCGATAAGCGGACCGGAAAGGCCTTCGTACTCGGGGGTTACGGGATCGGGCGCGGCAAAACTGCGTCGCTCGAGGGACGGAATGGCGGCCTTGATGACGCCGGCGAGATCGTCCCAGAAAACTTCGGATAGACCAAGTTCCTCACTATTCGGTCAGTACAACATATATGAACTACTATATAGATGTTTCTGTAATAGGAAGAATACCAACTTACCGAAGCTCGAAATTGCGCCTGGTTTCTTCCAGCGTCTTCTTGACAACATCTTGCTCAAGCATGCGCATTGTCTCCTCCCTGATATAGCCAGGGTTTTGGAAATGCACCGTGTATGGTGCTAAGGCCAATCGCAGACGCGTCAGAAACGGCTGCGCAGAGGATTTCTCCTCCGCAACGTCTTCCGTCATATCGGAAAATCGCAGAACATGGACTGCGCAATCTTTCTGCAAGAGCAATCAGACAGCTTGGGGTGGTTCGTCTCGGTATTCCCACTTCTTCGACAATCACTCGTGGCAAGGTAGAGGGTTGGGCGTGGAATGGTGACGAAGGTAACAGGAACAACAGTTTTTCCGCGACATGAATTTTGGGCTCCGCCGCCGCCGCCACCATTTGCCCCGCCCCCACCAAACGAGCGGTTAGCTACCTACGTAGGTACATATGTAAGAGCAAAACATTAGGGACAGCTGGGCATAGGGCACATCTGTGATTGGAAAACAACTTTGTGTCTAATTTTTATTTATTCATTCCAGAAAACTTCAACAGGTCGCGTGGAAATGTACAGGTTATTCAAATCGTGATAGGCACGGCATGGCCCAGCAAACCACGTCAGAGACCCCCGTCAATCAATTTAGGAACCAATGTAATGTGAGACTGATACATAAACTCGTATCTCTCACGGGCATGAATTGTTCCAGAAGTTTGAAGTCTGAAGCCTTGCGAAGTCACCAAAGATGAGAAAAGTCTAAAAGAAACGCACAATTGTGAAGTGACGACTGTCCTCCATCCAGATCATTGGTAGGAAACTACAAACCCTCCGCTTTTAGCCTGGCGGCCATGAAGCGACTTACTTTCTTTGGCTTGCCGTCTCTTTCCTCCATCAACGGGTTGTTTGCTTCTTCCTCCGTCTCTTTGAATCCGCCCTGCTGCTGAATCATCTTGTTACGCATCTTGTGATACTCGGTGGTAATCTCGCGATTCAGCACATTGGGATCGAATTCATCGGGTGCGCGGTGTGCGAATGTATCTGGCGTATGCTCGATGACGGTGTTGGAGAGAGTCCGGCCGGTTGGTCCAGCGGGTATGGCTGGAGGCTCGGGCGTAGGCGGATTGGGCAGTACATGGGGTGCTTGAGTGGAAGCTGTGCGAGCGCTTTTGAAACGGGACACTTTTGCTGGTTTAGAGGGTGCCGAGGGCGCCGATGGTGGTTGTGGTGAGCCCGTCGAGCGCTCAACAATCGTATCGGCTATCGTGGGAGCAGGTGGGGAAGATACAGCAGGTTGCTGCACGCCGTCTGCTGTATCGGCGAAAGACACCCGCTTTTCCTCCGCTTTCTCGACTGGTCCTGCCTCTGGTTTGCTCATAGATTCATCAAACTCGCTGTCTTTGCGAATACGCAGCGACCGCACATCGTCAGCCACGTCGGCAAGAGGATGTAAATCGGGACGGGGCCCGACATTCTCTACCATACGCGCATTGAGCTTCTTCTCCAGCTCGGCCATCTGCTGGCGATACGCATCAGTCAGTTCGGATCTAGTGCTACGGCCGTGTTCATCCTCTTCCTCGCTATCCTCGCTGTCATCCTCATCGTCGTCGAAGTCTTCCTCGTCATCCAAATCCATCTCGCCCACGACCTGACCCACTTCCTCTAAGCCATATTGCAGCATATCCCTGCGAAGCTCAGACTCTTCCATGGTCTCGTCCTCTGGGATGACATGCGTTGCAGAAACTTCCTCGTCATCGCCGAGTTCATACACCCTCGAACCGGGCTTCAGATTCCAAGCCCGTAGATCATTCTTTTTCTGATCAGTGGGGCTTTCCGGCCTTTGTTTTTCAAACGTCTTGACATCAACGTCATCGGCAAAAGCGACAGACTTTTTCTTAGTTGAACTCCCAGTGGCTGTTTGAGATAATGCTTGCAGAGTAAGATTGTCCTTGTTCGCGGCTGCCTTTGTGATAGAAGAGATAGCGGATGGCGAGCCAGTTGACCGTGATGGTTGCGATTTCGTAGGTGTTGTAGCCGCAGGATCGTTGGTGTTGTTCTTTTGCTCAGCCTTGTAGACGCCAGCTTTCCGCAAAACATCCATAAGTTCTGGTGCGACTTTCCCGGGCTGGGAGACAGAGCTAGACTTAACCTCGTCATTTTCGTCTAACTCTTCCTCGATATCCATCATTGGGAGGCCCTCCTCGTTGGTAAGACCAGGATCGGCCAAAATGGACACCCCCTCGAGCTGTCTCTCAGCCTTTTCCAGCTGTTTCTCGACTGTGCTTCGGTTCTGCTGAACATAGTCAATGCGTCTCGATATCATATCAACGACCTGGTTAGCTGTGCGGTTCGTGTTCAAGTCTTTGCCGATCAACGCTTGAACCTCTTTCTCGTTGACCAGAGAACCACTAATTTCATGGCCTATTTGGATCATATCTGCGGTGGAGGGGGAATCTGCTTTTTCCAGCTCTTCTTTGAGCATTGCATATTCGACCTCCCATGTTGACCAATGCTCTAGTGCTTTGCTGAGTTTGGCAACATTCTCTTCTAGCTGCAGTCTGCGCTGTTCAATGCTTTCCATCGAGGGTTGCGAAACGGTCGCCATGATTAAGCGCGGTGGTCGAGAGGATGAAAGAATTGTGAGTGTGACGAGCGCAAAGCAGACGACGAAAAGACGAAGATCTTGGCGGCGCTAGTATCGTTTCGTCACACTACCACTCCGCTGTTTGCGTGTTACAACGTCAACCCGAACGTCGCGTTCTCGAGTTTCACTCAAATAGTCGTCTTGCACTGGGGCCTGCCTCTTTATTCTAGCTCGAAGTACATGACTTCTCAACTCACCTTGGCATTGATATATGAGCATCTATCGCACTCTTCGTTTATCGATTGCATTAGTAATCGATAATCGCGGTAGCTTTGTGGTACCTAGTATTTACTTAGATACCAAGTAGCTACCCATCATCACACCTCACGTCCTCCATCGCCACTCAACCACCACGCCGGCCCCAACATGTCAAGGCTCGCCTCCCGCGTGCCGGGCGCGAGCAAACGTCTAGCCCCAGACGAGGACGGTGCGTCTCCACATCTTCTTTCTTCATCTCTGCGCAATCTATCTCTGCAGCAATCACAGCAACATGGCGCCCAGTCCCCTGCTGACTCTTCCTCACAAGAACTCTGCAATGTATGCAAATCATCGCGCTACCTCAACCCCGACATGCGATTTCTGGTCAATCCCGAATGCTACCACAAAATGTGCGAGTCTTGCGTCGACCGCATCTTCACACATGGGCCTGCACCATGCCCGCTGGCTGGATGCAACAAGACATTGCGAAAGGCGAGATTTCGGACGCAGACATTCGAGGATCTCAAGGTGGAAAGGGAGGTGGATATCAGGCGCCGGATAGCAAAAGCGTACGTTTTATTCCTTCGAATAGCTGAACCCCCGAGTCATTGACCTTGTATAGCATGAACAAACAAGAATCCGACTTTGAGCGCCTCATCGACTACAACAACTACCTCGAAATAGTAGAAGAAGTCACATGGAACCTCATCCTCAATATTGACGTGGAAGAGACGGAGCGCAAACTTCGCCTCTGGGAGGAAGCTCAGAAGGCTGAGCTCAACCCCAACGCCACTTTCCGTCGCGTTACCGACCAGCCCGAAGCTTCGCAGCTCTCTGATAGCTCACACGTAGTGCTCAAGAAAGGCGGCACACAACGGAGAGCGTTGGCAACGTCCTCTGGCAACACATCAACTCCGTCGGGCACCGAAGAGTCGGGTAAGAGGGACACTGGGTTTGTCTTTCAGGGGTTGAAGAAGAGAAAACTGCCTCCACCGGAGAAGGCTTTTGATCCCTTCGACGGTTGGAGCATTGAGCCGCAGTACTACGCATTGCAGGAGAATCACAACTATCAGTGGCTCACCACCTACGATAGCGACCCAGCTTACTTTGCTGGCGGGTGGCAGACACGGGATTATTACAGCCGCATGATGGAGGAGGCCTTTGGTGGGATGTGCATATTTCTGGAAGACGAGAAAGTGGCGCCTCTGGGCTCAGGAGACGACGATGTTGGCACGCAGAACGCGGCGAATGCTGCTATTGGCATGAAGGATGTCGTCATGGATGATGTATTTTAGATTTCCTCTTTTTATGATACCCTGGGCTGTTGCTCTGCATATTGGGCGGCGCTATATCTTTTGTTGGCAATGATCAGATTTTGGTAGCCTTTTTCATTGTTTCGTTTGGAAACGCACATTGCGTTTGCATCCCATATTGCAAACGCCTGATTTTTGTCTGGTCACTGTGGCTGGGCTGTCATATACTGCAAACAATGACATCAAGTAGTCTGCGTCCAAAAACTGCCGGAGTGACAAACTTCCACGCACTGTAGAACGTAATGCAGTGTGTTATGCATTTGCTCTTACACGAATGCCGTATTAATGCGTGAGTGACTATGTAGAAGCTCATGTGTATGGAGTGTGAGACTGGCTTAAGCACACGATCTAGTTGCTAAGTCTATTTTTTGATCATCGCATATTCCATGCGGCACAAACACTGGGTATTGAAAAACACGATAAATCTGCCTTTGAGCTCCAGGCAGGATCGATCTAGTTACAAGGTCACTAAAACGATGGTCATCCACAATATACGAAGAAATCGTTCAATTTGCATTATAGTTGACAACCGCGAGATCCATCTCATCTTAGGAGGAAAACAATGTGGCAACAAGTAGCATCATAGGCTCAGCATTGCAATGAGGGTACAAAGACGTAATACGGATGGACGTGGTGAAATCATATCGATTTCATGTCATTGATGCCCACTAGAAAAAAAAAGCACAACGGCCGGGAGAGTGCGTACGTGGGGTATAGCATTGAAGCAGATAAAATATTCTAGGGCCTTTTGCTTGGAAAACGCATGAATCTCGGGATACTTCGATCCACCTTCTTCCGTCGATGTCGAGGCTCCAGACAACGGCTCGATGAAGACTCGAGTTGCAACACGCCTCGAAATTCGAAGGTTAGGGAATGGATACGCAATCGTATAATTATTTATTCCATTGCTGAAGTGTTGGTCTGCTACATGACAACACATTCAATAAACAAAGAATCCTACACTCACATACATGAATTATGCTTCCAATCGGAAAAATCCAGTATACCATTTTCGATGACCAGAGCCCTATGCTCCAACCCCCGCAATCTCATTCCCACCCACGACTCCATATTCTCCTCGAAAGAGCCTCCCTTCCTCGTCCTGGTCCGCCCACCATTGCTCAACGCTCCAAAGAAACCCTTTAGCAGCGAGGAACCCCCCGAAGACGTATGCCCCGGCTTTTCCTGCACCACCGAAGATCCACTTTGCTTCTTGAGGGTGATGTTCGAAGATCCGACGGATGGCTTCGAGTCCGGCTATGGTTATGGAAGCGCGGAGGATTGTCGATGGGGAGATGTATTCGTGCGGATGTTTTTCCTTTTGCGTAGGGGAGTGAGATTGAAGGGAGAGTTCGTCCCGCACGATGTTTTGGATCAGAATGTATGTATCGGGAGGAGGGGGACGGGAGTATGGCGTGGTAGGGGTGGAAAGCGAGAAAGCGGCGCGGACAGCGAGTCTAGCTTTTCTCTCGTCTTCACATTCCTCGGTGCCCTCTTTTTCAACCTTGTTTGTTCCCACACTGTTCCTCCGCTCATTTCTAGATGGTTTCAATGGCGATGGCTCATCGGTGTTGCAATCTTGTTTGGCCTCGTCCGCCCTCTTGAGCTCTTTTCGTACAATCTTCTTCACCTCGCGATGTGTCATGGGGATGCCCTCGCTACGGTTCATATTGGCCTCCCGCTCTAACACGATCATCATCGCCTGGAGAAAATCAGCCTCTACTTCGTAGTTGCCGTTCTTCAGTGGAGACGGCGAGGCGATCGGTCGGGCTGGTGACGCATATATGCCGGTCCCCTGTTTCGGCTTCGGCGTTTGTAGATGATTGAAGAGGGGAGTGCGTTCGTTGGGCACATCGTTGTCACTATCGCTCTCATTGTCTGAGGATGAAGATGCGGAAGAACTGGAGGAGATGGTAGGCATGTTTTGCTTTTTGCCGAGACTGCGCGTGTGCTTTCGAGCAAGAGGGGAATCCTCCGGGGCTCTATTCGCAGGAACCGCAAGGGCGATGGCTTGCACCATTCGTTCAGGTGTGTAGGACTCCATGGTATGACTGGGCTTGCGTGTGAACGTCCCTATTATTGGTAGCCTGGAAGCCAATGTCGTGACCGAGGAGCGGGTGGGTTGATTATATCCTTTGATGCCGTTGATGTATATATTGATGTGGCCGTGGACGGATTTTTCGTTGCGGACCAGTCAAAGATATTAGTGCAATCAGGTGATAGGCAGGTGGTTGAGTGCCCAGGTGCACACAGAGTTGAGGGGAGAATTCGGTTATATACTGTCGGTTGCCTGGGCCTGGGCACGCAAACGACTTGATTGCTTTTGTTGCCCGGGAAATCGATGGCGGAGAAAACAAGGCCCGTATGGGCGCGCATGATTATTGGCTCTTCAGTGTTTGCTTTGCTTTTTCCGAGGGCGATATGATTGCACAGGCTGTCGATTTTTTGGACTAAGCTCATTGGCATTTGCAGATTTGCTACATCGAGTGAATGTAGTGCCGAGTGCGCTTGATTGGGATAGTTTCTCATTCTTTTTGAGCGTGTTTAATATCTAGACTATCACAAGAGATCGGCTTTCTCTCATTTCTTTCATTTCTTCTGTGTCGGCCCTCATCTAATATGTAAACTATATTCCGAGGTGCTCCGATTGCCCAGGTGGTGACTTGTTGTATCACGTGATGTTAACTTTCATTGAGTCCATGTTTTGGACAGCACTTCAATGTAATAATATCATGGCATCTAGACAACCCAATGGTACAAAGGCAGGGTAGAGGGAGGGGCAAGATGATTCAACTCTGCTTAGTCAGATTCACTCACTGGTTGTTGCACCCAGATGCCTCTGTTCAAGATTCACTCACCCGTTACCGTAGGGGTTGTGATCCGTCTGATCGAGGGTCTTGCAAATGGATCCACTACTGGCTTTCCTGCTAAACACAACGAACTCATCCGCGGCGGGCACTCGAGCATCAAACAGTTTTCCAATGTCTGATCTACAGTAAGACCCGCATCAAGAGGCGAAAAAGGCAACCAGTTGAAGATGCACCTCATATGACGCAGCTGACGCATGGATAGTTCTCTTAGAGACATTGACTCGAGCGAAGCGGGCAGATCCAGCATACATGTATTGTGACACAGTGCCTATGCTGGGGGATTTGATCTGCAGTACGTCTTACTTGCATTCGGCGATTAGGTAGCAAGCAATCTGTCTCCATTATCCGTATGCTGTGCTTGTTCCGCAATCCGCGTTCGGTGCCGGTTGATGGAAAAGAAGGCACGACGAGGCTGGACCGGTAGGGGTACCGATGTAACGCAGACTCGCTTAACAGTGAGCTTAAATGATTGCAACGCTGCGAGGTCGATGCTAAGTTTTCACCGCCCCCAACACAGCCTTGTTGCAGCCTTGCCGTCTGGTCGTCCATCGGAAGCAGCTAAACACAACTCTCCCTTGAACAAAGGGGTTGTTGGAAGTTGAGCGGTAAGCAATGCAATCGGCCCACACCGACTTGGAACCGTCGGACATATACGAGAAGTTTGCGCTGGGTGGTGTACGACCGCTCAACCCACTTCGTCGTCCTTTGTTTGCCCTTCTCAAAACCCGTGCTCTTGATTGGGCATCTGCTACTGTCCGACGGTGAGCAGTGCAGCTGGAATCTCACGCTTCTCAAACGGCGTCCATAAGGCTATACCCAATGATGTGGTGCGGCTTGCGGATCCTCTCCTTGGACCTACGCGCCGGCGTCAGCTTCCATGCTTCCAACCCCCACGCCCTTCATCTTCTACATAACAACCATCTGAACACGTCGACCTCATCATGGTCGCCGAACGAGGGTTGTGTCATCCTGTGACGTCGACTCGAATAGATCCGACAGGCACCACTCCATGTAAGCTTCCACGCCAGCTTCTAGAACCATGGAGCGGGTCCTATCGATTTGCAGCTGCTTTGGGGAATCTACCCTGGTTCGAACCGTCGAACAAATCAGAGCGGAGTACTTGGTCTCCAACAGGCGAACGCTTATGGATCAACCTCGTATCTGAACCCGACAAGCGATATGTACACAGCATTCGAGGAGAGACGATGTCTTTGCAGCATAGTCCTAGGAAAACATCTTTACTGCAACGATTCGTCTGGTGATGATTCGCTGGGGCGTTGAATCCTTCGGCCATTCATTCGTTCTCGTCCCCGTCCAGCAGAGCAAGACCAGCAAAAACTTTTCCATCCTTGCGTATATGTGGTTGAGTCACGCAAGCCACATGGGATGCAGTATAGTGTGGACATTGGGGGGACAATGTAGTCACTCACCTCCGTTTCGCCCCCAAACAGTCGAGATGGTCAGCCTGGGACAGCATGAGAAGTCGGTCAAGAGTCAGGGGATGACGGATAGGCTCCACCTATGCTCACGGACAGCGTGCATGGCACCACCGATTCGACAAGGTTCGGGGGTCTATTTCACCGCCAAGCAGACACCACCACCTCCCGTCTCGCATAGGAATTTCCCGGGCCGTCCAATGGTTCGCTTCGTTTGTTTGTGATCCAGCTGGAACGGCATGGTGCCTTTTTTGCCTGCCCGCCTTTTTCATATCGAGCCTGGCGGCCATCGCGCTGCTGTGCGTTTGTGGCTTCGGATCTATTTCGATTTGGTGCACGGAACCCACAGCAAGGGCCCTCACAGCTGAACCGAGGAGCTGCTCCGCGTTGACCGCCCCACTTATCCATCATCTATGTTGCCCAAAATACACGCCTCCATCCAGAGAGCTCGTGCCGCCATTGCTGCTGCGGCTGATGCCGCTATTCTACTCCACACCCGTTTATAACGTTAGCACCCCGATACTTGCCACTTGACTCTGCCACTACCTTCTCCATCACCCCTGGTTACTCTAGCCCAGGCGAGGACTGGCCATGGACTCGCAAATCTCCAACATTGAGATGGTAAACCTCACTGGACCTCAGTCAAAAGTAGCCAGCATGGCCAATGAGCCACCCGCTACCCCTCGCCCGCGCCTGAGGGTGAAGAAGCAACCTCCGCAGAAGAGTATTGACCAGTTCTGGGAGAAGTTCACCACCAAGCACCCGGGCAAGGTCTTCACAATCCTGCCCAACAATCTTTACGCCAGACGCGCTGCCGCCTTTGCCCCCAGAGGTTCCATCCCAGGTCAAAACGCTCTCCAGTCTTACCAGGAAGCGGTCGATGCTTGCAAGAGAAAAGTCGCCAAAATTGTCAAGGAGTGCCGGCGATTGAACCAGAAATATCGCGATCCGCATTTCGACATTGAGGCCGATTTTAAAAGAACCCAGCAGAACCCCGAGATCCCTCCAGACTGTCTGACGGCGCTCGACAATCAGTCCACAGAGTATCATCCCATGTCCGTCAAGAGAATCGAGGTACTACGCCACCCTACTACGCCGTTTCGCACGAGCTAACAACCAACGAATAGGACATCTTCGATAAGCCCCAATTTTTCATTGAAGGTGCCACCGCCAACGATGTTCGACAGGGGAACGATGGCGACTGCTGGTTCATGTCGGCTTTGGCGACGATAAGCAACAAAGAGGGCCTGATACAAACCGTCTGCGTTGCGCGCGATGAACAGGTAGGGGTGTACGGCTTCGTATTCCATAGAGGTAAGCTCGTGCCCCGAGTCTGACGCAATTCGGGCTGCACTGACGTTGCACAGACGGTGAATGGATATCGGAAGTTATCGATGACAAACTATACCTGATCAAGGAGGACTTTGACGAAGCCACACTCGGTCGTCACCAATGGCTTGAACTGGGTAACCGCAAGAGCCCGGAAGACGAATATCGTACTGTAATGCAGACAGGGTCCAGGGCTCTGTATTTCGCGCAGTGCAGCGACCCTAATGAGACATGGCTGCCTCTGCTGGAGAAAGCCTATGCTAAAGCCCATGGCGATTATTCCACCATCGACGGCGGTTTTGTGGGTGAAGGAATTGAGGATCTTACCGGCGGTGTCACCTCTGAAGTTTTCGCAACCGACATCCTCGACAAAAATAAATTCTGGAGAGAGGAGCTGCTCAATGTGAACAAGACGTTTCTCTTTGGCTGTGGGCAAATGGGTGGTATCTACGGACAGCGCAAGGGAATCCAAGAAAAGCACGCCTACTCCATCATGGAAGCACAGGAGATCGACGGCCAGCGCTTGCTCAAACTCCGCAACCCTTGGGGCCGAACCGAGTGGACCGGCCGATGGAGCGATGGTTCTGAAGAGTGGACCCCGGAATGGATGCAGAAACTCAATCACAAATTCGGCGATGACGGCGTCTTCTGGATTCACTACAACGACCTGCTCAGACACTATCAACACTTTGATCGGACGCGTTTATTCGGACCTGAGTGGACTGTTTCCCAGCAATGGACTAGCGTGAACGTCCCCTGGTCGGTCGACTATCTCGACACCAAGTTCACCCTCCACCTATCGAAGCCAAGTCCTGTGGTCATTGTGCTGAGCCAGCTGGATGACCGTTACTTCCAAGGCCTTGAAGGACAATATGAATTCAACCTGCAATTCCGCCTTCACAAAGACGACGAGGAAGACTACATCGTACGTAGCAACACCGCATACTTCATGAAGCGGTCTGTATCCACTGAACTGGACCTGGAAGCTGGTAACTATACTGTACTCTTGAAAATCAAAGCAACCAGGTTGGACCAGCCCATAGCCGAGGAAGTCATCCGCGCCAACTGCAACAAACGGCGCGAAAAACTCCTTTCCATTGGACTTTCGTATGATCTTGCGCACGCCAAGGGTGCATTCCGGGAGCAAGAAAAGGACAAGATCCGCCGGGAGCGCGAACAAAAGGTTGAGCGCAAGAAGCGTGAGATGAAACACCGCCATGAACAACGTCAACGCCTCCGAAAGAAGGCTCATTTACGCGAGCAAAAGAAGGCCGCTAAGCAAGGGAAAAGCAGCACCCGTGAGATTCGGGAAGTCCAAACAAAGTTGGAGGCTCTTACTGGCCTTGGCATCAACGTTGAAGAAGAGCAGCGTTTATCGGAGACGGATGAATCCAAGCCTGTACATCAATCAATCGCGCGCCACCAGAAAGCTGCCAGCGTGGGGGGAGGTGACGTGACCCGCGAACGTTCATCCTCTCCCAGCGGCACATTTGGTGGTAGGGGCGGATACAACAGAGGACGTGATGGTTACAATGCGGCTCTCCCAGGAGCTCTGCAAGGTCGTGGTGGCTGTACGTACAATCGTGCACTTTCCAGGATCATACTGACTCTTGCATAGATAATCGCGATGCTGGACAAGTGTCGAGCATGGCGGAAGCCCTTGCACATTCTGGCCGAACCGGAAGCCCTGGAAGCTCCGGTTTCGGAGGCAGAGGAGGTATGTGTATATATTTCCAATCGATCGGTCGCCGCTAATATCCCTTCGAAGGCTACAATCAAACCTCGGGTGGTTATGAAGGTCGAGGAGGTACGTACACACTCATAGCATTGCGATCATCACTCACTAACGTCTGTGCTTAGGGTACAACCAAAACGCTTATGAAGGCAGGGGAGGTACGTATATCCATATTAATGTTCTGATTTTTCTCACAATATCAATAGGCTACAATGCTGATGGTCGCGATGGATACAACGGAAGGGATGGCTATAACGAAGGCGGGATTCGGGACTCGCCCATCCCCACTCCTCTTAGCGAAGAATTCCATCCCGGTACCCCATCACAAAACCCTCTCAGCCCTCGACGTCAAGTTCAGCCTTCACCGACACCATCTCGCCGTGCAACCTTGTCCCCAATCCCAGGCATTAGGCCAGGCATTCAAGTCACCCGTGGCCGTGGCCGTGGCACCAGTATTTGCTCTCACCGTGCCCGCCAGGGTGCCTACTCACCGTACGACTTTTCGGACGAGTCTACCTGGGACTCCGAGATCGACGGTCCTGATTCCTGCGATTCAGATTTGGAGTCCGAGGACGATGAAGTACTTCGGCATTACCGCGGACGCCACGAGGAGGAGGAAGACGAGTTCGAGAGCGATCCCTGGAACGCTATCTGCGTTGTCGGGCTGCGGGTTTACTCCAAAGATACAGATGTTACTATTGAAGTGCATAACGGTGAGGGTGAGCGTGAGCGGGAGCAGGAGCGTGAGCGAGAAAGGAAAAGGGAAGCAGATGATGGAGCTTCCGTCATCAGCGTTCCGCTCGCGAGACGAGGAACGGAATTAGACGTCGATGACAGCGCTGCGGACGCCACGAGCCCGCTGCGCACGAGAAACACGCTAGAATCAGCTCTCGCGTCTCGAGCGCAGAACGCGGAGAAAGTCAAGCTCGTTGGAGATGCTCCGGCTGGCAAGGAGAGGAATCGCCAGGGCACGCTCTCTTGAATCTTTTCGACTGATGACTTGTTCTGCTTGAGACTCCCAACACCGTTTGATCCTATTCCACAGATTGATTTCGCTGCTTCTTCATCACAGATTGATAGCGAACCTGCCTGGCGTTCGGGGAGCATTTCCAGTTTCTTTGAATTTTGAGAAATAACGGCCTTGGTTATGCCATATCTCTCCTCTTTCTTACATACATGTGCAACGTGGAGTTTTGTTCTTTGTTAACGAGGTTCGGCTATTGAATCACAATGCGAAATGATTGTGGCGGCGGGAAAGGAGTTACTTGGATCAATTTGTACATGATATGAGAAGCGTCAGTATTTTTTTCGGATCTAAACCACAATAGAGACTCATTTTCAGTAGACCAACATACACGGCTTTTGTGTGATGTTGTCAACGATGGTACTCGGACTATTATGGATGACGTACGAGATTGATCTGCGACAAGGGAGCTACAGTTTATGCGCGTGGCTTAATGTGTTCACATGACTTTTGACCTCGACGTTGCGATTGACATTGGCTGGCTCCATACTATTTGAAGCATCCACTCCCGATTTTTCTTCTTCGCTGCCTGTTCCCCCCCGTCCCGCTTGTGAAGTCGTGATGACAACCCCGCCAGCCCCACCCCCAGAGCAAACAGCAGCGCGCACACCTCTCTCATTCAATGAGCTCGCCGACGCCCGCAAAATAGAAGTCTATGGCATCGATGGCAAATCTCTCACGCTGGGCGAATTAATAAATGGCAAAAGAAGCGTCTTGATTTTCACGCGCCATTTTTGTAAATTTCCCCGCTCCCAGTCCTGACAGGGAGATAACGACTTGGCTAACATTGATGTGCCAAGGGTGCGTGAACTGTCAAGCCTACGTCCGGGCTATAAGCGAGTCCATCCCCCCTTCGAAGCTGCCCCAAAACACTCAGAGTAAGTCTATCTTGCGAGCTTCCCCGTCGTACTAGGGTCTAACTAGGACTTTAGTAATCTTCATAAGCAACGGCTCCTACCAGCCCATCAAATCCTACGCCACTATTACTTCCTCTGCCTACCCCATCTACACCGACCCCACATGCCGCTTACACTCCATACTGAAGTTCAACTCTGCATTAAAAGAGGCAAGTAGTACAGACGAGAAGAGAGACTACATGCGTAATGCAGGGAGCACGATGGGTAGGGTTTTTGGAGGGATCAAAGTGGCGTTAGGTCAGTTGGAGCACACGGCTTACATTGGACCGAAGAGCTTGAATGGTGGTGAGGTTATTATTTCTGCCGATGGCGAGTGTGAATTTATCTATCGCATGCAGAACACGACGGACCATATCAACGTTTCGGAGTTGGTCAAGCTGGTGGGGGTGGAGGGTGGACAGATGTAGACATTATTTTATCTTGTTCCTATCTTGCTGTCGTGACTGTCCTTTGAGAACTTGAATTACCAAGTGATTCCATACCTGCAATCCAATCCTTATCAACGCTTCCGTCTTAGTAGCATATATTTTGCAACTTCAATCTTACAATCAAGTCCATTTTCAACCCATGGCGTACGTCATTCCAAAGCAGATCACCAAAACAATGATTGCCACAGCCGAAAACGGTAGATAAATACCGTCACTGAACAGCCCCTGATTCAAAGCTTGACTGCTATCTTGAAGCTCCTTCGGTCTCCTTCTATCCATACCAAGCGGACCAGATGGAAAAGAGCGGTAAAAGAGTCTGATTGACTTAAAGCGGCTTTGGAGATCACGACGCTGGTCCGCAGTCTCCCTTATCCAACGGTTTCTGTGTCTGAACGATTTGGCGTTGTTTTGTATAGTTCCATCAGGGGCGAGGGGAAGGGGTGGAAGTGGACTAAACTCAGTTTCAAGCAATGGAGATGGGATTGCAGAGACTGGCAGATTCGCGCCAGAGTAATGGCTCTGGTCCGTATTTTTCTCTGTCACATAATGTGGGGTATCGGTATACAGGAGTGAGGGATACTCTGCTTCTGGTATGATATAGTCACTTCCCCGCCTTTTGTGGTCTGTAGACTCAGTGCCAAGATGTATATTATGGGCTCCCGATTCGATATCTTTATCTAGCTGAGAATTCTTGGGTAAGGCTTCCTCTGATGATCGATCGCTCATCGAGAAATCGATCGGTGGGTTTTTGATAGCCTTTTTGCTGTTAACAAGATTGCCCACATCACCTCTTTCTTGATTTCCTTTCGCTATTTGCTGTGTAAGAGACTCTTGAGAACCATTGTCTTGTGCATGGGGTATGGGGACTGAAGACGCTGTTCGAGTATGTCCTTCACTGCCTGATTCGAAGACTTTAGCCCCTAGTGTGATTTTGAGCAAACCATCACTGTAAGCCTTCAGGACGTGCTCTTCAATCAATGGTTTCCCAGTTTCTACTGGATCACCAGGAAGAAAAGAATCGGATGAGGTGCGCAGAGTGCTGTCGAGAGTCCTCTGGATGTTGTACAAAGGTTTTCGCAATCCTATAGCGGAATCAATCTGTGCATCGATAGATCCACTGTTCTTCACAGCCTGGTGATTGCGTAGCTTTTCGTGACCGAGAATTGCAGGTATGAAAGATTTATAGTCGTCGATTCTTGGATTCAGTTCACCAGCCATTCTGTCCTTGAGATCTTGGCCAGTTTGAACAATAGTCTGGGCGGACCTGTCTTTCAATATCAATTTTGATGTTGCGGCGTCAAGACTAAGATTGTACGCTATGGGTTTTCGCCGGAAAAACGACTGGCTCGTGGTCTCGGCAGTATTTCCAGACTGGCTTCCATTATAAGTCGCAAGCCCTGGTGGGGGGTCAAACAGCTTGAGATCTTCTGTGGACCAACGTGGGCCGTGTTTGAATGAAGCCTGAAACATTTCTTCAGCCGATCTCTGGCTCATAATTTGCGAAATTTCATCAAGCTTTATCTTGATGTACGTATTTCCATCGCCATTGCCATCGCCATCGTTATATGTGTCCAGTCCGACTCCGCTGTTATGGTTATGGCTATGGCTATGCGTATTGCTGTCTTCATCTTGAGGCTGCAGTCTGACAGCACCCTTACCACGAGACATTTCAGATTCTGGATTCATAGCATCCTTCAACTCTTCACGGCCGCCGTCGGGAGTCTTTACACTGGACTGGCTGCCTTGGTCGAGACCCGAGATTTCCATGTTTGACAAAAAGACTGCAAATATTAGGTCATTCAGCAGCTACGACGGTGGTAGATGTGTAGCAAGGTAATCCAGAAGATGGCTTTTGATGGACGATGAACTGCGACGTGGCGTGAGGTGAAATCAATTCAGGGTGGTGCATGACACAGCTTCGAACCCACAAACGATGAATTTGTTCGTAGCAAACTTATGCTCAAACCACTGTGATTTAGAGTCTTGGCATATTTTTTTCGATTATTACGCATCATATCACTTACTGATAGCTAAACACGGCTGTTGATGTCAGAGATCACTTGAGTGAATAAGCACATCACGTGATAACATGCATCCTCAACTTGGCGTATGAAATCAGGCGGGACTGTACGGCAAGTCCTGGAAGCCGACTTAGCTAAATGAAAGTATCTAACTGTTTGAATGCTTAGTATTCAACCCACGATTCGTGATGGACGGCACTCACCCAAACACGCGGCACTGACCGCCACCCACAACTCCTACGATGCTGGATTCGTGGGTATCCCTGAAACAGTTGACTTTCACCTTCTGACATTTCGTAAACTCAAATGTATGATTTCCGCGTGGCAGCCCCACAGACAGCTATGTCTTGCCAGAATCTCTGTCTCCACTGATGGATTTAGAATGTACACGTCGATCAAGTCTTCAGCGACTAGAACGAAGACGTTCCGATCTGATCTCCAGCTTCACTCCCAATATATCTAAAAGCATTCAATGAAATTTATGCCCTCTACTCGAAGATTCATCAAGCTATGACGGAGCTGCTTGATCTTCTTAAATAAGAACATTTGAATGCAACGACCTCGGAGTCGTCAGACGTTGTGCCAAGCGAGTAAATATCAGTGCCCAGGAATCTTCAATGGATAATGCGAAAATGCGACGAAATATATGCCTATTAAAAGGACGTAGTTTATGTGTAGGAGATGGTGAGATGTTGACAGCTTGTTCATTGGCAAACATGTGAGATATTGAAAAACACGATCACATAAAATAGGTTTATTGCTTCATAGACTTACTCCCACATGTCATGGAAATTGAATCTTTCGCTACGAAATAGCAATGCAACCAACAATCATTGGAAGTACTAAACGTAATAATGATTCATCGCATTTCCATGCGGCACAAACACTGGGTATTGAAAACTCACAACGATAAATCTGCCTTCGAGCTCCAGGCAGGACACATGTTCCGTGGTTCACGAAACTGATGAGTCATCATTCTGAATAGCTGAGTGCGGATTGGGTCTGAGGACAAATCATTGGAAGAACGCTGTGTTGGTGGAATGTCAATATATCTGTATCAACTTGATTCACTTATAATTCAACAAGTTTCACACTTTACTTGCAGATGTGATGACTCTCTACATTCTGCTAAACCCTGGTGTGTATATCATTGGGTCCACATTCACAATCTGCCAAATGATCTCACGCGGCATTCACATTCACTGTTTGTTGCTCATGTGATACCTCGACGCTTGTGCGAAGCAGGCTAGCTACTGTGCCAAGACCAAACACGCATGGAGAGACAAACACACTACTTGCGAGCTACTATTTACTACCACGTGTTGATTGATTTGAAAAATGTACATCCTGCATTTATTTGCAAGTTACGGGTCATCACACTGCCTCAACCATAATGCCACGCCTCAAAAATGCACTTACGCCGCAACCTATCACCACCAACACTATGCGCAGGACCAGTACTCTTAAGCGGTTCTTCAAGCCCAGGAAATCCTCCGCCGCCGCAAGCTTGAAAAGTGAGGATACCATGGCGCACTCTTCCCCCGACAAGTCCCTTGCCACCTGGATTCCGCCAAGTCGGGCTACTACCAACCGACAGAGTCAACGTATGCGCAGAAGAGGAATCGCAAGATTCAGACATAGGATTTGCTCTTCCACACAAAGTAGCGAATTCAGAGGCTGAACCAGCCCAAGGGTTCGATTCAGAGACTCTTGAAGAGCGGAACTACAGCGCAGCTGAAAGCACACAAGTAAACGAGCCCGGATCTGCTTGCAATGACTCCGAAAAAAGCGATACAGAAACAGTCATACACTTTCCATCTGAAAGGGAAAACACTCGTAAGAGATGTCCAACAAGTGCGTCGCGCTCGCCAATGTACCATCACTGATCAAGTTCCCCAGCTTCAGTTATTCCAGACTCAACGATTTCAGCCAAGGCACAGACAAGTCCAAAGACGGCATTCGTTCTTGATGACAACGCTTCATCTTCTAGTGTGTCTACGAAAATTTCGAATACTCGTACCAGAATCGGTCCATTCGTACTTGGAGGCTCTACAACCTACTCTTCATCACATAAGGATTTGACGATTCCTTATATCATCGCTTTAGTGGTCGCCGCTGTCATCGGCCCGGGAACACTGCTCATCGTCGCTTGGAGAATTGGGGTCTTCTTGATGATCTATGATACGGCTCGCCAATATTGGAAATGGGAGGAACATAGATCCAACGATTTGCTATTAGCGCCGGCTGAAAAATGCTTAAGAGCCGGAAAAAATTTCTTGGTCAACGCAATTACTGCTTTCGTGCGCACAGTATTGAAGATAGTAGTTGAGGAACTGGAGAGTCAGAGGCAAGGGCAAATATGAGTGTTTTCTATGAAAATGCTCAGTCCGCTATCTGGAATGCAGACGTAGCCTGAATTCTGTGATAGTACAACATATCTTACATGAATCAACATGCACCTAATTGCACGTAGCCATAGTAGAAACAACATGGCGTGCCCAACTCAATCAAATATACCTTCAATGTCACTAACTTCTTCACAAGTTGTAGCCTCTTCCGAACCCTTTCCCGATCCTAGCCACCGCTCTGCCGATCAGGAATCCAACTCCTTCCAACGACAACTCCATCAACATGTTCAATCTCCCAATTGCTTGCATGATGTATAGTGAGATATTTGAAGTTGATGTGGTAGTGTGAAATACGAGGTATACGGCAAGCATGGCGAGGAAGAAGAGGATCCACCTTAATTTTGTAGCAGTCATGTGTCCGACATGATGGAAATATTCGAGCAGGAAGACGGCAACAGTATGCGCAGATTGAAGGTTGTGAGGACTGGTGAGAGCCGGAGAATCCAACGGGGTCAAGATGGGCGTGTTTGTCGCATCAGATTTGGAATTGTGCGGGTCAATTTCTTGCGGAGACTCATTCATACGTGTGTCGAGATCTATCTGCTTTAGTACTTTGCGCAGTGCCAATGGTTGAAGGCTTACCCGCGGGATGTGTTACTCTGGAGCCGAAGCTCAGCATTCGTACAGGTCGGTCGTCCACTTCGATGCGACGAGAGACGTGAGGAGACATGAACATAATAGGGCTTGCGTTTCTGGGCATGAATCTGGTGGAATCGCTGAGCCCAGTTTGGCCGTGATCTGGATGATCGGCTTCGTCTTTGGTCATCATGGTAAGTGCTGGTCGTGGTAATCGTGTCGATTAAGGTCCTGAGAAGCACCGAGTGGAAGAGTGCATAGCACTGTTATTTGAATGTCTGCGTGTTGTGATGATTGTATATCAAAGAGACTACCTGTGTTTGTACCTGAAGCGCATTCGCCTCAATGCGGTTAGCGCGCGAGTCAATGACAAACAGAGTCTCACTCGCAGTCAACAGCTTGCTGCGTTCGAGACGCAGATGATTATCGTGAGTTTGTCACGACTTATATCTGTTGGTATAGTTCAGTCAACCTGCAAATCAAAGTTTCATCAGTTACTTTTTGTTAGGAACATAGCGTATAATCGGTGTACTCAAAGCCTCGCAGCTTTTTCATTGGTCATGTATTAGACACAATCGCTAGCTGAATTTGCGGGAAATATAGTTGATTTTTTAATGACATATTCACGACAAATACGTCCAAACATGGAGGGATTCATTTCAACCTCTGATATTCCACGAATACAAATGCAGTCACAAAGCGTCCGCAGTTCCACATTTGTGTGCACAAAAACGGTGTGAATCCAGAAGTTCCAGTCGAACCGAAACTACGAAGTTATTCTGCTGATATCAAGAAAGGAAATTGGTTTTGGATAATTGAAGTATGACTCTGAATCTAAATGCTCATCATATTCACAACTTCTGGCAGTGTTACTTCGATATTGCCCTTGAAGAACCAATCGACCTCAAGATTCTCGTTCGGCAGGTGGTCATCAAGGTCTATTACAGCCAAAGCAGCTCCGTGAGCTTGCGCAATGTATACCCATTCGGCAGCTGGAAAGACCTGGAGACTTGTTCCAGCTGCTATAACTAAGTCGATAGGTCCTTCTGAAATCCATTCATCAATTGAGTCCGGTGCCCCAGCTGCGAGTTTCTCGCCAAACCAGACGACTCCTGGCCGCAGCAACTTCGAACAATAAGGACAATGCGGAAGGTCGCTCAATCCCAGCGCTCGCGACTCATCGCCGGGCTTGGACAGCAATTGTAGGAATGGAATGTCATGTGGCCTTGTGATCTCAATTTTGTAGTCGCACGCAGTACACCGTACAATCCTCAGCTGGCCGTGAATGCTGCGAAGCATGGATATTGGATGAGCCGTTTGTTCAAGAAGTCCTGTGGCGATATCAGCATGCTTTAAGTTGAATCGATCATAGCAAAATTCGCACCATCCACATTTTGGTTGACGGTAAGCCACGCCGCATGTCGCCTGGCAAGACTCGCTAATGCATGATGGGCTGCATTTGGTTGGGCTGCCAATGTCTCGAGCAAACGTTCGCCATAAAAGCGCCATACTGTGACAGGATCTTCGCGGAATTTTTGGGGCGACGCAAGTTCTCTTAAGTTGATATCGTTCCACAATCCATTTGCTCCGCGCCAGGTAGCAAGTCCAGATGGTGCGCTGAGCCCGGCACCTACGAGACAGAGTACCCGCGCAGACGCTTGTAAGAAATTGGAGAAAGACGACCATGCAGGCTGGTCAGCTGTATCAGCGGCATCCATTCTTGCAGCTGATTTGTAGTGACGTGCCGTGATGGGGTGCGAAACGGTCGATTTGCCGTCAAATTTGCGAGGGAGGAAGTTACCAAAATGTCGGTATGGAGGGATGTCTCCAGTAGGGAGAAGCAACGTGGGGCGTCTGCACGGTCACGTGCGGGAGCTGGGCAGCACATTTAGATGTGCATGTTTCTCAGGGACCAATTCCATATCAATGAAATTATGGAGAAATTTCCGCGATGAGATATCGTTCAACCGCCTTATTTGACCCCTCCATTGATGCAAGACTATCGCGATTCATAAGATCCTTGCTCTCTCCCGATGTCTTCTCAGACCGTCTGTCGGCGATCTTTTGGAAATCCAACTCAGGGCGTGAAAATTTCTTGTAAGACTCATGTAACCAGAAGATCCAGCCCATTTCAACTGCGGTAATTGAGAGTGCTCCTGGATAAGTAGCCATAGCATCCGTTCATGTCCAACAAGGACATAGATTGACCCCGTAGGTGCAGCACCACAAGCAAATCAGCTTCTCACATTGCGTCGAAGTTTCCAGGCTCCCAAATGCACGGGGGGCAAAATTTCCTCGCCTCCAGCGTCATAAAACGCAAAAAATTCTGACAAGTCCGCAAATTGAACCCGGGCCCCCTCCCTCCAAAAAAACACCAAAAAAATGGTAGCTGTCAATGCCTTAAGATAGATGTCATCCTTGGTGCAGGGGCCATGCTAATCTTCTCTGTATGTTTTCAGATAGACCAAATGTCCGAAGACGAGGGGATTTGCGGATTAACAGTTTATATGTTGCCCTGGATGAGTGGTATTAGTGGCGCTGGGGCCAGGCAGACACGTAGGCGCGTTGCTGTTGACGAGAAGCGACGTGTTTGTCAATAACGTTATTGAGAATCGAGCTTTGAGCAACTTTGCGAAATTTCATCTGATGTCGACTCGAATGGAGACACTGGCGTGGGGCGGGGCTGGTAGCGATGGCGGCTGTCCGTGCCCTCTCAGGGTAACATTCCGTGTACAATTGGGTAGATAGAACTTGACAGAGGATCTTTCGAATGTCTCTCATACGATGGGCTCTAGTGTTTCCTGGGAACTTAGGTCGCCATGGGTGAGAGGCCGACCTGGTAATTCGAAGTGGATGGACCTGCATGTGGCGTGATCGGGACAAGGTTTTGTCATTCTAGCCGCGTAAGTATCATGAGATCTAATATTGAATAGATGCAAACCTATCCGTTGTTGTATTTGTCTTACAACGACAGAGATTCCTCCGTGTAAGATGTCATGCAAGAGTGGTAACATCCTTCATCTGCATGAGTAAACGGTAGCTACCGAGATCCAGCATAGAGTATCGTTCGCATTTAAGTGTCAATCTTCCAGTCATGATGCTAGATGGTTCTGATGTTGGCAAACGGTGATATGACGAGAAGTGTCATGGCGAACTGCAGCTTCTTATAGCGAAAATATGGCTCAAGGGAACACAACCATGAGCATCCAATACAGACAGGGACTAAGTAGTAGTAGGCCATTGGAAAGCTGCAGGTGAATGTATCAACTGATACCAGTGCCTCGTGATAGCCATCATTAGGCTTTGTTCTCGTCGGCAGATCTTGTTGATATGAGTCGCGAGTCGCGACAAGCTCCCCAATGTTGGCGCTCGTGGGTCGGACGATAGGTGGATAATTGTGATTCAGGTTCCGAGCGAAAGGAACAATTCCAAGTAGTCGGTTGCAATAAAATGGTCTCCCGGAGAGATTATCGTGATACGATGGACCGATCTGCATTCGCAAGAGGATGCTAAGCTGAGGTGTACGAACGATTGCCTGTGACCGTCGAGGCAACATAAGATTTCCCAGGATATCATATGTTCTTCTGGCTCACATAGCTAGTTAGTGAGTTCTTGGAGGTAATAGCCAGGATGAGATGACCGAATCGGGAGTCGATCGTGGGTTTTTTTTGTCCCGTCATCGAACAGGATGTGAAAACGGCTTGGACAATCCGGCTGCGGGCGTGATATCCTGAGAAGGCTAAATGCAGCGATCAGAACTGTTTGGAGATGCCCTGCTTTCCGATCACGCATGAGAAAGCTGGAAGTTCATCTGCGAGCAGTGTGCTGCGGAGTCAGGTAGGGCAGCGCGTTTATAAAACATCTGTTTCAAGCTCGTCCCCTCCACTCACTGGCCTCCAGCAGTGAGAGAATCTAGGACATTGTTGGATATCGGTTCTCTGTTAGCTCAAAGATGTATTGCTTCAGCTGCATTGCTCTGCTTCGCCCGTTGGGTGAGTTGTGTTACTCTCGCACTGCAGAGGCAAGAACATCCCTTGCTGGTGAAAGAGACGCGAATGAGCCCGACACAGTACAGATCGAGGAAAGACTGTCGGACTGGGAGTAGTAAATTGAATGGAAATAGATGCGGAGGTAAAGAAGGCGAGGGGAGAGAAGCGATTGGGTAAGAGGGGTGGTGACGTGAATGAAGGTAAGAGATGGACTTGTTGTGACGGTAGTGTGTGTGCGCGGCGAGGGTGCAAAATCGCTCGAATAGACTTGCAATACCCCCATGGGCGGGGCAGACAGCCAAAACAACAGGGGCAGGCACCGCATGTAGCTGCACGAGTTCCAAAATAGGGGAGATGGTGTGTCTGAAAGTCTCACGAAGAAAGGCGGTACATGATTGACAGCTTCAGAACAGGGTCAAAGCGCGAAAGGCTGTTTGTTATGAGATTGGCTAATTGCTACGCAAAGGCGGGTGGGGGGACCCATCGCCATAATCTCACCACCGAACACCCCGACCACGTTTCCGCCCCCTACCCTGGCTTGCTCACTACGATGTCAATATCCGTCTCTTGTTTGCCTCAAGTCTGCCGTGATCTCAAGGATCTAATCTCGCCGGGCTGCTCGTGCTGCAGCAGCCACGCAACAGCTTCAAGGAACAATCGAACGAACAGGCAAATCGCGACGTGAGATAATCCACCAAAGGTCGAACAAGAAATTTCCTAGCCTTGAAACGATGTTGGAATATTCAACCAAGAAAGGATTTCGGGGAATATGGCCAGGCGCGGATCGACAACTTGAGTACAAAGGAGACGGCCTAAGTGGAGGTAGATCGAAGGGGATCTCCAGGCTGAAGGCTTATACCAGCAGCGACTAGCATATCGTGTAGAAAAATGGATTGACCGCAGTATTTTGTGGGTAATTGTGGATAGAACAATGTCATCTTAGGGACGAGATGTCGGACCGTACTGTGATAATTTATACGTAGATAGAACCTGGAATCTACATGCTGGGCTGTCAAGCTCGTACCATCCATGTCTACGATTTTATTAGCAAAATCCCACACACAACGGATTTCCCCGATACTGAAACCCATTTGACTCCAGCTAGTCGTGCTGAAGCTTTGCGGGTTTTCTCGTGCTCCCGTGTATAGGACAACGCTTTGTCTTGGCTGCAACTTCCCCACCAACAAAACTCACAACGCTTTACTCACCACCACCATAACAAACCTCCTTCGCTTCCCAACCCCAACTAAAGCAACCCTCTCAATACGGACACGAACACCATCATCATCATCAACATCAATCCGCAGTTCACGCTCGAAACAGCGAAGAAGTACATTGCTTTCACGAGCTTTGCGCTCATCGTCATTGGCGTCTTCGTGGCGGTGTGGAAAATCCTTCATTGTCACACAAAAGCTGTGGGAACAAGAGAAGAAGAAAGCACGCGAGGTCAAGCCCAATAGGAGGCAGAGGAGGGCGATAGAGAAAGCCGCGACGCGCAAGCAATACTAGAGCGTAGGTGAGCATCTGTAATTCTTTTACCTGTTGACTGAGTTAGAAATTATACACACAAGAAGACAATGTGAGCCTGTCCGCTCTGTCATGGCTGTGGGAGATGAATAAATAGGCTTTTGCGTGTAAGTCCGGCGGCGACTAGCCTCTTTGCCGGTGTGAGTAAACACCTACACAACTCTCAATGTCTATGCTAATGTCAGAAAGTCGTCAAGATTGTAGATAAAATCACAAACTGTCCTCCAAGAACTCCCTTCATCAGCACTGTGCCGTGGCCATCACGACCGGAGACAAAACCCGCGAACGCCAAGCAAGCCTTAGTGGAAAACTTACTTACCTACCAAGGGCTGAAGTGCTTCAACTTATAACCCGATAGACCGAATTCCGGTGCATCTTCGCCTTGAAATACCAGGTAGAAATGCTCGGGACATCAATATTGGGACGTTTGCTCCTCAACCGACCGTTCCCACCGGATCCGATTGGAAGCGATGACCTGAAATCATAAAAGTCGACCGTACCTGAGATACCAACCCTCTGATTGTTTAGAATTTCCTCGGGATCAGCGAGTTACCATTGCGAATATTGGTACCAAGAGAATGAGGATAACCGGAAATATCCGAACAGTACCGTGGCGCTGAAAGATCATGGATTACGCTCAAAGGGATCTATACCTGGGGTATAAGCACTACCTATACCTCAAGTCCTGTTCAAGTGGATGTTTTCACGCCCACAATATGTCGAGATAAATATCGCAAGAGACGATCCTTCGCTAATGAAGCCAGGCGGTATCGCAAGAGCTCTTCTTCTCGTTAGTATATATATAAGTGCTCAAAGAAGGAAACTCTTGTATGCTAATTTGTTTAAAAATCAGGTGGAATGAGTTGCATCTCTCACAAGGGAGTCAAGTACGTTTGGTGTCATCATAGTGGCAAAAAAGGCAAAGAGGGATTCTTTACTAACCAGTCCAGTCGATCGTCCAGATCAAGCAGTTCGAAAGTATGATACTGAGATCACAAGAGCCTTCTTTCAGACCTCTTCTCACTGCAAGAAGCCATCGATTATGGTGCGAGAGATTACATCGCCATAGCGAGAAGGCAAGAGCTGCGGTTGTAGACTGTTCAGGTATGTGCAATCAGCCATCATGCATCGTTATTTGGTAAGTGAAGACTGGGTTAAAGCTGTGCAACGCCGCTCAGAATAAAGCTGTGTCATCGTTGATCAGAATATCAACATCTGAACATCACGGCAGCATTTTGTTGAAGAGAAGGGAATTGACACTGACCATGATGCGCAGATTATCATGTTTCCTCTTATGATCCCTAGATTGACCAGGCGGTGAGTTTCCAAGGATGAAGAGGAGATACCGAATGATCACTGCTCAGGAATTACTTTGATCATGGTAGCTTGACTCGGAGAAAGACCGAAAATTGCCGAACGGGGTGGACAAGACTATAGACGCCCCTAAGTTGCTGGATGCAAGTCAGCCTATCATGAAGTAGAACATCGAACGACGGGGAAATGCTTCATAGCTACTGCTATCGAATAAGCTCATGATTCAAGCATTAGCTTCCTAACCAAATGAGTACTCCGATAACAGTAACTCAGAATGAGGTATTCTACTTCGTAACTTGGAAGAGAGAAGATTGGATTCATCAAAGGGTTACTTCGAAAGAACGACATGCAGCGATCACTTACTCATCTCAGTGAAAAATCTGATGATTTTTGACGATTCCTATATCAATATCAGCACACCGTTGCTCAGACACGTTCGAGTTCTAGAAAGATGGGTAGCTGCCGCTCAGAGAATGGCTGTTATCTTCAGGACTCAGAAAGATGAATGGTTTGTTTGCATCATCATGACGGTGAGGACTTGATACCCCCAGAAAGAAGTTTAGGTTGATACTTACTGACCTTAGACTTCCATGAACATCTGGCAGGTTGAGCTGTCCAAATCGGGCGATTTGCTAGTACAGCGCTCTGTTCCAATCAGTCATCACTAATCCCGGTTTCATCAAGACCAGCAGAAACTTAGAGAATTAAACAAGAAAGGTTCCAATCGGTGAAGAGATGTTCCCCAGTGCAGCCTACTGTGCAACAACCGGAGAGAGGCCATCATATGTCCGCGCAACTACGTTCAATATAAGGGAAGACTCGCTATTGGAATACCGAGCTTGATGGATTAGTCCCTCGATTGAGATCAGTGTTTTGCCGATGATTGTGCAAATAAACCCTGGAGAAGTCAGCAATCCGTTCGAAGTATTTGGACCTGGAGAAAGATATCATGGAAGAGGCCGATCAGCTGTTTTTTGAGAAGCTACCATCCGACAAAGAGTCGTTTGAATACATGTTTTCGTGTTCAGAATTCGTTGTGAATTCATCATAGCCTGGGATACTGTTGGAAGACGAGGTGCGGACTTACCAAGGCAATCGAACATATCCCATCTTACCTCGGAGCGGGAAAACGATATTAGATATGAGCTCTGATGTTGATCCGATCCAAAAGACGGACTACGACGAATGTGAAATCCGACAGTAGTGGTATGCCACATTCAGTACCGATTGGATCGATTCTGTTTCGGAGATTGGTAATGGCATGACCAAATAATGCATTCAAATCGTGCTAGAAAGCAAGCACAACCTGATCGCATTTATAACGTTCAATCACTGCAACACTTCAAAGACACCTAGCGTCTGGATCGGGGTGGAATTCCCGTAGCTGGCTCCATTATTCAACCCTGGGCCCCCCAGGTGTTTGACTCGAGGATCGTCATGGCGGAGTCGGCAAAGAAACAGACCTGACGGTGGCGACAGACTCGGACAGAGGGAATTCGGGGTTGCGCCAATTTCCTACAACAAAAGCAAATTGTTCTTGATCAGTATTTGGCCCAATCCTTTTCGAATCTGCAAGACAGTTGCGACACAAAGGCTCAGACTGCGCTACCAAGTGCAATAATGCGCAAGTTCCTGTCACAGTACGCTCCTGGTACTCAGAATTGTGAACTACAAATGGAGTCATCATCGCCTGGGGGGTCCTGATTCAGCGGATACTCACTAAAGGACACAGGTTCCACTGTTCTTTCGCAGCGAACCGTTGAAATCCACCGAGCTTTTTGATGAGGCAGGAACGGGAAATGCGCATATTCCGCTCCTGAAAGCACGAGTGCCCCAAACTCAGTCATTGCACGCTACCTCCCAATTGCGATCTCGGTATCAGAGGATGGTACGAGCCGGTACCTAAGTCGTGACTTGCGTATGTGGTGCTTTGGAGTCCGTTGCTCATTCGCTTAGATCCTCCTATCAGTATACATAATTCATCACAGAAGAAAATACCGGGAATGCTTCAAGACGATGATGAAGAGAGACCAGGCTGGTAGTGCTGGATTCGATGATATGAGAGCATCGCGATACCCAGACACGACAAAATGTGATTTTTCAATGGATCGGGGGCAGAAACACTACCGGCTCCATATAGACAACCGATACGATGGATCAAATAACAGCGATGATCGGGGAAGATGGGATATAGGGATATGGTTGGCAAGACCGAGGATTGGAGGTCAACTTACTGCTTCAGTGGTGGAATGACACATTCGATCACGGAAGACTCCTGAGAGGAAGCTCCATGAAACGTTTGAACCGCCAAAATGTCGTATGAAAGAGCCAACAAGCAATTACAGAACCCCAAGAGGAACCAGGACGCATGAGACAGGTATTCTCTTGTTCTGCATTCCAAAGCATGCACAAAGCTGCGTAACCCCAACCGGGTAGGATCAAGCAGATTGGCTCAGCCAGGCTTCTGAAACCCCAACAACGTTTGATGAGGATCAGCCAAGTCACTACACGGGTAGTTGACCTGAAAGGTGTATGGAAGATGTCGATAATCACTTCATGGTCCAAGTTGTGAAGAGACCGCGAAAGTGCGAGTAGAGCGCTCGGGGCAGTGGTCATGGCACTGAGTGTGAAACGAGTAACAGTCGGAGCTCGACAAGAGTATAAAAGTCAGGGCCGGTTCCTCCTCCATCTGAATGTGTCAGCAATTCTTCTAACAGATGACAGCAACATAACACAGATCAATCTCATACAAACAGCGGATCGTGCTCGATTGAGATCACAGATCTCAAAGTCCCCGAATTGCTCGACTCATCGAAATCAGATCCCGGTTCGAAGGACCCAACCCGGTTACAAATCCATATCCTGTTTGATTTAGAAAGTTTTCCGGGATCTGTCGACATTCTTATTGTGCGAGGCTTCGCTCCTGGACACTCTTTGGGATTCGCGCGGCGAAGTGCGCGCCTTGGACTGTCGCAAAAGAAAAATGAGCGGTCCGAATGTTCAACCATCGTGACTTCCGGAGTCCGATGAGCAATTATCTTTCGAGACTCAACTTGGTGTTCCGCTAGGTATTGTGGCGTGGCAACCGTTTGTCGATGTGTCGGCTCTCAGAAGTGCAGGACACACATCGTGTCAAAACATGTTTGCTTCGCAAGCGAGACCGTCGACAGAGGGTAGCTCACATAACGGCCGGGTAGCATCGATAGCGACTTACTGTTTGTCTCGTAAATACTGCTCTAACGCCAGGCATTATTCTGCGGTTCAGCCGCAGTGGGACACGCTCAGGGCCCGCCCGCCCACCTTCGACGTGTGGAGGCGAGCCCAAGTGCCAGTAGGGGAAAAGGTAGGGCAGGCTATGAGAGGGAATATTTACCTTTGTGTCATGCTCTGTCGTGGCATCGTGGGGAGACGCGAGTGCACACGTAGTGGGTAGGGCAATGAGCAAAAGCTGCTCCCAGCTGTCTGAAATCCTCCCCGACCATGAGCGCCATTAGCTCCGCGAAGATGGTCTTTTCAGAGACAAATCAGACTCAAGAAGATTATTAATACTGCTATTGTCCTCATGTGGCAGGCCGTGGCGTTGAAGGAGTGGCCCATGGCGTTGCCGTGGTCTTGGGACTCTTGGACGCTCAGACACGCCCCAGCTGCAGCGCCGTTGCTGAGCAGCAGGAGATTGAGGGACAAGAAAGAGATGTCAGAACAAGCATGATAAACAAAGAAAGCGCATCGAGAAGAGAGTGGAGATGCAACAAATGTGTCAAGGAATGTTCAGGGGTGGGTGGTGGTGGTTGGTGGAGCGCAAGGCAAAAATCAAAAGACGGAGGGTGGGGAAACGTTGTCAAGCACACGATCACAACACGATGTAAATCAAATCTACGCCAAGACAACTAATTAGCTACCACACATTGGTGTAAAGGATCCATGAGGTTCTACGAGACAGAACCAAGGACGCATTGACGTTTGGCAACGTACATTCCACACACATGGCTGCTACACGACAAAAAATCATGAAACTGCTATCATTATGATGCTAGATACATATAGAAATTCGAAAATCTTCGGAGATGCTGCAGAATTTTGACTTGAGCATATAATGTCGGTAGCAAAGCGCACAAACCCGTGGTCCTTCCCATGTCTTCAACCCAGGCATGTTCCGTCCGATTTCCATAATAAATTATCTTTTCAACGAGCGATGGTCTTCCCGAGTTCCATTGGTAAATACGGTGGTCATAATATTATGATCTTTAAATGATGGCCAGCTTTTCCGTGCGATTAGAGCTACCCGACTAGGAAATCGGCGCACGCATTAACGATTGTTGCTGCTGAAGTGGTTGTCAGCGTGAATTATGACTGAAGTTCAAGCTGCAGTTTCATCCAGAACACTTGGATTCAGTGCTTGGAAGAAAGCTCTTTCTCGAATCGACTCATCATTTCCAGCTGTGACGTGCCTAAATCAGAATGTTAGCCTTAGATCGTGCTGCCGATATATTGGGAATCACACCCTTGCTTGTGCGAGATGAAGACACCCCCCGTGATGAAGGGGTAGCTGAGCTCAGCCCATTTCCTTTTAGGTGTGCCGATGAGCTTCGCAAGCAAGCTCGCTTCGTTACATCTGCTTGGTCGTGCTCAAAACCGTCTTTTCCTTTTCTACCTGTTTCCCGTTTACGCTTCTGAAAATTTCCATGTTGCTGTGCTTCATGAAGTTTTGAGGATAACTTTCCAGTGTTTGGCGGAGGCACCGTTGGTTTCTTTTCTATACCCCGTCCTTGATAGAGGGTTGTATGAGCACTCAATTCACTTCTTCGCGAACCACTGCTCAAGCGACTCTGTGAGCTTTGGGATTGCTGGCTTGCCCACGAACTTTTTCTTGTGTGGGCTTTGGAGGTTGACGGTGGCCTCATGCGGGTGCTCATGTTGGCTTGGTTGATGTCCTGGAACATGTAGGATTGTGACTCCGCTTGCAAGTGATCCTGTAGGGGTCCCGGAGATCTCTCTTGGCGAAGGGATTCTCTGGAGTTTGACACTTTTGGCTCGGTCATATCAATTAGACCCTCTTCCGTCGCATCGGAAGGAACTTCGGTCAGTGGACTGGTAGTATTTCGATCCACCTGCGAGAACGCAAATCGAGCATTTCTGGCATCATCTGTGTTTTTAAAGGCATCCTCCTGTGTTTCTGGTACGAAGAAGTGAGTATCCTGTGTCTCCGCGTTCCAGACTTGCGTTCCAGGTACATGATCTGAGTAGGTAATGGACGAACCCACATAGTGCCGGAAACTAGAGTCGACAGGGAGTTTTCCAGTGTGTTTCGATTGTTGTGTCTCGCGTTCGCCCTCTACTGTGCGTTCATACACTTTTTTTTCCATCTCCTGCTCGAACTTTCCTCGGAGCATCTGTTCATGCGCCTCAAGCTGTTTTCTATTTTCATCCTCGAGACGTTTGACGGACGCCTTCAAGGTTTCGATTTCTACCTCCGCTGCTCTCAGCTGTTCTTGCATCTCCTGAAGTTCTGCCTCGTAACTCTCCTTCAGATCTTTGATCTTGTCTTTACCTTGGTTCTGGAGTTCCTGGACCTGGGTGTCTTTCTCTTCGCACTCGTGACGAGCAGCGCTCAATTGTGTCTCAAGATTGTCTATTGACTGTCTTTCCCGGCTTGAGGCTTGCTCTGGAACCCTCTCTGCCTCGGCCTTTTTCACTTCGCAGCTGTTCAATACCTTCTGATGCTCTTGCACAGAGTTTGAAACCTTATCATAGTTTTGATTATGCGACATTTCCCTCTTGCGTAGGTCGTCAATGAGGGACTGCTTTTTGCTCAGTTGCTCTCTTGACTGGGTTAGTTGCTCCTGTTGCGAGGTAAAAAGATCTTGGAGTTTTGCCTTCTCCTCAGTAAGAATGGCATTTTCCTCCACTCTCAATATGAGATTCTCGTTAGCCTGCTTCAATTGTTGCTTGACATGAGACATGTCGGCGGAGAATTTGACTTCTCTTCCTGCGATTGCAGCCTGATGCTCTTCAACACGACTCTGCATTGCTACAGCGATTTCTCGAGATTTCTCCTCGGCTGCCCGCAAAGCCCCGCGGGTCGTTTCTAGAGCATGTTCTATTTCGACAAGAGCTTTCCCTTTTGCATCGCGTTCATGAGATAGTCGGGAGAGTTGTTCTTGGATAATATCATCCTTCTCTTTCATTACTTTCGCCTGCTGTATCTCCATCTCTCGTAGTACTGATGCATGGTCTGGAACCTGCTGCGATGATTAGCTCTGTCACAACAGTAAGGAAAATATAGTTACATTCTCCGTCTTATTCTCTTCAAGAGTGCGAGATAACTCAAGAACTTTTGCGTCTTGCGCGTCTCGAAGTTTCTGATTCGGTTAGCGGTTAGCTGTTAGCTGTGGAGTGGGCGCTTCGCACTCACCTTGACTTCCATCAAAGAACCCGCTTCTTTATGTAGTTGTTCTTTAATCAATTCCAATTCGAGAATTTTCTGGTTCAAGCCCTTTACAGTATCCTCAAGCCCACCCTTTACCACAGAGAATTCTGCGCTCTGTGACCGTTTTGCCCTCTCCAAGTCTCCTACCTGCTGTTGCAATTGCAAATTCTGAGCTTTGAGGTCGCTTTGCATTTGCTGGTACTCATGGATCTGGTTTTCTAGATACTCACACTGTTTTTTCCGTCCCTCGAGTTCGCCGATGAGATGATTGTGCACTTCTTGCGAATCCCGATATTTCTTGGCCGTTTGAAGACACTTGGTCATATCGCCTAAAAGTGTCTGCAACGGGTTACTAATGTGATTCTGGAGCTCCTTTATCACTAGTTCGCTGCCCTGGACTGAGCCAACCACATTGCATATATCCGTGGTGATCCTATTAAAATGTTAGCTTTTAACTGCTGATCAAAAGCGGCAACCTACTGCTCGCCAATGCTTCGGAACGACTTTTCCGCTTCTTTGATATGATCTGTGGTGAGGAATGGGATATTTAGTAAGCCTCGCAAGGCATCAACGGAATTTTGGAGCTGTTCGTGCTTTATCTGGTGCGATGAAGCGACAGCTGAAGACATCTGAACGCTGTCAAGACGTGCGCTCAATGACTCCAGGCCTATATCAGCATTGGCCTGCATGGTGTGTAGAGTGGTGAGTAAATCCTCTTCGAGCTTTCTCCGTCTCTCTTGCTCTTCAAAGAATAGACTAGTTTGATACGCAAGCTTCTGGCTGAGGTCGGTTTTCTTCGACTCAGCGGACTTCAAGCGCGAAAAGCAATCGTCCAGAACCGCCCTCATGCGCCGACGGCTCTCATTCATAGTGCTGAGTGTCTTCTCAAAGTCGGCAATTAGGTCCTTTTTCTGAATTTCAAACTCATCAAACTTCTCTTGCAACGCTCGATCACATGATTCTCGATGTAACTTGGCATGTCTCTTCATTGTATCGAATTCGGCTTCCATTCCTTGGATGAATTTCTGCATACGCGAAGGGAGAGCGATTGAGCTTTCTCGAAGCTTTTTGTTACTCGTCTCTAGAGTCGTGATGGTAATGGCCTGAGATTTCTGTGTCTCTTTCAACGCCGCCACAGCTGTTTCATACGCTTTGGAGTTGGCCTCAACAGCTTTTTGGTCTGACCCGCTTTCCTCCTCTTTGAAAAGCTGTGCAAGAACTCCGAAAAGTTTCACGTACTTGGGCGGGAGCTCGGAAAGTAGATCGAGCGTGGGGCTGTGGTTCGTCCGAGCAGGCTGATGCCTCTTCGATACCCGGTATACGTCGTTCTGTCGGGCCATCGAACGATCCTTTCCATTCGGCTTCGGTGGCTGATTATGGTTGCTGTCAACGAAGTGCTGTACTTGTGTACCGCCATATATATCATTTTGCTGGCCTTGAACGATCATACTCTCTCTTGTGTCGACTATCGCATGATTGCCACCAACCTCCTCGCAGCCATTATGTGGCTTGCAGCAAGCTGGGATTTCTTTGGCAGGATCGATTTGGCTATTACTTTCCGTCTGGTACTCTTCCATTGGTTCAGAACCGTCGTAGCAGTTTGGAAGTTCTTGAGGCATTTGTTGAAAGCTGATCGCTTGCTTGAGGTTTTCCTGTGGCTTCTCCACATATGATTCTGTGGGCCCATTCACTTGATTTAGCACAGAGATATGGCGCTCGAGATTCAAGCTCTTAGATCGATTCTCTTCATTGTCATGAGTCAAATGGTTTGCCATTTGTGACTGAGGGGCTTTCTCCCGTAGGCGAAGTTTTTTGACCTTCTTTTTGGGTCGACCACCAGGTGGTTTCGAGTGCTGGAGCTGGGGTTTCTCGGACAAAGCTGTTTCGCTCGGATGTCGCGCTTCTCTGGGAACATGTCTATCGGGTCAACAATCGTCAGATACATGTCACACTCATGTGGGTATGCACGGCTTACAGCATCAATCTCGTGTCGATCGTTGCGACGGCCTGCTCCGCGGTCATATTCAGATCAAACCGAGGAATTTTGTGTTCTTGAACTACTGCCTCTTCACTCTGAGCTTCAGTGGGGTGCAGGTTTGTTTCGTCCGTCGTGTAGCTCGTTTTCCCATGGGGAAGGCTTTGGATGGTCGGAAGATCTCAAAGACGTCAGTAATGCCGCATGCGGTCAATGTACTATCGAGAGGGTACTGACTATTCGTTGGAGGCTCTATGCAGGGACGAGAACTGGAATTAGGGCCCTGTGTGTTCTCCTGCTTGGCCGCTGTCTTCGAACTGGAATTATGAGGGGGGAAAATAAAGCGAGGATCATCGACCATAGTGGGCCTAACTAGACCAAACACCGGGCCCTCATTAGACATGTCATATTGCTCCTGGACCACAGGCTGCGTCGTGCGATGCAGCAATTTCTGGCTATTGGGACTCAGCGGGTCCCCTCCGCTGGCGGGAGTCATCACTTCTCCACCTTGCTGTGTTTCCTGAATCACAATCTGGCTATCTGGCACCTGAATCTCGCTGTCGTGTAGTTGGTTCCGAAGACTGGATGGATTGCGGGGTTGGTTCTTCGGGTGCTCTTTTGGGGCAGAGCGGTCTGACATCTTGTCGATCGGGCAGGGGCCCAGGCCAAAACGACGGGTAGGTGTCGATGGGAGAATTCCAGGTCAAGAGAAATGCGAGGCAGGACGATTTGAAATGAAAAGGTAAGAGGGTATGAACTCAGAGTGATGATGATGAAGGAGATTAGAGGAGTTGGAAGCGAGGTTGAAGCATGAGAGTTCTAGCGCGCCTTCCATGAAGGTGAAGCTGGCAGTCGTGACTCCCCCTCCCCAATCACTGCATAGCTGATTACTTAGTGGACGATATACATTGGCCTCGACGATAATTCTTGTGGGAAACATTACGAAAAGTATCGTGCGCTGCACAGAGGAATGATCGTGAGTGCATTATCTGGCTGGAGGGGTTGATGGTGAACGAAGTGATATTTCATAGCGAACGCTGTCTGACTACAAAGCAGAAGAAAAAGACAAGCCAATTGATGTCAGCACAGTACATACATATGTAGTTTGGAAAACTTGGATCCCCCGCCTCCAATAATTTGTCTACTTATGTAAGAGCCGGCTTCATCTGACACCATCTTCCTATATAATTTTGGCACTCTGTGTGCACACAGGTACAGAACCTTTCTCTTTATATATCATACAGCCTTACAAGACTGTACCTTTTGTCTGCAATCTCTTAGACACATCTAGATTCCTGAATAAGAATATCCAAATGAACATTAAGCCCGAAAACCCGACACCAGCTGCTAGCATCCTCGTTTGCGCATAACCATACGCGTGCTGAATTGCCAGCCTTTCCGTGCTCCCGACAGGATATGAGAGTTGAGTTGCAAGGTCTGCATAAATCATTGCCACGTCGGGTAGTGCCGTAACCGGTAGATTTCGAAGAAGATCCTTGTAAAAAGTGTTGGTCCAGATCGTGCCAGAGATTGTGTGTCCGATAGCACCCCCAATCGACCCAAAAACGTATAGAACAGCGAGTACCGCAGCCACATGTTGATGATCAACAGCTGCCAGACAAGCGATTTGAACCAGAAGGATGAAGACACTCCCTCCTATGGAGATGAAAATCTCGCACATTACGATATAACCTATTGGTTGGTTTGGCTGGCGGAAGTAGATCATCAACCCGAGACCAAGAGTGTAGAATGGAACGCACACATAGAAGAGCCATTTGAATCGACCGGTCCTGCGGATACCATAGCCGACGATGAAAAGGAGGAGACCAGAAACAATCTGGAATGTACTGTTTACATATCCGGCCTCTGAGACAGACAGATTGCAGACCACCTGCAAGAACGACGTGAAGTACGAATTCCAGCAGTAATATGAGATCTGATAGGTCATGTTGAAGATACATGCCGCGATGACTGTCCTATCCGTGATGAACTCATTCTTGAGGAAGGGCGATGGCGCCCAGTATGCGTCGTAGACAGCAAAAATTACCAGAAGAAGGAATCCGACAACAATCATAGCAATGATGTACCCAGTCCTCCACCCTTGAGGGGCACGCGTGGCAAGGGTGAATGGGAGAAGAAATATGACAAGACCGGCCGCGAATAGAACAACACCTGGGACTATTGCATTCATTGCGATTAGTCATATTCACGCGCATGAATTGGGCGTGGGGTGTCTGGACTTACGATCAAACTCGGTTACCTTGTTCCAAACGTAACGTAGCGTTATAGTTCTCTTGGTCTTCTCGGGCAAAAAACCGCGTTTCTTGGCTTTACGAACATTCCAATTGAGCAAGATAAATAGAGGAAGAGTAATGACGGGAACAATGATGGCGAATGCGCCAAACCCCCAACGCCAGCTTACATTTAGTAGAAATGCTTCGGCGGATTTGGACCCGGCAAATGCTGTGATCATATAGGGCGAGGATGTGAATGCAAATGCGAGGCCTCGGTTTTTCAGTGAGGTAGAGTCGGTTGCGAGCACACCCATTGTGTAAATAATGCCAGAAAAGCCGATGGAGTAAAAAACCTGATGACTCCTTAGTAATTGTGAGGAAAGTAATAGCGAGAACAAGGTGCTTTACCTGGGCAGCGCAATAGGTTGCAAGATTACGGGATGTAGCCATCAGGATGACACCAAGAATGGAAGAGCATGTCATGAGAAGAAATCCCTCTGCCCGACCCCAAACATCAAGCAGCTTGGCCATTGGAATATAAACCGCCGCCGAGATGGAACTCGAGACGATTCCAATGACGGTGAGTAGGGAATGAGACTGGAAAGAGCTAGTCACGTAAGGTGTAAGAGAGCTGAGAATGGATAGGCGGAATCCATTGGTGAGAAATACCAGCCAAATGCTATCCAAGCAGAATGGAGTCAGCCCAATGTTACTAGGATCAACATCTTGCGCCAATCCTTTAGGAGCGAGCTTACTTGATCAACAAGCACGCAAGAGAAGTTTTACTCCATGATTGTGTAATGGCCTCGATCTTTTGCACACCCTTCTGCGCCTCTTGGTTGCCGATTTCACTTTCATCGAATTTGCCATCTGGGGCTTCATTTGCATGCCCGGCAACGTGCTCCTTCGATGTGTTGCCCGCCGACATTGGGATCGGAGTTTCGCGGGTTGTCGACATCTCAAAATTCCCAAGTAAGACCCGAATTGATGGCCTAGGGTATTACGCGATCGAATTCGAGTGAAAAAATGTGAGTAGTAACATTGATTTTGATGATCAGCGGTCCCTTCTTAAACACTTGGGGCAATCGTAGAGAGTCACTCCGCGGACCATAGTAGCTGAGTCTTGGGAGTGACAGTTTCCCCATTGTGAGGTTCCGCTTCTAGGCCTGTATTGGGAAACCTTGCAAGGTGATCGAGGGAAGTATCAAGTGGGCCCGTGATGGAAGAAGCTCTAGCGCAAAGTCCAGCCCCTTGCCGTTCTCCACGACCCGTATAAACGAATTCGATCTTAATATCTCCAGATGTGCAAGAAAATTCACAGTTCTATCAATTGTGTCAGAAGCCATGATATGATAGCAAAGACTCGTTCGACTATGTCGGAGCACAACTTCCAGCAGCAATCTTCTCCTTCACCTATTACGAAGTGTGCAGAAAAATTTTCATTCTCAAAGCGCTGATCGCAAATTTGCTTGAGCAAACCATGTGCCAAGCGAGACTAGAAAACCCATCGTGTATGCAGGTTCAAGAAAACCCAGGCGTTCCCGTTACTTCTCATTTACTCGTATGATTGTATAGCCCCCCGAAAAATGGCGGCGCTATCTAATCAATCAGAGCATCTTATCTGATGATCGCATAACGAATGGCACTTGGCAGGCCGGTCTGTGGGATGGTTCGGGGATAGTAATGTGGGCCGCCAATGCTACAATCTCGCCCCTAGCCCGAGGTATTCGCACTACAAACATGCAATGTCAGTGTCAAATGATGGGTGAGTTTGTTGGAAAATCAGAGGAGATGGAAGTATATTCTCTCTTGCTTTCGTCTAAGACGTTGGATGCATGGATGAGAGGGTGCTAGATCCAGCGAAAGTGTTTGGTGGCACCTGGGAATGGTTTTCTGGAGAAATGCGCAAGGCTATACACAGTGCGTTGATGTAGAGCGATGCCCGTGGACCAGCCCCACAATATACACGCACGGTGAGTCCAGAATACACGACCACAGTATTGATTCTTTCCTTCTTCTCCGTTGGCGGCTTAGGCGTCTGCGTGAATCATGCCTAGGGAAATCGCATATGCTGCACTTATGTGATGCATGCATTCGAAGCTTGACGGTATGCCGTGCGAGCCTTGCTCTTCTAGATTTGATTCCCGATGTCCGTATCAGTGTCTCGCACATGGAAGCGGTCCACTCCGAGTAGAATGATAGAAGAAAGAAATTGCTGTCATGGCGAGGATCCTGTCTTGATGTTGTTTAGGTGATTCTGTGGCTCAATGTTGTAAACTGGTAGAAAAGCCTTAGCAAGACACATCCACCAGCTAGTTAGTATCCCTCCCCCAAATCATGTTGAAGGTGCTTGCAGAAGAGATAGTGCCATACCAGTCGCCGAAGGAAGCGAATATAGATTCGAGTAGATGGACGTATGGTCGCTGCAAACAGACACAGCCGGCGTTCAATGCTGTGCCACCAGTGACCAGATGAATCATCCAGGATGAAGAAGAGTCTTGAAAGATGCCAAGGTAGACATCGCACCAGCGCTCGCTCGAGCAGTTCGTCAAAGGACTGTATGCACGACTGAAGTTGCTGACATGCATATGGTGTCGCTGTGTGCCTGCAGGGATGCACTCAGCATGATCCGACGTGTGCAGCAAAGAGCGCCGATCCTCTCTCGTCCCTTCAGCACCTACATACATAACAGCATTCTTCCCAATCAATACCTTTGTATGCACATCGCATGTTCGGTGGCTATCGAAACCGAAGACGGGCACACCCCTGCCACGGCGGCTCGTTCCGCCTGCGCGATGAAAATGCACTGCTCGACTGCGCCGTGGACGGGAAACCAGAGAAACCAGAGCCTGTTCTTCGCAGCAGCAGCTTCGACGCCGCCATGTGGACGTTCCGGGCTGCCTCGTGCGGTGCATTGTTGGAGGAATTCGCCTCGCTGATCTGAAGTTGCTCAGTAGGCCAGGGGGCGGCAAGCTCAGGCCTCACAGCGCTTAGGCAAACAGCGGCGGCCAATCGGAGGCTTTTGTTGACCTGCTCTGCACTGTGATCGCTCCTCCACACCATACGCGCCCATCTCATCCCTCCCGTCCTCCATGTTTCTCTTCCACCGCGTTGGCCAATACGCAGATAGCAGCATGCCAAGACTGGATAGACCTGGATCCGAATTCCCAAATTAAAACGTGCGAATGCCGGCAGCCAACCCCAACCTCGTGCCAGCGTGATGGCTAACCGCCAGAGGGGCAACTGTGTAAGAGGGGTGAGATGAGATGCAAATATAGAGCCGCCTGCCCTCGCTCTGGGGCCATCGTGTTGGACGTCTGATCTTTTCTCTCCCCACCCACATCTGCATCTTGTTTTGCTATACCACCGCGCCATTGTCGTACCACATTTTATCCGCTTCGCTGCATCTGCCTCGCATTTATGGGCCGATCAATTTGTGCATCATGGCTGATGCCTCTCATCTTCGCACAGCTGATCCTCGCCCAATCTGTTGAAGAGTCAAAAGGCACTGGAGGATCAGATTTACCGAGTGCTGGCTACAACGGCGGTGATGACAACCCTCAGGATCCCAGTGATGCAGGAGCCGAAGGTTCTTCTAAGGGCGCCTTCAACATCTCAAAAGGTGGTCTCGCTGCCATCATCGTAGTAGCCAGCGTAGTGGCCATCATTGGAAGTAAGTCTCCCCAATCGTAGGATACAGCCATTTCACCCGATATTGACTCATTCAGTCGGCTCTGCTGTTCTGTTTTGGCTTGCCAAAAAACGACAGTGGGATGTGAGACAATCTTTCCGTCGTGCATCTCGTCGCATCACAGGCCGGTCGACCGCCGACTTGCCCAGCACAAAGCGTCAAAATCGCCGCACTGGAGTTCGATTGGATGATCCGCCGCGCAGGAAGCCAAAGCCTGGCCAGGAGAGGGACGTGGAGAAAGCGCTCGGAAACGGACCCGGAAAGAATACGACTAAAATTACCAGCACATTTGATGTCGATACACCCACCCCCAAGGCGAAGGGATTTGGGAGTCTGATGGGTGGGAAGAAGTGACAAGCTACGATGACGCACGTCACCAACAAGTCATGATTGGAGGGTGCCAAGCTACAATGTTCCAAATTGCACCAACTACACCGTTGATTCTGGGAATCCGGTGCCGCGAGGCTTTGACCTATCAAGAATGTGCTATGAGATTCTGGCAAAGCAAGAGCAGCGAATATCGGGATAAGGGTACAAACAAGAAAGGGCTTCTCCCAGCACTTGCTGTGAGTATTTAAGAGCCACGACACTTTGTTCCCCGGTATCTCCCAACGCACTCGTAAACAATGCTTTGCGTATCAGCTGATACAACAAATCGATGAATACAACCCACACGGTCTAGCCGGATGCTGCAGGTGCTTTTATGTCAGAAGTGCCCGAGTTCTTTTTTTTCTTTCCGTGTACTTTCTTACTAGATACTTACCATGATATCCCCTACGAGATTCTGCATCTCAAGCCAAATAACCACATCAAGTCGTGCATTCTTACAATCTCTGGGTTCTCTCACCAGCTCCCATTTCTTATATCGTCGCACCCAGCATTGATGACACCACCTCAGTAATGCTGTTTTCACCTACTCCACAGCACTAGAGCAAAACAACGACACTTAACGTTGTATAGATCGCCAAACAGCACGGTTGAGCGCATCGGTTTGGTGTGACCATCAGCAACCAGATTTACTTGCACGGTTAAGCCTCTTTTGATTCATACACGCAAATCGCACATGGTCCCTATCATCCCCTAGCCCACAGAGCATATTACGACCATGAAGATAATTTTAGTGAACTGCAATTGAACAGGACGGCCTCATTCGAAGTTACCTCAACTGACTTACGTCCGCCTCAATGCAGCCACACAACGAGTCTACACTGCGCACTATGCATACCCTCGAAACATCACACACAATGCACAAAAGCTCATACATATCCACGCATATCAATTTATTCCCGCTGAATTCGCCTCAACCCAAATCAAGTTGATACTGCGACAACAACCGCATAGCACATTTACTCTCATACGTACCAATACAGCCAAATCTTTCGAAATCGATGGCACCAACCACACAAAGCACAGCGTCACCCCACCCACCCGAGGCAATCACGGGCTTCACTCGCGATACACCTCTCTGGGCATATATCTTTGCACTCTTTATGTTCCTGCTCATGATGTATCAGGGCGTAAAGAGGATCTTTGGTCCCGTTCCTCGCTTGAGTGTTCAGCACTATGTGCCGACAGAGTGGTTTACAAGATGGGCCGTTCGCAAGGTCCAGGCAAGAGAAAGCAACGTAGGTTAGTTCTTTCTGTGCCACTAAGGGTAGATCCAACGTTCTTTGAGTACATAATAGAAAGAAACTACAAACAATGAAATTCCTTTTCCATGGGATTCTCGTGCACATATAGTAGATGTTTCGAATCAACGATAAAGCGACTTCACATTACACACGTAGCCATTATAATTAACTGTTCTACACGGCTTGCTCAAGTGCTGGCTGTTCACCTCAAGCTGCAATCAGCATTTAACATGTGACGCAAATGCACGCGACATGCACGGACCAACGACGCGTCTCCCAGCAATTGTTCCCTGCGACCAGTGAAGCTTAACCAAACAACTCCCCCGCCATCACCACAATGTCCACTCGAAACCGTATCCCAGCGTACAGGTCGAGCGTCGGTCGCACTTCACTTACGCAGGACCTCACGAGCAGTGCTATCGCATTTGACACCCTTCCACCTTACAAGAAACCTAGTCACCCATTGACGATCCGCGCTCAAGATCAGATCAAAGCTCTCAACGGCCGCCCAATCGAGCAGATCAAGGAGCATAGCAAAGAAGCAGAGAAACGCCTTACCAATGCGGCAGAGTTGGTCAACGACAAAGCGCGTGAGCACAATGAGAATATTGCGAAGCGTCGTAAGCGGTGGGATCAAGGCCTCGACACAAAACACCAGGAGAATGAGGAAACATGGTCTGCACAATTTCAGGAAAAAGCCGATAGCATCACAGCGCAGCTGGAAGAGTCAATGAGGGGGGTCATCGATACGAGCGTTGGTGCAGAGCGCATGGCAGAGTCGATCAAATGGCTGCATCAGCACGCGCCGGGCAGGCTGGAACAAGAGTTTAACACGCAACAAAACTCTCTTTCGCAATCACAGCGGCGGAGGGATACTCAGATCTCAGAGGTAGTGTCTGACGGTCCCACACCTGGGCCCACACCGCTCGACGGGTCAAGACCTGTCCTCTCAGGTATCGGTGAGATCTTCGAGGAGCGCCTGAACCGCAAGAAGGACGAGTACACTAGCCGGTCACTATATGATCGGTATGCAGAGAACAGGGCGTATGCAGATTTTAAAGCAATGGTACACGACGCGAAGTATGGAAACGAAGAAGCACCTCCGCGGGAAACTTGGTTCCCAGAACAGGGACTGCCTGCCCTAGGTGTTACTCAGCGCGGTGCAGACGACGAAGAGGATGACATCGTGGTGAACAAAGCAACCGTCAGTACGAAATGTCCGGTGACGTTCCAAAAATTCAGGGAGCCTCTCACGAGCTCGAAGTGCCCACACACGTTTGAGAAATATGCCATCATGGAGATGATTGGGCGCAGCAAGACGAAAGTAGGGAGTGCAGGGAACAGGTCAGGTGGAGAGAAGGCAGTTGAGTGCCCTGTCCCTGGATGTAGCCAGGTGAGTACAGATGCCGATCTGATGAGGACCTCGCTAACGTGTCGATAGCTTTTGAGGGTGCAAGATCTACACTACGACTCTATTCTCATGCGAAAGCTGAAGCGGATGGAGCGAGCTGAACAGCAAGCAGCGGCGGAGAGCGACGAGGAAGGTGTCGAACTCTCACAATTGCAGACGCAGCAACGACGGGCGGCGACCGTGAAGGCCGAACCTTCGTCGCGAGTACCACCATGAAGCTCTCACATTGAAAAGCTGAGTTCGCAGAGCAGGGAAAAGGGTAATAAGACAGTACGGTGTGACTGAGTGGATGATGAAGAACATGATGCATGGCACGATTAATGCAGATATGACATTCGCGTTTGTTCACTTTCACCAAAGCGATGTAGGAACAAAAAGTAGTAGGGCCGAGTCTTGGACATGGGGAAGCTCCATGGTATACCGCACGAACAATGCTCTCGAGATATATCCTCGGTTATCCTACAAGATTAACTCCCTTGGTCCTCTTGACCAAGAAGAACTAGAGACAAGGTGTTGCACTGCCATGTCCGACATGATGGCATCGGTACGGATACATGAGTAGCTCTCGGCCGCGGATACCCCGGCGCTGATGACAACAATGCTACTAGACGGTACTCTATATACACATCAACAGCAGGCGGAAATGTCGCGCAGCGGAAAAGGAAGGAAGGGATGGGATAGGTGGGGGGTTTGTTTGTTTGTTTGTTGAGCGTCAACAATACGCAGCGCGGATCGGGGAAACAGGACTTTTCAGGTGCGCGCGCGGATATAGATGGGCCTAAATAGACACGTATGGGGGGCTGAAGTAAGGCTACTACTTATGTAGGTATGCATGTACATGTGTATGTATGCACAAGATGATGAGGCTCCAGATGGGCATTTCACTCCCCGCCCGTGATGCGGAGCAGGCAGCTGTTGAGAGACTGGTTATGCAGGTCCTTGAATTGGGTTCCTGAGGAGGAAGATTGTTGGGAGGCTCTGGGCTGTGGTGCTGCAGGAAGGCCGATTGATGGTTATTCCCGCGACGGCGATTCGCATGTCTATTCACATGGTAGATGAATCAGTATTTGTGTAGTGTCAGGGTCCCAAGTCACGATAAGGGGTTTCGCGGTGCGGTTCTGCGGCTCTGTGTTGCTGCGAACCTTGTTCGGCGATGCGTGGGAAGTCATGTAGATGGACGTCCAGCAGCCAACCAGCCAGCAGAGGATGTGATTGGCCCGTCGGGGGTGAAGCTGCGGATCCGCAAGTTTTAGTTGGTACTTGGTACTTGACTGTGCATGCATTGCAAAAGCAAATCGAAGACGGTAGCGATAAGGGCCTGGTCGGACATTGAGCGCCGGGAACTGGAGAATAGAAGCCGATCCATGGTGTTAGAGTTTCGAGGGCTGCGTCATGGTATCGGGGGCAAGACGCGACAGCCCAGCCCTAGGCTTGACTCGTTGGAAACATGCGAATGGAGCAGCAAGCCAGCTCCGGCGGACCGAGTAACAGAAGTCGGTACAGCAGCTTGCAAGTAGGGATTGCACCCGTGTTGATTGGATACGATGCCCAAATGGAGTCTCCATTACCCAGATTTTGCGTCACAGACGAATGGATCCAGAGCTCTGCACCAAGACTGGTGGCCAGCGAGTGAGGTCTTCTTTGTAGTGCGGGGTCGAGGCCGAAAGAGGGGTGCTTGCTTCAAGTAACGTGGATGCTCGCCGCCGTGAGACGTCCGACTTGACATGTTCAACACTCTGCCTTTCTCTCCTTGTGCATCCCGTCGCGAAACGTTGTTTTCCACTCGCTTCCTGCTCTCTCGTCTCTGCCATCCATCTGCTGTCCCGGTTGGGACAATCCTACCGACTGATTGAAGTCGCATAGTGGGTCCGTTTCCGTTTCCGGCTAGCCCCCCCACGGCTGTACCTTGGCATCGGCCATCCGCTTCAAGGTACGTACCCGCGTGGGTTGAACTTCACATTCCTCTGTTGTCTCTCTGTGTTTGTCCCGTCGTCTCTGCTTTCTTTGTCGCCGGCCATCCACGGCTTCTCATCGACATATGCGGGTTGAATCGGAGCACGTCATTACGGGCCGGCATCAAAGACGCTGTATCCTGCCAGTCTGTCTGTCTGCCCGTCTGCCCTCTGTAGCATGTAATGCGTTACGGCCGCGGCTGGACGCTCTGGGCCACAATGCTCGCACCTTGTCGTGCTTCACACGCTGAGAAGCGCTGCGGGACCGTCATTCGGCACCTCAGCATAGTCAGCCACTTCACCGTCTGTCTTTTGAAAGAGTTAGAACTCGTTATCCGCGCCCAAAGCATGCCTGTCCCTTGGGCTGTTTCGCGCCTGGCTTCCTGCCTATATCATCCATCTGGACCTACCCACTTGACTGCCTTTCATCTCTGTTTCATTTTCTCTCGCTCGTGCTGTCACTTCTTTTTCCACTTCAATTCCAAGTGGGAAGTCACCTCTAACCGCCATGTCCGCAGCAACTCCATCCATAACGATGCCCGCCAGCCGCGCCCTAGAGTCAGCAAAGCAGACCTCCGAAACCGTTCTCACAGACGCCTCCGCCGCCATGAAGTCCGCCGCTGAGAATCCAAAGAAGACTACCGCAAACTTCCTCCAGACACCCTTCATGCGAGGTGCTCTCCCCTTCATCAATGGAGGCCTAGCAGGTATGACAGCAACCGCCGTAATCCAGCCCGTCGATATGATCAAGGTCCGCCTCCAGCTTGCCGGCGAGGGTGTAAAATCCGGCCCCAAACCTACCCCCGTCACCGTCTTCCGGGACATCGTTGCCAGTGGCAAACTCCTGGATCTGTATACGGGACTCAGTGCTGGACTGCTCCGCCAAGCTGTCTACACCACCGCTCGAATCGGTTTCTTCGACACTTTCATGAAGACCCTCACGTCATCCGCTGAAGCCAAGGGTACAGCCATCGGGTTCAAGGAGCGTGCAGGTGCCGGCCTTGCCGCAGGTGGTCTCGCAGCCATTGTTGGAAACCCCGCCGATCTGGCTTTGATCCGAATGCAATCAGACGGCTTGAAACCGGTAGCACAGCGTGCAAATTACACATCAGTCATCGATGCCCTGTCCCGTATCGCCCGCAACGAGGGCGTGCGGCGCCTGTGGGCGGGCTGTAACCCAACCGTCGTACGCGCCATGTCTCTCAACTTCGGCCAGCTTGCCTTCTTCTCAGAAGCCAAAAACCAACTCAAATCCACATCGCTATCTTCCCGAACCCAGACTCTCACTGCATCGGCCGTAGCCGGTTTCTTCGCCAGTTTCTTCAGCTTGCCGTTTGACTTCGTCAAGACACGGCTGCAGAAGCAGACTCGTGCGCCCGATGGCACGATGCCCTACAAGGGTATGCTGGATTGCTTCCGACAAGTTGCAAAGGAAGAAGGCATGTTGAGGTTCTACCGCGGCTTCACAACCTATTATGTGCGGATCGCACCACATGCGTGAGTCAATTCCCCGACCATGTTCTGGTGACGAGGAAAATATATCCTTCCCTCGGAACATTATGAGGTCATGGAACAGCTAGCTAACTATGTCACTCTAGAATGGTAACACTCCTCGTGGCCGACTATCTAGGTTTCATCACGAAGTAACGCGACTGTCTTTTATCTAATCCGAGTCGGCACGGCCCACAAAAGATCCCTCGCCAGCGCGGATCGCACTGGCTATTCATTTCTTCATTTCCCCTTCGTTCTTTCAATTTACGTGAAAAGGAGCGAGTAAGCCACTGAGCATGTACTGCTTTCATTTTCCTACTGCCTTTTCCCCCATCGCATTGTTTCTTCTTTCTATCGTACTTCAGGAGTTCGGGCTTGAATCCAATCTTGCAAGGTTTTGCTTTTCACTGGCTTACATTGGGACGTACGGTCGGCATTGGTCTGCTGATATTTTGTTATTCTTCTTTTTTGTTTGTATCGCATTGCTGCCGATCGGGTCTTTAGCGTAGGTAGGATAGGAGTTTAGCCAATTTTTTTATATTTTTCACCCCTCTTCTACCCCTCCCACCTGATTCTTGTGGTATTCAGATTTTTGCTTTCTCGTACGTATGCCCACATCTGTGTCTTCATGCAGAACTCGTTACTACACACAATCCGGCAGCCGCATATTGGATGAGCATTGTGCGTACACAATGTCTCCGGCCTTATTCTTTGTTACATGTCTACAGCATCTCAAGGTAAAGCCATGCGATGCTAATTAAACAATCATCAACAAATGATGAGCAAACGAAAACAAAGAGCCACGAAACCTACGCCTAAACGACCATTAACAAAGGAATCGTATATAATGATATGCATGAACGATATCAGAGTAACATATCAGACCCCCGACACCTTATCAAGAGAAGCTCAGACAATTTATGACAATTCCACGCGACAAGAATATGGCATCCCAAACCCAATGCAGATATATCCTATTGGAAGATTTCGGAAGCAAATTAGGTGGATCACAAAATCAAGGCATCTCCCTCGTTGAAGACCCACACACAGGAATCAAGCTGATCTGCAAAAAGAACCCTCCAGATTTCGGAGTAGTCGAAGCAAGTATGTTGAAAAAGGTGGAAGGGCTTCCCAACATCATCCAGCTCCACGAGTATCTGACTTGCCAAGACAACCAACCCGTCGGTGAGCTGTACATAGAGTACTGCGACCTAGGCAGTCTGGGCGACCTTTACGCACGCTACTCTTGCCTTAACAAAGCGATCTCAGAAGGTTTCCTTTGGCACATACTTCTCTCCATCGCAAAAGCGCTAGATGCGTGTCACACCGGTCTCGATAGACCAGACTGGAAACCCATACTCCACGGTGATGTTAAACTAGATAACATTCTTCTTTGCTCGTCATCTACCGGTATAGCAGAATACCCTCGTGTCGTCCTTGCCGATTTTGGCGGCGCAAAATCCGTCGAATCTGTTATCGCCTCCACGGATGTGGGGAGATTGATACGCGTTGTGAGTGATTTGATGGCCTGTGGAGAACGCGATGCTGGATATTCGCAGCAGCTGAAAAGTTTGATAGCAGATTATGAGTGGAGGTATGAGAACCCTTGGGAGGCGAGCGTGGGGTCTGCGGCGGAGCTGGTTAGAAGAGTTGAGGAGCTGGTTGGGGAGTTGCCGTATTTGACATGAGATAGCTCGTCTTTTGATCAAGTTGATTAATTTCTTTTCATGATGATGTAGGTCATTATTTATTCAATGGGGCTCTTTAAATAGGCCAATGTGGTAACCGTTCTATGCACTCATAGTTGTCATTCTTGCATTCTTTCGGCTTTTGTGGTTTCATTGAGTGCGAATCAATGTACTGGGTCTTTGGGAGACCCGTGTCTCCAACCGCTCGTTCCCTTTCTCAGAACTCTTTTCTCTCTGGGCAACTGTCTCATCAAGTGTTTTTTTTTTTCTTCGTGTTATTCAAATCATACCGAGCCTTGGTACTTCAAATTCTGTGGTGAAGTCTGACATTTTGGTGTGCGAAGCCGAATAAATTAAGCGTACAATTGCCCTCGATCATATCGGGAAACTTCCACCGTTATAAGAATATACAAAGCCTCTTATACGTTAAATGGCATTTGATAAGTCTCAGCTGTCAATTTAGTAGATCGATTGATGGATGTCGGCACTACTACATGTATGCCTATCTAATACGGTTAGCGTCTATTTGCTCCGCACTAAAATCCATCCCGTCTGTCCCTCTCTCTAAAACACAGCTGCGTGCGACGTGCGACGCAACACACCTGAGATCCGTACGAGCTTGCTCGTCTGCCACCTAGCGTTGATGTTTTCATCATGGCAGCTCTATGCCAACAATGCCATGATCTTTTCAGTCAAATAGACTTTTCTGATCTTCACGAGGACAAAATTACTATCCCATACTCACGACAAGACATTCTGCCAGCTTGCTCCAATCTCGCCTTGTCTGCAGGAGCAGGTTGTCGCTTTTGTGAAGCGCTAGCGAAGTTCATTCGGAAGAGATGTCTGTTGCTTGACCCGCCAACATTTAATTCGACCGCTACGATTCGACTTGGGCCCGTGGCACGCCTATTCGCGCATTCTTATCTGGAATTCGGCGTAAAAGAGGCAGAGAATGGTCTATATCTGATTGAGCTGGATTTTAAAATTGACGGACTTGAAAATACTCGTCCTTTGAGATTTGAAATGTTCGCTGAACCGGGTATGTGTTTTGCCTAGAATCAAGTTGGGAGGCTACATCGTCAGGGAGTCCACTTTGATGTTTTACATTGACCTCATCAGCATCGTACGTCGCGTACCGGTTCAATATCAAACGTGTGCTACCAAAAAAAGACAGAACAAATGACGAATGTGCTCAACTTCTTCTGGGCTGGGTTGAGGACTGCACCGCAGCACACGAAGTCTGTTCCCAAACGTCACCATCAACCCTTCCTACCCGAGTCATTGATGTCGGGCTGACAGGTCAATCGGAACAACCGCATTTGGTGCTATCCAAAGGCAAGACGGGGAGATATACAGCGCTCAGTCACTGCTGGGGTCCACTGATAGTAGGATCGAGACTTTTACGGCTCACTTCCGAAAATATCGAAGTAATGATGAATGTCATTCCTGTTGAGAGGTACTGCACTTTCTCTGATTAACTACCCCTGCTCGATCAGCATTGCTCTCCTATTCTTAGACATCGACTCATGTCATGACAGTATGCCACAGAATTTTCAAGATGCCGTCACAGTGACCAGAATGTTGGGCATCCAGTACCTCTGGATAGATTCGTTGTGCATTATTCAAGACTCAAAAGAAGACTGGGAAAGAGAAGGTGCTAAGATGGGAGATATCTATCACAACGCCTATGTGACAATCGCTGCTACCTGTGCGAGTAAGAGCGAAGATGGGTTCCTCCAAACCGACTTCGTTGACTCCAGAACATTGATTACCTTTCCGACGGAATCTTTTTCCATGTCATATTGCAACCTAGTGCTCCAAGAGACGGATGTTGTTGGCTCGCATTGGGAAGAGGGAGTTGAGGACGCCACATGGAACTCACGCGCTTGGACTATGCAAGAGCGATTCCTGTCTCCGCGGACTATTCACTTCTCAAAGCACCAAATATACTGGGAATGCCAAACCCAAAAACTATCCGAGACTGGCGAATCCATTTTTCATGCACCCTTGACCCCGCCTGATCGCCCATCACTTTTCGTCGAGGAAGAACCATTACCCAATGGGGAAGAATCCGTTGAGATATCATCAATCGCAGCATATAAGAATGATATGTACGACTGGTGGTACACAATAGCTGCGCGATACTCAATCCGCAATCTCACATATCCTTCGGACAAACTCCCCGCTTTGTCTGGACTTGCAGCCCTGATGTCTAGCCTTACAGCTACCAAAACCCCAGACTCCTATCTCTGTGGCATCTGGGAGGGAGACTTGGCTTTCGGTCTACTGTGGCGCTATAGCGATGCTAGATTTCAGGGTCCCTTCACGTCACGAGCACCATCATGGTCCTGGGCTAAGAGCGATAATCAAGTCATCTGGCGTGACCGTGAAGGTGCAGCAAGGTCACAGATACGAATGATCTCTAAGAATGTACAGCTTCAAGGTCTTAATCCGTATGGAGAGATCAAAGCCGCAGTACTACATTTGTCTGGCAAGATTATTCCGGTCGCGCTTCAGGTTCCAGCCTCTGCACAATTCCGAATGTCTGATCCAAAGATACCATCACAGTTTCCGTGTGAGATACGGCGCCTACATGAAACAGATATAGTTGCCATTGGATCTCTAGATAATCCCGAGGACCGAGATGGGCAACGCTTACATCTGCTGCAAGTAGAAAGGCAAGACATTGGAGTGACGGGGAGGGAAAACAACTGGTCTGGTCTTCTAATGCAAAAGGTAGACGTAGGGTACAGCAATTACCTACGCATCGGCGTGTACATCCTATGTCGAGATCATCTTGGTATTTTCGAAACCGAAGAGGAGCGACCTTTTACGCTTGAATGAGATATTGAGCGCCGAATTTGGGTATTGGGACGGGAAGCAATGGTATCGCTTGCAGGGATCCTGATCCTCACCGGTTTTCGCATGTACTAAATGAGTGGGGCGCTGGCGCCTGGCGCTTCGCTCGTTCATCTGCACTTTATTAACCCTCAAGGCTTATCTTCTCAGGAGTAACATATCTACCATCTCCAGTATCCTTCACTCCGGTGCATCGGGATAGTTATGACCCAACCCATCGTTGACGAAGACCCGTCAGCGGCATCGGACGCGGTGTCGCTGCACACTATCGCCGAGCAAGCCGACGCATACGCTCCACAGGAGCAGGAAGACGCTGACTTTGCCCTCGCCCTTGCGCTCGAGGAAGAGGAGTCAGCTAGGTTCGCCCGTACACGAACAAACATCAACCCTCACAATGATGAGCGTATCGAATCTCCGGCTGGACCAGAGACAGAGGGATTCTTACCTTATCACGATGATCCTGAAACTACCGATGACATAGATCCTCCCCCGTATCGTGACGACCCTGACGCTGAGCCGATTGAAGGGGAATCATCCACTGATACAGAAGCCGCGGCTGTGCTTCCTCAGCGACAGAGCGCCTTTCTGCGGATACTCAGAAAAATTGCAAAAGCATGGCTCTGTTATCTCATGTGCTCCACCGTATTCACCATCGTCATAGTTGTCGTCGTCTTGGTCTTCGCATTCTTTCACGGCAAAGCAAGTACCAGCCAGGGCGATCCCAAGGAAGCCGCCTGGTCCGCCTCTGGCTCCCAAGATTACGACCTGAATCTTCCAAAGTTGTTTCCCAGTCTAGCAGAGAGCACTTCAGACACATGCAAGAAGACGTGGGAAGACTTTGCGTCTGGCCTTTCGTGTCATCGTATGATCCTCTCCTCGGCATGGGACAACGGAAATGTTACAGAGGTGGAAGCAGCAGGTGCAGACCCTGTTTACTACAAAGATGCTGTTTGCACGCGGGCGTGCAAAAAAGCGCTCACCAACCTGGACTTACCTATGCTCAACACATGTGCGGATCGAACCAACCACTTCGACTTTGAGCAGTATGGAAAAGACGGAAAATCATACTTTGAGAAATACAGCATTGAAGAAGGCCCCGCAGGCGTATCCAAGAGCTTGTGGGAGCGTTACGACCGCTTGTGCAGCGGACCACCGAAAAGATATATAGGAAGACAGCCGCCGAGTTGCGCAGAAGATTTATGGATGACGTGGGGTATCGTCGAAGGTAGAAATGAGGCAAACCTCAACGGCCTGGATACGTTCCTCGAGCAGACATCCGTGAAGAAAACAATACCCTCGGCTCGACAAGTAGTTACGAAATTGCGCCCGTCGGGTATGAACGAAACAGTGGCACGCACGCTGAACAGTCGTCGCGTCGGTCCCGGGTATGGGGAGACCGAGTGCAACACCTGTGTCAAAGACTGGCTCACGAGAAAAGCACTAAGCTTCAGATACGGCGAGATGCTGGAGCCTGGAACCAGGACTCCGCTCGGGCTCGCTGACTTCGCGGATAAAATGAAGAATGCGTCTCAGCGATGCTACGCTTTCCCGCAAGAGCAGAACCGTGTCTGGTCGGCTATGGGGTGGTGGTGCGACGGAAAGCCATGTCGCAAGGACGATGACTCGATACCCTGGGTTGTTGTCAACATACTGCACGGCTACGAGAAGCAGTATATCGACCCCCCTCCGCCCCAATTCGATGTGCACAATATTCCTGGGAACAAGAAACAAGCCGTACATACGCTGCTCGACGCCGTGCAAGACATGCGTTGCGGCGCCCTGGGCATCACGTCCGACGACTTGACGAACCCTTTTGTAACATCGGCACCTGTGCTTTCACGTCTCTGTACTCCACGCTGTCTCAACGCGGTCGACCGCATCGCCGCCCTCGTCGAAGATGCAAAGTACGATGGATCCCCCTTCGAGGTCATCTCCGACTCCATCACGAGCGTCCATGCTCTCTGCAAATCGTCCTCTCCTATATCTTTCGCTACCACTTCAGACACCATCTGCGCAGCAGGCTACGCAGCTTTGAATATGACATCGCTCATCGCATCCCCCACTTCGCTGTCTCCCTCGAACCCTCCTTTCCCTCGTGCTTCTATCCTCTCCACTTTCCGCACCGCCCTCGCATCCATCCAAGAATGGAACGACGGTGATCACTCTGCGGCATTGCGTTCCCACAAGTCTCTTCAAAAGCTTCGTATAGCGGAGAGTGTTTGCAACACTTGTGCAGGTGAGATGTTCATCGGTCAAGAAGGCAAGTGGAAGGACACAGTCAACGCTTTCCTATCGGATCCGGAAGTCAATGGGACCGAGTATGTGAGGACGGCAAGAGAGGGATGGGTGCAGTGCGGAAAGATGTTTGGAATGAGGCTGTCCTGGGGACAGAAAAGGAGACTGTTTGAGCAAGTGGGTCTGGGGGATGGCGTCGCTGGGTTGTCGGCTTGATGCTAAATAGAAGCCAGGGTAGGCCAGACGAGGGGCTTCATTCAATTGCGTGAGCTGTTCGATGCGGTGTTGCGTTTCCAAGATTGACAACAGAGTGTGAATTTTTCGTTTCCTGGTGCTATTTGTTTCACCTGTTCTTTAAAGAGCTAGGTATGTATATGAGAATGAATATGCACGTTGAAATGCTATTTAAAATGGCAAAATGATTTACACAATGTCTGAATTTGGAGTGACGAATGCAGCAATCGAATGGAAGATTTGTTGTTTCACTCAAGTATGATACGGTCTTTGGCGAAATTGAGTAAACCGAATATTAGCATCACTCAAACTTTTCGAACATGGACCACAATGCAGTTCACGCCAGCCTACGTGGACGAGAGATTTCGTAAGGCATCATCTCTCTTTGCACAGCGTCTTCAACTTCAACGGCAAGGGTCAGCTCACAATCCTGGTCATGACTGGTCGACCTACCACGAAGCGAATTGAGCAGGCCCACCATCCAGGTGCCCCGCTTTCTCATACATGACCTCTTCACAAATTCACAAATGTATAAGTCGCCCCATCTCAACGCTTGTACACGCGAGAACGTCTCTGCTTGTTATCAATTTACAACAGTTTTTCTTGCAGTAGATGGTCTATCGAACATGCATATCAAGCGTTCAAGTGTAGAGCAATGTAAGATGAGCCTTGTGATAGGTGATGTGGAATCTAACATTCGAAAGAATTAACCTATCATCACGCAACTAGCGCAAAAACTGGGTGTGCTCTACATATTTCTACGGAGTGCCTTCTGTCTAATCAATCAGCGTTTTTTCCATCCCCTTCATTCCTCAAGTTCGATGGAAAACAGCGTTTTCGAGTATCCACCCCTGGAAGATGTCGACACAGTCAGGTATATGATTCTAGAGGCTGGAAAACCTAACGACGATCTCTCATGCATTCTTTATCCAGTAAGATCGAATGATGCAGGAAGATATCTGGCATTGTCTTATGTCTGGGGTGACCCGAACCGTCGAGATGCAGTCATTACGTGCAACGGAGCACCTTTGAAAATCACCAAGAGTCTGCAAGACGCTCTGAAGGAGATCCGTCAAACCGATGAAAGTGTTTCCATATGGGCGGATGCAATCTGTATCAATCAAGCTGATCTCACTGAGCGTGCCGAGCAAGTCATGCACATGGCATCGATCTACAGAGATGCATGGAAAGTGATCGTATACCTAGGACCTGACTCCCAAGGAAACGCATCGAAGGTCTTTGAGATTGCGGAGAGGTTAGCAACCGACGAGGCATATGAGGACCGTTTCTTTCGTGACTGGAAAAACAAGAAGACGCATATCACACTGTTGAAGTGGTTAGCAGGTCTCCCGTGGTTTCATCGCGTATGGACAACACAGGAAATTGGACTAGCAATGTCAGCGATGTTCATTTGTGGGGCGGCGCGAATCGAATGGGAGGTTCTTCACCGAGCCTTCGAGCTACTGGCGACGAGAGCAACCGCCCAGCAACTTCGAACGGCCAATTTCAACCCAAAGAGAATCAGCAGTCTCTATCTTTCTTTCTTCCAAGAAAATGCATATCTATCGGTGTTGGCACGCATGCGCACAAGGCATACAAGCGAGCCTCGCGACAGGATATACGCAACTTTACATCATGCCGGAGCTCGAATTGGGGACGAAAACGGAGATAGGGGAATAGTGAGGGTGGATTACAACAAGGACTTACAGGAAATCTATATTGAAACGGCCGTGGGGATCTTGACGAGAACGGAGTCGCTTGACTTTCTGTCATATGCAGGGTTCCGGGACCTGTCAACGCCACTACCTTCTTGGGTGCCGCAGTGGCATGCTGATCCTCGAACGCATCTTCTTTCTGCTGGCGAAGAAGATCAATTCAGCGCTTCGGACGGACTGGATGTGGGTGGAAATGACGAGGAACCGATTTTCCAGGTTTACGACAAAAAGCTCCGAGTTCATGGAATTCACTGCGACGTCATTGATTGGGTCTCACAAGATTGGGCAAGGGCAGACCTCAATTCCAAGCCCGGACTACGTATCAAACAGACGTGGTCCAAAATCAAGGATAGAGCTTATGTGATATACGGACACAGCATACTTCAAGCGCTTATGCGAACGTTGGTAGGAGGTGATGAATCTGAGACAACAACGCAGGATTTCAGCTCTTTTTGGCGCATCCTCTGGGACGATAAAGCTCCATATTCGCAGCTGCTCCAGAGCACAGCAACCACAGTAGCCGAAGATAAGCTCGAAGAATCTGCGCTTTTCTCCGCGCAAGCATGGTATGCGCTGAAAGGCCGGAAGATTTTCCAGACAAAAGGCGGGTACATTGGTATAGGTCCTCAAACTCTGGAGAAAGGAGATTCGCTCTTTGTTCTATGTGGTGGCAAAGTTCCTTTTGTTCTTCGCAACTCAGGCTCTGATGGGTACAGACTGGTGGGAGAAGCCTATGTTGATGGAATCATGCAAGGACAAGTGGTGCATTGGCTGAGGCCTGGAGGACATCAGATAGTGCCTCTCCAGATGCACTGACAATATGGAACTATTATGAAGCCACAGAGCGAAGAACCATATCAATCTCTCCTCACCAGCTCGCTGCAATAGTCTTATATCCAAGCACGCGTGGGTCAAATTCTTTTACGAGACCAATCATTGGTTTTGGAGCTGGCTGAATCTCGAATGGCAAAAGTTGATTATATTGTACCGAGGTTGATAAACCCAATTTCACGCCAGGGGTGTATTTTGTCGGGTGAGATCACCAGGAAAGAGGTTTTATCCCGGCAGATATACAAAATAATAAATACCAATTGCGGGGTACCCCCGCACATCCATAGTATCTATTAGGTCTTCCAACCCTGTTTTTATACCATAGAAAACCAGTTGAAGCTGATAATAGGTGGAAACTTTACTACCGATACAGAGTGGATCGGCGGCAAGAAGCTGTTGCTTGAAGAGAATAGAACGGCTTTGACATCACCGCCGCAGAGCTACAATATTTATGAGAAGGTACACTCCATAGCTAAACATAGCATCTCAAAATTCAACTTCTCCCAAGCACCATGTTGTCTAAACTACTCCTAATACCCATATTCTCATCCCTGGCGTCTGCGAAAAATGTAAAGTCGCCAACCCCACCAATGGGATGGAATACGTACAATGCATATAACTGCAATCCCTCCGAGGACAAAGTAAAACTCAATGCGCAAGGTCTCGTCGATTTGGGCCTGCGAGATCTCGGCTACACGATTGTAACGCCAGACTGTGGATGGAACGCACGCACACGAGATAGCCAACAGCGCCTACAATGGAACACGACACTCTTCCCTTCGGGCGGAAAATCATTGGGCGATTATCTGCATGGACTGGATTTAAAATTCGGGCTGTATTCGGGCGCTGGGTACTTGCAGTGCGGCTCGACGGATTTGCCGGCTTCGCTGGGCTACGAGGATGTCGATGCGAAATCGTTTTCGGACTGGGGAGGTGATGCTTTGAAGTAAGCTATACAATTTGATTCAAGGGTCTTTTTTATGTTTAGTGCGCTAATTTTACAGATATGATAACTGCTACTCTACGTCTCGAACGACCATGGTGGACTCCAGTTCCGCCGAATCACAATCACCAACTCGATTCCAGAAGATGGCGGGGAGCATGGAGAAAGTGGAACGGGACATCCAATACTTTATCTGCCAATGGGGTATAGGACAGAATGTCGGTACTTGGTATGACGGCTGCAGCATTATACGGGACGCCTAAGCTAACCTTTATTTACAAGGGCATCTGAAATCGGAAACACATGGAGAATGAGCAACGACATTTACAACGCCTGGCGCAGCATTTGGCGCATTACAAACCAGGTGGTCCCGTACTACAGACACACCCGACCAGGAGCTTTTGCGGACATGGACATGCTACTTGTAGGGTTGAATGTCCTCTCAGCCGAAGAAGAGCGTTTTCATTTTGGAATGTGGGCGATCAACAAGTCTCCACTCATGATTGGTGGCATTCTGGATAGCAGGTTGTCCAAGTCGTCGTTGGACATTATGTCCAACAAAGAAGTCATTGCGATCAACCAAGACCCTCTAGCAAAGCAAGCCCAGCTTGTCCGGCGTCAAACCGAGGAGGAATATGATGTTTGGCTCGGCGACCTTTCCGATTCTCGAAAGGTACTGGGTATAGCCAACTGGAGGAATGCGTCAAAAACAGTCGAGCTTGATTTGAAGAGTTTCAACATCTCATCTGCAAACATCAGAGACGTGTGGGCAGCCAAGGATACCGACTCTGCGTCAGGCATTCAGAAGGTCAATCTTGCGGGCCATGAAATGAAGCTCTGGGTTCTCTCCAACATCACTACCAACGCAGAAGGTTTCCTACCTTCGAGATACTACGCAGCAACCAACGGAACTCTCGAAGGCTCAGCGAGCGTCGCTTCCTGTCCCTCAGGAAGCTGCTTACCGGTTCAGCGCAAAGTGGGTAATATCTCACAGGGCTCGAAGGTTACCATAGGAGCAATCTCTTCTAAGACTTCTGGAAAGAAACTTGTCGGCGTAGATTTCATCAACTATGACTATTCGTTCACAACAGCATGGGAGTGGGGCACGAATACACGGAACATGACTATTGCGGTCAACGGAGGGGCAGCTAAAAGATGGGCGTTTCCTCTATCGGGCGGAAACTGGTTTGAGACGGGCAAGTTGATGACCGAGCTCGATGGTTTCAAAGCGGGGGATGACAACAAGATTGTTTTCAGTGCAGTGGGTAATACCTTTGCGCCAGATCTCGTAGGAATTCAGTTATTCGAGTGAAGAATGAAGAATGAAGACATGGTGGGCAAGATCTTCAATTTTTTATGGGATCTCCACTACGATTCCATCTGCGATGGCTTGTTAGTGTTTTTATACGAACTCCTAGATTGTCTACGACGAGAATGTTACACCCAGTCTTTGCTCACTAAGAGACACGGAACATCTGTTCTGCCTGCAGCTCGTAGGCGGTTTTGTTGTGTGATATTACAGTGTTTGTGCCGTATGGAATTGCGATGATTCAATGAAGTGCTTAGTTCACTAAGAGAACAATATGATAAGTACATATAGACAACTAATTGAACTTTAACTCCCCTCCACATCAAGGAGTAATGATCAATCACTCTCATATACCTAACGACAGAGGGTTAAAACACTAAATCGAAAAGTAGAAATTGCGGGAGAAAGAAAGGAGCTCGGAGGCTAGTGTGAAATGAGTCATAGATTGTTAGTACATCAGTGATTGAGATATTATCACTTTCAGCGAAATTAGATGTTCAGAGCTGATTGTTTTCAGTGATCATTATGCATTCATATACAAAGTGGTTATAGAGGTCCAGGGGCAAGTCAACATTGCGATGGAAACAGATGAAGCCAGCGATGAAGAGTGTATATCATCCGTCCATTACGAACTATCGAAATTAAATTGTCACTTCCCATGAATGGGGAGGCTTGTTTCACTATATAGGCGTCTAACGGGGAAGTAGAGACCGCTGTTAAGTATAGCGTGAGTCGCCCGCGGACATGCAAGCATTTGCAAAATAGTAAGAGCCCAAGCACTCCATGCTATGTGGCAACTTATTGTATCACAATCCTGCCACACAACTAGCTTCCACTGTTCATCTAAGCATACCCAGAACACTGGGCACAGGCAGCATGATTTCTGGTCCCGTCCTCCCAGATCGGACACGCGAAGCAAGGTGCTTGGCCTGCAAGAACTTAGCTCTGAACATGATCAAAAGAAATTCAAGACTTACAGATGTGTCCGCACTTCCTCAGTTTTCCTCCGCATGGTGTGTCGCAATCCAGGAAATCCCGGTCTTGGACATTCTCGTGGCAAGGTACCCTGACTGTATGGCCACAACGATTGATATGCTTATCGAGTACGACGTTACACACGAGAGAGCTTTGATCTTGACGCTGCCAGCAACGGACATCTTTCAAGGTATGCCCACAGGCAAGAGTGATGGTGGTTTCGGCGAGTAGCTCGACGCACTTTGGCTCGCACGCATCTCCGCAATTCCATTGGCATGGATGATCGCAACCTTTTTTCATCCGCTCGCACGGCTCGAGACACTTGACACCTAGTCTGGTCAGTTACATTCTAAATTCCTCACGAAATTTTGAACTTACTGGTGTGTCTCAGATCAGAGTGGCAAAGCTGCTTGCATGCATGCCCACAGGGGAGTGGCCGGTCGCATGGCAGTGTACATCCTCCTTCAGGAGACAAACGCTGAAAGTCCGCAGGCTCAAAAGCCTCCATTACAGTTTCCGGGTGTCTAGGGCAGCTCAACTTGAGACTCCTTCCGATATTGCCTTGCTCTTCAAATATGCTCAGTACTTTGGCCCACATTGGAACGCCCGCACTCGTGTTTCGATTTCCAACAATGTACATTCCATGTTTTGCACGGCTCAGTAGAACGTTTATACTATTTCTAGTTTAGCAAGTTTCTTCAAAAGAAGGATTGGTATTTACCGGTTCGGCGTTCGGAGGAATCCGCATTGGTTGAGCTGATTTGATCTCACGAGTGACACGATGACCACCTTTGCTTCTTCGCCTTGGAAATTGTCTACGGTGGCAACCTTCAAAGCGTCGAGTAGACTTGTTTCCTTGGAATCCTCGCTGAATTCCATGTACCCTGAATCGATAAACCCGGCTTCTCTTAACTGCCCCTCATCTCTATCATCAAGCGCGACCTCCGATACGACAGATAATGCCGTCTTCAGCCTGAACATTTGGCCGAGGTATGGAGTGATGACTGCGATATCTTTGGGCCGATAAACGCCTTGAGAGAGAAGATGCGTAGCCAGAGCGACAACACACTTGACCTCGTAATCATTGGATTTGGACATGCTAGTCTGTTCGGAGTACCCACCTCCTTGCTCCGGACTGGCATGGTCGAGCCAGTATAAGCAATCTCTCATTCCAGTCACTTCAGGATATGACTCTACGCTGGGGTCGTCCTCTAAGTGAGGATACAAGGTTTCACGGATAAGAGATGAAATAGCAGGCCGCATTCGACGCTGCGTTCCGAGGGTGCTACATGGAAGCTTGAGGCTGGGTATGCCAACTGGAGGGCTGACTAACCGCTCGAACAAGGACAAATCCAAGGAATACTTTTTACCGCCATGGCTCTCTGATGCTAGCTGAAAGCGTTCGACGGAAGGCTTAAGCTGAAGATGATCACCGACCAGAATAGCATGCTCTATGGCAGGTAGCAGCGCAGTCAAAGTATGCGCTTCCAGAATCTCGCCAGCCTCTTCCACAAGCACGACTTTGATTGGCAATCGCTTGAGAAGGTCTAGGTTGCGTGCTAGCCCAGAAGTAGTCATACCGATGATATCAGCGCCAGCTAGACATCTTAAGTCGACCTCGCGTCTTGCGGCATCGTCTAACTTCTTGACTGCAAAATACTGACGCATGGCGGCATAGAATGCTTCCTTGCGATTCGCCCGGTAACCATTCACCCAGAATGTGTAGAGACATTTCCGTTCATTTAGCGACATCTGCCATATTGCATCGGCATTCCTACTCAGTAGTTCCTGAGCAGTGCAAGTAGGGTTCAAATCATCTCGCCGGCCCTTTTGCAGCCATGACGCTATAGGCTTAAACTGAAAGGAGTTTTTGATGGCCTTTTCATCTCTAGCCCAGAATTGCTGGTGGTACTCGGGATAACAATATTTCAGGTACTCCATTAGATCAATCGCGTTATCAGGCTCGAGGATGGATTGAATAGCCTCATTCACGGACCCAGCCTTTCCTTGTAAAGCGCTTGATTGATGATCCGCCTGCCTCTTCTCAAGCTTGGTCTTTGGCATTCCCTTGGCGACGGACCGAAGGTTCATGTTCTCGAGTCGTTCACTCTTGGAGCGACTTCCAATACGTATTACGTTGGTGATGTCCTGGTCTATACAGTGCTCCAATGTTTGGTCGAGCGCATGATTTGTATAGGTAACCACTAGAATGGGTCCTATATTAGTGATGTCCTTGGTGGCTAGCAACACTCGGAGCAGAGCGACGCTGATGAAGCTCTTGCCCGTACCAGGCGGGCCCTGTAAAAGCGCTAGACGGCGAGTAAGAGCGTGAACAAGGGCCTCGGCTTGCTTTCGGTCCAGCGTGGACCCCTCCACTAGAATGTTCATGTCGAATGGGCCATGAAGTGGTAGTTCCAGCGGTTGTCTACCCAAGGTGAGAGGGCTAAGATCAAACTCGAAATCCTTCATCTGGGTGAACATTGGAGGCTCAACTGTGACTCCGGGATTATCAATGTTTTTTGGAGCCAATAGTTCTACGAATGGAAGATCATCCTTCCCGATCATGGATTGCAACGCGGCTAGAGTGGGTTGGAAGGTCTGTGAGATGATTTTTGGAAATTCAAGCAAGGTTAAGCCTCGGCGACCGCTTGCGAAAAGTTCCGTGAGAGCTTGGATGTCTTTAGAATCGGCCAACACAAGTGAGAAAACAGCCTGCCGGGGATCTGAACTCAGGTCATGTGAGGAATCATTCCCTGCTTTGTTATTTGTGTTCTCGCCGCTGAACTTTCGTCGCTGTTCCAGGACAGTGCAGAAGATGGCTTGTCCGGTTGCATCCAACAAGCATACGAGAACGCCAGGCTGTAACCTTCCCGCGCTATTCCACCAACTTTCTCTAGCTTTGGTATTCATTGTCCGAACTTCCCTAGGCTGATTTACGCCGACTGTGGTGACAAGGCCTTCGAAGCGGTCGCAAGCCAAGCGCTGAAGCACCAGATTCTGATAGCTATTGAATTTGGCAGTATTAGCGGGGGCTCTAGACCGCAGGGCCGGTTGTTTCTGTTGGGTAATTATGTTTCGTATGGTATCCCGCATATCCGCAATGACATCTTCTCGATAGAGACGGAAATGCCGGTCAATAAGCCCATCAGTACCATCAAGATGCAAGTAGTTAGGGTCCAAGTGTGGCAGGTACGGTTCCCGCTCACTCGTGATCTCTTGAAAGGTAGGAAATATTCGTATCTGACGAATGTCTGCGAAGTCATTGTCGTGTCTTCGGCCTGAAGGAGAGACATCACCCGGGCCATCGCCAGGATTATCGGATTTTCCTCTCGTCTTGGAAAGTAGTGAAGGCGACAATTTTTCAGTGAGTTTCCTGCCTCGTGGAGCTTTGCTGCGAGATAGCAATCTTCTTATGTTGACAGCCGTAGAATTATCACATTCAATTGTCAAGGAGTGCATCTTGTCTTCCAACACCCGCACAATCGATTGGCCCTCATTGGCCAGAGCCTTGGACTCGCTGCACAGGAGGAATCGCGAGAGGACAGCAAGTGTGACCTCCACATCTTCCAGAGAGAATGTTTGTCCCGCTTCCTCAACAACAGCAAACAATCCCAGTGCGCATGTCTCGGCCTTTTCCCATATGGTCATATAAATGGTAGTTAGAGGTGTTTGGAGTATCGCGGAATCTAAAATTTGGTGATGCCCGATGACAAAGAAGAGCGAGGAGACTGCGGACTGGAGAGCAGGCTTGCGTTTCTCCTCAAGTGCGAATATCTCGATCAACTCCAAAATGCACTGCAACCCACCAGGGGTGGAAAGCGTGGAAACCACGAGTTGCCTCCTTTCAACGTCGACATGTACGAGCTCGTCGGCAGTCTCGAAAATCTTCACAAGGGTATCAGTGCCGAGCGGCTCGCAATCAGGATTTGTGGGCAGGAGGGACTTCCATTCCCGAAATTTGACTTCCAGCGGGCTCTCTCGGGTGCCGCGAGGTTTGCCCTTTGACTTGCGGCCTGCCATCCTCTGTATCTCGTCGAGGGCGAAGCCTAGTTCTGGATAGGGAAAACAGTAGCAATCCTATTACCGGAAGGATTGAATATGGCAGGGTAAAAAGTAGGTGGATATCTTCGGGGTGACAGGAAAGGCAAGTTGGACGTTGGGCGCAGTGAGAGTGAGGAGGTCCTAGCAAAGATGCCAAGAAACCCAGAGGAAAGTGAGAGGGAAGAGGAAGGAGCCACCATGCAACTTCGGTGAACGACACCAAGAGACACATGCTTTTCTAACAGAAGCACGATGCAACAAACTGAAAATCACTCTAGTTTCGTTTTCGTGCCTTGCCACGGCAACGTTGCGGAACGATTTGTACGTTGGAAAAATTCCGGGTCAAACCGCACTCACACGAGCGATAGTATCCATAATGATCCTTTGGAGAACGGAGTTCACGACACAGATATGACTACTCAAGTACGTATATGCAGCTCGGTATGTCGATAGAAAAACATTTGAATACTGTTAGCTGTTAGCCACATGATCAAGTGGCCGTGATTTCGCGGTCAAACCATGTAGTATCGATGTCAACTACGTACATGTATAGGTAGACCGGCGCATCGTATCTTTTTCCAAGAAAGTCCTATCTTGCCCGCCCACCACCACCAATGTCTTGACCCAACCGATATCCACTAACTTTCTCCCACTCGATCTTCTGCCTTGTGATGGGTAGTTGCCTCCGCAACTGCTTGAATGCGCCCTCGCTCAGACTCGCAAATGCTTTGTTTAAATCCTCTTGGTACTTCTTCTCCGCATTTGCAATCTGCCTAACAACCTCCGCGGCACTCGCACTCGCATTCACCGACGTCGAGACATCCTTGTTAGTGATGAGACGTACATTACCATCCTCGTAGTAGTGCACGTCTACCTTGATGACACCAGAGATTTTACCAGATGTTGGGTTGTAGATGTACTGGGAGCGCCACCGTCCGTTCCAGTAGTTGGAGGGTGAGTATTTATTTGCGACGGTGAGGATAGCGATCTGGGAATCGTCTTCGATGGGGAAGACGCCCGTGCTAGATTTGGGGTAGTGTTCTGAAGCGTGGGTTCCCAGGCTCTTGACCAGACTCTTTCTAAAGAGTGTCAGCTCGGCTTTTGAATGCGCTCGCCCTTTCAATGAAGGGAATTGTCTCTTCGGTAACACTCACATTGTATCCTCATGGGTGCTCTCCAACACGTAACTCCGCACATCACTTGCCTTTCCGGTCGTGTGGTCGTACGTGAAGGAGCTTGAGCTCTCCACGTCGTAGTATCTATTGTCCTCCAACGAATTGTACGGGCTGATCAATGCTTCGCTGGCTCCACCAGGAAGTTTCGTCGTCGAGAATTGGTCTTCGTTGTATTTTTGGTATGCGGGGGAGAGCTCGGAGTCCACAGCGCTGTCGCCGACGATAGATTGGATGGCTTGTTATCGTCAATAGAATTCATGACACAGGAGGTCTCGGGGAGTGGATTCGGCGCACCTTTGGTAACATCCGCAAGCTGGCACAATCATGTTAGCGATTGTCGAGCTCATAGTGTGGGGTTCACGTAGTAGAACATACTTCGCCAGGTGGGGCGCTCTCCACGAACGAGGAAAGAGCAGCTGTTCTTGACATAGTGAAGCGTGAGTTCAGGAGCAAGACGACTGGAATGGAGGGAGCTATTCTGATGGCGGAGTAACTTTACGGTGTTTGGATGAGGTCGGAGACGTGGGATCGTCTTGGCGAGGGGCTACACCGAGGGTCAAGGTACGATCAGCCCCGGGATGTCATTGGCCGTCACTAGTAAAGTCCATTCATTCAGTTAGGTACAGATGGGATTTATTTATTCAAGATGAAAATATATCATATGGGTTTCGCAGTGCCCAAATTAATCAATAATATCACCGTTACAAAATAACTCCCTGATCCAATGCCCTACCAAACGCCACGCTCGTAACAAAAATTCAAGAAATGCACTCCAAGCTACCTTCACTCGATGCTCATTTTCATGAGCCCATCGTGCGTATCCGTCATACTCTGCAAGCCTACCCTCTTGGGTCCCAGAGAAGGTGTCAGCGCCACGCTCCCTCCGCTATTGGACCTTTCCCCAGCCGCATGCCCGCTTGCCCCACTAACAGACGGTTCGCGCTGTGTCCTGGCACCCCAAAAATCCCGTTGCGCGGGCGATTGGGATAGAACCGGGGAGTTGTGCACACTGACACCGGGTGATACAGCCCTGCGCTTAATGGAGTAGCTGTCGAGGTCGTCATCTCTTCGCCGCTTGCTGGACTTCTTCAGCCCGTCCGCGGCGGTCAAAGGCGCGAGTGGTTGCGGCGTGGAGGAGCGAGATGCTGAGCTCGAATACAAATTGTGCTCCAGCCCGCTCGTTGCCAGAGTAGAGAGTACGGATGTCGATGTGGACGGAGAGTCCATGCTAATGTCGTCGTTCATTATGCTCGACTCGGCGCGCGGGAAACTGGGGGGCGGGGTCTGCGCAGGCCGATCGCGATGCCAAAAATCTCGCCTGCCAGAACCGATGGTCTTGGGTGGTGCAAAAGCTCCGAAAAGTCCCTTGGTGTTTGAAGAGTCTAAGCTCATGTTCTCCTCACTGCCTTCTTCAGGAACGCCTTCCAGCGGGCCGTCCAAGCCCGGGACTGTGGGCAAGAGATTGGGCGAAGACTGCGCAGTGGTAGACGGAAATTCGAGATCCCCTTCGTTCTCGCGTACTTGCCGAATAATCTCTGCCTCACGGCGAAACTCGTTGTCGATAGGAGTAGCTTCCTCCATCAACTCTGCTTTGATACGTCCGAATTGCCTTGACTTGGGCTGCCATCATTAGCAGTGGGTTTGCGGGCGGAAACGATATACTCACCAGCAGGTTCCCTCGCCGCGTCACTGGCCGCCTCACCACCCCAGGTGTCTGTGGCATAGCCATGCCCTCGTCTCCGCTGTCATTCCCAGAGGAAATATGCAGGTCGTTGGTGAACAGGGAAAGAGACTCTCTCCGTGAGCCGGCTTTTCGCATAGCGGCCTCACGCGCAAAGTACCCGTCCGTCTTACCATTGGGTGGAGATGCGGGGCCTGGGGAAGCCATGCTACTGCTGTGGCCGCTGGCCGAGCTGGAACTTTTCCTACTCCGTCCCTTGCGCAGCCGCGCCCGTTGGATACTCATGAATGTGGGCGGCCCTCCCGGCGAGAACATGCTGCTCCAGGTACCTGGGTTGTGTCCTGCCGGTCCGCCGAACGGCGTGCTGTGCTTTAGAGCTTGTGGTGTCATCAACATGGGATCGTCGTTGTCATCGGGATCCATTGGGTCGCCTTCGTCGGAACTGCTGCTGGAATCGTCGGGGTCGAGCATGCTGATGCTGCCCACCGAGCTCGACGCGGCTGTCCTATCACCGTTGCCCCAGACCGCATGCATGACGTTGGGACTCTCCATGACCATGGAATTGCCGCGGGGCTTGCGAGAAGGTATCATCATCCCCTTTTGGGTGATGGTAGGGGATGAGTCGGGCGATGACTGATCGGCGAGGGTTGAGTGGTGGAGGTTGGTGCAGGCTCTAGAGAATTCGGCACCGCGCGACCGGCGGGGAAGCAATGAGGCGGGAGAGGCATACGTATTGCGGGCGTCGAGCTGCGGTGAAAGAGGTACTCGCGCTGCTAATTGTGCGGGACTGGGCATGGGCAGCTCCCGCGAGGGCATTTGCAGGGACAGCCCTCGCGACAACAGGTCAGGGCGCCTGGGCGTGCGCGGGCTGGCGACGATAGTGTGGTCATCTTTGGAAGTGCGAAGCGGTTCATGGAATCTGGGTGACGGTTCAAGATGCGGCGCGCTGTCGGAAAGCGAACGAGCTCGTGGTGTTTTGGACTTTTGGGGGGTGCGAAGGGGCTGTTTGCTACCGTCGCCCTCAGAAGATGCCGAGTCAACCCCTTTGGGTGCTGTGGGGGGGTACTGCATCGCGCAGGTGCGGGACCTCTAGTCGCAGCCAAAGCGACAGAGGCATATATCAAACAATTGCGTCTATGAAAAGCGTGAGCGATGGATTCATTTCTGGCTGTGAGGTTGTCCAACGTTTGAAATGGGCCTTTCCCCGCCCCATCCCGTCACGTGCGTGATCATACTGGCGGCAGGCGACACAAGGAAGTTGCTTGTCGATGGCTCCAGATGCACCATTGTTTCTTGGATTTATGACCATCTCTGCGAAAGCCGCAAATCAAACTGTTTGCGTTCAAGTCCCAACATCCCAAGCACACCATCCAATCTAGGAAAGGTGATAATGAAGACAAGACAGAAGTACACTCGTGCGGAAATGAGGAGATAGATCGGACATAACAAGTGCTTAGTCTTGCCCCTACTCAAATGCGCAATTTCATCTCCTTTCATTTTTCCAGGTCTGTGGGAAGCGATCGCAGAAGCGGCTTCTTGAAAGATTTATCCGTCTTAAAATTGAAGATCTTCCTGGAAGGAAAAGTCTTTTCTGCATGTGTAAGCTCAAGTTGACACATGTATAGATTCACCACCAGCGACCAAGCTCTACAGTCTTCGAGGGGGAGGGAGTGCCACAGCCTGACTTCACAACACAAATATAACTATGGGGAAAATAATTGAAACCTAATCTTACCGGACAAAGATGGTTCATAAGAAGAAGAAAAAGCTAATATATTATGCCAAAGGCAATGCAGAGCCAAGAGCAATGTAGAAAAAGTACGATTTGAAGGGATTTAGCGTTCACCAAAGCATCGTGAGGAATTGCGGAGATAAATCAACCGCAGAAGCGGCAAACTCAAGAAGAAAAAGCATACCAGTGACTATATTGACCAAAATAACAGTAGAGTAGTGAGGTTCGAAACAAGGATTGCGTTACCTGGTTGGATATAATGTTGATTAACACGAAAAAAAACCCCCGCGGTAGTAAAACCATGGTGATTGAGCGCGTCATAGCAGTTCCAGGCCACTGAAAAGTAATATAAACGAAACAAATAGCACCATAGCTACTCCCTTGGTAGTTATCAGTACTGTAAGTAGGTAGAGATGATTTTAATATGCAATGCTTGATACTTCCTAATCCTGCTAGATGATATCTGAACCTAAGGGATTTGGTTGATTTCTACTAGGTGGATCGCTAAGTGCTCCCATCGTGTCGAGTGAATTAAGAAATCGATCTAGGTAATCGATGCCTCTGATTCATTTCTTATATTTTTATGTAACCTGTGTTGTATCCATGTCAGCAACAATATCAAATTTCGACACTCCAACATTTCTTCACACTGAGGTGATCTTTTGAACAGGATTTACAACTGCCTTTATTCATTTTCCTGGGTAGCTATATGCTGAGCCATCCAGCCAACACCACTTCCCCGAGTTTTCAGCCAATTGATAGAACCAACTATGAGAGTAGTAGCTGATACGTGAACCACGAGCTACTCAAGTACAAAATCACCACGATTGGCTTGTTATGATATCAACGAAATGTAGGCCTAGCTACTATGATGTTAGATGCGTTTAGCGGGTCGAGTGATGGCTGATATACTCGGCACAGTCCCATATCGCAATTACACGGTTACCTTCTGTCCTACCCTGCAAAACCACGCGCTGCATCCACACATACATTCATACGCCGTGTTATACAGGACGCCTCTTCGGCCACGCCCCAGGAAAACGAGCCGTTGCGCAGTGTACGTCAAACTGGTTCGATCAGGCATTGACGATGCCTTCCACCCACTCTACATCCTCCCATGTCGCCTGCCAGATATTGAAGACAATCATGACCCACTCTTTTCCATCACGTTTGATCTCTCCCATGCAACGGCACATTCTCTTTTCCGTCAAGAGTCGTCTGCTGTCGTACTCATACAGATCCACATGCTTCCAGATGGCTGCACTGTAAGTGCCCCGGAGGTGCGGCAGCTTCTCATGGAACAAATCGCAGAAAACGAATTCTTGCTTGTCATTGTCACGTTGAGAGCTCACAATCCTAGCATAGAGCTCGAAGACAACTTTCTGTTTGTTCTTGGCCGCGTGGCAAGCTTGGTTGATTGCTTCACCGATCCGAAAGCAGGTTCTGAGGAGTAAGCCGGGCGACAGCCCAACAACAGGTGATCGGTTGAGTACCGGAGAGGGAAACGGTGATCTGACGATAGGTTTACGGTCAGGCTCTGGGCTAGCCGTTGTATCCATGAGCTGTTGGGGTTTGGGCGTCACAGGCGACTTGAATTTGTGCAACATCGCAGCTTGGCCTTGAACATTAGTTGCCTCCACCAAACAGTCGAATGCAACCGCCGCGGAAGAGGCAGTGACCTCAGAAGTGCTTTTGAGGTTAGATTCTTGCAGTTTTGCGTTTGCAGGCTCGTTGGATGAAAGGCTCGACCAATGTTGCATGTCATGTAAGCTGGCTTGGAAGTTGGAAAAGACGGCAGTAGAATGCGCGGCATCATCAAGAAGTGAACTGAAAATCTCGTCATATTCTGCGCAGTAGTCTATGGTATCTGATTTGCTGTCTTCGCGGTCTAGGTGAGTAGCATGATCAGTCCTTCCGGCCATGGAAGGCTGCCTCGCTTGCTTTCCAGCTTTTGCAGTTGCGTTAGGTGTTGCAAGCGCATTACATCGGAGGCGTGGAGTCATGTTGGGTTCTGCATCGAGAAGCGCGTCAGGCTGGATCTTCGGAGGCACAGAATACTGATCAGCTGAACGTGCGGGTTCCACTGCATGTGCATAATCGACAGTCCTGTTAGTAGCAGCGGACTTCTTGGGTCGCTTCTTGTCTGTAGATGAACGTTTCGCAGGTTTCTTCTTGGCGACTTGATCGTGGTTTATGGGGCTTGCATCGAGATTCCTCTTCCGTCCGCGCCCGCTTACTCGAGACGACGAGGCAGGCGGTGTGACTGGCACAGCAGGAGTAAGAGTTTGCTGTGCATTATGTGCGATTGACTGGGACTGTGACGGCGTAAGACACGTTACGGAGCGATTAATCGGAGTCCACCCAGAATAGCTTGAAAGCAAATTATCTTCTTCAGCGGGTCGTAATCTGTTTGCCATGTCAGTTTACCTAGGCCAGAGCCAGAACAGCGCAGGAGGCTCGGAAAAGTGCGTGGCATGTCGGGCAGCTCACACATAGTTCCCAGCGCTCCCCTCTGCGATCTGACCGTGTGTCGCCTCCATGGAGGGCAAAGAGATTGCGCTCGCCCTAGGCGTGTCAAAGTCACAAGAACGCATGAAGCATTGATGATGGACGTCGTGTGGATGTTGCTGGTGCCGAAGGTGGGGTGGACCCAGCAAGGGCTTAGTCAGTCATTCACGCACCCCACCAAATGCGGGCAGTGCAGTACGCAACCATTGACCTAGCTATCGTCAATCAAGGAAGTCGTCGCACTTCTTCCTCTTCTCTTCTTTTCACTACCGAACCTTTGCGTAGGCGTCTTCTTCTTCACTGCTTCCAGCTTCTGCTACACTACGCAAGCTTTTCTCAGCCCTGATCGTTCTTTTTGCTCGCCTCTTTGATCATCTGCCGGTGGGGGTCCGCTCCAGTAGTCATACCAGAGCCCTACTCCGGCTCTCCGCTGTCCACACTCACGCCAGGCCTCACGCACCAGCCCATTCACGAACCTGCATCTTGCCCAATCAGACCGGTAACAGAACAGTTCATCACGATCAATCTGCCATTGCCGGACCAACCGTACTCATACACAGACACTAATTAGCGGCCGAGGCCTGTTGTTTACTTCATATCCATCATGCCTGTAAGTGACCTTGGCGGCAAAAATCTCATATATGCGTTCATATTTTATGACCATCTGCTCCCATGTTTCGTCAGCCCGTTCGTGTATTTTCGTTTTTTCATCGTTTCATAATGGACCCGAATTTCTCTGCGGATATGGGACTGCGTTGCAAGGACAGCAATCTTGAAGAAGCACCTCCGCCCTATTCCGCTTGCTATAATTGCGAGCCCCCACCCTACACAAAGAGCCCCATAATCATCACTTCCCCAATTTCTTCCTTCAAGTCCAAGCCGAAACGCAAGTCTTTGCACCGTCATAAGAACCCCGATCTTTACAAAGACGTCCCCATATTCGAAAACCCGTGCCCACTGTGTTATTTCAATCACTGTGGGAAAATACTAAAGCAGTGGCTATGTGATAGAAGAAGCCATATTCGGCTGTCACGGTACAAATCGATCGCTTGACCAGCGAGCAGTACGAGGAAGACGTAAGCATAAAATCTGAGTATGAATAATGTGCATAGCTAATTGTCGAGAAGGATATCACCGGCCTCATAGACTTGATAGAAGTCATCCGGATTCAACAATCAGGCCCCACGGAGGCTGCTCGCGCTCTTCGCAAGAAACTGTATGTTGGGCCCGTTGTGGGAGTTCGCCAATCTGACATGTGCCCAGCAAGTATGGAAACGTCCATCGCCAACTGCGCGCCTTGGTCATTCTGGATGCTTTGATTCAGAATGCGGGGACCAGATTCCAAAAAAGCTTCGCCGATGAGCCTCTGCTGGAGCGCTTGAGATTGCTAGCCAAAGACAACATGATCGACGAGGACGTTCGAAAGAAGGTCAACGTTCTATTTCGACAGTGGGCGGTAGCATACAAATCGACATCGGGCCTGGAGAGGATTGCCAACCTCCACAAAGAGCTACCGCGAACAAGGCGGCCTCAGCCCCACCAATCCCGTGTGGTCCGGGAAAACGAAGCCGAAGCCGAACGGGAACGAGAAAGCGCAGCATCGCCGCCCGCATCGCCCAGGACCGCCCGTCGACCCTCTCCACCATCACACTTCCCAGCAGCCTCTACATCATCCGGGCGGACTGTGGCCGTGGGAACTGCTCCGACATCAAGCTCATTATTCAAGAAAGACAAGAAAGACAAAAAGAATCGTGGCAAGCCTTTCAATCTCGAAAAAGAGAAGGGTCAGCTGCTTGAAACCATTGCCGCCGCTACAGTTGCAAGCACCAACTTATTGAACGGGCTTCAGCTTATCAATCGTGAAGTCCAGCGTGTGAGCGAGAATGCGGAGGTCATGCAGCGTTTCGAAACGTGCAAGCAACTCCGGCGCCAGATTCTGCGCTACATCCAGCTGGTGGAGTCTGATCAGTATCTCGGCAGTCTACTGAGTGCGAACGACGAGCTTGTCAAAGGCTTAATGGCATTCGAAATCATGGACAAGAGCATCGATGATGACAGTGATAGTGATGAGGAGCAAGCTGCATCGTCCATGGCTGGCTTGAGCGTGGACGAAACGCCTCCTCCAAGGCCAGCTCGGCCGACAAGCATACCCATGCCGCCTGCTGGGAAACAGCCTGTTACTGAGCCAGAAGAAGAGGAAGACGATCCGTTCGGTGACTCTCACGGTATGTCGCAATTGCCTCCGCTAAAGTACTCAAACTGACAGATGCTTAGCCGTGAAGACGCCTTATGAGCGCAATGAGCCGACTTGGAGGGACGTTTAAGCCTCCATGGCTTCAGCACGATATACTTTATTGCTTTTCTTGGACACTACGGCACCTATATTGCGACATTAATCTGTAATACCCTCTGAGGATTTTGGTAGCTACTGTTAGATTTATGGATGGAAATGAAGCAATTTGACGGGTGACACTCTACGTGCACACGCTCACTCGGCGAATTTGGTTTGCAAGCCACGCCAGATTCGTGGTCATCAATCGATTTTGAGCCCCGGAATTCATAGCTCTCATCGTGCAGCTACCAGGAAGTGCCCATTTAATATGTTACCCAATCCCTGGCTGTGTTGCTTTCGAAAGTTTATTGTGGCATGAAAGCCAGACAACTCCCGTGCCGATTCGATCACAGTGAGATCAAAATCGGATAAATCATCAACGCCACTCTCTTAGATGCACCGCCACTTGAAATACGTCATCATCAGGATTAGCATCCCCTGGCAGTGATATCTGGAACTAATCTCAGACAGGAATGGCGCGCGTATATAAGCTGGAGGAAGTTTGCGTAAATCAGGCTGACCATACGGGGGTGGCAGTGTGGCAGGGGCAGGCACCACGTAATCCCCATCCCAAGTTCTTAAGTCTGCGTATCCCATTTCTCTCCAGTTTGAACCGCATCATTCTCTTCGACATCACCAGGGTATTTGTTATTGTTGGCGTTGCATTAAGTATAGGGCCTTTTTTTTTTCTTCCTTCCTCGACTGTGGACTAATGGATAGCTGTCGGTTGATATAGATATACATCACACATAATCGCACTCTCTTCTACGAACACGTACGGATCGAAATCAAGCAGCCGCCGTAACGCATATATAAATCCTCGGTACACTTTACCTCCTTTTCAGCCAAACCACGCATTATGCCGGGCTCTACCACGTCCTCCGTTTCTTCGATTGTAAAGTCTGGGCCGGTTAAGACAGGCTGCGTATCGTGCCCATGTGGCCATGATGCCGAGTGTTCATTCTGCTGCTGCCCTTGCACTGTCATGTGAGAGCAGCTGATAGTAGTCTAGGGAAACGGGCGAACAGCGACAGCTTCAGATGATTCTCGTGGAGTTAAAGCAATGTTTCGGGTGGACAACTTGGGTACGATATCTGTGTCACAGGATTCTCGCATATTTCCTATATTTTTTATGACTAAATGAAATTGATATATCATACTCATGGAGGTCATTCGATTTGATGAAGCTGTCACAGGCTCTGCTCTTCTCCAACAACGAAAGTGACGAGGTGGGTTTACGGGCTAGAAGCTACAGGTCACAAAGCGAAGCACATCCTTGAGAGCACACTTATCTTATGCGGTAAGCTTCGTACTTTAGTGAGTCTAGTCCGCACTATGAATTCCTCTTCGGAATGTTGCTTGATTTTACATTGCTGCACAAATAAATTCTGGTACATGCATCAGGCGCACTCCGCGGCGAGCGTTCAACAGCGCGAGATCCAGGTCCAGTTTACTACGAAGATGACCGATCACAGCTATCAAGACATACTTGGTCATTTGTCGAATTCAGCAGCTCACCTATAAATCGAGCATGATACCCTCCTAGAAAAGTTTAATTCTTCGAGGTCCCCCACCGCTGTATGACGAAACTCAATGCAATAGGTTTGAATAACTTACCTAAAAAGTCTCCGGCGAATTCCACTTCTCGCAAAACTCCTGCCTTTACGCTTCTGACAAAGCTGAACTTTTTGGCGTGCCCTTGCGCATACATTTACGGCATCATTGAGATCATGGCTTTTGTTTCAAATACATGTTATCTGGGCCAGGTTAGCCTCCCACGACTGGCAGATATTTGGAAGTATCAAGTAGATAAATTCCAGTTGCCCCACCACTCGGATTCCGTTCCACGAACACCAAAGTAAAAATATCTGAGGTGCTTTCTTGAATGACCAGGAAATACAATTTACTAATGATCATCTAGTAGACTGCACTGGAGTTTACCGGAAAAGGAAGTCTAAGGACTAGTTTCAACTTATGACTGACAGATCATTGCAAAACCGTCAGATTGCCGCTAGACTCACGTAAGCGATTAAACAATCGAAAGACCATGTTACTGGAGGGTGAGGGGATTATTCAAAAGCGTTTTTGGGTTTACTGTGCGGGTATTATGGTCCGATCGTATGGCATTGTTTCATCCGCTATCGTAATCACCAATGGACTTGTTCTACGCGCCTACATGGGCGCTTAGAGAAACAAGCCAACAACACGGGGGCCAAGGAGGCGGCACAGTCCCTCTCATCTCAGTTGTAAGGAATCGAGACATCTGAATCCCAGAAAACAGGAAACTCGTACAATTATCCCATGTTCTTTCACACCTCTTTCCCATTTCCAGTTCTCTCTTCTTCACCAGAAGACTACTTTCCGTAATACTCGCATAACGGCTACTTCGTCGCAGACTGTTACGGTTTGCAAAAGTAGCAAGAGAGCACACTGCCAACCTAGATGCTTCCATACACACAATGTACCTACCACCACCTTCACCGCCGCCAGAATCCATTCTCCATACACCACGATCCATGCCACAGACATGCAGTTTCGAGGGAAATCCCGACATATACGGTCCGGGAATTCGCGTAGGAATCTACTGCCAAACAATCGCAGTGTGGTTCGCAAATTACTTTCTCTCCTCCCAAGTCCTCCCTCTTCGAGACACCGTTACGGTGTTCACCATCGCCGTTCTCATCTCGCTCCTTATGATCGCTGCGGACCCCACCTCCGTATATGCTGTGGAGGCGTTTCTGATGCTGCAGATTCTCACATGGGGATGCCTCATAGGCGTGGTTGGAAAATCGGCATTTACGTGGGCATATTGGGGAGCGCGGACGGCGGTGCGGCACTCCGTGAATCAGTTTATTGATGTCCTGGCTTGGAGCCTGCAAATATGGTTCTGGTGGGGAGGGATGGATCGTATGAAAAAGATGGAGAATGGGTGTGTGACATGGATGATGTATATTTGGAAGGTGGATTTGTTCGGTTGGGCAAGGAAAGTTATGATGGTAGTCACGTTGTTAGCCTTGGTGTCTCGATTGTATTGGTGTGCTTATCATCTTTTGGAAAGTTGGATTGCGTGGGAAATGGAGAAAAGTGGAACGAGAAGGAAATTTGTGGATGCAGTAAAGAGGTGGGAAGAAATGCTGGAAAAAGAGGACGAGTCTACAAACGCATCGACACAGACGTCTATAAACCCAGGAGAGCCGACTGTTGAAACCGAAGGAGAGAATGGCCGCCCCGCTGCGCATGAGACTTGCTCAGAAAATCCTCGTTCTCCATGTCCACGTACGGAGTCGCTCCCGACACTGGATCGTGAGGCCACACTCGTTCAACGCTCAAATCCGCCTGCTACATTACCCGTGCCTAACACAAACCACTCTTCGCCAGTGGAAGGCACTTCACAAACATCTCCAATAAGCAATACATCGGGAACAGCGTTGCAGAACTCACCGCAAACATCACAATCGACCGAGGACCTCGCCATACTCCAACAGGTTCGCCAGAGCGAGCTCTACATTGAAGCATGTATATCAGCATGCCCCTTCCGTACCGATAAACCCCTCACTCCTGGCATTTTCCTGAGGAGCTTGTTCTACTCGCCCCGACCCCCACTTCCTAATGTCTCTGCAAAACCTCCATACACACCTCCTCCGTCGTGGATATCGTGTTTCCTTCAAGAACACCGTCGGGTGCTTACCTTTGACGTCCCACGTCATACCTGGATCTTTTACACATACCTTCGCACCTCAATGACGCTCAATCCCCTTACTGCACCTTTCCAGCTCTACGCCTCTCTCACTTATATCAAACCTCTTCCTTCATGGCACATCATTGCTCTCGCATCAAATCTCCTGGTCCTATCTCCATCACGACCTAAGAAAGTCTCACCATGGCTAGCATGGTATTTCACTTTCCAAGACTTACTAGTGCATGTTCTGGTTATATTGCAAGTTGAATTGACGCTGCGGTGGAACGGAGTGACGGGATTGATGGGCTTGAGAAGTGTGGGACAGTTGATTCCTTGCGTGATTGGGGTGACAGGACTAGTGCTCGTGGCGAGCAGGTGGGTAAGTAAATGGTGGTCACGCAAGGACATGAGTAACGAAAAAGAACATCTAAGCCTCGAAATGGTTCCCCGTAGGAGGCAAGATTTGGAGGCGGATTCTTCGAAACGAATTGTTGAAGGATATAGGCGGTGGAAAGAATCACTTGGATAGTGGATATGAAAAGCCAGAAGTTCCGTCGCTAAATTAACTTTTCCACAAGCTTGGAATGAGATGCCGCGTTTGCAAATATATAGATGCGCATTGTGCCAGATTTAGTTGATCACGATGACCAACAATCGCACCAATAGATGTACATAAGGCTCATCGAAAGGTACAGGTCGTGATAAAAGTCTGCAAGATGTAACGACGACGCTACGCCATGTACGCTGCTACGCTAAACCACCAAGCAGACGTTTTCTCGTCTCACTCGTCCAGGAATGTATACGAAAAATGATGGAAACGGCATTGTACTTTCTCGGCTTGCCGACGACAAGAAGTACGATTTCAATGCAAGAAAAAAAATTTGAATTAGTCGGCGGCATCCAATGGTTTCTGGGCCCAGATAACGTAGCCGTTGTGCTGAATCCTTAGTCGCGGGTTTTTCCAGGCCTTGCGTACATTGGCAGCCATGACCTTGACCTCATCTGCGGTCCAGCCATGAGCCATGGTGAAGAGGCGCATACTGTGGCCTTCGACGTTGTCCATGAAGTTGTAGAGGTCAAAGGCACCTGCCTCCTTGAGCATCTTGTCCTTTGGCCAGGTGCCGACCGGAAATGGCAACGCGCGTGTGTTGATGTTTGTGAAGCCGGCGTCGCGCACCCAACCCTCAAGCTTGGGACCTGGGTCGGGCTCGACGCCGAACTTGCGCAGCCCCTCGCGAAGGTTCTGGACCCACGAGTAGATGGGACTGTCCTCGTTGTACTCACCGCCTGCCGACGTGTAGAAGTAGGTATCGTAGTCAAAAAACTCGACCCAACCGCCTGGCTTAACGAATCTGCGGGGTGCTTGTCAACCAGTTGGTACTTCGTCTTGATGGGCGAACTGACTTGAAACACTGTCCAACTAGCTTGGGCCAGTCGCGAATGGTGCACGCTAGGTAACGGACGTGGATGTAGTCAAACTTTGTCGAGTAGACCCATTCGTCTTCGACATCATCGACCTCGAATTTGACGTTTGGCGGGACGAGCGAAGGCTGGACAGGGCTGATGTCGTTGCCAAGGATATCGGCCGTAGGGTACTACATTGCGAGACACAAATGATCAGCACGTGACGAGTGCCTTGGGCAATTGGAGTCGTGCAAGCTCAAAAGAGGCGACTACACGAAGCAGTGTAGAGTCGCTCGAAACGTACTTTATCGCCCATGTCAATGGCCCAAATTCCCGTGCCGGTACCAACATCCAAGACACGCCCGGGTTCATTGCCGATGGGAGCCAGATGAAGTTCACCGCCAAGACGAAGGGTTTGGATGTGATGGAATAGGTCCAGACGATCATTTTCTTCCTGGGTAGCGTCAATATCGCGGATGTGAAGCTATAGCCCTTCAAGTAGAAGCCAACATACATACCTCGTCGTTTGGCATCATGTAGTTTGCATCACTTTTGAATCCGTGATACCGTCTACCATTCTCAAAGCGATAGCTGATGCGGGATGAGCATTTGGCGTCACATGAGGGTGGGTAGCCCGGTTTGCGCCAAACTTACTTCAAGACACTTGATTTCAACGAGGTGGTATAACTCTCTCTGGACAAATGCAATGGCGCGTATCAGCAAAAGCTTTGGATACTTGGTACAATATCAATGCATGCAGGGTTAACGTCAAGTACTCACAAGTCGTCACCATAGGCAGAATCGCTATCCTCGGGTGCGAGCTACAGGGCCCAAGATCAGCTGGCGCATAGACACATAGATAGACATGCAACGGGTAAGGACTGACGGCCTCGGCCTCGATGGCCATCTCGGGAAGGTTGAGCATTTGGAGTTCGGCATTGCCAGGCGAAATTCCTGCGGCGGGAGATGATGTTGCGGGGTGAGGAGGCGATGTAGTTGGGCGAGGGGGGGATGCAGCAGCAGAAGGCTGGGCCTCGGGAGCCTTGGGGGAAGACATGTTGGTGTTGTCGGTCGAAATGGAAAAAGAGGCGAGGGGTGGGATAAGTATAGGTATATATGTACGTATTAGAGGACTGGGGGCGGGTGGTGGATACTTATTAGTCGCGGGAAGCCATGTGGGCTGCCGCGGACACGATAGGACAAAGGGTGCAGGATGGGGATGAAGCGAAGGAATGAATGGGGGGCAAAAGGGAAAAGGGAAGAAGAAAAAAAAAAATCAAGGGCAGCGGCCAGGGGTGTCATGTCCAGGTTATGCGAGTGATTCGATTCGCTCACTACCACCAACAAGCCGAAAGATGGGACGAAGGATTTACCGCGCCGCCTGTCTAACAGCACCACGACGGCCGGAGACTCGAGGCAGCTGGGAGAGCGAGGTGTGGTACAGAAGACGCAGTGGGCCAAGTATGGTGCGCGCATGTTCAAGCGCGCTGGCATGGCGTGTCATTTGGCAGCGTGCGCGCATGGAGAAGGGAAAGGAGGCATGCGAGTAGTATATGCAGTATGCATGTGCTCGAGCTTGGTCGTCTATGTATGTCAGTATAAGTGGGTAAGGTGCATGCCCGTGTTGCCATTATATCATGGGCCGGACCGTGGTGTCCACAGACGGCAGTGGATGGAGCAGACTGCGCCTCCATTGCGCATATCGGTATATGAGGCACTATACGTACGTACGTGGCCGTGCAACGTGCTAGGTATGTATGTATGTGTCTATGTAGCCATGTTGTTCGCATTCCATACGTTGGCTAGCGCTGCACGGTAGTGGCGGGCGGGCTTGACTAGAAACTGCACGCTATTATGGAGACGAATTGCGGAGAAAGCCGTTGGCCACTGGGTTGATTGACCAGACACCACGACACTTTGATAGCCTCGTGCTCCACCATCGCCCGCTACCATCTGCTCGCGTGTCAACATATCATACTCACCGTCAAAAACCATCATCTTGGGATGGACCGCCTTACACGAAAAGAGTGCGGCTTGTATCCTTAAGTTCACGCAATCAGTCACTACAAAGCACAACACACACACACGAAATCATACTTGATTCATTAGAACATATCACATCGCCCGACATTATATCGACGGCAATATCTCTCACCCTTCAATTCCCAAATGGTCAATCTTCTCACTCTTCTGGGTCAGCTTGCCCTGTTGCTGACCCTGACCAATCTCCTTGCTCCTCTGCTTCTTCGCGCCTTGCTCCACGTTTCCAGCTGCGAAAGCTGATGCGTTGCCCTGGGCCGCTGCATTGGCATTCCCTGTTGACAGAAGAGTCAGCTCTTATACCAACGCTTCGGGACGAAAAGGGGGCATCTTCACCTTTATCGTGTCTCTCGTCTACCGTGTAGCTCGACCCGTCTGGGTTCGAGTGTGTCGTCTTCTTCTGCTTGGACGAAAAAGCGCCACCGAGTGAGCCCAGCAGGTTCAAATTCAGTCCAGCCTATCACCCCGAGTTAGCACAATCTCTCATTGGGAAAGGGCAGGAATTCATAATAATGGCCGTACAGAAGCATTCGCCGAACTGTGGTGTTCCTGCGTCTCGCTATCACGAGCGTATTGTTGTTGCTGCTGCACTTGCTGCTGCTGCGCTTCCTTCTTACTAAGAGAACGAGACATGTTTTTGTCTATCGTTTACAACCTTGATATCCGTCTTTGGTTGATTTGCGTAGTGCTTGGGGTTTATATGATGATCGTGAGCAGAAGTCGTCACGAGTTACAGGCAGACGCAACAAATTCAAGTTCAATGGAGGAAATGTGTTAATTGATGGTGGATGGGTGATGGGTGATGAGGACGAGTTTACCTTGATTTATGCACAGCTTGGTACAGGATGCAACGTCCAGAGGATGCTGTTGTGTAAGATGATGTCATGGGCTTGACAGGGATGCCAAGACAGCCGACACAAAGGATCATGGAGTAGTGAACCGGTTTTCGGACCCTTTTTTCGAACCCAGTGGGATTTTCAGGGACCAATCTTGGACCCTTTTCTTGACAATAATGGCGCTTATGGTGTTTCGGATCAATCACTAGAACGAGAAGAGTCCCGGGTCTAAATCGCTCAACATTTGTTGTTCCTTATATCTAATCTAGTTCCGAAGAATATCAAGCAGATTGTCCCAAAAGCCTAGATCGTACACGTTTTCCACTGCTGCGAGGTCCCACACTCGCTCAAAACTCTCCTTGTTGGCAACGACGGACTGTATGCGCGGCGGTAGATTGGTGGGTGGCTGCCCGTTGATGGTGCGGATCAATACGTGCCGGCTCTCAAGCGGCCACGTTGTCAATGGCTCTTCGCCCTCTGGTGGGGTCTCGGGAGGCGTGTGTATAGGAGTTGCGGAAGAAGAAGATGTGTGCGAAAGGGGATATATGGCGGGCTGTGAGGGGTACCTCTGGAATGTGTCCTCCCGGCGTCTCGCAAGAAAGACTACACCATCTTGCATGTCATCGCGCCAATCCGTCCATTTGCTGCTCTCATTAGTGGTCATGCCAGCATATACTAGGTAAGTCTGATAAGCCAGAAGTCCTAGCGGAAGCGGCCAGGTGAGGAGAGCCAACAGCCCGACTCCAGCTGCGCTCACCCCTCCTTCCTCGATGTAGATGCCTGCATAAGTTGCGAAGTAATGGAACTTCCGGTCGATCATGGAGCCCCAGCTCGCAGCATCCGCGCCAGGACTCGGCCGGTACCGGTACCATCTTTCGTACTTGGCGTAGTTGTCGTTGACTTGCGGCGCGAGAGTAATGTACGCGAGATAGGCACCGTACGCCAACATGATACTCGTGGACAACAGGAGGGCGAGGAACCACCGATAATTTCCCCTCCCCAAGCAGTTATTGACCCACACGCAATGGTGGTCACATCGAGCCACACACGTCTTGCAGATGCTGCAATGCTTGCTTCGGGCGGGTTTAAGGAACCTACATGTTTGGCAGGTGTTCCCTGGGTAGTAAAGTATGCGGTCGTAGGGATAATGACGCATTTGGGCGGCATGATTGAAAGGTGTGATGTAAGTTTGAGCGTTTCTCTTCGCGCTTAGGTAGGTGAACAGGTACGGCAGCGGCACTACGAGCGGCACCAGAAACTTGTGGACCAACGGAAGCAGATGCCAAACGGCAGGCACGAACAGCACCACAGAGGCGGTGATCAGGCCGAGAAAGAACACCATTACTACGGGATGCTTTTCGTTCATGAGGTAGTATCCCAGGCGAGAACTACCCCCAGTAATGCGGCCGCCGGTAAGCGCAACATCTAGCCTGCGAAGTGACCAAGGGACGTGAATGACGAGAAGACGGTGACAGAATCCTATCGGTGTATTCCTGCAAAGATATGAGCATATATACATTGGTGGCATAATATATTGGGTCGATGTGTCAGTACCGGAAGGCTGGTAAGCGGCCAAAGAAGGCCACGAAGGTGAATAGCGACACCGTTATGGCGAAGACGGCAATTGCGCGTGTGAGCCCCATGGTGGTGAAGTGGTTGGAAGTAAGGTGCTGATCATTTGCATCTGAACTGGGGCATCGCGATAACTCTATACCTCGTACTGAACTGGCCAACGAAGGTTGCTATTCGAGCATCTCAATGTTTCTCAGCAGCAGCCAATATACCTTTCTTGTGGGTGCTCATAAGAGGAATGACAGTGGACGTTGAACCTATATAATGCGATGCTGACTAAACCCCCGCCGCCGCCGAAAGTCCTCGGCGCGGCGCGTCGTCGTCGCGTCCCCGCTCACATCCTCGTCCACCAACAGTTGACGACATCGATGGCAGCCACGACTACAGACGACAATGTGGCCGAACCTGCAGATACTGAAGGCCAGATTTTTGCCGGAAAGTCCTTCTGGGTCGCCCAGCGCGTCATATCGCGCAATTATTACGTCGATTTGATCAAGAGCAATGGCGGCACCGTTATCCAATTGGAGAAGAAAGCCGACTACATTATTGCAGACCACTGCCGACGCGACTGTCCGCCAGGAAGCATCTCATACACCTTTATCGAAAGATCCATCAAAGCAGGCGAGATTCAGGATCCCAACCACCACCTAGCCGGTCCCGCCCTAGGCACAACCGCGGTTGCTTCCAGCTCGCGGAGTGTACCTGGCAAGAGGGCAAAGTACACGGCTGAAGAAGACCGGATATTGTACAAGTGGGTGCGTGACTGCGAGAGCCAGGGGGGGCTCGCCAGCGGCAACGAGATCTACAAACAGCTCGAGGCACAACATCCCCAACACCCCTGGCAGTCATGGCGCGATCGATATGTGAAGCAGCTGCGTCATCGCCCACCCTCTGCCTTCAACATCCCCGACAACGCTCTTCCGTCCCCTCCTACCGATGAATCCAAGAACAAACCAAAAACCGCTGCTAGGCCAGCACTAGAACAAGGGGCAGCGTCTTCCTTAGAGAAAGTGACCTCTACCAACAACAAGAACATAGCTCTGGGAGAACTAGAAAAGCTGTTCAGCTCTGGTGATTGGGAAGAGATGTATGCTTTCAAAGAGGAGATTACGAACCTCGAGGGCGAGGAACACATTAACGCCTGGAAGTCGTTCGCGGAGAAGAGATCCCAGTCTGCTACGCTGTTGCAACAGTACTTCGAAAGGATAGTGAAGCCGCAATGGGACAGCGACCCCGACTGGAAGCATCGTGAGATCAAGAAAAGAGTAAAAGAAAGATTCGGAGACAGCGGTGGCAGTCAGGAAGCAGCTCCAAAGGAAGATCTGGATAATAGTGTCACAGAACATATCCCCCTCGAAAACCCCATCTCGAATGCTGAATTTCCATATCCATCTCTTAAGGGCAAACGCAAATGGGACGACATGGATGATGCTCGCTTCGAAGAGCATCTCCAAAACGATCACGAGGGGAAAGCTTCCCCCGCTTACATATTGTTCGCCCAGGCTCGAAAATATGACGTGTGGCAGGAGCAGCCTGGTCTAGACTACGATGAGCTGCATAGGATCCTCCTATCGAGATGGAATGTTCTTTCACCTGAAGAGAAAGCCCGCTTCGTTGTTGAAGCTGGCGAGAAAGCCTCGGGCAGAAATGAATCTATACAGAAGCCGCCAAAAGTGCAGCTGTCCTCTACAGCTGCGCACAAGACGCCAGAATACATCACCGAAGTATACGAAAAGACAATCGGAGTCTGTCAGGAAGAAAAGCATAAAACGGAAGCATCAGAGGATGAGAGTCCTCCCCCCACAAAACGGCAGAAGAATACCCACACGCCTTCACCCCAACGCACATCAAGAACACGGGAGACGAGTCTGCCAAATGCGACACAGCAGCACCCTTTTGAGATCTCCTCAGACCATTCTTCATCTCCTCCGTTCGAAACTGAAACAAAGGCAATCGAATCCGATGATTTCAATTCTGACGTCCCTTCTGCACCCGCCAGTGCAGACGACTATCCTTCCAACACACCCACCCCCCGCGCCTCGCGCTTCCAAGCCGCAGACCCATTCAACACCCAAGATATACTTTCCTCGCCCAGCACTTACTCCATCTCTGCCCTCCCCCTACCTGAAAATCTTGACGCCGACGATGAAGATCCCGGCAGTCCCACCCTCGTGTCCATGTCGCCCAACTTCGAGATGCCATCCGATGCATCGACGACATACTCACTACAGGAATTCAGGCGCTCACTGAATTCTGACCACAACGCTTTCATCTACAACCCTGCAGAACAGCAAGTCTCAACTCAACCCCGAATACCGTCCTCACCGCAACGCCTCGTTCTAAATACGACCCCGACCCGCAGAAGGTCACTTCCATCATCACCTGCACATACACTCGCCCCTCTCCCTCTCCCCACATCTTCTGATAAGCCTTCTTCGCCTACGTCCTCAGTAGCGTCCATTTCATCAAATATCGATCCAGATGTACCCCTTACAGCTGATGAGGTTGATGATTTCTTCACCTCTCACGAACGCTTAGGCTACGCCGAAACCCACATCGCTGCTGCTCTCAAATGTACACGCTTCCGCCCTTCTCTTGCGACATCCGTGCTTCAGTGCTGGGAGAAAGGGGAAGATACGCCGCAGGGGCAAAGGGGCGTGTGGAGCGATCAAGATGACAGGGATCTTGAGGGTAGAGATCAAACAAAGGTAGACATGTTGGAGAGAATACATACCCTGTTGGGGTGGGGTGGGGTAGAGGAGAGAAGAAGGTTCTTGGTGCAATATCGGAACGCATAGTAGAGTGTGGCGATCTTGGAACGTCGAAGAAAGCTACGCTGGCCAGAGCATCCTCAGACTGCACGGGATCGTGCAGCGAGATTTTTGCAGTGGTCGCGTTATACACGATTCTGCATGCGTGCCTTTTCCAATGTCTTCTTTCCTTGATGTTTGCGTATATACCCATCTATATTTCGTGATTTCATGCAAAATGTGCATATAGAGGATTTTTCACGATTTCACAGCCTCACAGAAACCAATTTAAACCTGTAGCTGAAAATCAGAAAAAACCATTAATATCAACTTTTCACTATCCTATTACATATGCTCATATTTTGTCTCTGGACGCCCAGAGTTCTTCGTCATCAGAAGCGAGGAGTAAGGGGAGGTGGAGTAGGTGGAGTAGGTGAACACGGAGAAGAAATGAAAAAGATAAGCAAAAAGAAGCTATCGATACCTTACTTAGTTGCCATGTGCCTGCCAATGTGCTTGTCTGGTACAATTGCCGTCCTTCAAAACCAGCTTTTGAGCAATCAGACTCCCCTGAGAAGATTGACCGAATACGTGTGTATAGAAACTAGACAAGACGGTGTAGTCGATGTAGTAGAATCCCAGTTTATCCTTTACGAGATGTGTCCGTGCCTTTCCAAGGCCTATTATAATGCGATCACCCATTTATTCTCTTGCAATACTAAGTTGTACACGCTGTTGCAGCAAGAACTCCCACTCTCATCCCCGCCAAATCCTTAATCTCACGACATAGTAGAGAACGAACATGGTGATGTTGAGTGCAAGAACAGAGAATCAAGTTCTTCAGCAACGCTTCAAGTGATTTACTTGAGCCTGTCTGTGTATATATATGTACGTGACACGGCTGCCCGTCCTACTGCACATCTGCACTTGTAAAACTCCAAAAGCGGGTAGGAGCATTGCATGTTGCTTAACAACCAAACCTTTTTAGGGCAAAATTCTGGTCAAAAAGAAGCATCACGCCATTCACACCGTTTTTCAAAATATTGAACTATTCCTTGTTTTATCCAAAGCTGCTGAGCTTTGCAACAAAACATATGATACCTGTACGTCCAGCGATCCCCTACATCGAAAGATGGAACCCATCTTAGCACAAAACAACAACAGAAACCCATATTTTGTTCCTGCGGTCATACCAAGAGGAAAACAGGAGCAAAAATAGCTGTGTGTACCAATGGGAAGATAACGATAAATAGGAACGGGGCGGATCCATGCCAGACAAAATCCTTGACACCATGTTTTGCTCTACGTCCATGCCTCAAAAACGTCCTTTCCTGTAGTAAGAGGGAAAACACAGAAGAGGTTAGATAGGGAAGGAAAAGCATACGCAGAAAAGTAGTAATAATAGTAATGTAAGAATGGAAAAAGCACTTCATGGCATCATCCCTGCATTTATGTTGGAAAAAGAAAAGCAACAGTTTCCTTCTCATTCCCGCCTCAACCATAGAGACAATCATCATGTCATGTACCATGATTTGTGCACCAAGACGTAACGGAAAAAAACCACCTAAACCGGGTGGAAGTATTCAAGCAATGCGGATACCTGAAAGTAATAGCATAAGACGGCAAGAGACGATCATCTTGCGCGCACAGTCTGATCAATGCCGGTACGGAACGTAATAGCAACCTTGTAAGTCATCGTGTTCATCGATTGACGGATCTGTTGATGGATCAGTCGAAGGAACTGCGTCGTCATTGTTCACTAATAGAAGGACCAGAACCAGTTGTAGGGTTCTCAGGTGGTTCAATGGTAGAATCAAGACCGCCGTCTTGCACTCGTTTTTCCTTATCATCCGGAGATGTTTCTGGCCGCTCGCCCTCGTCTTGTGCCTCAGGTTTACTGGAACCCGCCAGCTCTTGGGCTGCAATAGAGGACTTCAATGTCGTTGGTCCACCGGAAGGTGTAGTGCCGACATCTCGGGAACTCTTCTCACCCATATTGAACCAACCTCCCTGCTCCCATTCGCCAGATTCGTACAAGCACTCGCCCCGGACGTTGGGATCGACGATGGCGGCCATCAAATGGTTGAGACGTTGGAAAGCAATGGGCTTCAATATCCATGCATCGAAGCCGGCATCGATGTATTCTTGTCGCCTTTTCTCGAGCAGAGATGCAGACACGGCCATGATGGGTACACGACCGTTCAGCGCAGCGCGTGGAGAGTATATGTTATTGTGCGTTTTCTCGTAGGACCGTATCATTTTCGTGGCGGTAAGACCATCGACGATGGGCATCTGCATGGGTGTGAGTAACATTCTTCATCTGCACATCGTCCGCACAAACCTGCATATCCATTAAGACTACATCGAAGTCTTTTGGATGGTCACCAAATGCCCCAGCACATTCCTCACCATTCACGGTAAGATGGACGGTATGTCCAGCTTTTTCAAGGCGCTTTTTTATGATCCGACTATTGACTGGATCGTCCTCGGCAACGAGGACGCGCATATTCGCAGACGAGAGCAGTTCCACCTCGGGGGGCCTCGTAATTTGTTCAGGCTCAGCAGGTACTTCTCCCAGAACGTGCCCACTTTTAGGTCTTGCATCGAAGGGCGACCCAACGTCGTCCGGAACTTTCAAAGCCCGAAGCGGCGTCCCCGAAAAGGATATGCTTTCTTCACCAGGTGACGCTACCTCCAATGACCTTGTGTGCGGCGGACCAGGAATAGAGTCATTTGTTTTATCCAGACTCTTGGACGGTCGTCGGGACGACGCAGATACACCATGACTGTCCATGCTATGGCGCTTTGTAAGCGTTGGCCGAGCGGAAAGGGGGGACATGCTTCGTTCACTCGTGGGCCGTGAGTCAAGTATCTGAGGTTCCTGGATTGCTTCTATCAATCGGTCGACATCGCTCCGCTGGCTCCTCGCGCTCGAAGCGCTTTTGAAGCTGTGGAGACTCTGTTTGCTTTTGAGACTTTCTGCGCTTGGCTTGTGGCCTATTGAAGTATTACTACTATCGGAATTGTTCCGACTGATGCTAGGCGCCACCAGCGTGCGCTCGCCTTCCGCGAGGAGACCAGGAGTGCCAGGCTGCATGGGATTGCTGTCTTCAGAGGAATCAACCCGAGGTGTGATTTCAGACTCAGAGTCGGGGAGGTCGAAGGGGAGCTGCACAACGAAACGAGAGCCTTTACCTTCCTCCGACTTCAGTCGTAGCTGGCCATTCATGTTTCTGACGATGCGGGCAACTACGGCAAGACCGAGGCCTAGGGCCGTCCTGTCGCTGGACGCAGCCAGCTGTTTGGGGTCAGGAACCAGAGCGTCCTCGACCGACGCTGCGGGCTCCGACTGGACCTGTTCGAGATCATTGAACAGCTGATCGAGCTTCTTGGAGCTCATACCAACCCCTGAATCTGTGATGGCTATTTCAACTTCGACACGATCAGGGCTCGGTCTTGCAGAAGCGTACATTTCCACCTTGACGCCTCCTTGGATTGTATTCTGAATGGCATTGGCAGTGATGTTGGAAATCACTTGGCGCACTCTGCGCTGGTCTCCGAGACATAGCCTGGGTAGCCCGGGGTGCTCGATAACTTCGTAGTTTATGTTTTTGCGTCTCGCATCGCCGTTAAACATATCTGTGGCTTCCTTGAGCGTGGTGGACAGCTCGAAGGACTCGCCCTTGATTAGCGGGCCTCCCTCCTCGGTTTTGGTCAAGTCCAAAAGGTCGTTGATGACGTAGATGAGTGACTTGGATGCTGAATGGGAGCGCGCCAGATTCTCTCGGGTTTCGGTGTCCAGCGAGCCCTCCAGCGCGATCTCCAGGTAGTTGATGATGGCGTTTAGAGGCGTACGGACCTCGTGCGCCGAGTTCGCAAGCAGCAACCGCGTGAGCTGGCTGCTTTGCACAGCCGCCTCTTTTTGCCTCCAGACTTCAATAAACTTGCCATAGACTAGACAGAGCACTGCGGCCGTTTCGATTTCCTCTTCACTCCACTCTCGACACTTGCCGACGACCGTTTCACACCACGTCTTGAAGCTTTTCCGCGGCTCCAGATATCCAGCTGTGCCTTCCTTCACGTACTTTTCGTATGGGTTGCCGGCCCATTTGACCTCCCTCAGTTGGCCCTTCCTGAAGAATACGATGAAGTCTTGACCACCGGCGGACAAAGGTACCACCAGCATGCCTGCGATCACCTGGAATCCAGGCTGATATCGCAGGTCAGGAAAGTCCATAGACACATCTTGCGACGTCATGACAGATGTTATCTTTCTCATGCGGAGATATTCGAGCAAAGCCAGCGCTTCTTGTGAGTTCTCTAGCTGGCCCAGTATCTTAGTCTCCTCGTGTATAGACAGCAGGCCAAAGTCAGCGTCGAAGAGTTTCAAGAGATCGTCGGAAGACGCGATAATGTAGCCCGAAGGGTTGTGTTGAGTGGGAACGGTGTTGATGAGTTTTCTGGCTTGCAAACGAGATGCGTACGAGAGCCTTTCAATATTTCGCGACGCCGAGTCGCCCACGAGACGGCACATCTTGCGGATCGGGAAGGAAACGCGCATGCCACGAGGACCGTAGGAGTGACACGCTATGAGGCCCCACAACTCGTTGAAGGCGTTGATGGAAATAGACATGGATGATCGCACGGCCATATTGGCGAGATACTTTAAATGAATGGGCGACATGGCCCGGAGGTACGAGTGTGTCAGATCAAGGGGATTGTCCAAATCCTCGGGGGTTCGACAAACGAGTCGAGCGGTCTCATGATCGCGATCGTACAGCATGCGAACTTTGTTGATTTTGTATAGCTCTCTCGCCTGCTTCGGGATGTCGGAGGCGGGGAAATTGAGGCCCTTGAAAAGGTCTTTGGTTGCACGAGGGTCTACCAATTCTGTTACTACGCGACCGTTGAACTGCTGATCGAACTGGTAGATCATGACGCGGTGGAAACCAGTCAGCTCCTTGACCACCCCGACCAGCACCTTCAAAAACTTGTCGAGCGTAGGAGCAGCAGCCAGCTGTTCCTGGACTTGTGACATGATGTTGAAGACCTCCATGGCGGCGGCTTCCCCTCGTCTCTTTCTAGCACCCCGCAACACCCTCAACGGTCGACTTTTTACCTCGGTGCTCTCCAAGAATTCCTCGTCCGTAGGGTTACTACTAAGGGTATCCTCCGGAAGATCAGGGGTCATATCATTGGGTGGTACAAGGGGATACAATTGGTCGTCCTCGAGCTCGAATTCGCAAATGACCATGCCGGGATTGGCGTCGTTGGTGTGCAAGGCGCACCACAGCTTGCGAGCCCGCGCGTTCGGAATCTTGACGGATATCGTAAACACATCGGGCCCGTTCGTCTGGACATCAGCGTCTTCGTCTTTGATGAAGTCTATATGATCTAGAAGATTGTCGGCCTGCTCTTCGGAGAGAATGTCGGTGAAACTTTCAAGAGCGAAAAGCTCTCTCGGGGAGCGACCGATAATTCTCCTCGAGTTTTCGCTCACTACGCGGACGGGAAGAGAGCCATTGCCGCTGACATCCTCTTGGAGGGCAATGAGAAGGCCGAAACCTTGCACTGCACCGGGGATATGGATGGGCTCGTCCTCGCATCGTTGCAGCGTGTCTCCGTCCCGACCGGTGATGACCGCGTGTCCGCCTTCTGTTACCACATGCTTGAAGCGATGCGTCACCAACCCCCCAACATCGTCCATACTATCGGAAACGGATCTCACAGAGCTCCCGTGATCTGCAGAAGCCGGTTGGCTACGTTCGTCCAGGGGCGCACTGTCCACCGACCGTGTCGACGAGATATCGCTGAAGATTTCAGAGGGTAATTGCAGTGCAGGCTTTCTAGATTCATCCTCGCCTTGCTGAGTCGACGGTGGGTTGGCATGGACAGGATTTTCCGCTCTGGGTGTTGTGCTCGATGCTTTCCGCGAGACCATCCTACGCTGGGAAGCCTGCGATTGTGATGAGAGGGAAGCAGCGGAGCCTTGCGATTGACGTCGGTTGTGTGTGGCGCGACCCCCGTGGGCAGAGTGAAAATAGTCGCCTTGTCCTGACTGCCGCTGGTTAGGAGTGGGGGATGGGTCAACAGAGACTACGCTCCGAATGGGGAAGACTCGATCTGTGGCGGTTGGGCTCAGGGAGCCCATGGCTTCTACGGGTGTTGGGAAATTTGAATGGAGAGGCGGAAGGGGAGACTTGGGGTTGCTGTCATTTGTCAAAGTGGACGAGGATGCCTCGATCGGCTTGTTCTGAGTGTCTTGAGCTCCATCGCCTTGGGGAGTGGGTGTCCCTTCGGAGGGTTCCGACATGGCCGACTTGGGCGCGAGTACGTCTATGCGGCCAGTCTGTCGGAAGAGTGAACGGAAGGGCGAGGGGAAGGATTGGGTGTTTCTCCCGGAAGGGGAGAGACGGAAAGGAAAACCAGAATCTGGTGGTGAGCCCGTTGGAGCCTTTCTTCGCTATATGCAGTGGTGGGAGAGGTGGAAGAGGGCGACGTAGAACGAAGGAGATGGAGCGACGAGGTTGTGCCGACGAATAGAGGGACGGTGATGTGAATACGCGGGTGGGTAGGTCGGTCGAAGAGGCGTCATGCAGAGAGATGCAGGGACGAGCAAGGAACCGATAGAGAGGGGCGAAGGTAGTAGGTGAGGGGCGAAAGAATAGGTACGCAGTGAGGTCTGTTGATTAGGCGGGAGCGTGCAGCCGTTTGTTGCGTGGGCGTCGTGGGGAGGATGGAACCAGGTACGGGGGGTGCAGCGACGTCGAAGGGGGGTGAAGCAAGAGCAGCAGCAGCAGCAGCAGCAGCGACGGCGGCGGCGGCGGCGGCAGCAGCAAGCGGTCGAGGTATGGTGAGAGGATAGTGAGGAGGGGCGTGGAGCGGACTGGCAGCGGGCGGAACGACGACGACGGAGGAGGAGGAGGGATGGAAGGTGCCGCCCATGCACTGACTGGGTGAGAGAGAGAGAGTGACGGATGGACTGTATCAAGGTGGGATGTCGTCGTGGTGTGGTGTTGGTGGTGGGCGGCGGCCGTGGTGGATAGTATGTAGTCAAGACGGTATTGTATGTGTACACACACACACATAGACACACATAGACACACGCACTCATACACTCGCACTCGGGCAGGCAGGCAGGCTTCACACGGCGAAGGGGTGGAGAGGGGACTGCAAGAATCGGGCCATGGCAACGCTAGAGATGTGCATAGTCATTGTCGAAAAAGGTTCGGATGGACAGAGAGACAGACAGACGGGGAGAGATTTGTCGGAGCCACAGTTGGCTGGATGTGCGGGTGGCTGATGAGGGCGGCGATGGTCGATCATGGCAAAGGAGGGAAGGGATCGACATCAGAAAACAGGCGCCATGTGGGACGCGGCGAAAGGGATTTGTTTTGTGGCCTCGACGGGCTGGCACCGGCTGACAAGCGCATGGGATTCTATCAGATGCATCATCGACTTTGCGACCTGGGGCCCTCGTTGCCGCCTGCGTCATCGCGCGCTGGGGCCCCTGTCTGGGCCACCGTCCCCATACAAACTCAGCTTGTGTACCTGTGCGGGTATATATGTAGGTATGCACTTAAGTAAGCAGCAGGTCATGATGGAGCACATATGTACATGTACACACCACCTGCTGCTGTTATTCCCGGGACCATATGGAAAAAGAAGAAGAAGGAGATGGAAAAAATCAAGCAAAACAGGCTCAGACCTGCCCCGTCTGTAGTCTACTTGGTTAGTCAGTCCCGATTAGATTTCATTCCAGCCGCGACTCAGTACAGTAGAGACTCAAGCAGGTGTACATCGATACCTCCATATGTAAGTACTTGAGTAGATACATACTTAGATACCTGCAATCGGTAGATGTGTACATGTACTGTACAGCCTCGTCAGCCAATCAGGGGCGATAACGTCGCCAGATTCGCCACCTTCGCATCCAGAATGATCGACTCTGCCCTGTCCCCATGCGGAGTAGCCCGCCAGCGTGTCCACCGTCCAGTACACACAGGACAGGATGAAACACACGAGTGCAAGGCTGTTTGCAATCAAACGATTGCCCATCACGACAATCATCAAACATCAACGATGAGTCTGTGGCTTGTTACAGCGTACTGCTGGCGGTACATGCCGTTAACCACCCAACCATCCCAGTACCCACCTCGACTCGTTCGGAGCCGAGGAACAGGATTGCCTCAGCACATGTACATACATTATTGATGCTGGACTGGACGAGAGTAGAACAACCGGAAACGGCTCCAGCTTCTGTCTCGCCGCCGCACTCTCTTGCTCCATCCGGAACCCATAGCAACCCCGTGAATCAGCTCCCCCCGCGGGCCCAAGACGTTTGCACTCTCCTCAATGATCCCTCTCTTCACACAGCCAACCGTCATGTACAAACAAAAATCCCGAGAGGCGCGGGCAGAAGCGGCCCACTGTCTGTCACTGAACCTCGACGAAACGCCGCCACGCCACCCGCCGTCTCCACGCATTCAATGCCAACTTTCACCATGACTGTCAGTCTGTCACGGTAGCTAGCCGCATTCCCACCTTTTCTCTTCAACCCTTCCCCCGCACACCCCGGCCTGCCTTCATGAAGCGCTCCCTCAACGTCCTCATTGCACTTCCCGACCCTGCCTCGCTCAAATTCGCCTGCTCCGTCGTCAACCGCCTGCATCGGAACGAAAATGTCTCCCTCAAGGTAATCGCCTGCTGCGACTACCACCAAGCCCCCACCCTCTCCGTCCCGCCCTCCCTCCAGCCCGTCTGGCACCGCTACAATGTCCATGACAGCCCCAAACCCGAGTGCCAGCACGCCGATTTTGTCGATGCAAAGGTCGCAGAGTACTGCGCATGGGCCGACCTGCTCGTGCTGGCCCCCCTCGATGCCGAGAACATAGCCCGAATGCTACACGGCTTCACCACCAACCTGCACCTCAACATCCTCCGAAGCTGGAACGTCTCCAAGAAGATCCTTCTGATCCCGGCCATGTCCGCTCTCATGTGGGAGCACCCCATGTCCAAGAAGCAGATTAGCAAGATTAGAAGAAAGTGGAATTGGATTCTGGTGCTACCTCCATACCTCTGGACGTTTGATCACCTAGGCAAGAAACATCTACAGTGGGATGGCCATAAGATCTTCAACGAGTCGCTCCAGACCCAGATCGATCTCATGGCTGTGGGCCACCGCAACATTGCCCTGCCGACGGCGCACATGGCCACCTTGACTCCCACCAAGAGCAAAGGGCCCCGTCTCCCGCCTGAGCTGTGGTCCATCGTCTTGGAGTTTACAGAGGACTGGGAGCTGGCCACAACTATGCACATCCGCACCAACCTCCCCGTGCCGCCCGAGTGGCGCCAGGCAGCCAGCGAAGAGGGCCTCAAAACCCAGATGCAGAGGCTGGAGTGGGTGCTGTTGACGGGAACCCACGCTGAGATTGCATCCCTGCTGAGCGCAGACCCTCCGACACGCATCTCGCGGCTGTCCATTGAGCTCATCATGCGCTTCGCCATGGTGTCGGTCCTGGCTCACCTCGAGCATGCTTACCGAGATCTATTCTGGGGCACATTCGGCCACGCCTTCCTCCCTCACAAAGCGTCCATGTTCGGCAGGACCGAGATATTGGAGTACTGGCGCACGTCGCCGACTTTTCTGACCAAGGAATATTCCGCCGAGGCAATGGATAACGCCAGCCGCTCGGGCTCGGTGCAGGCGCTCGATTGGTGGTACGAATCCGGTCTTCCGTTGAAGTATAGCGAGTCCGCACTGGAAGCAGCCAGTTCGCAAGGCTTCGTGCAAGTTTTGGGATGGTGGAAAGGCCACAGCAGGTACCGCAAAGCCCCCGCCACCCCGCCATCCCCGGGCGTGCAGCACGAGAGTGCCAGTGGTCGAAGGGAGCTGCTTAACCTCAAGGTCGGCAAGTCCATAACCTACGCCACGCAATCCGGTTGTCTGCCTGCCATACACTTCTGGGTGGAGTCTGGCATTCCGTTCTCGCATGAAGACACGGTAGCAAAGCTCGCATCAGCGCATGGACACACGCACATTCTCGACTATTGGCGCAAGCTGCGCGGAGAAAAGATGCTGTTTGACAATCAAGTGCTTGTGGGTCCCACCAAACAGGGGCACGCACAAGTCTTGGATTGGTGGAAGTCCAGCGGTCTGCGCGTTGAATATAAGACGTGCGATATCGAAGAGGCACTCGAGGATGGGGTTGGGGGTAAGCACGGCGAGGCAGTGCGCAAATGGTGGGCGCAGAATGGTCTCAACCTGGGTGTCGGAACGAGCGAATGGATGCGGGTCAAAGTTCTGGGGTCGTGATGCGGAGGAAACGCAATGTCAGGAATATATTAAAAAAATATCATGCAGTATTTCCACAAATATACTACAGTTCAATACTCGTCATACTGTTCAAATGCACTATATTCTTGCCCAGATTTTTTTTTCTTTTTGCTATATGTTGGGGTGCTGATGTTCAGTACGTGCGTGCACATGTAGGCATCATTGAAAGCTAGAACACGTCTCATGAGGGCGACATCGTTGCTCTTGACACCCTTCGGCTTCCATCAACTACGACATGAGCATGAGGGCTAGCCGTTGGATGGTGAACGGATATAATTCGTGAGATGCATACCTGGTACATATGCGGGCGGGGGCGTTCTGCACGGTTCCGTTCTTGGCTAGGCAGTTTCGAGAACACTCGGTCAGCTTTCCCATCAACGACCACGTCTCTTCCGTAACTTGCTCTTGCTCTTGACCTTCTTTCGACTCGAGAGAACCCAGTCTTCCTCCTCGAGAGCTCTTCTCGTATCACTATCCCATTGCACCCCTTTGCCCTCTTCAAGTCATTCTCGTAATGCACTGTTGAGACCAATCTCTGCCACTACCCCAGCTGTCTACACAAAAGTGATAGCTGTCCCTTGTACGCACCCCTCGAGCCCTTTCACCCACCCATCCACCAATCAATTCGTTCCCATTTCTGCCTTTTCCTCCTCGCATGTTTATCCTCACTAACCTGCATCCCCAGATACACCCGCCTCTGCCCATCGTACTCCCAATCACACCGCATTCTGGCTCCCCGCCTCTGAACCCCTCCACTCACCGTCTAAGCGATACACCCTCTGGATTACTCGAACGGTCACTTCAAAATGTCATCCGACCCCGTTGCAACCGCCAGCTCTTCTGCTGAAGGTCTGACTCCTGCTCAGAAGCTGATGGAGCAGCACGACCATCACGCCACCGTCGAGGAAGTCGTCGACGAGGAGGACATCATCCATCCTCCCCCTTCGGCCACCGTCCCCAAGGACACCGACGCAGCCGCTACCAGCGACAAGGCCGCAGGCAAGAAGAAGGCTGAGGATGCACCGGCTCCCAAGAAGGGTCCAGCGCTGAACACTTCTTCTGAAGAGGCTTTCCCAGCTCTCGGTCCTATCAAGCCTCGTGCGCCCGCCGCCTTCGCACCCACCTGGGGCAAGAAGCCCTCCTCGCTCTCCGCCAACGGCGTCAATGGCAACGAACACGCCCCCAGCTCCGCCACCTCTCGTGCTTCCACGCCCGCCTCCGGAATCAATACGCCCGCCTCTGCGCCCACCGCTCGCGGTCCCATTCTTCCTACCATGAACCTCCCTGGCAAGCACAAGCAGCAGATTGTCTTTGACCAGAAACATCTCGTTCCGCGCTCCGAACTGAAGAAGCCTCTACCTGAGATCGTCCGTGACATCAACAAGCGCTCCAAGGCTAAGTTGGAGGTCAAGACAGGTGGTCCTGGTGGCAAGGTCATTTTCGAAGCCACCGGTCCAGAGGATGCCGTTCGCCAGACACTCAAGGAGGCGGCCACCGAATTCGGCAGAAAGGTACGTACCTTCTCAGCTAACCTCTCAGCTATGCTAATAGAAACAGCTCACTCACAATTATGCTATTCCCGCCTCCACTCGCCCCTTCATCATCGGCCGCGGCGGCGCCAAGATCCAGGAAATCCAGAAGCGCACTGGTGCTCGCGTCAACGTGCCGAAGCAGGAAGAAGGTGAGGATGAGGATACCATGGTCAACGTCCTGATCGAAGGTAACTCCCTCACCGTCGAGATGGCTCGTCGTGAGATCGAAGCTATCGTCAACGAGCGCACTTCGACGGTCAACCTTCGCCTCAAGGACATCCCCGCTGAGTACTATCCCTTCTTGGCTGGGCCCCACGAATCGAACATTGGCATGTTGGAGAATGGCCGTGAAGTCAACGTTCGCATCCCCCACTATCACACGTGGGACGCTCAGGCCCCACCCCAGGCTCCACGCAATCAACCTGTCCCGTTTGTGCCTCAAGCTGGATTCCCCATTCAAATTTCTGGAGACCGCCAGGCTGCTCAGGAAATCCAGGCCAAAATCGAGCGTCGCGTCCAGCAGCTGCGCCAGCAGTTGGCCATCGAACAATGCAACATTGAGCGCGGCCGCCATCAATTCATCGTTGGAGAGCGGGGAGGTTCTCTGCATGATTTCCTCCAAGAAACCGGCTGCAGCATCGTCATGCCGCCTAGCACAGACGACAGCGAGTCGATTTACGTGGTTGGGCCAGCGGATAAGATCCAAGCTGGTATCGACAGGCTAGAGGACATTGCTGCCGAGATGACCATGGCCTCCGCTGACTGCAGCCGTGAGCACCGTGGACCGAATGCCCAGGCGCATGCCGCCAACGTTACCCGCTATTTGCAACACCGTGCAGCACTGAGAGAGCTCGAACGCCAGCACGAGGCCAGCATCGTTACCCCCACCGATGGGTCCTCCGCCTGGCAAATTTACGCCAAGAATGGAAAGAATAGTATGAAAGCTCGCAATGACATCATGAGCATCTTTGCCAGCCATCCTCCTCAGCGATTCTTCAGCGTTGATGTGGACCCATTCTATCACGAGTTCCTCCGACAGCAGAATGCTCAGCACATCCGTGATAATATGGGTGTTCACGTCGTCTTTCCTGACGAAGCAGAAGAGTCGCCAGCTCTAGTCCTTGTCTTTGAGGGTTCCACCCCCTCCAGCGAATACACTATCCCACGCGAGCGTCCGTCCGACGCGCAGAAAAAGGAGTATCAGCAGGCACTCCAACAGGCACAGCAGTATATTCAGGGGCTCACCAGCAAACATCAGGACATTGCTTCACGGGACGTGGAGGCCAACACCAAATTTCACCCAAAGATCCAGCGTTTCGTGGACAAGAAGCAGCAAGGTCTCCCCCGCGACCAAATCCCCGTGCAAATGCTGTTCGGAGATCGACGGCCCCAAGCGAGCAGGTCGTCCAACAACACGTTCGGAATGCGTGGACCCAGCAGCGCCTTGGAAGATCTCCATGCTCAGATCCTCGCTTTCATCGAACAGGAAGAGAAAGATGAAGTGGAGCGTGGCTTCACGACCACGTTCGATTTCCCACAGAAGTTCGCTAACCAATTGATCGGAAAACGTGGCGACAACATCAAAAAGCTCCGAGAAGAATTCGACGTCGATATCCAGGTGAATGATGGCAAAGTGGAGCTCAAAGGTCCCCAGGCCAAGGCCAACGCCTGCAAGGCCCATATCCTGAACCTGGGCAAGCGTTTGGAGGACGAGACAACGCACACCCTGAAGGTCAAGCCGCAGTTCCACCGCGACCTCATCGGAGCCAAGGGCAACCAAGTCAACCGTTTGCAAGATCGCTACAATGTTCGTATCAACTTCCCGCGATCGGCAGCTGCCAACGAGGAGGACGCCACAGACGGTGCATCGCAGCGAAACTACCGCGGTCAAGCTGCCGACGAGGTGGTCATTCGCGGTCCCCGTAAGGGCGCTGATGAAGCACGCGAGGAGCTCCTCAATCTTCTTCAATGGACGACGGACAACTCATACACTGACTCCGTCTCTGTCGCGCAGAGCCAGGTTCCGCAATTGATTGGGTCCGGCGGTCGCGAGATGGAGAACCTTCGATTAAGCACTGGTGCTCAAATAGATGTGCCTGGTGCTCGTGAGGGTGCCGATCCCTCCGGTCGTGCTGAGATCAAATTAAAGGGCACCAAAAAGCAAGTTGAAGAAGCTAAGAAGATCTTGCAAGAGCGCGCCAAAGTGTTTGACGACACAGTCATCGAGACCGTCGACGTCGACCGCAAGCATCACAGGAACCTAATCGGTGCCAGTGGTTCCAACATTCGCCAGATCGTTACGGCTGCTGGTGGTCCCGACAGCGCTCGTGAGCTGGCCCGCATGGTCCGCTTCCCTCGCGCTGAATCAGATGGCTCTTCCATTCGTATCGAGGGTCCCAAAAGTATCGTGGAGAAGATTGTTGCCTCCATTCAAGCGCAGGCATCTTCGCTCGATAGCCAGGTCACCGAGATCATCGAAGTGTCACCTGACAAGCACCGCCTACTGATCGGTCGCGGAGGAGAGACACGTCGATCGCTTGAATCTAAGCTCCACATTCAGTTGGACATTCCCAAGCAGTCTGAAACAGGCGCTGCGCGCAGCCAGGTCAAGATCACGGGCGAGGCTGATAGTGTGGCTAAAGCGAAGGAACACATTCTCGATCTCGTCAAGGGTCAGGAAGGAGAGACCGTTCAGGTTCCCCGGTACCTTCACCACACCATCTCCGACAATGGCCACTTTTTCCGCCGTCTCCGTAACGACCTCAAAGTCACTGTTGACCACGCTGGACAGCAGGTTCCGCCCAAGCCTAGCGCAGCAGAGGGAGGCAAGGCACGAAAGGGTGCCAACGGGGACCTCCCCCTCATCACTGACGATACTGGCTCAGGTGCAGACTCTCATTCCTGGGAATTGGTCGACAACAACCCCAAAGACGATACCACTGATACGTCTGCCACTATCCCTTGGGTTCTCCGTGGTAGCGCTGAGAATCTGCCCAAGGCCCGTCAGACACTCGAGTCTGCTATTGAGAACGCAGCTAAGCCTTCGTCCACTGGGTATCTCATTTTGCCCGATCCACGCAGTTATAGGCTCGTTGTCGGTCCCGGGGGCAGCACTATCAACAGCATCCGCAAGAAGACTGGTACCAAGGTGCAAGTCCCACGTGACCAGGCCAAGGACGAGGCGATAGAAATTGTTGGGACCGCTGAGGGGTGCGATCAGGCACGCCAACTGATTCTTGATATCGTGTCTAAAGGTGGAAATGGAGGCCGTAGGCCCTCTTAAATTAATAGGCTTGGCAATAGAGAAGTGTGTGGCATTGCATGTTGGTGTTGGCAAATGTCATATTGGAGCCATATGGTTGTGCAGAACCATCATTTGTGGGAGTTGAGCAATTCATGGTGTATATTTTAGGAATCGTGGAGTAAAATGTTTGTATATTTTCTAGTGTTCATACACGGCGAAAAGGATGGGAGAAAAGCAACCAAAATGCCACTTTTCTTTAGGTTTAACCCTCTATTAGCAAACCTCTGTTGTCGTTCTGTTAGATTCTTTTGACTATTTTACAATGAACCGCTCTTTATTCTATTTCTAGAGCCAGACCATCATGATGTCCAAGTCATCAAGTTGTTGTTTACCTGGGACTAGAGTAGCAAGGCCATCGTTCACGAACGCAAAAACTGCTCACTCGTCAAAAGAACTTGGAAAGCACCATTAGAAGCGTTACATCATTATTATTATGAAGTCATTACAGTGTAAAAAACCCGGTCTTGCCCTCGTGGCACATGCCCATGTAAGAAAAATTGGTATACATGTGATAACATGTATCAGGGTAAAAGGTAGACCGTCAGAGTATAGCTTCTGTGACTATGATCAATCACGCTCTGAGTATTTCAACTCAGGGCGCCTCGGTGACGGGCGCGATAGCCTCCACTTTGATTTCTGGTAAAGCTGGCTCATACGCAGTTTCCGATGTATATGTCGGCCGTCGCGTACCAGGATGCCGTTCTCTTTCGTCGTAGTAGACACGTTGGGTACCACCATCGTACCGATGGGAATATGGGGGGTCGTAGGAGACAGGAATATATCGAACGTCTTCTGGTTCGTGCTCCATATATCGAGTAGGAGAATGCGGAGCATACGAACCACGTGCTGGTTGGGGCTCTCGGGGGATCCGCACAATCTCATACTCTTGGAAAGGATAGCCATGATCATCGACGAAAACGGGGGCTGGTCCCCGAGACTCTTCAGAATATCTGCTGTAACGGTAACGAGGCGAAGGAAGTGGATAAGGGCGATCTTGCACGGAGACGTATTCTCGAGGGACAGGACGCCCGTGGAACGTATTATCATCCGTCGGTGCTCGTTCTACGCTATGATCTCGGGAATACGGCTGCTCCCGATCTGCGGTTGGCTGCGGTGTCTCTTGTTCATCAATGCGTCGCCGCTGTTCTTCATACCGCTTGCTTTGAGAACGGCTAATGCTGGCACCTCGGGAATATGGTTCATCCCGCGCAACGCTCATATATCTATAGTACCTTGAAGGAGCGCCGCCATGTTGCCTATCCCTTGGTCTCTGTGGCCCAGGTCTCCGCGACCCACGTGCCGAATCTGGAGTAAGTATAGGGCGCCGGGCTGGGCGGCCTTCCTCATACCTCGAGCCATTAGATACAGTCGAAGGTGGAGGAGGCTGGGCTGTATCACTGAGACGATGTTGATCCGTGACTCCTCCTGCGTTGGCTGTGTTGACAGGTGGTGGTGAATATCGTGATCCGTCATCGAGATCCGGTTCCAATAAAGGCTTATCTCTCACATCTAATTGCTCATTGGTAGATGGTCTACTAGGGACGAAATCCTCTAGTACCTGGTCTGCAGCCAGCTTCTCCTCTGAGAGATTGATGTTTTGTCCTCTTGACTCCCCCACATATCGAGCATCAGAGACTGAGTACCGGGCTGCTTCTGGGTGGCGGAATTGGCGGGATGATGGCCTATAGTCCGAAGCGTGCAGTCCATTGCGTGGATATGTAAGTCCATGGTCCTCCCCTGGACGGTAAAAGGCTTCGTCGTGGCCCCTATATAAGGATTGACGTTCATGAAAGTCCTCATGATACGGCCTAGTCTCACGATACCTTCTCTGGTTCGACTGAAATTCGGGTATCTCTCCCGGATGCAGAATCTCGCGGCTCAGAGGATCCCTCGGTAGCTGGAGGCACAAATTGTTAGCTCCCGGTCCCTGCTCTGGGAAACGTGACGATGAACCTACATAATATGACTGGTCCGCATAGGATCGGGACTTTCTTTCCATGGGTGGGGAACTACCCCAATATGAACCTCTTCTGTTAGTTTGCGCAGCTACCTGGTGCCCAAGGCCTGATAACGCGGGCTGCTGTGGATCATATTCATTCGGAGTAGGTTTACCGGTTCGTGGTGACCCTGTATAAGGTGAAGCCAAAGATGATGGACCGGAGCTCTCAGATGGTATTCCAGATGCCTCTCCTTTCAAGCTGGATTTTGGTTCCTTGGATGCCATTTTTTCGGGTAGAGCAACAGTGTGCCCATCTACACTCCCAATCTTTGGCAGCGGGGTTGGAAAAAGCGCCGGGAAGACAGTGGCAATCATGCGGAGCTTTTCGTCATCCATTCCTGGTGCGTGTATTAAACCAGAGATGAATCGATCACTAGGTAGCTCTATCATATCTTCCTTCCAATCCAAGGTGTTTCTTGCCTGGCCACTAGCATAAGAGGAAAATTGGCCATTCGAGTGATGAGATCTAAAATGAGAGAACATGCTCAATGCTGTATACGTTCGTCTCTCTTCTTGGGTCGGATGATGATGATGAGATGAATCCTCTTGGCACGTTTTGCAGGAGAGTCCTGGTGCATATCTCAAAGCCCGGGGAGTCTCGTTATTAGAAAAAGCATCAATGAAATGGTTCAAGTCAGGTTCATGATTGAACTCGAGATGAAATTTCGAGATGACACCTTGTAACACAACGTATATGCGAAGACTGTTGGGTAGACCTTTGATCCCAGACATCTGTTTCCAGATGTCTTGGGCCTCGCTGATAATAGTACTCACTTGTTTATCGTAGAGACCTGTACGATGATCACTTTCCTCTGGCCTGTGAAGTATATCATCCTGGCGATGGTTGGCTGGAAGCGATCCTGTCATTGTCGGAATGGGCATGGAAGAGGACGCCAAATATCCGTTTCCAGGAGGGCCGTAACCTGTTGGTGGTGCCATGGATTGGTACTGGTAACTATCCATCGGTACGCCGTACGCCTGATTGTTGTAGTCGTAACCCGGTGTCACAGAAGAACGAATCTGTGGTGGGGCAAAAGGTCCGTTGTAATGGCCAGCATAATGATATGGACCTGGGCTGACCTGTGGAAGATGGGCCTGCGTATGTGGAGTTGAAGTGCCTGCGCGGGAGTACCCACCATAATATGCACCATAACCAGCGTGGCTTGATGGATTGGGGGTAGCGTGGTAAGCATGCTTCACAGATATGGGATCTGGATGAAAAGGTGTTTCTGCAGGCCATTCGGCTTCTCTCCATGCGACAACAACATTGCCAACGCTGAATGCATTAGTGTGCTTGGCTCCATAGTGTTGAATAACGCCTTCAAATCCATAATACTTGTAATTGCTCTCGCAGCGATAACACAGGAAGATTTCTTTGCGATACTGTTCTGTTAGAGGCTTGACTTTGTTGTCATATACCCATTTCATGTTCTCCAAAACCAATTTGGGCCTAGAGCTCGCATTGATGTTCTCCGGGGTAAACTTGGTGTCCCAGGTACTCGCAGGCACTGCTTTCTCCGCATCACTATAGTATTTGAGACGCACATATACCAACAAGTCAACGGCGAACTTGGGGCTATTTTCATAGGTTACTGTTCGTCCTTGGTCCCAGGTCCGATTAATGTATTCATCGGCGGTTACACTCAACTTTTCGCGCACCGGTTGTTGCGTTTCATCCCATTCACGATCCATGACTTCCTTGGCTTCTTTAGAGTTGACTTCTGGAGGACGGCGTTCGGGCAATTTCGATACTGAAGCAGCGCGTGCCACGTGGTCTGCCTCGGCTTGTTGGGCAGCAGGCAGTTGGGCAAGAAGACGGGGTTCAAGTACGCTCCATGCATGCTCGGTCATTGGCTGGGAGATCTGCAAAGCTGCCTTGAAAGAATCCATGTGGCGCAGTACATTTGGTGGGATCGGTGGGTTGATATCTTGGCATCTTCGCTCTATATCCGCCTTGCGATTTGCTTTGGCTTCGTTCGCCTCATGAAGATTCCCCCGCATGGATTGGCCACCGCTGGTTGGTCCTGGCTGAGGTGTGTACTGATGAGGGATGGTTGGGGGCCGCGACTGTACGAACCTCGAGGGTGTGGCTGCAGTTGTTAGGGATGAAGTAGGAGTGCCGTGGAAGCGCTGAAACAAGCTACCATCTGTCACAAGATCTAATGTAGAAGAAAACGTACCCGTTGGGACCGGTGAATGTATTACAGGAGATGATGGTTGGCGCGCTGGCGACTTGGGTTTCTCCGGTAGTGTCGATGCAGTGGAAGAAAGATCCAATGCTGCCGAGGTCGCTTGTTTCGGGCCATGATGAGTCGTCCACCACTGGTATTTGACTTCCCAGCGCTCCCATTGCTCCACTACCCTCATGCATTCAATCCCACGAGCTTCCAGTCCCTTGGACCATTCCTCAGCGGCCCCACTCCCCAGGCTGAGCGCATCTTTCAGCTCCTTTTCGATGTCCTCCACGTGTTTTTTGTAGTAAAATTTGGATATCTCGAGGCCAGGAGGGGTGGTAGCGGCTTGCAAAGTATACGCAGGGACATAGTGATGATCGCTTGTTATCAAGGCAAACGGGAGGGCAGGGCGTAGGGCCGAGGCGGAAGAGAAGAGAAGGCTGGCGTCCTATAATGGTCAGAGAACGCACATTTATGCTGCAACCGTCACTCACGGTTTGGCTTTGATCCATCAAACACGGCCCACAAGACTTGATCCCAAAGGGCCATATGGTGCGGACACCACATGTGCTGGGTCCCTTCTGCCAAATCTTGTCTCCTGGAATGAAAGAGCTCAGTCTCCGACAAAATTGGCATCGTTTAGACCAAACAAGCTGCCACACCTGCAACTCGGAGAAACCTCGAGGAGGTTTTGGAGGTTTGACAGGCAGTGTATTGCGAACAAAAGCCCAAATGGACTCGGACGACTTTAAGAGATGCAAAGACCCAGGGTTTGGGTCAGAAAATGAGACGCTGGATACGTCTGTGAGATAAGAATGAAAGGATCGATTGACTTGGAGCAATCGACCAAGGTCATGAAGAGAACAAAAGAGAAAGATATGCTGCCACACTTCTGGCGGAAGGCCAGCACATGGCTTCAAGTTGCATGGGGTGGAGGGAGATGAAGAAGCAAGCCTCCGCTTCTTCTCCTCGACAGACAAGATATCGTCAGCTTTGCGCTCCACAGCGCCGGCATCACTTGGAACAGACTCCAAATGATTGTCCGGCTTCTTCTCGGAATCGTAGAAGTCGATGGAAGACGCAGTGCTCGACTCCCTATCTTCCATGTCCCCAAGCCCTCTGAGCGGGCGAAGGTCACAAATGGAGATTCACTGAATGCGCTCGGTGGACTGAGGGTGGAGACATGGATAGGTGTTGCGGGTTGGGTTGGTTGGACTGTGACAGTTAAATGGCGATGGGGTTTGTGAGCGAGTTCCGGCGGGTCAAGAGTCCAGCCGTGTGTTATTTGATATGCGTTCAATAAAACTTTGGGTATTGGAGGGGACGAGGAGGAGTTATTGTGCAAAAGGCAAGTAGTGGTAGGTGTAAGTAGAAGACAAAGATTAAAACAGAGGAGACAGTGACTGGGGAAGCAGGGACGAGATGGAAGCCGAGGCCACAGGCGCTGTCATCCAACCATTCGAATGAGGCTTCCGACTTCAGTGATCACGTGATTGATGACGAGCGTGCTTGGCGGACGCCCGTGTGCTGCGCTCAAGACCGCACAGCTTGGCTGTGTTCTATATCCGGTGTACCTACCTTTACACCAAGACCATACGTACGCGTCATATCGCACATAGCACCCTTCCCTCCAGGCAGCTTGTTGTTGAATTGATTCTCTCGCCGAGAGACATCGCCGCTCGTCACCTCGATCCTCTTCGCTCCCCTCACATACCATCTCCTGTCGCAGCACTGCCAATCATCGCCCCGTGTGCTGTCTGCACCCGAAACCCCCGCGACCAAACAAACAATCTAGCATACGACATGGCCAGTCTCAATACTTCGAGCAATGGTCCCAGCATAACAAGGAGCTACCAGAATGTCATCAACTCCCCGCCACCTTCCGCGGCCCAGGCAAATTCGCCAACCTACGGTCAATGGGCCGTGTTCACTGTTGCTGCCCCGCTAGTCAGCGCCTTCCAGCAGGATGGCGGTAAAGAGAGCGTTCTGAAGGTGCAGAGCACTGGAGGTACGTCTATATGCCACCCACGTCAAGCATTAGCTGACACTCCGCAGAGGGTGAACTCGTAGACCTTCTCGACGAATTCTCCGATGGTCGCATACAATTTGGTTTTGTCAAAGTCAAAGATCCCAACACATCCTTGCCTAAGTGTGTCTTGATTGCATGGGTATGTTTGTGGTGTCGTGTTCTTGGGGGTTCTCACTAATAAAAGCCAGTGTGGTGAAGGCGTGCCAGAGCGCACAAAGGGCTATTTTGGTAGTCACCTAGGTGTTGTGTCCAAGCTACTCCATGTTCGTCCACCCCAGTATCCTGCTGTTATGAGTAAATTAGACGAACCCAATGCGGCGACGCGTGTGTCAAATTTGGCGTTAAAAGTCATGTCATGAGGTGTAACTGATGTTGTGTTCAGGGATATCATGTGCAGGTCACAGCTCGGTCCGAAGCAGATCTAACGCCGGAGCGTGTTATTCAAAAGGTTTCCGATGCCTCAGGTGCGAAATACTCTGGTGGCCCAAACATTCCTTCCGCCGGACCTCCTCCTGTTGCAGCGAAAAAGCCAGTGTTCACTCCCACGCAAATCGGGGGTGGAAGTAGTGGCTTCAACCCACTCGGTCGATCAAGAGCCCCTGCCTCACAAGGGGATACAGATGCTGACGGGTGGGGCTCGGACGCGCCTCAGCTCTCAAGAACACAGCTCGAAAAAGTGGAATCCGCGTATAAGCCTACCAAGGTCAACATAGCAGAGCTGACCTCGAGGAGAGACGAATCTACGAGCGGCCAAGGCCCACGAAATGACAGACCGGAAGTTGTCAGGGGCGCATACCAACCGGTAGGAAAAGTCGATATTGCCGCTATTCGCGCTCAGGCGAAATCTAATAGCCAAGATGATCGACCAACAGTTGTCAAGGGCGCATATGAGCCCGTTGGCAAAGTAGACATCGCGGCAATCCGGGCGAAAGCGCAAGGTGCTCCTCCCTCTTCTGGTCTGTCACCCGCCGCGACTGGTGCTTCTGGACAGGGCAACGATGACGAAGATGAGGCACCCAAATCGTTGGCAGACCGCTCGGCTGCTTTCAACCAACCTGAACGCCTCACCAGCCTGCCCAAACCCAAAGTTGCGAACAAATTCGGGGGCGCAAGCGCATTCACGGGAACGAAAGCGCCTACTCCGGGCGGGTTTGGTGCGAAGCCGGTTACTCCAGCCGCCCAAATTGGAAGCGCAAGCAAGACATTTGCGGATCAGGGAGGCAAGACACCAGCACAGTTGTGGGCTGAAAAGAAAGCTGCGCAGGGTCACACTGTAACGTCGCCTGGCATTACCACTCCATCTGTGCAGACACAAAAGAGCGGGGAGGGAGGGTGGAAGAGTGGTTACACAGGCAAATCTTGGGCCGCTGTTCAAACCACTCGAACCGGACAATCCGCAGCCAGCAACCTCAGTGAACAGCGTACTGGTGGAGAACCGCAAGAGGAAGAACCTTCACCTGCGGGGGGCGTGGGTGCTCTCAAAGATCGTTTCAAGGGTGCCGCTCCCATGGGTGCGCCAGGATCCCGCGCAGTTCCTGAACCCGCTGCACCAAGCCCGCCTCCTATGGATATGTCAAGCAAGCCTAATGCCGGATCTCGAGGCGTTCCTATGCCTGGTCTGCCGAGCCGTCCATCTCAGCCGGAAGATGACGATGTGCCTGATGTTCAGCATCAACGCCTTCCAACCCCGCCTCCTCAACCACGAAGGAGTCCCTCGCCCGAGCCCTCTGGATCTCCTGTACGCATAGCTATGCCTGTGGCTCGGGGTCCTGAGCCCGAGGCTATGTCGCCACCCGAAGAAAAGGCCCCCCCTATGCCAACTCGTTCCCTTGACCAGGCTGCCAAACAAGCGCGCGATGTCTCGCCAGAGCCACGCGTGGAAGCGAAAGATCCCGCTCGCGGGGCTGGCGCTGCTGTTGCTGCGGGTACCTTCGGCGCTGCCGCAGTTGTCGGTGTGGGTGCTGCTGCTGCTCTTTCATCTGACAACCCAGGCGGTAGTGAGGGCCAGCGTGCTCTTGTTCAGTACGATTATGAGAAAGCTGAAGATAATGAAATCGAGCTCCGGGAAGGTGAATATGTTACTAACATCGACATGGTTGATGAAGATTGGTGGATGGGTACGAACGCCCAGGGTGAGCAGGGTCTGTTCCCATCCAATTACGTGGAATTAGTAGAAGGCGAAGAAGACGCCAGTGCCGGAGCTCCCCCTCCATTGCCTTCTCATCCTACTACTGCTGCGGAAGAGCCCTCAGCACCAGAGCCTACTGGCAGTGCTGGTGCGACGGCCACCGCGCTCTACGATTATGATGCGGCGGAGGACAATGAACTCAGCTTTCCAGAGGGTGCTACAATCGCTTCGGTGGTACGTAAAAATTCGGTGGGTTTTGACAGATCCAAGCTTACTGACATGAATACGCAGGAGTTCCCCGATGACGATTGGTGGTTTGGTACGTACAACGGCTCGTCAGGCCTCTTCCCTGCGAATTACGTGGAGTTGGATGCCTAAGTAGTAAACGTGAGCGAACTGGGGCATATATGAGCAGTGCCGCTATGGTAGTACAAAGTAACCCAAAATTCCATATTCACATATACGGTTCCCGTAGATAGCCTCCAAAGAAAAGGTAAGGACTATGTTCGTCCTAAAAATGAAGTTATAGACACATTACTAGCACATTGCCAATATCATGTACCAGAATCGAATTGTAGACTATAAGAGTCGGAAATAATGTAGACGCGCAGGGCAGGGAATTAGAAGCACTCCTGATTGGGTCGCACCGAGTTCCATCAAGGCTAGTAGAAATCGAGTAGGCGGTAGCCCTACTCCGCGGCAGAATTTTACGAATCCTCCATCCACCTGCGCGCGCCGTTCTAGTTGCTTCAACATCGCAATCGACTTTCGGATGCTACACTTCGTCACCCGCGCCATATCAAGAGCCATGGCTTCATCTACGGTTGCGCGTGTTCCCATTCCCAAGAATGGCGTCGACTATCGTGGAAAAGTTGTCCTTGCGCCAATGGTGCGGTCAGGCGAGTTGCCATCAAGGTTGCTGGCGCTGAAATATGGAGCTGATCTGGTGTGGGGTAAGTGGCATGGGTACATGGATCGCAGCTATTGCTTGACGTTATTGTATTCTGAAACAAGTAGCTGATTGTGGTTGGTAGGCCCAGAGACTATTGATCGAGCAATAATAGGGACCACCCGCCGTATCAACCCCCGTACATCTACGATTGAATACACTCGCATGCCGACCTCCAAGATAAACAACCCTACGCTCGACCCGCAAAACCGTGAAAGTATTCTCTTTCGCATACATCCCGAATTGGAAAAGGGAAAGCTTATCTACCAAGTTGGTAGCGCAGACCCTGAGTTAGCTGTCCAAGCTGCCAAAGTTGTCGCGTCGGACGTAGCTGGGATAGACTTGAATTCCGGCTGCCCCAAACCCTTCTCTACAGCCGGCGGTATGGGCGCAGCGCTACTGAAGACACCCGACCTTCTTTGCGATATCCTGACGAGTCTCGTAAACGAGGTGGGCAAAGTGTATGAGATTGGCATCAGTGTGAAAATACGCATTCTTGATAATGCAGCAGATACGGAAACCCTGGTCCGCAGATTGGTGAAGACGGGTATCACTGGCCTTACAGTACATTGTCGGACAACCCCCATGCGACCTAGAGAGAGGGCGATAAGAGACCAGTTGAAAATGATCGGAGAGGTATGCCGCGAAGCCGGCGTCGCATGCGTGGTCAACGGCGATGTCACTTCGCGAACCGAAGCACTGAAGCTTATGGAACAATTTGGGGTCGATGGCGCCATGATAGCCACCGAGGCCGAGAAGAACCCAACCTGTTTTCGAGCTGACGCCGAAGGTGGGCCGCACGAGTGGAAGTCTCAATGGAAGTCCGCCGTTACGGAATACATGCGATTTGCGATGCAAGTGGAAAACCGGTGGGGCAATACAAAATACCTACTTGGCCAAATGATCCCAGGAAGGGCGAAGTGCTACCAAGCGATGAATAAGGCCAAAGGCTATGCAGATGCCATAAAGGCTTTAGAGCTAGATGAGGTTGACGATCTTTTAGAAATGGCAAAGATCGTAGATGAGCGCCTCGGGCTAGGAATAGTTCCAGAGTCACGAGCTTCGAAAAGAGCACGAGCGAGGGAGGCCATTGCTGAGACACAGGGGTCATCGAAAGCCGAAGTTGCGAAGGAGAAACGAAAAGCTCAGCCCGAGACAGAGGACGCCGCCAAACGAGTTAAACTTCCAGCAAGTAGTACTGCAATGGAGGCGCCGATCACCCCACAAGACATTGCACCTCCTACTGCTGCCATGAGTGTTTAATCATGTGTAAGCTGCTATATTCAAGCATACTTATCTCAACATGTTATCAATACCTTGGTTTGTTCGTCGACAGGTCTGTAGAGTTGTACGGAATTCGACCATATGGTCGGAGTAGGGACATTATCCACATATTATCCACATGGAGCATAGCGGTGGGCATTCCTGGCGTTTTGGCATTCACAGATGTCTCTAGAGTTACATTCTCATACCAAATGTCCGTACGGGGCAGCACTATCTTGAATACCAAATTTATTTAGACCTATTGAAGAGCATTTTGCTCTTGTTACTGAAGTATTAGAAAGATTCGGAGCAAACCCATGCGATATTTTATACCCTCTTAGCACTCGTACAAAACAACATGTTCCGTTTATAGAAAGGTTGGACAGCCTTTTTCGTTGCGTGAGGATCAATAAAAAGGATTTCCCACATCAATAAAGATGATTAAAGTCGCACTACCAAGATCGATGATAGTCAGATTGCTTATGCTACCTGGGGGGCCTGTGTCGAAGCTGTCGCCGCGCCGGGCCCTCCTTTACCGTTCACTGAGAACTCTTGGAGGAATTCCGGGTCATTCTCGAATTCCTCTTGTACCTGCCCTTCATCAGCACCTGTGATATACACAACTAGGAATGGGGCAAACTTACAATATCCAATCCACCGACCAATTCACCTTGCGCATAGAGTTGAGGGAAAGTCGGCCAGTCAGAGAACTCTTTCAAGCCCTGCCTAACCTCGTCATCGGCTAGAATGTTGAAAAATCCGTACCTAATGCCCTTCTCACGCAAGAGGCCAACCGTTTTCCTGCTGAATCCACATTGAGGAGCACTGGGTGTTCCCTTCATGAACAGCATGACGGGCGCAGCTTTGACTAACTCTCCCAGACGCTTGTTTAACTCCTCCTTGCTTGTCTCCGTTTCGGCGCCGCTAAATTCGGGCGCAGTGTTTGGATCGGACGAGGAAGGAGCGTAGGCTGCGAGATCTTTCGCCTCGCCATTCGCAGGCTTGGTGACAGTTTGCGCGGGCGGTAGACTACTGGTCGACTTTGCGCCACCGTTTCCGACTCCTGCGTACTTCTCCACAGCTGCGCGTACCTTGGCAGCATCGGAGCCTGACACTGTATCTAGAGTCTTGCCATCCTTTTGGAGGACAATGAAAGGTACCGCAGTCACGTCGTACTGCTCAGCGATATCGGGCAGTTCTTCGGCATCCAGGGAGAAGAATCGAATTGGTGCATCGACAGGGTATGTGGAGGCAAGCGTGGTCAGAATCACAGACATTTGCTTGCAGGGAGCAGCCCATGGTGCATGGAAGTAGATGACGGCCAGACTCGACGGTGGAAGTGAAACAATGCTTGACTGGAATTCCGAGTCGGAGGTGAGTTCCTGCACCGTCGCCATGATGATAGCGTGACGATGGGTGACGCTCGATTGTCTGGATATCGATATCGATGCGGAAAGCGCGAAGACAGAAGCTGCAGAATGCTTGCTCTGTTGGCTGTCTGCGAAGAGAGTGAACAAGTGAAGATGGGAGGTTTCTGGAAGGAAGCACGTCGGGCGTTTATGATCTGATAAAAATGATTTGTTATTTGCTACTGACGTGATTTTTGTACCCCGCCACCCCGCGATTCGCTGGTCACTCCTTATCAGATGGAAAACTGCCTTCGGGGATACATTCCGCCGCGAGCCGACCAGCCTTGGTTCAAAAAAAGTTCCCGCCAAGATTTCGGAGCAGCCGCTCACCATTCACCACAATCGTTTACACCCAGCCATGTTGAAACAAGCGTATGTGCACACAAGCCCTTTCTCGAGTCTTCTTCATGTATTTCTGATGCTGACAGCCAAATTTAGCAAACCCAAAAATGCTCGCGCAAAGCGGGCAATGGACAAGCGCGCGCCGCAAGCCCATGAGAACCCCAAGACGACGCTCTTTGTCGCAGGTCAGAAGACTTCGCAGATTCTCAAATTGGCCACTGCAGACCTGAGGACTTTAAAGAAACCTTTCGTGGAGAGCTTCATGAAGAAGAACGACATCCATCCGTTTGAAGATGCGTCTTGTATGTCCCATCTGATCTCCCAGTCCAAATTTTGTAGTATACTGACGTACGCTCCAATCAGCTCTTGAATTTTTTTCCCTCAAGAACGATACCTCCCTCCTTGTCATGTCTCTTCACTCTAAAAAGCGGCCCAATTGCCTCACTCTGTGTCGCACCTTCGACCACAAAATTCTCGACATGCTCGAACTCTATATCAACGCCGAATCTTTCCGCACCCTCCAGCAATTCAAGAACAAGAAGCCTGCTATTGGGCTGAAGCCCCTCATAGCGTTTCACGGTACCGTCTTCGAAGATCCCAACCAAACAAAATGGACTTTAGCCAAAAGTTTGCTGTTGGACCTATTCCGAGGCCAGGAAGCAGGCGAGGTGGATGTTGAAGGCCTCCAGTATATGATTAGCATCAGTGCGGAGGAGCCAGAAGAAGGCAAACTACAGCCGCAACTACACATCCGTTTCTACTTGATCAAAACCTTGAAGTCCGGCCAGAAACTACCACGTGTAGAAGTAGAAGAGATGGGCCCCAGAATCGATGCTGCCCTCGGCCGCGAGCAGTTTGCAGATCCCGATATGATGAAAGCTGCTTTGAAGAAGCCTAAAGGCGAGGAGCCGAGGACCAAAAAGAACATTGACATGGACATCATGGGTGACAAGGTTGGCAAAATCCACGTAGGAAAACAGGATTTCAAATCATTACAGACGAGGAAAATGAAGGGATTGAAGAGGGGCCGGACACCAGACCAAGACACATCAATGGCAGATGCGAACACGGATGAGAATACCACGGATGGCGGCTCACCTACCACCCCCAAGAGAACGAAGGTCTGAGCTGTAGGCAGTAGCGAATGCATGGACCGGCGTTTAGGGCATGTTTTGGGTGTTAGGTATACCATTATCGCGGGCGTATCAAAAAAAAATTCAAGATCAAACGTTATTGATATGCTAGCCTTTATTTCACTTCCAAGGTCGCTCTTGCAGTCCCATGTCCTTGCTTTGTGTTTCATCACCTCGACGTTAATGTCGCAGTCCCGTGTTCGGGAATCACGTCTAGAATGCGTACATCTCTGTAATGCTATAAGTTGACTGGAGATCTTCAATGTCCAACACATATCTCCTTGCTCGAAGAAATCATGTGCGTAACAGGAAGACTTCAAGTGTACTATCCCCTTGCAGTTATCACTGTTAACGAGGGTTTGCATATAGGCTATTCTGTTCTTGATACCTTACCGCTTTTTGTCAGTCTTTAATGCCTCTCTCGCGAGAACAATAGACTTTTACATTGACTATACAATGTTTATAATGTGCTTTCTGTGGAATGGAATAACTGCATCCAAGAATAAATTACGTCCTGCATTTATTACTTTACATAGCAACGTAGTTGATTAATCCTATCTTGGTTTTAATATGATAGTAATATACAATTTACATTCAGTAGAAATCATTGCTGATCATAATATATTATGAATGCACATTGATAATCTATCTTACATTCATGTAGTAGTAGTGTGAGGGTGAGGAGGGGAAGCTTTGTATCGCACGAGAATCCCAAATGCATAGATATCAACCTGGTGGAGAATGAGCATAGGAACGATCCTAAAGCCTCTTCTTCTATGTAGGTATGGCAATAGAGGATAGCGAGCGGATAATGTTCTATGTACAGGTAGCGCTCAATTACTTACACGAGGGCGCTAAGTAATGCAACAATTGATTGGCGAGTGAATGATCAGAGAGTGAAGGAAATCCAATCGCGCGATAAGGCTCCAACTGATCAACCCTTCTTGCAAGATGGGAAAAGTATCATAGAGACAACAGATATTATCATTAATCAGGATGAAAGTAGCAGACAGTTGAGCACGCCTACCAATATGCGTATAGAACCTACCAAAGGACGCAATCTATAATTTTTCCATACACCCGTTCATTTCTACGATTTCATTTCCGGTGATGAATAGTATAAAGGCAGTATAGAAGAATTGGTAACGATGCCGGGCTAATATCAGAAAAATGGTGGGAAGCTGTACAGGCAACCGATATCAGGAGAAGAAAACACAGATTCATCGAATACGTTATCTCACTCTGGTCGTACGTTAATGATGGGTCACTGCTTGCATGAGCAATCCACTTAGATATAGAGCATCACCCTTTTCCGAAGATTGACTTTGCTATAAGATACTACACAGCCGGCATTCTCTAACAATCTGGGAGCACGATCATATTAAGGGCATGTCGTCGCACATGGATTTTGGTCACGTAGCTAATGCATGCTAACTATACTTGACAACAGAGGGAAATCGACAATTTCCCTATGTGGGAAGAATACGAGAATTGGAATCGGGAACATCATGACAAGGCTCAACATCCCTGGTTCGTAGAGTTTGGTGTAATGTAATTGTATGCACAATGTATTATGTATGTCTCGATAAAGAATGTGATTGATGGCGCAACAGTCTATTGGCTTTTAACACTGCCGAGCCGTAGTGAAATTCGGCAAGGGACCTGAGATTCTAAAGACAGGAATGTAGTTGTAGAGCTCCTTGAAAATGGTGACCACGTGAACATCACGCCCCTGAAACCAGGCATTGGTTTCACGAAACAGAGGTTGAACTTTACCAAAGTAAGCCAAAAATTACAGTAAGTTTTTTCTTATGCACTGCGTTATGTTTCTAAAGAAGAGAGAGAAAGAGGGGGGGGGAGATTAAACACAAGGTCGCAGTATATTAATCGCGGCTACGAACAGAGTAAAGGTTTATACGACTGCAGCTAAGATGATGAGCGAATTGTGATCGCAGTAGCCAAATTGAACGATTATTTCGCTATCTTCCATGAAAAGTGAATATACGGTTTACAACTGTTTTTTGGTTATCGCTCGTTATTTGGGTTTATTCGTCGTTGTCACTCATCGCTGTGTGTAGGATCACCTAAACTCCAACTCAAAACAAACAGTTTACAACAAACGGATCGAATCCTCATTGAACCAGGCACATATGTTTTTAGGGGCTTTTCTTATCGGAATTTACAGTGTTTCCAGGCATATACAGAAAGGCAGTCTCGGCCCCTTGCGATGAACCATGCATCAAAGGCATAGCGATGATACATGTCAAGAATGATATTGTTCCTTGCCAACGGAGTCCGACCAACGTAACTGGTAAGGCAAATATAACGGTGCACTTCTCCTTTCGGATGTTATCCTCAAAAAAAGGCTTCGTCTTGTTTGCCAAGCTACAATAGCTGACCTTCTACCAATGTGCAAATACTCTTAGATGAGCAGCAATGATGATATTCAGAATCTACGTACGGAGCACGCCTTTATATGTGTGCTAGCGTGCCAAGCCTTTATGTGAATGATTCCAATATCACGTGCCAGGGCTCTAACCAACAAATACGAGCTCGTGGCTTTCCCAAGTATCGAATTAAGACCGCCTAGTTTCCAAAGACAGTATTCGCCCCGACATGATATATTGACACACCTGTTGGATGCTCATATGGGAAACTCTCGAGGTATTGCGTCGTCGTGTGTCACAAGCCATTTGCTTACCCGAGTTGCACAGGAACCGAGGAGTGGCGGTTATGGGGCGCGCGTCAGCCCGTCCCAAAACCCGTATAGGAGGCCAAGACGTTCTCTCGATCTGAACCGCATGCAAACCAAAAAGTGGGGAAAAGAAGGAAAGGAAGGGAGGGAGAAAGGCACCAGTTCTCCCTACATAAGTATACACCAGGATAGCAGCATGAGACAGGAAACTGCCCCACGGAAACAACGAGGCTGTCGTGTTCCCTTTGCTTCCCTAAAGAACATAATCCTCCTGTGAGACTAAGACATAAAGTCTGGTTGGACAGACAAAAACACAACATCTGTCATACCAAGCTGCCCGGCTAAACATTGAAACTCTAAATCAACAACCAACTTTTTTGCTCGCAAGACCCCCCTGCCTGCATGATAGGAGTGCCTGGTCGCGAAAGTTACCCACAAAGTATTGTTCAATAGAGGCTAGCGAGTGTGATTCTTGAAATGGGCAGATTTGCAGATAATCCATAGCGATATCATGGAGATGTTATAGGAGAGGATCGACGACAGGGTCTTTAAGTGAGGGATTGCAATGCGCGGCTTGGCTTGCATGCTTCCGAGTGGATGCGCGCTGACCACGCGAGAAAAAAGTATTGAGCGCAGATTAACCGAAGCTTGGACGGCATGGACCCTGTATTATGACATGATGATGAGATTGTTGGATGATCAATGCGGCATTGTGAGGATACGAGAAGAGGCGTGGGTGATGAGGTAGGGGCGCTGCGTTTGTACATCAGAACAAGGCAGAAAGGGGCGCACATGGTAGACTTCAAGACGACTGCCAGGTATGAAATATTAGCCACATATAGATATTTGCTGTCGACAAACGACCAACGTAGTGTAACACGACCTTTCGGCTTACTGTTGATCCAGTCGGAACTACGAAACATATCGCTGTGTTTGTGAAAAGCTTTCATTCGATCGGACAGTCCGCATCCTCGGATATTGAATCGACTTGGCTGGAAGGAAGTTGTGGTTCTACTAAAGACTTCAAGTGCATATAAACCACGTTGTAGATGATCATATATGTTCTTAATCTTGTCAGGCCGCATCGAGCCCGATGCTTCATGATGTACAGGAGAAATGTAACGAGAGGTTGAATCTGGCAATATCCAAGTATACCGTCCCTAAAACGCCGCCAGATGCAGAAAAGAAGGTTCGTGTCTATCATATCACATTCAAGCTTGTGCACGGTGGGATGGTGGAAGAGGCAACGACTACTCGCAAGTAGAGAGCATCTTTCTTATCACACCCATCAGTGTGCCATTCTCGAGAGCGGCTGCAACTCGTTCCTTGTCTCCAAGCTGTTTGTTGACTGCCTCATCGGTGCTATGGGTGCCTTTCTTGATACGAACGTCCACGCGAAAACGTGGGGGCAGTGCCTGTTCCAACCGCACTCGAACTCCCAGGCCAATGACGGTGGCAAGCGAACAATGGGTGATGGTTGGAGTAATCTCGACAAGCACGGTGCTAATGGAGGAAAATGGCGATATAGGGGGTTGGATGTGGATATCAGGCAAGTTCACAACAGCTAGAGAGCCGAGGGAAAGCGGGTGCTCTGGATCGGAAATGGACGAAATAAGGTCTGGAGTCGTAGTGAACGAGGTTTTAGTACATGCGCATGTATTGTCACCGGTGTGAGAAACTGTGCAGGTGAAACGCACCATAAACTTCCTGTTCGTCAATAATCTCAGAAACTTCATCCTCCGAGTCGCTCGATAGGGCTGATTGCTCGAAGGGGTCGTTGAGGTAGTTGTATTGCGGTATCAAGCCGTCGAACAAGCCAGTGCCACCTTCATTGCGGCGCCTGCCTATGGACTCCTGGCGGCGAGAGGGCAGATCGGAAGGATTTAGGATGGTGGGATTTGCGTTGTCTTTATCGAGATCCATGGCGATAGCAGACGCTGATGCCAATCGAAGTCGTGTTGGACAAGACACGGGCGTGGCCGATGATGCTTGACTAGGAGCTCAGCTACCTCATCGATCAATCCATCCATCCATGGTGGTTACGACGGCGAGTTTTTCCGATTCCGCGCGCCAAGACCGAGGCTTACCCGCCCCACCCCCACCAAAGAATAGCGAGGAGAGCTCATTACATAACACGGCTGGTGTTTTGGTGGCTGCACAGTAAATTGCCCAACTTAGTAAGTGGTGTTCACACAATATACCCATGACAACGACAGGTCGCTGGGCTCTATCCACTACATGTTCAGACTGCTTCCTCCAAAACAACATTTGAGTACCTGTATGTGCCTATATACCAATCTTCCTACTACGGCATCTCTGAGAGCAGGCTGCTGTAGCCACTAGTTCACGTTTACCAAGTTGCGGCTGACGCAGATAAATGCAGCGAGCGGGCGTACCGTCGACGTAGAAAGGCCGAGTGGGCCAATTAATGTAAGTGCTTAGCAATCGTGTGCAAAAATTGTTTGCACACATTGCTCCTCCACTATACTCGGTACTTGGTGATTGAAGGTGGGTAATCAACTACGTACTGCGTGCCTACCTGGACACTGCTCGTAGGCAAATTGTCCAGGGGAGTGTGTGTTCTCGACGACGACGTCTAATTACAGGCAAACAAACAAGCAAGCAAGCAAGCAAGCAAGTAGGCACCATGGTCAACATGAATCGCCGACCTCAGCCTTGCTAACATTGACGAGGCGCGTAGCGAGCCGTTGTACTGCCTGTGACGCGGCGCATCGTCTCGTCTCGTGCATTGGACTGGATTCTCCACCAACGGCTGGCGCAGCTGTACTCGATACCAATAAGGAATAATCTTGGTGTTGAGTTAATGTCCAGGCATTGTCTGAGAGATTGCGACATGCATGCAGCGCATGCAGTACGGGCCCATGTAAGCCTGTGTGTATGTGCGTCTTTGCCCAGGTACCTATATACACCCTAGAGGAGGATGAAATTGGCCATTCATGCGCAGTGAAATTGAACGAGCAATGGCGTTGACTACGGCGCTCGCAAAAGGACTTGGGCCAGCAACGACCATCCAGCATGATTCGGCAGCAGGCAGACAGACGGTGAACAGATTGGACTCGAAGCCCTGGAGGCTGAGAGACAGCAAGGATGGCCGATCGTGTGGCTACCTCGAGCCCCACCCTAGTGAGACGGCTGCAAACCATCGTTGGGTACAATGCCAAAGGACGTCGAATCTGTCGTTGCGGAGGCGTGACCGGTCAGCCAGACAGCCAGACATCCATCCATTCATTCATGCTGCGCACGCGAGCGATGCAGGACTACGTCCCTCCTGCTAACCACTGCTCTATTCTGTATGGGCACTGCTATTCTTATCCCTTCGCATCGCCCAAAGAGGAAGGCTACCTACGACCGTGGTTTTGGATCCGTGGCAAGCAGAACTATGTTTTTTTTTTTCTTGTTCTTCTTCTTCTCTGCCTCTACCCACGTTTTGATATGCAATTGCTGTTATACGCTAGTCGATCCAATGGTGGGAAACCAACCAGTGGCAACCGCGGCTCGCAGCTGAGCATTACGACTTATCCGCCTTCTTCTTATTTTTTTTTGCCTCCCGAGGAAAAAAAAACCTCCCGAAAAACCAGGAGGGGGTGCGAATAATCGAACGCCCTGCCGCGCCTTACCAAACGTTCTCACTACGCAGCAGGGCTATCCAAGTGACTGGAGACCAGACTGACTCTATCCATCTGCAATCGCCATCTGGTACAGTAGACACAGTCGAACATCAATGCACTGGCAACGGATGCTGGTATGGGTACCTGGTACAGTCAGCGTGTAGTCGTCTGTCGGGTGGCCCCTTTTCTGCCTGCCTGCCTGCCTGCGTCCCCCTAACTTGTATCGTGTTCTAGAAGAAGACAGCCCAAGCAGGAGGGCAGACAGCGAGTGTGGCATCCACGCATGATACGTCAATGGGTACCTGGATCGTCCAGCCCCTCTCCCCTCTGCCCCCTCTCGAGACTCGAGTCTCCAGGCCGGCCGCTACTAAGGCCCTACTCGAAGTGGCAGGCCTAGCAAGAACGGGTATCAGGGACAAGGGTTTGACGTGGTAGCTTGACACTTGACACCCTCTTCCCCCCCACAGTGCCACAGTGCGCGCATGTGCATGGCTAAGGTACGTAGGCGTGAAGACTCCATCTCCTAGTAGTACTAGGTGGAACCAACACAATCCCAACGGCAGTTCCCACCGGCGGCTGCAACATTCGGGCGGCGATTACGACGACCCTGACTCTGTTGCTTTGTCTTGCTTTGTCTTGCTCCGCTGCTGCTGTCCTGGTACTTGCCAGGTAATTAGCCAACTGCTGCTGCTGCTGCTACAGTGACTTGGACAGCGAGTAAAGGAGTGACGAGTCGTTGGACACGCAGAGGGGCCGTAGAATTCCCATGGATCCATGTTCAAGCAGGCAAAGCAGGCAAGCAGGCAGGCAAGCAAGCAAGCAAGCAAGGCCACCCCCCCCCCCCCCCCTCTCGCACCATCTCTCATCTTGCAAGCGAAAAAGCCAGATGGTGCACCGCGCTGTTCGACTCCCCCGGTCCCTCAAGACTTTGGTCTCCACTATCCTGTATGCGTCTTGAATCTTGATCTACCGTATAACCTAAACATCTCCCGGCACTGCGGAGATTTCCATCCGCCCTACAGCCCACCCATTGGTCTGCCAGCGTACACGACCTTTCGCAGTGTGGTGCGGTGCGTTTCGTGAGCACTGGTCACTTGGATAACTCTACCTACATACCTAGGTACATACATACCTACCTACCCAGTTACTTGCCTACTACAACTACGAGTATACATATATACAACAACCCGGCCTGCGCAGCCGCTTCCATTGATTATTCTCCCCCCCACCCTTCCTGGCCTACAGACACACTCTCTCTCTCCTCTCTCAGGCACACTCACGCGCGCGCACACACGTTCGCATTGTACTTTTACCTTCCATCTAGTATACATTAATCCGTACTTACACACGGTCCATAATACGCTTACCGTCTGCCATTGGCATCCATCCCATCATCCACCCATCCATCCCTCCATCCTAATAAGGCACGTTGGCTGCGACCACCCGACACCTCCTCCACCACCACCTCCGCCAGGCGTCCGACCCCGCTGCCGCTGCCCATCGGGAGAGCCGTCCCCAGCCGTTATATACGAGCACGCACTTGCTTGTCGCGACGCTTTTCCTGTACACCCACATTCTCGCCGGCAACACACGTCTTGAATGCAGCGCAACGCTACACAACCTACACAACCCATCACAACGAAACCGTCCACCATGCCCGCCGAAACCACGGGACGGCCGCTACTGCCGCAGACGGCCCAGATGCAAAGCTTCACCTTTGCACCCCCAGCTCTGGCCCCGCGGGAAAACCAGCGCAGTGAGTTTGACTGCACCCGCCTTGAATTGCATTTCTCAGAACTCACGATTTGGTGCAGACTATGTTTTCGTGGACGAGCATAACAGGCACAAACGCCTCAAAGGTGCGGCGCAGCAACCACCCACCATCTTCCCCACCACCCACCATTCAACCTGCTTGTTGATTAATTCCCTGTTCGCATATGCGCAGTCATCGAGCGCTACGTAGCTAACCATCATTCATCTTCTAGTTATGAGAGCTTGTGAGGGCTGTCGGAGGCGCAAGATCAAATGCGATGCAGCAACCACAAATTCCTGGCCATGCGCTGCCTGCATCCGCCTGAAACTCAATTGCGTCCCGCCTACCGTCAGTTATGACAAGGACTTCAACGACACCACACAGACTTTTGAACTCGACACGAAGCCCTTGGAGTATGCCTCGTCCGCTGCGCATCACGACTACCCACGCCATGACGTTATGCCCAGTCCCCACGACCTGCAACAAATGTCCAGCTCCTTACCCACGGCCACCTATGCCGATGGGATGCGCATGTACCAGACCGCCCACTACGTGGATCAAACGTCCCAGGAGCATCTGCAGTATCCCTCTATCCCACAACCTCAGGTGGTTCCGCAGTCTCTCAACTATACCCATGGCCCTTCGCAAATGTACTCGGAAGCATCGCAGCCCGCACCTTCCATGACCATGACTCCCCCTGAGACTGAAAGTCATTGGAAGCACGATTCATCCTCCAACCTAACTGAAGCTTTGGGTGAGCTGAAAATAGAGTGTAACGCTGTGGCTCCGTACATTACAAACCAACGCAAAGCACTCGCCGAAACACCCGCGCAAGAGGAATTTGAGGTGCAGCTGCCGCCGTCGAATAGTCTGGATCCAATTATACGCATACCCCCCGAGATGATGCCTTCGGAAGACCAAGCACTCGAATACTTTGAGTACTTTTTCACAAACATCCATCCTTACTGCCCCGTCATCAACAAGGCATACTTTTACCAGCAATGGCAAAGCGCGCGAGAGTCAATTTCCCCGCTGATGTTGGAGGGCATCTTTGCTTGTGCGACGCTGATGCTTGGTGACGAGACCCAGGGGCCAAAGTGGCTAGCCCTGGCATCCAGTCAGTCCATTGTCATGTTGAATTCCGTGACCCTTCGCTAATGCAATGACAGAGCACGAAGAAAGCTTCAAGGATGTTCCTAGACTTAGTACCATGCAGGCCATGCTACTGCTCTTGAAGGCCAGAGAAGCGTCACCCAAACGTGGTTATTTCTGGCGATCGTGGATGTCTGTAGTGTCCCTAGTCACAATGGGAAAGGACCTTGAGTTGGATGATCACTACGAACTTCACCAGATGGGCAAACCTTGTGGATCTACTGTGCATGAGTGCCTTACCAAAACTCGGATTTGGCAGCTGTTATTCGTAATGGAGGTGATGATAGGAGGACCGCAAGGTAAATTGCCCTCTGTGAACTACTTTCGAGCCACAACTCACAATACTAGGTCGATCTGATCTTCAAGTTGATGCCAACACTGTGGACTTTGAGATGCCAAGAACCGTCGCTGGACTGGACGCTTCCGAGATTCAGATCGCACGGCAATGGAGTCAACACCTTCGAATAGTGAAGAACGTCCAACAAACCATCATCATGCACGGGAAACTCAAAAAGAAGACGGATGCCTGGGCACTTGATCCCAGCTTCGTCGGTCATAACACGACTTTCTCGACTTGGTCTAGAGAGGTACCAGATGATCTCCAGATTGTATATCCACCGGATGGCTCTGTTCCTTGGATTCCGTCTCACTTTATTGCCAATATGCATAGCTATCAACAGCTCGCAATAATCATGCACCTGCGTCCACAGCTCCATGCCGTCTCGGATTCTTACGACGGCGTTTGGAAGCAACACATGATAGCTTGTTACTCTGCTGCCAAAAACCTATGCAAGCTTCAGGAAGCTATTTTGAAGACATACGGGTTGCCTGGTCTGCTCTGCATGTTGCGAGGTATCAGCTTCACCATTTACTCAGTGCTGACTTGTACTATGCTACACCTGGTAAGTTCTCATAGACTGAAAAATGGTCTTCTCTAATGTTTCCAGGTCGCTATCACTTGCCCAGATCCGGAGCTCAACAGCGACGCTCGAGAATTCTTTGTGCGACACATGCGGATTCTGGAGACATGCACGCCAGCATGGCCTATGCCTGAGATGCACCAGCAAGTTAACAATCTACGCGTAGCATTCTCCGCGGACGTCACCAAACCATTCGAACTCAAACCTAGCTTTCCTTTTGGAAGTCCGCAAGTGGCTGCCCAAACCAGCCCCGTGAGCCAGCAGGGCTCCTATCGGTCTCGCCTTCCGAGTCAGCATTCACCCCTAGATCATCCAGGTCAGATCAACTACCACACTCACCCCATCACTCCACCAATTTCGGCATCCGAGCACGACACCAAGGCTGACTCTCCCGTAGCTCAGTCTCTGGTTATGATGGCATCGGGGCAACGTGCACCCCAGCCAGCGTCGGGCATGCACATGCAGGAGCCCGTTCAATGGAACCCACAACGAATATTTGAGTAAGCCTATTCCGTTGAAAAACTGCGGGTACATTTGTAGCTAACTCAACGCGAAGTCAATGGAATACCGCTTTCGGTACGCCTCCTTCCAGCGCGAATACACAATCATCACCGCCGCTAAAACCGCCGCCCACAGGTAACAACTACGAGATGCGCACGCCGTCGCAGGAATCTAGCCAGCCAAGCTACCAAATTCAGACTGTATCTCCGCATTCAAACGGCATTCAAGAAAATCAACAGCTTCCGACTACTTCGAGTTACGCAGTACCGAATGCCGCTTACGTCACTCCGACAATGTGGCAAGAAGTGGTTGCCAGCTCTTATCCTGATGGTTTAAAACGCCGCTGGGATTCTGGACATGGTGCCATGGCCGATCACTCAGTCTACAAACGAGCACGATGATCATGCATTCAAGACTATATGCACTCTCTATACAATTACCATTTTAACACACAATCTGATGCGGTCCCCCCTGTAGTGAAAGTCCTACAAAGACAGCAGTAGTTGGCTGGCACTGCGCAAGAGGAATAGTGTGTTCCAATCACTGCGGGCTCGGTGTGTAAAGCAGCTGCACTGGGATAGTAGCAAGACCCCTGACATGGTCGATGTGGGGACTGCAAACCATCCTGCTCAATTCGAATGAGCAACATGTTGCCTCGCCAAGAATTTACGAGTGACAATCGAATTGGATCCTCTGCGAACCAGGGGATGATCACACACCCACAATGCACGAAAGTATCGAAAGCGGAAACTTCCGGTATACCAGGGGGGACTACTAGGTCCCGCCCACGTCGGATGCACCTGGCAAGAATGCTGCGAAAGGAATGCGATTTCGACCACATAACGTCGTGACCACTGTACATATCAGGTACCATCGCTCAGTATCGGTGGCCCCGCCCATAGTTGTACATTTAAAAGAGGGATTTTGACTTGATGGGACGATAGCCCTTTTCCATGTACAATCGCTTGTAAAGATAATAATACTGTTGGCAGCAATACAGCCATGGAAGCGCACGCTGGGTTTGATGGTGCTCTAAAGACAACGATTCCACCTGCCGCATTCGGGACCAATGCCCACTCACCGATAACAGGGCGTGCGGCACAACGGCAGGGTTGGTGAATTAGGAGATGTGTGGTGGGTAGCTGGTACCAAGAATGTTTCTAGAAGCTCATACACGAACTGTATGTGACGTCTGTCGCTTCCTTTCCCCTTCCCCCCCTGTGGTTCCAGGCGACATCCGAGTCTGAGTTCAGGCAAACTAGGATTGGTATATGTGACGAAGAGCGTGGCTGGTCAGGCATCATACGACAACTACAGCCACGCACTCCATCGATCGATGGGAGTCTCAGAAGAGCACCTGCTGCGGGCAACTTGGTAGAGGGAAAAGTGTGCAATGTGGGGGGAGTGGTGAGGAACCCGATTTTTGCTGTCGCCTCTGTTGTACCTTTGCAGGCCATGGATTACGAGCAGTACTAAGCACTCTGGATTACCTCTTGAAGTTGCGGGAAAGCTCCGCGTCTCCCCCTCTGCCTTGCGAAAACTAATGCCACTACAGATGGATGCGTGCACACGATAGTGTACAAGTGTACACTATACCCGCATGAGTGTGGGGAAGGAAGGAGAGAGCTATTACTCGATTGATTCGGTCCCAGATTGCCGCTATCTGTCAAGCAACAGTATCAAAGAGGTGCATAATCACCCCCCCTCCTCCCTTGCCGCTGCGGCCGGTGGGTAAGCGTGGGGTTCAACGAGCAAATCTCCCAACTGCTGTTCAGCTTCGTGCCCATGCATGCACGCACGCATGGATCCATCCATCGATCATGGTTGACCGATTGACCATTCGACATGACGGATGTGATTGATTGATTGATTGTCTGATTGATTGATTGAATTGTACTTGTCCCGTAATGCATGCGTGATGGCAGCTAGTACTTGACTTTCCCTCTCTTTCGTCAATGAGCATAAACGCTTGCCCTTCGCGGCACGGAGCCCGTCGCAGTGAGAAGGTTCCATGACCAGTCTAGATGAACGGCTGGAATTAGTGTATGCTGTAAAGAAAGAAAGAAAAGAAAAAAAAAAGAATTGTTCCCCGCCTCATTAATTTGTTACGGCTATGACGACGGGATGGCTCGTGTTGGTGATTGTGTGAATCTGCTAGCTGATTCTCAGCTGGTGGTGGATGCGATGACAAAACCACGGCTGTACTGTACAGAGCCCACAGCAGCAGCAGCGACTACAACAACAGCAAACAACTTTGGAGTCAGCAGGCCAATGTCGGCGATGATGGGAGCGGGCGGACGAGGGAAGCTGCACGTCGCGTGGCTTGTCTTGTCCCGAGGCAGCCCGACAGCCACGCGAGGCAAAGGGAAAAGCATGTGAAGCCGAAAGCCTGGTCCCCGTCACTCCGGCTCGTAACAAATGGCATCAATTGCTCAGCTTTTGGCGGCTAATAACGTGTGTTCAAGGTTACCGTAGGCGCTAAGGCACGTTCCATCGCACGGGGGGCATCCTGGTAGCTGGTTGCAGGAAGCGAAGGGCCGACAAGGGACCGGATGCCAGAGCCAGGGTTGAGCCTGGGCCCTGCATTTTCATTAGTTGCGCACACTCCTCGTATGTACTGAGCAATATCTGTCTACTGTACCTACTCTACCTACCTAGGTAGTCCTGCATGCACTTGCACTTTGTACTGTACTACATAGTGTTACAATCCACAGTAGGGAATCTCCCCATGTATTCTTGTCTTGTGCATGCATGCTCCAATCACATCCTCGTCTTGTCGTCATTCTCTGCTCTGCCTGCAGCGCGCTATCGTGCTCCTATCGATTACACATGAGACCAGCTACGACGGGTATCCTTGCGTGGAGCTAATTGCACAGTACATACGTCGTAGTTGGCACTTTTTCTCCACAAAATGCCTGGGCTAGGAGACAGCGGCCGCAAGGCAAGATAAGATCAAATGGTCGGAAGGATCAAGAGAGTTTGGTCCATTCATCATGTACCTACCATGTACATACAAAGCAGGCCGTGGAATCCAGGTATTGACTGACGACTGTCCCCGTGTCACACTTGCCTTCTTGACAGCGGCTATTCGAAACATGACCATGCGACATCGACTTTGTGATTCGATCGGTTAAACTCGGCCAGAATACCCCGACTCTCGAATCCTCTGCCAACAGTCACTGCCCGCACACAAGCTACATCCCTCTCACACATCCAGACATTAGGTCTCTTTTCGAGCATCGGGAGGTTGGCGCCCCACGACCGTCACGACCAAGTCAAATATGCCCACACTGGATGACGCTTGCATGGGTTTTCGGATGGACTGGGTAGATCCATCACTCACACCCTGAAAACCATCACCACGCATGTCAGGCTGTTCCCAACCACTTGCTCATTCATGACTCGTGCTCGTCGACTCCCATCGTTGGATCGCATCATGGTAGGAGGGTATGAAGACATAAAGTCACGATGAGATTCGGCATGCGATAGGCGAGGGCGAGTGATGCTTGTGCCATGTTGCTGACAGCTACCTCCTCGACAGGTTTCCGCACACGAGTAAAACGCGCCGCCAATGCTTCGCCCTTTCACCGCTCCTCACCGCCATGTCTTCTCATGCCCTGTTCCTGTGTAGCGACAAGTACATGCTACACCATTCCCCTATCTTTTTCCCTTGTTCAACCTACGTCGTAAGGGTTTCTGTCTACAAGCATCCTATGGTGCATGTACAACTAACTCTGGACGTGCATGTTTCAAATCTCATGCAATGTACTCATCGTTGCTGAGCTCGTACATACTTCACCCTATGTCTCTCCTTCCTCTCCTGTTTGAGAATGTGGGGCATTAAGACAGCGTACCCTGATATTGATTCATCCGCCGTCAAAGTAGTATCCCGCATATCGAAATAAAATCGGCATTCATGCGTTTGAACACTGCTGTATTTTGTTTTCATTTCATCTCGTCGAGGTCAATGCACATCAATGTCACTTCAATGGCATACCCCAGTTTTGTCCCGACACGTCCATGTAAACACAAGAATCAAACACATCCACAGCAGTCTATTCTCAGAACAGATTTAGCAAGAATCCCCCCTGTCCCACTTCATCCTAGAGAAGAGATATGGTCACACGCATCTCAAGCAGCGCATGCGCCATCTTGAAACTTGGTTTAGGTGGCCCTTTTGGTATACAGCAATGCTCTATATGCACGTCTTCTATTACAGTCCCTACATGTGTGCAATGGCGCGCTTTTCATTTTACAAGGGCCAAAATGTGTTCAGTGGCAATCAATGATACCATCGTCGATGCAAATCCATGTCGACAAGGAGGACTTGCGTGAACAAGGTAGATGATGCGCTGTCCTTTTCTTTGCACAGCTGGCAACGCATGCATTGCCACAAATATATGTATATATATATATATATATATATGCATAGAGGACGGCTAAGACATTATCCAAGTGCCAATTCGTGGGGACTAGAGATCTCAATCTTCCTTGTATTCAAACGGTATTGTGCTACCTCGAGCATGGCTTTGAGGTCGTAGAGTGAGGAGTCTGTGAATTGTAAGTTGGAGTTGGGGTGATCCTGCACACACCGATATGTCCATAAACAATAAGGGAACCCAAAAACAGGCGATTACCAAAACGAAGAATCACTAGAGTGGTATCCTTCCCTGGACAATATATCACGTCATATGTGGAGAGGTGCTTTTGTGTTCTCCATTTAATCATTATACTGCCATGTTTTTCCATCCTTGCTTCTACGCCTGCCTTCACTGATACATCCCCGGGAAGGTTATATGTTGGACCTAAATGGTAATCAAATTCTTTAAGGTTGTGTAATCTGGCATGATGCAATCACTGTCATATCATTCAAAACTGAGCAATTGAAATCCGAGCTGTTCTCCATGTACATGTTAATATGATGTTGGCGAGAAGATTGATTCTCAAGGATTATGCAGCACCTACACGTAATACATCGTACCACAGTACAGCGTACGTTGCAATGCTCTAGATTCCCATGTATAGGGAAATGTTACACTGAATAGCACTTACACGCCACGTCTACCCATCATAACAGTTGTTTGGACAAGCTGCCACAGGAACCTAGCGTTACCGTCACATTTTCTGGTTATTTATTACAGAATATGACCTAATGTCGTGATTGTTCATCTCAAAAGTCGTCATTTCACTCAGGAATAGGACAGAGATTCTTTTCCACGTCGACAGTCAGTCAACGTGCTGCCTAAGACTGTATCACTCCTATTGCTACCACGAGAAGACTCTTCTCGCCCGAATCCTCTCCTTCTATAACATCAGAGACCGGATTGAAAATATCCGATGATGTTGACATCCCGTAAATCGTATTCGCGGAGCCTAGACAGTAGAAATAACACAAATACTCTGGTATTAGGTACAATGACATGTTCCAAGATGGAAGAAAGGGACACCTAAAGCACCCCGGAAAGTCTATAACACTCAAGTCAAAGGATGATGCTGGATATACATGATCGATTTGCCCACTTGATTTATGAATTGACATACTAGAGAGTGGTTAAGATTGGGAGGAGCAGATCAAGTGACACTCACGAGATAAAGTCAAAATAGGCGACGAAGATAGCCATTTCCTCAAACCACGGTTCTTTTTTTATTGGAAGTTACAGTGGCTCCTACACTTAAAAAGAATGATAAAAAGGGTAACAAAAAGTAGGCGAGTACAAAAAGACTCAAAAAAGGAATTTTGCTTTCGGCACCGGGCCAGGGTGCAACCCAAATCTCAAAACATATTATTCAAGAGTTACATCGATTGAAAAAAATGCCAAACCAACCGTTGTTACTCTTCATTGCTTCTCTCCAGGACTTCCCAACTCTAGCTTCTTGCTCTTTTCGAGACCACCACCACTCCACGAGTCTTCATCCCGAAAGCATTGCCTATATCAATCTGATGCTTCAACAACATATTCTGCGTGCAATTCAACCTAAATAAATCGAGTACCCTCCACACACACCCACTCTCTCTCTCCCTCTCTATCTACGCCAAATGCAAAAAAAGAAGAACAGTACTGGGCTGGCTGGGATTCGAACCCAGGTCTCTCGTTCCTGTGTGGTTCCAGGGATTTTTGTGTCCTAGGGACTTTCGTCCGGCCTGTCACTCCTGAAATCCTGGCCAAATTTCGACCGCTCCTTCGGCCTGACCTGAAGACCTTTCTCAAACCCCTGTTTGGCCATGTACCCTGGAACCTAACCAACAACGAGTGTTCTACCACTAAACTACCGGCCCTTATTGTGTTCTTGTATGTGAATTTGAGCGACAAAGTGATATATATATACCTATAGGGCTCAGTTGGGTGTGTAGTATTGAAGTGGCGGTGGCCAGAATTGGAACGTCGTTCCTTCCTTCTAGGTTATGTGCTACCTGTCTACTGTACCTTCCTTCCTTTAGTGCACTATTTGCTCTTCCAACCTTTAATTGCATAGCCGTCAACTGGTATTTCTGTGATCGATACAAATACATTGCTATTTCCAGAAAGGGCCGTCAAATTAGCACATTTCTCAGTTACCTCGCGATACGTAACTCCTGCCCCGAAGCAATCTTCTCCTACCACAGTGCAACCATCATCCGCTACAGTCACTGCGTACACGATGGCCGTTCATTACAAAGCCTTTCATACTTTTATTAATCAATATGAGCCTTGTATAGTGTTGCCCTGCCACCATAAATCCTCGCCCACTCTTTGTGAAAGACATCGAGTTACAACTTCGTGGTAGAAAATAAACCTCACTAACTCACGCCCGTTCTTGCTTAACAATGGATTCCAAACCGGGAATTTAGACTAACCTTTTGTCTTAATCTGCTGTATTTCTTGAGCTATCGATGAAAAAGTTTGAATCAATGATTATGAAGTGTTAAGGTTGAAAGGAGCAAAAGCAGTAGCTCTTCATTTCCCATCCGCCCACTATTCGTGTAATTATCTCAATAGCCTTCTGAGTGCAGGGAACACTTCAACTTACAATAACGAATTCTTGATTTTCTGAAGTCCACGTTACTGTGGAAGGCCAATAAGATGAGTCGCAAACACCGACTTCTCATGTTACTCGAGTGGCTGTGTTCGACATGCATCGGCTTGAAACAAGCGCACTCTCTTATTGCGGAATCTCTCGTAAGAGGGATTATTCAGGGTCAAGTAATAGACACTAACGGTACTCGTGAAGCAGATAGACATGGAAATGTGCACATGAAGAATTTTTGATTTGGGGTATAAGCGTACAAAATGATAGCAAACATGATTCTATAACAGTGACAGCCAGATGAAGTGAAGCATATATGTACACCTTCTTGCCGCCCAGCAGACTCGCGTCATCTACTTACAGACTCTTACACCATCAAAACCCGCTTCGCAGCGATCCAAGGATCGTCCCTTTCCTTGTCAGCTGTAGTCTCAATACACCCTGTCAGATATTCATCCCAGGTCTTCTGGCTTCCATCTGCCAGGTTGGCCTTGAAGCTGACATCGCACTTGGTGTTGAGGTACCATGCGGCGCTGCCAAAGCTCAAAGTATCATTGCTGTTTACAAGTCCAAGTATAGCCTCGGCGGTGGCGTTGACGTTGTTGGGGACTTCAGCGAGGGCGACTTTGTCGGCGCCAACAGTTGCGGTTGCGTACTCTCGGTTGAATTCGGGCATCTGCATGTTTTTGGTACCCTGTCCGGGGCGGCCGGGGAAGTGGTTCTTGTTGAATTGGAAAGAGCCGCTCTCGAAAAGCATGATTGCGATCAAAGCTGCTTGAGCACCTTTGGATTCAATCTGGTATTGTTTGAACGAGGCGGAGATGGCTGGGGCAGCGCGAGCAGCATCAGCGCATTCGTCGGGGAAAGCTGCACCATTGCAGCTGGCTGTCTTGGGTGCGATGGCAATAAGCTGCTCAGGTGTAATTGTTGAGCTACACTGTTGTTGAGCTCCCTCTGGAATTGGCGTGGCATAGGCCGAGAAGGCAAAAGCGCCGGTAAGAGCGAGAGGTTGGGTGAGACGCATTGTGATATCGATTGGCGAGATTGGAATGAGTTTGTATTGTAGGTTTTGGTAGTAGCGAGTGTTGTAACGAAAGTACAGCTTTGTTGGTAGATGTGAGGTGGAGAAATGCAGCGATGACTGCTGGCTGGAGGCTCTTTTATGTTTGGATGGCCAAGTTAGTGAGTGACGGGCCGGTATGCAGGCTTTGGGGAAGTAGGAATGAATAGGCGTATAAATAGGTTGCTTGTCTGCGCCACGGCATGGGACGGCGTAGTTGTATATGTGGAGGGCACTTGGCGAGGCAGGATTTGGCCAAATGCAGCGAGACATGTAAGCTCACTCTTAAAGAAAGGTCAGACGCGGAGGGACGTGTAGTGATCAACAGCCCCTTGGCTAATTTCAAGTGTTAGGTGAAGCCATCAACGGGATCAACGAGGGCCAATGGAATGCGCTCGAAATGCCGGAGCGATGGCATTGTTTGTAGGAGGATGTGGCACTGAAGGTGATTGGTGACACGGATCCAAGAATCCCAAACCATGTTTCCAGAGAGCAGGAGTCGGTTGGGGAACAAGGGAGAATTGTGATGTGCATGTCTCCTTTGTTTGGAGTTGTAGTAGTAGTGAGTGGAGAGGTGGTTAGCTCCGGGCAGCCGAGCCACCTGCAGCCAACCGTTGCGGCTCCTCTCAGCCGCAACTGCGCCGTGACAAGCAATGATTGGACGTCTCTTGGCGGGTTTTGTTTCAACTTGCACGTCCGGTGGTTGGTCCTGATTAGCTGGAGGATTGTTTATGCGCAGTAGATATGTATATACCTATGCACTATAGTGCACGCTCTGTGGCAGTCAGTGTGTGCGCGGGCGAGCAATCAATCCTACCATCTCCTTCGTGCCCGATGATAATCCGTGCCATCGATAGTATTATGTACTAGCAGTCGAACCTGCAAATGCCCACCGGAGCATAAGCACCATCCGGCGACTTGATGCCACTCATCCCTGCGCGGCGGACCGAAGTAGCAAATGCGAGTCTTCATGGGGGCAAATCCTACGAGAATGGTCACAAAAGGTAAGTACATGCACACGACTTCTGTCTGCACCTACTTATTTCAATTGGGCTTGTCACCTCTCTCTCCATCGCAAGGCACCATTCAAGAGATGCATCTAGGGTCATGTTGAGACCAGGCCATGTTGGTCATGTTGCCCATCGCTAAGTTTGCACGGCTTCTCGTTCGTACGAGACGAGACGAAACGAAACCAAAGCCCTGCTCTTGTACGGAGCCCCAGAAACATTCATCAATGCCGGACCACACTGCCAACCTTGGGATCATCTGGATAATGAGATTGGGTCCGTAACTTGAAACTCTGGAGTAGACACAAGTGATGGGGAGGAACACACATGTGTACCTAGGCACCGTGTATATACGCTCATGTATGCACGTGTGTGGAGAGGTGTGCGGGGCGTGGATAGCCACAACCAGGCTTCGTCATGACGTGTGGCATGTTGGTGGGGTTGCCGCGGCCTACAAACAAGCCCCTCAATTGCTGAAAAATCAAGCACGACATCATACGTACGGTCTGTCTTCCTCTCTGTCTTCCTCTCTGTCATCAGACTCTGAAATATTTTTGCTTTTTCCCACAACATCGTTGCGACATCCACAATGCCTTACGTTGAATCCAAGTTTGACCCCAAGGACATGCAGTTCCGTCCTTTGGGCCCAAAACTGGCTGGTCTCAAAGTCTCGCTCTTCTCTCTCGGCGGTTGGTTAACCTACGGTGGGACGCAAAAGGGAAACATTGTCAAAGAATGTATGGAAGCTGCCTGGTCCCATGGCATTAATTTCTTCGATACCGCCGAGGTGTACGCCCAGGGCGAGTGCGAGGTGGAAATGGGAAACGCTTTCAAGGAACTTAACTGGCCCCGGGACGAATACGTCTTGTCTACCAAAGTCTTTTTCGGAACAGGCCGTAAAGAGCCAAATACCAGGTTCGGGGAACACGCTACCGTAATAAGGCAATTGAATCCAAAATTAACCATCGCCCAGGGGTCTAAGCAAGAAGCATATCGTAGAAGGTCTCAAGAGTTCGCTGGCTCGCCTGCAGCACTCATATGTTGACGTTGTCTTTGCGCATCGCTACGACCCGGAGATACCGATGAAGGAAATCGTCGAAGCTTTCACTCAGACCATCAACATGAACCTCGCATACTACTGGGGCACCTCGGAATGGAGCGCCGAGCAGATCTTGGAAGCACACGAGATTGCTGAGAAATACAACTTGATCGCACCCGTAGTTGAGCAGCCACAATACAATGCTTTCCACCGCGAGAGGTTCGAGAAAGAGTACGCTCCCTGCTGGGAGAAGGGCATGGGTAGCACCATCTGGAGTCCTCTGGCTTCAGGTATCTTGACTGGCAAGTACGACAAAGGTATTCCAGAGGGTTCCCGCTTTGCTACAAACAAGGACTTCTTCAAGGATTCTGCTGCGAAGCTTCAGTCCGAGGAAGGTCAGGCGAAGCTGGAGAAGGTTCGACAAGTGAGTTTGCCCTATTGGTGGTGTTGGCATCCATCCATCCATGGGCAGCGGCTAACAATCGTAGATGGGGAAGATTGCGGAGAAGATTGGCGGAAACACCACCCAACTTGCCCTTGCCTGGGCTGCGAAGAAGTGAGTATTCCATCCGCTGGAGCCGTTATTCGTCATGTTGTGATATTAACAAGGCGCAGCCCTAATGTCAGCACCGTCATTCTCGGAGCGTCTAAGCCTGAACAGGTCCATGACAACTGTAAGGCGTTGGAGCTCTTGCCCAAACTTACCGACGACATTATGAAGGAGATTGAGGACATCCTCAAGAACAAGCCTTGAGCTGTGTAGAGTCAATGCGCTGTCAATTTTAGACGTTGTGGGCGGGCGGGACTTGTTTCTATGGGGTAAATAAAGAATGCATAGTGTGCTTTCCCCACAGAATCTACACATCTGAAGACTTGCCCCCGTATTGCAAATGAAAAGTTTCGCCATGGTGAGACTGATTTTACAAATCATCCGTACACACGGCGTCTCACAGAGCGGACGTTGTGCATGTGATGTTTTGGTCGATAGATAGGCATAAGCCACGGAACATGTACTGCGCCTATGTATGCGTGTGTACATGGCGCTATCAGCATTGGGACATGGCGATGCAGAATTAGAGATGCAGACGGCTTGTGCTCAGGAAGCGCCGGTGGTGAATCCCAAAAGCTTGATCAGTCGGATGGCAGAGCCTCGTCGTCCGAGTTCACACGCCTACAAGCAAGTCTGCGGGTTGCGCGTTGCAGGATCTCAAATGCCTGCGTTGAGGCTGCGCCATTCGCATGTCGCAAGTCGCTCTGTTCGCATTTCGTTCTAGGGCCCTTTGAACACGGCTGCGTACCAGTGGGCGGTAGCGGTGGCCTGGCCAGCGGCGGCTGAGCAATGTCCAAACAACGACTACATAACCATTCGTCGTCTGTTTGGCGATGAGGAGTAGCCTGCGACGCGCAAAGTCACGCCTTGTCTCGTTCGGTACCTTTTCCAAGCTGTGCACCTCGGTCGGTCCACCATCGATCGATCCTTCATCACCATCATACATTGCAGCCACGACCTCATTTCACGCCCAAGCTGCCTGCGACTGCATACTCAGAGCCTGGCCAACGTTGGGGGTTGCGGTGTTGCCGTCTCTTCCCCTTTGCGTCTTTGGATCCACAGCTTCACGGCTGCCCTCGGCAGCAAAAGGACTGACGTGCATCCAGGTGTGACTCGGCAGTCGAACCCCCTTCGCCCGGACACTGCAGCAACTTGCCTGCTCGTCGAGAAGCCGCTGCTAGCTAATCCACTCCGTTCAATGCCATCTGCATAACCCGCCAACATGTCGCAATCGCCAGCTTCGTTGGGGGACGTCAAGGTTCCGGACAGCGCTGGTAAGTGCACAGCAAACTCTCTTTTCTTGGCGCCTCTCGAGCGCTTGAAATGCCTTGCGTTTGAAGTCGCATCTGTTTTGTCTCTGCCTCGCAACAGCCCTGGCCTGCTCCCTGTTTCCCTTGGCCCTTACTCCCATTCCTGCCATTGGCCCGTTTGCTCCATACCCGTTCCTTCAAATGGGTCGCACGTCCAAAAGTACTCCGCAGAGACAGCACGAGTCTCGTCGATTGCCCTGTCGGATCAAGGTCAATGCTATATCGCCTCTGCCTCCACGGCACATCCGTCTACCGAACCTTTGACGTCGTCGCATTAACGTCCATACTCTTCCGTGCCTGGCGCCGCCCGAATACATATACCACACACCATGCATCGTCTGTCAAATTCCAATGTCAAAGCTCTTCACTTCATCCATACGCCTGTTGTAATTTCCTTTTTGTTCCCTTTACTCTAATTTGTTTTTCATCTGTTCTTTTCCTTTGTGGCAAAAAAAGAATCTCTTTTGTTATACACTTACTAGTATCAATATGTCGCATAATCGTTACATGTCTTGGTCCGATGCGGGTGTGCTGACTATGGCGCCCTCGTTCCCTCCTTCCGGCGCCCCCGTCGAGTACCCTTCGCCTGTATCCCGTCGTGCTTCGGAATGTTTCTCAATCGCCTCCGAAGCCGCGGGCAGCCGGAGAGGTAGCGCGGCTGGTTTCGCGTCGGAGATGGAGAGCAAAGGGCAATGGCAATCAATAGGCAGTAATTCGGATTCCAAAAGCCCATTGACAAACTTCACCTTCTTCAAAAGCCTCGCGGAGAAGAAGACAACCAGAGGTATGTTACCCACCCCACTACCACCAAGTATTCACTCTAAACCACGTGCTAGATGGACAACCACCCAAGAAGAGAGGTCCTAAACCCGACAGCAAGCCGGCCTTGACACGTCGACAGGAGCTGAACCGCCAGGCTCAGAGGTAGGGAAAGACTTGCCCACTTTTGCTCAAACACAAAGCTAATCAAGGCCAAGAACTCATCGTGAACGAAAAGAGATGTATATCAAGGCTCTGGAGCAAGAAGTCTTGCGCATCAAGGAATCCTTTACCGGCGTTTCGAAAGAACGTGACGCATTTGCGGAAGAGAACCGACGCTTGAAAGAGCTCCTTGCCGCGCATGGGATCTCTTATGACTTTTCGACTCCACCCCAGATGCACCATTTCGGAAGCTCGTATGGCGACAGCTCGTCTGGAAGTGTCTCAGGTGGATATGGTGCCCGCACAAACTCCACGGGGTACACCTCTCCAGCTACTATGCAACACCGCGGTTCGATCTCTCAAGACACGGTGCCGATCCAGCAACAACCACAGCCTGGTGTGCCAGCCAACGGCATGGACTACGATCAGATCGGGATTGACTTCGTTCTAACGTACGATCGCACGCCCTATCTCTCTCCTCCACCCCAGCAATAATAATTTTCCTTCATCTTTTTTCCCCCAGCCTCCTTTACTTGTCTCGTTTGCCTCCCGTACGTTTTACATAATTCTTTAGCTTGAAAAAACGACTCTGATTCTGACTGTTGCGGCAACACAGTCTCGAGCGACCCTGCATGGACCACATGCAATTTTTAATGGTGCGAGCACACGACGATGATGAGACGATAAGCGGGCATGCGTTGATGGCGACGGCACCGCCCGAGTCTCACATCGCAAAGTGCCCACACGAAGAATACCCGCATCAAATGCCCGACATTGCGATGCCGGATTTAATGAAGCTGCTGGATCTCAGCAACCGACTCCCACTCGATGGCGAGATCACACCAATCATGGCATGGGTGATAATTCTCCAGGATCCGAAGATGGCACAGCTCACCAAAGAGGACTTGGAGCTGATCAAGGGGGATCTCGTTGCCAAAGTCAGATGCTACGGGTAAGTGGTCTTTGCGCCTCCTCGCCAGCCAAGCCGTGATCTAACATGTGTCTTTCTAGCTTTGGCGCGGTTCTTGAAGAATTCGAGGTTCGAGATGCCTTGATGGCTGTCTTTGCAGCCAAGATCCATGGAAGCAAGCACACGGCGACGAACTTGACGGTACCATAATCTGGTCAGCGAGCCAGACGTCTCTCTCTAGTTAATCTATAATATTGCGCGCTTAACGCCCTCGAATGATTATCACGAGTTGAATTGAAAATAGGATGATAGAAGACGATTGTGCTGTGATGAATTGCAGGGGCCAGGGAGCTAAGGCCAAACGCTATCCAGTGCCCTGCATGAGGAGTCTGGAATGTGCCGCGAAACACCCCCCACATCATGTGTTCCCCCCTCCCTTCTCCAAAACATCAAGCTCCCGCACATTGATTGATCGAGTCTACGATTGACTCGAGCATCCAAAACCCTCTTCCTCTCGCCACTGTTCAATCCACGCCTTGCGAAGCAATTTCTATATTGTCTATCGCTGTCGTCATCCCGATCTGTCTTGGTCGTCTGAACGATCATTCTGTGATACTTTCCACCGCATCCGCATCCACCCCACCACCACCTAGCTATGGCCGAACTCAGTGTCTACGACAACGATCCCACCCTGTACCTCTTCACTTCACTCACCGCTGGGTCATCGCATATCGTCACAGCCACGTCTCGCATCGAGACTATACTGAAGGCGAACAAGGTCCCTTTCAAGGGCGTGGACACAGCGACAGATGATTTAGCAAGGAAGCTATACGGGCGCAGAGCGAGCGGAAAGAAGCTACCTTTGCTGGTCAAAGAGGGCTATGTGATAGCGGTACTGAACTACCTCCATCTAGCGGTTTTCGGCCATGCATATCAGTAAACTAATGTACCCGTGTAAATCCAGGACCTCGAGCAAATCGAAGAATGGAACGAATATGACGAGCTCAAGGAAGCTCTAGGCGTTACAGCAACAGCTGCATCCGCCCCCGCACCTTCGAAACCCTCCACCATTTCCGCTGCCGCTGCCGCCCCCAAAGAAAATACACCAAGCATTACATCGGAACAGAACCTTGCCATTCGAACTCTTGGTGCCGAAGCTGCTAAAGTCGCGGCCTCAAAGAAATCCGCTCCATCCAGTATATCTACTACAAACCCATTGCTTTCCGAGAAGGTCAATTCTCCCGCGGCCTCGACGCCGACGAAAGCAACAGGCACGGCGGAAAAGGATACCTCCAAAGCAGACCTGGGCGATGTTCTATCCCCAAGTTCAGTCCCACTACCTACTACACCAAACCCAGCATCTTCGAATGCCACCGGGAAACAGGAATCAGCTCAGTCCGAGCCAGAAGCTGCCGCAGCTGCGTTACCTGACCCCGATGACAAGTCACCTAGCACCAAAGATTCTTCTGAAGGCGATAAAGCGACTCCAACTGCAGAGTCTCGTGAGGCTGAGAACACAACGCTTAAAGAGGAGACCGAAAAGGTCGAAGATGAAAAGCACGTGCAGGAGAATAGCGATGAAGGAAAAGAGAATAAGATGAAGGACGAGGATGACACCAAAACAAAGACGAAGACCGAGGAAAGCAAGGTAGAGTCGGAAACCACGACAGACGAGAACAAGTTGGAAGAGAAAACGCAAGACCAAAGTGCGAAAGATGCAGGTAAGGCAGGTGAGAGCGTCAAAGATTGATTGGCTGGACTATTGCGTGAAGAAGGGGTCAAATTTGGGCGAATAACATGCTCGTTGTCCTGCAAACCCCCAGTGTTTCTCGAGGTATAAATCCAACGCCCTGCTAGCTCTGCTGGATGGTTCTTCACGAACTCGGCCAGAAACATGAACTCAAGGCGATAACAAAGAGCACGTACAAATGAGAAAGCACTCCAAACATCTGCAAAGTCCCGCCATCTCTTCCCAATTTTCTCTTCGCAAAAAAACTTCTTCCTCCGATCCTTATCCCGCTTGATTCATCAAATACAAACAGCACCACATGATTAAGCATCCTTGCCCTCATCCACAATTACTTTATCCACACTTCCTCTACCACCACCGTTCTTCCCACCTCCCAACTCCCTGTCTTTGTCGCCATTAATGCCATTCACGATATTCCCCTCGTGACCTAGCATCAGGTGCTCAATGTTGACCTTGGGCCCTTTGAACCACTTTCGCGCCGAAACGACCCACCAGATTATCGCTAGGAACATCGGTCCGCCGTATACGACGACAGTCCAGTTCATAGTTTCGGCGCTATTCAAAACATATGTACGTTAACCAACCAGCCAATGTATCAAGATCAAGGCAAAGGAACAATGTATAGGTATAAGTGAGAGTGGCAACTTACGTCAAATCTGCGCCCGTGACGCTGGGAAAACACAGGATTGGTACCATGAGGAGCACGAAGGCGCATGCTACGACACCAACCGGTATGCTCCAGCGTCCCAGATTCCAGGGCCCTGGGCGGAAGTTGTTCTTTACGAAGAAGACACGGATGAAGATGGGTGTGGTGAAGGCGATAAAGGCCGCGATGGCTCCAATGCTGAATAATGCGCCGATGGCCAACTCACCGCCGAATATGAGCAGCAGGCACAGGATCCCGATAAAACAGTTGCCCCAAACTGCATTAACCTAGAAGTACAGCGTACAAAGTCAGTGAATTTCAAGCAGGGATTGTCTCCAGACATTTTCAGGATCTTCAAACGCCACGCGGACACAGATAGATACAGCGTGGAGTATCACGTACCGGCGTCTTCGTGGTGTTGTTCACTTTCTTCCAGGTCGAACTAAAAGGAAAGCAGTCATCTCTTGCATACGCAAAGGTGACGCGGCTCGCCGCGATCATGCAACCTTGACCCATAGAGAACCCAGCTATGATAGTCAAACTTAGAATAGCGAGCACCGTCTTCTGCGGCAAACACTGCATTAGGTACGCCGCAAAAGGCTGACCCAGCTCCGACTCGAGGGCAGCTGGTATATCGACAACCGTGTAAGCGACGACGAGCTGGAGAAACCAGCCAAAAAGCCCTCCCGTGGCGGACGTCAGCACAATGGCGCGCGGTGATGCGATGTTGGCGTTGGAGCACTCCTCGGCGAGATGGAAGGGGGAATCGTAGCCGCTCATGGTCCATATGACGCCGATGAAGCTCATAAGCACCGATACGCCATGCGGAAAGCTTGTGCCTTCATAGATGGTTCCCCAGACTTCGGAGCTAGGCGCAAACCGTGGGAGACCGCGTTCAGGGCGGTCGGTTCCAGCTGGAATGAGGATGATGACGATGATGAGGGCGACGAAGTTGAACGTGGAGCCTACCGAGTTGATTTGCGCAAGCCATTTAGTCGGAAAAGAGGACATTGTCGCATGGATGAGCATCACGAAAACTGTCAAGAGAAAAGTTTGATACTAGTCACGTGAGCCTCTCTTTCATGATGGACGGACCTGCCAGCTATACTGACATCGGTGGGAACGTATGACGGATTCTGTATAGAAGCCCCAGCAAGCATCATCGCTGCGATTCCATAATTCACTTTTTTCTGGTCAGTATCTGGAAGTCGTCTCTATCAGTCAATAAAGGACTGGTGGGCCAATACCTGATGGGGCTGCAGTGACTTGTGCGAGCCAATTACTCCAACCCGTGATCCACGCAGCAAATGGACCATACGGTTGAGGAGCTAAGACAGCTGAGGCATAATAAAGACCCCCAGAAGTAGGCATCGACGAACATAGCTCGGCCATGGACATTGCAACAGCTTGTATGCCTATCATGGCGACTATCCATCCCCAAGTCATTCCTGAGACATCATCAGCTTGCACACCCAACTCTCTTCCCATACATTCTCGAAGGTAGAACAATAATTACCAGCTGTTCCTGCGTATCCCATCCCGTAATACAGCGTGCTTGCGAAGCTCGGTAGAAGTCCTAGGACCTGACGTCGCAGTTACCAAGTGGTTAGCAAGATTCAAGACAGTAAGCAGGTCACCAAACTCTCAAAAAGCCGGAAACATACCGCAAAGCTCACGCAGAAGGTAGTAAATAGCGAAAACTCTCTCTTGAATTCGGGCTTGTAGCCCAAAGCGGCGAGAACCTCGTCATCGGCACTGTATTCGCCATTGGGATCGTAAGGAACATCACCACCAGGAAGGACTGAAGTCACCGGCTCATCAGCCACGCTTCGCTGAGCTGTGGCCATCATGCTTATGACTTAAGATCCGAGGGTTGATGAATTGGGTGGGCTCTGAATGAAGACTGGGATTGGTGACGTGCAGATGTGCAATGATAAGACGTGACGCATCAAGATTCGCGAATGTAGCACAACAGGCAATATGACGCGTGAACCATGGAAATGAAGGTTGTAGCCGTAGAGAAAGTCGTGAATGAGGCGATATGTACAGTATTCTACATCGTTGCTCTGTCGTTCTTCTCCTCTCCGCATGGCATGCAGGCTGATGCACGCGGGCACCATGCATGGTGTAATGCGGACTAGCGCGCGGCAGCTCAAAGCGATAGGCGTCAATATGGGCAAATGATAGAAAGCGGGGGGCTATCAGCGAGATAAACTTCTTCCGTGACTATCATCCAATTCATTGGCTAATCGCTGGGTGTAAGAAGGAAGAAGCAAGGTCGGATTCCTCGGGATTCGCTAAGAGCGTGTTTGTTTCATCATCACACGTTCAAGTCAATTGTTTCATGGTATCTCGACAACATGCGCATACACATGTGCATGTATCATTGCTACCATTATTGTATAGGTAGAACGAAATGGCTCGAACGATGAATGATTTCGGTTGATGTAAGAAAGTAATGAGATTCTACAACGCTGAACAGCCATGCCATGCCATCATTCGCATAAACCTTCCCGAATGGTACTTAAGTAGGGCCAGTATACGGGGGGAAGGCGGGCGCAACGGCTGGCAGCGAACCGAGCCCTCTAACAGACGACGATAAGACTAGAGCCCGATATAGAAGTCTTTTCTGACTGTCTTGTCTTGCACATATGGCGATGGCCCACTCCGGTGACTTATTAGAGCTCTTCACGAGGGATGAGTGATAGAACTTGGCAATATCAACAATCCGTATGTCTTGGAGTAATATGGGCCACTGTTCATAATGTTGTATTCCTCGCGATAGGACAATGCATCTTGTTGATTTATCTTGCGGTAGAGAGAGAGAGAGAGAGAGAGAGAGAGAGAGAGAGAGAAAGTGTGTGTGTGTTTAAAGCTTGTTATGATAGGCTGGCGCATTAGGGTCAACTACATACCAAACAGACGATGTTGCCAAAAGTACTTGCTTGATTGAACGGCACTGCAAAACGCAAAGCAAACGCCCAAGAAGACGATCCAAAGGACTCCAGCGAAAAACGAGAGCTTAATAGTAACTTGTACCCGCTGAATACTCTCCCTTGGTTCCAGGGAAAGCACCGACTGGTGCGCCATGTGCCGCCGCTTCTCTCTCCTCGTCGCCACTATCGTCTTCTTCACCCTCAAAAGCCTCCCCGGGGTCTGGTGGAGCCCGCATGCGGATGATAGAATGCTCTTCGAGCGCCGGAATGATATACATCTTGGGCGTATGAATATCTCGTCCCGATGGCATGGTGGCTATTAATTGTTCGGAAGGAGGGATGAGTTGCACTCCCATCTGTGTTGCATGTTAAATGATCCATTTTGTAAGGAGAAATGCTGACGGTGTGATATACATACTGTGTCGTTCATCTTCTCCCACTTCTTCAGCAGCATGTCGACGATCCGACCCTCTTCGAATTTGCCAGCATCAGCCCCCCAGCCATCCCCCTTCTCCACTTTCTTATCTTCCCGTTTCTCTTTCCATTCCTTTTTCAGTTTCGAAAGGCCCGATGATTTCTTGTCTTCATCAGCACCGACCGCGGTGAAGCCTAGCTCTTTCTTCGCGCCTCGTAGCCAGGCGATTCCGTCTCCTGTCTTCCCCCCGAGTTCAGCATCGCATCCGAGGAACCGACACGCCTTTGCCTTGGCCGTTCGCCGAAGATCATCGACGTATTTGAGGAAAGTTTCATCGACTTTCGCGCGACCGAGCATGCTTTGGGCTTTTGCTGCATGTTCGGATGCAGCCAAACATAGCCGAGCGAAAAGGTGGGCGCGTACTTTGGGTATCTCGACTCCCTTGAACATCCAATCCCTATTTTGCTTGTTACGCTCTTCAACGATGACGGCTGGATAAGGGTCGTCTTTCAGCACAGAAATGATGGTAGCTTCTGCCATGGACAACTCTGCCAGCGCACCAAGCACAGGACCCGATATATCTGCTGCAAGAGGCTGGTTGTTCCACTGCTGTGCCCGATTTACCAAGTAAGTATGTACTGCATTTGCATCCAGAAAATAGTTCATGGCTGTACTTATGGCGGTTTTTCGTTGTTCAGGTGAAGGAAGGGTCGCATGATAGAGCGTGTGAAGTTGAGCTCTCCCTTGCAAGCTATAGACGTATGCAAGTGTGGATAATGTGAAGAAGAGCTCACTCTCAAGGCTCCTCAGTTTGATGCGAGCAGGTTCACGTCCAGGCAGTGCGGATCCCAATGTCGAACGCCATTCTACTTCAAGCTCTTTCACCAAAACCAAATCAATTTCTTCTCCTGCACAGCTCGTCCCACTAAGTCCAGCATCGAGAGCAAATAAGTAAGGCAGGTAGTCTTGTATTGCCGCGAGGACAGTGGAGAGATTGGAAGCTTGCGTCGCGGGCGGGATACGCTTATACCGTTTCAACACGTCCCGGACGACACCGCGGGCAGTGGTTGCACAATTTGGAAGCGATGGATGAGTGCTACTACTGAAGTAATCAGTGAAAGAAATACCCGAAGTTGTAGGTAGAACAAAAGGAAAAGGCATGGTGAAATGTTGTTGATGCAATGCTTCCAACTGGAGCTGTTGATGCAGGTACTCGAGATAGCGGGGGTCTTGGCGACATAGCATCATCGCATGCTTGTTTAGGATTCAAATGCTGTATGCTTTTGCATCTTCCAACAAATGGCAATTGGTCATCGATGGATATAATTCTCGCCTATGACGATTCATCGTAACCACGAGGTGGCGTATTGCGCCAAATAAATTGAACCCTGCTACCTTGGAGCTGGACAACGCCGGCCCTTCTGACTGACGGGCATATGTACAAGTTTTTGCCAGCTTGCAATGCTCCTCTCTCGTACGCAATTGCTGTCCCAAAATACTTCGGCCCCGCCATCCGTCATTCCATAGCCTTCTTGTGATTGTAAGTGTTCGATCTCGCCTCCAGACGTCTTGCCATCTTTCCGAAGCGTCTGTAATTTCCTATCTTTCCCATACCCAAGCCCCCTACTGCTTCTTCTCGATGTAGTGGGTCTGCGCGAAAAGGTATCCTTTGACCTTAGCATCCTTGAGGAGTTCAAAATAACGCTCTGCAGATGTTGCATTAGCCATGATTCTTCGGATCACCTGCCTCGTCGCCATAGTTGCATCCTGTAGCACCTAAATTTCCTAGCTAGATCTGCTCCATCGTTTGCCTTCGAGCCGGTATTTCCATTGACGTACCTCTCAGGTCTCCGCACTTCTCCAGGTGGTTCACACCCTCCCTCCGGTAGCACTTGTTCATTTCGTCCCTCACCAATCTTGCCATCATACTCCGGACCCACTGCTCACGAATGATAGCATCTTGCGCAGCTTTAAGCTGCGAGTTGTCATCGTAGTCAACACCTTCGAAGGTGGGCGCGACCTTGGGCTTCTTCGCGAGGAAGGCCGCGGATTCGGGGGTAGGCATTGCGGCGCTGGGAGTTTTGTATGTGTGTCGAAAAGCGGTTGATTGGATCCGCTGGGCGGTTAATGCAGCGCTGCGTGTATGGACTCCGTCAATTGAGTGGGATGTTGGGCGTGGAAGCTGGCCCGGGGTGGGTGATGTGTGATTGAGCCTGGTGAGGCCCATGCGATTTAGCTCTAGCTCAACAAGCAGATCGACACACGTGACTTTAGCATTTAACTTAGCGCTAGTGACAGCACTCGGAATACATTGTGTACAACACATTGACATGTCCTCTAGTACTCAAATGCTAGGGTCTGAATGTGAAGCAGAGTGACTCGCACAACTTCTGATTTTGTCAATGCTTGTATGCAGTTCCTGCAAACAATTCCCATCGAATGATCACGCGCCGACAGTACTCATACATGTACATATGTAACAATCAGCTACTGGGCCATCCTCCCCGCGATCCCATGTTCCCCAGATCACGACTTTGTGCCCACTCGTCTTTCTTCAAGTTATTAGTTTCGAAACTCATTCCCTCTTCGCTTTTTCTACGACCCTTGGTGTGTCTCGCGTCCAGACCCTCGGTCATGTGTGTATGCGCTGGCTCACCCTTCGGCTTTACTTTGTGGGGGTATGGTGAAGAGGTAAGAGGAGGTATCTGTGCACTGGCTATCTGATTTGTCACGGCATCTAGTACATTTTTATAAGGCTTCTGCACCCAACTCCCCATGATCTGGCCCCAATCACTGCTGACCTAAAGTCACGAGTACCGAGTCAGTAACAGTTCAAGCTGGAATGTGTTCAATAGCCCAGTGAATTGCTGGAGCGTTGCTTGAAGCGCTATTTCAATACAGGCCGCGAGTCTGGGTATACGTACAGTGTGGCGAGCTTCTTCCGGTACCGGACTTAAATACTTAACCTTCCAGCGCCAATCATCGATGCGGACCTTTTGCTGAGCAAGTTCCGACTGGGCCAGGAGTTCTTCGCGGTTTCGCGTGCACAGAAGACACGAGCGGTGGAGTCTAGTGGTTTGGAACGGGTGTGTGAGGACTGTGGTACACGTGCCTTTAGAGGATTCAGTGACCGGCATCTCGGAAGTCGGTGTTGTTGACGATGTTCCCGGAATGTCACCTTCATTCCCAAGTTGCCGATCTTCCGTTGGCGGCTGCGTCTGTATCGAAGGAGGCGGAGAAGTGGCGGAGGAATGTTCGGCGGCTGTGTCTGGGTGTTGGGCGGGTGTGCAGACGGCGGAAGTGACTTTTCTATCAGTCACCAGACCCTGTGGTCTCCTCTTCATAGTTCTCCCCTCGGCAGCCTGCCTCCTTTCTTCGAAATTTTGTCGATCGGTAGCTGAAGCCATTGCGCAAGGGCGCACCGGTTGCGCCGATGGGAGTGAATGGCCACATCCTTGGAAAACGAATAGTTTGTAGTAACACATGATGTGTTACATACCTGGAGAGTGGTAGGGGAGATGGCAGTGTACAGGTGTGAAAACTATTCGGTGCGTTTTGTTCGACTGTCAATAGCTGTTTCGTGGCTACGTGAAGAAATGTATGTTTATGTATTCAGATGAGGAAGGCGAAAGTGGTTTCTCTTCTTTTCTTTGTCCGCATGCAGGCTATTCTGGCAGGAATTTCGGGAGTGGCCGCGCTCGTCAAGTAACGTATTCCTTGACCCAAGAAATATAGCAGCGCCATTGTTCACTTTAGTATGGTGAGGGTGAAGTGAACCTTCATGGGCGCTCAGCTTGTGAACAAGGCCTAATAGTTGATAAAGAACGGGAGGATACGAACCGAATCCATACTCGATTAAAGAACAATATCGTTACAACGAATACAACGACGAGAATGGTGCGTGCCATAATATATGCAAATGCTGTTATTGCTAATTTACACGTACCTCTTCGCTTCAGTGGATTGTCCTTTAGATGCCATGCCTCCTCCATCTTTGTCATATGATGATACCCTCATTTATTGCTCGACTTTGTTCATTCCATCAGCATCAGTGGCTATACCGGATCGACTGGCTCTTTTCTGTTTCTTCTTCTCTGCCTTCTCTGCCCTCTCGGTCTCTCTTTCTTCCCTCCTTGCGCTCTCCGCTTCCAAGCCAGTCTTGGTTTCCTCATGCTCTTTGCTGAGCACGTTCTTGGTGATCAACAAACTGACCACCAAACCGCATGCAGAGAAGCATACATACATGATCCACATTGTACTTAGTGAATCGGAGAACGCCTGTCGGGCAATTCCCTTCTCATTATCGGGTAGTTGTTGGATTAGACCAACGTTAGCGCCTGCTGAGCCACCACCGAATGAGGCTGCGGTCGACGCACCAAGCGCATCGACGAGCATCGGTTGTTTAGACACCATTTCGTTTTGAAAGACAACAGATCCGATGACTACAGATATTGCGGAGCCAAGATTGCGAACAAACCCAAAAGTTGCTGTTGCGGTAGCAATATCGCGTTTCTGGTAAATTATCAGCGATGTGCTGAGACGACATGTTTGATTGCCAAACATGAACAACTTACCGGTACAAGACTCTGCAGCGCGATGAGTGGGGATTGGAAGTTTGGACCAACACCCATTCCGGCAATTATTTGATAGATGATGATCTTGGACCAGGAAGAGTTGGGAGTGAGATCAATAAAAGTGCCAAACCCGGCAGTGAGTAACACAAACCCAAAAATGATGCATGGTAGATACTGTCCCGTCCGTTTTATAAAGATGCCAGTGAGCGCTGAGACAATGGAGAGAGACACGGCAGTTGGTAACAGATAAACCCCGGAAAGGATTGGCGTAGCCCCGAGGACGGCTTGGAAGTAAAGAGGTAAGAAGTAAGATGCTGAAATATACACTACTGCATGGAAGAAGCAGGTTCCTAGTGCAGCAAGGTTCGATCGTTTGGAGAAGAGATCAAGCGGCATGAGGGGAGATGGAGCGAAGCGGTGTTCAACCAGGAAGAAGATGCCTATTAGAACGACGCCGAACACTATGAGACAAATCACTGTAGGAGAACTCCAGGGGAAAGTGACACCGCCGAATTCCAAGCCAAGCAAGAGCATGATGGTGCCGGATACCATTGTGAGCGAACCAAGCCAATCTACAGCTTTGAGTCCCTTCCGTAAGGGTGTGTGCGGGGTGTGCAGATCAAGACACAGGAGAATGATGATGAATGCAAGGCCATCCAAAGGAAGATTGATGTAAAAACACCACCTCCAGGAGACCTTTTGGGTGAAAATACCTCCAACGATAGGACCCAGACTGGAAGCCAAGGCCCAAACACCGCCAATGATGCCAAAATAGGCTCCTCTCTCGCGCATGGGGAAAAGATCGGAGATGCATATGTTGACCAGGACAATGAGGCCGCCTCCCCCGATTCCCTGGATGACTCGCGATGCTATCAGCATATTCATGTTGACAGATACGGCGGCGAGCAGCGAGCCAACGAAGAAGATTGCATTTGTGACGAGAAGAATGGGTTTCCGACCGAAAATATCAGAAACCTTGCCCCAAATGGGAGTGGCCGCTGAATTGCCCAAGAGATAAGCACTGCCTACCCATGTGTAGCCAGACGCCGAGTTGAACTTCTCTGCGATGGTGGGCAAGGCGGTGGTGACGATTGTGATGTCGAGAGCAACGAGGAGAACGGCGATGCAGAGGGACAGCATGATGACAGCGATCTTGAGCTTGCTTCTTGGTTGTTTCTCATCGCCTTGTGCCTCAAGGGCCGGGACAGCAGGTTCTTCTCCATTGGAATTATCTACAGAGCTAGGTTTTTCTACGGGGCTGGTGTTGACTCGGGCGCTGTTTGGTGGCGACGACTGGTGGTCCATTGCAGAGTGACGGGGTGCTGCCATCCAAGGCGCGTAAATAAAGTTTGGTGGGCAGGGTGGAGGAGAATGGGGGAAACGTGGTGATGAGGGTTGACTTGCAGAAAGTCAACCCTGGATTGATTGTACATTGGACGTTGTACGTTGTACGAAAAATTAAACACAATCGTCATGACTTACAGGAAACAACAGCCAATCAAGGACGCGGATGGGCATGCTGAATAATGATGAAACCGAAAAGGGGTTAGCAGCCCAGGTAGTAAGCAGCAGCAGCGGCTGCTGCTGGAGGGCGGACGGACGGGCCCGACAGGCTCAGTTGTTTAGTATCAGGGACTGATGAAACCGTTGCAGCATCCATGATTGCTGGCGTTGACTCTTTGAAGAGCTCCACGTATGGAGTCACCTGAGCCGGTTACGTGATGTGTGCGGGGGGGAAACGGTGTGGACAGATCTTGTGCTAGCAGACAACGGGTCCGAGGATGCATGCAGACCTCGGCAAAGAGTGTGCACGGTGAGAAGGCAACGGATATCTTGTTTTTGTTTTTGTGTTTTGTTTATCCGAATGTCATGCAGGCGACGTTATCCGAGAGGAATGTGGGGACGAAGGGAGGGACGAAAAGAGAGGGAGAGAGAAGCAAACGGATGTTCATGGCCAAGTACATACAGTAGATGGATGGGTGGGGTAAGCGAGCGTGGGGTACAGCAGAGGTACAGCATGTAGGCATGATGGATGGATGGATGGATATCTGGTCGAAGCTTAAACGTCTTGGCTGTCCAATTGTGGATACATGGAGGGCATGACTTGCACCGTGTAGCTGGCCATGCAGCACTGTACGACAGTGCGTCGATAGATGATGGACGGATACTTGGTCAGCCAGCGAGTCGAGGATTTGCCCATGTAATATATACAGTGCATGGTTGGGAGGTGAGGGGGATCGGTGGATGCAGCTGGATACGAATCACGTTTGTTCCGTCGCACACGGGCCTACCCACATCTACTCAGGTTACCATGCTCAACAACAAGTAACCAAGAAGCCATGGTTCCATCATGGTTCTGATCGGTGGGGGTGCTAATCGGAAACAGCCGGAGCGAAGACCGAGCGAACAAGAAGGGTCTTGGACGCGACCAAGATGACCAGGGAGAGGACGGGAGGAAGGAAAGGTGCAAAGAGGGAAACAAAGGGATGGAAGGGGTTGGCATCCCCGCACGTTCATCGGTGCAGAGGGTGGTGATTGACTGATTGATTGATTGATTCAATCATGATGCAGTTTGTTGTTGATGATGATGATGATGATGAGAGGGCATGCCAGGCAGGGAGCGAGATGTTGAGGTGCGGCTAGGCCAAGATGCATGCCAGACGGGCGAGTAGCAGGCGGGCTGATGTATTGAGCCCAGTGTTGAGAGAGGACATGTTGCTTGGGACATGTCTTCTGGCGTCATCGTCTCCATTCAATCATTCAATCCACCCAGCATGTTCCCGCAACATGTGGCTTTTGTTGCTGCCGTTGCTGCTCGTTGCGTGCATGAACCCACGAGCGGTTCAAGTCAAACACACGAGGGTCCGAGGTAGATGAGAGATTGATGAATGCGAACAAGATGGGTAGATGCGACTCGGCCCAAAGGCGGCATCCCCTGCAGGATTCGGCCGAATGAATGAATTAGTGAATGAATGGATTGTTTTTTTCTCTTTGCGCACCCTCGGAATCGATGCTGCCAACTGTGAATAGCGCGCCACCGTCGAGGGCACAGCAGAGCACAGAAGAATAGTTACGCGACAAGACGAGACAAGGCCAGCCAGACACGGAGCCCACGCGCGGCGGCGGTCCAGAACCCTTTGGTAATGGGGGCATGCGCATGAAGCTGCCGATCAGCCGGGGTGTTGTTGTTGGCCTGCTTCACCACGGCGAGAGAATAAAGTCGAGTGAGGGAACACTGGTGGGACGGCCAATTGATACACGGTACCGCAGTCTCCCGTGCTGTCTGGCTGCCGCCTGTGTATCATCTCGCCCGCTGCAGAGATGGATGATCATGGAGGGACTGCTACGGATTGTACTTAGTTAGGCAGTCAAGGTGCTCCATGTCATGTCGCTGCGGCCTCGACCCATAGCCATGTATCATATCGTGCTGCTGGCTGGGAGCTATACGACTAGCCAACTAAGTCCTTGTTGCTATAACATGTCCTGGCTGGCCCGCCCAAGCTCCGCTCGAGAGCCCGTGCCCATCATCTCCACTCGACGCCTGGCTGCATCTCAACCGCTACCGCCGCCGCATACTCGCTCCATCCCATCCCATCCAATCCCATCCATCCTGTCCCGTCTGTCTTCTCTTTCACTCAATCTCTCCTTCTTCCGTTTCCTTTCTCTCCTTCTCCCCTCCTCCACGCCCGTACAAAATCACCGCCTCCCCTTTCTCCCCTCCTGCTGTTCCCCACCGCCCCAACTCTGCTTCAACCGTACCGACCCACCAACCCTTGCTTGCCTGCTGCCCACACGGGCCATCCACCACCGCTCCCATTCCCCAGTCTCCTCCTCCACAGAGCACGCCAGGAACGCACCCCCGCACTACCACCACCACCACCACCACCACCACCACCACCACTACACACGCCCACGCCCGCATCTCATCCCACCCGCCGTTCCCCTTCTGCTCCTCCCAGACCGCCGCACTACAAAGCGGCCCTCACCGCCCAGCCGCATGTCGGAATCCCTCAAAGCCCTAATCTTGCGGAGGATTCATCTTGGTACACAGCAACAAAAACAGCAGCAGCCGCAACAACTATGATGCAGGTTTTACCCCAGATGCCAGACGTCTCCGTCTCGCGCCCGACACTCCGCTCTTCATCCTCGACAACCTCTGCATCCGCCTCCTTCTTCGACTCGCAGTCGCCCTATCCTCCCCCGCGTCGAAACAGCTATTCCTTCTCCGATCTGAGCTCACACGCCTCCCTGAGCTCATCCCAGCATTCTTCCGCAAAGTCGAGCACCACCAGTAGCCTCTCCCTCGACACCCGCTTCGACGACTGCAGCAGCGACGACGACGAATTGTCCTTCCCCACCTATGTGCGTTGCGTCAAGTATGCCGACAACCAAGATGCACCGCCTTCGAGTCCTGTGCGCACCACGCCCGCCGAGCCCGCGACACAGACTGCCACACCTGCATCGACCCCTGATCAAATACACATTTCCGAAGACGATTCTGCCGTTCGTTCGGAGCCGTCCCATCACGTAGACTATCTCTCGCATGAGTGGAAAGAGGAAGACATTTGGTCATCATGGCGCCATATTGTCGAACACCGCAGTGTCTACGGCGAGCGATCCAGGTTGGAGAATGCCTCGTGGCGAACGTGGGCCAAAACCCAATTCAATCTCAGGACTACTTCTCCCGAGTCACTCAATTGGTAAGTTGAATTGATTTTGGCTCCTTGATCCCTGCCTCGCTTGCTCGTCACCAGACAGCACCCTTTCGTCCAATCCCATCCCTGTTCCGTGTAAATCGTGCTAAAACCGCCACCGCTAGGTTAAAAGATGTGGACGTCACATGGCTGTACGGTCCACTGCAGCCCGCAGCGAATCGCTTGGTCTCACATCGCAATTCCGAACCCCCGAGCCGACTATCCAAGACCAACTCTTTCCTGAACCAGCCTACTAGGCCCATTCTGAAGAAGCGGAGCATGTCGGAGGTGATGCTGCAAAACTCCATTTCGGGAGCATCGTTGGTCAAGCAGGCTGCTGCAGCTGTGCAGGCTCAGCAAGTCATCGGTATATCATGGGAGGGACGAATGAAGCGATCACTCTTGATTGGACGAGCAGACTGTGATTTCACATCGATCCCTACTCGGACAACGAGCCGAGACACGGCCGATTATTTCTCGTCCCGATCAACATCAGGCCTCCAGACTCCCGATCATCACGAGAAGAAACACATTCGATTTGACGAAAAGGTGGAGCAATGCATTGCTGTCGAGTGCAAAGGCGTGGAAGACGATGAGGAAGAGGAGGAGGACTTCAATCACAACCCTTGGGCCAAGTACAACGAAGAAGACTCATCGGATGATGGAATGGTCATGATGAAGAAATCTAGGAGGAAGAAGCGGCCGATTTCACGGTCCCAATCCACAACCAATGTCGCCGGAGAAAGCAAGACCATTGCTAAGCTACCTTCCACCACACTTAAAAACCGGAATGATTCCATGGATACCGACGAGCAACACTCCACCCCCCACTCGCTCGGGTTCTTCCGCTCGAGCCGGTTGTCACCATCCCCTTCCCAAGAAACACTGCGCCCATCTAATCCCTCCACCAACTTCCTCCTCGCTGAAGACGACGACGAAGATGCGGACAACTTCACTTTTGACGTATCCCGCCAGTACGATGTCAAGCGATCGGCCACCCCGTCGCCCTCCGATCCTTTTCCGAAGCGGTCCAGTGCTTCCCAACCCGATTCGACCGACGCAACGGAGCTGCGAAGGACGGAATCAGGCATGTTTATGCCATTTGAAGATGAAGACGAGCATCCGCCACCACCGGGCATCATTGGCCGTGTTGTGGATACGGTGAACACGGCGCGCGATATTGCGCATGTTATTTGGAACGTAGGCTGGAGGAATTGAGTCGCACTGCAGTTCATCCGATCATCAGCATGAACATTACGGCGGTGAAGATCATTTTCGTCTTCATTGTGCCTGCTATCATCTCCGTCACGACTCCCATCATAAGCTATGGCGTTCATTGTTTCAGTTTTTTCTTTCTCCTGTTTTCATACATGTAGCATTTTTTTGTTTGGCACAATAACAACAGCAAAGGCAAAACGGTTCATGGTCAATGGTCTGGTCTGGTTTGGTTTGGGTTCGGGTTTGGTTTGTTACCACGGCCCTCGGTTGTTACAATCTATTTCGACATGTCGCGGAAGAGAAAAAAAGAGCCTTGGAACACAAGCGACATGGGAGTTATCGGGCTTCATCGGCTGGCTATCTGGGCGGTTATCACGCTTTCACCACCACCACACCATCTCTTCTTCTTTGACTTCCTTTCTTTCAAGCGTTTCTTTTTTTGACCGAGGGCTCGCCTCTTGCATTGCATTATGGGATTTTGGGTCTGGCCATTTTGATTTTATTTTACTCTCTCTATTTGTTCCCACTCTCCCCGTCGCCACCTTCAAAAGACGGAAGGTAACATAGCTAGACAATACAGTAAGAAAAAAGCGGGGATCGTTCCCAGTTTTTTCTACCTTTACTCCGCTTGCTTTCTCTCAATCAACTAGCCACTATGTGTTTTTGATCGCTGCCCTTTCTAGTTGCTGCTACTACGACGTACGCTACTACGGTACCCCTTCCTATGGTGTACAATGGTAAATACTAGTTCCCTCGTCCTCTCTTGAAGCATGCAAACCGCGAACGTGCGAGAGACAGAAAAAAAATAGCGCTCTGCCATCTCCGAGTCGAGTCACTACTTCCTGAATCATTCGCCATTGTATCGTTTCCCTGCCATTCACCACCGACTTTGGGCACCAATTACCCCGTGTTGAGGTTTCATGTCCCGTGCTCGTCAAAGAGAAGGGGCAAAAAAAAAATTCATCTCGCCCTTTGTCTCTTCACATGGTTACGCCTAAACACACGGGCTGTACGTTGCGCCCTACTACCTTGCTTTGCCTTTGCGGCTTTTGTCACCATCTACCCCCCCTTCAACGTCCCACTTTGCAATCAGAACGGATCCCAAAGATGTGACAGGAAGGAGAAAGAAAAAAGTCCAGCCCTCATCCATTCTATTGACCAGCCCACTTTTCTTTATCTCTTCTTTTTTTTTCTTCTCCCCTCCCCCCCATTTGCGCTCCCGGCCGGGAAGGCCCGAATCACGGAAATAGCTTGGCCCTTTTGTCCATCCCCTTTTTGCTTTGCCTACCCGATTTCTTCCATTCCCATGTAACAAAGACCGTGAAGAGAAAAAAAAAATAGGTAAAGTGGGGCGACTGTTCACGGTTAAGGCTGCAAAAACGGGTAGACTGGTACATATTGCGGGTGGGGCCGAATCACCAACTACTTTAGATTTGCTTTTGGGTTATCCATGGTATTTTCACGTCTACCTATCTTGACAATTTCAACGACTGATTCGACTGCGGCGTGAATTTTTTTTACCCTCATCACACGTGTTTCTCTCTCTCTCTCTCCCACATCTTTGAAAATTGGTAGTTGATCTGATAATCGACTCTGGGTGTTCTCTCTACGATTATGGTTATGCGTAGGGGTAAAAACAAGTGTTTGCCTGTATACTTATAAGTGACCAATGTACCTAGGTACTTGACATATGCTCAAGCGGATTCCCTGACATCGCTCAAGCTGCATCTCAACTGATTATCGGGTATCTACTTTGTTAACAACTCACTGAAAAGGCTCACACACATGACGGACTAAAAAAAAAGATGGAAAATTGAATACATGAGATAGAGGAACAGCATACCTGTCTCTCGCTCTGACATCAACGGACATTGTACAATCCGTATCTACACATAATCTGCATCTTGAAATCCCAAGACTACCTAGAATTTCCTCCAGGGTAGAGAGGTATGTCACTGGTTGCTATGCTTGTTGAGCCTTAAGGCTACAGCAATTAATGAGATCCAGCACAAAAGTACAAGGAACATCGACCGCTACACAGCCTGAAAAAAGATACTAGTAAGAAAACACCAGATGCACAGATATGTACTAATATACGCTGAACTGTCATTGCGCCTCAGCAATAAAATCGACTTCACGAGATCGATGTATAACATGAGGGAGACAGGTAAGCGCTCACTCGGTTTGTTGGCGTTTGTTGTTTAGTAAACTTGTACATATCAATATTTTTATATCTACGCTTCAAGAGATTCCCCAATAGAAGGATGACGAGTAGAGACAGAGCAGTTTATAGTGTTGAAGGGAAATCGATAATGTATATAGTACATGTATGTACGGAGAGTGCATACCAATTGGGAAAGTAGAGTAGCTGGACCAGTCAGACAAGAAAAAGAGGTACGTGACATACTTATTTGATTTGAAGTTTCCGAGTACATCGATAACCAATCATTACTTGGCTTCCCATCAATGCTCCTCTCACATCTCATGGATAGATCTAGAGGCAGACTCGATCACACATGAGGCCAAAATAGGATTGCACATTTCCCGAATCCAGATCCAATAAAACAAGTCGGGACAATATGGAATCACAAACTCACAACAGACATTGTGATAATTTAGACAATTGTTAATGTATTCTGGGCGATAGGGCCGCAGTCGGCCCTATCCTCTCACCTCTTGATGCCTGTCCCCTCTTACTTAGAAAGAAGAGCAGCAGCCAAGGGCAAGAAATTAGACTAAAACATCATGAAAAACCGAATGCCAGCCGCTGTACTTCGCTCACAGCATAACCAACCCCACAAGGAAAGGAAAGAGAGAAGTCGAGATGGGAGATGGGAGTTGTGACTGGATCGTTCTAATCACCTCTTGCGTCTGAATGACCATCCAAACCGCTCTGAACCCACCTTGCTGTTCCGAAGAACGAGCAAGCAGGTCAAAGGAAGCACGCAATGTTCTCCAGTTCGCCTCTCTATATCAAAACAGAACCCATCTCTTTCCAGACTCAAACCTGCACTCGGTTGTAACACATACACCAGTACGTCTCCGCAGGACGTGTAACCGCGTAGAAAGTTTCGAGTGACTTAACTGCTTTATACTTCTGAAGGAGCATGCAGAACCACTCCAGTAAAAGATTTACAGCCATATGTTGTCGAAAACGAGGCAGTATGAGTCTCCATCCAAACGAATCCAATCAGTTATATCCTGCGCTGTGCATTCATCCATCTCTGGCTGTCTTGCGTATATACAAAGATGAAGCCAACGTCTCAAGTAGACTTAAGCCGCGCTCATATCTAAACCAGCCTGAACTAGACCCTCAAGGAACTGCTCCTTGATGTCCGCTTTCTTCACATCGTCATCGGGTTTACCCTCCTCTTTCTTCTTCTCCAATTGCTGCCGCATCATCTTTTCGACGGCCTGTATGCCGATTGCTTCCGCAGCGCTCACACCGCCAGCAGCGTCATCACTCTTTTTCTTGCCTTTGGTGGCAGTGGCAGCCCCGGCGTCTTCCCCTGATACCATTTTATCGAGCTCGAGTTTGCTGATGCCCAAAGCGTGGATCTGCTCCTCGACGGTGCCTTTAGTGACGAGTCGGACGACTTCGACCTCGCGGGTCTGACCAACGCGGTGAGCCCGGTTCTCCGCTTGAATGTCATCTTGCGGATTGAAGGATGAATCAAAGATGATGACCTTGTTCGCACACGCAAGATTGATGCCGGCACCTCCAGATTTCGTGCTGAGCATGAACACCGGAATTGACTCGTCCTCGTAGAACTGGTCAATGAGTGGTTGGCGGTCGCTGATCGCCGTGGAGCCGTCAATACGAGAGTACGCAATACCCTCGTCATCGAGCACCCATTGGAGGATGTCCATCACGGACGTAAACTGAGAGAAGATGAGGGTACGGTCATTTTTGAACTTTCTGAGGAGCTCAATGAGTTTGGCGACTTTACCGGAATCCATCCACTCGTGGTTTTTTAGTTGAAATCGTTTGAGAGCCGGGTACTTTGCTGCCAGCGAATGACACTGGTAATCTTGATAAAGCTCGAGTTCCTCGTAAATCACATCCGGGTTGCTTTGGCAGAACATTTCTTCTTTCAAACATGCCTTGGACATTTTGGCGATCTTAGTGTTGTCGTAACGCTCGCGGAACAGGAGGGGATGGATAGCTGCTTGTCTGAGCTTCATTATCACATTCGTGTGCTCTTTTGCTGGCTTGTCTGCAACACGTTCCAGCCTCTTGAGCTGGTCATCGTATATTTTCTGCTGGATTGGCGTAAGCTCGCAGTACTCGACACGGCAAGTCTTCGTTGGCAGATGCTTAAGCACCTGCGCCTTCTTCCGTCGGAGCACAAACGGTGTCATCATGGACCGGGCCCGGTTGATGCGCTGAGTCGACAATAGCGTATCGTGTGAATCGCTTTCTGTGACCCTGACCTTGTGTTTGAAGGCTATTGCAACGCCCTCTCGAACTTCGTCCGTGTCGAAAATATCTGGCATCAAAAAAGCCAAGATGGACAGCAACTCCTGAAGACTGTTCTGGAGAGGTGTACCAGTCAACAACAGACGGCACCTCGCTTGAATTTTCATGAGATTTTTATATCGCTGTGTTGTCGAGTTCTTCAAAATATGGCCTTCGTCAAAGATACACATTTGCGGTTTGCATTTGCGTAGAAATTTGTTGTCCGATGGTTTCACGGCGAGATCATATGTGGTCAGAACAACATCGACGAAGCCCTCCTTGATCTGTTCCAATATATCGTCTTGCTTGTTCGCACGGTCGCTCTGTGACCCATAGTAAATCTCGAAATTGATAGTGCTGGAGAAATGTTGAAACTCTCGAGCCCAGTTCTCTAGGGTTGATCCAGGGACCACCACCAAATGAGGACCAGGTTGCGAGGTTGCCTTGAGATGTGATAGGAGAGAGATGACTTGACAAGTCTTACCCAGACCCATATCGTCTGCAAGAATACCGGAGATGCTGTTGTTCCACAACAGGTTAAGCCAGTTCAGTCCCACAAGCTGATAATCCTTCAACTCAATGTCATCATTCATGATTGATGGTTTTTTGATCAGTTTGGTGCGATTCAAGGATTTTCGAAGCTTGTGGGTATTGTCATCCGAGTCTCGATTGCTACGGGCACTTTGGTAGCCAGAATCGCCGGTGTCGCTATCCTCGACAAGCTCAGTAGCGGCAACTTCGCCATCAGTAGAACCGCCAAATATGTCGATTCCCCAGCGAGACATCGCAGTCACCATAGGTCGTCCACGGGCTTCGCAGCTCTTAACGACCGAGTCAATGGTTTCATAGGCACTCCACATGCTTCGCGCTGATTCCACGAGCCTCTCACCAAAAGTGGAATTGGGCTTACGAGACTTCTTTCCGACCGCTGGTTTTCGGTGATCAACGTGTATTCCCTCAATAGCCGCCAAAGAATTATAAGGACGGTGCTCGAAAATCAGAGCAATATCCTCCTCTTTGTGTCCAGAGAGATCAGCCATCTCTTTGACTGTACAAGTATTGAAGAATTTGATCAGATTGCTAGCGTCGAATGTGTCCTCAACCTCTGCCGAGCCTGCATCAGAGCCAGAGTCGGAATCACTAAGAATTGCTTCCTCTTCTTGGTCATCCTCAATTGCATGAGATACAGCCTTGGGCTTTTCGGGCGATGATGTAGGGGACGGAGTGCGGTTACGTCTACCGCGAATCAATCGACCTCTCTTCTTAGGCTTCTCAGGGCTCGGGTCGACAGTAGGTGATGCAGGTGCTTGTTTGTTCGAATACCGATCTGCCAAACTAGAAAGTCGCTGCTGGAGCACACGCTGTTGTGTTTTCTTCGGGGCGGCAGCTGCCTTTGCGAGCTCGTCGTCTGAAGAGTCCATCAGGTACTCACCCGCGTCGTTTGCGTTGCCCCGCTTTTTAACGAGAGCATCGTAGATCTGCTTCACAGATTTCCTGGAGTGAACAACACTGAGTCTCCACACTTTCTCACGCATAATCTTGTCCTTGATATCGTTGAGGCAGGTGATATCAGGCTCGCTGTCGGACAGAGTTAGATCTACCGGCATAGCGCGAGATGGAGCAGTTTGTTTGACTCGTTTGGCAGGCGGAGGCGATCTCTCCAAGGGTCGTTTCCGGACAAAGGCGGCATTGTAACTAAATCCCGATAGATCAAATGTCGGTTTCTGTGGCGTTTCCTCGACTCGAGGGGAGGTGTGCGAGTGAGACTGTGTCTCGAGCTTGGAAGGCGGTATGTTAGACCCTCGAAAGCCTTCTTCTTCTTCAGAGTCTGGATCGACGGGAGGGTCGTCAGAAGTCAGATCTATGGGAGCGCGACGCGGAACAGCGGGTGGCAGGTGGCTATACGTCCCCGGAGGTGCCATAGGGTTGAAGAAAGGACGTTGTATTTGTGTTTGCGCCTGGGATTTGGGAGGCGGAGTACGATCGATGGTGGGCGAAGATCGTGCTACTTGCACTTGCGAAGGAGGGTGCGAGACACGGCTCGTTTGCGGCGTGAGGAGCATGGTAGGTTGAGTACCAGCGAAGAAGTGCGATCGAGCGCCGGGAGACACTTGCTGGGTAGGTTGCGTGACAAATTCGCCGCCGATGATCTCGACGTCGCTATCATCATCCAACATTGTTGCTCGCGGGGGTGGAGGTGAAGAGGTCACAATGGGGTCGCGGTCATACATTATGTGTGATCACGGTATGATTGTTGTCGGAAAGCCGGGCGTCTGATTGCTTTCAAAAGAGAAAGTGCGGAGGTTGAGTTGTAATGTTTCAGAGTGCGTGTGGCCGCTCAGTTCAGACAAAGGAGAGGGCGTAGCAACAAAGAAATGCTCATGTTTAAGCTGTCGATGTTGACAAGAAGAGGTGTGGCGGGGAGAAAAAAGACGGAAGTCTCTCGCTCGCGGCGACAACGCGCAGGGCAGCGCGTAAAGTGGTGGCGCTTGGGCCACAGTCTCTATTGTCCATTGTCCATGACATACGGCTTCAGTCGTTTGTGACCCCCCAAGCACCCGGGTACGCAATCACGCTACAGGCTGTCAACTCCGTCTATACATCTAAGATGCAGGAACCAGTACCTCGACTCCGGAAGACGGACCCAGCTCAGATCGATCACGATGGCCATGCGTCTCAAGAGGCGTCCAATATCGCACCTGCAGTTCCTGCGTATGTCCTGCTTCCTACAACTCACTACAGATGCATGCTGCTGTTGCTTACAGTTGGAATCCAGATCTGTAATATGGACGCTCCTCTCTTTTACGTTTGCTATGGTCACTCTGCCCATTGGCTCTTATTTCTTCACTGTCAAATATGTCTTCAATGGTATGTCTGTCACGTGGTCACTAGTTCGTGTGGATGCAATTTCTGATCTTCAACTGTCTAGGCAACTCAACTTACGCAGGTGGGCTGGCGGCATTGATGGCAAATGTCGTCCTGATCTCATACGTTATTGTGGCGTTCAAAGACGATCAAGCGGAGCAGAAAGAAGAGCAAGAGAAGCGTAAAAAGGCATTGTAGCATCTGCGCCCACGACGGTTTCCATGGCTATTAGGAGATGTCTCATGATTTCATATATTCGGATAATGCTTTGACGCTGTCTCCAATATAGACAATGGTTACTATATCCATCGTCTCGAATACTAGTGAGCTATTGCAATGCTTTGCAAGCTCAGGTGTGTAGGGTATAATGAGTGTCGTGGTGATTCCCCCTTTCCATCCTCTAAACAACCAGAACTCCCAATCCATAACTCCTTACAACGACTCTTGGTCTATAGCTGGAGTGGGGAAAAACAGCCGAAAAACATCGAATCCCACCATGTATATCCGGCTCATATTAATCGTCATCATCGTCATCATCGTCGACATGCAAACAAGTGTACCGCATCGGGTTTTAATACTGGTAAATTGCGAAATCACCGGGTTTACCATTCGATCACTCCAACAAGCGGCCTAACGGTCCAAAATGAATCCTTCATCACTCATCAACACATCTTACAGGGTCCTTTCTTTTTCTCCCACGGCCTTAGTCTCTCGAGTTCGTTAGACGCTAATCTTTGCTGAAGCGCCTCTTGAACCAGCTCTTTCTCTTCTCGGCATTCGGACGAGCCTGTGAATTTGAATTTGCGGCAGGGGACCCGTTGGAACCGTTGGTCTTGGTGAGCTTAATTGGCTGGCCGTGAACTGGCGGTGGCGGCGGTCCATTCTTTTGAGGAACTGGTGGAACACCGTGCCCATTCCCGTTCGAAGGCGGTTGTGCAAAATAGGAGTTGCGCTGCTGCCCATTCTCTTCTAGGATCGGACCAGCACCAAACCCTGTAAACCCGTACTGTTCGCCGGTCTCTGGCTGTCGTACAGGAGGAGCCCGTTCGACGGAGCTATTGTCGCTATGGGGATCGGTCGAGTAGGGATCACTGTGGCTACCATTGGATCCATTGGTGTTCACGGTGTCGCGGGATTGTTGGTACCCTTGATTGGGGTACATGGTGTGGCCATTGCTATAGCGGTTGTACGGATCTGATTGCATGCGATTGTAGCGCGTTCGTGGGGGACCGCCAACCGGACCTCCGGCACCCTGTGCGTTATCCATCCAACTATCACGGGCAGCTTGTCGGTTACCATAATAGCCGCTCATTTGCGAGTAGCGGTTCTGGTCTTGAGCTAAATGAAGGTCAGCTGCAATCGATATATCGTGGCAGAAATATTCAGATAGACCACTGAGTGCTGGCTGATTGCCATCTGCTAGTGATTTTTGGAGGGGGGTTGGTAGGGGTTTGAGGGAATAACCACTAACCTCCACCATAATAGCTGCTCCTTCGACTGCCGTACTGGCTCATTATCTCCGTATTGGAATCTATAGCCATTCATCAGCACTAGAACATGCCACGAGGAAACTTCCACATACCGGCTCTCATAGTGTGTGCTCGTCTCCTGTACTCGCCGTCAATGGCTGCTTCGAACGAGCGGATGGTGTCGAGCGGGCGCTCCCATCTCGAACGGGTGGGATTGGAGATATCAGGTTCCGCTGCATTTTGTCAGACTACAATTACGAGTGCTCGAAGATGCGCATAACCATCTGAACGCATAGCATGGCACCAGCTTACCTATTAGATTGCCTTGCGCGTCGGTGTGGTCGAACGAGCGCAGTGACTGCAGTGTGGGCTTCTCAAGGGCCGCAGCGACTGGTCGAGAATCGTCAGTAAGTGCCGATAGGTGCAGAGAGTGCAAAAAATGAAGATGAGACAAGATCCGTTGCGTTCCGAAAGAAACACAAACGCGCAAGAATCCCGCGATGGAGAAGGGGTTGTGCGAGTGCACGGGACGAGGGAAGACGAGGCAACAAGACTTACTTGGCTGGGATTCGTTCATAGCCGCGTTCGGATCGGCTTTTGTATGGGCATGCAAGTGTAGCTTTTCGTCGTGACTCTCTTTCCTTGAGTGACCACCGGATTTGGCGCTCTTCCCGCTCTTGAAGCTGATTGTGCTCTTGGATCGTGGGCGTGTTTCGGGGCGTGAATCTGACTGCGGTGGGTGACGGGCAGACTGCTGGTCGGGTTGGGGGTAGCGGTTCTCCATAGCGACGGACATGGCGGGTCTTGTTGATCGCGATGGCTGGTTAGTCTCGGCTGGCAACTAGATGCCGGTGCGGTGGGTATGGGTTTCGGTATCGCGTGTTGCAAGCTACGCTTGGATGCTGAAACAGGCAAGACGATGGTGTGTGCACCGAATTAGATGAAGCCGGACACGGCGTAGCGCAGGGTGGTGTTGTGGTTGATTCGGTGGTGTTGTGGCCTAGTAGCTCGCAAACGCCTTAGGGAGTACAGTGCGTCGACAGTATGCGGTTGTTGTTCTGTTGACCAGCTGTTGACGAGCAGGACGCGGGAGGGTTCAGGGTAAGAATGGGTAAGTTTGGAGCGAGTGGGGTACAAGCTTTGAGACTGCGATGGTCCCTTTGCAGATGAATGTTGAGTCGCGATACGATGGGGAGCGGATATGCAATAGGCGGATAGTGCTGGATAGAAGGATGGTGGTAACTGTACTGGAGGCTTTGTCGTGGTACTGATGGTGTGATAGGCAGTAGGCGACAAGCAAGACAGCAAAAGACGACAAAAAAAAGATGATGGAGGGAAGAGATGAACAAGAAGAGGCGGGGGAGGGGCTGGAGAAGGAACCAAGGGTAGTAGTAATAATGGGCAGGCGAGCAATGAAGGGGCCGGCCGGGGGGGTGGTAGTGGTAGTGGTGGTGGTGGTGGTTAGGTGGTGAGCTAGGTAGGTGACTGGGGTAAGAGTCCGGTTGTTGTTGTTCAATGTTGAGAAGATGCAGGCATGCATGCAGCCAGCGTGTTACGTAGCGCCACAAAGAATATAAGAAACACGGGCGGGCTCGCAGGGCGCAATTGGACGCGAGGCGAAGGCGGGAATATAGCGCAGCGATAACGCACCATCAAGCTGAAACTTCAAGGACGGCGGATGCAAGACACCAGGCGAGCATGGCATGGCATGGCCAGCCAGCAAGCCAGGCAGGCAGGGCGACGGACGCGCAAGCCAGTCATGGCGGATCGGCCGGATTCATCAGCTTCGTTCTGCTTCGGTCCTCACTCGCTCACTTGTTTGGAATAGCCGTCTTTTTTATTATTATCATTATTATTATCACCATCATCATGGCTTATATTTAGTAGCTGCTACTTGCTTAGGGTCCTCCAACAGATGGTTTGACCGTGGGCAGCAGGTGATGGATCGAGCGCAAGCTCCGGCGTGCCACATATATAAAGAGAGAGAGAGAGAGAGAGAGAGAGAGAAAAGAGGTCTTTCCAGATTCCACCGCACATGTTGCTGTCGTCGTCGTCGTCGTCTTGGTTGTTCGCAGGACATGCGCTGGACATCTGAAAGTCTATACATATATTGTACATAGGTATGGAGTGGATGCAAACCAAACATGGCAGCGGATCGGCGGACCCGGCCCAGCGAGCCAGCCTCAATGCCTGCCACCCACCCGCAAAGGCCCAGCCTTTCCTCCGTCTCTGCCCCAGTCGTTACTCACTCGAGGCCCAAGGTCCCCCCACCACCACCACCACGCACGCGCGTCTCTCGCCTGACTAAGACGCTTAGCATGCACATCAACATCTTCATCCACCACGTCAAAACAGCCCTCCTGTCGCTCATCACCCAGAAAAAGAAGACGAGAAAAGAAAAAAAAAAATCTCCATAGGAATGCCACACCCACATTCCATTGCGACGGCAGACGCCTAGCGCCACCATCTATTGACACATATGCAAACGATTCCTGCAAAACTAGTTCACACGACCTGTCTATTCCCCCAAAATCAATAAATTGCTGCATTCCCTCTGCGTCCCGATCCGGAACCTAGACCATTGCGCGTACACACACAAACATAGGCACCGCTAACTATGTACTGACCACCCACAAGGGCCTAAGCACCGTCATCGTCGTCATCATCATTATCATCAATACGCTCTCCAACATGGAAAATCACGACACTGGAACACCATGCCCCGTCAATGTGAGGTAGCCTGTGCATGCACATCAAAAGACTATCATGACATCAGCTTGTCTCAGCCCTACACCCAAGCCTTTCCCAGCGCCGCGACGCCGGTCGTCATCAACCGACGATCCTCCATAAGAGATCATCATGGATAGCCTCCCACCCGCTACGTTTCGCAAATGCAACACAACGTCCATTATCTTTCGTTACCCGCTTGACTTCTGCAGTGCCACTAACCGAATCCCATGTTCCAGAAATAAATTTACCCTCTATTTGGTCTATCCTCTCAAGAACTATGCACCCACGTGAAAGTCGCCACCACGTTCCTGGTTTAGTTAGACGTGGACCAGGAGAAAACAAGGGGAGTAATATCTGAATTCGATTGGGTACTTTTAAAACATGTACCAATTCCAAACATCTAACGCACATGCATTCCGTCGAGCTACGAAGCCCCATTTCCCGTCATGGAACCATGGAAACAAAAAAGAAATACAAAATCCGTGAATGTCGTCACTTTAGCTATGCGTTGGCATGTTGACGGATGCTTTGCTTGCCACAGCATCCTCGCTCCTCCACAAACTCGTCACCGTCTTCTGCTGTGTGTAAAATTGGATTCCTGGTTTGCCGTAGAACGTGTTTGCACCGCCACCAGCAATGGACTTCTTGTTGCCCGTGAAGGAGAACATGGGAAGCTGCCCGACGTCAGTTGTACGGTTCTGATTGGGCGCTTCATGATTTTGGGGGGAGTAGTGACTTACTGGTACGGGAATCGGGACGTTGATACCAACCTGGCCGGCCTCGATCTTTTTCTGGAACATACCAGCCGTGGCACCCGAGCGAGTGAAGATGGCAGTGCCGTTTCCGTATTCATTGGCATTGATCAGGTCAATGGCCTCGTCAATGGTTTCAACATTCAAGCACACCAGCACAGGCCCAAAGATCTCTTCCGTGTAGCACTTCATATGTGGCTTCACGTTGGTAATGATGGTAGGACCGATCTGTTGATGTGATCAGCAAGGGAGGCAAAGCAAAAATCCGGCATGCAGCACAACTCACCCAGTTGCCATTGGGGTACTTCTCTGGTTTCTGGCCACGGCCGTCAAGTAGTATAGTAGCACCTTCCTCCTCCGCGCTAGCAATGAGATCCTCAATCCTCTTTTTCGACTGGGGGCTAATAACGGGTCCAAGGTCAGCACCCTCTTCGAACCCACCATCCATCTTGATCCCCTTTGCACGCTCAGCGAGGTCCGGAAGCCAATCTTTGGTCTCTCCAATCATCACTAGAGTGCTCAAAGCCATGCATCGTTGCCCGGCGGCGCCAAATGCAGCGCCTGCGATGGCATTGAGAGCGTGATTCCTGTTGCAGTCTGGCAACACGGCGGCATGGTTCTTAGCACCCAAGTTTGCTTGGACACGCTTGCCATTGGCAGAACCGCGTGTGTAGATGTATTCGCCGGCCTTGTTGCTCCCTACAAAGCTGATGGCCTTGATGCGTGGCTCGTCGATTATGAAATCTACCGTCTTCGCAGACCCGTGAATGATATTGATAACACCAGCCGGGAAACCAGCTTTCTCGGCAAGCTCAGCCAAAATCATGCAAGCTCCAGGATCACGTTCGGATGGCTTGATAACGATTGTGTTGCCCGTGGCAGTCGCGATTGGTATGCACCAAAGAGGGATCATGGCAGGGAAGTCTGTGATCAATTAGCAATCTCCCCGCGAACTGGAGATCTGCAATGCGACATACTGAACGGGCAGATGGCAGCCACTACACCCAATGGCTCCTTGTAGCTTCTCGTCTCCATGTCTTTCGACACCTCCAACACCTCGCCCGTGAGCTGGGTCGTGATACCGCACGATGTCTCTGCTACTTGGAGTCCACGGAGAACATCGCCTTTTGCATCCGCAAATGTCTTGCCCTGTTCCAAAGTGATGCTGGCCGCTAATCTGTCCCAGTTCTCACGTATCAAGGCCACGTACTTGAACATGATCTGCTGCCTAGCGAGCAGACTTGTGTCCCTCCAGGCAGGGAAGGCCTTCTCCGCACTGTCTACAGCCGCCTTGAGTTCTTCATCGGTGCTCTGCGGAACGCGAGTGACCAAGTTGTTCGTTGCTGGATCATGAAGATCGATCCATTGGGTAGCTTTGGAAGCGACAAACTTGTTATCCAAGAAGTTTTCCGTGTCGGGCGGGGACTGGATACGCTCGTGGGTTGTGGGGTAAGACTGGGCGACAGCACCGGCGGCAGGCTTGAGCTGTTGAGCGGTGGCATGCAGCCGCCTTATCGCCGTCTTGTTGGCGTTGTATGGCGAGGATATTCTGGTGGCAAGCGGAGTAACACGGGGGGTGGAGGTGCGAGCTGTTGCTGTTGCGATGCCCTGGAAAGCACGGCGTGCGGCCATTGCGTGGTGAGCTGTGGGTGCAACTGCCGAGGGGACGTATCGAATAACACCGGGAATATGCGTGGATGTGGAGAAGATGCGGGATCGAATTGATTGAGGCAATGGATTGTTCCTAGCAAGAACACGGTGCGCAACGGCAGAAGATATGAAGCAACGAGATTATCGTCAGTCTGTGGCCACGAAGTCGTAAAGTCTAAACCATCGATTGTGTCCCCGGAAAACGTGCTCCTAATAAAAGCTAGCTCATGCCTCGGGAGAGGGGTTGGAGCTCCATCAACAGCCGAATCGCTCGGATATACCCCTTTCGTCCGCCCCGCAGCGTTTAGAGCGTTTAGAGCGCCTAGAGGCAGTGCTCGATAGCAACAACCCCACGGGGTTCTTCCACATCCACTTTGTACGAATGCTACTATGGATGAATTCATTATTTCATTCTTGTGCTCAAGCTTCCTATAATACACTCGAAGCGCCTTGTCCCAAATCAATATATGGCTGTCCCAGATTCAAACTATCAAAGCGCTGAAAGCCTGTCCAGATAAAACAAACAAAGACATACTGGGAAATTTTGGTTTGTCACTGTACCGTCTGCTACCCGCGTTCTTTCATATACTCGCATCGATCTCACTACTGCATGCAACCAAACAACATTTATGAAGCGTTGGATCGGGTGGTACGCTTGTTGACCTCGGCTTGTGCCTTCTCAGCACCAGTTGCAACAGCTCCGGCAGCCTTGTCCTTCGCATCAACAGCGGCATCCTTGGCCTTCTTGGTCTGCGCCTTGACCTGTTCCTTGGAAGGAGCGGCAGAGCTGCCACCAACAACGAAGAGAAGACTGACGAGAACAGCGAGCAGAGCACCAGCAGCACCAGCAACCTCGGGCACGAATTTGACAGCCTCAACAGGTCCATCACGCTTAGCGACCTCAACGAAGAGGTTGAGCTTCTCCTTGACAAAGAGAACAGGGTCCTCCTGGAACTTGAGGTCAGAAGTGGACTTGACGGGGTCTTCAGGCTTGGGCATGGTGGCTTCCTCCTCTGCCTTCTCAGCAGCGAGCTTGGGTACGAAAGTCTCCTGCCTGAGCGCTTCAGCATCCTCAATGGAGTGACCAATGTAGATATTGTTGAAGAGAATGTTGTTTTGCATGGTCCAGATTTCAAATCCAAGCTAGCCTTCGAGTTAGCATATGTGCCATGAATGTTCCCATGCTGTCGGATTTTGAAGACTTACAGCACCAATGGGCTCAAAGTTGGACGGGGTCTTGTCCTCAAAGTAGTCGGGGTTCTTGATCTTGCGGGGAGCCCAGACACCCTTGTAGGCGGGGTTGTCAATCATGGGCGCGGACCACTTGCCCTTGTATTCAGGGTTCTTCTTCATCGGGGGTTCCCACTTGCCGCAGCCAGAGACTTCGTCACACTTGGGGTTGGGAACAGATGGGGCTACCCAGTCACCGTCTTCCTCATCATCCCAGTCCTCAGGCTTCTCAGCCTCGGGGTCGGGAATAGTCTTGGGCTCATCCTCAAGCCAGTCTTCGGGCTTCTCAGCTTCGGCGTCAACAATCTCGAAAGGAGCTTCCTCATCCCAGTCTTCAGGCTTCTTCGCCTCCGGGTCGGCAATCTTGGACTCATCAACCCAGTCCTCTGGCTTGGAGTCCTTGGGGTCATCGATCTCCTTCTCGGGGTTGACAGAAGGAGTGAAGTCCTCGAGAAGCGTTCCGTTACGGGTGGACTCGCCGTCGATCTTGAGCTCGAAGCTGTTGTCAGGCTTGACAATGAGGGTATACAGGGTGGTGGTCTTCACGATGCGGGCCATGGGAGGGTTCTTGAGGTGCTTCTCCTCGTATTCGCCGGTCTTGGGGTTTTTGTGGCGGAAGATGAAGTGAACCTGTGGAGTTGTGAGATGGCATGACCTGTCGCAAGGGGGGCATATCTTACTTTGTTGGTGGCACCGCACTTGTCGGGGCCGAACATAATCACATAGGGGGAGCTGTTGGAGAACTCCTCGGCGTGCAGGGCTTTGTTGTCCTGGAGGAGCTTCATGTACGCACCACCGCATTCTAGGCCATCTGAAAAGATGTAAGCACAGGATAGTCATTTCCAGCAAAGCATCAGCACTTACCCTGAAGCTTGACCTCATACTGAACCACGAGGGTCTTGCCCTTGTTGTCCAGCTTCTTGGGGAATTTGGCAGAGATGGCGTGGTGAGCGGCCTTGTCTTTGATGACGAGACCCTTGTCTCCCTCCACGCCCTTCAGCACCGAAGGCTCCTCGACCGCCCATTTTCCGACGTATGCCCATTCCTCCTCGGTAGACTTGTCGTCTTTCTTGGCGGAGGAAATCTTCCAGCGGGACTCCCAATCGTCGGTGAATTGCTCGAGCAATGGGGCCTTGAGGGTGGTGGGCTACAAACAGGCATGTGTCAGCCGGGGTTGCAATCACACAGGTACATACATAGACAGATGCAGCAGCCGGGTGCACTTACTGTGAAGGTGGGCTTGGCGACAGAGACGGACGACGACTCGGAGCTAGAGCTCGAGCTCGAAGCGTCGTCTGCGCGCGCAACGGCGGCAGCGAGGAGGGTGGTGGCACCGATTGCAAAACGCATTGTGCTGGCTTTGCTGTCTGGTCCTCGAGCGGGGGCGGGGAGCAACAAAGAATTGACGTACTGAGTTGAGGGAGTGGGGAAGAGGAGGAACTGGTGCGAGGTTGGTAGGTAGGTAATTATATAGGTATTATATAACACGCTTCAAAATGCAATCTGGCTCTAAGCCCGTTCGACGGCAGCGACGGTTCCCATTGGCCAGCTCCCCTCCGCTCTCCTCGGCCGCCCAACACGAACACGACCTCTCTCTCCACATGGTTTAGCATCTTCGAGAATACTCAAACTCTCCTGGTTACTTGACAGCTGGCATCTTGTGCACTGCCATCACCTCACATCATCCTTCATCTGTCCGTGCCCTATATCAATATTGTCTCGTTTATATGTCTCTGGCATATCACCGCTGTTTGCTTGTGCTCACATGAGCCGGCTGTTAATTCATGCTATTATCGCCGGTGGCATGGTTATGCATGCTCTCATTTGCCTCAATCCAAGTGCCGTACCTGGCCGTGCAGATGTGTGGACTGATAACATGTATCCTTCTTCACGTTTGTAATTCGAGGACCAGATGTATGCCTATACTGCTTCAGCCGGCTCAATGGCATTCAAGTACCCCATCTCCCTCTACTACCTGGTTCGAGATAGACCGACGCGCCAAGCATCAGCCATACCGTCCTTCAACACTACCATTGTTTTCTGGAACATTCTGTTTTCATGCAAACTGCACATCGCAGCGATGCCCTTTCGGCGTAATCAAAAAGAAGTTCTCGAATTCCATCGTCTCGGGCGTGGTGCTCGGAGCCAGCTTCAATCCCTTGCATTCTCTGAACATAAAAGCGACTGCGTATCTCATCTCCATCCGCGCAAGATGGATCCCCACGCAAGATCGCTGTCCCACTCCGAACGGGTGAAAGGCAATTTTGGCGTCTGCTGAAAGAGCCTCAGCCGGTGAACCATCCTCACCAGGGAGCCAGCGATAAGGGTTGAAGCTATCAAAAGTTTGTCAATTATTGTTGTGAGGAAAATGAACGTGCTCGACTTACGTCAAAGGGTTGGTCCAAATGTTAGGGTCACGGTGGATAGTATAAGCCTGTGTGCAAACCGTGGTTTCGGCCGGAATGAAGTAGGCTCCGAGTTGGCTGCCTCCCTTGGGAACCACGCGTGGAAGACTGCTAGGAGCAGCACCATACAGTCGATGTGTTTCTTCAATGATTGCATTCAAAAGTGGAAGCTCAGTGACATCCTTCTCCTTGAAATCTTCGGGGAGAGTGGCGACCTCTTCCTCCAGGACCTTTTGCAACGCCGGCCGTTGTAGTACTGCCCATGTGAGGTAGGTCAGAGTGACGCCGGTGGTATCCGTGCCAGCAATGATGATGTTTGAAGCTTCGATTCGAACATCCATATCGTCAATACGGCCATCACCTTCCTTTTCGCCCTCCTGGATAACTTTGGCAAAGACGTTGTTCTCGCCTGTACGGGTTCGTGCTAGCTCGACTGCCCGATCAGCTCCTTTGAGGATGTAATCATTTCCATTAAACATCTCCTGCATGTTGGCGGTAGGGATGAAACCAAGAAGTCGGAGGAACGGAAGTTCCACCATAATACCAGCTCCCATGGTCAATTTCTTGAGAACACGCATGAATTGGTTGGCCTATGCAAGGTGTGAATTCTTTGCTCTATCTTGAGGCAGATTGTTCGCAGCCCAGAGCGTGAGACTTACCTTGCCAGCTTCCAACATCCCAAAAGACTCTCCAAATGCCAAGTGAGCGGTGACATCTGAAGCCAACAGCATCCACCAATTATACACATCAGCCGTGCCATTCTGCGTTGCTGAATCTTTGATCTTAGATACGCAAAGATTCACTTTTTCGCGAATCGTGGACTCCCAATGCGTCATTAGGTATGACTTGCTGAACGATCCCGACAACAGCTTCCTTCGTGACGCATACTCCTTAGGGTCGATCATAGTGAACATGCCTTTTTTGGGGAAATTGGCAAGACGTTCATACCACGTGCTCTTGAGGAATCCAGAGCCAATCTTATGGATCTCCTTGAAAGCGTTTAGATCAGCTACCGCGACCTCGTCAGGCGAGAGGCGGACAATTGGTCCATATTTCTGGTGAAGGTCGTGGATATAAAAAGCTCGACGACCTGTCACAACGGCTCGCTTCAGGCGTAAGTGAGTAAATCGCGTGTACCACGGTCCGGGAAGGTGCTTTGTACGACATGTCAAGCCAGTGTAGGCGACCTGGTGCGAGTCAGTGTCAATTCACAGGCACAACGAGCGAGGAAGCGATGTAAAAGTACCTTGGCTAGCGTAATACCAGCCAACAGCAGTAGGGTAAGAACATATTTGTTTAACCCTGCTCCTCCATCAAAGGAACTGTCCTGTCGCGCCATTGTACGTGGAAGAATAGTGTTGACTGTCGGGAATGGGACAAACCAGAAGGTTCAAATTTTGATATAGTCGCCTTCTATCAGTGTCTTGGATAAGAGCGGATCCCTGGCTTTAAACATGTAAGTATGTCAGCACTTTCATTGATCGGGGATCCGATGGATAGTCAGGCTCCAATTGTATACGGGCAGGATACATCGGGACATTGCCCAACGGGCGAGTGCTGAGGCTAACAAAACAAGTCTTGCCAATGAATAGTAGAAGCGGAGATATTCTTCACGTTTGATTCGCAAGATTTGGTTTGATGTGCTCTCCTTCTATCATGCAGCACCCTGGCATGACTTGTCCCTGATGGGTGGAGAGGGCGATGGCACTTACAGTAGCGGTAATCGAGCTCACGGTAAGTTTGCTGTTCGCCTCTAGATCGATGCTTTGCGTCAGTTCGAAAAGCTTAACCGTATACTTTTCTTTTCCGTCCGATTCTTCAAGTGGATTGCTCTGCTCGATTAGGAAGTGAGATTTGATGACAAGACCAAAGTTTGAATCGCTGCGTTTCTGATGTTGAGACATGGAATACGAAGAATGAAACCTGGGCGTGTTCAAGGTTTTATAATCAAGGTTGTATAGAACGATAAACCCCTCCATGGCAATTGCTCGTTTTTCATTCACGACGAACAAGGTTGACCAAAGGATTGTGGGCACGGTTGATGCCGAGTTGTTGACCAATGAGGATAGAGAGACATACAACTTCACGATCAGTACATGGGGTTTAGGTCGAAGAAGACCATGCAGTCGTCATTGACGCGGAGAGTTATTCCACCGTGAAGACCGAGCGAGGCTTAGGAATCGGGGTGACGAAAGGGCATGCGAGGTAACATCTTGTGATTTGTAGAGAAATTGTTGTAAACTGATATATGCGCGTGCATCGTGGTCCGCCCGCTTCCCAGGCATTTATTGACATTGCCTGCGCCGCAAACCTTAAAAATTGAACTAGACATGGCAAAAGACAATGCTCTTGATGCAGCGTCCGAGCTGCTTGAGAGATTGCAGTCTGCGGTATGTTGGAATTTTTTCCTAAAGATCTGCAAGGCCACTTTTCTCGTACGGAACGCGCACACAATACCTGATTCGACATCCAGCATTATAGAAGCTTAACCGCTTGCAACTATCGTATGTGCCAGGGTAACCCAAGCTATGATATTGAAAATAATGAAGAATTCAAGAACCGGCCTGTATGACGTAGTGTCGTGTCGCAGCTTTTTAGGTTGGCTGTGAGCTGGATCAATGAAGAGAGGTTGCGAATTCCAGTCTACGCTTCGTAATCCACCTCAACATCACTATGAGCTATTCGCGCATCTCTTGTTTGGTCGCGGTCTCATGGTACATTATTACGAGCATGTTCGCACGCCATCAAAGGTACCGGCGTTGTAGCCCAACGAGAGATGGGCCACCATGTTGCGTCATGACTCCATCTCGATACCTTATACAATTACTCGAAAAATAGAACGATCTAGCTCTACATCAATTTCATTAGTTGTTGGAGTTTCGAAGTCACGAATATGCTGATGTTGGTACGTGGACTGATTAACTCTGGCGGAAATTTGCGGGGAGCCATGAGAGCCCACTCGTCGACCCGGCAGTTCACCCAGACAATCATCAAATTATCATCTAGAAGACATTTACTAACACAACAAATCGATAATGGGGAGAACGTGGTGTCCTCGAATGCGGAGTTGTTCAGTTATGGTGAATCATTTACCCGGATGATCTCGTGCAATAACTACTATGGGCGATCCTGCGTAGATTGTTTCTATGTTGGAATTGACAGCATGTAGCTGAAGGTTGTGTACATATAGGCAGTAAATAACCAATATCCCACCTCACAGTCTCATGTAACTCACCACCTGGATATCAAATGAAAATCGCTTCAGTCCACAACCTTCTGTTGGCTTCGGGCCCAATCCACACGCCACATCAGTGAACATCAAAGTTAGTTGAGCGGGTGTTCACCATACGATATATTGGGTGTCGGTGGATTGGGAAAAACACCACCGTGTGCAACAGTCGTGCAATCGGCTCACTCTAGTGACCACCACCGCTCAATCGGGGTAAACGTGGTTTTCCTCGGATAAAAAACACACCCCACAATGACTCAATCCTACTTAACTTGACAGCTTCATTTCATCCACTTCTGATCTCAGCGAGTAACGTCAACTATAGCCACAGAGATGGGAGTCCACGAACACCCCCTTAATCCACCTCTCTCGTCCAACTTACTACACTCTTTGAAGTCAACTTTACCTTATAGCGTCAATCTTGTATATCGAATTCAGCATCCCAACAAAACTCAACATGCACACGTCCTAGCAACGTTCTCACCGGAAGAATCTCCTATTCCAGAGTGTTGGGTCGCGGCTTACTTCGATAATTCAATGCGTCCGGAAACCGATCTCTGGATCTTCGCAGCTGGCGAAGTCCCCGGCCATCGCGGCTCTACATCAAAAGGCGAAAGTGAATTCTGTTCACTATGTAAGCAATTGGTTCTCTCACTCCTCGATCATATCTCAGGTCTTGAAGTCCCCCCATTGCGGGCCGAGAACGAATTTGCTATTGCTTTAGCAAAAAGGCACGAGGAACAGTATCCAGAATTGGGCCCCAACGTCAAGTTTGCACCCAGTACTGGCACATACATGCGTCACCTCCTTCTGCAGAAAATTGTCACGCTGGGAGCTGCACATCACCAAGTGGTTCAGATATGCGCAGAGGCAGGCTTGGTGCGCGATGAATTTCCTAGCCGGGACGCCAGGCTCAACAAGTTCTTCTTCAGGGTAGCAGATTTGACCAGCGTGAAAGAATTACCCGTAGGATTGCGATGGGGGGAAATGAGACCACAAGATATTCCAGCTGTGCAAGCCACCACCAGTATACCGCGAGGCACAGGGACATTGCTGTCGCTGAAAAGTGTAGGTGCCTTTGATGCGGATGATATCCCTGTGTGCTGGACATTCTTGGGCCTGGATGGGTCCTTGACCACTTTGTACACGGACCCAAAATATAGAGGAAAGGGCTTAGCAAAAAACGTAGCGAGCAAGATCATCAGAGACTACGCATCACAGCTCGCAGTGGATGAGAGAGGCAATGCATGGGCACACGCAGATGTGTATGAAGGGAACGTGCAAAGTGAGAGTGTATGCAAAAGCTTGGGTGGTCATGCTGGAGCCAAAATCTTCTGGGTTAGAATCGATCTCACACGTGCTGGAGCGTTGTCAAATCATCAATAACACAGTAGGATGAGTAGAAGTTAGGATGCGATAAAAAGACTCGGGTAAATTTCTATGGCTACGTCAGTATTGATTCAAGTTATAAAAAAATAGAGAACGGTGTGCCGGCTGAACGCTCATACAAATATTAAAGTGTTGCGTTGAGAATCTTCATGGGAGATCTCGGGGTTAAAAATGATAGAATCATTGCGATAAGGCTATAAGAAAGGAGGGATATGCTTACTGTTTAAGAAAAGTGTGGTTGGAGATCCAAATCACCTGTCATAAGCATCACACGATCTTCTCATACAGCCGCAACGCACAGGACTATGTCATGTTTTCGTCGATTTCTCTAGATCGTTATATCATGACCGACATAGCAGAATTGATGCCGTACCCGAAGCGCAACCTAGTAGTGCCAATGACTTAGTCGAAGAGACCGAAGCCCATGTCATCGTCAGAGGCCTCCTCCTCTTCCTCCACCTTCTCAGCGGCAGCAGGGGCGGCGTCACCGCTTCCACCAGCGGCAGCGGCAGGAGCGGAAGCAGCGTACGCGTCAGGGTTGGCAATACGGTCCTTGAGCTCCTTGATCTCGTCCCACTCGTAGTCGGTTTCGATGGCAACCGAAAGGATGTTCTTGTAGGAGTTGACGACGGAGTGCATGACGGATGGTAGGGTGGGGTATCCAACAGCCAGGGAGATGCTGGCAATGGTGGTGATGGCCGAGCCGAACGCTTTGAGGAGCTGAGATTCCTCAATGTCCAAGACAGACGAGGCAAAAGTCTGACCCTGATCGTAGATCTGGGAAATACCCATACCGTAGGTGAAGGGAGAGATGTTCAACAAGTTGAGCAGGGTAGCCTCGGAGGCACCGACCTTGTTGCCAGCTTCGATAAGCTTCAAGTCGGTGGTAATTTCAATGGTACCACGGGCAATCTTGGTGGGAACACCAAGAGCCTGGAAGAAAGAGGTTTTTCCGGGTTCCATACCACTGTCTCATCCGTTAGTGATTGTTGGAACCAAGTCGAGATGTTATGCCAATACTTACGTGTTTCCGGCCGGGACGAACACATCACCGGGGGCGACGGCACCAGCACGAGCAGGGGCGGCAACACGGTTGGAGAGAATCTTGTCACGGGTCTCCTTGAGGTCTCCGTTGGTGAAGACGAAGCCGACGTTGCCTATGCGTCATTAGCCATGCTGTCGCTCCACCCCCAAAGCTTCTGGTTGTAGACGTACCCTTGACGTGAGGAAGCAGACGCTCGTACTGAGGGAAATCGGCGAGGAAACCCTTCAAGGCGCGGCGGACCATGGTGTTCTTGCCCATAAGGACGACACCCTCACCACGGAGGGAGATACGGATTTCGTGCATCTGCTGGGAAGAGACATTGTCGACGCTGACGATGAAAATGCTCTTGTACTCCTCGAGGAGAGTCTTGAGCTTGTCGAAGTAAGCGGCCTTGGTTTCTTTCTTGCCCCCCATTATGATCGTAGTTGACACAATAGGATATTTAAGGACTTATTGTGGTTTCTGGTATGGATTGTAGTGTAGAGGGAGTTCAGCGCAAAGAAAATGCGCGTCGGTGGTTTGTGAGTGCGCACGGACAATCGGGTTAACCGAGAAGCTAGACCGAGATTGGAAAAGCCCCTGCGGCTGCCGTGCTCTGAGAAGTTCTTGCGGGTGGATGAATCAGGAGCAAAGAAACTCTGCTGCACAACTGAGAATGGCGTTCCCATATAAATGTCTGGCAGCGTGCACTAGACTGGCTGCTGATGGCGAGGACTGGGCATTGTTTGGTGCATCTGGTTCAACACTCGTGGTTCAATCTTCACGCGGCACCCAATCAACATGGTCAACGGAACAAAATGTGGAAAATGTGAGTGTTTCTTCCAGATCTGCACGGCCGAAATCTTGGTGTGCCCTGAAAGCCTCCGTGTGCTGAAAGTGTCAGAAACCGGACCATGGCGACGAGAGCGTAGAAGGACCATCTGGAAAGCGAATCAAGCTTTCACACCCAACGCATCAGAAGAACAACTTCTCGAGTATCAAGATATCAAACGGTACGTAGTGAGGTTTCGAAAACCGTAATGGGAGACCACAATGTTGCCGTTTCAGTGAATTGAAGAAACCCCAAGACGTCAATACCTTTGGCCTTTACTAATCTTACACCTCGTACTCTTAGATGGCAAATACCTAATTGCAATTACCGCGGAAGACAAAAGTATTCGAGTGTTTCAGTTGTCATCGGATTGGCAGTTACGACAACTCAGCGAAAGGTCAGTATTCTATACATAATGGCAAGCCCTACGTGACTGACGCTCTGCAGATGTATGACGAGAAGGCCATGCTCCATCACGCTGAGTGACGACAATTCAACCATCTTCTGCGCTGACAAGTTCGGCGATGTATATGCATTACCATTGTTACCTTCTCCAGAAGATGAGCGGAATGCTAATCCGCACCCCGAAGACGGACCTAAGAAATACGCACCGTCGGCCAGTCTGAGTACTGTTCACTCGGGACGTAACAGAAAGGTTTTGGAGGAACAGCTCAAACAAGCCGCAAAGGGGCGACCGCAGCCCAAAGATGCACCCACGTTCAAGCACGATTTGCTTCTGGGCCACGTCTCGATGCTTACAGATGTTGTGACTGCGACAGTAGGATCTCGAAGCTACCTAATCACAGCCGATCGAGATGAGCATATCCGCGTATCGCGTAGTGTTCCGCAAGCTCATATCATCGAGGGCTTCTGCCATGGGCATGAGGAATTCGTGCACCGACTATGCATGTCCAATTCCAACCGTCTCATATCAGGCGGTGGAGATACACATCTCTACGTCTGGGACTGGCTGTCTCACACCCTTCTTGAGAAGATACCACTCCAATCTGCGGTGCTGAACCTGTATCGGAACCAGTCAGGTCTGAATTCATTAGTACCAGAGAGGGAGGAAGACTTTAGGATTGCTGTCTCCGGCATATGGAACGTTCCATCCAGGACAGATGAGGTAATGATTGCAATCCAATAACACATTGATGGTTAGCGGTGTGCTCACACTGCTTAGACGGACGAGATCTTGGTGGCCTGCGAAGGCGTGCCTGCCCTATTCAAAATAAAGCCCGAAACGCCGTCAGAAGAAGCACAGACATTGGTTTTGAATGGCAATGCGCTGGATGTTACATTTGTCACTGTGGCGGGCGCAAACACCGCTATTGTCTCCATTGATCATGTGCACGAACCGGGTCACACAACGAAAACACGTGAAAATCAGGTATGGAATCGATGTAATAGGCATAGGTATTCAAAGCGGCTGACAAAATTTGCTAGGAGCCGTCACGACTGCAATTATTCACGACTGCCCAAAATGGCGAGTGGTTTGAAGACGATCGACTCAAGTCTACACTGGAATGGTTCAGCCAAGACACGGTCGGCGGTCAAGACACGGGCGAGTCAGCTCGAGTGGCGTTCGGAAAAGAAGTCCAAGGTGTGATATACGGCGTGGAAAATTTGAGGAAAAGAGCTGAGATCGATGCGGCGGTGTCTGTTTAGTCAGCCAATGAGGGCCTGCATGGCTGGAATCGATGGTGAAAAAAGAAAGGAATTGCTTAGAGGAGCACCACGGCGGGCATTATTGAGATGGAACAGTTGTTTTACATGCATTGTGCTAAGGTGGCTATTATGTGTGTATCCTAAGTGGCATGAAAAGGAGTCTCCATAGACCGTATGCTTGATGATTGCTCTCTGTGGATATCCGGATGGACGGTTGTTCAGATGGTTGACAAAGAACAGAACGCCGCAGAAAAGGGAATCAAGGTGTCGAGTCCAAAGGGAATGGATAGTGGGTGAAAGACCGTCTGATTACCAAGCGTCTCGGGAAAGCGAATGTCGCAAGCAGAAGATTGCTGTGTGGTTACGGGCAATGTTGATTGTGGACAGGTCTCGACGTCGGCTCTTAGAAATAGACATGATGGTCTAAGCGGCCGATCTGTGGCGCCGACGGTAGCAACCATCAGCAACAGAGACCCTTCTTGCTGCGTCTTCTGCCTCGGAGATCGAATGTACATGTTGATCGCAAAGCCTCTGCATGCCATCCACCACCCACCACTTCTTGGTTTCACAGTCGTTTATTAAGCGGCGGGTTAACAGCTTGCCGCGAAATTAAGAACTTCTCAGTTAGCCCTCGGCACTGGCAGTCTCTGCGCCCCTCCATCGTCTGTTTTTCGGCACAGCAACCACAAGGTGGATCTTCAGGGTTGTGGATCCAGAACGTGCGCACTCATCGCCGAGTGACGTTACTCCTCTGTCTGGCATTTTCCATCTTCCACAAGTCGCTTCTGAAAAAAAAAACACCAGTGAAAATTAGACCTCCGCGCCGCCCGAACGCCGGTTGCCACGAAGCCCTGTAAATTCCAATCCACTGTAATCGTCATCCCCACTCTGCAGCAACAGCTGCTTTTCATCGGCCTCCTGCCCACCCATTGATTGCAAAACACAACACCAACAACCACCGCCAAAGTGTTTGCCTCAGCTTTCCGACGTGCTTCTTCCTCGCGCTTCGTGTCGCTTTTCTCTGTACCCATCGCTGCCGCCTCCGCCTCCTCCCCTAACCAACGCGTATCCCCTGCCGCCGCGGGGCTTTCGTCCGTCTCCAGGCACTCCTTGACGCCCAGAACAGACTCGCGGAGGATGCATTCGAAGCTCGTCAGTAAGTCACCCCCTTCATTTTGAGAATCGCAGCTTGTGCTAACAGTTCGGTAGTCATTGGGTAAGTCTCGTGCCCTCCCAGTCGCGCAGCATCTATCCGTATACTTTGACACCGAGTGCAATGGGCCATGTTTGAATCGCGGTGCTGACCTTGATAGCTCTGGGCCCGCAGGCCACACCGCCGCCATCTATGCTGCACGAGCTGATTTGAATCGTAAGATTACCCACACCGAACGAGAATAACTCAGAAACCTAACAGTCAGTAGCTGTCATGTACGAGGGTTTCCTCGCGCTCGGGATTGCAGCTGGAGGCCAACTCACTACCACCGATGAGGTGGAGAACTTCCCTGGTTTCAAGAACATCCAGGGTGGAAAGCTTATGGTGCGTTCCCATATCTGTGAATTCGTGCAGCGCGTATTGATGTATTGCAGGATCAAATGCGTGAACAATCCGAAGCCTGCGGAACCGAGATCATTTCACAGACAGTCGCCAAGGTCGACTTGAGCCAGCGCCCGTTCAAGTACTGGTTACACCCTATGGGAGACGATGAGGAGATCGAGGAGGAAGTACATACCGCCGACGCTCTGATCATCGCTACAGGCGCAAAAGCTCGCAGGCTTGACTTGCCTGGAGAGACCAAATACTGGGGCAATGGTGTGTCGGCATGCGCAGTTTGCGACGGATCTCTCCCAATTTTCAGAGATCAACCTCTGGTTGTGATTGGAGGAGGTGACTCTGCTGTAGAAGAGGCTCTCTATCTGACAAAGAAGGCGAAGAAGGTTACCGTTTTGGTGCGAAGGGACAAGCTCCGAGCCAGCCGAACTAACGCGCGCCGATTAACCACCCACCCCAAAATCGAAATCATGTACAACACAGGTGCTACCGAGATCAAGGGCAACGACGAGAAGTCTGGCCTCATGACACACCTCGTCATTAGGAACAACGTCACCAAGGAGGAGCAGACACTCGAGGCTCGAGGGCTCTTCTACGCCGTTGGTCATGACCCCGCGACTGCCCTGTTTAAGGGTCAGCTTGATATGGATGAGGACGGTTACCTAATCACTGAACCTGGCCGAGGTCTCACCAGTGTTGAGGGCGTGTTTGCTGCTGGTGATGTCCAAGACAAGCGGTACAGACAAGCCATTACCAGTGCCGGTTAGTATTACACCTTTTCACATTGTCCATTTGGGAATCCAGGCGCAGACAGCGACTAACCTTTTTTTTGCAGGATCTGGTTGCGTGGTTGCCCTCGAAGCTGAGAAGTGGCTCGCCGAGAGCGATGAGAGCGTCGACAACGAACTCGAGACTGAGAACCAGGCCGAAAAATCCCAGACCAACGGTGTTGTCCCTGAATACCGCTCCAACCCGCTCTTGTAAGAAAGAAAGGGGATACAAACAAGCATTGAATCACTAGACTAGAGAATTGGGCATAACTTTGCATTTATCATCTCTTCTTTTCGTCAGCGACCATACGTCGGAGGTCTCATGTTCATAAGTGGTGTTTATAGATTTTTCTTCATCTCTTGCTATCTCGTTTCTTGGCTACATTCCTGGCTGGTTAGGTGAGATTGTAGCATAGTGAGATATCATCTTCAACTGAGATATCAGATGTACTTGGTATGCTCCTAACTTTGCAATGACACTACACGAAGATAGTGGGGCACTTGCTTCTTATTGAGCCACGCTTTGCTTTCAAATTGATGTATAGTGGTATAATATGAGTCTATCGTATAATGCCAGGCAGATCATACATCTCGGCCTCCTGCTATGGGATTTCGGGTAGGATTTCGTTCATGCATCGAAGCATCAGGTAGAATCTCGCGACGAAGTCGATGAAGAGCCGTTCTACATAAGCGTGCACCGCGCCGCATGTATGGCGTAAGAAGCGCGCATCGAGGGTTCTTGAACAGATCGTCGGCCTGACCAAGCCGAGACCTCACTGGAACCCTTTTGAGCCCTTTCCGTTGTCGATGATGAATCGCAAAGTTCGTGAACGTACATGGCCCCTGGGCCGATGAGCATTTCAACGAGGTATTCCAGCATTTTTGAGAAGGGCAAGCGCACTCTCGAACGCGTTCACCACATCCGTATCTGGAAGAATGATTAGCAACTTGATTGCTACAATGACTACAAACGTGGTAGATAGGCTTGCGTACAGTGTTTACGGGTTGCTTCCATGCGACTTTCAGAATTCTGGACATACGCAGTGCGTGTATTGATCCTAGAAAACACGCTGTCAATCTCTTGCTAGTATTGATGGCAGGGTTCGATTGTGACGGGTCATCACGTACCGGGAGAAGGAACGATCGGTCTCATGATTCAACCCGGCCTCCGCCCAGACTTGGAAGAACTTGACGTTTGTTAATTCGAACATTTCCGAACGTAGTACGAACACGTACCTTCATGAGCTCATTCCACTCGCGAAAGATCTCAGACTCCATGTCGTTTGCTTGGTTCATTGCTTGGTGGTAGTTGTGAAGTAATTCGTTCCAATCGAGGTCGTCAATTTTCTCGGCGGGATCATAGTCTTCGTTAGGCTCTTCTTCCTCAAGCTCGTCGTCTTTTCTCTGATCAGAGACATCACTCATTGCGGGTTTGTTCGGTTGAGCAGAGGGTGGTGGCTCTCTGCCCTCGAAGTTTGCAGTCGCAGAGGTCTCATCGTGTTCATGATGTCTGGCTTCGTTGCGGAACTCCATTGGTGGGTTCATATGTACACTCTCGCCAAATCTGTCCAATGATACCAGTGACGAAGAGCGTTCGTGTGGTTTTGCTTCTTCCGGGAGTGAGACTGAAGTGGACGATTCGGGAGGTGACATCGCTTAGGCTTCATACAGCTTGCGAGAGCCAATGACACACAGCCAGTCAGATCTGTAATCTCATCAGGTCAAAAGAGAGGATATCGAGAGAGTCTAGGACTAAATTCGAGTACACATAAAACTCGCCGTGCATGTTAATGCTGAACTTGCGAGCCTGCCTACACATGTTTATGTAGCATAATGAATGCGCTAATCCTTTTTGATTTTAGATCGTGACTAACACCCAATCTGGCTTACGTTAATTCGTTTTTGGAATGGCTTGATGACCTGGGAAAGTGCGTCACCCGCGCAAGTGCCTGACTCGCGTTTCACTCACCAGCACAACCTAGTTCACTTGTTCAATCACCTACACCTCACCTCCGTTCACATTGTGAATTCCATATTTCAGCAAGCAAAATACCCGTCAAACGCTACCTCTACGATATTACTGGTTCGCTAGCCTCCCGATGGAGTCTTAAATAGGCCTTTCGATGGTGTACGACCGACAAACATGACGTTCTTCTTCCGATTACCCTCGCCACAACGTTATCCATCAAGGGAAGACGAAATCACTTGATAGGTACACGCCATGAGCTGTGACATATGTGGGAAAGTTGGCGGCCATGCCTATGCCCTTCACTGCATCACTTGCGCCCGCAGCTACCTCGAGCAACCCCGCATCGACCTTATCAAAGCGCTAATAGAGGGGGAGAGCGTTGGGAAACACGTCACAGCGGTCATACAAGGATCGGAGGACAAGGAAAGCCAGCATGTGTCTCTTGTGGATTCCAAAGGAGGCCTACTCGTCGATCGCCAAGAATGTACAAACAACATCGAGCTGCAACGAACCAGGGGCGAAATCGCGGAGATAAACGAGAGAATGAGCAATATTGGCGAGCAAGTTGACTTGCTCAAATCTCAAATGGAGGATACTCGAGCGAGAGTCGAAGCCTTGAGGGCCCGCAATGCACAGCGGAAATCGGACATGTCTTCTGCCACTTACGGCGTGGATTCTAGGCGAGCCAATGAATTAAACAAGGTACAACAGATCATCAAGAAGACCGATTACGAGTCAAACAAAACCCATCAGGATACTGTTGAGATCCGGAACTACCTGTGTGGTACCGCTGCTCGGTTGGCCGGTCTGAAAGTTACGAGACGAAGGGTCAAGGAAGACAGTAGCATTAAAGAAGTTTATTGTATCGGGCCCGGCACTCGCATCAAGATATTCGACCTTAGAGACTTGAATGGTGGGTTTGTGTATATATGAATGTGGTGTCTTTTTGCTAACAAAATCGAAGATGCGCCCCCCGACCAAGTGTCTGCATCGCTGGCTGCAGTTGCTCAGCTTGTCGTACGTGTCGCCGCTTACCTTGGTGTACGCCTACCGGCAGAGATAACTCTGCCGCATAGCGACTATCCACAGCCCACTATATTCAGCCCAACATCGTCGTATCAAGGCAAAAAGGTTCCTTTCCCTGGGTCGACCCCGTCTCATTCGTCGACAAACAGTCCTGAAGCATCCCGCACGTTAGACCCGCGGGTACACATTCCAAAACCACGAGCTCTGTACATCGACCGTCCTCTAAGCCATTTGTCGGACGAAGATGCGCCAGCATACTCGAATTTCATCGAAGGCGTTACGCTGCTGGCGTATAACATCGCTTGGCTCTGCCGGAGCCAGGGAATGAAGAACCAATTCACAGAATGGGGGCACGTCTGCGCTGTGGGTCAGAATCTCCACCGGTTGCTGGTGTTGCAAGAAACCAAATTCCCACAACGGCCCGAGAACCCACTGGATAAGGATATTGCACCGGCAAAAACGGGCTCAAGGGTCCCAATCAGGAGAAACCCGGTAGGGTTCGGTGAGGTATCCCATGCGACAAGTCATTCTTTCTTGAACAGTGCAGAGAATGCACAATATCTCGGAGGATGGGGGTTGACACCAATCAAGATAGCGGACGAACTCAAGAAATACCTCTTCACGGAACAACAGAATCTCGAGTGGGACAGACTAGAGACGAAAGAGTGGGAGGGCATGGACAACGTGATCACAGACGACCCAGTGGTTGTTGGAGAGAAACGGCGAGACAGGGCGGGCCTAGATGATGGGCGGAGTTTGGTGAGCAGCACAAGGACAACAACGATGGGTAGTGGCAAGAGTCGGCATTCGGAGGCAGGCGACGACAGGACTCGGGGGGTCAATGGATGGACGAGGGTGAAGAGTCGCAGTGATGACAAGGCAAAGATACCCAACTAGATGAGGCTGCTGCATAGAGTAGGATGAATGGACCAGGTATAGATTGGCATACACATATGCACAGTTAATAATAGACGGCGGTGCGGCTCTTTGCAGGCAAGAGGCCGGCAGGGTGCATGAGCGGATTATGTGATGTGATATGCCACGAGCCGCGTGTAGCCACCACTCATACAAGTGGGATAGATTACCAACGAGTACCGTCGTTTGCCATGACAATGTAGACGGGCAGGGCTGAGGGGGGCTCGGTAGCCAGGGCGTCCGTTTGGGCCGACGTCAGGGTGTCAAGGCCGCTGCAAGGCGTCGGAAGATAGTATGGCACCATCCGCGCTATCCTGTCCCCGGATTGATCATCAGGCCTGGCTGCTACAACTCGATCCCATTCCATCGTCCATCTTGAGCATTTCTCAGCTTGACTATTATTCAGACCGCTTCGGCATTATGCGCCTCCAACCTCCATCCAGAAGGTATAAGACGGCGCTGTGGTGCCACGCTGTAGCGTGTTACGCCGAGGGCCCAGTATCAACACACACGCACACAATCAATCCCTGGTCGCGCCATTCGCTGCCATCAAGACAAAGGATACCCACCAGACCAAATTTTTTACCTAAGTACCGTAGACTTTGCGCGCGCTAAGTCCTTGCTCAGCAGCAGGCAAAAACAAACGTTTCGCCCATCAACAGCTTGTTCTTCATTCACCTTCTCCCGCACTTTTTTCCATTGTCTTTTTCCTTTCCTCTGAACCGCCCTCAGCCAGAAGAACAAAGTCCAATTCAAGAATCATGACGTTTGCCGAACACCCCATTGACACCCCGCCGCGGGCACCCTCGCCAGTTCATCGCTTTGGTACGCTTGCTGTGCATGCCGGAAGTCCCCATGATCCTGTGACGGGCGCCGTCATTGAGCCTGTAAGTCATCTTGACCGTTCCATGCCGCTCGCTGTTGCTAACCCAGGCTATAGATCTCGCTTTCCACCACTTTCGCGCAAACCAGTGTGGGGAATCCCGTCGGCCAGTACGAGTACTCAAGATCCTCAAATCCCAACAGGTATCGTCGCCATTACACTGCCCGCCCGACGTTTCGCAAACTGACACAGTCTCTAGGGATAATTTCGAGAAGGCGGTTGCTGCTCTCGAGCATGCTCGCTATGCTTTAGCCTTCAGTTCCGGCTCTGCAACCACTGCCAACATCCTCCAGTCTCTTGCTGCAGGTTCCCACGTCATCTCTGTTTCCGATGTCTATGGTGGAACCCACAGATACTTCACCAAAGTCGCTGCCACTCATGACGTTCTTGTAACCTTCACGCCCAACATCGACGACGACATTGCCGACCTCATTCGACCAGAGACGAAACTCATTTGGATTGAGTCGCCGTCTAACCCAACCCTCCGCCTCGTTGACATTAGGAAGGTCGCTACAACCGCACATCAACATGGCATCTTGGTCGTAGTGGACAACACCTTCTTGTCCCCATATGTGCAGAACCCCCTGGACCACGGCGCAGACATTGTCGTGCACTCTGTGACCAAGTATATCAACGGCCACTCGGATGTAGTCATGGGTGCTGCCGCCTTCAACTCCGAATCCATTTACGATCGCCTCTCCTTCCTCCAAAATGCTATTGGCGCCATCCCCTCGGCATTCGACTCATGGCTTGCTCACCGTGGCCTGAAGACGCTACACCTTCGCGCTCGCGAGGCCACCAAGAACGCAACAGGTGTTGCCACAGCCCTCGAAGCTTCTTCCCACGTTATTTCCGTCAACTACCCTGGTCTGAAATCACACCCGCAACATTCCATCGCACTCAAGCAGCACCGCGACGGGATGGGCGGCGGTATGCTGTCCTTCCGCATCCGTGGAGGTCACGAAGCCGCCGAGCGCTTCTGCCAGGCCACCAAGATCTTCACTCTTGCCGAGTCCCTCGGTGGTGTGGAGTCGCTAGTTGAAGTCCCCAGCGCCATGACGCACGGCGGAATTCCCAAAGAACAGCGCGAGGCCGCGGGCGTTTTCGACGATCTGGTGCGCGTGAGCTGCGGTATCGAGGATGAGGCGGATCTGGTGGCCGATGTTATGCAGGCGGTCGAAAAGGCAGTCGTTGGTGGCAAAATCTCCAACGGCAACGGACATGCTTAAATTGGGGATGGGTCAAGCTCATGGTATCATTGAGTTCGCTTTGGAGTTGTTCCTTTCTCGCGATCAAATAGACGGGATCGTTACGATTGTCATGACGATAGCTGACGCTCAATTCTCATGGGTCCGTCATTGCTTTCCTCTTTCATTTTTCTGTCATACAAAATAGCATTTAGATACCAATCGTATTCATTTCGGTCTAATCAGCCGATTCTTCACCAGATTCAGATCAAGTTCCCTCCCCTTTCTTCCAGATTAGTGTGACTACGACGTACCGCTACATCATAGGACAGTCCCTTGAATCTGATGTAGTACTCCGTTTACCAACAACCACAGCTTGAGCATGTATACAATTGTCACGACTAGATACAGCTGACATTTTCTCAGTAGGTGACGATATCAGGGCCGTTAAGCATAGCATTCTCCAGAAAGCTAGCGGGTATCATTCGATCCAGAGCTAATAATACATTATCCAAAAAGCCTGGGAATGAAGCAGTGTTGAAATGACGAAAAGACCAAAAACTAGGGGAGGTGGGGGGGGGACCGAAAAATCAAGAAGCAACCTCCCATACGAAGTGCACATCCAATCTATAGGCCCTATGCGCCACCCTAAAATATCCAACACACAAGCTAGTGGGACAGAAGTGAGCAGAATGAAAAGAGGGAGTATTGCTGCCAGAGCGTATTCATAGCTTCTCAGCCGCTTTTCTCCTTTTCAGACCCCCCAGGCATGTGCGTCTTGAGAAAGTCATCCACCCACTCGCCGATGTGCTCCGCCTTGTGCGTCAGTTCCTGCCACCAGCTCAATTTTGCTCCGCTGGACTGCGCGGGCGGTGCGCTTTGTGTCGAGGAGGCAGCTGGGGCTGGTGAAGGTGTAGCTGGGTTGGGGACTGGGGACGCCTGTGGTTTCGAGGACTGCGGAGGGTCGGAAGGTGTTTCGTCAGCTGCGACATCGAGATCGCTGTGGAGACCCACGGGCCGCAAGGGGAGGCGCAGGGTGCCGTTGTTGGGGGCTGGGCTGATACTGATGGAGTCACATATGATGTTATAGAGGTGGATGTTTTCTAGCAGACGTCAGGTGTTAACTAGGAACAGAAATCCGGTGCTTGGAAAGAATTCGGTGACTTACGGAAGGGTTCGATACGGCTGTTAGGTTTGTGCGGGAAAGCCGGGCCGCGTGCGACAAATATGGCACGCATAAGAGGGTGTTCATGATCGTACCCGTGGATTCCTCGAGGATGGTATACATCGCCGTTCTTCTTCATTTCCTCTACATCGCCCGAGCTTTTGTCAACAATTGCCCAACCGGCTTTTGGAATGATCCAAAGCGGTGCAATGCGTTCATTTTGTGAAAAGTGATAGCGCTCAGGCATGTCCTTGTCGCGAAGATAGACTTCGACGTTGGTCATGTTTCGTGTTCTGTCAATGATTTGCTTGTGGAGTCGTCCGAGGTCGGCAGGCTTCCTGGGCCGCAGTCCGTAATGTGGCCAACCGTCAATGTGCTCGATCTCCGCTGGATCAACAAGGTCTTCTAATTGAATCAGACGTGATGTGTCGGTGGTGGCCATGCCGTGATCCGAGACTACGACAACATTGACAATCCCAGTCAGATTTCGATCTTGCAAGCCTTTCAAGATGTCTCCCAGCATCGTGTCGGCATTCATGATCGTTTGACGGATTTCCGTGCTGTTCGGTCCATACTTGTGCCCGTCACTGTCGACATTAGGTACGTATGCAGCAATAAGCTGTGGACGAGGTTGATCAATGTTGACGCCAATATCTTCAGGGCCAGGTGTATCTAACAAGCCCATAATGCGGTCAACCTTCCTAGAAAGTGCTTCTGAACCGTTGTATTTGTCCACATATGCCGGTTCGGGGGCACTGTGAACTTCAGAACCAGGCCACATGTGCACCGCTACCCTAACGTTTTGTCTTTCAGCGGTCTGCCACAGAGGCTCGCCTCCCCACCACGACGCCTGCAAACTCTTCTGTGGGTCTGTATAATAGAACTCTTTCTCTGATTCAGGATCCCAAAACGTGTTACCAACCACTCCGTGTGCTTCGGGATACAAGCCGGTCGCCATAGTATAGTGATTCGGAAACGTAACCGAAGGGAAGCTGGGCAGCATGTACTTGGGCGATACACCGTCCTGTATGAATTTATTGAGAGTCGGTGTAAGACCACGATGGAGAAAATCAGCACGGAAACCGTCGAGAGAAATCAAAATCGTAGTGGGAGCGAAGAGCGAGGTACCGTTAGATACCAACGCTGCTGCAGACTCTGAATGCTTAGACGCGGAGACTCTGAATGCTGCAAATAGAAGAATGAGAAAAAGCCCGATTATGCTCGTGTATATGACCACTCGGCGCCATGTTCGTTTTTGCTGGGTCTATTCTTCTATTAGCCTTCAACTTATACAAAAGGAAGAGTACATATACCTGTCTCTGTGTCTTCGTATTGCCCGGCCGCTTCTCATCCCCATCACTCGACGATGTTAGACTGTCGGTCGACTGGCCGATACCTTCCTCCATCTCATACATAAGTGTACTTTCCTCTCCAGCATGCGACCCCCTTCTTCCTCTTTTCTTCCTTCCTTTCATCTTCCCTATTCTCTGTTTTTGCTCTTGCCCTCGAGTCTTTGAACTGGCGTCGTTCTTATTCAATAGACTTGCAATACCCTTCCCCTTCCTCTTTGTGCTTGTCAGCAATCTCTCTCTTTCATCTTCTGATTCTAGCAAGTCGTGTTCTTCATCCTCGGTTTCATCCTCGGGTGCGTCGTCGTACTCATCGTTCTCATCGGAGGAGGGCTCGTATAGGGTTCGTTCATCGGCACTTGTTGGGGATTCGGGCTCCGGCGCACGAGGAATGACTTCACGGCGCGATGCTAGCATGTTGCACAGTATGTTGTGACGTGTAAGATTCAACAGTGAGATCACATTGTTTTGGGTTGTCGGAGGATTGTGATTGCGGTGCGGCGGTTCGGAGGTTTCGAGTGCTGATTCAGGCTTGGCAGTGCCAGATCTCGAAAGCCCATAGGATGATATGCTTGGACAGCGAATTGCAGCCTTTCACAACAAATGCAGATATTAATAAAATTCGACCACAACCTCGATATATGTTGATGTCCTCTATTGTTCTCGAGATTTATATATTGCAATAAGAGAATATCGTACAGACCGTGAACACTACACTATGCACAAATATATCGAGAAATAATAAAAGTTAGAGCATTTCGAGCCACAAATTCAAGCCACAACGACTTCTTCTCCTGCATCCAACCATTGAGTACCCGAATTAGAAATTCTGCCTTTCGAGCACAACCAAAGTAATAGCCAAATATGCTCGACGACCTCTCCCCAGCAATAGACACGGACGACTCCAAGTCCATGGAAGTTGGTGTCATCCCGATAAAGCCCTACACCCCACCCAAGCCGACCACTGCGCACGTAGCCACCAAAGGAGAACCAAAACTGAGCTTGGTTCTCTAGAGGCCAGTTGGTACAGTCAATCATCCAATGCCCACGTTCATCGTGCGCCAATTTGCGGGACGTACGCAAAGACATGAACTTCTCGGGGTTCTGGTCTTTTAATGTAGCCAGAATATGTGTTACTTGTGATGGAAGTGTACGCGGGGTGGCCACGGTGACCTTGGGGGGAGGAGGAAGGATCTCAAGAGGAAGATCATGAAAACTTGAAGCCAATGGAGTATCCTTATTGACTATCGAGTTTGTCGCAGAAGCAGACACATGAAATTCATGTTCCGGTAGAATTGGCGATAAATCGGTCCGCGCGCATGCAGTTGTGCTGACAGTGGCCAAGTTGAGTTGCGGGCGTGTAGCGATACTAACAGCGGCTTTTCCCCCAGGTGAAAGGCTTCCGATATAGTTAGTAAGAGGTAGCCCGACATGCATTATCTCAGTAGGGAGTTCAAGAGATTCATACTGGGTTTCAGACACAGGATCATCGTCTTGCATATCTTCGGGGGTCGAAGCCACGAAAGACAATCCAAGGGTATCGTATTGGGTTTCAGACACAACACCATCACCGCCCGGTGATTCGACTTGTAAAGACCCAGCAGGAAGTTCGAGGAATTCGTACTGAGTCTCAGATAGGAGATCTTCATCCTGTGTGCCTTCCGATGTAGTCGAAAGATCGTCCAGCACTTGGCTTTGCATCACCTGAAAAGCTAGCTGAGTATCATCGATCATGGCCTCCTCCCAATTGGCCGATGATTTTATATCAGTACTCCACAGACGAGAGCTCCCAAAACTTTGTTTCATACGCTGCTCTTCTTGCCATTTAGTCTGCATGCGCTCGAGTTGACCGAGCCTTGAAGACGGCACCTGATCATCTGGCACGAATAACTGAGAGTCACGGTGCACAGAGGTCTTGACACGTTCCTCGGAATACAATTGGGATGGGAAGCTCCCATACAGGTCTTTGCTGGATGTTGTACTGATAAAAGAGACGGAAATGCTCTTGTTCAGTCTGGTCGGTGTGGCTGCATGTTTAGACGAGGCATGATCTGGCGTCTGCGTTTGTTCAGCGGCACGCTGAGTAGTCTCTTTTCGATGGACATGAGTTGGAGCAAACTGAATGTAATCTTCTGCTAAGGCACGGTAGATATCATCATCTTGTTTTGTTGAGGGTGCAGATGTGTGAACCAGTAATTCCAGGGATTCCATGGTTGAAAAACGGAGTAGGGGAGGTTGATGAGCCCATTGCTACGAAATGCAGTTTATGTGCTCATCAAGGCAAATGTACGCAGCGGTCAGATACAATGAGGCAGGCATTGAAGTGAAAGCAGTTGTCAAGCGAAGCTTCTCTTTGTATGCTACGCGGCGGCTGGAGCTACCCAAGTCAATCGCACCGGTCAAACATTTTGCCTAGCGCGCCAAGACTTCGAACAGCCCGCACTTGGAGTTCGTTTTCAGAATTGTTCGCGAGCGCAGAGTGCCCCACCGTGAGGAGAGAAGAATCGACAATCACAAATACAATGGCACCTGCATCCCTTCTCGACCTTGTCTCGGCTTTGCCGAATAACGATCAATGGGGACCCCAAATCTCTACCGAAACCATGCTGGGCGGCGTACCCTATGCGCCCTACTCAAAGGCCGACAAACTCGGTCGCATGGCAGACTGGACTGAGGGTAAAGGTGGGGAAAGACAAGGTCGCCAAAACTATGGAAACCGAAACTATAGGGGTAAGGAATCATTATACACCTCCTGTATTCGAGGGGTGACATCTGTGATTGGCAAAACTAATGCAGCTCCGTAGATCAGCAAGTGTACGGTGCAAACCAACAAACAAATCCCTTCGCTATTCAGGCCGCCGAAGAGGAGGCTACTTTCTCCGTTGTCGACAATACTCGCACATCGACGAGGACTCGAGGCTTTGGAAGAGGTGGCGGTACCGTGTTCGGCCGTGGACGTGGCCAGCGAGGAGGACAGGCTCAGCGTGGAGGACGCGGCACTTTCCAACGGGTTGGTGGGCGCGGTGGTCAGCAATACGATAACCGTGGTGGACGGGGCGGTAGAGGAGGACGGCGCTTCGGATGGAGGGATGACAAACCTCAACGCAACCGCGATGCTTCGGTGCAGGTCAAGCCTGATTGGCAAGTGCGCGAGGAAATTGATTTCGCGCGTCTGGCTAAGCTGAATCTGGCCACCGGTGACGGCGAGGACCTCGACAACTATGGCTTCCTCTACTATTACGACCGCAGTTACGACAAGCAGCCTGGTGCTGTTACGTCCCAGCGGAAGCTCAACGTTCTTGAACGTGCTGCCTACAATGTTACGACCTCGAGCGATCCCATACTTCAAGAGTTGGCCGAGAAGGATGAAGCCACGATCTTCGCTACCGATAGCATACTCTCCATGCTTATGTGTGCTACCAAATCCGTCTACTCGTGGGATTTGGTCATCACGAAAAGAGGCAACAAGCTTTTCCTCGACAAGAGAGATGGTTCCAACTTAGATATGGTCACAGTCAACGAGAATGCCACAGATGCACCTCTTGAGATCTCCGAAGGAAACAAAGACTCGATCAACGCCCCTGGCGCACTTATGCTGGAAGCCACCCACATCAATAATGTCTTCCCCCTACAAGTGGTCAACGAGTCGCAAAGCCTGAAGGTGAACATGACACACGAGCATCCGTTCTACAACGAGGAAGAAGAAAGCGATCCTCCGGCTTCGAAAGCTTACAAGTACCGAAGATTCGATCTGTCATTGGACCAAGATGAGGAGCCTTTGCACCTTATCGTGAGAACTGAGCTTGATGCTGTGGTCAAGAACAACATCAACGGTGAGGACCAGTACATGACTATCAAAGCACTCAACGAGTTCGACAACAAGGCGCAGGGCAGTGGTGGTGCTCTTGACTGGAGGACCAAGTTGGCCAGTCAGCGAGGTGCCGTTCTCGCTACGGAGATGAAGAACAACTCCTGCAAACTTGCACGATGGGCAACTCAGAGCATCCTTGCTAAGGCCGATACTATGAAACTTGGGTACGTCCTATTTTGACAACTAGCAGCGCACATATGCTAACGTATCACAGCTTTGTCTCTCGTACCAACCCTAAAAACAACAACGACCACGTTATTCTTGGTGTCCTGACCAACAAACCCCGTGACTTTGCCAATCAAATGGCGCTTAACCTCAACAACGGCTGGGGTATCGTGCGTACCATTGTCGACATGTGCCTCAACATGGACGAAGGCAAGTACGTTCTTGTGAAGGATCCCAACAAATCGATTCTTCGCTTGTACTCTGTTCCCGAACACACTTTCGAGGAGGACGCCGAGGAGAGCCAGATCCCAGAGGATGATGCGGAGGAGTAAGCCCACAGAAGTTTTGATGTTTGCCCATTCATTAATGTATGCTATGGCGACTTGATTGGCTCTCATGAATGATGGGAAATAGAGACAATGCGATACGATTTATATGTTCTATTTCCTTTCCAGCATAGCGGGAGTTTCCTTAGTCGCAATGCATATTACAAGGCCATACCCACGTGAGCTGAACCGCTTAACCTTTCACTGAGTCAATGTGTACATGTAAGATATCACGTCTCAACACCTAGCCCTTGTCAACAGCAACTCTGCTACAATCGCCATTGATAAGTGTACCTAGAACTATGATGCAATAACTTGCTCGTATAACAATATTGAGCACCCTCCCCCATCCAAGAATTGAGCTTTAAAAGTGTCAGTAAGATATGGCGTAGCCAAAACAGCTTCCCGAGCCACACTCTAGCCTGATGCTGTTGTAAAACTCTTTGGCTGTTGTTTACAAAGGAAAGTAGATATTGACTGATGAGTTTGAATAAGTATTCTATCCAATATAAGCTGCTGTGCATTCACGTTCTAGCTGCAACGCTTCTAATATTGAGGCTTTTCTTATGGTGAGGCTACAAACATTTCAAGCAACTCTTTCCTCCGCTTCGCTTGGCTTGAGCGCCGTCGCTAGGTTCAAGGACGGCCAGCTGATTGATAGCACCAGAGAAGGTACCCCAATACTAGGTGATCTTTCGACACCCACAGCTTCCTATAGTAGACACATACAAGCCCCAGAACGCCTCTGTAAATCCGACAGCACATATATTCTGATATATGTATTTGATATGTCTGACAGTGTCTCGACCCGCTTATGAACGTGATCAGAGCATACAAGACCTCACTCAGTGAGATTTAACGGATGCGCTCAAGTTTCGCGCGATTGGAAGCAATGCCATCGTCGACCTTGTCAGTCTTCCGGATGATGCGTTCAATGTGTGTATTCTGCGTATCGACCTCTTGACCCATAGCACGACCCAGGTGGTTCAAACGCTTGGCGGCGCCGTGTAAGGCATCAAGATTAGAGTCAATCTCGTCTTCCATTTGGTCGTCATCTGAATCCGCTTCGAACTGGAATTTTGCTCGGTCGGCAAGGGTGCTTCGACCAGGTCCTCCTTTGCCTGCCGCAGCATTGGCCTGATTAAACTCGTTCTGACGCGCAGAACTCTCCCACGCAGCCTTCCGTGTCGCGTCTCGTTGATCTCGTTCGTTGCGGTGAGTTTCTAGAACTTTGGCATCGCGTTCAGCGTTTCTAGATGAGCTCGCTAGATGCCGTCAGTATTTTCTACTGTTTAAGGGTTTTCTACACTTAAAAAGGCAGATAAAATAGAGTTGAGTTTTGCTTTCGGCACCGGGCCAGGGTGCAGAGCACAGCCACACATGTGGCTGTGAGCCAAGAGGCTAGCACTAGTGCTTAGAAAAGATGGAAACTTACTAAAAGGGTTAGACACATGCATGGCAAACATGCTCCTGTTCACAGTCTTAAGCTCTCGAGTCTTCTCTTCAGCAATCCTGTTCTGGTTTGCAGCAAGGTCAAGGTTGCGTTCAGTATTATGTATACGGTCCCCTTGTGCTCCAAGGCGAGCCAGAGTATCTCTCCCCGTTTCCTCAGCTTGTTGAGCAAGTCTCAAAGCATTACGTGTACTTGACCTATAATTACAAATAGAATTAGTAAAGTCTTGCTTAGTACAATTATTGCATGTAAGTAGAAACAGAGCCAATGGGAACCGTAAAACCATTCTCGTTTAGTAAACTTACACGTCTTGTTGTTTCATAAATCGTATCTGGTCTTTTGTTGCCTGCAAAAAGTTAGTTAAACTAAAAGGATCTTGTAATAGATTGTTGGAGTTCCACATACAGAGACTTCTTCTTCCTCTTCTTCTTCGGCTGTCAACTTTCGGTCATTGTAGGCGGGCCCATCCCCGTAGCCACCCGGGGCGCCGTATCCTCCCTGGCCACCGCCGTAAGCTCCACTTTGAGGGGGACCCTGAGGTGCCCTCTGCTGCATGCGATCTGGAGCATTACCGAAGAGCTGACCGCGAGCATCGTCGTTTGGGTCACCTAGACCACCATATCCACCTTGTCGTTGAGGAGCACCACCTCCGGCGCCGTAGGGATTGCTGCCGCCGTAGCCTCCACCTCCACCTCCGCCCTGGCGGCCATAGGAGCCACCCTGGGAAGTGACGGCCGGGCTCTTCTCCTGTCTGTACGAGTTGTTGCCGCCCGAGTATGGAGGAGGTGCGTTGGCATAGGGATCCTGAGGAGGCTTCGCATAGGGGTTGCTGTCTTGACCGGCGGGACTGGATTTGCCCTTGCGTGAACCGAAGAGAGCGCTTCGGTTGGCGTCGTCGTCGCCGCCCTGATCTTTCTTCTTCGAGAACATGCCCATGGTTGCCTGTTGGACGAGGTTAATGACAGACTGTAATGCGGAGCTGAGGAAGAGTGAGCTGACAGGATTCCTAAAAAAAACCCAGTCGACGTGAGCGTGATGGTTTTGTGTGTGATAGTTCGTAGTGCTTTAGAGTAAAGTGTGAGAGTAAGTGTCAAGGAGAGCTGACAGAATCCGGAGGTGAAAGCTGCGAGTGTTTTGGGAGACGGAGTGGGAGAGTGGCTACAATGGACGTTACAAGAGGGCGCTAGGCTGTACCCTTTGCCGCTATTCCATTGGCGGGGGTGGGGTTACTCAGCCTCATGCGTTGACGAATGCGAGACCCCCGTCGCCTTATCCGCAACAACATTGAGAGCGTATATTCACATGTATGTAAATGCAAGTGAAATTGGCTCCTTCAGTCATTGCACACGTGAATATGCCATACATGTAGATTGTACGCTGGAAGTAGTTCAACTAGCGTACACATCGATAACGATGGGGGGTATCAAAACCAACAAATTCCGCATCCACGAGCAAGTCAACTTTCCCTTGATTTTCCTTCCATCTTCTGGAGATGGTCTAAAGCATCTGCTGTCCACGGGGAATCTTGCTGCCCATTGACTCCTTCTAATCGTCCCTCGTCATCCGAAGGCAAAGCCTCGTGCTCTTCCTGGGTCCATATTTCAGTCCCTTCGACCACAGGGAATGGTGTCAATACGCGACTTATATCTCCCCACCACACCTCTCCGAACCGCCGGTACCAGTCGACTGTCGTTCGTAAACCATCGTCGAATCCAGTCTTTTGCTGCCAGCCTAGTGCTGCCAGCTTGGAACCATCTGTTGCGTATCGTTGATCATTGAATGGTCGATCTTCTGTGTACTGCACTCGCTTCTCTAGATCTTCTGTCGTAAGATGGGGTAAGCCAAACATATCCAACAGCTTGTGGCATATCTCCGTATTAGAAATTTCATCCTTGGATGCAATGTTGTAGATCTGACCAATGTCGCCACGGTGAAAGATGGTGTCTAAAGCATCGACTATATCGCCAGCATATACATATCTTCGTGTTGGCGAACCGTCGCCATGGACAAGTAATTTGTTTCTTCGTTGGAGCAGCATAATGAATTTCGGGATAATCTCTATTATCGAATTAGAAGGCTGGCGTCAACAAATCATGAGCAATCGACTTACTCTCTGGAAATTGGTGTGGTCCGTACACGTTGTTGCTCCGTACGGTAATGAGTGGCAGTTTGAAGCTTGTTCGGTATGCACTGACCATCATCTCCGCCGCTGCCTTGCTTGCTGAGTATGGGTTCGTAGGCGCAAGCAAGCTTGTCTCGCTCAAATCGGCCGCATCAATAGGCACGTCCCCGTAAACCTCGTCGGTCGAAATGTGTATGAATCGTGTGATTCCATGTTCTCGTGAACTTTCGAGTAGTACATGGGTCCCATAGACGTTGGTATTGGTGAATTGGTACGAATTGCCGAAGCTCAGATCGACATGCGATTGCGCGGCAAAGTGAAAGATGGTATCGATCTTGTGCTTACGGAGCACTCTCTTCACATCCACAGGCAGTGTGATATCGCCCTGCTCAAATGTGAAATTGGTGCAGCCATCGAGGATACGGGTGTTGTTCAAAGTCGCGCAGTAGTCGAGCTTATCGAATGAAATGATGTGGTAGTGGGGATATGTCAATGTCAGGTGGCGCACAAACCAGCAAGCTCTACGTGCAAGAGTGGTCAGTTGTACGTTCATTCCCCTTCATGGACGCGACTCCCACATACATGAAGCCTGCCCCACCAGTAACGAGGATGTTTTTCGCATTGTCTAGCGGCTCAAACTTTGTGCTTCCGGTCAAAACAGGTGCCTGCTTCCATAGCTCATCGGTGAGATAGCATCGTGGGTTCAGAATGGTCGAATTCCTCCTGTCTATTGCGTAATCAGCCTGGGGGATGGTTCACTAGGCGGCTGGCCGTACGTTTGACTCCGTTGGCTTCAATGGGCGTGCAGTCGGGGCTCTCGACGGCTGACATGTTAGCGACGAAAGTTCCAGACGCGTTCTCGGTATAAATTGACGCCGGGAAGGTATTTGTAGAGTAAACGGCGACCACATGTCGGCGCCGGCAATCACCACTGCCCTATGATTATATGGTCTCGTCGCATGGTCGATGCTCGTCTGCCGTTGCTCGTTGCTGCTCGAATCCGGTATCGCTTCCGCTAAAGCTTAGTCATTGCATCTTCCACTATTCATCTTCTCTTAGTGTTGGATTTTCTTCTGCACTACCAGACAAACAGTAATCTACGGAGCATCATTACAGGATATTTGAATCGCCTATATCATATTAGATGATTTACAGTATCAAAGCATATTCACATTAGTAAGGAAGATATTTCACCGTATCAATTATATGTGCTCACATCTGGAATTGATCAAGTGTACGAGAGATGACCTCAAGTGCGGTCGATGGTCATAATATCAAGCGACTGATTTGAGAGTATAATATCTAAATATAACTGGACAGTCTTTCTGATATCTCGCCACTGCTATAGTTCATCTTTTAATCGTCCAGAATTGCTTTCGCTACAGTAAACCTCGGCGAACACGAGAAAAAGAGCCAACACTACAAATATACACATAGAGTAGCAGACTACTTTTTCTGCGTATTGTCTAGAGTATACGTTTCTTTCAGGCTGCACATCGAAACCTCCCGAATTGTCCTTGTTTACTGCGCTGGCGTGCGTGCTTTGGGTGTTTGTTGCGAAACTCCCGGCGCCTACTTGATGTGCCGATGATGCCGAGTCACTGTCTTTTGAGGGAACATTTAGTGTTGATGGTGTTGATCGAGAACCTTCTGTTGGTGAGGAGCTTTTAGGCGGTATTGAAGTCGGTTCTTGCCCTAATGTAGTTTATCAGTTTAGAGTTCTGTCTACTGTCAGAATGACGATTTTCCTAGGATGCTTACTTTCTCCTGGATTTTCAAAGCTATCGGGATTCTCGTTGCCCTCTGCTATAACGTCCGGCAAGTTGGTCCATTGAGAGTGGTCTGACTTTGGCTCCGAACTACTACCCATGGTATCGTTGATTGTATATTCGAAAAGAAAAGGTATGATCAGGATAAACATCACTTAATCCTCTTAGAGATACATATATACCCACAGCTGTCGTTCCAGAACAATTTTGGTCCCTTCATTGGAGCCATGAAAGAACCAACAACGCCTTTGGAAGTCCGAAGTTCATCTCAAAGAAAGCCAATTTTTTGTTATGCCGGAAGCAGTCATGAGCATGTATATTAGCCTCAGAGCGTTACTCCCTTTGAGAATCCCGGCTTCTTTGTTCCCCGGAAGACAAGTGCCATATGATATACGCTCTAATTTTAGAGTCTACAGCATTTGCCAACGAATGCAGACCTGCTCACGCTGCAATGACGGTAATATGACACATAGACTTAGCACTGCCTGTTATACAATAGAAATAATTGAGAAAAAATAGGGACTCACACACAAATCATGTCAATCGCGAAGCAAGCTATCGTACACTTATATACTCTACTGAGACTGTGCACAGTACATACAAACAACATGAACTCCTGTTTTTCTGGTGTTACCATGATTCACTGTCAGAATGAATCAATCAGAACGACGAGTCAAACCCTCGCTTCTCACAAAGCCTGATACCACTGGATTGTCTACTTTATCAAATTTTGAAATGATCGGACTGAGATGAGGAAGTAGTAAACCTACGGTGAGAGAAGGCAAGCACACACTAACCTCATCTCTACCTCACCCATTCCTCAAAGGAACCCAAAAGATACCCCCACCGTAGCGTAAAGTAAACCCCAGCAGTTCACGATGAAACCAAACACGCCTACCTTCCACTTCCCGCGTTCAGGGTCACGCAGTACAATACATTCTAGTAACTGTTCCCCTCGCTTCGGTAACACGAGCGTCGCGTGGCTGAGACAAGGCGTTGAGGTGTGGTTTACCGGCCAGCGCGGTTCTGTACAACGACCATGGTTACCGGGTGGGAAGGAAAATGTCGCGCAAGCGCCTTGACTCTGGGGCGATTTTTGTGTTTCCTGGTCGAAAAGTTTGAGAGCGTGGGGTTTTTGGGGGCTCAGCTGACATAGTGGAATACACCTTGGTCTTGTCTGCGCAAGAATTTCATTATGGAGAGGTGAGGTATTGCCTATCGCTGCAATTATATGGTATTAAAACTGTGCAATATGTGTGTAGCCAATCATTTATGTTTTGAGCTTATGTTGTGTGCTTAAATTTAGATAGATCCCCTACAATGAAGATTTTACCTATTCCTAAGTCCGTCTACCTTGGGTATGTGGTACAATGCTCCTGTAGTTAACTCCTGGTCCGACCCCTGAAACCCCCCAGGAAAAAGTCTTATTCGAGTACCTCCTTCCAAAAACTCAAGATTAGCTGACATTAGTTACGTTGTACCAAGAATCCGAAAAACAACTAGAAACGCTCGAGGATAGTGTTACAATGAGAAAATTAGACAAGCACTCCCAAGGGAGCAAAAATGAAGGCTTGGGCTCCGGAGACAAGAATCGTGGGCCGAGAAGAGTAAGAAGCAGAAGATTAGAATTTGAGAGTGAAAAACACAGGAATAATATGGGGAATCAAACACCGCCATTCACTGCATCCCGGCTCTCAAAATATCCTTCCATCCGCCATCGCCATGACTCCATCATGGGAGCAAGCCTCTTATCACCTGGTTGCCACCACTTATCGTGGATACTCTTGACGCCGCCTTGCACATCCTCGAGTTTTGGCATGTGAATGTTCCACGAGAGATCTAGCTGGAGCCATGGCATGGCACCTTCCCTCCTGTGCGCATAGTTGAGCAGATTCTGCTCTGGGAAGTCAGGACTGAAGCGTCCAGGGATGTCGAGCAGAGAGAGGTAATAGCCGAGCATGTCGACATCAGGTTTGAAAACGAAGAAGCCGGCGTTGAGGTAGTTGAGGTTCGGGAAATCATGGTTTTCCTCTGTAGGCGGGTAGCCGTGCTCAGGCTTCATCTCAGGAACACCAGCGAAGGAGTATGTGGCAGGGAGAGGTTGCTCATCCGGTTTTATGACGGGGTCGATGTCATTTGTTTTGGCAATGAGAGAGTCTCGGTGATAAACGGCAGGGTCGTTGAAGACGCCGTCTAGGGGTTGCGTGAGGACGGTGTCTCCGTCGAGTAGGGCAACCAGCTCGAACTGAGTAAACTCCCAGATACGGAGCTTGGTGAGGACGTCTTGCCATTTTCCCACGTCAGTTTTAGCCCAGTCTGATTGGATGGACTCGCCGACGACGACGATGGCGCCGTCTCGTTGGAGACGACTTTTCTGCTCTTGTGGGACCTTGTCTGTACACAGAACTACGAAGGGTATAGACCGGTCGTGTGATCGAGTTTCGTTGGCGTGGAGGAGTTGGTAAGTCAGCATCCGTACGGCGATGAAGTATGGGTCGTCAATGGTAGCATCCTCTCTGCCAGCTAGAAAGGTGGCGAAGGCGAATTTTGATTTCACGCCTGTTAGATCTTGAGTGTGTTCTTTGTCGTGGCTCTTGAAGCGGAGGTGGTCTTTTGCCTTATGGGCGACTCGACAAACGACAGTGTCGCTGTTGGAATAGCACGAGGGCGGCTGCGGGCTGTAGAGGATCAAAAGGAATATCATAAGAGTGGACACAGAAAGGAAGAGAACAAGTCTAAGTCGAGCTGGAGACCGACTCCATACAGGTGAAGATGGATGATTATACGCCATGATAGCGGAGAAAAGCGGAACGAAACAAGTCAGACAAAAGGTGGTGAAGAGTTGGTCAGAGACGGGCAACCCATCAAGGTAATAAGACAGACTCTGGTCGAAATAAGAGTAAGCAGCAAGTCATAATGCCAGGACGTAGACCGGAGTAGTGAGAATATACGTCGCATAAGACAAGTGGCCTACCAAGCCGATAGGGATCCATGTTCTCAACGAGGGTTTACGGATCCGTATGGCGCAAACCGCTAGTTCATGTAACATGGTCTTTGTTTAGCTACACCTCAAGCCCTTGTCCTTCACCTCGACAGCATGTCTCGGTAGGCTGAGGAAATGGCCAAAAGCGGAATGCTACGAACTGTGACTTTAAATCTCAGCTGCGCCTCCCGCTCACATGTATGAATAGAGAGCATGAATGGGGGCCCGTGCCTGTCTGATAAGTGTTCCCTAACCATGACGATAAAAATCTGAGGCGATGAGCCACACCCACTCAGCGTGCGGCTAGAAAGCCAACGAGCGCAGCTGAGCTGGCTAGTTCAAGATGCATACGATATGTTTGCGCCCACTTGCTAGTTTAGTACGGGGAGGGTTGTGCGACTTTTCGAAGAGATTAAGAGCAGTGCTTCTCGACGAAGGCGAAGAAGGGCACTTGAGGAATGGACATTGCCAAACCCAAGCATTCCTCTGGTGAAGGATAGCTGTCTTGGGACTAGCGCCGACCCTTTCCCATGGTACATGTACATGACATGGCCTACCGTCGCTGTGGTAGCTGGACATCGTCCATCACACCGTCTATGACAACGGAAATTGTGTGCCAGATTGTAGATGTATCGCATTGCTTGTTTTTCGCCCCATTTGCGATGATGAGCTTGCTGTCCACCCTATCCTTATCAGTCCTCGTATACATCCATGGAGACAAACCACATGGATAAAGCTGCCATGTCCGCATTCAACCTGCCTGTAGCCCACACACCTGGACCAAGGTATTCGGATATTCCACACCTAGCGCTCGATAAAAAGACACTGCACATCGAACAGAGACGATGTGCCGCCGTCAGACTCTTGGACAAGTAATCAAGCGAGGGAGAACCCTGAAAGCTTGTTCTGCTCCATCTATCTGTCGCCCGCGCTTATATCATTCCAATAGCAAATAAACGAAGGAGAATTCGTTGGTAGCGATCCACCTATCGAGGCACCGCGTCCGTGCCACTCATCAATGAATATCTACTAGCGGTGAATGGGATAAGCTTGAATAAGCAGATAGCCCTCGTTTCCATGCCGTGCCATTGAGGGTGCATCAGCCAATCCGCACGTGTTCCGATGTTATTTAAAGAACATTGAATGGCGCACGCGATGGGCACACGTGAGCATGGTCGTGTCCTCCAATGTTGTCTTGGGCTATGATATTGTCCCCACGAATAGCTAGATGGTTGCTAAGAACACTTGTGCTGCTATTGGAGGAGAGACTCGAGACAAGCATCATTTTTTCATGGGTCTTTACTGACATCTTTCCTGGTTGCGTTGCCTTACAAGAGGCATGATTGGCCTACAAATGTGTCAATCCTCGAATGTGTGTATACAATGATTCTATTACGCCAAAGACCCTGGTCGCTCCGAGGATACGCTCTCTCAGCTGACCCACGGCAAGAACGCTATACTAGATGCCAGACATGGCCGTATATGATATCTATGGTTCCCCTGTTGCTGGAATTGCTGGCGTGCTTGCACCGTCTGCACTTTTGGCAGCTTCGACTTCCTCCGCAGTTGGGTTCGGGTTTGATACATCGACAATGACGCCGGGGTCTTTGCTCCGAGTTGCCAGCATGGCTGCTCGCTTCTACGCAATCGTCAGAAACAGGAAGCAGCAAGGACCAAGCCTTGTAGAATGTATGTAGGTGTGTATACACGCACCTGTTTGACATGAGCGCTTTCCTCCACGTTACCCTCGCCCAAGAACTCTCTCTCTATCTCGCCTTCTTCGTCAAGACCAGGACTCACAACAACGCTGCCTGATCTCTCCCTACCTGAACTTGGTGGAAGGTCGGTTGATTGAGACTCTTTCGTTCCCGCCTTCCGGCTCATTTGATCGGGGCTTATCGATGCGCCATCCAGCTCAACGGGGGCTGCATTGATTGCAGGCGTGCTGGTATCAATGAAAGGTGTGGTGGTGGTGGCTGCTGTGGAGGTTTTATGGGCGAACGTAGCGTTGGCGGCCGGGTCGCTGGGTGTGGGAGGACCAGGCGGGGAAATGGGGGTAGCTTCGGACATCGTCTTTCGTGGGAGGTTGAGCTTGAAGTTGGTTAAGTCTATGAGGTTGAATGGAGTGAAATGAGGCTAGAAAGTATTTGTCGCTGCTAGGAGGACTCTGTTGCTGTGGCGGTTGTTGCCTTACTGTCAGCCTTCAGCTTCAGCCGCGTTGGACCCCTCGGTCATGGAGGTTGTGCGGTCAAACAAATCCCCGCGTCCGCAGTCAGCCAGCCGCACAGCGATAATAATGACCAGGGTTTGCGATGAGGCAGCAACGCTGAATGACGTAAGTCCAAGTCTTGAGACTGCACACCGGAATCTGCTATCTGTTCTTGACAGTAAGAAATCTTGGGGTCGTGTGTATTGGACGACGAAGTGATGAGCTTGGAGGGTGTTTCATTCAGGGTCCAGGAAGTGGGGCCTTACGTCAGAGGATCTACAGCGCGTTCCTGGCTTGACAGCCCACATGTGCCCAAGTACCTTCAGATGTTTGTCTGTTGTCTTGAGTTTCCTTCTCACGACACATGGTGCTGCTCCATCACTCAACCCATCAATTGAATATTCAATAGAGCAGAGAACAAGCGATCAACCCGAAAGTTACAAGCCTTTTTGGTAATCGCCTGTTTTTGGTACTTTTATCACTGTAAACATATGTCGCTGTGTGTAGGAACACCCAAATTCCCACGATAAAATTCAAGTCAACAACTATGTGCCGACGTTGTACATGTTCAAAGCCCTTCTAATCTATCTTTACTTGCGCCATACGTAATTCCACCGCTTCTCCATCGAAGACAACGTACGCGTTCCGAATCAAGACAGCACCCACTAGTACGATTGGACCGTCCCATGGGATTACACCCAGGTAGCATAGTTCAACACCGTCCTCACTCCGGACCTCGCCAAGGTTGGCAGGCATGCCGAAACTGTAGATCATCTCGCTGTATGGCATACGAATTGCCGGTCCGTCCTCTTCATCCCGTCCAGCAAATACCCACTCGAGATACTCTGAGGATGAACGAAGCGAGCAAGGGACGTATGGGGTATTTGCCGTAGGATGCGTCGTCGCATTGAGTGGAGAAGCAATGCTATCATACAACGAGGACGGCAGATACATATTAGGTGAGCCCGTGTCAACGATAGCCTCCAATGTCCAGTTTGAAGCTGTCAGGTCCTCTCTTTTCCCCTCGTTATCCACACGCGCAACCGATGTGAATTGAACTAGCCATTCCATAAACACTTGTTCCGGCCCGGATAACAGCACAGGTGTACTTTTAAGCTCGCCCTCGTATTTTGCGTCGTCGATGCCACCCAATAGCAGAGTCCCTGTCGCGGCGTCTTGACTGTTCAACCACACGCTGAATATCTTCTTTTCGATTATACCTTGCCGATGCAAATTAAGCCACACCGGCAAAGGGCTCCGGCTCGCACTCCTATACGTAGGGCTCTTTGGATTGTCGTATGCACTGGAGCGGTACACCGTACCAAGACCCATTATGCCCCAATGTATCATTTCTGCTTCAGTGACTTCTGCGACAGCGAATGATTGGTTCAGTAGGGTGGCGCCCCCAATGGTAACAGTGTCGTTGTAGTACTCTCCCAGCATAATGTTATCGGGTGTCAACCCAAAAGACACATTATACGGAATGTGAATATCTACTGCAGTGCCAGAGGCGTGCACATCGAAAGTTCCGGGTGGGCAGCTCTCTAAACATCCGGGGGATGTTGGGGAAGGCAGCCATAAATCAGCAGACCCTGAATCTATCATGATCGTGAAGGATTGAGGGGGATTTCCCGCCATTATATTGAAGAGATAGCGCTGCACAGTGTCAGTGTGGAAACGGGAGGGCGTGCAGGATCATCGTCAGCACATGTATACCTGAGTTGGAAAATCGTTGAACACTGGTAACTCAATATTGCGCGCGTGTAGCCTGCTCGACAGTGGGAGATGGCCATCCTTTAGTTCTTGGACAACGAAGTCCAGTTGGATAGTTTGGCTTAGAGCTTTTGCGCTCAGCAAGAGGATGACAGGGAGAAAGAACATCGTTTTTCTTGCTGCCGACGCGACACCAAGAGATAGAAGAAAGTAAACACACATGCGTATCCTGCGAGGATGAAAAAGTATTTACATTGGCTGCTGCATACTCAACGGCTACCGGAGTTAAATTCCCCATCAGTTCGTATTCGCGTATCCTCGTACTGTCATCGCACCTCTCCCATTCGCGGTAAACGCTGATCTTCCAACATTACTCCGCACCTCCAATACGCCCTCTAAATTTCACACTCAGCTTTATTCTGGACGATCCGTTTATTTTATCTCGGAGTCAGCTACCTAAATTGGCAGGGCGGATCCTGTTCATCTTAGAGCAGATGCATTTGCTTTTTTTTTTATTCCCGAATGACGATGAGCAAATCACTGAAGCAACAAACAACTGGATGTATGATCCTGAGAACATGGTACACGGCCATTGCATTGCAAGTCAGCAACAGCTACGATGCCAACACTTCTGGGAACTGATACTCCAGTCACCTTGTACAATACTTGGATCTGTAGAAAGCCTTTGGTATTCATCGTGAGATATAGCCCCATTATTTACGTAGTTTAGGTGAGAATGCGTTCACGACGAATTTACACATATATTTCAGCAGTTTACAGTAGGATTGCTCGAGGCACACACTGGCATGTCGTCATAGATGCACCAGTGCACGGGAGCTAGCGCGAGTTCGTGTCCAACGCGTTCTGCTTGATACGCGTCTTGTCATATTATCTCCTCGCAAATCCCCACGAAATTGTTCCCACACGTCGAAAGGATCCAGCGGTTGGTTCTCACGGCTGAACTTAAAAGACAGTGAAACCCGATTCCAGCGCGTTGTTGTAGATTGAGCAAGATATCAATCGACAATTTACGACCATCATGAAGAGAGGTGCTTTGGATACATTCTTCAAACCAGTGGCACCGAAAAAGCCGAAATATGAAGCCAGCACACAGCAGTCATCACACGCAAGCTACCCCTTCGCTGTCTCTTATCTTCCAGAGGCGTTTGCAGAGCAACTACAATTCGCCCCTGCAGAGGAAGGGAGGGTTATGAATCAAGAGAGGGATCTGGACATGGTATACTACCAGCCATATATACCACGATCCATTGCAGATGGCATGTTCGAATTTTTAAGACAGGAGTTGTTTTTTTACAGAGTGCAATACACCATCAAAAGAGGAGGAGCTCCTACAGCCATCAACACGCCACGGTTCACGACGGTCTTTGGGGTGGATGCTACGAGTCGCTTCACGGAAGACGGTGGTTTGGTGGATGCGAAGACAGGGAAAGGAATAGAGAAGGGGAGGTACAAGTGCACACCTCGTCCAATTCCCCAATGCCTTGGGTTACTGAAAGATCTGACCGAGGGCGCAACGGGGTGTGAGTTCAACTTTTGTCTGGTCAATTACTATGCCGACGGGAAGGACAGTATATCGTATCATTCCGATGACGAGCGGTTCTTGGGGGAATTGCCAGCGATTGCGTCATTCACGTTGGGAGCAAAGCGCGACTTTTTGATGAAGCACAAGCCAATACCACCGTCAACGACGGGAGAATCAGTGGTAGAACCGAAGCAAATCAAACTGACCCTGGGAAGCGGAGACATGGTGCTGATGAAGGGGGAAACGCAGCGAAATTGGCTCCACAGCGTGCCCAAGAGAGCTGGGGAGCAAGGCGGAAGAATCAATATCACATACAGACAAGCATTAGTTAGAGGAGGAACGGACAACTATTACACATATAATGTAGGGACGGGAGGAGCATTCCAGTGGAATGCGCGTGAAAAATTGATGAGGGCCTGGTCGGCAGATGAGGATGCATCTGAAGGAGTGACCCCGCCGAAGCAGGACAAATGATGGCTGCGGCGAGCAAGGCTGTGTGAGTCATTGAGCGGCTGTACTGCTGGCGCTATGTAGGTCAGATAATAGTGTATGCAGGCGGAGGTTTATACAGGCGGGAGAAGCAGCGGAATACATGGCTGGCCAGACCAGCGGAGAAGGCGCTTGGCATGGACCGGTGATGTATTATCTGGTGGGTGTAAAAGGGCATGGGCCGGCCGTTCGCCCTCTCCCTTGCTGCTCATCCACCAGTACCCACTCGCCAGAAAGCAAGCATTGTGCTATCCCCCGCCCGCCTCCCAGGCTGCTGTCACTGAGAGTGTTAGAGCCGTCATACCGGTAGCGGCTTCGTGCGCGTGCGAGGTGGTGAAAAGAGACTGCTATCCGTCGGATTCATCGTCATTGTGCGCGCCGCAACGGCCGGTGTTGAACTTCAGGTCTCGAGCGCATCGCATCGCATTGCAACTTGTCGCATTACGCTGTCCCATTGCTTGCGCATCACAGGTGTAGACAGCCGTCGGTACAACTCCCGAGGCACCGTTTTCTCGTCACCTCATTTGTTTCGAGTGCACGCGCCTGTGTACCGATAAGACAACGATTTTGCTTCGATAGGAGGCACGAATCAGCGAACATTGTCCAGAGAGCACTATTTGAAGGAAGGGGACAGAAGATCAAGAGGGGCGGAAAAGAGGAAGAATAAGGAAGGTCATATCAACGAGGGGATCGTGGTTGAGCCCCCACCTACCCTTGACTGGCCGAGAGGGAAGAAAACAGAAGGAAGACAGAGGAGCGCAAGAGGAAGGGCACGTCAGCATTTAAAGAGAACGACTGTCAGGCAGTCAGACATACATAGCCTGTCTGTCTGCCTCCGCAATATAAAGCCGGTCGAGGTGCTGGCCACAGCAGCGCCTTCCATCCCTCCAGAGCCAACTCTCTTGCAGCACGGGTGGGCACGACACCGTTTGCATCAACCATCAGCGCTTGCCCGTGCGTCCATCACCGCTCGCTCCTCACACTGCCCATCCACTCACCTTTCGATACCTCGCACATCCTCACCGCAGCCATCTGTCGCCACTTGTGCCTGCGAACACTGCAAGCATTTGAAGCACACAACCCTATCGGACTTAGCCCTTAACCCCGCTCTCCCCGTTCTATTGCACGCTTGTAACTTGACGGCTGTCGACCAATTCCCCAAGTGTCTGTCGTCGACACCAACTGACAGCCGCCAACCCACCACCATGCCTCCCACTCCCCCCTCGACCACCTCGTCCAACTCGGGTCAGTCGCCGCCAGACCCTCAGTTTAGGGTGGTGCGAAAGCGCAATCGTGTCCCGTTGTCGTGCGGGCCCTGCAGGCACAGAAAGTACGACCCCTCCACATCATTTTCCCTCGTTACACCTCAGATGCTGATTCTGTCAGGCTGAAATGCAATCGCGGTCATCCTTGCGACAACTGTACCAAGCGCGGAGACACGCCATCATGTACGTACGCTACTCCAGGCAATCGCAAGAAGAGCTCCTCGTCATCCAGCTCTGCAACCACTCCAAATGACATGCAAAACCGCATTGACCGCCTTGAAGGACTTGTTCTTTCATTGATGACCAATGGCGCCCAGAGCGCAGGACCGGCTGCCGCTCAAGCCGCCATCGCCCATAGCATGAGCGCTGGCTCGGAAGACAACCACTTCGATATGACCGGCCCAGATTCAATACCCGAGGAGGACGCTGGCGATGAAAGCGAGGTGGAGCACGTCACAAAGTCAATCGGCGTCATGAAAGTGGACAACAACCGCGCTGTTTTTGCGTCGGAAGCGCATTGGTATGCGATTCTTGGAGAGGTACGCTTCATCAGCCAAGCTTCCGCTCTCCAGTCACCATGCTGACAGTCATGTAGCTCTCCGAGGTCAAAAATTACTTTTCCGAGCATAAAAAGCAGTATGACGAGCAGTTGAAGCGCTACAAAGCCGCTCATCAGGAGGACCACAATCTTGGCCTCTCCTTTCTCTTTGGCGGTCAATCGCCCATGACGCCCGCCGAACTTCTCTCCGCGTTGCCCCCCAAAGCGACCGCCGATATCCTCGTCTCCCGATACTTCAACACGTACGATCCTGGAATTCATATCATACATGGACCTACGTTCCAGAAACAGTATGACAAGCATTGGCTGAATCCTAACGACACACCCGTGATCTGGTTGGGTTTGGTGTTTGCCATGATGTGCATAGCTCTACAATCCTATACACGAGCTGGTGACGAACCTCCCGAATATCGAGGCAAATCTTGGGAAATGTCCAACGAATATCGCAATTTGACTGCACAATGTTTGGCGGCAGCGGATATCACATCGCCCATTACAAACATGCTGGAGACCCTCATCCTGCATGTCTATGCAGACTATGCTAGGAGCAGAGACTCACAAGCCGGTATCCTGATCAGTACCGGTATCATAGTACGGTTGGCTATGAGAATGGGTCTCCATCGTGACGCAGCCCCGTACGCGGGTATCAGCGTCTTCCAGGCAGAAATGCGGAGGCGAGTTTGGGCAGCAATCCGGTCCATGGATCTGCTGTTCTCAGCGCAGGCTGGCATGCCGCCTGTAGTGCGGCCGCGGGACACAAATAGTGAGATTCCTCGAAATATCTACGATGATGAACTGTTCGAAGATATGAAGGCACTGCCGCTATCACGATCGGAAGAGGAAGCGACTCCGACCTTGTTCTTGATCAACAGAACGCGTCTGATTTATAAGCTTGGAGAAGCGGTGGAATTAACAGAATCCCTCACATGCTCCTCATATGAAGAGATCATGAATCTAGACTCCCAGACGCGAGAGCTGCATGATAGCATATCGCCACATCTCAAAATTCGTAGCATGGACGAATCGGCACGAGACCCTTCCACCCTCATCATGCAACGGTTTACGCTCGACTTGTTGTATTTGAAGATCATTGCTACTTTGCATCGAAAATTCCTTGCTGTTTCGAGAGTCAATCCTAGGTTCATGTACTCTCGAAAGGCGGTTATCGACGCGTCCATGACTATGCTTCAACACCAGGCGACACTGCATCGTGAATGTCAACCAGGTGGCAGATTACGAAATGTCAAGTGGTTCATCTCATCACTTACGACAGTCGATTTCTTACTGGCTGCTATGATTGTGTGCTCGGACCTCTACCACACTGCACGCTCTGAGCGACAAGGCCGATCGCCGTCTGGCGACTTCTGCTGGAATGACGAGCGACGGGACGAAATGCTAGATGCCATTGAAACGGCAGTGGGCATTTGGGATGGCTTGAAGGACGGCTCTATGGAAGCATACAAGGCTCACTCAACTCTCAACGTTATGCTGAATCAGCTCAAGGAACACCACGCAACGAGGCAACACCAGCGGAGTTTTCCGGCTGCATCATCTACCTTCCCAGCTCCTAGTCCTATGGACGACTCTAATGTTGCCCCTGAGCATTCAGCGGCAATGACGCTTGGGATGCTCAGCAGTGGCGGCATGACACCCAATTCAGCCAACATGTTCGACACCCGTTATCCAGCATCAATAGCGAACCTATTGAACGATCCTGCACCGCAACAAGCAAGCAATCTTAACCCACAGTTCAACGGAGCAACAGCCGGTGCCGAGAATGCACCCAGTCTCTTTTCTAATCTGTTCGCTAATAGCGGCACTGGATTCCAGAATGATCTCCCCCCTACAGATATCATTGATTGGGTATGTACTATTGTTTTCGACCACTTTTTTTTGTACATCACTAACAGATCATTGGTTTTAGAACGTATGGGACTCCTACATTCAAGGCCAGAACAATCAAATGGATGCGGCTAATAATTTCTTCCCTATGGACTTTGGCGCCATGCCAATGCAGACTGACGCCGCCACTGGCCTAACGGACAATGCTCCAAGTGCCTCCCAACCTAGCAATGCAAATGCATTCGCAGACAATGGAGGAGTATTCATGGGCGGCCCAGAGGCAAAAACTACGTCTAATGAGGGCTATGCGTTGGGTTTCATGTTACCCAAGACTGGTTGATGGCCAACGTCATGGCTTTCAAGGATTCGGCGCTTGCGGTTTCTGAATATATATGTTTGGGCTGGTCGAGATATCCGTATTTGATCTAGGCTGTACTGTACTGGTTATGCAGTAACACGTAAGAGTTTCCTTTGGGATTCTCATCCTCGTGTGTTACTTGTTATTGTTCAACAGCATGTTGAACCTAAATTACAATCATTCTTGCGGCGCACAGTCCCCCGCCCCAGTGATATCATATATAAGCGCAAAAGCAAAATGTTAACGAATATTGTCGTTTGAAGGCGGACATAGTCCAATGATAAACCTCTTCGGTGATCCGTGCATGGGGTGGCTCATTCAGCCTTCTCGTCCTGTCAAATCTCTCCGTTCAAGCTTTGTCGGCCATGTCAGTCAGCGTCAACACTGAAATATTGAACCAAGGTGAGAATCCTCTCTGTTCCCCCCACTGGTAGATTTCTGCTCTTGAAGATTTACAAATACGAGCAGTTATTCTCGAGGACCTGGTGTAATGGAAGAACGTTTCATGCCATATTGAGCTTTAGATGGGTTTATCTAAACGAGACCTCATATCTGGATCGATGGCTAGCATACGGGAACGTAAAGCTCTGGCATTTTGAAGAAAACGTCGGAACACGCGGAATTGCCTGATCGATGTTAGAGCGCGCATTTGTGTAATATGTAAGACGATTGTTTTATCTGCATTAAGATAACGCATGATCGATCCTAGATAACCCATAGGAAGACCATGACCCAATCAGAACAATAGCAGTTCAGATCGAAACTTCTTATAAAGCAAATCGAATCCTTCGATATTCTGCTTATTCACATCGTAAATAGCTCGGGCTGGAGTGGAGCAAATAGCATGCGTACACTAGGTAGGGTGAGATGAGAAGTTACCTCGGCAAGAACCAAGGGCATCCATCTTTCTCGTCATCTCGAACCTGCACTTCCCACATTTCACTTTCACCCATTGATATCATCCGTCTTCACTCACAAATTGTTATATTCAATTCAATTCAGCTACAGAAACTATCATCCATCATGCCTATTGACGTCATCGCAATTCTCTCACCAAAGCCTGGGAAAGCTGATAGAGTAAGTAAAGAACCAAAGGCTGCAAGCATGAGTACTAATCTCAGGAAAAGGTAGAAGAGCTCCTTAAGAAGACCGCCGAATCGGTGAAAGACAATGAGCCGGGAACATTGAGATACCAGGTCAATCGCGAAGCCAACGGTGATGCGCAGACAATCGTAATGTTAGAAACGTAAGTTTTTGAGCCTCTTGACAAATCTCACTTCCCATTTCGAGATGCTGATCACTCTTGAAGATACAAAGACCAGGCCTCTCTAAAAGCACATGGTGCAAGCGACGACTTCAAGGCTATGGGATTGGCTTTCAAAAAGGAAGACTTGTTAGCGGCACCGATGAAGCTTCTGTTCACCAAGGAAGTTGGCGGGTTCTCGAGCAGGCTATAGAGCTTTCTAATGATTGGTAGCAAGTGCGTAACTAGACTTTTTCGAGTACATTCGTAGTCCTTCTGTTGCGACGCGCATGATAGCTTGATTTAGACATGCAGTGTGTGTAAGACAAATAATTTGCTACACACGTTGACGCATAGCGAACATTGGAGGTGAAGTCTTGTCTGTATGGATGTATTGATTTCAATGGATAATTTGAAACACTTTCAGCATCATGCATCCCATCTGTTCCGGCTCCTCTACTCACTGAAGCACATCCTCAAGCCTTAAGCACACGTTCAAACAACTTTTCGGCGCGCTGAAGAGCCTCTTCGTTGATTTGATAGTGCACGACAAACCTCTCACCCTTGACCACCACGCCCAATTCGTCAGCTGTTTGAATAAACTTATCCAACTCAACTGCACTGCCCTTCAGATCTAACCAAACCATGTTGGTATCCACGGGATACTTCAGCTTCCCGCCGAGATCAATCCACACCTTCTCCAGCCTTCGAGCGTTCTCATGTGACTGCGCGAGCTTGCCACCAAGAAAGGTCTCCTCGACAGCGACGCGGGCAGGTGCTGCTACCACACCTGCTTGGCGCAGACCGCCACCTATCATTTTTCGAAGCCATCTGCTGCGTTTTATGAAGGCTGACGTGCCCGCTATGATGCTACCGATGGGAGCTCCAAGGCCTTTGCTGAAGCACAAACTCACACTGTCCACTTCGCCACAGTATTCTTTTAGAGACCCGGCTCCCGCTGCTACAGCTTCCCAGAGGCGAGCACCATCCATGTGCACCAAAATGTCGTTTTGATGGGCCCATGCCGAAATCCTCTTCACCTCTTCCAACGGCATGATGACGCCATTAAGTGTGTTTTCAAGTTCAATCACACGCGTAGGGCACATGTGTACGTTGTCGGAGATAACGGCATATTCCTGGACCTCCTCGAGGGTAATGTATTTGCCGTTTTTCGGATCGATGGGTTGAACCATAGCTTGCGATAACGTAGCAACACCCCCAGCTTCATGCTGAATAATATGACTTCTTCTATCACAGCAGATGGCGTGGGGAGGCGCAACAAGATGGGTCCGGAGTGCCACTTGATTACCCATCGATCCACTCACGACTAGCAAAGCGTCTTCCTTGCCCGTTAGCTCGGCGATGAAGCGCTCGAGTGACTGGGTTGTGGGATCTTCATTGAACACATCGTCAAGCAGCGTACATTGCACGATGGCGTTCAGCATCGAAGGTGTTGGCCTACTGGTGCAGTCGGAACGATAGTCTGAAGCAGCGGGATTATTCTCGGCGCCCCACGCATTCTGAGCAAGAAGTTTGGCGGTTTTCAGAGTATCGGCAACAGGTGGCTTGTTGCCGTTGACATCAGAGTTCGCAGGTTGAGACATGGCGCACTGTAGCTATAGTCTGCGTGTTCAATTATTGAACGGAACGAACTCGAATGGAGAAATCGTACAGTGTAGTAGCTATGGTGGCGTGGAGGGGCGTGAGGTTGGGGCGAATTTGCTGGGGAACAACGCCGCGGTCGGTCGGAGAAGTACTTGTATCCACATTTCCAACAGAGGATAGGTAGTGAATAGTCGACTCGAGCTATGTAAGCAAAAATGAACTGATGAAACAGGGGAAGACACACTTTGTCTTATTCCGAGTCGATGGGCTTGTGATTCCGATGAGCATTTATGCAGGGCAGTAGCTACGTTCTCTGCTATAATTGTTCCTTCATGCGATCAACTATGGGAGGACCGCGCGGAATAAAACCGGGTGGGGTTGGTGGGGTGAATGCGCCGAGTGGTACATTTAGATATAACCGACAAAGTCTCACTGCTCCTGCGACCGCTTCATTACTGGCAACATACAGATTGCAGATAATTAGAGACGACCGAAGTATAGACAATATTTTGGTCTTCCTCTCAACTCTTCTCACCACCCACTTCCATCCTCACCCAATCTGAACAACCCGTTCTTCTTCCTGTCTGTAGCCCAACGCTCACACCACGCTTTCATGGTATCCCTACTTTTTGCACTCCCTACATTGACTGTAGGAATTATCTTCTCTATCCTCAATGCACAGCAGAACATAGTCAACTCGCGGAAACTGCTATGCTCGCTATATGGTACCCCGAAGCATTTTGCCCTTTGAGTACTGCCCCTCTGAGCTGTCAGATCTCGCATGGTAAATTGGCTCTTCCAGTTGTCGGAGTGCAACACCGTCTGTACACTAGGAGACTCAGTAAATCGACTTTTCGGCGGTCGATAATTCCAGCCGGAAGGCCGGAAACCAACAGCACGTGAAAATTCGGGGTACCCCGACAAATAGTCTTCGAGCGTATCCGCACGTATCTCAAACAGAGGGGTCATGTGAATTTGTGCTTCGCGGGGGTTCTTAGTGAGGAGTTCGTCCAATTCCGGGTCTTCGAGCGCACGACAGATGCGTTGCTTGTTAGGTGGGGCGTAGATCTTGCTGTTCAAAGCTTTGGCGATTCCAATACAAATACGTTCTTTGCCAATACTGTAGGTACCGACTATTACGAGCAGACGGCCGCGGTTTTTCCCGGCTCCAGTCTCTTGATCTTTGTTTGCGGGCCCTGCCTCTCCACTATCGCATTCGGTCGTTTTGATCATGGGCCCCTTTTGCACAAACTTGGCCATTCCAGCTCCAGCACGATCCCTCTTCATCTGCTCATAGCCATCGGTCATATCGACAGTTTCCTTGTTGAGGCTCACACACATATCGGCGCATGCTTGGATCACTTGCTGTTGCGGCGGAAAGGCGTATTTTGGATTCAGATACGTCGTGTCGAGGTAGCATATATCGAGCTTCTGATATCGACTTTTGCCACTGATAGTATCTATGACTTCGGGTTTGAGTAATGGATGTTCGATGTGTGCTTGGCAGGCGCGAAAATCGCCACAATGTAGGACTCGCTGTACCCGGGGATTTGGGCCCTTTGTCATCTCCTTCTCGAACAGAAACAAGGAGCTTCCGGGGCAATGATTTGCTGATATCATAGAAACATGCACTCCTTCCGTGCCTGGTATTTCCGTCTTTTCTTCAAATTCAAGATCTACTACCCATTTCGGATCAACTCGCAATTGCTGTCGCACTAGATTTGCTGTGACTTTACTGCAATAGATTGGGCCATGTGACCACGATGCAGTAAGTCCAACGTAATGGTCGCTGTGAAAATGGCTTAAGAAGTAGGCGTGTTGCCCTTCGACCGCACCGTATCGGAAAGCGTCTACGCAGATGAAGAAGCCAGGCATGATCTTATAAAAGGGGCAAGTGCGCTGGTATGCTGGTTTCCCCCTTGCCGCATTTTGGTCCGCTGCCGCGGTGGCCCAAGCTGCATCTTCGGCGTGATTCGACATAAGTCTAGTAAAAGCTGATTTTGAGGGCGGTATACTATCTCCAAGCTGGATAGGGTTTTCCTGGGCAGGCTTAGGGGGTCTCGGTTGCCGTTTGAAGACCTTGTGACCGGGTGGCGTGTTGTCCCTTGGTGTCATGTTCGGTTCCGCTATGGGCAATGGTTTTCCATCTAAACATGCGTTGACATGTATGGAAGCATCTTGCTCTGAGAGACCGGACAGACTGGTGTTACACAATGGACAAGTAGGGGTGGCGCAGTTGGTATCGTTCGCGTCATTATCCGGGAAGAGATCAGGAGGATCAAAATCGTCTAAGTCGCCTTCAAATCCCAATGCCTTTGCTTCTAGCCTGTGTTGTTCTGCCATCCATCGCCTCTCATCATATTCCTCCCCCTCGAGCAGCAAATCATCCTCCACATCTGCGAAGTCATCATCATGGTCTTCCTGAACATTAGAGGGGCCCTTCGGCTTCAAAAACGGCGGTACTGGGTCTATTGGTGGTGTCTGGTCTGCAAGGTGTGACTCCTCGAACAACTCAGAACGGGCAATTACTTCATTTTGGTATCTTGAAAGCGTACCTCGTCTTGGGATGGATGTTTCGTCATCGGGCTCTGAATCGGAATCGTCAACGAATGGACCGATTTTCCTTGTGACTCGCGGAATCTGCTCGCGAGTGTCTGCAGGTGGAACTTTCAATGCAGCCGAATGCTCCATTTTCGCCACCGGTGATATGCCTCTCACGATCGTATCGTCTTGGTCAAGTTTACGCTTCTTGTAACTGCCACTGCTTTCATTGTATCGTCCCTCATCATCATCGACTTCTTTACCACCTTCAACTTCAACCTCGTCAGTCCAAGCACCATCCCACTCACTATCTTGCACGGGCAAGGATGTGTTGGCGCCTCTGTCTTGCAAGAAGATTTGATTGTTGAGAGCTTCAGCCTTCTTGAAGAAGGCCTTGATGTTGCCATTTGCCACGGGTTTTGGCTTAGACTTTCCATTGCTTGCAGAAGATCTTTTGCCCCATGCCGATGGAACTAGAGTAGTCTGCGTGGTTTTTCGAACCATAGTATTTGAGGTTGGTTTTGATATGGCTTTCTTTGGTACGGGTTTGGCCGCCATGTTCAAAGGCGTGTTCCTGGATGGGAAGCGGGGTGGCGAGGGTGATGGCGGACGGCCGACTGACGGATTAACTTGGGCGGATTGTGGGAGAGCTCGGTTCTCCCTAGGGTTTCGGAACATGAGGAAATGAAATGAAAGCTAGCCTTCAGTCATTTCGACAGGGGATGAACAGCTTAGAGTGGCGTAGATGTAACAATGTCCACGTACTCGAGAGATTAATGGATAGCGCGCAAGTACCTCACGCTAGGGTCGATTCACGCTAGTGCGTCATCGCGTCCACACGTGTACGCGTTGTTGATGGATCCGCCTGCACGTGGGCCCATCACTTATGTAACCTTGCAATGCGAGCTTGAATTGATCTATCTCCACTTATGATCTTGATGCATACATCATCAACTTTCCTCTCGTAATTACGTGTCGCTTCTCCGTCTATGGGCAAATAACCGTTCATGTTGTCCGTGCTGTGTTGTGCCAAATCTCATGGTCCCGATGGCCTCAATTCATCACAACTGCCGCTTCTCTCCACTATATTATATGTTCACAAAACTACCATTAGTCACTGTGGATATTGAGATGAACGAGTTGATTGATTTAGCGATGAAGCAGAACAGCAGAAGACATGCTCTATACATAAATGTATACAGAGGGTGACCGAATCCTTCACTTTTTCACACAGTCGCTATATGCTTCTCGACGCGATGGACAGCAACCACGACTTAGCATAATGATCGTCACTCCGGACCCTACATCAGACTCTTTGGTAATCCATATCGTACGCGCGTGGACGAATCTTGATCGCCCTCCCATTTGAATCCAGGGTAAACACAATCGAGTCGAACGATTGTTGACCATAGACTGGGCGATCGACGTTAAACCAACTCCCGCATGCGTCCCATGCACTGGGCTTTTCGTTGGGAGTCGCTGCGCTCTTGATAAGTTTCCAGCCGATTTCTGTAGTACTGTTCCCGAGGCCTTGCTCCAGATTAGTTGGGATTAAGCGCAAGACGTCCGTCGTAGCTTCTTCCCCGTAGAGCAGTTCCATCGCCTTCAACACATCCACACCTCTGCTAGTGAACTTGGTAACACTCATTCCAGGCTTTCCAGCTTCGGTCGTCAAAACAATGGTCGAGTTGGTACCGTTTGTGTTGGCGGTGTATGTCCCAGCATACAGTTCGTGAGCCTCCTCACGCGCTGCATCCTCCAATGCTGGAATGATAGCGTCCGTGATCTTGTCGTTCACCCAATTATCACTGCCTGGCTCACTTCCTGCAACACCTACCACAAACCCAAAATCGTAGTCAGGGAGCAAGCCGAGGAACGTACTGTAAGGGCCAGAGCCCCCACTTTTCCCAATGACATCTACGACACCGCGAGTGGACTTGGTATCGATGCGGTAAATCTCCCATGGCCTACCGATTAATAAGCGTATATCGGATGTGAATGACGTAGGCTTTAACCAAGCCCTTGTGGTACTAGGACTTATGAACTTGGAATTGAGAATTGACCGTCCGATCTTTGTCAAGTCATTGAAAGTTGAGAACAAGCCCCCCAGAGGCCAGGCTTCCCCCGTTTGCGCAATGAATCCACTTAACTCTGGACTGTAAGGAATAACTGCCTTTTTAAAATCTGGCAGTACTGGGGTAGTGACTTCGAGCTCAAGTTCATCGACAAATGATTGCAGAATCTCCGAAAGCGGCTTGCCAGTAATAGACTCAAGTGCATATCCCAACACAACGAAGGGCGTGTTACTGTAGAGTGGTGTTGTGCTAGAGGCGGTCACTGGTTGTCTCGCGTCTAATGCTTCGAAAAATTCGGCGCGAGTACAGTTGTACTCGAGGAAAATAGAGCAGAAGGGTGCATCGTGAGTGGCTAGAGGGGGGAGACCAAGTTTATCAGCCACGGAAGTGTCATCCAATGGGTTTGTGCCCACAATGTTTATCACTGAATATATCGTCAGTCCTACATTAAAATCACCACTATACTCCTACTAACCGTCTTTTGCTATCCCGGATGTGTGGTCGGCCAGAGTCCCCAATGTTACACTCTCCCAATTCACGAAGTCCACTTGATTGTCCTTCCACTTCGCATTCCCTCTCAATTCGGGAAGGACTTCCGCGACTGGGGTGTCCCAGTATCCATCGCCCACTTCTTTGAGTGTAAGGTACACTGAGATCATTTTGGATATACTCGCTATTCTCCAGATCGAGTCACTGTCTACTTTGGCGACTCCAGCAGTGGTGTTCAAAGTCGTCCCTTCTCGGTGCAGAGCGTACAGTGGTTCATTGGAAGAAGCGGAGAAAAGCTGTACTGAAACCGTGTGGGCCTCTGTCAGCTCGCTGTTTGGATCGCGGCGCCCTTCATCTATTGAGGTAGTGAGTTTTTCCAAGGCAGCCGGGAAAGCCTTCGAGGAGCCAGGGTTCTTAGGTGGTGGGAAGGCTGGTCCATATATGGGACAGAAAGCCGATGCCACTGGTAAAAGAAAGAATAGAGTTAATGGGGTCATCGTCTAGGAATTTCGTATCGTCCAGCTGCAGCTCCTGGAAACAGGTTCTCAGCCTAGAATTTATAGTATTAGATATGCGTGTTCTTCCAATCCTTCTGCTTAAATGGAACGGTTAATTGCGCCAACAGTCCTAAATCCGTATTTGAGCCATGGCACCAACACAGAACCCTGCAGACTGCCTGGGGCATACATTACTTAAAGCCAAAGTGTGTACCGAACACCAGGTTTTCAAAGCAGTTATTGTGTATTGACTAAACCAGGTTTGGGTCGGCTGCTCGCTATCTATCAACATAATTAATGGAGAATTAGTTTCGAGATGTAACATTCACACAGTCATGGTACAAATCACTGGACAGTGTCGGCGCGGGAAGACAATATTTCTCCCCAGTTTAAACTCTGTAGAGGAACATAATGAATGCCGCCTACGGCTGTGCCGGTAATTAATACCTTCCATCCTTCCATCCGCATCAATCCACATCCCTCTTTGGGTGTTTCTCTGGACACATGAAAAATGGCTGTCTGCTTCAACGACTCAAGAACATGATCAACTTTTTAGTGCTGCGGTACTAAACAGCACAATTGTGATGCTTGTCTCGTCGTCAGCTATGCACTATCGAAACGAATCATTTCAGCCCCCAACCTCGTAGAGTTGCCTCTGCTGACGGCTTACAAGACCGCGTTGCCGACTCAACTCAGGTCCCATCCACTCAGGTGATGCTGATGGCTTGGAAAATCGCGAACCGCGTTACCAACTTGAATCAGATCCTGTCTTGTGCTAACGGCTCATAAAACCGTTTTGCCGACTCGACTCGGATCTCGTCCTCTGCAGCACAAACATGCTCCGAAATCCAGTTCAGAGAACCAAGACTGAATAACGAATGAACAATTATAACCAATGAACATCGCGCCGGAAATCCTTTGACCGCTACAGCAAGAACCGGAACGAACATCCCGCAGCTGCTGAGCTTTGGCTATCCACTTCAAAGTCTGCGACCACACGGCTCTAGTGAATGAGAGTATGTACGGGAAGATGTTCTGTATGGGTATGCTCGCCTCAACGTGCTGATAGAGCGTGTGAATATGCACTCGTGCTGGTGTCGCTGGCGATCTACAAAATTTGGGGGCCGCAAAACGTGTCGAGCAAGCTTTATCTTCCATCCCTCTATATATAACAAATCAGTCAGTATTCACGACCGCTTGGTACCTGGGCCAGTTGAGTGAGACCTTGATGCATTCTTGTCATCGCTTCACACGCCCGTCTGGCGATAAACACTGCACTTGGCAAGGGAGCATATCCAGAAATGACTATTCAATGTTTCAGCACTTCGATTACACTTCCTCAAGTTTGATCGTATCCATTTGCTTGGTATTTCTACTAGGTGTTTGGGTGTTCTTATACACAGCGCTATTCAGCGATTGAGTACCACAGATCAGGTGGCTACCATTGTATCAATTAGAAGGTCCTACAAACACATCGTTTCCAACAGCTCACATATCAAAGAAAAAGCGCCAATATCAAGAAAAATCCCGCTCAAACATCAGGTTTCGCGCCCGACAGCTGCCCACAGTCCGTAATCACCACCGGACTCGTAGGCTTGTCACGATCGTCCGTACGGGTGGCTTCAATCTTCCTTACAACATTCATTCCGTCCAAGACGTCACCGAAGACAACGTGTTTTCCATCCAAATGCGGTGCGGCTGCAGTGAGCATGAAGAATTGACTTCCATTTGTGTTCGGTCTACGAAACAATTGTCAGCCAGGTATGAAGAAAATGAAACCGGAACAGAAGATTGAATTGAATCCAGTCTTACCCAGAGTTTGCCATACTCAGCAATCCAGCACGGGTATGCTTTAGTTGAAAATTTTCATCGTCAAAGGATTCGCCGTAGATTGATATACTTCCGGTTCCATCATTGTTGATAATGTCACCTCCTTGATTCATAAAGCTACGGATCTGTATCGAAGAGTCAGCACCAAGTCATACTGCAGAGACCAATCCTACGTACCACCCGATGAAATGTGCATCCCTTGTAGCTCCCACCATCAAATTCTCCAGGCGAACAAAGCCTTCTAAAATTTTCGCTCGTGGCTGGGACGACATCCATGAAGAGTTCCATTTCAATACGGCCGATTTTGGTGCTACCAATAGCGATATCGAAAAACACGATCGGGTTCAACTCGTTGCTAGGCGTTTTCCTCTCGCTCTTCATGGGAGCGGTTGATCTGCCCGGCTGAGTCGGAATGGAGGCGTGTCGTGGAGACTTGTTCGTTTCACTTGCTCCACCTCCAGCTGCCTTGCTTGGTCCGCAACCCATATTTTCCAATCTTTTACGAGCAGTGTATGAAGTGACTATTTTCGAGTTTTCTAATTCTGGACGTACAAGTGGAGGGATGTGTTTTCAACAGCATGATGCGACGACTCTGTCGTGCGCCTGCGTGAATACGCACTTGAATTAATTTAGCGGCTGCACCGGAGTGTTGATAGCGCCACGGGATGATCTCATGCTGACGAGACTTTTGTTGCAGGTATGAATGAGACACAACCTGCTCCTCTCGTTTTTCTAATCGGGTCTTCAAGTACGACACTGCTGGTCGGATTGCAAAGGTACTGTTGCATGCCTTGACAAAGGCGAAGTACGGCCAACCTTTGACTTCCCTAGATTGTACTCATATCATTCAAGATACAAGGTGGCTCAGTCTTTGTTGGGAAGAATTGATGACTGTTCAAGCGATAGATGTACGCCTTCTGTACAATGAGATATCCTGGAGCAGCAGCGGCAAAGCAAATTGTAGTACTTTGAGCGCATTTGACGTAGTGACGTATACGACGTCCCAACGATCCAGTGGAGATGTATGGATTTGTAGTGTTGAGGTTGGGAACCATAGTAAGCTCGTCGCCCTCTGCTATAAGAGAGGAGAGTTCTCACAAGGCTTTCCACTTCCATCAACCCTCGCTATGGCACCCACTTTGACACCCACGCACCGAAAAATTGTAGTGCGATGGCTATGTAATAAATCAAATTAACGATGGTGAACGTTACGCTATGATGTTGTCTGCACAAAAGAGCCAACAACGCTAAATTGTATCCTACACACATCATTGTCCAAATAAGAACGCATCATTCAGAGCAGCAACTTGAAAGTCGCAACCTCAAAAGCTCTAATCTCGATCTTGACTCCCTTCTTCCCTCCAGCAGTCTGCGTCATGGATTCCTTCATATCGTCCTCGTGGTCTTCAAGCGCATTTGTCTTGATCACACCCTTAACATCCAAATGCCCCCAAGTAAGCACTCCTTTACCCTTACCACCCATTGCATCATATACTCTCACTATGATGGAATGCCCAGGTTTAATGGGTAGGATTCCTGTTGAAACGTCTTCATCATCTTCGCCGCGCTTGATTGTGTCTAGGACGAGATTGGGAGCCCCTTCGATATGAAAGGTGTTCAAGAGTGACGGACGGGCGCTTCTCCCAAACGTAGATTTATGTCCCACGATGCGCAATGGATTGTTGAATTCGAACGCTTTTCGAACTGTGCTCTCACTCAAAGGGCCAGCATGGGGGAATATGGCGTACCGCGTGTGATGACGACCCATATCTGCGTGTGCGTCTGGTGCTTTTGGTGCGCGCAGAAGAGACAGTCGCATCACGTTACCAGCGACAGCAAAACCAAATTTCGAATCGTTCAAGATGGAGACACCATAAGTGGCTTCAGACAGATCTGCCCACTTATGGACACAAACTTCGAACTTGGCCATATCCCAGTTTGTATTTCTATGGGTTGGTCGACGAACGATGCCAAATTGTGTTTCGTAGCTCGCTTCCGTGTTTACAATATCGACAGGGAACTCAACCTTGAGAAATTTCATGGTCTCTCGCCACTCAATCTCAGCATCAATCTCTACGCTCGAGGGAGCGTTTCCAACCACGGCTGGTAGTGAAATGGTTGTCTTGATCCACGACTTGTCCGAAATCTTCGTTTCAATCTCCAGCGAGACTCGTTGTGGACCGTCTTCAGCTATCACAGTCTTCGAGGGTTTCAATTCCTCTCGAGATCGTAGATGATAGACTTCCACATCCCACGCCTGCCAGTAGAGTGGTTTGTCGTCGTATAAAACCAACTGGGCAGCCTTCGCACCCTTAGGAACAAGCTGGCGATCGGTAGCAATATCGTAAAGAGAGCTGATATGACCATCGGAAACCTCAATGACAAATTGAGCGTTACGAAGCTCATATACGTTGGGTCTGATCTCCTTTACAGAAGCAATGGCAGCGGAAAAAGGCGAAGAAAGAGGCCGGATTGACATGGCACTTAGACCATCCCCAGAAGCTAAGCCATAGGAAGGTAGCCTGGCATTCGATGGAAGCTTAACAAGTTCGGTGCGGGGCCATGGAAGTGTGTTTATAGCTGCAAGGTCGCTGTCGGCTTGAATGCTGGTGTCGAAACCCAGCTCTGAAAGCGCATTAGCTATGAGTTTCTCGCCCGTCTTAAAGACGCGTTCGTATATCTGAAGTTTGGTTAGCTCCCTTCGACAAAGATCTTTGCAGCGCCTGACGTACTTCATCCGAATCGTCGTAACACATTTCGATTGAACTTCCGGGCAAACAGTCGTGAAATTGACAGAGCAGGACATCCTCCCACATACTGTCGATATCTTTTTTGGGATACTTGTATGCGCTCTTTGTGCCGAACCCGTTCTTGACAGTCGCCAAAGTTGCAAGGTATTCGATATCGCGCAACAAGATCTCGGCTTTCCTGTTATTGCGCTTGTTGTTCGCTTGTGTAGTATATGTCCCCCGGTGTAGTTCAAAGTAGAGCTCACCGTACCAAGTAACAAGCTCGGTGCCTTGTTCAACTTTCGTCTCCAGTCTATCGAAGAAGTCATCTGCGGAGTCGCCCAGCTTGATACGCGGTAGTAGACTGGTTTTATCCGCAATACCTCGGCAGCGCCTGAGCTTCTCAAGGTGTTGCCAAGTCGGGCCACCGCCTCCGTCGCCCTTTCCAAATACCAAAAGTGACGTTTTGTCCTGATCCAGAGATTTGTGCTGCGTTATGCTCCTTCTCACGTCACCAAAATTGGCTTCAGCAGTATACGTCTCTGCTGGTGGCATGTGACAGATAACTTGGCTGTTATCCAAGGCAACCCAGTTGAAAGTGGTATGGGGGAAGTTGTTGATGTTGTTCCAGCTGAGCTTTTGTGTCAAAAACCTCTTCATACCTGAGATCCGACAAATCTGTGGTAGCTGCGTAGAGTACCCAAAAGTATCTGGCAGCCAGAATGTTCGACATCGTTGCCCGAACCGGCTCTCAAAGTAGCGTTGACCGTAGAGAAATTGCCTTATGAGTGACTCTCCGCCAGGCAGGTTAGTGTCGTGCTCGACCCACGAGCCACCAATGGGCTGAAATGTGCCTTCTTTGACCTTCTTCTTGACACGATCAAACGTAGATGGGTAGTATTGTTCCAGCCACTTGTATTGTTGTGCCTGAGAGCAGCAGAAGCGAAGCTCGGGATACCTGTCGATGAGATCGCATTGGTTTGACCAAGAGCGGGCGACTTTGCGCTTCGTCTCTGCAAAAGGCCACAGCCAACATGTGTCTATATGGCAATACCCAATACCCGTGACAATAGCATCTTTGTCTGATTCGTAGATGGTGTGAGAGTCAACATTGCCGAGATATTCACGGGCAATGTCGCGGGCCTCAATAATGCTCTCCTGGCTGCCACCACCAGCAATAAACTTATCCATGATACGATTCCCGACTTGTTGAGCCTCGTGGCGTTCCCATGAGTCACCAGGAAACTCGCGGGCGGCATCACCAATCTCCCAGAAGTCGAAGTAAAGAGCTCTAGCTTCGAGATTCACAGCGACAATGTCAGCTGTATTGAGCTGGAAATAACGGTTGGGATTGGGAGGTTGAATGGAGTCGCCTCCAGGCGCGTTGCCGAACATGCCGTTGCATGCCATTTCCACGTAGAAGATGTGTTCTTTGCCGTCGCGATATTCGTGAGGAAGGATCCATTGGGTGCGCTCGCCACCGCCAGTCAGGCCGTGTACAACGTCACCCTCCTTTGTCCATATCATGCCCTCATTGTTGGCATCCCAAACGAATTCGAGATGCTCTTTTTCCAGTAATTCGGGAGGGACTGTGAGCTGGATCTTGAACCAATGAGTCGACCAGCTGGGTCCGAAGGATTCGCCGACATGAGTGGGGTGGAATGTGTGACTGGTAGCATCTTTGAAGGTCGGGCGGGATAGATCTGGTGGGGAGTATACGGAAAGCTTGACCCAGTCGGAGCCCGAGGCGCGGCCTTCATCGAGCTTTGCGATCAGACCCTGTTCGCGATACTGGCCCCCATCAGTGAATTGCCTGAGGCGATCTCTGTAGATACTCTCGATCTGCTTGCCTACAGGGCCAGCTGCAAGCTTCGGATAGCCTTGGGCGGAGATGGGCGTAATGCGATCGCTGTGTACGTCACCACCCATGATAGCGTTTCCTAGATATGATGCAATTGTCAAGAACCAGCGAACGAATATGGTAGATCCCAGCAGCGATAATTGCGATGCTGATAGAGGGGATGCGTGAGAGAAGGTAGCTCAATAGGGAGGGAGAAGACGTCAAAGGTGAAGTTGTATCACCTGAAGTACCCCAGAGGTCAGGCCAGCTAGCAGGGGTGGAGCTCTAGCTTCCCCCAAACGCGCGGGGAACGCCTTATACCTAATATGGATTAGCGTATATTCCACCCCGTCCTTTCTCCACTACCAGAATTACAGGTGGGTAGTCCTTCATCACATGTACCTATACAGGTAAGTTTATAAGAATGCACCTGATCGGACAGAAATGACTTTCCCTATTCTCTCCGGAGCACGATTTGACATACATGTCTACCTGTAGGCCCAAAATCAATTCGTGAGGTCTTCTCACAAAAAACCCACAATGAAACTCAAGTGGCTTTGGGTTATGGGGAATATAATCATTATGCATTGTGGAATATGGTCACAATGTGTTCAAACTATCTTGATACTAGTTCTATTCGCTCCAAGCTCTTTGAAAGTACAGTTTCCGCGATTCTTTTCCAACCGCTGATAACATACGTCGTTAAGTTTCTATCCTACATGATTAGCTACCCAAAAGTCTTCGAAGGTCGCGCTAGCGATGCCCGGTGCTGGGTCGAGAAATCCTTGGCCGACTTGATGTATTATAGACATCAGAGTGTTGGTTCTAATCTTGACAACTCTATCCATGCCGTGTTCGATTTCAAACGCTTTCAGAACGCGGACAAAATTTTGTATCAGAAGATGATCCCCGCATTGCAGCTTGCTACTCTCTTTCTTACTGAAGACAGCGTATTGGATTGGTTCTATCATGATACGGTAGGAATCCTCAAAACATACAACTCTTTTCCGGACGATTCGTCACACTATCCCTACCTAGCAGCAAATCCCAATTTCAATCTTGAGAATCCAGAGCAGCGAAAAGCCGCGCGTAAGCTATGGTTGCGTAAGTTGGAAAAACTGTCTCACGTCCTGAAGTTCTACTTCTATGAAGGGAACGATCTCTTGCGTTTATGGGGGGCTACGTACCACTTTAGTAAAGATATGGAGAATGATTTGCACAGTGCTGCTCTTTTGAGCTCAGATGATATCTGGCGGGCTCGCGATGGATCTTTAAGGTCACGTCTAATTCACTGGCCTTATTCTGCTTCTGCAGTTAACAACCTCAAGACACAGCCTGCGGTTCTCATTGGTAACGCGTATCGTGTATTCTTGGAACAAAAAGTGAGCAGCGATATAACCAGTGCTCCCTACCTTCAGCAACAGGAATACATGAATTGCAGTTTGAGCTTGGCTCTCACGCTCGTTCATGAAGTTGCTCATGCGGTAAGCTCCTTTCCGTACATGCGATTCATTGAACCTGTCTTTTTATACCCTTGCGAAGTGTATAGTTCTTTCGATGAGATGTGCTCCCAACGACCAAAGCCTCCTGAGGCAGGACATTCATGGGAACGGTCAGTCTTTGGCGAACTGCATCCAGGAGTAAGTGCGCCTTTAGCTGATGGGCGACCGGAATCTGATTGTTCTTTCTACTCTGGCTCTGACATATCTCCCTTCTCTACACTCTCTTGCAACATTGTTGTCAAGAATTCTGCCATATTTGGAGCGGAGCTTGCGAAGCTAAACACGTCACCCGCTGTATACATTTTTGGTCAATCAGACATCATCAAGTTCTTTCGAAAGCAGCATTGGGCTCAGCTTCGTTCAAAGAGAGACCTAAATAAGCAGCTTGCCCCCGCCGTTCTCCTTCGGGTGTACATGGTTAAAGATAGTGTAGTGACGAATGCCGTTGGTGCAATTCCTCCGGACACGTGGGTCACAGTCCATTTAATACAGGCTTCGCAAAAGATCGACATCAAGAACAACTACGATAGCATGGAATAGCCCAGTTTATCATTCGACAAAATCATAATTGGATATTGATCCTCGCATAGCTAGCGATTAAGTGAAGCACATGCTACATCTTGGTGTGACTGCACTCGGTTCGTACAAAGCATTCGCATTAGCAAACATTAGCGTCTCTTTTACATCTTAATACTCTCATATAGAGGAGCACTTTTCTTTTCCATTAGCTCTCTATTTTTTATGGCGCCTCAGTGACCCTAATCTCAACTGCACGAGCATGCATTTGGCGAGCTACATCTGCAATCGAGAACTTTGTTCTCAAGTGTACTATACATATTGACTGCCCTTCCAAAGGTTACATGTGGATAATGATCGCATCAACAAAAGTATGCTACATTTTTACTGAGCATCTTGAACAACTAAATGTCCTGCTTGTTCCTATTACGAAGAGACTTGCCCGACATAGGGGCAAGTAGGCTATATATGTATCAAGTCAGAACCATGTCAGAATTAATACATATCTAGCGACACCTATAGTTAACGGGGTCTCGATATACATGCTGATGTTCACACTCATGCACCCATGAATGATGGGCATGAAGACTAGCTGACGGTTGAGAATGCTTGGCATTGTTCGACAGGGATCGCAGCTGCCCACTCAAAAGTGGGCTGTAGCACAGGTAGGGCTTTGCATATCTGAGATTTCTTCCACTACAACGTACATCATCGCTTTTCTCTCCCGTGATTTCCGATGAGATAAACCACACTCATCAACTCTTCAAGTTATCGAGACATTTCGGCGCATCAAGACGCTGCACCTCTGACGTCATCATCAACTCGCAGCGCGTGCAGGAGAAACCCCTCCAAAAATCCCAACAATCTCACATCGCTTCAACAGAACCCTGATCGTAAACATCTCTTCGCGATGTCTGAGCAAAGCGCACCAGCGGCAGTGGATCCGGTGTCGATGCCGCGGTATTTTCGGAACGATGCCGATCTCACACGACGAGATCCTCACAAGCAGCTGCTAGCTTCACTGAATCGCCTGATCACCGACTACCCTCCTCATAAAATCCCGCCCGGTGGTGGCCTTTACTATGGGCCGATATCCGTCGCCTACCTTTTCTATGCACTGCACAATATATACCCCGACCTTCTCCTCGATGACTATCCCATGAACACCTGGTCTGCAGCATATATCGAACAAGCCCAGGCTCACATCAAAGACTACAAAGGCCCGTCTCCAAGTAAATGCGGTGTGAGTGATGATATAATGTCTCTTCTCGCACTGTACGCCGTGACTGCAAAGGACCCCGACACTGTGAAGGAGCTATGTGATTTCGCCGCCGTGGCCATTGATCCAAATGCGTCTAACGAATGGCTCTATGGTCGGGCTGGATTCTTGTATCTCTTGCGATTTGTTCGTGGAGCATTCGCGTCCAATAAGGAGATCACAGAGCTGATCGAAGACACAACCGATGAAGTCATCGACGATATCATGGCGAGCTCCCGCCCATGGAAATGGAAGGGAAAAGCTTATGTTGGTGCTGTTCATGGCGCAATCGGCATCATAACTCAGATCGTCCTAACGGATGCGTCTTGGGCTCCCAAACTCGAGGCAGAACTGGGAGCGCTTCTCAGTTATCAATACGAAGGCGGCAATTTCCCTTCGTCACTTCCGCCGGGCCGTGATCGTCTGGTGCAATTTTGCCATGGGGCTCCAGGTGTTGTCTCTTCACTGCTATCCATCAGGAGATACTTTCCTGCTCTGGAAGACCGCATCGATAGGGTTATTTCCAAAGGAAGGGAATGCATTTGGGACAGAGGGTTGTTGACCAAGGAGCCGTGCCTCTGTCACGGGATCAGCGGCAACGCCTTAGCCCTCGACGGAGAGCAATTTGAGCACTTTCTGACATATACCACGGGGCATGAGATCAAGCTTATGGGCAAAGATGGTATGCTTCAAAAATCCAACGACCCTTCGGCGCTGTGGTGTGGCGAAGCAGGCAGAGCGTGGGCATGGGCAGTTGCCGATAAGGGATTGGAGAAGCGATTTCTGGGTTACAACGACATTTGATAATATTGAGCGGATGTGTTACACGAGAGAGCTTCTTTGATCCACTGAGACGACTTGTATGATGTTACGACCGACGCTTGTGAATACTGAGTACTTCATTTGATTTGAAATCATGATTCACAACATCAGTCGTTCAGTGGCTAGTAACCATTGCGCAGGCCTGCTGTGCAATATTTTAGCTTTCAATCTTACCCTTTTAGTCATACTGAAATCACTCATCAAGCCTATGTTTGACCTCTAGTGTCCGCGGCGCACGCCATTCCGGATCTTTGCTTCATCCCTTTCGTATGTTTGTCACCTGTCAACCCACGCAGTATGAAGATTCATGCAACGGTACCGAGGAGTCGTTCGCCACATGGGAAATCGCATGCTGGGTGTATATGCCCTTTTGGTTGGTTTCGTGTATCATCAACTGCCCGTGAACTTTGCAGTGCATATGAACAATTGATGAAACATACATGATGACCCGCTTTTGTGACAAACGCGAGTATACTCCAAAGCAACCGCTCGGATTATGTGTGAATTCGTCTTAACGTATACATGTATAACGTACTGTGCAGAACAGATTCAGAATGGAAGGTAAATGTCTTACTTGCTATCAAATTGATCTCTCTCGCCTCAGGATCAGCAGCAAGCCACGCAGAAACAAGCCAACAAGTTGTACCCACGTCACCATCACTCGATCCATCTCTCTACGCTGGATGTGTTTAGTTACTTCCCAATTTTCTCAAGTGGATTTGAATGTCGGTGTGCGACATTGCTATTCGATCGAGGCGTATTGAGTGGTTTCTTTGTCTGCCCTCGACTTGGTCTACATGCATCTCCAAATAGCCTGCCACTCTCAGACAAGGTCGCTGCAAGCCGATAACGTGCCTTCCCTTTTGAACTCTTCCATTTTTCTTCTATTCATAGATATATCGGCAATGCGGAGATCTCCTGCAATCTGTTTGGTTTGTGTAAATTGGAGAAGAGTGGTATATAAGCCACATCAGTTTTCTTGCCCCCTCGATATCAATCAAATAATACTGATTGTTTGGGAATTCACCAGCCATGATCTCTATTGTATTACTTCTCCTTGTGCTTGTTGGCTCTGTCGTAGTCGCAAGCCCGATACAAACCCTGACATCAGGCGGTAGGCACATTACCGCGGGAATCCCGACAAGAGCAGGCAATGGTGATTAAACCCCATTAACAACTAGACGAAGGTATGATGACAGTATTTTGTAGGATATCCATACCTTCGACGGGAGATCAACGACCTGAAAAAAAATCACCCGGAGGCCTGGAGCCTATTCCTTCTTGGTCTATTGGCCTTTCAGCAGTCAGACCAGACTGATCCATTATCGTACTACCGAATTACTGGTGAGTCAGTTTGTTGTCGAAAAAAATCAAGCTTTATATTCACCATAGTGTAAGGCATACATGGAAGACCACACGAGACATGGCAAGATGCACAAGGCGCGGACCCTCCCGGTGGAGCAGGATATTGTCCACACAATAACATCATGTTTGGCGTCTGGCATCGTCCGTATGTCGCGCTTTTTGAAGTACGTCAACACAGTGGCATCTATACAATTGGAAATCTTCGTATTGCTACACATAACAGCCAAAGAGCATGGCAGAGTTCAGCCACTGACGAGTACATAGCAAGAACTATTCACACACGTCAGAAGAGTTGCAAATCAGTATACAGTTGATCAGCACCGCTGGAACATGGCAGCCGATGCGTTCCGTATCCCCTACTGGGATTGGGCATTGGGTCAACAGGGCGAAGAGTTCCCAGACATTTTCACAACACCGTTAGCTACGGTGATAGGGCCGGATGGCAATCAGCAAACTATACCCAACCCACTATACCAATATCAATTCCATCCAGCCAGTTCATCTGACTTCGAGAGTCCGGTACAGTGACCATCTGCAGACCGAAGTTGAAGGTACAGTTTACTAACATTCAGTCAGTGGGCTCAAATGAACACGACTTTACGCTGTCCGACATCGCATGCATTCGATGCAGAATCACAGCAGCAGATGGTTAGAGCTCACTACATGACCTATAGGCGAGGGATTCACGATGGAGTGGCCAAGGCATTCAGTTCAGCTACGTACAATGCGTTTGCCAGTGAGCTCGAAATTCATCATGGCACTGTACACTTCCTCGCTGGCTGTATGGATCCCTACGCAGGTCATTTTTGGGATACCGAGTACTCTGCTTTCGACCCTATATTCATGATTGTTCATGCGTAAGTACAATCGCTTCACCGTGAACCCATCATCATAACCGGCTCACCCTCTATCCTAGCAATGCCGATCGTCTTATGGCCATGTACCAAGCTGCTCATCCTAATAATTGGGTGGAGCCCAAAAATTCAGGGGAAACTGGGAACTTTTGGATACCAAATTTCTCCAACCTCCACGCAGACTTGCCAATGCCACCTTTCTGGAAAGACGGTCAGAATTTTTATACTCCTAATGACATTCGGAATGTTTCAGTTTTGGGCTACGCGTATCCTGAGACGCAATACTGGTTGTATCCGACCACCGAGTATTGGCGTATGGCGGTCAATGAGTCCATTGCTCGGTATTACAGCCCAAGCGCTCGGGGAACACTAACGGCACTCAGCGACATGGGCAGCAGTAGTACCACCCATTTGCTTGCGGATACCACATTTACGGACTGGATCATCAAGACCAAAACACCAGTCTTGGATTTGCCGTCGAAATTTTATGTCGTCTTTAGTTTTGTGGGCCTACCTTCTCCAGAGAAGAGCATCGAAGTGGGTACATGGACGCGGCAAACAACTGGTCGACGTGACACTCAAGCGCGTAGTCATTATAGCGTCAACCGGAATAGACGAAGCTATGCTCATAATCAACCGGACTTGGAGAACACAATCAGTCTCACTTCCAGTTTGTTGGATCAGGTCATGGCGGGAAACCTAAAGTCACTGAGCGCAGCTGACGTAGTGCCGTACCTCACAAAGCATCTCACCTGGCAAGTCATAACAGTAGGTATCCTCTCCACATTTGAAATTCGATAGTTAACGTTACTGAATAGGGAAAAGACCTTATCCAAGGCAAGATGCAAGACATAACTGTGGAAGTCCTGAGCACTGAAGTACGCATCCCAGATGACCCCACCCAGGCACTTGAGTACAGCAGCCATTCAACCCCATACCCGGAGGTCACAGACAAGCAATAGTACTCTTATAGCATCATGAATCTTGTATTCAATGAGCGCGATATCCTGAGTCTCTCCGTACGAGCCCCTGTTTTGGAAAAGGTCGGAAATTGCTTCAGGCCAGACAGCCGATCGAATGTACGGGTACATGCACGATTCCCTCTTGTTTGACAAATTTTTCCGTATAATAGAACAAGAAATTCCATGCCTCTTCACCAAAGAAATTATTTATTAGCTATGCTGAATATCGAGTTTTGGAGAGATGGTCGTCATGCCCGAATCGCCGCACAGACGCCATTTACGGATACCGTTAGGTCTATCTCTAGGTTTATCCGTACATCCATCCGAAGTTCACCACTTCATCCCTTACACGACGCGTAACGATTCGCAAGTAAACAGAAATACAGCGAGTACAATTGTAATTGGCACAGCAAATACTTCCGTCGTTTCGTGAGACCGGAATATACGTAAACGGAATAATGATTCGAAGCACTGTATCCCGCTACGTTCACATCCGGCAACTCACTAGTGGGGTTCCAAAATGTGAGCAAGTCATCGCTCATCGAACTCGAAACCCGATTAGTCTCACCTCAGTCATATCGTCAACGTCTTATAGAAACTCAAAGTACAAAACTTCCTATCATCATTCCCAAAACCACAGCCAACGATATCGCACTATCCACAACACCCCACGTACGATGGCTCCCACTCATGCCGAGAAGCCAAACGACTGGTCTGCACAGCAATACCTCAAGTTCGACACAGAGCGTACGAGACCCGTCTACGATCTCGTCGGCCAGATAGCGTCGCACCTTTCAGATGTCTCTTCACCACGCATCTACGACCTCGGCTGTGGGCCCGGCAACAGCAGTTCAGTCCTGCTCTCCGCGTTCCCAGGTGCAAAGCTAACAGGCATGGACAACTCGCCCGACATGCTCCTCAAAGCGCGCTCCACCCTCCCAGATGCCGAATTTGTCGAAGGCGACCTGTCTAGTTTTGCTCCAGGAAATGACGCAGACCTTATCTTCTCCAACGCCGCCATCCACTGGCTAAGAAGCCCCCAGCGTATCCCATCTCTGGTTCGAATGTTCGAGGGTCTAAAAAAGGGAGGCATTCTTGCTTTTCAAATCCCGGATAACTACACGGAGCGCTCGCACGCCCTCATGCGGACCGTCGCCCTCACCCCTTCGCAACCATGGAGTCAGTACTTCGCGGATGCCCGCGTCGGAGATCTGCAGGATTCCAAACGGCCCGATCTCGATCCAATTGAGGCGCCGAGCGCATTTTACAACGCTTTTGCGTCAGAAGCTGCGACTGTGAATATATGGCGCACCACCTATCAGCATGTGCTGAAAGATGTGCCTGCAATTGTAGAGTGGGTCAAGGGAACAGGTTTACAGCCTTTCTTGCACTTGATTCCTGAAGAGGAGGCACGGAAAGAATATGTGAAGGCATACGAAAGAGAATTGAAGAATGCGTATCCTGAGCTAGTAGATGGTAAGGTGTTGTTAGCTTACCCTAGGTTATTCGTTCTTGCTGTTAAGAGTTGAGAGTATATATGTGTTGATTCGTCCTTCTCCGAAGACCGACACTTAGTTCAGTAGTTTGATGTACATTGAAGCAAAGCAAAGGAAACGAAAATTGAATTAGATAAGGGTTCCCTGGTGGTCCTAAGAAACAGGGGGTGTTTATAGGTAAGTAGCTGCATATGTATGTATTGACTATTATAGAATGGCGTTGGAGACCCGGTGATCACTGAGAAAATATCAAGCGTCAGTGAAGGGACATGCACAACATCTATAACGAGAGTTCGCATTTTTCATCATCTTCCACATATTGACGAGATATAGCAGAACAAAAGACTCGTAAATAATCATGCAAACAATCATGCCAATAATCATTGCATTTTTTCGCTTTTAGTCAGATCTGCTATTCTCCAACAACCTCCTCGCAAGACGACCGATCCAGACTCTCCATGGAGCATGTATAACCTGGCCATGGTGCATCCCAAGGGCCTGCAGCAGTGTCAACGTTATGCCACAATGGCTTCTCATTCCAATGGAACAGGTCCTCCATCGCCGAAGAAACCTTGATCAGCGAGCCCTCACTCCACTGCCTTCCATAGATACCAAAGGCAAAAGGCGTGGAATATCCATCCAGGCCAATGGGTACCGATGCAACAGGATATCCTGCGTATGACGGAAGTGGTGCGCACGCGTTCCCGTACCCACCGTTCCTCCCATTCGGCATGAGTAGCGCGTCGAGTTCCACGAGCGTTCCGTCCTCCAAGACGTGAACGTGCGCCGAGTCTATGGCTTGTCGAGCCGTGAAGCGACCCCAGCCAAACGCTGTCCAGAAAGCTTCCCCGAGGGTTCCATTTGTCGCCATGCCGGCGTCGTAGAAGCTTTGTCCTGTCTCGGTGTCCCACCACCAGGTGCCGTTACCAAGCGCTCCTGTCGTGTCATTGTGCGCTCGGTTCCAGGCCGCCATTTCTGCTAGGGTGCTCATGCCGTAGCGATCATCGTCGATTGGAAATTCCCAATCGCGAAGCCACTCTGCGTAGCCAGCTGCTAGGAGCGTGGCAAAAGCGGTCGCATGGTTGAACTCTGGTGGTATGTCGGCTGGGTGGCCTGCCCCATATGGACTGGCAATGGCAGCAAATGGTTTTTTCTACTAAAGATCAGCGGAAATGACTCTTACAGTTCCTTCCTTTATGCAGAACGAGTTACATACTGTGATGTTGTAAATTTCTGCCCCAGCACCCTTGAGCTCTTCAAGTCGAGCGTCATACACTTCCCTTATCCCAGGACTGTTTATATGCTACGCGGCTCAGGTGTTAGCTTTTTCTCCAAAAGACTCAATCTGTGAGAGCCAGCATACGGAGTTGGTCGACCAATAAGGGTCCCACGGAATACCAAACTTCATGCCTTTCAAAGCCTCTTTGCCTGCAACCTTACTCGCATAGCCATCCTCCGAGATTCTTCCTACTGATTCAAAGGTCAAGTTGTCGTATTGATCCGGGCCGCTCATGATGTCGAGGAGCAACCCTACATCGGCGATTGAGTGCGCCAGTGTTCCAGGAGTATCATGCCAATAACTCCCCGTCACAATACCGTGTCGGGACTGGAGACCAGGAGTTGATTTGACGGTGTACAGCCCAAGTTGGCCAGCAGGATGTACAAGAGAGCTTCCAAAAGTTTAGCGGTGTTTTCAGCTTCGTGTTCAAATCGCGATTGCTTGCTTACCCATATGTCTCTGATCCCAAAGCTATAGGGACTTGGTTGCTTCTGACTGCAATCACGGAACCACTACTACTACCCGCAGTAGGCTGGGTCAAGTTGTAGATGTTTCTCCCTTGCCCCGTACGACTCGAGTAGCCGCTGGCATACTTTGTCAGGGCACGATGGTCGGCTGCTTCAGACATGGTAGCATGTCCAAGTAACACGCCCCCAGCCGCGCGAACCTTTGTGACTGCCGTGGCTTCACGGATGTACTTACCGCCGAGGAGCACCAGAGTACCCTCGCTTGTATTGTGTTTATCATTGGTGTAGTAGTTGTCTTTCACGAGGAACGGTATCCCGTGCATCGGGCCACGAAGCTGACCTCGTGCTCGTTCCTCGTCTAGGGATCTTGCGATATTGAGGGCATCTGGGTTCAGCTCGCTCACAGATCGTAGATGCCTTCGGATGTCAGGATAGTTGCTCTTTACATTGCCCTGTAACGCTTACTCATTTGTCTCTGCAATTCTCTTAATGTAACACGCTGTTAAATCATGGCTAGTCAAGCGACCCTCGGTCATGTAACCTTGTAGCTTTGCGATAGGCGCATCTTCAATATCTAGTCCTTGACATCGAGAAACTTCGGGCTGTCAGTTTATGTATGAACAAATACAATAATTTCATGACGTATCAGAAAGAAATGAGATTCCATACCTGGGAAAGGAGGACTGTTACTGGCGAATACCGTTGGCAGTATGCTCGTTGCTGTTGCAACAACACTTAATACGCCGGTATATATCATGCTGATGCAATGAGAAATGATCAAAGTCTATAGTCAGCTACCATTGAAGCTTTATCACAGAACCTTCTCTGACCGCATCGCTGGATAACATATTCCTATCTACATATACCAAGCATTCCATACACCATTTTCCACCCCACTCTGGCCTACAAAACTTCGGGGCAGGAAATCACGATAAAGCTACATTGCATTTTGAATAGCCCGTAGACTAATGTCTTGGGATCTGTTATAGCATATCAAGATGGCCAAGTGTAGGAGACCGACATCGGAGTCCGCGATAAGACTTATCTTCACTAGACCAGCATGAGTCTCTCCGTCTACGGCAATCCCCGAGAACGCGGCAATGGAAGAGTCGAGAAAAGTTGGACACGCTTGAGTGACGAGTTTAGCAATGACGACAACAACGACATTGTTTGATGGGTCAAAATATGGGAGGGGGGAATCGTTGGTACCGGCAAATTGCTCATCACCTTGGCGCTTGAAGAGTAGTGCATCAAAGAGCGGTGGCAGCAAAATTTCTAGTGGACTCGGTGGTTCGATGCATGGTACTTGTGTTGCGGAGACAATCGATGGTGGGTGGTGTGCTACATATCACAGTCCAGGCCGGCGAAGAGCGAGAGGAGAGTACTACAAAACTCCGTTCTCATCCAACATACCTGCCTAATCGCAGGAACCTGTCGAGTTAGAAGGCAGACAAAAAAGAAGCCACAGGATGAGGAAACGTAAGTGCATCATGTATAGAAGCACGCCTAAACTCAGCCATGATTGAACCAGGTTCGCTGACTTCATATCAATTGTTGGTGCCTCATGACTATCCGAATCATGCATTGGGACGAGTAAAAACCATGTAACAGTTACATACATCTATCGATCATCGTTTTGAGCAAGCTGCATCTCGGGGAATACTTCTACGTTATAGGCGCCTACGCGTGTAGTGGCTTCAAGCCCGAAGCTGGGAACGAAGATCAAAAGAAGGATCATGAACGAAGACACGGCTGTTAAGAAGCCGATTCTTTCATGTTCACTTAGAGTCAATAATCAATCGAGGACAGCGTTACGTACACAAAAGATCATCATGCGCATAAGATGATATCGTTTGACACGAAGTTCTTACATAGAAGAAAGAAAGGGGTACAGAGATAAGTTGTGAAATTGCGAACATGTAAACTCATCAACATCATCATCGTAATTATTCATCCTTGATCATAGTTTTCCAGATCCCCTCTGCTGTAAGTTATGAAACCAGAAAGAAAAGTACTTTGAGTAAACCGCCAGTTTTATCTTCATGAAAATTGTTTCTCTATGATCCCTCTTGTACATAGGCATCATTCATTCGTAACTCGCAACATGTCCTCCTACTCCTTCTCATCTTCCTCGTCGTCATCTTCGTCGTCGCCAAACTCAACACCATACTCACCACACACATCCCAGCGGTCCCCTTTCGCAGCTTTGCTTACATACTTCGTAAAGCGCAAAACGCCGCGGTCGCGTAGAACAATGGCAAGATTATTCCAAGCAGCGGGTTGAGAGAAAAGAATGCCGTCGTCTTCGTCATCACCCGCGCTCTTGTACACGGCAGGATCGACTTTAGCCTTGCGTCTCTGGCCAGCACCGGTGTGCGTCAGCGCTTCGACAGCAGCGGCCACATTAGCTTCGTTCGTTTTCTGCTGCTGTTGCTCATCTGGCTCCTCCTCTCCAGCCATGTACATTTCGTAGCCGCCAACTTCTTCTTCCGGTTTCGCTGCCGTCTTGGCATTGGATTTGCTCGAGGAACCATTTTGCTGTGCATCTTCTTCCGTCGCTATTTCCTCTTCTTCATCGCCCCAGCCCTTGGATGGGGTGATTCCCAGGCATATTTCCAGCTGGGGATCGACTTCTTCGTAGGCGGTGGCGAGGGTGTAGTCCATACCCCTTCGGAACCTTCGGGCGTAGATATTGCTCTTTGTAAGGGTGATGCCAGTAGCGAGTGAGATCCATTTGGTGAAGGCAGGATGGGGAAAGAGTATGTCTACTAGCTCGTCGTAAGGCGTCAAGACTGCGCTGTCGGGGTATGTGACCTGTATTGGCTGCACGGCTTTTCGATACAGGTAGCGATGCTTGTGAGGTGGGCGCGCGACACCCACTTCGGATAGGTCTTTATGAAGGGGGTTCGGTGAAAGATGAGGCTCGGATTCATGGTCCTTTGAGTTGAGATAGTCGCGCAATCGTGCGCAAAACTTGGGAGAAAGGAACTCGGCGAGACGTAACGAAGATTCGTCCGAGAACATTTTGGAGAGTTCTTCCACGGTGTCGGGGAGTAGGTAATTAGGGTTCATATACTTAATGAGGAAGTCCATCTCGTCCGCAGTCATTTCATCATCTTCGGTCTTGGCTTGCTCTTCCCAATGAGGGTTATCGACCCAGTGTGATTGCGGTTCGTCGAAAACGTCTGCTTTGCCTCCTTGAAGTTGCGCCAGGGAGCTTTTCTCTGCCAGCTTTTCCTCTAGTCCTTCTTCATAGCCATCCTCGCCTTCCTGGGGAATGTGGAACCAACCGCTGATAGCCATCCGGACACGTCCTCCATCCTCCTCCTCCATCTCTTCAGCAGCGCGACGGTATACTTCTTCGACATCGTGAAAGCTCTCGCCGGGCTGAACAGTGAAGAATGACAACTGGTTCCAGGCAGGTGGTATCGAGACCGAATAGTCAGGTTGCGGGACCTTGACTTCCTCGCCGGTCTCAATCTTTTCATTGCGGGTAGGGAAAAGCCGCAGGGCACCTCCCCATTCGGGCTTCCATGGGCGGTCAGGATCCAGCAGGTACAGAATCCAACTCACTCTGCGGCTCCCAATGACATCGTCGTGGCAAAGAAGATGGCAACCAGGTGTGTAGACGTTCTGATCACATTAGCACAAAGCTTGAGACTACCACAGGCGGAGCAATGCCAGCTTACCACAGCCATGTCCGTCTTGAGGCCACTCAAGGGACCCGACCCAGTTATGGACGAGAGATATTTGCGAAAGGCAGATGAATATAGGGCATCGCGGAGGGTCAAAAGCGACGGGAGACGTTTGAGGGCAGAATCGTCGAGGCCGTCGAGATTTGCAAGATCACCCGACTGGTGAATCTTGTATATATCCGTCTCCTTGGGAGTGAAGGAGATGTGCTCGCGGATCTCATTGCGCACATTGCGAAGAAGGGTATCGTCGACAAGATTTTGAATTACGGCGTGCTTGTAGCTATGCAGGAGGTGAGCGGGAGGGCGCAATTGACTTTGTTGAACGGGAAGGGCACATACGGCTGTGAGGTGACGTAGTAGTCGGTATACCCCTCGAGCACTTTGCTATCAAAGAGACCGTCGCGGAATTTATCGTGCGCTTCTTCGTCGGAGATGGCGCGCTTTTTGGCCTTGCCATTGGCAGGTGTTTCGCTCTTGCGCTTCATGGCGGGTGGGCCTTTTCTTTGCTATCCAAGTATCTATCGTTGGAAATCCTGGCCTACGAGTGGCTGGCGGGTGTGGAAATCCTAATCGGCGAAGAAAAGCAAGGAGGCTGGTCCCGGAAGAGTGGAGGAAAAGCAAAATAAATAATAGAAGATGGGGAAGGGAAATGAAAAAAACGGCAGAGAGAACGAACGGGCAAGACTCGAGGGAAGCTTGACTTGAGTGTGGGCCCCCGCCAGTCTGAGCTTTTGGCCTGCATATTTAACCAAGTACCCAAGAAACCACACCACCACCACACCACTTCGGCCATCACGATCCACACATCTCAGAGGGACGGATCCTCGCCATGTACGTGATGTGTAATGCGGCCCATGCCGTCCCGAACATTCCCGCACTTCCTTCGGGCTCAAAGAGGAAGCATTTGGAGAGAGGATGGACATGGCTTGCATCGCATTGGGAGTTGGTGGCGGAGGTCGATACGCCCTCCGACTGGTCCAATTACGTGATCAGAACAAATGCCTTGTATCTTTTATGTACCATGTGTGCTTCCCATATAATGCAGCATCTGGTACAACTGCCTCTTTATGTATTTGCCCAGCGGAGCATTGCTCAGTTCATTAGCAAACTCCATTGGGTTTTCACTGATGGTTCACGAGTATGCACTACTACTACTACCGTAGGTATGCGGTGTACCGGACTGCGGCTCGTGTGGATTGCCTCTTTTAAACCTGGATTGCGGAACTTCAGATAAGTCTAATTCTACAAGAAGTCAAGTCTAATCAATCAAGCGGGAGAGTTAGACTCCTAATTACGCTGCCGACTCTTGGTCAAAAGAAAGCATAACTCCCATTGCTCTCTCATATGTCCACATGGTCACGGCGCTTGCCGGCGCAGCCTTGAGTAGGCTAACCGTCAATCCACGGTACAATCCTCTTCTACCTTCGTGCTTCCATATGTGCGACAGCGTGCTGATGACGCCGGTGTACACTGGTATATTCCGATGAACATATCTCGACCGCATTGGCCCTTGGACCTGTAGGCGCTTCCGAGTCGTGTCAAGAGGGTACACGGCGGATTTGGAGAGCACGCTTGCGAGAATCCCAGCGGCAGCGTCTGACGTCCCAAATGGCAGAGGTATTGGCGAATTAGCAACGATCGGCTTCAACGTTTCGTAGCTCGCGAAGAAAAGGCCCATATACGGGACTATTTGACTGACACCGGCCCCCAAACCTCGAAAGAAGCCAGTGGGACCTTCGTGGCTGGCGATATGCCGAATAGATGCCAACAATGACGTGTAGACGCGATCGGTCCCTTGGGCAGCAAATCGGGTGCGGAGGAGATCGAGTGGGTATGTAGCAGTTGTGGCGGCCGCGCCAGCTGCTGCGCCGCTTACAAAGGAGACCACAGTGCTCGGAAGCGTGTATGGAGGCGGTATGGCTTCGAGCATATGAGAAATGGACGTATACGCGGAGAATTGGGCGCTGCCGTATGCCAGATACATGGCCTCGGCGGGGATGTTGCCTTTCCATAACCCCGTCAGGCCTTCCTCGCGCAGGATGTGCTTCAAGGTGCCCAATGTTCCTTTGTAGACGGGGCCATTGACACGGCTATGGCTAAGAGGATCGGAGAGGGAGTGAACTTGGAGTTGAAGGCGGATTTTGATGACATCGAGCGGCGCAATGACGAAGCTAGAGGAAGACAGATGATGGTCAGCTTCAACTTGCTTCAGAACCGAATCGTCAGGGAGGTCTATGACATGACATACCGCGACACGAGACCAGCAACGGCGCCCGCAACGGCTACCTGTCGCTGCGAGCCCTATGTAGATAGCAAAACAGCACAGTCAGCGTCGGTTGAGGGATGGATGGGTGAGAAGGACGCAAGTACTTCATGCTTGAGTTGGGCGACGCCCTCAGACATGCGCCGATAGCCCCAGCAACAGAATGGTGGGGGCAATTGAACAGTAAGGAGTGTGAGTGTGGAGGAGAATGAGTGCCGGCCGCGGTCAAGTGGAAAAGAAAGAGACCTCGGGAGATGTTTAGCTCAGTCCGAGTGCACCTACTTACTTAAGTACTTAGTGGGTGGGCGGGCAACCAAGTGTGTGTCGTCGCTCTCCGCGAAACCCTAAAACCGTCCGCCCGCATAGCTACATAATCCCACATATGTACAGTACATATCATGTCTACGCCTCTACCTATCCTATCCTCCAAGCTCGCCCAAGCTTGCTCGCTACGTCGACCCGTCATACGCGCGGGATTGACCAACACGAAGCGGGCATGCAGCCGCAGACCGTTCCTCACCTCTCTCTGGGCCACCACGTCCCGAGCTCGCGCGAGCCCTGAACCCGCCAGCAGCAGCTCCCCCGCACCCCCGGCCAGCTCATCCCGTCCGCCTCAAACACAATCACAAACCTCGCGACAAACACCACCATCGCCACCACCGACGTCTCGCAGCAACGAGAATGTTGTCACGCCCACCCCCGACCACCAACATGACTCTCCCGCCAAACATATTGCCGTGAGCATTGACGGAGATCCCCGGACCTTTGACACCGTCTTCCTGCGCGATAGCTGCTCCTGCACGCAATGCATGGACCCTCACAGCAAGCAGAAGCTCTTCCAGACTGCCGACATTCCTGAAGATATCGAAGCCGAATGCAAAGCCGTCGTGCATCAAGGGAAACACATGGTCGAGATACAATGGAAGAACGACGTCAAGGGCTATGCATCGGACCATCGCACACGCCATTCCATCGACTGGCTTCGGAGGGCTTCCAACACCGAATTGCTGCTTCGAGGAGGTGTGCGCCACGATGAACGTGTTTTGTGGAACAGGGACATCATCACGAGAAACAACAAGTGGATCGATTATGCCGACTGGATGGGTCAGGACCAAGTCCTCTTTGACGCTCTGTCCCATCTCAACAAATATGGCATCCTCTTCCTCAAAAATGTTCCCGATTCCGAAGAGTCCGTGGTAGACATCGCAGGCCGTATAGGCATCCTCGAGGAAACCTTCTACGGCCGCACGTGGGACGTCCGCTCCAAGAAAAAAGCAGAGAATATAGCCTATACTCCGCAATTCCTCGGTCTGCACATGGACCTTCTCTACACCTCTAACCCGCCCCACCTCCAGCTCCTGCATTCCCTCCGCGCCCGCACCTCTGGCGGCGAGTCTTTCTTCAGCGACTCCTTCCACGCCGCCCGCCTCCTCCAGCAGAAATCTGCTTTCCACTTCCGCACCCTGTGCACCTTCCCCGTGACCTACCATTACCACCACCCAACACATCACTACCACTATACGCGCCCCACCATCGAACTGTATCCTTACCCAAAGTATAGCGAGCCCACGAACCTCGCCATACACCACGTCAACTGGTCGCCGCCCTTCCAAGGCCCCTTCGAAGCCCGCATCGGCGGCGAGCACCAGACTACCCTGCGCAACTACCTCTCGGCCGCCCATGCTTTCGAAAAACTCATCAGTGCCGAGGAGAATCTGTTCGAGTACCGCCTAAATGAAGGCGAGTGCGTCATATTTGACAACAGGCGTGTCTTGCACGCGCGCAAGGCCTTCGATGCGACGCAAGGCGAGAGGTGGCTCAAGGGCACGTATGTGGCCGACGACGTATTCTACTCTAAACTGAGAGTGTTGGAGGAGAGGTATACCGGGCAGTGGTTAGCAGATGGCGTTGTGAGGCCAGCTACTGAGTAAGAGCGTCAATTCAATATCTGTGCTCTAGGGTCAAGGTAGATACATAACGCATTGTTAGAAAGTTTCACTTGCATACATAGATATTCTTGTCCATGGGCGTCTTAGTCATTAGCGATTCTCGGTCAGACAGAGTAAAAAGGAAGTTCATGGGTCGCAAGCTTCGATTGCTTAAAAGTAATTCTTTCTATTATTGTGTTCTTTGGCCTCGCTTTGTACTACTGTTTCAGTGTGGAGGATCACAATGATCTACTGAGTAAAATAGTTATCGCTCATTCTACCAGACAGACCAGCAGCAAGTGGACAATGGCAGAGACGGAGATGAGGATTTCAAGTATAAGAACGGATTCAAAAGTACATATGTACATAGATATAGCTACCCACAACCTTCTTCTTTAACAAGAAGAAGCGAAACTCGGCGAGACATGTAAACATGTCAACCGCATTGCTACTTTTATCCCTTTCCCCCAAGACCAATAGATACAACGGAAAAAAAAAGTCATTAATGCAAAAAATCGAACAACGCTATAGACAAAAACACAGAACAGAAATCAAGCCACAAAGGACTTCTCGCCCATGACACCCGGGGCCTCTACATGCTGAACCGACTTCTTCCTGTTCACGGCACCCTCTGCTTCAGTGAGGGACAACTTCCGGTTTCCTTCTCCCTCGGTGACATCGCGCACATCCTGGAACGAGATGCTGGGCTCGAAGCCGGGACTCTGCCACGCGTGCGAGACCTTTGCGTACAGCTCGTCGACCTGCTCGAGGGCGAGACCCTTGGTCTCGTAGATCATGGACCAGACGAAGAAGATGCAAACGAAGCAGCAGCCGCCCCAGATGAAGAAGACTTTTGCGCCCAGATTGGCATTTCCGGGCCCGGAATTGACGAGATATGGGGTACAAAAAGAAATGGCAAAATTCAACAGCCAATTAGAGGCGCTGAAAGGATGTTAGCAGACGATTCCAAATACCGATCGATGGTGGAGTGTGGTGGGAGGAGTGGCGACTTACGTAGTCATGGAGAGAGATTTAGCGCGGACCTTGAGCGGGAAGATCTCGCCGGTGACGACCCAGGCAACAGGACCCCAAGAGCATGCAAAGAAGAAGATGTAGATGCAGACGAAAGCGATCATGGCGTTCTGTGCGGCTGGGTTACCGGAGCCAACAACAGTTCCGGTGATGGCCACGATGAATTGGCAGACGGCCATTCCGACAGCACCAAAGAGAAGGAGATTGCGACGTCCCCATGCTTCGACCATGTAGAGACCGGGGAAAGTGGAAGCAACATTGATGCAAGATGTGATCATGGTGATGACGAAGGGGTTCTTGAATCCGGCGTTTTGGAAGAAAGATGTACCGTAGTAGAAGATGAAGCTGTCGACAGTTAGTCATGAGTGAAAACCCGGAACAAGGTTTGATGATGTTACTTACTTGACACCTGTGAGCTGTTGGAGACTCTGTAGCAGACAGCCCGTAGCAAGACGCTTGCCAAGATTGCCGCGGAAGCAGTCGAGGTAAGAGGCTTTGCCCAAGGAGAGTTCATATTCGTGGTTGGCAGTGATCTCACTAAGCTCCTCGATAAGGGCTGGGTGTTCAACGTCGAGTCTTCGGAGCTTGGAAAGTGACTTTGCGGCTTCGGTAGGTTTGCCGCGCTTGATCAAGAAGCGAGGCGTCTCAGGGAGGAAAGAGCAACCAACGAACAAGATGATAGCCCAGGCAAATTGCACTGCGATGGGAATGCGGTACGAGCCAGTGTCGTAGCGGTCCTTGGTGGCGTTATCAACGATGGCAGCGAGTAGGAGACCGATAGTGATGGCGAGTTGGTAGGCACCAACGATGGCACCTCGAATCCATTTCGGACTAGTTTCGGATTGATACAGCGGTATCATAGCTGAAATCATACCTACGCCGTAGCCAGCGAAGAAACGACCTGCGACGAAGAGGGGAATGGCGGTAGCAATGGTCTGAAGAATGACACCGAGGCAGAAGACGACGTTGCTAACAATCAATCCTAGACGACGACCAAGTGTGTCTGCCACAGGTGCAGCGGTCAGGGCTCCGAAGAAAGTGCCAGCGGACAGAATCGAGACGATGAGTGACTGCTGCTCCGAAGTAACATCGAGTCCGCCATCCTTCTCGTTGATGTAGCCGGTCGAGAACAAATCTCTCCAGTGTTTCATCCCCATGATACCACCAATGGTACCAGTATCGTAGCTAAAAGTCCATGTCAGAAGTGAAGGAACACAACTGCTAGCCAAAGAAGAACTCACCCATAGAGTACACCTCCAAAAGCCACAAACAATCCTATTATGATGGCAGGGGCGCCAGAGCCTGCCACATCGGCTGGCTTCTTGATGGTAAAAGGCATAGTGGTGATGTTGGAGCCTTTGTACACAAGGGTGGAAGGGGGACAGAAGAGCAGTGGTGATGATCAGTCAACGGGGATACGACGGGGCTTTATAGACTTGCAAGCTGAAAAGATGGGCAAAGAAAACGGGGGTGATTGCATCGAGGGCTGGGCTCGCCATGGAGACCTGGCACTACCGTTATCCCAAGTTATTGGTCAATGGCCAAACAAACAGAGAGGAAATTGTCATGGACTGTCGGCTTGCTAGCGTCCAGACAGGAACCGGCGCGTTTAGGGGTCAGCGAGTTTGCGGCCCAGTCTTCTCCCATGGGGATGCCCCAACCCTTCTCTAGGGATGGATCCGCCTTGGTCGAGATGTGGGAAAGCAGAGCCTCCTTCCCCACCACCACGCTCGGACGTGCTGGGTATCCACAGCAATGCACGCTATTGAATGCTGGGGGCCCGTCTCTTTCCATAGTGGTGTGCTAGAAACGGGGATCGTCTGGGTAGAGAGCGGACTCAGTTGGCAGAGAGACATGGCATGATGGGTATTGTGCATGTTCAGGTACAGTGCCATCTCAGGTACAGCGGGAGATGACGAGAGGAACGGCAGCCATGGATGCGGCGAATTCGATCGGTAAAGTCTTGTCAAAGCTTGTTAGTGTGCATGACGAAGCTTAACGTAGCGTGAGTGCGTCCATGCGGAGATGCTAGCTAGTTAAGTAATTATAGGCCCAGAGTAGCACGCACCGTGGCATCCAAACGGCAACATCCTCGGCAGAAATTGAGAGAGAGAGAGAGAGAGAGAGAGAGAGAAAAGACATGGCAGCACGCAGGTCCATTCTGCAAGACGTGCATATTTTCCAACTGAAGCTGCAGAGCGGCGCTCCTCAACATGTACGCAAAGACGCAACTTGCATTACAACCACAGTAGTCCCTGGGGCAGCCCCATCGGCCGACATGCACATGACATGCTTCCAGACTGTCAGTGAGCCGTAACAGTGGAGGGCCTGGGGAAAGAGACAGTACCGTGCTACTGACATTCGAGCCAGTCGAAGCAATGATGAGTGGCGGTGGATACTCCGTCTTCCAGACCATGTTTTATGCCAGTGCGTGTTGAGGAGTCGTGACGCCAGCTCGGTCGCGCCAGAGCAACGGTCCCATAGTTTTTCACGCCAGACCAGCTGTTGCAAACAAGCCAGCCAAGAGCAAACCGAGGCCTGGAGAAAAGTGCCGGTAAGAGCTTATCCCCCGCCGATGGATTGAGGCACCAGACGGTTCCACGCCGTGCCGGACGACACACACCGGTTGAGGCTCTTTTGCTAGCTCAGCCGAGTAGCGAGTCACGCGACCAGGCCGCAGTAGAGCCTCATCCAGTCGACACTTGGAACCAACTTTTCCTTTCCTTTACGCCTTCTCCGTGGCTGCAGCCTGTGTCCGTCGCGATCCGGGCACCCGTCATTGGGATTCAAGCTACGAGTCCCGACGAGGGCGTCGTGCGGAGGAGGCTTGTCTATACTTGGCTCCGTGGCCCCATGGGCAAATTTTTCCATTTCGATACAATAGTGGGCGGCCTTGCTCCACCACATCGTCGTCGACTCCAGACCACGCTTGTCCCCAAACCCCAATCTCCTCGTCTGGGGATTCCCCATGCCTAGCCACGTGCCAAACAAAACCGTGGGCAGCGCACATGTTGACTTCCAGCCTCCGTCAATCGTCACCAAACGTCATCAACACCCATTATTTACATAGTTGCACCTTCCATCATGTGCCACGTTGTAGATTTGCTGTTAATCTGGTCTTTGTGGAGAAAAAAAGAATACCAAATCTTCACTACTCCGTAGCTGGGCGAGGTGGGGGAAAGAGATGATACGGAGGGAAAAAATAGTCATTCCCTGAATTAGCCATGGCAACGAGTGTCCTTTCAATGATATCCATGCTAGATTGCCAAATTTACATGAGATTGTGTTTATGCAGCCAACGATGATTGACGAGATTCGCAGCAGGGAAAGAGCATGAAGGGAAATGAAAAAGAAGAAGAAAAAACCCCTTGCACCTTCTCATCTCCAGTGAATTCTCCCAAGACACTACTGAGACCAACCAAGTTTAGTGAAGATTCAAGTCTTCTGAGCAATGCCTCAAAATCTGAAGCACGTAGCCTTCCTTGTACCTCATGCGCGTTTCCCGCGCCTAGATAAGCTGTTGGTCCAGTCTCGACATGCCCCAAAAACCGTATAAACAGGAATGCATGGTCTGGCATCTCTTGCTACTCTTAGTGTAACTTGCACTATTGCTATCCAGAATTTTTGAGAATCACAACTACTTTGGAGGATCCGCCCATACCTACCACGTCCACCACATCAGCATCTTACTATCCTATCACCGCAAGAGTTATTTCATGGAAAAAAAAATATAAGAGGCGCCAATTCGATTCTCTCGTTGGGATTTAGATCTTCAAACATGGCAATTGGTCGATTCTGAAAGGCAGCCTTGAGCTCGGCGCTTAATCAAACACGAAGCGGAAGCGATACGCTCTCGATGATCAGTACAAATCCCATGGCGTAGCAACCTCAACCACCCTCTCATATGGTCCGGTCAAAAGATAAGGCGCACTGCAAGGCGTTATCTCTACAGTCTAGAAAGTGGCGTCGCATCTGTTCGCGCTCGTATCTTTCCGAGCACCCTGGATGTGTGAAGTTTGACGCCTTTCACATACCAACAGATCAGTATTCACACATTGTGGCTCTAAAATGCGGCACGGCAGGTAAACCGCATGATTTTGCGAGGCTGTGTATATTCTTCCATCGTCTTGTAGAGGCATCTAGAAATGGACCTCACCCCGCAGTGTCTGAGAATGAGCAAACTACCGGGTAGATATAACTTGACAGCACAACACCAGTCGAACAATCACACGCAGTAGCCACCTCGGAGAGATAAGTAATGCCAGGCATCTCACATTCCACCCCAGGCGACATCCTGTGGTTACCAAAACGAAGAGATGTCGGCGACTCAGATCCACGTGCGGCCTCCCACAACACTGTTCCACAGGACTGCTTTGGTCACCCCGTACTAGTGATTGGAGAAGTTGATTCAAAGAAAACTGTTGCCGTTCTGATTGTAAGTATATACACTCGGTCCCAGTCTCTTCTTCCATATCTGACATTGATACAGCTCACTACATTCCGGGGAGGTAACAAGATTCAGCATAGAATCGAGGGACGAGGACATGAACCTGGCGACTACGTTCCTATCAGCCCGGCTTTCTGTTTCGTCGCGGGAGCCCCCACCCTACGACTGAGTTCGATGAAGCAACTCAATAAGCTTGTGTGGGTCAACATTACACCGCACCGCTGCCCCAAAGTTTGGCTACAGGAAACATGGCCACGCATCTGGAAAGGGGAAGACCGAGGCCAGGGGGTCGAGCAGAGTTCTCTGTATGAACTTGCTCTTTACGCGTTGAGGAACGGGTACGATCCAGTGGTATACAAGAAGCTGCGCGATACACATGCGCCGCCACCGACATACACACCATTCTCGTTCCCAGAGCCAGTATCTGCCTTCATAGATGTGTATGAGAGTCAACAACCTGTCGCGCCTGTTATATCGCCCAAACTCTTCTGTGTGCCACGAAATCTGTCCGCCGTCCCCCAACCTCCACTTCCACCTCCACCATTCCAACCTTATGACCATAGCCGGGAAACTGAGCCACTACTCCCCCGATCCAACTCCAGGTCATATTCTATCATCCCTTGTTCATCCGATAAACAAGCATCGAAATATGGTTGGGTCAAAACTGGACCCGTCGTCAAATATTTGGTTCGCCTGTTCAAGATCGTTGCTGTGCTCGCAGTGATTGTTGGAGTCCCATGGCTTGCTTATCTCGCAATTACCCGGGCAGCAACCGCACTAACTAGACTCATCATCTCTATCGGTAAAATTGTGTCGGGAAAATTGGGAGAGATTGGAATGGGTATCTGGCATGGGATCAGGAATGGCTTCTGTGGATTAGGACGGCAGCTGGGTGGTCTATTCGCGAAATTGGGAACGTGGATTAAGAACATGATGAGAGGAACGACGAGAAGATTGACATGATTGCAGCGGTGTTTCTTGATGTTATCAAATGAAAGTGCCTCCTCTTTTTTAGCCGTGGCGTTTGTGCTTGATCATTCCGCGATACCGACCCAGTCATTACGGCACGTATATCAGTAGCACTGGAAGGTGAGCATGTGGACATGTATCCGAGATTTGTCTATGCCTTTTAATATGGATTTCTTGTTGAAATATTGAGGTCATGACAATCGAGGAGACTGGCACGATACGGAACGGATTTCATTGGCTTTGGCATGTCTTACGAAATTGCATGATTTGATGCGAGAGCGAAAATGCTTGGTGAGACATAGTTTCGAGTCTTACTTTGAACATTTGCCGCGAAATACATTTTACTGTCTTTTTGCAACTTTCCTGTGATGCCAATCGCAACAACATGTACACTGATCTCTCAAGTTTGTTATCATCATGGCTTCTCAATAGTACCGAATCCGGTAAAGCATCGATCAAAGCTCAGCCACCAATCATCGCCCAAGAAACAGCTGTAGAACGCGTCGCGTGTTGCAAGAGACGAGACGAAACGACCCCAAAAGTATTTCCACCTCACCGCCTTGTCGCGCGCCAATTCCCCAATTCTCTACACTCCTCTTTTCTACAATGTCCGATTCTTCCACAGCCACACCAGCACCAACCCACGAGCCGCCTTCCCTGCCCGCTTCCCCGCTCCCAAAACGCACAAAAGTCATCGACCCCACCCCTCTCACACACTCGACCGCCCTCCCGCGCGCCAGCGATTCCGGCACTGCAACGCCCACACCTATTATCGGCATGTCTCTTCAACCTTCGGCGCCCGTGGCCACTGCGAGCTCCGAGCAACAAGCTCTGCAGGTGCAATTGCTGAGTGACGCGGCCAAGGCGCCGACAAAAGGCAGTGCGTTTGCCGCTGGTCACGATCTGTACAGCGCAAGGGATGTGGTGATCCCGGCCAGGGGACGAGCGAGGGTGGACACAGATATCTCAATTGCGGTGCCAGCGGGAACATGTAAGTGAAGCTTCTGCTTGTTCTCTTCCTCTCTCTGTCCCTCTTCCACTCTCCCCGGGGTAGTAGAGTGCGGCTGTAGCTACCTATACCATCCCCCCTGCTCGTGAATGGAAAGATTACTGACGCGCTCTTATTGCGGGATACTAGATGGTCGTGTAGCCCCTCGTTCCGGCCTCGCAGCCAAACACGGCATCGACACCATGGCCGGTGTTATCGACGCGGATTATCGTGGCCAGGTCGGCGTTATACTAGCAAATTTGTCGGAACAGGACTTTGAGGTCAAGATCGGCGACCGCATCGCGCAGCTGATTGTCGAAAAGATCGTCATGCCGGACGTCGTTGTTGTCGAGAAGCTGGAAGAAAGTGTACGGGGTGCTGGTGGATTCGGTAGCACAGGCGGATTTGGTGCCAACGGTGCTTGAAGACCCAAAGGTCGACGTACGTCTATTCCTGCTATAGAAGAACACGATGGCGTATGGATACAACAGGTGAAGCAGGTAAAAAACCAGAAGCCCAGAATTGATTCATGAATGTTCAAGAACAAAGTCCGAATATGTTGGTATGTTGTTCTACAAATGCCTACCTCATTCACTGGTCCTCACCGTATTCGTGATCCATCAAATCGGCATCTAAATCATAATTGAACGAAGAGATAGCTATGTTTTCAGGACAGCCATAATACGCGTGTTCCGCGCTACCGCGCATGTCCCTCGAATTCTACGGCTGTTGGCCGGAAGCGCTCCAGATCCGGCGGGTATAACATTTCCTTCACGTACCTCACCACCTTGACCTCACTCGCGTTCATGAGTGCCAAATGTCTCTTCTTCTGCCTCTCCGCATCCGCTTCATCGCCCTGCCCACACCCTTCCTTCTCCGCCCGCACATCGTACGCAGCCATCTTCTCCTGACACAACTCCGTGGTCTTGCCCAGTATACTCTGCATGCTTGCCAAAACCTTCTGACACGCTTTGGCGAGGGGAAGCTCGGTCGCAGGCACGTCATCGGGGGATCGCCAGCTCGGTGCCGATGCAAGATCAGGGGTAGAAGAGGCGTGCACGGCTTCTATGAGGCGTGGGATGGTGAGCGCGGCAAACATGTCACCCGTACCAGAGAAGAAAAGGGGGAGGAGGGGGAGGTCAATCCTGAAGAGGCGTGGTTTATGGTCGGATGTCGCCGTGGAGCCTATGATAGTGATATTCTCGACCTCTTTCAAGACAGCAGAGTCGAGAGCCGACTGTGAGAGGTCAGTTCGTGTGCCTGTTGACTCAGAAGGGGTTTGGCGACCCGATGCCGTGGTCGACGCCACTCGGGATGAGAGCGTTTGATTGTCGCGGGTCAATCGGAGAGAGGTTATGATGACATGCGGAACTTGGTAGGTTTTGTGGAGAACTTGTATGGCCGCTGCTAAAGAATTGAGGTCGGTAATGGTAGTATCGGAGAGAAGTCTAAACTACTGTCAGCGGAATGTGCTTGATCAACGACATGCGTGCGTGAACCCACTCGGCCTCAAACTGATTCGGCAGTATCAAATCTGCTTCACGGAGTAGCGATTTATATTCAGGAACCTCGTCTTCGGGTATGTACAATTTCCCGTTGTCGCCCATGACGGGATCAAGTACTGTGTGATTGTCAGTTCGCATCAAGGGTGATACCCGTTCATCGTGCCTCGACCTACCCCAGAAAAAACTCCCTGGTTTTGTTGCAGCTTGGAGCTTTACATCTCTCCCGATTTTTCCGACAGCTTGCACTGTTTGCGCGCTTGGCATGTAACCTGTGAGCAGTATATCGAAGCTGTTCAGATCCGATTGTTGCAAGCCCTCGTACAGTTCGAGCATCTGCTCAGCAGATGTTTTGGTGCCCTTGACCTGTTTATACGCCGTGTGGTTGCCTTTCAATCTCGTTAATCACACATGATAGATGGTACACTCGCGAAAACGAGTTGCTTACTGTAGTGAACAGTATTGATAGCGGAAACGTCACACCCCAGGGATTGCATTACGAAGGTCGCCATCTTATTCCCAACATATCTTGTACGGGAATTAATCATATGGCTAAGACACTGCGAGATAGCGATACAGGTACTCACCCATGGACTACCTAATCCAAGGTCAGAGCAAGCAATCTACGTGTGGTTTGGTGACTCTTACATGGCTGGCGATCGCGAGCACGCGAGTTTCTGGTATTAAGCCGTCTGAAGCCATTTCGCATACAAAGAGTAATAACACGGGAACACTGATGTGCTGTAACGGGTCGGCAATTAGGTGTAGGGAGGTGAGCAAGAAAGAAATAATGTGTAGGTTGTTTTGGGTTGATGTTTTTCATTGCTTCCCGAAATGACATCGGCGGGGCTAGTTACTTCCTGCCCCTCGGTTCCTGTTTAGCCCGTGTATAACACGGATGCAGGCACCTAGGTCGTTGTCCATCCAACACCACAGGACGTATCCGTGCACGGAACCATTCTTTATACAAAGCAGATCATGACAAGCAATGCACCCTCGACTCATCAACCTTGAAAACATTAATTTCGTGTTCGCTTGGGCGTGTCTGTCGTTCATTCATCATCACCGATCTGCGTATGTAGTCAGTACTAGGACGTGGAAAGTTGACGGAATTGGAAGTCAGTCGCAACTCACCTTTGGCGCGAGATAGAAGCGCAAGTAGCTGTTGTGCTGCATCGTATACTCAACGAGCAATGGTACTTCTGCGGAAAGGCTGAGATTGACGCGGTCAGACAATCCGCTTGCCTTGCAGAAGTTGACGAGGTATTTGAGAGAGAAGGTCAGTTCGACTGGCTCGGCGAGTTCAATTTCGACAGCCTCATCGGGCTTTTCGAGGTTGGGAGAGGCCCTGAGACCCACTCTACCCTTGCCAATATCTCCTGCAGCTTCAAATTCCACGGTATCCTTGGTGCATCTAATTGTAACTAGCCAAGATTGTCAGCTTGTCCGCAAGCACAAGATAGTAGGTGGAGGCCCGTACCAGACTCTGACAAAGCACTGAGGTCGCGGCAGATGCGCTGGAACTCAGATGTAGGCAGTTTGACGGTAGCAGCGTAGTCTGTGTCAGGAATTCCCAAGTGCTCCTGATCGATGTCCATGAGCTTGATGTCGTACTCGCTAATCCTGTCCGCGCCCTTTGCCTCAAAGACGAGATTCACTGAGTCCGGGACATCCTCTGCCTTGATGACCAATAAATCATCGTTCGCTGCGGCGCGAAGAACTTTGGTGAGTGATCCGAGGTTGATACCCAGGGCAATGTTGCGATCAATTCTGTATGGGTCGAAGGATTCGGATCGGAGCAGCATTGACACGAGTGCGACGTGCGAGTTGTCCATAGCCTGCAGGGCGATTCCAGAGTCATTGCAATCGAAGTTGCAGTCTTGCACCAAGTCCTTGATAGCGTCGACCACCTAGAGCCAGTCAGAATCGCTACGTCCAAGAACTGTAGCATGACGATATTACCTTCTTCAGCATCTGAGCCTGTTCTAAGCGTGCTTCGAGCACTAGAAGCGGTCAGTCAAAGTTCAATATATGGATAAGTGGAGCTTACTATTGAAGAGATTTGTGCGTCGAAGTTATGGGTATGGCGAGGTGCTGCTGTTATGGGAGGTCTTGTTTATGAAAACTGGTGAGTGAGTGGAGGGTCAACAAAAGGCGGGCGGGCGAAATAATGCGAGCGACGCGGTTAGACGCGTCTCGCGTAACCAATTAAGCCCATGCCAAGCCTGTCCAGGCAAGTGTGCAGCAACATTGCAGGTGATAATACTATGCACCTCGTGCGGTCACAGAGCTTTGGATAATTCTGAATCATGAACGGCTCCTATTATCTGTATATTCACAGCAACGATATATGTACACGCTTAAAAATGATTTGATATTGCGCATTATCATCCATGGAGAGGATGTATGACGTTCTAGTACGTCGATGTAGTCAAAACACTCCTCAGGCAGTATACATCTGAAAAGTAGACATCCGATGGGTATAATTTCGTAGGTGTTTGACCGTGATAGCTTCTTGACTGACATGTAAAAGCCGTTCCCATGTTTGTACCGCGCAACTAGCTGCAAGCTCGTGGCCACGAGTCTCCATCACCATACCTCTCTGGCCAGGTTTTCTGTGCCGAAAGCAGTACCTCTTATCAGTTGTTAATTACCCAATTCCGTGTTGGGCTTTTGGGTATTCTCAATAGCCAACGCTCGTTGCCCTTCATGCTCTCATTAATCCGTAAAACAATGTCCACGTCAGCACAAATCCACTCAAACCGCCGAATACCTCCCCCAACCATAGGTCCCCCAATGGCTTGTGGAAATAATCGCTAGGTTTACCGTCCGTCCTCGCCACGAACAGCAAGACCGATACAAAGAGTGTGCCAACGAGGTAGAAGATGAAGCCGGGGTATGATTCGAGACCAAGGGTGCCAGCGGCGACACCGAAGAGCGAAGCGGTCAGGTTACGGATGTTCGAGACTGCCTATGTGGCAAGAGAGGTCAGCTATGACTCTACACAACTGCACTCTGACGAGAAGAGCATGAGGGCGGCTTGCTCGGTGGCGAGGGCATACCTGGTTGTTGTGCTGAATACTAGATCCCACCACAGGGTTGATAGCGAGCTCCCGTTCCTCATTCATATCGGATACTGAATCTCACGGCGAAGTAGTAATTGCAGGGAAGGCGTATATTCGAGGTTGCAAGATCAGACGAAGATGTCGCCGAGAGACCTGGTGGACGCTGTAGGCGCTGTACGATGTGGGGAGAGACCTGTCGATGAGGCTGATTCGTAGCGAGCACCCGCAGATATCTGGATGGTGTTGAACTTCGGGCTACTATCGGGCGTGATGTTTTGACGATGTGCGCACGAAGATCTTGTCTTCGTCGGGCGCTCTGATGGTCGCGATACCAGTGAGATGGTCTTGGACGGCAATGCTCGACGCTAAAGACCGATTGGTCCCCGAGCGCTATCCGTGGAATCCTGCCCCTGCCAAACGACGTGCACTTCACCGCAGCCAATCGCAACAAACGAACAATCGAACATTCTATTGTTGACTAATCGTGAATCGTATATCTGTGGGAGTGCCATGCTCGATATATCACTGTTTTTCGAAGATTCCATGTACACGTGTCCCGGAAAAACCTTGCCATACGCCACTATGCAAATTCAAAATGATGGGTGCAAGAGTCGGTGGCATCACTCAATGCTCATATCACACCAGACAATTCATCATCAGGCTTTTTGAACGAACGTGATATATTCATAGTAGGGAGAGGCTCCTGGCCTACTGGTACAAATCGAACAGAAGTCATATGAATAAACAGACTAATCCACCACACCACAAATGCTCTCATCCCAGCGCGACCGGGCCAAAGTCTTCCAAATAACTTTTTAAGTCAGTTGCCAGTCATCGATAAAAAAAATACAGAAGTACTTACTGTTGAAGGTGGGCTGGAAGATTATAATCCGGAACTCTGCTCGCTTCTTGGAGATATAGAAGAGCAGCGCGAAAATAGGGCTCATTGACTTTGATGGAAGACACATTACCCAAACTCATATATGCTTCCGCAGCCTGTCCACGTTGATGTCAACGCTTTGGACCAAGGGAGATTGGAGAATATTACCATACCTTTGTAAGAAGCACTCCGGTAATTTTGTTCTGTATACGGGCAGCAGCAACGGCACGTTTGAGATATTCTACTGCGGGGAGCAACAAAGCCCTAGCTTCCACATAGTCGGCTGCGTCGAGGCGACGCTCAGCCTCGAATTTCGCACTCTCTGTCTGACTTTGTGCTTCGACAGAGGTCGACATTGGGTACTGGCTGTCCCCACTACTAACTGAGCTTTGCTCTTCTTGGTGGATGTTGAGGAGTGGTTTTTGAGCCCGCAAAAGCCAGTTCTCTCCTATCACTAGCCGTTGTTAGAGTGTTAAGTCATGTGTTCTGATACAAACTCACAAGCAAGTAGCGTAACATCTTCTGGGTAGAAATGGATCAGGACCAACGATTGCTTTAGACACCATTCCATGATATCTTGGACGTCACTTCCTTCGTTATCAATACCCACATGGACCACGCGTTGAAACACTGTGAGCACTGATAATTGCCACTCCCTCTGAGATTCACCCTGGGAAGCATCACTGAAGTCCAAAGACGCCATCATGCTGCGTATAGATTCCAGGTGATCTTTCCAGCCGTCTGGAGAGGTGTCAAGTGCAATACGTATCAACTCCAACTTGGACATGGCCGAGTTCGCGGTACCCTGTTCCATGACAGATGGCAGGTGGAAAGCAGATGACAAGCCGTTCAGCAAGGAAAGTACAGCGTAGACTGCGAGGAGTAGGTGAAAAAAGGAGGGTGTGAACAGTCAAAGAGCAACAGACTAGGAAGTTGTGACGGATGATATAGGTTCATCCTGTATTTATACGTGAACATTGCGTTGCAGTGTAGCTTGAAAATTCTGGGCTTCAGATTGAATGACCCTTCCCAATCCAGATTCAACTCAGCAGATCAATATGCAAGTTGCGAGTTGGAGCCCTGGAATAAGTAAGAAGCTCAGATGAAGGGTTTGTATGGCTAGTTCAGTGAGGGATTATCGGCATGATGAGGCATATTTGATAGAGTCATCGCTGCAACTAGAGTAGCACTCGCCACAGGCAGTAAGCATAAGAAGGGTGAAGTGTGGTCTAGGTCGGTACAATACAGTCTATAGCTTTCAGCCGTCGACTGTAGTTAGTGGCTGTATACCGATTCAACCTTGAAGCATACATCGTAAGGCGCTATATAAGGGTTCTCACTGTAACGCACCGATACGCCAGCCCATGTATTCTCATCAACGTATCGAAGAGGCATGCCTGCTTTGCGAGTAGAGTAATTGTTAGGGCTGGCCGGGACCTGCGAGAGAGACCAACTCGACGAGCCTCGGCCCGTACGATGCCGCCGATTCCGGACAACTATAATCAATGAAACAATAGACAGTATGATGGTTGATTGAAGAAGTACGATATGAGGACTCCCCCCTGCCGAAACGAATGATCAACCAAACGGGTTGAGATACACAGCTGCTTGCAGAGGAAGTCACGGATGGGTAAGGCAAATGGCGAAGTCAAGCAATGGATTGATTCGGATGAAAGCATTCTTCCAGACTGCATAAACGCTCGGAAATAACTCATTGGGTGGGTCTCTCCAAGTAGTGAGGACGAGGCAAGAAGGATGTTTCTACAGGTGGGTTATAGGGGTGGTCTGCTACGGAGTCGGTACATGTTAGCGTAGGGGCAATTCACCTTGGGTCTGTGCGTGTCCAATCAAACAAACACCAAGGCGGTTCCTGGCCGATATCAGTTGAGCCACGGTTGTTTATTGCACTGCCCGTCCGGACGATGCCATTAAGTGTGTGGGATAGTGCTATACATACTATACATGGCCACCATGGACCCTGATCCCTGAGCCTCGGAACATTTGCCCCGTGTTGTTGTGCCTTGAGCTTGCTTCCCCGTATGACCAGACCTGTCCTCCTTTTGCACACTCACATAAACACACACACACACACACACACACACATACATACACATCCACGCACTTGCGCCATCATCACCCACTTCTCCTCTCACGCCTGCTCTCACCGCCGCTGCCTTCTTACGACATCAAGGGTATACGTACATTTCGCTCAAAACTGCCGCCGAAGCGATCGGGGCCGAGGACTCCACCGCCACTCAGTCACTACATCATCACCACCAGTCGGACTTTAGGGGCCTGCGAGACAACACGCGCACGTCGCCTCCGGACCTGTCGCGGGCCATGACGAGGTGATGGAACAAGTGATTCCCAAAGACTCGCCGCTGGCAGAGCTTCTCGAAGGTAAGCCGCCACCCTCGATGCATCCAGCCAGCCAGCCCAGCGCGGCCGCGCTCTGATCAGCCCGTCCCGCCCTGATATGTCCGTATGCTCTTTCTCCTAACGGCGATACCAGGAACCGGTCGAGGTTCCACCCCACCCTCTCCCACAACCTCCTCACCACCTGCACACGCTCCCGACTTTGCCCCCCGTGGGCCTTCGACACTGCAGTCACGTATACGGGACAAGCTCCCGCGCCCGTTGAGCGTTCCCACATCCCACCATGGCTCCGTGTCGCGCATTCATAGCGCTTGCTCGGTACGTAACATTGCGCCCCATTGGGTTTCTGGGATGCTCATTTTATTCCTTGCATAGAAAGCCCTCAATTCCCGACTCGGCCGCTCCGACAACCAGCGTTTCCTCGAACACTTTCGTTATCTCATCGTTGCTTCCCAGCTGCTGAATGAGCCCGGCGGTTTGCGAACGGCCGGTCTCCCCAGCTTCGCCGCTGCAAATGGCCCCGCTGGGCCGCTGGATTTTCATGTGGCCACTGTCAGCGTCAATGGTGCCTTTCTCACGGCCGCGACAGCCTTCATGCTAGTCTGGGTTATCCACTGGTCTCGCAGGCGAGCCAGCAAGATGCGCATCGCAGTGGTGCTGTTGGTATTCGCTGCTATAGCCACGGCCGTGTACACCTATCTTCGTCGCCAAAGGCTCCAATACCTGCGTCACCAGGCTGTAGATGGTGTTTCTACCCTCGTCACAAACCTTCAAGCATTCGAAGCTTCGACGTCATCAGCCCTTGCATTGATTCAAGAGGTGGAACTCGTTTCAAGGGGATACCGGTTGTATGTAAACATTCTGCCTAAACAACCAATCATCTGTATTAACCCCGTTGCAGAAGTAGCCCTCTGCCGCCCATCTCGAGGATCGAAGAGAAAGGCCAAGCCCGCCGTTGCCAACGATTACGCAAGAGCCTACGGTCTGTCTTTTCCGAGGCAATGCCCATATTCGCCGAGCAATGTGGTCTGCTTAAGGGCTTGATCGAGGAAGATGACCTGGAAAAGTATCTCGATGTCTACGACGTGAGCAATCCGGACCTGCAAGATGCTGCCCAAGGCTACTCGGAAGCGGAATTCGAAGATGCCGAAACTTTAAAGGTTCTGAGAGTTCTACAGTATCGCCTATTTACTTTGAGAAGAGTTTACCTGTGCTCTCTGCTCGCGCTCGAAGCGGATGGTGGAAAGCCCGACTTCGTCCGATGGAGATCGGTTGTAGATTCGTTGACGACTCTTGCCGCGACCACGGGAGACTGGAGTGAAAAATTCAATCGCGTACTGGGAGAAGAGGAGCAGTTCATTCTTCCATCACCCCTCAAAGTTCAATCGACACCCAACCGGGACCGTCTACGGAATTCTGTCCGAAAGCTGGGCGGCTTGTCTCAGGGCATTCGCGGTCTGCAAGCGAAAATGCAGATTCTCCGCGAAGAGTCACACAAAAGCTTGGAGGAATCTGATGACGTAACTGACCTCGGGGCACATCTCATGTCGCAATACGACTCCATCGGGGCTGATCTCAAGAACCTGATTCAAGCATGGGAAGCCGGCAGGAGTGCTTTGGCAGTAAATATCGATCGACAGGAGCGACGGATGTCGTTGGCATCAAGCGGTTTGCGGTCTCCAGTTCCCAGTCTCGGCGGTTTGACTGCTGTTGAAGAGGGAACGCCAATGGACGCACTTCGCGCATTGAACGGCGACAGTCCCCAGCAATCTGCCCCGCCCAGCATAGGGAGTAATTCCGACGACGAGATTTTCGAAGCGATTGCTATCCCCAAAACCCGGCTGACTATGACGAGGGAAGAGCGAATGCACAAAATTGCGGAAGATCGAGTACGGCAAGCGTCTGCGCGAGAGCAACGTGAATCTAGCAACAACATGCTCAAAGAACTCGAATCAGTCATCAACCTTCGACCGCAAAGAGTTGGCCCTAAAGGAAGAATAACAAGCATCTGAGTTCTGCCTTCGTTTCTCCGTTTTCATGGCGACTATTGCCGTGCCTAACATGGATCATTGGTTCAAGACATACGCATTACCTACGCTAATGTTTTTCCTTAATATCCTCCCATCTAATCTCCAACTACCAGGAGTCTATTGATGGAGCGACTCCACGCTATGAACTGTCTCGTTTTTTTCTGTTCTCTGTTACTAAACTTTGCGATCGATACCTTTTCTTTTGTCCCCTTAATCATTTGAGCACAATCACACTCGGAGGCTTTTTGATCTTCTTTATACAGCATGAAGCGTAGATTATATGTGTAATTAGCGGTGCTCCTGCTCTTATATATTTTGATGATGAAATGTACACAATCCAGATTTAGCTATGTAAGGTGTCGCATCCTCTCCGTAAATATGTTGTTATCATGATGCACTCTTGTTTTCTTTCGGAACTGCTGTGATACGGCACATGCAACAGATGCTGAGTGTTGCGTTCTGCAAATGACACATTTGTACAATTTGCCGAGAGTGATGGACTCTAATGCAACTACCCATCGTCGTTTCCACCATGTAGGCTATTTTGAAGGAAGAGGGTTCATCCTAGCCAACCAAATTGGGGACTGGTACTCGATCAAACGAGGAAAACGGGTCACAGTGAGTCTAAGTTTGGGAGAATCGAGTGTTGGAATCAGAAAACTCTCATTCGACCAACGGACCGAAAAAGCAGCTTAGAAACCACGATCCATCGTTTCCATCGTTCACGAATGATGGAACGAAAAACGAACGGCCATGGGAAGTCCCTCGTACTTCTCCAACCAGGAGCACAACCCAGACTCGAATGAAAAATACTAAATGCCATAAAGAAGACCCATGCCTTCTATATCCAGTTGCCAATGCCATTAACCCCCTTCCGAAACAAATGTCAAAAAGAAAGGAAAAAGATAAAAGAAACCCCCTCCCAAGACTTTGGAATCTAAGATTGAACTTTTGCCAGCTACCCCGTACTTCTTCTTTCCCTGGCGTCTCTAACTCCCCCCGTTGTCCATTTGCAACGCCCTCGGCGTGCCCGGGGGAGCATTATGTTTCTTGCGCTTGTGATTGAGCAGTGCATCACTTCTTTGAAACTGGGTATCGCATTTGTCGCAGAGTAACACGCGCTTCTCACCGGGGACAGTGCACTTCCGCGACCGTCGGTGCCGCGTTAGGTTGCCGTTTGCGTGTGGCCCGCGCAGAATCTCGCCGCATTTACATTGTACGAAGTGCGAGTACATGGCCGTAGTCGTGTTCGGGGTTGGGGGAGTCAGTGGGGCGAGGGATGCGAGGGGAGTAGTTTGCTCGGGGGGTTGGTGTTGGTGGGGTGGAGGGAGTGGCTGGCTGTATGTGATATTTCCTGCGGAGGCGGTGGTAATCGATTGGGAGGGTTCGGTGGACCAGTCAGTAGATATTGGTGTAGATGTTGTTTGTTCGCTTGAACTTCTAAGGGACGCTTGGTTAGTCGTGTCGATCGCTGGATGGGACGGATATTCATGTTGTAACTTACGTGCGGACAGCTGGATGTTCGAGATTTTGTGTATAGGTGACGGGTGATTGTTGCTGACCAGCAGAATTGGAGAAAGAATGATGATATCTCTCTGGGCCTGTATCTTGGTGTTGTTGGGAAGGAGTGGCATACGCGGTATAGCTACAGTCTTGCGTGTAGCTGCTCATGTATGCGTTGTCGCCGAATGACCCAAACATGTCAGGGCTATAGCCTTGAATCTGGCCTGCGTACCCTCGGACAGCACCATTGTAGTAAATATTCTGTGAACCGTATCCTTGTGGTTGGTGCGATGTCTCATATTGATAATTCTTTGCAAATGCGGTGTCATCCCATATCTCTCTCTGCCATGCTCCCTCTTGATGCCCGCTGTAGAGTTTATCCGTCATATTTTGTCTGAGATTTGATGGAATAAACGGTATGGCACTCGTTTGATGAAAATCTGGGAGTGTACAGTTCGGATTTCCGTGAATTGATTGAGGGATGCGGATGTAGTAGTAGTTTGTAATTCGCCTCTTCTGCCAGACTATGGCAGTCGAGGCGGCATCAAACTTCCGACGAGGATTTTTGTTTGGACAGAAAGATGCCCGGAAGGCTGTTCCGGTGTATGTTTGTGGAACTGAGAAGTTGCGGGTATGCGCAACACTGCAACACTGCAACGAACAGTGGTCAGGCTGGTCCTTCGAATACAGGACCAGCTGCTAGAATAAATGATCTACTGTTCTCTAAGCTGAAGATCGCGGCATCATAGACCTTCATTCCAACGTACCTCTTGGATAGTCGGCCATCAAGTGGGGGGTGGTGAGGGCGGACGCGATGAGGTTGCAGATAACAAGGCTCTTGATCGAAAGATATGGGTAGGCTTGCTCGACATATGTAATACTACAGAATCACAACTCCACCCAAGTGCGATAGGGAAGATTTGCAAAGCATGCCTGACTATGAGATTCCAGAGCAAGTACGTAGTTTTTCCCTCTCTCTCGTAGGCGGCCGTGAAGATGATAAGGCTCCCGGCTCGATCTTTGCAGGAGCCTACAAACCCCCTCGTGTCGTCTGTGCTGAGTTCTCAAGCCACTCAGAATCACGCAACTTAGCAAACACTGTAGTACAATAATCCCGCTCAGACCCACCCGCGCTGCCGGGCATATATACCGAGCTCTCATTTTTCGAATGGGATAGTACTTCACACGAGTCAACTCCTAAGAAGCAAGGAGAGCTCGTGATTTCCGTCGCTTGTGGGGGTATGCACGTATGAGAGAGTCTCGAGCACACAGCAAAGGTCTACAAATCTTCCCCTGATTCAACACAGATGCTGACCCGCGACCCGGTGCTGACTGTCCAGACTTCACTCGCATCTCTGACTGGCTACACCACCTGGTGCATAAGCCTATGGATTGGAATGCTCAAAGCCAATCAGGAAGTCGATTGATCAATTGATCTAGAAGGAACCCGGCCAAGACAACTCACATCACGACGTACTCCCATTCTACTGGTAGTGTATGACACTGTACAGTCTTTCCAGGCTGACACCGACATTCTTTCCCATCACTCCTTTCGGTTTGAGGAATGAAGACTGATGTCTTCGAACGGTGCGGCTTGTACAGAATACGTCTCCTTCGATAAACATCTCAGCCTGATGGGTAGGGTTGATTCGAGCCATGCTGGTACTCGAAGTTTGATTCATTTCCACTCTGAATCCATTGTTGAGGAGCATATCCCGCGGTCTCGCGCCCGTCCGCGCAATCGATTTCCATTCCGAATCTGGGCCGTGTTTTCAATGCCTTGTGGGTAGCAGGCGCGTTCGCTTCCCCCATGCGACGGCACCGCAATCGCGATCGGGGCTGGCCACAAGAATTGGGAACAGCAAATCGGGCCGACGGACTCTTACGTCGCAGTGCATCGGCCGCGTAGGCCGACTAATCAAGAGCCGAGACCACGCTTCGGGTTCCGCTGCCCTTCGGGTTGGGGCATAAGTACAGCTAACCAGCAGCCTGAACCTACATCTCACCTGCGAAGAGCGTACATCGTAGAGATGAATAGCTCTGCATTGAAAGTGCATATTTATATGGGGCTCGTTTGGGAGTATGCAAGCTTCTTGACTGCAATCTCTCCACCGCAGATTTGAAATCACGCATGGCTGGTCGCCCCAACACCACGTTTGCCTTTTTTTGCTTCTTCTTCATCATCATCATCATCATCTTACGGTACGACTGTAGAGCGAGTTTCGATCAACTCTGATCTTCCAACGAGCATCCAATAGGTTGGTAATATCTTGCTCATTTTATTTGTCAGTCTCACCGACCAATACGCTGTCATACGCCACAGCGGCTCTTACGCACTGCAGAGCGTATACGAGCTCAAGCGACCATTTTTCAATGTGAAAAAAAAGCACGCAAACGTATTTGTTAATTGGAATTTTCGATGAGATTGAAATCCTTCCAAGGAAGCACTGTTTCTTTTTTCTGGATGCTGATGGTTTGTTGAGTCACATATAGAGGAGCCAAAACCAACCGTTAAATGAATTGAGCTGAACATGCCATCCTTGTTTGTTTAATCTTATTAACAACTGAAACTAATATGTACTCTCACGTACATTAATCCATATTTCCGCAATCCGAGGTCGTGCAGTGAAAACGTTCCATCGGTAACAACACTTCGAACCAACTCTAGTCGGACAAATACTCCCGATTTGCCATGTCCATGATTCCTGACCGCTTCTAGAGCACACAGATAGACTTACAGCAGCCGCATGGAACAGTGCGGTGCAGACCATTTCACAGAGGAATGTCATCGGTGTGGATCTGACCCGATATCCACTTGCATCCGGTTCGCACGTTATGCATATTTGGGTTTTCGTCTTATTCAATATGAAGAAACACAGTGTTGTAATCATTAAGAGACATGAAATCAAATACACGGTTCACTAGGGCTAAGGAAATGATACAGCCTTTGTGTTTATAACAGAGATAGATCCGACCGAATCGCCATCTATAGCAAATAGATATGACAGCTCGCTTTTCACTTGTCATTTATCTCTGTTAGTTCAAAATAGATTTGGTCAGGCGAAGCATGACAGCATGTTAGATAGGCGAAACTTAATCTATCAGTATTGACCCTAGATGGCAAGCTTGGGACGATACGCAACCCAACAGTAGACATGGTGAGGAATTGCCACTCTCCATACCCATTAAACATTTCCATCTTGGTGGTGTAGTTCTCCTGGTTTGTCACCCTAGATGATGAAATCACTGTTTTCTTTCAAAAGACCCAGCTCTCATTGCATACAACATGTCCAAGATCGAATCACGATACAATTGGTCTTCCCAGGTAGGTACACGTAGTCTGAAACTCGGCGGGCTGTACTCGATATGATTCATTTTATAATTTACACGAGCAGCTCTGGGCTTCCATAATGTCACACCGAGTGGAATTGAATTGGGAAAGAGATGTATAATGCTGTCTATGCCTTATGCGTAGGAATTAAGACTATGGCGTGCTCGTACTATATTGATTTCTCATTGTGGTGTGCATGGAATTTCGACGAGCCCATCTCACGCACGAATCAGCCTCATGTGTATTCTCCGGTGGTGCACCCCTGACACAGCGTTCTGGAAAGGAATGATAGAGTTTCGGAACTGCAAGACATGCATGTTTGTTCGTTTCTACTTCCGCTCATGAAATACGGGTGAGTCTGTGGCGCTCAAGCATCATCCCTATCGTTTGATGCTTCTACCGGCACAACGGGAATAGCTGAGACTCTGTACTTCCAGAACAATCAGGAGACATATTCCAGGAGCAATGCACGGTTCGCCGTGGAATTATAGACCACCAATTTGTACAACAGATTTTGGAAGGAAAGGGAAAACCCCTTAGTCAACGTTTTGATGTAAGGTGCAGTCATCGGTCCCATACCTTCACATGTTTTTAGGCCCTCTCTCTCTCATATGTACATAATAACGGTTTGCTGCTGACGACAAGCTCTCCCCAACCTGCACACCACGATCCACAAATCGCGATCCGCAGGTGACTGCGTTTTGTCGCTCCACCAAAAATGCAAATTTTTCGTCTCCGATCCTCGTCTGCCAGGTCTGCATGTACGCCTACGTGTACACCGCTCTTTTCTGCAGTCCAATCCGTCAAACGAAGAAACAAAAGAGACTCAAAACTTCAGTGCGCACACATACGCACAAACACACAGATACGCACATGAATCATTGCCCTTTTTCTTCTCTCTTCCTCCTTTTGCAACATTCCACAAATGACGCATGGAGCAACAATTTCCTCTGATCGGTGAGGAAGCCCATACCCACCAATTGGGCACCCACACAACGAAAAGGCTTCCCCAAACAAGCGCCCATACAAGCGTCAACAGAACATCGTGGTTGAAGCTGGTTGGATGGTCTTCATCAAGAATTACAAGGGGACTTGCCCTTTGTATGTACATCTTGAAGGCATCTATCCTACTGGTACAGCAATGCGAGCGACCGCGCAACATTTTCATTCCGAACAAGGGAAGCAAGATGGGTGTGATGGCGTGACTTTGCAGCGCCGAATGCAATGCTTTGATAAGGAGGATATTGCAGGACAAGAAAAGGATTGCGCATTGCGTGTGTTGCGCATGCCTTGCCTCACAAGCTCATTCTGCTCTTCGCCTCTACACCTTGCTCAACAGGTCCCTGTCGCCCAGCACAAGATGGCAATTCGCGGTCTGATTGGACCGGAGAAGCTTCCCAAGACTGAGTTTCAGGAAAGACGACATGCGTTGAAATCGATATTACGCATAGAGCTTAGCAGCCGCTGTGGCCGTTCCAAGGCCCATCGAATCATGTGGGTCGATGCGCCACATCGAGCCGCTGAACCTTGTGCCGACGTCGTACTTGGAAGCAGACAAGGGATATTACTACAAGAAGTGCATAATTTGTCGCTTCAAAGAATGGCAGTGAATCGCAGACCCATCAATTGTTGAAAAAAAGTTCGAACAGTCTGATAGCAGTAATCATAATGCGAACCGGAACCCCGACCAAGGAATGTTACATCTTTGAAGAGTGATAATAAAAAAAGCCCGCAGGAAGAGCAGTTGAGAAGATAAACCTCCGCAGAACACCATGGCCTTTATACCGATCGACCAGGCAGGCAGATCCCGCTTCCCTTTCAGCTTGCGTTTATTGGATGCTCTCCTTACTGATTGCCGTCCATAAACGACTACAGAAGACGGCTTACGCAAGTTCCGGATGACTTCTTCGGTAGTGTTGGGCTCTGGCATCTGATCGACGATATTGACGTTCGCAGCCTGGAGACTCACATTTGAGCAGTGTTTTCGAATGACAGGTTTTTTCGTGTCGTCGGAGGTTCCCTCTCGCATACTCTCCGTGGAAAATTGTGCTACATATATAGCATGATATATTGGCCAGTACGTCCGCGGTGTGGGTCTCGTCTACAGAGACTCTATCGTGCGCTGAAGACACGTAATTTCGTCTCATTTGACCGGAAACATTCTCGGTGTTTGGAAATGCGTATACTGTTGAATATTGTAAAGCTTCATCAATCTGTGAGCTATTTTCATAACTTCCTGTACCTTCCGAAGATTTTTCTTCTATACATGCCGTTTGCCAAAACGATGGATCGTCTGACTCGCGCATTCTGCTAACGGTTAGACTTAATCTGACTATTAGAATCTGTGGTTGCTCACGCATATATCTGTGTAGCCGATTCGTGCCAAGTGTCGGTTAACGATGAAGATGGTTCGGGGTGTGTGTGATTCGTATCTTGGTTCCCTGCGCTGAGTCGGTTGGCAAGAGGATTCGATAGGCCGTACGGATCGCGTTCCAGTACATGAAAGTTCTCACTATACCGGCGTTCATTCTGGTGTGAGTTCCAGGACGGAGCATATTGACCGGAAATCCTATGGATACTGGGAAATATATTGGAGGCATTTCTCCATGCTATGCTTTGTGCATTCACAGCTTCCTGGATTGAAGGTGGGAACATTGCATTCGGGTACGTTGCCGAGGCTGATGGAGTGAATAGTTGCTGACAATCGGCAGTTGGTACATGTGCCTGTGATAAAGTTGCGAAGTAGGGATAATTTACGTCGTGCTCGGGAATTTCTGCGTCCTGAATCCCGTCATGTCAGTCGATCACCTTATCAATGGCAGACCTAGGTGAGGGTGGTACACACCATTTGCATATCTACTAAACCCAAGTCAGCTCGACCGGCCGACTGGGTTGAACGAATGTCTTGAACCATCAAGAGTACTATCAGAATCGCTAACTTTTGGAAAAGTCCCCCGAGAACGGTGTATGTCTTTCACGGCGGAGTGACGGTATATGAATGTGGCTACAGGAGAGCCTTCGCCGGAGGAGGGCTCCAAGGTCATGTCACAGGCCACCTGATACAGGACCCAGGACAACCAACACATACACCGTCTTCAAGTGTTGATGCAGCTACAGCAAATACTTGCATAGCGAAAGAGGCATTGCTTCAATGTACGTGCCGATCCTGTGCTACCTATTAGCAAACCAATGTCAACCCAGTACGTGGCCAGCATGCCGCCATTGGAAACCGATGCAATAACATGAGGACATTGTTTATCCACAGCCCTGTGCTGTATCGACTTTGAAAAAACGCCCAAAGACTCGACGTGGCCACATGCGGTGCCCGTGTCGCCGGTACGTCGTCGCTGTCACGGACAGAAGGCAGCCTCTAGAGAGAGAGAGGGAGAGAGAGATTGCCAGCGAAGCAAGCGTTAGCGATTGATGCCGCGTCGAACTCGTGCGCGGTGGCAAGAGAATGGGACTAGAGGCAGATTATTGTCCAGGGGCCAGGTCTCAAGCACGGTGAAGTGTTCCGGTGAAGTCGGACGCCATGGACCAAGTCGGCAAACGAGGAACAGGGTAAGACGCAGCCTATCTCATAGAAAGTCCTGCCCAGGATCTGAAGCGCGAATCCAGAGGATGCTATTCGATGGACTGTGAGAAATACAGGATTTCTGACATGACTGGAGGGCGAAGGGGCACGAATTGCAGTGTGGGGCTGACGAGGCGAGACGAGATGAAAGGAAGGGATTGCGAGTGAGGATCGCTGACTACATATGTATGTATGGGGGATGACGGAAACGGAACGCACCGCAGGAAATCGCAACACGTGGTTTCCTGTCCATGGCATCAGTGTCATCGAGATGTTTCGGAAAATGCCGGTTCCTATACGAAATACACGGCATACGAGAAAAGATGAACAAAAACGCCATATCCATATGCGGAAGGAAGAAGGGGCGGGAAAAAGAACCTCCGAAAATGACGGCAGCCCATACCAACACCGATTCCCATCGTGGCACCATGACCACCTGCGTCTATTCGAGCTCAACAGGGATCGACAAGGAGTGATTTTACGACCGCGCTGGTTGCGAGGCTCACTTCTGCCGACCGGTCAGCATATTGTCGCTCTCCGTCGAGCTTGCTTAACCAGGAAATCAATCGTGTTGGGAATCAGCAAGGCTCCGTACGGGCGCCACATCCTGATAATTGGACATTCCGCACTTGTTTTTGGTCTCGGTCGTGTCGTGTTCAAGCAGTATCGGTCGCAGAGCTTTCTACAATGCGTGCTGACTTTCACCAGATGCCTTTGCGACATTACAGTCGACTATATGCAGGGTATTCATCTCATCCTGTACATGGTTTTTGAAAAGGTCTCTACAATTCCAGCTACTTAACCTTTCTATGTTCGTCGGCCCGACATGTTGAATTCATCATATGATCTTCAGCGGAGAATAGCAACCACAACTTGACAATTAATGTAGACACCATGTGAATTAGCACCTCGGCTAATCAACATGACTCCCGAATCTCCGATGAATTTACACCAAACAGGTTCATGAGCAGGAGCTCGAAGATTTGTAGACTCTTTCGCAGGAACGTCAAATTAGTAGTGGTGGTGTCTTCGACGTAGTAGCACAAGACGATCTCAAGCGAGTCAACACCAAGTATCCACTTCAAGCGCACACTAGAATACGCTACGGATACAGCCGCTGACGGAGACAACTGGAGACGGAATAAAAAAATAGTTCAATGTGGCGTTTTCCCTGGAAATTAATCTGCGACGGTTGTTTCGCTACTGTTCCACTTGATCGCGGATCCTGTTTTGATGGGTTCCAAGTGTACAAGAGACAAACCATAGTAATTTTGACAAGATGAAGGGGATAAGTTGAAGGCCCGGACGACATGGTTATACCATGTGCATTGAGATGTTAATAAAGTCAAAGTACTTCTAGGTTTTCTAGCTATTTCCCATAAAGTCTCCGCTGAACAGCTGCAAATGTAGCCAATAGATATGAAATGGTGGCGAAAAATAGGTATTTATTCCAGATCTGATTGACTATCTTGATGTCGGGCCATGAATAGGCAATATGATGCCGTTGGCACTTGTCTCACTCGAGTTGCTACTCCTTGTTTTTGTTCCTTTGGCACTCAGGTTGTCCATTTTGACCAGCTGTTCCTCGTCATTATCCCCATGTCTCACCTCGAACGTCTTTGTATATGATATCCCATCTCTGTCCCGACCTATTCTGGATATCCCAGCGCTGCCTACAATATTTGATCGATTTCCGCGTTTCCCGCTTTCTTGATTGCCGGGGTAACCGCTACCGTATTTGGCGTTGTATTGAGATGTGTTGGTGGCAGCTATAGAGGCCTGGCCTGGAAATACGTGTATGAAGATCTTTCGAAGCGAGGGTAAGCATGCGCATAATATGCCGACGTTGATTTCGATGGTTGACCAGTTGCTGGCATCCGCTTGATCCCATGTGACGTTCAAAGATTTCCCGAAATGAATCAGTGACTGCAGACGCAGAACTGACATCACCGTGACACTACGCGGATATGAGAATTAGCTATGCACCAAAAAGTTTCTATCGGGGCGGGTAAACGAACAAAGTTCCCACACTGAACATCAGAGCCACGCTGAGCTTCTTCCTCCAGGACAACTTTAAATGATAGACTTCGTATAATGGAAGGGCTAGCATCCAGAAATCCAAGAAAATGCTGATACCGGCGTTTGACCAAGCTAGACCGTTGATGCTCTGAGAACATGGTCAGCAAGTCAATGGAAGAATAGGGTCTACCTCACTCACCAAGCAGGTCCCTTCATGCTCACCATCCCATCGGTCCCAATTGTAGCTGATTGGAGAACACTGAAAGATGGCCGCGATGACGCATGCCTGTCATACATGGTCAGTATGAACGTGACGCAGAAGTTTGACACCATAAACAGTGTATCAGCCGACAAGAATACGTACCATGCCCCAAAGAAGGGTGAAGATGATTGTGGACCAAATGATTTTTCTCGTATTGCGAGCAGGGAAAATGCGCAAAAAGAAAAACAACAAGGCAAGCTTTAATGTCATCAGAATGAAGAAATAAAGCACTTCCATGATGTAGAAAAATCGCGCAAATTCAGTGATTTCGTCAAAAGGGACTGTCCAAACATCTCGGCCCAGTCCGTTGGCCGTGGTTCCTCGGTCAGTTATGATGGTTTGTGGAATTCCCACGAAGAGAGCAAGAACAATAAGATAGTCATCCCATCCCAGCTCGGCTATGGAGAAGGCGGCCATGTAGACAATGCGAAGGATGACACAAACAGCTGAAATCACACCCAGCACGATATTAGTGACCCTGAGCTGCTTGACTTGATTTCGAACGGGACCACGGCATGTTGTTTGGGTAACATTTTGCGTCCCTACAATGGATTAGTAACAAGAGCGTAGTTGTTTTGTGTGCAAATAGTTCATACGCAAGCCTTCTTTTAGTGTACAGACGGACAAGACACAGGCCTCGGCATCAGCCAACAGCTTTGCATTGGAACAGATACACAGGCCATCTGTAGGTGGACAGGGAGAGTCCTCAATGGCGTTGGAAAGGCAAGGTAGCTTGGACTATGGTTCAGTATGGACGGATACATGTGATGTGGGGAATTGCTTCTTACGGCACACGCAGGCATCTGCGTCCTGACTTTGGCAAGAATCGACTCCTGGGCCCAGACCAAGCGACTGAGAAGCAAGAACAAGAACGAACAATAAGCGAACTGCATGGCGGCAACCTCGATCTCAACGCACTGCGGAGAGTAAGTAGGTAGGCTTCAGCAGTGCGGTGGAATCAAGGGACAAGTGGGTGAAGATGAAGATAGCATCGACGAGTGCATGGTCGTAGGGTATGGACTAGCGAGATATATTAGACTTGGGGGTGGTGTTAAGGCACAGCAATGTTTGGTATCGCTCAAGGGCCAGGGGCCACAGTGGACCGCGGAGTGGATGTGAGATTGAATGGTATGCGAGCTTGCTAGTTTCGCAGGGGCCCACCCGGGTTGAAAGCTGAAGCGAGCAAAGGCTACAAGACAATCAAACCTTATGCCAGAACAACCCGGTCTGCCGCGACTAGAGGCCAATGGCCATAGGCCGGGTAAGAGAGAGCTGACTGCCGATGGTTGAGGCTACGGCGTGAGCATGGTGTTGTCGTGTAGCACGAGATAGCTCGACGGTGGCGTTCCTCGTTGGAGGTTAGAGCATCGATAAAATGGAGACGGTTGAAACAGTTTCGGTACGTCGCGTAGAGAGTGCCACAGATGCAGACAAAAGGCAACCGGACATTCCAAGATGCCTCATCTGCCTGGTGAGCATGGCGGGCGGCCTCACACTGTCACCGATTATATGCAAGACGGCATCAGGCACCGCCGAGCAACGTCATTCGATCTGCATACAAGGTGATGGATGTATGGATGTCGGACCGAGGATGGAGGACGGCTGTCGACAGAGAAGGAGGATTCCATATCGCGTGCACGTTATGCAGTGTCGACAGAGAAGAAGATTCCATATCGCGTGCGCATTATGCAGGTGGCTGTCGAACCCTGGATGGTGGGATTCGTTCTTGGGTGCGCGTCTAGGAAGCAAGACGAGAAGACCAGACGGATGGACGAAAGGAACATTTGAATTGGACATGCACGCACAGGCCACAGCTTACCTCGATATGTATACACATAGGTGCATACATGGTTTTGCCCTAACCCGGCCAGGCCACCCCTTCCGCGCCAACAATGAAGTTTTTCGAGATCGCCAGGGCTGCAGGCCCTCGCGTGTTCATCGACTGATCTTCCTTTTAGCCTTTCTCCCGCTCATCATCTTCGCAAAGACCCTCTTAGTCAGGCCGAAGGGGCACTCTCCCGCGTTTCAACACCGTAAGACGAACTTGCACACTGCTACTAGTACCTACATATATACCTACACAATGCATGTCTGTCTTGTCATCCATGGGCCTTCACCCACAACGTTCGCGGTTAAGCGCGCGCCCGGTGCTCGTGGATAACAGCCTCCTTTGAGCCTTCTACGCCGGTTGCAACGGCGTGCTCCGCTTAAGTGGCGATACATACCAAGTCGCCCAACGCTTGCCTACATGCGACTGCCCAGCTGCACGGCTTGATTGGGGGCGAGTTGTTCATCGTGGTTGAAGAGAGGCTACAGTGCATCCCATGCAGGTACAGAGCCACCCACAGCCCTCACCCTGAAAGGAACATCCATGCTGCCAACCCCATCGTTACTCGACAATCTAGAACACACGCACGGCTGTGCCCTCTTTCCATCATCCATGCATACTCGATCTGTATCTATCAACGAGTAGCTACTTTGGTTAGCCATCTCCGCTAATTCTTCCGTCTACACTGCCATGTTATCCTGCGTCGTCATTTCCCCTCAAACCGTCACTGCTTTACTTGACAAGACCAATCACGATACCACCATTACTGTATACAAGACATCGAATTAACAAGCAGCACGCACATGGTGAGCAGAGTAACATGGGCTGCAAGGTTCGTGTGCGGGTCGATTCAAGTTTGCTTAAGCATCCTACTTTACATTCTTCGCCCATCCCAGCCAGCTAAAGGTGACCTTGAGAACCAACGCACCATCACTTGCCCAGTTAGAGCTGTGGGCATCGTCCCAATTTCCCGATAATTCACCCAGGCCCAGGTACTAGAACCCACCTGGGTGGCCATCCAGGTTCATGTCGCTAATTGCCAGGGAGCGGACATATGCATGCCGCGCGAAAAAGAAATCAGAATCCTCCGATGAACCACTAGGTTGGGGTACAGTAGGGGGGGATAAACGAAATGTAGTCTCCCAGAAAGTCGACGTCGCTGACCGACCAACGACTCAATTATTCAGGAAATTTGGACCCTCGAGAATTCAAGACGAAAGGTCTCATTTGATGATGGTTTCTCTCGAAACGCGAGTTCCATCGTGCGCACTGGTTGCCTTCCACTCAAGTCCCTCCTGCCACATCAAATTAGTATACAAAGACGCAACTGCAAGCTCGTAATTTTTTGCTACATCCACCCGTATCGCGCGAAACCAATGAATAATACAGTCGACGGTTGGCGCCGCCAATCGCGGCATAGCTGGTTAGCAGCCAGCTATGCGCAAATCTTTTTTTTTTAGCTCACCATGCTTCAACATCAAAGCTTTCTTCGGAAAGTTCCGTGACCACCACCGTTCTCCTCGAGAATTGGCGACCAGCAAGCGCCTTGATCGCTTTCTGCGCCGACTCCATATCTTGATACTTGATGTATATTTTGCCCACGCCAGCGCTGCTGCGAGCTCCTGCGGGGCGAGGTATCTTGACTTCAAGGATGGGTCCGTATTTTCCGCATTCCTCTTCAACGTCCTCTTTGATTTCTGGGAAAGGCATGTTAGAAATATAAGTCGGCACAAAGGGAGGAACAAACTTACCCTCGTACTCTTCGTCATTGATGAGCTCATCTGTAGTGACCATGTTCATGAGGCAAATGACACGGCTCTTCTCGCGGTTGTCTGCGGCAGTCGCACTGGCCAGCATGGAGATTGCACCTACACCACCGTCAAAGCCAACTTGTTGCTTCACACCAACCGTTGCACGGGTGACCTTGAGATTTCCATCGCCGAGCGGAATTGTGTTCAAACCATCAATGACCGTATCAACAATGTTAGGGTCTTCGTATTCACAGAAAGCAATACCCTATCAATCGAATTAGCAGAGAACTCAGGTCGGCGCAGCGACTCAAACTTACACGATGCTGCTCAGTGCTAGTGTCCTTGACCAGAACGAACGCTTTGAGCTGTCCGAAAGTCTCCACAAGCTCCCTAACCTGTGCCTCTTCCACGTATGAAGGAATGTTGACGATACTGAGCTTGTTCGGACTATCCTTCACGTCGGTCAGGACACCTTCGCCGCCGCGAGCTACCTCGTCCTCGGACGGAGTGATGTAATCCTTGGGTCGGCGAATGGAAAGACCTTCCCTGTCCGGCGCGCCAGCTCCGTTATCAAGCATGGAAATGCCATCCATAGCGAAGGCTACCGTGGCGTCCTCAGCTGTCTTGAATTCGACCAAGGCATACTCGTGGTTGCTCGCAATCATAGCGCTGAGGCAGGGGTCGCGGCCAGAAACAACATTGAGCCCGTTGAGCTGCAGATTGAAGAATTCAACGACCTCGTCGCTGGTAGCATCGGTAGGGATGTTATATATGAAGACTCGCTTTGCTTGCTTCGCATTGGAAGGTTGAAGCTCGGAGGCATTTGCAGTGCCGGTGGTAGGGCTCACAAAGGCAGCCAGCTTGGAAGGGTCCATAGGGGCAGCACGAGGAGCACCAGGCAAGGGAAACATGCCAGAGAGCTTGGCTTGCTCTGCAGTGATGTTGTCGTAGCCTGCCGGTTTGATGTCCCATTGGGTCATGCGTCGAGGGCGATTGAAAATGTCTGTGAAGCCGGCAAGGTCGGGTGTTGCCTCGCGTTTTTTGGGCGGAGGGGAAGCAGATTTCTTCCTGTCCCGTCCACCACCACCGAAGTCGCGACCACCGCCTCCGCCATCCCGCCTGCCGCCTCGGGGACGGTCTTCGAAATCGCGGTCGTTCCTATCGCGGCGTGGGGGTCGATGGTCGTCGCGCTCGTGTCGTGGAGGACGATCGCGACGAGAGTACGAATCGCCCCATGCCCGGTCGTCGCGTGGTTCGCGTGGTTCGCGCGGTTCTCGAGGTTCACGAGGTTCGCGAGGTTCAGCACGGCGGTCGTTGGCTCCTTCGCGCTCTCTATCACGATAGTCACGGCTCATAGAATAGGAGTCGACTTCGTAGTCGCGACGAGAGCCTCCACCTCCGTGACGGGGAGAACGGGAGCGTCTACGGTAGGAACCACGGTCACGGTCACGGTCGCCACGCTCTCCACGGTTTCCGCGGTCATCTCGGTCCCGTCGCTCGCGGTCGCCGCGGTCACGGTCTCGACGGTCATCTCTCGAAGACTGCACCTGTTAGCGCTTGCGAAGCTGCAGAGAGTTGGCGAGTACTCACGTATCCCCTTGATCCACCTAGGCGGCCACCGTCTGCTGTAGTCAGTAGTGTAATTGAAAACTGTCAAGCAGTCAGTACATGTACTGAGAAATACCGCTTACCTCTAGAATAGCTGTCGCCGTTCATGATGGCAGGCGGCTGTTCGGTTACACTGGTCGGCGCAGTCGCAAGTTGGTGGCAGCTGTTTTGCTCTGGATCACCTGCCGCGCACCGATGTCGTGCTGAACAATTAGCCTGGACGACAGTCTTGGTTTAGAAGACGATCAGCGACTCAAAGCAATGCCGTATTCAACGGGCAAATGTGTTTGGCGCGTTACGTTGGTCGCTGGCAGCAATGTGTACAGCAGGGTGAGTAGGTGGATAGGTGTAGGTCTAGGTTGCGAGGAGGATTCTCTAGCTAGTGTGCCAAGCTTTCCACTCGCGCCCCGTCCCTGCAGGGTTGCTGCCTTCGAATGTTTCTACTCATCATACACATGCATGCATTGCAGACTGACAGCACGCGGGCACATCGTGCACACATGAACAACTAAAGGAATTTCTGTCCGACTGATCTCAGATCAAACTGTCTAGCGATGCGCGCCTCAGAATGGCACAAGCTTCCCATCACCCTCAAAGAGCTCTGTATAAACACTACCCTTCGTTGCGGCCAATCATTCAGGTACCCTCTTCACCCACCTTACTCCAGCATCACCTGCTCATGTACGGATATTTAGATGGCGGAAGTCTGCGGAGGATGAATGGTCATGTGCACTTCATGGGCGGATATTATCGTTCCGCCAGGATGCTTCTCACCTTCATTACCGTGCCATTTTCCCTTCGATGACTTCATCTCCTTCTTTACCAACACCGCCGCCCCCCAATGTTCCTTCGGCAACGCCTTCAGCAGCTTTTGGCGATGATGACAACACTCCTGCTCTCGTAAATCACTACTTCAATCTTCAACCTGATCTCACCCAACTCTATGACCAATGGGCCGCCTCTGATGCCAACTTTCGTAAGAAGGCGCCCAAGTTCACCGGAATACGCATTCTACGCCAGGATCCTTGGGAGGCTCTAATAGGCTTCATATGCAGCTCCAACAACAACATAAGTCGGATATCCGGTATGGTGCACAATCTGTGCAAGCACTATGGCCCACTAATTGGCGACATTGGGGAGGAATCGTATCACGACTTTCCCACACCTGAAGCACTGGCAGGGCCAGAGGTGGAAGCTCATTTGATGAAATTGGGGTTTGGTTATCGCGCAAAATACATTGCCAAAACCGCGAGAATGGTCGCAGAAGAGAAAGGACTAGCATGGCTGGAAGGACTTTGCAATCCCGAAAGCCCCGTGTTCGGCAAAATCAGTGCGCCGGCTGGCGAGATGGCAGACGGTGGAAGAGAAGGATATAAGCAAGCCCACGCCGAACTACTAGCCCTCCATGGCGTAGGACCAAAAGTGGCTGATTGCGTATGCTTGTTTGGGCTGGGCTGGTCCGAATCAGTGCCTGTTGATACTCACGTATGGCAAATAGCACAGCGTGACTATAGATTTGGCAAGGGAAAGCATGCCAGTCTGACACAGGCAACCTATGTTGCGGTTGCAAATCACTTCCGGAAACTGTGGGGGAAAGAGGCGGGATGGGCGCACTCGGTGCTCTTCACAGCAGATTTGAAAGCCTTCTCGGAACGTATCACAGCCAAAGTGGAAGTCAAGGAGGAGGCAGTTCTCGTCAAAACAGAACCTGGAGGTTCACTACTTGTTGAAGAAACAGCGAAAACGAATAGCACGAAGAGAAAGCGCATCAAAAAAGAACCAGAGGCAAAGGAACACCAAGTCCTCGAGGTCAAAGAGGCAAGGGTCACAAGGAGTAAGAAACCTAGAGTTTGATGATCATTGAATGTTGTAGAGGGCCAAGGGAGCGAACAATAACTCACTGTCTACATCGGCTTGCATATGAGTGTGCCAAGCTAGCTTTTAAGGCATCATGGAAAGACTTCCCATTCTCCAAGTCTAGTTGAAGAATCCGGATCGTTTTTTTAATCAACATGACTCGAAGACTGGTATTGATGTACACCAATTTCGATTTCTAGCAAACATGGCACTGGCCATTCTTATACCACACTTTTGTCTGGCAGAACACAGACTGAAAACAACATTTACCCTCATATACAAAAAATAGAAAAAGGCAAATGAAGAGTGCTACCCATACCCTTGAATTATTGCTCAATCACGCCGAAGACGCCAATCCGCCCGGGAAAAAAATTCGCCTCCGGAACGTGACCACAGAAGACTTGTGGAACCTCCACTCCCACTCCCTTCGCTACTCACATCAGACGACTGAAGTGACACCTGGTTTGATGCCTTCCAACTTCTGGCTTAACTCCCTCCAAACTCTGTCCTGCGCTTTGTATCCCTCGGCACTGAGCACGAAGTCGCTGGGTTTTTGAATGGCTGCTTCACTCTGATAATGGCCGTGAGATTCGGGGCCTGATAAACCCGCATGCACCAGTGCCCTGCTACCATACTCAGTGGAGCGGGCCAAGAAAAACTTGAAAATGGCGAATGCGATACCGCCATCGCGAGCGAACTCACTGTAGCCATGTCAGTTGATGGGATTTTGGATATCTCCTGCAGGGAGACTGAGTTGGAAATGAAGGAAATACTCACGAGTGGCACAGCCCAGGACTACAGCAATTTACTGTGACGGGGAACTGCGCTGCAGGCTTGCGATCCGCGATGGCGCGGATTCCGAATACTTCCATGAGCTTGGAGACTTGGTAGCGCTCCATCATGAAGCCATCGGTAACCTTTTGAGGTTTCGCATTCAAAGCTTCAAAGAGCTTGCCCTCTGGCGCGCTTAGTTCCTTGAATTTGGCCCAATAGTGGACGTCGGAGGCGACGATGGATAGCGTGGGACGCTTGTTGAACTTGTTCGCCGTGTCCACCAGCTTAGGGAGCAAGCTGAGCGCCAGTAAAAAAGTCGATACCACATTTACGGTGATGATAGATTCATCATCTGCAAACACCTCCCACTTGCCTGCACCAATTCCGGCGTTGAGGATGGCAATGTCGACTCGATCCAGCTCCTTCCCCACTCTTGCAGCAAAATCGACGACAGATTGATGCGAAGACATGTCCAAATGCCATACTTGGAGAACGCCGGTCTTGCCCTCAGACTTCTCAATGTCGGCTTTGGCAGCGTCGCCCTTTGATGTCGATCGCACAGCGATAATAACAGTTGAGGCACCGAGCCGGACAAAGTGACGAGCAGCTTCTCTTCCGAGTCCAGTATTGGAGCCTGTGACGATGACCGTCTGGCCCGTCAGGTCGGCCTTTGGTGTTGGAAGGGAACCAAAGAATTGCCTGTGAAGGAATGCACCGAAAGAAGCCATGGTGATGGAATATAATCAATTCTTTCGCGATGTGTGTCGGAAAGATGGATAGTAGGTTGCACTGGATACGAAGAGAGTTGGCACTTGGTTATACACAAACGTGCGACCTAGACGCGGTGAAATCTTTATATGTCTGGTACTGTCTGGATAGCCCCACATGCCTAGCTGGGCGGCTGGATGTTGACATGTGTGATAAGAAGGTAGTGCTAACAAAGACTACGACGTTTAGATAATCACACGGCGTTCACGGACGAACCGGACAAACACGAACAACCGTGACGCCATGGTTATAGAAGTTGGAGCTTAGAGCTCCCCGATTAGCAATAGTCTGATGGCGCCGGTGGTGTGTGCCTCGAAACTAGCACGCTCTTACCACAAGCAGAAATGAACTATGTAGTGATGAGCTCGAAGCTGCAAGGGTTCTCCTCCTTCGCTCAGACACCCATCTATCCATCTACACGGTAGCTGGCAGAGCTTTGTAATCGACTTTATGCAAAGCTGGGGGCCTGGAGTAGGCGAAGAATGCGAGGCTTTTTAATATCCCAACTACATGCAGTAGACAGAAACTGATTGCCAGGGCGTGTTGGGCCTCGGCGATCAGAATCAGATCGATCCTCGAGAGTGCTTGTCGGGAACAATTGGCAAAGACCATAGGCAATTCAATATCGATTGATTGATTCAAAACACCATCTCCCTTCCAACTAGCCATGACCAACCAACTGCGAAACATACCGTTTGGGGTCCAGTCTCTACGGCAGTTAATATTGCGCCGAGTGCGAGAAAAGCAATGTCCCTAGTAAGCCCGTTCCACTAGTGGAGGCAGTACCCGCCCTCTGATTTTCTGATCATTCGGCATCGGACTTTTATCATCCACGGAACTTGCGATCGGTCCTAGACTTCATTCCGGCATTAAAATTCAAAAGATAATTAAACAAAAAATTACCGTCTTCTCTTCTTCATCTCACATCGGCGCCAAGACTATACAGCCAATGAGACCCCTATTCAAGGCAGTCGTTCCCCTCAACTGTCCCTGCAACGCGGCCGGAAGCACCTTGTTGAAGATTCAGATAGATAGATATCACTAAAAACAATTCAACTTGTTCATGATAGCAGACCTCATGTTGCTCAACGTGGTGCAGAAGTGCTGTGCTTAAAGGTATATGTGTTTCCGAAACATTTTCAACATCTATACAAAATTCATCGACATCGTGCACATGTTTGAAGCATTATCATCATTTTCGGAGAGCCGATCGAGGCCTTTTAGGGTACATAGGCCTTGATGCTATACTCGTAACATCAAGTTTTGACGATCCACTACTATACCACCAGTCTTGTCTCCATCATCGAGCGGCTGAGCTCGATTCCTAAACTTATGTCAATTCTCTAGTTGTAAAGAGAGCTCCAACGAGCTGAAAGGATCTGATGCCATCATATGCATCCCTCCGGAAGTTCCAGTTAGTAAGAGCATATCGTTCACTGCTTTCCGAGAATGCACAAACTCCAAGCATCGCGATACCACAGAATCCCATGAAATCCAACAGCATATGACAAAAGGACAGCAAAGTAAACATGTCGCGAGAAAGTTCTTACTTTGTAGTCGTAGCATGTTCACAAGCCGACAGCAGCGGTCACGAGTTTCCAGAGGCTGGTACGCCAGCTACGCAGTCCACGGACGAGCTGCATCCAAAGTCCCGAGCATTTCCATGGGTGTCACGCGGTTTAGACGTGCATGAATCTAGAACAAGGCTTCTATTTCCCGTCCCGTGTCTATGGTCCGGCAAACATGACAGCGTGACAGCTCGGGTTGATGGTGTAAAACAATCCTTCCTCAATCCAAAGGAAAGAGAAAGTGGGAGTCGAGCGCCATCACAAGGAAGATATTGAGGTAGTAGATATCGAGTATTAAACTTAGATCAAGAGCAACAAGGATTGATGTTACATCCGCCAATGACCCAACAACAAGAAGGATATCAAGCGCCATCGGCGGCTCTGCGATCTCTGAAATATAAACATTGGCTTCATCTTTCAGAACCCTTTGGTACAAGCTCGCCATTTTGAAACCCCAAGCCAATGCGTCTCCTAAGAAAACTAGCGCCACCAACAAACGCGATGAGCTCAAGAAACAAAACGCTTCCAATGGATAACAAACAAGCAATCAGTCATCAATGCCGCACCAAAATGCTAAAATTATTCCAAGAAACAAGACTCGCCCCACGCACACAAACACTCTGGTCGGTATGCACTCCCCGAGCTCCCACCAACAACATACACACATCCAGTTCTGTCTCTCTCCTCTTTACTTCACCCTTGTGACGATAGATCTCGACCCTCGACACTGGAATCATACGCACTGGTGGTGAAAAAGATGGCAAAAGGTGTACATGGCAAAAAGCAATACAAATATTCGAGAACTTGCTTACCCAGAGAACGCCGTTTTCAAATGCCGCATATGTGGACATCTGGCTTCGCTTTGCCAGAATTCCCATGTCCAGCAAGAAACTCAACACAAGTCGTTATTTCATACTCTCCAGGTTGATGCGAGAAGACAAGTCATAAAAGCCCATTTTCTACGGAGAAACAATGGTATCTGCGCTCATTTGGTATCGTTTTGCGAATTGGCCGTGATGATAAGAAAAAAGAAGAAACCAACGCCTGGAATACTCCTATATGAATTGCATCTTTGGAATCGATCAGCCTGCGCCAGCAGTACTAAGCTGTGTAGACTTAGAGTATGCGGGTGATCGATAGCTATGACGATGAGGTGACCCGGTGCGGTGGCTTTCTGCAGACCCCGGCGGATGCTGACTATATGGTAAATTCGGCGTGCCAAGATCATGGTGTTGCGGTGGCGTGCCGTGACTGTTTGATGCAAAGCCGTGGCCATGCGGTGGGATCTGGCGTAATGAAGATTCGCCAGAAAATGCTTGAGGGTTGTGATCGGCTTGTGTAATGTGCGGGGCGTTGCGTTGGTCTTTACGTGAGGATGTTCCACCTGGAACACGAGGAGAGGCCCCAGGTGTCGCTATGACTGGGTTCTTGCCACGCTGTTCCCATTGTCGCATAATCTCCTTGGGTGTCAACTCTGGTGAGCTGTCATCATTCAAGAGCTCGACGATCTCTTCCGGAACCTGAACTAGGTTAGAATATCGAATTTCATGTCAATAGATGGATCTTCTCACCTCACAAAACTCATCGTTGTTTTCGATCAGATCAAACACAACTCTGACAGCGCCCTGATCTACACTCCTCATTTGCTTCTCGTTATTTTCTCGTAGAATGTTGGGCGCCATCACTGTGGAGATGTTCCATGTGTCCATTTTGTTACCCGCCTCTTCGTCGATCGTGTGGAATGATGAGACCCAGTTTAGGAAGCAAAACAGCACTTCCATTGTGTCGCGATGCGCCTTTGGCAAAAGACAGCAAACCAAGTGCAAAACCTTCTTTCGTAGCGCGTCGTCCTCGATGTCTAGGTATATTAGTGATTTGTTGTCTCGATGCGGAAGAGCCTACATACCTTTGGCGACCATGAACAAACGATAGAGTTTCAATGTTAGAACGGGATCTGGCATGAATCGGAGGAATCGACTGAGTAGGTTGGCCAGCATGACCGGGTTCTTTGAGCTGAGGTCTACTGACTCAACCCCTTTGGCATCAATTTCCTCTTCGAGTTCTCGCAGAACTTTCAGATTACTGTTCTTCCGGAATATCCCCTCAACGGACATGTCCATGTTTCTCATTGCAGTCACTGAATCTTGGAGCAGTGCCGGTACTTTCAAGGTGCCAGGACCAACCCCATCTGTTGATTCTGCCCCATATTTCTCTACCAGAAGCTCGAGGGGTTGTCGAAAAGTGGCCCGATCGGACACAGGTTTTTCAGATGGGCCGGATTTCTTTGGCTTGTTCTTGTCCTTTTTGCCAAACCCGATTTTACCCCAGAAGTTTGTTCGTTTTGTTTCGATCAAATCGAGTAGATCACCTTGATTGTACTGAGCTTCATCGAGAAGGAGACCGAGTTGAAGTACAGCAAGCCCCTTCAGCTTAAAATACTCCAGGGGAGAAAGTTCGGAGAAATAAGTGCGCTGTCTTGAATTGGCAGCTTCCGCCCCAGAGAAATCGCGACGATGGCCATTGCGGAGCCTGGCTTGGTCTTGTCCTAGAAGGGCACTACCTCCGGCACGGAATGCATTGGGTCGTTGCTCTCGCTGTTGCTCGAGGGCAGCCATACGTGCAATGTCATCCAGCGCCAAAGAGTTGACAGCAAGTGTGGTGCTGTCGATATCACCAGGAGACTCGCGTTCTTGGACGATTTGCATGCCCCCTCTCGAGGAAGAATCTGTTCCCGCTTGAGAAGCTTCCGGACCATCTATGATTCTCGATGCACGAGCACGTTTCATTGTTTGCGAAAGATGCTTATCCAATCGTGTTGAGCGAAGGCGCTTTATGTCAGTCATGGACTGCTCATAGTTTGCGTTCGGGTTACTTTGGGCATCTGTGGACGATTGCCCCCCGAACGACTTTGAGCGATTATCCTGGCGGAGATGAGCAGGATGAGAATCAGCACTGGTGTCGCCTAGACGGTGACCTTCAGACGAGTCGTAGGCAGAAAGGTTCGGATCATCTAGAGATGCGGATGTTAGCGGGGACTGCGAGTTCTTCTGCGACGTGGCGTACTGCCTAGGCGAGGTGTCAAGAGTTTGGCATGCTGGTTTACAACGTTGTGTGATGCGCAATGAACATACCTGAAGTGTGTGGCAATGCACCGCTTGATCGTAATGTTGCCATCAAGCGAGCATGTGCAACCTTCAACAAGTGCACATACTGTCGAAGTTTGGTGACCGATTGAAACCCATTTTCAGCATCAGGTTGCGCTGCAGCACATGCCGGACAAAAGACTTTTTGCTGGGACTTGCTCCAATACGCATTCTTGAAGTCACTCCGCAAGTCGGCACTGCAACCACGACACACCATACAGCCATAGTTGAAGGACATGTCGTTCATGTGTAGACATTTGTCCTCGACTTGGGCATCGCACATTGGACAGGCGTCAGCTGATCGTGGAACAAGCACAGCAGACTCGGCTGCTTGATCGATCTGGGCTTCATGTTCCAGTCGTGCATCGAGAGAATTGACTTGAGCAAGAAAATTCGTCAGTCCGCTCGCGCTTCGCGTTTCACGCTCCAACTTCAATGCCCCTTGAAGGCATATGCGTATAAGAAGCTTGAGGTAATGGGCCAGACCAGTAACAAGTGATAGTAGTTCCTGTGTGACGCCAAGTCGTCGCACCCCGGTGCCTTGTGATTGGGTCAAGAGGGCAAAAAAGGCAACAACCTTTTTGCAGAGCAGTTTGGATTCACGAGAATAAGTGAGGCCTTTGGGTGTTTTGGCTACAAGCTGCGCATCAAGATCGTCTGCGGAATTGAACAGAAGCTCAACATGGACGATGAACTTTTTGGCCGCCATAACACCGTCTACGTAAGCACCGTTGCTGACGTGCAGAAGCATATCGGATATGCACGTTGCCGACTTCTCTTCGAATGCCGATAGCGTCTTCCAAATCCAGTTGACTTTGGCCTCGATTTCTTCCTCCTGCTTCCGAACTCTTTCACGGACATCATCGGGTGCATCTACGTCTGAATGCTGGGGTGTTTGAAGCACGGGTTGTCCGGTGGAATGCAACCTCACATTCCAATACTTGTGGATCATGTAGCATTCTGGATGCCAGTGCTGGTTTTGACCGTTGCGGAAAATTTCTACAAACTGCTTAAGGATGGATGTTTGACAACCGTTGCATCTTTGTGCAAATTTTGTCGAGTAGTGGTAGTGACAGTAAACGCTGCCTTCGTGCTCGTAGTAGCTGTCAGAGGCCCCGAACACAGTTGGACATACAGAACAGGTGAAATGCTCAATGTGATATTTACGGTCCAAAGCGGTGATGTAAGATCCTCGAAGGGCTTGGCCACAGTCGAAGCAAAGCAAGTCCAACCGTCGGAAATAGTCGGTTTCACATAGAGGGTACTGTCCAGGGGGCTTCTCGGGAACGGGGAAGAATTTGGAAGCAACAATCTTGCCACAATCCTGTCTCTCGATTAGCAGATTACATTTAGATACGAATAGATGCATACATGACAGGTGAAGCATTCCAAATGATAAGTATCGCCCAGAGCCCGTACGAACTGGCCGGTGAGACCTTCACCACACTTGCCACAAATCTTACTCCGCCCTCGGGGTTTTTCACGCGGTTGATCTTGGGGTGGTTGTTCAGTAGGGTCAGTCAGAGACCGCGCTGGTGGGCCAGCGTTCCTTGGTGGAGATAAGTTTTGCTGGCTTGACATGTCGTAGGGGTTCGTTGGTTGTCTCTGCAGGCTGCTACTACGCGGCTCAGAGCCGTGAGGTGGCGGGCCTCCGTAGCCTCCCAGCGAAGGCTGCCCCTCCGAGGGAGTGTTCATATCAGAGTTGTGCCAGCCGAGAAGCTATAACGCTAAAGCTGTGTGGCAATAATGGAGGCTTTGAGAGTCGCGGGGACGGGCCAGCGCTGAGGTACGATTAGTACAGGCCCAATGGGGAGAGCGTGGGAGTCGAAGTATCCGTACGCAGAGCTGCCGTAGAGATTGGGGCGCGATCCAAAGCGATGACGCTGGAAGCGGGTAGAGTCAACGACAGGAGGGGCGCAGGAGTCTGATGTGGATATGGGCGTAAGTGTTGTCGAAGGGGTGAAGCGCGGTGGTGAGGCACAGGTAGATACACAGCGACAGGTTGGCCGCACGGAGGGTTTGCACGGATGGCTGGAAGCGCAGTCGGTGTCATGCGTTGTAGGCGAGAGGAGGACGGGCGGTCGAATCGTGAGGGCACGGTTGGCGGGTCTACGCAGTGAAGTTGGGGGGTTGTGAACTAGAACAGCTGCTGAAACACGATGTGATGAGCCGGTGATGGACAGCAAGCGAGCCAACACGGGCGGATTAATCGTTCAAGGGGCTCGGGAGCTGGAGGAGACGGCAGCTGGAGGAGTGGTATGCGAGTGTCGTTCTGCAGCGGAGGAGAGCGTGAGATGGCCGTCGAGGTGTGGAGGTTGCTGGTGGATTGCGCTAAACCCGATGCGCTCTTGGGCAAATTAAAGAACAGCGGATCTGCTGTATAGTCCCTGTATTTGGGGCGGTTGCTAATGTCATGCCATAAATATGGATGTGCAAGGCAATAATACTGGGTGTGAATGGATATGAATGCCGTCACAATTGAGCAGAAAACCCAGCACTGGCTGCGCGCGTGCGCATGGGACGAGCGCTTTTCGATATGTACACATGCACGCATAGGTGGAAGGGACAGGTAGACGGGTATTTAACTAAGTGCTTAGTACATACATAGGTACTTGTGAGTACGCGACGAGCTCCATCAGCAGCTGGCTAAGTACATAGTTAGTTCGAATTCGTGGGTGCTTTATTTAGACTGGCTAGAATCGACTGTGCCTGTGTACACACCTGCGCATCTACAGTCCACACATACTTACGTACTCATCGTATTCGACAGCCCTTTGCAGGTACCTGGGCTGTGTGCCAATACCTGCTCAGCAGGCTAATGTGCAACGTTGGATGACCTGCAGTATCGCGAATATCTAGGTACCTATGTGGGCTGGACGGGGCTTGATGGATCGAACTCTATTGACATCGTGGCCATCGTGGCTGTGGGTGCGCTGGCCCTCTACCACCCTCTCTTTTCCTCCTTTGCTCCTCTTCTCTTGGCATCCTTATCTCTATTTGAAATAAATCTCAACTCCAAGTGAAATCGGGCACTCGAGTATTGCACATGGCTATGATGCCATCAGGGCCCAGTTGGTGTTAGTGCTCACGGCGGGCTGCAAGCATCGTTGATGTGGCGGTGTCTGGTAATCAACCTGTAGGGAAAAGTGCGCGTACATACATATGCATGCACTCCATGGATACAACCAAGAATGATCAAAGATTGAACTTGCAACCCTCTGAATAATTCAGTGGCGTTGGAAGAACCTATATATATACACATACCTAGGTACCTACGTAGGTATGAGTGTGCTGAACAGGTTGAACAGCCGTATACGACACCTGCTAACGCGTTTGACGCCGCGAATGTGCGTGCACTGAAGCTCAACATATAATAAAATGATTGATACCAAAAAAGGCGGGACGACCTAATTACTAAAAGAACAAATTATATACGATACCTGCACTCGAGAATGTACAGGCTTGGCTGGATCAATTGATGAAATGCACGCATCACGTGGTCTGGCTCTTATGTACTTACCACGCTAATCCCGAAACGTGCAGTCGCATGTGCCGACAAAGACGTCTACATGGACAGTGGACTTTCAAACCTTTCTCTGCCACCATTATCGCTACCACAACCGTAAACCTCCACCATGGACGACGATTCCCGAGAAGCGCCTCCGCGCCCGTCAGCCGAGCCGCCCGTCTTCCGTGCCCCTAAAATGGTGTCGCGTCCGAAACCGCCAGCCCAGCAGGAAGAGGAGCTGGGTGCCGACCCCAAGCTGGGTGATTTCGAGGGCGAGCATCCGCTGTCTATATCCGAGGCGCGAGCTGTCGTAACCGCCATTCACGCTGCGAGGAGGAAGCGCGACCCCGGAACAAATCCCTTGGGTGGTGATCGAGTGCATAACGACTCGCAGTAAGTTGTGAGGAGCAATAAGCTACACTTGGTAGTGTAAATGGGACATGTATTCATACGCGCGTAGGTCCATTCAAGCATTCGTGGAGTATATCGAAGTCTTCTCGCGCTACAAGCAAAACGACAATCTGCACGCCGTTGGTGGCATCTTCGATTCCAACCCGCAAATCAACCCCGTAGAGCGGGCTATGTTGGGTATGTGGTACACCGATTCAAATCAACTGGGCCATGTCACTCACATTTCACAGGGTCGTTGGGCCCCGATGGTGCCGACGAGGCCAAAACCTTGATTCCTTCCCTTGCGCCAAAATTTGACGACGATACTCTTCAACCTATCCTCGAAGAACTCCAGAAATTGCGTAAGTGACTCATTCTTTCTACCCAACATCATTGAAACTAAAGATTTTTCAGAGGATCGTTTTGGATAGGAGACTGTCTGCTCCAACACCCACATATGTTGAGGCCGAGCATGAAAATCACAATTGTGATGCGGTTCCGGCATGGCGACACACGCAAAAGTACATCGGGGCCTCCATTAAAGATTGACACAATCTTTCCATGTCATCGTGGCAGCTTTCGCTTCCTGTTTGGTGGTGAAATCATCATTTTCCAACGGAGGGGTTTTGCAAGAGAGACTTCGTCAAGACGACGAATGGATACAAGTGCCTGCAACGTGTAGAGCTCTGGTTATTGAGATGACCAGATAGACTGCGTAGCACCCGATTCAGCTCCTAAGGCAATATAATCTGATAGCAACAAGCTTCGTGGCAGCTTGTCATCATGACCACCTTTATTGTCGTCATCATCATGCACCTGCGTGCCGCAAAAGATTAGCTTGGCAGAAGCCACCGCGTTCGTAGCTTGATTGCCTACAATTACACGAGAAGGCGAATGGGCAAACAATCACAAACAATGTGTAAATCATAACAGTACCCCCTATCGTTGCTTTTCTTTGTTCGAGATGTCTCAGATGAGAGCCGAGAGGAGCTGTTTCTTGATGGCGCATTCCCCCCTCCTCGCCTCCCTCTCTCGTTCATACATTTCGACTATAGCAATGGCACTGGCATGAAAGATCACGTCCACCCGAAGCGATGTATTTGGCAGCTTTGTGCCAAACAAGATGCACACGTATTGTCTTCATTGTCTTCGACGTGTTGTGTTTGCACTCTGCACGCTGTGCAACAGGTCGCAAAACAATGAGAAACAACATCTGAAGGCACTAGGATACATATGATAAAGAGGGATCATCAAGAGGGATTCTCTCAGGTATATTCCGCAAGAAAAAAAAAACAAAAACTCCCATCATCAAGCAGTGAGAAGCCGCAATCGTCACATCCAAATTCTCAAAAGCAACACATCACACATATCGATACAACCAAAAGACCGATAATGAGTGCGCACTATACAATATCCACCCCTCCCCCTCCTACGAATACAACCACACGCTTCTCCGCGATGGCTGCAAAGGAGATATACACCCACAGCACCGACATCCAAGAATCGCTCGCCATCGCTCTCCACTTCCTCTCGGGATTCCAGGCACAAAACTGGCCGACCCCATCTGAAGTGCTTCCCTTTGTCGGACGCGCCAACACGCGGACATCGCAGCTCGATGCCGATATTGTGGTTGCTCGGCACTTGAGCCTGACCGCTACGTTGTGCAAGCTCGTGTCCCTCGACATATTTCCCAAGGACTGCACTCGGTGGGTTGATGCTGGCCCTGCTCCTGGGTCCAGAAATGAAAGCGAGAAATGGCGTCGGGAGGGCGAGCTCCTTGGTGAAGTCGTTGTTCTAGCCGACGAGGCGCGCGATATCAGTGAGTATTTTGGCAGGTATCATGGCGTCAAGGGAACCCAACAGCAGGCTGGACAGATGAAGGAACTAAAAGCATTGTGGGAATGGTATGAGGAGGTTGTATCGCCGGTGCTGGATGAATTGATGGAGATGATGGATGAGGTTTCGGGAGGGGAGCATGAAAAGAAAGAGGAAGATTGTAAGTCAAAGTCGATGAGTGCGAATCACCAGCACAGGACAATCAAGAGGAGGTGTAAGTTCCATCCCGGCTCTTTTCGGGAGAGGATGAAGAAGGCGCGAGGCGCTGATGTTGAGGGGACTGGTTGACAGCCCTTGGCTGGTACTCTTGTTTTCAAGACTGTGCTTCATTTATCGTCTCCCCACTATACCTTTACTTTTGCTGAAGTCTGGTCATAGCGTTATGGCATGTATTATCAATCGATGTTTTCTTTTCCTACTCAATAGCTGATGTAATGCATGTGTACTATAACACAGAATGAAATTGTGACGTGAAAAGACTACTACTATGACTTGATACAGTACGCGGCCTCCGCTACCATCCCGCAAAAGAAATTATGATCCCAATGAGTCCCTGGAACCAATTTCCCCCTCTGCCGACGGGGAACAAAGGGTCCATCCAATCCAGCTATGGGTCGCTATTCCCCAGAAACCAGAAGCGGCTAGTGCGGTGCAAAGGTACTTCCTTCCAGAACAAGGGACCGATCACTGACATCACGACGACGCGAACCGTAATAGCGTTTCAGCAACAGCCTTTTGCGTGACACCAAAAAAAAGGGGGGGGGAGGGGAATAGAGTTTGTGATAATCATGATGACGGTATGATGAGTTGATGGGCGTGGCTGGATGTTTGTTGTTCGGGTCGGTACGTCAGTCCTCTCCACTGGGTACAAATGGGCGGACAAGTAGACTGAACTGCTGGTATCGCATCAATTGTTTGCTAGCAATAGAGAATCCCATCTCCATTTGTTTGTTTTCCCTACCTGTGAGACGAATACAAGTACGACTCCTTTCTTATTTTGAGCAAGTCTGTGTTGGCATCGCCAAACAACAGAGATAGCCATGACTTTGCAGCACGATCACGGCAAAATGGCCACAAGAAGCGCCTCACGGCCAGACGAAGACACCAAATCCACGGCGGGGAAACATCAAGCAGATAAAGTGCGGAAAGATTCGGGTGGAGACGCGGGGGACTGCACCGAATTCTGGGAAGACGACAAGCACATGCAAGTAGGCCAAGCCGAATACCGAAAGTTCAAAGAGTCGCAAATGGAGACGAAGGGCGGGTCGGAAAACGAGGGTGCATCGAATCACAGCAAAAAGCGTGGACAGGGAGTCAACAGCGTCCAGAGTTTGACGAAGAAGCAGAAGAACGGGGGTGGGTTGGATAAACACGAGCAACGGGCGGGCGACAAGACGAGGGTGCCGGAGAAAGGGCAGAAGGCGCAGTGGGAGGGAGATTCAGGGGATCAAGTGGAAGGAGAAGTGGTCGAGGCGGTGTATGAAGAGAAGGAGATTGAGGGCGAGGCTGTCAAAGCCAGCAAAGAAGAACCTCAGATTGTAGTCAGGGACAGTTCGTCGGGCAGGGCAGCTGTGCAGGATCCAGCAGCTGTCAAGTTTGGGTAGTACTTCAACGGGTTAGGGCTGAGCATGCGCAGTAGAGCCGAGGAGGGGAGGGAAATCAAAAAAAGTTACCAGGTCGTGTGCGCACTGTTTGCAGTTGGGTGGTGGTGGTGGTGATTGAGTCAATGCAGACGTGATGGTGATGGACGACTGGGATGGTGGGGGAGTGGGACTCGGCGAGGACTTGGCTGCGAATGGGAGTGGTCGGGGAGCAAGGGAATAAGGCCCCACCTGGAGGGTAGAGCAGAGCAGAGAGGTGTGGATGGGACAAGCAAGAGTAGACGACCGGCATGGTGCAGCAAGGTGCATGGTTGTCTGTCTTGCAGTGGAGCAGATTGGCGGATGGCATTTACGTGTCGGGCCATGGAGTGATGACAACAGCACGATAGGTCGATAGTCAGATGCATCTTTCCGGGCCCCGCTTGCGAGAAACAGAGGTGTAGAAGAAGTGGGTGATGGCGTTTGATGCGATGGGAGAAAAAAAATTGTACATGCATGATACATAGTGTATGTTTGAATCATGCTGAGATGGATGGAGGGGAGGTTTGAGGCGGGTGAAGCCTCACCGACCGACCGCTCTTTCTCTCCTGACTGCATGCCTCTATCCTGTAGTACCGATTGGATACTAGATACAGTCAAGTATGTAGGCACATATGTATGTACGGTACAGTACTGTAGGTTGGCACGACGACGACAGAAGTTGCATGCATATTGACAGGATAACGGCATCTGTGTCACTGCAGTCGAGCAGTCAGCAGTCATGCGGGAGGGGACATCCAAGGTGGTAAGACGCCACAGATGCTGGGCCAGAAGGATGGATGCCCCCTCCTCCCTGGTATGCACCCTCCGGAAGATGAATTAGCTAATGCCAACTCGGGTGGTGGTGGTGTGTGTGAAGCTGGTGGATGGTAGGTGGTACGGTGTGTAGAGAGTAAACAAGGTGAAACACGGCAAGAATGGAGAGTGGCAGAGGATCAATGGGAGCGAGCGAGGGAGGGGTAGAAGCGATTACTTTTTCGCGTCAAAGACCAACAACATGGAGAACAACCGCAGCCACGGAGATGCACGGCAGGCAGGCAGGCAGACATGGGACAGCAACTTAGCTACACGGCGGACGGGTAAACAGTCAGTCAGTCAGTCATGATGATAATGGCACAGACAAGAGAAGATGACAATCGCCATGGATCCTGGCTGGCTTCACAGGACAGGATGGATCCATCGGGGCTAGCGCAGTAGGGGTTCGTAGGCTAGCCCGTCTGCCAGCTGGATAGCGCGAGGGAGCGAGCAAGAAAAAAAAAAGGCCCGCGCCGAAGCAAGCAGACAATCGGGTCATCAGATGCCTGTCTCTCTCTCTCTCTACATACACACTTTCCGCACCGTATCGGCTGCTCGTAGCTTCTAAAGTTGACTGCCCTTTTTTGTACATGAATGCTCGCTCGCTCCCCTTTGCTCTGCCGGATGCCGCATCCCTTCCACCATTCACCAATCCAATCAATCCATCAATCCATCCCTCCATCCATCAGTCCATCAGTCCATCAATCAATCAATCACCTACATACATACATACATACATACATACCCCCTTCCGCTCCCCCTGGGCCATCACCTCTCACGTTTTCCCCCTCTTGCATCCTCTGCTCTCTTCTCTCCCCTCTCTTGTTCCCTTGACCGCTCGCTTAGTGCCCGCGTAGACGTCACATCGCCATCCCCCTTCCCTCCCACTTGCTCCACGCCTATCACCATCCGCCGCCTTTGTGCACACCCCCGCCCGCACCAGTGAGCCCGTGCGTGCTCGTGTTTGTGCCCGCGCCTGTTCCAAGGTCATTCCAACTCCAACCTTCGACTCTTGATCACAATAAAAAAAATAAAAAAAAATAAAAAAACTAGGACGGCTTCGTTGCCAAGCTGCGTCCCGTGAACCTGCCCTCGGCATCAACCACCGCCGCGTCTGCAGTGCCTTCCGGTCCATGGCCGCGCCCTGATCCGTTTTGCCCTCCTACGTTCCATCAACATTCGCTATCCCAACTCCTTCAATCGCTCTGTCGTGCACACAATGCTGCTTCAATAGGCAAGCCATCTGCGGTGCCCACGCCGTGCCTATCTCGAGGCCCCGTCCTTCTCTCCTCCAGCCCGCCAGCTCTCCGACATCAACGCCATCTCGTGCCTCAACCATGCCCACACCCGCTGCTTCGATATAGCACACTGAACACTAGCCCCCGGGCAATCATACACTCGCGCCGCCACCCTTTGGCCTGCTCCCACTTCGATTCCTTCCCTAGCTACCGGTGCTCACCTTGCACCTCGCGCCATTCTTCACCATGGCCGACGACGCGAAGCATGCTACGCTTGCCCCGCCTGCTGTCACTGCACTGAGGCAGGAGGCAGCATCCAATGCTGTACACCGTGTCCAAATGGAACGCACTGTGAGCGAGGACATGCGGACCGAGCGGGACGACTTGAAAGAGGCTGCCGAACACAGCCTGAACGTCATCATGGACCTCGGCATGGATGGCAACATACGTTATGTTAGCAAATCATGGAAAGACGTCGTGGGAACAGATCCCGAAGATGTGATAGGAAAGCCTGTGGCAGACCTTTTACTCGGCAATCCCGATCAATTCGCAGAGACCGTCGAATCCATCAAGAAAGATGACTCTCGAAGCCACATTACCCGCTTTTCAATGCACTTGGGTCCACAGTCGGTCTTCAGACGGAAGCCTTCGAAGCACATCGAGAGCGGAGAGCAAGACCCTGACCAAGATGCGCTCCCCAAGGAGGAGGAGGAGGAGCATTTGGACGATGACGACGACCAGATCATCAACTTGGAAGCTCAGGGTATAATGGTCTACGACCGAACTACCGGCGCCGAAAGCCATACAATGTGGATGATTCGTCCATCGGTCGTTCGAGAAGTCACGATTGACCTACCGGAAGTTCTTGTTGAATCCCTTGGTGTCGGTGCAGAGATGCTTGCTCATTATCTTACCGGTCTAGCCGAACAGGCTACCAATGACCCGGGAAGTCATCCGCCGCCTCCCCCTGTGCTCTGCCGGATATGCGAGCGCCAAATCACTCCTTGGTGGTTTGAGAAGCACACGGAACTTTGTCTGCAAGAGCATCGCGCCGAAATGGACGTTCAGATGGCACAAGAGACGCTCTCGGAGCATCGAAATGCCATTGTCAAAGTCTTGGATGCTTTGGAGGCTCAGAATCGCCCGACCCGAGCCACTTCTGGTGAAGCTGTACAACCCCCCCAGCTCGCCGAGTACAAAGGCTGCATCATCCAACCTACATCTACCCCTTCTTCTGGTACTCCTTCGGGGCGTAATTCCCCAGCTTCGCCGCCTTCACAGTCTCGAGATCGATCGACAGGATTCGGTCATCATCGAGCACGTTCATTTGCTGTTAGAAGGCCCCTAGCCCGCATTGTCGAGCTTGTTCTTGACCTTTGTGACACTGCTCTCGAAGTCAGTACCCCAGCCGTCAAGGACAGTGCGAGGACACAGTCCATAGCCGAAATACGTACTCAGTCACCGCAATCGGAGAATCGCATCTCCCAGGTGCTGCAGTGGCAATCGCCTGCCACGAGCTCCACTGATCACTGCGATGGTCTGAAGCTACTATGCGACGATACGAATAAGCAGGCGCGAGCAAAAGTGGATGCAGTGTTCCGTCATAGGCGGATCTTGGAATACTCCGAACGCATCCGTGTCGAATTCGACATCCTGGTGCAGGAATGCATCGAGGCTGCCATGGCCAAAGCGGCTCGCATAGCTGCAGGAGAAGACAGCTCGACCGATGAGGAACTCCAAGGAGATGACTCGCCTCCGAGCGCAAACGACATACCTACAGGCGAAGAGGGCATCTTCCCAGGCTCATTCGAGGGCCCCTCCTCCATGGCACAGGCCCTGCGGAATGCATCCGATCCTTCACTGCCAGCTCGTCTTAGCCGCAGGGAATCATCTGTTGCATGTTCCACAAGGTCAAGCAGTCCCAGAGGGGGCTGCCAGACGCCACGCTCCCATGCCGGTGCAAGCGCGATTAATATTGCTGCGACCCAGAACAAACGACATTCGATGCACTTTGAGAGTGACGCTGGCGCCGAAAGCGACAGTAGCTTACGGTCCTCGTCTGTCATGTCAGGGCCCAGGCGCGCCGACTCTCCCTCATCTGAACTGGGCCTCAGCAGGGTCACAACTTCGCGGGAACGGAAGCGGAAGAGCTTAATCTTACCAAGCGTCATGACAAGTCGCCAGCAATCACCTGCACGGTCCATGATTCCGCCCTCGTCGCCATTGAGGACGAACAAACCCCGACTTCCCAGCAGTGCTGATGCACTACAGTCACCCATCACCTCCCCAGTCCTGACCACCACAGAATTCTCTTCTCCCGCTTTGCATCAAATAGGCCATCACCGGCGTCAGTCATCCACAGCTGGCTCTGATGGACCCAAGCCTGTTTCCCCTCGGCTTCCGCCAGTCACACAACCTCAACCACGCGCACTCCCTCCTTCTATCAAAGACTTCGAGGTCATCAAACCAATAAGCAAGGGCGCTTTCGGTAGCGTATACCTTGCGAAAAAGAAGACTACTGGAGAGTACTACGCCATCAAAGTGCTGAGAAAGGCAGACATGGTAGCCAAAAACCAAGTCACGAATGTCAAGGCCGAGCGAGCGATTATGATGTGGCAAGGCGAGAGCGACTTCGTGGCAAAGTTATACTGGACGTTCTCTAGCAAGGACTACCTGTATCTTGTCATGGAGTACCTCAATGGTGGCGACTGCGCTTCTCTGATCAAAGTTCTCGGCGGACTACCTGAAGATTGGGCAAAGAAATATCTAGCTGAAGTCGTCCTTGGCGTGGAACATTTGCACAGTCGAGGAATTGTTCATCGCGATCTGAAGCCAGATAATCTTCTTATAGACCAACAGGGTCATCTCAAGCTCACTGACTTTGGTCTTTCCCGTATGGGTCTGATTGGACGTCAAAAACGAGCACTCAAATCCAATGAGCCGGCCCCCGATCTTTTGAAGACCGGCCCCTTTCACCGCGCTACATCAGTCGGATCCTCTCGGTCAGCTTCTTTTGATCTCAATCCATCTCCGTCTCAAACGCCGAGTATGACTCCCGCGCTAGCAGGAGATCTTGGGCAGCCTTCGTATTTCAGTCTCAGTCGTGAAAGCTCCACTGCGCGCGAGCCATCGCGGAGAGTATCAGGCAATCGGAGTGATAGCGGCGACAGTGATGCGCTGCAGACCATGTTCCGCCGCTTCTCCATCATGGATGATCAGCTCGTGGCACCTCGGTCTCGTTCGCCCATTGAGGAGGAGGCATACAGCGACGAAGGATCCCCCGATCTTTTTCCTTTGGCACCGACAATGAGCCAGTCTAGTGTTGCTCAAAATTCGACCGCGGTGATGCCTCCCCCACCCATGGCACTTTTCGATCCTGAAGACAACAATCGACGTTTCGTTGGAACGCCCGACTACCTAGCCCCTGAGACTATTGCAGGCAGTGGTCAAGATGAGGTCAGCGATTGGTGGTCCTTGGGCTGCATCCTCTTCGAATGCCTCTATGGCTATCCACCCTTCCATGCCGAGACTCCTGACGAAGTGTTCCAAAATATCCTTGCGCGCAAGATCGATTGGCCCGAGAACGATGAAGATTATGGCGTGTCCGACGAAGCAAAGGATCTCATGAACAGACTGATGTGCAGTGATCCTAAAAAACGATTAGGCGCCAACATGGACGACAAATTTGGCAGTGGTGGTGAAGAGATTCGAAGCCATATATGGTTCGAGGATATCAACTGGGATACTCTTCGCGAAGATGAAGCTTCCTTCATCCCTGCGCCGGAAAACCCTGAGGATACGGAATATTTTGATACCAGAGGTGCTGCCATGACAAACTTCCCTCCTGAGTTTGAAGATCAGGGGACATCTTCCGCAGGTACACCCAGCGCGGATTACCCTGATCGGCCTCATGATGCTTTGTCTCGCGTGCGTTCGCAGGTCAGTGTCACAACCATGAAGCGTGGCCTGATTCCCTTGCATATTCCCGCACACATTCGTGAGGGGCGAACGAGGAGGCTTAGTGAGCCAATGGCTACCGACAGTTTCGGTAATTTCAACTACAAAAACCTGCCGGTTCTTGACAAAGCCAACAAAGACATCATCCAAAAAATGCGCGCTGAAGGGATGCATGTTCCCAGCAAAGCAACATCGGCAGTAGTATCACCCAGCATGACCTCCCCATCGCCATCTCTGGAATCTAGTCCGCATATCGCTGCTCCCCTCTTGAAACGCACACTGTCCACCAACAAGCAGGGCCATCGGCCGTCATCTCCATCCATCAGCGGCCCCGCCTCCTCTCCCAGTCGAGGTTCACAACCCTCTTCCCCGTTGCTGGTTCAGTTCAGCACCGGTCAGCATCACGAGAGGCGCAAAACATCCGCTGGCAATTCTTCCACCCTCTCGCATGCGACGAGCAATCCTTCATCACTTCAGCCAGGCAACTTCTTCGAGGTCCCTCGTTCTTCGGGGTTGAGACCTTCACCTGATGCTGTTTCGCCAATAAAGTTATCCAAGACACCTACAGCAGCCCCTGGCTCGACTCCTGACAAAATTAATGGCCAACGTCATAGCTCGCTTGGACAATCCAGTGCACCTTCTCCACGGTCTAGATCCCACACGATGGGATCCCAGGAAGATGATGTAGTGCGTGATCTCCTTCCTAATCACTATAAGCGGAGAAGTCAGGTGCTGGACGTATCACCTTCATCATCTGATACCGAAGATTCTCGTCAGAAGGCGCTCTTGCGTGTTCAAAGGCGTAGGCAAAGCTCTCGTCGTCTTTCACAAATCAGTCTCGCTGATGGCCCCATCTTTCGATCTCTGGATGTCTTGGTATGCGAAGACCACCCAGTATCACGTCTGGTTATGGAGAAGCTGTTAGAGAAATTGCGATGCCGTACTCTGACGGTAACCAACGGGTCAGAAGCTGTGCGTTACGCAATGGGCGAGGTCAAATTTGATATCATCATGATGGAATATAAACTCCCCCAAGTCAATGGCGCCGACGTTGCACGGATGATCCGAGATACAAAGAACGCCAACTCAATGACGCCAATTGTTGCAGTAACCGGTTATCTCAAGGATTTGCAGGCTCCTCACCACTTTGATGCGCTGATTGAAAAGCCGCCCACCATCGCCAAACTCTCAGATACTCTCGGAAAACTCTGCCAGTGGAAGCCTCCCCCACCCAACTGGACACCAAGTATGTATCCATCCATGATGCCTTCTGGTCTTCGCCAAGAGTCCAGTCGTCAAGAAGATAGTCCAACGTCCAACTCATCTGGCTTCCCCCCTGTCCCATCTGGAAGTTACCGTGGATCCAGTCGGGAGGATTCGATCAGTTCGAGTTTTTTCGGCGACAACGATAGTCGCACCGGCGACGATATTCCCGTTGTCATAGCGAGACACAACGATGATTGGCGCGAGCGTGATCTGGCCCGTGCAATGGGTGGACTAGGTATAAACACAGAAGATGCAGTCCCCGTCGATCCTAAAGAAGTGGGGGAGGTGCTTACGAGGCCACCTGCGGTTCCGTCACACGAATCCGCGCCAGCCATTCTGGAAGACGCTACTATTCGACGACAGCGATCTGCCGAAATGGTTGGTACCAAGCGCCGTATAATCGAAACGCGCAAACACGAATCTGCTGAATCGGGCGACGATGAGGACGATGAGCTTGGCAATGCAAATGCGCGCTCAAAGAGTCCCAAAACACGCCCAAGATCGTCAAAGCTTGGCATCGAGATGCTTCGCACAAACAGCAGGGGAAGTGTGATATCAGTCGAAGATGTTGGCGCACCCGAGTCAACATTACCTTCGTCTCCTCCACCTGCCATCACCGAAGATAGGCATGCCGAAGAGCGCGAGGCCATTGCCGACATACCACCCGTGTCGCTTACACCGCCTGAGATCTTCCCGCGCAAGCCAGGAGGGGAAGCGCAAGAAGTTCAGCTCGAAACCCCAAAAGCGAGTAGTAGGTCACCCGCAGAATCGGATCAGGATCCTACCCCGCGGCCCAACACGTCACTTGACTTGTAGATCCCCCTCGGCTTTTTTATTCTCTCTTGTCGATAATTTGCTTGAGCATTGTCAGGTGGCTAGGCAGCCAGCTCATAATGGATGGGACAAGCATGTGTGGGTCACTTTGTATTAGTCGATCTTTCCTTTTCTCGTTTTCATTCATTATCTTCCAACTCACATTTGTTTCTTTTGTTTCATCTGTTGAGCATGGAGTTGGGGGTGTTCCCAAACAGGTAGTGCACCGACCGAGGAAACGTTTAGTTGTGTTTGACATATATATTTGTTTTGCTTTCGAGACGGTGGTGGATTGTTCCCTCGGATTTTGTTTTGGGTCATCATTAGCAATCGGGAATTTGGACTGCCCGGCGTGCTTTGCTTCACATTTCTCTTTTTGTCTTTTCTTTCCAACTTGCTCGCTCTTCCTCGGTTGCATGCATTCCCCGTCACCCCCCAATTTGTGGCTGTCTTTCCGAGTTTGAATAATTCCAGATCGTGTAAAAGTTCAGCACTTAACCTGATCTTGGTCTTGGAAACGAAGAAAATTGAGAAGAAAGAAATTCCCAGAGGAAGATTGGGAGCAAAACACAAAGAACAAGCGAGCGCGAATAACAGAAGAAGAAGAAATTGCAGAAACAAAAAAAACAATCGTCCCTCCTACGCCTCTTTTTTGGTTTGCGGTACACTGCCAATGTACATTGCCATGCGTTTGTGTCAATTGTCTTGGGCCGACTCCCTATACCTTCTTGTATATTGTATCAGTTTTGTTTTCGTCTTCCGTATTGGTTGTCCGTGGGCCTTGGTGGTCAGTCAATTGGTTGATCTAGGCGTGTATATGTTTGTATTGTTTTCTCTTTTGGTTCCCCAAAACTTGTTTCTACCTCACTCGTTGTATACCCCCCTACAAGTCTGTCACTTCCATTGCATTTGTGTTTTTAGGGAAAGAGAAACCGATGGAAGGGTTTCATTTTCATTCTATCAGCAATTCCATTGTGTAACATTCACTCTCAAGATTGGACTCGAATGTCATCATGTTCGTTTCTCTTTCCTTCTGGGGGATAGGTGGGAGAAACCACAGGGGATATTCATGCTCATCATTCCGCTACCGAGTGTATTTTGTTCTTTTTTTCCCCTCATCTCGTGTGTATACATGTATTTTACTGATTTTCAGAACAAGCTTCAACGCGTCCTCTGCTGTCCTTCATATTTCTATATCATGGAATAATCACACCATTCTCGCCGCGTAGCTACTCTACTCCAAAGGGTTCAGATGTATTCCTGAATGTATCACCGTATGAAAATATATGGCTGGGAGAGCGAGTGACCCTTTTTGGCTATGCATACACTCCTTTTCCGCCTTCTTGGTTGGAGAGTAATTACGCTCGTGGATTCACACGGTCTACACTCCCACGATGTATAAACTGTTGCGATGTAAGCAACGTAAAGTGACGACTGAAATTACCCCAGCTGATATATTCAGACCCATCTACCAACAAGGTATCCCCACCCTCAAAGCAGAAAGAGTGTCATTGTGTTATGTTCCCGAGTGGGCCGTAGACAGAGGCATTCTCTTCACACCACGCCAATTCCGTATAATCGCCGCCGTATCGAATGGTTTCCCCTCAGCATCCCACGCATCCCCGAAGCCCAGGGACATACTCTCACGGGCCAAAACATCGTATGCCTGTATACCTCTGAAGTGCGGTGGAGCCTTTCTAAGAATCCTCGCCATCTTAGGTGAAGCCATTTGCTCAGCAAGAAGCTGCCCTTGCTGTATGAGCTTCTCCCATAATGCATTGCTGCTCTTCGAATACGGTCTGTGGCTAATGTTGACCAGCATCGTTTCCAGCTCGAGCTTGCCGGTGCGCGACGCAGGCGTAAGTGCATCGACACAAAGTCTCTGGATGCGTAATCGCAGGTGGCGCAGCGTGTTCAAGTGCCTGGCGACAAAGAGGCATAAATGACAGTCGCCCATTTTGAAATCGATGTGTGCGGTATCAAGATCTAGGGTGGTCAACTTGCTGGTCGACAAAAACGTTGACAGCGTGGCCGCAGATAGATGGGGAGTGAGGCTGCTGATTTGAGACCTCGACCATCCCCATCTCCTAGTGGCGTAAATGCGTAAAGTACAAACTGAGCGCGAGTTTCGAACAATTGTAGCGAGTCGGAGGAGAGTATCATTTAGTTCGTCCGTCCAGGTCTTCAGGTCGACCCGATCCTGCCCATGGCACTGCAGTATCTTGTCATCAGTCTCAAACAGGCTTCGCTCAGATAAGTTGATTCCCTTGATACTCCGGACCCTGCAGCCATTCTCATCCAATTCCACATCGAGCCAATGCTCAAACCCGGATAAGCTCAGATCAAGAGTTTGTAAGTTGCCCTGGATCGAATCGACATCGGGGAAGGAGACTAGTCTCCGTAGCGATTTCAATGAAATGTAGAGGTTCTGGGAGCACTCCAGTCGCGCAAGTTGAAACCATTGCTTGCAGACTAGAAGACGTGATGCATCGGAGAAGAAATGGGGTGAGCCGACATGATGGAAAATATCACCAAGTATTTCGGTGGGGAGATCGAGAAGTTGCATTGGGTTCGTTGGAGGAAGGGAAGTTCAATAGTGTGAGACGGAGAGAGAGCTATGAAGAAACATGTACGTCACTTGCTGTGGGCCTAATTGATCGATTTAAGTGATCCTGCACGGACCATTGATCTGTTCACGTGCAAGTCGGTAGGAATTCACCTCGTTCGTAATAACATACATATGCACCTAAGGCTTCGCTGTCTCACGACATATTCGTACACGGCAGATGATATCTCAACCTAAAAATCCATTTCTTCCGAGGAACTTGATAGCATCCAGTGCTACGCGATCATTCTTTTCCAGCTCCTGCTCTACCAGCCTCTCGTAAAGCCCAATTATCTTCGGCTGTGACGTATGGGGATACTTGCAGTTTCTCCCATATTTGCATTTTCCCCGTGCCTTCCACTGCGGACACACATCGATCTGTTCTCTCTTCGGTCTCGGGAGTGGGCGTGCTGCTGCTAGCACAGGCGGTGGTACTGGGGTATCGACAACGATTTTAGATGACACAGGGGAAGGCGGAGCATCATCCGAGTCGGAATCCGAGTCATCAGATGAGAGGACGGAAGAATCCGAAACTGCCGAACTCTCTTCCGCATCGGTATCTGTATCATAGCCTAAACCGAGATCGATTTTTGGTGGGTTTGAAAGAGAGGAAGCTGGCTGGGCTTCTCTCTTTTTCATGATCTCGTGCACTTTTTGGCGTCGATTGTTCAGCTCCCTCTCCGAGCCTCCCGACCGATTTTGTATATCCTTTTGAATACGTTGCGTATTTGCCGGCAATTTGTCGTCGTGAGCTTCGCCCTTCTTCGGTCTTCCTGAAACTTTCCGTAGAAATTCGAGCTCATGTATCCTTCTCTCTGCTATCTCTTGGGCTTTCTCAGAAACTCGTTGCTGGGTTGGGAAATTCTTCTTTCTATCTTTCCTCCATGCTGCTAGTTCAGCCGGAGTTTGCAATGAAATCCTTTCGCCTTCATGCTCAAAGACAACGCCATTCTTCAGTTTTGCATTCGAGGCCCAGGCTGCTTCTTCGTCAATATCTTCCTCGGATGCGCTTTCATCGTCGTCTTCAACCCGCTCTTGTTGTTGGGTGAGACCTAGATTCAACTTTCGCCTCTTTGGGTCGCTTTGGCCATCTTCTCTACGGTGCAGGGCCGATTGCGTTTGAGGCGCTGTAGGAATTGAAAAGCCGAAACTCGGCACTGCAGGCGCTGCTTTTGCTTTCGCTCTTGGGGGCTTTTGATTGCGTTTTTGATTACTTTCGACAGGTTTATCTCTTGTATCGGCCTGCCATTTCATAGCTCTTTCATTCCTGCGTGCTTTGCACGTACCTTGTTCCGAGGGCGGTTGGTTGGTTCGGGATGGCGACGACTGTTGAGGCAATATGGGAGTCAAGTTCGTCCCTGCCAAATGGCTCGCAAAAGCCGACATCGACTGCATACCAGCTGGCGTTGCCATGAAAGACATAGCTTGAGCAAAGGCGGCAGGGTTGGCAGATGGGACAGAATTCGAAGATAGTGGCGGCGGTGTAAATGAATGTTGTTGCGAGTTTCCAGCTCGCTCGTGGTGCTGGTTCTGCCATCCTCCTCGCGTGCCACCACCTCGATTGTGCGGTCTTCCACGGCCTTGTCCACCCCTACCTCTACTTGACCCTCCTCTCCCGCGGCCATTATCACCCCGTCCACCGCGGCCTCCTCTCTGGCTAGTGTACGTATGCTGCGTATCGCCTAAAGGCGCTTGCTGGGCCGGCGGCGGCGGCGGCGGCGGCGGTGGGAATCGAAACGAACTCATATTTACGAAGCAGCTATGATCGGGACATTTGGAAGCAGGTTTTCAGGTTCGAGGTATCGGCAGGACTAGAGTCTGTACGTCAGAGAACAGAGCGGCAACGGTGTGACGGTGTGGAAACGATTGCAAGATGGAGCTTTAGAAAAATAAGGTTATCGATTAGAGGCTGCCTGATTAGCGGGCGTGCAAGGTTCAGCCAATGACGAACGGGCACCTCCGACCTCAGCCCGACTTTTCACATTCACATTCACTGGCAGACCATGTCTCGATAAAAGCAACGCGCCCAACCCCTCTTCCTTCCAGAAACCTTCCCTGAGCATGAATACTGATTTCCTCGAGTCATGTTCATCCTCGTACGTTGCGCGTTCTACTCCAATGCGGCACCAAATACTAATTTGCTTTGCAGACGACGATTGAAGATCTGATTCAGATCACGCCGCAAGAATTCGGAAAGCCCAGCGTGCAAGCAATCAAAGACGCCATCAACACAAAATATGCAAACAAAGTCATCCAAAACGTCGGCTTGTGCATGTGCCTGTGGGACATTGTGCAGACATCCGAAGGTCTAATCGGTCACGGGACAGGTCTGGTCAATGTGAACGGTATGCTCCCACCGAGGATTATCAAATGCAAGTTCTGACATGAGTAGTCGAATTCCGTATGACTGTTTTTCGACCTTTCCGGGGTGAGATTCTCTACGGCCGCATCAAGTCGGCAAGTGAGGAGGGCATAATCCTTGATCTGGATTTCACGTCTGAAGTCTTCGTTCCCTACACCAACTTGTTCGAGAACAGCGATTTCGATCAGACGGAGCGCACTTGGATCTGGAAGCACGAAGGAGGCTCGGAGCTCTTTTTCGACAGGGGCGAAACGGTGCTGTTCAAAGTGGACAGGGAGGAATGGTACGATCAGAAGCCGACGATCGAACAGAAGGACGAAGATGGGAATGTGGTTGAGACCAGAGGGACGGCATGGAGACTGATCGTAAGTACAAGGCATTGAAAACCAAATACAGTCGCTGACATCAACATCTAGGGACTTATGAACTTCTCTGGCCTAGGGCCCACGTTGTGGTGGGAGCCAGGAGAGGAAGACGGCGAAGAGGAAGAGGACGTGGAAATGGAGGACGCTGAAGAGTGAGGACAATATCCAACGGAGACATGCATGGACGGCGTCACGGTGGGCTGCATTTACAGGGAAAGGTGTTGAGGGATCCGAGATGGTTGGATTTTTGTTGATTTCACTCTCCTATAACATATTCACATCCTTCTCGGCCAACCCAGACTTCATGTAATCGTTGTGCATCCACGTCGATCCTCGCCCCCACACCAAACGTTTCCTTGGAGGGTTCTTCGTCTTCAGGGTACGTTATGGTGAGCTCGCCTCTGATGATCAAGTGAGTGGTGAGACCACCATGGCGGTGGGGCGGATAGTATGCGTCCGCCCGGTCCGTCCACGTGAAGACGTGGGAAAAGCCTGGTAGATGGACTCTGTTTCAGTCGCTCCTCATGGTGAGGCAGGGAAAACAACTCACCCCATTCATGAACCTCACGTTCGGCGTCCTTCCTCGATGTAGCCATGATGGCTGTGTGGTCTCGGATTCAGCGTGTACCTGATCATGATCCTATCGTCAATCAATCATGGATGGCATTAGCGAGACCCTGTGACGTCGCCACTTGGCACCAGCAGTTTGTGGAGGCACGCAACCACCAAACCTTGAATCCAGCTGCCTGCACGGTTCACCGCCGTGGGGAGCCTGTGCGTGCTTGTTGGCAATGAGACACGCCAAAAATATACCATGTCTTCAGACACGGTGATGGAGGATCGGAGGCTGATGCGGCATCCTTGGAAGGGCGGTTGCCAAGATTCGCGGCCGCTGTGCCGTGCCACGCCACGCGATAGCTGACTGAGTGACACTGCCTGCCGTTCGTCGTGCGTGGCTGTACCTGCTTGCTTGCTTGCTTGTAGTCTTTACTCATCGCTCACGCTGCTGGGTTGCCTGGACCTGTTGGCGTGATTACACACACACGGTGGCTGCTGCAAAGTGACTTTTGGCTCGCGAATCGTGTGAATGCTCTGTGCCTGGCTAAGGTACGTGCTCCCCAGCTTTCACTGGTGCTTGCTAGCCCCAGTCTTTCAGCTCCGTCTTGTGCATGCATTCATTATACACGGCGTGGTGCGTTGCATGCCATGCAGAGCTGACTTGCCAGCCATCTTCACATTTTCCTCCCTACCTTACCGTGCAGTCTGATTAATTCTAGCTTGCAGTCCACATCCCATTCCAAGTCTTCAACCAACATCTGCCGTTCTGTTTCCCTCGGCCCAAATTCCCTCAAGCCTGGCCTTAGCCCCGCCGTTAGCCAAGGTAGCTCACCATGGCAGCAACAGCGCCGCCCAACAAAGACCACAAGGACCACAAACTCGGAGTCCCCAAACTCGACGAGCCTCAACTGCAAGCTGGTGGAGGAAGTGCGGCTGCAACTGCAAAGGCCAGAACGGTCGAATCTCTCACCCCTACCCTATCCAAATACCTCAAGACAATCCACGACGAGGCCGACAAGAAGTACCAGCTAGCCACAAAGGATGGTCTGACCAAGTGGTTGTCTGAAGAGCAAAAGGCACCATTGTCGGATGCCGAAACTCTCCAAGACGGATCTGTGTCCCACTTCGCCAACTACTTCACTACGGGCCTCGGAAATGTCATGAAACCATCGCAGCCTGTAGATTCCGCTTTCCCAATCTCTAATTACTTCATATCCTCCAGTCACAACACCTACTTGACTGGAAACCAATTGGCGAGCGATTCAAGTGTGGACGCTTACAAAAATGTAAGTTGGCGGCGCCACCTCTGTGGGAGACTCACTGACATCAAATTAGGTCCTTCTCCGGGGCTGTCGCTGTGTCGAGATTGATGTGTGGGACGGAGAACCACCATCAAGCTCAAGCTCTGAAGATGAAGCAGCCGGTTCCAACGTCTCTAAGCCCAAGAAGGAGAAGAAGGACAAATTGTCACTTCGTAAGAGGCTAGAACTTCGTTTTGGGAGGAAGGGCTCTCCGCCCAAAGAGGACAAGTCCAAGGAAGCGTCTTCCACAGCAAAAGAGCCAACTAATAGCGATCGCGTTACACCCTGGGTATCCAATAGCACTACAAGAGCTGAGCCACGAGTGCTTCATGGTGCGTTGGTGGCTTGCCCGCCCTATTCTACCACTCTTATCCGTTCAAGTCACTAAACGCATCCAGGTTTCACCCTCACCAGCGACATGCCTTTCAGATCAGTCTGCGAGACCATTCGTGATTACGCTTTCGTGTCCTCTAGCCTTCCTCTGATTGTCAGTCTCGAAGTGCATACCAGCCCCGAACAACAAGACATCATGGTGGAGATCATGAAGCAATATTGGAGCGGCATGCTAGTAGACCTACCTCTGGACCCCTCCGAACCTGCAGATAACATCAAGTTGCCTACGTTGAAAGAGCTAGAGAACAAGATTCTCGTCAAGGTTAAACGATCTGTTCAGAAACCCGTTACATCCAGCGCAAAACCAGCTGCACTGCAAACCCCTGGAGAACTATCGCAAGCCAGCACCAAGGAATCGGCTGTGTCTGACGCAACCAATTCGGATAGTTCGGACAATCCCGATAACCCCTCGGCTCCAAAACCAAAAGTGATCGAATCGCTATCGAAACTAGGAGTATATTTTGGGGGGTATTCTTTCAAAGGCCTCAACACTCCCGGTAAGCAAATACAGAAACCGTTGTGCGTGTGTGATTCTAACTATAAGATAGAGGCAAATATTCCCACCCATATATTCTCATTGTCTGAGAAGGCTCTAGTCGAAGTGCATGAAACCAACCCTGCAGCTTTGTTCACGCACAATAAACATTTCTTCATGCGCGCATACCCCAAAGGCCTCAGACTCAACTCGTCAAATCTCAATCCGACTGTGTTCTGGAGACAAGGCGTCCAGATTGTTGCTTTGAACTGGCAGCGCTGGGATGGCGGCATGATGTTGAACGAAGCTATGTTCGCAGGTACGCCGGGATGGGTCTTGAAGCCTGAAGGGTATCGAAGTACAAGTCCAGGAAAGACCTTGAAAGATGCACTGCCACGTCATAGTCTGGATCTTAGTATCGAGTTCTTCGCTGGTCAAAATATTCCCCTCCCCCCTGAGGAAGATGACCCCAAGGATTTCAAGCCATACGTTAAGGTCGAGATACACGTGGAGAAGCCAGAGGAGCGCCAAGGGGAGCCTATCCCTGGAGGTGGCAAGAGTACCAAGGGTGATGCGAAAAAGAAGACTAAATCACAGAGAACTACCGATCCCGATTTTGGTCGTGAAACCCTGGAGTTTAAGGGTATAGGGGGCGTTACCGAAGAGTTGACATTTGTCAGGTAAGTGTTAACTTTCTCCAACTCTCATAATCTTGATTTGAAGTGTCTGGGCTGCTGTGGGAAGTTATTCATGCATGCTGCCGCGACGCTCGGGTGTTTTCTGGTGGAGTGCTGCTCACTTATTACTTTGTACCACCCGAGGAAGTCGGAGTCGGACTGATCTCCTGCATGCCAAGGCTATCTCTCTTTCTAGCAGCCTATGACGATCTTCTTTCCTTAACATGGCTAAGCCATATCTGATACGAATGCTATATATGCTAACCCAGGTGTGTAGGTTCAAGGTCATGGATGATGAAAGACTTGGCGACGATCTAGCTGCCTGGGCTTGCTTCCGCCTCGACAGATTGCAGCCTGGAGTTCGCATGCTACATCTGTATAATTCGAATGGTGTCATATCCAAGGGCGTGTTGCTGGTTCGGATCAAAAAGACGGTCAGTAAAGCTTGAGACAATGGCTCCTTTCCGAAGCTGCTTTGTCCCCTGCTTGCCTGCCTGTGGCTTTTGGCATCCGCACTACTAACCGACAACTACCTACTCTTGGATATGCACGCAGGAACACATCGGATTAGCGCGACATGTCAGATGTATGTGACGTGGAGGCTAATTCGATGCTAGATCTATCCTCAAGGACGGCGCGTGAACAAGGGCGTCAACATTTCATCGCCTTTGACTACCTCGCATCACAGACACCATCATAGCTCAAGGGGTTCAGGGGAAGAGAAATGGAGAATAGAATAGACCGAAAACGAACGAAGACAGATACAGAATGTCGGACTCCATTAGTAGGGTATGAGGGGGTTTCCATTCTTACCTGACAATATCATTTATACGCAAAACAATACTCGTACATTTATTTTTCTTGTTCCCCTCCCTGTCCCATTTAATCCCGCAACACGGAGAAGCGCGCACGAGCACAGGAGTGGACCGCAAGTGATCATGATCAAACATTCCTCTTTTGAGTGTTCCTAGCACGATTGGCAAATGTACGACATTGTCCCACCTTCCGTTTCTAGGAAGAATGGCACATTCAATCCAACATGCATGCAACATATGGCCAATACTGATTCCGATGCACGAACTGCATAGCTTCAGGCATTTGATCTGGCCAGCAGAGTACGAGTTGTTACATTATTCATAGCTAGGCTTGACTTGATTGCTTCTGCAGTACAATCATGTATGCCTGACCTGATCATTCGTTTACAATGCACCATGCTACCTTCCCCCTCTCAGTGGTGCTGGAAAAAAGTGAGCGATGTAGCGTATAGCATAGCTGTATATGAGTACGATGCAGAACTCTTTGAGCTGTCTTCGTCCCCAAATCATGTGTATCCTGACACCATCGTCGATAGATATCATCGTAGCGGAGCACACTTACCCATGAATAACGAGCAGTACACCCCGTTGGTTAGTATATATGTCATCCTGGCAGACAAGGGGGGCGCAGGTGGGGGTCGTTGCCAAGTAATCTATCCGCAGGCGATGCATGTTCTAAAAAGAATATATTGAAAGTCGCGTGCGTATGATGGGAATCTCAGAGGCTATCATTAGTGAATAGAAAAATGAAATCGAACGGGTGTATGTTTTTTGATGTTTCAAGTATTTAGCGCGTTCGTTGGCTACATATAAGGTAGTTGTACATGATTATGAGGGAAAGACAGCGAATAATCAAAACGAATAGCGTGGAAAGCATCAAACTAACATTTCTTATTGGAAGTTGAAGTGTTGTTTCCTGCAATCAGAAGGCTGATGGAGTAACTGTAAAAAGTAGGCGGATCAAATAAATAAAGATCCACCCGATTCGAAACACAAATTTTGAAGCAGAGCGTTGTTTGCAACTGATGTTCTGATCTTGCGTCGCTTTTAGCGGAACCAGGATATCTATTACGGTTGTAATGTGTGGCTTTTCTGCACGTACAATGGTAGCCTTGACCATCTGGTTTGACGGAAACCACTGGGATAGAGGTGACAATGTACAAAGAGTGTAGTTCTACATATAAATGCCCCCCGACATCGGCCTGGGAACGACCCATTTCATCTCTGGAACGTTGCAAGACGAGTGCGCTTGACGATGATACAGGAGAAATCGACATCCGTCAGACCGAGCCGAGACGGGCCGCCGGGAAGGAGGACGACACCATGTTGGGTCACTATGGATCTGTGATACTGTGATCGCGTACGCAATTTTGGATCGGCGATGGGAAACAAACACTTCCCATGACTTTGGGCAGAAGGAGGTTACAGCATTTCGGACATTTGCATTTTGCACTGTTTCCACTCTTTTCCCCCTTCAGCAACTTTGTTTGCTCCGGAATGGTTGCGAAAGCATTATCTCATCTAGTGAAGCGTCACGCGACCCACCAGGGTTGATTTCGAATGTTCGTTGGCAATGTTTGCGCTTGGTTTGACAGACTTCGAATGCTACACTTTTCCGAAACCTTGGGTGCGAGTGTGCCGATTTCGCTGTGAGAGTTTGTATGAAGTCCAATTACGTATCACCACATTGAATTTTGAATCCAAGAGACTTACATACTAGATGTTGGGATGTGCAATCGCACAGGCTATGGGATGATTGAGATGTAATTCTCTTTGTCATTGCCGCTCTTTTTCCATCGATCGGTGTAATTAAACGGTCAGCAATTTTTTTTGTATGTGGCATAGCTCTACTCGAAAATTATCTTCAGATTTCGTGCTCGTCTCATCTTCTACGGGTACCTACATCTCTTGTCGTGGCCACGAGAAATTTCTCTGCACGTCTCCGTTTGTTGGGAACCGTACTTCCGCGCAAAGCGTCCGGGGCTGTTTCCCCTTCTTCCAACCAAAAAGTGGGACTGGCGTGATATGTGTTGTAGTAATAGCGAAGGAGGAAAAAATAATACAAACGGAGATGGGATATTCGATACAGGTACGAATGGCATGCGGGTCCATGGTGGTTCGCGCCGCTTAGAACTCGTACGGATGTTTGGTAATCGGATCGTCAGACATTATACCGTGAGGTCGGATCTCTATGGAACTAGTTAATGTGCTTTTTATTCGTGCTACGATTCCTGGATCAAATTACAAATCGAACGACAATGAAGTACAACGGCTATAGCTCCACTGTTCTGGTTAGGGAAAGTCAGATGCTACGTGTTTCCCTATGCGATCTTGAAATGGCACTGCCCCGTACGTTGTGGTAGAGAATCAGGACAGAACGAAGTGGCCTGAGCCAATACCACTGGAGTATGGGTGCAGTAATTGTACATCCACATCCAACATCGCTATCAGTGTGCTTTTGAAGTCAGCATAGTAGACTTGACGGAACAAGATAAATCGCCATTCGAGCGGGGAGACAAATCATGAATGTGGGGTTCAACAGTAGAGCCTTGACGGCGAGTCGCAAGTCGACGGTTAAGCCGTTCGTATACGGATGAAACATGGGAGACCTAGAAGGCATCTACCCGATTTCTCTTACCTCTTTTGTCTGGTTTAACACGCACGCTTCAGATGGGGACAACTGACCGCTACTTCGAAATCTCTAGAGCGTAAACGTGGACGGGGGACGACAGATAACAGGAAGGCGTTGCATGATCGAGCTTAGCCTTCGGGAAAAGGAACGACAGGTACATTCGGTCATTGCAACTATTTTAGTTTATCTGCACATTATCAATATAAATTGAGCCGAGACGCACTATGTGTAGACGTGTTGAGTTCGGGTCTGCGTTCCTCGGAAGTTAGTTGGTAGATGTTTTGCATTTCGCTTAAGTCCAAGCATGTTTCTTAGGGAAAAAAAGAGATCCATCATCTTTTTGAAGATTTGGAAAATGAAATATCAATTCAGCCCCCCCACATCAAACATCGGCCCTTATCCTAGTGCCCAATAATAAGAAAATATACCACCGAAACTTTCCCTGTGCCACCGCTTTGTAGACATCTGAGTCCGAGATAGTGTGTGTGCACTCACAGTTTGGGGCCCGACCACGGCCCATGGGGCACAAAGATCAAAAGGCTGTTTGCGTGTAACTATTTTGTGCAAGGATCCAGGCTTCCATTAAGTTGCGGATGATGCGGAATGCAGGGGAATACAAATCTCAGATGAGCTTGCTATTGGGTTATTCATAAGTATAAGAAGAGGAGGACCTACGAGCCTGAGTACCTATCCATCAGCCTTCCCATACTACTCTTCCAACTTTCGTTCTCACTCAATTTCAATCATCAAAGTCTGTCCCTACTATCGTTTCGAACTTCGATCGACTTTATCATCATGTGCCAACACTTTCCCATTGAGTCAGTGAACCACCTCGGCGGTGAGGATGCCATCATGAGCGGACCTGTGAGTCTCCTACCATTTTTCAACATCAGCTTAGCTGTGCTGATACTATCAGGTTCCCTCTCGGCGTTGCCCTTCCTGCCTCGAGAGAGGACAGACTGTTTGGGTGGCTTGTGGAAAGTGCTGTGCGCAGTGCGGCACCGCCGTGAACTGAGTGACTTGTGCAGTACATTGTCTCACACAAAGCTTTCATGGGAACATATACTGACACTGGCACAGAGGGTGGCTTCTTACCTCCTCCGATGATTGTGCGCCGCAATTGGCAATGAATGAAATATAGATCATGGTTGGCTGTGGCATTGTTGGGGGATGTTGTGTGGGAAAATGTCAACTTCAGTTTCGGCTCTTTGATTGGAGTATCTTCATCTTGTATATTTGTTTTGTCCACGGGGATAGAAAAAAAGCATTGGGGTCAATCTTCTCTCAACTTGCACAAACCACTTTTGTGCCGAATCAACAAGTATTATGTTTAATATGTCGCACGAGTTGACGATGTGTGATGGATGTACTTTGGTGTCATGTTCCGATTGACGGATTGATGACGATCTTTGGGAGCAACCACCGCCAAGGCACTAGCCCCAAACCATCCACCAACTGCGGTCTCCAAGCTCACATCACAGCTTCAAGCCTCCAGCAAAACCCACAGTACACGATGCAGTCGCTCCGCAGGACAGCAGTGACTGCAGCTCGCAGCGGGCGAACGACCCTCCCCCGTCAGCCGCGCAGATTCACACACGATGAACATGCCCACGGCGGCCACGGCCACGGCCCCGAGCCCGTCAACGAATCCATGGGAGTACGCCGACCCCTCTCCGCCGCTACTGCTACCCTGCCACCCCTCTGAGAGCTTTTCGGTCGATACTCGTTATCTGTTTGGGATATGGGCTGACTCAATTGCACGTGTAGAACGGTTTCTGGATAACGATCGGCGCTGTACCCGTGGGCTGGGCTATATATGCCATGTCGCGATCGGACGATCCCAACGCAGCTCCTCTTGTTACCCGTCTGATTGACAAGTACACCGAAGCGCAGGAGAAATGGACAGCCAGGAACGACCTCCACGTGCGGATGATCGAGCAAGCTGGCTCTGAGAGGGTCTTGTTCGTGAACTCTACGCCGCAGGAATATGTTCCCTTGAAATTCCCGGAGTACGTACAGCCATTCCTGCACCGAAACTGCTTCCAAATAGAGAAAGAACCGAGGGGTCTACCGCGATATCATCGCAACTACACGAGGAACAGAGAAACAAGTGAAGTACAGCGCTAATCGTAAGCCTAGGATCATGACCGTCAGCTCCCCATATAACGTCCCGGCTAGCAGCCATGTCAACCTAGACAAGGTCCTCGCGAAGTATAGACAGGAAGCCAACGAGGACAATGAACGCAAGTTGGAGGCGCTCCGGAATGGCACTATAAAGTCCGAACAGCCTTTCCAACGCTTCCCAGCACCCAGCACAGAGAACAGAAAGTGGCCCAACTGAGCACAGGGAAAACTGTTGAAGGTAGACTGTGTAAATACTTAGGAATTGATATCCGTTCTCTTTTGTTATCGTCGCTTAGTATCATTATTCCGATGAATAGCCGCTGCGTGTTTCATTCCAAAGTGTCCCCATCGACATACATGGTCAGATGCATGACTGCAATCTGCCTGATGTATTTATATACATGGCAACTGGCAGTAGCTGAGAGCAGGCATATTTTCCCTACTGTAGTGGTGGGTGGATGATCACGGTGGCTGTGAGGTAAGCTGCAGTGTGGTGCAGTGCTGACTGCCTGACTGCCTGACTGACTGGCGCAGTCCATACAACCCAAAGTCCGGGTGCTCTGTGTACATTGGGTGAAACCAGCAAGATGTAGGCCATCGGCCGAATGATAGATCTTTTTGGTCAGTATTTAGTCTGTTCAGAGTGAAAGAGAGAAGGACCTAGGAGGACTGGCTGGCATGGGGACCGAAAGACAACAGCCTACGAAGGGAAAGAAAAAAAACAAGGGGGTTCGCAAGGTCAGAGAACATTCAAATCCAGTCACCTGTGGAGAGTTTGAGGCCATGGCGACTGATGAAGTCTGACCCAATTATTCAATCACGGTTTGGATTCAAAGTTGCATCCAGTCAGTTCAGTTCAATTTCATATAGGTGGTAATCAGGGACATGTGTAGGATTTAGAGATAGTAGAAAGGAACCAACAACATGACAACAACCTAGACAACCATCTTGCTGCTCCCACATGCGTGGGTGTAGTTCCTTGTATACTCCATGAAGAGAAGCAGAAGATAAAGAAAGGTCACGAATGAAGGTCACGAATGAAGGTCAACAGAAGATGCTCCATCTCTCTAGACTGTATTATTCACACATACAAGAAGAAGAGATTAAACCGTGTATCAAGAAGTAGAAGAAGATATAGAAAAGGGGTATGTGATGGTGGCACAGGTGGTTGGAACACACCACCAAAGTCTCTGTTCTAAGACAAGAACCGACCGGGAATAGAGAAGAAGAAACGAACAGTCCCACCACCATCACGCCGCTACTCCATATGGAGGAGAAAGAAAAAGAAAAACAAGTATCGTATGCCTGTCGTAGTGTGAAAGCGCCGTAGGTACCACCGGAATGCTTTCAGTTCCCGTACCCAAGATTAAAACGCCGCCCGACTCGAAATATAGTACAAAAGATTCCCGTCCCTATGGCCAATACCCTTCTTTATAAGAAAGGGCTCTTTCCTCAGGTGCAATGATTTCATGACAATTCGTTATAAGCGTAGCCGAATGGAATACGTTTTTGTGTTTTTGCTTTGGCTCTCGCTTTTGCTCTCGCTTTTGCTGTTGATTCCGCTCTCGCTCAGTCGTGACCAGTCCGCTGGCGCTGTGCCATGACCCACTTCATTTTGTCCCTGGTTTCCAATAGCTCCTGAAGTAGCGCATCAGCCTGTCGCTCTTTCTCCGGGACAATGGCTTGCAGGCGCTCCATTTCCACGATCAGACTGTCAATTTCCTTGCGGTGTTCGCGCTTATACTCGGCAAGAACGTCCGTCATCTTGTTCTCGCTGCGTTGGTGGCGAAGGAGTTCGTGCTGCAACTGGTCGGTGACGATGACATGGCGTTTGATGTTATCCGCATCCTCCAGGCGTTCCCTCCTCAGCTCGTTGACGTCTTCCTTGAGGCGGGCTAGCCTCTTGTCGGAGGCATCGGTGATACGCTTGTAGCCATCCCTCGCGGTCTGCAAGTTGGTCTCGGCGAGATGCTTCTGTTCGTAAGCGGCAGCAAGTTGTCGCTGTGTCTCGGATCGCGTATCGCCCAACATCTTCAATGCTTCCTCAGCCCTGGTTTCGGCAGCCTTGCGCCTCTTCGATTCCGTTTCCAGCTGGGCGGCCATCTCTTCTAGTTTGCGGTCCTTCCTCTCCAAAGCTCTAGAGTTGGTATCGACGAGGATTTGCAGTGACTGGTGCTCGGAACGAGACTCCTCGGCCTTTGTTCGGGCAGCTGCTACACGCTTCGACTCATCCTCGTTTTTAAGCTTTTCGGCCCTCAGTTCTCTCTTCAGCTTCTCGTTCTCGGATGTGATCTTATCGATGTACTGCGAGGTTTTGGACTGGGCCGACGACTGTTGGTTGGAGCGGGACCATGATGTAGGTGTGGAACTGGGCTCTGTGGCCATGTGTTGATTTTCAACGGCCAAGGGACCGGACGTGTTGCGAGCAGCGGTAAGCATGGGCATAGCATCCAAGCCAGCTGTCGAGGGAGAAGGGGTGGTGCTTCCGAGTTGAGAGGTCTCGGTTGGCAATTGGTGGTGGGATGATGCAAAATCGAAAGCAGGAAGTACCGGGGGAGTTGACAAAGTGGGCTCTGGGAAAGAAGGGTGGGTTAGCACTGGGTAGCTAGGTATGTAACGATGGGAGGGGCGAGCGAGCGGGTGGATGGAGTTGAAGATAAAAGAGTGGGCAATGACAGAGGAAAGATTATGGGAGACGGCGGATGATGCGCGGCGCGGGATTTGTTTTGGACAGACAGGGTCGGATGGGCGACAGCAGCAGCTGGTGAACAGGGGTGTGTGTGGTTGCTGCGGACCAGCCAGGGAGGGAAGGATAAGCGGGCGGTGGGCGTACCTGTTCGATTTCTCGGTAGGCGCAGTAGGTTGCTGCCGCTAGCGGCAAGGCTCGAGAAGGAGACCATCTTGGTTGGGGCTAGGCTGCTTCAATAGCTAAGTACCCAAGTATGCACATGTGCATGTAGTAGTGCCGTTGCTTGTTGGCTGTCCTGTTCTCCATGTGAGCTCTGTCCATGTTGTTGATTTGTTTGTTTGTTTGCTTGATTCATTCATTTGCTGACGTTCATCCATTTACCCATGGTACTCATCGTCACACATGCATGTATGCATGTATGCAAAGAATAAAAGACCCCTATGCACACAATTAGTCGGCGCCGGGACTCACCTTTCTGTAGCAAATTGCACGGGCGCTTGGACGTATGTATGCCTTTTCTGCAGACGCTGAGGATGATGACGATGGGCGGAGCAGCTAGGTGGGTGCAGGGTATGTACTGTTCACTGTGCCACGGACACAACTCCGTGTGTACGACAGGTATGCACTTGATATGTATCAATGTCTTGCAAGGTTGTATGTACAAAAGACCCTGGATCCTGGATATGCGCCCTGAAGCCATCAATTAGACATAATGTTCGTTTGCTTGCTCACTTGCCTCACTTGCTCACTCACGCCCACGGGCGCAGACAAGAGGAGCTGGACTGACCTTTTCTCCACTTGCACCCGTATGTATGTACTCACGTCGACAGCCCCAAGACGATGGTACGGTCCCAAAGAGGAAATTTGGGCCGCTTGCAGTGAACCGAGTCCGGGGATCGATACGGGCTTGCTCTTCAATCGCTCAACTCGACGTGTTTGTCGCTGGCCATGCAAAGGGCGGTACCTGCGTACACGAGTCAGCGTGTGTTCCTGATTTGATCAAAGTGATGGTCGCCGCTGGTGTTTTGATGGGGGAGCTGTACCGCCAAGAGTCCACTAGATCGGATTAGTCATTCGCTCTCTCGCTTAGCCCACGCTACCGGTGGGGCTGCGCTCTGATGGATGACATGGACACGAGCATCCCAGCCAAACTGACTTTTGGCTGTCGACGGTTCCAAACGGCCAGGGAACCGTAGCAACCACTGCCAACAGCCCCCTCTACCTGCAAGCCTGTGAACGACCAACGACACCCAAGAACCGTTCCTTCGACCTGCATACGTCTCAATGCATTTCACCATATGCGTCCTCGTTTGAAACCGAACCATATCATCCCACTATTTATCCTGTCCAATCTCATTCTCAGTCTTCGTCCGTCGCTCTCGGGAGAGACATCAGCTTCCATCTGGCTAACTCGAACACCTGCATTGGCTGAAACACCTGTTTGCCGTTTGGCATGCCCCGAGGAGCACTACGTGGCACACATTGAATCAATTCTCCGACCAGCTTGCCCATGCTTGACATAAATGGATGTATTCATACTCTTTTCAAACACGTCATGCAACCACAACGGCCAATGTCCATTACATTGACTTAACCATTCATCGTAGTCTATAGCTCCGCCCAGTCCGTCCTCACACACTCAGGGACGCTCCCACCTATGCAGTCGCAGCGCGTGCTACCCAGCCCCGTGTCACGGCAGGCACTTTTTTCAACCATTTGTCTTGCTGACGGCTCGTAGCATTCCTGATCCAAGCGTGTCTGAGTAGCTCCCCAACTGTGGCCCGCCTACCAGGCCTCCATTTCACGCAAGCTTGCAAAAACAGAAAAAAGCCTGGATGGTGAGTCTCTGTAAACTCACGCAAACGGTTTCTAGGCGCGTGGCCTTTGGACAGATTCCAATTCCCTGATGGTTCCCTACAGTCAGCTCAACTCAACAGCGCTATACAAGAATGGCGGCATGCGGGTGGTACTCGAGTGTGGCAAGAGCTGCACTTACCATCCATTCTATACCCAGTGTTGGGTAAGTGTGAGCACCCAATTGTTCTGGCTATATCTATTGGCGGTATGCCTATCGTTTTCGTAATTTTTTGCAGATGAGCCCCTGCACTCCATTTTGCGTCTGCCTTCCACATAAGGGGTAGGTCAGACCGATCATCCAGTACCACGCAGGCCATCATACACCCCAGATTCCAGATATCGGCTGGTGGCCCGTAAACCAGGCGTAGAGTGGCCTCGGGGGACCGATACATTGCTGGCTGTACAACATCTGTGACGGACCTTTGGCGTGCTTCCTCGAAATTCGCCAGCAGAACGTCGCCAACGAGATAAGAAGACCACACACCATGTTTCCAGTCCAAAGTCTGGGATTTGTAGATTGCATGACCTGGTGGATAAGCCGTGTTCAATTTTCGGTCGCTCGGGCGATTTCTTTCCTTGTTTTCCAACTCGAAAAACACGTGCGAGGTTTGCGGCTTTAGCTTTATACTCTCTGTCGTAATGTCTTGTCATCTTGTTAGCGAGACGACGACAGCTAGGCAACTGGTAAACGTTTTCATCTGCTTACTCAAATGGAAGACGCCGCGCCGGTGCATAAATTCCAGGGCTTGCAGTACGTTCTTCAATATCCAGGGCAAATCATCGTCCTCCAGACATTTGGATTTGACCAAATCTTGGAGAGAGAAAGCGTATGGCTGGAGTACCAAGCCATGGAACCTCTCCGGGCCATCCGTGAGCACAAAATTGTCGATAAGTGGGAGAATGCGTTGAGTCTCGAGATGATCTACTGTAGCTTTGAGTACCCGGTAGACGCTGGTTTCGTTGTCGGTATCCGGATTACTGTCTCGGTGGCGGTGAAGCTTGATAGTCACAAATTGCTTGTCTTTGTCGGCGATCCTGTATACCATTCAATATCGTCGCAAAAGGAAAGGAAATCGACGTCATTAACGTACTCTTCGTCTTTGCAGAGCCAGGTAGTGCCATGCTCATTCCAACCTAACTTACAGACAACCTTGTATGCGGTACCTTGATTACTGTGAAGAGCTTGGCCAATCTGTATAGGGAAGAGACGATCCTCTACTCTCCGGTAATATATTTCTTCTTCGAAGTCTGCGGTTCTGACGACCTGCTATGGTCTACGCACGTAGTTCGATAACACTGGAATTGAGACGGCAGCTTGGCGGAAACGCTTCTCCCACCGAGGAAACTGGCGCTCGGCAGCCTGTGGTGGCTGGTAACGCCATCCCTGCATTCCCGACATTGTTGATAGTAGAGGATAACGAATGCAGTAAAGATAGCGAGATGTCGGTGGATGATAAGTTTTGGCAACGGGTGAAGATGGATGATGATGGAGGGTCGGCGTAGGATGGTGCATGAGTGGATACTCAGGTACAAACGGTCACAGCCCAGATAGCAGTCGAGGCTGCCTCCTCTGCTTGATCGCAGGAAAGAACGTCTGCCAATGCGCTCTGCCACCAAATCTACATAGGTTCATATATATATATATAGGAATATAGTCCATCTGACACCAGAAAGTGCCGCGCGTGGTTTGCGGGAATTGAACATTCCATGCCAGCACACAGTGTCAGTATGTGAATCTAAATCCTGCCGTGCCTTCGATGATCTTTTTGCCCTTGCTCTGCCGCCGGTTGGCGGTGTAGAAGTATATTGTGAAAATTGCAATACAACCTATGATCATCAAATGCGAGCTGTTCCATGCATATCGTTAGTTTCTTCTCTCTCGTTCGTTGGTGGTGGCACTTACGCAATGGAAACCCATATCGCCGTCATGTAGTTCGGGGCTTCCGGCTGCCTGACTATGAAACTGCCAGCAATGCCCCCAGCGCCATTGCCCGCTGTGATAGCAGCAGCTGTGAAAACTCTTTTCCACTGACCAACTATGTTGTTGGCTTGATAAGCAGCCATGCCCGCCCAGTTTGCTACGTATGCGCCTGTTGCAAGGAAGGTTCCGATATAACGCACAGTCACCTGAGTTGAGAAGCCAAGCATGCAGAAGCCTGTGATGAGACACAGACAGTTGAATGTGATGATAGGGCCACGTAACCATCGGTCGCCAATGAGAGAAGATGCAACGGCGGGGATGACTGCATAATAGTACGGTGGCGCCGAAAGCAAAATGGCTGTGTTGGTGGAGAAACCCATACCGCCTTGTAATATGATGGGAAGGAAGTACGAGAGTGAGGTGGAAACGAGGTTCTGTAAGAAGTAGAGGATGCTGAAGCCGTACACTTTTGGGTCTTTGGCGTGGACCTTCATAGGAAAAGTGACAAGTTAGTGAAGGCCGACTTCCAACGGTCCACGGAAAGACATCAAGTTCGCAGAAAACATACCAGAACTTTTGCCCACGCAAAAGGCTCAGCTTGCACATCACCTCTGTCCTTGTTGATTTTCGAAGCAATAATCTGGGCTTCTTCCTCGTCGAGAAACATGAAGCTTTTGTGGGCATGTTCCGGAAAGTCGACCATCCACCAGTACGTGAGAACCCCAAGAAACGCAGTTATTGCGCCTTGGACGATGAACATCCACTGCCATCCTTTGAGGGACATATTTCCGTCTAACTGATTCAGGCCATAGTTGACCAGACTCCCTGTCGCCAGTACCGTAACTTCGCCGCTCTGCAGAAGGGCAAAACGAAGTTGTTGTTCTTTACGAATATAGTAAGTAGAGATGAGATAGGTCAATCCTGGGTATATTCCGCTCATACTAATGCCCAATAAGATCCTCAGGGCGATCATCTGGCGCCAATTTTGCACAAAAGCAGTGCACAAGGTAATAATGCCAAAAGAAAAGGTGATGAAGGAGAACCACCGCCGTGGACCGAAGATCCGGACAGCGATAGTCGACGGTAACTGGAAGGTAATGGATGCTATGGTAAAAATGAATATGGCTACGGAATAGCGATTGCCTTGATCGAGGCCCAAGTCTGACAGCATGGACGTGACTGAAGCGCTCGATATAACACCAGAGTCCAAAAGGTTGAGGGAACAGAGAATACCAGCGATGGAACACAGTCTTAGGTCCACCTTGGATCGAATATGTTTTTCCCGTGCGAGCTCATCGCTGTTCTCATAGTCTTCCTGCTCCGGCTGGTTTTCTGGTACATGCTGAACTTCAGTGACCGACGGTTCCGGATCCTGGAGGGCACTGAATTTGAGCATATTGAAGGAGGACGCAAAAGAGTAGGATCGAGTGCGATAGCATGGAAATGGCGGCGGGGAGGGGTGGGTTATTGTACGCTTGGATAGATAAACGAGCAGCGTTTATCGGCGGCAGGGATGGGCACCGGTATCGCGAGTGGTGGGATGGAATGGAAGCTGAAGGTGCGTGGATAGTTGAAAATTTATACAATGCCGATTTCATGAGGCTACTTTGGCTTTTGAACAGAATGTATGTTGTGGAGCCATTACCTGATGCTTACATATATTCATGGTAGTAGACTCTGTCCACAATTGTGGGCTACCCAGGTACATAGGATAGATGGAATGCAGTCAAGTATAGTGCCCGCTGCTGCAAGCGAATCTTCTAGTGCCACATGCCGAGGTGCAATGCAATTTCGTTCCAGTGCCTGTATGAGGTTTCGAATGCCTAACAATTGAAAGAATGGTGGACAGATGTGGTCGATGGACATGAATGCACAAACATGAATGAAAGCCCGACGACGCGTTTTTGGTTGTTGGTGTTGGTGGTGATGGTGATGGTGATGGTGATGGTGGAGGCTGCGCGGCGGCTGGGCGTGGACCCGGCCGAACAGAGACCAACCATGGACCAACTACGACATAGCTAGCAACTCACAGACTTTGCAAACAACCAAGTCGACGGTGCGCGGGCAGACAAGCAGACTGCAGATTGAATGCAGACTCCACCGCTGGGTTATCCATTCACCAGCCATTCTCACGGGCCGTCTTCCCCACACGACAGGTACACGGTTGCCTGCCTGCTTGGGTACCTACGTATGTCCGTATTTACACCACGCACGCACGCACGCATCCTCCTTCCCCGTCTTCGCTGACGACTGGCCGTGCCGCTAGCTAATTAGCTACCTGCTGCCAACCCCTCGACCGACATCCATCATCAATAGCTATCACCATACCACCCATCTGTCCATCCACGCCTCCATCTCTGTCAGCCTCCGTCTGGCTTATGCCTGCCGCCGTCCGGTCGCTCCGATCCCCTCCCCTTTCGCTCCGCTCCGCTCCCACTCCGCCTGATCCTGTGTCTTGCGCCCGCCGCTGCCGCCGGCCACCATGGTATTCTTAGGCATATACCGCGCCATTTACGACTATGCGCCCCAAGGAGATAATGAGCTTGCTCTGGCAGAGGGTGACCTGCTGATGGTCCTGGAGAAGTCCACCGAGGATGACTGGTGGAAGGCGAAAAAGAAGGGCGGAGACAGCGATGAGGATGAGCCAGAAGGCTTGATCCCCAATAATTACGTAGAGGAGGTGAGCCAGCATCTACCCGCAACTGTTCCAATTGCCTTCGCTGACCCCATACCAAGGCTGCACCTGTATGCAATGCCAAAGCCCTCTACGATTACACCCGCCAAACCGACGAGGAGCTATCCTTTAAAGAGGATGCCATCCTGGACGTTTACGACCTTTCCGACCCAGACTGGACTTTGGTCGGCGTCGATAGCGACTACGGCTTTGCTCCAGCGAATTACATCGATGTACAAGAGGGTGCAGCTCAGCCTGCTTCGTTGGCCTCTCCACCGCTCCCCACCCGGCCTCAGCTTCCCACTGTGACCGCACCGGACTCGGATGACGAGCAGCAGCCTCCTACACCAGATAGCCCTGCACCGCCAGTGCAACCGAGCCCGGCTGCCGCTCTCGCCGGCATCATACAGAAGAAATCAGAACAATCTTCTCTCCCGCGCTCCACAATCTCACCTCCACCGGCCATCAAACCACCCACCCAGAAACGAGTCCAGTTCACACCCGAAGAATCCGACGAGGAGATTCCGCCTCCTCGTCTTCCCCAGCGTCCGCAATCAGAGGCTTTCTCGCCCCCACCCACTCGAGTCCAGTTCGCTTCACCTCCGCGCTCTCCCGAATCCCCTCCTGCTCGCTCGCCTCGAGTTCGCAACGTCACCTTCAACGACTACGATGCTGGTGACAATGGTCCTTCTACTCCCCTCTCCGGCTCCGGCTATCATCTATATAACATTTATGAGTACATCACCCAACCAGGCAAGAACAAGAAAATGCCCATTACACTGGGGATCAATATTGCCAAGGGTATGGTTATGATCGCACCCGAAAAATCACGAGACGGCCCACAACAGGAATGGAGCGCGGAAAAAATCGAGTATCATTCTCAAGAGGGAAAACACGTGTTCATGGAGCTAAAGCAGCCCAGCAAAAGCGTCGACTTCCACTGCGGGGCCAAGGATACTGCTTCAGAAATTGTCCAGGCTCTAGGAGAATTGTCTGGTGCTGCAAAGGGGGTTGGGCTTCGTGAAGTGTTGGCTGCAGGATCAGGGCAATCCAATGTGCAAAAGAGAGGAGTCATGTTATTTGACTTTGGAGCTCAAGGGGATGACGAGGTCACGGTGGGCCTTGGCGATGAGATTTTGGTATTGGACGATTCTGCCAGCGACGAGTGGTGGAAAGTGCGGAGGCTGAAGAATGGCAAGGAGGGAGTGGTGCCAGCTAACTATGTCGAGATCACAGAATCCGTTCCCATATCCGCACCTGCCGCTAGACTTGCGCGCTCTGGAACAAACGCTGGGCGTTCTGTGGTGGAGCAGAACAGACGCGAGGAAGAGGAACTGGCCCGTCAAGCATCAAGAAGGAAACGGGATAGTGACCTCAGAAGTGATCAGGTAGGGCCTGGCCTGCAATTACCTGCGCGTCATTCTAGTCTTTTGCAAGCAAAAGTTGACCATCCTCGTACTTCACAGAGAAGCAAACGCGATAGTTCATCCAGAGACGCCAAATCTTCTGCAAAGCCAAGTACGTATCTTCGTAGCGAGACAGTGTGTCCTTATGCTCTCCCTACTCCATGCTGACTTTGCGCAGACACCTCTAAAATTCGAACATGGACCGACAGATCGGGTTCGTTCAAGGTCGAAGCCGAGTTCCTAACCGTAAAGGACGGTAAGATCCATCTACACAAGGTGAACGGAGTCAAGATTGCAGTGCCTGTGCCGAAGATGTCCGTTGAGGATCTGGAATATGTCGAGCGAGCGGCTGGAATATCTCTGGATGACGACAAGCCACTTTCCGATATCAAGCGTAGAAACACGCAACGAGCCAACGAGAGGTCGTCTCGTCCAACTTCGGGTATCACAGTCGAACAAAAGCCCTCATACGATTGGTTTGACTTTTTCCTCCAATGCGGCGTAAACCCTCAGATCTGCGAACGATATGCCCAGACTTTTGCCAAAGATCAAATGGGCGAGGAAAACTTACCAGATATATCTGAAAAGCTGCTTCGAACATTAGGCATCAAAGAAGGTGACATTTTACGCATCATGAAGCATCTGGACAGCAAATACGGACGCACAGGCGACAAACAGAACGGGGATGAAAGCGGGGGTCTGTTTTCCGGTCCTGGTGGCACACTCAGAAACAATACCCGAAAAGGTCGTCCTGCGCCACCACTCCAGACCAACGACATCGTCGATCCGAAGGCTTTCGAGCAGAAGACGGATGACACTGTCAAAAAGCCCGTAGAATCAAGCCCAGCTGCTGCGGTGAATCCTCCAGCTTCTGCATCCGAAAAGAAAGCAAATGGATTTGAGGACAACGCGTGGGATGTGAAGCCATCCAGGACTACTGCCTCGCCGGCTCCACCCGCGCCAGCAGAAGCGCCTGCAGCATCAACTCCAGCACCAGCTCCTGCTGCCCCGCCACCTGCTCTCACAGGCTCCTTGGGCGAACTATCTCTACTCGATATGCCAGCACTCAAGCCCGAGGTCCCGACCCCAGCGGCACCGCCCGCTCAAGCGCCAGCATCGGTTCCGGAATCTACCCAGGCCACCCAACCCCAAGGCGCGAATCAATCGCTTTTCGATCAGGTGGCAGCAGTCAAGGCCATGCAGCCTCAGCAACTTGCTCCACCAAGAACACGTCCGGCGGCACCACAGCAAAGCGGGGGCCAAGGAGGTCTCATTGCACCCCCGCCTCAGCGAGCTTCATCGGCGCCTCAAAATCAGCAAAGCGCATTCGCTCCCCCTCCAGCTCTGCAACCTCAGCTGACTGGATATAACCCGAATATGCACACTCAAATTGCGCCCCCAGGCCAGAGCTTACAAGATCTGAACGCTCAACGTATGCAGCAACAGATGACGGGATTTCCAGGACAGCAGTCTCAATTTGCCATGCAACAGCAGAACGGACTGATGCCACAACCAACCGGGTTCAATGGAATGCAAATGGCAGCTCAGCCAACGGGATATCAGCCTATGATTCAGCAACAGCCAACGGGATTCCAACCAAATTTCCAGTCAGGGTTCCAGCCAGGGTTTGGCCAAGCTCCCATGCCACCGCTGCCAGTGCAGCCCACTGGTTTCCAAAGCTTCTCGCCTGCGCCATTGAATCCCCAGGCTACCGGGATCAACCAGTTCTTACCACCTGCTATACAACCTCAGCCCACGGGGTTCGGACAGGGTCCCAGCCCACCTCCGATCCCCCCGATGCCTTCGATGCCCACTGCACCAGCACTGGTTCCCCAGAAGACGGGCCCAGCACCACCGGTCCGATTCGGAGTGCAGCCCGCCAAGAAGCTCGTACCTCAACCGACGGGGAGGGCCAACCTGGCCAAAGCTAGTAAGTTCTATGCTGCTATTGTGAAATGGGCAGAACCAGAATGCTAACAAGTGCACAGCCCCCGAGAATCCATTTGGATTCTAAGTTTTGGGGCGGCAATGACGACGAAATCTCGCCGGTTCCATACGGCTCTAGGCCTCGAGATGGTGGAACTGTGAATAGAACAGCAGAAGGCTACTTGGACCAGTGGATATTGGTAAGCTTAGTAGCCTGGGATTCAGCCACATGCCCTGTCGTCATTGATGCCATGTTTTTTCTTTCCCTTCCTCTTAATTCTTTTCGTTGTCCTGATGCTGGTTGATTGCATGGCGCTGTTGTTGGCTGTTTTGGATTTACATTCGTTTTACATGGCATATTAATTTTTTTGTGGAGGAAGTTGATTGATAGGTTCCGGGGAAAGGAGAAGCAAGGTAGCAAGAGAGTGGTGTGTGATTTGTTGCGAGCACGGTTAAGCGGCACGGTGGCTTCCAAGGGGTGCTGAAGGGGGAAAGGGTAGACGAAGTATTCTATAATGTACATGACAAGGCTATATAAATGGTCCACGGAATAATACATGTTGGTCGGAATTTCCGTTTTGATTTTTGATTTTTTTTTTGATTTTTTTTTTGATATTTTTAATTTTCCCCTAGTAGCTATGTACTGAAAATGCAGTTGCTGGGGCGAAGCTTTTGCTTGGGAGCCAAGAGGTTCGCTAAAAGAGCTTGATTGCAGTGGGTCCCCTGGTTCGAGTGTGGCGCGTGGTGGGTTTCGGCACTGGAGGTTAGGCCAAGCTGGGAAGAAGAAAGGCAATCCCATGACGAGATGGCAAGGTTCCTGTTGCTTTGGAATCACGGTGGCATCGAGTGCAATGGAATCGGTGGTCGCGTTGTCACCAGCGCCGACATGTGTCGGTTGAGAGAGAGAGAGGGTGAGTACATATCATGGCAGCGAACTATGATGCGGGGAAAGCTGTGGCTGGGTTCGTGACGTGGCTGAGGCATTTCTCTATATGGCCAGGAAAGGCTCCGAATCGGTAGAGCGACATGCTTCTGGCTCTGCTTGTATTGATTGATTGCATGCCTGCCAACGAGCTTGGTGAAGCAAGCCCGCTTTGCTTGCGCCGGCCCTTTTCAATTTCCGAGGATCGGCCGAAGCAAAGGGCATCGCATCTCTCGGGATGCGACCGTGAGACTCTCTCGCTCGTTCGTTGGCGTGCACATGGCATCTCGTGCATTTCCGCTGCCATCTGGGCTTCCCGTGTGGCGTCGGTGAGGGCAGTGGCTGGATGCCGTTCGTCGCGGGCAAGGATACGTTCAAGGGTCAAGCGTAGAGGGGATGGGTAGCTTGCGAAGCTTTTCGTCATGGTGAGCTTGATTAGGCCCAATCACGGAGCATGGGGGTGTGCGGGCCTCTTACCATGGGTCTCGGGCATCGTCTTGCCAGGCGAGCATGGCAACTCACTGGACAGAGTGCCTGTCGTGGAGGGGGGGGGGAAGGGTTTTGGCTTTTCCCCGTACTAGTAGTCCTGTCTTTAAGTCAATAAAAGGCCCCCCTTCTTGCCTTGCCTTGACTCCCTTCGCTCTTTTTTTCCATACTGTGGCTGCTCCCCATCTTGTCTTCCTCTGCCCTGCTGCTGTACTACCACTCTCTAATTACTTACCTATACTCAGGCGCCCTGCCTTTCCCGCTAGCTCGATACTCGTGTGACTACAGACTAGTACCCAACTTAACATTCTTCACGTCACCGCCCGCCAGACCTTGATAAACCTCTCTTTCCTTCTTCTCTCCTCACCACCGGCCTCCGCTATCCAAAACCCCCCGAGTCGCCCATTCTCATCATCCCTTCGACCCTCTTCCATATCCACTCGGTCGCCAAATCAAACACCACCTCCAACTACACTCAACTACACTCGTATATATACGTGTGACGGACAGACCACTTGCGCACCATCGAGAACCATCGAGAACCAGCGAAACTACATCGCACCTTCCATTCAACAACCAAGAACTCAACAACCGACGAAACAAACATGTCGGCAAACCAGTATTACGGAGGAGGCCAGCCTCAATACCCTCAGCAAAGGTAAGTCATTCCACACGTCAGTATCCAGACTTTCCCGACAAAAAATACACATGCACATACATACCCGATCAAATGCAACCAGATACTGATCTTTCCATCTTGAATCTAGCTACGGTCCCCCGCAAGGAGGCGGCTACCCACCACAGCAGCAGCAGCAAATGTACTACCAGCAACCGCCGCCCATGCAGTACCAGCAAGCTCCACCCCCGCCGCAGCAAAAGGAAAAGAAGAGCCGCGGATGCTTGACGGCTTGTCTGGCCACCCTGTGCTGCTGTTTCGTATGCGAGGAGGGTTGCGAGTGCTGTCTCGAGTGCTGCGAGTGTGCTGAGGAGTGCTGCTAGTTCGCTTTTCCGTTGATGCGGGTTCGGTTCCTGTACTGGTCGTTCTATACTTCTCTTTCTCTTTCCATTTCCCTTTTCTTTCCTTCTTCTCTTCCTTTTGTCATGGGGGGGTTTTATTTTGCCCTAGCGCTCGTGGGTGATTTGCTTGCGCTGGGTGAGGAGGGTGGAATTTTCTTTTCTTCTGTAATTTTCTCGAGGTTCGATGACATGACAATCAGACTTTTACTCGATCACCCTTGGTGGTGAGTGAGGGAGTTGAGTCGAGGCCAACGAGATAAAAAAGATGAAGCGTATATCCCGAAAACAAAAAAGTGACAAAATACAGAACCCACTTCCGTCGCTTTCTCTCCTCTACTCCATACTAGAAAGGCGCTTAATTCATATCCTTTCTTTCATCTCTCTCTACGTGTCTTGCAACCCGGAACATCTCTTCATTGACCTGTCTGTATGCTCCAGGTCGTGGCGGACGAGCGATTTTACCCCAACCCCCTTTCCTCCATCTCCAATTCCTGTATACACATTATTCGGTGTCATTTACTGTACTTGTCGCTTCGAAGGAAAACATCACTGTAGGTGTATAGATCAAGTTTCACATCACAGGAAGCGACTCCGACTGGCTTGGAATTGACCTGATCCTCCATTCATTTGTTGTACACCGAGCAGGAGCCTGTTTGCTTCTACCTCCATTGTTACCACCCTCGGGAGAACAAGAGAAAAAGAAAAAGAAAACAGGAACGCACGTGTTCAGACACGTGTTCCCTTATCAACCCCCAAAAGAGTCATAGGCTCGATCGCTCCCCGCTGGATCCATTTGTATAATTTGATGAGCATCTAGTAAGCCCAGGCTCATAGTGCACGTCGCGAGCCTGGTCAACTAGCCTTCACATGCCCCCATCATCAACAATCACATGGGCCCGTAACTCCTTGTCAGAGCAGGCTTACTGGGGAATGTCCGTGGTGCTTCCTCTGCGCCTCTCCCATTCCCAGGAATATGTCGAGTCCTACGTTCTTCCATCACATCGTACGGGCGGCCAGTGCTATCCGCCTCCCTGTACCTCACGTATTCTACTTTATCTCGGGAGGCCTCGCTCTCCGAGTCTGTCACATCTTCCCAGTCTTCTGGTATTCGTTTATCTCCACGAGAACGGGAACTGCCGCGATACGTGGAGCGTGACTGTAAAACGGGTGAATGCGCGCGGTCCCGTGTATGGCGGTCTCGTGGAGGAGAGACATATCGCGTGCGAGCTCTGATGCGATCTTCCATACGATCATTAGGTGGGGACACATATCGAACGTGTTCATCGATGTCGTAGTCTCTGGAAGATGACAGGGAAGAATGCTGAATATGGAGTCGCTCAAAGTCATGAACCGGGGGAGACGGAGGCCGTGGTAACTCCGCATATTCGCGTTCCGTACGGCGTTGGTAACGGAAGTCTTCGTTGTTCGGAGTATGCTCACTTGCATATCCTGATCTCCGTCCCCGATAGTCTTGATCAACATCGGGTATATACCCTCGTCCGCGCCGTGAGCCATCTGAAACGAAATGGACTTTGTTGTGACCAACTTCGGGTAACATACTATCGTGACTGTCTTGCATTCTGCGTCGACGACCTGTCTCAAACTCCATTGTGGAGTTCCTCAAGATACCCTTGCGCGGGGAGAGTTCACGAGTTGGTGAGTCGGTGGAGATACTATTGTCGGCAGCGCGCAAGTACGACCTGTGTCCTGGCGCCACGTTCCTGAAAGAAGTTGGGTGCGACGATATTCTTGCTCCACTGTCATCGGTTCGATAGCTACGTCTGGGAACTTGAATAGGAGATAGACTGCGAGGGCGATAATCCGTGATCGGTCGCTCCAGAGATTCTTCTCGATACTCCACCCGTGTAGTTCTTCGCGCAGGTGGCGGCGAAATGCTCGATTCAACATATCTGACCCTAGACTCGAACGTGGGCGAATCTGGAAACGAGCCAGGGGGTTTGTTTCGACCGCGAGGCTCTGGTGGTGGACTCAGAGAAGTATAAAGAGTCCGAACTCTTGACTTCCTTCGCGAGCTTTGAGGGGGTTCCCTCCGTGCTTCTTGAAGCACTCGCAATCCAAGATGGGCTCGGCTGGAAGACCTCACGACAGTACGTCGTGGGCTTGGCGAAGAGGAGCTTCTTGTGTATCGCCTCTCGCTGCGGTCTCGACTTCTTCCCCTTCGATCGTCGATTCGGATTGTGATGGTCCTGTCGTCTTTCTCGGCTTGTTCGGCCTTCGTCTTCTTCTTTGCTTTCCTCTTACATTTGCGACATGGGGTCGGAATTGCTGGCTGACCAGGAACGATGGGATGGTGGCGGTGATAGCCTGGAGAACGCATATTACCGCACACACTGCATACGTGACTTAAGATCAGGATAGGATCAGATGCTGTGGCGATTGATGTGGGTACAATCACAGACATGGGCATATCGTTTCGCGCAGTGTCGGGGTATTGGGAGATATCTGGTGGTGGCCATGGGCCTCTATAAGAATTAGGTGCAGCTGGCTATGCACATGTCAATTGTGATGCAAGAATAAATTCACATCGACGTGCATACCTGATTCATTGGATGAGATCCTTGGTTGTTGTATTGCCATCCGACGTTGTAGGCACCAGTCGGTTGCGACTGCTGCGGTGGCCCATAGCTTCTCGGAAGAGCAACATATCCAGGTGGTTGAGATGGAGCCGACATATGCCCACCTTGGGTTGCAGCAATCTGTTGGCTGGTGGCAAGAGCTGTAGAAGGTGGTGTTGGAAGAGGAGGCTGGGCCTGAGGAAATTGGTTTGGGGCTCCAACGCCATGGGTCTGTGATTGAACGTTAAGAACTGCGATTGGGAAGGTTGGAACTGTATTGCGAGGTTAAGAGGCGTCCTACTTACCGCTTGTCCTGCGTAGGGATTGAACGCTACTTGTGGATTTGGCGCCCCGAATGCTCCCGCCTGTAAGCCGGCAGTATAGGCGTTCATAGGTGACATGAAGTTGCCGTATGAATGCGCCTGTTCCTGGCCCTGGCCTTGCGGTGGCTGGCCGACATGATTGCCTACGTTTTGGTTGGGTGTTGCCGCATTGCTCATGTATTCTCGAAAAGCCCTGCGTGCCTCCTCGTCTGACTGCATGAGGCAGGTGCGGCCCTTTTTGGGGGAGGGTGACGGTGAGGTTGGTGGGCAGAGAGAACTGAGGTTGACGTCGAGGGCGCGAGAGGTAGGTGCTGCTAGTCAGAATGAGTGAGAGGTAGTTGAAATGAGACTCACTGAGCGCGGCAGAGGTAGCAAACAGATGGATGGAACACAGGATAGGAGGGGAATATTGAGGTAAAAGAAAGGAATTGTGTGACTACGCCTACCCGCGCTCCTGCCTCCTCAGGCACCGACCAAGCTCTAGTCATTGCGGTCTACCTTCACGTTACACATACATACACATGGGCTCAGACCGACCCCGCAACATCACTGTCCACTCAGCTGCCTGCAGATACACAATGACCCTATTCCGTATCCGCCCAACTGTCTGTTTGAATGATCTGTCAAATTTGCTTAAATTGACAAACTGATAGATAGCGCCATATCTACTCGAATGCGGAACTTGGGGTGGGCTAGTATCTTCTTTTCCCTCTTCGAACGCCTGTCGTCATGCCATCCCACCTATATACCGGCCAAGTTGCTTTACTTTTACAAGACACAAGAAGTCGCTCAAAATTGCAGTCCAGTAACTTTTTATTCAACCCGCAGGACGCGAGCGCCCCGTCTCTTTGATGCCTTCTTCTTCTTGTGGCCCTTGTCGAAGGAGACGACGTTCTGGTGATCGCGTCCAAAATTATCAAGGTCCTTGACCTTGTAAATGCGGATGATCCAGTTCTCGCTGGTGAAGGCCTCCTCGATCGTGCTGAGCTCAGGACCTTGAGCTGGAACTCGCGATCCACGAACACGATCCTGCGCCTGTCCAGCAGGGAACAGCGTGTTGTAGTTGTAATACGACATCTTGTACCTAGACCAGGTCAATATCACTGAAACAAGAAGAATAATCGATCCACTTACATCAAGCTGTTCTTCATGGTCGGCGTCGCCTCATCATCCACGCGGTATTCACCGCGGGGCGTGAAGAAGTTTCGCTCTTTGACCTCATCGGGCCAGATTCCTTCAGCAATACGAACCATCCAAAGAAATTTGTTGATATCATCGCCAGAGTAGCCAAGAAGACCACCGAACACAACAAGCACGTAGTCGACCTCGTGTTGACGCATGATTGGGTAGCTGACCTCCTCTCTGGAGCTCATTGCCTTGCCAACAGTCGCAATGTGGGTGTTGTTCCATGTGTTATTGTCAACAAGAGTCGGCCTGTCAGCCATTCCACCGATCTGGTAACCATAGTCCCACCATGACATGATTTTGGCGTTCTCCGGGGTGTTTTGTCGAAGCCAATAGTAAGCCTCACGGTAGTCGTCGATAATGTGCTGGCTACCATCAGGAAGACGAGAAGCAAGCACAACGGATGGCGAAGAGTATGCGTTGGAAGTAACCCATGTGCAGTGGAGAACGAATAGCATGAGGTAGATGATAGAGGCGCCAACTACGGTAAGCTTGGAAGCATACGAGTAAATACCAACAAGCGGAGCGCGAGTAGAGCGGAGTCCGTCGGGAAGAACGGCGGCAGCAGCTACCTTGGCCGCGTCCGAGTTGCTGTCTTTGGATTCTGTCTTAGGAACCCTGGCGTCCAGATAGGTGTCCAGGATCTGCGAGAATGCCATGGCAGACGCAACACAGACGATTGGCGTCAAAGTCAGCATCAAACGAACCATGACACCGGCGAAGTAACTGGCCAAGACAGCATAGATGACGATGAAAACTTGCTCATCAGTCAACTTTCGGAAGCACATGTAGACACCGGCGGGGAAAAGCCAGATCATCATGCTCAAATCGAAGAAGAAAGCGGGCCATGCGGTAGGTTGGTGCTCAGAGACGGACGCGATAATTGGAATGTGAATCTTCGCATAACCGGTATCCCAGAGTGAATAGAATCGACCAGTCCATGGCGCAATGACACCGGAAACAGTCAGAAGCACCAATCCGCCGAATGCAATGACGAAAACAAAAAGAACGAGCGCACGAAGAAGAGTCTGGAACTGCTTGCTTGGGAGCTGTGCACGAATGTAATCAACTCCACCAACAAGCTGTAGAAGACCGAAAACACCTGTTCGAGGTTAGCAATGTACGAGGGAGTTCTTCTTTGCGAGACTTACCGAGTGCAGACATGTGTTCGGAACTCCTGATGGGCAAGAAGCCAACAAAAGGAATCTGCATGCTGGCCAGCGTTCCAAGCGCATACCATGACGTATAGCTGACATATAGCCTTGGGCTGTATCTTCCCATGCAGATCAGAACGAACGCATGTAGAGGCAGCAGATTCGTGATGAACACATAACCACCCCATGCTGACACCATGTATCCGTAGAAGAGCGCGGTCAACGCGCCCCAGAACATGGAACCATTCTTCACTGCCTTGATCCACAAAAAGAAGGTGAATACCAGTAAGAAGATGGCAATAGCCTCGTTGTCGTAGCTCCCTGCGACGGAACGCGAGATGTAACCTGGTGTGATGCCCATGAAGGCTGCGGCGAGAAGACCAGCGGACGGAGAAGTGACCATCTCGTTGGTCAGGAGGTACGTTGCGAGCGCCGTGAGGCCGGAGCACCCAGGGGCAAGGAGCACACAGATGTTGCGAATGTCGACGGGGAGGGTCAGGAAGCGGAGGATGTGGTAGATGACACCGCTGGTGACCATCAGACCAGGGTAAAGAGTACCACCGGTAACTCGCCCGAGGGGATGCCATGTTCCTATAAGCAACAGCCAAGTCAGTTACAATCAAGTCAAGTCGTATGCGATTGAGGAGTGGAAGGGTTGCGGAGGAGCATACGGTCGTCGAACCAGTCCCAGAAGCTGTAGAATCCATTCTGAACTAGATATTTGGTCGCTCGAAAATTGAACCAGGGATCGACTGAGTGATCATGTCAGCCAATTGATCGATTTCCAGAGCATTGGTGTACTGACATTCGTGGATGATACTTTCAAAGCGAATTACTGAGAACAGACGGCTAGCAACAGCTGCGCCTGCAATCAGAGCCAGAATTGTGACTCGGAGCATAGTCCGAGTGTTCCTGCCGCTCATCTGCTTGAGCAGGCTACCCTCCTCGTTGGAAGCCATGATTGAATGTATGGGTGGTGGTTGGGGAAAGGAAAGACGTTACACCCAAGGCAGGCCGCGTCGTCATGAAGCTCGTCCAGGCCACCTGTCGCGAGCCTCTCGGATAAACGTTTACATGATTCGCCGACCACCCTTATCACGTGATCGTTCGGAACATCAACATCTGAACATTTGAACATTTGAATCATTACCATCATCACAGACCTGGGGTAAATTGAGCACTGAAACCTCACTTTGATGGGTCTTGTACCCTGGCCCAGTGCCGAAAGCAAAACATACCTCTTGTGAACATGTTTGTAACCGCCTACCTTCTGTCACCTTTTTTTATTTACCTTTTTGAGTGTAGGGAATACTTCTACTTCAGATTTTTTTTAAAAACAACCCCTCGCTTTAAATCGATTGTTAAAGAAAGTTACATTTGGCGCACGACAATGATGTCGCCGTGCACTTCACCAATCACGTCCCGACGTCGTTGAGGTTGAATGGATATGTTATATTATTATCGGCAGCCCGGATTCAAACATCAGCTGTTCATGGGCATCCCATCATCAAACTACCATCCACATCCGCAATGACAGCTGTACATCTATTGCACAAATGGTGATTGCCACGAACACAATTCACGGAAGTATGCAGAGACCATGGTGCACTTTCGCACGAACACTGGCATCAGGTAGTTAGATAAGAACGTGCTTATTTAGGGGAATGGGTGGATACACTTACACAATAGAGGTCTAGCTCACCTTTCCTCCTCTTTGGGATCGGAGAAGGCATATGTTCTTCCATGGACACCTGCCGCTTTCTCGAGCTGGAGAGAAATGACTGCGCCCCAAAACCAGGTGCATTGGCATCGAGATAGGATACATCACCGGCTACAGATACTTGGAAGGGCTCTGTAACAGGAAGCACGTCGGCAAGGGGAGTCTCGAAAGTCAGGAACGCTGGAGGACTATCATCCGGGACGCCTTCCGCGTCGAGATCCTCCCCATCGCCATCGTCATCAGCGTCGCCATCGCCGTCGTCATCGAGACTTCTCTCATATAATTGCCTCTGGAGTTCACCTTTAGCTTTTCCAGCTTCTAGGCAAGTCCAGTCCTCGATCCTCTGTTCTTTTTTGCTGAAATGGTTGTCAATGTGGTCGAAGCGTTCATCCCACGCCGCATTTCTCTTTTCTCTGAGCGGCACAATGGTCTTGCAGAAGCCGCACCAGAATCTCCTTTGGTTTCCCATTCCGATTCTTCTTTCTCTGAGGTCTCTCTCGAGCTTCTGGGGATCAGAAATCTTATGTTCCTCCTCAAGATGAGCGCGGAATTGATTCGAATGATAATACAGCTCATTGCATGGGGTGAAAGGCTCAGTCGAAGGAGTAAGGGATGGCACAGTAGATGGATAATGGCAAAGGTAGACTTCCTGTTGATAATGCTGACTGTTCTCGTGACGCTTCCAATCTGATTTGGCACCGAAGCGTTTGAAGCACTTTGGATATGTGCATCCGTAAGGCTTCGTATGCCGCTTCGTGTGTTTTTTCAGATCACACAAGCGAGATACGGTGATATCGCATCGGTCACACGGGAACCTGTGCGGAGGCGACGCTTTGGACGAACGGCGGGACGAGGAATCGGGTCGAGGGCGGCGACTCTTTTTGATGAGGTCGGAGATATCCCTCGATGCTTTAAGCATTTCAGCTTCCGTTATAACGATCGAGTTATCTTGAATTTCGGAGATGGACGGTGAGTCTGAGTGGTTTGAATTTTCCAGCAGTGATTCTTTTGACGATTGACCTGTTGCATCACGGAGCACTTTTAAGACGACTTTCTCCAGATCGGCATGTTCCATATATGATCCACTTGGTAAATCATCCGAGATAGTCTTGGATAGTTGTTGGAGGACTTGCCGCTGCTGTTCAGCCTTAGTTTGTGGAGCACTGGACAACTGAGAGCGAGATCCCGTAATACCGGCGACGTCGGCAAGCATCCTTAAGGAATCCTGTCGTCTTCGTGCCCCATTTCCGGAATATGAACGCGAGGCACGACTTTTACCATGGGACGGTTCCAACCTAGCGCGGCGGCTTGCCTTGGCGGAGACGGTTTCGTGTGGATCGTCGTTTGCTCGATCCACGTCTAAGGCGAAGTCACGGGCCGTGGCATCGAACGAGTTCCACCGGCTAGATTTCTGGTCTGGGGTTAAACTCATACCGGATGTAGGATCATCGAGATCTTTACCGGAAAACTGCTTGTCCGTACCAATGCCGGCAAGCGCGGTATCCAGAGGAGCCACGGAGAAAGACTCACCATTGGGGGCATACGATTCTCGGTAAGCAGACCTGACGATGTTAGCAAGTGACCATGTGGTGTTACTGGGATATCTAGTTCTGACCTGGTAACAAGATCGTGCTCATCCTCGTCTTTGTGCATGCGATGGATATGCTGCTTGAAGTTGTCCAGACGCGGCCAGATCTTGCCTTTGTTCCGACAATGCTCAGATGCACATTGATATGATCCTTTCTCTACCCCTACGCGATGAACACTCTTTTTGTGCCGGTCGAGGTCGTTTTTGGTAGTAAATCCTCTACCGATGGCAGCTCGGCGACAACCATGTACATTGCACACGTGTGGCTTATCGTGCTTCAGTCGGTGTTTCCTAGGGACTGTGGTTAAGACTTGCCCAACAGTATGGCATTGCTAAGCACTTACTTGTAGTCGGATGGACATTTTGACACCTCCTTACAAACGGAGCAAAAGAAAGTGGATTTGCCAACGCTCCCGCTCCGGCCACTCCACTGGGAAGCTTGATCGGATGACATGGGAATCACTTCGGTTGGTTCGCTAATTGAAGAGGCGACAGTCATGTTGCCCATGCCGATAGAAATTTGGGGAGAGATGTCCTGACCCGGACGTTCGGGCTCGATGGTGACGGATGGTGCGTACTGAGTTTGATAGCCAGAGTCGGATCTGGGTGCGCCACTACCTAAATCCGACGGAGGACCATCTCTATAGGTGGTGTAGTTGGGGTCTGGATGAGAAAAAAGAGATGTTCCATTCGGAAAGCTGTTGTTTCTCAAGCGAACTGCGCTCCATGGCGGATCGTGAATGCCTCCGAATACAGCGGAGTATGAAGGATCGATGCTGCCAGGAGTGGTGCGCCCTAGCTGAGGAACAGCCAGTAAAGAATTGTTGTGTTCGATGTGGTCCTTGAGATGGAAAGAAGCCGGCATGCTCATGCCATGGGGTTTCAAGGGATTTGTACTTGAAGCGCTCACCGGAGTTTGCTGAGAAGGTGAGGGGCTGGGAGCAGGACCAGCAGGTCTTGATTCAGATTGTTGGCTCCATTGCTGCTGGTGCTGGTGCTGCTGGTAGCTTGGGCTATGAACTTGGGATGAGTGCGAATCGAACAACTACATGGAGGGGAAAGGAAAGCATATGTCAGTTGGGTACGGCAAAGCAGTGATGGCGAAGATGGCATAGACATACATTATGATGAGTGCCCAGAGTATAGTCGAAGGGGGAATCATAGGTAGGGTTCGGCTGGGACATGACTGCGTGTTTTGGGCGTCTCCCGTGCAGTCGAGCAAGGCTGAGAATGACCAAGTTGGAGAAGGTAGCAGACAGAAAGAGCTCGGGCAAGGTGAGGCATTAGTATTGAAGCTCAGGTGCGGCTCACAGCAACAACCCCTGGACTCGGGTGGGCAAGCATCAACGAGCGAAGGTTGGCAGGTTAGATTGGAGCTACGAGGGAGGCTGCTGGTTGCACCCACTCGGCACGCAGAGACAAGGGCGCGCAAGGCTGTCGATAGTTCCGGTGTAGGATACGGGAAGGCTCGGTTAGGAGGATTACGACTTTTGCCTGTCCTGGCCTCGACGTGACCGACCGACTGCGATGCCGCTGGGTGGGACACGACTGGCATGCGCCCTGCCACTCCCCGACTGGAAGGTTGAATTGCCCAAAGAAGAGAAAAAGCAGCAGGAACCCAGAATTGTGGGTTGGTGCAATGCCGCGATGACGGCGACGACGGTTGAGGACGAGGTGCTGGGTGCAGAGGCAGAGAGAGTACACACTACATAGCACCATAAGATTACATGACATGACATTACATTGGTGCTGGCTGCCGATGCAAGAGGGTAGTGGGCGGCCTCCGCGGCCACAGCAGTGCCCACTGGCCTTCTCAGACGCAGCACCGCCAACGGTTGCCTTCTTTTTGCTGTCTGCTGCCTAGATACACTCATACACATACATACATACCTAGGTACATACATACTACCTACCTACCTACCTACGTGCATAGACATGCGTGTGCACTCACACTCATGCGCTCTCCCCGAGCCGTGGCTATGTTCTTTGGCTCTCTCCGCGCCGCACAGCAGTCATGTAGTTGCCAATATACAATATATTCGGTCATGTTGGGTCTACGCTTCCCCTCCCCGGGCGAGCACAAGCAACAAGTCAGTTGTTGTTGCTGCGCCGAAACCAAACGTCCAATCGCCATGCTCACAGTTGGGTGTACATGATGTCTATGTATGGAATCCGGCTCCCGAGTGCTTTCATCCATCTCGCGAGCATGACCAAATATGCATATGCCACTACGGTATGCACCCTCCTCATATGCGCACACCTCCCCCTCCGGTCCATCCAGCAGCAATCTATTCGTCTACCTACCTAGCCATCCAAGCACTGTGCATCCCGAACCATCATGACCCGTATCAGACACCATAGCCATGGCAAGCAACACCCATATAATCTACCCAGACCCGCCCGCCAGCCAATGGCAGTCCCCAGATGCTCCTTCTCGTCCACCCTCCCTTCCATACAAAAGCCCCCATTCGTGCTTCTTACGTACGTACCCTGTCAGCCTACCTGAACGGCCCCCAGCCAATCGCCACCCAGCTACCCCATGTGCTGCTGCTGCTGCTGCGCACCGCCGCCCGCTCACCTCTACCTTTGCACCCACTCAATCTATTCGTGTGCTGTGTCCAAGTCGTGCTCCATTACCACTGCACGCCTGAGCCCGTTGATCATTGTCCAAGCAGGAATTCTTCCACCCATCCACCACCTGCACTAAGCCCAAACCTTGATTGGGTGCGGCACCCAGCACTGCATTGGGACCACGTCGTTCGGGGGACAACAGACGAGGGAGGAGGAAAGCAATGGCATATACACACCATCTCTTGGTCAATCAAAAGGCACACTCTCCAAACCCATCTATTTCGCTATCTTTACATACATTCGCTCACACCGAGACAACCGCCCTGGACAAGATGCGCTTTAGTAAACAAGAACAAATGAGTGAAAGAGAACGCCGAGTATGCGTTCCCGAGAGAAGAGGAACATTGGTCGTTCAACATCATAACTGTCCCCCAGACGCCGAGACCTCCCGTTTCCCAAATCCACCAATGTTAGATGATCAGCAATGTGCCAAGGAAAGCAAAATGATCAAACATGAAAACAAGAACAAAAATTGGCTGCGTCTATGACGTGAGGGGGGGATATCAAGAGCAAACGCAGAGAGAGAGAGAAAAGAAAAAAAACACTATACGACCAACAAAAACTAATGTGCACAGAAAAACGACGCTTCCGTCACTCAACTACCCTCCTGTACATGTACTACGAATGCTCACGCCCGCTCGCTTCATTGCCTTTGGAACGAATATCTCTGCTGATGCTGTGCTTGCGCTCGTGCCTGTGCCCTCATGTACTGCATGGATTGATATGCGCTCTGCTCTTGCACCGGCGGCGCAATCCCTCCGTCGAATCCCATGCTGACACCGCTGCCTGCCATGTTCTGCTGCTCCTGCGGGACGTATGTCGCTCGCAAAGTGTCCATAGAATACGGTGCTGTTTCGATTGGGGAATCGGTGAACACGCCGTGCTGCTGATATTGTTGAATGGCCGACACGGGCGTCATCGGGAACCGATTCGGACCATTCGCCATGCTACCGTTCATGTATGATTGGTTGGGAATGTGAAGGTTGTCCATATAAACGCCCTTCCCTTTGCTCGGGTCCACGCCTGGATACGTCCTAGTGAAACCCTGCGGGTTCTCAGCTGCGAAGGCTGCGTAGCCGCTGGTCTGTGGGGCCATCTGTGGGGGCGGATAGGTTTGCATCGCATTGGGCGACATGCCCGACGCATGGTCGGGTGTATACTGTGCAAATTGCGAGGGGTCGATCCCCGGGGCTAGAGTAGCTGGGTTAGGGGGGATGTATCGCGAAGGATTGTCAACGGGTGATCTGTTTGGCGTTGCCGAGAGTTTGCCCTTGTCTGCCAGTTCCACAACCGGACTGATGATGGTGTCGGCATTCATCTGCTTCTGCTCTACAAGTGGGAGAATCGGCATGCTGATCTGTTCCATATGCTTTGCAAGATGGACCGTCAGCTTCTTCCATGAGGTGCAGATGTTGCCACAGAATCGGCAAGGTTCGTCCTTGGGTTGCTTCGTAGTATCACCCCGACACCTGGCTACAAGGCCCCATATATCATCTGCGTATGGTTAGCATACCCCACGAAAAAAAAAAAAATTGGTAGATATTCGAGGCCCACCTGGATCTGTGTTCGACGACCCGTCTTTGTTTGCGCCCTTCGCTGAGCGCTGTCGGGGCTCGGCGATCTTATGCTCTCGAACCAAATGTTGGACAAAGTTATCCTTTCGATAGCATGTGTGGTTGCAATCTGCTATCTGGCATGTCCAATGCTCCAGCTGTCGATGGCGTTCGTTCTCATGTCTGACCCAGTCTGCTTTGCGTTTAAAAGACTTGGGTTCTCCGCAATTGGGAAAAGTACAGGTGAATGGCTGCACGTCTTCGTGGACGTGTTTTGTCCAATCTGATGGCTTGTAGAATTGCTTGACCTTGAAACAAAGTGGACATTCAAACTCAGCGGGGAGACGTTTGACGGGAGGCAGAGGCACACCAGAGGGAAATTGGGCAGGGACAACTGTCCCCTCGGGGAGAGGTTCGACATCGTCGCCAGACGCCTCCGGGGCTGTGACCTGGAATCCAATAAAAGGTGCATCCACATCTTTGTTTCCGGCTCGAGGAGGCAGCTGCTGAGATTCCCCACCAAGATCTGGGCAAAATTTCGCTGATGGACAATTGCGATTCTTTACAGCGTTGAGATGCTTTACGCGAAACTCAAGTAACCGCTTATATCTTCTCATCTGCTCCTGGGTGATACGCTCTATCATGTACTCAGTCAAGCGAGGGTTGAGCTGACGAGCATGTGTCTTGAACCCTTCATACGTGGGGATGATCGGGTCGGACCGAACCGCGAGATCCATCGTGACGGCTTCTTGGGCATCATCGTCATCATCATCTCCCCCCGGACTTGGGTTGGGAGAAGGTTTGGCAACTTCTGTGTCTGCCATGGGCGATGCAAGCATTGGCATCGGCGGGCCTCCATGTCGCGTCATGAGCTCCGCAAGTCCAGCTGCTTTACCCAGCTCGCTTTTACTTCGAACTCGCGTAATGCCTTGGTACCATTTGTTGTTGGTCGCAGATAAACCTGTGGAGCTGGGAGGGCCGAAGTCTCGTACTGGAGCTGCAATATTTGTGTCTACTTTTGGTGACTTAGGCCGCCCCCAACTACCCATACGCTTAGGCTTCTCCAAAGCCGCTTCTTTGGCCTTTTCAATTGCAGGATCAGCTGTTTGGGGTACCGGAATGCTACCCTTGCGCTTCAGGAGATTGGTGGGGGCTCGCTTAGGGAGAATGTTTTCTAGGAAACTTGGACGCCGCTGCCTTTCCTTCTGTTTCTTCAGATCAGGCTCAATCACCTTGATCACGCCCGGCGCGCCTCGGATGCTACCCCTTATGCTGCCTAGATCAGACTCGCTAAGTCGGCGAGAGCCGACTGTGGCAGCCAGTGAGGCGGACTCTACATCTTTAGCTCGTCTACGGAAGCGCATCATTGCTGCATTCGAGGTGGGCGGTTGGTATCGCGTTGACGATGGCGCGGGTTGGGAGGCTGCGTCAATCCAAGGTCGTGCGACGGCATCAACCATACCGCCGTCAAAAGCTGGAAAAGCAGAAACTTCGTTATCAGCGCGGCTGGCACCAATGTCAATGTTTGCTGGCGGTGATTCAGGTTCCATATCTTCCTCATCCTCGTCATCTTCATAATATTCACTTCCTTCGTTTATATAAATCCCGGGTCCAGGGACATTGGAGTCGTCCACTTGGTCAAGATCAGTGTGCACACCGAGGCCGTACCCATTGCCAAATCCTTGGCGAAAGACATCATTTGTACTTTTCGCCCGGCGTCTGGTGGTTACAGGTTTCAACAAATTCTCCGACCCGTTCGTGTCTTCAGCTTCGCTGCCCAGCTCACTCTTAGAGAGCCAGTCATGCACTTCTAGTTTCTTTTCTACCTTCAGTCTTTGGTCGGCAATCTCTTCCAAACTTGGAACCCATGCGTCGTTCAATGCTTGTCGATCGTCGGGATTCAGTCCAGGTTGACCCACAGCCCAGGAACCGTCTTCATTTCGCTCAGTGCTTCGAACAACAGGCTGGATTCGCACCGGTTGGTGCGAATCTTCGCCATCGTCTGACGACTCGTCATTCGGGTAGGGAGACAGGTGATTTCCGGAACGTCGGCTACCATGACTTCGCTTACTCACTGGGCGACTCGAATCTGAGGGAGGTGACTCTCTTCCACCATAATTTTCAACGCGGACGATAGGACTGGTGAGATGCGTGCGGGCCTGTTGGTTGGAGAGAGACCTGTTGCTCGGGCTGTTTGTTAAAGCAGGACTGTGTTGCTGTTGTTGCTGCTTGCTCGGAGTGAACTGTTGCGTATGATTCATACGATTGGGAGGCGTGGAAGAAGGTTGATATTCATTACTCATGTATTGAACACCTGATATATGGGCATTCCTTGAAAGTTCATCGGTCACAATGGGACTGGAGTTAGCGGTTGGGGATGGTGACACCAACTGCGCATTGCTCGGTAGCGTAGGTGGCTGTGCATTAAATGTAGCCAGCGAGGTCCCAGTCAATATAGACATGTCTACTGGCTCTCCAGTGTATTGATGGTATGTGTTTGGGTTTTCGGCGAAGTTTAGCTGAGTGGAAAAATCATCAAGGAATTGGCCGTTGAAACTCGGACTCGCATAATTATTACTGATATTGTAGCTCGAATCGCTCATATATCCAGGTTCTGGGCTAAGATGGTCCACAGAGTGCGAGGGTGACAGACTCACTCCATTCCGGCTATGGGACCCAGGCGAAAGGTTGTAATTTTGCAATTGCATCTGAGAGTTTGCCGGGGGGAATGTGTGATTATTGATTTCGGGATGTAATGAAGAATCAAAAGAGGAGTTGGTGTTGGGTGTAAAGGCATGTTCTTGGCCATTAGAGTTGACTAATGGTCCGTAATTGAGCATGGAATCTGGTTCCGCGGAGAATGTGAATTGGCCTTGATTGCTAGGGAGTAGGAAGTTATCAGAGGGCATTTGCATCATGTTGTTACTTGATGCATCTTCGAGATAGGGTTGCTTGCGCTGTTGGCCATTGAAAGGCTGCTGGTGAGTATCGATGGACTGCATCGTGATAGATAATACAGGACCCGAAAGGCAGATTCGGGTGCGGGCCAGAGAGGTAGGAACGGATGGACGAGCGGTGCAGAGGATCCGCGTCGATCACTCTTCCCACGGAAAGAGTTGAAGGTAACGTGACTTGGGCGTTAGGTGCTCAAGGAGCCATGGTGCTGCCGTCTGGCAGCGTGGAAGAAGATCTATGCGGAGAGGTAGGTTGAAGTGGTGGATAATGGCGCTCACGATAGATTCGTGCGTGGCGAAAATCAACGATCAAAAAGCGTGGACCACGGTGAGAGTAGTCGGTGACAAGTAGGTAGGCTGCTCAATGATGAAGGGTCGCAATAGAGGATTCGCCTTGCACAGGGATGCTGGGCAGTGCTCGCTAGGAGCCAAAGATTGCCCCGCGGTGGACCGAGCGGGAGTGGTGAAATGAGAGCCTGTGCCTGTGGAAAGTGGGGAGAAGTCTTGGTCGTGGGCGACGAGGATGGAAGCGCGGGCGGGCGTGTACGGGGGGGGGGGAGGTGGATGTGCTTGTGCGCGTAGGGGCGGTTGTACCAAGCTACCGTGAAGAAGTTTGGAAAGGCGGCGCCGTGGCAGTAGTGATGGTGGTGGACAGCAACGAGGGAGAGATCAAGGCACCGGTCAAGGCTGACTCCTCTTCCCAACACCACCAGCACAGAACGAGAACAGGAGGCTGATGCCAAGAGCGAACGCTGGTTTGCGGGCAAAGTGAAGCAAGCGTTGCACTCGCAGCAAGCCAGCCAGCCAGCGTGAGATGCGACGTGACGTGACGTGAAGGTCGGGAGGCCCTAGCGGTGGAGACAGAGCAGAGCAGAGCAGAGCAGAGCAGAACAGACGCAGCGGTCGAATCGATGACGGGATGGGAAAGCCCGTCTGCCAGTGCCTAACCAACTTTACCACCACGCGACTCGAGGCAGAATCGCAGAATGGCTGCTAAATATGCGACACAGCACAGCCTCAGGCGCTGAAGCGCAAGTAAGGATGATGTGCAGTGGCTATGCACCGACCGGCGATAACGATAGCGATTGTCGATTGTCGAGGGCTTTGATCTGGTGGAGCCGTTGATGTCCGTGGTACTGACGGTGATGATGAAGGGTGAATGTGGCTGCTGGCTTTGCAAGCGGCTCTGAGGTGGAGGGAGGGATGGGCAGGCCGACGGTGAATGGACACAGCTGGGCTGGATGATGACGGCGACGATGATTGGGAGAGAATAGCAGCAGCCAGCTGGGAAATCAGAAAGAGGACACACTACCACATCCATCTACCTAGTAGGTAGGGTATGCAGCTCTGTACAGATACCTAGTTCGTCGAGTTATGTACTGCGCCCGCGTCGTGAACGAACGTGCGCGCTTAACCGGATGCCGAGACGGGTTCTATATAAAGCAAAGGGAAAAGCCAAGCTCTCTCCAGGTGCTTGCAAAGTCCCCGTTGCTGATGGAGAATATGTACATGCATTGGTAGCCCCAGATCATGTCTTTGCACCATCCAGCAGAACCGAGCCCCTTTACGGAACCCATTCGTTGGTGTTTTGCCAGTCAGTCAGTCAGTCAGTCTGTCAGTCGGGGCATCCGATCATCCCGTCTGCCCCCAGCACAGCACAGGACAAGACAGGAACCGACTGGACTGGCCCCAGAAATGGCGGCAGTCGTCCCGAACCCCAAGTCCCTCGCTCGGGCTTGGATTGGCATCTTATTGTTGCATTCTATCTGACAAACATGGGCTGAAACGGGGGCATGGGGTGCATCTTAGCATGACGGCTGCCCATGTATGTAGCGTCCGTCGTCGTCGGCGACTAAGTACGTACGCACGTATGTATGTAGTCATGTTTCTGGAATGGGACTGTCTGAGTCTCCCTATCTGCAGCGGAATCACACCATCCAAAACCCATCATGCTCGGGTAGAGCTTGTTGCTTAGTGGGGGAATGGTGTGGGTGATGAACAATCTGCCATGCGTCGTCTATTCGGACATGCGACAACATTGATTGAATAGGAGGTGGGGCGCTTTAGACACGGCTGCTCCACCTGGCCTTCTTACATAAGCACACAGGTACCCAGGTACCCAGCTATGTAGTATGTACTTGCCTTGCTTTCACTCCTCTCGTATCCTACAGTGCAAACAGCCTCTACCGTTGGGAGCGACGGCACGTCTTCATCTACTGCCTATGCACATCCAGATCCTCTTCCGCCTTCGGTCGACGTCCATCTGACGCGCAGTAACTGGTTTTGTACACTGTGCCCTAGTCCATGTCATGGTAGATTATGCCCGTCCCAAGGTTTCCCGACAGCAGCCATGTACTAGCAGAGTCCGCCGACATGCAGGTACCCGAGGACCTTCGAAACATGGTCCGGCGCGACTCTCCGCGCCCATAGCTGAGCGTGTTTGGTTATTTGCTTAGCACCGCTGGCTGGGACTTGTATGTAGTCATCACACAAGCCTTCTGTGGTTCAACTGGAACCGTGCCCCCGCTATCCATTCGATTATTAAGTGCTGCTAAATACGTGTTTGAGCAGGAGGGGATTAGTAAATACATAGGTATGTAGCATTGTAGGAGCATGAGCGGAGAATGCCAGTTCTGTTTGTTGCTGCTATTGTTGGAGTATTCCATATGTACCGCTGTTTGTATATTCGAAGTCTGGACGCCTCAACATATTAAGAGACAGATACAACGAATGACCATGCCGCCTAACGTTACCCGTTTGCCGTCAACATGTCACGCTGCTCACGATAGCGACTGATCAAGCAGATGTTGAATCAGCTGGGCCGAAAAAAAAAAAGAGAACACTCGAGGTGAGAAGGGGAGCAGAGAAAAAGAATGCATATAAGATGTGGTGAAGTAGTACGTAGATGTATGTACCTAGGTAAGTGAGTATGCAGAAGAAGCACCTGGACCCTGACGTGGTGATGGTCGGACGGAAGGAAACTAGCAAAGCGAGATGATCCAACGACCCCATCCATTCGAACCGCACCATTAAGCTTCTACTCTCACCACGTTTAACCTTCCCCGCCATATACCTGTTCATTTTCCTTTTCACATTTCCCCTACCTCAGTTATTCCTCTTTTTTTTCCCCTCTTCCAACTCTCGTCCGCCTCCCCCTATCCAGCATACATTCGCGTCGTGCACTAGAATTTTATGCGCCTCTGCATAACATCAATCGTGCTTCGCATGTGACAGCATCATCGTCACCAGACCCGCGCCCGCATTCAAGCTTCACAGTTACGCCGCACAACTCAACACCTGCCATTGACCTCTCCACCAACTTCAGCCACCTTTTGAGGCATCGCTCGCTGTTGTTCCAAGCATCTCTAGTACATTAATTCGGTTTTCCTGCTCCGAAGAGCCCCCGTCACTTGGCCTGCTATGGCTGTCGTACCCATCCCGCAACCAGATTCGAGAGAACTTCTCCCTCCACTGCTCGCCTGTCTGGCGACCGCCAACGTATCCAAGCAGCCCCCTCCTGCTCTTCTCCCTCTCTTGTCGCCCATCTTGCGTCAGCGGGTACAATTACTCGCTTCCGATGATTGGTTATCATTACTTTGCTGGGATAAACAGGCAGCTACTCGACTCTCTGAAGTTGTCGCCAATATCAACGTGGAACCACATCCAGCTTCGGGTGAAATCGAAGTAGAAGACCCCGACCAGATTCTCTATCGCCGCTCAGACCCCGAAACTTTACACGCGAGGCTCATACTGGGGGAGTATGGCATCGTACCCGCATACTTGTGGTGTACGGGAGGTGATAATGGGAACCGCTGGGAACTGGCCGAACTGAGGGGAACTGAGGATGCCGACGATGGCACAGAGTGGTTTTCGAGCATAACTGAAGCCAATGAAGCGGGTTTCCGTCGGAAAGCAGTCAAGACCAATGGCGCTGGTAAACACATGACGCTCAATTTACCGGAGCCCTCTCGGAAAGAGGAGGAAGAGGATGACGATGCATACTGGGCTGCATATGACAACACTCCTGGACGGACACCAAACAAGCAATCCCCAGCTCCGCCTACAAATACTCGGGTTCAAGTCGGCCCGACTCAAACTGAACTGGAATATTTTGCAAGATATGCTTCAGAAGTTCAGCCTGCAATGGATCCCCATGACCCAGACGAGGAAGCTACGGCGCCTGGTCAATCCACCCTCACTGGCAATTCTTTCGGGCTGAGTGGACATGTATCATCGAACTTGTCTGGAACTGCCGCGGACGATCGAAGGGATTCGGCTCGTGAGCTCAAGCTGAATAACATTGAATCTGCAAAGGACGAGGATTTTTCGGCACTTAACCATCCTCGTCCATCTTCGTCCGCATCATCCAACTCGATCGAGAAGCTAGAGCGAGAGGCTCAAAATGCCAGTCAAACCGAACTCGCCATCAAGCAACATATAAGCACAGATATGAAGAGTCTGTTCCGCTTAGCCAAAGCTTCAGGAATCGATCGCGAGGAGTTTGAGAGGATCATCAAGAGGGAATTAGAGGTCTTGCCAATGTTAGAGCAGGATGAGTAAGGTCATGCGAGAGCGTGAACCCTCTTCTTTTCCATGCAGCACTGAACGTTCAAGCAAGATTGGCATTGGCTAGATACTGTGGCATGTATCCTGGATCTTCTTTTTGTTTTTATGAAGTGATCGCATCATTTTCTCCTTTCTTTCCTTGTTATTGCATTACACGGTGGCATTCCGTTGGATTCATGAAGCATAAAAATCACTGACTCGATTCGACTATCAATGAGAACCACATCTGATACAAAGCGCTAAGGCTGTTATATCTGTGAAGATAAAGTTACGAAACATATGAATTGCATTTAAAGAATTATATTTCAAACAACATGTTCAGGTTCCACAAGCATGAAATGTGGCGGAAGCTTTTGTGAACGAATCTTCATTCAACTTTAGCATAGACTCAAAGGGTCGAATACGGCCTTGCAATGTATGCTCCTTGTCGTCTTGGTTTAGAAAAGCTGTAGAAGTGGATATCACGAAATGAACATGTCCAATACGCCATTCTCCCAGACCCCTATCGCCACCGCTATGATGGACGCATCTACGGAGTTTGTATGGACCAGCTGCAACAAGCCCATCTTATTTCTTTTTTTTTTGGTGTCACCTCCTTGTGCTCGCTACTCAAGCTTTCCTCCTACGACCACTTCCAGCGGACACCTTCGCGCCACTCGCCTTCAACTGCTCCAAAACATCAATGGCATTGTCGCTAGTGACATTCATAGTTCTTTCCGTCTCACTTCCCCGACCAATCTCCTCTACAACATTACTCGGGTCCGCTGCGCCAATGACGGGCACCTCAGAGGCGAGCCATTGCTGGAAAGGCTTTGCAACGAAGTAGCCGTCCGACGTGAACCATCGAGTCATGGGTGCGCGGATGTGGATTTTCTGTTCAGGGTTCGAACTCGTTGGAGCGGGTGTGAAGAACACATCGACCTCGTAGACGGGAATGTGCTTCTTTGTTGATGATGCAATTCGAACCTGCGCGACAAATATCCCAGCAAGGCAAATCGTTAGTAGCTGCCGCATTACGTCTATCTTCTGCTTTTGAATGATGGGGAAAGATTTACCTTGCCTGTCTTGCCTTCGCCTTCGTACACAGTACCCGCTTCCACAAACCACAACCAATAGCTAAACGCCGAGTTCAAAATGAAGTAGGCAACTACCGCGGGCAGAGTATAGGGCTTGGAAGCCTCCCAGCCGAACTTCCAGTCAAAGTAGAAGAGGGCACCGGCGATAATGACGGCGCTGTACCCGAGAACTAACCGCACATCTGTCTGCCTGTGGATCTGTCTGAACTTGAGAGAGTGGAGGTAATTCGGGAGAGCATCGTCTGTCGTGTTTTTGAGATCTGCGTTGTGTTAGCGGGTGGGAATGATGCAAATGGCGGGACTGGCAAGTACGTACCGGAGAGCGAATGCACCGCGATTTTGTTATTTGCCGACATTTTGAGATAGAAGTGTGAGCAGTATGCTCGACTATGGTCTAACAAACAAAGGATGGCGGACGAAGCTTGCGCCGTTGCAGTGAGAAGCTTTGGGTGGATGGAGGGCAAGGTGTCTACATCTTCTTAGACCAGGCCTCAAGACCCCTGTCATCCAATCCGCCGGAGAGGCTCCGCCGTGGAGGGAGCTTTCGACATCCCCACAACCTCACTTTGTCCACCACGTAATCTCCAGTTCCCATCACCACAACCCGCTCTTCACAGCTAAGATGGTTCAGCCTGTGGTGCAGACCATCCATAGGGATCCAGCCCTATTGTATGTCGCTGCCCTTTTTGTACCTTGCGACTTTGCGCTGACAGTAATGCAGTTGGTGGATCCTACTTCCTATCACCGTGGTTATGGTGCGTCTCTACTCTATCTCTGTACACTGTCTAACTATGGTCGCTAATAAATTATCTAGATTCTGACAGGTATCCTTCGCCACTATGCCATGACACTCCTCCAGACCCCGCCCAAGAAGCAGACTCTCGCGCACATCCGGCAGCAGCGTTCTCTCGTCCGTGGCGTGCAACTCCGCAGCAACGCCAATGTCCTGTCTCCCGCTTCGTTTCAGGCGCGTAAAGCATACATGGTATCTGCCTTCCAGGAGGGCAAGTTTCTGGCTGAGCCTGAGAACAGGGGCAAGCCAAGGCCGAACCCAATGTCGGACCCCGCGGCTATGGAGGGGATGATGGGTATGATGAAGGGAAACATGGCCATGATGGTTCCACAGACCTTGATCATGGGCTGGATTAATGCTTTCTTCTCGGGTTTCGTCATCAGTGCGTTATTTTTCCCCGCGACGGCGTTTTGGCCCCTCCTGCTAACGGTTCCGAAGTGAAACTTCCTTTTCCATTGACGCCTCAGTTCAAGTCTATGCTTCAGTCAGGTGTCGGTACTCGCGACCTAGATGTGAGATGGGTGTCTAGTTTGTCCTGGTACTTCTTGACCCTTTTCGGATTGCAGCCCGTATACAACTTCATTCTTGGGAGTAATAACTGTATGTCCATCCTCAATCACTTTCCAGTGTGATTCTTCTTCTACATCAGGAACTGACATTGCCATCTCCACTAGCTGCAAACCAGGTTACACAACAAATGGCCATGTCCAACCCGGGTGCAGGCATGATGGGTCCGGAGCAGGATCCTGATAAGCTCTTCCTCAACGAGGCGGAGAATCTAGAGGTTCTCGAGCATCGCTGGATTTTGGAAGGAATTGAAGACCGACTCATTGCCAAGATGGCCTCGTGATGTTGCACGATTACCTGGCGAGCATCTCAACTACACCCAGTTGAGCACCGACAAAGAACAAAACGCACCGTTGAGCGTCCACATAAATCGAGCTAGCCATTCGAACACTTGTATTAGTAGCATTTGAAGAAATGTTTCAGTTTCATTGAACGGTAGTGCGTTTGATACATCGCTTTCGAAACGGCTTACGCGAATATGAGGTGCTGGGACGCCAGTACAAAAATTAGATGATTAAGTGAGCCTTCAACGTCTTGCGATTGTATAGGGTTATTCATTTATAAGCAGTCTCGAGGAGAAGTAGCGCCTATTTATGTTGTCCATAAATTTGCTGTGTTGAAGGGACCCATAAAAGCGAATTGATGGTGAAGTAGATGACATGTGTCTATCTCATTCTAGGCAAAATCAAATTATTTTGTACATATAAAGCAATTCTAACGTAACTGATTTGTTGAACATGACTGAAGTTGCTCTCCGCGGATGGCTAATCCTCTTCCCCGAACCTCCCATCAATAACGCCTCCCCATAGATAAGAGCTCCCCCGCACCGTCTCCTGATAAGCAAACATATCTCCGCGCCTCCGTGGAGTTTTCTTACACAAAAAGGGACATCCTCGCTAGCTCCATACCTTGATTGAGATATCATCGCATCAACAAAATGGGCATGTTAAATGACGGTGTTTGTCAACACTTACACCATTGCGTGTTTCTTTGATTCTGAACATATCATTGTTGGGTTTCGCCTACAACCATCTACACTCACATTTTCCCCACGCGCCTGAAGCTTCTCGAAATCTGGATTCCATTGGCAAAGCTAGATTTGCGTCAATATTTCTTGTGCTCAAAATTGAGTTCTAAATCTTTCAGTCCTTCCTTCCATTTTCCAAAAGGAAGGTGGACACTTCGAGAGCGGTTTGACTTTGAGCGAAGAAAGACAACACCTTAAAAAGCCACCACGAATTGATTCAAAGGGAAGTTTCTGGAAGACGGAGAATAATGGCTTCAACTGCGGGCTCCAGTTCGTTCTCGCCGTATAGGGTTGACGGGAAATTGGTGAGTTGGCTTCGGAGGGAGACCTCATTTCTTATACGAGACGAACGAGAATCTTGGCTTAAGAACGATGGTATTTGATTTATAAATTGGGGTATTATTTCTCGCCGTCTGACCTTGTGCACAATGTCATAGTATGGATTTGTCTGCGTGGTGACGGGAGCATCACAGCCGGTTGGCAAGGCCGTTGTATCTGAACTCGCTGGTATGTTTTTTAGTCTATCTATCCTTCCTCTTTGTCCATTGTTCGAGATAAGTCAGTTTGGTTTTCAAGGGAGAAGAAAAAGGAGAGGGATGTTTCCAATCCAATATTCTATTCCCTTCTTCCATTTTCCTTCGATACGATCAATAACTAACGGTTCGATACGAGTCCAGCACACGGCGCAGCTTGTATATACGCGTGCACGTCATCCCCAACCGACGAACCTATCGATGACCTAACAGAGTCCCTCAAAACCGAGCACCCAAACACAAAAGTGATTCCCTATCCATACAACACGACATCAGAAGAGGCAACGCTGGTGCTCATTGATGACATCCTCAATCAATGGGGTCGACTGGACATCTGGGTATCCTCAACTGGGCTCCTTGGTCCACCGTCCATCACGAGCACGAGCCCCAAGGACTTGTACGCAGCATTCGAGACCAACGCTATGCCTGCCTTCTTTGCGCTCAAGTACGCGCCCGCCGCAATGCAGAAGACAACGCCCAAAGGCAACTACGCAAATGCAGCGCCCAAGGATATGTCGTACGGTTCCATCATCATCGTGTCGAGCGTGGCGGGGACATACGGTGGCTGCTGGGGCCCTGCCTTTACCATGTCGAGCCACGCGGCGCTCGGTGTGGTGCGGTCGGGGGTCGCGGTACTGAAGGGGACAGGAGTGCGCATCAACGCAATTACTGCGGGTCAGATCGATGTTGGGGTTGACCTCAAAGGCGCAGGAATAAAAGAGATGGAGCAGGGCCAGTTCCCACCGAGTAGTTTGCAGAGCGAGGAGGTACAGAAGAGGGCAATTGGGTTAGAGAGGGCAGGGAGGCCTGGTGAAGTAGGAAAAGTGGCGGGATTTTTAGCAAGTGGGTTTTCGTCTTATATAACAGGAGCGGAGATCAGAGTGGATGGAGGAGCGAGTGTTATGAATCCATTGACGGTGCCGGTTTGAGCTGTGTGCAATCTGAGGATGGATTGTGCTCGAGATTTGCGTCGTTAAGATAGCAACTAGGGAACTGTTTGTACACATTTTTCCTCCGTTCTGCAATGATTTTACTATTCAGCGCAGAGCAGTAGGCTAATGCTGCAGCACAACCGGTTTGCCTTCCTCCCACGCGTCTAAGCTTTCTTTGATGTTGATCCAGTACCGGAGTTTCACAGCCTCACTCTTCGCAGTGTCCATATCATCTTTCTCGAAGGCCTCCTCTAAAACCTTGACGCTCTTCTCAACTCTCTCCTCGTTCTTTGTTTTCATTTGCACCAAATCTTCCTCACTTTGGGCTTCCTCAATCTCCTCCCTTGTCTCCAGGACTTCCATCAAAAGATCCGGATCTTCCACTTTCGCCGTCTCGTCCTCAGCCACTTCGATGCCCCGCAGACTCAATAGGTACTGAGCACGTAGCAAAGGATTCTGTAGTGTTTTGTATGCTTCGTTGATACGCGCGCTGAGTGCTTGGGCCTTATTCTTATCTTCTTGGGGGTGGCGATCGGGATGCGCGCGCGCCTGCAGCTGTAAAAACTCTCGTTTCAGAGCGTTAATGTCAACCTTGAACGCGCCATGCGGTGGAGGGCCCGAGGGCAGCGTGGTCGGGAAAAACGAGTAGTGTGACCGGTTTTCCGCTTCTGAGGTGGACTTGTCGCGTCGCTGATATATTGATGGGGGCGTACGACTTGCACAGAAAAGACATGGTTGCGGCCTTTGCCTCTGCGCGCGGAGGAGAGTGGGATGTCCGGATGAGGGATATGCACGCAGCGTTGCAGCGGACGAGCGTATGGGTCGCATGACGAGTGATAAATCTTACTACGTCTTTCAACTATTGAAGGTGACCCACAAAAGTAGATCGGTAAATGGAGAGTTGATGTTCGGTGTTTGTCGCAGCGACGGCAAACCATGAACTTTTTAGCCGCATTGAAGCTCCTAGTCGTATTACGTCATCTCCCAGGGTCCATCGTTAAGGATAACAATGTCAACATTTGAACGGTGAACTTATCCTTCCAAGCCAGGTTATGTTGTATGATACATACAAAATCTATGTTATTTCAGTATAAGCTCAATCGCTACATAAAGCTTCGTTCGATAGCTACATGAAATCATACCTTGACTGTGTAAGTGGGATCAAAGTACAAACAGACATTATCATATTGTTCCCCGTGATTGGCTATGAAGCTTGTATCTAACCTCTATACATGACCAGATAATGTTCCTGTGATGACATGAAGAATGCACTCTGATGCATTACATTTACTCCACCTTGGCACTAACCTTGCCGCCGTTATCGTCTCTAGTCATCCCGTGCCTCTTTCTCCTGCGCCTTCTTTAGCTCCTCTCTAGGCGGCAATACGTCAGGCCCAAAGCTCAGCGGCAACAACTCGCCCATTGTTCTCACAATAAACTTTCCTTCCTTGCTGAACATGAATATGGGAACGTCCAAGCCCAGAAACTCGCGCAGAAACTGTCGGCACATGCCACAGGGCGAGCAAAACTCGTCCATATCGGTAGCTACGGCTACAGCTTTGAAGTCACCAAGCTTATGTCCAGAAACGACAGCTGTGCCCATGGCGACACGCTCCGCACACGTTCCAACAGGATAGGCTGCATTTTCGACGTTGGCACCGGTTATGATGCGCGGGGCGCCGGCAGAGGTGGCAGAGTCATGCAGGAGGAGTGAAGCTCCCACGCGGAAGAGGGAATATGGGCCTAACCCAGATGTCTTGTCAGTCTCTACACGTAGTCTCCGCTCTCGTTCTGTTTTCAGTCTGCCATGATGCTCTTCCGGCTAGCAAGAATAAAAGTGAGGCAGCTTACAGTAGGCTGTCGCCTTTGCGTCAAGGCATTTCTGGCCAATATCTTGCAGCTCTGCAGCTGAGACTCCATGGATCAATCCATCTTTCTCTGGCACAGATTCAGCCGGAACAGGGTTGAAGGTGGAGGTGGTCATGGTGAGGGGAGGGGAGAAGGGAAGGAGGGGTGAGATGGCAGCAGCTCCTAGAGTGAGGGCGGCCGCGGCAAACCGGAGAGCCGCTTGATCGTTTTCGGCAACGAGATGGCCAAACTACTTAGTGTAGCGGCAGATGACGGCATTGCTTAACTGTCACTTACTGCTTGCTTCTTCTCTTGCGCTCTCCGACCCTGAGGCGCCGTGTATCAATGCACACAGTACTCGCCCTCTGGATGACCTCATGAGCCACCGTATGCACGCTTCCCACAATCTGAAAATAGACAGTGATGGGTCGACATCTGCATGCACTCGTCCTACGTTTGTATCCATCAAACGGCAACAGGCAACAGTCAATTTACACACTTTCGAATCGTCACCCAACCTAGCAAGTCAAGCAGCAGCATTTCGTGTCTCTCTTCACTACTCAAGATCCATTCATCTGGGCCCGGACATTTAACGCGCGCATGGAGACCCAAATGACCGACTTTGGGAAGAGAGAAGGGGGGTAGCATCGGGCTCGGAGGAGACAAGGTCGTGCGCCTATACGGTTCAAAAGGAGACGGGGGTCAATGGGTTGGTAGTAAGACAGTGGCAGACCTCCATCCAACCCACCAACCTCCGACCATCTGAGCAGCCGCCGAGCAGCACGGCAGGACGACGCGGTATCAGTCAGACGCCGATGCATGCAGGGGTTGCTGAAATGGTGTCGTCCGCCCATCTCCCCGCTCTCGGGTGGCCCAGTCCACTCTGCTTCACGGGACGCTCCCGCCCATGTTGTGGGTGATTTGCGCCCCGTACGCCTCAAAAGTCTCGGGAGAAGCTGTGGAGTACAATGAGCCGTTGCTACCATCGGGAGTGCCAGGGAGAAGCGAAAAAGCGCATGCAGGCGTTCTCAGAACACCTCATGATATAATGGGGTTTCTTAAATTCTTCATTTGTGGGCGGAGCATCAAGGTCTGGGCAGGCAACTAACGCACCGCCCTGTGATTGTGTGCCTAGCTAGAAGCACCTGTGAACTTGCGCCTCCTCTCGGTCAGTACACAGTGGTCGAGACCAACAAGCCGGCGTGGGTCAATGTTTATCTGGCAAGCTCAGCAACACCTCCTGCTCGCTCCACGACCGTATTTGCATGCAACCACTAGAGTATTGGTTGGATGCGCCTTGCGTGCGATGTGGTGAGGTAGGTGAGCGCGCAAGACGGAATCCATCTTTTGCACTTGACTCTACTGCAACTCGACTGTATGCTGGGACGCAGTCGGCAATCATGGTCGCTATGGCCTTCCTTTCCTGGTCGACCGATCTCTCGCAGTCGAAAATAGGCACTGCAAACACCTTCAAATCTCTCGCTGGCCCCCAGGAACCCCGCCTCGGTGGACCATCAGAGCAGTTTGGGTCGGAGTTGGGCAGCGGACGAACGTGCTCTGGCGGTAGTCGGGGTGGTATCAGGAGGAAGGGATCGCCCTGCATACATACAGGTATGATTATTTGCTTTTTTCTCTTTTCTCCTGGGGCTCCGTCCATCACCCTTATACGAGCGTGCACTGTGCAGGAGCTTAGACGCCCACGTCAACAAAAGTGGTATCCATGCTCCCAAATGTAAGCCACCGGTGAAAACCGACAGGGGGCCCCAGTCTCCAATCTAAGGTCTTTTCGTCCAATCACGAAGGAGCTCACGAGGATGCGGCTCTGCGATGCTCAATCGCCATAAATCAGCACCCAACTTGGGGGCTCCCGTCTTGAAACGCTGCATCTGAGCATGTAGGACTAAACAGACAACTTCTGCCAACATCCTCCTCACACGAATACTTTACTCTGAGTCAGTGTTCCACCGCATTACTCTTATCCTGTCTACATACCACCATTTGTTTCACCTTTTATTACTTGTTCTCTCCCGACTATCTGGAAAGAATTGTTGTACCGCAATCCAATCATTCTCGTTACCAATTTGTTGCCACGGACTCAAGTATGCCTCTACACAAGACAAAACAAATTGTAACCAGGAATATACTGACTCGGTGCTAGAGCCTCAGACCCCAGCTACTTTACAATATCCTTTGTCCAAACAGGGCATCATATCGACCATATTGCCTCCGTTCGTGGTTCAGATTCCAAAATGGCTATGTACCACCAATACAGAGATCTTCCCCAGATCCCATCTTTCTCAGAGGACACTTCAAATGCTCAGTGGAATGATCAGAAAGGCTACGCACAAGCTCAATTCCATACAGAGAGCGACATCCATTACAATGGAGCATACAGTATGACCACCACAAACATGGGAAGTGTGGAGAGCTTTCTCGGTGATCAACCGTTCTTCTCTGGAAGCCTTTTCCACCCTGCGGCTCCTCCAATGATACACAGCCAAAGCCAAAACTACCAGCAGATGGGTTACTGGCCATCTCCACAGTATCGACACGTTTCTCCAGCCAGTACAATGTCAGCCTCCGGAACGTCTAGCTACGCGACTCCGAATGAAGTGCATTCGCCACATCATGTGCATACCTACGGCAGCCCAGATGATTTTACCCACAACCCCTTGCCCTATTCTGGCGGGGAGTATTCGAGTCAAACACACGCGCTTGAGCTGTCATCTATGATGGGAGGAGGCAGTATCAGCTTACGCGATCTTGAATACCAACATGAGCCTGATATGGAACTCATTGTGGAGGAAGTTGAAGCGGTTGGCACGGAAATCCAGTCTACATTCCCGGCAGAACCCACACTTGCACAGGTGGATGAACCCGCCGACACCGAGGCTGGTAGTCCTCTGAGAGAGGCAGAGTCAGTACAGCCTATGACCAAAGAAGAAGAAGAGGAGGAGGAACCGTCTTCGGATACCGAATACGTGCCTAGGAACTCGTATAGGAGCAGACGGTCATCGGGCTCCCACAGTAATTCCAGAAAGCCTGTTCAGCGTCGAAACACACATCACAGCAGAAAGAATTCCTCTCCAAAAACAGGCTCTGGCAGGATCGGCAAGAAACCCAACCGGGCCATCGCCTCAGTACACCCAGGAAAAGTGTCCACAGAATCGCAGATTTCCGGAGACATGCAAAGACATTTCCCATGCCCTCTGTCGCCATACGGCTGCAAATCGACATTTATCTCCAAAAACGAATGGAAGAGACATGTTAGTACACAGCACATCAAACTTGGATTCTGGCGCTGTGACTTGTGCACTCCTACAGTGGATTCTCGTGATGACCGAACGATCTATTTCAATGACTTCAACCGTAAAGATCTTTTCGGTCAGCACCTCCGTCGAATGCACACTGTGACCAACCCATCGAACCGAAATCAAAAGGAACAGCCTGCAGTTACGGAGAACAACATTACAGAACACCAGCAGCGGTGCTTCAAAGTACTCAGAGAAACCCCTCCCAAGTCGCAGTGCCTTTTCTGTTCAGATACCTTCTCTGGGCCGGTATCCTGGGACCTTCGCATGGAGCACATTGGGCGCCACTTGGAGAAGGATCGCAAAACAGGTGACCTTCAGCACACTGATATTGAGTCTTGGATCGCTGATCATGACCTTGAACGGTGGCTTTACGAAGAGGGGATTATCACGCTCAATGAGTTTGATCAGTGGACAATCGGCGACGGACAACCCAGACGACTGATTGTGCCTTCGAACTAGCAGATGACGCGCGATATGATACAGCACATTGATCTCTTTATCAGAACTCTCGAAAAATAGTAAATGCTTTCAAAAAACTGGTTGGGCACTGGAGGATTTACGACTTTCCTTTGTTTCAATACCCGTCTGGCGTTACGGATCATCGCGGGATACGTTCTCTCCATGTACAAGTATTTTCCTTTTTCCTCTTCCCTCATGTTTACGAGTAGACGATTGTACAAAGGCAAACACCATCGCTTGAACGCACATTCTTTGGGGTCCTGGGAAGCATTCTGCTGTACCCGTTCCACATTTCTATTCATAGTTGTAGTCGCAAGTATGAAACATTCCTACGGCCATGCCATCTTGACTGCTCGTTTGTGTTTTGCAGAACTGTGTCTGTGCACAGCCTTGCTATGTGGTGAATGCTACTTTTAGTCTTCGGCTACCACCTCGACGGAAGGATCCCACAGAGGCATCTCCACACCACTCCACCAACACATAGGCCACAGGCTAGCTGCGGCCAGACAATGTACTATTTATCTTGCGATCTACCAATGAATCCCAGATGACGCGCCATCAGCGGCTCGCCCAACATGATGACTTGTGGAGAACAGCGCCACGAATTTTTGTGTGTCTTCGCCAGTTTCATCATCATGATCACCATAGATCTATATCAGGCCACACAGACGTCGGACTCGGATCCAAGAAAGAACAGCACGTAGGCGGAACTCGATGCCTAGAACCCACCTAATCACATGCCGAAAAACTTGGACGACCAGGTCCGTTCAGATGTTGGGCATCCATCCATGGACTCTGACAGAAGGATGCGCTCCTCCGTGGGGTGGTTCGTCGCTTGCGCATCCACAAGTACCTTCTCTGGACACGGTAAGCACTTTATCATGTACCTCTAGACTTCCAGCAGTGTTGCTACGAATTGCAACTATGACCACGCGGGATCAGAATCAGACAATCCCTATACAGTAAGTAAGCACGGGAAGGATTTGGCACGGGACACCAAGAAGCGGACCTTTGACCTACAATCGACTCGCGTACGTTACACATTCGGGGCACCCATCTCCATTTGGAGGGTGAGGAGGCTCCATGTGCTATCCGACACGTAAGATCCAAGTCAATCGTGGAATCCCATCGCCGTGCCGCCCTCGTCTCTCTCGCTTTTGGACCCCAACCAGGGAAAAAGAAGTGGTCGATGATGGAACATTGCGAAAGATGATTGTTCAAAACCCGAGCAGAGCTTTGCACGCACCATGCACGATCCCGTGCATCCAACGGCTCTCTTAATTCTCGACAAAGATAAACCCCGAGTGATGCACGCCGTGGTGTTGCATGCGCCCTGGTTCCGTCTGCTTGGGGGCGATGCACCGCCGTCGGCGGCAATATCGTTGGTATGTTTGTATGGCGTCTGTAGAATCTTTTACGCAGTGGAAATGCTCACCTCCCACCTTCCCCCGGCGCGGTAAATGGGGGCTATCTACTCATTTCCTATCCCTCCATCCATTTCATCGGTCGGGTCCGACTGTTCGGACACAGGATAGTCAGTGCATCGCACGTTCTTCCTGTACCCACATGTCCATCGTTCACTCTTTTCCCTCGACGCCCCGGTTTTCCTTCGCCCCCGCATGGAACAGTGCTTATCCACCTTTCAGAAACGTTGCTCTGATTGTGCTTCCATGGGAGAAAGAAAAGACATGAGAAGAAAAAAGACCCTGGCCCTGGTCCATATAGTCATCCCCTCCCCACATTGGTTAAATTTATCTTCGGTCATGGCAATGTCACTGCACTTCTCGGTAATGGCCTGATGGGCACACACACAGACACGGACATACACAAGATTACATGTTGTGGGGAGCGAAAACGCCACGAAAAGCCTGGGACAGTGGTATGCATACACGGGAACGTCTTGTGGGTAATGTGTTCAGTGTTCTCCAGGACCTTGACTACTGCAGCGGCAACCAGCCAGCCAGCCAGCCAGCCCGTATACAGGCAAGCAAGCAAGCAAGCAAATAAACGAGTGAAGCAAGCACTGCCGCGCGTTGGAACCCATCGGCCTACTAGGAATGGTTTGCGATGTTGGTGTATTGCGGCCCCCCTCCCTCCCGCTGGGATGTCCAACCTACGCACGAATGTACTATGTATGTAGGTAGGTGAAGATATGTGCTAACTGGGATAGTAATCTCCTTGCAGATGGCACACTTGCCAATCATCGACACACACACACTCTCTCTCTCGTCTATTCCCTGTATTCCCCTCATCCTTTTAGTTTGTCTGTCTATATACCGGAAACAGACAAGTGCTCAGTAGATACGAAGGGCGGAGATACCAGGATCTTCGATCATGTATGTAGGTACATCGATATACCTATCTATATGTACCCATGTAGACGCATGCCCCCACCGTTACACGCAATCTGCGATATGCGTGTGACGCCGGCGCCTACTTGTAATGTCTTTGATATGAAACCCGAATCTGTCGTCACACACTAGACGGACAAGACCACGACTGCAAGATGGCAAGCACGTACGGGCATTTGCCCGGAATTCGAAAGATCTCACAAGGGGAAAGCCCCCCCAGCTAGATGCATCTGTTGATTATATCCTAAGCAATGGATATGCATCGATATGCACAGTGAGCAGGACTGGAACCAGGAGGTTGGTTCAACATCCGTACACTCTGCTCTCTCCTTCTCTCCGAGGAGCGAATGGCGATGAAAATGGAAACAAGGCAAACGCTCTTAAAACAAATGTGCTCGTCTCAATAGGCAACAGCTACCATCTATTCTCTTGTCAGCTACTACTTTGCCTACCTACACACCATGCCCTACATCCCGGCGCTTATCCTCAACTGCGCCCTTCTCCTCCGCCCTACTTCGATCTTGGAGACACAGTTCAACAGAAAAAAAAAAAAATGCTTTGCAGCTAATCTATTCAGCTAACACCGAAACCTAAACAGCCCATCACTCCCGATCCGTCTCGCCTACATGATTTCCCCTGCGCGCTCACTTCATCATCCTGCATGCAGACTTTCAGCTTCCCATCCTTGCCCTGAACACATCCTATACGAGCGCATCAAATGTCCATAAAGAACGAAATATAGAAAGTAGGAAAAAGGAGAAAAAAAGAAGAAGGCGAAGCACTGCGCATGCTCGCGTAGACGCAAGGCGGTGCTTACCATGCATCCGCAGACCGGAAGGTTTTTGCGTCCTCGTTCCTACGTGCTTGTCCGAATGCAGCCATGTGCGCATGTAATACCTGCGATGTGTGTGTGTGTAGCTCATGCGTCATGTTGATGCTCGCTGCGCCTTGCAGTCTTGCTTGGGAGGGTGGTGTGCTGGAGTTACTTGCGTTAGATGCGATCGCGTAACAGGCTTGTTTCCAGTTTTTTCTTTCTTGTTCAAGTCGAGCCGATCTATTGTGGCCTGAGGTTTGGGATTGATTGTTCGTCTACGCACGTGTGTTACTGGTGTCGGTGAGCGGGGAGGAGGAGGGGGTGATCTGGTCGCTTCGCCTCATTTTCTTTCGGGTGTGGTTGAAGGTCTGTCTGTACACTTGAAAAGGCGGTGACAAAGAGTGTTGTCGAATAGCCATGCAGCGGATATATCTTGGATTTTTCTTCTTCTCAGCCGGTATGTAGGCAGCAGCGGGCTTGGTAGATTGCCAATCTCTTTTAGAGGGAAACTGACGAAAAGTGACGTGGTTTTGCAATTCACTCTTTCTGCAGGCCGGATGGTCTCAATTGTAAACTTGGCTTCACACCAGCCCCCTGGCTGGGATCTATCATATCGTAGTTTGGGCTGTGATGGTGCGCTGGGTTTTCGAGGACCCCATGTCACTCATGTGATTAGTCCAAAGTGGAGTCCTAGCGGTGGCCCTCTGCAATGCAGACCTTGTCTGTGGAAGATATGCTCTATAGTATCGATGAGTCTATCAACCTCACGCTTGAGTTAGCCGCCATGAATTGTCTCCCCAAAGCGTGAAATCGGGTAAGACTAGAACCCCAAGGCACGGAGGCTGATATGTATCAAGGACATAAGGAGCTAAATTCACAGAATTCATGAACATCAGTGCTTGTAAAGCATCAAGTACAACAAACTATGACTACAGTACAATTGGGATCTGCGTATCCCCATACCACTGACTGTGAAGATGTCCAAAACAGCGGAAGCAAACAGCATCGTTCGTTACAGCAGGTTATATTCTGGTCAAAGGAATAATTCCAAAAGAACACATATGATCAATGATATCTACAATTCCTCCTTATAAACCTCTTCGCTCCCTTGCTGAGATTCTTGCTCCTCTTCTTCCGCCTCATCCTCCGCCTGCTGCTGGTGCTGCTGGTGCTGCTGCAACTTCTTCCTGAGTTCATCTCTCTCCTCCTCCCTACCCATCCCCCTTCCCTTCTCATCACTTTTGTCCTCATTCTTCCCTAATCGCTTCTTTCCACCGTCCTCGTTCTTCGTCTCCTTACTATCCGTCTCTTCATCCTCGGGAATGAAGACGAACGAGAGCCCTCCAGGCGTTTCCACGACATCGACCCTCCACTTTCCGCCACTCGACTTCGCCAAGCCCTGCTCTTTCAAGTCATCCAGTGTAGCTGGGGGAATACCCATTTTCTTGAGGTCAGCGGCGCTCATGCGTCGACCTTCACTATCGAGAACAGTACCTTTGTTGACCGCCTTGCCGCCGCCGACGATAATGGACTTCTCAATCACACGGCCTTCACTGCCCACAAACGCTTGCGCCCCGACTTCTGTGCCGCCGATGATGGGCCCGCGCTTCGTAGAGCCTTCGAGCCCGTCCTTCATCTGGCGGAGGGGGTTGTTTTCGGCTGCGGCGATCAGGCGTTGGGTTTCTTGGGCTTTCTTGAATTCCGCGTTCTCGAGCGTCCATGCTTCGATCTCCGAGTCGCGGAGCACGGCCTTGCAGGATATATGGTTGGCAAGGTTGTCTTGTGGGGGTAAAAATGCGACGTCATTACACAGACGGGGAGTGTAGATTTTCATAAGGTAAGCGCAGGTGCTGACTTCCTTGATCATGGCGATTCGGTCGCCCGCGCTAGGATGGCAGTGGTACTGGGTTCTATATTAGTCTTCATTCAGAGGGACACTGAGTTAGGACCGCTCACCTGGACTTCAATCTTGCGGTCTCTGCCCGTGAGATCACATTCTGTGCCTCCAGATAGATGTTGTACCATGTACGTGCTTGCGCCTTTTGTTTCGAGTCGCGGGAGATCCAGCGCAGTCTCCTCCTTTTTACTAGTCACTTCCTCATCATCGACTTCCTTGCTGCCTTGCTCGTTGCCCAGCGTTTTCCTCCCCTTCTTTTTCTCCGCCTTCTTTTGCTCAGAGTACTCCCCCAAAATGAAACTCTTAACGCTCATGTCTTCCACGGGAGGATAGATTGGTAGATCGCGTCCAGTCTGAAGCTGATGGAATTGTTTGACTTCAGCCATGTAGCAGAAGCTGTAGCTCCACCACCCGCTCACGTAGTATATGCAATTGCCTTGCATTCCTTGTAACAACTCCGACCCGCGGTCCGTAGCACGTACCAGCTCCTTCTCCTTCTCAGCTTTGGCCTCCTCCGCCGATGCGGTATTGTTCTGGGGTTCCTCATCCGGTATGATGGGAATGCTGCATAGATAGCGTTGCCCTTTTACTACAACACGCTCGTATGTATATTCGAACTCTTCACCCGGTGATGAGCTGGAGGACGGCTTGGACGGCTTGGAGAGGTCTTGTGTTTCTTGCGACTTCGTGCTCGTGATACTAGTTCTGTGTGGTGTCGTGTGAGCGAGGAGGGACGTGGCATCATCTTCGGTGACGTATGATTCTGGGAATATAACGTCGAACTATTGATATTCATAAGCATACGATGCAACATATATCGGAAGACTAGGAACTTACTTGGGGGAATGCAAGCAAATCCTCATGCACATTAAAGGCGTGTTGGCTTGCAAGCGCAAGGCGCAAGAAAGCTGGGAGCGCCCAGAAATTCTTCATGTTGCCTGTAGCAAAGCTGAGCCAGGCTCGAATACTGAAGGGCTTGATGTGGGTGGTTGAGGCGTGAGAGTCCTAGAGCGCGGCGACTAAGAGACAGATGTCATTTCCGTGGTTGGACTCGGTCTCGGAAGCTTACCATGGGTCAATTGCCGTTGCCCCAATGCAGTTAGATCGAGAATGACTATCTTTGAACTACAATGAACTATCGAGTCGGAGTTATAGTTCTCCACCAAAAATCATGGGGAAACTACTGCAACCATGCTATGTATTGATTTATCTAATGATCTCAGGCTTCTATATAGAGCCAGGAATGGTTTGGCTGTCGACCAGTATGCACACATTTCCCCCAGCCGCCCTTCTCCTCGCTACTTAAGAAAAACAATTTCCCACATTCCAAACCTATGGTGAGTGGGAATAAATCAAGCCGAATGCCCCTAGGTGTTGGGCAATCAATATTATGACAAAGGAAAAGGAATTTCATTTTAGAATTTGAAGGTCAATATCCCCCCTGCGCCCGCTGATAAATGAAATGAAGAAATGCCAACGACGATATGTTGCAACGGTGAGATATAGCAAAAGTGATCTAAGCTTTGCAGAATGTCTTGAAACTGTTTCCGGGTGATCGTGCATCTTTGCCTTCCCCCAGGTAGAATTCACAAGTGAATTTTAGGCATTGATTGGTTCGAGGATCGTGGAAAATCTGGACAACGTCGCCTGTATGTAGTTCTCCGCAGATGATGCGTTTCTCCCGGTCGCGACGGTGCAAATGTTTGCCATTCACCAAAATGCCACCAGTGGCGTCAGTGATGATACCAACGTGTAAATCACTCAAGGTAGTCCAGTCTTTGCCTTGTTGGGACAGATTTTGCACGCTATCTTTGAGATCAGCATGTGACGACCACCAGAAAATGACAAGCGCGATTTTGGGAATCCGCATATCTTGGTCCTCGTAAACAATTGTGTTGCCCTTGAAGCGACCCCAACTGGTCCTACTCTGATCAATGTTGAGTACGAGATTGGATATGAAGGAGTCGCTGGTGGCAGTGAGCTTTCCTAATCGGCGGGCGGGGGTTTTGAAGTCTGCTCCTGCAGGAATCTCGGGTAGATCGACAGGCAACGTCTGAACAGCGGTATCTTCGTTCGGCTCGCTGCTTTCAGAATATCTTATAGTGTCCTCGATTTCCGTTGTAGCGGCATCAGACTGTTTTTGTGCAGCGACAAAGTCAAAGCCGCTAATCTTAGACGCGTATTCAAGATTATGTGTTGTTCTGTCATAAGGATCATAATATAGCGATGGGGTCCTTGGGAGACTGAACTGCCGGTCCAAAGGAGGCTTTGCTCTCGGAGTGGGCTCACTGTCCTCGCTTGCGTGCTTCGATGGATACTCCAAAGAATTATGCTGAGGAACATCCGGTGTTTTTGGCGTCGCTGGTTCGTTTGGGCTATATGGACCCGACACGGGCGAGTGTGGAGAAGTCATGTTGAATTCGCGTACCATGGTATTGGCCCCAAGAAGACTTCGCCGGTTTGAATCGCTATCGAGGCGTGGCACGGCACGTGCAGCAGGGGGAGTCTGTCTCAGCGCATTACCACCGATGTGGCTGGATGATGGTAGAACTTCTGCAAGTTTTTGGTTGGGCGAATCTTCACGCTCCAATGCCTCTTTGAACTGTGTATTGAGTATATCGGAACTCCCAACGGCGGATTGCCCAATTTCCCCAAACAACCGTTGCCTCTCAGATGCAGGCATGAGTTTCAGACTCTCCTCTGCGTCGAACTCTTGGTTCATGCCTTCGGATAGGAACGAAGAATCTGCGCTGGAATCGCCCAAATCTCTCATCTGATTTCGCGGAAATAATCGGTCCGTACGAAGGCGTTTCGACTTCCTGCTATCGATAAGCCTCTCGAAATCGTCGTCCGAAAGCACGTCCGGCTCTTCGTCAGAGTCGGGATCTAGGACTTCCTCCCCCAGATTAAGCTGTGAGAGCTGTGCCTCGGCTCCATCTGATTCGTCTTCTTCCAGGATAGATTGCAGATCTGGATCTTGCAAGAGTGGAACACTATCATCTTTGAGCCACTCGTGGTTGAGACAGTCTCGTTCAGTCGGGCGCATTCCGGGATCCGTTCTTAACATCTTTGTCAGAACATCGATGCAATCATTCGAAATTTTGCGCTTCTCGAGTGGAGTGGTGTCGAGCTGAGTGTTCATGATGTTGTTGTACATGGCTTCGCCTGTAGAATCGGAAATGCCTCGGAATGGAGGTTCGCCGCACAGAGCGAACCACAAAACACCACCGAAGGACCAGATGTCGACAGACGAGCTGTATGCGTTGTACTGCTTTCCGCGTCGGCGTTTTACCCCTTGATTATGGAAATCCGGGAAGACCTCAGGGGCGCAATACAGAAGGGTACCACAGAACGTCTTCAAAAACGTCTCTTCGTGTTTAATCGCCTTTGAGAGACCAAAATCGGAAAGCTTTACTTCGAAGGGTTCAAGGCTGGCAATTAGAATGTTGTCAGGCTTGATGTCCCTGTGCGTGATTTTGGCGGCATGAAGGTAATTCAGGGCACTCAGTATCTGCCGAGCTAGTGGTCGCGCCATGTCCTCATTGATGGGACCGTATGACCCCAAGTATTTCTGCATGTCGCCATGAGGAGCATACTCCATGGTGATGTAAAGAAAATCACCCTGGTCGTGATATCCGACGAAATCGATGATATTCGGGTGGCGTAACGACTTCATGATCCTCATTTCGTTTTCGATTTTTTTGTCAAGCTGACCGTTCTTCATGAAGCGGCGCTTTTCCAGTTCTTTGGCAGCTAAGAGCTTCCCATCCATCTTTGTAGCGAGTTGATATACAGTTGCGAATGCTCCTTTACCGATTTCACCTATACCTTGTTAGAAAAAGAAGAAGAAGAAGAAGAAGAAGAAGAAGAAGAAGAAGAAGAAGAAGAAGAAGAAGAAGAAGAAGAAGAAGAAGAAGAAGAAGAAGAAGAAGAAGAAGAAGAAGAAGTGGACACGGAGAACTGTGCATACCAATAATGTTGTAGGCATCCCCACCATCCCACCTCATGGTGGCTTGATAGGGTTGCAACGGGAGAACTCGCTTGGTAACATCGGCTGCGCACTCGTTGACGAATATACGTTTCTTTTCCTCGTACATTTTAGCATCTGGGCCTCTCGGTGGAATACGCACAGTGAACCGTATGGTTTCCGCATCATTCGTGTTGGATATGGTGATCATCGTGCCGGCCACAACCATACGGGCAGAGTTGCACCTCGGGTCTTTACCCTTCAGCAAGACATTATCAACAAGGGTGCCATTGGTCGATATATCTGCCAGCATAGTCAGGCCGTTCTCGTTGAAATAGATGCGGAAATGTTGGTTGCTGATGCGTTTCCCAGAGTCTTGCCCCAACACGATATCTGAAGAGTTTGCGTTCCTGCCAAAAACGAAACCGGCCTGCTTGGATTTCAGCAAAGGTGCGCTTGACAAACGCAACGCGAGACCCAGAGGCGAAGTCGGGGATTGGCCGACTCTCTTTCCGTCTTTGTCGACTATGATTGTCTCTTGTTCCTCTATGTTTGGGACATCGCCGACAAAAGAGGTCATAACGTCATCGTAGAAAAGGACATGTTCCGGCCGGTGCATAGCCATGCTCTCCACTATTTTGATGGCAGCCGGAGTCATGGGATGAAGTATCAGTATAACATCCGTGATGTCGTCATCAACAAGTCCAGAGTTGTTTTGACCAAGCCTACGGGGATCTACCATTTTTTGGGTGGCAGGCTGTGTCGGTTCTTGCGAAGCCATATTGAAGAACAAGAGTGTAGTCGAATCACGTTTGGTATATGGATCGACGAAAATATGTTTGGATGGGAAGGGGAGTTGGTCCTGATAAACGAAGGTCGGATTATGGCGAGGACAAGGTATACGATATGGTCTACTGTAGCTTGGGGTGACGCTATCAGGTCAGCATATCCACAAGACGGCTGCCAACGCTTTTTGACTCTGTAGTCGAGCAACTCGGCTCTTCCTTGTCTCCTGGCGCGTGCCCAAAAGTCGCCAGCCTGGCCGGGACGACGCACCCGCCAGGCGTCGAATCGAGGGAGATACAGATATGGATGTTGTTCGATCTGGTTCGATAAGATTTGCCTTGAAGGGCAGGCAACAAGAGTGTATGAGGCGAACAACGGCCTATTCGGTCGATGTAGGGCGGGTTGCGACGATTGGCAATCGGAAGATAAATCGAGTATCGAGGAGTTGGCGGGAATGGTGGAACGACGAGGCAGGTCGAGGCCTCGCAATTGGGGGGTGACGAGGTAGATATATTATTCGTTGCAGGCACAGGTTGTTGCCCGATCAACAACTCTGAACCAGAATTTGTCAGTGATTGGAAGGCAGAAGGCGATTGAGAGGTGAATGGGCGAACTTACGGTGTGATCAGGCTACGAGAGGGTGGGCAATGACCTTTCACCGAGGGGTTGAAGGGGAATCGAGAAAATATGTCGAGTGGTAAAGGGTCGGGAACGAGGGATGGTTGTATGGTTGTGTAAGGTAAGGACTTAAGTAAGTAGGTTTAGGCAGACTCAGGTATTATACATGTGCCTAGGAGGGCATTTAAGTAAGAAAGTCGTTGGGTACGCGCATGTTTACTCGAACACGAGCGCGGGGAGTGACAGGCACGGCAGCGCGCCAACGCGATTCGCTCCCCACCAGCCAGCCAGGCAACCGCGAGGACGTGCGTTGATTCACTCCAGGTGAACCGAGACTCTTGTAACATCCAACCCCCCCAACCTACTCCAGACGCAAATCCAGGAGATGCAACACACTGCTCTTTTATACAGGCAGCTATGGGCAGGTAAACAGATAAATAACGATGTCTCACCGTGGTGGTTCCCACGGTGTGGTAAGACATGATCTCATAACCAGACACCCCTGCATATTTCCGAACCATCGCGAGCCTCGGTTCGCCTCCGCCGACTCCAGCTCTTCTCCACCTTTGTAAACGTTTCCAGCCGGACATTGGAGGCACGGACGACCCTGCCAATCCAGCTAGCTACACCATAATCTATATATTGTCATTCATCACCAGCCGCTGGCTACATAGCTTCCCCTCTCCCTTAGTCCAATCCCTTGTCCATCAAACTTTCACCATCCTACCTACACCATCAGCAGCACACCATGGCATCCTATACCTCCGTAGTCCTGGCTCAAAGGCCAAAAGATAAGATTGTTCCTGGCACCACCTTTGCGACCAAGCAGCAGCCCATCCCTGATGCATCCACCCTTCAAGATGGCCAAGTTCTTTTTCAAGCTCTCTATCTCAGCTTAGACCCGGCCATGCGTGGCTGGCTCAACGATGTACGATCCTACGTTCCACCCGTCCAGATCGGCGAAACCATGCGAGGCGTCGCAATTGGCGTGGTCAAGGCCTCCAAATCATCAAAGTTTCCCGCCGGTTCCTACGCAAGCGCCTCATCCGGGTGGGCCGAGTACGCCGTTCTCCCCGAAAAGAGCTTGGAATCACTCGAGTTACCTCCGGGTGCCGTTCTGACGGATGCGCTCGGTGTGCTGGGTATGACAGGCTTGACTGCCTACTTCGGAATCACCGAGGTGGCCAACGTGAAGAAGGGCGATTTTGTTGTTGTTTCCGGTGCCGCAGGTGCTACTGGCAGTGTCGTTGGGCAAATTGCTAAGCTCATGGGAGCCAGAGTACTTGGAATCGCGGGAGGCGACGACAAAGTAAAGTGGTTGAAAGAAGAGCTGGGCTTCGATGCTGCGTTGAACTATAAGAGCAAGAATTTTGTCAAGGAGTTCCGTAGTGCAACGAAAGATCTCATCGATGTCTACTTCGACAATGGTAGGTTCGAGGCGATCGTAGTTTGCGTGGAGATTTTGTGCTGACCGTGACAGTTGGTGGAGAAATTTTAGATCTTGCTCTGACAAGGGCGAAGCCTTTTGCGCGGTTTGTTATGTGCGGTGCAATCTCGCAATATAACAGCAACAAATCGCAAATCCAGGGCCTCAAGGTGAGCGTTGTTTATTGGAATATTTCCCACATCCAGCTAATAGAATTCAGAACTACACCATGATCATCTCCATGCGAATCCGGATGCAAGGCTTCATCGTCTTCGACTACCAAAAGCAATACTCAAAAGCTAGACAAGAGCTCGCCCAATGGCTATCTGAGGGTAAACTCAAACGCAAAGAACACATTGTACAGGGTGGCCTAGGCAAGGCAGAACAAGCTCTGGTTGACTTGTTTAATGGAGCCAACACTGGTAAGTCTTCTCATGTCTGTTGCTCTGTATGGTAGCACTAACATGAACAGGCAAACTCCTCGTTGAGGTGGCGAAGCCCAAGGATAACCAATCCAAGCTGTAGTCTTTGGCTTGTGTATACGTATATGTAATCATGAACATAAATCATTTTTCCGATTTACAGGGTATTAGACCACTATATATTGCCAGACCTCACGATTGCCATAATTTAAGCTCTCCACAGAATATTAGATTGAAGGAACTAACTGGTCCTTGCCGACCGAAGACACTTTGGCTGATACAGTATGATTTCTATCGCGCGTTGATATGAGACCATTGCGACCGATGAGATCTGGCACAACACAGTACAAGGAAGGAACGCGATAAATCGCTCAGTTGAGGTTATCAAAAAAAAAATCAAATTGAAGTTGTCTTTGGCATGGCAGTCTTACGCCATCTTCCAGCAACCATTCTAGACATCACACTACGTATGGTTCTATAGTGGGGAACCGGAAACAATATTGCTTGCGGATTGTCAGACCATTCATGTGACGCACGCCTCCACTCGTATATTCATGTATACGATACCTTTCACCGTAACCATGTAAGGACAGGATAGGTATTCAAAATGTCAAGGTGGTAAGAATATACAGGAATAGCTTAGCGAATTATGCGATGACTAACAAATTAGCGTCAAGCACTGCACGATAACATGGCTCTTTTGAATCCCACACTCACAAGAGAAGCTACGTTAACCGTGGAAATCACCACAAACAAATATCTACCGTACGCATGCTCAGCCGATTATAGCTGCGGGAAATCTCCGGAACATCGAATAAACTCTGAACAGATATGGAGAGCTGAAGTAATTGATGCCTCCTGAAAGAATACTAGACAGGGGACGCGCATCCAAAGCCTGCTCCGCCTGTCGCAAGCAAAAGACAAGATGCTATGATGGAGTTTCTGGAAAATCTTGTCTTCGATGTGAGAGGCTTGGCAATGAGTGTTCGCTCATTACGGAGGTCCGGATGCAATGGACCAGTAATGCGGGTACAGATGAAACTCATAATGATCATGAAAGGTAAACTCTCTGCTTACAGGCAAACTCGCTTTAGGGATGCATTGTGACCGTCATCAACAGAATAGAACGACTCGAACAACTGGTTGCCACATTCGCGAGGCGATTAGACGATGTTGAATCTATCCTACCCCCAAAGGCACGGTATCAAGATCGAGCAGACGGCGGTAGCCAAGTGCAGTATGACCGCGAAACGGAAGCATTCAGTGCACCACTGTTTGTGCTTCGAGATGCGGCAACTCAATCCGGATTGCGAGTAGCGGACGACACGACAGCAGCCACTCCTGCTCGGGCCCAATCCGACGATATCATCCTACAAGGCTTACTTAGCGAAGAAGAAGCAACATTTTTGTTAAATCTATTTCGCGAAAGTTACGGCCGTTGGGTTGCATTCGACTCCTCTATGCCAATCCAGCACTTACTGCAAGACGCTCGCAAGTCGCCAATCTTGTTAGTCGCATGTTGTTTGATCGCAGTGCGTAACACGTCAGCCACCCAAGCAGCACGTCTCGCCCCAGGATTATGTGCGCATGTAAAGAAGTTGCTATCTCAAGCGATGCTTAGTGTACCACAGCCCATTGACTTTTTCCAGTCAGTGCTAGTACTCAGTCTATGGTCAACCACTGTCGGGAAGATACCACTCGGCATCGATGGTTGGCTTCTTAGCGGGTTCGCTCTTCAGCATAGTGTCAGTGTTTCCACTACAATGCAAATTCACGAAGGAGGTGTATTGCTGCAGTCAAGTTTCTTGGGTCGATTTTCGCTGACCATTTTCTTGTGCCTATAGATGGCAAGCAGCTTGTTCGTTTCATCTAGTCAAGAACTTCGAAACGGTCTAGAGAAAACAGAGCTGGACCACTTGTGCATCTGGAATCATATTTGTCTTGCCCATCTTCAGTAAGTGAAGCCGATTCGACTTCCTGGGGCGCATACTGATGGCCAAAGTTACTGTGTCGGGACACACCGAAGATCCGTCCTCACTCAAGACGATGTGAGTAGGTGTCGGTTGATACTAAGCGCGGACCATGCTACGAATTTTGAGTCCAGAATGGTCGCAGAGGTCCATCTATATTGGATAATTTACCAAAATTGTAACACATGGATCGATTTACCCAAGGCCCAGGCTGCATTGAATTCCTGGAAAATGGAGTGGGGATTTCTTCTAGGTAATTCTACACCTGCCTTCCATCCTGCGTTGCCCACTAATTTATGTATCTACTCAGACCAACCGGATGCCCAATTCATTCAGATGGGTTTCTGGTTCGCGCAACTTCTTTTCCACGACCGCGCGCTCAGAACCCAACCCACCCTTTCGTCCCCCCTCTTCTCAGAAATGATCCGGTTATCAACATCCATCATGAAATGTGCAATTGAATCTAGCGATCATCAAACACCCTATCTCACCGACCACATCTTCCACATGATCAGCTTCGCTGCTGTTACGCTCTGTCGCCTCCTCCACAAAAACGAAGAACAACTCTCTTCCACACATAGCATTCAGGCTCTTGACAATGAAGTGATAGCTGTGGTGGTGTGGCTTCATGGCGTGGGCCTTCCGTGCCATGTGGCGCATACCATGGGCGATGTCGTGCTAGCCATTCACAGCAGATTACGACCGGAGTTCAATATCGAGACGAGGAATCAAATGGTAGGTGGGGTGGATGAAGGGGTCCAAGAGGATTTTGCGCTGTTGTTTCCAGAGTTTTATGGGCTGGCTGCTTGGGATGTGATTAACGGTTCTATGCTGCCTACCTTCTGAGTATGAAGTTAGTTGTGCTCAAACTTGATGTTTCTATGCAGCAGTTGATAATAACCGTAGGTTTCTGATTGAAAAGAGAGAGAGAGAGGGCATGCAGTAGTGGAGGTTTTCTCTGTTTCAAACGAGAACAGATAAATCGGAAGGGCTGCCTATAACACCAAACCCGTATACAGCTCGCTCCTCATAGCTTAGCCCCGCATCCCCATACTGCACCTCGATCCTAATCTAATTATGATGACACGAAATAAGAGAAAAATCCCAAGCTGGTAAAAGAATAGCGAATGCTTACCTCTCTATTCCATTTTATAGGATCCATTGAATCCTTCAGTGTCGCGTTACGGCATTATTGGTATCTTAGAGTGACGCGCCAGTTAATACATTTCTCGAAAAATCGATCAGTTCATGCACATAACTAGTATGTTTTACACAAAGTACATTTGCATCGGGTATCAAGTCGCATGCTGAGCCACCACGCGGTGCAACCCCACAACACATAAAACACATTCGCTCGTAGCATACCCACTTCGGAACTCCAACTCTAACTACGGGTTGGATTTTGTGGAGGACGAGGCTGAAAAGCTGTACCGCCACGTCATTATTTTCCGTCTCTCTAGGGCGTTTGAGCGGCAAGCGGCTCCTGTAGGATCCAGGACGTAGCTCTCTCGGGCTTTGAGAGGCTGCCACATAGATGGTTGGGGAAACGGGGATGCTGATACATTCCTCCCCGGATTTTCGTTTAGTGGCTAGGGGAGTCTGCGAGCTGATATCCATAATTGGATTTTTACCGGTTTTGGTGGATGAGGGATGGGGGATGGGGGCGGAAAATTGGAGTGATGGAATGGGTGTTGATCACTTCTCGGCTACCTTAAGCAACTTAATGTAGTGATATTTTGATGCTTAAATCAGGCCCCGTGATTTATTGACGCTCGAACAGAGTTTTATTCTTACAGCTCCCTATAATCTTGCGCCATTCATTCTCTGAAAGCCGGCAACTGCGATCAAGTTCAGGGTTTGACAAGATTGTCAGTGAGATGAGCGCTCAAGATCGGAGTACCCTGGGGCAGTGTTTTCACTATTGTACATCGACATTGCCTCACGTAGGATCAGGCTGATAGAGATCTGCTTCATGATTATTGAAAGTCCGAACACTGCCAACTTTTCTATCGAATTCGAAGTCAGATATTGTTTGATTGATCCTGAACATTTGGTTTATCGGAAGATCTTGACACAAAAACTTGATTCGGGATCCATACGTTCATCATCAAATTCGAACACCAACATAATCCTTCTGCGCGATGGAACATCCGTAAATCAATGCCAGTTCCAGTGGTAGTGTAGACCATCACTCCGTCATGATGAATTTTGGGTCTAACAATAACAATTCGACAAGGCACACTTAGACAGAAGTATGTACATTCGTTCCTCTCAGCACATCTATTTAAGGGGGGCTCCTTGCCCTCTTTTCTTACAACTCACAACGTCCTCCATCAACAAATTCAACAAAACCACACGCAGCACAAACCTCTCAAACTAGATCTTTTTTCTACACATTTCAAACCCGTCATCATGCAGTTCACCACCGCAATCTTTGCTACCCTCTTCGCCGCCACCATGGCTGCCCCAGCTCCCGCCGAGAACAATGCGATAGCCGATCACTCCGCCTTCGTACGCCGCCGTATGTACTCTTCACGAATAATAACAACGTTACAAAACCCTCTCGCTAACGTTACCATAGTCGCCGCTATCAGTGAGGCCCCATCAGCGACAATCAACAAGCGCTGCGACCACAAGAAGTTCAAAGAATGCGCCGAGCCATGCAGGTAGGTATCGCATGCCATCCAAGCTGCATATAGAGCTGCGCCCTGTCTATACGTCAGCCGCATGCAAACGTGAAAGGATCCTCACTAACTAGGAGCAGTGCTTTTACCTACAACCCGGGCGGTGGCATCTCCCAGGCGCTCTGCATTCAGTCCTGCAACAACATTAGCGGAGGTGACTGCTAGATCTTAGCTCATTGGCTCCTCTTCCACTAAAGCGACTTTCTCCACGATTTATGGATGAGATATTCGGGGGGTACGTCACTGTGTGACAGGACCAGGTAAAAGGATTCGTAACGATCTTCTTGTTTGTGGCTCAAGTCTTTGGGCCCGAGGGCTTGTAGCCATGTCCACTCGCTTTTTCCATCATTCTTGTATCTAGGTAGAAGTCAGCTTTTTTTCTTATATGATATTGTACATTTGGTGAGGTCTGACAATCCGCTGTTTAAACATGACTGTTGTTGAAATACTCGAGAACCTTGTTGGAATCGTTTCCGCTGAATAGTGGAAAGCCTCAAGTGTTTCTGTATTGAAGTGCCAATTCCATGGGAGTGGTCTTGAATGTTCGTAATTAATTCTCTCAGTTCCGTTAAGTTGATTCTTTTAGATCTTCATGCAAAATCTATGAGTGATAAGTATATTGTACGATGTTAGTCTGTGGTCACTCAAACTCCAACTCGGAATTTGTTAGTTTGTGGTAATTGACTATGTATGATCAGTCAAACCATAGCATAAGTTTAGGTATCATAATCCAGAAGAACGACAGGCTATGAAAGACACTGCAGAATATTCCATACCCTTTCACCAATGTGCATAAATTTTCACTTCTGTACAAGACCAAGTGCCCTTGCTGGGGATGAAATAAGAATGACGTCGTGGTACCTGGGACCCGATTGGTTCAACAAGCGAGTCAGACCCCTGATGCAATTCATCGATGACAGCTGCATCTTCAGTGCACCGTTATTTACATCTCCATGCCATTGCCATTCATTCTTTGTCTTTGAGCTCTTGTAGATTATCGACATAAAGTGGTCAAATCTACGTGTTGAGATCTTTGATCCAGATTGCCTTGTCATAATGGCACACGATGAACGCAGCCCACTGCTCGAAACACATTGGAGTAGCGAGGATACGAGACCTGTGAGTGTAGACAAAACGATTTGAACGAGAGCCTTACAACGCTGATATCAACCCAAGTTTCTCAACCTTTCGGACCACCCAGAGGAAGACCCTCGAGCATGGTCTCGACCTAGAAAACTCGCAAATGTAGGAGTTATCGCCACCATGTCTAGTATATCTTCAATACACACATGATCACATCGCATTTGCTCACGTTTCCCCAGTCGTCAGCCCTCTGGCTTCATCCATGTTCACTCCCGGGATCGCCCAGATTGCCGAATCACTCCACACAACCACCACTTTAGTTATCGGCACCACCACCGGTTTCGTCGTCATGCTGGGAATCGGTCCATTAATACTCGCACCTCTCTCGGAAACTTTCGGCCGCCGTAAAATATATCTCACGTGCTTCTCCATCTTCACTCTTCTCCAGATACCGACCGCGCTAGCGCCCAACATTGCTTTCCTGATCGTTGTGCGAAGCATATCTGGGTTCTTCGGTAGTGTAGGAATCGCAAATGGAGGCGGGACGATCAGTGACATGTTCATTCCTTCGGAGCGTGCAGGCGTCTTCGGCTGGTACCTTCTTGGCCCATTACTCGGCCCTACACTTGGACCTTTGTTCGGCGGTATTATTGTCCAAAGACTAGGATGGAGATGGGTGTTTTGGATCATGACCATTGTGTGCTTTGTCAATACGTTAGCCGGGTATTTCTTTCTGAGAGAGACATACGCGCCAGTGATACTCTCAAATCTGAAGACACGCTATGAGCAAAGCAATCGCGACACGGATGCTACCGACTACCAATTCAAGGGACAGGATACAAGGCCACTCAAACAAAAGTTAATGAGCAGTTTGGCGAGACCTCCCAAGATTTTTGCGCAACCAATTGTAGCGACTATGGCGGTCTACCAGGCATTGCTTTTTGGCACGACATATTCCATCTACACCAACATGCAGGATATCTATCAAGGAAAATACGGATTCACCACCGAACAAGTCGGGCTGCTTTATCTCGGACCCGGGCTAGGATTTCTCTTTGCTGTCTGGTTCCTTGTACCTCGAATCGACGATGTGTATAAAAGGTTAACAGCAAAGCATCACGAGAAACCGTTGCCTGAGTATCGACTCCCATTGGCAAATATCGGCGCAGTATTTGTCCCTGTATCTCTTTTCTTGTTCGCCTGGGCTGTGGAATACCATATTCATTGGTTCGCGACAATCGTGCCAACGTTTTTCTACGGGATTGGTCAAGTCATGATCATCAACTGCACGCAAAATTATTATATCGAAAGTTTTGAGGCATATGCAGCATCGGCGATTGCAGCTGGAACAGTCTTTAGATCGTTAGTTGGTGGCATAGTGCCACTTCTAGCTCCTGGCCTTTTTGTCAAGTTAGGCTATGGTTGTGGAATCTCTGTATTCGGATTTGTAGGCTTACTGCTCGCTCCTGCACCTGTGTTATTCTACGTGTCCGGAGAGAGGATTAGGGAGAGGTATGTGGTCAAGCTATAAGCACATTTATCGAATCAAATAAAATTGTTGTTGTTGTACGCCAATCGGGAGGAAATGGAACTCGAAATTCCTAATAATATGTTTGCTATTTCCAAAAATCGTTGTGTTTAGATTGGTTAGCAACTTCCTGTCACCTGATACTCAGTTCCCCTTTGACATAATTACCTTATGGTGTTTAGCTGAGTTTAAAACAGGCTATTGGTTGCTCTTAATAGTTCGACACACTGTTGAACAACCTTTTAAAGTGCCTTCCTTGGGCTGTAAACATCGATTTGAATACTGACAGAGCGTTGAAAGCTAATTTTGGAGTGGGCTAAACCCTATAATGTAGATAAAAGTATGTAGGCAGTACTTTATTTTGTTCTACTCGAAGTTGACATTTTGTTGTGAAGAAGTTTCAATGCCGCAAAACTACCAAATGCGTTCTGCCCTACTCTAGATCCGCCGCTTGATCCTTAGGCCTGGCACACATCCTTCCCAGCATCTGCCTTTACTACATCGCTGGCCTTCTCACTAATCATGAAGGTGCTTACGACGGGGAAAACGCCAGGGGTCTTTGGAAAAATACTGGCGTCTACCACTCGTAACCCCTTCACGCCTCTGACTCTGAACTTCCCATCCAAGACCGCCGCAGGATCGCCGTCCTTCCCAATTGCAGCCGTGGACGTAGGATGATGCCCGAATGTCTGACCCGTGATCCAATCTTCATCCGCCTGCCCACAATAGCCCTCAGCATCTGGCCCACTGGGGCAGGGAGGCTCTTTCGCCGCGACGCTCACACCTTTGGCGTTTGCGTACATCTTCCGGGCCCAAGCAATTGTGTCTTTCATTGCGCCCATATCGATGTCCTTTCCTTCCTCGTACAGCATGAAGTTGATCTCTGGCGTGTCCTGCGGATTGGATGACAAAAGCTTGACGTAGCCTTTCGTATTCTGAGGCTTGCCTTTGACCATGCTGATACCGTAGGTGCCAGGACCATCTTGTGGAAGCGCCGTGTTGGTTTGGTTTGATGGCCAGAAACCGCGGAAGGCAAAGCCGGCACCTTGCATTACGAACATGTCGCGTTCACCGTCTGGGGAGTGCTTCGTTTTCATCATAATGATGGGCTGCGTGAATGGGCCGACGGTCACGTTGAATTGTCCAATGATGGGCATTTCTTGGTTATCTTGCATGTTGCTTCCAACACCTGGGGAGTTAGCGAGGACCGAGATGTTAAATTGCGAGAGTTGCTCTTTTGGACCGATGCCGCTCAGCATGAGCAATTGGGGTGTGTTGAAGGTTCCTCCGGATATGATGACTTCTTTGCGCGCGATTGCAGTCTTGAGGGTTCCATTGCTAGAGCTTGTGTATCTTGCATCAGCTTTATATAAGCTCTTGCCTTGTAGGTACTCAATTCCGTTCGCGCGTGGCTCGCCTCCACAGGCCGTCTTATTGAAAAGCACTCTCGTGGCTAAACTATCCGTGCTCAGCGTCAGTGGGAATTTTCCCGCCAAAGTGTCCTGGATGTAATCGCGAGAGCTGTAGCGATCTCCGTTTGCTTTTTGGTGAAAGGGTAAGCCGAAGATTCCAGTTGTCCAGTCCCGCTTAGGATCAAGGAAATTGGCATCTGATTCCATTCGATCCACGATCTCGCTTTCGGCCGTAGGAACAGAAAAGTTTTCGGCAACGGCTTGTATGACACCAAGAACGGGCTGGGTTAGAGACTCGGTTTTTTTCAGGTTGGTTTCAAAATAGCCATCAAAGCCATGACCTGCAGTGCCGTTGGGAAGATAATGGGTTTTTTCGATACGCTCAAAAATCTTGCGCATGTTATCCGCACTATCAATGTCAGTCTCTGTGCGTTCCCTGCCCTAGAGATGAGCCTACCTCCAAGATGCATCTCCCGTGAGATTCTGGATATAGTTCCAATCACTGTCTGGAGGAAGCCATCTGATCGATGTCAGCGTGGTTTTCCGCATCTTGCGGTCTTGTGTTACGCACGTGCACATGGCGTTGATCATACTCGACCCGCCGACAGATGAGCCTCTGGGATAGTACACGCCTAGGAATTCACTGCCCGCAGGAGGCGTACTATTCCCAGCACCTACCCAATACCGCCCCTCCTTGGTTTTCCACGTAAGGTGGTTGTTCATCATGTTCTTCTTCTCGTCCTCATAATGCTTGACAAAGAAATCCCACGTGATCTGCGGGGGGTACTGAGCGGAATCTCCCTGCGTCGATTGGTCTCCAGCTTCCAGGAGGAGGACAGAATAGTTTGCGCGCGCCAAATTGGACGCCAGCGGTCCTCCTCCTGGTCCAGATCCAACCACAATGTAGTCGTATGTCTCTTGGGATACTGAGTGTGAGACATAGGAAAGGCTGGCCAGCAGGGCCAGATTGCGAGAAAAAATCATTTTGCGCGAACCCAAGAAATAGCCACTGGAGATGTTGTGAGAGGCGCCAATGAGTCTTTATAAACACAAAGTGGAGCTGATGTACATGTAAAGTACGTCTGCGATACATTAAGTAATAGATTGGCATGTGTTCTCACATGTATCGCAATTGCCGGGACGGACAGCATTTCTAGATTATTTCAGAATTGATCGCTATTCAGTCTCTAATTAACTGTTCGTGAGTGGTCAAACCAAGCAGATATACAGGGAAAGACATGCGAAACATATATGCGATTGGCTGGGCTCGAGAGAAATCTATCGCATTCTCCGTGCAGCAAGACTCTTTGATTTAGTGGACTGCAGGATTCGTAATGTAGGATCCACGCCTTAGCTATACACATTATCAGTTAAACAGCCCGGCTCGGTGTGATACCTGCGATGTGCGCTGTTGCATACTCTGCACCTCATTCGTCGTGTGTGAATTGGCATGCACGACTGTTCGCTTGGTAATATCGGAATTAATTGGGGATCAGAGAAGTGATTGGTGAGAACTGTTGTGGAATGAGGGGGAGAGTTCTTATCCTTGTACTCGCTTGGGAGATTGGCTGTGGGGCTTCGAATCTCCTATCTAACAGTTGGAACATTTGATATATGTGGAGAAGGGAGGGGAATTGATGCCGCTATCAATTATTTAATAATTCAAAGCTCTCCTTATTCAACTTTCTTAACCTCAAAGTGCCTCGCTCACTTTGTACAATTTTTAACCCGCGAGTTGCATACGTCTCGGACAAGGGAAGCACACAATAGTCCTCAGGTGTACCACAAGCGATGAAAACCCCCAAAATTAATCTTGCGCGATCGGCACGTGAAGATTGATGTTGATGTAGAGCGTAGAGGGGATATATCATTTTCGTGTTGGTTTAATCTGCTATCCAAGAAGATTTTGAAAGGGTAAGAATGCAGTACGGGATTGACAATGATAACGCTTGGGGATATCGGGCTCTGCTTCTAGAGACGATGGTTTATAGGCCGGCAAGGGGGTAGGTAGAGCGTCACTGAACGTGAGAGGAAAATGTATCAATCGTTTTTTAGTGGGATAAGTTCAGAGCTATGACAGAAATAATTTGTGTTATTCATCTAGTGAATTTTCATAGCTGAAAAAGTACATACATCTTAAATCATCTTCAAGTATGACGCCGACTGCTTGTACTGGAACATCGCCGCCTGGCCCCGCTTACGCGTGGCAGTCGTGTTCTTAGGAGGCAAGCTGTCGAAACTGAGAGCATACGTAGCGGTCGAGTGAGCGATGGCCTGGGTCATAACAATCCAAGCATCGTAGTTGAGGTTGTTCGCATTGTCGCCATCCTCATGATAGTTCACATCGTAGGCAAGGCCAGCAGCGCCGCCGAACATCTCGAACTCCTCTTGGGTCTTGATAGCTTCAGCACCGCAAGCAATACCGCCGGCAGCGATTCCAGCCTCTAGGAACGGGCCATAGTCGGATCGGCCATCAAACTCAATCTCAGTGTGATTCTGCTTGGCGATTTCATCGAAGAAGTGTGTGAACTCAGCCTCTGCTTCGGCGGAACCGGGGGCTCCGGTGAGGTTGTAAGCTGAACCATCACCGTCATAGATTTGGAAGGCGTAGTTGGGCGAGGCCATCATGTCAAAGTCGAGCAAAAGGCGGATTTTGCTCTTCTCGGCTGCGCTCAGATGCTTGACGTAGTATTCAGCACCCATCAGGCCGATCTCCTCGCCGGTCCACCAGGAAAAGCGCACGGCATTCTTGACCTTGAATTTTGTCAATTGTACGGCAATTTCCAGTAGTGACATCGATCCAGAACCATTGTCATTGATACCCGGGCCCTGTGTCACAGAGTCTGAGTGACCGCTGACATGGATGACGTTCTCTGGGTCACCCTGGATGGTCTGGACGTTGATGTTGTGGCTGATGATGTCCTTGGAAGTCGTGCTCATCACCACAGGAACTTGAATGCCACCATTGACGACTGCAACCAATCCTTTGCCATAGCCTAGAGATATTCCGGCAGTGGGCACGTAATCATCGTCACTTTCGGGAACGCGCTGTAGGGAGTAACCTTCCAGGTTGCCCTCGATGTTGTTGTAGATGAGTACACCCTCTGCACCCGCTTTCTTAGCGGCCAAAACCTTCTCACCGGAAACGCAGCTGCCACGGGAGATGAGGAAGATGCCGCCCGTCGCATTCTTGGGGAAGTCGGACTATTTTGCATTAGATAACGCAAATGACACCGAGTCAACAAGCAACACTCACCTCTTCGCAGCCGAGGTTGGGGATCACAACCAAGTTCCCCGAAGCCGAGCCAGAAGGCGCAAAGCCTACCGCATAGGCATCTGTGGCATCGCCAAGGATGGTGACGTTGGCAGACACACCGACGTTCAATGGCACTTCTTGCGTCGAAACATTGTAGTAATCGGGGTATTGGCTCAAGGTGTCGGTGATGTATTTCACGGTCGCCTCATGTCCTTCACTTCCAATCACGCGGTTTTTGGTCGGAGAATCGTATGCAAAGCGCTCCAATTGTTGAGCCCTCACTTTCAATGCCTCCGCCTTGATGGTGCTTCGCAGGGACTCCTGTAATACAGTTAGCGTCGAGGTTTGTAAACAACTTGGTCTGACTTACGGATGAGACAAGACCTTGGTAGTCGTCCCGAATGTCAACAGCTGCTGCGTCAATGGTAGCAGCAATGGCTGCGAGGTTCACAACGGACTTCCACATGATTTGACGGTGGGCTTTGCTGGATCCTGAAGCTTGCGAGAGAGAAGCGGGATAGAGACGACTTGACAAGGTGCAATGGCTCTGCTTTTGTACTCAGGCGATCTCGTATATCAGCATGCAGTGAGCTTCCTCCATTTTAGCCTTCGGTAATACACCATTGTTGGGTATCGAGGAAAACACAGCTCCACAGCTCCAGGGTCTTCTTGCAACCTTCCTATAGAGGTAATGAGCTCCCTTGCCGAACGCCTTGTAGCGATTCCTACAATCTCACTCTCTTACCGAAAACATGAATGTCGGTACTGGCGGGCCTCGATTGATAAGGCTTCTTGGCATACGTCTTGCTGAGCTTAGCGTCCTCTTATTGACGGAAAAGCCTATGCCAAGACCATATTACCTTCCACTTCGGTGCTAGTGAGTTTGGCAGCGAGGAAACACGGCCTCGGTACGCAGAGCAGCATGAGTCGGGACGGACGGTGGAATTGCATGACGCACAAGGGTAAGCAGGACACCGAGTACAGTCTACAGGACGACGATAATCAGGGTAATCCAGACTTGTTGCCTGCTTAGTATTGACCTGACTTGGTCCTGTTCAGGGGCCCAAGCTAAGCCGTTTTCAGTTGGTCGCTCAGCTGTCCCCTTGGTAGCCGCCGAGGCGCGATTCTCTTCATCACCCACGCTCTCCTACTCAGCGCGCTTTTATCAGCTGCGCGGCTGCCTATCATAGCAAAACGTATACATCATCATCTCTAATCACAGTGACTTGGGATAGCGACTGGGCATGCACTCTACCTGCAGACTGGCACCAGTAGAAGTAAAACACTTCTAAGCAACAGCTATTCACCTGCAAAGTCAGTTCCCAGGCACTCAGGACGCAACGGGAGGTTGTAAGATGGCGACCGGCGGTAAAATGGACCAGTGTACCAGCCCCAGCAGCCCTCTAGAATGAGACACGCCTACTGGCCTTTATAACGATTGCTGCGAATCGCTTTCGGTTTCTTGGTATTGCTTTACTTCGAAAGGTGCGTGAACTAGACCCATGCGTAGAGACGGATCAAAATATACTGCTTCCGTCTGGATGTCTACACATTACTTCATTGCTGTGCTTTGCTCATGTTTTCGGAGATTTCTACACACAGTGCTGGGATTGCCATATGAGACACGCATATACTCTCGACATGCCTGCAATGCATAGGACACGATTGGCATGACTACCTTGAAGTCGTAACTCTCGAAGAAGTGTCCAAATCTGAAATGCGTTGAATAGGCACACCACTACACCCCATTTTTTTCCTCCTGAACTGTACTTTGAGACCCCTGCATTGTACTAACTTCAGTTGTTATACTACAATAGACCCCAGTGAAGACATACCAGCAGCAAAAACCCTCTTTCTGTAGCTGCTACTGGAAATACCGATACTATGTGACCTCAAGCAATTCGCGTGTCTCTCTATAAACAACGTTTACAGGTCTCGTATTGAGTGGCACAGCAGCTACACATTGTGCTAGACGATGACAAAACCGGAAGTTCTTGGTGCAATGGGTCTCACTATAGCGGTTAGTATACCTCTAGTACCTTTGCGGTGATTTTTCAGGCACGCTATTTACAGTCCTGTGGTAAGTAAGTCTAATCAGCTTCAGGGTATTCTTTCCCCGCTCAAATAATTGATAAACATCAGTTAACGCTAGGTCAAGGTAACCGGAGGTCTCAACTAAAAACTATCAACTATCAACTAAAAACAATTACGATGATTGCGAGGGGCCTAAGTATATTGGGGGAGTTATGAGTTAGAATTGAGAATCCACATACGCCCATCAGTGTGATCTATAGATTGAACGAACTGCGCCTTCCACTCTGCATCTGAATAGCCACATCGTCAGGAGAGCCCCGATTGCTTCAGACCATTGTCCTTTGTTGGGCGAAAAAATATCATTAGGTCCTTCACATTGGCACCTACTACTGACTGAGTGGTGTAGACAGCTTGCCAAATTAAGAACACGGAACATTCGAGATCAGTCACCAGACAACGGAGAAGCAGTCAACTCTCATTTCCAATCTCCATAGTACATTTTAGTTTTACCAACATGAATAATTATGACGCCAGCTCTCTTCAGCGGCGTTTGGCGCGTTAAGGGCGTGTACAGATGATCTAGAGGTTCCCGAGGTCGGCTTGCTTATCGATAACTCCAGACTTCCTATTAAGTTGATTCCACCCCCGCCTACCCCGAGATCATCACGATCACCATCATACAAGCCAATATATATCACAATGCAGAGAAGCCCCTCTTCCGCGTTACGCGCTGCCGCCCGTTCCACTACTTCCACCGCACAGGCACATTCACGCAAAAGGTCCTTCTCCTCAACACAAGCGGTCGCGTCCACGGATCTTGAGGCGGCCGCTTTCGGTGAACGGCACATCGCGAAAGGAATTGGCCGTCTCACCCAACACGTCTTCGAAGATGGCAAAGGCACATTCATTACCACCGATAAAGGCGTCAAGCTCCTTGACATGACAGCCGGCATTGGTGTTGTGAATCTTGGCCATTGCCATCCCAAAGTCAGCGCTGCCGCCGCCGCGCAATGCGGCAAGATTACACACGCTCAGGTCAACATCGGCTACAACTCAGCGCAGATTGCATTACTGAGAGAACTGATCCCAATTCTTCCCCACAAATCCCTCGACACAGTTTTCCTGTGGAATTCGGGGGCCGAAGCAGTCGAAGCAGCCGTGAAGCTCGCCCGCGAGGCCACAAAGAAGCCCAACATCATCGTGATGCAGGGCTCCTACCACGGTCGTACCAACGCCACAGCATCCATGACACGCTCCAAGACCATCTATGGCGAAGGACACGGGCCATTGATGGGAGGTGTGTTTGCGACTGCATTCCCCTATTACAGCCAGTTTGGCGGCGCAACTCCAGACACACCCACCGAGGAGCTTGTCAATAACGCCCTCCTTCAGGCTAGACTCACTCTGCAACAGCAGACCTCCCCCTCAGATACTGCCGCTATCATTCTCGAGCCCGTCCTTGGCGAAGGTGGTTATGTCCCGGCCCCTCCAGCATTCTTGCATGGCCTGCGGGAAATCTGTGATGAGAACAACATTCTCCTTATCGCGGATGAAGTTCAGTCTGGCATGGGCCGCACGGGACGCATGTTCTTCGTGGAGGAGTCCGGCGTGCGCCCAGACATCTTGGTCTTTGCAAAAGGCATCGCCAATGGCTTTCCTCTTTCCGGTATTGCCAGCCGTAAAGAACTCATGGATCTTCAGAAACCTGGATCCATGGGCGGCACATATGCTGGAAATGCTGTGGCTTGCGCTGCCGCAAAGGCCGTCATCGAGGTCTTTCGCGAGGAAAAAATCCTGGATAATGTGGCTGCACGATCAAAACAGATCTTCGATTTCTTGCATTCGCTGAAAGCGTCCGGTACGAAGGCTGGCGATTTGATTCAGGATATCCGTGGCAAAGGGTTGATGGTTGGAGTACAGCTTGACAACCCACATCTTCAAAACGGTTCTTCCAACACAGCTTCACGCCATGCGGCCAAACAGCCCCAAATTGCACCTAAGATAGTCAGTGAGTGCGTGAAGAGAAATATGCTACTTCTTAGCACATCTGTCTTTGACGTGCTGAGATTTATCCCTCCACTTACCATTAGCGAGGAGGAGATGACACAGGCTTGTAACATCTTTAAGGAGGCCATCGAAGCGGTGGCCGAGGACTTGTAACATGAAAGGGGGCAGAAAGATGCCGAGTGAAGTAACGAAGCCATTGTTTTCATATTTCTTATAGATAATTCCCCAGCAATCAATTTGCAATCGCGAGCTACTCATGTATATGATAGATTATCAGTTTTCATTCCCACTACGCCTCTTATAGCGATGAACACACTGGAAGACCTTCTGGGATTATTTCCAAGAAGACCATACACAACAATCCGTGACATATTTCATTTCTTCAAGCCCGCTCCAGCCTTATTGCTAATGGCTGAAGGTTTTCCCCCGTCACTCAACACATAGTGGCCTTCCACTAGCAAATCATAACGCCATTCTACATCACGACTGCGAGTGGGCCAGAGGAACTCACCGAGATAGCACGATCAGCTTTCTCGGGCGATGGGAAATTTCAAATCGAGATATTGATCAACAACGCGGGTGCTGTGAATCCAGCTCCAATGGGTTCCGTCGCACTGTCTGATTTCGACGCGACTTATAGTCTAAACGCTCGTGTCCCGCTTTTTGTGCTGCAGGCTGCAATGCCATATCTTCCCACTGATCACTCCGGTTGTGTCATCAATGTTTCAAGCATCACGACGTCCATGGGCTTCTAGTGGCAGTCTTGCTACGCAGGAACGAAAGGCGCTTTGGAAGCAAGGACGCGTGTTTGGGCGCGTGAACTCGGTGAACGTTGCACTGTCAATAGCATTAATTCTGGGGTGATAGCTACAAGCATGTACACTGGTCTACCAAAAGAAATGCTAGAGAAAGTCTGGTCATGGAATTACATGGCACCGCTGGCAGCGCCTCGCGAGGGTGTCGACTCAAAAGAAACGGTGGAATTCGAAAACCCAATAGGCGGAAGACTTGCTTACCTAAAAGAGTTCGCTGGTGTTGTGGGATTACTATGTATGCATGCCAGGCGCAGGATGAATAACAAGCCAGGTCATTGGGGCGAATGGAGGTGGCGCGATGGCCAAATCCTAGCTTGTATGTGTAATCACATGCCCTGTTCTAGCCCGAGGAGTTCATAATATTAACACGCAGCTGAACGCATGAACGCTTTAGAGTAAGCTATTCATGTTGCACTATTTACAATGCATTCCACTTTACATATTCTTTTGTGGTGTGCACTGTCTTTTTAGAGAAGACAATCCTACCCAAACAACAAAGACTCGAAGCTGTACAGACGTGGAGGTATGTGTATGGTTTTCAATATATCAAAATCTGTTTTCTACACCACGACTATCAAAATGGTAGTAATCTGTTTTCTCATCCGTGAGCATAGTCACTAAATGTCAAGAATCCGTTTCATATGAAGAGTTTGAGGCCATGACTATTGATATGATCTGGAACAGCACACCATAAAGAACACAGTAAATCTCTCAAGAATTTAAGCTCATCTTCTTCTGGACGAGTAGCGTTTATAAGATAATATTAGGAGTATACAAAATTAACACTGGGCGGTCAGTAAAGTGAGTATTTTCCAGAGGAGTAACTGAAAGATACACTTTGCGGCTTTGCCACAACGGTCCAAAATTATTTTAGTATAGAATTCTGCGGGCAAGTTATTTATTCCACACCAGGAGGTTGAATCTCTATAGAGTAATAAGATTAGCTCAAGATAGCCCATCCCGAACATACGTAAGTAACTGGAAATTGAGAATCTGGATGTCAAACAACCTGCATTTATCACAAATAGTGATTGAATTGTGATAGTCCAACCCGTCGATTCACTCCACACCCAGTTATCAAAATTCGGTGACTCGTTGACTGTCGGGCACTAATCGTTACTTGATATGTGCGTCTTGTCTTATCGATCGCGATCATATCTGGAAGCACATCACACCTAGGAAACCGTCACAGTTGCTGGTTGTCACTTCCAGATCCGTAAATACCTACCTAGGTAGGTATGCTTCTCTGGGTCCGCTTACTGCAGAAATGTGATAGCATCAATAAGAAAACCACAAAGGAATAATTGGAACCCGAGAACTGTGGATGAATGAGAAAAGAAGTACCCAGTTAGCCCCCCGCTTCTTCTCTTTTCTTGAGTCTTGTCAGTTGCTCAGCATGCGAAACCGCTTGGCTCAATATCGTATATCGATGAACATTTGGTTGCTCACATTGGGCAGCTTTATTGATTTATTGATTTTAAGTTAGAGCTTAGGTGGGCAGATTCATATATCACGCCTTCGCTCGTCTAATTCAATGTGTGCTCGTCAATTTGACTGTTCAACGTAAGGTGCCAGGTATATGGCTAATGAGCCCAGACAAGGCTCGAACATGGAAACGTTCATGGTGATCACACAAACGAACTCTAAACTTGGTGTAGTTACTGAAATGAAATGAAACAACCATAGTAACCGACCGCTTCAATGACTATTGCGTCATGTCATTGCGACATATTGCATGATTGCATGGTCGAAGTTGTCGCAATTCATTCAGTACATTTTCAATCCGAGGGCGAGGACAAGCTAATCCCTACGCAGTTTAGTTCACTTAGCTTTCCCCTCACTACATAACGCTCAGAATCCTGTATGTCAGCAGCTAAACTCATCGGCTACATCATCAGAGATTTTCTACCGATAATAACCTATTCAAGTGATTCGATGCATGTTTTCGAGCCGGTAGTTGATGATTAATAATTACTCCTGACTAAGGCAAGGCATCAATCGGCAACTGCCGATGCGACCAAGCATCAAACGCATACCTAGCGACATGCAGAAGATTCCTAAGCATCAAATCAGCGAATACGGATTCTAAATTATAAAGCCTGCGTGCTACCGTCCATATACATCTAGTTGAACCCGATCTTAACTGGCATATGAATCATAGCAGATTCTCCTGGGATACCACCGCAATGTCTATGCTAGCCATGGCAATACCATTCCACGAGGGCGAATCGCGGGTCCATAAACTGCTCAAGATCGAACAAGGGGATAATCCTACAGCTGGGATGTTAACACAACAGGCCGTCTTCATGCTTCACAAAGCACCTCTTCTTGCGATCGGTACGCTTGACTCGGAGGGATTCCCGTGGACTTCTTTATGGGGTGGGGAATCCAGCTTTTCAGAACCACTGGGTAATGGCATTATTGGCACTAGGACTCCCGTAGACCGTACGTGGGATCCAGTCGTACAAGCTTTGGTGGGTCAATCAGAGAATGGGAAGATGGTGAAAGGCAACGATAAGATGGTGTCTGGCCTGAGTATCGATCCGATGGCGAGGAAAAGAGTGAAACTGTTTGGGCGAATGGTGGGAGGTTGCATCGATGAGCTGGAGACGGAGCCAAAGGATCAACCTGAGCATACCGGAATGCCAAAACAGGGCCAGATACAACTGATCACAAGCATTGAACAAAGTTTAGGAAATTGCCCCAAATACATAACTCAGTACGAAATCCAGCCTGCGTTAGTGACTTCGAAACTAGCATACGAGGGCGCATCGCTATCGGCAGAGGCCAAAGCATTGATCCTAGGGGCAGACATGTTCTTTCTTTCCAGCGCAACCGACAAAGACATGGATTCCAATATTCGTGGCGGACCTGCAGGCTTCGTAAGGGTCATATCCGACACAGAAATTGCATACCCAGAGTATTCTGGCAATCGCTTGTACCAGTCACTGGGGAATTTGAATCTCAACCCAAAAATCGGCATTGTGTTCCCGAACTACGAGACTGGCGATGTCCTGTACATGACCGGGATCAGCGAAACATTGATCGGCAGCGATGCATCTACTCTTCTCCCAGGAAGTAATTTAGCGCTCAAGATTAAAGTTCGTAAGGTGCGTCTGGTAAAAAACGGACTCCCATTTCGTGGCACCCGGAAAGAACCATCGCCTTACAACCCTCTCGTTCGAACTCTAGCATCCGAAGGAAACATCAAATCGACTCTCTCTTCGCGAAAAACGGTTCAATTGATCCGCAAAACCATACTGGCGCCAACGGTAGCCAGATTTACCTTCTCCGTGTTGCCAGATGGGGTCAAATATCTACCCGGACAGTGGGCGGCGTTCGACTTCTCCGAACACCTGGACATAGGGTACTCACATATGCGTAACGATGATCCGCGTAGTTTGAACGACGACTTTGTGCGTACATTCACCATCTCCTCGACTCCCAAAGCCGGAGTCGAAAGTCAGAACGAATTCGACATCACTATCCGCAAAGTTGGGACTGTCACCGATCATCTATTCCAACAGAACGACCGCGCTGGGTTCGAAGTCCCGTTGGTCGGCATTGGTGGAGAGTTCAAGATTGACCAGGACGCACACGGTCAGCGGTTGACACCTTTCTTAGCCGGTGGTGGTGTGGGCATCACGCCTCTCCTAGGCCAGCTTGATGCATTGGACAAATCGCCGGACAGGTTGAAGCTCCTATGGACTATGCGAATAGCTGATAGTGGCTTTGCACTGGATGTTTTGAAGAAGACCCCTGCGTTGGCTAAGTGCACCTCAATATTTTTCACTGGATCCCGTGCTACATCGGTAGAGACCGAGAGCTCTCTTGCAGAGCTTGTGGAACTGGGAGCCAACGTCGAAACAAGAAGAATAGGGAAAATAGATATAGATGCTGTCGATGCCAACACATGGTATTTGTGTGCAGGGAATCCCTTAAGGAGGGAGTTACTGGCATGGCTGGAAGGGAAAACTGTCGTGTTTGAGAATTTCGATTATTGATTTGATATTGAATATTGGAGCTCTCGAGCTGTAGGCAGATAGAAAAAAAGAGGTATCATTGCACTATGAGCAATTGTGTTATACAGGTACTGCCCCAGAGTCCTATGCAGCACAACTACCTTCCTTTAGTACCTTCCCCACTATACCCAGCCTCGCACAATCCACCGGACAAGGCTCCCAATCTCTCCAACCCCACTCCCACATAACCGGGAAAGTGGTCCAAGCACCGCACCATGTTTTTCTCGTCTGCAAGGCTGCTAGTACAATGAACAGAATCATGCCCAAGAATACGACCGCAGTATACACTTGATACCACGTCTGCTGCACACACGGTATAACAGTAGTCGTAGATCGTCCGGTACATAGATAGAATGCGAAGATGAGGACCGTGGCATCGAGGAAGAAAGCGTAGAAGATGGTGTGCATGTAGCCGGTCACGGTGAAGGTGGTGCCGATAGTGTTATCGGGGAAGGGATTGGTGGATGTCCAAGCGGCCAGCGCGAGCATTGCGAGGAGGTAGAGGGCGCGGATTAGAATTCCGCGAATACTGGAGGCCGGGTAAAAGTTTTGGGATACTGCGTTAGCGGTATTTTGTGATTTGAAAGCCGCGGAGGGGCCTGGATGTGTTTCGCTGTTGCTGGGCTGAAGTGTTTTGAGTTCGAGGGAAAGCATTGGGGCTTGGCTGTCATCATCGACTGCAGTCGTCCGTAGCGTGGAGTAGCCTCTGGTGGGCCGGTAGTCGTAGATATAGTGTTCGGACATCCAAGGAGCAGCAGGGAGACGTAACAGACCGAGTATGGCGAAAGGTTGGAAGATGGATGCAAGGCTGAGGTCTGACATGAACGCGTTGCCGGGCGAGTGACTCGATATGAGGGTGTACATCGCCTGAACACCTTGTAATGTGGCGATCACCGATTTGATAGCTGACCCGGAGGTGGGGTCAATGTACGATCGGGATGGTGCATTGTACGCGCGTGGAGGCATATGAAGGCGAGCTCGTTGTATGATTCTCATCTCCTGGCTACTGTCCCATGTTTCGTGTGTCCAAAAATGTGCGTTTGCAGCTGCCATATCCTCTGGTGTCCAGTTGCGGCAGCGTACCCGGCTGTCCATTATTGCAAAGTACCGCCATATTACTGAAGTTGGGTTGTAGTGACAAAGGTAGTCGATGAAACGCGGTGGATTTCCATCGAGAACAACTGTAGATTGTTTAGTACTCTGTATCAGTCACCACAGTTTCAGTACAGACCAGACTCAGGCACACTGGCAAGTAGATGGACCACTACAGGAGCAAGACACAGGGTGAGCAGTGTGATCCATTCAGAGTAAGTCAGATTTTGCGACTGGTAGTGGAATAAGAACTTGAGTGGTCCTAGTCGTCGCTTCTCAACTGTTTGCTCATGATCTTCCGGAGCAATTGATGAAGGAATGGCGTGCGTAGTTACAGAGACGCAAGTAAGCAACGTCAGCAATATGCGGCGGTTTGACATGGTATGAGAAGCAGCGAGCACAGTATCAACTCGTAGGAGAAAAGAGACGGCAGAGAAGTTGTCAACTGGTGACTTGCTGCTGACGTAGAATAAGTGCGGCTGATTCTTGATGATCGCTCAGGAAGGGGTGGGGGCGAAAACAGTTGGATATGTATGTTACAGCCTGGTTACGGCCGTAAGGATGCGCCCTATCGGTATGTAGTTGGCTAATGCCAGCTGACTTGAGTAATTGAGGTGCATTCCAATCGCAGCATCTATTAGTGGTTGCAATAAACTCAAGGATATGTTGCGCGTCGACCGATATTAGAACTTGATCCGGCGAACCTCGCGCAGCAATTATATCAAACCCACATCCATCGTGGGAAACTGGAAAACTGCGAAGGACATTCGTGGAATGCTATTTGTAGACTCGATTTCTTTGTGCAGTACCTATCGATCGCGATGCTCAAAAATCAAACAAACAGACTGTTATTATCTAAACTGAATCGCAGAGAAGAATGATAGGTAGAAGAGGAAATGAATCTACAAGTGGAAAGCAAGAGGTGTAGGCTGTTGTTGGACTTTCACAAGAACATGGCATAACTTCAGTCATAGTTGCTACTGAGCTCGTTAACTTCAAATTCGGCATAACGAGTCCTCCTTGTGATTCTCAACCATATTTATTGGATTATAAGTGACATAGCATTGATCTCCAAGCTACCGTTCTAGCTTTAGCCATAGATACTAATATCTCTCCCGACTAATTCTCGATCCGATAGATGGGAAAGAAAAGAAAGGCATGCATGATGCTTTCATATCTAAAGCATCCAGGCATCACTGTCATCTATAGCATAAACTGCCACGATCAACATATGTAAGATACTTGTCAGTAAAAAGAGAACAACACTGTGGCCGAGAACTACGAGGTTTCGTCATTTGCCAAGTAGGGTGGATCCCGGAGACATATACCTTTTCCACTAATCGAGGGAAAGGTTACAAGACGCTTTGTGGTGTTTGTATTGCAAAAGAACCGCAGGAATGTCACCTAGCTTGAACCACTACAAATGGCCATACCAAGTAAGCTACACGGATATCTCATCGAGACGGTTGCGAGACACGGCATCATGGGCTCCAAAAGGTGCTTTCGTGGGCACAGTTCACCTCACATCAAGGCAGTAGGCGATGATAGCTGTAGATCCTTGCGTCTGGTAGAAACTCACAAAGCATCAGTGGCGCTGTACAAGGTCACAGTTGTCGCCTTATGTATCCATGGAGTTCCACGAGCACTAAATGAACACCCGAGAAGATATACTCACCTCTCGCTTGCCAGGACGAATGAGAACGTATTAACACATCCCTTGATCGATGTTAGAAGCATATTCAACAGCATCATGGTGTAGCGTACATGTCTGGATTGAACTCGACTACTGAGCGGCATGGCGCCCGACGCTTGTTCTGGTGACGAAGCAGTGCTTCCTGTTTAACATGGTATGGTACCGAAAAACATCGTTTCCGCATCTGAGTGATGCTTACACTCGTACGGTAGATAGCCAGTGGTTATGCGGTGGAGGTTGGTCCACACCACGTTTGGCATCCACGCCTAGAGTTGTTGGTGTGTGGAAGTTGCAGTAGTAAGCCGGACTTTTCGAAAAATGTCGTCGACACACCTTGTTCACCAAGCGCCTCGCCTGCCACGTCCTCCACGTCGACCACCGCGGCCACCATACCCGCCTCCACCTCCGCCTCCTCCACCGTAACCACCTCCTCCGCCCCATCCGCCACCGCGTCCATGGCCATCGTCGCCACCGTATGATTCGCGGTGCGGCGGAGCGCGTCCATTTGTGAGTTTCTGCATTTCCTTGTGGGATTTTCGCATTTGAGCAAAGCCGAGATGCATCTTCCCGTAGAAGTGGTCGGCCAGGCGGCGGTCGTTGTCGAGGCGACTGAGGTAAGCACCGCACACATCGCAAACCTGGAGTTTTTGGTGACCAGATGGGCCGCCAGTGTCGGAGAGGTTGCGCAGGTGCTTTTCGGCCTCGGCCTTCTCCATCTGCTTCATCTGCACCTTGTACATTTCTTGAACGGCCATGTTGACCATGCCTTCCTCTCCCATGATTTGAATTTCGAGCAGGCCAGCATCAATGGACCTAGAGAGTTCGTTGATGGCTTTCAACTGAGCAAATTAGCAAATGTGTCTCTCTCAAGAACGTCCATACGTACATAGGCGTTGGTCTGCCTTATCTCATCGGGCGTCTTTTCAAGTCTCTTCTGGGCGGAGTTGATGCGGAAGTCACATTCTTGCACATGTTTGTGCATGTCGCGCAGGTAGTCAAACTCGAAACCCCACCTGCGCTTCTGGTCTTCAGAGGCTTCTTCGTATTCGACCTTGAGCGCGGCGCTGTGGGTCTTGGGGCATTGTCCCAGATCCTGCTTAGTGTTCGTGAATAGGTCGAAGGGACAGCTGCCAACGAGGTACGAGCGGCAGACTTTAGGGTCGGTGATGCTGATCTGGGGTGCGCGCTGGTCACTTCCGGTCATGGACTGCTGGCCCATGAGCTGCTCTGCGACATTGTCAGCCGACCGGCTTTTTATCTCGCAAGATGCTGTACGTACCAAGCAGCCTGCGCGTCTCGGCGGCGGCCATTATGAGTGACTCGCAATGTTATTGTGCCTGTGGTGAGAGTCAGATCCGCTGCCGAGCAGGAGGATGTCGTCTTGCGCGCGTTAAAGATTGAGTGAAGAGGCGCCACCAGTCCGGCGATGTCACGTGAGAACGTACCAACCAATCAGATGCGAACACCCCAGAATCTCACCATCCCCACCAAACTGCCAGCTCAATCAATGTAATATCTATACCGTCACCGAGCACCTTGCCGGTGCTGCCATGTTGCCATGCTGTCGTTCCTTTCCTTCTTAGTTTTCAATGCTCTTTTAGCGTGTTCCCTTGCCAGTTCTGACTACCACGAGCGCCTGCTCCTCCGCCCGCTACCTCAGTCCACTCTCCTCGCCTCCTTCAACTTCCGCAGTAACGAGACCTCGGCTGCCTTTGAGCAACAGAACTTCCGCTATTTCCCTCGATCGCTCGGTCAGATCTTGCAGCATGCTCACACTAAAGAGCTTCACCTGAGATTTAGCGTGGGACGCTGGGATGCCGAGAGCTGGGGGCAACGACCCTGGCAAGGCGCGAGAGAAGGAGGCAATGGCGTAGAACTGTGGGCGTGGATCGAAGCAGACAGCGACGATGAGTATGCTACACTCTTCTCTCCGAATACTTCAATCGCAGACTGACAGTCTGCAGAGCCTTCGCGCGATGGCAAACTTTGGTCAATTCGTTATCTGGCCTATTCTGCGCTTCCCTCAACTTCATAGATGCCACCAGGACCATACGACCAGTCATGGCTTTCGAGCCTGAAGGTGACCATCGAAATGCCACAAATCTACACCTCCTTCACGGTACTCTACCCCACGAGGTTGTATGCACAGAGAACTTGACACCTTTCCTCAAGCTACTCCCGTGCAAAGGCAAGGCCGGCATCTCGAGTCTGCTCGATGGGCATAAGCTGTTCGATGCTTCATTTCAGACCATGGCTATAGACGTGCGGCCGGTGTGCGATACACAAGGCCAAGATTGCTTATTGGAAATGGATCAGAGCGTGGATATGGTGCTGGACGTGGCTAGGTCGAAGCGTCCCCAAGACAACCCTATACCCCGGCCTGTTCCAATCGAACAGATTGAATGCGACACCTCCAAACACTACAATGGGCATGATACTTGTTATCCTTTGAACAAAGGCACGGAACCTTCTTGGAGTCTCAAGGAAATTTTTGGGAGGTCGCTTAAAGGCGCGTGTCCACTCACAGACGCAGGTCCAGGCTCGGAGACTCTGTGCATCAACACTCCTCCTGAGCGAGATATTCATATAGAGACGGACGGGCAGTTCACCGAGTCTCGATCCTCCGCAGACACGATGAGGTGTTATCAACTGCCGATTGGCTCGGATTTTGATCTCGTTCTACCAGAACAACAGATGTCGACTGGTCTTGTGCTTCCAGAGCCGCAACTCTACGCCGCCCGTTCGATCAACGGCCACGGACAGGAGCGAGGAAGCGCGCAATCTGTCATCACAAACCCTTCTGCCCGAGGCATGGAGGTTGTGTATCTCGAGTCACTTCCCTGGTTCATGAAGCCCTACTTACATACATTACGCGCCCATGTGGACACTGATTCCGAGAATCCAGTCCGGGAAACGTATTATCGACCAGCTGTGGATAGACAGCGTGGATCTCATCTGGAAATTCGCATGGTAGTTCCACCGGCATCAACATTGACATTGACATATGACTTCGAGAAAGCAATTCTACGCTATACCGAGTACCCACCAGACGCGAACCGCGGCTTCGATGCTGCACCAGCAGTCGTCCGTGTTCTTTCACCAAATACTATGGGAGACAGGAAGGGCATTTACCTGCGCACGACGCCTTTGTTGCTATCACTGCCCACCCCAGATTTCAGCATGCCATACAACGTCATCATCCTGACGAGTACGGTCATGGCGCTTGGTTTTGGCAACATATTCAATCTGGTCGTGAGACGCTTCGTCGGCGCACACGAGGTTCCTCAAACAGGAGGGCTGAAGGCCATATTACAAGCGAAGATAGCTAGGCTCACAGGAAGATCGTGAAAGGTCTAGACCTTTATCGCTAGTATATTGCGATTCAATACAAGAGCATAATCAATTCTGCACAAACTGTTATACCTACTCTAAACAGAAGTCCGGCCTCGAAACAGATGAGGGGTGAAGTGACACTGTGCACAGCCATGCTTGTCGCGCCACAAAGCAGCTTAGCGGGGCTAGTTCGATCCTTGTCGTCATCAACCAACTCGACCATGCCGAAACCCAACATGCGGCAGCACGACTGTACTTGCAGCGCTTATCGCAAAGGTGCATCGGCCCATCTAACCACATGTAAGATCTATCGACTTCTAAACTTAGGCTAGCAATAAGCTTTAGACCTGCTGGATATAAGGCTGCGCGTATCGCCATTCCTTGCTACACACACACTTGTTTTGATCCCCCATCTTTCACGTGCAAATTCCACTGCTTTACCTTTCGCTCACCCTCACCCTCACACAATAATCTGTTGACGATTTCCTCATCGCTCATCATGCGGGGCTCAGAAGGCGGCGTCATCGATCCGGCTGCCAGAGATAAATATCTACTTAGAGTGACAGCTGGTTCGTCTTACGATACCTCGACGCACAGAGAGGTCGCTGTGAATGGCGACGACGCACATGTCATTGAAAACGACTTGATGACTTGTTACTTGAAAGTCAAGATACGGGATTACCACGGCTTGCCTCGTGGATCGCCTTCAAGCTCAAAGTACTTTTCGCATCCACTTCATACGTCGGACCGATATTCAATAGGCTTTTCATTCATTCCCAAGCGAGACATCAAGGGCAACGATCTAGTCACAGGTTTCGACTTCGACCACTCCATAAGAGACAGGCTACCGCCGGGTTTCCGGTATGCGATGAAAATTGTCACGACCATTCTGGACCCAGGGATATATTCAGATCCTTATTCGGATAAGCCATACTTGTACGGGCCTGGCCTGTCTTCGTTCTTTGGGTTTCGTATTGGCGAGCACACGTCGGAGGTGTCAGCAGAACAGCAGTTGAATACGCATGACACGGAAATGCTAGGTGTTATTGAAGAAGGTGCACATGGAAGCGGACAGCGCATCCGCGCCGATCAACATATACCAGCCAAAACATCCAAGAGGCGAAAGCACTTCTTGGAGGAGAAGAACAGAGACAATTTTGTATTCGAGGCCGGTAGGATGTACCAGGCCGATTTTTTCAACCCGTATCTCGACTTTGCCAACTTCGCATTGAGGATACCGGGATTTTCAATCTCTGTAGTGAGATACATTGACGACAAGACCCATGCGCTACGCTTTGTTTTGAAGGACCGTAGCACTGACGAGGTGTTATTTGTGGTCATCTTCAACCTTTTGTTCGGACAACAACTAGAAGAGACGCTGCAAGGGGAGGAAAAAGAGAGAGCGGAAGCTCACAAGAACTCTCCCGCCGGATCTGATCAAACGGAAAACGTCGAACCGCCAGATTCTTCTTCATCGTTAGGTACGCCCACGTCGGTAGGGTCTCGCTCCTCGTCTTTGACGCCGCAATCAGATGCCGACGACAAAGACCGCGAGACACGGCAAGACAAGGCGACGACTGCGTCCATGCTGGCAAGCTCGATCTACTCTGGCTTTGCATCGCTAGGTTTTGGAAGAACCGCCAGCACTTCAGGCTCGGAAACCACGAGTAAGGAGGTATCCTGCGAGAGGGCGAAAAGTAAGAAGGCCGAGCAAAAAACGCTGGAAGACAAGGTCGAAGAAATGGATGAGACTCAAGTGGAGGCGTACTTGAAGGCTAAAGCCAGCAGCGCTACATGATACCTTATAATATTCTTAGAATGCCTGAATTTATTATCCAACTATCCAGTCATCAAACATCCGTGATTTCACCCACAGCTACCTTGGGGATGGCATTTCGATATTGTCGAGGACATGCATACATGTTTTCTTATTCAGTACCAGGCCTTGAGCATTTGGGTCATATTCAATGAAGTATGATCGACGCTTGAGTTTGAAGCAGAGTATTATATACACTGGGGCCACTATATCAATGCTCATGTGTCGCCGGTCAAGCTTTGCAATGTCTACTAACGAACGGATCGAGCCTAGCGCGGACGTACTCATCCAAACCTCCAGGCTGCTTGAAACTCTTACTGACACGCGGTCTGCATCTACCCAGCACCCAACGGCAACATTACACGCCGCTTTGACAGACATAGCTCCCATAGAGCAGGTGTACTCGAATCAACGGCGATCTGAAGGCATCCGAGTATCGGTGTGTCACCGACCCGCGAGCGCAAACCCAGACTCTAGCAGCTGCCCGCTCGTGTTCGGAACTTAGAGTTTCCACGCCCTTGCCGCAAGTGGACCCATAAGAACATGTCAGATGAGCTCTCCTATTGATCTGATTTGTCGGGCTATCTACTTCCGCCATGGAGCGCGCATGTCGAGCGCTCAAGAGAGGTGAAAAGAGGTCCGTGCGCCGGCTGGAGACGTTTCCGAATCGTGGTAGTTACCTTATATGCGCGATGGGCACGCTTCGTGGAAATGACTATTGTATACCTTGTGCTCCCTCACTATCGAAGTCCGTATCTTACTCGCCATGTGGAACACATATCTCGATGTCGCGCTTCTTTCACATCCCATCCTGGCCTTCATATCCATCACTCACCATCCCAAGATGAACTCAAAAACAACAAACCTGCAGTATTTCATCTTTTCCTTCATATCGCTGCTTGTGATACGATGCCTCTCGTCTACATACTATTCAGTACCTCCTCAATATACGCTCGATGTCTGTACAAGCGTAGATCAACCGAATCCGATAGCAACTCTCTTCCCCAACAATGCGACTGGAACGTTAAACGGAACGATTGCAGTCTTGCCGATACCTTTAACGCTAGCTCGGAAGCTCATTCCCTCTCAATATGGTATCCTCGAGCATGCTTACCGTGCTTTGCTCCCTTCGTTCCCAGAGGGCATGTATCCTGCTATCGTACAAGCGATGCACGATCACGAAGTGCAGGCTTTTGGCTACAAGATTGAGGATTTCTCTGTAGGTGTCTGGCCTCCGCAATCATGTATTACAGGCTAATACGAACAGCGCACGGGAGTTGAATTCCCCTTCGTCGACTTGCTAGGCGACGGTTACTCCTCTTTCAAGTGGGCACCATCGCTGCTCATGACCGCTGGTCACGAAATCGCGTTGAAAGGTGCCGCAGACTACGGAACCAACACCTTTGCCGCTTCCTTTGACCCAGGATGCGACGCATACCGCCCAGTGCCCAACTCCAAGAACCCAGGCACCACCTACTTCAGCGCCAGTAGCCTCGAAGGTCGAGAGTCTCTGAGCACACTCTTCTCTCTAACAGAGGAGGAGATGTACCCTCTATCTTTTTTTAAGAACTTTACCAACCAGCCAACGTTCGCGGATGGCAAGACCTGCGACAACATGATTCGACTCTTCAACACCACCCTTTCTTCTGCAGAGAAAGGCATCGAGCGTGTCAAGGGGACAGTTCGAGCTGATATTCATCCATTCGCAAAGGAACATGAATGGCGAAATGTCTATGGCTTGCGACTTGACACGGCATTCATTGAAAACAACTACCTCAGCTGCGAGAGCTTCCGGGGATACACTAGCCACGAGTGATTGGCACTAACAAAGTGGGTCTTTGCTAGCGCGAAGCTTATTCTAGCAGCCATCCTGAACTCAGGCTAGCCGGATGGCAGTACTGTCCAGGCAAGAACAGTCCCTGGCAAGCGATTGAGATACTTTCATCTTAACACGATGCCAAACATCTTCCAGAGCATAGTGGGCAGATTGTGCTACGTTGTTCGCGTGGAGAACGCCGTCCCAATGCTTCATTCCTCGCTTGCTCGCTTGGCCCACCCTGAAACGAAGCGAACCTCCTCGAAACTTGCTCGATTTCAAGGCGTCGAACGTGTTACTTCTAAGGATGGATGAACGTGGGCCAGGGGAAATCTTCTTCATAAGTTCCCAGGATATTACGCAAGCAGTTGAAGTAGAAGCATGTCTGCGACTCCTACTTTTCGTCGCCAGCATGCCTCTTGGTGAAATAGAATGCTGGGTATTGAAAGACATGCCACATAATCCCGAGGAAGCCACGAACCTGCACCGGACTATTTGGTTCGTACCATAATTGTCGCCGCCGTGATGGTAGCGACCTTCGAAAACCCGGATTGCAATCTTTTTTCATATAGATGCGCAGGGCTATGAGAGGAACTAGAGGGAGTAGTACTCTCTGTGAAACCCGAAGATCAGTAGTATGCACGCGTTCACCTTACTCTGTTGCCTGAGGAAACAATTTTGTATATATATACCATCTGCATGCGACTTTATATAGTCAAGCGTGCATGTAATGTTTATTCATGTTAAACTCATCACGAGATCCGTGTCAGACCTGCAGAATGGTGTTCCAACTATGCATATATTCTAGGGAAGAGGTCTAGGAACTCTAATATTAAGGAATAGTGAGTTATTCAAGTCCGGCGGGGTACATTGAAGTTCCAGATGGACTATACCGACCTCTGACATTCGTTCCTTCTACGCGAAACTGCAAGCATCTCGCAAGTATTGTAGTAATATGTTTTACCTGTCCCTTCGCTACATAAACAAGTAAATGTCGTGGATATTCATGAAAAAAGAGAGAGATAATAGGTGCTAGTAGATTGCGATGAAGACTAAGTGACTGCCAATTGTTTCGCGAGGCGTTAGGTTTCCCCCAACCAGATCCCATTTTCTTTGATGAACACATCGACACTGTCAGTCACATGAAGCCAGAGATAGAGGTGGTCAAAATGCTTGATCGTTGATGTCAGTAAACTTTTCTGAGTTTCGATAGGTCAATTTAGCTTGGTGCGAAGATCAACGTTCACGACTGAGACTAACTTCTCCATCGACGAGAAAGCGCCTTTCACCTTTCACGCGCGATTTCTCACCAAGATCTTTCCCCCTTAACTTAACAGGGTAAAGATGAGCCATTGTTGGGTGACCGAGTCCTTGGGTATGAATACTTCTAGCGAATTCTCACTCAGCTGCCCTCCAGTCGATCAGACTCGACGAGTCCAAAATTCTGACATTGCAATGGATTCAAGCACGACAGGACAACTACCTAGGTAGATCTCATTGAGCTTTTGTACGGCTTTAGATCTTGAATCAGAACAGCGCCATTTGGACATGGGCTGCGTAAGAATACCATTACACCAATTAGACACGCCATCATATCATTGGTCAAGAGCTGCGAGGCCTTGCCACGTCATGTCAAGGTTGGGGTTCGTCACGTGTATGCTTAGTCAGGATTCATGATGGAAACGCGCTCAGTGACCGATTCTCGGCTCCTTGAGCAACCTTGTTCGTCAACAACAACCTTGGTACGTTAGCAGAACTCTTGGGCCTGTGACACGTGATGAGCCATTCGACTAGAATATGTGAACTTCGATGGTTCTACCTCTGCAAATGAACTTTTCAAAGTAGCCTTTGACAAATTCTATACCTCGTCTGCATTGTGTCCTGCTTTCATAATGCCAATGTGGACTTGTGACTTGGGCGGTTGCTCAGAGCCTGCAGTTCGCAACGGTGAATGCATCCTCTGTAATCGCCATCTTTGCTCCTCTCATCTCGGTACTCCCTTTCATCAATGCCCTCCCTGGAAGGTCTGTCATTCACTTCTACCATCACACTGTTAATGCATCTAACACTATGGCAGGATGCTGAACGCTACGATCCCGCCGCCCGGGAAGCAGAGGAAAAAGAGATGGAAGCTCTATTCAAAAAGTCAACAAAACAGCTCTTGCCGCACGTGCGAGTGACCTACGGGGTGGTATTCATTGTGATATACCTGCACTTCAGCATAATAGAACTAAACGAAGCACTGTTATGGGTGGTATGAATTATCATGTCGAAATTGTGTTCGAGGATGGCGTTGTTTGGTTGGCACGGATTCGCCGTTTCAATGCTACATCTCCTCCTTCCCCTTTACGAGACCACATTTTCCAGAGCGAATTTGCCACGATGAAATTTCTCGAGAAAACAGCGGTACCAACTCCGAAGGTATTTGACTTTGCTCCGGAAAGCCAGGACAGTTCAGTTGGCGTTGGCTACATGCTAGTTGAGAAGATGGCGGGTACATCGCTGCGATGGTCGATTGCTTCCCCAGAGCAAAGAAGAAGAGTTGTGGAGCAGCTGGCGGACATCTTCGTCGAACTTAGAAAACATCCATTCGACAGGATGGGGTCTCTCGATACTTCTGATTCTTGTCATATTGGGCCATTTGCTCGCGAGTCTCTAACGGATTTTGATGACTCCCGAATGTCGCCCCTTGGCCCATACTCCACACTCCAGGAATACCATACCTCTTCGATCCGGCTCATATTGGATCTTATAATACGAGATGAGATGTATTCTCACAATCCTATCGACGCATATCTCGTTCATCGGTTTCTCCTCGACCTTATTCCTTCAGTCCTTCCTTCCCAAGGCGAAAATGGTCATCAATTCTTTCTGAAGCATGCCGATGACAAGGGTGACCACATTCTCGTCGACAAGGACTACAATATCACCGCTATCATCGACTGGGAATGGGCTTACACTGCTCCGGAAGCGATTGCTTTCAATTCGCCCGTAGGACTCCTCCCAGTAAACGAGTTCTACGACGGCCTTAACACGTTAGGGGAAGAGGAGAATCTGCTAGCTGAGACGTTTGAAAAAAAAAGACGAACTACAGCTAGCGCAAGCTGTAAGGAATGGGCGATTGCAGCATAGGTTTGCGTTCTGCTGCGGATATGACCTTTCTGATTGGGAAGGGTTCCTTGGCCTTTTCAAAGGGTTAAGGAAAGCAGTTAGCATTGACCAGGGACTGGAATGGGGGGAATGGAAACAAATCGCATTGAAGCGCTATCAAAGTGATGGTGGATTGATATTTTTACTATCCAAAACGAGATAATCAGTCAATAATTCCATGCGAGCATCACTCAATAGTCGCGGCGCAAGTTCCCAGGCGAATAGATGAGTAGTGCCATACCTTCATCTTCACCAATATCTCAGTAGCAGGCAAGCAGCAACAACACCGTGCTTCGAACCACAGCGCAGAAATCAACCAAATTACATCTCCATTTACAAACTCGACTCTGTATCTAACACCTCTGACAAGTTTGTATCATTACTCATATGTCGCCAACAATATGCCTAAGCTCGTCCTTTAAGTTGTTATTAAAGCTTTTAAACTTAACAATAAGCCTTTGGATTTTAATTTTAAAAAGTTTGTTACAAGGCGTTAGTGTTAAAATAAAAGCTAAAGTAAGTGCTATTATAAAGTAAGTAAAGTAAAGTAAGTAAAATAAAGTTAATAAAATAAAAAGCTTTATAAAAACTTTACTATAGCATTTTTTTATAGTAAAAAGTTATAAGAATACTATAGTTTTTAACTTTAACTTATACTTTAATACTATAAATTTGTATATTTCTACTAGATTATTAGGATGTTGTATACGTCACTACGTTAAATGCGCTTAATATGTAGCTATTGTCCTTACACAATATTAAATATTGGCTGTGTAAAGAACAGTATGCAATCTTTAGCGATAGACCCAGTATTGTATTTGTTAAATAGTATCCGCCATATGCCAACAGCAGTGGTGGCGATAAGTATATGCTGGCAGTAATCAGAGAATCTACCAGATAATTATTCTGAATAAAACATATAGAATGCACTATTATCGTGGTGCCTATGGAACAACTGGTACTTACAGAACACTAGAAGTGCCCGTTTCTAACAGGTATGAAAAACAGTTACTGTGCTGTGCTGATGTTATGTAATATAGGAATTGCTGATGTGCAAATATACTTTAGCGGAAATAATAGGAGTCAATCAGTAATTTGAAGAAAATAAACTTGACATTTTGGTTGACTGAGCTTCTATCCCGCGTCTTATGGGCTCAAATTGCCGTGTATTGTTGATAACTGACAGAACACCTCTTCACCTCTTTTCAGTTCTACGAAAGGAAGAAGGGGCTTTTAGACTACGGGTAGTACTTCCATAGCACGGAAAAGATAGCATCATAGAAAGTTACTAGGGTGAGCAGTTCACACTACGGCAAAGAGTGGGGAAGGGAAGCGTCAAAAATTTCAATAATTTGCGTAGACATTTGGAAGATCACCGGTGAGCAATCAAACATAGCGCATCCTGCGCAGTGGTCGGAGAATTCTGCCTCGTGGTGAGCGGCCAGAACGAGAAGGTGTCCAAGCCCGTCGACATGGATTCCCGGGACGGAGACATGACCAAGGCCATCTACAGGAATTCCTAAGACGGAAAATAGAGAGAGAGTGTGTGAGGGAAAGTCATCGATACGATTGCAGATACGGTTGACGACTGGGATGTCTAGGTGACCAAAGCTGTGAACTAGGATTTTCAGACCGGGGAATAGATTGAATGTGCGAGCGCAAATCGTTGATACGAATGCAGTTGCTGTGGAATAGTCCGGGTTAGGTGTGCAAAGGACAATTTGGGATTTTTAGCGATAGGCCTGGAAAATTTTCTTTCCTTGATAATATCCGTCATATGCGAGCAGCAGCGGTGCCTTGTCAATTTCAGCAGCGGTAAGATAAATCACATAAGATAGATTGATCCCGCAACTGATCCTCGTCTTTGGTATGTAGGTATATAAAAATAAGAACGTAACCGTTTCACCATTTCACCACGACTGTCTACATACTCGTACATTTTGTGCCGATTCATTTTGAAAACGCAATTACTTAGAAACTGCGACCATGCCTGCATTGCACGCCAACTCAACCTTCATCTTCACATCTCCAACACGGCCGTTGCAATCTGATCTTCAAGAGCTTTTGATCGGCACTATAACTAGTCTTTTGGCACTTGCATCTTTGGGGGTCACGGTGTACCAATTGTGGCAAAGAAGACGTTGAGAAAACAAAATTGAGGTATGGCATATATAACACCACAAGCACCCGTTCCCATCAAGCACACAAAAGAGTGGTTGTGCTGTACTGACGTCATATAACATAGTAATTTCTCAAGTGTATCGCAGATATACTTGAACTGGGGCGATAGGAGTCGATTGGTGATTGAGGGAAAATACATTTGATCTTCCGCGATGCACGCAATCTGAGTCGTGGTTCAGGACACTTTTTGTATCTATGAAAACGGAATACGAGTAATAGTCGGAACCTAGGTTATAACAGTAACAAAAAAGCATCCGAGAAAATTGTCTTGGTCCTTTTTTCCATTAATACTCTAGTTGTGCCACCTAGATTGTAACACTCGGGTTGAAACAATCCCGATGTGATTTTGCAACTTATAATTGCCGAAGACATCATCTCAAATTCAAATGGACATTGCAGATATCATTTGGAAAGCTACTTCTTTCGATATTAGCGTTTATCTAGGAAATATACACGTTTTACGAGCCTGGCCGTGCCGCAAAAGATAGCCCGGTCCAACCCTATCCGACACAGCCGTGGAAGACGAGCTGACCACCATGTTTACAGTAATGGATCATTGCGCCACAACCACTTGTTACATACATTCATTTAAAGCACTTATACCTGCCGAAAACAGCAGTGCGAATGGATGGATTGGTGTCCATCTCAGGGCTGACAGATCTTCCGATAAAATCCCACCCTCCTCTTCGGCCTAGAAAACTTTTTGGCTTGGAATGTTCCCATATCTTAATGTTATTGTTCTGAACCCACTAGATCTGCATCAATTCTCATAATTGAGGAAGGTAAGAACCTGGCGTTTCCAACGAAAAGAGGGGCAATTGTAGGGATAAATGGACTATGAGGATGCCTAACCTTCCGGGACAGCTCGATTGCGAGGGTTTTTATCCCATCCTACGAATGACCATCCATCTAGTAAGGTCGAGAACGGCGGTAGGACGAAAACTCCACAGCTTCCCCGGTCGCAGCTGAGATCGCAGAGGCCAAACACCTTGCAGTAAGTACGAGCTTCGCAAAGAAGTAGGCAACGACAGCTAGAATGACGGGACGATGAACACGTATTCTGCCAACAGAAGGCAAACAATCGCTAGGATAAGGGGAGCAAGATCCGCAACTCTACAGCAGAAGGAGGTGGATAATTACTGGGATGTGGGAAGCAAGATCCGTAAAGCGGCAGCCGAACGAGCGCATCCTTGTAGGATATTACCGTGCCAGGCGAGGTCGATTGAATACGAGTTTACTTCTGCACCGTGGGGCTTAGTGCCCTGCTCGTACCCATCTCACCTTCATTCTCACGTATATAAACTGTAGTACCCAGACTAAGATTATAGCAGACAGTCTCCATTTAGATTCAACCAGATCATTCAATCCTCTTCTGTTTATCAATTTACACAGAAACACGCAATCATGCCGTCCTTCAAAACGAACTCATCACTACCAATCATCATCCACCTCCCAGGCGAAAACCCCGCGGAAACAAGCCTGCAGAACCTTCTTATCGGCATTACCACCGTTATTCTCGCTGTAGCGTCTTTGACTGTCGCGATCCTTCAGTTACTTCGAAGGACAAGGGAATGAGAACATTACTCAGAACGACTTCTTATTCTCGACGTTCAAGATCGTCTATTCTCGTTAGTAATCTTTGCTGGATACTCTGTTCACTTGCCGTATTCCTATGGCGTCCTATCAGTACTTCTTACTGTCATGCTATGTACTTACACCTCATACATCCAGCTAACCACTTAGCCGCAGACCCCAATAGTCATGAAAGAGCATCACCCACACCACCCAACAAGGCGGAGACTCAAGCATTATGATTTAGCCGCTAAATCACGACTCAACGCTCCGTGCACATCTCGTCAAAATAATCAAGTGCATGAAAGAGAAAGAGCAGATCTAAAGCGAACCATGATGGCTGGTGTACACGTAGGAAGAGAGAACGGGAGTGAATCAGCCAGTGTGTACATGGACCAAAGTATTGATGGCTGGACATGATTCTATTGAACCCCCATGGGAAGGGGAAGGTTCTATATCTTTGAAGTCTTTCTAAAAGTCGTCAACATAGTTCGTTTCGCGTAGCATCGATGAATGAATATGGTGGATGGATGGATGGATGGATGGATGGATGGATGGATGGATGGATGGATGGATGGATGGATGGATGGATGGATGGATGGATGGATGGATGGATGGATGGATGTAGATGGCAGGTGAGATTTACGCCTTCCTCCAATCACTTCCACCGTCCTTCTTTCCTTCTTGGAAGGAAGCTTCGTTCTTGGGTTGGCGCGTCACGTCGCTCCTATGAACGGCGTCGATTAGATGGGATACGAGGATCGATTCAAACATCATGGTGACTCTGACGAAAATCGCGGACTTTTCAAGTTTTGGATCGTACATTTGCCAATTGAAGAGAAAATAGGGTTAGGGTATGATATCTACAATGTAATGTCTATAAAGAACAGAAACGGGGAGTTGGACGCATGTACCAAGATGATAGACATTGGAAGTAGAAGAAGAGAATTAGAAGAGATTCAACTCACTTCTTCCCCCTTCCACCAAATCCCCATCGGATTTGGTTTGCCCACCGCCCTTCCACACCCAACTCATCCGCAAACGTCCATACCAACCCGGGGTTCTTCTGGAACATGCGCCCGACAAAGATGAAGTCGATGTTGTCGTTCTCGACATAGCCGTTCGCCTGCTTACCCTCGGTGATGTTACCAACGGCGCTAACCAGCATCTTATCGCCGACTTTCTCTTTCACGGCTTTGGCGAAAGGCTCTTGGTATCCGGGGCCGCCCTTGATCTTCTGCTTCTCGTGGAGACCACCGGAGGAGACATCAATGAGATCCACGCCACGATCAGCTAGAATCTCGGCGAGCTTAATGGTTTCTTCGAGGGTCCAGCCTTGCTCGTCGGTCTCCTCGAGCCAGTCGGTGGCGCTGATGCGCAGCATGATCGGGAAGTCGTCAGGTACAGAGCTGCGCGCAATATCCACGATTTCAAGGGTGAGTCGGATGCGGTTTTCGAAGGAACCGCCATAGTCATCAGTGCGCTTGTTGGATGCGGGGGAGAGGAAGGAATGCAGGAGGTAGCCGTGGGCGTTGTGGATTTGGATAGCATCGAAGCCGGCTTTAAGGCAGCGGGCGACTGCGTCTTTGAAAGCTTGCTTGTAGGTCTCGATGTCTTGCTTGGTCATTTCCTTGGGTTGCGCGTGGCGGTCGTTGTATGCGATCGCGCTGGGCGCTTTCACGTTGTCTGGCCAGCCGTTGAGATCCTTGCCTGCGACGTCACCTTGGGAGAGCCACGGTGCAACAGTGCTGGCTTTGCGGCCTGCATGAGCGAGCTGGATAGCGATCTTCTGGTTTTGGGAGTGTGCAAATTCAACGATGCGGCGGAGAGGCTCGATCTGGGAGTCCTGCCAGATACCTGCATCTTGTGGGGTAATGCGACCTTCGGGCACAACTGCTGTAGCTTCAACGAAAGTAAGGCCGGGGCCGCGCTGTAGGATGCCGCCGAGGTGGGTGAGATGCCAGTCGGTCAAGTGGCCGTTTTCCGCTGAGTACTGGCACAGGGGTGGTACGCCAATGCGGTTTTGAAGAGTAAGGCCTCGGATCTTAAGTGGCTCGAAGAGCTTCGGAATGTTGTCGCTGCCATCTTTCATGCCAAGTGCGGTTCCGGCTGGGGGGTCCTGTAGAGGAGTGAAGTAAGAAACGCCGGGGGCGGGTCTATTTTCGAGACGATCTTCTCCCTCGACCTCCTTGGGAACTCCGTGATGGCTGTGCTTTACAGTTGTCATATTGGAGAAACGGGCTTGGTAACAGAGTTTGGGGGGTATAAGAAATTGGCTTGGTGGGTGTTGGATAGCTGGAAGGAGTGAGGACTGAAGTAGCTACGAGTGCATCAAGGGCGAGGGTTTTTATATGTATATGTAAACACCCCACTTTTGGTGTTTACGAATGACCGCGGAGGAGCGCAGCTGTTGCCCCACCATGTCTGGCCAATGGAACTGCAATGGCCTCAGAGTTGATTTATAAGATTGACTATATTCACCACATTGAGGAATGATGTGATGACTGCATGGAAACGATGTTGTAGCTGTGGATCAACAAGGGTCCGACAGCGTCGTGTGTTTGTCAGCATCGCTTTTGAGAGTTCTGCATCGCGTCATCGACAAGACTTTCGTACCTCTAGTCAGCAAACAACTGGTTAAAAGAATCGGGTGATTTGCCTTTAGCAATGTTATTCACCTGCCTATTGGTAAATCTGATGCAGCATATCCATTGTGCCCGTAGGTGTTATTGTTCCTTGATCTGCGTTCACGATCTAGGTGTGATATCTGTCTTCGGGTACTACTTGCTCTGTGAAGCCACCGCCACACCATTCTACTCCTATTTCCAGTACCCTCGCCATTCTTTGTATTTACGGGAATAATTTAGCAAGTGGATGATCTGAGAACCTTCTGTCGCCGTTTCACCGGCAGAATGTCGCGGCCGAGTATCGCCGAACGCCCAGTGCCAATATTTAGTGCTGCGATCTATCCTGCCACGAATACATACCACAAAGGGCAGAATAGTGAGGTTGCAGTGCTCGTTACGGTTTAGTGATCGGGGTGGCCTTTGCATCGTGAAGGAAGGGTCCGTCTGTTGGCATTCTGATACCGCCGAGCGCCAAGTGCCAATATTTAGTGCTGCGATCTATGGCGCGAAGAAGGATTTTCCAGAAAGGGCAGAATCGTGAGGCTGCGGCGTGGTTATCCAGGTATGCCATTACAGCATGTTGGATATCGCCGGGCGCCAAGCGCCAATATTTAGTGCTGCGTTCCATTGCGTGAAAGAAACATACCGGAAAGGGTAGCATAGTGAGGTTTCATCCTTGTTTGCAGTCTAAATGTCCGGGCGCCCCGTAGTATCGTGAGAAAAGGATACCGCTGGTTCAGCAATGCCAATTTTTAGTGCTGCGATCAACTCTGCGAGGGAAAATGCCGCAAAAGGCAGTGTTGCAGAGGTTGCGTGTGCATTGCGGGCAACTGGTCCAGGCTGTCCGTTGTATACTGAAGAAGGATGACCGATGCATTGGCAATGCCAATATTTAGTGCTGCGATCAACTCTAGCAGGACAAGATGCCGCAAAAGGAATATTTTCAAGTTATGCCCAGCTAGGAGCTGTGACCTAGACCTCCAAATACCCTGTGGTGGTATTGATGCAACAAGAGTGTATTGGGTAAGTATCTACTTCTTGTATAGTCACGATAACAATCTTGGAACTTCCAAAGAGCGCAACTATTGCGAACTCGCACTACCTTCACACACAAACTGAGAGCCGAAAAGCCAGCAAATAGCAAGCCTATCCGCGATGCTGCAGATGGCCATGGGTCCTGCCGTGGGCATGCGATGGAGCGATCTGGAAAAGGGATGACGTTGGAGCGAGAAGGCATCGGAGGCAACTCGGTCTTGGTGCTGACACAACGACGACGGTATCCCTTGCTACGAGTGCCAATTTTTAGTGCTGCAATCGATGGAATATGAAGGTTCCAGATGCGGTAGGCAAAGCCACGACTTGATAGGCTCGTGAGATAAACAAGCATTGGTGCTATTCAAGGGGATCATTGGCGGGTTCCAGCGGCAGCATAAGGGCAGAAGTGTAGAAGGACGTGGAAGATTGGGTAAGGCGAGCGCTGGTAGGCTGGAGGCGCTTCACTGTAGGCCCAAGAGAAAATGGATCGGTAATAGTTGCGGCAATTTGGGGTATGATTCGAACCATGTCGCACCGTATATACAAAGACAAGGGGAAGGATAAGTCAGCGAACCGAACAGACGGGGCCCCAAGGGTATCGAGTACATGACAACGATTCAAAAGTGAATCCTGGAGGTCTGAACAGCGGGAAATAGCGGCATGCTGCAACGTGTTCAGGAAGTACAAGATCAGCAGAAGCGGGCAATGTGAGACACTGTTCCTGTGACAGCGGTGATTGTCTGTGGCGACGTTGCAGAAACGTGAGTCAAACTGGGGAAGTGACACTGACCATGTGGTGGTGAATACAGATGGAATAGATGGATGGACGATGCTTGGCAAAGGGTCCGAAAGGACACGGTGGAGAGAACACAGTGTGAAAGCGAGACAGAGAGCGCGCGCACGGACGGCACGCGATAGGCGATAACGGCGGGGTGTGGCAGAATTGCCATCGTGTTCTAATTGTAGGAGTGTGTATGGGTGTACTAAGTACGCATACAGAAACTTACTGGAGTAGTTTTTGAAGTGACATGTACATACAATAGTAGATGAAAAGAGAAACAGGCGAGCCGATGATGGCATGCATATGCTTCTTGAGTACCATGCAACGGATATCTACAAAGTACTTTGCACAGTAATCAGCAAGGCAACAGTTGCCTTCGGAAAAACTCAGGAATTGCAAGGTGGCAGCATTACTGACAGCATCTCAAAGCAGTCATCTAGCATAATGATAATTATAATCACGTCGAGAATAGATGGAGGGCGAAGCTGCTGGTTATGCTACACGTGTCCTGTTGCGCATGAAAACGGTCGACTTTGAGGCTGATGTCCACTCCCGGGGCAGAGCAAGCGGCCTAGCTTTGCCACGCTACGCCCCATGCAGAAGGCGGTGAGCACTCCACAAACCAAGAGACCACATTTCGTCTTTGCAGTGCTCATCCACTGAGAGCTCCATATATTAACTCGTTCCACCCGCCTCCAATTTCTCTCCTCCTTCAACCACCCGCCCAACCCTTGCCTTGCTCGCCCACCAGTCAAGGTCCAATTGTTTTCTTTTTTCCTTCTATTTGAGATACCCGGAGCTCCTCGCCTGCTCCACACCTCCTCCCCGCCCAGCGAGCTCTTCTTGAGCAACGAGCCCGCCTTTCACAACACACCACAACCTCACACATTATGGCACGCCGATCAAGGGGCGCCGACCGGCGCTCAACATGGTCCATTGCCTTTTATCTCCTCCTCGTCCTCGTCGGAGGCCTGATGATGGCAAGGACCGCTCGCGCCGACGAGCAGGAACCTCTCAAGGAAGATGAGAACGCTGTTTCGGGACCCGTTATTGGTATCGATTTGGGAACCACCTACTCGTGTGTGGGTGTCATGAAGAACGGAAAGGTCGAAATCATGGTCAACGACCAAGGTACGTGCCAATCGCTACCTCTTGCTCCACTTCCGCTCTAACAGCTTTCACAGGTAACCGTATCACACCATCCTGGGTCGCCTTCACCGACGAGGAGCGCCTTGTTGGTGACGCCGCCAAGAACCAGTACGCCAGCAACCCTCACCGCACTATCTTCGATGTGGTCAGTAACGCCCTGTTCGCGCTGGCACACCAAAGATGCTAACTGCGAGCAGAAACGTCTCATCGGTCGCAAGTTCAACGAGAAGGAGGTCCAGAACGACATCAAGCACTTCCCCTTCAGCGTAGTCAGCAAGGGTGGACAGCCCCGCGTCAAGGTTGAGGTTCAGAAGGAGGAGAAGACCTTCACTCCTGAGGAAATCTCCGCCATGGTTCTCGGCAAAGTACGTTATGGATACAATCATCGGCAATTGGCATTTGTGCTAACAGCCCACAGATGAAGGAGGTCGCAGAGAGCTACCTTGGCGAGACCGTCAAGAACGCCGTCGTCACTGTCCCCGCTTACTTCAACGACGCCCAGCGTGCCGCCACTAAGGACGCTGGCACTATCGCCGGTCTTAACGTCCTTCGTGTTGTCAACGAACCCACCGCCGCCGCTCTCGCCTATGGTCTCGATAAGACTGGTGGCCCTGAGCGCCAGATTCTTGTCTACGATCTCGGTGGTGGCACTTTTGATGTGTCGGTTCTCACCATTGAGGGTGGTGTTTTCGAGGTTCTTTCCACCGCCGGTGACACCCATCTCGGTGGTGAAGATTTCGATAACCGTGTCATCAACCACTTCGCCAAGAAGTACAACAAGGAGAAGTCTGTCGATATCACCAAGGACCCTAAGAGCATGGGTAAGCTGAAGCGCGAGGTTGAGAAGGCCAAGCGCACGCTCTCTTCCCAGAAGACCACCAAGATCGAAATTGAGTCCTTCCACAAGGGCGAGGACTTTTCCGAGACCCTCACCCGCGCCAAGTTCGAGGAGCTCAACGCCGATCTTTTCAAGAAGACTCTTAAGCCTGTTGAGCAGGTGCTTAAGGACGCCAAGCTCAAGAAGGCCGATATCGACGACATTGTTCTCGTCGGTGGTTCCACTCGTATCCCCAAGGTCCAGGCCATGCTCGAAGAGTTCTTCGGCAAGAAGGCCCGCAAGGACGTTAACCCCGATGAGGCTGTCGCTTTTGGTGCCGCCGTTCAGGGTGGTGTTCTCACTGGCGACAAGGGTACTGAAGACATCAGTAAGTATCTCTGCATTCCCCAATTCTCTTTAATACTGACAGCAGACCAGTTTTGATGGACGTAAACCCATTGACGCTGGGTATCGAGACCACCGGCGGTGTCATGACCCACTTGATCAAGCGCAACACCGCTATCCCCACCAAGAAGTCCCAGATCTTCTCGACTGCCGCTGATAACCAGCCCGTCGTTTTGATCCAGGTATTTGAGGGTGAGCGCACGATGACTAAGGATAAGTGAGTTAAACCAACTTTAATCAACCTGGCCTCCTTCTCGGTCGTCGCTTTTTCAAGCGCTCACCACATTTGAGGATGTCTTGAATTACAATCAGCTAACAGTAATCCACAGCAACAATCTCGGCAAGTTTGAGCTCACCAACATCCCGTAAGTCTGTCATGTACCCTGATTTCGAATCACGACTAACCAGCGCGCAGTCCCGCTCCACGTGGCGTTCCCCAGATTGAGGTCACCTTCGAGCTCGACGCCAACGGTATCCTCAAGGTTTCTGCCGTTGACAAGGGCACTGGCAAGGCGGAGAGTATCACTATCACAAACGATAAAGTAAGTAACTTCATCGCTATAACTGAGCTACAATGCTAACAAGTATATAAGGGTCGTCTCACTCAAGAGGAGATTGAGCGCATGGTTGAAGATGCCGAGAAATATGCCGATGAGGACAAGGCTACCAAGGAGCGCATCGAGGCCCGCAACAAGCTTGAGAACTACGCCTACAGCTTGAAGAACCAGATCAACGACGACAAGGGCCTTGGAGGCAAGATCGACGAAGATGACAAGGAAACCCTCCTCGAGGCTATCAAGGAGACTCAGGACTGGCTCGAGGAGAACGCCGCTACCGCCGTCGCCGAGGACTTTGACGAGAAATTTGAGACCTTGAGCGGTGTGGCCTACCCCATTACCTCCAAGTTGTACGAGGGAGGTGCTGGCGGCGACGACGATTCGGAGCCTGGCCACGATGAGTTGTAGATGTTGAATAAACCACTGAGAGCCTAAGCGCTTTGAGTAGTGAGCAAAAAGTTTCCAATAGAACGATTACAATGTGCATGATGGCTCGCGTGTACGAGTACCAAGAGGACGCAGATTATGAGTTTTTGTAGCTTGGTTTTTTTGGTGTTGGACGGAAATATGGAATTTATCGAAATACCACAACAAGCAAATGAAGAATTGCAGTGAACCAGCATTTGACGTTCGCAAACCATTTTGTAATCGACTCGGCACTTTTTGTTTTTCATTTTCCACAGTTATCGATGTTAGCTGGATGGCTTGAATCCATCGATTCACATTTGACTTCTGCGTGGTGAAACGCATAAGACTTGTGAGGAACAGTTTTAGGATAGCTGCTCTTTCTCATCAGCTACTAACCTTCTACCTGTTAAGTACATATGCAACAACAAGATTCTCAATACTTGATTTCAAAACAGACAAAATTGGAAGAATATCTATAAAACCCGAATATTTATATAATATCGAGATTTACTATACCTACAATGAAATCTGTCTGAACTAGACAAGATTCCATGGGGTAAAACACGTACAGCTTCTGCATGTAATTTTTTGGTGCAAGTTGTCTAACAGAAACTACGGCTTGATATGCTCTGCGTGCAGATCGATGCATTCTGTTCTATGGTTTCTCAAGTCATCTAGAGATTCGGATAGTACACTGGAGAGCGATAGCCTCCCCTGATGGACCATGAATCTTGAGACTTTTGGGTGTGGACGGCAATGCTAGATGTACTATACTTGAAAGCAGTATCAACTACAACCTATAGAAAAAGAGTGTTTTGGCTACTTTGTGCTTCACTTGTAGAATGTCATGTCACATTTCTCACTCTCGCGAAAAGATGTACATGGGCGACCGCACTTGAATGAGCAGAGGATGTAGCTAAAAACTCGTTCAGGGCGTGAAAATTGATGATTGCAGTAATCTACTGTGACCTTGATACTGTTTTTATATCAGGTAGTGAAACTTGCCTATTCCCTGATTTTTTGCTTAGTTATACTTCATTCGAAAACTCGCAGAATACCATGTTCTCTCTCGGTTGCATGCCTGATGACTGCAATTCCAACGATGAATTCATAGAAGTGTAGTTTAACGTTTAGCTTGAATCTGTGAGTTCATGGGATACATGCTCAAGAACTATACGATAGGGGACGTGAACTCGTGCAACCAATCCATCGTGACATTAAGTTATGCAAGTATATAGAGGGTAGGTAAAGACCTGCAAAAGTCTTTCTAGGACAGGTCTTCTGTGCGATTAGGTTAGCAGAGAGACACTTCATGTTGGAAATACAGTAAGTGACAACTCATATCAAGTGTGCGTATACATGGAAATCAGGGACTTTCCACGGGAAGAAGTGACGTTCTCTACTCGGTTCTCTGTGACTATTGTATTCTGTGCTCTTCACATTATTTCGTTCCTAATCAACTTCTAATAATAACAATCATCTCACAAACGATATTACTATTATAATCAAACTAACGGCTTACTCATGCTTTAGCTTCATAGTGTCGCAGCACATTCTCTTTTTGGTTGTCAAAGTCTGACCACAGCCGCGGAAAACCCGGCAAAGAGATGGGCTCTTCTTCGTCAACGACAGACACAAGATCTTTCGACCAAAAAGATCGAACTACAATCACACAAGAAACAATATGTGTGTGTTTGCAAGTGTGTGCACACGTTTCATTCCAGCGCAGCAGCAGTAATGGTGACCTCGTACTCTCGCACTGTGGCGCCCCGCCATAGCCGTACACCGAACGCAGATCGGACTCCGTCCGCGCGCGCGCCCGTCACGGAGTTCTTTCAGCCTTGCCATGCATTTCATCAATTAGCCTCAAAATATGATGATGATGGCGCTAGCCATACCAACATTCATCGCGGGACTGTCACTGGTGTTCCGACTTGGACTCTGGTGCGTGTAATTTTATATTTCTTGAATCTCAGGGGCTACGTAAGTTGTCGCTTGGTGCTCTAACTTGGATGGGGAAAGAAAGGGCTATATGCGATTTACTGTGCAATATCAGTTTTGCCCGTGTATTTGCTGCGTTCTTCATGTCTTGAAATTCTGTTTCGCAGCGAGCAAGTATGCACTTCTTCTGTGTTGTTTCGAAACACAGCCGCATGGTGGGACGGGAGTGTACAGATCCACATCCACACTTTAGGCAAGAAACCAAGGCAGCTCGCACCGCGCACGAGGAGGTCATGTATATGTGTGTATGTGTGTCACCGCGTAAAACTATCCGATTTTGTCGCTGTTGGGGTTTGTGGACTCCGGGGGTGACTGTATTTTAGGCTGGGCGGCGATGACCTTAGTCGCATGCGGTTGGTTGGATCCATGAAACGTGGTGTACGGGAAACGAGAAAGAGGTAGATTATCGACGATGACGGTTTTCTCGGGAATGATTGGAGATGGAGCAGCAAATGTCTTCGCTCGAAGCTTGCGAGTATGATGGTTGCCAGCCACGCAGTCTACTCTACCTGTGTCGACATAATACGCCATTCGCGTTTGATGAACGCTCGTTCTACCCCTTGACCGCGCAAACCACTAGAACAACACCGCGTACATTACATCCGCAACCCCCACCACGACCAAAAACAAAAAAAGGCTGATGCGCGGGGGACCGGAGTAGGAAAAAAGCCAGCAACCATTTCTTTGCAGATGCCTGTATGCACCGTGTTTCAAGAATAAAAGAGCAAAAAGCCCGGACATGGTAGTTGCCGAAACAGGACAAGAGTAAGCAGACCCACGACAGCGACCTTACCTCTTGGTAAGAAGTTTGCAAGGATGAACGGCTTGCAGAGAAGAAGAAGCGAGGCCATCTCACGTTATACTGCACCTTGTCGGTCGGGATTTTTTTTGTTGGTCTTTTTCAATTAGTCCTCCACCTGATCTAATCAGGTCATGTATACGTACTTAGCGATACAGTCAGCCCGGAACTTTTCCATCGTTTGCTTTCTCGGGAGGTAGTGCGCGTTCTTTCTGGTTACCATTGTCCTGGATGCGGCGTATAGCTTTTTTGTTTTGACTTCACTCTTGTTGACGTGTTTGACATTGGATTTGTTGAAGAATTTATTATTTCAAGTTGGCGATTTGTGTAATACAGCTTGCTGTAGTAGCAGCCGGTCTATGACGTGTCCCTCATCTCGTTTCCAGCCCTCCCCTCCCTCAACCAACAAAACCATAATGGACACGCAGCAATCGATAACACGAGCCCTTGAAACACAATGACGTCTGCATGACCTGCGGTTCGCAAACCCATCAAACTCAATCGAACAACTCAAATAGACAAGGAGATGGACAGAGCCAATCAGCGTCAGCGAATAGCCATCACACAGCGAGAAAAACAAAAGAAACCAGCCAATCAGCACCAACAGCGCTGTCCCGGCGCTATCGCGGGTACCATAGGCACCCAACCAAAGATGGACACACATACAGAACCCAAGGCAAGGGAACAAACGCAGGTACGACAACAGCGGGACCCGAACAAGTACCGCTAGCTCGCGTTGCCTGGATTTTTTTTTTCACGTGGTTGCCGTGCATGGAAGACGGTACATGAGTTCAATGGTACACCACCTGGATAGCGTACCATTCGAGCTCAGCAGTAAACAACACATTGCCAAGTGGAGATTAATCAAATCGCTTATCCGTCCATCTTTGAGAAATTTTCCTTTCTTTCTCTTCTTCACCTAATCGATAAGCAGGATGGCGGATGGGTCGATCTTCATTTGGACATGGGGCATGAGAGACGATTCTAGACCACCGACTTTTTTTTTCGGTTCTAAAGGAACTTTGATGTGATGTGTCCCGCAGGAGAATGATGGATCGATGGGGGACGGGACAGCGGGTTGATGCGGATCGGTAGATCGTTTGAACTGCCTTCCCATCACCCCTCTTCCCCGGTGCTTTTCTTCCATGATCATTTACGGTTGTCAATGACAGAGCGGTGATGAGTTTGGTGGGTGAGTGCGTGCTTGCTGGACGAGTGACTGGGGGATCATGCCTGTGAATTTTGCAGCTGCTACTTGCAGCCGCGAGGTTACATCATAGATGATTCTTGTTGAACGAGCTTGTTAGAGATGGCAGCAGGCATACGGAAAAGCAAGAGTGGATGACGGTTGGACAAGTTTCGAGGCGAGGTTCACAAAGGAAAAGAGTTAGTTGATGATGGCTTGCGGAGAATTCTTGCCTCGCCGCGACACGGCCAGACAGGGAAGATTTTTCCCTTCCTTGCGTCACTTTTTGCCTTCTTTTTTTTTTTGTGTATCGAGACTTTTTCTGATTGGCAACGTGGAGTTGTCCACCGGTGACTCCCCCACATGGACAGCAGCATGGCACTGGATGATTGATGATTGGAATCGGAGATGGGTAGAACGTAGGCTGGACCCGAGGAAGCTCCGACAACCAACGGTTCAGCTCCACGTCGTTGAGCATTTTGGCGTGCGCTATGTGGACAAGATGATGGGTGCAGCAGATGTGGAGGCGGACGACGTGGAGTGGTAGCGAGAAGAGGTAGGTTTGTGACGGCAAGGGAACGAGGCACGCAACAAGGAGCACATGTGCAAGGGCCGATAAGATGGTTGAATGTACCCATGTGGGGGTTGCGTCACAGCACATGGACGGTGGAGGACAGAAGAAAAACCAGCAGCGACTAGGCAGCCCGGGGTGGCATTGGGTTGGCGAAGAATGTTGGACCGAAGACGGCTGCGTAGAATGAAGGACAGTACGAGGAAAGGAGATGAAAGATGTCGCTGGCGTGGGTTTGATGGTTCTTGGACAATTAGCATGTAGTGAGTGGTAGGCTTGGGTGTTCTAGACAAGAGAACAGAGGCTCCACTGTGAGATGAGATGGAGGCGAGCAGAAGAGGGTCTTTGGTAAGCAGGCCAATCGGAATCGGGGTAGTGGCTCATGTCATTGCGCGGCCTCGTCAGTCAGTCAGTCAGCCAGCCAGTCAGCCAGCCAGGCGGTCAGTCATGGGCAGACAAGCAACTGGAGATGCAGGAGAGAGGGGACGGGGCGAGAAGGGATCCCTCTCAGCTAATGATGATGGTACAAGTATGTATGGTGGTGGTGGCCCAGCAACGGAGAGGGTGCGTGTGCAGCAGCAGTACCGCGTCACTCCTTGACGGCTGTTGGCATGGCCATGCTCGCTGGCATTGTCTCCCCGAGTGACGGTAGTGTATAGTGAAGGGGCACAGCTGAAGCAGGATGAGAAGGAAATTTGCTGTTCTGCTTGTTTGTGCAGCGTGGATTGCGGCGGCACAGAGTGCAATCAAATGCTTTGAGTCCAATTAAACAGACAGACAGCCAAAGTGCGAGACTGGCAAGACGGCAGAAAAAAAGGTCAACAGAGCTATGCTGCATCCGGCTAGCGCTATCGAAGTACACGAGAAGGAAGGAGCGACGGCCGGGTGGGACTAGCGCCAGGGGAAAGGTGCAGGGCAGCGGCCAATCACACGTGCAGACGGCCCACCCCCTAAATGCAGGCACGTACCACGATTCGCCGGGCGGGAGATGAAATGGGCAACGGTGATTGTCAGAGACAGCAGGCGCAACGGGGATCCCCTGCCCAGCGCTGCCCAGCACGCTTTGCCCCACAGCCTGCTGGCCTGTCCTGGCCTGTCCTGGCCTGTCTGGCGGTCTTTGCCCGCCCGGCCAGAGGCGACGACGACGACGACCACGACGGCGACGACTAGAACGGCTCCTGTGCGCGCGGCCCCCGGCTGAATTTGGCCTGATTCATCACCCGCCCTGATTGCTTTGCTCGCCTACTTACTTATCCCCTTCACCCCCTCTCCATTCGACCTTCTCCCTTCCCACTCCTTCCTATTCACTCACAATAGCAGATCGGTAGCGTTACACTCATTCACGCCACCCTTCACTATTCTGTCTGCCCATCACTCGTTAATATCGCTTTTGCACCCTTCTACTCGCCACGCACACACACTCCCTCGTTAACGATCTGCACAACCGACCCATACTCGTTAGCCAACCTCCAAGATGCTCTTCTCCACCAAAACTGTGCTGAGCACCTTGGCCGTCGCTGGTAACGTCGCCGCCAGCAACCTCCACCACGGCCACGCTCAATTCCACGCCAAGCGCGACATGTATGTTCCACCATCCATCCACACACATCACATGCCTTGACACTGGCTGACAATTCCACAGTGAGAAACGTGAGGACTACTCCAACGTAGACTGGAAGGTTGCCCTCAAGGATGTCGACTGGAACACCGTCAAGTACGATGGCTCTGCCCCCGCTGCCACCCAGGCTCCCTCCTCCCAGCCCGAGGCACAGGTTGCCTCCAACCCCAAGCCCACTTCCAGCGCTGCTCCCGTTTACGCTCCCGCTCCCGCAAAGTCTTCTTCCAAGGCCCCTGCTGCTTCCTCCTCTTCCGCTCCTTCCAAGCCCGACACCCCATCTGTCGGTGATGTGGTCGGTGATGTTATCGGCGACTTCACCGATGCCATCTCCACAGCAGTTTCCGCCTTCTCTAAGCTTGAGGTCATAGGCAACACTGGCCTCAACGCAAAGACCCAGGGCGAGAACATCTGGATTGGCAGCGATGGCAAGTACAAGATGACCTTTACCAATGACGACAGCAAGGACATGGCCGTCGTCTGCTGGGAGGGCGAGGGCCTGTGGGTCACCAAAAAAACCCCCCAAATTTTCGTCGCCCTCAAAGGCGGCAAGTCTGTCACCCTCTCCATCCCCTATGGTATGTCCGGAGGCTGCGCTGCCGGCACTTCGACCTCCAACAACTGGTATGGTCTCATCAACGAGTCCATCCTCGAATTCACCGCCAAGGATGGTGCCATGGGCTGCTTCGACGTCTCCCGTGAAATCAACCAGCAGGGCATCGTCATGACCGCCAAGGGCTCCCAGTGCACGTCTGGTCTCGTCGGTGGCCAGCTCTCTTGCGTTTTCCTCTGCGTCGACAAAACAACACAGAGGTGCGAGGCGGCCAAGTCCTACGGTATCTCTTTGGGTGCTGCCACCGAAGGTTCCTGCATGATGGGCAACGACCCCCATGACGACGGTGCGTCCGGTGGCTGCCAGTTCGGCACCGACGGCGAGCACATACAGGTCACCGTCTCCAGCTCCCGCAACTGGCCCCCGTACCAGGGCGAGCTCCACACTTAAGCGCATCTTGCCAATTTACGCCATCTCGCCCTCTGTATATGAATGTTGCTTTTGTATCGCTCAAATCTCTAGTCCATTACTTCTCTGTGTGTAGTGCCAACTGAGCAGCCAAACCATTTCTCACAGTACTGTAATCATTTTTTGTCTTCTGGATACCCTCTTCTCGTACAATGATCTCCTGCGGGTATTCGGTCAATAGTTTCGGGGAAGAAAGAGAAAGAGAAAGAAGAGGAAACGTGGGGGTACATGGGAAACTTCAACTCGCCCTGTTGTTTCGCCCAACAAGAAAATACACAACCATTCCAATACTCCATTCGAGCTCCATTGCTTGTACATGTGTTTTCCGCTTCCTGGGTCCACTACTTTTCTTTTCTTTTCTTTTCTTTTGTCAATCATCATTGTCATTGTTAGTTAATTGCTATTGTTAATCTGTTCATCTTTTGCTTTTGCTTTTTTGGCAGCGTAACGACGTGTCCAATGAAATCACAAGAAAAAATCCAGAATCACCATGATCATGCCTCGTAGAAGTGATGTACCGGTTCCTGGTTTGTGATAGTCGTCAAGTCAAACTAGGGCGAGACAAGTGTTGTTAACATTTGAATCCATTCTTCAGGTAAAACGCATGAGGCCAACCTGAACCATCACTCACATTGTTTGCACACGTTTATTTTCTCTGCTAACCGTTTGTTGTTTTCTGGCAGCTTTAGCCATTCTTATTGTGCTATTGCATGGAAACACCGGACTTCCTCTGGTGTCTGTTCGGTACATGGACTTTGGGAGGTTGCATTGAGCAGCATAAAGCGCAATGGCAGAGCTCACGTGACAAAACAATCACTCCTTGTTTATGAACTATTCACCCCACTATCCCTATTACAGTTTAGCTCTATGAAGTCCTCCTACCTTGACCAACTTATCAATGCCTCGCACTCACAGCTGTAGTAGGTAGATCGCACTCGTGCTATCACTCAACTTGAGAAAACAACCCTCCTTGGTGATACCAACCTTTTCAAGATCTTCCAATTGAAATCACACACGCCGTCTTCTCTGCAAAATGACTAGGCGAGCCACCACCTTGTTCCCTGTGAAGGATCAGACGTTCACCCCCGACTCATCTTCCGATGATTATGTTTATCCACCACCTGATCCTATCCAGATCCCCTGGGTCAACGACCTCGACACAATGTACGTGCGTCTGACGCTCTTCTTGAGCATCCCCATATTCGCTCGCATATTCCTCTTCGGTCCGGCGCTGGATACCTTCATACGCCTCTACGTTCTTGCAACTACTGGCGTCTCCATGGTACACTTCGGTCGAGGACACGTCAACCTCGATACCGTCAAGGAGGTCCTCTACGGATTGGCCGTGTCTAGCTACCCTTCCTGGGGTTCATCTCTCCTTCAGTACCTGTGGGTTGGATCTGAGGTCCGCGGTCTGCGATGGGAGATTGTCTACTGGATGTTTGTACTAAGGTGGTTGGCATACTTCCTTCCTCAGGAATACGGCATCGATGTCGAGGTTAGTGAGAACGATCCTATTGATTTCCATACTGTGTGATAGCAATTGGATACTAACAAGTGTTACCACGTGTGTAGTCGCTCATGAACATCTACCACACCACCAACCGCCAGCTCGACGCCTATGTCATCATCATCGCCGGGTCCATCGTCTGCTCTGTCCTCTGGCCCGCTGAATCGCCTTTGTACGAAGGACTGATCATGCTGTATGTTGTTCACATGTTTGTGAAGCACTACTACTTGGCTTACTCCAACTACTCGTAAGTATCCATCGATTCCTCCCGAGGAGAAAGTTCACTAATATATTATGATAGTCGTCTTTGCGAACGCGAGAAAAAGGCGCAAAAGACCTTCTCCAAGAAGAACACGTATCGAAAGAAGCGCCGGACGTCTAAAACTCGAGGTGAGCAGGTTCGTGTCAAGCGCACGTTTGGAACCAAGGGCAGCTACCTTTTGAAGGGAAAGGGTACTTCCTGGGAGAATGAGAAATGGGATTGATGGACTTGAAGAAGGGAAATCTTCAAGATTGTGTTGGGATATATGCAATGGTAGGCTGTAGAGACAGGGTCACTGTCTCTTCTCGATGACGATCTACGTATGAGTTTGAGAACCTGGTGGTGGGAAATATCTTCGAGATATCACTACCACGTTTCAATGGCAAAGTATGGAGACAGGGTTAGTGTCTCTTCTGGGTGGCGTTTCACTTATAAGTTGGGATATCTAGTGGTTATAAAATGATTTTTGGAGTTGGCGTTTTGGGTATCCTTGCATAGGGCAGCGACATTTAGAGCAATGATATCCTGGACAATAGGCGTCGACCAAAAGATTCACTTGGTTACGAATGGCTAGCTTAATGCAAATTTCTGAACTCGCACCAAACACTCGTGCGGTTCATTGGATTCACTCAACATTGTCCGCTGGATAAACAATCTATCCACTGCTTTTTAGAGTATACCGCCCGTCTAACTCTATAAACATCTCAACCGAGTTTCTAAACACACAACCTCATGGTCAACAACTCCACCTTCCGAAAAAAACAAAAAAAAACTATTTACCACTTCCCCTCCTCCCTCAACAACGCCTCAATATGCGAATTCAACCGATACCCCTTCAAAACCGCTCCATCCATCTCCTTGGCACCGCCAATCCACCCCAAACACGTCTTCTCCTCACACGTGCACTCAAACTTCTGCGCCATAGCCCACTCGGTACTCGGGTAAAAAAACGTCAACAAATCGCCCACCTTCAGCCCGCCCTCCAAGTCCTCGCTGACCCTGACCTCCCACTTCTCCATGTCGAAGACGAGGCTGGGACGGCACGAGTGGTTGATGTAGAGGAGGTCAGAGTTGAGCTCAATGTGCAGGTCCCGCGAAGCTTGCACGGTGGAATAGGCTGGGGATGCTGGGGTGGGGGACGTGATGCGTGCGAAGACGGCGCCGGCGGGGAGCGCGACGAGAGATGTCGCGTATGAAGTGTAAGAGCCGGGGACGTGGTTGACGCGGAGGAGGCGTGTGAGATCTGGTTGAACCCAGGCTGGGATTTTGGAGGGGTCTTGCTTGGAGGGGGGGTTTGCTGGAGGGGCAGTTTCTGTGGTGGCGGATGGTGGAGACATTGCGCTTTCTTAGGGGTAGTTGAGTCTCTGTATGTGGTCTCTGATGTAGAATTTTGGAGTGTTTACTAGAGCAATCTATGTATGCTGGAGAAGTAACAGACTGGAGTAAATTTAATAGAGGTTTATGTGGGAATGAAGAGACCAAGTAGCAAGTACCATTGCCGCTTCTTGTGGTATGCTCGGCTTATATACAGAGCAAGGAAAGCCGTGAATGTTAGTGGGGCTCTGGGTAGCTTCCTCCATATGTCCGAGGCTTTACGCTGTCCAGCCCGGAATCCAATATGAACACGTACGTTTTGTGGAGTTTCTGTGCTAGAGCTTCTTAGTGTACTTCTCTCCACATTGTCTACAACTTCCATCTGAAGCAAAGAAAGAAGAGAGAACACTGGTTCTCGGCCCTTCCTCGAGCATGTGTGTATCTTTCTGGACAGTTCTCGGGTCTGCGTAGAAAACACATGTCGAGTATAGAATCCTCGAGCTGGAGAGAGAATGGAAAATGACGAACAGTTGCTTGATGAACCTCGGCTGACGTCTACGCTAACTAGGTGGGATCTAGTCTATTGGGGACTCAATCAGCCTCCACTAGGAACATGACACACCTCAAACCACATGATTTGTAGATTATTCAAGTATCACTTAGGACTTCATCAACGCTATGAAAAGAACGCTGCAGTTCACAACAGTGGCAAATAACCAATCATGGCCAAAAACTCTCGCTCATGAGCCCAGCACCGCACCTTCGCTCCCTTCTTTTGACGTTGTGAGCCCGTAGGCACTGTTCAAGTCCCTCCTCATTGTGTGTTCTTTCTCAAACCATGCCAAAACGAATCCAATACCCGCCGTGATAGTCAGAACGATCCAGACGCACTTGAGGCTTTCCGTGAACCCCTGGACAATTTGGCCCTGAGTCTCGGTGGGAAAGGTAGAGATGAAGGATGATGAGGCATGTTGATAGGCTTGACCATGTTCGAGCTGACTCCGAGCTTCGGAGGACTCAATGTGGGGTAGGTATTCTGTGAATCGCGAATTGAATACAGCGCCCGGCAGAGCCACGCCGAACAAAGAACCAGTTCCCCTGAGGAACGCCCACGAGCCCGACGACTGGCCAGTGGATGAGTCTGGCAAGGATACCTGTACACCCGGTAGCATGCTCGATACCAGTATCCCAGAGCCAGAAGCTACAAAGAGCTGGAAGATCAACCAGCCTGGAATGGGAGTCTCGCGGTTGAGCAGTACGCAAAGACCCAGACCGAAGAGCATGCTACCAAAGCCAACGATATGGAAAGGTTTATATCGCCCGAAAAACGTCAGGAGGGGTCCGCCGATAGCAGCTAGAACGACAATGACAAGTGTGGTTGGAAGTACTTGGAGGCCCGAGATAGCAGGTGTAGACTGTTTCACGGCTTGGAAGAATGCTGGGAGGTAAAACTGGAAACCATATGTTACGAAGCCGTGAAGAGCGGTCAAGCAGAAGCTGATATTCGTCGTACGGTTGGAGAATATGTGCGGCGGCATGATGGGATATTTGCAGTACTCGGACCGCTGGAAAAAGGCGAAGGCGACGAGACCGACAGCGCCGAGGAGTAACGGAACTATGACGGCTGGATGCACGCATGGGTAGGGAGCGTTGGTGATGCTGAGTGACACCAAAATCATGATGACACTGCTGGTGAGCAGCAACGTGCCCCACCCATCCACTCTCCTGAGCTCTCTCTTCAGCTCAGCGCTTCCAAATTCTATCCCGCCCCCAACCTTCAAGAAGAAGTGAATGCATAGCATCGCAACCACGCAGATTGGTATGTTGATCAGGAAACACCACCTCCATCCGTGTTCCGCGAACGCACCTCCAAGTAGCGGGCCCAGAGCCGTACCGACCGCAAAAACTGCATGCTTGATAGCCGTGTAGGGACCTCGCTCACGTAAAGGTATAATATCGCACAGGATCATCTCCGAAAAAAGATCTATCCCTCCCGTGCCCAGTCCTTGTGTGATTCTTCCGAGGATCAGAACGGCTCCCGAGTGAGCTCCGCCAGAGATGGCGCTCCCAATCGCAAACACGAAAATCGCCACCATCATTGGGGGTTTTCTTCCGCTCAGATCGCCCAATTGCCCGTATAAGGGCTGGAACACGGTACTGGCCAGGAGAAAAGCCGTTGCTACCCAAGTGAAGCTCGTGCCGAGATTGAGGGCTTGCGAAATAGTGGGCAGAGCAGTGTTGACTACCGTGCCTTCGAGGGCAGAGAGCAGAAGTGGGAGGCATATCGCAACTAATGACGGCCAGAACCCGGCTGTTCGTTTCCATTTCTGGGTGGTGCGGGACGTGCTGGGATCTGTTTCGTGCTTTTGTGCTTCGGCACAGGCTTTGGCACCTAGTGGAGGTGCTGGCGGAGAGCTGGAGCTTTCAATTGAAGTGCGGGAAAATGGAGCCGGTAGGGACTGTGGGCTTCTTTGTGAAGAAGTTTGGGCGATGCGGATAGACGACATATTGCTGTGTATGTCGTGGTAACCCAAAGTCAGATTGTTTTTTCCGTAAAGAATGAGGAAGATTAGCTCCGGAAACAATGAGCGAGCACATCTTGAGTTTCAATGATCGAGTACTGGGCATGATTGATAAAGAGAAAGCCCAATCTTATGTTGAGAATTATTTTATCGGATGGATGATATCACGTTGTTAGCGATATGAATCCCGACCGAGAGAAAGCCCGATTCCCAGTTGGAACAGTGGGAGGTAACATCCTGACTTTTGGAGCGAATGAGAACGTTGACATGTGCCTAGATGGCGCAATTCTCGCGTAGCTCAACACAGATAGGTGTCTTCGTATCTTAACTCGATAACCTGAGAAAGGCTTTTATTCGTCTTATCGATGAGACTGCTCTCAATGGTGTATCTGTTCCATCAATTGAAACGATGATGTCTAGTTCCAACCAGCAGAAACGGGTATCAAGCGCGCCATTTTCCATTCCGATAAATCCCACCCAATCAAACGACCCCCAAAATCAAACACCAGCGTTTCGCAACCACTCAGCAGAATAACGCCTCTACACTATTTGCTCCACTTTCACCACCGTCTCACTTGTCACCAAAATCCTGCCAGACAGATTGACCGACTCACCCCCCATCCTTTCCTGGGATTGGGCATCATCTCGCTCGCTATCTGTCGGCCCTGTCACAACTGTCTTATTTCCGCGCTCCATTGTATCGTCGACACGATCCGCGCTACCCATAGAAGCCTGTCTCGCGAGTATCGACAAGGTATCTTCTTTTTCTGAACTTGGCAGAGACGGAGCCTTGCGAATAGCCAGAATTTTGTGCGTGATGGTTGAATAGGGGCGATGGGAGCGATATTTGCTGTGCGATGAAGGCTTTTGGGTGGAATGAGTTATCAATGGGCAGGAGGGTAGAAGTAAATAGATTGGTCGGAGCATGGGGAGACATGCTGTGGGGTAAATCAGTTTCATATCAGATACAGTGATGGTGGGTTTCGGGATCGTGAGAGGATATGACATACCAGAAACAATGGCTAGGTTGATCTCCACTGTGCACCAGATGAATATAGGTGCAGTGGTCCAGGGTAGTTCGTTATCGTTTGCTTTGTAGCTGACACTGCAGACAATGACCATGACACCTGCTAAGCAGACAAAAATCCCGAACCCGAACATAGCCACTATGCCTGCACGCTGTAGTCGTGGTAACTGGAGCTTTCTCACTTCGATAGCTGGTAAGGCTAAGATGATGAGGTCGAATACGAGGTGGACAATGGCGGCTTTGTAAAGTCAGCGAAGCTCACGTGCGGGCTATCAAGCTAGTATGTCTTGTGATCCGCCGATGAAGTCTCATGTGAGTGCTTACTCGCACAGAAAAACACGGTGTCGTTGACGGGGCAGTATCCATTTATGGACGGGCGCCAGAACTTTTCAACTGGTACGCAGTGAAAAATGGCTATGGATGTCTGGTTACCAAGTCAGCACCCGACACAATACATTTCCAACCGCATTCACTTACTCGAACCGCGATCCACGCAACCGTAGCCAGCGCCAGAATTTGTATTGGTACTCTGAGACGTGACATCTTGAACATGCGCCAGTAGAATCCCAACATTGCGAGTTTCGAAAAGGCTAAGGAGCACGCGTATACTATCTCGCCATTCCAATGCACTACTTTTGAGAGCTCTAATGCCTCTTCCACTGATAAGTCGATCTCGTTGAGGAAAAGACCGAGACCATTTTGAAGCCCTAGAGGGTATTCTGTCAGATTCCCGAGCCACTCTTTTCAACAGGAGATATCATATCTTACAATAAATCATCAAAGATGACCACACCATCGCGCAGAAGAAAGCGAGGATGATGAACAGGTCATCGTACCAGAGTGGGGCCTTCGTAATCTGATGAGCAGCAAACCTCAAAAGCAAACTGACCGTCGCAGCCACGAAAGTGATGGAGACGCAGACATATGCACCGTGTTGTTTTGACGTATGACGCAGAGTCACCGAGCGAGCTTCGTTGTCCATGGTCTCATCAAAATGGGAAAAAGCATAGAAGCAGAAGAAGATCCAAAGTATGTTCCTGCATGAGACATGGACATCATAAGTCATTGCCTGCCAAAACTTGAAACCAGTGAACCATGCCACCTTATGGATCATCCGAAACATACCATTGCTGAGCTTATGGGGGTATCCCCCCCGCTCCCTCCACAGATAAACCTCTGACTGTCATGCTATGGTAGCAGAAATGTCGTCTTCAATGCGGGGAATAGAAACATTGTGGGTATACCACTCCCCACCATATTCTCGTGTAGATGGGTCTGGACACTCTGAACAACTTGAACTTTAGACATGAAGCTAGAGAGAGACATCAACGGCTTCGAGACAGGCGAGTTGCAGGCGTTCGGCGAGCGCGGCGAGCGGGTACAAGCATACGGATTTATCTTCCACGCGTATATAGTCGTGGCGAAAAGAAAGACCAAGACAAAGTTTCGGCTGCACTTGATGCCGCACTATTTGGAATGACTAGAAAGTAGGATCACTATGACAAGGTATTAGACTAAGCTCTGCGCCCCTTCGACTGATGCTTCTCCGGGCTGTAATCGGCCGATGAGATTTGGTCAGTATTGAATATTCAGATGAGTCGATGGAAGAGAATGCAGATCATAGTGGCGCAACCATAAATAAGCCCCATGTTACAGAACAGATGGTTCCGACCAATGACGTAGAGTTTTGCACCGGTAGGAGAATACCACGTCCAAGTTTGTAAGCTATTATCGCCCATAGCACAAGCATACCCTACTCATCCTCATACTCTTCGCTTCACTGCTAAATTCCTATGTGCTGCTTTCTCTGAACAAGAAACATGACACAATGTAAAAGCGATGCGTGCTATACTAACAACTCATTGCATCGCAGGAACGAAGACCATTTTTCCACGTAAAAGAACAAGAATATACACAAACCATGGCACTTTTTAAACACAAAACAATCTTCGGACGTAAAACTGAAAACAATCCCCAAGCAATCTCAAACGCGCAACAGCCATGCTTCCACAAAAAAAAAGGTCTGCAACTGCCTAGCCTCGAGCTGTAAAACACCAGACTTGTGAGGCGTCAAACGCTAGTTGGACAGATGACCTCTGCTCCGAAACCACGACATACCTACCCATTTCATGAATCCCATTATTTTATTTGCTGCCCGAAATAGAAGAATTATGATTTTTCTGCAGGTGTAGCGCTTTATTTGTGGGTCTAGCTTCGGAATGATCTGCTGGATAGTCTTGGGTGCTCGTGTGCGTGGGTAGTGGAGACACGCACTCCAATTGACTTGGCCAGGCCGGTACACGTGAGATTCGGGGCCAAACTGCAACCGATTCCACTTCCATTTTGCTATTCTCAGAATAGTCTCCTGTTCTCTTATTTTTGAATCTGCAAAGTATTATCCGCGTACGGCTCGCGGCCAACAACAGCAACAGCGCAAAAAGAAGGAAAAGAGAGACAGGGGACGATAACCTCAACGGACAATACTAACCATGCCACCATCCACTTCGAAATAGGATAAGTAAAAACAGGGAATCATAGAATCATGTATACTGTATCCTTCTTGAACGACAGCATAATGGATCAAGATTAACCCAACTATTGTACTCCTGAATGCCGACGATGTACTTAGGTATGTAGGTAAACCAGCACGCTCCTCCCATCTTTCCCCCACTACTACCCCAAAACCCTAACCGAACCCCCCTCAACTCTTAACCTCGACCTCAGCTCCAACGAAAAAGGAATGAAACATGGGCAGAACCGAGAAGAAGAAACACCTTGATCTCGTGTCCAACTTCCTTATTATCCCTCCCCTTGACGGTGCAGCGAGCCAACAGGACCCCTTTACCCCCTCGCGTCCTCGACGAATCGCATCGATCGGGGCTTTGTTTTAGTGGCAAAAATGGTGGGAGGAATCTTGACGAATCGGATTCGGGAGTCATGTTAGTAGAGCCAGATCCTTGGGCTAGTTGGATACATGTATCGGGGTCTGTTGGAATTGGATGGTGTAGATGATGGGTTATGAAGTGGGGGTTTGCAGCGGATATGGTGGTGGTGGGGTTATTGTCATCTTTGATCGGGTTTATGCATTGTTGAAATCAAGTACCTACGTATATACCTACCTAGGTATGATTCTCAAAGTCGCGAACAGTATTGACGCGTACTCTGCAAAGCGTTGGACTGTTGCTTATTCTAAGGAAATGTCTGACTTGTGTCAGATCAGATTGTGTATGCGACGTTTATCTACGGCTTTAGCTGTCCCTACATCTCGCATCCTCTCTCTCCCAGGAGCTCGCGTCAGACAATGACTCCACAAAAAAAAAGGGATTTCGCTCTCGTTTGCTGGTTCTATTCGTTGATGAGAGGAAGGACCGTTTATCTTCGAGCCAAAAGAAAACAAGTCACAAGTGATGCGCTCCTCCTCAGGTGGTCCCCGGATTCCCAGTCCATTTCCGGTTTAACGTACCCGCGATAGTGCTAGAAGATGGGTAATGCGATAACACACAATGCCGCCCACTCAAGGCCAGAACGTCGAATGTCGAGTGGATTCTCGGGTTAAAGCCAAAGCACATGTGTGAATGACTAGGGCTGGAGGGTCGAATTACTGCTTTCAAAAGGATGGCACGAGATAGTCTATCAATGAATCAGGTGGCTACTCGTTTATAAAGGAGATCTGGGAACCACTTGCTCGTGAACGCCCACATTGACATACATTGACCTTCTGTATCTCGTTTATCTGCCCTCTTGTTTTACAGCGTTCGTGTCATTGAGCGCATGGTCCGCACACCGCACCAACCCTCCACAATGCAAAAGACCCTAGGCAAGGCCACTTCAACAGCCGACCGCGTGGATAGTCCATACTCGTACCCAGACCATATACTCGATGTGCTCGTTATTGGCGCCGGGTTCGCAGGATGCTACCTACTACACACGTTACGCAAGGCCGGATTCCGCACTAAGATCATCGAAGCCGGATCCGATTACGGCGGCGTGTGGCACTGGAATTCGTACCCAGGTGCACGAGTAGACTCGCAATGGCCCATATACGCGCTGGGTATTCCCGAGGTGTACGAGAATTGGAGTTGGAGCGAGCAATACCCCGGTGAGAAGGAGCTGAAGCGGTATTTCAGGTTCGTGGGAGAGAAGCTGGATCTACGGAGAGACACCGAGTTTGGGAAGAAGGTGGTGAGCGCTGAGTGGGATGAAGAAGAGAAGGAATGGAAAGTGAAGTGTGATGATGGGTTTCTTGTGCACACCAAGTTCCTGATTGCGGGAATTGGATTTGCCGCGAAGCGCTATTTTCCGCCGTGGAAAGGGCTCGACAGCTTCGAAGGGGTGATGCATCATTCGAGTTTCTGGCCTGAGGAAGGAGTTGATGTCAAAGGGAAGAGGGTTGCGGTGGTCGGAACGGGAGCAACTGGTTTGCAGATCATACAGGAATGGGGCAAGGAGATTGGTGAGGAAGGGTCGCTCACTGTGTTCCAGCGCACGCCTCCCACCGCAGGGCCGATGAGACAAAAGAAGATATCCAAGGAAGAACACGAGGAGATGATGGCGAGGCTGCCCGATGTGTACAAGCAAAGGCTCGAGACAGAGTCTGGGTTCACGTACACTGTGCAGACCGAATTGAAGATGGCGGATCACACGGTCGAAGAGCGGGAGAAATTCTTCGAAGGCTTGTGGCAGATGGTGAGTGCTGTTCCCAAGATATGGCCCACATTCGCCCATCATGCGTTATTGACTCGACAGTAGGGCGGATTCCGCATGTTCTCGAATAATTATGGAGATATGATGACAAACCGCGAAACCAACGAGGCGGCATACAACTTCTGGGCGCGAAAAGTGAGTAGATTCATGCTAGGTAAAGCCGGATCAGATGGTAACAAGAACAATAGACACGAGCAAGGGTGCACGACCCGAGAAAAAGAGACCTCGTTGCTCCGCTGGAGCCGTTGCACGTGTTTTGTGGAAAGCGACCTGTACGTATAGCAGGGAACTGCCTGAAGCATTCCGTTTGACATGTTACTGATATGTTTTCAGTCACTAGAGCAAGATTACTACGAGCAATACAACAAGAAGAATGTGGACATTGTCGACCTTCGGGTGAATCCGATCGAGGACATTGTTCCCAAGGGTGTGCTCATGGCCGACGGAACAGTACACGAGTGCGACATCATCGCGATGGCTACAGGCTTCGACATGGTGACGGGCGGACTGAAAGACATTGACATTCGCGGGTCGAATGGAGAGCTGCTGAGAGAGAAATGGGACAAGGGCACGTATACGCATCTGGGCATGACAACGTCGTCGTTTCCCAACTTCTTTTTCCTGTACGGGCCTCAGGGGCCGACGGCGCATGCAAACGGGCCGAGCTGTGTGGAACCACAGGCAGACTGGATTCTAGGGGTTCTCCAGCACATGCGTGACGAGGGACTGGTGAAGTTGGAGGCCAGACCAGAGGCAGAAGAAAGGTGGAAGCAGCTGGTGCACGATAAGAGCGTGGTTTCTCTTCGGCATACCATGCTGAGCTCGTTCAACGGAGGCAACATTCCGGGGAAGAAGGTCGAACCGCTGAATTATGCAGGAGGGCTCCCCGATTACATTAGCAGGATATGGAAAGAGCGCGAGGAGGGACTGGGTGGATTTGCACTGAGTTAGCTGAGTTAGTATTGTAGCTAGCGGTTAGCACATGATGGTATTGATACGGTGGAGACGGTAATGCGATGAATGGAATCTTGTGTGGAATGTTTCGCGAGAGGACAAGTTGCGTGCTGCGGTCTGTGTCGAGCAAAGAGTGACAAAGGCATGGCTCGATAGGGATGGCGTTGACGTCGACGATTTTCCGATGTTCATGCCTCAGACATGGATGGAACGCCGAGCGCAGGACAAGACGAGGGTGGGCAGGAGTCGGATAGGCACAACCGCCCGTGTTTCCTGGCACCTCGGGGTGATTGGGCGGGTGCAGCGGCGTAGATGGTAGCAATATGCAAGTCGAGGGCGCGCAAACAGCCAGCGTGTTGGATACAATGGAAGCGTACGATAGAGACGAGGAGAGGCTGTGTGATGGCACGGTGGCGTGGGTTAATGGCAAACGCTATTAATATCGTGGATGCAATCTATGAGGGACGATGGTGACAGATTGGGGGAGCGGCTGATTGCGAGAGGCAAAGAGGGTCATGTGACGGCAGGAACAGGCTAGCGGGCTGCGCGATCGGGACTGGTGCGGTAAGGCCATCAAACGGAAATGCGGCCTGTGATTGGCGGTGTGGGGGCCATCTCAAACGCGGAGTTCATCCACCCACGGCGACCATGGCATGGCATGCCGGTTGTCTGCTCTTCTCCTGTCTTCCCGTCCTTCACTCGACCTCCGTTCCCCAGCGGTAGCCGCCATACTTCCATCCTCCTACACACCTACATACACACCTGCATTCACTTGCTGCTGTTTTTCCCTTTGTCCCCTCTCGCTCTCTCCCTTACTTGCGTTGCCTCCCTTGATTGAGATTCATTGATTGATTGTCGGTGCTTCCCCCGCGCCCCTCGCTCCTTCCAGCCAGCTGCACAGTGCGCGCGCGCCTTCCTCCCGCGCCGCCCACTGCCACTCAGCTTCACCCGTGCACTCTGAACAACCTCAATTGCGCGCCAACACAGGACCAGTTGACAATACAAAACCACATACCAAACGTCTGGTGCCACGTCGGGACCCTTCGAGATATAAGCCTTCTCTACCTCGCCCGCGCACCCCACCCGGCAACCATACATCCGCCGTCGTTCGTTCCCAAGGTCAGGCTCATACGTTACCTGCCTCAGACACTTGCTGCCCCATCTGCTCTCCAGCCTGTTGCATCATGCGCACTACCTCCTCCTAACGACCCAATCATTCATCGCCAATCTCCTTTTCAGTCCCTCTTTCACTCCTCTATACTTGTAGAGTACTTTTCCGCCTACCTACCTACCCTGTCACTCTTTCCTCCTCCCTGTGGTGCAGCGGGTCTGTAACCACCAACGAGCCAACATCACCACCCTCATTCCGAGCGCGACTTGATGTCGTCCTAGATCTCACGCCACTCCTTTACCACAGCTGGGCTGCATTGCCCAACCCGTTGAGCGGACTACCTTGATACCCACATACATATCCGCCTAATTACCAAACTCATTCTCCACAATCGCAATCATGGGCTGCTGCAGCGATCGCGAAAAAGGCATCACTGTCTCGGAGCAGCAGAAGTGGGATTACATCGTAAGTTGTCCCCCTCGCGACTGCGACTGCTACTTCCCTTCCACTCACTGACATGACCAGACGCTCTCTGATTTCAAGTCCACTTCCTGTCTTGCCCCCCTCTCCTACGTCTGGTTGTGGATCCTCGTCCTCATCTCGGGCGCCGTCTACGCTGCTGATGCCTTTACCGCCGTCAACCTTCTTGCTTTCGACAAGTGGTCTAGCGAGGTCAAGCCCAAGGTCCCTCAGGAGATCGCCAAGTGGATCTTCGCCGTTTGCATCATTCTCTCTTACGCCTTCCTCGTGTACCGATGGATCAGGGCCGTACGCGTTATCCGCTCTGGCAGTGTCGCCGAATGCTACCTCGAACCGCTCGCTGCCATTTGGCAGAGTATGCGCCTGACCAAATCTGGCCAGGGATGGCGCCGTTTCCTCGTCTTCGCTGAACTCACAAAGTCCAGAAAAGGCGTCGATTATATTGCGCTTTTCGTCTATTTCCAGTTCAAGAGCGCTCTGATCATCATTCTCGCCCAAGGCCCCCGCATGGCTATCAACGCCATCACCCTGTGGGCCGTTGTGGACGCTCAACTCATCCCCGTCGGCGAGCACGCTTCCGAGGATCACAACTCGTTTGTCCAATTCTTCCGAAACATCGAGACATTGACCCAGGAGGGAAATAAACAGGAAACTGTCATCTATTTCACCATGTTGTTCTCCCTCGTCATTTGGGTCATTGGCGCACTTTCGCTCCTCGTCTCGTTTCTCTTCTACATCTTCTACCTCTGGCACCATGTGGATAAGTCGGATGGCAGTCTCACCAAGTACTGCCGCAGGAAGATTGAAACCCGTCTCGAGCGCATTGTCAGCAAGAAGATCAAGAAAGCACTGGAGAAGCAGGACATGAAGCGCCGAAAGGAAGAACAGATTGCAGTCGGCAAAGGAGAGGCCACAGCTAGGCTACCTACTCTCCCCAAGTTAGGAGACGACGATACCTCGTCTGTCTATTCCATGGCCACTACCGCTACATTGCCACCCTACTCTTCCAACGGGCCCTCCAGGACCAATACTATGAACACCACGCGCACCGGTGGTATGGGCAATTCCATGAAGCAGCCCAGCCTCCCCTCTCTGAGCGAGAGGCCCATGCCTGTTCGCACCGACACCCAGGGAACTGCCTTCTCTACGAACAGCAACGCACCTCTGCTAGGCCATTCCGCTGACATGGGCATGGCGTCTCCTCTCCCTCCCATGCCAACCCGCGATCCAAATGCCGAGTATTTCAACGGCCCGCCCTCACGCGGTCCGCCGCCAAATGGCATGGCTGGTCGACCTTTCTCGCCCATGTCCCACGGCCGATCTTCGCCTGCTCCCCGTGGTATGACGCCGCACATTGATACTCAGTTTGGCGGGCCTCCACCAAATGGCATGGCCGGTCGACCCTTTTCCCCAATGTCCCAAGGCCGATCCTCACCAGCTCCGCGGGCCATGCCACCGCGCGTCAACACCCAGTTCGATGGTCGCAATTCGCCCGCACCTTCCCAGGGATACCCACCCTACTCGAGCAACAGATCTATTGCCGACCCCACATTTTCGCCTTACAACGGCAGCAATGCACCTGCAGGCGGTCCTTCGTATGAAATGTCACCTGTCGATATTTCTGACAGTGCATCTCAGCGCGACTACTCCAGCCCTGTCGATGACTATAAGCCACCCCAGATGCCGAGCATTCTTCGTCCTGGATCTCCAGCACAAACCCCCGGTCAAGGTTCAAGAATGCCTCCCAGGGCAGGCACCGCTCCTCCAGCCAATCCTCGAGCTGGACTGCCAGCTACCTTGCAATCGGCCATCCAGCGCCGTGAAGCGTCCCAGCCTATGCCTTTCCGAGGACCGGGTACTCCGCAACAGCGAAGCGCCACGGCGCCCTTGACCCAGCCTGGTTACGGACCAGGCCCTACTGAGAGGAGCACATCCACCGCTCCTCCTGGGCAGGGTTTCAACGGGTACTAGTACCCAACCATCTCCTATGTAAATTTGCCACAGTGTCGTGTTATTCATCACATCATGCATTCAACGGCGTTCACTTCTTTCTTTGTTAGACACAGAGCACCACTTTACTACGATACATATTTTTCACTACCAGCGACGAACACCCTTCTCCCTCGCCACCTCGCGCGGGCGAGGGAGAGCAATGAGTCATTGAACGCGCTTGCTCACCTTCGAGATACCCTTCCGCCGCAGGTCTCGAGCGTCCATTCACTACTACCACTTTTATGTCTTGGGGATGAGGAGGTTAACCTTATGTCGGGATTTTGATATATAGAGGAAGGCGGAGAGGGATGAAGCCTTTCTCATTACTGGTGGACCTGTCATTTTTGGATATGATGACACCCAGAAAAGTGGAAAAAAGGATTTTCTTGTATGATATAGTACTCTCTCCGCCGTGCCTTCTTTGCGTCACGGCGATCATGAATGCAGCTTTTTCGCCTCTGTCGTCGTCCACCTATTTTGTCTCGGCGTGGTGTTTGTGATTGACAGAAGGAGGATTGGAGGGAAAATCCACAATTCTCATTCATATTGGGTGCGAATTCCTAGCGTGCGAAGGCATGTTGAATTTCTACTATCTAAGACTAACTAGCAATAATAGATGAAAATCCATTGACAACGAAGAATCGCGGCACGATGATCCTCGCACCAAATGCCAGACTACTTGTTCTATTTCGGCCAGATTGCTCCATGACATGAATACATCGCCCAGTCAATGAGTTGCAAAACGCTTTCCAAATTGGAACAATCTGTGTCAACCACAGCAGAGCGCATGTTCAGCAATTCCTCAACCCGTATTCTAGCCGGTATCCTAGGAAGCAAGGTCTCTAAGTGCACTGAGAGTAGTACTCGTTGGTAGCCTTGCAACTGCCCTGAGCACAGCACTTAGCACCCGTGAAATCCTTTCCACCGCACTGGCCGTACAAAGCAGCGCATCCAGCGTTTCCACCGCCGTTGTTTCCACCACCAGTGTTTCCTCCACCGTTGTCGCCTCCGCCAGTGTTTCCACCAGCCCAAACCGCGGGACCCGGGAAGGGGAAAGTCTTAGCACCATTGTAGATGTTGAAGTTGGCATACTGGTCGGTGGATTTGTACGCGCCGGGGAACTTGGCCATGGGACCAGGCGATCCGCTGCCGCCGTTCTGGACCTTGATCTGCAGGCACCCGACGTAGTGCTCTGGCTGGTTGACGTGCGAGCGGTGGACGCCAATGTGCTCGAAGCGCGCGAGGTACTCGCCGTTGGGGGTATCCTTGGGCACCTTTGCGGCGATCCAGTCTCGGCCCCAGGAGCACCATGCGTTGGAGGTGAAGTCACCGCCGCCGCACACGCCCTCTTGGAAGATCTTGAACCAGTCGCCGGAGCCGTCGTAGGACTTGACGCTGCCGGGAGCTTTGGAGAGGTACACGAAGGATGGGCCGGGGTGTTCCATCTTGGCGCCTACGGCGAGCTTGAGGCGGATTTCATCGCCGGCGTTGACGGTTACTGAGAAGATGTGGAGTTAGTTATGTGTGCTGGGGAATATATTGTTTGGAAGTAGAGTAGAATAGTTTTGTTTCTTCACTTTGTAGATGTGGGTGAAGCTTGACTTCCACAACATGTTTGTGCAAGACGACTCTGTGAAATGGGATTCACTCACGGACTTCGGTCTTGCCGGCAGAGTTGAATGCACCCTGGTTGCAGCGGGCATCATCACCACGGTCGATGAAGCTGTTGTCCCTGATATCGGAAGATGGGTTGGACGAGAACTTGATCGGGTTGTCTGAGTATCACAAGTTAGTCGAATTCAAGCACAAAATTTTTGGGATATACGAACACTTGGTGGGCCTGGTCAAGTCACGAACGTACTTGAAGTACGGTTGCTGGGCTCCGTTGACCAAGTTGGTGTCGAAGAAGTAGTGAGCCGAAGCGAGCTGCGCAATGGCGCCGATAGCCAGAATAGAAGCCTTCATTTTCGTTGAAGCGATTGTGGTTCTGTGGGAAGCAAAGACGAGTGAGTGTGCTGCTGCTGCTGTTGTAAATTCGTGCGCCCACAGCAGACTCTTTATACTTGAATCCCGTCGTTAGTTGTCCCTTCGAGACCATTCTGTAAAGTAGATACCAAGATCTTGGGAGTAGTATCGAGTTGTGTCTCCAATCTCGATACATTGGAATCGGAAGGAATATGCTTTTCGCCATCTACTGTAGCTGCTCACCCCGGAAAAGAAAGGAACCTGGGGTATAGCAAGCGAAATCGATCTTATTAAAAAACCTCCGGGATGTGCGGTCAGACCCACTCGAAAAGTCCTGATTCGGTACTTCTTTGGTGGAAAAAGTGATCCTGTTTGGGGCTAGGCCGAGTGTGGCTACACGGATTAATGTGGTATTTTAATATAAGCAGCTTAAGACCCATGAACATCACATAGAGTAACGCAACATGGCTTGGGGCGGAATGCTGCGGCGAAGCCTCATCATGTGTGTGTGTGCCACAAACGAGCGTTGAATAAGAATTGTTCGGGTCGTCGCTGCCGGGTTGTCATGTTGTTCCACCAACAAATACCGGGGAAGCACCAGGACAAAAGCTTGGGAACGATCTGGGCAGAGATGGAAATAGAGGCTACCAGACTTTCAAGACTTTGAAGTCTGTCGAAAAAGGAAAATTCCTCGACGGCAATCTATGCGGTCGTTGTACCCGAGGTTTTGCCTGCTTTTTCAGCGAAAGCTTTGGCTATAAACCAACTTGAGGTCAGATATGCACGTCAAGGACAAAACATACCCCGCATACTAGCCTGTGGATTAATATACTTGAATGTACCTCATGTCGTCTGTTTCACATTGTCTGACCTATGGCAAGCGGTCTACTCACAGAATGGTACGATTTTCTCCACAACTCTATTTACATCTACCCGGTACCGATATTGTTCACAACGGGTGCACAGGGACATACTAGACTCAATCGAGTATGTGAGATATGTGCAAGCGGCTCTAGATTTCTATATTGGTCAACTTGAGCGCCTAAAATGTCACTCATCTCCAGTTCTTCAAACCTTCTTTGAAAGCGTGACGGGTGTACGGTTACCTGAACCATAGACGTTTGCTCGTAGCCAAGACAAAGAAATCAAGAAACAGAAACATATTCACGACTTTGGGTCACAAATATCGTCTTTAAGATATTGTGATATGTATTCAGGCCTGAATGTAATTTAGTTCGGAAAAACTAAGCTGGTGGACACTGCACAGCTCAGGAGGCAGCATCAGGTTGTTGGGTATTGGCTATCGCTACAAGAGGAAACAATACGAACAGGAGTCAGCCTGACATCTTGAGATGTCCGTAAAAGGGGATGCTGACTCTAGCCTCCGTCATTTGACTATGTTTGTTCAGTCGACTCCTGTTATGTGGCATGTCTTCATCTTTGAGCCTTGAGACTAATCGTTGTGTTGCTGTATATGTGTTGTGTTGGATTCCAATCAATATAGTGACCTATACCGCACTTTTTCAGTCAAAGCCCATTATTCGTAGTAGGTCTAGTATATTCATTCAGCCTCTGCTACTTTGCCAAAGAGCCTTTGGAGATGCACAGCATGAGTGAGTACTATTGTATACTCTCATATGGAAACTATACAAGGTAAGCCGTCGGACAGAGACTGCTGTCAGAAAAGTTCAACGGCTTCCCGAAATTACTAGTATAGGGTGCTCCTGGTACATGGGTATGTCCTTCGAACTTTCATCGTATGCGCCTGATCACGCTCGATATTGTTGAAACCCAATTCAACACTCAGTGTTTCTGCTAGATACTAACGATCGCGATGGCTTCAAAAACTAATATAGTAACGAGTTCGAAGGCAGATACAACAGCAGAGTATGTATATCACATGTCATCACGCTGTAAGCCGAGCAAGTTGGGCAGCCCCAACCTGGTCGAGAGTTGGTTTTTCGACAAGCGGCTAAAGAAAAGGGAGAGAATCCGTGGATGCCGAAATGAAGCTGATAGTGACCATGAAAAAGAGTTCAAGACCGATCATGTGCATACGATGTAGTTCTGCTTGAGCGATGGGGGCGCAAGACCGACCCCAAGCACTAAGAGTTATATTGCATCCTGTGAAAGGATTCAGAGGAACTGAACCGAGGTACTTGTAACAAGGTTTGGATCAAAGTGTCTCAATAATTGCATGCTGATTTCAATCTTCTGGGTAGGTTAATATAACACGAAAAGCCGTATATGAGAATGCTTTTCCCTTGTTCAAGGCCTGGAGTTGATTCACTCAGTCTGTCTGATATAATCATATTGTTCTAGACAGCTCGGTACCCACACCTATCCTCCTGCCAACACGAACGAATATCTTTCACGATAGCATACGATCCCTTGACGAAGATAAGCTGTTTGGCTTGTCGTTTGCGAGCTACCGCCCACCCCCGATGCCACCCCCTCAGGTGGACTCCCGTGCCACCAAGCCAATCAAACCCGACTCTGATAGACAATCTCGCATAAGCATTGGAACTCAGATACAATATACGAAGAAGAACATAGTTTGATTGATACGAAGTCAGGCACGTGCATCCTATCTACTACACTGGTGATCCATAATCAGTCAGTGTTAGGGCGTGCACGTATCGGTAAGACCATGATGATCATTATAGACCTGAAACCCGATTATAGCACCATGGGAGGACCCATTGCAAAAGGAACAAACATGACATCGATTAGGTGATCGTCGAATATGTACTCGTAAGTACTGACTTAGTACGTATCTAAGATCTAGTAACTTCCCCACGTGTACAGAGAGCGAAGAGTGATCAAAAATCGTGCTGATGCCTTGAATTGACAACTCCCGAGAACAATGAAGAGCAGGATCGCGAGCTTACTTAGCTAAGAACGGGCGATCGACCATCGTGCCTTGCGAAACACAACTAGTCAAAGACAAAGTCATCGCACTCACGATTCCGCTTACCGACTCATTTCATACTGGAGGAACGAGGGCAATGCCAGTTGAGATAACATCTTATGACAATCCCGCTCAACCATTTGAGGGATATCGAGGTACGTACGCCCTGATAGGAGGGTGTCTGGGTTGCATAAGATAACTGCTGAACTCCCAGGCTCTCTAGCCAATTGCATTTTGAATTCAATCATTCGCAATGACCCAACATGATCTGGAATATTTGTGTTCAATACAGCGTACACAAGTGATAGAATATTACTTTCAGTCAAAGGGTGATCCTTTAGGTCCATGACCTTGACCATACAGTATCTTCCGATCGAATCAGAATTGACACTTGCCAGTTCTTTGATCATCGCATTTCTATGCAGCACGAACCCTTGTTGCAGAATCACACGATAAAGCTACTTCGAGCTCCAGGCAGGGCACATGTTCCGTGGTTATCCCGAAACCAACACCGACACTGCAGTATCTGAAATCACAAAAGCCCAAGTGGCGACGAATCATAGCGAGCTAAATGACAAAGAAGCCGGCTATGTAATCGATATCACGATTAGCCGTACATCTGATATGCTGCATGACCGCAGATCGAATGGGGTAAAAAACGCGAGAAGCTACGTAGAAACCGACCCCTTATTTGAATACTGTGATCAACTTTAATGCTTAACACTCAATCTAGATTAATAAGCCGTATGCGACGTGGGCGACTACCCTTAATGGAATGAGGAAAAGAGTGGCAGAACTATTCAGAAATGCCTTCGTGCCGGTTCAGGCTGAGGCCGAAATTATGACAATGCCGTGTTTCGGCACTCGAGTTTCCTTTCATTATTAAGCAAAACCCTCCTCCCCATCGGATCTATCAGTTCGGTTCTGTCAGACCAAAGCCAGGAGAACTCGGAGAGAAGTTCAACAACACTGAGATCTATCACTGCTTCGTGGTGCTTTCACGTACGTTAAATTAGCAACTGAAAGACAATAGATTGGATTGCGACCTTTTATTTCCCCATATGTGTTGGCTTTTCGATAAATACATAATCAGGAACTCCTTCCTCATCATGTTCTAGCCGTTTCTCGACTGTCCTGTCGGATCTGTAGGCGTAAAGACATTGCGATTGATAGATTCGGCACAACACAAGTACGATGACAATATGATTTGCCTATTGGCCACAGAAGAAGCCGGAAATGCTATTTCGGCCGTGTTGGTCCGAAATCCAAGGGACCGGAGGAGAGTCCGAATGGACGGACAGTCTGGGGAGGATCGCCATTTTTTGGAACGCGTCCGTTCAAGCAGCAATCCAACCACCGTGGTTTTCATCCCCCTTCCGAGTTTTCTTAGATGGTGGAAAGCTTACTGACGGTGTTATCAGATTGACTCTCATATGCCAGCCGTTTCTGAACTTTGCTGTTCAACGGAATCCCCCACATGTTCGCTCGGGGTATCTTCTCTTCCGAACCTGGTAATAACTATATTACAAAGTCTAGCTTGCCAGCTGTCGATACGATCCAGGCTTCCCCCTAGATTCTGCTTATTATAAGATCATCATAGGTGGAACTAAGTTGGTCAGCTTCAGAGCGATGTTGCACTGCATCACGTCCGAATCTTCATCTTCTAGGATGATCGATCGATGGGACAGCGCAGGTGAAATATAATCGTGTCATGGCGTGGCTCGGCCTCGGTGTCGGCGTCTAGAATCGCATCAAGGGAATGCGATCCATGACAATAGTGGCTGGTGGAATCATAATGCGCCGTGTGGGGTGCTTTACCGATGTTCCTATAATATAAAACGTTGTCATGATAGCATGTTATCATTCGCTAATTTTGTTCGGGTCGCGTTCGGCTGCGGCATGTGCATGTCCACGTTCCGGCAAATCAATTTTAGATTAAAATACTGGGAAATAAATTAGCAACAACACCGAACCAGGTCACGTCGCAACTTAGAACTTGACTAGAAGCCACTGAAGTAGCTTGGAAAACATGGGCATCGCAAACGCCATAGGGTCTTGTCCACGAACTCAGCTGTGATGCCAATGCTACTATGCCTGTTCTCATCGCATAGTCGCTCGTGGCGCTGTCTTTGGTCGCTTGCCTCTACTTTCTAAGTCTTGTGTTTTCCTGAAAAGGTCCGGAAGTTGATTTCCGTCTCCGACTTTGATTGAAATGTAGGACAGTCGTGCGTTCTCTACTTGCTTTGTAGAGGTGTAGAGGAAGTATTTAAGTCTGATACGATCTGCATCAAACCAGCTCAAACATCCTCCAAACCACTCATTAACAACCCGGTCTATATTCGCTTCTTCAATCGTTAAGATGCACGGTACTACTTTGATGATCGGCGCTTTCGCCGCCCTGCTCGACTCTGCCTCCGCTCACGGTTTCGTGACGGGCGTCAAGTCGGGATCGTCCTGGACGCCCGGTGCTGACCCGGTCTGGTACTACCTGCCCTCCGACCAGCGAGCCAACACTGCCGGATGGAACGCTCTCAACCAGGATCTCGGCTTTGTCGAGCCTAACGCTTTGGGAACGAGCGATGTCAACTGCCACAAGAGCGCCACTGCTGGTCGTCTCTACGCCGACGTTGCTGCTGGATCTACTATCCAGCTTCCCTGGAACACCTGGCCAAGTGACAGCCACAAGGGGCCAGTCGTAAGTTATTGAGAAAAAGAAGTATGATAGTTGAAGTTCGATACTAACTAGTGTTCTGCAGATCAACTACATTCACCCTTGCAATGGCGACTGCACTACCCTCGTAAGTCGTCCCTGACGTCGTGGGATAGAGTTTCGGACCTCTACCACCAGTATTTTAATATTTTTTACTGACTTTTCATCACAAGACCCCCGGTGCTCTCAGATGGACCAAGATCTCCCAGGAGGGGCTTTCTGGAGGCCGCTGGCCAACTGACCGTAAGTGCTATAGCATAATAGCATGCCCTCTGCTCAAACCTCCGCCAACGATTTCTATGCCAAACTTCCTCAAGCTGACTTGTACCTTTAGCCATGCCCAGCAACAACTTCACTTTGTCCGTGAACATCCCCCGCAACTTGAAGGCTGGCAACTACGTCCTGCGTCACGAGATCATCGCCCTTCACGGCGCCAACAACGACAACGGCGCTCAGCTCTACATGCAATGCCTCAACTTGAAGGTCTCCGGCTCCGGCTCAGCCTCTCCCAGTGGCGGGTACGTATATTCAAGGCAACGAGAATCGAACTTCACTGACCTGTGATATAGTGTTGCTGGCACCTCTTTGTACAGCAAGAACGACCCCGGAATCAAGTTCAACTTGTACACCAACCCCACCAGCTACCCCATCCCGGGACCTGCTGTCTGGACTGGAGCAAACTAGAGTCTAGTCTGGTGAAAGTAGCTTAGTGATAGTTGCCGTTCGATGTATATATTGTCTTTGCTGTTGCATTCATAGAGAGCATTATAGATGCGTGTAGCCAATATTCATTCATTTGGTTCTCCATGCGATTAATTGATCCTTTTATTCAACACGTGCGTTTATACTGTTGAGCTATCCCTGCCTTTGACGAAATTTTCTCACCCCGACGCCCTCGTGATAACAAGATATGCCAAAGAATCGTCAGAAAAGCATGATCAATAGAGAGGTGTTCACTGGATAGCTACCGTTGGCTCGAGAGTACTTGTTGCAGCATTTCTGGGTACTGGTGTAGCCGCTACAGAACGGGTGCCTGCCTCTGTCGTCCTAGCGATTGGCAAAAATGATGTCCTCGGCATGTTTTCGAACACCAATGCTGGAACCGAGCTTTCCACACCTCCATTCCAATACGATCCACTATAACCACCCCACAAGTCCCAATCGCAGTCCTTTCCCCCTATCCCAGGATTTTGCTTTACCACATCGCTGACTGGCACCGCGACACTAGGCTTGTAGTTACTCTGATATATAGTGTCTGTTCCACAACCACAATTCCGCACGTACGCGTCTGCGCGTGCGGTAGAGATATCATTGACCCGAAAATCAGGTATGAAAAATGCGGTGCAGTAGTCTAGTTCATGGCCGCGACACGTTATGGATGCTGACAGAATGTCGGATTCTAGTTGAGCCACAGTAAGGACCAGGTCTGATGGGACCGCAACAGAAAGATTGTATCGTTGCTGATCGAATAAATAACTCTCAATTCGTGCATCTCTCATGAAGTGGTAAACACTGGGACTCGTGAGTGTATGTCCCGATATTACTGTAGTAGCTAATTCCTCAGTGATCGTGCTTGTTGGTTTCGAGGATTCGCAAAACTCAGAACCGGTGGGCGCCGGGGTTGGCCAGTAGTATGCAGAGTATGTTGAAGCTACCATTCTGCACATTGTACCTGTATAGGTGGTCTCGGATGGGTCAGAGCGTGTGCAATGTGGACCGATCATGTTATACAATGTCCCTAGGTATGAGGGATCTAACGTCGTCTCAGATTTTAGCTGGGATGCTCGGTAGCTGTATGCATCGTATATCCGATCACAGAGTAGGCTGCCGTCTTCAGCTACTTTGCACGAAGGCTGCGGTGGCCTAAATTCGCTGGTCCAAGTCGCCGTATTATAGTCGAGTGTGCTTGAAGACTCTATCCATACGTCTGAAGTCAGGACCTGTGTTGTACGGCATGTAGCAGAACGGCTTTCAGCACGTGGGATACCGTCGCAAAGCGTTGTAAGACCAAAATTTGTAGTGGAGCAGTTCGTCTTCTGTTCGTAGGTATAAGTTCTATTGTGTGTTCGTGGTGGAACGAAGGTAGTGACGATGGGAGTGATGCTTTTAGCAGCCTCAGTCCAAAGGAAATATGTTGTGAATGAGAATGAAAACTGCGAATTCCAACAGTCGAGAGACTTGGACGGAATGTCATTGAAGCTAGACGGTAAGGGCGGCCATGACGCGGTTGGAACCGGTGGGTGAGACGCACTTAGAGTGCTCGTAGTCTCACTGACTTTCCTTATTGATTAGTACTGGCATGCTGTACTAGAAACCTGTTCTTACGGCAGGATCCGAAGATAACCAGAGAGGATACTACCACCGAGCAAATTTGAATTACTGAACGCATGCTATATAGCAAAAGGTTCCAAAGATACTAGAAGACTGCTACTGACTCCTACACTGGAGAGGGCATCGTCGTGTTAATAATGGCTGCTCTATCCATCTACATAGTATAGCTTTTGGTGGGCCCGCCTAAATGTGGAGCCAATGTAAAAACACTGTACGTTGTTGTGAGAATGTCATTCATAGGTCGATGCCGAAGATATACGGCCAACAATACTAACATATATTGCAGACACGAGTGAGCCTGCGCGACGCAAACTGTGGTAGAGCGTATTACGGGTACCGAGTTCAATGCCACAATTTATTCAACGAGGGGAAGCAATATCAATTGATTCATGCGTAAGCGCCCAGACTAGAGGGTTATTCGATTTTCTCCCCCTAGATACAACTGTGGTTCAGTTGGATCCATATTATAACCTACACTTGCTTTCTCTATGGCAACGAGTAACAGAGAACCAGGCTCGAATAAGATTCGGTGACGACTTGGTCAGGGGCGTAATCACGTGCGCACCTTCCTACTCCAGACTAGCGAAAAAGTATAAACCCACTCACGTAAACTCCTTCAATCGAAAGACGCCTTACCCGACCACGGAACGACCGCTCAACGTGCTCAACATCTCTCGCCACTCACACTGGAGCGATCTTGGCTCACGGCGTGATGTCGATTCTGAGCCATGGCGTGCACAGGCGGCGGCATTTCGACATGGTGATTCTTCCGGATACACTCTGATTGTGGCGCTCTCCGCCAAGGCCATTTACCGCGTTCGCCATCTCCCATCCAATCAGATGAGGGTTGACCGAATGCCCAGAGAAGAGCTGCATGATTACATTTTGATCGCCTTCCAAAAGCTGCTCAGTCCCAATGACCCGCCAAGAATCCCTTCAACTATACGACCTGGTCGGCGGGAGGCAAGATTGTGAGCTGCCTACTCGGGCTAGCGGATAGTCGAGCTTATGAGATGAGGTACGATACCAAATGGCCATGACGAGTTTGGTGCCACGAACCTCTATACCTATATCAAGGTCATGTACGCCCACTGTGGAATGTCACGGTCGGCTTTCCTCGAGACCTAGGACCCTCCTCTTGTCAATTGTCGAGTTTTTATTGCGCTTCTCTTCGTCACAGTCGCTCAATTCTCAACATGAGGTCTGCATGCTTTCTCGCCATTGCGGCTCTTGCTGCTCCAGCTGTGGGCGGCGCTGCTCCACCACCACCGCCTCCCCCGCCTGGATACTCTGCGAGCCCTCCCCCCCCTCCAGGTCCTCCTAAACCACCGGGTCCTCCAACGCCGCCTGGTCCTCCCAAGCCACCGGGTGACGGGCCTAAAGAGCTTGTGTCACCTAAGGCTCTTGCGGATTTGATTACGCTAGAAGACCTTCTTGCAGGGTCTCAGAAGCTCCAAGACTTTGCCGATGCCAATGGTGGAAATCGCGCGTTTGGATCTGCGGGTCACAACGAGACCACCGAATGGCTCTACCAGACTTTGAAGGAAACCGGCTACTACGACGTCTACAAGCAGCCCTTCATCGAGCTTTTTACTGCCGCAACCGTCGGATTCTCAGCCGGCGGCGAGGACTACCCCTCCGAGTACTTCACCTACGGCCCATCTGCAACGGACCTTACAGCTCCAATTGTTGTCGTCGACAACCTGGGCTGTGATGCTACCGACTATCCCGAGACAGTCTCTGGAAATATCGCGCTCATTTCTCGCGGTATTTGCCCATTCGGACAGAAGGCTGCCAACGCGAAGACAGCCGGTGCTGCAGGTGCCATCATTTATAACAACGCCGACGGTCTTATCGGAGGTGGAACCCTCGGCGGCGTTGGTGACTACGCTCCTCTTGTCGGCGTCAGCGGAGAAACCGGCGCTATCTTGAAGGAGAGCGTCGCAGCGGGCGAGGTCATTGCCATCCTCAATGTCGACACCATCGAGGAGAACCGTACCTCTTATAACGTTATTGCTGAGACCAAGGAGGGCGACCACAACAACGTCGTCATGGCTGGAGGCCACACCGATTCCGTGTTCGCTGGAGCTGGAATCAATGATGATGGATCTGGCACTATCGGCTCCTTGATCGTTGCTCTTGCTCTTGCTAAGTTCAAGGTCAAGAATGCCGTTCGTTTTGGTTTCTGGTCTGCTGAAGAATTCGGAAAACTTGGATCCAACTACTATCTCAAGACGCTCAATGGTACCATCGGTGAGGGCTCGGCTGAGGAAGCCCACAAAGTGCGTGCTTATCTCAATTTCGACATGATTGCCAGTCCAAACTATGTCCTGGGAATTTATGACGGTGATGGCTCAGCGTTCAACTTCTCTGGCCCCACTGGCTCCGAGACTATCGAGAAGGATTTCCAGGAGTTCTATACTTCCAAGGGCAAGGCATTCGTTCCCTCCATCTTCTCTGGACGATCTGATTACGCCGCCTTCCTCGAGAACGGCATTCCATCAGGTGGCCTCTTCACCGGCGCCGAAGAGTTGAAGACCGAGGAGGAAGCCGAGCTCTTTGGCGGCGAGGCTGGCGTTGCTCTCGATGTAAACTACCACCAGGAGGGTGACACCATCGAGAACCTCAACACCGAAGCTTACTTGCTCAACTCCCAGAGCATCGCTAACTCGGTTGCCAAATACGCCCTCAGCTTCGATGGTATCCCTGCCGCCGATCCCGCATTGCGCAAGCGCGGCGCCGACAAGTACCGTTTCCAGAAGCGATTCGATGACGAGAGCAAGGCTCATAACCACGCAGCGCCTTGCGGACACGCGCTTGCTGAGATCTAGATCTCGAATACGGGAATCTAGTCATGAGTTATGAATGTCTGTTGCTGCATGATCATAACAATGCTTGTATATAGATGATTTGCAAAAAGTAAAATGAAATGTATATTCAAAAATGTTAGAATACCAGACCTGTGCAATGACACGTCAGAAATTCAAGTTTCCATCGTAAGGATCTAGGAGGATACGAGTCAAAAGTATTCACCCACGAATGATATAAACTAGTGGTAGCACCAGCTGTTAATGGAATTGTAAGCCCCGAAATAAGGAATATGCAATGGAGTGGGTCGTCTTCAACCTTCTGTTCCTCTGCATACCAGTCTTGCGAAAGCTTGAATACACTTGGCAGGCTAAGAAATAATCTTGTGTGTTGGATGCTTCGCCTTGAACTTCAAGCATTGTGCATCACCTTCTGTCTTCGACGATCCGGACAAGGTCTTCTCAGGTCTAGATGATGCGCCGCAACGAGCTTCTTATACTTCGACCTTTCCAATAACCTCATCCTCCACTTTACCATCATCCCGCAGAACCGTCCTCACCTTCACCTTCTTCTTCTGCGTGCTAGCTTTTCTTGGATTCTTTGCCTCGAATATATCATCCAACTCTTCCAAAGTCGATCCTTTCGTTTCAACAAAGAAGAAGTACATGAATGCAAACTCGAATATGTCCCAGAATACGAAGAAGACATAGAACCAATACCCAATCTTGGATTCTGTTAGCCACTGTATGTCTCGAAGAGTGGATAGCTCACCTTAGCTAGAGCAATTGGAGCTGCAAAAGTGTTGATGAAGCCTGATATCCCACCTGATATCTTATAAGTGCCCATCCCTTTCGCGCGCATGTCGTTCGACATCACTATACAGAGTGAAAAATCAGTAAGTGTGTGTGTGTGTGTGTGTGTGTGTGTGTGGAAATGAGGGTACTTGGGTTTTATATGATAATCGGACTTTAGGTGATACTGTGGTATTGTTCACACCCAGATTGACCTTACCTTCTGCGGGGTAGATTGGCTGCATCGGCGTAAAAGCAAAAGCAAAGATAGCTCCAAAGATGAAGATGAAGGCAATCGAGGCGTTCGAGCTGGTTTTGGATCCCGTGTTGACATAGCCAGCTGCCGTTCCTGCAGTGATCGAAAGCGCGACGACAAGACCTGCTGTAGCTCCCAAGAGCATTCGACGTCTGCCAACAACGTCGTGGAGGCGGGCACCGACAGTGGCGAAAATCCACCCGACAAGAGAGTACATGATATTGAGAAGCAGCTTAGTGTCAGTGTTCGTAATTCCCACGTTCGTTAGGAGGTACGGCAAATAGTACGAGACAACGTTATTTCCGGAAAATTGCCCAAACCACGCGAAACTCACGTTCAGCATAGTGCGGTATCGCCTTGCTCTAGTTTTGAACAATACTGATAAGTCAAAAAAGTTTCGCCAATGCGTAACGGGGTCCTTGCCAAGAGACTCGCGCATCTCAGCCATCTCTAGGGCGACAAGTGGATGATCTGGTTCTCCGTTTGCGTGGTATTTCACCAGGAAATCTCGGGCCTCATCGTAGCGGTCTTTGCCTACAAGCCACCTGGGCGATTCCGGGAAGAACAGAATAACTAGACTCACAAGTCCGGGGCAGACCATCTGAAGCCATAACGGTAAGCGCCAGTCAAGATTCGAGTGCGATAGGTGCTTATGTGCGCCATAGACGGATGAAGTGGCCAAAATAGATCCCTAGATATGGTTAACAACTAGAGTGTAGCCGCAAGCCTACAATACTTACGAAATAATAAAACGTATTGTATAGACCAGCAAGTGTGCCACGATACTGGGGTGGAGCAACTTCCACGAGGTACAATGGAGACGCAGCACAAGCGAGCTGCGCAAACTTCAACCCAGATGTTAGAGCCAACGGACATCGAATATACTACCATGAAAACTTACGAAGCTCAGTAGGAACCGTCCCCCGATGAACACCGATAAGGATTTGGCCGTCGAGGTGACGATCGTGCCCAGAATCACACCGATCGTTCCGATGAATATCAGACGCTTTCGACCCAGCCAGTCTGCTATCCATACAAAAAGAGATGCGCACATCTGGCCAATTTGAAATATGGCAAAGACGATGCCCGTAGAGAGAGTTCCGCTATGGGGAAGTCCATAGTAATCAGTGAAGTTGGGCAGAGCGTTGATGGACCCCATCAAAGAACTATCGAACCCTGGTTGCCTGTCAGGAAGAACTTAGGCGGAGGAATTGACTTACCACTCATAGTACTGTTAAGAAAGCACACAGCTGCCAAAGCATACAATTGAAGGTGGCCTTTTCCCCAAGGATTTGGCTTGTGCTTCGCTATCATTGCTGCAAATGCCGGGTTTACATCTTCTACTTCCTTCTCGTCTATAACCTTGGAGCCATCGGCAGCCAGGTTTCTCTCGCCTCGATACTCTTCCTTTTTGTCCGTCATGGTTTCAAGGGTGTTATGACCAGGAAAATCGATCGAGAAAGGTAATGGCCACAAATGTGAGCGGGCGACAAGATCTCTGCCAGAACCAAGCTTCTGGCATCCACTTGTCTTATAGCATAATCATGCGGCATCTAATCAGCTTGTTATCGGAAGCACTTGTTTACGGACGATCAATGCAGAAAGAAGCATTTCAGATGGCGATCACTACCCCGCTTGGATAGCCGTTGAAGACCCCGCATTCTGACATGTCACTTTCGGCACGAAGCCGAAGCTACGGCATCTTGGCAATGAATCAGTGCAACATATCTTTCCCTTTGGAATCACTTGTGACCGCTTGAACTTTTCCGCAGAGTTCCCGAGTATAACTTCCCTGTGCTTGTGATTGACCGGAGAGAGCATCATGTCAGCTCCATTCGATTCACGGTTCCTGTCCTCAGGTTGGACCTTCAAGCAAGGCCATCGCGGTTCAGATTCGAAATATCGCTCGGCGCAAAATGTACCGACGGAGGTCCACCTAGACCTATTTTCCAATAGAGAAATACCGGATCCTTTCAACGACCTCAACGAATTGTCCTCGCGCTGGATCGCCGACGAAGCGTGGACGTACCGAACCAGTTTTAACGTGGATTCTTACCATGAAACGTCGAATGCCAGGACGGTCTTGGTATTCCAAGGACTGGATACCTTCGCTACGGTCTGGCTTAATGAGACGATGATCTTGCAATCCAACAACATGTTCGTGGAACATCGCGTCGACATTAGCGAACAAGTCAAACAAGCGGGTACAAACAACAATTTCATCTTGGAAATCGAGTTCGAATCCGCCAGACAGAAGGGACTTGAATTGATTAAAGAGCATAGCGAGCATCATTTCATCGTGCACCAGACAGAGGTTGGGCGGGGACCGGTTCGCAAGGGGCAGTACCACTGGGGCTGGGATTGGGGTCCCATTTTACTTGGTTGTGGTCCCTGGAAGCCCATTCGCCTAGAAAACTTCGAAGCCCGGATAGATGATGTATGGGTGGAATACGAACTTTTGGACAACCTGACACAAGTTGCTGGAGAGATCTTTGTGAAGATTGAGGGTCAAGGAAAAGTGATTGCCGATCTGGCACCGGCGGAAAGCAGCGAGGTTCTCTTCCAATGTCGCGATTTTGAGCGGATTTCGGATGGAGTCTTCAGTGCAAAATTTAGTCTGGAGAATGTGCATCTTTGGTGGCCTCGCAATTACGGCCAACCATTTCTGTACAACGCTCACGTCGGTTTGAAGTCATCTGAGTTCCCTGATGAGCCCGGAACAATTCCTTTACATCAGGTTTCCAAGTCAATTGGATTTCGGAAAGTGGAACTCGTGCAGGAAGCCGACAATAACGGTACTTCGTTTTACTTCCGAATCAATGACGTAGACATTTTCAGTGGGGGGAGCTGCTGGATTCCCGCGGATTCTTTCCTCTCGCGTGTCACTACTGGCGACTATCGTGCCTGGATTCAGAAAGCCGCAGAGGGTAACCAAGCTATGGTACGTGTCTGGGGCGGAGGTATCTACGAATCAGATGCCTTCTACGACGCAGCGGACGAGCTGGGCGTTCTCATCTGGCAAGATTTCGCTTTCGCCTGCGCAAGTTATCCCACCTTCCAATCTTATCTCGATTCTGTCGCAACCGAGGCCCGTCAAAATGTGCGTAGGCTGCGCAATCATCCTAGTCTTGTCATTTGGGCTGGGAACAATGAGGATTATCAGATTGTAGAACGATACAATTTGGATTATGACCGAGAAGACAAGGATCCCCAGTCGTGGTTGAAAACGGACTTTCCGGCGCGTTATATCTATGAACACCTACTTCCACAGATCGTGCAGGAAGAGTCAAAGGGCGTGCCGTATCACCCATCATCGCCATTTGGCAATGGAACCTCGACAACACTCAAAGTTGATCCGACGGTGGGCGATGTTCATCAATGGAATGTTTGGCACGGAACTATGGAGCCCTATCATCGCCTGCCTTCTATGGGAGGACGTTTCGTCAGCGAATTCGGCATGGAAGCGTATCCTCACATTGAGACGTTGAAGAAATGTATCACCGACGATAAAAACCGCTATCCGGGCTCCATGGCAATGGACTTCCGGAACAAAGCAATCGGACACGAGCGACGCCTAATCTCTTATGTCGCGGAAAACTTTCGAATACGGTATGATTTGGAGAATTTCACGCACCTCACTCAGCTAGTCCAAGCGGATGCGCTGACCTGGGCTTACAAGTCCTGGCGTCGTGAATGGGGTGTGCCTGGAGATCGCAAAAATGGGGGAGCTCTGGTATGGCAGCTTAACGATTGCTGGCCTACCATGAGTTGGGCTGTCATGGACTACTTTAAGATTCCTAAACCCGGATACTACGCGATCAAGCGCGAGCTGCGACCCATTACCGTCAATGTACAGCGCAAAGTCAATGAATGGACCGTCAGACCGGCGGATGCATTATGGCATCGCGACACAAGCCATATAGACATGCGCAAGATTTGGGGGGAAGTCGAATTTGATTGTTGGGTTGCGAGTTCCCAAACGAAAAGGATTCAGGGTTCAGTAGCGGTGCGATACATTTCCGTGAAGAGTGGTGAAGACGTTTTGGAAAGCTCAAGTCATGAGGTCGAGATCTCGGAGAATGGCACGACTGAAGTAATCAGGGGCAAAAGAATTGCTGTCATGAGTGAAAAAGATCGCGATACACCTTTCCAACCTTCATTGGCCGATCCTTTCATTATATACGCTACGTTGAAGATCGACGGCGTACAGGTTTGCTGCGATGTATCATGGCCAGACCCCGTCAAGTACCTCAGCTTTCCTAATCGTGGAGTCAAGGTCAGGTATTCGGACGGTGAGAACAAAGCATTTGTGACTGCAGAGAGACCTGTCAAAGGGTTCGTGTTCAGTGAAAAGACCGGCATGACGTTGAGCGACAATGGCTTCGATATAGTTCCAGGAGATACCAGGGAAGTAAGTGCGACGCTTCAAGAAGGAAAGATCCAAGACCTGAAGTGGAGATACGTGGAGATGGGATAGTGGCATATGAGTACATTGGTAGATAGCCTCAATCGGTCTAGCCTAACAATCCAAAGAGCCGATAATAGAATACAGTGGCATATATTTCGACTCATGTTTGATGTGCAACATGATCTTCTGTATGGGAATCAAAAGGATCTTCATCACTATCACTATCAAATTCGTCCGGTACCTTCCAGAAAGCTGGATACGAAGTCAATGAATGTGGACCAGCAGAGACATGAGAATCGCAAAATACATACCGGTTGGACCAGCTGGCCCATGCAAATCAAAGTCCTTGTCGAACCAAGTTCCAATCACCCCTCGTGAACTGCCAATACCTCCTACTTGAATACCATCGCTTGCCCATCTTTCTTCGCTACCGACAAGTCAGCTCATGAATTAAGCAGGGATATCCCGCTAAAAGACTTACCCATGAAAAACACTTATGGTACCCCACCGAACATCACCATGTTTAGTCATTCGAGCACTACCCCGAATTTTAGAGCTAGCATGCGGGTCCCAAGATGCGTCCATTGCGTAGCTCGTACCCGAGAAGTTGACCACTGGGTAGGAAGGGTGATCGTCTGGACCGGGCTCATCAATGCTGTCAACGCGAAGGCACATAAGGATGTGTCGAATAGCCTCTTCTGTTGTCAGTGGAGCGCGTGGCTCGCTCAATGGGAGAAGCATCGCCTCATCACTGAAATTGAAGGTATACAGGTCACTGTAGTCTATTCCACCTCAGTTAGCACTAACTACTCCTGGGATAGCAAGAACATACCGAGAAAGCAGACGATTCTAGACCAGACACCAGAGACTCCGTAAGGATCATAGTAGCGGAGTGGAAAGTCCAAAGTCTTGGGAATCCCCAAACTTGGCGGCTGTTTAAGTGGTAGCTGCTTTTTCGTGGGATCGTGTATGACACCTTCAAACGGCTCCGACCACGGTAGTCGATACCGTGTCATAAATCGGCGACAACTCATGCTTGAGTTATATCCGATGACTATCATGATAACTTCGATCATCTCCCAGTCCACCCTCAACGATCCGTCGGCGAGGAATGGGCCCCAACGACTAGAAAAGATTATCAAAATTAGCATAGATATAGCAGACCAACTAAGAGAAGACATAAATGCAACAGAGGCCATCTGATAGGCTTAGTCGGGTATACATACGTCTGATCTGTGTATTTGCGAAGATCGTAGACACGTGCTCGGGCGTACGGGTGAGTTGATAGAGCCCTTCTTCCCATGGCCGTGTTTGGAATACCGTAGTAACAATGTAGTTTGGCACTCAATTGGCGATATTCCTCTGTAGAAGCTGCCTTCTGTGTGGAGGTTCCTCCTTGGGCATACAATGATGACTTGCACAAAAATGCGTCTAAATTCCCCGGAATGGCAAGCAGTTTGCGTAGCTCACAAACGTTTCGCGACTCGCCGTCATGCTCCTGTAAAGCTGCGCTTGCGATCAAGGAGCTCGTTAATACATTGACAAACTCGAAATTCTCGCTTTTAACATCCAGATTTCCCGACTCCATGATCTTTTGTAGGCGAACAACCTTCTGTAACTCAACTATCCATTCCGGCTCGGCAGCCGCCGGTTTCCACCGCGGATCATCCTGCCGGTCTCAGTACCTGCTCAAGAATATATTGAGTCACTGGCTGTTCTTACGAATTGTTTCAAGTAGTGGGTCTTGAATAGCCGCGAGTTGGTTCGTATGAAGTTGTAGAAGCTCCGCGAAGTTTGTGCACAAGAGGCGAGGTCGACAGGGTCAACCTCCTCCAGGATACGTATCAGGACATCATAATACAAATCTAAAAGTTCAACCATGGTGTCTTTGATGCATGAGTCCACAGAAGTGTGATGAAATCCCCAACACGCGGTATAGGGACGAAGTCGTCACTCAATGTGGGGTTCTGACCGGAGATAAGATATCCTATATCCGTAGATACATATCACGTGGGCATCATGTGACATACTCCAACAATATTCATCTTCTTGCTATTATGTTTGCTCATAGAACTATTAATATGTCTTATCAAGAAGGGCCAATGTACTATTATTTTTTGTTCATCTAGATGTATTCGTACGCCATTTGCCTTTCAAGATTCAAGACGTCTAGGCAAAATCCATGATTCCGATTTACTATATGACGTTGCCGTGAACTCAGACCATTGCAGTCGCGAATTTGTTCAGCTTCCTAGATTCTATAGGAATGGCTTGAAGTGAGTCGTATTCTGATTACTCTCCATCTTCAATTTGGCCTCTTGTCCAAGACTGACCTTCTCCAATGTGTTGTCTCCCGTACGAGATTTCAAAGTTGCCTCTTTTGAAATCCATATCACACTTCTTTTTTATATGATGTGAAGATCTGATTATAAACTTCCAGTCATTTGTTATCAGATCTTGAGATGACACGAGGACTTGATATACAATCACACACCCATCCTGATTCCTTACCTGTGACGACTAAACTTGTGTGAGGATACAGGTAAAGAGCCTTTTTTTTTATCTCACTTCTGTTATGCAAAAATCATAATCCATCTAAAAAGCGTGATAACAATATAGAAATCTTCTTTTCTCATGCTGCGGCTTATCCTTCTTGAGTTCCTTCGATATAGGTAAACACCGTACACATCGTGTGCGCTTGTAGAACACAAAGCAGATGCATCTAGAAATGAGGGTTGAAATATGATTGAAGCTACCCGCATACATGGAATGAACATACTACCGCTTCTTTGGCCTCTGCCGACTCCAGTTTGATCATGAAAACCAGCAGTCGGGAAGCAATGTGCTGCACCAGTATACCGTTTGTCAACTCTGCCTGTCAAAGAGCACGAACGAATAGTGCGCACAACTCCTCAGTGCATCTACTACATCTGCTTATGCTCCGTACTGCAGATGTTCCCCGAGCTCATGCATTACTAGATCAACCCGACGCACTCATCAATACTAACATCTAGCCTCAGCAACCAGGCCTACCCCGTAAGGATGAACGTCAACCCGCTCTTGCGTCGCAACTTGCCTGTATTGTCTTAAACCCACCCAGCATGTTCTCTCTGGAACACGCACTCAGTGGGGCCACGATACCGTTCCCAGTTTCAAGGCGTTCTTCGAGTCCTCATCCCACAGTACCTTCCGAAAGCCTTCCTTAACCGCTATATCACGCCTATCCACCTTCCTCACAAAAGCAGTACTGCCGCTCCGCTCGAAATTCTGCCTTCCGTTCCAGATCCAGCATACCTCTCCACTACCAATATTCCCAGCATTCCCAATCAGTCACAAGAACCACCCAGCCAAGCTACCAAAATCGCCTACTCCGCCCTACAACTCCCCCCTACCTATAACAACAGGGTAAACAATTAATAGCATAAGAAAGCCCCACCAGATGCGATGAGTAAGGGCGTCAGCATGCCTGATAAACTCCTGAAATCTGAATTTTTTAACGCATTGCTGCGTAACGGCTAGTCGAGTTGGGGGTAGGTGATGTGATGGGGCCGTTTATCATTTTGGGTAGTTGGTGGTCGGACTCCGAAGGCCAATGGGGGGTCAGCATGGGCTGTGCACGGATAGCGAAGGTGTACATTCCCGATCAGCGAACGATAATTCTCTGTGCTGATTTTGTGGGTGGGTGGGTGGGAGTGTGCTAGGGCCTACGTAATGGGATTGAATTAGGGAGCGTACGATGGGGTGATTTTTTTTGGGCGCGCGCGTTGGGGATGGAATTTGTTTGGCGTTGGGGGGAAGGGAAAGAGACGCTGCGGTGCTTGAACGAAAACGATCTTGAACAGCGGAGGTTTGCGGTGTATACTGTACAGTGAGTCACCCGCAAGTAACCAAGTAAGTGATCATTTGAATAGGAGATGATGTGCCAAAAGGCAAAGCTTGCCAATAAACAGCTGCAGAGATCGACGATCCCAGTGTAGTGGTTGTGATGAGGAATGGATGTGCTAAGCAGTAGGGAATAATTACCAATAGCGGATGGTGCAAGGATCGAGACAGTGGGTTGGGGGCTGGAATCATATAGTTCGAACAATGCTCAGTCTTGCGATTGCAATGCAATGCAATTGCAAGCATGCGTTAGTCCACAATGCCATGTGCGACAGAGTTCGAGAAGCTTTCCATCTACACGTCATTTCCGCTTTTCCTGTACGATGCGGCGTGGAGATTGGGCGGCGGAAGGCTTGCATGTGTATGGGCTCGTATTGAAACAAGCCCGATATAGGTCATGAATCCGCGCCGTGTATGATGCAAAGACATGCACAACGACTTCTGTATTAGGAAATAGATAGAGATGTGATGGGTGATCAACAAAACAAGATGTTTATTTGTCTAAGAAAAGCTACTTCTTTGGTGGCAACTTAGGGCTGGGTAACGGTGGATAATACTTTTTGTAGTATTCGTCTTGGTTTTCGCCCTCCCTCAGATGACTCTCTTCCGGCACACTGATGACCTTGCTTCGGTTGAATATGTACGTTGAATCAGGTCTTCTGGTTAGTGAGCTTCGCCCGGAGCCCGGGTCACTGCTGTCGGAGTCCCATTCAATCAGAGGTAGCACGCCTACGTCCGAGAGATTCTGTGGGATGTCGGACGGCGTACGGGAGTGCGCACGCGTTTTTGAGGGATTTCTTGAATGTGAAGCATTTTGAGACCCGTTTCCAGAGTGAGGTATAGTCGGTCGATACGTGGGTATAGCAACAGGTGCCATGAAAACATCTTTCGGCGGCGGGCTTTCGGGATCCGCAATCTGAATCGTGCTATTCGATGGAAAACGGTTGAAATGTTGGGAATTCAGATGCGCAGAAGATCGATCCAGTCCATACGTTGCCAAAGGCCTACAATAATCCGATGCTTTTTTCTTCTCGCCGTCACTATTGACAAGCGCGGAAGACTGGGAGGACATGGGATCGTAGCTGATCTTGCCTTCGTTTTGCTTTGAACCGTTGTTCTTCGGGGGAATTAGTCCACACATAGTAAATTTTTGGGTGCCACGGAAACGAATGTTCTCGGTTTGCACGGACCCGGCAAGAATTTTGATGATGAATGGGCTGAGACAAGGCAGAGAGGCCGTTATGATAGAAAGGTTCTGTGCGATTTGAACGCAGAGAACGACCCGCCAATATTCGGTGAACTCGAGAGTATATCGATTGAAGTAGTAGAGTTGAATGCTGACAGCTGCGACAATGCTAGATTGGGGTGAGCGGAGGTCATGATGCGAAGGGAATGGGTCATACCTTAAACGTGCCATGAAGGCAAAAGAAACAGAAAACCTCTTTCCAGCAGAAGTGCGCAGGTTCCAAAGAACAAGGGGTATCGATATAAGAAGAACCTCGGTGACTATGTTGGTAATGCTGAGGTAGTTGACCCATTTCACGATGTCAATGCATTTCTTGCCATCCAGGAACTCCAGGAAGAGCCATGGGCCCGGAAGACTGCACATGAAAGCGGTAACGAGGATTCCTGAGACGCCCCACAGCAAGGTGAAGATGCTGAATACGAGCGCAGCGGTGTTGGGAAGGATTCCAGGGAGCACTTTCTTGATGAGGAGACATATTGAGACTCGAGCGCATCCCATGTTGGCGATGTAGAGCATACAGCCGGCCCATTCCGCCTACTACCGTCAGTTGCGCTCATACTCGAGGAAGACAGTGACTGACCTTGCGAAAAGCTACGAATTCACTTGGATTCAAGTCGTCGATGCGGGGGCCAAGGACTTGCATCGACTCTATAGACGCCGTCACTGTGTGGCCGATGCTGAAGACCTGAGTCTGTTAGCTTTGTGTCGGGGACATGGAGATTAACAGGAAGACTTGCAGCAGCGATGACGATGAAGAGATCATCCAAGCCAAATCGCTTTGCATGGTTCTTGATTGATAACTTCATACAGAATCTAGCGACGAGTGTGCACATGGACAAAACCAGCAGCAACCACGATACCACGTTCACGATGGTGCCCCGGTTGGCCATAGGGGCAGTCTCCCTCTGGACGATCTTGGTCGAGCCATGATACATTTTTTCAAAGCCTAATTGCAAGCGGTGTGGTGATCCAAGGTCATGTGACGGTGCGGCACCGGCCAAGCGGCCACGAAGTTGACGTGTGAGCCCTCCAGGAGTCCAGGTAGAATACCGCATCTAATTCTGGGGTCTCGGCTTGTAGATATGTAGAGGCAAGCCAGGGCGCTTGGATCAAAATGCGCCAGGGCCCGCTGAGGTGATTGTAGCATGTAGGGATTGGCTTGATTAGGCTTACGGGTGCTCCAGGATTTAATATGGTGGCACGGCCTGATTCGATAAATAGATTGGGGCCCGACACACTCAGACAACCACGTAGATGTAGAGCAGCTAGTGACCTCAATGTGCAGGTAGCAAGCCACCGAGTGGGGCTGCCGTAGAAGATGCATTCAGGCCATGTTTTGTCGCAATTAATCATCTCTCCATGGCCCCCCGGGTCAGGCAGAGAAAGAGTGCGGTTGCACGCAGCACATGGACGGGACGTTTGCTTACGGTGCATGCAACCGGTGTGCCCTCCAGGCTGACGGACGAATATCACTGGGAGCTGTCCAGTGTTGAGCAAGCAGAGTGGAGCTGTTGGTGGTGTCGGACTTTGCAGACGAGTGATAGTCCCCGAAGGACACGGGCCAGCGTAATAAGCACCGCAGTCAACTTTTAATCTACCTTGCTCGGTTGCACTATCTGGGAGCCGGTGCAAGAAGGTCTGGCGCAACGCCTGATTGGCGTCGAACCGGCATGGAAGTTTTATCCAGTGTTCTAGCGTGCGTAGCTGTTTCGCGTGCGCCCGCATTTTATCCTCCATAGTATCACTAGCACACAACCAACATAGCGTCGTAGTGGTGTAGCGAATCCAGCCAGCTGACTGACTTGGTTGACTGAAGGACTATCGCCATGCTTGAGACCTCCTCGACTCACAATATCTTCAAAACCCCGTCTCGCACCGTGGAAAAAGCATCCCCTTCTCATCCTCACCGCCAGTCACTTTTATTCCTTTTTTTTTTCGCCTGTCCGGCTAAGGGTGGGACTTGATCGTTCCGATGTGGACGACGACGGATGGCGTCACCGTCGTACATCCATGCACTATAATATGTATATGTACGCTCAACATCCTTGATCAAAATTCGCATCCGTCAGCCTTATTGGTCTCGTACCCGGACACTGTCGCCCAACAGGCTAGACTCTTCATCGACGACCCTCTTTTTCTGTTTCTCGACGGGCGCGTTTTTCTGAAGGCTCACCCAGACTGCAGCTCCGATAATCAGTACTGCGCCGACAAGACTTTGAACGGGTGGTGTTGTTCCCCAAATCACACGCTCTATGATCAATGCAAACACCAACTGCAGGTAGGTCAGATTGGTTGCTCGCCCCCCCTTCTCCCTTTGCAGCCCCTCCGTGAGCAGGAACTGCAGTGCAAATCCCGCGAATCCAATGATGAGAATCAACCCCCACTGGCTCGCCTCTCGAGGAATGACAAAGTGGAGATCGGGATGAATCAAGATGATGAGCGCCGAACCGACTGTGCAAAGGGCCGCAAAATAGTTGACCGAAATGAGTGAATGCGCACGTTTCCCGATAACGCGGATCGTTGCGTATGCAAGAGAAGCTCCACACGTGCCTAGCACAGCGATCGCGATGGCAAGCATTCGTTGACTCGACGAAACTGGGATAGTTGGCGCCAGTCCTGGTGCACTGGAAACGTATGTCAACACGTCGCTCACAAACGTCTCTGCGTGCGGCTTCTCAGAGACTGGGCTTTTGGGTGTATTAGGAGAAAGTAAGAGCCAGGGTGGACGGGCGACAAAGAGTACGCCACAGAAGGCCAGTAAACCTGCGAGGGCTTCCTTGATGGTATATGGTTCACGCAGCCAAATGAAGCATACGATGGCAGTCATGGTTGGAATCAGGACTGGGAACGTTAGCATAATCCACGTGAAGATCCTCCATGCCATCCCGTGAAACACATACAGGTAATCACAGTCGCATCGGAAAACTCCAGCCATGATAACGAGTCTGGTAATCAATTAGCCGCCAATCAAAATCACCATCAGAGTAAATCCGTACAGTAAAGGCCAAACAGCCCAACAAACCCAGCTGCGCCTCGTAGAACCAGAAGCCTTCGAATGCCTTTCTGTCCCAAAGGAAAATCGGGAGTTTTGTTCCACCACATGTACAGACAACCCAGGACGGTAGTACAAAACATGCGAACGAAGATAATCTGCAATGCATGAAACTTTTCTTCATATCCTGTTGTTAACAGCTTCGCTGCCGTGTTCATCTAAATCCGCGTAAGCTATTGGTCCACAGCAGGGAAGAGAGAACGCACAATGGATCCACATGTTTGCGCAAAAAAGACCAGCACAAGACCAAAATTCCTGTCGTAGAACCTCTTCAACCGCTGTCGTAACGTATCTGGGGATTGTTCAGTGGAGTCGTTGTCTAGATTTTCCGCATCTCGGCCCGGTACACGCGATGACAGCGGGGAGGCGCCACCACTACCGGCTGCAGCATTCGAAGACTCGCTTGCCATGTTGCGCAGATTAATATCGAAGGCAGGAATCAGGAAGCCGTTGGATGAAATGTATATAACCAGCGAGCAGCTAAGCAGAGTACCTATGTAGGTGTACTGGTGGGTTGTGTATAGCGTGTAGACAAAATTCTCGGGTGGGACCCACATTTACAGACTGTGGGGAAAGCCATGCGGCGGCGTATCCGAGCACGTGTGATCTTTTCCGGGGTCATTTGGCACTTCAATATTTCTTACTCGTGACTCATTTACGGCTTTGACATCCGTTTCTTGCGTCTATCCGATTATGCAGAGAAAACTGCTAAGCATTTTGGAGTAGCAGGTTTTGGCCAATCACTCGCACCTACCAAGTACTCGCTTCTGGACTCACACCAAATCTATACAACATTGTAGAATAGAGAGTCGCTTCCTTAATGGTGGACATTTTGTATTATTCATGTGAGCATATCATCGATTTCAGGGACTAGGGCTGGCGAGAATTTCGCTGAATATGCCTTTTTTGTCCTGGGCTACTTTTGTGGTGGTCTCGCTATCAACATCGCTGTGTGACTTCAGTATGCGACCTGTTCCAATTGGGGCCTATGGTCTTCAAGTCTCAGACAAGAACTAAAGAGTCTCTGGGTTCGATCTGATTTCTTGAACTCTGTTTCTCTATTTTTCTTCATCATATGAATGAACTTGCTACTCTTTTCACGGGTGTCTAGAATGGTGAATAACAACCGGATACAACTTCACTTTCACGATGATTGCAGGCACTCAAATTACTACGCATTTGGATGCTGCATTTTCTATGGTACGATGTTCTGGAAGTGCGAGACAGAGAGATGTAAACACCGTGAGTATCACATCAATACTACCTTCTGAGTGCAACTTTACACGAATCTCTACTTTCGTCAGCAATTGGGTTTCTTTTTTTTTTTTCCCTTTTTCCCGATTTTTTCTATTTTCTTGTAGTCTTGGTAAGGATTCTGAGACACCTGACTGCCGAAAAGGTAGTGGCAGATGGTGGCTCTTATTATAGACTGTCGCTCCTATTGTGATTGTCGCTTCTATTGTAATTTGTTGCTCCTAATGTGATTGTCGTTCCTATTGTTTGCCAGCATAATGTGACCCATATTATTCATCAGCTGTTATTATCATGCCTCTTGAGACATTCAAAGTATTTCACATAAATTTTGTGAGACCCACGACCGTTCATGTTAACCAAAAGCCAAACCGTCTTCATCAACAACTTTGAGAAACCAAAGCAACATATCACTAAGATTCCACACGGGATGCAGGATTCGCATGAAGAAGATTCGACTCAGCCGCTCACTCAGGACCGAGACCCATATACTGTTATCCGGCGCACCGACGGTAAAGGGCATGGCAACGCAGGAATATATCTGGTTAAGCACAGCGTGACTAACCAGCTCGCGATCTGCAAGATTGTTGACATTTACGCAGAATGGTCAGTAAATGCACACAGAACGGAATCCAGCATTCTTTACCGACTAAAAGATCATCCAAATGTTGTTAACATAATCGGTCACACCGGCGAACCTAACTTCAAGCTTTACCTTGAATGTTGCCAGGGCGGAAATCTTGAGAGGGTGGCTAAAACATACAGGAGAGTGAGCCAACGGATCCCAGAAGCATTCTTATGGCACGTCGCCGAGAGCCTAGCACGAGCTGTATGCACTGCACACATGGGAGTTCTTCCAAATGACGAAAGCCTAACGCCCCAGAAAGACTGGGATCCGATATATCATAATGATATAATCACAGAGAACGTATTTATGACACTTTCTGTATCAAACCAAGATATCTATCCGCGGATCGTCCTGGGGGACTTCGGTGGGGGCAAGACAAATATTCCAGCTGACGACCTCAACGAGCATAGGAATACCAGCATAAGAGACATCATGGGTATAATGGATACGATCGTACGTCTCTCAGATGCTTACCCCGGACCCGAAGGACCGATTTTGCCCGGCTATCCGTATTCACTCGAATTGGCTCAACTGATTCGCAAATATGAGGTCAATCGTGAGGATATAGACAGAGAGACGGGACCGGCAATCACGCTGCTGAAGGATATCTGGGAAGCCCGAACAGCTGTCAGGGCTCGTATTCCAATGGGGCCTTTGATTGAAGATTTTTCCCGTGATGGTGTTGGGTCATGGGTCGATGAAGATCATCAGATGACATGGGATGTGGCTACGTGAAAGGAGACCTGCATCTGATATTCTACATTTTTGTATCACACTTTTCAGTCCAGCTGGACCTTCTTGTCTCTCCAACAGTCAATCTGTTTGAAATGCTTTTATCTGCCTTTTTGAGTGTAGGAAACCCTGTAACTTCCAATAAAAAACCCCTAAAAACTTGAAAATGCGGTGTGAAGATGTATCACTCTGTCCAACTTCTTTTATCTGAGTGTGCTACCAAGTAGGCCAGTGATAATTTTCCACTGCCGTCGCATCAGAATTCGCCTCTGTCGCAAATGTTGTTGACTTTCGGATATCAATCAGGAGCGTCCCCACAGAGTATCCAATTCGTTCCTGTAAATTTCACCACTCGCGAGTGCAAGTAAGACATGAACTCAATTCCACCTTTGAGATCCAAAGTATTGTTCAATCAGTCACAGTGAAACCATTCAGTCCAAGTAGCAAGGGGTGATCCAACAAATGAAACCTTTAGCAATTGTTTGTACCGCGGTCTTCTCGCTATGAAACATGGGGTCTAAAACAGGGAGCGCCCGAAGTCTACAGACGACCCGAGAAGCCATGAAAAGACATTAAAGGCTCCCACTTAAGGCCCAATTCCCTCCCGGCAGATCTTCCCAGCTTAGATGCACAGCTTCTTTCATCATGAACTACAGACGCCAAGCTCCCCGTCAGACGGCAAGATACTATCCTACGCCTTCTATAGCGCTCCAAGCTCATGTTCAGGACGTTGAAGTCAAGAAGCTATATCCCCGACTGGCACTTTTCGAAGCCTTATCAAAATTCAAGGATAAGAACCAGCCAAGAAAACGATCTTCTGATCCAATATGCGAGGCCAGAAGAAACTTCTTGGACGCATTCGCGTATCTTTGCGACATTAATACAGGGGGAGACACAGTGACCGCTGCAGCGCTGCAGAAGCTATCTTCTGGAAACGTTCTCTGGCTGGCCGCAAATCGTGGGATACCCCCTCACATTCTAGATTATGCAAGATTAATCCTCAATAAATTGATAACGGTGACTGTGGACAATCAGGCCACTCTTCAGCGTACAATCTTTGAGCTTGCCTTGGAGAAGTGCAAGCCTCGTCTTGATTATTACAAAAGGATGGCTCAGAAATACGCGACAAATTGTGTATCGCTCCTAAGCGAAAGAAGAGACCATGATACTGGTAAGATGGGGGCTCGTTCGTATGGTACACAAATGCTAATGCTTGAAGTCAAACATTTACAAGCGAAGTTGAGAGAGTTATCGGAGCCTCCGCCATATTGGACCATGGAGACTCATGTTACGTTCTGCTATGATATGAGGAATTCGGAATATCACCATATCAAGAGATACTCTTCTAATGCTCGTGACGTATTCGGCAGTTTAGCGCACTTCATCTGGCGTCTAGGCGAAACGCGCGAGTCGGCGAAAACAGTGGTCGAAGCCATGATCACCGTTCCTTCTCTTAGACGAGTCAATAACATTCTCGTCGTCAAGGCCCCAAAGATTATCAAGAGAACAATCGATCCAAGCTGCATGAGTCCACATGAAGTCTTACACGAAATCATTGACTCGGTTTCTAGTAGCCCAATACACCACATGCATGCGTTCACCAGGCTCCATGAATTAGATTCGCCAATTCCCGGACCACTTCATACGCAGATGACTTCTCGGTCATCAGTGAAAACAAAAGTGCATGCCGAGCTGCAGATCGCGGACCTGTTCAGCAAAACTGGGAACAGGAAATTTGTCGACGGCGATAAGTATATAGGATGTAGCAAACCAGCATGCTACTTCTGCTATAGTTGGCTTATTGAACACCCGCATCGTTTCGTCCCACCGGCTACCCACCACAAGATCATTTTGGCTTGTCGAGGACCGTCTGATAGTCTGAAGAATCTCGATCAACAAGAAGCGGAGCTAATAGTGGACATGTACTCAAAGATGAACCAGCAAATCGGGCAGGATATCATCAACTTTCTTCAAAATAATGGACGTAGAAGGTCCCAGCATATGTCTCCTGATGGATAGAATCTAGCTACATGCTGATTCAATCAGGCGAGGTTGAGGGGAGCGAGTGGCATAAGTTATTTATTCTCACTGGGAATGTTGTTTTGGAGAATACGCATACATGGGCTGTGTTTTCAGGATTATAGTCTTTCATTGATTGTTTATGGACATACTCGATTGTAGCGTTTGCCAGCGCACTAACTTCGAATACATGTTTTTCAAGTTCTCCAGGCGAGTATTCCGCTCTTCTGTCGCTGAAAACCATTTTTTCTGCAAATTATTGACATTTAAGGCAGCAGGTGTATGGTTTCTCGACCGCAATTTTTCTTCATGGGGTTGATTACGGCAGTAAGTACGAAAAAAACATATGGAGATATACGATGGGGAATCCTCTTTCTATGAACCATAAACTACCTCAATACTCCATGCTTCTATCCCCAGTCCCTAAATCTAAAAGTGATCAGATCCAATTGTCCAGTGTGTTCATAGTCCCATATCCCGCGACACTCCTTGATATATGGCTCAGAACGCCCATTATTGACATTATAATGCAGCGACACAAAATTGTCAACAGTCTTTCAAAATCCCATACTACATTCTCTAATCCTCGACTATTTTCTCCATTTCCACAAAGTACAGGTCTGTCGGCAAGTTCAATTCCAACAGGATATCCACAGGAAACGGTAACTGATCGCCCGTCCTTTGGTATCCTTGGCGTTCATACCACGCAATCAATGGTTTTCTCGAAGAAACTGCATTCAAGCCGATTCTTTTCGCGCCCAATGTCTCGCGACAGTACTGCTCCGCGCGTGCGAGCAAGACCCGCCCTAGTCCACCTCTTTGGTACTGTTGATCGATAGCGAGGTGCGCGATGCGGCTAACATTTTCAGGTCGCTTAGTGACCGCAACAACGCCTATGAGGGCGCCGCTGTCATTTGTGGCCATAAGGATTGTGCTTTGCGGTTCGGCCATGATGGATTCGACTTGCGATTCAGGAAAGCGAAAAGAGCGATTGAGTTCCACGGCTGTTGTCCAGTCCGGTCGGCTATCGTCGGCCTGGAATGCGGTTTCGATAAGCTGCTGAATCGGCGATGTGTCGGCTTTCGTGGCTTCGCGAATTTGAAGAGAGTCAGCAGTGGCCATGTTTGCGGTCTCGCGAGATGGATTATTGGCTGATCAGAGGATGATAAGTGAATTGGTTGGAAGTTGTGGGATGGGCTGTTGGTATGGTAAAGTTCTGCAATCGGGAAGCAGTACGATAGGGGACTCTCTATCTATTTGTTATTTAAATGGTCGAGTTCACTCAAGTATGAAGTTGTCAAATGTCACGATGTTATTCAAAGGCGTAGGGCGTAGGGCGTGCGGTAATAGTATGAATTATCGACTAATTTAGTGTAGCACCTGCCCTTTCGGGCTAGCCTTTTGGAAAATATGGACGCCTGAGAAATTCCACCCGATCACCCTGCTATCGATTAGTGAAGAACGTACTTTGAAGTTGGACCTATACTCGACGAGTTTAGAACGCTGCAGTATAAGATATTTAAGCGAAAGCTAAGATCAAATAAGAAAATACAGATCGTAATCGGAGAATATTGGTTGGGCGTTTTGTAACATGTGTAGTCTTTGCCATGCTTGAAGTTGTGGGCAATGCGAATGCGTCTTGTACTCCAGCTCTTCATCGCCTTCATATCATGTCGCAAATAAGACGCTTTGTAGCAACTGCGCATTAGTTATGACATCAATGAATGTCAGTGTCTACTGTTCGAAGACTATGAAGTCCCGTTCATTGTCATATTTGTGATCTTTGGATTGGACAAACCGTTTCTCTCAGTACATTTACATAATAATGTGTCGCAAGTCAAAACGCATCAATACGATCCGTGCCCTGATCAACATGATCTTATGTTTCATCGTGCTACTTAAGTGCTTTGACTGTATAGTAATGTCTTTCACTTGTTGAATGCTTGCAGAGCCCTATCAAGGTTTGCTTTGGCATAGCTATTCAGCCTAAATTACGTGCCTTTCACTAATTCCTTCGCGGGGGAGCTAGGAGCACACCGTACATTGAGGGTTCAAAACACAGTGAGCAGTACACGCGATTGCATCTGGCAAAAGAACCTTCCTCATTATACTTCAAGAACTACATAGTCGCCATGTCAGAACTACCTAGAGAGTTATATTCCGAGATATTCTCGTATCTAGAACAGCGCCATTTGCGTTCTGTGGCGCAAACCTGTCGTGACTTTGCCGCGCTTACCAAACCGATGAGGTTTTCGCAACTACACTTCCACGGCGATGCCCAGGAGGATAGATACTACGTAGAGAATGATCAGCATGTATCTTATCCTGGTCGCAAGCAGGTAGTAGAGATAGCGACTATCGAAGCCGCGGTCGAAGACGTGCTGTCATTAGGTATTGGCCCATACGTGAAACAGTTCGTTTTTGCCCCGAAGCATTATGTCGAAGGTACTATCACTCTAGAGGCTGATAGTATAGATATTAACGCGCATGCAGATTTTTGGCTCGAATACCGTCAATGGGTGGAGAACGAAGTCGAACCGGATGATGCGGAGGATTTTCATCGAATGGGCGACCCGAGTGATTATGAAAGTGACGAAGAATACATGTATGTAGGGATGCGTCGTATCGCGGAAGAGCGCGGTGCTCGTCCAGCGAAAGAACGAGAACTCGTTGAAGCTGCAGAAACCATATGGGCCACCAAGGTCGAAGAACAACTCTCAAAAGCGCAAGCGAATCACGATGCGTTAGTTCGTATGTTTGAAAGCATGACGGCTCTTCGAGGGATTGAAGTCGTACATTGGTGCTGTAGTCTCGAAGAGTACGGCATTGAAGATCGTTGCGAGTGAGTTCTTCGATGGTCGAGTTCTAGATTTGTGGTTCGTGCTAACCAACGCAGTCAAGAGGTCTTGGAGCAATTCGCCAGCTGCAAAACAGTTTGGACGCAATTGAATATGCTCAGCTCTGCAATCGGTGATTCAGGAAGACGCATCGCACAGCTGACCTTACCTGGATTCGACCCACTCTCCATTACGATCAATCCTTCTCTAGAGCGTTTGTTCGGCTCTCTTACTATGCTGTCCTTCAACATAGACGATCTAGATTTCATGTCACCGAGTTCCAGCCATAATGTGGCGAATGTGATCAAACTATTGAGTTGTGCGACACAAACGCTGCAGGACCTGGAGTTCAGAAATCACTCAGTACCCTATCCGCAATTACCACCTGCGAGTGAGAAGGATCTGAACAAATTGCTTGTCAACACTTTTCAAGATTTAGCGGAAAAGAAGATTGCAGTGTTCACAAACCTGAAGGCATTCAAGCTTCGCAGCATAATCCTGGAAACCACCTCCTTCCTTGCGTTTCTTTCCAGTCAGCCAGCTTTACAGTATGCAAGCTTTGAACACGTTTATCTTGCCACAACCGGATATACTTGGGCAGATGTGGCTCAAGCAATGCCTTTGTCATGCAGCAAGTTCTACGTCAGCCAGTGCGGCCATGAGATCTACAGTCCGCAATCTCCCGTCGCCGTGAACCACATCAAACCATACCACCCATTTAAGGAACAGTTCAGCCCAGAAAAAGGATGGCAAGCAAATGAGGCTATATTTGATAGGGAAATGAAACAACAATGGGAGCGGGGTGTAGATCGGTGGGGTCACAAGCTTCATCTGCGCCCGATGAGTACGGCCGAGCACGAGGAATGGATGCAAGGAATCAAGATGGCGACTCGACATGCTATGATCGAAAGGCTTTGAGAGCGTGGTTTGAACTCTGCTTTCGTTCACTGAGTACGACCGAGTATCAATTCCATTGCGAGTATCTTAGAATTGGTTTATGGTTCAACCCGCTAATGCAATTCTCTAAAATGTAAAGGTTTCAAGTACTCTAACTCGACGCTCGATGCACTATCATTGTCTCTCAAACGATCCTTAGCATAGACACAACTATCCTATTCTCTGCTTCCTTCTCACCCAGACATCTTTGTTCTCGTTCGCAGCGCTACTCGGTCGCAACTGGACTTCCCACACCTGAAGCTTGTAACTGCCACGATCAGATCTACCCGTATGTAGATCAAATGACCAGTCGTGCTTTGGACACATGATTCCGGAGCTCAATGTAACCCCGAAATCTTCGATATCGAATGGCGTTCCGTTTGATAATGGATATGAAGAGTGTGGGCATTCCTGATCACATGTTAGCCCGTTTGTTAATTGCATATCTGGGGAAGTGCTTTGGAAGACCAAACATACATGATTCACAGCAATCATTCTGCCTTTGTACTTGAAAACCATGACTTGGTCCTTGGAATCGCCAGCATCGGCGTCACGCCAATCGTCAATTGCTATCTCGGATGCTCTCGCGCCATCCTCACGAGGCACGTGATAAACTCGGCACCCCGGCACATAGACGCCCTGGCATTGTCGTTGATCCCCAATACGAGCTGTATCGCCTAGATCGGGATATGTATCCTCTGAACCAGCATTGAACCTAACGTTGGGAGCGTAAAAAGTCAGATGTTGATATGCGCGTCATATTTGTGTACAGTCTTCGCATACCACGCAGCGCCTGCCCGAGATGATTGGGAGAACGCATTGACAATGAACGACATATTCGAAAGAAGAGCAAAGATCACTCGAGGTTGGAAATGCACCTAACGCGGCTGTTATTGCTCGCTGGAGCGCTGAGAAATGGGCAAAGTCGACGGTAGCTGACGCTAGTCCTATCTAAGCTAGCTTTACTCATAGCAAACAAATCAAATACACCATTGACGATGAGGAAGTTGTGTTGTCGCTTTCGATTGTCAATTGAGAGCGAGCTGTATTTATCAATGGGAATAAATACAAATGTCTGGGTTCCAAACAAGCCAACTGCAATATGTGCGTCAGTGAGACCCGCCCTCTCATCAATAGTTGGTCAATAAGGCGTCAAAATAGTCTTAGGTGAGAGGGTTCAGTCATGGCTCTATTGTCGTAGTATTGTCGTAGTATTGTCTCATGCCAAGACTGAGAGGAAAGTGAACTTTGGTATTGTTCACCTTCACCTTCCTCACTTTTTTTTCTCTGTCTCCTCACCTCACTGACCTCGCTGTCCTAGTGCCACTATATAGACCCCGTCCCCGCCTTCTGTTGTTCGATTCTTTCTCTTCCTCTCCAACTACTTACTCTCTGAGCTCTACAGTCGCGACCTACTTGCAATTGAACCAGCCTCTATCTTCTTTGCGTACAAGCATCTGTAGCGCACACCACGCCAGCTTACTTCAACATATCAACACTGTACGTATACCGCCGGCGGGTACGGCAGGGATTTCACTGATTGACCGGCTGCAGACTCTCTTCGATCTAGTCAATATGCCTGGAATGAAGGGCATCCGAATGGACGTCAGCGGCCTTGACCTCCCCTACCAGCGCGTGATCCTTGTGACCAATTTGGCCAAGACCGCCAACATCTACGACATCCAGGACCTATTCCGCGGATACGACGTCCTCGACATCAAGCGCGGTGTTGATCCTGAGACTGGCGAGCAGACCATGGTCTATGTCTTGGTTGGATCCGTCAACGACGTCGTGCGTGCCAATGTCGAACTCGACATGGTCGAAGTCCGTGGCCGTCCAATCCGCATCGAGCATGCCTATGGTGGTTTCACCAGTAAGTTCATATAGAGTGGCTACCTCAAGAGCTTTGCTGAGGTTGTTACAACAGTCGTTGAGAATGGTGCCTCCCCCGGCGGACAGCTCAAGATCAACAACGCGCCCGAGACTGGCAATGCCGACCCTTCGCAGCGTAAGCCTTTCGGCAAGTGGAATACGCCTCCCCCAAAGCCCGCTCGTCTCAAGTATACGGCAACTCCTTACGAGCCCTGGACGCTATTTGACCCCAAGACTCCCATCTCACCCCACCGCCCAGGCCCCGGGGCCTCCCAGCTTCGTCAGCTCGAGCAGGTCAATACCCTCCAGTCTCCAGGAAACGGCTCGAAGCCCGCCTTCAATGGACCTCCCATGACTCCATCACGTCCAGAGTTCGAGCAGCCACATCTGCGTGTCCTGGCCATTGCCAACTTGCACCACAACATCAAAATCAACGACCTTCGTCCCTTCTTCAGCGGCCTTGAAATCATCGACTTCAAGCGCAACATCAATAATCGCACCGGTCGTCCTGTTCCTCTTGGCTACGTCTTGTTTCGCACTATCCAACAGCGTGATCAAGCTTTAGCTGAGAACAACGGCCGTCTCTTGTTCGGTAGGCCCGCCCGCATGTCTGTTGGACAGAACATCACTGGTAAGTCTATCAATTCACTCACTACCTATTCCTACCCTGGGCCTTCACTAACATCACCTTTCTAGTCTGGGATACTGGATTCACCAAGCCAACCAATACCCCCAACAATGATTTGTCGAGTCCTCCGCCCTTTCCTATCTTCAACAACAACTTCCACAACAATGCTGCTGCTGTGAATGCCTCACCCGAGCATCTCTATCAGCTTGCGAATGCCTCTATCAACAATGGTTCTGCCTTGAACGCTACACCCGGCCAGCCCGTCTTCAACGCAGGAATCCCCTTCCAGAATCTTGCTTCTCCTACCCCGATCCGTGGTCCCGCCGCCCATTACGGCGTGTCTTTGGGTCACATGTTCAACAGCATGCTTATCAACACCGACATACCCGTGGACAACATGGCTGTCAACAACATGGCTATCAACAACGTGCCTGTCAACAACGTGTCTGTCAACAACAACATGACAATCAACACCGCCATCGACCTCTACACCATCCCGCTCCAACACCCCTCCCTCATCTCTCCTCTCACCCTCGGCTCACCAGCCACGATGACATTCCCCAACTCTGCCGGCAACAGCATCTATCACACCCCCTTGGAGTCCCCCACCTCATTCCAGCATGCCAATCCCGAGCCCACCACCCCCATCGCCTCCAGCGATGATCTCCGTTCCTCAGCCACCCCTCCTAGCTTCAACTACAACTACTCTTCCTCCCCGCTGTCCATACCTTCTTCATCCTCCGCCTCTTCCTGCGCCGAAGACTCCGACTCCGACTCCGCCGGCGGCGTACCCATCGAGCCCCGCGTCGTCGACTACAACAACACCTTCTCGCGCCTCACCGCCGATGACGACGAAGACGAGCTCAAGCCCGTGATGGACGAGCACGAGTACGCGAAGAAGATGCTCGAGATGGAGATGCAGATGAAGCCGCAGGGCGGCCGCGAGCTTGGGCCTTGGAACCTGCGCGGCCACGACAGCGAGGATAAGCGGTTCAATGTTGTTACTGAGAAGGAGTGGTATGGGTTTGCGCTGTACTTGCAGTGTGGATTGAAGTTGTAAGTGGTGTCTATCTCTGGGATTCCTTTGGAAGAAAAGGGAAAGTTACTACGGAGTTGAAAAATATGAGTTCGAATGGGGGTTCGGTGGATGATGGATTGTGTTTAGAAAGCGGTTCGAGATGGATGGAGTGGTTGTTGAGGTCGGAAATTGCGGTTGTGTGGTGGGAGAGAGAAAGAGTGGGAGGGTGCTTGTTCGAGTTGTCGAGGATGGTTTCTGTATCTGGCTTGTCGTTGTGCAGCCAGGATATACAGCACTGGGAGTTGACATCATTGACAGATGGGGTATGGTGGAGGATGTTGACTTTTCTCCCACATCGAGATGTGGAATGGTTCAATGGGACCAAACGTGGTGGAGTTCACCACCCTACAAGAACATACAAGGAATCAATGAATAAAAAGTTTTAAAAGGTTGAAACAAGCAAAGCACATGAGTATCTCCACGAAACCGCAGTGAACAATTCTCCCTTCGAGCGACCAGAGAGTCACTGAAACCACATCGAATCACGAGAGATGATTACTGATCTTTGTTCTTCCCCCGTAGGAAGTGATCTATCAATTGATACCAACGCCTGTTAATGCCGACCTCCAAAACAAAAAGTGATACACAGCTATGATACAATAAATGCTGTTATACATCATCTGAGAGGGGATGGAACCTCGTTGTCTTTTGTGTATGATGCTTTTCGTCTAGCCAGTCAGACACAGGCAGAATAAGCTGGTCCATCCTGGCGTACCTCCCGCTGCTTCTTAGGAGCCCATTGAGCATTTCGAATCCGATATCCGACTTCCATATCCATATCCGCATACGCGAGTTTGAGGAAGCGTGTACTCTCAACCGATCGCTCATATTGTTCCGTGTAACTTTTGCAACACCGACCGATCAACTATTTCTTTCCGCGCTTCTGCTCCAGGAACAGGACTTGTTTCCGCACTATGGCCACTATTGTCAGCTCCATCCACTTCCTTCAGCGCAACAATCCGTTCATCTCAAATTGAACGGGCCGCCCTCAACGTGATACCCTGGGAATGGATTGCGTACCGATAGGATCGTATTTCATCATGCTGAGCGGGCGATGCTGACGCGGTCGCATCAACGTCCGGAAGTACCCCGTCATGGCCATGGAAATAAGTCGCACCATGATGGTGCGGGACTTCGCTGTTGTTCACATAAGATTCAGCATAATGTTTTTCAGTGATCCACATTGATTTGCTCCATCCTTTTGTGTGCTGGGAAATACGGAGGGATCTGGGGTGTATGCGCGGGTTCGCTTGCCAATGCAGTACAAGCCATTGATATCTCCAGCGGTGTGTGCGCGCATCGATATATAGGGTGGAAGAATGTCGTACCTTTCTTCGCCATGGTGCCGTGAGGTGATGGCGTGTGCGGGTTCGGAGCGAGGTGGGATGGAAGGTTGCGGTGGTGATATAGATGTTTTTGTGAGGTCGGCGGTTTTCCTTGAGCGAGGTTGCGGCACGAGCGATGAGCACGGGGTTTCTTCGGGGTCCACGAGACCAGCCAATCAGAGAGAGACGGGGGAGGAGCGGAGCGGAATCATTAATCAAGCAATATGCTTGTTGTGGGATGTTGATAGAATTTCTCAAGATGTTCGATTTGTTGTATATTCCATGTTGTGGAATTCAACTCCATGGCTGTGAACGTTGCGACTCTGCACAAATGCGGTAATGTTTGCTGGCTCGACATACAGAGATTAGGCACGAAGGATCACCAAATCATCACCCGGGCGCAATATGCATCATTGAATTGATTTCACCTAGCTTTGCAGCATGGTGGGTTGGTCGTGTAGATACATGGCGTCATCAACCTCCATGCCCTCCATTACTGAACCTTGTAGCCATAGAACGCCTAGTTACCTCCTCAAGGTACTGGGTATACAACTTAAAACTACCTAATTTTTTTTGTGGTGCAAGATGAATGCTGCTGTCTTTCTAATATAAGTCCCAATCCCAAATCCAGTGCCTAGTGAAAGGCACGATGTGAACACCGGAAAATGCAAGTAGGTCGTGAAGTCGTGTCGAGGAGCCCGTGGTATGTGCTTTCCCCCTCACAAATAAGAAAAAAAAAAGAGTCGTAAACTATATATCAGAAACGGTATGAGACGCCTAGGCGCCGTACACCACTGTTCGGATCTGATCAATGTCTTGGAGGACATCATCACCGTAATGGCCCAGGACCTCGGCAGGCGTAACGTTCTTCAGAAGCGGAGAGGATCCATCCTGGAGAGAGTTCACCAGATCGGCGTACATCTGGTCCTTGTAGGTATTTCCGTCTAGCATACCACCGGTTTTGACGCGTTCGCCAACCGCATCGACGTAACATTTGAATTCTTCGAGCATGTCGTCGCGTGTGAGAGCGACTCCGCCGTTTTCGCTTGCGTAAACCCAATATCCGCAGACCAAGAGGTCCCTGAGGTTCTCATACTGAACATTGTCGCCGGATGAGAGATGAAGCTTCCCTTGATTGCCGCTGGACTGTACCCATTCACTGGTGGACTGTGGGAGACGGCGCGGGGGCGAGGAAGTGTTGACCGTGGGAGAGGACCCTTGCATGTCGGTGGGACTTCCGGGGACGGAGATGTTGGGCGTGGCGATGGCCGAAGCGGAGCCGCAGTCAGTCCTGTGGACTTTCCAAGCTACCTTCTGGCAAACTTTTGAGCAGTAAAAGGCGGCCTTGCAGCGAGAGCAGCGCTGAAGAGAAGCGCCGGGCGCAGGTGCTTGACCGCAAGTTCCGCATACCAACGCTTGGGGGTTGGCCACGGACGACAAAACTGCGTGTTGCTTCTTGAGGGTAGTGATGCCATCGGGAGTAAGAGACGTCTGAATGTTGGTGAAGGGCATTGAAGAAGATTGGGTGGTCGTAGATTCCGCAACCGAGTACGGGGCAGCATTCATAGTTTCTGTCACATGTTGTGAGTAAACATGCCCAATATCAAGTGATTGATTCATCTGTCTGTGACAAGCAAGATGGACGAACAGAGATAACGGTAAAAGACTGCACATGACTTACCATTGGGAGAACTTTGAAGACTGTCGTGCCTTGCCCTCTCTGTGACGGTAGCATCTTCTTTCATGTCGACATCGCTGTCAACCTCCCTGACCCAGACATTGGATTCCTTGGGGATGGCATTGCTCAGGCTGGTGGTGAAGACGTTGAGACAGACGCTTCTCGGTGGCATTACGCTCAATGGTTGGACTGTATTATTTGATCAATGGTGAGTGAGGGCGAGTTGTAGGTGCAAGATGGAACGTTCAACGTTGGAAGTGAATAAAACGAAAGCGGGTGAGAACCGAGACGCCGGGAGACTTGAATGCAGGAACAGTTGCTGGTAAAGAAGATCAAGAAGGAGGGAGAAGCCTAAAAGAAGTACCTTGGAGGTGCAGAAATAGTTGCGGCTCGGTGCGTATGAAAAGCGGTGTGAGGTTTGACAGCTTTGGTGAGCACGGTTCGGGCGCTAGTCAGCGTTGGGGCTAGGGCTGATCCGTGTGCATCGATGCGCACCGTCTCGCTGTCGTTTCAGCTCACGTGCTGAGCATTGGTGATTGATGGAGAGGGGGATAATATCGTGGTAAGCTGAAAGGCTGCGCGGTGTTCCGGTGAGGTACAGCCGGCATCGACACAGGCAGAGGGCTGGGGGACGTGGGAGGCGAGCGCGGGTGCAAAGAGAGGGTGAGCGCGCAGTGAGCTGGACGTCGACATGTTGCGGTGTGAGCAAAAAGCAATTCATCGTCAGGTGGATTCAGTACCAAACAACCGGTATGCACGTTGGGACAGGTTAGCAAATGGCCACGTGAAGCGGGGATTCGATTCATGTCAGCGAATTACCCGACACAGTGTCTGCTGCATACAGAATGTAAGTTGAAGATTCGCAAAAAGCCATCGCATGCGGTTGGCCGTCTCACAAGAGAACCCCCATAGGAGGAGCCCAAGGGACACGCTCGTAGACATGATTACGCAGGCTTGCGAACCATGATCGGATTCACGCGTACGGGTGATTGCATCTGTTGTGCTTTCCAGCTTCCACGCCAGCTGCCATGAAAAAAAGTCGATGATTAGTGGAAATGCGATGCTTTCTTCAATCAATCGTGTCGTGGGCGAGGGCAAGGATGCCGGAAAGGGCTTAGTGGCTGATGTAGGTACCAGAGGCTACACCGCTGGAACCTTGGGAGGCAGGGAGTCCTTGCGCCAGCCTGCCAGCGAGAATCACAGCTTGCAAGTTTGAACAACCTCCTATAGACACGTGGACAGTCACCATGGGAATCATGGCCCCAAAAGGCGGTAGCTGAAGGACTGGCTGATATCACTACGACTTGCCCGCCCGGACACGAGCGGTGACGACGCTGGGATATAAGTACGCAAGCAAACCGCCTCCAGATGCCTTGATTTCATGAACATCGACTTTATCCGAATTCAACTACCATGTACGTATGCGTCCAAGGCGTGTTACCATTTGGGTTTTGTTGCACTTGGGCCATGGCCTGCATACACAGCCAGCCTCTGGCATAGCACATCTACCGTCCAGTGTGTATTGGCCGGCAGAGCAATCAAGCTGGGAACACGACGTCGTCTTCTTCAACATCAGTCAGCAACAGCCCAGCAGGCACATGATGTCTTTGTTGCCTTGGGGTACTCCGCTGCTACCTACACGTAGATGAATATATTAGTCAGGGAACGCCGTCAGCCGATCACACTTTGGAGTACGTAGCCAGATCTGGACCAATGTTGAACGAGTGAGAGCGATCAGTGATGCGTCAGCACACGAGGGCCGAAAGCAGTCAGATTCTGATTGCGACTCCAGCATGCTTACGTAGCCCTCAACCCAACAATGCTTGGAGAAGCGTCTTGCTTCCTGTGGTATTAAGCCCAGATCCCAATGGACGCCGTAAAAAGCCTACTGGCGACGTATCAGCCAGATTCTTCCAAAGTAGCCTAAGATAGAACAATTGTGGATGATAGAGGACATGTACCTAGGCCGGCGGTGTGGGGTTGCTTTGGCTGCAGGCAGGCGGGACAACGGGCGACCGTCGACGGGGTCTACAGTGGGCCAACAGTAGTTCCAATTCAAACGGCGCCGTGACGTGCGCAGAGCCTCACCCAACACAACAACCACCTGAGCCAAGACGCATGACTGGACGAGACTCGGGGTGACAGTATGATTATAGCAATCTCCACATGTGGTGCGGGCCGAGTATTGGGCGATGGAGTCATAGTGCGTGTACACATATATATGCATACATGATAGTCCACAGCGAGGTTACTTTGCGCCTTTGACTCACAAGACCAGATAGAACCTAGCTGTAGACCGTATACCAACGCCAAAGAGTCTGTTCGTATGATGCACACAGTTTCCGCGGTGGAGGCTGAGTGTTCGTGTTTGCTTCTTCTCTGATCTGGACGCAAGCACACATCTGGCTTGACTGACCTTCAGCCGGGTGGGCTGCGTGAACTCCTGGACTGTGTAAACAGGACGGCAATGATGAATTGGCAATCCATGAGCGAATGACAGTGGGCCATTTTCCGGTCAGACAAGAGGAGACGGGTTGCCAAGTAGTGGATGCAGACGAAGCTGCAAGAAAGCTGCAGGCAAGGGTCCAGGCTAAGCATTATTGCGCACTATCGCAATAGTCGAAGCCATCAATTGACCAAACGTGCCGCGGCAAAGATTGGCGATTGCGCTCATGATCAGCGCGTGAATTGTTCAGCACTGAAGGGCGCAACACTCGATCGAGCACACACACATGGATGGAGAGTAACAGTAGGGGTGATGCAGGGCGTAGGACGCAATCGCCAACTCATGCGCGCGGGGGAGAGGTTGAATCACGGTATCGCTGCCAAGGACGTATTGACGAGCAAGGTGCCAGGCAAAGAGAGATGTTCGGGGTGGGGTGTGGTGTGGTGTGTGGCTATGCGCGACGAGATGGTGTTTTGCATCAAAGCACAAGCCCAAGTAAAGCAAGCAAGCAAGCACACAAGATGGATGGAGGAGCGGACTGCGCATCACCGGTGTGGCTGCGCTAATCCGCTTTTGGCGTGGCTGGTGCTGCTTTGGCCCCATGAGTCCGTCGACCTCGAGAGGCGAAGCAGTTTGAAATGTATCCATCAACATTGAACGAACTCCAGCCCCCGGCATCACGAGCCTTCGTCATCCCAAGCGCCGCCGCCATCATCCAAGCCGTGGGTTCACCAGTCTACCGTGTGGGTGGAATCCGCACTGACGTTTGCTTGTGTTGTTTCGCCCATGGCCAGGCGCGAACCATGGATGCGGCCGTTCTCACTGTCACCGCGCCTACTCACACAATGACGAGCAGCCCTCCACCAGTGGCACGCAGCCCTCTGCATCCGCGGCGCCCTTTCTGCTACACTCGCAAGTCGACATGTAATGTTTATGTAGACGCCAGGGCGAAACGCAGACCGTCTGCTCTGTTAGCGCGCTGGGCCGGCGGCGACAGCGTCATATGAGGAGCCGTCCTTCAGAAGAGAGTCCGTGATGGAGTCACTAGCCGTCCGTCGCTGATACAGAAAGAAGAGACATGCAAAATGTACTGCACGTACACTGTACATGGACCTGACCGCCCTCGCTAGACAGCGATGCGCAACAAGGGCGGGCGTGGCCCACACGCACTCACACACACATCCATGACCGCCCCCCGGTCCGTTTTAGCTGCAGCCCAAGGCATCCATCCACCACCACCCTGCCCGGCCGCCCGCCTACCTTCCCTTACCCTGCCCCAAAAGTGGAAAACATATATATCGCCCAATCCACCCTCCACCGTCATGCTTCTTTTCCACCATCGACCAGCTTCACACTCTTCACCACCCGGCTTCCACTCTTCGACTACTCCAAGTCGACTGCACTGTGCTACATCACAGTGACATCTGCATACACTCACCCACCAGTCCATCACTGGTCCTTCTACCCTGAAGGGCCAACCCGCGCTGCACCATTTCACCCACACTCGTCATTACAATCAACTCGTCCCTACCTTCCAGGCTCAAATCAGAGAAATCATCTCCTCACAACGGCAATATGCCTTCCTTCTCTCGTCACTCCACCATGCCCACCGTCATACACACCAAGGCGCCTTCCATCTCCAAGAAGGATCGCTCGGTGGGCTTCCACGAGGACCCCGTGACCCATGTCTCAAGACCTGTCACTCACCAGGAATCATGGGCCGCATACGACTTTGAGCTCCACGCTCAGAAGTGTGCCTACTGCCGCGATCCCTACGAGGTCCACCGCAACAAGCAGCACCTCTGCGAGCGTGGCCACTCTCTCGCTCAGGACGTCGCCGCCATTCTCTACAACCACAAGGACGGCGAGACCTACTCCACGGCCGAGGAAGACAACAAGCTTGTCCGCGTCGAGATCCCCTCTGCCTATGTTCAAGTCCGCGGCCTGTTGAAGGCTATTGAGCGTTCCCTCCGCCATCGGTCACGAACTCCATTCGTGAGCATGGACAAGACGTACTTCATCCCGGCTCGCCAACCCACCCGCGCTCGATCCGTCAAGATCGAGCAGTCACCAAAGTCACGACCTCGATCTGGTGAGATTGTCGACTGGCCTGGCGAGGAAGTACGCTTGGAGAAGTCCATCTCTGTTCCTCACTCCAAGTCCAAGCGCGGCTCCCTCTACGACCAAGACCTGGCCAATCAACGACGAAACGCCTCGCGCTACAATGTTGAGGTCCGAGAGCCATCCCGTCGCGACTTCCTCGAGAACCGCCTCTCCGGTTACTACAGATGAGAGCGTGCGGGACGGTGACTACATCACCTTTGTCAAAACATACCAAGTACCACGGAACATGCTACCGGCACAACTCCCATCACGCTTCGCAAGCAGCCGCTGAAAAGCCCTGCTCACGCACTCTGCCCCTCAATGGAATCGACTCGACCTAAGCAAGTTTGACATGTTGTCCTTGCTGCTTTGCTTTGGAATCAAGCACTGCATCTGCTGTCTGATATACTGGGAGGAAAACAGGAATGAGTTTGCTTCAGGAACGAAAGGACCTCCACCATAAAGGGTGTTTGAGGATACATATGGAAGACGTATTAATCTTTGGGGATCTGAACAGGGATCCGAGTGTGAATTTGCTGTATCATAATAGTATATCATAGCCTGCGCAATAGCAATAAGTCGAAAGTGTTATCCAAACATCTTGTTCAAATCTTGTCATGTCCATGCGCACTCGTGAAATCAAAACACCCATACACCGACATTGCAAATAACACTTCTCGTGGTGGCTAGTTGCATCCACCTACTGTCCCTCACCGTACACAGCATCCCTGCCCCAATCTATCTAACCTCCCATCGCACGCATGCAAAACAACGTCGCCTCGCCACACACCACCAACAACGACGTCTCGGGTGCAACCGCACACCCTCCCTCTCGCTTGCACACGTACCCGCGCTGCTCACGCGCCAAAACTGACTTATCGTTATCGAACCCATGACCCACCGCATCCGCATCTGCATCTTACCTGCTATATGAAGAAGAAGACGGTGGTGATTAAACTTGATTTTGAGCCACACTGCGAGGGATATTGGATCTGCGGTTCGCTTGGGATATGTGAATGAGGGTGGTGTTGCTGGCTGCTAGGCCACGATGAACCCTCAACGTTTCGCAGTGCACGCACATGTATGTATGTAATCAATAGACTTGCCGGTCTCTTCACAAAGAATGTATGTAGCGAGGATGCAGGCGCATCACGATAATCCATTATGCGACCACCTTGACCCCAGCTTTACCCCATAACTCCACCCGCCTACATGTTTACATATACACATACATATGTACATACAAACGATGCGACCTAGAAAATATTCTGCATACCGCCAGCGAGTGCACCTCCCCAACAGAGGCATCTACCTAGGTGCACAAGAGAGAAGGACTCATGCACACAATAAAACAAAGGGTGATGGCAGAAAACCTCGTGGTTATTGGCCCAGGCCATTCATGATTCATAGAAGATGTAGAGGGTGCGATGATGGTCGAAGGATTTCTGGCGAGGAGTCATGATATGCTGTCTCAGTTGATGGTGGGGAGCTAGCTGATGGTGGGCCTGCTGCCTACGGGAGGTGCATGATGCCAAGATTTTGCTTTTCTAGAGGCGCAGGAGCGTTTAGGCTGCCGTTTGGATATAGGGTGCTGCTTGCGTGTGCTCGATCGAGTGTCTGCTTCTTGAACTGTACGAGTCGCTTCAGACTTGATGCGCGGAGCCGAGTGTTTACAGAGTCACGTGATTTGTTCATCCGTCGGCCGTCCATGACTCGATTCGTTGGGAAAGAGGTGACGATGAAGGGCCCTTGCCAAACACCCAGTCAGTTCCAATAACCTCACAGATATTGCAATAGTCATGTCATCTTCCTCGAAGTACCACTCCAACTACCAAGACCCAACCACTTGACAAACCTCCGCCAACAGCATCGCAGCTATTCCTCTTCCAATCAAAACCTCCACGTACCTTGGCTAACCACGGGATAACACGTCGCATCGACAACCCACGATACCCCCCATCGCCTCCATCGCTCCGGCCCGCGTCCATCTGCTTGGTTTGCTTGGGACTCCCTTCTTCCTGTTGGTAGATGCCCTAGTTGCGCGGGGATCCGTGGTCCAGACATGCTGCCCGATACTGTTGGGATAGCGAGATTCGGTGTATGCTCATCTTTTCTACATCTGATCGATGCGGTATAGCTTGAACAGCTGTTATACTCCGGGTTTCTCTGGCCAGACCTGTTTGGCGAGGAGATTGGGAACGTCGGAAGAGACGATTGTTTCAGTGCCATCAATTGGTATGATCTGATCTCAAATCGAGGGCAGCATGAGAACTGGGCGAATTGGGCAGCGAACAAGTCGAGGGAAAAGAAGAAACACCACGAAGTCGGTGAAGCCAACTACACCTTCCCAAACAGACGATCTTCAATTGCCCAATGGCTCCCTAAAACAACAACCACGGGAACCAAAAGTTTCTCCTGGGAGCTACTGCAGGTGGTTTGGGCATCTTCAATGGCTTGCTTCCAAAGTCAGGTACACTTGCCCAGGGCCCCAACGACCCCGCTGCAGCAGCACCCACTCAACAACAACACCACCGAACATTCCCCACTTCCAAGAGCCCATCATCTTGACAACGGCACCCGCCCGTCCACCTACCCCCGCGGCCTTCGAAACCTCGAGTCGCGCGTAGAACAGCACGTAGCGTGCCAGCTGGCGCGGGAACAACTCACCACCTCTACGATTGGCGCTTGTTTCATGGGTTCCCCCAGCGCGAAAGCGCATGCAATCAAGTGGAGATTCTACTCCGCGGATTGCCAATCCCCCAGCGCGAAGAGACAAAAATTCAACATGTGCATGGACGTCGAGACCCGTCCTGCCCGTTTCCATCAATTCCATCCAAACGACCGATTCGTCGCCACCTCTTGTTGAAAAATGACGAACGAGCTTCACCGACTTCTTCGCCGGTCATTGTTGACGACCATCACCGGTCGCCTGCAGCGCAGCGTGCATTGCATTGCGCATAAGCATTGCGCATTGCGTGCATCATACATGACCCAAGTCTACATACATACGTACACTACAACAATCAAGTCCAGTTGACTTAATTACGCGTAACTGGCTGGCTGACTGGCTAGTTGGCTTGCCATGGGTATGAAGTTAGCTCCGCAGCCTCACCGGTTTAAGACCCACTTCTTGCTTGGTCGAATCATCAAGACCTCCGCAACCGAGTTGTTCTGTTTGCTGTTCCGTTCCATTCTCCACAAGGTGATTTGTATGAAACGACCGAGTGCAATTGACATTATACAGCGCAGCGACATGTATCATCATCAGAGAAAGAAAGGGGTTACTACTGAACAGCGAGACTCTATCAATGCGATCAATGTGTGGACTATCCATGTAAAACTGCCCTCGCTCGCCAAATATCGTGAAGCGAGACCTTTACACACCACAGCCCAAGTTGCGCTTAGCTTCAAGTACCCACCGCGATCAATCGCTACACCTCCCTTCCCTTTCGAACACAGTAGCCCCAAAATGATAATCAAAAAGTCCCGCATGAATAACTCATCGATCATGTCATCACACACCCCACACATGAACATCAAACTTAAACGAGAAAACACCGTCAGTGTGCAGAAAAGCACTGCCTGGCAGACTGCGGGACCGATACAGTCACGGCAGAAAACCCGATTCTGATTCGCTCCTTTCTCTGGTTTTTTTGCACACACCGGGGGTGACAAGTGCAGGGATGGTTGGGGTTGGGGGACGTTGCGTGGCTGTGCTTGCCCCGGGCATTTTGTGTTGCTTGGAGTACGGAGGAAGGCTTCAGCCACAGCTCTTGTGTCTCACTGTGTGAGGGGGGAGCTTGCGTTCATGCGGTTTGGGGTCATTCTGCTTTTGGGGTTGTGGCTGTGGCGGCGCTTGTGTGTATGGGTTTTTTTCTTTTGGGGGCCAGAGGAGAGGGCTGGTTGAACGGTGGGGATGGGGTGAACGGTGAAGAGGAGAGAGAGAGAAAAGGGAGAGAGAGTACGAGATACGGGAGATGTGTGGCTGAGTGAACAGCTGAGGTTCTTGTTGAATGATAACGATTGCTACCAAGATTTGTTGTTTTTGTTTTCTGAAGAAGATGAACAATAGTATCCATGTTTCCCTTGTTTCTTGGTTAATGGAAGGAGAGAATTCATCGATCATGGTAATACATTGTCGTAATTTTTCAAACACATACTACAATTCTCGTCATCTTCTTCCCCCCAAGTTCTTGGTCTTTTCTCTTATCGTCTCCAGAGAAGACGGCCAATCGTCATCATCCATCAAAATCAAGTCCAAGCTTCAGCCTCGTGCTTTGGAGAGAGCGCGATGCGACGCATATTCGGCCCCCCTCCCAGTAATCCCTCCTCTCTATGCGCGAACACCTACCCCCTTCCCAGTACTGCTGCACCCAAGCAAAAGGCATTAGCGAATTCAAGCGCGGTGCTCAGCTTGCCCCTTCCCCCCTCTGTCCCTCTCTACGCGCGTTCGATATATTTGGGGGCCTAAACACTTCTCCTCCAACCCTATCCATCGATCCATCCATTCATTCCTTCTGGCACTAAGAATAACCTTACCCCCCTTCCATCTATTTCCAGACCCCCAAACGAAACATTTGAGTTTCATACGTTGATCACAGAGTTCTCTTATTTTGTGGGGAGGCGGACTGCGCCGCGATCATGCGTCTCTCACGCGTTTGAGAAGAGTGATTTGTGTGATTTCGTGGCGTTTTAGCGTGAGGGACTGCGCCGCTATTCAGGGGATGAGGGGTTGATTGGTTGGTTTCGTGTTTGTGGTTCTGACGTGGAGGGACTGGATAGGAGGTGACTTGGGTGTGGATGGTGGATGGTTGCTCAACGGTGTCTCGATAGTTGGCATACAGGGAGACTTTACGTCTAAGAATAGTGCCCATCCTTTCAGGTCTCTAACGATCTCACTATAAATTTTGCTAAAGAAATTCTGCACGAGGTCGTTGATAACGTACGTTCCTGAAGCTGGCCTTGTAATCAAACATCAAGAGAATGAGTGGTAGACATCCCGGGAAACAGTGTGATTAGATTTTAATGTGATCTTGATTCTAATTATCAGACATGGTCACTAAGATGGAATACTGAGGAGCGAGTTTGTATAACTTCAATATCACGAATATTGACTGTAATAAATCTGAACTCTATAACATCCCATTTCATACTCTAGAAACGATTATACAGCACAAATTCAATCCTGCAACCTCACATCTTCCCATCGCCGCCTCGAGGACGACTTGTCATCCCACCCGCCAATGCACTAGCCTGCAGCCTAAAACTCCTCAAATTCCCATTTCCACCTCCCATACTTGGACCCTGAGCCGTAGGAGACGTCATAGAGCTCTTTGATCTAGAATGCGCATTCATACCCGGACTACTAGAGTAAGACTGATGCAGTTGCATAGAATGGATGCGCTCGCTCAGTTCCTGAGCAGCGCTATGTGGAGGGGACGGAGGAAATGTCATGGACTGGGATGAAACATTGGTGGACGATCTCGACCGCGTGTTCATTTTCGTGATAAGAGCGGACATAGTGGCGGCTGGGGTTTGAGGCTGGCTTTGGGTGGATTGCATAGATGAGATGGAAGGGCCGCGGTTGTGCGTTGGACGTGGGGTTATGGATGGGGAGCGGCTTGTGGGAGGTGTGGGTAGACCGTTGTTAGAAGTTGAATCGTATGCTTGCATCAGTTGGTTGAGATCGACAGACTGTGGGAGTTTGCTTAGACGGCGGATTGCGCGTTTGTTGGTGTCGATAAAGGAGGACATTGCTTTGAGGGCACTGCTTTGGGTGTGTTGCTCGTAAGCCGGGGCTCCAGTGGATGTATCAAGGGCACGTGCGGCATGCTGGGCATTGAGGTCTAGAGGGGGTTGGAGAGATGGAGTAGGGGCGTTGTGCAAGTTCTTCTGGATCGTTGCCATGACTTGATCAAAATCGACGCCTTTTTGTGGTTGTTGGGACTGCTGTAAGAGGGCAGTGGAAGCGATTGTGGTATGCCGTGTCAAAGTGAAGAATGAACCATCCTGGACCTTACGCTTCAAGATATTCCAACGCGCTCGCGCTGGATTGCGCTCCATCTCGGGTTGGAAAATGGAGTAGCGAGCAATTTTAGCATAAAATGCCTGCAAGCGGTTTGCCATACGCTCGAGGACTGTCATGAGGAAAGCCGACAGAGCCGCGACGCGTTCCGATTCGGACTCGGCTTCCAGTTCCATTATGGAGTCAAAGGCGTCCATTCCAGTACAAGCTTCCGCACGTATGGACTCGAGGAATTCCATGTCGGACTTAACGGAACGCTGTGCATAAGAGATGATGCCTTTCTCATGATGTCTTGCAGACTCGCTATCGCAAGTAAACTGTCCAATTTGAGATATCTCGTTCGCACACGCAACCGCATCGGCAGATCCTTTGGCGTGCGCAATAATTCCAAGTACATCGGATAACTTGGCAGACCCCGCTAGAGATGAGGCATTGGCAAGAGTAAAGGAGATTTTGAGATACAACTCTTGCAGCTTTGCGCCAAAGAGCGCCGAAAAGCCGCCTTGAAGAAGACGTGATTGATAGTGATAAAAGCGGCGTACACCACCCATGTTCAGTAGGTCGCCCTGAAACCATACCAATGACGATTCGGAAATCATGCCTATCTCAAAGTGCGATGCTACAACCTGTTCCGTCGCAACTCGAAGGTAGCTCTTCCAGAGATCATAGAGCATGCTTATTTCTTCGGAGCGATACGAATATTTCGGCGTGAGCTCCCCAATATAGTATTTAGTCAAGAGCGAGGACACTTCCGGGTTGTTTGTATGGGCGAGTAGGTCGAATGACTTACTGCAGTCGACACCGCCATTCGATTTGATAATGTTCGTGCCTCCGGGATGCATAGCGCAAAAGTCGGTAACATCGTAGACTTTTCCGTGGACACCTATCCAGACTGGAGAGTTGGCAGTGTGGCCAGTATGCATGGCGAGCTGTGATAGCGATATCGTCGGTTGGTTGCACGGCAAAGGTTTCGGAGTCATGAACACATCGAGCATGAATCGACGCTCTGCGAAGGCGGTGTTGAGGATCGTCTCTGCAGTCTCCATTGTAGGAGATCTATACTTATAGAGGGCTTTGCGGATACCTGACATGACGGAGTCGAAAACGCCAACCGAACCGCAGACATACAGATACCCACCGACTCCACCTTGTTTCTTGGACATAACCAAGTCGCATATGGACTGGCCCTGCTCAACGATAAGAGTGTCGATATAGCGTGACTCCATTGTCTTCTCTACAATATCGCGGGTCGAAGAATCGTACATGAACCCTCTCGAGTCGCGAGAGAAGGCGGTGTGCACTTCCATCAAACCCTCGTTGACATACTGACGAAGTTCTTTTTCATAGCAAAACTTTTCCCGAGACTGCACTCCAAGATAGAGCGTAGTCTTCCCCCAAGCGCGTCCACACCGTGCCTGCCAGAAGCTTCGGAAAGGAGCGATGCCACTCCCTCCAGCAAAGAAAGCGACGGGTGAGGTATCGTCAAAAGGCAATTGAAAGGCAAATGGCCGGGACACGCCGAGCAACAGTTCCTCATCGTCGAGAACATCCATCTCTTCACCAACCGGGGGATTTAGAAAGCCGCTGCTAACTCCATGGCGCGTGACCTTTTGACCTTTTGCAAAGGTGGGACAAAGTTGATAGTCCGAACGCGATATAGTCAGATCAACGGTAGATGGCAGGAGCTCATCCGAGTAGTTTGATATGGAGTACGTTCTGGGAACTTCTACTGGGATAAGATCGGTAAGCCAGGGTAAAGTTCCGTCGAGATCGAAAGCCTGATCCCAGATTCGTGACGGTGTGTCAGAGACGGCGGCTTGTAATAAGTCTCCCAAAGAGGCACGGACGGGCCACTCGTCGGTAGCGAGCACTTGCAGAACAGTGTTTGATGATGCTCTAAGCATAGTGTGCAGCTTAGTAGCGAGGTCTTTGGTAATTGGGGCCAGGTGTCCTTTGCGCAGGATATCGATGACTGTCAGTTGAGGTCGAGTGGCTCTGGTTATGGATCCAATGTGGTCGGCATATCTCGACCACATTTTGTCTAACAGCACCTGATCTTCCAGCATTGTATCGAGCCCTAGCGCTGCAGCCACCTTTGCACACTCTGTCCAGCTGTTCATGGGCATCACAGCAAGACGATCACCGGGCTGAAAGGTAATCCCGGTGTCCTGAATGTCGAGTGTGACCATGGAAATAGACCGATCTGGGTCGGAGTCGACAAAATTCCTGCTGAGGATGCGGCCCCGATATCGACATTCTTCGAATGTTCCGCGCATCTGGTTGGGTTCGAGATCATTGTTGCCGCGAAATGGCTCCAAGCGTTCCTTCATCGCTTCGGAGAACTGTTTGTGTGTTTCTTCCCAGGGCCGTAACCCATCTGCAGCTCCTGAGGCGCCATTTGTCTCTGTACGTCCAGTTTTTGCTGCACATTCCAAAAGCTGCAAGACGTTAATTGAAAGTTTGGATGAAAATGGCCAATACTCACCCCAAAGACTTTGTACCTATGTGCGCCCATGAACCCGCGCTCTCCAGTATAGGCTTCCACTACTCCATCCAAGACCCCTATCAACCGAGGATCGCCAGAAGCTTTGACGTACTCTGGGACACTATAGTGATACTCGAAAGACGCTATGAAGGCGCGAAGGTTGGATGGTAGCCACGCGCGCAGATGCACACCTTCGGCGCCGAGGAACGAATCGTATCTCTTACGGCCCAGAAACGCGTCCATCACGAGGTAACTATTGATGTTAGCTGAAGATCATCTAATAATGAGATAAGAGCGGACTTACGGTGGGAACTGAAGGCCTGATGTTGCGGGGCAGCGCTTTGAGAGTGGTGCGGAGAATTTGGCCCATCGGACCCATTCCGCAGGAGCAACGTAATTTTCCCCTGAACGATCGTTGGGAGAAATCGTATTGAAGGCTGTAGGCATGCGTTCCAAGATCTCCTTGAGCCTAATCAGTTCGCGTAGTAGCCCCTCATTGTTTCTATTCATGACATGCTCTTGACATGCAGCCATAGCATCAGGACCGTGCTGAAAACTGGCGGACGTGTCGGCACATCCTTTCAAGAAAGCATTCTCAGCACTGTCTCCGAACATTCCCCACCTCAATCGTGTATTCTCAAAACGACCGACGTAAGGAAAGGTTGACTGAGGATCGATGTAGTCAACGTTGAAAGAGGACTGATCGAAGAACGTAAGATGGGGAATGGAGCGTCCCATTCGAATGCAGATCTGCACATATGGCAGTCCAATACTCCGGGGAATGTTCTTCACCTCGTCACCGAGACCCTCGCTCATCAGCACGCCTCGCAGCTTGAGCGATTTGGTGGTGACATTGATCCCCTCATTGCCATCGTGTCTCTCTTCATACCGGTATATTGAGCAAAGCATGCCCAGAGCGACAAGAGCAGCCCATAAAGCCTTGTCGGGAATGATATCGGCCGTGCCCTCTACGATGGGCAGATTTGCGACGGATTCTCGAACGCGTCCACGAGCGATGCAGCCCGGCATTCTCTCACAGAGATCCATCCAGACCCGACCCGGGGAGTTGCGGAGAGCACCCGGTGCTTCACTGGTATTCGGAGGTTGGAATCCGTATTCTGTGCTCAGGTATCCATCCCGCCAACCGCTGGCTGGTCCAACTTCTTCTGCCCGTAGTATGACTTGCCGCGCGGGCGCCCCAAGAGCCACTGCTAGTAGGTCTCGTTCATCCACGTTCAGTTTGTCGAGGCTCTTTACTCCTGTCGCGTTTTGTATTTCTTGGATCTCATGCATGGAGGGGACATTCGAATAGAGAAGTTCGTTGATAGCTTTTCGTTCCCTAGTCTGAATGAGTAGAATTTCAGGATAATTGATGCTATACTGACCTCTTACGGAGAAACTCTTCGACATTCGCGTCCGCTGGAATCTATTTCTATGTTAAGTGACTCCACTAGAGTACTAGAAGGAACTGGCCTTACTCCGAAGGCGGCATGGACGTCGCCTGGCTGTGCATAACCCGAAAATGTACAACCTCTGGGTCCAATCTTGCTACTTCTTCTACTTCCAGTGGCGGTGCCTGCTACCGGACAGGTCCTACCGGCTCCAATGGATGGACAGCGATCAGTCATTTTCGCGACTGATATGTATTATCGTCTTCTGACGTTCGGGATACCTGCCCTAGAGAAAAGATCTGATAAGGTATAAGGGCACAAAAGCCTCCTGGGCTGAGATAAGGGGAATGGGTATCAGTCCGCCGAATCGAAAGAAGAAGAAAAACGAAACAAAAGAAAACAAGGGATGAATCAATGCTGCATGGAGATGGGAGAGAACATCACCGGTCGCGAAACCAGCTGCTTAATCTAGGACGGGTAAGGGGCATCTGGAAATATTTAAGGGGATCTGCCAAGATTCTCACCCGCTGTAGGGACTACGCATCAACTTTGACATGAGGCTCAAGAAGCACGGGACAAAGATCTAGAAGAGAGCCTTAGCGCGCGTCAGGAGTCCGCTGTGGGCCGTGCAATGTGGGTTTGATTGTCGCTCTCGTCTCGCCTTTCCTTGTTCGAAACGCGACGGCCGAAATGTCAATAGCATTGTCTGTAAGTATGAATTATATCGCTGTGCTTGCGCAATATACTATAGTAAGAGAATACTTGTCAGTTTCGTCCAAGAGACATTTTTGGGCTCGCAATCACCTGGTAGTCAATGACGCCTCACTGTTTGAACAGCAATCAGTCTCATCTCCTCAATGCGAGAAGAGAACAGAAACCAGCAGGTTTTCATTAGCGCAGCCCAACATGGGAGTATCTCGAATTCAGTTTTCCTGTTAAACAATTGTCTCGAATGTAGGGGAGTGGAGGTATTCAGTAGGTATATTCTCTAGTACTCAACAAGTGCAATGGGAAACCCGTCGACCAGTTTCACAAGGCGAGCGTGCCTAATATAATCAGCCACAGTACAGTCGACTGCTGCACCATTCTTGCAAAGCCTCATTATGATTATTTGGAATCATTCGAGTTCAGCTTCTACTTTTCGTGATGACTTTGGCAACTCATGACGCAATATCACAGGCGATCTGCGTATGCACGGCTAGTGGCGTAACCTCCGAGCTCCCCGCATGTGGTAGAAATGATTCCTCATCAACGAGACAAAGTAGACAACACACCTTCACAGCCTCCTCCTCGCCTACAGAGATCCATCGCCCTCCATATATAATCCTTCTTGATGCGCTTCCCATCCATCCCCACTTTCATCCGCACTGTCCACGCCTTCGCCAACTCAACACTGCGCGCAACAAACCCCGCCTTCAACGTATCCCGACTCCACCACATCCCACAGCGCGCGACTGCGTACCAATCCATGCCGATTCCATTCATCGGCGCGCTTTTTGGAACATCAAACAAAATGGCAGACAACACAAACTTCCCCGTCCAGAAGACACAGGGCGAATGGCAGGCCCAGCTGAGTCCAGGTGAGTGCATCAGGCGTTAGAATACGCGCGCCCTCGTGTAGAGAGACCCGCTCGCTGACGCGTCTTCTTCAAACAGAGCAATTCCGCGTCCTGCGCAACAAAGGCACCGAAATGGCCGGCTCGGGCCCATACGACAAGCACTACCCAGACGCGGGCGTCTACAAGTGTATCGGCTGCGACGCCCCACTATACAAGGCATCACACAAGTTCGACTCAGGCTGCGGATGGCCCGCCTTCTGGGATGCGTTCCCTGATGCCGTCGGACAGCGCGACGACTCGAGTTTTGGGATGACGAGGACTGAGATCATATGCAACAACTGTGGTGGCCATCTGGGACATATCTTCAAGGGTGAGCGATTTGGCAATCCAAAGGACGAGCGCCACTGTGTCAACAGTGTGTCTATCAACTTTAGTCCAGAAGAAAAGAAGGAATGACTGCCATCTGATAAAGCGCGGGAGAGTCTGTAGTAGTAGGTTGATGTATTAGTTATGAAACCATAAACGTTTCCTGTCATTCCGTTTCAAGCCCCGATGCGATCTCGAAATCGTAACAGATCGTCGATATCTCCACATAAAACAGATTATAGTGACAACGGATCCCCACTTCATTTGAAGAAAAAGTACCAAACCGCAAAAGCAATCAGCAAGAGCGGCATCGCAAGCCTAAACACAATCCTCGCATTAGCACCCGTTCACGAACGTCCAGTCTCTCCTGATGGAGGAACTCACCCAGGTCCCGCATCGTTAAACTCAACCTGACTATGCGCACTCTCCTCCGCCTCTGTGACAGCCTCTCCATCACTCTTCTTCCTCGCATACGTGATCAACGACTTAATCCCCGCCGCATCCGCTCCCCTCACCGCCTTCTTAACTCCCCCTCCTCGTTCAAGTAATAGAAACGTAGGCATCGCAGAAATCTTGTATTTCTTCGCTACCTCTGCTTGCGCGTCCACGTCTACTTTAGCGAAGGCGACTTTGCCGGGCGTGGTGCTGTCTGAGGCGAGTTTTTCGAACATTGGCGCAATGGCTTTGCACGGGGGACACCTAGATTTGTTGGAATGGCTGCATACTTGGGTTTATGAGCAGAGGGGCTTACCATGTTGCCCAGAAGTCGACAATGGTGTAGTCTGTTGATGAAAGAAGGGCATCGAGATCCGAGGTGCTCGTTATGGTAGTGGGTTTGGCCATGATGGTTATCCTACGACAGCAAGAACTGTGTGATCTGTTGTTCTCGCCAAGGGGAATATAAAGCTAAGTCTTGGTATGTATAACCAGGTAGGATCGGGAGCTCGATGGAGAGTTAGTCGATGTGTTTGTCTGAACTCTGCCCTACCGTTAGGTGCATCGAGTGGGGCGCAGATGATTAGCGAGCGCCTCGGCATGGGTTTCTGGCGACCCCAAGGGAAAAACGACATCCTCAATCTCCAATCGAAAAGTCAAGATACACCTAGTCTCAATCTGGAGGTTTCGAGCAGAAAAGAATGACCGCGAACCTAATGGAAGGTAGGACTCAGGATTCGAGATATGAGCGCTAGCTTTTTTACATGTCATGGACCCATAGATAATTGACATAGGGCGTGCAGGAGTGCACCCACTTTTCACACCATTTGAAGACGGAGGACAACACTTACCGATGTATATAAAATCGCAAGCAGCAATATCAAAATAATCGAAAATTCACTTCACAGCATCGTCTATCTTAATATCTTCAAAGACTACACACCAACTCAACATGTCGTCATCATCAGTCAGCGAAACGTCAGAAGCATTTCTCCACAACGTCAAAGTCGCCCCAGAAATCTTCAAAATCCGCCCAGACTACCGCGCGCTCTTGATGGTCGTCGAGGGCATCCCTCCAGGTCCCAGCGATGCAACAAGCGAAAAACTTCTCCAACAAGCAGAACAATCGGCAAAAGAAGCCCTGTCCAAACAAGCCGTCATAGAAGTGCCGCACGTGGCGGCGTGGCGTGACACATACAAAGCCTTCGGCGCCAAACCCAAGAAAGAGAAGAACAGCGTCGAGTCTTTGATGAAGCGCGCTGAAGGCGGTCTCCCTCGCGTCAATCGGTTGACGGATATATATAACGCCATTTCGGTGAAGCATCAGATTCCGTTGGGAGGAGAGGACTTGGACAAGTACAGTGGGGATGCGAGGTTGGTGCGTGCAACTGGGGACGAGAATTTCGAGACGACGGCGTCAGCAGAGCCCGTGGTGGAGTATCCGCCGCAGGGAGAGGCAGTGTGGTGCGATGAGGCGGGCGTGACGTGCCGGAGATGGAATTGGAGACAGTGCTCCCGGACTGCGCTTTCAGAGGGAACGACGCGGACATTCTTCATCATGGATGCGCTGAAGCCTTGTAGTGATGAAGCGCTGGAGGCGGCTGCTGATGAGTTGGTCGAGGTGTTGACTTCTTTGTCTCCGGATGTCAGGGCTTCGAGACGGGTTATTCGCGCGATATAGTTATGACTATCGACAATTTGTGGCTATTACATTCTATCCCCACATGTGCCTTTTTGCCTTCTCCGAATCATAGTCTCGATTGTTTCTTATAAAACGGGGGGCTGGACTGGTTCAATTTTATTTTGCTGGATGTTGTTACCAAGGTCTCGGGATCTACAACTAACACAAGATGCTGTGCTTGGAGGACAGCGTCTTTCTACCGTCTGATTTTTGACTGAGGCGGGTAACATGCTCCGACTGAAGGCAAACCATTCGTTGTTCATCCTGTTATCTAATACTATATATCCATCTTAGTATCTATTGAAGTTTCTGCCTCGATAGCTGTGCCTAGATAACGAATTCCACTCTTTTATGCTTCATAATGTGAGCACCTAGCGTGTCTAAGGAGAAGAATCTGTCTCCTTAGACGCTCTGCTATCTGAATCATTGTAGCCAGGGTAGTTTGAGTTTGTGTAATATCCTGTGCCTTTTTTACATGTACGGGGCAGTCGAGTTGAGCGACTCGGCTGGGGTGGGTCTTGGGTGGCAGCAGAGTGAGATCCTTTTGTTATGTTCGTGCTACAGTCTTGTGAAACAGGATATGTAGCATTACTCTCGCTGGCGCTGCCAACCGTCTGCCCCTGGTTCCAGCTGTTATCGCCGTGCTGGTCTCCAGAATCTGCAGCGAGCGCATCATCGATTGTTGTTCCTAGACTCTCAAAGCTATCCCGAACAAACGACTGTTGCCGTCTACGGTTGCTCGAGCTTGATGAGCTGTCCTGATTAAGATGCGGAAGTTGAGAGGACTGATCCTCTACTGTTTGGATCACGTTGGGGGCATCTTGACGTATGGGTTCCGTCTGCTGATTTTCAGTAGCATTTTGCCTTCCCGCGGCGGCCGAGAGGAGGGTGTCAACGAGTTGCTGTGCTAAGCTACTGTCCAAGACAACTGGGTTTCCACGTGAAGCCTGTAATTGGGCTTGACTATTGGCGAGGGCCTGAGTGGCCGCATTTTTGCTAAGGTGACCCGGTCGTTGTTGATATGGCTGTGCGGCCTGCGTCAAGCCGAGGTCCATAGAACTGTTGGGGGTTTGATCAAGTTGGCCAGTACGCAGATCTTGAAATCCGAATCTACTTTGATTCTCCTGGGGATAGGCTTGGATACCGGCGAGGGCCTGAGTGGCCGCACTTTGGCTGAGGTATCCTGGTCGTTGTTGATGTGGCTGTGCGGCCTGCGTCAAGCCGAGGTCCATGGAACTGTTGACATACGGCGAAGTATTGAGTGGCGGATTACCAATAATGTGTTGTGGACTTCTGGGTAGCGTCCCATTTGCGACAGAAGTAAAGTAGTAGTCATTAAGAGCTGGTGGTGTGATATGTCAAATTTGTCTGACTAGTTCGGCGTCGTTGAAGTCAAGACTCAGTCGCTCGAGAACATTCTACAGCGCCAGCCGTGGAAACTGGTCGACTGCCCCCCCACCCACCCCACGCGAGATAAACCTCATGAATAAAATGCTGTAGCTCCGTGGAGCACTCTGCCTCTCGCAAGAACTTTGTAGCTACGCGAATGCGGGACGTGGAGAATCGAACAAACTTTTCTCGAGTTATCTCTCTGCCAGTCTGGGCTGCTTTAATGGGACTGAGTAGAACTGTTAGATAGGCTACTGAATAGGTGATCGTGCGTACGTACTCTGCGAATATTTGAGAGATATCTCGACGATAGAAGCCAATCGACTTCACTACCTCTGCCTCTGGGTAGGACGAAAGAAAGATGTCCATCTCTCTCTTGAGTTGGGGAGCGTTTCCTTCTGTTGAATTCGCGGGAGATGCTGTTGTTGAGGCATTCGCCTTCGCGGATTGTTGGCCCACATAGGCCTTCTTATGGAGACCTCCACCAGGAAATGCGGCTGGTCTTTTCTTGTTTGTCATCGTGTTGGTCGAGCACGAGCGCTGCAGACGTGACGAATGTGTGCTAGAGCGATGATGCCACAGAGTGCTGGAGGTGAAAGGTTTCCTCCAGCAGACTGAGAGAAGCATCAGGGTTTAGAGGGTAGTACATTAGGAGTAGCAACCGCGACTCTACCAATTAGGTAAGTAGAATGCTAAACTACATTAGTACGTAAATAGGTATAACGTATATGTCAAAACGTATACGCATCTTAGCATAGACAGAAGATGTTACTCTGCAGTATAAAATGATGCTCTCGTGTATAAAGAGTAGTCCTACAAAACCCAACATCGTGGAAAATCACACACAGTCTAGGAATGCTTTTCCTCGACAAAGAAATATACCTTCACGCCCGAGACTTCGATTTGATCAGTTCACGCATCAGTTTCCTAGTCCATGCTAGCCTGTGGCTGACGAAGAATGGGTTTTCCGGTGAAAACAATACCCCGGCCATTTATCCGAATGGCAAATCACAGCACATTTTTCGATCTTGGCGATGGCTTTTATCGCCATCGGACCAATCACAACGATTCATGCCCTTGTTATGTATCTAGCTTGTGTCTGCATTTTGATATCTCTAGTTAGCGTTAGAGTCATACAAAATCGCCTTCTGCGCACGATAGATCTGTTTCCACTTCACTTTATTTTACTTCACTTCACTTCACTTCACTTCACTTCACGTGGACTTTGATCTCAGTTCCAGCACTACATGAATTAGACAGCTGGGCTGTTTTAACTCTTTCCGGATGAGCTATCAGAACATCAAGGCGGATGCTGCTCCTGCTTCCGGCACTTCCATCTCATCCACCGATAATGAACTGAACGACGATCGTAGAGATAATCTTGCAGCTCCGGTGAATCCCCACCGTGGGCAACCGATTTTCGTGGACACCAATGTTCAAGCGGATAACAATGCAATCCCTACGGATGAGATCGAGCAAACAGAGGTTTCAAAAGAAAAGCCTGTGACATGGATGTCTCTACCGAGAAAAGACCAGCTATTTATCCTTACGTTCGCCCGACTGTCCGAGCCCTTGACGCAGACTGGTCTAGGTTCTTATATCTATTACCAATTGCGGTCTTTCAACCCTGATCTCCCGGACTCAACAATCTCATACCAAGCGGGTATTATCCACGCGGCGTTTCCAGCAGCACAGTTCCTCACCGCCATGCTCTGGGGGCGATTCGCAGATTCCGAGCGTGGTGGGAGGAAGCGCGTGATTTGGATCGGTTTGCTGGGGACCTGTTTGTCCATGATCGGGTTTGGGTTCTCTCGAAGTTTCGAGATGGCTGTGCTTTTCAGATGTGTAGGTGGAATTCTGAATGGAAATGTTGGGGTGATGCGCACTATGATCAGCGAGATTGTTAAAGAGAAGAAGTATCAGAGTCGAGCGTTTCTTATTTTACCAATGACTTTCAACGTCGGTGTTATTATTGGACCCATACTTGGTGAGTTTCTTCGCGGATATTAACTACTCGCTGGATCGCTAAATGGAGAACTAGGTGGCATCTTGGCCGATCCGGTCGGCAGTTACCCTTCTGTTTTTGGGCCGGGTTCTTCTCTTGGAGGAAGAGATGGAGTGCACTGGATGATTAAGTGGCCCTACGCATTGCCCAATCTGCTGAGTGCTGTCTTCTTACTTGTGGCAGCACTCAGTATCTTCTTCTTTTTGGAAGAGACTTCCGAACTCTGCAAACACAACTTCGACCCTGGGCTCCAGATCGGTCGGTGGATTCGAAAACACATTTTTCGCGAAAGATCTGCATCTGGGTATGAGTCAATACCTTTCTCACACGACGAATGGGCATCGGCAGCATCATTGGAACTCCAACCTACACCGACTGATGAAAATTATTCGCCCATGCAAGCAAGGCAGCCGTCTTCCAAGAGAAATAAGCTGCCTTTCAAGCGTATATGGACAACAAACGTGATGATGACCCTCTTATCCCATTTCATCATGGCCTGCCACGTAGGCACTTTCAACTCACTCTGGTTCATCTATCTATCAGCACCTCGACACGATCCATCAAATCCCAAATCTTCCAATCTAGCTCCGCGCGACTTTTTCCATTTCACCGGTGGCCTTGGTCTACCTCCAGCGCGAATCGGACTCGCACTTGCGATTCTAGGTGCAATAGGAATAACGATACAGCTGTTCGTGTACCCCAAACTTGCGGGACGCCTCGGACCTGTATATAGTCTACGATTGTTCTTTCTCATGTTCCCGGTTACGTACCTCCTAACCCCGTTTCTCAGCACTGTTCCTAGTTCCGAGAAACCTCCCGCTGGAGCCTCCGGACCTTTGATTTGGATCGCTATCACGCTTGTGCTTCTCATCCAAACTACCGGCCGCACCTTCAGTTTGCCCAGTATGACTATATTAGTCAACAACTGCTGTCCCCACCCTTCTGTTCTAGGAACGGTCCATGGGCTCGGGCACTCTTGTTCAAGCTTAAGCAGAACTGTTGGACCGATCTTCTTTGGATGGTTATTTGGGAAAGGTCTGGACATTGGTATGGTGGGATTGGCTTGGTGGGTTCTCGCTTGCGTGGCTATGGCTGGAAGTTTCGTTGCGCAGTTTCTCAAGGAAGGCGATGGTCATGAAATCCTGCTGGAAGGGGAAGTCCGAGGTCCAGATGGAGTTGTCAGAAGGGAAGATTAAGTGATAGTATTGCTACGATTATACGGCGCGAAATGTAGAAGCTTGTAAGAATGATGAAAGAGAGATAGACTTTCTCACGCCTCAGATAGAATAGTGAAAACAGATCATTCTGATCTTCAAATCTTGAATAGACTTCTAATCCAAAATGATTACTTGGATCTCCAATCAAATATTTGGAATATTCATGTTCCAAACGCTTGCGACATGTGTACATGATGCTCACGCTGAACATGGTGATTACCAATCTGAATCCGCGGTAGTTCGGGTATAGTATACGTCAAAAGAGATCGTAGTCGTCACTGATGCCCAACCATCTAGACATTTATGACAGTAATGGCAGCTGTAGATGCATGCTACGGCAGAGAAAGCCCAGGTTTTATAGAAATATCTCGTTCTCAGTTTTTACTACTTAGAGCAGTCGTGTACCTTTTGGTGTTGATATTGTGGAGGTGGAGGGATGTCAGCGTCATAATGCTTAACTGTTGTTGCTCTATGTTTGTGTCAACATAGGGCAATATCAATTTATCTCCAGAGTGTCCTTTCACTATTCTAGTTTTTTGGTATACCCCGTGGTGCATTCACTTGGATCGACCAATAAGAACCAAGGACCAATGATAGGGAAGGCCCTCGGCTAATCTACATCGAAGTCTGAGGACAGCAATTACTACACCAAAAACATCACCATTACCCGTAGCATACACATATTATTCACTCTCAACTCCGCCACCACCTACGAAATTCAACCTTACAAACAACGGTCATGCATAAATCAAAATGGGCTCCCGACCCCAGTGAGGCCTCTGAACCCAATCCCTACGCGCCATCGTTCGCGCGAGAACAGCCAGCTACAACACCAACGCAAGCGTCACAGCAGGCGACCCCCGAGGCCCCGAAAGGTGACGTACAACCTGAACCGCAGCAGCCAGAAGTGCAAACAGAGCCGCTTCCAGTAGAATCGGAATATGTACCGCAGCCGTATGCAGAGTATTCGTACCCCGAGGATCCTTCTATGGATCCTTTCGCGCAGACCGCCAGCACGGATGATCTGTTCTTCGACGACGACTTCACCCCCGTTGCCGAGCCGGTCGTGGAACCGGAACCAATTGAAGAACCTGCGCCTGAGCCTACCCCCGAAGATACCACTTCGACGTTTGCAGGTGGTGATAGCCAGGCACCTGCACAGGCTCCACAACACGCACCGCGGGGACCCCACGGAGGAGAACGCGGAGGTCGGGGTGCAGGTCGAGGACGTGGAGCACGAGGTCGTGGTCGAGGCCGAGGAGGGAACTTCAACCAGACCACCGACGCGCGCATACCGCAAGACGGCGACAATGCGCCCAACAAATCTCAGCAAGACAAAAAGCAGCCGGGCAAAACCGAAGACGCAACGGCCGTCGAGTCTACCGACACTCCCACCGAAACCCCAGCAGAAAACAATACCGAACCACTACCCCCCAACGCCCCCAAAACCGCCGACAAACCAACCCCCTCCGTCCGCGGCGACCGCACCTTAACAGGCGGCACCCCACGCACGCGCCTCACCGAAGCCGAGCTGACAGCCAAACTGGCCCTCATGCAATCCAAGAACAAATCCCGTGAAGCCGCCCACGCGCGCGAGCAAGCCGACGCCGCAAACTTCGAAGCCAGCCAAGCGCGCGCTGCGAAACAAGACGTCGAGCGCCGAAAGCAGCAAGCCGAGCGCCAGAAAGTCGAACGCCAGAACCGCCAGCAGATGATGGGCGAGCGCGAGCGAAATAGACTGAGGAAGCTGGAAGCAAAAGGCCGTCAGTGGGATGAGGAGAAGGAGGAAGGCTTTAGTGGTACGGGCGAGGAGAAGAGGAGGGGTGCTGCTAGGGGTATGCATGGCGCTGTTGCGCCTACGCCTGCTAGAACCACCGGTGCCGGTGAAGGCGAGGATGGAGATGTTCCATTCGACGACACCACGCCTCGCTCGAACAACGCTGGCCGTCGCGGTGGTCGTAACAACAACTATAACCATAATTCCCGCGGCGGCGGCGGTGGAAGGAATAACTCTTCCACCCCATCTACCAAACCTGCCCACCAACACCCTCCCACCGCAGCAGACTTCCCCGACCTCCCCCCTTCCTCCTCTAAACCCGCCACCTCTTCTTCAGCTTCCAAAGATCCCCCATCCGCCCCAAAAATCGACATCCCGCTCAAGACAAAAACCGCGGAGCCCACCTCAACCAAGGACACCGAATCTCCGCGCCCAGGTATCCAGAAAACGGAGTCCTTTGGACTCACGCCGCTGTCGCCTAGTGCCAAGGGAAGAAGCTGGGCTGATCAGGTTGATGAGGGACAGGCGTCGGGGGAGGGACAAGTGCATTATCACTGGTAAAAAAAAGGATGGCAAGTGTTGATTGTTTACGAGAACTTTTGTTTTCTGGGGAAAAGAAAAGTTCTATTAAGTTTGGAATAACGAAAATGTTGGGGTTGGAAAATGGTGAGGGAGCCTGACAGTATCAAGGTTTTTGGGGGAGGAGAGGGTGGGAAAAAAGACAACGTTTTCGTCCCCTTTATGAATATAGGCATGTTGTTGAGGGGTGACGGAAAAAGATTGCGTTATTCATATATACCATTGTTAGTGTTGCCTCACCAAGATCATCAGCTAGCATCATTGTGTGTACAATGGGGATTACATGGATGTAGCTACATTAAGAAAAGACCAAGACTGGAAAGATGTATATTCAAACATTTTAAACCTAGATAAATATAGATGGTACAAAGAACAAGATCGACTTGGCATCAACTACTCATCGCTATCCCAACCGTCGTCATCATCTCCCAGAAGCGCCGGGTACTGGCGACTCCTCAGATCCTGCTCTAACCCACCCTCGCTCTCGGGATCGACATATCCGCGACCACCGAACAGCGAGAGTAAGACAGGGAGGAGGATGAGAGCATGTGTGGAGGCCCAGACGACGAGGGCGAGCCAGATGCGGAAGTAGTAGATTTCGAAGATCTGGTACAACGTTAGCAACGAGGTAGGTACTAAGAATGGAAAGAAGGAAACATACCTTGCTGCGAGTCCAAGCGAGGACGCCGACGCCCAGAATCTTGGTGATGGTGATGCCGCTTACGACAGAGCTCGCCACATTGACCATGGCTGTCCAGGAGCGTGCGTCCAAACCCTTGAATTTGTGACGAGGGGCGCGTTCCATGGTTGCACGGCTTGGGAATGTGAAGGCGCGGGCGATGTGTGCTGTGAACTCGACGCTGATGCCTACGCAAATGATGAGGTTGACGAGGGAAACGGCGTTAAGTGAAACACCGAGGAGAGCCATGGACCCGATGATGGCAGAGACTGTCATGGCAACTACGACGGTGACAACCAGTGCAGTCATGATAGAGCCGAGCAGGATGGCCGTGACGAGGAACGTAGCGGCAAGAGCAGAACCGATAAGCGCACCAGCAAGACGGACAATAGAGAGGTATTGATCGAAGAAGATGTAGTGTTTGGAGTAGGGGAACACCTCGGTACCAACGTCCTTCTCAATCTCACTTGCAATCCTGCGGGCTGCTGTGTAAGATGCGATAAAGTCTTCCTGTGAATGGATAGGTGTGTGCGAGGTGCGGAAGTGTGAGGCAGGAATGGTGAGTCTCTCGTCGTCAATAACAAGAGCGTTGGAGTAAGCGGCCGCACCACCCAGAGGGCAGTCCTCCGTGGTTGGCGCTTCGATCCAGCGATCCAGGTATGACATAAATTCCTGGCCTTCGGGCATCCCGCTCAGAGTCAGATTCCACGGTGGGTTGCGACCCTCGAAGCAAGGCTTCCCATCTTTTCCAATGCAGCACTTTGAATTTTCGGGGTTAAGCCAGAGGATGAAGTCGTCCAACCAACTGGCCGCTGGAGCAGCCAGGAAGGAGGTCTCAGGTCGCTTACGCTCAGCTTCGATGATGTTCGCAAGACTATCTTGGTGGCACGTGGAAAAGCGACCACAAAGCTCCTTCTGCGCTGTACGCTGGGTGACGTTAAGCTCCTTGGTGACGAAGTAAACTGGTGGTCCTGCATCGAAGTAGTCGTACAGATCGTTGAAATACGGAATAAGGTAGGAGTCAGTCGGTATGGCGATGCGCTGGTCGAGGCCAAGTTGCACCTTGGGGAAAAGCGCCAGAGCGGCGGTGAATATGCCGAAGAAAACGACCAGGACTAGCACCTTAACCTTCTTTCCCAGTAGAGCTGGAGCATACGTCTTACGAATGAATCGTTGTAGGCCGCCTTCTTCTCCAGCACCGTGGCCCATTCCACCGTTGATGTAGCTATCATCAGCTCTTCGCACACGCAAGAACGGGAAACAATCGGCACGGTTGTCTTCTACGCGTCGCTGATTTAGAGACAGCACGGCCACAAACATGGTAACTTGTAGCACGGCGTTGATGAAGACGGCCCCTGCGGCATAAGCAGCGAAATTACGTACTGCAGGCATGCCCACAGCGCACCCCAAAGCAAAGGCTGTTGTTTCGGTGGTGGCAGAAAGCAAGATGGAAGGTCCCATGCGGCCTAAAGCCCGAGAAGCGCGCTCAGGAATCGAGCCCTCAGGGTGACTGATGTTGACGCGCTCGAACTCATGTACGATGAGGAAGATATTGTCCACTCCGACGGCCAGTACCAGAAAAGGAATGACTTCAGCGATGATTAGGGTGACCTTAATGCCTGCGGCGGAAAACAAACCGACGGAGGCAGATACCGACATTAGGACGATGAGGATACCAGATATGCCGAGCATGAACTTTGATTGAACAAGCGAATTGGACGGGTGTCGCAGGATAGACCGGACGGTGAGGGTGGTTGATCCAAGGGCGAGGGACGCGTACATGAACATGATGATATAGCTGACAACGACGATTTTGGCATCCGTGTTTGTGCTCTTGTTCAATTCTTGCTCCAGACTAACTTCAGTGTTGAAACTGAGACGCAGGCCTCGGTCACGGGCTTCGCCTTGAACGGCGAGCATCAGGTCCTTCATGCCGTTTTCCCAGTCCATTGCGCGTTCCAGCTCAGGAGTCCCCTCCGCATAGTTGGAGACAACCCAAGTCACGATGATAGCTTGGGCGTCGAGGACGCTCTCGTTGACGCCACCGAACAAGAGGTGGGGATCGAGTGGCTGCTGGAACGGTGGTAGACACGAGGACGGATTGTCAACGCAGGCTATTAAATCCTCCTCCCAGTAAGATGGCGAGACACCGTCGAAGTCACCCCCAAAGTAGCCTGTTAATGATTGGACGACGCAGGAGTCGCCGACAGGCTTGAAGCAAACCTTGTCGAGTGTGTACCCGCCCTCGTACGATTTGGAACGCTGAATGCGACTTTCCACATCGAACCACCAACGAAGAGTGTCGTAGCTGAGAACTGGGCCACCCGTGTCGTTGACAAGGAAAGCTTGCTCGGCTCGGAAGAACGGACCAAAGTTTTGATCAAAATAATCCTTCTCGAGCGCGGCGGGGGAATCGGGCGATACCCACAGTCTGACGGGATCGGTCTCAACCTGGAATCGTAGCCACCCGAGACTGAGAAGAGCTACGACAAGAAAGCTGGTGGAGATGGTGATGAGGGGAAATTTGGCGCACACGTATCCCAAGCGACTAAACATGCGGTCGCACCAGGTGTTGACAAAATACTGCTTTGTTGGTCTATCCAGCATACCGATATTATGGACAATGTCTCCTTCATCTTCGTCATCACTAGGCTCCAGGTCCTGTAGTAGACGAAGACGCTCGTTCTTGTGGCTTGCGTGCTTTCGATACGCAACGTGGCCTGCGACAGCCAGACACAGCAGACCGAGAAAAACAGAATAGATGATAATGACGGCAAAGGATAGACAGGGCAAAATGCCTACGTAGCACTGCTTCGCTTCGGCCACTTCTGGAAGCTCAGCACATGAAGAGCCACAATCCAAGCATGCACATCGGTACTTTTCGTCGGTCGAGTTACACGGATGAGCTTCCTTGTCCATAGGGTCCATAGAGGGGAAATCAGACTGGTTGGGGCGGGGGAAGTTCATTTGGAACGGACTGCCGAGAAACTTTTTGTCGCCCAGAAATTTGAGGAACTGAGTGTAGTTGGAAGCGCCACCCCCGATGAAGTCCATGGCTTTTCCATTGGTAGCACCAAACTTGACATCTTTGCAGCTGTTGTAGAAATCGGAACCGTATTCGTTGGATACAAGATGGTCAAGCTCGGTGACGAGATATTTGTCCCCTTTAGGCTCGGTTTGGGTGACGTTGATGAATAGCGACTGGTCGGGGGAGCATGTAAAGGTGCAGAAGAGGTTGAAGAAGTTCTCTTTGCAGGCGGGGCAGGCGTTGATAATGGGAGTGGCGCGGTCGAGATTCGTCTTGAGGGCGTCGAGCTGTTCTTCCTTGCAGCACACCTTCGTGTCGGACCAGCTATCACCGCAGATGTCGACCAGCTTCTTCCGCACATCTTCCTCTGGCTTCTCAGCCAAACCGTTGTCTGGACAAGGTAGCTCAGAGCCAAAGAAGCCCTGTTTCCCGCACTGCCCTCTGATCGCGCAGCGGCCTTCCTCATGCTTCGCTGTCCAGTCGGGACCAGCCGCCCATGCAGACGTTGTAGACATCAACAACAGACCGGCTGTCGCTGTGAGCCATCCTGCTCCTGCCCCTCTGCTGCTGCCGCGGGGGTATTGCGGCGCCATGATGGAGCTGGTTGAGTGCGCACCGGGGCGCCAAAGTCGTCTTAAGTGTGCGTCGGGCTTCGGGTGCGCGAGCGGAAGTGGGTAGGAGGGATAAGTCGATATTCCAGGACAAATAAAGGAGAGAATGATCAGCGAGTCGATGGAGGATGTGTGAAGGAGGACTCAAGGCATCAGTCTGCCTCTGTCGGAGTGGTGCAGCGAGTGTTTGCCCGTGTCGTCATCTGGAGCTAGCTGCGGTACAGTACAGTACTTACCCAAGGATGCGTATGCACTTAGCTCGGCGCTGCAGGCACCAACTCCAATCCGAGCTACACTATTTATCACTGTGCAGCGCGCACGTACCCAATATTTCTCAGTCCTCCCGTCACGCGCACAGCATTAGGTCACCAGTCTCGACACACGTAGGTAGGTGCGCTATCATTGTACCACGGATGCATTCATTCACTATATGCCAACTCATGGTCTGGTAATTGTCATTTGCGATGACAATAAAGTCTATATATATACCATCAAACAATCCTTTTTTTGCTTGTCGTGCCTCATTACCGTCGTCATGTAGCGTGTTCCGCCGGGTATTCAACGTCAAATCCTGCTACCTCTCTCTCCATGCTTGTAGCCACTTTATTTCTGCAAGTACTTGACCAACTCCACGAGCTGTGACCTGGTCTCATCCTCGAGCTGGTCCTGGGGTTCTCCAAGAACCTTCTCAAACACCGGCATCAGCGTAGGCGTGAGTTGCTGGATTGTGGGCTCGTTGGCTTGGTCTGATTTCGTTAGACTCGTGCGAGAACAGATTGAGGCGCGTAAACTTACAAAGCTTGATGATCATGCTGTAGATCGGCTTGTTCTCCTCGTAGTCCTCGCGGAGGGGAAGAAGCTGCACTACACGGGGGAGGACCTCCCCGATGGGAAGCTTGTCTCCGTGCTTGGAAATGAAGCGGCTCACACAACCAGCAGTGTTGTCCAACAAACGAGCCTGGTCTTGGGCTTCCAGAAGGGGCTCCAGCTTGCTGAAGATGGTGGGCAGCGACTTGAGGATCTCGTCGTCGTTGGTCGTCTTCTCGCAGAGCAGACCGATGCCGTATACGGCATTGGACTTGGTCTCGGGATCTTCGTCCGACAAGCGGTGCACGAGAAGCTTGAGGAGGTTGGTGCTGTACTGTGTGCATCCCTCACCCATGTTGCCAATGCACTCTGCGATGGTGCCCACGGCAGCGCTGCGCTCAACGGACTCCTGGCTACTGGCGTACTTGACAATGGGCTTCTCGAAAGCCTTCCAGAGCTCGCCAAAGCCGGGTCCGATGGCGACAGACAAGCAAGTGACAAGCTCCATGGCCGTCTCGATCACCAGCCAGTCATACTCGGAAGACTCCTCGAGAACATCATCTTCGTCATCTTCGCCAAGATCTTGCTGGCACAAGTGACGTTTGGTGATGGTGGCAAGAAGCTGCTGGACCATCTGAGAACGAAGTTAGCTAGGCTCTTGCCATGCGCGGAAAGAATATGCTTACGTCTGGTACCACGGTAGAACCGTCGTCGTTCATGAGCATGGAAGGACCACAAAGACGAAGCGTAGCTGCAAGATCACGGTTGATGTCGGTGACCGTACCACTGTTTCAGTCAGCAAATGTTCTCCCACGAAGAAAATTGTTACAAGAAACAATGATGTTGGTGCCTCAGATACAGAATCGCTTTCGCTTCAACCGCACTTTGTGCGTCGGAGTGAGCTGGGATAACGAGTTGTGATCATCTTTGGGCTGGGATTGGAAACCAAGGGGGAAGCAGACAACTTACCGGTCCATCTCATCGGGCCAGATGGCCATGGTGGCCTTCATAATGAGCTGGCTCAATTGAGTGATCTGCTTGGGAGGCTGAACTTTAGGGGGGAGTCCCGGAGTCCACTTCTGCAGACCATCCTTCTCCTCCGCCATCTGGTAGAGGCAGGCATACGTGCGCCAAAGCGTACCAATGCAGGCCTTGCGAATTCCTTCGTAGCTGTGTTCGACCATCTCAAGTAGTTTTGTGACGGTGTCCTCGAGGTACGGAATGAATTGCTCGCAAGTGTGAGTGATGATGTCACCAAATACTTCGGCAGCAATCTCCTTCTCCATAGCAATGGCCGAAACACCGTTGATGTCATCCCAGTCGTCATCATCCACAGCTGCGTCGTTGAGATCGCTGAAATCATCATCATCGTCGTCTCCTGCGGCAGCAACCTTGACCTTCTGGCCCTCGATAACGACTTCGGTACCAACGAGGTCCTTGGCTTCTTCTCCAAGCTCCACGTTGATATTACTCTCCTCAAGATCCAGGCACTCGATCAGACCCTTGACAGCGCCGGGCAGGTACTTTGCGAAATCCTTCTGGTACAGTTTGGCCATAGTGCTCCACAAGATGTAGCTCGTCTCGCGTAGCCTAGGGTGGTCCAAGTGAAGTGCTTCCTCTGACGCCTCCATAAGAGGAAGAACATAGGGCTCGAAAGCCTTCTCACCGACAGCCGTGGCCATCTTACCCATAGTATCGCAGGTGACGCCACGGAGGTCCAACTCGTCCTGGCTGTCCTTGATACGGATATATGATGAAAGAGCGTTCATTGTCTGCTCGAAGAAAGGAGCGAACTCGGCGCCAGCAGCGGAGGCGATGGAGCCCACCGCGCTGATGGCCGGAACCTTAGTCTTCAACTCATCGCTGTTGAACAGGTTGCTAATGCGAGGCACCAACTCCCGGACATACAAGGCTGCGTCCTGAGGCTCGAGACCTTCGATCAAAGAGTCGATGGCGTTGCAAGTTCCCCGTACAACCCTCATGGTGTCATCATCATTGCGGTTTGAGCTCACGGCGAGATCATAGTTCTTGACGATAGCAGGAATCAAACGGGCATGCTCTTTGCCAACATCCTCGGCTAGATCATCGGCCAAACGAGTGACACCATTCAACGCGGCAATGCGGACGTTGATATCGGCGTCATCGAGGAGGTGTAGAACCATTGGCAAGATCTCATGAAGTTGGGTCGCGATGAAGTCAGGCGCACCCTCAACGCACATACCAAGAGCCAAAATACCAGCCTGGCGGTAACGGGGGTTCTCGGAAGTGAAATAGTTGCCGAGAGCCTTGAGCAGAGGAATAACCACTTGGCTTGGGGGCAGACTGCCAGCGAGAATGTCGAGGAGACCCAGAGCAGAACGAGCAGGGGTGATATCCTCGTCGTCTGTTGAGAGGTCTTCCATCTCGGTAACGATCTGGAGAGCCTTCAAGGTAAGCTCCTCACCGATCCTCATGCCCTGGATCTTGAGCTTCTTGAAGCGGACGCATTGCATCAAGAAGGCAAGTGCCTGAGAACGGTAGTCATCCTCAACGGAGGTCGAAGACGACATCTCCAGCATGAACTTGACAAGGTCGCCAAAGTGTTTTTGCAATAGAGCAGAGTCACAGCTCAACAGAGTCTGGAAAACTTCGAATGCTTGGAGAGCGTTGGTCTCGTCGCCCTGCTCGACCGTAGATTGCAGAACCTTGACCATGCCGGGAATGGCTTCTTGGAACATGGCAACCTCCTTGGGGCTCTCGTCGGAATCGAGTAGCATGGCAAGGCAGCCAAGCGCAGCCATGGTGTTTACCCTGACTTCGGTGCTTTCGGCATCTTGAATTGTGGAAGAGAAAAGCTTGTAGAGGTCATCCTTGGTACCAGGGAATTCGTCGCCGACGGTCCTGCACATGATGTCAGTGAGATCCAAGAAGGTGCCAAGGTGTATATACATACTCTAGTGTGGTCCAGATGACGAACGTGCCGACCTCCCGGTGACGTGCAGCGGAGCTGGTAGCGGCCTGTTGGAGGAAGCTGAGCAGCTCGGTGCCCTCTCCATCCTCAAAATCTTTGGAAGCAAAAGCAGAAACCACACGAGCGGCCGAATGGCGGACTAGACGTTCCTCCTCGTTGAGAGAGTGTTGGCACACCTGCTGGCGGAGAGCAGATTTTTGGTCGGCCGGGAGGGCGTTCCAGTGCTTGTTGATCAGCTTTCTCGCCTCAACGGCGGCCAGTTGGCGAAGCTCAGGCTTGGGGTGGTTGCAGACGATCTGGAGGAGAGCGTTGAGCGAAGCGGGAGATTTGTAGTAGTTGTTGTTCAGCGTCGAGGTGGCTGACTTGACCCGCTCTGTGTCGGCTGCACACTCTGTTAGCTTTTGTGCGATGGAACAATGGTTGGGGCATATATACGCAGCAGAAGAGCCTCGAGCAGTTCAACAAATTGTTGCTCGTCCATGGCGAGTATTCCTGTGGATGGTAGAATACAGGCCTGTGTCGGTCAGTTGCTGCTCGCAAAAGACCAGAGAGTTTGAGGGGGGAAGAGTGGTGGAGGTGGGAAGATGGAGGGAGGAAGAAAGGGAGAGGGAGAGCGGGGAGGTGGTGGAAAAAACAAAAGGGTTCATTTTTTTTAGTGGGGCCTAAAGCGCGAGGCAGGGATGAGCTGGTGGGAGGCTCGCTCGCGTGCACCTGGCAGAGAGAGAGAGGGTGAGGGTGAGAGACAGAGGAGCCAAGACAGACAAGAGGATAGAAAGCGAATCTCGATAAGACAAGACTGCGAGGTTCTGAGGTGAAAATGGAGGTGAAAGAAAAAAAGGAAGAAAAGAAAAGAAGGAAAATTTGCAAGAGAGGTTGGCATACCGGATCAATGAGGGCAGTCGCTCATTCCACGCAGGTGCATCGCTCCGTCAAGCATCCGTGACGTAAATCCACGTTGCCAATAGGGAGGTCCCGTGCATCTTATCGTAATTGAAGACTCTATGCCAGGTATGCAATTGCCGGATGGGGTGGATGAAGCAGGTAAGAAGAGGTAGTAGGTGGACAGAGAAGAGTACATGAGATGAGATGGATATCAATCTGCATGACGGAATTGTCGACACGCGACAACCAAAGACATGGTGCCGGGTAACGCACCACCACGTTGCAACGCATTGAACAGCATGGTGGACGAGATGGCACAGCAGCCAGCGAGCAATGGCTGATGGATGAAGAGATAGATGGAAGCTTGTGCGGGTGAGAAAAGAAGGTGAGAGAGGTGGTGATGTGATGGGCTCGGCGCTAGGGCGCTCTGCGGCAGGTGCGTTTGGGAGTGAGTTGCAGTTTAGTGAGTTAGTTTGCAAAAAGAGCAACAGCGACCACGACGGCCCAAACCTCCATCGCAGCTACTCGGCAACCCCCATTCATTACCTCACCCACCCTCATCCTATCCACCTCTCCCCCAAGTGCTCGAGTCTGCATTCACCATCTAACCATCCGCTTCTCTCATCATAGTGCCATCTAAACGCTTGCCGCCGCCCAACGCCCAAGGCTTCCCTAATCCTCCTCCCACCCGAGCTTCGACTGACTGACTGCTGCCCGTCGATCTTCGTCAACACCACCAACACGACCAGCCCACCACCCACCAGCAGCACATCCGCCCAGGCCGCCCATCTCTATGGCTTCGGTACGCCAGCTCTATTCCCCTCATTCACCCACACATGTTGCTTCCATTGCTAACCCCTCCCCTCCAGCAAGCGTCCACCCAGCCGCGTCCCTATCCCGCCAACTACCTCCCCAATGGCGGAGTACCCGCGCCCTCTGCTCCTGCTCCCGGAGCCGTGCCGCTGCTCCCCAACCAGGGCCGCGTGATCCAGCAAGGCAGCGTTAGGGTTCTGTGCATCGCTGACGTCCGAGGTAAATTCCTCTTACCTTGGCTGTTTATTTGATACCCATCCCGGATATCCTTATTAACATTTTCCAGGAAACCTCCAGTCGCTCAACCAGCTTGCCGCAGATGCACGCGCAAACTACATCATCCACACGGGCGATTTCGGTTTCTATGATGACCGGTCGCTGGACCGCATCGCCGACAAGTACGCCTCCCTCCATTCGTTCCCATTCTATCACACCCGCTGACCCTGTGCTCAGGACCTTGAAGCACGTCGCTCAATACTCTCCCTTGCTCTCCGATGCCACCAAGCGTTCCATCGCATCCGCACCCCCACAACCCCCCATCAAGGAGCGCTTCTCTCGTGAACGCCTTCCCCTGTCGGAGCTCCCGCTCTTCCTCAGCAAGCAATACACACTAAATGTGCCCGTGTACACGGTTTGGGGAGCATGCGAAGATGTTCAAGTGTTGGAGAAGCTGCGGTCAGGCGAGTACAAGATTGACAATCTGCACATCATAGACGAGGCCCACTCGCGGCTTCTCGATGTCGGTGGCGTCAAGTTGCGTCTGTTGGGTCTTGGTGGAGCTGTCGTCATGCACAAGCTTTTCGACAACGGTGAGGGTCGCACGACCATTGCAGGAGGCCAGGGCACCATGTGGACCACTCTGCTGCAAATGGGCGAGCTAGTCGACACTGCAAACCGCGTATACGATCCTACCGAAACCCGTATCTTCGTCACCCACGCATCGCCTGCTCGTGAGGGACTGCTCAACCAGCTCTCCGTTACACTCAAGGCTGACTTCTCAGTCTCCGCTGGTCTTCACTTCCGCTACGGCAGCTCCTACAATGAGTTCAGTGTGAACCCGACCCTCGACCACTACCGCGGCAAGCTCGCTGCTTCCAAGGCTTCGTTCAATGATGTTTGGGATACCGTCAAGACCGAGGTCGAGCCGGCCGTCGCCGATAGCGAGTCCCAGCAGCGTCTATTGAACCTTGCTCTGGACATTGTTCAAAAAATGCCTTCGGTCGCCAATGGCGGCAATCCTTTCGGTGGCCCTGCGCCTGGTCCTCAGAGCGGTGTCATTGACGAGAGTGCCTTCAAGAACATGTGGAACTTCAACTTGGCAGATGCTGCGTATGGCTGGCTCGTTCTGGATGTTGACAATGGCAGGATCGGTACCGAAATGAGGGCCCAGGGTTTCAATTTTGCCCACCGTGGTGGTAAGGTTGCTCCTCTAGCCCAACCTGGTCAGCCTGTAGCGGCCGCAGCCACAACAGCTCCCACAGCTTCGACCTCTACCCCGGCTCAAGGTCGCCCTGCAGCCCCTTCGACCGCAGCTGCTCAGCAGCCTCGTCAGGCAGCAGCGACACCTCCTGTCTCTCAGCAGATGAAGCCCAATCAACCAGCACGCACAGGTCCTTCACCCGTTGCCACTCCCAAAGACCCCATCAAGGTGGCCACCCCCCAGCCTGGAGCCGCGGAAAAAGCCATTCCCAGCGAGGTCAAGCCCAACGGTACAGCTGCTCCCGAAAAGACTGCCTCGCCTGCTCCCCGTGAGCCCCAGGAGCGCAAGGAGGGCAAGGCGCTCTTCATCATCAACGTCAAAGATGAAGACGAAGCCCGCAACCTCCTTGCCGAGGAGGACCGGACCAAGTGCGAGAAGATTGAGAAGATCAAACACTTCTTCGTAGCCCACTTCGCTACTACAGCAGACATGACGGCTGCTCTCAACCGTGTGGCCCCCGAAGTCAAGAATAACAAGGAACAGAGCAAGCCGAGTGTCAAGGTTTACCGTGAGCCGACTAACACGCCGAGGTATGGAGCAGGCTCGTGGCAGGCCAGCACCCGCGGTGGTGTGCAAGGAGGTTATCGCAGCGGCGGTGCTTCCGACAGTGAAGGCGGACGTGGTGGACGTGGCCGAGGCAGCAACTACCGCGGCGGTGGCGATCGCGGTGGTGAACGTGGCGACCGTGGTGACCGTGGCGATCGTGGCGACCGTGGCGACCGTGGAGGTCAACGTGGTGGTCGAGGCGGACGTGGCCGGGGAGGGTTCAGAGGAGGACAGGGCGAGGGCGCTGCGGCATCTCCGGCAGGCGAGTCGTAGATGACCCCGACGCATTTCCAGTGCTCTTGTCTTCCTGATACCCTTTCTTTGTTTCTTCCTTGACAGCGGCTTTTCGATTTATCAGGGAAGAGTCGCCTCCCTTCCGGCGGATGTGTTCACTTCCCTTCGGACGGCCATTCTGTGCGTGTAGTAGCGGGCTTTGGTCTAGAGTCGGGTGAGGTTAAGCATGGACGGCGCTTCAGGGGTCATTGGATGGTTATGTGGATTATCTGGCTTCCTTCAAGCGGTTTGCAAGCGTTCGTCATCTTGTCCGCTCCAAGCGGATGCTTTTCTTTCCTTCTTTACCCGATTTTAGTTTCTTGTCTCGCCTCATTCGGGTGGACGGGGAGTTGCGTTTCGGCGGGAAAAAATATGATTATTGTCAGAAAATAGTATGTATTGTAATCGATTCTCTAAGGAAACAGAATATGAGGAGAAACTTTGAATTATCTGTCCCTGTCCATGTATGCAGCGTAATGTGAATGGTATTATATCGAGTGAACGGTAGAACGTCGAAAGTTGACTAGTTTGGCACAATGAGTGACTTGGTTTCCATGTCTATATATGCTAACTTGCTCATTGTTTGACGTTAATTATAAACCACACGGTAAAAGGTCGTTTTGTTGTTTTATTTTTGCGCGTCATGCCTACTACTCAAGTTTCTTGCTTTGATCATAGATGTTGATTGACGTACTTTTTCAGGAAGTGCAACCAAAGACTCATATGTGTTTCTGTTTTGAAGCTACCACAAGATGAAAAATTATAAGTATGCATGTGTTACCTTACTTGGAGTAGAATCAACAGCACTAGTGGAGATTTGGCAGGATGTATATCTAATTTGTTAGAGAATCAAGGGAGATGAGGAAGATTATGACGACTCTTGTTACGACCTCTGATTCCATATATAGACTACAAACACTCTAGGAGAAGGATCCATCATCTTGATTCCGTTACCATCTCTCTCTATCTACTAGATGAATTTAATTGGAGACACTCAAAGTACAGCTGTATCATAATAACTCATGCTCGTATGGCTATACACCACAACTATGAACTTTGTAGTTCTAGATGCAATGTCATATCCTACTCAATCCATCGTATGGCCTGCATATACAAACCTTGGATAGACGGCGGTGTGACGGAGAAAGCAATCTGTTCTGATGTAAAAAAGAATGCTAGTCAATTTAGAAAGTTTTTGATATTATGATGTTGTTCTAGCTTTCGTAGTGGTCGATAAAAGAGAGGCGTGGTTTGAGAGAGATAGTAGCGGAGTAGTCTTAGATATACGAAAGAGGCATGGAGTTAGATCGTGATGATGGGCACTTGATGAGAGACTGGTAGTTGAGGGTTCTTCTGGAAAGATATCGATGGGCTACCGGGACTGAGTACTGTGGGATGGGAGTGATTTTGGGAATGTGTTTTGTTCATGTGCTGGGAGATGTTCGCTTTCACTGTATAAAGTGCCGCCTTGTTCATTAGAAAGATGTAATGAATGACGAAGTACAATCAATAAACAAGGAAATATATTAGAGGAAAAACTTTTTGACTGGTCACTCAGTGATAGTTTGTTGCGCATTCTTGTTGATGATGGGAAACGTGCTAGCCCATCGCGGAGTATACTTGTGCTTGTTGTAGAGAGAATAGAATAGTGTTCATAGAGATTCTTGGTAGTTTCTTTTCAAAGTTCTCTGGAATTAGAAGCAACTCTTCTTTGAAGGCAAAAGCGTGTCATTAAAGAGCATGGGTGGGAGCGGCGACTCCATGCCATTTATCATGAATCCCATTCAATGATGCGGTAGTTATTTTACAAAGAACGGCCTGAGCATGATATCTCTACAAGGATAGAGTTCCATTGTTGCTCATCAATGATGGGATTTGTCTCCCGTCGATTTCTAGAAGCGTGTTATCAAGGATTGCCAAATCTATCCTTTGCTAGGGATAATTGTGCCTTCTACTCCAGCCAGATGCATTCAATTCCGGAGGCGGCCCAATGGCCTGCGATGTTCAGCCAAAAGTGATGTTGTTCTGCTCGTTCCAGGGATGATGCTTGGTTTACCACGGCGTTAATGTCAAAGCAGGCAGAAAAAAAGCAGGAAATAACTTGTCGTAGATGTTCACAGATGGAAGCTTTGAGGCAATTTGAACTTGTCGCCGTGGAAGTCTCTGAAGATGGATCGGCGGGTACAAGAGATCAAAACCAATCTCCTCATTTGCCAATCGGAGCATTCATTGCCAGTCTGTTTGTTGTTGCCATGACGAGCTCACATCAGACAAATTTCTATGTAAATATTAATTTCTCTATAGTGTTACAAATTCCACATATTACCCAATCGGAGAACAATCACCGAATATTACACAGTGAAACCATGCTACTCTCCACATGTAATTCCCTCGAACCAATGACTGCCACGATGAAGTTGTCGAGAACTGCCACGACTCGCTACGCTTACATCGCACATTTGGCTTCCAAGCCTTTTTGCACGGTGCGACCTCGCTGCAGCTACGGGCCACTGCGGCATCTAGCACAGTCCAATTAGCTGACTTACTGTGGTGGAATGGGTACTGTGGAAATGCTAATGTCTCGCTTCCCGTCAGCTAGCGCTGTAGTTTAAAAAGCACTTGTGCTGCAGGGGGTGACCCACGTGGCGTAGAATTATCGATAAGTGAATGGATAATGTGGATTGCGTGTCGAGCAAGTGCAGTTGACTTTGGATTTGGTGGGTTTTGGGGGGGTTTGACATCTCATCTGTTCGTCGAGAGAGAGATCCTATTGGGAAGGGAAACAGAATGAGCCCCTGAGCTACGGTATTAAAGTGTTGGAAAGTGTGCTCATCGCATCAATATTTTCTCGTATATCGTTACAGACGGGTCAAACTTGCATATCCGGATATCCACTTTGGGCGTTTGGATGCTCCTTCTGGAAATCTTGAGCGGCGCGGCGCTGTGCTCGCACGAGAGAAGCACGATTTCCGCCCCCGTGAGATCTCAGATAGGGTACACAGGGGTTGCGGGCCTTATTCGAATCCTGCGAGATTCCGTGACGTTTATTGTCCTCAGAACAGACGTCCTGTTTTGGTGTTTTACCTGCGGCTTTCGAGTTGGGAGGGTCCGTGGATGGTGGTTGTGCCGCAATGAGGTAGGTTTGCAAGCTTCAAGTGCGAGTGGAGGCACAGTCGGTTTGCTTGTGCCCGATTCGCCACACTCTTGTTTCATGAGTAAATCGTTTGCACCAGAGACGTCGCTTTGCGATTCCCCTATTCCGACCGATGTACGGCCGGACGCAAATTTTACAAAGTTTACTTGCCTCGTGGTGGAGCATTCATGGCAAGCTGCCCCTCACGGTAGACGGCTGCCGACTTTACACACGGGCTTTGCGTGAGTTTATGGCTAGTCGTCTTTCACGATGTCAGAACAATCACACGCCGTTTGCTACGCTAACGACTTGGTTACCGTCTGGAACTCCAGAAATCGGATCTGCGTTGACGCGACGCTGCTGCGTCAGGCCGCTACCATCCATGTGGGCAGGCTAATGTGCACGCCCCCTGTCTATGTTCTGCGAGCAGGTTTGGTTTGGTCTCTTCGCAAGCAAGCGAATGTAAAGAGAACAACGGACTGACGAGGTAGCACTTGGAATATCACAATTGGATTGCTGCTGGTAGTTTGAGATCCTCACAGAACATGTAAGATACCTGCAGAGGATTTGCGCGAGCCGTATCACGTGAGCATGCAGAGGGGCGAAAAAAGCGACAGAACTTGGACCAGAACTCTATCTGGCCGGCCCAGAAGCCCCGGAGTACTGTCGTGGTGGCCTCTACGGGTAAGCCTGAAACATTCGCCGGCGGGACGAACGCCCAGGTGTCAACCGCTGTTTACAACGGTGGCTCCACTGACACGCAAGCTAAATTTTACTCGAGATCTTGAATGTGAGCCCTGTAATCCCACTGTTTGATTTGTTGTGTGATTCGTTCAATGGCCAAATGACAACGAAATCTTGACTGTAAGTAGTAGCCCAACCTGTTTCGCCCGTGGCAACGAAACATTCTTGGAGCGAATTGCACACCCATTATGGCGCGGGGAGATTGGATGCCTACTTTCAGGATCGTATGGGAAAATGTTTTGTTTGCTTATTCGACGGACAATGTCTTACGCGAGCCTGATGATGATCCGTGAGAGGATACCCCGAGTCCACCACCACTCTCTCCGCGTACCTACATTAGCGCCAAATCCTACCGTCGTAGTCGGCACATCCTGGAAGTATCAAACCAGACTCCACGGTGCCTAATGCACAACCCTTCAGTCCAAGCGGGGGCTGCCCACCAGCGTCATCTCATAACGCCAGGAACCAGGCGTGGGAGTTGACCCGAGTACAAAAGACTCTCCACGTCCTCATCTCTATCCCTTCAAATCATCACCAGTTTCAGCACTCTCATTCATTCTTTGCACAGTCACTCTTTTTCTAGCTCTGGAGCTACACTGCACATTCATTCAACTGTTCATACACCTCATACTGTATTCAAACTCGGGATTGATTTGACTGCAATTGCGCCAGTATCATCAATACCATTACCACGTCTCCCCTCTTTTTTTTTATTTTACCGAAACCTTGAATCCAACCTTCAAGATGCAGTACAACATCTTCACTGGCGCTCTTCTCGCAGCTCTCGTCACTTCCGTGGCTGGCCACACCGATGTGACCGAGGTTACCATTGGCGGTATGTGTCTCGGAGTTCCAACATAGAGACGCCGCACTGCGGCGTTGTCTAGGCCGATATGCAAATAACCGAAAAACCTTTGCTGACATTTACACAACAGGCAAGACCTACAAGGGCTTCTACGGAGCCTCCAAGGCTGAGTGCAAGTCGGATTCTCCCGCTTGGTGCACCAACCAGGGATGGGGACACCAGCCGGTGATGGGTGACAAGATCAACCACGCCGACATCATCGCCCACATAGATGCCTCTCCCAGCTCATATACTGCTGAGGCCCCGGCTGGATCAGATGTTACATTCAAATGGTTTCGCACCGGTAGCTGCGAAGCCAAGAACGAAGTCGTATGTTTATGCAAACAAACTAAAGATTGAAAAGTGTACTGACTGTTCTCTAGGGATGGGATTGCAGCCACCACGGCTCCACTTCGACATGGCTTGCTCCTTGCAACGGCGATTGCAGCAAGGTTGATAAGACCCAGCTGTCCTTCTTCAAGATTCATGAGAGCGGTCTTCTTGGATACCCTGCCGGCACCCGTTACGCCCAGGGCAGCGCTAAGGGACAGACAGGCAAATGGGTACGTTCTCCAGCATGTACAGATTATCTTGAGCAGAGCTAACTATATCCTAGGCAACCGACGAGATCTTTTACGACAACGGCAACAAGCAGACTGTCAAGATCCCCAAGGGTATTCCCAACGGCAACTACGTTCTCCGCACAGAGGTCATGTCCATCCACAACAACGGCCCGGTCTCTGAACGACAATTCTGGCCCCAGGCCTTCAACATCAAGGTCACTGGAGGTTCCGGATCTACGACACCCCAGGGTATCAAGGCTACACAGATCTACAAGAGCTCCGATGCTCTTTTGACCTTCGACATGTACAACCACGCCGCCGGCGCTACGATCTCTGTCCCTGGCCCCAAGGTTGCTTCTGTTGCCAGTGCTTCCAAGAGGAGCCATGCTCGCGATTTCGCTTAAGCGGATCGAGTTTCAACGAACTGTGGGTAGAGCAGTGACTGCTGCCGCCGCTTTATGGGCTCGGACCTATTCCGCACTCATTGGCATTTATTTCTTGTATATATTTATTTTACGCTCTATACCAAAATTATCTGTCTGCTATCGTCTCTAGATATTTCACATCAATTCGTCTTAGTGCGTTGTGCTTTTTCCAATGAATGTTTGCCCCGGTGACGTGCACGTGACCCTTGTGTAACACCGGATTAACGTAGCACCCTTCACCCACATATCAATTGGCACACGGACTCCACTTCCAACTCTACCAAAAACTCTACCTCCTCCGGATACCAGATCAACTTAAGCTTCTTGCAAGATCGCAACACTACGTCAAACGAGCACTGCACCAAACTCATCCTGCATTGAAGGCTCTCGACCCCCTTCCACCGTTTACCACTTTCATTCCCACTCGGGACACAGTTCCACCCAAAATTCGTGCTCCAACTCATTTCATCCATAATGTCGAGCCCAAACCTCTACCTCCAATACAAGAAGGATACAAGTCGACTGGTACGTATATGGGTCAAGCGAAGCATCTCACACATCCTGCAAACTAGCGATCGAGACTCTGCACAATGCATTAGATCTTATTTTTTTTCCCTATCTTCCACACTATCACAGTGTTCGCTGACCAACTTAGGTGCAATGGATTATCCGGACATCCAACGGAATTGTCATGTCGGCAACAACCCCTTCATCCATGGAAGTCAACACATCAGGACACCTGTCTATCCCCCAAATTGTAAGTATGTCAAAGATGATTGCCAACCATCTTCAGCCAACTCCCCATATTATCTTGTACTTGTTTCGGTCTGTTATTGCTGCGCGATCAAAATTGTACGAATCTTTCCGGAAGCTGGTCACTGCAGAATCTGATCCAGATTTGGTGCGGTCCAACGCTTCCCACAAGTTCTTTATCGATGCACTCAGTCAAGCATTCTATGCGCTTGGAGGGGAATCATGGAAGCCGAGTGGTTTTTCTTTCCACGAGGAAGAGCCTGTCGACGATTCTACCTTCCAGAATCAGTTCTCTGCCTTGAGTCTAGAACAAGATGTAGAAGCCGACGATGACTCGTCCGATGACGACGAGAAAGAAGCAAAGAAGAAAAAGTCGCGGACTGCGAAGAAAGGCAAGAAGGGAAAGAAAGGCAAGCGCGGTAAACCATCGAAGAAGAACTCGTCCGCCGCTCGCAATGGCGAACCTGTTTTGGCCGACTCCCCAGTTGGAGCTTATGGCATCATTGAAGAACATGGCGGAAATTTGACCGACTATAGCTTGGCCGTCCATGCCGTGGTCCAGGAGTGGATTGAACTGAGACACGCGACCCAAGATCTCTGGTCCATTGTCGCCCAGGAAGGTCTTAACAGCGCCTTCGCCGCGGCATTGACGAACTGCGCAGTTGCAATGGTCAAACAGACTTGCATTGCGGTGTTTGCCGAATTCCCCGACCATGAAAATTTTGAAGCGATTATGCGAACTGTCACGCATGGCCGATCCGGTGATCCGTCGTTGATCTATAACTCCAAAGAACCTACCGGTAATGAAGAGAAAGACGCTGCGCTCGGCAATGTCCTTATCGACGGAAAAGAAAACTTCTGGTTGTACACGTTTGAAAACCTGATGGAATTCCTGGATGACTTCAGGAAAAATCGAACCGGAAAGCCAACTAAAGCGTTTCAAGCGGAACTCAACACTTGGAACCCTGATTTAGATCTTAGTCGGGCTACGAGTGAGGAGCGCGTCAAATGGCGCCGCTTGTACACCATCAACTGGCTGTATGATCTCGTTAATGTATTCGTAGCCCCGGTCGTTCAGCGCAACAATGAAGGCGAGAATCACGTAATGGAGGACGTGGACTGGTCGCCAAAGGGCCCCTGGCATGGAAGTATGCGGGTCTTTGGCTTGCAGGAATTCGCAGGTGTCATAACCTCACTGGCGATGCAGAAACCTGGAACTCGTGTTCGGGATAAAATTCTCCCCCACCATGTCTTCCAGTTGCAATGTCTTGTGGATTCCTTCACCACTTCTCGAGGTTGGACATTTGCTCCCTTTTGCCACCATGTCATGTTACCGGTTTCCAAGTTCCATCCGGCTCACGATTTGGACCTGTTCTTGAACTGCGGAACCCGGGTAAGAGGCGAGGGTGCGTTGGAAGCTCTTGAGATCTTATTGTTCTTGATCAACAGAGATCTCGTCGACGACAAAGACCCAAACCGGTACTTGATTGACCGTATAGTCATTGAAGAGCTTCAAGTTGCATTCAAAAATTGGCTCGGAAAATCGCGGCTGGGAACTGAAGATTACCTTCCGGCCTCTCGCTTTTCCAAACACGATTCGAATGGGCTGTACAATTACTCGCCACTGCTATGTGGGGTTGGTTTGGTGGAAGGACTTGTTCTGACCCATCGCTTGGGAATGCGTATGCTGGATCAGATACCGGAGGTAACTTTGATCATCCACCTACATAACATGCTTGTCAAGAGAGGTTATCTCGAGGAAGAGATTCCCGTGTACTCAACACTGGAAAAGCTCTACGGATACAGTTTCTTCTCAAACGGTATCGCCCCAGATGATAATTTCCTCGATGCTCTCAAGAGCAACACGTATTCCAGGAAACTTCATAGTGTCTTCTTCAACTCCCGGACTAAGTCCACCCTCCGGAGCCTCCACGATCCTTTGCACATCAAGTACAATCCTTCTTCCAAAAAGAAATCAGTACTATCAATGTATTTCGATGCCGAGTGGGTACCGGATCAGATTCCAGACAGTGAGGTCCACATAAGGTCAGAACTGTACGATCTGCGCCTCTCAACCATCGAGCAGTATACGGATCCGAAAACCGGTCAGAGGAAGCTCAAGGAGACTGAATTGACAAAGCGGGCTCTGAAAGAGGGCGAGACAGAATCCACGCTGCTCGATGCCGCCAACTATTTCGATCTTGCAAACGATCCGTCTCAAGAAAAGGAGAAGACTCGGGATCCATACCGACTTTGGATGGAGCGAGACAAAGAGCATCTTCAAGGACGATCGCTGTTGAGCATTATCCGACATGACATCTGCAACGATGTCTGCGGTCACAATCCCCACTCAGCTTTCAATTACCCTTGGATGGTTGGTCAGATCTTGGCCTTTTTCGCGGAGATGGAAGAGTCGTTTCGCGACGCTCAGGATCCAAAATTTATCGATGTATACGAGAACCCGAACTATAAAGGCACAGCCCAAAAGCGAACTGGGTTTGCATTGCGGGCACTCACTCGCGAAGACGACAGGACCTTGAAGCATCTTGCGGATCTTTTCTTCCGCTGGAGGTTTTCCGGTAACTTTATTTATTGGAACAGTTACTTGGTGAAGTCGTCTCGCGAAGAAACGCCGAGTGATACCGACGCCTAGAATTAGGGCTTGCAGAAATAGCTTGGTATGGCAAAGCGCTTGATCGTATAAATCGCGGAGGCTGAATTAATATCTGTTTTGTGGAAAGTGCCATGGTTGTTGTGACACGGTATTGAGATGTACATACAAGGCCGCTATAGAATAATTTTCAGACACACCTGCGTGCTACATTGATCAAAAAAAGACATTGTATCCGAATAATAATATCTGTCAGATCTTGACGACTGTCATCGAAAGTGTACGAAGTGATATAATATTTGATTTCATTCACTGAAAGACTTTGACTGGCAGCTATGGGTGGAGAACGGAGAGGCTTTTATACCCTCTATAGAACTCAATAGCTCGCTGTATGAACGCAATCACTGACCAGAGTTCAGCAAGCATTCCATCATACGTCTGCTGCGAAATTGTTCATGCGGCTGCGTCTGATCATTCCCCCTCTCATATTTGACGAATGTTGGATCATGAGGTAATATCCTAGACACGTGAGAACGAACCGATGATGCGAGTAGAAACTAGGCAAACCTGACCATAAATTTTTATAGGATTGGTATAAGCCTTGGTAATTCCTAGTCAGAACCGAAATGCCTCATCGTCTACTCGAAATGCGAATGATCGCCATAAGCTCTCGGCCGTGCGCTTGGAGCAGGGGCGTGAATTAGCTATCAATTTTCTATCAATCAATGTACTTGGTTTACTGAATGGGGTTTATAGAGTCTACATATCTGAATGAATGATGCTTTCCGAGTCCCCGCAATTGTTTGGCTGCGCTTTCCATGCTGGCACCGAACACATCCCTGCACAGCTTGCTCCGCTGTTGCCTACGTCCTGTATGGAAGAATCTCGCTCGTAAGAAAAACCGACAGGATGGGCTACACATAGAGGCTAACTCCACTTGCTATGTCACTGGGGCATTCCAGGTAAGCGATATATTGAGAATGACATGTAGCCAAGTGCACATTCCTGATGTGACTTGTGGGAGATGATCTGTGCCGGACTCCGAACTAGACTGTGGGGTCGGTATTTAGCCACAGGATCATCTCATATTAAGGAAGAAAGTAGTAAGGCGCAGTGTAGTGAATGGGGCCAAGTAGATCGCGAGGAAATCTCGGGTAGCACTAACAACATTGAACTTTCGAGTGGTGCTTCTACACGCACTCACGCTGTTGAATTTTTCGATTGAGTTTTTTACTTGATGGATGACTTGACACAAGCCTGTTTTGCCGTTCATCTTAAAGATATTCAATGTTTCCCTGGCTGTAGCGACTTGGAAGAATTGTCATAATGACTGAAGGCAACAGCCAAGCTTTCAACCTGCAGCTTGGCAGTATATTTTATTGCCTACTATTGGAATTATTCATTCATTTCCAGACTGCTAAAATTAGGCGCAACGGGTATCGTGCTGACTGCTGCGGGTTGTCGACTAAATCCAGTCGCTTTGCATCAACTCTGTCTCGTAGGCCTGAACATATGATACAACACACATTTGAATTCATTAGAAGAAAAATCATCCTGGAACAGTTACCTGGTAACTCGTTATTATTCCTGAGGGTTGGATCAAGACCAAGTCGTCTAACCGTACATTACCCAATTTTGTTAGGCATACAATTCGCGCTGCTGCGCCTCGCCTCGTGGAGACTAACCCAGAAAGGTCGCTGCAATTCCGCTAGTCACCCCTATAAGATCACCACCCGCCATGCGCAAATGTGAGGATGACATAGAAGCATTTGCGCCTCGTTTTCAGTATGTTTGCGCACCTTCGTCCACTCGTTTTAGTTGCCCTTTGTGGCCTATTTCCAAGTTCCTTCGCAACGTTGGAACCTGAGTTAGATGTCAATAGTCAAGGTATGTAGTAGTATGGCATGTCGGAGCTGATTCATGCTAACAGTGCGCTCAGATTCGATTAAAAATGCCACTCAGATTCTTGCGAAGGCTATAATCCAGCGTTACAATGACCGGCTTCCGGGGGAAGCACCCGGTCTCTTTGACGAGCCCAATATGGATTTGCCGTATGCCTTTGGGCAGACAGGCGCCGTCTGGGGTTCTCTCCTCGAATACGGTCACCTGACCGGGGACTCCCAATATAATGAGCTCGTATCGAAAGCTCTCACCCACCAGTTGGGAACTATGAACAACTTCATGCCTCAGAACCAGACCAAAACGCTTGGTAACAATGATCAAGCTAGCTTTGGTATCACTGCCGTCACTGCTGCCGAAGTCGGGCTGGCTGCTCCCGAGGGCGAGGCGGGCCAATGGATCGATATTGCCAGCAGGGTATTTAACAATCTGGTCGAACGCTGGGATATGCAGGCATGCTCCGGTGGATTGCATTGGCAGATTTTCCAGCTCAACAACGGATATCAGTACATGAATACCGACTCGGCCGCCAATTTCTTCGTCTTATCCGCACGCCTAGCCCAGTTTACGGGGAACAAAACGTATTCTGATTGGGCAGACAAGGTGTACCAGTGGACTGTGGATCACAAGTTCATAGAAGATTTCAAAATCTATGACGGCGCATCAGCCATGCAAAATTGTTCAAAGGTTGAACCACTACAATGGACTTCCAACCACGGTCTTTTCACAGAAGGAGCCGCCGTCATGTATAACTTGGTAAATTCTCTTCACACCTTTACAATGGCCCCAGTACTAATACATCTGGCTAGACAAACGGCACCGATAAGTGGAAGACTGTCGTAGAGGGTTTGACGGACAGCGTGGATATCTTCATTGGTGACAACAAGGCACTCATCGAGGTCGCGTGCGAGACACTAAACAACGACTGCGGACTTGACCAGGATACGATCCAAAACAAAACCATGAACGAAGTACTAGATGCTGTCGGATGCGTGAACGCAGGAACGTGCAACTTGGACCAGCGAGCATTCAAGGGAATAGCAGCTCACTCTTATTACCGCACTATTCGAGTCGCACCCTTCACATCCGAAAAGCTCCAGCCTATACTAAGCACCTCTGCGAAAATGGCGGAGACCAGTTGTGTGGGTCCGTTTACAAGCAGAAGTGAGAATACGACCGACAATGTATCCTGCGCATTCCAATGGAAGAAGGGTGTACCGAATGATGTTCTCAGCAATGTTGTCAATGACCTGGGAGAGATGCACAACGCGTTGGCGGTCGTGCAAGGGCTTTTGTGGCCACAAGCTAAGACTTTGGCTACTTCAAGCTCATCTGTCGGTAGTGGAAGCTCGGGCTCATCATCAGACACACCGAATGGTGCAGCGGGTTCCAACAATGGCGATGCGCCCAAGAACAATGCTGTTGGTAGGGTGCAAGCTTCATGGGGACTTCTCGCTCTCTTTGGAGGATTCTTCCTGGTGGGAATGTAAACTAGATATTGCGAAGTATTGGTGTATATAGTCACGGCCATGACATAAAGGGCAATGTATAATGTCAAAAAATTAGTCCGCCGACATTTTTGGAAACCTGGCACAGCGAAACAACAACACCATACTTCTTTCACGATATGAAGAGCACCTACATGGCATACTACCCATCATAAGCTGTTCCTGAACCCCGCTCTTCTGGAGCTACTTTAATGTGGAAAGTTTTCTTACCGAAGTCGACTTGCTATCTTGCTCCGACAGATTATGGCTTTCATCGCATCGTTTGGTCCCCTTCAAGAATAATCCTCTCATCGAAGAACCTCTTTTACAGCCTGCCAGTAATATCAATTAGCTTGAGACAAACCAGATATGCTCACAGGACGAAGAGACGAGGTTATAAAAGGTCTCCAAGTTCCATATAATATGTCATTGCACTTTTGGTTATTCTGAATCACCTTGGATTATTCATCTACGCTTGACAGCCCATAACCTTCAATATCCACGCGTTTTACTCTTTACTCCGACAGTTTCAACATCTTAAGAGTCAAATCCCACAACTTCTTCTGGCCCTCCGGATCGAACGCATGGGGAGCAATGCCGACCGCCAATGTACCGTTTTCAGGAATCGGACCTGCTTCCTGACAATCTTCTAGATAGACACCACCCTTGCCTTCCCACTCCTTGCCGAATGCAGCCGTCATGGTCGTGGCAGCGCCCTGGGCAGGGCTTTTACCATATTTTAGCGCGGGCTCACTGGATCCCCACTGTTTCAATGTCTCTGGGTCGACAAAGCGCTGGAGGCCTGTAGCAATACCGCCAGGCATCAAAGAGTAGCCGTGCAGACCCTTGGAACCATATCGGCTTTCGATCTCATTCGCCATCCAAATCTCGGCTGTTTTGGCATTCCCGTATGCCTTCCACGCCTCGTACTCACCGTCGAGGTTGATGTTGTTGAGGATAACAGGGCTCATGTGGTGACCGGCAGAGGTGACGTTAACAACTCGGGATTGAAATTCGGGCGTGGAGCTGGACAAGAGCGTTTGCTCGAGCAACTTGTAGAGGAGGAAGTGGCCGAGGTAGTTGATTGCAAGTTGGGACTCGAACCCATCCGATGTCTTTGCTTCGGGGCATGCCATGATTCCCGCATTGTTGACCAAGACATTGAGCTTGTCTGACTGAGACAAGAAGGTCTTCGCCGCGGTGCGCACGCTTTCCATTGAGCCTACGTCTAGTTCGAGAAGCTCAACACGACCGGGTTCCAGGATCTCTTTTAGAGCTTCCTTGCCCTTCTCCAAGTCGCGAACGCCTAGATACACTTTACCACCAGTTGCGGCGAGCGCACGGCCGGTTTCAATGCCGATTCCTCCAGAGGACCCGGTGAGGAGGAAGACCTGGAAAAGTATAAATCATATCATTTCGAAGCGGGGAACTTGGCAGCTTTGTTCACCTTGTCCTTCATGGTACCGATCCGGTCATTGTCTTTTAGGATGTCGAGAGCTGTAGGTCGAGCATCTCCAGGGCCATTTTGCTCCAAGAAAGCCTTAGTGTATTTGCCGTTCTTGCCATGGTGGTTGCTGATGAGAGGATTGGCCATTGTAGTGAATTGTGATGACGGTGAATGAATGGTAGGCTGATTTCGCAAAAAAAAATACTCGGAATGTACCTTAGGATGATATTTTGTGCGGCCCTACACAGAGTAGGCGGGGCAGCTTGTTACTTAATGGAGCTGGCCTACAAAAATCTAACCATATCAGGTACCGAGCCCCAGTTACACAAGTTCGTATTCTATAGTCAAAGTTCCTGCACCCAAGCTTTGCGGACACACCACACTACAAGCACGCATCGGATAGCACCACACAAGAGGTGAAAACCGACGGTTCAACCAACACCAATGGCCGAAAACAGGAAGCCGGAAGATCGCTTATACCCTTTCCGGAGCAAAATACGCCAAAATAATCGATTAACAAAGAATCGGGACAGCGACGCCGCTCGGGCTGACTTGATGACGTATGGCATACAACGCCACGATCATAGAATCGTCTGATAATGTTAAAAAAAATGTTGGCTACAGCGCGTGAGTGACTTGGCGAAATATGAATTTCGTATTGACACGATGTGGACAGTCTAAATTTTGGAGTGTCAAGATTTGGTCTCTAACACTCGTTATGATTCTATATGACATTGCCAAATCTATACTAGCATCTGGTCTGTAACCGTCGCACTGAGAATTGTACAGATATCTAGTTGTACCGGCGCGTAGTCTTACTCCACTGCTCATTGCCGCTCATCTGGTATTCCAGACCCTTCATATACGCCTTAGCAGCGTCAGAGCAGCCGCCGGGTGCCGCCATCTGCTCTGCCACCATCTTGTCGTGCACAACTTCCCACTCACGGGTCATAGACCAAAGTACACGCTTCGTTGCGGGTATGCCGAGTTTCGTTTCCTCCGCCAGAACCTTCACAGCTGAGCAGAGAAAGGCGCCTTCCTTGTGCCCAGTGTGAGAAGCCTCTTCTTCCTTGTCATAACTGTATATGTCGTTCACTACAGAAAGCTGCTTGGCGCAGTTACCTTCGAGGGCTTTCATACCCTGAAGCTCCTCTGCATTGAGTCGAAGTCCCATCGAGAACCTCATCAGCGCCGAAAGCAACCTAGTAAATCGATCAGTATATTGAATTTTAGATCTTCATTGTATTTTGAGTGAGAACATACGCTTTTCCTACATCCTTCTCACGGTAATCGAGATAATGACCCAATTCGCTAATCGTCATGCGGGCGCGATCTGTCTGTGCGCGCATGAACACAAAGGTTGGCTCGAGCACTTCATCAGCCAGCTCCTTGTCATGGGCGCGCATGCTCTCCCAGAGGTCATAGAGAATGAACTCTTCGGGCTTGGTTCGGTCTGGTAAGACGTCTCCACGTGATATCGGGATCAGTCTGTTATTGTAGGCTTCTCCATCCGCGAAAGACATGTGCTCGAGAACATCTAAATCTATCAGTGAAAGTTACACCACTGAATGTAACTTTTTAACTCACCGTCAATCAGAAAGAGAACAGTCAATAGTCGGCAAGCAAAATGAATGCGATCGTCCAGCGCAAGAGGAAAGTAGAGGCAGGTGACTTCTGAGAATTTGGCGTCCAAGAAGGTGCGCACGGCCTTGAAGCTAGGGAATTTCCAATTCTCCAGGAAATATCCATCGACTTCGTCCTGCACCTCCTTCAACCGGGGATGGCAGAGGTAGGTCCACTCAGTGGGGGGTGGGATAATGGTCGTGTCATCTTTAGGTTCGATTGTCTCCTTGGCAGGAGCACTGTTGCTAGTGTTGTTAAGCTTCAGAAGTACTTGGGCAGGCAAAGACACTGTCTCTGTGACGGTAGCCATGATGAACAATGTATAGTTTCTTTTACTGTGTATGAAGGACTACACTTGCGTATAAACAGCATTCTACAAGTGCGAGGAAGCCATATCTAATTCCTCTGTAGCACATTGTCGGAAAAGACCAGAGTTCAGAAACTCACACAGCGTCATCACCATCTCGAATTGCTCGTGTAGGCCGGCCGCTAAAATTTTGATGAGTATGGTTCGAACAATCCCTTCTAGTGCTCCGGCCGACTCGATGCTCGGTCAGTAGACTGCTGTTTTCGTGTCTCGGCCCGAAAATCGGTGATTTTCCTAAACAGGTATATCCCGAAGTCAGACAGAACGTCTTTGGATGAGTAGAGCGGGGATTGCCAGCTTCTACATACGGGAGGAAGCGGGATGCTGTACAGGGAGAAACAATGTGCTGGGACGTGTATACATTTTTGAGTGGGCTGTGTGGTCGAAGTTAAAGCCGAACAGCCAATTGATCAACTGCGTTTGGCACGCTCCCGAGCCTCGTCCTATCTCGCTGGTAAAACATTGGGAAAGTTGTAAGCTTAGATCAGGTTAGACAATTTTTGGGCTTGGAAGGGTTGTTTTCCTTACATTCTGCATGACTATAATGTCGTCTGCAGTTCGTAACAAGGATAAGAGTATTACACCACGCAACGCCACAGCTGTATACTCGAAATGAAGCGAGTGATTCGATGGGTACTTAAAGATGACCGCCTTGCGGCTGCATATAATTTTTCTGCTTTATCTCGCCGGCCCCTTTTTGTTTCCAGCGTCTACCTCAACAGCAACCATGCCTTCTTTTTCGGCTTTTTCGGCCGTTTCTCTGTCGCTTTATCTTAGCCAAGCTGTTGCTGTCAGCATTTTGGACCGTCGCGCTAATGCATGCACTGAGCTCACTGCAAAGTATCCCAACAGTGTCATTCAGCCGGGATCTTCAGTCTACCAACAGAATGTGATTGGTAAGTCCCTCTTCTATGCATGCCAGTGTACCCCCACGCGGAAAAGGCTAACTCAACCTGATGCAGAACCCTGGTCTCAGACGTGCCAGACAAGCCCCACGTGCATCTTTGCTCCAGCTTCAGCACAGGAAGTCGCTGGTGGCCTCGCTATCCTGCGTAAAAACAATCTCCCCTTCGCTGTTCGCACTCAAGGGCACATGCCTGTGCCTGGCGCAGCCGATACATCCAATGGCGTGCTCATGGTCACCACTGGCATGAGCAGCGTGAAGTACGCAGACAGCTCCAAGAAGGTGGTTCAGATTGGTGCAGGAAACAAATGGCTGAACGTGTACGAGATTCTTGCTAAAGACAACCTCGCTGTTGCCGGTGGTCGTTTTGGACCAGTTGGAGTATCTGGCCTTCTTCTTGGTGGCGGCATTTCCTATTGGAGCAGTGGTGTGTTTATGACCCGGCATTCACGTCAAGCATTGTACTAATTGAGCAAGACCGCGGGTGGAGCGCGAACCAAATCGTCAACTACGAGGTCGTGCTTGCTGACGGCACTGTCACTGAGGCAAATGCGAAGAAGAACACCGACTTGTTCTGGGCCTTGAAAGGCGGTGCTTTCAACTTTGGTATTGTCACTCGCTTTGATGTGAACACCTTTGCCGCTCCATTTGTATGGGGTGGTATGGCTCTGTACGACGCTGCGCATGTAGACGACGTGATCAAGGCATTCGCAAGCTTCGCTACGAAGACTGGCGGATCCAGCGATCCTCTCGCCCACGCAGACCCCACGGTCACGTACAACGTCACTACCGGTGAAAGGACAGTATTCAGCATCTACATGCGCAGAGGCGATGATCCAGCACCCGCTTCCTTCAAGAACTTCACCAGCATTCCTTCTACATTCCAGGATCTTCGTGTTGAGAAGACAATAGTCGGCCACGTCAATGACACCAATCCTATCAATTTCCAAGTCGGTGACAGGCGGCAACTTTTCTCGTCCACGGGCTTGAAAGCTAGCCCCGAGTCGGTATTTTTGATCAACCAGACTTTCTTCGACATGATTGCCAAAACCCCAGCGCTCAAGAATACCATTGACGTCAGTCTCTCCAACACCTACCAAGTCTTCACCCCTGGTATGATCAACACTGCGAAAGCTTCGGGAGGAGACCCCATCGGACTCGTAGACCCTAATGGCAACGGAGTTCTCGGTAAGCAATTCCCACCTATATAAACTAAACCAACTCATAGACTGACTTCTCCATCAGGTGCTTTGTACGGTGGCAACTGGAAAGATCCCAAGGACGACCAATTCATCTACAAGTTCTTCCAAGACATGATTAATGAACTCGACAGCAGAGCGAAAAAGGCTGGTCTCTACTATGACTTTGTCTACCTGAACGATGGGGCACCAACCCAGACAAAGGATGTTTTCCAGAAATACTCCCAAGGAAAAGCCTTGCCAAAATTGAGGGAGATTGCTAAGAAATACGATCCTAAACAGGTTTTCCAGAAGTTGACACCTGGTGGTTTCAAGCTCATCAACGCCCCGTCGTAATATCTTCGGAACGAGTTCCATGATCTTGACTGTCGCCATTTTGGGCGATTTGTCGATGTATATAGCTTTCTTCAGATATGGTACTTGTCTTAATTCCTGTATAGTACGACGGCAAATACATGACTTGAAGCGGCTGAATGTTTCTTCCTGATTCCCACTATTGCAACTAGTGATGTGTCCGTGTACGTTGCTTTTTAACACAGAATCATACGTCACATATTCAAAGGAATTAACCATGGTAGTACCTGAATGCAAAGAGAAGCCCTAATTCTATATTGCAGTTGTTTCATCGCGCAGTCGGAGTTCCTTTACGTGCGTTGTGACGGCTCGCATTTGTTACGATGGTGTCAAATCACGCGAATCGAGCCCAGGCAAGCAGGTCCGCAGATCATTCAGCTTTGATTCTGAGTTGGTCTAGTCTTACCTTAAAATCAGACTCGTGCGACTGTTATACTCCACTTCTATTTTCAGCACCTCTCTTTGCCATAAGCCTCCACCATGCAACTGACCAGCTGCATCAGGACACGCTGCTGCAAGCCCCACCGTGTGCACAGGGCTGGCGGGTGATACAACTTGCATGAAGAAAATTCACGTATAGCCACGCATTGATGCATATGTCGAAATGGGAGCACCGGACGCAGTCAGCGAACAAGGGTAGCCACGCTGTACCTGATAGAACTCGTACCCACTAAACCTCACTATGTTCGCAATGAATCCACATTTTCTTGGCCTCTGAGTGTGTCTGACTGCTGATTCAATCCAAATCATATCTACCTTAAAAGTGACATTTATCACGAAGGACCCTGGCTACTTCTACTCGCCATTGTCGTCTATCCACAACATCATGCCCGGACTGATAAACCCCGAATTTGGAGACGTCTCGCAGTTTACCGGGAATCGTGGCCGAGTAGAAAGGTTTTGGTCCCGGCTTTAACGACAAATGTTTGCGACTGCAGGGCTAACGCCAGAGGCGCCGCCGCTGACGACAATGACTTTTTCCCTTAAACGAATAAAGTCTATCTCCAAAATGCCGAGAGAGGAAAGACCGTGGCGTGATGATTAGCTGAATTTTGTTGTCACTCTTCCAACTCGACATCTGGAGATACACTCGGGCTAAGTTGGAAACCGTGACATGAAGAGGTTATCAGAGTGGAGTGCGGAACGGTCGGCCACTGGATCACAGATGAGATCTTCGTAGCAAATGTCTTTTCATATGAACCACGTGCCTAGACGTTGGCCCAGATGTACAGATGACAGATGTACGGCTGACAGATGGCGGGAGTCCTGGAACGATTTTGATTTGCTGAGTGGCTCAAAGTAGCAGTGGAGGGCTGGTGGCGATTGTATTGACATTGCATGAGAAAAGTGTACAACTAAATTCGCGAATACATGTGCGGATCGAGCAACCAAAATAATGAGAGTTGACAAACAAGAACAAACCTCCCTCGCTTCCAATGAAGATCGACTAATGTCAAACGTTACCCCTCTATGCGGCAGCATGTCTGCGCGTAGTCTTGATCATGAGCTTCGGCTTCTTCCACAGCATCGCCATCTTTGAATCCCTCAACCAATTGACCTCTTTATTCAAAAGCTCAACATCGTAGACCCAGAAGATCTTCGAGAGCAGCAAGCTCAACTCAATCCATGCCAGGTTCCTGCCGAGGCATCCTCGAGGTCCCATCGAAAAAGGCTGCGACGCCTCTTGATCATCGATTGTATTTCCTCCAAGCCATCGCTCCGGTTTAAACTCCATTGGTGCGTCGAAGTTCTTCTCAGATAAACACGCTGCGACGGGATTGGCCGTGACAATGGTCTGTTGAGTGTTAGCAAGGTTCGCATCGCAGGTATGTGAGTTAGTCATACCCCTTCTGCAACGAAATGACCATCTATAGTATCTCCACCTTTGGGGACGACTCGCGGCAAGGCCAAAGGGAGAGGCGGATAGATTCGCATCGCCTCAAGAGCCAGTGCATGAAGATATTTGAGCTGAGTTGCTGCCGTTGAGTTGATCTCTTCATAACTTGAAAACCTTTCGCGGATTTCGCGCGTGACCTTTTGGTATACGGAGGGGTTTTTCAGCACATAATACATAATGCAACTCAAAGTTGTGGCTGTTGTTTCACTGCCAGCAATAACAAAGTCGGACGCGTGCGCTGCGATCTGAACATCCGTCAAATCTTCCGGTCGGTTCTCGAGCATGCGTGTCAGGAAATCAGGTCGGGTGGATGGATTGCTCAATCTCCTGGGTGAAAGTGTTAGCGTTACGCCGATACATAATCGAAGCAATGGAAGCATACTTGTCGATTAGAGCAATGGTATAGTTCTCGTGGCTCGCCGTATCTTCCAGCATCTTTTCAATTGCTTTCGGGAACGACCATTTGAACAAGGCTGCAAATGCGGGAAAGCGCTTGAAGAAGTCCGCTAAAGTACTCTTTCCAATCGCCGCGATAATCCGCGAAATCCAAGGATGAACCTCACCTATCCGGTTGATGAGTAAAGGTACGTACCTACCAAGGAACGAGCATTAAAGCACTAACCTGACTTGACACCCCCGAAAGTCTCCCCGAAAGCCAATGAGCCGATGATATCGAAAGTCGCCAAATTGAACCAAGTCACAATGTCGATGCCACTTTTCTTTGACCCATGCACACCGATCTGGGAGATGAACTCGTCTACAACTTCATCAATAAGCGGTTCTTGTGCCTTCAGCGACTTATCCGAAAAGGCGTGGCTGAGGTACTTTCGCATGTGCCCATGCTGTCCGGGATCACGCTCGCTTACAATCGAATGAGCTCTGTCTGCGAACACACCCCCATCGTAGTAGTCACTTTTGATAAAAGTCTCGTGGCCCTGCCGAAAATTGTAGATATCTCGAAATGCGCCAGCCGTGTTAAAAGAGAGATCATTAGGAGCCGTACGAACAACTCCTCCGTACTTGTTGTGTAGTTCAAGCAATTTGAAGGGTTGTCGACCTTGAATAAAATAGTAACAATGAAGTATGTTGCTCCATGCAGCCGAAGGTGGTCCCGGGAACCTGTAGAGTGGATGCTGAGTGTGTTTGTAATAGCTGTATGCAACGATTGCAAATGCAGCCTGTATACACGGTTCAGAAATGACTGTCAGGCAGAGGTTGCAAGGTACTCACTGCGATCAGCATACCAGTCCTGGGTGCCAAGACCAAAAACTGTGGTAGAAAAAGCGGCTCTGGTGTCTTGAGTGCATCCATGACGACAGTAATGTAATGCAATGCAGAGAAGTGCTGGGTAGATGCATAGAAATCTGGAGTACTTGTGTGCTGCAGTGATCTCTTTTTACTAGGTTCCACGCTCCACAATGATCTTCCAGGCTACTGGGTACGAGCAGGATGACACACCAATCGACTTGTTCCTGCGTCGGCACATGCCCTTCTGGACACATCGGAGAGATACCGAATACGGAATGAAGGACAAGATCGTCTAAGAAGAAAACCAAACGAATATGGTCATTTTTCTATATCTAAGCTCAAAATTGAAACAACACTACGAATATAAAGGCCGAAAATCCGGTAGGTGCTATAGGTACTTGCTGTGGCCTGCAACTCCCTTGGCTTTTGTTGTGGTCTGTCTGCAGTGCATCATGCATCGCGAGAATCCAATTCCACTTCTGAAGTCATCCGTTGCATCTTCAAAAGCAGCTCCTTCAACCTGTTTTCTAGTTTTTTGAGGCTCTGAGCCTGCGCAAGACGATTTATTGATATCGCTAGCTCACGAGTGCGAGAGACGAAGGTTATCGAGTATTTCAATTGCAACTTGATTACTGCAGCTGATACGACTTTAAGTTCTTGGAGAGTCTGGACTTGGAATTCTCCCAGCTGCATTGGACTGTCGTGTTCAAGACGCTTTTCTGGAGAGTCGGGGTCGCTAAAATCCACAGAGTCGTTTTGTTCCTTGACCCGGCAGACGAACGCTGTGATGATCGCCTCCGCGAGGCTGGTGATCTTTTCCCCAATGATTTCAAGAAGTCCGAAGCATTTAATTCGGCAGTTGCAAATGCGAGATGTCAAGATGTCGTTGCTTGCTGCTGTTGTTCGACGCTGATAAGATAATATGGCGTACATGTTGCTGGGACTGGCCGATACAATGTTCGACTCAATCTCGGAAAGAATGCGCAAAATGGATCTACGACACTGGCAATCTGCAGTGTCTGTTCTTGATCTGGCGCGTCCGATACTCGGTGCGAAAAAGTCGTCATTCAATGAGACCTGAGAATTTTGCCGTGAGCGCGATAATGGTGAGGTGCTTGCATGATCAAAATCCATAAATGATGAGTGAACACCCGCTGACGCAGGCTGGGATATTGTAACGCCGTCTATATCGTCCATCATGGAAACGTCGGTCTGTGAATTGTCTGGCTGGAAACATGAAATGCTGTTGAAAAGATCATTGAGATCATTGTCCGAATAGTCAAGCTCACTACCGAATCCTAGGCCGTGTTGCAAGTCATCAAGGTTTGAATGATCATCCTGACCCACATGACTCAGGTCTTGCGGGAACTGAGAGGTAGTGGAAACTAGGTCGGACAGTCCCCAGCCGCCTATCTCTTGATCGGTGGCACTATTGTCGAGAGAGCTTGGTAGGTCTCCCGTGTCGGCTGTACCACTGATATCAGAGAGATTAGGTTGAGAATGAGATTTGGACTTAGGCCGTGAGCTGTTGCTATCGGCTGTCTGATAGGAGCATTTCAAGGATTGGCTCCTGCAGCGATCGCAACCAGATCTGTGACCACTGCAACGTAGCTAACCAGAGGAGTTATATTAGTCTGCACTCAAAGCAGCGAAGGCAGCACGAGAAGGCTTTACCTTTTTCAATCTGCAATTTTCACAAGCGGAATGTGAGAAAACATAGCCCCCCAATCGGCTTGCAGCCTCCCCTTTGGCGTGCTCGATAAACTCCACCGAGTCCTTCTCGGACCCGACTCTGAGAATTCCAAGCATCTCGACCTAGAAAAGCTTCACAAGTGGTCTTGGATTTCGACGGACACTGGACAGAGAAATGCTAAGCGTTGACCTTGCTTTTCGAGAGATTTGCTGGAGTGCAGACTTGGCGTAAGTGGGAGTGAGTCGCAGCAAAAATAATACGGAGACGGTGAGCGAGAGATGCCGCAAAGTAAGTCTATAAGGAAGTGATGTAGGACTAGGCCTATCTAGGAAGGTACAGAGACATCGGGGTATGTTATAGAGCCAGGGGCGTTTTGTGCAACTGTGTTTCAGCTGCACTTCCATTCAATGATCACAGTGCGCGTCCGTAGATTTATAGGAATGAGGTGAGCGGCTACCCTACCCCGAATATTTCATCGTATCTGACATCCACACGCCTATTATTGCCATTAAATCAAACATTGTCCCCCGATTCGTCACCGAACGCTCCACTAGTCAGCAGTAACAGTGTGTTCACGTAGACTTCCAACAATGCCACCAGATCTGGGTTTTTAACACGTCGAACAGTATAGTAACACCCAACGCCCGTGACATACTTGCTACCAAGCGCTTTTACGTGTTACTTGCTGGGGTCCCTTCTTCAGGCCCGACCTCCTTAGGTGTCCCATAGATTTGAATTCATTGCGAGAGTTGGTAGATAAGGCATGATGAAGCAAGTCCACATCCCGCGCGGCCCGAGCCTCTGGATAGGCTTGGTTTTCCCTTGGTGATTGCTTGGTGCTCGGCCTGAGTCATCTTTTAGATGTGTCCGGTAAAGACGTGCAGAAGAGCGTACCTCCAACCCAAAACAGCATCTCCGACCAGAGAAACATACGACTGTAATCGAACGGCGACTAACGCTGCATGGCTATTCGAGACGAGTTCTGGGCGCAGCCAATTCATCCAACTCGGTGAGCCACAAGCGCACTTCTCTGCTGCGACATAACCGTGGTCCCCGCTTTCATCTCCTATTGGTGTACGGATCAGCCCCCACAAGCATATAATGTACGAGACTTTTTCGTACGATTGATTGCACTAAGATGCTTTACACTGATCAACGGTCGTACTTCTCCCCCTCGCTATTCGGTAACCTCAACGACGGTTTGGCCTCTGCTGTTTTTCGCCTTCATCACCTACAAATCCTGCTTCCGTGCCCTGGCCATGTTTCCGGAATCACTACAAGTCTAGATAGTCTACCAGAAGGATCAATTCATGCAAACCATATCTCTCACTTATGCAATCAGCGATGGTCGATCCATTGCTTTTTCTTGTTCGAAACTAGTTCACTGCATATACACCGTGCGCGATTTGGAATGAAGTGCAACAACTACAACTTGATGGTTGATCCATGAGCAATCCTTGAATCTTTTCGTACGTTGTGTTTGATTGGGGCGAAATACGCTGCAAGGCAAAACCCATCAGTAGAGAGTGCACCAACCAGATACAGCATCAGATTGACCGCCCAATACGTTGCCATGATTAGAGACTCCCAGAGCCAATGACGGTCTAAGCTATTCTTGGCTGGGGCTCCAACTTGGGACGGAGCGGAATCGAAGATTCAGAAACAAGCCCCAGCAGATCATTTTGATTGCGCCATGATTTCCACAAACCTCTTACTGGGGTAAGGATCGATTGTCTGTGACACAATTGATGCGCCTATCGCGCGACTTGCCAACGATAGCGGAGTTGAGACAGGGCACACGCATCCTACCGGGAAAACGGGAATCAATCATTCTGAAATACAGAGATTAGTTCGATTGGTGACAATCTCTTGATTGCACGTTTGCAAGAATATCTATTGACATGGGTTCATTCCTGATGATATCCCCGCGAATGACTAGGGGCTTCTCTCATCTGCACTGGTAGTAGCAGGTATTCTGGAGTCTATTCTGACTGCTGAATTAGATAATAATTCGCATTTGGTCGGGGATAAGGCCATCTATTGCACATCAAACCAGATTCTAGGAGTCGAGCTCGACGAAGTTGATTGTGAGGGCACCACAGCTCACAAATCTAGTCTTCGTGTCACAGGGAGTGAGACGATCGTGTTGTTCCCGGCAGCTACCACGTACCAGTCGATCAATTCTTTGGGGAAAATAGGAGATAGAGGTTACTCCAGCGCCATGCACCGGAGATATTTTTGTCTGGCGCATCGGTAGTTTTAACCCTTTCATGACGTTTTGAATTGACGACGAACGACCCTTCCATGGTTTACTAGTCAGTCGGGGCTTCAAAGGTTTTCTGAAGCCTCCAGCAACCTAATGCGACTCGAATTGAGCAGCCGAATTCATAGAGAGTTGGATACTACTAGGGATCGGCGCGTTGAATTTGATCAGACGCGATAAAGTAGTTCGGAAAAACCAAGAAGAAAATTGTATGGGTTGACCATGATACCGGGAGAAGCAGCCCCGCCTCTCAACATGGGTTTCGGGCGAGATGTGGGGCCAAAAAAGCTCCGATAAGCTCTTAGCTGTTCGTAGAAAGCTGTGGATAGCGCATCTGTTTCGCAATTATGATGGTACGGTGTTTCTTCTTCCCCTTGTTTCCATCTATCTTTTTTTTTTCCTTTGGGTCTGGAAGCAAACCTCAATAATGATAACGAGGATCGAATTTGATTCTCAGGCGAAAATGCGAAGCTTGTACCATACAAGACAAGCTTGCGACAGATCTCCTGCTGCCCTAGATAAAGAGGCACTAGCACACACCAGGCGTCAAGATTGATGAATTGGGGTTGGTGCCCGTCTGGACACATGAAGTTTGTTCATTCCATCTAGTTGTGACTTTCCTACAACAGAAATCCCCTTGGAACTATGATTCCTAGTTCATGTTTGATCGCACTCCCTGCCTCATGTTTTTCTTCCTGAGAAGGACGAACTGTTTTGCGAGTTTACGAAACAGGCGTTGCGAATTGAGTGAACTCCGAATCACTACGAAGCCGCATGCTGTGATCCTCTCTCATTGAGGTGATCAGATTGATGACCCCATCCTTTGGCGGGAGAACGCTGCAGAGACTTTCGAAGTGTCGATTTGGGGTACGGAAAAACTCCGTCTTACCAAGAGGGCCCCATTCCAGTTTGTAGACAGGCAGATCAACCCACGAGGTAACGTACAGATCAGACCCCAGATTGTCGCTAGCATATTTAATGTTCTGGCAGTCTGGGTGAGTGGCAGCCAGCCCAACGACGGATTTCAATAGCGATTCATTTCTGGTCGCGGTGATCGTCTGCCTGATCTTGGTGGCAATGCCACCAAGATGCGTGCTCTCACTCCCTACGAAGTTCTTCGGCAGCTCCGTAAAACAATGGAAGATGACGTTGCCCACGTAGTTGGGGGATATGGAAAGGTCTTTTCTGCCGTCAAGTGCCACAATCACGTTTGACTTGCCATCTGCAGACTCGCCTCCAGTTGTCGATGACGGGAAGCGAGCTCTCATGACATGTCGCCATAAGAACGCTACCAATGCATCATTTGTTGATACCCAAGCTCCACTTTGACTGGGCTTTGCCATAGATTTAATTTGTGACAGCGCTTCTGGAGTGAACGAGAACATAGTTGAAACCACTGGCGGGCTGCTCACTGGTAGCAGGGAAGGAATGAATTCGGGCCAGGGGAAGGCATTCACGCCCTTGTAGTCGAGACAATTCAGTCGCCATAGGTTAGGGTCATTTTCCAGATCCTCGAATTTGTATTGCTTTTTCATGAGTTCGACATCAAGTACGTCTGCTATAGCGCCTGAACCGGAACCATCTCCCACTAGTTCGGCGTCCGCTTTGGGATCAACAGACTCATTGCAGTGTTCCGAGAACCTTGCAACAATGCGGCCAGCGCCATATGCGTCTACAAAGTTGTGATGGAAGCAAAACGCAAGGAGTAGACCGCCGGGAATAAAGTTGGCCTGCACCGACATAACTTTGCGTGTCTCCCCAATACCAGCTGTGAGAGGTGCCAACACATTTGCATCCAGTCTGTGTGGCGGCATACCAGCATCCTTCAGATCTTGATATGTCTCCTTCCATCCTGACTCCGGGCCCGTCAGATCATTGAATACGATACGAGGGTCTTCGAAGGGCTTCGGTATGTCGAGAACAAGATGACCTTTGCGCACACTGCTGTTCGCATCCCTTCGAATCGTACCAGTAAGGTATGGGCGCTCAGCTGCAAGCGAGGATAGTGATTTCTGCAGGAGTTCGGATGTGTTGGACTTGCTGTCGCTGCTTATGGGCAAACAGATTAGGTAGCAATAATAAAATGCTGGGAGCATTTCATCCAGCGCACTGAACTTTCGATCTTGCTGTAGTTCATACATCTTGTTTAGCTATACAGAGACAAATAACTACAGATTTTCGGTAGCATAGAACGGTAAAGGAAGCAGTAAGCAGCAAAGTGAAGCTGACGTGGCGATAGCCTGATACGATAAGGCACACCCAGGGTTGCCGAGAGAAGCACACCAAGACGCTTATCGTGTTTCACGTGCTCTGATCTTCCGAAAAGGCTCGGTGGGTTTCTGATTAGGGAATATGGCGGATCACTCCTTTGGGCGTTTGTAGAGGAACCTGCGAATACGGTGGGCGCACACGTCTATCTCAGAGGAGTCTTGGCGCTGATCATTCCCGTTCCGTACTAGCTTACCGTGTATACCGTGTGGGTGTACCCCAAAAGCTCAGACAACGACAGCGCAAGCACAACGTCGTCATGATGCTGTGAGACACGATAAAAGAAATCAAAATTCATCGTCCATGTTGATACAAACTAATGTTAGCTTCTCAACGTCAATTGAATATTCATCGATATCACTATCGAGCAATTATCAATCTTTCAAGAACCATGGCAGTCAAAAACAGTGCTGTGTTCAGCCCAGAGATCCCTGCACCCCTCACTAGACAAGACTACATGGTCACGCTGTTTCATGGTCTTCTCTGCACAGCTGTAGTTCAATACATACAAACTTGGTTGCCGGGAAAGGTGCAGCCAGGATACAGCTTCGACGCGGCTCCGCGTACTACCTTTTGATTGAACGCTATATAACCATGTGGGAACCCAGATTGTTATAAGAAACATGCGAGGTAGGTGACTACATCAGCACGTAGATGCACGTCTTTGCTTACCCAATTTCCAGCACCACGTGCGGAGAACCCGAGGCGGAGCTGCGGGACAGACCATCAACCTATGAAAGATGGACGGGACAAGAATGATATATATGAAAATACTTTTTGGGCGTTCTAGGGAGATTTATCTCTACAAGATAATAGAAGGACAGTTTATATTTCACAAGGCGTAGCTCAACATCTGTCGCTAACAATCACGAACTAAATGCGATCGCAAGAACAACAATATGAAGTTCAACAGTCTTGATTCATGATGTGATAAGACTTAAAATACGTTCTTATTTGACCAGAAATTGGAATAATTTCATGTGAGTCGTAGACAGGCGACTGTCTTTATAAATCACTTTTTCTTGTCCAATAATACAAGCCCAGTTGAGCCAGAAGTACTCTGGACTATCGGTTTTGATGCGGAACACTTGCCACGCATTGATTTCTCCCATCTCTGAGGATCGTGCTTCGGGGTTCTGATTAAACATATCGAAAATGAGTTTGTTCCACTCGCATAAGCCAAAAGACGTAATGCCAAACTCGTGGTCATTGTTTTGACCCTTCGCGATAACACTGACATTAATTTGCGCAAGTTCGTTATTGTATATCAGCGGATTGTCGCCACCGCCTGGAAGGACCTCCGCCCTAAGACCTTCGGTGGCCTTTGAATTAATTCCGAAACCCTCTGGCAATGGATAGACGGTTTTGAGGTGACCTGTCCGAAAGTGAGTGCCTGATCACTAATCAAGGCGAGGGTTTAGAGGATCTTTCCGGTGCGCCGGATCATCAATCTCCCCAACGCAACTTACCACCAACAATCGGGCAGAACATGGAAGTCCCCTGTGGGGTTGCGTCGCCTGTGACCACTTCACCTAGGTTGAATTCAATCTCGCCGATGTGCACTAGACGTGGTAGGGGGTCGGGATCTTTTGCATGAGATTCCATCATTGGACAGTGTTTAAGCAATCTGCATGGAACAATGGAGCTCGCCGCGGGCTGACTCCCCCAGTTAATAGCATTCATGTAGACTGCACTGGTAACTGCTGGATTGACATTGAATCGTCGTATAATATTATTTTCTTACCCAATTTGGCATATCCCGGGATTCTTGCTATGTGTGGTTAGCTCAGGGAAGCTCGGAAGAGTCCTTCTTGGATGCCATGCAGCTTGATGTGTTGAACGTCCGTAAATGTCTCGCACTAAAAGTGATGTCATACAGATCGCTATGTGGTAATTGTGCGACGCCGCACCGGGGCTCATGCTTGGACATATTCAATATGTAGCCTGCGCCGACGACCAAATACCGGGAATCAGCCCCCTGCACCCCCACCTCCACGCAGACCCCAGTCATACTGGAAAACATTGCATAAGGGCGATTCTTGTGTTGCATCCTAGAGAGAACAGCTGTCCGAAAATTTGCGCGCTCGAATCGATCCGTGTTTCAAATCCAAAATTGTTCCATTGTCTGCTTTGGACACCATGGAGCTCCCCAGAGGCTCTTTTGTCGGCACATGTCTGTTGCTGTTCATACTTTACAAACTTGTCAAACTCGCATACTACGTGGGGCAAGCCAGAAAAACGGGTCTGCCGTATACCATTGTTCCCGTACTCGAGACAGAGTTTATTGGAAAGCTCTTGACACCTCTTATTCGTCCCTTGTTCAAACAAAGATTGTCAAGAGGCGAGGGCTGGCCGAGATGGATTCGCTTTTCGATCCTTGACTGGGCTTGGGAAGAGAAATACAGGATTCACGAGGAGTTTGGTGAAGTATTCATCGTTGTATCGCCAGAGGGCCTCATATGCTACAGCGCAGATGCCGATATGAGTTGGGACGTCATGAACAGGCGAAACGAGTTTCTCAAGCCGAGAGACAAATACAGTACGCTCGATTCTATCCCTGTACAACGTCATTCGCTGACTCCAGTCTACAGAGGTTCTTGAGCCTTATGGACCAAACGTTGTAACTACAGAGGGAAAAGCGTACAATTTTCATCTTCGCATTACAGCTCCTCCCTTCAACGATAACAGCGGAGCCAACGATCTGGTCTGGAACGAAACTGCTGAACAAGCACGTACGATCATGGAACCCTGGGCTCAAGAAGACTCAGACCGCGACGTCTTGTTTGATGTTGGCCGACTTTCTCTTGCTGTCATCGCCTATATGGGATTTGGAAGAAAGATAGACTTCAAAGCTGAAGATTCTGGTCGCCGTAAACCAATTCCAGCAGGGTATCAGATGAGTCTCCATTACGCGCTGAACCTGGTTACAACATTCATGGTCAAGATCCTTCTCATTCCCCAATGGATCATGCGAATGACATCGATGAAAGAAATCGCTGTCGCGCATGGTGAGCTCGAAAAGTACATGCGCGAGATGATCCGAGAGGAGACGGCGAACCTAAACAAGGACAGCGAATACCAGTCTGCCGCAAAGGGAAATCTCCTCACGTCTGTCCTGCGAGCGTCGGCTGCGGAGGCCAAAGGTACTGGTCGAAAGCAAGCTTTCACTGAAGACGAGGTACTAGGCAATCTTTTCTTGTATCTGATCGCGGGATATGAAACGACCGCAAACGCAATGACGTATGGATTCATTACCATAGCTCTCAGGCAGGATCTGCAAGACAAGGTCATTGAAGAAGTAGATGCGACCTGGGCCGAGGCGAAGGCTGAGGGACGCACTTCACTCAACTATACGGACGATTTCGAGAAGTTCAAGTACACTTACGGTTTCATGTACGAAGTCTTCCGCTTGTACCCCGGCGTTTGCATCATCACGAAGATGATCCCGAACGACACAACCATCACCGTTTACCCAGAGAAAAAGCCCCCACAGCAGCATGTCCTGCCAGCCGAGTGCCGTGTCTATCTCAATGCTGACGCTGTTCACTATCATGAAAGATACTGGCCTGATGCTTGGGCGCTTAAGCCCGAGAGATGGATGGACACCATAGAGATCAACCCCAATGAGCGCAGCGAAAAGAAGGTTGTTGCATCAGACAAGTCGAGACAAGTAAGGGGAACATTGATGACCTTTTCCGGTGGTGCTCGCGCCTGTCTTGGAAGAAAGTTCGCGCAATCTGAGTACATCAGCATTCTCGCTACTATCTTGAAGGAGTATCGCATTGTGCTGGGTGAAGGCATGGACGCAAAACAAGTGAAGCGGGATATCGATCATCTGGCGGCGGGGGCAGTCACATTAGCTCCACTCAACAAAGTCAAGCTAGCACTGAAGAAGCGAACAGACGTCGAGACTACTTGAGTTTGGATATCAATCCTCCTGATTATTGATGGGCACTTTTCCTTGTACTAGAAAAATATAAAGCTTGCCTCATTGTTTGTCTCACTGTTTTAGATTGAAATTGATTCCCCATCTGCCCATACCCGGGTGGTTTCCATTGGAGGAGGGGTTAAATTGTGGTTTCAAAGTAACTCGCTTGTTGGAGAAGGAAATTGATCATTCCGTAGTCAGTGTAAAGAACCGGCTAACAACCTCAATTTTTGATCAATTCCACCCAAGAATGTGTCAGGCAAAACATCCCAATGATGATTGATGGAGGAACGCGTATAGTCCATGCTCTATTCTATTCTAGATAGAAAACAAAATCGTAATAGAGACAGCCGATGGAGGTGAATTCATCCCCGTGATATAGTTTGCAGTATATGCCAGAGCTCCAATGAATATAAATTCACTATTGATGAACGCTGAGGAGAACCTTACTTTTCGTGGTTCTGTACATGTCTTTGCGAAGGCGTTCCACAGCCTCGCTAATTCCACCTATCCACCGGACCCACCCAGAAATGCAGTTTAACATCTCCCATCTCTCCCATCCTGAAAGAACTATTGGCAGGCTGTAAATTCCATTGATGAAGGTGTGAATGGGGTTTATTTCCCAAGCAAAGTATTGGCCACAGCCACGTACGAGCCTGACTTTATGTCATCCAAAATTGGTGTACCTTTGGGTTCCCAGCTGAGCTTCTTTTGCGCCTTGGCTCCCGACGCTCTATTCTCCGCCTTTAGAAACCAAGCAATATTTTCCCCGAATCCAGCCAGTGCATCATCGTACGAGATATCCTTATCGAGCACGCCGACAGAAGAATTGATGGCATGGAAGAGAACAGCCATGGTTAAATCGGTTTGAGAGCCGGCATTGAAGATGTCGCCTGCCTCGCCTTTCTGGAGAGCCAAAAGCACCAAGCGCACGCCATCATCGACATGAACGGCCGTGGTTCGATTTTGACCTCCATTGACAGTCGGCAAGCCACCCATGTTTTTGGCCATGCCCATGAAGCGAGCGATGCCGCTGCCGCTGCGACCGTAGGTGAAAGGCGACATGCGAACGACCATTATCCGGACACCTCGCTCTTTTGCTAGAGATAGTGCATGGTTCTCGGCTTGGACGCGTACGTTGAGATGGCTGGGTTCTGGAGGAGCTTCCTCGTTGGTTTCGTTGCCATTAGGATCCGCTTGTACTGTCAATGTCCCCGAAAAGGTGATGAGAGGTTTGTTCGTGCCGACGATTCCATCGGCCATCGCATCCACGGCGGCGTTATCAATGGGAAGGGCATCTTCATATTTGCCCTGCCCGAAAACATAAGCGGTAGCCACGTTGACTATGGCGTCGGCCTGCTTGCTTTCGCTTCGAAGAACATCTATTGTGGTAAGGTCTCCGCGCACCGGCTCTGCACCCAGTTTTCGCAATTTTTCGTCTCCGTCTTTGTTTCTGGAAAGTGCATGAACCTTTTTTAACTGCAATTAGCCAAATCGTTCGCTCAAACTACAAGGCAATGTCCCCGAGAAAAATATGGGCAATCAATACCAAGGCTCGCTTGCTTACCTTGTACCCATCCGCAACCGCAGTTTCGATCAACACTCCACCGACATACCCTGTCCCTCCAGTAACAAATAAACGTCCAAGACTCATTTTGGGACTTTAAGATGCTCGATATGATATGGACCTGAGGGGAAATGACCAAGTCTCAATGATTTTTATGATGCTAGAAAAGAATCATTGACGGGTACATGGTCAAAATATAGCACTGCTAAGAGGAGCACGGAATAGCAAGGTATAATGGGATCCAACACTCGTTACGCCTCTTGTTGCTGACTGACTTACGCCCAACTACAAGTGGTGCTTAAGTAAACAGAAAATGGCGCAAACGGAAATTATGCTTATCACCGGCTATGAAGATAGTACTACTAGAGGCGAATTAGTCAAGTTAGCGAGAACTTCTCTAGGACGAAAACACTCGGCTACGGATTCTTGCAGTAAATCCGTCAGAACGAAAGAAAACATCATTCCATTGCAAAGTATCCGCATTAGCCCAATGAATCGACAACGTCACGGAGAAGGTGAAGATGCATCCACCAATTTCTCCAATGATTCTCCATCCTCTTCCAACGCCGGCACTGGCACTTCCATAAACCTCAATTCTCCCACAACCTCCTTGAACTCCGGGATCTCGTGCATGCCCAAAAACCATTCTAAAACTCTGGGATAGCGCTCCCTCAACAGATGATGGAATACGAAAACACCGAACACCATGGTGCCAGCTGTGAAATAGTCGGCGAGTGTAACTTCATCACCAACGAGATACTTGCTCGTCTGAAGTTGTTGTTCAAGCAGCTTAAAGTCGGCGTGTAGTGCACGCAGACAATCTTGCGTGTTTTTGCGCACGGCGAGGGGAAGACCGAGTAGGGGAAGGATGATGCCTCCGATTGCTGGCAGGAGATCGCTATTGGCGAACGACATCCATTGCTGAATTTTGTGGTCGTCCTTACGGTTTTTGCCCAAGAGACTCGTGGTGGGTACGTGAGAGGTGACTGGAAATTATGGTGAGCCCGCATAAGTGCGCAGCGAGGAAGGCATCGGATGTATACCATATAGCGCAATGGCAATGCACTCTGTTAGAACGAAATCATCTGATCCGACAAATACTGGGACTTGATCTAGAGAGTTGAGCCGATGGAGCTTTTGTTGGTCATCTTTATTCTTGTAATCAAGATTCTTAACATCGATCTCCAGTCCTAGGATTTTCGCGACTGCGATAATGCCATATGATCGTGGATTTGGCTGCTCCCCATTAGCGCATGTTGCAATCGTTTGACGACGATCCCTAAAATCAGGCATGCACTTGCATTGCGAGTGTAAAATGTACCTAGTGACATCTTGTAACAGCGCACTCAAAAAGCTTGGGTGTTCGATAAGAGAAGGTTCAAAATGAAAAACGAGGAGCACCGTCTCATTGTAAATATTATTGAGCATCACTCGGTGTTCGGGATTCCGAGTATACGACGTGACAAGAACAATCACGGCCTGGACTCAGCTAGTATTGAGCCTGCGCCACACCGAGACGTCTTATGAATTCTATGTAGTAATTGCTCAGAATATGTAACAGCCCAGATTTAAGAACCCTATAATGATTGTACGTATGATGAAAGTCATTACAGCGATAGCAGAGGTTTCAAGCAAAACGTAGGCTACATAATCGCAAACCATTTCTTCTCTTTCTGACGAATCTCAAATGCAACCTTCCCGTCTTCAGCCAGCTTATTCAACACCTCTCCCATCAAAGGCTCAATCGCCATCTTCCGCACTTCTGGATCTAAGTCATCTCCATGCATGACGGTGACGAGTTGCTTGACAGTCACGCTAGCCTTCCCACCCGGGCTCCGTATTTGGGCCAAAGAGTTAAGCACTTGCGTTTCGCGTCTTGTCTTTGCCTTGAGCTCTAAATCGATTTTTCTCCGAAGATCGGGTATGACCACGCCATGTGCTGGATAGCCAATTTTGCAATTGTGCGATTGCATAAGTCGCAGTGAGTTAAGCCATACACTGAGCTGTTCGACGGCAGCAGTACCGTGGCCAAGGACATTATCACCAGTAAACATGGCCATTTCCTCTTCAAGAACGAAGCAAGTGTGGTCATCGGCATGTCCCGGCGCATGAACTGCCCTCAAAGTAGCACCTTCGACAGAGAAGATGCTTCCGTCCACGATTGGCTGCTGTGTTTTACTTGGGTTGTACTTATAGATTGCGTCTTTGAGATTCGGATACATGCGTAGCAAATCTGGCACGCCGCCGGTGTGATCGCCGTGCCAGTGAGTTAAGAAGACGTGGGAGAGTGAGATGTCCAAATCCGCAAGCGTTTTCGATATAAGTTCTGCCCATTCAGGTAGACCCTGACTTGTGTCTATGAGCATTCGTTCTGAGCCTGTGCCTATGATGTAGGTGTTTGTTCCTTGCAAAGTGAATTTTCCGGCATTTTGACCGAGTACGCGTGTGACGCGAGGACTGAGGACCTCAACATCAGCGATGAAAGGCAATCGAGATAGCTGTGTTTCGAGATAGTCCTCGAAAGCACAAATGTTAAGAGCCTTGTTGATTTGCTTGTAGCCACCTTTGTGCTTTGCAGGTGCTGGTTGTTGAGATTCTGGGGCCACATCGGTTGCGGCATAGGTGGCGTGCGGTGTCATGTCGGAAAAAGAAGTTCAGGTATCCACGAGTAAACTGGAGATTGATGGGAAAATCACGCGGCTCCCAGACCATGTTAGAAGGAGCAAAACAATATACGTGACGACCACGTGCGTCGGACCGAAGCTAGTGATTGCCACTACCGAGTGTTCGGGGCTCGGAGAACAGCACATGGCTGACCCGTATTCCAAAAAGACCATCTAGAACATCTATAGAGTGTAGAAATCTGTGAGTGGTTCGCATACTGTAAATCAAAATTGTCTAATCATCCCAATATGGCTCCAAATACTTTTGCTATTAACTCCGCTGGCGACAAGCACGAATTCGATGTCGAAAAGTGGGTGCCTAATACCACCAGCGATGACCTCCCCAAGAGACATCCCGTTACAGGTATCGATGTGCTCATCGTGGGCGCTGGTATGGGAGGGCTAGTAACTGCGTTGGAGTGCTGGCGCAAAGGGCATAACATTGTAGGGATTCTGGAACGCAATGATGGACCTGTCTACTCAGGTGATATCATTGTGATTCTTCCTTCAGCATGTGCCGCTCTAGGGAATTGGCCGGCTCTGCAACGTGACATGGATCTCGAACAAGTCGACGCCGAGGTTAGCTATGAAAAGTACACGGGCGAGCATATCTATGGTCCCACCGTACCACCCTACAATGACCCGGAACATCTCGAAGCGCGCAAAGGCAAAGGGCAACGCACTTTCATTGCGCCTGCACAGATTCGGAGTAAATTTTATCGCATGCTACTGCGGCAAGTGGCATGCCTTGGTATAACCGTTGAGTACGGGAAGACGGCGCGCAAGTACTTCGAAGATGAAAATGCCGGAAAAGGGGGAGTCGTGCTTCAAGACGGATCGTATGTATGCTGAAATCATATCAATTGGATTTTTCTGACCGATTGATAGCATCCGTTTAGCGGACATAGTTGTCGCTGCCGACGGGCTGAGATCGGAAGCAGAGATCCTGATCCAAGGCCAGTATACCGCGCCTGTATCTAGTGGCATGTCTATTTATCGTACGGCCTACCCCAGAGAAGTGGCTATGCGAGACCCCGTTGTACGAGAGCGATGGGGTAACAAGCGGAGCGTATGGGAGTATTGGTGCGTTCCTTGGACATTGCCAGCCATCCGTTGTTTCTCGAAATTGGGGAATTTCCGGTGTACTAACTATATACAGGCTAGGTCCCGGAATGTATATGGGAGTATTCATGTCTGATGAGATTGTCTCGTGGGGATTTACCCCTTTGGATACTCAAGGAGAGGCAACTGAGTCTTGGGAACCTGATACAGACCCTGAACGCATTGTGGATGAGCTCCGCAAGGCTCCCGGCTGGGACCCAGCCATAGCAGCTCTTGTGCGCACAGTCCCGCATGGAGTTGTTCACTGGCCCCTACTTTGGAGGGATCTTCATAGGGACTGGGTCTCCAAGTCTGGACGAGTGGTACGTATATTCCGTGGAACGTACAATGCAGTATACGTACAATCTTATTGACTCATTTCAGGTACAAGTTGGAGACTCAGCACACACGTTCACGCCGACTTCTGGGAACGGTGGGACGCAAGCTCTCGAAGATGCGGCTACACTTGCAACTTGCCTCGAGTTGGCTGGGCGCGATCGAGCGGCTATAGGAACCAAGATCTACAATTTACTTCGATACGAGCGTGTCAGTTGCGCTCAGAAAATGACTTTTGTCAACTCTCAGCTTAAAACAGCGACGGACTGGGATGAAATTTCTCGTGACCCGGGGAAAGTTCGAACCCGGTTTCCCAAGTGGATTTTCGCTCACGAGCCTGAGGCTTACGCATATGAAAAGTATGGTGAAGCCTATGCGCATCTCACAATGGGCGCTCCATTTGTCAATACAAACTTACCACTGGGTCATACTTTTGCGCCTTGGACACTGAACGAGGTGGCTGAAGCCATGGAAAAAGGGACGCGGATGGAAGATTTGCTGGACGGTGATTGGTCGTAAGACAGGCTCTTCCATACAACTATTTGTGATTTGAATAGAAAATGAAGACCAGCTTAGACTTTTAGTGTTTGTGAAGAGGTTAAATGATGAGCGTACGCGTTGTTTTGTGCTGCAATAACTGCCTAGCTATTCTAAGCATCCCATGTTGATCTTAAGAGACGTTTTTTCCTCTTGGATCCCGGGATAAGAGCTCACGCCGGAGGGTGGATACCATCAATTGCCTGATGGCGTGCAGTTTACCTTTCTCGCACATGTACATGATTCTAAATGAGTGCCAGGATGGTTCATATGTTTTATAGAACACAATTCAATTCTCATATGAATCCGTGGTTTCGATGATGAGGATTAACTATTTGATCAGGAAATTCTTCGACACACCCGGCTGGATGGCGTCGATCGCTCTCAACACCTCAGCAGAAATGCGTTCCTGCCCCTCTTTCCCCGCGGCACCTGTTACTGGTGCGGTAGGCTCCTCAATCTTACAGTCGTTCAGATACTTCCCGTGTGTCTCAGCGCCTGATGCACCTCCGTGAAACACAGTTCTGCTTCCCACCTCGGTGCTGCGCGCCAGAACAAGCCTGACAAGATAAAATCCCCAGCCAGTGGCCTCGCGTCCCAATTCAGACCAACATAGGCCGGGGTTCGCAATATTGATGGTAACAGGGAACTCGCTTGCTGGATGCTGATCGGCACTAGAATCGCGATTGGGTCAGCAAATTCTTCTGGAATTTGCCCATGGGATTCAACTTACATTTGGCGCACCAATAGCAATTGTATGAGCTTAGATACGGGATACTGCTGATCCCAGTATCTTTTGCAGGTATCTGGGTCCGACAACGCGGTCAGGATGCCTCCGTCCGGAGCGGACCGCTGGGGAAATGTGGTGTGCGCATAAGTACTTGAACCCGTCACTGAAAATGTGGGTCGTGTGTTGAAGCGAGCCGCTGTCTCACTCATCTTCGGCATCATGTTGGCCATCAATAATATAGTGGAAATGACGTTGACATCAATGCATTGCTCGTGGCCATTCTGCACCTGATATTCAGAACGTGCCACGCCGGCGTTGGCGATGAAGATGTCGATGCGGTCCAGCTCAGACTCGGCCCTCTTCGCAAAAGCTTTGACGCTGTTATAGTCGCTCATGTCTAATTTCCACACCTGCGTATCTTTGTGATTTGTGGTGCTCATGATGTCTTGTTTTGCCTCATTCCCCTTTTCTATGCTGCGCACCGCAAGAACGAGTCTCGATGCACCCAAGCGCGCATAATGCCTGGCTGCTTCTTTACCCAAGCCAACATTACTGCCTGTAATCACGACAGTTTTCCCCGAGAAATTGCCTTTGGGGTAGGGAGGAGTTATGAAGAATTGACTGTATAGAAATCCCATGTTGGATCAAGCAGTTGGGCGAAAGAAAGAGGATGGTCGAGATGAGCAGTCGAAGGTCGTAACGATCTTGCAAGAGCAGTCAAATCACAAGATGTAGGGTATCGACTATCTGGCAAGATAATTTCTGTTGTACGCCCCGTTATGCATATCGTGCTAGCTGAACGGAGAGTGTGTGCTGCTTACATATATTATCAAATGATGTTGGTTTCGCTTACAATGCCCATTCTCCATTCCGAGCTCCACGGACTTAGGACTTTATCCTAATCTCCACAATCTTGTGAATGTACTCGCGGGGAAACAGACAGGGCAGCTCCAGATTTCGGGACGAGGGTATTCCACTCCGAGTCACGTGCTGCTCTCCGACCCGAAGCACGTGTCATCTGAAGCCCGACACAACAGCATCATGTTCGACAATCTTGAGATAAAAGAACAGCTCCAATAAAAACCTGAGATGTCGGAGTCCAGTCAATCTATTTCCAGCTCTCGCAGCCTGGAGCAATTTACACAATGCCAACCTACGCTGTTATTGGGTCCACTGGGAACTGCGGGTCAGCTTTGATCCAAAATCTCCTCAAAGCCCCCGAGAACAAGATACATGCCTACTGCCGCAACGTTGGGAAACTCCACAGGTTGCTTCCACAAGTTATTGATAGCAAACAAGTCCAAGTCTTCTCCGGCAGCATCTCAGATGTCGATTTGATGGAATCGCTCGTGCGCGATACGCAAGCGATATTCATGGTGGCTACAACCAATGATAACGTCCCAGGATGTCGGATCAGCCAGGTAAGTTGATAGATCTAGAAACTTTGTTTGCACCAATTCTGACAGCAAGGATGTAGGATAGCGCAGCATCGGTTATCGCTGCGCTGAAGAACATCAAAGCCAAAACCTCCCCTGGGTACAAGCCTCCGACACTTGTGCTTCTCAGCTCTGCTACACTTGATGATTACCTTAGCCGGCATATGCCCAAATGGTTCCGCCCCATCATGCGTGCTGCCGCATCTTACGTTTATGAGGATTTGATTGTCACGGAGAAGATGATGCGTGAGCAATCTTCCTGGCTGTCCTCCATTTTCATCAAACCCGCTGGACTTTCACCCGATATTTCGCGCGGACATCGCCTCACGTTGGACGAAGAAGAGAGCTTCATCAGCTATTTGGATCTGTCAGCGGGAATGATTGAAGCGGTGCAAGATCCAGAGGGCCGATACGAAGGTAGAAATGTGGGTGTTGTGAATGCGACGAGGGGAGTCGGCGCTAAGTTTCCTTCGGGAACTCCCATGTGTATCTTTATGGGCTTAACCAGACACTTTTTCCCATGGCTGCACCCTTATTTGCCTTCTGGTACAGGCCCAGCTTAGTTTCAGGTTGCTATTATCGATGCAAATTGTATTGTTTTCATCTGCATATTCTGTGTGGGCTCGCGTGAGGAAAAGCAAATTAGTATTTAAATTCATCGGTTCTCATTTTGCTTTGCGAAGAGTTTCGTCTGTTAGGATGGATGCGCGCCAGACGGGCATCGGATTAAGTTGTTGAACGACTGCGAGAATTCGCTCTCGAAATGACCAAGCTTAGCTGAATATTCTACATATTGTACCCATTGCTCAACATTAAATATAATAGGAGGAGTACTTCCAGAAAATTTAGCATTTATATTGAAGAACTGTGGGAAAAAGCGCATGCGGGAACCCTGTCGTATATGTCTCGGTGATGACTCAATTTGCACGAAAAATCGTCTTTTCTAACTACGGCTGGCTTCATCGACCTGGAGCTCAAATGCTTTTACTCTATTTTCAAGTCTGGCCGTGCCCATGGCTGCTCAAAGCCCGTGAAAGGAACCCACTTCAGGTCCGATGGCCTATTCTTCGTAGTATCCTGACACATCCTCGCCAATCTCAACCACATATCACCTTTCATCGGAATATAGTCTTCGTACTCGCCCTGTTCAAATTTCCGAGATACATCTTCCCCATTTTTGAGCGCGCGGATAAATTTCGCAGCATGACCATCGTCATGTTCTTTGATCACCGCTTCAAACAGCTCCTCCCAGCCGAGACCATCACTTTCGGGAGATGTGTAGTTCGTGATAGCACTTTCGTCCAGCACCGCACAGCCAGACACAGCATACCACGCCAGGTCAAGCCGGCCTTTCCATTCCACCAGTCGTATGCGGTCTTCAAGCTTGATCCAATCTTGCTTGATGAACACCGTGAAGAATATACTGCTGGTCACGCAATGCATATAGAAGAAATCGATTTTGGTCCGACGGTTCGTCTTGCTCTTATCCTGCGCTGCACCTGCGAAATAAGCACAGGTGCTGATCATCTCAGCAGTGCGACGTTCTAAATCGATTTCGTCATTCTTGATACGGAATTGCGAAGCCAGACTGGCCATCTGCTCGCCCGCACGACCGACTATGCCATCACGCATCTTGTTTCCAAAGTCGGTCCATTTCGGTGCGTTTCGAATCGCGTCGGATGCGCGCACTTCGTGAATAAGATTCAGCATGGATTTCGGCTTCTTCGATGGATACGAGATGGAAGCTTCGTTCTCGGCATTAGCGAAAAGAGTGCGGATATTGGAATCATCGTGAGAAGCAGCCTGTGCAAGGGCCTCCGCAATGATGATTGGTTGCTCAAACTCTACCCCGAGGCCCAAGTGAATGATGGGATGGTATGCGCCTTCATACATGCGAGCGAGCAATAAGTCTGCAGTTTTGGTGCGTGCGAACACGTATTTCTGAACGACTTCTTTCCATCCTTTGGCATTGATTTCGCTTTTGAAGAACTCGAGAAAGGTATGATATTGGTGGATTTGTCCAACGAGTGCGTTGTGCAGGGCGTTCTCTTCAGATCCCAATTTCTCGAGGAGTTCGGTGTCGACGGAAGGCATCGCTCGCTGAATGGGAATGCCATCTTCGTACCTCGCTTTGAGCTCCTCTGGACCGGCACCCAAGGCTAGGATTGTAAGAAGGCTGTGGGCGATGTGGTTGTGGCCGGCTGTGTCGCGAAAGAACATGTGCCATTCTTCGTGGTTTTTCTGGACCAAAGTATTGCATTCGGCGATGGATTCCGGTTTCACTTCATCATTGGCTTTGATGAGACCAAGGTTGGAAGGTTGGAGCTTAACTGATGAGGCTGCCATGTTTACGATGTCAAAACAATTTTGAAAAGAGTCCAATGCTTTGTGGTTGTTCTCTGCGTCTTTTCGAATCTCTTAAAAATCTTACTTCCACCACTCTGGAATGATGTTCCTGTTGGTACAACGGCAGGACGCAGCATCGGAGCCCGATAGTCCGAAAAACTTGTATCAAACCACCCGCAACATTAGATCGCACCACCCAGCGATACAATGACCCGAACAGTGAGCTCGCGAATCTGGAGTCTTGCTAAAAAAAAATATGCATTTTACGCGTGCGGTTTTCTAACTAATGCATGCGCCACAGATGATAGAATCATGCTCGGATGCGAAGTAGCACACACGTTTTGGTTTCAGATTGGTATAATCTTCGTATTCAATGATTTAGTCCATATAGATGATTCTCCCGAATACAAAGGCTTTCGAAACGCCCATAATATCTAGCAGTCTACTTGATAAGTGTATAACCTTAGACTGTCGCTTTTCCGAGGAGCTTTTTCAAATGCCGTACTACTGCCTGCTGTACTACCGGCTTGATAATTTTATGTGTCGCGTTGACCGGAAATTCCAAGAGCCCCAATTCCTGTAGACTAGCCACTCCCCCAAGTGCGTAGTCTCGACCCAAAATAGATCGAGTGTGGTCTTTTATCTGTTTTGCGCTTGCAGTTGAAAATCTGCTCACCACAGCGAACGGCTCAGCTCCAAGCACTGGGTGCGCAACTGCTACCACTACCACCTAGCTTGTGGATTAGCGAATTGAAGATTTGGCTTTGATAGAGGAAGAAGAAATCTGCGCAATGCACAAATCTATTCATACCGCACACGATGACTTACCTGGCAAGACAGAAATGCAGCGAGACAACTTTCGATAACGGCAGGCGCCACTATGGTACCAGCGCGCTCAATCATGTCTTTTCGTCTTCCAACAATAGAAACCAACCCTTCGTCATTCATTGTGGCCATGTCTCCAGTATTGAACCATCGCCGCTTTCCGTCGTCAATGAATGACGTCTCTGAGTGACCTCGAAGATAATGGTTTACGACGGAAGGACACGATATGTGCAGCTCGCCAAGTTCGCCCCTCTTGACCACAGAATTTGATTTAGAAACAGAGCAAAGCCGGATCCTAGCTCCAGGAGCCACAACTCCAACAGGACAGATCTGGCCGCCTAGGAAAGGAATGCGCGCAGTCGGCTTCCCGAGGAATGGCCAGGAGAACACACCTGGACCCTCCGTCATACCTTGATTCACACACGTTTGAGCCGTTGGGAACAAATTGGCGCATTTGGTCAGCACCTCTTTCGTAACTGCATCACCACCAATTTGGATTCTTTTTACGCACGATACGTCGATGGGTCTAGTGGCTAATTCTATGGCGAATTCGTGTACCATTGGTGGAGTTAGCACTAGGAATGTGACACCGACATGTTCGATAGCATGTATTGCATCTCGTACTCTATTGTGAAGAATTATCAGCACATCCATACGGGTGATCAACGGGTGGTCTCACTGACGAGAAACTTTGGCCTGTCAAAACAAGGGCACCTCCTGCCCTCCAAGTTTGCAATGTTTGCGCAGGTGCAATGCCCCTCGAGTTATGCGGCTGCATAAGAGCATATTGAGAAGCCCCAGATTCGGCGTCAATGAGCCATTCCTGAGAATGCAGTGCATGCGAGATGGCCGACACGGACTGCGGGCACCCTTTGGGAATTCCCGATGTGCCTGATGTGAACATGATAGAATTGATGCGCGTAGGTTTATCTTGGCGTGCTTCCGCGAGAAGCTTGAGCTCATCGATTGCATTGTTTTCGTTCGCACGAGTAAAAATATCTTCGAAAGAATGCCATTCGGTGGCTTTGGATTCCGAGAGACTGAGTTTTATAGGGGATGGCAGTTCCAATTCCGCCATGGCTACTTCGATAGCCCTCCCTTTCAGTGAATTGGATGCAACAATAATCTGGGGCCGTACAGCCTCCAGGGTTCGTTTCAATGCTGTAAAACCAGATATGTTTAATGAATCTTCATCCAGGCTCACGTATGTGAGGCGTAAAATGGCGCATGCCCACAATAAGATAGCGTACTCGGCGCCGTTGGGGATGGCCATAATCATTCGAGTGTCTGGTCGAACACCAACTGTGATGAGACCAGTTGCAAGTTTCAAAGCCATGCCATGGAGTTGTGTGTAGGTGAGCGTCATAGTATTGGCCTTGTCTTCTTGAGTTGGGCTTCGGGGAGGCGTATCCTCTGCTTGCACAAGCGTATACGTCTGAGGTCGATCTTTACACCAGAGTCTGGGTGTTGCATTGGTACTCGAATTTCTGTCTGTGCCAACGTCCTGTCCTCCGGGTGTGCATGCCGCGACAAGCCTTTGCAGACCAATAGACTGTTCCATCAAACAAACGACAGCTGGATCATTGGGATTGCGCAACAGGCCTCGCTCGATATGCTCGAATACAGATAGTTGAGGCCAAGAAGCACCTTCGATGTCGGCTAGCTTCTCATGATTTGAATGTGAAGTGGCGGCCTCTCGCGCATCTTGAGTCCGCCGTAGGAATGTGAGGATATAGCGGACGACTATCACCAAGAAGAGGATGTCTATTGTGCGGCAAGGCATACTCATTCGATATGATGTAGTGTAACGAGCTCCTTAGGCAGAGTATAAACTATTAGCATCAACCAATATTGAGATTTTTCTGATGATTTCTTCCACGACCTCGGCTAGCGTTCGTGATGAATTGAGATAACTTCACTAACAGACAAAAACTGGCTAATGTGAGATTCTCCAAATCAACACACTCTGATCGAGATCTGAGTCACATGATTTCCTTTGTCAGTCTATGTAACATTGATTATATGAATTATTAGGTGCGTGTGAGGTGAGAAATGATTGGCTGCGCTGATCTCGGGAAGTCGGGAGTCGGAAGTCGGAGATCGCGGATAAGCATCGGCACCCGGGGCTCGGGGCTCGGGAATCCACCACGGCCAGGCAAATTCTCGCTCCACGTGTGTCCCGCAGTCACGCACGTGTAGCGGGCATTTTGTTTGAACGACGAACGTCCATGTACCCTATCAAGATGCATAGACGCTTAGTAAGCTCGTTGGCCTCGAGATGCCATTTTGGTGGTGTTGGATGGCATAGGCAAGAACAGAGTTGCAAACACGGTCTTGTGAACAAGTAGAGTAAATCTTCAATTAAACAATTGATTCTCACAATCTATCGACCCATGACATAGAAGGGCTCACTGTTAGTTGAGCAGAACCATTTCTAATCTGCCAATTCAACGGAACCCAAGCCTGATCTATCTCCCATTCTAGTTTCATGTCCTTAGAAGCTTTGACGGAAGAAGCCCCAAGCACCCATGACAGCTCCAAAGAGTGGAAAACTGGCTCTTGTCAAGTGCATCAAAGCCCACTTGACCACCATGTCTTTCGTGTCTTGGAGAGAAATAACATTGATTTCCGGGATATTGCCCAATCTCATTGCCCTCGTCGCTGCCTCCAACCGAAATAGCTCATCGTTGGTCGGCTTCATGATCAGCAGTGTGAATGGTATCATGCTCACAGTCACAAGACCCGCAAGCGCAAACAAACGCCACGGCTTCGGTGATGGCGCTCTGCGTCTTCGAATACAGACGTAGCTGTAGAGAAGAAAAGTGCTGATAGACATCCCTGGAAGCACTTGGTGTCCGTAATGGTACATGCGTGTCCACTGCCACAATAGTTGCGGCGAACTTGTTGCGGTGTCGAGAAGCACGGGTACGGCCATTAATGATAGAGATGCCATACAGCCTAAGTTCATTCAGCATCCAAAGATCTTTTTTCTGTCAGTTCCAGGATACATACCAGAGAGAAAAGAGCCCACAACAACCGTCGCGGCCAAGGTTTTCTTAGTAGATCCCTCTGCAGGTCCTGCTATCCGACTCAAAGCGCTTGCCTCCTTTTTCGTTTCATTGTCCATTTCGACCAGTTTCCCATGCTCAATGAAATCGGTCACCCACCCAATGGTCATCATGCTTCTATTGGTATCCGCGAAATTGACATGGTCCCCTGCGACTTGGTTTCTGTACACTGGATCTTTCCTCATGCGCTTGTAATCTTCTATGGTCCGGAAAGTGACTTGACTGAAACAGTCGAACTCCGCCAGATTCACCATGTGCTCGTCAAATAGCTGTTTCATGAGATTGCGAGTCTCGGTGGTGTTGTGTAGCTGTTTTTGCGTCAGTCAAACTGTACCAACTCCTTGATATCGTAAATGTTTTCTTACCATTGTCCAGCGAACTATACCATACTTCACCATGAGCTCTTTAGTCATGGGTCCAGATACTTGGGTCATATGACTTCTATAGTCCTCTTCGCTCATGCCTGGACGACGGTATCCGCATATTGTCAGACATATGAGCTGTCCCGCTTTCTTGGTCTTCGGTGGCTTTGGAAACTTTTCCTTGGATGCCATTTTTTTTTGCAGATGTACGTACACTCAAGTTGTACGAGTATGAGAATGTGTGAGATTTGATATATTTTGCTGGATTATTCAAGTACATAAGTATCTTGAGCAAAATCCGAGCCCCGAATACCGAACAAAGAACAGCGGTGTTCCCCGACGCATTATGTCTTGTAAGGTTTCCAATCGAATAGTCTTGGTTGGTATCACAGTCATCATTGTTTTCTGATAAATCACAGCAAGTAGATGAGATTGCTTTTCAATGGTCTTCTATAAGGCTACCACAAGCTTGCGAAAGCTGACAACAAAAGTGCGCGAAAATCCACCAACGCCGAGATGATAATTGAGTGTCTAAAACTGAGAAACAATAGCAATTTAATGAAGTTTCTATGATAACGAAATTCCCGCAGTGAGCCAGGAGCTAGCCGTGATATTCTTCTAACCACGCACGAAGGTCTCCTATTGCAGGGTACTCCAGGAAGAGACTGCCACTAACAACCACACCGAGCTGCTCTCTAAAGTTCTCTGCTATCACCAAACTCATGAGTGAATCAATGCCGAGATTGGCAAACTGCGCATCGTCGGTGAGATCGGCCAAATCAAGAGCAGATTCTTTGGCAATGATGTTGAACGCTTTGGCGGTGATGCTGTCTGGATTGAGCCCCTTTGCTGGTTCTTCTGCGATGACACCATTGACCTTTGGTTCTTCCGGGACTATTGCTGTTGAGGCTGTCGCACTGGCAGTAACGGGAGCCGATTTCTCTTGTGCTGTGACGGTGGGCACGGTGCGGGCAGGAGCGACAACCTTAGGGGCCGCAGGAGCTGCAGAAGCAACTGGAGGAGCCTTCTTGTCATCTGGAGCGGAGAAGAATCGGCTCAGTAGAATCCGCGGATATCTGTGAAATTCTATACCCTTCACAACGCCCATGATCTCATTATCTTGCGAAATGTACACATCTCCGTAATATGTCGTGTTGTCTTCCGGCGCGGGTATCATCTTGACGTAGGAGCGATACTTAGCCCCGGCCACCAAGGGCTTCGCAAAGCGCATGGACTGCCAACCAGGCGTGACACAGAAATTTGTTTTGGTGTCTATAGCATCGCTGACGTTGCATATGAACCCGGCGATATGGGCGACGCTGTCAATAAAGTATGGCGGCACGGTCCAGGAGCCACCTTTCTCCTGCGTTAGGGTAACATCAGCGTATGCCTCCATCTCATTCAAGACCACCGAGGTCATCCCGCGATATTTGTCGTGGTAGTCGACGAGATTGTTCGCAAATAGAAGATAGGCCATGCTCCGGCTAAAGCGATTGGCTACTCCAGAGTTGGCTAGGCTATCGAGTTGGGCGATACGTGATTGTATCAGGTGATTAAGTGGTGACCATGAAGCCAACCAATCCGTCGCCTGACCGTACATGAGAATCGCTGTTGCGAAAGGCTCATCGTGTTTTGTGCCAGAAACTACATTGTACCACGACATCTGAGCTCTGTTGGATGTAATGTCTGGCGTATGAATCTCAACCTGAATTACTTGCGGAGTATTGGGATCGCTGTTGGCAACGAGACCTTTGAAGACTTGGAGGTTGCTGATGTCGACTTTGACGTCTTTGCTACCGTTTCCTGGACGAAGCTTGTGATATAGATATTCGCCCATGGTGTAGGCAATATCCGCATGAATAGACTAGAATCTTGTGTCAGATCTTCACGTCCTGTACTCTGCGAATTATTGGGTGAAAATAGGGAAGCTAGACTTACAGATGTCACCACACCGCATCCGTTCATCTTGTGTCCCCAAGCAGCCGCTCGGAAATCAGGATAAGCAAGGTCAGACTGCATCTTAACGGTCCCTGAAGTTCCAAAAAAATGTTCTTCGATGATATTTTGCACGGTGGAGGTGCTCAATCCCGATACTCGCGCTGATAGTTGCTGTGGTACCTGATTCTGCTGCGCTTTCTCAGCATCATAGTAGGTGTTCCCCTTCGTCAGCGCCCAGTCGCCATGGTACTGAATCCAAAAGTTCTTGTCGTTCCAAGCATATGTAGGCAGATCAAGAAGCTGGAGTGACTTCTCAAACGGAGCATGGAACTCATTCCAAGCAATTGGAACTCCAGCACAATGCAGTGTCGCAAGGCTGTTCGCCATTGTGGTCCAGTTATTCTCGCCTCTACGAAGAGAGGGCACCAAAACAGTGGATGGGGAGAGCGTTGACTTTACAAAGCCAATACAAACTGGGTGAGGTCCTATTTCAATCCAGGTTGTATCGTCGTCCAGCGTTCCAATTCTCTGGGCTGTTTCAAGGGCTGCCAAAAAATTGACGGTCTCTCGCGTGGCTCGGCGCATATAATTACCATTCAGCGTCTTCTCGTCAAATACAACCTTGTTTAGAAGAGGAGAAATCACTGGGACAGCTGGCGCCTGATAGATGACCCCTTTGGCTAGTTCCTCGAAATCATCTAGCAAATCCTCCTCGATCTGAGCTGAATGAAAAGCAAAAGCCACATCGAGACTGTAACATTTATAGCCACTACCCTCGAGGATGGGTATCAGTTTGTCGATTCTCTCCACTGGGCCACTGAGAACTGTTTCCTTAGGTCCGTTGATACAAGCGATCTCGTATGATACGTCTTTGCCGCTGACGCTTTCTTCGATCATCTGCACCGAAGCCCGTACGGCCAGCATTTTGTGACTCCCCACTCGGCATCTAGCTTCCAGCATCTGCGCTCTTTTTCCAACGAGGAATACTGCGTCGGATGCGGAGATAACACCCGCGACATGTAGAGCGGCGTATTCACCAAGACTGTGGCCGACTACAACGTCAGGTCTCACACCCAGAGAGTTCATATACCGCGCCAGGGCAATTTCTGTGCAGCAGAGTGCAAGCTGGGTGATGACGGGTGAATGCTGATGGTTTTCAGGGTAGCTTCCGTCCAACACCGGAATAAATGAAGGGAACCCTTGTCCTCGAGCCAGATCGTCCAGTAGCATGATCTGAGACCGGAAATATGGGGAGTCATGGAATAGCTCTAGATTGAACGATTTGTACGAAGCTCCTTGACCTGTGAACGCGAAAGCGATCGGGGGCGGACTCGGAACGGGCTTCCGTGAGTCGGCAGCACCAAGTGCTGTTGAGAGCTGTTTTTTTACCTGTTCGATGGTGGACCCAGTTGCGGACACGCGGTGATTGTGGTGGTATCTACGGGCCGTGGTGGAGTACGAAAGGTCGGCCAATGAGATGCTTGGATTCGCATCTAGGTATGCAACCATCCTTTCCAGATTCCCTTTCAAGGAAACCTTACTTTTGGCCGAAACAACAACTGAATGGACGGGGCGCGAGTCTATGCCGTGAGATTTTCGCACTGGTGCATCCTCAATGGCGATGCAGGTGTTTCCTCCGGCAGCACTGAAGTTGTTCACAACAGCTAGACGTTTTTTGCCTTCCTCCCGTGGCCAAGCTGTTTTTTCGTATGGTATACGAACGTTGAGCTTGCCTATATCGTGAAATCTTGGATTGATCTCGTTTTTGATTCCGACGTGAGGAGGGATCGCGTTCTTCTGCAACATGAGGAGTACCTTGACGACAGCAGTTACGCCAGCCGCGGCTTCGCTGTGACTGGATTGAGGATGAGAATCAGCTCATTTTCGCGACTACGGCTGAGAGGAAGTCTGAGAGCTGTACTTACCCTACGTTCGCTTTGACTGCTCCTATATACAGCGGGTTCTTAGCACTGCGACGCTTCTTCGAGGGCGCAAACACATTGGTGACCGATTGTATTTCTTCAGCGTCACCGGCCTGCGTGCCTGTGCCATGCATTTCAACAAAGCTGACGTCGAGTGGGTTAATTGCAGCGCGATTCGAAACGAGAGTTCCAAGATAGGCTTGATGGCCGGCATGGGGATGCGTAATCGAAACTGCTTCAGCTGAGTGATTGGTTGCGGCCGAGAGGATAACCCCTAGAATATTATCGTTATCCTTTTCAGCATCATCCAGTCGTTTGAGAACTATGGAGGCAACAGCATCGGCTCCTAAATTTGGTCAGTTTTGAGTCCTTCTTCTGAAACGAACATGATGATGGCACTCTACTCACTACAGTATCCGTCCGCTTCTGCGTCCCACGTCTTGCAGGCATTCGGTGTTTTTGACAGAAAATGACCATTACCCAAACCCTGTAATTGCGAGAATAGAGTCAGTTAGACTCTGTGAGTACATGGATTTTTGAACACACCACACGCATGTATCTCAGGAAATACATACCGCGAAGGCATCTGAGTTTGTAAGGACATTCGTCCCTCCCGCCACTGCCATGTCAATCTCGTTCGCCCACAAGGCAGTACAAGCGCTCTGAATAGTAGCCAGACTGGAAGAGCAGGCCGTGTCAATACTATAGGAGGGTCCCGAGAATTTAAAGAAATAGTTGATTCTTCCGGGTCCGAAAGCGCGACATCCGCCGGGTATGAAATATGTGCTAATCTCCTGCGCAGAATTGACCTCACGGTAGTCGTCACTTGCTTGGCCATAGAATGTTCCTGTTCGATGCAAATCCGTTGATGCCGACCGATTTGCCACATAACCAGATCTTTCTAACGCTTCGTACGCGGTGACTAGGGCAAGGCGCTGCATTGGATCTGTTTGCTGCGCCTCTCTAGGGGACATATTGAAGAATGGCGCGTCAAATAGACCCGGTTCATCGATGAAACATCCATAGGGAGTAATTGACGTATTCATACGCTTTCCAGTGGGATCGTGATGAGAATCAACATCAAATCTATCAGCAGGTATCTTCCGGTGCACATCTAAGCCTTGCTCAAGTAGTTTCCAGAACCTCTCCGTATCGGTCGCCCCACCTGGCATTCGGCAAGACATCCCTACGATAGCGATCTTTTGATTTGTTGGGTGCTTGTCGGTGGCACTCGGGTCCAAATCGACATCATCCAAAACGCGAGGCTTGTCATTGATCCAGATCCCCAGCTCCTCGACGGACTGTTTTAGGTTTGGAATCTTCTTGAACGCCTCAGTGAGCTCTACGAAAGGCATCGATGTTCGAAATACTTGTAGCTGCACCCCGCGTTTGGGATTTTTCTCCCCTATTTGCCTCAAACTTTGCTTCACTTTGTTCCAGTGGATGGACTTTGTGAGAATCTCCTTGATTATTTGTTCAAACAAGCCGAGCGCGTCTGTCGCATCAAAAGGCTGACCAGTACTGGTTGAGAAAATAGGGTGCTGGGGGGTGAACATGGAGTTTATCCGCTGCAGCGAGGGCGTAGTAACAATTGTCTTCACGTTCGCGTCAGAGTATACGTGGGGAGCGTGACATAGACCAGAGTAGACTGGTAACGCAATATGTCTTAGGTCGCGAAAGAAATCATCCATTCGAAATAGATTCTTAAGCCTTCCAGGAGGCCCACTGATCGTAACGGAGGTATCAGAATAGGCGCTTATGAAGATCCTGGCAGCTTCGGGGGTACTCTTTGCGAAAGTAGACTGCGTTAGACTAGATCCATAGTTTTATTTTGAGGCGGGGCTCACGCGACTCACCTTAGCCTTGTGCATTGTGTCCAGCTGCTTCTGGACAGCACTTGCGTCTACATTGGGTACGACGTAAGCCTATAACACACGCAATGTCAGCAATGCGCAAGCTATTAGGACTGTAATGCGCATACCCAGGATTCCAAAGGAGCGTCTTCTTCATAATCATCATGTTGTAGGTTCTGCGAAACTTCGTGGACTAAAACGCCTAGACGAAATGCTTGTCGCATGACCTGAACTCCGATAGTCGCAATATCGAACACTGTCTTCGCCAGTGACAATGCCGGAGCGGTAAGGAGGCCGATACCCAGGCCTGCCAGATAAATGTTTCCGTTTGCATGATTGAATGCGCTAGGATCGCTCTCGTATCGACTATGAAAATAATATCAGCGTCTGGGTTACCAGCTAAATAAATTATGGTCTCACCTAATGTGGGTTCCAAGCTCGGCAATACAGAGTAGCAGGCCATCAACCGATCCCGACAATGGGCCTTTTCGTAAATCTGAGAAGTCTATGAACGTGAGAATGGTCTCAAAGGTGGGGATCTGTAGCCGCAAGCTTGTTGGCAATTGTCGTATCTCGTCTCGAATTGCGATGGTGCTGTCCTGCAAGAACTTGGCAAGAACAGGGTAATCTCTGCTTTTACTTCGTTCATGTAACTGACGGAAGAGATCTGGAAGCTCCTCCAATCGATACTCGTTACTAAGATAGATAACTTTCATTCTGAATGTTGGGGATTCGGTGAAGGCGAAGTGTTATAGAATAATTTGAAGGTGCAGACTGACTGACACAATCATTGGGACAAGATCGCACAACCAGAAGCTCTGCTCAATGGGATGTAAAGATATGTGTATTCTACTGAATTATGAGGCTCAGCTCCACGTGCTGCTCAATCCGACGTCGCGCTTATCCTCGAGTATGGGTATGATCGGGATCCCGAACTCCAGGTCAGAAGCAAGCCCTGCATGAAACAGTCCATTGGGTTTCCGCTGACGGTTTCCGGGGGTAAGATAGCTGGAGTCCACGTTCTGGACTCTCTCATGTCAGTGAAGCAAGACTAACAGGTCTCGGCCACTCTCGCCTCTCGGGCATCATCAAGCTACTCTCCGATAAAGACCCAAAAAATGGTTTCGGTGCTTCGCGCAGCCAATAACAATTCGCACTATTTACTAACTCTTTTCAGTCTGGCGTTAATTCCATATCCTGATGATATGTTAGCAATGCGATCAATGAAATTGAAGTTTGCGGGCCTCAAAGACTGGTGAGGGTATCGAATCGCTGAATCTCACGGCTACACTTAGACATTGTGCCCCGGCATTCTATGATGTGAAGAACATTCATCACTTCTCTATTGTGGAAACTGTCTATTAAATTACTGCTAGCTCTGATGATATCTTCATTCTTTTAAAATGACGGTGTCTCAAAAGAACGGCCACTTTTGTATTTGCAACGAGTGAATAGAAGCGGCTTGTGGGGATTTGAGAGAGAAAAGTATAAATCAAGGTTGCTCCCATCGATACACGACGTAATTTGGTCAAAAAATATCTAGACACCCTCCTCCCTACCATGCTCGAAAATCTTATCATGATCATACTCGCTCCATCTGATATCTGGCTCCAAGCCTGCAAACTTCCAGACACCCTCCAACTTTCGATAGCAGATAGTGCTTTTCCCGTGCGCATGCCCTTTCACAGCAACATCTTTCATGTCTTCATTCTCATATTTTTGATGAGCGACGCGCATTTGGTGGTACCCAGTGATTTCGGTGTCACTGTTTTTGACCCATTTGGTAGCTCCGACAAAGTGCTGTGTCTTGAGGAGTGGGTTTCCCAGGACGTGCGGATTGGAAGCCATGGAAATGAACTCGGCGGCTGGGAGATCTTCCCAGAGTTTGTTCAGGAAGGATGTGTAATCAATCTGGAGGTGGAGAAGTTTAGCTGTACGGGAGCTACGAGACAAAGAGCACATAGTAGATTCTCTTATAAGCAACTCACACGAAGAGTTGGGGCGATGCATCGTGACAGCCGCTCCCAATCTTTGCTATCATAGCTTTCGACCCACTCGAAGAGAGCCCCTTGGCAGCCCAAGATCTCTGTTTACATCAGTTTCAGTTCACACTCACTTTCTCTCACTATCTTTCTGTTCTCACTATTGGGAGATAAATTCTTGCCAGAGAAAGCAGAAAAAGCTAAGCGCAGCTCACCTTCAAAATTTGGTTGCAGCGCCATTGCCTTGCACCAGTATTATAGGTTTACTTTTAGTCAAGAAAAGAACAATAAGAAAGAATAGAAGATGTATATGGCTGAGCAGACCCCTAGTACATATATGATCTAGACCTTGAGGCATCCCCCGAAGCATCAACTAAGACATAAGTCAATTACTTATTAAATTCAATAGCGAAGGTGTCTGCCGAAGTATTACATAAGTTTAGTAACTACAGGGACAATCTAGCTCCTGAAGTATTCCAGAATTATTGCTGATAGTAGAATACACATATAGTATATTTGCAACAAAATTCCGCCAGAACATCCACTAGAACACAGATATATTACGTTTGTAAACCTGAAATATTCTCACCGCCCGGGCTATAAAAGCCAGGGTCTAGGGAGGTAGCCTTTCGCAACCCTCAATATGCGCGTGCGAGTCTGACATCAGCTTTCACCCTGAAAGTAATTTTCTTATTGTTCTCTATCTTACCCGCAAGTGTGTTACTGTGTAGAATTTCCGACCATTGGGATCGGGGAAGCTTTTCCCTAGTGTAGCCCGAGATCCGAGACCAACTATTACACCTCAATAGCGACAAGTTCAATTCATCTTTCCCGAGAAGCTCCATGATAACCACGGAATATGTGTCCATTGCAAACTTATCGTGTAATTTTCAATACTTGGTGTTTGTGCCGCACGGAATAAGCAATGATTCAATCACAGACTTACCCGAAAAGCAGAATGTTTTACTCATGTCCATCCGTCAGTTGAGTGGTGGGGGATTTACTGATCCTCCTTAGAGTTAGCTACATGTTTCTGTAGAACTGCTCCTGATCGTGGCGAAGGGCTTAGTTCATGAATTTCAGGATTGGGCTTGGAATACACGGCCTGAGCTCCACGCAATTTTGGAAGGGTTATGATGAAAAGATAAAGTCCCTTCTTTTACCGCTTATTTCAATTCTCATTTCATATCAATTGCGTTTATTCATGCTCTAAACTCTCGGTTTAGCTTCTATAGATGGATGAAGGGGAGCAATTCGCGACATATGGGGTAGCCAAGCGGCTACCAGTAGTAACTAAGGTACAAGTAACTTCGCAGTAGTATTTCTATGTCTTCGGACTCCCTTGAAATCATTCTTATATCTCAAGAGCTCATTAGGACGCGTTGTGAATGTTGCCATGCCACCGAAGAGAAGCTTCAACTGTTCTGCTGCAAGACAATTATGCCGCCCCACCGTCAAGGGTGATGACCTTTCCGTTGAACCACTCGCCCTCCTTACTGGCTAAAAATACTACAACGTGAGCGATGTCGATGGGAAACCCATTCCTGGTGAGTGGGGAAGCATGCGCAGCCATCTGTATAAGTAGTGTTAGGACTAGAACCGTAAATGGAACACAAAGATAAAGAGAGCAGTCGCATACCGCTTGCCTCTCTTCGGCTGAATACTTCTCGCCATTCGGAATATAGTGTTGTGAGACATCGTGAAACATATCCGTTACCGTACCCCCCGGAGCAACAGCGTTCACCGTGATTTTCTTGTCGCCGCAATCCTTCGAGAAAACGCGAACGAAAGTGTCAATAGCACCTTTCGAGCCTGAATACAACGAATGTTTCGGCACCGAGAAGTCTTTGGACGTGTTTGACGACATGAGGATGATACGTCCACCTTCATTGAGATGACGATAAGCCTCGCGCGCAACGAAGAATTGTCCACGTGTATTGATAGAAAATACGCGATCAAATTCTTCTTCGGTTACGTCTTTGAGGTGTCCAAAGCTCACCACTCCGGCATTACTGCACACAATGTCGAGACCACCGTAGTGCTCAATCGCTTTCTCCATGAGCTTTGTTGTCTCGGACACATTTCGAACGTCGGCCTGAAGTGCAATGGCGTCGGAGCCCAGCGATTTGATCTCATCAACCACTTTCAATGCGGATTTCTCGGAGTTTGCGTAGTTGACCACTACCTTCGCACCACACCGGCCGAGTTCGACAGCCATAGCAGCTCCGATACCCCGACCAGAGCCAGTGACGAGAGCAACTTTCCCATCCAGACGATATGGAATGTAGGCAGAAGACGAGGAGGCCATTGTAAAGTTGGGGCTGTCAAAAGAACAGATTTGGAGATGGAGTGGTCGAGTTACTGTGAATCAGGGATTTAGATGTTATGTGCAATGAATGGAAAGAAAACAATACAATTTATCGAAGATATTTGAAGCGCTTGTGCCAGGGGGTCGGGGTGCACGGAATTGCGAACTGAGAAAACGGTCGGGGCTCGTTTAGCTTACAGCCGTGGTCCCCGAGCTCCAATCGCCTCCTGTAGTAGTCAGATGTTACAGCAGCTATTCCACGCGCTATATGTCGAAAATCGAGATTGAAAAAGACTCTATATGGTCTAAAAGATTCCCTGCATTCATGTGGCTACATGCATGTATTATATTTCACGTCGATGTGTGATTTTAAGCCCTTGACATTGGTGTTGCGAATAATAGTAGAATTACCGAAAATGATTCTCACAAGCTACAAACCTAGATAGACAGGACAGATTCATTCAATCCCTTCTGAGATAGGCTGCCAAGCCCAGAGAGAGCGTTTTTAACCGTTTTCTCATTTCCCCCTCCAGCTGGTCTGGCATGACTGTCGAAAAGGGCAAAGATACCGGAGCATGGAATTCATTTCCAGATGTGGCGAAGTTTGACTTGGCCCGGTGCCCTTCAACGTCCACTTGACTCTTGATCTTGGCCGAAATCTGATGTACCAGCCGCTGCACACGATGCAGTTCGCCAAGAACTTGCTGCGCACCCATGTACAACGCATCCTCTTGTAAAGGATCTGGCTCTGGCTCACGAGCCTCAGATGTGACCGCGGCTGTTCCATACGAGTCTATAATCTTGAAAACAATGAGAGACAGAATTGTGAGGAGGTAATTGTCATGAAAGCATGGGCATTGCAGCATGCTTCCAACCGCATCTATCATTTGCTTGTTGGTTTCGATGATCGTATCTAGAAGAGGTACTGGGGTATCTGGTTTGTGATCCTGTTCACTCAGAGCACAAGAACTGCTGGGACGTCCCATATTGGCCTGCTGATGGAACTGTTGCTGCAGCATATGTGTGGCCCGCGTCAGACAGTTGTCGGGTGGTGTTGATGGAGACGTAAGAGGCAGCGAGCGATCGTGCACTTCTTCAATTGGTATAGGGTCGGGAACACTGGGATTCCAGAGTAGGTGGTCGGCAAGGTCGATGTTCAAGTTTGATGGAGAAAAGAGCCCTGTGTCAAGATTCAGAGACTCCGGGGTGGTAGTCGGTGGTGAGACTGCGGATATTTGGTTCGGCATGAACAGCATGTCATAGACAGACGGTGTCGACGCTGTGTTCTGCAATGAAAAGCGTGGTGTTTCAATTGATGAGCCAGTCGATGAAAGAAATTGGCTCAGAAATATATCATCGCTACCAGAGCCTTCGGACGACGTCGCTGAGGAAACGCCAGCATGCGTACTTGCGTTGCTTGTGTTTATGTTATCGCCATTGTTGTTGACCTCGACGTCATTAGTCTTGAGCCAGACATCAAGGTCAAAGCGATCCAGGTTTGAAGTCGATGTGGCAGTGGGAGAAAGTTGAGACGAGTCCACCGGACGGGGATTGCTGTCAAAACGGCGACCCGCACGTTTTGTGGCAAGATACACGCACGTTTCACCACGCTTTACGCAACGTGCACAGGAAGGTTTCTGTTTGTGGCACCTGACTTTTGAGGAAGCACAAGCGTCGCAGCTGTCGCGCAGCTTTGGGGTCGAGGTAGAATTGACCATGGTGAACAGCAACAGAGTGTAATTGATATGCAGCGGGGTTCATCGGGGATAATTGTGCTCTGGTTATCGATACATGTCTCATCAGCAGTGAATAAGCTATATGGAAGTTTTCATGGCTTCAGGGATTGTAAATCTCAGCTATACGTTATCCTCAGCACTTTAATCATTCGAGACGCGGCATGGCGAATACGGTCAGCGATACGAAACACCGTGGGCTGAGAACACGACATACGCCGCTTGGAACTCGGCGTAATCGCTTACATTTTTTCACCGTTCATTGGAAGGATTACAGAAGAGGAGGATAGTAATACTCAAGAATGGTAAGTAGGATGCTGCTCGTAAGCTAGAAATCAAAACTTGATAGCAAACCATAAGACGAGGCAACGGTATCCTTACTTGGATATGGCCGATGCAACGCCTCTTCCACCGCCAAAATTCGGAATTAAGCTCTATTGTTATGACAGATGTTCGCCTTTACTGCTTTCAAAGATAAGCTTATGTCCAAATGCATACATTTCCACTTCCAAACGAATAGCATGGCGTAAAATGATACGGCGAAACAGCGACTGCTTTCCTCAATGGATCCATGGTATAAGTTATCTAGTATCTGGGTGTGTTGTTGAACTTCTATCACCCCGTTGCCGATCTTCAAATCGACTGATAGCGGATGCCCAGACCGAGCAAAGTGGAGTTGGCGGTATGAAGCTGCTTGACGACTGTTAAGCCTCCATGGCCATCCTGGACGCTTTTCACCGTGTCCAATAAGTCTGGTAAGGTCAGATAGGGCGTTCCAGTAATTTGGAGCAGCTGCAAGTCTCGGACTTGAGTCAAGGGTATGGCGTAAGGTAGGACAGGGCCAGTGGTAAGAGGTGTGGCGACAGTGGAAGTCAGGATAAGCACCGCGGCCCTGTTGGCCCGGAGCACACTGAGATGTGCTTGCAGCTCGGCACGGACCTGAATCAAGGTTGTGGTGGTGGTGAGGTTGTTGGTGGCGGAGACCAAGTAACAGTTGGCATCCTTGATCGACTGTGGGGTGCCTGGGTTCCTCTGACAAAGCGTCACGTTGCTTATCTCGCTGACATCACTCGATTGGAGGTTTTTGTTGCCTCGTTTGATAGTATCAGCAGTATTGTGGCCAGAAGATGACTGCAGAATGAAGTGTAGTTTGGGATGTTCCAGAGCGAGCTGCCGAAATCCTGCGTCATCGGCGTTGTGCCCCACCATCACCACTCGACCTCTTCCACCTCCACCGACACCACCACCGCTGATGCCCCCACCCAATGACTGAAACGAAGAGGATGGCGTGGAGGGTGAGATCCGCGGTTCCATCCCAGCCCAGTCCAGTAGCTCGAGAATCTCCGAATCATGAGCGGCGCCTCCCATGGCCGAGACAAAGAAGCGTGGCCACAACCGCTGGACTCTTGGATTCTCCCAGTCCACTCTCAGAGCCGGAAACTCATTGGATGTCATCTTTAGTGATGCTGGCACTGCCGTCTCACAAAGAAACATAGCCGCGTCGAGCTGTGCTGGCCGTTGCACGAAGTTGGCTGAGAGCGGAGTGTGCGCCACGAATCCAATCGTAGGTACTGACAGAAACTGACAAGAGCTCATGAGTGCGGTCACTCTCGAGAGTACTTCTGCCGGTACATCCGCCAGCTCAGCCAGGTCCTGCACTGCCAGACCTTGTTCGGAATCGAGAGGCAGATAGGCCAGCACCTGAAATTTCCCTAGCCAATGCAGACATGCTATCACCTGGCTCTACAGTTCGTAGCGATTGCACCATGTCAGCGCCAAGTATCTCACACGGGGATAGTGAGGGGCAAGGTGTTCGGGGTACCGGTGGCTTGGTAGGGGCCATAAGCCATGCTTATGTGGGAAGAGTGCAGCAAAAGTGAAAGGGGCCTTCTCAAACCTGATAAGCTGCATGCTGTAGAAAGGTAATAGGCTCCATCTGGAACAGAAGTGATTGCACCCCCATAACCATCGATAGAGTCTTTCCTGCGTTCATTGGGCCTTCTCGGCAGTGGTCTGCCAACAATTCAGTCGCCCGAGCCAGTTCTTCTGCGTGATTTGAATTCATTCTGTTTCTCTTTCCTGTAACTGATCTTTCCGGTTCGTGTGTCGTTGCTTGCGGCTCGATTGCTGTGGAGTTTCCGTGCTAGGGATATCTCTGAATTCGTATCATGTTATTCTGCTTCATATAGTCTTCCAGCGCTCGGTGGCAGGACACGTCTGACCATTCAAGCACCATTTCGGTCCTTCGTGCAGCTTCACTTCGCATATTAACCGTGTCCGAAACTAACGCCCTGTAAACACTGTTCGGTCTAGTCCCGACCACCGGTCAGCCTCCCGCCTCCAGGGTAAGCCGCTACGAGCTAGTCGATTCCTGGAAGTTCATCTGACGCAGATATAAGAGCTTCCTGCATGGTCCCCTGCTCATTACCCTCACAGATGATCACATGTGAGCTGATTGAATCGGGGAGCGTCTTGTACTCTGCTTTTCCATCTCCAGACCTTCGCAGTCAAATAGACGAAGAAGAAAGCAGCAGAACAGAGGTACGAATGTGTGAGAATCAGTGAATATCTCGCCTCAATGTACAAGCTTCATGTCTGTGGACTCGGGGCAGCATGTCTAGTCTGGCAAACGCTCATTCTAATCACGTTCAATAAGCCTTTTAGAGGCTCGTCTCCATTGCGACATCATGCTTTCTCCTGTAATACGGTGACTCAGAATTGCGTTTTCAGTACGTATAAATGTGAAACCCATCAAAGAACGCTTGCTATTGTGCTATGAGTGTAGCTTGACCATAACGTTTGCTGATTACAGGATGTCAGCCAACAGATATCGATTTTCAAACTTGTCAAGCCGGTGACGCGAGTACGGTACCCGTGGGGATTATTCGAAGATACATTCAGCGTGATTTATAGGCTGGATTTTGAGTGATCGGACACACAGCGATAGGTTTATAACGACAAACGAACCAAAAAAAATAGGCGATTGCTGAAAGAAAATTGCATTCAGTGTTGAACTGAACTAATTTTTCTTGGAATCTTCATTTTCTATCCATAAACCATGACAAATCCATTGTTGGGGAGGCGTTTTGAGTGTTGACGAAAAAGTCCAATAGGAATCTTCTACGAGCATTCATTGATTGGAGTCAATACGTTCAGCGCTTACTAACATAAAAGTACGTCAAAGAATCAATTCCTTCTCAATTTAGGAATCGCTCTAGCACATAATTTATACACTGCTCTTTCTCTACTGCTTTAGTATAGCATCCTAATAAAGCTTATTAAAAGCCGCCCCTACTGCGTCTAAAAGCTTAAAAATAAATTTTTTAATAACATTTTAAAGCTTTTATTTTTTTTATAATATTAAAAAAAAAAAATTTATACTAGTTTAAAAGTTTTATAAAGTAATAGTTAATATAAGTTAAGTAAATTTTATAAGTAAGTAAATAGTAGCTTATTTACTTTTATAGTATTTATATAGCTATATACTTTAAATAAAGCTTTTATTTAAAATAATATAAAAAATAATTTATTTTTATTATTTTTATATTTTTTTTAAAAATATTATAAATTATTTTTTTAGCTTTATTTTTAAGTTATTATTAAATTTTTTAAAGTTAGCGCTAAGCGTATTAGTATTAGTTTTAGAAAGTTTATTATATAATATAAGTATTAAAGTAAGTATTATAATAAAGTAAATAAAGTTAAATAAAGTTAATTTTTTTAAGTTAAAGTTAAAGTAATTTTATATATAACGTAATCTATTACTAAGACAGCTATATTACTAAGCTAGCTACTTTTGCTTAGCATAGCTATCTTTTTATTTAACACGTTATATTTTAATAAAATAATATAATTTTTACTAAATAAAAAAAAATTAAACTTACTTTTTAAGCTTATAATACTGGTTAATTTAAAAGCTTGTAACGCGCTACTGTAGCCTTTAATATTAAATACTAGTAACTTTCTAATTAACTATATAAAATTACCTTTTAACTTTAAACTATACCTAACTGCTAAAAGCTATCTTTAATAAAGAAGTATATAATTATTTAATATATTTTTAACTTTAATTTATAAAAGTTTTTGCCTAAGCTATATAAAGTTATAAATATAATAGATAAACTACTAAAAGTGTAAAGTAAAAAGCTAGTAAATAAGTGCTAGGCTAAATAATTTATATTATATTTAAATAAGCTTAAAATAGCATTTAATTAAGTAAAGAACTATTAAAAAAGGTTTTAAAAAAATCTTTAAGTTATAAGTAAATAGTTTAAGCTTATAGCTAACGTAAAGGCTAAGTATAGCATTTAAAATAATAATATATATAACTTTAATAAAAGCTAGTTTTAAATAATTATAATTAAGTTAATAAAAGTTATTACTAGTTTAGAGAGGTATACTTAACTAAAACTTATTTAGCTAGGCAATTATAAGTAAGTTATAGTTATTTAAGGCATTTACACTATAAAGTATATAATCTTACTTTTTATTATTTATAAAAGCTGCGTTTACATCTTTACATAGTATAAAAAAATAAATATACTAAATAATTAAAAGCTTTTAGTTTTAAAAAATAGCTAAATAAATAATAAGCTTAGTTTTAAGTAGTTAAAGCACTTTAACGCGTGTATAAAGAGTTAAAAAGTAAAAGTATATAAGTTACTTGTCTTAGACAAGTATAAGAGCTACTTTAACTAGAATTTTAAAAACTACTATAAAAAAATAAAATTATAATAGTTTATATACTCTTTTATTTATTATATATTCTTTAGCTACTTAACATAGTTTACTTTTTATTATTAAAGTAAAAGTACTCTTAGCGCGTATAAAACTTAGTATATTAATATATTTTTTATATTAATAAAAAAAACTTCTTACTAGCATTTAAAAACGCGTTTTTTAATATATTTATAATAAAGAACTATAAAAAAGCCTTTAAGGCAACTAGGCTAGTTTTCTTTAACTTATTAAAAGTTTTAAAATATTTTAAAGTATAATACTAAACCCTTTTAGCACCTTTTTAACTAGATAAGCTATAGTAGTTTAAAATATTAAGTAATACGTATAAATTTAGATTTTAGTTAAAGCTTATATATAATTTAATTACTTAGTTATTTATTATAGTATAAGAAAGCTTTTCTATACTTATAAAAGGTGCTAAGTAGATACTTTATAAAAACGCGCTTAAAGATACCTACATCTATAAGCTTAAAAAGTAATTAAAAAAGATAACTAAGCGTAAAGTATATAAAAGAAAAAAAATTTAAAAAAGTAAAATATTAAAGTATAGTAAGAAAGCTTTACTAGTACTTTTAAAATTACTAAGTATAGCTTAGTTAAAAAAGAAAGCTTAAAGTAGTAAAAGTACTAAAAAAGCTTAACTAAGTATATAGTATTATAAAAATTATAAAAAGCTTAGGCACTACGCTATAATATATTAAAAAGTTATAAAAGTATTTTTTAATTTAGAGCTAAGCAAGCCTAAGAGTAATTTACTAATAAATAATAATAAAAATTAAAGTTAAAAAAGATAAAATAGTTATGCTAAGCAAAAGTAGCTAGCTTAGTAATATAGCTGTCTTAGTAATAGATTACGTTAGTAATAGTTTATAATAAGAAATTTACTAAAATAATAAGTAGTTACTAAAAAAATAAGTAATTTTTACTTTTACTTAAAAGTAAAAATTAAAAACTAAATTTTTTTATTATAAAAGTTATTTTTAAACTATAGCTAAAATAGTAATAAAAACTATAACTATTATTTATTATAATAATAAAATTTTTTAAAGTTTATAATAATATAAAAGTACTAAAAAGACAAAAACTTATAAAAGTATTACTTTTATACATAAAAAACTTATCTTTTTTTATCTATACTATAACTAATTTTATATAAAAAACTTACTTATTAACTTTATTAACTTTCTAAAAATAGTTACTATACTTATTAAGCTAAACTTTTTTTATATTTTTTTTACTTAGTTTTTTAAATAACTAAAATAAGTAAGCACTTTTAGCTCTACCTCTTTAATATAAAAAAGCTTAGATATTTAAATATAATAACTATTATAAAAGAATTTATTAGTAAAATAAGAAACTTTACTTTAAAGCTAATAGAGAATAAGCTGCTCTTACGCACCTAAATAATATAAAAAAAATTAATAATATAACTTTTTTTTATATAAGCTTTTTAGTAAAAAGTAAAAAAAAAAAAAAAGCTAAAGTAAGTGTAAAGAATTTTGAAAATTACTTTTTTTAATAAAAAGTAATATTTAGTAGAATATTAATAACTAAAAAAAATTAAAAGTTAAGTTAAAAAAATAAATATTAAAAGTAAAAGTAATAAAAAAAAATAGTTAAATTTAATAAACTTAAAAAAAACTAAAAATTAAATAAAAAAAATATTAAAAAGTAAAGATAATAGACAGCAATAAATAGTAATAAATAATAATAAGTTAAAAATAAAAAAAGACTATAAACTATAATAAATTATAAACTATTACTTTGCTTTTATAAGAGCTAGTATTATTAGTAATTAATATAATTTAAAAGTATTTACTAGGTAAAAAACTAGTATAAGATCTAATATATATAAAAAAATAAAATAATAAAGTAACGTGTAAATAAAGTATTAAAAAAAGTCAAAAGCACATAAATAAGTTAAAACTAAATAAAGTTAATAAAAGTAAAAAGCTTTATAAAAACTTTACTATAGCTTTTTTTTTATATTAAAAAGTAATAAGCGTACTATAGTTTTTAACTTTAATATTACTAATTTATATATTTTTACTAGATTATTAGAACGTTGTATACGTTACTACGTCAAATGCACTTAATAATTCATACAATCATAGTCATCAGACTTTAAATCGAGTGGTAGTATCCCATATAGTGTGCGACATTATAGTCATCACCGTTATTACGCAAGTTTCCACTAGGGTCCCATATTCTATCTGGTGCAATTTTACTAGCGACTACCTATTTTGTTAGAAAAAGTGCTTCATAGCAGTGCCAACATGCATAATAATTAGGCAGCGAACGCCTTTTACGCCACCTATGCGGAACTTTGTATTCCCCGATAAACACTCTAACTAATGCTCACGGGCATTCAATTGCCTTCTGTATTTCACTAGGCTAGTCTATGACTCTGAACCTCTCTAATGGCTATGCTCTCCAAGGCTGACGTTTCTACCTTATCGACGTAGCCAAGAATCCCGCAATATCAATGCATTGTCCGGACATGAAAAACTTCATTGCAATTATCCGAGCCATGCAGGATGATTGCATTCGTATAGTCTGCATACTCAATTCATTCTCTTACTCCTTTCCCCAATTCTGGGTCAGAAAAAGCATGGACTACCACTCGGGCTATCTTCAAGACTAATGAAACGAACCCCGACAGTAGCACAAGAGTAATACATGCATCTGTTTTGTGTCACATGTCCAGGGAGACTGTTAAGATGACATTAGCACAGCAAAGGATACCAGGTAATGAACAATGTCCAAGACACTCACTATGTTCAGTAAGATCCATGATAGGGTTGTCAAAGCAGCTCTCGCGCGACACAAAGTTTTTGGCTGATAATGAATCATGATCACAATCATTGAAAAATTACTGCAACATTGCCTTTAATTATGGTGCTCACAGGATAGACATTCTAAAATATCTCAGATAAAAGGAGCTATAAGCTGTCAAACAAGGGACTCTTTTGCTGGCAATAATCAAAGATCTCTGAATCTCTAATCCTGCTGAAGTGCCGATCACCCTCACCGGCAGAAGCGATCTTCAAGATTAAGCCGCTATCAAAGACGCTGTGTATCAAGAACGGGGGGAAGGTATCGAGATAGAATGATAGATCGAGGCTCCATCCGCTTTTCCTTTCGAGCCCAGCACCATCAAGTACCCCCGCGCTTGGTTTCTTCGACGAATCTTTCAAGGTCGATCATATCGTGTCTTTTGTCACTATGGACATGAGAGGGGGAGTGCTGATCGCCGAATACGAGGTCCAGACCATCGGGGCTCCCGTCAACTTAACTAATGTAACACGACACCGAGATGAATGTGCATAATCGCTATGGAATGAAGGCGCAGAGAATTGACTCCTTTAATTCGAATGAATTGAAGCCTTCGATGGTATGGCGCATATCTAGAGGCAGCCTTATCGTCATCGAGTAACGTTGAGTAGTTAGGCTCGTAAGACCTTAGCCTGTCTTTCGGGTTTCTCGCTTTCATGGTGTTATTGAAACTGGAGTATCTGGCTTCGCGACGAAACACTGGTGTTCAACATTCAGTCTATGCATTTACGATAATGTGTAACGCCGGATATCGTCTTATCTGGCATGTCACCTTGTTGTAGCACATGTGACGTCAAGCCAGTTCGGAGGTCGGACTACGATTATAATTTGTGCGGACACGAGTCCTCCAAGCGATAATGATCGTTTTGTTAGCAATTACTCTTCTTCTGGTGCAAAGCGCGATGGATAGAAAATCTCCATACCCAGATATGTTGTGCTGTCCAACTCGCTATCCTTGAGTAAGCAGCTAACCCACGTTTCGACTTCTTGCATCTTTCAGCCTCTGATGGCGTGCTGACCTACCGAGTACGCGAAGGCCGTTCTGACAATACGGGCCTCGCTTGTTCGCCCCAATCCATCTTATAAGCGCATAACCCAATACGGGATGATCATGCCCGCAATATCGCGTGGGGATCAATCTCTTGATTTCCGGGGTAGACTGCCACTCGGAGTATCCAAATTCTACAGGAATCCTCGTAATGCTTCGCTCAGCTCCCCGAAACCAAGACTCTCCCTCGGTTCAGACACCGTAGGCGCCTGGGAACTCTCGGGGACATCAGTAAGCTCATTGACCGCTCTTACGAGAGATTTCGCTTGATCTGGAGGACTCTTCATCTAGGGTGATTCGAGTGCGCCGCCTGATTTCATCATATAGCGCACTGGGTAGAGACTTGTCTGCATGCTCCGAAGATACCATTAAGTCCGCTGGTCTTGGGGTGAGATCTTATTCGCAGCCAGTGAGATGATTGTAAGCAGTCTGCAATATCGACGCGTGGATAGAAGGACATTGATCGACAGCGCTGCGCACCGGTGTCGTGAAGACGGCAGCTTCAGCCGAGCAAGCTTTTGGACAAAGCTTGAGTTTGTCCACAAATATCTGCTATTGGGTGCGCGTTATCAGACAGTCCTTCCTTTAGACTGTTTTGAATGAGTGAGACTCAATTGCTGTCGTTAAGTTCAATGCTGAGCGGGACAGACTAAAATGGGGAAGTGATATCATGAAATTCAATAACAGGCTACATTCCCGTCTACAAATGACTTCTTCGGGCTTTGTCTCGAGGAGCAGCGGCATAGCCAAGGTCAGCACAAGTATTGTCCGTGTCTGGTGTAGCGAATATAGCAAATGTTCGGTGTAGACCCTGGTCTATTCCACTTCGACTAGTCAGGCATTCCATCAAGCGACATGAGCAAATTTCAGCATGATTTAGTTCGGGCATGCATTCGGGGCCTGTGCGCTCGGTTTCTGTGTAGATTTAATGCTTTATATTGTTTCTCGAGTATCCAGCTGGTTCTACGATAGCGGCTAGCTGCCACCCCGTAAGCTATCACTAAGCATCTCCATTCGCTTCGCGGAGGGTGGGGGAATTACGTGACTGTACCAGCGCTTACCACTCCAGGCATCATGATAGAATATGACTTGGGATTATGGTAGGGTGGCTAATCAGCGGAACGGTTGAAACAAAACAGCGATATGTTCCTATGGGAGTAATGATTGCGACCTCTCTTCAATGGCTCAACTGCTACGTCCGTACCGCGAAGATTGGAGCTCCATAGGCAATTGCTCTAGGTGTAAACGTACTCAGGCTTGACAAGAACCTGTAAGATCTGACCGTAGCTTTGTCACTCCAAGGGGGCCTCATGCGGCTCAGAGCGATATTGTGGGAGAGATGACTCCTGGATGCATCTTCTCTGCCACGCAAAATGCTTGTGTAGGTGCGAATCACTTACAGTGCAACCAAGTCTCAGAAACCTTCATTTAATCACAGAAAGACGAAGTTTGCATCACTCCGCGAAGCCTTCAAAGAGTGCGATCCGCACCCAATGAATAAAGAACGAGTCAAAAATCCATAGTTTGTTGGAATGTCAGATCATACAAGCACTACAAGGACGCGCAATGACTTGATTCTTGTTTGATTCTTGTTGAATTGCAGTCCTACATACTGATAGTCATTGATGGAATACAAGATACTTCATATGGTCACGATACTCTTATGACTGAGATTGAAATTGAACGTGACATATGGACAAGGAAATCTTCTCACTCAAAAATGGCAAATCAATCGAGCAAGACATGATGAAAGAGGGTAACATGGGTGCAAGGTCCTATCTTCTTGTGACTAATATCCGTGTTATCCAGTAATATGACGAATGCGGGAATTTTCTAGCTGCTTTGCGTTAGTCGGATGCTGAAGAAGGGTCTCCCTCGGTTACCTTACCTTACCACTCGACGTGAGCAGAACCACTCATCACCTGTCTGATCATTGTTAATCAAGTTTCCGTCTCCATCTTTTTTATTTTTAAGTTGGAGTTAAGGTGTTCCTACACACAAAAATCAGTTTTAATAATAGAGATAAGTAAAATAAGCAATTACGATAAAATTAATGCGATATGCCTTTACACAAGCTTAATAAGCAGGGATTAGAGGGCACCCCTTAGCACTAGTCTATAACGGGCTAGAGCCGGAAAACCCGTTTTGTTTTCCGCCCCGTTCTCCCCATCCACGGGAGCCCTTCTTCCCAACAGAAAGACCAAAATCCATGACATCCATCTCCATCAAATACAAGATTCGGACGATTCTTCCAAAGCACGTATGAGAGCTCATTGACCTAGTATGACGACTACACAGACCATCACACTGCAACCGCTTGGTGGTCCCCACCATAGCTCAGCACCAATACAACATGATCAATCTGGATCAACGCGCAGTTCACGGGCGCGGGCGTCACTTCAGTTGGATTCGAGAGTTTCGCCAGCATCCAATCCTGACAGGCAACCGGGGGCCCGTAACAATGCCGCAAGCCTTGAAGACCAAACCTCGCGTCTGCCTTTCCGTCGTCTGATGCTAGTCTACGCTTGCCTTTCGACAACGTACTTTACTTCTGTCCTTGACATCAATTCCGTTGCAAGTGCTCTACCGGTTATCGGGGACTCCTTGAATGCTGGCCCAAGCATCACTTGGGCGGGAACAGCTTATTTGATGGGCCAGGCAGCTTTCCAACCACTATACGGTCGCCTTTCTGACGTATTTGGACGGAAGCCTGTTCTGATGATGTCTCTGGGTTTCATCGCTATCGGGGGTCTTCTTTGTGGATTTGCGCAATCACCTATATGGTTATATATCTGCCGAGCAATCAGCGGTGTAGGTACGTTTTCCAGAAGACGCTACATTTTCATACCAGGTAGCCTGTGCTCAAGGGCCACTCACCCGTGTGCACATCTCTCAAGACAATTTTTACTGACCATGTTCAGGCGGAGGTGGTGTGAGTCGATTTCTATTCCCAAATCTATCGGGGTCAATATGTGTAAAAATGACATTTACACTTTTTGACCGCGGGCCACGATATGTCGAATGAAGCACAAACTAACTTGTCTTCTAGGTCAGCTCGGTCGTACAGATAGTGGTCTCTGATCTAGTCAGTATGCGAGATCGGGGCAAGTATCAAGGGCTTTTGAGCGCAGCTATTGGGTTAGGCGCTTGTACCGGACCCTTCATTGCGGCAGAGATGCTACGCAGGGGGGGCGACTCTTGGAGATGGATTTTCTGGGTACCACCAATTTTGGCCACATTGTGTCTACTGTGTATGTGGTTTCTGCTACCTTTGAAACCGGTCACGGGAAGTTGGCAAGAGAAACTGCGCAAGGTCGATTGGTATGGGTTGATTGTGGCTGTGACCGCGATGATTTTCCTACTGGTGAGTATCGCACTCCTCAACCACTCTCCCGCCATTGTAACGTGAGTGTAGCTCCCCATAAACTCTGGTGGATCGATGTGGCCCTGGAACAGTGCTTTGGTCATTTCCATGCTTTGCATTGGTGCTTTTAGTTGGATTGTCTTCTTTTTCATTCAAAAGCATCTCGCAACTCTGCCCATGATACCACTAGAGCTGTTTTCACGACGCTCTACTCTGGTCCTGCTCCTGCAGGCACCAGCTTATGATTGGGTGTGGCAAGTCGACCTATATTTTCTACCGATATATTTCCAGCAAGTACGGGGCTATACACCGTTGAAAGCGGCCACACTATTGTTGCCATTGTTGATCACCCAGAGCGTTGCGGGCTCTATATCCGGCCCGCTCATGACGAAATTTGCCAGGTAAGTCATAACACAAGCCCCTAGTCAGAGTCGGTTCCGAGATCATCGCTCATTTTAAAACAGATATGGGCCTGTCCTATGGACAGGGTTCGCACTTTGGCTGCTAGGAGTTGGCCTTAAAGTCAACTTCTCACGAACTACATCAACGTGGATTGAGGTATTGTCGTTGATCGTCGAAGGTACCGGAATCGGCTTTGTGCATCAGCCTGGTAAGATTTCATCAAAGCCCCGACGTTCTGCAATTGATCTCAAGAATTGATTTTCCCCGTAGCCCTAGTCGCACTACAAGCTTCATGCAAACCACAGGATCGCGCCGTTGCTACCTCAACGCGCAACTTGATGCGGATGTTGGGTGCTGTAACAGGCTTAGCGGTGAGCACAGCAGTTCAGTATGCTGTCGCGAACTCAGCACTTCCCGGCGGATACACCGCCACGGATCTCAGCGTTACATCGTCTAATGCATTAGCCGAAGCACAGATGAAGGGCGTACGCGCTATCTTCACGATTATGATACCACTCATTGCATTATGTGGAATCGGGTGTTTTTTTATTCCCAATGCAGTGCTGGAGGGAGATGAGAGGCGGAACAATGATAGGGCGTAGAATCCACGACAGTCGTTGCGAATCGGACGAAAGGACCTCTGATATGGACCCAGTACTCGCTCACCTGGAGACTGTAATAGCAGAAAGCAGGCATCGAACCCGTAAACTGCCGTAACTCTCGCCCAGATTCCATTGTCAAGAATGCCATGCATTACCTGAGACCTCAGGAATGACGTGTTTGTACTGTTCGTGTGGCATCCGCCGTCCTATTAGCTGTCGTCTAAATCTACCATGCACAATCCATGGCAATTATGTTCCGCACGTTGACCTAGTCGGAAAAACAAGGGTCGCACCAAGACTCGATCGTACATCTTTTCGAACTGGCAACATGCATTCTGTCACCCTATTTTTCCTGTATACACAGTACTACATGTAGTATAGATCCTCTAATTCCGCGAGAGAAACCCCATAGCAATCCACATTATGTTACCTGGCCTGGTGGTTTTTACCATAGCTAAGAGTTAACGCCTCAGTTCTTAATTTTCGCTTACCAGCCCCCAACACACAGAACAGATGTAGGTTAACATAGCTAAGCGTGAACCTTAGCTTGCTTGTCGCCAAGTCTGAAACCCCCAGATTCTACCCACACAACTGTCCATTTCAAGAAGGTGAAGAAGCGATCATGCGCCCTCGTGAGACTTCCCCGCGTTTGCATCCTTGGCGTCAAGAGCATGAGTGCAAGAAAAAGTACGTACATATAACGATGCCCCTCTATCGCATTTCCTTCAGTATCAAAGGATCTTTTGCTGCGCTGCGTATCGTTCGTATAATCCGAAATTTACAGAATCTTTGCTATAGACATGGGGTGGTCATGGAAAACGCATGCCTCAGGCACGCAGGATCCTCCCGAGGTTCGCAACTGGAGAATACATTTGATCGCACTTGTTGCGTCAATGTCAGCTCTCGCAAGTATGGCTATCTTTGGACATTCTTTGAGATTCTCATCATGCTCACATATCGCTCACAGTGGGTTACGACACCGCGGTCATCGGTGGAACTATGGCCTTGAATTCGTTCATCCGCGACTTCGATTTGGATAGCATCTCAAAATCCCAACGTGACACCGTTCAGGGCAATATCGTCTCGACATTCCAGGTCAGTCTGGTGGTGAACTACTCTTCAAGCATCTGTTAATCTGACAACCCAGGCTGGCTGTTTTTTCGGAGCACTGTTCACTTTTCCACTTGCGGAGAAGATCGGCCGAAGGAAGACTATCATGATGGCCTCCCTTGTCTTCCTTCTTGGTGGCACTTTGATGACTGCGTCACGAGGAAGCCTGAATTTGATTTATGCTGGCCGTGCTATCGCTGGACTAGGCATCGGAGCTTCCTCGCTTACCGTGCCAGTCTACATTGCTGAAACCGCACCTCCATCCATTCGTGGCCGCCTTGTGGGTATCTTCGAGATCGCATCCCAAGGCGGTGGTATGCTTGGCTTTTGGATCAACTACGCTACCGACCAAACAATCGACGTGAGGAAACAATCTCAATGGATTGTTCCTCTCGCGATCCAGCTGTTCCCGGGCGTCATGCTCTTCTTAGGCATGTTTTGGTGTCCAGAGTCTCCGCGATGGCTCGCCAGAGGCGACAATTTCGAGGGCGCAGAAAAGATCCTGACCAGTCTGCGTGGACTTCCTTCTTCTCATCCTTATATCCTTCATGAGATGGGAGAGATCCGCCAGCAAGTCGAGCTCCGCAGCACGAACCACATGAGCAAGTCCGCTCAGTTCAAGAAACTTTTCCAGAAAGGAACACGCAACCGTCTAGGGCTTGGATTGGCTCTCATGTTTCTTCAATCGTTTACGGGAGTGAGTCACCATTGTGATAACCGCGCAGGAATTTGCTGATCACACCACAGGTGAACATCATTACTTATTACGCTCCCCGTATTTTTGAGACTCTTGGGGTTCCTAGCACTTCATTGAAGCTATTTTCGACAGGTTTCTACGGAATTGCGAAGACCCTGGGCATGATCACCTTCACCTTTGTGGTAGTCGAGCGCGTTGGTCGAAGGAAGGGACTTGTCTGGGGCGCTGCTCTGGGATGTATTCCCATGTGGTACGTGTTGAGACAAGTACGCGCGGATGTACAGGAAAAGCTAACTTCGAAAGGTACATCGGTGGCTACGTGATGCGCGCCGATCCAGCAGGTGCTGCTGCGCGTGGAATCGTCAACCGAGATGGCTGGGGTTATCTAGCCATGGTTTGCGTTTATCTGAATGGTTTCATCATATGTGCCACATGGTAAGTCTCCCTGCACCTCCAAGTTGAAGTCGGTTTTGGCATATTACGTGGAAAATATCCAAAGGTTCCGCTTCTGGGAGTGGTGAATTGCCGACGAACATACGTTTGAATTGAGCTAACAATTTTCTTAGGCAAGGTGTACGTATACTCCACACGACTATCTGCGATCAACTCTGCCTGATCTCCTGGGCCCACCCGTTATCCCTTGAAACATTGATAAATGTTGCTGACTCGAAACCTTCAAACATAGATTACGTGGACTTACGCGAGTGAAATCTTCCCGCTCGATATCAGAATGCTTTGCGTGTCACTCACTACTGTACGTATCACCTTTCTTGATACCTGGCAGAGAACTTATTGTGTACATTCAATCTCTTGTTTTGATGCACAAGAAATCCGGGGACACAATGAATCCGCAAAGCCCCAGCGGCCCTCTCCCTAATCTTTACCGAGTTTGACTAACTTTATTATGTAGGCCGACACATGGCTAGGTTCATTCATCATCGCACGCAGCACACCCTACATGATTTCCGATCTAGGTTACGGCGCCTATTTCTTCTTTTCCAGCATACTGGTCTGCATGGGAGTCTGGGCATTCTTCTTCGTTCCCGAGACCAAAGGTATCTCACTGGAAGAGATGGATATTTTGTTCGCCAAACCCGTGCATAAAGCTGTCTGGGCGCAGCTCCGCGGAAAACCAATCATTGACGATCAAGTCGCTTCCGGTAACACGAGAAAGAGCGCCGATTCCAGCGTCGTTGAGAAGGATACGGGCGTGGATAAGTTCGAGGTCATTGAAGAACGCAAGAATGCGCTTTAACATCTAAGCGATGTGGGTTTCGAGTGGATCGCAGGTATCCACCGTTTAAGCTTTATGACGCTTGGACGATGGCGATTCACAAGAACGAAGGCAATGTGGCAGGAATTTCAACGCAGTGCGAATGCGTGCGCAAATAGATATTGAGCTTTTCTTGCCGTGATTTTGGGGTACAGTCACCTCTCTCCGTTCAGCCTCTATGTAGCTCGAACAAATCATGATTCACGAGACAGCAATTCCTCCATTTCCCGACTGACATGTGAGTCACTTTCACGTGTCAAGACTTCTAAACACCCCATTATTCCCGATTGAAGTAAATCTAGATCACTCATCTGCGTTGATACCCATTGAATTTGACAGTGTCCAAGGGTTTATCGTCGACTACACCTGAATTGATGCCCTCGCTCCAAAGATCGTTGAATGCACCTACACTCCGGATACCTCAGCTCCTAAACGCGCTAACGCATGAACATGTAACCCTTCGCATGTTGAACTATATATATTTGCTGGGCCCTAAATTCTAATAAGTGGTGCGATGATGTCCTGGCCCAGCAGGATGAGGCAATGATTTCGCATCGGACTGAACAGAGCCGCAACAGCGTGCCACAAATCACCTAGCAGGATGATTACTGCCCCTCTATATTATTGGACGCGGATATCCAGTTTCCTTGCGGACCGATAGCATGTGTCTCAAAGCAGCTGCGTACTGTGGCTGGTACACCCCATCCGTGCTAGCATGACTGTCCCCAGTTAGAGCAGCAGCGCCTGAAACCTTCAGCCTGCCAAAAGCAGTTCATCGCCATCGCAAACCTTCAATGGCGACGAGGAAACGCCTGCGACGACGGGTCTAAAACGTTCGACGCGAAACAAGATCTCCCTGTTTGAGACATATGAAAAAAGCTTAAATGTGTTAAGCTCGCGTCCAGATTGGTGGTTTCACTAAGAGACTGCTGGGCACAGCGGTCTGACATGCTTGGTAGTAGACCTTCCAAATAGGTTCGGATATTCCTCAGTGCCGTAACTTAGCCACGCATGGTTTGCGTAACTCTCTATAAGATCTCCTGTTATAGACGCTCACTTGGAGAGATGATTCCAACTGTTCGTTCAATCTCAGCAGGCTGGTCATGCTGTTTTTTTTTTTTTTTGCTTTACAAAACTTAGATATCCATCGTTTTAGTTTCTCTTCATCCAACATGAACGCTTCTGCCTCGATCCGAAAAGCGTATGTCCGCCAGTCGATGGCGACAATGCAGCCACTGGGCATACAAAATATCACGACCATTCCTCAAGCACGTCCAGTCGACGAGGAAAAATTACGAAACTTCAAACCAGTCGACTACATCGAACACCGAAATCAGTGCAGGACTGAAAAACTGTCACCGGGCCCCTTCTACGACCTGCAGGGAATGGAGGCTGCCATGTTCAATACACCGAGCATAAGCGAGGTGCGAAGGGCACGGTTCCAGAAAATGTTCACCGTTATCCCATATCGCGATCCAATCTACCTGGTGGCAGTTATCTTCCTCATTGGAAGTTTAGATTTGGTCATCAATGCTTTCCTCGATCTTGTACCTCACGCTCCCCCACCCAACGCTCTGGAGGCCAGAGAGGTAATGCCTGAGCCTATGATGGAAACAGAAGAGCCAATTTCTGTACCGATCACCGTGCTTATAGGATCCATTGCTTTCTTTGTAGCTGGTATCTTCGACACGTTTAGCGCTTTGAACGCAGAGCACGGAACATTTGAAATGGACGGAAAGGGCTCCGACAAGGCAAAGTTCAAGCCCGCGTTACTGGGGACGCCCGAGTTTAAGTGGATACCCGACTGGGCCAAGTTCATTGAGCTCACCGCAACCAACATTGCTTTCCAAGCTGGGCTTATCGTGCTGTTTGGTGGAATCATCTTCATGTTCGCTGGCATCGTTGATTTCCCCGGTGTCATTCAGGAGACATCACCCTTTTTCAATGCGGTCGTGTTTGGCCCGCAGATTATACACGGCCTTCTATTCTTTGTCGCGAATGCCATGCTGGCGCTCAGTGAGCAGAAAAGGTGGTGGGAGCCAAAACTGGATGATCCGGATTGGACAGGGGCGGTCTTGAACACCATCGGGGGTCTTAGCTTCATGTTGGCAGGTATTTTCCTTCTGGAAAAGGATCAAATAGCTGCTGCCATATCCGAATTGATTGGGAGTATGATGTTTGCGTTAGGGAGTCTGTTGAGGCTCTACGTCGTGATGGAGATTTATTGATCGACTCACGAGTATTATCATGGTCAGGTACTATTGGGTTAATAATCTTAATTGTAATACAACACTTGCCGATACCATGGGCTATCAATCGATTAACGAATCTACTTGGAAAAGGGGAATCGCAGCATGTGTAAATCATCTTGGTATGCTTTCTTTGGCGTGAATTCGGTCCGAATACGATATGGGCTGAGGAATGGAGTACAAAACGCGCCATCTACATAATGAGGTGGGATAATGCGAATTATCTATGTACCCATTTGGCAAATCGCCGAGCATCGACCAAAATACAGAGATGACCGCATCATGCCAAGACTTCTTACACAACCCCCACATAAAACCGTTAACCCACCTCGCTCCCGCGTAGTTCCAAAGGCAGCCTAACGCTATCCACCCTTCTTACGAAGCACCCAGTTCTTTGATATCAACATCAGCCGCTGTGTTGAAGGGGAGCAAATTCAATCTCAACTATCCCCAGTATCTACAAAATGCCTTCCAAAGCATCAACAAAAGCCACGCCGACAGATGGCTACTCCGTCATCCGCACGGCCTTCCTCCTCGAAGCGATCGCCAACCTTACCGCTTTACCCTTGATCACACATACAGAGCAAACGCTCTCTTTCCTTCTAGACAACCAGAAAGACGTCAACTCGGCATTCGTCTTCTTCGTGCGTCTCTTCAGCGTATGCGTCATTGGTCCCCTCTCCACGGCGCTTTTTATCGGCTCGACCAATACTCGCAGTGGCATCGGTAGCCGCAAAGCAACTTACTCGATGATCGCCGTTAGCGAGATCCTCGCTATCCTCGTTTTGGCAGCGGAAGTTGCGCAAGAGGGAGGAAGGGCTCCTGCTATCAGCGCTCAGACAGCGGGAGCGAGTGCTGCGTTCTTCGGGAGCATGCTGTTGTGGAGGATATATGTGTTGTTTGTGAAGCCGGACATGCTTTTGAAATGAGCGAGTACGGGGGAAGCGGAATGGTTGATCAAATCACCCCGATTAAAATGGTACATGAGGGTTTCCTCCTCCTCTTGCTTTTTGCGGAACGAATATGGCAATGGAAAAAATGGGCTTTGATGTGCAAAGGGGTGCCATTGGTTCCTGCGAAGGTTTGCAGGTTAAGCGTTCACATAATTAGATGCGATTCAACAGCATGGAGATCAATGTGTATGGGGATCGAAGCTTGGGTTTAGCCTTTAAATCACCAATCATGCACATGGGCCCATGGCTTTACATAGCTTACAAAAAAACATACAGTAACATACATATACTTGCTATGTCAGGGCTCGGAATACTCAGACTCTTTCGCAGAAATGATGAAACCCGTGGTCAGGTACGCTGACAAAAATTCTATGACGTCAAGAGCCTTTTCGTAAGCTGGCCCGCCCTTTCGCATCCGCGTGTAGCAGAAGCGAATGCGAAATTAGCACCATTTGCAGCATCATTTCTTGAACCAAATATGCAAATCCGTAGCGCCTTGGTCCACGAGGTGATCTGATCAAGGGGAAGCAAAAATCTATAAAGGGTTCGCAAAGGAACCACACCATGTTGCATGTCGACACCAATTTACGCCTTTAGGTCTCGTCTCTCTAACTATCGCTCCTGACCACTAGCAGTATGCACACCTCTACATTGTTCATCCATGCGCTCAACACATGCATTGGCTGCCTTTGCGCGGCTATTCTGGGCTTGACGGCGCACAGCGTGGCTCTCAAGGACAAAGTTGAAGACGAGATACCCCGAGATGCAACGTCTATCGGCATGAGTCTGCTGTTCTGGCCTGGAGTAGGCGGCATCGTCGACGCTTTGCTGTTTGCTCTTGTTTGTATTCTGTGGCACTCCAAGCGCGGCCATGTAAGTTACACTTCCAAGATGATGTTTGCACAAGCTGATTGAAGCTAGCGCTCAGATCGAGCTTACAGGAACACCGCCTTGTTCGTCGCTGCTTTCATATTCGTTCGACCTTTTGTCGCTCTTGTGTACACTTTTGTCAATCAGGGCCAAGCGCATTCTGGTTCGAGTCACTTGACTGTGGAGGCATGGGCGTGCGATGCGAACGAACAGGATCTTTGCAAAAGCTTGAGAGCGGCACGATATCTGCAGATCCCAGTACTGGTGCTGAGTGTTCTCTTTCTCGGTCTGGTGATCTGGCAATTCATCTTCACGGATCGCAAACAACGGGCTGCTACAGGCATCACACTGCAAACTGAAGAGAGGGACGCAGAGGACTTGAAGTCATGATGGTCATACATTTCTTGATCTAATCAATTGCAATCTGTCGAAAGCAACTGGACATGTCGAGTTGCAGCCATCTATGCCTTCACCACCCTCCTGAAGCCCTGCTTCTCGACTTGAGCCTGGGCAGCGGCAATGGTGGCTTGCGCATTCGGGTCATCGAAACCGCAGCCATTCTTTCCGGCCTGGAACGCAGCTACCTCGCCTGAGCAGATGCCAACGCCGGACAAATCTGCGCAGCATCCCGAGCTGCAATCGGCATCGGAAACGCAGCCACCCGTGATGAACTGGGAGCTGTCGCCCTGTCCAACGTTCTTAGCGCCAGCGAGGTTGACCGTCAGCTGGGCGGTGCTGACGGCGACGACTGCGAAATGTTAGCTATTACAGTCTCCAGCGGTTCTGTTCAGATAACGAAGAACGTACGAGCGAAGAAAGCGGCGACGGTGAAACGCATTTTGGATGTTGTTGATGGGTATCTTGGGAATGAAAAGCTGTGAATGAACGATGTCGTCTTTTTCGAGATTTGGAATTAAATGATAGTAAAGATGCTCAAAAACGACGCCAGGTCGGTATGCGAGATGCAGAGAATAGAAGCTTGTTGGAATGATGGAATTGAAGACGAGGATGATAGAATTCTCGAAGACTTAGCAGGTCCATTTATATTTGACAGCACATGGCACCCTATTGATGTTGTGATTCATGAGGGATCATGCTGGGATTTCGGAAGCTAGCGTTCCCTATGCGATCGTCTACAATCGAGCCGCACAGGGCGATAACATGGGCGGAATAAGGCGACTGTGCACCGCGGGAGCCGTTGCAAAGGCGGAGCATCCCTATTCTTCCAGTTTCAACTTCGCGTCTGGCCGTCAGGCAGTTCCACAGGCAGAGTCGGTCGTGGATAATGCAGGCTTCGGGTGACCAATCAGAGATGAGGATTTGGTATACGCCAGCCATATGCGACATGTCGGAGAGTCTGACGCCAAGCGTTTGAAAGTCACTCACGTGATCTCCTGTGCTCAGCACTTCGATGTTGCATAACGTCAGGTTATCAGTCGAATTGCCGATGCTTGACACTTTGGACATGAGCATTGATGAAATGACGTGAATGCCAAAGCTTTTAAGCTTACGGTTGCGACTAGCTTCCGAGGAAAATGGCAGCCGTGCCGCATGCTTGATCGAACCCAACGTTGAACGGTACACCGCTTTTCACTCGAACGCATGCGCATATCACACGGTCAGCATTGGCATGCATATGACTGGAGTGGGAAAGGAGTCTCCTTGTTTTCCATCCATTGCGAAGAGGAAATTCGCCTTTGATAGACTTCTTCTCTATTCGACTCCCTGGCGTGGTTTTCCCAGACACCCAAAAACGACTTCGATTAGTCGCGGCGACCACTCAGCACTCAATTCGTCCCACGCAACCACAGAAGGTTATTCTTTTCCGGATCCATCATGTCAAAGCGAGCTCTCCGCGGGGTCTATGTTCAACGATGTCGAAAATATGGAAGGAGAACCAGTTCAGAGAGCTAGAGGGAGCTTGCTTTCTATCGGCTCGTGTGTTCGCGGCAGTTGATCATGACTAAACAAGAACCAATAACCGCTCTCCGACATCATACCTCAGGACAAAGTACATGTACCTCACGACATCATTTCCAGCTAAGAATCTTGAATTGGCGGCGATAAGGTCCTTTGTGCCTCTACCAATGCTACTTACCCCGCTTCCTCCACCTCTCCAACCGCCTTGGCAGGCACCCTATCAAGAAGGAGGCGAAGATCTGAAGAAAAACAAACAAAGTTTATAATGTTAGGAGGTACCCGTGGCAAAGTGGCCATCGGCCTCCAATCAACATGTTTTCACTGTCGCTGGTCTTGATGCTTGGAGTGAGCGCTCAGAATGTCGACTATTCGCAGTTTGTGAATCCATTCATTGGGTCTGAAGGAGCCATCTCGGGATATGCTTGTATGTTGAACAACAAAGATGACATCATCGCGCAGCCTTCTCCAAAGCTATCGTAACTGACTGATTTAGTTGGTGGTGGAGATATCTTTATTGGAGGTGTGCTCCCATTTGGGATGGTGAAGCTGGGTGAGTACGGCATAGCTCGTTTGCACCAGCGGCATTGATCACTAATGAACGCAATCCACATCAGGCATCGATACTTATGAAGAGCCTCTCAACCAAAGCGCGCTCAACGGCGGATGGACACCCCAAGGCAAAGTCACAGGCATTAGCCTGATGCATGAGTCTGGCACCGGAGGAGGGCCCAAATATGGATTTCCTGCGCAGATGCCGTTGACGACCATCGAGGCACCCGTCAATGTTCTGGATAATTTAACTTACTGGCAGACGAGGGTAAGTGATAGGCACTAGACCAACGAGACTGGGCTGACAAAGTAAGGTTGGCGAAGATGAAGCGAGCGTGGGGTACTTCAAGACAGAATTTGAATCCAACATCACGGTTGAGCTTTCAGCATCGCGACACGCGGGGCTACACCAGTATACATTTCCATCGGCCTCGGAGAAACATGTGCTGGTCGACTTTTCGCACTATCTCCCGCATCCGACGCGGTCTTGGGACTCTCAATTCTACACCGGCGGTGAAATTGAAATCCAGCCCAACTCTTCGATATACACTGGCTACACGTCCATCGCCAACGGATGGTGTTTAGGTCCTCCTGTCACTGTGTTCGTCTGTGGTGAGTTCGACTCGCCACCTGATCACGCAACGGCGTTCAAAGGTAGGAACACGTTTCCCGTGGGTCGTCACTTTCGATCTTTTGGTAATTCTACGACCCCGAACGCCACCTTCACGGGTGCTAGCGCGCGATCAGGGCCTCAAAGCGACCGCGTTGGCGCTGTTTTCTCGTGGAACAATACCGACGACTCTTCCACGATCAAGTCGCGCGTCGGCATCTCATTTATTTCGGTCAGCAAGGCATGCGAGTACAAGAACCAGGAACTCTCATGGTCTATCGAGGAAACCACTCAAGCCGCACGCGACGAGTGGAATCGCGACGTCTTCTCCAAGATTCGCGCCGATGTTTCGGAGCGAGCGAATAAAACTAGACTGGCGTTGCTATACTCGAGTCTGTACTTCATGCATCTCATCCCCAGCGAGCGCGTGGGCGAGAATCCGCTATGGGAGTCGGACGAACCGTACTGGGATGACTTTTACACCATGTGGGATCTGTTCCGCAACCAAGTGTCACTCTGGCACCTCATCCAGCCTACTTACTATGAATCTATGATTCGTTCGCTCATAGACATGTTCAAACACGAAGGTTTCTTGCCTGATGGCAGATCGGGAAATTACAACGGATTGGTGCAGGGTGGATCAAACGCAGATAATGTCTTTGCCGACGCCTACGTCAAGGGCCTGCGAGGCAACATCAACTGGACGGAAGGATACGCCGCTGTGAAGAAGAACGCCGAGGTTCTTCCTTTCTTCGACCAAAACCCAGTGGATCCACAAGGCTCATTGAAAGAGGGTCGCTCCGCGCTCGACGATTGGATACCGTTAGGTTACGTCTCCGCGGATCGCAATTCTCGTGCTGTATCGAAGACTGTCGAGTATGCCTTGAACGACTTCGCCGTGTCGCAGATTGCAGCTGGTGAGGCACCGGGCGACCGCGAGAAATACCTACAGCGTTCGTCCGGGTGGCAGTTGAGCTGGGATCCAGAAGCCACAGCCCGCAACTTCTCGGGATTCGTCATGCCGCGATACTCGAATGGAACTTTCCACAAGACATACAACATCACCAACTGCGGCGATTGCAATTGGTCCGACGAATCTTACGAAGGCACCGCTTTCGGTAAGTTTCCTCCAAATTCCACCTATTCGATACAAGCAGTTAACAAGAACCCAGAATACTCCTTCGTCATTCCCCATGACGTCGAACGAATGATCGAGCTGATGGGCGGCGCGACACACTTCGAAACGCGACTGGACTACGTCTTCCAACCCAACACCTCGGGCGTCGATCTCGGCGTAAACGGGCTGGGTATCACCACAATCAACAACATCGCAAACGAGCCAGACTTCCAAACCCCATACTTGTACAACTACCTCAACAAACAGTGGAAATCGGTCGAGCGCTCGCGCCAGCTAGCCACCGATTTCTACTTCAACAGCTCGAACGGGATACCGGGGAATTCGGATGCGGGTGCGTTGAACTGCTGGTTGATTTGGCAGATGCTGGGACTATACCCGATTGTGACTACGCCGGTTTACCTGCTTGAGTCGCCGTGGTTCGAGGATGTTAATATCACTGTAAATCATGATAAGACATTGCGGATCAGGGCGGAGGGGTTGGATGATGGGGATGGCAAGCAAGGATACTACGTTCAAGGCGTGAGCATCAACGGACAATCTTGGGATAAGAATTGGTTCGAGCACGAGGATGCGGGTGGTATCATGACCAACGGAGGAGAAATCTTGTTCAGCTTGGGGACGGAGCAGAAGGTCTGGGAAACGGGAGAGGTTCCTCCTTCGCCGGGTCATAGGGTAGTTGATGTGGGCATGTCGTAGCCAGCCAGCCTAGGGAACGACCACTGGTTCTTCCAGTGTAGCGAAGGAAATAGTAATACGAATTCATGACATGCAGTAAAACGCGGTGATTCTTTGAATTTGTCAGAAGCGGTGCCTTGAATATATGCAAAACTATTCGAGAAGGTCCAGTCGTGAGTACGTACTAGGTAGGTAGTCGATAGGGTTCCTAACATTGACGGCATCTCATTGGCCACATGGTAATTAATGCACATCCATGTCCGTAATAGGGCGATTACCTTCCTAATCAATCACAACCACGCACGCGCGCGAGACTCCTGAGTGGCAACCAGCAAGAATGCTGAACCACATGTTATTTGCACGTAGTCACGAGCTGCGTATAACATCCACCGCCCTCGCCCTGTGCGCGTTGGCGTCTTTCTCTTCCTACCTTCATTCTGTCCTGTTATGGTGAAGCGATGCAGATACCTCGCCACTTTTCCATATTTGCGACAGCGCTTTTTCTAGGCGAGCTGGCTGTGGGAGAGATAGCTGGGGCTGCGACAGGATGTGGTACACGGCAGTTCTTGCCGGGGGTGACGCAGTATCGATTTGGGCTTCAAAGTGCTGGGAAGGAGAGAAGCTACGGGTACCACTTACCGTCGGGGTACGACGAGAATAAGAAATACCCTGTAAGAACAAGACAAGACTTGATATGTTGCGAGTAACAAAATCCGGTGTTGATAATTGGATAGGTCGTTGTCGGCTTCCACGGTTCCAGCAGTATCGGGCTGTTCTTCGAACTGGATTCCAAAATGAGTGAATCCCGGTATAGCGACCAAGTACGCAGCATCTCCCCTAACAAAAAACTGCGATGGCAAGCTCACTGAAAAAGAAAATCATGATATACCCAAACGGAATCGACGGCAGTTGGGCCGGGCCAAGCTACCACAGCAACACCAGCTCGACCATATCCGAAGACATTCAATTCATATCCGACCTCATCGTCGACGTGAAGAAAAGCTTCTGCGTGGACGACACAAAAGTATTTGGCGTTGGGATGTCGAATGGAGGCGGATTCATCGGTACGCTGGCCTGCGATGCACTGGGGAGTAAACTATTCAATGCTCTGGCGGCGCACTCGGGAGCTTTCTACACGGATGTCAATGGTCCGGATAACGGATGCGCTCCTGATCCATCTGCTTTGCCCATTCCGATTCTGGAGATCCACGGCGCGGCGGACAGCACTGTCAAGTATGAAGGCGGACAGGGCGATGGAGGGAGCCAACCTCCTATATCCTCGTGGTTACAGTGGTGGGCGGAACGGAATCAGTGTGGCTCTCCTGCTTCAGAAGTTATCGTGGATGGGAAAGTGCAGCATTTGACTTGGACGTGTGGGGGGACCCAGGAGCTTCTGGAGCATTTCAAGGTGGAAGGGCTAGGGCATTGCTGGGCCGACACGGAGATCAATCTAAGCCAGATAAGTGTACCGCAGGGACCTACGGTGGTGAAGGCGAGCGAGATGGTCATGGATTTTTTCGACCGAGTGGGCGGCGCGGGCTTATGAGATGAGATGGATACTATTCGTTGACTTGGTTCTCTACGATGATGGCTGAGTTGCCTGGACGATGCCACGCGTAAACAAACCGCGGCTGGGTGGTTCGGGTACTATTGCGACGCGACATCGTGTCTCCCCCCTCAAACTTGGATCTAACTGATTTTCTGTGGTCAATAACTTGATTTTTGATTTGGTTCAATGTGCGGCGCCTTGCGCAATGCAATAGTAGTCCTGATTGTTGAAGCCTGTCTGGTGGGGATGTCCGAGGCGTGCACTCCTCCACCAATCAATGCATGCATCCTATCAAAGGTATAACGACGTGTCACTGGCTCAATGGTCCACACGATCTTGATGAATACTTCATAAAAGACAATTAAACAAATATCCCATCGCAAAAAAGAAGATCAAATTGTAGTAGCAAAGGCCGCCTTGCACGCAGAGAAGCCAGATGCACGGGCGCGCATCACCAAAACCCACCTCACCACCCAACCACTTCCACAAACCCAATCTATACAGGCGCCTATAAGTCTGTGCCTGCGCATGCAAACAAGTAATCCTCAATCCCTAATGCATTCAAAAAATTACCATAGCAATAAACCACGTACGTCAACACCAAATCCATGCATATGTGTTTCACCCTCGACAATTCCCAGCCCGGCCAGCCACATGGTGAAGTTCCCAGCCACACGGGGGGCCAACGCGCCATTTCGTCCCAACCACCCACCCCGCGAAGGCAAGCAACCCACCAACCCCCTCCTCTACAAAATGTCTCTTCGTCCCACACTTTTGTTGAGTCGTACAATATCCTCGCATTACATTACTCACTCTTGATTTTTTTTTAAACATTCTTCTGCAAAGGTTTTTTTCTTAGTTCTTTGGAAAAAGAGTCAAGTGTCCCATCGCCAATCGAATCGACTCGAGGGATATCGTTACGGTCGGGAAGGAAGCTTGCATACGCATACGCACGTCGCATCGCACGGCTAGCAGCAGCATTACCCAACATTTGTTCTCGTTCAGCCCGAGAATAAGAACAAAAAAACTATTACCACCGTCTCCACTCAACTCCCCCCCATCTCTCGATCAATCCATCAATCAATCTCGTAAGTCTATCTTTCTACCATGTATCTATCAAACCCTCCACCATCTCATACCTAACACCACCCTTCTAGACCCCCCAGCTCTTCTCAACCCTTTGCACCAACAACCCTTCCGCAACAATGAAGCGCAACGTCGTCATCTTCCTCATCATCCTCATCCTCTTCATCCTCATCGCCCTCATCGCCTACGGCATCTACTACGTGCAAACCCGCATGTCCGTCGGCGGCTCCGGTTCCTCGGTCACGGAGATGTCGGAGGCCTGATTGGGTTTTTTTCTCCATCTTTTCCTTTTCTTTTTATTCGAACCTCGAATATATTTTGACGACGACGATTTATTTTTTTGCGCAACGTTGCACATGCATCTTTCATGATTGCGGAATGGCCGATTGGGAACGAAGAGAAATGAGTAATCAGAGGAAAGTCCTACGATCAAAAATATGGGCTGGCATTTGGGAATGGAGTTCATTTTGTTTTGTTTTGTATTGTTTTGTTTCCTCCCTTTCAGGGAAGGGATTGGGTTGGAATGGCGTTTACTGGGAATTCGTTCGCCTATTGTTCGATGCTGACGAGGGAGAGAGAGACAGAGAGAGAGAGATTGTATATCGCTAGAGAGAGATGGAGAGGAGAGCATGACATTGCGTCGCAACTTTTTATTTTCCGCGGAAAGATGAGCTTACATAGTTAGATTGAGCTCCGGATACCCTTCTTTCTATACTATTATTACATATTTGTTCGGATGAAGATCATAACTTCTTTCCTACATGTGCCCGAGTGAACAGATCCATCCCAACACAGATACAACTACACTTAATTTATCTATCCATTTTCATTTTTCCCATGCATCATTGAGATCTGCAGACTATCCTCTCATGCTAGATAGACTTTTTATTTACACATCGATAGATGACGGAGAGAAATGCACATGGTGCGTGTAGTGATACCCAGATAAAGCGCATAGAGCTTGTCCTTCCACCTTCGAAGGTGGTCCGTCCGTTCATTCCGCGCACGTTGAACAAGCGATAACATCTTGGGGGTGCAGTGTGCTCCAGGAGGAAGAGCAAGCAGAGTGAACCTTTTCAATGAACGCCATGCCGGGACTCCATTGCCCAAGTTGTATCTCATTTCCCCCGCCCCAAATGTATAATGCCGGAAGAAAGCAAAGCCTATAAAACACATTTCGGTTTCCAATCGGAATACGAAGACACAGAGTTCCACTGTAAGAAAAAAGAATCTCGTTTTGATTTGCATATCGCAAAACGCTAGAGCTGCATGATGGACGGGGAATAGGGCGAAGATGGTATGTTGCCGCGCGCGGTGGCGCGTTGTATAACGCTTGGTGGGCTTAGTCGATGTCTTTCATGGCGGAATCACCATTTGCTCGGTCATTCGGTTCGTCATGGTTGAATACTAGGTGGCTCTCGTAGTAATGGAGCATCTATAGCTGTTTAGCATGCAGTTGCGGGATAGAGGCCAGGGTATGTTCCGAACCTTTTGCGGGCATTTTTGGTAGACGTGGGCAAGGGGGTGCTGCGTTTTCTTTCGATTGCTCCACCTCAGATAGGCAAACCGCTGGTACTTGCCAGTGGTTGGGTCGGCGAGTTCCTCGACAGTCTCGACGTAATCGACCTCGGTCTCCCACGATCCTTTCGGCGGTTCCCATACTTTCTTCTGCTTTACGCGTTTGTTGGGAACAACTGGTGTTGCTGATTCTGAATCCGCGGCCGACTTTCTCCCCTTGCGCTTGTTGGTCGGAGGAGCAGGGTCGCCACCAATCGAGTTATGGTACTCCTCTAGCACGTCTTTGGCGCCGTCTCTATGCCTTCATCAGTCGCATGTATCGAAGAACGATGTGCTGCGAGCCTTACAAGTTGTCGCGAGGTTCCCAGGTGCGATCTGATGGATCATCGTAGCCCAGCCACTGCACTTCATACAAGATCTTTTGGCCTTTCTGTTCTCGTAAGCCTCCATCCGGTCGGCGCAATCCATTCCATGGGTACATACTCCTTTGTGCGATAGAATCTTCTCTACAACGAATCTGTCGCGCGCGTCAGAAAAGGATTGGGGGGTTGGATCCCCATCGGAATGGTTAGAGGTATACGCACTCGTCCTCGTCCTCGTCTTCGGAACCCTCATCGTCGGTCGGGACGGCGTCTGCTTTTGCGGTCTTTGGGGGGATTTGCTCTTCGCCAGATGACGATTGGCTGGCATTATCGTCGTCACTCAATGCGGCTGACGGGGCGTTAGTGAATGCGACGGGGGTTGAACGTAGACATCGCGCAACTCACGCGGCATGGTGAAAGTCGCAAGCTGCTACTTGAAATTGTATGATCGAATCGGGAATATGGGCCACCAAAAGAAGCTATAAAGTAGCTTTGGACGCGCCAAATGGAGTCGATGGGGAGACAGAGCTTCAAGGCAATGACGGTAGCTGACAGCGGGCAACGGGGCAACCAAAAGGGAGAGGGGAAGATGGAGCTTGGAGCTACAAAAGAGAGGTTGGCTACAGCGACGCGATGAGCGAGCGAACAGGGGGCCCGTGCTCCTGCCGCGGGGCTTGGCTTTTTTGCTCTGATTGATTTGATCAACCATCGAAAAAAAGTTGGGGAGCTCGCGAGACAAGGTAATTCCGCGCCGACCACCTGCGATCCACCGACCAACCACGACGACGACAAGACAAACATCTCGCTCTACATAATACCTCTTTCCCACCGACTCCTCCATCTTACGTGCTCGCGCTCGCATTGATTTGCTGGTGCAGAATACACGTTCATTTTCCCCTCCAACATGGCCATGCGTAAGTCTGCACTGCAGCCTGCTGCACCTATTTTCCTACAACGCAATCCGCCATAATGCTATGTCAAACGCTAACATAACTATCTTTGCGCTGTTATAGAGGTCGATCTTTCCAATGGTATGCCGAATAGCCTAAAGAACCACCCTTTCTCGCCCGCCCACATACCCCTCAAAATACTACACCAACCCACGTACCCCGCAGATGCGCTATGGAGAGACTGACGTGAAGGTGCACAGCCCAGATGGTGAAGGATGAGACGGGCCGTCCTTTCATCATCGTGCGAGAGTACGTCCAATCACAGAAAATGTATTCCACAATCACCCGCCAAACTGACTCTCCACAGCCAAGGCAAGAAGAAGAGGCAGCATGGAAACGAGGCCGTCAAATCCCACATCCTCGCAGCCCGGACAGTCGCCAATCTTGTCAAAACATCGCTAGTAGGTCACTAATCCAGTGCTTCACATTCAGAACTCATGTTATGCGTCTAGGGTCCCCGCGGTCTCGACAAGATTCTCATCTCCCCCGATGGCGACATCACCGTTACCAACGACGGCGCTACCATCCTGTCCCAGATGGAAATAACGAACCACGTCGCGAAACTTCTGGTCGAACTCTCTAGATCCCAAGACGACGAGATTGGCGATGGAACAACCGGTGTGGTGGTTTTGGCTGGCGCTCTCTTAGAACAGGCCGCAGATCTCATAGACAAGGGCATTCACCCCATCAGGATAGCGGACGGTTACGATCAGGCGTGCGAGGCAGCCGTGGCCAGGCTGGATGAGATCAGTGACGAGATCCACTTCTCCAAGGACAACGTCGAGGAGCTCTTCAAGGTGGCCAAGACCAGTTTGGGCAGTAAGATTGTCTCCAAGGCACACGATCACTTCGCCCAAATCGCAGTGGATGCTGTTCTCTCCGTGGCCGATCTCACCCGCAAGGACGTCGATTTCGAGCTCATCAAGGTGGATGGCAAAGTCGGAGGTGCTCTGGAAGACACATTGTTGGTGCAGGGAGTCATAATAGACAAGGACTTTTCTCATCCCCAGATGCCTTCGGAAGTCAAGGACGCAAAGCTTGCCATCCTCACCTGCGCTTTCGAGCCACCCAAGCCCAAGACCAAGCACAAGCTCGACATCACCAGCGTCGAGGAGTTCAAGAAGCTCCAGACGTACGAGTCGAACAAGTTCACCGAGATGATCCAACAAATCAAAGACACCGGAGCCAACGTTGTGATATGTCAGTGGGGTTTCGATGACGAGGCAAATCACCTTTTGTTGACCAACAAATTGCCCGCTGTCCGGTGGGTCGGAGGACCCGAGATCGAGCTGATTGCCATTGCCACCAACGGACGCATCGTACCCCGTTTTGAGGACTTGAGCGCAGACAAATTGGGTTCTGCAGGAATCGTGCGGGAACTGACATTCGGAACTACACGCGACAAGATGCTCGTCATTGAGGAGTGCGCAAACACTCGCGCTGTGACCGTCTTCGTACGCGGAAGTAACAAAATGGTGCGTGCTCCGAATCTTTGTTCCACCACGTATTCGGGTTTTCTATCGTGTCGTTTCCAGGCTAACAGCACGTAGATCATTGACGAAGCGAAGCGATCATTGCACGACGCTCTTTGCGTGGTGCGAAATTTGGTGCGAGACAACCGTATCGTTTACGGGGGTGGTGCCGCAGAGATTGCCTGCTCACTTGCTGTAGAAGACGCCGCTGTGAAGGTAAGTGGATTCTGATCTAATCATGCTCCTCCGCTAACAATCATACAGAGTCCTGGTCTTGAACAATACGCGATGCGCGCATTCGCGGAAGCTCTTGACGCTGTCCCCATGGCCCTCGCTGAGAACTCTGGGCTGAGCCCCATTGAGACATTGGCGAACATTAAGTCCCGCCAGGCGAAGGAAAAGAACACCAGGTTGGGTGTTGATTGCATGCAAACGGGCAGCAATGGTATGTAACCTGAATCTCCCCGTTCGGTTGGTAGCAAATGACTGACCGTATTCTAGATATGAAAGAACATTTCGTCATCGATCCTCTCATTTCTAAGAGGCAACAATTGTTGCTCGCAACGCAACTTTGCAGAATGGTGCTTAAGGTATTTCCACATTTCTCCAAAATCATTCAGTGTATTTTGTTTAACAAGATAAACAGATCAACAACGTTATCATTGCCGGCAGCGGCGAGGACGATTACTAAAAACGTTTCGTGGTGCAGCCACCGACGAGATGCGTTCTATGAGTACAGGTATGGGTGGAGATATCAAGATCAAAAACTGCAAGGAGCTCGAGTTCGATACGACGCCAGTGCGTTCGACGTGTTTTATACCACATAGACAGCCTATATGATGGAGATCCCACTCAATCTATCTGCTTGTGATCTGTCCGGTCAAGTGCTGTGACTGACTACGGAAGTCCTTTCCAAGCTGAATAATGCTCACATCGTTGGATACCAGCCCTGAAGTATAATGAAGCCTTTTCTTACAACACAGATGAGTAGATGAAGCCTTGGCTCTTCGCTTAATCGCGCATATCTACTCCTACTCAGTGGACAAAATGATGGTCGATCAGCATACATATGTAGGTACCTACATACATACATACCTAGGTATGTACCTAGGTATGTATGGAGGGTCCGTGCCTCCAAAAGGGTCACGTGCATACCATCCCCCTCACAAACAGAATGTGGCGTCCATTCTGGCCCCATCGCTTCGCGACGACCCCTGACACTCGCTCGCTCACCTCTGATCAGCAGCTCAGCCTCTCGCTCTCCTTCTTCGCACGTGTATCTAGAGCTGTCTCGAAAAATGCATATCGAGTTCTCTAACCCTTGGTGCAACGATGCGGTTGCTTCATGTCAAGACCCGAAAGCTCCAGGAATTCTTTGGCGTCGCGATACCGCCTTACGCCATCTTATCTCACACCTGGGGGTCAGAGGAAGTCACGTTCAATGACCTCTTGACAGGAGACTACCACACCAAGCATGGCTACATCAAGATTGATGGGTGTTGTCAAGAAGCAGTCTCTCAAGGCATGACTTGGGTCTGGGTATGTCGTTTTTTTCCGTGATATTGAATCAATCGGCCCGTGCAATTAACGTCGTCTTTACACAGGTCGACAGCTGCTGTATTGATAAGTCTTCTTCTGCAGAGCTCTCCGAGGCAATCAACTCAATGTTCAATTGGTACCAGAATGCAAAGGTCTGTTTCGTCTATTTGGAAGACGTGTTACCCTCTGAAAACCCCTTTCTGCCCGAATCAACATTGCGTAGCAGTCGATGGTGGACTAGGGGCTGGACGCTTCAAGAACTACTTGCGCCTCGCCATGTCATTTTTTTCGACAAAGATTGGGATCATGTCTTTACGGAACTCACAGAAGGACTAGATGGCGATATGAGCGAAAGCATGGCCTTGGTAGCCAATGGGTTGAAAGACACTTCCGAGAACGCCATGTCGAAACAAGAGACTGTTCAAAATATAAGATATTCATTGATATCCACAATAACAGGAATCCCCAGGTCTGTTCTGATGGGAACAGAGGAGCTATCTGAAGTAGCGGCAGCTGTGAAATTCTCCTGGGCGGCCAAGCGACATACAACGCGGATAGAAGACGCAGCTTACTGTTTGCTGGGGTTGTTGGGCGTGAACATGCCCCTACTCTATGGAGAAGGAGACAAAGCCTTTGTGCGACTCCAACAAGCCGTCATCAGTGGTTCAGACGACATCAGCATGCTTTCGTGGGGATGCGGCCTTACTTGGGAAGCCATTGAGGAGATTGGACCCGAGTCAGTATTGGCAAATTCACCCAGCGCTTTCAGAGAGTACCCCACGGAGAAACTGTATCCTGCCAGAAGAACACCCAGAATACATTCCACCGTCACTGGCCATGGATTACACGTCGAGCTTCCTTTGATTCTTGTTGATCCTCGCCAAAAGACATGGTTAGGCATCATAGAGCAACACGTTTTGGGCGAAAAAGGGGATATAATTGACATCGCTGGCATTGCAGGTATCGCTATAGTTCTCCGGCAGAAAACAGCAAGCGACTCCAATACGCTGGTGCGAGCGCGCGGGTGCCCCCCGATCAGGATCAGCTCTTTGCATTCATTGAAGTATCTTCTTCGGAGAAAGAATCGAAAAATGGTCTATTTGCAGGACTCTGGCGTAATGGACGACTCAGAAATGAGCTTCATATCCGGTTACAGAGACTTGGTCCGAAGTGTCTTCCGAAAACATCCTGGACAACATACAAACACCACCGAATTGGCCATCTCTATTTCAGGGCTTCGTAACGCCGGGTACATATTGTCTAGTCAATACCCGCCGATCGATCACGACCTTTCGACAGCCGGACTGAGGCCAATGAGTACATGGCAATTGAACAACGGCAGGTTGCAATACGAGCAACAGCATTTCGAGTCACTCCTATGCCACGGGCCCCACGAACTTTTCTATTTCATTCTTACTGGGCCTGGTAGCCACCGCGTTGCCGTCAAAGTACGCATTAAATATAATCCACCTAACATTTCGTACGTTTCTCGTTTCTTTCAACTATCGCCTGAGTTCAAGAATCACAAATTGATGATACTGACTTAAATAATACGCTCTAGGTCGTTCCAAGTTTTGTTATCTCAAGAAGAAATCGTTTGCAAGGCCACAGCTCTAGAGCATGTTTGTAAAAGAGGGTTAGGACCCATATATATCACTTGGGGCTCCAAGGAACTCAGTTTATGGCAGGAATACGTAAATCTGTGGAACAAAAAGGGATCCAAGATTCATGTCCGCGCGTTACCCAGCCAGCAAGATATTACGAACAAATATACTCGCTATGCACAGTGCGATTTAGCTTGGAGTGGGGGGTGGGTAATCGGCAACAACGTAATCTAACTGCAATTTAACTCAGTACTTTCAAAGAGACATTGTACCATATTGAATGAGATGAAGTTTTTTTTAAAGCATGGTTTAAGATACTTATGGCTAACATCGATTGTATATAGATACCCTTTGGGGTAATTATCTTGGTCTTCCTTGACACTTCGAGCTCAAATACTTCACCAACCACCATGCAATAAACAGTATCGCTCTACATCACGAATGTCCCTAGCCAACGGGAAGCAGCACCTGTACTGGATGCTTCCAGGCTTGATATGCTATCCAAGTCTGGTAACAAGTCACCACCAAAGACATCATACCTAGAAAGATGGCGAAAAGCACCCCGAGAAGAGTTGCCATCATCATGTGTCTTGCGCTACTCTTTCGATCTATTTGCCTGTTCAGCCACCCGCGGGGTCGAGGATTATGCAACTCATTGTATAACTCCGAGAGCCGATCAGCGAGAAATATATATGTCACATTCTCTTCCCCAGCTCTACGGATCGAGCTGAACTCAAAATGAAGGATATCGTGGTCAAACGAGCAATCTGACACCAAGGCCTGCAGAAGCCGTTTCGATTTCGGATCAGAGAGAGGAAATAGGATCATTTGAAGGGATTCGAGTACCTCGAGGATTAGTTGGCGGGGTAGTGCTCCTCTATATAAAATTAGTCGATGGATCCAATAAGCTTGTTTTAAGGGTTTCAACTTACACTTTAATGCATGTAGCCGAATTCGACCATTCCCCAGGCTCCTTGGTCAACCTCAGCTGCTCTTTAACGAAAGCCGTATGGTGGTATATTTCAACAATATTCTGTTTCCTATAGAACCGGAGATGATCTCGTATGTCGTTTGTGGGACGGAATGTGACACCCAGGTGTTTTTGTAACTTGACTGCTTTCAAGTCGGATTTCATATCGACAAGCAAATCGTTATCGGCGTAGCTCAATACTGGATGATTGCCAATTGGGAAGAGGTCCTGTAGATATTTGGCGAATGGTACGTCGTCTCTCCAGTGGACTCTGCAACCGCCCCTCTCAAGCATGTCAGACGATACGTGCAGCTCAGAGCAATCGATCATGGTGAGGATCTTCACGGCCAGTGTTGTTGCCTGTACGAGGTCCGAACCGTTGATATCAGCAGGATGTCTGGGTCGTTTGGAAAGCAGTGATTGGCGGAACTCGGTTCGGGTGATTTCGGGGTTCAGCTTCAGTGTTCGGATGGTATACCATAAGTCTCCGTACGTTTCCAGTATCCGTGTTCCTGCCATAGAGCTATCTGTATAGCTTGAGATTGCTGTGCGACAGAACTGAAGATAGCGGGAAAGTCGCGCAGTTCGCCTCGAGGGACAGATTGCAGCGACACAGGGTTTGCCACAGAGACACTTTGAGCAAAGATTCCAGGACCAGAGCACTTCGGCAAGTGCAGGCAAGAAACTTTTGTCGGTACTCTTGAGCGACTTTGATGAAATTCTGAACTGGGGTTGTTGAGGAGACATTTTGTTACGTTCAAAATTCAAATCTGCCTGCGGCAATTGAAAAGATAGCGCATGCAAAAGGTCTGCGCAACGCTGACATCTGTTGTTGATTTATGTATATGAGCATCTGAATACTGCCATGACAAGCGGATTCATTCGCAACCACTGTGTGCGCCTAATCTGATGAGTACCATGGGGGATAATGGCAGTGTGCATTTCAATTGGATGGGCCATGCATATGCATATATTGATTTACATCGGGCTGCCCCTCTTTTGAGTCCACCAAGTTCTCAGCCTTGTCAACAGATCTCACATTTGATTCACCGGTAACTTCGTATTCGATAAGACAGATACATTTGAAGTGCGCGAAAAGTGGAAATGAATTTCGAGTACCTCAAGTGTCTGTACCACATCTCAGTGATTGAGACGAAACGTCAGCCTCAAATTGAACAAGAATTGTTCACTAAACTGGCCGAGTGGGGGGAGCCTTTATATCATGGATGAAGATACGAACTTTCATGCTCTTCGTGTCGATATCTGCAGCTAAGAATAGTTCTAACCAGAATAGAATGAGTTTCAGTACGCGCAGCTACTCAGCCTCCCCATCACTTGGAGCAGTGACGGTTTAATCCCTCAACTACTTCTTCCCATACTACTGCCTTCGTTTCCCCAAGTCGCTCCCTACGCTACTTCTTGATATCTTCACCCCTCGCATGCCAGCGTCCTTACACGAATTTTTACCACGGTAATCTCTCAGCTTGTTTCCGACATGCCCAAGGTACAAAAGGTACAGTGGTGGATGAAAGAGGGAATACCCAGAGACACGGGCAGTAGGGCGCCGATCACCCCCAACCCAGATACACCGTGTCCTTCTACCGGATCTGACATCGCACTGGCGGTCGAGCAATCGGGTTCACCACCAGACATGCAATTATCCACTCCCATGGTTGAAAACCATGCACCAAATAGCTGCGCGAACTCCATGAACGATTCAGGGTACTTGTCTCCGGCGCACACGCCGCGTGCACAGAAAAGAGCTCTTTTCTCAACGCGAGACCTGATAGTCTATAACAAACCCATCTCTGAGCAGCTCAAAGATCGTTTCTTGGACATCAAGATCCTCTACACACAGTCGTTGTGGGAGGCAATATCCAGCAAAAGAAAAGGAGATCCCGGAGATATTTCCATGAAACTGAAGTACATGGGGGAGAGCGAACCTACTGCACGATTGTACATCGTTATTCAATGCGAGCGGCGAATTTCCAGAAGGGTGAATAAATTCTTTGCGCAAGAACATGTGGCAGAGGAACTCAATCCAGATTTCCGAGTCCATGTAATCCCCACGGGGCCACTCAGACTCACAAGTTGCGAGAAGCTGGAAGTTCTGGGAAACATAGCAGACTCAAGAAGCACATTGTGTGGCATGCCAATCGAAATAGGCGGTGAGCGTGCTCCAAGGATAGCCACGTTAGGAGGTTTGATCATGGTTACGGCACAAGAGAAAACGGTCTACGGTCTCACAGCCGGGCACTCTCTCGTGAATTTTGTAAATGATTCTTCTAACAGAGATTCCAATCGGGAAGATATCAATTCTGGGTGCGACGATGAAGACACCGATGCAGGATACGAATCGGCTCAGCAATCATCCCCTAATCAGGAGCATTCCTGCGTATCGACCAGCAGATTACCCTGTTCCATGGACAATATCGGAAGAGTGGTGGCGAACTCTTTCCAGTCTACCGAGAATACCTGCAACCATGATTGGGCTCTTGTGGCATTGGATCGTGAAGATTGGGCCCCCAATTATCTAGTTAATCGACCAACCCTAGTCGTCGACGCGAGCGAGTCGAATAAGACGACAAATAAAGGCGGAACGAGGGAAGAGCTTGACTCGAATTTACATTTGATACCTTTCTCCTATGGACCGCGGTTAAGAATGGTAGAACAACCTGTAGCTGCCATCACTTCTCGTGGTCTCCAGCACGGAATACTGACTTCAAACGGCTCTTCCCTAACGATGTTTCCGGGTGGCAAGTTTCTTGAGACGTTTGATTTCTTGCCTTTTAGTGGTTCAAGTAAGTTATAATCGCTTGCAAAGGAAAGAAGTATACGAACTGACCTGTTTGAAGCGTTTCTACCAGGAGATTCCGGGTCTTGGGTGGTAAACAAGACTACAGGCGAGGTATATGGCCATGTAGTTTCGATCGATACCTTTGGAGAAGCATCTGTGATTCCGATGCAATCTACGTTGCTCGATATCAAGTTCCATCTCAGAGCTTATGAAGTTCGCTTCCCTTCAAAGGAAGAAATTTCAGCTTTACAGACTGCTCAAAAGAACGACCACGACGGAAATGAATCAGCAACATCCTCTCGCCGTAGGACTTGGAATGTTAACAATGACAAATTCAACAACAATAAACGTTCCAAGAAAAACACTCGTGTTTCATTGGGCAAACGTAAAGCAAATGATTTTGGGGGTAGAGATAATCCAAAGAAGCCCAGAGACAATATTGAGAGAAAGATTAGCGGCGAGACCACCCGGAACTTACGCTCAAGCTTAGCCAAAACCTCCCCGGCTGATTTGGTTCCGGTCGAGCCAATAGTCACTGATGGAGAGATTCGTACCTCCAGTTGGTCCACAAAGGACGACGAAATCTTGATACAAGCTCGCGCTCAAGGATTGAATTGGAATCAGATTGCGCCAAAGCATTTCCCGTCAAAGTCTCCCAACAGCTGTCGCAAAAGACATGAGAGATTAATGCAAAAGCAAAATGTAGAACAATGGGATGGACCGAAGCTGGGAATACTTGCTACAGTATACATGGAACATCGCGCTGAGATATGGGGCCCAATTGCAAATTTGCTGGGTGAGAAGTGGACAGTAGTTGAGCAGAAGGTAAGTCGTGACCCAGGAATGCCAACCTTTATGGAGGCATGGATTTCATTCTATGTGGAATACTAATCTCGTACGCAGTGCATGGAGAAAGGACTAAAAAACCTCAGTCAAGCATATCGAGCAGAGAAAAGAAAGGGCAATGATAGCGGCATCAGCATTTCTGATGATGACTATCCAATAAACCAGCCAAACATGTACTTGAGCTGTAGTGCTGGTGTGAATAGAGACAACCGTATTCACTCAATTCTTGAATTACCACTAATGAGTTATTCTGCCTAGAATTACTAAGATTGTCTCACGATCACGTCTTCACTGCGCGGAATCTTTGAGAACCACCATGACTTTATATACCTACAGTCATTCCTGTATTCATCATTCATGTAGTTGTAATTAGATAAACCGGATATCTCATCGATCAATTCAAACATGTCCTATGAGAAGCCCTCGTGATGTATCCCTATAGCCCAAACAGTATCGCTCAGAGGACACACCGCGCTGCTCTGACCTTTTTCCCCCAGACCTGCAGTAGTTTCGCGTTTTCAAGATAATGTTTCCAGACTCCAGCCATAACCACCAGAAATTCCGGAATTGGGGTTTGCGTACTCCTACACACAGCGGTATATACAACGATGAAGTACCAAAAGAACAGACGAAGGAAAAATCACATTCTATCAATTTCCCTCTCGCATCAATCAATCATCGAGGACTCTCTCCGACGGTGTGGCTACCACTAATACACACAAGTACGACACCACATCAACACAAAAGAAAGGGAGTTCTACATGCCCTCTGACTTACCGCTTCCTCCTCCCCCAAAAAAAGAATAAGTGCCCCACTCACCTCATCCCCGTATACACACTCCACATCCTAGTCCATGAGTTTGGAATACAATCCCACACCATTTTTTTTATTTTTTCTTTTCAAAACAGACCCCCATGGGCACAGCAATCTTACAAAACACGGCGTAAAACAAGATCAACTAAGCCAGGTAGCAGATGAAGAAAAGAAGAGAAAAAAAAAAGATTTAAGTGGGTACAGCCGCACCATAGCTAGTCGACATCACGCTAGCAATGCTTGCCGCAGAGCCTCAACTCTAGTGTTGGTTCTCAACAACATCATCATCATCAATAGTGGCTACCGTGATTGGTAGTGGCGGGCGGTGTCTTGTTCTTCTCATTTTGGAGATTGATATCGGGGTTTTTACTACTTTCGCAGGGCTGTACACCGGAATTAGAGGATCGAGACATTTGGAATAGACATTACAAAGAGGAGAAGAAGAGAAAAAAAAAGCGTTCCATGTATTGTACGATGACCAGGATTGCATGCATGTATGCTCGCTTGTAGTTCTACTAGATGCATCTCCACAACATGCACGGTGATAACGTACTACAACTCTCCAATCTCGTGAAACGGGAAAATGAGGTAGTACCGAGTAGCATCCAGTCGTCGTAACGTGTGGCGGTGTAAACACCTTATTCCAACCCGCGGACGGGAACAAGAAACGGGGGCGGCGGCGGCGGTCCACACGTCCCAAAAGGGGGCAAAGAAGGAGAAAAAAAAGGGTCCATGGTTGGGCCCAAATCTCTCAATCTCACGATCTCGTTCTCGTGCGTGGGTGGCTGTCGCTGTCATGTGGGTCACGGATGATGCTGATTTGCGGCTCGCTGGGGCTCGCCCGGAGCGTCCCAATTTTTTCTTGGATTATGTTCTAGGATGGGTGGATAGTGGATAGGGGCGCCTCGTTGGGTGACTGTTGCTGCGGCGGTTGCCCAGGTATGGTGATGCTTGTAACAGCACATGGTGGAGTGAGGACGGGGATCCGCTTTAGGGGCCCAGGCCACGACGTCGGGTCTGTCCGTTGCCGATGTGGTATTTTTCTGTTTCCCTCGTGGGGCTTTTCGGAAGATGTCGGGGGGCTGGATGGGAGGTGCACAGTAGCATGTCGGAGATTTGTGGAGAGTGCTTTTGGCTGACAACTGTGAGTGGATGATGGAGTGGTTTTCTTCCTCGTGGGCTTGAGCGCGAACGCTTGGGCGGTGAGGCCTTTTTTCTTTCTTGATTGTTACGCGTTATTGGAATGGATGATGCGTGCTATCACGTTTTTTTGTTCCGTCCAGACTATTTGCGTGGGTTTTGTGGATACTTTACTACTCGTTCCTGGATATTCATCTTGTTAGTGCGACATGTAAAACCTGTGGTTCGTTGAAGTAAGATACGACGTTGAGCGGAGTCGTGCTGGTCCGCCTTAGCGACTGAACATTTTTCGTGCTAGGGACAGACAAGGTGTAGCACTCCCGCTTGCAAGCCTACTTCGCGAATATTATGTTAGATGGATCGAGCACCGATAATAGCCAGACGCCGCAAGTCTCTTGCTGATATCCGTGACTCGTGAGTGCTTTTGAAATTTTCCACTCGACGGATGAGGGGTGGCACAGGAGTTAGGGATGCATGTGAACTTGATACAGCTTACAATCGGTAAACTTCGGCAGGTCCTTCTCTAAGAGCAGCATGAACACCAATGCAGGCTTACAGAACAGCGAATCCCACACGTGGATGTTCCACATATGCTTCTCCTAATGCAGACGTATCAGATAAACTGCAACGCGGTGAGGCGCATCAACATGCGGTTTTCACATGCCGCAACGGACTTCTTCCCAATGACGCAGTTTAGCTTCATAGATCGAATCGCGTGGGTGGCGACACGCGTCACATGCCAATCTCATCTCATCGCCCCGAGTAACAGGAGGTGTGCCCATGAACATGCACGAAACTATTCATTGTTCGATAAGGGGTAGATCGTTCGATCAAGAGCTGGCCGGCTGTTATATTTGGCATTGCGTTCGCATGTGAAGACGCATAGGCTTTGGCAGCGAAACAGCATCCGATAGCTCAATTGGCCTCTTCGGGTTAACTATGGCGTTTTGAGTGGCTAGTGGCAGGTGTTGCATTCCAAACGGTCATCTGGTTGCGAGCGTGAAGCACGTGATAGTCGGTCCTGCTCGCGGTTTGAGGCTCTGCGCGTGGTCTTGTATTCTAGAATCTTTCTCGATGCAGTAATCGTCGCATGTTTAGCGCACGACGGGTATTGTACGTATTGTAAAGCTGGTGAGTAAGGCCGGTACGGTTCTTGCCAGGTGCCAGGGTTTGCATACATCATGTTTATCGCGACCGGGACAACTTTCCATGTGATGTCAGGAAATAGGGAGAAGAAGTGTGCATCCAGCGATAATGGTAGTGGTCCCTTACGTTATGGTCATCTGATAAGTAAGTGAGTGCTGTGTTGAAACTTTGAAAGGGCTGGCTGCGAGGAGTTTGGTTCGAATGCGTCAAGCACCGATCAAAGCAGATTTGATTGCAGAAGTAGACCTCGTAACGAGATTTCTCGCGATCCATAAAGAAGAAGTTGAGAAAGAGCATGAGGGACAGATCGGCCCTGTGCGGCTGCCCTACACGCTGTTATTACAATGCTTTTGTGCGAAAGCGCCCCTCCGATCGATGATGGCTGCTGTAACGACTATCGCCCCCGCGCCATGCATGTACCCCAGAGTCAAGAATGCGTACCATTCTTGGCCGCCTACCAACCTATTTCTTTGGATGAGTGAGTGCTGCCGTTGCAAGATCAGTTCCACTAGAGGAAAGCGCCACATGATACAAGCTTGGTCGACCAGCTTGCTTTGGAGAGGGTGAACCAGGAAATGCAAGTTGCGGGGGGGGGGGGGGGGGGGCAGCCGGTTGCTAGTAACCTCTGGAAGGCCTGCATCGCTAACGTAACGTCCATCATGCGCCGATTACCATGTCCATCGATAGACGCCAAAGTCTGACTGGATCTGATCAAATGAAACCAGCCATATCTCGGCTTTTCAATTGCCACTGCTGTTTTGTGTAGCGAGGAAGACGCTGGGCTGGGCTGCGTCGATGTCCAAAAATCCGCTTTTGGCATATAGGGTGGCTTTCGGAACCAGTCAACTGGGCGTGGCTCTCCTGGCTGTGCATGCAGGTACGTATCCAATACAACTGGCTTCGTCCCGAAACGTTTGGGGGATTGAGTTGGTTGGTGGTATGAAGTTGTGTGATGGATCTGAGGCTGCCAGGATGCATTACCCGCAGACATGTGATGTAGCAGTCGATAGCAAAAGGGCCTTGGAACAAGTACCGTACTGCAAGTCCGTTGATATTCAACCATGTCATGTCGCGGTTACACCCTCCCCTGAGTCGTAGTCAGGCTTCCGGTGGTTGTTTGCATGACATATCCGCACACATTCCGCGAATTGTGAAAGGATGAGCCTGGGACCGCGTGATACTTGCTTGCAACACTAAACTCCCCGAGCCGCGTACAGGCTTCTTCCCAAACGTTCTTTCCGCAAGCGTACCACGGTTTTCCGCTCTTCACACAACCCTCTTGTCGCTCCGGTACTTGGTTGCTTCCCCACACTGAGTCATGTTGAGCTAACCCCGCGGATCCGGGAGACCACATGTCAACGTCTGAGCCCCCCTCACGAGACTAACTGGTATTTTCTTTTCCCCCTCTTTTAGGGCAGTGTGTATTGCGGAGAAGCGCCGCCTCATTTCGTGGAGGCGGAAAACATGGATCACTGGCTGACTAGCTGGCTTTTTCGACGTAGCGAGGGCATGGATTTGGGTCGACGCTGCTTCGACGCCTTGCTGGAAGAAAGAACTTCGCCTTACTTCGCCGATGTCGATAATCCCCCTCCCGAATATCGGTGGAGCGTTGATACCGTGAGGTACTTTTGAAGCGGAAAGTTGGCAATGTGTAGCATACGGTAATATATTAAGTTGTGACGGTCACAACATGACTTGGTACGGTTGCACAGCTGTGCACAGGCAGTCGCACAAAAGCAAGATGCCATTTCTTGCATCTCCATGCCCCAGCGGGGATGCCTCCGGGCGCAGTAGTCGGTGTTACACTCTCCCCGATCAACTGGTAAAGCTAATGCGAGTTGGTGACGGACCTGTTTGAGCATCGCATTGAAAAACGTGGCAGCCACAGTGGTTGATATTGTTGTTGTATTGTCGTTGGAGGTGAAAACAACAACGACGAATGGGAGAGCTCGTCGGGTGTTGTGAAGTGTGTGTGATGCCACCTTTCGAGAGCAACTAGGTGACGGGGGTATCACAAGAGTCTCTTCTACCGCTTATGATGAAATGGCGTAGCACAATTGAGTGAAGAGATGCAGTGTTTCGCGACGACGCAAGGAGAAACTCCAGATGTCTGTGAGTGATGAAAGTGGCTGTTGTCGCGCCACGTGACGCGCGTACATGATACGATCCCCAAGCATCTAATCTGTATACCTACGCAACGTACATGTATACATGCCCATCTTGCACCCTGATCTCAAATCAACGCCATCACAAAGCGGAGCCCGGATCGGGGACCCGGTCGATCTCATCCATCCACATGATGTACAAATCTCATTCAACTAAAGTGCCTCAATGACGATCCAATCCACTCTTGAAACTTAACGTGACAACGTTTAGCCTCGAAAACGATCTACACAGGTACCAAAGCGTATTGTCACCCCTCGTCGACGCAGCGTACCTACATAATAACTATGACAAGCAGCAAACCCTTTTGCACCCACCCACTTGTCCAGGAGGGGGTGTAGCATCACGGGGCTCACCGGATTTCGTCCTCGTAACAGTGTTGGCAGGCACTGCACTCGAGTAAGCAGCAATTGATACATCATCATACCTATCAATTGATCGAGTGCTTGTTATCCCCCCCCCATCCCCATCGCATCCCCAACCCCACCCCCACGTTCTGCCAGCGAACACCCCCATCACCAAAACAATCCCCATCCGATGACATCTATACACAGCCAAACAACGGAGACCCAAAAGGGTCACACGCGCGTACCTTGCCTGCCTCAATCTCCACGGGATTCGCACTCGGACGGGCGGTTGGTTGGGTCGGTCAGTCGCTCGGTATAGGCGCTTACCCAAACACAACCTCCGCCCTCGACCCTTGATCCATGCGTTTTTTAGAGCGTCTGCCTCGCGTGAGGCTGATATCGAATATCCCGGGGTTTCGAGGGAGGCGAACAAGAGAGTGGGAAGAGGGGAAGTTCAGATGACCATCAGAGAACTTGCATATACATATGTATGTATGTCAGTTATGTACTTGAGATACATGGGTGGGGGGTAGGTATACTGTACTCGGCTAGGGGAGGGGGATGGGCGCTAAGAAAAGAAGGGCTAAGCTTTTTGACAACGCATCGATGCATATACACACACAATGCATTCTCACACTATCCAGGACGGAATGGGATGGGTAGGTAGCGAGGGAGAGTATCTGGACGTACCGCGTGCACTTGAGGACTGATTTGTTTTGTTGTTTTTGATAGATTGCGGATGATTCTCTAGATGGATGGATTGAGTGCGCAATCCACCGCATGAATTCAAACTAGAGCAATGTAAACCGAACCGAATTGACTGATTGATTAACTAAAATCAACTTGATCAAAAAAAATCATCAACTCATCAATGAGATGACCAACCCATCAACTCCCTTCCCACCTACCTACCTAAAACAACACACCGGTATCCATCTATCTGCTCAAAACCTCCGACAGGTCCCCACTAGAGACTAACTAGGAAATTCTATAAGTGAACATCCATAACGTATCGTATCATATCTATCATATCGGTGAAGCACCACCGCATACACCAGCGGAAGCGGGTAACCAAGCGAAGCGCAAAAAGAATGGTGTCACATTTCGACCCATCCCCCTCCCCCATCCCAATTCGGGGAAAGGCAGCCCATGCATAAGCGCCCTTTTTTTTTCTTGCTAGCTAGTCTCCATGGAGCTTGTTTCGGAGGAAAGAAGAAGAGGAGGGAGGGAGGGGTATGAGTCGTTTGCTATAGTGTGTGGTGGGTGGGTGTGTGGGCGTGACGAGGGGAGCAAAAGAGCGGTAAGTGATGGTGGTCTTCGCTGGCGGTTTTTGTTTATTTTGTTTTTGGGGGGGCGAGGGGGGGGATTCTGGGGTTCTGGGTCACACACCACCACCACCACCACCACACCGACTGACTGATCTGTTTTTCTGATGTTCCCTGTTTTTGCTTGTCTTGCGCGTTGAAGGTCCCTCCCACCCACATTGTCAGCGGCTAGGAGTGGAAATAGACATCGTCACAGATTCCTCGCTAGAGAAATGGAATTTACATGGCAAGTTTTCGTTTATGGTGAATAGATACGATTTTGGAATAGAATATGTATAATGTTGATGTGTTTGTATGTATATACGTGGAGAATCATCCATTTCCTTTTATTGGTTCTTTTGGTTCCTCCTTTTCTGATGTTTTTTTTTTGGTAATATGGACACCTGAACCACAGGCTTCATGAATGATGAGGTAATGTTCACCACTGCCCCCACACACCCCCGAAAGACCATCCGTCCTTGCGCGCCCATCAACAACCGCGCAATATCCACAGTGGCGCGCAAGGCGGAGAGCGCGAGCTCTTGGTCAATGGTAAAAGTACAATGTAGTCAGAATAATAGTACAGGCTTGGACGAGGTTGCGATGCTCGACGCTGTAAAAAGCCAGTCCCTGATTCCTATCATCCCAGGCGTGAGCCTTCAACGCTTCTTTGTAAATCGAATGTATAACCGCCCGGTAGTCGGATGGTGAAGTGAAAACGGGAGTCAAAAGGAAAATCGTAGCCTCATCGGGGCATGCCGCATGCCAGTGGTATCGAAAGATTTTTGGAAAGGGCCAGAACATTAAGCCGTAGTAATACCGTCCATCTTTTGGATGATGGTCGGGGCCGCGGGTAACTAAGAAAAAGAGAGAGAGAGAGAAATAGAAAAACGCCAATATTCCCAATGCTGATTGCCGTAAATGCCGCTGAATGTGTAAGTGCAAGATGACGGGGCCACTTCACCAGCCCTTTTGATGGTACTCCTGGAGTCCTTGGTCAAAGTAGTCGTTGTAGGAGTTGTTGTTTTTGGTGTTGTCTTTGTAGACGACGGACGACTTGGTCATGTTTTGGATCATGTTGCGGTCCGCGTTGGCCTCCATGCCCTTGATGTCATTAGTGGTCATGGCCCGGCGCAGTGCCGGGATAGAGGCAGCACTCTGGACTCGCTTGTTGACCGCGTTGATGGCCGAGTTCTTCTGCTGCCGCTCCCAAAGCAGATTCTGCCGGAGCGATTGAGTGAGTTCGGTCTGGAGCATGTTGCGGCGAGTGGTGCGAGGAGAGAGCATGGGTGGGTGTACATTAGATGTGGTCATGATGATGGGCTTGGAGCGCGATGCCTGCTGTCGCATCATCAAGCCACCGCCATTGTCATCCTGGGGGGAGCTTCCTGTGGATGGACCGTTGGGTGTGCTCGTCCGGGATCTCCGGATGGCGGGCTGGGAGCGTGAGGCAGCATTCTGAAGCGCCTGTGCACGATCACCCTGATGCATCATGGTGGTGAGGAGCGAGCGACGGGAGACGAGGTTTGGCTTCGAGTCGACCCGCTGGAACATGGGCCTCTCATCTTCGCTGGGAGGAACGCTTTCCTCGTTGTCGTCTTCCCAATCGCCCTCGTCGCTGTCCTCCTCCTCAATGGCATTATCATCCGACTCCTCGTCGCTCTCACTCTCAATAGCGCTCTCCATGGCCTCGCTCTCCTCGGACATGATATCCTGGAAAGTGCGTGTTGCCACTTCGTTCTTAAACGAAGCAGTCTTCTTACCGAGACCAGACCTTTTCAGGTTGTCCGACAAGGAACTGCGTTTAGCCAAGGAGTAGGCTTCGAGGGAGCTGCTTTGGTCCTCATCCGAAGATCCACCAAGCGTGAACATGGGTTGCTTCTTCTTCATGGGCTCCGCTTTGGAGGGAGGCGGCCTCGGGACGAAGCTGTTTTTGAGGATGGGGGTGGGGTTGAGGTTGGTTGTACTTGAGCGTATCGAGGTGGAGACTTTTCCGGGGGCGAAGCCGTGGACAACGCTGTGAACGCTCAAGTCGGTAGAGGTGGAGACATCGGAGCCTACAGGGGGGCTCGCAGCATCGGTGGCCATGGTGGTTGCCACAGTCGAAGTGGAATCCTGGATGTGGCAGGCGGGTGCGGTGACAGGAGATGAGGCGGCGGGTCGAGAGGTGCAGTCCTGGTTCTGGACCGGGGTGGTGTCGTCGACGGTTGGGGCGAGCTGGGTGGGCAGAGGAGAGAGCGGCTCTATGGTGCGCTTCTCTTGTATCGAATTGACGACTTTTTCCAGGTCAATTGGGGTAATGTGCTTGCTGCGGGCCTGGCTGTTGATTGAGTCGTTGCGGCGCAAGTCTGGACGAGAGGAGCAGTTGGAAGGGGTGGTGGCGGATGTAGAGTCGTCGGAAGCCACGCTAGAAGACAGCTCGGGTGGATCGTCGCTGGTCGAGCGCTCCAGGGACCAGGTGGGGAGAGCAGGATGATCGGGCAGGCAACACTGCGTTTCCCGACCCCAAAGGCGCCAGGCGATATTTTCGTATCTTCGTCCGTCTTGCAGGACTGGAGAGCACTTTGAAAAGACTGCAAACGAGGGGCACGGTCAGCGGGAAGGATTGGTGATGGCGGGGCGACGGCCAAACGGCTTAGCCCCAGCAGCGCAGCGCAGCGCATATGGAGAAACTCACCGGACCAGAGACCAAACAGATTCTCGGGGTTCCTGGTTTCAATGGAGCGCATAGAATCGTGTTCGACGCGCACAATGGGGCGGTCGGCGTGGAGGGGCATGGCTGGGGGGGAGGGGTGGAGTGGTGAGTCGTCGGTCGGAGCAGCCAGAATGCGCGGATGGATGAGTGGATAAGAAGTAGGATAGATAGAGGGGAGTCAAAGACTGGAAGGGTGGCTTGTTGGTTGGTTGTGAGGGCCGTCCGCTTTCAGAGGTCGGGTGTGATTGTGACTTGTGATTTGTATTGGCGGATGCGGCGATTGCGTCAGTCCAGTTTGGGGGAGTGCACACACAGCAGCACACGGGGAACCGCCTGGTCAACACTTGACGGTGGGGTTCATGGAGAGGTGGAGATGAGGAGAGAGGGAGAGAAGAAGAGAGCGAGTGTTGGTGGTGCGGGTGCGGTGTGGAGGTGTGGGTATAGTGTACAGGACTGTACCGTACTGCACCGTATACTGTAGGGCGGGTAAGGTGAGGCAAGGTAAGGTGAGGTAGGGTAGGGTAGGTAGGTAGGGGAGAGGGAACAACAGAAAGATAAAGCGGCCGCGGCGGTGATTATATGGAGTCGAAGCCGGCAGGTAGAGAGGTAAAGGGACATTAACCCATTTAGTGATGGGAGTCGGGAGAGGGAGAGGGAGAGAAAGAGAGAATGGCTAGCTAGTGGGCACTACTAGGTACAGTGTCGGTAGGGCGGTGGGCGCGCGCAAAGCAAAGCAGCGACGGATGGATGAATGAATGAATGAATGGGAATGGGCTGGCCGGGGATGGGGGAAGGGCATGGGATGGAATGCCCCTAGCACGCACGCCTGGCACTGGCCTGGCCTGGCGCAGAGAGAGAAAAAAGCCACAATCCGCCGCCCGTCTAGAGTCGAGCAGGGATCCACGGGCTGCCGACGACATGCACACATTGCACACTCCCTCCCACCACCACCGCCCACGCCCCTACTAGCTGGCCAGCAGCAGCTACGACGAAGCTCTCCCTGGGCACGGCCGCTCGCACACATGCCCCATGCCCATGCCCATGCCCTGCACGCACGCACGCACGCACGCTGAACCCAGTCACCCAGTCCATCACACACCCATGGACACTCAACCAGGATGCATCCGTGTGCTCTGTCTGGTCTCCCCAAAAAGCAAAGAATGATTGATTCCATGACTGAATCAAGTCAGAGCGCACAGCATCACTCACTCCCATCCGCAACCCGTCAGTGACCCGTGCCGCCGCTCATACCCCCATCCTCCATCACCGTCAACTGTGATGCATCACCCTTCCTTCACCCCACGCTTCTTCTTCTTCTTTCCTCTGCTCACGACATCGTGAAACACAGGTACCATTTGACTATTGATTGCCAAGCCCCTGCCCGTAACCTCGTAGCTGCTGCTGTGCACATGCAAGCACATCGCAAGACGGACTGGTTGCTGAATCGGCTCTCGCCAGTTGCAACTGTCCATCTACCCATCCATCTATCCATCATGGCCACTGGTTACGTGCCCATCATCTATGCGCAATGTAACTGACTGATTGACGATGCTCAACCGACTTACCCAAATGCGCCTAATAGAGAGGCAAACATGGGTACGTGTTTTGTGACGGGCACATGATTGCCCCTCAGCCTCCGGTGGCTTCCAGAACGCGCATTGACTCGCCCACTGCTTCGAGGCCTGCTGTCCACGACTATCGGATGCGCTCCAAGCACCCAGCGTCCATAGTAGTTGGTTGCCTTTTTTTATTCATTCTAAATTCAATCTCCTTTTTCAAAAGCGTTCCTGCTGCATGCTATACTGACTATGCTGAGCGTCCGCATTGGTAGCCAAAAACTCGACTTGGGCTGGTGCTGGGGCATGTCAAGTGCCGACCTCGTCCGATCATTACTGTTCCGGTATTCTTCCCGTCCATGTATCGTAATTAATCTGCCCCGTCTGACTCATCTTCCCCTGTTTTATCCTCTCGTCTAACCGCATGGGAACCTCCCCATTCGCCTCGTCGGCAATATTCGTCGCACTGCCGGTCGGACTCATGGACCCTGACCTGACGGCAACGATGATGATGATGATGATGATGATGGCGGCGGCGGCGACGACACACAGAGAAGGGGGTTGACTGGCGTCGCCCTACTGGCCGTTGATGGCTGACTGGCTGGCGGGCTGACTGAATGAGAGGCACCCATTCAACCTCCCTCTCCCCTCTTCCTCTTCTTGTTGACGATGATTAACAGCAAACATGATAATCCACAGCATAGTCTATACGTTGCTCTGGCGGCCGAAATTCAACCGTGCGGGCCTGGTCGCTTGTCTCGTCGCCTTCGCCGTCGTCACATGGGCTACTCCGTTTTCCCGCCGCGGCAGCTAATCAATCAAAGAAAGAAAGAAAACCTCACGCGCGCTGCTGACAGACCTCTTTGGGCCCTCTTACCCGCCGCTACCACTTGTCTTTTGCGTGCTGGCATGGTCAGATACGAAGAGTCCTCGCCAGCTCAGGTGCGGAGAAGATGGTTCGGGCTCGCCCCCCGCGCTCTCGTCACGCAGGTGGCACCTAAACGCGGCGCTCCATTGTTGGCCATGTTCCTGCTGCTCTGCTATGCCCAGCTGCCACGAGGCGAGGTGCGAAGATGGATTCAACCACCCTCGACCTGGCCGCCCTGCCTGCCTGTCGCAGATCCCATCTGATCACGCTTCATCTTCTTCCATCCCACCTCCCATCTGCCTCTCGCCATCGGCCCGTTGCCTGATTGTGAACCAAGTGAAGTGTCAACTTATTCGTGGCGAGACCCCAGACTGCTACGTCAACCCGTTTACACAATAGGACGGTTTTCGAGGTCATCTGCGGCTCCACGTCGAATCATCTCCCCTGGCAGCGCAATCATGTGCAACCTGCTCCCGCCCCCAAATACCGTACTGCGTGATGGTCGGTTTCATGCGTTGTACAATCTGCACAGTCGCGACCGCCGGCAATCCTCGCAGGTCCGTCCCATCAGCGTCGCATCCGTGTCCAGCTCTGGCTTGCCGCTTGCCATGGCCACCGTCGTTCAGTGTCTATCCGCGCTTGACTTTGCGCACTGTACTCCATGTTGCGTCACCGTGTGTGTGTGTGGTTTGATCTTGCTTGCCATCAGTCCACTTCGCAAATACTACCATCCTCTGTCTGGTACCTGTCCCCAGGATCTGTCCCTCGATGAACTGCCCTCGACAGCTCTTCCACTTGGACTGCGGTCCGAAGGTCCGGGGCAGAGGGGTCGCGTGCCTTTGTGATCCCCATACAGCAATACCCCACAAATAGCCAACAAACCCACAGCAGCGGCGACCCTTGGTGCGCAGATCGTGAATAAAGACTCGTCAATTTGAATCAGTCCAGGTACGGCGAATGCAGTGCACCTGCGTCTGCTAATATGAGGTCCCGGCGCACAGGCAACTGGCTACTATCTATCGCGGAATCCACCCCTACATAGATTGAGAAAGTACCCACCCGATTCACTTTGACTGTCCAGCAGCTGCTTTGCGTCGATCTCGTCACCGCTCCCATTCCCGTATAATGTGAGAGGGAAACGGGGGGGGGTGGAACATTGTCAAAAGGGTGAGTGGCACTGGCCGATGATTGGAGGACAAATGCGATGAAGGCTAGTTTGTGTACGAAGCAATCCGGGACGAGAATACGAAGCAGAGGCCATGCTTCGGACGGGGAGAGGGGAGAAATGAAGGGATGCCGTACGGGAGCAGCCACGCTGATCATCCCACGTCAGACTTTTGCCGTAGCATGCACCACCATGTGTGAAGGGAATAGATGGTAAGGGAAAAGGCGCGAAAGGGATGAAGACTTGCAATCCAAAGTCGTTGAAGCAGAGCAACAGTGGATGGGCGGCTGGGGGAAGGGAAACCAGCCCAGGCGACGAATATTCCTGGACCACGACAACGGGATGGATGCTGTATTGGCTGGTATGCCTTCCCCACGAAACACCAGAATGGAATGTCCCACGCCACCGGACTCTGAATGCTGGACCCGGCGGACTGGTTCGGGCGTTGCGCTAAGGTCCCTTTCGGCACAGAACCCTGCCGCCCCACGTTCCCTCGTGACAGGGCTGATTGGTGGTGAATTACCATGCCATCCGCCATGCTCGTCGTTCCCCGGCCATCACTCCTCCTTTCGTCTCTGCCCAGTACAGCCAACATCATCAACAACAACAACAACCACCTTCCCATCCATCCGTATACCCATCCATTCAGACTTCAGACGCACGCCGTATACTCCCACCCCTATCCCGCTTCCCGGGGCATCCTCCAGCTGTCCCGCTATGCACCGTCGCTGCATCTCTCCGTTCACCGCAAATCGAAGCGTTGTTCCCGTGATGCATCTCACAATGCAACCTGCCAGCATGTGTTTCAGCCACTGTCGGTCCGACGCAGGCCTCTCCTCCCCTTTGCGATGCCTTGGCCTAATCGAGACACCGTTACCCCCGAGATTGATTGCCTTCGCAGCCGCCCTCGACACGTCTTGACTAATGTCCCGCTTTGGCTAAGCGGCCGGGGCACCGCAGGGAGCTTCCGCATCCTTCTACTATCTCTTCATCCCGCGCCATGAATCGTTGCAATTTCCTACGACTCACGATGGGTACGTCCATCATGGACGAGTTGCATCCCGGCAGCGGGACAGCTTCCGCTGCCTACAGCCAATTTCGCATTGAAGTCTATGGGGTCCGTCCCAGCCTCGCAGACTCGCACAACGTCCCAGCCCGTCACCTCGGAAACGTCTTTTCGCGTGGCATTGTCCCAGTGCCGAGGCAGCAGAAAACCCAAGCTACTCCTCACGAACCGTGCGGCCACGACAATGCCAGCCGTTGGGAAGGAGATATGATGGATGCTCCTTGACGTCGGAGTTGGGACTTTGGACGCGCACGTACTAGGTATCGAATGCGTTCAGACGACCGCGGCCTCGACTCTATCCCAGCACGTGCTCGAGTTGCCGTATCTCATAATCTCATAATCGCTCGCCCCTGAAGCACTGCATCCCGGGATGCACCGCATTTGTGACCTGTATCCACGAGTGGCTTCTGTCGGCGACGTCTCTTCACCCAAACGTACATGGCCAACACAAGTGTCCACGAAGGTGTTCATGTGGTCGAGTCCGTGCAAAGGTGGCGGTCATTGAGGCGCGTTGGCACAACTTCTCCCCCACGTGCTTATCAGTACACTTCTCCAGGAACCGCAGGTGGGGAGTCCCACATCCTACCTCCGCCAAAACTCCTTCTGCAGTCAAGCATTCTCGCGTTCCATGTGTGCTTCTAGAAATCCTTCCTTGTTGCAACCACCTTCTCCATCTGGCCCGCGTTTTCGCACATGGCTATGAACCAACACTTGTTCAGCCAGTGTCCGATGCGACTCGCTGGGAGCCCGGATGGTGAACCACATTCATCATACCGTGACAGGGTTCTTCCTGCCACTGACATCGTGTGCTTACCTGTCAGCCGTCTTGCCTCGTGCTGGGTGATTGTGCGCGGTTGGCTGCGCGGTTGGCTGCGCTCGTTGCCAGCTCACAGATTACACTGTCAAACATACATCCCTCTCCATCCTGATCCCCCCCGGGGTCATGGTGGTCAGCTTTGAGTTCGAGCTGTTGACTCGGTTGTCATACCGCGACACTGATTGCTCGCTTCTACCCCTTCGGGTCGTTACCACGTTGTACCAGAGCTTCGGTTTCGAGGACCTGTACTCAAGTCACACCAAGCTGTTGATCGCCCAACGACAGAACTCGTCTGCATGTTGGCTGAATGTGTCCTCCAACCATTTTTCTCTTGTTGTCCATCCCCGAAAACCGTGCTGCCCGTCTGCGCTAAAGAAATACTCGGGGGAAGGAAAGAAATGACGCAGCACTGGTACACGGTCACTGTCTGCCATCTGGCAGCGACTCGACCTTTGAACAGTTCCATCCCCTACACCGTACATCTGAGCCGAAAGTGAGCCCTCTTCGGCAGGGTCGAGCTTGGGCATATTGACCGTGTCGGGCCGATTCCTTCTCTCCTTTTGCCGACTCCAGTTGTGCCGCAGGATAAATTGGATTCATCCGATCCATAGCCAACCTCAGGAGGATGCTTCATCACGGCTTGCATTAGCGAGCCGCAACGAGGTCACGTCGCCCGCTGACAATGCGGTAGGACGCTGCAAAATCCTGCCCTTCTTCGTTCTGCTATCCACTGGCATCACCACTGTGTCAGCTACCATATAAACCATGGCCTATAACATGCCGCTCAGGCCCACCGTCACTCAGCTCACATCATATCGAACGGACAACGCTTCACAGATCGTCACGTTCTCCTGCATCCCGTATCCTCCTTCGCCAATTCCCTGTTGCCTCGCCCGTCTTACGTCAGTACCGGTGGAGATCACATGCTACCTTCTCCGCCGGATGAGGCTTAGTAGGGTATACACGACAACTGCTTACCTTAGCCACCCCATCTGGTCATCATCGCGCCGCAGAGTTGATGGGTTAAACGGTGAGGGACGGAGCGAGCATCGCATCGTCCCGTCCACGGATCTTTATCCACTTCCCCCAGCCCCCAGTTTCATGGCAATAAATTCTGACTTGCTGACATGCTGACTGTCCGATGACCTATCGTGCGACGTGGAGAGACCGAATCATATCTGCGGATGCACATGCCGTTCTGCCCCCCATCAGGCGCAGGCTCGAGCTTTGCGGAGAGGTCACGAGTTTTACTCCACTCATCCTACTCCGCTCCATCTCACCTCGCAGTATCTGTGTGCAAAATGTCTCGGTGAGCTCTATCAGGTCTTGAGTATTTCCGTTTTCAAATCGGCAACTCTCGACCGTACGTCGCCGACCACCAGGAATGTGTCCACTATGCATAGATCCCCTGAGGTCATTGTACATCCATCCCTATATGTGCGAACCCTCTGGATCCTGCACACTCCTCGCTTGTCCTATGTAGCCTCCATGCAAGTTCCCCAATATTCTAGACCCGCATACTACGCCTCGCGCAACGCTTGCAGCCCTGTCACAGGCTGGGAAAAGTCGTTATTAATATGGAAAACGAGACGCCTCGCGGTCGTCGATCCCAAACTGCGTTGAGTGTGTATGCCCGCTAACGTTCCCAACGACTGACCACACCCACTCCCAAATAACAGCACACACACACACATGTCAACACATATAGACACACACATACAGAGCGCGAATGTCCGTCTCTTCCCTTCCCCCAGGGACGCAGCCCAGTCTTACCCCTGCGTCAAACCTCCCTCCCTCCCTCCCTCCCTCTCGCGATATACTCCCACACCACCACCGTTTAAAAGCCCGCCTTTTCAACCCTCCCTCCCCTTCCCTCCCCCCCTCCATCGTTGGCGAAATTCAACGTGTTCGGTCTATTCTCCCAGCCCTTCTCCAAACCCCCGGGGTTTGACTCAGCTCATCTTTCTTCCCCCAGTTCGGTTCGTTTCACAAAAAAAGAATTCCGCCCCCCCCACCTCCACCTCGTGGTAGGGGTACCGAGTCCTCGGTGAGCGAACAAAACTACCGAACGTGTGCAAGTAAGACCGCATGTGATGGTTGACTTATGTAAGATTATCTTTTTGTTTGGCATGTGGTGCACTGGTAAGACTAGGGCTGGCTGGGCTGGGCTGGGCTGGGCTGAGACTTTGTGGAGAGGGGGAGCTGATTGAGAGAACAACATGATGGGTTTGGACTCTGCTTTCTTTTGGGGGTTTTTGAGGGTGGTGTGTTGACGGTTGTGGGGAAGTGAGACTATTAGATATTTTTACCTTTCTTTTTACGTGTAGATGTACTTTTGTATGTAACAGCAGTTTCAACCTCATCCCTTATCCTGCGATATCGATATCTTCTTTTCCTAATAAGAAGAAGAAAAATATCAACCAGTTTCTTGTAGATGAATATTCCTCTAACTAACTCTTTATTTTTCTTATCTTTTATTCACTTAACAACAACATCAGAACTCTAGACTCCTATGCTTTAACAAGATATGCTGTTTTTTCTTTCCCCTTTACTGCTGTTCTTTACACTTTTTATCCCTCTCCCTAAACACCACGTAAGCTAATCTAGCAAATGCTCTAATAAGTTATGTTAAACTGTATACAGTATCTACTTACCTGTGTTATGCCTAGTGTTGAGTATATAGCGTATACACGTACATTTGTTTGTCTAGATATATCTAAAATATCTCTTAACTTTGATCTGATAACTTTATCAAATGGATCGACACCTACAGCTAGGACTAAGAAAGAGAAGAAGAAGAAGAAGAAGAAGAAGAAGAAGAAGAAGAAGAAGAAGAAGAAGAAGAAGAAGAAGAAGAGAATAGAGCAATAGAAACCTAAACTAAAAAGAATAAAATAAGAAAGGTAAAGTGTACGCGTGTAGAGAGGGTTTTGTAGTTTTAAAGTATAAAGAAGAGCAATTTATGTGCGTTTTATAGGGAGTTAAAGTAAGAAAGAGAATTGAAGTGTAAAGGATTTTATAATTTCTTGTGGTTCTGTTGCATTACATCGTTTCTTTTCTGCTATCTTATACTCTTATTTCCTCGCTGCTTTGTAAAAGGAAGAAAGGTCCCTATAGGGTTTGTTTATTCCCACTGGAAGGGCGTTAATTAATAGACCCTCCTGCTGTATATTCTTGTGTATGTGTATACTTCACATTACAAAACCTCCTCTCCCCCTTCTCCTTCATCTTCATCTCTATCCTGTCTTCATAGGATTAATACATTAATAAAATTTTAACTTAATCCTTTTTATTTTATTAATACTTGTAGGGAGTGTACCGTTTCTACAAGATAAACTAGTTAGAATGTTGAAGAATATAGATATGATAGAACTAAAAAGCAGCGGCAAGAAGACTTTAGGAAGGTGGGTAGCTAAGTAAATAAGTAGTAGGCAAAGATTATAAGTGTATTTCGTATGATGTAGAAATTGGAAGTTTGAGAGTTTTGTAATGTAGTTTAAGTACTAGATAGAGAAATGCAAGTATCGTTAGATTAGATCGACATACGTAAGTTTGTTACGCGTGTATCAGGATCCTCGGGAAATAAAGAGGCTGAAGGACGAGAATTAGAATAAGGTGTAGTAAAGCTATCTAGAGCTAGCTAGCAAGGTGGACGAGATATATGATTATGATAGAAGATGATGAGGCAGGCTATTCTTGTGGTAAGTAAGTCTCGAGTATGTTTTTTCTATTTAGTTCTTCATTCGGGTTGACCCACGTGTGTTTCTCTTTTTTGAATATTCAGAAAAGGCAAAATGAGTGCAGGATTTGGAGTGTTTTGTATACTTTGAGGAGGAATTCAAGGTTTAATATATCGACTAGTGTGCAGTTTAGGATGTAGAGCTTTGTTACCCTAACCCGTAGATTATTGCTAGCAGGAGGTGATAGAAGATGAAGTGATTTGGGGCATGTGCCGACTATTTGAATAGATGGGCTGCTAGGTTACGTCTTGATGTGATGTTTTCGTTATGGATTCTTTCTGTTGGCTGCTTTTATTGGCACTCTTTTTCCGACAATATAGTAGCTCTGTGTAGTCTCGGACCACATTGAGTTGCGATGTAGGGAAAAATGAGAGTTATCTGATGTTCAATAGACAACAATAGATATGACTTGGAAGATTGAGGGACGTGGAGAATGTGATATCACATGTTGTTGGGGGGTGATGCACTGAAAGGATTAAATCGTGTGAATTCGAATGTGAGACTTCGAGTATATTGTCAAGTACCCGGATTTTATGGTTTGTCAAAAATCACAATCATGGCAAATGATTGTACAAAAATAAGTGATAGAAAGGTGATGGTTCGTTGTAAGGGTGGCGCGTCGAGCCGGGGTTTGGCGTGTCTCGTTCCGAAAGAAGGAACCAGACGCTCGTGCCCGAACGAACATCCGCAGGCAAACAAACACCACCAACCCATCCATCCACCTATCCGTTCACTCACCGATCCATCGCCGTCGCGTCGAGATGAATGAACACACCGGCGACACGCCGCCATCGCCCAAACGGAAGAAAGCCCGTTCCAAGTACGCTCAACGCGCATGGTGAGTTTCCCCAATGCCGAGCCTAGGGCAGGCAGGCGTTCCGAAGCATTCCGTCGTCTGTCTAGGTATCGTCAGTTTGTCAATCGGTCGAACCACCAAGCTGATCCTTACCCGCGCAGTGTAACATGCCGCCGCTCCAAGCTGAAGGTATACACCCCACGCTATTCTCATGTCTTGATTGACGCTCACCGATGACAGTGCTCCGGCGAGAACCCCTGCCAGCGATGCGCCGAGAATGGGAAGCGCTGCTTCTACTCAGAAGAAAAGTCCGCCGCCGAAGCTCTTCAAACCCTCAGTCGACCCACACCCTCGCAACCGCCGCTCTCAAATGCCTTGCCTGCATCCAATGGCAATGGAATTAACAGGCGGAGCATCCTTCCACGACACGATGTAGAGCGCCGCGCGAGCGATGCCAGCGTGCTCGGCCTGTCCATGGAGGGCCGCATGGCGCGCATAGAAAGCATGATGGAGATGCTGATCCAGGAAAGAACCGTCACACCGAGGATGAGCGCTGAGCGGGAAGAGGCCATCACCATTGGCGATGCTATGCTCACAGACCCTGCTTTGCAGCCCTCCACGGTCGAATCCTTCTTCCCCAGCTTTGTTCAACAGAGACCCCAGAGCTTCCATCTCGACTCATCCGAGCGACCTCGCCTGTCGGTCCCCATCGTTACAAGCCCACCCAGTGGCACCGAATCTCCCATGTCCATTCGCCTGGGCTCTAGGACCTTCGCCTTCCCGCCGCCCGTTGATTATCACAAAGCCGTCAACTTCTTCTTTGCCGACCTCAGCCCGTATTATCCGTGTATCAACGAGGCCGACTTCCGTATGCGGAGTGAAAGAATGCTTGCGACCCCATCTTTGCAGCCCTCCGATGTCTGTTTCCTGGCCCTAAGCTATATGGTTTTAGCCTGCGCCGACATCGCCGTGGAGACGACTTCCTCCAGGGCTGGCATCAAGCCAGCAGGATGGTCCTGGTTTCAAGCCGCTGACGAGTTGCTGGATAAGAAGGTAGTGGTTGGACAGGGCGATTTGACAATGATACAGTATTTGCTGTTGAAGGTACGTAATTTCATACCGCTGTCAAGGAGGACCGTCGCTAACTAAGCAAGACCGTATACCTTACTCACGTCGACGAACCCGATGCTGCTTACAACACCGTGAGCATAGCCTGCAGATTATGCTTTCAACTCGGTATCCACCAGCAATCGTCATGGCGGAAACATACGCCTTTCGACATCCACATGCAACAGCGCATCTTTTGGGTGACTTATGTTCTGGACAAACTCATCTCCCTCGGTTGTGGGCGCCCTTATTGTATTCGTGAATCCGATGTAGACACAGAGTTAGCTGCATATCTGTGTGACAAGGTACGTTCGGCAAGCGTGAATGTGCTCTTGTTCATTCATTCTCTGACTTCATTCGCAGGACCTCCATCCTGACCGACCTCTGCCTGATTCCGATGCTATTGAATCGTTTGTAGTTTATCTGAATACCATGGTTTCCTGGAGTCAATTTGCGGCAGAGGCGTGGGATAACTACTTTTCCGCTCCAACGTTGTCCGGGCGCAGTCCAAAAGATACCAATGCAGGCGTGTTCAGCGCGCGCCTCATTGCATGGACCGAGCTTTCACTGCCGATGTATCCTCTCTTGCCAGACATTGGATCCGACCGTTCACCTGAATTCAGACAGCTTCGCCAACACACGTCGATTCGTGTGCGTCTGGCCGAATTGCAACTTCTGCTCTACCGTCAGAGCATGCTCTCTCTCCGATATACCGAGGAGATTGGCCGTGCGTGCGGTCAACTCGCAATAGATATAGTCCAACGCGTACGAAACCACACGGTCGAGCCTAATCACCCCAGCTCGTTTCGATTCACCATGGCAACTGCACTTGGGCACGCTCTCCTGATCTTCACGACCTTGTTGGTTCGTGATCTTGCTGTCATTGGCCTCAATGACGCGTGGAAAGACTATGCTGATGCATATGAGGATGCTGTAGTGCTTCTCCAAGATCTATCCACGCATCTTGCCGTCGCAGCCCGTGTCGTGGACGATTTCGCGAGCATCGCTCCAATCGTCAAAGGTATCATAGCTGAAAAAAGACGTGAATCCGAGTTTCCTCAATTCTTGCTCCCAGCAAACGTGCGGGAGCTCCTCCCCTACACGTCACTGGATTTTGCGCAACAGTCCAATACCGGCGGATTAGAAATGGACAGAAATATGACAAATGTGGATGCATCCATGCTTTCTAACACTTCGCCTTTGGAATTTGAGATCGGTGCGAGGAGGGGAAGATGCGGTGTCCTGTGGATTTGAGAGCTCACTGTCCAATGGGGATGTGAGTGCACGAGCAGAAGACCTCTCCTTTCTTTGCGCCCTTCTCTTGGCTACAAAAGTTATGTGGAAGCGACCGGTCTCTCATCGTTGTTTTTGTTCTTGAACTTGTTAATTTGGCATTGATACCCCCCTTGTATAGTCAGGAGATATAGTTTCAGTTTTCTTACAATAATATGTGACCTTTTTTTTTTCTGCAATCCGTAATCTGGCGGATGAAATGGCTAGTACCTACTCTCATTGATACTCTACTACAATTCTCTATAGGCTACGCCCCTTAAACCCCGTCCAGTCTAAATCTCAACCACCACTTTCTGCAGAGAAACACCCTTCTGCAAAATATCCAAAGCATTCTGCACTCCACCAAGTCCTCCCTCGACCACCTGCTGCGGAAGCATCTGGATAGAACCATCCTCCAACCACGCAGGAAGCGCCTCTTTGAACAACCACCTCGCAAGATCATCCCTCCGATCCCCCATATCCTCCCCAGGGACATGCTCAGCCCAAACCCCCTGGATAGGCTCCACTCCTTCAGGCCAGAACATAAGGTACGCGAACTTCCTAGTTCTCTGTCCTTTGGACAGCACCTCCCGCACCGTTTCCACCGTCTCAGCCGTCGTGATAGCATCCAAAACATACGTAATCTGCTTCCCAGCATCCTGCGCGAGCTTCAAAATCTCCTCAGCCGCAGTCTTGCTCTTATAATCCACAATCCCCGCCACCCCCAGAGATTTCAAAATCCCATGATGCTTCTCCCCGGCCGCCGCGAAAACCGTAATCCCAATCTTGCGCGCCATCTGCACCGTTTGAAACCCCACCGAACTCGACGCACCCCAGATCAGCAGCGCGTTCTTCGACGCCGCCGAGTCTGCGGCGATGCTCGCGTCCGAGAAGCGCGGCCCAGTGGGGAGAGGCAGCGCCAACACGTCGAAGAGCGTTAGCGCTGCGGCTCCGACGCCTTGCGGTAGCGTTGCGGCCGCGTTGAAGCTGATTGAGTCGGGGATCTTGGTCACGCGGTGGCTTTCTACCACTGTGTAGGTTTGGAACGCGGCTTCGTCGTCGTTTTGGGTGAGGAATGAAAACGCGTAGCCTAGGACGCGGTCTCCTGGCTTCAGGAGAGTCACGTTTGCGCCTACTTTTGCGATTTCGCCGGAGACATCTGGTTTTTTTTGTCAGCATTAGTTTTTAGAGTGCAAGGATCGTGGTTCCTTGACAGGAAGGAGTGCTGTGTGAAAGGCGAAGAGGGGAGGAAGGGAAGAGGAAGAGGGGGATAATTACCGGACCCGAGGACCACGGGATACGTGGGGATCAAGACATTCCAAGCCTGTCGCTTCCAATCGATTGGGTTCATAGCAATGGCGTGGTTGCGGATGACGACTTGGTTTGGGCCGGGTGAAGGTATCTTGCGTTCTTCCACCGTCATCTTTTCTCCTGGGGCCTTGAGGACGGCTGCGAGGTTTGGGGTTTGAGCAGACATGACCGAATTACGTGTTTATCGATATCTGAGGGATTGTTTTAAAAGTTTGGGATCAATCAATTGAAGCAGTGTTGAAAGTGCTTTGTTCTGATACACTTGCGGACTGCTCAATCATCGTCCATCGACCTCATCTTTATACTTCTTGACTCTTTTGTCTTACGAAAGCATTGATTTCACATCAGATATCCTCCCCTTTCCAAGATATCTCTATGGAATCATTCGTTCTAGCATTATTAATGCGAATGGCGACGGTTGCCGGTGAGGGACTTGAAGGCTTGGAGTGTGGTTGGTTGGTGGACCGGCGACAGTGGCCGGCGCTACCGTGTCCGTGCGCGTGATGCGCGGATTCGCGTAATGCGCGGGCAACACTAAAACACCCTACTTTTAACACGCAATAACTCTACTGTTATAGATCTAATTAAGGCAGCAATTACTAATATTAAATTATTAGGGCTAGGAGAGCCTTTCTTATATATAGCTTTTACTACTAAATATAGTGTTATATAGTCTACCTTAATTTAAAGGCATTATAAGGTAACGCGTCCTCTCTAGGTTAAAAGCTCTAATTAGTAAAAGCTTACCTTAGAGGAAGAGCTAGAGCTTATATAGTATATTAAAAGACTTATAGAGAGGCACCTCCCTTTTACTAAAGAAATAATACAGAACTTTGCCTCTATAATAGTAAAGAAGCTAATTAGTAAGAGCTAGGTTACTTGCTTTATTAACTGCTATAGTATCTATTTAATCTTTTACTAGACAGCTAGCATAGACAGTAATTACTATAAAGCTAATTTAAAGAATAAATATTGCCTCTACTTTAACTACCTGCATAGTAAGATTAATTAATACTAAATAGATCTTTATTATACCTACAATATAGATAAGAAAGGCTTTCTAATTAGAATTATTAGCAGATTAAAAAGAATCTTTAGTAGGCAAATATAGAAGAAGAAAGAAGTTACTGTATTACTCTAAGATAGCAACTAGGCATAGATTACGCTCCTAGCATGTATCTGTGCTAATAGATTAGCTCTGCTACTAAGCCTTATCTATAAAGCTGCTAACAAAGCTATCTAATTATCCTAGGTAGAGGATATTAAAGCAGGAGAACATAAAGTCTTTATTACCTTATTATTCTCTAGCTAGACTAACAACAATATTAGGCTTACTTAGCTTAAACAGGTATTTAATTACTGTATAAAGGAAAAGGCCTAACAATTCTATTAACTTCTAGTCCTTAATAGCTATAGATCCTATATTACTATAAACTTTATTAACTACTATAATTAGAATAGAATCCTCCTTGCTATCCTACCTCCTTATTTAACTTATACGCTCTAGCCTCTTAATGTTGCAATGTTTAAGCCTTTATTAACAGCCTACTTAGCAAAGCTCTTAAATTACTTCTATAAAAGCTAGGGCCTAGCTTCTATTACTAAGGGTAATTTCTTTCCCTTATTTTAGAATGCATAGAAGTGTTGAGATCTTGGAGAACTCTGGTTGGGTTTCGCGGATGACTAGCGGGTAACACTGAAGTAACAAAGGTAGAAGTATAAAGTAACAACTAGATTGTATTTCCAAGAAGTGGGTTGTAACTTAGAGTGAATACAAGAACCATAAGGTCTTCTTGTCTACTGACTATATACATATTTTGTCCCATAGTTCCCATATGTCCCATAGGGTTTCATAGATGGGATATCGTGGGATCTCGTAGGACCCTGTGGGACACACGTGACTTGTCCCACAGCAACTTTCCGCCAAGACTCGTGGGACCACGTGACGTGCGGGGTGGCGAAGTCTATTGGTTCATACGTAGTGTCCTGTTTGCTGACCGTGAGTGTTCTTGTAATTACCTTCCTTCATAACCTGTGCATCCCCATTCTTAGGTTCGTAACACTACCCCCTTCTTCCAAGTTCTTGTCCTCATGAACTGACCTCATGGTTTCCAAAAGCACCGCTCATCGTCACGCCACTGGGGATCGGATAAACGCTGTTGGACAAATCGCCATGGTATCTTGTCAATATTGTTCGAAAAAGGGTTTGGAGTGTCGCATGTCTTCTTTGAAGAAGGAGTGTGGGAATTGCTATCGCAATGGCGTAACGTCGTGTGTTCCTGTGGAGGTTCCGCCTCCCAACTTCGAAAAACTGGACCGGGAACTGTTGCGTCTCGAGCAACAGGAGTCAGAAGCGGACGCAGCCGAGGCAGCAGCGTTGGAGGCCCTGGTTGCGGCGCGAGCGAAGAAGGACCGTCTTCGTAAACAGAAGAAAAGACTTAAGCGTCGTGAGCAGCAACTGATGGATGACTCAGGAAAATTCGTTGAAGAAATTGAAGCTCTTGAGGCGTTGGAAGGACTCAACAAGGATGTGGGCAACCTTGAGGATGGGTTGATGCCTGGTACCCTGGCTCTGGACTGGAGTTCGTACATGCCCTCTGTTTTGGAGGGTGATCCGTTATTTGACGAGGCCGTACTGGCTTCTTGAGGTTAGTTGTTCTGGATCAGCGGCGGTCTCCTTTTCCTGTTGTATTGTTTGATTTTTTGCTGACAGTTCGCCAGGTGTGCCTCTGGTTCCCAACTGTTGTCCTCGTGTGGGTATCCCTTCCATTTTACCAAATATTCTTTCCTTCCGCGGTCTAACTTGCATTGTAGTATTCTTTCGACTTCGAATTCGTTTTCTTCTTCTGTTTCGTAGTGGAATGTATTTTGTAGTGGCGTTCCGGGGTTCGCAGGTTCCAGCAGCGCTATGTGGAACACTGGGTGTATTTTTGCATCTTCTGGGAGTTGGAGTCGGTAGTTAACTGGGCTGACAACAGCATCAATTAAAAATGGTCCGACTTTGACGTGGTCCAACTTTTTGCTTGGTCGTTTTGTCCGAAGATTTTTTGTTCGCAAATATACTCTATCCCCCCTTTTTAGCTGAGGTGCCATTTTTCTTTTCTTGTTAACATATGAGATTGATTGTTGTTGTGCTTTTCGCATGTTTTCTTCCAGTTTTTTGTATGTCTCCTTGTATTGTTCTGCGTTTTCTAACGCTTTCTGTGTTTTTATTGTTGGAAATGTTTTTTCAAAGAGATTTGGATGTCTTCCGTGGTTTGCGAAGTATGGTGTTTCGCCTGTTGTTTCTGATAACTTGTTGTTGTATACCAACTGTGCCATAGGCAATAAGGAAATCCAGTTGTCCTGGTTCTGGTTGCTGTATAGCCGTAGGTACGTAATCATGGTTTGATTCGTACGTTCTGTTTGTCCGTCTGTTTCCGGATGGTAAGCTGTTGATAGCTTTCGTTTCGTTCCGATTGTTGCCATCAGTGTCGTCCAGTAATTGGAGGTAAAGAGCTTGTCTCTGTCGCTGATGATTGTCTTTGGTATCCCGTAGTTTCGTACTAACTTATCTAGGATAATATGTCCTAACTGCTCGGCTGAGTAGTTCTTATGGAATGGAATCATAAGTGCGTACTTAGTGAATCTATCCACGATCACAAGTATCGAATTGTACCACACTCTTGTGACAGGGTCCTGTGATGCAGGGAATCCTGTTACGAAGTCCATAGCAATATCTTCCCATGGTGTCGTAGGCACCGGAATTGGTTGCATTTTTCCGTACTTTGCGTGTGTATCATGTTTATTCTTCTTACATTCGTTGCAAGCCTGAATGTACTGTGTGACTTTCTCTTTCATGTTCGTGAAGTCGTAGTTTCTTCGTATATGTTCCATGGTTCGTTTAATTCCTGGATGTCCGTATAGTGGGTCGTCGTGATGTTGGCGTATGATGCGTTCTTGCCATTCTTCTGGTACATCGTTGGTAATTTGCATGGTAACATTGACTTCCTGGAAATGACTTGGTCCTATGGTTCCGTCCTGGTTTGTCTTAAGTATCGCTTGTCGTACTTCCGTTTTCTCGCCTGCGATGTCCGTTCGTCGGCTGAGAGCGTCAGCTCTTCCGTTATCTTTTCCTGGAGTGTGTATGATCTTGAACTGGTATTGTCCTAATTTCTCGGCCCATCGGACTTGTCGTCGATTAAGGTCCTTTGTGGTCGTGAAGGTGACAAGGTTCTTGTGGTCCGTGAAAATTGATAGTTCAGAACAACTTTCGCAGTAAATTCTCCAATGCTGAATTGAATCGACAATAGCCATTAATTCTTTATCATAGACATCGTAGCGTTCTTCCGTTGACGTGAACTTTCTTGAGTAGTAAGCAATAGGGTGCCATTTTCCATCTTTTTCTTGTGTGATGCATGCTCCTAATGCGAGATCCGAAGCGTCGGTCTCCATTCTCATTGGTTTTCCTGATTGGAACATGATTAGTACTGGAGCAGAAGCGCATGCTTCCCGAAGTTTCCGGAATGCGTCGTCTTCTTCTTCGTTCCAGCGGAAGGTTTCCTCCTTCCTCGTAAGTCGTGTGAGTGGAATCGAGATCCTAGAGAAGTCCTGGATAAATCTTCTGTTGAAGTTGCAGAATCCCATGAACGATTGTACTTCTTTGATGTTCTTTGGTGTGGGCCATTCTTTGACAACTTTGACTTTCTCTGGGTCTTGCTCGATTTCTCCTTCCCGGATAACAAATCCTAGGAACTTGACTTGTTTCGCGTGAAACTCGCATTTCTCTGGTCGTACTCGTAGGTTTGCTTCTTGTAACTTTTGGAGCACCCAATGCACATGTTTCTGGTGTTCGTGTTCGTTCTCTGAGAACACTAGAATGTCATCTAGGTACGCTATGACGGTAATGTCTAGTTGATCTCTAAGGACGTTGTTCACAAGTGCCTGAAACGTTGCTGGTGCATTGGTGAGTCCAAAAGGCATAACCGTATATTCGTAATGTCCATAACGAGTGCGGAATGCGGTTTTCCATTCTTCGCCTTTCTTCATTCGTACCAGATGGTACCCGTCTCTAAGGTCCAGAGCTGTGAAGATTTTGGCCTTCGCAAGTCGATGTTGTAATTCTTCAATATTAGGTAATGGATACCTATTCTTTACCGTGTTGTCGTTGGTCTTGCGGAAGTCTACACACATTCGTAGTTT